GCGATCCACCATGGGTCGTTTGCGGCTGGAGAGACGGATCGTTGGGGCAATGGGTATTTCTGGAACCAAATTTGTCTCTGTCAGACAGGCTCAATTCAGAGTACGCCATGCCACGTGGCGATTGAATGCGCTAACGATGCACGGACACCTCTTCCTGAATTTAACTAAACCCTCGGTTATAACGATCGCCCTCTCAACTCGGCCATGGAACGTAAACTTGATACAGGCTAAGGGACGCCGTGCATCTGACCCTTGTCGGCTTGTTGGGATCTTCTTGTGTGAAGCCGTACGGATACTCCGTATCCATGTTCAGATGATGTGCAGATAATTCGTCAAACGTCACATTTGATTGGCAGAGCAGATGTGATGTGCTGGGGATCAACATCGAGGATTCCAGCTGTGAGGATGTGTGCTTGTTCTTTGACACCCATCCCACCTCGGCGTTTTAGATTCGGCTTCATTTGATGTTGCTGTTCCCTGGGTCAGCCTGGCTCTCAATGGCCATATGAACCATGGTTGAGCGCGTTCTCATCCCAAAGTCCAGTTGGAGTTACTGAAGCACGAAGGACTTTGACACAGGCACAGAAATTAAGCTCCATGGCGCTCTCAGCACACGAGGATCGCTGCATCGCTTGCATCACTAGGCCTCTAAGTAGCAACCGCACGGGCTCTGTTCAGTCCGTAATGTTGACCGTGCTCATACGAGTAGTCCGTCAGAAATTGCTCCACTGATCTCCCAGCTGGTCAGTGGTCAAAGCTCTAGTACGGGCAACGCGTCAATAAGTGACCACTGTGGCTTGAGCTGCACGAGGAGCAAGGTGAGTTTGACGCATGCGAGAGGCTCTATTGAAGTCGAGACCTTTGTTACTCGTAATATGCCAGACAAGGGTTCACCACAAAAACGATGTCGCGAAAATTGGCAAGACACGGGACCAGGCTTACCTCGAGAAGTTGAGAGCCACAACAGCATCTATGGTAGCGATTCTGAGGTATCGAGGATTCCACCCGTGAACAACAATTTACAAGCATACCTAGGTCAAACCCTGTTATGACCCTAGGCACATCTGTCTAACCCCTAATGTAGTTGGAACCTGCCTGTCTGCAGCTAGATAAAACGTGTTGTGATCGCCAGGGGATCACCCATCATTGGTACTTCCCGTATTTCGCCCAAGCCAGTATTTTCTGGTACCAATGTTGAAGAGTGGGTAGCCTGGGTGTTGTCCTCTAGAATATGGACACTTGTGGTCAAAGCTCACGGATAATGGCCATCGGTGCTCCTTCGACTTGCCCGATGCAGTTGCATTCATGCTTTACTACGGGATCCTGTCCATACTACCTAGGTATGCGTCCGGCTACTTCGTCCTTCACGTTTACTAGCAATAACCTAGGAAGCTGAAATTTACTTCCCCTGCCCCACTTTCTGTAGGGTGGGATTGTTCTTTCTCGTTGGGTTTTCTAGGGTGACGCACTCTGGGGCAGGCCAAACCTCTTCAGGTCATCCTTCTAGAAGCGAGCTTTTCCTTCAAGCTTGCTGCTATTCCGGGCTTGTGCTCGTATACGACCTGTCCAAAGTACGAATCCTGCGACTTCGGAGTAGCAACATTTGTACACCCCCATACTGACCAGTGACTACAGCATGGGTGATGTTCACAAGTACATCGGCGGTAGTTCAATTGATGGCAACGACTGTCTATCCGCACTGGAGCGATGGCTTGAAACTCTCTCATTACGCGTGGACTTGGATCAACCATCTCCCCGCAACGTTGAAATGCTGCGCAATCCCGGTTTTGAGCCCCACGCTCAACCAAATCAGTGTGTGACCTGGATTCCCGTAAGTAGGTCCTGATTGGGAAGGTGTACTTTGTCTGCAGATGCCGGAGCACGAGCGTGTCAGGAAGGCTCCCTTTGACTTTATTTGACCGTCGGCCATTTGAAACCCTCAGATCATCCACTTTGAAGGCATGGATGGCCATCTCGTCAATTTCCGCTCACTACGGATATGTTTATCAAAGTTTTCAAGCACTGTTAGTTCTTGGTTGGTCGCACTGATTAAGACCTCTACCAAGCGACAAGAGGGTCCTTTGACGGGGAGCTTTTATTCTACGACATTGCTCGATGCAGCCTTCCCTGGTCGAAAATAGTTTCAAAGCCAAGCAGGACTATAGAGCTGGTCAATGGCCACGGATGACATAGAGCCTCGGTAATTATTCTAAACGGTGTGAGTTGAGTCTGCCATGGAGGTTGGGTTCAAGTGCACCGAATGTTGGGATTAACCCACTAAACCTCATGATTCGAACATCAAGTATCCGTCCCTAGGTATCCGTGGATGCAACTAACATTTTAGCAGGCGCTCCGGCTGCACCCTTGTCAAGAAGAGGTGATGAATTTGAGGACTTGCAGCATCCCCCCCGTTCCAGCCCAAAAACTACCACGTGGCCGCCACTAGCAGCACGTCACACAAGTTAGCGTACTGGTTCGCAGGCCTGTCCCTCGTAGTTCCTCCACGAAGCACTTTTTCGCTCCTTCGAGTCGACATGGTCGTTTTACATGATTGACACAGTACTATCGAGGATCATGGGTAGCATTGCCAGCAAGAAGCGGTGAGCGCAGCTTTCGCAAGCGTCCCTCTTTTTTTCCTCGAAGGGAATCCCCCGTTCTGACGCAACTTGGGTATCTCCGGAAGCAGTGGAACCGAGCTCTCCATGACTTCGATGTCGGTTTCATGGCGCCGAAGACTATCAGGCATAATGCCATTTTAGCAATGAGTCGCTGACCTCTTGGGCTTGACGAAATTGCCCTGGCGATATGCATTATTTCGTCTACCATAATCATTGTCCCAAGCTCGAACAGGATCGGCGCTTTCCCCACATCATCTCTGCAAAGGTGTGACCATAAAGGTTTCCAATACTGCCTGCAATGTACGGATAATTTCTGCTCATCGAGACCGTTTGTGCTTGTCAACGCTAGCACGAAAGTACCTACTCGATTCCCAGGTTCGTCGCCGGCAGATCATGCCACCGGTTGGGCAAGCACGACCTCCGCCATGGCTAAATTATCAGCAGTCTCGCTTGCATCATGCAACTTGAATTGCCCGTTTGCTATTTACGCGCCGAGAGCAACGAAAGGAGGCCGGAAACATCGCTTCGGCGCAAGCTGTTTGGATTTAAAGCTAGGAGTGATGACCTGGCTTAAACGACTTATTTTTGGCAGGAATAGCCGCGCTCAAAGGATAGAACAGGCTGACAGCGGTAAATGGATTTTGTTGTGTCCCAATCTATCGAGCAGATCCTCAATTTTCACACTCATTGCGAGGTGTCGTTGTCGCCCTGCCCTGGCACCGTTTGACGTACACTGCTTGTGATAAGCTAGCATTGTTGTCTGATCCGCTTTTCCTATTCCAAGCCAGATCAGCACACACCGTCGGCATATTTTAAATTGGCTGATTGATTTCTTCCTCTACTCGGACTATGCATTCTGCTATCCAGGCTGTTTAGAAGTTTCAATTCCTAGGATTGGCCAGTTTTCCCTTCGGAGGACTCGCATCCGTACAAGGTTGTGACAGGAAAGCTGGCGCTCATTATTGATCTACCTACAGTGCCTTCCAATGTGTCAAATCCAGCTGGGTTTGAAAATTACTGGATTGCAAGTCGTTCCCCAAACGAGCTTGCAGTGGCTCACAATCAACCTAGCCAAAGTATTAGCAGTAAGCGATAGGACTACTTGTGCTCGACAGCGTCGGCGATTTAACGTTTGGGTACCAATGCAAAACTGTGCAATGGCAGCAGCTGAGAACTGTTGCCCCATGCAGATCACTACCGTCACGCTGCTTGATTTCCATCAATGATATTGCCATTGCAAATGATCGTCTGATCTAGGCTCATCTTTATGATGAGGAAGAACCCGCCTTACGAAGTTAGAGATATGGGTAAGCGAGAACCCCAAGCACTGAGGGTATGATTTTGATTGAGTACGAGGTACTATTGCACGTCCGTCAGCCGTCACTGGTGAAGCCAATTTGTAGGATTTGGGGATCCCAGTGCGGCTGATATTTAAGAGTATGTCGAGTTTCTGTCAGTGCCACATCCCCATCACATCGATATAGAGTTTTGATTTAGTTGGCATGGAAGCAAGTTTGCGTGGAAAGTACGGAGTTAGATTCCGACAGTTTCACGACCGCGCATGAGTGATCACACCATCCGGTGCATACCTGGACTCGTCAGCGCGACGAACAAACTCCACGAGCATTCTCTTGTTCAATAATTAATGTGATTGTTTGGCTCATTTTCCCAAGCTTAACACTGTCGGCAGTCGCCTGGGTTTTGCTTGCCCTTATCCTAGATGTGTCCCTTTGCCAACAACATGACACCGCTGATCTCTCATATATACTTATCTCAATCAAAGGACAAGGCAAGCTTCGGAACATGAATCACCCAGCACAGTGCCCTTCTGCATTGCAATTGAATCTTCACTCACCCCAGAGCTGTGCGTGCTAGCGCCCAATCTCTTCCTACCATCTCACGTGACTAGGAGCCTTATTCACGTGATCTCTCACCATCAATCAGGGTGGGTACACTCACAAGGACGAAGACTTCAACAACGCCTATGAATCAAAACACAAGCAGCTGGAGGGCTCTTGTCCATGTAGACAAATACCAATGAACTTATAGACGGAGGTAGTATGTTGCTTGGGTTTGAAACGTGCTATCATCAAACAGCGAAGGCAGGATTGACGTCATCTTCCACCCGTTGCGCAGCAACGCTGTGAGGGTCAACAAATTCTCCAGATCCTCCATGGTGTCGGTGCACTTGACCAACTGCTCTTGCGCATATGCCCTCTGGTCATCCAAATTATCAGCCTTCACAAAGCTCTATCGTAAACTTTGAATTCACAGTTTTGAAGCGTTTACTCTTATGACTATAGTTCTTTGACCCCTCTAAACTGCTTCACGTCAGCTCCTTCCCGGGTAGTTGTCGTGGGCGTTCCTTCTGTTTCTATTAAGATGGCTCTCATCCCTGCCGAACAGGATAAGTATGAGGTGAAGGAAGTCATCGGTAAGAAATCAATTGCACACTTGCTCCCTCGCGGAATTCAAACTCACACTGCGTAGGTCGGGGTGCCTTTGGTATCATCCGAAAAGTTCGTCGGAAGCAAGATGGCCATGTAAGCCTGCTGAATCTGGCGTAACACAAGGAATCGATCACTGACTCAACCAGATCCTATGTCGCAAGGAAATCAACTATGTCAAGATGTCCCAGAAAGAACGAGATCAATTACATTCCGAGTTTTCAATCTTATCATCCCTCAACCATCCAAACATTGTGGGATACTTCCATCGAGAGCACCTCAAAAGCACTCAAGAGCTTTACCTGTACATGGAATATTGTGGCGGAGGTGATCTTGGATGCGTGATCAAGGAGCTCAAGAGGAAGAATGAACTTGCCAAAGAAGAATTTGTGTGGAGAATATTCAGCCAGCTTGTCACAGCATTGTATCGTTGTCACCATGGCGTCGATCCACCGGAACCTGGCAGTGACCACTCTCGACAGAAGGAAATTCGACCTCCAACTGGGCAGAAAATGATTCTTCATCGCGACCTGAAACCTGAGAACATCTTCCTTGGTGATGATCAATCAGTCAAGCTTGGTGATTTTGGGCTATCAAAGCTTATGCAATCACATGATTTTGCATCTACATATGTTGGGACGCCTTTCTACATGTCACCCGAGATCTGTGCAGCTGAGAAGTACACACTACATTCCGATATCTGGTCATTGGGATGTATCATGTATGAACTCTGTACAAAGGAACCACCTTTCAACGCCAATTCCCACCTGCAACTTGTTCAGCGTATTCGGAAGGGTGTCTTTGACCCTATACCAGGCGTGTACTCCAAAGATCTTGCCAATGTCATTGCCAGCTGCCTCAAGACAAACCCCATGCATCGACCGGATACAACTTCACTATTGAGTGTCCCGTATATCTGGTTTGCCCGCCGCCAGCAAGAAATGGTCAGCATTGGTAAAACCCTGAGGACGCGAGAAGAGATTGCAGAGCAAAAGCTGAAGCAGGCGGAGGAGAGGCTTTCTGCTCTGGAAACCGACAAAGCCGCCATGAAAGTGGAGTTAGACGCCCGACTACGCCGGGAATGGGAGTTGAAGGCGAGACTTGAAATTGATCGACAAGTACAGATCGAGCTTGAGAGATTACGAAAAACTTTTGACAACGAAGTCGAGGTTCGTGTTACAGCCATGCTCCTGGACCGCGAGAGATCCTCAGAGTTACGGGCCTTGAGAGAAATCCGTAACCAATCGAAGGTGCAGAACAAGGAGAATCTCAACCCCAGTTCATCAGTCAACACTTCCGGAGAAGAAGACTTCCCTTCAGTGACTGATTTGACCGATCTGTCTGAACTCTCCTTGGACTCGCCCGTTCTGTCGACAACCGCAGCCATCCCGCCGAAGAAGGCGAAGACACCATTTGCGCGATCGAAAACCACCTTTGATTCTCCTGCTGATGTCCCTATGGGCGAACCTTCACCAATGTCCATATCTTCATTAGCACTTTCACCTCGACGGACTGCTGCAGCTCAAGTTACCGCTAATTCTACGGTGACCGCTCTTGGGGCGAAGAATATATTCGCACATGCAGCCCGTCAGAAAGCGAAATGGGAGCCTCAACTTGCATATACGACAGATGCAGAGGAAAATTTGGATTTCGGGGAAGACTCTGAGGATGACGATGATTTCCCAGACCTGCCTAGCCCTACGAGGCCAAAAACGAACCTTGTCAACACTGACCCTTTCAAAAATCCACCACCGGTCAGCTTGAGAGGCAGACCAGCTTTGATGAGACAAAACACCACCGCCACGATGCAGAAGTTGACCACAAAACCCACCATATTTCCTTCCAGTAGTACTGCTACGCAAGTACGAGCCGGCATTGCATCATCGAACGTTGGTAATGTTATCCGAGGCATCCCTCGAGCCACATTTGATGGCGAAATCAAATCCATCACAACAAAGACAACCAGTCCAAGCCGACGTCTTAGTAAGATACCCAGTCGAAACGATCTTCGAGAACAAGCGAGCGGCAACGGCAGTGACGGGAGCACTAGCCCAGTGAGACGATCAGCAACTACAACTGGATTGACCAGCAAACTAGCAGCTGGAAGAGAGCCTGTTGCCGTTGGCGGCTTGGGAGGGCGTACTCTGGTTGAATTAGCTCAAGCGCGAGCTGGCGGGCGCGACTCCAATGAGCGTGCTCTCAACAATGGTATGAGATCCAAGGCCGTTACCGACTTCCATGATCGAGTCAAAGAGTTGCCACCTGTGCCCATTTGGGATCCAGAGACGGCTGGAGACGACATGCCGAGTCCGTTCTTGAAACGAGATGTGAAAGCCATCCGTATGATGCGGTGATCCTTTGAGAACTCAGATGGCTTGAGGCGACCACTTACCAGAATTGTGAAGGCTCAGTATGACTTTAATGATGAGACGTGATGGCTATTTGTAGCAGGACAGTCTCCAAAATGTATGCAGGGATGTTTTTGGTGGAAGTGGTGGGTAATGCTGCCAGATACTCCTTCTCTGAGCTTGGTAGCTTGGGCATCGTCCTGCCTTCGCAGCGGACAGTTGGAAAGGTGTCTGCTGATGTGATATGGCGGATGTATTTTGTTCTTTTGACGTTGGGATTTGCTGCCAGACAGCGTCTTGACAATGTTTCCCCCCCAAATTACGCGTGTGGATGACTTGGCTGCCTGCAATCAGCGATTTGTTGCGATTACAGCATAAGCATAGCGTCTGGCGAATGGTATGACATGACATGAGAGGAAAGGAAGTCCTTTTGTATTGGAAAATCTTCTTTTGTTCCTGGGTGTGGGATCCGATACCAGGTAGGGAGTTGCTCTAGACAGTAGTACAGGCAATTACATTAGGTATCTGTGAAAATATTCATTCAGGGCATCGTAACAACACTCGGTCTCACAAATGGAGATGAGACGTATGTATGCGGAGACCGCTATGTCTCAAGAGATGCCCGCAAAGGAAAGTGCAAAAGCTAAAGCTGTTTGCACGAGCGGCATAATGCTCGTACCAAGTTGGCTGGCTGGGGATTATCATCATAAATCTCAGGGAAGAATAGTAACTCTCTCCACCCAAAAGAGGTACGTACGCGCGGGTACAGGGAAGTGACCAGAGTTGGGTACCTACCTAGCTCTGCCTAAGCATCCTCGTCCTCGACCTCCTCGATCTGTACATTCCGACTTGGCCTTTGAGGGAGCGACTCCGTAGCAACACCACCACCACTACCACCGGCCGTCTGGTTCCGTTCAGGCTCGTCCGCACCAGCATCCTGCATTTCCAGCTCTTGCAGAAAGCGGCGTTCTTCCTCTGCCAGTCTCTTGGCCTCCTCCTCGTCAATCCCGGGCTTGCTGTCTGTTACCGCAGCGCCGGTCGTCGAGGCCGCCACCGAGTCTTGCTTCGCCTGCCTCTCCTTCTCCTTCTGCAGGTAGCCCTCCGCCTCCAGTCGGTCCATCTCCTCGGGCTCGAGTAAGCGCCCCGCGGGACCGCCCTTGGCGGCTTCCTGCTTCCGGCGAACGACGTCGGGGACGAATCGGCCAACTGCTTCTTTCTTCAGATCGCGGATTTGCGGCGCACTGGAGTATGTTGTTTTAGATTCCACGGTGGCTGTTGGTCTATTGGGGAGTGAATGGTTCCCTTGAGGTGCGTTTGCAGCGTCGTTTCCGTCAGCGGCGGTACCGGGATTCCTCCTGAAATTACTGCGGGCGAACTCGCGTGGTATGGGCGGCGGAGTGTCTTCGGGCATGGGGATGCGGCGCACCGAATCATCCGTGTCGCTCCCCGAAGAGTCTCTTCGGTTATGGTGGGAGATTTTCCGCTCTCCGTCATGTCTTCTCTTGCCAAGGACGTTCCCATTGTTGCCATCTCCTTCTCTCCTGCGTTGGCTGTTAGCACCGCCGAAGTTTGGCGCTTTCTCGCCCAGTGCTTCTCTCGCTTTCCGCACCGCTCGAAGGTCTCGTTCAAGGTCCTCGAGAATGGCCTTTTCACGGGCTTTGATCTCGCCCGAGGCTTCAAGAGCTTTCAGGTCCTGAATCTGTCGCTCGATACGGTCGGGGTTTCGCTTAGCCAATTTTTCATTGCGGCGCTCTTGGAGTTCCGCGCGACTCTTTTTTAGTTGTTTCTGTTTCTCGAGTTTGCGCTGTTGCTGGGCCGGATTGATCGAGCGTTCTTTATCGCGGGCCATGGTGGAATTATGTCGGCCTGGGAGTTTGGTGGGAGGTCGTATCAACAAGGCAAGAGAGTGTACGTCAATCAAGTGAACGATTGGAGTTGGAGTAAGGCTCTGCCAACTTTGTCCCCACAATTACGGTGGCACGAGCGTCGCCGTAGGAGATGAATGATGATGCAGATGGTACGGAGTAGGGCGTACGGTGGACCAATTTACACGAAGTTTTTTGATGACATGGTTCTTAAAGGGCTCACCGGTCAGAAAAGGTGTCGACGGGAGCTGAAGTTGGACAAAAGGAGCGGCTGAGGGCGGTAATCAGGGTTTGACAGTTGCAGTAGTCCTGCATTACAGGCTGCAGCTACGGTTTGAAGGGCATAAAGTGGATGGGGAAGTGGTTATTCAGAACAACCTCCTGCATGAACGGGTCTCGTTGGAGGAGTGAACCGAGTCCAGACCAGATTGAAATAGCAATGCAGTGGTTGTTGCAAGCGATGGAACACAAACATATTTTTTGGGAATTGGACAAAAGAATTAGGTGAGGCAAGTACCTACGCGTACGAGGAGGTAGGGCAATCGGAGTGTGCACTTCCAGTCCTAAAGTGCCTTGGGCTTTAACTGAGATGCTAATCATGGTGGGGGATGACGGAACTGCTCAGGTCTCCCGGAAAGGAGGGGCGGCTGGAACAAGGCTGGCGGTAACCTCGCAGCCCGGCTGAGGGTTTCATGGAAGAGTCGATGGATCAAATAATAGGAGTATTTGTTCATAATCATCGCTACAGGGTAGACATGAAATCAGTTGATAATGCTTCCTATTCAGCACTATATGGGAGATTGGTATCCGTCCTTGCTCGTGATCCGGAGGAGGTATCTTCTGGAAGGTGGGATGACTTTTCAGCCTTCACTTCCACCCACAGGATGCACGGACAGGTGGTTAGACAGTCAAAAGTGTGGGATGAACACGGACAGCTCCAAGCTCGTCCCTGGTTCCTTAGGGGCCCGGAGGGGGGAAGTTATCGCGCGACTCGAGTAACTGGGTCATTTAATATTTGGGCCAACCCGTCCTTGAAGCTACCGGCTACAGGGTACAGATTGGGCCTTCTTTAACCATTTCTAAGCCTGTAAACAGCCCGCCAGGTGGCCGAGAGGGCTTCTGACAGGCTCGACAGAGTCAGCGCATAGGAGCCGTCCACCATTTTTCCTCGTGAAAATACTCAAAACTCCTGGTTTTTTGCTTTCTTGCTCGTGGCCAATAATTTGAAACATCCATGACCACCTTCCCCTGCTCGCCCACATCCATGCAGGTTGATCACGCTGCTCCTCCAGAATTCTCGTATCCATTATCCACCAGATATCCATGGATTTGAAGCTGCTCCGTCCCGAGTACTGCTTGAACAGCATCCGCCTCACAGACTGGACTTTTGCAAGTTGCATCTTGATCGCTCTTGTTGTTGCAATTGTTCAGGAGACTGAACGTCTCCTTTAAGTACACTCGTGTCCTGCCACTGATCTTTTATATACCCTCAACCTACATATATGTACATGGATATGGCTGAGGCGATGGCCAACACTACTTGTTCGTTCTGATTGAGCTGTACCTGTACAGACCCATCTCGAGCGTACCATCACACTAATTTACCACCGACCTACTTACTAGCCGCGCTTCTCTCCTCCTCCACCTCCTCCTCTCACTAGCAGTCCCTCACTCCTCTTCTACTTTTCCCTACGACTTGGTTTGTTCATCGTCGCAGGTGATGAAACAGTCCTCCACCACTTCCGTCTCCGCTTCCGTGCCCATTCTTCTATCCTGCACATACTCTATTTTGACCTTCTCCTTTCCTACTCACCCTCCTGTCGTTGTCCGACTCTCCTTGGCCTGAGGCCACTCCGCTCCTGACCCCAACACCCCTCTTCCTCTGCCTCTCCCTCAAACCCCCTCGACCACAGCCACCCGCCAGGAACGAGGCCTAGAAGGACTGGGTTAGTTTCTCGTTTGAGAGAGAAACATTGCAGCGCTTCGCCAAGTTGAGGCTCTGTTTTTGTCCAGAGGCGCCCTCTCATACGTCAAGCTACAATGACCAGGCTCATCCCTACTGCCATATCTCGCAGCCAAATCGCTGTTGGCACCCTCTTGCACCACTCTTGACGGCTTCCCGCACATCCTATCAGCTCTTAGAATTGCTATGTTATGTTTGATCTCCACGGGAACCCGTCAAAGCCACTGCTCATCTCAACGACATTGGTTACAGTCTCGAACTCTCCAGTCCACCGTGGACGTCCATGTCCGCGCCTCAGTCCGTCGCCGACTCTGTTTTGGGTTTGACTCAAGCCGAGTTGATCTTATTTCGCCAACAACAGCAGGTTCTAGCCCAGCGCAGTCATGCAAGTGGCAACGCCCAAGACCGTGGCCGCGGCACCAACAGATCTCAACCAAGTTCAAGAGGCGCATCCGCCGCCAGCAGCCAAGGTGTCACAGGTCGCATTATGCTGGACCCCCACAGTTTGCACAGTCTATATGTTCACATGGAAAATGTCATGCGAGGCATTCAAGAGCGAATCGGAAGAGTATGGTGCCCCCCACACCCGCACTCTTTGCGAGTAACCCACTAACCACGTTTTCCATCCGTATAGCTCGAGGCCGCCACCGAACAGTCCGTCCATAGTTCCAACAATCGTGCAGCTGGTACTGTCCAGGATGCCGATGCCCAGATCCGGAGGATGAAGCATATACTCGCAGAAATCGATCGCTGGGAAGACGAATTTGAGAAGCTGAAACACATTCGAGAAAAAGTCAGACAACTCAGAATCAAAGTCGACAACATGGGCGATAGACTAGACCGAAGCCACTCAAGTGGTCATGGTTCGGGCACGCGCCCACGACGTTGATTTGGCTTTTCACATTGAACCGCAATACCCAACCTCCCGATAACGACCAACACATTACGACAATCCGTTACATATTGCTATTTCCCTCCCGCCATATCCACTTATTGCCTCTCCAGCGACACCTCACCTCGTTATACTTCCATAATATTTGATCTGCGATTGATCAGATCTAATATGACTTTCCAAGTTTGTTTAATCATTTCTATTCGACGGCGAAGGCAGACAGAGAAGCCTCACGGCTGGATATTGATTGATGAGGCTATGTTTAATGATTGTATGAATATCAGGGGTGTATTACTTTTTTCGGTAATCATCATTCTGGGTGTTTCAGGAGTTGTTGTGATATGCTGTTTCTTACGCTATTTACTGTACTGTGGAGGTGGATTCTGGTTGAAAAGCGTCTCTAGAACAGTCATGGCTCACGCTATAAAAGAGACAACCTGGGACAATGATCAAAGTTTTCCGCCCTATTTGAGCAATAACTGACCATTGAGGTATTTGGAATGGAATGCTATGCACTGGGGCTCTTTGTCTTGTTTGTTTGATCCTCGTTGTCAATCTCCTTCCTAGTCTTTGGTCCAAGTGGAAATCTTTTGACGGTCCCACATCTATGGCAGTGAATCTCAAAAACATCAGCCCATGGCTTCACACCACCCTTGCTGGGGTTTACGATCGTCTCATGACTGGACTTTCCAGGGACGAGTAAAGCGTCACAGCGCTTGCACATTGTGTGTTTGACCTTGGGAGTAAGCCGAATTTGAGTTTTCCTGGACACTCCGCGAAGATGACTCAAGAGCCGGACCGACTCGGAGCCATGTCCATCATTTCTTTTCTTAGCAGTCTCTGTCATTTCAAGGGAGGATGGATTGACATTGGCAGCGGATGGTAATGGAGCGTGCTGTTCAGTCCCTGCGAGGAAGCTCGCTGCTTGGTGTAGGTATGACAGTCTAGAATGGAGGTGCTTTTGAGGGACAGATTGATTACCGCCCTTTGAGTTTTTTGATTTGGCCATGACTATTGCAGATTTGCCTCATCGTGTGCCCAGACTGTCATGCGGTAGCTACAGGCAAGCCGCATAAATTTTCTGTCCTTGTTGAAGTGTTCCAAGTTAGTGAGGCGACAGAACATTCAAAACCTTGCTGTTGCCCGGAGCTTTGCTAAGAGATAGCCAGATAGTCTTTTTTTGGCCTAGTATAGTTTACCCCTGCCACGTGACCACATTCTTCCCGCAGCCGCAATCGCAACCCAAAGTGAACTTGAACCCGCAACGGTTGCCTCCCCATTCTCGCTCTCTCTGAAAACGACTCACGCACGACCTCAAAAGCTCAGACATTCATCCCTCTGCGAGCAACCATCTCTCCTTCATCATTCCTGACTCTTGAACCCTCTTCTTCCAACTTTCTCTCCCACTTTTCCTCCCATCAGGCCTTTGCTGGTTCTGTTTTCGGTCTCATCGATCATTGTTCAGACCCCTCATCATCTTTTCTTTCCCGCCTCATTTCACCTCAGCCTTTCGCATCCTCTGCGCTCTCACCACAACAAACACCAATCACATCATCAACTAATCAAACATGTCTGCCGAAGAAGATCTCATCGATTACTCCGATGAGGAGCTGCAGTCCACTGAGACTCCCGCAGCAGGTGCCACCAATGGTGCTGCTAAGAAAGGCGACTTGACCGTCTCAGGCGGCAAGAGTACAGACAAGGGAAAGGGCAGTTATGTCGGCATCCACTCCACTGGTTTCAGAGATTTCCTGCTCAAAGGCGAATTGCTACGAGCCATCACCGACTGCGGTTTCGAACATCCTTCGGAGGGTTAGTCATTCTTCCTGCAAACAATATTCCTCCATCTCTGTTCCTGCTTCGAGCGTCCGTCCATCTCCAAAAGAAAAGAAAGGTGTCAATTCCACCACTGTCAATAGTCGGAGTGTTCCCGCAGCCCTTTGATATCGGCTCAGAAAGGTGTCACATATGCCTTCACCAATTTTCGCCTAGTTGGCTAGCTGCTTTCAGACTCGCAACGCAAAAGACCTAGACGCAATCAAAGTCTCATCATCGAAAGTTGATGAGACGACTGATGCGCACAGTTTGATACGCTGAGAATGCTATCACTGTTTTCTTGTCCGGATGACAAGCTTGCCTTCGTTGTAGTATTCGATAGGCAATGGATGGTCTTGTTTGGTGTTGCGAGCAATTTATCAAAGAGGTGGAGAGCTTACCTAAAGAACAACAATACCTTTGACTGAAGACATCGACCATACAAGGAGATGGACGGACCAAGCTGCGATATTACCACATTTTGATTCTGGAAAACAAGTCTAACATCCGCACCTCACTACAGTCCAGCAAAAATGCATTCCGCAAGCCCTTCTCAGTGTCGACATTCTCTGTCAAGCCAAATCCGGTCTTGGTAAGACTGCGGTCTTCGTCTTGACCACCCTTCATCAGCTTGAACCCATTCCGGGTGAGGCCTCGGTCTTGGTTATGTGCCACACTCGAGAACTCGCATACCAGATCAAGAACGAATATGCTCGCTTTAGCAAGTATCTTCCGGAGGTCAAAACTGCAGTTTTCTATGGTGGCACACCCATTCAGAAAGATATCGAACTCCTCAAGAACAAGGAATCTTTCCCCAACATTATTGTCGGTACTCCAGGTCGTCTCAATGCCCTGGTTCGCGACAAATACTTGTCATTGCGCAACGTCAAGGCTTTCGTCCTTGATGAATGCGACAAGATGTTGGATCAAATCGGTATGTACACAACCATTTCTCGAAAGCCATTCCCAATCTAACCAGACGCAAATCAGATATGCGCCGAGACGTTCAAGAAATCTTCCGTGCAACTCCCACTGAGAAGCAGGTCATGATGTTCAGCGCCACTCTTCCAGAGACAATCCGTCCCATTTGCAGAAAGTTCATGAGACACCCACTGGAAGTCTTTGTTGATGACGAGACCAAGCTAACCCTGCACGGTCTTCAACAATATTCTATCAAACTCAGCGAAGGCGAGAAGAATCGTAAACTGAACGATCTGCTTGATAGTTTGGAGTTCAACCAGGTCATTATCTTCGTCAAGAGTACACTTCGAGCAACTGAACTGGACAAATTGCTACGAGAATGCAATTTCCCAAGTATTGCTGTCCACTCGGGAGTAAGCCAAGAGGAGCGGTGAGTACCCAGAAATTGGTCTCAAATAGACGGCAATACTGACAAGAGAATAGTATCAAGAGATACAAAGAGTTCAAGGAATTCAACAAACGTATCTGTGTGGCTACTGATGTCTTTGGTCGTGGTATTGATATCGAGCGTATCAATCTGGCCATCAACTACGACCTTCCCGCCGACGCTGATTCATATCTCCATCGTGTTGGTCGTGCTGGTCGTTTTGGTACCAAGGGTCTCAGTATCTCATTCGTCAGCAGTGAGACTGATGAGACAGTCATCAAGGAGATCGAGAGTCGATTCCAAGCACCATTGCCTCCATACCCAGAAGGAGGTGTCGACTCAAGCACCTACATGGCATCTTAGATGGCTATTGGGAAAATTCTTGGAGCGCTGTGTATGCACAACACCAGCTCACGCTCTTTATTTCAGGGTTATTGACTTCTCTCCTTGTTCGTGTGTATGACCAATACAATGGGTGGTACTGGACACTTGGGGGATGGGATGATGCAACGAGGCAACCTCTTAACAAATTGACAACACTATAGGTTGATGCCAGAAATTGACAGAAAAGCTATTACCTTGCATGATGTGTTTCCTTATGGGCCTATCCCGAAAATCTTCTTGCTGCTCATACACCCCGAGCGTGCTACCTACTAGTTAGCTACCAAGGCCATTAAATGACATGCCAGTGCTTGTTCAGATCGCCTCTGTTTCGTGTTCTTTTAAAATCAGGGTTGTGTTCATGATTTCTATAGCATCCGTCTATAAATGCATATCTGTCTACTTCTATATGCCATGCTTCCTTCATATAACACGCTACAATACAACACCAAAAGTGCACGTATCCTTCCAATCGACATCAATAGGAACGGTACCTGCATAGTATCAAGCGAGGTGATCATCCTCATGCCCACGTCCAAATATTTCATCAATCGCCATCCATATGTAGTGCATACGCATAAGTCAATTCATCTCTGGGCACAACTAGTTAGAACTCAAGCGAAGCCTCCATCTACATCGCAAGGACCCAACCACATCTCGCCCCGCCCGCGCCCCGCGCAGTCGAATGTCGTTGCAACGTGTCGCATCAAGTCTCCATTTTAAGCGTCGAGCTTCAAGCGCTCCAGCAGCGCATCGATCTTGCCGAGCAGCAGCTGATAGTTCACGGCGTCGGCGGCGAATTCGTCGCCCGCAAGCTCGCCGTCGAGCGTCCGCACGGCCCCTCCCTGCAGGAGGATTGGCACGCCGGATCCCGCGTTGTTTTCGATCTCTGCCTGTGCTTGCTGGCTCTCTGGATTTCCGTTCGGGTGAACGTTGGGCAGGGCAGACGGCTTCGCGCCTCCTTCTGTTGCGGCGTGATCGAGCGGCTGGCACTCGGTGGCAGTCATTGCGTCCCGCACAGCGGCCTCTTCGTCCATGACTTCGTCGATGCCCACGTCTTCGAATCTCAGTCGGAACCTTTCCGACAGGTAGTATCGGATGTCGTCGACGAGCTCGATGCTGTCCGTCTCCTGGCGTGCGGTGATTCGCCCAGCTGACTCCTGCACCAGTTCTGCGAACTCCGGGTCGTCAATGTACGCCTCCAGTCGGTATGCGATGTAGCGTGCCGCGAACTCCTCGAGGCGTTGGACACGCGTCAACCAGGCGGCACGCAGGATTTCGTAGATGTCGATGACGTCTTCTGTTGCAGTGGCGTTGCTTGCGTCGAGGTCGAGGTGGGCGCTGGAACTGCCGTTGGTCACTCCGTTGCCGCTGATCGCGCCGCCAGACATACCCGTTGCGTTGCCGTTGGCCAGACTGGAGATGACCACCGCGGCTTTGGCTTTGACTTTGTCGAGGAACAGCATGTCTGCGGCGAAGAGTACGTCGACTGCCACATCAAGGCCGAAGTCCGCCTTTTCGGTATACAGGAAGGTGAGGATGATCTCGAGCACGGTGGGTGAGCAGTCGATGTTGACAATCTGGAGATGTGGTGTCGATTGTGCTTCGCGGAATGATGACTCGAACATTGTCGTGAAGTATTCCGAGCGCAGGAGTTGTGCTTTGTGGACAGGGTAGATCTTGGATTTGCGCGAGCGGGACTGTTGGGGTCGTGAGCGTGAGGGAGAGCGGGATGCGTTGCGTGATGTCGTTGATGTTTCGAATGGAATGCCGAGGGCTGAAGTGGTGGATAGTAGCGTGTTAGACTGTTGGTTGGTGCCTTTTACGGCGCTGTCTTCGTCATCCTCATGATCCTCATCGGCGCAAAGAAGGATATCGGCGAAGATGCCATTATCCCGATCCCACTTGATGTCGTTGACCTTGGCTGTATCTGTCTCCATGGCATGTCGCAAGACGTTATTCTGGAACCAAGATGCCAGTTGATCTCGGCCTCTTTCAACCTCATCCTGTCGCCGTTGTCGTGCCAATCTACGATCTGTATTGTCAAGGATGAGTTGTGAAAGATTTTGGATCTCCAAATGCTTGCTGATTCGATCGACACCAGCAAGAATTTCCGAATCCGTGAAGCCAGTTCCTGGCCCACCACCAAGATCGCGTGGGAGTTCGCCCAGATATAGGTGTTTTAATGCGATTCCAAAGGCTTGTGGTGGAATCGTTGGCGGTAGCTTCCATGAAGCTGTGTCCGGGGCAGAAACAAACTTGCTACTGAAATATGGTGAGCGTGCGGCAAGAATGTATTTATGTAACTGAAATGATTCCGTTGGCGTCGTGATGGTGATGTCAGCCGTTTTAGGGTGATCTCTTGTTAACAGCGAAACCAAATGAGAGGCAAGTGGTTGAAGTGGGTCGGTAGATTTGGAATAATCATATTGTAATAGTAGATTTCGTATTTTATCGTTCAATGCGTTATATAGGCATCTGATTCAATGTATCAGCATCTGCCCGCTTCAAACATGGACGCTTGGGTCAATAACCTTTCGCCTTGGAAAGTATCTCGTTCGCATAAAGCGCCAGACTCGAGTAGGAGTTGAACAGTTTCAAAGTGGCCACACAAGCTGGCCTTTTCATAGGGTCACCAAATGTCCTGATGTATTGATTTGAGAACAAGAGCGGTCAGACTTACCAGGATCAAAGGAGTATAATCATACTGATCTTTGGCATTGATGTTAACGCCCTCTTGAATCATTTCCTGACAGACCTTGAGGTCGCCACGTCTGGAAGCGGCACATAGTCTCTGGAAGTTTTCGCTGAAGTCCAGAGGATTGTCTTCTTTCAGTATGCCTTCCTCGATCAATTTCTTCTCGTCGTGAAGGCTCCTTTCGAGCTGGTCTTTTCGAAGCAGCCCATTCACACTCATATTCTTGTAGTGACAATGATGAGCTGTGTTTCTATCCAATGGTGACTCGACCCAAAGACAAGGCAAATGAATAACAAAGATGGAAAGATGGATCACCAAAGCCAAAAATTGTAGGAGAGGGAGGCAACTTCGTCATATTCATATCCAATGGCGGCCCGATCTGATATGTATGTCCAGTACCCATCTCGAATCGACAGGATTTAAGATTAGATTAGATCTCTGCATAGCCAACTAATATAGCAGGTATCGCGAGTAGTCTTCAAATCACGTGAAGATCCCACTGAATCGCACGGCCCACGCAAAATGATCGAAATTTCCACGAGGCTGAGAGTGCAGTGTGCGGGAAAGTTGCCCGCAGTCTCAAGTTGGATCTGGAACCACCACCACGCCTTCGACCTTTCGTAAAGGCTGACAAGTCTATCGCCAATTCAAGTCAACAGTCCTTCATCACACCCTTCTGCCCAGCATGGCTCACGATGGATCGTTGCATCTGTCTCGGCCTCTTGGTCCCGCCGCAGTTGGTGTTCAACCCACAGTGGCTCCTCTTCGTGTCGTGATACAACCCCAGGTCAGTCCAAAGAAAGAGATACAAGAGACAGTGTACCCGTTTTTTCAGCCTACTGACAATCGGCCCGTTCATCTGACAGGCCCTTTTCTCAATCCTGGATCACTGTTCCCGCCGCCCTCCAGACCAACAACGAGTCATTGGCACCCTCCTAGGAACTCGCTCCGATGCCGATGAGTCCCAAGTCGTCGTACACTCCTCCTTTGCCGTCAGTCACACCGAGACCACTGATCAGGTGGAAGTCGATATGGAATACCAAAAGGCCATGCTTGCACTACACCTTCGCGCCAACCCCAAAGAAATCCTGGTGGGATGGTATGCGACGAGTTCGGAACTTAACACTTTCTCGGCCTTGATTCAAAACCACTACAGCAGTCAAGGTGAAGGTACATTCCCATATCCTGCTGTCCACGTTACAGTCTCGAGCCAGCCGGGCAAAGACGTCGAAGTCAGGACGTACATTTCATCGCCCGTCGGCGTGAGCCCCGAACGGGCAGCCGATTCCGCCGCATTTATCCCCGTCCCCTACGCCATCAACTATAGCGAAGCCGACCGCGCAGGTGTCGATGCCATCCAGAACGCCAAATCCTCGGAAAACGGCACAGGTACTGCACTGACGGATATTGAGAATCTCGAACGATCATTGGAGGACACGTTGGGCATGCTCGACCGGGTGGCCAAATACGTGGAAAACGTGATTGAAGAGGAAGAAGAGCCCTCGACTGCCTTGGGTCAATTTCTCCTGAACACGCTCGCTCTCGCGCCCAAGGTTGACCCGGCCGAGATCGAGAAGGACTTCAACAACCATATCCAGGATGTGCTCACCATTTCATATCTGGCCAACATGGTTCGCACACAGATGGATCTGTCTAATAGACTAGCAACAGCACAATTGACGATTGGTGGAGGAGAGAGCACAGGAGCAGGTGGAAACGAAAAGGAAGGTGGACGGGGTGATCGAAGAGGAAACAGACAAGGAGGAGATAGACAGAATCGACAGAATCGGGGAGACAGCCTGTCAGTGGCCAATTTGTGAGCATGACGTGGCACAGTTTTCAATGCCGGCCTCATCCCGTTTTCCCTCCACGACTTGAAATTTTATTGCATGCATGCTTGGAACGACACCCTCATATGATCCATCTATGAAGTATGAGTCCATGCATTGCTCGGCAGCTTGCTGGCTGGCTTCGGCATGATTTGGGATGCAGTGGGAAAAAGTACGGCGTCCGGGGTGGTGGATAAATAGGTGTATCCAAGCAGTTTCTTAGACCGACCTCGTTGTCGATTGACGAGTGGAAATGTTGCTGGAGGTCGGAGATGTTAGGGTATGGTCGTCCTTGGTCGATGAACAGCTGATGACAGAACGGCACCAATACCCCTGGGTTCGAGGTGTAGGTAGAGGTCGTCACTGAACAAATGCCGCTCGATGATATAATACAATCATGGCGAAATGATCATATGAGTTCCGTTCCTGTTGATGACTCCCCCTTCATTGCGAGAGAAGCATCCCATGGAGTTCCCAAGGCTGCCTCGATATGGTCTGCCAACCACAGATACTCATAAATGTGTTGCATTATGACCATTCCAAACTGTGTTGCCGGGCCGGCGTGAGAATGCAAGGCCCGACGACGAGCGCCCTCTCTGTAGAGATCGATGTTATGTTTGATATTCGATCGTGGGAGAAGACTCGGGTCGGTCGATAGACGGCTCTGCTCATCGACACGCTCAACCAACCTCGCTCCTCGCTTTCTTACTGGCTCTCTCGTCAACGTCCATCTCGTCACCAGCAACACTCTCCCCCCTTCCACCACCAACACCACTCTTCGCATCGTCACCCCCACCACCGACAGCCGAGGCACCATCATCTCTCTCCCGCTTCTTACGCCTACCCCTTCCTCTCCCTTTGCCCTTACCCGTACCCTCCTCACCCACTACCTCACCAAGATTGACCAAATCGCCGACTGCCATCTTGGTGCCCTCTCTTCCTTCATTCGTGTCAAACAATTTCTTTTTATTGTCGATGTCGCGCTTCTTTTTGAACATTTCCTGCACGCGGCCCAGCTTGACGGCGTCGCGGCGCAGCACAAATTCAAAGTCCGACAGCTTCAGTTTCGCCCGTCCGCTGTACGATGCCGCGCTTACTGCGTTGTGGCATGTTTCGATGATGAAGTCCGTAAGGATCTCGTCGAGGACCCGCACTGTTTCAGGGAAGGGCTGGTTGAATGGCTTGGGTTCGGTATTGCTGGTGGCGTTGGAGGTTGTGGCGGTGTTGTTGTTGGTGGCGCCGTTGTTGCTGAGATAGCGCTGTGAAGAGGCACCGATGGGTGCGACGACGTCTGGGTGCGTGGGTGCGCCGTAGGCGAAGAGAAGGGCGGAGAGTTCGGGTCCGAAGTTCAGACTCGCCTTGTGTCGGCCTGCTCGGGCGCGTGGTTCCATTATAGAGATGTGCGGCCAGTTGGAGTGAGAATGAGTGAGCAGTGTCTCAAATTGCAGATCTAGGATGATGGATGGTAGATGAAGGAGAGGATGAGCGGGCCATGGACGAAGCAGCCTGTGACGAGCAATATGACGCGTGGTTGATGGTGAGCAGATGGGTAGACCCTATAATTGTTGAGTCGAATTGATTGACGTATCCATGTCTTGAGAACAACTCTTGGTTCACTTCACTGGACTTCATAGATGACATGGGGCATGAGGGAGGATGTGCCACCGGAGGAGTTCTCGGTAAGGCTGGAATTAAAGTTAGCGAGTCGGAGTCGGGAAATCTTTACTCCACTGACGAATGCCAGTGTTCAACTTCAACTTCAAGTCCAAGCCTGTAGCAAAGAACCCCAGTCCTGTTCTTGCCCCAACAGGCCAATCTGTTCTATTTTCCACATCGATCGCCTTCGCCATCCACGCCTGTCATACTAGTATTGGACAACAATTACAAGACTCCCTTCTTGAGTGCTTCCTTTCTTTCTACAATCACAACGAAAAACCACCAGCGAATCAGTCAACCAAAAAATCAAATCCCGCCCTCATCCAAAATGGTAAGTCATATCAATCAACACCTGGACCATCCCCCATCCCATCACCACCAACTCGCATGAGTTACAAGAAACAAACGATACATATCACATGGCCTGGCTCAAATCCTCCAGCCCAACCTACTAACAACCCATCAAAACACCCCTTAGACCGCAATATTCAACTTCCAATCCCTACTCCTGGTCTTACTCCTCTTAATCTGCACATCCACATACGTGCACTCATTATTCCCAGGACCCATGGACCGGAATAAAGACGGGTGAGTTTCTACTCTATTCTTCTTTTCCGCTTCCCATCCTTAATCCAACCAACAAATCCCATATGTTGCTTCACGATGACTGGAAATTGGAAACTAATTTTTGTTTTGTATTCAGCTTTCTGGGGATCTTTTGGAAATTCGCCAGGATAGGTGAAAGGCTGAGTCCGTATATCAGTATCGCGCTGGTGTTTATGGCGGTGAGTTTCCCAGATCTCCCGAGAAAGGTGGGGAGGACAGTAAGGACGGGAGGAAGAAAAGGGCTCCTGCTCTTCTCTCCCGACTTGTATTCCTCCTCCTCCTCCTCCTCCTCCTGTATAGGACCAGTCCAGCTGACTTTTCATCTTGCGTGGTCCAGTGCAATATGATCGTCGGATAGAGTATTGCGTTCCAGCCATCGTCCTGCCGAGCCGCAGCAGGCATATTCATGCTACCACGGTCTGAACATTTGGTGTTTTGGGGGGTTTTCTCCGCGCTTCTTAGGGTGCGATACGACGGAGTTAGAGGAGCCAGTCAAGTAGCGTTTTTCTGTCGAATGGAATTCTATTTTCTTTTCGTGCTTCCCATTTGTGGTACAGGCATCAGTGTAAACTATCGCTTCCTCTGGTTCTGCAGAAGAACACCGGAAATCAATCACCTGGCTGAGTATGAAGTGGTCTGATGATAGAAGTGGCTCTCATACGATGTCTGATTAACTTCAATCATCGACATCTGGAAAATAGCTGCTCGCCAGTGTGTGCATCAAACATGCAGCATCATCTCTCGCTTTGCAACTACTCTGCCAAGCCTCCTTCAATTCTTCCCGTCTGTTGTGTTCATCTCACCCTGCCTCAATTGTAAATGAAAGGGAAAACCTCATCATCTCTGACCCGCCTCGCTCTGACCCTGCCCCCCGAGACAGTCCCGTCCCCACCCTCGAGCTTCTTCTCCAGAAAAACCAACTCGTCTTTATTCTTGCCCTGCGCAATCACCGCCGCCTTGGGCATGCCCATGAACTCTCGAAATGTCGTTGAGACACGCTGCACACTAAGTTCTCGACTTCCAGGCGTGTCGAAGCTGGAATCTATGTTGAAGCCTTTGTCGATCTCGACAAGCGCTGTGACAGGGACTTCGTCACCAACTTTGCGAATGAGTTGTATATGCGGATCTCCGTACTTTAACCTGTTCTCGCGTGTCTGGTAGAGTAGAAGAGCATTCCCACTCATGAGTTCTTTCTTGGTAGGGCGGTTGCGCTTCCACGGTGGTCTGATGTCGAGGGCTTTGTAGCGATTTTCGAGGCTGCGGAGGTCGAGTGAGTGATCTACGTCGAATGGGTTCCGGGAGACTGGCATGTGGTGTAGTGGGTCAGTGATGAGTGGAGGCACTGCGCGAGAGCTTAATTCATCGTAGTAGTCGCTAGCCTCTCCGTCGTCTTCTGACTCGGATTCGATCACTACGCCACGTGCTCGAAGGGCGTCGACAGCCCGTTGTTCGTCTTCATCAGTCCATAGCGGTTGTGTCTTGGTCGGTTGTGGCTGTGGTTGTGGCTGACGTCGACGAGGAAGAGCTTTGTTGATCTTGCCAGCGACAGCGCCTGGGACAACAACGTCCGGTCCTGGATCCACACTAGGAGAGAGCGTCGAGACCGAACCTGATATTGGGAGCGGCAAAGTAGGAGCCGAGTCTTTTGATTGATCCCGTGGTCTTTTAAGGACATTGATGTTGTTTCTTACATCCGGAGCCTCAAGGGAAAGAGTGTTCGAAATTGAAGTGGACGGAGGTTGTGGGGGTAGCCGATTATATCTCTCCATTCGATCGCCGGATCTTGTGACTGCCAAAGGCAAGTCGTCATCCGAACTGGACGAAGGTGGTGGGAGCATCGGGTAATATCTCTCCACTCGATCGCCGGATCTTGTCACCGCCAGAGGCAAGTCCTCAACGGACGAGTCGTCTTGGGGTCTTGATCGTGTGAAGGCCAGGGGTAGATCGTCATCGGAATCATCTGCTGTTTGCCTCATATTCTCACCCAGTGTCGCTACTGCTCTGGTTTGTAGCTGCGGGACTCGACGATCACCAGGAAGTGCCCTGGCTGGACCCTCGGCAGCAATGTGATCGCTTGTAGTAACGGGGGTTTCAATGAGATTCAAAGGATTTTTCGAAGAGGATTCCTTCTGCAACGCATTTCTTGATGGAACTTTGACAATGAGTCTCAGTTTTGGAGGAGGCCGCTCAACAGGCGGTATTTGCGCCGCCAGTGGCTGAGCGTCCAAGCCCATTGACAGGTCACTGCTCTCTGTCTCACTAACTGCAACATTGGCCTCAGTCGAGTCTTTGCTGACCAGGCGTACTGCCTCATTAATCTTTTGCCACATGTCAATGCTAACTTTTCCGGTCTGAGGACGTGTTGGATTGACCTCAAGGAACAAGATACATTTCTCAACATCCAATGCGCCTCCCTTCGCATGTAAGCACTTCTTATGTGCATTTATGCAAGGCTTGCAGCGGTAACTTAGGCTTTCGGACGTTGCTTTTGTTCCTATTCTCTCCTTTGCCTTCTCAACGATGCCGAGTTGATGAGCTTGGTCTGAAATACCCCGCGGAGCACTTGATGCTGCGGGCTGTATCTTGCTTGGGGGAAAAGGTATCTGATCTCCAGATTTATGTACGCATTTCTTGTGTGCATTTCTGCAGGATTCGCAACTGGAGCTCAGGGTTTCAGACGTGATTTGTGCTTTGCCAGATGTTTCGGCTTGATGAGCTTGGACTAATATGACCGCCGAGTGACTTGGGGATTTCGCGCGGCCGAATAAACCAGCCACTTGATCCTCCACAGTGTTCTTGACAATTGGGTCGTGTCCATGTTGAGCAAGGTGATTTTGCTTGGTCAACTGAACGGGTTGAATATCGGGCTCGAATGACTCGTTCATTATTTCCGGATCTTGTATTTCATCTCTTGTGCCCAAGATCGGTGAGCCCAAAGCTGGAGGAGGCATCTTTTGGAACATTCTCTTCTGAGCATCACGTTGCTTTACCTGAGAAGTAACATCCTTGACGATCTCCTCTAACCTTGATAGCGATGCTCCGGTTGCAAGCTCTGCGGATTGATTCAAAGCCTGTGTTTGGTGGATATGACGATAGTCATCCATTGAACTATCACGAGAGCTATGAAGCGATGAGGAAGCCCGCGATGTCGATGCTGCCACATGTTCCACGACTGGCACCAATGGAGGGATTTGATGTGGACTATTTCCGAAGATCGTATGCAATCCACTTTGCGTCGACGGTATATTGGTCAAAGCAGCAGATCGTAGCCGACTTTCGGCCTCAGCCAGCATATCTGCAGCATACGAAGGCTTGTGCTTTTTGACTGAAATGAACAAATGGTCATCTCGATTAGTGCGCTTGAGAATATTAGCAACAAGTCGCCGAGACGATTCTTCAGACTCAATTTCTCTGCCTGATTTCTTATCAGAATTCATCGCTGCTGCGGTTGTCCTTCCAGTGATTTCAACATCACTGTCGTCACTCACGCTTCCCGGCGCTCGTGAACCATAATCCTGCACCGCTTTCCCATCTATTGTGCTGCATGCGCGGCACTGAGTGGCTAAGCCCAGGATCATTTTCCCACATTGGCTACATTTCTTGACTCTGTTGTCAGTAATGCTTCTTAAAGTGGTGTCACCCACCAAGCGAGAGGACGGGTTTGTCTCTTTTTGCGCTTTTCTAACAGATGTCTTTATGTCAGTTACAGTCGAAACGTTGGAAATGCGCTCAACACTATCGAGTGAATTCGTATCCGACTGGTTCTGGGCTGATGTTCCAGGTACAGCATTCTCAAGACTGTTGATTCTCTCTTTCCGAGGCTGACTTATACGCCCACCACGCTTTGCCATCTGCCGCCCAGCACGAGGATGATGGCCTATAGGTAGTGAAATAGTATCCGTGATTTTCGAGTCGTGGCTTGGAATATCTGCCACGGCAGTAGTGAGAATGGGCGACGGCATTTGTATCGTAGAAGGATCCTGATTGGTTTGGTCGATTTTCTGTACGTCTGTAGGTTTTGACAATCTATCAACTGATGAAGACGACATCATTCTTGGGATAGAAGTTGAGGACGAGACTAGAGCTTGTGGTACTCTCGAGTCCAGCACAGGAGAGACATCTGATTGTCGAGCGTTGAAACGATTGCCAGTGGTCAAAAGCAGGCATGATATGGCAGAGCTGCTGTGAGTGTATGGGCACTCATTCTGGGACAAGTGACAGGATCCCCGGGTTTCAAACCGAGGGCATATGTAATTTTTGAGTGAATTGGTGCGGAATGGAGAGCGAGAATCTTTTGCAGGCTTCCAAGCAAGGATACCAGTGTCTCGATGAGCGTACACGCAATCCTTTTCGTAATTTGTACATGTGCCATTGACCTTCCAGTAGTAACAGGTGATGTGCTTGCGAACGACATGGTGCTCGAAGGTGACGTGTAGCCCAGTGTCCCTATGAGAGTAGAGACAGTCCAAGGACGACTTTTGGCAGCGACCTTCGCGCCATTCTGCACATGTGAATGCCCTTGCTGGATTCCTGCCGTTGGGAGCATAATGTCCAGTGTCAGAGTGAGCAAAGAGACAGTGATCCTCAAAAAGGTTGCATCTGCCCTTTCTCCACCAAGGACAAGTGATTGATTTGTACAATGTGCCCTGCGAGGACTCCAACTTCGTTTGAGGGGCAGGATGATCTTGATCGTGTGTGGGAGGCCGCGAAGGAGGTTTGAGGTCATCCGTCGACGGCAGAATAGTGTTTCTGAGAGATGCAGAAGCGACAGTCGGTCTCTCAGTGATGCTAGCAGATCGAGATACATCTCCACTAGTTGGACCACGGCCTTGGTTCTTGAGGCATTTTCCGCAGACGAACTCCTCAGCGTCAGCACTAGGATATGTCAGCTTTGGTCAAAGCACACGTAGACAAAGATGGATGGATGAATACCCTTTGGGAGGTTTTGGGTTACCGCAGCTATGGTGATATCCTCTCTCACATCTGATACATCGGACGAGAGGTGTGAGGGAGCTGCCCGGCGTGCGGCATTCTCGACAGATCGTTTTGGTCTTCGAATCTGTGGTGGATGAGTTTGAGGCTGTATCTTCAGTTGGGATCTTGGCCCGTTTTAAGGCACCAGCGACCATGTTCTTGTTAGGACTGTTCATGGTTTTGTCAAATTGAAGGGACGATGAAAGTGCGGAGTCCGTCAAGAATAATTTTGGATCTTGCAAAGAAAGTGCGACTGCCTTCAATGGCACTCTTTGTTCATCCGCGACCCCGTCGACATTACAAGTTGCCAGCGAATGACGGTCTTCTGTTCCTAAGGATCTTAGTGCAGGATCAACAGACGAGCTAGTCATGTCGAAGTCATCGTCCGTTAGACGGGGTGCGAATGTTGAAGGTACTCTACTTTGACCCATATTGTTTGATAAGCGAGCTGCATGTTGTGCCTCAAGAATTCGCCAGAACACTGCTGTTGTCACCTCAGCTGTTAGTCTTTCTTGCTCTTGAGACTTTGATCCAGCCTCTTCTCTCTCAAACCCGCCACGGACTGGTGGTGGTGGAGATGGCTCTTGTACACGGTCGAATGTTTGTCGCGGAGGACTTTCTCGCCACACACGTCGAGCTCTATCTCCACGTACGTGTTCTGGTGATCCAGCCGAAGCTTGCTCAGGGCTGGCGACACCGGCATAGTGATTAGGACCTGGCCGCCAGACATCTGAAATGCTAAGTCTTCCCCCGCGGCCAAAATCCTCCCCTGAGGCGTACGGGGAGGGTCTATACACATCATGCTGCCGAGAAGCTGTCGGTCTTTTAGAAGTTGGAGGTGTTATGTCGCGTCTCATGGAACGCGGTTCTGTGGGCGGTGCTCGGGGAAGGTCCGAGGCTGCTGAAACCCGCGCCGTCATATTGCATGGTACCTAGATGATTCTTGATCACCTAACTAGCTCAGCATCCTGTAAGTCATCCGGATGAGAATGGTAGAGATTACTCCTGGATAGACATGTTGTTAGCATTTATGATAAATCTGCAATAAATCCAGAAACACGGCAAGGCGGAGACTTCATCAGGTCTTTTCAGTTTTTGGGTCTTCACTTTGCCCAGGTCAGGCTGATGTCTTGAACTCGAACTTCCCGGCTCGTGAAAGAACCTCAGCCGACAAATACATGAAAAGAATTGCACCAATTCCCAGTAGCTCCCAGAGCAGTCGTCTCACACAGGTCTTGATTGATCTTGGTTTGTGATTGATGTACACCGCTGCCATTGGCTTGAGCTTCCATGTCTCGGAAAGATCAGCCCCATATGAGCGGCCCAAAGAACAATATCTCAATATGGACAGAACCTCCAACGGAGACAACTCCATTGAAGAGGAGAAATCTGATTCTTGCCTGGTTCTGCCCTCACAAGACGATATATGAAAGACAACCGAGCGGGTGCTACTGACAATGATGTTCTTCGATTCCACGGGAAAATGCCTGCGTCCTCGTTTCTCTTAGAGTATGGGAAGTCGCACCCAAGAAGCAGACCATGACCAGCGGGGTATGATCAATCTGACCTTTTACCAAGTGCTCATCCTTTGAAGTAGATTCCTTGCCCCACACAGCATGGTGGCATTCGTCGAGATACAGTAGCATGGGCAATTAAGAACGTACCGCAGCAGAATTGACCGTGCATAATCTTGTCCTGGTCTTCAACGCATCACCCCATGCTGCCCCCCATGATGCACCAAATCAAGCAACCTATGCTTTTGTTCGCCTGTGGTTGGCTTGAGATGTCTGCCACTCTGCTGATTTGTGCAGTCTTGTATACGCGTTTTGGTGAACCCTGTCGAACACGTCGGAAATGTACAAGAACACCCAGTGGTACCCAAAGCGCGCGTGGCTTCAAACAATTGATATTCAATTGAATCCTGCCACTGGAAAATTTAATATATTTGAGTCAAGATAGACGTGAGCAGGCAGTGGCTTGCAATCGTGTTTGGTAATCAAGGAACAATCTAATGGTGGACATCTCGTACACGAGGTAGTTGATACTTTGACTCGGAGTGGAGGTTGATAATCGCTGGCACGGCGGGGCGGCGCTCGTGCTGAGGTTGGTGGGTGACCACTGGTGACACTGGCCCCCTCCCAGGCTTCGGGCATCATTGGTGCCCGGGACTCGGGGGCCAAGACTCTGCATGTTGGCGGTCCAACCACTGGAAGTGGGAGTGTCAATCCAATCACAATCACAGTCACACTCGTGCCTCTCCAATTTTAATACAAATTCGTCAGTTAATGTGTGCTACTCTGTATAAATCTATGTTCCGTGTTATGTTATATCATACAAAGGAGGAACAGCTTATGTGCTCTCAGATATCGGAGCTGAGTCCATGCCTTACTAATCATCACAAATATTAATACATGTTCCTAGTCCCCCGTGGCCTGTCCATGGTTATGGGGAGACTCGGTCGTAGGGAGACCAGAGGGAATTCCTTTCGCATCAAAATCTGCCTCAATGCGAGACGCGAGCTCTGACCCTGGATTGTGATCGAGGAGAAACCTCCACTGTGACATTTGAGGATCGACTCCCCTCACTTTCATCATCTGCCTGATATTCTCGGCCGCGGTTTGCTGCCCATGTCTCGTGAATGCAGAAACAAGCAAAACCCAGGTCAGTTCCGTAGGTTCGCACAAATTCAATCGTTCCATCTCTTCCAGCGTTTCCACCGCGTTGATCAAGGTCTCCGGGTTGCGACCCCAATAGGTGATGAGACCATTGTATAGGACATCATGAGCAGCCACAGCGCACATTTCCGGATCCCCCATGTTGACCAAGTGGACGAATTGAAGCCAGAGATGTGACACTCGGTGGTCTGAATGCTGTACTAGGATATAAGTCCAAAGCGTGAAAGCCAATTGGATTCCATCTGGGATTGTTGTCGTCAGCCTTGTCTCGCTTGGAGGTAAGGGATCAACAATAGCCAGCTTAACCAACGGACCTCGGTCGTAAACTCGGTCATAAACTGCCAATATGTGCGCCAATGACTCTGTCATTGGAAGTTTTCGTTCGAAGTAACAGACATATCTGACGATATTCATGGTATAGGAGACGAGAAACGGATCCTTCACAAGGTCGGGACTCCGGTGGATACTGGACATGATCCGATTGAGGCCTTCGAGATCACCGCGCTGGAAACAGCTTCGTAAAAGTACCAGATGTCTTCTAGCATCCACCGTGATGTGATTGCCTTCCATAAATCGGAAAACTTCCCACGCGACATCTGGCAGGCCCAAGGCGACCGCGCGCTCTAGAACGACATTGTGCAAAGCATCGTCTAGTGGAATACCAGTCGCCACCAACGCGGGCAGAATCTGGAAATTCAGCCCAGTGGATGAGCTCTCGACAGTGTCAATCTTGAGTAAATTGTAAAATCGGCGATGCAAGTCTGGCGTGGCTGCTTTCAACTCCTCGGGTGACAGGCGTGCGAGAATATCCAAGGCCTGCTTGGGCTGCTGATGATATGTATAATGGTCCATCATTGCGAGGCGTAGCACCAAAGGCACTGGATCGTAACGAGCAAAGACCGAGTCAATAATGTCTTGACAGGTATGGAGGTTGCTATGATTCAACAGGGCGACAAGGACATTACTTGGCATTTTATTTGGCCAGCGCCCGATCTCAGCAGCTGATTCAATCTCTTGGTCGAACATTCGCCGAACAGTTGGCTCCGTTTCGATAGTCGTCTTGTAGACTTTGCGGAGGTAGAAAAGGCAATCACATCGCATGTGCAAGCGAAACGTTGTGAGATCTCGCATTAGCAACATGACATCTAAGGCGGATTTGGCCGAGTGTGCTAGTGCACCAATGACCAGAGGGACAAGATGCCTGGTCAAGTAGCGAGCAGGAATGAGGGATGTGTTCCCGGACAAAGTCTGCGACAGCCTCAACAGGCTTGCTGCCTCTGATTGGAAGACAATAAACCTGCTTCGTGCTTGTCCAAAATCACCATCTTCTGGAAAGGCCAATTTACCAAATTGATAGTCCCAGTAGAGCTTTCTGGATCGTCGATACACAGAGTGCGATTGTTGAGCAGTGATCGATTGTCGAGCAGTGATGCGATGGCGCCTGGGCATAGAATCAACTTGGCGTATGCGTGGAATGAAACGCTGTGATGGCGAGTCGGAGAAGAATACAGTAAATGTTGAGTTAGCTTGCGAACGCTGGACTCGGAACCCAAATCCAGTTCGGGTCCTACATCGATCTCGCTCCTGTTCTTTAACAATAGGATTGCTTACGACCATGTGTATCTCAGGTTCCGAGTCATGTTTCCTGAGGCGGATATTCCAAGCTCTGTTTCTGTGCTCTTGACGAGTTCTGACCGCGCTGACTGATCGTGTTGACGGACCGTTGGTTTTCATTCTTGAATGACGACGGCCATTCCTGGCTTGGTCGCTAGTCCCAGAGAAAGTTCTCGAAGAGTAAGCATTTGGATCGAGGAGGGTTTGCGAATCGATGGGGAGATCATCGCTTGAGCGAGGCTGTTGAGACGAGAAAAACCGTGATGATAATTGAACGCATGTTGAACGAGAAGCAGTAACAAGGACAGGAAGTCGTCGAGTCGACCAATTGCTATGTTGGAGGCATGATAGAAATGTGCCAATCGACCTGATGGACATTCAGAAGTCCATGCATTTGGCTTCAGTCGAAAGGATACGTGTTTAGGTGGTGGTGTTGGTGATGGAGACGTGGTATTGGAAGTGCAGGCGTTCTGTACCTGTCGTGTCTGCGGTCCCTGTGCTGTCGCGAAGAAGTTGAAAATCGTGAAAATTGTAACCGGCCCGAAGTTAAGCCGACCCTCTCATAGAGCGCGCCCGTCCAACTCGAACTGCAGATCGACTATGTACCAGCATTCTAACTCCCCAGGCGAGCAGAAGAATTAATTCTACCAGGACTGTTCTAAGTCCTTTGCCCTTCGATACTTGGGAGACTGTCTTTGCCAATTTCCAGATCCAGCTGTCCTCCATTAGCCTTCCCCAGTCATGTCGGCCACTCACACGAGTCTGGACGCAGCCTCAGTCGATCGCAAAGCCCGCCTAGCCAAACTTGCCTCTCTCAAACGCAAACAACCCACCAACGAAGAAGCTGTGCAAGAAGAACAAGAAGGCCAGAATTATCAACCTTCCAAAACCGACGCTTATCTGTCTGGCCGGAATTACGATGTGGCTACCAAAGGCGCGAAACTTGGGTTTGAAACCAACCCATCCGCTGGTGCTGAGACTCTAGAGGCCCAGGCAGAGCGCATAGCCACTGCTACTGCCGAACAAGCAGCCAAGGATGAAGCCGAAGCGGAGAAGGGTATTGATCTGTTCAAGCTCCAGCCGAAGAAACCCAACTGGGACTTGAAACGAGATCTCGCAGAAAAGATGAAGATTGTGGATGTTCGAACGCAAAATGCCATTGCTCGATTAGTGAGGGAAAGGATAGAGAACGCAAAGAAGGAAGCCTTGAGTAAGGGGAGCACCTCAGACGGACAGCACGGCGAAGAGGTCGGCATTGAAGGCAGCACCCTTGTCGAGAGTATTCATTTGCGTGAACAGGAAGAGCAAAGAGAAGCAGAACTGGAAGAAGAGGACCCTGATGTGTCTTGAAGTATTACCCTGAATCCAAGACGTCTCAAAATCATCGGGAAAATAACCTGAACACCACACACCAGATATGCCTGCCCTCAGAGAAGAATCTTGAGAAGATCCTGGCCCGGGGTCTGGGAATTTCACGACGCTCTGAGCTTTTCTGTGGAACACGGATTGCCATCGAGCATGACCACGTCTAGCAGCCATCAAAATGGACGATGTGGTTACCAGACTTGCCATATTCTTCACGGTCGGGTTAGCATAGCACGGCACTGATAATTGGCAGAAATACTTTGCCATTCGGACCTCGAATGGGCATCCCTCCACGGTACCCTACAGGATCCGGAGTCTTCTCGCCAATGAGGAAACCCGTCGGTTCATGGACATGGGACCGATGGGAGCAATTCCGATTTATGTGTTAGGCGCAGCATATGGTGAAGGATGCCAAGCATCTCAAGGTTGGCAGGAGAATCACGCGATGCAAAATCCAATGTGATGGTGTGTGTCTCGCTCTTGGGCGAACAAGGCAGACTACTTCCGAATCGGCAAGGTTGCGCAGATCAAGCGTTCATGCTTTTGAGTGCGGAGTGAGTTGGACCAACAAGCCCGGGGACTTCAGTAGTCAATAGAATTCAAAATTGGGTATCAACCATGAATGAAACACCCAGTGCTTGATTGGCAGCAGGGAATGCCGACCCAATCACTTAACCTCCCAATACCATGCAACCAACGTACAATACTGCATGTAGTCTGCAGTGCCCAACCCGACTCATAATCCTCATTACTGATAGCAAGATCATACACAATAATACACCCCATCCCCCTCAAATATCACATGTTCATAGCCTGAGTTAACGCAAGCCGTTTGCTATACGGACTCAGGCTGCGTTCCTTCCTCTGCTCTCTTGCTCGGCCAGTCGAATTCCCATTACCATAGCGTTCACGCAAAGCCGGACTCTCGCGACGAGCGTGTCGTCTCCGCTCAAACGCCACATCTCCGTTCCCGTTCCCGCCATCGTCATCATCGTAGCCTTGCCCCGAGTCCATGGACCGCCTGTGCTTCGTGATTTCCCCTATATCCATGCTTGGGGTATGCGTCCTGCTGCGATGGCTGCCTCGGCGTGTGGAACTGGGCCGCCCACGTCGGTCGATCGGGCTTATGGTTCTGTGGCGCCGGCTTTTACGGTGAGAGCCGTGAGGCCTTCGTCTCGGCGATGGCGAGCGGGAGTGAGACGTCGACGTCGACATGGATCGGTGTTTGCGCTTGCCGTTGGCCAGCGACGGTGGTGTCTGGAGGCGGTCGCGGCTCACATTCTCGCTCGTGTAGAAGTGGCTGTCTCTCGTGCGGTCGTGGCTGTCGCCAGGGGTTCTCGAACGGGATTTGTTGGTCGAAACGGTTGAGACGGAGTCGGATGAGACCGACCGTGATAGTGATCTCTGTCTTGGGCTTCTGCTTCGGCCACGGCGATTCTCGATATCTGGCGCTGGACCGCCGTTACGATTGGCTTCTGCTTCGGCTAGTTGTTTGTCGGCGATACCTTTGCTGGTATAGGGTCAGTTGGAGTGGTGGGGTGGGTGTTTCTCTCCATATATGCTTACCTGATCAGTAAATCATTGGGACGGTCGTTAGTAAGTTTGGGTATCAGTTTCGGATTGAGTAGCTGCTGGGTTCTTGAAGGCCGAGAAATATATGGTCGTTCCTGAGTGGAAGCTTTGCATTCATATGAATAGTGGCGTGCATTAAGTCAGCATAATTTTTACCGGGAGCCAGGTAAAGGCAGCATATCTTTTTTCAAGCATTTCTGGCAAACAGTAGAAGCGCTGGCTTTTTGAGGCCCTAGGCCAGGTAAGGTTCGGTAGCGATTCATTGCAACTCTGTACCGAGACAAAGAATCGAAAAAAACACCCCCGGCCTCAGGCCAGGCACTATTCGATGACCGAAGAGTGAGAGCAGCTGATGGTGTTGAAGAACAGACAATCACAGCCCGTTTGAAGAGATTTGTAGGGTAGTGATAAGTCGAAAATGCGCAGACTGTCGGGCCTGTTCCCGGGTCAATCAGCTTGATATCAGGTATTGACAAATCTATTGCTCTGGCCCAAGAATGAAAAGCAATATTGGAGTCTTGAAGGAATGAGTCGAATTAAAGTGGAACTTTAAGCAGGCAGAAAGAAACAGGATGGATGTCTGCAAAGAACGTTAGGGTCGAAGTATGAATAATGCCAGAATGTGAATGGCAGCTGCCCATCCACGAAATGCCTAAAGTTCGAGTCGTCGTAAGAATACTACGGGTAGAAGCGGCAGTCAAAGGCCGCCTTTGTAGCTGAGGAATGCCCTATACGAAGCAAGTTCATGCCTAGAACACTCCTGTTAGGGACGCCTAGAACTATTTTAAGTCCTAGTCCTTGGCATCACGTGAAATACCAGACCTTGCTTTGCAAAGCCATCGGACAGAGATCCCCATCATTCTGACATCTTTCACGCACGTTATTCCAGGAGTAAAAGTGCAATCCATTGCCTTGCTTGAGTAGATGTGCAGCGACCCAAGGCATTGAAACTGTTCCCGCCAGAATAGTTCAATTTTCCAATTTTCGACCCACTGAATCAACCATCTCTAAGCCCTGAGTATCGAAGCGTGTTGGGGCTCGGGAGAACTTGGTTCCTGATGAAATCTTTGAAGCACTTGCATCCCGGTGATTATGACAGAGCAGACAATGCTTCTAAGCAGCCTGTTCTGATGCACCTATGAAGCGGTTGAAACTGAAGATGTTTTCTCGATCCGTCGGCCAAGTTGCTGGACAATCAAGTCTTCTTGGCTTGAATTCGTGGATGATCGGTGCACGGGTCGATCGTGGCTCGCCGCTGATGAGGACGGAGTTGCTCGCATATATGTCGTCTTTGATAACAGAATTCTGAGGCAGCTTCTTACTTACTTGACGTGGGTTTGTGCTTGCTGACTTCTGAATGCTGGATTGACAGCCTGGTCGGCCATGAAAGTCCTAGAGTCGGAAAGACAACCCAATTCTATTTCAAGGTGGGTGGAAGTGATCTTGTTTCTTGTGTATCAACTCAGAACGCACTTAGTAGGCACCGGCAGTGTTAGCAGCTTGGCCCTAAAGCTATCTCGCGCTTCTGGTCTGCAGGTAACCTTAACCTCTTCCAACGATCAGAAACGGGGAAAGATGAAGACGCTTTTGAGTGGTCCGGAAATTCAATCGGTCAGTTATAATAAGTGTCCCGACTGGCACGAAGAAGTGCTTGAATTGACTCAGGGTGATGGTCGACCTCGTCATTGAGAACGGCGGATCTTCGCCTGTTGTCAGAGCATGAAATCTACAAGCAGTGGAGGTATGGCGAACCAAGCAGGCTACCTTGGTTGAAATGATCTAGACCACTTGCAAGAACTTATCCAACCATCATCAACAGAAAATTCATACAAGGTAGGTCATCAGGTTTACAAATTCACCTTCAAACTTTCATACTCCCATTCCAACGCAGGAGAATCAATTGCGAATCGGTCTACGATCTAGGCAACCTGGCTGTTGTTCTGGAGTACACAAAAGTAAATCTGGGAAGACATCGTCGATACGTTCTACCCATTCGAGCAGGCTGAAGAAGCTTTGCAGTCTTTGTGGGATGGAAAAGTGGTAGGAAAGCTAGTACTGTCTCAATCTACTAACAGTGGCTGTCAGTACTGTACTACCACTCAAACGGTACCTTCTCCATCGCAGAGCAGACAAGGAGAAGATGACCATTATGCTGGTCCCCCTTGATTGCAGCCTCGGTTTAATCGGCGCGCGTGTTCACAGCGTCGCAATATAAGACCCCGCCAACAGCCACACTCCACGTTTTGATTTTTGGTCTGTATACAACCTAGGGCATAGTCTCGAATATCCGTAGTTGTCGTTGCATCTGTTCAAGTGTGTGTGCCCACAGGTCTACCAAGGGTCAAGGACGATCTGTTACAAATATAGGTCACGTGTGACTATGGCAGCGGAATCGCAAATACTTTGCTCCGATATGTCTTGGCATTTGGAACCTCATGTACGGTTTTTGGATCCCCAGATTCACGTTTCTCGTTCTCCAGCCTTAACGTTGCCCCTCGTGTCCTTCCATGTCTGTCATTGCCCTTGATCAAGGCGCAATGGACTAGGACAAATCTATCGTCAATCTCTCAGCCAACTTCAGTTTTCAAGCTGGCTGCGTAACCAAGAATCTACAGCCCTCATACCACAGTCTTTGGCCTCCTCACTCTCAATCGCCCATTTTGCCTTGTCCCTGCAATCTTCCACAGTCCAACACACAAGAGCCTATCTATCAGTCGAATCCATGGAGGCCTTTAGGTTGTTCTGCGCAGGCTCAGTTGATGGGCAAAATCTTGTGTGAAGACGCAAAACGGGACTTCGAAGCGTTACTTTTCGCTCGTGTAATCCACATTCATTTTCAATCCTCAGCTTGGTAGCCTTACTTCGTGCTGTTGGATACGACGTGACGAATCTCCTTGGGCATCATGGCGTCTTCTCAGGTTGGCTCTGTTCCGGCAAAATTGTCATTTGCAAAGGTATGTCTCTCCTCTTTCTACCACTGATCCAAATCTACCCTCAATCTAACACATCAAAAGGTTGCAGCCATGCGTGCACCCACTTCACCAGCATCAAATCCTAATCCTAACTCTACCGAGGAGAAAAATATCCGCAACAACGGGAACAACAATATCACCAATCCACGGAAGATTCCACAGGCAAACCAGGCACAGGCAGCCCCACCAGCCAGTATAAGGAGAACAAACGAACCAGTCTTTGGCAGGATGGATGTGCAAACACAATCCGACTATGTCGCAGCTGCAATTGAGGGGCTCTCTTTGGTCAAAGATGCCGCGACAGCTGCAGGTGACCTTCACAGTGGAGAGAGTGGTGAATCTTTGGAAGATGACCAGTCACATTTATCAAACTCTTCCACAAAACATCAGAATTTTGACACAAAAAGCATGGCATCCGTCACGACCTTTGCCATGGACGAAAAAGAGAGTATTCGTCCTGATGACAGTGCAAGTGTCAGAGCTGTAGATGACGATGAAGCATCGATTCCTCCGACTCGAGAATTGGCCTTCCATCGTGACCTTGATCACCCGGCAATGGCCTCTCGTCAAGGTCTACATCCCGGCTCATCTGGTGTTACAATCGCTCCACGCCGTTATCACACATTGACCTCGACCAATACTCCAAGATTTGGGGATTTGCCTGTGAGCCCTATCGCGCAGACAGGTATTTCCGATGAGGAATCTACCACTGGTCATCAAAATCCTGCCATCGACGAAGCTCATGAGCGCGCTGCGCAACTTCCCGTAGCACCTGACGAGAAGCTACTGGATGCATTAGCAACGCCAAAAGACCGTCTACCTCTTTTGCAACTGGAAGAAAAACTACTCGCCTTTATCGCACATCCGCGATCCGAGTTCATCGATCTTCCGCCTCAAAATGCATTTGCAAGACTTCTTGCGCACAAGTTGGCTGACTATTACATGCTCGCTCATCATATCAACGAGGATGGCACATCAATTCGTCTTTTCAAGCCGACGTTGATTACTATGCCAACCCCATTACACGTGCTTGCTTCGTCAATCCCTCTGGGACCCACTCAACCACCAGCTGCCATCACCATTAAAGTCCTGCGTAGAGCTGGACTCGATGCGCGCCAGCAGTCAATTGGAGGAAGCACTGCAGCCAGTTCATCGGCTCCGTCAAAAGCCACCTCTGATGCTGGACAAGAAACCAACAGTGAAGAGGGCATTACTTCGCCCTTGGAATCTACACCAGGGAAAGATAAATCAAAATTAACCCGAGAAGAACGTGAAGCTCAGTATAAGGCAGCAAGAGAACGAATTTTCGGTGATTTTCAAGAACCGATTCCCAGTGAGAATGTCTCTACTGGAGAGCACTCGGCCAGTCTGTCGCGTTCAAGTTCATCAAGTGGCAAACGCAAGACTCGAAAATCTAAGACTCCAAAAGATGACAGCTTTGAAGCTCGCTCTGCCTTCATACCCAGCTACACCCCGATGACCATGCAGAACATGCACCAACAATATCAGCCCCAGTACTCAGAGCAGACCTACCAAGGATCTTATCAGCCGTCTGATCCATATGGAGCAAGCATGAACTATGGCACCACTCCTACACAGTCATTTCCGGGCTACGATGCCAATATGTCGTTCAATGCTCCTAATCCTTATGCGACTCCTCATGGTAACAATCAGTTCAGCCCGGCAGAGTCTTGGGGTTCACTGCAACCCGCGGCGTCCACCAACTATTTCAATTACTCACAGCCTCAAAACAGCTATCAGCAGAACATCTCACCCATGGGAGCACAGGTCAACAACCAATACATGCAACAGCCTCATTTGGGTTTGCAACAAAATCAACCATGGTTGAATAATCAATATCAGAATCCCTATCCCCAACAGCCAGTATCTGGGAATACCAATTCTGCTGGATGGTCGGGATATCAAACCAATTCAAACGTGAATAGCTCTCAACCCTATGCATACGGAAATTTGCCAGGCCAGAATTTCAGTGGGAACCCCCAATACAATCCACAACACCCAGTGCCAGGTAGTTATTCTAGATCCTTGTTCAACCCACAGACCAGATCATTCGTGCCCAACAATGCCCCGAGTCGCAACGGAGGTCGAAATAGTCGAAAGAAATTGTCACCAGCGTCAAGTCAGAATCGAGTCACTGGTGCATCCAAGCCATTTGGCTCTGAAACACCTCTGAGCAATTCCCCTTATCCAGGACCACGCGGCTTCGATAAGGGAATGAGCCATTCATCCTCCCCTCAGCCCAAGGAAGATTCTCTACAGCAGAAGTACGGCGCTCCCGCCCATCTTCCAAAAAAGCCTCCACCATCTCAGGTCTTTCCTTCATACGATATGGAAAGTATTATGAACACTAACAGCGCTTCTGGTACGAATCCGACGGCTGCCAATGGAGGAGGAGCTGCATCAAGTGGCGGCAACGCTACTGGCACATCATCCGCATAGTCTCGTGGTATTCTTTGGCCCTTCGTTATCATATCGCAGCATTATCAAATCGGTCGATCATTCACGGAGAAAAAAGTTAGTACTGGGCAGGAGAGCCAGGCGTTTTTGGATATTGATCACGGGGGATAGGAATTTGCAAACCTGACTACATCAGTCAAATACGGACCCAAGAATACGATGCGGGTCTTGAATCAGCGTCTTACAGCCAATCGATGAACCCATGCATTTGCGTCGCACTGGACCTGTTTCGCATAATATGGAAAAGCATGAAATCGCATGGAATGGGCCTAGACACACACACTCCCGTACCTGACTACCGCTGAAGCTTTGATTCAAAATCGGAACAAGCAGAGGAGAGTCTTTTCTGTATGGGCGTTGGTCTGGCTTGTCAATATCTATGTACTGTAAGAACACGTCCAACGAGGACATGCAGGTCAAGCCAACAAACCAGCATCGCGTCCGAGCGACGAAGAATTGAGCTTTGGACTTTGACCGACATGGCAATGCCCTGTGCTAGCTACTGTACCTAGGCAGCTGAGTTACCTAGTTAGATAGGCAAGTAGCTTCAATCCGTTCTTTTTTGAAGAAAAGTAAAAACATCCATCCGTCTTACCCTAAAATCCCACATGGCCCCCTTTTTCTCTCGTCTTCTTATCCCATGTGTCAACCCTCTTCGTGGTCGTGTGGGGACGTATGTCTCTATGTACGTGCATGTGGTATAGCGTAATATAGATGTAGAATCAGGGAAAGTTATCACCAGCCCCTGCGAGGAGACGAATACGGCACCTAGTACTAACGAGGCGCCGCTCCAGACCTAAGATGGAGGGGAAATCATGGTCGATTTGCATGCTCAAGGTATTGGGCACGTAGGTAGATTGGTAGGTACATTTCTATAAGCTGTATGCTGCATGCTGTGAGCTGTGACAGTTATATACCGGTTCTGTCTCAATTTCGGGATCTATCCAACCCTTTCCCTCGGGCATCTTTATTCGTTTGTTTCTTCGTCCATGCATCGCCTGCCTAAGCCATCAACCACTGCTTCCTCATACGTAGTTACTTGCCAAGGGCATCTGCGCGTGTGGGACATTCATGTTCAAGGCCAGGCTCTGCTGGACAGGGCTCAGGTCGCGCAACTCGACGCTCTCGGGCTGGCCGTGCCGCCTGTGACTCGCGTGCATGTCGTTACTTCCATCATTATCCTCAGCATCATTGTTGCGGTCGTCAATGTCGTCAATATCATTCATCAGCCCCGTCGCCTCCCCGGTTTCTCGCACTACTGCCGTGTCCGCATGCTTAGTCTGCCTGTGCGCTGCATGACGAGATCCTCGTCTGCCGATGTTGATGTTTCCATCGTCCTCTCCATCTCCACCCCTTCCGTTGCGGTCCTGTTCGTCTTTGTCCCTTGCACTGGCGACCCAGATGGCTCCGGCGAGGATGAGCACGCTGCCGATCCAGCTCATCATGCCAGGGCTGACGCCGAAGACGAATTTGTCGCCGGCCAGCGCGAAAAGCATCTGTGTGTACACCATGCTCGTAGCGCGGGTACCGCTGCTGCTTGTCTTGGGACTATTGGGTGGAGGAGGGGGAGGAGGGGTCTCAAGATCGTGGCTCCATCGCCTTTCAGATGCGTCATTGCTTTCCACATCCCTGGGCTTATGTCCTGACTGACGCCTTTGGTGAGGTCTCGTGTTGAAGCCGTATTTGGCATGGCTTTCCGCCGTGGGCCCACCGTATGCCAGGCCGGCAGTCAGCAGGAACTGCATGACAAAGCCACAGACGCCCAGGCTCAAGAGTAGACCCCATTCGGTAAGGTTCGCAGGGAAGCGGAAATTGACGTCCGGGAAGATGAGGAGGGCGGCTAGTGAGACGATGGTGCACCACGCGGAGAAATAGTTGATGGAGATGAATGCGTGGGCGCGTGTGCCGATCGCGCGGATCAGGGTAAGTGCTCCGGTTGCGCCAAAGACGCCGAGCATGGCGATTCCGATGGCGAGGAGGTGCTGATCTGTGGTTGGGTCTTGTGGTCCGGCGGCGTGGGATGGGCTCGTGGAGTTTGATGATGCGGAGGTATTGCTATTGCTATTGTGGGTGGGAGATGGGACGGAATCGGGATTGCTGGTTGGTGAGGAGATCAAAGATGCCGGCTGTGCAATGAAGAGCACACCAACGAGACTGACGAAACCTGCGATCTGTTGCTGTTTACTGAATGTCTGGCCCGGGATGATGAAGCTGCAGATGTAGCAGGACAGGATGGGTGCCAAAAACGTCAGGACAGTGGCCTCGCTAAGCGGTAGGTACAGTAGACTGAAGTATAGACCGAAGACGCCGAAGAAACCAAACAGACCTCTGAGAACGAGCAGCCAGCGGGCATCTGGCGGGCCCAGCGGGAAGTGAGGCACGGCTTTGGTGTAGATTCCATAGGTGGTGCAGAGCAGAGTGGTGATGGACTGACGAGTGAAGATGATCTGGAAGGGATGCATAGCAGCGCCGTGAGGTCCTGGAGTTTCAAGCAATCGAGTGCTGACGTTCATACCGGCACCGAAGACTTGAGAGGCCAGGACCAAGATTGCGCCATAGTTCGTAACATAGAATGAGTGGAAAGCAGCCGCGATGCGGGAGCGAGGAGGTGATGCGGTTTTCGCATCGTGTGGTAGGATGGAACGTATGATGGGATGCTGAGTTTGCAGTTCATTGGAATGGAAAGATAGTTCGGAGAGATCGGAATATGTACTATCGAGCGATGGTCGAGAGGGGCGGAACGAAGGCACGTCTAGATAAGATGGACGGCTTTCGATGGGCAGCGATGGTGTATTTATTGTTCTCGACGATGATGGCGATGCTAGATTTGTATCATGGCGTGGGATGGATATGTCAACATCTGCCTGATGGAGAGAATTTGTATCCATGGACATGGTCTATTGGGCCATTCCAAGCTCGTGGGATCTTGGACTGCAACCTGGCTTGGTTGGATGGGTTGGAAAGTTAATATGTCTAAGCGAATATGTAAAATATTCATGTGTCGAGAGTGGGAATGACCGTGATGTTGGTATATAGTTAACAAAATGAAGGGAATGAAGCCCAAAGTTTCCTCATCAGAATACGTCGAGAATGAAAAATGGTAAAATAGCACTGGCAAGGCAGCCTGACAACCGTCAGGAAATAGAAGGGTGAAGTTGCAGTGAGAGAATTTGAGGGTTCTGCATGTGAGTCTGACGATGAGTTGATGATGCCTGGCATGCTTGGTACTATTCGGCAACCGGCCTGGTCGGCACATCGTAGACAAATCCAACAAGGAACACCAATCATGCCTTAGCGATATCGACTATCCACCCGCCCTCCGACCGAGTTCAAGTTGTGGCTGGGCGACCTGGATGATCAACACGGCTTGATTTGTCCGGCTAGTGCAACCGCAATACGGATGCATGGGGCATTTCCCCAGAACTTGAATGGATAATGGTTCGACAAGTGCACGAAAGTGATCAATATTCCTCTTCAAGTTCTCTGTCTACTGGTTGCTACGAAGCTGCTTCTGCCTCTCCTCTCCGTAGCGCCAACAAAGCTCTAACATCAGTCACGTACTGCAGCGCCTCTAACATGGGTATCAAATGAAGCAAATCGTTATCTGTTGGATCATTGATCCATCCTTCAATCGGGATCGCATTGTCTAATAAGTCATGTCAGCATTCGACAGATCCCTGGATCGATTGGAGGCCAACTCACCTTCATGGAAAATATAGCTGACGGGACTGTTGTCCAGAATAATCACCTTGCTCAGATCAGGCTCAATGCTGCTCAAATCCTTGATATAGGCTCCATTGCGGAATGTACAGTGCTGTCGGTAGTACCTGCCCGCGAAATACTTCCTTTCTACCTCCAGCCAGTCAATGACGGGATCGGCATATTCTTGCACCGAGGCAGTAAATATCACCAGTTTGAACCATTTGGACACCTTTCGGAGGAACTCGTCGCAATGTGGTCGTTTGTGCACATAATACAGAATGGGATGCTGGGGTCCTATCACTGGGGTAGCTTGACCTGGCTGTGGAGCGGAGAGGGCCACGGGGGTATTGAGTTTGACCTCGACCATATGACCCGAAGACATGCGGCCGCCTTTGGCCAAAGAATGTATCAGAGTCTCGTCAAGATCAAGAACCAACGTCTTCTGTTGTGGAGGCGAGCCTCGTCCGGGAGAACGGGGGATGAGATTGGAATACGATGGTTGTCGTCTAGGGATCAATGGGCGTGGAGGCTGAGGTGCATGAGGATACCTGGTGATACGCAATGATGGAGAAGGAGACCGAGGAGACTTGATATTGTCCACAGTGAGGGGGGTGCTATCACCGAGTGGACTTCCGGCCTTTTTCTGCTTGCGACGCTTGACGGCGTCCTGTTCCTTGATTCTGATGGACGATCTCCGAGTTTCCGACTCCTGGCGAACAGCTTTGTCTTGTTTGGTCTTGGGTCTCGCCTGATTCTGATCCGCCTTGCGTGCATCGTTGTCGGAATCGGAACCCAAGGTGGTCAGAGAGTCGCTGGAATAAGAGTGTTGCAATTTTGCATCAAGCAGAGGGCGATTGGAGAGCTTTTCGGTAGCGGCTGACAGACCAATCGCTTTGGTGGCACCACTCAAGGACGAACGATCTCGGCGTGGAAGACGTGGAACAATTGAAAACTTGCCCTCTTGAGTTCTGAAACATCGAGCAACGTAGACGACGGGAGCCCCAATGGCGGCGAGGATTGCAGTAATGACATCGGCCAACCTCTTCACATAACGCCTCCAGCCATTATCCCACTCAGAGACGGGGAGTCGCTCATCCAGGCCAAGCAGAGGGGACTTCTCATCTTCTTGATCGTGCTCATCCTTGAGGGATGGTTCGTCTCCTGGTGATGTGGGGTCTTGATTAAAGAGAGAGAAGGTGGAATCGAACTCTTTTTTCAGCTGGGGGATATGCTCATCGGTGTAGGTTCTCCCTCTTGGAGCTTCTTCAGAATAATCCTTTTTCAAGAGATTACCTTGAGAATGCGAACGTGGCCGAGATGGTTGAGGTTGGCCGATGACCCGGGATGAGATGAGGTTGAGGGAGTTCATTCTCGTGCGCGGTAGTCGCGCACACCTGGTCGAGGACTGGGGTGAAGTCAATTGACCAAATATGTCGACAAGGAGTCTTTGAAGTATTCGAGGGGCAGTTGACTGCGATTGAGGGACTGCAGGCGGGCAGGATGGGAATCGGGTTATGATGGCATTTCGGAAATCAACGAGAGTGGGGAAGATGGAAGCGGCAGTGGAAGGGGATCGAACTAATGAGGGAAGCAACTGAGGGCAAGTTTTACATGCTGTTGGAGAATCTATTACTGGTACAGTTTGAAGTACAGCGAGTCTGAATAGCGGGCAGGATAAAAAGAAATGAGAATGAAGATGTTGAAGATGAGGTGGAAAGCTGAGGTGCAGTTGCAGTTGTAGTGACAGACAAGGAACAAGGAACAAGAGCAAAAGTGGATGGGGAAGACTGCACTGGCAGTGGAAAGAATTGGTGGCTGGGGTCGCCCTCAGAATCACTCCAAGGCGACTGTCATCAAGCGGGCTGAGACGTGGGTGAGAAATGGCAGTGGTCTCAGCCTAAAGCCGAGGATCTGACCCCTGGGATGCTGGTTCTTCTAGTTAAACCTCAGGAAGAGGCACACCCAAGTCACCCCACTAACTACCGCCTAGTTCCGGTACATGTAGGTAAGAACCCCACCACATCGCGCTCTTCAACCCTAACAGCCTGAGGTCCACACATGCGAGTCATAACTTTTTTTGACCACCCACCACGATACCCTCCAAACGCATACGAGTACACATCAACACCATCGCAGCCATGATCCAGAACCACAACCATTCTCTCCTCATATGAAACAGAAATAACTATCGTCATCAATAGTCTTGGATCCTCTGCCCACCATGGCACCCACAAATTCCTCCACCACTCCGGGCTTTGCCAGCTTCCAAAGGCATCTTTCCACCGAGCCTGTCGATTCCTCCACCCAATATCTCGTCTCGTATGTTATAACTCGTGTCTCTTTCATCAATCCCAGTCCTAACCCTACCGCTCCAGTCTCCTCAAAAGACGCCAAATCAAGGGCTCCAAAAGATGTGCCGTGGCAACCACCATTCTACTCCTTCGCACCGTCGAGTTGACCAAACAGCCCGACTCCGCCAGACTCATCCAGAGAGTCTCGGAAGTGGGAAAGAAATTGATTGACGCTGCTCCCCATGAGCCTGCCGTTGGAAACATTGTCCGTCGCGTTCTGGCCATCATACGTGAGGAGGAGGAAGACGATCAAAAGGGAGACTACAGTGCTCCTGTCAGTGAGCCCGAATCCGACAATGTCACTCCCCTCGATCATCCTCAATCAAGATCCGTATCCCATGGTTTACCCAATGGCTTCTTCAACAGGGCTGATACCGCCATGGGCTCTTCACCTTCCCCTTCACGCTCGGGAGGTGCCTCTCGCCCTCCCTTGATGAGTTCTCACACTGGTGTTCCAGGCGCTGCTCGTCCTGGTGTCACTTCCATGTTCAGCATCCTCGCCCACCCCACCATGAGGCACGGCGGGGTGGAATCCCCTGGTCGAAGTGGAACATCCACCCCTCAAATAGGTTCTTCGGGAATCCTCCAAAATCTACGTCCCGAAGTCATCAAAGGCATCAAGGAGATCATTGATGAGATCAACGAGGCCGATGATGAGATCTGTGGCGCCGCCCTCGAACAAATCCACCCCCAAGAAACAATCTTCACCTACTCAGCCTCTCTGACCGTTCAACGTTTCCTCCTGAAAGCCGCTTCCAAGCGCAAATTCACCGTTTTCCACGCCGAATCCTACCCCAACAACCACATCAAAACCCATGCTCTCCTCACAGGCAAGCAGGACACCGCTCCCAGCTCCACCAGTCCTCAAGATGACGACGACGAAAACCTCCCCAGCGACACCTTTTCCAAACCTCTCACATCTGCAGGAATCACCGTCATCATGATTCCCGACTCATCTATCTTCGCCCTCATGCCACGCGCTAGCAAAGTCATCCTCGACACGCACGCCGTCATGACCAACGGCTCCGTCGTTGCCGCCGCGGGCACCAAGGCCGTCATCAAAGCCGCCAAATTCCACCGCGTGCCTGTCCTCGCTCTGGCCGCCACCTACAAGCTGTCCCCTCTGTATCCCTACGACCCCTACAGTCTAATTGCGTACGGCGACGCCGGGAAAGTAGTGCCCTTCCAGGACGCCGAATTACGGCAGGGTCTGGTCTCTGGTGTCCGAAATCCTCTGTATGACTTTGTCGAGGCCGGCGATGTGGATTTGTTTGTCACAAATCAAGTCCCCGCGGTCGTCAGTCCGGGCTATCTCTACCGCGTGGTCAGGGATCAATACCGGGATGAGGATTTGGAGCTATAGATTGTAGATGATGCAAATGAAACCCTCTGGTCTAGAATGAATTGATACCCCTACCCGCCCAATGACACGCTCGATTTTGTTTCAATGGAGATAGATGTACTACTTATACAATACAAGCTTGGAATATGTACATGAATCAACCGCCCCATCTATCTATCGACACAAGTTTGCGAGTAGAGTTCCATGCATCTATTCCACTCGGCGCAGAGGCTGGATTTCGTATTTCATCCTGGAAATGGGCAATCCCTGGCGGGGAGATGAAAGAATCCAGGCTCTTGATTTAAACAATCCGAAACAATCCGAACAACCATTGTTCAATCACGCCTCAACAGTGATATTAGTGATCTTAGCCTGTCTGGCGGCCAACCTCCTCCGCTTGCGACTGCCACCAATGCGGATCGACGAAGCGAGGGAGACGGGAAACTCTTCCTTGGCCAACTCGTCCCTCCGCCTCTCGATCTCGCGCAACTTCCACTTCATGCGTCTCGTCTTCCGATCGTCGCGATCGCCGGCCTCGGCAATGTCCGACTTCAACGCCTCGACTTCCTCGCCGTTCAGCTCTCGCTCCTTGGCCAATCTCCGCCTCCTCGCCTCCTTGTGCTTGATGACCTCGTCGTCAATGTCCTCCCATTCATCCTCTGCGTCTTCTTCTGCTTCTTTCCCGGCCTCCTTCGCCGCCACTGCTCCACCTCCACCACCACCACGCTCAAGCTTCCGTACCTCCTCCTCCAGCAACTCGAGCCCGCCCTCGCGAAACCGCGTCACCTTTCGCACGTTCATCAGTGTCATCTCATGCATAGATCGATCGTTCTCGCGTTCGTGCACCAGGGTCCGCGCCGTCATGTGCCACCGCACATCTTTGGGCCCGTCCACCAGACACAGGATCGCCGTCTCCGCTTGGTCTTTCGCCCGATTCTCCTGCCGTAGCACTCGTGTGTATCCGCCCGGTCGGCTCGCGTAGCGTTCACGTAGAGGCCCGAAGAGTTTCGGGATGTGTTTCTCGGGTTCCTGTGAAGTTGAAAACAATAACATCGAGATTAGTATCCGTGACACAGTGATAGATTGATCAGAGGAGTTTCTCCCTCCTCGAGGTGGAACGTACATAGAAGATCGCCTGGGCTTGAAGTCTTGCAGCGCCAGTATTCCTCTTTCCCAATGTGATGAGCTTCTCGGCCATGCGTTGGGCTTCTTTCGCTTTGGCAAAGGTGGTGGAGATGGTTTCGTGCTCGATCAGAGATGTCACTAGGTTGCGGAGCAGAGCTTGTCGGTGTGACGACGAACGTGACAGATGGCGGTACTTGATGGCCGACATGGCTGGCTCAGATGCGGCGGCCGAAGCCTGTCGGTTTGGATGGGAGTCGGGAGGTGTTGCAGGCAGAAATCGTGTTTCCAGGTAGCTGAGTAGTAGAGCCTCCTATCTGACTCCTTGGTATATCACTGGAGTCAATTCTCTGACCGTGGGTGGGAGACTGGTAGTTATTGATGGCTGGGTCAGGAGACAAACTTGAAGTTGCATGCATGAACTCGAATAATTTGGTCGGAGAGGTGCCCAGTGAACTTTTTGGAGGTGGTTGCCCTTCCACCAATCACCAGGTGACTTCGGATATGTTTCTCCGATGACAGATCCGTGTTTCTGGATAGTTTTCTGCATTTCACACGAATATCTTTATAGTCTTATTGGGACGGATGTATCATCTTGTGTTGTGGATGGTACCAATGTTTCTAGATTATGATACAAGGTGACATATCATAACGAGGACAAGGGCCATACGATATCTTGGGGTGGCTTTGATTGAATATGATCATGTCTCCTACTCCAACATTCTGACTTCTCTGGGCAATAGAACTACAAAGATACCTTACGCCTGCGAGATGTGTTGATCTCCACACCCCGCTTGAGCGATTCCTCTTGCCTAATCTAACTACAAGCAACCGAGGAAGAACGCTCCAAAGGGGACTAGTGCTAGAGCACCACTGACAACGAAGTGACTCGCAGCACCGGTGAATGTAGAGGTCGCAGCGGTCGTGGATGCGGTCCCGCTAGCAGCCTAGATAGTGGAGAGGAGGCCTGAGTCAGCACGATATTCGCAGAAATCAAAGATGGTGAAAATCGAAGAGACACTTACCCCCGCAGAGCCCGAAGACGCAGCTGTCGCAGAAGCACTGGTGCTTGCAGCGCCCGAACCTGAGCCCGAAGTGGTGCTACCGGTAGGAGCAGAAGAGGATGTCGTCGAAGCGGTGCCGTTGGTGCTCGTCGCATTCGCAGCGGCCACCGGCGTAGCGTCAAGCCCACAGCGTTCAGCCGCAGCACCCACACTCTCACCGTAGTACTGCCAGATGTTGAACTCGAGCGCGCATTCCAGACAGGCTTCCAGCTCGGTTGTGAAGGTGCTGTTGTCGCAGTAGTTCTCGGTTCGGGCGATGGTGATGACGCCGCCTGCTCATGTCTCATGTTAGATGCTGGTCGGTTTGGAGGACTTCTTGATTCGAAGAAGCGGTGATGGAGCAATCGGAGCCTTGGTCCTCTGAGAGCTCTCTTGATCTGGCAGTCATTGGGTGCTATTGCCTCCGGATCCCAGAAAGAGAGTCACTTACCGCAATTCGCGTGGCAGTCATACTGTGGGGTCCCTGGTGCCTGGCGGCGGAGGAGAGCTTCTGTGTCCCTCAAGGAGAGTGAGGCCGTGGCTGAAGCGGTAGCGGCAACGGCCGTGAGAGCAAGGATAGATAAACGCATGGTGGTGAGGGGGGAAACCCTGAGTGGCTCGAACACTGGCAGAGTAGTAGAAGTACGGGAAGATGGTCAAACGAGTGAGATACCGCACAGGAAGTGGGTAGGAATGTACAGGACAGGCTTCTGAGCTCTTGCGAAACTTGAAGGGAACGAACAAGTCTCGACCTCGCTGAGGCTGGGTCCCATGTATTTATTATGGTGCTCGTACTCGTAGGAAATGAATGGTCTTTATCTTACCCTCCGTATCCCGGAGCTTGCCCTGCCAAGGGCAAGCTCGAGCTAAGTTTACTCTGCTTTGCAGGGGCAGCATATTATGCCATCCAACATCATGGCTGGATGCGATGGCCGGGGTGAGCTGCAACACATGGGTGATCGGGTGGGGCATTGGCATCCATGACCAGCTTGTGGTTCCGCGAACCGAGACATGGTCTGGAGAGGTATGCAGAGCATAGATCCACGCTATGTACGAGCTCATGCGATGCGTGGGAGGAAAGCCGTCTGCTACGAGAAAGTGTTGTTCTCGGACAGGAAAGACAGCAGAGGATTAAGCGAGAAATGGTACACAGAGTTGGCCGGGGTTTCTGGTGGTCGGAATTTGACGAATCAGCGACGAACCCGGTCCTGTTGGAAAGAAACCATTGATCTTGGCAGTGAGTGATTTATCTGATAAGATTGGATGAAAAGACTGGGAGGGAAAAAATGAATTGCCGAGGATCAGTATATGGATTCCAAATGACATGTCAGTTGTTGGTTGATGGCATGCATAGCTCCGATAAAAGCGAGTCTGGCAGAACTTCGACGGCTGGGCCGGCATCTAATCTGATTAGATTGTGCCTACACCAAGGAGTTGGCAGCCTTACTGATTGGAGGCCATCAAAGGCTACTCATGTGCCAATGCTCTTGATCAGCTTGGTGCCTTTGGTGCCTTTGGTCCCTCACCTGACAGAAACCGTCTTGCTTTGCTCCAAAGACTATCCATCAGTTAGTTGAATATCTCCAAGCTCCACAATTGGTTGAGAGAATTGTTCCCAAGATGCTTAGACGTGGGTTCACACCGTTGTCGGCGTTGCTAGTCACATTTGAGCCACACTAGCGGTTTCCTTCCCTTTCTCTTGCTCGAGCGTGCAAGCCTACCAAGTGGCCGAATTCAAACCTACATAGAGGATGAGCTGGTTGGTGTGCTATATCTTCCGAAGCGCCCACGTCCAGGGTCTGAAATAGATGTCGTCCTTTCCCTCCATATCTAAATATCTCTCATTCGAGCAGACCAACAACTCCACCATTCTTCATCCATAGTCCAGTCAACATGCACGTGGTTGCAAGCCTTATCACTTCTGTGGGCTTCGTTGCCAGATTAGCTTTCGCACAGGACCATGGCGACGATGCTGCCCGAGAGATGGGTCCGGTAGCATTCATGTGGCCACCGGATCGTCTTTGGGGTGCTGATTTCGATAACCATGCTCCTTGTGGCTCTGCTGCAAGTGTCGGCAACCGAACCGTCTTCCCCTTGTGTACATTCTCCATCTCCACGGCTATAACTCGATGCCCATGCTGACTCATTGAAGTGAATGGACAGATCGCACTGGTAGCACAAGATGAATCCTGGCAAATCCAGGTTGCGATTTCGCACAACAGCAGTATGTATAAGATAGAACTCGCTACCAGACATGGTCAGCTAATCAATCACCAATACAGATCCTCTCTCAAACGATGACTTCGAGACTCTCATAGCACCCACGAGAATTCCGGAGCTCAATGAGGGACATCAATGTTATCCAATACCCAATCCGGCTGCGGATGTTGAGGCAGGAGCGAATGCAACTCTGCAAATCAAGTACACCTCCGACTTTGACACGGACTTGAACGAGACATTTTACGCATGCGCCGATATCACATACGTTGCAACCAGCCAATTCACCGTACAGGTTCCCTGCTTCAATGCCACAACCGATGACTTCGACCTCCCTAGCGAGAATGACGACGATGACAACAGTACCTCGACTTCGACAGGCACAGCTGCAGGAGCCTCCGCAACAGCTTCCGGTGCAGTGACCACGTCAAAAGGGTCTTCTTCAGGCCTTTCTGGTGGTGCAATTGCTGGAATTGTTGTGGGCGTGGTGGGTGGCGTGCTTCTTGTTGCAGGGGCATTTTTCTTCCTATGGCGACGTGGCCAGCAGAACAGACGTCTTCGCCAGCAGCAAGCCAATGTACGGAATGTCAAATGGGAGGAAAATCCACAAGGATCGCCACCATCTCAAAGCTCGAGTCAGGACATTGGCCTCAGAAAACTCTAGAACTTGATGGTCAAGGGGGGTCGCCCATCGATAGAGCTGTTCGAATGAGGATCGATGAGAAGTACATGAACGTGGGAGTCTGTCCTCTGGCAGACTGATTGATGAGATGATGAGCTTAATGCATACTTAGCGAATGAATAATGGTTGAGCGGTACCCTCCCTACGATGTGGGTAGTATTTCGTATCCAAGTCCCAAGTGGCGATCTCGGATCATGTCTTCCGTGATCAAGTCAAGTATTCAGGGCAACTACCCAGTAGTTGTGACACTCTATACTAATCCCAAGATCATTACAACAATGTGGTAGTAGAAGAAGTTCTGTAAATCCCTCGAATGTGAAGCGGCAAGAGCGATAAATCTGAAGCAGCAAGGAAAAGGCTTGGCGGCGAATTTGACCGACGCTTTGCCGGACCGGAATGCTCATCCATGATCTACTGCTCCGTACTACTACAGTACTACCTCATATGGCGCAAGAAAGCTGTGACTTTTCTCATCTTCGGTCTGAGGGATAAAACACTTGCACACTCCCCACCGCCACGAACACGCCTCATACTTTTTCCCGGTCATCTAGCTCCCCACGACCGCAGGGTTAAATTTATATCTTACTGGAAGCCCACCTGCCCGACTACATACCAGGTCAAAAGCTTATCGTTCGTGCTGTTCAACCTCGAGCTCTCTCTGACTTCAACCTCAACACACTCATTCTCCCCCACCTCAGCAACAAGTTCAGAGTTTCATTCACACAGGATTTGACATTGCTCACATATCGCAATGGGTTTCACAACAGGCTTCGTCAGTCGCGGTTCCTCCCTCCCCTCCTGCGAGTCTACTAACAGCAATCACAGTTAGGAGGCGTCACCTTGACCTACTCCATCCTCTACTTCTCCCTCTACATCCATCGAGCAAACAGGAACGTCCAGCGCACCCTACTCTCCCAGCAATCCAACCTGCTCAACTCCGTCATCGACCCTCCTGCGCCACTCCCAGACCCACCGGCATATGAAGTCCGCAAAGCCGGCCTGACCGAGGTGCTGAAAGACCGCTGGAACCGCGAAGTCGAGAAGCTCGTGCGCAACGCTCAGGAAACCGACTGGGCGCAGAAACGTGAACAGTACGAGGATCGCCTGTCCACCGTCTGGGGTAAAGTGCGAGCTTCGGAGCAAGGCCGCGAAATTGAGGCCAAGGCCAGAGACCTAGAGCAGAATGTTGAGGATAGGGCTAGGCAACTGGGCCAGACTGTCAAGGATAAGGTTGCCGAAGGCAAGGATGCTTTGACGACGGCGAAGGACGAGGCCAAGTCGAAATCCAAATCGGTGGGTCGAGAGCCAAGGTTACTTGAGTTAAAATGAAATCAGCTTCACAAGATTTGAACGCCGGAGCAGCAATTGGTTGACACTCAGTTGGGCTGTTTGAGAACGTCTTTGCGAAGATTGAGGCGGTTATATGGGGACAGTTCTTCGATGGGCGGATATGACCCAGTGGACTGACACGACTGAAGCGAAGCTATCTCGAGGTATTGCTGATCCCACAAATACCCTCCAAAGTCTTCTCATAGACGGCTCCTTCGAACGCATAGAGGGCTCTTGAGGCAGTAGGAGGATTTGTTTTCGCCAAACCCCGACAGCAGGCAAGACGCCATCTGCAAAAGCCGACCGCCAACCCCCCGTTACGCACATTCACCACGCACACAGTCAAGTCGTCGAAACCCAATACTACCGCCCACCAACCGTATGCGATGGGATGTCGTGTGGAGGCCACCCTGACCGAGATAGACTGAGGAAGTGGCCATCCCAAAGGAGACCCCTTCTTCTCGCCAACAATATACAGAATGCCAAGTGGGAAATTACAAGCTCAGAGGTTTCACAAGACTCTGGTAGTCACCCCAAAGAATTACCCTGTTGGCACTACCAGGTACACGACGCTTCGTTCAAACACAGCGCGAGCTCAGAGCTAGCAAGAGGAATAGCGCACGGTATCCGGAGATAATGTTTTTTACCCAATGGCAGAGATCCTCTCCACCTTGCTGCTCGAGTGGAGGAAAGCTAGCCGTAAGCCGGAACATGGGGCATCAAAGACCATCAGAGGCACATCACACGATTGGTAAAGGAAGTACTCGCAAAGCCGATGAAAGAAGAGGGGGGGGAGAAACGACCATCACCACTGTATTTTTGGTGTTTCGAATTCAATTCTGGAGACAAACAGAAGCAGCAAGAAATGGATGCAAGCTTGGTGCAATGCCCGAGTGATCATGTCCCACTTCGCCGCTTTGATTTTCCATGTTCGATTTCTTATTCAAGTTGTTCAAGAGACAAAAGCTCCATTTCAGCCGCTCTCTCGTTCCATTTTCGCCTTAACCGTCCATAGAGTCGTCGTAATACGCAATTTCAATTCGTCATTTCCTCGGTCGTGCCATTTCATTCTCATCCATATCATAGCCGTCGTTTCGTATTATTTCTGGTGGGAGGGCGTAATTTTGCCCCCGTTAGAGTGCATTTCGAGGGTGTTAAAGCTGTTTGAACTTGTTGTGTCTAGTAGCAGTAGAAGAAACCTCACTATATCACATCTCAACTCTGATCCTGGTTGGACAAGACCGTTTGTCATGTTTGCCAGTTTCACTCAGTGAAATACTACTTACCACCAATTTGAGACAAAGGCAGGCTTGTTGAATAGTCCCGAATCCTTGTCATGAGGGTGTGGGTGTCACTAGACCGGTGGACTGTTCGTTGGATCTCTGCAGACTTCTCTCCAGTTCCTTGACCCGAGCTCGAAGCTGTTCGTTTTCTCTCTTGACAGCTTCCAATTCGGCACGTTGAAGTGATGCTTCCTCGTACCTGGCTGCTGCAACCGCGGCGCCTGAGTTCGGGCTGCGAGGATAGGCGGATGTCGGGGCGGATTCAGAGCTGGACGTCTGAGCAGGGTGCGTGTTTGGATTGGAAGATACAGAACTTCGATGTGGATAGGACGTGTATGCGCTATATGCACCCTGGCTAACATGCGGGGAAGACGTGAGAGACGAAGAGCGGAAACCCGACGCAGATGTGGAGTTTTGTCGGCTCATGTCTGGTCTGCTAAGTTCCATGCTGGGTCTGCTGCTCGCCTGGACGCTCTGGTCTCGAGGAGCAGCCACTCCAGAAACGCTGGTGTTTGTGGCATTGGCGAGACTTTCTCGAATGGATCTGGCGGATCGTGTGGACAGATTTGAGGAAGAGCGGTGGCGTCGAGCTGATGTCGGGATGATGGTGGTGGCAGTCCCTGTGGTGGACGTATATGGGTCACTGGAAGAGAAGAAGTGATCAGAAGTGGACGAAGTAGTCGAGGCCACGGACGCTGTTTGTGCTCTTAGAGCGGAGAGTTCGCGAGTGAGACGGTTCACCTGAATGCTGTCAGAACATGAACTAGATATCCCGCGACAAAATGGACATGTGCTTACGATGCTTTCCTGCTCCTTCTCAAGCTCAAGATGTAGCTCGGCCGCTGTTAGAGGTCTGGGATGTCTTATAGGGCCTGAACTGTTTGATTAGCGGCGGCATCGAGGGAGAAACCACTATGTGATAAGCGACTGACCTGGTCCGATGCCCACTCCTGTGTTGTCCCCCAGTGTAGCCTGAGCAGGACGCGGAGAACTAGGTAGGCTGCCATTGACAGGTAGGGGAGGAGGTAACATTTGGGTGGAGGTTCTTCTCGAAGCCGATTGAGGCCACACTGGTGCTGCTGCTGATGATGGTGGGGGTGCTGCGGACGCTCCCTGTGAGGTCGAAGAGCTTCGAGGAGAACGTGGCACGGTGTTTAGATCCGGAGACATGGTTTTGTTGTGATGGTGGTGTGGTCGTGGAAAAGGTCAAGTATGGAGGGTGCGGGTTGAATGTCAAGAGGTTTCAGTGGGCCATGGGGCCAGGAAGTACCAGGAGGATGCAGAAAGTAGGAGGTCAGGAATGGAGGCACCGCAATAGTGATGTGGTTAAGACAGTGCAGCAAACAACCTGCTGGCTTTGCAGAGAATCCCAATTCACAGCAAATACAGAGGGTACGTAGAGACGGGGCATCAAGTGGTTGGTAGAGAGGGAGAATCACGATGGAGACAGTCCTCTGTGAAATTGAGTGTCGCGTTCTCGGACAACCAATCACAGGTGCACATTCAACCATTACTTCAAACCTGTAGAGCATGTCTCACTGGTCACAACCGGAACACTACTGATATCACTGTAGTACGACTTGATACTCAGTCAGGTAAGCATCCACCGGGTAGTTCCAAGCAACACTTCTGTGCTCAACCCGGAGATGTCATGGTTGCGTTTGTAACATAAATCATCAATTGTCTATATCTTGTTTTGGTCCAAACATATCCGTGTTGCTTCGATTGTAGCCATCAAGGGCGTAAACCTTTGGTAGCCTGTTGCTCCACTCCAACTTATGTTCGACTCTTGTGGTGTCCACTGCTCCCAACTTGGAACAATCTAATACGGTCCTCAAGGATGCACCATGTATCATGGGCTCCATGGGACAAAACGAAGCGATTGAGTTTTGACCCCTCCCCAAATCCAACTCCCATCCCATATGCAGCAAACGGTCCTTGGTAATGGTGACAGTCACAACGCACTCATCTTCAACTGCTGCTCCTGCTGTCCTCATAAATTTGACGCTGCCTCAGCGTGCTCTAGCCTGACTTCGGCTTGCTTGCTTACAGGCACATCGGCCGAACTCTTCCGTGAGTCGGGCTCCAAAGACGCATCGGAACTCGTGTCTCCGTCCTTTGTAGCGTTCGCCAACTTCGTAGATGACTGCGCTTTCGCTAGTTCATCAAGTGAACTTGGAGATGAATCCCGCTCGGATCGCGCGTGCTCCACGTGTGCACTGCCATCACCTTTCTCTTCCTCACCGATCATAGCAGCAAGAGACCGAAAATTAAACATCGGCTCAAGACTCCCTGGAGGCGGGGTTCCAGTTCCCGAGAATGTAGCTGGTCCAGATTCGACGAAGGATGATGAAGCGGATGAAGCATTGGACATCTGTCGGAGGTGTGAGCGACGAAATGGCTCAGCGGCCAACGGAATAGGAATCGAAGATGCCAAAGACTCTTGACTGGTTCCAGAAAGTGACAATGCCGGAAGATAAGATGGTCGGGGATTGTCTTCGTCGGTCAAGGATCTCTCCATAGGAACCCCTCCACCGCGCTCCACATTCTTCCCCTTACCAGAAACTGAATCGTCATCGACTCCGAGAGAAAGATTGCTTCTTGACCTTTCCATCAAACTGGATGTCGAGTCGCCAATACTAGTGTTGGAGTTCATTGTGAAAAGACTGCTTTTGCGGGCCGCCTTGTCAGCCTTCTTCGACTCCTTTTCCTTTTTCTTAGCTTCTTTCCGGGCGTCTTTTTCCTCTTTCTTTCGCCTTTCCTCTTCCGCTGCTAGACTCAATCGGATGGCTTCCATCATCATCATCTCTTCCAAATCGTCCATTCGACTACGTCTTGAACTACTACCACGAGCTGGCGGTAAGAAGGGATTCGGTCTTCCCTCAGCGCCTGCAGGAGAAGCGGCCTCTGGTTGACGTGATGCATGTCTCTCTGCAAGCAGAGCAAGTGCACTCAAACTTGGGTTAGGGCTAGGCTCCGCACCCTCAATGGTCGTGCGGCGAAGCATGTTACGTCGACTGAAAGTTGAGAAAGTTCTTGGTTCAACGGCATTTTGCCCATTCATAAGGTACGCTGCCGTATGTAAAGCGGTAGCTGCCGCTGCACGTCGAGCTGCATGTGCACGTGCCGCGGCTAATTTCGTCGCCCAGTCAGGGCGAATCTTGTCTGTGGTGATGACCTCGGGAGCACTGGCAGACAGGGAGGTTCCCCGCCGGCGTCCAGGCCCAGGTGATAGAGTTCCCGATGAAACAGACGTTTGTGATGATCTCGCAGACATGACTTGATATGGTTGCGACCCAGTACCGTACGTAAGCCCACGTCGAAAAGGAGGGGGTGTATAAGTGATGCCGAATTCTGGTGTTTTACAATATGGACAGGTCGCAACTTCCGAAACCAGGAGACCTTCCGCCTGTGCTTCCCTTTCTGTTTCGGAGACTGGGGGAGCGTTGGGATCTGGCTGTTCATGCTCAGGTTGATGTGGGTCAGGACGCTTTATTTGGACGAAACACTCTGAACAGATCGCCTGTTCACAGCATCGGGTAGTATTCAAGTATGGCGGGTAGTACAGAAAACAGATGGGGCATTCTGTTGCGTCTTTATACAGATAGACCTCGATTGGCTGTCCATTGACGAAGGGGTCTGGTGGTAGCTGAAATTCGCGCGGGGTCATGTCAACCTGAGAGTGGCTCCGAGAAGAGGTGGTTAGAGAAGCCAATGTTTTAGCACGGGTCCTGAAGATGTTGGTACTGGGAGAATTGGAAGGAGGTGGTGGTGATAGACCCGGTAATGGGAGAGAGTTTGGAGTGGGAGACACAGGTGCGGAGCTAGCATCTGACTGGAAGGATTGCGATCGAGGTCCTATGGGGATAGTGAGGTATTGTAGGGACTTATCCTTGTCCTTGTCGGAGGGAGTCCTTTTGGTGAGGCGATACTCGAGTTCGGGAGGTACCTCGTCAGCCGGAGGTATCTCCATTCCACGTGCCGCAGCCATAAGCTGGTGCTCGGCCCAAGAATCCGAAAAGTCGTTCAGGCCTCTCCAGAAGGGTGCCAGCCTGCGCTCAATCTGTAGGTAATTAGCATGCACCTTCGACTCACACTATCCTTTTGGCTTACCGTCAATTGTCGAACCATTCCCTTGTTGAAGTCTTCATTGCCCACGTACACACCTTGGGTAACAAGATAGCCGCCATCGACGTGCTCTTCCCTCATACTGCGCTCTCGCTCTTTGAGCCTGGCTGCCCGTTCTTTTTCGGCTTTCCTGGCTTCCCTCTCCTGTTTGTTCTCCCGTCGGGCTTCAAGTGAAGAGGCATCTTGTTCATTGGTTCCGCCAATTCCGAGAAATGAGAAGTCAGGTCGGCTCCCTCGTCGTTGCTGGCGAGAGGAATGAGGGGCTCGGATAGTCGGCTCGGAAGTATTGGACGGTGTATCTTGCCGTAAGACAGGACTTGCATTCCCACTGACTCTAGAGTCGGAGTTGCCCTGCCCACGTGCTTCTTTGGTCTGAGAATTTCCCATGTTGGGCTTGTTCTTGAATGATTTGAGCAGTCTCCCAGTACTCAACCACCCCAATATCGTGAGATCATCGCAACATTCTATGCCTTGATCGTGCTATCCAAGACACTCGAGTCAGTGGATTTGCTCCTGTATAGGAGAATGTACACTGTCGGAAAGAGCGGGATCCTTGTGAAAAAGAGAGTGTACTGAAATGGGATCGCGGACGGATTCCACGGACTTGGACCCAGAATAGAGATTGAGCGAGTAGGAAAGAGACTGGCGATATGTGAAGTAGGTACAAGATATGTAGTAGGTGGTAAATTATGATAGACAAATGCGATGGGATGTGGTGCAGAACAAGCGTAGGCTGCAGAAGCTGCCAAGTACAAATACGCAAACCTGGGCTTTAAACCTGGGAGCGGAGGGCAGTGGGCATGGATGGGAAGGATAATGATGGGTAGTAGTAGTAGTAGTGGGAGTAGGGGCAAGGTTGTAATCAATGGGGGGTGGTAGGCACAGCGCAGGTATCATTTAGGTATTATTGTTCTACCCGAAGCCCCGCGAGCTGAGTTATTCACATTGCAGAACCGGCTGTATCCGTTCAGCACGGAGGATGGGGGGTTGGTGATAGCGGTGGATTGAGCGATCACGATACGGAGTGCCTTTATCCGCTGACAGGGGCATTATTATCAACTAGTTAGTTCTCCGGACTGGTTAAAATGAATCATGCAGGGCCTCGGACCCCATGAGACCGTTGGTCTCGATTCCATAAACTACTACCAGAGGTATTTCCAACTTCCAACTTTCAAGGTTACTGAAGGACTATGAACTTGGGGTTGGTGGACTCTTAGTTATCAGATTCATCACAAACATTGACACAGCAGTTTCCCCGGCGGAGTTTGGTCACTAGATACCTGTAGGTCGGTCAGAGTTACAGCCTGAGCTGGGTTAGGCCCCTCTTCAGAATTCCGACCGCATGAGCAACTGGATTTCCAGTGTACCTCCTACGAGTACCTTACTACGAGGTAGTACTACTGAATCCCCTCGTTCCTGGTAGGGCAGTGGATAAGCATGCCGACCACACCTCTTTAGCCCTTAGCGCCCATTTAAGCCTGGCTTTCGGCTCCGTCCCCCTCCAAAAATTGAGGTGCTCTCCAATTCTCATCACTCAGAAGCCACAAAATATCTTTTGACCGGCCTCGGTCTGTTCTTGCATAATTTCTCGACAACTCTTGTCACCACTGCATGCTAGTTATTTGCTGTGAGTGACCTGAGTCTTACTGGCCAGCATGAGAGAGGATTTCACCAGACTGCATATTACTCCTTTGAATCCAGATCTACTTCCGATCATTCTAGGCCCGAATCTCGTCAACTCGGCGGCTAACATTTCCTTCAATACCATACCGACCTTTCCGGAGAACAACTACGGTTATCTTGATCTCCCAGTCATGGATGCGGAGAGAATTAAGAAGAAGGTTAATGGCGCCATACTCAAAGGGAAAAAAATCAAGGTCGAAGAGGCCCGCCCAAACAAGCGCAGACGGATCGAAGAATCTACGGAACGAACATCACCTACAGAAAGCGGAGCAGAGGCCAAGAAGTCCGAGATCTCGGAGAAGGAGAAGAAGCAGTTCAATGTAATAGCCGGGCACGAGCTTCCTGCTGAGCGCAAGGTCAAGCGCGGATGGACAGAGGTGGCCAAGTCGAAATCGGCGAAACTCCGCAAGGGAGAGACCAAAGTTCCAGCATCCAAGTACTCAGACAAAGAAGAACTTCTCTTCAGAACAAAGTTGCCTCAAAATCGTTCAGATGGCCTAGGCTCGGGGAAAGAAAAAGAAAAGATCAAACGGAAAAAGAGTGGTGATGTGGTCCATGAATTTGCCAGGTCATCTAAGCAGCCGTCATTCCTGCGCGACAACGTGGGTTTGGGTATCAAAGGACATCTCGAATACATGGAAGGGCAAGGTTGGGTGAATGAAGCTGGTGAGGTCATCGAACCGGAGCCCGAAAGGGTCTCACGCCTGCGACAAACGACGGCCTCGGTTACTCGCTCTAAACCATCAGCAGCCAAGATGCCGCAGCGATCGCCTTCTCCACCATCTTCGCAGTCCTCAGACAAGGATGAAGACTCATCTTCGCAAGGCTCGCAAGAAGAAAACAATTCACTGCCCGTAAATGAACAAGATGACGAGACTAGCAGTTCAGGGTCATCGTCGATTTCAGACTCGGACGCGGACCAGTCGGTGAGCAAGGGTGAGGCGAATGACAGCGATATCGAGCAGAAGGGAACCCCTGCTCTGGATGAAGTTCATCCATTAGAGGCGCTGTTCAAGAAACCGAAAAAGCCTACGTCTCAGGATATCGCAAAACCGTCATTAGAAGTGTCGACTTCCTTCTCTTTTTTCGACGCACAAGCCGGGGATGAGATTGACCAAGAGTCTCGAGTACCTGGAACTCCTTTCAGTTCGCAAGACGTCAGGTCCCGAGGTTTGCGGAGTGCAGCACCCACCCCTGACACGGCCTATCCAAGCAGATTCAATAGCTACGGAAGTACCGGTCTCCCGGGAGATGAAGTGGATGAAGACGATGAGGAGGAGGACTCGAGAAAGGCTGTTGGCTCAAAGCGTGGTCAATCCTCCACCAAGGCTGCTGCTGAAACTCCTTCTCAGAATCAGAGTGATTTCGAAAAGAAATTTTGGGAAAATCGAGGTGAGAATAGCCGTGCTTGGAAGCAACGACGTCGAACGGTTCTCAAGGAGAAGCGTCAGCGTGAGAACCGTGTTCGTAGACCCAAGAACTGGTGACGCTGCATTGTTACACCTTGTTGCTCTGAGTGGTATTGGAATCAAACCATGGAATGCCCACAGTGCGTCTCTCACGTGCAACTCCAACGACGATCTCAATACTGAGCCATATAGTATGATGTCGCTCTTGTCAGACCATAGCATTGGCACCATTTATACATCAACTTCTCCCGGCGCCATGAATTAATACTAGAACTAGAGAAACCGGCTGCTTATTTTCATCGAAGCTGTCCGGAGAGAAGTTAATGTATGCCAATACAATTGGATCAGTTTGCCTCTGACTTTGAATTGAAGCCGGCTGTAGATAGGGGAAATGTACACGGCTCATGAATGATGAGGGTAGGTAGGTAGCTGTCGGAGTACGAGCCTACGCGCGGTGCCTTAGGTCTAGAGTAAGATACTTAGTATTCACTCGTGTGGATTAGGTGCTTACCTAAACACCCTATTTGGGACTGGAGCTGAGAATCTGGTTCTCGCTTTTCGGAGTCGGCGGCACTGGCTTGACGTTTGCCAGACTCAGTGTGCCAAATGAGATCCAACTAAACTTGTTAGCCTGATCTAGCACTCCGGGGTTGTCCTTCCCATAAGTGACTGCCTGGTATTGTACTGAGTAGCTTATTGCAATAACTTCAGAAGGTTACTCACGACACGGCTCAACACCCCAATCTCACACGCGTGTTGTTTCTGATCGCCTTGATCATGAGTTTGCATGGACGCGCATAACACGAGATACACGCGACAAGAAACAACTGGCCAGACAGTGTGCAAGCAAGGAATGATCTCCTCCAGCTTCAACCTCCTACTCAATAATCTTCAATCTCTTTCTGTCTGATGCCGCCAAAAAATCAACGACGTTCTCATACCAAGTCTAAAAATGGCTGTAGCCAGTGCAAGGTACGGCGTATCAAGGTATGCAAATCAACTCCCCATAGGTTTCCCAAATCACTGAACCACCCCTAGTGCAACGAGCAGCACCCAACATGTAACAACTGCGAGCGCCGACAAATCTTTTGCGACTTCTCCTTATCGCCTGGGGCCAGTAATTCTCCTGGTAATGGCGAACATGGACAACAGCTCGAACGCTCGACCTCAGGCAGTATTAGTCAAAGGACGCCATCACAGGTAGCGGCCGACCTTTTCAAGCAGCCGGATCTTGTGAGCACGAAGAGCACCACCGATTTGGATGTTACAGATCTTCGGTTGATGCATCACTTCTCCAGTGTCGTGGCTCTTGATCTTGCCAACGACCGAACACCAGAGGCACGAGCCTTATGGCAAGTGCATGCTGTTGAACTCGGATTCAAGCATCATTTCTTACTCCGAGGCATACTGGCAGTGTCGGCTTTTCATCTGGCTTTTTTGCACCCGGAGAGGATGGCAGAGTATGCTGTGATCGGAAGCTCTCATCAAAGCATCGGACTGAACGACTTTCAAGCAACGTTACCCCATGTGAATGGAACCAACTGTCATGCGCTTTTCGCCTTTTCCTGCCTGATTATTGTTCTGGCATTCGCTTCTAGCACAAAGGCTAAAGCGAGAGATCTGAACAGCGAGGTTCTACACTGGTTTTATCTCCTGAGAGGTGCGAATATTGTGCTGAATATGCACTTCGAAGCACTTCGATCTAGTTTCCTTAAACCCTTATTGGATGAGATGGCACATATCGAGAACACCGCCGCCTACCGATTTCCTCACACCGAACAGATCACCAAGTTATTCCGGATTTGCAACTCGAAAGAACAAGACCCAGAATCTGCTCAGGCTTATGACCTAGCCATCCATTCTTTGCTCAGTACGTTCATTCAGGTGTCCTTACTCAGAGACCGTGGCGAAGGAACTGTTCTCGCTACCTTTGTCTGGCCAATCAATCTCTCACCACGATTCTTAGATCTCCTGGAAGAAAAACAGCCCGAAGCCATCATTATCCTTGCCCACTATTGTGTGCTTATTTATTGGTCAGAGACCACAGATTCTAATGAGAAGACCTGGTTTATCGTGGGCTGGGCAAAGTATATGCTGGAATCCATCCGAGAGATCGTGCCTGAGGCGTGGCAAGAACACCTAGAGTGGCCACAGGCGATGATCGTTGAATGAGTCAATGTGCCTAGTATTGAGACATACCTATTCCACACCCATGACTTTTACTGTTCAGATGCAGTGGGGTTCAGAACATCATGATGGTTTCATTGTTTGTCTTCTCTGATCTCGACCACAGTCGATTACGAAGCTTGGTGCCCCACCTCTTTCATCACATCACGACTAGCAATGTGTCCAATACAGTCAAAAATGACTAGGTGTACCTACGCGTTTGATACCTCCTAAGATGGTATTGATTGGACATCTCGGCATTTCCCCTTGGAAGGTATTCGATTTGAGCATATTGCGTTCGGGGCTAAGCTTGTTTACGAAGATAATACAGGAGCACGCGGGCGTTTTCTAATATGCAATCTGGGTTTTGTGGGACCATTTGCTTGCGACCACAGTCGTCTTTGGAGGTCTTGACTCTCGACTGAGGTGCGGAGCTTCAAAAGACTGCGACCAAAATCCAAAGGGCTACTCCTAAAAAACCAGCGTCGGAATGAACAGACGAACTGGAAATTTTGTACCATATATACACGACGGAATGATCGGCTACTACCGAGAAGAATTAAGTCGTGATGCTAGATTTGTCATTATTGTTTCATTGCCGACCGCTATCTACAACACAAGCTTCTTACATCAGACGTCGATATGCGTACGAGTACAAGCACCTGGAGGTGATTGTGGGGACCCTTTGGAACTGGTTCGCAAGCGAGAACAGTTCCGGGGCGTGAAAGGGAAGTTCGAAACGGAATAATGTACTCGTAGACAGGCCACGTCCTTGTGCAAGGATGATTTAATGTAGTGGGCGCACGTGATAAGAAGCCTTGACCAGTGCCAGTGATGTCTGTGGCTGACTCATGCCGGCGGCACTGGCGGTGTCTTCTGACCAAGGCTGCTCTATGCGTTCCTGTCAACTCCATCGATCATTTTTAGCATCCCTCATCATTCTTCGGCCGATTTCGTCTCATCCATGATCTTCAAATGAAATATATACTGATTGATGTCACTACATGGTGAGCATGATCTGCAGAGTTCTAGACCGATCGTTACCGGCCACGCGGTCTTCATCAGGTGAGGATTCGGTGCACAAGACGGCCTCGACCAGTGGATCAATTCTGAAACGACTCAAGACCTGAAGCGCCCCCTTGTCACAGCATGCTTTGCACCTCCACCAACCGTGCCCTCCTTGACACTGCATTGACTCCCCTTGAAGCTGCGCTTCGTCCACTTCTCTCATTCTCATCTATGCGTTCTCTTCTACCTATCCATTCATTCATTAATCCTCCAGCAAACACGTTCTTTTCTTTCTCTGCCGCCACCGTTCCATCCCCTCTCGACCAGATCGAGCGCATCACAAAAACTTTGTCGAGCAGGTCTCGATACCATTCTTCAATTTCCCACCACTTTTGGACAGCCCTCGGGGTGGTGGTTGAGCAGCCATGGTGAACAAGATTCTACTCGTCTTCGTCGGCTTCGAACTGGCCTTCCTGCTTTGCGCAGTCCTGCACCTGATCATCCCTCTTTATACCCAAAACAAGATCAAGACCAGCAACAACGTGGACAATGTTGCACCCAATGTCCTTCTTGATCACTGTCCTCTCTTGGGTAAGATCATTTCTGTTACTTGGTACAGTGGCGGAAGCATCTTAACTAACATCATTCCTAGCATCTATGGTCAACGCCGTCATCATGTTCATTACTTCTCTTCTTGCCGTACCCGCCTTGATTAACAAAACTAACCGCTCCTACCTTGTTGCACATTGCTGGGGCATCGTCCTCTCCGCGGCTCTCACCCTGGGAATTGGTTGCGCAATCTGGTTCTCAACGCTCGAGACACATAAGAACTTGGCTCCGGTCTGGACCGAACAACCCGACGATGTGCTATCAATGCTGCAAGAACGCTTCCAGTGTTGCGGTTACGACAACCCAGCTCTGTTCGTCAGAGACACTATTACTTGTCCGAATGCCTCCGCTGCCGCTCGACTCGGAGGCTGCATGATTCCCTTTGGTCGATTCGCCAACCAATTTCTTGACGTTGTCTTCACTACATTCTTTGGGTTCGTCGCGATTGATGTGATGACCTTGTTGGCCGCCATGTGCGTGATCACGGATCGCAAAGAGAAAGAGAGATACAGATTGATTGATGAGAAGAGAGGTTACGGTTCTATCTAAGATGTGGACGAGGTCAAGACTTGAGGAGATGGGGTGAGATTGAGGAGATGTGTCGAGGTCGGAGGAGCTTTTGAAAAAGAGGAAGACGGTGCACAGGATTTGATATTCGTTTCACAGCATGAAAAACATCACGCAAAAACACACCCCATCCAGAGGGACGCCTGGGACAGGAGGAAATGGTTGAAAGAAGAGATGTATGCTGTGCATTTGTCCAAGATATTAGCGTTTTCTCCAGCAAAGTACTGGCGTTTTGGGAACTGTCTTTTTTTGATAGAGAGAAAGTTATCGAGCCCATGTAGGAATAACGAGAGATTACGATTTGAATCATGAAAACCGACGACCGTTGCCATTTCCCACAATCCTCCCAGTTGCAATTCCGTGGACCTGAGCAGCGTTTTACCACCCACGACTGACCGGACGAACCGGTTGTTACTTCTTGGTCGACAATCTACAAGCTGGGTTAAGAAGCCAAGGTACTCGCTGTAGCTACACGCGATATGGCGCGTTCTATAACTCATGCAAATGCGAGCTCGAATAGAGGTCCTTTGATGGCACGAGAAGAAATAGACTTTACTCCTTCGATCCCCCGTCCCCCGTCCTCCCGATCTGCAGAGGAGCACCCGGATCGTCGACATCATCATCCACTTTCGCCGATCGATCGTGTAGGTAGGCTCCCATTGAATAGGTACATGGATATATATATGGATATTTATTTCTTGAACTATCCGAGTAGTGCTTTCCCCCACATATTGAAGCTACTTGCCAAATAAATATTGTGCTCTGGAACACGTAGCATACGCGCATATTGTCCCAGTCTAGTCAGGCGCGCACAGCTCTCGCCCTCACGATCTCACGACACGCGATCCTTTCTTTTCCTCATCATTCTTCGAGGACAGCAATCCATCGCCCAGCCCAGGTTCACTACCCGCTCAGGGGGCCCAGCTCCTAGAGCGAAAACTAGCGGTCTGCGTGATCGATTCGTTCAACTCAATATTCCCAAGGCCGATTGTCGTGTAGACAATAACTATCGTGTCAAAGCCCCCGTGATCGTCTCTCTGGGTCGATGAGCGATCAGTGCGGGTTTTGAGGCGTTTTTCGAGCCTCCGAAGAAAGGACCGGCACCGACCGCGATCGCCAGAGGGCGTTGATTTGCGTTCTTGCACACCGTGCTTTTTGGGGGGAGGGATGCACTGGCATCTTTTCAGGGGGCTTGTAGCTCTACGATCGGTGGGAAAGCTCTGACCATCGTGGGCTGAAAAACCAAGGTCCTTTATTTTTCTGTGGAGGTGGAAGTGGATCCGAGCTCTAGATATTGACTTGTACTTGTGAATCTTGACCTTTTTAAGGTTACTGAATATTATACGGATCTATTGGATTTGTCGGCTTTGATATGGCATGGACATTGGTCACGCCATCGTCGAGGGGAATAGGATTCGCGTTGACGCGCCATCTTCTACGCACTTTACCTTCTAGTGTGCCCGTTGTCGCAACGGCACGGTCGGACTTACAAGGGACGAAGGAAAGGATCCTGTCAGATATAGAGTTATCTGAGGATCAAGCGTGGCGTCTCGATGTGCGTGAATGCCATCTGCTTGAAGAGTCATCCATCTCCGACTTGGCAGGTTACTGCCAGGACAGGTATAATGACAAGTCGAAGGAGGCCAAGGCTCACTTGAGGCTTGCGTTCATGCTTCCTGGTATGCTGTATCCTGAACGGGCGCCGGACAAGATCGAATATGACTCGGCGCTGGAGACATTGAAGCTCAATCTTCTGGCGCCGATGATGTTGGTGAAGCATTTCTCTCGGTTTCTGCCACGCAAGGCGACGAAGCTCGAGGCTTTGTCAGGGCTGCCGGACTCGGCGGTTCTTGCACTAATGAGTGCTAGAGTGGGCTCAATCGGCGACAATCGATTGGGCGGTTGGTATAGTTACCGCTCATCCAAGGCTGGAGTCAACCAGCTTGTCAGGTCGACTGATATACATTTGAAAATGCAGAGTGGGAAGAACGCCATGTGTATCGGATTGCATCCTGGAACGGTCAAGACCGGCTTGAGTGAGCAGTTCTGGGAGAGTACGCCAAAGGAGAAGTTGTTCAGTGCAGAGTTCAGTGCAGAGAGGTTGATTGAGGTGGTGAATGGGGTGGATGAGAGCGGAAGAGGGAAGTGCTGGGACTGGAATGCAAAGGAAATACCTCCCTGAAAAGGTCTCCATGAGAGTGACATATCAGGCCTGGTGCTACAAGTTGAGGGAGAAGTACGAGGTATGTACTTAGCTTCACCGAATGCAGCAAGGTTTGGGCAATGACATCTTTTTGCCGTGGGGCTTATCAAGGGATCATCTACACCGACAATGTTTCGATATAGGCAAAGGACGCTCGAACGTGAGTTATACAGCCGTGAAGCTCCGAAGCGATGTACCTTGGAGGAAGACGGTTCATTCTGTTTGCACCATGTTAGGCGCCGGCTGATTAAGTTATTGCGTTTGATGGGCCACGCGATGACAATTTCCATTGCGTGGTGCAGCAAGGCTGACTGTGATTTTATATCATCAGTCCCACCGCATCCAACTGGCCAGACGGATTGCAGAGGACGGGTTAGAAGGCAAAGCCATCATGTGTTTGAACCGTCAACCAGCGGCGGAACCAGGCAGGCATTGATGATGATTCAGCGAGAGGGAGTGGCTGTCAGCTAGTTGGAGGGGCCACCCACCTAGTGACCCTGAGCAATACGCTAAGGAGCAAGCCTCTGACAGAAAAGTTGGGGGTTGTCGGTGACGGGTTCTTTAGGCCTGACACGATGCTCCAGCGAGTGCGGATCGAGTTGGATTTGTGTTTCAACAGGCATCAATAATAATGCAAGTGAGATACCTCATAATTGTTCGTACTTATTACCAGTTTGCGTAAATTCGAATGTTTCTCCAAACAGCTGGCCTTGCATGAGATATACAAATCCGAATAAATTGGAACGAGAGTTTCGAGAGCGAGAGAGATTTGCATCTCGCCTGAGCCTGTCCGTTCTGGACATGATCAAGCCCCGGGGGGAGTTCATCCATGGTGCAGACTTCAGTGGAAGCTAACACGCTACTTAGAAACTAGCAGTCTTTAGTGGCGTGGATCATGGTTTGGAGGGCCCGGGATTGGACTTTCAGGCATGGGCTCTGCCTCTCCCAGTGGGTGGGCACCCTCTGATTCAGTGATTCTCCCGGGCAGTCGGGGAGGAGAAAGACCCGCTGCAAGCCTCTGGTTCTGCCAATCACACTCTAGCCATGCAACTCGGTGGGCGAGCAGTTCAGTTCTCTGTGTCCAGTCTACTTAAGGTAGGCACTGCCACTATTCCCCTTTCTGACTCTTTCCTTTCCTCTCTCGTCCACTGTCCACATCTTTCCTCTCTCGAGTCTCTTGCCTTTCACGTTCAGGCTTCTGTCCCGTGCAACCACCAATATCAATCGCCTCCCTTCTGTAAGAGGTTACAACCTGAAGGAACTTCCAAAGTCCCTTTGTGGTTTTTTTCGAAAAAGCTTGAACTGGTGTGGTCGACTCCCGACTCCCGTCCACCTACGAGTACCACTTCCACAAAAAGGTACGTGTGTCAAACTGTTCTTGTTCTGGCATTGGTGTCTTGTCCATTCCCCTTCCATCCAAATGCGAACATCATCTTTTTCAACCTTGCCCCATCGAGAGACGACCAGTATCCAACGCGTCGCGTCGAATACCATCAGGACCTGGCTTTTCTGTTCAACTGCACAAGACGCACGAGAATATGTACTTGTATATTCCATCTCGACAATCCCAAATTACTCAACGGCTCCACCACTGTTACCTGCAGCACCTCTCTGGCCGGACCCCGGAAGCTCAAGAATCAATGCACGGCTGCTCTGCACGTTCCAACCAGCACCACTGCAACGAAAGAACCCTGGCCGCCAAGCCTAACGTCCAGCCCCCTCTGGTTGATGCACCTGCTCTTTCCTCCAATGCAACCCACTGGAAGTCACGCTGCCCATTGAGGTTCCCTCCTTCCCTGGTCCCCACCCTCTCTCTCACTCTGCATCCTCAAGGCTCTCCTTCACCGATTGGCACTTGCCCCTCGACCACACCCTCCCACTGTTCTTGCCCGCCTTGCCGAATGCCCACTGCCCTCTGCTCTCATTCTTTCTCTATTCATTTCAACACCAAACCCTTTTCTACTCAATTCAGCCCATACAGAAAGTGGTTACCTCCTTCTATACCCAAAACCCACTTCTTATTCCCCTTTCAGTTTGATTGTCGCACATCCTTCAATCCACAAAGCTTGAGTCTTCAACACGTACCTGTCATTCCCCCGGATTGACCTAGTCCTCTTTCTGCCTGTGCCTACATCCGCACCTCTCACTTGTCCGCGTACGTTGCAGTGACATACTTCACCATCCAATCCATAACTTCACCTACACGAAGTGTTCACAAACATTCCTACTGCCTCCACGATATCCACTGCCTCGCCTCAACTGGTTTCTTGCTCTTGCTGACTCAATTCTTACAGAGCCTTGACCAACATCATCAGCTGCTCCACGTGGCTGTAGCCTTTCTGACCAACAACTCTTAAGGTTCGTATCCCATCACCGATTTCCTCTTTCGTCTATTGACTCTTGCTTCTTTGGGCAGATCCTGTCATATTTGATTCGTTGCACGAGTGCTCCAACATGGCCGACATCACCGATCCCTCAGCTGGCCTTGACCATCCTTCTCCCGGCGACGATCTGACTGGCAATGGTGTCGATTCTCGAGGCACAAAGAGACAGCGAACATCGATGGCGGGAGATGACGACGACGATGATGACGAGAAGGGTGGACGTGAGCGCAGAAAGATTGAGATCAAGTTCATTCAAGACAAATCCCGTCGTCACATCACCTTCTCGAAACGAAAAGCTGGTATCATGAAGAAGGTCGGTCAAGTCCAGGACGCTTTTTGCCCAATCGTCCCAGACTCTAACTTTTGTCCTAGGCTTATGAACTCTCTGTTCTTACTGGCACACAGGTGCTTCTCCTAGTCGTCTCCGAAACTGGTCTGGTCTACACATTCACCACTCCCAAGCTGCAACCACTTGTCACCAAGGCTGAGGGCAAAAACCTGATTCAAGTATGCAATGCCTGCCCCGACCCATGTTCCTAAATTAACCTTTGCTAGGCATGCTTGAATGCACCCGAACCTTCCGGTAACGAAAATGGTGTTGATGCCGCCGATGATGTTGCATCACCTGATGATGTGCCCCCAATGCCCCCAACTGCTGCTGGAATGCCCCGAGCTGCTCCCCATGGTGGCTACATGACTCAAGAACAACAACAGCAAGCAATGTATTACCAGTTGCAACAACAACAAAACCAGGGCGGTCAATACGCAGGTATGCCACAGATGCCCCAGCATCAACGCGCATAATCCACCCTAGCTTCCTCACATAACGATACCCACAATTCGCGGTTGCTCTCAATCGAATCGTATGCAACACTTCGACAGTGACACAAGCCATCGTCGCAAGTCTGGTGAGAATCGATCCGAGTCATAACTCTACACCATCTACCAGATGTACCTCTTCTCCAATCAACTGGCGTTTTCAAGTATTTCATGAATCATCAGCCCGGGGTTCTCTATCAATTTCAGAAGTGGGAGTGTACATTCCAGATCCAGGTCCACATCATTACCTAAGTCTGTGTATGACTCAATTCATTGGAGTCGTAGGAAACTTATGGGGCACGGACGGCTAGATGGGAGGGCAAGTGGGTGCTATTTTATGATTAGGACCTGCTTCTCTCGTCAAGCACAGAAAATGTCAAGTTGATTCTTCACAATTGTTCGACTACTCTGCCAATAATGAAAACTCTATCGAAACCCATCATACTCAATTCTTGAACTCGATTCTTCCGGTCCTTCAGGCCATCTTGCATTCGTGCTCTACAATTTGCTTCCTACCCATGTCGGTTGTCTCTTTTCCACAAATGCTCGAACGCCTTCATGCAAATTCTCTCCCTCGTTTAATCTCCTTCCCCAGACTTCCACGATGTTTGTGCTTGCATGTTCTGCAGATCCATCTTCCCATCCGAGGATGATGCCAGCCCGACTAACGATCACGCTATCAGGAGAATTGCTTGCAATCTGTTCTGCATACTCCAAAGCCTTTTGAACAACGGGCCGGGAAAGCACATGTGCATCAGCCGGTGCATCATCAGTCACGGCATTGACAAACCCCCACTCCTTCATCTCCCTCGCGGCGACCGGCCTGCCAGTCAGAGCGAGCTCCATTGCTCGAGGTCTTCCCAAAGTCCTAGCAATCCTAGGCAATGCACCAGCGATGGCGACCGTGCCACGCTTAACTTCGGGAAGACAGAATTGCGCACTCTTCGCAGCCACGACCAAGTCCATATTCGCCACCATCTCCAATCCGGCACCAAACGCCAGTCCATTGATCGCGCCGATCAGCGGCTTCTTGCCACTCCGGCGACTGACGGCTCCGAAGCCGCTGGCTGGTAAGGTACTTTCCCCGCCAGTTGTCTTGGCCGCAGTGCGTGCATTGCTCTCGTTCCACTCTTTCAGATCGGCGCCGGCACAGAACGCTCGCCCTGCGCCTGTCATGATTGCGCATCGCAGCCCGGGCTCGTTGTCATACCAGGCCAGCAGCCTGTCGAGAGACCAATGTACCGGGGTAGACAGGGAATTCAACGACTTGGGGTTGTCGAGGACGATGAGGAGTATTTGCGAAGTAGGGAACAGAATCTTCGTCGAGAGTAACTCCGGTGGAGGTGTCTTGAACGATGTGGTCGTCGACATGCTGAAGGTTCTGATCACCCTTTCTGGTACTCACTTCTTCCTCTCAAGAATTCCACGTTTTTGCTTCTGATGATAGAATCGTTCCTACTCATTCGCGTCAGGCAGTGCAGAATAATTGGAGTCGAGGGCACCATGACGGCCAATTTAGGAAAGCTCCCTGAATATAAATACAGACTTCGCGTGATTACTTATCCAGGCATATTGCAGGTCACCGCATGAAGGTCTCCTCAAATTCAGACCAACTTCTCAAAAGCTTTCACCTACCATTGAAGCGGGTCACTGACCATGACCATTGAGTCTAACCGCTACCATTATCCATTACCGAGGTCATAAGGCTCCACAAATTCAGGAGATGATTAATCTTTTCAATTTCATCACAGGAGGTGTACTTCTGCAGAGATCTTATGCTGTCCTTTTGACGACATGTTTTGCAGAAGCGGCCGAGGTGGGCAGCTTAATCAAGTTGTTGAAGTCGGTCGCGAGCCTCAGGCTCGACTTCTCTGGAGAGTGTGGATATACCTGGGGACGGAGGACAACTAGCTCCGATGTTCAGGGAACTGGTCAGTTTTAAGTATGATTGAGGAATATTTCTAAGCAGGTAAATGGTGGAGTATCTCTTTTCCGGACAATCATCACGAGGTTTTCATTATCTCCGCCATCATGTTGGGATCGATTGTGAACGCGAGAACTTGAACAAAGTTCAATCGCGCCAACTCTGAAGTCACTAAATACCCCGCTTAGTCATAGTGTCATCAAAGGCGTATATACGCGGAGTGTCGATCAGATCATGATGAAGCTATAGGTCGACAGCCCGGCAGGAATAAATAGCCCTGACCGGACGTCTATCCATTGTGGAGTTAATGAAAGGACCATTGGACTGCAAGGAAACATCTGAGTTTGAAGTCTCCCGAGACTACACCCGAGCTATTAAAAAGAAGCAAAGTCAACAAGCACTTCTTCATCATGTCCTCCGGCGGCTTTGAAACGCTGCCGAACGGTGCGTCTAGCACCATCAAGCCATGGAGAGTGGATATCCCGCAGGAGAGTCTCGATGAGCTGAACGTCCTACTCAAACGGACGCCCCTCGCACCACCAACGTACGAGAACTCTCTTCCAGACGCCGAGGACAGACATCTAGGCGTGAGACGAGACTGGCTCACCGCAGCCAAAAAGCATTGGGAAGACGGCGGGTTCGACTGGAGGAAAAAGGAAGAATACATCAACACGTTCCCACACTTCAAAGCGCAGATCCACGACGACGCTCTGTCAAGCGACTTCGACATCCACTTCGTGGCACTGTTCTCCAAGCGCAGCGATGCTATCCCAATCGTGTTCGTGCACGGCTGGCCCGGCAGCTTCCTGGAATTCCTGCCTATGCTCGAACTGCTCCGCTCCCGATACAAGACCGCGGACGAGCTCCCTTACCACCTCATCGTCCCCAGCCTGCCTGGCTACACGTTCTCCTCAGCACCACCACTCGACAAGAACTTCACCATCGACGACGCGGCGCGGCTCTTCGACCGCCTGATCGTTCACGACCTCGGTCTCTCGGCATACGTCGCGCAAGGCGGGGACGTGGGCGGGCGAGTCGCACGCAGCCTGGCAAGCCAGTACGAGCACTGCAAAGCGGCGCACCTCAACACGGCCCCCATGCCCGCGCCGGACCCGTCGAGGCTGCAAAGCCCCATCAGCGCGCTGGAGCACGAAGGCATCGAGCGCGGCAACCAGTTCACGCAGACGGGCAGCGCGTACGCGATCGAACACGCCACGCGCCCGAGCACCATCGGGTTCGTGCTGTCGAGCAGCCCAGTCGCACTGCTCGCGTGGATCGGCGAGAAATTCAGGGACTGGACTGACGCCGACCCGCCCCTCGACACCATCCTCGAGTCCGTCGCCCTGTACTGGCTCACCAACTGCGCCGCCACCAGTCTCTGGTCGTACCGCCAGGTCTTCGGGCCGGACGCACAGACGCATTCGTCCGAGAAGTGGTACATTGGCAAGCCCTTTGGTTTCTCGTGGTTCAAGAAGGAAATCTCACCCGTGCCCAAGGCTTGGGTCGAGCTTACGGGGAACTTGGTCTTTCATCGCCAGCATGACAAGGGTGGTCATTTCGCGGCCCTGGAGCACCCGCAGGTCTTGTGGGACGATGTCGAGCAGTTTCTGGCCCAGGTACGCGGCCAGTGTGGGTTTTGAGTGGTTGGAAGTCAATGGTAAACAGCCAAGTGGTTTTCAAATGAAGTCTTAACTGGCGAGTATCGTATGTCTAATCGGTGTTGTATTACCGATCCCGCTTGAAGTTTATTGGTGGGCATACCGATTCGTGTTCGATCACAAATCTCGACTCTTGATTCTCAAGTCGAAAGTGGTGAAAACAATCGATGTGGAGTGATTGATTAGAGCCAAGACTGTTAGTATACAAGTGTCAGTAATATAATACGTGATCAAGGGATGATGCGAACTGGAAGGGATGGTAAGAGACAGAAGTGAAAACAAGCAAAAGAAGTGAGGTTGACACGATATTTGATTATTCATGTCTATTGGCTTTTGAACTCCTTGAACCAAGCCCATTGATCACAATATGATGAGATGCCACCAGCATCCATATCTATCAAAGCCCTCAGGCAATCACAAGAAGCTAGAAGTTGTTGTGTGATGGTAAGAGCTAGAAATCCGGTTTATAGCGGTCCCATCTTCCTCGTAAAATCATCACCCAGGGTCATCGTCTCATGACGGTCATGTGTGCATGTTGTCAAAACATTCGCAGATCACTTCTTCTCGCCCTGGACGAGCTTGACCTTTTCGAGAATCTTTGGGTAGAGAGGATGATCCTTCTCCAGGCCGGTGAGTTTGGTGGTAGCTTCATCGGCAGAAAGGGTGCTCAGGATCTCTGCAAGCTCCTTGCTCTCGTCATCACCTTCAACGTTTTGGAAGCGAAGAGCGTACTCGACACCGCGGACCAGAGCAGTGACGTCATAGCCACGTTCGGCGAGCTGAGCAGCAGGACCAATGAATCGCTCCTTGCGACCAAGTTTGCGGAGGGGAGCACGGCCGACACGAACGGGAACATCCTCAAGATGGGGGTTGGAGATACGGGCGATGATGGTATCAACATACTTCTGTTGTTCTTCAGGGGTGATGCCATGCTTTCCACTGATCAGATGAGCAGTCTCCTCGAGAGCCTCATGGACTTCCTGTCGGATCTCCTTGTCGGCCATAGCCTCATGAATGGTCTTGATACCCTTCTGATAGGCGAAGTAGGCAGCAGTAGCGTGGCTGGTGTTGACGGTGAAGAGCTTACGCTCAATGTATGGCTCAAGGTCATCGACCCAGTGGATGCCCTTGACGTTGGGATGACCAGACTTGAAGCCGCTGGTCTCGACACACCATTCGTAGAAAGATTCAATGACAACGTCGAGGTTGGCATCGGCAGGTTGGGTAGGGACAATTCTGTCAATAGCGGAATTGCCAAATTCAGCTTTGCTGCCAAGATCTTTGAGGATCTCAGGCTTCAAGTTCTTGGGGTCGGTGATGAGGGCTTTGAGGGCATCAGTTGCGTTGATCATGTTCTCACAGGCAATGACTGCAAGAGGCTTTGAGGCAGTGCGTGCAGAGATACCATCGGCGATAGGCTTGGCGATGAACTTGAGGACATTGGGGCCAACAGCGCAGGTGACAATGTCTGCGTTGGCAATCTGTTCAATGACATCGTCCATGTTGTACTTTGAGTTGATGGCACGATAATTGGTGATGGTCTTGCTCTTTTCTCCATCTTCACCAACTTCAGTGATCTTGTAGGACTTGGTGGCATTGATGCGGTCAATCAAGTCGTCAACAACATCGACAAAGACGACGGCGTAGCCTGTCTCGTGAAGAAGCTCGGCGATGAAACCACGGCCAATGTTGCCTCCACCGAAGTGAACAGCGGTGCCAGGCATGGTTGCTATTGAGTCAGATCGACGCGATGAAGAAAGGGAAAGTCACTGACGTCGCGAATGATTAGTGAGATGGACGCGAGAAAGGAGGGAAGAGACATACCGTTGTGATTACTTTGGCTCTTGGAGAGAAGACAACGTCGCGCGAGAGAGATTGCTGAAGAACTTGTGGTGTCACTTGAAGAAGGACAGCTGTGAGAATAAAGAAGTTTTTGAAGACTGGAAGACAAGTGAAAAGCTAGTGAGAAGGAAATATTTATGGGAAGTCGGTCAACAAAAAGCCGTAGTGAAGTGGGATGGCGACAGTCACGACCTGTGGCACCTGCACCTGAAAAGTGATGCAAAGTGAGCTTCAGGTTCCTTCCAGTGGTGAAGCAACCCCGCGTGCGTCACTGCGGTGAGACGATAAGTCAACCCCCAGGGCTTTAGGACAGGAGGTAGTGACGTCCCGCCCCTTAGGCTTGATAAGTCCCAACTGACGCCGAAAGGAAAGGGAAGCTTGGGCAGTTCTTGCCGCAAATTCAGCTTCACGATTGGCCTAATTAGACCTCCCTCGTCCCCGTAGTCCCCCCGGCCGCTCTCATCGGGCCACCATTCCACTTTCCGTTGCGCCCAAGCGCTTGGCCACACCTTCGATCTGAAACATCCTGGTCCTTACCTCATTAGCATCAGTAAAACAACCGACCGTCACATGCATCATATACTCGGTAGTAGACAGAAGAGATACATATAATTTTGATATTACCTGAAAGTCTCAGTTGGAGATCCATGATATAGTCAATCCAAGGTTGTTGTTACATTTAGTCATTCGCTTGCTATACTACGCCAATACTTTATCTCGCTTGTCAAGCTGAGCTACCAACAGGTAATACCTCACCCCTCAGATCCTGCCCTTCTCTCCATAGTGGCGATCTTTGCGCCTCCCCCCACAACATTGTGCAATGGACACAATAGCGGCAAGCAGCATCAATGCCGTAGCTGCCCAGGTCATTCCGAGGAACCGTCCTCCTTTATATGCTGCAATACCAATATCATCACCATACTTGTTGATGGTGTTTGTTGCTTTGACAATAATTGCTGTCGCAATGGCAGATGCAATTCCAATGCTGAGAAAAGCAAGCTAAGAAAAAACACACAAGTTATTAGCGTCAATCCCTCGTCTCGATTCGGATTGAAAAGACTCACAAAATCAATCACGAAATTGACCAAACCAGACAAACGCCCAGAGCTGAAAATGGCCCAGATGGCGGTGAGAATTGCAATTCCTGAAAAAGCAATCCCAATAATGTAGCACACCACCATGGCGTTCGAGGCGATCCGGATAGCACGCTCCGCGTCCTGAATCTCATCAGGCCAGTGGATATCCTCAAGAGTGATCCCACTTGGAAGTGCATCCTCCACAATCTTGGTGGGTTCGAAGTGGAAAAACGTCGTGCGGTTTGAGCATTCCGTGGTGTTCATGCTTGGGTTTTTAACTGTGCTGTTGGGCGAGTAAGAGCCTTGACAAAAATCCATCACGTGGACTCTGAAGAAGTCTGGCAGGTCGAGCGCTTCTGCAATATCAGAAGTAACATCGTTGATGAGATCATTAACCTCCTCCTGCAAGTCGTTGACTAGGTTATCGAAGAATCCTCCATCACCATCCGTGGTGTTGAACAGACTGGTGTGGCCTATCCGCGAGATATTCAGCTGCCAGCTGTCAGTGACGGGTTCATCCAGTTCGAGTACTCTTCCTTACCGTCATCATATCTGAATCTTGGAGGAATGATTTGGTGGATCCTGCGAACAGTGAGAGGATCGATAGGACCAATGCCGCAATGGCACAAGCCAGCGTCAAGAAAGCTGTCAGCCTCATATTGTATATCGATATTTTATATTGTCAATCGAACAATTGATTGGAATACTTTATAACCGACACTAGCAATATGGTGACAAAGCAGTAGTACAGGGAGACAAAATCTGGGGAATGAATCCAGAAAGCCAACGCTTTAAGAATCACGAAGTTGACATGGCCCAAGAGCAAACGCTCGCATGGGCGACTCACCTGTTTTATTTTAGATTTGCGTCAAAACCTGCATTGACAATGTCGTCTGAGATCGATCAGTTGGGCAGACGTAACGGCTGATGGTGAGAACAGGCCTGTTCACGAGGAGCGCCAGGGGTTTGAATGACCGAGGTGGAGGCTGGACTGGTTGGTTTAGATCGAATGAGTCCAAGCGCCGCCTTTGTTTCTTGAGAGAAACTGTGGAAACACAGCCTGGTGGCCGTGGGTGGACAGTGGACACCACTTAGCATTTGATCGTCCGGCGCCACCTCTTCGACTGGAGCTTCCCAAGCTGGCTGATGCCCTATCACCACCAACTGGAATCTCAGCCACACTGGGATCGTCATTCTCCACCAGGCCCGTCTACGTCATCTTATACCACGGGCTTCAATCTCAGCTGGTTCCTGGTGCAACTAACCAAGTTTTTCGACAATGAATGGCTTGAGCCGTTCATCGTCGCTTACAACTTTGGGTATGGTGGAAATTGAAATGATAGTACTCCTTCATGGCACGTGTTTTTCTTCTGCAGGTCAGATGCTAACTTCCGTACGGAGTAAGGCTGGCTCCGTGCAACCAGAGAAGGCAGCAATCAGCTCCACATCACATGCACCGAATACTTGGTTCACAGACCACACAGAGTAAAGAAGTAAACCTCAGTTTCAACGATGTATCTGTGGATACAACAACTATGTCTATTCGTTTGATTGTCCACAGTGTTCCGTATCAACATTCCACACATTCTGGGTAACAATCACGCGGGAATGTCTTTCACCCCTGGTGTAATTCCGACTCATTCAGCCAGTCTGATTTCATGTAGAGGTTCCGGGGTCTCGTGGTGAAACCACATCACAACGAGTGATCTTGTGCCAGAACCTCCTCAACATCGTTAGTGATGATTGGTACATGTGACCGGTGTCTTTTGCTTTTCTCAAAGCCCAGCACAACAAAGGAAGTCAGCATCTGGTTCCAGTCTTCCTAAAAATCTTTTCATTTGGAATCATACAATCCAGCCTTGATTTCAAAAGGTCTCGTGCTTGTAGCCGGTCATAAGCGAGTAGTGATTGACGAAAGCCAGCCTCGACTGTCTTAGCTGTCAATGAATGTGTGGGCCACGTTCAAGGTTGTATCATGGCAGCCTTTCAACCACAATTCCCGAGGGTTAGGAACGTCTGGGCAGGGCATTCAAAGTGTTTTGCTCCATAACCTACTGCCGACTGCCTTTGAAACCCATTTGACATTGCACACGAGTAGATACAAGACCTTGGAGAGGATGATTGAGTGTAAGAACGCCTCGTATCATCATTCCGAAACTCCAGAATCTGGTTGTAGATCTTGAGTATCGCGTCTCAGCTCTTTGATTGCTGTCTTGGTCATGTTTTAACACACGGCATTGTCAAATTCGGTGGGTGGTTCTTACTGCCAGAGCTTCAGGATTGACTCCATTTTCTACTAGCGATACGCAAAGAGACAACTGTGTACGGTCAAGTTGTGTATTCTGGTCCCCGAATTCAGTAGAGCCCGGAGGATTGTGAGAGTGTTCCCATTACCAGCAAGATTGAGATCTCTTCCAAAATGTCAACGACTTCTCTTGCTTTTTCACGCTTGGAATCTGTTGACGGCATGATAGATTTTGGATCAGGCTCGGTCCACGGGTGCAAAACTGATGTTGAAGTCCCACTGCAGCACAATTCGGATTTCCCTGAATGACTTGCTCAATAGAGGAATGCTGGTGGACCAAGTTCAAACGTGGTCGCGGATTCAACTTTCAGGTAGACGCGTTGTGAGCACGCTAGTACCAATACGGCTAGACCATCTTCGAAAGGGACCCGGAGCTTCTCAGCGCAACTCTTGATCTACATCAGATATGTACCTACAAGCACATCTCAGGCTCTTTGACCCAGCGTGCTCCCATGTCTCAATCGCCATTCATTGAGCCATCCAAGAGTTTGCAATGACCGGCACCATGGGTCACGCTGGAGCAGCGCCTTCCGCCATGCCTTACAAATTCATGAACCTACGAAAGATCTCTCGAGTGGACAGTGGAGATTTGATTCAAGAACTGCGCAGATTAGAGCGAAAGACATTTCCTTCGTCAGAAGTCTTCCCATTCGAGCAGAGTATCTTGAGCAGACAAAACACCGAGGTTCTTGTTGGGCTGTCTGATGCGCCAACCCTAGGTAGGCTCGTGGCTTATGCTGTATGTGTAAAATCTAATCATCGATTACTGCTTCATAAAGTATGTGTCTCACCAGCGCATAGACGACAGGGGCTGGGAGCAAGACTTCTGGAAATGCTCGTTCAACAAGCCCGTACATGGTCTTGCCGAGGAATTGACCTCTGGGTCCACCAAGAAAACTATAGCGCCATACGTCTATACACCACTTCTGGATTTCTGGTGCAAGACACAGTTGACGATTACTATGCTCCTGGGCAAACTGGGATTAAAATGTCACACCCTTTGCAGCCCTGAAACGGACTTTTGATACGTACAGGTGGCGCATTCTCTTTGCTCAATTACCCCTTGCAGAGCTCCAGGAATCACAGATGCCAACCCCTGCGAAAGGTCATAAAGTGCGTACAGACGCTGGTCGTGCCTTTAGGCTGCTCTCTAGTGTACTCGTCTCAAAGGTGCTACACCTTCAAATGCATTCACATCAGAGCTTATGAATGCCTCTCAATGAACGCAAGACGCCCTCACTGGGAAGTCTGTTTACTCTCTTGATCAAAGCTGCTTCGTGTGTGCCATATCTATCGTTTCCAATCAGTTTTCAGGTTCCACCTGTGGCATATGCTTCACTTCCATTCGACTTTCAGTTTGCCGCCACAACTTTCACCTCGACTGGTCCTCAAGTCCTCTATGGCTTGTCCAATGGCCCAGAATGGCTAAACCTCGACACTATTGGTCGGCGTCTATACGGAACTCCTCATGCAGACGATGTGGGAGCTACAACATTTCAGCTGACTGCTTCAGATGTTGCAGGAGCTACAACGACCAGCGTTGCCTTAGTCGTACTTGACTCCATGGTCCTGACGCTACGGGAGCCCATCACGGCATACCTGGCTGAACCTAGGCCGGCTTCATCATCGCCTCATTCGCTGTTCCTACGCCCGGCGCAGCCCTTTACATTCAAGTTTGATCGCAGCTTGTTTGGTGGTTCGAATGCTGATACCGAATATTACGCGATCTCGGAAGACAATTCTCCGCTCCCTTCATGGCTACAATTCGATGTCACAGAGCTCCTGTTCTCAGGTGATAGCCCTCCGTTGCGCTCGAAGACGGCGCCTGCACAAAGATATGGATTTCGGCTGATTGCATCCAATATCGCGGGCTTCGCTGAGGCGATTGCTAAGTTCGATGTAATCATCGATCTTCACATCCTGGCCTTTACGAACCCTTCTTACACTATCACGCTGACTGCGGGCGAGCCTTTGGACACTATACCCCTTCGAGATCTGTTGATGCTGGACGATCGGCCTATCTCAGATGATGAAATTGCGAGAGTTGTCATAGACGGACCACCCTGGGTCGAATTGAATGCGAGTGAAATGTCACTAAGTGGCTACCCCAAGTCACAAACCAATACGATCATTACAATTTCCGTGACAGATGTGTTTCGGAACAGTGCTAATGCAACATGGTCGCTTGATTTTGAGGAATCGCCCATTGTATCTTTAGGTGTTGTTGCAGATATCGAGGTCTCGGCAGGACAGCATCTTCAATACACTTTTGATATCCCACCAAAATTCTCGTCGATGCAAATAGACCTTGACCATGAAGATGGATTGAGTTGGCTCAAGTATAATGCAACAAACATGACCATATATGGCGATATACCTTCATCCTCACCAACCAACGTTTGGAATGTCTCAATCTCCTTCCAAAATGCAACAGTAAGTGCCACAGGTGTTGTCATCCTACGTGTGACAACGAGCATTAGACCGACTACAACAACCTCAACAGTGGACGAGACAAATACACCCAGTGGTCCGAGTACTTCTCTTGGAGCTACTATAACATCAAAGGTGACCCCAAATCGGCAAGCTTCGGATAGCGACTGGAACCCTGTCCTTCTCGCTGTCTGTTTGTCTGTTGTTGGATTCATCGTCGTGTGTTTGATCTTTCTCCTTGTGTTGTACCGCCATCAAAAAAGACGGAAGGATAAGGACAATACTGTAGACAACGCAACTCCTTCCCGACCGACATCGCCAAATGAAAACGGGACTAACGGGTTACAACCATTATCACTCTTATCGCTCACGTCGACCATTGAGCACCCGGAACCTGTGAGGAGTAACCTTCCCCTTAGACCACCGAGGATTGATCTTGCGTGGTCGAATGATTCTTTGCAAAAAGCAAAGTCAAGAATATCAGGCTCAAGATCTTCTGAGCAGCAGAGAATGTCTAGACTGTTTAACGTGGATTCAAATGCGGCAGGTCCGAAAGCTCCGCAAGCGTCAACGCAGGTAAGGAACGCGAGGAGTAGAGGAGGTAGTTCGCTGGGGGAATGGCAGCCATTTCCGTTGCAGGACAGTCTCCTGGCCTCTTCAATGAATCAGCCGATCGCTTCCACCAGCCTGAGCTGCATAAGAGGCGCAAGGAGAAGCTTGCAAAGCCCACCAAAACGCGGATCGATAGGACTTCCAGACAGGAGAAGTGGTGCAGGACATGGTTCTGGTATCATAAGCGACACTGGGATGGAACATGAGTGGGGAGACCCATTGACACCGTGTCCTGTGAATGGAAAACATCGCAGTACAGTGGCTCTTGAATCATTCCCTCTCCCACCTTCGGAGCCAGCAAGTGCTACAGCAAGATCTATTTCACCTTTCGGGGTACTCTTTGAGTCGATTGAGGGATCGTTGAGTTTTGAGGCAGAGCGTCAGAAGTGGCATACAGAGCGTGCTAGAGCCCGCTTAGAAGGAGCAGCCCGGTTCTCAAATCGGGGCTCTTCAAGGTTGATTTCCGCCTCGCGATACAACAATCACGAGAAGAGCAAGCTGGGGATCTCAACACTTTCGGGTGGGAGCGCTATGGAGCACCACCATGAAGTCCGCGATCAACTAGAATCCAGGGAGCATTCATGGTCAAAATGGTCAGGAACTGGTCCAGCAGCTCAAGACCTAGAACTGATGCGCAGTCCGCTTGGAAACACTGAAGCAAGCATGATTAATAGAAAGAGAGGCGGTAGCACCGCAAGCAGCAGACAATTTGACTCCGTCGCCTCCTCAGGCAGTTTATGGGAAGATGAAAGTCCTTCCAAAGCACCAGAAATCACGGGCGCACGTTTGCCATTCAGTCCGTTGACACAGTCACAAGAGAACATGAGCGGAGGCGATACGGAGGCTTCCTTGAGACAAGAGCGAGTGGCAGACAAGCGAAAGCCGGTGAATGTGGAAAATCGTGGGTTGAGAAGGGTTCAAAGCAGCCAACAGGGTAGTCTTAGTAGTCTACGGTATGTTTGAAATATATAATGGGACGGTTGGAAAGAATGAAGTTTCTGCAGTAAGTATCTGGCTTGGTGTTATGATAGAAAGATGCTAATTCATGTTAGAAGCCTTATGGCATATGAGGTAGACAGCGACAGGTATTCGACAGGATTGCATTTTGAGATGAATAATCATTTGATCAAGTCGCACAAAGGGATTCTTAGTATTGTAGTCGCCGTAATATCGCTCATTTACTTGGACACTATTTCTGTGGTGGCACGGGGAAGGTCTAGTTAAGTGGTGGGGGGCCCTTCGGGTGTGAGATAAGCGGATGTTAGGTGGGTGATCGAGTCTTCTGGGGGCTCGGGGTCAAATATGAATGCCTGAAGGCTTAGCGAGTGGTTGGCTTGGCAGCGAAACCTCACCGTTGCGTAGCAGCCAGCTTACCTGCAACTTAAGTGAATGATGCTGCGGGCTGGAGTGAGGCGGGACCGATTTTCAAGGTCGTCATTTTATCGCACCCAGAACCATCCAAAGCCTACGACACCCACCTCTTCCAACTTACATCTTTAATCCCTGCACGCGACAACTCGACTTTTCTCATTATTCTTGTCCTGCACTCAATTCTATCTCACCGTCCACCAGTGCTGAAGTGAACCCGTCGCGACCTCACTTCAGTCGATCTGGGCTGTCTCGCCCTCCTTTCTCCCCCCATTGAAATCTGCACTCCCTATCCCCGCCTCTTTTTCGAAGCTTATGACAACGCGCGACCGTACATGACCATTGCAATAATTCATCTCCATCAGACTATTCGAGACAGTCACCATGGGTCAGACTTTGTCGGAGCCCGTCGTTGAAAAGGTGCGGTTTTTGTCTCCCCCTTCTCCCCACTACTTGTCACCTGTTCTTCACTACCTGCACTCGGCGGCGCGACCCACTATCAAGGCACCGGATCTACCTCGTTAATTGCGTTTCACTCCTCACAAACATCCTCTCATGATTACGGTGGACAACCGTGGCTAATCAAAGTTTCCAAAGTTATCCGACAGTGGCGCAGATGACTGTGTCCTGTATGGCCTTTCGGCCATGCAAGGATGGCGCATAAGTATGGAAGATGCACATGCTGCAATACTCGACCTACAACCCGAACAGAATGGACAAACTCTGAAACCTGCTCCCCCTGATAAACGTCTTTCGTACTTTGGAGTCTACGATGGGCATGGTGGTGAGAAAGTGGCCCAGTTCGCGGGTGAAAACATACACAAGATTGTGGCCAAACAAGAAGGCTTTGCCAAAGGTGAAATTGAGCAAGCACTCAAGGACGGGTTCCTGGCAACAGACCGTGCAATCTTGTCAGGTCTGGATTTTCAGTTCTCTGGACAAGAAGATTACTAAGAATCGATATAGATGCCCGGTATGAGGACGAAGTCTCTGGCTGCACTGCTTCGGTCGGTGTGATCTCAAGAGACAAAATATGGGTTGTAAGTGTCGACCATTGGTATTTGTCAGTCTCATACTTCATCTGACTATCCCAGGCGAACGCTGGTGATTCCCGCTCAGTACTCGGTGTGAAAGGCAGAGCAAAGCCTTTGTCATTTGACCACAAGCCACAAAACGAAGGTAGGCAATTCTGTTCGTCACACCAAAGCTCGTTCTGACATATGCACAGGCGAGAAGGCTCGTATTAGTGCCGCTGGCGGTTTCGTCGATTTCGGTCGTGTCAATGGAAACCTGGCCTTGTCACGTGCTATTGGTGATTTTGAGTTCAAGAAGAGTGCTGATCTTTCACCTGAACAACAAATCGTCACAGCTTTCCCTGATGTGATAACACATGAAGTGTCGAGTGACGATGAGTTCCTCGTCATCGCTTGTGATGGTATGGTCAATCAAAGCATGAGATTCGGCGGCTACTTACCTTGCACGTGTAGGCATCTGGGACTGTCAGTCATCGCAAGCCGTTATTGAGTTTGTTCGCCGAGGCGTTGCTGCAAAGCAGGAACTGCATCTTATATGTGAAAACATGATGGACAACTGTCTGGCTTCCAACAGCGAGACTGGCGGTGTAGGCTGTGACAACATGACCATGATTGTCATTGCCCTTCTCAATGGAAAGACCAAGGAGGAATGGTACGATCTTGTTGCCAAACGTGTGGCCGATGGTGATGGTCCATGTGCACCACCAGAGTATGGTAAGTCCTTCCAGTACTCCCAAGGCGGGATTCTTTGGTCTAACGCTGTTCTATAGCTGAATTCCGTGGCCCCGGAGTGAGACATCAATTTGATCATGACAGTCCTGATGATGAGTATGAGTTAGATCTAGACCATCGATCTAGAGGATTCGGCGGTCGAAATGGCCGGATTATCCTTCTCGGAGACGGCACCGAAGTATTGACCGATTCAGACGACGCAGAAATGTTCGACCAAAGCGAAGAAGACAAGGACACAGCAAACCAGGTGAAGAAAGAGACCCCCGACACTTCCGACTTGGACTCGACCCGGAACGAGCGAGAAGGAACGCCAGGCCCGCAATCAGCCAGTGATGACAACAAAGCATCTAGCCATCGAGATGCATCCCATGGGCCCGGTACCGAGATCAAAGCAGTTGCTGATGAAACAGTGGAGAAGAAAGCTGCGTGAGGGATGGATGTAAAGGCAGATCCAGGCAGATCAAGTTTCATCACGAATCAAGATACCCCCCTGACCCCGTGCTTGTTGATGAAGTGACGGATTAACGGAATTCCGATGTATGACAGACCAGAACCATATCAAAGCCCAAACACATCTGGGCTGCCGCCTGGTGGTGGATGGGTTATTGATTTTCATGTTAAGAGCTACGAGCTAGGAACAGACGGCTACTTGCACAAGGTCCTTGTAGTAGATAACGATACATGACGCGTTTTGGCGAGTATCAAGGCGTGTCCAAGTCATGTTCCAATACAGAATCACAGAGCTTTATTGTCCAGGACTTTCGAGCCATCGATCTGCGGCAACCCGTGCCACAATACGAGAAGCTATTCGTATCATCGTATGTGCCAGTGCCACACGGCGGATGATGATGGTGATAATGACGTTAGATGTGGCTGTGCTTTGAATCGGGGATTGTGGCTGTGACGGCTGGGCGAAACAGATTATTGGCAGGATGTCGAGTCTCAAAAGGCCGTGATCTCGACCTTGAAGTCGACCCGTATTCCACACGCCATGGCCTGAAACATGGCAAAGTGCAGACCAGCATGACGTTGACTTGCAGCTTCCAGTTTCCTCGCATCGAAAAAAACAGGGAGAAGAGGACAAAAGCGTACTCGTAGCAGCCGTGAACGAGCACATGTTCCAACATTTGCCAACTGGCAATTACCTCACAGGCATAAGCTTTCGTCGGCCGGCCTGCTTTGGGCACCACTGCTACTGGCAGTCGGAGGGGGTTCCTCACCAAAAACCGCCCTTTAACTTTATGGTCTGGTCGGGCTTCAGCTCCAGTGGTGCCATTTGCTTTGCCCATCTTGTTATGCCCTTAGGTTCATCCCCTCCCTCTCAAGCTCTCCTCTCCGTGTGCCCCGTACTCCGTATTATTATTGTAGCCCATGCCTATCTGAATATTATTATTTCAACCTCCCCGTGCCCACTATTCTCCTAGTATTCCATCTCTCCACCGTGACGTTGGAAATTATTTACTCCTTCTTGGCACTGCTGGTGTGATCTGATCTCATCCTGAATCACCTCCTTCCTCACTCAAACAACTTCTCTTGTCGCGTCGCCCACACGTTCAAATGCAAACAGACTCAACTTGCTGACTGGTCTGGTGAAGCTTGTGTCCTAAACATCATCATGTCTTCTCCCTCATCTACCGGCTCCGCAAAGCGGAAACGCACTTCTGCCTCTGAGCGACTGAGGTCTTCCGCAGTGGAGCTGCAGCAACCTTCCTCCAGAGATGCTTCTGGCGAAGAGCTTGCCGATTCTCCTTCGGTCAACACTCGAACTCGCAAGCATGCACCCTCCCTCTCAAATGACCTCAACGTGCCTCCTAGCAAGCGCGCACGCACACGGTCGGGTGCCAAACCTGTCGACACCAACGGAGCTGCTATTCCAGACGTGAATGTCGAGGGTTCTGGAGAGTCCTCCAGTGCAACCGAGGACAGCGATGAGCTCGAGGAGTCGAGTGGAAAAAGCCAGAAGCAAGCCGATGATGGTGGAGACCTCCTCATAAGTGTCCCGAAGGCTGGCTTGAGAGATCCAATAGGTGGCTACAAGACAAACCCTCCTCCTGAAGGAAGGCCAGTTCGAGTGTACGCCGATGGAGTATTTGACTTATTCCATCTCGGGTTGGTCGCACCATTCCATTCTGCTGTGGTGACATACTGACATTCTTACCAACAGACACATGCGCCAACTTCAGCAAGCCAAGACTGCCTTTCCTGACACCTATCTGATTGTCGGTGTGACCGGGGATTCAGAGACACATAAGAGAAAGGGTCTGACCGTACTGACTGGCCGCGAAAGGGCCGAGACCGTCGGTCATTGTAAATGGGTCGACGAAGTTATCCCCAACTGTCCTTGGATCGTGACACCAGAGTTTCTGCACGAGCATCAAATTGACTATGTCGCACACGATGACGAGCCATATGGTGCCGACGAAGGTGATGACATCTATGCACCCATCAAGAAGGAAGGTAAATTCCTCGTGACGCAGCGGACCGAGGGTGTGTCTACAACCGGCATCATTACAAAAATTGTCCGAGATTACGAAAAGTACATTGCTCGACAGTTGAAGAGAGGAACTAGTCGTCAAGAGCTGAATGTCAGCTGGCTCAAGAAGAACGAACTTGATATAAAACGCCATGTCTCGGAGCTCAGAGACAGCATCAAGACCAACTGGAGCACCGCTGGAGGCGAAATTGGCCGGGATTTACGGCAATTCTGGCAGAGTTCTCGACCAAACAGTCCATCCCCGTTTAACAGACAACTTGGTGATGGCCTGAGAAGTCCCAGCGCTGTCAGTGCCCTCGACCATCTGAAACACTTGGAGGTTCCTGGTAGTGCCGAGAAACGAAGCGACTCACCTGGTAGAATCAGTCGAAGTGAGGATTTCGCCGCTGGTTATAGTCTTGGTCTGATTGGTGGCGTCAAATCTTGGGTAAGTTCATTTCTATCACAAAACCTGTTAAGGGCAAGCTTTCTAACGCTCATTTCCCAACTTAGATGATGCGACGTCGACGATCACTACATGATAGTCAAGCCCCAAGTCCCGAGGGTAGTGAGACCGACGAGGCTAGAAGTCCACTTAGCCCCGACGGAGACTCTTACTTCAGTGGTCTCAAGACACCGCCGGTCCGTGGCCGCAAGGGAAAGAGCAAGAGCGACCTTGAGGACGAGCAATTCGAACGTGAAGCCTTGGACGTCCTGCATTAACCTGTCCACCACAACTTTGTGCAGTTTTGAGACTTCATCGGGATCTTTGAGCTTGTCTCCAGTCATTACAAAACACCTCGATCGAGGAAGGTCATTGCCCAGTCTCATCATTTGAGCTCCCTCAACACCTCATGCTCCTCGAGAAAGCTCTCGGACTGAGCTGTGGGTGCTTCCCGCGCTGGAAAGCGAGCACACGGGGCGTCGTCTACATTGTTGGTCTTAGCACTCGTTCATTTTCTTTCTAGTGTATCAGTTAATTCACTCCGACCGCCTCCCTAATCAAACAGTCTAATATCATACACGCAGTGGCACTTGTGGGATACAAAAGGGGTACAGCTTTCAACTCAGCGTTGGGAGTTTGATATTTTTATCTTTCCATGTTCAGATCTTTTTCGATAGAAATGATAGAATTAGTACAGAAAAGCATACATACTTACATCATGATACTTCCTTCCGATTACTGGTGTGATAATCTAATCTGACTGAATTCAGCTTCTGCGATTACGAGCCCTAGATTAAAACGATATTGTCAATAAGCAGCTATCATAGTTCAGTGCACAACTTGTTGATGGAAAATATTTGTTTTGTCATTCGTGCCTAAACAGGGCATCTATTGTTCTGGCGGTTTTGATTTTCGTAAAGCGCCTCGACCGACCTTGTCTAATGGCAATGGCAGAAGGGGGAGAACAGTCCATGTTTTAAAACAAGGGAAAAGACTCTCTTCCGTCCCAAGTCATACTTCGATCGATGAATGCCGGGGGCTGTGAACTTGGACCCCATTCCCGATTTCATCCTAGGAATGGAGGACAAGGACCCCAGCTCATGCATTCATTCATCTCCATCACCGTCCATGCTTGACCACCTCCACGACTCCCAATGCTTTGCTGACTTATTTTTTTGGTAAACCCTGACTCCATGTGCACGAGGAGAGAGACACATGCAGTATCGTGATACCGTCGTTCCCTCCAGAGTCGTCGTCGTTGAAGAATGGTCGTTTCGCGAGAGTGAAATCGTCTATGATCTGGGCTTTTCCTTCTTCTCCTTCCACAGAGCGCTCAAACCGACACCGGAAACCTTGACGACCTTGAATCGCACACCGGGAATATCACCCTTGGCTTTGCCCTTACGACCGAAACCGGCGATCAGGACCTCGTCGTTCTCATCCACAAAGTTGAGGCAACCATCGTTGGGCACTGCGAGGCCAAAAAAAAGAGTACGGGTTAGCAGTTATATTCTTCCTCTAATTTTTTCACCACGAGAAAAGTTTCCCCTGGGGACAGAACATACCGAAAGCAGTGACCTTCTTTCCGTTTTTGATCAGCTGGACTCTGACGCACTTTCGAATGGCCGAGTTGGGCTGTTTGGCTTCGACACCGACTTTTTCAAGCACAATGCCCTTGGCGTGCGAGGAGCCACCGAACGGCGATGACTTGTAGGCCGTTCCGAGGAGTCGCTTCTTGTAGTGGAGATCGGCCCATCGACCCTCTTTGCGGGCGGCGACGAGCTTTCGTGCGGCGTTCAGACCACGGGGCTTGCCTCTGTTTGTCATTTCTAGAGCGGTGGTAAGATGTTAGCTTTGAGATTTCCCTCTTCTGTTGTGCGTGGGATTCGATAGAGATGTGCGTCTGCTCTTCCGGAAAAGACGCAGATTGTGAATGGGATGGAGAGTGTGGGAGTTGTTCGATAGGTTGTGTGGGATCTGTGGAAATGGGATCTGAGATCGAGAGCGTGTTTGGGAGATACGTACTGGCGACTGTGACAAGCAGGTATTGATAGAATGGGAATTAGTGGCGCTGAGGTCGTTGTCGATTCAAAGGTCGAAGTTCGCTGGCTTAAGAAAATCAAGTGTCTGTGGGAGCGCCAAGACTGCGGTTGGAAATGCTTTTGGTGGCTGTTTGATGGCAGCCCGGACCACATAGCTGTCTCACGTGACCTTACTTAGATAATCAATCAATTATCACGTGTGCTGGCTTGGTAGACTACGAGTCTCGTTCACTCTCTCACTCGATCAACAATCTCAAGGCTGTCAACCCAGACACCCATGATCTTGAGGAGATAGTCCATCTCATTGCGGCGAGAGCCCGCTCTCTGCCTGGAAACATGAATTCATCCGCAAGGAAAACACCTCAACTGGAGTTACCGTCGCCCTTTGATCAACGACCCAAGCTCAACACGACAAGGACGGCGCACCGCTTACCTCCACCGGCACTCTTCCAGGGACCTCCATCCAAGAATGCCTCACATATCTCTCTCGTCCTACCGGGTGACCGAGGTGCGGGATCAGACACAGATGCACCATCACATCGGATTATGCCGCGACCATCAGGCGTCCCACAAGCGACATCGTTCTCGGGACCCGCACTGCGCCAGCCAGCGACCGAAGCCGACGACCACCGCGCCGAGAGTCTATGGGCAGAGATGCAGAAGACGCTCGCCGATGTGGAGGTTTCAGCGATGAATACCTCACACGTCCTGGGTGCTTCGCACGCCAAAGCCCTTGAGGATCTGCGAATGGCGCAATTGTCCCTGGCGCATGCATGGGCGAAAAGCGAAGCAGACGAGCTGAACAACCATGACAACGACTCCGACGCTGAAGAAGCCGCCACCGTGGCCTCAAGCTCCTTCGGCACCAAACCCAGCCCGGGAAAGGGCAAGGCCGCCCATGCAGAAGGGCAAACCACGGCGTTCACGAGCAATAAGAATCTGGAGGAGGAAACGGAGCGAGACATCCACTTTGCACGGAAGAGGCGCGAGGCCAACGACCGCTATTTTCAACAGGTCAATCGTGGCGTGCTGGATGTGGTGAACAAGCTGGACGAGGTAGCTGGTGCGATGCGCAGGGTTGAGAGGGAGTCGAGAGAGATCTGGGATGAATCTTCTGGCGATGAGGATGTTAGTGACAGTGAGACGGGTGGGTCTGGGACGGACCATACGGGCTTGATGGACAGTCCTGTCATTGACAAAAAGGAGCGAGAAAGCTGAGGTATCTACCATTCTGATATTGGAAAGTGTTCGAATGTCCGATTGTCTTGTGCGATTGAGCAGATAGCATTACGCTGTTTAGCACACTTCCGGCAATCACGAAGGAGAAAAGCTCTCCACATGGAATACCACACAGTTTGCCGGGCTGTCGGACGACAATTATATCACAAGTCCAGCTTCGGAATTCGGAGCTCTGCAACGGTAGTACATCTAGTATCTACTGGAAACCGTCGCAGAGCATGGTTGTGCCCGAGTACGCTAGGTTCCATGGACCACAAATACTGCTTCGAAGTTCGCGTGCAGAAGCCAGTCCTTGATACAGCCATGAGCACTACTTACGTGGGATCTTATATGGCACAAGCAATTCTTCCTACAATCCTTACTCCAAGACAAAGATTGGGACTATTTGTGGGGCTATTGTGGGTTAGCCAACCGTTGCGGACAAGCGGTGGAGGAGGTGTTCCTTGATGACACTGGGTCGGAGGAGAGGTCTTCTTGAGATCTCTATCCTCAACGATGTTAAGGGGTCCAAGACGATGCATGAGCCTAAATAGCTATTACCATCCCTCTGATTTGGAACTGCATCGGGTAGAGAAACTGGAGGGGCTTGCCATGTTCAGACGTGGTTTGGTAACGCTACAAGCTGTCTCAAAATGAGATCGCTCGGAGAAAGATCAGACGTTCAAGTCAATCAGCAATAATCAAAGTCCGTGATAAATGTGTATATTTAGGGTGTCATCGCAACGTATAAAGATATTCTATATCACGATGATTGAGTCAGCCATTCTCAGGTGCTGGTTTCAAATTATGGTCAGTGTGAGCTTCTTCCTCATGGCTGTCTTTTCCCGGTGAAAGCCACTTGGACACCCACCCTCTATTGCCACTCTTCTCCCGACTGGTCTGGTCGTAACGACTCGCTCCTGCATCGCGGGAGTTCGGCCTTTGGTTTTGACTCTGGACTTCGTCATTAGCGAAGCGCACTGATGTACTTCGTTTTCGCGCGTGTGTGGAGTCTTCATCCCCTGGTCTACTCATGCGTGGTTGTGGTGCACTGCTCTGTCTGTGCTTTGCACCATTCGCAACGTGTTCTTCCGAGTCACCAACTCCATCATCTAACTTCCGCGGTTTTGAGCCTGACGAGCTACGTCGACTCCCTATCGATACAGCCTGTGATGAGGCAGAGTCACCCCGTCGACGATTTTTGAAGTTGTGGCTCATGAATGGAGACGGAGTGCGTGGCAGGGAGGCAAGGTAGTCTGGCTGACTTTCCTCATCATCAAGTTCAGCCCATATTCCCTCCGAATTTGTCTCTGATGGTGTTCGTAGTGTCAATCCTGGTGGTCGAGACCGTCCGACAAGAAGTGGAGTTTGCTCATCGATAGATCGCCTCGATGGTGAGGCTGAGCCCCTTCGCCGTCCTCCTGGAAACAACAGCGGCTCTCTTTCTTCGGAAGGAGATTGGACCAAACCCATTCCAGGTGTCAACGGAGTTCGTGGAGGCAATGCCTGGTGAGCTGCTTCTGCTGGGGTAGTATCATCCAACCTCCAAGACAAGGACAATACACCGCAGAGTAGAATCACAGTCCCCAAAGCAACGAACCCAGCGTGCAGAGGAGTCAGCCTCGAGGCCTGTTGAAAGTATATCAAACCATCTAATATCGCAATGATATTATAGATGCAAAATACAAATGGGTATAATACACTGGTGCTGCAAAAAAGTAGCCCCAGATGTAGATAATACAACTGGGTCAAGGCAAAGAACAACAAGGCAACAAGTATTAGCCATGATTGAAAGCGGTTGAATTGGTTGTTATGGTCAACGATAGTCCTGACCAGAAGCTCGACAGCAGATTTTGCAACGAGGAGTGAATGAGCGGACAGAATGCCTGAAATTAATGCATAACTCAAGCCACGGATGAGTCGGAGTCGGCCAAGGCGCAACTTCAGAGGCGGAGGAAGTTGAGCCGTAAATGATCGTGGGATCGTGAGCTGAGGTAAAGAAGGTCTTCGTGGAGATGTGCCTTGGGTCACAGTGGATGCGGATCGGGGTCGTTCTGATTTTGGCAGACTCTGGGCAATATACTGGTGAGATGACCAGATTTTGAGTACATGGGCGAACAAAATTGTTCCAACCACCACAACCAAAGTGCCGACCATCCAAATGATAAAATCACGCTGATTGAGCAATTCGAGAAGCTGACCCAAGCTGTGAGCGGGCTCAGCGATCGCGCCAAACGTAGCGATCAATGCGGCGCCGGAACACGTCAGAACGGTTCCAACAATCGAGAAACGAGTGAAGGGTTCGCCCAACAGCAAAGTGGCGAAGGCGGTGTTGAAAACCAAACCCGAAGCTTGCAGTGTTGACAAGACGGGCAGGGGAAGGGTCGTGATCTGAATAGTACTACCGACTAGGTTGGAGACGACAAACATGAGCATCCCTAGCTGCCATTTCCTTCTTTTGTAGGCAGGACGCCGTGTTTCTGGCAGATCTTTTGCATCTTCGATGAGATGGGATTTGCGCTGGAGGGTAAGGCCAAGGGATTGAATTGAAGTGGAGAGGAGGCCGACAATGATTCCGATCTAGCTAATTGTTAGTATAGATGCTCCTGCCACAAGGGACGATAACAAGGGGGACATACAGCAACGCTCCCTTCAGGCGATATGTCACCGAGTTGGCCCATGGTACGGGCAAACGGACCGTGGAGCTAAGGAACGGGCTGGTAAATCGCAAGTGTCCATGCGCATTGAAGTTGATGGTGGAAGCGCTAGCAAGCGGAGGGGCATTTTGGAAGTTGGATCATGGAGTGAATGAGATATTCCGATACATAGTACTAGAAAGGCGAAGTAACGTGAGGCAGGGGAAAGAGAGGCGTGGAGGGAAAGATGGTGGTCAGTGATGACAGTGGTGAAGTTGATCGTAGGGCGAGGGTGACAAGGCTCAGGGCTGGCGGAAGAGAGAGCCTTGCGTTGGCAGTAGTAACGGCGATGCAGTGTAGGCAAGTGCAAGTGCACGCATATGCTTGCATCTTGTGACTTCCTCTAGAATAAAAGTGACGACACGACGGTTCCGCAAGGGGTTTAGTCCCGCCTTGGCTGATCTCGCCAATCACAGGCGTGCTGCGGCAGAACGAATCACCGCCTCTATCAATCCTGGGGCTGCCAGTGCTGCTATCGCTACCAAACTGCAGGTGTCTGGAGAACGAGTATTTATTTCTCTCTCAAAACCGACCGTTGTTGTTGCTCCTTCAAAACGAACAGAGAATCCCTTGGCAGCTATCTAAAGAGTAATCACATCCGTACTTGGGAGATCCCCCATACCTTCGGGACGCCCCTGCCATTAACACCTGTGCCTGCTCCTGCTTCACCAGTACGAGGTGCCAGTGCCCCGAAGTACCCAACCAAGCAAACCTCAGCTTGTATCCATTGAAACTCGCACAACCCCATAACCCACAGCCATCATGTCGTCTCAAGCTCTCTCGGACGACCAGGTAAGCTTCGTCATCCACCACCTGCGACAATCAGAAAGGACGCTAATGTACCGAACCCCTCCAGGTCGCTTCCGAGTTGAAGAAGATGACTGCCTTCATTCGTCAAGAAGCCCTCGAGAAAGCTCGAGAGATTCAACTCAAAGCCGACGAGGAGTTCGCTATTGAAAAGTCCAAGCTTGTTCGTGAGGAGATTGCCGCCATCGACAGTCAGTACGAGAAGAAATTCAAGCAGGCCTCCATGTCACAACAGATTACTCGCTCTACCACCGCCAACAAGACCCGCATAAAGGTCCTCTCCGCCCGTCAAGCTTTGCTAGACAAGCTGTTCGAAAATGCACGGAAGAAGCTAAGCGATGCTGCTACAAAGAGTGGAAACTATGAGGAGATCTTGAAGGGTTTGATCCTCGAAGGGTTGTATATCCTTGCGGAGAGAAAAGTCAGCCTCAGAGTAAGGAAGGCCGACAAGGACAAGGCTCAATCAGCCAGCAAGAAGGCTGCTGAAGAGTACAAGAAGAATTTTGGGAGCGAAGTTGAAGTTACAATTGACGAGAAGAATTGGTTACCTCAAGATTCGTGAGTCTCGCGGGTGATTTTGGTGTTTCCACACCAAGGCAACTGACTAATCGCTAATTGCTTTCTTAGGGCTGGAGGCGTCTTCCTCTACGGTAGCGGCGGCAAGATCGAACTCAACAATACTTTCGAAGAGAGGTTGCGCATGCTTGAAACGGACGCTCTACCTAGCATTAGAGCTACACTCTTTGGAGAGAACCAGAACAGGAAATTCCGCGACTGATCACAGGTCTAGGTGGAGAATGTATACAGGGTCCAGAAGGAGTTCGGTGGTTCGCTTGAGGTCCAAATGTCCTCATGCTCAATAGGTGCTGCTACTAGTTGTTGAGGTGAGATGGGTCAACATAGAAACAGAATTCATGTTATTGATATGCGAAAGAAACCAGAAACATCAGTGTTGGCCACTTCCGATAATCTTTTGACCATGCCCAGTTTTCTCGCGACACGTTGATGACTTGTTTCTCGACCTTGTCCGCATGATGGAGTCATAGCCTACAATGACGTGAACGATCAGGTATTGAATCGATATTACCACCGAACACCACGCTCATAGAGGCTATCTATAGCTCAACTTAGGCTGTACTAACATGCAAGTTAACTCCCTCCCTGGCGCGAAATCTGCCCAGCCACTGGGTATCATCCTGCAGATCTAAGAACAGAACAGAGCAACTCCCGGCCCCCTGTCAGGTAGCTCGTAAACACCTATCATGCAATAGTATTCAATAATGGTATCCGTACCCGACTCAGACAGTCAGCCTAAGCTAGGCCCAACTGCATACGGATTGCCTTCTCTGTCTCCGACGGCTGAGAAGTATCGGACGTGACGGGGCTGGTCCCGCTACTGGCGGTGATGGCACTCACGTCGTTGGCGGGAGTATGGGGGTCTCGGTCTGTGTTCCCTGGTAGTCTAGAAATATGCATATGCGTGTTATGTACTTCATGTCTCTTGGTGCCTGGTAATGATGCATCGGTGCGTTGTCGCGACTTCTGCGCGTGCCCGTCTGTAGCGGGCGACTCTGTCCAGGACGCCGCGATCTCGCTGTTGTCTGCCTCTTTCCCCTTGTCCTTCTGCCGGTCGAGGAAGTTCTTCAAGAAACTTCTCCCTCGGTCTTCTGCCCTGACTTCGCCGCCATCTCGTGTCTTCCGGGTCTTCTCATCAAAGATGTTTTTCTTCGGTCTGACCTCGGTGCGCACGCTGTACAGCAGGCGGAAGTGGAGGGCTTGCAGCACATCTTTCGCTTCGGTGCGGCTCATATGCGAAGCACCCGTGTCAACGATGGCGATGAACGTCGATCGGACGGCGTCTGCGAGTCGGTCCACAGCTCTGTTGAATGCATTTTCTTCGCTGTGTGAGAGAAAGCTTCCAGGGCGGCCGCCGTCGCTTATTGCCACATCTAGAAGGTATGATGATGACCGTAGGGAGACGTAATCTAATGGGTCTGAGCTCTTGTGGCGACTGGTGTTGAAGGACGGAGAATTGGCGATGAGTTTCGTCAATGAATCAAGGTTGACCTCGAAATGATCAAGCTTCTTTGTTTCCAGCGTTTCGGCACCGAAAAGAAACTGTTGAGCCAGAGTAATGCGCGTTCGACATGCGGTAGGTGAGACTGGGGCAATATGTGCAAGCAACTGGGCTTGAAGCAGCGGTGTTTGGAGATGCCGCCCAACATCATTGAGCATTCGTTCTACGACATGCGACTGTACATCGGTGTCTTTGAAAGATAGTATTGTCGATAATAGCTCTTCCACTTTGCCAGCCACAAGCCCGTCGCTCATCAATTGTTGATCAATAGCTAATCGGCAGGTAGTTGAGGTCAATTTGCCCAGTGCAGCAAAGTCCATATCTTGGGCAATCGCTCGAAACAAATCAAGAGCTGCTAGAAGATATCTCGAATCTCGTCTATTGGGTTCTTTGGTGGAATAGTGTCGAGGTTCGATGGCTCCTGAATCTTGCAGGCTTGCGAGCTCCGCACCTAAAGTCTGAAAGACGCGGTTAACGTCTGCTGTGCTGATATTAGTTCTCGTCCATGCTGCGCTCGCTTTCGATAGACAATTGATATATGCCTGCCTGGCTGCATCATGCGGCTCGGTCACAACATTCTGAAATGTCCATCTCAATGCAGGATCGTCCAATTGGCTTCTAGCCGCAAGTTCGACCATGTGTCCTGAGAGATACGCCCTGGACCTGGATCCATCATCTCCAGCACGCCAAAGACCGTGAGGTATGCTAGGTAGGGGAAAGGACTTCACTGGTGGTGGCTCGTCCGTCCAGTCGTTGACGCCAGTCCGACCGAAAAAGGAAAACGATTTATCCGTGTTCAATACTTCCTGACGCCGCACAGCAGTCAAAAGCCTAGAAACGCCATCGTCGCCGTCTTCTGTCATTGCAACTGCAGCAAGAAGATTCCGATCCACTTCCCACTTCCGATCCAATGACTGTGGCTTGGTTGATTCTTCGTAATGATTCTCTGCTTTCTTGACTTTCTCCTCAGTCTCCTGGTCGTCGAAGTGATCTCCCAGAATACCTTGAATATCGAATTTGCGGGCATTTTGTTGAGCATATAGCGCTCGCAGCTTATCTTTCCCCACTAAGGGATCAGAGCGCCCCCTTGTGAATAAACTCAACGTCTTGATGCGCTCTGCCTCGTTCCGGTCCTCATCGATGTCCGGAGAGGACGAGCACGAGGTCACTTGCTCAGTCTCTCGACTACCAAGGATATCATCTAGTGAGACTAGAGAGTCTGTATCTTCGTCGGAACCGCGAACCTCAACTACCTTTCCGCCCTTGACAACCGTTTGCGTCGATCCAGGCAAATCAGCAAAGTTGAAACTGTGAGACGATGGCTTCGTCGCAGCATGGTTCTTGGCCTGTGGTCCAAAACGCGGGGCTTCTTTATATGTGGTTGCTGGCCGTAATCCAGATTTCGGGTGAGGACTGCGGATAGGTAGAGATGCTCTGGAGCCGGGTGTTGAGAGGGGAGAAAACAAAAGCCCCGATGGCGTTCGCTCTTGACCATTGTCTCTATGCCTTACATTCTTCGGTGTCCTCGTGGGAGAGACATCTCGAGAGAGGCTGCTTGTCGGTGGTGCTGGCTCGTTCGATGGCGATGGTCGCTTAGTGGGGACACTGCTTTTGGTATATGGCCGAAAGAAGTCAGAGATTGGACGTTTCTTTGCCGGAGAAGGCATGGGAGCAACTGCAGAACATAATCAGACAAAACAAGATCAATAGTACTTCCAGCAAATAATCAGAAGATGAAGACAAAGGTTCAGAAGAGGCGCCGTCAACGAGACATGGTTCCTTCGTTGCTCTTTGGTAGTAGATTGATTGCCTGCAACGCGCCAAGTTTCCGCAAAACGCGTAACGTCAAGTGGTTTGGCGATTAGGGCGATTGGGGTGCCTGGGAAGTGCCGGGGCTTGCCTGGCCACAAGCCCGTACACGCCTATACAAGCCTACGGAACCCTCCGAAGGCCCGGCCCATGGAAATGAGGGGCACTGATAGTTTGTGGCAGGTTTGGCTTTTGATGGGGTTGTTCAGGCATCGATATCAAAAATTCACTCACCTTTTGAAAGCTCCCGTCGGAGTCTCCCAGGCGATGCGTGTACGCCCATGACGGATGACAGCCAGTTTCATGTGCCTTGGGAGCTTTGGTCGATCCTGTTGTTCCTCCCAAAAAGTGCGTACACAAATCCTACCTGCATTGTGTTGTGTTGTCGAAGTGGTAAGTTGTGCGTAATGAGTCCAAAAGTTGTGGTCACCGTCATCTTTGTCCAAAAAGGAAAACAAGCAATTTATTTTATTGTGATGACAACCAGCAGGCACGAGCAGGCTAGAACAAGTCTCGCGGTAGTTTCTAGAAGATAGATACGAGGTACTACACATGCATAAACATCAGGCTTCCTAACGCTTTACTGCAATGCAGACCAGCATTTTCCTGCAACTGTCCAATCTCAAAACGAACCGAGCTTTCATACCAAAGGTCCAGCACAGCAGATACAGGATCGGTTATGGAAATATTTTCTACCATTCCTGAGAGTACCAGTGAAGGCTCTCATATCATAAGCAGCATCTCAATCAAATTGAGACCCTGCGGGTTGAATGGATGACTAGAGGTGCCTTTGTGAGAGCAGATTACAGGTCTGGATGCGTATTTCTTCATAATAAGGACTGAGAGCACTATGCTTCTGTAAGAATAGTCGACTGAGCAGGTAACATTTCAGTGTGCTTGTATGTAGCCTTTTATCATGTAGACATGAACGGACCTAATGAACGTGCAGAACAGTTGTCGACTGCTGAAATTTCAATATGAAAAATTTACTACTGCGAATCTTAAAGCATCAAGTGGCTGCAAACGCGATGCACGCTCAGGGCGATTCACTCCGCCGTAATCATCACTGCATTCAACACTGCCCCTGGAAGCATTTCGCAACGCAGCTCTGAACGAGTGATGTATCTGTCCAAACATTTCCGTTCCGAGTTGGAGTTAACGTTAATTCGTAATTGGTATCGAATCCTCCAGCAGACCAGGCCGTATACCCTAGGAATACATCGGAATTACTCGCGAGGTAGCTGAGCTCCTGACAAAGGAATTGTGCGCAGTTTGCATTGTTCAGACCACCAGTTTCGGTGAGCAGAGCAAAACGACCATTTGATCGTAGATAGTTCGCCAGATTCGAAAGGCCTCCTCGTCCATAGTTCGTCCCGACATTATTGGCAACGCAGTCGCAATTGCATCCTGAATTATTGGAATCCAGATATTCGTGGACCTCAAAGACCAGCTTGGAAGTTCCTCCGGACGGATCTGTGATGCCCATCAATGCTGGACCAGAACCATCCGAGTTTGAGGGGAGGTAGGTGTTTGCATGCGTCCAGCCCTTGCCTGGAAGCAGAATCATTTGCGTTATGGCTCCTGCCTGGCGGATAGCATTGACCGCACTCTGGAGCGTATCAGCCCATCCAGTGATACTGATCACTCCACCGTTAGGTGAGTTGCAGCTCTCATCATGGGGTTCGTTCATAAGTCCAAAGGCAACTCGGCTCTGTGAAGCATATTTCGTGGCCAGTTGAGACCAGATACTAGCAAACTGTACAGCACTGGGCCCATCTTGCCCTATGATTTTGCCGTTGAACCGAGCATAATTGTGTAGGTCGATGATGCATAGAGAAGCCCCAGCATCTAAGCATCCTGAAACAAGCGAGTCGTAGATGGCAAAGTTCTTTTGGCTTAATGTGTTCACACTAAGATCTGCTCCATCAAACTGATTGACAAGATATTGCCATGACACCGGAAGTCTGAAGGCGTTCAGCTTGTCGTCTTTGACGAAATGATTGATCTGCGCGACGTAGTTGCTGGGGTCGACGTAAGGAGGCTGGGTGATTTTTCCACACGTATCATAGGATCCGAAATCGAAGCCGGCAACGTTCACTCCACCAAATTGCAAATGACCGCCCGTGGGGGTTGGCGTGGAAGAAGACGTTGCGGCCACGGTGGGTGGTGTGGATTGTGTTTCGGTTATCGCCGTGGACATGATCGCTGTCGCTGTACTTGTAGTAGCACTTGTGGAAAGAGCGCTCGCTGTTACGCACGAGTGAGAAGTTTTCTTTATTCCTATATCTGAACAGACTTACCACTTGATGGCGAAATGCATTGCCAATAATAGTCATTGCCATATAAACATGGCCAGTTGTCGTTACAGCAAGTGGCACCACTCCAACCAATACCACCGCACTGGCCCCAGTTCGTCGCGCAGCTCGATGGTGCTGGGCTGGTGGCTGACACAGTTGTTGCTGTGGGAGAACTCGGCCCGGCGACGTCACGCGGTGGAAGACATTGGGAGTAGTAGTCGTTGTTGTAGGTACAGGTCCAGTCCGATTGACAACAGGATGCCCCATTCCATCCTATACCACCACATTGCCCATATGTTGGGCTGCATCTCAAATCCCCAACGTAAGGTCGACACTGCCAGTAATAATCGTTCTCATATTGGCAGCTAGAACCAGTAGCACAGCACGTCTCTCCTGCCCAGCCGATTCCACCACATTGACCGTATATCGCATTGCAGCCTGGCGAGGCTGCTTGCAAAGGGGTGAAATACAGTACAGCTAGAACAAAATGAACACCTGCGTACCTGGTCCACGATGTCGAACCCATCTTTGATCCGGACATTTCGATGCACGCAGAAGGAATGGAAGACGTGTGTTGGGTACCACGCTGATGCAGATTTCATCCGAGCCAGACCGACAAACATCTCTTATATCTTTTAACCCCTTGATCCAACATCGACACCCGCCATCAACCCTTTGAATCATGAACACAGCTTCTTTCAAGCCAAGTCCTGCAATGCAAATTAGCGAATGTTGACAGTCCTGACAATGGAAGGGCTGGAAGTTATTTCGACATCGTGCTCGGACCTTCCTACGGCTAGTACCCAAGTCCCGGAAATTTGGTACTTGAGTCAGGGAGTTCTCAAGAAAAGCCGTTCGCGTGGATGATGGTGCCACGGACTCCTAGCACGTCTGCAAACTGCTCATTCGCACTGGGTCGCACAAGGAGTAAAGCGATAAGCATCGAACACTAGATCATTCTAGGTTTCGATTGACATCTGTGACATCCATCTGGTCACAAACACGTGCATTGCTCGAACTTGTGTGCTTCGAAGTCCCGATTGACTATCCCACAGAGCCTTAAAACCATTGCTATCCGTTCCGACAAGGCATAGCGTCCCCGACCCCGAAGTAGAAGATCACTCTTGCACATTCATAATCTGCGATTTGATCCAGAAACATACATTGGAAGGCTCGCTTGACAACGATACCACGCACCGACCTTCGCCATCCTCATCAAACCCCGGCTTTCTTCTCGCAAGATTGGACTTCGTCATCACTTATCAGCTGCAGTACGCCGCGCCTCGACGCCAGATGGCCATCGATGTTATTTCACCTGGTACATGAAGGCATGGTGTAGTCATTTAGCGTGATTTAAGCGAAAGTTTTGTGAGACGTTGATGCTCCCCGAGGTGACGGCCAAGACAGATTATCGAGAACCGAGGCTATCAAAGAACTTAACTAGGGGCAGCCAGTAGCTGTCAGTCTGTCACACAGCGCCCAACAAGGGGCTAGATTTCAAGTACCCACTAACTAACTACGAGTACGACTCTTTCACATCTCGACGCCAAAACGTGCACAGGCGAAATCTAGACATAGTATTGTTAATGTCAAGCTGCTGATACGGAGGCTCATCGCACTCTGTGGCACCTTCTAGTTATTCTCACAACGTAGACATAGACACCGGCCCGCTCAACAAAATGGCAAAAAGCACACGACTTGGGAAGTGAAGCGCCACGTTAAGAGTTAACACCAACAGAGAGTTAGACAGCGGATCTTGTAATTTTAATTTTAAACAATTCCTGACGTTGAAAAGAGCGCCCACTAAATATGAAATCTGTGCTAACCACTAGGCCACTCATACTCTACAAGAAGCGGATGCCTGCCTCCAGATCTAGGAAGTTCTTAGAGTATGTGTGGAAAGGACAACGTTGATCTAGGCACGGTTGGCACCTCAACAACAAGGAGACCTCGGGAGGTACTTGACCATTTGGCCTCAGACGATGCTAACATGCCTAGGTACTTAAAGTCCGTCAAAAGCCTGCCTCCCCAATGGCTCGATATGCGGCGGCGATATAGGCCTTCCCTCTACCGGATCCAATGCCCACAGCACTCATCTTATTCATCACATATGCAATCGTCAAACGGCGATCCAAGTCCATTACAACAAACGACCCGCCATACCCACCCCATGTACAAACACGCCTACCAACGGGCAACCATTCAAGGATGGTGTCTTTCATAGGCAATGCGTACCCGATGCCCCAGCAAATCGGGGCGTTCAACACCAAATCCGTTCCAAAGGCTTGCTGGCGAAAGATATGGTCGATTGTACTCGATGACAAGAATTGTGTCTTGCCCACTTTGCCATTTAACGAAATCACCGACATGATCCGAGCGATGGCTGAGGCATTGCTGTGTCCATTACCAGCACCCCATTCTGACTTCTGGAATATCTCGGTATTGGCAAAAGCGGCATGCATTGGTGGGTTTGCGAATACTTTGTCAGCCATCGAGACCTCTTCACCCGGTGGAGGTGGGACACGAGGAGCAACACCAGGTGGTGGAATGACAGGCGACACGCGAGAAAGATCTTTCTCCAGTACCCCGAGCTGAAAGTCAGCTTCAAGTGGTCGGGCAATATCTTCTGCAATGAACGCTGTCAGTGATTTTCCGGACACTCGACGTACCAACTCGCCGATCAGCGGCCCAAGTGTGAGAGAGTGATACCCCGACGCTGTTCCAGGTTCCCACCATGGACTATCGGCTGCCAATAAAGTAGTTGCCTTCTCGACATCACAAACATCTTCTAGGGAGACTTGCTTGTGGAATCCAGGTAATCCGCAGGTATGCGATAACACATGCCGAACCCTGATGTCCAGTTTTCCATTGGCAGCAAATTCCGGCCAATACTTGGAGACCTTTTCGTCTACATCAATGAGACCTTGGTCGACAAGTTTCAGAACGGCTAGTGCGGATACCGTCTTCGTCGTTGAGAAAATGCAACTGATGGTGTCTCTCTCCCAAGGCTTTGACTTCCCTGCATCCGCATATCCTCCCCAAATGTTGACAACATCTACCCCATCAAGATTTACCGTGACAGAGGCGCCTAGCTCTTCCTCTGAATTAATAAACTCCTCAAGTTGGGCGGCCACCCCTCGAAATCCTTCGTCACAGTGGCCTTTGATAGTACTCATCTCGTGAATGGAAGTACGCTTCTCCAAAAGATAAAACAAAGCGGAGAGCATCACAAGCCTTTGATTGTTGTCATGCTTAAATCTCCTGATCACCCCACCTCGCTCCTCGTTAGTTAGGGAGCATTCATGTGGGGCCGGCAGATCGCATTAGGCTTATGCGATTGTTCCTCCGTTCCAGGATCGCTGGTTCGTCATCGTAACGATCATTCTGAAGCTTCCATTACGCGTCGTCGAACCTGACATACTAGTCTTCGTGTGCCGATGCTCAATGTGAGATATTTTTATGTTGCTGAACAGAACAGGTTGAAGGGCGTGACCCTCCCCGGAATTGAAATGGCACGCCTAACCCTCATGTCCATAGTGAAAACCCTGAATGGCACCTCATAATATGTTTCGGTATTACTACAACAGATTGAGTAAGCCCCAGGTGTGTACATTTTGTTCCCTTTCACGTCTTTCGAATGAGCCAGGGAGTTCTATTCATGACCAATATGTCAGCCTCTATCGATGACTTCATCTACTCCGCCAGGTTCTGCTCGCTTGTGGACGGAATTACAACTGAGCATCATGTGCCAGGCCTTTCCATCGCAATAGTTCAAGGCCAGTCTGTCTTCTCGACTGGCTATGGCAAAGCCTGTCTTGAAAATCCTACACCTTGCACAGCAGATACCCTTTTCGATATAGCATCGTGCGCCAAGTCTTTCACAGCAGCAGCTGTTGGCTTGTTGGTAAATGATAACGATGCCTATCCCGAGGTGCAGTGGGAAACTACAATGTCCAGCCTACTACCAGACGACTTCGTCATGTCAGGGGTCGGCTATACGGAGGCGGTCACCTTGGAGGATATATTGAGTCACAGAAGTGGTATGGCTGCGTATGTTATGATCCAATGTGCTAATCCAGAAAAGTAGCTAAATCTGGTCCGCAGTCACAACGATTCTTACATGAGCCATCGAGCAGCGACCCCGGACAATGCGCGATCCATCACAAGAAACTTACGAAACCTGTCAGTGGCAGCTCCTCTTCGGACACGATACCTATACTGCAACATGATGTACACGGTAGCTTCATACCTAGTGGAGGTGAAGAGCCAGAAAAGCTTCGCGGACTTCCTCCACGATCGTATCTTTCAACCGCTGGGTATGCAGTCAACAAGTTTGCAACCAAAATTGGCAATGATTAAAGGGCATGGTGATCGAATTGCAACCGGATACTATTGGGGCAAGGATGAATCGACATTTCATGAGGTCCAAAGCCCTAATTGCGAGGAAGGTCAGGGTGCTGGGTCTATCATGGCGAGCGCGAACGATCTGATCAGATGGGTGAAAGCATTGATTAATCGAGAGGACCCCATTACCGACAGAGTCTATCAAGGTCTTGTCCGAGGGCGAAGTCTAAAAAACCCATCTGCAAAACGACTGAAACCATTTTCATCCCCAGCAGTGTACGCTGCAGGTTTAGAAGTGCACTACTATAGAGGCCATGTGATCGTTGGACATGATGGTTCCATCTCAGGCTTCACAAGTCGATTCTTCTTCATGCCAGACTTCAAGTTTGGTGCAGTTTTGCTCACAAATTCCAGTGACGCAGGATCAGTGACATCTATTCTAATGCGTGAGCTGATGGACCAGGTGCTTGGAGTGCCAGAAATCGAGCGCCCACAACGAACGTTCAAGAAAGCCATCAGTGCAAAGAGTGATACCAAACCTGGCATGGTGCGGTCAATATATCAGCGCAAGGGTGTACAGAATCGCAGCAACGGAGGCAAAGGCAGCGAGAAAAGATACCAAGGCAAAGAACAACCGCTCGAGAAATCAGAGCATCGCGACAGAAGTAACCGAGATCAGGATACACCACTAGCTACTTACATTGGCGACTATTGCAACCCTGGATATCACACCTTGGTTGTTGAGGCTAAGGGCAATCAGCTTTTCGTTGATGCTACAGACCGCTCAAATGGGTTTACACTCAATTTTGAGCATGTCAGTGATCAGACGAAGTATATCGCACATCTGAGTGATATGATCGAAGGTGGCGACGACGCTGTTGAGGCAGAATTCGTGTTCGAGCATGGGAGGATAGTCAAGCTTGGACTGCAACTCGAGCCAGCTTTAGAAGACTTGATATGGTTTGAAAAGGTCTTGTGAACTCGAGGATATTTAGATATACAGTGAGCCAGTGAGTGATGGAGATTAGCTTTGTTGCTATATGGTATTCCCAATGTGAGCAACTCAAGGGTGTTTGGTGGACCATGGAGTGGTCACTCAAGAGGGTACCTTTGCATTTCGCGGTCTGTAGTGGACACACTCAGGACTATGCAATCTACATAAGCCCAAGGGTCTGGATGAATCAGCGGCTGAACTGACGACGAAGGTGCCTTAAGTTCGTCTGCCTAGAGCTCGTACTCGCTTTAAAGTTGGCTCTCGAATTACATCCTAGTTCTGAGCGGCGTCCCTGAGTCGCTTAACAGTATCTTCCGTTGTCCACACTGCGTTTGCCATGAACCGGAAATTTACCATTGCAGCGACATAGCCATCCCCTTCCGTGTTTCTACCTGCAGCAATGGCATCGCGAACCATGGCGACTTCAAACCCGGCTTCAATAAGGTCACGCATGTGGTTCTCCAAGCATAAGTTGCCCACCGGACCTGCCATGATAACCTTCTCAACTCGCCTCATGCGTAGTTGCTTGATCAGGTCGTTTGAAAGACACGACAGACCTTTGTGAGGCGATGTATTTGCCGTTTTCCCATCCATGAGGTACTTCTTCAGCCGCTCGGGATAGTCAGCTCCTGAACCGACAAATCCTTCTAGGTCGACTGGATCCTTGCGTCCAACGAACCCGTCCGGAAGGTTGAAGAGATAGTCAGCAATTGCACCGCCTTGAGCAACCCACTGTCGATCGGTGGGATAGTAATAATGGGGTGAGTGAATCACAAAGAAGCTGTTCTCTTTGGCACACTTCAATAGTCTCTCTATGTTGTCAAATACGTTGAGTTCCTTCAGTTTATCAGCTATCAAGTGGTAGTAGCTTCCAGTTTCGATGAGAAATTCATTCTGAATATCTGTGATCACGAGTGCCGTGTGGCTTTTGTCCAGCTGCATCTCGGAATTCCGATGAGTAAATGTGAAAGCCATCTTCGTACTCGGAGCGTGAATTAAGATACGCAGTGTTGTCAGGTAAAGGCTAGTACGGCTTCAAAATTCCAGCTTTACGCAGAAAGCGAGAATCATGATACGGTTATGGGAGGACTGGGCTGTGAGAAGAAGCGGTACTTATAGTGGGAAATCAATGTGGTAATACCAGCAACAGGGGCTGTTGTGCTTGGTATGAACGTTGATATAGTACTGCATGAATTCACTTCTCCTTTCGTGAGTTAGATTTGGTAAGCCGCAGCAAACTTCCTTCGACTCAAGAAGAACCAAGTATTGACTCTTTCTCTGCGTCCTGTCAAATCAAAGTGACATGTTGCATTTCAAGCAAGTGATTTTTTTCAGTTCTCGTACGCTAGGTTCCAGTCCTAGTAAGCCAGATGTTTCCAGATCTATTAGTGCCAGTGGTGCTTGGAGAGAGGAGACTCAGGCGGCAGACGCTGCATTCCTGTATCAACACATCGCCCTGACGCCACTGCGAATCGGGTATGAATGCAGGAGTTGTCTACAACAGCACTTAGCATCGAGTGCATCATTAGCGTGCGGACCAGGGGCGGCCCAGGGTTTATAATAAGCCGCTGGGATCAGAGTGGGGCCAGGACCAGAGCCGTACTTATTTCTCGAAGAAGAATATGCAGCATTACTATACCAGCCGTCTCATAGTAGTGGAGTTGCACTCTTGGATCGATCACATCATGGTTGACGGAGACTAATCTACGTATATAAAACCACTGAAGCAGAGTATATTAGCAATCTACGCAGCTGTCCTAGTCGTAAACACCCACTACAGTTCAGTCTCATAATAAGAATGGCGGAGCTGTTAACAGGACGCAAAATTGCAATTGTGGGTGCCACCGGCAGACTGGGCAAACCTACTATCCAGGCTTTACTCTCAAAAGGGGTCCACAAAATAACGGCGATTCAACGTTCTGAGTCCACGAGCGAGTTTGGACCGGGAGTACTCGTCAAGAAGGGGGTTTTTACTGACGAATCGTTCCTGGTGGAAGCGTTAACGGGCCAGGATGTTCTTATCGTCATTGTTCCTATCCCTAACATGGATCTTGGAGACCTATTCATCCACGCGGCGGCAAAAGCTGGTGTCCCATACATCCTACCAACAGAGTTTGGCGTGGATACGCCCGAGTGGGAGAATGAGCATTCTATGATGGCGCCAAAGATGGCGAGGCGCCGGCTGATCGCAGAATTGGGAGTGAGCAGCTGGATTGCTGTGATCGTGAACTTTTGGCTGGACACAAATATTCGAAATGGGCTATGGGGAATTGATGTCCGAAGCCGCAAGGCCGAGATATTCAAAGATGGCAATGCCAAATTCTCGACAACAACTCTCACACGTTGTGGCGAGGGAATCGCCGTGCTTCTCAGTCTGCCGGAAATCGATCTGGCCCACTACAAGAACCAATCTTATTACTACTCCTCTTTCGAGCTCTCCCAAAGAGATATTTTCGAAGCCGTCAAACGGGTTACAGGAACAAAGGATGCAGACTGGGCAATCATGGAGACAGATGCCGCACAGGCTGTTTTGGGTACCGAACCCAAGATACGCGATGGGAATGGTTACGCAGAGTGGTACAGACTTTTTGTGATGTTCTTCCAAGGTAGGCGAGGGTCAAACTATGAATATAAGGCCACTGATCTACGGAAATATGGCTTGCGGAAGGAAGACCTTGACGTGGCTGTCAGACGAACGATCGACGAGATGTAAAAACATCACGGGACGGGCCAGGCCAGCCGCATTGTTCACGGTTGAAAGTGGCTTTAACGAGAGCCTCCTACAAAAATTCATCATTGAGACAAGTTTCTGGCTTCCTCTTCCTCTTCCTCTTCCTCTTAAAACCAAAAGACGCGCACTATTTGGCAGCGAGCGTCCAGTGTGAGTACTGACACAATAGTGAACCATCCCAGTGACAGCCACACAGTTTTCCGGTCTAGCATTAAGACAAAACCTAAAGCACTCGTCTACACAGGGCCCATAACATCTTCCTGAATGATCTGTAAATCACTGTGCCTCTTCGCTGTCCTCAGTGCATTCGCCTTCTTCTCGGCAAGTTTCCAGCCCTGAGTCATGACAAACAATACCCCTGCCGCCATGACCAAGCTTCCCGAGAACACGAATCCGCCTCCAAAGTGGTTCTTCTTGACGTCGATTATACTCCCTACAATCGGCGTTCCAATCAGAATGCCAAGTGCTGCGAAAAAGAAAGACATGCCCATCCACGTTCCAATCAGTTGCATGCTTGGTGCGAGAGAGGCCACCACTGCCGATGGCAAAGACACTACCGCACCAGAAAGAAAGCCGTAGATGATGGCGAAGACGATCAATCTGGCCAGCGAATTGATTACAACACCAATGTATGCAATAATGGCTGAAGCAAGTGTACAGACAGCCAACAATTCGAGTGAGCCATATCGGTCGGCAAGGAGGCCAGGAATGATTCGACCCAAGACCGAGGCTGCATTGAGAATTGGCAGCAGATAGAAAGAAAATTCCTCATCAACATGAGCACGGATTTCTGCAATGAAGATAATGTAGAAGATGGGGATATACAGACCGGCAAAAGCTAGGAAGAGACCGGTGCTGAAGAGGATGAAAGGCACATTCTTGAAGGCTTGAGGATCAAATATTGCTCGCGTTGTTTCCGGTGGTGGAAGTCGTGTCTTCAGGACCAAGACACTCACAAGGAGAGTTCCGAGGGAAATGAAACCAAGTACCCTTGTCGCCCAGGGGAACCCGATGCGAGGCTGTAATCGATGAAAGACGATCGGGTAGACCACACTGCCGATACTGCCTCCCGACGCTACAATTCCAATTGCTAGAGCTCGCTTTGTGGTGAAATACGTGGCCACGATGGCCACACTCGGCAAGAACAAGCACCCAGTACCTAAGCCTATGCACAGTCCCTGTGAAAGGAAGACCTGCCAGTAGTTGTCTGAGATACTGTTCATCATGATACCAAACACGGTAAGGAATGTTCCAACGGCAAGCAGAATGCGGAAATAGCCACGATCAAAGATCGGTCCAGCCACTAGACTGAAAGACACTAGTAAGAATGCCTGAAAGGTCCCGATCCAGGAAATTTCGGAAGCGTTGTGGTTGTGTAGGAGAGAGGTTTGGTAGTATGTCTGGTATACACCAAAGGTGTTGACGATGCCCCTGGAGAACACTTGTGTAAGTCAATGCAATCAAAGAGAACTTGGTTAATTTGCATAGGACTACTAACCAGGAATTAAAGAAGAGAAAATGGGCACCCAGCACCTGGATCCATGCTTGAAACCCTCCGTTCGGAGCTGGTGGCATTGTTGCTGCTGCCAATGGGCGAACATGTTGTACTTCTTTCCGGGGAGACGCAGATGATGGGTCACCAGATAGCTGTGCATCAAGATTTTGTGGTATATCAATGGATTGTTCTGTCTCATCCGTGTATTGAGCTCTCTCTGTCCCAAGCATTGCCATACTGGGTATCAATATCCCCTCAATTCGGTGTATTGACTGTTTGAACTTCGCTCCTGATATCACGCGCTTTGGAAGGCTTACTATATATGTGTACTCACTCTACCACCTACCTGGCTATCAGTGACATTCACAATGCTTACTCACTGATGTGCGTCATAGACGTTCAACGATCTATTCGAAAGCTTTGTGGCGAGAATTATTTGTTATCTCTCCAACATATTCGTAAGACCATGATCGGGAAATGCCCGATGCCCCTCTATAAAATATGTCACCCTGGTCCGCTTCCACGCGGACCGGGGTGTAACTCCATTTTATGTTCTCAGAAATCAAACAATGCTATTGACTCCTCGTAGGTAACGGTGATCGGACGTTTTGCGGCTGTTGGGTTTGACTCACTCTTTGAATCCTTGATCTGAATTTCAACGTTGAGGCCGGAACCCTCGACTCCACTAGAACACAATCTCTCACTCAAAAGAGACTAGGAATGAGCTTCTCTGCTGGGATTCGACCTGCCTTCAACAATAATTTGTCCTTCCCTTGAGCACATGTTTGGCGCATGTTCTTCAGGGGTCCTTGATGTGGTGTCATTGTCTCCTCAAGATTTTTCTGCTTCCGTTTATGTGAAACCCGGAAGTGTCTTTGACCTGTGGGACTATGAGAAGACGATATACGACATGTGAAAAACGAGTGAGGGCATATACCGAGGACGAATTGCGACTTCAGAGCAGAAAGAAAGGCTGGATTACTGCCTGAGCTACATGAAAAGACAGCTTAAGTAAAAGGCATTCAGTGTATTGCCCTATAGATCCAAAAGACATGACAATATTACTAGGACTTCCCCGGGTTTCAAGTACGGAGTCTTCAGCCAGCAAAAGGGAAGCCTCCAAACGTTGTCGTCAAGAATATTGGATCTTTTTCCAAACGTGGCACCACTATAGATTTCAACTGCTCAATGTCCCAGTTCGCGAACAAGACACGCCCAGACAGGGGCCTTGCTTCGTGGGTGGCAAGCCACACGGTAAAATGAGCTGGTAGTTTGACTGGATTTGAGACGAATTCAGCTTTTGATTCGAGAATGCCTTCTACTAGGCTGATGATCTTTACGGATGGGATATTACTTACTGGAGTCTATGGTATCATCAAGCTGCAATTCGCCTTTCTCGTAGAGAGCAGTCCGGATGACTCCAGGTTGCACAATGAAGACGTTCAAATCAGGGTGCTCTATGGCCAAGAACTCATAAAAGCGAGCTGTTCCCACCTTTGATGTTGAGTATGACGAATTCTTTGCAAGGAATGGGAGACTTGGTGGCAGAAACGCGAAGCCGCTTGAGTAGGCTACGATTGTACCACCAGAGTTTTTGTATGGCAAGAAGGCCCGCGAGAAAAGATAGTTGCCTTTGATATTAATCTGCGGTAATAGACATATTAGGGTTTCAAACGACCCACAGACGATGCTGGAATTAGAGGAGACATACCTCGAATGTCTTCCACCATTCATTCGCGTCGCTGCTCTCAATCGTTTCTGGACTGGGGATGTAACCAGCGTTAGCAACGATGACATCCCACGAGCCAATATTTTTAGCAGCTGCTGTGACAGCAGCTTCGTCCACGATATCAGCAGTATGTACTACAACATTGGTCCCTGGATTCTGCTTTTCAACAATCTGTTTCGTTTCCTCAAGCAAAGATTTGGTGCGACCGAGGATATGGATGGTGCTAGCACCGGCTTGGGCGAAGGCTGCGGCAACCTCTCTACCTATGCCTGCTCCGGCGCCTGTGATGACTATGATTTTCCCGGTTTGAGATAGTTCGGGTCGCGTGGGATCAATGGCGTCGTATGTGTCGTTATGCCACACAGTAACGGGGGCCGGGTATGGCGGCTGCATTATGAACTATCAATCTGGAATCTGAGAGCTTGACCACGGGTGACTGGGTCTGTTTTATGTCACCCGTCCTCTTCGTTCTTATATCCCCAGATTTGCAGCACCAACATTCGGAAAGCTAGTGGGACTACTTTACCTCGGAGCCATCGAAGTGGATGAACAAGTGAATCAAACAGCAGTATCTACCAATTCGTTGTGTACTTAGTGATTCTGCTTATAAATATGATTGAGGTACGGCTATGGATTGGGAAGCAGCCTGCATGGACATAGCACATTAACGTGACGCAAGCCATTGTCGGTTCACACAAACTATCTATTGACACAACAATGTCTCCACCGGGAGATTACACATCATACCGAAGGAGGAGGATGAAGTATCTGAGAGCCAATACCGTTGCGCTGAAGCGGATTCTGGCATCATTGGATGAGTTGGAGGCGCGACAAGGCAGAACGAAGGCACAATGCTGGTCCGCATGGATGCTGGATTGGGATAGTCACTTGCTGGCCAATGTAAGGAGTAAATAATTGCTAGCAAACACGACGGGAGTAACTCCTGGATCTCCTTCGGCTCAGTACAAACATAAAACTGAACTCCCTCAACAAATTGGTTCATTAGAAACCAAGAAGGACTTTCTGCAAACCTACCTACGAACATGATTTGAGAAAGTGGCTCGTACTCGGTGCCTTCTTCTGGTTTAGTGTGCGGACCAGGATCAGCATTCACCGGCCATGTAACTGCCTAGTCATTAGTTCGAACATGGACCACTGAAGAAATTCTAGTGTGTTAGGCCCAGAGTCTGGTCGCTATATCTACTGAATCTGGTCGCTACATCTGCTGCATGTGGAAAATGCTCACAAGTGGAGATCCTCTTTGCACACGCCACTACTCAGCCTGGTGCCTGTAGTTCGGTGGCCCGCAGCATTTGTGGACTGTGTCTTTGATTCTGTGATTGTCTCAGGCTTCTCCACTTTTCCAGCCACCATGAGACTGTATAATCGCTGACCATAATATTATGTAAAATAATTCATAGCATAACATGTCAGCAACTGTCTCTGTGCGTTAAGAGCTTCATGATCGTGGAAGGAAGGGGCACAAGTCTCAAGGAATGGAGAATGCTCATCGTCTGGACAGGCAACGATAATGTCAATGCGCCACTGGTTTTCTCGTCTGTGGTGCCTGGTCTTTTCTCTGTGTATAGTTTTTAGCAGCTTGATCTGGAATCGCTTGGTCTGTATCCCAGTAAACCAGAAACTCTCCTTCGCCGCATCAAAATCCTATAAAAACTCTGTAAGGTCGCACTGTTGGGACATAGCTTCGAAGACGATCATGAACTGATCAATGTGATGCGTTTCTGAAAAAAATTTCCAAGCCACTCTTCTACACTAGTGCTTAACCTGTCTTCCAACTCCAAGCACAGGACAGATGGCATGATCGGCATGTCTTCACTCTACGTTGACAGTATCAGCATTGATCCTTCGCAACCTGGCTACCGATATGAATTTTATGTGATATCAAGGAAATCCAAGCAGCAGTCAACCCCAAAGTAGTGTATGATCATTTATCTGCTTACAAGAGGCGAGGCTTTCACGCCACCCTCATCTACACTACTTGCAGTGTTGATCTCGCCAATATACAACACCAGTTGCAGTCAGTATGAACTTCATTGCATGTAGGTCTCTTGTTACATTCAGCAGGAACCATGTCATCAAGATCAACCCGTCTATTCGTGTTGATAAGACCAAAAGAGTGTTCGAAGTGTCCCTCATACGGCATTCACGCTGCTTGGGCCGCTCAATGGACTGCGAACTTGGATCTTGCGCGAAGTCTCTTGCCGAAGATGTAGATAGCAGATGTCCCAAAGATTCCAGCACAGCTCAACCCACCGAGAAGACTAACACCCCTATGAACGCCCAGATTGATGAAGAGCGGTCGGGCGAAAACCACGGCACCGCCCGCAATGCCAGATCTCCAGATCGAATTGCTAGCAAAAAGAGAGGCGGCGTATTGTGGATAGGAAAATGGGATATAGATAAAAAGCGATTGCATGGTGAAGAAATGTCCAATGGTGAAAATTCCCACGCCGACCAGTGGCACTGACCAGTGGATATTGGAGTCAGAGGTCCAAGCAAAAGTAAAAAGCCCTATTGGAAGTAAACAAGACCCGAAGATCGCAGGGATGAGGCGATGCTCTTGCTCACGGAAGCCATTCTTGAGGTTGTCAGGCACCATGTAAAAATACAGGTAGGCGATGTAGCTCGCAATAGCCACAGTTACGCCAACCAAACACGACAAGAACGCGAGACCGGTCTCTCCGAGGTTGAACCCGTAGAAAGGAGGAAATACCAGGGGGAAAACCTCGAAGAAGGTATAGAAGACTCCGTAAAAATACCCCGTATAGACGTTGACGAAAAATATGGAGGGATCTTTGAACATGATCTCCATGGGCTTGATCAGCGCCGAACTTAGAATTTGGGATGTTGAGAGATTAGCTTGGTCAATCTCGCTTTGAGATCGTAGTCGCTCGTCACCCGTTATTCTGCGAAGCCGACGTGCTCGTCTCAACAAGATGTTTGGGGTAGAGGTCTCGGGGAAAACACATAAAAGTAACAACAGCACTGGTGATGCAATCCAGACGACTTCCCACCTAATATAGTGTCAGCAACGAAATCTCAAAAGGCCGGAATCACTACTCACATTGGCCATCTCCAGCCTTTTGCCATAGCAGCGAATCCTCCAATGACCGGGCCAAGCGCAGGACCTGCCCAGGCAGAGAAGACCCACCAACAGAGACCGTATGGGATATGTGTCAGCGCGAACATATCGCTGATTGTCGCTCCTCCATTAGCCAAAGCAGGACTGCCGAAGAAACCCAGCCAGAATCTCAAGGCCAGAAGACCTCCGAAATTGTTAACAACGGCGGTTGGGAAGCAGAGTACCCAGAAGACAATAAAAGTCGACCAATAGACTGGGTTCCTGCCGATGACAGGGATCTCGGTCAAGGGGCTAAACAGAAGATCCCCGATACCATATGCAAGTACATAGAGACCCAACCCAAGAGTGGTAGCGACCGGGCTGACTCCGAAATGTTGTACAAGACCAGGTTCGGATGCAGCGAAGATTGGACCAGCGCAGTAGACGGTAAAGGTATAGAAGCATAGCATGAAGACGACAGCGGTCTTCTTGTGCGACGACCAGTTCTGTGGGTTGGCTGGGTCATCGGTGGTGTACCAGTCCACCAGAATTTGGTTATCTCGCGTTCTCTGAGGCACAATTGGAAGAGAGACGGTACGTCCGATCTCGAGCATTCGCTCTGCTTGCATCCGTTCATTCGTATAAGGCCTGGTATGGCTGGTGCTTGCAGTATTGATTCTCCCCAGGTCAGCTAACTCAGGATCCTCGGGTCTCCAGGAGCGTGGGCGGTAGATAATATCGTTTTGAGCGATGTAGGAATCACTGCCTTCAACGGGAGGAGTTTCTTTGATTTCTACCTCGTCGCCCTTTAGCAGGGCGGTCCATGTGGCAGGAAGCTCGAAGCCAGGTTCGTCCTCTGGGTAGCGAAACAGGGTGTTCTTTGATAGGAAGCGAATAAGTTGCCCTAATGGCGCTTCTCTGATAATGTCGTGCATTCTGACATAGAACTGTAGCAAGATCGATGAGGAGAAGAGCTATGCTTGATGGTTGTGTAGGTACCGAGATTGTGGATCACGAAGAGAGTTACTATCCAGATAGGAGCGCGAAAAGTGGAAGTAAAATGCTGGCCCAGGAAACATATCTGGGCAAACTTTGCAAGCCATCACTGATGCATTTATAAAGACGATCGAGGAGCATTGCTTGGGGCCAAGCTGAAGCTGCCTTAAGCATGAACAGACCCTAATGACTAAGTCATCAATACATCAAGCCCATGAGTCAGCGGCGACTCAATGGTTGATTGAGCGGATACTAAGTATGTTGCAGAAGCGGAGCACAGTCCTGTCCGTAGGGATCAGGGCACATCATGGAGCGTTATGATAGCTTTGACCGACGGTATTGCTCGAAAGAGTCGCGATAGGCCAAAAAAGGGTGAATTTGGCGTAACGAGAAGCGAAGATCTATATTGAGCTAGGGACTAATTCAGCTTAACTCGGACCGCCCCTGGTCCGCACTTATATACCGTGGTCCGCACTGGGTGGAGGTTGTCAGTATCTTCCCGACCAGGAAATCTCATCACAGGGATACGTCCTGCGAGCCCTAGGGCACTCGCTTCAGCCATATGCAGGGTTGGTGATCGACGGGCTTGTAATCACCACTCCTGCTCTGCCGGCGGTGGCCCCTGCTCGTCCAACCTGGTCCGCAAGCTAAACCTACAATGGTATGGAACTTTTAGTGACTCAACACCACGGCTCAACTGCCACACAATCTTATTGTCATGACCAAGAACCTCCGCATATCTATCCTACACCTTGCACACGAACGTCCAACACGATGAATGCATGCGCGTTTTGCAAGCATGGAAAGCGGAAGTGCGACAGGGCTAGACCCTCGTGCTCCAACTGTATCCGGTGGGTGGCCAGAAATTGCTTGGTCGGCTTCCACGTTGTACTGAGACCTCACGATCTACCAGCCTGAGACGACATTGTGTCTACACTGAAGACGCAATCCAATCTCAATTTCATGCCCCGTTGCCTGGTCCTTCTGGTCACCGCCAAGATGGGCGACTCAGGCCCAATTTCGTCGAACTTTCGGGCATCTCTGGTCTGTTCAATCCGCGAACCCCAGAGCAATTCATAGTTACAACTGCCACGCGCGTTATTGGCTCACCAGACAGCATGCGCTCCATCTCAACCGATTTTTTCACCGGCACCCATCAACGCATCTCAACCATATCCAAGATCAAGTTTCATGAAGGGCTTGTATCACTGGCGACTACTCCCAATGCCGATTTCGCAACACTATGCCTGGCTATTCTGCTCATCCAGGAAATGCCGGTAGGCAAGGGAACAGTTGTTCAATCCCCCCTGTATGCCACAGTCAAGAGCTTCATCAATATGCTGGAGGCGTCTAATGACATCTCTCTTGACCTGGCTCATTGCAGAGTCCTTGTGACATTCTACGAGATGGGCCACGGTCTTCATACTGCAGCTTACTTATCCGTTGCCGGGTCTGCGAGACTGGCACGAACTTTGGGTCTCCACCGAAAACCCTGGCGTTCATTGAATGCCGATGATGGTAAAATCATGTTGGAGGAGAAGAAAAGAGTATGGTGGGCTATAGGAAACATGGACCGATTTATCAGCTTATGTTTAGGAGATGCTCATTTTGCGACAAATGACTCAGAGAGACGGGATCCGCTTCCCATTGAGGATCTATTATGGTCGGAGATTTCAGATATGGCAGAAATCGAGCATGTCATTTCCAGCGCACCTTCGCTTGACACACCTTTTGATGTCCGGGTCGGTCAGATGGCAAGAGAATGTCAAATATCTCATCTCGCAGGCCGGGTTGTCCGGCATGTTTTTGATCCTCTTCCAGATCAAGACTTCAATGTCGAGGAAGGCCTTCAGCTCGAACGCACTCTAAAAGCCTATTTACCGCTACTGGCCAACGAAGAATTGGAAATAGGCAAGTACTGTGGTGCATTCGGGGTGTGCAATAGGTTAGTGACACTCTCATCCCACCTGAGACTCAAATTTACTGACCGAATGATTGATACTGTAGTGCTCTCTTTGTGCTGTATGAGTTCATGCTAAGCCATTGTCATGGCGACTCTGTCGAGAGAGACAGGATCGTACAATCTATTAACGAGATTTCGATACGCGTTATCATCTTTGCGGAAGCGACACACCGCGACAGGGAGGTGAACTACCCCATAGAAACACAATCGCCCTACCTCATTTACTCCTTGTATCAGGCAGCCGTTGTGCAGAGTCGCCTCTGGAAGCAAGAGAATGATCCTCAATGCAAGCGTAACCTCGAGTCTCTCAACGACATTCTCCATGCTTTCACCAATAGATGGATGATAACATGTAAGTCCACTCACTGCGCGCGACCCAGAACGTCGTAGATGCTGTTTCTTTCACTGATGCGATCGATGAAAAGGGCAATATCTTGATATCCTGGAGAACATCAACGATCGTTGGTCGCCTATCGTTCTTCCTTTCCAAGGGGTCTTCATAAGTTCTGGTCAACCGACCATCACGTCCTAAAGCTACTGGTAATAATACATGACAAGCATGTCTCTTTCAAACCAGAAAACCCAAGAGCGCACTCACGCTGTAAGAACTTACTTGCCATGCCAGGACAAGAAGCTCGTAATTGATCAATTGGAAGTACTTACTTAGTAATAAGTGTTTCCTCTGGCCCTCCTCGCCGTAATAAGTATTAGATTCCAGCTTAGAACCCTTCTCGTAGGGAACTAGTACATCAGCTTTAGACTCCCAGCTCTAGACTGCAAGTGGGCTCTCGCCTGCTACGAACAATGCTAGTACTGTCAACAGTACTAAGTAATTACTTGATACTTAATGAATGATTGTATAGTAAAGATCGGGCGTTGGAGAATCGGAGGAATCTGATGCTTGACGGCCTATCAGAGCTCTAACTCAAGGTGACAAGATATAAGTACTACTAAGTACTACTGTATTTGATTCAGCGTCGCATATTTCATACTAGGACCCTGCTTGAGATGTGCACTTACACTACTACTTACTTAGTACCAAGTAGTAAGTACTTCCTCTCTTGCACGGTGAATAACGAGCAAACGTTAGATGTCTCTAAGTAAGTACTTAGTATTCTATGCACGCATAGGCCAGCATTCAGGTCAACGGAAGAGCGGATTTATTCCGCTCAGCGCTATCCTGAACTTGGATTCTTTCGTGAACTGTTCTGAACTATTTACCTTAAGTACTTAACTGAACAATGGCTATTGAGCACTTAATAGTACACGTATCATAGTACCAAAAAGCCTACGTTTTTAGGAGTGACAGTACTAAGTACTATCGCTCAGTGTGATTTCTCATCCCAACTTTAAACAAACAATCAAAGTGTGCCAGTGGCAAGGTCTTAATTCATGCTGAGACTGATCAGGCGTGGGAGAATATGGGTGCCATTCAGCAACCTGAAATCCGTTCGTGGAGCGCGATGCTGTATCGAGTGATAGATACTTAGTAGCTTACTAAGTAGCAACACGTGCTATATTATGGTTTCAAGTAAGCAGTATTCTCGATACCAGTTACGTAGTAATTACTAGTAGTGTCAACTGCCTAGCTTTGAATTGTGAAGCTGAAATAGTTTATTACACCTTCATACTAAGTATCATCCTTTCTTTGGGCAACGCCCTAGCATCCATCCACAGGCTGGGTGTTACGAACTGGGTTATGACCATGGTCACAAGATGCGGAGGCCAGGCGGTTAAGGAAGGTACACCAGGAGAAGTGAGGCCATGTCACGTGACCGGAGGTGCTCTGTACGGAGTCGCCCCGACACAGAGCAGGATAATATTTTATATACACAGTCATTACACTAGATAGGACTATTCGTAGTCAACTTCGTTAGCAATCTGACCCCTACATTTCAGATACAGTCCGACGAATAGTAATTCCCTTTGCTTTTCTGGTGAACCCCTCTCGTGTCCACTCTATCAAGGAACCCTATCCTCGCTGCTATTCTGTGCAACGCTGGCTTTTTAAGGTACTACTAAGTACTTATCTACCTGTTATCGCCTAGGTCACTCAGGGACGTGATGCTTAGGATGGAGAATTGCGTCGAGAGGCGTCGCCTAAGATAGCCGACGTTGAAACCATTGACTTCCAAGGAGCTTACTTCTCTCGTGCCCAATACTTAGTACTTACTAAGGCAAACAACGCAGATACAGAGAATTTCCCGCAAGCTTTCCGGGGGATACTGGGTAAGTGCTGAGTCAATGGAAAACCCCTGCTTGTCAAGACAGTTCCCAAATTGCTGCAAACATTACTAAGTAGTAAGGTGATACAAAACCGGCACGACTGTCTGGTCCCGATCAGAGTACACAGGATCACTCGCACCTCAACGACGCCCTGACCAGTAGACATTGATATTATTATCAGACTATGAGACTGCACGGAGGCTTCCCCAATTTAATAAGTACTAGTAAGTACTAGATTCACCCTTGCCGAAACAGCAAAACTTCAACCACTTTGTACAGCATCTCAGAAGTGATCAAAATTTTGTCTAAAGGAAAGTTGTGCTGGGTCTTCCTTCTAGACATACTTAGTAGTCTAGATAGAATCTGAACCATCACCGCGCATCCAACACCCTCAGCGGCTGGGCAATATCCTTGGTCGCGTCGTTCACAAGAGCGCTTTGAAATTCCCTCAAGTCCTCAAGACCATTGTTCTCACGTTGTCCGGCTGATTCCCGCCGAGCACGTTGAGAAATGGTCGAACGCAGGTCCCTATATTCGTCATAGTCGTGCTCGTAGTGCAAGGGCTCCTTAGACGCCTGTTTTCGGCTGGATGGTTCGTCCTGAATACTAGTATAGCCATATTGCTTCTCCTTTGTCGGTCGAGGGTGGTAAGGTTCAGCAGTATTAGATTTCTGGCGTGGTTTCAACGGGTTCCTTGGTTTTGGCAAGGATGATATCCATTTCAGGTACCACGACCGTCTTAGCCTTCTTTCCACTTATCACCTTCTTTGCCTTGATATAAACTACTTGCCAGTGAGTGTTACCAACCTCTCTATCATTGGCCCCGTCAATTGCATTCAGGATCTGGTTGCGCCGTAAAGTAGACATGCGGGCCCTTTGTTCTAGGACTGTCCCGTCGCTCCCTTTCACGCGGATCTTCTTTTCAATATGTTCAACAGGCGCTGAAATAGTATCCTTAATCGCTCGGCTCCAGTCTTCCCCACTCTTAGATAGGTGATAATACAGATAGTCTGGCGACAGCTCATGACTATCTATAACCTTAGTGCGCTCCTTATGGTGCTGGACTTTTTCGAATTCGTGATCTTCGTGGATAGATAAAGCTGACATGCAATGCTGGGCGTGTTGTGGACTTTGATCTTCGTAGAAGATAGGTTCTTCGAGCCGTTCTTCGAGAAGATGTTCATCTAGGACTTTCAAGCCTATATCAGGATTGATTGGAGCGAAGGAATCACGACGTAAAGGGCGGTCCATCTTTAATGAAGCCGAATCAACTAGTCTAGACAAGCTAGGTGCGATTTGCTTCGCTTGCGGGTGCGTTTTGAAAGATGGAAAGAAGGAAAGATGTAGAACGTATGGAGAGTTTAGACCAGGTCTGTTAGGGCAGTGCTGCTGCAAAGTGGGCATTGGTTGATGATATGCAGTAGAAGAATCGTGAGAACAACAATGCTAAAGACATACAGATCGATTTGAGTCGAAAGGATGAGAAGAACTAAAGTACGCAAGAGGCTGCAGGGTTAATCAGTCAGTCGGAGGACGTCCAATTATGCCAGATTTCTAGGGAAGTCGAGAGCCATGCTTGCTTTGCACAAAAGTTTCGGTCGAGCAAGACCGGGTTGGTTGATCGCTTGTCGAAGCAAATCCGCGACGGCGACAGTGGTTACCTGTGTCAGGCGAGCCAGTTGTAGGTAACCAAATCAAGTACGGCTGGTCTAGATGTAGCTGATATGAATGAAGAACTGCGTGGCTTTCTATTTTGTAGTAAGATCGGGTGGGCGAATAGAGGGATTGGCAGTAGAGGAGCGGGGCAAGTTCAGAGTCTACAGCAAGACGAACCAGTGAGGCGTTCAAGCTGATATCAGCGAACAATTGGCGTTTGACACTTCCGGCATCCCTGCCGCTGGTGCTGTTGCTGCTTGCGAACTGGCCTTTCGATGATCGAAAACAGCCGTCCTCCACTTGCGCAAGAGACACAGGCCATCCGGGCACCGGCATTTTGTCTCAAGATTCAGTGCAGTCATCATTTATGTCCCTGAGCCCCATACAGTCTCTCGTCTCCTCTTTCGACGAGTTGTCTTGATTACATCCTGGGTTCCACTTTCTGATCGCTTCGTGTCCGCTACTCGTTCATATTTTTCGATGCAAGCGGTTCTTGGGCCTCAGACACCTGCCCCTACATTATGATATTCGAACCATTGTCAGCCGAGGACCTTTGCGAATATATACTAGTACTTCGTAGCTCGGTTGCTATGCACGCCCGAAGCAGAGCTGAATCATATACGTTGTTCCCGGGTACTGAGTGCCCTCCTGTTCAAGATAATCGCATGTCAGGAGGTAGGTACCAGCTCAATACCAAGGATCTAGGTACCTGAGTCTTAGTAACATGTCGTAGGTAGCTTTTATTGCTTCGGTGGGCGGGTGCTTCAACGCAGGGAAAAGGAGCCACTGATGTATACAACGCTAAGTCTGATGTGGAAGAACTTTGAAAGTGCATTATTGGACCCGCTACATCTGGAGTAGTGTTGGCCGCACGCAAATGCATAAATTTCCACAACTGCTGCAAAGTTCCCGCACAGCCTTGATTCCCAGATATCATACAAATAATCGATGATCACCATGCGCCTCAAACCAACACCAACCGAACGACGAATGTCTTGTTCGTCAAGCCTATCACACTGTTGATGACAAAGCCCCGGATTCATTCTAAAACCAAGTCTTATCTTACAAGGAGTGGGGGCTCAACGTGCAAATGGAAGGATGATGGCAGTCAAGCTCTCCTGTGTATGCTGCAGGGTTCATGCGCGATGATGCCAACGACCCTTCTGGGAGATTCATTAACTAGTGCGCACTCGTACTATAAGAGATAGCATTGATCTCGACATCTGCCCCTTCGCCTGATGATTATCTGCCTCCGTACAGATACGAGTGCTCGAGTCAGTCCTTATACTTGGTATCCTAAGTATATTTATTGTGTGCGGGATTGTCATATGGCACTCAATCGAGTACTTGACAAGGTACATCGCACACTGGACAATATCTCACACAAGAGCGAGATGGCTCCCGAGATTCCCAAGACCATGAAAGCTGTCCAACTTGTAGGGGTATGGCCTCCCCTTTCCGTTTGCATCTGCAAAATGGACCTTCGAGGCTGACAGAATCGCAGTGGAAAAAGCCATACGAGCTACATGAGATAGACGTTCCCCAGGTCGGCGACACAGATCTTCTGGTCAAATCTGCTGCAGCAGGTTTCTGTCATACCGATTATCAAGTTTGGGAGGGTGTCTATGAATCACCGACCCCTATTGTGCCCTCGCATGAGCCCGTTGGCACCATCGTTGCGGTTGGTTCAAAGGTACAAGACAAATGGAAGGTTGGTCAGCGTGTGGGCGCATTGCTATTTCGGCACCAATGCCACCATTGCCTCAAATGCAAGACCACAAATGATATTCGATTCTGCGAGAACATTGACTTTGCCGGCCTGAAAGCCGACGGAGGAATGGCAGAATATTTCATTGCTGATGGACACAATGCTGTCTTGTTGCCAGATGAGGTGGATTTTGAGAATGCTGCGCCACTGATGTGTGCTGGGGTAAGTGACACATGATCACCAAATAGTGTTATGCTTGTCGTTGGCAACAATTACATTGTGAAGCAAACTGATCTTCTTCAGGCAACCACCTGGGCTGGCATCGAGGCTTCAAGAGTGAAGCCAGGCGACCCGATTGGCATCGTTGGCATCGGTGGACTTGGTTCTCTGGCTGTTCAATTCGCAAAAGCGCTTGGACATCCCGTGGTCGCAGTTGACAATCGGCCAGAAGGCAGGGCTCTGGCACAAGAGACCCCTTTGAAAGCTGACCTCGTTGTTGACTTCAATGACAAGGACGCAACCGAGAAGATCAAGAATTGGGCTGGCGATGGCGGCTTACCAGCAATCGTGATCACCACGGATAACAATGATGCCACCGACTGGATGCTTTCCACGTTGAGACCTCATGGGGTTGCGGTACCTCTTGGCTTGCCTGTACCCAATGTTCAATTCGACTCATTTGCGTTAGTTTTCCAGGAGCTGCTGATCGTAGGCTCGGTGGTGTCCACCAAAGAACAGGCCGCAGCAATGTTGGAGACGGTGGCCAAACACGGGATACGCTCCCACATCACTACTATCCCTCTTGAGAAGGTCCCGGAGGCGTTGCCAGGTGCCTATATGGATCCTCATCTCAAAGGTCGTCTCGTGGTGAAGATCGCTTGAGAATTCGCACGGGAAGTCCGAATTAAGTAAAATGGTTGGTGCGTCAATGTGTAGTTTCGAATCATAATAATGTTCAGCTCCTCCCAAAAAGCGTCATTGGTCTGGTAGATCCAGTGTGGATCGTTCCCAGCACTCTTAAGAGCCTGCTGATGACACAATTCTGGTTACAGCTTACCTGAGAAGGCCATGGAGGGTGTTGGTCTCCAGGCTCGAACTTCATTGGTGGATGGTTCACATCTTGGTGATCACTTGATATTGAACTTTGACTCAGTAGGAGAATGCATGGGTTGCTGGCCTCCGATACTTCGTATTCCCAGTCGTCCTGGACATTCACGGACTACAAGCCGGCCGGCCATGTAGACTGATGATGGCAGAAGCTCCGAGGCTGCTGGCGGTCGGGTCATGCATTTCGTATCTGGTGTTCTTTACACCAGTCGTGGGCTGCGAAATGGGTGACGTAAGCAATATGGGGTTAATCCGCAATTCGATGCAGGTCAGGCCGTGAAATACCGGGGATGACCGACTTTTGCTTGGCCCCCGACGATTTGTGGGGACTGATGCCCTATCAAGATGATCTATCCAACACAAGAGCTCCCTCCACATCGGCTGGGTGGCCGGGTTCTGCGGTGGGTATATCGTTCCTAGATGTCTGAGGCCTCCCTCTTCTTGTAAGAAAGCCTTGCCACGGTAAGCGACGAACTGTCCCTCGTCAACTTCAGTGCCCCGGAAACATTCCATTCAAAACATTTACGAAGCGTGAATCGTTGCTCCCAATGATGGATTCTCCAATCTCCGATGTGCAGTCTTTGCCGAGCGATGTCCCTGTTGTGGTCGTTGGCGGCGGTCCCGCTGGCATGATCGCCGCGTTGCAACTCTCGAAGAATGGAGTTCCATGCCTGCTCGTTGAGCGGAATCTTGATACAACCAAATGGCCGAAGATGGATATCACAAATTGCCGGAGTATGGAGCTTTTGAAGCGCCTCGGCGTAGATCAAGGCCTGAGGGAAGTAGGTATGTTCTGTTGTGGAGTTAATGCTTTTCGCCCACGTCACTGTTGAGGGAGGCGATCTAACCATGTGTCAGGTGTGCCTGATAACTATAGTTTCGATGTATTATTCAGCACAGGGCTTTCTGAGCACGGACGGCTCATAGAAAAATGGGTATATGCTGTCAAATCGTAAGCTATTAAGTAACTGTCCAAGACTGACCAAAGGCCAAAGGATCTCCCATCGCCACGCGCCTGGCGAGAAAAGATCAAGAATCAGAATGACGGTTCTATGCCGCGTGAACCATATCAAAGATGCTCCCAAGCGATTTTCGAGGCCTGGCTGAAACCACGGATTGAGGCTGATCCCATGATCACGGCCAGGTTCGGCATGAAGTTCGAGACTCTTACAGAGGATGGAAAAGGAGTTATAAGTTCGCTTATTGACCAGTCCGGTGAACGTCACATCGTGAGATCGTCTTATGTGATCGGCTGCGACGGAGCTGGCAGTAAAGTCCGTCAAAGCGTTGGCATCACCATGACGGGAGGACCAGTGTATGAGGCTGCCTTCTCCCAGACTCCCCCCTCTAAAGTCAGATACTAATGAGTAAAATAGTCCTGGAGCTATGTATCTCATCCATTTCAAGTCTCGTGATCTGGAAGTTCTGCACCGTCAGGGCCAATTTTGGCATATCTTCTTCCTGGCAGGCTCGGTTATTATCTCCCAGGATGAGAAGGATACTTGGACGATCCATATCCCAGCTTCGATCGACGCTAAGGCCTCTGACATGGACCCCCATGCAGAAATAAAGAAGGCCTTGGGCCTCGAGGAGTCGAAATTGGCCGTTACTGTAGATGAAATACTGGTTACAAGTATGTGGAGACCCAACATCTACCTGGCAGACCGCTATGTGTCAAGTGGTGGCCGCGTTTTCATCTCTGGCGACGCTGCCCATCAGAATATGTGAGTTGCCTATAATTTCCCTAAATCTCGAATTCGGGCGGATTCACTCTGTGAGCTTATGCCTGCGCTGACTGCTATTATCTCTAGACCTACGGGAGGTTATGGCATGAATACCGCAGTCGGAGACAGTTTTGATATAGGCTGGAAAGTAGCTGCAGCAGTCCACGGTTATGGAGGCCAATCCTTGTTGCAATCATATGAAGATGAGCGGAGGCCAGTGGGAATGAGAAACATCGATCGATCTGGTGCTCATTGGAAAGTGCACGCCACCTATGGAGAATGGTGCGGGCAGGCCAACGGCGCAGTTTCGTCTTCATCGGATGAGGGCAAGGAACTTCGAGAAAAGGTCGCACATCACGTCAGAACACACGACGGAGAGAATAAAGACCAGGGAATCGAACTTGGGTATCGCTACAAGTCTGACGTGGTTGTGCTATTGGAAGATGCTGGCACAGAGCCTCCTTGGTCGGAGAAGCAGTATATCCCATCAACCTGGCCTGGAGCTAGAGCTCCCCACGTTTTCCTCAATGATGGAGAGACAAGCATATTCGATCTATTTGGTCAGGGTCCAGCATGGACTTTGGTCGATTTTACGCAATCTGGTGATCATATCAAACAGTTCAAGTCCGTACTTTCATCCTTGAGAGCCAAGATTCCACTCGAGTTTGTCCATTTACCGGATGAGTCACATGTCCGCAAGATCTGGGAACGAGAAGCGGTGCTAGTCAGGCCGGACGATCATGTAGCCTGGAGAGCACCCACAGGCGATGGTCTGGATATTGATCCAGAAAAGATTCTGTTGATTGTGACAGGTCAGGGGCAAAAGGACATAGGTGAAGAACTGATGGCTGACCGAAACGATCATGAAAAGATTGTGTTTACTGGGACAATTGGAAACGTCGAACATGGCAAGGTTGAGCAGCTAGCTGCCTTTCAGCAGTAAGCCGAGTACAATTCGCAACATAATGAGCCAAACTATGATCAAAGTAGGCAACGTCAGGATGCCCAATCGGCGTTTGCCGATGCTGTACCCTTTGGGAGTCTGTATCCCGGAAATGTGGCTGGTGCTCACGCTTCCACGAGTGTTCTGCTCCGTATTTATTGAGTGTGGTTGCCGATATTGCTTGAGCTTCGTTCCTTCTCAAAGCGATAATCAACATGTCCGTATGAAGCGTCACATGATAGAGATACAGCAAAAGTCTCACAGTTCAATCCGAGCACTGCAGAGCTTGATGTGTATCAGAGATAGCACACTGTTGAGGGTGTTGCATTCGGAAATAGAACACTCGTGCGCATTGATCGCAAGATTTGCTGGTAGCGTAATTGTATGGGAGGCCATGGTTAAAGTATCATGACGCACAGCCAACTTACCTAGTTAGGTATTTAAGAGGCCCTGCCACATATAGCCAGGTGTATATAGCAGACTTCCGAGCTCCAAGGCTTATGAAGGTCCCCAAAAAATCCATCTTATCAAGCCTGGTCTCATCGGCCAACCCTCCCTGGTGATAATAGCGAGGTGAAGTACTTCGGCGCGTAGCTTGCTACATCATCAGAGGACTTTGGCGAAGGAGAGTTCTCAAATTTCGAATGGTGAATCCAGAAAGATTGATGTCATATGATAGCAACCACATGTACAATTTGTTATAATATCTCTCAAGGTAGTTTGAATGGAACATTTTAGACGATTCAGAGAGGCTTTTTGGAGTGACAGCATCTAGGGATGTTCCCTCAATCCACACCCTGTCTTTCTGGGCGGCTTTAGAACAGTCATTGGAGTGCAACGTTATGGCATTTATACAGTAACTTTGTTTGACGGCTAGGACGTATAGCGACCGTCGGCAGCCTACACTTTGCAGAGAATACAATATATGCCGAGAGGACGTGTATGGCGTACGGGGGATATGGGAAAGTCTTTCGGAGATCTTTACAATCGAAAGAGAAATGATACCTGATTTCACTTGACTCGTTCATAGGGTGGCCATATTCAGATCCAGGTCTATCTACACTCCCACAACTTCTGGCACGCCCGCCCACCATCAACCACACTCTGACTAGATGTTACCATTGCTCGCAACCTCCCGCTCATCTGCTGTCGCTAGCGACTCTTTGATCTCCGTGAACCACGCTTTTGCTGCAAGCGGAGGTACCGCATTACCGATTTGTCGGCTCTGCGACGTCTTTCCACCAATAAACTTGAAATCAAGTGGGAAGGTTTGGATTAGCTTCATTTCGCATGTCGTATAGAGTCTCTGGCCGTCTGGATGATAAACCTTCTCGCTGTTTCCACTGCACTTAATAGTGCCTGATAGAGTCTCTGGATTAAACGGATTCTTGGCGATTGAATGTGCACTGTTGACATTATGATCTGGCAAGCCGAAGGGAATATTTGAAATAGCATCTCGAATAGATGGCAGTGGATGTAGGTGGCTGCCATTGCCATGGGTTGGCATGGGCAGTGATGGAAGCTGTTCACCTGGGCTTGAAGGAATATTAGCTTGATATGGTGCAAACAGAGGACTTGTGATCTTACCCAGCAGCAATCATGATGAGTCGTGTACGCGTTTGTGGCACTCCATATTCACTCAACTTCAGAACCGCCCATCGAACGCTATATCCTAAGCCGGTAAACATTGAGATAAGCTTAATAAACCAGTCTCGATGTTTTTCCTTCTCCAGACCATCGGATTCCTCCACTGTTGCAATTCGAGGGCGAGTAAGACGGATGAGATCTTCTACCGTGGTAAAAGTAGCAAGGTTGGCCGCGTTCTTCTCCGCATTTGGTGTTGTATTTGCTGGTGAGAAAGGCTGGCAAGGAGGGCTCACATGCATGATGTCAACAAGATATGGACGTGGGTCGCGCATTACATGCCTGAGGAAGTCGGCACAATTCTCCAGTCGACATTCAGTACCACAACGATTAAAAAAGCGCTTGGTATAGGTAGCCATCGCATCTCGATCCATATCGAACGCCCACTTGATTTTCAAACCTGCGTCGAGTGCACCCTGAGAAGCACCACCGGCACCGCAACAACAGTCCGCTATTGTGTACTGCTTCATGGTTATGTCATCAAAAATGTGCTCTTGATGACTTCCACCCAGAGCTGTGACACCAACCCCACGCCAGATTTCTCGGACCTCTTTGTCACCGATCCGAATTGGCACCAGAGCTCCGCTCTTCTGAAGACGATGACCGCACATGGAATCTGATGGTTTTAGATGCTCGACACTGCCTCTCAGGTGTCTGGTACCTTCTTTTCTTCTGCGATACATTTCAGAAGCTAGAGGCAGAACGCGTTTCCATCTGCAAAAGTACAGTGGCTCGAGTGAACTTCCTGCGTCCTGCTCATAGTTCATGTTATGATACGGCTGATTCGTGAAGATGATTCGGCAATTTCGAACTACATCGTCCTCCGATCTCTCAAACTCGATCACCTGTTGGTCTTTAGGGTGGGCGTAAGAAACCCAAAGAAGCTCCTTATTTTCAAATTCGACACAATGGTCATCAGTGTTTGGATACACAAGTTTGTAGCCCTTGAAGATGATTCGATTGAGGCGGTCTGTCTTCCACGATCTGATATGGAGGTACGACCCATCTTTCAACTGAACACTCCATCCAGGGCGCAGATTGATTTGTTGTGGATCGATGGTTCGAGAAGGATCATTTTGAGAGGAATTTGTGCCTCGGGTATTGTTTCTTGATGGCGGTAGACGGACTACGAACTTCTCCATGTCGGTTGTCTTGCGAGAGTCGGGCTAGGCTTTACTCAGTCGGACGGTTGATGTAGAGAGTAGTAAGGATAGGCCGTTCGAGATTGAAGAATCGTGTTACCAGAACACTGCACAGAGGACAAAATACTGGGTGGGAGAGGGGGGGTTGTTATTTGGAAGGCTGAAGTCGACTGTGGTGATATTCTCTGGGAGACGAGATATTGGCAAGCGTTTTGGCAAGAAACTGTAAGAGAGGATGCTTTCCAAGAGTGTCTAGACTGATAGAATCGTTGAAGTAATAACAGAAGCAGTGACAGGAAAGTTCGCAGGATGCCCTGAAAACAAGAACGAACAAGACGAGTTAGGTTCGCGCGGTATATTTGTGCGATAGCCACAGCACATGCTATGCGATAGTATCAAACTTGAACACCTTGGGATGATCGCTGTTGTGAGAGCTGTTGTATTGCCCTGCTCGACAAGATACAAAGCGATTGTCTTCCAGAATGTCGCCACTTCCACTGTCGATTCTTGTATCCTTCAACTTCAGCAACAAGACAACAACGAGCGAGTGTGAGACTCCTCAGCCATCGCATAGCCCCGCCTACAGATTAAGAACGACACCACTATGCAAATTCTGCTGCTTTGGTGCATTCAGAAATGCACAATGTCCCAACAATGAAGCTTGCAAGACCCCTAGCAGAGATGGGTGTCCAAGATGTGGAAGTCCCACCATCTCTTGAGCGCATATGAGGGGGAAAAGACACTCAGTAACATTCACAATGAAAGAACAACTACATGATGAGTCATTTATCACGGACTTGATTGAGCATTCCCAGGAAGTCCATGAACAACTTCTATTGTCTGATGGAAACAGAGACAACGAGGCTGCATCAGTCAGGGGTTTGCTCACCTCCCGGGACATCGATGTTCCGATCCGACCACATCCGGTAAGACTTGCCTGTCTGACCACCTTACAAGGTGTGAAGGCAGATTGAAGCGACAGGAACAACATTCATCCGCAACAGGCATGGTGGGGCAACCAAAAATTTCCTCCATCCTTTTTTCCCTGCCAGATTCCGAGACCGTTCACAATGAGGGAGGATTATGGATCCCGCCTCTCAAACAACCCACCTCGGAGGGCAAATATCCTCTCCAACTCGTGTTGGCCGTTATCTTCCTTCTCTAAGTACTACATCATGTGGTGTATCGAATATTCTGAGCCGTTGAGTCTCACTGCCTCCGATCAACTTCCTCCCTGATCATTCCCTCGAAGCTCTCAATCTCTCCTCAGTCTCCCTGACACTACACCTCACGGCATCGGGAAATCCGTCGGTGCAGACGGACCTTCATCCCTTGAAACAAATCAAAACTACTGCATACTGATTTAGGTAAGACAGAATTCCCTTGTGAATCATTGCGAAGTCCTTAGGATGAGCCCACTTTTATTGTTTTAGATGTTAGACTGCATATCAATCTTGCTGAAAACTTCGGGTCTGATCGGACGATCTTTTTTGCGCGTTGAGTTACACTTCTGTGTATATACAGCCCAGCTAACCTGGTGATAGATCTCATCCCGGTGCCTTTGCTAAATCAGCAAATATGTGTGGCATTCTGGCTCTTATTCTCGCCAACAGTTCCTCCACCTCTGCCGCAGTTGATCTACACGAAGCCCTCTACCTCCTTCAACATCGTGGTCAAGATGCCTGCGGAATCGCGACCTGTGCGACTGGTGGAAGAATATATCAATGCAAAGGCAATGGTATGGCTGCAAAAGTCTTCCAAGACGGCTCAAGAATTGTCGATCTGCCTGGCTTTATGGGAGTCGGTCATTTAAGATACCCAACTGCTGGAAGCAGTGCCAATGCCGAAGCACAACCATTTTATGTCAACAGCCCGTACGGGATCTGCCTTGCACACAACGGCAATCTGATCAATGCGCCCGAACTGAAAAGATATCTCGACATCGAAGCACACAGACACATCAATACTGATAGCGACAGCGAACTTATGCTCAATATATTTGCGAATGAACTCAACGAAACGGGAAAAGCCCGTGTGAACGATGATGATGTTTTCGCCAGCCTTAGCCGGATGTACGATAGATGCAAAGGTGGATGGGCATGTACTGCAATGATTGCTGGCTATGGCATTATTGCATTCCGAGATTCGTTCGGTATTCGGCCCCTGGTCATCGGGTCCAGAAACTCTCTCGATGGACCTGGTAAAGACTATATGGTAGCTTCGGAGTCCGTGGCACTAGAACAGCTCGGCTTCAAAGTCATTCGTGATGTCATGCCTGGAGAGGCCGTTATTGTTCAAAAGGGACATGAACCAGTCTTCCGCCAAGTCCAAAAGCAGATTGGATATGCACCCGATATCTTTGAGTATGTCTATTTCGCTCGTCCTGACTCGGTAATGGATGGTATCAGCGTTCATCGAAGCCGTCAGCACATGGGTGCACGGCTTGCGGAGCGGGTCAAGAAGACACTCAGCCCACAAGAGTTGGACGAGATCGATGTGGTTATTCCGATCCCAGAGACTTCTGTCACCTCAGCATCTCTCGTGGCCCAAGTGCTTGGAAAAGAATATTGTCACGGATTTGTCAAGAACCGCTACGTGTTCAGGACATTCATCATGCCTGAACAGAAGGCCAGGCAGCGAGGTGTCCGACGCAAGCTCAACGCGATGGCTATGGAGTTTAAGGGTCGAAATGTTCTACTAGTCGATGACAGTATTGTACGCGGGACCACAAGCCGTGAAATCGTCAACATGGTACGTGAAGCTGGGGCCAAGAAGGTGCATATTGCTAGCTGTGCACCACCAATCACCCACGCCCACATCTACGGAATTGATCTCGCCTCGCCATATGAGTTGGTTGCACACAATTATCCTGGAGCAGAGGCGATTGCCAAACACATCGGTGCTGACAGTGTGGTTTACCAGTCGCTCGAAGATCTCAAGGCCGCCTGCGTTGATGCAGCTCGGGAAGCCAATAGCGAAAATGCGCCTCAGAATTTTGAAGTGGGAGTCTTTTGCGGTTCATATGTCACTCCGGTAGACCAAACATACTTTGAGCATCTTGAGCGGATCCGTGGGCAAACCAGAAAGTTCAAGGTCATGGATGAAGCACGACGCGCAATTGCTCAAGGGATTGCTGGCCATGATCAGATTCAAATGGCGACCAATGGCGTTGTTGTCAGTGAAAAGGGTACCATTGTTCCAGCTCAGAACGGAGAGATGTTGACTCCCTCAATCAATACCAATGGCCATGACCAACGGCCTTCACAGGAAGATGAAAGTCCATCGGTTCGTGATCGCATGGATATTAGCCTTCATAACTTGGGAGACTTCCCAGATACATGAAAGATTGTGCTGCACTATTGGTCAGGCGTGAAAGGTGAATTAATCATGGCGTATGGGATATGCTTCGCAAGATATCATTGCTTGAGGCAGGAGGCTCGCTTTGCTGCATTTCGGTGGGAATCTTCTATATACAGCAGCATAGGTGTTGTGCGCAATGTAGCCATAATGTCTACTTAGGTAGATAGGTAGCAACAAAGTACAATTGAGAATGTTGTGTTACAACAACCCTTTTTGATGCAAAACACGAAGCACTTCTTTCTCAATCCGTGTGTGGTGCAACCAGAAATTGTCCTAAGGGTCCAATCTACGTAATGACGCGCCAATGCCCACTGAGCAGATTTTGGTTAGGGCAGCGGACTCGATTGGTGATCCCAGCCATTCCGCACGAACGGGAGATGAAGGCTTGGTGGGCTGATCCGTAGTCCAATTCGTTATTTTCTTCAGCCTAAGGAGCCAGTCCCAAGCCTTGCGGTTGTCACTGTAGGGGAGGCTGGGGGTGGGGGCTGTTGACAACAACTCGCAATTGCAGCCGCAGTCACAAGATGCTACAACTCACTTAGTTACTGCACTTGCGCCTTCCTCTTCACCACCGGCATGTGAATTCTGCGTTACTACTTTCCAAATGCGACTTCCTCTACAACATTCGCTCCTTCCGCAGTCACTGCCAAACACCTTCCTTGTCGCGTGATTTCCCCTTGCGCAGCGATCTATTCCAACGACTTCCGAACCATCCTCATTTTCTCATGGAAGCCTCACGACAGTCTCGCGCATCTGGACGTAGGCGACCGTGCCACTTGACTGATTGACACATCTCTATCTTATCCGTACTAGTTCATCCTATCATCCATCACATATCTACCTGAACAAGCACAGCCGCGGCACCAACAATGTCCCGCCCGCCTATCCCACGTTCCTCCGTTGCGAGTGGCCTTGCGCCTCCTCTTGCGCCGCCTGGGTACCCAGGCAGTGTTCACGCATCTGGAGTCTTTCCACCGCCACCGCCGCTCAGTGCAGCACCTAGTCGCCCGCAATCCCGCGTTGAGCCTCCTCCTCTGAGCGCAACCCTTGGCCCAATGCCGGGAACTCTTGAACGCCCCATAGCCGGCCCTAGGAAGCGTCTTATTGTCACTTGTGACGGCACATGGCTCGATGCGGACAACGGGCTGTCAAATGGTCAGAAGCAGATACCCTCAAATGTCTCAAGGATAGGCTGGGCTATCAAAGATACTTCCAGAGACGGAATTCCTCAGGTTGTCAACTACCAGGCCGGCGTTGGCACCATGGGTGGGCGCGCCTCCCGCACTTTCAGCGGCGCCACTGGTTTCGGCTTGAAAGAGAACATGCGCGAAGCATACACTTACCTTGCAATCAACTGGAAGGCTGGAGATGAAATGTTCCTCATGGGCTTTAGCCGTGGTGCATTCACGGCACGAAGTATTGGGGGTATGATCGGAGCCCTTGGCCTACTGACCAGGGCTGGTCTACCATTTTTCAATGAAATCTTCGAGGATTGGGAGCATCGTTTCGATGAGCGGTACGAAAGCAAGTACCCAGAAACACCATTTCCAGATAAAGGTCCCTTCGATCAACATTATGTGGATGAATTGGTGAAGAGGGGCTTGACAATCATGAATGTGCCTATCAAAGCTATCTGCTGCTGGGACACGGTTGGCAGTTTGGGCATTCCGAAGACCGGGCTGTTGAGTTCTATTGGAATAGTGAACCCAGGCGTGCATGAGTACGAATTTTATGACACCCGACTGCATCCGTGTATCGAAAATGCCTTCCAAGCTCTTGCACTGGACGAACGAAGATCCCCATTTTCACCAGCTCTTTGGGAGAAGCGTGACAATGATCGTACGAATTTGGTTCAGTGCTGGTTTCCTGGCGTACACAGCAATGTTGGGGGAGGGTATGAGGACCAGGATCTTTCAAATATTACCCTGGCGTGGATGATGAGCAAGCTTGAACCATTCCTGGACTTCCGTTCAAATTTTCTAATCGGTCTTTGGGAGGAAAATCGACGTACTTATAAATTAAGTGGACAGAAGACTCGGCCATGGGCTTTTGGGGAGCTGTACAACTCTGTTAAGGGCTTTTACTCGCTGACGGGCACAAAAACAAGAACACCAGGGAACTACTACCGTACAGATCCCCAAAATGGCCGACCAACGTCTAAGAGGCTAAAGAACACAAACGAATTCATCCACGCGAGCGTCAGGGCTAGATTGGGCTTGCAAGGTCCGGGTTCGCAGGACCGAGGCATCTATGATCCACCAGCATTGAAAGATTGGACCTTCGAGGCGGAGATGCTTCCTCCTGGACAGGGCGGTAATGCCGACCACCTTGCGGTCATCTGGACGGATCACAATGCGAAGAACACTGGCGGACAGGAGAAGATACCCGAGGCGATCATCTCAGAAACAGAATTGGTCCTCCTGAAACAAACCCCTCGAACATATGACTACGTGTTGGACCTGCGGCCTTCCGCAAAGGAAAAGAGAAGAAGTCGCCGCGTTGAACAATTTGATGGTGCCCCTCCTCCAAGGCCATCATCTCAGGCACCACCGCATGCAAGTGGTAGAAGAACTGGAAGATTAAATCCTGATGGACTCCCCGAATCCGAGGAGGATAGAGAACGACGGAAGAGACGGAGTCACCGAGAGAGTCGAGATCCAGAGAAAGCCCGACGGCGAAGAAGTCGACGGTACGATGAATGAGATTGCTGCGACCTAATGTCCTGGATTCTGACCTCGAACTCGATCTGCTATATCCGCAACGCTTCTCAACATCCTCATACGTTGCCATTGTCTGGGAACGTGGTTCGCATCCGAGATATCTTTAGCTCAGCCATCCGTGGATACCAGCTATAATAGCATCGTGGCCCGCCATCGCGATTCTGGCAATAAGGTTGGCATTCTTACTTCGATAACCATCAGAACACGAGCCGATCTAAGCTCAATCTGCGGTGTTCTGACAAGTCATCGACTCATCGTGGAAAATCGACGAGGCAACATCATCAACAGGTGGTGCAGTTGAAGATTGTATCTCCACAAGCCTTGACTGATGCCGATCGCCTAGCGTGTGAAAGCGTGCTAGCATAAGGTGAAACGCGTGGCGTTGCCTCTCGTAGATTACTGAAAGCTTAAATTGGTCGACCCTACGTTACCCTATCGCCTAAATCGCCTAGCGATTAGTTTTATCAAGGCCTCGCCATGGGCGATGTCGAGATTGTGGCATTCTTTCAATGCCCCAACATGATCCATGCATGAAATGACATGTCTTCCTACCAGTCTGAATCTCCTACTTAACCAGAGGGATGCTCAACCCACAAGGCTTCATTCCGTGATATTCTCAGCGTGCATACTAGCAAGCATGGTAGATTGGTCGGCCTTAAGCGTGGCTGCGAGATTCTCGGCCCTCCTCTTCCCCGCAACCCAGCGCATAAACTCACCGTAACTCTGCGGCAGCACGTTGACACTGTCGGACGACAGGAACGTGTAGAAGAACGTGCCCGTCGACTTTCGTTCCTGGTCCTGGTGCTCGACCGGCCGCACGTGCGTCCGCACCATCACCTGGATGCGTGTACCGCCGCTGGGGTCCGGCTCCGTGTACGAAACACCCGCGGACACGTACAGCACCGATCCGACAGGAACTGGCTCTTCGAATGTGCTTGGGTCAAGGTTCAAGAACCGTGGTCGCGTGTGGCAGAAGGCGGCCGCGCAGGTGAATGCTAGTTCGAAGGTTTGCTTCAGGAGGTACCCTCCGAAGATCATGCTGTTTTCCGGGGAAGGCTGGAGGTTAGCTTTTGATTGTCTGGAAAAGAAGAAAAGGGTTTAGGTGTATGCTGATGGGACAGACGTACAAATTGTGACGGTTGCGGTATTGCGGTTGCATGATCTGTGTGCTGTGAATCGTGGTCTTGCTCATGTTCTGCACGTTCTTGGGTTGATGTTTGGGATTCTTGGAGTCGGCGTACGCGAGCGATTCGGTCCACATCTTATGGATTTCGATCGACTCCTCGGCATCGGGGGCTTTTTGCAAGATGTGGGCCGACTTCATGGCTTTTTTGTTCTTGTAGTTCTCGGCTCCCTTTGCGAAGATCGCTTTCTCGGCGGGCGTCGTCACTTCCAGTGGCGCAATGTTGATCGGTTTCTTCGTCTGAGGGTCCAATGCCACCATGGTGAAAGCACATGTCATGAAGACGTGTTCCGGTAAGATCTTCTCTCCTTCTGCAGGAGCTTTCGCTATTTGTAGCGTGATCTCCATGCTGCTTCGCCCGGTCGCGAATGTGACTTGGCCGCTCAGTTCTAGGTCGCAGATTTCCCTGATCGGATTTTGCAGTGTGATTCTGTCCACGGCGGCGGTCACTGTGCTGACACCTTCACCAGTGTGTTTGTAGGCTACGACGCCGGCCATGGCGTCGAGATCCATAAGGAGCGTCCCCGTCCGAATTTGTCCGGTGTAGTTCGCATATGTGTCGAGAAGCCATTTGTCTTGCTATGAACCCGCCAGAGGAGAAAAAAGTCAATTCAAGCTACGCAGGTCTTTCTGAATGGGAAGGCATGGGTGTGGGAGGGTGAACAGGCAATTCATCATTGGGTATACTAACAGCCAGTGGGAGCACAAGGCTGACGTAGCTATCTGACATTCTCTTTGGGGTCACATCTGGTTTCGGGGTTGGTTTCGGGTCTGCTGCCGCGGAACCATTTTGCGATTCTCTCAGTGCTTCTATCCATGGCGTGCGGATTCTCATCTCTGTGAGTGCTTTGTAGACCCCATCGGTCTGGCATCTTTTGCTTGTATGGAATGACCGTCTGCATGCGAAAGTCGTGGGCGGCAGGGCTGGGCTGCACCGCGCAGATGCCTTTGGTGCCCGAAGCACGCGTGCTATTGAGTTGTGACGCATCTTTGAGGTGATCTAAGCGGGGACGGGAGGTGGTGGTAGCTGTCGACCCCTCCACAGGGTCAAGCAGCGCAACGCTGCCTTTTCTTAAAAGTCAGTGGAGACTCGGTTGGGGAGCATTCAAGATCTCAACATCGGGTTCTGAAGGAGCTAGATAATATAAATGAGTGATATTGCGGAGAGTTGAGGACTTGGACCGATACTATCCCAGTCAATATGGACCGTAGTGATGGAAGACCCGCGGGTGCAGGCGGAAGAATTGCGGCGATATAGCGGAGCTTAGAATTTCCGCTCCGATGATGATTGTAAACACAAACTTGAACGAGAAAAAGATTAGACCGTTAGACTTCAAGTTGTGGTGACGATTTTCGTATCATCTATAGCATAGCTAAGCCTCTTGACCATTGAAATCGTAGAATCAGTAGGCCTCCGTTGGACATGCAAGCAAGGTGAAGCACATGGACGACGAGCATCAGGGTTTGTCTTTGGTCTATCATAAACGACGAGGTTGCTCTCATGTCAACTGACGATGACGACGATGAGCATAATGGTATTCCGGTCAAGGAGGCCTTGAGGTGAGGTGCAAATTGAATGTATGGGATCAAGTCAACACACGGTTTTTTACATCTATTCTTCCAGGCCACCAAGACGGCGCCAAAGGGGGAATATTGGCCTACCTAATGTATGTCCATTTGCAAGACCTAACGTATATTTCGTACGATCAGACAAGGTTGGCATCAAGTGGCACGAATTTGAGGTCACATCGCTTTCTCTTATCTCGGCCTTGAAAAGGATAACTCCATGTCGCCAGCAAGTATAAGGAGTAGTATAAAGGGATATGAAGTGCGTGGCTCATCCCCGTCTCGCATATTGGCGTTGGGCGAAGTAACCAGGGTACCCTACTAGCTGAAGAATAATTCGCTTCTCACAAACGTTCCTTTCTTCTATCCAGATGTATCCTAGCCACCCAGAGAAATTGACCAACAAAGGAGTTAAAATGGGAAGGGTTGTTATTGACAACTAACCAGATGCATCCAGATAGCACCTCGCGGGGCACCTCTCACACTCTTTCACTTCGGAGAGGAAGACTAGCCCCTGATTTGCATGGCGACAATCAATCTCGCCAATAGGCCTACTTGCCGATGCTGTATCATAAGTAGAGGGGATGTCCATCGACTTGGGATTTGAAAAATCGAACAAAGAATAGTCGTCAGCCCCACCTCCAGTTTTCATCAATTGGAACGTTGATCAATTTCCCCAGGTGTGGAGAATATGGCCAAGCAGCCTGCCCAGTGAAGCACGCCGCAGCTCACACTCCCCTGGAGAATATTTAATGCTCGGAGCTTCGCCTTCCGGTGGAAGTGATCTCACCTCGACCTTTTGCTTTAGTCATCCCCACGCTTTCCTTGTCTTATGGCATCCCTAGGAAGAGTCGTGCAGGCCTGCGAGCGATGCAGAAAACAAAAACTCAAGTGCGATGCGACGAGGCCTTGTACACTATGTATGCGCGCCTCAGCAGAATGTAAACCTCGTCAGGTACTGGGGAAGAGGAAGGCGACGCAGGAAGCACCGCCCCGAGAAACCGTGGTTACTTTTTCGAGCGAGTCCAACAAAATCCCGCTGGAAGTCGACTATGTCACTAGCAGGTCAAATGCTCTGGAACGTCGACCGACCGACGAACACATTCCCGCCTCTAGTCCAACAGAACAGCAACAGTTTGGCGCAAATAGTTCAGTCATCAATTTTGCGAGAAATGTGGCCAGAGACCATGATCTCGAGTCGCCAGATTTGAGCTCGACCATACCTGGCGATGCTGGCGACATTCGAGAAATTGGCTCAGCATGGGGCCTCCGAGGAATGCAGATGCCCCCATTACTCATTATGCGCTCCTTGATCCAAGCCTACTTTGACCGTGTACAATGGTTTATATTCCTTTTCCACGAGCCAAGTTTTACTGCCCGTGTGGAATCTGTTCTGCGAAAGCCTCAATGGACTAGGCAAGATCTACCGGTCGTGGTAGTCGCCCTTACAGTTGCCGCAATGGGTCTCAAATGCGTCCTACACGATTCTTCATGGCACGGACACCAACACCTGGAGTTGGAAGGGTTGAATCCTAGGCTGTTGCTTGCAGACTTCATCTCCGAGATTCGAACGCACATGTTAGATCTAGTTGATGATGGCCAGATCGAAACGGTACAAGTTTGTTTGATCTTGGGCACCTACTATATCTATAATGGCTCTGCACATGCTGCCTGGAGTATTTTATCATTGGCTGTCAGTACGGCATACGCTCTTGCATTACACTGCGAGAACCCCGCGGACGATCGAGATGTCGAGTTACAGGTGCGCCGACGGACCTGGAATCATGTCATCATTGCAGATACTTTCTCATCGATGATATATGGTAGACCAACCGGCCTCGATGCCGCCTTCGCCCGGGTACAACCTCTGTGTGAGCTGGACGACACTGCCATCAACGGCCCCTCATCTCGATCAGGAGGAGAGATACCACCAAACGGGGTGCGCTCCACCTTGGCTTTCCACGTCCTCAAGTACCGTCTATATTCGATCACCAAGCATGCTCTATCAACTCTTCGTCTTCTAAGACTGAACAATCCACTATCGGAAGAAGATGCCATGTCACTACTGGATACCATTCGTCAGACTGAGCATCAACTCTCGGACTGGCATAGTCAGATTCCTGACTATCTTACCATGGAATACTACAACACCGGCCTCCGTGATGGTGACGGCCATCAACCTCTTCACAATCAGAATTCCCCAAGAACAAATCAGAGCGACAGGTTTTTGATGCTACAAGCCATTACGCTCCAAGCTACGTACGACAGCAGCGTGATATTCCTACGCCGTCCTCTCATCGAACACAGGCTAAATTTGAATGGTGCAACAGGCACTGCAAAATCAGCATCGGAATATCGAGAAAGGTCACTGGACATTGCCATAGAAGCTGCTCTGAGAATTTCTCGTCTACCCCTGGGAGAACTAGAACATCACCTAGTGCTTTCTTTTGTCTTCATGCACTTCTTTACTGCGGGTGTCATATTATGCATCGTTCCTCCGACAGAACCATTCAGTGCTCGCTCACAAGAGTGCAAGTCTGGGGTCATGCGTATTATCAGAACCAGTCGGGCACATGGCAACAGTAGCAAAATGGCGAAACACCTCGATGAATTACTCACACCACTTCTTAGCGCTACGATACAACGAGAATTGAACAACGCTCTCGATCCACAATCAGTATCTCTGACTGCGGAATCAGTTGGCCAGTCTGCAAGAATCCAGAACGACGAATTGAGCACTGTTACTCCTCAAAGGAGCGAGCAGTTCCTTCTCGATCAAAGCAATCAATTCCATCCGCCACCAGATTTCATTGCCAATGACAGCATGCCACCCCCTACGAGGGAAAATCTTCAGCAGCAGTTTCCTCACGACTTATCACAGCCAGGCTACCAGAATCCAGGTCTGGCACAAGTGGATAACTCTGATTTCCAGTTCGATGCACATCTAGATGAAACATTTGGGGCATTTGGACAGAGTAAGTCTCCTACTTTGCATTTCTCAATCCATGTATATCCCTGCGCAGTATCCAGCCTACCAATTTTCTGACAATGGTAACAGTGATGTTCAATCTTCTTCCTGATGATCCATACAGCCCCTGGAATTGGGGTGGAACCTTAAGATGATCGTTAGTTATGGGACACATCCATATTAGATACTCAATATTTCCTCTGACCTTGTTTTTATTGGCAGTAGTAACCGGAAATTAAGATTGCTACTTGTCGAGTTGTTGACCTCGACTCTTGTGTGCAGAAAAGCTGTAGAGCTGGTGGGTAGGACATTGGTAAAGCCTGCGCGAGAAAAGGAGCGATGAGAAGTTCTTTTTCTTGGCAGTCTGTTTACCTAGGTAAGCAAGAGTTTGAGCTACGGCCTGTTCGTCGCTGCTGCATTCGATTCCATGCCCTCGTCGCTGCCTAAGATAATTTCCCTGTGCCTTGCTGACTTAAAGACTTTGCTTGACAGTTGAGGTGGTTGCCATCAATGCAGAGAATCTCTTTTGAGATTCCCCCCTTTCTGGCACCCGTGATTTTCGACAATGGACAATCTGGAAATTCAGTTATGGGACAGCATGGTTGTCCATCGAAAAACACAGCTTGCTCTTCATGCCAAAGCCCATGCCACAGTATCCAGCGGAGCAAATCCGAGTGCTTCTCACATTACTGACCATGATGAAGTTCTGACATCTGGTCCTTATTGGATCCCCAAAGCTCAGACTTTTATCCTGTCGCTCCATCTCGATTTTCACGAGAGCATAACAAATGTCTGTGACTGTGGAACAGATGCGGTTGATGTAGTTGCTGACTCCATTGGAACGGCTGAGGTAAGCTGATTATCCCCCTTTGTCTGTCGCTTCTAACCTCGTTTGAAGCTCTGGTCGGAGCTTGGCTACGATGTATGTCAGCTTGCTGTCACACGAGGTGATAGTGCTTTCGGGAAGAACTCTCCCACCATCGAGATGAAGATGCGGGTAGGACCAAGTGTTCTCCTTTGCTTCTCATTACTGACTGGTCGATAGTGTTTCGATCATCGTGATGACTCCACCCTCGATTGCCCTCCGGACATTCGAGTAGTACACTTAACGTCCGTTCGAATCGACTGTCTGCTCAAGCATGCATCCATGATAGCTCCACAGCCACCGAATGGCTCGGTTCATGCCTCGAAACCAGACCCTATACCCGTCTCATCACTTGACCCCTCTCCAATTGGTGGCTTCATGCTTCCCCAGGCATCAAATGACAGATCCGAGGGTATTGGAAATTGTGATCAGAGTTCTCACAGAGAAGACACACGCCTTCCGAGTACAATGGTGACGAGGATAAGATTCAGAGAGACACAGAAGCAAGACGCTTTTGCCTTGAGCGACGATGTCCTAGTACGACTTGTCGATGCTGTCCTACGCAAGGGTATTTGCACAGATGCGATGAGTCAAAGTCCTAGTATCAATGTGGTTTGCGAATTTCAGAAGCTATCACTGTCCGAATTTGCGCCAAACATCTTCAGCCGGGCTTACAGCAATGATTTTGAGCAACAAGCTATTTTCGTCAGGGGACTTGCCAGCATATTATCCTCATTCTCGCTGTCCAGTAGACAGAGTACAATCCAGTCAGGTGCTCTCATTACGAATGGTGCTGATGATGTGGACAACAACGGGCGTCGATTTGCTCGGGAGCTGTGCCGGAAAGCAATGTGGATGACACTGGCTCGTGGGCTTCGGAGCAGCAAATCAGCACGACGATTGACTCCACTATGCCCTATCCGGAGTGTACTTTCTGGTACACATTCAAGGCAGCAAACGGGCATTTGTCCCTCAGTGCTCATGCAAAATTTGGGTTCGGAAGATCTATGGAAGAGATCGGCGATGAAACGAGCCGAGGACGTCTATGGGGAGATTCCCCTGACCAGACAATGTCCTGAGATACCCGCAAGTTTGGACTCTTTCAACGAATGCTCCATATCTGCTGTCCCGTCAATCGATGATGTCTTGGATGCAGCAATGTCCGGCTATCATGACGTGCATTCCGCAGAAGAGGGTCAACGAGAGTTAGATATCTTCGATCTTCTTCAAGAATCAGAGAGTATAGGGGGGCAGATCGACGAAAGGAGAAACCAGACACGCAGCATCTCACCAGAAAGTGATGTGTCAATGCTTACGGCTCTGGTTCGAAAGGTTACTCACACTGTTGAACAAGCACATGCAGTCAAAACATTCGATGTGATTGGTGGTAACACTTTGCTTACTCAGAATGTCATCCGCATGCATCCGCCCTGGACGAATGTGAGCGTAAGGGATGATGTCCATTCACCAAGCTACGACGAGCGCGGGCCAAGCTCACAAGAAACTGCCGTATCGCAATGGGTTGGCGATATATTGGACAGGGAGCCATCTTCAATATCCGAACCATGGACTTGTTGCTCGGACAGTTGCACAGCGCTGGGTATCAACTGCAAGACCGCTATTACAGATCACGAGCTGATCTCCGTCATTCAAGACACCATATACGATTCCGCTGAGGAAGAGAACCTGCTTGAAATTTCAATGACGCTATCCTCCAGTGAAAGTGAACGATTGACGGACTCTTCATTATCAGACGTCCTTGGAAACGACCATCTCTTGTGGCACATGTGGAAACGACGAGCCAGTGTGGCTCCACGTGGGGAGGCGGACATTGAAGACATGAAGATCTTGTACGAATCAGATCCTGACATGAAGCTCTTCGCCAAAGACTGGAATATGGACAACAGAGATATGGGCTCAAGTAGCAATGGTGAGCCCATGCTTCAGGAAATGCCCTCTCAATTGGGGAAAACCAGCTCGTCAGCAAGCCCTACAGCAGATAGACGGTCTTACTTCACACCAAGTCGATCATCCTCCTCCTCCTCATCACCTGCACAAACACCCTCAGACGCTAAGCTCCAGCGCCGGGGGAGTATGTTGAAACGACTCTCATGGGGAGGACGGTCACATTCAATGGAATCGGCGGGGCTCAATATGACTAGTCTTGACGGTAGAGATTTCGAGGTGAAGAGAAGAAGGACTATGGAAGACTATGCGACGATGGAAAAGGAAACCAACGGCGATGCTTCAAACGAGATGCTCTTTTAAGACGAATGACAACGACATATACCCACACTGCTTTGGCGTTTGATAAAAAGGATCGTGTCTAGGTGTTTGGGGAGGGACTTCTTGCCAGTTCGTGCACTAGTTCGACATGTTCCGTGACCATTTTACGGGCGAGCTGGCGAAGGAAAAGTTGGCGATGAAATTTGGGAGGATGAGCGTTCATGGGCAATGCTATTGATTAGGAAGGGATGTATATCATTATCAAGTCACAAAAGACGAGTGAAGGACATTCGTCGAGAGCACATAACAGCATATAATAATAGTACTTGAAAACCTGTGGATACGAAGCACCCGAAATATTCAATTTTATGCGATGAGTGGTGAAGATCCAGCGTTTAGTTAGATCTCGCTTCTTTCACCCAGAATTCTGATGTCGACCTACGGAGGAGGTACGAAGTACCTACCTGAGCAGATACCTAGCTAACCCTTCTTGTTAACTAACTAGTTAGTTACTCTCCTCGGGTGAACCTCGCTGGGGATGGACTTGCTGGAATTGCTTGGGATTGCTTGGGAGGCGACGCCTATTGGCGTGGTGGGGTGCTTTTTGAGGATCCTCCAGGCCTTTGGCTGCATCCGACTGGTGCCCAACTTTTGGCACACGATCGAAGTTTGTCCATTAAAGCGACGCCTGAACGCATGGCATTTCTGCAAATTCCAGGCCTGCTAAGCCTAAAGTTGGTAGCATCGATCAACCCACCCTTTGCATCAAGTAAGTAAGTAAGGAACTAACGTAGTTCGTTCCCTGGGTTTCATTGCTTCGGTCGCCTCTGAGGTCACTCAATCGCCTACGGTTGCTCACTTCCTGCTACCCAGTCCCAAAAAATCTTGACGACGTAACCACATGTCCTGCACATGAACACTGGGTCAAAGTGCAAGGACCTGCCAGTGCTACTCTGTTTTCCAGCCAGAGAAAACAACTCGGTTCATCTTTCTCCTACCACTACTGGCCATCCACGCCCACCACTCTGTGCCTGGTCCAAGACCTTTGCCACTGCCCCTCTCTCTCCTCTTGCCGGGCCTGTACACCTGCCCCTCACCTTGTCATCAGGCTTGCACCGCGAAAAAGCAAAGCTGGCTTCCCTCAAGACCTCCAAGACCTCTCGCAAGCGCGTTCACCAGCCCTCTCTATGGCAACGTACTGCTTCATTTATTCCAGGAACTGAACAGTATAGGACCCGAGCCAAATTGTCCACCCATTCGCGCATACCCCTCATATACCTGGCTTCTGGGCTACTGCTGCTACTCTTACTTGTCTTTGCTCAGCTATTTGTATCACGAGACGTGAAGCCTCGACAATCCTCCTCTTCTCCGGGCTTTCCTTCCTTCCCCCAGATCCTCCTGAATCCTTTTGGAGATAGTGTCTACAAGCAGGAGGCATACTACGACCAGCTAGAACCTGGGATACAGTGCAAACCCAAGTCTCTTTTCTCCGCCGACCTCCCCACCACGCACGCCCTGACCAATATGGCCCTCGAAGCTGAGGCAAAGCGCATTGTTGCGCAGTTTGAATATTCTGTGGAAGATGTCAATAAAGGTGTCCAGGAATTCATCCGTGAGATGGAGGAAGGTCTGGAGAAGCAGGGCACACCATTGAGTCAAATCCCAACCTATGTCACATCGGTACCCAATGGCACAGAGAAGGTAGGAAAAGAATTCCATCTGTGATCTTGCTAACTGGGATAGGGCGTATACCTGGCTGTTGACCTAGGTGGTACCAATTTTCGCGTGTGTTCCGTCACTCTGCACGGAAATCAATCCTTCTCCCTGCAGCAGTCCAAAGTGGCCGTTCCACGATCACTTATGGAGGCTAAAACAGCTACTGAACTGTTTTCTTTTCTAGCTAAGCAAATAGAGGCCTTCTTGGTGGCCCACCATAGCGACCACTTTGAAAAGCACAAACAAAATCCCGTGGCGGAAGAGTTCTTCGACTTGGGCTTTACATTCAGTTTCCCCGTGAACCAGATAGGGATCAACAAGGGCAATTTGATGCGCTGGACAAAAGGCTACGACATTGAAGAAGCCCTTGGTAAGGACGTCTGTGAGTTGCTACAGAAAGAACTGGATGCATTGAAGCTACCCGTCAGGGTCGCTGCCCTTGTCAATGATACGGTGGGGACACTCATGGCGAGATCCTACACTTCACCAGGAAAGACTAAGACACTCATCGGTGCTATCTTCGGGACTGGTACAAATGGTGCATACGTCGAGTCATTGGACAAAGTCAAAAAAATGAAGTCCATTGACGAGGCTGAAGGTGGTCAAGCCAATTATGACAAATCGACAGGTTTGATGATCATTAATACTGAATGGGGAAGCTTTGACAATCCCTTGAAAGTTCTCCCCAATACTCAGTATGATGTCGACCTAGATCGAGAATCCGTCAATCCTGGTATTCAGATGTTTGAGAAGCGTGTCTCCGGCATGTTTCTGGGAGAAATTCTTCGTCGGGCCTTGCTGAGTCTTTATGAGCACAAAGACCCCAAGGTTGCCCTTTTCAAGGATAACTCATCACATGACAATGACATTCGAAGCACTACTACTGTTGACCCAAGCAGTGCCCTCTTCAAGCAATGGGGTATCGACACATCTTTCCTTTCCATTGTCGAGGAAGATCAGTCAGATCATCTGCGGATCACTAAGCAAACACTAGAGAGGGAGCTCAATATCGGAGCTGCTTCGACCGAGGACTGTGTAGCAGTCAAGATGCTTGTCCACGCCATCGGAAAACGAGCAGCCCGCTTGAGTGCCGTGGCATTGGGAGCAGTTGTCATCTCAAGCAACAAGCTGAAGGAAGACGAAATGGTAGACATTGGAGTTGATGGCAGTCTGGTAGAATACTACCCGGGCTTCGAGGAGTATATCCGTGAGGCCTTCAGAGAGATTCAAGGCATTGGCGAGGATGAGAAGCGCATTAGAATTGGTCTTGCGAAAGACGGTTCTGGTCTTGGAGCAGCATTGATTGCTTTGGTTGCCAACAAGTCCGATGTCCCTTTGTAAGGGAATCCATGGATACTCCTGGCAATCCGAGTGGCTGGCGCGATGGGTGGTACGAGGAGCGATGACGAGGGAGAGCCCTCTTATTCTTTGTAGCGACATCAATGAAAAGCACAGCAGACTATCAATAGCACCAATGCATATATGCGGATCCAGAAGATTGTCTTGTCGGCATGTACCTCGGTATTAGGTACCCACATCAGCACGAATCTTTTCTCCCCTACAAGGTACCTAGCGCCTGGCGGATGATGGCTGACTCGTGCAAATAAAATGACAAAAATTGTATGACTCATGAATATCATCACCAACATGACCCACCAAGTTACTGTCTTGATGTTGTACAACACCTCGATGTCCTAAACTGACATTGAAAACCTCTCCATCTCAATTCCGACGTACAGTCAGTAATTGGCGAACGAAGAAAGGTCTCACACTCCAACGGCTATGAGCAGCGATCTACAGTTATGGGCTCTGCCACGCCTCCAGCGCCTCCTACCGATCGATGACGAATCACTCAAAGAAATTATCACATATACCTCAACGCTAGGGAAAGAATCTGGGGCCGAGCATCTCAAGAATCTGTTGGGCGACTCACCGCCAGCGCTGGAATTCATCTCCTCCTTCAACAGCAGACGCCCAGACATCGCAACTTCTTCGAGTGGAGGCAATCGAAGATCGAAGAGCCCCGCACAGCCTTCTCGATCTTCGCCGGCTGGCGATGAGACCGGCGTGCCAAGTGTGAAGAAACGACAGTCGAAAAGGTCGAAACCGCCGCTGCACTCTGCTGGGCCGGCGCGGACGCCTGAGGGGTATGGGAATGTGGGTGGTGGGTACACGAAGCACTATGACAGCGGCGACGGGTATGCGTTTGGCGGTCGAGAGCCAGATGCTCTGCAGGTGCCTCAGGTTTCGCATGGCCCGTCAGGGGGTTCGTCTGCTACGTCTAGAGATGCGTCGCCGGCGGCGCGGGGAGTGCAGAAGATGCCGCCCTCTGCGTCAGGAAATTTGATCTCGGATTTTGGATTTGCCAACGTGCGGGCCAAGCAGTCGAAGAAGCCTGCTCATGTCGCACATTCGCAGCCGCAGTCCCAGTCTGGTACTTCTACGCCGCACAAAGGAGCTACGACGACCACTACGACGAGTGTCTCTGATCTGACTGCCGCGATCGCTGCTTTGGAGTTGGCCACGAATCCTACGTTGTCCTCACAGCGGAGGAAATGCACGTGCAATGCTTCGATTCACCCTTTGTTCTCGACTGCTCCAAATTGTTTAAATTGTGGCAAGATCATTTGTGCTCTCGAAGGGCTACAGCCATGCTCATTTTGCGATTCACCTGTTCTCACCAAGGGTCAAGTCAATGAAATGATCAAAGCATTGAAGGAGGAGCGAGGAATCGAACGGATGGCAGTGCACAACGCGGGACAATCACATTCAGGAGCGGGGACACCGCGGTTTGGTGGCTCAACCCCAGATAGTGCATCGGGTGACGAGGCATCCTCCGCAGCAGCTCGGGCGAGAGCACATCGAGATAAACTTCTGGCTTTCCAAAGAGAAAATGCTCAACGTACAAGAGTACACGATGAAGCGGCCGACTACGATGCGACACTAACGCCAGGCACAACACAGTGGATGAGTCCTGTGCAACGTGCGGCGGCTCTGAAGAAACAGCAGAAATACCTCCGAGAGCTCGAGGAGGCGAACCGACCTGAGTGGGAGAAGAAGAAAACAGTGATGAGTATGAGCATCAAGAACGGGAAGTTGGTCAAGACGTACGAACGTGGACAGGCCCCAGCGTTGAGTGCGAAGGATGAGGTCAATGACGCAGAAACTATTGAGCCCGATGACGCTATGGATCAGCATTTGAGCATTGGTGAGAAGGGCGCGTTCAGTAATAATCCCCTTCTCGCCACAGGCAAACTCGTTCGGCCTATATGGAAGGCGCCCGATGGAAGTCAGAACTTGAAGGGCAAGGGGCGTGAGTCGGGTGAGGGTGCTCCTCGTGCCAGTGTGTGGCGCAGAGTCCAAGATGACAACGACGACAATGAACAATGGATCTTGGATGGCGGCTTACAAGGCTACGGAACGGAGAGTAGGTTGATGGAAGATGGGAGTCAGCAAGAATGTGGATAGGAGGTCATGACATAGACAACAGTGCTCTTATGGAATTGTTTCTATCCGCTCGTACCTGGAAGTGAAATAAATGGAGGCTCCTTCTGACGCGGTGAAGCTGATGCCAAGCCATCCACAGTCGCTGCATGCTCAACAGTTGGATGTTTCAGGTGGTTGCCGGCTTCCTTTAGGCTCATTTTGGTTTCTTTAGGCTGCCCGGAGTATCGCTGGGTCACCCAATAGCGCCCAGCTAGAAGCATGGAAGCTGCAAGGCACCAGGGACAGGTCACGTGGATGTGTTAGGTTGAAGGCCACTAAAACGGTCACCTAAACCGCGTTGGGGTAGGGCGTGCACCCCTGTTCCCACTTCAAGTTGTTCACCGTGCGACCCTGGCCATTCTGCGCCCATTCATGCCCTGGGCCATGCATCCCATTCCCAACTCCCGCCCCTCGCCCTCGCCTCGCCCATCAGTGCCATCACCTTCTGCAGACCAGCACCACCGAGACCACCACTTTTCGACCTAACCCATTCGTAAACGCCCTGTTTCCATACCTCGCTTCCTCCGCGTACATTTTTGTTCCAAATGTTACACCTCTCGATTTCACGACTCGGCCGCTTTCCATCATCTACCAGCACCTATATTTCGTCGTGCCAGTAGACGCGTGATCCTCCGTCACCTACCTCTTTGTCCTCTCCCTTACGACACAAAGCACAAACCACGAGCCCTGGACCGGCCTCTCCATCGCGAACCTCGAAACCCAGAACGCAGCCCAACACCACCCTGGTCGATCATTCCACTCTTGAAACCCCATCGACGCAATCCGCCACACAGCAGATTCTGGGTTCCGGATTTATTGAACATGTGGTAGATCAATAACGGTGGTCGAATGACAGAGGCTTCTCGTGGTATTCCTCAATTGTCTCTGGCTGGTTCCTCGAAGATATGCTGCTAGTGTGCCGGCCACACTACTATCAACATGACTTCAATATTAGCCGTTGACACGATAGCTGCGGCTGGCTTCAGAGACACTGATCTCAGCAAGCTGATGGATCCCGATATCCCCCCTCTCGCCAGTGCCCGCGTCTTGCTGAGGCCCGACGATGCAGGCCGGACGAGCACGGCTGGTGGTCGCTCTGAGGATCTAGAAACCCCTCGGGCCCTGAGCGAGAACGGAAGAATAAATGGAGGAGAACAGCTGGACATTATACACGCTCTGGATGACTCCCCACCAAGAGTCGATGAGAGGCCGAATGGACAGAGCACCAAGAACGAAACTGCACTACTGTCCCTCGAAGACACTACAGAGCTGTTCAGGAAGAAGGTGGCCGATGCAAGGCAGGATACAGAGCATGCCCTAGCTGGAAGTGAAGCAGTCAGCGATGCAGTCAAACCAAAACTTACTCTGGATATGGGCCACTCCAATATTGCAAGACTGCCAGAGAGTGTCGTTGATCTAATCAAGGCAGAAGTGGAAAGGTTGTCCTTGTCCCATAATCAGATATGGCACATTCCTCTACGTTTTTCGGAATGTACCCACCTCCGGTACCTCAATATCCGCTCAAATGTCTTCAGAGAAATCCCAAGAGGCGTATACAAATTAAATCAACTCGAAATCCTGGACATCAGCAGGAACAAAGTCAAGAAAATATCGAGTGATATCAAAAATCTCAAATCCTTAAGGGTGTTCTCCATGGTTCACAACAGGGTGGAGGACTTACCTGTTGAATTATGCGAGATGACGAAACTTCAGATTTTGAAGATCGCCGAGAATCCATTACGGTTTAAGTTGAAAAAGATTGTTGAGGCAAAGGAGTCTGAGGTGTCTTTCTCGGAAATGACTGATCATGAACGGGAAACTGCCATCACAGTTGAAATTAAGAGATACCTACGGGATTCCCATCCCGTAATTGCCCCGATCGATATCGAAGCATCTCTCGAACTTGACGAAAGTCCAATGGAAACACCCAAGCCATTTAAGAGAGCACCCAGCAGCAGATTTCCTGTCATTCCGAGTACCAACAGCATCGACTCTGGATCCGAAGGGAACAAGTCTTCTCCAATTCAGCCTAATCCACCTCCTATACCTACCCGTTCACACTATCGCGTGGCTTCGGGGGCATCTGGACAACAGATGCCTATCCTTCGTAGACCAGGGATTGCACCTATAGTCAATCAGAGTAACAACGAAAGGAACCGAAGCAATAGCGAGAGTGTATTACAGGCAACATCAGCGGTCCGCCAGAAGAGAATGGGTATGTTGCGGCGTGAGAAGCAGCCGGAGCTGGACAGTATCGACGAGTTGAAAGTCAACCGAAACAGTCATCTCCGAGGTTTCAGTCACGGATCCGTTCTTAAACGAAATGGTGCCTTGTCATCCCCGGGTGGAACGAGTTCTTCAAGTCCTAACAGCCCCAGAGATGCAAGGAGACACAGACTTGCGTTCGTGAAACGTCTCTCAAGCTTACCCGAGCACAAAGTCGAAAATGAATGGAACAATCCAGTCATTGAAGGCGCCAAAGGTATTCTCTACGCTCTCTACCAGATTCATCCTCAAATATCAGGCTTAATTGCTGCCGTCAGGAACAAAGAGGTTCAAAGAAGAAGCACTTTGGAATTCACCTTTTTCAATGCTTCCACTCATGTTGATCGCCTGAACGAGGCCTTGGAGCAAGCAGATTTGGTTGATATTGAAGATGAGGACGCTGTCGAAAAGATTGAAACGACCGTCCGCCAAGACTGTGCAACATGTATCATGGCTTACACCCATGTGACCGCTCAGTTGCAAGACAACGTCAAAAAGATCGTCGCTGGAAGTGATGTACGATACGTTCGAACTTTAATGCTCCTCCTATACGGCAGTATGGTGGAAGTCAGAAATGCAATCCAGAGCTTCGGGGCAGATGTCCAAGTTACACAAGGTTTCGGACATGCGAAGCAGATGCCCAGTGCAGGCTCTAATATGATCCAAACCATTCCGGAAGAATTCAGCACACCTCCAAAAGCCGTTCGAGCAATCACACCTACCCGAGACAAAACTCGGCCCGCAAGATCAGGCCCGAGATTGCGGAGCGATACTGCCATTCAACATCCCATCCTGGACAACGTTCCTACATCTCAAATACCTTCTGTACCACCTGTTATCACAAAACCACTCGAGACACCTATACATTTGACAGGTACCACAATTAACGGAAGTCTTAATACTGGCACCTCATCGACTTTCTCCTCTAGTGGAAACACTCTGACATCCAACTCCAGTACTGGCTATCGGTCAAGGTCGAGCTCTCGGACAGCCATGATGAACGGTTCTTCGTACTCATCTGTTGCCAGTACTCCCCGATCCGGCGAAGTCTTCAATCTTCCTCAGAACAGTGCATATTCTACTCGTGTCAACCCAGCCACCGGACTTACTGACGCTCAAGAAGAAACAGTCTTCGAACAAATATTCCTTGCACTGACTCGCGCATACGATGCAGCTCTCCACACAATTCCAATCGCAAAGGCACAATTTCTTCGCTGTCTCGAAGCAGCAGAGGAAAACCGCCAACCAAAGGCTGTACACGATCTTTGGTCAACCTTGGTTTACCGAAGCAAACAGTGCATTGATGTTTGTGAAGCTCTGCAGATCAGGCTTGTGAATATGCGCTTGACAGATCCCAACGCGCACATGATGAGTAGTGGACGGAACGACCCTTCTTTGTGGCTGCTTTGCAAAAACTTTTTGATGAATTTCATCGATCTCCTCACTGAAATGAGGGAAGCCAAATCGCTCCGACTGTTGTCTCAAGAACTCATCACGATGCTCCGTCCAGTCCAGAAAGCCAGTAGAGAAGCTGGGCGTCTGATAGAATCGAGCCCATGGCGTTATCTTACAGATAGTGCGACAACTGCTATGCCCCCTCTAAATGCATTCATTCCGAATTCAAATCAACCTCCAGCGACCAGTGTCAATGGAAATGGATATACGAATGGCATCAATGGTGTCCCTTCTGGTTACCCTCTTGCGGCTCCTTCCAGTCACGGCAGACTTAGCCCATTCCCACCTCCATTGGTACCCGTTCCGCCACTTCCCAATGGATCATCCTTGACGCCGCACACAGCTACTAAGCACAACTTCAATGGATTCATTGTTCCGATTAATCATTCCTCTTACGGTAACAGTCCTGTCTCAGTTCCACTTCCTGCCACACCACTCTCGGCTGCTTTGGGTCCAGCTGCTCAGGCCACCGTACCGATTCCAACACCAGTTCCAAGCACACCGGCCAGTGCATACGGTGACCAGTTTTTCAAGGGAGATGTGTTCCAGCGCGCTGACAGTCTATTGAATATGCAGCAAACAGGGAGCATGAACTTCTTCGGCCGGAGATAAGGATTTCCACGGAATTTTTGTATCATCGGTCTTGTCCCTTCACAAAGAGACCACTCCGAAACTCACCCCAGATTCATCTTCTTACAGCAGTCCCTCAATGAGACTGCCCCTGGCATATCCAGATCTACAATACTGTTATTACTATTTCGAACACCAAAGTCATGGAAGAATGGACTTCGCCACAGTTCGCATGTTCTTCAATATCCATAGACGGCACGAGCTGCAGGCTGCATTGGATTTGGTAAAGCAGCCATTTTGGAACACGAGCGAAAGCACAGATGTATCATCTACAACACCCGCCGTCAAACGGCATACCTGATTCTACACCACAGCGATTGATTGTCCCGTATAATGAAAGCGTCGGAAATTCCACCACCGACGCCCGACGAATACCACGAAGTCCCTTATCGACAGGGTACAAAGACAGAGTGACGAGAACGAATTGACTGACTTGAACGGCTGCTAGTATAGAAGGAGAAAGGACTGGGACAGATATCAGGGGAACCGGATCAACAAAAGACACGAACTGAGTACTGCCCAGCCATGGCCATGGGTTTCGTTCTCAGGACTCGGGATTTCGTGTCACGAAACGTACGGATATAAGAGGTCAAGTTGAGTGCGAGTGATATATCTCGAGCGTTTCGAAGTCACGCCGCTGGAGAACGGTTAATGCAATGTGCCAGCGGCTGTATACTACGTACTATAGTGTATGTCTAATTAGTGTATGTCTCTAACAGGTGATGAGATGATCAAAGCATAAATAGTTCTGAGTCCGATGTGTGAGACATTTTGGTCACTCTTTACGCGCCCGTCTTTCTGATAGTTCTCTAAGGTGTCGGCCGTGCCTCACAAGCTTTGCCAACCAGCCACCACCCCTCCCCTTGGGGTCTCTCTCCATCACAGTGTCTAACCTGCCACTCGATCCCCATTTTCAGCTCTGGCGTTCAACAGCGGTGAAAGCGACCTCGTCACCGGGCTTCAAATCCGGCAAGGGTTGGACGGTCCTGACGACCCTAGCGGGACTACCCATGGCGACCGACCAGTCCGGAACATCTCTGGAGACGACGCTGCCGGCGCCGATGGTGCAGCCCTTGCCGATGGTGACGCCGGGCAAGACGACGGTGCCGCCGCCGATCCAGCAGTCGTCGCCGATGACGACGGGCTTGGCGAACTCGATGTACTCGCGCCGCGACGTCACTTCGGTCTCGTGCGTCGCCGCGAAGATGGACACGTTGGGCCCAAACATCACGCGGTGGCCGATCAGGACGAGTGAGCAGTCGAGTATTACTGTGCTGCGGGGGTTGCAGGTCACGTTAGTTGGTGTGGTGCTTGGGTGCGAGAGTACGGCTTCCAGCTATTATATCAACGAAAGGTGGGGGGCCGGGAGGGCCGGCGGGGGAAAGCACGTAGACGGAGTAAAACTCACTTCATGCCCGCGTAGAACCGTTCTCCAAGCGAGACGTTACAGCCGTAGTCAAGATAGAGGGGCGGTTCGATGTAGGCGTCCTTGCCGACACGGCCGAGGATCTGGGTGAGTTGCTCGTAGCGCGCGTTGGCCCCGTCGGTCATGGTGAAGGTCGGGTCGTCCAGACCCGGAAATGTCGTGTTGTACAGGTGACACCATTTGCGGGCTTTCCAGCGTGTCTCTTCTAGTTCGGGGACAAGGGAGTTGTATCTGTTGGATCCGGGTAGGGAGGGGGAAGGAGGTCAGCCAGTGGGGTTGAAGATGGGTGGGAGTCCTGAGAGATTGAGATGTGTGTGGATTCAGATGAGATGAGACGAGATGGGGGGGAAGTTATGCACATACAACATGCCGGAGATCATCTTTTCGTATTCCTCACTCCAGGGGACGTGTTCCAGCTCCTTTGCTGTTGCGATCGTTGTCTGGTCTTTCTCTGTGGCCGCCATGGTGCATTGAAGGTCTAGGTTACTAGGTGGAATTGTAGGTCCAGAATTTCTGGTCGTGCAGATATGTAGGGGCAAAACACTTGAATTGAAAGTCCCGTATGTGTTTGATTAGTTCGGAGGAAAGTTATTTACGATTTCAATCTACAAAGTCAGATATCTAAACTATTTTACACTGCACCAACAAGAAAGATCTGAGAACGACGTCATTCGAGTACATTGAACATCTGAGTTAGATGCCCGTGGGACAGTCCGAATACGGAGATCTAACCTCTCGTCGCATGAGATCTGACAATGACAGAGCCTTGGCCTCTCTCATATTCTGCCGATTATTCCCCCGAGCTGCTTCCTGCACAAGATCCATGGTGACTTAACAGCATAGATGAGGTACGAAATGCCGGAGAAGCCAAGCAGGAGGGACTAACATCTATCTGGGGGATGCCTGGGCCGGCTATTCAAGCACAAAGAATGGGAATGAGTTAAAACTATCAATGATTGATTATGATCCGTAGGATTGCTCCATTGATTTATGCTCAGAATGCATCTGTTAGGTCTGCCTTGCTTCATGCCCTCTAAACATGTCTGACAGTCCACGATCGTCCTGCTCGAAACCTAGTTACTCAAACAAGCATACTATTCTATCCACGAAAACAGTCGCCAATCACCGTCCGCAAGGAGTGCGTACACAACCAAGAGTCATCCCAAGTTGGTCACCTGTAGAACCAAAGAACGTCGTATGTCCAAGTATCATAAGTTGTCTTTACCAAAACCCGGCCTCCTTCAAAGATCGCTCAATGCCCTTCTTGCGTGCCCGGTCAAGCACCAAAAGGCTGCGATTGCGAAAATTGTTCTCAAGGACCTCATGAATATTGACAAACGTGCTCGCCGCACCCTTCTCTTGAGTCAATTTGATAACACTTAAGTTGGCTTTCCGGCCGTGTTCAAGTACCGAGTACAAATATGCGTGAAAATGAACGGGCTTGAGAGACAGATCTGAGAGGTTCATGTCAGTAAAGAGGATTCGAAGACAACAAAAATCAAGTACTCACAATTTTCAGCGTCCAGGCGTGCTCGAATAATGTCAGTACCTGCTCGTCGCTCGGTAACAACATCTCTCAGTCCGTATTGATGCCAGTGGTTCAAGATCTTCAGAAGTTCTCTCCTGGCTCTGGTTTTGGTGATCACAAGACAGAGTACTCGAGTCGCTGGTCGGACATTGAACAATCTTGCGAACCAATTTTGATTAATCTCAATCGGGCGCGATGCTGCAGCGGCAATGGCAGCGTCAACACTTGTGGCAGGTTGATACGTTCTGCGTACCGCCGTCTTCCCCTTCCCATTCTCGCCATTCTCGGCCCTCTCTTGAATTCCGAATTCATGAGACTCGGAATCGTCTGTCGAGTCCTGCACAATGCGGTGGTGGCCAGTCATTACTGGAAGGTTATCCCTGCCTCTTGTGTTCTTTCCGAACATTTTCTGAAACCAAGTTCGCTTTTGCGTTATAGTTAACTCCATCTCAGCCATTTCAGAATCACTGACACGTTGCCTTGAAAGACTTGAAGAGTTGGTAGAACCGCTTGGTTGCACCACTTGAGACCCTTGATGTTCAGAACTCTCGTCGGCATCCTCAGCTGCTTCAAGGCGTTCTTGCGGGTCTCGTGGAACAGATGAACGCTTCGCCAGCCATGACCATTTTCTGGTTGTAGCAGAACTCGTACCTTGCGGTCTTCGCTTTGGAGATCCTGGATTCTCATCGATCGTATCCAAGCCATTTCTCCTCGGGGCTAGACGTTGATCATAACCGCTACGTTCATACATCAATCTTGTAGACTCGGAGGGCCCTCCTCTCAAGGAGTTGATCGGTGCAGCTTTGTTCTTGCGAATTTTCAGAGGTTCAACACGAGTGAGCGGTGAACTTGGGTCAGGTGTCACCAGTCGAATGGTTTTCCCGTTTTTGTACTGAGGTGTGTTGGATTGGACGGGATCAGACGCAGCACGAGTGTTTCCAACACGGTTGTGCTTCAAGTCGTCAATAGTGTTGGTTGGTGATGTCGAACGATAATGACGTGTCGCAGTGTTGGATGTTGGATCTGAAGCAGCTCGCTTCTCGAAGCTTCTCTGCTTGTCGATCTCAGCGTCAATTCTTTTATCGAGAGCGGCCAACACGTCAGCAAGCACGGTCGGTTCAGCATCGCCCCAAGTTTGAACGATTTCCTCCCGCCGCTCAAGAAGTTCATGCAAGATTGGGGTTGCAGGAAGTGGTCTATCTCGGATGCTGGAAGGAACGTTAGGGTTATGAGCGGACACCGATGTAATCGATGATTGCACAGGTTGAATTGGGCTTGTCTCGCTGACAGTCGATACTGAAGATCGATTGAAGGCTTCTTCACAGATTTTGCCCAACTCGGCGCCAACTTTTCGGGTGTCATCCTTCCAATAGTGGCTTGCAACACGAGAATTCTTGACGTCGACATCAGAAGTAGATTTTCGTGGACGATAAGCCTGCGGTGGACTGGGGAGACTGGGCGTACTTTGACTATGACCTTCGGAGATGTGATCAATAGTACTTCGAGTAGGGAGGCGATCTATAGGACCGGTCTCGTAGAATAAGCGACGATTTGCGTCTTCATTTGATCCTTGTCTTCGGGGATGTTGAAAACTGATTCTACGCTTATAGCTCACAGATTTTCTGATACCTGGACGACGTCTCATGCTCGACAAAGAGCTCCTAGAAGTGGCTGTCGAGTATGATGCACGTTTCTTCTGTATCAGCTTCTCGAGTTCTTCGGAAGTGAAAGTGGGTAGGACTGGAATATCGTCTGGATACCGACCACTAGCAGCACGTTTCAGACTTCCTACCGAGCTCATAGATCGACCAACATTGGTCATGGGTCGACGGCGCATCGCAGAATTATAGCCATCGTCTCCAAGGGGAGTTCTTGAGGCGCGGAAAGGATCGTAACTACTCTGAGTAGTCTTGCTCGCTGCAGTGGCCGGATGTTTATAGTAGCCCTCTCTCTTATTGTCATCACTGACAATGGAAAACTGGGAAGTCCGTCGTGCATGACCTCTGGTGCCCGATTTCTTCGCTTGCTTTGGGACTGGTCTAGTAACATGATGGTAATCACTTGTAGAGTAATGTAGAGGGTCACCAGGATAATTCTCGAGCTGATCATCACGAAACTTGATCAATGCCCAGTAGAAAAGCTTTTCGTGGTTGGGTCCTTCATTCATCAGTCTCCGAATCAACTCATCTTCGTTCTCACCATGCCACAAAGTTGACAGACTCCGAAGAACCTCAGTATCAATCTCGGAGCGACGAGAAACACGCTTCGACTGTGTGTGGATCTCTGGCGGTGGTGCTGCACCTATGAGTGGTTGGGGTGCAGACAGGCTCGTATGATACATTTCATACTTGCGCATCAACGGATGTTTCCATATGTCCTCCATGGAAATTCTCTTGTCAGGCCGCTTTTGCAGAATGCGTTGGATGAGGTCGGATGCTTCAACACTCAGGGAAGGAGGCAGATAATACTCGCCTTTCTTGACAAGGCTCAGAGTTTTGCCCAGACTGCCACCGTCGAAAGGCAGAAATCCATTCAGCATCGCAAATAGGATGATTCCTGTGCTCCAAATGTCGGCCTTATCACCTCGATATTGTTGTCCATTGACGACTTCTGGGGCTGCATAATGTGGACTACCACATGATGTGTTCAGCCACTTCCCCTCGGGTTGAAGGGCAGCCATTCCGAAGTCAGCCAATTTGATGTTTCGATTGCTATCGAGGAGCAAGTTCTCTGGTTTCAGGTCACGGTGACAGATGTTGAAACGATGACAGTATGACAGTCCGGCAACGATCTGACGATAGAGTCGAACAGCCTCTCCTTCTGGGAGTGCTCCATTACCCGAGACATAATCAAAAAGCTCGCCACCCTCAACATATTCAAGGACCAAGTAGAGCTCGCCGCGATTCTCCCAGATATCGTACAGATTGATGATGTTGGGGTGCTCGATCAGTTTCATGATGACGACTTCGCGCTCGATACCAAAGGGCATTGTTCGTAAGCCAGCCGCAACAGCAGCTGAATCCTCACGATCCATTCGAGCCATACTAGCACTTTGAACCAATGCAGCAGACTTCTTTGATACGATCTTGACTGCAGCTGGTTGGCCAGTCAAAGCATGTTTTGCAAGGCGAACGCGTCCGGTCGCACCTTTTCCAAGTGTTTTCCCCAGTTGCCATGGTCCGACATGTGTTTTTCTCTTGGACTTTGCAGTTGCCGAGGTTGCTGATGAGGTTGAAACTTGTGAATCGCGATTGCTTGGGACAGTATCGTCGATGACAACGGATAGACGCTTGTTTTCAATCACTGGCACTTTGTTCAACAGTTTTTCTTGGACTGAAAGGTTGCATTCAGGTTTGAGGGATTCATGGTGGGGGATCCGACGCGAGGTTGAGATTGGCTCGCTTTGCTGTCGACCAGATTGACCACGCGCATATGAGGGAGAAGTTCTTGGTTGGATCTCAGCAAGTGGATGTCTTCTTGTTGAGGGCTTGTCTTGATTTGTATGGTTTACGGGAGGGTCCATGTCGTGTGAGGGACCGTTCTGTGAAGGGGACATGGTGGCTATCACTCGCGAATCGAAGGTGGTCTCTCAGATGGAGAGGGCCATCCAGGAAGATCTGGCTACAACAGTGAGCTTTGCGTAGGTAGACTGAGACAATCAACTTACAAGAAGAGCACAAATGTGCGCGGTAGAGATAATGCTGCGTTGTGAGCAGACAAAGATTTGAGGGTTGTCAATGTCTTGAAAATCCGAAGTGATGAAGTAGTAACGCGGGGGATGGGGGATGGCAAACGCGTTGTGATAAATGATATGTTTTGTGCAGGGCTCCCAAATCAGTATCACTGCCGGACTGTATAGGTTCAACACAGGCTGATGAGTACGGAGACCTCCCTTCCAAACGGCCTTGAGCTCGGTTGACCTGTCTGATTTAGACAAGATGCCTTTTCACACAGTTTTGCTCTGGGTGTTTGTTGTGCTTATGGTTAGATTCCTGACCAGTCGGAAAGGATGTGATTGGGCACGACTGAGGAATGCTGGCGCTTTGGGCATGGAAGAGGCCAACTGATGTTCTAGGTAAGTCCAAAAGAGAGCCAAAACCAAAATGAAGAAAGGGGATCCAAAAAAAGAACGACTTGAATGACACCGTCAACCTCACCCTCACTTGACGGTAACCAAGATGACAACGGTGGTGAAGGTTGTGAGATGAGGTAGCAGTCTGGCCTTTGAAAGCATCGACTGCCGTTCTTGTCCTTCCCATACCTTGGCAAGTGCGAAGGCGAAGACGAAGATGAAGAACCCCTCGACATTATTGATCATCAAGGAAGGGTCGATGGACCCGTGGATGCTACTTGAGCTTGAGACACCGTGTCCAGGCTCAGGAGCGACTTACCGAATACCTAGGTATTAGGTATGCAACGACTGATATTTGGCATCAACAGATGGAGATTAGCCTTCATCCAGAGCCGGGACTTGATGGACATCGTCGTAAGGAACAATCCATATGAAGTCAACCACTTCTTGTGCCAAGCCATGTTGAGTGGGTTAGCAGCGTGGTTACTCTTGCGTCGCCGATATCTAGATGAGTGAAGCATCCAGCTGGCATCTTAGTGTTGCTGCAGCTGATATACGAGGTATATGAAGAGTCCTCTACCCCATTTTACGGGTACGAATATTCTTTAGAAGATAGGGAGTTGACGTTGGATGTTGATGTTCCACTGCGGCTAATCTGGTGCAAGTCGGATGGCTGTGCCCAGCCATCGAGACTACCTCGGAGTCGGACAAGGATATGGATGACCTCGCACAGCGGCACCTACGAGTCTGGGTAAGGACTCGTCAGCTCTCGGGGCAAGCTAATTACTGGTTTCAGTTAGACAAGCCGGCCACCTAACTTATCGGTAGGTACAATTATTGCACAAGTTGAAGTTGCACATCCGGGACGGCGTGGGGAGCTCCCATGGAGCTCTAACTAGCTAGCCTCTTGATGATTGCCGGTGTCTGACGTCTCCCAGCCCCGTCTGTCTCCCACCTCGCTCCCATCCGGCTCCCCTCGTCCAATAATAGGGTTGGTTCGCTGCAACAAGCACGTCAATGATCCTAATCGATAACCTCATCTCATCTTCTCCGGAGTTACTGGCTCTCTGGTAGTGAGTGGTACGTCTTCATCTTTGGCTTCTGCCTGATACTGTATATACATCCCTTATCCTCTCCACCTTCGCATACTTCTTCTCCTGTTCGATCGGCCGGTATTCTGCATACCATCGCACTGCTTTCCTGGACATTTGACCTTATCCTTTGTCCTACTAATCTCTCATCATGAGAGCGGTTGCCGTCCTCTCGCTGGCCGTAGTCGCCTCCGCCTTTGTCATCCCAGATCAACAAACCCTCGAGTCTCTAGCCATCCAGGATCAGGTAGCTGATGATTCCGCCACCCATCCATTTTGGGATAGAGTTCATGAAGCAGAGACCTTTTGGGAAGATCTCGAGGAAGAGTTCACAAAAACCGTTCATTGTGCAAAACACAAGTTTGCGGATGCGGTTGACACCGTGCAAGATACCGCTGTCAAGTACAGCGAGGATTTTCAGAGCGCCTTTGCTGGTGATGCATGGCTAGAAGCTGCGGAATATGACGACGACTTGACCGAGTCTGATCCTCCTCATCATGGTCCCCCTCACCACGGCCCACCTGGCCATGGCCCTCCAGGCCACGGTCCTCCTGGCAAAGGCAGAAAGCCTCACCATCCTCCACATCATGGTCCTCCCAACCAGACCATTTACGAACTCGTGTCCAAGAGCAAATACACCACCAAGCTAGCCGCCGCCATCGATGAATTTCCTGACCTGGTCAAGCTTCTCAATGGCACCAAAGCGAATTACACTCTATTTGCCCCCACCGATCGGGCCTTTGAAAAGATCCCCAAGCACGCTCCCAAGCCACCTAAAGAATTCTTGGAGAAGCTGCTCACCTACCACGTCTCTCCAGAATTCTACCCAGCCGGCCGAATCCTGGTGTCGCGTACTCTCCCAACGGCACTTGAAGCTGAAGCCATTGGTAAAGTGCCGCAGCGTATCTCGACCCAGGTCGGCTTGAGAGGTTTGAGTTTGAACTTTTACTCCCGAGTGGTTGCCATCAATATCTTTGGAACAAACGGAGTCATCCATGGTCTTGACAGCATCTTACTGCCTCCCCCAAAGGCCGTGGATATTCTTTCTGCCCTACCTGGTGAATTCAGCACTCTGGACTTGGCACTTCAAAAGACCGGTCTATTTCCATCATTCAATGACACCTCAAGCCATCATGGTGGTACTCTGTTTGCCCCCTCAAACTGGGCATTCCAGCGCCTAGGCCCCAAGATCAATGCCTTCCTTTTCAGCAGATTTGGATTGAAGTATCTGAAAGCACTCGTCCTATACCACGTTGCCGACGACATCACCCTCTACTCTGACGCTATCTATAAGGAGGACTCGTCAGAAGCTCCCCCTCACCATAAAATCCCAAAGAGCGTGATCCATGTCGATCTTCCCACGGGGCTTGAAGGTAAGAAGCTAAGCGTCGATATCGCTCGCTTCGGCAGGCTCGTCACCATCAAGATCAACGGCTTCACGAGAGTCAGCGTCACAGATGGAATTGCCAAAGACGGTGTCATTCATGTGCTCTCCAATGTACTGATTCCGCCAAAGACTCCGGGTGTTTTCAGTGTTGCGGATCAAAGCATGACTCTAGAAGAGTTCAAGAACAGACTTGCCCCGTTTGTGGAAGACCCGGTCGACTCACTTGATGATGAAGAATTTAATCCTGAGTTATAAGCAACCGAACAAGAATTCAGAACTTGAACACACTCGGCTCCAGATAACAGTTGTTGGAGTATACAGGTAGCGGCATCTGTTGATGATGTTTGATGATGCAATGCCGACCCACGATCATTACCGCTTATCACGTAACTTGGAATTGGTTGGAGTTCTTGGACAGATGAATATAGCACGGAGTTAGCGAAACACGAAACATGTTATTTCTCACGAATCAATGTGACTTCTTGCCCTTGACCATGTTGTCCTTCTGCCATGTGTTAGAAATGTGCTGCAGTGAGCTTCTGGGTTACACTCTCGTCGTCCACATCTACCCCGTCAACATACCACCTGCCTTCAATTCCTTCCTCTGGAACAGCCACGCCATCTCCGTTCTTGCCCAAAACAATATCATTCCCACTCATATGCCTCTTTTTCATCTTCCCAGTTTCGTAATCAAAAGTCCAATCTTCCAGGCCATAACAGCGCTTCCATTTCATCTCGTCGTGGCGGTCCTGGTATTCATACCAAAACTGGACGGCAATCTTGTTTTCCGTGAATGCGAACAATTCTTTTCGAAGCCTGTAATTCGCTTCCTTCTCCCATTTCTTGGTCAATAGGTCGATGATTTCGGCCGTCCCCTTGATGAAGGACGAGCGGTTGCGCCAAACACAGTCAGGTGTGTAGCCGTTGGAAACTCTTGCTGGATCTTGTGTGTTCCACATGCCCTGCGCGAATTTGACCTTTTCCTGCGCGGTCTCTAATGTGTAGGGTGGTTTTAGGGAAGCCATGCTGTGTGTTACTCCGGTTATGATGCGAAAGGAGAGGTACTAAGTATTGAGGTTTGGAACAGGATGGGATATGCTGAGGCCTACACTACAAGATCTGACCCTTTTTAATTTCCCATGGCCCTTTTATCTATGTCGGGTGAAATGTCGTCCCAAGCTAAGGCTCTCTACACCCAGTCTGACCGCCGTCCTCACATTCCTCGAACCTCATCATATCCCGATATGAACGAGCCCACCCGACCCGCATCCCTGCCCACAAGGCCCTCCAATGATGACCAGGCAAGTTGAGCACTATTGGCGGAGGACATCGTTTCAGGGATAGTTCATGACGAAGCATGCAGTAGAAAAACCCCTCTTGCTGGTGGATGTGCGTGCGTCCAACTTACCTCGTCCAATCTTGAGCCTGAAATATTCAATTTCTGGGCAATACATTAGGCAGGTGGAAATCTATCACTACCGCTTTCGACTGATGATGGATCTGCCGCTGGATTATTCAGAAAGGACAAAAGCAGCAACGATTTGATAAAGCGCCAAAGCGGAGAGTTGAGTCAGATGTAAGCCTCCAACTGGGTCCAGAAAACTCACCAGCCTGCATTGCTGGGTGAGGAAACGCCCAACTTGGAAGCGAGTGTACCCCGAAAGGCTGATACGGCTTTCCCGCCTCGCAATGTTGGCAACAGTGGAACAGTCCATTATTCAGTTGCTGGGTCATGGAGAGGCCGAATTGGTGGTGATGATACTGCCAGATCTGGAAGTACATACATACACTCTGCACCGTGTCTGTGGCGGAAATTAGATTAGATTAGATGTAAGCCCGGAGACCTCAAGTATTGTTTGTCCCCCACCTCAAAATGCCCCTCCATCACGTCAACCGGCGATACCGCGGTTTGTTTCATCGAGTCTGAGTTCGCCGATCGGCAAGGAGTGCACTGCGACTCTCCCTCTTCACTTTCCAAATATTTTCTTCTTGCGTTGCAATACCAAGTAGATCAAAATCCCCTCAGCACAAGCGTCCAACATGTCCGCCCTCAAAGTGGGAGATAGTTTCCCCGACGATGTCGTCTTCTCGTACGTGGCGGTCGCTTCTCCAATGCAACCTGTGAAAAAGAGACGTAGATGTCAAGTCGGCGAGGCGTGTTTGATTTCGAACAACACTCGGACTCGGCTTATCAGAGCCTCTCTGGAGAAAAGTCCGAACTGACGAAAATTGTGTCATAGCTACGTACCATACACGCCAGAGTCCTCCGAAATCACCGCCTGCGGCATCCCGATCAACTACAACGCCTCGAAAGAATGGGCGGATAAGAAAGTCGTGCTTTTCGCCGTCCCTGGCGCCTTCACCCCGGGCTGCTCGGTGCGCCATCTACCAGGGTACATTGAGAAGCTGGACGAAATCAAGGGCAAGAAGGTCGATCTCGTCGCCGTGCTGGCCTACAATGACGCCTTTGTCATGAGCGCCTGGAGCAAAGCCAATGGGATCAAGAACGACGACATTGTGAGTTTGTTACATAACCCTTCAGACCCCTGGACCCTTTGGTCCTGCCTCCTTCTCGAGACGCCCCCAAGCGCAAGAAACCCTGACTATGCATGCATGGGGCATGTTGGGTCTATGCAGGTGTCTTGCATAATACCCGTTTCGTGTCGCTTCCTAGAACAAGTTACCCTCTTCCATCTATTCCTCACTCCTTGTCGGGACAAGGAGGGTCGCCCCAGTCGATCGGCTGGCATATTGCATTATGGAGTCGGACCCTCGCTTTTAGCTGGGAAGAAGACCCTGGGCTGACAAATTCCGGGTCTTGCGACTCGCATTCTTTTAGCTCTTCTTAAGCGATCCCGAGACGAAATTCTCAAAGTCCATCGGCTGGAACCTTGGCGAGCGCACCGCTCGTTATGCCTTGATCATCGACAATGGCAAAGTCACCTACGCGGAGAAAGAGCCTGGGAGGGACGTTACGGTAAGTGGGGATTTTCCTTCTTTCTGCTTCCACATGTCTTCTATTCGTCTCTTGGGTCCACTGTCGCATATCAATCTCCCCCTTTATCTTTTGAAGCATATGTCCGAGCACAATCTCTTCTTAACCCCCGACCCGCATCTTGTCTGGTCAATAGGATGTCTCGATGCTTGAACGCTCCGGTCCGGCGTTACGCTATTCCTCTGGTTCTACAACACGACCACGGGTGATTGGGGATGATTGGTTCATGTGTTTTGCACGTCTCATGTCTTTCTTTCCCCCCCCCCCCCACCACAGCGACAATCTATACCATTACAAGGATATAAGATTGTGCTAACGGTGATGTTTGTGTCAATTCTTAGGTCTCGTCAGCAGCCGCTGTGCTCGCGAAGCTGTAAAAGATGCCTTTCTCAAACCTGCTCAGCAGTCAAATACTTCGCTCATGTTGCTGAACGCTTTGGAGGAACGGGCAACACAGGTTGAAGAAAAATTAACATAGAAAGAGCTAGATTGACTAGGAGTGAACTCAACTAGAACTAGACAAGAATTCTTGATAGGCAGACGAATGCAAAGCAACATGGCTTGAACGACGTTTGTCGTCTCTTCTTTCAGAGCCTTCCGTCTCCCTCGATTGTAGTATTTCGAGCCCCCCTGAACACCAGACAGAACGCTTGCAATAAAGCCAACAAATCAAATCGTCATCACATAGTCAGACCATGTCACTTGAGATTCAAAAGATCCTCGAATGCTGGTAGGCCGTTCTCATCCAAAATCTCTCCAGGCTTCGACGCTGTCGTAAGATCACTCCACAACGAAATTTCACGTTCATCCAGTGAAGCAAAGTCCTGCGGTGATGAAAATGAGAAGGCGTCAAAGCTACCGAGGCTCTGGCTGTTTCTGCTACCGTCTGTGGTTGATTGCCTTTCCGAGGAACTCGAATGAGCTGGACGTGCTTTCAGGGCTTTGACCTGTCCCCGCAGCTCCGCCAGGCGCGAGTTCAGTTTCATGACGTTTTCTGATTGCTTCATGTATGACTGCATGAGGTCTTGATGCTTCTCATTCAGGTGTTCAAGCTGGTACTCGAGGCCTTTGAGATGCCGGTCTTTGCGCTCGCGAAATGCACGTTGTGATGCGCGATTTTGTGCTCTTCGGCGCTGAGGGCTCGTGTGTTAGACAGAGTCAAGAAACAGCAAAAGAAATATGAGGTAAGGGCCATGAACACACCAATTTTGTGTTCTGTGAGCCTTCTTTGTCCTCGTCTATAGAGTGATATGAGGAGTCGAGCTCTGGAAGCTGCAACTGGTGGTCGAAGTCGACTATATTGTTCATATCCAAAGGCTCCCAGCTTTGTTGGGTTTCTTGAAAGGCGCCTGTATTTGTGTTCGCATACTGTACTGTCTGATTGAGGTTCTTTGGTGTTCGATCGTCATTCATTTGACTCCAGATGAATACAGATCAGAGGGTGGTACATACCTGGGGAGAATTTGATGATGAGGAGTTAAATCCTTGTAAATTTTCATAGTAAACCCCATGAGAAGCAAAAGCCTCTGGATTGTTGTAGAAATAATCCATGTTTGTCTTGTGGAGTAGTATCTTGTCGAGGGGAGGCTTATTCCACACAAAGACTCGATGAAAGAGTTTTTACAGCCTCGCCGAGGATAGTGATGAATTCTTGACTTTCAACGCTCGATCTCGCGGGTTGTTGAAGCAATCGGGTTTTTGGTTTGAATCGATATCAGAAATGTCGGGGAAGAGAGAACCTAGATATCAACGGTTTACAAGCTTCTTTCTTTCTGAGTGATGCCGTGTCGAGAGACAACCAGATATACTTGGATTCCTTGTTGCATTGTTTTACTTGGTAGCTAAATAGAACTAGTGGCAGGTAAACTCGCCGCTAGATGGAGGGGCCGGAGAGAAGCGAAGCAGAAGCCAATGAATTGTCCGGTACACAGTGCTGAATCCAGTATGGCGCCAAATGTGCCGATCTGCGTTGGAGCTATCCCCCAACGGGCGACGACGAGGGTCCTCCCTTGCATCGTAGTGAATCAACTGTCGACTGGACAAGGAATATCTTTTTCGGACGTGGACAAATTACCTCGTACGTGGCGGTTACAGGTGCTCACTGGCAATACGGAGTGTCAAAATCGCGGTGATAACCACTGCTCGAAACCCCGTGAAGCAAAAATTACAAATAAGGCTGGCCACATAGAGCGTGATGCGAGTTTGGCTTTCGCCTTTCTTCCAGGCGGCGAGTCGATGAACAGATGGCTGTTGCCTGAAAGTAGCATGCGAAGAGGTACGATCATGAGTAAGAGCATTTGTGGTAGGTCATTAATATCTTGACCTTGATTGCCAAGCTGGTCTTTTAGAGATGTTGGAATTCGGTTCTTTGATGTACGACGAGCTTGAATCTGGGGCAACATTTAATTGCCACATGTAGAAGGTACCGCATTGAGAAGGTGCCTAGGCGCGAAATGGATGATTTGCCATGTGTTGGCTAGACGTTTTACCGATTGCTTGGTCTTGTTCTTATAAGACACAAGGTAGTGCAGGGGTTGGTAACTGCTGTCTGCAGGCCAAGGCCTCAGAAGTTAGAACCCGCAAGAATGACTAAGAAGTCAATGTGGGTCATCTTACGAAGTACCTCGTACGAAGGACTGGGCTCCGGGCACTGGCGGTCAGGACTAGGCGAACATGCTTGACGATTGGCACACCTAATTACCAAGTGTTAACTAACTTCACGACCAGGTGTCAAGTACTTGCGGTTGAGGTAAGATCTTCATAGGTAGATACTAATAGCCACCCAAGCTCGGCCACTGGTATCCCACACTCCGAGGGGTTCTCAGACTTTGGATATTCTTTGGGCGCGATTTAGCTAGAGTCTCGTAGGTCATTTCTAGAGAATCTGAGGTGCTTAACCTGTGGTTGAGAAACAGTCAGGTGGAACAAGTTCGACATCAGAAATAACTAAAATACGTAGGATTAGTATGGCCCGTGAGCACGTTGTCCGCCTTCTCTGAGTTGTTCCGGTCGTCATCTGCAAGATAGGTGTGACTCAGTGCCTTCCTCTAGCGAGTCTTCGAGATCTTCTGGTTATCGAGGCTGGTGGTTGTTGCGCTGCGGTGCCGGAGGCTCAATTTCGGCTCTTGTGAACTTTTTTGGAGGCCTTTTTCCTGGGTCTGTCTTTGTGACACCTCCTGAAAACGCGGTGCACTCTCTTTGTGAACGTCTTCCGCGACTGGTATTGTGGTTTGAGCGCACTCCGAGCTCCTTCATGAGCCCAACGGTCGCGAAGGTCACCAGCATGACCTGGAATCCACTGAAGATGTACTCTGACACCCAAATCGCCAAGCGCTTCAATCATCTCGTTCGCACGCCTCATTGGTGACCGGTTACCTGGACATCTGCCAGATCGCCAGCAGGTATCTATGGAGCTCAACACCTGTTGGCTATCTGTGAACACGCTCACCAGATTCGGCATTGGCCAGGGAATAGTAGCTGCTTGACTCTTGATCTCGTCGGCCTTCCCTGGCATTTTGATTCTGGCTTTCGTAACGACGGTGCCAGAGATGCGTTCGCATTGGTCGACGGCCATCTCCAAGGCTTGCGCTACAGCAATCATTTCGGCATGTCCTATTTGGTTGATACCGCGTGCCACAAAACAGCTTTCCCACCATTTAATAGCAAAGGCTTGATCACTGGGCTGGCTGTTGTCGAGACGACGATGTACGACACAGAAGCCGCATCCCTCAAGTTTCACCGGCTTAGGCCCACGCAGGCAGGCGTCCGTCCAAAATGACCACTCGGATAGCGGTTCTTGTGGCTGAAGAAGAGCTGCTTTCTGGGAGTTGAGAAGGGCGTCTCTTCTAAGTAAGATTATCACCAGGGGCCCCTTCGACATTAGCAGCTATTTTTCGGGATTGAAGACAATTTTATTAGGACGCTCAACTTTGATATGGTTAGACGTCGTGTCATCCATGTTTTGTGGAGCTGGTTCTTGCGTCTGATCTTCTCTTGATGAGTTCTCCGAGGCCGTGAGCTCCTGAGACGGATGGGGTTGGTCTTTAAGCCACAGAGTTGAAGTTGGTAGGGCCATGTTTGAGAATTGCAACATAGCCAAGTTGATGACTGTCAGGTTTGGTGCGCAATTAGATACTTATCTTGTGAGGACCTGAATCACGTGGCCTGACTCGCAGTGCCTGACGGAACCCAGTGATATGAGCCAGATTGTCTCCTTCCTCGTAGTCATTTTTGTATCTTGAAGGCTCTCGCTTCGTACTAGTACGCCGTAGTTGGGGCCTGCCATTAACAAGTGTCCTTGAGGGTTAACAACCCCAGCAATACCTCGCCTCTCTTATAAATCTTATAACTGTGTTCTAGACTACCTAGTCAGCAATCGACAAAACATCTGAGCAACACATAGCCGCACAAGAGGAGGTCGAGCGACGCCGAGCTCTCCTCGCGCCTCACCTAGCTGGCGACGTTTGGCTTCATCGATTTGTTCAAGTCAGGGTTGGTTGTCATCTTCGGGCAAGGCACGGTGGGCCAAGAATTCGATATGCTTTGCCTTGCTCAGCCTTGCACTGCAACCAGGTGTCGTGTAATGGCTTAGCCCAGCAAAATCTCAAGTCCTGAAAAGTGCAGAAGATCTAATAAATCTGTGATGGCGAGGAGTCTGTCAAATCTCAAGTGGATCTGTTTTCACTAGTGGTGCAAAGGATGCCTAGCTGTGGCCAATGGTGCTCGTGCTCCCTACTTACGAAGTACTTCGTAGGTACCTAGGCAGGGGTCATTGAGGGGGCAGAGGGGGGCTCCCCCTGAGATTATAGTTGACAAGGGTAATTAGGTACCTACGAAGTAGTACTCGTAGGAACCGAGTGGGAGGTATGTAACTAACAACCTACCTAAGGTAGGTACCTAAGTACGTGTACGTAGAGTACACCGAACCCTCCTCAGCGTCGTTGGCACGTGCACAGCTGAGGGTGGCAGATTACCTAATGTCAAGGATCAATACCGAAATTCGAACTCGGTCTTATTTAGCTGAACTCGGTACGATTAAGTTCTACCGGTGTTGCAACTGCAACCATCCCCAGCCATCGCAAAGCTCATTAGATATTCCTCGAATTAACAAGCGACGATTTCTGACGGTGCTTGCAAACTCGCCGGCCAAACATCGCTGCTATTATTACTCTTCAGGCTCTCGAAAGCTTCGAGATTTGATCTAGATCTGTAAGGGATCTCTCCCATTTTCCACAAGTTGGCGACGGATGGGGTTGCCTCTACAGGGCCAGGCTAGCAGCACCCGATCGCCAGGATTCGTGGCCCATGTAGCATTATCATAAAACCACCACTCGCAATAGCGTTGCAGGGCAACTCATACCCGAGAATCATACAACCAGCATGGTATCCTTTGCCACACATCCTTGATGTCTCCTACTCCGGATCCCACGACCAATGCCTTTACTTTCTTGAACTACGACTCTCCGGGTCACAATGCTTCACACCGACGAGCTGTCAAATCTCATATCTCAAGCAAGTACAGAACGGCCGTTCGACAGCAGGCCCAACCTCGTTATGCATTGCCACACCGTGCTACACCAGAGTCAATAACAACACTCACCAGAGCAGGTAGTGAGCAGACTACGTCACCAAAACCGAAGCGAAGGAAGCCTACGCCAGTGTCCCAACCCGAACCCGACGATTTGAACAGAATCCATCAGTCTGCCATCACTTCGACTTTGCCCTTGATTTCTGGAGCCTTACGAACAGATCCATTCAATTCCCTACCTGGCCGACAAACTCCTTGCGTCGCGGGCGCTTTGGACTACTATATCAAGATCCTGTCTCCGCTCCAAGAGCCACTGCAACTCACCATTGGCATGACAAGCCCATTGATGTCTTGGGTGTTTCCGGTCTTCATCTCCCATGAAAGTGCTTACCATGGAGCTGTGGCTCTGTCTCAAGCTTATATGGAAAAGCAAAGGTTCCCAATGTCACGGCCATCAGCGGAGGTCGGTTTCCATCGGCAAAGAGCGGTTACTTTGTTGCGTGATCAGATCGACAATCTTAATGGACGACAACCCGACAATGGTATGATGATAGCAGTCCTGGCTCTAGCCAGCCTGGATGTTGTCTATCAGGAGGACAGTGTGACCAATCGCAAAGGTCTTGCATTGCTCGTTGCTTTGAAAGGAGGTCTAGATAGCTTGGGGCACCGGGGTCTGATCAAGGCGTATCTGATAGCCTTCGACTACTTCTGGATGTTAGAAACCGGTGCCGCGAGTATCTTTCCTCTGTCTAAGCGAAAGCAGCGTCGAGAGTATCCTCGCATTCCATTCGAGACGAGCACCATCTCTATCGTCTCGACTTTGCCGCCTGGCTTTGCGGTTGTGGCTCAACAGGGCACCCTTGGAATGGATGTCCTTCGAATATTGTCTCGAGTGTCCTTGTCCCACTCATCTGAGTTCAAACCTGATGACGGCGAAGACCACCCCGATATTTTCGACACCTGCTCCTGTCTCCACGCATCTTCAAGCACTGAACACAGCCTGGAGAAAAATTTATGTCTTGCTGTCATCTTGTTCAGTTTCGACAAACACAACCCGTCTTCCTCGTCGGCAAAAATTACGGCCTACAGAGGTTCGAGGAAAGAGCTGACAAGATCGCTACCATATACACAAATACGTAACATGGAGGAACGCAACTGCCTGACCTGGATCTGGATAGTTCTCCTCGGTTCATGGAATAGTGACCTGGACTTCCGTGGCCATACCTCGGAACTGTCCCGGGTTTTCTTCGAGAACATTGAAGAAGCCAGACGCTGGGAAGATGTGGAAATATTGATGCGTCAGTTCTTCTGGCATGATGGACTAACGCGAAGGTGGTATGATAGTTGGTGGCAAGCACTCATTGCCTTCCAGGAGAACTCCATATCGCCATGGCAATCATCGTGGTCTGATGCTCCTGCCAGCCCCCAGCAATATTCTTCGATCCCTTTCAGAAGTTCGACACAGGGGCAAAGCTCTCGACCAATCCCCTCTCCTACGAATAGTACTAATAGTATTCCAAACGCGGCCAACAACGAAGGACAAACGACCCTGGTTCTCCCACCGATGGTGACTCTGGATACGTACTCCGGTCAGATCAAGTGACCTGACGGCAAAGGAAGATACTGCTTTCAACTCACAGCGATTGCAATGCTGACTTCGAGCATCTTGGGATCGGTCGAGTATCATCAAGATCTCGAATACCAAATGGACCAACACAACCATTCTCTCTTATCTCGCAATTAACCACATTGGTAAGCGACGTATACACCAGCTCACAAAAATCGGATCGCACCGTGAGCTCATGCCCCAAGCTCCCCACTGATCGGCTGGTGTCCATGATCGAACGCAGCATCTGGCACCTGGTGGAAATCACTCCTCCACAAAACCCCGTCAAGAGGCCGTACACTTCCATCAAGGTGACATCTTCTCCACAGAAGATACCTGTAACATCTCCAACCAGCAGTACCATATGTCCCTGCCCCGTGCCTGTCACATGGAAAGTCAATTAGCCAAAAACGTGAGCAAGGACAGGTAAGCAGGCGATGAATCAAGTCCGACGGCACGGAAGCTGGATACATTGAGGGAATGAAAAATCTCCTTCTGTGTGACATCGGGAATGTCTCGCAAACACACGATCTCAGACGGGATCTCAACTTTTCGATTCCAACTGCATGAATGGCGATGCATCCACCCGCTGCCTTCCACAAAGTGGACAGGGCGGTTTCGGGAACTTTTCTTCACGCACAAGACTCCTGAGCGCATGATTGGATACACGTATTTGTATAATGTGGCCAGACGAATTAATATATCTGCCAGTCTGTTTAATTAATATATATTGCTCCACACTCATTTACGATGTGTAACATGTATCTCATTGCCGATGCTGCTTTTCTCCTTGCATCCAGCCATAAAAGGAATGGATTTGGGTATCATGTATCAACTAAAAAAAGTAGGTATGTAGGTAAGGAAGGCATCATGCCTTCTCAAAACCGGAACAGCAAGAAATCTAAAAACAAAAATCCGTTTTGTAACTCGTACTCGTCAAGTAGTCGGTTACTGTTCGCTCATAAATTCCTTGCGTAGGCTGAATGCATGTGTGTATGTAAATGCGTGGAAAACCGCCAAATGAACCGCCAAATCCGTGGTGTCTGCCTGTTCTTTTGTCGCAGGCCCTCCGTGGCGCTCCCAAAATTGATGCGTGTTTATTCGTGTAGGGATTGAGAATGATAACTCCGAAATATATGCGTGAAACTGTGGTTTTTGTCACGAAAATGGAGAAGAATGTGTCGTCGTCATTGCGTAGTAGTGGTGGTAGTTGGTCCAAGACTGCTTCAAGCAGAGGAGTTGCGTAGAGTGTTATTAGCACCGGCTTGCATCCTTCGCATGGCCTCCCGATGGGCATCCTGCATATCAGGACGTCTCATAGCTTGATCCATACTTTGCTGCTTTCTTTGCTGCTCCCGCTTTTTGTATTCCTCAGTCATGCGTCTAGTCTCTCTCTCAGCCTGCATTTGAGCTCTGCTGTTTTCGACAGCCACTCCACTGGTACCATTGGTCATCGTACGCTGTTGCTGTGACAGTCGCCATTCTGCAAGTAGAGACTCTCGACGCTCTGCATTGGGGCGGGTGGATTCCTTGCGAGGTGGTTGTCGCGAGTCATACGAGTCAAGGCGTGTTCCCATTGACGAAGACATTTGCTGGCTGGCAGGTCTGACGGACTGTGGGAGGCTGACCGTGCTGTTGTTATGGTAAGGATTTGAGGGTGTTTGAGATGTGTGTGGCCGTGGTCCCGCAGAATTTGTAAGGGAAGATGAGGAGAGTTGCCTACTGGGCATCATGTATGGACCAGTTGATACTCGTCGGGATGGGCTTTTTGAGGCAGCGAAGACTGTTGGCACATTTTCGTCGATGGGTGTCGTTACCAAAGACGTGGTCGAACCTGGACTGAAACTGTTCCTGCTATTTCTGTGTCCAGGCAACTTCAACGATTGCATTGAAGCTGTCCTGGAAGGTGCGTTCACAGTACTGAGGCTTGGACTTGGACGTCGATCTGGATCGGAGAAAGATCGTTGAGCCGACACCGGATTGACAGCAATCCCAACTCCCCCATTGCTAGCCTTCACGGTTGGGGGCAGCAACTCTGGAGGAGGTACTTCGATTGCAGCCACGGTGGCTGCTGCCTTCTTCTCAGCTTCAGGTATTGGTTTCGCGAGCTGTGTTGGCAACTCTGTGTCATTACCGGCAATAGCTTCCGGCTCCTCACAAATGGGGATTTCAGCGACACTGATGTGCTTTGCCCATTCGTTTGTACGGTAAGACAAGACCACGTTCGACAATTGACTTGGAATCGAAGCAAGAGCCAGGGCAGTCAAGCTATCAGCAGTGGAATTTGACTCTTCTGTCACCTGCGATTGAGAGTAGTCCTTGTTGCTCTGTGATGCATCCTTTTCCGCAATCTCTGTCAATGAAACACTACTTGAGCCCAAGCCTTCATTCAAAGCAGTTGAGTCTGATGCTAGCTCTGATGCCTCCCGTGGCTGGATGGGAGCCTTTGTAGTCTCCACAGCGAGTTGAATACCAGCATTTCGGGATTTCCCATCATCCGATCCGATGGGAGAGATGACAATCTCTGGGGGCGATCGCACATCATCTTCTTCATGCTCGAGATTTGGAAGCTCGAGGATTTCATTGGCTTCATCCAAAGTTGCAGCCACAGAGGATGCCCTACTATAGGGCCTTTCCACATCGAGAAGATTTTCGTTTGACTCTGATGCAGATGCACCTATGTTTGATTGGCTGAGTCGCTTGGCCAGACCTGATCGTGGTTGTTGAGAATCTCTTTTGCGTGTGGGGAGGTCTTTACTCTTTCGTGGACCGCTCGATTCTTGATCATAAAGTTGTTGATAACTCGTCGGGGATCCCTTTGCTTTCTGATTGCCTTTTGATGCTGCTTTATTTGCAACCGAGGTGTCAACCTCCTCCAAGGCTTGAAGAGCCTTCCGGCGCTCTGCTTCCGCGATCACTTCGGGATCTTCTTCGATTTCCTCAATCACATCCACAGCGAGGGAACTTTGGCGTTTGTTCTTGGATCCATAACCAGAGATGCGCTTGGGTCCGAAAGCATTCATTTCCAAACTTTCTGCCGACGAAAGAACAGACGTTGGTTCCAGCGCAACGACAGATACACTTGAGTATCTCTTCTCAGGATGTGCATCCTGCCAAAGAACCGTGTTGCGTTTACTTTGTAGGCGATCGCCATATTGTCTCTCCCATTGCGTTTTCTCGCGATCATTTTGTCGTTGCAGATGCCGTCCTAATGCAGCGTCGATGGCCTCTTGTTGTCGGTCAATCTCTTCCTGGTCTGCTTCTACCACCATTTCCTTGGTCCTGATGACCTTCCACAGTTTGATCTGTGATAGTACGCCTATGATCGTGCCAATGACAAGAACTGCAATCTCCACTCGCATACCTCTCGTCAGTGGAAACGTTGTGGTGCCTAGTGGGAAGAGATCGTCATTGAGATCCCAGATATAAAACCAGAACTCCTTCATACCTGCCCTCGTGAAGCAGTCAATCCCGAGAACAAAGGCAGTCGCGCCACTGAAAGAGGTGGATCCTATCAAGGCATACGGCCGAGTATATGAGCTGAGTGAAAGCGCCCATGCAAGTATGCAGAATATGCCAATAAAGATTCCCTTTCCAATTTGATTGGTGATGAGACCTCCCGCTTTGAGCGTCAGGAGCCACATACTAAACGTGAAGCCGCCGAGAAGACAACCGAACCCCTCTGTGAACTCCTTGAACACGAGTGCTCCTGCACCAAAGATGACTCCAGTCATGAGGATGGCGACGAAGAAGCCTCCTTGAATGGCATTCGTTAAGGGCGGATGCATGACATACTCGACCAGAGCTGCGGTTGCCACGCTTGCGAGGAAGCCTGTGGACAAAAATATCTGAACCCATCGGCTCTTGACACCTATCAATGCGTAGATGGATCCCAACACGATCAGAAAAACTCCAGCAATGCCTAACGCTGGCGTTATCGTTGGTTCCCAAGGCAGATTATCTTCCGTTGTTGCCTCGCTTGAAGGGGAAGTTGCATTACCTGCGAGAGTGTTTGTGGCAGTGGGAGCCGATGCTGTCGTTGCCGGAGACTGCGTGGTAGATTTCTGCGTGGATGAAGCCGCAGTTGTTTGCGAGGACTCCCCATGTTCAGTTGTCTGCGCGGCGCTGGAGGTGATAGCCTTGCTACTGGTTGAGGCAGCTTCAGTTGTGGTAGTCGGCGAGTTGGTCGTCAAGTTTGGGAGATCTGTATCACTACCAGCAGTTGCTGAATCTTGCCGTATTTGTAGGGCTGCCCTGTCGGGATTAGATGCACCTAATGGAATCGCACATCCCAAAAGGAGCAGCAGGCTAACATAAGATGTCCGCATTTTATATTCGATCAAGTGGTCGTTTGGAGAGGATTGTCCTGCGCTCTGCGCGCAGCTGCCAGGACGATCAGTACATAAGACCCAATGTCCGTACTCGTATGTAGATGATTACACTCCCACGTCAGTCGGCTTTGTCTCTCGGCACGGGTAGCTGTGATCAATGTGGCTCATGAATGGGCGTACCGAGTAGGTTCGCTAGACAAACAATTATGCATTTAACAATATGAATATGAGAACGTGAAAAAGGACATTCACAGCAAAGACGGCTTGACAGGATAATCACCCGACAGCGTCGCTTTTCCCCACCTGAGGCGACAGCGAGCAGCCATACTTTTGAATCAAAATGACAAGCATCGCTGCTGTGGGCCCTGAGGATCGCTGAATGGGGGATAAGGCCAGCATGGAACAAGATTGGATACAGTGACGAGGCAAGCCACCGAGTTCCTGGAGCTTACCTTTTGGGACAAGATGATCCTCAATTTACAGTCCAGCAAGAAGCGAGGCGGGCACGAGGACAAGCCGAATGGAAACGTGTAAACTAGTTTCTGTGGAGGACTCGCACTAGGTGGAATATGTTACCAGGATGATCAATCAACAGGAGCATGGCTCGGAAGTGGCGACCTTGTCTGTGTTGATGCGACAGGAACAATGGGAGCGAACTCATGACGCCAAAATTACGTGTATCGCGTTGATTTGATTCTCAGGACTCCAGAGCACTGATAGCTGAATCCAACCTGAGCGGTCAACTGTCTATTTTTGTTACAGTGTGATGAAATCGGAGCTTGGATTCGTGATGCGTTGGATAGCGGAGGTTTTCACGCGAGGTCGGCTGCAGGGTGAGCAACACCAGTGTCTGCAGGTTGCAGTGATCTGCTCGGTACGCAAGGTTTTCAAACCGCCCTTGTGGCTTCAAGGAGCTCCGCAACCAAGTCAAGTCATGGGCTCTGGGTAGCTGCAGATTGGAGGGTTTGGCTTCCAGTGGCTGCAGGGGCCGAAATTGGATGAACCAAAGACACACGAGGAGGAGAAACAGGTCTCGCCAGACCCAGACGAGATGAGCCGCTGAATGTTAATGGGAGAGTTAATTTGCTTGGTGGACGGTTTTCCGGGGATCCGACACCTCGTTCTCTGAAATTGATGTGCTACGAGTATTCAGCCTCTTCTTTTCACATCGGTACCTCGTACTTCTTCTGCTTGATGACGAGTTCACGCGTAGCTAAAGGATGCTTTCGAGTAACGACCGACGTTCAGCACTCGGCACAGCGTGGTCATACAGAGTGTCTATATGTCTAGACCGATGACCAGCCAGTAATAGATCTTGTCGTGATTGAAGCAGCTCACCAAATCCCCCTCACAAGCCGGCACGACCCTACTCGTTAGATGGATCTTCCTAGCCGCTACCCTAGCTGAAAATCTCCGATCAGGGTTCCTTGGATAGTCAAGCCCGGGGCTAAAGAGCGTCAGGGGTCTCCCGTCCGGGAATAATCTCCTTCACCTAAGGCTACGACTACTCCGTACGAAGTATCTCTCCATGGCGGCTCCTCCGGGAATACTGATCACATCATTTCTTCTGGAAAACAAGTCATTACCCGATGGATCGATTCCCTTATCCGTCTTTATCAATCTATCGATATAGCATCCACTGCAATTGCGTACCCTTTCGCCCCCAGCTGGTGATTGATACTGATTGCTGACTCGCACTGACGTCTCAAATTCGCAGGGTATCTCAAACTACAAACGAAATTTAGGGCCAACAAGAACTGAAATCCTGAATTGCTACGTCAATATTAAGGGGGCTTCGAAACGCTTGGGCCGACTGCGCCCACCAAGAGTTTCCCTCAGCCTAATCACGTTCAGACTACGGACTTTGGAGCACGAATGGTATCGTGATTCGTATGCCTTCTACTAATCATGATGGGTTTTGAGGCCTCAGAGGATGAGACCGCACGGGCTGAACGGCCGCCCCGCCCAATAGCTAGCCAAAACCTACAGTTGGGCCTGACATAAACATCTTGTCAAGTGCTTTACAGGTGAAAGCACACAGTCCGCAGCCAGAACCGAACTTCCTCAGCCCATCCCACGTCTCATTCTCGTGTCGGTGAGAGATATGCAGGAACAGTGATTGGGCATACTGCAGACTTCCTGGCTCCTTGGCGTTGCCAATGCGATGGGATGCCTTTAATTCATGAGCTCAAGGAGAGCATCCTTCTAATTTTATGCTCAAATACCTCATCCTCTTGAAGTCATTATTGACTTTGATATGTTTTGCAGAATTATGGATCTCTCTTGCAGGGCCGTTTAGGTCTCGTGTCACATGATGCTAAGTATAAGTGTACTTTTTAAGGCCTCTTGGAATCGGTGGATATTCGCATCCTACTGTGCCCGTAAATAGAACAGCCAGCCTTTGACAAGTGACTCAGTGTATATTCACAGTTCCCCGATCTCTCTCCGATCTCAACATGGAGCGTTCCAAAGGAAAGTCCCTCCATCAAACTGGACACAGGATGACTGAAAGATGCTGGCGACGAGACAGACTGAATCTTGTTTGACACACAAGTAATTTGCCAAGCTGCACATACCTGATGAGAGTCCAAAGGATATTTCTCTGCAAATCCCACCAAACACTTCACTTTGGTACCTGTGCAGTCAAGGTCTCAGTTTCGACAATAGGGCCATGGTACACCTTCCTCGCCACCAGGAAATAATATATAGCACCACCCGCAACCCACCCGGCAAGAACCACTGTGCTATAGTTCATGTTCTGAGCCGTCACAGGCTGAAGACTTGGAAATGTGGAGAAAATCATTGCAAAAATTAGCCAGATGATTGCGATGATGTTGACCACTATTCCGCCAACTTTACCGAGTCTGAAAGGTCCATATTCGGCTGGCGAGAGTCTTGGGCGTCCAAAGCGTACCATATAAATAACCGGAAGAAGGTATGACAGATAAGTTCCAATAATGGCCATCGAGAGGATGGCATTGAAAGCAGTCGTACTTCCGAGGTAGATGAATCCCAACAGTCCCTGCAAGACCGAGACTAAGACGATCATTCGTACCGGCACTTGCAATTTCTGGTCTACGTGGGAGAAGTATTTGGAAAATGGAGCAGCATCATCTCGTGCGAAAGCCCAGAAGGTTCGGCTTGCGGAAGTGAGCCCTGCTGCGTTCGCTACGCTGGCGATGAGACATATGATCAAAGCAAGGATCGTAGCGCCAGCCTGAGAGTATGTGACATTGAGGAAGAGCTGGATGAACGGGAAACCGGTGGGTGATTCCAGCAATTCGGTAAGATCCCCAAGCGAGAAAAGCAAAACCAGGCAGTATATGAAGCCAAGGACTCCGTTTGCAACCACAGAACCGACCATTGCCAATGGAACATTCCTTGCAGGACTGGGCAACTCCTCGGCCAAATGTGCAGCGGCATCATACCTACTCAAGTGGTCATTTTTATGTCTTTTGTGATATACAGAAGCAGCATACCCAAGGAAGGGATAGACACAGCTCAGCAAGCCTACCAACCAAGCCAGGCTGTCGCTGGACCAACCACTAGAGTTCGAGATTTCGACGAAAACGTAATTGGCTGAGTGCTTCTCAGATCTTGCGCCAACCACTGACGTGATAACTAGAAAGCCCACGACATGTAGAACCCCGGCTGTGAGGTTGGCATGCGGAAGTATTTTCACTCCCCATATGTTGATCGCGGCACTGTAAACAAGAATGAGCCAGTAGAACATCATTCCTTGATATCGCTGTGGGACATATGAGTCGGGATGATTCAGTGTGATGAGGGCCTGGTATTGCAGTCCACCTGCGAAGGCTGCAGATGCGGTAAGTACGATCTGGCCTCCTATGGAGATCCATCCTGTAAACCACGATGCGACCGCTCGACTCTTTACAGGAGCAAGAACAGCCACCCAGTGGTATTGACCTGAGCATCGTTAGCCATGGATCCCTTCTCACAAGACGGCGTAAGCCACCTCCAGCAGTTGGCCATATGCTACTGATTTCGGCAAGACTCAATGCAATCGAGAGTGTGCCAAGGAAGGAAATGATACTGCATGAGTAAGTTTATGGATCAGAGTCGGTTCACGTGGCGGAAGACTGACTAATTGTAGAATAGACATGGTGCACCTCCGCTTATCAAAGCTGTTGCCACAACTGAGGAGAGAGCTTCCCATGTTGCGACTAAGCAAAGACACAAGCATCCCAACGACCAGATTGAAAATTCGCGACGCAGTTCCTGTTTGTGCCCGATAACAGCCAAGAGCTCTTCATCGTTTAGTGATTGGCGATGGGTTGGTACCCCTATCGCTACGACTTTTTCCCCAGCACTGCAAACTCCTTGCTTCTCAGTAGTCATTGTAACGATATGTTATTAGAGCTATTGGGCATGACAGGTCCATAGTCAGATGATGGTAGATGCCGTGATGCTTGGAGCGATGATATATACATGCTTTCCCGGCAGCTTGACACAATCCGCAACCTCGTACCTTGCTCCATCTAAAGCTTTGCGCCAACCACGGTAACCAGGGCCCTCAATATCCAATATCACCATCGTGATAGAGGTACGGCCAATCAAAGGGCATTTTATACGACGACAGCGACCACGAACAAACCTCCAGTCTTAACGAGCGAGGAGAAACGGACAGCGGACATTTTGCGGCCGAGGATGCTGGAGAGGGCAAGGGGGAAACTCAGTGACATTGCGGCGCACTTCCGCCTGTGTCCCCTACTGCCAATCACAATGGATTGCGCAAGCTTTGAGCTGCTGGTTTTGTTTGGCTGCTGAAGGAATTCCTTCCTCTCTCTGTTTCCTCTTTGGTCGATTGATGAGGGGAATAGTCTTATCTGGACTCTCAGAGCCAGAGGATTTCTGAGACTCAAGCTCTTCTCCGTAACTCTAAACGAATCCTGTGTCAGCTATTCAGAGCAAAGACCTTCAGATAAACAGGCTGGTCACATGTTTTCTTTGCATCCAAAACAGAAGTCCCATGCGAGCCAAAGAGTTTCAGGGCTTCTACAGTTAATGGGCAAAGCCATTCCGATGATTCCTTCCAGGTCCCGGAATCCGTCTGAATGATCCAATGTCATTCTGCCACAACGGATCTCCATTGTTACAAGTATTGAGTTGATACCCTGTATCTTTCCCACTCAGTATTGGCTTCTTCCGAATTTCACTCAAATAGGTAAGAGAGAATAGTGTTGCCCCTGCCAGGCAGGCATGATCTTTCCGATATAAGTAGGTATCTGTTCAACGTTGAACTTCTTTATCAATACATCAACACTCATTCTTTTTCAACCAAACAATCGCTATCATCCTAGACTTGAGAAAATGGCCCCTCATCCATTGGATATTTTGACGCTCGACGAGACTAATCGTGCTCGAGATATTGTCGCCAGCCTTCATCAAGACTCTGTTCTCAGCTTCAGAGAAATATATCTAGAAGAGCCTCCAAAATCTCAACTGGTTGAGTTCCTGGTGGCCGAACATGCAGGAAAATCAAGCACTCCACCAGCTCGCACAGCGCTTGTACAATATGATGTGATTGGCTCAGATCGAATCCCCCGTTATAACGAAGCAATCATCGACTTGGATCAAGGTAAAAGAATCAAGCATGTTGTCGTTGATAGCAAAACGCACCATGCAGGACTGACGCTGTAAGACTGATCAATCATGAACTTCATACTGGTACTGATAAATTTGCAGCAATGAGTTTGACGTTCTCGTCGAAGCTTGCAAAACCTCTCAACTATTCAAAGATGTTGTCGCAGAGTTCCAATTACCTGAAGGATTCGAGGTTATTGTTGAACCTTGGCCGTATGGTGGGCCCAAACCAGAAGAAGAAAACCCACGCTATTTCCAGGGACTTTGTTTCGGTAGAGACACACGATCTGGAAATCCTGACTCGAATTTTTATGCTTATCCTCTTCCGTTCATTCCCATCCTGGACGTGACAAAGGGAGAGATAGTCCGGGTTGATCGCCTGGCCACTGGTGGCAAGGGTGATGCCATAGATGCAACAACCGTTTCAAAGGATGTCATCGGGCATTGTAAAACTTCAGAATACGTTCCAGAGTTGTTAAAGAACGGAACGAGGAAGACTCTGAAACCACTTAATGTGCTGCAACCAGAAGGCGCCTCATTTTCTGTTGACGGCGGACTTATTGAATGGCAAAACTGGAGATTCAGGGTTGGATTTAACCCTCGAGAAGGAGCCACTGTCCATGATGTCCACTATGATGGAAGAAGTGTGCTTTACAGACTCAGCATCAGTGAAATGGTAAGTACGTTGACTGGCGTCTGCAAATGATACTGACTGTTCCAGACTGTTCCCTACGCAGATCCTCGAGGCCCCTTTCCCAGGAAGCAGGCCTTCGATTTTGGTGATGGCGGTGCAGGTAACTGTGCAAATTCGCTTCATCTTGGCTGCGACTGCCTTGGGGTGATTAATGTGAGTCTCTCAGATGGTCACGACGCCTTCCAGATACAGGAGTCTAACTTGTGCACAGTATTTTGACGCTGTACGAACTGGCCCCGATGGCACCGCCTTAACGGCCAAAAATGTAGTATGTCTTCATGAACAGGACAACGGTATCGCATGGAAGCACACCAACTGGAGAACCGGTAAAGCGGTCGTTACGAGAAACCGAGAACTTGTTGTTCAATTTATCATCACCCTCGCCAATTACGAGTACATCTTCGCCTACAAGTTTGACCAGTCGGGTGGGATCACGATCGAAACTCGTGCCACAGGTATTGTGTCTGTTGTCAATATTGATGCCGGTAAGACCAGTGCATACGGAAATGTTGTATCGCCAGGAGCCTTGGCCCAAAATCATCAGCATATCTTTTGTGTTCGAATCGATCCAGCCATCGATGGTTACAAGAACACCGTTCTGGCAGAGGAGTCCCATCGGGCGCCTGTCAGCAAGGACGCGAACCCCTATGGCAACTACTATGAAGTGAGGCAGAACGTTATTGAGACAAGTCAATACCTCGACGCTGCTCCACAACACAACCGTGTTATCAAGATGGTCAACAAGAACAAGCTGAATCCGATCAGCGGCAAGCCCGTTGGTTACAAATTCACCCCACCTGCAACTCAACTTCTTCTGGCGGATCCAACATCGATCCAGTCCAGGAGGGCTCTGTTCGCACACCATCACGTCTGGGTTACGAAGCACCTTGATGGTGAACATTATGCCGGAGGCCGATATACCCTCCAGAGTCGAGACGAAGTCGGCGGCGTTGCTGATGCTGTCAAGCGTAACGACAAGGTGGATGACGAGGATGTTGTCGTCTGGAACGTTTTTGGTCTGACCCATAATCCCCGAGTGGAGGATTGGCCTGTCATGTACGTTTCTCCTCCCGAGTCTACCACACCACGATCCAGCAAGCTAACAAGATTTACAGGCCCGTCGAAATCCATCAGATCAATCTCCGACCAGCGGATTTCTTTTCAGAGAATCCAAGTATCGATGTGCCATCGTCCAAGAATCAGGCATCAGTACTGACTACCGGACGAACCAATGGTGCAACCAATGGTGCCACAAATGGCACAAATGGAGAATGTTGTCACTGATCGTGACTTTCATATCGTTATAACTTGAATGATTGTATGACCATCATGTCTTGCAACGGGTCCTATATACTTTGGCCGAGAGCACATCTTTTGCACGCAATAAATAGATACAAGGTGACACAATATGGATAGCGAGTCCTGAATAGACATCAGTATGTTTAAGAGCGCGTTGCATCTACTCCTAAAAGACTCTGAAAATCAAAGTTAATCACGCAGTGGCCATGCTCGATGGAAAACAAAGTTGCCAGCCCCAAAAGTGAGCATAATGTCTTGAGTCAAATAGCCTCGCTAATCTCAATCTACTTTAGAACCATGCAGGAGGTGGTGCCCGGGCAGGTTCGATTGGCTGGGGACTCTTTCAACCCTAAATAGCCGGTGGTGTGCACCCTTTGAGATTTATTGGAAAGGATGGGAGGACGTGCGTTTGAGTTCTTTTTCATCACCGTGCAGAGCCAGCCGCGGCTTGGCTGCCGTGTGAAAGAAAGCCTTCCATGGTTTAGCTACGGGTAGTGACTGGCCCAGACCTCGCATGGACCACGACGATTCCCGAATCTCGCTCATCGTGGTGCATAGGGTTCTCGAAGATCTTTGGTTGAGCCTCCCACCATCCTCTATGGTAAGCACTGAGCCAGGCGCTCAGACGGCGACGCCACAAAAGATGGTTTGGGCATGGTGAAGAGTTTATCTCGGAAGCCTGGGAGCTTCGATTGACCTCAACTCCTTCTTCTCAACCATTGTGATTCATCATCATGCTCCCATCTTAACCATGACCACGAAGGCTCACAATCCATGGAGAAACATCCTCAATCACCGTTTGTTGAATCTGTTTCCGCGCCATTGACGTTCAGTGATACACTCTCCCCACTGAGGACAACCACCAGCCGGCGGAGCGATGTGCCTACTGCCCTTCGCTCGCCGTGGCGACATTCGGTGTCGACTCGCCATGGGCCCCTTCCAACATCGCGAACGGTGAGGGAGTTTAGAGCGGGCCGCCAACGGCGCAGACTGTTCGCTCAAGGATTCACGCAGTTCCTCATCACCGTTATTATGTGCGGTCTGCTCGCGGTTTGCCTGGCCGTGTTCGGGAGACTTTCTTGGATGTCGGTGCACCAAGTCAAGGCTTTCAATGCGTTGATTGTGCTGCTCTCTCTCTTCCTCGGGAACAATCTAACAAGCTCGTTCAAGGAAATGGCACTCATTGTGCGGTGGAGGATCTTGGCCGCAAATTATCGCTCACTCGACGAGTTCGACCTCATCATGCACTGCGAGAGCTTACGGAAAGTTTTGAAATTGTGTTGGGTCGCTAGAGAACGTGGACGAGCTTTGTTCTGGCTCAACAAAACGCAACTACTGTGTTTAGTGTGGGTTGGCGTCAACATCCTGCTCCAGATCCTCGTTGCCCTGCTCGGTCTTACATACAATCTGGACACCTCAACTATTCCGGCTCGGAGACTCGGTTTGATCAGTATCGCAAACTTTAGTATCATCGATGATCCATGGACCACCACCGATCCTGGTTTTGACTCACAGCTAGGCTCGTCAAACATTTATGGCAGTCAGTCTCAATACTATGCTTATCAACCTGTTGAGCCAGAACTCAGTGGGGATGCAGCTGTTTGGGGTCGACCGAGCAGCCCGACAATATACTACAACAAGAACTACACGACATTCACCTATGTGTTTGAAGACTCGAACCCTGCGAACCCTGATCTCACACTTCTCAGCTATCGAAACATCAGCGCAACCACCACATGCGTGAAACTTGAAATTGTGCAAGGTGGCAATGGCAGTAGTTCGATCCTCACCTTCATTGACGAGAACCGTGTACAACGGACGATCAATGTAGCTCGAGTGGGACCTGGAGCAATGACATACGTTGGCGTACTCAACTCGACCTGCGGTCCGCGTTGTACAAACATCATGGCACTGCAGAGTGCGAATGGCGACACCATTCCGACACCATCATTCTTCAGCTGCCAGAACACCATGACACCGATACATGGCATTGAACGCTATTTGATGGGCAACGCAACCGAGGCGGCATTCCAGATACCGGAGCTACAGACGCGAATGCTCGCAGGCGCCATCGGCTGGACAGGCTTCAACTTCACCATGGGAGACACATACCAGTATGCACGTTACCCAACGCAATCGTGGTGGAGTCCCAATTTCCCAGCCAACGAGACCCGGATCGCGATGAACATAATGGAGTATAGCATTGGAGCCGTGGCGTCCTTCGACTACAACGGGCCCCGAAGCAACGTGACCGGATACTATCCGATTCCAGCACAGGAGGTCGACATCCAATGGAAGTGGTCAGCGACCATCCTCGTGGTCACACCGTTTGTCCACCTGATCGCGCTGGTCTGTGTAATTGCCTGGGGCAACTCGGCCATCATTCGAGACGCGAGTTGCCTGAGCACGGCGAAGCTGCTGCGGCCGATCGTGGAGAAATTGGGCGACAGCGGATGTCTGCTGAGCGGGCAAGAAATCGCTGAAGAGTTGGAGTCAGTCCGCGTCAAATACGGCTGGAGGGAGCCCGCCTCTGCGTTGGTGTTCAGTAATGAGATCGACCAGCATTATGTCAGGCACGTTGATATCCTGGAGGAGCATGAGGGGTTTGGGGAACAAGGCTCCATGCCACAGGGGAGGTATGATGGATTGGGCGTGGAATCCGATCGAAAAGACCAGTGTTTGCGAGATTTCGATGAGCGGGCAGCTTTGCTACAGAGGCGCAGAACACGGCGATCCATGAGTCTGTGAGAGTTGATCGACTTTAGCACTTTAGATTTGTAACAATTTACTCTACTATATACTAGTACTTCATCTGGTGCTGGAGCCTGCCAAGGTCGTGGTCCATGTATACTTATCTCCTAACTCGATAGTCGGTAGTTCTGTGTGGTGAGCTAACTACAAACAATCATATTCACAGACTGTCATCAAGCGAATCAACAGGGAAGTCGTAACCTGCCCCTTGACGTCATGATATGGGCCATGGGCTTCGAATATACGAGCATTGAGTCTTTACGGGCGTTACTTACACAGGTCGTTAACATCTGTAAAGAGAATGCTGGGGTTCTGCGTTTGCCAATGATGTATCTCCAGAGGTGAGTGGTTGTTCCGGGAATGACAAATCGATATCATTATGGGATTACTCATCGTTGGTGGACACTGCCGCATCACAAACCACACACGCTAGGGGAAGGAATACTCGAGAGCCATCCTTCTCGAGTATCGGGATGTGACTTTCGTAATCCACCCACGATGGTCATTCTATGGATTATGCCATATGATCTCTAGGAATGGACCCCTCTCGATGTGCAAGTGAAAGTTCGTGAGCAGTCGTTCTTGAGTCAGCAGAGTAAAGCATACATTCAAACCTGTGTACAAGAATACTGTATACTCCTCATTTAATCTTGAAATGCCAAGTTGCTTCTCTGGCCCACTAGTCGTGTTAAAGTCATTGGCAACAGGAATATCATATCGAGGCAGAAGAATAGAAATAACATCATTCAGACACTTTCGCTGGCGAGGATGTCCCAGGCTCCCGCGTGTGACTACTGTCGACATCGGAAACGCAGATGTGATCGAGAAACACCGAGATGCTCACTATGTGTGATGTAAGCCCCGGATCCATATCAACAATCGTGTGAGTGGTTGGCTAACCTCGCCTATCAGAAAGAACAAGGAGTGCCGCTATACCGAGTATGCATGTGAACTACGCCGTACTGGTGGGACTGTGAACTGACTTGGTCATAGGCACATGCGATGGGTGTTCCCTGATCAGTCATCAATGCGAGAGGAGACACCAGACCTGGAGAGTAGTAGTCAACGTTCAAGTCAACCTTCTGGCGATGTAGTCGAATTTCCCGGCGTTTACTTTCTGGATCGAGACGTTTTCGACAAGTCCGGCGTCACCATCCCCGTCGCCAAGTTCCAACTGGACCAGAGTATTCTCACCACATTCGATCAGGCATCGGAGATATCAAGCAGATATTTCACCTGGATACATTTGTGGATGCCGATAGTTTCGAAAGCGAAATGGAAACGTATAACAGGACCTCTGGCTCGACCCAATTGTGATGTTAAATTACTGCTCTTTGCGATGAAGGTGCTTCTATGGACACCCCCTGATCAGGTAGCCTTGCGGAACCCACGACACCAAGACTACCTGCTATTGAAGCACCACCTTTCGAGGGCACAGGATGCTGGTGTCTTGAGTCTGGAATTGCTTCAGACCTGGATTCTGGTCACGATATACGAGTACTCACATGCAATCTACCCTGCCGCATATGTATCAATCGGCGTTTGTTTTCGATACAGCCTAGCTCTTGGGATAAATAAGCAGCGTCGGAATGAGATGGACACGGCTTCGACGACCAGTGACGCAACAGAGGAGAGAAGAAGGGTATGGTGGTCTGTTGTCATACTGGATCGGATGGTCTCACGATCCTCGGACGGGCCTGAACCCCGATCAGATGATTTGTTACCAGTTCTCGACCAGGCCTGGGACGACGGCAAGATTGACCATAGTGGCAGTTGTCCTGTCTCTGCACCGTCAAGCACAAATATGGGCATGCTAGCGCGACTTGCACAATCGGCTTTCTTGCTGGGAAGGGTGTATCGCTGGAAAAACCATCCCACAGGAGATGTGGATTTTGATCGGTCCGAAAAGCATCAACTTGACCGGGCATTGCGCGCCCTTCTCAACCTCACATATGAAGAAGGGGCTGTTTTTTTGATGGCAATCTGCCCACAGATAGCCCTCTGTTTCAGCGCTTTGGTATTGTTACACAGCGACGATCCCATCCCTAGATCTTCGCTAACAAGCCATGACGCCATATCCACAGTCGATGGATTGTATAAAGCAAGCGTGCAAGACGACACCACCGCTGCCATTCAGACGCTGATCTTCCTACGCCCAATCGCAACTGAATCAAACGCCAATATTCAACTGTTTTTCCGAAGACAGCCATGGTCGATTGAAACATCGTCCCCGTTACTCTTGCACTGGACCTATCTCACCGCTGTAACTTTCTTACAGATCAACAATTGTCTGCGAAAAGTTCAAGGCTCTTCGGAACTTGATGCAGCATTTCTAGAACACACCAAAGGTTTTCAAAAGGAGGCTGAACTGGGTGCAGAGTCCATGAAGAGAAAGCTGTCGCTGCTAGGGAAGCAGTGGTTGGCAGCAGATACATATCTCAAAATGATAGAAGCTCGGGAAACTGGGATGGATGATTGAATGGCTCTGGAACGGGGCTTCCATCGCGGCGGACTCTCGGATGCCATACACCGAATCCATCACAAGATGACGAGGCAGAGAGGTGCGCCACTCAGTACCAGAGTTCCTTCGATTGGCTTTGCTGTTAGACATGACGGACAACAATGTGGCTTGCGATGAAGCGGGCAGGTCGGTGAACAACTGAACTTTGTGAAGCAGCCTTGATGGTCAGACTACAGAGCCTTTTCGAAGTATCATCACAAAGGTTCCATTGGGAAGATCCACAAACGAGTGATAATAGGGGTCGCAGAATCACCGGAAAGACAAGGCTGTGACAGTGCTTCTCGATGGGGACTTCCTAAGTACACCTAGCCGTTCATATGGTCAAGTGTACAAAGTCATGCATTCCTTCCGCATGATTGAACATGGGAAAGAGTCCAACTTGGGACCGGATCCTTGCAGCCATTGACAGTATGATCGACTAGTCAGGAACAAGACCGGGGGTTGATGTAAAGGTCCTGTGGTGGGCAGTGTTTCACCAGAGTTGTGTCTGGGACTGGACCAGCGTCTAAAGTCTCTATATTTGGGGTCCAAGAAGGACGGGCAGTGGTGGGCTGAGCTGGACAAAATAATGGCTCGGTCGGATTGCTGGTCTTGCCTGTGACATGAGCATGGTCATGTCTCTATAACCAAGCAGATTCTGCATGCTGCGTCCTATGAGTAATAGAGCTGAGGGTTGAGGTGCAGTGGTGAGAGGCAAAAGAAAGATGGCAGCCTGGAGCACGGAACCTGAACCTGAACCTCGCCGATCAGTGAATCCCAAGACCCCGCCCTCGCCTATGATGCTCTTTGTCCACCTGAAACATGCTCGGGTTTAGAGTCTCTTAGGCCCGCCACAGGCCACAGTCACACCTGGAAGCCAGGAGTACAAGGCCTCGTAATCGTCCCTCAGTAACAATGGATACCTGCTCAAAGCACCGCCATCCATCCATCCTCATTCATCTGCGTCTCACCACCATCGTCCTCCTTGTTCTTCTTCCATTTCTTCCATCTTCCTCCCTCCCTCCCTCCCTCCTCATACGAGAACCCTCTCATCAATCATTCTATCAAGAATCAACCACGATCTCATTCGCCATGATTGACCACATCTTTCGCCGTGGGTTCCATACCGCCCATACTATGCATGGTATGATGGTTGATTCCGATCAGGGCGACGACAAGCCCGTTCAAGTGTCTCCCATCGCACTCCTAGTCTTGTTTGCCACGAGCTTAGTATTCGTTCTGTTCATCTTCGGAGTAAGTCCTCACGCATGATGGTTGCGTTGATTGTTTGGGCGCTGGGTGCTGACTTTGGACCATCAGATTGGATACACATACGGCCATGTCATCCCGACTCTATGCATGATTGAATCCTCCGAGACCGAGGCCTACGTGCCAGTCAGCAACATTGAATCTACCGAGCCCCCTGCCTACTCTGCCACTGCCACTCCCAAGCCTGCCCGGGGCAGCCGTCAAGATGTCGACGATGAGGCAGACATGGATGAACCCGATCTTCTCTTGGTCCGCAACAAGCCCATCACCGCATCGATCCGCCAAACCATCCTTCACCTCCGAGCCCGTGCGGGGTTCTTGTCTCGCTTCCGCGGCATGTCCATGTACCTGGTCTGGAGTTTCGTCAGTATGATCTTGATTTCCATCTTCAGTGGCGCAAGTGGCGTCCGCATCTACATTGCTTTTGCAGCCATTGTGAGCCAGACGCTTCTCGCAACGCTACACATGGCATGGATTCATATAGTCATCTCGGAACCCAGTGAGAAGAGATGGTACCAACGTATCCCGTCTTACCGAACATGGCCCAAAATTGCCCCAGCCACTGCTCTATGGGCTACCACCAACCAGGTTGTTTCGATTCTCCCAATGTTGGTCACTGGTTCATTCGGATCCCTGAAGCACATGAACAACCCAGAATATGAGCCTGATAAGAAGGATCTTTATGCTGTTGGCGCGCAAGCCTTCTTGGGCATGTTCCTCACTTTGGCGTTGTTTTTACTCCTGCAGATCCCGGCTAGTGTCACTTTGGTCCGAGTTGCAGCTTCTATGCTTCCTGAGGAGGACGAGACCATTGTGCCCTTTGATCGCACATTCGGTGGCAAGACCACACCTGCCATCGTTGGTGGCCAGGGCAAGATCGGATTGGTTGAGGCTTGGAGGTCCTTTTCCTGGGCTAGTCGAACACGCTTAGTGAGACTGATGATCAAAGTTGCTCTCATCTCAATCGCTTGCTGGGTTCTGTTCACCATGGTGTTGGTCGCTGAGGCCCACCTTCTGTTTGGTGACTCTCTTGGAGAGGTCATGAAGACAGTCCATGGGATTGGCCGTCACAATTAAGGGAAACCAGTTTGTCTCAGCTCTCGGTACACCCCGAGGGAATTGTTGAATCTTGAATACTCCATCAGAAGTGCTTGATTCCATGTCATGTGCTTGTACATTACGACCAAGGAAGATCACCTGCAAGGCACCCCAGAGAGGCAGCACTAGGCGTTTCTCTTCTTACTTTTGGCCCGGAAACAAGGGAATGAAGACCCTCGAGAGTCAACCGGCCCATAGCATAGCATAGCGTACTATATCAAATACCATCTCAGCATTGTTTCATCATTCCATTCTGTCTGGTTGTCTACGCTTCGTACGAGTGGAAAGCTGAGTGAATCCGCAATTGCCACGGCCTTTCTCACTGAATGCCGAGAAGTAGCCGATCCGAAGCAGTGGATGCTGCCAGTGAGCGCAACGAAAACGGCCCGGAGAATGATGGATCACTTTCACTGGGAGACACGGTAGCCCTTGGCACCAAGTTACCCCGAGCCTCGGCTTACGACACGCCCATGACGCCCCCCAGAACCAAATTCTCAGGCTTTGCGCGGGCACGCGGGTCCCCCATGGGTGATTTTGTCGCTGGAGCTCACTGGCACGCGGTTGACAATCAACACCCACCCACCGTTGGATTGATTCGAATTGGCTCTTGCCCTGCAGGTGCTTTTCTGCACAGTGCCGTCACAAAATCTATAGTAAACTCGGAAGTCAACTTTTTCTTCCCTTCCTCCTTGTCTGGGTAGCTATCAACTTAACGAGGTTTCTTCTCTGATCTCTGGCTTGTGCAATATCGCACTCCTCTCTACCAAAACATCCCCTTCAACACAATCTACCACACAAGCTTACAGACCATGATATCACCTCGCTGAACGACCTTGCTCATCGTCGTCTAACTACTGAGCACCCCTGCTCCTGCCCCTCCCACAAGCCTCTGGGCGGAAGATCATTTCATTCTGTTTCCTCCGCCGGCCCGCTCTTGGGGTGTGTACCAGAGAAAGAGAAAAAGGAAGAGAACATAACAAGTTTATCTTTCCTCGCCTAAGCACGAAACCGTCACTGCCACTGTGGAAAGAGAGAGATAACGCTGTCACGACTTTCTCTGACCAAGTTCGGCCAACTCTACTTTATTCCCTAGCAATACGTGCCTCGCTATGGCACCTACCATACCAACCTCGGTGGATCAGCTACCCTCGACGACAGAAGTCAAAGAGCAGGTCAAAGAGAAAGCGAAAGGTGCTGCCTCAGGACTAAGATCCTTGGCCGCCGGTGGTGTTGGCGGCATCTGCGCTGTCATTGTCGGCCACCCTTTCGATCTGGTCAAGGTTCGTTTACAAACGGCCGAGAAGGGTGTATACACAGGCGCCATCGATGTCGTGAAGAGAACGATAGCCCGTGAGGGTCTCGCTCGGGGTCTCTATGCCGGTGTTTCTGCTCCACTCGTCGGTGTCACTCCCATGTTCGCCGTAAGCTTCTGGGGTTATGACATGGGCAAAAGACTCGTGGACAACTTCTCGACTGTCCCAATCAAGAATAACACGCCTCAGTACAGTATCGGTCAAATCAGTGCTGCTGGCTTCTTCTCCGCTATTCCCATGACTCTCATCACTGCGCCATTTGAGCGAGTCAAGGTTCTTCTCCAAATCCAAGGCCAGAAACAGCTCGCTCCCGGCGAGAAACCAAAATACAGTGGCGGTGTCGATGTTGTGAGACAGCTGTACAAGGAAGGCGGTGTCCGCTCCGTCTTCCGGGGCAGCGCCATGACGCTCGCGCGTGACGGACCGGGTTCCGCAGCTTATTTCGCCGTCTACGAATACGTCAAACGCAGCCTGAGCCCCAAGGACGCCGAAGGCAATGCAACCGGCGAGCTCAGCCTTCCCGCCGTCATGACCGCCGGCGGTGCTGCAGGCATCGCCATGTGGATCCCCGTCTTCCCGGTTGACACCATCAAATCGCGGTTACAATCTGCCGAAGGACGGCCGACGATCAGTGGCACCATCCGCGGAGTCTACAGGAACGGCGGCATCAAGGCCTTCTTCCCCGGATTCGGTCCAGCTTTGGCGCGAGCCGTTCCTGCCAATGCCGCTACCTTCTTGGGCGTCGAATTGGCCCATAAAGCTATGAACAAGGCATTCGGATGAAGGAACGAGGTTTGCTGAACAAGCTCTTTCTCAGACGTTCTATATATCTTCGTCTACCTATTGCGCGTGGTGTTTCGGACGGTCACTTAGCATGGGGAGCACATAGATAGAACAACGTTCATGTTTTCCCTTAGGTAGCATACGTACAGATACCAGGTTTTGACGGTTGATGCTTACCCCGTAAATACATTTCGTTCAGATATTGTCCTAGTACTCATATCCCCGTCGAAGTGTGACTGAACACGTGCTTCTGCCCCATGGGTGGCCTCTTAATATGTCTCTTTGTTCTATCGCTGTTGCTACCGACCGGTGATGCTATCCTCCGTCGGCCACTGGCAGTGAGACTTAACCGCCAAGGCATTAGAAATCATAACCAGAAGGGCATCTCCGGAACGCGGCGCACGTCCTGAGATGTGTGAGACTCGTGTACATGGAGGTCCATAGTTTGATATACAGTGATGCCAGGTGCAATCTCCAGGGGCCGAGCCTTGCCCATCCAGACTGTGGGTGAGCAGCGTAAGAGTTGACGACAGCAGTGGCTCAGCCTCCTCCCACGGAACACCTCCACTAAAATCATCTTCACGCAAAATTGCTCGACAAGTGTTTGACTTTCCTGCTCCCACCCGAGCCCGCAGCAGTGCTGAGAGGACTTGCTGTAGGAGGCATCTTAGTCTCCTCACTCGGCCTCATTGCCGAACCTGATAGTCTCCTTCGGCCCTTCATTCTAGCCCACAACGCATTACGATTCATGATGAGCAGCCAGGCGAGGAAGACCGAGATCGTCGTCGGGATCGTGAAAGCCCAGTACACCCAGAAGCGGCTGCTGATGACCGTGGGCTGGTCCCAGTGCAGCGACGGCACGGAGAACAGTGCAGCCCAGAAAGTCGCGGGCAGGAATCCCATTGTCATCACTGCGATCGTCTTCATGCTCGTGCTGTCGTGCATTGTGGAACGCGCGATTGAAATGGTTGTTTGTGCGTCGCCACGGGCGAGGAGGTTGAATATCTGAACGCGTGTTAGATGCTTGAGATTAAGTCGCGAAGGAGAGGGAATAATGAGGTGCGTACCACCGTGAGTTGGTTTTCTGCCCTTTGCTTGATATAGTTGACGTAGTTGAATCTCTGTTTCAACTGTGGTTCGAGAAGCTTCGCGATACGTCGGATCTCGACATCGCGCTTCACAACGCCGTTAATTCCAGCCAGAGCCGTTGGCAATTCGAAGCTCAATATTGCGTCCAGCATCATCTCCGAGCTCTGCAAGTGCTGCATCATGTCCGCCAGCCCGACGAGGACGCTGCTAGCTAACCGGGAGTGGTCCGACAGCTGATTGAGCGCTTCTTCGGCGTCCAGGATTGGAGACAAGGGCTTGTCGATGTGGAAATGGCTGAATCCCGTGTATTTCTCCGCACGTCCTATGCGTTTATGCTGGATCTTCAGAAATCGATCGATATAAGCGATCTTCTCCAGTGCAAACATCAAGGCGAGATAGAGCGGATGCCCTGAAAGACCACTGTATCGCTTCAGATGCGAATGTACCGTGGGATAAGCGGCAGGCCCTCCAGGGCTGTCTCGCGACAGAAGAACCCCATCCGTAGAGAGGGTCTTGGTGTCGTATGTCCACATTATGAAGTGTGCTTGACAGTTGGCATGGAATTTGAGGAAGCGGTCATGATCTCCAGAAGGAGAATCTATGCATGGGAGCTGGAAGAATCCGGGGACATTCCATTGTGCCATGTACATCATGTACGGTTCGAGATTGAATGACCGCCATGTATGTTGGAATACAGAGGAGGCAGAAGTGACTCCACGGTCTTGGTGATAGTACAGGTGTACAATTCTGGTAGTTGTCGAGTTTGCGTTCGTAGGCTTGGGACACTCGATGAAATTTCGTAACGCCGCATCGTCGAATGTCTTGTCCTCGAGTTTGGTGTCTTTGTCATTGATCAGAGAGGACCTGATGTCAAGGACGTGGTATTGGCCGTCAGTTGGTTCCTTGCAGAGAAGGTTCTGGAGTAGTTGTTCGGCATCGGCTCTGAATGTGTCCATATGGTGTTATCTATAAGGTCTATTATGACTTATATCTGTGCGGAGGTACGTTAATTCAAATCTGAATATGATTAATATTGACAATCAGGCAGCAATGCCGTACAGAGAGTGGTAGAATGGAATCACGAGGCTGGACTTTTGGCCCCTCTTAGCCACCCCCCATGTCCTTGGTTAGTTAGCTGACCAGTGAGGCATTTGACCATGAAAACCCTGGACATTACGCAGGAAATCTTTTAGGAGGCATGGACCGGCTTGACTGTCATGATATTCAAGAGGAATGGTGTTTAGCCATGTGAAGGACGAGCTTATTCACTACATGGAAGGGTCGGGGAAGCATTACTCATAGAATAGACGCATACTTGGTGGGTGCCTGGTCTTTGTAACATCATCATGATCACCAGGGTCGACATTGAACATGATCAGAGACTGTCTCCAAGACTTTTGAACTCGCCTTGTCAATGCTGAGTGGACATTGGGAGTTCAGAGGGAAGACATGTCTTTCATGGCCTCTACCGCTTGCTCACATTGCCAGACATGCCACTTTAAGGCCGGATAAACTAGAACGGCTAGGAGCGTAGATTGTTAAAGCGGCCTCCTAGTGTCATCCTTGGATTGTCCCTTCCACTCCGCATATTACCCCCGACTCCCTGCGTGCTCTCGGTGGGCGTGGAGGTGGTCCGTCATCGCTCTCAATCCCTCTTTTTGGAGTCTCTTGCTAGTTTGCACATTGCCGGCTGATAAAATGGTTCTGTCCTTCATTCTCGTCCAAAATCGCCAGGGTAAGACTCGTCTCGCCAAGTGGTACGCTCCTTACACGGATGAGGAGAAGGTCAAATTGAAGGGCGAGGTAAGGAATACATTACTTTGTAGATGGACGATGATCATCCTGACGCATACCACAGGTCCATCGCCTCATTGCGCCTCGTGATCAGAAGTACCAATCCAACTTTGTCGAATTCCGGAGTGCGCCTTCATCTTCCTCATCCGGTGCCAACTCGTCTCACAATCAACCTCTCGTGCGCCAGAATTTATCCTCCACCAAAATAGTCTACCGGAGGTACGCGGGCTTATTCTTCTGTGTATGTGTCGATGCCAATGACAACGAGCTGGCATATCTCGAGGCCATACATTTCTTCGTTGAGGTTCTCGATCAATTCTTTGGCAATGTCTGTGAGCTGGACTTGGTATTTAACTTTTACAAAGTCTATGCGATATTAGATGAGGTGTTCCTCGCGGGAGAGATCGAAGAGACAAGCAAGCAAGTCGTCTTGACGCGGTTGGAACATCTGGACAAATTGGAGTGACCGACCAACTGGGACACACCGGCCAAACAAATTACCACTAGCCATCATGGAGGGTATACGGTCAGTAATGACCGTCATCCATCAAGAAGGGGTTTCTCTTCTGATATTCGTGCAGACTCTGCTGCACTGCTGCCGGATGGCTCAACAATCTGCAGGAAAATTATCTTTTCGGCATACACACACCGATATATGGCATTCAAGCAAGCTGAGCATCTCATTTGTAAAGAGGACGACTTTCATGATACTTCCGGGGGGGGGGGATAACTGCCTCACAGCTCGTCCACGCTTGGTGAATGTCCTGGAGGAGAAATCCGAGAAAAATCTCTCCTCATGCGCCAACGGCACTGTTTCACGATATCAGCAACAAGAGTGTGTTGTATCTCATGGAATGGTAGACGACACATTTGCGCCAGTCTGAATCAACCTCTTTCTCACTCCAGCTGGTCAGCCCCGTACATCTCAGCTGGAGCACAGCACCACTACATGAACAAGGACATGTTTCGAGCCACCTGGATTCTAGGCATTGCTATCCTGAATTGAATGAGGACCTAGCTTGGGTGAGAGATGACTCTCCGAGCATGCTTTCCCGCCTCCGTTGTCTCGCCATGGAAGGTTGTGGCACGAGTCTTGAACAACAGACACAGCATATCACGCACACTGTCATCTTCAAGTCATTGAGCGGTTGTGCAGCTTCAGACCTTGGGTTGCGAAGGAATTGATTATCATAGCACAAAGTCACAGCAGAGTGGTATCTGACGCCTTAGTATTACATAGTCACAGTATCAGCAATGATCCTCAACCTTTCATCACCACATACCGCCTTTCGATTCTCATGATTTATATTGATATGGGTCGTATCTCATGGGAAGAACAGAACTACTGTGTCAACCACTCACTCATTTCAGCGCAGCAAATCTCTTCGCCAGATCATCCACCGTAGGTACCTTCCCAGGCACAGCGCCACCTCCTGACGCTGCCGAGCCCTTCCCTTTTGCCGCCGCCGCTCCCACCGTACCCACCGGTTTTGACTTGTTATCATTCTTGCCCACCACTCCTCCACCGGGTAGTTTGACCTTGGGGCTAGGGTTGTCTGAGCGCGCACCGGGCGGGGCAACCGAGACAGGGCTCTTCGCACCGAGGCCTGCCGGCGGCGTGGCATTCTGCAACGATCCAATATCGATTTTATTGGGCTTTGACGGCGTCGAAGGAGCCGCGCCGTCCGCCGGGATAGGTGCTTCTTTTGACCCTCCGCCCATTCCGTCGTCGTCGTCGTCACCTTGCTCGCCGTCCACTTCCTTCCCCAGCTCATCGACCTCCTCGCGATGCGGCGGCCAATTCACGCCGTATGTTCTCGCGATCTCCTCAAGATACGCCTGCACCAACCTTTCTCCGGGCGGATCAACCCTCAGTTTATCCACAACACGCGCAGGCACACAATTGTCGACGTTATCGTTAGCACGAACGGAGAACTCCTTGCCAAAGCGATCGATCAGCATATTCCGCACGATCGCCAACTCGCGCACGTCTCTTGCCAGCCGCGGCGCCGCGTAGATGATACTGGCAGCGGCCTCCTCGAGGCCCGTCGACGAATCGTCCGCAGCACCGGCACTCAACGTGCCGTCCTTGATGTTCTTGTCGCGCACGTCCAGCAGGCCGGCTCGCGCCAGAAGTAGTTCTGTGTACAGCTCCAGGATTTCCATCAGCTCGACCGTGATGTCTGTGTGGATGATGTTCTCGACGCGGATGCGTGCCGAGGCCTCGCGGGACTGGGAGAGCAGTTCGGCCATCTCGCGTCGTGCGCTGATCGAGAGCGCCGTGTCTTTTTTCTGTGCATTGCGGAGCCGTGGGATGAGGAGCCGGAGTGTGGATTTTAGTTTTACCTGTGGCAGGGGTGAGATCATGGGGTCAAACAGAGCCGGGGGAAGAAAGAGAGCAAGATTCGTAGCAAGTAAATGGGAATAACAGGGCTGCCTACTGTCTGAGGAGAAGCTGATGGCATGGTCGGTCGTGATGTGGGGGTGTTGGAAGTTGCGGAAGTAAGTGTGTTTGGCGTCAAATGGAGATGATGTATCGAGAGTGTGGTATGGAGCGGTAACGAGATCTTAATACCTTCGGATTCTATGATAAAGACGAGTGGCTGTTAGTTAGTTGGTATTCCAGAATTGAAGGCTGAGATGGTGAACGGAGTAACATGGAAGTGGGGTGGAGTTGATTCTGCACAACTTGAAGGTGAAAATGAGGGGAGACACATGCCGCCAGCGCCCGGCGGGGTGGCAAGGTGGACGCCTGGACTCAGCCTTGGGCGGTTTCGGGTGCTAAACAAATAGCCTATAGAAAGTCTCTGCCCCTAATGATAACCAGACGAGGCTTTCAACACCGGGCATTTGTCTGTTTGTCAGGGCATTATTGCACGCAGGGCAGGCACCTGATACAACACCAGGAAACCTACTTGGGGAAACCCAACGACGAAAAATCAATCATCAACCTCGGATTAAAAATTCAGACTATATACTGTATATGTGTAGATATGTATGTACCATTCCATCCAACCTCTTCTCTCGAGTGAGAACAATAAAATATTACAAGAATATTCCTGAAAGCCTTCACACTTGCTCCCTTCTCACTTGTGGTCGGTTGCACTGCTCTCTCCAAATCTCATACTATCTCATCAAAACCATCTGTGAAGGTCACACTCAGCTGTTCAAGTAAAAATCTCCCATCTCGTCTTTCCCCCTTTCCTCCATCAAACCACCCATCGCGACTGGATTAAGTAGTCCAAAAGATCAAAACGTGGGCATCGTCAGAAAGATATGAATAGGCGTTGTCCTCTCTTTCGCTTCTCAAAAAAAATTCCAACAGGTAACAAACAGCAAGCAAAATCACACCATTGGAACACGCTCATGTACATTGGGGAAAGGGCTGAAAGTTCAACATCCCTGGTAGATGCAACCTACCGAGAGAAGGTGGACTGATCTCACCATCTCCCGGTATATCTCGGTAAAAAGCAGTCGTTTACTGTCCGGCTAAAGCGTCCAGCCATTGCCAGAATGAACCAAGATCGGTATTGAAAGTGTTTTTGTAAATGTGTTTGCAAAAGAGAAGGTAAATTTCAGAGGGTTTATTGAGGAGGCTTCTCTAGACCCGGAGAAATGGTCGAACCATATAAATATATGAACGAATGGAAGAAAAATGGCTTCGGAACTTTCGTGTCTGCATGGCCTGCTGCGCTCTGTGGGTATCGAACTCGGGAAATAAAACGCTCCGCCGTCAAGGCTACTGGTGATGTGTTGGGCATAGAACAAGGGCTACGTTGATAAGAGGAGGCATAGTGATAGAACTGATGCGACACTCCAAAGGGAGGCTTGCATTAGCGATGCTGTTCCAGTCGCCGTTTTCACTGACGGTTGAGGCCCGGTCTTTGATGCTGCTGCTGTGGGTTGTGCCTCGCCTGCACCGGTCTGAGCAGCGGTTTGCGTGGCTGTCGCTGCAGTTGAGTAGTCGAAGAGCGAGTAGTATTGAGATGGTCTCGGCGACGGAGAATAGGCGGTTGATGTGTCATTATCCCAGCCTGACCAGGTGAACGAACTGGATTTGGCTGAAGAGGAGGACCATGCCGTCGTGGTGACCGAACTGGTTGTTGCATCATCCGAGCTTGTAGTACTCGATGCACTCGACGTTGAAGCCGCAGCACTGGTTGATTGATAGAACTGACCTCCACCGTGGTTACCTGAAGTGCCACTTGAGCCAGTCGAAGGCCCAGACCCGCTGTCACCACCGGTGTTGAACACAACAAAGTTGGCTGTTGATCCTTTGTTGACTGTCACCACGCAGAATGCACCGCCACCTGCACCGTTGCTGGCACTTCCCATCATTTCATTGACTTTATTTTGGCTAGGATCAATGCCACAAGGAAGGCCATTACAACCTCCGTTCGGGCACTCAATTCTCACACCCCAATTCGGGACTTCGTTCCGGAAAGGTGTCGTTGGCTCCAGGTAGATTGGATTCCATCCCAATTTGATGAAAGTCTCCCCCGATGTATCGACATTAGCGCCTGCAACATAGGGCGACCAGTTGCCGACGTCCTTTGCCGTCGTCCCCCAAACACAAGCTTCCTCGGGACCTATTCCAGGTCCGTTTATGTAGTAATGTGCTGCGGTAGAACACCAATAACTTGGATCTGGAACAGCGAGACTGGCTGTGTCGTAAACCGGAGTGGGTATTAACATTGCTTCGTTTCCTGGAAGCACGGTCTGACAGAACGAAACGACGCCTCCCGCCTTGTTGACGACATTGATGTTATTCGATGTTGGCTGACAATATGGCTTGTTGGGAAAGGGTTTCTGCACGTTGCCATCCGAGTCACAGAACAATCCACCGTTCTATCAGCTGTTAGTAAAGTGTCCACAACGACGGAATGAGTAACAGACCATCGACTTTGGATATGAGTAGCTGGTGGCACTGGGATCCCATTGGACCGACACTTGACCCGGAGGGCAAGCATAGGGCATGTAGCTGCCTGGTTTTGGTGGCTGATCAGGGCTCATAGCCCAACCAGCATTCTGTTGACCTGGCGTTACTGGAACCAAACCAGCATCATAGGGAAATGCGCATTGTCCTCCACGTTTCTCGACTTTCGGTGCTGTTGTTTCAGGGATCGCCCTTATTTCCACACCCACCTCCCCATCCTCTGCTGTTGATCTAGCGTTGATCTCTCGAGTCGAGCGGTGTCTCTTGTGAAGCGCATTGAGGTGATCATGTGTTGCGTGCTTTGCGCTCACGATTGAGCTGAGTAGAAGCAGAAGCGCACTGGCGCTCGAGGTGATGGTTCGTTTCCGCATTGCTATAACAGGTTCGTGTTATAAGGAGTGCTGATACATAAACTCTGGACTGCAATGTGCTGTATGTTGTTTTTGTTGCGCTTTCTGACGCGGGGAGTAAGCTCCCGAATGAATGACTAGGGTGAGTTCGTTGTGGTAAAGAACGTGGGTGCTCTCAGAGCTTAGCGACAGTGACAATCGACGACGATCAGTTCCAGCGACGACGGAAAACAAACTTCGAGCAAGACAGCAAGGCAAAGGGCCTACATGTAAAACGAAAGACAGAGATGGATCGTGTCGAGAGCAGAAACAAGTAAAGGAGATGCAGATCTAGCTTAGGCGGAGGGCCTGTGCAAATTGGCTGTGACGAAGTCGCAAGACCAACAGAAGCCACCCTCGAGCGATGCAAGGCTGGTGCATTGCTGATCCATAATAGTCCACTGTTTATCTTGCAAATGGAGACAAGTCAGGGATGTCGGCCTTGATCGCGTCAAGACCCGACCCGCTTGGCGAGGGTCAAATTTCGCTTAGCCAATCACAAATTCTCCCGACTTGAGCTTGATACTTGAGCTTGTTGAGCAATATCCGAAATGGTCGAATCACGACCTTCGCCTCTTGGATTGTGGGTCTTGCATATCTCGCCAACCGCGCCTGGTTGAAGAGGCAACTTAACATTCGCTTCTCGCAAAGGGTGGAATGGTGCGATGCTCCAGTTGAGCCGCCAGATAGACTGTGGACCTCTGGGACGGAAATCTATGCAATGTTCCAGATTCTGATGATCCGACCACACGTTTTTTGCAGACGCCAGGAGTCATTTGCTGCTTGTTGACGAGTATACTGAACAGATGCCATATAACCATGAACCACGTTTGAGGGTGATACCTTGGATGGAGACACGGGCCTTGGGTGCTGAAGCCAGCCAAGGTTTCATCGGCCCCAGGTCTCTGAAGGATATCTGGCCGCATGTTTAGCTCATCTTGTTGGGGTAACGCCTTTGAACTAGACTAGAGCCCAAGCCATGCCGAGACTCCGTGAGAGTGATTTTGCCAGAGCACAATCACATGCAGTACGAGTAGTACTAGACTTGTCAAAATGTCACAGCTTTCTGATTATCACGCGACCTCTTTGGCCGTAGGCGGACAGTTGAAGCAAAAGTCGACGAAGATGATATCTATAATCGTATATTCTTGGGAAAGATCTGTATGGATGATCTGCCGACTGTTGACATGATGCCGCAAATCTGGCATGTTTGGCAGGAACCACGCGAAATGGAATTGATTGACATCTTCAAGTTGGGTGGAAGCATCTCTCACCAACGGGAGATTTTGCTCTTTGATTGCATTTCTTGGCAATAACATTCTATCACGTGACATATCTGGTCAGGATTCTGGAACATGCTCCCTTTTCTCACGAAAAACCCTGAAGATCAAATGTCCCACCCAGCCATCTACACGCTAATCATCCACCAGTTTGGAGGGTTTGCAACAACGGGCTCCATACCAAATCGTTCTCAAATCCCCGCCAACCCCAGCAGATACAATAATGCTTCGCTAATAGGACGAACTCCTCCACTTCATCCATCCATTCCAACCCCTCAATCCTCTCCTTTTCCTCACTGTGAATCCACTTGTGCCAGATCGTGTCAATGTCGGCTGCTTCTGCTCCAGCTATTGGCTCCTCTGAGGTTGCGATGAAGCCGTGATCTCTCAGTCGTTGTCGTTGCTCCTCCAGTCCCGAGTATTTCTCGAGGGTCTGCAGTTGAATTCCCCTTTCCAAAAGATTCCTCACCATCGTCTTCCCGAATGGGTCAAAGGGCCGGATGGGTTCGTAGATTACAATGGCCAAAGACGTGCTTGGTGGAAAGGTTTGATTGAAGTACTCCAGAGCATTGTCCGCATCTTCTGGAGGCAGATAGATGAGACAGCATTCGGAGATGATGAGCGTCGATAGTGCTGTGTCGATTCCTGTGAGTTTTATTCCTTCCTTTCGCAAACCACGAAGATCTTGCGCATGGATGGAGTAATCCGGCGAGGATAATGCCGTTTGCTCCTGAGATACTTGGACATCAGCAGCATGAAAATCCAAGTCACATAATGCCTTGCCTTCCTGAGAAAAGAGTGGACCCCGTAATTGGGCGATCTTGCGTTGTGTGTTTGCCGCAAAATCAATTTCATGGTAGGCCAGATCAAGACTCTGATTCCTCTGCTTCAACCGGAAATACCTGGTATCGCTGCCAGCTCCGAGAGAAATGATTTGTTTGCGTCCCGGTGGTTTCGACGATAGGAAAGTGTCGACAATTCTGTCAATGCCCGTCGTTCTCACATAAGTCCCTGACAACGTCAGATGAATTCACCGCATCACCATTCCCCAGGAAGTTCCTTACCTCGATTCATCAAGGGCAATCTTCTCTGGACGCCATCTCCCGTTGTGAGGAGTCTGGCGAAGGGATCTTGGAGATATCCAGCCTCAATGGCACTCAATCGAGAAGTTGCGGCATCGTTATCCGTGTTTCGCACCACTTGGTCATGATCGATTTGTTTACGACCTGCGCCTCCAGCAGCACGATCTGCCAATCCGCGACCTCTTCCTCGCAGGCCACCTCTTCGCAGAGAATTCAGATTGGGTATCTGTGGTGCCGACATCGTAATCAGTGAGACGGTTTGTTGAAGTGTGGCCTAGATTGAAGCCTGGTCCATGCAAGGTGAGGTCATGCGTGCCAAGGTTTCGGAAATCTCCTCGCGACTCACCCCGTTTGGGTTTGAGGGTCTAATATAAAGTTGGCCCTTGTGTAGTCTTCAGGGAGAAAAACTTAAACCTACACAAGTCCGATTAACCACTTCTCACGACTTCCTGCTTATTGATTTAGGACAGGAAGGATCGTAATTGTGGAGGTATAAAGACTAAAGTAAACTTTGTATTCATTGACCTAGTGAATGACTTGGAGAGTATCTAAAGAGAGAGTCTTTTTCATGCGCTACATGACGCTGTACACCAACAGGAACCTTGGTTCTCTAATTCGCCCCATTCAGTCTCCAGCATTGCGTCTCGCTTCGCAGGAACAGGATAGCTCTCTACCCACTAAACCCGTATTTCTTTGAGCTTTGCGACAACCTGATGATAGAACTCGGTCTGGAGCCGTGCGGCTATGACAGGATCGCTTTCATCATCCATCTCATTTAGTCCAAAGGCCTGGCGCCCAATTAAACAAGTCTTGACGGCGTCATACATGAGTTGACCTGCGTTGGTCAAGACATTGTTCAGAATTTGTCGCTGCTGAAGCAACAGGCTCCGGACGGGATAGGTGTCTTTCAGCTGACACGACTCCAGCCTCAGCTCCAGGAGCGCATCGATGGGCTTCCAGTAAATAATCTCCAGCAGTACGATCCCCAAACTATAATAATCATAACTCTTCCTGAACATGCCGATGCACGCGCTTGCTGAGGCGGCCTGAATCTCGGGGTGACGATATATATCATGAGCAGGATTTTCCGGCCCTGCTGCTGACAGCTCATGCTGGTCTAATGGCCGAGCCAGATCGAACCCGGACAGAAAAGGTTTGTCCAAGTCGAAAACATGATAGCATTGATCCCAGGGATGGTCCACATCAGCCCGAACTTTCTCATCCGTCGCGAAGAAAAGGATATTGTAGCTTCGGAGCGCTTTGTGTAGCCAGTTGACGGCATGCAAACGTTCGATGTGTTCAGCTACCGCGACAGCCAGTCTCACGCGCTGCGTGAGACTCGGTGTGCACAATGTTCTATCGCCGCGTTGATTCCGACGTAAAAATTCCAGGAGGGAGACAGGTGGCAAGCTGGGATTACAGTTTCTCGGTTTCTCGAACACGATGCCGCACCGCCGCGGGCTCGCATCCGATGATTTCACGACAGTCCGGTCGTAGAAAAAGCCAAGACAACTGGCGGCACGAAAGAGCTCAGAGCTTTTGCTCTGGCGAAGCATGGCTACAAGGGCTGTCATGCGATTGTGGGTGGTCATTTCCAGCCCACCCTTTGGTGGGCCGGGCATGCTGTGCCTATAATATCCATTTGAGGTTGTTGTGGAAGGCTGCTGTCGACTTTGCAGCCTCCATTCTATCCAAACATGTTTTGGCTCTGTACGTACGCCACCGCGGTAGAAAGTCGCCTCAGTTCTGGGATCCTCAAACCCACAGTCTGCTGACAAGCCGGGATCGTGAAGTTCAAAATGACCCTGGCTGAGCTCGGCCGAAGCGATATCGCTTGCGATATCCCTCAAGCCCAAGCCTTTGGCAAATGATTCTGTGAGCTGCCCATTCTCGACGGCAAGGTTAAAGGCCTTTGTCCTGGCCAGGGATGCAAAAGTGCTTCTCAAAGACACCACTCCTGCACCGTCACGAGTATCAGGAGAACTTCGAGTCTGAGACGCAGTAATGAGATGATTCGATGAGTCTTCAGCTCCTAGCGGCGATGGAGGGTCCTGGAGAGTCTCTGCTTGGAATAAGCTGAAAAGCTGACCCATGCTGGAGCTTAGCTGCATTATCCCATAGTTTGTCCGGGTCTGCAGATCGAGCAATCTTCCCAGCTGCCTCCTATCCAGCAGCTCCATCAAAAAGTCATTCAGGAACGCTAGCTTGCACAAAAGCCTGTCAAGTTTATCCTTGTCGCAAATGACCCAGCGCAAGCGCCTGGGAAACTTCCTCGTATCATCAATGTAGGACAGAGCTCTTCGCATAAGGAAGTGGGAATGTGAAAAGTGCTTCTGGCGCGAGGGATCATGGTCCTTGGCCTCTTCGGAGACATGTTCCACTTGCTCCTCTAGCTCCACCAAACTTGGCTTTGAAACGGCTGCTAGCTGCTCGTCGTACCGGCCAAACTTGAGAAGGAGGTCGTACTGCTGCTTCAGAACCTCCAGAAGCACCTTTTCGGACGCCCTTCCAATGGACAAGCTTCCTTCATCTTCAGATACTTCGACAAAAAACCCCCAATCGAGGAGCCGCGCTTGCTCGATTTCAAGCCGCAAGCGGATATACTGATATTCACCAGGCAAATTAGCGGCCTCAGAGAGAAGTTGGTAACCTGAATACCTTGTCAGCCTTACGGTGTCCAGTCCTGTCACTTTCGAGTGCAAAGTAGTCCGCCTACCTTTGACACATCCGGCAAACAGCTGAAACGTCAAAGAGACGGCAGCCAGAGCCATGTCTGCCATTTCGTTCTATTCCGTGTCAAAAGCCTCCAACTGTAGCGACAAGACGATGAGGAAGGGGATCTATGACGATAAGTTTATGGAAAGATCAAATGTACACCAGTTAGCCTTGCCGGGGCTGGAGGCAGTGAACACGAGAACATGCGAGCTAACAACGCGTAGGAAGTCGGCAGCCACGCATAGCTGCAACCATGTACTAGTGGAGCTTGGGTGTTTCCGCTAGTATCTCCTCCAGAGGAACACGAGAAATTGGGCACAAACTTTGGGATAGCCTCGAGGTGACGAGACAGCCAGCAGGTCAGCCTTTACGCGCCCTGAACGTGGCTGTGTACGCCCACTATGCAACAACAAGAGATGTCACATGAAGATTCAGCCCAGAGAAGAGGCAGTCAGTCCAATGGCAATTGACACCCGTCCAAAACGCCGCTGATTTCCTCAGTCAGGCCAGGCCGTTCCAGGAAACGTCCAGGGCAGTGCGGAGGACTCGGGGCGAAGGTAGCATCTGGCCTGAACGGTATCCGACCAACAATCACGTGCTAGATGTCTAGGCAAAACGAGCTCCCTATCGTCTGAGAATCCGTCCGACAAAGACACTGCACAGAGCAAAAGCTGTGAAACCACACCATCGACATGGTAGGATCGTCGTCAACTAGCGATGGGCGGACAGGATCGGATAGCTTGAACATCTCGGTGCAATCCTCCTTGGACAGCCTCGAGGACATGTCCAAGGCTGTGGTATTCTTTCGCAAAGATCGTAGCGAGTGCCATCCACACAAGTTCACGTCTGAATACCTTTCCGAAGATATGCTGGGTAGGGGGACCTACGGGGATGTGTACAAAGTCAGATGCCTGGTGTGCCGCCGAGTAAGTCTATTCGATTTTCGTTGGTCTCGACTTCGCCAGACTGATCATGACCGCACAGAATTATGCCAGAAAGGTCATCCGGTTCGCTCACAAAACCCTGCAAGCGGTTCGTGACAAACACATCAAGGACACTGACTTAGAGCTCCGATGCTACATGACTCTGGATCATCCCCACATCCTAGACTATGTTCATCACGAGTTGAACGATACCAAAATGCTGATTTACACCGAACACTGCCAGTTCGGCGATCTTAGTGCCTTGCTACGCGAGATCAAAGAGTAAGGCCAGCAATTAAACTAGTGTCGATAAAATGTCCTGACAGCTTTAGACCCTGTGGGACAGACTTCGCCTGGCAAATCCTCGAGGGTCTCGCATCTGCCCTAGCGAGATGCCACTCCGGGCTGAAGGCGTCTCGGAAGGATTGCCTTGTGCATGAGTACACTGAATTTGAACCCGAATGGCATCCTATTCTACATCGCGACATCAAGCCAGGAAACGGTACGCGTTTGGCCGTTGACCACCCATCTACTCTTCATTCCTGTTCCCCATTTGTTAACATCATCATTGCTAGTTCTCCTGGCCGCATGTCAGCAACAAGACCTGTTTGGCCCAAGCGAAGCCTACAGTGGAGAATTTGTGACGAAGCTCGGAGACTTTGGAACATCGTTCAAACTTGAGAAGGGCGGCAAATCCCCTTCCACACAACGAGTTGGAACCAGAGACTTCTGGGCTCCGGTAAGCTCGACAAACGTGCCAGCCAGATATAAGATGCAAGATTGACCACTTTCCAGGAAATTGTCGAAGAACAGAAACTCATGGGCTGTCGAATCACGAAATGGTCCGCAAAATCTGATATTTGGGGTGTTGGCGCTGTGCTGCATTGCATTCTGGCAGGCTTCGTCCCACCAGCAGATCAACCAACATCGATACCAGAGCGGATTAACTTAATCAGGCCCCAGGTGTCGCCCGAGCCTGGGCCTTTCTTGGATTTGCTCCTTCATGTCGTCAGTGAATGCCTAGATCCACTTGAAGACGGCCGGTATCGACCGTCTGCCCTCCAGCTTCTCGCTGTTGCGATCAAGTCAGACACTTCGCATAACGGCCTGCGACGAAGCGAGAGCTTTTGGCAAGTCTTGTTGACCACTGGCGCCGAAAATGCTGCTTTAGTTACCACCCACTTTGTGACTAAACACTTGCCATTGCTGGCAAATGCACAGACAGTCTTCAGTCCCAAGGAAATCGCGCTCATTATGGCAGTCGTATACTTGTACTGTCCACACCTAATCATGACAGCCCACTCTCGGCTTTGCCAGAGCTTCCAAGAGGATCCTCGGGGAGGCACAGCGTACCACGCACTTACGTATCTTGAAGCTCAGGATGGCGGCGAGGAAGCTGTGCGCCTCCAGCTTGAGCGTCTAAGATGGCCGTTCACGAAAGAGATGCTGCCCATGGCGGTTCGGCGGAACAAGTCCGGCCTCCTCCCAAGCAACCTGGCAGCATGGGGAGGCAATATTGCTCTGTGCACACGGCTGACAGAGATTGAGTGCGTGATAAGCTCCGCCCTACAACCGTGCAACACAAGGGAAAGCTTTTGCTAACTTTTTTTCACCCCTCGCAGGGAACAATCGCGATTGCTAATCTCGCCGCTCAAATCTCAACGCACGCAGCTTGAGGTGCACGCGACCGCAGAATTCGACACCATGTTCGAAATGCTTGCGTATAGCGTGCAGCAGAGCTTCAATATCCCCAGGGAACACGCGTCGGCCGTGGTAATCGAGACCGCCGAGAGGAGATATTCCAATATATTCCGAAAACTGGTCACACTCAGCGTCGATCTCAACGTCCGCGGCGACCGTGGACAGATGCCGCTCCACATCTTTGCCCATCACGGTGACTGCTCTATGATAACGTTTCTGCTGGCGCAGGGAGCGGCGATCGATGCCAAGGACAAGCAAGGGCGGACGCCCTTGCACTGGGCCGCGTGGGCTGGCCAGGCAGATGCTGTAGGTGTGCTTCTGTCGAGGAAAGCACACAAGGACGCCACAGACCGCGAAGGCCGGACCGCCCTCTATGGTGCTGCGGGAGGCTGCTATGTGGACGTTGTCCGTCTGTTACTGTCCAGGGGTGCAGATAGGAGTCTTGCAGGCGGCACCAACAAGGAGACACCACTAGAGAGAGCTAAAAAGAAGATGAATAAAGAGCTGATGGAATTGCTGAGCAGTTGATCTAATCACATAGCTGTAGAACCTATCTCTTGTATTCAAGGGCGGCATTTTAATGAGTAGCAGGACGCGTATATGAAAGACTCAATAAAATTACAACATACATGCTCCTGACTTGAGCATTCGGGTGACGAAAAAATTACTCCTCTCAATTCGGCTTGACCCCGTACTCCAGAAAGACCATAGCAATCTCTTCATTATCGTTTTGACAAGCTAAGTGTATTGGCCTGACTTTGTGATCATCAGTGCTCTGCAGTTCTCTCTCTGCCTCGGTGTCTAGGACTCTCCTCAAGAGTGCGGGATTATCCTGTAGGGCTGCATAGTGGACGATATTCATGCCTCTAGCGTCGACAATATTCGTCCGGGCTCCATGCTCGAGCAGCATATTGACGAGCCTCAAGTTCGAATCAGCAACGGCTCGGAAGAGCGGTGTCATGCCGGTGTAAGTGCAGAGGTTGGGGTCGGCGCCCGCTCTGATCAGGAACTCAGCAACATCCGTCCGCTTCGACTGGACGGAAAGGAACAGTGCAGTGGCGCCCCTGTCGACTTGGGCGTTGAGATCGGCCCGGGCAGCGACCAGGATCTCGACCACCTCCAGCGTGTTGGGCTTGTCGAACTGGGCGGCAAGATGGAGCGGCGTCCAGTTGGTCTCTTCCGTGGCATTGACCTTGGCCCCGTGTTTGAGCAGCGCTTTCACAATCTCGGGAGAGGCCTCGTGGCTGGCAACCGCGAGGCAGGTCTTGCCCGCCAACCCGTCCGTGTTGGGGTCCGCGCCGTTTTCGAGCAAACAGTGGACCAGTTCCGGCTTCTCATTGAGGCACGCCAAGGCCAACGGGCTATGTTTTCCGGACCCGATGTTATTGACTTTGGCGCCAGCCGCCACGAGAGCCCTCACAATCTCCATGCAGCCCTGATTGTCTTTGAGGGAGTAGCTGGCCGCCGCTACGACGAGGGGAGTGAATTCATCCCTTGTTGTAGACTCAATGTCGGCACCTTCCGCGATCAGGAGCTTGACGACCTCTAGATGGCCGTTCTGGCAGGCCTGGAAAAGGGCACTGCGTCCGTCCTCTGCCAAAGCGTTGATGTCTGCCTTGCGTTCGATCAGTGTACGGCACGCTTCTTCATGCCCATTTTGAGCCGCGATTATCAGCGGAGTCCACTCGTCATCCTCGCGACAGTTCACATCCGCTCCGCTGTCAAGCAACGCACGGCACAGTGTGGAACTTCCTTTCTGTGCTGCGAAGTGCAGGGATGACCAGCGACTTTGGATCTTCTTCTCTTTCTGCTTGGTTTTATCGTCTATAATGCTTCCCAGAACAGCTGCGTGTTCTGTGAACAGACTACGGAAGAGCTCGTCGAGCTCACTTGGTTTGTCGCGAGTACTCGATGTCGTAGTGTTCTCCGTAACTCCAGGAAATAGAGGGCGTTTAGATCGTACGGTGCCGGGGCCCGACACATAATCCTTGAAAAAGGATTTGAATGGCTGAGGTCTATGCGGACCTGGGCGGGACGCCAGAGAGGGCCGTATGATCTCTTCATCAGCATCTTCGAAAGTCGGAATGCTTCGAGGACTTCCATCAACACTGACATCGTCTCTCAGAGTCTCGTGAGAATCGGGACAGATGACGGATCGGCTACATAAGCGGTCAGAATAATCACATGGCCGACTGCTCGTGGACACCATACCCAGTTTTCTGACCGAAGGGCATGGAGCGCCAGCGGTCGTTGCTCCCACGAGGCCTAGAAGCCCGTCCGTCGAGCAAGAAGGAAAGCTGTCTAAGAGCTGAATTCTCGGTGTCTCCCATGGCCTCTGAACGGATTCCGTAGTGTACGGCTATCGGATTCTAAGTGGGGGAAAGTCACGCAGAGATTCAAAGGATGGCAAGGGCGACTGCGGCCTCTGGTGGTACTGAAGTAAAGTCTCTTGAGCACTTCCCCTTTTTTTTCGATAGAGCCGAGCATGCATTCACCCTGTCCTTGTTAGATCCTTCTTATACATCGTGACAGTCAGGAAGATACGAGTAGGCAGCCACTATCACAAACCTCGATGTACCAAAGGTCAGCCCCGTCAGGCAACCCGATTGTGTTGGTGAGAACTTCATGCGGTGGCTCTCGCACTCTGTTTGGCTCCGTGGTCTTAGCCACAGCCTCCCGTTCGTATTTGATGCATCGAAAGGACACCGCCCTGACACTTGGCTAGGCAAACCGCCAGGGGTTATCAAATAGTCTGGTCAGGCTATCGCCGACGACTTTGCTTGACAAGATCAATCCAGGCCGGTCGAAACACTGGGGGTTCAGCCTCACCAGCTTGGCAAAAAGCTCGGGGCGGTCCGTGGCTCCCGACCGCCGGCATCCATCCTTCTTCTAGAGCATGAGCAAGGTACGTAGCACATTGGTGAAGGATTGAACTCAGCCTTCAGTCACGACCAGCGAAAGCTTGCCTTTGCTTCAAATGTGAACCTCTGTGTGCTACGATAAGAGTGAGAATTAGAAAGCCCTACACAACCTATCACCATCATATGTCTGATGCACTAACCGTGCGAGGATCTACGAGAGTCCAGATATTATGGGCATGAAACAGATTAGATGGGCTTCGAATCAAGATATTCATTGAGATGAAAAGGGTCATATTCACAGCAGTGCGGTGAGTGCACAGGCTAATTTTGGGAGAACAACACTCTTTTATGCGAGCTTCAACCTTTTCGCCTCATCTTCTTCTCTGCCCTCTGTTGCAAGACTTTTCTGCGCTTCTCGAAAGTCTCACCAATGCCACCACCATTGATCGTACCATCCCCTCGTGGCCCATCAATCGTGTCACGTTTCCGCTTGTCTCTACGATCAAACAATCCTTCACTCCTACCTCTCCCAGACGCAACGGTCCTGTTGATCCGATCACCAAGCCCACCCAATCCAGTCCAATCTTCCCCACCAAACACCTCTCGAGAGTCTCGCTGCGACTTGGCCTTCTCTTTCTTCCGCTCTGCTTTACTCAAAGCGGGGAGTCGCGTGAAGTTTCGTTCTTCGTATGCTGTCCTCTCCCGCTCCTTTTCCCTGTCACGTGTTGACATGGCCCCACGCCCTTGCTGTAGAATCGTACCACCGGAGCCGATTGATGGCTGCGCCTGTGGTGCGGAAGAAACCTCTTCGTCAATGTATTCGTCAAGTAGTTGCGATCTGCGTTTGCGGCTAGGCTTCTCGTCACGGTCTCGGACACTTGCCGGCTCAGGCATGGTGGTAGGATTTATGCGCGGCGGCCTGTATGCGCCCGTCGCTGCTGGTTCGCCAGAGCGAGTCTTGAGAGCCGATTGGGTTGTGGTCAACGGTAGAGATGCATTGCGCAGGAGCGCTGCGGCTCTAGGCCCGACAGATGGCTCATGGACTGGCTGATCTGCCTCAACAACCGCGGACACTTCGTCTTCCGACTCTTCAGAGTCAGAGCCACGATTTGCTCTGCCTGCTGATGGTTTCGTAGCGCCGGAGGTAGTGGAAGACTGCTGAGTGGCCTGCCTTCGGGCTGCCTCGTCGGCAGCACGGACGACTTTGTCGATCTGATATTTGAGTTTGCCTTCTAACGGTCGCACGCCTCTTTCCAAGTAAACTCGGACCTCTACCAGTTTCTTGATCACCTCGTTCCGAACTCTATCGTCGCTCGGATCATGGCGCAGGCGTATAATGACGAGAAAGGCAAGATTCTGCAGGTACGAGAGGAGGAGATCGTTTTTCACATCGAGTAATGAGATACCATCACTGCTGGTAGATGAGTCGGAGGGAATGGCTGATCTCGCTAAGTTGAGTGCAGATGTCAAATTCGAGAGTAATCCAACAGGCGAAGTATCTATCGCCATGCTAACGACAGGCAACCTATGTGTAGGACAATGTGGCAGCTGTTCAACTTGATTTTTGTTTCTTCTTCCTAAAAAAATTATTGTTACTCCGCAGTTCAAGTTCTTCCGGACAAAAATTTACGGTCGAGCAAGAGGACATTAAGCGTACCCAAGGAGGAAGGATTGCCAAGACTGTAAAGCTGATGACATGGAATACTGCTAAAAGAATCCTTCTCTGCTCCTTCTCTGCCAAAGTAGGTAAGCATTCAACGTGTTGGACGGTGTACACCTAGCGTGTCATATACGTGGTAAACTAGGCTGTCAATCATGTTGTTGGTTTGGGTAACGAGAATTGACCGGATACCTTGGTCCCCAGCGTTGCGATCATCAGATAGGTCAAGAGGAAGACCCGGGGAGTCAGTTTCCAGCAACACCAGTTTTCCATCAAGGTCGGACTGGGTACCCGGTCCATATGATTCTCCTGCACATACGTTTACAATTCTGAAGCACTGCCTTCAACTTCCAGTCATGATCTGTCCCAAGGTAGGTGGTACCTTCGACGACAGCGTCCTTTAGCTTTGGTGACCTTGTCATCCTCAAGTCAGCGGCATCACACGCGTAAGACCGTTCCATGGGCGTTGATTTGATGTCGGCAGGTACTCACTCAATCTAACGGGTGCATTCTGCATCAAAAGCAAGAGAAAGACGGAAAGAAGGAAAACCCCAGCTATGTCATTGCGATGCGATGTTGTGGCCAAGAGCCTTTCAAGCAACTGTGCTACATGCTGTCACTAACTACTTTTCTATGCCATATAAGTCTTGCATTAGCAGGCTATCAACAAGATCCTGTTACGCATGATTGAGAAACTACAGACTTCTACAGATCGACCCACTACGATCGTTGGTCAGGGTAGTTGACAATCAAGCCGCTAATTGGAACCCTTACCGAGCCGCTTTGGCTGCGACCGCTAACCCGTGGTGTAAACCCAGTCGAGACACTATCTAACAGCTGGCCCAGCTGCTTCGTCTCCAAGATGACAACGAGGCCGCCAGGAACGATAGTCACTCAACTGGGCTGACTATCTTGCATTTTCGTGGAACATAACAACGACAGCGCAAACTCCAGTTCCTTTCCTCTCCATGAAACACACCGGCCTCTTCGCCTCTAACACCAACAGAACCTCAATGAATGGATTAACAGTCGATTTAGATTTCACAGACGTTTCCTTCCCACATTTCTCAGATACGTGCTAAGCGTGATGCGAACCAGGAATGTTGCGCATGACCATCCATCGGACAATAGATCTGGATAGGTCTACCACCGCAAACTCCGACACAAAAGCATAAAAACAGATTCACCTAGAGGTAATCGTCCTACAGAGGTCATCGTCCTACAGACCGAATCTAAGCCAAGAACGCTACAGAAATTGGAACGTCGCATACATTGTCCAAAGTACCACTGAGATATGCAAGGCTAAGTAGCACCAAGAAGCCAGGGATTTCATATCCTCTCAAGACTTAGCCACAAGAAAGACCGTCGCCGCATCCACCTCCCACGAGAATCAACATCAAATCTGAGCTCATCTATATAGAGGAACAGAACTCAACCATGGGCACCGCAACCACGGGCACCACCCTGCCTCCCAAACCCGAGATCTCGGTAAACACAGGGACGCCCTGAGATAGGCTGAACCCGGCCCCTGAAACACGTTTTTTTTACCCGCGGCGGACCGAGCCGTCCGTCTTCTCTCTTGACTTTCGACTCTCCGTCTCTCAGGTTCGACATTCCCAAGTTCCACCTAAGTCAGAGGCTTCAAGAATCTCGACGTCGAATGCCCAACTCACTATCGTGGGGCACGGTCTCAAGCCTAGCCTAGCGTATCAAGGCATGAACATGAGTCAATCACATATGCATAAGGTGAAGCATCGCAAGTTCCCCTTTTGTCATGGGCTCGTCGATTATGTCTATGGTATGGTATAGCATGGATGGATGCGGTCCAAGAAATCCGCTCACCCACAGATGAGGACATGCTATTCTCGCAGACATTGATGGCGCTCAAAACATCATATTCATTGACCGATCGACCTAACGTTTCCGACCCAGGCAGAGCCCAGGAGGGGGAGTGGGATATTTGCAAACATGCCGAAGGAGAAAGTCGTGCTTCTCGGTGCGACATGCCTCACTACAGGTAGGTGGGACATCCACGCCGACCAAGCGCTGCGCCGTCTCTGCATCTCTGTGAAGAAGACATACATGGGAGCGATGGATGTGGAAGCAGCCAGACAAGAGTAAGCGGGAATGGAATGGAAGTCGGAGATATGGTTAGGATACACACGCGGCGCGCGCTGACGACCAGGAGAGCTGAGGGCTGGACCTGGACGTGCCGAGTATGTATGTATGTATGTACGGAATAACTAAAAGGGCGAGTGAGTGAAGGTGGACCAGCGGTAGTAGTGGGGGATATGAGGGTTCATTGACCCTCGGTCCCGGGTCTGCTATGCCAGGGCTCTCTTGCGTACTTGGGGCAATTGAGGATATTGTATGTAGAGTGGCTACCTGAGGAAATTATGCGCCGAGTCGGAGTGTAGTCAGAGAAGCGATGGAACTGCCCACGAACGAGCAAGCCCAAGAGGAGGCCTCGCGCTCATGAGGATGCTTCTTTGGCTCTCCCGAGTCATGTAGAGTATCTGGCAGATGATTACAGTATGCTATGCTTAAGTATGCTAGAATTAACTCGAGTACGGGGCCCTCGAGACTTCTACGTTATGGCTCGTGGTTACTTTATCGCTTGCGTCTCCATTAGCCTCCTGGGGGGGCAAACTCCCCTAGGCACCTACATCTAGAGCTTATGCCACATGAGTTCCAAGGGATGTTAAGTGATCACAGTGCCCTTAATGCCCCCAGTGCCCCTTAGCAATCTCCTTCATCACATGCCGAGAAGTGCCGGCTAGGGGCTGAAAATGTGTTGTATTGTGAAAATATCCTGCCTGGAAAGGCCCGAGGCCTGAAGGAAATAGGTAAGAATACATAAGGGAAAGGCGTGAGGAGCGTCGGGAAAAAAACAGTTCCGTCGGGTCCCCTGCGCCTTTGGCTAAGGAATCTGGGATTCTCAGGCCACATGGCGTTCCGCCACAAATCTCGGACAGCCTCTTGTGCTTGGGGACGCTCATTTCTTCGCAAGCCCTCGCAAAAACCAGTCTGTCACCCAATCTCACGAGTGTCACAACTGTGGCCATCCCGAGAACCATCAAATCCCGGGCACAGGACCAAATTTGGCTTAGCCAACCACACCAAAATCTCCACACCATCTGCAGCTTCCATGCCTCATCACCTGCAGATTACAGGTCTTGTGACGGAGGAATGGCCGCCCAAACAACCAAGATTGAGTCAATGGCCAATCAAAGTGATTCTAGGGGTAACACCAATTCAATGAAAATGGTAAGCGTATCTGCAGGTGCTGCTTCAAAGGTTGGTGGCACTCGGAAACCGGTCGGTTGAACGCTTGCTGCACAGTCGATCGCTGCAGTACAATCGGCAACGGTTCCTGGGCATCTTGAACCGAACTACGCTGGCGTCATGCAGCATTTCCCACGTTGCGGGGCGAAAAGCAGCAAGTCGCTTGGCCCAATTTGGGGGGTGGAGCGGAACCTAAACCAAACTGCCACGTCAACGACATCAGCGGCCGGCTGCCAAGGCTAATTTTTGAGTTCCTGACGAATGAATGATCATTGTTGTTGATGAGATCTGATTTGCTGTGATTAGACGTCGTTTGAAGTATGAGGCTGAGAAGACAAAGGGATGCCAGTTCGGCCCCTGGCCTTTCAACACCTCGGAACTGAAGTATTGTGAAACATGTTTTGAAGACTGTAGGAAATTCGTCCCATTCGTAGAAGCAAGGAAATTCGTGCCATCGTTATTCGTGAATACATGAAATCAATGGCGGCTTCGGCTGGCTTTTGCATATGCTTCAGGATGTTTCTTCTCCGCCTTTGATTTCATCGACCTGCGTATTTTTCGGTTAGCGACCTCGTTGTTGGAACCGCCGATGTTCGCCCAGGAGCGATATTTCCACTTACGAGGTTTTCTTTGCGATATACTCAATATCTCGTCTGGTTTCTCGCGTAGCTTCTATACCTTCAGCGAAGTTCACTCTGGCAGTTTTCAATCTTCTCTGCGCGAGTGCTTGCAATTCCTGCAATTCGCGCTGTTTGGCATTCAATTGCCCAGATCTTGTCTAAATTAGCAGAGGCATCATTTCAGTCTCGCTTCAGTAACTCACGTTTGTGCCTGAGAGACCAGCGCACGATCCATTGTGATGGGATCAAAGGCATCGTTCATTCTCTGGCTTAACATATCGACAACATCAACGCCGCCGTGGTGGTGTGAGCTATAAGAGTCATAGTCGCTGTGTTGGCTGGGAGCATAACTTCGCCCCGAGCTCACCGAATAGCTACCGCCAGACGAGCGACTTCCGCCATACGAACTTGTTTCAGACAAATCCGATGGAGGTGACATGGCTCTGGAAATTGGGTAGCTGTAGGTCTGGCTCTTCTGTGGCATGATGACCGGTGGAGACTTATGGTGAGAAGCATAGTGGGTGGGATGGCGTGAAGTGGAAGTCATTTTCGGTGCTGTTGATGGAGAGGATAGTAGGTTATGGGGTTGGCCAGGTGAGATTGGTCAAGAACAAGTCAAGGTAGTGCAAACACGTCGAGGCAGTGGGTTCAACGAAAACCTTGGAAGATGAGAAACTCTTGGAAACTCTGAAGGTAAGTGATATGAAAGGAAGGAGAAGGAAAGAGGGTCTGGAAGACAACTGAGCACGCTTTTATAGGCAAAGAAAAGTTGACGCTATCACCCATTCCACCGGGGGATAGATTGCCAGCTCACACATGGTCACAGTGGGCCAGTATGATTCGGACAGAGAGTCGAGGGTGGTGTCATGCTGAGGCATCGACCCCGCTCGCAAAGTTGGATTGACATGAGACGGAGGAGGGATATGACCAATGTGATGAGAAGATTGAGGCAGGGTCGGCACCGTCCGCAACCTTCCGCCCAGCTGAGGGATGGCAAATTTGAAGCGGGCCCAGCCAAAGAGAGCGGACGATGGCCCTCCATGATGAAGCGGCGACATGGATGTTTGTTAGCTCCAGTTTGCGGGAATGATGGACCCAGCCGGTAGCCGATTTCCCAGGAGGAAACGGGAAGAAAGAAGTGCTGATTGGACCAGAGAGGGTTTTGCCAGGTCTTTCGGTGTGCTTAGTTGCGGGATCTAGAATCAAAAACGGCGGACGGGAGTGGCTGTTTGAGGAGCGAGCACGGGGGAATGGTGGTGATGGTATAGAGAGACTAGGGGGGTGGTGGGAAAGACTAATCGGGGGGGAAACTTGTGGCAATTGTCTTTCTCTGGTACAGGACATCAAGGAGGTTTCACTGTTGGCCAGTGTCAGCAGAACAAGATCGAATGTGAATCATAACATAGGATTGGAAGAAAAGCCACTGAGGGAGGGAAACCGGTCAGAGGAAGGCTCGATTGAGGCTGAATACTGTTTGGGTCGATCACAGGTGGATGGTGATGTGGTGATTGAGTAGTGAGCATTTCCATGCACGGGCAACACCAAGTACGAGGTTCTCGGCAATCCCTACAGCCCTCGGTGGTTTATTATTTTTTGGCCTTGTGTTGTTCGCACATTGCACGCAGACGAAGCGAAGCCGAAATGGGATGGAGGGGTGTATTTTTCTGCACGGGCCAGGGTGGAAATAAAGGAAAGGAGGCAGGTTCATGAGAGGTCGGGCTGAAGCAGCAAGGAGCTGGGTCAGGAAAGGGTCAAGCGTGGAGGGAGCGAGAGAGAGCCGAGCCCTGGGAGAAGTGTGGTGAGTGGTGATCGAATTGTGGAACGTTCAAGGTGCAAGTGCCTCACGCACTTTGCACCGAATATGCCAACATGACGGCGTGATCCGGTGAACTGACAGTCGGGTCAACCCAGGCCTGGAAGGTGAAGCCCAGGAGCCGAGCTGAGAGATGTCAGCGTGTGTGAATGTGGTGATGACGAAGTCGGCAGGCGTGAGAGTGGGATGAGATGGGATACGGAGGAGAGGGGAGGGGTGGTGATTCTGAGACTCATGATGGGCGTGGACAATCTAGGGGCGTTTTCAAGTATTCTAGGTACCATAACCTATCGGTTCCCTCCAGTTCCAGGCCTGTCTGAAACTGAAACATATCAAAGTCGCTTAGAACTGTTGACGCTAGGTCTACAAGATACGGAGCACTCAGAGTGTGGTCCCTTCAGGCGTGGTCTGTCGTTGGAATTTTAAATTGTGAATCCCTTCAGCCAATGTCCCCGGAATATTTGGTTTGATTGGGAACGACTGCTGGCAACCTTGGGCTTGCCGTGATGGCCGCTGGATGCCTGTAACCGCAGTCAACTCATCCCCTCTCGGCGGGCGATTATATTGAACCCCCACTCCAGTTCACTTCTGGGTGCCTGGAGGGCAGAGGGCCTGCCACTTGGTGGGCTTCTTGGCATCTCAACCACCCACATTTGGTGGCGTCCAAGTTGGCTCCGGAGGCTGCACGACATCACACTGCAGTCAACAATCACCTGCTTTCTTGACCACAATTCCCCCGTCGTAGATAACTATAGAATAAGCAATCACGAGTCCTCTCCTGCCCCAATTGCAGAAGTAGGATGTTCTTGGTATCAATGTCTATGTTACAATATCGTTCTGTATTAAAACCCTCCCGGGTCATTACCTAGGTATTCAACTCGACTCATGCCCTCGGATCTCGAGCACGCCTCGGCTACCTGGAGATCTAACTCGTTCATGCAATCATCGCTCGTCTGGGGCATAATTATACCACCAAGTTTTGTGTCCGAAACCGGTAGCCAGGACGGAATAGCCTGGTCCCATACCCTTGAAGTTGAGTGTCGTGCTCATTCCATGTTCATGATCCCAATGCACCGTCACCCTTGACATAAAGTCCACAACCAATGCTCACCCGATCGCTAGCTATGCTTGTCCAGAGTCAGGCGACCCAGCCTGTTGCCTCAATCCGCAGAGAACGAAAGGAAACCAAACACCGACCTGTTGAGATGCAGAATTTGCCAACGCCATGCAAGATCGTAACGATACTTACCTATCCTTCCTCCTGCGAGCCAAAAAAGACAGTGGCGTCAAGACGACAGTGTCCGGCCAAGACTCGCCGCTTTGTTGTGATCAACCAGGCACCCTCCTTGACAACATGGCATGGATTGACTTCGCTTTGCTGGACGATCCTTGGGGGTATGGAGGCCGAGAGAGTGGCAGCAAGCGTTGTCACCAACTCTAACTTTGCTCAAGATTCCGGAGGCCTATCACGTAGGAACACGTGTGGCACTCTCGGGTCTAATAGTGTCATCATCATCGTCCCTAGCACGTTGAAATCCACCGGCTTCGTAAGATAGTCAGTAAATCCTGCATTGCTTGCCGCCATCCTCTCTTCCGGCATTGCATTCGCTGTCAATGCCATAATCGGACAGGGTGTATATCCATGTAATTTCTCCCAAGCCCGGATCTCGTTGCATGCTTGGTACCCATTCTTCACGGGCATCTGGATGTCGCAGATGATGAGTGAGTAGTACCCATGACCACCTTTCTGAACCATATCAACGCATTCTTGCCCATTCTTGGCCGAGTCGTTGGCCAATGACACCTTTTTCAAATACCGTTGGATCACCATTCGATTGACATCGCTGTCTTCCACCAACAACACTCGGTTGTTTTGATCGCCAATCGTATCCTTAACAAGTTTGGCAATCTGCTTGAAGTCATCCGAGCTTGACTGCGCCACTTCTCTCGCCCGATCTTTGCTTAAATTTCTCAACTGCGCCGGATCGAATATCATAGCAAAAACCGACGGCTTCACCGGTTTGTGGATCAAAAAAGCTTTCCGCCCACTGGTTGTCAGTGTCGTAAAATCCTCAAGTATGTCTCGTTTCTGATAATGGTCCGTCACCACAACAAGGGCAGGGATCACTGCAGCAGTATAGTTGACCATCTGCCTCATAAACAACATAATGTCTGAGGTTGCAGGGAGATCAAGAACTATGTGCGTAAAAGTCGGAGGCTCCGGTCCATTGATCAATTCTAGGAAAGACCCAATATCTGGCCGAGTAGTCACATTGGCCGCAATCTGATACGGTACCACCTGTTCAATATGTTGCTTGATCGCAAATCGTGCATATGCTGCTGGGCAAATTATCATGATTGAGTAAGTCGGTGGGTGAGCCATATCAGCTGTGATTGCAATGCTTTGTGTGTCACTTTGACTTCGTCGGATGCCCGGGGACGAACTCATCGACTTATCGGCCAAAATCTGTCTCTCGCTCAGGAGAAGCGTCGACGTCCGAATAGGGAGAGAATCAGGCGTTGGGATCAAGGAGGAAATCGAGGATTGTCCAACTGTATTGATGGAGTTTGATCTTACGGACATTGAAGAGCTCTCCGAGGGAAGGACTGGGGGTGAAACAACTGGCGGGGATAAAGTTGGTGGAGACGAAAATGCAGAAGAGTGGTGCTCAGGTGATACTGCAGGCACATATCTCGAAAGTCCGGGTGTCTGGATTATGCTCTCAGAGTGCATGCCTAGACGAGGCGAGGCCAGCGTGTTAGTCCGGCTATCTGATCGAGAGCGTGGACTTGTGCCTGGAGCGGGATTCTGGCGCGCCTGACCTGTCTTGCTAGTCGGTGTTGGTGATGTCACCTCACTCGTAGAAGCCATCTCGACTCTAATGTAGAAACTGAATGTCGAGCCCTCACCCGCCTTGCTTTCCACGGTAAGGTCACCACCGTGCAGCTCAACCAGCTGCTTGGAAAGAAATAGACCGAGACCGGAGCCAGCCTCATGATTGGTACCACCACCTATCTGACCAAATTGTTTGAAGAGACGTTCGAAATCATTCGTGTTGAAGCCCCTACCGGTGTCGACAACTTCAAATGCAATATAGTTTGATGCTTCGGCATTCTCTGCTGCATTAGTCGCTGGGACCTCTGGAATGAAACATCGCATGTAAACCTCGCCTTGCTCGGTGAACTTGACTGAATTCCCGAGGAGATTGAGGAGGACCTGTCTGACTCTGAACGGATCACCTTTGACAGTAGCTGGAACATTCGGCTCAAGCAGATAATTGAGTTCCAACCCGCGTTCGATAGCTCGAGAGGAAACTGTGTCAATGACTTCTTCACAGAGGGTGCGAACCTGAAACCACTTGGGTACCAGTGCCATCTTTCCTGCTTCCACCTTGGTCACGTCCAAAATGTTGTCCACTAGCTCGCGCAAGTTATTTGCACTGTTCTGAATGGTATCGACCGTCCTCCTCTGATCATGATCTAGAGTAGACTCGACTAACCACGGCATGCTCCCCAGAATGCCATTTAACGGCGTGCGAATTTCATGGGACATGTTGGCAAAGAATTTCGTCTTCGACTCCATCTCCGAGTGAACCTTCTGGTTTGCTTCGTTTAGTTCCCTTTCAAGAGTTTTGCGTGTCTCGATATCTGTGCATGTTCCATACCAGGAGGCACGTCCACTTGTTTCAAGCAGTCCAGTCTCAACCCGGACAAGTCGGACCAAGAACCAACGGTACTCTCCACGTTTTGATCGCAGACGAATCTCGGTGAGGTAAGAAAGTCGCCCGTTTTCATCTTTCTCCACGGCAACGGAATCTTGCTTGATCATGCGGTCAAGTAGTACCTGATCTGGCGCAAAAAGAGTCATATGTGTGGGCATAGAAGGCGCCATGGTCCTGTTTGAATCGCTGGAAGAGCTGGTGTTTGGAGAGAGAGATCTGGTGATGGTTGCCACGTCATTAGGCGAGAGCACTCCGCATTTGTGAAGATCATCACGATGAACGTGCTTCGCAAAGCCTAGACCCCGGGCATCCTCCAAGGTTTGTCCAGAAAATGCATGCCATTGTTGATTGACAGCCACGATGCCATCACCTTCGACAGCTTCAAACAATACTTGTGGAATAGCATCAGCTAGTGCCCGGATTTTGTTGTCACGCGCCATTGTAGCCTCCCTTTCACTTGCCTCGAGGTTTTTGATATACTGTTCATGGACGTCCAAGAACGAGCCAATCCAATATAACAAGCGACCATTATGGCTCAAGAGTGTACTGGCCCGGAAGACGAACCATCGAAAGTCACTGTCACTATTGAAACGCTTAACCCGAATGTAGTGGGTGAATTGGCTTCCACTTTTGATGGCATCATTCCACAACCGCACCAAGCCACTTCGATCCGCAGAATGCACATTCTTCCAAGGATCCCGGACACGCCCATCTCCCTGACTTCTGAAGGCGTCAAACTTACGATTCGTCCACACGAGATCTCCACTACCTGGTTTAGCCAGAAACAGTTGTAGAGGAATTGCGTTCAGCATGAGGGAGGAGATCAGCTCAGGCAGCGGGCGTTCACTGTCATCTCTAGGCAAGCTCTCCCGATGCTGAGGAAACCTCCGAGATGCGGATGAACCGGTCCATAACTGATCGCTGATTTCACTTTCCGAAGCACTGCTTGCTGTTCTGCCAGTCAGGGGACTTTGAGGCTCGGCTGGCGCTTTGCCTGTTGCTGTCCCTTTCTTAGTCGCCTTCATGTTTGATGTTGATTTGTCCTGCGGACGCTTTGTGTTCTCATTTTCTTCTTTGATGACACGGCCACCTGGTGTCAGTGGGTACTGGTTTCCCGCCTTCAGCCTTCTGGCGGAAAAGTAACTGTCCACCATTTCCAGACCTGACTTGCCTGGTGTGGCTGGATGGCCAGTGCTGAAACCAAAGTGTTCAACAAGTGGAGTCGAGGCGACTGAGCTTGAGGGACTTTCCTTCAACGGGCCTGGACTGATATTGCCTTGATAACTGAAGACCCTTGCTTTATCCTTGTCCTGGGCAATTTGTCCGCTCAGCTCTGCCACGAGCTCCAGCTCGGACCCTTCGTCCGAGAAAGTCCCACCAAGACCAAAAGCACCACCATGCCGTGTATTGGGGTTCCCACGAACTCGGTCATGGATGATAGAATACTGCTGTGCCAATGAATACGAACTGGCCAGGTGAGGTAGCAGGGCTTCCAGTGAGTGTCGCAGGCTCCGTGGATAAGGATTCAATGTGGAAGAAAATGACAAGATAGCAATAGGGAAGCGCAAGTTGGATGTTATTGCGCCTCTGGACAACAAAGGCTGTATTAGTGGAATGTGGACCAAAGTTTTGGACATTTCCGCCCCGATTGCGTTAAGAGACTGATTTGCCGAAGTGGCATAATCGTAAACTGGAGGATTTTGTTCGAACGCAGTCTCATCAATGGACGCGGTTGGCTGTACAAAAAATGGGGATTCACTGGGATCAGGACGAGCAGCAGGTGACGGTGATGGACTCTGCGACCATGGCGAAGGTTCAGGCTGTTCATATTCGTCAATGGGCTGAAATGAACGGGAAGCTAAAGGATCCTCTCGTCGAGATCCTTTGCGCTCTTCATTTGGATCTGCCAGAGGCGTAGGTGGTGCACTCCGGTATTGTTGAGATCTAGGTGCATGCTCCGAATATGCTCGGGTCATGACCACGGGTTTCCTCTTACCAAAGAGAGAAGACACCGTGGTCCGCACGAGGAGCGCATCAGCCTCCACTTCGAGTGGTTGGATGGTACGGTGCACGTGACAGCGCAATGTCGATGAAGCAGACCCGGAGGAGTTATAGGTCACATCGAAAGGGAAAGGTTCGGATTCGGTGGTAGATAGGGAGCGGGGTGTGGGGGATTGCTTTGTCAACCTGGGCATCACGGGCGGTGCTGTAGAGGAAATATCATCTTGCTCCTTTGGTGAAGTGCTGTAAGCACGAACTGGACCTGCAGGTCGCTGTCGGGCACCTCGAATTTGGGCATCGGGAAAGGGGCCTGCGATAGAATGTCGGGAGAGTAGAGGAGGGCGACGAGACTGTGTTGTAGTGACTTCGCCAATACCCCTGCTTGCTTCAGACTGCCCACTTACAGAACGATATTCCAGCTCGGATGCTGAAAGAGAGTCAAACTGAGAAGGGTTGGAATCGCTGCCATATATGCTATAGGTTGCCTTTTGTCCCCAAGGAACATTTTCGAGATCAGTAATGTCACCAGGGATGGCCAAGGATGCTCGATCGGCTCCGTATGCTTCGGACAATATCTCGGTAACATTGACCCACCACATATCAAGACCTGGTTCCGCGTTCAACATGAGGATCAAATCGTATAAGTCCGGAGCTGGGAAATTTGGATCATCAGGGTAGAACTGACTCATGGGGGTCTGCCCTACGGGTGTGGAAGCATCTGAAGCTGTTTGTGTTCGGGAGAGAGGCGCAACTGCACGAGGATCGCTGTTGAGGGGTTCGTTCGTGGGTGATAACAGGGTAAAAGGTCTATGTGAGGGTCCCGAGCGTTGACTTAAGCCTCTATCGAGACGCAAGTTCATACGAGGGAAGGGGTAAGAAGGGGTCCTCACGGTACCAGGAGTCATGTCGAAGGAGGCTCGAATGGTTCGTGAAGAGCCCGTGGACATAGTGCCGGTGTTGATGGATTCATCGGAGCTGGACTCGGTTTGGGAAAGTGGGAGCAAGGGTTCACCACCATCATCGGCTTTTGCTGTGTCTGCAGGTGAAGTGTTATTTGAAGATTTCATCTGTTGCTTCTGAGCCAAGGCAATGCTCATTTTGCGCTTCATTGCGTCCATAACAGCAGGCTCGCGTGACAAGACATTGGTAACTTGAGAGTGGACCAAATGCGCGGATGGTGTCTGGGTGGTTGCAGCAGGCCTATTTTCCGAGCCGCCCTCCTCTTTCGCTCGTTTAACTGAAGCCGATGAAGAAGTCTGGTTCTCGTTGGAGCGCGAGGAATGACCGCGCGACGAAAGGCCGAGGCGGTTGGATTTTGAGGATTTCATCGTGATGAGTTCGAGGTATTATTGGTACATTCTGACCCTGTTGGGTTGATGGTTCGAGGGAGAGGCGTCGTTCTTCAATGAGTTCTGGTCGAGGCACTTCCAAAGCCAAGGTGTGGCAGACCGATTCACCTGAGGCCAACAACCATCACCAACGTTCCCTCTCGAATACAGCCTCGAGTTGAAACCCCTCATGGGAAGGTAGCCAGCATGGTAGGAGTAGTGAAGTGAGGGCGGGCCAATATGGAAGGGAAAATCGGCGGTGCAGCCCAGGCCAGGGTAGTGTGTGTAGAGGTAGTTGACAATCAGTCAGGTCTTGTCCAAGACGAGTGTTGTAGTAGTCAGAAAGACCGGAAGGTTTGGGGCGGGAGAAAAGATGGGCCGTGACGCCACGCGATGAAGAAGGCAGAGTGTGAAGGGGATTGGCCGGATAGTGTGAACAAATGGCCGGGGAATGACTTGGGTGTCTGCGTAGGAGACGGGTTTCGCGTGTTGAGGTATCAACTACGAAGTACGAGGAAATGGCAGTCGCAGTACCTAGGAGGAGTGAATGGGCAGGTGCATTGTGTCCTGCGTTCTGCGTTATTGCGTCTGAGAGCAAGTGCAAATGAGTGCAACAACTTGAAGTTTGGGAGGTGGTCATAGTTGGCAAGTGCGACTACCAGTGGCAGAGGAGAGTCCACCCATGGCTGCCCACAAAACACTAAACTAGGGACTTGCGATGACGTCGACGGCGAGGTCATGCAGGGTGGCTTGCAAAAAAACCCCTAACGAGCAAGCGCCATCTGCCACTGGCACTTTTGTTCTGTTGGTTCCTACCCTCAAGCCGGGATCCTTGCCTCCACGCTTTCAGGCACGGAAGCAACCTTCCAAGTTCCAACACTGGCGGGTGAAGCTGTCTAATAAACATAAACCTCGACATCTACTCGTATCACTGAGAATTCTCACACATCACGCGCTCTCCGAGTGTCGTGACCTCCAACTAGGAACATCCCTTCTCAACATTCATGTCTGCCAAGTATTCCTTTAGTCGCACAAGGCTACAGCCGTTCTTACCATCGAGACACTGCTGGGATGCAGGTGACCCCAAGTCTTGGTGCAACCTGTTAATCTCTTCTCTCACCTGCAGTAAATGAGGTTGGCCCATTCAATTGGCTTGGTTTTGCTAATCTTGAGATGCCATACCCTTCAGGTTGTTGCTCAATCAAGTCAGTCGAACTCTGCAGTCCTTCCATTTCAAGTTGCCTTCTTTGATGCCCCGAGTATTCGTACTCGTGCTACATTCGGTTGTGCTTTGGAGCCACAGCCGCCCCTACCCGATTATCCACCGGCTTTCTAACAAATCAGACGCTAGTTGACCCTTTAAATGACGAAACTCTGCCTGTGATGATGACCGGTTCGAAGAACTTTCTCCAGATCTTTTGAAGGATGAAATCAGCAGAACGCCTCCCTGGTCTCCGGGGCTCTCCCTAATCAATCCCCTTGCCAAATCAAACACCTCGTAATTGAGGAGTCCTTACGGAGTACTGCAACGCCAACGACGAAACACCATTGTTTCTCCCTTTCTGGTTGATTGCTAACAAGTCTTTTCATCACCCAGCAGTGGCCTCAACCTGACGACCAGAAAATCCTCCACTATAGCCTGAGTGAAACACGCCCCTCTCGCCTCACTTGGGGGACTGGTTCGCCCACTTTTCCTACTCCATACCAACATCACTACTGCCCTGACCAACGTGAAGATAACAAGCAATCATAGTATCTACGTAGCACTTGTCCCACAAATTCGCATTGCTTTTTCCTACTGGTGCACTGACCTCTGGCTTCCATGCCTATCTGTCCACAACACTCCATCCAAACGGTCGCTTGGTGACACCAGACCAACAGGGCTACGCAGTAGTCAACGGCCTCGAACGATTTTATTCATTCCAATTTGCGACACAGAAGTCATACATCAGAGAAGCGATCAGCGATCGTCACAAAAGGTAACTAGGTAGGTACATATCCGTACCTGCGCCAGAGGTCGATATGCATCCGAAACTCAAACCATTCTGGAGCTATCGGTATATCATGTCCCAATCCCTGGGCGCCGCACCCCAATCTTGTATTTGATCGTCAAAAGTGTACCAAATAGCGAAATTGATCTCGGCCCACTAGCACAACTACGATGACGATCACTTTCACTCCTCTCCCCTGCAAATGCCAATGACAGTGACAATGACGGAAGGGTTTGTTTACAGGTGGGATGACTGATCTCTCGTAACCCAGAACCACTTTATTACTCCCCGGACGTGCATTTCCTTAAAGGTTCGCACCTATCTATTTATATAGATGTCTACTTCGTCCTTTCGAGGCCAGGTACCTAACGACAGGTCTCTCTCTGTACAGCATGTTAGAATCCAGCTGTGAACTGAACCAGCTCCCTACCGATACATCAAATGCCACATGAGTCAACGTCGACCCAGGGCCTGCACACACATGTTCACTCACCCCCGCAGCATCCTTAGCTTAGGCGGGTACATAGTCGTGTTGTATTTGGCAGGTATATACGGCCATCGTAAAACGACCGTTGGTGTTATTCTTACACATCTATACCAACTCTTCCAGGCATAGAGTCACAGGCGTTGAACCAGACAGGATTATGAGAGGCGCCTTGAGATCATGGAGATTGTCTCAGTTGCACAATGGCCGAGCTGTTTACACTACAGGCGACGTTCGATGCGATGTTCCAGTCCATGTTCATGTTCGTAGGGTCAAACTAGGCTAACGTATATCCAGATCCAGACGCAAACACAGGGTTCGGGTCCAATTTTATGGACGAAAAACCAAAAACCAAAAACGCCTGCTGGGCTTTTACATTGGCAAACGTTAGAGCAATACAATGTACATAGGTCGGTAAGGCGTTCATACAGGTCAGACATTCACAAGTGCCAGACACCTGTCGGGTATTGTGCACGCGCCGGCGAGCATCCACAAAAAGGAACATGTGTCGAGTTTTTCTTCCATTCCAAGAGATCTCGGGTGTTCCTGTGAAGTCATGCCATAAGGCTGAAATAGCTAAAGTTAATGCTCGGGTAGAGTCTTCCGAGTCTGCTTTCAATTTTCTAGTCCACCTTGATCGAACCGTAGATGCGGTGAACAAATTCGTAGGAAGCGAGGAATCCTATGGTTCCTAACAGAAAGAAAGGTGACATTAGTAACGCAATCAAGATACTCTGAGCATTCGAAGGGAACTTACCAGTGAGAACAAAAACCAAGAAGCTGATAAGAGCCGAGTAACCCACATAGAGCACCGTGCCCGTCAAGCCACCAAAGCTGACTCTCGTAGCCCAGAAGCCCAGTGCATTTAGGAACACATAACCACCGGTCATACCAGCGCCGAAGAATGCTCTCCACTGCCAGCGGTAATCCTCGGCACAAAGCAGGAAGTACACGAGCAGAATCGTTGTGCAGGCCGAGGTGACAACCAGTAGACCATAGCAAATAAAGAGGAAACCAAACATGTAGTAGATCTTGCTGGTCCAGAGTGATGTCATGATGAAGTACAGTTCGACAAAGATGGCGCAGAATGGCAGAACCCCCGTCAGCAGGAGGGAGGGGAATGTCCGGAGTGATCGAGACACAGGGGGAATTTGTCGTGGAATCTGGTTGGTGCGGGTTGGTGACTCTATGGCTGGTTGGCGGAAGCCATACCAGGACCCTGCCACGCTGAGCGGAACGCTGATCAGGAACCAGATGGCGATGATGGCCAGCATGGTCGTCAGGGGTACGGCGCCGCTCGACCCCTTAGCCCATACGAAGATGTTCAGGAAGAAGAAGACCAGGAATACGATGCCTGGGACGAACACCGGAGTGAGTGCAATGTTCACCTTCCACTTCTCCCCACCAAAGCTCTTGTATGAGCGAGCAGAGACATATCCGCCAATGCAGCTAAAGATGGTGTAGAGGAGAAGACTGATGGTGGTCAACCAACCTCGATTGGATGGGGATAAAAAGCCCAGCATCGCAAAAGCCACCGTCACTCCGGTCATGACAAACAACTGGACACCACTACCGAGCAGAACACTCAGCATCAGTGGATGAGGCGGACTCCGAAAAACATCTCCATGGACAAGCTTCCACCCCGAGTCTTCTTGGATGTCTTCTTCAACAGCCGAAGTGCCGGAGAGATCATCCAGATTGATATTTTCCAGGCGATTGTATCTTGCGATGTCTTTGCGCAGTGCCCTCACCATGACAGTGCTGACCATACCAAGGAGGAAAACCACAAACACCGTTGAATTGATGAGTGAGAACCAATGGATCTTGGGGTCAATAATGTGGAGATATTTGTCCCACCGAGTCGCCCAGGCGGTAGTGGATGGGCGCCAGTAGACACTGTAGGTGTATGTCACTCCAGTTTCTCCTTTCTCTTTGAATGTGAGTGCGCTGGATGCAGTGGCACACTCGGCTTTTCCTCCTTCGAGATATTTACTGCCCGAATATGACTGCGGTTGAACCAGGACCCCCACCACACGGTACTTCGTGCCACGCAGGCCGGCTTTATGGTAGTCAATGATGATATCCCAGTGGTTGTGCAGAATTTTGGTGCCATCCTCTTTCACCTTCCCCAGTGGAAAGCCGGGACTCGAGAAACGTTCGTGAGTCAGGGGATCCTCTCGAAGTTCCGCTGCGGGCAGACCATCGATCAGGAGATTGACGTTGTATGCCTCTTCAATGCGGGAGCTGACAAACCCGGCCGCGCTTTCATCAAATGGAACGCTCTTGCAAGCGACTTTGCAGGTTTCATTCTGACCCATCCGAAGTTCAAAGGGCGATGTTCGTATGCGGTCGCCGAATATTATGCTGCCCAACGATTCCCGCACCCATTGGGGCCCTCCTTCTGGCCGACAAAACCGGAAAGCAGGGTGATAGTAGTCAAACGAGACTACCGCATGGATCTGTTCGTCATGTCGTGATATTGAGGGTGTCAAGGCATTGACTGTTAATGGGACCCGGTCGCCTAATGAGTACGATGATGGGGCGACGCCGGGGAGGTAGAATGCTGTGGCGGGCTGCAGGAAGACCGCGCACAGCAGTGCTGCAGATAGTAGGTGTATCATTGCAGTCGACGAGTCGGTGGATCAGGAATATGAGAAGGGAGTGGTCGGAATTCGATGGTAGAAATGGAGTTGCCTACTTGGAAGAGGCAGGATCACCTTCCACTCATCGTTGTGTCTCACAAGATATCTAGATGCAAACAAGGCAAGAGCAATTAGGGATGTGATTGAATAGTATCAAAGAACAATTTTTTGAGCAGCGAGTTGTTTAGTACTCTTTGTGCAGTGACCCTGGACTCGTGTCCTTTAGTTGGCGAGTCTCCTGGCCGAGTTCGCGCTGTCAGTCGCGCCTTTAACTTTTTGTTAGACAGCCAAGAGTTATGCCGTATTAGGTACGCATCGTCGTAAAAACTTGTACCGTGCTTGTAAAGACATAATTATGGCGGGAAACAAAAGGTCAATCTGTGCATCATACCTGTAAATTATCTCAATTTGTCGAAATGTGAAAGTGCACTAATATCTGCTAATGCCTGGTATAGGAGCCGCTGTATCATTTGCAGCCATCACTGGCAGACGGCAGAGTCGGGAGTTGAAGCAGGTGTACACAAGTCCCTGTCATAGTATAGATTCCGCGGACTTGTGTTCGAGTTAACTTGGATCGGAATCGAACGGAATCAGGATGACCATTTCTGTCCAAAGGATATGGAACTGGAGAGGTGACGAACGACAACATCTGTTCAAGGGGCTACTTTTGGCAATGCCGGGTTAAGCAATCAGCCATAGACCAATTTACTCAGCAACAAGTCAGTCGTTATTTCATCTCAAACGTCTTCTGTATCCTAGGTCTCGTACTCGTATACACACACACACTCTCACTCACTCTCTCTCTCTCTCTCTCTCTCTCTCTCTCTCTCTCTCTCTCTCTCTCTCTCTCTCCTCATCCCAGAATTTGTGAATTTGTGCAGCTTTTCGTCCTGCCGATCGTATCAAATCTTCCTCCTTCCACAATCACGTACACTCATTTAGCCCCAAATCAGGCCTTCAATGTGATGGATAGTAGACTGCTCCTCTGAACGCCAACTTCCTGCTTTGCATTTGCGTTTGCGACCCAGAGGAAAACCAAAAGTCAAAGTCCACAATAAAAATAGGAAAAGGTCGGGATGAGCTCAATGTCCCAAGTTCAGACCTCAGCGTCGGTAACAGCCACCATATGCTCGTCCTGCCATTCGTACAAATATGATTATGCATGAATATCAGCATCTTCGGCCGGGTCATCTTCCTCATCATACCAACCCGTCATATAGCGACAAAGCCGAAACGATGGTTTCATCCCTTTTACTGCCTTCTTTGAATTCGGCCATGTCGAGGCTGCCATTCTCATCCTTGTCCATCATTCTGAATATCTTGCGAACGCGTTTCTCGGGGGTGTCCTCATCCTCGGGTAATTTGACCATTGAACCGACCTGGAAAGAACGGGGTAATTGCTGTCAGCCTGACAAAAATCTCACCACACCGATGGGACCACATTCACAATCAGGGATAAGCGAACTCACCATCTTGTAGATAGCCTCGACAATAGCGAGCATTTCCTCATAGCTGATCTTTCCATCTCCATCGATGTCGTATAGCTGGAATGCCCAATCAAGCTTGTCCTCCATTTTGCCACGACTAGTCACACTGAGGGCGCATATGAACTCTTTAAAATCAATGGTGCCACTCTTGTCCGAGTCAAAGACCTTGAAGACATAATCTGCAAAGGAGTTGGGATCGCCAAAGGGAAAGAATTGTCGGTAGATTTTCTGGAATTCTTCCTTGGTGAGAGTCCCCGAAGGACAATCTTTAAGAAATCCTGAACATGTTCAGCCGCAGTCAGGGAGGTAGAGAACAGGCGTCGAGCCTACCTTTATACCATTGTTGTAATTCCTTCTTGTCGAAATGTGTGGACTTTTGTAGATCTTCTAATTGCTGGGGCGTCAACTTGGACTGTCTGCGCAAAAGCATTAGTTGTATTGCTCCGGTTCAGCTGTTGGAAGCACCGGAGCGGTGGCTCACTTCTGACCCATTCTTAACCCTCCTTAGGCCTTGCGGCCTTGTTAGTCCCAAGTCAAACGAATTCAAAGATTAAATCTCGAAGGGGGTCGAATCCGGGGTGTGGTGGTTCGTAGTCGCACTCTGAAATCGGCACGGAGTTTCTTCTGTTGCGATAGCGGGGTAGGGTGTGACTGAGGTGCGAGTCGGGTTGGACGCCTTGGGATAAAGAAGTTCGGAAAGGATGAAACGGAGCAAAGGTCGAAGAATAGAAGAGGTCAGGGTAGTATGATGGGTGCACAAAAGATTAACCAAGTCAAACAGCAGTGGGATGAGCAGAAGCAGAAGTTGGAATTGTGAAGAGCGAAAAGGCAAAAAGAGACGGGTCGGAAGGCAGACGCAGAAGCGTGTCGGACCAACAGGAGTTCAGTTGAGTAAACGCAAACGGGAATGCTTGTGTAATAAGATTTGCAGGGACAGGAGAATTACAAGAATAGGTGCCCGGATAGATTGATCACTTCAGCCTCCGAGATCCAAGTGTCAGTCCTGGGCGTCCACTCGGTACATGAGTTGTTCTTGTAAGCGGTTAGCTGGTTGGAAACAGTTTGTACGGAGGAGAAAGCTAACCGACTTGGTCGTATCGCAATAACGGGGTGCCCGGCGTGTGAAGTCACTGGCAGGGTCCGGGCTGATGACTCGCCTCAAACATAAAGGGTCATGTCACGGTGGGGGAACAAAGCAGCTCGCTTGATCTTCAAGTTCAGGCGTCTCTTTGGAGTCTGGACACCGAGTCTTGACTCTCGAGGCACTGGCACGAGTCACAGCCAGCCAGCCGCAACCGACAAGACTCCGAAAGGCAAGAGCCGCAAAGGTCAATATGCACCTTATTCATTTAGGGTATCCTTTGTTCAGGCATGATTCTTCTCAGGCCTAGAACCTTCGCCGCACAAGAAAAGCTTGGAACTATGTAAGCACTTGAACGATCAGCAACGATGTATGATTGTAACCAGTAAATGGCAAATACCGGGTTAGAGGCCTCGGTCCATTCTCGAGTTCCTACTTTCCAAGTCACCCACCAGGTCTCCGGTAGAGAGTACCGCGTGGTATCTTAGCCATCAACGAGACCTTTGACGGTTGCAGTGCGCGACTCTAGCAAGGCATGGCCAGTCTTCTGACTGAACTCCATGCTTCCGATTCTGGTGACGGAAACCTGAAAAAAATTCCCCGTTCGCCAGTTGTGTTTTGTCTATTCTAATAAAGCCGCCTGGTTAGTGTACAATACATCCACCACGTTGCTGAGTTTCTCGATCGTCTCCAACGCAGCATCATAGCCAGCATCACGCTCAACTTCATCATAAACAATCAAGCATCCCTCTCCCTGATCCAAAACACCAATGATGACCTTGTCAAGGATCATCTGTGACAACTTTCTCTCCACTTGTTGAGTATCGAGACCAACCATCTTGGCGACATGGTCAATTTCGACCTTGCTGAATGGCTCAATGACCTTAATCAGATTCTGTTCCAGCATAGCGTCATACAACCGTCGTAGGTGGTTGCGAATGAAGACATCACTACCCAGTTCGTAACGGTAGTTGGAAAGTGCCTGCTCGTATTCTTCCAGCGATCGATTGGAATGTGCTCGAGCCACGGCCTTCATGGCTTCAAGATTGGTGCCGGCATATTTCAATGCTTGCTTGGAGGACAAGAGCGAATTGACGTCGTCCACCAAGTTGAGCATGATCTTGCAGAGCAGCATATACTGTAAAGCTGATGTTGCACGTGCGGTATCGTCTTGAGCATGATAACCATCCAGAGCCTCGATGAAATACGAGAAAGCCGTGTTGAAGTCCTTGTCCTCGGCGTGTAGCATTCCACTCTGCATGTCCAACCCGGCCTGTAGTAGAGGTGGCGTGTAGACGGATGCTGCGGACGTCCTAGCTGATGTGAGAGCAGCTCTAGCTTTGGCCTGGTTTGTCAGTGCATGATAGACTCTGGATTCCAGCAATTGCACTTCCACCAACACCAGCTTGTCGTCGAGCCTCTTCAATTCTCGCAGTAAACCGTTGATGAGGGTAAGAGCATCGTAGTAGGCCTGTTTCTGCATATAGAGACTCACGAGTCTGGTTTCTAGGTTCTGTCTCAGGAATGATCTCTTTTCGGAATTGGCCCAGTCGATACATGATTTGGTGGTGGAAATCTGGAGTTCAAGGGTGTCTGGAATATCGGTGAAGAAGTCAAGGAGTTGTCGTACTGAAAACCCTATTAGTCAATGTCCAACAGGAATAATATATGATTCAAAATACCTAGTTTGGCTGTTTTCGCTTTGGCAAAGGATGATAAAGTTGACCTGCTTGTCTTCACCAACTCAGCAAGGTCATCTGTCCGCTTGCTGTCTCGATAGAGTTCTCCTAGGCCGACCAGGGCGTTTTCATAGTCTTGAAGAGCAGCTTGATTGGAACCTGGGGATTTGGCAAGGACTTCTTTGTAGAGACTTTCGGCCTGTTTGGGATCTGATTTGGCGAGCGATTTGGCCTCTTCGACCTTTGAGGGAGGAGGGACCATGACTGATTTGAGGGAGAAGAAAAGGTCGGATTAGGAAGAGAGAGAAACAATTGTTGGAGAGGACAATTGATCGACGCGCAGAGTAGGGGAGTTAGATGATTGATGGCGACGATATTGTTGTCATTTAGCAAACCCGCAGGCGCAGATGGAGACGCAAGCACGGCTGTGAATCCAAGCCAACTTTGGCAACGACACAAGGCTGGCACTGTTCTGATGGGTGGTTGATTGGTGTGTTGGGGATGACTAAGCCAAAGTTATCCTTTAACAGCCCCAAAGTTGAGCCTAGAGATCACCGTCGCGCCCCCAAACACCACCTAGCAGCTCAGAAGCCTCGCCTGGAACCCCTAGTACAGCTGTCCCTGCTTTCTCCAACTTGAAGAGTCCCCTCCTCTCCTCTTCTTCTGCCCCACAAAAAAGTTGAACTGCTTTTCTCCAACTCCAAAGTCGATCAAAAGTTGATCATCGAGTTCAACTCCTTCCCTTCTTCTACCTTTCAAGGCAATAGTACAATGTCGCTGGCAAGATGGTACGTCGACTCTCAACCTTCAGCTTCGAATTCTACTAATTCGTGTCTCAGAAAATAAAATCTCTCACCCGGCCTGCGGCGCCGCCAGGTGACGCCGTCCGCCAACCTCGAAATCTCGATCCCGCACATCATCCTTTTGAAAGAGCCCGTGAATACACAAGAGCCCTCAATGCTGTCAAGATGGAACGTATGTTTGCTGCGCCTTTCATCGCTCAACTTGGTAATGGCCACGTCGACGGGGTCTATTCCATGGCAAAAGATCCTGGTTCACTCGAAAGATTGGCTAGCGGGAGCGGCGATGGTGTAGTCAAAGTGTGGAATTTGACCAGTCGTGATGAGATTTGGCAGACAAGAGCTCATGAAAATGTGGTGAGAAGTGTCTGTTGGACTCCGGATCGAAAGTTGCTTTCGTGTGCCACCGATAAATCCATCAAACTATGGGATCCTTACAGTACCGACAACAATACTGCTCCACAGGCGACATACTTAGGACAGGGCGCTTTCACGTCCCTCTCTCATCATCGCGATCACTCTTCTTTTGCTGCTTCATCCAGTTCTATCTCCATCTACGACCTTTCTCGCCCTTCCTCTGGGCCAACCCAGGTCCTGAAATGGCCCACATCCACTGATACCATTACTGCCATTTCCTTCAATCAAACAGAGACGTCAATCCTTGCCTCCGCCGCCCTAGATAGGGCAATTATCCTTTACGACCTTCGGACATCCTCCCCTCTGGCCAAAACCACACTTCGTTTTGCGTCAAATGCGATTTCGTGGAACCCTATGGAGGCCTTTAACTTTGCAGTGGCCAACGAAGATCACAACATTTATATTTTCGACATGAGAAAACTCGATAGAGCGTTGAATGTATTGAAAGATCACGTGGCTGCCGTCATGGACGTCGAATTCAGCCCAACCGGCGAGGAGCTAGTCAGTGCTTCATATGATCGGACCATTCGACTATGGAACCGGGATCGAGGCCATTCCAGAGACATATACCATACTAAACGTATGCAAAGAGTCTTTTCAGCCAGGTTTACCCCCGACAATAATTATGTTCTTTCCGGATCAGATGATGGAAACATCCGATTATGGCGATCAGATGCTTCTAGTCGAGCTGGTGTCAAGTCAGCTAGACAAAGACAAAAGCTCGAATACGATCAAGCTCTGGTTAAGAGATATGCACATATGCCTGAAATCAGAAGAATCAAACGGCATCGACATATCCCCAAGACTGTCAAGAAGGCGGGTGAGATCAAAGGAGAGGAACTCAAGTCCATCAAACGCAAGGAAGAGAACGTCCGGAAGCATAGTAAGAAGGGCAGTATGCCTCGTCAAAGTGAAAGAGAAAAGATGGTTCTGGCGGCTGAAAAGTAATGCCCACCATGGGAGGGTGTACATGGGATTTTTGGATTTTTTGCATGAGACGATGTTATGTTAGCGAATGGATCCGTGATCACGGAGGGCGTGTGGCGTTTGACCATGAGAAAATGGAAGGACAATAGAATACCTAGGTACATAATGACCGAGAATACCCATCAGAAATCAACATGATAAAAGTTTGATATTTATTGGAAGAGTCGAAGGCACTTATAACAATTATTTGAAATTTGTCACAGTCGTTGAAGTCGACAGCCTCGTAATGCACATGATATTCACATTCCATCCAATCAGTCAATTATATTCCTAGAAAGGCTAAGTAAGATCGCCTTCCAACCTTTATATTTATCGATCTTTGATCAGTGTCCGCTTTACTCAACGACCTCGCAAGACAACCAAATCAGTTTTTCTCAGTGGAGTAAGATGAGCGGTGCAAAGAACAAGTTTGATCTAGGGACACTCTTGAAGAATCAACCACAATAGACTACGCATGTCTTGAGCCCAAACACGACAACCCCAACCGTCACCACATGCTCTTCACCCACCAACAAAGAGTAAAGTAAGAAAATTGACCCCGGCGTCAATAAGAAGGATGGCTCGCTTTGGTGCCAACAAATCCATCTTAGACTCATTCCTAACAGAGATTGTGTCCAGCATCCGCAGCAAAAATGGCCAGCGTATTGCAGAACTCATCCAACTGGATTTCGACAGTCTACCGCCTGAGCGACAGAAACCTTATGCCGAACTCAACGCCGAACTCAACACGCAATATCCAGCGTCGTCCAACGACATGCAGCTGGTGACGCGGTGCAAGAGCGTACTGTCACAGGACGAGTTTGGATCTTTCAGCTCGCCTTTCTCGGACAGCATTGTCCATTACTTTCGCTATCTGAGAGATTTCACTACGGCGAACAATCGTGCGAAAGCTTTGAAAATCAGGCAGTTGACGAGGTAGGTCGAGCGCTCTCTCACCTCTCGATGCTTGCCTTCATTCCATCTCAATATATTCTCTTAAACTTCCAGACCTTGACGCTAACACCCTCCCAAAAGCCAATGTGTAACCGCACTAGGCGACTCCAAATACGGAGTGATAATGATACCCATCGTTCTATCATTCTCACGCGTCCTCGCGGCCGTAGCAACAAACCTCGACCGGAACCAATCTCAACAACAACAGCAACAGCAACAATCCGCCCCAGCTGGATCCGCCGTCGCCGGCGGCGACACTCCCGGCAGCAGATTCAGCTTCGTGGAAGACGCGGCCAACGTACTCCGCGACGCCTTCATCAAATGCCTGGCCGGCTCCCCAGGCGTACCGAGAACGTCGCGCCCCAGCCCACCAGACGACAAACGGCTCGGAATCTACCTGACCGCCAACTCGTGCCTCAAACTCCTCACGCAATGCGGAAAGCTGCGCAACGCCCAGCAGATGTTCAGCAGCATCGACGCCCAGTCGCCACCCCTGGCATTCTACCCGGCCGCCCAGCGCGTCACTTACCTGTACCACCTGGGGCGATACCACTTCGCAAACAGCCACTTCATGCGGGCGATCGCAGCCCTGCAAGCCGCCTACGAGCAATGCCACGCCCAGGCGCTGAAGCACCGCCGCGCCATCCTCATCTACCTGATCTCCGCCAACATCTGCGTGGGGCGGTTCCCGTCGCCGAGGACCCTGCTCTCGCGGCCCGAAGCACTCGATCTCGCCCCCTACTTCGTCCCGCTGTGCAGCGCCATCCGCTCCGGTGACCTCGGCGCCTTCCGCCACCTCCTGACCCTTGACGACCCTGACACCACCAGCACCAACACGAATACCTCGGCCCGCTGGTTCCTCCGGCACGCCGTGCTCCTCCAATTGCAGGATCGGTGCGAGATCCTCGTATGGCGCAGCCTGATCCGCCAGGTCTTCCGACACGCGGGGTACCTGGGGGCCGAGGAGCGCAAAGTCCCCTTTCTGCGCCTGTATCTCGTGCAGCAGGCGGCGCGATGGGCCGTGAGCCGGACGAGACTTGAAAACAGCAACAACGCCAACAACGCCTCCTCCTCTAAAGACGATGACGACGAAAGCTACACCGACCCCGAACTGGCCGACATGGACGCGGCTATCCACGAGACGGGCTTCGACCTGTCGTCGGGCCAATACCTCGACATGGACGCATCATCGTCATCCGCCGACCTCGTCGACTCCCCTTCCGCCCTCCCGACCCTGCACTCCTACTCCCAGCCCTCCAGTCACTCGCAATGGCCAAGCATGCCGGAAATCGAAAGCATCGTGCTGAGCCTGATCCAGCAACACCTGCTGCGGGGCTTCGCGACACACACGAACCCGCGCTTCGCCGTCCCGGGTGCCCAGAAGCTCGGCGGGCCCATGAAGGCCGGCTTTCCGGGCGTGTGGGCCGTCATTTCCGCGCGGTTGGGCTCGACGACCAACGGCGGTGGTGGTGACCTGGTCGTGCCTGGCTGGGTGGAGGAGAGGAGTTTGCGGAGCTCGGCGAGCGGTGGTGGTGGTGGTGGTGGTGGTGTGGTGAGGATATCTGGCGCCAGGATGGCGGGTGCGTGATTGTGGTTTGTGTGAGGGATATTTCGGTTGGGCTGGGCTGCTTTGCTTTGCTTTGTGCTGCATTGCGACACAACACACAATGGGCGGAAAGTAAATGGTAAGGGTGCGACTTATGTCGAGTGTGGAAGAAGATCCTGGAGGTCATGGCACCTGAAGGCCAGCAATATCTTATAGCTAAGCTGGCTGGCTGGCTGGCGGGCAAGATAGCCACGAGGAAGAGCAGTGGAACAGCATACGGGCAGAAGTGATATATTTTCTCTCCAAGGTTATTTATCCTCCTTTCACATACTATCACATCAGGGCGCGATCTGAACACCCACCCACAGCTATAGGGATTTCAATAATACCCAACTCAATACTGAATGTCTGCGAGATGCCATCCATTGCTTCGAAATCATACCCAAAACGTGCATCACCTGTATGGCAACTATGCTGCATAATTCCGTGAAAGAACAACGACAAGAAAGGACAATGTGGTATATAAACATGAACAAACCCAATCATATCCACATCGCAACATATGCAACCGTAGGAATAAGTAGGGCCCGGCCCCCTTTCAAAGACAAAAGCTAAAAAAGCGAGCCAAAGAAAATTCGTCAACTCTGTCATATCGTTTCGTTTCGTTCGTCTCATAATATCTGATTTGATTTGATTCGGATTTGGTTTTTTCGCTTCAATGTGGAACCGGGGCTTGGACGTTGCCTCGGTCCAACACTAGGTAATTCATTGAGCTATGCTGTAAAATAGTGAAAGATGGAGACCCAAAAATGCGTCAAGACATTGCATGGCATGATCTTCTGATTTTCTTGCTTGGTCGGGAAAGAACAATAGAGCCCAATAAATCCTTTGGGATGCGACTACTGACTTTATTTTGGCTGACTTCAGATGATGGAATCGGCCCATAGACTTATCGGAAGCACCTCTGGGGGCTGTTGCCACATGATTCGGAGAACAATCAGAGACACTTTTCGGGGGACTCTCTACCCTATTTTGCTTCCTTCCAACTGCAACGGGTTTGTGGTGTCGTGATGAGTGAAAGAAGGTCAAAATCCGAACCCGTGATGATTTTCGACGTGATTGGTATGTCGACGTCTGTCATTGTATTGTCTGCGGGGACCTCATCTCGCGGATCAAGGAATATCGGAAGCAATGGGACTGCCAATGGCAATCACGTCTCCCAGGGCATATCCGCATCCTCGACGCGCGTACAAGTGAGATACCCGAGCCCACCACCACCGCCATCGGCCAACATGCGGAGATCCAGTTCGAGACAATTCCTAGTCAAGGGTTTGACGATATCGCGAGCGACATTCTTGATTTCGTCGATCTTGCGCTCGAACCGACGGACATTATCACGTGTATACAGCGTCGCCGAGGCGGAAGTCGTGCCTGGTGGTTGGATCTTCAGGAAGCGTTTCAGTTCGTCATGGTTGAGGAAGGATTCGGGGTTCGTGCTGCCGATTAGTCGGAAGATGCGGCCTGTTTGAATTGGAGATGGAGGTGGAGGTGCTAGCGTTTGTGGAGGGCCTGGTCGTCCAGGATTTTGCGCTGGAGCCAACGTGTTGGGATTCTGTGGGTTATTATTGTTATTATTCGCCGTGCCAGGTCTAGAGCCTGGCCCGTTCTTCAGAATTCCTCGGACTTCAGGTGTCGTGTTCTCTGCCAGCCACTGTCTCCATAAACTCATGGCCAGCCAACCCAGATAATCGTTGGACGGGTTAACTCTTTCCCCGCGGGATGTAGTCAACGTCAACCGAAACAATTTCGTCTCGATCTTCTGCTTCATCTCCTCCAGCTCTTCCACCAGATCCTCAATGAGATGGATCACAGTGATGGGCACTTCATACCCACCTCCCGAATGATCGGGTGGTTTCAGATAAGGCGATGCGGACGGCCATTGGCCAACGACGTGTGTAAGAGCTTCGGAGAATATAATCTTGCTTCGGGCGAGATATCCCAGTTTGAGATAACTCGGGGGGTATTTCGCGATCTGCTTGAAGAGTCGACTTGAGAAACGGAGCAGGTGATGGTCGATGCGTGGTCCTACCACCGGAAGAGCATCGTACATATCTGCGAGTGACAATAAGGCTTTACATTCTGAATAGGCCGAGGCGATGTTGCTGGAGTTCAAGACTGGGGGAAAATTGTAGAAGATGCGGAACAGGTTGTCGTAGTCGCGCAACAAGGGATTTGTGAGTGTGGGATCTGGAATGGTATTATCGAGTTGCGCAGTGGACTGTGACGCTGGTCCATGATGAGATAGAGCCAGGTTGGCCATTGAGCGGAAGAACGATGTGTGAGTCGGCTGTGGTCTCGGCCTTTGCTGTTGTGATAGAGGAGGAGGTTGAGATGGGCGGAAAAGTGGTCCTTCTGGTGTACGTTTGACCAAGATAGGTTCATCATCCTCTTCCAGATTTTCCCAATCGAGTTCGTATCGAAACCTTCGGCGCGGAGTTGAGGTCGATGACAATTGAGCCGTGGTCCCTGTCATTTCAGCTACGGACGCCGGTCCTGCCGCCACTAGGGGTCCAGGAATCGTACTCAACTGGGACGATTCTTCACCTATGGCACTCAGAGCCTGGGCCGCGAGTGGCGCCGTCGAATTCAGCGGCAGAGTTGTACTCTGCGACCATTCGGCGCTCGTGCTTGCTTCAAAGAAGCCCGAGAATTGCGCCAGGGTAAATCGATGTAAGAGGTATTTCTTCTCCTGACCGTCGCATGACAAGACGAGCTCGACATCGCCTGAGTGGGAGAAGAAGGGAAATTCATTCTGCGGAACATGTGTTGATCCGCCATATTGTGTTGCTCCACGGTGATGATGGTGCCTTGAACGGGATGTTCTCGAAGTTACGGAGCGTGCGCCACGCGAATGCTCGGCCACTTCGGCTCGAGAGACCATTGCCACTATTCGTACAGTGTAATGTCGATATGACTATTAGATCAGGCTGGCATTGGGGTCGGAGAGCATGGTCTATGGGTGGAATTGATGAGGGATCTGCTGGGGATGCACTTCGCCGGTCGTGAGGGAGCAGTGGTGGGATGCGAGGGACAAGCAGGAGAATTGAGAAGTGTGAGGGCTGTTGTGTATGGCCTTGGAATTTTAGAGGTTGTCTGCAAAGTCCCTCTTCAGCCTACGCGCCTCATTCTGAGGGAAGGACGCCTTGGGGTAAGGGTTGTGGTGGGATGTATTGGGGCGCTGTTGCGGTTGCGGGTGGTGAGAAAAACAAAAGCCTGGATGCGATACGGCAAGGATGATAGGCGGGGGGACAGAAACAATCAGCTATCACTGAGTGAGATGTTTCATGAATTTCGAGAAGAAACACCTGGTCAGGGAAGAAAAAGAACTGCAGCGGCCGCGGCTACAGAGACATCAGAGAGAGGAGTCACGACTCACGAGAAGCCCACCAAGGCTGATACTCGTAGGTACTCGTAGGTAATTTAGGTGTTGACCACCGCCCGCCGTGACGCCCCAGCAGAGTGCGGCTGGAACCGTGCATCTGACCAGCGGTCATTCCCTTTGTCTTGCGTCTGGGGAGGCCGAAGTGTGGCGAACGAGGGAGCGACCGGACAGATGAATGGATACAGCTCGTATGCAGGTCCATGCAGGCTTGGCCAGTCAAGGCCCCAGAAGACGACTGAGAAAGGCAAAGACCAAGGCAAGACCCATGATCATCGACTCTTGGGACCACGATTCGATTTTCATTTGCGGGTGCCCATCCTCGCTAACAAAGCCCATGAGAGGGTCACGGATTTGCAGTGCAGAGTTTTGCAATTGAACACTACTGAAGCTCAGATGGGTTGGAAAGAATAACTTAGGTCATGTTATTCCAGTCCAGTCTAATTGTACCCCAGGGCAAGCCTATTGAACGGGTGACCGAGTCTGTTTAGCCCCTGCTCTGCCGACTCTTCCCTCCCCCAACACACACTGGCAGTTGTAACTCTACTGGAACCTCAACGTGCAAAACTGAGCCACATAGGTATCCTGTCTTCATGTCAAGGATCCCAATCCTAGCATACTCACCTCAACCAACACCAACTAACATGCACAACACGACCATACAAAACTGTACACACACCGTTGGGGCTGGGGGACGACGCATGCTACTCATCGTGCTCCGAGTTCTTGTCCCACGCTTTCAAGTTCAAGTTCAAGCTCAAGTTCGCCAATGCCAAGTTATCCATCCTCTTCGAGTTCATCCATAATCGCAATGCTATGCTATGCTATGCTAATCCACTTCATGCTCGGGTCCAAATCAAAACACCGCCGTCAGCCCACTCTTGGACTGTCTTTTACTGAATCGTTTTCTTCCCTTGAGGGATTCCGCGTCCCCTCCAGAATGTTGCTTGTGTAGTATTCCTCGCCCACTGTGTGAGTGACTCCCGGATGGTGGGTTCAGATCCGTCGCGTGGTCAATCGTGCTCGCATGACTGGAAAGTGCCGATGACGATATGTTGAGTGAATCATCCGTCGAGTAATTGTTATTCGAGTTTTGTGTCTGTAATGAAATGGCAATCTCGCGTGCTCGGACAAGAGTGTCGAGCCATTCTTGCGCCGATGTGGCTGATGCCATTTGTTCTCCAGATGAAGGTTTCTGATCTTCAAAAACATAGTGCTTGTCCCGCTGTCAATCCGTTAGTCGGTCATATCACCCAGTCCACAACTCACAAACTTACTGTGTTGACAATCCACTGAGTAACCCCCTTCATATCAGTGGCACTGGAGATTTCAATGCCCGGCGAAAGCAATGATATCTCCGACTTGGACTTCTTTTCTTCACCTCCCGCAGCCGCGATGATAATCCGAGCACTCGACGTCACCATCACCAACCTCTGCCTCTTCTTCGTCGTGCTCCCTCCGAACAACCGTGATAACTTCCCCCCGCCCTCATTGCCGTGCGGACTGTGGGGATTGGGTGCGGATAGCACAGAAAGATTCCCCAATTTCAGTATCCTCTCATTGTTCCTGGTCAGTACTGGAGACCATTCAATGTCAAGTTGGCTAGGAGGAGGTAGTTCCGTAATCACTCTCGGCTTGGGCTTCTGGTTGCTGGGCGGGAGCATTGTCGGGTGTGTGCTGTGGCTCGATCCAATGTCAGGAGGATAGTTCGTTTGAGCACCTTCTCCATTGAGCTTGATGGGCGGTGCTGGGGGCGGTACATAGGCTTTCAACCGAGGTGCTGGTTGTTGCCACAACCCTCGACCCCATTGAATGCCTTGGAAGAATTGGTGATTCTTCGCGTGTTCGATAGGTAACCTCATCTGGGGGTCCAGTACCAGCAGTCGCTCAACCAAATCTCTGGCGACCTCAGGAAACCCTCGAGGAAACTCGTAATCGAGCCCGACAATCTTCTGGAATGTATGATAGTCATTGACAGCCTTGAACGGCGGCCGTCCCGCCAAAAGTTGATAGACAATACAACCAAAGGCCCATAAATCGCTGGCCTTGCAGGCGCATTTGTCAGTTAACAGCTCGGGGCTGACGTACTCAGCAGTCCCAACAAACGAACTCGCTCGATTCTCGGACGACGTTGAATCAGACTCGAATCCAACCGGTCTTCCATCGTCATCCTTCTTTTCTGGTAGTATCTTGGCGGTTCCGAAATCAGTGACTTTGATATACCGGTTGTCGTCAAGCAATAGATTTTCGGGTTTTAAATCTCGGTGTATCACTCCACGGCTGTGCATATATTCAATCGTGTCCAGTATCTGTGCCGCGTAAAACCGTGTACACTCCACATCGAAAGTCGACATTCTTTTCAACACTCCCAACAACTCTCCACCCGGACACAAATCGAGAACAAAATATAGCGATCTTTCATCCTGAAAGGTATAGTAAAGCCTCACCACCCCTGGATGGTCTGTCAACCGGTTCAGAGTGTCCTTTTCGATATTAACGTACTTGACCTTTTTCTCCTTGATGATGTGACGTTTATCCAGGACCTTGATCGCATAGTCTTTCCCACTCTGTCGGTCTTGAGCTGCAAGCACCGTACTGTAAGATCCTTCACCCAAGGTTTGGCCAAAGTTGAAATCCTTGACTCCCTTCTTGACAGCCTTCAGAACTTGCCGACCTTCGGCATCATATTCTCGTTTGACCCCTACAGCGGCCCCTCTTTCTTGCCAGTCATTGTCGGCGCTGGCTAATGGACGGTCTTCGATATTATATGGCGAGCTGGACAAGGGTGTTTGGATTGATTTTGGTGTGGTTGAGAGAGGTGTCGTTCCGGCGGGTGTATTTCCCATCCGACCTCCGGTCAAGCCCCTTGAGCTTCTCCTAGGAGGTAAAGGGCCGTTACCAAAGTTATATTGGCCTTGTCCATATGATCTCTCAGTATGACTATCATCTCTCGAGGGGACACCGGCCACATCCCCGATTCCGGAACGTTTTGATGACGATCGTTGAGGAAATGCGGCTGAAGCTGAGCCGTCACTACGGACTCTGTAGGAACCCTGGCGAGACAGATTGTTACCATTGGCAGCATTTACTGGCATCTGAGTGTAATAAGTCGAACCGGGTCGGGAGGCATTCTGTCGTGGGTCGTGAAGGTTCTGTGGAACCATGGTGGGATACTGTGGGAACTGCGATTGTTGTTGGTCTTGGTAGGTATAGGGGATATTCTGTCGGGGTTGAGACCGATCGGAGGGGCGACCATTCTGTACAAAGGAGGAATCGGTGGGAGTGGCGGTGGGAGTTGGCATATCTTCTAGCGGAGCCTCTTCGATGGGTGAGACAGGACTGTCAGGCCGCTGAGGGATGGATTGCAGATAGTCTCCGGGTCTCCCCAGAGCATCGACGAGTGGAGAGACTCGTGGGAAGGAAGTTGTAGGATGAGGTTGTAATGGGGTGTCTGGTGATGCATCATCTGGGTTGGCGATCCGTAAGGGACCTAAAGAAAGGTCGGCCATTGTTGTTATTGTCCAGGTTTGAGACTCGTGGACGAGGTGGCTTGGAGAAGAGATGGAGGTGTCAGTTAGATGACGTGCCTCTCTAGTTCAGCGACAAGAACTAGGTTAAGTATACGAATGGGTGCATTTTGACGAATTCGACATTGAGTGGAGAGATGGGAGCGGCCTCTCGTCTTGCTAAATGCCCCAGAACGATATGGGATGGGAAATGGTGGTGGTGGTGGCGGTGGTTGTGGTGGTGGTGGAAGCCAATTCGGATGTGTTTCAGAGCCTGTGCTGTGTAGTGAGTGGTTTGGGGTGTAACGGATCACCAGGTGAGTGTTTGAATTGGAACACTGGATCGTCGGTGGATGAGATGATAGCGAGCGTGACAGTATGAAGGATAGACAGACACAACACGGGCCGTTACTGAGTTGGATGTTAGTAGTCGGAAGTTGGAAGAAAGCTGCAGTTCGGTGATTGTGATTCAAGGCGTAGTGGTGGTTGTGGCTGAAGAGGCCGCTGGCAGGAAGCGACCAAAGAGGTACGAGTATCTCGTACCCTGTACCTAACGGAGTCGTTGCACCGAGTGTTCGTGGCCCTCGAGGTGGTGCAGTACGGCGTACCTAGGTAGTTTGCAGTGCAGCCTCAAGTCAGATTCCAGGTGATGGCTCCGGGTGTGTGCAGCGCTGTACGGGGTAGTGTCCAGGTCCCCAAATTAGGTCAGGTATTGCTGGTGTCTCAGCTGCTGATTCCAAGGCACTACTGCCCACTAGCTGCCATTAACTCGATCAAAGAGGACTACACAGCCTGGCTGCCCAATAATTTGTCTGTATTCTCCACGCTAATAGGGTGCTAATGCCCACACCTACGACTTTGTAGTACAGAGTATTCTGCAGGACACCCATGGAACCCCCGCTGGACTCGGTTCGTGTTGAGAATACAGGGTTGAAGACTGAACCAACCTCCAGGGCTACTTCGAGAAAAGATATTTCCGTACGGATTATTTCTCCACGACCGTTGTTCTGCAGATCACTGGCAACGACAAGATTGCTGTGGAGACAGAATCCCAGCTTCCGTACTTCTGAAATCTCCGTATTGAACTCTACAGATATCCATATTAAACTGGAGCATCGGTCTCCAGAGTGTTTGTATTCGTAGTACCCACTCATACTGGTCCTTTATATTAATACTCGCCTGTCATGAGGTTGATGGACAACGAAACATTCATGCTAACCCTTTCGACACCAAACACCTCTTCCAATCTACCATTCCCGCTCGAATCAAAATCTCAGAAGTATCCATAGGTAGCCAAAAGAGACCAAGACACTTTCAATAGTGGCCAGCAATCATCGCCTTTTGACCCCAGCCTTGTCATTCGCCACAGCATTACCCGTTGCAAGTGCGTTCGCCTTCTCCTCGATTGGAGTCTTCGGTCCCGACAAGGTTTCGTGGTCCAGCTCCGTAGCCATCTCCTCCACCATACTGGCTCTCCGATTCCGCTTGAAGTCATCTGTAGGCTTGTCCTCAAACCTCTTGCGGACTGTTTCGATCATCTTTCCAAACCAGTAGAAGTTGAGAGAATTCAGAACCAGGTTCGAAACCAGGTAAACTCCCGCGAGCCACACTGGGATGGCCTGGGTGTGTGTACCCGCAAACTTCATCACCTCCGTTTGAGCTAGGATGCAGCTCTCCTGGCCCAAACACAGCTGCCCGTCTCTCGGAGCAAAGATGGAAGAGTGTGCCGACTCGTGCAATTCGCGATATACCGGTATTGTGGTGTTCAAATGCATCGTGTGCCATACATCCTGATAAACTCGAAGAGATTGATACGTGCCCCAGAGTAGTCGACAGCTGAAGAACATTGCCAGCAGCATCATGCCGTTGTACCACTGTAGTTTCGAGCCCGTCATATTCAGCTTGTCACAGAACCAATGGATATTCAGAAAGGGCGACGACAATTCGTATAGGATGAACACTGGTCCGTAGTAATTGCAGAATGGGCGCTAGATGGATTTGTCAGTTCAGTCACGAGCCTACACCATCCACCATCAGTCACGGGACAGCACTCACAAAGCCCAGGGAAAAGACCGACAAGGCGGTAATGGCATGGGCCCAGATGCCAGGACCAAAGATCTTGACATAACGGGTGCTGACGACAATATCCCAAACGAAATAGCCCGTCGCCAGCGCCTGAATCAACCCGGATGCGCCTGTATATCCATACACGCGCTCGACGGCACTGTGCCGCATATCGTATCGTTCCTCATCATTGAACATGACCCACAGTGCGAGTCCATTGATCAGACATGACTGCAGCAGCGACACCACGTGCACATCCCAGTTGATTCGCGTGCGTCGTGTCAGTTTAGGGTAGATGTTGGGAAAGAAGAGATTGGAGAGCACGGGTGAGAACAGCGATTGCGTCGACTGGTACAGGATGAATGCGAATAGGACTTCGTGAATGTGGTAGGGCAGCGACGGGAGATACAGGGCTTCGGCGTATGGTTTGGTCAGGTCGACGAGCCAAGGAGGCGGTGGTGGAAAAGGATCTCGCATGGTTGTTGGTAGAGGATGTAGGTTCGAGGGAGATGATAGGATAATTCGGGTCGTAGGAAGGGAGTTCAAGGAATGAGATGATTCTTCTATTAGGGATTGTCGTTCATTACCGATTCCGAGGTGGTGGTCGCAGGAGCCTGTGGGGACTGTACGAGTAAGGCACCAAGACGGTTAGTGACGTTTGGGAGTGTGTCGTGGGCGACGCTGAGGCTGAAGTAACGCTGCTTTTGCCCAGTGGGAGCCAAGACTGACATAGAGGGAATTTGGTGCCGAGGGACTCGTACTCGTAAGCCTCAGTACTACACATAACCACCTCAAAGTACTTTGCAACAGAGGGCTCTATCGGACAAAGGACACTAATTCAAGTCACTTTAGACTACTCCGCATGGAGACACTGTGTCATTCCTACACGGGTTCACAATCGAGACGACAACTTGACATCGCGGACCTTCCAGAACGGACTCACCCGAGTCACTGGATCACACCAAATTGTGGCACAGGAAATCAGCCTATGCATGCCACCAAAACATTGTTTTGGTCCAAGTCATTGATGTTGCCGGTACATGCTCCAAATGTATTACCAAGGCATATCGACTCGTCGATGTCTCAGTCGATTCTCAAACGAACCCGTGCGATATTCTTTCAGCTCATGGCCATGCAGGAAACCAACCGGCATCCCTGACAATGTTGATTGGGGATAAGGACAAGGTAGGTCCCGCTCGACGCTTGATTTGGTATTGAACACCGATAGTTTTGAATGCCCTCGAGCCGTGAGTAGAGTGCTCTGCATATTTCATTGGGCTCCACTTCTGTCCATGCTGTCCAAATCTGCCGCTGTCCATGACTTTTATAGTGATTGAATTGGCAGCGTTGCGACAAGGGAGGATAGGGTTGACGGTGCTCCACTGATATGGCAAGAAGTTCAGCCGCCTCCAACACCTGTCCCGAGCCTTACGCTAGCACCCATTTTGTCAAGAGGTCTAGGGAAGACTCGAATGGACGTCTTCGGGCACGAGCAAGTCGGCTTCATAGAGAGACTGGGTAATTATTGGATCGTACCACCGGCCTGCCAATTCCGTGATCTCTTGCGCCTCTACTCATAAGCCCTACAGCTTGAATGGAGAGTTTCTTACTTAAAACAACTGTCTCTCGTCCTCGGACACGGCGCATCATGCTCAAGAGCTTGCCATCTTTCGTACACCTCACAGTGTCCTGTTGATTCCAATCGCCTCGAAAGAGATTCTTGCGGCTCGATGGCAAACAGCTATCACTCACTCGGAGAACCGTCGATGCTAGCTACATAACACCAATTGATTAGGCAGACGGACAACGACGTGAAAAACATGTTTGGCATTCCGACGTTTCCGCTTGACATTGTCTTTCCCTTTTGATACATACATATCATCCTAACCTTAATACGATATTGCAGCACTTGGTTAGGACAGCGCGGCCAGTGTGATCCGAGTTTTGACTACCTAGTTAGTGTATATGGCCAGTGGGACGGACACAAACAAAAGCGGACCTCCCACATTTGCGAGATGGGGTGGTTGAGCTATGTACTACAGCTACTTAGGCATGTTCACCAGGGCAGCGCCATACTCCTCTCCAAGCGATGAAGAAATTCTTATACTCGAGAATCGCGATCCGTAGCAAGACCCGGAACTCGAGAGAATACTTCGCTCTTGAGACTCTCTTTCCACAAGTCCTCATATTCGCAGTGGGAAACTATGTGTACCTGGCTACTTCCTCTTGATGCATTGATAGGCAGCACATCAGAAAGGAGGCAAAGCCAATGATTGCATGTTCTTCAGCATGAACTAAACCCCCAGAGACACATAATGATTCCTGATCCATATCCATAACCAATCCCTATGATCATAAACCCCAACAATTACAAGACGCCCAGTATCATTATGTCGTTAAAACCGATAAGACAACTCGACTCAACTCAACTCCGTCGATCAAGGTCCAATCTCAGAGATGCATGTCCTGCGCGGTCATCTCGAAGTACTCGAGTGCTTCTCCCCTTCCGCCATCTGTTCCGGCTGTCAACGGCTCCGTGCCCAAGCCACTGTCACTACCATGGTATTTGAGACCCTCTTCCGTGATCAAAGGTGGCGGTTGAAGATCCGAGAGACCATCGACGACGATCTGAGCAGTGTCAAGATCATCCTCATCGTCCAGTGTCGTCATTCCCATGGAGTTATCCTGACCAGCATCGACCTGGTTGGGACCTAATCCGGAATGAAGAACAACAGCAGTATCAGGGTCTTCCTCTACTGCCTCTTCATCCTCCTCGGCAATCATGTCTGTCTGGCCATTGACCGTTCCGACAATGCTACTAGCATAGCTCGTTGAACGCCTGCTGACTGAACTGCCTGTGCCGTAGGTCATGCTATCACTATACATGACGCTAGTGCCGTAACTTGTTCTTCTCTCAGTGCTCACATCGCTTTCGTCATCATCCATGCTATCGTCATGTTCTTCAGTGAAGTTCTCTTTGTTCGTCAGATCAGATGGCACCCCGTTCCAGCTTGCTTTCCGTCCGTTAAGGTAGCTGCTAGGATTGCTTTTGACCGACTGGCTTCTCTTCAGGCTGACTAGGCCAGTCGACTTGGGAATGGGAGCAAGCACCAGTGCCATGTCAGCCGCATTCCGACCTCGGTTGCCTGTAACGTGACTGGTGCTCAGGATTCGTCGGTCGACCGTGGATGTCCTCGGAGTGGATGTGGCTTTGGCGTTGATGCCTAGAGGGTTTCTCTTCTTCAATGCAACACCAACAGCACTACCAATCGTGGAGTTGCCGGCCTTCAATGATGTCCTCCGAGTAACAGTGCTGGCAGTACTAGGGACACGCTTCAGATTCATCGAAGCATCACGATCAGCGGGAGAGACCTTGGGCCGTTGCGTTGTTCGTGGTGCTCTGGCCGACCGCGCATGATTGACTAGTCCTTCCAGTATACGACGTTCGAGTATTTCGGCTCGCGCATTCATGTCTCGCATTTCGTCTTGTCGAATACTCAACGCCGTCTCAAGTTTGGCAACATCTCTCGTCAGTCGTTTTGTTTGATTGATGAGATCATCCTGCTCTTTCCTCAACTGGGCCATGGACTCCATCATGGCATTTTTCTCTGCGTTGAGTGATACAATATCTGCTTCAACCTTCTCCTTCTGAGCAGTCCTCTTTTCCAGCGCGATGGCTGCTTCGGTGGCTTCTTGTGCCTTAGATTCATGATGCTCAGCCATGAGTCTGGCTTGAGTTGTAACCATGCCAGCAATTTCGGCGGCTGTTCCCAGCACCTGCTCATGGATTTCATCCAGCTTGGACATGGTAGAAAGAGAGTCTCTGGTATCTCTATGGTGATTTTCAATGCCAGCGAAAACCTCTTTTGCAAGGCTTGCGTGGGACAACAGAGTGTCTAACTTATCGTGAACCTCACTATCATCGTATTCCTTCTGAACAGGAATTTGAGGTACGATGATCGGGCTGGAAGGAGCTGCAGGCAATGCTGGTAGCAGAGGTGGAATTGCTGCAGGAATCGAGTCGACACCAGACTTGATTTCTTCAGTGGCTTTGGCAAAGCTCTCAGTCTGTTGTTGTGAGTGCTCGTAGTGCTGGCTCACAACCCCAAGTACTTCTCGGATGGCAGCTAGGACTGCAGGGTTGTGCTCAGTCGCCGAGCTTTCTAGTCTCATCGTGGCAGCAAGTGCTTTGGAAATCTCTTCTCGTGTAACTCCATGCTCAAATGCATTGGATGTGTGGAGGTTCTCCAGCTTGGAATTAGTATCCTCGATTGACTCAAAAACAGTCTTTGAATCCGCCGAGACTCGCTCACACGTATCGGTAACAGTAGAACCCAGAGTGTCCATCAAAGACTTGAGGTCGTCCACGACAGCTTTAGTCTTATTGGTGGCCTCAAGATGTTCGCCATCGCGGCCCTCCAGCGCGCTAAGTTTCGCATCGTTGGCAAGCTGTGCGTCATCGTACTTGGTCATGAGTTCATTGAACTTTTCGTCGATGATGTCTTTCAGGACTGTCCCTGTCTCATCATGTTTGCTGAACAGAGTCGCATCTCGCTCCTCCATTTCAGCTTTACTTGACGAGTGATGTTCCATATGCTTCTCAAGTTCGCCTTTGATCATGTCTGCCATCTCAGTAATACTTGTTGCTGTAGCATACTTACCCATATCATCGTGATGCATACCAAGGACTTTGTTCAATTCCACGATGCCTTCTGCGCTGCCCTCGACCTTCACCATGAGCTCGTCTCTGAGATCGCCAATCACATTCTTGACATCGTCGATTTTTGTAGCCAGTCCGCCGTGCTCAATCTTTCGGGCTTCGAAAGCTTGGGCAGTGAGACCATTATCGGCTTCGAGTTGCTCACGGAAAGCTTTGAGGTCATTCTTCACATCTGTAAGATCTTCCTTATTTGGAAGCGTGGCGAAGTCAGGCAGTTTGATATCCTCGAGTTGGCTTTTGATGTCCATGCAGAGAGTCTGCATAACCTCGAAATCAGTCTGAGTCACTGGCGATTCATGACCACTGCCTCCGAGCCCATCGAGCTTCAATTTGAAGTCTTCGACACTGCCTTGAACATCTTTCAGTAGCAGTTCAATAATGGTGAAATCTTCCTTGTTGTTTGTCTCTGCAGCACGTTCTACCGACTCTTCGATTGCAACCTTGATGTCTTTGAGACTGCCCTCCATGGCATCAATCTGAATAGCTTTGGCAAGTGGTTCAGCTTCAGGTGAGAACACCTCATCTAGCTGAGCTTTGACATTACGTAGTAGAGTTTCGATTGCATCAGTGTCGTCCTTTGATGCCGCATTTTCTGGCATGATGACTTCCGGAAGGGGGACATCGCGAAACTTGCTGACAGTGTCGTTAACCTGATGGATTGCTGTAAAGATTCCATCAAGATCGTCTTTGTGCAGTCTCATTTCTTCAGACTTAGAGTGATTGATTGACTGCTCAACTTGGTTGATGGCACCATAGATTTCATCCATATCATCCTTGTGAATACGAACATCCGAAGGCATTGGTGGTGCTCCCATGCCATCCAGTGCCTCGACTTTAATTCGGAGCTGGGTGATCATGACTTTCAGGCCTTCTATCTCCTCGGAAATACGGTTTTGATCATGAATAACCATTTCTTGACCCCTAGCGGACGAAGGATCCGAATTTTCATTTTGCTTTTCGTTGAGTTGTTGAATGTCAGCGCGTACATCCTCGATTCCGGTTTTCAACATATCAAGAATTTCAAAGCTCGTGCTTAGATCAACAGGTCTGTCAGTAAGTTTTTGAATGTCGGCCCGGATGCCATCAACGCCATCTTGAAATGCATCGAGCAATTCACTCGTGTTGGACAGAATGCTCTCGTTGCCATCCTTAGGGGCAGAACGGGCAGACTCTAGGCCGTCTCGAATGACGTCAAAAACCTCATCGCGGTCGAGATTTCCTCCACTCTTGATCAGTGTCCCAGCCAGCAGGGTGCGCATATGTTCGAGCTCTTCTTTGACCAAACGCACGATGTCTTCGCTGTTACTACTCAAAGATGATTGTCGATCGTCAGAGAGATCATGAATAGCATCCAGTATTTCGTCCTTGTCTAGTGTTTCGCCACTTCGACTGACACTCTTGCTGATGGTATCCCTCAAATGCTGAAATTCCTTCTCCATAGCATCAAGAAGCTCAGGTGTGTTTGGTGCTCCGTTCGTTCGATTGGCAAATCCCTTATCCAGATCAGCTTGCATAGCAGCAAAGCCAGCCTTGACAGTGTCGATGATTTCGTCTTTGCCAGTAACGTCAGAATTGCGGTCGACGTAGCTTTCGATGTCGCCTCTCAGGTCTTCCAGTCCATCTTTGAGGGCGTCCAGCACCTGCTCAGTGTCCTTTCCACTTGCAGCTGAGTATTGTTGAAACTCCGTCTTCATACTGCTTAGAAATTCGTGCATAGCTTCGATGACCCGCTCACCCATTCCGCCCAGAGGATTCTGCTCACCTTCCAAGCAGGCTTTGATGGCATCGAAAAGATCCTCCCGATTAAACTCGATGTCCTTGGCAACAGGTGCTTGTTGAGACAGACCTTCTTTAATGGCTTCAATAACATACTCTCGGGCCGAGGTCTCCTGCTCTGCAACTCCGGCACGGACAGCCTCGAAAACATCATCCTTTGTGAGATCGTTCTCGCGCGGAGCAGCCTGTGGTAAGCTTGGCCATTCAAACTCTTCCAAACAATCGCGTACAGCCGTCATGACTTCTTCTCTGGTGACTCCAGGTTGCACTTGAGCTTCAGGCGGCTTGAAATCCACCAGGCCTTTCTGGACCGCATCAATGACTTCTTCGTAGGTTGCGCCGGTATCCCGTGTGATTGGCTCTTGTGGATGGTAAGATTTCAGTCCTTCTTTCAAGGTCTCGAGTATCTCGTCGCGTTCCAGGCCAAAGTGTTCAAGAGCAATCTCAGGTTTGCAGTCCTCCCAAGCATCCCGGACTGCCGCGATGAGCTCCTCTCGCTCGGCAACAGGATCTCTGACCGGAGCTTCCTTCGGCCGTGGAAGATTGGTGATTGCATCACGGACTGCAAGCAGGATTTTCTCTGCATCGACTGTTGGGCGAACCTGCTCGAGAGATCGTTCGTTGTTTTCTTGAACCACAAGGTGCATATGTTCTTTGAGCTCGGCCAGACCTTCTTGGACAACAGCTGAAATTTCATCTCTTGTCGCGGCCTGTACCTCTGATGTTGTTGATGTGGATTTCTTTGGTGAGCCTGGTTGGTCTAATTTCCGCGCGATCTCTCGTCCCATTCCAAGTACTTCTCCACGCAGTTCTCGTACCAGGACCTTAACCTCATTCGTTAAGCCACCTCCCTGCGCTAGGGACTGTTTGACACTTTTTAGCATCCTCATGATCTCCTCGGTGATTGCTTCAGATGCCATCGCAGAAGGTTTTCCTTCGTTGCTGGATTTGGTCGTTGACATTGCTCCAGCGTCCAGATACATGTCAACATTGGAGGGTGATTTGCTATGATCTGCTCCGGCTGAGCGAATCAAGGCCTTTGAGCCTGAATTGTCTTTCATGTCCTTCATGATAATCAATATGTCTTCGAGTTTTGACATCATAGATGGATCAACAAATGGCTGGGAAGGACTCGCTTTCTCAGTGCGAACTAGTGCTTGTGACTTGACAGCTTCCAGGGTATTCATAATAACTTCCTGTCCCTCCCGAGTCGCCATTTCCCTTAGGACCTTCTCGAGGAGAGCAATGCTTGCCGCACCATCAACACAAGCGAGCGAGGGAGATGCTGTCAACTCTCGTTCGAAAGCAGCAGAAAAACTTGAGGGGCTCCCAATACGTGGAAGTCCAAAACTCTTTGGTCGTGGCGAGCCATTGTGTGCTTTTTCATCCAGGTAGAAGCCCATGTTTGGAGTTGATCTACTTGCATCCGGGGCAGCCAGAAGGCGAGCATCCAGGTTGGTAAGCTTAACCTCTAAGCCACTGACCAAGTTCCGTAGACTTTGCTGTATGTCCTGATGTCGAGTCGTTGTTGCATCTTTAAGACTCATCAGATCTGAATAGTTGTCTTTACTTCTCTTGTTGAGACTCGCCATCTCCTTTTGTACATTTGTGACAATGCTAGTCAAACCCAAGATTTGAGATGACAAAGCATCGAAGGAGTATATCGGTTGGGGCCCAGGAGAAGCGCTATTCGTGATGTCACTGAGAGGTGGTGTATCTTGTCTGGCTCTCATTGCCTGTAAAGCCAGCATATTGGAGCCTGGAGGAGTGTTTTCCAAATCCTTTGCTCTGGCCGAGCTTCGATCAGTTGGAGTTGGAGTCTCTGATCCCGAGCGAACGGGGCTGCGTTCTGGGGATCTGCTTGTGCGGAAGTCCTCGAAGTCCACAAATTTGGCGGTTCGAAGACCTTTGTCAGGAGATCTCCTCTCCAAGGAGTCGCTCAATCGAGGAAGACTTGGGCTTTGTATATTCTGCACCCTCCTGTTCTGTGCTCGCATGATGTTCCTGTCTGGTGAAAGCGGAGATGGTGCAGGATTTGTTGTGTAAGAGCTGGGAGCATTCTCTCTAGCTCGAGCAGCAATAAGAGCGGCTGCTTCGTCGATGCGCTTCGATGTGTTTGATCTGGTGATTGGACTTCCCACTGTTGGGTTGAGTGGAAGGGGAGGAGGAGCTCTGTCTGGATCTGAGCTATCCCACCTGTTCAGGAGGTCAACATGGTGGTTTCGGCTTAGAATGATGGTTGTTGGGGACGGGTAACTTACATGGGCACGGAGCTTCTGCCAGACTCCGAGTAAGAGTGTTGATGCTTTACCAAGCGAGACTCAGCACGGTCGCGGGAGTCGTCTCTGGCCATTACTGAGTTGGTCAATGCCTCTGTGGGGAAGCACTGGAAGGAATGCTGTCAATTAAGATGAGAGGCCAATGCTCATAGTGTACATGTGGTATTAGAAGTTGTGCATACAGCTTGTTGCCAGCACAATGTGTAATTGTAGGCCAAGGAAAACAATACAGCGACACACTGAAACAATTGGAAGTGAGAACTTTTGCAGACAAGGTATAACAGTAGTGGCAGGTAGCATTGGTACATACATACTGTGACGTTGGGTCGATAATAGATAAGTCGGCAGCCTACCATTTTAGGAGAATGTCAACAAAGCTAATCTCAAGGCAGCCTAGTGAGTTTCTCTGGCCGACAACCAATCAGCAGCCTCCACACATTGCCTGATGCCAAGACTGCGAAATTCCAAAATGGATCTGAACTTCTCAATCGCGAATGACTTGATGATTTGCTGGTGCACTACAACTTCACCTCACGACCACATCAACGAAAAGTCGACCTCAAGATGGTAAAATGTAAAGAACCTCACCATCACTGCGATCATTGTCAGACCGCTAACAACTTGCAGTCCTCAAGGTCGGCCGTGTGGCCATTATCACTCGAGGCCGATATGCCGGAAAGAAGGTATGGAGCCCACGACTCTTTGACTTTGGATGCACAATCGGCGATTGCTGGATCACATAAAGCGATGGACTTGGACAACGGTACTAACACAATCCTCAGGTTGTCATCATCCAGCCTGTCGACAACGGCTCAAAGACCCACACTTTCTCATATGCTCTCGTAGCGGGCATCGAACGATACCCATCCAAAGTCACCCGCCGCATGGGCAAGAAGCGAGTCGAGAAGCGATCAAAAGTCAAGCCATTCATCAAGCTTGTCAACTACAACCACATCATGCCCACACGATACACGCTAGAGCTGGAAGGATTGAAGAACGTCATCTCCAACGACACATTCAAGGAGGTTTCGCAGAGAGAAGATGCCAAGAAGAACGTCAAGAAGGCACTGGAGGAGAGATACCTAAGCGGCAAGAACCGATGGTTCTTCACCCCTCTGAGATTTTAGATGTGGAGCGTGGGAATGAATGGTTGTCCTAGGTTGGCATTTTTATGGCGATTTCAGGCATGATGGGGTTTCAGTTTCAACTCTCCCGCGCTCCAACGGAGAGTGAGTCGAATAACTAGAGCACGATTCCACGATTTCCGCTGACAACCGCTCTTCGGAAACAAAAAGCATGGCTGCGACCCAGCAAACTGTGTGAAGGGTGGTTCAGCGCGAGTTCTTGACCTGGTCAGGATTGAAAAAAAGACCCAAATTCTACAATGCCAACTTTCGAAAAGCATATTCCTTGGTTGTTATTCGTGGTCTATGAATTTCGTGATTTCGTGATCTAAATTTCACTCGAGGTATAAATCATCCTTCAGACGTTGCAAATTTCTGAAGAGACCAGCCGCGCCACCAACCTCTGTAGACGCCTTGGAGAGACGGCCCATGGCAGAACTGGGGCGCTGTGTAGAATCTGATCTGGCATCTCGTGAATTCCTCTGCGCCTCCAGGGCCTTTTTCCGATCCTCGACGATCTTTGTCAGAGTATCCACGAACCTGATCCTTGCTTTTTCTTCACCAGTACCTTTCCATACTTGGGCCAAAAGTCGGTATTCTTCCACTCTCCGTGATGCAGCTTCGTAGCCAGCTAGTCCTCCAGGACCAGAGTTGAGTAAGTCTGTAATCTCGGCCCTGATGGCTCTCAAGACCTCCCTGGCTTTGTCGTCCTCCTCAGTATATTGGATACCCAGTTCTGGGGCTGAGACTGATATCAAGGACGAAGAGATGTCGGATGGTGGAATGGACCATTTCATAGCTTCGCCGAAGATGGTTATGACGGCTTCCAACCGTGCCTTGACTTCTCCAAGCATACGTAACTGGATAATGAAATCGGGATCGTGGTTGACAGCCTTGATTTCTTCTGTTTCTTCCGCCGCGTCCTCAATGTTTTTGGATGTCACGTTCCCTTCAGGCTTTTGGACACCATTGGCCATTTGCTCACCCACGAATAGTTCTATGTCCTGGCGCAGAGACTCTGATAGAAGCTCATGTAAGCCATTGACATCGCCACGCAGTACTTCCACCTCGTATGCCAAACGATTTCCACTCCGAATGATCTCGTCAGTCAAGGAGGTCAATTCTGAGGAAGAGCGAACATTGTAGGAGTTCAGCGACGAGAGGAAGGTAAGTGTATCGGTGCTGGCACTTTGAATCTGTGCTGAACGATTGGTCTTCTGGGCCTGGGTCTGTGATGACAGACTGAGGGTTGGAAGGGCTTCATTCAGGAAATCGACGGGGTCAAATTGAGGGTGTTTCAATTTGGCATCCAGCGAGGCACCCACATCCTCAGATCCATGGCTAGCCTGGGACAAAGCGGACATGGCGCGTGGTATGGTGTACTGCTGAATCTAACCTGCTGTCCTCAGCACTGGTTGGTTGAGTACTCCACGAGAAAACAATGTGGTGTCGTAGATACTTAATGCCGACGCCATTCGATCAGAGACTCGTATGTCAATGTTCAGCCGGCCGACTTCTTGAGGGTATTGTTCTCTGACATAGTGCCATCGAAGACTCTCTGGGCTGAACGGTTGTCAATTGAGTGCACTGCGGCAGGATGGTCTCGTAGCCTGAGTCGACAAGACGGTGGATCAAAATGGTTGTGAATGCAGCTTCAATCACGTGCCGGCTCGTCCTAGCGTCGGGCTGCATATCCGCAAAGGCGTCCAGGCGAAACACAAACTTCAGCCTTGTTGTTCTTTTTCCTCGTTGCATGTTTAGCAGCACAATGGAAACCATGGTGGCTGCCTGGGGGAAACTTGACTTTATGCATGGCAGTCCCCTTAGTATCTCTCTTTAAGGTTTGATTATGCCATGTGGTATTGTATAGCCGCATTCAACTTGTGCAAGAACACTCCCTTCATTCACAACGTTAGTGGCACCACCACCAAATCTGTCTACTATTCAAGGTAATTAGGTAGGTGCATCGCTTCACTTGCCCCAGATTAAGAACTTCAACAATTCTTCAATGACCTGCGAGCTCAACACGCTGCCTCTGATCTCACTTGATCTTACATTTTCCCTCCTGCAACTGTTCATCTATGATGTTGACTTCTCTTCCTCCTCCTAATATCTGCTCCATTCTTCAAACCACCACCACCTTACAAACCCCTTTCAAACTGAGCAGCCCATCATGGGTTGGCAAGTGCTCCTTAGACATTTGGCTGAGCTGAAACCTCCTGCCTCAATCCATGAGACTCGATCTTCGGATGAAGGTTTGGTGAGCTGTTATTTTTCCTGCTACCCAGGTGAAAATGAGCCACCAGTCGTGGTCAACATTCAGTTGTGCGCCTCCAACATTGACGAGTACCCCGAAGGCAATGCCTTCATGATCTTTACCACTGACGAATCTGTCAATCAAAACATCCCCAAGGCATTAGGCGATCTGTCCGAACGTACTCACGGTCAATCACTGTCCGGTGTGTTGGAGGAGATCTCTGAACTACTGACCCATGTCATCACTTGCGAACCGTCAATTTATCCACAGAAAGACACCGACTCTCAATCTGAACGGTCGGATTTCGAATTTGAAGATGATTCAGATGTGGAATTCGGATTCGCCAAAGAGCCAATTCTTCCACGCAATTTTGGAAAGCCAGCATCATCCACCCTTCCCTCGTCCGTCGACCCTGCCAGACTTCGCAAAGACCTTATTGCCCTCAAAGATGCTGGATTTCGCATTGGTGTTCTTGGAGACCTGAAAAGAGCAGGCATTCTTTGCGTGTCTCTTAGGATCGCCAAGTTAGGGCTGTCGGAAGAAGCGTTGGAAGCTTGGAACTTGCAGCGCAAACAATACTTTCTCTTGATGATTGCATACCCCCAAGGCTATCGCGACATCGACAGAGTTAAACAAGAGCCAACCTTATCTGGTCTGGCCCAGATACGTGTTGGTGTCTGTGACCACTACAAGCCTCAACTTGCGCATGTGTTGCCTCTCTTTCCAGGTATCAAGTCCGGATTCTGGTGTGATATGCGAACAGCTGCAACGAGCAACCAAAGCATTCTTCAACCACTCTTTATCGGCAAGCCACTCAACGAGCTCTTGCATGGTCATTTTCCTGCCATCATTCGAGCTCGGCTCAATCATGGTCTGAGTTGGTTGGGAGCTGAACAATTCGTTCAAACCATGCAGGCAGCTTCCTCAATCGAGGAGCTCGAAGACATGAGTCAATTCCACGTCAACGACGCGTTTACCAGTGAGAGTTTTCCTCCGCTGACAGTCACAACTGCGGACCATGTGGCGCAAGCTTCCTCCGATTGTTTATCATTGCCACTGGTTGCCATGCAATTCGCCATTAGGCATTTGTCACGCTGTACAGAATTCTGTCTGGTCTGCCACCGTTGTCTTGATAACTCATTTGGTGCACTGAAACCATATGTGTGCTCAAAACCGCTCTGTCTTTATCAATACATGGCAATTGGCTTTGGTCCAAGTATTGAACGAGAAATTGTTTCGCAGCCGCTCGTCGTTGATCTTCTGATCAGTTTCTGCTTTTTCGCAGCACAGGCCAGAACCCTGAAAGTTTTGCCAACTGGCATGGGTCTTCAAGTTCCGCTCATTCCGCGACCAAACGCTGAGGTCTCTACTGTCCAAAATAAGCATCACGGCCCATATGCGCCGAAATCCAAAGACGCCCCCACGCCCCAAACAACCATCAAAGAGTCGTTCACTTGCTTGTGGAAGCTTGAAGCAGAAGAAAATGTGATTGATGTCGAAGAGGACAGCTCTCAGAAACTACAACGTCTCAGACCAGGAAACTGGGTTTTTATCATATCAGATGACAAAAAAATGACATCTTATGGTAGGATCAAGAGAATACAGTTGCCTCGTGTGGAGCTTGGAGATGTCATTGCACTCGAAACATTGGAACAAGCCATGGCAAATCTAAAGTTGTCGAGAGGAGGCGCGCCCAGCAAGTGTTACATATATGATCACAACTTTGACGATCTTTCAGACCTCGACAAACATCATGGAATCCACACTTTGATATTGACCTTGCCTAGCGTTGAAGAAATGCGCAAGTATCTACTTTGTCAGGGTGCGGACGCCAAGTTGGGAGATTGGACAGCCAGAATGTCTCCGTCCGCTGTCAGTTTACTCCGCTGGATCATCGCGTCGAACACATCCAGCATCATCCAATTGAACCATCTTGACGAGGATGGCACCTTTGAGGAGCCAACTTCAGTTCAAGATCGAGTCGGCGGAATGGAGGGTTGGATCCAGTTTCGCTTTGCTCAGGGTGCCCCAGACAAGGAGAAGCGTTTCTTGGAGTGTGTGAAGAAAGCATGTCCGGAAAAGCAACATCCAACTTTATTCGGATGGCACGGCTCGGTTGTTGGTAACTGGCACAGCATTATTCGGCAAGGACTTCGATTCGACTCGATTGTGAATGGGCGCGCTTTCGGAAATGGTGTTTACTTGAGCCCTTATGCCTCGACAAGTGTTGGTTATGCACGTGGCAGCTTCATGATAGGGTGGAAACAGTCACACCTTCAAATACAATCCGCCCTTTCTTTGAGCGAGGTCGTCAACCAGCCCACACAGTTTGTCAGCCGCCAACCTCACTATGTGGTGGGAAACATCGACTGGATACAAACTCGATATTTGTTTGTCAAATCCAAGATACCCACCGAGTCATGTGGACAGCCGTCTGCCGTTTATGAGCAAGACCCCAGTCATACTGTGTACAATGAACGTGCAAAGCCCATCACTATTCCGATCACAGCAATCTCCAAGTCTCGACGGCCCGGAAAGAGCATCGTGTCAGATGTAAGTGGGTCGACGAAACGCAGTAAGATGGTTAGGGACACTGACCAAGCCACTGCTGAACGGCTCAATGATGATGCCGAAAGTTTAGCCTCAGATGACGAAGACTTGGCCGTCTTTGATGGTGCCTCAGACATGATTCTTGAAAAGAAACGCGAAGTAGAAGATGCTGATGGTGAAAAGACAGACTTCGTCCCAGGTTCGTTGGACGTCAGTGGAATTCAATTCCTTGCTCCACCAAAGGAGGCCTCAATGACTTCAACCAGGGCATTGATGCGATCATTCCGCGAGATTCTGGCAGTCCAAGAAGACACCTCACCAGCAAAATTAGGGTGGTATATCAACCCAGACATGGCGGAAAACATGTACCAATGGATCGTGGAGCTCCATTCCTTCCCACACAATCTACCCCTGTCCAAAGATATGAAAGCCGCCGGGTTAACGTCAGTGGTTCTAGAGATGCGGTTCTCCAACAACTACCCCTTCGCGCCTCCATTCATCCGGGTGGTCAAACCACGCTTTCTCCCTTTTCGTCAGGGTGGTGGTGGCAACGTGACGGAAGGTGGCGCCATGTGTATGGAGGCCCTTACGAACACGGGCTGGACCGCAGCGCAGGCTATTGACGGGCTGCTTCTCCAGGTACGTATGGCCATACTTGATGAGGAACGACCTGCGAGGCTAGCTACCAGAGGAAATGCGGGACGAGAAACTTACGGCATCGGTGAGGCGGTGGAGGCATACATTCGTGCATGTAGAAACCACGGGTGGACTGTTCCGGAGGGGTTCGAAAAGATGGCATTCGGGCAGCAGTGATGTCGACTGGCGTGGCCAGAATACATTTCGGCAATGAGTATGAGCCATGTTCCAGTTAATGCATATCAGTGAAGTAGAATGGGATTGCACAAGGCAGCAGTACGGCGAGATGCGGGATGGGCACTCTGAAATACTGGCGCTTGCTATTACGACACAACGACTTGACGAACGGACCACAGAGGTAACATGATGAGAAAACGAAAGTGCAAGGCTACTTGGTCAAGCATGGTGTGTGGCGCACAAAGGGTATTCATGGGCATTCCGACGGAATCAATAGCACAGGACGTAATTTCTCGTCACGTTGTTCCAGTTGGAACCCCATGGTTGGGGTCAGGGAGTCATGCAGGACGGTGCTCTGGGGTCAGGTCACTGGTGCCATTATGATATCGCAAAGGGTGCTTTGACTCGACAAAAGTGTAAATTTCTCTCCGTTGCTACCATCAAGATCAGAAAAAAGACTTGGTGGCTAGCTAGCTATGAAGTCTAGCAAATGCATCATCCTGCAAAAAAGACTGCCATACGACATAGCCTTGTCCCGCCTATGGAGTTCCGACCTCCCTTGAATGTTCTTTTCACATGCCACATGCGCAGCGCGGGAGCTAGTCAGAGGACTTACTGTGTCCACTGACTGCCTGCCATACAGTGAGAGCCAGGAGCGGGCCGACCACATGTCATCATGGCGTCGTAGTCGTAGATATGTTCCAACGGCGGACATAGTCCGTTTTCCTACAGATATGAGCCCGGTGGTTGGCGATCCCGAACTGCTTCCCGTTTATAGCTCACTTACAGTCGGGCTCCGCTCCATCTGTCGATGTGTTTCATCCGTCTGGATCTACACAGCTTGAGTTGCTGGGGACGTCGAATTGCATAGGGATTTACAATGATGACAGGTCACAATTATTCAATAGTGGAGGGATGAAGTGGCAGCAAAAGTATCTAGGGAGTGAATGAGGTCGGGAGTCTACTCCTGGTAGTTCCTAAACATGGTGTTTTACTGACGGATTCTTCATAAGCATGGCAGCGGCAGCAAGACGACCAGATCAAGGTTACAAGAGGTCAGTTCAAGCTAAAAGAATGTTGAGTCCTGAGAGACCAGACACGGGAGGATGGGTACGGCTTAGGAATGGAACGATCCGTATCGGCTGCACAAAGCATGTTCCCCGCTAGCAATCATGATATCCGCACTAGGATAGTGAGGACAACGAGGGTTGGCCAAGAGATGTTATTCGTGCATCCGTTGACGTTGACGCATGTCCATGGGAAGCGTGTGGCTGAGGGTGGTTATGGTCAAGCGGGATGGGGAGACAAGGCGGTTAATGGGCGGCTTGACATACCAGCTCACCGTGTCAGGTAAATTGCCGTGATATCTGCATGAGGGCAGGTAGGTTAATAATATCAATTTGAGGGAGCTGGGATTGAGTTTCACATGCCAGGCTGATAACAGCATGACGAATCAAAAAGGGTAAGTTGAGGTCGGCGATTTCATCATCGGGAGGCGAATATGGTATCTGTGACATGGGATGCCTGAGGCATGTTGAATTGATGCACGAAATCTGTCAGGAGCGATAAGGCTCTGACAGTGCGATACAATATATCGCTCATTCTCCTGGTCGCTTTGATCAGGCTAGGACTGTGGAGAGGGGTATGGCATTCTTATGACACAGCCAGCCGCGGTCAAGCAACACTGGCAGACGAGCCCGACACCACACGAGACCAGGCGTAGACGGATGATGTGTTAGTGTTAGCATGGTCTTAGGAACGATGTCGGTAGATGGAGTAAAGTGGTGTGCAACAAATGGTAGTTCGTATTTGAGGTCATTCAATTTCCTGAATGTTGATGTTGTCAGCTTCTGAAAGGACATTGCCTATGACAGGTTGCGCTTGAGCAGAAGAGTAGTAGTCAGGCTGGTTAGATTCGTGATAATCGTACTCGTACTGTCTGTTAGCCGGAGAGTGAAAGTACTGAGGGACTTCTGGAGAAGGGTTCCGCCGTCATGGCAGTCTGCTATCTGATTGACAGTCCTCGACTGTGGCTTTCACATGTCAAGCGAATTTCAAGTCTTGGCATCTGTCGTGCCACATTGCATGGGATGACCGGTGGATGGACCCTACTGCCAGGTCGGAAGATTTTCGGATGGGACTCCCAGGATCAGATAGTTCTCGTGGTAGGGGTACAACGGGGAGGGCATCCGTCGACGCTTGCAATTTAGTGAGAATATTTATACCTAGGTGACAGAAGTTACAGATGTGTGGCGGAGGTTCCATCCAGAGATGGCAGGTGGCTAATCACTCAACAAAAGATGCCTAGGTATCGTATACGAATTATGCACTCCGTAATGTGGAGGAGGAGTCGAAGAACAAAGAGGGGAGAGAACACGAAGAGAACGGAACAGGGAAGAAGGAGTGAGAGTGAGGGTGAGGGTGAGGACAAGGACAGGGCATCATGACGAGGACACAAGGCAGCCACCAAAGGCTCAGTTTCCCACACCTGGCTGCACCTACACCTGCATCATTATCATCGAACTTGCATCACAAGTTTCAAGGGCAAGAACGACCATGACATATCATACGACGACTGGTCCAAGATGATAATAATACTTCTTTTCCCTTCGCAATTATTTCAGCCACAGTAAGATCCACATGGTTATCCACCACTGAACCCTGTCTCCAAGTCTGCACCGGTGAGTTATGACCCCCATGGACTCCCGCGCACTTGATTCGATTTTCACATGCCATTTACCAACGCGGCGTCGATCGAAGCATGTGCAATATTTTTCTCCCTTGTTCTTGTTCAACCTTCGCGCCTCCCTCAACATTCCGTTCCTGTCTTTATTACAATCACTTCAATTGTATTCTAATCTCATCTTCCATCAACCCAACTCACCTTAACCCTTTCTTCATCCATCCTACTAATCACCATCACCCCTCACCAGCCTCCAACAACTCACACAATGGGTGACGCTACTTCCAACGGCGACGTGCCTCACTCGGCATTCTTCTCTGTAAGTTGACAACCACCAGAACACCATCGTGCTGCCTTCAGACTTGATACTGACTCTATGTTCCCCTAGCATATCACCTCATACCCTGTTGTCTCCGATTCCATCAAGCTCGTCCAGGAGAACCCCTATGGAGCAAAGTCAATTGATCTGACCAATGCTGGCTACAGCAAATTCGTCAAACCCACCCTTCCATATTTCCAAACTCCTGCCTCATACGCAAAGCCCTACGTCGTCAAGGCTGATGAGCTTGGTGACCTGTTCCTCTCAAAATTCGACGAGAAAGTCCCCATTGTCAAGTCGGAGACAAAGGAGATCAAAGGCACAATCTTCGGTTATGTACATTGGCCTCTTGAGAAGGCCGGAGAGACCAAAGACTGGGCCTTGAACACATATAGCAGTGAATACAAGAAGATTGGAGGCGAGGGCTACGTCACCGGTGGAAAGGCCGTGGTCACCACCTCCTTGATCTTAACCTCTGATGCCCTCAAGTGGGTCAGCTCATTCCTCCAAGCAAAGAAGGAGGAAGCCAAGGAAGTTGTTCAGGAAAAAGCAAACAAATAAATGTCGACATCCAACATCTCCAACCTCGATCACCCAATTTGTATAAACGATTCAACAAATAGCATACGATACCCTCAAATTAAATCAACGAACTGCGCCTATCAGACTTTGTTGTGTGGGAGAAATCCCAAATTCTGTTCGTGGCCAGCTTTGAGAGCTAGGCATGTTACCAACTCTCACCTTTGGAATCCTACTTTTACAACAGCCATCTACGTCAGAGGGACTATTCGTGGCTATGAGCGCGATTTCGACAGGCTTGTGGTAAAGGTGGCGATGGTTTTCACAATTATTGAGTGAAATTGTGCTTGACCACCCGCGCTTTTCAATGTTTGTTGCACGGCGAACGTGAGTGTGCCGCTGCTCACCCCAAGATTTTATGACTAGGCTTAGTTTTTCGGGGTTTACATAGATTTTTTGTTCAATGAAATACTACAAGACTGAGTTCAGATAATCAGCATTCATTTTCATTCTCTTGATCTAGTGCTGTTTCCATTCCATTGGCACTATCACTCTCTACATCGAATCGAAGATTTTGGCTGATTGATAGCCACCCAGATAGCGGCCAAAATTGCGCTGACGTCATATCTCTTCTTGATACGACTTAGTACTCTCTACATTCTCCTGGCATTGCCGTCTTCCTCTTCTCACAATCGTTCCCTTCAGAACCGAGTCCGCAATTCGGACGCCGTGTGACCAAAAGACACATATGGACACCAAATCACTGAGGATGAACCGCAGGAAATCGCCTTGGATTTGTGCATGTTTAAATACGTATTCCCTCAACATGCGTACCCCTATTGGACCAAGTCGGAATGAATTTTACGTAATCAGCCCAAGCTTTGAGGAAGTATTGCGTGTCAAAAGTCCGGTACTCGGTACTCATGTATGCTATGTAGACGCGTGGCGTCCCACTAATAAGCGGTGCTTAGCGTTAGATGGTCAACAACAGGTCAATATCTTAACTGCAGACAAGATGCACTGCGACACGGTGGAAGTGCTTGTGGACAATCTCCTCGAAAGAACCAAGAGTTCGATTCTCATCCTGCGACGGCATTACCCTGTATTCAGCGAATGAAGCTCTGAAGGTGACACGTGAAGCTTCTGAATCAACCCCAAATGGTCGGGGTTCCTGGACGCTCTAAAGCGTGTCATACCTGTCGGAGGCGCAGAAAAGGCGTAAGTCGTACCTCGTTTCCTACTAAGTACCTTGTAGTGAGAGAACATGTATCAACTCCTGCCCACCAGCCTTCTTTAGCCGAGTCACATAGTTCATGAGGATAAAACCACGCCACATTTCGCACGGCGATGTACTAAGTAAATGAGGCACTCCTGATTGGTACGAGCAGAATTGGACTAACGTGCTTTGCACAACTTCCAGTGTGATGAGAAGAAACCAACGTGTGGGCAGTGTATGCTCTCTCGCATTCCCTGCGAGGGCTATGATCGACACTTTCCCTTTGTCAACAGTGGCCAGGGGCATCGTGGCACCAGTGACCGACCATATCACTTTGAAGCTACGGCTTACTCCGTGGCGAGCTTGTCGTCGTTTCCACCATCATCCGCATGGTCGGAGATAGCACCAACTCATGTCTTGCGGCAAAATCGGCTCTCCGCCCCCGTCTTAGAGAAGTCACTTGAGCGGACTGCTTGCGAGTCCAAGTATCTCGAGACATATTGGACGTCTCTGCTCCCTCAAGGCCGGGCGTTTCCACCTCAAGTTGCACGCTATTCAACTACCAATTGGACGAGTGCCATCCAGGATCTGTACAGCGAGGACCCTCTTGTGCGCGTTGTCTTACTTGCAAATGCTCTCACAATGGCGGCCCAGCACAGTGAAGATACGTCACGCATGGTGCAAGGGAGGCGGCTCTACGGCTTGTCGCTACGGGCGATGGAGCGGTCGCTGCTGAACAAGAAACAGCAGAATTGGAGCAAGATTCTGGTGGCTTCCGGACTGTTGGCAAGTTATGAGGTAACTTTTACCAATTTCCTAAACATGATGTTTTTGTTCGACACGTGGTCTGACCAGTGCGCACTTCGGTGCTAATAGTTACTGCTCAATGCCGGTGAACGACGTTCATGGCTACCCGCTCCAATGTGGCTGACACACACCTTAGGTGAAATTTCTATTCTTGTTGCTGGTGGGCCCGAAAGCTTCGTTGAAGGGCACGCACACAAGTTATTTGTCGATTACCGCCTTCATCTGGTAGTTCACGACCCATCAATGCTGCATGCGAACATTGACCCTGTGTGCTGATAATGGTTTCGTGCAGATATACCCCTACATCCAGAATCATAAGCGCTGTCCCTTGAGCACCCTCGAGTGGAAGACTATTCCATGGTCAAACCATCCCAAAGGGCCGAAAGACAAGCTGATAGATATTCTCATTGAGATTCCAGGGATACTGGAAGATATGGGTGCTCTTGAGACTTTATCTACTCAGCCAGAGAAACGGCACTTCTTGGGTCAGGGTCTTGAAGAAAGGTGCAGGATGTGTGATTGCCAATTGCTTTCATGGTCAACTTCTTGTGGAGAGGATGTTGTTGCCTTTGTAGAAGGTCTCATCGCGTCCCAGGACCTAGAGGAAAAGCATTGAAGAGTCAGCACCACCATCAACCGAGCTCGCTATGGCCCACCTAGGAATGATCTACTGGTCAACCTGCAACCTCCTCTCCCAAATCCTTTTCTGGCTTCGCAAAGCCACTCACTCTAGCGAGGACACGACTCGGCTGCCACCGCGCATAGATGCGTATCTGTATAGTCGCAAAGTCGCCTTGCTGATACCATACTTCAAAAAGCCCGAGGTCGGCTCTTATTTAATCAGTTTTATAGGTTTTCCGGTTACTGTCGCTGCAAGCTTCCTTGCAAGACAGGACTCAGTGGGAAATTTCTCAGAGGCTCGAGCCTTGCTAGTCAAGGCCTTCCGTGGCGAGTGGGGTAAGCAGCTGCAGAGCTTTCTGGCTACTTGGCCATGGATGACCCCCAATGAATCAGACACGCTGGGAGTGGCAGAAGCACACAACGCCGTGAATTGAGGACGAATTACAGAAAACATGACGGCACCGCATGTACTCTCTGAATCTGTTCAACGTCTGCAAGCTCTGAATAACTCTCAAATGCTCTGTGCAATGCCGACGAGCCGGCCGATTGCGTACCATACCGATCTTTGGGTTCCACTCTCACAATCTAGCGTGCGAAATGCTTCTCTTTTTGGCAAGCGCCTTTGCGTCAGCCAATCAATGGCCATTTCGCACTCTAAGCAACCTCAACGACATGACATATGACGAAGAGCGAAACGGCGCAGAGGCATAGTAACGAAGTCCATTTATCAAGTTCAAGCCCTGCTGCCTCTAGTTTCCGCCCAGCGACTGCTTCTACAATCTTACTCACTAGCATTTTGCACGCCCACCAAGGGACTTTTTTTTCCGACGCATTCTTCTGAACTGACGGGATGGTTGAGCAAAATCACCACTTGAGAGATTTAGACGAGGAGGGTTGGCACAGGAACATCCGTTGCAACACACCATCGCCCAAAAGTGACATTGAGGGAGACGATTCGTCAGACACCGTGCTTCAAGAGGCACACGTAGGTAAGCAGGCTCTTGAGGGCTTTATTCACACACACCCTCTCTCAAATACCGCTTCTCCTCCAAGCATATCCCATTGTCACCTGCCAGGGCCAGTCGTGATACTGCAGCGGCGGCCTGGTAACAAGGACAGGGGGTTTGTCGAGGCATATGCTCCGGCGCTGGAACAATTTGGCATTCATCAAGACGAGTTTATCAGCTTCGTCAGGGCAACCAACAGAGCTGTTCGGGCATCTAAATGGCTTAGCGCAATTCAGCTCGCAGCCGCCGGCGCACCGTTTGTACCCAATCACATCGCCTTAGGGGCATCGGTGGCGGTCCAGGTAATAGCCAGCGTAATGGCTAAGGCGGAGACGAGGTGGAAGTAGGTGAGAGTCTTCTCCGGCGAAAATGTCGTTGAATTTTCTGCTAACATCGAGATTGCAACCGTGCAGAACGAACTCATTCCTAGATCGGGTCAACGAGGAATACTTTCGGCCCCGAGGTCTCTACTGCCTGCTGATGGCGTACACACCTATCAAATTGGGTGCTAACGCGCATTTTGACGTTGGCGAAGCTATACCCAGGGAACAGCCCTTGCCCTCGACGTCCTTGTTGCTGAAGGAGCAGAGTTTGGCAGTGCGTACTCGGAGGAACCTGTGAAACCCGATAGCGGGCACGGTCGAAGGAGAAGAGAGCCTTCCGTCCAATGTTGCCCCTTTGGTCTACCCCACAAAATTCATTGCGGTTCAAGAGGATCCCAAGTCGACAAAGTCCCGAAACACAGTAGAACGAGTAACCGAGTACCTCGATGATCGAGCGCAAGCTCGATACGTGAGTGCCTCTCTGTCTCCTCCCTTGTGTGGATAGAGATATGTTCTACAGATTCTCAGCTGATCACTTTTCTTCAGGCCAAGGAAAGCAAAGGAGACGTCCTCTCGCAACCATCCCCGCCATCGTTCAAGCATTGGCTCCTAGACCCAAACCATCCGGCGACCAATGGCGGTCTGCTTGGCTTGATTTCGGGAGGCTACCTGACGCCCAATGCCGACAAGGCCAAGCAGCGTATGCAGTCATCGCTTGATGCCCAGACCCAGGCGATTCAAAAACAGCAAGAGGCCATGATGAATAGCTTGCATCAGCAGCTAACGCTAATGAACCTCCCTCCAGAACAGGAACGGGCATACATACAGCAGTACAAGGATGCCTTTCAACTTCAGGAGCAGCAGCTGGCCCAGCAGACAAAACTGCTAAACAGTGGAGCAGGCCATGGGCGCCGCATATGGGTATATCTCACTCCTCAACTTGGTATATTCACCCGATGAGGACTAATGCTTTTCCTTAGACGTTGTCATATCTGATGATTGTTGAAATACCATCCGATGAACAGATTGCAACGGCCTGTGAAAGTCTCAAAGCCTCGGACGGCAGACAGTTCGGCCCTGAACTTACAATGCAGGCTGTGGAAATAGGTTGATAACGGCCTGGGTGTTTGCCAAGATGACCGAGGATGAGAATGAAGATTTGAATCTCAAATGCATCGAGGATCAGAGTACAAGGAGGGTTCGAGAAGTAGCCTCATTCACTAAGACCCGATGTGGTTCTGAGATTTATTGCCTACATCTCTTGACTGAGGAGCGACGACAATTTCCGAGCACTCATGCCCACCGTGCAAAAAGTCTTTGAAGTCTAAGGTCGCTTATACTGTAGTACAATATATACCGAGAACCCATGCTCAATAGTTAGTGGTCACTTCTGGGATGCCAGCCACTCGTGCTTGCCTAGCCGTTGTCTAGTTAGTGCGTCCTCGGCCAATACGCTGTCGAGAAGTAATTCAGATGCCGACGCGATGTAGAGATTGTAGGCTAGCCCAAAGGTAAGGGTGTTAGGGATACCCAAACGCCGTATTATAATCAGTCATCGCCCATTAGTTAGTGCCCAATCTACCTCACCTAGCTTGACTGAGGGTGCCACCCTTCGACCTTGGCTAAAGATTGGGAGGAGGTGGGGTATCGCGCTTCTTTTACTAGTATATGTTGTGGCGTTTATTAGCGATCATCCCCGTTACAATCGCTTCTCTTGCGAAGGCCGACAGCCAATAATGGAGTGCCGTTGAACCCCGGGCTTGCTCTGTGATTACTGACCATTCTTCTATAGGTTGCCGTCAATTTAAGCACCTTGCCAACAAGACGTGATCAAGCCGTGTCAAGCTCAGGACACGGGGTAACCCAAGTCGAGACTCTCCTCGTAACTAGAGCGTGGCGAACTCGGTGGATGCTCTACTCGACAATTTCCTCTTGACGGTCGTTTCCCCCCAAAGGTTTCCCATTTTAAGCACCACGGTTGACTCCCAGATTTGATATGCTCTCGTTCTAGTTAGACGCCGCCATTGTCTACTGAGGAGTGAGGACATTGTTTGGTCCATTGATGTCGTCCCAACTTGAACCTCAGGTCTCTTCACCTCATGATTTGATCACTATGTCGCAATGACCTTGAATTTATCTTTGTTCTCGAAGTTTGCTGCCCTGTCTTTTCTGGCGATTTTCGGAACCAGCTTCTTTATCGCCTTTGCGCTTCGCGATACTTTCCCTGAACATCCACATTTCCCTGGAACTTTTTTTTCCACTTCTCGAAATCGTCCTGTTCAGAAAATCAAGTCCGTGATTCGGATACCCTGTGTAGGGCCCAGGGGTATCTATGTAAATCAGAATACCGAGGATGAACTACAGGGAGTCGCGCTGAATTTGTGTATGTTTTTTAATTGCCGTACATCCTCCTGTTTGACCAAGTCTAAAGTAATTTCAGCCTTCTCCGAGCCAGTCGGCGGCTCCTATGCAACACTGGGTTTACCTTACACATTACATACACCCAACACGAGATATGGCAAGTATGGCTATGGAGAGAGATCAGGGGAGACTAACGAGACTCTCGTACCATGGCATTTACTATCCTGGGCGCAACTGCAGAATGATTGTCTAGCTCAAAACCAAGACCGATTTCAGGACTCGATGAACATTTCGACAAGGATGAGATTCTCCCCGTCCCATCGCGCTAAACCACGCCTGGAGGCCAGGACCATTTCTACAGGTCGGACGGCAATCGTGCTGCGTGGGTGGGAAGGCTATAACTTCACCTCGATAGACATGTATCACATCCGGTCGCTGGTAGCAGAAGCTGGGCTAGGCTCAAACGCCGACTATGCAGTGTTTCTACTTGTCGACATCAAGGACAAGGACAACGCCAGGCGCATCTTTCGTAACGACAAGAGCTACGAGGATGCTCTACGAGATCTGGTTCCTGACGAGTTTCGAGATATGACCGTGCTCTTCGACCAAGATTTGCTCAAGAGTTGGTATCCTCGGATTTCCGAGCACTCGGTCTTTTTCCAGGTCTTTCAGCCTCTTCAATTGTTTGCCCAACTCTTCTCAGGCTTCGATCATTATTGGCAACTCGAAATGGATATGAAATTCACTGGCAATTCGCGCCTTTTCTTGGACGCATTGTCCAAGTTTGCGCAAAACGATCCTCGTAAACAGTCGGTCGAGCGCTCGTCTTATTTTTACATCCCCAAGATCCATGGGCCCTATGAAGAGTTCAAAGCAGCGATCAACGAGAGCTTGTCTGGTGGTGGAATTTGGGGTCCCATCCAAATTGCGGACATCAAACACCCCATCGGACCTCAGCCACCTTGTAGTAGCCCGCAAGAAGATGATTTTACCTGGGGCGTGGGCGAAGAGGCCGACCTCATTCTCACAAATCCACTAGCAGACGTGAGGACCGCCAAGTACTGGCCGTTCAAGTCCTGGATGCAGGGATTCAAGAACGGAACAGACACATCGCGCTACTACAGCCCCGTGGCAATGGGAAGATACTCATGGAACCTGCTGAACGCCATGCACCACGCACAAGCCTCGCAAGGCCTGGCCCTGCCTTCCGAAGCATCACCCGTCTCGTTCGCCCTGTACCACGGCCTGAAGGTCTCGTTTCCACCGCACCCGTGGTTCCACCAGCCTCAAGCCCAGCGAGAGGTCGGCATTGAAGAGCTGGACTCGCTCTTCAACGGAGGCACTCCTGCGCAAAATGCTCGAACGAATAATGGCCTCTCGTTCGGTAAGGCCTTGTACAACCCGGCAGGCTCCTACAAGCTGTTCAATGGCGGAACTTGGTGGTGGGTTCCCGGCTACCCGGGCAGGATCATGAGGCACTGGATGGATCAAGATCGGGCCGCAATGCCCAGTATGCTAAGGGACATGGGGGATCAAATATGGGCACCGATGATGGCTTTGCATCCTGTCAAACACGGCGATTTGGGAGTCTAAATTTAGTCTGGAGTAATCTCTACGTTTCAAAAATAAAAATGCCACGATCCACTAAAGTCTCGCTGCTTCTGAAGAGCTAAGGTGTAAGGTGATGGCATGAGATTTCCGATGACCATGGTAGACCTGGCGCATCCTTGGAACCTTGCAGAATTCACACCCTGCGAAGCTCACAACACCTCACCGAACCATCGTATGGTCTTGTGTTTAATCCTTGCAAGGAAGCTGCAGCTGTCTCTTCACTCGGTGCACCATATTCTAACCCCAACTTATGAAGCTGCTTTTGTCTGTCCTACAAGAGAACTCCAACTCAAGATCCATAGATGATCAATGTGTAGTTTAGAGCCATGGGTACCTAACGTTAGCTACTTGGAATCTTTCACATCTGCTCCTGGTGCAGTAAAACTTCAAGTCCAGAGGAAGGGCATCTGATCGACATCAAATCCATCTAGCTCGGACAGATCGAGACCGAAAGGCATGCTGTTCAACAAAACATCGCTAGCAAAGGCATCGCTGGACTGGAAGTCTTGGGGGTGTTCTGCAGCTGCAGCTGCAGCAGCAGCAGTATCGCCGCCTATGGAGCCATTGACACGTGCTTCCGATGAACCAGACAATGCCATCACGGGGTTCATGTCAACCGACTCTCCTAAAGGGTGTCCATATACGGCGCTACGGAAGTCGGTGTGCGAATCTCCCTGAAGGTAGAATGATGTCAGTTGCTGGCGGTCGCCTAGCCCGTCCCACGTCCAGCTACCTTCTCCTTCGCCACTGTAGTGATATATAGCTGCTGAGGCGTTTTCTGGTGCTGGCGCATGCGCGTGCGAGACAAGGCGGTTTTCGGTCATAGCACTGTTGACCAGATCTAGCGCTGGGGCTCCGCTGGGGTGATGCGTCGCTTCTTCACCCAGACATTGAATCACATCGTGTTCGCTGGTCTTAGACGGAGCTTGAGCCGTCTCAGGCACGACCAAGCCCAGGTCCTGTCTGAGAAAATTCAACTGCTCGTGGAACTCGGCGGCGGCATTGTTGCCACATTCGCGCATTTGCCCTAGCAGACGCCATGCGGTTTCGGTCTCACTCTTGACTTCGTCGACATTTCCAAGTCTCAATGCCACAGCAATCGTCAGTGCCATGGTGGACGTGAATAAGATCAGCGCGTCCGTATATCCAAAAAGTGCAATGGATCCATCCACCCACAACTGGATCAAGATGTGGTTGATGTTGCGTGCTGCATAAACGCAGTGGTCTGCTAATGCTCTTGCAATCGGGGGGATGCTGTTCGACCTGGCGGCAGACTCTGCGGTGGTCCTGAAGCACTGCTGGAAGATGAGATATAAGATAGGTCGAGTCGCAAGGATTACACACTGCCAATTGATCAGCATGGTTCGGCGATTTCACCTTTCCGATAGCATCTAGGCTTGGTATAATGTGGTCCAACTCACTTGATTGAAGAGAAGATGTAACGATGAAATTCCCCTCGAGGCTGTAACCGAAGAATCCATCTTGTTCTCGACCGGGAGACTTTCGTTCCAGTCTTTCAGGCGCGTGAAAATACTGTGCACCGTCTGCAGAAATGTTTGTCCCCTCGACAGTCCTGAGACCACATACATGTCACGGGAAATGAAGCCCACAATCTTGGCTAGGTTCAGCTGAGCGTTGAGGATGCTTGGATTGGGAAACTCCGCCCTTTCCGCTGGGGAAAGTCCTTCCCAGGACGGCAAGGATGTACTGATATCTTCGTCCCTGAGCATCATGGGGTGCCCATGTTTCGAACTACACAAGCGTTCTAAATAGTGAACTGTCCACCAAACTCGATTGCGGTGCTCTCTTTCCACCGCCGGCAGCTGATGACTGCTGATGTTGCGATGCAAGCCCAATGTGAGGCTGACGCGCAACGCCAGTCCTATGTAGGCGTACGCCGAATTTGTGCGGTTTAGAGCATCGAAGTAGAGGGACTAGGTGATGATTTAGTAGAACCCCGGAATCTTCCACACCTAGCATGGCTCGGATTTGCATAGTCTTACCACTAGCATCAAAGTTTCAACATAGAGGATGGTTGCATCCTCATAATTGTCCTGTAGCAAGGACATCGCCGTCAAGAAGAATGCAGTGCCTAATTTTGAGAGATATGTGAGTTAGCTCAATGTGGAATAACAATCGTATCATGAAGACGTGAATTACCAGGTATCTTGCGTTCCGTACTCGCACTGACGGGTCCATTCGAGTAAAGTTCTCCCAGTGCATAAATCACAAACAGGCGACAGATCCAAATAGGATCTTCCACCCGTATCACATAAAAATCATCGACTCTCTCCAGGAAGGCAGAACCTAAGTTTAGATGATGCGTGTCACCAAGAAAACGCTTGACTAGCCGGACGAGGATCAACGCATAACTCTTCTCTGGCAACTCATAACTGTCGGCAACTCTTCGAAGTATGCCTGGATCATTGAAGTATCGATGCTCAGTTCGTAGCGAGACAACTCCATCATGACCTCTGATTGACTCTCGTAGTTTCATGCCAAAGGCAATCCCTGATGCATCTCCTAGGTAGACTGGCCGTGACAGATAAGCGGACTGAACGAGCTGCGGCCTTTGAGCAACCAAAGGATTCCCGGCTTCAGAGGCCATTGTCTCTGACGAGGGAGGCTGTGAAAGCCGGATACTGTTATCGCTTGGCTCATGTGGAGGCGTAGTTGAAACCCGTTCTTGCTGCATATTTGCCTTTTCCTCTAGACTTTCGAGATATCTGGCCGACTCCTAATCAGTAAGATGGCATATAGACCTCAGATAGATATTTATCCATTAGACCATCGCACCGACATGCCTTTCGACCGTTGGTACTTACTCCCTCTCATACATGGGGAAATTCCTTACCGCTCTGAAACAGTCACTTTGCGATCCTTGACTGGGTAAATGCAGTCTACCTTTTTGGTCGAAGTGCGACAATTTAGACAAGGCTGACCCCCAAAACATTTGATTTTGTAAGAGTGGCATCGTAGACATCTGCGAAAGAATATCAATGGAAATCTCTCTGATTTGTGGTAGAAGAGCTGGCGTACGCAACCTCGCGTCTCCGTTTACGGGGACTTCGTAGGTGTGATGCCTCCATGGCGACCGAGATGGACTTCACATCCAATTCAGATTCCTATGGTTGTGTCACTCCTATCGGTAACTGTAACAATACACCGAGTCGAGGAGGCTCAACTGAGTAATAGATGTTCAATCATATGCTAGGCGAGAGCGAAACGAAGTGTACGAGAAGTGCGGATGGTGTTGGAGGTCTCGGTAGTTCGGCTACATCTGTAATTGTGACCGCAACGACGTCAGCCTTGGCTGGCGGTTTTGACTGCGCACTAGAGCTTATCAATGCTATCCTTTTAGACCCGAAGATCGAATTGATTCTTGGCTCATCATGCGACACTGAACATTTCGACGGAGAGGCCGAATTGTCTATTTGGTATGGTCACTGAATCGTGAAGGCCTCTAAGGACCTCCATTATCGACTATATAAAACCCTCGAATGAGGCTTCGAGTTACAGTTGTCCTCACACAGCTATGGCTAGACTTAGTCACATAGCACTCCCCAGCAAGAATGAAGCTATGACTTACACCTATTGATAATAAGGGAAACCAGCGTCATCTTAAACCAGAAACTATGTCGCAGGTGCCAGTCCCTGAATATGGTAACATCAATAAGAGTAGCGGAAGAATACGTCATAGTCGCCATGTTCAGGGCATGAGATAAGTGGTGTTCCATCCCTTTCGGCTTGAGCAATGGCTTGCTCACGTCGTCGATTGACAATCTTGAAGCCCACAACCAGCGCCACCACCACGAGTAGACCAAAGACCGCGAGACCCATACAGATGGACAATCCACGTATATATCGAGGTGATGTGGGCGTGGTAAATATTTGACCGGTAACCACGCCTGAAGTGTTGGCAAGTGTCAGACAGAGTCCAATCATACTGGCTCGTTTAAAGTGACGAGCTACATTGTCGCATAGCCACATGATAAGCAAGGCAACGGTGGGATATATTCCCATTGCAACTGATACGAGTTAGTCTCTCCCAGAATATATGAGAGTGTGAGCTTCATACCAACTGTTGAGATATTAGCAAAAGGGAAAAAAAATTCGGAGTTGCCGTGAGACATGCATACCATAACAAGCAAAATAGCGAACACCAACCGTTTCCACCGAGATCAGAATAGCATAACCAACGATCATGCAGACAAAGCCTCCACCAATAGGGATGCTACGGTTTTTGAAACGATCAGATGAGATACCAGCGACTATGAATACGCCCAAGGCCCAGACGTAGACTGGTACTGTAAGCAGATTGGCGTGCACCGATGTATAACCCATTCCTTTGAGAATTGCTGGCAGGAAAGTTGTAAAACTATAAATGGTCAAGTCGCCACAGTAAAGGATTGCAACGCTTGGTTGTGTCAGCGAGATGATTCATCTGAGGTTGCGTACTCACAAGGCATAGAATTTGAGGTCTTTGAACACCTTCAAGGTCTCGCCCCAAGTGAATTTCTCGTCAATTCCCCAAGAAGGATTCTGAATATACCGTAGTCTCATCAACTCTTTCTCCTCAGGAGTAAGAAACCAGGCATCGAGGATATCCTTGGGAAACAGCCAAAGAAACACTGGAATGATGCAAAGCGTGAGAATGCCCTCCACGATGAACAGCCATCGCCAACTATACTGGATCAGCAACCCCGCTCAACGAAGTCGTGAAAGGCAACCCACCCTTGAAACTCGCCCGGTCCATTGATTTGGGTGAGCCCATATGCCAAAAGTCCACCGAAGGCACTGGCGATGGCACTCCAAGAATAGACCATGACCATGCGAGTTCCTCGCTCCTCCTTTTTGTACACCAAACCAAGGTACGTCTCTAGGCATGGGATAAGTCCAGCCTCGAATGCACCTAAAAGCAGACGGCATGTGTACAACCCCTTCCAATTCTGGATGAACCCCATACATAAGGTCACCAGCCCCCACGAAGTACAACATCCTGCCAACAACGGCTTAGGTCCAACAATTTTCACAAGTATCGCAACCGGCGCCTCGAATGGTACATAGGTAGCGAAAAGCAGCGTGACTGCTGTGCCGAACTGATTCCCCACAAGGCCAATATCTTTAGGCATGCCAGCGATTGACGCATTCCCCAGGTTGCCCCTGTAGCAGGCTGGAGTCAATTTCAATTGTTCTCTCTCTGGTAACAGCGTTGAGAGTTAACTCACCTATCTAGGTTGCAAAACATGTACATGATGCCGATGAGGAGAAGGGCGTATCGCTATGGAGGTCAGAGAGAGTGCAACGGCCCGAAAGTGGTCTTGACTTACGTCGAACTTGCGCATCATCTTTTTCTCTTTGATCGGGTCTATCATAATCGTACTCCCCAGCTCTATCATGGAGACTTTGGAATCGCCATCAGGCTGATTAGGCATTGGGGCGGGTTCCATATTCACACTCTTCTTTGGTTGGGACATGATGATTGGTCTCCACAAGTCTCAGAGTCGAGTAACAAATGCTGGATTCAGATTACACGAGTTACTGGGTTTGACTGTAGACACAATCGCATTCTGAGTGAAAGTGGCCGGAAGTGTGGGCATGCAACTGTTCCTTTCTTTATATCCCGGAGAGTCCTGTGCCAATGCATATTATCAGGTAAGATTAAAAGCATGAAAAAGCGACTCTTATCAGCCGAACAACGCCACGACTGTGGACAAGCCGGAATATCAAGCGAAGCACTCTTCAATTATGGCGGGAAATATCTCGAAAGACTTGAGTCTATGCAGCCAGAATGGGGCTCCGAAAAGAGGCTAGCCGATGCCGGCTAGCTTACCGGCGAGAGAAGAGAACTTACCGTCGGCGAGACTGCCTCATCGCCGGTATGTGACGCTGAACTTTCTCTAGCATCATAAGTCTGGTTTATGATTTGTCCCATGTTCAGTCCACATCCTCGACCGGGTTCGTGCGCCTACGATAAGGATGGATCCATTCATGGGAATGCGGGGAGAGGGAGTGTGCGAGTCTTCGGTATCTCTTTCAACCCACCGGAGTGGATCCGCCGCTCAGACGAGCACCTCCTGCGAGTTTCAATGGCGATGTCTCAGCTCACCGGTGATACATAAAAAGCTATGATGTGTCCCAGAAGTTTGAATAGCAATGGCTCGATTCAATCCGCACGTTCCCTGAACTCCAATTACTGCTGCAGAAATGCCTTCTATCGCCGTGGGTGGCATCAGAATCGCCATTGACAGAGGAGGCACATTCTGTGATTTGTAAGTGATCCATGAACCGGTATTTGTGTTGCTTCCTAATCATACTCGCGGTGAATAGCTGGGCGTCGGTGCCAGGTCGATCCGACGATATTGTCTTCAAGCTGTTATCAGTATCACCTGACGAATATTCAGATGCTCCGACAGAAGGCATCCGGCAGATTCTGGAGGAAGCGACTGGGAAGACTATTCCTCGCGGAACGCCTATCGCCCTAGAAGATGTTGAATCGATCCGTATGGGTACGACTGTTGCAACAAAGTAAGTTACGAAACACATTCAGGGACATTCTGCTAATTGACTCAACAAGTGCATTGTTAGAACGAAAAGGGCGGCGTGTAGCGCTTGTGACCACCAAAGGATTTCGTGACATACTTCTAATTGGTACTCAAGCACGTCCACACATATTCGATCTGTCTGTGCACAAACTGGAGCAACTTTACGAGACAGTCTTGGAGGTCGATGAGCGAGTAACCTTCGAAGCAGCGGCGGAGGATCCGAACTTGCCCCCAATTGATGAAAACGACCCTGAGTTAATAGTTTGCGTCACTGGCGAGATCATTCGCATCATTCAGAAGCCAGATACCGACAAAATCAAGCAGGACCTAGATGGCTTGTGGAATGCTGGGTTTCGAGATCTGGCCATCGCCTTCATGCATTCTTACGCTTACCCGGAGCATGAACTTACCGTTGCGAATTTGGCTCGCTCCATGGGTTTCAGGATCTCGGTTTCTTCTGAGTTACAACCTTCCATCAGAATGGTCACCCGCGCCCAGTCAGCTACAGCGGATGCTTATTTGTCGCCTATCACAGCAGAATACTTGGAAGGCTTCGCGCAAGGCTTCAAAGGTGGATTGAAAGATAAGAACAGTGGAAAGTTGCTGATATCCCAGTCGGATGGTGGTCTAACAACATTCGATAAGTTCACGGGTCTCCGAGCCATCTTATCTGGACCTGCTGGGGGCGTTGTGGGCTTCTCTAAGACGTGCTATGACGTCGACGATGGCACACCAGTTATCGGATTCGACATGGGCGGTACGAGTACCGACGTTTCGCGATATGGTGGATCACTCGAATATGTCTTCGAATCCACATTAGCAGAAGTCACTATTCAAAGCCCACAGCTCGATATCAATACTGTTGCTGCTGGGGGTGGTTCAATCCTGGCGTGGAGGAATGGACTGTTTGATGTTGGACCAGAGAGCGCCGGTGCACATCCTGGCCCTGCATGCTACGGAAAGGGAGGGCCCTTGACAGTCACGGATGCTAATTTACTTCTTGGCCGCATTATACCGATATACTTCCCTCAACGATTGGACCTAGAAGTTGTCCGCTTCAAGTTCGAACAATTAACGGAGCAGATCAATGCAGAAAAACAAAATCTACAAAAACTCACTGCCGAAGAAGTAGCCACGGGCTTCATCTCAGTTGCGAATGCAGCAATGACGAGACCTATTCGTGCACTCAGTGAAGGCCGTGGTTACGAAACAGCAGGTCACAATCTCGCCTCCTTTGGGGGGGCTGGTGGGCAGCACGCCGTGGCTATTGCGCGAGACCTTGGGATTGGCCGCATTTTGGTTCACAAATACTCTAGCATACTCTCGGCTTACGGCATGGCTTTGGCTGATGTGGTCGTCGAGATGCAAGAACCGACGTCATTAGTGTTCGATGGTAAGCCAGACACGGAGGAATTGCTTCGCCATCGATTCGCAAAGTTGCAGGAAAAAGTCGACCATGCCATTAGCCGTCAAGGGTTTGGCTCTCACAAGATCGAATACGAAAGATTCTTAAATATGCGATATCAAGGTACCGATACAGCCTTAATGACTGCCGAGCCAATGTTTAAATGTGAGACGTTCACAGATGCGTTTGTCGCAAGGCACAAGCGAGAATTTGGGTTCACTCAACAACGGGAGATCTTGGTCGACGATATCCGTGTCAAAGGCACCGGCAAAAGCCAAAATACTGAGCTCACGAGTCCATTTATTGAACTGAATCTTATCGAAGATCCGCCGAAACCGAAGGAATCAGAAACGTGCAAGGTATACTTTGATCATGAAGGTTGGTGTGAAGTCCCACTTTACTTCCTTCACAATGTCAAGCGCGGCTCACGAATTCGTGGTCCGGCGATGATCCTGGACAAGACACAAACGATCGTATTAGACCTGGCAAGTCAGGCTTCATTCCTACAAGACCATGTCATCATCGATCTTGTGGATCTTCATCGAAAGCAATTGGATACGCATGAAGTTGACCCTGTCGTGCTATCCGTCTTCGGGCATCGCTTCATGAGTGTTGCAGAGCAGGTAAGTGTCGTTGTACCCTCAGCCTTGTGCACATAGTAAAGAAGATATCTTCGGATGTTCATTGGTCCTCGACGCTAATTGTCAATTTCCAGATGGGTCAAACACTACAGAAAACTAGCGTATCGACCAACATCAAAGAGCGATTGGATTATAGCTGTGCTGTTTTCTCCGCTGCAGGAGGACTAGTTGCAAATGCGCCACATATACCCGGCCACTTAGGCTCCATGAGCACGGCGATATCATATCAGGCCAACAGATATCAGAAAGGGGAGCTCAAGAGAGGTGATGTTCTTCTCTCGAACCACCCCATCGCTGGAGGCACTCATCTACCCGACCTTACCGTCACAACCCCTGTCTTCGCTGAGACCGAAGGAGATGAAGATCCAGAAATTTTATTCTTCGTTGCCAGCCGCGGACACCACGCTGATATAGGTGGTATCACTGCGGGTTCCATGCCCCCGAACTCTACAGAGCTTTGGCAGGAAGGTGTCGCCGTCGAGTCTTTCAAGATGGTAAAGGAAGGTGTGCTCGACGAACAAGGACTAACCAGGATCTTGTTTGACGAACCTGCCCAATACCCTGGCTGCAGTGGCAGTCGAAACCTGAATGACAACATCACAGACCTCAAGGCTGCCGTTGCCGCCAACGAGAAAGGTATCCGACTCGTAGCTAGTCTAGTTCGAGAATACACCTGGCCGGTTGTCAAGCATTATATGGAGGCGATTCAAAACAATGCCGAGATGGCTGTCCGTGCCCTGCTAAAGGATTTTGCAAAGCGCTTCCAAGGGCACTCCCTTTGGGCGATTGACTATATGGATGATGGCAGTCCATTGGAACTCAGAGTTACAATTGATGCGACGGATGGCTCGGCTATCTTTGACTTCACTGGCACAGGACTTGAGGCAATGAACAACCTCAACACACCAATAGCCGTGACGGTCTCAGCCATTATTTACTGCCTACGCTGCATGCTTATGGTGGACATACCTTTGAATCAAGGATGTCTAGCACCCGTCAAGGTAATCTGCCCCGAGAAATCCATTCTGGCACCCAATCTCAAAGCCGCCACCGTGGCGAGCAACACCGAGACCAGTCAGAGACTGATCGATTTGATCTTTAAAGCGTTCCAAGTCTGCGGTGCCAGTCAAGGAACTTCGAACAATCTGACCTTTGGTTATGGTGGCAAGGACGCTGCAGGTAACATAACGCATGGTTTTGGCTACTATGAAAGTATTGGGGGAGGATCTGGAGCCGGAGCCGACTGGGAAGGCCAGTCTGGCTCTCACGTCCATTTTACCAACACCAGGATGACAGACCCCGAGATCCTCGAGCGTCGCTACCCGGTACTGCTGCGGGAGTTTTCAATTCGTCGAGGCAGTGGAGGTGCCGGACGCAACAGAGGAGGTGATGGGCTGGTCAGAGACATTCAAATGCGACGTGCTATGGAAGTCAACGTCCTTTCGGAACGACGCGTGCATCCACCGTACGGAATGCTGGGAGGCAAGCCTGGGAAACGAGGGTTGAATCTGTGGATCAGACATTACGAAGGTGAAGGATCAGAAGCGACCAGGACCATCAATCTGGGAGGAAAAGCAAAAGCTTTCATGAATAAGGATGACAGGATCATTGTCATGACTCCCGGAGGTGGGGGTTATGGCAAAGATCCTACCGAGGTGGAACAGTTCGAACTCAAAGACGAATTCCGATTATTCGATGCAGGGAAGAAGCAGATGAGAAACGCTAGAGGAAGCCTTGCTGATAAGTTGGCGGCAGCTCAATCAAATTAGATACTGCAGGATCCTGTGCAGGTCGCTGGTACAAAGAGATACCTCGGATAACTTGCATTTCACACATAAAGCACCTAAGAGTTTCATGCAATCCTCGTGGATGTCGTCTGATAATACCTGATGAGCACCTGAAGGCAGTTCGACCTGATTTGCAACCACCGTAATATTTTGGTACGCCGTATCACACAACAATATGATTAGTCTGAGCCCAAGCTCGAATGCACTTGCCAAAGATGTACATCGGAATAGTCAACAACGAGACGCCTACCGTCAAACCACCCCATGTGGCGAAGAAAACTCGAGGGCCGTGGTTTGTTAGGTAGTCATTGAGCATGAATGTCAGTCCGAAAGCGAACGAACTCTTGATCAACTGGCTTATAATTAGTATAGTTCTTTACCCCTTTTGGCTTATGGGGGAGACCTTACCATGGCAATACCGAAGACTTCACCTGGTTTGTTCGTGCAGACGTCGTTGGAATACGCGACAATCCCGGTGCAGCCGACACCGATTGCAAAGTTGAGGATGGCGAGGAAGACACCACACACGTACGGAGAAAGTCCATGGTGGACTGCTTCACCCAAGCCAAATGATCCGACAGTCATGGTAATCAAAAAGGGCACCATGATAACCAGACGGAACTCTGGTTCGAAGATACCACCGTTTCGCTTAGCCATGAACTTGCTAATGTCATCACACAAGCGTCCGCCAATGATTGTACCAAGGATCGAACCAATCAAAGGCGCAACGCCCACGAGATTTCCAACACCAATCGCAGATAAGCTGTATGGCGGTGCTGCAAAGATTTGAGCGGCTACCGCTCCTTGAATGATCATCCATGTGAAGACGGCTGAGTAGGTGAGACAGCTCCAAATCACAGCTGGGTGAAGTAGGGTCTTTACCGGTGATACACATAGCCAAAGAACTCGGCGCTGGTGTCGGATTTCAAATGTGCCCAGACCCAAAATCTTTTGTACCTTTGTTCGTTCTGGGCGTGTAGTTCCCAGATCCAGATCAGTGACTGGAGCGGCCATGTCCTGGGCACTCTTTTTCTCCCCGTCATTTCCACTATGGGTGCTTCCCTGTGAGCATGGAGTTGGCAAGTGTGATGGCTGCGCTATGGGTCGATCGAAGCTTGTCTCTGGTAAGAACAAAATGACACAGCCAAGGACAACTCCGTAGGTGATGCTTATGAGCCAGAAGGTCCATCTCCAAGTCAAAGCAATTATGACTTGCGCACTTATGGTTGGGGCGATGTTGATCGATGCCTTTGCTTGTAATTAGCAATAGTGGTCATAGTACCAACGGTGACTACCAAGAAGGACACTCACTGTCACTGCGAGGTTCCAGACGCCAACTCGAAGGCCTCTTTGATGCACAAAGAATATATCGTTGATAGATGCCGTCCCGGCCACGGACAAGAATGCTCCCATTCCAAACCCTGGAAGAAGTCAGAACAGCTCGCAGGTCAATACCGGTGGTGCTTACCTTGGAAAAGACGAGATACGAGCAGAGATTCGTATGATTTAGATGTAGCAGCCCAGATGCACGAAACCAGCGTCAGGAGGGTTGTGGTTATGTAGACAAGTCGTTTCCCATAAACCACCGACAGACATGCACACAGATAGGAGCTGACACCAAGTCCAATTATCAACGAGCCGTTGAGTAGAGTAACCTTGGTCAACGACGTAAAACCAAATTCGGCTGCGACAATGTTGAATCCTGGAACAAGGATAGGACCTATGACACCCATCGAGCAGGCACCCAGTACGAGGGTTCCGAACATGAGTTCCTTTCGGACTCGGCTGAAGTTGAGTGGATCATCTGGAGATGCTGATGGCTCCGGGACCAGAACGACATATCCTGTGTTGCCGTTGCTCTCGCCCTCGAGAGACTCAAGCAGAGATGTGCCCTGGGGCTGCGAGTTGGACGCTGGGTTGATAATTCCAAAAGCCATGGCAATGTTCGAGATGGTTTGACCTTTGCAGCGCCATGGTACCCCTCTCAAGGTAGTATATATATCCAGTCAAAAGGTCGTTCAACGACTGGTTGTCAAATTCCGTTCGCCCTCAAAGGTCGTTCACTGATCATGGGCGCAGAGCTGTTCCGCAATCGATGCTCTCGGAATTGGCCAATCACAACACCTCATGCAAGTGCTTAGCGGCGGAGGAGCCTCCCGCCGTCGATATTTCTCCATACTCAACGCTCAAAACTGAATCAGATTTCTGGACATGAACGAGGGAGATAATCTCGGTAGTTGGAGGCGGAAGTCAAGCCGCGGTCTTGATGATTTGTCTGTCACATCGAGGTTTGGTTCAAATAGCCCATTCGAAGCAGGCACTTCGCAGACCAACTGGAAACCCAGCACTTCAACTCACAATTTCCTCGTACTCCCATGATGCAATTGCCAACAACCACTGGAACCGTCCGGGTCGCCGTCACTCAGGCTGAACCAGTATGGCTTGATCTTGAAGCTACCGTTGTCAAAACGTGCGAGTTGATCGTGGAAGCAGCAGAAAATGGTGCAAAGCTGGTCGCCTTCCCCGAATGCTGGATCAGTGGTTATCCAGCATGGATCTGGTAAAAGGATGATCCCGAGAATATATAACCGATGGAGCTGACGATTCAAGGTCACGTAGTGTGGACTTCGACTTAACATCACGATACTTACAAAACTCGCTCAAAGTTGAATCCCCGGAAATGCAACGCATTGCAGACTGCGCACAGAAGAACAAGATCTTTGTTGCTCTCGGATTTTCGGAGAACTTCCACGATTCGGCGTATATTGCACAAGCACTCATTGGGAGTGATGGACAGATCTTGCTCAACAGAAGGAAGCTCAAGCCAACACACATGGAGCGAACAATATTTGGCGATGCATCAGGCGACTCGCTCAAGAACGTTGCGGAAACCAACTCCACACTTGGAAGAGTGGGAATGCTGGCCTGCTGGGAGCATACTCAACCTCTTCTCAAATACCACACTTACCTTCAACGGGAGTCCATTCATGTTGCAGCGTGGCCGCCGCTGTGGGAGCACCGTGGCGGTCCAGGTTTATGGTCCATGGGCATAGAAGGTATTCCATGACCCATCTTGAGCAGACTAATGACGTGCTAAGTGAACTCTGTAGGAGCTCAATGCTTGTCCCGAACGTACGCAATCGAGTCTGGGAGTTTTGTCCTCCACACGACAGCCGTGCTGTCTCAGAAGGGGATTGATGTCATGAGGACTGGGACCGGCGCTCTATTCAATACTCCAGGGGGAGGAGGTTCTGCCATATTTGGTCCAGATGGAAGGCAGCTGTCGCAAAATCTGCCTGGGGATGTCGAAGGCATAGTTTACGCTGATTTGGATTTCCAGGCTATTCTCCGCTCCAGGGGATTTTTAGACGTGTGTGGTCATTATAGCCGGCCAGATATGTTGTGGCTGGGCGTAGATGATACCGAAAAGAAGCATAGAAAGCCCATAGATCCCAAGCTCTGAAATGAAAGAAGTTGCCTGACTTTGTTGCTATTGACATATTGCTCATCCTCACTCGTCGCCACAGCTGCAACCCAGGGGGTTCTCGCAAAGGCAACTTAACAGTTGGCTTTGGCACCTTTGTGCTGGCAGATTCAATGCGAGGTCTGTGAACACAACTCTAGATCGAAAAACTTGCAATGCTAACGAGTAGTTGGTGAGATAAGGATGCTTTAATAAAGAAAAAGGAAGAAAGGGAACAGAGGTTCAATTTGGTGCGGGGTCCTCAGGCCCTAACTGCCTAAGCATGACCCGGAGGATAATCCAGGGCACCTATTTGCTCAACTAAGTTAGTTACCTAGGGAATTAGTAAGTAGTATTAGTACCTGTCTAGGTAAAGAACCCTAGTTAGTTAAGTACTTATTGAGTCCTGGAAGCTGACTTTGGCGGCACCGGCTTCGGGGGTCAGAGTCAATGATGAGCCGTAGTAATATCAATTGTTTTGGTTACTGACTAGGCACAGGACTACGATCCCAACAATATCACAATCTATATAGATAAATAGATGACTGACTACCTAATTAGGTAGTGAGAGATTATCTCAGAAAACCGTGGGCGACATCCCACCTACCAAGAAGTAGTACTGACAACACCTATCTTCTGGAAGGATTCTCCGGGTACCAACACCCTTATCTCTTGCGTCTACTCCACGAGACTGAAGCATGAAGTATCGTTCTCCGCTCTGTCCTTGACTTCAAAAAGAATCTCCATGAGTGAAAAGGCTGCCAAAGTTGAGATTGCATGCGAAGGATGCAGGAAGCGGAAGCGGAAGGTAAGAAGTGCGAGCTGCGATACTGCGGCTTGTGCTGACGCGAAACAACAGTGTAACGGTGCACGTCCAGCATGCATGGCATGTGTTGCGAGAGCGCAAGATTGTCACTATCTTGATGAAGAGGTATCTCGCAAGTCTGTTCGGCTTAATCATACTTGTTCAATCTCGGTGGCTGACATGTCACCAGGCGTAAGTTGAATGTCGATTATGTTGCCAGCCTCGAGGAAACGATAGAGGTCCTTCGAGGACAGATTTTAGAACTCAACAAGAGATCGGACAATGACGAACAATACCGAATTCGTCGAGAGCAGGAGCTCTTTGGTGACGAGCATCCCAATGCCACGCTTTCAGGCGACTCTAGTCGGGAAAAGCGATTGGCCTCGGCCGTCGACGAAGTCAGTGCCATGATCTGGAAGATCGATCTTGGAGCAGATGGAAGGCCACAGTTCACAGGGCCTTCAGGTAATTTCACATTTCAATCAGCATCAACTATGGTCGAGCAAATCTCAGCAGCACCAACGGATGAACGGATGACAATCTGTCATTCTGAAGTCCGTACCGCAAAGCAAGAGTTTGTGAACCACTTCATAAATCATGTCAATTTATATCATCAATTTCTTGAAGCATCTCAGATAATCGAAATAGATTCGATATCATCGGGAGGCATCGACACTCAACTGCTGCGGGATGCTATCCATGTAGCTGGCTCTCGTTTCTCATTGCGACAGGATGCGGACAAGATAGGCAAACTTATCATGGATGAGTTCGAGAGTAAGGTCCTTCAGACTTGTCGATCGCAGCCATCCTCATTGGTTGTCCAGGCATTGTGTATCATATCTTGGTATTGTCTCGCTTGTTCACAGGACAACATGGCATGGATGTACCTTCACATGGCGTCCGCCATAAATCTGCAACTTGGCCTTCATGTTACAGCACTTCAGAATCTACACAACCAAGCAGGAATCATGTCTCCGAACGATGCAAGATTATTGCGTATCTTGTGGTCCTTCGCTCTGCAGGACCGAATTCTTACTGCAATGCTAGGCAGACAATGCAGTCTCCCTTGGAAGCGCATTAAAGCGCGAGAGTTCTCCGAAACCCTTCAGCCTGATGCGAAGCTGGAAGAGATTACGTTCGGACATCAATGTCGACTCTGGTACTTACTCGATCAATATCTAGACCAAATGTACGCAAAAAAAAAGGACCAAATCCCTATCATTTGCTTCAAAACTAACAAATTATAGCTATGACTTTGACTTTGGTCGACTCGATTTCAAACGTCGGAGTAAATTGCTCATCGATGGCCGTGAGCGACTGTTCGACTTCCACCAGAGCGTGGATCGTCGACTACGAGAAGACGGCAAACAAAAGCCCAAATGCGTCATCGTGTTTCAAATGTCATATCAGACAGCCCTCCTGCTTGTGCATCGACCCTATCTCTGTGAGAAACCCGACACCTGGATATATCGGGTGGCGTTACGTTCAATAACCGCTGCGGCATCTTCCATAACACGCCTTGTGCACATATACCGCAAGACCGACGACCTAGCGAATGCGCCTCCATTCCTCGTCCACCACATCATGAGTGCGGCCATCATGCTCTTGCTCAACACAACATCTACAGACCAGGAGATCTGCCGACGGTCGATTGGTCGTTTCCGACTGTGCGTGTCGGCCCTCGAAGACATGCAACAAAGATGGAAACGTGCGGCAGATGCCATATTGCTGCTCCGAGAACTGGCTCACAGATGGTCTGTCGTGCACGTACTTCCGATTCATCTCAGTGCACCGTTGGCTGCCTCTGATACCAAGGCGAAGCAGCCCGCGGTCCACGTCGAAAAAATGCTCGGAGATCAAAGCAGCAACCCCGTTGGAATGGACCATGACCTCTCGACAGAGCCCGACCCTTTAGGATTCGACTTCGGTGAGGTTTACATGGCTACAGGATCTGTATCTCCCGAACCATGGGGATTTGCAAATGACTATGCTCTTCAGGATCTGACCGCATATCCAGACTTCAGCCAGATGTTCAATCACATGTGGCCTGATAACGGGTGGGATTGAGTTACTTGGTTTTTCGAATCACAGTTGGGTTTGATTATTTGAAACAACTTCAAACCCATCGAATTTCAATTGCGACAGGGAACATACTGACTAGGCCAAATCTTGGACGCTCTCGGACCTTCACCCCGCGACATGAGCGAAATGCCATGTGCACTCATCGCCCTGGGCTCAAATCGAAGGACTGCAAGTTCGAACACGACCGCAGGCGGTCTGAATTCACACGAGACGAACAGAGTCGGTAGAGATTCCCACTCAACTGATCACTTCTATGGAACCCACGCTGGATCTCAGCGAAAGCATCCTCAAAAGGACATCAAATGTTGGAATATTGGATTTCTGGATTATTCTGACGACTTCTTCCGGACGTATAATGTGCAGGCTTGAGGAGCTGTAAGAACATGCCAGATAATGCGAAGTCAGATGGAGTTTCTTTTTGATAGAACAGGAAGGGGATGTCATGATATGTTGAGTACTCCCGTGTGACTACTTTGCGTCGGACGTTTTCAAGCGCCCATCAGTGATAGGATACTGCTTGCCCTCGCGTGCTATAATTACTGTCCCTTGCTTGCTGAACTCCGGCTCCAGCACGAGCTTCAATCCCCATGGTGCTGTTGAACCTATTACATCTAAAAGATGTTCTTCGTTGAGTTGATGGAGTGTGATATTTGTATCTCTCAGCTGAAGAAATGAAATGTCCTTGACTTGAGCCTAGAGCCTAGAACCGAATGGGCTTCACTTGTGAGACATTCCGCAACCATTCCTATGACACACCGGCGTGGCTGCTCGATGAGCTGATAAGCATCACTCTGATATCATCGTATGTGTCTCAGCGGCCGCCCAGCATCTTTGAAACCTTGTCACCCAACTTGTCCACAAGACTTCTTCTCTGCTGATTGTGAATAGGGGGTGCATATGGTCCACCATTGCCGTACTGTTGCCCCGGATAAGGCCCAGCCGTTGAGGTAACAGGTCCAGTGGCCGCGGTGAAGCGAATGGTCTGGCCATGAGGCTGGAAATGTTCGAGGCCCATGCATAACACTCTAGCTTTGCGATTGTTCCAACCCTCGTCTGGCCGTCCAGTTGCATGATATATGCAAAAGACTCTCGCATCGCCGGGGTATGGTGAGACCAGAAACGAAGCGTGACCAGGTCCAAACGGTCCAGGACCACTCGGATCACTTTCGAGTAGTGGTGTTGGCCGTTTCACCCAGGAACGTTCATCTCTCGGGTTGCCGCCATTGTAACGTAATACGGCTAGCTTGTAATCACAAGTCCAACTACCGTTGGCACTGTAAACAATACCTTGGAAGCCCGGTATGCTCAGCCAAGTGGGGCCTTCATTCACGCCTCTCCTCCCACCATCGGGCCGCTCCCAGGGCAGGCTCGCACGGGAAATACATGTCAGGGTATTTGGAATGGCCTGCTCGGGGTTCGCGAGTTGAATGAGAAAGAGGTCTTGTTGTGTGTCCGAGCTGTCGCCCAGTGGCCAGCCAGAGTAGCAGCAGTACAACTCGTTCGAATTCAGCGTAAATACCGTGGCATCGATATTCCAGTGATCTGGCAACCCCTTCATCGGGCCGACGAAGGTCCAAGCATCAGCGTCCATTGGATTCTGGGATTCAGATCGCAATATCGTTGTGCGGTGTGATCGATTCCCTATTCCTCCATGTGCCGCACAGAAATACACATACCATCTCCCACCAAGATAATGTAGTTCTGGAGCCCAGATGTCTACCGACCACTCTGTTGTCCCTGAAGCCGGCTTCCAGGCGACAATTTTCTCACAATTGCGGAAGTTCTCGAGCTCTTGCGATGCCCATATTTCTACCCGGTTGCCTAATGTGAAAGTCAAATAGAAGCGGCCCTGGGCTGCGACCATCCAGGGATCCGGCATGTCGACATCACAAATGACTCGATTCGACATTGTGGCTTTCAAGCTTGCTCAATTGCTGTGACATACATAAAAGCTGTAAAGAGATCGTTTGGAGTTACCATTTGGGGAACTGGGTCTAAGTTGTTCACGGGCGTTATTAGGCGGTTGCTCTCGCATCGGGTTGTTGTTGCGAGCCAAGCCATGAGATGACGAGGCGTGTGGAAACTGTGAACGAATGACAACATACGTAAAGGTAGGTACCTGAGCACTTGTATCAATAAGAATGATGCACCTGGACTAGACATCACTTGGACCCATTGAGAATGATCACACCTGTGCACAATGATTCTTCTGACAGTATTGTCTTCTCATGATAGTAATGAGTTTACCTATTTGGCTCAGCTTCGAGGAAAGGGTACGGGTGACAGGGAAAGCAGAACAAAACCAAGAAGCAAATTTGAGTAAAGGCACTTTGAGTTGATTTTGGAATCGGAATTAGTGTAATATGAATCGTTGCACAATCGCCTGGGTATCTCAAAGTCATCAATCATAGCTCATCAGGTCATTACCCCCTTCACTGCTGAATTCGACGAAACATGACCGAGGCAGGGGTGTAAGCAGGAGTCGTTGAAGCCAACAATTGAACTCGCCTGGCAGCTGGAGTCACGGGTGGTAGCCTCTCGTCCACACTGGCTGGTTCTTGTTTGACATTTGCGGCACCCGATCTCCATTTTTGTAGGAATCCCAAAGCTCGCTTTTTCTCGTTTCGCCTGAACAGCCCGTCCGCATCATTTTCAAGTCGGGAAGTCCGGAAAGTCAGATTTCTCCAGTTCCTTAACCTAGACAAAGAGTAGCCGTCTGTCTTTATCGTGTGATATTCGTCCGCTTTACGCTGATCCTCGAGTATCTTCCTAGTGGGCGAGAGCCATTTGGAACCGAAGATCTCAAGGCGTGCGATCGCATGTTTGTTACCAAAAGCATCCGCTTGTCGTGTCAGATCTTGAACCTGCTCTGCCTTGTTGAACATGACCATGATGGCCGAATGAGCCACCCGTCCAGTATGTTCAATCTTCTTGCGAGCCCGGAATTCGTCAGACATAATTCTCATCTCACGAATGCGAATTGTCTTTTGCCTCCAAGTATTCAGCGCGGCACGTCCAATGTTGATTTTCACTTTCCGTCTCATTGACTTGTAGGCCGCCGAATATGTGGCTTCCTTACTACTCTTGACGAGCGCTTGCCATCTTCGAAAATATTTCACTGCCAGCATCTGTTCATGGGCCTGTTGAGCATGTTTTTCATCGGCTCTGATACGAGTTTTCTCTCTCCATGTTTGAAGAGTATGTTTGCTGGAGAAGTATTCTACAGCTGCCATTGCTCTTCGGTCGTTGACACGTTGCTGTTCGACATGGGTGTGCCATGTGCTCAGCACTCGGCGTATGATGTTGCGACCATAGAGGTGGTCTGCTTCTTGGTGCCTTTCGCGGAGGTCGGCCCTTCTAGTAGCAACGACCTGGAGTACATTTTGAGCAGCTTGACGAATGCTGATCGCATCCGCAGCAACTTCCATTTCCTTGATATCTGCAGTTTTGTTATGCCAGTCCTCAAGAGTTTTGTGTAGAAGTCGTTCGTCTCGTACTCTGACAAAAAGCCTCTCCCGTGCAGCAAGAGTCCAAGTTTTGAGAACAGAGGCGGCGTCACGCTTTGCTCTAAACTCTACCGCAACCCTTTCCAAATCTTGCATCTCTTTAATGGTATTGCGCCAGTGAGTGATCGCCTTGCGCGCCAAGTTGGTGCGGTACACCTCATCAGCCAGTCTATTCAACTCAGGATTCTCCCTCTCCAAAGCATCCTCTCTTTTCAAATACAATTTCTGGCGCCATTGATCGAGCGCCTGCGATGCTAGTTTTCGGCTATCGAGTGCGACGGCTTGCAGCCAGATACGGTTGTTGTCGTCGAAAGAGTCGGACGACTGAGGTCTCGTGGGGAAAGGTGGTATCACCTCAACGGATGCAGCACGTCTGCTAGCACCATATTCGCTTCCCCCATCAGTGAGAGTGCCGTCGGTCGTTAGAACGATATGAGCTTCCTGTAGAACATCTAGAAATTTTTCATTGAGGGGTGTTTCAGATTCTGTTCGTGCGAGATCGAGGAGCCAATTTAGACAGGGGTCTTCGACATTGGGATTCTGGCCTTCCTCTAAATAGACTGCCTTATGTTCACGTCGAAGAGATTCCGGAGTTGATTCAATGTGATCTTCCTGTAAGCGGAGGAGAACACGGTGCAGACGATCGATGTCTGCGGGAGAGAAATTGCGGATGTCATGAGCAAAGTCTGAGAGCTCTTCTGGCTTCATGTTTCATGGCCAGGATCCCTTTATTCATCTTGATTTCGGGCACTTGGTCAAGCTACTTGAAGAAGAAACGCGTGAGGCAACGACGCGTAAAAAGAGAGTACGGTGGGGCATTTTGTGGAATACGCGCGTGCGTCCAGCATTCGTTTCTAGCTAAATTGGTGAAAAAGTCAACAAACACCACCATCTAGATTTGAACCAGAGACCAAAAATTTCGGCGTCTATTATAGCTCCTATTCTCCGTATCATACACGCGTCCGCAGCCTCAGAGAATGGATAGAGTGTTCCTGCCAAAGCACACTCTACTGTGGAGCCCCGACCAACCGAACCTCCAAGGACATTTAGATCTCCAGATGCAGGTATTAAGATTATCTCTCTCAGACCCTCCTGTCGACAGAAATCCCGGGAATCAAATATATCTGCATGTGAAGTGGTGAATTGATATTATATGGGGGGGGCGCCTTAGGTATCGAAACCTCGCTAGGACCCAGCCTGAGCGAGAAGCCATCACCTCAATGAGGACTCCCTAACCTCACCTCAGAATCCGTAGTCGTTTCGATATGCGTCTAGCTTTTCCAACGAAATACCGCTCCCTCCACATACTATAACAACAACCTTGCTATTCGGCCCAAAGTTCTTCACGTACTTTTTCAATGCCCCGTTGTATATCAGGGAGAGGCTCGCACCACAAGAAGGTTCCACGAGATATCTCTGATCATTCGCGAAGTGCCAACATGCTGAACATGCTTCAGAATCCTCGACTACCACTGTTGAGACGTGGTCACGGAGTGCTTCCTTGAATGCATTCTCTGCAACCCTCAGAGCCCCCAGTGTCTTCGCCACTGAAGTGATCGCTGGGAGGGTGACCCATTCCTTCTTTGCGACGGCCTGTGCAAGAGAATCAGCACCATTGGTTTCGACGGCTAGTACTTGCACAGGCTGTCCTTTGTTCCATCCGTGTCTGTCCAGTCCTAGCATGATCCCGGAGAACATGCCACCTCCGCCTACTGAGCATACAATGGCATCAGGCCGTTCATCCATCTGGTCAACCATCTCATCTATCATAGTTGAAGCCCCTTCCCAAATGAGAGGATGGTCAAAGGGTGGAACATAAATCGCTGTTTCTCCTCGTGCCTTTGCCGCCTCCATCACAGTTTCTCGCAAATACTTGTCTGCGTAAAACCATGAGTCGCCATGAATGATGATATCCGTTCCTCCAGCCTCTCGGAGTTTTGTGATCATATCTTGATCGGTCGAGGTGGGAACCACCACCGATGCTTTGCACTTCAAAAATACTGCTGTAGTCACGCAGGCGAGCCCGGCATTTCCTCCGGAGGATGAATAGAAGTGAATGTTTTGACTACTGGATGCCGCATTCTGATGTTGTTGAAGATTGGAGAGCATATAATTCCCAATACCGCGGCTTTTGAAAGAAGACGAGGGCTGGGTGTTTTCAAGTTTCAAGAACACTCGACTGATTGGTCTGATCAGTATTTTGAACCAAGTATATTGCTATGTGGAACAAGACAGCTCACCATCCTGCTTTACCGGAGAGTTTTCTTGACTCAAGGAGTGGTGTTGAAGTCCACGGCTTCCTTTGTGGAGGACTGCCTTCAGACATTTTGCTGTTGGAATATCTGGTACACGGATGTTGCTTTGAAACGATAATAATTATGCTATTTAATGTTCCAATATCGACCTTGGCAAAGGGCGATCGACAGCACCCAATGTTGATATCTAACTCTAAGTTAACAGCGCCCTTTGACCTTGAGTTTTCACCAGTCTTCCAGAAGCTTCCCAGAGGGAGCAGTGTGGTTCATCAATTGTCCACTTTAGGCATGACATACGAGGGACTGCAGTCTAAAAGGAGATTGTCCATTGGCAGATCCTTCCCGGGAGCACGGATATCCGCGTGATTCAACCGGCGCGTTACTAAGTATTCTAAACCATCTTTCCTTTAAATAACGACGAATCTCTCTCGCATTCGAATGACGGTATTCAATCAGTGGACCAATCGATTGACGAAACTAGATTCATCCGTATCACCAAGATATGGATACGCGGTCGGTGACCATGACGCCTGCTCGATATGAGATTATCCATTGCTTAACTAGATATTAGTTCAGCACGTGAAATAATCGTTGTGAACTGCCTGGTTCGGCATTCAATGTAACGTCTCGGTGTTTGGCTGACCTATGTTGCATCATCCACAAACTGGAGCCCAGGCACCCAGTATGAGTTCCTTTTTATACCACACGAGAATCCTATCGAGTCAATATCTGTTCAGGTAACACATGTAAGATGGATCAAGGACCAGAACTAAAATCGTCAACGAAGCTCAGTCGGCCTCGGATTCGAGACTTGGGTTACCGCCCTGGCAAATTTGAACCAGGCCCGCGGAACTCAATCCTCGATGTGAAAGGTTAGTGTATGCTCTTGTCGAACGCCCGAAGTCGGAAAGGGAGAATGAAATATTGACTTTGTCGATAGGACTCCATGTTGGGCAAACCACCATCCATAGAGAGCCTGACATCCATACCGGAGTAACCGTCATTCTTCCACGGGACCCAGAGGACATATATCTCAAGCCTTGCTATGGCGCAACTCATAATCTCAACGGTGTCGGAGAACTTACTGGGAGCCATACGCTGAATGAGTGGGGGATTTTGCGCAGCGTAAGATTCCCGATAGAGGATATAAATCTTCAGTTCAGCTTACATCTCAGCCCATTGCCATCACAAACACGGTTAGTGTTGGAAAAGTGTACGATGCTCTCTTTCTTTGGGGAGCAGAACAAGCTCGCCTGCGTGGCGAAAGTGATCTTGAAGCAGTCCGACGTTTCACGATTCCTCTCGTGGCAGAAACCTATGACGGTATGCTGAACAACATATTCGCGTCAGTTATTGATCGCGATTCTGTCAACGAGGCTTTATCAGCGGCATTAAGTCAGAAAGAAGTACAAGAAGGCAACTATGGTGGGGGTACTGGGATGATATCTCATGGGTACAAGGGTGGGACAGGTACCAGCTCCCGCGTACTTCCTGGTTACGAACGTGATTACACCCTAGGCGTGTTGGTGCAAGCCAACTATGGCAAGAAAGACGACCTTCGGATCGGTAATGTCCCAGTCGGAGCATTACTCGCTGAGCCAAAACCCAGTGACCCGCCTCTTCCTGCTGGTGGAAAGGCAGTCGAAGGAAGTAAGTGCATGCATACACTGTAACGCCTCAGCAGAGGAGCACAACTAATTGAGTTATAGGTATCATTGTCGTGGTTGCGTAAGTGTCACCCAACAGCAATACGTCGAAAGGGATGCCGCTTACTTAGGAATAGGACGGATGCTCCTTTGCTGCCTCATCAACTACGGCGCATTGCACAGCATGCCGGAATGGGTATCACACAGGTAACGTTCTTGTTCCATATCAAGCACTCACCAAGCAGCTTGGGTGTTAAACATTCATACTATAGGTCACCGGCCATGCAGCTGGGCGAAACTTCTCTGGAGAGATATTCCTCGCCTTCTCGACAGGCACTTCACCGGATCGACTGGCACATGAATCCAACGGATTCGCCTATCTCCCCAAGCTGGAGACGGAGAAGGTGGAAACACTCAAGAATGAGACCATCGATTCGCTGTTCTATGCTGTTTCGGAAGCCACCGAAGAAGCAATCCTAAATGCCATGTGCAAAGCTGAAAGTTTAACCGGGTTTAATGGTGTGCATGTGAATGCTCTGCCCGTTGACGAGGTCAAATCTCTGCTCGATAGATACTCCATACCTCGACCGCACATGCATACCTAGGCAGTGATTAGTGTTACATCGAATCCCGAGCGAGTGGGTGTTGATAACTCATACCAATATAGCTGCTGACTGTCATGGCGGTCAGAATGTCTCGCCAATAAGATCTTGCGAAGTTCTGGATTGGGTTGCGCAGGTGTTTTGGGACAGTCATCAACATTTACCCAGAAAGCAAATATCAGACCACGTCGCCCATGTATTCTGTGCTCAATACATATTGCCAGAGTTACTTTGTGACGCACTTCTATTCTCAAAAATACGTGATCAGATCAGCTTAGCTGGTGCAGCATCCCTTTCCCCAAGAGGCTCAATGGTTAGCCTATCAACTCAATGTGTAAATACTCACTGGAAGACACCGGACCAGCTCTCGAAAGATCAGTCCACGCGTCCCAAAATGGTGGCGGGTCAATATTGAACAATTCATGTTTGTTGGTCTACTTCATCACGTTTACAACAGTCCGCTCGGGGTTTAAGAAGTATATAACATGGAGTTCGCGGGCATTGCAACACTGAAAACATCACCAACAATACTCTCAGTGTCTTGAATCAAATTCACTATCCCACCAAGTATTACCAATTCATATCAATTCCATTGCTACGGAACTACCATCACGATGCCGAACCCACGACACCACTTCAAGCGTCACTTTGGCTTCCCCAACACGGGTGCCATCATGGGCTTTCTTCCTGACAGTGTCTTGCATGATATGGTAGCCACACTCGGGGAGTTCATCGGTACTTTTTTGTTCTTGTTTTTTGCATACGCTGGCTGCCAAGTTGCCAATGACCCTTCCGAGAGAAACGGCCTGCCTGTTGAAGCAAACACATTGAGAATCATCTACATTGGTCTCAGCTTCGCCGTATCTCTGGCTATCAACTCCTGGTTGTTTTATCGCGTTAGCGGTGGTCAACTAAACCCAGCTGTAAGTATTCTATCTGTCAGGATACAGATGGTGGTTCACGAAGCTGACCAGATACCTCAAGGTGACACTGACATTGTATCTCGTTGGTGCCATTCCAGGACGTCGTACAATCACCATTTGCATTGCTCAGATCATCGCTGGAATCGCTGCAGCGGGTGTTGCATCATGCACATTCCCCGGTCCCATGAAGGTCGATATCAGCTTGGGAGCAGGTACGAGTATTGCACAGGGCTGCTTCATTGAGATGTTCACCACAATCCTGCTATGCCTTACTGTTGTGATGCTTGCTGCTGTGAAGCATAAGGCGACCTTCCTGGCTCCCCTTGGTATCGGAATGGCCCTCTTCGTTGGCCATTTGTGCAGTAAGTTCCATAATGCGAATCCCCTGAGCATAATAACTTACCAATCATTTCTCTCGAAGGTGTCGAATTTACCGGTGCTGGTATTAATCCTGCAAGAGCGTTCGGCCCGGCCGTCGTCAATCATTCGTTTCCTGGTTATCATTGGATTTACTGGATTGGGCCACTCATCGGCTCTCTTGTCGTTGCACTCTTTTATCACATCCTTGAGTGGCTTGACTGGAAAAGCGCCAACATCGGACAAGATTTCGATGACCTGGAGGCCCAACACCTCGATTCGAAGAAGCACACGCCCAGGCCGAACATCTTTGCGACTTCGCTCACTCCTGATCCCGTAGAGCCAGAACCAAAGCTTCAACCCGAGGAGGATGGTCAGGGAAGCGAAGCGACAACTCAGCATGAGTAAGATCATGTGAAAAGACGGTGCTTCGACCTTGCATCGCCAGGTAATTACAAATCAAAGCTTCTGCTCGTGTACCGAGCGGTCAGGAAGGAGGGAGGGAGGGCGAGGCGTGAGAAGGGTGCTATCTTGTTCCTGGCATAGGAGAAAGAGCAACATGCATTCAGCATTGACACACTAAATAGAACCTGTAATATAGTTATTTGCTTTTAGCTTTATTAAGCATTAATGAGAGGCATCGTTTTGCGTCAATGTCGCTCGGACGACCACCATTTCGTGCGCGCGAGTGTGACGAGAAGGGATGGTGGAAAGGATGCCTTCTGAAAAAAAAGTCAACTAGTTGATTTAGAGTACCCACGTACCTAGGCACCTAGGCAGATTGAATAGGCACCAAGTTAGGCATGTACCTAGGAACATAGGTCCGGTTTAAGCCTACGACGCCGAGGGCGAAGGTCCCACGACGGATGTTCTAACCCGTAGCCCCTCAGCGGAGAATGTCCTCGGCTTTCGTTAAAGCCAGCCAGTGGACAACAAGCTTAATGTTACACTCTAGTTAAAGGCCTCGGTGGTTTGCACACCATGTTAAGTTTATCAATGACTTCTCAGCAGGTGGTACGACATGATCGTCTTCGAATTCATGCGTTAGCATGCGACTGAACGGGCAACATGAGTCTGCGAGTTGACAAAACGCCTGACTGGCTTGAGAGCTATGCGACCAGCCACCATGACTGGCAGCAGACCGTTCAAAATGGTGAGGTCATCCATTACCGTCGAATTGGAGTCGTTGAAGGACTGTTCAACACCGATGGAATTGATTATGAAGGACGAGCAGATTTGACTTTCAACCTTCAAGTCGAATTGAAGACATCTCTCAATGTAGAAGCTCTGCGTGAACGATTCGTGCAAGCGTGGGCCGTTTTGAGGCAACGGCACGTTCTTCTGTCAGCTCGTGTCGCACAAGTCAAAGAGCTGCTGCCATTTGTCACTGGGCACGAGGCGGAAGAATGGATCTATGTGTTCAAGCCATGCGCAAGTCCACGAGATGCATACTTGGAAGCGCAAAAGCACCTCGTTCAGGTTGAAGACCAATACTCCACAGTCAGAAACGACGAGTTTTTCACTCACACGTTGAATTGCTCTCGTTGCCTTGATCCTTTCGTATCACTGAGCAGGTTCTATGTCATGCCACTGATTTCGAAAGGCAATGGTGTCTATGATGCGTCATTCATGATGACAGCCGGCCATGAGATTGTGGATGGGTTGACTTCTATGAGATGGATGTCTTCACTCATCCATATCCTCAATGAGTCTCCAGAGCAGTTGAGACTGAACTTGAAAGATCTTTGTCAGACTTCAGCGGTTCCTCGATTACCACCAGCACAGGAGTCACTTTATCCGTCAATGGGTAGCAGCCCAGCAAGAAAAAGGTGGTCTTGGTTGATTTCTCGTATCCTTCGTCACAAGAAAAAATTACCACCAGCTTCATTTCAAAATCCACTGCGAAGGAGGATACCGTTAGCCAAGGCACAGTCTTTGCCTCCAAAGTTCTCCAAAATTCTCGACTATTCTCGACTGCCGCCTCTGAACACGTATACTGTTCGGCCGACTTTGAGTGCGGCTTCTTCACAAAGGTTGGCGAAATTATGTCGGGAAGCACGAATAAGCATAGGGAGTGGTTGCTTTGCTTTGGTAGCCTTGGTCATGATGTTATTCGAGGAGAGATGTAATCCGAACATTCCAGCAAACGAACGCTTGCCCTTTGTCGGATCATTTCCAGTCAATCCCAGACCACTCCTGGACGGAACCCCAACTACGGGGAAAGAGGATAACTTGATGTTAGCGTTCAGCGAAGGCATTGCCCTCCGATTTCTCGCAAGCGAATTAGACTTTGAAGGGAGATTTCGACTGCTCGGCAAACAAGCTCATCGACAATTACGCCAATACCAGAAGCGTCCTCGGAATGTTCACGCAAAAGCTGTTTTGGGATCTAGCAGCCCTGAACAGCTATTACCGATCATGTACTTGGTAACGATGGAGCGCCTTGAGAGCAAAAGCTTAGAGACACGGAAGCGAGGCTGGAATATCCAGGGAGAGTATCCTGCTAGAACGAACTCAACACTTGCCACCTGTGGTGTCAGCTCTGTCGGGCCACGAGGTTCCATCATAGCATCAGGGAAATTCAACACAAGCGAGTTGGCGGAAGGACAAGAATTGGCGGTCGACTTCCGTGAGTTATACACGACTGTTCGGGCAAGGGATGGCGAGTTCTTGGTCGGAGCGGTGGGTGACAATGGGATACTCAAATTCGGAGTCAGCTATGATGGGTGCGCCATCGATCCTGCCCTAGCCGAAGAGTGGAAGCAGGTGATGGAGACCATCATGGAGCCCAAACAACCGTCATCCATGTCGAGATTGTAGCCGTTGTGTAGATGTAGTCCTGGTAGTCGAAGGTGAGCTCAACGATGTCCAGCGTCATCATTCCTCTACTGCTCGAATCAGTGTTTGTCAGCGCTATCTATATACTACGTGCATTGACTTCCAGCGGCCATTGCTAATCGAATCAATGCATGATCATCGCTGAAGCGTTTATGGCTGCGTGTTGCCAAGAAGATTTGGACAACCTGGAGGCAGCATGATGGTGGCGACTGAAATGTACTTGCCTACCTAAGAGACAATATCGTACCAAGGAATTCAATTCGGAGCCACGAAGCTCCGAAATTTGGACTGCAAGAGGGATATTGGTCAGCCTCAAACTCACCAGAAAACCCCTGCTACTGAGTTTACCTAACCAAGAGACCGAAGTAATTGGCGTAGTCAACCAAGACTCTGAACCTTCTCGGCCGCCTTCGCCCTCCCTTCGATGCTCTTACATAACATTGGTATTCATCAACAATCCCTAGGCTCCCCCAATCCTTCGCGTTGTATGGCTTCCTGGTTGGAGTAATGACTTCTCCACGAAAGCTCGGCAGCTAGTGACACCGAAAGGGTTTCCATCGTCGTATCAACATCTAGATTGTAGAGTCCCGAGGGAGCCCCAGCCGTCATATGATGACTAACTGTGGCACATCTGACGGGGTTCTGACGCTTCACCGAACCAGGACCACTTACCTAATACAACGACTTGCAAAGTCTGGCATGTTCAGCTACAGGGTAAGGACGTAGGTGTGGTTCAATTAGCTCATAGGTGCTGCACACTTTTCATATATATAAGGAGGTCAAGTCCTAAGTTTTCGTACTATATTCCATTTCCAAAGTACATCCATCGAGTTCTCCATCCATAAGTAACCAACAGCTTCAACGACTCTTAGCTCAACTCACTAACTCACCAACTTTCGAACATTCGACAAATTCAGAACAATCTCCAGTCTAAAGACCGCTAAGCCAAAATGTCGAAGAAGATCTTGACCATTTTTGGAGCCACGGGCAACCAAGGCGGCAGCACACTGTCGGCGGTGCTCAACAACCCAACGCTAGCAGCCAAATACAAGATCCGGGCCATCACACGCGACCCGAGCAAGCCCAGCGCACAGTCACTGGCGTCACGAGGGGCGGAACTGGCGCAAGCGGACCTCAACGACATCGAGAGCGTCAAGAAAGCGATTGCCGGGTCGCACGGCGTGTTTGCGGTGACCAACTACTGGGAGACGATGGACAAGAACGCGGAGCTGCAACAGGGCAAGAACATCGTGGACGCATGCAAGTCGGAAGCGGTGAAGCACCTGGTATGGAGCAGCCTGCCGCACGCGGAGAAGCTCAGCAACGGCGAGCTCAGCAAGATCGAGCACTTCGACTCCAAGGCTGGGGTGCAGGAGTACGCGGAGCAGGTCAAGGGCGACGACCTGATCGTCTCGTACTTCATGCCCGCGTACTTCATGTCGAACCTGCCGACGCAGATCAAAGCCAGCGGCGAGGACGGCGTGGCCACGCTCAGCCTCCCCTGGAACGCCGCGTCGACGTGGCTGCCCATGATCGACATCCGCAACGACACGGGCCTGTTCACCGTCGGGCTCTTCGAGGCCGGCGAGCGCGCCAACGGCTTCGCCGTCCAGGGCACCAGCCAGTGGCTCCATCCGCAGGAGCTCGTCGACACCCTGAGCGCCGTGTCCGGCAAGCCCGTCAAGTTCGTCGAGCAGCCCTTGACCGTCGAGGCCGCCGCCCAGAGCGGCAACAAGATCGCCGAGGAGCTCGCCCAGAACATGTTGCTGATCCGCGACTACAGTTATTTCGGAAAGGGCGCCGAGAACAAGCAGGATGAGAGTGACAAGTTCTTGGTCGACGGTGCGAAGAAGAGTTCTTTCAAGCAGTTTGCCGAGAAGACGCAATGGCAGTTCTAAGTTGGGTGCAGTTTCGGTTGTTGAATAAACATAATGGGGCTAAGGCAGTTGGTACAAGTTAAAAAAAAATATGACATAAATGAAACATTACAGCTCCTTCGTGACGCACCTACTCTTCTTGTTCTGATGAGGAATACATTGGCCAGTGGGCTTTCAAACGCCAGGTGTAAAGTTCTATCGGAGTGTTGTTCAAGTCTGGCGTGCACGCTATCAAAAAATCATCATGTACAGTTAGCAATCGTCACTCCGAGACCAAAAGTATTGATAGACGATAAGCTTCATCCAAGTCATTATTTTCTGTGCTAGCTAAGAGCGACAGTCACTATTTGAATCACCTTGATGGGAATTCAAGCAATCGTATTGATACAAGCGATAGCGAGTGCTCTGATACTTGTTGGGTATCTCAATAAACAATATTCCAACGCCGGGAGAATAAAGATGCCGACCCAAGTAAAAATGATGTCGTACCTTCCGGGCAGGTACTGCGCGAAAAGTACGGTTCCAACTATTCCTCTTCACACGTTTGTACTCGTCGAGAGGTTGCAGAATTAGATGTTCTCAATGACTCTGGCATTCATCGCCTGCTGGAAGCCATCGTTGGCGCCAAACTCAAAGGCATTTCCACCGGTGTTTTGCTTGGAGTTATAGCCACTTGGGCCATCACCGCGAGGGGTATGCGGTTGGATGTGCTGGAGAGCCTCTGGTGGGATAGTTTGGTTGGCGGCTGGCAGGAAGATGACCTTGCTGTTGGCAGTCTTGGCCATGGCTTGCATGGCTTCAAGGTATCTGATTTGCATTGCGGGTGCTGAGCTGAGGATATCGGCAGCTTGTCTCATGAGTTTGGCAGATTCCACTTCGGCACGAGCAGCAATGACCTTGGATTCACCAATTCTCTTGGATTGAGCAGCCATAGAGAGCGAGTCTTGGAGATCATTGCTGAAGATGATGTCCTTGATGAGCATGGATTCGACCTGAACACCCCAGCCAGAGGCGACATCTTCGATGATTTCACCGATGGACTGCGCAATTTCCTCACGGCGTTCAATAACGTCCTGGAGAACACGTGCGCCAACCACGTGTCGCAGTGTCGTCTGAGTTCTCTCGACCAAGGCTTGTCGAATGTTTGAGATTCCGAAGGCAGCCTTGTGAGGAGAAGTGATATGGTAGTAGATGACGGAAGTCAAGTTCAGAGTGACATTGTCCTTTGTCATGCAGACCTGTCGCGGTACTTCGACAATCTGGATCTTGACATCGACCTGAATGAGCCTCTCGGATAGAGGGTTGATCTTGACCAAACCAGGATCCACGGCGCGTGTGAAACGACCGAACTTGGTGATTAGGCCGACGTTTCCTTGTGATACGGGCTTGTATGGGTTGGGGCAGATGACGCAGCATGGAATGGCACCCATGAAACCGAGGCAAGCACCGAGTGAATTAACTGCAGATCTTGTGAGTAGGAGGGAAATTAGGAGATGGAGGGACTTGACATACTCATGGATCCATACCAGCCATGGGTCTCAGCATCGTGATCGCCCTGCAATGTCTGCGCGTACGATGGCTGAAGGTCTTCTCGTCGCGGAGGTTGGACCTTGATGATACCACCATTCTGAGGACGAAAGCCAACAGGTGGGGTGGGCGACTTGCCGGCGTCGAGTGCAGAACCTCTTGGAGAGTCCATTGCTGGTTGTGTTTTGGTGGTGGAGGTCAATAAAGACCGCGTCGACGACAGGGTGAAGGTTGAAATGGGTGTTTGTGAGTGTGGTAGATGAGTGGCGCGTGCGCAACTTGTATACGGGTGGATGAGTGGATGAGTGGATGAGAGATAGACGATGACGGAGGGATCGTGGGTAGATAAAGTACTACAGAATGTAAAGCGTCATGGATAATACTGTAGAATGCAGGGAGTTCTTTTAAGTGTTTGAGGACAAAGTCTGAAAGTGAGGAGTGGAGTGAGGGTGAGAGTGAGAGAGAATCTACAGGGATGGATCGACATGGGCCATCATTGGTGGCTAACATCAATGGAGCCCTTCTCGGGGTTGAAGGAAGACACTATTTCTGGACTGCGCCTTCAAAGAGGAGTTGAGACTCGAGAGCTCATGGGACCTTTTCTCTTTTGCCGATCCAACAACAAGACTGATTCTCCGAATCTGCTTTTGACTAGACTCTAGACTACCTGAATGCTTTAAGCTGAGAAGGGAGCGGCCTTGACACTGGTTACTTTAACAGTAACAGCCACAATGATAAGCCCAGCGCAGGGCCAGGCGCACCCTCCCCTGGAGATTCGAGAAGCGAACTTGAAGGTCGTTCGTATTCGAACCCGAGGGACACAACTGAAGCCTGACAGAATAGCCTAGCATTCTGCCTCGACGCATCATCTTGGCCCAGGGCCCTCGGCCGTCTAAGCGAAGGCTAACTTGGGGAGGGAGGCCCCGGGGTGCAGCCCACAGTCACTCTCCCGCACCAAAACTTCCGGGCAATGGGCGTGCTGCTGCTGCATGCCTGCAGTCCAGGGCAACTCTGAGGCAGTGCTAATTTCCATCCACTAGTAACCAGTTGGACCAGACATCCCTTCCATCTGTCAAACGCCATCTCGGACTGACTCGTAGTACAGAACCCTCCGAGTAGCCTGCCAGAGGACTGTTCTCCAGCTGATCCATCTTTTACTTTCTGGCCTGCCAGTGAAAACCACTCCTTCACGGACCGCTTTGAAGCCTGAGCCGAACTCCCGCGTTGGCCAAATGTCACGGAGCACAAGGTTATCAATCCTATGTTCCATTCTCCACTTACCCAGAACTTTAGTCCCTCGGCAAGAAAGCTTGGTCCTGGGAGATTTACACTTCGCACTCTATGACATTTGGTTTTGTCGCGAGGGCACCACCTTCATGCACCTCCACGCGTCCTGCAACTCACAATTGATCACCAACGGGATATGGCATGACTACCTACCCTTCCACATTACCATTTGCATTTGCATTGGCGACCCTCCGTTAATGCTTTTGATCGACGAATCCAAGCTAGCGCCCAGACAGAATTTCATCATGACACTCAAACGCTCGCCCCGAGTGGTGGGCTTACTCCAACCATGTCCTGCTCCACCTGCTGTGCCAGCAACGAGTGAGCCTTGCCTTGGCACAACAATATGATTGCTCCTGTACAATCCTTCGTGGCTGTGGATCTCAGCTCTCCTTTTTATATGAGGTCCCGTACCAAATCTTGTCATCACTAATTGATGGTGATCTGAAGGCTTCTGTCAGGCGATGATGGTCTTTCGGGTAATCGCAACATGGGCATCCACACAAAGCCAGAGCACAGCAAAGTCGATCTTTAGCGACCAGAAATGGGTATACCAAGGACATATTCCTTGGCCCTTTCTTGGATTGCATATCAGATATCCGAACTACTCCATTCCACAGACGATGACATCCGCCGAGTCTTCTTCCCCCAGACTTCAATCGGCACGGAGTGTTGGACTTGAGAATCGAGATAAGGAGTACTCGGTTCGTCCGGGAGAGCCATGGAAACCGGCACCAGCACACAACTGATCAGCCAACTCGCCTTCAACTTCTGGAAGCTTGCCAAGATAGGTTAGGCCCCCTTCCCTCGCCCCGTGACCTCGCTACGCCACATCTTTCATCGCTCCGCACTGGCACCTTATTGGCGTTGGTAAAGTAACTCTGTGCCAAAAATATCTTGCGCTATTCCCCAAATCCCTCTATCAAACGTCCCTTCGCGTCTTCTTTTGCCCCGACATCTCCTCGCAAGTGACGGCCCATTTGCCTCTTCTCAACGTGTGCATCGAAACTCAAAATCACCGTTCCTAACCGGGCAAACCTCCAAAGGTTCATCCTCATAGGCCAGCACACCTAGAACTGTGCTCCGGCAACATGTCCCGTGTGTTAACCTCTGAAGTACCAACCTTCAACGTATTCGTATCTCCACGACATCAGTATCCGACTGTTCCAATGTTCTAAATGTAGCAGCAAAGTTGTCGAAAGTACTTTCTCTTTATCCCGAACTTGGTTACGGGGAAACCACGTACCACACTCAATCCCGTTGACCTACATCTTCAAGATAGCACATAGTTCGACGATCAAACATCATTCGATTGTTACGGTCAACCGTGAACTAAGAAAAGAAGCAACACTAGGGCCATTGAGAAGTATATCGGGTCTCTAGAAAGAGGCTGATCATGTGGTAAGATGACATATCAACCCCCAGTTGAGGTTCACAAAGTGGCCAAATCACTGTGATCACTCGTCCGAATTGAGAACCAATCATCTTTTCGTACAGGAGTATAGGGGTATAGCTTGCCAGTGAGGCAAACCATGACCCTTGATGATTACTGGCCTGGAGAAAACCACTGTATAAGCTTTGATGTATGTCTACCACAGAGGACGGCCATCATGGTGATTCATGGCGTCTTGGGACGAGTGGATACACCCGGGGATTGAGCGGCACATGTATCTCCATGCAGCGATTGAGCCTTAGGATATCCAAGTCTGCAACACAGAGGCAGAGCCACAACATGCTCGATCTCCTGAGCCGGTGGGTTCTTGCAAGATGAAGCTAGCTCGACTTCCACTCTTTCTTTTTTTGCCACACCCTTCATTTCATGGCCACTCGTGTCGAATATACCTTGCCCAAAATAGCTCTGCAAAGTACAAATGAATTCCATAGAGTGAGGAGCGATCATGTCCATAGGATCTGCAATGGATGCGGCACCAAATACCTCCACGATTTGAAAGCTGAGTTTACCACTACCTACTTTGTACGCAGGACGTAGCGGGCTCATAGACGTCTATGCAGGAGCCCGTCTTCATCGTTTAGTCTAACGGGGATAATATGTCGATGCATCTCAGAAGACTGTACTCTCATACTTCAGGTTAGTAGCTCTTCGCTCGTGATCTCCGTGGGCATGGAATGAATGCCTCTCTCCTCTTCAGGGCGAAGTACTACACCAAACCACTCTCTCAAAGCCGCAACACGCTCCGCCTCACTCTTCGCTTCCACCAAGACTTCTTTCTTCCCGGTCCCTATCCTCCTCTCAACCTTTGCTCCAGTGAGGATGATCGATCCAATGGCCTTAGTCCTAGTCTCCTCGTCGATCAGCGTGCGCACCAGAACCAACTTGTACGTGAACCAGCTCTTCGGGTCCTTGTGAGTACGGTAATTAATGATTTCAAAGTCTTGAGGCAGCCACTCGAACTCGGCAAAGCAGTATGCTCCCGACCACTTATTTGTCGTCGTGTTCTTGAGCTCCAGCACCCAGACTTTGTGGTCCGTGGTATTCGGTGCTATTGCTCTGTGGACAAGTCGCACGAAAGAGCCGGGCACAGATTCCCGTTCTTCCAAGGATGCTTCGGTCAGTGGCATGGGAGTTATCGGAGAACCCGAGCCAAAGCCCACGTCGACCTATGAGGGCGTCAGAATATCATAATGGTTCCTCGAAGGGTCATCACTCACAAGGTAATGCTGGCCGTCGATGGTGACAATAATCACCTCGTGTTGCCTGTTAAAAACACACCGTAAGCCCAGAGAACCTCAAAAGGAAATACCATAACCCATGGCAGGACGTGCACGAGTAGACCACTCACCAGCCAGCAAAGCCCTCAGGGTCAGCACCGCCCATCAACGCATTACTGATCCTCGCACCCGAGACATAGAGGTCATATCCAAGCGACCTCAGGATCGTGGAGAAGAAAGCGTTGTTCTCCATGCAATACCCACCCAACCGTCGTTCGACCAGCTTGTGATACAATGCATCCGCGTCGAGCGGCAGAGTTCGATGGTGCGAGTAATGCAGCGCGACATTGCCCCATATCGTGGCGCAATTCTGTCGGAGTTGCAGTAGTGTCAAGGCGGCCAGAGGGTCTTGCTTGATCTCCGATCGAAGGGTCGCCAGTGAATATCTTGGGTCCGGGTTGATGAACGAAACATACTGGGCCAGTTGCGACTCGTTGTATAATGGGCGATGGCCACGTGGCGGTCCGTCCTCACTTGATCCCATGCTCTCGGTTCAGTTTCGCTCTCCGCTTCCCTTGTATGTAGATGTCGTTGTGATTGTATCTTTTTCACAGACGACAAAACGCAATACTATCTGAGCTATGTTAAGATCGCGTGGATTTCGATCTCTAATATTGAAAGCCCCTATATTTACCGTGATTCACAGAGTGTATTGAATCAGCTGTCTGAGTCAGTAGGGCGTGATAAGTTAGTCAACTACAAGAAATGGTAAGCATTTGGAATGCGAAATATTTGCCATCAACGATAATATCGATTCCGAGTTGGTGGTCGGCTAGTGAGTGATGGAGATTTCCGTTTCCGTCGGATAATGTACCCAAGAGATACGAGTACGATTGATCAACTCAAGTGAAGCTTCATTAGGTGCGTTTGCTGCCATGACTATCGGTTTGATGATGGAATCACCTCACAACAGCACATCTTTGCCCGTGAACAAGGCTGAGTTCACCAACGTCTTTCACGAGGCATCTGATCATGAATAATGCGTGATATTGGGAGTTGAAGAAATGATGATGGGCCGAAAGTGGTCACACCCTTCACCAAAATTGCCAATGTACGGGCAACATGTTTAGGTGCCGAGTACCGAGGGTAGGGAGGGTATTAGGGGGTCTGCCACCTATACTGCGCCCTAATCGTCTTGTTGCTGTAGCCCGTGAAAGCCAAAACAGCCGGAACAGAAGGACAACTTGTAACAATACTTCTCTGGCTTTAAGTCTTCTGTCATATGAATGAGAATCACCGCAGTCACGTTGCATCCCAGCAAATCTTCGCCCCGTCAGTAGAAGATGGGAACAAATCGCAGAATAAGACTGAATACGTGGACTGCTGTTGCTTGATAGCCTCAGACATGGTTAGTCTCAGCCACTTCTAAGCAATTACGAGAGCCCAGCGCCAACAATGCCCACTGGCCAGCCAACCCGGCCTCCTCCTGGTCCTTTAGCCTGTTTCATCACGGTAATCGTTCTAGAATCCGACCTGGGGGCCACGGGTCTCTGATTTCTGGATGTTCGAAATCTATCCTGCAATTCTTGATATTCTAGATACGATTTTCCACGTGTCCCCAACGTACAGCAACCATCCAAATCGAGTGAAATCGCACTTCTCTGGTCGAGACTGCTGGATTCTTAACACTTATCCTGCGCTTGACGCACTTACCTTGGTACTTACTTACTTGGGCAGGCAGGCGCCCGGCTCTCAGACCTCGTGGGTGACTGCCGGTCACTTTACGCCACATTGATCGACATCCCACCTCGGTATCAATTTCCAAAGTTACAACCAACTTGCTCAAGTAGCTACCCCACGAACAGATTGGTTCTTTTGTGGCGGAAATTCACAATCAATACTGTTCCTGACCGCGTAAAATTGGGATGTCAGTCAAGCTGTAAAGGCCACTTCGCCCTATATGTCAGCCATGAAGGACACACTCCGGAAATCGAAATCTTCCAAAACCGACTCGTCGAATGACTTCGATGTCAATTCAACGATAACGTCTCAATCCTCGGAGTCCCACTCTCTCAATCCATGGGCAAGTGAAACATCTTCTGCTGTAAATGGTGGGGAACCCATATCACGCCAGGTCTCAAAGGTATCGAAAAGCCCTGCCACTAGTTCACCAGATAGAGCAGTGGGTTCTCAGTCTCAGAGTCCGCCACCTTCGGCATCAAGACTTGAAGTGCCAGCGGAAAATGGTACCTCAGCCGACGATCCTACGAAGCCTACACGCAGACGGAAGACCATCACTAAAACTCCGCATACTTTCGAGCTGGCTGCTGATCTGAACCCGGTCAAACCAAAGGATCCTCCATCTCCCGAGCCACAGAGGCAGGAAGCTCCGCCCGTAGCATCTCCTGCTCCGAAAAAGAAGAAGCGCGTCTCTCAGATCGCTCCGCCTAACGGAAGCCAAATGAGTCCTGTTGCTGTGAACTCCGTGCCAGCCATATATCAAAGTTCTCCGCCCACCTCACCCAAGCCTGTGACTACTACTCCCTCAACTCCGAAACAGACTACGAATGCCATTGCACCGAGTCCTTCACCCGTATCACCGAAACAAAATGCTGCTCCTGTGTTCCAAGCACCTCCAACTTCCCCTAGTCAGCCAACAACGACGGTGGCGCCAGTCAATCCGTTCACAGCAACCCGAACGAAAAAATCTCTATCGACATCATCGCCATTGACAGCGTCTAATCCGTGCCGTTTCACTCCACCAGCCCTTCCGAAAGAAGATTTTCACGGCAAAGTCATCGTAGTTACCAACGGTGCTTCTCTAGTGGGACAGTCCCTGATACGGCAACTTCACCAGGCGGGATGCCGCGTTATATTCGGTGACACCAGTACTGACCAGTCACGGAGGTTCATCAGTTCCCTTGGACCTCCGCATGTTGTTCACTTCAATAAATGCAACATGAGTCGATACTCCGACATGCTGGAATTGTTCAAGTTGGCCACCACAATGTATGGCCATGTTGATCATGCCATTTATAATGTGGGTGACGATGGAGGTCAAGCATCTACCGTCGGCGAAGGCGAGAAAGGTTGGTTCGATGACCGGACAGGTATCAATAAAACCTCGCGGATGGGGTTGAGTGAAGTTGAACGCGAACCTTACGACATAGGAGATGTCCTCGCTGCAAGTGTTCGCTTTACACGTATTGCGCTTGCCTATCTCAAATACTCCCCAAAGTCGAAACCAAGCAAGAAAACGCCAATCAACCCATATTCTACACCTCAACCAGAGCCGAGATCTAATGCAGCAAAAGACGACCGAAGCTTGACTTTTGTTACAAGCATCGCCGCCTTCAAAGAGACACCACTGCTACCGATTTACCAGGTCACCCAGCATTCAATATTGGGACTGCTGCGAAGTTTGCGGTCCACTATCGATCCCGATCCAGAACGTGATGGGGTACGAATAAATGCGGTCGCTACAAATATCATGGTACCTCGTGCCGTCGCACAATCAGGAGGCCGCATGTCGGTGCAGCTACCCCCCGATAGGCCTGAAGACGTTGCGCGGGTGGTGGCAGGAGTCATAGCGACGAATTCATCAACACCTGGGATCAGCGAGTCTGCAACGGGCATTACCAATGGTGGTGGAATCTGGTACGAGAAAGGATTTGAACGAGGAGTGAGAGAGAAATTCCTCCATGGAAGGCTCATCTATACCGTTGGTGGAGAGGGATGGGACATTCAAGAAGGTCTGGATCGTAGTGAGAGTGTTTGGGTGGGAGGAAAGAGTAGTGAAGCACTTGCGAAAGGCATGACTGGCTTGGGTCTTGCTGCCAAAATTGCTGGATCGGAGAGTACTTGGATCTTGGACATGGCATAAACTTTCTGGATGGACACATACAATCAGACACTTTCTCTGAGTCGGAAGCATTCAATAAATTCTTTGGGAATGGTATGGACTGGAGATAAAATTTCTACTTCCTTTAGCATATACAGCAACAGACAATTTTGGGTTCCACTTCTCGACTTCTCGACTTCCCTTTCTTTCAACCGCTCACTACCCCGCCAAGTGGTTGGATCTGGACACGTTCATCGGGGTGTTATGCTGTGTGGGATAAGCTCAGATAGGCAAAGCTTGTGCTCGTTTAGGTGGCGACTCCGCAGCTGCTTGGTGGCCATATAGGGTCTCCCGGGGGCGCCCTAGGTAAAGTTGCATCTGATGAGTACCAAAGCAACCTCGTCGTTGTTTACTTTCTTCCTGCAGAATTGAAGATGTACGGACGTGATCTGTCGAGTTCAAAACTACTAAGATACTGAGGGTGATTTTGCACGCGCTTGAGACTGCTAGTGAGCACGACAAAGATGGGATGGCCATGTTAGAGTGGTCACGCTGCAGTGCCAGCGGCTCAAATGAGCTTATGCATTCCCATGTCGGTTTGTGTTTGTGGCTTGCGTCGAGACTGAGGCTAGCTTGAAGCCAACCCTCCAGCTGGGTTCGATTGATAGAATGACTCTTCTTTCCCTCTCGATAAGGCCTTAATCGCGGCAACTGTCGTCAAGAATGGAGTTTCGAGCTTCTTCTAACGCATCATCAAGGTGACCAACATTTCTTCTCCTCCTTCCCAGACCTGAACCGGACCTTGAATCACAATTCGACGCGCGCTTGCATAAGGTGCGATTGCCTTCCGGCACTTTAACGGAATGCCGTCAATGATTCGCTCTGAGACCCGACCATGAGCGACTCAACAAGTGCAGCCTACAATGGATTGGAAGATTTTATCCTCGATCCGATAGGCATTGCTCTTCAGGCCACGATTGGCGACGAGCAGACGGCGTATAAGGATCCTGAGAAGCAAGAGCGATACTCTCTCTTCGAGTCCGGCACCATCGATATCTGGGAGAGCAATGACGGTGCCGACGTGTTTCATCGGTCTTATCCCATCTCTCGCAGACTACCGGAGGACTTGTTTGAATCCTTTCATCCACAGGTTCCTAGAGGTCAGCGTCTGGCCATGAGATTGCTCCTCACACGACCCGTCATGGGGAGCAACCAATATGCGCGCATCGATGATCTTGGACCTACGGGGGACAGACAGATTAACTATCTACCCTTTGCAGCCAGCGAAATGCAAAGACTGATCCGGCAATGGGATCTCAACCCCGAATATGTGTGGATGAGACTCAATTCCCGCGAGGTGGGCAATTTCTATCGCAAGACTTCATGGAATTTTGATCTATCAAACCCGCAAGCCAGGCGACTTGGTAAGTAGCTGTTTGTTCCGCCATAGCAGCGCTCTTTCGGCTGTGGCAAAGCTGAATCGAATAAATAGCACTTGTCATCCATTTTCCATTTGTACTTCGGCCCGCACGAAGACTGAAGTATATTGCCGACCGTAAGGGAGGCCAGGTTCAGATCCCTTCTCGCAGGACAGCCAAGTCGGACTACAACCCACGACGCGATGATCCCTTTATCTGGTCGTTTGCGATGTCACACTCCTTGTTAAATGGACAAACCAGGGGCCTGATTGATGGTGTCACCGAATTCGCATTCGGCGATATCATGCGCCGCTTACAAGAGACGCGCGAACCATATTATGCTCACCCACTCAACGTACCCGTGGTATTGCTCAGCATTTTCTTCGACCACATCGCGTGGGAGATAGGCAGATTATGCCAGGCTGTTCGACAATTCGAGATCCTCTCACGAGACGCCCAGATCAGCTCGTTGGAGGACTACGACACCATCACCACCGAACTTCAATATGCACGACGCTCTCTGGACTTTCAATTGTCGCTGTCGAAGTTCCTGCTCGAGACGTCCAAGTTCCTGGAAGAGAAGATCTTTGCTAGGACAGTGACAACGGATCGCGAAGGCGGTATGATCGAGCAGTACCGTATGTATGTGTTTCAGACCAATCCTCATATTGAAGAGAAGTTGAACAACATCCAAAATCTCATCGAGAATAATCTTTCGACTTGCCAATATCTGCAATCCAGGACGAGAGATGCTCTTGACTATGTATGTTGTCCACCTCACCTGAAGACTCTGTAAACAGAAGACAGAAAGCGATATACTGACATACCGAACAACAGATCAAAGGACAGATAGCATGGTACGACAGCCGCGCATCCAACGACGACGCCGAAAGCAACAAGACCATGTCCTTCCTGCAAATGGTGTTCCTCCCCTCAACCTTCGTTGCCGCCATCATCTCCATGAACTTCTTCTCCTTCGATTCCAACCCGCCCAAAGTCTCCGGCTACATCTGGATCTTCTTCCTCGTGGCACTCGTGCTGACCGCCGGAGTCATTGCGACGTACTTCCTGTGGAAGAAGCGAAACCAGATGAAGAAAGATGCCGCGGAGGCGAAACAGCTGAAGATGAAGGAGGAATGGATGGCGCATAGAGGCGAGGCCGGGTCAGAAGCTAGCGATGGGCCGGGCGATGATAGCTACGATGAGCGAGGGCACAGGAAGAGACGGAGGAGGAAGAGGGCGAAATCTAAACCGATGGATGCTGAGGATCTGAACCTGGGTGCTACCCGCAGTAGGGAAAAGTGATTACGATAGGTAGGGCTGTTTTGTGCCCGTTGAGAAGAGAGGAACCATGTGAACCGTTGGTTTACGAGGGTTGATGATGGTTGAATATATACAAGCGATAATTGTGCATGCTCAAATCTGAGGATCTACATACCAGAGTGCTGGATCCAACAACATAGGAAAGGTGGTAGGACACCAGTTTTCACTGTATTCTAAGTTACTCTATACTCTATTGAGGGTCAATCTTAAGTTGAGCCTAATTCAGTTATACTGATCCCTGGATGGTCCTTCCTCTGTGGAAAGAAGCATACGCCCAAAAACAGAAATTCTCAACGCCCAATTAAGAAATCTGAAACTTTCCACGACCCAGCAAAACCCCAGCGTTAGAGTAGGCGGCCTCTCTATTGGTCAAAATGGATTTATTTCCTTCACCCCCCGAATTAGGACCAGAATCTATCCCAATTGGGCTTTTCACAACACAACAATGCAGAATCTCGAGGGTATTTTTGCTTGCGGCACGAGAGATCCTTGTTAGAGACTCAGAAATTTGAACCGACTTGAAAGTTGACAAGTCCGTAAGCAGAGAACTGGCATTTCCAAATCGAGAACAATCTGAAAAACTCCACGACACAGCAAAATCTCAGCGTTAGGGTTGGCGGCCTCCCTATTGGATCAGACCAGTATTCATGTCCTTCAAGGCTACCTGGGAACATTACTGGCCTACTTCCGGCTTTTCGTAATCCAGCAATGGTGGATGCATGTCAAGGCCTGTTTCCGTGGGCACGAGGTTTTGTGCTGCATCACACATATGATGACCGATGCCGAATGGAGATTGCGTGACTGCTGGAAGTAGAACATGTCTGACATTTCCGCGACCCAGCAAAATATTCCCAGTGTTAGGGTCGGTGGCCTTTTCATTGGCTCGTTTACCTTTTCGTCCTCAGCGGACTCAATATCTTCAGACATAAACGGGTGATGTTTTGAGATGGCCATGGAAGATCTCCCGATAAATATATTTTTAAAAGAGTGTAATGTAAGTAAATGCCAAAATCTAAATCAAGTCTACGATACTGCTGCCCGTCCATACCTGGAAAGCCTTTCGTCGGCGACCCAAATGCCAAAAAATGTCTGTTAGAACGCCCTCGCTATGTATGCATGCTGCTCCCGCAAGTTTCCTTCTCATAAGGCATCCTATGGAGTCCTCATCTGCGCATTATTCCGTCTGTCCTGTCCCAGCTTCTGTTTCATATATTCGAAGTCGTGAACCAACCCACAAGCTCAAGCGACCACACCGCACTGAATGGCGCCAATGACAGCAGGCGTATTGCGGTCAGTAGACAAGGTGGCGTCCGTGGCAGTCGTTGCTGCATTGCCGAGGGGTTTTTGGCCGGCGACGTCGGAGAAAACCTGGCATGAAACTTGGGTCACATCGGCACCATCGGCGCTGATAAGAGACAGGTCAAGTCCACGGGTACCGAGGTTGGTGTTGCCAACTGCGACCAAGGCGTCTAGAGGGAGGTCGGTCTGGACGAATTGATCGGATGACTGTTCGAGCTGAACGCGGACAGTTCCTGAGGACGCTGAACCGGTCTGTGCACCAGAAGACGATGCCGAGGGGGCAACGCCGCCTTCAGAGTTGGAGCAGAGAAAAGATCCAATTGTGACAGCATCGCCAGAGACGGATTCCGTACCGCCACTGCTGGTCGCGCTGTAGCTGGCGTCCTTGCCTGCGGAGAACACAGAGCCAACCGGCTGGGTGGCGGTCACATCGGAGAATGCTTGGCAGAAGACTCCAGAGTCTGAGACAGATGCGGCCACAGCTTGGCTTGACTGTCTCGAAGTGGCGGTGATTTGATCCAGGGGGACTGAGATGGTTGTTGCAGAGTCACCGTCGCCGGTCTTGATAGTGATCACGACTGAAGAATCGCGCACGGTGAGGGGGGCAGCGCATGCGATGGCGGCGAAAAAGAGGGTGGCGGCGCTAGAGATCATGGTGGACTTCATGTTGGCTGTTGGTTTCCGTAGAGGAGCTGTAGACGTTGATATTAATGAATTGACTGGCTTTTAAGAAAAAGATTATGCAAGGAGTGTGGTGGTTTAATATGAGAAAAATAGGAAATAAGGAAATGACGATAGGAAAAAAAAGGGAATTTTGGCTAGTTGATCTGTGGATGAGTTGTAAAAGATCATGGTATCGAGACGCATGTGCTTCTTATACCTAACTCTCCAGCAGGTCCGGGTCATCGAACATCTGCAAGGGTATCGTTCCAAATCCTAGCCAGCATCAAATCATCCACGCAATTCCTCTCAGGTGGACAGTGATTGCGCAATGCGTCGGGAGAAGCATACAAACTTCCGCTTCGGAAGTTCTTAGGAAGTATGCCCTTGGAGTAGCAAAAGGATTAGAATCCATACACTTTCGGCACCAAATCACCTCAAGGCTGTGATCCTGTGGAGTAAATCCAATCGCCTGCAGAAAATACCTTTTAGAGTCAAAGAGCCGTAAATAGTCCTCGATGGTCTTCGGCAAATCAATTAATATGATTACTTAACAGGTTGTCTTTGTGTATCCCCAGGAGACACGTATGTGTCCTGGGTAAGCGCTAGTCATGAGAAAGAGATCCCTTCCTAACAGGGTTGAAAAACTTCCAGAATAAGCAGCATGAGAACTCGCCACCATGATGGGGTCTTCAAGAAAATTTGTGATCCTCTTTGTCGGTGTATAGTCATTATGTTTGAGTGGAGGCGGGAACGATAGGGGACCAGGTAACGGGAGGGATATGAGGATGATGCATGATTAGAAGAATTGCCATCTGTAAAAAGATTCAGGTCATTCGGATATCCGGGACGATACTCTGCCACATTCGGCTGCGGATCATGAAAATCATTCAACGTGTGATTTGACATGATGAGAAGAGGAAGATGGCAGCAACAGACAGAAGTGCAAGGGTGAAAAGGTGAGGTGAAATGGAATAATGGGCAGATGAAAAGATCCTCAACCATTTGACCAAATTATGGTGCTCCGCCGATCCTCCGTGGGGTCATGAATCTCCTAATCGGTCAACTGTTGCTTCCATTTCAGGCGATCTTGGTTCACGTGTTACCTTGCCTGCACCTCCCACAATCCAGCTCATCCTCGATAGAAGTATATACCTATGGATAAACACCAGGAGCAATACTGATCAGATGCATGTGTGATATCCAAAGCAAAGGTACGAAAAGAAACATGTGACAAGTTTGAACAAAAGATAGAATTGCAAGGACTATTTATGAAACATCAATTATCTTCAAACAAGTGCCCATTGTTCAGTATTGGACAGCATACAGCTGTTCGTATGAATGACTCTGGTGAGGACAGCATTTTCTTGTGACTCTCAAATCATGGCGAGGCTGAAACGGAAGCCTCCCATATTGTCCCGAGCCGTCTTCAACTGGAGCATAGATCACGGCGTATATGGCTCGCTCGATACACATTCGGCTCAAGTCGCAGCCCCGTCCGCTTATATAAAGTGGGAAGTATGGCTGGTCAACCATAGATAGTAGTTGAAAGTTCAGTTTCTCGTAATCTTGTGTGGCCAAGATTGGTCGAATATATCTCTCCCAAATGCAACCGTAACGAACATCCTTCAATCTGATTCGATCCCCTGATTCGCATGTGAAAGGATTCCTTGGATTGGACGGTTTAATCGGTTGAGGAATGCTCATTAGAAGGAAGATTGAACTTCCAGGTGTCATAGCCTGCGCATTGTGTATAACCGGTTGGTGCTCTCACACCTCGAATCGATGAGCCACCATCGGCTCTCTGTAAGGTCTTGTGACGGCAGTGAATGACATGGTCATAAGAGATGAGCTCAGTAATGAGTGGTGCCTGGGTTCTCATGGCGCGAACCAATCTTTCCCAGGCATAGATGCAGTGAGTGATATGGTAGTCTTGCGCAACATATACAGCATCGTGCTCGCCCTTTCTCATCTCTTCGAGAGTGAAGACGTGCTCCGCACCAGGATCAGCGTACCAAGTCCAGTTGCCAACCTCGAGGAAACGCTCGGAGAGGACCGAATCGAAGCAGTCTTTCGGGGTCCAGAGTTGCATCATGACATCGAAGACACAGCCCCGATCTCGGGCCTCTTGGGGGCTGTAGCCACAGTCTTGAATCACAGCAGGCGTAAGAATGTCGGCATCGACATCGGCGGATTTAGAATCATCGTCATTAGGAACCGCGGTAGGGGTGGGAGCTGCAACAGCAGGCGCGCTCGCAGTGACTGTGACAGCAGATGAGCTGGCGCCGTTGTAGGAGACAACCGCCGAGCCAACTGTGGATAGCACGGCGGCAATGACGGCGACAAACAGGGTACCAGTCGCGATGGAAAGAAGGATGGATTGTTTTCCCCAGCCTGATGGTCTCAGGTATCCTTCTTTTTCGGGGGCTAGAGGAGCCGCCTCATCACTCGTCGACACAGATCGGTAATGATGCTGTCCACCCATATTAGTGGTGTTCCGATGGTTTGTGTTGGGGGTTTGAGGTCGGACACGAGAAGAAGGTAGAGCGTCTTGGTGTTCAGTACGATCTAGAACAGGTTGAAAATGATTGGGATATTAGGAATAGTGTAGAAACACAGCAAACAAACGAGTGAGTTTTGCTTTTTGACTACAGATGCAGGTGATACGCTGCTGAATTGAAAAAGGTTGATGTTGTTGGCGGAGTGATTGGGTTGGAGGGTTGTTTTGTATGAGTAAGAACGAATAAAGAGGTGGAGGAGGAGTTCTGAGGGCTGCGCGCAGGAGTGGCAACGACTCAGGAGGGTAATTGGGTGGGCTGAGGGTCCAGGGACGGGCGAGGGGGGGGGGATTCGTTCAGGGGCAGCAGGCAAGCCTAAGTTGAACTGGTGTGGCCAGTGCTCGCCCAGGCTAATCAGCAACCTTAACCGAAAGTCGATGCAACTGCCACCCGCACCCAATAAATTAAGATTACCGTATCGATAGCAGCTGCTCAAGTGCCTGTGGCGGCCGAGGAGCCACTACCTGGGCAATTACCATCACCTGATGAGCATATTTTGGTGTATCTACGCCTATCTGAGATCTGAGTGAGGGCATAAATACCTAGGTGCAAAAACACACCACCTGCACTCATATATGGAAATTAGGAGTTCCTCCTTCTCAAAACAGGGAACCCGATTGTCACTGATGCCGTTCTTAATATAACTCATGGTACTACTGAGTACTTGCGTCATTTATTGAAGCCCTGGGACTTCGCTGATGCGACGAGCAGTTCTTTTCTTGCCAAACGATGGAAGACAATAAATCCCTTGACATCCACGAGGTAGTGTACTCATATGATGTTTCCTGTCTGCCCTTCATGCAGACTTATGCAACCTCGTCGATACCCCGTCAGAGCTGAACTTTACCGAGTAGGCTCACTGGCCACTTGTTAACCACCTAACCAATGCTGCTCAGGTGCGTGTGGCTGTGCATCAGGCTCCAGAATAAGAACGATCTTATAACTGTGCCAGTTGGCTGCCTCCAAGTCTCCCAAAGCTCTCCAGCCACACCGGCCGAGCGCCTCAATTAACCGTATTTGGAGTAGCCGAGTAAGGCACCTCGAGCATACGAGAGTCTATCCTCAGGCTCCCTCCATACCGCCCAATGAACATCACGTATTCGGGTAGTACCTGAAACTTCAATGAGACCTTTAACCGACTTTACTCTTGCCTTTGTAGAATCGATCCGTCCCAAATAACATTCTAAGATATATTCGATTGTGGAGATAAATTACTTATCATCAACAATCAACCGTGCAAGCACTCAGATTGCATATCAAACAACGTCTTCACTTCAATTTCTCTCACACCCAGAACGGAGAATTTAATCACTCACGATCAACATGGGGAAACTACAAAGCCCACGAAGTCCACCACCCACAGCATCGTCACCCACTCGCACGCTTCCACGCATGGACCCTCCACCTCCGTACGAGGCAGGTTCATCACGCTCGTCTTCCGCGCACAGCAACGACAGACTACAAGGCGGGGAGTCGTCGCAAAGCCGAGCCGATCAGCGAGGAGATAATGCACCAGAGCTACGAACAGACTTCCAGCAGGAAGAACGTCCCGAAACCCGATCAGAGCTGACCAAAGCAAAACCTGAAGACGGCTGTTGCACGTTTGGTAGAGGCGCAACGGGATGCATGGTGTATGGGGATCATGCCCAAGGTACGAGCCGCCCATCGAACCTGCTTTTGATGGCATCTTAATTTATGCAATCAACTGGTTGGCTGAATTCGTTATCTAGGCTGTATGAATATCGGAGATCGCTCAGATGGTATGGACTTTCAAACGCTTCTCCCTAGATCGGAAGTGACTCAGACTGACCAAACTACCTTTTTAAGGCTGTATGAACTATGGCGACGATACCAATGGATGGTAAGTTTATAATTACGCCCTTCCAAATCCGGCATCGCTAACAAGCTCCAGCATGAACTACAAGTCGCGAGACGGATGCCTACTATTCAGAGCCACTAATGGAGGGTATGTATTCACCCCACGGCCAACAACTTCAGACTAGAACTCGTTCTCTGTCCCAAGAAATGCCACGGACTAACAGTCGTACTCCTAGATGTCTGAACTTTTGGACCAATAAATCGGGTTGTATGCAATGTGGCTGAGCGTTCAAGGGTCCTCCTGATTCTATGATCCCTTTGATGGATGTATGTTGTTGATGCAGTGTGGTGGCGAAGTGTTGGTCTTGATATACCCACATTTGCTTATAATGAGCACAGCAGCGTTTACGAGAATGAGAAACCTTGATACTGTCCTTGAGTGGCACTTGACGACAAAGATTTCCCAGATACTTCAAATTTGAAAGACGGTATAGCCTTTTGTCGCATTTGGTGTCGAGTTCTCAGTTGATGTTGCGATGTCGCGTCCATGTCGGAGCATCTGTCCTTATGTAGCGAGCTAGATCTGATTCCGATTGAACTGCGAGGAGACAGGCAATCTGAGGAATGCGATGCTGTGACATGGTTGTTTGCCCTCATGTGACTGGCAATATCGGTGCCACCATTCGCGGGATCGTTCTCCAACTCCTGGCGGTGGTTTAAATCGAAAGTAACTTTGGCTCGGGAAGTGTGTCTTGTTCAGGCTTGACGTCCTGTAGGGCCTGCACTTGCGACGATCTATCGACTTGGGATCAGGGGCTCGCTCAGTGTATTTGACCCATCCACGAAACCAACTGTTCTGACTCGGATACGGCTGTGTCAAGTTGCGCAAGGCTGGTGACAGCAGTCCAATTGAGAATTTCCCCGCGGGCGAGGTCATTCACCATATCAAGAGTGAGGATTGGAGGACAGGGGTTGCGCCGTGGCTGCCCCAGGGCTGTGATCAGTTGACAAAGGTTGAATGTCACCAACATAGCTTTCTCTCAACCTGTGTTCTACGGACCAGACCTTGCATTGCTGGAGGCTTGTGGGTCATTGCGAGCTCCAGACATGGAAGCATCAGTTCGAACTGGGAGTCCTGGCTGTCCTGATTGTCCTGATTGTCCCTGTTGTCCCTGTTGTCCTGATTGTCCTGGTAGTGTTAATGTTGTCGATGCAGATGGGTTGTCCTTTCGATCCGGGTCAAACGGGTTTCTCACGTCTCCGGCTCTAACCCATAGATCAGGATAATTGGCTTCAGCATCCGCTCGGGCCTGTCGGTACGAATCTCTGATTCCTTTGATCGCACCACGAACATCATCCGGCGCGTCAGCCGACCGTAGATTGGCTTCAGCGTCGTCTAGCTGATCAACCACACGACCCAGATCGTTGCGCAACTGTCGAGCTCGATTGGGTTGATTGCGGGTTTTGAAATACGTCAGGAGGGCGGCGATGATCGTGTTCGTGGCACCGAGAAAGATGGTGGCTGTCCTTGCCCTTCTGTCGTTGAAGGCTCCCAGGGCGGTCAAAGATGCAGCGATAAGCACCTGGAGGAATAGGAGCGAGTTCGATGTGATCGCGACAAACCAATATTGATATGTATGCCATTTATGCGCCTTTCGAATTCTATAGTTCAGGTTTTCGTATCCGCCTGCCCTTCATTAGTCTCTGTTTGGCGGCTTTGTTGCCCGGCTGTGCTTACCTCGGCCAACAATTGTTTCGAACTGCGCATGTCTACTAGCAGTGGTCGGAGGGGGGTTTGTTTGGTTTCCGCCGGACGCTTGAGCAGAGGCCCCCGCATCGTTGGTATCATTCAATGGATGACGCTGCGCATGCCTGGTATCCTGGCCTCCATCCTGAGACCCCTGAGCGTTGCCATCTGGGTGCTGTTCTGCAGCGTCGCCAGCCTGACCGGCGACACGAGCTACTGAAGATGGTGAGGGGACAGTTCTGGGTGTATTGTCGCTGGCAACACCGTTCCCCGGGTCTCCTGTCCCCTGTTGCCCACTTCCTTGAGGATTTACTTGTGCTCCAGCCTGTTCTGGAGTCGGGTTTTCCAATGACCGAATTGTTCTAGGTCCAATAGCATCCATGGCAGCAGCGCAGAGATACCTTTCCAACCAATAAATCCAGAAGCGCCTAGCTACAACACTTCGCGACAAAGCCAAAGAAAAGAACAAGATGTGAAAAGCAGAGAACGGAGGAACCCAGATTACTTTAGACTTGCCGTCATTTACATTACCATATCACTAAAGCGGGCAGTGATGTGGCAGGAAAGCCACTGAGCTACCAGGCGGTCAGGATCATTCTCCTCGACACAAAAACTCGGGCGTTATTCAGTTAACCAGCTCCTCATCGGGCATGACCTGGATCAACCGATCACATCAAGCCTAAATTCGACCCGGTTAAGCCCCAAAAACAAAGTCCGATCAGAAATCGTTGGCAAGGCTGTTAAGCCAATTGGATTAGAGGTTACCAGCCAGCCACCTCGAAAGGAGCTGAAAACGAAGCTAATTAGTGCAAACTCAGTCAGAAAATCTACCAGGGCTCTAATTGCATGCTGATGATCAACAAATCGCGAGTCGCGACGCGCAATGAGCACGCGCCTCTGGGAGCAACGAAAAAACAGCATGAGTATCTCCAAATTGTCGACTCCGTGCAAATTTGTTCTCAAATGGATGAAATAGGTCAGTTGTGGATGGGAGGTGCCCATTAACATCGCTAGTTAAAGCCCAAGGCGCTTGAGGCAGGCCCGACTCCCCCACGGCCACCGCAGCTTAACTAGAAAGCGTCCGGGTCAAGCTCTTTCAGCCCCTTGATCTTTGCAAAGTTACGTTGTACGAGGCTGGCTGATTCTTATGCACGATAACGCTTTGAATGCAACAACAGGGATTCACGATCGACCAAAGGCCAATTTTCGAACTCTGTTGCTAACGGCGAGGAACAGTCGTCACCTCGTCAAGTTGCTCCAAGCTATCAGCCTTCCAATGCGCCAGGTGTCCAGTCTGATCATCCTTGTTGGGTCGAATGCACGTGTGGGTTTACGGTTAGCGTCCCAAACTGTCCCGGGTGCCTTGCATGCCCCAACTTATCTGTACGGAGTAGTAGGGCGCGGGTCATCCACACAGAATTCTGTGGACCTCATCAACCTTCCATCGAGCACTTCATATCACAACGTCTGAACGAGACTCAAGGTGAATGGCGCCCGTGATGGAAAATCAGAACTGTATCTCCTGACAAACGAAGAACTTCACAAGACACTTCATGCAATGCCTACAGCTCTGAGAATGATGTGGTGGTCATGAAATTCGATTTCTATCTTCGTGAAGGGGAATCTTGCATTGTTGGAAAAATGCACGGGTAAGCTTTTTATCCTGAGCAACCTTTTGGTGCTCTATCATTCATCCATCCAAATGGGACGTCAGAGGCACAGCATTGAACGATCGTCAGGGTTTCCGTCAATAACACAACATGATCAATGGTGCTCCTAGGCTTAGGCTGACCAGCAGCCCTGGACCCATCCTATGACATAAATTTTCTTCTCCCAACCACGCATCAATCGCACATAATGCTCAGTACAACCCAATCGTAATGTCACCACGAACTCGTGCAGTCAAGTGGACTTCAGCCTCGAGGTCGAGCTTGATACCGACCATCAATGCCGCGGCCTTGAGCTGGCCGTTCTCGTCGGTTGCGCCTTTGAGGAGCTGGCCTAAAGTAGGAAGTTAGCCTCTTGTCAAGGTTGGGTCCGAAAGTTGGGTGCACATGGCCTTCCTTACCGGCTGGCTGTGACAGTCTGTCTGAGCTGGGTGGGAGGGGGAGTGCCGATGTGGTGGTCAGGGCCTTGCGCTTACCCGCGGCTTGTCCATCTTCACTTCCGCTGGAGTAGTCCTTGTTGGCGGTGCTGGTGTATGGTGCGCTTCGCGCAAGTCAGTATCGGTCGAGGCTCCTCGGAAAAAGGTTGTAAACTCACGTGGCAGACATGTTGACTGGTGGTGTTTTGGATAGGGTGATGGTGATGTTTGGTTGAGGTTCAAAAATATTAGCTATTAAGGCGATTTTTGAGGTCTTGCCGGAAGATTTGATTTTGGTCGAGGTTGAGGTTTTATTGTTGTTGGTTGAGAGCTGTGCTGAATTCATTGATAACTTGGAGGCATCGCTGCTCTTTTATGTTCGGAAGGCATCGAGCCTACTGAAACAGTTCTAACTGGAGACATCCTTATGCATTCTGCAATCTCGACTCTGGTACGTTTCTCTCACACATTGAAGGAGTCTTGCAGTACAATCCTTGTAGTGCAATATGGAGCATCGGGTTCTCGAAGCTGCCATTCCTTAAGTGGAGAAATGGATATCTGAGGAACGTTAGGAACGAATCTGGGTGTACAGTAGACCGACAAGGCTCTCGCATAGTTGCAATTGGGACACTTATCACGAGGCGGGCTAGACCATTTGGTATCTGAAACAAGGGACTCCTGGGTTTCAGCATGAATTTCTATCGCACCACGTATTTACTCTTCTCCACACCGGGTGACAATTCGTGGCCTGACTGTGTCCCTGGATGCTTCAGTTGCAGTACAATAATATCTTACTGCCCACCGCGTCGCCTAAGATGGTCACCATACTTTTGTCCTCGAATAGGGGTACGCCAACACAAAGACCATTATCGCTTAATCGAGCGGGATCTGCCGACTTGCAACCTGAAACGGAAAACGCATGTTGCGGGTATACGTGTGCGAGGAAACAGTTAGCCGCCGGGGGCTAGAACGAAATGGTGTTATCTCTTATGGTAGCCTTAATAGCATGTCCAGCAATGTTAGCGACGAACGAGGCCATTCGACAAGGACAGCAAAAAGACCGCAGAGAAGAACATCGAGCTCGACGATGCAACCTGATTGTCACCACGGTGATACCGTCCAAGAAAAGTCATGAGGTGCACAACCGACGAATTGTCCTAAGGGGCCAGAAGGTACGTACGAACGGATCCCGAGCCAAATCAAGCTGTCAACAAGACAGTAGTGCTAACACGAAGCTTACTAGCTCTACGTCGACACTGACGTGGCAGACCATGAGCACGAAAATGAGAAGGAGAAGGAACAAGTGTTCGAAATCGACGATCATGAGAACAAGGAACCGTTTGGACATCCCTTCGCTGGCTATTTCTTGCCATATCCGGATTCCAAGTATGAGGGACTTGTGTCAACGATATGTGAAGATCCACCGGTGCTGAACTGGATCTATGTTGACAAGGAAACCCATGAAGTCAAATACGGTGTGCGCCTGGATGCTCAAGGCAATATCACTGGACCCTTTGATTGTACTAGGCAAGACCGACGGATGACTCTTGAAGGCTGGGAAGGATTCGTTGCTGTCGAAGAATCGCCCGGCTTGTGGGCTCTCTATTTTGATCGTAACGACGATGGATTGCGGTCTAAGTTCGGCAAGAGTAAACGGGTTCTCGAAGTTGAGTTATGGAGGAAGGAGAAACGCTGGAAAAAAGATCCGCTTGTCCGACAAGAGGAACAAGCAAGACAAACATCCTGAAAGGGCGTCCAGTCGGTTGCTCGCGGAATAAAGAGATGAACGCTCAGTTGAGAAAAAACTTGGATAGACAGCTGAACCTCCACATTAAATTCGTATATATGTAGCAGGATCATCCTTGAACAATATCTCCGGCACAAGAAAGTTGCAAGTACCGATCGGAATTTGACGGGAATCTAGGTCGGAATTCCTAATTTGCAAACCAGCACATAGAATGTGAAAATGCTATCTTTGGTTGAGGTGGACTTTAGGTTTGGCACCACGCAAAAGCATTTGGACAGGAGGTGCAGATCTTTGGACTCAAGCTTGTTCTATCCAAAGTTCTAGATCAATGATTGTTTATTTCTCCTCGACACACAATTCGCAATTCTAGGGAGGAGTGCAGCAAGGTCCACCTGGAGAAGTACTTCCTACGTTACGTGCATCGGATCGTCATGCGTGTCAGATCAGCATTGGTTGCGGTGTATGCGACATTCTGCGCCTCATATTTATCACCAGCTGAGTGGCCTGATAGCCCATGAGGCGAGGGGGAGGCCCACTCTGGCTTCCCTAGAAACCATTATTGTTAGTAAGTCTTTGAGATTTTGAGTGACGACAATACTTTACAACCTCAGAACGAGCGGAATAGGATACTCACTGGCATTTGCCAAACACTTGTGTTTTGAACGACGGACCAGCAACAATATTCCATTCTTTGCACTCCCAAAACGTGATGCAGTAAATCAACGACGCCGGAATGATGGACTTTGCAAATACAACATCGCGACTTACTCAAGGCATGAAGAGCCCGGTGGATGATAGGTAAAATACGTTCTATGTTTTAAGCAATAACATGCTGATACGCCTTGAAGCACAAGAACAACAAACAACAGACCTCGTAGTGTTGAACTTCGACCTAACAGTATCCTTGGAAATTTTGAGAGCGTCGACAAGATTGTAGTCTACGCTTTCGGGGCGTTTGATCGATACTACATCTGTTGGCAGGATAAAACTGGAGCATTTCAACAAGGTACGGTCCCTCGGAATCCGGTCTAGACAAAGACTGACCTAGATGTAGAACGACATGGCTTGCCAAAGGACCTTGATGAGTGGCTCTTCCCGTTAGATGGAGGTACCAGAGACCTCACAACGCTCCAAGTGTCTCTCGGCCATCACGATGAATTCTTTGCCTTTGACAAAAACGAACGGATATCCCACAAGAATACTGACTTCCGCGAGAATGCAAGTAACATAAGAGATCGCTCAAATTCCCCAGACTATCGGCTATCCAGAATAGTACCGGAGCAACGCAGGAAATCACATACCTTCTCTCACTCAGATCCTAGCGAAGAATCACGAACAGAGTCTATGAGAAAGGGCTCCCCTCCCAGGAAGCTCCGGCCTCGCAGTATTGCAGTAGTTGGAGCCATGTCGATGAAATCGTGGCACGACAGAAAGCAAAGCCTTGATAATCAATTGCGAAGATTGGATGCAAGAGGAGCTTCACCTCCGCGTTATCTTCATTCGAGCCAACCACCACCTACTCGGCACTACGCATATTCGGATGCAGCAGTACAGACTGATATAGTCAAGGATGAAGATGTTGCCCTTACCATGTCATTGCATAACTTGACTGTCGCTCGATCAACGCCTGACTTCAGAAGAGCCCAGCGATCGAATGTGTCATCAATATCTTCCCTCAATTCGCTACTTTCAGACGATTCTGCCGTAACAAGTATCACCAGCACATCTTATTCTAGCACATCGTCGACGTACTCGAGAAACCCCATCTGTATGGGGCTGATGCAGCAATATTTCAGAGAGAGTCAGTATCGACTTGGAGATGCATTGAGCAGACCACCTTCGATGAGTGTCAGCCCCGTTTAACCACTTAGCTCTCCGTGCAAGTAACAGCATGCACGATTCTACACATAGTCTGCATTGGTATTGCCTGCAAAGGATGATCCGCCAATGAAACGGGTAGCCCACGGTGAAAGTCAGCAAACGCGAAGCATCGACAACGCAGTGATTGACAGCTGATCAGGTTCGAATATCTGAGATCGTACCGCCCTGACATATGATTAAACAAATCTTGAGTAACGGCTCCACTGTGCTATCGCAGAGTATGATGCCTTGCGGCAATGAAGAGCATTTTGACAGATCACAAGAAGACAAATCTCGCGAAATGGTGATTGGATGCATGGGACGAAAATCTCCAGAAGGAAAAACCACGTCTTTCAAACCTTTCCAGTTCGAGGATTGGTCCGCTGGACGAGATCAATGGGAGAATAGTCGGAAATACTGGACGGCTTGGTGACGTCTTTGGAGTTACGATATTGTTACTATCGAAGTGGTACCAACAGAGTCATCTGCATCACTCAAATGGAGGGACGAGAGACATCTTCGACGCAAAGGGCTGAGGAGCAGGTGGATAATTTCTGTAAAATACCCCCTTTTGTACTTTAGCATTTATTGTGAGCCAGAATGTCAGCGTAGGATTCTGATCTCTTCTAAGATCGTGAGCTACTCGCTTCCCAAACCCATCATGCGTACCATGGGTGAAGCAACTGTGGCAATCTGTGACATCAGAGAAGAAACTTTGAGAGAACCAGAAAGACTGCTCAAAGCTCAACCTGCGGAATTAGGTCAGAAATTTCTGGCAACGATTGTGGACGTGTCCAAGGAATCAGCGGTCTCGGCATGGATAGAAGATATTGTTTCCAAGTTTGGTCTACTCGATCACGCCGCCAATTTCTGCGGGACTCCTCATCCTTTTGATCCTGTGAAGGACTTAACCGTCAAAGATCTTGATTTTATTGTTGATGTTAATCTCCGAACTACTTTTGATTGCGTGCAGGCACAGAGGAAATCCCTCTTGCGAGGGTCTAGTATAGTTAACTTCTCCTCGGGATTGGGCTTGGGACCAGAGGAAGATCTCAGCTTGGACTCGGCTGCAAAAGGGGGTATCCAGGCTCTGACTAGTACAGGAGCGAAAGAATAGGTGCCCGATGGCATTCGCGTAAATGCTATAGCCCCGGGTGTAGTCATGGGACCCGGACTGCGTTCTCTGGTGCCGTTCGACTGGGTCGAACAGATTTCGACTGTTACACCTTTGAGACGAACTGCCGAATCCGATGATATAGCAAAAGCCGTTGCTTATTCACTGAGCAACAAGGCCAGCTATGTTAGCGGCATAGTACTCAGGCTCGATGGGGGATATCTCGGGACCAGTCACTGAATGTTTTTCTCACCCTATCGTTGACATGAAACGATTGAGTCCCATTATCTATTCCATATTACTTCAATCATCGCTTCGATAACCTGCGGTTTCACCCTTTTCATCACAACCTCGATCCCGGAATCTGAGTCTGGCAGGAGACCTCGGCAGAGCTGACCCCTACATGCTGCAAGCTTAAAAGCATAATGGAAGTGATATAATGTGAAAGACCGATTAGCATGCTCGGTTAGATTTGTCGCCCTCTACATGGGGTCCAACAATCGGAAATTGGTGCTAGGAACATCACATTTACATCGGTATAGGTGTAGCTGAAGGCAAGAATAGCCCGCCATAACATGAATCATGGAACTCCGCAAAACCACGAGTTGCGAGAATGTCCTATTGACTGATCAATGCTACCCGTTCGTGTGAGGCGAATAATTGTTTCAATGACAGTGCAAGATCATATAATTCAAGACATCGGAAGTCCGAAAATTCGAGTGCGAATCCTTTTCCGACCCTCAAAGCCGAGCTCATGACATTCTCAACGTGGACCGAGTTTGAGCGACGCTTGGTTTGCAGACCTCAATCACATGCCTGGGAGTGTTCATGTTGATAGACTATTGTCCTTGTGACAATATGTCACCCTCATAGACGAAGCTGCGTTGCTGTAGTGGTGGGTGCACATCAACTCGCAATCACCGAAGTGCTTAAGAGAGCTATAGGTACGGTCTCTATGAAAAACTGTCCTTTGTTCCTTGTTATTACAAGATCTCGAGCATCAACTTACACTGACGCATAAAGATTGACCTTGCGAATCTCCACCCACAGTGTGGAGAAATGGTTGGCTATGAGTATGGCGGGCCGGTGGACTGCAACGTTGAGCTTGATCTTACCAGTCTCAGAGGCAAAACTGCGATCGTAACGGGAGGGGCGAAAGGCCTAGGCCAAGCTTACGCTCTTGCTCTCGTTAACGCGGGCTCTACAGTGATTATCGCAGATTTGGACAAGTCCGCTGGACAATCTTTCGCGGCCCAACATTCGAGCCAACTTTACTTCGTCCATTGTAATGTCCTCATCTGGGAGGACCAAGTCCGCCTGTTCGCTGAAGCCGCCAGGCTTTCACCATCAGGCAAGATCCATCATGTTATTGCAAATGCGGGCATCTTCAAAGCCGACGAGGTCTACTCGTATTCAGAGCAACTGTCCGAGCCCAATTTGATCACTACCGACGTTAATGTCAAAGGTACATTATTCACAACTAAGCTCGCTATGCATTATTTCATCAAACAGAATGGAACAACGCCGTCGCTGTCTCAGGAAGATACAAGCTTAGTTATCATTAGCTCTGGAGCAGGGATCTACGATTGTATACGGATGCCGGAGTACTGCGCCTCAAAATGGGCAGTTCGTGGAATCATGCATGGCCTACGGCGCACAGCCCACTTCTATGGAAGCCGAGTTAATATGATCAGCCCCTATTATGTGGAGACGACTGTACTACCCAAAAAAGTTTACGAGTACATTAGAGGCAAAGGTATAGATTTCGCTACCTTGGAGGACGCGGGTCAGTGTTTACTGCGGCTACTCAGTGACCCGGCTATTAATGGTCATTCATTGTTCATTGCGCCACGAAAGTGGGCTCCTCGGGGATATATGGATTTGGATTTGGAGGACACAGAGGGTACAGCATTGTTAAAAGAGATCCAAATTGAGCAGATGATTAGTGAGCCCGTTGATTCAGGTCTGTTCCCAGAGGTGCGGCTATACATGTAACAACGGCATGAGGACATGCAAAAAGCATATGAGGCAATTCGGTTGGAGTTGGGCCTCACCAAAATAAAGTTTCAGAAATAATCGTCTGTTATATGATACAAGGTGGCGGGATTTACCTCGCTCAGGAGACTCCAGATATTACTCGAAGGTCTTTCCTAGATCCCATGGAAGCCAGAATATCGTAGACGCCCGCACGCTACAAGTTGTACGTGCGGTAGCCATAACGAGTCCACGCAGTGTCTGTGTGGATAATCTCATGGATATCGGAATACTATGCCAGTCAGAGGTATAGTTTGCATGGTCCCCTGTGGATTCGCCATCCTCAAAACCACACCAAACCCTAAACAGTAAAATCATCCGAAGCCTTCATATGCATCCATCAAAACCACGACTCATCACAATATCTTGAACTGTTCTCACTAATTCGACTTAACAATTTGCTGGAATTACATCCATTCATAAGAGGTTTTTGTGTATGAAAATTTCCCGCTGCGGAGAGATACATACTAGTACCTATTCCTCAATTCACCATCAGAAATTCAAAATGGCCCCATCTTTGCAATACTTCAAGGAGGCGTCCGCAGCGAAGCTAGAGCTTTACGCCGACAACAAGGATATCTTTATTGGAGATGTAGTCACAAGGTAGATCATCCGATCACAAGCTTCAGCATGACCTTTGTCAGCTAAGACCGGCAAAAGCATTACAGATGACCCGCAAGCTCCGATTACAAGTGGCTTCTTCGATGTGGAAAAAGGTGCCAAGTCTACCGCAACATTCGGGTTCTCCGAGGTCAAATATGTCATCTCTGGAGATATTGTATTCTCAGATGGCAATGGTCAACGAGTTGTGGCTAAGGCTGGGGAGGTGGTGTATATTCCCAAGGGTGCAACAAGTATGTTCGATCGTTCTGTATTTTTAAGCACAAAAGCTGATGACTGCGCAGTCACCTTCGAGAGCGAACAAGGAGGCAAAGCTTTCTATGTGAGTACATGATCTGTGCAGTGGGAACCTATCATATTGAACTGGGAGACTGATGGTCCTATTTTTCAGGTCGCTCAGAGACTTCTGAACCAAGCGAAGAGAGCGAGCTTCACATCTCGGCTGTGATTACGCACATGCTACTCGGCGATCTATTCTTGAGCTCCGACTAATAGTTCGCAAGTGGCCACGGTATAGACTCCTTCATCAACGGGACTCGGAGGATCTGTGATTGCGATGGCGTAGGCGAATCACGGGCTGATGACGATTCCGTCGCTGGAAGCTGATAGGTTCAGTTTATGATGGAGGAAGAAGTGACAAGGGTATTCAGCAAGTTGTGCAGTTTTTCACCCTGCTGGTCGCTCGAAAAGGGTGGGCTGCCATTGCGTTTACCAAAATCCTCACGATATCGGGACAGCGGAACTTGATACCACAATATGTCCTTCTAGAGAACACACATTTGACAACAAAAGATGTTGAATCTTTCGATAAGTGGTCGAAGAGCTTGGCCCGCAGCCGTCAATATGTAGATAGTGCCAACTAAGTTGGGTCGTAAGTGTCGAAACACAAAGCAGACATGTTGTCCACATGGCCTGCCGGTGGTGACAGCAATGCCTCCTCATCTGCAGTATCTGCACAGCTTCTATCCTAGCGGGGGCCGCTATAGTACCTATAGCAGTCCCCCAATCTAGGAAGATGTAGTTGCTTATATCAGATTATCTTCAACACTATTGGATATGATATAACCACCAATGTATCTCTCGACATGAGCCACTGATGACAAGACTTGGAAGTATTCTCAGGTCATGTCAGCTAATAATTCAGTTCTGCTAGCGCCTCTGGTACCAGACCGAATCAGCCTTCCGATCGGGTGCTTAGAACGGCAAGATAAATGTTCATTGTTGAGTAACAACAACTAGAACAAGATTACCTGGATTTAACCTGCGGTGGGAAAAGTATTGAATATGTCAATCGAAACCTCCTGCCCCAGTGAAATGATCAACGAGTTTAATTATCATATTAAGTAGTACTGTATGGTTGATCTAGACTTGATCGAATGAAATGAAAGCTATTCTATTGCGGCGAAAAAAATCGATTCGCTCGATTCCTAACCCTCCTACGACTTTCGCCATCTGTCGGTTGGCCAATGATTTATCACTCGGTGGGTCTAGAAACCATTCTTCCTGATAAAATCCTGAATATGTGCTGTTGCATTGGCCGCAGCGTAGTGGTAGGTCAAGAAATGGCCTGATCCTGGGCCTACATACCAGTCTGAGCCATTGCTTGCATTGGGAAACAAGTCCTCCTTTAGCCCAGCGACCCAGTTACGCGGTAGATAACAGTTACCAGCACAATTAAGTAGGTCATATTCACCAGAGACTGCGTCGATAGGCCCAGTGAAATTTGTGGCTACGCCAATCACGGAGTTCGAAGTTATATATTCTCCGAGAGTAATGGTGCCTTTTGTCTCCCAGAGAAGATTTAGTAACGCTGGGTCATAGCCTGGGGAGCGGAAAAAGGCCCATTGTGGTCCTTGAATAACCGGGGCGGTAAGATACCCGTTGGAGATGCCCGCGAAGCGCGTAGGCGTAGCTAGGTTAGCAATTGTAAGGTCAAGACCGGCGAATCCTGCCTCCTGGCCATTAAGATTGGCCGTGTAGCCGGTGAGAACCGCAGCGTCCATGTCCTTGGGATATTTTATCGCGAGCCCATTCATAAGGACACTTCCGGCCGAGTGGCCTACATTAATAACGTGCTTGAAGCTTTGACCTGCAAAGCCGCCGGTACGGAGAAGTTGGATAAGCTCGTGCGCAATTTCGATGTGCAAAAATTGCTGTACCACATTGATAGGATCTGGATGATCGGAGAGCCCACTCCCTAGACGGTCGTAGCTGAAAGTCGTATACCCCTGCTGGGCGGCGTAGTCGACGAATGAATACCCCGGGGCGTTGTCCCAGTATCTGGTGTCTGCACCTAGACCGTGGATGAGAAACTGTACCGTAGTGGCGTTGATGATACTGGTTGCTGATGGGAAACAGAGACGCGAATGGATACTCCATGTGCCACTGACGGTGGCCTTGCCGGCCACAATCTGCTTTCTGATCGTCGAGTTGGTGGCCACGCCTTCGACCAGGAAATTCGTCAGCTCCATCTGATTAGCTGGCTCGGTCAGGTTGAGTCGCACGTTCTCTGCGGAGGCAGTGATATCCACGAGGCCTTCAAGACAGATCGCGTGGCCACCCTCTGAACTACTGATCGTAGGATTTTTAAAGCCTTTCAGATACTCCGCGGGACTGCCCACAAAGCTGGCAGGGGACGCAGCAGTTGAATCAAGTGGAGCAGCGATTACACCACTGGCTAGCGCCACTATCATGGAGCAAAATGTTGAACGCATGGTTGCGGTGGTGAGGCGCCGCAAAGGATTTGGGGATGAGAGGCCGGTTGTCGTGATTGTGTGGACTGGCTGTGGAAGTAGGTTCTGGCAGCCGAGCTCAATGTCTGCACAGTTGGCGAGAAATCATTTTATATCATAGCCTTCCATAATGTCTCTTTTGTATCAATGACAGCAAGATCAACCTATGTTGCCGGACCCGACCCGGGTACGTGGTATCCGCCTCAGTCCGTCGACAAGTATTCACCTCCAGGGCTGTAGGTAGTCCACACAGCCTCTCAGAGATCTATGAACCCACCAGCGTTACTGGCGATGAAGGACATGTAAAGACGGAAACCCTGGTAAATCAATGGAGAGTGGGTCAATGATGATTGATGAGAATAGTCTAACTATCAATTCGGCCTCGGAGCCGCTAACCAAGAATTCGGGCTGGGCTTATGGTACGTAATATTCTAGGCTGTTGAGCTTTCATTGGGCGCCATCTCAGCCGTAGACAGAGTATCATTACTAAACCCTGAAAGGTGGACAAGGGCACCCAGCTCGTGTTGAGTTTAAGCAGCTAATGCATCGTATTGCGGACAGCTACGTATTCGTATGAAGTATAAGGCGGAGGTATTCAGGCTGCGGCAGATAAAATAGCTAGTAGGTACCTAGATTGAATAACAATCCTCACGTAGCGTTTAGAAAGAAGTATCTCCGTCATCTTCGTCATCTTCGCGGCTTGTTGCAGCAAAATCTTCTTCTGTGGATCAGTAGTCAATTATATACCTAGTTAGAATGGCTAACTGTTAATTCAGAATGTGTCGTGATGGCGTACTAGTAGTACCAGTGCTTTTGGCACGTTCGTCTGTGTCGAACTTAAGATTCCAAGGAGGCTTGACCACAATGGAAATTGCGAAATTATACCACCTCCATGTTGTACGTTGTTGTTGCACTTCTACAAAACAAGAATAGTTTCGTCTACATATTCAGCCTTGCCCCATAGACATCGCCTGCCAACAGACCATATTTGCTATGGAATCACAAATCAAGAGCACCGGGTTCATTCAGTGCTGTACTCGGTCTACAACAGGAATAAATATACAAAGCTCAAAATATAGGAGGGGTGGATATCAGAAGCGACGTCGCAGGTCTATGCTTGGTCGTCTATTTAAATGGCCCAATCATCCATATCAAGCACATTCGGGACCCAACCCTCGATCAGGTAGTCAAAGGGCTTACTGAGCTTTCCCTTCACCGGCCCATGTCTCACCAACTCTTCCTGGATCCTCCGGTTGTGCCATATGATTGCCGAGAAGATCATCTCGTACATAAGAGAAGCTCCCATGCGCGAATGTATGCTGCGTTGTGACTGTATTGATTCTTGTGCTGCCTCCTGACGAAGGCGTCCAATCAACCTCAATACATGGCTGTGCTCGTCTCCTGGTACCATTGAGCAGGAGGTCATCAGACTTAATGCCTGCTGGATGGTAACTTCACCTTGCTGAAAGTCGAGCCCGGGCAGAGTCTTCATTTTACTGAGCTTCATAAGAAATTAGAAGTGCGTATACAAATCCATACCAATAGTTTCGAGGGTAAAACGTTTGAGTGGGAAACCCTACCCGAGCGTTATTGTCGACCGAGGCTGTTGACAGAGCAGGGGATTTCGTGAATATCTGGATCACATTCGTAGCGCAATTGAATGCAGACAACAAGATTTTTGTGGTCCCAGACGTCTTTGAAATGGTGGCATGTCTCAAGTTAAAGGCATAAAGATTGATTCTGGCCATCAGGAGCATAAGTTGTGGGATGTTCTGTGATGTGGTCTCCTTGAGCTCTGCAGAGTTACTCAGAGCATCCAAGTTTATTTCGAATATGTCCACCAATCTAGAACGGTTCATCTCCTTATCATTGATGTCGTTACGCAGCTGGAGGTCGACCAGACGATCGATTCTTGCGCTTTCCAATGCTATCCGAATTGTATACTCAAAGTAGGTTGGAAAAGCTGCTCTGTTGAAGTCTTCTGCACGAACCGCATCCTGTGAAATGGAACAGGGAAGCCCAAGTTCAATGCTCAGACATTTTTCTATCAGCGATTTTCAAACAGAGACTTATCTGATTCATACCTGGCGTGAACGTAACAACGGCAGCACCATGTTCTTGTCAGCCGTTTTGAATCTTCCTCTGTGGAACTATGTGCACCAGCTCTTCTATACTCCTGATCCGACCCAGTCTTGTGTAGGCCAGCTAGTGTTGCCATCTGTAACGCCATCCCACTATAAATCCATCGCACGTCCTCACGAGTTTTCTTGGTGGGTAAAGGAACATGCATAAAATCAAGAGTGCTTGGCAAGGCTGTGCAGAATAGCTCTGAAAGAAGAATTGCGGTGAGATCAGCTGTGGTACAAGATCACAAAGCTCCGTGTAGAGATCCAGACGAGTACTTCGAGCCGCCGTGATGATTATTACCCAGAAGAGAGTAGGACAGTCTCTTTGGATATCAAGTGGTGGAGTCGTAGAGTCAAGGATTGGTAGGTGTGAGTGGTATCGCTGGAAATACCTAGATATCAGGGCTCAGTGAACGGTTTCGCCAGCATATAAATTCCTTACTCCTGAAATAGATCTTCAATCTCCGAGTATGTGAGTATGATATTTCCCAGTCGAACCAAGACTTGATCCCTGGCATTCACGGCAAGGATGCTCGTTGGGCATGATGGGTTTGAGTTGGCGGATTCTAAAGCGTCTGAAGATTGAAGCTCGCCTTGAAAAGATAACACAGATGTTGCGCGAATACTTTTGCTTTTCGTAATCTTGTTGATTGGGTCTTAGGGATTATGTCCCCTCGACGGTGCGACTTGTAGAGAGCTGTCAGGGCTTAAGCGATCCGTTAACTCTTGAAAGGTTGTTAACCAAGTCAATGCAAAGCAAAGTAGGACTGCGAGTTCAATCGATGTTGTACTGGCTAGCTGGGTTTGAAAACATACATTCAACCCTCACCTTTTCGTTGAGGTCGTTTTGAACGATGTCTCGACAATGCAGTCTAGATTGCGATCTCGGCACCGAGTACAGGGCTCCGGCGCCGATTTGAACGCATCACATCGCACCTGCTGCTGTAAGCTAAGCACCAGACTCCAGAGCACAGGACCATCTTACCTTATCATAACGACAAATAGAGCAAGCGAGCGCTCTCGGCATGTTGACAGACTCCCGATGTCTTATTGACACTTTGTAAGGCGGCTAAACAAGACGAGTATGTGATTTTGGCTCTCTGAAATTTCATTGAAGCGGATGGCCATGGATATATACATGACGGGAGCAGGTGCAGCAGAAAATCTAAGGTTATGTCGTTTCTCACGGCACCAGTAATTGTGCAACCAGGCAAATGTGAATACAGTCTCGATGCTTCACTGGCCACTCGGGGCGAGCGGCTTCTGGAAGCAGCCGAAGTCCGCCTTCAAAGATCGGGCTTCCATAGACTAATTTATTTCGCGACTGGTGCAAGCTGGCTACTGGATGCGATATCAACACCACAGGGCGAATGCTAACAGAACATGAGCAGTGAAAAGACTGCAGATGGATTCTCACAAATATGACTAGCGAACTCGAGAGGCTGCGAGATATGCTAGTGGCAGCCGACGTCCTGCACGACATCGCGGCCTTGCTTGGTCACGGTCAGCCCAACCTCTTCATATTGACCCTCTCCCTTCATGGCATCAATAGTGTTCTTCCGAAGCACATAAGCCATATAACCGAGAAGTACGAGCCATACACTATCAGGCATAGTCCAGATCACGATGAAGTCGTCTGCCGAGTTGTGTCCAATACTGTCCAAACAGGAGATGGCTTCAGTAAACCTGGAATTGGTCAGAGAACATTTCCGGAAATTCACTCCGATAATACGAATACAATAGAGCAAAGACTTGCCGACAGCCATGACTGTGCTGGAAAAGCCCACAAAACTACCAAGCTTACATCTTTGCCCTTGATCTATTACTGGATCACTTTGTAAGTCCAGTTTGCAATTTGATATCCTACAATGCAGAGACAGCAGCAGTAAAAGAAGCTTCTAACGGCGCATAGTCTTCACAATTCACAATGATTGCTGGAGCTTTACGCCAGGCATGGTATGCGGACGAATGATTACATAGGAGAAATCTTGGGCAACAAGGCTGGAAACTCTGTATCGGACTTGGGTTGGTCTGGATTAATGAGGATGTTCGTCCGCTCGTCATTGTCAAAATCTCGATGATGTTCGCCATCGTATAGGACAACGTGCTTCAAAACCCAGACTCCAAGATATATGCAATGATGTGAGTGAATGACAACGGGACAACGTGGTTCTGAGCTGCCTTGATAGTAGAATTACTTAGTATCACTGTCCTTGCGCTACACGGATCAGGGGTCCTTTTGCTGGCCATCACTTGCCACGAGCTGTGGCCCTGTAGCAAGCTGTGAGCCATTGTCTCTCTGTCCTTTGCAAGCATTGTACTGCCATATGAATTTATGTGGCCCTACCCAGAAGATGTCAGTAGTCTATCTATTAGCTCAATGCATGCAATCGGGCTGCGGACGATTAGCAAAAAACGACAAATACGAGAACTCTGGAATAGCCCCGAGTACTCGGCACTCCGTATCCGTACGCATGAACAAGTAAACGATGTAAGCAGCGTCATCAGGCTAACCAACATTGCGGACTCGGCGTTTCTCAGGGGGGCGTGGCTTTGCGTTTACTGCGAGGTCGCACAGACTGGACGCCTGAAGCTTACTTGCACATTGGCTCGTACCAAACACATCACTGGCGTCCAGTCACTCTCGTTATCATCTCAGCATTCTCATCGACACAGTAATGCAAGCCTGTGTCTGCTTCGCGCTTGTCATTCCTAGGTCAGTGAGCTCAGACTCGGTTAACATTGAGCCAGAAGGAAATGACGTTACTAGTAAGAGAACGGATAACCAAGCTTCCGCCGGCCGACTCGATCGGGTCCATTGGGGAGACATGTTAACTCTACATAGTCACTTAGTACAAAAGTTTGAAAGAGTTCTGACGCAAACCACTCGTCAATCAAGAAATCCATTTGAGATCCTACGATGTTCAGAGTTTCACTTAAGACCGCACTCACAACGTCTGCACTATCAGCGGCATTCTCAGGTGTGAATTGATCTTGTCAGAGTGTAGGACCTTCTGCAAAGTTCAAAACCAACTGTGAGGCAACTGTTCGACGTCGGCCAAAATGCTGCCCACAAGACAGGAGATGTTGACTTGTGCGACAAAGCCTCAAATTATCAGCAGCCTCTCTAGCAGATTACAAACAATCCAGGACTGGGATGTCTCTGCTGCAGATGGTCAACCTCAAAACTGATGAACTCTCCTGGCCGTGATGTTCCTTGCCCACTTGTCCATGGATAACCTCGAAAGGTACTCAATATCTGCAATTGGTCTTAGTATTGTGAGATACTGCTCTCCCGACTCGTGTTGAGTTATGGGGATTCATAACAGCGTCCAAGGCTGGTTATAAACCATCACACTCGCCTCGCACTCGATGTGAGGCAGCAGCCGTCCACCAGACCCCGTCTCATCGAGACAGCACTGTATCAGATTTGATCACGCGCATGAGGAAAGCGTCAACTCAATCGTAGTTTTCAGGCAGTAAGTAAGATTCCGTCTCTGCTAGTCGTCTTCCTGTTTCTCGGGACTCGGAGGTCGGAGAAGCAAGGTTTCCCCGCCCTTAACAGTAACAACAGTAACGACATCTTTAGCCCCCGGAGTGGTTGAACTCCTGCCTACGAGAAGTTCAGACAAGTCATACTTACTGTTGCCCCTGGATCAAATGCTCATAAGTTCGGTCGAAGAAAGCAAACTTATTTGAAACAATGATGCTGTGGCTCAATCTCACGCCTACCACTGAATCATTAACATGAAGGTTCTCCTGACTGGAGGTTCCGGCTTCATTGCGGCTCACTGTATAGACCAACTCCTCGAACGCGGTCATAGTGTTATCTTCACGGTCCGTTCGGACGAGAAAGGTCGGAAAATACTGAGTAACCACTCCGGCGTGCCTCTGGACAAACTCAATTATGTCATTGTGGCAGACATTGCTAAAAGCACTGCATTTGCGGAAGCAGTCAAGTCAAACCCGCCGTTCGATGCTGTCGTGCACACAGCATCACCTTTCCACTTAGGAATCAACGACCCTAAAGACCTTCTAGATCCAGCTATAAATGGCACTGTAGGTTTACTCCGTGCAGTCAAGAAATCAGCCCCTTCAGTCAGGCGAGTTGTTATTACCTCATCATTTGCATCAATGATGAATTCTGCTCAGCATCCAATGAAGTACGACGAAACGAGTTGGAACCCTATCACATCGCAGGAAGCCACTCTCAACGCCGCTAACGCTTATCGTGCGAGCAAAACCTTTGCTGAGAAGGCAGCTTGGGATTTTATCAGGAACGGAAATCCCGGATTTGATATCGCAACTATCAATCCACCCTTGGTCCTTGGTCCCGTCGTGAGTCATCTCAACTCTCTCGATACCATAAACACCTCAAATCAACGTCTCCGAGACATGATCCAAGGCAGGTGCAAAGATGGTCTTCCTCCCAGTTTCGGAGTCTACTTGTGGGCTGATGTCCGAGACGTTGCTCTGGCACATGTCCGAGCTGCCGAAGTGTCTGAAGCTGGAGGAAAGAGGTTCTTGATTGCCGCCAACACTTACGTGAGCAATGCACATATCGCAGGAATCATACGAGACCAATTTCCAGATCTCAAAAATCAACTCCCGATGGAGCTAGATAGCGACATACCAGATGATGTGTACGGCTACGACAACTCAAGAAGTACCGAGGTGCTGAACCTTGAGTATCGAGATTTAGAAGAGTGTGTTGTCGACACAGTCAAGTCCTTGCTCGCAGTCGGATCTTGATCATTGTTGGCCTTTCTCTGGTGATAACAGAGTTATAAAAATTCATGAGACTAGTTTCAGTGACAACCTTTTCAATTCCTTGAGTGGGCATAGTTTCATCCGCACTGGTCCAGTGTTAACCTTCAACCTTTTCGCTTACATGGATCCAAGGTTTTATTTTCAGGACTAAACATCCATTGTTAAAATGCTCCGTGGCATGACTCGTGATACTACCTATGTTATTCCGTGGCCATAAATACTATTGTCAACTTGTCAAGACCAAAGCAACGCTTCCACCCTACTCGATTCCCACTATCTACGATTCGCTGTTGGCTGAAGCCACTGAGAACTAGCGGCTAACTTGAAGTCACACTTTTTGAACAGCATGCTCGGTCTTGCTCTCAATGTGGCAGTTCCCCGGCTTATCTTCAACAATACCTTCACCATCAGCTGTCAAGTGCACCGCAACGGCATCACCAAAAAGGGCGCCGATTTCTTCGATGGGAAGTCCTTTGGTCTCAGGAATATAAAACCAGGTAACCACAAAGGAGATGACGCAGAGTCCGGCGTAAATGAGGAACATGCCCCATTTTCTATGCTGTTATCAGTACTTTTCAAGACAGGGAATGGGGAGAACGCTTACATGCTTTGCAACGCCACGGGTGCTGGAGTCGAGAAAGTGATGGTTCCAACAAAGTAGGCACATATCGCGAGGCTGACACCTTTGGCACGAAGTGTCGTTGGAAAAATCTCGGCAGCCCAGACAAACGTCGGAGCATCGATACACTGTATTTCTAAACGAGTGCTCCGGTATGACATGCGGAATAGGTAACATACCTGAAAAAATGCGATGAACAAGAAGATAAATAATATGCATGCAGCATTGCCTGCCTTTGAGTCTGTCCCTTGGTATTTCCACTGGAGCAGCGCTTCAGTGAACAAGATGCAGGCGACCGATGCGAATCCAGTTACTACAATCGTATGTCAGCTTTTGTGTTTTTGATTGGTACTGGATAAAACACTCACACAAGAGAATTCGGCGACCGAATCGGTCGACCAAGAACATAGTCACCAAGATGGAAATGGTCGCGATTGTTGTATACGATGCTAAGCGCCATGGTCAAACTCATAGTAACGCACCACCGTCACCGAAACACTCACCATACAATATCAGGGGTACATCTCCGGTCAGCCCGAGAGATCCAATGAGCAGTGGGAAGAAATTCGTGATGCCGTAGATCTGGAGTCTTATGTCAGCACACCACGTCTAGCACATCGTTGGAAAGCCAGTTTTAATGTTCAACTTACACCTGATCCTTGTTGTGCGAACCTGCTGATCTTAGCACGTTGAAAAAACTACATTTGCAAGATGGACACTCACAAGAGCAAGAAGACCGAGATCGACCGACGTCTCCAGGAAGGTTTTTTGAACATCTCCCAAAAGGTAGGATTTTCTTCTTTGTCCATTTCAACCTGTCTCAGAATCTGAGTGAATTCGGCGCTCGCATCTGCTTCGGATGGGTTGGCTGGGTCATGGTGAAGTCTCTTCAAAATGTCCCAAGCTTCATCTTGCTTCCCCTTCCAGACCAGGTAACGAGGAGATTCTACAGTTCATTAGCATGTTGGAGAGTTGTGAAATGGATTGGAGTGTACCCGGGACAAAGAAGAGGCCAACAATCAATGCCAACGGTCCAACGCACGCAAGTGCCAGCGGGAGTCGCCAGCTAAGAGTCAAATTCTTTGCGTGATAGCAGCCAAGAGAACCCCATGAACAACTAAAATGAGCTTATCAGCCAAGCCATGCGCAACGTAGATCAGGAACTTGAATAACATACACGATATAACCAATCCCGGTCGAAAATTGAGTCGATCCCGTCAGGAACCCTCGATGTTGTGGCGGAGCAACCTCGGTGAGGTATAACGGAACCAAGGTAAGCAGCATTCCTAGGCCAACACCTTGGGTAATGCGCATCACGAAGAGCATAGGTATGTTTACCGAGCCTGCAACGAGGGCACTTCCCACACATGATAGCACTGCTGAGCTGTTCAATGCTCCCTTCCGTCCAATCCAATCCGAGACGAAGCACTGAGCGATAGACCCAACAGCACATCCGAAGAAAAACAACGCATTTATTGCACTGAGAATGTTTGCAGTATCTGTGACTGATTAGTCTTTGCTTAGTCCTTCCATCATGCGTTGACGCTATCGCAGACGTACGTAGGCTCGTTGGGTCAAGGTCGTAATAGTTGTAGAATCCTGGTTGGCCGACACTAGTGACGAACACAGATGCTCCATAACCAAAGCTGAAGGCGGCGATGACGACAACAAGGCAGACCTTGACGTTGTATTTGGTAAGTTTGGCCATAGTTATGGTGAGTATCAAGCCAGAAAGATGGGGCTGAGGTTTGCCGAAATGGAGACTGCACGCTTGAGGGTCTTAGATACTTATGAGACATATATACTGTTTGAACAGACATTGTACTCCTGAACATATTCTGAGCTACCCCGTGGGGTTTAAGAGAAGCTTGAGAGCCTGCAAGAGATCCACTTCATCCCAAATCCAACACTACCGAAGGCCTCCAGCGAAGCGGTTCCGCCCCCTGATTCGTCCGCTTTCTAAGGGAGGCCGGGCGTCGTTGCTGATTCGCGAGTAGACGAAAACACATGCCTCCGGCGAATACGTGCACAGAACCATTCAAATCGAGCTTGTCTCGTACGCTAGGCCTCGGCCTCGGTTTCGACTATCAAGGTTGGGTCTGTGGGAGTCTAGACAGTTCTGGCGGGCGCTCACACGGCCAGCCTAGCTCGAGAACCTTTCGGATTTCGGGCTCAGAATCGGTGCTTCATAGACTACTCGCAAAGCCCAGGAGCGGTTCTTCGGTGGCCCAAAGCCTATGGAAACGGCGTAATCAAAGTGCAGGAGTCGGTTTGCTGGCCATCCAAGGGTGGGAAACGGATCGGATGGGGATGTCATTCTGAATTAAGGCGCTAGCATGTCGGTTCTGGTTCCTTGATCTACGAATGGTACATTTCGCAGATGAAAATACATCGTGAAGAGTGGGAAGTCTTCGAAAGCTAGGAAGTGATCGTTAAGGCCGAAGTTAAATTCAAGGTATGTCAGGAAGGCAAATAGTGGGAATACACAACAGCCATAGCGGAAGCCGGAAAACCGAGGGAAAGGTCCTTCTGCAAACGGACCACCGAGGTCAAAGACGACTTCCACTTGGTCCTCGTCCTTTACAAAGCGCTTTCAGTAGAAGATAGAGCCAAGCATACTATAACTCCCCATTTTGATCGTGAATGTGCTAACATCAAAGGTAGGTCAAGAGCAGTATTGTTTGCGCCCATACTGTTGCATTTTAGGTGTTGATTGATGTTAACGCACGAAACTATTCCTTGAGATTCCCAACATTCTCTGAAATGACGGTGACTTCGATTGCAATCATCCGGCTCAAAGATGGCGTACAGCCAGAAGACCCCAATACTTCTGCCGGAACGCTGCTCCAGGGACGCGTCTCTGAAATATTGACCTCACCAGGAGCTCAAAGGTGTTATTGGGGCCGAGCAATCGAGTCAGCGGATCTTTTTTATCTGCTGGTCGACTGGAATACTTTGCAAGATCACGTTGACTTTACGACGAATAGGTATGGATACTTGACCAAACTCAACATCAGGTAGATGATATCTCCACTGACACACTCATTTACGTCTCAGTGGGAAAACCGAAACAGACCTATCACCACTCTTCAACGGGGCACCCACAGTATATCACGTCGAGCTCACAGCATTCCCGCCCAATGCGATAAGCAAGCCAATGTCGCCCGTCGCAGAAATCGTCACGATCTACTTCCCATCAAATCTGTCTACAGAGTCCCAGCACAAGATTGTCTCCAACACGGGGAAGTTCAGAAGCGTACTGGCTGATCCAGGGGGCTGTAATGCAAGTTCTGGAGGCTGGATTATGGAGGAAGTCGAAGTACCGGGCCAGGGCAATAAAGGTAGAGCTTTCGTCATGATATTTGGCTGGGACAGTATCGAGGCTCACACAGAGTGTGTGAAGACGCCGAGAGTCCAGGAGCATGTTCACTTAATTGCAGAATTAGAAGGGACGGTAGGTCTGGAGATGTGCCATGTTGCTTTGTCCGAGGTGGGAGTATAGTTCCATTTGTGGAAAGATTGTAAAAGCAGAAACTCGGCACCTGCCTACCTGCATTCGGAGCAATGAGTGCGGATCGTTCTGATCTGCAATTAAATTTATCTTCCTCTGTACTAGACACGGTGGACAGTCGGATTAGCGGCCGAGCTGTTCACACGTGCTGCAATTGAGGGCGCATCTGCTCAAGTGGAGAAGCGCCAGTTGGATTTGGCCCAGGAAATTCCCGAAATGTAGGCTTGCCGACCATCATGAATTGTGAATAACTAAGTTTGCCATTGCGAGCAAGGGATTCGACAAACCCCGAGCTTTTTGGAAAAGTCATAGTCGGTAGTTTGGTGATGGAGCCTCATTCCAGTTACCTCGCTCGGAGTTCGGAAATAGAGCAACCTCACCACGACTGCTCCTCGAATACCGAGCGAGCGGCTCACGTATTCGGGTGGTTAGGAGCAAGATTTCACTGTCGCTGTCCCTGGCACTGGAGAACTATGCGGAATCTCTAGACGGGCTGCGGCCCTTTTGTGTAAGTGTCTGATTGGAAGTTGATATAGACAAGGATGCTTGGGCAGAAGCATCATCTCATCATTAAGGTCGGATACTCTTATCCCAGGCAAAGATTTTTGCGGATTAAAAAAATTGTACGGAAAAGAAGAAACACTTCCCAAAACCTCTTCCATTTTGTCTGGACATCTCAGAAACCAAACCACCGCACATCTAGATTTATACGTCATAAATTAAGCGTTTGCACCAACAACATGGCAGCCCACGTCTTCGATGCTGCTCCTGAGCCAATTTCGGAGCTGGGGCGATATAGGATTATGTCTAGCACGGCCGGGGTCAGAGTGTCTCCTTTGTGTCTAGGGGCTTTGTCGATTGGAGATGCATGGCAAGGGGTACATCAGCCTTCCAGATTCCATTTTACTTGGACGTATGACGAATTCTGACATCGAAAACTGCCTAGATGTTGGGCAGCATGAGCAAGGAGGCTTCCTTCAAGTTACTTGACGCTTACTATGATGCTGGTGGCAATTTCATTGATACAGCGGTACGTTTTAGAGATTGTGGTTGATCCGCGCAAAACTGAGTCCATTCTGCAGTGTAACTACCAAGACGAGCAATCGGAAAAGTGGCTTGGAGAGTGGATGGTCGAGAGAGGAAATCGAGATATGTTAGTCGTGGCCACTAAGTAAGTCTCATTATTGAATGCTGGCCGAATATCCCAGGCATTACTTACGTATTCGTCAGGTTCACTTCCGCCTATCGTAGCCACGAGCTCGGGAAGACTCATACAGTGAACTTCGCTGGCAACCACAAGAAGTCTCTCAATCTCTCTGTGGCTGCCTCTCTGAGAAAACTACAGACGAGCTACATTGACCTGCTGTACTTACACTGGTGGGTAAGTTGAGCAAGGGAGGGTTTGGCTATTTTACTTTATATCTCTGACAGTATCCAGGATTGGACAACATCCATTGAAGAGCTGATGGATAGCTTGCACATGCTAGTCGAGCAAGGAAAAGTCCTTTACCTAGGCATTAGTGATACACCTGCGTGGATCGTCAGTGCTGCGAACACCTATGCTCGAGATCATGGTAAAACACCTTTTAGTGTTTACCAAGGCCGCTGGAATGTGATGCTACGAGACTTCGAACGAGATATCATACCAATGGCACGCCACTTTGGCATGGCTCTTGCCCCGTGGGATGTTCTTGGTGGCGGAAAATTTCAGTCCCAGGCACAGATTGAAGAACGTCAAAAGACCGGCGAAGGCCTGAGGTCCATGTTAGGTGCTGGTCAATCACCCCAAGAAGTGAAGATTAGTGCGGCCCTCGACAAGGTGGCACGAGAGCATAATATGACGAGTCTGGCTGCAATTGCTCTGGCGTATGTGTCTCAGAAAACACTGAATGTGATTCCGATTGTGGGAGGGCGTAAAATCGAACACTTGCAGGACAACATCAAAGCATTGAGAGTGAAGCTGACCCAGGAGCAAATGGACTATCTGGAGAGTCAGACAGAGTTTGACATTGGATTTCCCAGCACATTTATAGGCGAGAACCCTGCCGTGACAGGGCAGAGTTCGCATATGCTGGCAGCGACTGCTCAGATAGCATACCCGACTCCATCAAAGCCCTTTGTCGCTCGATGAAACAGGCTCAGCAGAGCAGGTTTAAATTAAAAAAGTCGTTTGTTAGTCCTCCAAGTCACTTGTGACGGGCGAGAAATGAGATTGCTCACGAGGAATAGCGACCCCCACTACCTAGGTAGCAGACAGTTGTCCCTTGTTGTGACGAGGGAGCAGTGTCTCATAATCAGTGTACAGATGTCGTTCCTAAATTGGTCACCACGCCAATACTAACTCCTTCTAGCGTACGTTTTAGCCTCGCGACACCTTCCCCAGGCGAACATGGCGGGCACGCGCCACCCGCCCCTCTGGGGAAATTCATAAAAGTTGCCCCAACTCATCTGCGCCCTTGAACTTCTGTGTTGTGCGACCCCGCGGTTCTCAAGAAGGTGAGCCTCACCTCGCAACGCGATCGGACAGATGCAAGGATTTGCACTCTACGATTGTGTGTTCCTTAAGGATAACCCATCTCTTTGTGGCATAATCGAACGCTCCAATACCGATGCCTACGAACCCTTGGACGATGACTTGATCATTGGACACGCTGATGTGCCTATTGACATCTTGAACAATTTCATCGAGTCTGGTGTCCCGCCTCCAGGTTATTACTATGTTGAGTTCGAAGATGAATCATGTGGGAAGTCCTTGGTCGGTGAAAATGATATCGAGCTGCTGTGTCGAACCTTTCAAATTGGAGACAGTGTCAAACGCGAAGGTTCGCCTATGACTGGCACTGTCATCAATTTGTCCGAGTCTTATCTCCTCGCTCCAGTCCTCAGCTGTCCGGGCTACTTCAAATCCCCATATCCAAATCCTCAAAGTCTACCAACATGTGGCCCTAACTGCCAAACCACCGGCCTACCTCCGCATATCGCTCATCCTAATCCTCATGTCCTCATCCGCGATGTGCCTGCACGGGAGGTCAGACGAGCTCAAGATCTTGTTAAGGACGACTATTTACTAGCTCTAAACTGGGTTGGACGGGTAGAAGATGTGTCACACGATGTTGTTATCTGTATGGAGAACAAGGCCATTGTGGTTTTGAGAACACTCGATGGTTTATATCTACCCGTGAAAGACTACGGCAAGCCTCTGATTGCATTACCTGAAAGGGAAATGTGGCGTCCTGATGGTGTTGGGACCCTAGAAGGATGGAGTCAGACTGTCCCGCTGATCTACCCAAGAGTGGGACAGTTCGTTGTTGCAGACCGTTATTTACTTCGTAGAGGTCGTTGGATCCGAGGCAGTTATGACGCCAATGCCTCTGCACAAGGAACCATTCTCGAGATTCGGGCTGGAGAAGCTGCAGTGCATTGGGAACAGCATAGTTTTTCGAGCACCACACCTGATTCGCGGGCGCCTCCTTACGAGCTGGAACTATACGAAAACAGTCAGCAGTTCAAATCATCGGCCGATTTACGACTCCGGACCGACATGATTGTATATGACTCAGGGAAGATGCCTTCCAAGCACGATGACCTATCATCCATTCAAGACACTGCTCAAACCCAACACAGACAGAAGCATCCTGGAATCATTGATACCCGGGATATTTGTGCCGGGCAAGACATCGGGGTTGGAGACCATGTGCGATTTCGTGATCTCACAGCGGCTGCAGTCAAGTATACATTGCAGGGCGCCGAAAAAGTGCCTCATGGAAGTCTGTTGAAATTCGACCCAAATTCGTTCTATGGATGGGACCTTAATGAGTTCAAAATACTACATATTCATCAATTGCCCACTGTTCTCTGGCAAGATGGATCGGTCACCACGGTTGAGTCTTCTGAGATTTCTGGCTATGCCCTCTTCGAGCCAGAGTTGGCCCCTACTGATATCGTGCTGAAGCGTGAAGGCATGCGCCAGAGGGCAGTGGTTCCTAGCGGCCAGGGTCAAGCTGAGGTCAAGGAGTTCAACGAAATGGCGTTTTTCGAGAGCCCCCATGATCTTCTTCCAGAGAAGGTCGGGGTCATCCAAACCGTCGACAGTATTGAGCGAGTCGCCACTGTAAGATGGTTCAAGGAACCACACATCGAGTTACGAACAAATGGCCAAACTTTGTCGTCCCATTCGCGGTATGGACCGATTGGGGATGACATCGAGGATGTCTCACTGTACGAAATCATGACTTTCCCTTCATTGCAACGGAAACTCAGAGATATGTGTATCATTGCACCAGACGTCAAGCGGCTACACATCAAACAAGGCAAGGATGACTTGGGAAACGCTGTACCAAGAGAACCTCTTGCAAGCGCCAGTACAACGCCAACGTCGGCACCGAAAGTGTTCAAAGGATGGTCGCAAACACGAACCCAGGCGACTACCAACTCAAAGACGGACGTACACAACAAAGCTCTACACTCCATTGATTGGTTCGGAGAGATTGTCGCTCTAGGGCTGGATGGGTCAAACACAGTGAGACTTGGTGGGCAACATCCGTGCCGAGAAATTCACATTAGTTTTGATCGTGTCCTGGCACTCCTTGACAGTGATGGCTTCCCGGATGATACAACAGATGATAACATGGATCTTGACTCCTTGCTATTTGGCAGCTCGGACGGAATGGATGTGGAGCCCATTGAACAGACGGTAGAATATGAGGGGGGGCATCGCCTTGACAACGACAGCGACAGCGAGAACTGGGAGTCGGAAGGAACTGGAATCGATCTCAATGATGACGCCGAGTTTGCCGATGCGAGGGAGGAACAAACCGACAGTGCTGCTGATGTCGAGATGACCAATAATGGTCCCATCATCGCCGAAACGAAACCTCAAGTTAGACAAGCAGGTATCATTCGCCTCAGCGAGCTTATTGCCGATGAAAGTCCTGCACAGTTCGCTGTCCTGGAGCAAGAACCACCACCTGATCAGTTTGGCTTGCATTCAGTAGCCAGTGCTGGATCGTTTCTCAAGAGAATTGTGAAAGAACACCGTGCACTGGCGACATCGCTTCCAATTGGCGAGATCTACGTTCGGACATATGAGAGCAGACTCGATTTGCTGCGGTGCATCATCATAGGACCTCGGGACACGCCTTACGAGAGTGCGCCATTTGTTGTCGACCTTTATCTGCCGGACGGTTATCCAGCGTCGCCTCCAACAGCTCACTTCCACAGCTGGACCAGTGGGCTAGGTCGGATCAACCCGAACCTCTACGAAGAAGGCAAGATATGTTTGAGTCTACTGGGAACATGGTCAGGCAAGAACGAGACCGAGAAATGGAGTGAAAGTGCCACAATTCTTCAACTTTTGGTCTCATTACAAGGTCTAGTCCTGGTCAAGAGGCCGTTCTACAACGAAGCTGGCTTCGAAGGCTATGAACACGACAAGGCATACACCCGTGAATCGGAACTTTACAGTGAAAAGGCATTCCTCATGGCAAGAGGATTTGTGAAGTATGCAATGACCCAGCCTCCTGGTGGACTCGAAGACGTTCTGTCTTGGATATACCTCTCACTTCGAAACGCCGAATCAACTTCACTTCTCAGCTCAATCATAGCAAACGGGAGAACGCTGATTCAAAGATCAGAGGAAGCAAGAAAGCAGAAAGATGATAGATTAATGGATGCGGTTGGTCAAACGGAAGATGAAACGAGAGCATTTCTCAAGCCATTGAGTTTGGGAGCCGCTGTGATGTTGAAGAGGACTATGAATGAACTTGAAGGGCTGCTTGGACAGTTGTAGGCAAGTCCTGGTAACCCGATAGAAGTTTTAGGATAGACCTCTATGATGATATGAGAGATACCCACCCCAATGAGGAATGATTAGTCAATTCTTTGTCCAAGCATTGTATCACAAGGACGGGGTGTTCAGATGGACGCCTGTCGGAATAATTCTAGGTGTTGAGTTAGATTTCATAGGTGGCGAGACCCCGCCTGGAATTGATGGCCCTACGCACTGGAAGTGCCCAAGTCCGGCTAAGGCTTGAGACCCTTTGTTTGCCTGTGGCGGGAGGGGCACTTCGGGTGGGGTGGGGCATTCAACTAACTAGAAGTCCTCGGGCGTTCCTTAGGCTTTCATGCAGCGGCATCACCCACTCAGGCGGTCCAGAACCTCCACCACCACTAACGAGCTAACTGTCTACTATTGATCTCCAGGTTCTTCCTTCATCGAACTCCTTACAACTGCAGAACTCTCCATATTCATTGACTTCCCCGGATTTCTAGTGTTCATCCTGCCCGTTGAGTGAATCACATTTGGTATTCGTTGTCAGAGGTGCTGGCAGTCATCTACGGCGTGTGATCTGCTGCTTGTGAAGCCTCGCCTTTGTCACAGGTCTCTTTGTGAGGCTCATTCATAGGAGTGGTTTGAGGTGCGTGCTGAAAGTGTCAATTGGAACCCGATCCTGTTCTCACAAAGGACGGACGGACGGGACCTCGTTTCTGGACTCAGACGACACCAAAACCCAACGCAAAGAATTGATCATCCCCATCATGGCTTCTCCATCCCTTCAGCCAACTCGGCCTGCTGGTTGGGTTGACTTACGACGACCCGCAGACTACCCCATCATCCTAGGGGACAGCCTCAAAAGTGAGAGTGGAAAGGCGACAAGCTCATTCGTCAATATACGATACAATTGGCAGCCCAAATCTGGATTGGGATCTCGAAAGAGCAAACTCACCAAAGCTGGCGACAAGTATGATATCCGTGTCAGACCTACGGATAGCGATGACGAAGGTGGTGACTTTCAATACCAAGGGACAACGAACAGCCAGGCTGCCGGTGGCAATTCTAAGAATGCAACAAAAAGCCTTGCACTCATCTTCGACAAGTCAAAGTCCGCCTTCGTTCTGGAATCAATATCTACTTCACTCGACATGAACCTGAAGTCGAGCACAGGTTTCTCTTCGAAATCAGCACGGGAATTACCGCAACTCCCAACAAACAACGGCGACTCGCCGCGATCTTCAAACGATCACACCCAGCCACCTGGAAAGAGCAAATTGTCACCTCCGATTGAAGACGAACCAGGAGACTCATCCAATCCCTTTGACTATCGGCACTTCATCGCCGAAGCACGTGACAGCCTGGAGAAATCCACACAACAGCAGCAGCAACGGCAGGCAGGGGACCGTACTCCACTGAGTGGCATCTCAACTCCAGTTCCTCCCGGTGCCAGCCGCTTTGTCTCCACCACGCCTCAATTTCGAGCGACTGCATCTTCATCGAAAATATCATCAGCAGCCCAACAACGAAAGAAAAAGGAAGACGCCACGTCCTCACGTGGAGGGCTGGGCCACTCCCGAACGACCTCTTCCACAACAGCAAAGGCCGCAGCCGCAGCCGCATCTGTGAAACGGAACCCGACCTCCAAGGCATCACTGAGCAAAGAAACCATCTCGGACTCCGACTCCGATGCAGACAGTGAAACCATCGCCGTCTCACGCCTGCCCGCACCAAAGGCGTCCCGCCCAGCAGCAGTGAGCAATGCACAAAGGCCCAAACCTCCAATCGCCAAGGGTCACACTCGCAATGTATCAGCCAACATCGGCAGCTCGCCACACATCATCATCAACGACGACGATGGCGACCTCGAGATCGACATGGGCAGCCCTGAGCCCGAAGAGCGCAACCGCCGCAACCACCGCGTCGATCCGGAGATGTTCCGCTCCCACACCAACACACCGCTCGGCGGTCACAGCTCCAACTTCGGCAACACCAACAGACCTTCGCAACAGCGACCTGGCGATGGGTCGCACTTGAAAGACGGCACCGTCGGCAATACCTCCTCGAACAGCAACAGCAACAACAGCGCCCGACGAGACCGCGACATATCGATGAAAGACATCGAAGCGGAGGCCTCTCCGTCCGACGAAGATGGCGACGTCGAGGAATTCGAGCTGGGCAGCCCGCAGGAGAAACGGCCATCGTCCTCGACGCTGTTGAACTCGTCGCGCATTGAGCATGACCGGGACGAGGACGAGGACGATGACAATGACAATGCTCCGGCGCCCACGCCCCCGGCTCCGCGAACGGACCGTATGCAAGTCGACGATGACGACGAAGACGATGAGGATCTTCTTGCCGCTGCGTTGGAGGCCGCGCTCGACGAGGAGGACGAGGTGGCTAGTGCGAGTGCCGGTATTGGATTGGGGATCGGCATGAGTCATCATCAGCAGCTGAGCGATGAGAGCGAGGTTAGTGAGGAGGAATGAACACGCGAATTTTGGGGGTTCCGATTGAGGTGGAATGGTGTCGGCTATGGCTTGGACTTGGACTTGGACTTGGGCGTCTTTCTTGGGTATGCATGTCTAGATCCATTCAGCTTACCCGATGGATCAAAATGCTCTACGACACTGTGCTCGCGAGGGAAATGCTAATGAAAAGCAAGGTCCCAAGAAGCGTATGATACACACAGAAAAGGGAAAAGTCTCCAGACTTCCCTGGTGGGCGGTTCAAATTGTTGGCATGGGATTAGAGAAGCCATTTCCGTAGACAGTGTTGCCTTTTAGTCACCATCTTCACTGCTGATTGACCTTGTACTGGAAAAGAGTGCTCGGAGGAGGAGGAGGCTCTACTCATGCAAATCTATCACTGTGTTTATATCATTCTCTCGTCTGGTTTAACTGATTTCGAGCTCATTGTCCATTGTTCTTCTACTCGAACACCAGAGCCGTCATTCATCCTCTGTGGAAAGACGTATACACGTGACACATTGATTTCGCACTCCCTGGCTGTCCCAGACCTAGGGATTGTAGACTTACTCCTCTCCACCGCCACCAGATAACCCGCTACCACCGACCTGTTTCGCGCTCTTGGCACCACAGATGTCGTCCACCCTCAATAGCAGACAAGCACTCTCAACGGCGGTCTTGATGCTCTGCATCTTCACCGCCTGCGGTTCCCAGACTCTATACTCTTTCATGTCGACGACATTGCCAGTATCACCGTCGACGCCAAAAGTCGACTTTCCCTCAGCCTGTTTCGCACGGAGCTGTGTTAGTATGCGGATGGGGCTGGCACCGGCGTTCTGGATCAGTGTGCGGGGGATGACTTCCATGGCGTCCGCGACGGCGCGGTATGGCCACTGCATGACGCCCTCGATGGATTTGGATTTCTGTGCTAGGCGCACGGAGACGGCCATTTCGGTGGCGCCACCACCGGGGGACAGGCGTGGGTGGAACATGACATTGCGAGCGACGGACATGGCGTCCTGTAGGTTGCGTTCAATTTCGTTGAGGATATCTTTGGAAGGCCCGCGTAGAAGGATTGTGCAGGCTTTGGGGTTCTTGCATTTCGTGATGAAGGTGAAGTATTCGTCGCCAATCTTTTCGATTTCGAAGAGGCCAGCGCCGGTGCCGACGTCGGTCTCGACGAGGTCGTCGACTCGGTTGACAATGGTTGCGCCTGTTGCGCGAGCGATGCGGTTATTGTCAGTTTTGCGTACTCGTCGAAGAGCAGTAATGCCGGCTTTGACGAAATAGTGTTGAGCGAGATCGGAAACACCTTTCTCAGTAATAACTAAGTCGGGTTTCACAGCCAAGATGGCGTCGCACATCTTCTTGACCTGCTCTTCTTCGATCTGGAGAATGCGGTTCCAGGAGTCTTCGTCTGTGATTTCGACGTTGGTCTGGGACTCTCCCTTCTTGTATTCAAGCGGGCAGTCCAGAAGTACAATGCGAGGGTTTTCTATACGTCTGCGCATTGATGCGTGTGTGATATCCTTATTCAGCATCACCCCGTCCAAAACTCTTGAATCTTCAATCTCGCCGCCCGGCACCTTTTCGACTCGAGCGTATCGCTTGATATCTATTTCTTGTGGTTTTAGTGGTGATGCAGCCTTCGTGGCACCGTTTGTCTGGGGAGCGTTGGAAAAGAATGTTTGATCTTGTGACACCACTCGGACAGCTTTCAAAGCCAGCGAACACATGAGATCAGAGAATCTCGAACTCGTCTTAGTCCCGATGGAGGATTCGATGATCTGGTACATTTGCTTATCACTCGAGGTATCGACCGGTATTGAGACTTCTTCAACAATTGCGAGAGCATCTGCAAGGGCTTTTTTGAATGCTTGTATAATTACCACTGGATGAATGTTTCTCTCAAGTTGCGGAAGAGCTTGCGCCAGCATTTCACCAGCTGTTCCACACGTTAGTCATGTTCATCGAGATTTCTGTAGCCGATGTGTACCTAATATTATGACAGTGGTTGTTCCGTCTCCCACCTCTTCATCTTGCGTCCTGCTCAATTCAATCATGCTTTTGGCTGCGGGGTGTGCGACTTCGATCTCTCGTAGAATGGCATGACCATCATTGGTCAGTACGATGCCTCCCATTGGATCTAAAAGCATCTTCAACATGGCTTTTGGACCGAGACATGATCTGATAATGTCTGCCACTCTGCGCTTCGTCAGTCATGCATTTATTGAATTGCTGCGGGGGACTTACGTTTTGGCGGCGGTAATATTTGAGATCTGCGCCTTTCGACCGACTTGCCTCTCCCCATTACCGGTGTCTGTGAACCAGGTCAGCAGGATGATCTTTTGCATTGTCCACTACAAGACTTACTCATCACCACGACCGGCGCCTGCATCTTGCCGGTTCTTGAGGCACTACTCTTGTGTAAACGTAAATCGGGAGTGGAGTAGTTGCGAAGATTGAATCCAGGAATGGAAATTGTGTCGTTTAGTGAAGGTTGATTCAACGGACGAGGGTCTTGACAGATATGAGTATGAGATTGGGTCTTTGAATGCGGGATGGATGCGTCCCTCCAGGCAATTTCAAAAAGTTCAAGGCCGCAGATCTCCAACTTTTGCGCCAAGATTTATATTGCCCCTTTAGAATGAGGAGCAAGTGCTGCTTTAATTAGTGAAACCGTCAATATTGGCCATGGCACTTGGTTTCCAGGCTGTTCGACGACTAAAGTGATGAGATAAATGACCTGAAAGTGCAATGACAGGCAGATGATATTGGTATTTGCGCTTCATTACAGTCATGGGATATCTCGAGTCTTGTTAGTCAAGTCTCAGCCTTCATCTTGATCCATATTGTCACGTCCACGCTTTCCAGTACCGCTTTTACCACGCGTATGTCGTAGGGTTGCACCCTTCTTCCCTCGATCTTCATGTAACGCCTTCATTTCCATTGCAGCAGCTCTCTGAGCGTCTCCAACACGTTCAGCCAAAACCATAACTTCCTCTTTGACTGTTTCATACTCCTGTAGCTTCTTGCCCAGCGCCCCCTCTATTCTCATCCACAGCTCAACATCGTACTGTGTAACGAAGGATACTGCCTTACCACTTTTTCCTGCTCGAGCCGTACGTCCGACCCGGTGAATGTAGGTCTTGCTGTCATGGGGCAGGTCAAAGTTTACCACAAGATCGACCGAAGGAATATCGAGTCCTCGAGAAGCGACGTCTGAAGCGACAAGTAGATTCCGTGATTTTGCACGAAACTTGTTCAGTGCCGCTAAGCGAGCCTGTTGCGATAGTTGACCATGAATAGGCACTGCTGAAAACCCTAGCATTCGCAGCAAAATTGAAAGCCGTTGTGCTTCGTTGACTGTTCGCGTGAAGATGATTCCAGTCTGGCCCGCCAGTTCGTTCAGGAGATGTATGAGATAGAGATCCTTGTGCTTATGTGGGATGAAGACATACGACTGCAGCAGAGTGGAGACTGTCTGGTATTTGTCCTGAGAGACTGCGACTCGGAGAGGATTGGTCAACGAGGCTCTTTGGAGGGACTCTACCTTACTCGACATGGTAGCGGAGAATAGGTATGTTTTTCGACCTTCTTTTGGCAAAATCTTCAATATCTTATCCAGAATGGGTCCAAAATCGAGATCGAGCAACCGATCGGCTTCGTCCATAACCAAATACTTCAGCTGTCGGAGAGAGAATCCCTTTGTGTTCTCCAAATGGTCTAACAATCTTCCAGGCGTAGCCACGACGACATGAGGCTTCTTCCCCAGCGCAATCGACTGTGGAATCATGTCCATGCCGCCTACCAAGACTGCGCAGCGCACTGCGATTAATGACCCTAAAGCCTCCACAGCTTGGGATATTTGGTATGCCAGTTCTCTTGTTGGCGCCAGTATCAATGAATGTAGTTGCTGTGGCTTGTCCATCAAGGCTTGTAGGATAGGGAGGACAAAGGCGGCCGTCTTTCCACTTCCAGTCTCCGCAAGTCCTATGAGATCTCGGCCTTCCAATGCTAATGGTATGGATTCGGCTTGAATCGGAGTTGGCATTTTGTAACCTAGGGCTTCACATGCCTCGCAAAGGGAATCGATTATACCCAACTCTTTGAATGTGCTTGGTCTGGACGGTTTCACCAGGGTCTCCTCGTGACCACTGCCCTCTGCGCTGTCTTCCGAACTTGAAGACACATCTTCCTTTGTAGGGCTTGAGGTAGGCTCCTCAACGCTGAGCCTTCTCTTCTTTAGTGGCGGCATGGCTGCAGTTTTGTATGGAGTGAGAGGCCTCTGAATGGACAATGTTGAAAAGCAACCCTCTTCCTCGATCACGAACTTTTTTATTATCTTATCTCCACGTTATTTGAATTCATCTCGCTGCATTAGTCTCCTATTGTCTCTAACCAGAATGGTGCAGGCTTGGCGGCATATCTCTATAGTGGCAACACAATGCTCCAAAATGACCTCGTGTTCAAGTTATGAACCTGAATCCATCCTGAATCCTCTTTCGGATATGGCGCTCGTCAGCTCCTCAGTTTTCTTGATAGCCTTCTCGCTTTTACGACAATGATAGGTGAGTGCCCCGCGCACTTCTCAGACCGTGGCGCCCATGAGGCTTTGCCAAGTCTGCATGATTCCCGAAACTGCACTTGAACTCGAACCTGAAAGTAAAACATACAGAACTCACACCTCCACGGCGTTTACGGAACCTGCTGATCGTCTAGTGCCTCGTATTCAATTGCAAAGCATCATGGATGTGATCAAGACTGTCGAGTGTTGCTCCTCCAACCCAGCCTGGAGATTCCGAGGACAAAGGAAACCTCGTTCTCAAATATGCTGGTTCAGCCTCGACGGACATGGTGGTCAACCTTAAAGCTTCCACTTGAACTGGATTCTTACCTACCATTTTGTATCAAATCTCATTAGCATGGCTGCTTGGGTTGTACTTTCCGATAAATGGAAGCTCCAGGATGTTCAGGCTGGACTCAATGTCGTGATTAACATCATTTGCTTTACATTTATATTTATTTCGGCGTGGCTTCTTTGTCACACAAGCACCAAAAGATTGGCACGACAAGAAGATGTTCCGATCTCATCATTGTTTACTCTCACAACACCAGGAGAAGTCGTGGACATCGTTAGACTCCTCCAGATGAAAATTTTTCTCCGAGTTCACTTCCGCATTGCTCTTCAGTGTGGGGTCGTCATCTTCTTCAGCCTGGCAGCAACATTCGCAGGTCCAATTTCGAGATACTCCACTAGAGCCGGCGAGGCAGTACGCTTGCGGCCTGTACCAGGGTTGCAGGCATCTCGTACACTTTCGTGTGATGTGAATGATAATCTGGAGATGGCAAGAGGTCTTCAACCGGTTAGAGAGTGCTGAATTTCCATTAGATCAACTTTTGGATTATTTGCCCGACACGAGAACGGACTGGGTGTATCAGCCGGATGAGTGGAATTCGGTATACCTAGCCGACTGTGTGACCAGCCCGCGGATATCGATCGAGGTTGAGACAACGGGGAACTATACTGATCGTATACTCTACCTTTACGATCAAATACCGGCGCTATGGACGATGCTGACACCTAGATTTCGAAGGGATGACATCATCCATCAGACATGGTATGATGGCCTCCGAAACCCCGAGAGGGGTGTGTGGGAGCATGTGATGATCTTTCAATACGTGGATATGAGAAATGCAAATGAGAGTCACGAGCAAAATGCTTCAACACAAGAAACAACTATTTCGATAGGGATTTTGTACATGGAAAACGCCCCGGAATACAACTTGACCATGTCGGAAATTGACTCTCAAGACTGGATTTTCGGTATCGGACGTGCTTCACAAGCTTACTACTCGAAAGTCGAGTGCGACATTCGCCGAAATCGTCCGGAAGATAATAATCTCTGGGAAGCCTACCCACAAATTCGAACGAATTGTAACCTCGCGAGAGAAATGGATGCCTACTGGTCAGTAACAGCTATAGTGCCAGCAGATGGAAGTGGCGAGAAATTCGCAATCAACATGCCATCGTCTGAGGACCTGCTCCGCTTCTATCAGTCCTACATGATCGCAAAGGACACGTATTACCCCTTACCCTCCACAAAGCAAACAAGCGTGAGACTCAGCACTGTAGAACTCTCGATCGCCTTCATTGTTGTCTGCGGACTGATCCTTCTTGTCGTCATATATGGCCTGCTTCATTGGGTATTGATGAGATGGAAGTATAGAGAATCCCTTCAAAGTATCCCTGGTACCAAGGTGGACTGGGTGCTGCAGTCGATCCAAGAATCACGAACGGTATCAACAACACAAGTGGAATCTCAAAACCAGCTCGAAACAAGAATCTTCCCACTGGCACAAGTCCTCGAGTCAAGAAGAGAGCTTTGGCTTGGTGCGAATTACACCGCCAAACAGAATGCGATCGCAGAAGCATTTGGTAGAGTGTACTCTGCAAATCCGACCAGCGTCAACGAGAAGACTCCAAACACGGAAGCGGTTGATCAGGGTGCGCAAAACACAGAATTGAGCATTTCAGCATCTCAAGCCGAGCAACCAGGACCCGGGGGCACATCATCACATCCACCCAGCGAAGAGCGTCAGCAGCCATCGAAGTCCAAGCCAGCCGTTTCTGTATCCATTCCAGATATATGAAGCAGCAGAAACGGGAGTAGGGCAATATCGATACTTGGATCATTGGGTACTCGCAATACTGGTGTAATATTGCACTCTAATGCTTAATGTTGGCAGAGTGGTAGGCTGACAAGAATGGACGCCTCCCAGCAGTGAGGGGAAGGAAGGAGCAAATGTTTCATTGGAAATTCATACCATTTTCCTCAAATGACTATGTACCACATCGCATCAATAATATTGCAGAGCCATCGCTTGCCTCGCATTCGTGCTGGCAAGAGCTTTCCGGGTAAGCTTAGGTCAGGTCTTCATCATTCAGCATGATATTCTGCCTCAGAGCGATATGTGAAGACAACACTCTACCACTTTGTTCTTCTCAAGATTTTACAGCTGCTGGCTAGCGAGTGCTTTTAGCGCTCTAAAGGAAGTCGGCGTGCCCCGTCGCTCGAGATGATCAAGTGAGACGAAAGTCTGGTGTCATGATAAATCGGAAGGCTGAACCCCAGACTCATCTAGAGGCTTGGTCTACTTTCACCTCGAAGGTGTCATCGCAGCCAGGTTATTCATGAGTGGATAATTGAAGCCTCAGACATAAGCCTTCGCATCAAATTGGCGAGTTATGATTGACTTATGGACCAGGTCAGGAAGCGACGTGTTCTGGCTTCTGGTTGACGATGCTTGGCATCACCTTGGCAATTGCACCATTTGAAAACCACCCTTCTCCCGCCCAATCACAAGACGCAGATCCCTATCACGACATCGATGAAAAGGAAATTCCATTCACAGACATAATCCTGGGCATCACTAAAGACTCAAAATTCCTCACATGACGAAATGAGGGCTCTAGTATATATAGCCGCAAGGGACCGACATCTCCGTAAGGACGTCGCTTCTGCAACTTTTGCTGCCTCCACGTGGCACCCCGGTTGAACATCAATTCTGTCAGCGGAATGGCTGACTTCAAGGAACCTCGCCAGGACTCGGTCTCTCGATCTTCTGTGCGTAATGCAACAGATCATCAGGCCATTGACCCCCACAGTGGGGTCAAGCGAGGTCTTAAGACTCGCCATCTCAGTATGATGGCTTTGGCTGGCATTATCGGCCCTGGTCTGTTGATCGGTTCTGGAGGTGAGAATTAAATGAGTGGCAATCATCACAATGGAAGTCGAGTTGACCATCATGTAGGCGCATTGTCAAATGGCGGTCCCGCAGCCTTGTTGATTGGCTTTGGCGTCATTGGCATCATCGCTTTTTCAATCATGCAATCGCTTGGAGAGATCACCACCCTGTATCCCAGTGGGGGTGCGTTCACCAGTCTCGCTGATCGATTCGTGGATCCTGCTTTTGGCTGTGCTGTTGGATGGAACTACTTCATCATTTGGGCTGCTGTTCTGTCGAACGAATATAATGTCTTATCGTCGATCTTCGTTTTCTGGAGCGATAAAGTGCCACTGTACGGCTACTTCTTGATCTTCTGGTTCGCATTTCTTGGATTTCAACTACTGGGTGTTGCAACTTTCGGTGAAGCAGAATTCTGGCTTGCTCTGATCAAACTGCTCGGACTTACGGCCTACTTCATTTTCTCCATCATCTACGTTTCTGGTGGCCTTATCGGCCAAGATGGAGCGTTTGGATTCCGCTACTGGAACGACCCCGGAGCTTTTGCCAACGGCTTTCGCGGAGTAGCCTCCGTGTTTGTGTTCTGCTCCACCTTCTATGCCGGTGTCGAGTCGGTTGCAGTGGCTGCTACAGAGACAAAAAACCCCAAGGTTGCCGTCCCCTTGGCCATCAGACAGGTCTTCTGGCGCATCATTTTTGTCTACATTGGTAGCGCCATTGCGTTCGGCATGACATGTCCATGGAACGCCGAAGCACTGATCAATGGAGAAAGTCGAGCACTCAAGAGCCCGATGACGATTGCGATTCAAAATGCTGGCTGGGAAGGTGGCGTTCATCTGATCAACACTTTTATATTCATCACCTGTCTGTCCGCTGTGAATAGCTCCATCTACATTGGTTCTCGAACTGTTTTGTTCATGGCACAGGAGAAGAAAGCACCCAAGTTCCTCGGCTATACCGATGCTCGCGGAGTGCCTGTCTACGCCATCATCTTCACGAACCTGTTCGGAGCGCTCTCTATGATGAACATCTCCACTGGTGCCGGCAAGGCATATGGATACATTGTCAACTTGTCGGGAGTGAGCACCTTTATCGTCTGGGGTGCCATCTCCTTCGTCCACATCCGCTTCCGCTCGGCCTGGAAAGCTCAAAATCGAACCGAGCGCCAACTTCCCTTCAAGTCGCTGTGGTATCCATGGAACGCATACTTCGGACTGAGCGCCAACATTTTTCTGGCTTTAGTTCAAGGCTGGACGACGCTCAGTCCATTTGACGCTGGTAATTTTGTTGATGCATATATTCTGCTGCCTTTGTTCCCTATTATTTACTTTGGGTACAAGTTCATTTACAAGACGAGATATCATCGTGTGCATGAGATTGATTTGGATTACGGAAGACGACAGGATGTCGATGCAGTGGCTGAAGAAGAGGACAGTGGTGAGGAATATCAGACTGCTGTGAAAAGGCCTCTTTGGAGAAGACTGCTCAAGAACTTCTAAATTGACGTCATTTGAAATTTGATAGTGGTAGTATTTAATGACATCACATAATGCTTGATTGTCTATCACTTGGACGAGACTCTGACTCTTCAATTGGGGTATCTCATTTCAACATACAAAACTATTGTACACGCTTGCAACGCTCTCAAAATCCACTGTGCATCGATCTCGCCTAAGACACAGCCACTGCAGCACTAGAGCCTGCGCTCGCAGCTGAGGAAGCACCAGCAGAAGTATAATACTTGGTGTTCTCCAAGACGGCCAAGCCGGTCATGATGATCTCCTCGACGGCATCTTGTGACAGATCCCGATTTACGAAGTCAATGGCACAACTTCGCTTGAAGCCACAGTTCTTTGGCCTGATACGGGCAATCGGCATGCCGTACTCGTCGATGAGATAGTGATCCAGGACAACCCACGGAGTGCGACGTTGCCACGTCAACGTCCGTCCTTCGAAGGCAGGCGACGTATATGGTAGATCGCAGCACTTCCAGTTTTTGCTCTTGACGCTGATGGTGCCGTTGCGGGTGCCTGCTTCGATGGCCCGCGTCATGGGACTGAATCTGATGGTGCCGACCGGCTCCGTGGAACCCGGCGCTCGGAATGTCATGTTTGGTCGGCGACAGCGGAAGTCGATCTCGTAGAGGACGGTACTGTTGTCCTCGTCAAGGATCTTGGCCTGGCGGCCTTTCCAGCCTTCGTTCACGACATAGAATGTGCGAATTTTCTCATTTTGGAATTCGATGGCCTTGTCGATCTGCATGGCTTGGTGAGTTCGTGTGTTCTCAGATATCGATACGGCTCTACATACCTTTGGGGGCTTGCCTTCCTTGTTCCGACTGAAAAATCCGGGCATTTTGGTGTGGTGTGGGTTTAAGTTGGGCGTGATAAGTACTTAATGTGTGATGGGGATTTGGGTTGTTGAAGTTGTTGGTGTATGTTTAGGCTCTATGTTGGCTATGGGAGAAATAAACTGGATATATCTATGTTCTATACCGTTGTATTTATCTTTGAGCAGCTATAGCACTATGACGTACGAGCTTTGCTCTATGTCGATCCGATGCTTGAACCAAAAGCAGGCTTGGCGGACATCGGGCAGTGTGCCCCATAAGTGGAAAGATCTGGGCTTCTATTCAAGGATAAACCAATCACTGCCGCAGAAACAGTAGGCAGGGAAAGCCGAGCCTTCCCGTATTAGGGGTTATGTACCGCTCCAGGGCTCAGCGCCTTGAGCCCTTAACCACCCCCACGCGTCTCCAATGCAAAAGATCTTCAATGTCGCTACAGCCATTCTGACGTCGCACCACTGTAACAACATACTTTGATAGGTTCAACGCTACGACTTATTGTTGCGGAGTCGCGATAGCCGCGACGTTTATGTTCAAGCCCCCAAAGAGGCTGATAGAGAGGCTATGTCACAACTGGAACTCCCCGAACGATGCTAACCGCAACTGGGACTACGCTTCGCTGTAGTAGTGGACAACTATCGGCCAATGATCATTGAACGTTTCCGTCGGTAAGCTTTTATTCCTGCCTAAAGCGTGATCATGATCGATGTCAAACAACACTGAATCAGTGTACAGTGGCGGACTCTTCTGAAATTCACGATCAGACGGTCTGGGTTGCCCTCAACGGAAAGTCAGAAACCCTCGTGTAACGATGCCCGGGGTCCCGTCAGGGCGAGCTTGCGAGCAATGTCGGAAGCAGAAAAAGAAGGTAAGTCGATGACGAGTATGCTTCAGTGAGAGACTATCGGGCTGATAAATGAGCAGTGTGATGAGACAAAACCGACATGTGGGAGATGTAGTCGACTTGGAATTTTGTGCATTGGCTCTGGCGAGCGAAGGTTCAAGTTTAAGAGCGAGTTCGCGGGTCGTGAGCTTTCAAAGTCTTCATCCGCTAGTCCTTCCAAACGTTCTCCACCATTGGAGGTTCGAGGTTCACCAAGCAGTGATTTCACCATTTTTGTGGGTAGTGTCATTGATAGAGTTCATATCACATCGCAATCGGACCTCCGATATAATCTGACCTGGGCTTTTGGAGGCTATCTCCTTGAAGTACCAAGACGCCTTGGTGCCAATGCAGCTTTGGATGCTGCAGCAGATGCGTTGGTTACGTGTCACCTTCGCTTCAATAGTGGCGTAAGGGAGACCTCGAGGGAAGAACTAATCAAATACACATATGCACTGGGTCAGCTAAGGGTTATCTTGGATGATCCGACCATAGCCGCCAGTTCAAACACACTCTGCGCTGTAATGCTACTGACGTTATGCCAGGTTCGTCACAGACAAGTTGCGCAATGGGGTTCGCTAACACGTGCATAGTATTTCATTGGCTTGAGTGGGAGCTCCTTCACAAGCCACTCGGATGGTGCAGCACAGATACTGAAAGCTAGGGGTGGTCGATATGATGAAGAAGATAACTTCGAGACCATGATGCTTCTTTCATTAAGGGGTCCCATTGTAAGATCGTGGAATTATCAAACCAGGAATTGAGCTAACGAAACATCTGCAGCTTTTTGAAGGCCTTCTTCATGGAAGACACCGTTTTAGCCATGATGAGTGGGACCATCTGATAATGAACAGACTCGAGGACATGACCGACGTTGGTAAGGGGCTTATTTGTCTGGCACGAGTTCCAGACATCGCAGAGCGTCGCCGGTTCGCGGTCACCAATGGAGATGTGAACGCGTTTTCCGTTTTGCGCAAGGAAGCAGCAGAGATCTATGAAACAGCGGTCACTATTCTCACAAAGTTCCGGGTTCTCTATCTGGATGCTGCATCCAAGGCAACCACGACCAGTACCTCTGTCGCGAAAGACAGATCGGCATTCATTCCACGTGACTGGGTCCTATATGCAAACTTCCAAAGAATTTATGGCCTAAGCCTCTTCTCTGCTTGTTTTCTAAACTGTCTCCTTCGTTCTTTCAGTTCTGACGAAGAGGATGTGGGCCTACAAGAAGAAGTCGACAAATTTACGGTCGAGATCATCACTCTGGCATATGATTCAGAGGTATTTAGGCCTCTCGGCTCGTCATATATGGTACTGTGCCTCTTCATTGCATGGATCAGTAGCCCTGACCCACAGACAAGATCACACATCAACAAATTATGGAAAATCTGGCATACTGATGTACCAAGCATCAGCTCGTCAATTAACCAATTAGAGCACATTCCCATGGGCTCTACTCTTGCAGATGTCTTGGACGGGGTTGCCACCAAGTGGAAAGCACTGACGATGGAGGAGACAGAGTCAGATCCTCCACCTCTTTCCCCAGATACATGATTGTTCCGAGGGAATAACCCACAAGAGAAGTAGTGCACTAAGAGTTCCTCTGTCTGAAAATGGTGGGACTCATTGCCTGAGTTCAGCAGTCGAGGCGTCCGAGAAGGCTACTCGCACCGCGCATACTCGAACAGTCTATCGGAGAACTCTACCACTTTGCACGCCTCTGAATTTGGGGATGGCTGGGATGGGACTTCCCTGCAGTTGCACATCCAGACTCAGATCAGCGAAGTGAGGTGCGAGTCAACCAGAGGATCATACTCGAGGTTCAAGAATCAACACCTACCAAGGCACTGGGTTGATATGTGATGAAGCGCCAAGACTGGTCGGTATATCTGAATTTTGAGAAGGGTGCTATCTAGAATCACTACATTATGAAACACCTCGTCGGGACACCTCAATTTAAGGCTGATAGACCTCGAAATGGTCGGAAGACTTGATCAAAATCTCAATCGGTCAGAATCCGACCAGAAAGGGAAATCCTGGAAAAATTGCCCGCCCAGCAAATGTTTTGACAGCTCTTTGACAGCGATCCGGCAAAGCTTATCACGCCCTTCCACAAATTGTTATACCAGCTAGTCTACTTAAACTTCAACCCTAAACCTGAAGCCGGCCTGTCACTTCCTCTGCTCGATGCAGGCTGCCTGTGAAGCTGCATCAAGGAGGGGAATCTCTCGGGATTGCCACCGAACAAGTGAATGCGGTCTTGAATACCCTTAACGCGCTATGTAAGCTTCATTGAGTGAATGTTAAGATGGACTTGGGGGAGGATCCTATTAGGGTCGAAGCACGAATACCGCCAGATGTAAATGGCGGCCGCCTACAAGTGAACCATCTGAAGTCACAAGGGCGGTCACAATTGTTGGAAGGCACGCGTTATGTGAAGGCGTTCTTCACAATCGCTCCTGCCTCGCACGCTGAGGTGACTTCACCTGCCTCCCACCCGGGCTTCTCTCACCTTCTGACCACGCGTCACTTGACGGCTTTCTCACTCTCATCTCCTCACCAAAGAATCCCGACAACTGTATGAATTGATCTTGCCTTCCAAACACATCCCTCTACCCTTTTTCCAAACATGTCCTCGTTCAGCGATGATCTCATGTCCTCATTCAGTGATGATCAGATGGTGTCTCTGCCTAACTCATCTCCACCCGACAACTTCCTTGAGCGCTTGTCGAATGAGTGTCTCTTGCTCATCATTGACAAAGTGACCTTGCCCAAACATGCACACGCATACCCAAGAACCGACATACGATCGCTCAAGTCCATGTCACTTGTCAACAAGAAACTACGACAATTGTGTATTCTCAGCCTTTTCAAGCAACCAAAACCACGTTTGTTCTTGGGCAAAGACGAACACTCAGCCGAGCAGCATTTCAAGTCGTTTGTGAAAGCACCATTCTTTTCCGCAAACCTGGTGTGAGTTCGACACAATCAGCTGCAGATAAAAATCAAAAGCTGACAACGAAACAGGTCACTAAAGATGCGGATCGTCCCCTCCAACATGGCACCTTCAGATGACCTTGGCCAATCCCTTGTCGCTGCCCTCACTACTATGCCCAAACTTCGAGCCCTAAGCTTGAACCTCGATAACAAGGAAAGCACCACTTCCAACATAAGAGTAGCCTTTCGTGCCTCGAAGGCAACTCTTCCCACTGTCAAAGTTCTTGAAGCTTGCGAAATACCAAACGCCGCTTTTCTCCTCCGCGCATGCCCTTCCCTCCGGAAATTCATCACAGTGTATCCCAGCAAACAATGGAAGAAAACCTTCGAGGTTGTTGCCACCATGTCGAACCTTCAAGCGGTCTGGGTCACAAATGAGAAAGGCTGGAAACCCGGGCACTTTCAAGGTGAGATTCAAGGTACCGATTCTCGAATACTGATGAATGATCATTTACAGAGCTGTTACAGTATGTTGACAATGTTCGGGAGTTATGCTTGCAAGGTGACATCTATCGGTGCAAGCTTTCGGTGAGAATCACAGACCGTCCGCGTTCCAGAGCTGAGCTGACTAGTTTCAGAACCTTGCACCCTTTTTTTCTGATCTGATCGAATTGAAATCACTGTTCATCAGCACGGAGCAATGGGTGAACTACGCCTATTTGAGCAAGCGCTATTTTGATGATAGATATCTGGACGCGATTGAAGACTTGAAAGAGAACTCGCCGTACAATGAGGAGGCCGATATTGTCGCACGATCATTCTTCGCCGCATGTCCAAGTATCACTACTGTCCGGCTCGTGTCCCACATCACCGATACATTCCGATTTGTGCGTGAACAGACCGGTTCTGTTAATAACATCAGCAAAGGGGAGAAGGAAGACTGGCCATACTCTCACCGAGAATTTTCCGACTAAAAGCCATCAAAATTCAGTCAAGGATGGTATTGGGGCAAGTCTGTGGGTCACATACTTACGCTGGAGGCGGGCCTCGAGGACCACGAGCACAGTGAAATAAGCATGGAACCGTTCTCTGTGCAGCATTCGCTGACAGCGAGGCGGAGAAAGAACATGGAGCTATCTTACATTCATTCACTGGGCGACAACTTCTAGCTTGACAAGCATTGTACATGCTCGACTGGTCTTCACGCGTCCAAGATGAGATTTAAATCTCGCGAATTGCAGCTTATATCATGGTAGCATCAGATAGTGCAATAATAACGTTAGTCCATTTGATGGCACAATGCTTCATGATGAGACCTCTATGCCAAAAGGATCTAGAGCCGAGTCCTCATGTCTTGTGTACTCCATCCAAACTGCTATGTCATTCGCAATCTTCTCACCGTGGAGGTGCTTGACGAAAGCGAACATCAGATCCGTGCCAGAACAGACGCCGGAAGAAGTCCAGATATTCCCATCCACGACCCAACGTGCCTTGGGTATCCACTCGACTTGAGGTCTCCACAACGGAATGACCTTCCACGCCCCTTTGAAGGTGGTTGCCTTCTTCCCATCAAGAAGCCCCGTCCGCGACGTGATGCCCGCACCGGTGCAAACGGTAATGAGGTACTGCAGCTTGGGGTACTGAGCCAGAATGAACGTGACGATCGGATCGATGACCTTTGGGTCTGGCTTTCCCACGTTGGCCGGCTCCGGGTCGAAACAGCCCATGCCGCCGGGGACAATGAGGACGTCGAGTTGCGGCGCGGTCTCGAAGGTGTGAGTTGGCTGCAGGGTCTGCGACGTGGTGAACGGCGGCATGCCCATGTCGCCCGGCCATTTCCTGGGGAATGTGGACACAGGATTCATGGTCTCACTGATGATGGAGAGGCTGATGCCATCCGTGTGTGTACTGAGGACGTTCAGGACGTCGACGGGCCCACACACGTCAATCAGCTGGAAGCCGTCGTAGAGGACCACGCCGTACTTTTTGGGGTGGGCTTCCATGGTTGCAGTGCGAGTGTTGGGCAGCGGATAGTTAGTTGGACGGCAAGGATGCTTTCTTCCAGCGGATTCAGAGATGAGTCTTGGTACTATTGTAGAGTCATGAGGCATCTCTGGGAATATTGAACTGTTTATATATGAGTGCAATCGCGGATGATGACCATTGTGCGAGCCGTGGTTCACTGTTTGCCTGCTGACCATTTGTGGTCGCCATTCTACCAGCCGAGTCACGGAGATTCAGTAGCTTGCGAGGATTCAGGAAGTCAAGCGTTATCCTTCTCTAACACTGGTAGTCTTGAACCGAGTCGTTTCGTCACTCATCGGGATAGTGGCAGAATAAAGTGAAGTCGCGATACTCGGGTGTGCTGAAGGAAGCTCTCAGGGCCCACGAGTGTAACCCCTGATCGCGGATGTTTTCAAGTGTTTGGGTCCGTCCCCGCGCTGACGGGTATTCTTACCTCCCGCGATTTCCCATACGCCCGAAGCCCCCAAATCTTGCAACGGCAAAGATGGAGCGGCTGGCTTCAAATAGCTGACACGATGAACATGATTTGTCTCCGCATTCCCGAAGGAACCAGCTATTCGATTGGCCTATGATGCCCTGCACGAGAGAAATGACTCGAGCTCCAGCCGGAAGAAGCATGATATCACAGCTTACGCTTTGATCGTTCACGGCTGTTCGTTGCGCTTAAACCCAACCCCTTACGATGGAGAGTGCCAACGGTGGAGGGAATCTGAAGCGGGGAGATCGAGCATGTAAGCCTTGCAAAACCTTGAAAGTCCGGTGCAGACCAGACCCCGAGGGAAGTGATATATGCCGGAAATGCCAGCGGTCAGGTGCTCGCTGTATCTTTGAACAAGCCCGGCCACGAAAGCAGAGGAAGGTGGCTTCTGACAATGCCACCCAGGCCGTGGCGGCACTCGAGACCAGAATCACTGACTTGACTTCACAACTTGAGTTGGAACAGCACAGACGCAGCCATGATCATGAGAAGCATTCGGATAAAGATGTCATTGCTGTAAACAACCCTGTCAAATCTCAGAAAGTCTCCTCTAGCGCGGATAAGCAGTCCATCAGTCAACATGCGCCTGCCACTTCGAGTTGTGAGCCTCCTCGGCCATCGAAAAGCGGTCCATCCCATCAAGATGAACATCCCATTGTTAGGCTGTTGGGAGAGGGCCGCCTCAGTGACAATGATGCCACGCTTTTCTTATCAAAATATCGCCAGATGTGCGACTATTCACCATTCGTCTTGATCCCAAAGGACGCCACCATCAAATCGATGGCCCACCACCAACCGTTCCTCCTTCACGCAGTGCTCGCCATTTCGACCCAGGAGAACAGGGACCTTCAGAAAACATTTGAGTCGAGCTTTCGTGAATCTTTGCTACGAGCTGTCACTATCGAGGGTGAAAAGAGCATTGATTTGCTCCAGGCATTTGTCGTCTACTTGTCTTGGTATCACTTCTTCTACATCCCGATGAAGCAGCAGTTCAACCAGTTGTTGCAGATAGCTATCAGCATGTGTATCGATATGGGCCTTGACCATCCTCCCAGTGAAGCGGCCGCCCGCAAGATCGGACTCCAATTGGATCATCACTACACTCTAGGCGGAGCACAGTGTGACAGATTCTTCAGTAAGGCTGCCATCAGGGCTTATCTTGGCTGCCACTATCTTTCTGCGACCTCCTCGTGGATATGGCGCAAACCCAACAACTTGCACTGCACAGAATATCTCCTTGAGTGTGCTGAATCTCTAGCGAAGGACCCTGAGTACGCGACCGATCCACTCATACTCCCACTCATCCAGTCCCAAACACTCGGTGACGAATACCACGAGGCCTTCCTGTCAAGCAATTTCAACTACTCTGGCACTTCATGCTCAGCAAGGATCAAGGCCAAATTGGACGTCTTTCGCTCCACAATAGATGAGATCCTTCTGACAACCTCGGCCTCCGATCGCATCACTCTAATCCTCGCAACCCAATTCGCCATATCTCACGCTCACGAAATGGACCATTTGAATCCATGTCTGTCAAACAAGCATTTCGTCCCTGGGGACATCAAAGACTGGGCCTCGAACACATCCAGCCAGCACGAGGTCCTAATGGTATGTCTACAAGCAGCCACCGTATTCATCGAGACATTCCTCTCACTCCCTCTGACCGAGTACCCAAAACTCTCCGTTCTACAATGGTGGGGATTGATCTGCAACACCGCCTTCCTGTACCGACTCTCTCTGGGAACGCCAAAACTCCAACAATGGAACGTGTCGACCGCCCGTGACGCAGCAAGACTAGACCTGTACCTCGACCTCCTCTGTTACCGCATGCAATGCATCACGGGGTCGACATCCGAAATCGCCACAGGCAAAGACCTGTTCTCCCTCATGTGTCCGATCTTCAGCAACGTGAAGAACACCTACGAGCGCCTGAAGAAGCTACCCCAAAGCTCCAGCGCCATAGATGAGCAGCCTGTCCACGCAAAAGCCTTCACCGCAGAATTTGTTGCACCCGGCAGCAACGGTCCCGCCTTCAATATTGCCAGTACATCCGCACTGCACACCGAAGTGGTAAATCTGCACCCACATGATCTCACATCCAACCCGGCCATCCTGATCAAGCCGAGCTCCTGTCCAGCATTCAGATACTGGTCGCAAGCACCCGACCTCCCCGAGAATGATCAGAACGACAGCACGGAGACCGGCGTGGAGGACATGACGGCCCCTGCCCCTATCGACATCAACATGTTCTTGGACGTGACTTCCGGGAATGACGATGCGCCATGGTCATTTCATGACAACGTTAACTGGGAGTTCGAGCAAATTTGAACTGGTATCATTTGTCAGGGGTCGAAGCACGAATAACGCCCGCCAGATCTAAATGCGTCCGCCCGTTCACAAAAGACCTGATTCGGACGGCGAAAATTGCAATCTTTTTGCAATGACAAGTTACTTATTAAATAGCGAAAATCCTCACCTAAATTCTCGCGCTTTAGGTTCTTATTATTCTAGAAATAATTATCTACATTTCTTTAAACATATAGAAATATGTTCTTTATACTTTAGTTATACTATATGGGGGGGTTTTATCTAAAAGTACATAGTACAGTAGATATAGATGCTATCTTACAAACTTGTACAAAATTAGTACGCTAGGTATTCGCTGATACTGTATATTCCTGCTCAGACTAGAATATATATCTATATAGAACAAGGCATTGCAAGCTGGAATGATTCAGATATATCACAATACTCAGTGTCCCAAAATAAGCACAAATCCTCGATGCATACAGGCATGCCAAGCATGCCCTCCTGCCTAGGAATCACCCACCGAATACATCATAAAATACACCCATCGAACAGAACCTCCAACCCGACAAGATCCTTCAGTCCCTACATAACTAGAAACCAAAACTATCAAGCAAGCTATTTGCACTAGGTTCCTCGAATTGCGTAGGTGGCGGTTTGGTCGGTTTCTTGTTCTTCGCATCCTCCTTGTCTAGCATTGCGAATATGCCACCGCTGGGTCTGGACTTCTCCTCTTCTGCTGCCTCTTCCTCGTCGGCTTCTCTTTCGAGGTCGATGAATGTCTTTCGGCGTTGAATACCCATTGTCTGTGGCGACTGCGTGGGTTCGTCGGTGGTTGTTTGGCTGTTGATTTGTTTCGTTGGGCCCAGAGGTATGAATTCCCAGGTTTGAACGAGGAGAAGAGCGAGGGCGTCGCAGCCCATGCGTCGATAGAGACGAACACACCGCATGACGAAAGCCCATTCGTCCTTTGAACCGATGCCGGCGAGATTGCCGCGCCATTGGTTCTGTTTGACTAGCTGTGCACGTAACTGTGTGTACAGGGTGGCCATAAGTGGGTCGTTAGCAGCATAGCTGAGGCTACCGACCATCTGAGAACTGCTAGTGCCATTGTCGGAGTCGGCGTCGTCGACGATTTCACACAGTGGCTTGCCAATCACGTTGTGCAAAGGATGCACAAGCGATTGTGCTGCAAGAGAAGTATGACCAAGCGTGCTGTATGCCCAGCTGGCCATCCAACGACCTTGAATGCTTTCGAGTGCAAGTGGCAGAACAGTCTCATTCACCAGTCGTGACAGAACTGCTGCGGACAAGGCAGAGTTCTGTTGTGGATCGTTGTCATTGGTAAAGACGCGGGCAAGAGCGATAGCCAACTGAAGATCTCTCAGTTGATGTACACAGATATTGACGGCATCCCAAAGATTCCCGGCAAGTAAGAAAAACGCAGCTGCGTAATGGAAACGACGCTTGCTAAGCAGTGCATAGGCATTCTTCAGGGCACTCGATTTCCATCGAGGTTCATTGAAATTGTTCAAGAGCAGTTTCAGGGTGTTCTCCTTTTCGCGTACACCAATCGCCATGCGCCAAAGTCCTTGCAGAACATTCTTCTTACCCAGTGCCAGGTAATATAAGGAACAGTCCACGGGGTTACGATCTTCGTTGCGGGTGTATTCGGTGCGGCCAATGTTTTCCATCTGGAGGCGCAGAGACTCAACGTCGGACAACCAGCAGAACATTCCTGACTTTCGAGCAGCTTCCCAGGTCAGCTTACTTCCATGGAAACGGGTAACGAGATCGACCAGGATCTCCTGCGATGTGCTGAGTGAGGCAAAAGCGATAGCCCTCCAGGAGACTGGGTTGCTACCTGATGTATAAAGAGCCTGAAGGTAACGCAAACCATTGGCGTCAATAGACCGCTCGTGCTTCTCGAGATCCACGTAAACCTGAATGTCTCGGATAAGTTTTTCTTTATCGGCATTTCCCAGTTGATAGACATCATTTCTCTCCAAGTTGTCAATCAAATTATCAGAGATATCTGCAATTGCTCCTGTGTGGTCATTGTCGTTGATTGTTCCATTGATCCCATTGTGGAGACCAGCTTTCGATAGTTCAGCCTCGCCAGCAGACCCTAGTGCCCGAATCTCGAATCCAAGAAAGCTAGGAAGGTCATCTCCTTCACTAAAAAACTTTAGCTCGCTGTGCAGTCGGCGAATTATTTCTTTGGTCCGTTCAAATTTACCGAGCAATGTAAGGGAGGATAGGTATACCGGGTGAAATATTGGTAGGAGAGAGTTGAGCAATGACATGACGGAGGACGTTGAGTCATTTGTGAGTGCGGATTGTATTTCTCGAAGTGGCCGGGCATCTCTATTGTGATGAGTACTGGCGTAGCCTTTGAAGATGAAGAATTGAACACCTGATCCCACGACAAGATCACCACTCTTGAGCCAGCACAAGTCTGCTATTGATTGGGTTGTAAAGTCTCTGATGCGGACATGACGAAGATCTACCCACCCAGGCTCGAGATCAGGGTAGGCATACCTTACCTGACCTAGGACGACAATATGATAGTCGAAGCAAATGGCGACCAGTGGATAGCCTTGTGGTGAGACAGCCCATGCAAAGGTTTTGATTGTATCGGTCCCGTCCAATTCGTGTTCATATTCCCAAACACCAGTCTTTGCATCCCAGATACTTAGGCTACTGCTGTCCTCATTCACGAGCACCACTTTACCGTAACCACTGGCACTCATAGCTCTTGGTCTTTGGATGCTCGTTTCGAGCAGGGCTCCTGCTGCAAGTCGTGGTTTGGTTGAGTCTGGCTCTTCGAAGGATTTGACCATTTCGACAATACCATCTTTTGCCAACGCAGCAGTGAAGCCTAGTCCACTAGTTTGTTGAGGAGCTGCTGGATGATCATTAGAGTTCATATTGTCACATACAGACAAAAGTGAATTATGCTGGTTGTGCACATGGAGTTTGGCACCTCCTAGAGAGCGAATCATCTCCGGGAACCGGTTACCTGTACTTGGACGGCTATCATTTTTGGCAGGAAGGAGAAATTCCCATGCCTCTGTCGTGCGATCTCGATAGTAGCCAAGTATTACTCGACTGGTAAGAGCCCTCTCACTACCAACACGACTTTGAGTGATGCGCTCGGGAATTTGGCCGATTAGCTCAAGCTTTCCGAGACGCTCTGCCTTGGCTTCTCGGACATCCCATAGCTCCAGACCACGTGAATGCAAGATGACTGCATATCGACCTCGTGACAGAATCACGGCGTCTATGATGTCAACATTGGCTGCAAATGTACTTCTCCGAAGCAATGGAGCCGAGGAATAAGTATTCCTATGCTGCCACAAGCTGACATGGCCTTCATGGGTTGCTGAAAGCACCACAGTACCACGAACATTCCTTACAATGCGTTGTATAGGAGCACTATGACCGGCGAGTGAGGATATCAAATGAGTGCGACTCTTGCGGATGGCGGTGTCGAACAGATGAGTGATTTGACTGTCATACCAATCAATGTCACCAGCATAAGCATGCAGCAGGACGGACAAAGACGAAGGTTTCGAACCTCCTGCGAATATACAAAACTGGACGTAGTCATCTTCTGGATCTCTGAGTTGCGGCACTCTGATGTCCATGCCATCAACATGAGATATGTGAAAGACGGCAGGGGGGATCCTATTCTTATAACCGGCATTCTCCAAACCCCAGACTGACATGTGACCGAGCCCGTCGAGGACTATACAGATCTCTGGAGTCCGATTGGCAATTTCAATCAGATGTTCGAGTGCATGGTCTGCCACTTTGGCATTCGATCCCTGGACCGCCTTTTCTGTTGCTCTCGCAAAGTCTCGACTATCGATGATGAAAGCAAAGCGCCGTCTACTCATCGAGCCGACACTCAGCCTCCTCGGTTGTATTGAGTCATTCATATTGATGGTCCCCACCTCTTGAAGGACAGTCAGAGCGTGGGGATCGAATGTGGTGTATGCGCGAATATTGTTGTCGGCGCAGAAAGTGTAAAGTAGATTGTCGAGGCTCTGTTCTTCATGCCAGGGTTTTCGCCAGTGCAGGTTCGTTACGGTGGATGGGTGAGGCAGATAGCTGACGTCGAACCTGGTACCATCGGTCTCATAGGATAGTCGCCTCCAGATTTTGACCAGTCTATCATGCTGACCCACCGATGCAATAAGACCGCTGTCCGGGGAGAGATAAGCCATGGCAGTCGGATAAGCCAATTGCTGGTCCCATGTAATGATGGGTGTGCCGGAATCTGGAATATACCAAAGCACCAGCCTTGAGCCACCCAGAAGTAGCTCTTCGGTAGAGCCCCATGACAATGAAGTAATTTTGACTGTGTTGGGGTTCCTCAGCTCTTGAAATTGAACCCAACTGAGAACGCCTTCTTCCCTTCCTATCGGCCGATAAATATAGACATTGTCTGAATCACAGAGAGCAAGGCGCCCGGTGATCTCATCAAGGGTTATCGCGGTGAGGCTATCGACGGTATCGACGTAAATGGTCTGGAGAATGGTCTGGGGGCCATTGAGGATGATGGCTGCATTGCCGGAGATGTAGGCCTTTGAGGGGTTAGAACGATGGACATGGTTGCCGCCTTGTGGTAGTGAGTTGTAGGGTCCTTACGACAATACGTAGGCCGTCCCAATGCGCCGTGCTAATGGCTTGTCTCTTGGACTGGGGACGGCCTGGGAGGATAGCTCTCATATGGAGGAGCAGGGAATTGAAGGGGAGCAGAAGATGGCATGCATGTTAGGCTTCAAGACCAGGGAACGAAGGTGGACGAATTGAATTGTGTGCCAAAGAGCCGAGGGGATCATATATCCCAAGTACTGGGAGTAATTTCGTGGTTTGGCTTTGGTACTGATGATAATGGTAACGGCGTGGAAATGGATTGCTTGAACGAAGTCACATGTTGGCGCGTTGAAATTATGGAAGTGACGCGAGGCTCCGGGCGCGGAAGAACAAGAATTGGGGAAGCGACGTGGGGGCCGCTTAGGCTCCATTTTGGAGGGGGAGGCACGTCATACAAGGCTGCCTTCTGTTACAATTACCGACTAGGCCTCACAGACTGCATGATCAACGCCTTGCTACAAGCAACCATTTCACTTATTCATCATTCAAGACTGCTCATTCAAAGATTTAGACATCTCAAACTGAGGAACCAATCCATCAACACACCAACAATGGCCTACAAAACGTACGTTCCTCTAGGTATGGGGGTCCACAAACGGCTGATCTTTTGGACAAATCCACTAATGTCAGCCTTGCAGAGAACAACCCAGACGTCATGACAAAGCTTGCTCATCAACTGGGCCTTTCATCAGTTCTCTCCTTCCAAGATGTTTTCAGTCTGACCGAGCCTGATCTAATCGCTCTACTACCCCGTCCAGCAAGTGCCCTTCTCTTCATCTATCCAGAAACAGACCTTGTACGAGCGTACGAAGTTGAGCAGAAAGCCTCCGACAAACAATATGATGGTTGTGGTCCAGATGAACCCATCATTTGGTATCCTCAGATCATCACAAATGCCTGTGGTTTGATCGGCTTGCTCCACTGTACCACCAATAGCCCCGCTGCCGAATTCATTGAAGCAGACAGCGACCTTGACAAATTTCGCAAGGCCATCTTGCCTCTCAAGCCCAAAGAACGAGGCCAGTACGTGCACGACTCCGAGATCTTGGAGAAGGCTCATGCTGCGGCCGCGCAGACTGGAGATACCACCGCACCTCCTCTAGGTGAAGATCCCGGTCATGCTTTCATTGCTTTTGTGAAGGGCAAAGACAATCATCTGTATGAGCTGAACGGTTGCAGAGGGGGCCCTGTGGATCGTGGTGTTCTTGAAGAAGATGATGACGTTCTGAGTGAAAAGGCCCTTACCCTGGGTCCACTACCATATCTGAAGCGGGAGGAGGAAGCCGGAAATGGTGTGGTCAACTTCAGTTGTACTGTCCTCGCTCCAAGCTTCGTTGGTTAACATTGCCTTCTTTTCGGTCAATCATGTCTGGAGAAGAACCTCGGGACTCTTCAGATCCACCCAACCAAGGTTGGGCTCACTTTGCTTCCAGCCGAGCCTTTCTTGTACGATCGGAGAATATTTCTTGACATCCTCGATAGGATATGACAAGAATGAGATCTCTTCCTGCCGAGAAACACCGGTACAAGAGAACATTGCATGAACAGTCCTGCTCTCTCTGATGCCCTCTTTCGCGGTACCCAGTGCCTTTTCATAATTTCCTCCCCCGTGATAGAGACTACCGAGCATGATAAAGGCCTCTCCAACTTCCATTTCTGCATCCAACACTCCATGGTTGCCATCCGAGCCGAAATCTGGGGCTTTATCCCCCCACAGGTGACTTCCAGGTACCACTCTCGTTGCACCATTGGCTTTGGTCGTGTTGCAACCAGGCACAAACAGCCCTAGCAACACATCTCGTCCTTTCTCGTAAGACTCCGCTTGATTGTGACGAACATGATGGTTCTTATCGTCTCTATGCAACCCCTGAGCCGGCGTGCCAGGGGGAATGTCGAAAGTAATGGCAATCGACAACAAAGGATGACTCGTTGTGGTCAACGGCTTATCCCCATAATAATGTGTCGTCTCGAGCGCCAGAAAATGCTCACACAGGTCCTGATACAACGGATCGGCGAAGAACTTTTCCCGCACGGTTTCGCTCCTCCCTATGAGTCTGGTGACCGTCCTCGTCTGGCCCTGAAGCGCTCCGACCACAGCGCCATCGCTCTCCTTCTCCAGCCACGGCCGCACCTCCTTATCGGCCTGTTCCACGGTCGTCCGGTCGGTGAAGTCCGTCACAATCACGCAGCCGTCCTTCTCCACCGCCTCGATAAACAACGAAAGCGGAGCAGTTCGCGACAGTCGTCTGATCGAATGTGTCGACACAGAGTCTTCCTTGTCCGAGGAAGAAGAACTCCACGCGAAGCGGCGCGCTTGCTGTTGAAAGAATGCCATCAGCCAAAAATGATTTATTTTTCTTCTTCGAGCAGGGTTGAACGCAAGTCTGGAATATTGGTTTTTCGCAGTCGAGGCCCGCGTCCGTGGCCGGTGATTTATAGGAACTCACGACCAAGCCCGCTGACAAGCTTTAAGAGTGGAATACTCGGTACGACAAGATGACTCGAAACACAGAGGATTTCCCGCGGACGCCGAGGGGATTCGAGTGGACACGCAATATACTTTTTCCAGGACTAGGAATTCCGCAGACTTACAGCAGAAAAATCCCCCATGGTTCCGTTGCGGCAAATGCTTTTATTTATTTTGTTGGGTGTCAGAGGTAGTAGTGTCGTTTGGTTCGCTTATTGGTTTGGGGGCCGCGGTGTTTTCAAAATAACGTGCTGAGAGATTGATTATTTGATAGTGTGATCTCGTTTCTTCCTAGAATGAATAATAGTCACAGCATTTACGAGCTGGGAAAGTCTAAGGGCCAGCAGACTCAGACTCGCAGCGAGGTGCTGACGACGACTTTAAGCAAAATCGAGACTGGCGTGCCATCTGTCGTCCCACTTGGCAAACCACACGAGTCACGACGGTGCCCTGCCCGTGCGTGGGTTCTTTTGTCGAATCTATCCTTTTCCCTTACGCGTGCCTCTCCAAGACAGGCGGCGTCCAAGATGTCTATCAGTGTTGGCATGTTCATCTGCTTGGGACGGGGGACGCATCGTGCCGCTGTTCTGCTGGGAGGAGAGGTAGCGGAGTGGTGATTCCCTCGACATGCCGTTGGTTGGATGGGTCCCCCTGGCACATGGCGGCCTTGGCATACGTGGAGGCTCGGATAAATCGGAAACTTGGACGTCTGGTGAAGATGGCAAGAAGTGGGTTGCGCAATGCGAGGCTTGATGGGTGATGTGCTTGTAGGGAATAAAACAGTACTCGTGTCGACGATGAAGATTATGGACACCTATGGATTGCTCTCGTGTAATACCGGTCGGCTGATTGATGTCGAAAATTGCCTTCTGTGAGCGTTTCTACGTCATTGACCCATCGCTCGATCTAGCTGGGATCCGCGAGAATAAACTGTAGTCTCACGATTCTGGGGGGTTGATACGCACAACATGGTCAAGACCTATCTCCTCACTGAACCAGGCCCAGCAATCTTCCAGCCACAGGATCCCACTCCGATGCCCATCGGCGTTTACTTTCCAACTCAGCGCCCTTCTTCAATTGCGAGAGCTGCTCTGAGGCAGGATCGAAGAGCTCTCGAAGCACATCGGCCAATTCTTCAGGACTCCCAAATCCTTTACCATTGACACCCTCTTTAACCAGCTCCGGCCATGCTGTGAATCTACTCCAGCCTGCAACAGGGAGGCCAGCTCCAAACATATCGACAACCTTCATCGGCAGATCCACTCCACTGCTGCTGGTGTGCAATGAGATTCCCAGGTCAGCAGATCCCAGGAGAAGTGCATAGTCTTCAAAAGGTAAGAAATCGGTGTAAATGGTAACCATTTCTAATGCGTCGCTTGCCTGCAATCGCTGGATCTCATCCAGATAATGCTGTTTTTGAGGTCCTTTGCCTGTGATGATGACAATCAACTCTGGCAGATGCGGGTGAGATGAGGTCGCGCTAGCGGAATAGCTGCAGAGGGCTCTCAGCAAGAGTCCGAAATCCTCATCAGCTGTCCAAGACGTCGAAGAAACCAGTAGTCGAGCCTTCTGATCGATTATCTCATTGAAGTGCGGAGAAAGAAGCCGATACCTCTGAAGGAATTGTATACGATCCGAATTGCTCAATGGCCGATAGAGGTCTGCGGGTCGATCATGCAAAGTCAGGACAGGGCTATCCTTGATGAAATCTGATCTAAGGACTTGTGCCATAGCATCTGTGACTGCAAAATTGGCAGTAGCGAAGCTGGCAAAGTACTTTTCATATAACTTGGAGAAGGTGACCATGGGATGGTTCGCACCCAGCTTCATGGCCAAGATTGAATACCCAAAGTTGTGCCAATCCACGATAAGACGGGTTCTTCGAATCATAGACATAAAAGAGACCACAAATAGGGTTGGAATCGATGGAGGGTTCTACATACATTGAATGAGTGTCATGATGGATATTATATGAAGAGGCGTACCTGGACTAACAGCCATCTGGAAGGCCGTGTGGAGTATCCTAGGACTCTCCAGAGAAACCAGGTCTGGAGGATAACCTTCAAAGGACCCAATGCCAGAAATAATAGCTTGTTGGTTGTCTGGACTATTCTGGGTGCTGGTGGAATTGGTATAATTGATACATTAGGATGTGCGACCAATTCGGGCAGAGCATCAGATTCTTGACAGAAAGTTAGGACAAATCGATATCATTACAACGAGATGCTAATACCTAGATAACCGATCAACTGTACTGATCCCCCTAGTTTCACAATGCTTGATGCATGATATTGCATACGTGGACTCCTCCCAATGTCGCCGAGGACCAGGACTTGAACTGTGGATTGTTTGTCGAGAGGGTCGCATTGTGACGGCAAAGTCAGTAAGAAGACCGTAAATAGAGTTGATAGAATAAGGAGAATCGTTAAAATCATGGCTTCATCGATGCATATCAGTCGTACTAGGTAATATGGTTGAATATCATCCGTGTGGGAAGAAATGTCCAGGTAGATAGAATGGCAATGACGTCGACCAGTCAACCATGAGCACCAGAAACTCGAAAAAAGGGGGCCGATATGAAGACGGGCGAATCAAGTAAACATGTGCATCTGCTAGCCAGGGGCACGAGAATCCTAATCCCAATCTTGATAGCCTTAATCTTCCCCGTACTCGGACGCAGTACTTTACAACTTCAGCTTCCATCTTGACGACTGTCTACCACTGCCACCCCACCAAGTGTACTCAAAGTGCAGGCGCAACTTGTCTCCATCGTTCCTTCCTCATCAACGACTGCCCACGGCGACACGTGACGACCTCGACAATCTCATCCATGTCCAGCTGAATGTTGAACCACACTTCATCAATACATTCATCTCTCAACAGGCATTCCAACCTGTTGCTAAAGGGACCATGAGCGCGACTTTTACTCTGCCAGTGGCTTCTGGCGATAATTGCAACAATCATGCCCACAATCACGGCCACAATCACGCCCAGTCGCCCTCTCAATCACATTCCCATCACTCACCATCTCATTCACATTCCTACACCCACTCTCGCTCCCATCAACGCACCCGGGCTGGGAGTCGATTAGCTGCCCCTTCACTTCTCGCCCGGATTCCTTCCGAGTCGATCGTGCCCCAGGCTGATATGACCCATGACCACCCTCATATCGATACAAATATCACACATCACCAGCATATCAGTTATGCGCCTTCCCTGGATACTTCGTCTGCACCGTTCATGGCCAAGAGGAGGGATCCCACAAGTGCATCAACATATTCTCCCCCCGCCTTGACACGGCGGCCCACCACCCTACAACGGAACTTCTCTAAACCGACCAAGCTCCTTCTTCAAACCACCGAGAACTACTCTCTCCTCCATGGCATCCTGGCCGACCCTGATTCACGCCGCATCTTTTACTTCATGATTCTGAATCTGTTGTTTATGGTGGTTCAGTCAACATATGGCGTCCTAACTGGCTCTTTGGGCCTGATAAGTGACAGTATCCACATGTTCTTCGACTGTGTCGCCCTCTTGGTTGGTGTCTGTGCAGCGGTCATGAGCAAATGGCCTCCAAGCTCCAGGTTTCCTTATGGCTATGGGAAGATCGATACCTTGGCAGGACTAGGCAATGGCATTTTCCTGATGTTGATCAGTATTGAGATCATTTATGAAGCGATCGAAAGACTCTTCTCAGGTGCCGATGTCAGTCGTACTGCCGAGCTACTGGTCGTAAGTACAGCTGGGTTAGTGGTCAACATGATAGGGATTTTTGCATTTCACGGTGCCCACGATCATTCTCATGGGGGACATGGTCATGATCACGATCACGGCCATGGCCATTCTCACAACTCCCACGACCACGATTCCCACAATCACGCACACGACCATGACCATCATCATGACCATGACCATGGACACGATCACAAACACGACCATGACCATACTCATACCCATCAAGAGCTCGAAACTCCTCTGACTGCATCTGCATCTCCTATGAAAGGAAAACAAGCAGCAACCGGCCATCACCATGGAACTGAAAACATGCAGGGCATCTATCTACATATTATGGCTGATGCTCTTGGCTCCCTGTCGGTTGTGCTGTCCACTTTACTTGTTCGTTGGACAGGTTGGAGTGGCTTTGACCCGCTGGCATCTTGCATAATAGCAGTACTGATCTTTGCATCGACCATCCCCTTGATCACTTCAACAACAAAGATTCTTCTATTGTCACTCAATTCCGACATTGAATATAATCTGAGAAATATCCTCAGCGGTATTGCTCAGGTCAGAGGCGTGGTCGGATACACAGTTCCCAAATTTTGGCTTGAAGACATCAAAAAGGAACCTGGTCACCATGGCCATTCCCACGGAGGACATGATCATGGTCATTCTCATAAGAACAGTGATGGTGGATGTGATGGCAGTAACGATCCCACAGTCCTTGGAGTCATTCATATAATTGCAGCTCGGACTGCAGATCTCGAGGACGTTCGAGAGCGTGTCTCCTTATATCTTCTTCAACGAAAGATGGATATTGTGGTCCAAGTGGAACGCGAGGGAGAGAATAAATGTTGGTGTGGTGGGGGGCCCAAGACTGGGATATGAAATATATGAAACGACCGTTCCCCTATACCTTTCCTTTCTTTTGCCCGGGGAACAACTGTTCCTACTCTGAGGCCTACCATCGCATTTTGGTGATACTCGATTGGAATTTTGCTGTGAGGAGAAATACCTGATAGATCAATATACCTATGCTTGCACATCTGTGATATTATGAACCATTTCAAACATGATTAGAGTGCTCCTGCTCTTCACTTGTGACAACTTGCATATTCATGTATCGAATGTCACACTAGATTCTGCACTGCGTCCTCTGACACCATCTAGTAAATGCTAGGGTGTGTAACATCATCTCTGAAGGCGCTGCTTGCCAGTACCATGCGGATGGAAACTTGTATTGGCCTTCTCTGTTCCGGATCAAATCGAGCAAACCAGTCAATTAGTCTCGAGTATCTTGCCCCGAATCTTTCGCATTCTCTCCTCAATGGCTGTGGTCTAGGTATGATACATTGTTTTCCCACCGTAGGTATCCGCCACGAACACCCTCTGCGTCTGTCTACCCATCTTCAATACACCACCACCTCCACCACCATCCAGCCCCAGTTAGACACGAGATCTCTTCCCTCCCACCACAGCCCCATCATCAATCAACAAGCAAGACCAAAACCCCACCACCCAAACCCCAACCCCCGTCTGTCATTCAGCCAAGCAATCCCATCCCATCCCATTCTATCGCAGAACTCAAACCAACACCCAACTGCCCCACACCCACAGCGCCTCAGCGAGCGCGCCGAGAAACAAGACCAGGAACCCGAGGAGCAGACCGACGCCGACGCGCTTATGTGTATCCCTGCGCCACCAGACCAGCACGTCGCCGCCGTACTCGCCGACGCCGACGCCGTCGCCCTGCGAGATGCTGCGGCCGGGCACGCCGAAGAGAATCCACATGGTTGTGGCGAAGATCGCGGCGAGGACGGTGAGCGCCACGACGGCGAGGATCCGGCGCAGTGAGAATCTGTAGTGCAGGTAGAGGGTTGGGGGCCCGATCGGGTGCGGGAGCGAAGGTTTGCGTGATGAGGAGGAGGAGATGGTGGTGGAGGAGGCGGATTTGTCGCGCGAGTGTGAAAACGGTTGGAACGGCATCCGTGGGATGGTGATGCTTGGGCGTGAGAATGGGCTCGTGTAGTTGTGCGATGCCGCCGTGCTGACTTGGCGCGACAGGTTGCCTGCTGCTGTGCTTGGTGCGATGGTTGCTGCCGTGGGGGAGATGTCGTTGTTATTGTTCTTGCTGGTGAGGCCCAGACCCGCGCTCAGACTGTGGCTGTTGTTGCGTGCATGCATGAAGCTGAAGGCCACGGGGCTGTCGGCATCGTCCAGTGCGCTTGGCTGGTGTGACATGATATCACCGCCGCCGCCGCCGCGGTTCGCACGATGCTGCTGGTGGTGGCGGCCCGATTGGCCTGTGTACTGCTGGTTGCGGAGCCAGAGTAGCCAGATCTTCCGGCGACGGCCGAGTGCGGGATGTAGTAGATGACGTGCGAAGTCGGCGCGGTCAATTGCTCCTGTCGAGGTGTGTTGGCCGTGGCCGTACCAGCTCACGGTATTTGGGCTGAAGCGCCGATGGGTGTGGATGTTGTCGTTTGTCCCGGCGACGTTGGAGAGGCTCGCATGTGAAAGTTGGCGGGCGCTGAGGAGTCCACGGACAACACCGAGGAGATTCGTGGAGTAGGTCTTGTGGATGATGTTAAATAGTTGTTCGTCGTCGAAGGTTGCTTTGTCGGTGACCTCGATCTCGACCGTCACACGGGCGGCCGGATGACGACCGAGACGTAGATCGAGGAAGAGGATTTCTGGGGCAACAGGGGATGGGAAGCGGTCCGACCTGGATGTCGCGAGGCCTTGTCCAATACTGTGAGCGCTGGAGATGGTGGGTTTCGTCGATAGGGGAATCCTTGGTGGTTGGTCCTTTTCTTTCATGGCTTTGCCCTTCTCATTTGCTACTTCATTTTCTCTCTTAGAGTCAGTAGAGTTTAGTTCCTTGTTGACATGTGATAGTGCTTTGGATCGACGGAGTCGACGGGGAGTGACGACTTCTGGAGCAGGCTGATCTTCAAACTCGACCATGCTATTCTGTCGAGCTGGATAGGGAGTGCTGACGATTGACTCTCGGAACAATTTGTGGTCATTACTGGCATGATTGATGACTAGGTCAGCTGGACGAATCGTAACTCGACGAGCTGGATGGCGGGCGGGCGCTGATATCGCTCGTGACAGTTTCTTGTCGAAGTCGGTGATGGGATTTGAGCGGAGACCATCAAGTGAAGACCCGACATAGGTGTTTGTGGAATCTCCCATGTCACTGCTCATTTTGCTGATACGAAGCAACCCAAAGCCACCCGTGGGCGTGGGCATTATGTCCATACCCTCATCTCCAGGGATAATATCAACAACTTGCAGAATATTCTTGTTGATAGATGCTCGTGGTGAAATAGATCCTTCAGAGGTGGCTTCTGAAACCGCACTCAGGTGACCTTCCAGTGCTTGTAATGCGTCTTGTGGTCCTCCAACAGATCTCTTCGTCTCTTCTAGCGCCTGGTCCTCATGGTCGGGTGTGTTCACATTCATGAGCTGAAGGCCCACGCTAAGTGGCTTTGGTACCAGTGAATCATCACGGGATGCTGGACTCTGAGAAGTATAGAGTTTCGGAATGGAGCCACCTGAACCATTGCTGTGTTGCACAATAAGTGGTTTGGCAACACGTACACTGCTTGCACGTTGTAGAACAGGTTCCCCATCACTCGAGTCATCCGATCCCGAATCATAAAATGATCGAGGCTCATCTGGTCCAGTGATAGGGCCAATCACCAGGCTTGTCACCACATTAGCCTGTTCTTGATCTGGCAAACCAAGGGTTCTGGTCTTGGGATCATATAAAGGATCAACTGGGCTAGAAGCCGTCGTGTCTTTCGAAACTTTTCTTTGCTTAATCTTCTTTTTTAGCACGTTCATCCTCTTCGCTGCTCCTGGAGTTGGATTGGAAACCTTGGAAGGTTTGATTGCTTCGCTTGCTTCTGATTCTGTGGTTGTTCTTGACCAGCGGCTGACCTCTTGCGGAGGATTATGGCCTTGCCGTTCCTGTGATTGTCGATTAGTCTTGGTCATTCCACCTCGCCACGATGGTAAGATGGACAGCCTTGAGCTACGTGGAGATTCGTCTTCTGACATTTCAGAGCCCCTTCCAATTGATGCGACTTCGCTATGGAGTGTAGAAGTTCGACTGACGATGACCGGCTTACGGCCAAATGGTCGAATGGGACTTGTGGGATTGAACACCATGAAGAAGACTGTTCTCCGAGGATAAGAATGATGGGGAATACATGATTCCGATCTTCCGAAGTCTTAAGCACTTCCATCGGGTAGTATTTTGCATGCGGTGGCTCCCTGGAGGCTTCTCAAAGAATATTGCCGTTTGCGGAAATGTTGTTCGCAAAAAGTTGTCATTAACGCCCTCGGTGCAAGATATGCAGCAACATGACATATAGAGGAGACCTCCATCGGGTGCGGACAAAGAATTTTGAGGTGCATTTACGACGTAATTCAGGACAACAACACTGCTCGCAGTGATGAGGTACATGGTACCTAGGAGGGTGACACAAATAATCCACCTCGAGCCGCATTCCAATCTACCCCCGAAACTTGCCTTGGCAGAAAGGACAAATATCGAACCTGTTGAATAGTGCTTGACTCAAGCTCGGACCACTGTTCTCCTCAATCCGACTAGGGTCCAGGAATTGCTTTCCACATTTGGCGCAATACATGGAAATGCCTGGCTCTTGGATAGCCACAAAAGAAAGACTGCACCGAGTGAAATAGTGGTTGTTTGTACAAGTAGCCGAGGCTGCCGAAGTGAAGGTGATTGGTGCTGAGCATACTTCACAAATCTCACGAAGCCCCTGACCATTGGTACCTGCCAAGTTGAAATCTTCCGCAGGGACGTCTCGTGAAATGGGAGCGGTCACATCTGCGGAGACCATCCCGATGTTCGATCCGGGTATCAAGGATTGCTCGCCATACTCTGCGTCCTCTCGTGTTTCCATCGAATTCAATTGCATGTGTGCCGAGGCTGCCCATTGACTCAAATGTGCAGATGCCATAAAGTGCAGCTTGACCAAAGAAATAGCGTTTGCCAGGATCTTTCTATCAAGATCTATCCGAAGCAAGTCCATTGAAACCCCACTGAGGAAATTCAGAATATCTTCAAAGACCTCTATGTCACTTCGTACTCGCTCTGCAGCAGATGCCGTCAGAATCTTGAAAACAACCGTTGTGCGCTGTCTAGATGGCAAACAAGACTCGATCATATCGGACGGATGTAGGGAGATACAGGCCGCCGCCCTGGTTCGATCAGGATGGTATACCGCGCCCCAATGCCGAACTAGAACTCTTCCGTTGAGGTTGTATTCTTCATTGAAATCCGACTGTGGACCACGAATACTTGACTCGAAGAGCTCGGTAGTGGGTGACTGGTTGACAAATAGAGGCTCACAAGTTTGTGATTCGTCAATGGTGACCGTTATACCATGGTCATGTTCGGTGATAGCTGCTGACATTTGAGCATGACTCTGGAGACGAACTGAAAGGTAGCGCTTCCGAGTCAACGCACCGAAGCTCACTCTAATCTTCAAGGAAGCAGATATTGAGCTTTTCTCGTCGTCTCTGTCATCAAGAGTCCATTCCGTTGACTCCAGTCTTGTAGTTCGCGATGTTGTAAGAAGAGCTGTGCGTAAGCTTGACATTGAACGGATGTCTTCGGGTGTTACACTCTCGATGGGCATCTGATATCGAGCGAGAAGCTCGAATGACCAGCCACGAGGAACCGAGTCGGTTGTCTTGCATACCTGATGGATGGATATTGTATAGGTGTCGTCAGCAGTCATGAGCAAATGTGGACTCCACTGGCCGGTACCAAATTCTTCACTTGCGGGCAGCCATGTGAAGCTGCGGATTCGCTGTTCAAGTCTTGCATGACTGGGCTCATCTGGTGGTGGATGGCCCTGGAGAAAATGGTTCACGATACAGGTTCTGTTCCATTCACCCAGCTTCCCATTGGTTTCCCAAATTGACAGTAGCAAGTTGGATGTCAAGATAGTCAACACGCTTCTTCTATAAAGGCCTAATCCCGGAGGCGACCAGGCTAATGCAGCCACGTGTGAGTCTGACAGTTCTTCGCCTACTGAGAAGAGTTTGATAGTAGCCAAAGGCTGCTTGGGCCATTCTGACAGGTCGAATTGATTGGTACGAAGAGTGAAGGTATGCCATTGCCGATGACCGGACAAGTCTCGTGTTTCGGAGTCATGACGAGGCGTCAAAATGTGGACCCCCTCACCTGCTGCAATGGCAACCCCTTCGGAAGACCACGTTATGGCATTCTTGCATAGAGGCCAGACGGGCAATTCGACAGCATCCCAAGATGCTCGTTGGTGCTGCATGGTCAACTCACACCCGGCTTACCTCATATAGATAAATTTCGATCATTGCCGGAAATGACCAGTCGCCCGGGAATTTCGGAATCGACAGTCGTGTCTCCAAAACTGCTGGCTCCACTGATATTGCTGAGATCAAGTGAGAATGCGGATCAGGTCCTGTTACGTTCCGATTCTTAAAGTTGAGATTCTATTCGCTCTTTTGTTAGGTGAAGTGATGATGAATGTCTCTTTTTCATTTTGCAAATTCGACTGGTCACGACTTTTTCATATGATCACGTGAATGACGCCAAGACTTGCAACTTTGTTCGAGCCTTGCGTGCATTGGCCTTGTTACAAGCCAACACGCTGTAATAATAATGAGGCAATCCCCGTTGAAGGAGTTACGAGGTGCTTGAACGTGAGTGAAATCAAAAACACATGGCACAAGGCTGAGGCATCTGTCGGTTGACAAGGATGCCAGCTACTACATTGAGCCTAGCACGCGGGGGTTGAGAAAAGCTGACGTGATGGAGATCCTCCATCGACAATCTTGGTATTGGAAAAGGTCAATTTCGGGTTGGGGAGACATGTGCTTTGGTTTTGATACCCCGTACAATGATTAGACCTCTTTCCGGGGGTTTTCCTGGATCAAACGCCCAGTGATTTTCCTACAGTGAGATATGTACTCCGTACTTGTCAGCAAGGTGGACACCAAAGAGAATTGAGGTACAAGGTACTCCTCGCTCTTGGGTTGAACAACACATGGATTGCACGATTCCCCCGAATTACTCAGTACGAGGATTCGTAAAACAAGAGAGACTTGGAATAGTGCCGGAGACTGTCAACCATGGCGCGGTCATGTGACTGGCTCCATCACCAATCATGTGAGTGGGGCCGCATGCAGATTTGCGCTACGGACATTCCAATTTTAGATCCTTCGGTCACCGGCTGTGTAATGTCTTGTAAACCTTGGTATTGGGTGTCAGGGGCGATCGAGGCATGGACGTGTCGACGACCTTGATCGCTCTTTCTTTTTGATCGTTAGCCTAGTGGTCAATCCATTTTTGGTGACTAAAGGTTTGAGGCTAGGCAGTAGGAGGATAAGCTCCTTTGCTGGCGTGGCAATCGACCCAATGCGGCTCCGTGGCTAATGTACGACTAACGTATTGTCTCATACTTTATTTGTTGATTGCTCCATTCTGGGGCTGAGGAGCGTCAGATTCAATGGATCGCGTTGCTCACCTCCTCGTCCTCGAGAAATTACAATCTGACAAAGTTAGGTAAAGTTGGTACTCGTACTTGGAAACTGGCCCTGTGCGGGTGTGTGAATCCTCTTGTCCTCCCTGGCTCAAGTTGGGCACTCTCACTGCATTGCATGAAACTGCGCCTTGACACCGCGCCTATCACATGAATTGTCCCCCTGGCCAACCATGGCTTGTGCCTAGACAAACTCTCCTCGCGTACCACCCAGAACCCCCGGCCTCCATCAATAATATGATTCACTACTTGACACCTTCCATTCTCCCCCCTCCCCTTTTCCTTCTGAATGTTCATATTATTTCTCCTGCCCTTCGTTTGAAGTTTCTGCTATCCTGCACTTCATCGTTGCAGAGGCATCTTTACAATGGCGGCGTCCATATCGCCGTCGGTCATCGTGACCCAAATCCAAAACTATCTTGGTACCAACAATGAGACCACCGACGCTCTTTTCAAGTCCGATGCGGTCACCGCCATCGGTACCTACAAATGGTTCATCGGCACCGGCATCTTCGTCGTCGTCAGTGCTATCCAGATCATCAAGTATATGCTACGAGACCGTCCTCCCCCAGGTCTCAAGCTCATCCCCGGTCCTACCTCCACCATCCCCTATATTGGACGCGTCCATGATGTCGACCCCATGTGCCCGTGGTTTGCCATGAAGAAGTTCTGTGACGAATATAACGGTATCTTTCGCTCCACCATCTGCGGTGAGATGCACATCTGGATTGGTGACAACGATATTGGCTACGATCTTCTGTGCAAGAAGGCAAAGATCTATTCTTCTCGACCCATGGTGCCTGCTGTTCCCGGTAGCGACTCCCAAGGTCAATACCTTCCTCTGTTGGCTCATGACGGTAAGCTCCCCACTCTCCCCCTCACTGGTCATGGCACTTTTCTAACGAAATATAGATCACTGGAGAAACCAGCGCAAATTCGCTCACACCGTCCTTACCCAGGGCTTCAACCAGAAGTATTATGGCTATGTCAGTCATGAGGCCAAGCGATTCTTGTACAAACTTCTCGTGGACCCCAAGGACCACTTCGCCCTGACCGATCGTTTCTGCGGCCGTATCAGCGCTCGTCTCGGCTATGGTCGACCTGAATCTGCTGCTGCCCACTGCAAGAATGCTGGCGAATTTATTCCTCAAATTTCCCCATCCGGCCCAATCACCAACCTACTCCCCTTCCTTGGTAGCCTCCCTGAATGGATCAACCCATCCATTCGCAAAGTCCGCGAGCGTCGTGAGAAGGAAGAGAAGCTCTGGAAAGGTCTCATGAAACAGGTCAGCGAAGAAGTGGAAAACGGAACTGCTCCTATCAGCTACGCAAAGACATACTTTGAGCGCAAGTCCCTCGAGACTGGCTCTCGATCTTTCGGCTTCGACGATCATGAGGCTGCTTATGCCGTTGGTATGTTGGTCACTGTCGCTATTTTCACCATTGGTGGCCCTCTCTATTGCTTCTTCCTCGCTATGGTCCTCCACCCTGAATGGCAAGAAAAGGTCCGCAAGGAATACGACGAGGTCATCGGAGATCGTGTCGTCGAGGTCGGAGATGCTCCTAACCTACCAATCCTCAGAGCTGCCATCAAAGAGTGTGTCAGATGGCGACCACCAGTGCCTCTGGGTGTCCCTCGTCTTCTCGAGGAAGATGACGAGTGGAACGGTTACTTCCTTCCCAAGGGTGCCGTTATCCATGTCGTCGATCTCGCTCTCGCCCGCAACGAAAAACTTTACCCTGACGCTGAGACCTTTAACCCTGCCAGATGGCTCGAGAAAGAATATCCTACCTACAAGGAGCCTCTGACCGAGCACCCCAGACTCATGGGTCACCACGGTTTTGGTATGGGTCGTCGCATGTGTCCTGGTATCGAAGTCACTGAAGCCGAGTTGCTCGTCGCTTGCGGTAGCATTGTTGGCTGCTTCGAATTGAAGCCATATATGGATGCCAATGGTCAACCCAAATGGCCTGCAAGCTACGACTTTACACCCAACTTGATTGGTGGACCTCTACCTTTCGAGATGGATGTCAAAGTCCGAAACCCAGAGAAGGCTGCACGCATCAAGGCTTGGTACGAGGAGAGTGTTGCCGACGAGATGGCTGGCAAGATCGCTGCTGGTCTGTAAAGAACTGGTCAACTATGTTTGATTAATGAGAGCACACTTCGAGTCCATTCTCGATGTTCGCTTGTTTGTTATCACCGTGCAAGGCGTTGTTGGACAAGTCGGGGTTGTCAACCGTGAGACTTGGCTGTGCACTAATGCTCCAGATGAGGTGGCTGGACCTGGCTGGCGGTGCCAATATATTGGGGGACAAGTTTGTACAGTGAAACCCTCTCTCTGACAGGGATGATGGGCAGTGGAACGACATGCGCTCCACAGGTAGAATACTTTGAATGATCTTTTGGGTAGAGTGAATTTGACGAATCTTTATCTCTTACAAGACCCATTCCATTATTGAAAACCACATGTGTTGTCTTGTTTATGCATATGCTGTAACACCTGCTTCTGTCGTCTCACAATGTAACTCGTATTAGATTAATTCGAATGAATTGGATACCTGATACCTTGATCATCGTTAATATTTAATTGTGACAACAGCACGACGCGTACCTTCATGTGCGAGGCATGAATTATCACTACGCTGATTCGCAAGGGCAGCTCGGCTTAGCGGGACAAAGCCTTTGCGCAAAGCTTAATCCAACAGAACCAACCTCGATGCTCACGGCAATTGTATGCAGTCCCACCAAAGGGGGGGTTGGGAAATCATCCGTCTTATCTGCCATGATCGTTTGACCAGTGGCCAGACCTCCAACCAATTCACCTTGCCTCTGTCCTGTTACATTGGCCCCCGGAGCATGCTTAACCTTGGCCACGAGCACGATTTGATGGTTCCACATGTGAGCTTATCTCGATTGTGGTGTTCAATATGCACACCTAATGAGATGCAGGTCGTGGACTGTTAGAATGCTGGGCGTTGCTACATCGCTGCACCAGTGGTGGGCCACTACTGTTGGCCGTCTCTCATTATTACAGTGCGGTCTGGCTTTTGTCGCTTGAAATGTTCCTGTCTCGACCCTAAGCGAACTTGTTTTCAACAGCTTAAAGTTGGGCTCGTCCTGCCACAACTAACACGAAACATTCCGCCCAACTATAGAAGTTTGGTACCTTCATACCGGTGTCGATCATTTCTTTTAGGGAAGCTCGTGCACATTGGGTTCGAGTCGTTTCCTGCGCTGATATCAACATCCGTCAAATCACTCGAGGTCCGCTTCTGTTGTCCCAGATGGCTTTTGGGCGCGATACGCCCTCGGCGGTGGGACATGGCGCCAGTGAGAAGACCTACACGTATGACACCGGTGACAAAGCCAATTTCCGATCCAACGATGAAGAGTCACCAGCGTCGAATAGTCCGCCCGACGATTACAATGTCATTCAGGGTGACACTGCTGGTGATATCCAAGACATGCTTCGACTTGGTAAGAAGCAAGAGTTCAAGCGCAACTTCAATATCCTGTCCACCCTTGGTTTCATTAGTATATACATGGCGACCTGGGAATTCGTCTTGGTTTCATTGGCCGCAGGTCTTATCAATGGGGGATTCGGAGGTCTTTTCTGGACGTTTGTGGGCACCGTGACGTGCTACAGCACCGTCGTGTTGAGTCTTGCTGAAATGGAGTCCATGGCACCAGTAAGAATCTACCCGAGTCTATAAATTCGATCGTTGGCGGATATGCGCCGTTATCTGCATCTTGCGATCAGTGGTCGTCAATGTGCAATATGCTAACCCTCATTTTATTTCTCAGACAAGTGGTGGACAATACCATTGGGTGTCGGAATTCGCCCCGCCCTCATGTCAGAAGTTCCTCAGCTACTCGGCCGGCTGGATGAGTACACTGGGCTGGCTGGCAAGTGTTGCCAGCTCGGTATTTGTCTGCAGTACTCTGATTCAGAGTCTGGTTGAGATCTCCGACGCCGAATTTGTGTTCCCCAATTGGCAATACACATTGATCAGTATTGCTTTCCTGGTGGTCACCATCGTCTTCAATACCTGGGGCGCTGGAGTCCTCCCCATGATCGAGACAGTCAGCTTATTCGGCCATATCCTTGGCTTCATCGTGACGATTGTCCCACTTTGGGTAATGTGTCCCAAAAACAGCGCGACTGATGTGTTTACTGTCTTTGTCGACAGTGGAGGCTGGGGAAATGTTGGAACGGCTTGTCTTGTCACCCAGGTCTCTGTCCTGTACTGCAATCTTGGTAGGTTAAGCAACATCAATCAGAATTGGAGGACTGGGCTAACCTCGGGATACAGGAAGCGACTCGGCATGTCACATCTCCGAGGAAGTCGAGGACGCAAGTTTGACTGTACCCCGTGCCATGTGGTGGTCCTTCCTTATGAACGTCGTGATGGGTATTGCAGCTCTTATCACAATGTTATTTTGCATCGGCAGCCTGGATGACGCCATGAACGCGGAAGTACCGTACATCCAGCTCTTCATCAACTCTGGGTCCAATGCATTGGCCTACGTTCTCACCATTTTGCTATTTCTCCTCATCTTCAGCGGGAACATCACGGCCTTGGCCACAACAAGTCGTGAGGTCTTCGCATTCTCTCGAGATAGAGGCTTTCCATTCTCGCATTGGCTCAGCAAGATTGAGAAGAAACGCCTTGTTCCATTCAACGCGGTGTACGCCACAGCCTTCTGGTCTGCAGTTCTCTGCTTGATCAATCTAGGCTCGACAACGGCATTCAACATCATCATTTCACTCACGCTCTTGGCCTTGCTCTCGACATACATGCTGTCCATTGGATGTGTCTGCCTCAAGCGACTCAGGGGAGAACGTTTGCCAAAAGCACGTTGGAGCCTCGGTAGATACGGGCTACCCATTAATTTCTTTGCCTTCTGTTACTGTGGGTTTGCCATTGTCTTCAGCTGTTTTCCAAGCACCCTGCCGGTGGATACGAGTACTGCCAACTGGGCACCAGCCGTGTGGGGTGGAGTGCTTCTTCTGAGTGCCATCACATACTTGCTCCATGGCAAGAGACATTTTACAGCACCGGTTGTGTTTGTTGCAGGTATGAGAGTTGGTGGTCTGCAAGAGGCTGGATAGAGGAGGCCAAGGCAAGAAACTGGGTGAAAACATCCGAATAACATTGCAAGCTTCAGTCTAACTACGGCACGAGACATAAGCTTTTGTGGTCTTGATTGTTCCAAACGGAAAAATCTGTGTGACTGAATCCGTTTCCTTGCCCTCATGCTTGACATCGTCGCTGAGTCGTACTAGCAAATAGTGGTCACACTTCAAGTTCTTCTCTCCTGTGCATCCCTGGTCCACAGATCATAGATTGGTGACAACACCCCACTTCAACCCATGATGCAATGCAGCAGAGCAACTTTCAGCCTCAGATGCTTTTCCTCGGAATATCTAACCAGCGACGACCACTTTCGGACACTGGCAGCCACCTGACTGGGCTCACAACCGGATCCATCTTGAGCAACAAAGAGGCTCAACAAATCAAGACATCTCAAGCTCTGGCTACTTTCTGGGTTTTGGACGAGGTGGTGCAAATCCTCGTATTGAAAGGGGGCCAGACTTTGCTAGACCAATCAAGCGAGAGACATCTGCAAGCCTTTGGGTCTAATGCTGCCACGAACACGACGACGCTCCCAGACTGCGGCTATTGGAGCAGCACACACCTCCAGTCTTCTGCATGCTTCAACCTTGTAACTCTGGAAATGTCTCCAAAGTCAACTCTGCGCCCAAATAGAACCCGGGCAAGTCGTGTTCGCACCAACAGCCCCCACTCAAGACTTTTAATGATTGGGCTTGTGTATCGTTCTTTTCACCTTCAGTACACCCAACACGACCGAGATCCTGCGACATCCACTGATGGGTGGGCGGTTGCAAATATCAAGAGATGCTGCCGCACGACGTCCCTTCTCCGACCCTGTTTTCTGCTTCTTAATCCTTCTTGCTGGCTTATCTTCTCAATAAGCATTCATCCCATTCCCCCAATTACAAAGTGTCATGGAATACCCTCTCAGCCTTGTCCACTGCTGAGCTAATTTCATTTTGCCTGCCTATTTCATCTGAGCTAGAGTGCAGTGTTTGAGGCACACTCAGAAAGTAGAGTCTCAAGCATTCGACGATGTCAACAACCAGCGAGCCATACGTTACTTCACAAGCGACGACGTCAACATTGCTTACATATGCAACCCCGACCACAACCACACCGCCCCCGGTTCCCAGCGAGCCTGCGATTCAGACAAGGCCTTTTACGGGGCAAGCCTTACTGGTAGGAACGTGAGTTAAGCTGTGGCATCCTTTCGATCGAAATTTCCGCGTACTTATCAACAACGCGCAGGTGTGCCCTCCCACAATTCACAATCCTTACTTTCCCCGATGGCGGTTCGATCGAAGTACCATTGATAGGCTGTTCTGATGATCGCCCCGATTGCTGTCCTTCATTGAGTGTGACAGGGTCAGCAGGAGGAGCTGCCACTGAGAGCAATGTACCCTCTGCCTCTCAGTCACCCACGAGTGGAATGCCAGGTTCTACCACGAGCCCAACTGCGCAAGGTGTTATTTCAATGTTAAGCAAATACCCACTGACTGTTTGTCCAAGGTAAGGACGGAGATAAGTACCTTCACCAGACGAGCTGCTAACTATTTGTTAGTGACATGGTAGACCTTGATCCAGTATGCTGGTAAGCTCTGAGGAAAGCCTCTTGTGGAGTAAAATCTCTTCGTGATACTAATCAATTGCCAGTCCTATTGGATTTTCCCATTATGGACAACACATCATTGGCAATCTACCGTGCTACAGCACCCTGACAACCACAGTGTACTCCCCTGACGCGTCAGTACTGGCTTCGATAACGTCTGTTGTCGCCGCGTCCATAGCATCGGCCTCTACAACTACAACACCCACCATCAGTGTAATTGTCAACCAGTGAGTTTCCAAGTTCCCACACCTTTGCTTCTCCTCCAGGAGCTTAACATCGTCGACGTGGGGGAAAGAGAAAATGCTCTACCTGTTTGCCCCCTTTGCCTTCGCCGTGGCCTTCAGTCACCGCCCATAAACCATTCACAAGTCGAACTAAAAATATCACAAACTGACAAGATGAATTTCACAGAGTCTTTGCACTCGGACTCCCTTGTGCTGATGATGAGGGAGATGGAGAGCATTCCGGTCTCAGCATCGGCGCCAAAGCGGGTATTGGTGCTGGAGCAGGTGTTGGTGCGCTTTTGATTCTGTTTGCAATTATCGCGTGCTTTATGGTTGCGAAACGGCGGAGGAAGAAGAATAAGCAGCAGCAACAGCAACAACATGACCCAACTACTAGTAGCTCAGGGCTTCCAGTTCCGCAGATGATGGCCGGGACAGGTTCCGGAGTCTCCGACGGCAAACACCTCTCAGCAGCAACGACGATGACGCCAGGAAGTCCGATCATGTTTCCACAACCGCAAACACAGCCACAGATGAATCAATACATCCAACCCCAATACCCCGGTGCCATGGGTGGACAGCCGCAATCCCACGGCTACAGCCCAGCATTCGGACATAGCCAGCCACTGGGCCCGCCACAGATGGTGCAAGACCAATACGGCGGCATGTACAACATGCAACCAACCGCCTCTCAACCATATCCATACCAATACCCTTCCCCCAGCCTCATGACAGGTCAACAAGCCGGCATGGGCATGCCATATTCACCAACATACAACCAGCAGCCGTCCGCACCGCCCCTCCAGCAATTCTACCCTTACGAGCAGCAACACCAATACCAGTATCAAAACCAAAACCAACACCAATACCAACAGCAACGATCAACAATAAACCCACACGCGCCCGTCCCCGTAGAAGCCGACTCGGGCACCTCCGGCACGAGCAACTTCCACGCGTCGTCGTCGCTCTCCAGCCCCAGCCAGCCAGGCCTCTCCATCTCCATGACGACACCACCACCACCACCCGTAAGCCATGACCGCAATGGTGCGAGCCAGCCCACCAGCTCCGTCTCCGTCAACGGCGGGCCCAGCGTCGCGGAGCTGAGCTCACATGGTGGTGGATCCACTCCGAGCCAGGACCAGAGCCAGGACCAGAGCCAGCGGCATTTGATCAATAGGAAGTCGGTGCCGGGGTGGGGGTGATGGGGGAATAATACTTTGTTTCTTATGCCATTTGTGTATGTGTGTATATGTGTCGGTCGTTATCAGGTCGAGATTGAAAAGGTATATGGTGGCAGGTAGCACCGATGCATGCAGTTATGAAGGATACGAATGTTTATGCTTGCCTACTTCATGTGTGAAAAATGAATGAGCACCCGTTGCTTCTACACAAGTTTGTAAGAGCCGGCGGCCCGATAAATATCTGGCGGCTCTTTTATATGCCAGGTAGTTAACTTAGTTCTGGGTTGAGCGATGCCTGGCGTGTGAGTATGCGGAGATGGTTAAAATTGATTGACTGTCGACATGATCTTTCCTGTGTGTAACTAAAGATAATAGTAGTCATCCCGCTACACTGAGCAAGCAACCCGCATCAAATGCAGGTCTGAAATGACATAAACTCACAAGCGAATCGACATACTGATCTGCCTCAGTAGATGTTGTGTGCCCACGAGCTCGTCTTCACCGTCAAATGATATTGACCTGACAACGTGTTCAATTGGATGGTTTTAGATATGATATGTACTCATTATGTTTAAACGTCTGAAACAAATGCGATATATGTAGCGCAGTATAATGCAGTGGGGGTCGCAGTGCCATGCTCAACATGCTCACCATACATCGAAACGGAACAAAATAAATCAAAACGCCACACCTTATCATAGAGACAATGCCATGCGTTCGTTGAGCGGGAGATATCCCCTCCTTGCGTGAAAACGGACATAAGAAAATAAAACTTGCATATCCGACATGTGCCCGTGTCGAATTCTATACATTAAGCTCCTGCCCTTACGCAGCCATTACCTCTGGCGTCCACTTGCGGTCTTTGTTCGGGCCATCCAACAGCGTTGCCGTGCCTGCGGCACTAGGATTGGTCGTCGGTGGAAGGATGACGAAATCTTTGAAGTCGATACCGAGATTCGACTCGGCGAGGCTATGGAATGATGCGTCTGGGGCGAATGAAGGAAGTTGTGCCTGCTGCAGTTTCTGAGGCGGCTGGGTCGTGTTCTCCACGACGGACGGGGTTGTGCCTCGATGGGGAGTGAAGAAGACATCGTGGTCAGATGAGGTCTCGTGAGATGCTCTGCGTGGTGCGGCTTCCATGGGGACCGCGAGGGTTGCCGCTTGATATGTTGCCGGACCATCGATGACTGGTACTGTCTTGGCGATGAGCGGTTCCTGGTGCACAACATCGTGGTATACATCTTCTTCAACTTGTCCGTTCATAAGCGGTTGGCCCTCACCGTCAGAACCCCGATAGTTTTCATCTTCCTCTGCTATGATTGTCGAGTCAATGTTGCGTCGACCGTGTAAACTGGCGAATCTGACAAATTTTGGCGGGTCGAGGTGTTTTTTGGGCCGTCTGGGGCTCGATGTTAGTGATGACTTGTGATTGTGATTGGCCGGACTGGTTGGAGTTGTATACGGTTCAATGTATGCTTGGCGGGTCTCAGTTGCGCTCACAGGCATCGGGATGATGGGTATGAATTTGCCACGACTCGCATCCGAGCTTCTTCTTCCAGTCGAATCAGATGTCCGTTCGATTTCAAAGCTAAAATTGGTTCGCAAATTCTCGTTCTCCAACACAGGGCTCAGTTCGTTGGAAAAACCCGGAGGTCTCTTGACCTTACCACAACAAGCGCATCTCGAATACACAGGTGCGGACTGGGTCTCCTTGCCCTTTCCTTTATCTTCGGTCGGAATTACCAGGGAGAGCGGTCGGATGGCAGGATGAGGAATATGATCTCCTTTTTCCAATGCCTCGCCATCTATAATACTTCCTTCGGTGGGAGTGGCTGTTGCATCCGAATTTGGGGACGCATTATGAGATTCGCCACCTTTAGTGAAAGACAGAGTTCGTCTCCTAGCCTTTTTGAGTTTGCCAGTCTTATCTGCAGTATCACCGTTTGCCGGTGCTTTGTCTCCACCACCGAAAAGAGCCGTACTGATGGTGAACCGCTTGCCCTTTTCTTTCTTCGGAGATGCCGATGGGCTGACTTCACGGGGTTGTGGATCCGGTGAAGGCAATTGTTCTACCGGCTGTTCTGAAGGCTGATTCTCGAGTTGTCGGGTCGTGTTGAGATCGCGTTCGTGTTGTTGGATCTCTTCATCGTCGGACAAGTCCTTTGGTTGATTATGTGGATCATCCGGATCAAAAGCAGGGAATTTCTCCATATCTTCGGCCAACATAGATACAGGTGAGTCACTGACTCTAGGTGGACTGGTAGGTCGAGACGATGGCGCACTCACATTCGGCATGGAGTTGGCACGACTGTTTTGGAAACTACCAGTACGCTCGTAAGGGATATCGCCAGAATCGTGTCGACAACGTTCTGGTGATGAGCTGAACATGCTCTGTCTGGGTCGAGAAAAATTGGACAAAGGATTGGCTACAATTGTGGGCGAAGGACGTTGCAACATGTTCATAGAACCAGTTCGAGTGACTTCTGGCCCTCTATAGGTGGGCAGACCTCGATATGTCGAAGATCCGGAACTCGAAGGCCGTGAAGAGATTCCATTAGATGCCATAAATGTGGGTTGAGCATGACCTCGAGGACGAGGTGCGAAGATAATACCGTTGGAGTGGCCATGATGATTCATGTAACTGTAACCATGATGGTGGCTATGAGTGCTAGAATTGGATGGCCGACGATGGCCATTTGGCGTATGCGGAGGAGTCGGGACATTGGTCATTGAATTCCTTGAAATAGAATTGCGTGACAACGAATGGGTTCGTTGGTCCAGTGGATTTCCATCGTCTGGACTTGCTGGAGGTGTATTGGTAGTTCCACGTCGAGAAGCGCTTGGAGAGGTGCCTTTCGAACTGGTCTGACTGCTCGTTATGGAAGCAATGGCACTATTGTTCAAAGATCGAATTTCGGCCGGGCTCAATTTGGCAACGTGGTGTTTATTACGAATGGAATTCCTTTGTCGTTGCTTCAGACTCTTCTGCAGCTTGGCCATATCAAAGTCATCTAAACACGAATGAAAAATCAGTATCCGAAATGAAGCAATGAGATAGAATAAGAGTGGCCCGACATTCAAAAGAAAAGGACGAAGTCGGTAGAAGTGGGTCGGCTTCAACGGAGAGGCGTGCAAGTTATCGGGTGTGCAAGGGCAGTGGTGAGATCATGCAGGTAAGCGGATGCAATCGTTGATGTGCCCACGTCTGACAGAAAGGGTACCCGGACAATCCAGGGCCCAGGGCAATGAAGTGGTTGGGAGTCGGTAAAAGAGCAGGGGTCAGACGAGGGAAATATACCTCGGCAATAGCGCCAGCAAGCCTTGAAGTGAGACAAGAAAAAAACTTACCGGTGGTAGGACGTGCGTTAGCCATGGCTGGTGACGGATCGGAAGTGGGATGGTGCCGTCAGAATGGGACGCCAAACTGCGAATCTGTGCACGACACTGGCAGGATGTGACCTGGCAGTAGAGGCCTGGCGCCCACTGGGTTGGCCAAAAAAGAGTTGGTCCAGGTATGGAGTCGTAGGGATAGGCGTTGGTGCACGGATAGATGCGACGGGTGAGGCCCTACTTTGACACCTTCAGGCACTATCAGGCTGGGTTCAGGCGTGACACAAGTCAAGCCTAAAACGGACCGGACAGGGACAAGAATAGTATGTCAGGTTGGTTCATCGATGCGTGCTGCCTAGTATACTGAGTGATCCGTCCGGATACTCGCAGAGAATGGGGCGAGCGATGCAAAGAAGAAAAGCGAGTGGCTGACAAGTCAAGTGGATGATATGTCGTCAAGAAACGAAAAACCTGGTATTCCAGAGATTTGGCGAGGCGATTGGTGTTGCGGTTTGATCGTCAGGCCGAATTCTCAGATATTCCCAGTAGCGAATCGAGGCCGGGAGCTGGGAAATGATTGACGAAAATGGGTCAAGGGAAACCCGATGATGGGGCGATACTGTTGCTGCGGCGCTCGATATATTGAAGATGACAATTGTAGCGAGAGTGTGTTGGTGATAGCGAAGGGCTGTGTTACGTGAGTTGATGAAAGTGAAAGATGTAGGAAGGGGAGAAGGGTGGCGGCGAGAATCAAAAGGATAAATTGGTTAACTAACTTCGATCCCTTGGGTTGGCTTACGAGTAACAAACTGTGGGTGAGGAGCCGCACTGACAGTGGTGGTGTCAGAGGGCAGAGGGGCATAAGGATGGGGTTTGGGGGGGGTCTCTCTGTGCAGACAGCGGTACCGAGGACCGTCATACAATTTGTCGCCTAGCTAAGGTTACTTTGATAGCCCGGGTGTGCCCTTACAGCTTCGTTAAACCACCTCCGCGTCTTATGGCCTTCTAGGGGCATCTGGGCTATTTAACTAGGCACCTCAGTTACTTACCTGGCCAGCAACCACACATGCAGAACTCTTCCCATCCGAAATGGACTTCTTTCCCACCAACCCGGAAATGTCGTTCTTTCTGTTGTCTCTACTCGTACTTAGTATCTCCTGTCTCGGTGTGTTGTGTACGCCATCTCTGTCCCACGATTGTCATGACATGCCACTGGAGGGGAGGCAAGATCAGTGTGGTTGGTGTTGGAATGTGGAGCCACCTTGCTGCATCAGCTGTCTCTGTTGGCTGGGTTTTGCTTGGTTGACGCCGAATGTCTGAGTTTGAAGGAGTTGACACCAATAAGCACACTTGTTCAGTGCCTACCGCACCTACTTGCATGCCAACCCAAGCCGTCTTCAGGTACGGACTCCCACTGGCACCACTGTGAGAGTTGCTGTAGATTTGTACTGGCAGACCACCTTCCCCAAAGCCCGATTAAAGCCAGAGCTCACTGAGGGAAAGAAAATCGAGTCGGTATGTAACCCTGCAACAACTTGAATGCCCACCTCGGTCGCTTAAGTTGGGGTCACCAGCCACTCCACCAATAATGCACTTTGCCCGCAATCGGGCGTCTGCTCCGATCAGCATGAGACTGGCCATGGAAGACGCAAGACACCAGACGCAACAGATCGGCTGTTGGTGTTACAAAAATTCATCCACTCTGGACGCTTCGGTTTTGTAACCCGTTGATGCTAGACAACGAGTACCGAGTACTCCATACATATCGAGAATGGATACGAATATTTGATGTGCGAATTCTGGACAGCACAAGGTTCCGTATCTGCAAATGGACTCAGTCGTCAGCTCGCAATTTCACCCAGATCCCCCTGGCCCTAGCCGAAGCTGACGATACCCAATACGCAACGCGACACGGATATCTATTTGTTTACTCTTCGTATCTGGATATCTCGTACTCGACACTCAACAATTACCACAACAAATCGATGCTAGTGATCCAAATTTCCCATAACTGGCGTCAATCAACATTTAATAGAATGTGTGGCGAAACAGGCTTCATCCTTAGGTTATCGTCTATCATCAGCGTTGTGGGGAGACTCTTCTAGGAATCAGTGCTCTGACTCCTCAAACTTAGATTTAAACTCGACTCATCTTTTTCTCTGCCATCTGGCAGAATTTCCTATCTGTCGACAGCACCCGACGCCAGCCACAAGGAACATCAACAAGTCGAGGACGCTGAGATGGATGGCCTTGTTACCTCGCCTAGGGCGAGGAATTCGAACTAACGACGCAATCAAGATACCGGTAAGCATTGTAGCTGTCGTTAGGAGCGCTTGAGTGGTATGACGATCGTCGAGAATGTACTTGTGGTATTTGAGATTATGCAGCGTGATCACAGTCTCTATATCGCGTCGATCTCCAGATCATTCACGCGAGAAGTGCGTGTAAACACCCAGAAGTATTGACGGCAGCTCCTTATGTAATCAATTGTTTGCGAGACAACTGATTAAGTATCACTAGCACACGATCTTGGGCTGAAATACTGAGCCAAGAAAATCGGAGTTGCCTGCAGCCTGATGAGAATCGAAATCCATCATTCGGACCATAGCCTCACAAACCCTGAACAGCTAGCTTTTAGGTATAACTCTATCATGCCTTTCCAACTAATGCAAGGAAGCCATCGCCTGGGTTACTTTACGGGTAGTCCTGTCATTTACGAACGCAGCAGCACGCCGAGTTTGGCTCTCCATGCCATCTCCAATTGCGGGCGGCCTGGTGACTACAACTGGGGTCTACAATATCACAGACCATATGAAAAGGGAAGAGATGTTGTTGTCTACGTGATGGAAGAGAACTACAGCTCTGAAGATGTGACCATTACCGATGATCATCTCGGCTTGCATGAGTATTACTGACCCTTCTACCAGTTTCACCTGGCCAATCGACTTCGTTTCCTGTCAACGACCGTGAAGGGCTCCGTTGACAAGAAAAGAGCCCAGTTGAACCCTTCTCAGGTCTTGGGTGGACACGGTGCCCAGATCATTTCTCTCTTGGGCGGTGAAACTTACGGTGCCGCTCAGTGCTGCAAGATCGTGGTCGTCGATAGGCCAAATGAACAACACGACAAGGACTATACCTGGGAGCTTGCTCTCGATGTGGTGGCGCAAGACTTCACTGAGAAGAAGAGAGGCAACCCTGGTTTACACGGGGTGATGAATATCAGCAGAGGCTTTCCAAACAATCCCAAATGTAGAAGAGCTCTTGGCCATATCCTCAATGCTGGTGTTGTCGTTGTCGGCGCGGCTGGAAACAAACAGGTAAGGATCAAGGAAAACTTGAAGATAACTTGACGGCCATTCGAAAGTTACTGAGTCTCGTATTTAGATAGATTTCGATCAACTCCCTGTCACAGATCGAGAGCTATGGCAACTCCCAGAAGGGTTTGACGACAGGGTCATCATCATCGGCTCTTTAGATGACAATGGCAGAAAATCAAGTTTCTCCAACTACGGAAGAAGTAGGTCAACGACACAAAGTCCCAAGGTGTGAAAATCGTATTGTACAGTTTTAACACCGCTCTTCAGGGGTAGATTATTGGGTGAACGGTGAAAAGCTAGCGTTTGCTGGGTATGAAAGGTATGAGAGAGCTTCAGGTACAAGTCAAGGTACGGAGAAATGATGTGCAGCGCAAGAGTACTCAAGACGATTTGCGCACGATATCTCTTGAAGTCTACAACTGACACCATAACGGCAGCCACCGCCATTGCTTCCGGTGTGATAGCCTGCATGCTGGGAGCCGGCCAGGCCGACTACGACGACGAAATCACGATGCGGGACAAAGCAATATGCAAACGAGTCCGTGCAAGGCTTGATGAGTGGTCACCTGTGGACGCATCAACAGGCCTCAAGCACTTGAAAAACGCACCAGGTCTGACGTTGATATCGCCTCCGCCACCCGTCGGTGCGCCTGAACCAGCGATGATCAAACTAACACTCGACGACCAAATCACCAATGTGAGAGATGCATTGACCCGCAAGCAAAAATCGTCAACCGCCGTAAAAGGCTCGAAAGCCGCAAAAGCGGACCACGAAGAGTGTGAAAAGTTGAGAAAAGAGTTGGCGAGGCTTCATAAAATTAAGGATTCAGGAGTTGCGTCTTCGGCGGATGTTTTCATTCCATTGGCTCCTGTCGGAAGATAGGTGTAACTGAGCTGGCAACCTGTAGATTCCAGGTACTACTACCTCATGCCTTGCAACTTGTAAGTCGTCAATAATGATAACGATCCAAACCACTCAGTCAGCAATCTCGAGTTTCACCCACTTCCAAGGCTCAGAGACCGTAGGCGGTTCCAGGCCTTTTCCCAGAGTACCTCGTACGCCCACAGTAGATCCACTTTTCAAGATACAGAGAGAACCACACACAAGAAAACCAATCTCGCCTACGGAGGGCTACCCTTGCAAGAGGCCTCGACAATCTGAAAGAACAAGAACACACGATCAAACAAATGCAACCATGCACGCCATCCATCCATGACCCATGAACGGGGACCGGACTTATTGGTGTCCACGATAAACATTAGTCATCAGCGAAACAACCGAGCCCACGACTTCAGCAGAAATCATCATAACCGAGAGAGAAAAAATGTTCCGTAGCGAGGCTCCGCTCGGAGATTTGATATCTTGGAAAAGAAGAGAGCACAATCTTTAAGGATGCTTCGTGCACGCGATCAAAGCCTCGTGATACGCACGTTCGTCGCTCTTGTGGTTCGTTATCAATCGCACTCGGTACATCGAGCCTCATGCGAGTAGCTCGGGAGCGATATTACGCGTCGTCTCGCCTTGCGCCTCTCCGCCTCTATCGGGACCGCAACGATAACAAACGAGGCTTGACACAACAATCGCAAAATTCCTGTCACAAGACACGATTGAAGAATTCCAAAGAGCAAATCAGGCGCGACCAGAGAATCATGCTGTTCCCGCGCTTTTTTGATACTGATGCTATACGATATCCGTTAACATATGTACTCCTTATCCCACAATCACTTTCGCTCCGCTTCCTGCGCTTTCAAGGGGGGCTTTCCCTCGCTAAGTCATTATTTCGTCCTGTTTTGCTTCATTCAATGATTACTCCGCACAAACATACACGTTACTCCATACAGTGAGGTTGAATAACCTGATGCGATCCGTGGTTTGGTAAAACTGAAGATTGCTTGGTTGGCGGAGAGGCTTGCCGTTGGTTGTTCGGGGCTAACGGGGAGCCACAGATTTTCCTCGAATCCTCGCCGGAAAACCAGCGTCTCGAAAGGGGCACGCACAATCGGTGACTGTGTAACCACGATTCAGCTTGATACCGTGGCCATCACCTCGGTTGCGGGGCTAGGATATGCCGGCTGGTAGCTGCGCCTGTGGTTGACGACCCGAGAAGGGTTCGTGGGAACCAGCTGTAAATTATAGTGGTGCCAATGACCGAAACGCTCTCGGACCGCTCAAAACTTGTACAGCTGATCGGTGCTCTAGGGTTACTGGTTGTCCTCAAGAGGATCTGGAGCGAAAGTCGAACTCGGGAGCTTGGTTATTGGAGTCACACCCAGGGGTGACCCAATCAAGGCGCCCACAGACATCCAGTCAATGGTGCAATTTGTGTTGCTGCAAAAGTCTTTTCTCCGTGTAATGAAAAGACCCTGCTAGATCATTGCTCAAAGAGCAAGACCAGTGCCATCGCCAGTCCACCGATAAAGCGCGAGCACTTCACGACGCCAGTGTTGTTGCTCTGCCACATCTTCCGGGATCCGACCTCGAACCTGCTGCAGCGCCGAGCGCATGACTTTTCGGAAGTTTCGCTATTGAAACAGTGAGCACGGCGGACGAGTTTTTTCATCGGGGCGTTGAGCAAACGACAAAACTTACCTGGTATTGAGTATCTAACGTGGCCACACACGCTTCGTGTGCGCGAACAATCGTTTCACAAGCCTTGACCACATCGGGAGAGACATCGCCTTGCAATTTGTCTGCAAACAATAGGAGCAGGAAACTACCTTGGAGTAGATAAACTCCAAAGAAGAAGGGCATGAAGCTCAGGTCTGGATCGTCCTCGATGATTTCGGCAACAGCTTCAGCTGCACTAACGGCATGGCCGGTAGCGGTGACGAATGATAGGGATGATATCCATAGGTCATTGTCGTCCAATAATGCGATTGGGTCCCATTTGCCGGTCAATAATATATGGAGGACATGCATGATATGCGTTCCATATGCGACCACCGTCTTGGTCTGCAAGGCGAGCTCGGAGGCGCTGTGTGAGTCATTGGTGCCTGCCGAAACCACGGAGGGCGTGACGACCTCATTATGACTGGTGTCTACATGCCCATTGGATGCCTCAAAATCTTTCAGACTCTGGCCGTACATTTCCAGCTGCTGCGTGATTTCGTCGGTAGCTTCGTCCCAGCTCTTGGGCTGATGAGATCTCGGGCCGAATCGAGGTCGGTTGCGGGCGTGGTTGAGATCGAGGATTTCCCCGAGTATCACCATCAAAGGCAAAAAGTAGCCGAAAACGCTGTGGGATGTGCATTCAATGTTCAATCCACGACGGCGATGAGCCGGGTCGGAAGCCTTGTCGAATCTCCCAGCTTGGAAAGCTTCGTCGTCCATTGGCTGGAGGAGGCCTTCACACTCCTTGTTGAGGAAGAACATGGGTCGATTGTAACATAGCGCAAGATGACGGTCTTGCATGTATAGGAGCCACCATGTTCGGCGTCGTTCTTCCCTTTCTTCTTCCGAAACATAACCGACGGCCTTGCGGCGGTTCTCATCGACCGAATTCTTTCGACCGTCATTCCCCTGGTTATCGCCTGAGTTTTTCCCGGCTTCCTCCCCATCCTGCTCAGTTGAATTTGGTGGGAGTTCGCGTCCAAGACGAGTTTCGCGGGCCAAGGACCACGCTGCATTCCACCATCGCAGACTTGCGGCTTTCCGTTCACTGGCAGAAACGACCGTTGCCAGATGGATGTATGTGGCGAGGTTGTCAATTTGTGAGCGTTCGATTGCACTGCCAGGCGAATGCGTGGGTACCACCAAAGCACCCAGACCTGCATCGCTGGATATCATTTGGGGGTAGTTGGGATTCGGTGTCACAGCAGAGGTATTTGGATGGCTATGAATGAGCGGTTTGAGCATGTTTATCGTCAGTTCGAGTAGCTTTTGACAGATGCGCCCACGGGCATCAAGGTTGGTGGTCAAGAAGGCTGCATCGCTTGTTTGCGCCGCCGTCCAAAGCATACTTGCAAGTAGAGCTGGCGTACATGGTCGAGGATCGGTGGGGTGAAGTAGTGATTTTTTACGGAAGATATAGCCCAGCACGTACGGATTAGCCGGTCTTAAATAGGCCGAGGTGGTGCTGGTGAAGTATTGCTCCAGTAGATCACAAGCTAGACTTTGTGGAATGATTGACTCGATATGTGGAAGTAGTGGTCGGAGCACAGGGTATCTCAAAGTGTCGGTAATTCTCGGCTGATTGGGAAGAGGTTCGGTAACAAATAATGGGGATGTGAGAGATAGCCAGTCTGGGGATTCCACCATGGGAGCCTTGCCCATGAATGCCACTGAATAATCATCTCCAAGCGGAAATCCGAAACCGGTGTTGACGCCTTGAACGTGCATCGAGTCGAGCCCCTGCGTCGAGAATGCCTGATTCGAAACCGAGAAATCCATGGCTCGAGCTTGGTTCATCTGAGGCACCAAAGACTGGTCGATGTCATGCATCTGACCGGGCGCAGGCATGTTCAACCCAGAAGAAGGATCGAAACTGGTGAAAAATGCATTCTGATGGTTCGGATCGAAGGTGGCGGATGGAGGGGTGTTGTTCGAAGGAAGAGCATGGCTATCTCCTAGAAGGTCTTGACCGGCGTAAGAAGTTGTATTTGAATACTTCCTGCTCCCCAGTTGAGGCATTGTATTTGGCTGAGGGAGGTGGTTCATGTTCGAGTTTGAGAAAGTCGGATCGTCCATTTGATCAGTCTCCTTCTTAGGCGCGCGGCCACGTTTCTTGTGAGCTCGGGCATATTCACAGGCAAGAGAGTTGTCGGTGCAATGTGCACAAGGTTGTTTGCCATCACACTTGGTGCGAAGTTGGTTGCATTGATCGCATGCTCGACTTATGCGACGGCGAACGCCTGCCGCCTCCGCAGACTCGTCGCCATCAACCTCGGAATCTCTTCTCTTGCGACCAGCTTGCAGATTCTCGGTCTTGAACGTCTGATGATCTTGTTGGACGCCGGAGGAGAGTTGCTGGGGGGCTTTGACCGAGGTGATCAGTTCGGGGCGTTGTGTATAGTCGTGATAGTCGGGGTAAGCGTTATGCGTCTGGGTAGGGATTCGAGAGAGCATTTCGTGGAGTTATAAAGGATACAGGCACTAAGAAACTAAATGGTCGTTCATGACATATCTGAAATCATCTGCAATAGAACTTGCAATGCTCCGGGATCGATAGAGTGTGTGCTCGAAGACTGTAGAGGTTGTCGAGCTCACTTTTCGAGACCGGAGAGTGTCCAGGGCACGCAAGACAGCAAGCGAGTCACGAGTGACGGCAGAGGGAGTTCCACACGGAGCCTGGAGGGCACCTGGTGGTGGAGAAGGTCCAATTACTACTGGTAGAAAGTTTTTGCTCACGAATTACATGGGGAACTGAGAACAAAAAGGCCAGTAGAAATCACGAAGTCCGGGACTTTGGATGCATGGCCGAATGGCGGGGGCAGGGTCATGCAGGACTCAGTGTTGGTGTCAGCTAGCTCTAAAGGCGGTCCTGGGACGGTGGCAGTTAAGGTGAAGTTTCTTCCTGGGATACCGGTACGAGGTACAATCCACGAGTCAAACAAGGCCAGGCGGGCTCCAGAGTCGAGAAAGCTAGGTAGGATATTGGGTGGTGGATCGTGAAAAATGGATATTGACCGATGGATGGTAGAGGATTGACCAGGGACCAGGGGTGGCACGGGTCCAAAACGCCGTGGCAATTCTTGAGGGAGAGAGACGAGAGATCCAAGGAGGATAGAGTCAGCCAGACGATACGCCATCAGGTCAGGTCACCTTGACACCTTCTGGTCGCTTTCCTCTCTTGGGCAGGTGCATAAGCCAGCAGCTATTCTCGAAGAGGAGCACGGAGACAAAAGCATTTCTGTGCGTATGTGGAACGATCGGGTTCAACTATATTTCTGAAGGATTTCCAACACACATTAGCTCGCCCTGTGAACTATTCGTACACACACTGCTTCAGGGTCAATTTCAATTTCAATAAATCCAGGGCTCCCTGGGAGATACCTGGGCTGCTTCCAGGTGACAGGCAGATAGTTCTCCAGACCTTCGTTTTACCGAGGAAGGGAATGATTCATGAGTTTCTCAGGAAAGTGGCACCAAGGATCTCGCCCACCGGGGCTTTACTCTCTTTCGTCGAGGCGTGGAAGTGGGTCGTGGAGAAAGGCGGGGCTCGTCTGCTCAATGGAACCGGGGGGCTGAATCAATCAAGTCCTGCCCCCGGCATCGGTGCCCAGACCCCCCCAGCCAGTTCTTTCCAGGGCCTTCAGGCATGATGTGGCACCTAAATTACTTACCTGCCATGCCCATTGCCTCCTGAATCTCACTGGTTCGATCTCTTCATACCCTGTGTGACATGTTTGCCCAGTTCTCTCTTGCCTCGCACAAGAACAACCTTTGCACGGCAGCTTCGTATCATGGAAATAGATCCCTTCTATGCTCCTTCCGGAGTGACGCTCTCATCTTGCAAACCTCCGCTTCTTGAGTGCGAATGTGATCAGCTTCCCTCAGGTGCACTGGTCATACCCTTCGGAGTTCCAGAGACTTGATTCGATCCTTGGTATGGAGTACCCAACACCTCTTCAACTAATGCTGGCTTCCGCATGACTTAAAAAACTGCCGCCCACAGTTCTCTCGTGATGGTGTACACATTTGAGTTGCCACATAGGAATTTTATGTGATCACCGTCTTCATGTGCTTTTGCCATCAGTGGCCGTTCCAGTGTGGATTTTACGTCGCACATGGATTACTGAATTGTGGATACTGCTCGTTGTCCTCATCAGGGAAACAATCCCAAACTCTTGATATGCCACCCATAGCTTAGTCGATGTTAGCATTGAGTTTCTCAGCATCGTTGTGGATTGAATGGTTCACCGCCGATGGTCTCCTTCCCCCACAACGGGACCACAAATCCAATGTGCTGTTGAAGATATTGGCATTTCTCGGAGTTGGCCACCAAATCTGGGGTTTATGATTGTAGCGCATTGTAGCATGTGGCTTTTCCCCGAAGGTGTCTGGTACAACTTCAGTATCCCGCTGAGCGTTCGCGACTCCGCAGACTTTGTTGCCAGTATCACACGGGTTCGCGCATTGCTGGTGCATCGGAGAATGAGAACACATCGGCTAGCGGCCAATCTCCTGGTCTCCAACGCATCTCGACAGTAACTTGATCCTTGATCTGTGTTTCCGAAAATGCTTTTCTGCCTCCTATCTTTGTAAAGCGTGTTCGAGTGGTGAGATGTAGGGCGGTTATTGTGCAGGAGCTGCTCTGGTTCACGGAATCTTCGCCATCACAACAGGCACCCCCATCCGAGGATAATGCGCGGCATTGCCTTCAGCCTTTGGTTAGCGTTCGCTCACAGAATCGATCAGGTATAGTCGGATGACACTCTCGTCATTTTCTATCGCCTTGATATACGCAAGCATTGAGATTCATAGTGGTTTTCTGATGGATTGAATTGGTTGGGCATGAATGAAATCGTTCGTACTCTCACCTAAGGACTGGTCTTGGAACTATATCATCTGAGCATTTCAGAGAGCACTCCCCTTGGAGTTTACATTAGTTTGAAGAAATGTAATCTTAAGAGGTATGTGGTCCTAGTTGAACGGCATAGTATATCCGGCTAAAATGCACTGGTCGTCTATGTGGCTCCTGGAATATATCACCCAGCTTTGTGGCCACAGGCTCACTCCGATTGAACGCTTTTGACATACCCCGAACGGCTGATATGTCAACCAGACTGCTTGCAGCATTATCCGGCCTACATCTCCCGCGTACCGTCTTTGGAATGCATGATTTCTAGAGCGGCCATTGGCAAAGGCTGCGGTACACCCACCGGAGCCTGCTCCATCTCGTGGCAGGTACAAGTCCGATCCTACCAGGTAAACGAACAGGAGTAATTACAAGCACTATCCACAGATGCAAGCAGCAACTAAACACATATCCTTAGATCCCAATGAAGGCCCAAAAAACGAAAAAAACAATCAACAGCCAGGATTCGCGACTCGTCACCGACGTCGCTACTTGCTGACCGGCATCCAGCTTAAGTACCACTGAGCAAACGGGAAGTGCTGTTTTCCAGATCCTATGGTCGATTGCGAAGACCAATCTTCCGGCTTTAGCATATGATGCTTTGAGGGCGAAAACCTTGCCTTTACATTGGTTCATGTCTTTGAATAGTAACCAACTTGTCGTTCGGGGTGCATTACGGAGCAATCTAGGTAGCTACCTAGGTATCTACCACCATACCAGTACTCATGCAGCTATGAGCCAGAACGAACGGTTGATAGATCAGTTCAGGCCTCATGTCTGCCCAAGGTAGTAGCCAATACTATAGTTCAGCCAACTGCACTGCTCCACATCGACAAATCCGCCTGATTTAGCCGGATAGTCCAGAAACATAATCGGTCCGTCCTCATTTGCAACCTTCTCCCATGTGCCAGCCTCTTGCACACCGTTCAGAGTCTTCTGATAGCCTCTCACCCTCAAGTACTCAGGATCTGGATTTGGTTGTCCTGATTTCACAAATTCAGCAAAGTACCCGCTGACCAGTTGCACCGAGTACAGATCATTCGCATCGCGAAGTGGGTTGTAGAAATTCCCAAATGCCCAATCTAGGTCGGAGCCGTGCAGCTTGAAATACGGTAGATTCGGATTGCCATATGGATAGCCCGGCGTGACAGGAGCACCGGGGACGTTCTCGGGATTGTAGCCGTTGATAGTGCGTTCAAATTGGTAGTAATATGTTGCGGGGAACACGCCAGTCGTTGCGCCGGCATAGACGGTCGCTTGATCAATGCAACGGAAAGTCGTGTCAGTGGCGACCCGTTGAGAGACATTGAAGGAGTCGAAAGTCAGATTCCCAGTTGAATACAAAGGGAAAAGGCCAGAGTCAATGATCGCTTCGGCATACGATTCATTGATGCTAAGCCCGGTCATGAGGCCTTCAGTGAGATTCCGCACCGGTGTTGTCGATATTGTGGAGAAGGAGGCTCCGTCGTTTTCGGTGACGCCAAAGATGACCGGAACGTGTGCTGTGCTGCCGTTTTGATTGAAAACATTGAGTTGGGGAGTGTTGACGATCGTCCCATCTTGGACCACATACCGAGCGACGGTTGAGAGGGACACCAAATCGGTGGCATTGACTTCTTTCAGACATGCAATTTGATCAGTCAAATAAGTTTGCGTACAGTTCGAGGCGTTAAGGATCTGCGGCCCAGCCACGGTGTATGACTCGTTAATGGTATAATAAGAAGAGTATGTTGTACCATAATTGCTATCCAAACCTAGGGTCTGCCCACCACCAAGATTCGACATCGCAATTGCTCCTTGGAACAGATTTATAGCTGGAGGACTTCCCAGGAGAGTTCGCACCGAACCTGCTCCTGCGCTTTCGCCCATAATGGTAATTCTGGCAGGATCTCCCCCAAAGTTGGCGATGTTACGAATAGTCCATTGCAATGCAACGATTTGATCCCCAATGCCGAAGTTGCCCTTGATGTCTGTTCCGGGAATGGCTAGGAAACCCAAAGTCGATAGGCGATAGTTGATCCCGACGACCACGATATCTTCTCGAGCTGCCAGGTTGCCACCGTCGGTTCCAGCATCCGCTCCAGTGCCTCCTGTGAAGCCTCCACCATGGATCCAAAATAAGACAGGCCGGAGACCTGTTGTTGACCCGGCTTTTGGTATATACGGAGTCTGAATATTGAGGAATAGACAGTCCTCGCTGCCTCCGCTACCTTGGATGCATTGTTCTCCATAACCAGTCGCGTTGACGGTCTCTCCAGAGCCAGAGTATATTTGAGAATATTCAAAACGCTGCGGCGTTTCCGCATATCTGATGCCAAGAAATCGGAAGGACTTCTTATTGCGATACCCTAGATAAATATTTCCAGCGGCTGCAATAGATACCCCATTCGAACCATTCGCAGTCGAATTTGGTGGTTTGCTGTCAGTGTCCGATTGTGTGCAAAGCACAGGAAGCTGTGTACCATCCCCAGAGGAGGCACTTACAGACAACTGACCCCCAGCAGAGACTTGCACAACGCCATTCGCGATGTGATATCCCTTATTCGGCGTCGCACTTGAGTAAGATAGATATGAAAGTGCAAAGGAGAAGTCAGAGCTGTAATTTTGTAGAGTTGTTTGCGTTATTAGCGCTTCACTCAATGATTCACAAGCAGCTGCTCCATTCTCTGCGGTCATAGCATCTAGAACAATCGCACCAACGTGGTTGTTGTCGTCTGAAGCGTTCAAGTTGTTTTGATAGACGAACGTCAATGAACTGTCGGCATTTGATAATGCTGGAATACCCCCACGGACCGAATGATGAGGATAGCCATGAGTGATGAACGACAAGGCAGCCAGGGGCAGCAAGGCTCGAACCCAAGACATTTTACTGTTTGGACTGGGAGGGCACTCAAGATGACACTGTCACAGTAGAGATTGGAAATAAAATCACAACATATGGAAAAATCCCTTACCATTACCATCAACATATCAAGAAATCCTTCTTGACCGTTCAGGAAGGACGCAACAATCGTGCGGGGTGCTCTCGCGAGATGCGAGAGCCATCCATGGCCTTCATGCATGAAGACCTGTTTGATTTCAGGCATCTATCCGGCAACATGGAAATCGAGCTGGAGGATTGAAAGCCAGTGCAGCTCGGATGAAGGTGCCGTTGGACAATGAACAAGGTTATGTGCTCCAAACACTCGTCATAGAAAATGGTGTACGGATAATGAACCTGGGGATTTGGAAATACTCCTCATAATACCATGGGAAAGGCCTGCACGATGTCCTCTTTTGTGGAAAGGCAAGGATGGAGAGGATCGAGTGAAGCTGGGGTCGGACGAGGCTCTGGACCAATCTCCCATTACGCGATTTAGCCTGATTATCCACTAAAAGCCGTACTTCCACGCAAAGCGTCTGGAAGTTGTGGCATAGCAATTATCCATTGGATCCGCCTCGACTATGTACTACCTCTTACCTAAGAGTGTTCCGTGATCAGGTAAGGATCGAGGTCAATAGCAGTCTGAGTCAAGTTGAACTTCCGGACGGGATGGTATGAGCAAGTGAATATTCTACAAAGCCTGCTATTAATGTCAGGCAACTTTTTAACCCGACTGGAAGATAATTTCTTCATTGCTGACAGCTGCGAAACGGGGATCGTGGACTGGCAAATTCGCCTGATGCATTCCATGAATGTCCCCACAAATCCTTTGCCATCAGCAAGTCTTTCATCGATCAAGGTTGCCAATTGTTACAGCCTTGATATTTTGATATTCTGCAAGGCCACACTTGCTATCTTCGACACCCAAACCGCTCTCCTTGACTCCACCGAAAGGATTCTCGGCCGCACTAATAAGCATAGTATCAACACCCACCATGCCACACTGGAGTCTATCAGCAACACGCATGATGCGTCCGTGTCCCGCGAGTAAAAGTAGCCAGCCAAATCGAGTTTCGTACTGTTGGCGGTCTCAACACTTGTTCTTCGGTATGGAACAAGAAGATTGCCGCCACGGGCCCAGAGATCTCGTCGCGGGCTAGGTTCATTTGGGTGTTCGCCCCTGCGAGCACTGTAGCTTCGAAGAAGTTCAACCCCTTCTCTGTCGGCTGATGTGCCTCCAATATCGACTCGTGCACCCTTAGACACTGAGTCGGTGACAAGCTTGCTAACGGTCTGCACTCCGTTTCTGTTAACAAGAGGCCCGATACTCGTACCTTGGTCAATTCCTCTGCCAAGTTTAAGTTGTTGTACTTTCTAAGTAAGTTGCTCTGCGAATGAATCGGCCAGGCTTTCGTGGACCAGAAGACGATTAGCGCTCTAAGTAGGACAGGTCAGCAAATCAAGGTATCAATGCTCATAGGACGGCTACCACTAACCACGCAAACATGACCAGCACAACGGAATTACAGGCCGTTTCTTTCTTCCTTTCTCTAAAATTAGAATCCTCCTTATACAGTAGCTAAATCAATTGCACGACTTCTATCGAAACCTTTTAAAGCCAATTTGGGGGCTGCATTATCTAGGTATATAAAGGTTGCCTTCGAGTTGGCTGGGCCATGAGTCATTGGTCCCATCACATGTGCCGCGCGCTAGTCATCTGCCGAAAGATACATGAACACGTTCAAGTATGGAAGATCTTCATGAACAACAGTTGATCAACTACTGTAGCCATCAGACAAGCACTCTGACAAAAGTGGTTCATGTTATAACAGAGATGAGGATAGTTCACTGCTCGATTTACTTGGCTTTCTCTTGTGAAGCGTCGAAATCTTTTTGGTTGCCCATGGCTGGACGAACACCCGCCAGATAAGCAATTGGCGGAACAAATTCAACGAAGCCGATGTTGGGACTCGAAACGGTGTAGCCAAGCGCCTTCTGGGCCTCGGGACTCTACGAGGCCACCTCCTCGGCCAAGTTTGCCAGGTAAATGTTTTCCTCCTGTCGTAGATACCCCCTAACGAAGAACAGGCCGTGGACGGTTCGTTTTTCGTCTTTGGTGATGTTTGCTCCACCTGCGTGGTAGAGGCTGCCCAACATGATCCAACAATCACCTACTTCCATCTCTGCGTAAGCTACCTTGTCTTCTTCCATCCTCGGTACCCAGTCCGAAGGCCAGAGATGACTGCCTGGAATCGCTAGGGTTGCTCCATTGGCCTTTGTCGTCAAGACTCCGGGAATCATAAATGCCATTTCGAGATCGGTGCCGAATTGATAGCCAGTCTCGGTTTGATCGGGATGATTGGCGTGGTAGTTTTTGTCGTCTCGGTGTAATCTTTGCGCTTTGCCGCCAGGGCCGATTTCGAAAGTCACGGCGATTGTACACTGTGCTTCGCTCGTGTAGGTGTGCTTGGTCTCACCGTAATAATTGCTCGTCGTCTTGTCGACAAACTTGGCCGTACAGGCACGTACCAAAGGGTCGACCAGCCAGGTTTCTCGCACCGTCTTACTCCGTCCAGCCAGGTTGGCACAACGCCTTGTCTCGGGTGGGAACAAGTCGCCCTCCCATGGCACGTCGGCGTCAAGATACGGTCGAGTCTCTTGATTAGCCTGCTCCACCGTCGCTACGTCGGTGAAGTTCTTCACAATGCAGCAGCCATTCTTGGCGATAGCCTCAATGATGCCCTCGATGTCGGATCGATCGATCTTTTCCACGCAGTGCTTGGATGTTTGAGATATTGAGCCCATGATGGAATCTGATCAATGAAATGATGAACGCGCCTAGATAGATAAGAACTCTCTTGCAGACTTCAACGGTGGCGTCGTCATGACTGAGTTAGCATATCTACATATACTTTCGTGCCACATGGGTTCAGCTGCTCCGAGTGAATTGAAACCGTTTTCGGCGACGGCCTCGGGCCCCGCTTGCCACGAATGTCGAATACTCGTACCTAAGATAACGGGAGCTCGTACGTTTGGCTGAATCATGAAAGTTCAACCCCGCAAATTCGAGCTCTGGCCCGGGTGTTTTTATCAGTGGCGACAGCTGCGGCTGTCACCTACTCTTTGTGTCCGGAGTGGCTGTTGATCCATCTCTTCTCTTCCGCTGTCCTCAGTGTTGCTCGACGCCCACTCATATGCCTGCCAGTAAATACTGCTACTAGTCAGGAACTGCTAACTCTGCATGATCCACAGCAGGTGCGGCGCATATGTCGCGAAGCAATGCGTGTTTCGTTTGCCGAGGCAGGAAAGTGCGGTGCGACCGCTTTGTTGATGGTCCATCAAGGTGCTCGACATGTGTGAAGCTGGACCGTGAATGTGTTGCTCCTACATGGACCCCAGAGATTATCTGGCCATCGGACAGCTTCGCCCGCACTGCCGGCAATTATGTGCGGAGTGTAGATACCACAAGTCGCGGACCACAACTTTTCCCTGGCAAGCTCAACCCCTGTTACTATGTTCGTTATTTTCAGGTGCTGACTTGAACTCTCACACAGCGCCGGAACGTGCGCACCAAGTCGCACTCATTCTAGCCCCAACTCGTGACAGGTCGCTTGATCAATTATTGAGTCAACTTGATGTTGATATCGAGCTCGCCGAAGGTGATGAGACGTTGTGTGCCGGGCCATTTGGTGTCTTGCGTCCAAGAGGCTATCGAAATGATAACACAGAAATTCCAAGCACGCAAGACGACAAGGAGAGCTCCATGAACTTGGAATGGGAGGACTTTGTTCTCGGAGACTTCTCTGTGGACAAGCCCTTGCCAGGGCTTGAAGTCGGCTTCCTCGACAGTCCCAGTGATCATCGTGGGATTTACGAGCATGGCCTGGATCTATCTTTCCTTTCGCCAATGTTGAGAGATTCTACGACGGGCTTCGTCATGACGCCGATGGAGCCAGACGTGCCGCGCGGAGAAGACATGCAGCTTCTCAATCCTTGGAGGGCCCCCACCCCCCGGCTTCAACGCTCTGTATCCATTGACTACGCCCCCGATCTATTGGATGTCGACGTGCCCACAATACGCTTGTTGCTTGCCCACTATCAGGAGAAACTGATTCCTACATTTGCACCCATCCAGGCTCAGGGCAAGTCGGTGTGGGAACGCGTTCATATTCCAAGAGTCAACGAGACACTAGGTGAGATTCTCGTGAAAGGCAATTCCGGGGACGCGAAATGTACACTACTATTTGCCGTTCTCAGCGCTGCATCATATCACTTGGATGCTGTGGGAGACGGACCACCACACCATTCTGTGACAGCAGGGGGGCAGATGGCGACAATTTTCCGACACCGAGCTAAAGCACGACTGGTATCGTCACTCAAGACTCTCGTTCTCGCGAGAAGCAGGGACGCCTACGAGGAAATGCTGCTTGCGATCCTGAGCATGGTGACCGTTTGCGTATGGCAAATTTCTTGAAATCGTGAACGAGCTGACAAAATCTTAGGTTGTGAGTGGTGACATGGTCGATTATCAAGCATATCTACGTAATGTTGAGCAACTCATTGAGTCTAGCTGCTCGCCTCATCTGTTGAGGTCTACCAATATCCGAATGCTTCACAGTACCTTTCTTTACCTCTGGACACTACAGGCTAGAGGTCGAGTGTTAGGCCTTGGCCTGAATCAAACTCTCGACTACCGCAATTCGACCGCCCATTCCGACGTTTGGGAACAACTGGTTCCGGTAGCGATCGAATCCGACGATAACTATCATGAAGACTCGCCCAGCACTCAAGGCACGGTGTCGATATTCGAACAAATTTACTCGGTTTCCGAAACACTGTTCCGACTAATTGGTCGAGCTACATCTCTGGCTTCTGAGGCTGCACAACGGGACCACTCTATCGACGGCCCGCGGCTTGATTCGAAAAAGGTGGCAGAACTCGAGGACGCGATATGTAGCTGGAACAATGACATTATCCCCGCCGGAGCGGACATACTGCCTGTCAATGGGGAAAACGTACGATATCATTTCCAGGATGCCTTTCATTCAGCCCTGTTGATATACTTTTACAAATGCGTTCGGGGTATAGACACGTACGTTGTGCAACCTCATGTCGAGAAAACCCTGTCGCATTTGCAGTTGTACACAGAAGCTAAACGGCAATCTGGCGATCGGTCTTCAAGCATTTGCTGGCCTGGCTTCGTCGCGGCTTGTGAATCTTTGGATCACGGTGTACGGCAGAGGTTTTCACAATGGTTTCTTGATGAGACAACTCAAACGGGCATACTCATGTTTACAACTGCAGGAACTGCTGTCAAGCAAGTCTGGGATGCCCGCGATCGATCTAACAACAGAAATCTGCCTTGGTCTAAAGTACTTCAGAACGACAACATCCTCGACCACCTGGTACTCAGCTGATTGGCTCCTATAGTTTCGCGCTCGCCAGAGCCTTCGTTTGCTTAAGCAGCGCGATGACTTCGGCAGCGCCCTGCTCACCTGAGCACAACGCCCCTTCCATATATCCCTTCCACTCCCGCGAGTACTCTGTTCCGACGAAATGCATGTTTTGAAAAGACTTGCCGTAGACATCGGCGTGCCGGGTATAGTGGCCGAGGGCTGGAATTGGTGTTAAAGCGCCGTGACTATATTGCTCGTTCTTCCAGATTTGCTCTTGCACCTCAAGTGGGCGGTATACCTCATGGTCAGGACCGACATTAAAGATGCTTGCCAGCTGCTTCAAGATCGCATTTTTCCGGTCCTCGAGAGAGAGTCGGCTCCATCGTCTCGAGTTCTCGCCATTGACGAAGCAGGTGATGCAGTATGTTTTGGTTTCCTCAATGCAGGTGTCGCGGCCAGAGCTGACAGGGCCAACGAAACTGTTGAAGATTCCATTGAATCCCATTTCACGCCACCAGGGAGTGTTATAACAGACCACTACTTTGGTGTAATCCCCCAGTCGAGATGCGTTAGCGATCGATTCAAAGCCTTTGGGTAAAGACGGGAAGATGTCAATTGTTCGGAACATTGCACTGGGTATCGACATGATGCATCTGCGCGCAAGGATCTTTCTGCCTTCCACTGTTGTTACCTCGACATGCTGGCGCTGCTGCTTGACGGATGAAACAGGAGAAGATAGTTGTATATTCGCATGGCCGAGAAGAGCAGCAATACCGTTGGCTATTTGTAAGGTGCCTGACGACTAGGTCAGCCATGTCTCATGTTGTTGGCGATTCTGGACTCTTACCTTCGATGATGCGCAGATAGTTGCCGCCAGTCTCGTCATCCGCGCGAATGACCGGAAAGCCCCCGACGTGTCGACAGTAGTCCATGAAGAAAGCCGCAGATTCTTCCGTAGACTCAACTCCATGCATGACTTGAGTCCAGAGGTTTGCCATTAAGAGGGTCGATGGAAGTGCATCGAGATTGCGAACATATTCGTCAACTGTGGCCTTATCATCTTCTAATTGCGATAGGTCGGCCGGCTTGAGAGAAATGGCTGATATATGGTCTCGCACGCGTTCGAGGTCTTTCCGCTCCTCCTCCGAGGCCTGCAATCGTAAACAGGTGTACAATATGATTAGCGATGTGTCCACTTACACCTGGAGTCGTTCCAAACGGATGCTCAAAGCGTCTTCCGTCCTTAGTCTGCATAACAGCTTTACCAACTACACGTTGCTTCACCGTGTGCAAGTTGAAATGGCGCGCATATCGCCCGACACGGTGCTGCTTGTGTGGGTTGATCCAAGCTGCCCCAAGTTCCATTTTGCCGCATCCGGACTTCAAGGGTATGGACCATGTCTTTCCACCCACTCGATCTCTGGCTTCGAGAACCTTGAGCGACAACCCGGCCTCTTTGCATGATAGAGCCGCTTGAAGCCCGGAGAGCCCGGCTCCGATTATAACAACATCTAGCATGATTGTCGCTGTAGTGCAGTGTCCTTGATCGGGGGTGGAAGTGAAGAAGAAGAAATGTCTCAATCTGAAGTCAAAATCATGCTAAATTCTTAAGTTGAGAATGAACAGGATGCCCGAGGATCTGCTCAGAGGCCCACAAAATTACTGGCGGCCACGGGATTGACCTACACGGAGTCTACCTTCCTTTTCAGTTTTGCACCTTAGTACGGGGAGCCTGGCTTCAGATGTGCATTTGGAGATGCTCCACAATGAGATTCGGTCCGCTAATGGGTCTCCCAGCCTGATCGAAACATGATGGTGTGACGGACCACCATGCAAGTGTCAAATGATAGCCATCAGTCAACGAAGAGGGAGTATCGACGTGGGATATCAAGATCAACGTTTACTCAAACCACGACTCAGTGGAAAGAGAACCGGCTTCTCCAGCGCTTTGCCGAAATGACACCGGCCCTTGGCCACGTATGCGAGTTCCACGACGGAGAGCACTACCACCATCCAGATCTCGTCGATCAAGACGACCTCCGGGCTGAGTTCGCCCTTGCCATGTCGGCCATGTACAAGCAAGAAGTCCCGCTATATGGTGATCTTGTGCAAATCGTCCGAGAAGTCAACCAAGCTGTGATTGAGGAAGGTAACACAGCTAACAGAGCTTTTGAGGAAGAACGCCTTGACCTGGAGGGCCATGGTGCCATCAGATTGGGCTCAGAACAGGAACTCAGGGTGATTCGCAGAGTCTTTGCACTCATCGGGTTGTATCCAGTGGGGTATTATGACCTTTCTGTTGCAGACCTGCCTATGCACGCAACTGCCTTCCGACCGGTCTCACAACGGGCTCTTGCGCGCAACCCATTTCGAGTCTTCACTACAATTTTACGTCCGAACCTACTGGAGCCTCGGTCACGCGAACTCGCACTTTCCATGATTCTCCGTCGCAAGATATTCACCGACCAGCTCCTCGACCACATTGAGCAGGGCGAGGCACATGGTGGATTTACTCGCATTCAAGCCTCGTCGTTCATTCACGAGGCCTTGAACACGTTCCGTTGGCAACACTCTGCCGCGTGTTCATTCGAAGATTACCAAACACTCAAGTCGGAACATCCTATCCTAGCAGATATCTCTTGTTTTGGAACAGCACATATCAATCACTTAACACCCCGGACGCTGGATATTGATCGCGCGTACACTCTCATGAAGTCTCGAGGTCTCAAAGTCAAAGACGGTATTGAGGGGCCACCACGTCGATCTGTGCCAGTCTTGCTGCGACCAACCAGCTTCTTGGCATTGGAAGAACGCACGCTCTTCAGGGGTCGGGGTGGTCTTGCGACAGCGGTCTTCCAAGGCATGCACAAAGCCCACTTTGGTGAAATCGAGCAGCGTGGTGCCGCCGTAACGCCCAAAGGACGTTCCCTCTACGACGCGGTCCTGGCAGAGGTTAGCCACTTTGACTGGGTGAGCGATTTCAATGCTCGTCTGCCTGATAATTGGAATGATCTGCTTGAGCAGGGATTGGTCTACTGTCTTTATCGTGTTCAGAAGACCGACCTTTCCCAGGGTTTCAACAGAATTGCGCGTGCTGAGCCTGTTTCTGTACAGCAGCTACTCAAGGACGGAATTCTAGAGGCTATTCCACAAACATACGAAGATTTTTTACCTATTTCTGCAGCGGGCATATTCCGATCTAATCTATCAGAGAGTGGCAGCAGCGAATCTAGCCATTTCAGCAATGCAAGCAGTGGGACTGCGGAGAGGAAGCCTGACATGGAGCACGATCATCAGTTCCCCAAAGGCAACTGGAGCTTTTCCGATCAGGATGGGTTTGAAGAGGCTCTTGGGTGTAAGGTCATGGATCCGTATCAGTGGTATGCGAATGCACAGGGGGAAAGTCTGCAGGAATGTTCGAGGATACTTGGACTCGCTATCAGTGAACGTGTATAATATGTGCGGCGGCCTGTGGAAGCTTTTTTTGCATAATTCCTCAGGCATCTACGAGATGGTTGACCTATTTCATAGTAAATGATGCGGATGTGCACCGAGATTCAACGCCAATATCATTGTAGTATTTTACTGATACCATTAAGGGTGTCCTTTTCATCCTCTGCGCTCATCAGAGAGACTCGCCATACAGGGACTGCAAGAGAACTCCTCCCTCATCAAAGCATTGAGTCTGACTTGCCTTCTGAGTCTGAGTCATATACAGGACTGATCTGCACCATTCCTTTCGTGACCTTCAACTTCCATTGCATCGCGGCTAGAATATGATACAAGACGCCAAGTGTTGGTATTGGCACGCCGTGTGCAAGTCCCGCGCGCATCGGCTCCCCAACAAGGTTCTCGAATTCCAGAAATCGGTTCGCGCGGACGTCGAGTAGCATACTTGGTGCGTTGTGCGTGGCAATCCGATCCAGCGATATCATCTTCGCTATCAATTCTTCAGGGAGATCGTGCCCACAAGCCTTGGCTACAGCACGAATCTCCTGCATAGCTGGCACAACAAGGTTCGCGACTGTCTCTTCAGAGAGTTGAACGAGGCCAGTGTCGAGACCAGATATGGCGCAGATAGGATTGAGGCATGCATTGTACAACAGCTTTCGCCATCGTATCCAGCCTACGTTGGGGTCGTAGCTGGCATCACACTTTCCATTGACACCGTATATTGCGCAAAAGGCCTTGGCGGATTCTTGCTGTCGCGGTATCGAGATGTTCGAATTTTCGAAGGCACCAAACGAGACACGATCAGTGTCTGTTTGCGCGATAATGCCCTGGCCGGTCTGACGGGACTCGTTGAAGCTCGTACCGGAAATGACGATGTTGTTGGGAAAGGCTTTGATCAGAGGTTTCTCAATATTGAGGCCGTTCTGGATCAGGACAATGCTTGAAATCCCTGGTGTAACAGCCGGACTTATAAGTTCTGCTAATGTTGGCGGGACATCAGGAATGTTCTTCGTGGTGCAGATGATATAGTCAAAAGGTGGTAGAACCTCATCGCGAACATTGGGGATCGTGTCTCGGACTAGATGTGCGCGAGTATGTCAGTAACGACAACGCATCGTGCTGCATCGCAAATGGGTCATTGATGGAAAGCACTGTTTGCGCTTACACGTACCATTACTTGGCCTAAAGCCTTTGATGTTACCATGATCGACAGACTCAATGGTGAAGCCATGCTGCACTACATGGCTGTAGTTGGATCTAAGCACCGCCGTCACCGCAGCGAGTCCTCCTCGTTCCAGATTCAGGGCAGCAATGGTTCCTATTCCACCACATCCGATCAACAAACAGTTGGCTTTGCGCATATTTGAGGCTTGCATACTCTCTTGGACTGTATGAAATGTTCTCTGTGGCTATCTGTTAATGTCTGTAGGTAAGCGCTTGTCTGGTGACGTGTGACTTCAGTGGACCGGAGGTTATCCCACGTTTGGTCATGACTCTGGGGCAGACGCCCGACGTTTGGCATAACAGCTTGACCCAGAGAGTGACACACCTCGATTACAAACACGAACTCCGTCCTGCTTTTCGGTCCAAGGAATGCCTTGCGGATGTCTGCAAGGCTGCCATTTCTGTCATACTTTATTTGAGTCAGTCGGTCCGGCCCCACCTACTTTTCACGAGTTGGCCAAAGCCATCGGTAAACTCCCCCAAAGCCGTTCACAGGTAGAAGGACGGTGAGAAAGTGCACGGCTGTTTGGGTCGACCATTACGTCCCAAGAGTCACCGCTTGATTGCGAGATGCTTGACCGTAATTTTCATTATCTCAATGGTCCTGCACTGGAGTGTCCTAGCTCTGCAGAGCACGCATGACAAGAGAAGCGGGAGCGTAGCCATGCGATTACTATGAACGAGAAATCTATCTTCAAATGGGAGGGCAAAATGTACATCTGCAAGCACCGCTTCAGAACCCCTTGCAATCTCTGTAGAGTTTCCAAGTCGTACGACATCCTGTGGATGAAGAAAATCCGAGAGTGTAGTAGGGTCAGAGGACTTGTTGTATTGTACTGACAATATGGAGTTGCAGGATATGCGCCACGGCTGAGCACACCTCGATACAGTGACCACCTCAACACACCATTAGATGAATTTGTACGGATTCATGATCCCTTTGGGGTCAAAGAGCTTCTTGACTTGAGCCATCACATCCAGCATCGCCCTATCTTTGCTGTAACCCACGTATGGCTTTTTGGCGAGTCCCAAACCGTGCTCGGCGCTGATACTGCCGTTATACTGCCGAGTCCAAGCGTAGATCCATGGCTCAAGACATTCTTGGACGGCGTCGCTATACCGCCTAACAACGACATTCAGATGAATATTCATGTCACCCATATGACCATAGCCGAGGACGCTTTCTACCGGAAAATCATCAGTGGGGCCCAGGAGATGATGCGCTGTCAATTCTGCTTCCGTGGCTTTCACAACCTGGTAGAGATCCTTGTGGGGAATAGACAAGTCGTATTTGTAAGTGCCACCGGCCTTGCTCAGGGCTTCCGCGATGCCTTCACGCCAGCCCCACAAAGCCTTGATCTGAGAGCCGTCTTGAGCAACGACTCCATCGGATACGATACGCTCGGACAATACGTGTTCAAGGAAGCCTTCGAGCTTCTCATAGTCGTGACAAGCATTGCTGCCGCTCGTCTCCACTAGGCAGTAGAAATCGTGCTGTGTGTCCAGGGGCCGCTTGTTTTGGGTGGCTCGGTGGACATAATCCTGGCTGTGTTTGTCCATCATTTCGAAAGCCGATAGGACCTCTCCAAGACGTAGCTTAGCCTCTTGAAACGCAATCTGAACGTGGTCGTACGTGGGCAAGCCGAAAAATGCAACATTCACCGCTTTTGGCTTCGGAGGGCAGACAATAGACACACCAGTCACTATTCCGATAGTCCCTTCGCCACCGATAAACAGATGTTTAAGGTCATAGCCGGTGTTATTCTTTCGTAGGCCCGAAAGATCGTTTAGTACTACGCCGTTCGGGAGCACAGCCTCGATACCCAACACGTTTCCGTGTAGAGAACCGTAGCGCAACAATCTAAGGCCGCCTGCATTTGTAGAGATATTGCCTCCGACATGGCAGGATCCTTTCGCACCCAAATCTAGTGGGAAGATATGTTGTCGCTCCGCAAGGTACAAATCTGCGGTCTCCAGAACAACTCCAGCATCCACAGTCAATACCCCACTGACCTGATTAAAGTCTCGTATATGTTTCATGTTCGAGAGCGAGATGATGATCTCGTCAAACACAGGTACGCTGCCACCCACCAAACTAGTGTTCCCTCCTTGGGGTACGACTGCGAGATTGTTGTCGTTGCAGTATGCCAAAATTTGGCTGACTTGAGAGGTGTCGCGAGGTCTCAGCACTAGTTGGGAATTGCCTTTGTACTTTCCCATCCAGTCTTCATTGAAGCCTGTGAGTTCTGAGGACCCGTCAGGCGTGTTTCCGTCCAGGACATCGGGCGATCCCAGCGCCGATTTGAAGAAGCCGATGTGCGCTGCGCTCAAGCGTGCAAATCTGGCGTCGCGTTTCAATTGTCGTTTGTCCCCTGTAGAAGCTGTGTGCGCTGACCTATGAGCAATGCTGAACAGTACTGATGGCTTCGTTCTCCAGGCGGTGAAGGATGACGAAAGATGAGCTGTGAATGTCGGCTCACACGGTCTGCTCACTCTACTGACACCCCGGAGTCCTCCGCTCTTTAGAAGAAGCAGTTTCATGTCTGATCCTCGCTTCACCGAAATGATTCTCTGGTGCTGGTCTCATTAAAATCACTCAAACGCAGACGAGCCTTTTAGCCTTCATACTAGGCGAAAATAGATTACTTACGGTCAAATATTTTGATATTAATTAAGTAGTAATTAAAGTATTATAGCTAAAAAATATTAGTAATAACTAGTTAAGAATCTAAATTAGAGATCTTTCTAGAGTAGATATAAGATAGAGCTAGGGAGTATAAAGTAAGGTCGCTTTCATCTTACTGTGTCTCTAGTTGACGCTGCAAATTCTGTAACACGCACTCGGTAACACGTATTTACAAAGCTGGTGATTGTTCACTGCTGAGTCGAAGTCTCGAGTCCAATGTTGGATATCATCGGCCCCACTTGCCCTGGTTCGAGTTCGAAACAAACTGTTGCTTTCATTTTGCCGAGGTGTAAAATGGCCATGTGACTAACCAGATAAGAGATTAGTATCTACCGTTTGTTAGTTGGTAAATTGCAGCTCGATCGAGAATTGCTTGACCGTACTGGTTTGATCCCTGCGAGGCTTATCACAAGGCTCGCTCATGCAGGGTGAGTTCACACAAAAAGCAGGGCAGAAAATGAACGGGCTGATGTGGATCATCCTCCCGAGATACTCGACGCATTCCGTTTAGGGGTGCGACACAACAGAATATGCATACAAGGTTGGAATCCTCCCACTAATACTAATAAACTACTGAGGATGCTCAGCACAAGTCACCACAGTAATGTTGGCATCGTTCCCGTGCAATTCAGATGCAAACAACGCAATGGGCAAGGTATAGTGCTTCTGAGCATGGAATATCCACACCAGAGCGAACAGAAACAAGCCCACCGCGACCACGGCCGAAGCGTAGTTCATCGAACTCGCCGTGACGGGATACGAGGTGGGAAAGCATAGGAAAACGGTCACCAGCATTGCCCAAGCCACACTGATAATGTTGATGATGGGCCCAAGTCGTCCAAGGTTGAAATATCTTTTCTTGGGTAGTGATTTTCGTCCTTTAACCAACAGGCAGACGATCGGGATCATGTAGGAAAAGAAGAAGCAGATGGCTGCACTTCCGGTGATGCCGTATAATACCGTCGTGGGACCAAAGATGAGCAGTCCGATCAGAAACTGAAGGATTGAAACCACAATAATCGAATTGACGGGGAGTAACCATCCTGGATTGAGGTGGCCTTGCCATTTTGCCCATGGCAGTGACCCCAACTGCGAGAAGGACCACCAAACACGGCTGAGTGTTGTTACAATGGAGCCGCAGGCGAAAAAGAACAGGCCCAGATAGATAACACATGCAATAATGGCCAACGGTTGAGACCTCATGCTGTCGTGGAAAAGTGTAAAGATTGGTTGGGTCGAAATCAGGAGGTTTGCTGGTTCTGTGATCGAAAACAAAAGCGCTATAACCATCGGAAGCCCAGCAAAGCCGCAGAGGAGGACCAGGCCGATCATGACTTGAGGTATTTGCTTTGCAGGATGGGGAACTTCATCTGCCATGTGTGCGGCCGAGTCGAATCCATTCAGGGCAGTCAGTCCTGGCAAAAGTGCCAGGAAAAAAACCATTCCATTTGATGACCACCCTGTCTCATTATTGATGTCGACAAAGACTTGTCTTGGTGATGGCTTGGGTGTAGCTCTGACCAGGAGGGCAATCAAGATGAACAAAGCCCCTAGGTTGATATATCCGAGCATGAACTTTGACATAAAAGGCATGAATTTGAAGCCCCATGTATTGATGAAGAATGCGTATATACTGCAGGCAACATACAGGAGAAACACTTGGTATCCTTTCTGATCCCAGGTTGACCCACAGACTTGGACAAAAGCCAGAACTAGCTGTGCAGTGAATAAAAAGGTGGCAGATGTCCAGAAAGTCCAAGCCATCATGGTGAATGCTCCAGTAAAATAACTTAGCGGCCTAGCAAATGCTCGGGGTGCTAGTCGGGACGTCCAGAAGATTTGACCTTGTGAAAATTAGTATTTCCCCAAGGTGCTGATAGATAGTGGCTTACCTGAGGTATGAGGTAGAAATGCAGCAATCTCGGCCAAACTCAAGACGACCAAGGTTTGGAAGAAGAAACAGACAATATATCCATAGAAAAAGTACGGGCTTCCACCCGCCGAAAGGCTAAATGCCAGAAAGGTTCCGATGGACAGTGGCGTTGCGATGTACGAAAAGCCGATTCCCAATGTGCTCCAAAGACTGAAGTCCTGGTGCAAAGCAGTCTCCAGCACTTGGCCTTCAGTTAAGGATTTGGTCTTTGCCATGGAACTGTTCTCGTCCGGGGCATCGGCCAATTTGACCTCAGGGGCGTTTGATTTATTGCTCTCCATCATGGGCGAACAGCGTCGGACGGGATGGGAGCGTAGATAGATATTTGGTGGGTGGAAAGAAATAGGTCAAGGCAGAGAAGCTGTTGGAAGATATAGGCCAGAAATCATTGGGCCAAACAGCCACGGCTGGACCTCAGACCGAGCGATGCTCTGTAGATGTTTGATAAGAGATGGTAGGATCGAGAATTCATGAATTTTGGTTGCGGGACCCACCTTCCCGTACAACAAACGCTAAGAATGAAGATTACCGTAAAGTTCAATCAGCGGGGATTTCTTGCTGATTTGAGCATGTGGCTTGAGACCCTGAAGCATAGCATTGCGTATTTCAAGTCTAGCCTCTAAGTATCATGAATCTCGTCGTCTAGTTTCCGTGATAGCAATAATGTCTCTGGGACGCGTTGCTCGTTTATGCATTGAGGAACTCGCTGACCGTTCTCATGAACTTATCTCTCTCTTCCCAATGCGGCATGTGGGTGGATTTGTCGAACTTGACCCAATCTGCGTCGACGAATTTCTTGAATTCGGATTGCGAAAGGTCATCGGCACCCTCTTGTGCCCCATTCATCAGTAGCGTCCGTACCTTGATCAAATGCGCTCGGCCTTCCATGGTCCAGGTCGCCATTGTGCCAACCCAGTCAAACTCATCCGGCCCAAGGCTACCAATTTCGTTAGCCGTCTGTAACTGAGTCGTGTGCGATTAATCCGTGACTTACGTGCTTTTCCACACCGTATCATCCCTTCCCAAGTCGTCGTAGCAACGCTGGATTTCCGCTGGTAGGGGGTCAAGATTCATGAAATGTCGCTTGTAGAACTCATCAAGAGCCTCCTGGTACTCCGGAGTAGGTGTAGTGTCGAAAGTTCGTGTTTGCATCAACTGCTTGCGTAGCTCTTCAGGCATAAGATCCCGATAGCGCTTGTAAGTATCTGTCCACATCTTGGAGCTGAAAGGAGTGTTTGCCAACACCAGGCGTCGAAGTCCAGCCGGTTGCGTGGCAGCATATGCTGCAGCCAGCATCCCACCCCACGACTGACCAAGTAAATCGTAGTCATCTTGGATGCCCAAGAGGGTGACCACCGCCGTCACCTGATCAAGAAAAAACTGCTCCGTCCAGAAGTCATAGTCGCATCGTTTTTCAGGTAGATGAGTTGATTTGCCGGTTCCGATTTGATCAAAGAAAATAAGAGGCCGTGTCGGTGAAGCAAGATCGGTGAGACTCAAGAGATAGTCATGGCTCATTCCAGGACCTCCGTGGAGGATGACTAGTGGCCGACCTGATCGAATATCACCGGCGCACATGTACCAAATTTGACAATCCTTGCCCGCAGCTGCGCAGGGAAAATCGACAGATCCCTCAGTTTGTTTCATGGCGATGGCTGAGGTAGTAATGTAGTACCCAAATGCAAGAAAAGCATCGTTGATTGTTTCACGCAGGATTGGTGAATTTATTTACCGCTTTATGCCAAGATCACAGGGGATTGGAGGCTTTGAGCACTGGTTAAGTCTTCTCCACTTCCACCGTCTTCATCCATGTTAGCCTTCATTGGTACCTTTCCAAGTCCTGATTCACGATATTCCTATAAGTCATTGGCTTTGCCTAAGTTCAAGACTCACGTCGCATGTACAGCGAAAAAGCAGTAATTCTGATAATGAACGCGACTAAGCCAGACCAGGCCGTAGGCATCGTGGAAATGTTCTAGTCTGAGCAAGAACATAACAGCAACACCATGAAGACAGAATTGTGTGAGACGATAAGTTGACCATTCGACATGACCAGCACTTAATTTCCGGTGGCGAAGGTTGTCAAGTCCCAGAACGCAGCCTGACTGTGCCGTTGCTGTCGGGTATAGTTGGTGCTGACGAAGCACTCTCGCGACGGTGCTTCTTAATTATGCTATGCCTTTTTATTTTGAAGGGCAAATTTTGTCATACTCTGCTCTGGCAGGAATTCGTAAAGACAGAGAAAGTTCACCAAAAAGCTCGCCCTTCAGTACCGCCATGGTGACATAGTCACCATGGCGGTACCCTTTCTGCGGCTTGCTAATAATACTCGCGAAGCATGGACAGAATTCTGCAACCTCTGAGAGACTTTGATATCGCGGGACCTTCGTTTGGACGATGTTCCTAGCACTTTCCTTGGCGCAATTTGCGCGTATCACGGCTCACAGCCTTGTTATCCGAAGATCATTATAAGATCGAACATCACCATGCACGTACGAAGTTGGCAAGGGAGCAGTGCTTCCTGCCACCCGTTATCGAGTTGTACCCAAACGAGCTACGATACGAACCCGCGAGACTGGGCATGGACCGAATTCGCACTATTCAATACGATCTAACACTCGCGGGGATGTATCGCAAGGTTTGTCTGAGACACTGGGGGCCGACCTCCTCACGGCCAGGCCAACCTAAAAGGATATGACTCAATGATTTACAAAGATGGTCCTGTCATATACTCATTGCGATTTGGGATGATCCGGCGTTTAATGATTCAGATTTGGAAGAGAGCTCGTGGCAATACTTGGCCTCCGAATGTGATCCTGCACGTGTCAGATGCAGTCAATCCGGTCCACCTGACACACCATCGTCTAGACAATGATATATTTGACTCGACATTGGGCCTAGCTCGATTGAGGCATGTGTCGTTTCGATTTCTCGAGGCTTAGATCCACTCAATAACAGCGCCGTGCCTCGGCAGATCTAACTCACCAGAAAATTTGGACTGGTGGACTTTGAAGTCGTGTGAGGGATCGGGGAATTTTCCACCCCCTGCCACCCTTTCGACTTCCGGTCTCGACCCGCTCGACGCCTGACCAGGGGTAGATATTCAGGCTGAATTCGAATTTCTCTCTCTCCCCATGTTTTTATTTTTTGGCGCATGGGTCATACGAGCTTCAATGGGTCGATCTACCCGCATATCATGTGGGGACGCTGCTAGGCCAGTCCGAAACCGCATTCTTTCTCGTTACAAGGCTTCCAGAGACAAAGCTTGCGCCATTTTCTTTCTAGACAGAAAACTTTAGCCGCACTCGAAATAACACCACCTACACGGTCGGAAGATCGGTAGGCCGCAGATACGGTAGCTCAAGAATGAAACCTGGATTGAGATGATCTTTGATGAGGATTTGGTGATACTATACTCCGTACTCGCTCTTTGCAGGTCCAACAAGATGAAGATCTTAGCCTATATTCCAGCGCAATCATTTTTTCTTTCGCTTGGTTCATGTTCGGGCTGGATGTAGGGGGATGACCCAGACTGGCAGGACCGAGGAACATGTCTTCATGATACCACTATTTGGCAGATAGCCTTGTGCTCAGAAGTTCGAATATGCTAGCAATGTAAAGGCGATGTCTAAAAAGAGTCACCACCAACAGTATCAAGCTTGAAGGATTTGTGATCCGGGAATTTCTTGCCTTGCCCTCACTAGATTCCCTTGGCCCTTGTCGAGCGGTGCAAGTAAGGTACATAGTTGGTCAGTGAGATACCAAGCACATGCAAGGCCATCACGTAGGAGGTGAGTCGACGATGGTTTCTGGCTATTTACTTCGTACATGGAGAGCCTTGCGTTACAGTCAAGGGATCGCCCAAGCTTGTAATCAATCACGCTTGACTGTCGATCTGGTGATCACAGCCATGAGAATTGTGGAACACCCCGTAAACAATTTGTCACCAGTCAGGAACGAGATCGGTACAACCTCGGTGGCGAATTAAGCTTGTCAGAGACCGGCTAAAGCGAGAATTGCAAACGATTGGATGTGACATGCGTTGGTGCAGTACATTGCATGACGCGGGGCTTTGAACAAGGGTAGCTAACGAGCGCCGTACGGCTTGACTTCGTAGCGAATACTCTAGAATAAGGACAGGGGTATGGGGCGCCTCACGGGTGATAGAACTTGGTTTTCTAGGGCCGGCGGAGGCGAGCAAATCGAAAATACGATTGGTCATTTCACAGACATCAGTGATGGTAGTATTCAAAAATAAACTATTCGTATACAGGAAAGACTCTAAGAAGTCTGGATTAGGGAGAATTTGCGGGACTGGGTAGTAATAGCTGGGGAAGATGCATGATAGGTGGCATCAAGACTCAGGCAGAACATACTGAGCATGGGGCACCTTGGAGAGCATCCCCCACTGCGTAGTACGCTGGCTTTCTCGTGAAGTCTGCGTTGTAAAGTGTTGCTGCACCTTGACCAGGGAAAGTTCCAGGAATCCAGGAATACTGGTCGTCGAAATCCCATACCGTCACTCCCACGCATCCATCAACGTCCATACAACTGGCCACTGAATCGTAATAGTCCTGAGCCTGAATGGCAAATCCTGTCGAGTTGGTGGCATTTGCTTGTTCGAAACGAACGTCAAGTTCTGTGATGGCAACCTCAACCCCGAGGCTGACATATCCCTGTTTGGCTGCGACCTGCTCTTCACGGCTGGGTGTTGATCCGACGATGAAGTGAGACTCCAGACCGACACCATCGATGCGAATACCTCTGGACTTTAGTTCCTTGATCAGACCGTACACTGCTTGTGTCTTGTTGCCGGTATCTTCAATACCATAATCGTTATAGTACAGTTTGATGTCTTTGCCGGTGGCCTCGACTGCCTCTTGTGCGAACTGGAATGCGAGGAAAAAGTATTCGGGTCCAATGGTATCATACTGCTTGAGTAAGTGATTTGACAATTTGCGCAAAGTTATCGAGAGCTTACCCAAATACTAGACGAAAAGCTACCATTTGAGGCAACCGCTTCATTGATAACATCCCAAGCATAGCAGTCATCTTGGAAATGGGTAATCAAGGTCTTGATATGGTTTTCCATGACTGCTGTCAGGGTCTCCGGTGTCCAGGTACCATTCACAACCCAGTCACTCAACTGAGAGTTCCACACGAGGTTATGACATCGGAGGTATTTCCCATGGTCCTTGGCAATGTCGACTGCAACTTGTCCCCCGGTGAAGTTGAATACCCCCTGCTCTGGCTCGGTGGCGAAGAACTTCATGTAGTTTGCAGGGGTGATTTGGCCAAAGATGCGAGTATTGTTAAGAATGGTCTGGTACAGGATGTTGTCGTCTTCACCAGTGCCCTGTGAGTACGGTCAGCAAACACAGCAAAGGAAACACGAGTGCTTTACGGCATACTGGCTGATCTGTTGCGCTCCCAAAGTACAACTTTCCAGCTGTGTGAGCTAGATCGTTCAAGTAAGGAGGTCCGGTGGGTTCGAAGGACCCCGAGCAGGATGGAGTCGAAGGTGTCGAAGGCACTGAAGAAGCTGTTGCTGATACGACAGGCTTTGTTGATACACGCGAGCTAGCTGGAACTGACTGATGTGGCCACCCTCCTGTCGACGGCCATCCATTTTGTACGGGGTTTGAGGATACAAGAGTCGCATAACCTGCGAGGAGAAGAGTGTTGGAGCACCGCATGATCAATGATATCCGGCAAACAAGCGGTAGAGTACGTCTTTCAACGATCGAATCCGAACAATCGAGCTTGAGCAAATCTACCATCACCTACCTGTCCTTCGACTTGCGTCTTCATATACCTACTCCCGGCAAATATCTCAAAGACCTTGTTTGGAATCAAAATTGCACAATGTCGATCTATGACCGCTGCTGCGGAGAAAGCTTCTGCGGCTCAATGGCTACGCGTCGATTCAATCAACGATATCAGCCGGGTGTGTAGTGGAAGGGAGTTGGAAAGTGTATGGACGCGTACAACGCAGGTTCTTCCACGTTGTCGATATCTGCCTTCCCGATTCAGTTGCAGAGACATGGCATCCTAGTTTTCGGACACTCTGGGTTCAGATATTCTACAAGGTCTGTAAGTTTTTGGTTCGTTCGTGCCTTGCATCATCACGATTGTGGAGCCGAATTTGCAGTGTCGAAAATCAATTGATCAAGGGTGGGCACCCAGGTAGTCAACAACAGACCTAGCCTTGTCGACCTCGGTAAGACCTTTGAACACTCATGTCTCTCGTACATAATCTTTGCAATCGTTGTCCATAGAGCTCCCATCGTGGACCAAATGACCGATCCAATGGTTCCAGATTGGAATTTTCAGGCTAAGTAAGCATGAGATGGCTCCTGCAAAGGTTGGGGTTGTTGTGGGAGCCCGGATTTCCTCCACGGCTTGGGTATCCGTACCAGGTATGGGTCCGAGATCATTCTTCCTGATCGCTGTCGTAGCGATAGACTATGGACGGGCGTGAGGAGAAAGCTCCCCATGTGATTTGCCGTGATTGAAGTCAAAGTTTCAGAAATGAGTGCCGGCTAAAATGGATAAAATCAGAGCATAGACTTGGAGTGTCAGTCATCTTTATTTCCCGTACCACTGTCAGTAGACTAGATTCATACCCTGGCCCAAGAGTGGCACCTCCCGCCGTCCCCTAACGAGTTAGCCTCGTGCCCGGACTCTGACTTGGAATGCTCTTCATGGGGCCAATGTGGATGCCGCAGATGAGTCCACCACCACTTTCACCCACATCGCCACCTCCAGCTTCAATACTGCACCTCTTGAAGTCCTTGCATGAGCCAATCATGTCAACTGCCATGGTTCGAACATCCTTCTATCGTTCCCCGGTGCGTTGACCTTCCAAGCCATCTAGATGCCTCTCCCGTTGCGCATGTATCATCCTGGTCCCCGAATAGCTTGTTGTCCGTTCTGAGTAACTTACGGCTGATCAACGGAGCTTAGGGTCACGAGCAAGAATTGAGCCCTGGCTTCAGTGGTACGACGTGGTCAGGGTTAATTCAGATCTTTCAGGCTGAGGTAAGGGTATCCACAGAAATGGCCCTTCTGGTCCAGCCAGTGCCGGCACGCAATAGCGCACATCGAACGCTTTTCGCTTCGGATGTCCGTCTCCATTGAGAAATGTTCCTGCCGCCTCTGGTGCTTTAATGGTCCTTTCTCTCAATACCATCGTGTTGCTAGCGGTTAGGACCCTTGTCAAGGACTAGCTCGACTTCCCGCACGCTACTACCGAATGCATGCGGACAGCATGATTTTCATGATCCCCTCGTGAGTGGTAACAGTAGGTTACTTCTGACTTGACTTCAGTGTTGTATAAAGTCCTCTCTTTCCCCATGATTCTTTGAGTTTGCCTTCAACAGCATTGTCGTCAAACAATCGTACGATCATAATCAAGCCACAGAGAGTATCCATTGGGCTGTGAACAATAAACTCACTCGCCATGGGTAAAGCCTATTTTGAAGTCGGCGGTCGCCAATTTCCAGCGGTGACCTGGTATAAGGATCCTGCCTTGAGAAAGACCTACATTATTTTGATGTTTGTCGTCCTTACCAGTGCCACCAATGGGTACGTACCAAAACTACACTTTACACCTTGTATCTGCTAACCCAGCTAGATATGACGGCTCTATGATGAACGGACTTCAATCGCTTGAACCATGGCAAGACTATTTCAACCACCCAAAAGGTAGCAAGATCGGTATCCTGAATGCAATCATGTCTGTGGGTTCTATTACGGCCATCCCATTTGTCCCCTACGCAGCCGATATTCTGGGTCGTCGAACGGGTATTCTGGTCGGCTGTATCATTATGTTGGTCGGTGTGGTTCTCCAGTCCATCTCGTCCGGATTTGGCATGTTCTTGGGAGCCCGTTTTCTTCTCGGTTTTGGTGTTGCCATTGCTCACGGAGCCTCACCTTTGTTGATCACGGAGTTGGTCCACCCTCAGCACCGTGCCATCTTCACCACCATTTACAACACCACCTGGTATGCTGGTTCTATCGTGGCAGCATGGCTGACCTACGGCACGAGTCGTATTGACAACAACTGGTCATGGAGAGTCCCGACCATGGTGCAAGCAGTACCTTCATTGATTCAAATTGGTTGTATCTGGTTCGTCCCCGAGTCACCTAGATGGTACATCGCCCATGGAAAGGAGGATAAGGGACTACGTGTGTTGGCCAATGTGCATGCAAACGGTAACGAGCACGACGAAATGGTACAAGTCGAGTATGTCGAAATTCGTGACACCCTCAGACTCGAGAAGGAAGCCGAAGGAAATGGTTGGCTCGAACTTGTCAAGACAAAGGGTAATCGTCACAGACTCATCATCTTGCTCTCTGCTGGTCTCTTCTCGCAATGGTCTGGTAACGGTCTCGTTTCCTACTACATCACCAAGGTAAGATTTCCACCCAACCTCTGCTCTTCATCACATGAACTCACCAATTTCAGATCTTGAACGAGATTGGTTATACTGATGTTTTGACTCAAAATCTCATCAACGGCGTAAGTCTTCTGATCTATTGGCAGCTATGGATTTTGACTAACTGAGATTAGATTCTTCAAATCTTCAACCTTGCCACTGCTGTCACTGCTTGCTTTTTCGTTGACAAAGTTGGCCGTCGCAAGCTCTTCCTTATCTCCACCACTGGCATGCTTGTCACCTTCACTGTTTGGACCATCTGCTCGGCCAGATACCAAATTGAGAAGAGCAAGGCAGCAGCCAATGCTGTGGTTGGAATGATCTACATCTACTACTTCTGGTACAACGTTGCATGGTCTGGTATGCTCGTCGGTTACACTGTCGAGATTCTCCCATACAACATTCGAGCCAAGGGTCTCACAGTCATGTTCTTGATGGTCGATATTGTGAGTTGACTCTCGTTTAATTGTTCTATTCAAGTCTTGGCAAGTCAGAGATCTAACTCATCGGTGATAGGCATTGTTCTTCAACCAATATGTCAACCCTATTGCACTCGATGGTAAGCAAGCCCCCCTTCTGTTGATGATGAAATCGCAAGTTTAACGGGACTTCTAGCAATCCACTGGAAGTACTACATCTTCTACTGCGTCTGGCTCGCCATCGAACTCGCTGTCGTGTATTTCTTCTACGTCGAAACCCGTAACACTCCTCTCGAGGAAATTGCCAAGCACTTCGATGGTGATAGCGCACTCGTCGGTGGTGCCGCTGCTACCGACAAGGGACTCAGCATGGCGACCGATCTTGGTCTTGAAGAAACCATTCATCACCGGACTGCCACAGGAGAGAAGCGTCACGGAGTTGAGCTTGAGACTACCAACGTTACAGACAAGAATTAAGCGGTCCAGGATACTTGCCGCATGGCGATGACATGAGGAAGTGTAGGAATTCTGTCAGAGTCTCAGGTGTGAGACAGATTTCTCTCTGACAGCAGTCACAGTTAGTAATGGTGTAGTCGAGCATGATAGTATCAATTAGGGATCATAATTCACATACTTGACCCCGTGGAGACCTAAGTTCATATATCTCTAAACAATTAATGCTGGTTTTTGACCCTGGCTGCGGGTAGTCATAACATCCCATCTCTTGGTAAGCATCAAGTCCCATACTACCGCATGAGGAACGCTGCTTTCCCATCTTGTCATGAGAATCGCATCCTTCCTTCATAGACTGGACTATCCCAGATGATGTTAAGAAAGCGCGATCACGACCTCCCACGGACGCAACTTGATCGCCCACTGCCCATTGTCCCCCCTTTTCACCTCATTCTCCTTACCTTCCGATGCATAGTTCCTCAAGTCCGAGACGATCGCCTCTTCTCTCAGTCCTCCGTTGTCAAACAGAATATCCTTTACATTTCCAGGCACGGTCCACCAAGTATCCTCGCCACCGAAGTGTGTAATGACGAGACATCTCGATCGATCCCCTCCGTTTCCTGCATCATCTGCCGTTCGAAGATATGCCACAACATGCTCGTCTTCGAAGTCTAGCATTTCAAAATCTCCATACACAAAGATGTCTTTATGTGTCTTGCGGAGTTGAAGCACACGGCGCCAGTAGTGGAAGGAGGAATTTTCGTCCGCAACCAGTGTCTCTGCATTCCATTTCTTGAAGTCTGGATGGATCGACATCCATGGTTTCGACCCTTTGGCATTGCCTTCGGTAGGCGCAGGCGAGAAACCAGCATAGTCTTCAGCTGTGGGCTTCCACTGCACCGGGGTTCTTGCGTTGTCTCTGCCGATCAGGCGATACTGCTTCTTGAAAATCGCTTGCTTTTCTTTGTCGTCGGGATATTCTTCCAGCACCGTCTTCCAATGATTGATAACCTCTAAATCCTGATACTCTTCGAGACCCCAGTCCTTTGGGACATTTATCTGTGCAAGCTCTTGTCCTTGATAGATGAAGACGGTTCCCGATTGAAACGCCAGATGGCTGGCGATCAATTTCGAACTCTTCATCCTGTATTCTTCACTTTCATCACAATACCTGCTGATTGTTCTGCCTTGATCGTGGTTTTCCATGTACAACGCGTTCCATCCACCATTCTCAAGCATAAATCTCTGCCATTTATTGACGATTTGCTTTAGTTCTCGAACATCAAATGGTCTCGGCAGCCACTTGGAATTAGGCTGATGATCCATGTCAACGATTTCAAACTGGAATGCCATTGCCAACTCTCCACGGTCCTGTCCTACTCCCTTCAAAATCTCCTTTGTGTCAGTCACTCCTGGCATCTCACCAACACTGAAAGCACCGTACTCTTTTAAGATGCTCCCAATGCCTTGGAGAAATTCATGAAGTCTTGGACCACATGCAAAATGCTCCGCACTCATTTGCAGGAACCCTGGTTTGGTGATTTTGTTGTCCGGTAATCCTGGATCTTTAGATATAAAATTGATAACATCCATACGGAAACCATCAACACCTCTGTCGAGCCAAAACCGAATGACTTCGTGCACGGCTTCCACAACTTTTGGGTTCTCCCAGTTCAGGTCAGGCTGCTCCTTAGCGAAGATGTGAAGATAGTATTCCTGAGTGGCTTCGTCCCACTCCCACACGGAACCCGAAAATGCTGCCTCCCAATTATTTGGGGGAGTACGATTTCCCTCGCGATCATATCTAGCAGGACGCCAGTAGTACCAGTCCCGATAAGGGTTATCCTTAGAACTTCTCGATTGCTTGAACCACTCGTGCTGATCACTGGTGTGATTGACGACGAGATCCATCACATACTTCAATCCTCGGTCATGGAGACCCTTGATAAGCTGATCATGATCATTCATGTTGCCGTATAAGGGGTCAATATCACGATAATCCGATATATCATAGCCCATATCAACCTGTGGAGATCGCAAGATTGGTGACAACCAGACCAGGTCGACTCCCAGCCGAGCAATGTAATCAAGTTTGGAAATGATACCGGGGATGTCTCCTCGACCGGATCCTGTACTGTCCTTGAAAGAAGCAGGATAGATTTGATACACCGAAGACTCCCGCCACCATGCTGGCTGGATGTGCTGTTTGACTGAAGGACCAGTGCTCAAGACACTTCCCACTGAAGGGGCGTCGTTTGGAAGACTCATCCTGCCTTTGCTTTCGTCTCGTACACTGATGCTGAAGGGCAACCTTGAGTTTCTGCTACTTTACCAATGCTGAAGAATCACAATCGTAGGTTGAGCAACGTCTTCGACTTTTTATACCACGTAAGACCGGAACAAGAAGATTTCAATCATTAAGCCAAAAACACGAGAGGCAAGAAGTCACAACAAAGAAATGAGATACGGCAGGCTTTCCAGAATGAGCGACCTACCCAAAGGATATGAGCGAGCGAGGGCGAGCACAACAACCACCCTGTCCACTCAGTCTCGGCAAACGACGTAGGAGGAGACACAACGCGTGAAGGAACACCAACGACTGCTGGCGAAATCCGCTACTCCGCACTACGCCACGCGCTGAGATGGATCTTCAAGGGACTGCATCAATCCGTACATGGTAGTTCGAGCAAAGATCTCTAAAAATTGACCGAGTATTTCGCCGAAGAAAGATTTGGGAATTCAAGGTATGAGGAAAAGAATGTCGTGTGGAAGTGAAGAATTGGAGAAGACAGAATGGCAACGGATAGAATTCCTATCTTGGACGCCTAACAAACTTTGCCATCTGGCAAACAGGTTCCTGTCGAAATGATGCGCTTACGCTGTGATTTCTGACTTGTCAGCCTCAGCATCTACGTACCTGAGCAAATGTAGCTACGCTGACTCCTGAAATGGCGGTGTCAGAGAGGCACGTGAAGAATTTAAACAATGAGAACAAGACTTCGATCACGGCATCGAGGTCTGAAGGCAACCCGCGAACATACTGTTCCCTCGACCCCTGGAGAGCCAACAGGAACATGTCTCACTAGGTATGAATACATTTAATTAGGAAGCTTAGTTTAGGCCCGAAAGTCTATCCCGACCGTTGGAGTTCGTGTACCTCTCGAGGTACTAAGATAGTCGGGCATCCATGTCATCTCACACCGAATGATCTACATAGATAGGGGGATGATGAGTCGTATTAGACCAAGGTACAGCAGTTGGATATTCGTCGAAGCCGGTCGAAAGGCATGCATGTTTGTTGAGCAAACAAGATTCTCTGAGCCTTATACGAATGTACTGTACATTGCCGCGCAACCGCACGTATCTACAGAGGTCTCCAAGTACCTACAGCCAGGACAATCAAAAACAGGGCTACAGTCGACCTGGCCTTGTTGCAGCATTTCGTATTTATGACGAGACCTATAGTGCAATCAAACTCCAACGAAATCATACCTATCTATCCATGTTTGCGGTGGATAAGCCGACCCAGTCCCTGGTGAGATGATCATCCAACCAGGCCAGGGAAGGCAAGGCAAGGCAATTCGTCGAAGAATTCAAACAGTATCTAATGGCTGTGGTATCGCGGTCGAATCGAATCGAATCATGTCGGGTCGTATAATCTCGTATGACCTCGTGTCGTATCGTTGGTTCAAAAAAACCCAAATCCTCAAGTTCAATGGGTATCCATCTCCATCTGGCGCTCTGTCCTTTAATCGTCGAAACCCGCAAACCATGCATAATTGTACACAAACAAATTTCCATGTGAAAGAGCCTTCAACATAGCCACACGACTCCCCGCTTCCAAAGTTTCATTAGCAATGCAAAAGTCCACCACAATCAACGGAAAGAGTTCTTCGCCTTCTCTCTAATACGGCCCAAATCCTCAACACATTTCAGGTGTAATTCGTTCGCGTGATCCCACCATTCGCGGCACCTGGCATCTTCTTGCAGCCATTGCATATAAGTAGCATACCCTGCATAACTTGATGATCGCGAACGAGTCAGACCTATTCCTGTGTCTCTATCCTCTTCGTGTGCATCTGGACCATCTGATCGGATTGTGATCCAGTTGTCGAGCATATTCCCGCAGACCATGTCCTGACGGTGGCGAAAGTGCTCAAGCATGCTCGCATTGAAATTATTCCACTCCTTCATGTATGCCGCCATGTTTTGACAGTATTGCATGAAGTTATCCGGTGTGAGGCGATCCTCCGCTGGTGGTACCACAGCTCGTGGTGGACGAGGCATGGCAAGTGGACGAGGATTTTTGTTATTTGATTGCTTTCGTTCCAGATCGACATTTTTCTCGGCACGAGATTCAAAGGGAAGATTGGCGGCCAGTTCGTCCATATCCTTCAAACCACCAGCTTTGGCTGCAAACGGCGCATGTTTTGCAAGGTCGCTCAAGTCTACTCCTCCATTCATGGACTGCCTCTTGCTTGATCGTCTGGATGAGTCCCTGACCGAGTGATTGATACCATTAGTAGAAGTTCGATGGTGACCATTACCTGTCACAGGCTGGTCGTCCACGTCCATAACATCTTCTTCTACCACGACATATGGCTCTCTCGAACTGGTCGAACTCGAATCATCCTTTCCCTGGTGCGATGCTGCTCGAACTTCCCCTTGGCCAGTGGATGGTTTGAGATTTGAAGCCCAATCACCAGCAAGTTTTCCTGGCTGAAATGCTGTTGCTTTGTTGACAGGAGGATCGTCTCGACGGTGAGCTTCGGCATGTTGACCTCGAGGCCCAGTAGAACTTTCCGAGGAGGAATGACCTTCTTGATCAGCAGCTCTTGAAAGTCCACGACCACGAGTGACAGGCTTAACTGTGCGCGAAGTCTTCGAAGGAGACTTTCGTAATTGAGCGTCATTCAGATTCGGCCGGAAATCATCTGATGTAACCTTGTCATGCCACTCAGATGCCACGAAAGTACCATTAACATGGTGAGTTGGTTTTTCGTTGTGACTAACACCGCGATTAGTGAATTTCTCATTGAAGAAAGAATTGCGAGAAGATCTAAGAAGATCAGCGCTAGTAATAGCATCAGAAGCAGCGCGACGAGGGGTCTCTCGTGGCTCCGTACGTGGAGGAGTCCTTTGCGGATAGACAGTCGAAGGGACTGCCCATGAAGGAATGCCGTTGAAAGACTGCCCTCGTTGCGTGCGATTGGGACCACAATAATGAGACCAAGAATAGGGAGACTGATTAAGGGAAGTAGAAGCATACTTGGGACCATCCATATTTCCACCACGTCCATCGAATTCATTTCGGGGGAGCTCATCGGGGGAAGCCATATCTGTCCAAGGCTTTCGAGTGTGCTCCCTGGGTTCAGGAGGAGGATAGTGGTGTTGAGAGTCGTTGACTACTTTTGTATAATTAGTACTGGGGAAATGCCCAGTTAAAGCGGGATCATCGTCAGCAAAAGCTTGAAAACTAGGACCGGTCTGTGGTTTGGGCCGACTCTTGGGGGTTGCTTTTGGTCTTGAACCCATCTGTATGACCTCCTCTTCACCCGAAGATGAGGAATAATCAGCATGAACGCCAGTTGAGCTAACTTTAGGACTTGCACTGCGGTGACGAGGCACGTGCTCATATCGCCCCGAGCTTCGACCAAAGGGACCTCGATCTTCCCAAGCCGGTTCGACCGGAGAATTGCGAACGCTGGCAGACCGATGCAGGCCATCATCATGAATATCAATCCTCTCTCCACCGAGACCACCGTACTTGGCTGATGGACGTGATGTGCTGACACGTTCGGATCGCATTTCGTGATCTGAAGAGCGAGTGTGTCGTAACGGACTCACGGTGGGTCTTGCTCGAGATACAGGGGGAGATCGCACATTGTAAGGTTCAGATACATGGATATTTGGAGGCTGAGGAGGAGCATATGGACGTTCAGCTCTGACATGCGCATAAGCCGACGTGCGTGGGGCAGCAGGCTCATCAGCGTTGCCATAGGCACCTGGCATGTAGCCTGTAGGCTTCCGAGCACTTTGAGTCCTTGACAACCCGGGGAAACTGGTTGGAGGGACATTGGGGATGTGAGCCGTCTCAGCGGGCGGGGGCTGTTTTGGTGCAGTGGGATGTTGTCGGCTGGTTCGTGGGGGCATCTGAGGAGGATTCTGTGATTGTCTCATGTTGGAAAAGCCACGAGCAGCGCCAGCCTCGGCCTCAAATCTGCTGCGATCCCAGGCATTGGCATTTGGAGCAGGGCGGGCCCAGGCTTCGAATTTCCCAGCGCCCGCCGAAGCAGGCTTTTGATTCGGGGGAGGAAATGGGGAGCGTCTCTCTTGTTGTTTTGGAGGAGGAAAGTTGAAGGGAGTCCCTGCCGTTGTAGGCTTTTGAGCATTGGAACGGGCAAAAGAATATGGATCGGGGGTATATGTGGTGGCGTTCTTTGCAGCAAGTTTTGCCCTGCCTTGGTCGTATTTCAGCTTCTCAACGGGATCAATCAAGATCTCGTGGGCGGCTTGGACTGCCTGAAACTTTGGGACGACTTCAGCTTCATGACCGGGATTGCGGTCTGGGTGATATTGTTTGGCTGGAGATTATTTAGGGAGTGTCAGGAAACACAGACGGGGCAATTGAGCAGCTTACCCAACAGTCTGAATTGCCTCTTGACTTCTTCAGAGTCTGCCGTTGGGGGTAAATCCAGGTCGGCATAATAATCCCGCTTGACATCGGCCTTGACCATGATGCCGGTGGTGATTGAGAGGTGATCTTGACGCTCTCAGAGGTGGGATATGATAATCAACGGTCTTGCTTTGAAGTCATTCAACATGATTCCAACACCAAAGATCGACGGGAAATGTGGGCGCAGGGCCAAGCAGCGGGAACAAGTGGTGAATGGTTGGTTGAGATTGAAATGATAGAGGAGTTGTTCAATCCCGGGGTGTGATCGGTGACCGTTGTACAACTTGAAGTGAGGGAAGATGAATGGTAAGCCAGGAGTTGTTGAACAGAAGGATCAAAGTCAAGTTCTTGTGGTACTCGTACTCGGTGCTCCGGCGACGATGATGATATTATCAAACGAGGTGCAATGAGGAGAGTGGCTGTCAGTTGGGTAGCAATACCATTCGTTGATTTTGATGGAGGGACTGGGCGGGACAAGCCAGGCAACGCACGAGAATGAGTTGTGCGAGGGGATCTGTGAGGGCGTCTGTGGTTCCTGAGAAAATGCAGGGATTCAGAGTGTAAGTGTTAGATCAACTAGTGAACGAGTGAAGGTGTCAGTGAGGGAGTGAATGAATTGGATAGATGGAATAAGGCAGATGATGTGTTGGCAGGTTGTGATTTGTGAGGTTCAAGATGTAAATATGTTCACTAGGGCTCTGGCGTAGGCGCAGGCAGGCGCAGGCATGTCCAGGCGTGGGAGTCACAGGTGTCTGTGGCAGGCAGGGTTGACCTGCACAAAAACACATGTCGGTATTGGGTTTAGTGGGAGACCAGAGCCAGTTGTGGCTAGACGCTATAGCGCCTAGGGTTCCAGTTAAACTCCCGGCAAAAAGGCCCTATCCGTCCCAGTCTTGCCTGACATGCCCCGCCTAATGAGCCCGCTTGTCACTGGGCTTCCTGGTTATCCACAGGCAGCCTGATCGTTGGCTACTCATACTAGTTTGGTGGTAGATATCTCGAGGCAACCTTGCTGAGTGCCCACTGCCCATCATTGCCCAGTTGGTTGGTGGCTCGTGCAAAAGTCACTGCTGGATGCACCGTTGAAGCCACGGTTAGTTAAGGTACTGTTCGGTCCAGGCCGCAATGAATTCCAGGTTTCGGTGCCTGGCGCCTGGGATGTCAGCCTTTTAAGCCCCGACTCTTGGAGACTTCACATCTTGTCGTCGCGATCCTAAGCCTGAGCTTGCATCTGCATTTACATCAACCATTCATCTCATCATCTTCATCATCAAGCAATCACAGCATTGGCCTGTGCCTCACGCTTCTCCTCTGAATCTCCACTGCTCGCCAAACCGTTGGTTCCGTTCTGCTCCAAGCCTCGACCTTGAAAGATCTGCTGCAGGACCGACTGGATCTCCACCAAGAATCGATCAACCTCTTTCTCCGTACCCACTGTTATTCGTACGCAACCTTTGCACCCCAATTCCTTGCCACGGAATCTCATCACTACTCCCCGCTTCTCTGCCATGATTTCGTAAAGTTGAACTGCTGTCACATTGTCAGGCTGTCCTCCATCTTGTGCTGCTTTATCCAGTATCTCCACCAGCAAGAAGTTGGATGCAGTTCCTCCTCGGATTCGGCCAATGCCTGGAATTCCGGGCAGTTCTTTCAGCATTCGGTCGCGCTGTGCCACGATCTTGGCCTTGTACTCTTCCATGACTTTCAAACCCTCACCTTGTAATGCGTGGATTGCAATGACGCTGGTCGGTTCTGAAACGTTATAAGGTGCCTTGATATTGTTGAGCAATGCTGCAATCTCCTTGGAGGTGAATGCTACTCCCAGACGAATCCCGGCCAGTCCAAATGCTTTGCTGAGAGTCTGCAGTACGACCAAGTTGGGCCACTCCAACACCCATTCGGCCAGACTGGATCCTTCCGGAGAGAAATCAATGTATGCTTCATCCACGATCACCACCCCGTTCCAGGTAGGATGCTCCAGTATCTGTCGTATGTCTTCCTTTTTGATCAGAGCAGCCGTGGGGTTGCCTGGGGAAGTGATATACACCATCTTGATGTTAGGTTCGGAGGAGAGCTTGTCGCAGATGGCCTCGGGCTGTAGAGAGAACCCATCCTCGGGTTGAAGTGGGACCTGGACGATGGAAATGTCGTTGACGTCGGCGGACACCGAGTACATGCCATAGGTAGGAGGACAGGTAAGGATCTTGTCTTTGCCCGGAGTGCAAAAACAACGGAACAAGGCGTCAATCGCTTCGTCTGAACCGGTTCCCGTGAACATGTTCTCGGGCTTGAGATCTTTGCTTGTGTGGGTATGAGTGTTTCTCAATCGGCAGAACTGCTCTTTCAATGGGATCTGGTGGGGATCAGGGTATCGGTTGAGAGAGCCAAACGCGGAGAAGCCATGGTTATCTTTTGCTAAGCTTGGACCATAGGCATTCTCATTGGCGTCGAGAAGAATGTTGGTTCCGTCGTCTTTGTAGTCACTTCAAGTCAAACGTGAGTCAATCAGTCAACGGCGGGTTGAGACGTTGGGGAATGCTACTGAAGGCGGAGGAAGACTTACTCTCGGGCGCATCGATAGGGTTGCAGTTTGAGAATGTTCGGTCTGGCGCAGGTGGCCAGATCGAACGGAGAGGTTTTCATGCTCATTGTTGAAGAGGAATTGAGGAGTCCAAATTGTAGTTCCAGTGCTCTACTCGGGGCGCAGGACGATGACTGATGAATCGATAAGAAAATTCCCGGGAAATTTCCCCGCGTCAGGAAAATTGGAGATGCTTAAATAATAGTGGCACTTCAGTAGGCTTCACTTCTTGACCTCTCTTCTATCGTCGACATCTCTACCCTTCCTAGACTATAGTCCCATTCACACATCCCCGTACATCTACCTGTACTCCCCACTCCAGCAATGGCAGACCGGAAATCTGCCTATGGGGCACCTGCCTCCGATACCGATTTCCGAAGAACCTGGGACAAGGAAGAATACGCAGCCAAGGGCAAGAAAGAGGCAGAGGAACGAAAAGAAGAAGCCAAAGCCCGATACGAAGCAAAACTCGAGGGCAAGAAATGGCACAAGCCCGTCGATTTCTCCGCCTTGGACTCGACCTCTGCCCGTGGGTCGCGACTAGATGTGGCATCCATGGTCGGCAAGAGCACCTTGGTACCTGCAGGCTCCGGCGTGGGGAAGCGAGGCCGAGGCGCTGGCTTCTACTGCGAGGCTTGCGACCTCACCTACAAAGACAACGTACAATATATTGAGCATCTCAACTCGAAGCAACATCTCATCAACACGGGACAATCCGGTGAGGTCAAGAGAGCGACGTTACAGGATGTGAGGGAAAGACTCGAGATGCTCAAGGCCCGAAAGAGAGCGCAGGAGGAAGAGGACAAGAGACTCGGCGAGGTGGATATCCAGGCTCGGATTCAAAAGGCCGAGGAAATCGATGCTGCGGAGCGTGAAGAGAAGCGGAGGAAACGAAATGAGAAGCGGAGGAAGGGTAATAACGGCGACAACGGGATCAAGAAGGAAGATGAATGGGAAGGTCGCTTGGGTATCATCACCTAATTCAACCAGCGGATTGACAACTGATGGAGTACATGATCAGTGTCTCCCGAGAGGGCTATTGGCCTCCTATGGTCGACTTGACGCACACCATTACCACCACTCTTCTCATGGGATCTGGCCTGGAGAAGCTACTTTGGTAGCTCTGGCTCAAATATCAGGCAGCTGGCACCTGAAATTCCAGTTTCTTCCGGAACGTATCGCTTCTCAACCTGAACCACAACGGAAACCGAAATGTCTTTGTTCACAGTCATAACAACATCCGTGCAACTCGTTCAGGCGGCGTCGTCATGAGCTGTGCGTCTCAGCAATCCCTGAGCCATGATGAAGCTGTGTTTTGGCGAAGAGCACCCCCTATCGCTGAAATTAGTGTATGGGTGAGCATACACCACTGTTACCCTCTCGGAGAGCTATGAGACTTTTTGGCCCAATGTTTTTCGAGCCTGCGGAGCCTCTGATGTCGATGTTGCGCCGGCTTTATGGCCGCACCGATGCCAGCTGGCCTCTTCACTATCAGATATTACGGCAAAACTTGTTGCGATGTCCGCCTGAGACACAAGCTCTGTCAATATCATGAATCGAACATAAGCGCAAAGGAGGGAGGACTAGACGCATTGCGACGCTGATTACACGCTGGGCCTCAAAGGGCTTCATCAGTGCAACCAGGAGTAAAAGAACCGCTTTCCCCGGTGCCAAATCCTGGATACAAACACAGCTCATTGGCAACACAAGCATGACCTCTCCCACACCATCCGATATGTTCACCAGAGCCCAGGCTCTGGTTCGGTCAAGGACCACTCCAATCAGTGTTATCAAAGATATCCAACACTGGAGATTCCCCCAAAATCTCGTTGCAGCATGCCTTTTGTGATTTTTGGACCAGCAGAAAATTGACGGTGGGGGACAAGAGCTACCGTAGTGCGATCTTGGTAAATGGACCCTCAGCTATAAGAGAGCAGGCACCTTTACCACAGTGATAGAGAAACAAATCACTCTCGAGAGCCCTACCATTACCAGCAGCCGCGACTCGATCGCCGTTCCATTGAGCCAGCCCGTCTTGTCCCGCCACCGTCTGCAAAATAAGCTCAGAGGTCACTCCATGTAGATCGGCTCTGGGTGAGCAACACTCGTCATGCCTAAGAAACCAAGCCCGAAGGTGATGAACATTGGCTGCAAACTCCAGCCATGACTTTAGTTGACTGCCGTCCCCAGTGGTCTATACCACGAAACCATCGTAGACTATGGTAGGTGGGTACGTTGGCGGGCGGTTCCTCGTACTCACTACCCGAAGTCGTTTTACAATGTGCAACTTGGGCTCAAACCAACCACTTCATTCAGGAGGAACACTGTATCTGAGAAGGAGATGCCACCATCGGGGCCATCCTATCCCTCCTTTACGTGACCAAATGCCCAGGCACATGGGAAAAAGGAAATCTTGTACCACAAGTTGTCTCGACGTCAAGGCCGAGGATTAGGATTGCATTAGGATTGCATGTTGGCATTCGGAGACTTTCATGCGAAACGGTGAGTTGTTTGACCACACACACCACCTGTTCGTTGGACGGCTCGAGAACGATCACACGGAGTGTTGAGTCAAGCAGAGCAATGGGGGCGGTTGTTCTCGTTCGACCGCCCTGCTAGCTGGTCAGTTGGTCCCAACAGGCATCGGAAAATCGATGCCATCGAGATCTATATCCGCCGGGATCAAGATGCTCCACTGTTCGAACTCAAGCAAGTCAAGCTCTTCCCGATTGATTACCTCCTGCTTCAAAGACAAAGAGAAGAAAAAAGGTCAGTACATCCCGGCGCATGAACGACAGCTGGGAAAAGGGGACATACTCGAGAATCGTCCGGAAAGACAAAGTCCGGGGTGTGATAGTCACAAGGAGGATCTGCTGTTGTCACTGGGACAGTAGAAAGGTTTCGGGATTCCGAACCGTCAGTTCCACGGTTCAATGGTGAAGCACGCAGGTTGAAGTTCTGCGACGTTTCCCGGGCCAGGGCAGTCAATTCTTTGGCAAATTCCATTGGCACAGCCGAATCAGAGGCGACGTGCAAGCGGGTGAAGAAAGCGGTGCCGAGTTCCATAAGGGACAGGGCTCTCGCGACCTGCTGGTGCCCGGGGTTCTGTAGGATGCAGATGAATAGATTGGTGAGGACACAGATTGGCGCGACGAAGCTGAGCCTACGTGGCGTGAATTTCTTTGTCAGTTTATATGTAGCTTTCTCCGGGGTTAGGATGTGTCTCAAGCGAAGTCAACGTACGGTACAGGGGTTGCAGCATCAATGTGGACGTAGTTTAGAGTCAACATGGCAGTGTGACATGCTCTCAAGACCGTCTCAACCGATGTTTCGACTTGGGATCGTAAGACTCGATGCGGCGTCAGACCTAGAAGGCTTTTGCTCCACGGATGGATCAAGGTACTGTGTATGTCTAACAGTGTAGTGTGATAGAAACAATGGAGGTAGACAGCCTGTTGAAGTGTAATCCCCGGCGGAAGGCGATTCGGGTTCATGGCGCCGCCGAGCATGATAGTAGGTTCCAGACTCGATCTCAGAGCAGCAAGTTGCTCGTCGAGTTTGACAACCAAAGTGACCAGTTCCTGTGCTCCTAGGCGCATGACTCGAACACTTGATAGTTGACGGGTGACGAGTGAGGCGAATCGAGACAACTTGGCGAGAAGTGTCAAGTATGTCAGATTTAGTGACTCGTTGGGCACAAGCGATGGTTCGGGGAGTTCGCAGGTTACCTCATCGTCGTTTATTGTCTGGTCAATAGCGTCAGCCCAGGCACTCTCTGCAGCATTCGGAGATTCGATACTGACCGATGGCCTTCCAGATTGCTTCTCTATCTGCTTTTCGAGACAGTACAACGCCCAGAATATGCAGCTTCGATGCGAGCGCTCCGCGGGCGTTAGGTTCCAGCCTTGGGTGGGCTTTCGATGCAAACCCCTCCCAACCGCAAGTGCTAAAGCATTGTTACAAAGCATATACTCGAGACACGGGCTGCCGAAGTTCTGAGAGTAATAGGCCTATTTCAAGTCAGTCACACTAAGCCACAACTTGGGTGATTCTTCAGTATTCACCATGACGGTGAGCGCCTGAACACTTGTCAGAGATGTTCTGAACAAGAGAATCTGGGCGTAAAACGCGAGAGCATTCTCGAAGTACGTCCAAGCCACCCGATTGGCTTCTTGGAAGGACTGAGTTTCAGATAGGTGAATCCTGCAGCCTGACGCATATATCGCGTTGCGGAGCGCATGCCACGCAACATCGACATGGCTGGTCACTCCATTGAGGTAGGAAGTCAGTTGGGTCTCGAATGTCGATCGCTGCACGACCCCCATACTGGCGTCTAACGCATACTGGAAGTAGGCTAGGCGGAGTTGTCAACAAACATGCCTAGCGAATGCCACAGAAGAAGCCCAACCATACCTGAAGTGTACTTCCAAGCGGTGGATGGGTCTGGGTCTGGGACAAGCTTCATTAGGAGTTGGCTGGGTAATTTTAGTCTTCGGGTTATGTCGCCAGTCAGCTTTTCTGCTGAGGTCCGAAATCCCTGGCTGCCAGTTCGGCTCTCGACCCACGCAATTCCTGACTGTGAGCATAGGGAGAGACACGACCGAGGCCCTTTTTACGTAGACGAATTAGAAAATGTACCCAACAACATATGGAGCAGTACCGTGGTATTCCCAATTGTTCTGTTCAGGCATCAGTAAGGGGGAGATTTTGGTCAACGCGAGGGACGACGTACTAACTCGTTGGAGGAGAGGCCAACGTCTTCGAAGGATCCTTCCGTTGGAGACAATAGTCCTGGGTCTGGCTGCAGGACGCTGGGACCGTGGTTGGCATTATAAGAGCTGCTGCGTTGGTAGGTTTGAGCATTGCTTGGGGTTTGTGGGAGGATGTCTGGAGGCCGTGAAAATTGCTGCAAGTTGGCCGGGAGAGTTACAGGTACAATAGATTCCGAGCCATCGCACTGAGTATCAAACTCGAATGTCACAGGAGGCATGAAAGGGTTTGCGGTGCTGGACTGTATGCCAGTAGCAATCAGGCTCTCGTAGTCCAGTGGCACAGCGGTTGTCATGCGGCTGAACGAGGCTGCCGCATTCGCAAGAGAGTCCAGTGTTGTCATTTTCTTTGTAGCGGCGCCCGAAGCATTTGAACGGTCTTGCGATGAATCCAGTCTTGCACGAGGAGCTATGGATCTGGCGATGGTATTTCTTGGGGACAAACCTACCGCTGTGCAGCTTTGTCCTCGATCCAGACAGTTGGCACAACTTGCTGCGTTGGCTCTGTTACCTTTGAGATAACATCAATGCTTGTATCTTCAATAAAGGGGACTCTGAGGTACATCTGATTTTCTTCAATTTGCAATAATCACAAGCAGCCTCGCGCTTCTTGCGCGGCCGCCGGCCATTCGCTGCGGCCATCCAGATAGGCTTCGAAAGTCGATGCAGACTGGTCGACACTTCGCAGATTCACTTAAGTGTAAGGAGTAAGGCTATCCCTACACAGATCGGTTTTTGAGCCCAGAGATCATCAGTCGCCATGATGGCCAACTCAAGTCACTGTGCTCGAAAGATTCTCGACTGGCGACCAACAGAGATGATCCTCGGTCAATGCGCCAATGTCGTTTCCCCGCAGCCGTTGTGAGTCTGAGGAGTAGATCGAAACTCCGAACCAAAGAGGCATAGTGTATTGGCTCTGGGCAGGAAAAGCTATCCGAGGTGTTCTTCAAGTCAGTGCAGTAAAAGATATGATACTTGCGATGCAACGAAAGCATTGTCCGAAGACGATGAATGGCGAGACCAAGGTTCCACTAGTTTCGGGGACCTTGTCCTGACACAATCGCCTCACTCAACTCAGCCTGCAGAGTCCGTCTGTGTCTTCCATCCACGAATTAGATGGTGAAGGATTCGGCGAATACTTTGTCAGATACTCTGTTCTGGTGATTGTATGATCAAAAATGTAATTCAAGCCGAGGCCAGATTTTGGTTCGCTCCACCTTCCGTTCACTATTCAATATCTTTTCCACGGCCATGGAGCCCTGAGGCTATCACAAAAGGGGCTACAACTTCATGCTTTTCCAACATTATCGAATTACCTTCGTATACAAGACTCTCGGCCACTTCAGCCATGCCCTCCCGAATAAATGAGCAGGTGTCAACCTTGTTGTCAGTGCTCTTTACCTCTGCTGACCAACGTGGTGGATCGGCGGCGGCGAGTTTCGCGAGCTGCTTTGCGGAGCATGCTCACTTTCAAGCCGGCGCGCTGCCAGCGTTGCAAGGTCAGAAGGATAAGCAGATACTCGCAGTCTCACCGCCCAACAACCCCGTTAGCACCTTGTGTGCTACCAAACTATTCTTGACGCAAGAGACATACCAAAGCCTGCTGGACAAATAGCTGATATTTCGCACAGCTATCGAAGCCTCACGTGAAGCCTCATGGAGCGGTATCGCCTCACGCAAGCACACCGTTGTTGGTCTGTTCGCCAGTACCACTAATGAAAACCAATTTGTACTACTTGGGTCAATTGAGATTGTCCGGGCTGTCTCCAACGAACCTCTGAAGATGCGGTTCTGTGGCAAAGTCGACGTAGACATGGATGCGGAAGGTGTTGTGAAAATCAGCCGGTACGAGGCTTTTGCGGTACGAGAGGCACTATCTTGCAGTCAACCAGCCCTTATTTGAGGCTCTGATGCATCCTTGCGCAGCTGAAGGCTGTCGAGACAATAGCTAATACTACGAGACATATCTAGGAACCACCCTTGCCGAATATATGAAGATTATTGGAGAGGGAACTAATTCCTTTTCTCATGACACTGTTAGTGATGAGACGCAGACCACTTCCATAGTCTCAAGAAATGCTCGGGTTTCACCTCCATCAAATCTTCCTGCAACCAGGGATACATCATGTCGGAGGTCATGACTTCACTTCCTGGCAATAGCCTCTGTGTTTCTCATGAATTCCAGCCTTTCGGAACACAGCTCTGGCTGAAGTTGCTGGCACCTTTCCCCAGGCACGAGCATGGATGGGTTGTTCATGACCCGGGTCGATAATGCAGTCGGGCTGCATCCCGCTCCGTCCCTAGACTTGCCTCGACTAGACCTATGCATTCGCCGACCTAATCTGGTTAACCCATATTCATTCCCCATGGGGTCGCGGGCCGGAGTAGTCCAGACCATGCAGCCACACACCAGTGATTGGACTATGTTTACACAGCGTACTTCGTAAGATCACGTTACCACTCGTACGACAGCGATCCAGCTGTGAAACCGAACCTTAAAAGACTTTGAGCACCATCCATAGTCCGACGGTCATCCTGGATCCAGCTCCTTGTCTAACCAGCCCATTCATTACTTTTATCGTTGAAGATGGTCGTCGACTTCAACGCCACCGCCGGGCAGGTCATCAGTCCCAGCAAACTAGCACACGTTGTGCTCCGAACCAACAATCTGCCGGCGATGGTTGCTTACTACACGATGTTCCTGGGAGGGCAGGTGATATACGAGAACGAGATGCTGGCGTTCATTTCATACGACGAGGAACACCATCGCATCGCACTTCTTGGCGCCCCCGGCACTCAGCCCAAGCAGAAGACGTCCTGCGGGCTGGAGCATATCGCCTTCACTTTCGATTCTCTGTCCACACTCTTGTTAGCGTATCGGCAGCGAAAGCAAAAGGGCATCTCGCCGTTATGGCCGGTCAACCACGGTCCCACGACATCGATCTACTATCGCGATCCCGATGGCAACATGATTGAGACTCAGGTCGATAACTTCGACAACCCGGCTGCCGCGACCGACTTCATGAAATCTGCTCAGTTCGCAGAGAATCCTATTGGGACAGATTTCGACCCTGAAGACTGGATTCAACAGATTTCAGATGGGAAGCCTGAGGCAGAGTTAATGAAAAGGGAGGAAGTCGGACCACGTGGACTTCCAGATTTCTTTTGAGTTGCTATTTAAAATGTTCAATATGCTGGTACTTCGCACATTTGAGTATCACGCGACTTATCATCCCGAGGGGGGGGGGGGGGGGGGGTGGGGTTCTGACAAATTGCTCTCTGTAACATGATTTTACAATCAAGCAGTCAAATCATGTAGCATAGTACCTCTAATATGTGGACAACTTAAACACAGCCAAGTACTGGACATGAACAGAACGTGTGAATCAACGGCATAGCATATGATATGACACATAGCCAGGAGCTTTATCGTTGGAAGTCGCCCATTTGTTCAAGTGCAAAATCATTCACCTGGCTCTCTACGCCATCAGTAGAAGTGAACGCACGCGTTGGCTGTGGTTCTCCACTTTGAGACAAACAAGCGCCAGCTAGCCCGCTCACAATCGTCCAGATATATCGCGCTGTTTCCAGAGAATCCACACCGGTTGACCTCCATGCGACGTGGTGATCAGGGCGGATTAGTACCAGTGGCTTTTCATAGATAGTTCCGGCGAGGTGCTCTTGTGAGACATCCACCAGAGTGAGCGGAATGCTCAACTGTTCAGCCGCGTCTACCATGTGACTAGTACCATTATCTTGAGTAGAGAAGCTCAATAGTGTCCAATCTTTCCCAAACAAGTCATAGATTGCTTTCCCGTCTGACAGAAAAAGAGATGGTGCTCGCCCACCAGGCCAAGTGGTGGGAACAAAATGGTGTGGATCGAAAGGAGGCTCCATCTCGTCCTCTTCTCGCATTATGACCGGTGAATTATATCGGTAGCCCATCTCGATCCCAAAGTCTTTATTTTCACCATCGTGCAATTGATAGTGAGTGTGGATCTTTTCTCGCAGTGCGCTACCTTCATCGGATTCCACATCAACACTCTTGGGGTCATGTCCGGCAATGATAGCCTCCAGATCCTGGTGTACCTTGAAATGAACACCAGATTGTTCAACATTGCGTAGTGCCACCGGACGTCTCTCCAGCTCGTATGAAGCCAGTAAGCCAGCTCCGCCTTGGCCGTTAATGACGGCAGCCAACTTCCAGCCAAGGTCGAATGCGTCACCGATACCCATATTCATACCGTAGCCTCCGGTTGGGATGTTCTGATGAGCCGAGTCGCCAGCCAGGAATACACGGTAGCCTGGGCTGTGCCATTTCCTCGCGACTGCAATATGTGGTCGCCAGACCGAGCGAACCAGGATTTCATCAATCTCAATGGGGTAATCACCATACAACCCACCCAAAGCTCGATAGATGGCGTCTCTCGAATCGATCTTATCAGTATCGACGCTGAGTGGCAGGAAGAGATGAACTGTGAAGGTGTATAATTCGTCTTGGGAGATGATTGCAGCACCGAATCCACCATGTGGCTGCAGGAAGAAGATATGCCAGAAACGGCCTTGCTTCCTGATGCGCGCCAGGTCACGGGATTTGAAGTGGACGAGTAATGCACACGAGGGACTAGGCCAGTTTAGCGCGAGGTCTGAATGAAGAAGTCGTTACTGACATAGGCCCGCCATCCAAAGATATCTGAAATGACCTTCTCACCTTACTCGAAGCCCCATCGCAGCCTGCAACGTAGTCAGAAATGTAGGTCCGTGAGGCGCCACTATCAACATTGACAACAGTGGTTCGGACATGGTTCCTTGATTCCTCCAAACTTTCTACACGCCACCCGTAATGAAGCTCGATCAATGGGTCTTTATCGCAGATATCACGCAGCCATCGTTCAAATACTGCCTGTGAAAGTCGTTGCCAGGGTTCCCGAGGCTGGGTTCCATCATTCACTTCTTGGATACGCTTGCGGAATTTGTCAACCCCGGGGAGTTCCCACTTGGTCAGTGGCTTTTCCTGAGAAAGACCAGAAGATATAAGCACGTCCTGATCAACATCTGGAGGTACACCCTGCAGGCGCAGATCTTCTGCAAGGCCTAGCTTTCGAAAGATTTCCATGGACCGCGCGTTGGTGAGATCCATCTTGGGCCACTTGGTCGTGGTTTTATTGCGCTCAAACAAAATTGATCTGACACCATAAAATGAGAGCACATGAGCCAGGAGAAGGCCGACAGGTCCACCACCTGCAATGACAATTGTACCGGGCGACAAAGTCTGCAGAGTCCCATCTGGATGATCAGTAGATTGTGCCATCGTTGAAGGACGTGAGTGTATGTTCTCAGAAGCTTGGATTGTCTGAACGTAGAAATGTCAAAAGGATCCTCAACTCATAAGTATCAAGGAGGTTGTGCCCTGGCAGTCATGAACATTACTACTTTGAAGGATGAAGCCAACGCTGTACTGGTGATTCGAGGATATTGGGAAACAAGATTAAGTTCAATGGGGAAAGAGACTTACCCTTTTGGTTCGGTAATGCTACCAATCGCAACCTATGCCGATTTCCCAGCATAAAGTTTGAGCCCCGGAAGAACACAACTTGCAAGGTTTGCCTTGTGGTTATGGTTAGTTGCCGCTGATACCCTTGACACACTGGTTCCCAGTCAGTCTATTAAGAAGGTCGATAAGTAATTTCTCTCAAGTTCGATTTCGAATGCGCATGGTATGCATTAGCGATCTATCATCGCGCTCTATCCGACCAGCTGTGGCAACTTTTGCTTCACAAGAATATCAAAGTTGCATGCCTCAAAATGACCAGTGTCTATGTCTTGATAGTGGCTGTGCTGGGATTAGGACTGATCCCGCTGGCAAAGCTCATCAGGGTGGGCCGTCGACCGAAAGGGGTTCCTCCTGGGCCTCCCACGATTCCGATATTGGGAAACTTGCATCTAGTAGGTACAACCAGTATATTTCAACAATTACCATTGTATGCTGACACGACAAGATGCCAGCCAAGAATCCACATCTGCAGTTGCAAAAATGGGCAGAGCAATATGGGTGAGTTCTGCGTGGCTTCTCCTGCTTGAGGTACATAGTGCGCACACTGACGAAAGCAAGCCCTGTCTTCTCATTGCAACTTGGTACCAAGACCATAATTGTACTCTCCAGTGATGTGGCCGTAAAAGAGATGCTCGACAAACGTAGCAGTAATTATTCCGACCGACCCGATATGTTTATTGGTCAACAAGTTGCCAGTGGCGGCATGAGACTCGTTGTGATGGTATGCCAACATTCGGCCCAGCCGATGTGTATCCACGGCCGCGAGCCACTCGACATGGGAGTACGCTGACAAGTCATTGTATAGCGGTATGGCGATAAATGGAGAAGTATTCACCGTATGATACACAATATTCTCAACATAAAAGCTGCTGTTACGTACGCACCTTATCAAGATCTGGAAAACAAGGTCATGTTAAAAGCTTTCTGCGAAGACCCAGCAAATTTCCAGTCCCACATCCGACGTTATACTTTCTCGCTTTCGACGCAACTCATTTTTGGTCATCGCTGTCCTGATGTAAATGACCCGGATCTGAAGGAGCTCTTTGTGGTCAGTACAACTATTACTAGCCCCAATCTGTACTGACAGATATAGAATTTTAGCAACTGGGGAGAAGTAGCAGCTTGCGCCAGTGCACAAATCCTGGATTTGTTCCCTATACTTCAGAGTTTACCCAGATGGATGGCTCCAAACGTGAGGTATGCTGAATCGTTGTTCGAAACAGAAAGAGAACACTACCTCAGGATGTGGATGAGAACAAAGAATGCGTTGTCCAGTGGAGAAGGTCATGTGAGCGATCTCTCGGCAACGATATTCCAAGTGCTTTGCTGACATTACAGGAAGCCATGTTTCTGCAATGATTTGCTGCGTGCACAGGATAAAGAAGGATTCTCGGACGCGGAAGCAAGTTACATCAGTGGATCATTGTTGGAGGCAGGTTCCGATACAACAGCTGCGATACTGTATGGATTTATCCAAGCTACCTTGGTCTGGCCGGAAGTTTTGTCGAGAGCCCAAGAAGAGATCGACCGTATTGTAGGTCCTGGCCGACTTCCGAACTTGGACGATTACGAAAATCTGCCATACATTAGATGTTGCATCAAAGAAAGCATGCGCTGGATGCCAACAGTTATCTTGGGAGTGCCGCATGCCGCAATAAAAGACGACTGGTACAACGGTTACAGGATTCCAGCAGGGAGTACAATTATCAACAATGTATGGTGAGTATGCATCCCTACCGTCGAGGTGGAGAGGAGATTTGACGATTCTCAGGACGATCCATATGGATCCGAAACGCTCGCCAGACCCTCGCAGGTTCAATCCTGATCGATTTGCAAATGATAAGACCACCTTATTTGAATCGGCGACAGGGGATTGCACCAAACGTGACAATTTTGTTTTCGGCGCAGGTCGACGATTGTGCCAGGGGATCCACATTGCCGAGCGCTCCTTGTTCTATGGGATTGCTCGTCTGGTCTGGGGCTTTGACTTTTCGCCATCTTTGGGTGCTGATGGCCAGCCCATAAGCTATGATGTTGATGATCTGGTGGGTGGGATTACCGTTGAGCCCAGGCCCTTCAGCTGCCAGATCAAGCCACGAAGCAGCTATGTTGAAGGGGTCATATTGAAAGAAGCCACAGCGTGCAATGACTTGCTGGACGAGGTGACAGGTCAATGGAAGGAAACCCCAGAGGGTATGGCTTTCAGCACTTGGATGCCCGAAAAGATCGACGTCTGAAGGCCTGAGCTAACATGTTAATGGTTGTTCCGCCCACGTGACTAGGTTCGTAGTTAGCAGAAACCAGTGGCACCAGTGAACTAGATGCTGACGTCACAGTCATTATTGGCTGGGAACTACATCCTTTCAAGACACCTCAGCCTTGTCAACTCAACAACAACGCCTGATGTGATTTTTAGACCAGACAAAGTGTCTCGAAGGTTGAAGCAGCTTTGCATGTTGATAGCCTCGTCAAGAACCACAAAATACAGCATCCAGAACGAGGCTGAAATACAACGGACGAGCAAACGCGGCGCCCAAGTCGGCAGGATCATCTATCCAGAACCCAATGCAATTTCTGTGACGCAGTACATTTTCTAGTACCTGACATGATTCATTCTTTTCCCTTCTTCAACATCCACCTGCCCCTCCATCATCGAGCCACAGAGTTCGGTAACCGTGCATCGATTTGGAGAAGCCGGACTCTTCCAGACATCGATGCCATGGGCACGACCGGCTTGAGACCCCCTTATGTCATACTCAACCAACTGGATCCTGCCTGTGACTGATTGACGTTCGGGAGACTACAGGCACGTTACACAAAAGTAATGAACACGGGAAGCGACATATGGTCTACTTACCCCATCTACGTCACTAATGTTGACGTGACCTCCGACTTCTTATTTACTCTTGATCCATTCCGAACACTGCCTTCTATTCCCTCCCTCTTCTCACTTACCATTACCTAGCACTTCCATAATTCCAATACACTCAGCTTCATATTCGCAAACACCACGCAGTCTATCAAAATGACTTCGCAACCTCAAGATCCGTAAGTTCTACCTTAGCACAGACTAATTCTGACCCCACCATCTACAACTTCCTCATCTCGACAAACCATCTTCCTTGCGGGCCATAAAAAACCTCCCAGCGATGTGGTGGTCGGAAAAAGAACGCTACTTTTTCCAAGTCTCAATTCTGATCAGATCATATCCTGGATAGATACAAAGCCAAGAACAAGGACGAGCCAGGACTCGAAGAGAAAATCAACGACCTCAATGCCTTTGTTAAATCTTCAAAGTTCGGCATGATGACCACCCGCATTGCGGACTCGGGTCTCCTGGTCTCTCGAGCCATGGCACTCGCTGCTCAGGTATGTACCATTTACACTCACCTGTCCTTTCGCACTCAAACAAATCCCAACTCTAACCTCTCTCTTTACACTAGGAATCCGGCGGCCTCGACCTACTCTTCCACACGAACACGCAGTCTGGCAAGACATCAGACCTAGAATCCGACTCGCACGTGAACATGTCCTTCATCTCGTCGACGGACGGCAGCTGGGCATCCATCTCGGGGACCGCGAGCATCATCACCGACCGCTCCACCGTGTCCAAGTACTACACGCCGACGCTCAAGACATGGCTGGGCGACCTCGGCGACGGCGTGCACGACGGCAGCGAGAACGACCCGCGCATCGGCGTCATTAAGATCAAGGCCGTTACCGCCACGTATGCGGTCAGCAAGGGCACAATGCTCGGGCGGGGCTTTGAGATCGTCAAGGGCGCCGTGACTGGTGAGGTCGCCAACGTCAATGATCTGAGAGAGATCGACCAGGGTGAGGTCGAGAGATGGAGACGCGAGCATGCTTAGAGAGATTCTGAATGGATGGCCTTGCGTGCATGGAATGCAGCGTGCCATGACTGGTGATCAGGTCAATATTAGTGATGTATACCACACGTGGCACTAGAGACACGATGGGATAGATTCCTCCAACGAGAAAGATCTCCACATTACACTCTACCGTATTGAGTATTCCGAAGTCTCCGTTGCGCAGAGAAGTTGATAAGTGAAACTGAGCACTCGCTGTGCAACGGATACCTAAGTAATTCGGCAATCAGAGGAGAAGATGATAGTTAGACATGTCGGGGCAGAGTTCACAAATTTCCTGCTTCGAGTGTTTCCGGGCACCATCTTGATAGGTCAGTAACCAGTAGACGATACATCTGATTAAAGAGGAGACGAGAGATTAAATTGTGGAGAGATTAAGGCATTTCCTTCTAAGAAATAAGCAGATATATGCTCAAGGTATCATGAACCTCAAGTATTGGTGGCAATAGGTCGTAGGATCCGTCGTTAGGAATAACAAACTCCACCTCACCACGACCACAGTACATGTACACAGATGATACACAATGGTCAACAACAAAGACAGGAGACAGGGCTGGCTTTAGCCGGAACACTTTTTCCCACTTCCCATCGAGTTCCATGCATCCCGATTTCCGTCCCCCTTTTTTCTATATATACATGACAACTCCAACATTGACATCAAGGGTCCTGAAATAGCGCTGGAGAGGAGGATGAATGTTGTAATAAGACATAAATGCAGAAGACATTAAGAACGAGGATTAGATATGTGACCAAGAAGTGAGGTTTTGGGGGGGGGAAGATGCTCGAGGAAATCTTCAGTCCGAAGTGGTGGTTTCAGTCGCGTGACTGGTGAATGAGCGTTGCCTCGGACCCCATACAATCACAGTTGTATAGGACAATGGTTGGCGGGTGTGTCCAACCGGAGGATTGAATATGCTCGCTCTTGGATGAACCCAGATGACGTGGCTGCTGCTTCTGAAGAGTGATTCATCCTAGTAGTGGAAGGCCTAGAAGCCGTTGTCATCCCCACGGCCAAAACCGCCTCTATCACCACCTCGTCCACCACCACCCCGGAAGCCGCGATCGAAGCCTCTTCCACCATCTCTGCCACCTCGACCACCAAAACCAGACGAGTCGCGGTTTCCGAATCCTCCGCGATTGAAACGACCATTACCTCCAAATTGATCGTCTGATCTGTCATTCTGAAAGGCATCATTTATTCGTAGGCCTTCTGTTCGGCTGAATCCGCTCTTCTGCACCCAGACAGGAGAAACTACAGGCATCTCTTGAAGGCCCCACCCATATTTCGCGCAGTCGTTCACCAAATCAACTACTTCCTGCTTCGATCGACCACCACTTTGACCAAGAGCACTCAACATAACGTTGTACGCCTTGGCTTTGGTCCGGAAGTTGGTGTTTTTCACACCCGTTTCAACCATCTGCATGATTCGTGCAATCTCCGGTGTCAACTGAGATGGCTTTGTCATATCCAACTCTGAAGTGGAAAGTCGTTCCTCTGTAAAATCTTTGATGTGATTCCGTCGCTTCAATTTTTCAACCTCGTAACCTTCATCTTGCTGAAGGAAGAGGTAGCCAGTGCCGGACTTGCCTGCACGTCCAGTTCGGCCAACACGATGTACGTAATCGTCAGACGATCGGGGCAGGCCCATCTGGATAACGTGTGATACATTTGGGAAATCCATACCACGAGCTGTCACGTCGGAAGAGATAAGAATGGCACTCTTGGCACGTCTGAAAGCATCCGAGTTCCGCGAACGCTCTCGCTGATCAAGTTGAGAAGACATGACAATGATTTGGCAGGGCGCTAGAGGGTGGTTTGAAAATAAGCCGCCTCTGCTTTGGCCAGGATCCCGCATGTTTGACAATACTTCATGTGCCATATGAACCTCAGCAACAGAATTATAGAAAACAATGGCTTTAAACGGCATTGAAGATTCAGGATCTCGTTTGTTGTCTTCGATTGCGTTTTGAGCGACTTCCACCAGGGCAGGAATTTGATTTTGCAATCCCGGCAGGAACACAGTCTTTTGTGGGATTGTTTCGTGTGTTGCAGCTTCGTTAGGGTCGACAGTGCGGACAAATTTGAAGTTTGGTTTCATGGTCGATTTGACGATTCCAACAACCGATTTGGGGATGGTCGCGGAAAACATTAGTGTTTGCCGATCACTTTGTGAGCGCTCAGGCATGTATGATTGTATCTCCTCAATGTCGGGTCCAAAACCAATGTCGAGCAGTCGATCAGCTTCATCCAGAACGAAGGTCTTGATGTTTGCCATAGTGACACCACTATAAGGGTCGGACAGTAAATCTTTGACTCTTCCCGGGGTACCCACAAGAATATGGCATCCCTGTGATTGCATCAACCGTAGATGCAACGACTTTTGAGTGCCACCGACGGCGGTTTGCACCTTGACACCGGTGTTTTGTGTAATCTTCTTGGCTTCGACGGCAATCTGCTCAGCCAACTCCCTGGTTGGGGAGATGATGAGTGCTTGGGTATCACCGATTTGTGCGCGGCGACTTCCGGTCTTGATTCCGCTGTCCCCCAATAGACGTTGTATGATTGGCATGAGAAATGCCAGGGTCTTGCCGGTTCCAGTCTTTGCTTGAGCAATAACATCGGTGCCGTCCAAACATTCATTGATGGTCATACGTTGCACTTCTGTCATGGTATGGATTCCCATCTTGTTGACGAGGGTGTCAATAACGACGGGGTCGATTACTCCAGCTTCACCCAATTCGGAGAACTTTGTGAACTCTCGGTTGGCATCTGAGATATCCTCTGCACCAAGATCACTGGCATCTGCTGGATCTCCATCTTCTTCTACTTCTTCAGCATAGGCATTGTTGTAGCGGAATTGTGAGATGGAGGAGAATTTGTGCTTGGTGATGTGATTTAAGGGGGCATTTCGAAATACGAGAGGTGTGAGGCGCGGGAGATATGAAATCGACGAGGGTGAAGAAGATGGGATTAATCTGAGAGCCCTGGAGGCAAGGCGCCCCTGCCGGGCAACTGCGTACATGTTCGCGGCGACCTGGGCGAGTTTTTATGGCGATTAAAAGATGAAGACAAGCGCGATAAGGAGGTCGCGAGCTCAGAAGATGAGGAAAGAATGACGGAAGCAGGTATAAAGGAACGACAGAACAGGTCGTGGATAAAAGTGGTGATGATCAAGAAAGGCCTTTGGTGCAAGTTCCTGATGGCCGATAAACTTGTGACCACCTGCACTTGCACTTTTCTTCATCCCAAAATTTCTACGGAAGGGACCGTTCAACTCAGCCAATAACAGATAGCAAGACCCACTTAATGTTCGGCAACCTAACCCGATTAGTGAAAAGGAGTTTTTGCCCTCGGAATAGTTGCCCATCTTCAAGTTTTGGCTGGACACTTAGTCGGGAATATATTGTTCCTTTCAAGTTGTCAACTATGGCAGTCGCGATCTCAGGGCTGTAGCACCATGAGATGCACAACGGTCCTAAGCGGAGGCCTTATGGTATGTAAACGTCTATCTCAAATCGACTGAGCATAAGGACATCATGGAATAGACCGTACTCACTTGACTCACTTACATGTCTCTATCGCAATGATCTTATCTTGTGTCTGCCCCAAAGAGGATCGAAAATTGCCATCAATAGAGGCATATCTCTACGATTACATCAATACGAGAAGTGGTTCTACTTTTCTGTATATCTTGACGGTTCTGGCTCGGGATGATGGACCTATGATCTTTGCGGCTGATGGCCTTCAACCTAAAGGTTGCTGTCGCAGGTTGATCAAGTCTTGCAGTGCCTCGGTTGTGGTTAATACGAAATAGGTGTCGCGGAATGTCATGACCGAAGAACATCTCGAATCATCAATCATGACAACTCCAATGCATCTGGTTGCTATCTGTGCTATCTCGCATCTACTCGTTCGCTCTGCCAGGGGCTCTCTGGAGCTTACATCATTTGTGATTCTTCAGGATCCTTTTCTCACGCACACGTCGACATTGCTTCGTGTGTAAGATGCCTACTCGGCAACTGTCGCTATTCTGAGCAACGTGGTTGTTGCACGACATTCCGATCTTCCACCCGTTCCTTCACCAGCAAACGGTTAAGACGGCATTAAGTCCGTGCTTACGGCCAATAGGAAACACGCCAATGATTTGTAGCAATCAAGATCTCAACCCAGCGGCCTCGGTCTTCGCCCACATTCCGTAGGGCGTGTTCTCAATAAGGGAGCCCGTCATTAGCCGTGGAGGGGGAAGTTTGAACCCCCCATGAACTCTTCCTACGCACGAATAAACGTCGAGAGTTGTAGAATCATAGATGGAGTACACCATATTCGCCACCGCGTTTTCCCCACGCCTAACGACATCTTCCATATATTGAACGCCATTCCTCAAATATATACATCTGATTTTGTACCCCTTGGCCGCTACATCGCTAATCGTCTATCATCAAACGCCTGGAGCCGACACTCTAAGCAACTGTACATCGGACGTATAAACCATTGAGACCCTCATCACAATGGCACCCCCCACAGCAACCTACACAGAGACAACCACACCCTCGGCCGGGTATGACAAGCCAGATTCACAACCAGATGGCACCGCCACCAACGAGCCCAAGTTGACCCAACGTGGCGCCGAAGCAAAGATGCAATTCTTCCCCTCACCACCCAAGTTCACCGACAAACTAGAAGAACGCCAATATCTCAAAGAACGTCTGGCGCTGGCCTTCCGCATCTTTGGGAAATATGGCTTCGATGAAGGTGTCGCCGGCCACATTACCGTCCGCGACCCCGTCGATCCTCACACCTTCTGGGTCAACCCCTTCGGCCTTGCATTCTCCATGATCAAGGCCTCGGATCTTATCCTCGTCGACCACGAAGGGAAGGTCATCGACGGTGGACCGAACCGTCTCCTCAACACCGCTGCGTATATGATCCACGCTGCGGTGCACAAAGCCCGTCCGGACGTTCTCTGCGCAGCTCACTCGCACAGTATCTATGGTCGTTCGTTCTGTGCCTTGGGCCGACCGATCGACATCATCACCCAGGACAGCTGTGCGTTCTACAACGATCTAGCTGTATACGAGCAATTCAAGGGTGTTGTCCTCGCAAAGGAAGAAGGAGAAAATATCGCCAAGGCCGTGGGGAACCGAAAAGCATGTCTGCTACAAAACCACGGTCTGCTTACCGTCGGCCAGACCATCGAGGCCGCTGTCTTCTGGTTCGTCAGCTTGGAAAAGTGCTGCCATGCTCAACTCATGGCCGACGCTGCGGCTGCTGGCAGAGGTGGCGCCACAGTCAAAATCGACGATGAAGACGCTGCTTTCACGTACAAGGCTGTCGGAACGCCCAGGGCTGGTTGGTTTAGTGCTAAGCCCATGTTTGATGTGATGGCGAAGGAGGTGGGTGATGAGTACAAACATTAAAATATCCGCTCGCGATTTTACATCTTACAAAAATTTGAGAGATGTGTGCTACGATATTGATGGTTTTATTTCTATATATTTGATGCTGAGAAATGAAATAATGTTTGCTGCTACCTTATCGCTCAATCTCTGGACACCTTAACATCTGCCTACCGTACCAACAGCGCGACCCAGTAGACCTCTTGACCAGCCACTCCAAAATAAGTACTAGGTAGCGACTTAGCACCGCGGTCATGAATGCTGACCGAGAAAGGAGGGGTGAAAATTATGCTCGCGCGGGGTCAATTAGGTACTGCCAACTGCCTTACTTTAGCCCGAGGTCAGTCCAGGTTTAGTTGGAGATTTTGATGTAGGTAGCAGACGAGTCGGAATGGGAGGCTCGAGACACTGCACTGCAGAGACCTAGTTTATCCTTCCGAGGACAAATCTGGCAGGGACCCTAAAGGGCCCTAAGTTGAGATGCGTGACGCCGTAGCCAGAAACAATGATCCTTGCTTATACGAGAAGTGTAGGCTGGGCAGTGGTTTTCTTTTCAGGCTTACGAAACCCGCGAAGGGACGAGCTGGTTTTCAATCGTTCAGAGATATGTAAGTCGGGGAACGACCTGATCCAGACCTCGATTACATGCCTATAGTAGGGAGCAGGCAAATATATATAATGTCGAGGTAATTCTCTTACTTGTCTACGCTTATATCTCTGTTATAGCATTCTTTCAAATCGACATTGACCCGACACGATGGCTTCCAAACTATCAATCCTCTCACTGGTAGTCCTACTAGGCACACTTCTGTATCAATTTGTTCTCCGCGAACTCCTGTTCGCGACTCTTGGATTGGGGCGTGTCATTCTCCCCGTCTCCGAGTTTCCATATAAATGCCACAGAATCACGGGCGATCACAATATCCAAGCGTGTGAGGATATGTGGTTGGACACGCAGTCAAGGACTTTATATCTTGCTTGTTCGGACGCGCTCTCCAGAAGAGATTGGATGCCCAAGTAAGTGGCAGAGGGCCATTTCCTAAAATGCATTGTGCAGTTCATTTGAGACGAACCCTGAACTTGATTGACCTGTTCTACTAACTCGAATGTAGTGTTCACCGCTTGAACGCCTCCGGACGAGGTCTGAATGACCACGTTGTCGCTATGGACATCGATAACCCCTCAACCACAGGAAGTTTCACATACCGAGTCCTCAAGACTCCAGGGTACAGTGGTGTTTCTGGTGATGGAAAATTACAGGTAGTGAGCGTGTCGGGTATCAAGTCTGCAGATGCATCCACAAATCATCTCTACCTGGTCAACAACCGCCCATCTGCTGATCCGAAGACCGGCGTGTTGCTCGACAACACCAAGACTGGCGCCAATACGACTATCGATGTCTTCTCGACCACTCCTGGTTCAGACCTCATGAAACACGTAAAGACTTTTGCTGATGCTCAAATTTCAACTCCTAACAACGTCGCGGTGACCAAGGATGGCGGATTTTTCTTCACCAACGATCATGGTCCCCATAAGTTTGGGTTGGTGAGTGACCTATAAATGGAATCATCAGTGATTGCAATACCGCGATCGCTAACCCCATTTCTTGTCATATAGCAACATCATCTCTCTCCAGTTCTTGCTACTGGTGATCTCTCGTACTGTTCATCGACTGGTGTCTGCAAAAAGGTCGCAGGAGGTTTCAAGTTCCCCAATGGACTTCACCTTGCAAGCGATGGGCTGCTGTATGTTCCAGGTGCTGCCGCAGGGGGCATCACCGTCTTCAAACCCGCCCCAGATGGATCTGCAACGAAAGTCCACTATATTGATTTGAACTACCCGATTGACAATATCTCTGAAGACACGAATGGTGATCTCTTTGCCGCGACGCTGCCCAAATTGATCTCGGGTCTTGCAGGTTTCGATGATCCTCTGAATGCGCCAACCCCGCCTGCGACCGTGTGGAGAGTGAGGAGATTGGATAGGGAGGTTGCGGATAAATACGAGTATTCGCTATCGAAAGTCATTGAGGATCGGGATGGGGAAGCCCTCCCAGGCACAACCACCGCTATTCACGATGCATTGACCGGAAGATTGTTTTTAAGTGGTGAGACGTGATGTCTGCTCGTTTGTTCAATGTTTGGCTAATCAGTCTTTCTCCCGCAGGTGTGATTGCACCTTTTGTGACCGTCTGCGACCCAGCTTGACAACACGACCTGACTGACAGCCATGCTGAAGTTTAAGGCTAATGTGAGACTTACCATGTCATTCTTTTGCGAGGTTATTGCGGACTTTCGATAGCATCGAGCTCATTTCAGATCCAGACTTTTGCTTGCAGGAAATCACAGTTGACCAGGGGAAGGCCCGAACAGATCCCAGACACCAGCCCAGAAACACTGTCGCTATGACGAAATAAGGTCGTTTATCTATCGATAAAAGATCAAGGCGTCAAGATATTTCTTACAGTGGATCGTTCAAGAGCCACCATCGACGTCAGAGCAGGACCCTTCACAGATAGATTGACAGGGGAAAGACCCTTTTAGGCAAGCCGCTTGGACGGTTGATGCCCAGGATCACCGGCATGTCGGTGGGCTCTTGCCCCGACATTCCGTTGTCTTTTCTGATTTCAGCTTGGATTCAGTATCCGTGCGAGTATGCTGCTGTATTGAACGATGTGTATCCATCGAGGTTTCCTCCCCAGAGATTGTCTAATCGATCTATTTGCCATGTATCCTAGGTGACTGTAAGGTAGTGGACTATCGTCCAAGGAGAACAAGGAACCGTTCTATCAATATTACCTATTCTTCAGTAATCGCCATGCCACCCCGACATTTCTTCGAACTGAAGGTCCAACTATTCTCGGGCACCGAGAAAACTGAGAGCCTCTCTCTGCATGGACGCTCACTGGTCAGCCGCCAGAAGGTCTGAATCAAAACATCCACTGAAAAACCGTTTTCTCTGGGGAATAAGACCATTGAGCACCAAGGTCATCCTTGCCCTATGACCACTTGGCAAGCCACCTTCGTAAGTGAACCAGTCAGCCAGTGGGGTGGGGCATCGGTTCCAGAGCCAGGTTGAAGCTGAGATAGAGCATGGTTCTGGGCTGTCGTTCGCCCTCGGCCTTGTGTGATGGCCATTCTGTGTACCCTGAATAATAGCTGCTAGTCGTCTTAGAGTTCTTAGCATGGGTTTCATGCGGGTCTTATTCTGCTTGAGCGTTGCGATGTAGATACATATATGAGGGGGCGAGGTCAGCCTCCTACGAGTTGACCACATCGTTACTATTGCTCTACTTTTCGTGCCACCTATCGACCATTAGTATCTACGGTCTATTCACAGAGACTTCTATATTTCAACGAGTATAAATACACGAGTACACTCCAACCCTCAGATCTCAGACATCTCCTTGTCGCATTATCCTCTTTAGGCCTACCATCGAGGTCGGTACAACAGCGAACGCAAGTTCCGCCCTGCTTGAGCCGTAACGCCCCTCCATCACCTTGTCATCCGCCGTTGTGTCCCATCAGCACACTTCCAGAGCTCCTCCGCTCACCTCACGCTCCCACCTCCACAAGCAGGCCAAATCTCGAGAAGACAGACCTCATCTCATCTTACCACACCACAACCCACCTCCCAAAACCCACCAACCGACCCACCAAGAACCCCCCAATATGTCAGCCGGAGCACCACCCCCACCAACCATCACCGTACACGCCCCAGGCTCAGCAGTACCAGCACCGACACCAGCACTGTCCTCCACAACAACCGTGCCCGCGGCCTCGACGGCGCCGGTCAAAGCACGGCCGAAGATGCCCTCGCTCGTGAAATCGTGCTACCTGTGCGACGAGCAGAACCCCGGGGATTTCAGCCCGACGACGAAATTCCTGGAACAGTGTCTGCTGTGCTCGCGGAATTTCTGCCCGATCCACAAGTCCGAGCAGTGGGACGGCGTCTGCAACATCAACCACTCGCAGTACTACAAGGAGTGTCTGGCCAAGGCGCGCAGCGAGCTCGAGGGTCAGGGCAAGAATGTCGACCAGGCGGGCAATCGCTCCGTCGCCGAGATGCTGATCAACGAGGGCATTTATCCCAGCTTGGGCGAGCGCGAGAAGGCTATTTTCTCCACGAGTCCCGTCGACAATAGTGAGTTTCTTTTGTTTGGTTTTCCGTTCCCCCTTACTCCGTCACAAGTGTGATGAAAAGAGTGATGGTGGCTGACATGTTCTTTCTTCTCTTTCGTGCAGAAACCGTTCAAGAACTCGAAACCTACCGCAGTCTCGACGCGGCCATGACGGGTACCAGCACCAAGCCGGCCAGTCAGTTGATTGAAGAGCGGGACGTCCTAGAGGCGGATATTGCAGTCTGAAGGCGGGGTGTTGTTGGTCCAATGCATGACTATTGGTCCCGTCTTGCATTTTGGAAGACGCACACTCTCCAACCCATCAGGCGGCGAGACGGAGGAGTTTTGGGATCGACGAAGTTGAGAGAAGGCACAAGGAGTCAAAAATACCCCCCCAAGTTTTTGAGCGAACCAGCAAAGGAAAGATACGTATGTATTGCGCATGATGTGATGCAGAGAGCATGTTCGTCTTCTATGAAGACAAACGAAGATATAGCCAGTTGAGAAGGTCCCCAGTGGGTGCCAACCGAGGAAATAAGGAAAAATAAACCCAAAAGTCTTTTATAATGTGCACGAGTTCCATTTTTCTTATGGCTACGAGGTCGATGGGAATAGGCAACTCTCCTGATGGTGTTAATCGTCCGTACGTACTGCTGTGCTAAGAAGCCTCAGGGAAACCTCATATGCTTTTGAACTCTGAGCAACGAGGTCATCCAGGACCTATCCCTTGAAGGACCCAAACGCCATGCAAAATCTCGACAATCGACCACCTTCCATTTCATATCCTCGAGTCAAAGAAGACCAGGGTCCGACGGTTAATCAAACGCATACAATGGCTTCCAAAACACCCATAGCTCTCTGACCTTCACGCTCAAAAACTCCGACGACCCGTTCTGCTTCATTTCTGAGGCCTCTCTCTGCCTCACCTGCAACGTGTTCGATCCACTCCTGCACTGTCATGTTTGCTTCCTTGTCGCTTAAGGTCCCGGCTCCAAGTGCGAATAGATCTGCTGGTTGTGGTGTATTTGGTTCTAGTATCATCTCTATGTCGGCTGGTGACCATGTTGTGGTTGGCTCTCCTGGGGAGGAGAATGCGACAGGGACAATTTGAGGAGGTGGAGGCCGAACAGACGCCGGACGAGAACTTGGAGGTGCGTTTTCGATGTCTGAGGGTGGTGATGGAGATAATGTCGTCGTAGGGTCCGCTACCTGCTGTGTTCTGCTTGATCTCCGGGGTGTAGTTGTTGATTTGACTGATGATCTCCGTGTTCTCGTTCGAACCGGTGTAGGGGATGGCCCTGGTGGTGGTGCAACGGGACTCAATCGCACTGGCCCTTCCCCAAGTCCTGGAGTAGGAGGCATGGTTGGATATTCTATATCGCCATGAGGGGTAGCTACGGGACTTGGTAGCGGCTGTTCTTCAAGTGGCAGATCCTCTTGCACCACAATGTCGGCCACTGGCTCCTCCCACTTTTGAGACAGAGGTTCTTCTTGTGTTGTCTGCCCTCGTGGCTCTTCGGACTCTTCGGGCTCAACTTGCTGTTTCTTCGACTTTGTAGCCCTAGTTGCTTTTGCTTTCTTGGCCTTGGTCGCTCTCGGTTTTGCTGCTGCTTTCCTCTTGGCCTTTGTAGTAGCTGTGGATGCAGTCGACATCATAGACTGGACTGAGACGCCACTAGTGTCTATCGATTCGTCAAGATCTGGAATGTCATTGGTGCTCGGAGCTTCCGAAAGAATTGTCGCATTGACCGACTGTGTTGACAATCTAGTAGATGCTTTCGATGTTCGGGAGGATCTTGACGCACGGCCTTTCTTTGCCTTTGGTCGTTTGGTGGGGGCTGTGGTGCCTGCAAAGTGGAAGAAGGGACACTCGGGAGACCTGCGGTAGTGCTCATCGAAAGGGTTGTCTTTGGGTTCCCATCCATCAAGTGACAGTTTGCAATGGGCGCAGCTCACAAAATCATCACTCTCAGGTATAGGTGCGTAGTACCACCCAGCTTCCACCATTTTCTCTGTTTTGCAAGTCCATCCTCGTTTCGATTCATGTGGCCAACCTATCGAGAAGGTGGCTCTTCTAGCCTCCACATAGTGCTGCTCTGTAGGGTCTTCCATCTTGTTGACATCTGGGGTGCCATCTTGTGCAAGGCTCATCATTATTGCCCAGCCGCAGTCGCTTGAATGTGTCAAGTGCTCTTGAATAGGGTCATCATCGGATTCCCAGCCGTCGAGCGACCTTTCGCAGAGGTAGCACATGGCATTATCATTGCTGTTGGCTAGTGGTTTGTAGTAGAAGCCTGCTTTGGCGAGGGCTTCAGCGGTGGGGGTTTTGTGCGGCCATCCAATTTTTGACCGTTTGGAAGGAGGTGGAAAGGTAGCGAGACGTGCTTCTAGAGTCGAGAATTCCATCTTGTTATTTCGTGTAATCTGTTGAGCTGGGAATTCGAGGTGGTCTCAAAGGTGCTGTTGAAGGTGTTCTGAGGTTTGTTTGTTGTCACTGGTGGATCGAAGCATCGTGATTGGTCACGGCGCGCCAGTCTTGGCATCTGATGACGCGCCGAAAAATCCGTCATAGACTTGGACCTTTTGATATCGACGATCTTCATCTAGCAATCGACCTCTCTTCCAAATAGCGCCCTCTTTACCGCCAGCATGTAACATTCAAGCTTCGTTGCACTATAAACACTTTCTAGATGTTCGCCATGAGCTGTATTGGGTAGGGTGCGGCGTGTCGTGGCAGACTCACCTGCAGCCATTCATTCATTTGTGACCGCTACCAAAGCCGCATCAACCAGAAATATGGTTCTCGTAATATTTCAAGTTTAAGGCGTGTTAATGTTCTACCTCGCACCAGGACCTTCTAGCCATCTTCAGTTTGGATATAAATCGGCGGGCAACTGAATAATCTAATACCCTTCGACCCCGAGTGCCTTATAAACTGCCTTTAAGTATTTCTCAGAGTTTACATTCCCCAGAATTCCAGCACCCATCTTGTTCATGGTGTATGAGAATGTGACCTTCCGCTCAAGATCCATGATGATCAAACTACCGCCCCATCCACCCCAGAAGCAAACTTTGCCCTTGGGCAGCCAATCTATAGTCTGGCTCGTTCCGCCACCAGTGAGGCCATAACCTGTGCCAAAGCGAAGGGGCACTCCAACGACCAGATCGGGTCCGTTGGCCTGCTCTTCGAAGATTTTCTCAATGGTTTGTGGTGAAAGATATTTCTTTCCGTCAATGGTTCCACCTAGGGTTATGATGCTCAAGACGCGAACTAGTGATCGTGCATTGGCTGTACCGTTGACACCAGTCATGTCAGTACGACGCCAACTTGGTGTGTTTGCGATCCTTGCATCCATTGGTGGGTTCCCCAGTGATAGAAATGTCGGGCTGTTCTTATCGAGGGTGCTGAAGTCAATAGGCGATGGTGGTGGAGGAATGACTGGAGAGATGCGTGGCCAATCCTTCTCGAGCGCACCAACCTGAAAATCTGCACCTAGTGGACCGGCGATTTCTTCAGCCACAAATTGCTTCATGGGCTTACCACTCGTGCGTCTGATCAATTCTCCGATCAGGTGACCCATGACCACCGCGTGGTAACCACTTGCAGTTCCTGGTGGCCAGAATGGTGCTTGCTTCGCGAGGCGAGGCACGGAAATGGATAAGTCTTGAACCTCCTCGGGCGTAATGGGATCCTTCCAACCTGATACACCAGACGTATGGGAGAGGAAGTGACGAACCAAGACACCTTCTTTACCATTCTCGGCAAATTCAGGCCAGTATTTAGAGACCGGAGCGTCGAGGTCAAGTTGACCCCGGTCCACTTGTATCAGTGCTGCGAGGGTGGCGACAGTCTTGGTGGATGACCAGACATTGACAACGGTGTCCTTCTCCCATGGTTTGGTTTTTTCCTCGTCAAAGAAACCTCCCCAGATATCAAGGACATTCTTACCGTCGATGTTAAGGACGATGGAAGCACCAAGCTCATCTCCAGAAGCAATTTGCTCTTCGAGAAGAGTGCGAAGGCTTTCAAATGGAGCGTCAGCGTGACCTTCGACTTTGGCCATGGTGAGTATGGAGATTTACTTGCGGTCTGTGTTGTTGAGGAGAGGTTTTAGGGTTGAAATACAACAACCGCAAGCACCAAGCAAGTAAGGCCAGGATGGTTTTATTCATACAAGAGCCATCTGTCCCCTCTTCTCCCGGCACCGGATCTCGATTCTGGGACCACGCCCACCAAATAACAGACTACTTCCAACAACCTGTCCGCACGGACGAACGACGACGGCCCGAGGTTTCGAATGTAGTCCGGGCCCGAGTCTTGCTCTAGCGTGACTCGCCCTTCTGACAAAATCAAGCTTGGCGCTGTGGGGAAGCCTTCAACCTCCAACGGCCTAGTTGTCGAACCGCGGTCTGGTTGGAGGGATGGGACATTTCAGCTCGTACTCAGATACCTAGATGGGCATTGAGTTGTGGCAAGCCTAACATGTCAACCACCCTGAGAATTAGGCCTACATGATTTGTGCGTATATCACAAACATTCCACACGATAGTGCTTAGGTTGCCATGCAGGAGACTCTGGTGATGACAAAACACCTTGTGCAAGGCTCGGCTTGTCCCTCTTCGAGGCTTACGTTCCGACTGCTTCTTTTGAAGGCATACACCTTTGATAGGTCGTTGAAACCTCGGTAATGTACTCCACCTCCTTGCTTGTTCACTCTACCTTGTGAGCACGGTTCTTTTCTTAGTCAGAAGCTGGCAAACGAGGAGAGACACATTATTATCCTATGAGTGATTATGCACTCCGTGGAGCCTCCATCTCTCATTAGCATCTAAGTGGGCGTCCAACGTCACAGCATGTGCATGAATTCATCGTCCACCGCCTGCACCATTAACGAGTACGGGTTTTCAGCTCATTCTGGTACGGCCGAGCTACATAGTGGTCTTGTAACATTGTTGCTGCCTGGGCTGCAAGTGCAAAGCTCACCAGCATACCGTCAGTATTTTCCAGACTGGAAAGACCATCTTTCTGAACAGCCATGGCAAAAATCTATAATTTTTAGACCAATGAAACTGTGTAGAAACGTGAGCTGGATGCCGAACGGTGTGATGTTCGAGAGTTAGTGAGCGTGCAATGAGTTACACCGGAAACTGAAGTACTCGTTCTGAACCCCACAAGGCAAGACTATCATGTCTGCTTCGTACATCACGTATCTGACGCCCAAGAGTTGGATCAAAGGCTCTAAGCTGCCGGCTGATGCCACTTCAAGGTTCAGGTTCAAGTTCATAATGGAAGACAATCCATTTCTTGGCATGTTTGCACTGAGGCCGTCGATATATTCTTGGCCAATTTGCCCCTAATTCTTTGACAAATGACGTGCGTCCCTCAGGTAAGGTGGTTTGTTCTACGTGTATGCTCACCAACGCCGGGACACAACCACGCTCATTTGACAAGACGCGGTGATGCATGGTGATTTCTATAATGCTAATACCAACTCGCAACCGCCATACGCTCTCTCGGTACAATGACTCTTAGAGTTGTGCCCAGTGTTCTTGGGAAACGAGGTTTGCGAGAGCTGTATGGTACCGCAACCAGACGCCCTTCTCTGCTAGCAGCCCAAAGATGCCTGCCTACCCCCTACGGAGTCCGCTTCTACGCAACGGTTGAAGAAGACAGCAAGCGTGAAACCTATCCTCCACCAAATTTTGATGCCTCTAAAGCCAAACAGGCCTCGAATGCGCAGTCCTCGCCCGCTGCTACCGAGAATAGACCTCCTTCGACTGATGGTTCCACGAAATCCGATGCATCGACCTTAAGCCCAGCTGACTGGGAAGAGAACCCAGATCTCAGTATATCCAAGTTTTCAGAGCTTCCAGGGAAGGACTTCGGAGTCAACCAACATATTATAATCAATGAAGAGTTCAAGGAGGCCTTGAGGCAAATCTTGTGGAACTTCAAAGCACCAATTCGTTATGCCTTTGCGTACGGCTCTGGTGTCTTTCCACAGAGTTCCAGCAATAAAGGCGGAAATACAAACCTGCATTCCTCGCCGCCTGAAGCCATTTCCAAGGTTCAAGATGGAAATCAGAAAATGATTGATTTTATTTTTGGCGTGTCCTATTCGCAGCATTGGCATTCGCTCAATCTTCAACAACATAGGAGCCACTACTCTGCGGTGGGATCTCTGGGCTCATATGCTGTCTCCAAAATACAGGATTCATTTGGGGCTGGAGTCTATTTCAATCCATTTGTGACTGTCAATGGTACCCTTATCAAATACGGAGTTGTGAATTTAGACACTCTCTGCAAGGACCTATCGGAGTGGAACACACTATATCTTGCCGGTCGGCTACAAAAGCCTGTCAAAATCTTGCGAGATAACCCAGCCGTGCGGTTGGCAAACCAGGTCAATCTCATCGCGGCTGTACGGACAGCCTTACTCCTTCTCCCACCTGAATTCACCGAGAAGGAACTATATGCAACAATTGCAGGCATGTCATATATGGGGGATCCACGAATGTCAATAGGTGGGGATGATCCTCGCAAAGTCAATAACATTGTGGATAATCAGCTCCATAACTTCCGACGATTGTACGCTCCATTGATCGATAATTTACCCAACATCTCCTTTACCGACTCGGCTTGTTCAAATAGAGACTGGTTTGATGATCCGACCGTCAATGCCAAAATTTCACAGAACATGGACCCCGTAACTAGAGGACATATGGTTCGCAGACTGCCCAATGCCTTCCGTGAGAAGCTTTATTTCGAGTATCAGTCCAAGTTCAGGATACCCAGAGGAGAGTTCAACAAGTTGATGGAAACGACAAAGGACGAAGATCCGGATCGGATCCGGAGACGAGAGGGGGGACCCTTTGAGCAACGTATCGCCAAGGACATTGAAGGCGGAGGTCTACGCGAGGAGGTTCGTCAGGTCATTGTCAAAACCATCCGTTGGCCCAGCGTGTCCCAGAGTATAAAGAGCGCCATCACTGCTGGAGTTGGCAGAAGCTGGCGCTATGCCCGAGAAAAGCGACAGAAAGCCAAGGGTACAGCTACTTCCACCCTGCCCCAAGAGAAGACCAAGGAATGATGTCCTGGGACGTGAGCTATATAGGTGTCAGCATGAAAGGGAGAATCAGTAAGACGGGCCCTTTTGTAGGCCGTCACTCTTGCGTGACCTAGTCTTCGGGCTGAAGAACAAAAATATTTTGTGTATATATACAATTATATATTCCGGAACCATGATGGAGTGAGGAGCAGCTACTGTCCTGCCCTTCTCCCTTTACCACCAAAATACAAGAAATCTACCTATACATTCCACACTCGTCCGCCACTTGCGCCTCTCAACGATAACACTAGACCACTACAAACCTTTCCCATCTTCCTCCACCCCTTCCGCAATCTTCCAACCAACCTTCCACAGGACATAAAAGGGAATACCGACACTCCAGAAATACGCCGCACTCCGCAAATAACTGGTCTTCTCGCTCTGCACGGTCACATAGAGGACGCTGTACAGAACCCTCGCAGCGAGATATTCCGCCGCGCAGAAATTGAGCTCTCTCGTGTCCATCTTCGTATACGTCCCAGCTACCTTTTGCAGAAAGTGAGTGAGTCAACAAACGGCAACAAACAAAACAGTCAAAACGTTATGGATGACTATGTATTTACTCACCATAGCAGCTGCGAAGAGCGGAAATCCCTCCAATGCATTGAGATGGCACCCGCGAGCCTTCCACAGTGTGTCCAGAGTGGGCTTGGGTAAGGTAGACGCCAGTCTCTCGAGGTTCGGGCGCGGCACGAGATTCGAGGCAGTGTATTTTGAGGCGGTCATCATTGTCGTGAACATGTAGATGTGTGGTGGGAAGGAGAGCGCATAGGAGATCGGTATCGAGTGCAGTGCGAATGCCCGGGTTGAGAAGTACGGGACTGCCGTTCCTGGGGAGGAAGTTGGCTTGCTTGTGAGCGAGTCTTTGGTCGATGCCATGTTGGTGGTCGTCTGGCCTATGCTATTCTACGCTCTGTGGTTGGTGCTTCAGCTTTTGGGCGATGTTACTTTGGTCGCAAATTGGGATATCGAAGTCCCTGTGACAGGGCGACGTCTTAAATACATGCTTCCCAATGGATTTCTCAGAAGATACCTCATGGCGATATGCGAATCGTTATGTCAACGATTGTCTATGATGTTCCAGAAAAACCACCCATACTGAGTACTCTGCCATGACGTACATTTTCGCGCATAACGTTATCGACTTCCGAGCGAAAGGGCCAAACCCTTAATAAGGGGGCGTGGAAAATCGAGACGTATCGACAATCTTCAGTTGTTATTCACATTTAGGGGACTTTCATGTATCCGTTGATCTGTTGTCGGTTCAGAAGTGATTAACGGAGTGTCAAACGCTGATAAGTGACTCAAAAGCCCAGTTACGATGGTTGCTGAAAACGACCGCGAGGAAATCATTCCGTCTGACATGGCGAAGAAGGAGGTTGACACGTGCGAAACACGAAGCACCAAAAGTGAAAATTGTGAAAAATACCCTACCAGCAGGAAAACCAGAAGAAGATTCCATTCCCAGCCCAGTACTGTTGAAGCTTTACAAGCACTCGTGTGTGAGTTGCTAAGAACCCATGGCATTAAACCTCGAAATCTCCTAGAGCCCTAAGAACGACAATCCGAATGGAAAGAACATTGAGTATCTGAAGCCCTGATCAAGATGCCACTGGCGACATTATTGTTGGAGCCAACAAGCCGTGGCTACAAGGCACAAAGTATAGGTCCTGGAGGTATTATCATATCAAAAGAGGTATCACCACATCATGTTCCCAACTCCTCCCGCATCTATCAGACTCCGCCGCGTTGATGGTATTCAGATATATCCACCCTTGTCGTTCTTTCCCTCGCGTTCAGAACGAGTGAAAACCTCTTTGGAAGTGAGGTTGCCAACGCCCTCAAGGAGACCGCCTTTTCCCAGTTGGCCCCCGACACCCTCATTGACACCATCTTGGATGGCATCGACATTCTTATCGCCAGTGACTTTCGTCTTTGAGAGGTTGTCTAGAAGAAAATTTCACCGTCAGTCTCCATGTCAATCGGGGATCGAGGAGGGCAGGGGAATCTGGGTCCCGGCTGACCTTTGGCAACGTAGCTCGTCTTATTCTCACCCCACCAGCCGAGGACCTTGTCTTCGACCCATGGAACCCAGCTTTCGTACTGCCTGTTGTACCAGTTTTTGGATGCTTCCATTGTTGCGTATAGATAAACACTACCCAAGACTGGAATAGATCGTTGCAGGTGTGATTATATTGATTTGATATCGATTTAGGAGTGATTGATCTGTGATGTTGAATATCTGAAGATAAACAAGACTAGGGAGACTAGTCTGTACATCTCAGGGTCTTAAAGGAGAAACGATCACTCCTACCCTTTCGCAGAGGTGTTGCCATTGCATCATGGGATCCAACATTGCCCATGTGAAAGGCCAGGGCAAAACCCCGGTGTGGCTGATACGTCACTCTGGCTTCGATCTGAACGTGAGCGTGGCTTGTCACCAGTCCCAGCGGCTGGTGATCGATTGACAAGGAATATGGTAAAATCAGCCTTGCTTCCACGAATGATATTTGCCAGAATGTGAATAGGTCCAGGATATCCCAGGCAAGACGAAAGTTGGCAGAGGCCGTGTTGGAGGATATCAAGTTGGGAGCGCAAAGGAATGACGTAGGATGCCCGTTCCACAGGGCCACTTAGCGAGGGTCACCCTAGAAGACATGGTGGCCGCTAATTGGCCGTGTGATGCTCTTCTGCTAAAGTGGTCTACTGGTGGAGTGGTTACCGAAATAGCTCTAATACCAATGCCAAGCTAAACGCAGGCAGTCGGTATTCCACGACCTCCGCTGCCCTAGGGACTCCAACTACTAGGTACTTACTTATCCTATGAAGAACCTACCTATTGATTGTCTAAATCTGACGTTACTGATCGGACTCGCACTCCCGACTACCTCAGAGCAGTTTTGGCGCTGGTGATGGTCCCCATATTTGGGCATCAAAACCCTCTATGTGCCAGGTAAGAAATCCACTGAAGTAAGTCTATCTGCTACCACGAGGTGGCGGCAAAGCTTGAAATCGATTCTTTTTGCCCAACTGATACCTGCTGGTGCCCTCTCCTGAGTTTGGTAGGTCAGTGGTGCTCGAGGCAGGAAATATCAAATCCCCCCATAGTGCTTAGTGATGGAAGAACACTACCATCGAAACTCGTGATCGTCCAGCATCTTCCAATACAATATGGTCTTGCGTTGATTTCAGGTGTTTTTAATATCCACTCGGAGAGCTGCTGCCTATCGATCGGCGCACCCTGGTTGTTCACTCAACGATTTGACTTCAAAGTTTGAATCTTCATGAATAAAAACCAATACTACCTCCACTTCAGATTTTGGACCACACACAGCTCGTGAAGCACATTGGTCTGCCAATCATATGAATATAGATGTACAGGCCTGGGAGGGGAAAAGAATTCATTGAAACTGTCTGGAAAGCTTGTGATATATCAACGTCCAGAAGGCCATGAGGAGCACTCCACAGAACAATCCCTCGCCCCCATGGGTATAAGAAGGAGTACTTCTTTCCCTTCTTATGAGAATGTGCCGCTTTTGTCGAATATGCAAGTGTACCTTGCACATTCGACTTCAGACACTCTGATCATTCGCACAGAGCCCCAAAACGATCCTCATAAACGTCCCAGCCATGGGTCTCACGTCATGGATCATGCTCGTCATCATAGCTATCGCTTCTGCAGCATCTGAAGCACCCTCGACAACCAAGATGTTGCCTACCAAAACCACTATTCCGACCATGTCAACAGTGACTATACCCCCAACTCTCATTGCTCGCAAGTACATCACTTTGTATACAACGCCATCGACGGTGCATGATTTTCCAGACGTTATGACAGTAAAACCCTTCCCGATAGTCAAGATTGACCACTCGGACCTTAAGATTAAACCCAAGTGGAGAAAGTTCAACCCAGATGTTTTTCTCAAACATACCTGTCCCCGCGAGGCTCTTGTGGCTTTGGCCAATTGGCGGTTATTCTGCGACGTCCCTTTGAAGCCCATCGAGTGCTGGACCAGAGCGCCAACAATTAACAGGTGCTGCGGCAAATGGGTCAAGACCAACTCCACCTTCTACGAGAAATACCCAAGCTGGGGCGGCATTTACAACAAAGGGACCAAGGAGTGGGAGCCGGACCTGAACAACAAGGACCATCCCGGAGAACGCGAGATCATCATGCCATATCCGGAAGACTACAATATGGTCGACGATATCTGCAGAAACTGGAAGTTTGACGATGGCAAACAGTGGATGCATTTCACTCAACACTATGGCGAATACGGCATTCACGAGGTGACAGAGTACAAGAGACTGGTAAAGTGGGTGCCGAAAGATACACCCACCCCTTCCCAGACGGGATGAGTAGCAGTGACTGGTCAGTAAAAGAGGCACCATCCACTTCTCAGGTGGGAGGACTGTGAACAAGTGGATTTTGAGTGGGTTCTTCATGATTCAAGGCGTTGGAAATGTTCATTTTGGATTTGGTAGATTCCAGTCAGACAACAAACGTTGGTGGGGGATGGTGAGATTCTGAGGCAAATGCTACATGGCCAATGGGTTCGCGATCGTTTGAGGGGTGGGCAGGAGAAGAGTTCAAATGTGCGGTAGGTGGCCCAGAAAGGTCGGGAAAATGCGTTTGCGCTAGAATTTTCGTGATTGATTGCAATAGAATGAAAGACTCAAATCCGTAGTCATAATAAATCTGATGTTAACATAGTAATGAGAACAGCAAAGGTAGTCCACCTCGCAACCAACTCTCCCAATGCGGTACGGTATCCCTCTGTGGAGTGACTATCCTCGATATCATTCTCCATTGTGTCCATGCCCTGTGATATCCCTTTTGGTAGTGATCCTACAAATCCCGCTGTGTGCCAATAGCTATAATTAATTCCTGACCAGATTGCATCCGAATCTTTTGATAATACAACAAAAAAAGGGGGCGGTCCCCCTATTTGGGAATGATTGTGAAGGGGGAAAGGTAAGGACAGACATGGACAGCCTCCAAGATCTTTCCTATTTTGACCCCCCAAAAAGTTCAAGGTCAAAGCCTGACCTCAAGTATGCAAGGGAAGACATGCCTTCCCTGTGGCTCCTCATCATCTGCTCGTCTCAAACTCTTGTGTAGTTGTGGGGGTTATGCCCATCTTGAGAACTGCCGTAGCTCGAACGGTTGGGGTAAGGGAAACTATCGCTGTCCCTGTTTCGGTGTTTTGGGTGAATCTTATCCATGTGGTCGTCCATCAGTCCCTGGCAAGGGAGATATACGCCACAGGAAAGAACCGTGCATTTGATCCGCCCTCCTCCAATGTGGTCGTCTCGGTCTTGTGACTGTGAAAAGACCCTTGTGCAGGCTCGACACGCAAACTGGCCTCCAGATTGTCCATGGGGCAGAGCTCCGAACTCGACTTCTCCGCCCGTGTTGATCACATTTGCCAGGGCACAATCAATGGCCTCGAGGTCATCCCTGTTAGGATTCATAATGTCGGTCACGGAGATCGGGCCATCGCGAGGTTGCAGTATTGGACCTTGCCGTGGAAGATAGTTGCGGAGGCAGTCGGCTCGAGCTTGTTGGCCGTACTTCACTGAAGCACCATGCTGGCGAAGTACCAATATGTGTTTGTAAATCGACATATCCGGGAAGGGAGGATTTTCTCTGAAATATGAGTTGTCTATATGTGGTGCTGCTTCGCCCGGATGTTCGGGATTGAAGAGCTCATCTGTATCATCAGGCACTCGCGTTGGTTGATTCCGAGTTGGTCCCTGCCTATGCAAATCTTCTTTGGAGGGTCTTTCTCTGTCTGGGCGTCCATAACTATCTCTATCCCTACCACCTGAGTTCCGAGGAGCCATGTGTGAGTAATTATCGTCGTTGGCGACAAAAAACGTGGCAACATCAACAACGGTTTCGTCAGAATCAGCCTTAGACTCGGAGTCGCTATAATCGCGAACCTTCGAAATATAAACCGGTTTGTTTGGATTCTTCGTCTCGACCTTAGACGATTGATAGTCCGCGGGAGTTTTTTTGGATTTGACAGGAGTAGGGCCACGAGTTTTGGATTGTGTAGCCTTAGCAGTTTTAGTATATCCAAAAACACTATTAGAAGGCATTGGGAAGAAATATATCTACAGGGAATGCATCATTTGTCTGATCTGCAAATGGAGCGAAGTGCGGATTTATGTGCCCAACATATTGAGGCTGAGCAAGCAAAAATTCCATCGCCCACCCTCAAGTGAGTGAACTCACATGAGGCCGTCAGCCTTGCGTTTGCCTTGATGCATCCTTCATGCACTGGACACGACGCACACTTCAGTGTTGATCTCTCAATTTCGACCGGTGAAACCATGTCGACCGGAAACAATGGGATAACAAACCACTAAAGATGCCTGAGGCTACGCCCGTGGTCAGTGGGCAAGAGGGCAGAGCTGATAAGGGTGGGTGCCTGGTTGCCTGCTCGCGTTGGTTGAGGGTGGAGGAAATGGTCCAGAATGGTTGGATTCCCATCAGATACAAGGAATAGAAGAGACCATACAGGTAGGAGGGGGTGACACGGGGCCTTCATGAACACGAAAACCCTAAGCCTCACTACTCCTCGTTTGGAAAACTTGAGCCTTAATCGGGCGTTGGGTTCAAAGCTCGCATGGAAGTCATGAAGCCGGTCGAGACCAAAAGTGCCAAAGTATATGCCTGTGCACCACCGATATTCATAGGACGTGAGAGTTCATGCCATCGGACGCGTAATGCCTGCCATCAAAAGCAATGTAGCCGCTGAGGCTGAAAATGTCTGGGGGAGGGGAAACGAGGGATCAGGTAACACGAAGGTTGACTTGCAGTTGAGCCTCGTTGCCAAGACCAACTCAGTCTGTCACATGACTAGCTCCGAACCTCATCACGTGGATTTGTGAGTCTCACCACCGGGATATTTCAACGGAGAGCTGACCGTCTGCACCGGCTCCACCGGAGAGAACGAAGCACTCATCTATCCACCCCCACCTCCACATTCATGAAGGGCCGGCATGGCGACCGTTGAGTGCCGTATCGACATTTAGCCGGGAGTCCATTCATATGAGGAAGCAGCAATGCCGATAGAATTACTTCATTCTTCTTTATTGAGATCTTCCCCTTTGTCAACCTCCAAGTTCTTGTTCTTCCTAGATATATCAAACATTTACGGTCAAGAAACTATCAGACATCACAAAGGCCAATCTCGAACCATTCCAGGTTGACCACCAGCGATCACACCAGCATTTCCGGCTAAATCACGATTGTGAGACGTTTTTGGAAAAAGACTATCCCATACGAGTTCATACATTGATGACCGAAATGGCGTCTCGACCGAATGTCGGGTTTATTGGCCTGGGAGCCATGGGCTTCGCCATGTCTACGCACCTGGTAAAGACCGGATTCCCAGTTACGGGGTATGACATCTATGGACCGACGCTAGAGCGATGGCAGTCAACGTGCGATGAGGTGCCCAATTCTCGGGCCTCGACTGCGACCTCACCATCAGAAGCCGTGAAAAATGCGTCGGTGGTATGCCTCATGGTCGCAAATCATCATCACGTTCATTCGGCACTCTTCGACGAAAAGGTTGGCGCTGTTCACGCCCTACCAAAAGGGGCAACGGTGATCATTCATGCAACTATTCCCCCGACTCAACCAGCGGAGGTTCGCAAAAGACTGACAGATGAGTTCAACCGACCCGACATCAAGTTGATTGATGCTCCCGTGTCTGGGGGAGTGGCAAGGTCAATAAATGGTACCTTGACGATCATGGTATCTGCTGACGACCCGGCCAATCTTGAGCAGCCAGATGCGAAAACCGTGCTGGAGAATGTAGCTAGCAAGGGCAAGACACTATATGCTATTCCGGGCGGTTTGGGAGGAGGCGAGTCGGCCAAGGCCTTGAATCAGGTTATGTGTGGCATTCATATCGCCTCGGCTTCTGAGATCATAGGCCTTGCAGCAATTGTTGGTGCCGATACTCAAAAGTTCTTCGACTATCTCGTTTCCAAAGACTCGGCTGGAAACCCAGTAGTAGGGTGGAGTTGGATGTTCGAGAACCGTGGCCCTCGACTCCTGAGCGCGACGCCACCCATGGCTTCAGCCACCTCGATCATCGACAAAGATGTGGGAATTATTCGCGACGAAGAGCGGAGATTGAACGTGGAACTTCCGCTGTTAAACAATGCAAGCGATGTGATCACGGCTGTAATGAAGACTCATGCAAGCGCAGATGACAGTTGCATTGCCCAATATTACCTTGGCTTTGACTCTGACCGAAAGAATCTGGTTGTGGAGAGGGCCGGAAACCCGACAGTTGCAGCGGCGAACCATGACAAGTTGATTCAGGATGTCGCCAATGCTCATGCCGTGATCCATCTGACATCGGCACACGAGACGACCATTTTCGCCAAAGCACTGGATCTTAATAGTGCTGAGCAAAAGAAGCAATGGTTCAGTATCATCTCTGGTGCCGCTGGAGGAAGCACAATCTTCTCTGAAATCATCCCGCTTGCCTTTGCAGATCCGGAAGGAATCGAGCACGCCTTCAAGAAATATGCTCAGGAGAAATTCAGTGGTATCCTGGATAAGACGGTAAGTCGCTTTCAAGTTATTGTCATTGTGTTCTGATACTAACGATGGTGATATAGGTGGAGCTCATTGAAACCGCAAAGAAGAATCAATATGAACCCAAACTGTTAGAAGCCGCCACGGAGAATTTGAAGAAGCTGCTGAGTTAGTTGCTCGGCAGAAAGAGCCTGTGCTCGGGAATTCGAGTATGGTTTTTAGATTTTTTTCAGGCCTGGTAATAGTGGACAAACAGTAGCATGATATCCAAGACTTGTTTCAACGATGCGATGACCCCATAGAATCCAGGAAGACTGAAGACTGAAGCCCGCACGTAGGCATACCATGAGCTCAATCTCGGGTAACTGCCTTCGAGTGAAACAAGGTTCCGCTTTGCGGCTGCCCAAAAGCCTTTCCAAATCTGTTCATCACAAGGTCCAGCTCGTCTTGGGAGAAAATGACAGGTCTTAGATTCTGCTTCGCCTTTTGGAAAAGGGTTTCGTCGGTTCAGGGCCTCGGACATATTTCACTCGAGAGTGGTATTAATGTCGCTTCATCTCCATCGTAGTCGCGAAGGTTCACGCGTGTTGCTGTGCGCCTTGTGCAAAGTCTCTTTTGCTCCATGCTCACCGCGATGAGCATTTCTTATTGTCTAAGGCTTGAGGGTTGACAGTAGAATGTTTGGCTTACTGTGTGGCCCTTCAGGTTTCGATCGAAGTGCGGAGGTAACATGCAGGGAGTGGTGGACCTAGATGATGCGCTCCTAGGAGACAGTCACATTCACAGGCATACTCTTGTATACACTGCTGTCCGGAAGGCATCTTATGGGCCAAGGAGGGGTCTGAGAGGAGGTTAGACAGGAGGTTACGTAGGTTTGATGATTCTCTGAATTAGGTTCAAGATTGGAGTCTTCTGAACCTTCTGAACTTCGGTTCGTTGTTGTCAACTTCTTCCGCGTATTGACGCCGTCGAGTCGAAAGGGTGACGCACTCGAACCATGGCCATGTGATTAATTCGATCTGGAAGTTCAGCGTGGTGATTGTCGGTGTGATAGCAAAGCGGAGGAGATAGAGAGTCTATGTGAATTGCCCACAGCCATCGTCCTTTATGCAGCAAGCCTGCTCTCTCAGCTCAGACAAAAGACGTTCAGCTCTATGGAGCTCAGCCTCTCCAGTCCCATGTTGGGACGTTAGCGACAAAGCTGCAGCAAACTGATTTTAGGCCCAGGTCGTAGTAAGGATATCTTTTGGAATGCTATTTCATCAAAGAGAGATCAAATCGAAGACTGGGTCAGAAGAAGCAGACGCATCCTGAGTTGCCACTCTTGACATCAGGAGATCGGCACGGCTTCAGCAAAAGGGGTGCGTAAGCACCTGTGATCACAGCGCCCATTGGGAACCACGTACAAATGTGGAAGCATTTTGTGATTGACAGGCCGGGCACGAGCCTCATTGGATATCTCTTCAGCCTGTACTGAAGCGGAGTCTGATGCAGTGTTCAACGGTCCAGTAGATAAAAAGGATGGTCGGTAGCAACTGCCTGTCCATCGCAGCATTTATTCTCTTGCCTCCAATGTAGCTGCATGGACAAGGCCTTACACGCGTTGATTGAGTCAAAGTCGCATTTGAGTGTTCTCCATTGCGGTTAAACTTGCTGTGGGCTTTCGATAGGCTCCGCTCTGGCCAGCAATAGTCCCAAAGCCCCAACCAATGGCATTGTCGTTGACCGAATAGTGTAATAATTTGCTGAGCCAGGCCAGATGCCCTCTCCCCTTTCTCGATACCAACCTATCATGTTCGATGCGGTGCTGCCCAGTTGTTCCCCTGTATGATGCGCGGCCGGGTCTTGGTCGATCAGCTCTTCAGCTAGCCAGCATGGCCCCCACGCTTTCAGCTTGCCACTGCAAGCAACAACGAGGTGCTGAATGGCACGACAAGCGAGAACCTTGAATTATCCTTGACATGAACCAGATGTCGAGCATAATATCCACATCATACTGCAAGATAAGCGAAGAGATGTTTCCGATGCGAACATGGTTACTTCGTACACCAAGGTGACTTTGTGTGGCTGCGCAAATGTGGCGTCACCCAGACCCCAGTGATGGACGGAATTGGACCCTGTCAGAACCATTAAATCAACGACATGGCTGATAATTGTTTCTAGCACGCGCGATTGAAGCGTCTCAAATCGTTCTTCGGCATTGCTTTCGAGGGGTTGGATTTGTGGAAAGGAGATCAAGTCAGTCCAGGAACAAGTCGTGAGACGTGTCATCACGTCCCCCTGAACCAGATCACGTGCAGCCCGAACGTTGGAAAGCCAGCACTCTAACGTCAGCGTAATGTCTGTGCTCGCACATATCTGCATCAGTAGGAAGCAGGAAGCGCATCTTATGATGTTTGTACGTCTATTTGAAAGCGCTTCGAGTTATACATCGTTGAAATAGCAGCTTGCAAGTCGCCAAGTACGGATAACTAAACGTAACAGGAAGGTTAGGCTAGCTCCTCGCCTTTGGGCCATCACTGCCGATGCTCAGTCGGCACCGCCCGGGCCTTAACCACAGAGCTCCGCAAGAGCCCAGAGCTCATCCAGACCACAACCGGTCTCTGTACCATATCAGGTCAAGAGGCAACGACCATTTTGTCAAACATATTTCGAAAGGCTAATTATACCTCAGGTGTCTATTCTTGTTAGAAGTTTTGGCATATCAACTTCAGTGATATGGATAGCAAAGACGGCCTTCATTACGACCCGGAGTCTGGAGTTCGAGAAGGCTTACCTTGTGATGGGGTTATTATTCCAAGTGCTTTGCATGTCGAACCGGGAAAATTATACGATGCCATTGTCATTGGCGCAGGTTATGCTGGATTGATAGCTGCGAGGGATTTGGCTGTCCGCGGTACGCCTCTTACACTAATCCACAGATCGAAATACTCCTGAGGTATGCTAAGTCACCGAAGGCCACAAGGTGTTACTCCTGGAAGCTCGAGACCGTATTGGCGGAAGGACTTGGACGTCGGTCATCGAAGGATATCCGTACGAGATGGGAGGTACATGGGTGAGTACGAATGCACCAACCTCTGTACTCCGTTCTTGATTTGTTTCTCCTATCAGGTGCATTGGGGTCAGCCTCACGTTTGGACGGAGCTTTCGCGGTATAATCTGGTTGACCAGCTCGAGGACTCGGCAGAAACTCTACCAGGTGTCACCCACAAGATCTCTTACTATTTTGAGCATGGGAGGAACGATCTATCCGCCGAGGAAGACGTAAGTCGCCCACTATAGTCTTATGCCAACCCAACAAGCTTGCATTCTTAATCTATCTGATAATCAGGCGCAAAACATGAACACCGCCTTGACTGAGTTCTGCAATGTCGATGGGCAACTAGGGAAGACAGTCATGCCCTTCCCCCACAAGCCGTTCACAGAAGCCGAGCAATTTACCAAATGGGACAGGATATCGGCAGCCGAACGTGTGAACCAGATCAAGGATCGATTGACACCGGATCAGCAGAGTCTTCTCCTCTCTATCATCGTCACGGCGTCAGGTTCACCAGCAGACCAAGTGGCATTCACCGAGATCCTTCGATGGTGGGCTTTGGCCGGCTACGACTCACAAGCATACATGGACTACATTATCAAATGGAAACTCAAGTGCGGCCAGACCCGTCTTGCACTACGCATCTTCCGTGACGCATTGGCCTCCGGCAACCTTTCCTATCGCTTTTCGTCTCCTGTGCACCAAATCGACCAGTCTCGACAGCAACTAGTCGTCACCGCGAAGGACGGCCAACATATGTCCGGACAGTACCTTGTCTGCACCGTGCCGTTGAATACACTCAACGATGTCAAGTTCAATCCGCCACTGTCGCACAGCAAGGTATTGGCAGCATCCAGGGGTCATGTCAACCTCTGCGTGAAGGCGCATGCCGAAGTCGAAACAGCAGACCATCGCTCCTGGTGGGGTATGGCATACAATCGAAAGCCAGGCATCATGGCGGGCGCTTTCGGAGACGGACTCACTCCTAGTGGAAATGCCCATCTGGTTTCGTTCTCTCTGAACGACGCTTTCCAAGGTGGTTCCGATCATGGCTTCTCGCAAATCAAAGCTGCATATGAAGAGTTTCATCCATTCAAGATCAAGCGCCTGGTCAGTACACTTTCCATCTCTTCAAAGCTATGATTTGTTTCATTCTACAGCCAAGTACTATGTATGTTCTGCCGAAATGGACACTGACAGGCATTAGCTCTACCACCCATGGGCGACTGATCCCTATGCAAAGGGAACTTGGGCCATGTACGCGCTGGGCTTTGGCAGTCGCTTCAAACGTGATCTGCAAGCCTCACAAGGTAGGATTCATTTTGCCAGCGCCGACTGGGCTGATGGATGGCATGGGTTCATCGATGGAGCAATGGAGCAGGGTATGCGCGCCAGTGCGAAGATATTGACGGAGCTGCAGAAGGTGCCAGCTGCGAGGTTGTGATGAAATGTAATTGCGAAAGATTGCAAGACAATGTGACATGACAAGCGTTCTACCAATGGTGTAGGCGATGCAAAGGAGATTCATACAGACTATGACTAAGATCACGAATTCATCTTTGACGTTCATTTTGATTCATTACTTCCCTACCTCATCCTCTTCGCGGACGCCACGGCATTCGTCCTGGGAAGTATTCTGGCGATGCTACAGCTCGACAGGCAGCGGCATTGAATATTGAATGAAAGGGGAGCACCTTATCCTTCAGCAGGGATGAGCTGAATACTTCGACAACGCCACTGCCCGAAACAGTATCGGTTCTCACATACTACAGTGAGTGGTGAGTTCCGTCCACAACGTGGCTCTTGTTGACATTTTGATGTCAAGCGTTCTCCTATGCGCCCTTGATCTGGCATGCAACTAGATCGAAAGTGTTTCTGTCATTTTGATAGAGATCCTGTATATACCACCAGCGAAAATGGGTTCTTGGATCTCACGGAGCATGGTGCACATGCTCTTTGTCTTTAGATAAACCTAGGTGTGAAGGTCAGAGAGGCAGGGTCAATTGAGAAGAGACAGGGAAGAGCAAGATGGATTCACTAGTCAACGAGCTTCAGATCTGCGCTGTAAGTCATTTTTTGTTAGCAACACTGATTGATAAGGGGTGGAAGGCACGGCAGGCACGGTAGACTAGACAGGCAAAAGGGGTATCAATGTGGATCTTGAGTCTCCTCTCAACAACATCCATATGCAAAATTCATGTGCTTGGAGATGAGAGTAGGCTCCAGTCCTTGTAGTCTACGCAGGCAGGCATGCTCTGGTAAAGCTGATGGATAAGGCTGGTACGGTTGTCTCGGTCGCGACGACAGGACACAACACTTCTCACACATTCCCAGACGTCTCCTGCCAACAGAGCATCGAATGAGGAGGCCAAGATGGCAGCTATGTTGCTTCACAAAGCAGCAGTGCTCCCTCATGGTTCAGTTCGCAGGTGGCCAGAGATTACCATCTGGCCTAGACTCTGCACGAAGCGCCCCCGACAATCTCACATGGCGCGTCCGAATCTGATCCCAATCCATGCACGCCAAATGGGCTGGATGAGTCTGGAGTCTGGTTGAGGCGTTGTAACTCACTATCGTCAGACAGCCATTGAAGCGCTCAACCATTTAAGAAGGGCGATGGCAGTCACTTGCTCCCCCAGCATGGTGCAACGGCGGACATTGTCATGAGTGTTTGCACTTTCGCTTGCCGATCACAGACAGCGCGTTCCAGCTGTCCCATGAGCCGGTGAGAAAACCATGCGAGCGGCGAAGCTCTGAAATCTGCCGCGTGTGCCCCGTAGCTGCGCTTGCAGATCCATCTGTCCCCCTTTCTCTTCACGCTTCCAGGCTCAAGTCGAATCGTCGAGGGCGGTGTGCCCTACCCTGCAAGGTTGACAACAACTATCGCATTAATTTTGTTTTACTTCCCAGTTCTACCGAACCGGTCATGCCGATCGAATGAACGAGAGAAGAACATTGATACAATAGCAGTGATCTTCATTCGATGTGCTGTTTTACGTGATGATTGTCAGTCTTGAATCCCTGCAGAACGTGGCTTTTCCCTGCTTGCCATGTTTTTGAGCAGCGTTGAATGGGAAGCGAGATAGAGCATGTAGATCAATACTCGATCTCATCGTTTCCACGTTCTGACCTGCCCTCGGCGCTCGTGTCTCATCGCAGATGGCACAGAAGCCTAAAGACAGCAAAAGGGGAATTCTTGATTAGCTGAGAGCGCGGAGATCACAACCGTAAAGATAGAATAATGTCGGTAAAGAAGTCATGAGCATTACTGGATGTATGGAAATGGACAAGCTTGGGATATTAAACTTCCGGATTCCGAGACAGAATCTTGGCATCATCTCGGGATCAGTACACCCACCACCATCTTTTTCGAACTATGTGGAAGGTCGACGTTTGCCTGTTTCTGGCTTTGTTCCCGGGCCGGGCTGAAAATGGTCCACTTGGCCATGTTGAAGATGGCGTTTAACAGGCAAACCAAAAGACAGGGTCCCTTCAAATTTTAACCGGAAATGTGAAGTCTCTGGCTGGACCCTGAGGGGGGAACTAGGAAGTTGGTCCCCACAGTCAGTGACTGGAGGACTGTGGCTTCATCGGTATGCTCTGTGATTTGAAGGCTTCTAGTCTGATTAGGGCTACCATTTCACGGTGCAGGTTTGTCGCCGTCAGCTTCTTTGCGACTGCACTGGTCAGGTTTACTGGCCTGGACCTGCTTCTTTTGACATCAATAATGGTGATAGTCTAGTACATAGTTAAAGATCACGGGTTAAAGGGTATCATGCCGACCATAAGCTTCAATATTGGTTGGACGACACTTGAAACACCATTCGGTAAGCAAGGTGCAAGGAGAATTGCATTAAATGAATGTTGCAACTTATTCGGAGGAGAATTTTTCCGCAATTATGACTGGCCTGCGAAACTTCGACGTCTACCTACAAAGTACTAGGTAGTAACTAGGTACGTACGGATAAAGAGGGAATTCAGAATAAGGAAAGGTGGCATGCTCTGTACGTAACATGCACTGTACTTACCGTGTGTACCTTGAAATTCTGACAGCTCGCGATGTCATTCATTCGCAGGCCGGGCGATCATTTCGTTTAGATTGAGAGTGATTGTCGTTGGCTTGCAGGTCGCTTGGATAAACGGCGGCGTGGTGCGCTCTTCATCATAGAAATGACGATAATACGGATACCTCGCCGAAGTCATTGGGGAAGTTTGCAGACGCCATACATGTTGGAGACACGAATTCGGAACAAGTGACACAGGGTTTGAGAAAGGATAGCGTTGCTATTGCCAACTTGCTATTACCACGATCACAGTGGAAATTGAGACGACTGTCAAGCATTTAGATCAACATATCGCGTGCAAGGTCGCGTGCTAAGATCCTGGAAGTCTCGTGTAACAAATTGTCGATTTCACACATGGTCAACGTGGTTGATAGCTGATTGCCTTGCTGATCATGGTGATTCCATGGCATGTAGCCACGTCGACCACGTGTGATTACGAGGAACTCTCCTATTTGGAGAAGCTTGCGTTCTGCACAACTAACATTGTGCGCACACCGTAATTGATCAGTTGTGACGTGAAGGAGACGTCAGAAGGCGCTCAATAGGAATTGACTTGGGTGGTCATTTGCATCATATTTTCAAGTGGCTGACCAACGTGTGGAGGAGCAACCTGTGTCAGTCGCTGATCGCCAGACTTTTTGGAGGGTCGTGATGGTGTGCGAAACAAGGAACATGCCTGTGGCTTGACACCTAAGAACTGCCACGGAACACATTTGGTTAACCCTCTCTGCGCCTCCAGGCGTTCAGGGAGAAGAATCCCTCAAATACGAAGGTGACGAACGGAGGATGACCTCAAAGAAGATAGGCGTGATGGAAACGGTTAGGTCAGGCTTCTTGTCGTTCCGCATACGATGCCATCTCCGACTTCACGAGATAATAGTTCGATGGGTGGTTTGCAGGCGCATACGAAGGCTACCTCTTGAGGCCTACACGGGGACGCCTTTTGGGGCTGTCAAAGTGGTATCAGTCTCGCTCATCGCTGATTGTTGGAATAGAAGCCCTCAAGTATCGTGAGCTATCGTGACTTTTTCCCAGTGATTTAGCTGAGTGGCCTTATAACTCGCAACACCAATGAAAACGCCGCCTGGGGCCCGATGCCCTCCTTCGCTTCACCTTGTGGGTAGGGGGGCGCCAAAGATCGATCGGAAAAGTGCACTGACCGAGATGGTGACGGACATCTTGATCATGTTTGGTCACACATGTCGAATCAATGATACATTCTCGCTTAACGAAATTAATTAGTTTGATGATCAGCAACGCGTGAGGCATCAGTGCTAGCCAAATTCGGCGGCAGGAGAATGAAATGGGTACCGGCTGGTAAAAACTCCTTGAGCTGGAGTCCGGAACATGGTCAAGCAAACTGTACGAGGTAATGACGCCACAAAGAAAAACGTTGCCCCATTCTACTCCCTGCGTATCGAGCCCATCAGTTTCAGTTTTTGCTCGCTTTGAGGAACTAACTTCGTAGACCATGCCAGACTCGGAGTGGACAGGGTCTGTCCTGCAGCCCGATGAGCGATGGTGTGCTTTGGTTCAAGGGTAGCTGCAGGCTGACGTCGTCCTCCTGCCGCACGACTCAAATCAGACCGACTCGATATAATTGCGTCTCCAAAAGAGTCGACAATCACTCCACAGGCCACCCTTTCTGGATGAGGTGTGGTCCTGTTTTGTCTCCAGCTGATCTTGGAAGATACCTGGTCGGTCCAAACAGCTACTGAAAGCGACTTAGTTCGGGGAATTCCAAACGCACAGGCCTCTGACTGTGGAAGAAATGGGCGAATAATGGTAATCTCTGTTGTGCCTACCCCGGAAGAGTGACCAGGAATCGAAACTCTGAGATCGCCAATGGGGATGCGAGACAAACATCTTTCTCGGTGTTGTTCCTATGCCCCTTCAATTGTGTAAACCCTGTACGAGGTACCTGTTTCCAGCCCGGGGCAATTCGTACTCATACTATGGTCAGCTTGTTTCGAGAAGTGCTCCAGGGAAGTCCGTTGGATGGATGGTTACAATGCACATCTGCCTCATGGATGTACTTGGTATATAAGCTGGCCTGATTACTAAGTGTATCTCTCTTTATTCTCTGTGAGGATTTGAATTGGAGACTTGTTGCGAACCATAACAGACGATCAAGGACTCAGGCGAAGCGACGGAGTTGCATCAAGTCGAAGTGGTGTAGTGACCTCCTAAGACTACAAGTAACTTCCAGCTAAAATAAGGCTATTATGTTCAGAGTCTAGGGTAGCTAATAACCGAGATAACTTGAGTCGATGTTTTCTGGATAGTATTGAAATGCACCAAGTCGTGCCGTTCAGGCCTAGGCTAGGACTAAGTATAGTCGATTGTGTTTGCTAAACCCACTCTCGAATTGGTGATGATGCGATGGGTGCAAGTCGATAGTGATCTCGTTCTCACAAAGACTGTTTTCAACTAGCAGTAGTGAAGAGGGAGTGAGGCGGCGTCCCCGAGTGTCTCAGCATGGACGATCGTGTGCGAGATAGAGATTGAACTGCAGGATCGTCGGCTCTACCAAGTATCGGGACCGTGGTTGATGGGATATCCCCCGAAGGCAATGCGCCGTTTGTGGCCGTTTAGAATCATGGAGCGAATGATTTTGGTTTGGGGATAGGCATTAAAGTGCCGAACCCAATATTGTCTATGGGTCGTATGTACAGCTCTTTCCGAAGATGATACTCTGAGTAAGGATCGCCAGATCTAGATTGGGAGGTGTTCACTACTGCTAATCCGGGCGTGATCCTAGAACTGAAACGGGACGAGAAGCAGAGCGTTCACCGATGCCTATGAGTGGAGTGCGTCCAGGAGCTCCAGGGCCACCTGATGACATAAAATGGGTCAATTAGTATAGAATACTCAGTAGGAATACGGTCATTCTTTCACATGTAATATCTAGGTACTGTAGGAAAGAAAAGCCCATCTTGCGACATACTTGGTGTTACAGAGTATGATTTACAAAGACAAGAAACGATAATCATTTACAGTGCATGTCGGTTAACTGATACATGAAATGTAACAATGGGACGAATGAAAAGTCACCTTACAGCTGATGATGGGTATCCCTACTAGTAGAGTTGTAAATGTGATGACTGTTTTTGATATGTTCTCATGTTTGGAGAGGCAATCATTACCGATGAGCCGGCTGAAATCAACGAAAGGGATGATGATGAGCACTGCTGTTGACTGGTAAGGTAAAGATCGACTGAACGTGGGGCGGTCAGACAACGGGCGGAAGGGCAAGCATGGCACCCCTGCGTCACGAGTTGTGTCTCTGAGCCATGCATTCGGCCATGCGGTGCCATGTGAAGGACCAAGAAAACAACGTGCTCGAGTTAGCAGGGGACGAATAGGCGCTCCTCGGCATCTGTGCGATCACCCAGAACAGCCGATGACTAGGTGTAGTACGGAGTACTAAGGACAAGCCCTGAGAACGTGCTAACCCAGAAGATCATCACCCTGACAGGCATGATAGGCATGAGATCACCCAACTTGGGGTGGCCGGTCTGTGGCCTAGGGGAGCTTGCCCCCCGAATGGCTCGCTGCTAGGACTACGGGACCCAAGTTCCCAGCACTGTGGGCGTTGGGGGTAAGATTCCCTCGCGATCCAACGTTGGCTGTCGTAATGTCACTGTGACGCCACAAGTGCCAGCGGTAAGCGTGTGCGGATAGCATGGATCATCTCGTGGCTCAATGTGACCAGATTGCGTGGAGCTTCGAAATCGTCCTGGTGGTCTTCATTAAATGCATTTCGAACATTTGGAAGTGTCCGAGGGTCTGGGAGGAATCTGGCAAGGTCCTATACGAATGTCATAGAATTCGAGTGACCCCCTCGTGCGGCTGAAAAGAGATCGTTGCCGTGAACCGAGCTGGATCGCGATAGAAGGCCGGTATCTTGCGGAAGAAAGCTTCTCGAACCAGCAACCTGGTGTCAGGAACTTGGAAGTGGCGGCCGTTAATGTCAAGGGAAAAAAACCAAGTTGGTCGGCATGATGCAGGGAGAGTAGGAAGCTTCCGAGACCGATTCTTGACGGCCCAACATGCATGACTACGGAGTAGTCTATCTCCTAGTGAAGTCCAGAGCCAGAGTGGTAAACCTGAGAGCGGACTGTTCGTTCGATACCGGTAGGTGCATGGCATGGCACGGCATGGCAAAACTCTGGGAGAGTGCGACTGCTGTCGGACAATATGGGATATGGGAAAAGGGAACACTGCCTTTACTGGCAACGTCACGGCCTACCTTTTACCTCAGAGCGGTCTAGTGTTGGTGGTCCGAGGCATGTTATACTTCGTAATTCTAGTCTGCTCGTACGAAGTGCCAGGTTAACAAGGTCCAAGGGCCCACCTAGCCCTGGTCCTGGTCATTCTGTCTCGTGTCTCGACCTGGTCTGTTCCTTGTCCGTTGGAAGCACCTATGGCATTTCACTGGTCACTAAGCACACTTCCATCAACCAACGATACTGTGTTTGCTAGTGTCTTTTGGCTCCCCTCGGCCCTCGTAAAGCGACCATCGCCTTAGCCACTCCTGACTGTCCCTGATCTCTAGCTTGCCGACTTTTCTTTGTTGACCAGGAGCTGAGCCACGCATGGATTCATCGCCTCGCTTCGCATTTCTGGTCTTTTCACCTCGCCTTGAATGGACCAGGGCTACGGAGTATCTCGCTCGCTCCCTCTGATCCATTCCCTCTTGGGTCTTCAGTCACGGACGGTCCTTTTCAGTACGAGTAAGCCCCAAACCAGGATAAGGATATGCACGAACTAGGAAAATATACTCGCGGTCTGCTCGACTTCCCACGTCCTAATAATGCTGCTTACAGGCTCATCATGGTCCATTCGTCGTCCATGCAGCAAGTCCTAACCCATCTGCTACTCCCTACTGTTTCCACTTCCGTGTCAACTGTCTGTACCGAGTACGAGTAATCTAATCTTTTGCAAGACTGCTTTCTCGCTCGTTGAGCTCCCCTCTCGGCTACCATCCCGCCTTTTTTCCCATTCCTTGCAAGCACAACATTTGGATACTCCGCCTTATGCACCTGGAATACACCATTCATCTCGACCTTTCCCAACACAACTCAGTCCCGCTGTCCTCCAGTGCCAATATTGTCGCATCCGCTCACTACCTGACGTTCATTCTGGGCCAAGTCTGCTGGATTGTATCCGAATTTCACCTAGACGCTTTTCGTCTTTGGTCTAGGTGGATTGAGTAGTAACCTAAATCAACCAGGATACCGGTCAATTTCATGCCCTACACTACACATTTGGACATCCTGTTCTGACCTTTTCTTTCACCACATTGGCATCAGTGACAGATCCAAACACTTGCATGGAGAACAAACACTGAAGGTTTTTCATTAAAGAAGCCCTCACCCGCTCGCCCCGGAGTAGTGGAGCAGCCGTTCACCTGCCACTATCAGATGAAACCTACTGTTCCAACACAGACGTAACCCAGGTCCATCCACGTTTTGATCGACATTTATCAACTGGGAACTAGCCCTAACAGATACCAACAACTCTACGGAACCTAGGACGGCCCTTCATACCACACAGACCCTGAACTGGAGATCAGAGAAAAGCCACATTTGCAACCCTTGCAAAAAGCCTGGCCCTCGCTTCTTGACATATCTACCCACCATCCCCATTGTGCCACCCTTCACCATCTGTCTGGTCTGGGATATTATTGTCAAGTCTACTTCGCCAGCGTCAGCGCAACGTCATTGACAGCGACCCTTAATTAGCCATCTCCTACGACACTGATATACAGACTCAATACCACTGTCCATACGGCTTGGATCAGAATCTCAGCACAGGCATTTCCACTTGCATGTCCAGGAACACCACAGGCCGTTGCTCCAATCAACCGATTGACGAACCGCATCCATGTTACTAGCACTCTCTCAACCAAACCATATGCAGAACAACGATATAAGGTCGCCTCATGACTACCCACCTTATCATAAGGCAGCCCCATCTAGATATTCACCCCCCGAGTCACCTCGCAATTTGCCCTCTTTCTTCGAGGAAAGGGATAGCAAGATGAACAACTCCCATCGAGGGTTGCCACTTCCAGCTGCTCTTAGCTTGCCGCCTCCAGACCGTGGCCTTTCCACAGCCCCAGCTCCCTTGGGTCATCTTCCAGCCCCTCCTTCGCAATGGGCGGGCCAGGACGATTCCATGCGGAGTTGGCTTCACGCAAAGGCTGAGGAGGACCGACGAAAGCAAGAGGAGGAGAAGACTCGCCAGGAGGGTTTACGGCTTGACCAACGTCGGATTGAGCAGACCATGTTGAGGGAGTCACTGCAGGGTGGGATCCCGCCCCCCATGGTTCCCTTGATCTTTGCCGGCATGGGAGGAGGCAACCTTCCGGGACAGACCCTCGAGTGGGCACAAACGTACCTTGCAAACCTCAGCATCCAAAATCAACAGCAACAGCAGCAGATTCAAGCCCAACAACAGCAACTTCAGCAGCAGATCCATCAGCAGGCACAACCACAGATGTCGCCCGATGTGCACCGAGACAACAGAATGATTCCTCACAACCCATATGGAAGTCAGCCGCAACTTCCCCCCGCACAGTCTGCCCCTTCCTCAGTCACATCGCAGCCTACACAGTCTGCAAACCTTGGCCGGAATTCGATCTCTGGACCTCAACCATCAACTCTCTCACGATTAAACACTACGGAATTCATCCCAAATTCTACACCAGGACAGGCTCGTCAACCACTACATCCTCTACAGCATCCACAAACAAGTTCTACTGAAGGCTCATCTGGACCAGGACTATTTTTCCACCACTGGACACCCCCGACTGCGTCGACTGGTGGAAATCAACCTCCTACACCTTCTGGCAAGAGTGCTCAAGGTTCGCCCTTCTCCCAGACTGCGGCCTCGCACTTAAGGGCTGACTATCAGAACTCACCAAAGAAACGAAAGATCACTGGTGGGCAACCAATGGGCACCGCACCAACGTCGCAGCCCAATGACCCCCCACAGGCGTATTCATCTCGTTCCTCTCGAGAACGCGAGATGTCTCCGGGCCATCGATACCGTCCCAGACGGCATTCACGTCAGAGCAGCGACGAGTCTGCCCGCAATCACGACAGCAGTGGACGCACCATCGCTCGACCGAGCAGCCGCCAACAACGCAGGGATGAGCTCAGTGGAGTGGCACCTGACCCAAGAAGGCAACTAACGGGGTCATCGACCAGTGCATCGAGCGACGACAATCCTGTTCGGTATGAGGGCTTTAAGTCTGAAACGCGGTAACCGTGCCACCAGTCCAGTCCGGAAATGAGAGCACGACCGATGTAGCGAGATGGCATTCGAGGTGTGGGGTGTCTGGGTCCGTTTTCCGGGATCTGTAGTCGGGCTATTGTTGCATGAAGACGAGCAGATGCATGTCATCTCGAGACTCGGCTGGCCAAAAAAGAGTCTTGTCTAATGCCGGGGGCCACAATGACGTCCCCACTATTATTCTTTTCTTGTTTACTACTTAGGGCAAGGCTGGATGTCATTGAAACTTTACTCGTACAAACAGAACCAACAGAGGCTAGAGCGGGTTGCTGGTCAACAGGTGCACCAGATCATACCACGCCATGTCATGAAATTTGATTTCCATTGCTCCATATTTTTGTGATTGTTTTATTCTGGGTAGAGATGAAGACAGTTGGAGGTGATTACCCAATGTCGCTTACATCAACTGGGGGCGTTGTGGATTCCAAGGACCAAATTTGGTGGGAAGAATGTGAAAAGAGATCCAGATGTATCATTACTCAAACAGGAAAGGATGGTCTGGACGGCGTCGCGGAGGACCGCAGAATCGGGAAGTCAATGATTTCGGATCCAGGTTATTTTGAAGATGTTTACGAGTAGATTGTCGATGGACCTACATAAGCGAAAGTAGGCGACATGGTATGAGGATCGTGGGCTTGAGATCAAGGCGTTCTGCACTTCGGAAGTTGTGCCTGACGACAACGATGCAAGTTCAAACCTGAAACACACAGAGCACGATCCACCACGGTGCGGTGGAAATTAAGCAGTGAGCATTGAGCAGCCCAATACGGAATTTGGTTAAGTGTGCTGCTGCCACAACCGGCCGGCGCCACATGGGGGACTTTGGATTTTGAACTCTGGTGCACAGGACACAGTTCGACACTCCGCAAAAAAGGCCAAAAGATGAAACATGTCAGGACCCAAGAGGCACTGACGATTTCCTGCTGGGAAGTTTGTGATTATGCGTGCCGGCCCGCAGATTGCCCAACGGCGCAAGGTCAAGCCCAGAGCCTGATGGTGGAGAATGTGGCTGGTAGCAACCAGCAACAATATCAACAATCATCAACACCGCAGATAGATCGGATAGAACAGAAACACCGTGTTTTTCTCATGTATGTGAGGTCCCACAGTTCGTTGTGTAAGATACAGCACGTGCCTCATTGTAGCTCATGTTCCAAGTTTGAAACACAGGCGACTGAGCTTCCTTGATACAGTTTGAAGCTACAAAGCCGAAGCTTGTGGGAATGGGGAGGAGCAATTTTATGAAACAAGCTCAAATCACGTTTCAAAGTGACCCACCGAAATGGGGTGGGATCATGTGATATTCATCACCTAAGGTACCATGTCACATGAGCGCCAAGGCGGGAATGGAGTTTCGCCAAGTCACAATTTGAAGTCGGCCTCGCTTCCGCCGAGCTCAGCTTGCTCAGCTTCTCTCGCAAAGGAAAATCACCTCTCCTTCCTGAACATTCTCCCCTCGCCACCATCACACAGAAGATCAATTTGTGGTTACAAAGGCTACATGTTGACTTTCCAAGTACGATGTTGTGGACATACTTTCGCCCTCCCGCACAATATTACCTTGAAGTTGCTTTGGAGATGCGAGGGGGCCAATCGGGTATCCCGAGCTGAATCGGTCTTGGAATTCGGATTCAGCACCTCCCGATCAATATTGTCAAATCATATTGCCTGGACCGTGTTCCAAAGGAATTCGTTCAAAAATTTGATCATACGAGTTTGCGAATCATGTTCAAAGGTGTTGTCATACTTCACCTCTCCAGCTTTCCCCGCCACGTTGGTGCCTGGTGCCTGAAATCTGATCTTCCATGCCGGCGAATGAATCCTCAGTGGCACTAGCCTCGAGCTTCTATCATGTCTTCCATCGAACGACGGGTTCGCCACCCGCTACCTGGAAACCAAGACACTGACTGGTGCTTCGATCCATTACGCTATGGAAAATGGATTAATCCTACCATCTACGAGCTAGCCAATCGCCAGTCAAACAGCAGCTTCCCAACGGTGAGTTTTAGTCGCCCTCCTGACTTATGAAGAACAGAAAGACAGGAGTGATATTTAATGGCCTTGGTAGGTTGATATCCTACCATAGGCGCGCTAAGTGGAAAGCAATATCATGCATGGAGTCCAGGCGAATTGACCGCCTAGATGAATCCTCTATGTCCTGTCTAATGTCTACTCTCGTAAAGCTGCTCCAATCTCCACTCATTCATGAGTATCACCACCGCTGTCCAGATTGTACATTTGAATGAGGCGAGCAAGTACATTCTCCGGCAACGACATTCCGATCGTTAGTGTTCCTAGTGGCGCGCCCACTATGTTGCACGTCTTGCTTCCCCGGCTCTTTGGGATGTATTAACATACAGTTTGAGCACCATGGCCTAGCTGTCCATTTGCAGGCCAAGCTTCGCATGTGCAGAATGAAAATTTCTCACGGACGGATCCCAAGGTCAACAGCTGACATGGATTCCGCCATTGTTGTCGTCTTGAGCTGTATTCGATCTTGCAAGTCCCACCCCCGGGGCTTTCAATGGGCTCTTCTAGGAGTCAATTGTTACTCCGCGTCGAGCCTCCTTTTGGACAGCCAAAAAAGTTCGTTTGTAGAGGCTTTGATTTACTATCTCTGCTCTCGTAATTAGGTGGATCAGCTTCGCCTTTTTCGCATCCTCGACAACACATACACACGCAAACCCTATCCTCTGAAATCATGTTCCAGATTCTGCTCTTGTGGTACATGATCGAGTCTTGTTCTATGCAGGACTCTACCCATCTTGACCACTAGCAGCGACAGACGCTGGTGTGTTATAGCTCCACACAAGGATAATTCACACATGTTCGCTTCTGGGCGCATTTATCGTCATCTTGCTCCATGAATTGCAGGATGTACATCAGGCCGTTCCAACGTCCTTCATATGTCCGCTAGGGGACTAGCTCTCGGATGTCCAAATGCTAACTCGACATTGGACCACACTTTATGCAGTACTCTGTCCTTATCCTATCTCTGTGGCGGTTGAACTCGTCTTCACCGTCGCGGCATCCTCATTCCCCGGCACTCACCTTAAGCTGGCGATCAGATACGTAGCGCTAATACCACTTCTTGAGACAATTCAACGTGGTTGCCATCGTTGGTGCCCTTTTCCATCATCTCCCAGCTGAACCTCAGATCCAGCAAGATCACTTTTCCGCCCCAAGCATCTCAAGGCTCAACATGTTATGGCGAATCGCCACTCTTCGCATATCTCCTCCGTGATCTTGTAGTCATCGAGCCAGGAACCCCTCATCGAATTCAATGATGACAAAGAATGGAGAAGGACGAATCCAAGGAGACATTTACCAGATCAAAAAGCCCGTTCATATATGACTAAAAACGTTTTTCTTCCTGCTAACGCCATATTGTGGCAGTAGGTCGCTTGAGGTGCAAGGAGAAAGTACAAGTCACTGCCATTAACTCCCCACAAGGCTTGCTGATTGATGCCCTACCGACTGAAATGCGACGAACCCAAGCAAGCTGCCTGCAATGTCAGAAACGCCAAGTGCCATATCCCGAATATCAAGAAGGGCTTCAATGGTCCGACAAACACGAAGTTTATGTATGGTGTCTCTCCCCAGAGTAAACTACGAGAGCTTGGTCCAGATACCACAAATCTATCTTCCAAACCGCTCAGCCTTGCGACGGACAGAAATCCTCGAAGGAGGCCAAGTTTTCCTGAGGGGGAAGATGCTCGTCCACCAGCGCTGGAGACCAAGTCTTCCGTGTCTGAGGTAGGCACTTGGGACAGTTCTCGGTACGATGATCAACCCGGAGCAAGCAATTGGGAGGGCCGTTCGACGCGACCAATCAGGGTTACCGACCATGGAATACCCTTTGTGCGACGAATTTCATCCTCTTCGTCACGTGGATCTACATCAAGGGCTGATGGGTTTTCATTGGCGGAAAGACCAAGAGCAGAACACAAACATCATGTTGCACAGACTCTGCATGCACATATTCCACACACAGAATTTCCCTTACCTCAGGGAGTCATCGACGAGAGTTCAGATCTACTGATATTCTACGTCAATGTTCCCTGTCGCCAGAACTCCGTATTTGATGGGCCGAACAATCATTCGATGGCTGATTGTCCGATGGATGAATGAGTCCCCACCTATCCTCAATTGTGCTTTTAGTATGTCAGCTAGAGCTCTGGTGGCACGACGCCCAGATATTCTACAAGAGACTATCCGTTACCATAGGCGGCAGTTGGTTATCTGTTTGACATCATCACGAATCTTACACAACAACCTGCCTCAGATACCATAGAGCCTTCGAGCCGGTCTGCAGAAGGTTCAGTAAATCAAATCAAGCAAGCGGTGTTGGCATCAATCCAGCTGGGGATCTCTTCGATGAGTTCACCACCTTCTGTTATCTGGGAATCCTGGAACATAGTCTTTGAACCCATGCAAACAGTGCATCTTTGGGGAGTCCTTGGACTGACTTGGCCATAGTCATGGCTCGGACCGTCCGATCTGGGGGTACAGCAGCTTCGGCGATGGACCCCGTCAACGTCGCCAGGGCGCGATATGTGGGCTGCAAACGCACGCGTAACAATGCCACGGCGGCGCTCATGGACTCGTTTGGACATTGCCAGCTGCTGCTGCGCGAGGTCTGGAGTCGCTTGGATGCCGTTGTGGATCGCCAGAACCTCGACCTCGGTGTGGGAGGTGCTGGGCTTGGGGCTGGGCCGGACGGTGAGCAGCGTCCGCTTGTATTGCTCCATTGGTTGGATTTTATGACTGAATGTCGTCTGGAAACTGTTTACGGGTGATATGGTCTCTCAAGCATCTACCAACTTCCCCCAGGAACAGGCCGAAAAGGCATCTTGTAAGTTCCGTCTCTTTCGGGCCTTTCTCGAACGGATGAATTGATGAATGATCGAATGATCGCATGAATCTAAGGACTGCATCTGATTTAATGATTAACTGATATACCGATACGTTATCCTGTTCTCAGGAGCAAGTCTTTTAGGTGTTCCCGAATTCTTGGTTATCTGCTCCTACTTACATGTCCATCCCTCCCTCTTCTAACTAGAAGGACCAATCAACCCATACCTGAGGCGACATGGATCGTAGCGAGAGCAATACAACCCCTGCCAAATCTCGCCTGGGACTTCGGACAATTTGAATGGAAACCAAAACGTAACATGCAAGGACAAGGCTAACTAGGGCGCCGTGAAGGACCGGTTTCGATCGACATCGAGGTGGTCGGCGCGGACTCGGGCTGTGAAAGGGTTTTTTTGTGCTCAGGCTCATCATACCTACCTAGCCTCACACGGAGCAAGAAGAGCGGGTGGTTATTTGGCTAGGAAGCTATATATTGTATTGTGTGCGCACGGAACTCGGGATCACGAGGATAGCATGGCCTATATGGTGGACGAAGTGTTTGTCCACTGCAGTGTACCTAAAGTACTTGCTTGACACAAGTATGTGCTATATATACCCATGGGGGGGGGCATTGGATTCTAATCTGCTGTGTTGCAGAAATTGTTGAGCCATGACTAAAGTGGTACCTTGGAAGGAGTTGTTGGATAATTAAATGTTGCAAGAGAATGATATTCCACACAATACTTCGGATGGATGTGTTAAGACTTGCATGATCATTTGCACACGCCAGGCAATGAGATTGCTTAGGTTTATTATTATTACAGATTAAAGATTAAAGTACTAATGTCCGCGGGAGATGTATTTCTCCTATTTCATCCATGAGAGTTCTCAGGCCTCTCGCTCTTTTCGCCTTGCTTCGCTAGATGCGCTCTATTATTTCTAGGTCGATCCAATATTCAATCACCCACATTTATCCTTGTCGTCATCATCACTCAGCTCATTTGGCGTTTGCAATAGTGTTGCAAGAACGAATGTATTCGCTACGAATCTCCAGCCATTGATTCGTTTGATGAAGGATAAAGTGATTCTTCCGGTCCTTCCGGTTCTCAACAACGGAAATTGGTCACACTCGGGAGGTACCACTTCCTTGTGCGGACTTTTTCAGGTGCATTTTCCACTCTGCTCTGGCAATCCGCATGAGAAGATCTGGATCCTGAATAGGGATCCAGCTTGTAAGGACTTTCATACCATTCTCGAAATCCGAAGAGAGAAGGATATCGCGCATGCCGTCAATTAGTGCCGCTGATGTCGCATGGAGAATATCGAGAGTGGTGCCAAAGTTGTGATCACCACTATCTGGTTCTGCTATGGACGTTGGTGCTTTGGATGTGGAAGGACGAGCGATGGGGGAAGTATCATCGCCAAGGAGCATAAAGACGTCCCATACACGGAGCTGAGCAGGGAAAGGGATGGTGTAGTTGAAGAGGGTCAAGTACCAACGTGTGCCATAGGCTGTTGGGCCAATGTTGAGCTCATCCTGGTGTTGGAAAAATAATCAACGGGAGTCTCCCAATCATAAGAGCAAATTATGTTTCAAACTGAAGCAACATCGGACAGGTGAACTTACCAACTTTGTTCCCACCTCCCCCTTTCCCAGCCACTGCGTCTCAAAATCATTGAGAGCACTCATGAGACCACCAAAACCATGTTTGTAGAGTGCCTCGAGGCCCCGCAACTCCCACATCCTCGCAAGCATTACAAAACTCATTTCTTCATCATAGTATGCGAGTAGAGTGACGGCCAAAGCTGCCATGCCTTGAACATATCCTGTTTCTGCGAAATGCAGAGACATGGCATGAAGCACGCGGAACAGGAGCCGCTGTCCACCACGATACCGACGCCGAAACATGATATGGGAATTGATGGTGCGCGGTACGTCAATGTCAATCTGTACATCATCCGGAGATGGTTGAGATTGGTAAGTGTGGAAGAAGGCTATCAATTCGGAATCTGGAAGCGAAGTCTTATGTTTCGATGCCGAGGTGGTCAAAAAGCTATGCCATGCAGTCGCCCTCCACTTGTCTGGGATACCTTTCCAGGCCCTTTCAACGAGTTTAGAAGATGAGGTGTCGAAAGTATATGCACCAGTCGAACCGCTTCCACCACCAACGATGGGCAAACCGGTTTTGGGATCCTTGGCCGGGGCAACCGGCCGTGCCATTCTCCGCCATTTCTCTTCTCGTTCAATCTCTTTGCGACGGGCACGGGCATCCTCGATATGAACATGACCATCCTCAATTACGGATTGAGCACTAGTTGGGAGTGTCAACATGTCCATTGCAGAATCCATGAGACGCTTGTTCCGAGAACCAGGTATTGGGACCCGGGAAGAGGTGCTCCTTCGACCCTGCGATAGGCTCGTGTGGGCACTTTGCGAACTGGTCGGCCGAGGCGGTGTTTGTTCGTGGGTGTGCTTGCTGTGCCCAGATTTGGTACTTGGTGTCCGACGGAGGGTTAATTTTCGTCGTGGTGTTTCGGAGGCCAGCTGTAGGCTTGTAGAAACACGAGTCAAACGTTGAGCCTTGGGATCCTCGGCCCCATCGACAGGGTTGGTAGGTGCTCTGGCCAGAATGAAGCCATAACGATCGACATCTGCATTACCAATGTCTTTCCAATCTTCTAAGCCACCGGCCAATTCAAGTTCTTCTCGGGTGGGAGCCAAAGATGCAATTCCTGAGGTAGATGCGGTCATGCTCGGGTGTCTCGAAATGTCGACGTCGTCGTTTATGTCAGTGGTTGATGTGGCTCTTGACAGAGACGGAATGCTCATGCTTTGGTTATCAGTGGATAGTGTCTGTTGCCACCGAGCTCCCATCTTAGTGGCTAGGTTGGTGTTGGACTCAGTTGGGTTTTGGTCATCCGTACCCGCGGCGTAGAAGCTCCGGACCTTTTCCGAGAGCATTTCCTCGTCTGCGGAGAGTACCTTGGCCTGCGGCCTTTCTTGTAATGACCGAGCGGTCGGGGGAGGTCTTGTCGTCACAGGTTGAGGGGTTCTGAGGTCCATATTGGTTGTGTTTGGATCTTCCTTCCTCTCGTCGTCGATGATAGGGGCAAGATTAGGTGAAGGCTTCCTGTTGGATTGATTTAAGCGTTTGCCATCAATCAACATGCTTCCTCTTTTGGAGAACTCGATACTGCTCGAGGAGAGATCGTCTGCGAAGCCACCAGTAGGAATATTGATATCCAATGATATTCCTTTAGAGCCCAGAAAAGAGTCTTGTGTATTCCCATCCGCGTCTTTGGTCGCAGGTCTCGAGTCTGACCACCTCCCGTGATCCGGTTGGAATTGCTGCTCGTTGACTCGAATATGAGGGATGCTGACGGCTGCGGAGGTCAGACTACTGATCGTAGGAGATTTGGTGGTGTTGAGACTTGTCTGGGAATCTCGAACGGAGGTTGAGGAGGTAGTGTTGGTGCGAATAACGTCTCCATCCTGTGCGGACGCGTGAGAAATCAATTTCCTATTGGATGAGGCAAACGCGGTGTCCCCTGTTGCAATTGTTGGAGAGGAAGACTGGCGGTCGGATGCATCCGTGTCCAGGTCAGGGATTTGATGCAAAGAGGTAGAACTTAGCAGGCGGACAGGTGGCTTGGAGGGTGTAGTGGCCCCATATGGTAGGCCTTGGAGATTGAAGTCGAACTGGGAGATGGCGTTGGACGGTGAGGTTGCAGAAACCTTCGGAGAGGCAGCGACACTGGACTGGGACTTGGTGCGTATGCTCATGCCCATGGTCGCCCAAGTCCCGATGGTCGACTCGTGCCTACTACGACTAAGCGTAGTGATGAACGGTAGTGGTGGTGCGGAATGATGGGCGCAGTCAAGGACAGGGACAGGGACGAGGCCGGGGAAGTGAAGGGAGGCATGGGTTTGATTGGAGATTACTTCTGCAGGAGGAGCAGTCCGACTCGGGGTGAGTTGCGCGACAATATCTTTGTTACCACGCGTTATTTGCTGCTGTCTTGTCGTGGCTTGTTTGCGTAGCAAGTGTATGACTTTTGGTCGCGTTGGAAAAAAAATGTATGTGTATTGACCATGACCTCCTTAAGTTCTGTTCTGGGTCTAAAAAGCCCAGAAAGGGACATTTGACGACGTCATGGGTATTTGTCAAGCGAGACGAGTTAAAGTGGACATTGACACCTGCCAGTGCATGGCTATCCTTTATACGGTGCAGGTCTATCCATGGACATGAAAGCTCGGACAGAGTATCCTTGGAGCAGACGAGACACAGGTTGTATGTTGTATCATACGGCGGCGACGATAGGTATCTTTGGTGGTTCAAATTGTGCTACCACGAGCGTCTTGGCAGGCACTTTCTGAGGTACTTGGATACTTAGGTAAGTACGGGTAGGTACCTACCTAGAGGTAGGTATTGAGTTAGGGGCACCTGCAAGCGAACAGAGAACAAGGCCCCTGCGGGATGGTGGCTGAACCCCTACTGGGTGCCTACCTAACTAAGGCAGTTAGACCCCTAAGTAAGTCTAATGAGGACAGACGCTCAGCCTTATAAGTTACGAGTCAGTGATAGCCGCCGCCCGGAGTACCTTGGACTTTAAGTTAGGAGTGCCTGCTGGGACAAAGCACAGATTGGGAAGCCAAGAGCCCACCAGCCTGAACCACCATGACTCTTGTATTCCTTCAAAATTCATATCCCGACTCTCTTGACCATCGCTGGGCACCATTCCACACCGCTGTTGCTTCAGTTGCACGACCTCCACGTGCCAACGTGACCTGGCTACTCTTGCGTGAGAACAGGAACAGGCTACCAGGATGACTCCGGGCTTAGCAATTCTACACGTCGGCTCGCGGCCAGGCGTGTTGATTCTTCCTTCAGAAACGCTACTTCGAAGCCGAGTTTTTGAGGCTCCAGCTGAAGCCGACCATCAGCCACCGAATCTGGTGGGGCTGCTGAACACCCTGCATCAGGCTACTAACTAATCCAATACCTCAAACACTTGCTCATTCGAGCTCGCCGGTTCTACTGACTGCATTCGTCGGACAACTCGCCATATGTCCCATCCTGGTTCGCTCTAGACTTCGTGTTCCTGCCGATGCCCATCCCGTGGCTTGCGCAGTCCTCTGCGAATTCACCAAAACTACCTACCCGTTGTGCAAACTCTTACCGACACCTTCGACGTTCGGCCCGCAGCTTCAGTGCTGTTGCTCTGACACGCTGGTTTTTCCAGGCGGTTCTACCGTTGGAAAGCGTTCAATGGCGAGGTATAGGTAGGTTACTGTGTGGTAAAGTGTCGACAGTATGACTATGTTGAGGTTTGTCTCATTGTGACTTTTCTGTGCATCAATCATGCAAGTCTCACTTCCGTCAATATATGCACTCTTTTCTGCTCATTGCAGACACGCTTCTTTGTACTCAGCTAAAGCATGAATTGATTGTGCCTCCCCTTCACTTCTATCACAACTCTATCAACCAGAATGGCTACTGAAACCATATCCATTGAGAAAAATCAATCACGGGTGGACGAAATCGCCCTTTCAATCTCTCCAGCCTCCATCACAGCCGGAAGCGAAGCTAATGCTATGGAGGCTTTCAAGCCCAATTACCGATTCTGGCTTGTGTTTCTTGCTTTCGCTGTTCTCACATTGATGGTTGCCATCGACTCGACCTCGCTATCCGTGGCACTCTCTATCATTGCCCAAAAGCTCCACGGCACGGCCATCGAAGCCTTCTGGGCAGGCACATCCTTCCTGTTGGCCAGTACTGTGTCTGTCCTCTCCTCTGCTCTCACTTTTTAACAGACTTGCTTATCTTTCATCCAGATTCCAACCGAGCTTTGCTTCTTTCAGTCACATCTTTGGACGCCGACCCTTAGTGTATACTTCGTTAATTCTTTTCCTACTTGGCACCCTCATCGGTGCCACTGCCAAGGACTTCACGCTCCTTCTGGTCGGGAGATCAGTGCAAGGTGTAGGAGGCGGAGGTATAGTCTCCTTGACAGATATCATCATTACCGACCTCGTTCCTCTGCGTCTTAGGGGTAACTATGTTGGAATCATCTCAAGTCAATGGGCCATCGGCTCCGTAATGGGACCTGTGATCGGTAATGTTCTCCATCACTCCTTGTGCTGGTAACAATGGCTGACACTAACTCCGCAGGGGGCGCTTTCGCTCAAAAAGGGTTTTGGCGAGGTATCTTTTACCTGAATCTCCCTTTCATAATAGTAGGCTGGGTCATGGTCTTTCTGTTCTTAGAACTCAACATCATCTCCTCACCACTGGCCTCAAAACTTCGTCGGGTCGACTTCATCGGCACTCTCCTCTTTGTGGGTGGCACAACATCCTTCCTTCTCGGCCTTTCTTGGGGTGGTGTCTTACACCCTTGGACTTCCGCACAAACGCTTGTTCCAATCTTCGCCGGAGTGGCTTCAATCATGTCGTTCGTCATCTATGAAGCAAAGCTTGCCAGAGAGCCACTCATCCCATTATCTCTATTTGATACCACAACGGCCAATGTTGCATACCTCATCGATGCCTTGCACGGCTGTATACTCTGGTGCTTACTCTACTATCTACCCCTCTACTTTGAGGCCGTTCAGGGATACCGCCCCATCATTGCAGGTGTGGCACTCTTCCCAGAAACCTTCACGGTTGCGCCACTCGCCATCATCACAGGCTGTTTGGTTAGCAAAACAGGGAAATACCGGTGGGCAATTCTATCTGGATTCGCCTTGACAACAGTTGGAGTCTTCCTCAACTTGCGTCTCGATATCAACACCAGCATACCTGCATGGATATTCCTGACCACGGTCTCTGGTATAGGACTGGGCATGCTATTCGGCAGCATGGAATTTGCAGTCCAAGCCGCCAGTTCTGACGAGGACCAAGCATTTGCCGTTGCCACCTTCTCTTTTTTCCGCACCTTCGGCCAAGCAATAGGTGTGGCGGTGGGAGGAGTGGTATTCCAGAATCAAATGATGAAGAACCTGCGAGGAAGCAAATATTTTGCCGCAGACGCTCGCGAGCTAGCCAAAGATGCAGCAGCCTTGGTCCAGTTGATCAAAGACACTGCCGACACCGAGCAAAAGCTGGAACTACGTCTGGCGTATATGAGATCCTTGAGGACGATTTTCATCGTGCTGGGTGCCATTTCCTTCATATCCTTCTTGCTGTCCTTCTTCATCAGAGATTATGATATGGATCGTGCTCTCACGGGCCACCAAGGCTTCAAAGAGAAGCTGAGCCCTCAAGATGAGGAACAAACAATCATGGTGGCGAACGAGCAAATACCAAATATCTAGAAGATTAGGTGTCCTCTACAAACTCCAATACAGTATTTCAATCCACCTCCACCTTCAAGTGAAACTTAGTCGGGTCCATCACGCTCTAAGGAGATCGTAGATTTATGTGACGCTCATACTTGATCCTTCGAAAATCTGTTTCTGACATCCTATCGTCATCAGAAGCACTGGGTGTTAGCACCTCCCTGCCCGGTTGACTACAGCTTATGAGGGCATACGGTACTTCCCAGTCACATCTTGCGACGACTTCTCTTCTCTCAGTCGAGATGACTGCCGAGAGTGCATGCAATGCGTTTTGGGTGGCAAAAGCGTTACTTACGGGTAGTATATGCACCCTCGCAATGATATTGTTCCCCACGGTCGCCCAAGTTTTTTATGCTTGAGGCCACTTTCTTGCGTTTGCACTCACCTCTCGACAGTCATCTTTCATATCGTAAAGACAAACACATCCCGGACGTCCGACGAGTTGCTGCTGCTGCTGCTGTTGCGCTCGTAGTGGCGGAGTGTCTTGTCTTGGCCACTCAGGCTCGTTGGTTTCGGTGTTTTCGCGATTCTGTTCTCATTTAGTTGCTCCTCTTGCCTTTTGTACAAGCATTTGCTATGCCATGCCCAGAAGCAAGACATGTGTAATAGGCGGGTGCGATAGGTTCGAGAGAAGCAGGCCTGCACCTCCCCTGTCGGTGTGTTGCCGACTCTGATAGTGTTCCTTCCTCATCGATATAGTGGGAGATGGGAGCCGACACTCACCTTCCCCCTTGTGATCCTGCCGTAGAACCAAGTAGGCCTACTCTTGTGTCTCCTGCCCTCTCCGTTCTCTGCCCTTCTTCCATCTCTTCAATCACGATTCTTCCCAAAAGTCCCACAAACACCCTCTGCATCGTTGTCTCTCGTCTGTCGTTCCGTCTTCTCTTTTCTCCCCTTTCTTCACCGTGCTACTCCATTCAACCCAGAGCTCTCCGTACTTCCCAATTCTCAGCTCGTGCTTCATCGCACATTAGCACGAAGGAACATCCAAGCACCTAGGATAGGTCAGCACCGCTGGGAAATAGTGTCTTTTTCATGCCAAAAAGTGCTTCAGCTAAAAATCCCTAGCTTCACTTTGCCCAAAATATGCTACCAGCCCGTTGACTCCTGTCGTCTCCCAGCAGATCACTAGCAGTACTTGAAGTCAGAAATGCCAGTTGCCACAAAGTGCAACTCAAGACCTGGGTTCATCATTCTTCAAGAAGCATTCATTGTGGGTTCAATCCTCACTCAGTCAATGAAGGCGGCGAAGGATCTCTGAGCCAGGGTGCAGTGATGAGGAACCTCGCAGACCGGAGGGTAACCTTGTTGTCTTGTGACTAGATATATACCCGCATCTGAAGTCAGAACAATTGCAACGCACTAAGTGCTAACTGCAGTTCATCATTCTTCACACATGCAATCATTGGTGGGTCCCATCCCCACTCAGTCGGTGAAGGCCCCCGAAGGAAATATGATCCACGAAGCAATGATGAAGGGCAAGAACTGGAGATGGCTGCGAAAGATGGCGACTCTTGAAACATCTGGGTGCATGACCTTTTTGTATGCTAGGTTCATCCTCGATTCTCAAAGCTTTTCCTTTGGCAAATCGTCATACTTTCATATGGGGTACTAACTTTGCAAGACGGAAATGCCAACATTGTACGGAGTAGTATATAGACTCAAGGGGTGTGGAGGGTGCCGCAGCTGTCGTATGCCACTCCTGGGTAACGATGGTTCAAACCCACTTTTTTTTTTGGCTCACAACGAGAAGCAGCTTGCTAGAATTTGATTCAATGTAACTTGAAAATCTTTGAGACTTGGTCCAGATGTTGAGAACTCTCCGTTTATGAGGGCCATTGGGCTTCGCGAGACTTCTTGATTTGACTCTGAGAACCCGCCTACCATTCAAGCTTTGGACGCCTTAATATCAAGGTCAAACAGGCGATAGCATTTTGGCAATCCTTGGATGCTCCTATCTGTCGATGGCTACGGAGGAAATATACTGGTTCGAACAAGAGTGAAATCAGTAGAAAGTGAAGGCTAAGTGGGCGACACACGGTTAGGCATCTATGGCTGATGCCCAAAATGGGCACTCTTTATTCCAACAGGCTTTTGCGAGTGGGCACTTAGACAGCGCTCCACTCCTTGTCGTCGTGTTGAGACGCACGTGAGCTCCGGGTACATATCTCAGTAGGAGCGAGATGTCTGATTTATCTTTATTGATCTCGGGGTGTCAGATTAAGGGCAAGACGACAACGCCAACCTCGACCTTGATAAAGCTGACTCTACAAGGATACCAAAGAAGTACGGTTGCAGTATCTCAAGTTCTTGGCAAGACCTTAGATTAGGGAACCTAGCCTCTTCAGGAGCCTGAACCGCTATCGGCATGGCCCAGGTGGGAAACGGTGCCGGATCGTCACGGTTCGGCTGGTTGCTTATCTCAAATTTCATTCCTTTGTCTTTCTTTGCGGAGTGAGCACATCATCAGATCAATATTCGCGCACCTATGTGTCGGTCCGTCATGAGGTGACCCATGCTGGTACTTGGGTAGGGTCCGGTCTGGAAGATACACTGTGGTCCATCAAGGAATATCAATGCATGTTGAATACCTACGGTATCTGCGGGCGGCATCCTGCGCTGCTTCATACCATCTTATGACCCAATGACCAATGTCCACATCGGCTTCAGTCCGCTATCACGGCTCGACCGAACAGGAAATGCATCCTAGGTCTCCGAGTTGGAGGGCCGACCCTGCAGGTCCTCAAACTACCTGTTCATCATGCAAATTCTAGGGCAATAGTAAGTCAGTAATTTGGAACTCCAACTTTATATAAAAAGGCCTTGAGATCTAGGGAAAGTCAGTACCGTCTTCTGTGCCAACCGACTGGTCAATGCAGACTTATATCCGACTTACGAACAGTATGAAGCTAGAATACAACATTCCACAAGGCTGTACAAATTCTCTACCCTGGGGTTTCTCCACACCAACAATATGCCTGTGGGAACCTATCAACATTGAAATATCTCTCGAAGATGACGATATGGATATGGTGGGACTCGAAACTCGGCTGCGCCTCATTGGCGCCATTCACCTAGACCGATATCAATCTGTGGTTCGGCATGGCACTGTTGAATTTACGGGTGTTCACGTTCATACAGATGAAATCCTCAATATCTCCAAGAGCGTCGTCCTCAAAACTAGGAGGACTTCCACCACCATTGATCTCACATCTCTCGGTGTGGATGTCTCACAACTTCCGTCATCGCTCGATATCGTCGGCCACTCCTCCCGTGATGAAGATCAATTACTTTCCACTGAAGCTCCAATGCAGAAACTTTCGGTAAGATACAGATTGAGCGTGGAGACGCCTTCGAAGCACGGCCGCAAAAAGCATTCACAGCGAGAACTTCGGGTGTTAGGGACGAGTCTGAGCCAGCGGGAATGTCGTCTCGAAGTCGCCATGCTCTGGCCTAAAGCAGGCTACTCCGATACGTTGTCTTTGCAGCAGAGTACCAAGCACTTGCAATTCTTAAAGTTGCCATGTTCCTGTCCACCAGCCCCAAGGTCTCTCGTTGTTGATGTGTTGAGCTACGAGCCATTTATAATTCAGCAACAAACAGAATTCGCAACCGCGAAGATCGTACTTGGCCTGAAGTATAGCTTGACAAGTCATGAACAAGGAGTCCCTTCATATCCCTTCATGTCTGCATCCTGGACACTACAGTCTACAACGGAAATGCTGAATCCTCCGTTCAATCACCAAGAAACATCGATAAAGCTTCATGACGCTGTTATACTCAGCGGTGCAAAGCACAAGATCACCAGCTCAAACTGGCACCAAGCCAAATCCGAGGCCGATGAAGTGGAATGGACAGATAAGCAGGAACTGTGCTTGGCTGCCCCGATACGCCGATTCTTCGCCCCGACCTTCTTTAGCGATAAACTTCAACACACTTACAACCTGAAATTGAAGATGTGTTCTCGCTTACCTGGGGGTATTTTTGGTCACCGAACCCAGAGTATGGAATTCAACCTGCCAGTCACGGTGGTTAACGAAGCTCCAGGCTATGGTAGTGACCAGTCGCCTCCTGGGTACGAGTGTTAAGGGAGTGAAGAGATATCTTTTCGAAATGGACATGGATCGGACTTCCATTGTGTTCATTTAAGCGAGATAAATTTTGACCTCCCCCCCCCTCCCCCCCGAGTTGTTCTGTGAGTCCGCTCATATCCTAGTATTTTACTTTCTTTCAAATCCTGACAATTCTAAAGAATGAGCACACCTCCCAATCTGAACTGCATAGGTAGCAGAAAATTGGTCTCGCACTATTGTTTCCACAGCTGGATTTAATGCTCCCTTGTTCCATTCGATCCTATGTCTCATCAAGCCGGAACATCCGCTTCCTTGACTATCTCAACAGTAGCATCCGTCCGACCATCCCCAGACTCGGAACCAGGCGCGATCTTGGTAGGAACATCAGCAACTCCCACCTTATCATTATCATTAGCAGCCGCAGCCGCAGCCTCAGCCTTCAAACGCCTCGCGCGCCCATCACGGCTCTCGCTCTTCGGATCAAAATAAGGCTTCTCGCCAAACACCGTCGTGCGAATCCCGCGTCTCGGCGCCTCATAACTTCCCGGAATGACACGGTGCACCGTGGCGCGATTGTCCCAGAGGGCGACATTACCGACGTCCCACTTCCAGCGCACGGCGTGATCGTCGGCAGAGTGCAAATGCAAGTCAAAGAAGTCGAGCAACTTGTCGGACTCGCGCTTCTTCAGCTCGGCGAAGCCCGTCACGAAGCCCGGGTTCACGTTCAAGGCCTTCAGGCCCGTGACGGGATGCGTGCGCACGGCGGGATGATGGGTGTCGATTGGTGGGCGGTTCGGTCCGACACCCCACAGGTCCAGGATGGTGTCGTACTGCAGACGCGACGTGTGCACGGCGTGCAGGCCGTCGACGAACCGCTGCATGTGCTCGCTCAGCGCGTCGTACAGCCCGTACTGGCTGACCCAGGCCGTGTCGCCGCCGACGGGCGGATGCTCCTCCATGCGCAGCAGCGAGTACGACGGCGGGTTGAGCTCGAACGACGTGTCCGCGTGGAAGTCCCCCGACGGCCACGGCGTGTAGCTCGCGATCTCGCGATGATCCTCCGTGCTGCCTTTGATGATGACGTGGCGTTGCGTCTTCTGTGCCGGATGTCGGTCCAGTGTCCCGTAGTGCTCGAAGAGTGCTTCCTGGCCCGCTGTCGTCAGGTCCTGGTTCCGGAAGAATACCACGCCCCGCTCGGAGACCAGTAGTGCCAGTTCATCTAGTTGTTGTGGGGTTAGCTGGGAGAGTTGGATGTTTTCGAGGATGGTGCCGATTGACTCCGTCAGGTCGGTACGTTTGGCTCCAGTGGCGAAGAGGGCTTTCTTTTCGGGATCTGCGAATGAGGCTCGGTCTTTGGAGGGGGTGATTTCTGAGCGGATCGCTTCTGGTGGGATGTGTTCTTTAATCTTTGCGTTGAAGTGTGGGTGGATGGTGATGGGAAAGCCAGAATCTGGCGAGATATGCTTGCGCGATTCGAGGTGGGCCATGCTGATTCCTGCTTCGGGTTGGTATCTTTGGCTTTTGTTAAATTGCTAGGTGACCTCGTTAGAGGTAATGTCGATTTATCTATGTTTTTCTAGAAGATTATTGACTGAGAAGGCAGCGTAGATAGTAAGAAATGCAACAAGATCAGATCTAAGAATGCTGGGACTCTTCCTTGGCGGGTATGACTGCACCTCGTCCTATCATGAATTTGAATGTGGTGCAATATAAATGGTCTTATCGTCCTTGAATTGAATGATGTGTCTTTGAGGATGAATGGGCAACGTTGATTGGTGAGCGATGTAGATCGCGTCACATTTCCCTGAGATCGCGTCAAATGCTACGTATTTCAAGATGAGGTAAGCGAAGGCAGGTCACAAATGATGAATGAAAAGGCTGGAGATACAACTGTGTAGAAGAAGAATTATTATTGACCTAAGGCTCAAGTTGTTATGATTGTCATCTAACTAAGTATGTGAGGCTTTTGCTTTCCATTGTCTCCAATCTCATTGCCCCTTTATGTCATTCATTGCATAGTGGTAAGTCTATCGGCCAGTACAGTTAAACGTTCCGTGCTGCTCTGATCTGCTTCGCATTTCTTTCCCCGGTGTACAGCTGTCCACAAATTGTCGAAGTTGCTTTGCTATGCACAGAATATCGATTGTGACTGAGAAGAGACCAATGGGCAATTGGCTTGTCGGCCTAGTCATCATCAGAAAGATCGTCATCCTCGATCTGATGGGGTTTTGTCTGATGGCGCATGCGACCCCAAGGCTCTCGAATGACGCCTGGTAGGAGATAGTCTAGGATGCGAGTGGCGTAGCCCCTACGAGAACAGCAGCACCAAGAGCTCGGTTCTCCATTTCCGCCCAAGTTGATGCGCGTTCACGACAGGGTGTCACAGTTGCAACAGTGCGAGATAGACTGGTGATTTCATCGTTGGTACTTGCAGGAGGCTCCGAGTTCTTTGCAGGTGGGTTCAGACTGCAATCTGGAGACTTGCCAAGTGGAGCTGATCCTGCTGAGGCGATCGCCGTTGTTGTTTTGTTGCTCCCCATTGTTAGTTAGCTCTGAAGTAGTTGCAGGGGTAGCGAACGCTCGCAGATTTGCCGGGACATTGTCGATAGAACTATGCGATTCTGGAATAATGGTAGAGGTAGGCCTCGTGCTCTGGCCATCGTCTTGAGACGTGAGCGGCTCTGGCTTCTTTGCAAAGGCAGATTGCATCACTATGCGATCGTCAGCACTCCTTCCCCAGGGATATGAAAACCATGAAAGGGTTTAATCGACCAGGAGCCATTGTAAAATCACTGGAATGGATCATGACCCTGCCGTAGAGAACAGAAGCTGTCTGATTATGGAGTTGGAGACAGGACATCTGTTGACTTACAAGATTCATCTCTCGAAAGTGGTGCAACAAGTGTGGCGCTCTCCACGGTTTCCAGCAATGAGACACCACCACCGTCATCAGAATCGCTACTGGAGTCACTGCTGTTGTCAGACGTGCTGAAAATGGGAGAATGAGGGAGTTGATCCATCAACAAAAGAAGCGTTCAGAGCAGCAGTTGAGCGATATGGAAGAGGAATGACTTGTTCCACGTTGAAATATAGGAGGGAGCGTGGGAAGCCACAATGGCCAAGAGTTCCAATCGCAGTGAAGGACAAAGTGCGACGACGGTGACGAAGGTGACAATAGTGATTTCAACGACAATAACTCAATAGCTCGTGAGGAGTTCATCGCCGCGGGGTGATAGCAGGGAATTGCGCATCTAGTATTCTCCCGAGCAAGGCTGTGCAAACAAGGAGGTCATTCATGATATTCCACATCTGTCCAAAAACCTCTACGACACCAATGGGGTTGCTTTCTGATTGTCATCATTGAGGGATTCATTGTCTACGGCAAGAAAGATTGTGATGCATGATGGACAGAATGATGGGAAGCCTTGTCCTTTAGAATCAAAGAGCTAGACATGCGAGGTGGTCAAACTAACCCCAGAGTTTCTCCGAGAAAACCTCCACCTACGTCAACGAACATCTGCCTCTGGTGACCATGCCGAAACTCAATTACTCAGATTGACCTGCTGGACGCGGGGCAGAGATGCTTAAGCTGAGACCAAGCTGATTCGGATGTGTTTTTTCCTTAGGCTGCATTTCTCGTAGATTACATCAAGGACAAGAGAGTCGGACCTTTGACATTATTTGTACTCTGCTCTAAATAAACCCGTTACCCAGCCTGGTCCGGGACTCCTGCATCATAATGAGCAGCATACATGGCGGCAACAAGAGGAATATCGACTGGCTAACATTTGGAAAGAAGACCCAAGCCTTTACTCCGAGTCAACTCCTGGAATACAACGCTGCAGGAATCGACCCGTATCTGGTACAGGTTGCTGAACTACTCGGACAACAAATCAGAATCGGTCCAGCTGGTCAGCGCAATCTTGCAAATGCATTTGGAAGCCTTCCGCAATCGGAATTCTTTGGAGAACACATAGGAATTGGCTATTCGAGCGGTCATCCCGCTCGATTGTTGTCGAGTTCTGATGGCGGGTTCATCTTTCTAGGAGTCTGTGCAGCCTTGTTAGAGTATTACTCTGAGGAGGTTACCGCGGGAGTAATCATGGACATGCTGCGGATTTTTGACATCCCACCAAATTTCGCACCAAGTGATGTGCAGTGGCTAACTCTGGTCCGACTTTGCAATGGTGTGTTGGCAACTTCACCCTTCGGATTGTTGATCACCAGGTCGGGAAGCGCTCTGCCCTTGGAGGGTGCCAATGCCAATATTCGATTGATTGTGGATGGTTTGCTGGCTTTGAGTGACCTTGTCAAAGGTGTTGAGCAAACGATTTCGCTGTCAGTCGGCGTGGATGTGTACTGGTTTGCAGCTATTGCAGAGTACATCTTCGGGCTCAGCTATCATGTTGAGCATGAAGCTGGTACGACTTTGGCTGCCTCGCTTGGAGTTGATGTGGCACATGCACAGGTTTACCTGTCAACAAAACCTCCATTGTTTCGACGAGACTCTCCAGATCTACGCCCACTCATCGATCTGTACCCGGACACAACCCCAGTGACGGGCGGACGAGTGGGGTGGGAGAAGCTCTTCCGTTCATGCTTTGGTCGAGCATTTACAGACATCGACAAGCACCTCCTTGCTGATGGTGTTAGTTGTTTGGCAGGGCTAGTGGCAGCAAGTATTGAGCATACAAACAGCGACACCAAGCTCTTCTTCCTGCCTCAAGCAAGCACTGTTCCTGGTCTCTCTGGCTCTGGTCTAGTGGAAACTTTGACGGGTTGGTTTCCCGAGTTAAGACGACTGGCTCCACAGATGGGAAAATACGCCCATGCACCATTTCAAGAAGCACGAGATCGACTCGATGAGGTTACTGCAGCATTGTCAGCAGCCTGTATGTGTAGTTTCTGTGGCAATGCCTCGAGCACATCTACCGATTTCTGCAAACATAGCCTCATCATTTATGTTCTCAATTTAGGACTCGAGATTGCACGCACAGTCGTCATCCCTAACCTGTTCCCTAAACGGTCTGGTATCCTGTCTGCTTACCGTCGACATCACGAACGTCGTATGGATTTCGTGATTAACAACCGAAGACTAGAGAAGGCTGAAGACTTCATGGACAGCATGGCATCATTCATGCCGACACCCAGATCTTTGACCGATGAATGCTGTAACATATTCACAGGCTCGCGGCCTGGGCCCAGGCTGACTGAGGAGACCCTCGCTCTTTCGCATGGCGGGATTTTCGTCACCGTAACAGCTTGGAATCCATCCATCAGGAGATCAGAGGTACGACAACGAGCAGGAGTAGCGGTTTCTAGTGGCGCTTCCCATTTTCAGAGCAGAATAATGCATCAGGCTTTGTGGTCTCCAGGAGTGGGTCAACTGTCATGCAGTGAAAGTCTGGAGGTGTTACGGACCAGACCAAAGGACGTCCAGAGGATTGTGAAAATGAAGGACGGGTATCTTTATTTTTCATTCGTTTTCATTGATGCCAACAAGGAAGAAGAGGCAGAAAGAAATGGTTGGACATTCATGTAGACTAACTAGTAATTGGATGGTGAGTATTGGTTCTTTATTGTCCTTTCTACCTCTCGGAAATGTAGCTTGATCATAACTACATCTGTCATGGACAGCCCGAGAATTGTTACAACGATCTGACATATGTTGATCCTTGAGCCCAAGCTATTAAACCTCACACGAGTCTCCTTTCTCGAGCCTCGGCTATTGCCTGTTCTGCTGAGGCGTCTCCAAAATGATCAACGGGAAACATGTCCCGAGATCAGATCGTTCTCCGCATCACGGTCATTTCCGAGATGCATTTTAAACCATTCTTCTCGAAAGTGTGCTCTTGCAGAAAGTGCAAAATTGAGACAGGCGAAAATAGCTTTACCCTTGACGAGAGTGCAGACTGCCTTACACAAGATGACAACGAATGGAGCCGTTCCACTATGGACGCCTCCTGACCCCGAGTCCACGCCCATCGCTAGATATCGACAACATGTGAACAGGAAATTCGCACAGAACCTCACAGACTCACACCAGCTCCATCGATGGACGGTTTCAAACCGACATGACTTCTGGATAGACCTCTATCAATACTGCGGCATCATTCCAGCTTTACCGAAGCACACCAAGCTGGCATATGATCCGAAGCTACGTCTCCGCGACATTCCAACATTCTTCCCAGGGTTTAAACTCAACTACGCCGAGAATGTTCTTGTGCCGAACACGGCGAGAAGCCCAGATGCCGTTGCACTTGTGGGCTTGCGAGAGAATGGGCTCGATAACCCCGAGAACATCACCTGGGCCGAATTGACTGAGTTGGTGAGGATGGCTCGATCCGCGTTGATTCGCCAGGGAATCAAGAAGAACGATGTCGTCGCCGCACTCATGGCGAATTCTATTTGGATCATCGTCCTGTTCCTGGCTTCTGCATCTATCGGTGCCATATTTACCTCCGTCTCCCCGGACATGGGCGTCTCGGGATGCGTCAGCCGTTTTGCACAAGTCTCGCCAAAGGTTCTTTTCGCGGATGTGGATCTAGCCATCCGAGGGGTACGTCCTGGGATGATGACCAAGGTCCTCCAGATTCTGAAGGCGTTGCCTTCCCAGTCAGCAAAACCTCGGGTCGTGTGTGTGCCGACGACACATCGACCGCACCTACAGCGAAACCTGGAATACGTGAAACCATTGGGTATTTCTCTGCACACCTTCCTCCTGCAATCCAAGACCAGCGACAGATTAATCTACACACCTCTACCAACAGATCACCCGCTAGTGATAGTCTACTCGAGCGGCACGACCGGCGAGCCTAAATGCATCGTCTCGCCACACATTTCGATCCTGAACTACAAGAAGATCGCGTTGCTCCACAACTCGCTCGGCCCTGACAGCACGGTCTTCCAGTACTCATCGACATCCTGGATCCTATGGAACGTGATGAACGGGCACCTCTCCGTCGGTGCCAAAGTCATCTGCTACGACGGCGGAGCACTGTACCCAGACCCGTCGACGTTGCTGCAGATCTGCGCAACATTCAAAGCCACCTACTGGGGCACCAGCCCACGGTACCTGCTGGAGCTCGAACAGTCGAGCATATCTCCATCGGCGTTCGATCTCTCCGGTCTGCGCCTCGTCACCACCACGGGCGCGACACTGACCGGCGAGCAGTTTCAATGGTTCTACAGCGCGTTTCCCAAAACGATCCACCTCTCCTCCGTAGCGGGCGGCACCGACATCGCCAGTTCCTGGGTCGCAACCAATCCGGCAGGACCCGTCTACGCCAATGAGATGCAGATGTGGGCGCTCGGCCACGACTGCGACATCCTCGACACCACGACTGGCGAATCCATCGCGATCACCGGTGAGCCCGGCGAGCTCGTCTGCCGCAATACGTTCCCCTCGATGCCGTGCCGCTTCTGGGGCGACGTCGGACACAAGAAATACCGCGAGGCGTATTTCGAGAAGTTCTGGGTCGAGGAGACGGACCCTGGGGATGCGAAGGCGAAGAAGAAGGAGGACTGGCTTGACGTGTGGGCCCAGCACGATTTCATCCTGATGAACCCGAGGACTCGAGGCGTGCAGATCCTCGGCCGCTCCGATGGCGTGCTGAACCCGAGTGGCATCCGGTTCGGGTCGTCCGAGGTCTACAACATCGTCGAGGGACCGGCCTTCAACGCGGTGCTGGCGGACACGTTGTGTGTGGGCCGGAGGCGGAAGCACGATAAGGACGAGACGGTGTTTCTGTTTGTCATCATGGCGCAAGGCCACGAGGGAGAGTTTGACAACGCGCTGGTCTCGAGGATCAAGGACGCCGTGCGTGACGGCCTCAGTGCCCGCCATGTCCCCAAGTTCGTCTTCCAGGTCAAAGAGATTCCCTACACGATCAATGGGAAGAAGGTCGAGATTGCCGTCAAGAAGGTCATTTCGGGCCTGGATGTCAAGCTCAGCTCGACCGTGCGGAACCCTGCTTGTTTGAGGGACTATGAGCGATTTAGAGACGTCGAGAGGATGCCTCGTGCTGAGAGGTTGTGAAGCTACTACCATGTGATGTTCGGGGCGTTGCTATGATTTTGATCTGGTAAAGAGAGATGAAGAGCTGCAGTTATGGAGATGAAGACGGCACGGCGATACAAGTCAGAGCGTTGAACGCGAACCTCTAGAGTAGACCAGATTTCATAATGATAAATGAACATTCAGCTAGACATAATGCAAAGCATGAGTCTTTTACTGGCTGGCATGGCTTGTGTAGCTCTACGTAGACGGTACTTGAGTGCTCAAGAGGCACTATCTAGCCCTTGAATGCCTACTGTTCTTCAATATGAAGAGCACCCAATCCAAGTGATAAAATATCCACTATAGCATGTGCTTGACCGAGGACTATTCGGACTGCTTGTTTCTCAGTGTGAGCTCGGGCAGCTTCAAAGCTAAACTGCTTGCCACAACGCTGACGCTGCTCAATGCCATGGCGGCGCTCGCCCAGACAGGACCCAGTCTCCATCCACCATGGTTATCGTCAGCACCAATCGCAAAGAAAACTCCAGCTGCCACTGGTATAAGGCAAATATTGTACACAGCAGCCCACGCGAAGTTGAGTTTGACTCTGAGGAACACTCTCTTGGCCAACCTCACCAGCGACAAAATTGTTTTCAGATCTGAGTTGAGGAGGATGAAGGAGGCGGTGGTCATTGCAACGTCTGATCCAGAGGCCAGGGCGATCGACACATCAGCAGCTGACAAAGCTGGTGTGTCGTTTGTTCCATCACCCACGAACGCAACGACACTGCGCTTTCGGATAGCGCTAGTTGTGTAGTTCGGCGAGACCCCTTGTAGTTCTTGGATATAGGCGGCTTTGTCTTGTGGTAAGACGCCTGCACGAACATTCCCGGCCGGTATGCCGAGTTGAGCTGCAATGGCAAGAGCAGTAGTATGATTGTCTCCAGTACACATATGGACATCTAGACCCAGTGAGCGTAGACTTTCAAGCACATTCACTGCCTCGGCACGGATTGGATCCGCAATTGCGAAGATTGCAACAGGTCTGAATTTGCACCCTTCCTCCCGTGGTTCTTTCGAGTCATTCGATACTTTCCGAATCGCAAGAATAGACGTAGATCGCCCAAGTGCTTGGTACCTCTGCAGAACTGGGCTGACAAAGAAATCCTTGCTCATTGAGAGTGACTTGGACTGCTTCTCTATTGGTGTTGACACCAAATCTGAACTGGAATCTTCGAGGTCGTCATTCAGTGAGTGAAGCATTCCTTCATTTCCAAGGAGGGCCTCATAAACTATTGTTTTAGAGTCTTGCTTGAGGGAAAATGTGCCTGTCATTCCTTGACCAGGTATTTCCTTGAGCTCAGAACTTTCAAGCTGAAGGGTTGAAACTGTCTGGGTAGTATACTCTGCAATTGCCTTGGCAATCGGGTGAGTGCTGGAGTTCTCCATTATATGGCACATGGTAAAAATAGCAGTCTTGGGTAGACCTTTCAGCTGTTCTGATTCAAGCAATTCAAAATCTGTAACCTTCATCTGCCCTTCGGTTAGAGTTCCGGTTTTGTCGAATACTATCGTGTTCAAAGTGGAAGCATCTTGAAACGCCTCGCCACCACCTTGGACCAGAATACCTTGGCTGGCTGCCATTCCACCACCGACGAACAATGCAGTGGGTGCAGCTAAGCCGATTCCGCAAGGACATGCCACGACGAAGACGGCAATGGCGAATTTGAGGGACCAGAATGACCAGCCGCCCTGATCCACATCAAGCCAAGCCAATGGTAGAGTTCCTGATTGTCCCAACGAGAGCCAAATAACCCAAGTCAGAAGCGCGAGCAGAGTAATCACAGGTACGAAGTATCCCGTCACAACATCTGCCACCCTCTCAATCGGCGCTCTTCTTGCTTGCCCATCGCGAACAACATTGACTATTCGATCAAGCATTGATGTACCATCAATTTCTGTAACTTTGATTCTGACAGGGCTTGAAACATTGACGGAGCCTGAGTAGACATCATCGCCTAAAGACTTCTTCACTGGTTTGGATTCGCCAGTCAATGAACTTTCATCGAAAAGAAAGGCACCATCTTGTTCTATGACACCATCCGTGGGAGGAGATGATCCGTGAGGGACCTGCACCACGTCACCGATCTCTAACTGGTCGACAGGCACAGGAAGAATGGCATACTGGTTGTTTGAGCCCTGTTCAACTAGAAGGCCTTCGGATGGTCGCAACTTGCTCAACATGGCAACAGCATCTCCAGTCTTCGCTTTACTGTATGCCTCCAAAAAACGGCCAATGAGGATGAAAAATGTAAGGAATGTGACTGTGTCGAAATAAGAATTCGCGGAACGATCGTCATGGGTCGGCATAGGGTCACTTGTTGCATCAGCGATAAGGACGGCTAGAGAAGAGAAGTATGCCACCGAAGTGCCGGCACTGATCAAAAGGTTCATACTTCCAAATCGATAGAACCTTCGCAACCATGGAACAGTGCTTCTTGGTCGCCACATGGACCAGATTTCCTTTAATGCTCGACGATGGAAAATATCGGCGCCATATAACATGACCGGTGTGGTGATAAAGAAAAGTGCCCAGTCTATCCGCATGGCATTTCCACCCAAGATAGGTTGCTCGAACCACTTCCTGGTGAGATTTGACTTTGACACAAGGCTCATGAAGACAATACCAATGATGAAACTTGGTATGGCCACCACTGCAGTGAAGATCAGTCTCAAAAGTATGTGCTTTTGCTCCGCTTGCTGCATTCGAAGAGATCTTTCTTCCAAGGTGGGTGGGTGATATACAATTGCACTGAATGCTTCATGAGTATCTGAAATCGTCTTGATAAACTCCCGTACCGTCAATTTCGGAGGAGCCGGATTGTAAGTGATTGTGATCATGGGATCATTGACTGTGGGCCATTGTGTCACTTTGAAGGTGTGTTGTTGGAGATTGGCACTACCAGCGAAAGAAGATTTGAGGTTTTCCGGACAGTGATTGCAAAACATGCCCATAACTTGAATCTGAACACTTCTTTCCGTAGACTGAGTTATTCTAGGACCAGAAAGTGGCATGGTCTCCACTTCAACTGCATCATAGCCTAGATCATCGATCTTGCTTAGGATGGCGTTGAGGTTGTCTTGACCTTTGAATGTAACTGTGCCTCTACTTCCGACCAGATCAATATCAGCTGAGCGAACGAACTCCAATTCAGCAACACCATTTGAAATAGTTCCAACACAGCTACCACAAGTCATGCCCGTGATACTGAGTGATGTTCTGAAAAGCGTACTGCTTTCGTCCAGAGTACTGTCGTCATGATCAATGTGGTGGGTTGTTGCATCGTACCCAGAGTCCTCAATTGCCTGGACGATTCGCTGTAAATTTCCTTCAGGGCCCATATAGCTGACCACAACACTATTTGCCACAAGATTGACATCCACCGAATTAACGATGGCTAAATCGCCGAGAGCCTTTCGGATGGTTGTGGAGCAAGACGAACAAGTCATCCCACCAATCGAGATTGTAGCAGTGTAACAAAGAGCGGTTGGGAAGTCACTAGTGCCGTCAAGACTGGGAATTGATTGCTTGTGGAATTTAGGAGTGTCGATGCTCATCGAGACACTGTTGGAGTCCCGTAAGTGCAAGGCACTTGCCGGGGCGGACCTGGGTCTATTTTTGATCTTGGCCTGAGATGGATCTCGTTGACATGCCTGGCAATTTTTGATATGCTTCCGCTGTACCTTAGACATGAGCCGGGTGGAACGAGAAGCGGAAGAGGTAGCTGGTTCTGGAGTGACATCGTACTCCTCGGTGGAGCGTCCAAATGAGTCCACTGTCGTGACATGATGAACTTCAAACGCGGCCTTAAGTAGGGCGTTCAAGATGAGAAGTTGTGTTTCTGATTTGGTGTGTTTGACCCGAATTGTGTGCTCAATCAAGGAAACATGAGGCGGCGAATGAAGATCCGGGATATCACGTAGAACATGCTGGGCATGGGAGACACAAGATGGACAATGAATGTTGGAAACTAGAAATACAGAGGTAAGAGACATAGTGGACAGTGAAAACGTGAATAGTGGTTGCGAGCAAGCTGCAGAATGGGTAGGGCGACAGCAGAAAAGTGATAGAATGAAACTTGAAAGGAATCACCATGGGACATGGACACAGAGAAGGAGCTAGGGGGACTATGATATGCATTTTGATAGAGACATGCGCCAGTTCTGCGTAAAAGCAGATTACAACATGGAAAACTGCACCTTGGAGGGGAAATGAGCGACTTGTGCGTAGAATAATGATTGTAGTGACAATCAAGAGTCATAGGAGCGGAAGAAGCACGTCGCGCACCGCACCGAATCGTGCAGAACATTAGAGACTGCCAAGCCACTAATCGATGCTTGTTCAGGCCTTAGTGTGGTGTCACGTGTTGGAGGCTTGCAGGATTTGAAATTGGAGAAACTCGAAAGCGAAGGAGCGACCTGACCTCGACAGGTCGATTGGCAAGTGGCATCAAACATTTCAGCATCATTTGCAACCACCGCGACATCCAGTGATTGTCGGAGTCCATCATCGAGCCTTGTTTCTTGACAGAAATGTTGTGGTTCTGTTCATGATAGCTAGAACGGCGTTTGTCGTATTTTGATCCTTTGGTTCTCCAATCACGGAATTTCGCACACGTCTGCTGGACCCCACCGTGTCCCTTCTATTTCGCACCATTGAGGGTCAGACAACCTCCTCTCGACCCGCTATGAGCTTCGGCAATCATGTTCAAGTCGGTGTCCATGCCAACAACTTGGATAGCACGAATGATTCTTCATCCAAAACACAAATTCATTTCCAATCATCCATTGGTGCTAGCCCTGCAGAAGCTCTCAACCCTTTTCATGGCCAATTAGTCGATTTCTCCGTCGCTCCATATCCGTCCGCACGTCCACAGGCAAGACGGCTTCACCAGGGGTCCTTTGCCGAGTTTCCTCCACATGGTCATACATTCGAACTGCCTCGCAACCCGTTTGAGCCTGAGGAAATATCACGACCCGCTTTCATCGTTGATAACTTTCCAACAAAGAGTAACTCAACCTCTGCGTCCTTGGACCATCCACGGACCATGAATGATACCCTGGACACTGCCATCGATCTCGATGGCGCAACTATTGATGTTGCAACCGACCATTCCCCTGGCTTGGGGCCACCTAGCATGACAGAGACACCATCGCGGCCGTCTCGAAGAAATAAGAAGTATACGCTCGCAGACGGGACGATTGTTTCTGGGAAGGGACTGGGCCGTGGAAGACCTGGGGTGAAGCGTGGCCCAAGACATGCAAAGTATCACATGGGCGAAGAACAAGATGGATCTTCTTTACATATCGCAGGTTCTCCGGCGACAGACAACGCTCTCCCAATTAAGCGGAGGCGTATCAATTCTGGAGCATCCAACCCCAATATTAGGCTGTCTTCCTCCAGCTCGCTCTCGCTCGACTCGCGAGAGTCATCCATAGAGTATAATCCTATCGCCACACATACCCGGTCCGGCCGGCAGACACAGAAGCCACTCAACCTCCCCACCACCAAGGTCATTGCCAGTCCTGTGTCCAAAACTGTATCCTCAAATTCCCCGGCAAATGTGACACCTTCCTCTGCTATCAAAACCCATCCTAAAATCAAGCGTCGGGTATACCGTGGCCGAGAACAATTTGCCCTTTGCGAACACTGCTTACGTGGCCATGGTCCTGCAGGCAATGTCATTGTCTTCTGTGATGCATGCAACAAGTGTTGGCACCAGCGCTGCCACGAACCCCAGATCTCGGGCCAGACAGTGTCCGATTCCAAGGCAGAATGGTTTTGTTCTGATTGTGATCGAATCCTCCACGGGAAAAAAGGCAAATCACGAGTGAAGGGATCTGTGGCTCCCGCCAAAGTCGCTCCTCCCATACCTCCCGCGCCAACATTTGTCTACGTCGGACCACGCGTAGGAGGACGTTTACTGAATAATGATCAGAAACTTGCCTACCTTAACACACTCTCTAAAGAGCAACTGATCTCTCTTCTCATGGATGGAGCTTATCTGGCACCCGACCTGCCCATCTTCGAGACTCTGGTACAGGCACTTCCTCCAGGCGGAAGTCTTGGTGCTCAATTTACTTCCACGTATGTTACACCGGTTTCGCATGGACCAGGGCAAGGTGATGCAGATGGAGTCGGTGGAAATGAGGCGGCGGATGAAGGCTACGACGGGTATTACGATGAGCATGCTGCACTCTATCCTAAGCCTGGGTTTGGAGTCCAATTGCCACCCGAGCGTGAAGACCTTCACATGATGCTTGAAGGTAAGGAAACCAGAACATTTAGTCATTGGATGAGAGGTATGAGAGGCAATCATTACAGTGGGACAGGGAATGTCTCCAGGGTTTGAACATCACTGGCTCTATCGATGATGAAGATTTGGTTATTATCAGTGTTACCTTGGGAGTATTGGCAGTATTCAAGGACAGGCCAATTGAGAACACAAGTCGATGCTACTGATGACTTTTCTGCTCTCAGCAAAGTCCTCCAGTAGGATTAGTGTAGTATATACTATGATACGAGTATTCCCCTTAGAGAATGACCTAGGCAGTCTTTTCTGGACTTGAACGAGCCGGCTTATGATTGTTCCGAGTCGCCAGACCTGCTTCTTTGGAGTTTGGGGCAGCACTGGCTTATTTGGTATGTATAATCTCTCACGAGTCACGTCCTTCAACCTGAACTTCACCTCACCTCACATCATCATTATTGGCCAACTCGTTCGTCATTGGCAATGACCATGACATCTATATAGAGAAAATCTTGCTGCATGCAATCGTGAATGCATGCTATAGCGAGAAATTGATGTGCCTTGCCCATGGACGCGATTGGGTGTTATGATGGGCTAGCTGCGACATTTGTGCATGTCCTGCCTTGATTCATACCGTTATTTTCCCGATTGATGCTCAGACAATGGCCTCTAGCGTGCTTTGATGTGCCGTGACATGCGCTTCAGAGACGTTCATTGAGAAACACGAGGCTGTGTTTGATCCACCATGGTATCCTACACAAGGATCAGCAAGAGAAGAAGATCAGAAATGGCGGAGATGAGTGTGCATTCAACAAGTCGACTGCACCAGATATGTCACCAGCAGAGTCTCAAACTGCTGTCTTGGAGCTGCTACTTACCAAATCGGAGGACGCTTCACATTACGGTCGGGAAGCGGAAAGCGTGAATCTGGCCTGATCACTGTCAGCTGCTGGCGGGGTCCAGGCCGTGGTTTATTTGTATACATGACTCAGGCAGATTCAAGCCATGACAATGCGACCGCAGCAGCAGCAGCGCAGCAGCAGCGACAGAGGGAAGGAGCATGTTGAGAGGGTTTCTAGGGTATGACTTACCATGTGACCGACGCCGAGAAGTACCAGTGCAGATGCTCTGCACCCACTGCAGTTACCTCACAGAATGCAGTCTACGTCTCCCTCCCACCTTTCCAAATCTCTTTTCCACTCTTCATCTTTTCAATCGAGCGACTCACTCTTTCGCTTTTCTCTCTCGGTCAAGCAAACTCGCCCTTGATCTTTCTTCTTCGACGACGATCAAACTAATCCTGAACTTCCCTCCCCTTGATGAATCGACTTATACTTTGCTTTTTCTCTTCACCGATCGAATTGTTATTCTCTTCATCAAGTGACCAAGTCTTGTTCTTCCTTCCATTCATCAATCCAAGCCTTGCTCTTACTCTTCAACAATGGAGAGCATACGTGCTCGTCCTCCCTCCTCCTCAAACAGCGACGGTTTCATCTCCAGAAATGTCCTCTCGCATCTTCCACGTCCTCACATCACATTCACCGATGACGGACCAGGACATCTCTCACGCCTTGGTCCTCGACACGATAATGACCATGTCGACTATCGCAGCATACAAATCTTGCCCACGGCAGACGAAATACTTGCCGTGAGCAGACCAATCTACATGCCTCAGAAAGACCTACTGGCAAGCAACTTCCTCGAAATTGGCATGAACAGACATCTTGACCTGCTCTTCAGACAGCTGCGCTGTGACAGTGTTGAGAGTATCCGAGATATTTGTTACTCTGCTGCTCAAATGGCCTTCCTGAATCCACAGGGTCTGAAGGAAAAGCATGTCCGTCAGGAAACTGAGGCCGGTAACCGGTTTTTCATCTACGACGATGTCCACGTTGAAGAACTCCTGATACATCAAACAAAAGGAATGTTGGCCCGTCTCAGCTATCATTGCCCAACCTTCATGCGTGGTACATTGATATATGACTCAGGCCGCTTTCGGGAAGGTATGCTGGTTGCTTTGCTAGAGCTTGACGCCTCAAACAACGAATTCTCCGTCAACTTCATGGAAGTACACCTTGTACAAAGCACCATGTCGATGAACACTTTTGGTGGAGCTGGTATTCGAGCGGCTGTTCAACTTTCATTTCCACTCACCTCGACACGTGATCAGGTGCACCACATCTGTCGACATGCTCTGAGACTTCGTGACGACGCCCGTCTCGTGCTAGTAGAGTTCCCCAAGGTGTTGTATGCTGGGTTTCACAGCTGCCTGGATCGCCTACAGAAGATGCAAGAAAACGATGTTTCGTTTGCAAAGTACATCGCTCCATCCCTCAGCCTCCATGAAACGTGGCAACCCACAGTGGAAACTCAAGCCCAGAAGTGCCAATCTACTTTTGACGTCCCTCCGCCCGGGTATACGCAGAGACCAGGGTTCTCCTACAGCCTTAAGGGCATTGTTCCTCATAATTGTGCTATCAAGTCACTCACAGTCGAAAACCTCAGCGATGACAAGATCATCCGTTCTCTGCAAGATGAAACCACACTGGACAAAGGACAAGCTATCGCCTTCCGTGACAGTTTGTCTCGTGAATTTGCCTTTACCCAAGGTCCGCCTGGGTGTGGAAAGACATTTTTAGCGGTCCAGTTGGCCAAGACACTTCTCCAGTCAAGAGCAAACTCTAAGCCAATTCTCCTCGTGTGCTTGACAAATCATGCACTTGATAAGTTTCTAGGAGAATTGCGTGACGCTGGGGTCGGCGACATCCTACGGGTCGGTCGTGGTAGCAAAGAAGAATGGACTGAAGGTATCAATCTCAGAAACCGTAAGAAAATGGCCCGCTCTACGAGGGAAGAGACTCAAGCTTTTGACTTTGCGAAAAGTGAAAAGAATGATGCGTTAGGTGATTTGGATGACATGTGCAAGGCCATCTCGTCTCAACGTCGGCTCGGCTTTGTTGGGTGGCACTTCATCAAAGACAGCCTTGAGAGGAATAGTCCTGGAATTTATGCACAATTCTGCGCAAGCAGTGACAATCACATTGGACGGTCGTTCACCTTTGAATACTGGTCTACGGGTGGTGACTTGGATAGCTTGAAAAGTCTGCATGTGGAACTTGCATCGCGATTTGCTCAGGTTTCATTGAGCCATGACAAAGGTGCATCCATCGACGTCGAAAGTGTCCTCCTTGACATCTCCGAGAAAGCAATTGCTCAAAATGATGCGGTCGGAATTGGCAGTGTCTGGAATTTTCCTCTGACCGAACGTTTGAGGCTGCTCCACGAATGGGAACTTGACATCGACGCTGAGCAAGTCGCTCACAAACTCACTGCCCTATACTGGACCTTTCAGGATTATTCTACCAAAATCAAAAAGATCAGAGACCAGAGAGATGCTAGAACAATGCTTGCACATAAGGTCATTGGCCTGACAACAACTGCATGTGCCAGCAGAAGAGATGTACTGGAATCCCTTGGGATTGAAATTATGGCCTGCGAAGAAGCCGGCGAAGTTATGGAGCCTCACACTCTTTGTTCACTCCTTCCGACACTTCAGCACGCCATTTTCATTGGTGACCCGCTTCAATTACGTCCAGAGCTAAATGAACAATCGCTAACTCTGGAAACCGATCTGGGTTCTCGGTACCGGCTTGACGAGTCGCTGCTGGAGCGTCTCATGTTCCCAAGAGATCCTGCCTTATCAACACTTCCTTCAAGCCAACTTGATATTCAACGTCGTATGCACCCGGATATCGCAAACATTACGCGCCTGACTTATCCTTTCCTCAAAGACCACCAGTCGACCTACGATCGGTCACAAATCTATGGTCTTAAGCAGAGAATGTTCTGGTGGGACCATCGTGTTCCGGAACTTGAAGCATCTGATGATTTGAAGTCGCACGCAAACCTTCATGAAGTTGAAATGGTGGCAGGTCTTGTGGAATACTTGCTGAAAGGAGGAAATTACGCCCAAGGGGAGATCGCAGTTCTCACTCCATACTCGGGTCAGCTGGCCGAGCTCGTCAGACGCCTCTCAATAACTTGTAATGTCTGGCTTAATGACAAGGACCGTCAAGAGCTGCTTACTCAGGACTTGCTCGATTTAGGCGAAGATGGCAGAGTCTGCAAAGATGAAATTGCTATTTCTGACATGCTCAGACTCACTACGGTTGACAACTTTCAAGGCGAGGAAGCCAAAATCATCGTCTTGAGCACTGTACGAAGTGGTGGTCCAGCTGGCTTTTTGAAAACCCTCAACCGTATCAATGTTGCTTGCAGTCGTGCCCGTGAGGGATTCTATATCATCGGAAACTCGCGAACACTATCACAAGTTCCTATGTGGATGAGTGTCATTGCGTCGTTCAATCAAAATATCGGTGCCAGCATAGAAACTGGCTGCCACAGACATCCAGAGACTAACGCGGCTGTCAAACAGCCATCAGACTTTGCAACAATCAAAGAGTGTTCATTCATTTGCGAAGAGGTTCTTGATTGCGGCCACCAATGTGTGCAGAATTGTCATCCATCCGCTCTCCACGAGCGTCTAGCATGCCAAGAAGAGTGTGACCGAGTATTTCCCTGCGGCCACAAATGTACGAAGTTATGCTATCAGACTTGCAAAGAATGTGAGCTTTCGATCGATGATCTTACGCTTCCTTGCGGACACGAGGGCAAGAAGCTTTGCTCAGGGGCTGAATCCAAATGTGCTGTGGTCGTCAAGAAGACAACACTCGAATGTGGTCATGACTTGAACATTCTTTGTGGCGAGGATCACGATGGAATCACGGTTTGTCCAGATACGTGCGGTAAAACTCTTCCTTGTGGCCATCCTTGTCAGGGCAGTTGTCGGCGCTGCACCGATACCAAGAAGCATTTGCCATGCCCAGAGATCTGCGGTTGGCCTAAACGTTGTGGTCATCTTTGTAAGTCAGCTTGCCATACTGGGCGAGCTTGCCCAGCTGCTTGTCTCGAACAATGCACCAAGAGCTGTGAACATGGGCCATGCAAAAATCGCTGTTCGGAAGCTTGCGACCCTTGCATCAAGTTGCCTTCTCGCAAATGTGAGCACGAAAGTGCAACGAACATCATTTGTTGCCTTCCGAACCCTAGTCTTCCGTGCTCACGCCCATGTGAGAAAGGCCAGTCTGCTCTGTTTTCAGAAATTGAGGTCCATGCTAATTGTTGAAATAGTTCTCCTCTGTGGGCATACTTGCCCTTCACTCCACAATGAACCTTGTCCTCCACCAGGAATCTGTCCTCAATGCACTTCGGGTAGAAAACCCAGAAGTCCTGTTTTGTATATGCCTGATTGTGGACATATGGTCCGTCTCAAAGTCCTGGACCAGGAGAATCGTCAAGAATTCTATCACATTGACTTGGATGGGGCTATACAGTGTATCAATACTCATGCCCGTGGTCTGCAGCTCCAAGAGCCTAAATGTACATGTGGAAAACCATGCCCATCAGTGCATCGGTATTCAGCTATTCAGAGAATGGCCACTTTCGCCCAAACACTTGACCTTCTCTTAGCAAAGATGGGTTGGAGAATGTACCGTTTCACCGAGTCTGTCGAATTCTTCCAGCAATCATTGTCAGACAGCTTGGAGACCTTTATTTCTGAAATTCGTCCCAATCCTTTGGCCGCACTTGCCAACACTCGACACATTCTTCAACGTCAGAGAGAAGTAATTGAACTGCACAAATCTATTGTCAGATATAGGAATGAGATCATTATTCCAGTCGAGGAGAGCTTGCAAAGCCTGCACGTTGTCATGGCTCGCCGCGTGCCTTCTTATGCGATGTTGTTCCAAACACGATTTGACGTTTTGGAATACAGAGCAATGTCACTGCGGATTGCGGATGATCTGAAGTTAGCACGCCTTATGGTGAAGTTGGCCGACCCTTCCCAAGGTGTGCAGAGACAAGGAGTCAAGATGCTACAATTTGTTGTCAAGCAATCACATGCTTGTGTGACATATTGTCAAAAGGCTCTGTCTAGACGTCATGTAACGTCAGCCCAACCACTCGAGGCTGAGTTGCGGCTCCAAAAAACACAATTTCTCATGTTTGCGACCGAGGCCAGCTTGAGACTTTCACGCCTGGGATATGGCAGTGCTAGTGCCCTGCCGGTGCACTCTGCCATCAATGAGCTGCAAATGATGTTGGAGGAGGATGACCCTGATTTTACCGGTCGAAACGCCTTTATCAACACCCTCGGAGGATTTCAGGACTACTTTTTGTCAGTGGAAACTGACGAGGTTGGGGACATACCCGATATCAGCAATGAGTCGACTCGAACAATCGAAAAGTCCTGGAGCCAGCACGAGCTTGGTGGATTGATAACGTGCCCTCAAATGCATATCTATTCGAGAAAGACATTTCCACGGGGTTGTCCAGGTTGTGGAATCATATTGCCCAGTACACCTGAGATCAACGAACCCGCAAAACCACTTCGCGAAGCAGAGTTTCTCAAGGTGATGCATTTGCGTCTCAACACGAATCGACCTGCGCTCCCAGGAGGGAAATCGGTATCTTATTCCGGTGTTGCACAGGTCACGACTGAAAAGGAATCTCCTGTGTCTGAGGCCCGTACCCTTGTCCAGCGCCTCGCTGAAACACCAGGAAGTGACCATTGCCAAGAGATGAAGCAAGAGGTTGAGCAAGAAGCTGAGGAAGGGGTCGAGGAAGATTCCACTGAAGAGAGTAAGCAAGATGTGGAAACTCTCAAGAATGAACGAGAAATGAAGGATCTGGAGAATAGGGAGAAATTTCTGGTCGCTATGAGAAAGCTCGGCTTGTGAAAGACCACCCATTGCACCAGAGCGGGGATTGCCAAGCCATGTATGTACGAATATAATCGAGCAGGGAAGGAGGTAAGAAAGGATTGGCCGCGGATGTGGCTGGATGGAGTACGTGTCAAATTTACTAAGAACAGCACTCGGACAATTCATGTCGGTTTGTGGTCAAGGATAGATCAAGCCCAAATGCCCCGGAAGTAAGGGCTGTGGCCTTATGATATACGTGACGATTGCAACTGAAGTCATTCTGACATGTGGATCTCCTCAGTCGCCGCTTGTTATTGCACGCAGCTGGTAGCAAAGGGCCAGATGGTGGTGTCAAGAATTCCCAGTAATTCAGACATGGTGAAGTCATTCAACATGACATTTTCTCGATTCTCATCTGACGAGGCGGGCGGTTGATGCGGCTCCTCATTGCTACCCCAACTTGAAGATAGAGACACCGGTCTCAGTAAGTCCACTTTCCACAACCAGCTTATTGACCCAGGTGCTCATTCGGGATCGGAACAAAAATCATTCAAGTTGCATTGACAAGCTAACTAATTACCTGGGTACTAACTTGGTGAACTGCCAATTCTTTCAATCTTACATTATTATTGAGCTTACATATCAACACCCGACACGCCGTTACATAATTGGAAGCTACCCCCTACCCGATCGGTGCCATCAGTAGTAGTCCGTCCCCGATGGCAAAGCAAACTCACCAAGGGTAGAGGCTCAGCTCTTGGGACTTGGAATCCCCTTCTTGGCGATGAGGCTTTGTTGCCCATCACAAATTGACAATGCCTTGAGCATTGGTTAACGAGAGGTCCACATATCTCTCTAAAGGGACATTCGCATAAGCCGGCTCTACAAGCTCTCCAGAGATCCAGACCATTCTTTGACGATGATGTCATTCTGGTCAGACGTTCCATGACTCTGGAGTTTATTGGCGCGGCAGCAGTGCCTGCCTATTTGAGATATGATTTCTTCGGGGACACCAATTTGGGTTTTATTAGCCCTTATGGGGATTACAATAAGCCATGGTGCGCAATATGGACACAATATATGATTCTTGGAAGGGATCTGCCTCATGGCAAGGCATGATCTCGGCCGGTACAGCTTACGAGCGGGACCGCCCAGAAGCTCCTCCAGAGTGCCGGCATGATCAGTGATATCGAAGTTGCTATTTCGGGGGCTGGTAGGTTAATCAGATGCTCTTCAAGACATACTACCTTGTATATATATACTGTGTTGTGGTTGCGCGTTGACGATTTATCTTTCATTCAAAATCAACATCATCCAAACCCAACCCAGCAAGTTCTTTTTATCTGTTTCTTCTTAATTCTTTGTTTACATACAAATTAATCCAAAGTCTCTAACCAGCACCATACATATCAACGGAACAATCCTACATCCCTCTGCAAAAACACCTCTTGAGGAATATAATATCAGTTCCCGACATTAAGAATGCACTACAGTTTAGCTCTTTCCTTCCTTGCCATCAGCGGCACTCGTGCCCTCCCACATTACGCTGCTCGGGCCGCCGACACATCAATCACGGTCTCCCTCTCCAACGGCAAGACGCTGAACACTGACTCGAAGTTCGGCGAGCAGCTTCCTCAGACTATCTCTGTCGCGGATGGCCCTTTCACCACAGTCAACTTGACCCTCGGCGCAGACGTTGACCTGCAAGACCTGCGCTGCCAGATCGTCGACGTCGACAAGAAGCCCATCGTCGTTCTTCGAGGCGGGAACGTCGACATCACCTTCGCCGACGGCGGTGCAGGCGCCTGGACGCTACGCGAGCCATCCAAGGTCAGCAGCATCACCTGCGACCCGAAATTCAAAAAAATCAGCCCTGACGACGACCGACTCAACCTGAAAGTCATCCTCAGTAATATCCTGACCGAGACCACCAGCCAGACGGATTTCAAAGCTGGTGTTCTCGAGAAGACCAGCCCCAATGGTTCAGTTGGGCCGTACAAGACCGTCGAGTTGAAGGTCGGTGAGTTTGTCGCCGTCCAGACCCAGCGATGCCAGGTTCTAGACAAGGCTGGCAAGCCCGTCACTGTCAAGCGTAACGGTGTCACTGATATCACCTTCGCCGATGGCGGTGCTGGCGAGTGGACTTTCAACGCCGACACTAAGATCGAGAAGATCATCTGTGATCCGAAGTTCGTCGCTGACCCGCAGTAAATCTGTTGTTATCGGTCCCAGTACGGCTCAATGAGACATGGTTGCAACGAATTGGTGTGGCGGCGATGGAAATACTGCATAGCGTGGAATGTCTCCGTACATGATTCGGAAAGTATGGGTCCGGTTTGGGGCGGCGCTTGGAAAATGGAGGGCGTCATACATGGCTTGGGCGTTTTTGGGACCTAACATATCGAGACGCTCCTTGTCGATATGATTGTCCCTCAAAGGGTATTATTGATAGACAGTCTCAGAAAGTAATACATCAATGGATCATCTGGAAATAATCCAACTGTTTTTCGCCAAGGCTTCCTCCGATCCATCTCACCAATCTACACCCTTTTCAGACCAAGTACCTGAAGGCCGGATGATTGGAGCTGAGCTCCAACTCCTGCTCCCTGGTGAGGCCTTGGAGGCGATGATCTCGCTTGCCCATGTCTCGCTGGCGATTCTCCCACTTGCAGTACATCCACAAGACAATCGCGCACGCCCAGCTTCCACAGAGGAACGAAACCAGGATCGCATGTCCTTTGCGATAGGCCGGTGCGTCCTTGGGGAGGAACATCCACGGCGCCAAGACGCCTCCGACACTACCCAGCGTGAAGACGATGCCCGAGCAGGCCGCTCGTACAGTTGCTGTTGCGCAGTTGTTGACGGCCTGGAATGGTGTTAGTCAGCAGATGCAGCTGGGTTTCGAGGTGGTAGGGTAGGGTGTATTCACCCAGGTCAGCCAGATTGGAACAAAAGCATATAGGCCAGTTGCAGCGAGATATAGTGCGCCGTATTTCGCGGCGGGTCTGTCGTTCGGGAGGAATTCGAGCATGAAGAATCCGGCAATGGAAAATGGTGCGGTACAGACGATGACTAAAGCTCTCTTCTTGTAGCGGTCTGATAGATATCCAACTCCAATCGAGAAGAAGCAGGCAACAGCCTTGTTCGCAGTCAGTTTTCACAGATTGATCGGAGAGTTCAGAGGTGATGGACACTCACGTAAGGTCCCACGGAGAGGAGCTGGGCGTCCGTGTTCGAATAGCCCATGCCTCGGATGATTGATGGGGCAAAGACTCCGAACGATTGGGCGACAGTGCTTAGGATCATGTCAGTATATAGTCAACAAGACTGGATTTGGAGGAGGTCAGACTTTGAGAGAAAAAAACCAAATGCGCAGCCGAGGACATGCACACTGCTCAAAGCCTGCCAGACGTGCTTGAGGCGTGTGCGCCCACCCTCGGTGGTGCCCACGGAATCAGCAAGCAGTCTGTTTACAGCGGTGATTTTCTCTTCTTCGGTGAGGAACTTGGCTGTTTCGGGTCCAGCAGGGATCATGAAGTACGCAGCTACTGCGATTATGAGTGAGATTATGCCCTTAAGATGTATTAGTGACATTGTATTTTCACTTCCGGAACATATCACCTCGAAAAAGTAGATATTCCTCCACGTATGGATGAGACCCCATTGTGGGATTTTGCTAAGCCCGATGGCTAGAAGACCTCCAAATGCGCCACTGGCAGAGGCTGCTGAAATATAGATACTGGTGCGAAAGCCAAGCTCTTGTCGACGATAACTGCTGTAATCAGTGGTCCATACTTTTACGAAGTCCGAGAATACTAACAATTGTGAGAGCATCCACACAAGCCCAGGACTGATACCGCCTTCCACACAGCCGAGAAGGAATCGGACCGCATATAAGCTTTCGCGAGTTTCAACGAGGCTTGTCAACGTCGTGATGAGCCCAAAAGAGAACACCAGGGAAGGGATCCAGATATTGCCACCGAAGTATTTGCACGCGATATTGGAGGGCAATTCCACCACACAGTATGAGACGAATAGACACATCAATGCAATATTGTATCGAAGGCCAACACCCAGCTGTAGATCTTTCTCTAAACCCAGCAGCCTTGCATTGCCGATGTTCACCCGGTCAATGAATGAGAACAGGTTGATGATGAGGAACAAGATCAAGATCCGATAGTCAAATTTCCTCACTATTCTTCGAGAGAGGTCCTCGTCGATGACCACGGTTTCATGAGAAGCTCCGAGTACTTCGGCGTGCTTGTGAGGGCCATCTTCAATGTGGCCGGGATGGGACGTTGCTGCCTCGACTTCCTTCGATGCTGTCATGGTGTAAGAGCTAGTTATGAACGGATTTTTTTCCCCAAAGATCCTGGATTTCTTCAAGGATCATGAGTTGCATCGACGCAGGCTTTTATATCTGCTTGAGAAAGACGGAGTAGGTATGGGTATACATATGCAAAGCTTAAACCACGGAACCGAGATTTAGTGTTTTTGGGGCAACGGAACCGACCACTGTGCCCCGTGGGGGCCTATATTGTGTACGAATGCGGAGTGTTTGGGTCTATTGGCTTGACTCACATTACTTAGATTCGTACAAATTTATCATGCTCTTGGCCGCGTCAAAGACCGTCGAGAGATTACGCGTCCAACACGCGAATAGTCGTCGCCTCCGAGCTGAATTAATACTTCTCGAAACCGCCGCGTGGGCTAGAAAAGCCTTTTCGACTATATTGATGTTGCTGAGGAGAGCACAGGATCGTTTGTCGTAGCGGATGGAGCGAATGCCGAAACCACTTGATAAGCCCCATGGGCTCTGGCGCTGGCTACGGGCGAATCACCGACCAGCAGTCATACCTACCTCGACCCCTTCAGTGGTCTTGAGGTGAGTACAGCTTGGTTTCTTACATCAATGCCATTGGATCACAAAGAGAATTGCAACATGATCAGCATGCCTGGCTCCAGAGTGAGATACTGATCTACAAGAGAACCTCCCTTTAGCCAAAAGCTCAAACGAAGCTTTGCCGAGCACAAGGCCCTACTAAAAAGGGGCTTGAAATGATCTCACACCCTTGAAAGGACTGATAGCAAAACAGGACGAGGGAGTCATGCTGAATAAAGGCCAAAACTTGACGCCAGAGACTATCATGCGGTGTAGCGAATGTCTCTAACAAACAAAAATTTCTCACCACAGAAATCTTAGACAACAAGCCAGGAAGCTCTCCAGTGCCATGGGCTAAAGAGAGATAATGTTTGAACTGGCTACAATGGCGTGAGACTGTTGCGGTATTGTCTGAAACAATGTCTCTAATTGACCAGAACGATATAGGGACTGTTTAAGCAGAGACTCTTAGAAACAAGAGTTACCCCTCAGAACACTTACATCTAGCAACGTCAAAGCAACGGTGACAAGATAACGTATCTGCCGCTTTTATGTCTGAGACTAGATCCTCTGGCCTTTCACTTATGATCCCGTCAACATCCCCTGCAGCAGCCAGCATTGGCGATTGGCTTTCTCGCACCTCAGAAAGTAATTCAGACGCACGACATGGAAATCCTAGCTGGCCAAAACTGCCATCACGAAAGCAGGAGAGGCAAATTTCGATGCACTGTACGAGGGTGGTGGACTCAGACGAACCGCTAAATCTTGTCCTACTCGGAACGACGTTTGAGAGCAACTATGCCGAACACCCGCAGCGTCTTATCGCCGCCCAAATCGGTGCCAACGGCAAGGATGAAATGCAACGATGGAAGAAGAGGGTAGCTGCTCACGACAAATCTGCTCAATCTCTCAGCCAACACTTGCACGGCCGTCAGGCTGTCCATTCTAAAGTCATCCGAACGAAATCAATTCAAACAACAAAATATCAGGCCTCCTCAAGGAACATCCAGAAAGAGACTATCTTGCAGAAGCTCTTGCGCGTGCTGAGGCTTGGAAGGACAATAAGTTCAACCGGTAAAGCCACCACAGCACACCATACCAGTTGAAGTCGTTAGAGAGGATTCTCCCTGCGACATGGGAGGAATTCTCGCGGATGTGCGGGGAGCAAAGCTACAGTCGCAAATTCCACAATGCTCGAAATGCGGATTCTACCAAGGGGGAAGACGAAACCTTTTAGACAATACTTTCCTGTCAGGAATAGGCTGCCCACTCAAAGTTGTGTGAGAACGCCTTCACATCTACTCAGCAAGTACAGTGCAGCCCATTTTCGGAGGCTATGTGTAGGCAGTCTAAGTCTGTGAGTTGTCCTGTTATTTCTAATTGAGCCACATGCATCCATAAGGGATTATAAACTTCCGTATACTGAAGAGTGTGCTTGAAAGTGACTGTGCCGTGACCTGAGCCTACTCAAGCGAGACTCGTTTGATCTCGCGGGAGGAACCGCGCTGTTCCATTTCTTCATGTGAATATTGACCAGCAGCACCGAGGCTCTTGAATAAAGGACTTCACCGCTAGTGGACTAACGCGAGCTCAGATGTGAACCTCCATGCAGGCTAAAATGATGTAACTGTATTTCCCCGCGTCCAGTCGATCATTTCCAGGCCTGTACTCTGAAGAACCTGATCTTCGAGAATGACGGGATAAGCGTAAGCTTTTTAACTTGGCTGCAACGCCACAAACCTTGATCATTGGCGAGGCTTCATAATTCCTTCGAATCAATGTTTCTCAACCACATCGTGAATAACTGTTGCTTGATTTGCTGCCAAGTTCAGGATCATGCACGAAAGCATACCATATCAGATTCTCACACTGGTATCAAAGCTCGGAGCCAGAGCGACGTCATTGCTGATTTTGTCATAATCAATGCAAAGAAAAATTGGTACAAGGTCAGTTAATGGTTGGGGAGTTGCGGGTTTATGAAAAGCCGTCGCGATCAACAATACCTGTTGCATCTTGTGGTTGCAACCCCGGACGACACTACCGATGGCAAATATGGGGTTCTTAGTATGGGGAAGATCTTATACCGGGGAGATGTACGGCATGAATTTCAACTACATAAAGGGCTGCAGTACCTCCTGTTGCCATTTTCGGGCTATGCAGTGCTTTTCGTGAGTCTTCAATCCCTCAACATTGTCCGACAGACTTTCGGTTCCAATTGAATATCAATGAGCATGGCGGAAAACAAAAAAGCCGACTTCGAACATGTAGAACCATCACATGCATTTGTCGAAGAGAAAACCATTCATGCCCATAATGCCGCTTTAGCTGCAGCCTTGGAGGGAGAGAAGCCTAAACTCTTGGGTAAAGGTTATATCCGGCTTTACATGATATGCGGATTGTTATACTTGTGTTCAACGATGACCGGTGGGTGTATTATTCAAGAAAGCCACCACCTCGCGGACCATTGATTAACCCTGTTTAGGATATGATGGATCTCTCATGGGATCTATCAATGCCATGCCCAACTACATCGAATACTACCATCTACCACCAGAAGGGAACAGTGGCACCGGCATAGTCTTTGCAATATTCCAAATTGGTCAGATGGCTGGGGCACTCTTTGCCTGGACTGCCGATTGGCAAGGTCGACGGTGGCCAATCTTTGTTGGATGCATCGGTGTTTGCATTGGAACTATCGTGACAGCCACTGCTCCAACCCTCGGCGCATTCATTGGTGGAAGATTCTTACTGTCCTTCTTCGCGACAATTGCAGCAATTGCAGCACCTCTATACTTGATTGAGCTATCGCCACCGCAATATCGTGGAACAATATCTGGAATGTACAACACTTTGTACTACTTCGTGAGCAGTTGTCTCCCCTTGGATAGCTGTGTCTCTAATTTGCTCGATCAGGGTTCAATCATCGCAACCTGCGTTGTATACGGCTCAAATCTGCACCTTACCGGACCTATTTCATGGCGCCTGTCACTCTGGCTGCAGATGTTATGCCCAGGAATTGTGACTGTAGGGGTCTGGTTTTGTCCAGAGTCACCTAGATGGTATAGCTTGATCATGAATCAGAGTCTCGTTATATATCACTAACAGCAGTAGGCTTATCGGGAAAGACCGGGTCGAGGAGGCACGAATTGTGGTTGCTTCTTTGCATGCTGATGGCGATGTCAATCACCCACTGGTCAACCTGCAAATAGAAGAAATGAGTGAATCTTTGCGGGAGGAAGGAATAATGACGTGGCGCAAGTTCTTCGACATGCGTGTCTTGTTCTCGACCCGTGCTAAGAGATATCGTCTTATGCTGAGTAAGTTGGCATGCGTGTTGTTAAGGCCTGAGAATCTTCTTTCAAAGCCTACCAACCTTTGTGGATGTGGGGTTCGAGAGTGCCTTGAATATCATAGTCGTTGGCACAATCATGAGCTGACACAGTTGGTCTTTAGATGTGGCATTCAGCTGGTTTGGACAATTTTCGGGAAACAAGTGAGTCAGAAATGAAATCTGGAAAGCCTGTGCTAACATTCTGCTCAAAGCGTTGCGTCATATTGTTAGTGTCTCAAGGATGAAGTCGTCGCAGCAACTAACTTGCAATTAGATCTTCCATACCTCGTCGCCAATGTCGGAATCACAAGCACAAATACCCAACTGCTCCTAAACATCATTTATGCGATTGGAGGATGGATACCTGCCATTATAGGTGCCCGTCTGCATGATGTTGTGGGCCGCCGTAAGATGATGATGTCTGTCGCTTTCGGCATGGCAGTATGTCTCTCCATAGCTGCAGGTACAGCAGCTGGATACGTCCAGACGGGGAGCAAGGCGGCTTCTTCTGCCTCGATCGCCTTCATATATGTCTTTGGAAGGTTAGTTACCCTAAACGATGTTGATGAGTCAATCCTCCCCAGAACCAGCCTCCGCTGTGATCTGGGACATCTCCAACCATGACAATTGATACTGACCATGGGATGCATAGTGTCTTCGCGTTGGGCTACACTTCGATGCAACCCATTTACCCTGGAGAAGTACTATCCAACGATATGAGAGCCAAGGGTATGGGTGTATCAGCCCTTGTGAGCGGATGTGCTGGATTTGTCAACACATTTGCTGCCCCAGTCGCATTGAGAAAGGTAAGGTGTCCGAGCCCATCAAAAGGATACTCCTGGTTGATATTGTCAGATCAAATATTGGTTCTACGTTTTCTTTGTTTTCTTCGATCTGTTCGAGGTCGTGTTCATCTACTTCTTCTTCGTGGAGACCAAAGGTCGCACCCTCGAAGAGTTGGATGAAATATTCGAAGCTCGAAACCCCCGAAAGGCAAGTACCCAAAAGGCTACCATTGTTAGACGCGTCACTGGCCACGGAGACGGCGCGAAGGAGATCACTGTAGAGGCAGCTTGATGGCTGCAAGACGAGTTGGGCTATGAAAATGTTCGGTCCTCGGCGGCATGCAAAGACATCATTGTAGGATCAATGACCGAAGTTGTTGGTTTGCCGGTAGACAGGTTTTCCAGGATCAGAGACCTTTATTCTAGCTAAAACAGAAAAATAAAGATGCACTTCTCGGCCTCTGAGCCCCAATCCCTTGAATTTGGGGCCTCGGGAGGAGAAGACCCTAACAAGCTGATAGCCAGTTAGACGTCAAGCTGCCCGAGAGACCTAACTGTTCTACTTAACCAGTTTAACCTCTTCCGGTGCAACTCCTCCATCTCGTTTTCCTCGAAAGCCATCAGTCAACGACTGCTGCTTGGGTACATATTCATCAGCCACAACAATCACTTTGCGAGCTCGATATTTGCAGTGAGTCAATGTATCGTGCCGCACTCACAAGTGATGACATCCCTCGTGTTCTCCACCACGTCTGAATCCCTCTCTCAACCTGGGACAAAGAAGATACGCAACCCAGTAGCCGAGCGGAGAAAGGTCAATCGCGCCTGCATTGAATGTACCAGGCGCAAGATCCGTTGCGACGGAAGCCTGCCATGCAAGAATTGTCAATGGTATTCAGTAGAGACCAGATGTGCATATCGTCAGAGGAATCGAAGGACAAATCCGACATGGAAGTCTGTTTGCCAGAATACGCCACTGGATGATTAGTTTGCTCGCTGACTACGGACCCAGGGCAATTGAAGAGCTTTCTGAAGCGGTCCAAACCCGCAACGATGTACTATCACAGCTTTTGCCATCGATTGATTTTAATAACTTCCCTGGCTTGTCCAAGGAGAAAATAGAGAATCTGTGTAATTTCGAACACCCCGAATCATCTTCTCAGCCACGTGCAAACGATGCCACGCTTCCATTAAGCGTTTCGAATCCAGAAACGCTATCAGAGTCGGAGCACGAATGGAACGAATCTAGAGAGCACGACTATACCTCTCCTATCGGTGATGATGTCGATGGCCTTGCATCTCAAGATAAACATGGCTCATACCTAGGTATTTCCAGTATCAGTGCGGCTTTGCGACTAATATTCTTTGCCTCCCCAACAGCAAAGCAAAAGTTTGTGGAGTTAAGTCGGACCTTTCCGAGGCGTGGACATAACTCGATCATTTCTGGCCACACTACGAGAGGGAGCCATGTTGAAATGCTCCTCCCGGGTAACCTTTCGACACCACTCGTTCCCGAGCAGCTTGCCATTGATGCCTACTTTGAGCATCTCCATGGTACAAATGCTATGCTTGACGAAGAGCTGTTCAGAAGATCGTTCCAAGAGCAGGTGCGGACCGACGATGCTTGGATCGCACTATTCAATACAGTGGCGGCACTAGGTTCAATAGCATCGGGTGACGAGCATTCTCATGTTTTCTACTACAGTCGAGCCCAGGCTGCGATCGGGTACAGAACCTTCGGTACGGGAAATTTAGAGATGCTACAGGCATTGATACTGCTTGGAGGTGGTTATCTACACTATATTAACTCACCAAACACTTCTTATCTGATTATGGGAGTGGCCTTTCGCATGGCTATAGCAATGGCGCTACATCGGGAGCCTAGTAGAGGGCCAGTCCAGAGACATGATGAGGTAGAAGAGCCATCTCCATCAACCCCAGGTGTCCGACGCTTACCGAAGGCTGAAATCAGACGGCGAACCTGGTGGACTTTGGTATATACCGACACCACCTCAAGTCTTGCCCTTGGTCGACCGCCTACCATACGGTGGGATCCTGCTACTATGGATACTGCTCTTCCCAGCGATTATGCTTTATCTGAAAGCCTGGACACCACTACCATAACGAACCGTGATGGCATTAACACAATTGACTATACTGGGACTGCACTTCGAGTTTGTGGAGAATTCGCCAAGATATGCAGCAGGGTTGAGTACAGAATGGCCCAATTTTCTCGCATGGCAGCACGGGAAATCCTCACTTTCGAGACACAAATTCAAGCCTGGGAAAAGAACTGTCCCCAGATCTTCCAGCCCGGCAATCCATGTCCAAAAGGAGTAAGATTCTGCCGTGATCTTCTTCACTTCCGCCAGCAAGTTGTACGCATAGTTCTATCAAGACCGCATATTCTACGATTAATCGAGGACAACGCAGCGTCCACAACTTTTGAACCAGACGACTGGCGAGTTGTGGCAATGTGTCAAGAGGCGGGCACTAGCATGATCAACATTGCTAGCGCGAATCCTGGAAGAAGTCGAATTGCTGTCTGGCATTGTTCGTGGCATCTATTCCAAGCATGTATGATTCCTCTCCTTTCGTTGATACTGGCCTCCCGCGGCCAACTTGCACCATATGTCAACGAGGAAACGGTGACTGCTTGGATGGAGAGTCTTGAGAGAGCGATTCGAACTTTCAGAGATATGGAACCCTATAAAAGATCGACAGACAGGTATGGCAGTGTTATAGAAGCGCTTTATAATGGGGTCATCGCCGACAGAAGCATGAGCAATCAACCGACATCATCCCTCGATGGAATCATGTCTTCCGGCATTAGTACAACTATTTTTGATAGTCACGATCTACCACCGATGGAAGCTTTCCAAGATTGGTTTAACGCTGATCTTATGTTTGGCGCTGGCGACATAAACTGGCATTTATTTCCGGAGGAGTACATGTTGAGCTTTCCACAGGGAGGCTAGAGTGGAAGGTCTTTCTTGGTGACCAGGGTTCTGAAGCTACGGTGGTGCATCTTTCACACTAAAAGGAAAACATGCCCAGCATCTATGGCCCACAGTAGACCTTGGCACTGGACGTTCGCAGCCAACTTGACCTTTGGGAATTACGGCAACTTTCTTGAGGGACCGTGTATTGAACCATAACTCCCAGTGTTTCATGCTACACTGCACCATAGCCATAACATAGTCTGCAAGGTAGGGAAACGAACTTCTCATCATGACTGACGTTGAGCCGGAGGATACGCAAGCCTCATCACGGAGCAAATCTAACGATCGACGAGATCGGAAATCCCCATCGCGAGACGACCGCAGACAGCGCAGCAGATCACCCCGACGGGACAGAGACAGAGACAGAGAAAGAGAAGGAGACCGACCACGTCGGAAGGACGCAGGCTTCAAATGGAAAGACAAGCGACGAGACCACGGCGGAGACCGGGACGAACGTCGGGACCGAGACCGCGGCTTGCAACGAGGCTACAAAGACCATTACCGGCCCAGGTCGAGGTCAAGGTCACGATCGCGCTCTCCCCCTCCACGACGCCGGTCGCCAAGAAGACATGACAGCGATCGTATGGACAAGCGCGATTCAGATGACCGCGCATTGAAAGAACCGGGAGAGAAGGAGGCGAAAAGCGAAAAGAAGGAGAAGAAGGAGAGGAAGCCAGCGCCGCCGCCCGCTCCTACACAACCCATGATCATCGTCTACGTCAATGACAGACTGGGAACGAAGAAGGCGATTCCATGCTATCCTACGGATCCAATCAGTGAGTTCTTCCTCCACGATCGTATCATGGTATTTCTGCTAACGGGTTTCACTACAGAGGACTTCAAAATCATCGTTGCATCCATGATCGGGCGACAGCCGCACGAGATCTTGTTGAAGAGGCAAGGTGAACGCCCCTTCAAAGATCAACTCACCCTGCAAGACTATGGTGTCAGCAACAATGTGCAACTGGATCTCGAGGTCGACACCGGCGATTGAGAGACAGTGCAGAACGCCATGCGCTGCGACAAATCTTCCGCGAAAGCCCAGTTCGGTGCTTGAAGCTGATGAGACGCCCTCTCATCGACTTTTGTCTGACCACGTAGCCTAGGAGGACCGGGTCTGTCATACACCAGACTCATGAACCGACACTTAGGGATTTCAATGGCGGCTCACGTTATCTATATTCCACCTGAGGGTGGAATCCGACCATGGGACACCTTGAGTTTTCTGTCTCTGAGGCCGGAAAGTCACCCTACATAGCTTCTCGCTGTATGTTGGAACTGGAAGTTTGGACCTTTCGGCGGCCAATGGGGGACCCCCGGGAACCAAAGCAAGCAGCATGCAGAAATTATTCGGCCAACCCAGCGCTCCATCACGCAGGTCCGTTCATATGTAAAAGGCGGGCGGCTAGGCGAGATACACTGGTGGCGAAGATTGGCAGCTGTGAGCCTATGGCCCTCTCATCAGATCTTCACTGCCACTTCTTCACCTGCAAAGCTACACATCCTGCAGTTTTAAAGAAAGGCTGATTAAGAATTAGTTTGGGTTGCGGACTATGTAATCTATGTAGTTCATTTGTCATGGCTGTTTGGGCTTCAACGTTGAAGTTGTGGCAGTTGTACCTGCAGACTGTTGATATATTTGCTGGGAAGAAGAACTACCAGCCTTACCGGGCTGGCTTGTGGTGGTGGTGGTGGTGGTTGAATATTCTCCTCGCCATTCTTCCCTTAACCTGAACACCATGCTTTTCACTCAATTCATTGTGAACCATAGTCACTTTGTAGTGTCGGACGGGTATCATGACCGTGAACCAAGCGCCTAACTCCTGGACATAAGCAGTCAATGGGCTGCTCTCACAAATACTCATCATTGCAATCGCGTTCGATGGGACTTTGTCTCAAGTCTGTCGAAAGGCTTTCAGAACGCTGTCCAATTTCGTCATCATCTCTTCCCATTCCATCTCCTCGTCGCTCAATACTGTAATTGCACCACCAGCACCGATCCTCCATCTTTGTTTCTCCACTCCATCAACCTCCGTAATATCATCATCAGTTGCAAAAGCTATCCTGATACAGACATTCCAAGCGCCTTTTCCAGTTATATCCATGTACCCTAGGGCGCCCGAATAGATACCTCGATCTCTTTTTTCAAGTCCATGCAGGATCTCACAGGACCGCTTCTTTGGCGCGCCGGTCATGCTGCCAGGTGGCAGTGTACACGCAAGTGCTTTGATGCCATATTTGGTCATCTCCTTGCTCGCCTTGTCTGACTCAGGCATAAAATCCGCGCTCAAAGGGGCGTGTGCACGGATGTGGGAAACCATCGTGAAGACAGTTTCGGTTTCAATAACATCGCAGAGTTTGATAACTTCAACTAGCGCATCCCGTCCGACAGTAGAATACAGGTCGTGTCGGATTAAATCCGCAATCATGAGGTTTTCGGCTGATTCTTTTGCCGAAGCCAGAATAGCAGTGGCTTTCTCTAGCGTCATCTCCGGACTTTTCCTTACAGTCCCCTTCATTGGTACCATGTCAATGCTACGGTCGGTGTTCCAAGACAGGAATTGCTCAGGAGACGAGCCGAGAATAGTGGTCTTGTTGAGGCGGACGAAGGCAGCGAAAGGAACAGGGTTATGGCGTTGAATGTTCTTGTAAAGAAGCCATGAGTGGTGAAGTCCCGTGTTAGTCAACACGTCAGCCTCGGTTGTGAGACACAACTCGTAGGAATTACCAGCAAGTAGCTGGGATTGACATTCGCGGATTTGTGAGATATATTTGTCATGGTCTGGAAGTGATAACTTTGCGGATCTCTGAATTTGAAGAAGCTTTTCGGTTTCGGCATAATCGTCTTTGATGGGCCCAAGGCGTTCTAGGTCACAAAGTTTAGTCGCTATATCTTGAAGCCAGATTCCATCGTCCTCTCGCATCGATTGGACGTATGCTGTCCCCGTGTAATTGTCAAAGACAATGCTGCGATCGATCCATGCGAGGCTGATCTCCGGGGTTGATGTGGAAGCTTCACCATTTGCAGGCATATTCAAATTCATTGACGCTGTGCCAAACTCGTACGAGAAATAACCCATCAAGCCAGCCCGAAAAGGTAAATCTAAATCATCCACATTGGAGGCCTTGCTTGACATGAGCTTCTCGAGGCTCTCAACCATTTCGGACCTCTTCAGCGAGATCTTTTCAATAATTTCGGAATCTTGTGTCACTGTACAGTAGCCACCTGCGTACTCGATTTGAAAGCTATACTTGTCCGGGAAGGCATATATGCTGTACCTGCCTTTTCGAGTGGACTCTAGCATAACCACATTGTTTGGTGGGGCATCCTCGTAACACATTGCCGCAATGCGGTCGCTGCCCGCTTGTATCGGCATCTTGCTGGTGTTCGGTGTTGAACCACAGTGGTTGGTAAGCTCAGCCAGTTTATTTTGTAGCTTCAACACCCTTTCCCTGGACGTGTTTGCAGTAACGATCGAGGCTGCCGAAAATGTGTTTGGGAATTCATGTGTTGAAATGGATCGGGACAGAGAGTTGTGCGCCTGTGCAGCTTCCCACCATTGGACCAAGAGCTTCGTACAAGACGAATTTGATTTGCAAGATTCTGGGTGAAATTGGAAGCCATGAAATGGATGGACCTTGTGTTTGACAGCCATCAACCAATCCTCAGCATCCCATGCAAGCACCAGAAGATCATCCTTAGCCCCGCATTGCTGGTCTGCTAAGAACGGTCTGGAGGTACAGGATGGAAAGGAGCGGACACTGGGAGAGGAACAGAGGCTGGACACAGAGCCCGAGGAATTTGTGCGACTGAAAGCACGGTCTGGGACAAGTTCTCTCAGGCGAAAGCCAAGGCTGTTGTAATTTGTGGCAACAACTTCTCCAGTGTTCTCAAAGATGTCCTGATCCAGATGGAAGATCCGTTTCGCATGGCCATGACAAGGAAGGTCCATGCGAATGATTGGAAGCCCATATCGAACACCTAGGCTTTGGAAGCCGAGACAGATACCGAGTACTGGGACTGACTCCACAGCGGCGATCTCCCAGACCTCGTTGAAGAGGCCAACGTCGGAAGCATTCTTAGGGTTACCGGGGCCAGGCCCCAGTACTACCGCATCGAAATTAGACAGAAACTGTGCAAGATGCTGGCCGAATCGAGCCTGGACATCGCAGTCAATGGGAATCAACGTGACCGCCACACTCAGCTCATGATGAAGAATTGCAGCAATGTTCTCCGCGAAAGAATCATAGGCATCGACAAAAAGGATAGATCCCTGCTGATTCATCGAGAGACAGAGGGAAAAGGTAAGATTTTAGAAAATGTGAACTCATACAAGATTGAGCTCTGAGAGGATCTCTAGGTTGATAGAAAAGGAAAGCTAGGAATACGAATGGATAAGGGCGATATAGGAAGGTTAGGTATAACAAAGAGCAGCAGCAGAGGAATCAAACACTTACCACATGACTCAAATTTGAAGGCAACGAGAACTTCAAGAACAAACCCGACCTTGAGGAAGGAGCCTCCCGGAGCACACTGCAGTGGCAGTGACTGTGAGGTTTGAACACGAGGCAAACCGGAAACATTTTTCAAAAAGCGGCAAGACTTCCCCTTTTTCTCACAGCATTTTTGCCAAGACTATCACGTGGAAGGCACGTGCCATCACTTCCCTTGGGATTCCCGTCGTTTGCCTCTAAAACATTCATCCCTGGCAATCATTCCATGGGACGGCGCTTTGAGACTTCCGTCGGTAACATGTGCCCTTGAGAGAATCGAGTACTGGTCAAAGGTTGCCGGTCAACTCCAAGATGAGAGATAGTCTCGGCTATTCAGAAATTTCCGACATCAACAGCAATGACCGATTCCAAGGATGATCAAACCGACAAGGCTCACCACGATCCGCAATGGATTTCCTGGAATGGGGGATTTCTACATTCCAATAATGGTGGGTTCTCAAACTTGCTGGTTTGTGTTTGTCTAACTCACAATAGTCCTCTTCTATTTTGCAACCTCTCCTTTCTTCGACCAGGTCTCTGGTAATCAGTCACTACTAACACAGTGGGTGGGTACTCCCAATCAGAATGATATACTGGGGACGCGCCAGAAGTTCGAATCTCATCTTCGTCATCAACGCGGGACTCAGTATGTTGTGGAGCACGATCCTCTTGAAGCTAAGGTCTTCATAGATGGAGCAAACGGACGTGAGCCGTCCAACGTATGGGTTATCCGCAAGCAGCATCGAGAGAATGAAAGTGATAGCGGGGTGACGCCACTTGGATACTACTACATCGTCAATGATGTGATATATCAAGCCCCTCCAATTGCAAGCGTGCTTGATTACCGGATGCTGAACACCGTGTCGGCATTATCCAAAGTCTTTTCGACTTCGTCAGATCTTTCGATTTTCTCCGTGTCTCATGGCCACACATATCACAAACCTGTACAGAAGTCAACAACACATGCACCATCTTCAACTTCTCAGCAGAGCAAAGATGACACGCTTGTATCAGCAACTCAAAGCTCGACGGGTGATAAATCTGCTACGACCTTGTCACAGCCTCAACCATCAGATGATTTTGATAGCAGTGCTCGAACACTCCGGGAGGCACTGCGAATGACTTTACAGTATGGCAAAGAATACATGGACGATGTGCCGTTGGTGGGCGAGCCTGGGAACTTTCGGTGGACTAAGGCCAGAGATGGGTCGAACAGCCAATCTAAGAGCCAGACGTCGGGTGCAGTTTCAGTCCCACCAGGGCAGTCTCGAGCGCCCTCAGCTGCTCCAACAACTACTGCTGTTGTTCCTAGTACTGTGAACGCTTCCAAGGATGCAATGGGTGGCGACAAGAAGGGAGGCTCTTCTAATCGTGTCAAGCCGAAGAGGAGAAAGAGCAAGGCAGGCGATGTTAGCCCTTGAGAGTTCTTAGTACCTAGAGCAATAAACAGATTGATATACGAGTCACGAATCTAGTGCGCAAAATGATCAGGTCCAGTACTATGTGCAGTCACCTGAAGTAGGTACCTAGGTAGATATGGTGCTGATATTGAGTGTCCTCTGCTATTTCAGGCTCAGGCTGGGATTTGGAGGGCAAGGCTACCACGACTAGTGACTTACCGGGCCTAGCGCCTAAGGGGACAAGTGGCAGGCGCAACTCGCGGTGAAGATACAGGCAAGCGCTAGCCGAGGGGCGGAAAGGCAGCAACGGCGCGCAGGCAGTTGTGAAGCCTTCGTCATTCAATTCCACCATCAATTCCATTGATTTCCTCCTCCGTTCGCATTTCAATTCGTCCACTTTCTCACCAAATTCTTCATATCCTTTCACATCCATCAACCCATTTGTGTATTGCGTTCTTCTAGATAACCCCTCACACTCTCCATTTCCCTTGTTCCGGAACAACAAACCTTGGTTCTTCCCCGTTCTTCGGTGTGCGTAGTGGGGCAAGATGAAGCTCTCATTTAGAGTCAGTATTCCCTTTCACCGCGCGACTCCTATGTCATACTTACTCTCATCATAGGATCTCAAGCAACAGAAATTCACAATTGAAGCCGAGCCTACGGACACGGTATGATCCATCTTGTCAGAATACAATTAGGGGTTTATTGACATCTTGCGCGGTCCAGATTGCTACTGTCAAAGAAAAGGTTGCCGCCGAGAAAGGATGGGAGGTCGCTCAACAGAAACTCATCTACTCTGGTTAGTTATTTCCATACCGATCATTGGTCCCGTATGCTCCTCCTAACCACATAACTAGGCAAGGTCCTCGCTGACGCCAACACTGTCGAATCCTACAAGATTGAAGAGAAGGGTTTCATCGTATGCATGGTCAGCAAGGCAAGTCTGCTCCTCACATCTTTGCCCTTGGTCTATCTCTTCTAACGCCTTCCAGCCCAAGGCAGCACCAGCAGCAAAAGCAGGAGGCCCATCCACCCCTGCTCCCTCAGGAACGACATCGACTCCAGCACCACCTGCAGCCCCTCAGCCCAATCCTCCATCTGCGCCATCTGCACCCGTACAACCCTCAACCCCTACTCCCGCTCAAGCCCCTGCAGCCTCGACCGGTGCCGACCCCGCAACATCAGGTTTCAATGATCCTTCGGCCTTCCTTGTTGGAAATCGCAATGAGTCCACCGTACGCGAGATGGAAGCCATGGGCTTTGCAAGACCCGAGATCGACCGTGCCCTGCGCGCTGCTTACTTCAATCCCGATCGTGCCATTGAGTATCTTTTGAGTGGTATCCCAGAGAACATCCAGGCCGAACAGAGAGAGCGACAGCAACAACAGCAACAGGCTGCTCAACCTGGTGCTCAAGCCGCTGTTGGTTCTCCTCCACCCGCTCAGGCCGCTCAACCTGCAAGTGACGAACCTATCAACCTGTTCGAAGCCGCCGCCCAAGCCGGCCAGCAAGGTCGAGGAGGTGGCGGTGCTAGAGGCGGTGGCCCTGGTGGTCCAGGAGCCGGCAACCCGCAGAATATGGATTTTCTTCGACAGAGTCCTCATTTCCAGCAACTTCGTCAGCTTGTCCAACAACAACCTGCCATGCTTGAACCAATCCTCCAACAAGTTGCTGAAGGCAACCCACAACTTGCCCAGATCATTGGTCAAAATCAGGAGCAATTCTTGCAGCTACTGGCTGAGGTTAGTTCTCCTTCTGGTTCCTTCTTTCCAAAAGCACACCAACTAACATGGTTCTCAGGATATTGGTGGGGCCGACGCAATTGGCGGAATGGGTGACAGTGGCCCCTTACCTCCTGGTGCAACTCCGATCAGTGTTACCGACGAGGAGCGTGATGCGATTGAACGTCTTTGCCGACTTGGATTTTCCCGTGACCAGGTCATCCAGGCATATTTCGCATGTGACAAGAACGAAGAACTTGCCGCCAACTTCTTATTCGAACAACCTGATGACGATGAGCAATGAACGCGCGCTACGGCCTTCTATGGCTTCGATGCATTGATTGGGATTCGGCAAGAAGGGATTTTCCGACTTTGGGCTGGCAGCGGAACAACTGGCCTGACAATCTATTTTGATTCCTGTTTGTTGTCTCCTCCGCTGTGGCCCACAACAAGGAACACTCACGAGAGTCCAGATTCATGCAAAATTTATGACGTCCAGAGACAACAGTTGAGGTGCATCTGCCGGGCAGCATCTCGCTCACAGGAGACTTGGTCCGATTGAAGCGTTATTCTGCAGAAAAACGGACACGAAGGAGAGACTACCGGACGGGTATTTCACTCCCACCAGAAGATTCATAGCAATGACCATGAGGCAAGATGCCATCTTTTCGTTCTCGAAACACAAACCAAGACGAGCAATACTGAGGTACTTTTCATATTGCTTGGCAGAAAAGGGATTGGAATCATTAGGTAGTAGCTTTCGAAATCAGGTGCTTCGACACCGGTAATCCACAAGCAAGTCGAACCACTCCACAAAATTCGCTTCTGCCGCAATATTTTATTGGCTTACTCCTCTCTTCGCTAACAAATCCATCTAACTCGTGCTCATGCGTTCTGTTTACCATATGCCAGACCAGTACTCATGAGCCAGGTACTGACGTCTCCCGCGTGGAAGGCACAACATGAGTTGTAACATCACCATCACCGCTCTGACTCGGAGAAGACGAACTTGCCGTCGATTGTGCTATCTTATCCTGACCACCAGCTTCGCGCTCGATGACCACTCCATCCTGCACATAGACGACCTCATGCGCACCGCAAGCTTGATGGACAGCCCAAACGCCCAGGCCTCTGCGCCCAATGACCCGCGCAAGCGTGTTTCTCACCCCGTCGTCCCCAAAATCCATGTCGTCAAGGTTGACGTGTTGTCTGAACGTGGCGATGTTGTGCATGTTCAGCTGTGCAGGTGGCTGGTTGAAGGTCACGGAGAAGCTGAAGTCGGACACGGGCGGGTAGGTGTCGTGGAGTCGCCAGGCTGACAGAGGTGCAACGACGTAGACGTCTGTTGGCTCGTAGTGTGTGGTGAGGCGTTCAATGAGGCTTGGGTCGCAAGTCGGCATGTGTTGCATCAGCATGAAGACGAGTTCCTGTTGTGGGTAGCCCATGAGCGGGACGGTCGAAATGTTGAGTGTTTGGTTTGTGATGGGATGTGATATCGTGGGGCCCAGAAGGAAGTTCGGGGGTGGATAGGTTTTCCACCAGAAGACCTCGATGTTGTGGGCCTCGGAGGAGGTTGAATTGATTGATTCGACGATGAGAGATGGAATGGCAAGTTGGGCAGGGATAACACCTCCTTGATGGTAGACGCCCATGATCACAGCGAGGATGACATTGAAAATCCCCCAGCTTATCCAGAATACTCGATTCCAAATTCTTGTAGTTGGTACCCGTATACAACTCAGCAGGAGAGGGACCGTAGGAAGCAAGAAACGTGGTTCCTGGTGAGGAATGATGCTTAGGAGAAGAGTTCCAGATGCAGCAGATGCCAATCGTGCATTACTCAGCATGGTTTTTAGGATGCGAAGGTTGAAGGGGTATGCGGAAAAGACAAGGACGATCAAGGCTGGCCCAAGAAGCTGTGGTAGGTTGACGAAGAGATGTTGGTGATGCGGATGAAGGCCATGTTGGGCTAGATTGCCAGTCTGGCTATTGTACAGGAGATTATTGAGTGGTGTGATTACAGGAGCATTGCGGACGTGTTCGTACAAGGCTCGGAAAGACTTGGTAGCTGCCGGACCAGAATAATAAGCTGTATCAAGGGCGATGGCGAACGATGTCCAGAAAATCCCGGAGATTATGACCGTGAGAAGGCAAAAAGGTCAAAAGAACCGTCAGTTATGGCTACCAATGGTCCGAGAATTCCAGACTCACCTATTCAAGAAGTGTGGCAACAGCTGGATGCCGGGTATCACAACGAAGGCTGGAAAAGTGATGCGATTAAAAGAACCGGAAACAAGAAGAAAACCGAGTACAAAGCTGGCCGCAATGGCAGATCGTTTCTGTCTATCATCAGCATTCATGTCAGGAAGTGATAACGATGTTGGACTGACATTCTCGCCAACGATCCGCTCTATGACAACCAGACTCCATAAAACGAGAAGAGTCTCTACAGAATTGGAAAACGTATGGGTTTGAAAAGTCCAGGTGACATATGATGATGTTACCAGGAGTACGGCATGTCGTCGGTTCCTCGGGGATCGGACGAGATCATGAACGGCCCAGTCCTCGAGTACGAAACTCAGGACGAACATGACCAGGCGAAGCGTATAGTAGATGACAGCAGGGTCGACCAGACCATCTTCATCCTGGGCCCATATCCACTTCAACAAAGTCATGGGCAATCCATAGATTGGCCATAAAGGAAAGACGCTGCGGATGGGTTGGGAGGATGTCCATTCCCATGTCTGATGGCTCGGATAAGGAAAGATAGTGCCTGAGAATGTCAGTGCTCGGCATGTATATGAAGGGTGGCATAGGTGGACCTACCAGCTATTGGTTCAGGACCTTGAAAGATTTCATCGGGATGCAGATAACTCGGACAAAGTGCCAGATAGACACGAACAAACAGCAGACATAGATAGATCAATCGCCACATGCTTGTTGGCAGTCACCGTGCAGGATACGGTTCATGGTCTTTCATTGTCCTGGAGATAGGCAGGGTGATATCGATCAGACTCATTTCCAGAATGCGCATGAGCCTTGGTCAGTGGTGATAGTGGTGGTGGTGGATGGATGCGGAGAGGCTGAGCGCGTCGCGAATCTACACGGAAACGCGTGTTGTGTTTGTCTTTTTCAAGACGAAGTCTTGCACAGGAGAAGGGAGAAGATGCACAAAAATTCAAGGCTGAATACGCCCAAAAAAGTACTGTAATCCTCGCCTAGATCAGAGTTACAAACAAGCATCAAGTGCCAGTTCTCAGCGATGCGATTGTGAGAGAGATTAATTTGTCCCCTGGTTGGATTTAGTGTCATCCGCATGCAATTAATGAATATCCGCATCCGTATCCGCATGCGAACACTTGTCCCGTCCATCTCGGTCCCACTTTCCTTGGTTCTTTGGTGACGTCACTTGGGAACAGAATCACGTGAACTACCGGGCTGACATTGCTAGTAATAGTGTCTGTACTCGCGTGGAGTGTGGCCTGCACAGGCGATTGAGGGAAGTCTGGTGATCATGATTGATAGATTTCTCATAGAAAACTGCTTTGCAGAGCGCGTTAGATCCGATGATCAATTTAATATGACTTCTCGTGATGACTTTGGAAGACATGAGCGACAAAGACAAAGGTTCAATGCCATAGTGCCCGCCTGACACATGAAGCACACATAGACTGTCCCCGAACTACTTTCTCTATCGTATTCTACCAGTAGTTCGCAGCATGATTGATTGCTTTGCTCCAACGACAACTCTGTCTCTTCATCAAAGTGACAGCCTGACCAGAACAAGCTAGAAGTGGCCAACCAGACACTAGTGGAAGGCGCAAGGCTCCAGTCGGCTTTCCTGCCAGTTTGAGAGTGACAAGCCTCCTCCCACCTCTCAGTCATCCAAGGTGAAGAGACCGAACTCAATCAGATTCAAGTTGTCGCCATTATTGATCAGCATCATTGCAGTGACTTGCTGCCTACAAACTCCCACTTTGACTCTTCATATACCTGCCTCGTATAATCACGCCTGCTACTTTCCAATCGTCCCTGATCGATCCGTTCTCACCTTCTCATACTGTATGATCCTCATCTTCTTTGCGCATATCCCATCAAAGTATCTTTCCCTCTGGACCAACTGACCAAACCTCGTTCCAGTCTCATTGTCAACAAATTACCATCCTGGGATTTAGAACATCAGTCCATTGATCATGTCGAAATCCAACCTCACTCTTCAGAGTTCTGATGGCGAGGACATCGTCGTTGGTATGTCTCACTGCTGTCCCCACTTTCCATTCCGCGTTGCTAATGCCTTGAACAGAGCGTGAGGTCGCAGAGCGATCAATCCTCATCAAGAACATGGTTAGCGATCTTGGAGAAGAGGCCATGGACGAGGCCATTCCAATTCCCAATGTCAATGCCGCTGTCCTGAAGAAAGTCATCGAATGGTGCACCCATCACAAGCATGACCCACCCTCCACCAATGAAGACGACTCGGACTCAAGGAAGAAGACCACGGACATTGAGGAATGGGATCAGAAATTCATGCAAGTAGACCAAGAAATGCTTTTCGAAATCATCCTTGCTGCCAACTACCTCGATATCAAGGCCCTACTTGATGTCGGTTGCAAGACCGTCGCAAACATGATCAAGGGCAAGTCACCAGAAGAAATTCGCAAAACCTTCAACATTCAAAATGATTTCACTCCCGAGGAGGAAGATCAAATTCGTCGCGAGAACGAGTGGGCCGAGGAGTAAGTCGTTGCACCTGGAATCATGCATCACTCCTAACTCGAAACAGTCGATGAAAGCACTATTTTCTATGACAATCAAATCCTTGCACAGCACATCAGAAGGCGTTCAGGGAGGGTATGATGGATTTCTATGACTGGGAATGGAAATGATGGATCCGGCCTCATGATGACTTTTGCTTCCCTTCCTCGCTGTTGCTTGCAATTGAGCGCCACAGCGCACATACCTCATCATTAACGACGAACATGGAAGTGAACGCGAGCATCAAGGATATTCTTGATAGCCAATAAGCCCGAGATGTGCAGATCCATCCGTTTAGCTGGGACAGCTTCGGTCGCTGCATTCCATAGAACGTAGCACCAAAACGAAGTCATTATTGAGAGCACTCTTCGTCCTCACAGACGTGTCAATTTACCCCTTCGACTATGGAATACAGAGCACGGCAAATGAGAAGTCATGAGTTTTGCAATTTTGATTCATTTAGAAAGTTCCGAGTGAACATGGTTGTTCCTCCAGCACCAGGTTGATATCACGACCATCGAGACCCCCCTGGCCTCAATGAAACCCTTCCGCCACCGACGAATCTGACGCAGTACTGCTTTAAAATTCTGATTTCAAGTCTGGTCCACCTCACTGTGCCACACAGGACGAAGAAACTTCAATCATCTCGTGCATCAGTCGACTCCCGACCCTCCATCTTCTAATGAACCATTAACCCGTGCCAGATGTTCTGATCGAGGACATGGATGACACTCTCGGTCAGAGTGAGAGGAACAACACGGTGGTGCGGCATGGTGTGGGAGGAGTTATGTGGGCGAGTCATCTAGATTCCGATTCTGGTCTTGCGCCAATGTCTCCGCTTGGCGTTGTATCTGTTCAGTGGGACAGTATGTCAGTTTTAATGCATGTATGGAATTTGTGGCGTAGGGGGGTAACAAGTGTTGAAAGTTGATCCCAATGCTTCTGTGGTTCCCATAGCCATGACAAGAGTGTTGCATGATTTGGACTCGCTGGTGGCACGTCCAATTCAAATCCAACTCAATGGCCGTTCACAGCCTCCCTCTTCACATCACCTTCTTCAACACGGCAAGTCGTCCTTCCGCGGCATTGGGACCCCAAGAAGCATTTGAGAGTGGGCATGTGAACGGAGATGAGGGGGATCGGTGCTGACCTGATGGTATTTCCAGTTCTCAATCGAATCCACTGAGGGATGGGTCGGTTCTGCTTCTGCGCCTTCGCGAGCTTGACCTTCGTGCGGAATGACTTGTGGCTCTGTATGTCGTGCAAAAGAGTTTGTCAGTCAATGTGTTCCCAAGGATTCCTAGTCACACATCTCTCGTCGTCCCACTTCCACCATGAAATATCGGACGTTGGGTGATTTAAATCCCATTTTTTCGGGTTCCCCCCCACCCACATCTTCACATCCTCCATCTCCTTTTTATTTCCGGTCTATCGAGGAACATGCGTAAAGGAGATTGAACCTACCGGCATCTTGAAAGGTTGTCGAGCGACAGCGATATGTGAGAATGGTTGGTGTTGTTGGTGGATGTCCGACAGAAAATCAGTCGGGTTCCCTTTGAAGCCTGCGGTTGCAAAGCCCTAGCGAACGTGTGGGCTTGGCATGCCAAGATTTGAGACGGACTTGGTCACGTGTGATGCGTCAATGGGGCTCGGTTATTCGAGGGGCAGAGGGCAGAGTCTCCAACGCCGGGAAACCGCCGCCGTAGGTGAAGAGAAAGGCCCGAGGCAAGACTCTCGCGGCTTGCCCCGGGCTTCGAAGCTGGTGGCATGGCCAGGGCCGATCGCGGGCTGCATCTGTTCGATTGTTTCTCGGAGATCTCGTTTCGTCAATCCAGGTTGGAGTTTCTTCGAATACTATTTTTCTGCTCATAGCTATTCCCTTGAGATCCAGTCTGTCGCTACAATCTTATTCCTAAGGCCTAGCGTGTCGACAATCCTTGGAGGCATCACAACGACTTGGTGCAAGCATACAACGGCAAATCGTCATATACTACGGACCCGAGTCCACGATGTCATCGAAGTTGAGGATTCTGGTCCCCGTCAAGAGGGTTATTGACTACGCTGTGCGTCCCATTACCTTTGCCCGTACCCTTATACCATGGATGTATTCGTATTGTGCATACTAACATAAGCTCCGTATCCACAGGTCAAACCACGAGTCAAGTCCGACCGCAGCGGGATTGAGACGTCGAACGTGAAACACTCACTCAACCCATTCGACGAGCTCTCGATCGAAGAAGCAGTGCGCCTGCGCGAGCGGAAGCAGCCCGTCGAGGAGATCGTGGCCGTGAGCGCGGGACCCGCCAAATGTGCCGACACATTACGGACGGCGATGGCCATGGGGGCGGACCGGTCGATCCACGTCGACGTGCCGGAGGACAAAGCACTCGAACCGCTGGGCGTGGCAAAGCTGCTGAAAGCGATCGCGGAGAAAGAGAACTCGAACCTCATCATCCTGGGAAAGCAGGCGATCGACGACGACGCCGGCCAGACGGGCCAGATGCTCGCCGGTCTGCTGAATTGGCCGCAGGCCACGCAGGCGAGTAAAGTCGAGATCAAAGACCAGGAAGTCACGGTGGAGAGGGAGGTCGACGGCGGCGTCGAGACGCTCAAGGCGAAGCTCCCCATGATCATCACCACCGATCTGAGATTGAACGAGCCCCGCTACGCCAGCTTGCCGAACATCATGAAGGCCAAGAAGAAGAAGCTGGAGAAGAAGACACTCGCGGACTATGGCATCGATGGCTCACACAGGCTGAAGACGGTCAAGGTTGAGGAGCCTCCTGTGCGACAGGGTGGTGGCAAGGTCGATGATGTTGATGGCATGATCGCGAAATTGAAGGAATTGGGAGCCATCTAAATCGTGCGACAAACATCATATGGCTGCGCGAGAGGGATAGAAAAAAGAATTTCCCGATGTAAATGATCATCTTCTGTGCGGCGTTGGCGACTTGCTGTGCTGTTATGTAGAAGATTTGGAGGGTTCACTCTTCCTATACACGGGTCACCAGGAACAAACAAAATACATCCATGCATTGCTATGAAAACGCCAGTTTGTGTGCGGGATAGATTGCGGATTTCATGAACAAAAGCAGCAAAGTCTTGAGGATGCTGAATTTCGTCTCAATCGAGTTGTATTGAGTTCAAGCTAAGGAAGATCTATGGACAACGCTCAATGAGAGGATGTCCTCTGTTGAAATGATCTCCTAGGGATTTACAGGTGGCCTGGAGTAGAAGAATCGCAATCCTCACTCGTTCCATTTCTGTCTACCTGTTATAACGCCGACGCTATGCCCATGCTCATGCCAGCCCAGAAATAAGGGGAAGGCGTCCATCTTAGTCTCCACTCCAGCACTCCACCATCACCAATCCTATGATCCATTAAGCCATATCAACATGACATGACAGCGGCTGTGGCATGCTTGTCTGTGTGAAGTTCGTTTGTTTGGGGAAATTAACAACTCTTGTTGCTGTTTGTATGGTCGTGACATGAGGAATGTAAAATGTGTTGAATCTTCCGATTCTCTAGACTGTGCCAGCGATGGTCAGATCTCGAATCTCAGAAAGGACCTGTTCAACCCGATTGTCTAGATCACCTCGAGCGTACTGCTCTCTGGTGTCTGCATCGAGATATTGTTGAACTTGGGCCATTCGGCTATATGCTTCTGCACAAAATCTAAGTTGGATCTTGACAAGTGCTTCGAAAGATGGGTCGAGGTAAGGGACGCGGAGATCGATGAGTTGAGGGAGTTCGGTAAAGAGTTGTTCGTTGAGTTGTTCGTATGCTTGTTTCGCCATTTCGGCTTCACGCTCTGCACGGGGTAGTTTTGTCACATCCTTGTCGGGCTTTTCCACCAGTTTCTTGACCTTGGATCGCATTGAATCGTAATCAAGGAGTTTGTTGTTGCGTTTCTTGATACATTCATTGATATCGGGAAAATATGCGCAGAAGCGGGAGATCGGTTCGAGAACAGTGGCACTATCGGTACAATGTCAGCATTCGTGATTCTCGTAGTCAATTCTCCATCACCAGACGGCGGATTTACCGGTATGGACCATCAAGAGCCTTGATTGTTTCGGCGTCCAAGTCTTCGACGGCCTGCTTGTAAGACCTTGATACCCCATCTCTTGTACCAGCGTCGCCGTAAAATGCGTCGATTGTCTCCGCTATCCGCATTTGTGATGCTGTCATGGCTGTAGGTACTGGTCAGTCTGAGATCGATTGCAATTTGAGCTCAGATCTCTCCCACCTCTCAGACTATCGAGATAACCCTTCGCTTCCTTTTGCAGCTTGTTCGCTGCCGACTCCATTGTTCTGTACCTCCTGCGAAACGATTAGCCCTTTCGACTGATGAAATGGTGAGGGTAATCTAACCTCTCCTCCACTTCGTAGTCTCGATCGTTGGTCCTCTCGACATGACCTGATGAAACTGAATTAGCCAGGCTGCTGGAGAAGACAGACTCATGGTTAGGTACCCGTCTTCATCATCACCTGCGTCGTTGCGCGGTTCACGTTCTTCTTGAAGCCTGCCCACGACATCTTGGTGGTGTAGATAGTGTCTGTATGCGCTTGCAATGCGATCGTTGTAGTCGTGAGGTGACTCGTTGGTATCTGGGCCTTGGTGGACGATGTCGAGGACGAGAAAGAGGCATGGAAGGAACGGGCGGGTGTTCCACGTAGTGGTCAAGAGCATGCACCGCCACGCCGCTTGGACGTGCACGTGCCAAGGATTCATTGATGACGACGTTGGGCGACGGAAAATCATTACTCCGACGCAAACGGTGATGAATTTATAGAAACGGCGTCCGCCGCCGAGCCTTCACCATCACCCAACAGTGAAGTGGTGGCGTTTGACATACAATGCCCGCTTCACTCAACAGGCATTTCTACGTGAAATACTAGTACCGGTACCATTGACACCAGAGGTCGACGTACATTCATCGCTCGTTGATCAATCACAAATTTCTAATTGCTTTATTGAGTATATATGTGACAACGATCTGACTTGAAGATCATTGTCGTTAAAAAGAGTGCGAGTTTGGCAACCATCAGATTGGTATCATTGATCAAGAGCTCGTCTGGGCCAGGTACACTCATGAACTGACTCTAGTAGACACCCTCATTCAATTTATGCTAGATCCGGCCCTTGGCCTCCAGAGAGCTTGGGCTTGAAGCTGTACGCCGTTCGCGTTACTTCCAACAGCCATCGTATTACTAGTTGTGTGGCCACCCAGAGGATGCTTGGGAATCTGCCTCGGTGACTTTCTAATGCAAAATCTGTCATTTTTACCTGGTATCGATGGTGATGGAAATGAAAATTGTTGAGAACAATCCCCTCTTCGCGTAAATCGTTGGTACAGCAGTAGCAGTGGCTTTCACACAGCCTATGACAAACTCTAGGATGGCGATATAAAGGAATGGATAAGAGACCGTGTGGACTCATTGTGGCATCGGGAAAGTGCTGTAAGATTTTGGTAGGTGTGCGATTGAGTGTTACTGAGTTCCTAAATCCCGATCATTGCCGTACCAGAGCTCACTTTGCGCCATTCTGACAATAGTGGTCTTTACCGAGAAGAAATAAATGGTATGCAGGTCATACGTAGTCGGTCTGGGATATCTCATATCTCGAATCGGCCAGGCCAATGACTTCAAAAACGATCTGTTGGCGAAGAGAATGTCCCCCTAAGCCGTCGAATATCAAGTACCAAAAATGCCTCATAGAATGAGACTATCGAATAGACTTGGGATCTGAAGTTGAGGTTTGCGCGTCCATTTCAGATCGAGTCGATCATCAGCATGGATATTGTTATCAGCACCTACCTGTTGGTTGTAGTCCTTGGCTGAACAACGCATTCGGACCATCAATACCCTTTCCCTGTTGGTTGAGATATCAGACGGTAATTTCAAAGTCCACTGGTATCACTGTAGTGGCCCTGTAACAAGGAAATCCACATTCTTTATCACCGATATCAAGCTGTAGAGTACAGGAGTATACTCACCGCAATGCATGTTCGCGTATCATAGCGAGCGCTCCACCCGGACGTGATTCAGCCACATTGTCAAATAACCGGCACTAGCGTTCGAGAGTCCAACGACCAACAAAGATGACGATTCCAAGCTCAAAGATATGATCTGCTCGTGCTTAAATGACTGGTTGTATTGTGAGTCGAGAGTTGAGAGCGGCTGTTATTTTGAGCGTGCTGCAGGACCCATCACCAGCGGTACAACCATCCAGTTGCGGACTGGGGTGGAGGAGCCCTACGCTGGTCACCAGAGAAAATCCGCCAGCTCGTCCATGCAGAACAACATTTGAGATTGCTTGGCGACGCTCGGAACGAACACCACCCCTGGCAGGCTGGGACAATTCGGGTGTGCAAGGCACTATCCAAGACGGGTACGCACTTTTGTTCTATCATCAAAGAAATCTTTTGGTTGAAGCATTTTGAGCCGGGCCGCCGGCACCATGACATGAGACCCAATATGGCTAGCTGAAGAAATGAGTAGTTGGGTAGTAGACCTTACCCCATCGATCAAGGTGCAGTGTTATCCATTATTCCATCTGAAATGCGGAGGCGGCTACTCCCCTCTGACGAAATGCCGAGGGTTGTGACGAAGCCAGTCTCATGAGCCTAGAGTAGCTGTTGATGGTGGTGAGACCTGTGAAAGAGCCGAAAAGGATGAAACCATTCCTTCGGCGGAGGCTGGATATGCTTGCCTATGACCAAGCATCCTGTAAAGCTTGATTCCGCCACTTCCTTGTTCGTGCGATGAAGACTGACCATGGTCCCTCCATGAGTGCACAGTAAGACAAGATTACAATCAGTACCTAGGAGTAATGCCGTGACCGTTATTGTTGGAGGAGCGAGGAGCACAGCACATGTCATGAAGAGCGAAGATACCCAAGCCAGGGCACACGTGGAGTGGAGGGAGAGAACGGCCAGCGCATTATAGTGGTCCAATCCAGGAGGAGCTCGACTTCAGTTGTGGACTTGGCTCTGCACACCTTTCCTACGCACGGGCACGAGCGGTGTAGACAAGGAGTGGGAGGCAAAGAACGATGGGTAGAAATGATTCGGATGGACGATGGGAGCGTTTCAGTTTACCCAGGAACAAAACAGGAAAGACGTGGGCATGGGTTGCAATTGAAGTTCAGCATCAAGCTGCAAACACCTCACCTCACACAGGCGAGCGAGCACGCGCACGAGCACGAGCACGAGTACGAGCGAGCACGAACATGACGGACGGCTGCGTGCATCTGATACCATGAGCGTTAAACTTAGAATGGGCGATCCTAGTGGTTTGGGAGCCGCTGCCATTGGAGGAGCGTGTCGTCTGAGGTCCCAATGTAGTCGATTTCGAGATGCTATTTCGCACGACTTGGATATCTCGCCTGGAGTAAAGGGAAGTAAGTTCAAGGATGTGGTCGAGTGCATACCAAGCCGTCATCTTGCCTGCAGGTCAGAGAGACAGCGCGTCCTGCACTGCTGCAGTCTAACCACCGAGCCAGTCACCGGCCTACCTCGGATGCAAGTTCAATTTGGTGTTTGATTCTTTGAGCAGTTTTGTTTCTCGAGGCGGGGGGTTCACGACCGAGCGATGTTCTGGCCCAGTACGGGTCAAGTAGAATTCGAGTTACGACATGCTGTTACTCGATTGAAACTGACTCCACGCTGGTGACTCCACGCTTGGAGGGCTCATCCAGAAAACCAAGATCGAGTCGGAAGTCAGAGATGATTGCAAAGCCAGTGCCAACGGAGCGAACGAGCGAGTACTCGCAGGTAGAATAAGTGAGAATACAATCTATACCTGTTCTGAATTCTTTCCAGCCGGCTTGCTCACCAAGAACTGTGGTCTTCTCGTATATCTGTTGTTATCAAGAGGCATCTCCATCCGACACGGTGCATTCTGTCAATCCCTAAATTGTCATAGGCAGGTTGACTATCCGCAAAGGCGACCGTGGTCCGTGGTTCGTGGCGTCGACCTGCCCAGTGCCCCTCAAGCCAAACTTCACCAAAAACCTTGAACTCTGTCGACCGCCCGAGGCACACGGGCAGTTCGGGCAGGTCGGGCTGCCCACAGGCTAAACTTACAGCCAAAGCCCACCACTGCACCTGAAGGGCAAGCTTAAGCCTGAGTCCTCCGAAATCCGTGCGTGTCCCTCCGGGCTCGCTCGCCCTCGTGCTCTCCGTCATATTCACCCACGTTGGCAGGCACTTTACCTTTCAGACCTACGTTGCTCAGCGGTGACCGTGGAACCCGGGAGTTGACCCGGAAGGGACCCCATTTCTGCTGATACATGCTACAAACACAATCTGTAATTTACTCACCTTCACGTTCATCCCGCCGTGTCTGACACCACACTCAATTTGTCGGCCGACATTAAATTTTTGCTCCCCTTTCCACACACACAACTTGCTATTGTTTTTAATTTCCTTCACACGGAACCTGCAGTCGAAGGTTCTTATCATTCGAGAACGTTGCTCAAAAGTCTTGCCGGCCACGTTTACAAAAACCGCCTCATATACGAACACGCCTGCCTGCCAAGACTGAGGCAGCAGCATTGGTCAGCGGACATTTGAAACGCGCCCCCAACCCAACCAAGATTCCCAAATCTCCCCCGGAAGTTCAAGTTCACAGCCACCACAAATTTGCGCGCCTATTCTTTCACTTTGCCAGTGTCAGTCTGTGCAAATCTTTCAAATTCTGGGTGATGATCAAATCCTGGACCCTGACTGAGCCCTAAAAATTCAATAATACCAGCCAATACCGCCTACACGAGTACGTGTCCAAGTACCTTCCAGCACTTCTAAGCTTCCCCTAAATCTGGGCTTCGCCTTCTGCCATTATTTCATCATAAGGTCATCATCACCAAACAAACAGGCATCTGGGCACACCTCTTATCCCAACCTGTTTCCCATTCTTACTTTTACCACCGCCCTGTCTGGCTCTTTCGCCACCATCCTCATTCCTGACCACCTCAAATCTCCCTTACTTGTCGCGCAACATTCACAAAGACATTTTTAAACAGCAACAAAGAACAAAGATCGAGCCCAATTTAGATCCTTTCGACGTCAGATCGACCGCTTAAATCGCATCAACCCGTTTCACCAACCCGACCCTTATCTACCGCCACTAATACTCCAGAGATAGGGCGCCTGCCCAACACCATACCCCCCCACCCCCTCCCGCTATTCACATGAATCTAACATCATCACCCATAAATCACTCGCATCCGGCCTCCCCTTCATTTGTTCATTCTCCAGTCTCGCAGAATGATGCAAGTTCAATAACACGTTTGGCGGAGGACACGGCCCACCTGTCTGTCAACGGTAGTGCCGTGCCCGCCGTGTCGCACTCTACAGGTCTCTCTACTGCCCCTGTAGTGAAGAAGCCCAAGATGACGCACCGTCTCACCCGCATGTTTTCGCGAACCGAGCAAAAAGACATTGATGCTGCCAAAGTCGAGTTACAAAGCAAAGACGCTTCACCCGTTCGATCAGAGAATGGCCATTCCAATGGCTCAGCGAGGCCCTCGGTTGTCCGAGAGTCATCGTACGAGGAAAAGAGAGAAGGCAAGAAAATGAGCGTCTCCAAAGAGAAGAAGGGTGATGTCTCCCCCGATATTGGGACCCCCGTCCATAAGAGATTTGAAGCTCTTGAGGACGGAACCCACGCTCACTTTCTCAAGTCGGCGAGGCGTCAGGAGAAGCTCTCAGACATGCTCCGAGACATGCTTACCGGAGGCAAGAAGAAGGATGCAGATGGTGGCGAACAACAGCTGTCACTCATGTCATCCTGGGTTGACCAACTCAGATCCGAGAAGGATAGCCTTGCTTCAGAGAAGAAGGGCGGTCCAAATGCGACTGCCAACTTGGTCGAGAAGTACGGAAAATGTCAGGAAATTGTTGGTCGTGGGGCCTTTGGAATCGTTCGCATCTCTCACAAACCCGACCCAAACACTGCTGGAGGAGAATTGCTGTATGCAGTCAAAGAATTCCGCCGTCGACCACAGGAGACGTCCAAAAAGTACCAGAAACGTCTAACCTCGGAGTTCTGCATCTCATCTTCCCTTCGCCATCCCAACATCATTCATACTCTTGATCTCCTTCAGGACGCCAAGGGGGACTATTGTGAAGTCATGGAATATTGTGCCGGGGGTGATCTGTATACACTAGTACTTGCTGCTGGTACACTTCAAGTTGCCGAAGCGGACTGCCTTTTCAAACAATTGATGCGTGGTGTGGAATACATGCACGAGATGGGAGTTGCACATCGTGACCTCAAACCGGAGAATGTACTGTTAACCACGCATGGTGCTCTAAAGATTACCGATTTTGGCAACGGTGAATGTTTCCGAATGGCCTGGGAGAAGGAAGCACATATGACCGCCGGACTTTGTGGCAGTGCTCCTTATATCGCTCCAGAAGAATATGCTGGAGGAGAGTTTGATCCCAGAGCCGTGGATGTTTGGGCGTGTGGTGTCATCTATATGGCAATGCGCACTGGCCGTCACCTGTGGAGAGTCGCCCGTAAAGACGAAGATGAATTCTACGAGCGTTATCTTGAGGGTCGCAGAGATGAAGATGGCTATGCCCCTATTGAGACTTTACACAGAGTGAGTGTTTCTCCTTCTTTTCTCGTTGTTGAAAAGCTAATCAATCATCAGGCCCGTTGCCGAAACGTCATTTACTCAATCCTCGATCCTAATCCCGGACGAAGAATTACTGCCTCCCAAGTTCTCAAATCTGAATGGGGCAGAGAGATCAAGGTTTGCAAAGCTGGTGAGGAGGGTTATTGATTCTTCGTGGAACCAGCACACCTCGATCCCCCATGAGACTAAGTGAGGCGCTCATCTCCAGTCATGTAGATGGATGATGGAGCGACAGAATCATGAATTTACTCGTGTCGTGAAACACGAGCATGAACTTCACGAAATGATGAACGAATTTCTTTTCAAGGCTCAGAACATCGCTTTCGTGTCTAGTCACTCACGCCCCATATACCGACCTTCAGCTCAAATCCAGGCCTCAACGAAATGAATCACTGTCGGAAAGGATCAGTAAGCGTTGACCTGGAGTTACGAACTCTTCGTGGCATGATAAACACGCTAAGAGTTGCCACATTGTTGGATTCTTTTACCATCGCATCAATCGCTCGCTCGCAGATTTGCTTCATCGATCGAATGAATTCCTGTTCTTCATCAGCGTGTTCAACTCTTTGTCCATTTTGGAAACCAGCACGAGCACGCATCCTGTACCAACACCAATCACAAACACGGGTGGTCTACCTGAAGCTAGCACACAAGCATCATAATATTTGCCGGTCCGAAGCCGCGGCCGTCTTATCAGAAAAGAACATCAATATTGGATAATTTTTAACAACCACTACCCCTTGACTTTTGATGGGAAAAATTCTTTTCACGAGGCCCATGGGAAAATTCAAGGCTATGACGCCGACCGAGAACCGAGGGAACGCGAACTCCCCGGAACAACACTTCAGATCAATACCTGTAACTAGCAAAGTAAAGGGGATGCTGTCTTGATAACCAAATCCTTTCCACAAAAGAATTATGCTGGACTTTCAAGTTTGTTTCTTGTCCTTTCTTTGATCCCGTACCTTTTTGTTTCATTAGTGTTGTGACTTAAGTCTTCGAAAAGGCCGTTTCCCACCATTGGGTCTTCCTGTCGACCTTACTATCGTTTCGTCTCAACGGTACATCACAAGTCAGGATAATCAGGAGCATAACATTCATCCCGGTCTTAACAGCCATCCCTCCATCGCTTCTGCCACACGGCCTGATCCACCTTTCCTCTGTGCCCTTTAGGCTCGTATCTACTCAGGAGTTTCCGAGCAAGAAGTTCCGCCTCTTTTCTCACATCTTCCACCACCATCGGGTGATTGTAGATTCTAGAACACAGCCCCATCACTCAAGGAAAACCAGCTGTCGACACTACTATGTGTTCTCGCAAGCCACGTCACCTCTCGGTGACTCATTTCCTGTGTCGTTTTCAATCCCATCGAGAGTCATGCTCCCCCCCTTCTCTAGCGCCCTTCTGATCGCAATGGTGCCGGCCTGGATAGTGCGCTGGACCATTTGGGGTCTGGCAGATTCTACAAAGGAGGTGGGGATTCTCTCCCGTCCGGCTGTGTGTTTGTGTGTAGAAGAATGCATAAAATAGTCCATCAGGATTCCCGTACGATTTTGTTTTTAGAGTTCAGCGGTCTCCCTTCGCGCACTCACGCACGCAGGCGCGGAATTCGAGGATTCGGGATTTCGGAATGCGGAACTGGAAACTCGATACTCGAAACTCGAAACTTGCCGTTTTGGTTTAGATTTGTAGGGTTTGACGTGGTTTAACTCATTCGACATTACTTCGTATTATTGTTCAGGCCATCTTAGTTGGACCCAGGAGGATGACTATTGGGGGCCGTCTTTCCATATTGCAAGCGTGTATGCTCTGATCATGCATGAGCGCCCATGCTTTGCGTTTCTCGTTGGGTTAGGTAGGATTCTATGAAAGCTGATCCCGAAGTCAAAGATGGATGAAGGGGGGAGCACGATTCATCGGGGAAAAGCCCATCAACGAGAAGAATGAAATTTTAAGCATTGACATTTTGCATTTTTTTGGCATTTCTGTACCCCGATCCTTTCCCGTTGTGACCATCCTGTTCAGGCTGGGACATCAACATGGAGGAAAATGCAGCACAGCCACGACAAATTACACACGTAAAGCACCGAGACCTAGAACACGTAGCAACGCCCAAGTTGACGCCATCCATTTGACGGGTCATCTCGTACTCCTTCCTGTTGGACTACTGCACCGGAAAGACAAGAATGAAACCTCACGAGGAAACCCGTTCGAGTAGAGACAAAAAGCGCGTCGTGAAGTGATGAGAGCGTGATACTATTTTTCGCTGCCAGGTCGTCAAGGCGTGGGGGTAGGTGTCTTTGACCAGTCCTGATTTTCGAATTCTGTGCTGTTATTCATTCGCTTTCGTCACTCTCCTCGGCGGCCGCGGAGCCCTTGGATTTTCTCTTCTCTTTCTTTTCCTTCTTCTCCTTTTTCCTTCGCTTGCGCTCCGCGCGTTCTTCGGGAGTCTCGCCATCATGCTTCTTGCGTTTCTTGTCCTTGTCGACGCCGTTGACGGTCGCGGCGGCTGTTTCGTCTGACATTGCAGTGTCGGCTTGTTCACCATTAGGGGCGACTGGTGGCGCCGAGAGCACATCGGATTTGGAGGTGGTTTCTTTGGGCGGGACAGCTGCAGTGCCATCGGGAGCATTGTAGTCAGTGTACTCAGTGGTCCATTTTGCTGGGGTGGCTTCATTGGGACGACCATATTTCTGTGGAAATGTTAGCTTTGCTTCCAGTGTCACGAATGTGTCTAGGCTACTTACATCAAGCTTGCCATCGGACTTCATCTTCTTCTTCTCCAGAGCGACTGGACCCATACCCCATCTTCGAGGATACAGATCTCTCTCCATGATACATCTCTTGACCTTGGCAACGACTCCATGATCACATGTTGATAATTCGACAGTTGACATCTGTGCAATACCAAGAGCGATAGCCTCGCCTTTGGTGGTCATAAGGACGACCTCTTCGTTGATTTCAATTCCAGATTCGAACCGCAATAAACCGGGAATCATCAGCTTGGCACCATAGCACACTGCATTCACAGCACTGTCCTTGACGACTATCCGTTTATATGTGGTAAGTAGACTCTCGAGAGGAGAGATCACTTTCCGTAGGTATGCTTCATCTCTGTTGTTGTCATGCGTCCACTGCGCATCCAGTACATCGTGTAGTGTGACCATCCCGTCGCTCTCATCCATTGCTCCACTTCGTACTCTCCGAAGTTCTTGCATATGCGCGCCAACACCAAGTAGAAGTCCCAGATGAACGCAGAGAGTTCTGATGTACGTTCCAGCTTCACAGCTCACCCAGAACACAGCTAGATGGCGGTCGTTGTCAAACTCATACAGCTTGCTTTCGTGGATGGTTCGGATACGTAATTGACGCTTGACGGCAGAGATCAATGGTGGTCGCTGGAAAAGAGCACCGGTTAAGGTCTCGAGAGCTCGGGCGAATTGTGCTTCACCACCAGGTAACTTGTCGTGCAATCGGATCACGCAAACGTATTCCTTTCCAGCTCCTTGTTGCGATTTGACCAGTCTAGTAGCTCGGTCTATGCAGACAATCAGACACCCAGTGACCTTGGGATCGAGTGTTCCGCTATGGCCGGTCTTTTCCACGCGCAAAATTCGCTTGACCCACGCTACGACTTCATGACTAGAAGGATTGGAGGGCTTGTCGAGATTGATGACACCGGAAGAGATGTAAGATTTCAAATCGCGTTTGAGAGGAGTGCAGCCACATGGAATTGGAGTGAAATGTCCAGTTCTCACGAGGACTATATTGAGCGCGTGTTAGCCTTCCTGATCGCCCACCGCAGGATGTTCCAGAGACTGCTTACGCTTGTCATAATTCTTGAGCAAGAGCGGCCACTCAGACGTCGGGATTTGAGGGGTGACATTCTCTGGTTTGATGCTGTAGTCGAGTTCTTCGACCTTGCCCATGTTGGCGATGTCCGCTCGCCAAAGTCTGGAGGTGGTCGGGGGCTAGAGAGCAATGCCCTACTCGATGGCCAATTGGGGCTCCGAGATAGAGGTATGTGAGAATTAAGATACAAGTTAATACAAGTACCCACCAATATGCAAACGGATATATTGCAGACCTATATCATGCAATGATAGGAATATCTTGGGGAGAAGATGGGTGGTGGAAAAAAGTTGTTAGACTGCCAGTGGTAAAGCCTCCGTGCGGAGCTGCTCGAATTTCCTCTCATGCTAAGCTTAAAGCGGTTAGTGTGCACAAAAGCTTGGCAAGCTGCCACCGCAGCTTCCTGTATTTCTAAACCGTCAACAGCCACAGTGTTCCTTTGCTCTTCTTTTTTCCCTTCTTCATCCACTCTACTTCGTTCTCAGCTCAATCCGATTTTCACAGAGCCTCTCGGTATCCGAAGGACACGCAGGGCGCATTCAGCATCATGGATCGATTTTGGAGTGCACCTCCAGTCACTCGGTAGCTTACAGTGATTTGTTGTCCCATGATGGTCTGACTAATAACTTGTCCACAGAACGCTCGTGGCTGCAATGTTTGTTGAGTCTGCTCTCGTCCATGGGGGTCTCACGAGTGCTATGCACATTGTCTATGATACTTCGCGCCTGTTGAAATTCCTACCTGAGCTATGGCGGCTTCTTACCCCATTCCTATTGACTGGGCCTGATTTCTCATTTGTCTTCGACCTGTATCTGAGTAAGCTCAAGTACGGTCAAGTACTTTGCCCACAAGCTAATGCCATCCAGCGTATACATACGCCTCGGGTTTGGAGTTGAATTCCCCTCGCTTTGGTCAGCCTGGAGACTTCTTCACATACGTAGCGTTTGTGGCCACCGTCATTTGGGTAAGTCGATCTTTCCTTCTATATCCGACATGCCCCCTTCCAGTCTCCTGCCCATAAGTACATAGCACCTCACATATCTGCCCGCCCAGCCTTTTCTAGCTGAAGCGGTTCCTGGAGTTGAGGGAGATTACCCCTGTGGCACATGCAGCTCCATCATTCGCAATCAATCACTTCGGACTGTATGCGGTGCAGGCATGGTGGGAGCTCTATTTGAGAAAAGCTTGCGTAATACAAAAATTTGCGCCTTGCGGTTGTGGCTTCCTACATCCTTCCAATAATGAACATATTTTGTCTCTTTCAAATTCACAACAGCCCGTGGTTGTGCTTCAAGCTGACATCATTCAGCTGACTGCTGGAATCCTCCTGCAAGGTTGGATCTTCACTTCCGCGCTCATGATGGCATTTATGTATACTTATGCTCAAGACAACCGTGGCAAGAAAGCCCATTTCATCGTCGTTCAAATTCCCGTCGAATTGCTCCCATGGGCAATGCTTCTCTTGACTTTGATCATGAATGGCATTGGGGGAGCGCTGCAGCAAGGCATGGGTATTATTGCTGCACATTTGTATGACTTCCTCACACGTCTGTATCCAACGTTCCAAGGTGGGCGCAATTACATCCAGACTCCTGCTGTGATCAAACGATTTTTTGGTGCAGATAGAAGTTCCTTTGCCCACAAGGCCTATGGTTCGAGCTTCCGCAGTGGACAAAGTGTACCTCAACAACAGAGCGGGGGTTGGACAAGTGGTTTCTCAAGCGGTTGGAGTGGCAGAGGCGCCGGTAGAAGATTGGGAGGTGATTGATGCCAGCCACACCTGGATCACTTGTGCCAACATATTATTCCATGTACCACCAACCGATTGACGATTGATTAAATGATACCCATAGAAATGACGATCCCTTTACACATTACTGGGAAACTAGGATGGACTACGATACATTGAATTACAATTCCTCCAACTCCACGAGCCCCAAAGGATTGACAAAGCTTCTCCATCATGGCGATATCGCAAAGTCTTAACGATTGCCAAGACCAAGCCTTGTCGAGCCATTCCCGATTTGGTCGCTTCAAACAGTCTGAACGTCGGATACCACAACCCGGAACATCAAGTGCCTCGTCTGGTGCCTGAGATGTCTCATGAAATGATCAGCCCTCGGAAGCTCCATTAACCGGTCATCCTTCTTCCTTCGATCCAGCTATATTCATCATGTAATGGATATCCGCTTTGATCCCAGCCAAGCCTTTCGCCTGCTAGTTGGACGCATCCCGTTGGACAACCCCATGTCGAAACGGCAAATAAGACTTAGACATGAATGTTCTTGGTGAAAAGCCTATTTCCTCGCGGACCTTGTTCCAGCTCAAGCTATGGTGGGGAAGGGAATGTATGCTCTAACGTCGAATTCATGATGAACCTACGACTATCTAGCACTCCTTACTTGCCCACAAGGCTAGAACCAGGCCCAGTAGGCGCAGTCGACAAGCGATGCTACGACTGTGAGAGAAAAGTGGTGCTTGTGTCAAGCATTCTGTTCATCAATTGTCTCAACATTTATCATAAGATGGAAGATAGATTGTTGCAAGCCACATCTGATCTTATATTAAGGCTCTTGTTCCCTCGCTAAAGGTAAACCGTTTTCCTCCACGGCTTCACTAACTTTCCGAAGAGCCCCATTTCTATCTTTTTGTTTTTGTTTACAGCAACAGGCCGGTCCTGCCTCATTCCCTTCTCATCTCGCCTATTTTACGATCATTGTTTCCATTTTAGGATTCACGCCAACTAGACACAGGTTGTCATTCACTTATCGAGAGACACGTTACACCAATCATGGGCCGGTTCCTGCTTTACAGTCTTCTATCTTCTCTCTTTTTATTACCCAGTGTCTTCGCCCAATACAATGCAGTCTCAAGCATCCAGTCGCTGGCGTTGACCGTCGCCTTCATCCTACCTGCCGTATCAGCATATGTCATTCCAATTCCAGACTCCAAGAAGCGTGATGCTGAGCTGGAAGTCCGAGAGACTGCCAGTATTCGTGCCGGTGCCAGTGCCGCTGTTCAGACTGTTACCGTCTCCAACGAGGCCGGTGCCACTGCCGCCACTGCCTCTGGAGCTTCTGTTACGGTAACAGAAAGTGTTGACACAGCTGCGGAGGTGGCAGCAACGACTCTAACAGTGGTCAATAACGCTGGTATTACGGAAACTGTGACCCAGCTCGCTGCTGCTGAAGAGACTGCGGCCAATGATGCCACTGCTGTGGCCATCGCTGCAGCGGAGGGAGCCGCAGCAGAAGTCAAGGCCAAAGCCGCAGCCGAATTGAATGGCAACGTTAAGGACGTCAAAAATCAATGCATTGCTGCCGCCGTGAAGGCTGCAACTGATGCTGCTGCAGGCGTTGAAGCCGCCGCTCTGGCCGCCAACGCGACTGCTGCTGCGGTGGTCGAAGCCGCGGCTGCAACCGCGAATGCTACTGCCACCGCCGAATTTGATACCGCCACTGCCGCGGCCGCCACCGCTAGCGCTCTAGCAACCACAGCAGCGGCTGAGAAGGAAGCAGCCGCTGCAGACGAAGGTAAACCCAGATTCACTGCTTCTGAGGATGCCGCAGACGCAGCTACTGCTGCCACCGCCGCCACAGCTGCGACGACCGAAGCAGCTGCTGCCACTGCCGCCACAGCTGCAGCAACCAAAGCAGCTGCTACTGCTGCGGGCACTGTAAATGCTGCCGCTAATGCTGCCGCAAACGCCACTGCAGCTGCAGAGCTAGCGGCAGCAAATGCAAATGCGACCGCACTTGACGCTGTGGTTGTAGAGTCTATCGCTACACAGTGCGAAGCACAAGTTGCTGAGGTTGAGGCTGTCATTGCCGGCGACGCTAATGTCGCCCAGAACAATCAGAACAACCAAAATCAAGGCAACAATAACAACAACAATGGCAATGGCCGAGGAAATCGCAATGGAAATGGCAACGGAAACGGAAACGGAAACGGAGGAGGTAACCGTGGTGGAAATGGAAACCAGCAGGGAGGTGCTGGAGGTCAAAACATCAACGACGTCCTCGAACAAGCTCTTGACATTCTTGGAAGCGTAGCCGGACAGGATGTGACTGTTGTCGGTGTCGGTGCTGGTGCTGGTGCTGGTGCCGGCAATGGACGGGGCCAAGGAGGCGGGGCAGGCAATGGCCGCGGCCCTGGTAACAATGCAGGACCAGGACAGCAAGGACGGGGAGCTGGTGCCGGAGCCGGTCCACGAGGCAATAACAAGCGTGACGTCAACAGCACACCCTACAATGTTGTGCGCCGCAGCTTGAGGTCAGAGTATGTCGGCAAGGCATACTAGACAACGCCCTTTACGAATACGAAAAGAGGTGAGGCACGAGAGACGAGAGCGAGGCTGGATCTCCATCTGCGGGATTTTGCAGGACAATGGCAGAGAAACTCGGATACGAATACCAAAAATTACATGGCCCAAGAAGGTATCCCGGCGATACGAATAGTGGAACGAACGAATAAAATTGAAATGAATCAAAATGGGAAAACAGGCGCCTCACGAACAAATGTGTGCATTTTTTCTTTCCTTTTCGGGCATCTTCCTCTCTTGATAGGAGAAGACAGGTGAAGCAGCCATGCATCAGCGAGGTCCTGGCCCTCATGAACCAATGGGCCGGTAGGCGAGGTGTACAACAAAAAGCGGACAAGGACAAGGACCAGGATGATTCCACACAAGGATGGTGATGAAACAACCAGAACAGTCACATGAGGTGTGAGAGACTGACAATTACACAACACATGCTATCCTGGTTGGGATGTTTTTGGCATGACAGTGAAATTAGCATCACCATAGATAGAGCGAGTCTACATTCAGGGACTTCACATTGATATCAAGAAAACATCATCAGACAAAATGAACTTGGATCGAAGTTTTGCTCGCACTGCTGCCAGGACATACTTGCTTGAGCCTTCCGCACACATCACGGGAATCAAAGAGCTTGCCTCTAGTGGTGAATTTCGTCATGGCCAAGCAAAGAGGCAGTGTAGCACGTACGTGTTAAATATTCTTCTCATTGGAAAAAGAATATCATACTCGTGGATCAGTGGCTAGCCTGGCTCCATGTCTTCCTGCTCATGCTTGCAGGGAGCACCGGTTCCCGAGGAAAGCCGGACTGCTAAATGCTGCCGATGATCTAACTAAATGCTGGAATGCAGGAAGACCATGATACAGTTATAGTTTGATGATATCGAATTCTTGAAACACTCTAGCATGTATAATAGTGGACTCAGGCCCCGGCTGTTATGATGAAAGGGGTTGATCGTCATTGTGTGATTGCTCCTGAGTTTGCTAGTGCGGTAAGAGATACTATTCGTATGGTGAAAGCTCAATGGCACTTTACTGACTTGCGTAAGCGCTGTCGTATGGTTCTCGAATGGAAGCGGTATGTTCCTCACATGTTTTGGCAACGTGTGAGAGACCGATGGGGTGCATTGAGGTCGAGAGGGTGTCATAGAACGTCTGGCACATGGGATGGAAGGTGGTCTGTTGAGTGGCACCGTCATTTCACATCTTGACTCTGAGCAGATACTTCAGCTTGATCTGTGAGACATCGTACACGATATACTCGTTGTACAGGAGCCAAGCACCATCCTCATTTGTCGGGCCTGGAGCCTTCTTGGCCACATCAGGCATGCGGACTCCCTTCAGACTTGAATGAATGGCCCCAGCATCCTTCCACGCAAGAGGTGCCGTCTGACCAACGCCCCAGGTGGAAATCAGTCCCTTTTCTTGAGCATGCTCACCAGCATTATAGTCGGAGTCGTTGAGTTTGAGGGGTGGTGTGCCTAGCTCAGCCTCGCAGAGAAGAAGGAGGCCGGTCCCGTTGGTGTTGTACGAAGCACAATATCCTGCGGATTTGCTGCTCATGTCGGCGAGATAGACACCCTTTCCGAACATGTAGCCGGAAACAGGAGCTTCGGGAGGTGCGATACGTAGGCCTTGGCTCAGAATACCACCAAAATTGGTGACTCGTGATCCATGCCAAAGTAATCGGCGATCACTTTTGTCGCCCATGTTGCTGAATTCCGAGCTTTGATAACGGGTATCTTCGCCATTGCGTTCAATGCGGAATATATCATCAACTTTATAGCTGTAGCCATGGGTAGAACCATGTGTCTTCATAAGGTAGGTCTCGATCTCCCTGAACTCCTTGCTTTTACTTTCTAGAGGGGTCATCTCCTGCATGCCAAGCCCTTTGAATTGTCTGTCGAGAACATGGACCTTTTCTTGATCCTTCTTGTTTTTGGCCATTTTCATAATGTCGTTCGCCAGTTGCATATCTGTCAGTGTTTCGAGCAACTCGATCTCTCTCTGTATAATTTAATGGTCAACCATTGTACGCCATGCACGAATGCTTGGTGAGACTTACCTTAATAAGATCCATGTTGCTGAGCGTGGGCAGACGATTACGTCCCGAGACATGAGGGACGAGCGAGAAGTAGAGGTTGCTTCTGTGATCAACAGCATCATCAAAAGATGTTCCAGTCGAAGCTGCTGTACTTGGATCGGCAATAAGAGCAGCAAGCTCTTTTAGAACCTCATAGCCTTTGAGTAGTGTCTTTTTGCTCAACTTCCCCAAAGGCATCTTTGTTGCGTCGTAATTCAGTGCTGCCATGGTGGAATCGAACAACTTGAGATCGAAAATGAGTTTCATCAACTCCTGTACTGGCTTGTCCAGGGAAGATTCAACAGGAGCGGCATCAGCATCTTCTTCCTCATCAATGTCGGGTGTCCCGTTTTGTTTCTTCTTGAGAGGTTCGTCCTCATCCTCATCTTCATCATCTGATTCTGCGTAGTTGATCTCGATGTAGACGTACTTCCCAGCTTTGATCGGCCCATCTCTGTTGTCCCAAACATTGCCGTTTTTGTCCTTGAACTTCTTCTCGAATTCACGCTTGGCTTGACTGAAGTCGCCATCGCCGAGCATTTTCGACTGGCCTTTCTCACCAACACGGCCCCATCGTGTCCAGCACCATTTCGAGCCTTTGACATCATTGAGGATTTGTAGCTTATAGAACTTGTTATTGTTGGCGTTTGAGTTGGACTGATTCAATGTGGCATCCCAGGCGAGTCCATCATCGTCAACATAGACTGTGAAATTTTGTGCGTTGGGCACTTGTTCATCCACAGGGATGTTCAAGACTGGTTTTGCTCTGGTGGGTAGCTTTTGAGTCGAGGCTGGGGTGGACGACTTAGCACCCGGATGAGCACTGCTGTCCTTTCCTCGCTTTCGCTTCAAGTTGGGCTTTTTTTGAGTATCTGTGTCGCTGTCCACGTCAGCAATTGGATTGCCGTTGGCATTGCCGGTCCCATTGGTGACAGCTGGAGCTGAAGACGAATGGTCTAGAAGATAGTTGTCAACTGCCACCGCCGAGGTGGACTTCAGTGACTCTGCAAGCCAATCGTAGTCAACAATAGTCACATCAGTTCGCTCAAGGGCTTCCTTGACAGCCTTAAGGTTCTTCTCGAATTGAGCTGGAGAAGCAATCAGATGGGTGGATTGGTCAAGCTTTGAGGCATAAGATCCACCACATTTAGCAATCTCAGCTTTCAATTGGGTGACCGTCTTGGAGGCAAAATCGGGATGACAACTAGCGGAATAGGAGGCGAAGGTTACAGTGACCCCCTCGAGAGACGTGCTCGGGACTGTGGGAGGAGCTTTGACACGAACCATATTGTGCTTGAAGAGTCACAGAGGAATGAATGTGACTTCTCACGAACAAGAGATGATGGTTCTTTTTGAGGCTTCTTAAGGGAAATATTCGAGTGAGACACACCCAAAAGGCAGCAGCGCCTTGGATCATCCTCTGGGGGCTGAATATCAACTAGCGTCAGGCGCGTGTCGCGCTATGAACAGGCAGTAACGCGCTCTTCACGCGTTGTCACATGATCTTACATAGCGAGATGACGCAGATTCATCCACCACTCAATTCGGTGGCACATGTCGGTTTGGGCACTGCGGAATAATCTTCTGATACATAAATGATTTGTTATATTCCTCGCCGTGGTGATTTAATAGGACAATTCCAGTATGGCGGAGAAAGTCGCAGAGACCAATCCGTTCCTCAGACGTCCGCTCTATGGTGAGTGCTGAGTTTCCTACATACAAATTGACTGCGCTGATCATTGGACTCAGTCTATGACCTGCCCACCGAACTGCTATTCAGTCTAGCCTTTGTCGGTGGACCAGAGCCTCACCACCAAGAGCCAGAACAACCAGTTGAAACGCCTTCACGTACGACTGCTGACGATGGGGTCTCTGGGTCCACCTCATGTACTCTTTGCAAAGTTTCTTTCTCCTCGGTGCAAGATCAAAGACAACATGTCAAATCAGACTTTCATCGTTATAACCTCAAGTTGAGCGTCAAGCAGATGGCCCCCATAGATGAAGCAACTTTTATCCAGATGATTGGTGACCTGGACGAGTCCTTGTCTGGCTCCGAATCCGACAGCTCTGATGATGATGGCGGCGAAGACCAAGGAAAGCCCGGAGAGAGCACATTGGCAACCCTTCTGAAAAAGCAGGCGAAATTACACCATGACAATACGGAAGAAGATGAGACTCGCATAAAGAAAAAGGGGGCTGGAAATGCACCCATGTTCTGGATGTCCAGCCCAAAACTAGGAGAGGATCTTGGTCTTGGAATCTACAAGGCTATTCTGTCGCACTCGGACCAAGAGGGCGCCGCTTCGTCTTTAGTAGAGGTCATCAAGGGCAAACAGCTGAAGCCGACGATAGCCAAACAAAGCGGTGCGTCAAAGGCCTCGCAGCCCGGTCATAGCGATCCGCATTTCTTTTTGTGCATGATTGGAGGGGGTCACTTTGCGGCCATGATCGTGTCGCTTGTTCCAGAGCTGAGAAAGGGTCCTGGTGGTGCAGAAGAACGTCATGCTGTTGTGCAGGCTCACAAAACATTCCATCGATATACGACGAGGCGCAAACAGGGTGGATCACAATCAGCAAACGACAATGCCAAGGGCAATGCTCACTCGGCAGGATCTTCGATACGAAGGTACAATGAAATGGCTCTGGAGGCTGATGTCAGGAAAGTGCTGTCTGAATGGAAACGTTTGATCGACACTGCGGAACTCCTTTTCATTCGTGCGACAGGCACAACAAATCGAAGGACTCTCTTCGGACCATACGATGGTCAAGTTCTGCGCACCAGTGACAAACGACTACGAGGTTTTCCTTTCAGTACCCGCCGGGCCACCCAGGCCGAGCTCCTGCGCTCTTTCCAGGAACTTACTAGGTTGAAAGTCGGCAAACTTGTTGAGCCTGAACTGGAAGATAAACCTGCAGCTCAAACTGCTCCCAAGGAACCAAAACCCAAGCCTACTGCGCCCAAGCTAACAGAGCAAGAAGAAGCTGCACAGCTACACACAAATCAACTTCAAGCTCTCATCCGGAGGTCGAAAGCCCCGGGCGTCCTGAGTTACCTTACTAAGAATCAATTGTCACCTGAGTTCACTTTCTGGCCTGCGTCGGATCACTATCATGCTCCAACGCCACTCCACCTGTCCGCCTCTACAAACTCTCCAGCTCTCGTGCTGGCACTCCTGACGAAGGCCAAGGCCGACCCGACCGTATCAAACGGTGACGGCAAAACACCCTACGATATTTCCGGAGATACTAAGACTAGAGATGCTTTCCGTGTAGCACGGCACCAACTCGGCGAAGCTGCATGTGACTGGGCAAAGTCACACATACCCGTAGGAATCAGCCAAGAGGAAGCAGACGTAAAGTCACAGCAGGACAAATCAACATCGGATGCTGCAGAGTTACAGCGTCGCAAAGCGGATCTAGAACGCATTCATCAAGAGGAAGAGCAAAGAAGCGCCGGCAGGATGGAGCGCAAGGCTGGATTTGGCAAGACTCTAGCCGAGAAAACAGGCGCGGAGCGGCGAGAGGAGGAGACTAGAGGCTTGACCCCCGAATTGAGGATGAAATTGGAGAGAGAGAGGAGAGCAAGGGCCGCGGAAGAGAGATTCAAACGGATGCAAGATGCCAAGTGACATTGGCTACGCGCAGCGATCGAACGAATATGTGAACCGTAGATCAGACCATTTGGAAAAGCATTGAGGAAGGTGCTTTAACACGACTGTTTGTACAGTCCCTGTTGATTGAACCGAATCATGACTCATGTGCATCCTATGACACCTTAAGACTTGCCCGCTGCTCAAATATCCCGTCGTCGTCCGTCGAAAACTTCCTTCTTCTACACCACAATCTCATGCTCCTTGAACAAGGGGAAATTCCTCTCCAGATAATCCTGCGCATCGGCGAACTCGGCCTTCAAGACTTGGCCATGCTTCGCACTCCTCAATGAGAACTCACACCGATAAGGGTTAGGCCGAGTATTGAACCCATCAGTGTAGTCGTACGTATCATACACGGCACCTTTGACAGGGCGAATGTCGAAACACCACAACACGCGCGCGAGGGCGATGAAGAGATTATTACTCGCAAGCTCTGCGCCGGGGCAGATGCGGCGGCCCCAGCCGAAGCTGGAATGGCCGAGTTTGCTGGGATGGGCCTGGCCCTTCTCCTGGGACGTGGTCGATAGGTACTGTTTGGGCAGGTAACCGAGCGAAGACGGGTCGACGTCCAGGAAGCGCAGTGGGTTGAAGTGGTCTGGGTTTGGGTAGAAGGCCTCGTGTCGGTTGATCGCCCAGCTGTTGCCCAGGATGTTCGTGCCTTTCGGGATGTAGTAGCCTCGATATGTGTCGGCTTCGGTCGACGCGTGTGGTGTGCCGCCGAGAACCGCCACCGGCCGCCAGCGCAGTGCTTCCTTGCAGAGTGCCCGGATGTATGGCAGTGATGGCTCGTCAGTGTAGTCTGGGAGACGGTCTCGACCAATTATCTCGTCAAGTTCTGCGTGTGCGGCAAACAAGGTCTCTTGGTTGGTGATGATGGCGAGGATCGCGGACGATAGAGTCGACGCTGTGGTGTCTGCCCCGGCACCGAAGACTGAGGAAGGCAGGCTCGCAAAATCTCGGTCTCGCAGGAGCGCAAAGGATGCAGGATCTGCCGCTCGGTTCTCCAGAAGTTGTTTGGCGAGACTGTTGGGTAGTGGGCGGGCACCAGGTTTCTTTGAATTCTCGATGTCTTCTCGGACGTAGTCGAGGAGCTGTGCATTGGCCTGTTGCTCCTCAAGTCCCCAGCCCTTCACTTCTCGTTTCCAGGGCGCAAGGAAATCAGGGGTGTGTTTGAGAAAAGGGAAGGATTCGACGAGATATCTTCCTGGGACATTCACAGCGGCGTTCCAATGCATGATCTTCATACGCTGTTTGATGATCGGCGACTGCATGCTGTCAATGCGGTGGCCATAGGCTATCGTGAAGACAATTGAGGATGTAAATCGATTGAGCAGATTGTCTAGATCATCTGCTTTGTTGAACAGCTGATGGCAGAGCCTGGTAGCTTCGGCTTCTGCGACGGGTTTGTAGTTTTCCAAAGCCCGGGATGTCAGAACCTGATGCATCGCTTTCCTTCGAACCGACCAGTCCTTCCCATACGGCTGGACAAGGATACTCGACATATCCCAGAAGATCTCCCCCATGACGACGAAGCGTGGGCGAGAGCTATACTTCTGAGACCTCTTCTCAAGCAGATCAACAGCCACGTTCGGGTCGGAAATAATGACAGTCGGTCGACGCCCGAACCAGACTGTATAAATGGGCCCATACTGGCGAGACCAATCTTGGAACTGGATCCATGGATGCCTCTTTGGGACATCAAACTTATTTCCAATGAATGGGAGAGGCTGAGGTCCCGGAGGCATTCGCTTCCATAGTATCACATCATGGATCAGGACTCCAAGGGTGATGAGGAGCCCGAGGCCTGCAATTGATGACCAAATCAGGAAGATAGTAGACCAACCCATTTTTTTCAAGGTTTCCTAAGATTTCGAACAGCGAGCCTGGTATCTTGGGTTAAGCTCTGAAGGGTCAGTCTCGTGTAAATCTTGACACTCTCAAGCGGAGGACGCAATGTTGGCGAAGGAATTCCTGAGCGAAGGAGATAAATTCGATCTTCTTGTGAGCTCTACTGAGCCGCGGCCGAGAAACCCATTTTCAACAATGCACCTCATACAAATGTGCTGCAATGGTGTCACCGGCTAATGGACAGCCATGAACGGACAAATCATGCCGAGTCCCATTGTGGAGGTATATTGAAAGGGATTCTGCTATAGGCGGAGGTTGGTTCCCCAAAAGTGCGGAGAACACCCATCCACGAACTCCATCTCAAATCTAAGCCCTTCGGCAGTTGTCTTCACTTGCCTCATCGGAAAAGCCCCAGTATTTTGGGGCATCTCAAGAAGTGACGTGTTGAGAATACTCTTTGTCGCGGGTGGGAGATTCGGGTACGAAAAGCTGAAAGACTCGCACGACGGTCCAAACTGCAAGCAGGGTGGGCCAAGTCATACTTGTGGAGCAGTATCGGATGTGTTGACGAGCCGTGTGTTCAAAGGTTGAACTTCCCGCCACAACGTGAGTAGATATACCTTCGTGCGTGACGATCTTGAGAAGTCGTACTTCCAATTGAACTCGAACGAAACTATTGCAGCAACAGTTCGAAAATGCCAAGCTTCGCAAGGCTACCTGCCTCAGGGATAAAGGTGATTATCGTCGGTGCCGGATTCGCGGGATTGTGTGCAGCAATTGAATGTGATCGAAAAGGCCACTCAGTAATATTGCTTGAGAAAGTCTCGGAATTGAAACCCCTTGGGGATATCATTAGCTTTTCATCTAACTCAGGGCATATTTTTGAACGATGGGAGGGAGTCGTTGACGAACTTGAGCCATTAATTCATCACAGCAGTGGTCTTGACTTCTATGAATGGTCAGGAAAGTTTTGCACAAGGCAGGAATGGGACTATGACAAAACATGGGGAAGGCGAATCAATGGCCACCGAGGCGAGATCCACGATGCCGTATATCGCCATGCGAAAGCGCGAGGAATTGATATCAGGCTGGGCCAAAGTGTCAGCGAGTACTTTGAGACTGAGTCCGAAGCTGGAGTCATAGCCAATGGCGAAAAGCTAACTGCCGACTGCGTATTTGCAGCGGAAGGGGTGAAATCAGCTGGTCGAAAGATTGTGTTGGGGTATGAGGACAAACCCAGGGCTTCTGGGTATGCAGTTTACCGTACTTGGTTCTCTTCGGAAGAATTGGCCAAGAATGAGCGGACGAAACATCTCGTCAATAATGGCGATACTCACTCTGGCTGGGTTAGTACGACAACACTTTCGAAAGGACCTACCACTAACAGCTTCCCAGATTGGCGAAGACAAACACTTTCTAGCTGCCTCCATCAAGGATGGAAAGGAGTTTAGTTGGGTACTGACACATAAAGATGATGCCGACATTGACGAAGATTGGCAATTCCCAGGAAAAAAGTCAGACGTGCTCGCCAATCTAAAAGGATGGGCTCCGATTGTACATGATCTGGTCAATGCCACTCCTGAGGATCGGCTTGTGGACTATAAGCTTGTTTTCCGTGATCCACTCCCACATTTTGTCTCGAAGGGTCATGGGCGGATTGCTTTGATTGGTGACGCCGCTCACCCGTTCTTGCCGACCTCGATACAGGGCGCAAGTCAATCGATGGAAGACGGAGTTACACTGGCAATAACTCTTCAGAAAAGTGGTAAGGCCAATGTACCACGAGGGGTTCGTGCTTATGAAGCTATACGATATGAACGTGTTCACAGGGCACAGATGACCGGAGTGACGACTCGAGAGCAATGGCACAAAGCGGATTGGGACAAGATCTGGAAAGATCCAAAGATGCTGCATTTGAAGCGAGAAGCCTGGCTGTTGAATTTTGATGCGGAGACTCACGCTTATGAAGTGGTCGACGAGGTACTGAAAAAACTCGACAATGATGAGGTTGTGAAGGAGGATGTCATTCCGAAGCCCACTTCACATGGGATCCAGGCAGTGTTAAGTCAAGAACTCGACCAGTTAGTATGAATCAAGGATCAGGAGGATTGCCCTTCGACATGGTGTCGTTGAGTTCAGTAGAAATGGCGATGATATTTTCCAAAAGCCGGGCAGCTGTCCATGCTTCTCATACCGCGATACTTAGTATGTGTTCCGACTCTAGCTAGGAGCTTGCATGCACCACGGGGAGTGCAGGGTGGTCGTCCTGCAGAACAGAGGATGTCATACTTGCCGGCAACTCCCCGTTCTATCTTATGTTGGTAGGTGTTGCCTGTGGGCCAAAGATAGTTTCGCAATCAAGGGATGTTGAAACTCTACACGAGCATGCCGATGCGTGTTTCACATGGCATGAAAGCCTTCAGTTTCAGCTAAAGATTCACCCGCAATCACGGATGACTGAATTTGGGCAATGCATCATCCTTTGTGAGAAGGACAGGAACCATGGAAAGATCCTTATGGCAGGGTGAAAATTGGCTGTCGTAGGGATGGAAAAGCTCTTTATCGGCCACTCGGTTCTAACGATTGGCACCAGTCTTTGATGGAGCACTTTTGGGGCCTTAGGGTCAGCTTCCAACGATTTCAATGGACTCCAGGCGGGCTATCCGCACCGGGAGGAGACAGGCGTTAAGGCTGCGTAAAGGACTTGGGAGGGCGACAAGCCGAGGACTCTGGCTTTCCTAGGCGGAAATGTTCCATCGCAAGCCTATCCACAAGATCCAAGATGAATGCAGTTGAAGTCGGAAGCAGCTTGAACCATAATTTGCATCTCGAAATTTCACTTGTGCAATCCTCACGACCGCATGGGCATATATTGATCAAGCAAGGTTACGGTCTACTTCTTTTTTATATTTGTGTTACATTACGCCATTCTCACGTTTGGCACTTTGCTGGGGGTCATCTTCCAAAGAGGCTGCATCATCAGGTGTCCGTTCGAGGCAGCTCCCATGCTAGAAAAGGTAACGGTCATGAATAGATTCTGAGCCAGCCTGGATGAGGGCTATTGTCACTGTACCATGTTTAGCTCTCTTGTATTGCCCTTGATCGATGTGACCGCTACCGCCATTCGTGCTATCGTCCAACAGGGCAGCGAGTTCGAGAACGTATATGGCTTTCCGTTATCCTGGAACGTGGTAGCTGTTATGGGTGTGCCGAATGCCGCATGCATCAATGAGGTCACCTCAACTTGAACTTCTTGAATGGTGGGAATGAATACCGGGAACTACTTAGTATCCTTGGGGGCTTTCCAGTCTCTATCTGACCAGTGTCGTAGGGTACAACAGATCATTGAGTTACTCGCCCGGGTACTATCTGGTCTTCATCACACGTCCATCTCGTCTTTCATCTACTTCGTGTGAGGAATGCCTATCGACGTCTCGTTATACTCAGCCCTACCACTCCCAGCAGGGTTATTGAGATGTGTTGTTAACGTTCAGGATCAAAGAGCCACGTAAACAACGAGGTGATCCTTCTTGGGGGCCAGCTTAAGCTTTTGGTATTTGTTAAACCCTTCCAATTCAGGCTACTGGTGGCATGGATTTTGGTTGTCACGATCTGCTTGTGGAAATTTTGTGGAGTAAAAGGGGCCTTATTACGGAGTAACTAGAACGATTCCCAGCGCGCAACGTGCGCCCAGCTATTTTCGATCAGGCCGCATCTCCCAAGCATCCCATCCCTTGGAGGGCTTGGGCCTGACGGCCCTATGACGTCGGATAAGACTGGATCGATTCACCCAGATTTGACCATTATCGATGGAACAGCATAGTGCTAGACAATGTGTAAGGCGGAAAGGTCCAGATGCAAGCAAGATATCGAGAAAGACATTAACAATGCCCGTAGAACCAGAAGTAAACACCCTCGTGTCGTCTGGTCTGCCAACTCTAAAATCCGGTGCCCGAAACACAAATAGGCCAAAATCAGGGTACGTTGCGCATTCAAGCCAGCTGTCTCCGACCAGCAATAAGCATCTCAGTCGTCCGATAGGCTTGACTGTATCAGTATTCAGCCCAGCTGACACATCTGCGTACAAGGGTCAGCGGCACATCCCACGAAACCGTATTCTCTTGCGAGTTTGCACTGTAAGCTGGCATTCCTCGTTAAGTTTCTGGACTTGCTGCGCCTGGATTCTTCGATCGGTTTCGCAGGACTGGGCTCACACATACTGGGACATATTCGCTCATTCACATAAGCAGGATTGTTGATGGTCATCTATGTTTGAATGCATAGGGCCTCACTTTCCTTCTCCATAGCATACCTAGATCTACAGTCCTGGACTCTCAACCCAGGTTGGTTGAAAATTTAGACATCGACGCTCCTCAGTTTTACGAGTATCCGTAACTTCAAAGAATTCGAAACGCCCCCCTGGAGAGCCGATCTTATCCACAGCGCTAGGACCACCACCGCGGTCAGCTTCATTTACCAGTATCGCTAAGGCTCGGCTCATTTCCACAGCTGCATCATCGTCATCTCTTCTGTACATAGTACTCAGGGACTCCCATTGCGAGCTGCGCTTTTCCTCAGAGGCGCAAATTAATCTACTTACAATAATTGCTATCATCATAGCTGTGCGCAAGACTCCAACAACCGACAGGGTTCACGAGGATCGAAACTCGTGCTTACAGCTGAGCATCACCGCCAAAAACCAAAATACCCCGCCAAAATGAAGAAGAAGACCGTCTTCGTAACCATCACCCCGATTCCCTCTCATATACCTCGCCAATTGGCTATTGATATGCTTCACAGCCATCAGGAGATCATTGAGCTCAACCCTCTCGTAATTGGTGTCAAACCAATCAAAGCCCCCCAGTCGGCACCCCCGGACGAGTTCTTCTCAACCTGGTACGACATTACAGAACGAATTCAATATGTGCCGGGCATGGGAAGATTCGGGTCGGGGAAAATCAATTTCAATGGCTGTTTCCATGACATGCCTTGGGGTCTACAGACACATGTATATGCACCGATGGGTATAGACCTCCGAAACAAATGGCAGATTCGAGGTAACCAGCCTGGAGAACCCCCAGAAACCAAGGAACTTGGAAGTGGTGCGCCTCCTTCGGGATTATACCTCAGAGAAGATATCGAGATAAAATGCAATCCAGCGATGGTATCATTTGTGAAGAAGGAAATGAAGGCTTCCTCCAAGACTATGGTCGATCGTCTTGTGAAGAAGGCTGAATTGATCGATGCAGGTGTCCTCAGCGCAATGTTCGATGATGGAAAACTCAAGACCATGAATCCTGCGGATCGATCGCAAACATTCCAAACATCTGGTCATTATTCTCCGGGCTTACTCTCTCCTGCGCCGTCGTCATTTGGCGCTCCTCCCCAGTCACCTGGGCTTTATCCTCCATCAGCCCATCCAAACTCTGCCCATCCAAACTACGCCCAGAATCAATCAGCCTTTACTCAAAACCAATCAGCCTACGCGCGACAGTCGCAATACGGTCAATATGGCCACGCCCCACCACCCCAAGGCCTGGCCATCGAAATGCCAGGTAGCACGCATTTCGCGCCAGATACCAAGCCACCACAGCAACATCTGCATCCATCCAACAATCGCTTTTCATCAGCCGTGTCGGAGTTGTCAGCGAGTTCTCCGCATAATTCCAATTTTCAGATGAACAGTTCTGCGTCTGACCGACAAAGCTATGCTGGTTCAGTTAGCTCCCATCCTAGTTCCTTCCAACCGGGTGACGATGGCAATACAACACATTCGCCTGGACATGACAAGCGGGCATTTGTAGCCGAATTACCTGCAAGCTTTGGTCCAGTACCTAATCGTACACCAAGAAGTCCTAACCCGAGTGCTCCAATGAATCCCCAACAAACACCACCACAGCCCCAAGCGCAAGACGGGCAGCAATACAACTACAATCCAGCTGATTATGCTCGCATGTCATAATGTCATCTTTATTACGCAAAGCTTCTACATCCCCGCGGTGTCCACACCACATGCCATGCCCAACACCATAGTATAGGTCTTATCGTTTCCGAAGTCAGTGACCAAGGCAAACGAACTACTATATTACCTCCCAACCAACATGTGGTCTGGTCGGCATGGCCTTCGAAGTCTTCTTCTTGCAATTCGTTTGTACTACGACGAGTACCGGCGTTCTCCGATGGAGGCTCACGATCGCAACATGTCTAGCTATCGTCAGACGGAATATAGGGCAAGTCGACCAATTGTCGGAAAAGTAGCTTATGCTTACTCCATACTTTTATTGTTTCAGATACCCAGAAAGATAGGAGAGCACATCTCGCTATTCATACCGATGGGTTTCCGTCCGCGATGTCATGATCTGCGAGCCTCTAATTTTTTGGTCTACGGGATTTTGGATTTTCTACTTTGTGATCCAGGGCAGAATGCACTAAGGCGCTCTCGAATACTTTGGTGTATCATGGTGGCACGTAACACGGTTCTTCTACAGGAATTCATGATGTCAATGCAAATCTAGTTCACGAATATATTGTTCTGCTTATACATGACTCCGTGTGTAACGAACATCTAGGCTCAGCATACACCACCCTCTAACCACTTTCATGGGAAATTTACGATACAAAGGTACCTACCTAGATACCTAGGCTGGGTTGCAGCCCAGAGAGATTGGCGTCGATCCTTCCTGCAAGTTTTCAGCTCTTCGAAGGCACTTCAATTTCAGCCCCAGATCGACCCAACTCGCCCCAGGAATATCAATCCAGGCCACGGTCGTGTGCGAAAGGTCTGATATTGCGTGCTCGCTGCAAGGCTACCATCCAAGCCGGCCCCCACCAACCTAAAATCAAGAACGCCTTGCCCATAAAGACTGTCAGGATCCCGTACTGCTTGTGAGAAGCCCGACCTCATCTTCACTGAGTATGGTTTTGATTCCTCGTGCTGTTGAAACCATCCCTCGTGCTTGAAATTTATTGACTTCGGGTTCGGGTGATCTTAGCAGCAAGACGAAATGATATACGCTGCCTTCCATGACTCTGGCGTATAACACCAAGATGCAGGAGCAAACAAAAATCCTGACAAGATATGTTCGAGACTTGTGAGTTGGCTCGGGCCAGACGATGTTTATTCTGGAGGACGCAGTGAGCAACCTTCAATTTTTAATCCAAGATTCTGGATATTACAGGCACGTTACACTATTCACACCGACGACTACTCCAATATCAATGCACCAAAAGCATTGAGAACATAGGAGGGATATTTTGATGAAGATTTGATGATTGTTCTTATTATAGAATATCTGGTCCATTCCGCCATTTCTGCCCGAGGAAAGGGTCACGAAACGCCGATAATATTCCTCTCACTACCAACCGATCCTTCGAATACCAACATGTTTTGACTGCCAATACTCCAAGAACTGGTCTAGAGGAAATGTTCGTCTCATTTTCATTCGTACAACTCGTCGCCAATATCATACATGCACCATATGTTCAATCATAGCTTTGTGGTCATGTGCCATAGTGCACCAACTTATGGGGCAGAGCAGATGAGACCTTGCTCAAGCTATAAGAATACGACCGTTAGTGATCTGATCTCTGGAGTTATTTTAGCTGGATAGACTTACGATAGGCAACAAGCAGCAGCGGGCGCGCTGGCCAATGGCGGCGCAGATCTCGCCAAAATTATCAGCACTGGTGGGTGTCTCGGGAGCTTTCGAATATCGTTAGCTGTGTATACAGAATCGTGTGGTAAGAGCGAAAACTTACGTGCAGCACAGTCAAGGTCGGCAACACCAAGGACATCGGTAGCGCAGCAAAGAGGAGTGCTGCCGAGGCCAGAGCAGAGGAGAACTTGACGATCCATCAAGGTGCTCTTCCCTGGAAGGGCAGCGGCCATTGCGGTGGAAGCGCCAGCAAGGGCGATGACGACGGCTTGGAAATGCATGTTGATGGGTGTTGTGGAAAGGTTTTGAAGAGTTGTTTGGTTGAGAGAATGTGTTGAATTGCTGATGAAGATGCTTTGAGGTGCTTTGAGATGAAATGAGGAGATGAATTTTAGAGGGGACTTGAGGCAGACTTTATACCTCTTTGTCCGGGTCGGTGAGTATCTTCTTCATGTGTTAGCATACCAGAGTCAGTGGTTTTTCGACGCGCCAGCATTCAGGGTCCTCTCAGCTGTGTAGGGCCATGATTCCGTCGATGACGATGATCATTGCATGGGAAGTGAACGTGGACTGTCCACTCATGACCCCTTATGACGAGGTGCTGCAGCAAGGCTTCGCCGGCGACCAACTATGGCTACGAGTGCTTCTTTGATCTTGGAAGGATATGGATGATCGGCACATGCCTCTGAGGGACTGTTGTACCTGCGTCGATCGTGCCAGGAACGGCAAGACGTCTACGACATGACGAATCAGATGAGTTTCCCGCGACAAATGCCATCTCGAGTGCAAGATGTCCATTCATCCAAGGAAACCCCATAAGCAAGAAATTAGCATCATGGGGAACACAATGCGCATGCGTTCCACAGGATTGGTTTATTGGTTCCTTGCGCTTTGGCCTCTTGTCGAGTGGGTTTTGGTGGACTGGCGAAAGGTTGGTCATGTATACTATTGACTCCTGGCTATTTCCCAGTAGATACGGAGTACTGAGACACAACTATGGACATCATTCAAAGGCTTTAGTGTTGATTATCGGCCAGTACTCTAGATATGGAATGGTTCTTCGATGATCTCCGAGCCCTCTCGTCGATCAAGAAATTTCGAGAGCCTCCTGTGGCACTGTGTGGATGCAGGTGCAAATCATAGGGCTCAGCATTCGCGTGCCATATCCTTGTTCAAGTTGGATAGTTCAAACCCGCCTAATCTTGTCCGGGCAGTCGAAGCTTCACTATTTAGGGGTTCAAGTGTTTAGGCATGAACAAATGATGTCGTTGTGGCAAGGATTGTTCCTTGCAGTGATCCTCGGTGTACTCCAACCGTATGGAGTCAAAGTGCCGATCATTGTGGAGATGCCGTTAGGACGGATGTGGCTGTGGCCGTTCGGTGGGCGTCGTCTTGAGACATCTTATGCTCCGACCAGGATGGACCTAGACAGGGTAAAAAAAAGATTCATTCAATTAACCGTCCCCGGTAGTTTGCAATGGTATGGGAACTTGAGTTGCTTGGGAATAATTGCCGAGTGATCCTTTTGTTCGCTAAATCTGTTCATCCAAGATTCCCATGCCATGCCATGGCAAAGCTGCGTCCACACGACTGAATTCCCTGCATCAACTTCCTGGTCAAGCTGAAATTAGTAGGGTAAACATGCTATGATGTCAATCACTCTAAGCGAAGCATTGAAGATTCGTCCCCACTTCAACTTCGTGTACGAGGTACTGGTGGATGCATTGAGAAGAGCTGCGAGCTGTCACCGGCAGAGTCGACCGGCATCGCTCGGAGCTAGTATTCAAGTGATTTCATGTCCCAACTTCAACGACCATGCGGCGTTGTGGTGAGCAAGTCTGTCAGTGACAGCATTCTAGTGTAATCTTTACACCGCAAGACATTGCCCCGAGTCTCATTCAGATTGCAAACTACCTTGGTCAACGCTGTATTTGGTGTCCTCCCCTCGAAAAAGCGGCCGAAAGGAGCGTTGCTGGGCGTCGTAACACCTCAGCCCTCTACCATGGATGTGTGGTCGCCAATCTTGATGTATTGCTGTAGTGGGTACTCTGGAAAAAAAGTTCGTGTGTAGATCGTGCAAATCAGGAGCAGCAGCCTCGAGGTCTCTCCAGATTGCCATCACTTCGCCTAAACCTGCAAATACTTTGTTCTTTCGTGTCTGATGGCTCCACCCGGATGTGCCTACTAACTAGTAGTCTGTACTTGACGGAGCATCCAATCAAATAGATTAGGGGAGTAACGATTGTACTTTACTGACGCCGATCGTTGTGGTGGCGATGTTGAAATGGAGGGTTCTCTACGGCACATCTTGGCTGGGGATGAGAGGAAGAATCGGGTTTCAATTTGGACAGCTTGCACTACTAAAAATGGCTTTCCATCTGTAACATAGGGACCCTAAGGTGTCTCGACTTGTCAGCGGAGGGGTGTCTGAATGTTGAGGTATCAAGCGTTTCAAGTCCACCAAGAATGCCGCTGACGAGCAAGAATAAACACTATTTCATGAAGGATGTGTAACACTCAAGGGCAACAGAGTCATAAGAAAATCCTGGCGGTGCGGTAATAGTGGAAGAGCACGGTCATTAAACTCTGGTTCTACTCTAAGCGAGCTGGGTCTATCTGCAGTCGCTGTCCGCCAGCAATCTCACTCCTCTTGCGAGTCACCATCAGCTATTCACCTTGACGTCACGGATCCCTCTGACAGGAGCTCATTTGCAGTAACACAAGTACACTTGTATGTTTTACCATTGTTGCAAGAGTCTTGAAGTGTGTGACCATACATTTTATCATACACTTCTATGCGATTATGGAGCCGGAAGCCATTTTTAATCCCCTCACAATCCTTGATGTTGTTTGTTAGGAATCCGCTGCGAAGTGGTAGCTACGAGAGCTCAGAAGCATTGTGGGTATATTGAAGTGATTGAAACTCGTTTAGACACCCGGAGGCTAACAGGATTCCAGTATACGTATTTGCACCTGTCGGACTTGACTTCCTTGCCCAGGACTCCTCCGTCTGACTAGTCGTAGCGAGAAGACAAGACGCATCGCCTATATCCAATAATGTGAGATAGGCATTCAATCCTCAAACTCTATTTACAATTACTGCGTGTTGTTTGTTCTACGAACTTCATCGAAGTGATCGTTCAAACTTGTGGCTTGCGTTCGCGCTCGGGCCTTGAGTTTAACCTCCTTGATCCCCAAATTGAAAATCACTCATTCGAGTCGCCTGGAGTCGATCTCATTGGATATACTAATTTGGCTGCAAGGTCTGAGGCGCAATTTCCAAGGAGTATATGGGAGGCATACAAGTTGACTGTCAAAACGATGAATAAGTACATGGTATGTGATAGAGACTTGTTTGGCATGTCCTGGCTCTAGGATTAGCAATATGATGGCCTTCGACCCTTACAACACAGAGCCACTCCTTGTCGGCACAGATCATATGTAGTCATTCTAATCATTGCTGCCATTGTAAGCAAGTCTTCTGAGACTGTTGATGTCGCTCGTGGCTTCGTTATTCTTGATCGTCCCGATGAAAGACTTCTATATCACCTTAGCCGTGTCATTGGTTGCTTTCGAGATAGAGAGACCACATCGCATTGAATCCCACTTGAACTTTCGTAATGGTCTTTTGCCACTCGTAAGCTGCCACAGGGATCGACTTTTGTTGTCACGGTGCCAGCAACCGTCGCACTTGCTTGGACCTCACGGCAACCCCGATTGGTTCGCTGTCGACCTTCTAGCTGGTCGATCCTTTTCGGTGTCGACGATTTTCATCCCTGTAGATACCACCGTTGGTCGAATCTAAGAAATCAGTTTGCGACAAGAGCCACTACTTACTAATTACTTTGTCGTCTCGTATTATGATTTATTTTGTTCTGCCGATCATCATTGGTGGCGACCCTGTTTTCGTGAGCTGCCCGCTGTCCGTAGTCCAGAAAGTTGCTTGCTGCGCAGCGCTTCGGGTTTGAGTGTTCAGAGTGATGTTAGGGACTTGAGGTCTGGTTAATTGCAAGTGGGAAACATGTCTCGATCGATCAACTGACAGCTGCGGAACCAAAACAGTACCGTGCTCGCGATCTACCATACAGCCCCTTTTCCATAACACTGAGGACTTTGGACAAGATGTACATGCTATACTACCGTCAACAGAATGGTATGTGTGTATCGCAGGCAGCATGTTCCATTTACGTATTCATTAGTGATCGTACCCTGTCGACCCGGAATGGAGTATACAGTTAGAAGAGCGGACAGCAACGACCACGATCTTCACTTCGCGCATATGTCTTACGCAGCTATCTGAAGCGTAAATGGTCATTAAGTAGGAGCGGAGGCTTTATTGTCAATCAGCCACAATATTCTATTGAAGCGATCTTCATGCTCACAGCTCTCACAGCACTGATCACCGCTGAGGCCTACGGTCTATAAGAAGCCACTTCTAAAAACGTCAAGGTCCTGCCTATATTCGGAATTCTATAGAGCCTTCTGTGAGGAGGCTTGCGCCGAAGATCCGTTCGTCTGGTCCACTGAAGCAGGCGCAATCTCAAACACTGGATGGGAAATGTGATGAAAATAAAAGGAGGTTTACAATAAGACACAGGACCACTGATCCATCATCGACACAGTACTGCAAACACTGGGCACGAATAAGAATTTCCAATCTCCAAATATCGTTCCAAAACAGCTTTAAAATCATTGCGTACTGCATTGCTATAATGGACTGCATATACGTCGGATATTGTGATCATGGTCACAGAATTCTGGTCATCATATCCAACACAACACCCACCGTTGGGCCTTCACCCCATGGTCTACTTATTGTGGTCTTACTTTTCCTAGTCTTACTAAGTAGTTTTCTCTGTGTGGAAACTTTCGGATCACGAAACCAGGAAACAAGAATTATCGTGGAATGATCTTGGAATGATCTTCATACAGCCTCCCATCACGAGAATGAAGCGAGGTTTACAAATGCCCTCGCGGCTCTCTGACCTTCCATGTAAATCCCCTTTGCCACTGGTCTATGTCAAGCTTCGTCCAGGTACTGAGCAGCAATTAAGAAAGTTATGGCTTTCTCGACGGTTGTGCCTCAAGTTTCTGCACATGTGTCGTGATTCAATGGCGCATCCAAAAGCACTCCTCACCTTTATCCTCGCTGACTCAGCAAGGCTGTGAACCCCTACCATCCACCACGACGAGCATACACCGAAATGGACGGACCCCAAGAGTGAGTGACTTTGCTTGCTTGGTTGAATTATGTTGGATCTCAAATATGGTTCGAGATATGTTTAATACATTATGATCATGCCCTTATTTTTTTATACGTACGAACCTGGGTAAAGATTTAGCTAATGTCAAGGTTGAGACCTCATGCCGAAAAAAAAGATGCAGGTGCAAGTCGCAACATGCAAGAGTACCTCATCTACGGTATTCCGAGACTCCGATTCCTCGGTTGAGTCAGTTTACGGTTGCTAAGGTCCGAAATGCGGGGAGGAACCAGTTCATCACCATACATCCGGTATATCGCAGTTAGTCGCACAAAGATCGCAGTCTCTGTTCGTCAAGCTCATAACTCACAACTGGCTATGAGATTCTCTTATACCTAGCACTGAGTTCAGTAACGAATTTGCGAGTGAGGAGATGGAAATATTCACCAGTGCACGCCCTTGAAGTCCGAGGCCAAGCACGCCTCGGCAGCGAAATGGGGGGCCTGAGAAGTCATAGACCCCAAAAATCACTTGCTCATACTAGCAAGATGATTTCCGTTGCTGAAAGAGCCTTGATGGATATCTCGGGTCGCGGGTTGCATCGATGGCAGTCTCCCCCCATCAGTGATATTGCTCTGGGAGAAGTCTCCTTGACCCTTCGATGTCGGCGCTCAACATGCCTAAGCGATCACAATTCGAATTTATTGATGGTTCACCTGCTCACACACAGGTAGAGAAGGAACTTATCAAAGCTCAAGCGAGGTCGCACGCTGCCAAAGAGTCGCATGCGAGGCGGAGAATGGTATTTCGCAACAAAGGACTTTCTGGAAAGCAATACCGAGTTGTTCAGCAAACCACAAAACTTCAAACTCTGCCTACTATCAATGGGTCCCATGAGTACCGGCCCTTACGAAAAGGTTCCCAGTCCGCTTATGTTACCTCTGGCCAGTCGATCTGCAATCTTTGTGGATATCGCAAACGCCATCTCCGTGGCTATCAGTCCGACAGCCATAAGCACCCGAGCTGTGGATGTGAATATCAAACAGAGTTTGAAAGTTTTCGAATGATGTTCAACCGTCCAGCGCTTTGGCCTGACTGGGATTCTGAGGAAGTTGTCGATCTACAGTTCTTCATCGAAGTATTAGGTACCAGTGTTCGGAGTTACTCAGATGGCGGATTCTTCAACATCGTCGTTCCTTGCCTCGCCAACTTCGATGTTGGGATTCGAAACCTCGTCTTGGCGGTAGCTTGCACCCACCGGAACATACTGAGCCCGAAACAGATGGACCCTGCGGCCTCCAAAATCAAAGCTCTCAAGAGGTGCAATAGTGCCGTTGACCTCCTCGCCAAAAGCTCTGACGTCACACCATCTGAAGCCTTGCAAGCGTCTTGCATTCTACTAGCATGCTGGTATATGTTGAGACTAGATTCCAAAGGCGCTGCCAACTGTATGCGCGTGGCAGAGAAACTATGCCATATGGACAGCAATTTGCAACTCAGCAGTCGAATGGTATCGGCACGAAATACTACAGACCCAGAAGCGACCAGCAACTATCGAAGATCGACATTTGCTACCATCATAACAGGGGTCGTGGCCAAGAAGCTTATCGACACGGCGACCATTTCCGTTTATCATACGTGGACTGAAAGCCAGAATTACCTTGCCCTTGAACTCAACTTAAGCTCTCACTGGTTTCGATATCCGATCAGAGATACCCATGACTTGCTAGGGAGCATTGAAATCCTTTCTCCATTCTACACACAGCTTAGGGCGAATGTCGCATATCATGCATGTATCAGTCGTAGCTCGAGTATTGTACAAGACTTGCTGGGCCACATCGAGAAGATAGCGACAGCATTGAACATGGCAACTGGATCCAATGAGCATATCGCCTTTGTGCTGAATGTCATCTGGTACTGGCTTACCTACTATTACACTGGTTTTCATTGTCATGTGTTATCAGCCTCCGAAATGTCTTGGGACAAGTACACCATCGAGTTTGTAGCCCTCGTTGTGCGGGCCGAGAGGTATCTTTCGCAAAGAGCGTCGCAGAAGTCATCCCGCTACATCTTTCTACCTGTTGGGACCATCGTCCAACCCCTGTGGTTCACAGCGGTCCACTGTCGAGAGCCTACAATCCGGAGACGTGCAATTTCTCTGTTACTCAAGCACCACTATAACGAGTCGGGCGTGGATAGCTGGCTGGCTGGCCAAGTCGCGCGGGAGCTTGTGTATCTCGAAGAAAACCAACGAGATGTCCGTACCGCTTTGGACGTCGACGAATGCGATCGAGTCCTGTTGCGCGGATTCAAGTGTGAACATGGGCAGCTATACCTCCTATACATATACGCTACCGACGTCGGGCAACCCGAAAGCACCATTATGCACCGCCATCCCTTTTCAATCCCAAAAGATCCGCACGGAGTGGTGGATTCTATGAGAATGAATACCGATGTCTCATACCTCCACTTCTTGGTGGCACTAGTTGCTCAAACCATGTCAGATCTAGCTCCGAGAGGTTCTCTTGTTCCGATACTACGATGATGAACTTGTGGAAATAATCCTGCCATCACATGGAGAGTGTGACGATCTCAGCTGTACTCGCACCCAACCGAGCACCTTGACAAACACGGGCTGATGGCCTTGAGTCGATACCAGCCTGCTCTAAAGAGCTGCTGAGTTGCGGAGCACATATCGTTCTGTACAAGTGAGAGTCCCCGGCCATTCTGCATTCTCAGGACTCCCAGATTAACATGAGATAGGACAGGACACCCACAACACCGTCGTCAATAACCCTTATCAAGATTAAGCCTGGGCAGTAGCGCCGTCAGCGTTGATCCTATACCACGCCAGAATAGATACCTACTCGCTCACGAAAGACTTAGATAGTTGGGGAAGGAAGGATTTAGAAGGCGCACACCGGCTGGACTTGAAGGTTTGCCGGCCCATTGCAGTACGGTCAGCCTTGCGCCAGCCTTGCGCCAACCTCGCTGACATAACCATTCAGATACACCACAAGAGGGCCAGGAAGCATCCAGCTCGCATCGACTTATTGATGTCACTCTATCGGTCCAGAGCCAGCCTTCTTATATCTGCAAAGTGACCAGGTGAGCTGGTGTTGAGGACCAGCCTGTCTGTCGCCTTGTTCCTCCTCAGTCTCGGAGTTTTGGTCTTCTCGTAGTTTGCGACGGTGCTAACAACAAGTCCACATCGGACGATTAAAGGAGCAATCGATGCCGCCGAGCACGGGGAAATATGGCAATAAACTCGCATTGTGCAGAAGCATAATGTGTAGGTTTCCACTTTGCGACTGCTATTAATGCCAACGTGATATGGTGACATGGATATCCATGCCTGACGTCAGCTATGCTCGAAAGCGTGCAGGGAAGGCAGGGAAGTTCACTCCACATCTCTAGAAATTGATGCCCCGGTTTCCAGCAGCTCACGGATGGGAAGATCTGTACAGGTATGGTGTGTAGTAAAAGATTGAATTATGTATATGCCGCAAACTCCATGCTGGAATCCGTCAAAAAGCTTCGGAACATAGAAGCCTGAAAACCAATGCAAGTGTCCCGTTCCACTCACCAGACTCGAAAATGCTAGGTAGGGTATTTGGAGAAGCCGGAGCAGAAATCGTGATGTTCGTGACCAGATTGAAACCCCCAGAGACGTGGAAATGCCGATTCATTGCATCGAGTGCTTAACTCAAGATGCCTCATTTAGCCTGTTCCTTGGGTATCCGTAAATTTTCAGAATAGGAACTAGACCTGCCCATTCCATAACCCCCGATCCCAACCACCAGGATATCACTCATCACCCAGACTCTCGCGCACCAACTTCTGACATTTCCGTCTAAAAGCCTTGGGATCTTCCCTCCACATCTTGGCGGCGTCGACATTGGCAGGACTCTCGTCATTGGGACTGCTCAGCATGCTGATGACGGATAACAGGATGGTCTCGGGCGACTGGACGGGTGACCACCGCTCGGCAGCCGATTCATATCCGTATTTGTCTTCTTCCGGCGGATGGAGGATAGAGATACAGACATCGCCGGACTCGTAGATGTTGGGGTGAAAGATTGGGGTTTCAAACTTCATCTTCGGTGGCATGAGCGGGTATTCGTGTGGGAATGACAGGCGTGCGCGGAAGAATCCTCCTAGATGGGGGTTTGGTGCGTCAGTATAGTTGCTATGCCCTTGAAAGAGGCGACAGGATGTATATACCTCCATAGTACTTGCAGTCATCGTTGATCATGAGCATGACTTCCCATTCGAAGATGTTATTGTCGACTAGGCCGCAGCTTATGCCCGGAATGTCTTTATCGGTTTGCATTTGTTTAAACTGTCTTCCAAGCAGCCCTGCAGCTGCGGAAGTGGTGGCCATGGTTGGGGGAGGTCTTGAGGCGTGGAGCGAGGTACCAGATGGATGATATGGACAGAGAGGCGCGACAGATATGGGCGGGGTGTTTGGTATTGAGGAATGGTAAGTTGGGCTCAATCGACTTGGAAGGTGGCAAGAAGATGAGAAGGCGGTAGATTGTCTGCTAGAGGCAGTAAGGGAAGACAAGGTGCCTTTGTAAGATCAATCGATACGAAGCTATAAATGTGCGAGGCAATGCAGACAGCAATCAGTAGTGTACCATAGTAGGTGAATTGGAGTAGATGAGGTGGTTAAAGTGGGATGATGACCACCGAATTCGGGCCTGTCATGATGGGTGGGGGAAGATCTTAGGCCCCGTAGGCGCGAGCAGGCGCTAAACAAAGACGGTCCCTCGGGTTTGTTTTAAGGCTGGCCCCTGGCTTGGTAGGCGCATGCTGTGACTGGGGGCGCCTGCTCTTCTAGGGTCAACCACACCCGGGTGTCTTGGCTGAGCATCGACTTCGGATGTTTGCCGAGGCGCAATATATCACTTCAAGGTCGAATCATGGCAAAACCAGCAAGACATATAGGTTATAGGAATCATGTTTTTGAGTACAAATTGTACTCATACCAAATCACCGCTAGGAACGTATATCCATGTTCCTTCATGTTCAATCCAGAACACTCTGGCGCCTATCATGACCCAGCAACGTTCTATACAATCAGCCCTAGGTCGAGGCTGTTTTCCAACGCCCTGCAATGAACTTGCTTTCCCAAATACTCCAAACATTGCAAACGCAACCCAAGTTCATAAAGCAGGTTGAGCATAGTCTCTCATAGGACTATCATCCGTAAGTATCATCCAAACACCTCACTGTCCATTGCCAAATCTCCAACCCCCTTGAACTCTCATCCGCTCTCTCTGCTCTCTGTCATGTCGAACTTCTTCCAGTGTCAATCCATCACCACTCATAGCCCAGTTGGCGCTGCTGGTTCGCACTCGAAGGTTCTTGAGTCTATCTTTGTTGCCTTTGGCGAAGATTTCTTCCATTTTCAAGGGGGCGATCGGTCCGAAAACTGCATCGCCATCCATGCCTTCCTGCCGCATCAGTTGTGCAGTAAGATGACCCGGAGTGGCCCAATCAGGGATCGGGAAAGCATTGCCGTCATCATCGGAATCTTCATCTTCAGAGTCCGTGGGAATTTCAGGTAGATGAATAGCATCACCGTTAGGATACTGGGGCGATGATCTGACTGCTTGAATTGTCTTCTTCTTGACGATCGATGCTGGAGTCTTGGTGTGTGGAGGTGGGTTCGGTGCATCTGCAAATGGAATCTTACCCCCAGCGCCATACTGCTGCATTTGTGGAGGTGCGGCTCGACTGGGTGGTTGGGGGAACTGGCTCAGATGGCCAGCTTGTTGTGCTGGTCCGTATGCACCGTGATTGAAGATTGACGGCTTCTTTCCAAGCTGTGACTGGCGAATAGGAGCTCCTGAGACCATGGGTCGTGACGACGCTTCAATAATACTTTCATCCTCGGTCTTTCTCCGCTTAGCGTCGCCGTACTTCGGTGCCTGGGGGCGCGAGGGCCCAGCTTCTTCCTCTAAAGGTCTCTTTGCTGGCTTGGCAGGATTGGTGGGCAATGCATGATTGACAAAAGCACGATTTGCTGTTTGACCGGCGAGTCGAGAAGCAGGTCTCGCTGCAGACTACAGAATGGTTAGGATATTCAAGAGAAGGTGAGGAACCACTTACAGCCTCATTAGCAGCACGATCAAGTCGTTGCTGTTCCGCCTTTCGAGCCGCCTCCTGTCGTTTGCGTTCAATCGCCTGCTGCTGAGCTTGTCTCTTGGCTTGCTCAGCAGCCACTCGTTCTCGCTCCTTCTTCTCCGCTTCTGCGCGTTGACGTTGTTCTTCCTTCCGGGCTTGTTCCTGTTGAGCCGCGCGCTTTCGTTCCAATTCTCGCTTGAGCTCCAGCTTTCTCTGCGCTTCACGCTCGTCTTGCTCCTTCTTTCGCTCTGCGGCTACAAGTGCTCGCGGTTTGGGTGCTTGTCCATGCACAGAAGATTTGAGTGTCGTTGAAGTTGCTGATTGCAAAGACGCAGTGCTTGCCTTCTTGGCCAGTCCAGGGCGTTTAGGCTCAACAGGGAGTGTCTCTTGGACATTTGACGAAGACGATGGTCCACCCATTGGCATTCGCTGCGAGAGGGTTCCCACTCGGATCGAAACCGGTGCTGGCTTCGCTTTGTTGATTGGGGGATCTCTACCAGGGCGCACAGGTCGTCCAGTCTTCATACCTGGTGGTGGTGCGTCTGCCATATCGAATCGCTCTTCATTCTGTCGTCGTGGGCTTGATTGCGGTGGCTCGGGTACCTTTGCTCTGAGTGCCTTCTCATGCGCTGCTCTCTGTTCCGCGGCGTGTCGTCTCTCAGTTTCGCGTGCCTTTTCAAGTTGATCCTCCATCTTCTGTTTCACAACTGCTTCTTTCTCCTTCCGTTGCTCCTGCTTTTCCCGCTCGCTCGAGCTGCGGGTTCTTCTCGAATCTTTGGGGCTTGTAGGTAAAGGCTTATCTTGAATCAATGCATTGAGGTTGGGATACATTCCTGGCATATTGCTCGCTGCAGTTCTCAAGGCTTGTGGTGAAAGAGTCTCCATTTTAGCCGCCGCAGATATGCTTGCACTAGTCGTGAATAATCCTTTTGCAGTCTTCATGATAGATTGGAGCCTTGACTTGGAAGCACTCAAGTCGAGATATCGTCGCGGTGAACCTTGTGGAGTGGTGGTATGGCCGTAGGATGGATTAGATATGGAGATAGATTTTGCAGGACTTGCTGGAGGAGCCATTGCAGCCTTTGCAGGGGATGCCAAAGTTGCAGTCGAGGCAGATTTTGCGTGTCCATAACCCGGCATCAATCTGACAGGAGCTGGAGAACCAACCGGTGTTCTCATCCTTTCTTCGTGAGCAATCAACTCGGGAGCGCGAATGTCAAACTCTTCTTCTTCCGTGTCATCTTCATATCTCGACCCCAAGCCCTTAGCAGGTGATGATACAGCATTTGGAGAGGTAAGTGGTTTGATCCAGTCGTCATCATCGTCAATTGTCTGATTGGTATGTTTGGCATGGCCTTCCGTGTAAGCAGTCGACTCAGTGTTCTTGATGTTAGCAAGAGTGGAAGATATCGACTTAGAGGGTCGTGGAGGGGGGGCTTTTCCAAGCATGTCAATCTTTTCATGAAGTCGTTGGGTTGATGATTTCGAGTGAGTTTTGGACATCTGAACTTCCTCATCTGAATCGTCGTGGCCCAGGATTTCCACATTTTCGTCGTCAGTCGTATCCCCCATGTCGACATCGTCTCTCATTGTTGTATCTTCATCTTGAGGTCTCGCGGGATGGGCTTCCTGATTGTCTGTCAAGATCGTTGATCGCGGAGCATAGGGATTGGTGGATAGAGGTCGGGCTTGGTCAACATGGCTTGTCCTGGATATTCTCGCTCCAATACTAGATTTCATGGGTTCGCGGGCTGGTAAGGCGGCAAAAGTGAGGCTGCTCTTTCGAACCAGAGGTCGTTCGGGACTAGATTGGTCTGAGGGAGAGCCAACGTCATCATCAAGCTCTTGCGATATGGTTTGGTGTGGTTTGTTCGTCGTTGTAGGTTCATCACTTGGTATGATAGGGTCTGAGATAATTGCCAAGTGTGCCTTGGTGTTTTCGCAATTGCCCAGCTTGGTTGTCTGATCTTCCTTTGCGGAATGGAAAGAACCTTCAGTTGTCCGGTGTTCTTCGTGAACATCAGGTAGATCTTGCTCAGTCATTACATCAGACATAATCAAGTCTTGTGTCTCCGATGGTTGGACAATAGGCGACATATTTGTGTGCTGGTCGAGATCCATATCTTGACTCGATGTGTGATAACCAGAATCTGCCTGCGATTTGTATGTTTGCTGAGTTTGTTCAGCATTGTCTGTAGCAATTTCAAAGCGCGGTTTGTTATGCTGTACTACCTTCTGTGGACTTTGGCGTATTACAGGTTTGGATGAGAAGACATCACTCAGTGGCTGTTGTTCCAATGTCAGAGGCGTTTGTAAACAAGTTGTAAGCAGACTTACAATGCGAGCATCTACACCAGGGACATTGCGTTTTCTCGCCGTTCGGGGAGTCTTGCCGCGCACTTTGCCGGGAGTTTTAAAGACATTGGCCATGTCACTGTCGATGGTCAGTCAGGCCTTGAGTCAAAAGAGGACGTAAAAAGCTTACACATTGCTCTTGCTAAAAATCTCAGCCATGTGTTCGTTGAGCCATTGAAGTTGGTGTTGTGCCGGGAAGACAATCTCTTCTCTTTCATTCTGTAAGAGCTGAAGAGCGTTCTCTTTTTCGGCAGTGATCCACGATGCGGACCCGACAGTGGTGTTCGTGGTCGCCATGGTGAGGAATGGTGATCGACGCGGTTTTTAGTGGTCGAGCCCGGTATAGCAGGTAGTTAAGAGTCCTTCATTTGTTGAAAGCGCGAGAAGGATGAAGGCGAGAATAGCGCAGAGGATCTTTGTTGATGGAATGGTTCAAAGCGGACGAACGACCAAAGGTCGCTTTAGGATCAGTGACGCTGGATTTCAATGTTTGGGTGCTGACCAAAATGGCCTAGCTTCATTCGCGCCTACACGTGATCTACTTGTCTCTTGGCATGTTTGCACCACGCGTTCTTCAAATGATGCTACAGCTTGCATGAGAGAGGCGGCTTCATTGTTGCACATACAGGCATTCTTATAGAAACTTCCTGCAGTGAACTTGGTACAGAGATAGATTTATTACTATATGCAAGGATCTGGTGTATGCCACGATGATCTCCGGCCTTGGTGTTCATCATAAGCCACAATCATGCAACCGCAGAACGGCTGAGTTCAACCAACTAAGTTACAGCTAGCTGTCTACCTAGATACCTCTCCTTGATGCAATGTCCATAAACACCCGAAGGATGCGAAAGCAATCCGATATCAAGTGTGTCCGAGGCTCAATGGACAGGCCGAATCTCGCTGACATTGGTGAGGACGAGTCTAATTTGCCCCCGCATCTCGAAAAGGCCCTGGTGTAACTTCGAGAGACTAGGATATTTCCGAGATCGGAGCATCTCCATGAAGAATGACTCGGACTCTCCACACCCTCTCCTCCAACTTGGACGAGAGCGGCTCATAGATAAATTCAATGGTTCCCCCCTGCCCGGCGTTGCGAATCATATAACTCTTCTTCAAACTTGATATTCTCTCTAGATCCGTGTTCTAATATATATCTAGATTTCTACATCATGGCATCCAAGCGGAGCATTTTTCGCCTGTCTTCACAATTGCTTGCCGAATCTCAGACAGCTATTCGGCCACAACCTCGGCAATGTTCGCGGGCGGTTAATATCAATGCAATCAGACATTTCTCAGCCACTAGACAGCGGAGACTGATGGACTTGAGTGGTTTCACAGAAGAGCAATTGACTGTTCGTGATGCTATTCAGAAGATCTGCGCTCAATTCCCCAATGAATACTGGCAACAGCATGATCAAAGCGAAACCGATCCCAAGGAGCTCCATGCGGCGTTGGCTGCTGATGGGTGGCTGGGGATTGCTCTTCCAGAAGAATTTGGTGGTGCTGGACTGGGTATCTCTGAGGCGACCATGATGCTACAGACGATATCACAGTCCGGAGCAGGCATGGCAGGTGCACAGTCAATCCATGCTAATGTCTACGCCACGCAACCACTGGCTAAGTTTGGCAATAAAGAACAGCTAGAATCAACGATACCAGACATCATCAGCGGAAAGACGAGAGTATGCTTCGGCGTAACGGAACCCAATACCGGCCTGGACACACTACGGTTGAAAACCAGCGCCACGCGCCAGGGAGATAAATATGTGATTACGGGCCAGAAGATCTGGATCACCTGCGCGCAGGTAGCCTCCAAAATGATCCTGCTAGCTCGTACTACACCTCTTGAGGAGGTCACAAAACCCAGTGAAGGACTGTCGATGTTCTGCATAGATATTGACAAGTCGAACCCTGCACTCGAGCTTAAAAAGATCAAGAAGATGGGTGGCCGGGCCGTCGACGCCAACGAAGTCTTCTTTGATCACTACGAAGTACCTGCAAACACTCTCATCGGAACCGAAGGACAAGGCTTCAAGATTATCTTACACGGAATGAATGCCGAGAGATGTTTGCTGGCAGGAGAGGCACTTGGACTAGGATACGCTGCCATTGAAAAGGCAGCCAAGTACGCGAAAGAGAGGGTAGTCTTTGGACGACCTATCGGCAAGAATCAAGCTATTGCCCATCCTCTTGCAGACGCATACATGAATCTCGAGGCGGCGAAATTGTCCGCTTATAACGCAGCCCGTCTGTATGATCGGAGCACCAAGGACAAAAGCATCAGCCAGCATGCGGTCGGAGTGGCCTGCAACAGTGCGAAATATCTGGCAGCAGAAGCCGCATTCCGAGCATGTGAAAGGGCGGTGATGACCCACGGCGGCATGGGATATGCTGCAGAGTACGATGTTGAACGATACCTCCGAGAATGTCTCGTGCCACGGATTGCCCCCGTGAGTCGGGAAATGATCTTGAATTTTGTGAGCGAAAAGGTGTTGGATTTGCCACGGAGTTATTGATTTCGGATAGCCATCATGGTTCAATAGGTAGACACAAGAACAACCTGTGTACATTGTAATAATAACTCGTGAGAAGATCAATCTGGAGCCGGATGTAAATGTGGATATTTCTTGTGTCTATCAAAAAGCGCTGGTGCGGAGAAATAATCTTCATTATATTGGAATATAAATTTCAAACTTCTTGCCCCCCATCTTCCATGATTCATACCACGCAACGACGCTTAGACCAACCTACAACAATCATGTCGAGGATAGAAGAACTACCCGATGACTTTGATGAAAGGATCAATCTTAATGAAGCGCCGAGTGCGCCTTCAATTGAGGATCTTTATCAACAGCACATCAAGACCCCAAGAAAAGATCCCATCAGCGATCAGAGTTTTGAACAAATTGTGCAAGACATGAGCAAAACGCCACTGTTCATGAATAGTCTAGAAGAAGCGACAGATGAGGGTACGACAGTCCTGAAAATGCTTGTGCATACTTGGGCTGGCTTGATGCTGAGCAAAGTGTGACAGATGGACAGAATGACCTTCTCGAGGCTATCAAAGCTTTACAGTACGAAGGGACCAAGGCCGAAGTTGCCCAGGGATTCAAGGAACGAGGGAACGAGATGGTGGCAGAGAAAAAGTGGTCCGACGCCAAAGAATTCTACACCAAAGGCATTGCAGTCCTGATGGACAAAGTCAACGACAAATGGGATCAGGCTGAAGACCAAGAAAGTGAACTGAAACTGCGAAAGACGCTCGAGGAGCAGCTTTATGTGAATCGGGCACTTTGCAACCTCGAGCTAAGTGAGTCGTGGCAATTTGATAGCGTAGCTAAGGGAGATTTTGTGCTGACAGGATAGAAAACTATCGATCCACGACATTGGACAGTGCAGCAGCACTTCGGGTCAATCCGAGGAATATCAAGGCACATTTCAGATCGGCGTCGGCATTGTTTGCTCTGGACAAAGTGCTTGAAGCATTGGATGTAGCATCCCGAGGCATCCAAATCGACCCTAACAACGCAGCACTGTCGAAATTGCTAGAGAAGATCCGTGAGAGAGCCAAGATAAAGGAAGCCCAAGATCGACGACGCGAGGCAGAGAAGCAACGAAAACAACAGGAAGAATCCATACTACAAGCAGCTCTCAAGACGAAGAAGATCCAGCTGCGAGGGACCAAGAATTCGCCCAACATGGAAGATGCTGTCATTCGACTCTCACCGGATCCATTGTCACCGAAAAGCCTGCTGGAGTTCCCCGTGATGCTGCTATATCCAATGCACAACCAGACCGACTTGATCAAGGCCTGGGCGGAGAAGGACGCCATCACGGACCATCTCAGCTATATTCTTCCACTGCCGTGGGACAACAAGAATGAGTACAAGCTGTCGACGGTTGATTGTTACATGGACACTATCAGTGGTGGACTCATGAAAGTGGGCAAGAAATTGACGCTCTTGGAGGCCTTGTCGAATGGCAAGACGGAAATCGTGGATGGATTGGTGAGGATATTTGTTGTGCCGATTCCGTTGGCGTCCAAATGGATTGAGGAGGTCAAGCGAAAGAAAGGGAAGTCATGATGAATATATCACATTTGTTCCGTGGGAAGGCGCGACTCTCAAACACATTGCTGTCTTAGGTATCTGCCTTCCGCCTTGTCCTCCCGAAATCTCCATTATGATGCCCATTATTTCTCTGATTCACGTGGTTTGTAGTAACCTCACATGTCCCTACGGGTGTCAGCAGTAGCCACAAGGTTTTTGTCAGACTCTCCGCTCACACGCACACAAATTCTCATCCCATCTCATCCCACCATTCATCTTTGACCATCTTTCATCTCCCATCTCCATCACACAATCATCATTCCTTCAACGTTAATCACAGGCTAAGTTCCATGAATCCCCAGTCCCACCCTGCATGTCCACCCCCCCTGCAATCTTCCCAATCACCTCGCGCCATTCTCCGTCCGCGTGGTCTAGCTTCCCATCTCCTGCGGGCCGAATTTGTCGTTGGCGTCTCTTGGGCGTGCCCCCGAAACCCACATTTACGACGCCACCATATCCTTGACGTTTGATCGAGGATAAACAGCTTTTTGCACACCGCACCGCACACGCACAGCCGAACCTACGCCCACGCCCTCCACCACCAGTCATCACCACCACCTCGAGGCTACTCCGTGCATTCCCAGATCTCACAAATTCCCTTAGCTCACACCCAATCATCCACCTGGGATCGCTAAAGCAATCAATCATGAACAACCCCGCCCTCCCTGTTTACGCTTCCCAGGCGCAAAATCCTTACGCTGCTGCTGCCTTCTCTCAATCCCAGCCCGGTGGTTTTTACGCCCCGTCCAATGGCCCGCCCTACGACGCTGCCCAGACCTCATTCCAACCTACGATGATACCAAACCATATGCAAAGGCCATCCCACCCGCAGCAAGTTCACCAGCCCATACCTCAGCAGTTCTATCAACAACCGCAACAATCCTCTCACCCCGGTTACCCACACCAAGGCCCTACCTCAAACTCTGGCTCTCCATTTCCAGGTCAGTCCCTTCCCTCCTTCCTTGTCATGGCCAGTGTCCCGATACGAGTACCGAGTATCGATTGAGAACCAGGGTTGACAAGACATTCAGGCCAGACATCTTCAAACCGACCATCACCTGCGCCACCCAATCCCGGTTCGAGACATAGTTCCAATCCCAGTATCCCCCAACTTCACACACTATCCTCATCTCAAGCCACAATATCAACTTCACTTCCTACCGCAGTCGACCCTAACATGGCGGCGGCCATTGGAATTCAAGGCCAGCCCAACGCGACTCTTGCTCAACAAGCCCAGATGCAGAATGCAGCGCAGGCAGCCCGCGTTCCCACTTCGACCCCACAACAACAATCATCACAGCAGCAACAACAATCGCCAGCAGGACAACCGCAGGGTCAGCCTATGTCGCCACAGTCGGCCGCTCGTGAACGGGCTCGGGTTTCCGTGCTGCTAGAAATAAACACCCATTTGCTGCAAGAGGTAGTGTCTTTACAGGCTCAGGGTAAGGCTGGTAGCACTGCGAATCAAGGTCAACAATCCCCAACATCCCCAACATCAGCTACCGACCCCACCAATGCGTTGAGCAACAGTCCGGGAGAACCACCGAAGTCTGCTGGTGGAACAGGTTCCAGTAATTCCAAGCCTGCGTCTCAGGAATTTGTCGATTGTATGAAGCGGTTACAGGCCAATTTATCCTATTTGGCCGCAATTGCCGATGCGAAAAAGAAGGTCAACGGTGCTATACCAGCAGGGCCTGCAATTCTGGCTCCGCCAGCTCACTTGACACCTGTTCATGACCTTTACAGGAAATTAAATGCCCTGTTCCCAGAGGCCAGTCAGTCTGCGATCAGTAAAGCTGTACGCTACTCTTCGAACCAGGGCCAGGGCCAAAAGGGTCCCCCTGTGCTGGCTCAAGGTTGAATGTCGAGAAGTACTTTGAATCAAGTTTATGGCAGATCTCCCGTGGAGCTTATATGACCTGATTCACCCGCGGAAACACACTCCTATAATCAGAGTGATGGACCGGCTATATCAAAACCTAGGCTTCCTGGCCGAAGAGGATTTCCGCATTCAGCCAATCGCTGAACTCCGAAAGTCTGCGAACGCCAGGTGATGTTGAGCTGCTCGGAAGGCTTGGAACCAAAGTCACGCGGATGCGACTCTTGATTCCAGAGTCTTTCTAGGCAGGACCTCGATTCTACTCCAAAGATGCCCATTTCAAAAAAGGGGGCCCAGATGGAGACTGAACCACAAGACAAGACCGGAACCTCCCACTCTCACATACACGCATGAGTGGGCCCCACGAAACTTTTTATTCTAATCGCTTATGCCTGATACTTCCTTATGCTGGGGAAACCGATCAGGTCAAGGCGAGGGTCCATCCACTTACAGCATGACAACTGGCGGTGACCTTATCATCTAGGATGATTCAAACAGGAGGACAAGTTGCCCCATCGTGCGCAATTGATCGTGAGAAATTGTTCGGCTAAACCGCTTTCAGGCGGGCTTAAGATATACTTTCAGTGCGCAGAAGCTGGATGGATACGTGGAACAAGGAGGAGACATTTGGACAGCTCCGACCAGAAGACGTTCCAAGTATATATATAAACCACTGCTTCTTGACTGGTGCACGCCATTATTGCTGGAAAGCCATAGTCTAGTACCTCGGCATGCCAACGGCGGACTTTGAGAGCAGTCCTTATACGTGTTAATCCGGAACAACGGTTATACCGAGTCCATGTTGCATTACTAATATGACCTATTGTGTTAGGCCGTCCATGCCAACAACCAACAACCAAAAACAACATTATCATCACAACATCCGCTTCCAGGTCTAGCATTCTCCCTAGCCTGAATGGTAGAGAGAGAGACTCAAGAGGAAACCCCACTCATCTATCATTCCACACCAGCAAATTATGACCCTCCCCCTCAAAAGCAAACAAGGCTGCTGGACCTGTCGTCTGCGCAAGAAGAAATGCGACGAGTCGCGGCCGGCGTGTTCCGTGTGCACGGCGCTGGCGATCACATGCCACGGCTATGGCGCCAGACCGGGTTGGATGGATGACTCTGAAGCCGTAGTGAATGTGCTCGAGGAGTTGAAGGGTGTTGTTAAGGTTACGAGTCGCTTGAAGGGGAAGGCTAAGGCTGGAGGACGGGGAAGAGGTCCCGGGCCTGAGGGGGTTGTGCTGAGGCCGAAGTCTGGTTCTGCTGGTGGTGGTGGTGGTGGTGAGTTGAACTTGGATAGAGATGGGAATGGAAATGGAACTAGCAAAGGCGCCCTGGATGTAAGTACCTATGCATATAGTAGTTATTTCTATTATCCTTTGGAAGGAAGCCTGGAGAGCAAAGCCGCTGAGAACAAGAAATCTAGACATCTCCATCAATACCCCACGGAGAGCCAGGACCTGCAGCCGCCAGTCCTCCATCCACAGCATCGCAGCATTCTATACACGGTGACGAATCTATCCTGTTAATGCATTTCCTCGACCACGTCTTTACCCTGCAGTATCCACTATATCGACCACAGGCCATCGAAAGCGGGCGAGGCTGGCTCCTGTCGGCTCTCCTCCGGTCGAAGCCGCTGTATCATGCCGCGCTGGCGACGAGTATGCATCATCGACGAACACTCATGTTGGGAAGGCTTTCACCATCTGCCAGAGCGACTGCCTTGGTCGAGCAGGAGAGATATCTCGAAATCGCAATCAAGGCGGTCACAGAGCAGGCGGCGAATGCTTGTCCGGCGGTCGGGCTGGATATCATGCTCACCGTCGTCCAGCTGGTTTTCTTTGAAGTACGTTTCGTCCATCGCAGATCTCTCTCGATGTTGCACCTGGCATACCCCTACTAATGCGTGGTGTCCCAAAGATATTTGCCGGCAATGGTAGTGGATGGGAACCACATCTCCGTGCCACGATGAGCATGTATGATCGTGGATACAGCCACGATCTCAAACCATTCCGATTGGCTGAAAGATCCAGAATAATTCTGCAAGACGATCTGCCTCTAGGAGAAGAAGATGACTCCTTCGTGTCAGAAGAAGTTATAAGCTTCAGATTTCTGACCGGCACTATCATCTGGCTCGATATTGTCTCGTGTATCACAAGAGGGACAGCTCCTGTGCTCTCATCTTACCACCCGCGTGTTCTAGCCCCGGACTCCCAGGTTGATGTTGGGAAGATCATGGGGTGCAGGAATCGAATCATGCTTCAAATTGGCCGAACTGCCGCGTTGGTGGAGCAATGGCAACAGCAACAAATTCAAGAAGCTCGGAGCGGTACTTTCGAATGCAAACCGTTGAGGCAAACAGCATATGATATTTATCAAGAGATCCAGTGCGAAATCGCACACTTAGCGAAGGAAGATGGCTTCGTTTCAGAAGCCGACTCCATCTTAGATTTCGATTTAGCAACAGTGCCAGGAGAGGATCCAGAAATGCTCATCACACGTCTGTTCGCATGCATGGCATCGATATATCTGCGGCTAATCACCCAGAGGTCTTTTCCTTCAAGTCTGACTAGCCTAGACGAGTCGATTCATGTCGAAGCCATGACAAGACTCCGTGACAGGATCCCAGGAAAACTGCTGGCCGCTTTGGTGTGTCCTTTATTCATCATCGGTTCGATAGCCAACACCGAAAGTGATAAGCAGTATTTTCGAGATGTATTCTCGCAGGCGCCCTTGTCTGCATCCATATATCAAGACCGAGCGAAGATTTTGCCGGTTCTAGAGAAGATCTGGAGTAGGAGGCGTGTTGATTCGACATTTGGGTGGAACGACTTGCTGGCCATTGCTGATGGTGTGCTGCTTCTCTAAGACATATCATCACCCGACATAGGTCTTACCATGTCCATTGTGAGAGTGAATTCCACAGGAGCTCAAATAACATCAGACCCGGGACTATGACAAGACGAGGTATACAGTCAGGATTTCTCGATTCTCCATACCGATGCTACCTTCGCGACGTCCACACTGACATCTTTGGCCCCACCGTCTGAGGATAGTGAAATCCCAGTGCCTGCGGTATCCAATGGAAATATTTGTGCAGTGATCGTACATTCGCCTTGACCACCAAAAACCTCGACAGAAGACCAATCGAGCAAAACACGAAATCTTACGACATCATCTTTCGGTTTCAGCGGTGCGTAATACGTGCCTTCGTAGTCGCTGCTGAACGTGGAATCCCCACCAGCAGCAAGACGATTCACGAACAACCTTTCTGTGGAGAAGTCGTAACCGACGGTGGCAACGGCAGTGCTATTGGTATTGCTACGACCATCATCGGCGTTAGTCCGCAGATTCAGACAGACCCATTTCGAAGAGGGGGCAGGGGAGAATGCAACTGTAATATCCAGTGTTTTCTCGGAGATTGGAAAGTCCATATTTCCTTGTGAGAGAGAATGCCACTTCTTGGAAAGCAACTTGGGCTCACGTTCGAGATTCGGGAGACTGGAACACGGCGCCGAAATAAGCTGAACACGGCCTTCTTCGGTCGTTGTGAGTGTAAGCTGGCGAGGGATAGTCATTGCACTTCGCCATGGGTTAGTTGGTATGCTTGCAGCATAAGCCCAATCATTCATCCAAGCAATTGCGACACGCTCGAATTTGTCAAGCCCATTATAGGTGGCAGCCGCATAATAGTCAGGACCATAATCAAGCCAGTTCGGAGAACAAAGAGTGTCCTCATCCGCCGTGAAATTGGTTCCGTTGAAGTCTCCCACGAAATACTGCGTTGCTGATGAGTTGGTAAATACTGGGCCACCCGGATTTATACCCAAGACGAGCACCCATTTGACTTTTGACTCGTCGCCAGCTAATGGAAGTGGGAAAAAGCTCGGACACTCCCATACTCCACCAGTGGCATTGGCTGGACCAAATTCACCGACATTTGTCCATTGCTTCAAGTTTTTGGATGTGTAGAAAAGAACTTTATGAAGCTTTGATAGGGCGACTACCATCACCCAACATTGGTCAGGCCCATACCAGAAGACGAAAGGGTCTCGGAACTCTTGCCATTGGTCTTTATAAGGACTCGGCGGCAACGGCAGCACTGGATTTTCGTTGTACTCGGTCCAAGTGAGACCATCGTCGACACTGTAGGCAATAGATTGCGCTTGCGTCCCGGCACGGATAGTCCGACCAGTAGGAAGAGTGATGTCGTTGGGATATAAGGATGTATAGACCGCGATAAGCGGAGCAGGAATTTCTTCACCACTGAGACTCGAATCTAAGACAGACTTATTAAGCCCGGAAGACCTTGACTCATCATAAACAACGCTGCCCGAGAAGAAAAACTCATTGAGTGGCCCCGGACCTGGTTTTGCCGGAGGGTTCAAAGCACTGAGCGCCAGTGGCTGCTCCTTCCAGTGCAGTAGATCTTTGCTGATGGCATGACCCCATGACATATCCCCCCATGTATCGGCCGAGGGGTTGTATTGATAGTACATGTGATAAGATCCCTTGTGGTAGATGAGGCCGTTGGGGTCATTCATCCAATTCTTGGCGGGTGAAAAATGAAATTGAGGTCGATAACGCTCTTTGTAGTTGACTGGGTGAAGCGTACCTGACGCTTCATTGCTTGTCGCTTCCATCCCTTCCGATATATTTATTGGTAGAATAAGTCGTCGCTACTAAACGTGCTGTTTGCAAGTTGAGACTTGAGAGTGGTCACAGAGGAGGAGTTCCTCCCTTCTCACCGTCACATCGAGCCTACTTACCTAGCTACCTTAAGTAATGACATCACCTTGGGGCTTCGGGCAGCAGGCAGTGACTGCTCCATACAGTAACTTCTGGGAGACGTTGGTTGAAATACTGCTGATGCACTCAAGTGGTCCTATCTGAGAAGCAATAATCACGGATTGGTAAAATTATGAAACATGAAGATGGGTCTAGTTAAAGGAACACCGTGGTGAGGCGGCGGAAAACCCCTGTCCCTATCGCGCTTTATGTGATTGCTCCCCCCACTTGTGTGGGGGGTGTCTTAACCAAGAACACCAAGCCATCAGAGGCTCAACTTTCCCCCCCGGGGGGGGGAGCTTTCCACCTCAACGCGTCGGTCAACCTCCATGGATCCTGAGGATGTTGGCATATCTCATTCAGCGCCATGGTAGACCTCATCTCGATCCAGATGCGAGTTTTGTTCGCTTGTGTTCGCGTTAAGGAGCCACGACTTCCTGATACCAGACATTGATTCAAGTACCAGAATGGCCTTCGCAAGAAATATCATTAGAACAAAGGATGATTCTTGATGGGGATATGCAGCCGTCAAATGCTTTATATATATTGTCCCTTCCTCAAGACTCATGCCACCATATCTAGTTGGTACAGATATGGACTAGGCGCGTGTCCTCCGCCGTTTGCAGATGTTAGGACGACTCTTTCAGCGCCTCTTCCTGACGCCAACATACACGAACGGAAAGACATCATGCGAAGCCGAACGACTCGGCCGAGAGCCACCATCACAGTCCATCTTGCAATAGACGGCAGAACATTGGAGAGGCCTTGTATGGGTGAAACACGGCAGCCTCATGCTGCACCATCTCGTTCTGCAAGGCACGGCGGATCTTCTCTCAAGTGGCTCGCAAATGCGCATTGCACCATCATATGCCAGCCCAAAATCAAATGTGCTATTAAAGGTGTTAATTTTACAGAAACCAATTTCTCATCAAAGAGGTAGGGCCACAGGATGCCGTCCTATATTTCTAAGCATTGCGGTCAGAAGTGTGATTGGGCGAGCCTTGCGGTGCGGCTCTTGTAATGATTGGTCAGAGCACAACATGCTACTCATCCGAAGTAACCCTTGCAGGTTGTCTCGAGGCCGATGGCTCATCCGTGCTCAGGACTTAGTCAAGAGTGGTAACTTACCTTCTGTGAATGAGCGGGAGATCAATTTAGCTCTCCGAACAACTCACCCTGGAGGAGTATGAAATGGTTCTCCATTCTCGGATCTGTCATTTTGGCGTTTTCGTGTTCACTATTTAAACACGGAAGAGTCTTTCACATACTTGGATTTTTTGATGTCGATGGTTGTGTGCATCAACAAATATGATTGATATTCTACACTTTGTCGCAAGCAAGTTACAACAAGGCGTCAGCAGCGCCTTCCATTTGCTCACCATAGGATACTTTCAGTCACTAGAGAAGCATTCCGTCACCACAGCCCATTCAATACCTCCCGAGATGAAGAACATTGTTATTCTGGGTGGTTCATACGCGGGAGTTAGCACCGCACATCGCATTCTTAAACAAGCAGCAAAGTCTCCCAATGGAATCATGCCGTACAAAATAACACTGATATCTCCGAATACCGATCTCTACTGGAATATGGCCTCGCCTCGAGCAATCTTGCCTGGCCAGCTTACAGACGATCAAATCTTCCAACCTATTTCAGCAGGCTTCAAGAAATACCCTGCGTCTCAATTCGAGTTCATTCTTGGCTCCGCCACGAGCATGGATGTGACCAGGAAAACAGTCACCATTTCCACCACAGGTGGCTTATCTGATGCTGATGCTGATGCCCTCAAGTCTAGAGTGTTGGATTATGACCATCTTATCTTGGCGACCGGCTCACGCGCAAGGAATGACACACCACTAAAAGGCTTAGAGTCCACAGAGAAGACCAAGGCTGCGCTCCGTCACTTCCAGGGCCGGATCGAGAAGGCAAAGGTCATCGTTGTGGCTGGCGGAGGTGTCACAGGCGTCGAGGTTGCAGGTGAACTGGGGTTCCAGTATGGTCGGACGAAAGAGATTGTTTTGGTAAGCTTGATGGCCTCTTATTCACATGTCTCCCGCAAAAGAGTTCGGTCTTCCTCTCAAAAACGCTGACAGCCCCCACTTCGACCACCACACAGATCGCGAGCGGTACGAGGATTTAGAAGAAAGTCCAGCAAGCGTGTCCCATCTCGCCACTAAGGCTCTACAAGACCTCAACGTGAAGGTTAGATTTCAAACACGAGTGACGTCCACTTCCTCGACGTCAAACGATGGCATTGACAAACCTGGACTTCCTCTCACCCTGACACTTTCCGACAACACCACTATCCAGACAGACATGTATATCCCAAGCTTCGGTTTGACACCCAACTCAAGCTACATCCCAACCCAATACCTAACTCCTGATGGCTACGTCTTAATTGACGAGTTCATGAACGTCAAAGCCGACGGCGAGGCTGCGCTCCCGAATGTCTGGGCACTCGGCGACGTGGCCGATCTCGAATACGCGCAGTTCGTCTCTTGCGATAAACAGTCAGTCCATCTGGCGAAGAATATGTTGCGCACATTGAAGGATGGTGGTGGCGGGAAGAAGGCGGAGCTTGTGCGGTATAAAGCGTCGACCAAACGTAAGTGTTACCCACTCAGCCTTGTGCCCCTTCCCCACACCCGCCAAATAATCACCTTCCCTTCCTTCCCACAAGCCCACAACTCACCATCACGGTCGTCAATGCTTAGCTGGCTGCCACTAACAACCATTGAATACTATAGGCTTCATGGGTCTCCAAATCGGTCGAAAAGCAGGCACGGGACATTTCGGGACGATCAGAATACCGAGCTTCGTCATCGTTTGGGCGCGCAAGAATCTATTTATCGAGAATCTGCGGCCTACTGTAGATGGGTCGTTGTTCTAGACTTGTGGCTTGTCTGAGTAAGAGTTAGGCAGGGTGAAGTATCCTAACTAGAATCCTCTATGGGGATATGGGCGGTTACAAGGAGAGGTCAACATATCAGGAGCTTGCTATTGGAGTATACAATAGTTGATGCTTGTTATTGGCGAGGTAGATAACATTACTTCTCGAATATTCAGCTCGGAGTGTGTGGCTTCTAATTGCATTCACAGTTTCTCTCATAGCAGACTTTTCAGTAGACATAATCATCCTTGCGCAGCGTGCTGAAGCACTGACTTTCTATCTATCCACCTTCAAAAAACCGAGTCAAGTGATTTCGGCGGCGCACTCCGTCATTGCCCATTGATGTCACATTGATCATTTCCCGTCACCGAAAGTTTCATTAAAGCCCTCACATCTTCTCTATCAATCGCCACTGGTGTATTGATCAGTCCCTTGCGCAGTGTGCATAACTCAAGCAAAGCGGATGAATTGCCACCATACATAATTTGAGCATGTCGTCTTAATCCGTGGTAGCGTAGCAAGGCAGATGCTGGAAAGAAAAAACCTGCGCCTGTTGGAGAGTCATCGGCGCTTTCAACTAGATACCCGACTTCCATTGGCAGCCTTCCGAAATTTATTCAAGCCGTCCAAACCAAAAGTTGCTGGCGTATCTCTCGGAATAAATTCACTGAAGCACACAGTCCACACATTCTGTTCATTGGTAGTGTCAGTTCCGCTGGTGCACTGATCACTCTTATGGGTTGTCTGTGTGTACCCGACAAAGCGATTTTCCACTGGACTGAATTGGCGGCACAGATAATGTCGCGGCCAACCATCGCGGCCTTCACCGATGTGAGGACATTCAACGAGCTTCCCAGAATGGAGTTTGCGATGCTCGTAGGTACTCGTTCGCTCCCCCCCAATGATGGAGATCTTCCTCAAACGAGGTAAATTCTGGCTACCTCCCACACTTCCTTTGATGTAGCCATGAACTGGAACTCGTGCTCTGAAACTATCATCGTCGAGTTCAAACAGCAACAATTCTTCGATACTTGCTGGCAGGAAGGTCTCCAGGGACTTCGGTCCAGCTCCCGATCGTTCTTTGTCGCCGGTGGTCTCGAAGCATGTCCCGAAGAGCATAGAGGAACAGATGATCAATCTCTTGAGAGATCGGAAGTCCAGTAATGAGTGATGAACAAGCCCGGCTGGGTCCCACATCTGCTCGGCCTCATAATCCATACCGAGCCACAAATTTTGCACAGATGCTTGAAGTGGTTGTAGTGGAAAGCAAGGCTGTCGATCTTGGTAATGGTCTTCATGGTCATTGTCGGTAATGTCGTCGTCCCGGTAGGAAGGAAAATCTGCATTCAAAACGTCATCTCCATTGTACACAAAAGTTTTCAAGTTGTTGAACCGCTCTAGGAATTCCTTGAGATCCCCAATGTCAATTGAAAGGTTTTCCAAGTGAAACCTCTTCAGATTTGGTACTAAATGATCGACACCCCCCTCGGCGAACTTCCTGGTCCAGCTACTGTCATAAAGATTCATGTAGCCGTCTATGACCAGGTTCTCCAACTTGGGGTGTTTTAGGCATGGTAACAGTGCTTTCAGGTCGAAATGACAATCCCACAATCCTGAGGTTTCGATTTGTAGTGCCTCAAGATTGTGACAAGGTAGGTAGGGAAACACAGCGCATCCGGGGCGGTACACTGTTAAGGCAGTGATAAATTTGAATTTTCGGAGTGTGTGGAAGAAGAAGAGGCTTTGTGGACAATGCAATGGATTTCTCTTGCTTTTTGAACATGGTAAAACATCGACGATCAATTTACGGACTTTATTGGCGACATTTGTGTTGAGGACTTTTTGGACGAACGACAGCCGTGAAAAATAAGATGTCGACACTCGACTGGATACGCTCCATGGAAAACGAGAGGGTGGATATTTCGGAGGGACAACGCTTGGCCACAAAACACTGCGATAAATCTCGTCCTGCATGGAGTCATGAAATTGTTTACATGCGAGCATAGCATGTTTGAGATCTGTGGTACCAAGATAGCCTGCAATCATTGCCAGCACTTCAGCTGACACATCGAGGACGGTTAGCATGCTCATTCGAAGTCGGAACCACGCGTTCTAGGAAGATGATGGGATGATGGCTAGTATGCGCTTATGCGCGACTTGATCGGTGATGAGAGTGTGAGTGATGCCATACAATGGAGCTTTTTTCCGAAGCGCGAGGTAGAGGAATGAGGGAGGGAGGTGCCACAGCTGGTGTGCAGTGAGAGAAGAAGGACTCAGCGGGGGGAGAAAGAAAGCCAGCAAGTAACCGGAAGGTCTGGGAGGCAGTCGCGATCAGGAAGTGAATGTGACGGGGAAGGGGCTGCCTAAAGTTCAATGAGTTGAGGGCAGCGAGACCACTCCAACGTCACTTCAAACTTCATTGCTTGCAGTTCACACTATCGTTTTGTATTCAAGTGTCTAGTTTTCGTGCAGAGCAAGCCTGAGTGATGGAGCTCAATAAACCCAAGCGATGTCTTAGTGAAACCGAAAAAGGCTTGTGCGTTCAAAGTCTTGATCTTTCTCCTCCCTTTGGGCTTTGCGCCATTGTTCAGACTTTTATGACGATCATTAGAGCTTGATACAGATGAAAGTATGGTAGATTTTGTGTGAAGTGTGGCAAGCAGTGAGCGAGGACACGTGAACAGATGGACGATGCCTGAACTACTCATAGCCATAGAGGTGCGCGTAAAGCAGATGACTCGGGTCTACGAAGAACGAGTTCACATTCAGATATAAGGTAAGATGAATCTACCTTAGGGCAGACGAGCCATCATGACAAAATTTTGCGCCAAGGAGATTTAGCAGGGGAGTCTCATTTCTTTGTAGTCCCAAAAAACTCACGAAGTTTTCCCAATTCCAATCCACCAACGACTGTCCAGCTTCAGGGCCAGTTACATTTGGCTCTGATCCTGGCGGACGAGCTTGGACGACCTTCTACGTACATGGCCAGTGCCCGAAGTTCAGCCCTTGAAGATAACATCATCATGTTGAACTTTTTTTCCCATCCATGATCGATCCAGCATGTTCCAATGGCACAACCTTTCCAAAGTGATGGTCTCGCACGAGAATCCCCTGCTCTACCTCATATGCCAATATCCTGTCCATGTAATCGCCCATCATCTTCTCACGCACCAGGATAGCCCTCCTGCCAGCTATTTACATTGAAGCCCTAATTGCCGAGCCAGATAATCGACGTCGTGATGGTTAACCATTATCCAATGCTGAGAACAGATCCGGCCTTTTTGAGACCCTTCTCTCATATTCGTACAGCGGCTGTCTCAGTCTTTTTGACCTTTGTAATATCAAATGTAGAGGGGCAAACAATGTTGGTGTATTTTTCCTGCACAAATGACCATGCAACACTTTCCTTGCTGGCCTGATCAGCAACTGTCGAATGTTAAGGTGTCTGTGGTGGATAAAAGGACCTCAGAGTATACCATGAGACCATGTCAATTTGACGGCACAAGTAGTCGGTACAATCTTTGGCACATATGAATCTCTTGTGATCGTACCGGAAGCGCTCATAGACAATTACCGACTCGTCCGAAATGAGGCAGATTTTGGTCAAGTTTGGCAACCCTTTGAACCCCTTCACACTTGCTTGCAGGTATCCCTCGACCTGGATCTTGGCATCTCGGTGAGCATCGGGAGAGGCTAGGGTTGTATATAGCGTCAGCTCCTCGAGAGTGGCTGGTAGTAGATTCTCCAAGTACTTTGTTCTAGGATGATGTGAGTGAAGGAGATCGAAAGGTTCGAGTGCACATGGACCAAGGAGCCAAATGGAGTCCAGTACCAAGCGTTTAAGAGATTTGAAATCAGCCAGAGGGTAATCACCAAGCTTTTGTGTATCGTTTTCAGTGCTGGAGACGTGATCTGGCCATCTCAGCCATAAATTCACTACAGATGCTTGAATTAGTTGCAACGGAATGTGAGGCACGCCAGGGGGATCGCTCGTTGGATCGCTCGTTGGATCGCTCGTTGGATCGCTCGTTGGATCGCTCGTTGGATCGCTCGTTGAATCGTCGCTTGAATCATCTTCTGAATATGAATCCAGACAACGATGCATGACAAATGTTTCAAGACTTCTATATTGTTCTAGAAGCATCTCGAGGGACTTAGAATCGATCGCGGCGTTGCAAAGTATAATTCTCTTGAGGTTGGGTGGCAGATGCTGATTCTAAAAGTCATCGCGCATCGGAGCACGAGGTCCAAGAGCAGTCCCTGTGGCAACAATGCCGACTCCACTGTAGACCTCTAGGCTTCTCAATCTCGAGGAACTGAGACAAGATAACAACGTTTGAATTTTGAGGCTGCTACCGGAAGTAGTGTGCCCTTCCAAATGAATGAAGGCTTTCCAGGGTTTGCCATGGCAGATCAAGCAAGAGTTTGGTAGAGCACCCAATGACTGTCAAGACTTTGATGCCCTGGAATCGCTGAAACAGACGAAGCGAACAGCTCATTGGTTCTTATGGGACTGGATCATATGGGCGATCATCATTCTGCATGAATTCGACTTCCAGTCCACGAACTTTGGTCGCAAAATTAGAGTTCAGGATCTTTTCGATGAATAATCTTCGCTGACTAGGAGAGACAGAAATTCTGGTGCGCGGGATCCAACTTGAATATACAGCGGGACGGAGTGTCGATCTAGATTTTTCGGAGGTCCACGAAATAGTGCGGCAAATTTCGTCCTTCATAGACTTGTGAAAGCGGTTACAAGCAAGCATTGCGTTCTTCAGATCCCGGTTGTTAAGATTTTGCGCAGTTGTTGCCAGGACTTCTGGTGGGAGGTCCAGTACGTTCACCATCTTCGGTCGGTGCGAGGTTTGATTTTGGGGAACCAGCAACGAATGGGGAAGAGGTGCGCGAGCATTGAAGACGCTGTGAAATAGAGGCAGGATGCGCGGACCGACTGACCGGAACGCGCGAACGACAGAGAGAGTGAGAGTGATTTGACCAAATCAAGAGAAAAGCAAGAAGACTGAGAGTGATTTGACCAAATCAAGAGAAAAGCAAGAAGACTGAGAGGGTGAGTCTGAGTGAAGCAGTGAGAGGAAAGAGCCTAAAAGCCTGCGCCAGAGCAGCAGCACAGTTTCAATGTGCAAATTTTCACTGAAAGTCACTTACGTGTCCAGCATTCACTGAAAATCGCGCGTGGGGTCTCTCTTCTTGTCTTTCTATATTTATTATAGCTTCCTCTTGCAGATGAAATTGAGACTTCTCCATAAAGCTAGCAGCATGAGCTGGATATTTGTACTATCGGCCAGACCAACGACTGCGATAGTTAGACCTGCGATTGTCTCTAGACACAAGAAATGGCACTGTACTTCTTTGTTCAAACAAAGGAATCCAACCGGTCATCAAAAAAGCATCAAGCGATGACAGTACATGGAAGAAACTGAAGAGTAGACCTATGGCTAGAAACCCTTTCGGCATGGCGTATATCCATTTTAGGGAGAATCTAGTGAGTTGGGCCAATGATGTGGTGAGCGCGGTCAGCATAAGCTCTCGGCTGATGCGGAAGGACGGTACAAGGCTCGGCTCTCCACCACATCTGAACCCTCAAGGCTTCTCAAATCTACCTACTGGTAGGTACAGCATGATGATCACAGCATAACTTCATTCAGTGGTCTAACTTTTCTTATTTATTAATAGGCTTTCATGTATGCCCAAGGAGTCTGGCGCCGTGGCTGACAGCCACTGAGTTACCGTCTCTTCTATGCCATTCCATTCCTATCATGCTTGCATCATTTTCCAGTCATCTCAACACCTCTGCCATCACATGCTGAAACTGTGGACCATCGAACAACAGACCCACGGTACTATCGTACCCCTTTTCGATGTCCAGATATGCATTGCGTTTTGTGCGAACAAAACCAGCACAACGCCTTTCCCGATACCTTCCGATCAGCCGTAATTCATTAATCTAAGTACCAAATGTCCATTTATGCACTTTACCGATCCCCGTTAAGCGCCAACCATAACCAATATCTGCGACTAGGGTGAGTTCCGGGTCATCGTGTAGAAACTGCCGAGTACATGTTAGAATACTCTGTGAATGCCACCTGTCTAAATATTCGCTTCTCCACCACAGGTACACTCGTCGTCATCAAAGGTAGGGTCCACGGGCCCAAGAAGAATCTTGAATACATTGCCAGTGCTGGGAATAGTGTCGACAATATCTCTCCTCAGGCCCAAGCCGGAGTCCAGCACTCTTAACCGCTCTGCTCCCCGAGTACTATTGCCAAACCGAATGAACTGGATGCCGATGTGTTTGCGCGGCATATCATATTCATCCATAAATCGTACCACATCCCGAATGAAGCTGCTGAGGTCGCTTTGATCTTCCCAAACTCCGTCCGTGAGAATGTAAAGAGTGACCCCAGGCATGGAGGGTTTGCTGAGCCCGACAAGATTTCTGAACTTGTTGCGGGTTACTTTGTTCTTCCATTCGCGGAGAATTTTGTCGCAAGCAGTCTCAGGATTGGATGTTGCCGCAAGCTGCAAACCCCGTTCTTGGACTTTAGACAGTAGAATAGATGATTTCGAGGATTTGTGGGTTGCTGCAGAGACCGTGAAGTGAGCCTCGATAATTCTATCATCGTCCACCGTCTTAGTCAGATAAGACAGAGCCTTGAACACTTTGGCGACTTCGGGCCAGTAGTCCTTCATGGAAACAGCATCGTCAATCAAGAATATCTGTTGTTGCTGGTCAGCCTAGTGTGATAAATCTTCTTTGACGGCGGAAACTTACGTGGTCGCGGCCTGCAACACGGTTGAGATAGTCATGATTCGGTAACTTCTCATTATCCTTATCCTTTTTCAATGTAAAACTTTTCCTTCGGGATATCCAGTCTGAGACTTCTTTGAAGGACAGTTCGGGCAGCCTCATTGCAGGACCATGTTGGTGGACTGGACATAGTGGTTTTTCGAATTCAATGCCCGGGTTTACGTTTGGTGGTGTTGAAAGTGTAGAACTACCAGGAGAGTTGTTCGAGTTTGGCTCGGACTTCTTCGCCGTCGGAGGGTTTGGCACATCCAAGGCGGTTGTCCCCATACTATCAAGATCTTCACTTGGCTTTTCCTGATTGGCGCGCATCATAGCAGGACCAGAGGAGCCGCAGAACCGTCCCGCCGGTGGCCAGCCTTTATTGTTGTCGTCACCACGATAGAAGTAGTCATGGCACACTCTGTTTCTCTGCTGTCCAAGCAATTCAATGGTTTTATTACACAGCTGAAAAGCCCGAAGGCGTTGTTCATCGACTTCGAGACATTGCTGGAGCAGTGTGTGCCAAATATTTGGCGTCACATAGTCGCCGGCTCTGCGAAGCATCGCGAGGTGAGCATGCCAGGCTTTCACTTCTGGCAAGACATCGCTTCCATCGTGGAAGCAATCTCCATCCTTGAAACCGGGGACTTGGCTGAGAGCTTGCTTGCGCTGGTTTCGATATTCCTCGACAGCCTGTGGGCCGTCGGTTACCCAGCTAGTAGCCTCGCTAAAGATACATGCCAGAGACCAGATATCTCCATTCCGTTGGGCACGGACCACCTCGCGATAGGCTGGTCTGATCAAATAACAGCCTGGAGGCCCTAAACAATGTTTCAAGTTAGTTCCTTCTCAAGAAACAGTGGCACTAGTACCCACCATATGTACGAATTCTCATCGAAACCCCACCATGGTTCTTACTATTATCCTCATCGCTTAATCCGTAGTGGCTGTGACTGAAATTGCCGATTTTGAAGGTAAAGCGATATGGGGAAGCCTCCCCTTTGCAAAAGACCAGAATGTTTGATGGCCTTAGATCCTGATGTACTCTGTAGATAGCATTAGCTTCCGATCCCAGGGATTTTCTTAGGATCTTTTCCAGTACCCATGGAATGTACTAGTGTGGTCGCCTTCAAGGAGCTCGATATGATGGATTTGACGTAGCCCCACGGCGAGGTTGAATAAGTGCTCCCAGAAATCGGTCACATCGTTTTCCATCTTCGGATGACTAAACTTTTGGTAAAAGTCCCGCAAAGTGCCTTGATCCGCATATTCCAGAATCACATGATGAGAATCCTGTTGAGTGAAGCTTCCGTAAAACTTGACGATAGACTTGCTTGCGTTCTTGTTTAAACTCAAGGTCTTGAGTGCTTCCAACTCATTCCGATAAGAGATTGAGGCGAGGTCACCATTCAAATTATACGTTTTAATGACAAATTCATGCACGCAACGAGTGTCGACTGACTGAGAGAAATTTAGTACTATGTCATAAGGTAATGGGGTAGCAATATGTCAACAGTAGCACGAACCTCAACTTCAACTGTATAGCCTGTGGGAAAAGCACACATACAGTAGTATGGATGTATCCGCATGAAAGAAGTGGTTGCGGTCCTCCCAGATCCTTTTCTTCAAGTCCATAGATCGGCAAGATGGTGTTCTCTAGGATGTGAGAATCAATTTCACCCTCTTGAAAAGAATGCGCACAAAATGCCCATTGTTCCTCATAAAAGCGCCTAAAGGTGTCGAAGGAGAACTGGGAGGGTTGCAACTCGAAGGGCAGGTTCTCGTCGCTAGGGGCATGAGCCGTGAAACAACGTTTGATGAGATCGCCGCGGCCTATCAGGATCAGGATGGCTAATATACGCCGGCGTGATTGGACTGCAGCTGTATTCACATCTTTCTGAGTGAAACGTTGTCGGCAGACGCTCTCTAGCAGTGCCTGCAGCCTTGCTCCGGACAGATACGCTTGGAGTTCATCTTGTGGTACAAACATGCACTTCTGCAGCGAGCTGCCAAAGCGAAGTCCTGGCGATTGGTGTTTGGAAAGGAAGTGGAGGAATTCAGCAACTGGAGTCGCATCGCCGGGCGACAGACTGCGTGATGAGGCCATCACAGGGATCAAAATTTCAGATAAGGCTGTGAATAGGTTTGCTTTATGCCAGCAGTAGTAGTTATCATGATACGCATGGGGATGGCATCCATCAACAAGGAGCAAAGAATAACAATGGAGACCGTTTCGGGAATTCAAGAATGCTGAGAATCGTTAAGACTAGGTTTGAAAGACGAAGACTGTTCCAGGAAAGAAAGAAAGAAGAGTTGCCTGGCAAGGCTCAAGCGAGGCAGATGGCCCAGCCAGAGTCTCCGCCCCACATGTTGGCTGAACCATTGACCGGGTGCCAAAGGCGTGAAAAAGAGGCATGCATGCAGGTCAAATTGACCATCGAGTCACCACTTTCCTCGGGCTGGGGGTTGATGCATCTGACCTTCGAATCAGGTGCCGTTGCCTGTTACAGGCCACGACCATTTTCCGATTCAGACTGTGGGGGTTTGGCCAATCATTCTTCTTTTGGAAGGCTTCGAGGCAGCATCTTGTGCCAATTCTCCATTTCCCCACCAGACGCTCTTCACAGATCACACCTTATTCGCCGGTTCGAGATGTTCAGAATATCTGAGGCTGAAAAAGCTGATATTTTCTTCTAGGACCATTGCCCCCAATATCCTTGAGCGGCTTTCTTTTCAAGAACGCGAATTTAGATTTCCTCATTCCCTTGAAAACCCTCCGTTGCCTTCAATTTCATCTCCTGGTTTCGCTCATTGAAGCGAATGAAGGCGTATACAAGTCCCCAGGTCAGGAAAGTTGCGAATGTGAGTGGTAAGCTGAGTGCTAGGAAGAATCTGAGCGCTCCCCAAGAGACGTATTTCTGGAAATACCCATCATCGTCTGGCTGCCAGCGAATAATGTCTGTACTCATGAGAGTCTACGCATCCATGAGCTCAGATAAATTTATCTCAACACACAGAACTTACCGAAATGAATGTGGCTGGCAGAAAGAACATGGTGACCAAGGTGACGACTTTCATAGACACTGTCTCCTTTTTGGTTTCCTTTGTAAGCTTCTCCATCTCTTTCGCCGAGATCTGGGCTTCCACTGCGATCTTCCGAGTTGCCAGCATATTTTCGTACTCGAGAATTCCGAAAATCTGGAATAGTGAGCAAGAATTTGGCTCTTTAGATCACCATTAAACTTACCGTTTCTTTGCGACCTGCGATCAAGCGTAATAGGGCTTCTAGAGCAGCCTGGTGCATGTCTAACTCGCCTACTATCTCAACAAGTTTCGCCTCGAAGCGCAAAAGTCTCATGGCTGGCAACCAGTCATTCCCCTGGGTATCACGTAGCGATAGATAGTGTGTCTTCAACGCAATGATGTTAGTGACATCGCTCTTAAGGGCCAACAAGGCCTTGTTTGCTTCCTCTTCGACGTGCTGAGCTTGTTGTAAGTTGCTGAACCCCAAATCCTTGGGATCTTCTAAGTGACCATCAGAGCCAATGTCAAAGGGGAACGAGCGCAGTGGATCCTTGTGCGCGAAGATGTCGTTCGTTACTCCATGTTCGGTGAGTTCGTCCAGCCTTGTCTCGAGATAGTTGATATACCATCTCCAGCCCCGCCTCGACCAGTCACAGACCTCGAGGTGGACTTCAATTGTTGCATCGAATGAGTCGATCAAGTCAGCATAGCTATCCTCTCCTTTTTGCTTTCTCCGACGCACAGATTGCTCTAAATCATTTCGCATGGAGTCGTTGCCCTTCAAAATGATCCAGAATGCCTGGCCCGTCAATGTATCATAAGAATGATAAATCACGATTTGTTCAAGTAACCATGGCATAAGCGGATTGGTACTCTTATTCTCAACAGATTTCATGTTGTAGCATATGTGATAGCCTTGGCCAGACCGGCCAAGTTGCGGCACATCCCATACACCTTGGGTTTTTGACTGATGGGAGGCACGTCTGAAAGAGCTGAAACGGAAGTCTCGGGGAATAATTTGTTGACCAAAGGGAAATAAAAAGTCGAGAAACCACGGGTGTACTTGGTGGTAAGTCAAAGCAAATGATACCATGTCATAAGTGACCCAGAGCTCCGACCGCGAGTTGAGGCCATAGAAAAATCTCGTGATAAGTTAGTAAGCAAGCCACACGTTTACAAAGGGCTTGGTCTAACATAAATCGACACCTTAACAAGCTTTGACTAGGTGTTTCATTGAGTTCATCGGAGGGGAGAGAACATATTTGTTGGAGCTCCGTCAGAGTTTCGGCTTCTCGAAGCACAAAGTCTTGAAGTTCGACAAAGATGTTGTCAGCCGTTGGAACAACATTGGTGCCTTGATGGAAACTAACCCGGACCTCCTTCATCGAGGTCTAAGCATTCTAACAATGCATTCTCAGGGGCGCAGAACAAGCTCTCTAGCCGAGTCGCTAAACGATCAAAATACTGGCCGAGGGTGTTTGACTGAGTCTCCAGATGCTTTGGGTACAGTTCGTGGTTGCAGCATTGGTCACGGAGCAATTCCATCTCAAAGTATCATCGTTCTTGCTATCGCGTATCCAGATGTTGAGCCAGGAGAACAAGAGGGAGCAACTCGAGATCATAACTGCTTTGAGGTGACCGATAGGAATGTTTAACGGCGTGATGAGTTGTAACATGGTGCTCCAAAAATAGAAGTACCTGGCGGCTACATTGATTTTGATGGTTCGCAAAGTAATCTCTGGCCCGAAGTCGCAGAACTTTCAGGGATTCGAGAAGAAGTGGAATAAGCCAATGAACTTTGTCTTATATACACTGCTATCCCATTGTGCTCAGAGGATAATAGCCTTTGCTTACCTCGCCATTGAAAATGAGATTGACCGCCGCAAAATCGCACGTAGTGTTCGCGGCACAAAAGGAAGCAAGAGGCGCTCCGATTTTGACCTACTTCGCAGTTCAGGAGTTGGTTGCTGGAGGCCTACGGTCCCGTGGCGCCTAAATTGGCCAGGGGTCACGGTCTGACTCTGCCTAACTCAACAGGGGCCTTTTAAGTCCCTGATAGGTCACGTACGCCCGAAGGCCCGAAGCGCCCCCAAGTCACAGGCATTATGAGTACCTGAAGCAGCTGATTGTACCGAGTAGAAGTGAAAAGAGCATAGATTGTGACATTTTGCAAACTGAGTGCTCGATTACCCAGAGTCAGATGTCTGGAGGGCATTTAATTGGGATTCGATCATGCTCTTCATCTTTTTGACGCAGAGTGCGCTGCAAAGCTAAGCTCGAATGACCGCCACTAATGGTCCGTACAGCACACAAAGACACTGACCTGGACCCTTCACAAAGCACGGCAGCGTGATGTGGCGATTCGAGCAATCCACAAATACCGAGTGTCTACCTGCCTTGTAATATTTGAGGAGCATGGAGGGTGCAAACCCATCAACAACCACACGAATACCAATCGCTCCCAGAGTTGGATGGTCCCCGATTAGAGCTGCCATACTCGCAACGGCACTTCAAATACACTCGGATTCGTCCCACCACAGTGGATATCAAAGCGCTCGTCTAGGCCTCGATGAAAAGACCGAAAAGTATCGGCGTCCGCACCAGAGATGGCCAGCCGAATTCTATGGCCCTTCCTGATCAAGGCCGCAGTCGCGAAGAGCTTCACCTTGACAGTGAAATCCTGTTCTGGCACGACTGGCAGGGCATCTGTGCGAGCAAAGCTATGCGGTGATGGGCCTGGGTCGTACGGAAGCTTTTCAGGAGCTGCTGCCAACTTGCGGTGGAGAGCCCTGAGCACACCCTCGGTCAGATAACTCACCCGGCCATCTGGAGTTACGTCCTCAAGATAAACGAATATCGTTGGATCGTTGGTCCGAGTTCGCATGTGCAAAGTGATGACAGGCCATCCGACAAGCTCCATGTCCTTTTCCAGTGGTGCCGTGTCATATGTGAGGAGCTTGGTGTCTCGAATCGCCCGGTCGCCGTACTCGACTGTCGCCAGCTGGTACCATCGATTCTTCTTTCCTGCGCTGGCCTGTCGATCCACTTTCAAAGTATCGATACCTGCTTGCGGAGCAGCATATACGAGAGAGCCACCTTGACTGAGCAGGAATGCGGTGTTTTCGACTCCCTCCGGCGGCCACTGGGGCGTACTCTTATATGTTCCGGTGCCCAGAACATAGTAGTGTATGATGCGCACAGAATAGTCCTCAGGGTTGTCGATCTGCCGGACTTCCTCAGCAAAACGTAACTGTTCAGCATGCTGCCCCTCAACCGAGGGTAACGGATCGTTGTTCTCAGCCATTAGCGGGTCAACACGAACACCACCTCTGTGATCATGAGCTGTGAGAAAGATCTCAGTTGGGACGCCGGGCGTGCTACGAAACCGATTAATCGCTTCATCAGCAGTGTTGGAATCCATCCAAGACGCCCAAAATTGAACAGGCTTCTTCTGCATCACCACGTCCGTAACATGCGCGCCGGTGCAGGCATCAAATATCGCATGCCCATTCAAGCCCGCGTCATCACGGAATAATGCATTTTCATAATCCTCGAACGTCCAGTGCCTACCATTCTCCTCACGCGTCCGGAGCGCCTCTTGCAGCATCAAACAATCCAGATCATCATCCACGGGCTGAAGGGTCGGGAACAAGCTCAAGCAATCCTTCGCATTCTTACACCCGTCGAGTCCATTGTGCTGCCAAGGATAGATAATCGCACCATCAACAATATGTGGCCGACCAAAATCGATACCATAGACCCCCTTGGCCCAATCCTCAAACATGGAATCATTCGGACATCCACCCGTCCACAGTGCCTCCCAGAAATCGAAGTCCGTGGCGCGGGGAATCGAGGCAATCAAGCCAGGCGCATCACGCGCCGTCGCCATGTCCGCCGTGTTGCCCGTGTACGACACTCCAGTCGCGACGACCTTGCCGTCCGACCAGGCCTGCGCCGTGACATGTGCGATGATCTCCTCGGCGTCCCGCTGCTCATCCGGACCCAGCTCGGTCACCCGAGCACCGAATGACGATGTCGTGCCGCGCACGTCGATGGCAACGCACGCATAGCCTGCGCGCAGCCAGGGGTCGATCGAGCGTGGATCGCCCTCTCTGCTCACCGTGGCTCGCCCATAGCGTGTCAATACCAGGATCGTCGGTACTGGTGATCTTGGGACGGTGTGCTCCGGGAAATATACACTGATCGCTAGACGTGTCCCATCGCGCATGGCTAGGTAGTAGGATACGTCGCTCTTCCCGTAGAGACTCGCCTGGCTGTATGAATCCATTGCTCAGATAACCTCGACGCTGCTTCTGGTCCAGACTGAACTGGATGTCGTCCATGTGTCCATCAGGGTTTCGTGGGGAAGAGGATGAGCATGCAGAGAGGCTGTTTCATATATGATCATCTTGAACATGCCATTAGTATTTGGCGATCCCATTATTTGAATCCCTGAGTCGCTTGTTTACACATGCAACACGACACGCAGTGACGGTTACAGCACTAGGATGACACTAGCGTAGCTACATATCTCTGAGGATTCTGTAGCCTTGCCAGAGACGTTTCTTTTTCTGCGCTTGTCGCTGAGACATTCCTCGTCATCTTCTTCCGGCAAAGCGGCCTTCGGGCATTGCCGATCATTGGGATCTAAGCTGTCGATGACTCACAATGGATCTCACTCTAACCACAATCGAGGGAACAAACTCTTTACAGCGAGCGAGCAGGCTAGGTGGCACGAGACAGAGTATAGGAACACTGCCTATCCAGTAGCCAAATGCTACACAAGGCTCCACTAGTTAAACCGCGGAACTGACATGAGTGGTTAACTGGAACCTGGTTACTTCACACAGCCAAGAGCACCTGTATACTCGAAAGAAGGCAGTCTTATGATCCAAGAGATTACTTTTATTGCCCAGGCTAATGTAGGTAGTACAGCCTATGTATCATGGCCCAATCCTAGCTACCTTATTGAGTCTCGTATTCTCAATCGAGACAAAAGATAGACGCCGCCCGAACAACACCACCATGAGCGCTTTGCCTCGCTTCCGAGTTCCGACAACGAAGGGGGTATATATCCTGCCAGCAGTATAATGTGTACGAACAGCCGCACCGCCACCGCCGTTGACGTCCTATGCGCACGAGTCTTCTCAGTGCATCCATTGGAAAACGTCCGTGACCCATCCACCTCCGCCCCAATCCACCAGACTGAAAAACGGAGCCGCACAAAGAAAAAAAAAAAGGAAAACTGACATTTGCAATTGCTCAACTGAGATGTAAACACTGAACAAAACAGGAGGAAAAAAACTCAAAAGACTAAACCTCTCAGGAATGACGCCCTTGCTGAATCGACGAGGAATACCATACCATAAAATTGCCATAGAAAACTGTTGATGTTAAAGACAACATGTTCATTCGATCCTCTCCACCCACCTCTCCTCCATCCTGGTGATTATGTATAATTGCGGATAATTTCTTAATTTCGTGGCTGGAATGTCTAGATCAGAACTCTAGTGCCTTGCTCGTACTTCGTATGCGATCGTCGGGCAGGGCCGCCAGCCACAGGCATCGCTCAATAATACCTTCAATAGGATCAAAGCTATACCTGGAACCGGCATCGATGAATCTCAATAGCCCTTTGACGATAATGGCACAAGTTCGATATCGCTCAAAATTGATCAGCTCGTCCTGTCCTTGGCCACCAGGAATACGTGATGGCTTTTGCGCATTGTATGTTAGATCATGAACATACAACCCTAATGATTCTGTTAGTAAATAATCGCCCATGGAATTGAGAAGAACAAACCAATAAACGGAATGCAGCCATCACTGAGATCGGCTGATTCCATTTCCAGGCGAAGATCATGGAAATTTCGAACTGGTTGAACTAGCGCTTCCATATGCTTCAGAAGTGACATATCGGGCGGAGAGACTAATGCCCATGTCTTTGTAAGCCGAGTGCAATCGGTCGAGGTCAGAGCAATTGTCAGCTGGAGCATCGTCGCATAATTATGCAACCTCCGTGCATGGGCAGCGACGTGGATGTATTTGGTGATGACACGAGCACGTTCATGGATATCCTGCGTCAAGATGATTTCCGACATTGCCCACTTGACCACAAGGTTGAACCGGGTGATCACAAGGTCGATGCCTCGAATTCGTGTTTGCGTTAGGCAATCTACCCAGTCAAGAACTTCGGCAGCTTTATTATCCCAACGCATTTCAACAAGATCCGACCATTCAACTTCTGACAAGGCTGACTTCTCAACCAAGGTCATTTGCTGTGCAAGAACCTGAGAGTCACATGCGAGGACAAAGGGGAGATGTGCCGGTCCAGCAGGTAGGCGCGACATCGGTTGAGATGGGGGCTTCTCCCTCGTATGAGATGCCAAAGGGGCGTGCATTTTCGCCTGTTGGCTTCCTATGTTCATCTCATTCGGTACGGGATCGGATACTCGGGCAGACTGTTCCACATTGTTAAGATTGACCACTGAGGCATATGTCAGAGGATGAGCTGGAATTTCTAAACCGGATATCGCAGTGCCTGGGGCAGCAAGCATTGGTCCAATGGAACTGTCAACAACTTCGGAATAATTGATGATGTCCACAGAGATCTCAGATGATAGATCAGATAAGTTCTCATCTTCGTCCAAGAGGAAGGATCTAGCGCTGTCATTTGCAGTATCAGGGCGTGAAAAGCTATGACGGTGAGCATTCTTGTTCCCGCTAGGCGGAGGTCCCTTTGGTAAATGGAACAGCTGTGGAGGATCTTGCGCGAAGTAGCCGGGAGCAATGGGAGCCGGAACAACGGGTTTTGGTCCAGCTGTACTTCCATGGGCAGTATCACGCTTTAGAAGAGGCAGGGAACTGTCTGACACTTCCGAGCCCGTAAGAGATCCAGTGGGTAACCCAAAGATAGATGAGCGGCGCGAGGACGGTTGCTTGACACCCAGATCTGCTGCATAATCCGCCTGGTGAAGTCCGTCCAAAGACCCGTGTGGCATCAACTCGGTCGTGATTTCCCGGACCTGGACATCGAAAGATTGCCTTGTTTGCCTTGGATCTCTTAGATCGATATGCGAACTTGACCTAAGATCTGGAAGAGATCTTCTTTTCCCAGTTGTATCCAATGGATGTTGTTCCATTGGTGGGGACTTCTTCTCGTAACGACCTTCAAGTTTCATCAATGTTGCCTCTAAACCACCATCGTCATCATCTGGAATAGCAGAAAATTCGGCGACAGCTGCCTCAAATGATGGTCGTAGGTGTTGTGAGGAATGTGTGTTGATCATTGACACGGTTTTTTTCGGTGGTTCCGGGTCTCTCTTGATGGTCCGCCCCGTATCAGTCCTCATGATGAGTAATGAGTCGTGAGGAGAAACTGACGTAGTACTGTTTGTGTCTAGAGAGTCATGGTGGGTAACATGGTCGAGGTCTTGGACATTCTCAACACGGCGGAGATCACCTCCGGGTCGCCTTCTAAGGGTGTGAGCTGGTGCTCTATCCTTATCTTCAGCGTCTTTGCCTCCCTCTTTCGTGCTAGCCACGTCCTGATCTTCGGTTGATGAGGCGAGGTGCTCAGTAGAGACGCTTCCGTCCACTGGTCGAGGTAGATCAAGGCTTGTGTTGTTCTCGCGAACAGTTCTAGAACTGACTGTTGTTGGTGTTTTGACCCTCTCTTCTGGTGTCCTATGCATACCGTCAAACTGCCCACCAGAAAAGGAAGCATCAGCACCGAATTGCTCGAGTGTATCGGTACTCCCATCTGCGGAAGGCACATTCATCACCAGTCCCAGAACATCAGAACTTCTCTGTGTCGCAACCGCATCGATACTGTCACTGCGAGCTCCGTGGACCATTACGACATCATCATCGAAGAGTGCATTTGCATCGGGGTTTGGATTGAGCCCAATTATGTTACCTGTATCTGGACGAAGGGCGCCCGACATGGCTGGCAGATCCGGTCTCGTATCGTCCACAATCAGTATAGATCCACTCTGAGCTGTCCTGGCAGTTGCACGGTTATTGAGTTGTGGGGTTCTTGAACCATCCTCAGGGTCGTCATTTAGTACCATTGGCGGATTGCTTGTGAAAAAGGCTCCATAGGTGATGCGATGTTTTGAAGGGAACTTGCTCTCATAGTTTTGGCAGACTGCTGCACACAAAAGATCAATGCGAACCTCTCCTTTCCGAGAGTTTGGAAGCTGCGGTTGATTGCGCAGCTCGTCATGGGACTTGGATATATGCAGGGGCACGTTTGTCTTGTGGCTGCGAATGGGTACGTCTTGTACCGAGTGTGATGCAGTGAGCACTGCCATATCAAGTTGGGTGTGCTTGTTCCCCAACACCTTACGCAAGGAACCAAAGATGTTTCTGCCCGTCGGTTGCGTGGCAGATTGCGTCCCGTGCGCCCTTCTTGGCCCTTCGCGCATACCTTCAACCTCGTTTCGGTCAAGGGATTGGGTCGAAGTGGTGGAAACAATTTGTACAAAAGGGGCGCTGGGACTGTATAAGAGCCCACGGATGATGTTCCCCTCTTCACCCACAATATCTGGTTCCTCTGCCTCGGGTTTCCTGGGGGTTGACTCGCGATTACTATCAATCGAGCTCGCGCCTCGCTTGTGGCCAGACGACTTGGTGCCAATGCCTGAATGTGTGTTGACCTGCAAATTGGCCGGAGCATTCTTTCTACGATGCTGTACTGACACCGGGTGTGGCCCCTTCGTGTTGCCGCTACCCTCTGGATTAGGGCGCAAAAAGACCTTGGGTGGAAAACATGAATTTGCCTGCAAACTGCCATCACTTCCAAGTGAAGGTGGAATCTGGTCTGAATTGCTTGAGTGCTGGCGATCATGGAACCCACCAACGGTCTTATCGACCTCAAACCAGCTGTGGGAAGGCCCTCGCAAAATATCTGGCCGGGGAATTTCCGCAGGTGGGTGAATTGGACGCACAGCCGTCCGTGGTCGGGGAGTAGGCTGCATGTCTATAGGCCCTCCTGGTAGCAGGTCTTCCTCCTGATTGCCATCAAGCTCGAATCCTTCAGGATCCCAACAGAGTGAACATCGTCCATTCCAGCAGCGCTTCAAATCACGCAAAAGTTTGAGGTCACTATATCCATTTTCTGGACTGGCTTTAACATCGGCATACAGCCGGTTGACTTCGAAGCAGAATCTCTCTCTGAGACGAAGATCAACAAAGAAATCGTCCATGAAGTAGTTGAGGATCCAATGTCGCAAAGCAGCAAATGTGCGCACCCGAATGATTCTCCCATCGTCTTCTAATCGACCGATAGCCCACCGAAGGCGCGCGAGGAGAAGATCAAGAACGGTGTACGTCGTCATGTACGAGCGGAAGGTGAGAAAAAAGTCCGAGACTAACTCATAGTCCATGAAAGAGTCCGAGGAAATCTGGGCAATTATTCTTGCTGGGGTTGCTGCCGTGATCTCCCTGACGTTCTGACAATAACGAACGACGGAAGGATCATCGTATATTCGGGTGAGTTGATCGAAGGCGGCGGGCTGAACGGAAGTTGTCGACTCAGGGTTTGTCGCTGTTCCATAATCAGATTGATCATGTTGGATTGATGCTGTCAGGTCATCATTAGCTCCCAAATGGGCCGCGCCGAGTCTGGCGAATGCCTTGAGACTCGAGGCAGGAGGGCCTTGGAAGTAGTTATCGAAACGAGCGGTGGTTGCAGTTGGTGTTGCATCTGACGGAGTAACAGACGTTCTGGTGAAAGCAGAATTACGCAGAACTGGAGTGCCTTGGTTACTGAAGCGAAAGGTACCAATGCGATAGTGAGGGATGGGAACTTCGAGTGTTGGAGAGAGCTCCTCATTGAGCTCTTCGATGGACTCCTTTGCGGTATCTGGTCGGGCGGTGTCTGGGCGATTGATCACGATCCTCAAGGTTCTGGATTGCACCGCGGCCGACAAAGAGTGTCGGTGATCTTCGACAGTGGAAAACGACTGCGACCTTGCATGATTCGGAGCAGCGACCCTTCTGTTACTCGCGCGAACCGACCGCTTGGGAGAGGTCGAGCGGGCTTGGGAGGAATCATCCGACACAGTCTGCAAAGCCTTTTGGAGGGTTTCGTGACCTAATAACGCTGGAGCAGTTACAGGCGTTGTCACAGTAGCCGGCGATATGGGACTGATCGAATGCAGGCCTGGGGTTTGAAAAGCTGAGGGTGTAAGATAGAGGATGCCACCAGTACCGACATTGCCAACAGTAAAGTTTCGACCTCCTCTTGTGTCTGATGCCAGGTCCTGCTGCTTTTGTCTTCTAGCTGACTTTGTAGAGCGTTGTCTGAGGATCTCGGTACTGTTCTTGACGCGACGCAAGGAATTGGAACGTTTCTTGTCCGAGGTGTTGGGAGCGGAATTGTTTCTCATGTGACGGCGAGTGCCCTCGGTTTCGGGAGTATTTGTACTCTTTCTCGGACTAGAGCCATATTGCGAAGTGGATGGGACCGTGGTGGCGGTGATATGGGAGGCAACAGCAGGATCGAGGGAAATCAAGGAAACGCGACTGCTTGCAGTCGAATCCGAGGCCATCGCGGCCGCAACTGGAGCAGTGTAATCGAGGCGAGTTTTGGCTCATACATGGTCATGTAGGTAGAGGAGCATTTCGATGGACTGGGGCTTGCATTTCGAGTGATTTCGCAGTTGGTGGTAGAGTGTTGCGAGGACTCGAAATGCGGGTGTGGGGGGCCAGCTGGGTTATTGTTTCTTTGCGAGTAAGTGGTGACTGCCACAACCCCAAATTCGAGAGATGGAGCGGTTTGCAGAATGGAAAACAGGTGTCAAATGCACCCGAATCGTGAAGGAATGGATGGTAGTGGTGGATGGTGGTGGAGTAGGAAGAAAGAAGTCGAAGATGCCAGTGCCGATGAGTGTTCCGTATGGCGGGTAGTCGGTGGTGGGCAGAAGTTGTGATGGTGTTCTGCACACTGGCACAGGCTGTTCACAGAAACTCGGAAGGCGAGGTGCCAAAAGGTGACGGCGATGGCAAGCAGCCAGTGGTGGATCAGCACCAACACTAACTTCCAGGTGGTTAGAGGTGGCCCGTGGGCGATAAGTGACGGGTGTGGGTGGAGAGACAGGCGCAAGTGGAAGAGCCCGTGGCCGTCGCCATGGCCGCGCGGAAGCCCAAAAGCCAACGTCCAAAGCCCAAATGCCCAGTGCCCAGAGGTAGGACCTGGGTTGTTCAGTTCTCGTCGAGGCGGTTGAACTTGTGGGCCTGGCCCGAGGCCCTGTAGCCTAGAGTCCACAGGCTTCCACAGGTGGCTGGCAAAGCATCAGGCCATTTCGTTTAATGGCTGAAGCCCTGGAGGGGTGGATATCTCGGGTGGGTACCAGGTTCCTCTGCCAGGGAGGGTGCGGCTGACAGTCTTCCACGCGAAAAGCTTAGCTGAATGTAGCCAAAAAGCACTGCTGGGTGCTCAGCGATAGGCTCGGATTCTAGGCCCTTATCCCCTGTACTGGGACTTGGTGAGTCGATTGCCACCCATCGTTTACCGAGTATCAGAAGAAATTACTGAGGACGTTGAATCTCGCCTTGGACAACGCCTCGTCTGTTTGATGGTAATTAATAAAACAGACAATGTCTATATCTTGAGACTTTATTTAATTTCTTCATACAAAACTTGTTTTCCCGCAACCTTCGTACTACGAACATCGATGGCGATTGAGGGTGAGGGAACCAAGTGCAGAGTTTGTCTTCCGTTTTCCCGCTTGTGCCTGCAGCTTGCAACCTGCAGAGTGCAGACGACTGCCACGCAGAGACGAGTGCCCCGCCTGCTCCAAGGTTAAAGGTAAGAGTTCCAATTAGTCAGGCCCAAGTGGTCTTCTACAAGTCAGGTAGGGCTTGCGCTCGCTAGCAGGTGACTGGTACCTCCTACATGGCTCAGGCTCAGGCTAGATAACCTACATCCGTCCCTCCTACCGACGCGATGCGAGTAAAAAAAAAGGTAAATAATAATGGATCAAGCTGACACTCTCTACCACTGGCACTTGATGCGTATCTGACTTGCACTATCGCCTGCCATTCCCACAGAGATCCAACCAAATCTTCAAGTCTTCGAGTCGACTACGACATGAGATCCATGGCCAAGTCTTCCAGCTTCCTCGGTACGGATAAACCCCTCTTGTTCGTGCTTATTCCATTTTTTTATTCCGTTCCTTTCATCCAATTGTTCATCTACAAGCGTCTACTCCGAACCGAGTGAACTCTCCTTAGCTCATCACAGATGCAGCTCGATTCCCACCGAGTCGAGGGTCATGTTTCTACAGAGCAAAGGCCGAACAACGTCCGAGGTGTTGTCCTAAATTCAGGTTGACAGTTTCTTCGCCATTGTCTCAATTATGTACATAAGCCAGTGTGATGTGGAAAAGCCTGTCGCATGAGTTGGGTTGGCGGGGAATTTGAAATCACGTGTTTCGACTTCGACGAAGCATTTCTCGAGCAACCATGCCTCCTTGTAGCAGAGCCAAACCGGCCTTGTGAAAGAGCATTGTCCTTCCTGCAAAGAGATAACTTGTCACATAACGCAAAGAACGTCACTGTTATCTTAAGCAAACAAACGATTTGGAACAAGCAAACTCTCCTTGGCAAAGGTTACCCTGGACAAAGGGAAACGGGGAATTATATCTTATGCACGCCTTCGCATGCAAGAACGTTCTATTTCGAGGGACCTCTCTTGACATCTACTTTCCCTCGCACCTCCGAAAACTCGACAGTGAGATAAAATCTGACCATCCCAAGTGGGAGAGCCTGGAGAGAAGCATAGCTCCGCACTATCACAGTTACTAACCCCCGGAGAAGATCCACAAACGAAGCGACCATGGCACAGCGTCAACCAAGCCTTCCACGTATGAACAAACCACTCAACGACGGCAAGTCTCCGTCCAAAACTTCTCCTGCTCCTCGACGCCGTGGACTTACGATCGGTGAAGCACAAAAGCTGCCACACAACGAGCACGGACCCGACTATCTGAGTGCATACCACGCACAATGGCATCGTCCGAGCCTTCGAGAAAGCAGCCACACAGACACCAAACCACGTACCACCCAATCACGGCCCAAGACGTACCACGACACCAGCCCCAAGCGCCATACCGAATCTGTATCCGATCCAGAGTCTTCCCAGAAGCCAACTTTGATACAGAAGATCAAGGTCGCCAAAGACATGGTCAAGGAGACTCTTCAGGTAGGCAAGGAAACCGTCGGCTTCATCCGTGAATTGCACAAGCAGCATAGAGAGCTTTCAGATTTCCAACAGGAGAACTCTCAGCGCATCCATGGTGATAATCGTCGAGGCAGTTGGCGACCTCGTGTGCGGCGCTCGAGCATTGAATACGACTCTGACTAAGACCGATCTTTCGAATCGATGAGTCAAGGGTAAGTGATGCTTTGATAATGAGTGCTCAGCCTTGCTCGAATGGATGCATCTACTGACTGACATTGAACCACTCTGGCTGGAGACATATGCTGTGCAAACATGCGCACGTAGCGCTTCTGCAATCGAATGGAACCTCTCCCATTCGCTGAACTGGAGCATCGAACAGCTAGCGCAGCCCAAAGCCTACCCTGGCAGATTATCAGGTAAGGCCATCGAATCAGGGGCTGGTACGGTAAGAACCCTTTGTCCACCCAGTCACATCTTTTATTAGTTGAATCAATCGACCTCATTCCATCAAGTTTGCAACCTCTAGTATTATCCTCCAATCGCGTTATTTGTAGACTCAAAAGGTGATATCGCTGGCATTGATAACCTCCAGGACTTTAGTGCTACTCTAGACATTTCAATTGCTTCAATAACCCCTGTTGTTTTGCAGGCAGAGTGGACTTGCGGTAAAGTAGTAATTAAACTGCGAAAGAAAGTAACAAAGACCCGCCCGTTCGAGTTCTGTCGTCATATCCCGACTAGCAGACCGTTCTGTAAACCTTCTTCCACCACGGCCACTTGGCCTGAATAGCCCTCTCCTCAGCAAGAATCGCCTGCAAGTTCATCTCGCGTCGTCCACTGACAATGTCGATGTCTCTGATGCGCTTGATGCTGGTCTTGCGCGCGAACTTGTAGCCAAAGTAGCAGATGATGATAAGTGGTGCGGCAAGGTAGACTTGGAACCAGTTCTGGACACGTTCTCCAGCCGTCATCTCCCCGTAACCGACAGGTGCGAATCCGGTCCAGAATTGCGCGATCAACACTAGGATATTCAGGATGAACCCGATGTAGCTACCGATGAGCCCCGCTTGTGAGCGGAATGCGAGCTCATCAAGTGTGTGGCCACCAGCCTTCCATGCTTGGCGGAATCGGATGTGGCAGAGGCAAATGGACGCCCTTTTCATCAATGTCAGTCCATGTTTGTGGGAAGAATCAAGAACCGTGTCAGGGTTGGAAAACGTACCAAGTGAAAATTGCAGCGAGCCCAGATAGTGCAATCATCCAATTGAATGCTTCGGTCGAAGTATCGGGACCAGCCGCGACAATATAGCAGAGAAATCCAATTGAGGAACAAAGAATTATAGATACCAACGGTCTGCCGGATCGATCAATGTACCCCAGGATCTTTGGTGCCTGGCCTCGATCCGCCAGAGCCGCAAGAGTCCTGCTGGCTCCGTAGATAGAAGAGTTTCCGACTGAAAGGACGGCAATGAGGATGACAGCGTTCATGATGGACGGCACGGCCGAGATACCCGCATTCCGCACTGCGATGACAAAGGGCGACGCATTCGCATCCTGGGAGCTGGTTCCGTTCAGAAGGTTCGGATCATCGTAAGGGACAAGCACACCGACGACCGTGAGTGAGACCATGTAGAATAAGGCGATACGCCAGAAGACCTGTTTCACTGCCTTTGGAAGAGCCAGGCGCGGGTTCTCTGTCTCTGCTGCTGCTAGACCGACCAGTTCAGTTCCTGAAAATGAGAACGCAGCTGTGATGAAGACAGAGCATAGGCCTTTAAACCCGTGGTTCTTTGAATTGTTAGCAGAGTAGAGTATGGTCGAGAACGACAAATACTCACGAATGCACCCGGATTGTACCAGTACTGAGCGCCGATGTAACCTCGGTCATCTCCAGGAATTCCACCAGTATTGATGATGATTCCGAGCAGAATGAAGCCTATCACCGCCATGACTTTGATGATAGAGAAAACAAATTCGGCCTCGCCATATCCCCGTACGCCGAAGAAATTAATGGCGATAATGACAATCAAAAAAATGGTAACCCACGCGGCTCCATTCACAGATCTGCTTCCGGGCCAATATTCTAGCGTGATTGATGCTGCGACAATTTCCAGAGGGAGTGTGACCATCCACTGAAGGGCATAGCTAGTGATTGTCAGTCGCAAGAAACAAATGGTGCGTTCCAACCACTCACTTCCATCCCATAGCAAAACCCCATGCTGGATCCAAGAATCGACTGGAATAAGCCGAGAAGCTACCAGCGACTGGAAATGCCACTGCGAGTTCTCCCAAAGCATGGACAACGCAATAGAGCATGACACCTATCAGTCCGTAGGCAATGATCAAAGATCCCGGTCCTCCATTGGCCAATGCAGAACCAGAACCGACGAAAAGACCCGTTCCTGTAAAGTAGAGTGGTTAGTGATGGTCGAAGTCCGTTCGCAGGCGATTCATACCAATCGAGCCGCCGATTGCAATCATCTGCAGATGACGGGGCTGTAGCTTCATAGCCAGAGCGGGCTCAGCTGGTTGCTGGTCAGGCAGCGGCTTGCCATCGGCATCCACGACTTCTGGAGTGACACGAGCATTGGGATTTTGTTTGAAACTGTCAACGAAGCGGCCAAAAGCGGTCGGAGCTCGAGGGAATTCGATATTGCCTTCTGTCACGTCGGAGCGAGCTGCCGGGCTTTCGCCCTTGGCTTCAATATCCTTCTCCATGTGGAAAGATATTGTGGTATCCTGTTAAAATCGTCGACCAGGGTGGTCTCAAGGACAAGGCTTGACCAGTGTTATTTCAGATATTTTCCACTCAGATATGATCCACGAAAGTAAGCTGGGCTTCAAGGGTTTAAATGAAGATGGAAAGCAGTTGATGGGCAAGATAAGGCAAACTCAAAAGTAATAATGCTCAATATCGAATCGGTCCTTGCCGTGTGGATGTCACAAAATTTTCAAAGGTACATTTGCCGACGGTAGCCTTGCATTTTTGGAAAATAAGCAAACCTAGTGGAAACAACGTAGGATTTTCAAGCCGGCGTAGTAAACAGTAATGGTGCGATATGCTGCACATCACTATCGTGCTTGAAGGATCTACTCTCGTGGAGGCGGTTATGACGGCATCACGCGTGAGATTCGAAGTCAAACCCCGATGGGCGATCAGGCTGATCAATGCCATCCAATTGCCACAGTCGACGCCCCACTGAAAAGTGTTTTTACAACAATGGATTGTTCATGGCTCGTGTTGCAATTCGTACCGTTATCAACAATGTGGAGCATACAATCTGGTGAACGTGAGCCGTGCTCGTGTTTTCTTAATATCTTCTGGGGTGCTGCTCGTGTGATGCACACTTCGTGCTCTCGATGTGGAAACCCTCTGAGCGGTTGGACTCATAGCTTCTCGTGACTCGAGGGTACGGTAGCTTAACCATGGCTCGTGCTTGTCTGTCTGGAGTACACTATGAAACATCACCTGAAAAAGTACTCAAAAAACTCTGAAGTTGCAATGGCAGAAAACAAGCTCAATTACCAAGGAAGTTGGCACCCATCTTCTGGAGCTTAGTCCAGGAATATTTTCGGTCGCTTTCGAACGTGAGGGAAATATGTCGCAGATACCTGACTCGGGTTACAGCCATCGGCAATTGAAGCACCTCCTTTATCATCTAGCACAATTGCACTCAATGCAGTACAGCCTTGCTCCCGGACTGCTGAAGCTTGAATCAGGCCGCGGTGTTGCCGACTTCGCTTCTATTCGACCCTGGCTCGTCGAATAAAAGTTTTTCCGCGAGGGATTTTCTTCGCGCCTTGGCATTAGCAGGGATCATTTTGACCTTTTCCATCGCGAGGGCGTGATGTCCAACTATCATTCGTCTTATCATCAGTAAGCATTAAGAAGAATCTGACTGTCCTTTGCATACGAGTTTCGGTGTGTTTGATCCGGGTCCAAGGCGTTGTTATCCTCGCGTACCCCAGATTAAGTCATGCCTAAGTATTGCTTGTCATTTTATCCCAACCCTAAGTCTTCAGACTGATGAGCTACTGACTGCCTATTGATAGGGTTTATTCGAGCCCGTCACAAATAATTATTGAGCTTACAAGACCTCAAAACCCACCTCGAAGGACCAATTTGTACTAACATCAGATCTCTGCACAGCACCCGACTCATAGTCTCGAGTACAGAAGTTGGCAAGCTATCTGGAGCGCCAAGGTCTTCAATGAAAACGCAGCCTACACTACCCCGTTCTTTGCAAGAAACTCCCGGATCAGGTTCGCAATTTCAACAGTATGAGTCTCGATTGCAAAGTGGCCGGCATCGATCAAATGCACCTCTGCCTTTGGTAGATCTCTCTTGAAAGCCTCCGCACCGGGTGGGACAAAAATCAAATCATTCTTACCCCAAACAGCCAGCACGGGCACTTGAGACTTCTTGAAATACTCCTGAAACTTAGGGTATAAAGGTAGGTTATTGGCATAATCCTTAAAGAGATCCAGCTGGATATCATTGTTCCCAGGCCGCGAAAGCAGGGTGTAGTCGAGGGTATACGTCTCTGGCGCGATGACCTCCTGGTTGGGCGAACCATAAGTATACTGCCATTTGGTAGGTGCAAACCCCAGAAGCGCCGGTCTCAATACCTCACGGTCCTCCTGTGCCCCGGACGCCCAATACTTGCGTATCGGATCCCAGAAAGCACCGAGGCCCTCGTCATACGCATTGCCGTTCTGCGAGATAATGGCCTTGACGGCGTCCGGGCGTTCCAACGCCAACCGCAAGCCCGTAGGGGCGCCGTAGTCGAAGATATACACCGAAAAGCTCTTCACGGAGAGCTCGTCGAGGAACAAGGATATCGTTCTGGCAATATTGTCGAATGTGTATGCATATTGCCGGCTCTCTGGCACTTCGGTGAAGCCGAATCCTGGAAGGTCGGGAGCAATGACGTGGTACTTGTCGGCCAAGAGTGGGATCAGGTTGCGATATTGATGGGACGATGATGGAAAGCCGTGGAGCAACAGGATTGTTGGATTTGTCTCCAGTCCGGATGTTCTGTAGAAGAGATCCAGGCCGTCGACGTTCACATTTAGATATTTGACTGGTACCGCCATTTGAGCTATGTGTCTGCGTATGGATGCAATGGTATAGGAGCACAGGATAGTATGGATTTCCTCGGTGGGTGTAGAACAATTGGACCAGGAAAGATACAAGAGATGCGATGTTATGTATGTCTACTTTCATTCCCTCTGCACGATTTCCCTCGCCTTTATATCCCAGAAGCTGATGATGTCAACAATCCATCCTTCGTGAAAGCATCCCTGTGCGGATCCCCATTCGTACTCGAGAGAGGTAATGGCAACACCATGTTAGTCACGCTTCGTGGAAGCCACCTGGGCAGATGATCACAGGCTAGACCCCATTTTCACCCATATAGGCGTACTTTCTATAGGATCGCTTCGGCCCCTGCTGAAGTATCGAGTTTATTGGTGCAAAAGTGTTGCTGCTTTCATTCTCAACTCCACATTCATTCGACTTTGTCATCGAAAGAACTTCTTGGGTAAATGGCAATGGATGTGCAGGCTGCAAGTCAGACTTCTAAAGCAGCGTGAAGGTCGAAAGCGGCGAGTCTTCGCAGGGTAGGACTAATACGAAGAAACTTTCAAAAAGTGAACTGGGGGTGGAGCATTCATGCGCATCGCTGAATAATACGACTGAATACCGTGTTCATGAATCACCATCTGACCTGTTCCAATGAGTGATGGGGGTAGAGTGGTTTTATAGAATAGTCTTTTGGATGAAGCACGCAATTTTCGCTTGTTGTGAGACTAATGTTGAATATATGCAATCCCCCGGAGCATTAAAGTATTACAAGAAAGCCGTGAAGCGTTCGCCACATCCAATATGAACACGACAGCAGTGAGTCTCGAAATAGGAGACGGCAGAAGTACCACGTTCTGCACATGATAACCTTCCTTCGGCATTCTCAGATTCTGGGCCTGGACCTCAGCCCTGACTCCCATTCCTCGTCGGGGTGTAGAAATAGTCATCTCTTTTCTTTCCCTTACTTCTCCCAATCATGCCCGATAATGTCTCACTCAACGCTCTCATCCTGGTTCTTGTTCCTTGATCTTCCTCCTCTTCAATGATATCTCTGACTCCAGGGAGAGGCATGGTGTCACGGGTGTTCTGTCTGCTCAGGTCTTCTGCAGACCGTGCGTTCAGTACGTTGTCATCGCCGACTGGCATAAAGCGTCGCCGTTCGTCTTCGGTGTGATGACGAGCAGAGCGAGTACGCCGAATTCTCGCGCGCACGGACCGTGGGGCTCCCTCGCCATTAAGTATCGAATTTGCGACCAGTGCACTGAGAGAGGATGAGAGGGGCGGGAGCAAAGGCCCAGGAAGTAGACGCGAGATACTGCCACGCGCGGATCGGGTGAGGAAACCTGGCTCAGGTGTTACAAAGTCAAGTGGATCAGGCCCAGGAGGCCCTGGTGTTGTCTGTCCAACGGGAGTGCTGGGTTTAGCAGGCGAAGATGTTGCTCGCTTGAGGGCCTTGGAAGTGCTTGGCGTGAAAAAAGGCGTTGCTCCTGAATCTGCTTGAATCCTGCTGATCTGTGGTGTACGTGGTAACGCGCTTCCATCAAAGGCGTCGACAGGGCCCATCCAAGCTGGTGGTCTGTCAGAGTCTTCCCATGGCTCTGCCACAGGGGTAATTGCGATGGATGGAACCGAAGACGATGCTGTGGACGGCCTTGGAGGGGTACGCAAACCATTTGCCTCGCCATTGTGCTCAATTCCATTAGGAAGAGAGACGACTAGATCTTGCTCATGTTTGAGTGGAGTCCGTTCATCAATATCCTCTGCTTCCTCATCAATCAGATGAATAGTCTCATCTTCATCTGCGTCCTCGCCGTCAACATCATTGAGGCCATTTCGTTTGCTGGTGATGAGATAGACCCCGAAAAAGGTCAAGAAGCAGCCCGTGATGAACTTGGCGGCCTGAGTGGTTCCCGTGTGCTCGAAATCTCGATACAAGACAGCTGATCCAAGAATAACAGACAAGGTAAAGAGAACGAATTGTGTCGGGATAACCTGAGTAGAGTCGTAATTCTGCAACGCTCGATTCAAATAGCGAATTTGCATGAGCGCTGACAAGACCAAAATGACGACGAGGAAGTAGAAGATGGGATATGTGAACGCTTTGTACAGGGACGTTGACAGCAAAGATGCCACACCTTTCGTCGACAACGCTGTATATCCGCCGAACAGACCAACCAACCCTAGGTCAACAAGAATAGTTCTTCGCCCATATCGTGGACTAGCCCACAGCAGACCGGCGATGAGCAGACAGGTGAGCACGACATATAGAAGGAATTCCCATCGCTTGACGGTCTTCCACAGTTCACCCGGGCCTATTTTCTGCTCATTACTGCTGGCAGATAGAACGACCACGACGGCACCAGCAATAGCAACAAGAACTCCTCCGAAATCTCGCTTTCTGAAATGCTCCTTAAGCATCAAGGGTGCGATCAAGCAGTTTGATATCAGTGCCACCACACCCAGAGGACTCACAATCGAGGCAGGTGCGAAGCCATAAGCGAGAAAATTGCCAGTTTCACCAATGATCATGAGAATCAGACCTAACCACCAGTAAGGTGACTTGAGATATGACTGTCTTCCATGCTCATCATCTTCGTCCTTTGCATCACCATTCCCAAAGTTTCGGGGTTCGTACCCCTGTGGTAAGGATGAATCCCGTGGTCCATTGCTTGATTTCCGACCGAGATTGGTGCGACTCCGTTCCTCGGCAATTTCTTCTTGCTGTGTAGTCCCATAACCAGGGGATAGTCTGCCACGCGTGGAATTTTTCCTCCATTCTTTATGTTCGCGATCTATGCGGATATGTGCATATCTCTGGGTGTTCAGAGCGAAGGAAATGAGTAAATTGCCCACAATTGCAGTGACTATGCCAATGAATGAGGACCATTGTCGAAGTTGAGAGCCGCCACCTCCGCCATTATCATCTCTTGTATCAGAAGGGTAGGGGTCAGAGCCGAAGCGGGAAGTTGGAATGTGCATCGAGACCACGCCACCGGATTGCTGTGGTCAATGGGAGTGCCAGTGTTGGCTGCGACAACAACTCGAGGTTTAGTTTGAGGGCTGATCAATCTGAGAGCTAGGGCCTTCTCATGAGTGCATGGCTATGCTTCGGACAACTATACAAGAACGAAACTCCTTCATCGCCATCGCGGCGAAGTATGCAAGATTGGCAACGAGGAAGATCCCATTGCTCATCGATTTGGAGGCCTTCCAGCACCCGAGTCTGTTGCTGTTGTACCGCGGAGAGCCGCGCAAGGTCGCAGTCATTTAAGCTTGGCAAGCACGTGTAGGCCTCAATCCACTTCCAGATCTCATGTTGCTGCTTTTGGCAGCGAGTATTAAAGCAGCGTTCAAGAGAAATCCGTTTTTGAGACGCGTTCAGACGCGGCGAGGCGGGAATCTATTACAGGTACTGGGGTATCTTTATTTCAGTCACTCAGCATTAGATTCTCCAGGACTGCCGCCATTCCTGCACAGCAGGGCCAAGGCATTCCTTCGAGTTCGACTTTGAATGCCAACAGTGACCGCTTACTACCAGACTTGTCTCGACCTTCAACGCCGCCTACCAGACTGATACTGGCCCAGATAACCAGGCCGGCGTGAAAAACCACAATCGGAAGCCATATCGCGCACAGCTTTTCGCCAGTTTTGGAGCGTAACGCTGCATAATCGAGCACTTGCCATGCTTGTTGAATGGAACTATCAGCTATGTTGAAAACGTTTCCAGCCTTCGATTGGTACCTAGACCTGATGTCTGCAACGGGATTATTATACCCCGACAGTGGCGGCAGAGCAGGGAGGTCTGGACAGGAGATGTAGAGCCTGCAGTAATGATAAAATGCCATCACATCTGCTGCCATGACGCCCTGAAATTGACTCTCCCATCTATCAAGCCCCTGTGAGAGCTGCATTTGCATCCGTTCAAGCTCAGTATCTGGAGTCAATGGCACGAAAGGATTGCTCATCGACCTTCCTTCCTTCGTTAATACCAGCCGTCCAAGTGCTTGGCGAAGATATATTGCGTCCGAGATGATGGCCATGAGCAGGAGAACAGCGTCCTCCGGTGTCGTCATACCCCCTGGCAGTATCGATTGCAATTCGTCGTCACGAGCTCCATACACGAGTCTTTCATAGATGTCGTGGAAATCATGCGTTGATGACGGCATCTTTGTCCAAAGCTCCCGCGACGAGAAATTGGCTGCAACGCCTGTGTGTAAACTCTGTATGAGATCTGAGAGCCATAAACACCAGATTGGTGCGCTCGAACGGTCTTTCAGTTCACTCACATTCTCTCTCTTGGGGATGAAACTGACCTATATGATGAAACCCGTGGACCGAGTATATCCTCCAACTGAGAAGGATCATTCAATCTCATCCGCCGAGCAATCTGCAGCGTTCAGCCATCGCCATATACTTCAAAACACTCGCTCTTACCGTTGCAGAGGAGCTTAGAACAAGGGCGCTACGGTTGAGTACAACTGGGTCACCTCCCACCGCCCCATACCAGGATAACAATGTGCTCTGTGCCATGATCGTCTGATGAGCTCAGTTGATCTCAAAGGTTGCCGATTGTGACTTACAGCAACAAGCATTTCGAGGGATCTGGCTTCACTATTGTCGACTTCCACGATGACGGCCCAGAGGCTAGCTCCCGCATGAAAAAGATTTCGAGCCTCTTCCGAACCTTTCTGCGTATATACGGAACCAAGACAAGCTTGTGCCAGGCGTAGAGGCGGCGTGATTATCTCGCGTGATGGTGGCGGTAGCGGCATGCGATTTATGAAGACATGGGTGGAACAGAATGTTGAGAACATCAGCCTAAGATTTGCGACATCGGTCGCACCTGGCAGGGCCGGAAAAAATGCGAGATCAGCGGCCGGCCAAGTGAATCCCTTCTGCTGCGAGGCCTAATATCGTGAGCATAAGATCATTATTTTTGCGATGGTAAGAATTCACTCGACTACCCAACTCCATATGCATTAGCCTATCTGTACCCAATGCATCGGGGCTGGCCAATAAAGCTCTCTTGAAGTCTGACAGCAGACCAGGCTCGGGTATCTCATTGGCCACTTCGACATCGCGCCTCGAAGCATCGCGCTCTCCTGGCCAGCTCGATTCTGGCGATGTTATGCTCACCATATTGCATTTCGTCGTTAGTGAGCAGCTCATTAGAAGCCATGAAGTGTCCAAGGTACCACCACTGCCACCGCTACCATCTCTTGACCTGCGTCATCGGTCCTGTGTAGTTCTCTGGTGACTGAGTCAGAAATTGCCGAGGTGGGGTAGTCTCCCAGGCAAGGCCGGGGTGCCCCGTGCACAATCGCCTAACAGCGACTACCAAATTTCTGGAAGTTTGTCACACCATGAATCCCCATCCTCCCACAGCTTAGACACATCTGGAGACCCCAGATCCCCGTGTCCCATATCCTCCAGTCGAACAATCTGGGGTACGCAGCACCGCGATGGATTCAGATCAAACCTCGATGCGTGTGATGAACAAGACAGTGAGTTTCAGCACGCCACCATACATTACCTAATACGTGGGCAGTGTGAGACATGTGGTCGATCATTTGCACGGAATGAGCATTTAATCCGTCATCGGAGGACTCGTAAGTCTTGCGAGCGAACAGAGATTTGACAACCTGACCAACATGTCGCAGATACTAGCGAACGGCCCTTTCAGTGCCCATATTGTAAAATTGGATTTCCAAGATCCGATGTCAAGGATAAGCACATGAAGCGCTTTCATCCCACCCCAGAATCTGCACCTGGGTCACAACTATCACCTACAGGAGCTCACCTCAAGCCGAGGAAAGAACGCTCAAAGCTTGCTTGTAATGAATGTAGAAGGAAGAAGTTAAAGTGTGATAACTCACATCCATGTGAGACTTGTCGAGTCAAGAATCTTCCGTGTACAGTCTCTGATGCCAGCCGACCTCCGGGGAGACCAAAAACTGGGCAGTCGGAATTTTCTAAGCGCGCTGCGACTCGAGATGATGCTTTTGAGATTCCCCGACTCCCACATGGTTCGACAGCGGTATCGCAAGATATTTACGAACCGGAGACTATCGCGGAATCACTTACACACCTTGGTGACCACCCAAGCAATCACGTCCTTCTTCTCAGCAATCACTCGACAGCAGAATTCGATTTTTCACGTGTTCCTGAGACTGCCGACTTATCAATGGGCGACCCAGATACGATCACTCTTGATGCAATAGAGGCTGCATTCCCAAATGAAGCCATTCTCATCGACGAGAGCTGGGATCATCCTCACTTCCTTGATGGCTTTGACTGGCAACTACCTACCTTGGTAAGTCACAAACATGTACCGTTAGCTCTACCATTGCTCATCTCATTTCTAGGGTGTAGAGCATTGGTTAGACGACATCGATAGCTTCTCTCTCGAGAACGACAATTGGTCGAGGAATCCAATCTTTCTGGAAACAGAAAGCACTTCTCAAATGGATGTCGCAATTACCATGATAAGAGACTTTTTCCAACGCCGCTCGAGGGCACCGACCCCGACGAGACAGGAATCGAAACACATGTGGCACCAGTGGTATTCTGCGCCTCCACACCTTCAGATATACGATGAGGAGGTCATCAACGTCCTCCTCAATTTGGCCAAGACTCACATTTCCAGTACCTTTAGCCTATTTTCAGACTTTGAAACCACGCCAGACATGAAGGAAGAGCTTTGCCTCGCAATGGCTGCAGTTGGAGGACTTTTCTGCACGGTTTCAGAAAGTGCTAAGGTCGCTAAGAAGCTACACAATGATGCTCGGAGAATGCAACTTGAAGCGTGCCTGCCGCCACTCATGATCCATTACCGAGCGGCCATAGATGCGGCGAAGACATCTATCCTCCTCGAGATCTATGGGCTGTGCAGTGGTGATAAAAGGAGTTACGAGCTTGTTGAAGCTTATCACGCGGAAACTTTACGCACCATACGTTTGTGTTGGATATCTCCCTTTGATGGAGACCCGGTTGAGCGAGAAAAACAGCTGAGGTTGCTCTCTGAGGCTGTTCGTATTCTTGACAGCTACCGTGTACTCCTTCTATTCCAGCCTCCGTCTTTCTTCGATGCCTCGCGTGCTAGTGGTCACCTTGGAGATGAGAAATCCGAAGCTTTTCAACAGTCAACAGATCGATTGCGATATCTTATGAGTCCTGGTTGTGTCAATGGGGAAACATCAGGCAGTCTCGAGACTCTGGCTGAGATCAGCTCATATAGCTGGGCTTTGCATCCTCACGGATCAGCACATCCAAATGATCAACTTCTGTGGAATCTTAATTTCATTGAGCTTGCCCTCGAAAGGTGGAATCAGTCGAGATTGATGGGCCCTGAACTCCCAACGAATTCGCATCTTTCGACAATGTTACTGTACCATTTGACACATATCAATCTCCATTCAAATTTGAGATTGCTACAACGGTCCACGAAAGATTTCATGGCCCCAGCAAACAGTCCGAAAAGCAGCAAAACTTACCAAGCTATTGTCGCATGGGCAGCTTCTTCGCATTTCAAAATCTCCCATTGGCACTCTGAAGCCATCCAGAGTCTTGTCAGTGATGCCATGTCGGCAGCACGCCGTCGCACTCAGTTACAACCGGAGACGTCCCACATCCTTGAATCACCTCATCTCCCCTTCTGTATCTACTTCTCAACCTTAATATTGTGGTACGGAGCTCGCGCAAAATCTCAAACAGATCAGTCCAGCGATGTTATCATCGATAATGGCAGCCAGCTACTACTTGGACTCAAGGTGAAAGTGGCAAAGCACCTTGCGAGTGCCCTCAACGATGTTTTGTCGGAGAACAGTAAATGTCTGAGCTGATTAGGAAACAAGCATATTATACTCTCAAGATGATGAAACTTTTCCAGACTCAGATGTTCCACACCTGATTTTCGTCCGCGCAAATGGCCTGCTCATGATTCGCTTTCCTTGTTCTCATGAAAGCATTATTGAATTGGTTATCTGCACTAATCGATCCGTCTCGCTCCAGCCAGATCAGATACACCTTGATACTTGGTAACCGAGGCCTCCAGGTACTCAAAAATGGGGATCTCTGCAAGCCGACTCACCACAGGATGCAAAGTTGGCAACGCTTTCCAACCTAGATCGCTGATCTTGACATGAACGTCGTTCTTGTTGGCGACGGACTTGGATGTGACCGTGGACATGCCCTTTTCCTCCGGTATAAAGACAGCATAGTTCGCATCAGCGTCCTGTCGGTCTTTCCGCCCAGTTGCAGGGATATATTTGTGTACCAGAAGCCCTCCTATTGGATCTTCAGCTTGGTCCAAAGCCGAGGTATCTTCCTTGAGATCCTTCCACTTGAACTCTGCCCATTTTGCACCTCTCCAGGAAATGGTAACACTGCATGAGGTGTCATCTCTCGAGATGTCAATATCCGAGAAGAGTTTCGGCACGCCTAGCTCTTCGCGCCCGGAGAGAATGGGATCGGCCAGATTTTCAAACATGACTGGACAGAATGTTCCTTTGACAATCTGGCCGTCATTCTGTCGATAACAGACATCGTGGATGTACAAAGCCAATAGATCATATCCACCTCCACCGAGCCAAGCCATCTTCTCGAGCGATTGTACCGAAAAGGATGCCACTGCAACAGTATCACGCTTCTCAAATGAATACCGATCATTCGGGAACAGGTTGCGGAGGATGGTTGAACTGGTTTTGAACTTTACAGATGTTTTCGTGGTTGTGGACTCACGCAGAGACTGACTGTGGGAGTGCCCAAAAGCATCTTGTCTCGGCCCTGGCAGCAATCCGAAACTAAGAGGCTGTCTCCAGCCTTGAGCACTGTCTTTTTGCCGCCATTGATGTTGGCGAAGCAATTCTGTTGAAGCATGGATTTCGTCGTGGCTAAAGCCATACTCCATATATTCGTTCACTGTGGCGGCCGACGTTAGCGATGGTTCAACAAGATATACGATGACAGCAACGAATGTTCATCTCACATTTGAATCTGTGGTTCTCGCCAGGGTTGGATGCAGTCCCATCGCCACCTACTTCCACGCTATACTGTTGAATTCTCGTCGCTCGTTCGTACCGTGCCTTGTTGTACAGCTTCAATCGCTCCGGGACGTTCTCTGGCGAGACGCCATCTCCAAGCATGACACCCAAGGAAGCGCCGTCTTCAATTGCCATTGCTCCACCTTGAGCCAAATGTGGCGTGAACGGATGGGCTGCGTCACCAAGTAAGGCCATTCGCCCAGATATGAACGTTGGAAGAATGTCCATGTGGTACAGTGGATATATCTTCAGATCGGCAGGTTCAACCTTGCTCAACATCTTTACAATGCTCGGATGAAAGTCCTTGAATATTTCTAGCATTTGCGGTTTGGACGCTGACTTTGTGTAGTCATCTGACACACTTGTCAGGTGCTCCGGGTGTATGCAGACAAAATTCAACAACTTGTTGTTCGATGTCGAGTACATGACAATCTTTCGATCCCCCAGGTACCACATATCCATGGAATTATAATCTTCGGTGAGTGGTTTCGTCTCAGGGTCGTCAAGAATGAGCTGTCGCTCAAGAATAAAGCGAAAACAGTTGTGGGATCCCTTAACTGGCACTGGAGCATTTTCCATAATTGCTTTTCTCGCCTTGGAGTGGACACCATCAGCTCCAATGATAACGTCACCAGAGTATGAAGAGCCGTTTGCAAGATGTATGGTTGCACTTTCCGGATCTACACGAAGCACTTGGGAAGACGTATTGAGCTTCACAGGTCGTCCAGGCAATTCAGCTGAAGTTGCTGCTTTTCTCAGCTGTGTGTGCAGATGCGCGCGGTGTGCCATCATCCATGGCTGTCTGAAGTCAGTCCCTGCCTTGAAGTCTATGAGCCTTTTGAGGTTTCCACCCTTACATTTTGCCATCTGTGAGCACTGGCTGTGTTATCCATTTTCAGCAATATTTCATTGTTTGCACTCAGGATCCGAGTCTGCCATGATTTAGAAATTTGAAAGGACGCCAAAGATAATTGGAATGTCGGTCACCTACTTGTTCGCATGGAACGGCTCCACTGTCCTCTACGTTGATCCCCAATTGCTTCAGCACTCCGTTAGAGTTGACAACGATGTGTATCGCCGCTCCAATCTCGTTAGCTAAGCGTGACTGCTCATAGACTTCGACATGATGCCCCTGCCGCCTCAAAGAAATTGCAGCTGTAAGACCTCCGATTCCTCCTCCGACAATGATCACCTCGAGCTTGCGAGGACTGCCGCCGTTGATCCCATTAGTGATAGGTTCGTGGTTTTCGGAAGACATATTTGTGGTTTCATAAGCCGTGCGGAACAAGGTGTACGTTCTGATTGCAAGATTCTCCGAAGACAAGATCTCTTATACCAACGATGTATGCTCAAAGCATTATTGTTTTTCTGGGGAGGTCAAAATTGAGATGGAATCTTGCATTATTGCCTACCAGTGCATGGTTCAATGGCCTGACCCCAGAGGCAACCACCAATAGCATCATAATGGCCGGAATCTGGAGTTCTCAGTTTCCAGCTTCTAGGTAGTCGTCCTTGCGGAATGACAGGGTTCACCGTATTGAAGCAAAAGTTGCCAGGATGGATGGCCTACAAGAAGCGTGTTAGTCATCCGCAATGCCGAATGCCCGATGCCCGAGAGAGACCAGACAAGTCAACAGCACCTCCTTCTGCAACAAAATCGAGTCAGGTGTATATCTGGGTAGATCTACTCGCGGACCGTTTCTGGACTTGCCCAAGAGCATAGATCCAGGTACGACTCATGATGGCAGCTGCCGAGAAGAATCTCGCTCATACCCCACCAATTCCGAGAGCAGACACCCGCGCGACCCGTCTAAGAGTAAAGAGAGTGGGATGGGCCGAGCTTTGGTTACAGCAACCTCCACAATATGATGCACGACTCAAACAGGCAAATACTCTTCAAGAATGTGTAAAACAACGCGATATCCATGCTTCGAGGCTTGGCCTGTATTCGACATTGCGCACCAACTGTCTCACACTAATTGAGCTATGCCTAACCAGATCAAAGACCTCTACAAAATCGATCAAACATCGTTTGATTACATCTACGAGGAGAATGTAAACGTGCCTCTCAAAGACGACAAGGGTCTGGTAAGATGCAATGTTTACCGACCAAAAGAGACTGGCAAGCAATATCCGGTGTTGGTGACATATGGTCCATACGGCAAGGATATCCACTACAGCCAGTAAGTCCTACGATTGAAGAATTTATGCACGGGTGCCAACACAGTGTCAAGTTTCCATGCAGATTCCTTTAATGAGGTGCCTGAGGAGCATCATTCACCACATTCCGCATGGGAAACACCAGACCCCGGGTTTTGGACCAGGAACGAGTATGCTATCGTGCGAGCAGACGAGAGAGGATTAGGTCAATCACCCGGCGTACTCAATACTATGTCTCGAGGAACGAGCGAAGCATTTTTTGATGTGATTGAATGGGCGGCAAGCCAACCATGGTCCAACGGCAAAGTCGGACTTCTTGGAATAAGTTATTATGCTGGCAGTCAGTGGAGAGTTGCCGCACGCCAGCCGAAAGGACTGGCATGCATCATCCCTTGGGAAGGTATGTCCGATTACTATCGGGATCGGTGTCGCCATGGAGGTATTCTCTCAAATACGTTCATCAAGTTTTGGTGGAACCGACAGGTTAGCTCCATTTTCGCATTCTAGGGCAAGAACACAACTCACTAAGAATCTAGGTAATCACTAACCAATACGGAAGACCTGGGAGAGCGGCTAGAAATTGGGGATTTGACACCATTGAAGGCGATCTGTCAGAAGAAGAGCTGCTTTCCAACCTTCGAGATCAAACGGCAGACAACGAGAAGTATCGTTTTCTCGATGAGGACTACTACGCTTCAAAGGACTACGACATGGGTGACATCAAAGTGCCAATTCTGTCCGTTGGAAATTGGGGTGGGATTTTACTACATTTACGAGGCAACGTCGAAGGATATTTGAATGCTGGTTCGGACTTGAAATACCTGAGATTTCTTACGGGTCGCCATGATTTGCCCTTTTATGGAAAGGAGAACGTTGAAATGCAGAAAAGTTTTCTAGACGCATTCCTGAAAGATCACGATACCCAGGGCTGGACTACTGGGAAAGCACCGAAGGTCGGCTTAGTCCTGCGTAAAGGAGACGTCGGCTACAACGATGTCGAGGCCGAAAAGCACTATCCGCAACGATTTGAGAACGAGTGGCCGATTGCACGGACGCAGTACACCAAATACTTTCTTACGCCAGATCGGCAAATAGTTGAGTCTCAACCCGACAAGACTGAGCAATCTCAGGTGTCGTACAAAGCTTTGGGAACCCTCAAGGAGCCCCAGCTGGTTCAGTTCACGTCCAAGCCATTCCAACAAGAGACCGAGATCACTGGACACATAGTCGCTCATCTCAATGTCTCCTTGTCGGCCATCTCGAACACTGCTATAGCACCTACAGAATTGGATCTTTTCCTAACTATACGACATTTGGACTCGACAGGCAAAGAAATATTCTACACAGGTACTGTTGGAGACCCCGTGCCAATAACCAAAGGCTGGCTCAGGGTCAGCTTACGCAAAACTGAGCCGAAGCATCCACGATCCAAGCCCTGGCACCCCCACCGGGAATATCGATCCACGGACGTTCTCCCGGTTAAGACTGGGGAGGTTTATGGGGTAGATGTGGAGATTTGGCCGACTAATGTTGTGGTGGGCAAGGGTAACCGTCTAGTACTTGAGGTGTCCTCCGGGGATACGCAGGGCGCCGGCCTTTTCGAGCATAATTCGGACGTCGATCGGCCTCGGGAGTCGTTGGAGGGCCTGAATCATATCAACTTCGGCCCCGACCACGACAACTTCGTACTATTACCTATCATCCCGAGTCCGTGAGACAAAATTGGAGTACATAGACTAGACCAACAAGTCACTAGTTAGTGAAGATAACCAAGACCTTTGAACTAGATGATAAAAGTTCTGGGTGGCATGATCACGTTGACTCAAACCTCTACCCATCTCAAGTCAAGGCATAGGCCTCCCTAATCAAGAGCTTAGTATCAAAATCGTCAATAGCAAACAACACCATCTGCTCAGACAGCCATGGCAACCAAAACGCACAAGAACCCTAACAACTTGCGTACGCTGCAACGGCACATCACTGCTCACAACGACAAGTCTGAAGCCATCTTCAGCGATGCCCTGTCCTCCGAAGCGCCAATTCGCTCGGTGATGGGAGGAGACATGACGTTCAGCTTGATGTATACGACGTCGAAGTATCCAGTCTCTATGAACGGCGACAAGGACATTGAAGGCTACCAAGACCACCTCAAGACGCCTCCCGCAATCGTCGTTCCGGGTGGGACCGTTTGCCGCACCGTGGATTTCCCTCCAGAATTTGTGTCACCAATGCATCGGACAGTATCCTTGGACTATGGCGTTGTCCTGGAAGGGGAAATCGAGTTGATCTTGGACTCTGGCGAGTCGAGAATATTGAAGAGAGGCGACGTTGCGGTCCAGAGAGGCACGAATCATGCGTGGAAGAACACGAGCACGGAAAACTGGGCGAGAATGTTGTATGTTCTCCAGTCTTCTGAGGCAGTTGTTGTGAACGGCAAGCCAATGGATCACGATGAGGGTGGAATTGATTAAGTAGATATGGGACAGATATATCAGAGTGTACTGATACCTCAGTTTAACAGTTAGGACAGACGATCATCCTCTGGAAATACTGAAAATATTGCTGTCTAAGGTTAAGTCTTTCAAACTCAATAAGTGATGTTGATTCAATTTTTCCGCTACTAGAACATCCTTACTAGTTACCATTCGCCCCCGACTTCATAATGGAATATTTTATCGTTTATTCGGCCGCCTGTTTGCCTCCATGCTCGATTTAACGCCTGGAAAATGTCAGCGATGGATCCCACTTTCCTAAAACGCCACTATTCACACATACCGCTTGAATGTAGACTCCGACAAACATAACCTGCACTATTGCTGCTTCAGTACCGTCTCTTCCGCCCGGTCGTGAGGAGAGATCATGGTCTCTGCTCGTCTCTCGATAGGGAGGAACTCGACGGCGCGATGACACGTCGTTTGGGTTATGTTGTGTGGGAGGTGATTCCGAGTTTCTTGACGTTGAAGGTACATCTGGCTGCAACTGTCGGTGTCTGGTGTGTGCCTGTGTCTCTGACAGTCCTTCTTCCTCGCTTCCAGTGTGGTGGACATCGTACGCTTGTAGTAGATCGCGCACTGAGCCGCTGACGGTCTCTGTTCTCGAGGATGTTGACGTTGACATCGTCCCAGAATCACGGTTGTTGCCCTTCAACGCTCCTGTCGCCCAACACAAAAGGCTCTCAATGCTTTTGAGGATGTGGCTCATTGCAAGACGTTTGCCAGAGACGACTCCATTGGTGGAGTACTCATCGTACTAAGCCGTCATGGGATGTTGCAGAAAATGCCGAGGTGGAGTAGGTCCCCGGGAATTGAACTATCAGACGATCTCAATGAGTTGGTGCGGGAGATGAGGCTGTTGCCACTCCTTGTACCTCATCTCCCGAGAAGCTTGAGTTTCCGGGCCTCCGGTGCTTGTGGTTCCAGGTAAACGCCCCCCAGCAGTATTGCGGAGTGATAAGGCAGATCACTAGGCTTGCAGAAAACAGCGCATAACAATCAAGTTATTATACATGTGATGCCTGTGGTACGATGTAAATATCCTGTCGTACTTGTGTCATTTGTATGTATGAGCCGTCATCCAAGAGGCCTTGATTTGCGACTATGTCGACTGGAAAGCCCTCCTCACCCAAACCATTCTCTCGAATCTTGATTGCAGAGGTCGAAGGGACAGCACGATCACTCCGTCACCGGCAGCTCCAACTCCATCGTCTACAAACCACACTCACCAAGAATAGAACTCTTCTGATACAAGCTCTGAAGACTGACTTTGGCTATACTGAGATCGAAGCCTTATTCGAGTACTCTCTTTCGCTATCGGAGCTTCGTGCTCATTATGATAGCATCGATTTCGAAAAGGAAGTTCAACTGAACAAGACGATAGAGAATGGGGTTGAAAGCCTTGACCGATACGCCAGTGTGGGGATAATATATGTTGTACCAAGAAGTGGTCTTCACGCCGTGCTCTCTCCGTTATGTGCTGCAATAGCTGCTGGAAGTTGCGTGATTGTTGAGGTAAGTGGCCTCCGAAATGCTGGCTATCAACTGGCCCAATGTTCTGTAGCTGAAAGCAGAGAAAGATCCCTCAAACCACAAAGCAAACCAGTTCTGCTTTGCGGAGTATTCTTCCAGCGGGTTTAAGCGGCGACACCTTTGCTGTGTCCAAAGAAAGACCAGATTCATCATTCCTCAGACAGTGCACGGTAGTACTGCAGACCAACGAAGTCCTCACTACTTCAACCAAAGCGGGTTCTGATCTGCTTGAGTCCAAGAAGCTCATCATCTCTCCTTCATCAGCGAAAACTCTGGTGGTTGTGGATCGCACAGCCGATATCAGCCTTGCGGCTCGGTCTCTGATAGTGGCAAAGTTTGGGTTCAGCAACACCTCAGCCTACGCTCCAGACGTGGTATTTGTGCACGAAGCAGTGGCGAAGACGTTTTCGACGCGTCTCGTCGAGGTGGCCAGGAGCTATTTCGATGGCCTTGAATCAAACACCGGAAGTAACAAGACTTCGAAAGGTCCTGGCGGCTCAAAGGCACTTGAGGGACATAACGTGCTATTGTCCAGCAAACAGGGAGATATAATCGAATTGAATCAGAGGTAAGCGCACATAGACGATCTTCCCAAAGCCATGTCTGCGAGTACTTACTCTAAGTGATTCAACAGCTCTTCGGCAAGCCATACGCCGTCATGGGCAGCAGGCTTACCTTCGACAACGCTGCTTCTCTGCAAAGTAACCAGTACTGATGAAGCAATTGATCTCTCAGCCGAATTAGGAGGCACTGGTCATATTCAAGGACCTGCGGCTGCCTTGATCTTTGCCAGTCCAGCTGACGCCCAATACATAGCCAACAGCATTGACGCCAGTCTCACCTGTGTCAACACCTTCCCAGCGGAGCTTCTCGTCGGTCCCAAACTGGCCCCATCGGCAAACAGAAGTGGAGAGGCTTCAACGGCACTCTTTCCACGGTACAAGCGACATTTGTTCGAGGACTCCCGCCCAATAGTACAGAAGCAGACGCTTCAGGTGCTCAATGGTGGTACCGATTTGATCGTGCAGGCCGAGACCAAAACTTTCCGGCAGTGGGTTGATAGCGCGGAGGTTCCCCTCAAGCCTACAGGTCAAAGACCTGGCAAGGCAGTAGGCTTCTTTGATGCTGCCATCATGTTGAGTTTGGCGACTGTTGGCGTTCCTTTACTCGTTGGACTTGGATTCGTGGGCCGGTTTGCATTTCGCCGATATGGTGGTGGGAAATTCGGTTTCTAACTAAATACCTTTGCTTTCACCGCTGTGGTGCTGAGTCACAGGATCTGTACCCGAAACTATGTGTAGAATGTCAACACACCGCATATCTTAGTTGTAAGGCTTTGATAGCCTGCCTCATTGTTAGTGGTATTAGACTATTTGAGTAGCGAGCTATCAAAAGGGTCCAGAGAGAACGGATGTCAGGGAGTTCAAATGGTTCCGCCAAGAGGGTCCCGAATGCAGTCCTCTAGTTACCTAGGTTAGTTTCAGTTAAAAGGTATATCGCATGAGGGCCTGAAGCAGGTCTGGTTCCGGCACTCGTAGCAATAGCATTTTACCTGGAACTGCCACAAAGCTCCTAAGGTTCCTCCTGGGGCTCTCAACCCAAAGCGCCTTTCCTTATTAATCTAGTTGCGCGATACTTCGATTCCGTTCGACAGGAATCGAACTTTGGCGGAATGATCACTGTTACATTTGTACCATGCACCTGGAAAGTATGTTGGAGGAGGATTGATTCGATAAAATCCTGAGCATGATAATGAACTGAAGCCTCCGGAAAGGAGAAGTTTCAATCAGCTTTCAGGCACCTACTGAGGCAATTGCAGCACCATTTCCCAAGACACGACCAGGCTCTCCGTAAGAACCCATTGTGAATTGCGAGTTGCACATGTTCGTCAATTCCCAGGTCTCGGCCCCCAACACATTCGTGGTATTCACGTCGTCCCAATCACCCGCAGCGCCTGCACAAAACAACGCTGGAATGAAGTGGTCATCTGTCGCTTGCGCAGCGCGGTATTGAGGGTGCTTCATAAGCCTGGCCATTGCCTTCCGCAAATTCGGGCCGGTGTTTCGTGTGATCGCGTCTTCTGTTGCCTGGCGAAAATCAAGTGCCCATGTCTCCGGTGGTTGTTCCTGGCCAAGACTGTCTCGATACAGAAGCATGGGTCGCCAAACATTGCGATAGAGATTATGGACAGCTCCTCCAGTGCCAATAATTAAATATCCTTCCTGTCTCAAAGGACGTAATGTCGCACCGATACGGATATGATAGTGAGGATCGTACCGGGCATTCATAGAGATGATGGTGGTTGGTGGGCATTTACTAGCATCAGGGAACATTCGGATTAATACCATGTAGGTGTCGTGAATCCAATCGAATTTTCTATTCTCGGAAACATTGAATCCTTCCGCTTTGAGCATTTCAATACAACGGTGAGCTGTTGGTATATCTGGGTTTGGCGTCCACTCGGTAATGAGTGACTGCGTAACGTATGGACATGGTGATTTCTCTGGCTTTGGGTTGGTGGCCACTTCGATTTTATCCCCAAGACAATCCCAGTGCGCACCCTGTACACCAAGCGATGAGATGGGAAGAATTTCAAGACGAGCAGCAGAGCCTTGCTTACCATGATGATGATACCCTTTACGCCATGAGCAAGTGCCTCTTCGCCACATTTCGCCCAATATGCTCCCGATTCGGTATCCGCCTCAAGCATTCGGGTCGAACCATGGGAGAAGAAATGGACGGGTGTTAAACCTTGGACGGTGTCAGAGAAAGACACACTCAAACACTTCACTTCGTCATAGACGAGACTTACTCATGGTGGTTCCTTTTCTGTTGCTAGAGGATCACTGAATTCTTCCAAGGGCGGGTGTTTGCAATGAAGTTCGGCCTCGCGATGTCGTTATATCACACCGGGCGTAGTTATGCCGGAAGGGCGTTTCGGGTGGCGGTTATCGCATCCAGGTTACGCCACACGCTGCCGGCTGTGTGCATCATTGAGGCTCGGAACTGGTGGAGTAAGGCTGTGGGCAATGATTCTGGGATTCCCGGTTGGGGTCACAGTATCGCCATTGGTCAACCAGCTTCAGAACGGCGGGTCTCTGAAGGCAATCTTGCCAAAGCGGGGGATGAAATACTAAGCCCTTGATGGTTGATCAAGATCTCTCACACATCCTGAGCCTCGAGCAGAGAAGTTGGGACGGTAACGTGATTGCCGTGGGATAGATTCTCAGGAACGACATCTAAACCAGACTGCATAGGACCGAATATGACCGCAAGCCTCAACCTATCGTGACCTACTGCAACAGTTTGACTATATCATCGCTGGGAGATGGCAGGATGATGTTGAGCGAACTCCTTGCACTAGCGATGGCGAGTTGTGCCCTTTCGTAGCCTCAATCAAGAGGAAGTAATGTCCACACCGTGCGAGCAGGGAGGTTTTCCGCACCCGTCGTCTCTGTCACGTGCCCTAAACCACTTTAGAAGTCTTGGCAAACGCGGAGTCGCGTCGCCCGATTTCCTGCGTCCAAACAATCTTAACCAATTGGTGTCAATCGCGACTACTAGATTGATTTACACGATTCCTCGGTATCCATCCTTGAAATCTCACTCTCATCGTTCCGTGACACCGATGAATCCTAATTGTCGAATGCCCACGACTTGACGTCCCCAATCACCATCCACGAACCTTTTCTTACGCGACCACGGCAGTGATTGCAGGCCATCATGGGGAAACTCATTCGTCTTGAGCTGTATAGTAAGTTTGAGACCACGATCTAGCTTTGGATCGCATGTTGACAGACGACTAGATTTCAAATCCTACAAGGGACATCATACTCTGCTCTTCGGAGATGCCTACTTTACCTCTATCATCGGGCCCAATGGATCAGGAAAATCCAACTCCATGGACGCTATCTCTTTCGTTCTCGGTATAAAATCATCTCACCTGCGATCGACTCACTTACGAGAACTTGTGTACCGTGGACGAGTTCTGCGCAAATCAACCGTGAACGGGGAGACCAATGGAGTGAATGGTAATGAAGACTCAAGTCAAGTCAATGGATCACAAGAGCGACATGACCCAAAGTCTGCATGGGTTATGGCAGTTTATGAGGATGACGCCGGAATTGAACAAAAGTTCAAACGCACTATTACAAATCAAGGTGTTTCTGAGTATCGAATCAATGAGCGTGTCGTGACTTCTCAGCACTACAACGAGAAGCTAGAGGAGGAGAACATTCTCATTAAGGCACGCAATTTTCTGGTATTCCAAGGCGACGTGGAGGCTATAGCAATACAGAAGCCTCAAGACTTAACACGTTTAATCGAGCAAGTCTCAGGAAGTCTCGAGTACAAAGCGGAGTACGACAAGTTGAAAGCTGAGTTGGATGAAGCGGCCGAGAAGCAAGCCTTTCAACTTAATCGAAGACGAGGGATCAACTCGGAGATTCGACAGTACCAAGAACAGAAGCGCGAAGCCGACAATTTCCAGAAAAAAGCTGATGAGAGAGATCAAGCTATTATAACTCATGTTTTGTGGAAACTCTATCACCTTCAGCGCCAGATTGAAGAGTGTAGTGCAGACATTCAGCGACATCAGAATGAGATTAGAGAACATAAGCGAGGTCTTGAAAAATACGAACATAGTCTCGAAGCTGCAAAAAAAGACCATGCCCAGGCCGCAAGAGCTGTCGGCAAGGCAGAAAAGGCCATCAAAGTCAAGGAAAAGGAAATCGAGGACAATGTATCTTCTCTGGTTCCAATTGATGAACAAATCTTGGTGTCAACCCAGCAGCTGACAAAATATGCCAATCGAGTCAACACGATTGTCAAAGAGCGCAATACGCAAACAGCCACAGTGAGTCAGCTCGAGAAAGACCTTAGTATTGTGGAGAAGGCACAAATCCAGTGGCAGAAAGACTCGGATCAGAATGCGAATCGAATGGGTGGTCAGCTCAGTGCCGCAGATCTCCAGGAATACACTCGCCTGCGCGAAGAACTCAACAAGCGTGCTCTAGGTGATATAACTCGCGTGGACAGACTCAAGAACGAACGAGCGCCCGTCGAAGCCACATATAACAACCTGAAGAACAGTGTTGAAAGCACAGAGTATCGCCTGAAGTCTCTGGAAAATGACTACAGTGCAATAACCGAGCGGAGAGACGCCATCAAAGAGGTCGTACAGCAAATCCAGGCTGAAATTGATGCAAAGAAGACGGAATTGAATGCGGCCACATCCAAGAGGTTGCAAGCCACGCGTCAGCGAACCGAACTTGATGAAAAGCTTGCAGATGTAGCACGAAGGCTACTTGAGGCAGACGATGGCCGTCGAACAAGCGAGAAGGAGCGTCGGATGAAAGAAACCATCGCCATGCTCAAGCGTACTTATCCTGGTGTCAAGGGCAGAGTGCACGAATTATGCAAACCAAAGCAAAAGAAGTACCAAGAGGCCGTCAGCACAGTTCTAGGCCGCCACTTCGATGCTGTTGTGGTTGATACCGAAGCAACGGCAAAACAATGCATCGAGTATCTGCGTGACCATCGATCTGGTCAAGCAACCTTCATTCCCCTCGACACCATCCAGGTCAAAGCAATCAACACGAACTTGAAAGGAATGCACCGAGGCATGCGCCCTGCCATCGAGACGATCGATTACGATCAATCGGTATCCCGAGCCATCTCCTATGCTTGTGGAAATGCAATTGTTTGCGATGACCTCAGCATCGCCAAAGAGTTATGTTATAACCGCAATGTTGACGCCAAAGCCGTGACATTAGATGGCAGCGTCATTCACAAGGGCGGTCTCATGACGGGTGGTCGGGGTAGAGACCAGAACACTCGAAGATGGGACGATGCCGAGGTTGATCGTCTTAACAAACTCAAGGACAAACTAATGGAAGAATTCACTTCTCTTCCTCAGGAGCGGTCCCGAGTTGCAGAGGAACAATCCCTGCAAAATGAGCTCAGTGGTCTTGAAAGTCGATTGCGCTATACGAAGGAGGAGCTTGATGCCCTCCACAAGAACCTTCAAAGCAAGAAGCGTGAAGTCGACCATATAAAGGGCCAGCTACGAGAGGACCGTCCAAAAATGCAAGCTGAATTTGATAAGCTTGGCAAGATAGATGAGGATATCATCGAAAACGAAGAGTCAATGAAGAATGTGGAGAATGAAATCTTCGCCGCTTTTTGCCAGCAACATGGTTTCGACGATATTCGTGACTATGAAGCGCGACAAGGCACTCTTCAACAGGAAGCGGCCCGCAAGAAGCTGGAGTTCATCACCCAAAAAGGCAAGATTGAAGGGCAACTTAATTTTGAGCGAACCAGGCTGCTATCAATAGATGATCGACTACAAGCCCTAAGGGACAAAGAGCAACGTGACAGGACGACCATCGATGAATTAAACGAACAACGACGAGGCATTCAAGATGATCTCGATACCCTGAACAACGAGCTTGATGAACTTAATGCAGAGTTGGAAGTACAAAAAGAATTTCAATCAGAGGTTGCTGCAAAATTGGTAAAACAAAAGCAAGAATTCCAGAAGCGAGCAAACGAGATGAGTACCACCTTCAATCGTATTAGCGACCTGGAGGGTTCTATGCAACGTTATTCAACCACGAGATATGGGTTATTGCGTCGGTGCAAGATCGAAAATATTGCTATCCCACTCACAGAAGCATCGGCAGATCTGGAGAGCGTTCCGATAAATGAGCTTCCTCTCGAAGACGCGGACGCGATGGATGTCGACGAGGCGGATCCAACTTCCTCCGCCTTGAAGACCCACAGTGTTACAGACTATGGAGTCGATCCTGATTTTGACGCTCTAGACGACGACTTGAAGGATGAGGATGGTGAAGCGGTAGACCACAAACTTCAAGAGGATATCGTCAAGCTGACTGCAACACTCGAAAAGATGCAACCTAATTCACATGCTGCGCAACGTCTGGCGACAGTGGAAGCCCGCGCCAGGGATACCGAACAAGAATATGAAGATTCTCGATCACTGTACCGTGAGCTGAAAGCCCGGTTTGAAGACGTCACAGAGAACCGTAACGAGCTCTTCAACAAAGCGTTCTCGCACATATCTGAACAGATCGAGCCAATCTACTCCAATCTGACCAAGTCGGACGAGTTCCCCGCTGGCGGTCGTGCTTATCTCACTGCAGATGAGGAAGAACCATATCTTGCTGGAGTCAATTACCACACCATGCCGCCAACGAAACGATTTCGAGACATGGAGCACCTGTCCGGTGGTGAGAAGACAATGGCAGCACTCGCTCTACTTTTCGCCATCCACAGCTATCAGCCCAGTCCATTCTTCGTGCTCGACGAGGTAGACGCAGCACTAGACAATGCCAACGTTGGCAAGCTGGTCAATTACGTTAGAAATCATGCGGTATGTTCTTATCCACCTCTCCTTCCTCCTTCTTTTCCCGATTTCCTTCGTATACTGACCCGTCGACTTCTCAGGGCCCTGGCATGCAATTCATCGTCATTAGTCTGAAGACCGGCTTTTTCCAAGGCAGCGAGGCGCTCGTCGGAGTGTACCGAGACCAGAGCGCCAACAGCTCCAAAGTCCTAACCCTCGATGTAAGTCAAGTTTCATCTGTGAACACATCTCCGTCAACCCCTTGACAGCGTTTCTGGCATCAAAGTAGAACATCAACACTGACTTCTCGATGAAACACAGCTCCGCAAATATCAAGCCTAACTGAAACCTACCTTCTCTGCCACCCTTGTATTTGTTCAATGCGTACTCATACTTGATGATCCACCTTCTCTGTGCGCTTTCCTATCACCCTGTTCAGCATTTCGCGCGGCGCTACAATGTCCTTGAACGAAAGACTACCCACCACCTGATGTACGATCATTTCTGACCGGGAATGAGGTCACACATGTTTATATGAACGCAACGGGATCCTGTCTTTTTTTCTTCTCTTGATTCTTGAGCTGCTTGCTACTACGTTGAATGGAATATCTGCTCGCCTGGATCGACATTCAATCCACGGTGCGTATGATAGATATACACAGTTGGAGACGATTAGGCAGCTACATCAGCAATGAGATATGGACTGAACAGAACAGAATACAATCATTGGCCCATCGTACATATCCTCGCTACCTGACCTAGTCAGACGGCACTCCAGCCAATTCTTCCATCAAGCGAGACATGCACTGTGAAGTATCTCCTCCTATGCTTTGAGATTCTCTCTTTCTGCCTGACCCACGTACTGTACCTAGTCGTCAGTCTTGCAGTCATAGAGAGACAATGTCTACCCAGGCACCCACCGGGTCATTGCGGCTACTGTGGATATATGCTGATGCAGTGTAGCAAGATAGCCTGAATAAATATATAGGTACCCCCAAGTGAATTGAGGTGAAGACCACGTGTGATTGCAAGGTGCTTTATTCCTTCGATCCTGTTCGAACGATACACAGGGGTGTTGATTTCTCAACAACTGCCTACCTACTGCAGCGCTATAATGCTATTGTTGGGGTGTGATGAGATTGAAATACATATCAAGAAAATTCGTGATAACAGAAAAAAAAGATTCAGAAGCGCCTGTCTTTCCCAGTCTAGTGATGGTATAGTAGCCGGTGGCTGGGTTTCTGCTGATGCTGTCTGCCCAATGAAGAATTTCAATGCTGTCTTTCCGTCCATGACGCTGCTTACCCACCGTGTCGTATGCTCATTGGGCCTTTCCCCAACACAAAGGTCTATAGAAGATTTGTCGAATTGTTTGTATTCAAACAATGAGGAGAAATACAGGTCTTCATCTGCACTCCCGCCGCGCTAAATGTCGAGTTGAGAGCCGTAACATTGTCAGTTAATGAATGACTCCAGTTGGTGATTGGCCCATCGGAATAAGTAGAGGAGGACTGAATTATTCTTTCTTCACTTCCTCTTCTTTCCTGGCGGGCTCTTTCTTTGCCGCCTCAGAGACATCCTCTTCAGCCTCCTTTGCCTCCTTCATCGAAGATGACTCTGAGTCGGCTGCCTTTGCTTCCTCCACCTTTTGCTTCGGCTTCTCGTCGATGTCTTTGTCATCCTTCACACCTTCACTTGCACTCTTGCCGTCCTCTGACTTGCTAGCTTCCGACTGTTCGTTTTCTTCCTCAATCAGCTCTTGTTGTTCTTTCAGGACCTCGAGACGTTGCTTATTAGTTGCAGCACCCTCGGCGTTGTGAACCTCAAGTTCAATCTCGTGGAAGAGCTCCTCAGGAATGCTGCTCAGTACAGCTTGGAGAGCATCAATTTGTGAGTCGATTTCACTATCCTTGCCCGAGGTGTACATATACGCATTACTCAGTACCAGCAGGGTTGAAGGGATGTTGTACTTGAGTCTGAGGTCCAGCCACATTTGAAGGTCTTCCCGAAGCTTTCCGGGGGACATGCCATGAGTGCGTAGGCCACGCGATGCGCATGCCATCTGGAGTTCAGGAACAGACAGTGAATCCACACCCTCGTAAGAGATAGCTTTGTCATCTCGCTTAGTCTGTCTCATGCGATGGCGAATTTGATAGCGTAGCATGGCGTCGGTCCCAAAAGTATTGAGGTTCATGTATTTACACATACCGACCAGTTGTGGCCTTGACAGGTTGTCCAGTGTCAAGTCATCTTTGAAAATCCTGCACACCTTGATGACATCCTCCTTGGAAGGCGATTCTCCTGTTGCGCGAACCTTTCGGAAGAACTCGGTGAACTCTTCCTTCTTTGCGTTGATTGCAGAAACTGGAAGACCGGTCTCACGCAATGTGTTTCGGAGGAAAGTCGAAACTTGTTTTCGGGTCTCTCGAAGTCCAGCAGCCTTCTTTTCGCGGGATGTCTGACCCTCGTAGGTGGAGGGAAGGAGATTGGGGAAGAGCTTAAGGGCGACTGGGAGAAGGAGCTCTGCGAATGGAACAATGACGAAAACCGAGAATGGAACAAGCCGACCCAAATCCTGAACAGTTCTTTGCAACTTTGGCCATGTTAGTCAATGAAGGGAGCAAAAGAATGTCGAAAAGAAATTACCTGTCGGTTTTCACGTCTGCTTAATTCGTAGCCAGCGGCCATTTTCAGGGCTAGCCTTGATGAAATCTTGACCTCAGTGGCCAGCAGCTTGGTGCCATCCCAGTAATGGGCTATTTCCTTTTTAATCTTTTGCCCCAGGGTGAGCTTTTTTGGTTCCTCCTTCTTCTCCGTGACAGCCGTTGAATCGGCCTTTGAGGCATCGGCGGACTTTGCGGCTGCCAATTCAGTCACGGTCGCGTTTTCCAAAGCCTTGGTCTTATCGATGGCGGTTGCGCCGACTTTGGAGGTCCGAGTTTGCTCGTTGGACTCTTTCGATCCGGGAGCGGTCTGCTGAGCTGGGGTCGTTTTAGCTTCGTCTTTCGGGAGAGGCTTCTTTGCGTCGTTTATGTTAAACCCGGGAGGAGGACCGCCGTCGGTACCATGTGAAGTGGTTTCGGTGGCATATCCTCTTGAAGGCAGTAAGATGGCGAGGGCCCGGGACTGTGGGGGAAGATCTCGAGCAAATTGGGATCGAGCCCTCAAAAGGGAAGAGCGCGGAAGACGGGTATTTGCTGCTGGATATCAGTACATGACCGTCATTGACATGGTCCAGCCCAACATACATGGCAGTAATAACCTCCTGGTTGCAGCACTGCTGACAAGTCTAGGGGTGGAACTCATGATTGACGGAAGGTGGGATGGCTTGGAAACAGGGATCAAGTGGCAATGAACTCGGTATGAAAGAGAAGGTAGGAAATAAAAGGACTGAGGAAATTGTAGATGAAATCAAGCAATAGAATGGAAGAGTTTCTGTATTAATTTGGTTGACATGTTTTGAGATGAGAAAAGGAGGATAAGTTCGCCGCAGCCGCAGGAATCAGGACGTTCCAGAAGGTCGAGTTGAAAGTTGAAGACGCAGGGCGAGCACCACTGCGACCTCCACTGCCTTGGGGGATCAGCCGGTAGCCCAGGTACGAGTGCCTGAAGCCTGAGCCCGCGGGTTGAAGATTTCAGCACGCCAAACACGTGATGCGAAACGTGACCTTGGGCCTGCCTGAGATCGGACCTTGTCGGAATCGGGATAAATCCACCGGGGTTATCAACAGAAAATCTAACAAATGTCGCTTTTAAGTCCGTTGCATTCACTACTCGCGGATTGTGCGAGGTTTTGGATCACTGCTGAGGATCACTATCCCAACCTCGCCGTCTACTGATATTTGGAGCATTGGTAGACAAAGCGCACCTGAATGCCAGCATCCGCAGTGATGTCAATACGACGATACCTCTAGTCATGCGCCTAGAATGCCACAACTCCGGGACCCTATGCCGGCTTCAAGTGCTTACCGGTCCTTGTCATTCAACTCTAGCCATGTTTATTTATCAGTTCGAGAATCCTGAGTGGGCGAGAGCATTGGTTCATCATCGGATCCATCGCGCTTTCGCCGTTTCTGCTCTGGGGAGGAATCTGACGAAGTATTGCGTCGTCTTCGAGCTGCTGGTTCATATCTTTGTAACGATCGTCTGCGTTTGTGATGTCGTCGTCGCCTGTCAGGGCTTCGGCTTCGGCTTCGGCTTGCACTGCTTCGGCGCCCGAGCCTTGCGTCGTCGGGAGAACGGCTCAGGCGACGTTCGTCTTGTGGTTTGTTGCTCCTGAGAATATCAGCACGCCTGTTGCTTTTGCTCTCGTCAGAAGAGTAAGAAGGAGATCTTCGGGTTCTCCCATTATTTCGCTTGAGACCTCCACGTTTTCCCTCTCTAGATCTCGACCTTGATCGTGATCGTGCCATCGGTGAAAAATGCGACCCTCTTCGGCCATGTCTCGGCCGCTGGGGGCTTGGACTGCGACTTCGACTGACAGATGATACTGAGCGGCTTCTCATCCGTCTTCTTCTAGGTGAACGTGAGCGTGATAGATCAGAGCGCGTTGTAGATCGTGCACGTCTTTCACCAGTTGCTTCCGTGCTTTTCTTGGAGCCGCCTATCTTCTTGTCGGTAGGTGCCCTTGACTCACTATTGCTCCTGTTTACACTCCTGTTCCTTGATCGTGGACGTCTTCGACGATTGGCCGAGGGTGATCGTGACGTCGACGGTGATCGTGACCCGGATGCATGTCTGTCGTCACGGCGAAAGCGGGCCGGAGATCGTGACCTTGAGGGTGAAGATGTTATTGAGCGTGTGGGGGAACGACCACGATTGTTATCGCGTCCTCGGTTTCGGCCACCTGGAACGTACGAATCGGCTTCACGGCGAGTAGGTGGCGCACGGTATGGCGAGCGTCTTCGTGGTGGCGGCGATCTTGAGTATCTAGCTCTGCGATTGTCAAATCCCCGTCCCATTCCTCCGCGGCCTCGACCACGGCCTCGTTCACCTCGTTCACGCTGGCGAATCAAGTCCACATCTCGCTCACGAGTTTGCTCCTGCTCTTTTCGCTTGCTTGCCTCTTCGGCTGCCTTTTCCGCATCGATCTAAGAGGGTCAGTCGTGGTGTAGGTAGACCAAACAACAATTCGACCCACCTTTTCTTGTATGAGTTCCAGCTTCTTTGCTTCCAGCAGTTCTTTAGGGACACCTTGAGGATTTGACTGTGCACTCAGGCAGAGATTCCACAACTCTTTGCAAAACTTGGGGGTGTCCTTATCGAGAAAACCGGTGAGCGAGATCTGCAAGGCTTTGATGTCGGGCTACAAGGAAAAGTTAGTCACTCGGACATGATGAAGAAATTAAGATCCCGGATACGTACGAAACGCGAACCCTCGAGCAAGTTGAAGCACAGTTCGATCACAACGTCATCTTCAGAACCAAGAATGTCAGATATCTTGCCTGCAATCCACCTAGGAAGAAGATGTCAATGGGAGAAAGGCTTGATTTCTGAACAAAGAGCAACTTACTTTTTCATGACCTCGACATTGACCTTTTTCATGTCAACCTTCTGGTTAAACTCGGGTGGGAATTTCGTTTGCCGAAGCAATTTCTGGTCTACAGCTGTGGCCATCGTTGCTACTGCACTGTGGATACAATGGTGCAAGGCGTTGTCAATGAAATCCGTCAAGAATCTGGAGGACCAGTCTCGATAGTCTGGAGTTGATCGATTCTCCGCAGTCTCGCCCGCATATCAGCAGCGGCAGGTTTACCGAGAACGCTAAGCAGTTTAGGTTCTCACCCCAAACGGTCCTAGGCTTCCCGAAATGACCACCATCCTATTCTTGTAAAGTACCCAAGGTACCTAGGTATTGAGAGTGAGCTGTTCTGTGTAAATGGCCCGTTGAACCTCTCGCTCATCAGTCAATGTTATTCCAGGAGAAAACTTCACAGGTAGGTACGCATTATGGGCATGCTTCCCGCCAGGATGACGTCGACCTGGTCGTGCATGGCCTGCTGATCCTGGCACTGGCACTGGCACCGCCACTGATGGCACCTTCCCTCTGCTTCAGCAATGTTTCCGGGAAATGAACATGTCGGCAAGCACGAGGCAACGATTTGTGAGACCGTCTAAGTCATTTCATCGCCATTTGAGATCACCATCAGAGTTTTGCCTGGCCAGGTTCTCCCAGGGCCATGATATTCATCTGACTGCATTGTTAACCCGCTCACAATCATTATGAGTAATGAATCATGCCCGCCACAGCGGCTCTTCTGTTGAATTTCCAACTCCTCACTCGGCTGGTCTAGGGTGGCCCTAGTCTGATCATCCAGCTTGCAATCACTCCGACATCTCATTGCTCTTGAGATCTTTGTGGCATCTGCCGTTGAGGCAACCTACTCAACAGGAGCCCCCTCAGGTAAGTCCGGCTCCTTTTCTGAGGACAGCATTACTTATCTCTGACAGAATTAGGGGCCTCAAGATTCTGCATCTCCACAGAGAAAGTCGCCATCCGCCGAAAATTCTACACTACAGAACGAAAAGCCATCGATTCCACTGCAATCAGATACGGAAGCAACATTCAAGACGGCGAAAAACTCGGTTGACTCTCTGATTGGTCTTTTTGAAGCTGTACGACTCTTGTACTCTGTTTTCTTCGAGAACAATAATCTAATCCAAGACAGAGAGAAAGCCTCAACAAGGATCCTCCGTATCATCACCAACGCGCTCCTACTCAACCGTCGCCATACCTACGAGAACGCTATTCCTCTGCTCTCTCTTCGCAAAAGCAGTCCTCGACTGAATATCATCCCGAGCCATTCGTCAAAAGACCAAGTCTAAAACCCGGATTGACACAACGCCTTGAACAGATCCTGGTCAAAAGACAGACTCAATCTCTGACAGCTTCCAGCGGCCGAGCCTCGACCATTCGAGTCATCAAAGCAAGAAAGCCTCGGATCCGCGTCGTAACTTCAGGTCGGTCGGTCTCTATCATTTTCCCAGAAGGTATCAAGTTGCCAATCATTGCAACTATTCGACCTGCCCGATCATTTGACAGTCAAATGTCACGAGATTCATCACCACAGGGAAGTGAGTCGAATCATTCCCCCCATACTACTTCTGTCGGTGAGCCCGGCTCTTCGACAAAGCATCAGCAAGTATCAAAATTTAGTCCAAAGTCGGAAGAAGCCAGGACTCCTGGTGAGACACAAGCCCTTACCTCAGACTTCAGCTTCCCGTTCTTGGCAAGAGTTAGCAAAGGACGACTCAATATCTCTGAAGCATCAGTACCCCCTCCTACAGGCTCAGATATTTCGGCAGCTGGAGAAGTATTTATTCCAGCTCATGACCATCCCAGTGAATGGGAGAACAAGAAATTTCGGCCTACTGAGCTTGGCAACGAGGGTATTATACACAAAGTCGAACATAGTGAGACAAGAAGTGAGCCTTCCACTCCACAAAACCCACCTGGAGGCGACGGTCACGAAGCCAACACTCATCAGGAACTATCAAGAGACGAGACAGTTCCTCCACCTGAGCACGGCCAGAAGTCAAGCGGCCGGCCCCAGCCCAACGTCTTCGGAGAGATTATTGAACCAATCCCCGAGATCAGAATAACAAGGCCAAGTACACCCATAGTCATGATGGCAACCTCTCTTGGTACCTCCGTTGTTGCACCCGCCACAAGGTGTGCGGCAATTACGCCAGCCAATGTTCTTTCCCTTGACCCAGAATCTGTGGTCGGCGCGGTGCCTGTGAGCGCTCTGACCAGCACACTTGCGCTACCAGTACCATTGCCTCTGCCTGGACTGGCCACGGGAGGCAAAAAGAAGGCCAAAGTAAAGAATCTTATTGGTTTCGTGAGAAAACATCTGCTCCGAAAACGACTACTTGCTCTGGTCCTTGGTCGTCCAGTGGCAAATATCGTTCATCCTCTTCTTTCTCAGGCTGGCAATCTAGCAGGTGCTCTTCCACTGCCAGTAGACGGAGCCTCTGATTCTCAAGAAGGATATACCTGCCGTCAGCAATGGAATCCTATCGCACAACCACAACGTCTGACGAATCGACTCAAGTATGCCAATGGAAATGCAGGTGTGGAGAGTGCTAAGAGGTGTCAGATTTGTTCAGGTCTTACCGAATCAAAATATCTGCGAAGAAATCGAAGACTACTGCTGAAAAGGGACCGTCCAAGTATAGAACTGCTTAATCAAAGTGTAGCGCATATAGCATGTGCTATAGCGTTCAGATGCACATGCAGGGAAGGCTATCCGTGAGCTGCAAGAAGAGGGAATCGGAGAGACGCAGTTATGGGTGATGATTGTGCGTATTGTTAGACCCTAGATTCCGAGACCTCATGTCCTTGACTAGGGAGGATAGCGCCCCCATCCATAATGAGACAATAAACCATTTCTATCCCATTCTCCATGGCATTGCAGGAATGTTTGAACGCATCAGGATGATCCAAGTAGATCAAGACAAAGCGGCCATGACTTCATCCACACGCCTGCGTGCCTCAATAATTTCAGGCCCCAGGCCAGACTTGAGATGTTTGACTTTCACATCATAGTGCAGTAAGACGAGCTCTTCAGCACGCTGCAGGTCTCGATCAATGTCAGAGGTAGCGCTTGATTTCTGGTCTGTATGGACAGATAAATCGTCTTTGATCCCACCGACGTCTGGTTTCACCAATGCGATAGCTGCGGCATGGGACTATTATGAGGTCAGTCCAACCATCGCGAGTGGGTTGACGCTGGGAACAAATAGGTATGACAGTCGACCTCACGAGGGAGTTTCCCATAAGGATGAGGCTTCGGCGACCGCCAGTCCACACGAGACAGGCAGAAAAATCAGGGAATGCCTATCAGAGTGGACTTACACATATACTCAGCGATTTCAAGTCGGACAGGAAGGCTGCGACTTGCATAGTGGCTGATCTTGAAAGTCGATATTCTCCTCTCCCTCAGTTGTAGTGGGGGATGAGAAGAGTGATTGATATTCTGAGAATTGTCCTGCTGACGTAAAGTGCACGACCTGGCCGAATGTTGGGGTTTGCCACTGTGGGCAGAGTTTCGGCGCCCATGGTCATGGCCCTTGGGCGTTGCCAGGCATCACCTTGGCCGGCACGAATGCGGATACGGGCGCCCAAGACGCCCGGAGGCGTCCTCAGGACCCTCCCTTCAACTAGTCTAGGGGTGCCCACCCCTGCGTTCATGCGTTAGCCCTCTATTTGGCAGACACATGCCCCCGGAGAATCCCAATTATGCCTCAAGGATCAATGCAGGAAGGTCCCTTTGAGACATGGACATTGCATATCTACCTGGGTACTGTACCTGCATTGTCTGTATATTTGACCAGGCTAGGTACGAGGTAGTTCGGCATGGATTCGCCTAGGTGACACCTGGAGCCCTAGCACCACGTGGGAAGCGATCAATTCTCCTGTGGGATACGAGTAGCTGCAAGGCCGCAAGGGCATGAATCTGCACGGCAGCTGTCATCTGCGATCTGTGGTATCGACGCACAGTACTATGTATCTCGACTAAAACGTAAGTCGATGGCGATGCTTAGACGGGAATATTGGTCGATGGGCAGACTATGAATCACGGAAAGACATATATTCGACCGATTCTACAGCAGGCTATCTTGATATTACTTCGCTCGACATACTGCGAGACAATTATCACGAGACGCCATACCCGCAGAATAGCGTTCAGAAAGGCCCATGGCCTTGAGATCGACGATCATTTGGGGAGGCTTTGTACCTACTCGTACACATCTTGCTTCCCACATCCGTGCTTCTACCCGAAAGTTTTCGGAGACCTGCCCCTCGGCCCTCGAGTCTCCAATATCGACTGTCCCTGTTCCAATCTCACTCATCATCCAGACCCTTTCATGGAGCTCCACTGGTCAGAAGATGTTCTGTAAATCAGACACGATTGGAGTGGTGGTGGTGGTGGTGGTGGTGGTGTGAGCCAGTGACTGAGCAGTAAACAGTGAGCAGGAGTAATCTAAGCGATGTGGATTCGACTTTCGTGGAACTTGATCGTCAGTTTTTGAAAGGTCAACCTTTATAGTCTCTTGTGTCTGTGTGGGCCATTGATGGGCAATAATCACATGTCGCTATCATTCATGCTCCATGCTGCCGCAGAGTAGTGGAAAGGCAGATCAGAGCTAAATATTTCCAAGTCGCACCAAGACAATCTGTATCCATTTATATAAACTTCAGGAGCGTATATTCCGGATGGAGTCTCTGTGAGCCTGAGGAGCACTACTCATTAGTATACTCGTAGTAGTCAGTCTGCACAACGAATAGGACAGTACTCCATGGTGTCCCACTCGAACAATGTACCCCTTCAAACTGCGGGACGGCGGCGGCGGCGGCGGCGGAAGGTGACATTCTTCTTGCTCCAAAAAGTGCGCAAGTTCAGTGCCTTCGTAATCAACTTGAAGACTGTTGAGCACTGGCGCACACTATGGTTACAAGCACTGCACTTACTTCAAGCCCAGGGCATGCAGACATTGGCTTTTCCCACCAACTGCCCGTGATTGAGTTTGGGAGGGAGACTTGTCTCTGCGTAGATTGATACTGCTCCTGGTCCCAGAATGGCAGACTTTTGAACTTTAGACGTCCTGCTTGATCCTGGCAGCAGTCTGTGGGAACACAGACGTCTGCGAAGGATTTTGTTCGGGCCGACAGTTTCGGCATCAGAGAACGTTAAGAAAAAGGGGGTATATGGAGGCTCATCAAAGTGTACCAAACCCAGAGGGAGAAACGCGTCGAATCCTGGCGCAATTGTTATTGTCACACAGGATCTTAGTATGCGATTCCATAGTGTCAAAAACGCACTTGGATGAAATTGAAAGAGTCTTGATGGATGACATGTGAGCGGAATGGGAGTTTGGGATTCCGATCTGGACTCCATACCATGGAAGACGCGGCGTCCAGGGGATCGCGGGTCATGAACAGTGGTGTGGGTAGTTCAGTTCCAACCTCCGGATAGACCACCCTTCGTCCTGCATCTCAGCCATGTTGCTTTGTACGAAGTATATTATCGGAATCTAAAGCAAATCTCCAAGAGCTTGGACGCGAGGGCTACTTGATCAGGAGGAAGAGCAAGTACTCGTATACATACTACAGGCATACCCTGGTCAGATCTGACGCAGGGGGTTGCAATGAACCTGACCTGCCTAATTCAGGTATATTTGATGCTAACTTCCTAACCGAAACGACCTAAGCTAACCTCGGGCGAATGTCCCAAAAAATACTCGTTGACGAGCCTCCGGACTCCTACGAAGTAGACGGTTGAACACGAGGAGAACACTGCCCCCGACTGCTCGGCCTTTTGCCTGTCCCATAGTGGAGGCCTCCGTGAAAGCTTCATACCCAGTCTGATAGCATATGGACCCTGCCACGTCGGAATGGCTGGACTGTCTACTCGGTATTGTACTTCGTCGGCGTTGCTGACTACGACCTTCAAAAAACTATCTCACAGAGCCTGACTCTCATTGTTGCGAGTACCATGGGTTCTAGTGATATATCATTGCATTCTAGCTTGTACACATGTGTCGTAGAATCATTACCGAAACTATACCGCCCGAATCAAACATCCGCCTTTCACCAAAATGTTGATCCAAAGTCGTAGTAGTATCTATCTTTTGTTTTCCCTCCTAGTGCCACATCGTGTAGTAATATCGTACAGCCAGCCCTGAGGCCGACAAAGAGGGCGCTCGCACTACCTATCCTCTGTCCTCACACTCCACTGGATCTCTTTCCTAATCATCATCCGCCGACTTTCATCGCTGGCAATACTGGTTGTTTCACCGTTGTTGACTGCATCTTTGCTTCCTGCGGTACTCCAGGGCCCTACAGTTGTGCCATTGGTGACTCCGTGTATGGCATCACCGCTTTTGGAGATTCCGTGTCCTATGCCTCTTTCGGGTTCTTCCTCGGGTTCCTCGAATCCGGCACTCTTGTTGGCCGATCTCAGCTTGGACATCTGGAAGCTCATGTTGCTCTCCATCCGGCCTCGGGCACGGTTGGCACTGCCACTGCCGCTTGCGTAGCCATAGCCGTAGCCAGCCGCAGCAGAACCAATACCACCAAACCCCGTGCTCAAGTTCTTTAGGAAATTTTGGAAAGTTGGAATGGTCGCGGAGATTAGCGAATAGGCGATGTGGCCCTGTGTCCAGGCGCTGAAGGGAGCTTGGGAAAGAAGTGGATTGTCCATGTAACCAGAGTGGTTGAAACTGTTTATTCGGCATCCGATGAAAATGATAGTACTTAACCGGGTTAGCTTGAAGGGGATTCGGTGTGGCATATCACTTACAAGAGACGGAAGCTGAAGATTGCCACCACTGTCAACTTGCTGGATATCGAGGTCTGCAAGGTGTACACCAGGAAGATAACGAGGCCGACAATCGCAACTTCTGTTATGATATCGATGATACCGATAACTAGCCATCGTCGCGACTGCGAATTCTGTCAGTATTGTTCCAACTTTTCAACGGTTGAAATAGAATCAAACTTACAGTGCCTGAGCAATCGGGTTGACTTTCTATGACCCAAGGATTTGATATGTTGCACTGCAGGGCCATGGCGAGGAATGAACCAATCATCCAGGCAGTGATCAATCCCATGGCGATGTTGAAGACCAGTCTGTGTTGTTTCATCCGCGAAATGCGACTGAGGAAGCATATGACCGAAATCTTGGAGAGACCGATGACCAAGATATAGAATAAACTGCTTGTGTAGTACATCTTCTGGACTTCATCCTGTGCTTCGGAGGAGAGTATGGTGGCCGATTTCCCCAGTCCCTTGGAACATGCTCCCAGAACAAGAGACGTTTCAATGACGGCTAACAGGGTTGCAGCACCGAGTACGTAGTCATCCAACGCAAAGCCATGGCTGATCGTCAATCGAACCACCACCCTGATGATACCGAAAAAGAGGTAACAAGCCAGGCCGAGTGCTGCAGCGATCAGTATCCATGCTGCATGGTCATCTGGTGTGATAGTTGCAAATGGAGGTGAATAGCCCGGGGGTATAACGAGGCCGGTTTGCGAACTCATCGTTATGTCTCGAATACCAATGTATGGGGGTCTATCACAACGGCGATCGACTCAAGGAGGAGAGGAGAAAGTGAAAGGCGAAACTAAACGTCAAAGTAGTCCCAAAGCCCACCTAAGAAGCCGGAACCGAATGGCAGGTGAAAGTCAGTTAACATTGTACTCCACCTAGTCCAACATGCCCATTGCGACACTGGTGTGATAAACTGAGTTTGTGGAATCCTGTAGTGACCCGAGCGCTGCAAAGCTATGAGTACGAGTACTTCAATTACTGGTAGAGTCCACAACACCGGTTCGATTGGGCACAAGCCATTGTGTCGATCAGGGCGCCGCCCAGGTCCCACTACTTTCGAAGGCATCCCTTACTTTTGGGGTGGATTACCTGTCAAGTCGTGTGGTTGGAAATTTGAGTATTCCGACACATCTGGGCTCCATGAGGACCCAAGAACAACAACCGTTCCACGCAGCCTTGATCCTTGGTAGTTCCAGCTCTAGTGGGGCACGAAGCCGGGGAAGCGACTGGTGACAAGATGAGACGCATCGTGGCGCATGATTAGCCTACCAGCAAATGCGTCTATCGTGCCTTTTCTGCCTGGAACTGCTGCATCTGGCCAGAGGCGTCTCGCCAAATGTCTAAGGTAAGGAGCCTCGTTGAACATCTGGAATACTTTCAGCCCATTCAACTGAGCTTTTTGTTTGAAGTTTGCCTGCAGGAACCAAGCTGGCAACCAACATTCAAATCAGGAGGGGCGATTTCGGGAAGAATTGGCCTCCCAAGAGTTGGCAAAAGTCTTTCTCATGAGCTAAGTCCACTAACAAAGTCTACTTCTCAGATTCCGAGACAGTAATTGCGGATAGACTCTGACTCGAAGTGGGTTGGGGAGGTCTTCGTGCAGAATTGGACAGCACTGGAAGAACCTTTTTACCCACCTACTGCTCCGTAATATTTCCCCACCCGTGCTTTTGCATCCACCAGTTGTTCACCCACTGGCAGGTGTTGAAGTGCCGGACGATTGATGCCGAAGCGTCGTACGAGGTACAGTGTCAATCCTACTCGAGAAGATACAGTGGATCCCACGTGGTCGAGGATAACCAGCCTAGTCCACCTGGCGTATGTGGTTGTTTTATCTCCTCATTCTCTCTGCATCTTCCTCTTTATACTTTTCCCCGTCAACTGTTTGGTTTTTTGAGATTTCAATATACGAATTGCAGCCACCGACGTCTCACCGCCATGGCCGCTCTTCATCTCAACAAGGACGACATAGCAGATGTCGAGCTCTCAGAGCCCGGTGCTTTGTCACCCAATGAGGCAAAAGTCTTCGATGACTCTGTTAGCCATGTCCCTGAGAAATACCGCGGGACGGATGCCGACAGAAGGGATATGACGGTTATGGGCAAGAAACAAGTGCTGCGCGTAAGTCTTATTACATCCTGATTACATGACAGTGCCTGAACTAATGATTGAAATAGAGGAATTTCAGTTTTATAACAATGCTGGGCTTTGCGTCGACTTGCGTAGCAAGTTGGGAGGGCATTCTCACGTACGCATCGATCCAAGCGATTCAAAGGGACTTGAGCTAATCATCAATAGGTACCTTGGTTTCATCCTAGTCAACGGCGGTACCGGCCTGCTCTTCTGGGGTTTCATCGTCTGTGCTACTGGGCAAACTCTGGTTTATGCCAGCATAGCAGAAATGGCTTCCATGTAAGGACCGCCCTCACACGTGTCGCATGCAGGAACTCGCTGACCGGCATTGAAAACAGGTCACCTACAGCAGGCGGTCAATACCATTGGGTCTCTGAATTCGCTCCTCGCCGGTGGCAAAAGCAGCTAAGCTATCTGTCTGGTAAGTGTCGACGATCCCCCGAGGCATATTAAGCTCATTGTCATTAGGCTGGCTTACTGCCATCGGATGGCAAGTCTACCTCGCCAGCGTGTGTTTCTTGGTCGGTACTATCATTCAAGGCTTGCTTGTCTTGAACGATCCAACCTATGTATACCAAAGGTGGCACGGCACCCTGCTGTCGATTGCCATCGTCGTCTTCTCGATCACGTTCAATACGGTGCTCGCCTCCCGACTTCCACTTATAGGTGTGTTTGGCATATCCGATTCCATTAAAATTCTGGCTGACACGACTTCAAGAGGGTTTGGTTCTCATTCTACACATTCTCGGCTTCTTCGCGATTATTATTCCACTTTGGGTCATGGCTCCGCGAGCAAACGCATCGGATGCTCTCCTCACCTTTTATAACGGCGGTGGCTGGCCAACGACAGGTCTTTCTGCGATGGTTGGTTTGTTGGCTCCTATGGCTGTTCTTGTCGGATATGATTGCTCCGTTCACATGTGTAAGTCTGAAGCATGGCGTAGTTTGGTAGCCCTGTTAACGTGCCTTAGCCGAAGAGATCAAGGACGCATCCGTCACACTCCCGCGAGCGATCATGGGTTCGGTCATTGTCAATGTTACCCTCGTTTTCATCGTCATCGTCACTGTCTGTTTCACGATAGGTGATGTCGAAAGCGTTGGGGCTACCCCCACCGGTTATCCTTTCATTCAAATCTTCTTCAACGCGACTCAGTCCTATGCCGGCACCAACGTCATGACCGCGATCATCATCATCATGCTTTCCGCGTGCGCCGTATCTGAGGTGGCTGCTGCATCGCGCCAAATCTGGTCATTCGCCCGTGATGCCGGTCTTCCTGGTCACTCATGGTTGTCCAAGGTCTCTCATGGCTGGAACATCCCGCTCCCCGCTGTGATTGTATCTCTCACTCTCTCGGCTCTCCTATCCCTCATCAACATTGGTTCGACTGTTGCTCTCAATGCCATCACATCTCTCGGTGCTATTGCCGTCCTGACTTCCTACCTTCTGACCATTGGCTGCTGCGTTCACCGCCGATTTGCTGGACCCGAACTACCCGCACGTCGTTGGTCTCTAGGAAAGTTCGGCCTTGCTATCAATATCGCTGCTTTGCTATTTCTGACACCTTTGATCTTTTTCCTCACCTGGCCTTTGTACAAAGACGTTACTCCGGAGACAATGAATTGGTCGAGTGTCATGCTGGCTGGCACTTTGATCATTGCATTGATCTACTATATCGTCAAGGGCAGGAAGGAATATGTCGGGCCAGTCATGTACGTCAAGCGTGCTGAGTGAACGGGAAGTATCACATATCACACTCTTCTGCTGTGAAGCCGACAAGCTGCCTCGAGCTTCACACTCATTGTTCAGGCGAAAGTTGAGGAAGTGTCGATGCTAGATCGTGCAGCACTTTGGAGCAGAAAACTATAGAACTCCGTGGTATTTAGGCTTCGGAATGTCAATCACGACTTGCTTGGTGCTTTCTGGCCTCAAGATTTGGGCGAAATGGGTTTACGATGGATAAAAAGTTAGACAATTTATCGAACTTCCCATTCCCTTCTCAGTGTTTCGTTCCAGGTTCGTGATTACATCAAGAATTGGGCCTAGTGCACGCACGAACAGCCCCGGACATTGACTAAATGATCGTCGCTGGTCTAGAAAGTGAAGGACTCGGTCGTGGATGTTGATTCCAAACAGCCAGGAGTGCCCATATTTTGGTAACCTAGGTTGTATGAGGTGCATTCGCACCTGCGACGGATATAATATCTTCGCAAACAGCATTGCAAGGCAGTACTACGTGATCATGTCGTGTCACTTGAAAGTGTAGCAACAGTCTTAGAGAGTGAAAAATACAATGCACCAGGACAGCTTCACGACATGCATTTCACGATTCTAGAGAAGGCGATTGATTCATCGCCCAACTCTTGTACGTCGAATTGGGAATCCCATGTATGCAGCCCCGTGTTTGACGTTTCGCGCCATCCGTGCCTTGACCCTAACACGGTGACTAGTCTCTATATCTCACCCCACATCTACAACGATAGCATCAAGCATGCTGTCAACCCGTCAGACAGAGATCTCGAACATCGCATGACGCCCATTCCGTAGCTGATTTTGACCTTGTGATCTGATCCCCACTCTATTTACCTTGCCATCCGCGACGAAATGCGCGGCAAGGGCCGAGAATCTGCGGCACAGTCCACAAATCGATCTTTCCGCCCGCCACCAGTGCTGTCAAGAAAGAGTTTCTGCCGCCAGAAATGCAAAATAGGGGCGCCTGGGGCGCGTTGCCAAGCAGTCCAAGTGTGTCCAGACTGTCAGGAACAGTGGCTGCCAATGCCTGCTCAGATCGCAACCACCATCGTCCCCTAACATGTCCTGAAGGTTCGATGGCTCAAGGAAATTCTTCGATAGGCGGATGATGCATGGCTGTAGCTCGTCTGACCAATAACATGTCCTATGGCGGGTATCACAGCGCAATGGCTCGTTGCATTATCCGCAAGTAGACCTTCTAGGCCTCAGGATGGTCAGAGTTGTGTTTGACATCGTGCATCATCAGTCATTCGACAGCCAGGCATGTGTTAAGATGGAGGCCAATTCATTGATAAGTATGGTCGAAGAGATCGCGATCTCGTTTTCCATAATCCAAGCTCTGGGGCACCCAAATGTACTTTCATGAGAGACCCCTGGTCAAGGGCATCCAGTATGTCGATCACTTTCGGATATCCTAACCCCGCACTTTCCAACCGGTGATGAAGCATATATCTATGCCTGCCACCGTCGGGGATCCACCATGCCGAATGCGCGCTTTGTCATTGAGAAGGTCTAGAAGGTGTTCAAACTCGGCTGCCACCAATGCTACACATTGGAAGTCTTTGGACGCATCAGGTTCGATGAAAAGAGCTCGGACGTCTTCGCCTCAGCACAGCCTCCCGATGATGGTACTTACCTGTTTCTTGAGCACAATGCTCGGGGTTGATCGAAATTCCAATTATGTAGACGACGGTGTGCTGAAGCATGCAGCATCTATCCATTCGACGGGAAACTTGGTGGGACTGTTGTTCAAGGTCCTCCCACTGCCTATTTGAGCATGTTGTGATATCATGACATCTGAGAGCACAGAGCCACACGCCCGGCGCTAGGACGTACTCGCTAACAATGCTCAGTAACCCGTACCGTACTGTGCATGGTCGTTCAAGACGACGTCTTCAACGCGTGGCGGTCACGATTCTTCAAGCGAATACCGCTGATGCCCACAACATGAGACACGCTAAGCTCTGACCAGAACAGTATGAGCTCGTGACAGAACTCTTTGCTAAGCCCAAAATTTCTTGGTGCACCATTTCCTCATGATAGGTTATCATGGCGACTTTATCGAGTTTCGTACCTTTGTCGTTTTGCATGCTTCAGTACGAGAAACGAGGCTGAAGCCCGCTAAGTCGAACGCCCCCTTTCCGAATTGACAGGTGAGGGCATTTCCTTTGGAGCGAGGGATTCCGGTACTGATTGCGGAGCAGGATCGTGTGTTCAAAATTCGATCCTAGTCATCTTCCACGATGTCATGGGCTATAGCATTGCCGTCCAAGAAAGAGGGGACGTTCTCCGCAGTGACGAGGCTGAGATGTAGGTGTGATAGAAAGTCTACTCTGGGCCAGTCATGCGTAAACTTTTTGCCAGCTTGTACAAGCAGCTTCAGGGTCACTACCATCAGGGATCCCTCTCTGACGAACATATGGGACCTTTTCTCCTAGGAAAGTGTATCATTCGAAACTCATGATCATCACTTGCCCAGAGATGCAAGGCCGAGCACGATATCATGACTTTCCACATTCCTTTTCACTGTGACCACATCGCTGATCCTATCGAGATACGTGGAAATTAGCGTTAACTGGCTATTTCTACCTCAATTTGCCCTTGAGCGTCAGGGGCAAGCGTTGGCTTTTGTCCACGATGGTCCTGTCCCAATGAAAAACCTTCACTGACTAGAAAGCCCATTGACGACACGATCTGCCTCGATGGATGCATGGATCCTTGCACTAATTCGTGCTACCTAGAAGGGTTATGCAGTCAAATAGCTGCGATGCATCTCGGACTCGCCACTGTTGCGATGAGCCTTTTAAGTGCTTGTGTGAACAATCCTTGCAGGAACGGAGACATAGCCTACAGAGTTAGGTAACCTGATCTGGAAAACAACTGCGAACGCACACGGCCGGAAACAGCACTAATACATTAGTCACACAGGTAACGCATCATAAACGCAACACCCAGACAACACTCACCAAGTCCCGCCTCAGTGTTCCCCTTTCAATGCCCATCCGCCCAGTGGATTGACACCATGATCGAGCCGCCAATACTATCGCACGCCCATGAGCAAAGCAATTATTTCCCATGAACGCTGTGTCAAGCGTTCCCGCCCATTGGCGCTGTGACATTGAGGATCTCAATCGTCTTCGTTTTAGAGTAATGAGGTTCTCAGGCTATTCAGATTCTTTGACGCAATGACAGGCCCCGAATCGTTCAAAACTGATCACAAGCAGCACCATCTTCCCTCACCACAGAGACAACAGTATCGCCTGGGGGCAGGATCGCCGAACTGGAGTGGCAGCCGGTCTGCAATTGTGGCCGATCGTTGAACACTCACACGCATGGACAGGGAATTGCTGAAACGGCTTGCCTACTCCGTGCAGCACCACCAAGCAAGACTGTCCGAGTATGTGTGAACAAGCTCGAAGACAATAACAATGTCTCGCCGGTGACATAACAGCATCTGATGTTTGCCTGACATCAGAGTTTTCGGCGGCGCATGGCACCGCATTTGGGCGCGAATCTCACCCACGAGACGGACCGCAAAATGCACGGTAGAGATCGGAAAATGGCTGCTCACCTGCCTGCCTGACTATCTACTAAGATGGTCAGAAGACGTTCCGGATTGCGAAAACGCCAGCTAGTTAGGTAGTTAGCTATCTAGATATCGTACAGGGTTGGTACTGTAGTTAGTAGCGCAAGGAGGGCAGACATCTCGACAGGTGGGCAATCTTCGGTCTGACACAAGAAATTTGGAAAAGTTTCCGTACCGTCCCCAACTACCTAGCTAGATAGGTATCCAGGTACTTCTGTAGAACGATCCGTCCATCCCTCCGTTCCTCCCTCTCTACATGCAAACGCGCCTGACAAGGTAGTTACCACAAAAAATCTCGCTCCGACTCCGCGGAAGTTAGCCGTGTCTCGTTATCTCCATCGGCGGTAAGATATTGCCGCAGCTGAAGTGAGTTGTGAGAGCGCGGAGTGCCGTGAATTCAATTGATGAACAATGCTTGAGGAGAGGGTGTGCGAGGTACTGTACGCCTGACACCTCACGGGCGAGTCAATACCCTCCCTAACTAAAACCACTTGGGTATCCAGTGTCTTGGAGGCTTGAACTTTCCTTCCGTGAATTTCACTACTAAGACTATTGTTTGCTGACCATGTCTACGGAGTCCCGAGTACCTCCCTCCGAGTTTGCTCCTCCACCTACGATAAATGCGTCTTGGAGAGGTTTGGTACGGAGAGTCCCCGGTCTGGTCATGCTGACCTGGGGAAATGAAATGGGGGAGGTGGCTTGGCTTTTTTTTAGGTACTAGGTTGGCAAACATACGTATATCGCTTCTGCAGGATTACGAATTTTCATCATGGGGAAAGACTGCAGGGAGGTGTCAGAGACCTACGAAGTACGTGTTGACGGAGGCTGGGAGCAAGACGCCAAAGAACGAGCGAACAATTAATTTGATCCAGTACCGAAAGAACCTAAGGTCGGCTTTTGAGACTTAGATACCTAAGTGGTTCAGGTAGGTTGGTAGGTACTTCGAACGCCCACTTGGCATGTCATTTCATAAATATACAGAATGTTGGGGGCCCCTTTTCCGTTGGAGCCTCGCCCATCTGCCTGCTATTTCGTAACTAGAAGGAAGTTCCCAAGGTACTTCTGGAGCTGGACTAGGTGGCTGGAAATCGCGTTCTCGTTCTCGTTTTTGGTCTCGGTCCAGTTTCCAGATAGTTACTGACGGCTCCTAACGTTCTGCATCTGTATGCTCGTTCTGTTCACTCGCTCTTACTTCCAAGTCCAGCTCATCCATTGACATGCACTCTTTCCCGTCGTGAACTGTCAAGTGCAGCGACGAGCAGAGACTTATTCCAGTTCATCTTACTATTCTAGGCAGCTGCCCAAAAAGGGTGGGTGAGCGAGCGAGCAAACAAGTAGGGTACATAAATCTCTCCGTAAGTTGATGTGCGTTGTACTTCAGACTCAGACCTGCAAGAGACACTGTGTTGATCAAACGGATAATTGTGGTTCGAGTGTGGGCAAGATAGCTTGGGTACATCTCCAAATGAAGGATCCTAATAATCATGGAGGTGGGCGTTAGGTCCTGATGGACGTGACGTGTTGGAAGAGATTCCGGGCCTTCGCTTACAAGGCGAATCCTTGCGATAAAGCGCTTGAATACGTCCAATTAAGGCGTTCTGCCCTAGTCTCGTGCGCCGCACATGCGCCTTCGTACGGACGCGTCCTTGTATTTGAAGATACGCATCGGCGAGCCCGACCAGGAAGGCACAAAGCTGACTCATTATTGGACAAGACTGACTTGGATCATCGCTCTTCGTCACTTCGCTGACCACGCGGAGCCCTGATAGGTGGACCACCCGACTCCGGCAGACATACACAATAAGTAAGTATTAGGCACCTGACCGAAAAGGCCGACAACGATAGGCTGTGACAAAGTAATGCCCTGAGAAGCGCAGATTTGCTATCCGTACACCAAACTTGACGCAAAGTGGTGTGGTTGTAGAACATCGTTCCTGGCGGGGAATCGAAGACCAATCGGGCCGGTACCTTGCTCTTCCAAGGTGATTTGTGAAGTGGTGCCATTCACAGCCATGGTTTTGCGGCTCTAAAGTCCAAGGAAAAGTTTACCAGCCGGTCGTTCGAGGCAACGAGACCATGAGCAACATCACTGACTTGACATCAATAGAGCCTTGAGAGCGAGCTTGGTCCCTTATTCACCCGTCTTCAAGCGTTTCGGAATGTGCAGGTTAGATGCGAACAGCGTTATCCCATCCTCACCTAGTTACACTGTCCGATCCGGTAAGGTGGCTGATCTCACGTCAGAGGCATCGACAACCCCGGAAAATATTGATAGGATCCCTGATCTCCAATCAATCGTGTTCTTGGCATCCAAGAGGAAGGGGAGAGGATCCTGGTGGAAGAGCCTGACTCGAAAAGAGTCTCGATCACACCCGACCAATTAACGCCTTGTTGATGCGAAATCTGAGATACTGAACAGGATACGACCTCAGATACTTGTAAGCCTGCAAAGTTCATGGAAGTAAATGAGTTGATGTATTGGAAAAGACTCAAGCACGACTTGTGTCCGCTTCTCCATGCCTGTGCCGTGGCTCACGGTCTATTATCTTCCGGTGGTCTCAAATGGAGACTGGCTAGACCAGGAAGAGGAAATGGTCAATTCAACTCATATGGAATCCATGGATTTGTTCGGATTGTCGTGGATGAACCTTTTTGCGTCGAGGAAGAACAGAGTTTTGGTGGGTTGAGTGATACCGAGTGATCGAATTTTGCAACTTCTGATGATTTCACTATCAACATAATGCACAATCACGGCATGTGAGTACTGTTTCCTCTCCATCACGAAGTTACATCGGATTTGAACTTGCACTTGCCGCCCTACACGGGCGAGAGAATGCAGACGCAAGGCTAGCTTGTTTTGTCCTGACCATTTCCCGTTCAAGACATGAAATTGTAAAGGATGCCTGTCGTTGACTAGAGCCACCTTCAAAAGTCATCCGAAGAGCGTACTCGGTTTTTGGTATCCGCCCACTAATTCCGGATACAGTTGCCGATTGTGCTAGCTGTTGGCGAGCATGGGTGACTGGAACAGGCTTGAATGAAGGGTCGTATCAAACACCGATATCATGGTAAAGGGCTTGGCACCATTCGCAAGGCCTACCACCACACCATGTTTTTGTGAAGAGCTGCAGTAGGGCGTCCTTGTCTTTCCCCAGAAGAGACGAAGGAACGGACCAAACATCTCTGCTAGTCACTTGCCGATCCGCATCTCATACCCATGCTGATCGATCTTGGAGCAGTCGAACCAAATACATGCCTGGTCTGTTTCAAGGCCCCAGTTACGGAAAGGTCGAATACGGCAAGCAGGTAAGCACTAAGGCGACCGATGAGGGGGTCAGATTCTCTTTCGTGAGCTGTTCACCCTCTGGACCGATTTATCGCTCATCACCACCGATGGAGCTGTGGATCTGGTCCGAGGTCAGGCGCAGGCACCAATCACTGGCCTAGATGACCACCTTCAATGACCGCAATGTGCATTGGGAAACCAATTCGTTTTGATGGTCCAGGGGAGCGTGGCATGATGCAATAGGTTCATTGCACAATGCTGCTGTTCTGCTATGACACTCCAACCGATCATGTTTCCAGTACAAGGCTCCGTAGAAGGATACCTAGGTAAGCATCCCCCACTCTGACACTTCAAAGTGATATGGCTGCACACCCGCGACACCCTCGTCCCATCCAATCTCCAGGTGATATAACCCCGCTTACGGTCCGCGGCTCTGCCTTCCTAGCTTCTCAGATGGTATCGGACAGACAGACAGACCCGCATTGCGGTCGTCATGAGAAATTCAAGCAGGAATGGAGCAGACGGTAACAATGCGTATGGTCCATACTGATATCAGAGTCAGAGTCTACCTGTCGTTTTGCATGAGATCCTAGAATTGTCGTATCCTCCCACGTTCAAGGCAAATGCGGTGTGTCACACACCCATATTTGAGGTGTCGTGCCCAGATGTGCAGGTATGGTACACCAAAAGCTCGTGATCAACTTGAATCTGCCGACCAGCCCTCAGGGCGCCCGTAGTTTTCCTCGCAAATAGGCACTAAATTGTGGCATGGGAACAGGATCTGAGTACCAACGGCCCTGTCAACGCACCTCATCAAATCATATCATGAATGGAATCAGGACTTTGTGTACTGTGCCAGAAAGTGCAAGAAACGCGATGCAAGCTTCATAAGGAATCATACAATGAATGCAAACACCCTGTTTGATTGGCCTTGATCTGCTGTCTCAAGAAAGAAGGTCGGTGTGACTGTAGATAGTAACGTCGCAGATGCACGATGTTCGTCAAAAGGTGAAATGCACCAATCCTGGTTGGGTACGAAATGGGAAGTACCAGCCGCCGAACACAGAATTCGTCTTTGCGCAGAAATGGCAGTTTCCCATCACCGATCGAGAGCATTCAGGGTGCATGATTTGGATCAGTATATTCGGAAGAGGGCAGCATCTGGTAGGCCTAAGCATATTACCAAAGTCCCATGCTTTCAATTGCAGACCGTTCCGCGGGGTTGCCAAAATGGCCGGCCCCTGGAACGTTGACTGGGTTGGACAGCCAATCATGCACCTCGGGTCCTTCCGTAGCCCAGAGATGTTGATTGTAACCCTCAGAACGTTGAGGCCTCTGCAGAGTCCTGCAGCTTGGACAGGCTAGAGTAAAAATCTTCTAGAGCGAGTTCGCATTCAAGTCTCATCATGTACTTCGTTGATCGTGGCACCACCCATGGGCGGGTCTAGGAGACTGCTAGGTCCACGACCCGGGCTTGAGTCACTGCCAGTGGGTGAAACACCTGCGTTGTCCTGTGGAAATTCTTCTCGCAGACAAACAGTTTCCAGCATATTTGTCCACTTGCCACTCTGTCCGGCGTGGCTATGTTTGAGGTGTTGTCGGAAGTGGTCTGCTCTAAAGAATTTTTTGGCCTGGTTGCATTCCCCGAATTTGTGCACATTCGTGAGGTGGTCAATGCGGCGGTTCCAATCCGGTTGTGGGTAATTAGAGAATTCCTCGCCACAATAACCACATGAATCGGTCTGTGAAGTCGGGGTCGAGGTAGTTGGTGGTGAGGTCGGATGAAAAGCGGCTTCGTAACTGGAGATTGCTGCACACGACCACGAATGACGACGTAGATGTAGGGAATTTTGATGTCGTTCCGCTTCGTTCTTGTTTTTGAACCGATTGTTGCAGTATTGACAGGTATACTGCTTTTCCATTTGATGTGTTCTGTAGATTGGTTAGTCAACCTAGAACGCTGAGACGAGACAACAATAGCAAAACCATCAATCTGTCTCGAAGCGCGAGAAACTCACCTTAATTCTTCCTCAGTGTCAAATTTTTTGGGCTTTTTGGGACAACAATCGCACATGAAATAGTTTCCGATGCGGGTTGCTGGAGGCAGTCTGCTTTCGTTCACAGCACTTTGCAAGGACATTTTTCGAATCGGTGAGTGCGCATCGAGGGGCAATTGTGTGGGCAGATTCCGCGAGGGCGCTATTGACGTAGCAGGGCTCGAAACAGGTATAGCCGAGGTTATATATGGAGGCTGGCTAGGATCTAGCGGTGACAAGCGGTCGAAGGATGAAACACTGGTCATAGAACTTCCGGCAATTGATAGAGCAAGGGAAGATGCATAAGAATTGTGTCGGACGCTGGACGAAGTGGACGAAACAGAGCCATGCTTGGGCTGGTATCGGGCGACCGGTGAGTGAGAGTAGGAACCTGCACTGAGTTTCTGAAATAGTTCAGTCGGAGTGCCACGTGATGGTGATTTATCGTCCCGAGACACATCGGGGGGAGACCGTGCCCGCCGCTTCATACCCTGCTTAGAGGGTCTTCGGCCCACCTGCTGTTGTGAGTCACCCAGGTTTAAATTGCGAAAGGCCTGGTCCTCGGGCTCATCTGTCCCCAGGTCTGGTTCCGATTCTGCAAAGATGCCTTGATCATAACTACCACGGTGCGACTGACTGACAAAACTGGCTCCATCATCGGTGCCCATGAGTGAGCCGACGGATGAGGTGAGGGCACTTGCTCGAGGCTGGACGAAAAGCTCCGGATCCAGGACAAGGCTTGTGGCGGCACTGTCTATGGAAGGACTTCGGTGGCCCATACCATAGTCACGCCAGCCAGGCCTGGCTCCGGGGGACAAACCAGCTGATACCGGACTTGAGATCCATCTGGTTACGGGGTCGAAGGACGCCGCTGAAAGCTCATTGGTGGAAGGCAACGAGCCTTGCGCATCCTTGATCTGTAGGGAAAGCTTCTGCGCAAACGTTGTGGACTCGGTCGAACTTGACCTCTGATGTCGCGGAGGCGAATTGGACTTTCCAATCTTGGATAAAACGCGTTGATCATAGGCTTGAGATGAACGGTTGAAGTTCTGTTGCGCCAGGGGCATTTCGCCATGCAATCTAGAAATAGAACTGAGGGTCAGCGGTTTTCTTATTTCCCCTCGGAGCTAACGGGCGGCAAGTTGGCCCCCAAAAGCATAAGACACAAAACGGGTGGTGAGGTCTCTGGCGAGCCGGAGTCAAAACTGGAACGCCGATATGCGGCACTAGTTCCGAAACATCCAAAGACGTCCAGGTCGATGGTCGGTTGTGTTCGTGCAGTGGGCCCGGGCAAATCATGGAATGGATTACTAACCTTTGATTAAGAGTTGTAGGTGATGGCGGCCTTCTGATTAGGGAAGGTATGTGGCCACCCAACCTTGACTCGGCGGGAGATGGAGATCTGAGTGTTGAGACTGTGCTTCCTCGCCGATGGTCTTCTTCGTCGTCCAAGTCCATGTCATCGGGCCTCCGTAGCGAAATTGAGGGTCCGTGGGGTTCTCGATAGCTGCCATACAAACTCGAGCCAGGTTGTATCGGGGCCAAGTGCTTCTTGTTGTAGTCGAAAGGGTTACTGTTGCCCCAACTCCAGGCAACATCTATTCCATGGGCCAACTCTTCATTGAATCTGGGAGGAGGTAGTGGAGGAGGAGCGTCATCGAAACGGGCGCCTGGGATGGTCATGGCACCACGAGGATGGAGTATGTCGTGGGAGGGTTGTGAGCTCGATCGGGAGGTGGTTCGAGGAGATTGAGGTGCCGCAGCATCGTTCCTTTGAGAAGGAGTCCGCACCACATGGGTGGGAATCCTATGGATGTCCATGTTCCTGTCTCAGAGCCACTGCAACATCGGAAAGTTGGGAGGCGATACGAGATGAAATGGAACTCGGAGTGTACGAAGGGAGAATCGTAGATCGTGCTGGTGGCAATGGAGCCCAGAGTTTTGGTATAGTGACCTGTGGCGAAGTGGTCCTCTGCACTTATACCGCGGAGACCGAGTGTTTGGTCTATGTTGTCTGGTCAAGTCTTTCAGCTGGGCCAAGTCGGAGTGTAAAGTGCCCACGGGCTGGGATGTAACAATACCCCCGGCGGTCATGTACTGGAGAGATTCGGAGTGGAGATGATTGTGTCCAGGTTTGTGTGGTCATTGAACTGACAGGATGATGGTTCGACGGTAAGGACAGGATGAGGGAGTGCCAAAGCGATTTGTTGCTCTCTCAAGCCATGTACTGCCAGGCTCGGAGGTGCGTAGCAGTAGTATGTCAAACAAAGTCAAGAAGTCGAAGAAGCAGGGACCAGTCAGAGGAGACGGCAAGCATTTGAAGAAGAAACGAAGGAGGCACGCTCGCGTATCAGGCAAGAGTCAGGCAAGCAGCGAGTAGACGAGGCACGAGTCGTGCGCTGAGCATGGTGTAGCCCTGAGTCTGCGTAGGTCAATGGAGGAGTGCCAGAGGATGGTTTGCACGGCTTTTGGTCCGAGGTGGGATGGGACTCGAGAGGATGAGATGAGTGATTCTGCGGTCCTCGTTGGTGGATTGGAGTGTTGCGATTGACAGAGGAAGTGTCTCTGCACGTTGAATGGCAACGGGGATTGGAGGAAGGGCAGCAGGAGTCACTGGCAGGACAGGACTCGTACGCGGTACAAGAGTAAAGCGAGCACCGCATAGAGGATGAGAATGGAGACCTCGATGCAGATTGTCAAGATGGATCCCTTCGCCTGCGCCTGAGCCTGAGCCAGTGTGAGCCTTAGCCTTATTAGCCTCCAGCAGCCCCAAGAAGCACAGCGAAGTTACAAAAGTCGAAAGAGACTCGCGGGACGCCCCCCCCCAGGGCCCAGCTTGCATGGAAAAGCCACTTAAACCCGCCATGTTGCATGCGAGCCTATTGCCCGAGCCTAAGGCCATGCCTGAGCCTTAGCGCGCAAGCCCCATGTTCATTGCTCATTGCTCATTGAGACCCTGGCTGCACTACTCTCGTACCACTTGTACTAGCAGCCCTAGCCCTAGCCCTACCTAGGTAGGTAGCCAAGGCCATGGGCATTGGGCATGGTCCTAGCTTCCAAAGGTCGGGCCTCCCCCCAATGAACCCCCATCAGGCCATGCGATCCACGCTCGCATCATGATACATTTTTATGCTTCAGCAGGACGCACCGGCCGTGATGATAGGCTTTGGCAACGGAAACTCTGCTGGTAGAGACTCTGTTCCATGGCGATTGATACCCGTGGTTTGCCTGCAGCGGGCCATGAAATCCCTGGTCCCGTGCCCAGCATTTTCGGCAGCATCCTTCCTGACACCACGGGCAGCCGTGGTCCATGGTCCATGGTCCATCGACACTGGTTTGCCTCAGGTTCAGCCCTACGAGGAGAGGGGAGATTCTAGCGTGTCAAAGAGGCTTCTGCCGCCCGGGTGGGGTCTTCTTTCAACCCTCACCCTTGGCCAGGATGGAACCTCGGAGACAATTCTGCCTCGCTCCGTTCGACTTCCACTTTGGAAAGAAGGTCTCCAGCTCTTCCACCATCTGTACCCCGTATTAAGCACGCTCAAACATACAAATACCACCCCAATACTGAACCATTACCTCCATGGAACGTCGGTAGAGTCACCACCTAATATGACGAATCGTCGGTCCAACTGGTCCCTGGGCTCCAGTACAGCTGCTGTGGCAAAAGGGAACCAACATTATCACTGGACCTGCCCAAAACGGCCATAAGTACGAGTGCCAACCCTTAGGTATCTCGCACTGCCATCGCCTCAGCTTCATTCCTGGGCTTTCATGTTGCGAGTACGAGTGACACTGGTCAAAGTAGTACGAGCAGTGGTGTTTGAGACTTACTGCTTAGAGGCATCCCACAGATGGCTTTCGCGCCTAAGCTGAGAATCGTACGAGTAGGGTACGGCAGAACCAATGCATACGAGGTCGACTCCTCCCTACGTAGGTAGGTACCTATCCGTATCCGTACCGTCTACAGACGACGAGCGGCAGACATGTCATCCCTGTCGACCTACAGCTCTGCCCCGCTGTCCCGCGTGCATTCTTGCATTCTTGATTTCCACTATGCACGGAATTGGATGAATTGTGCATCCAACGGTAAGCCCTATGAGACTTCGGCCAAGTGCGCAATACTTACTCTTTACGTGTATCGCTCTACCCATCTGGAAAAATTCGGTGTGAGGCGGGCTGATCAAATTGTCAAAACTGGGATGATTCGTAGAGAATGACTGCCACACTCTGACATTATTGCCGCTCACAATTTGATCTTGGTCTCGCCACAAATATTGCTTTGCTCTTTTGACCTCCAGGTCCGAGCATATTCCAGACTTGTCATGAATCGTGATTGTGTGGCCATCCTGTGTATTTCCGACTATCTTGCAGCTGAGCGCTAAGCCTTACCACTTGACTGTACCACTCACCACGGACTCCGACCCCAGCCAGTTCTGGAAAGTCGTGCCTCCTTTGGCTTCAGCTTACCTCTTGACAAATGGTCTAACTTTCAAGATACCATGCAAACGTGCCGGAATCCTCTTCATCTCTCTGCGATCCGGGAGAAGCTAGGTGCATTTCTTTGCAATAGTGCCTCCTCGACCCATTGGTGTGCTCCCACCAGTGTATCTGCTTACCTTTCGCCGTCCTCACTCCGGAAGTGCTCAATTTGACTGCCAAGAATCACGTCCTCAAAATGGTCCAGGGTCATGGTCAGTCCTTGCGCCTCGTGCAGTATTTCCTCGACAGCATTCTCCCGACAAGGCTAGACCGATGCATTTTAGAGAGGGACTAGTAACTCCCTGTCAACCACCATGCTCACGTCATAGGCCAACCCGTCGTATTTCAATGGTGACGAGGTGTGACACTCTTTGAATATGAGGTAGCAAGCAAGGTCCCTGTCCCCAATTCATGGCAGCGACAGTGACAACCAATACCGAGTTCCAGACGGCAAGAGCGTCACAAAATGCATGTCCCATGACATGCTCATTTGACCCTTGTCAACCAAGAACCGTGGCTGGCCCGTGGATACTATCTGTAGCTCATAGGCTCTGGGAAACGGAATTCCGCCGCCTTTCAGCCCGTACGAGGAGCCACGCGAAGTAAATCTGCCGCGCGAAGGAATCCATGAGATAGATCTTGTAAAACCCAACGTCGAGCGTTTCCAACGTGTACATCCAATCGTCAGACGACCGTCCTCGCCAAACCAACACTCGGTGAGTCGCTGTACACTTGGACGATGCAACAAGCCTTCTAGCGAGTGTGCTGCGAAAATAGCCGCGAAACCTACCTCCAGGATGGACCAGGATGGACCAGGATGGAGTTGGACCACATCACTGGCACCCCACTCACTACTAACGTACGAGTAAGCATCCCAGGGACCCATCAGGCAGGCAGATCATATTTTGAAAGCAAAGGCCCAAGCTCGAGTTTCATAATAATCTCACAAAAGTGGAGGTTGAATGATCCAAGTGTCAGGCAAGATGAATGGATGGATAGGATGAGGTGGAATGATGGATAGTAGGCCAACTACGGATTATACTCCTCTCTCAGGATCGCAGCATCTGAACCAACGAGAAGGCTTGGTGGTAGAGAGTGGACACCCTCTTGTCGAGGCGTTTGCACAAGTAAAGACTTTGGTTTGAGGTCATTGGCATTGCGGAGTAACCATTCAAAAGGAGTCATATCGCCGAGAACCGGTGGATCGAAGGGCGATTACGTGGTGTGAACTCCGTTTTCCGTTCGTTGCACAAAAATGTTCGCTTAGTGCTGGCCGATAGAGTCGGTCTGAGATTCTGCACCCCAGACATTCAGTAGTGATCAGAATAAGGATATCACTCCCAATCCTAAGTGGACCCTGTTCAAACTCAGGAAGGATACGCATATTATCCGTATTGTGAATAACGAATATCCTCCTCTTTGGGAACACCATCTCCACGACGCTGAAACTGTCCAGTGAGAGTGGGTTCGAGGAATACTCGTTGTTCCGTAGTTAAACAGCCCGTTGATACAGGCAACTTGCAAGAGCACCTGCCGTGGCTCTTGTCGACTGTAGAGGTGTGCGCCTTCTTCCGATAGATACATCACAGCACTCTGAACGGGCATCAACAGCATACGAAGGATTGTAGCCGCCAAATTGTCTTTTGTTAGCTATGTTCAGATATACTCCTCGGTGATCCCTATGACTGGAGTAGTTCTTCATCATTTCAGCCTCCTAACATCCAGACTGTAAGTGTGTGGCGCAGCACGCACCCCTACCCGCCTATCGGCCTCTGGTACTTGGTAATGATGGCTCGGTTTTGTCGGATAGAGGTCCCTTCGTCTGTCAGCCTTCAGGGGCAAACTTGTGGCGAGTCATGTAGACGGGGCCTTTGAGTAACTCGCGAGTTGATGTTAGAGAATATTTTCCATTACACCCGAAATGGACTACCGAGGTACTTACTCTCGGCCTCTCCATCAGGTTTGGTTTGTACAGCACCCCGGTATAGATTCTTGGATATCTAGTTGGTTGTCAGTTGAGTCGCATCCGAACACTTCTTTGCGCACTGGCTCTGACAGAATAGGCGATTCAAGATTACTACCGCCCACGCTCAGCAAAAACTCTAGGCTACTATCATTTGTGAAGTCGGATTTGCCACTCTTGGCGGGCACTCACTTTGAGTCACTTCGATATTTCAGCTTTTTGTACGAATCTCTCCGAGTTATCCTCTGCACGTGTCGGTGGCTCCCTTGTATGACTCAAATAAATTCAATCCTGATAACAATCACATCGACAGAAACTCTCGCAGCTACCAATTTGACCGCTCTGTCTGTCGCAATCACCGAAAGTGCCGGTGGAATTCTGGTTCCAACTTTCACCCCTGTCAAAAGCAACCCTTCACCGCCAGGGTTTTCTCACCCTTAGACCAGCGGCATTATAAGTTGCCGAATACCGTTTCCATCTACAGATACTCGTGTGTAACTCCATACACCACAACCGTTCAAGCATGGATGTCCCGGGTCCACTCAGCAAGTGCCCAGGCTTTAACATCTACGTGGATGGGTAAGTCGCCCTACTGACTTGTTCAAACACCTCATGAATCATGAGCTGGCCCTTGCGCTACACTACTACGAGCTGTGTTCCTGATCAAGCAAGGTTCCTTCTAGCCCAATGGCGAAACCCATAGCAGTCCCCAAATAGCTAACTCTTTTTATGCACCTACAAGATTTACAGCCTTACGGCGCCATAAAGAGCTCCAGGCAGCAAACATTACACATATTGTGTCAGCAGTTGACTGGAAATTCGCAGAGAACTCACCTCTTATTCGAGGGTTCCGGCATCTACAAATTCCTCTTGACGACGTCTATGACTCAAACATCCTGGAGTACTTTCCGCGCAGCAATGATTTTATTCACCAGGGTCTGAATTATTGGACTCCAACTCGGGGGCGGGATGGTACCAGCAAACCCGGCTCTTCGAGTGAGTCTCCGCGTCAAAGTGGTATTCTCGTTCACTGGTAGGTCAAAAATTTCTTTCCCTTATCAGTACATGTACATCGCTCCTCATTTGCCGCTCGGCGCTTGTATGGTGAGGCAAGGCCGATCATACCACCTTCCTCATTCCACTTGCTCGGTCTCGCATTCCAGTGGCCCCTGCCTCTGACCAACTTGACTTCTCGACTCTGGGATCTGTGCCTTTGCAAGACTCTAAAAATACTTGTATTCACTCTTTGTGAAACGGAGCCTCTTGTGTGCGACAATGGTCTCTGGACTACTTGCGACTTGCCTGGTATCGTTGGTGGCTTGGCTGTGAAGCTAGAGCAAATTCGCCATAACAAAACTTCAGCGTGGGCAGCCTTGACCCTTGAGACATTTGACAGGGCTCGACAGACAAGAACTCCGGTACTTCGCACCAGACAGGGGGCAAGATAGCGCGCAACAACTCTCTTGAGCAATAACAGGGGGTATTGGTTTTGGCCCCCCTTTCTCGCCCTCTGGGTAGCAGTGAGCAACTGCGTCCACGTGACTTGTGATCCACGTGCTCGGGATGCTCAGCCCTATAAGGCTGAATACCCGACCCCGACCCTTGCACTCGTGACCTAAGCTTCAACATATCTTTACATGAAGCCCAATCAACTGAAATCAAAAAGGCATCGGATAAAGTCGCAATTCATCAGTTGTGCTCGAGTCTACGATGATTGTGTTTAAACGATTCGCAGAATGATGCTAATCTCTGGTGCATAGTGCCATGGGTGTTTCTCGTTCAGCCACAGTCGTTCTAGCCTATCTACTTTGGCATTCAAGACAACCTCAGGCAATTCGGACACACCCGAATGCTACGACGTTGCCATCCTCAGGGGAATCCGACATGGTACCTCTGCCGCCTACGCCCCTCTCTGTGGAATCAGCATTGGCACTCCTTCGTGAGGGGCGACCTCGCGTTGAACCCAACGAAGGTTTCATAAAACAGTTACGGATGTATGTGGAGATGGGTTGCCCAACAACACAAAGCGAGCTTGAGAATCACAAAATCTACCGCCGGTGGATGAACTCACGCAATGTAATGGACGCACTGAGCGTAAATCGGGCTCCGGAGCTTGAACACATCACTTGGCGCGACGAGGAGGCCGAGGAAGGCGACGAGACGGACCTGGATGGTATTGACGGAGAGGACGAAACACGCAGACGACGCCTTGAGGCCAAAGAAGATCATCCAGACCCCGAAATCACAAACCCAATGTTCTCCACATCAGACCCCAGCACAGCCGCTGGAGGCAAACGAACACCCGTAACAGAAGTTGACATCAAGTGTCGTAAATGCCGATGGTTGGTCGCGAAATCCAACTTCATCCTTCGTCATCGGCCACCACCACACCGCGACCCGACGGCCGGCGAAGCATGTGCGCACATCTTTCTGCACCCACTGTCATGGATGAAGGGTGCGTTGGGCGAGGGAACGCTGGACGGCCGTCTGACATGCCCAAACCCAAAGTGCGGAGCGAACATAGGAAAATTTGCATGGCAAGGTCTACGCTGCAGTTGTGGAGGGTGGGTCACACCGGGCTTTGGAGTGGGAAAGGCCAAGATCGACGAAGTCCCCGTCCGACAGGGCCCGTCTAGGAGCATCGGTGCTGTTACTGCTTCCGACCAACTTGCCTTGAGTGGTAAAGTGCCAGGAGATGGGGGTGTGAACACGATTACAGATGGTACTGCAGGCCTGTCCTTCCAGGACCAGGACAAGCAACAGCAACAGCAACACCAGCATCACCCTTCAGTACGACTTCCGCCGGGAATGAGGCGTGGAGGTGCGGGAAACCTATGAGTCTGGAGGAGCAATTACTGATCACGCTTCCTGTTCTGTGTAGCACTGGTGCATGAAACCAGAAGCCATAAGCCCATGTTAGATCCACCAAGCAATCCTCGATTCAACAGAGTACTTACCTCCGTACCCGGCACACCAATCAATGATTTGTCGAGAGTAGTAAGCAAACACGTTACCAAGCCAGCCTGCCTGCCTAATGCGCCATTACCGACAGAGAGCAGCGAGTGGTCCACGAGGCGATGCGACAAAAACCGCCAGGTCCATGGACGCAGTAGAAAAGACACGTTTGAAATCCTTGGCATGGACTCACTGGCCCCTTTCCCTTTCTTCCCACCTCACCGTGCATTTACTTGACCTACTGTGCCAATCTACATACGACGTTGGGGCTTATCCGCACCTCAGGGGCGGGGGGGGAGGGGGGAAGGCACAGAAGGCTGAAATGAAGCCCGACGTGCACCATGACCATTTACTCAAAGAGGACTTTAAAACGCAAAGAGGCTTAAGTAACGCCTCGTGCCGATCTGAGATTCTGAGATTCACACTGGACCTGGTGGGGACGGGGTTGGTGCTTATTACTCGGACGAGCAGCTTACCTACCCAGGTACCCTCGTGTCATTCCGTCGCCTCATTCCGTCGCCACCACCACCACCAGCAAGGGGGAATCGAAATCTGCAATTTAGAGATCTGACAACTACCAGATTCGGCTTGTTTGGAAAAACACGCCATTAATGAGTAAACATTCAACTATTAGTCCCTTCTCTCTCTCCCAACCCCCCCATGCGGATCTGTTGTCGCCTTCAAGGCTTCCAAATCAACCGGCTCTATCTAAGTCTACTAGTCAGTTCCGGGGACAAAGGCATTGCGCCACAAATTGCCGGAAAAGGTTCGCGGTTGGCCGACAGTTCACCTTCAACGTTGACCAAAGCCACCGCTGGCTCTTTCGCGTGAGATTATCGTTCCGGCCGTTACTGGAGACACCGACCCTGAATGCTCTCCCGAATCCCCGACCCTACGACCTAAGGGGAGGTATTCAATTACCCAGACTGAACTTCCATGTTTCGCACGGAGTTGAGTGTGGTCAGCCACTTTCGTAGAACGGCCGTTATTGCAATCCGTCGCTGTCAGTTGCTTACATACAGTAGTCAGTATGTCGACACGGGATGGGGGATGAGGGTGTTGAGTGGAGTCAATGGTTCTATTCGAGAGCTCAGAAGAGTCAGACTCGGTATTCACATGCGGAACTCCGTGCTTGGGAAGGGCGCGAGGCTGTGAGGCTGAGGTACTCGTCCCATCGAGTACCTTGTAGTCTTCACGTCCATTATTAATCACCGTGGGAGGGGTAAGTCTCCAGAGGCTGACACTGGGGGATTGCTGCCAGGACCATTATACAAATTGGGCCAAAACATCAAGGAGAGTTATCAGACCCAGCGCGTTTCGATGTCCCAGAAGGGTATAGAGATGTCTACCCCACGGGAAAACTCCGTAAGAGGTATTGACTTCCGTTCAGGTTGTCAAAGATGCTTCAAACTTCCTTTAGGTGCAGATGAAGCAGCACTTGGCTAGGAAGGTACCGCTCATTCTCGTGTACAGGTCCACTCCGTCGTCTCGGACGAGTGCTGAAAGAGCCCGGCATGAGAGGGCCCGCAACAAGGAATGACCAATCTTTCCTTTCAATGCGCTTTGCGTCAGAAAGGAGTGCCTTCCATGCAGATGTGCGTCATTGTTCACGAGAGCGTTGTTCTTCCTGCAGCCACAATTTCCCTGGACTGGAAACCGAAAGCACACATGAATTAATGATTTCAAGGTCCTGTCCACCTTTCAGTGATAGAAAGCGAGTAGTTTGCTTGTTCAAGCTGTTGCAAGCTAGATTCTGGTGAAGGGCACTCTTCGAGTTCGCTTGGTAAGGTCCAACCTCAATATACAGCAGCCCACCATATTATCTTGGTTGTTTTTGAGCATATGAAGACGGGGTGAAGTACCTACTACACGACCCACTTGAAGGGACTAGACATCGATAACACTCTAGGTCCCGAAAGTCTCGTCTACCCACATGAGGATGAAGAGGATGAACGTACCATGTAAAACTCCTTGCCTGAACGATCCAATGGACAGGTCCCTCTCCTCTCCTCGCTTGAATCCCTGTCTACTTTGCAGTCGGAAGTTAGACGGGAGGTCAATTCTTCCATCACCTACCTCGCACTCGTCACAGCCAAGCGATGTTCATGCTCGTATTCCTGCAGCTTCAAGCTCTTTCTGGGCATCAATGTTGTATCCCATCGGAGGTGCCAAGACACACATGTGTCAATGCTTCTCGCCATCTTTACAAGATGGGAAAATGGTGCAAGTCGCCGGCAGTTCACCGGTGGGATCTGGTAGGTGACTCATTGGCACTTCCTGACAGCACTTTTCAGACCGGCCATTTTCCGGGTCATCGTAAAGTGATCAGTCTTAAGCTGCAGACACGGGGTCTAGCAATTTTCGAGGGTATTTTGGCATATTCTGAAAGCTTTGCTTGCGAACAGATTTGGCAGTGATGTATGATGTGTTCGCATAGCATCCGAGTAAGGAAGATGGCTAAGCTGATTGGCAGACTCGGTAATCCGCCTGATAAGGCCATCCATCTGCGATATGCCAATCCAGGGGATTCAGCCTTGTAAGGCTTGCAAGTTCTTGTGGTCATGGTTTGATGTGAAAGGCATGTAATCGAAATCCGTCGAGAGCAAGAGCGCCGAAGCTTTCTGTGCACTCCACCTGGAAATTCATCGACGTACGACGGTCTCCAAACTCTGAACCATGCCAGAACGCCAGGCTAGAGGTTGACTTAATCCTTAGTGTTTTGGGGAATCCTTTCGGCGCCGACTATCCGTATTCGTATGCCCGTGAACCATGAAGTGGAGGTGGGGATCTAGGCTGCTTCGCCTGGTAGTCTAGGTTGCTTGCCTTACGAAGCCATTTCGTAGGCATAACCTGAACCATCCACACAGAACCTGCATTGCCCGACAATAGTATTGATGGGGTAGCTCGCCAGTTTCATCCCTTCAAACGACTAGAATAGCTCAACGCTGATAGCGCTTCAAGTCCCCAATCCTGCTCTCTTACTTTGAAATCCTTCGGGGACTCCGAACGTCAGTTGAATCCTCTAGCTTCACGCGTTGCTCTCGGGCGCGGGATACCATTCCTAGCTATCCCTCTCTGACCATCTATGACTGTTCGAAAACCGTGGATGTTATGGTTCGTATCGACTTGGTTTCGTATCGTTACCCATACCGGCCCCCGTAGGGCTTCAAGGCGTCCAGTGTTGGTCATCTGAGGAAGGTGTGCCGAGATGAGACCAATCTTTACACCTTCTGCATCCAGTATGCAAATTGCGAGCCAACCATCTACACTTGCCGGTCCGGATCCGGGCCAAAGTGTTGACGATGCCGATAGGTAACAATGATGACCCGACCCATAATGATTATTGTCTTGAATCAACTTCGTGAGGCTTCCCACAAAGGTTACCGAGCATCCGAAGACCGTGTGGATATTGGACTTTCTCGTCAACAATAGTCGGCATCTCAACAAGGCTGACGTTGGGATCTTGAAGGAAGGCCACCTGAGCCCGCCTTGCTGGGTTCTAAACTTCTTAGTTGCTCGTGCCCGCTGCGCTAAATCTGGGCTACGGGATAGACAAACTCCGTCTGTTGTCAAACATTCCTAGGGGGGCGGGGCAGTTGCACTTCCCCAATACGGACGCCCTGATAGCATAACATGTGGGTGTAATGCATGTGTCAGCAGAGAGCTCACAGCGAGGTGGATAGCTTAAGGGGAACTTGAGACTACGAGTAGGAGACGAAGTTTTGCGCATAGAGAATTTGGAATCTAGATTCGGATTCCGAGTCTATGATTCTAGATGGGTATCGATGTGCAGTGGCTTCCGCACTTTGGTTCCGCAGCGAAGAAGGGAAAGAAACAGCGACTCGCCAATTGTAGAGCTGGCACTGCTGCTTGAGGGCAAAGGCTCTAACACGCCCGATTTTGCTGGCGAAGATTCCAGATTCGAATACGTGCGCAAATAGTGTTTTGCAGAAGCGAATATCCATGGATATGCAATAATAGTAAACCAAATTTGCCAGACTGACTTGTCTTCGTATATTGCAGCGTGACAAAAATTTTCGATGAACTGAAAAGAGAAACGACGGCAAGCCTCCCGCACCGAATTCGTGTACTTCGTGCTCACACACGTTGCAGATACGCTAAATCGGGAAGGCACGGCACAGCATACTCGTACTTCACACAAAAACAGAGTACGGGATACGTGGCACGGTAGTTCGAAATGGTGCCAGCGATGAAAGTCTATCGATTTTGGTTGGGGTGATGATCATGGGGACCAGAGGAGTATTACGAACTGCACGATCCGAGCTCGTATTTTCTCATGCATCTTGCGAGAGAGTCTGTATGTCATCTGCAACGTCTACCACATCGTATCTAATTGCAGCACTGACCAGAGACCACCACGTGTCGAACTGGTACTCGTGAAAGTTGACAAGAAAATTACCTAGTTATGCTTGACATTCTCTGTCAATTCGGATTGGCCGATCGCGCTATGAGACGTGGCACTTTTCGTCGACGACTTTTTGAAGCATGAGTGACGGACAGGACTTGTATCTGGGTGGTGGATAGGCACACGGAAATATCTTCAGCCCGCACACAGATTGGATCTACGACTTGCGCAATCTCGGTGCTAGCAGAAAACCAACCAACCGTGAAGAGACTGGCACGAACGATGGATTCTTGTCATGTTGATTTGACGGCTTGAAAAACTGCATTTGCATGAGTGAACGGTCCTGCAGTATCGACACGGTAGTAGTGGTTCGTCGGGAATACGTGAAACTCAACTCAACTCTCATGACAGAATCAACCGACCGCAGTTAATGACAAGGCAAGTATCGAAGTGCTCAAGTCGCGAGTACGGGCTTTTGAGTTTCTGGAAGACCGAGAAAAAGCTAGTTTGCTTCAGCTCAAAGCTCGAGACTTCACGCCCTTCTGGCACTACACCACGTCTCCTTTGGGCGTGGCTGGGAAGAATCCAGGACTATTCAATCGCTGTTGATTTCTTTTGGCAATTTCCTGGTTGCGAAGCTTGTCGAGTCGCATCTGATAAAAGTTCCTAGCATGTCAAACATCAGTAAGAAGAGCTGCTAAACAGATCACTGCATTGCTTTATTAGAGTCGTCTGGGAAGAAATTGACACCAACCTGTGCAGATTGTAGATGCGAGGAAGATCTTCTGTCTTATCAGTCTCCCCCGTTCCCGCTTGAATAGCTTTAATCTGGCAAACATTAGATTGAATGGACGTGACATTGAGCCCGGTCTGGGGCATATTACTCACCTTGTCATCCCTTTCTCTCTCAGCCTTGCTCTCATCATCCTCATCCTTTTTCTTTCCCTTGTCCTTGTCATCATCTTTGGATGATTTTTTCGACTTTTTCTTTCGCTGCTTCTCTTCGTATTCGTCCTTGACCTTCTGAATCTCTTGGTCCATCAACTGTTTCTTCTTCTTGGCCGCTTCTGCCTCAGCATCCACTACAGGAGAGGCAAACCCCCTGTCACTGAGGTGACTGACACAGACATAAAAGAAGTCCTGTTGTGGACGACCGGCCTTCATGAGCGTCCGATACAACAAATTGAATGACAGACCAATAGCGTTTGCACACATACCTTATTGTTAGGTGTAATCAGAACCCTGTCAGATGGTTTGTAGCAGATGTAGCAAGCCTTGGCGGAAGTGTCGGCGACCGTTCTGAGATGGTAGGTGTTTGGGAATGGCGCGGCCATCGTGCTTGGATACGGCAGCTTCGGTTATAATCACGCTTGCATGATGTGATGTGCTCTATCATAGAGTCGGCCTAGCGAGGCTGATGGGACAAGAGGCACGCTCAGGTTTCGAAGAAGCTCACTTCACCTGTCCGATCGTGTTTCAGACCTGGCCATAAATTTGCCTAGCCCTATTCAGGCTAGTGTGTGTCTGAGGATGTTCACAGGCGAAAACCTGAATACTCTGTGTCAAGGAATGTGAAAGAGAAGTTGATTGGGAAGCGACTGGCAGTTCGCACTCTATACGTATACTGAATATCTATGTAGCTGTACAAATGATATACAATTAAACCTGTGGCATGATACGACCCGTGTCTAGTTAGGTCAGAAACGAGCCTCACCTCCTTCCACGGCTGATTCGATCCTTGTCATTACTGCTCTGCAACGGTGGACCATATCTATCACAGTCCCGCAAACATCGTTCGAGTACCCTGAGAACATTGTCTCGCTCGTGCTCATCAAGAGGCCTCCAGATTTTACGAACTGAGTTGTAAATCTCTTCGACTTGACTTCGAGAGCCAGTACATCGTGCGTACGCGCGGAATAGCCAGCAGACCAACCCTTGAGTGGCTCGCACTTGATGTGGTGCATGGGATGCTTCTGGCCGAGTTTCTGGATCGAAATCTGGGCCCTCCATAAGTTCAGATCCGAATTCAGTCTCTTGACCCGTCTCAGTCTGTGAGGCATCAGCAGCACTTGTCTCTGTGTTGAGATTCGAATAATGGAGTGTTGTGCCAGAAAGGGGCTCGGTGCTCTCGTTCATGTCCAGGTCATCTCGTGCAATATCTGGTGACACCAGATTATGGTCATTCTGAGACCAGTTTGGGATGATAGTTTGAGATGGTGGGGGAATGACATATTCACCTTCTTGCTGATCAAATCTGGGATCGCCAAGAGGATAATAGTTTTCTTTTTCGTTCGACGAAGCTTCCTTGTTCTCAGCTTCATCTTCAAACAACTGCGCGTGGACTCGTTCAATATGCTTGCGACGCTCTCGAGGAAAGACTGCCAGGTCAATAACAAATTCATTCCACGTGCTTAATTTCTTAAGGCTCGGTACTGTCCGGGGTGAGATGCTGGTGCCTTCTTTCTGCTTATCCTGCATGATCTGATTAACCATTTTTATGGATGGCAAGGTTGGTTCGATGCCTGCAGCTGTCGCTTTTTTGTATGCATGCCTGTCTTTGATTGCTTTTCGACACGCGTTCCAGACTGAATCTAAACGTTGAACGTTCCAAGTAGCATCGGGGTCCGACGAGCCTCCATGCAAAGCGAAGCCTTTAAACAGGAGTTGGAACAGAGTACTCGAAAAGGGCAGACCAAAGGTTTGTGCCATATCGTTCATCAAAACAACAATTCGATCGAGATCTCCCGTGACATTGACGTAATAAGCAATCAGAGCACGGAAGGTTGTGTGGTCCGGGACGAGAGGCATAGCCTCCTGCAATGCTTTGTGGTTATCAGGTAATAGATCCTTCAGTCTGGAGGAATTGAGCAGTGCCCTGTTCAGTTGATTTGAAGCCATTTGACGCCCGATGGTACGTTCACTGGGCCCAGGATATCGTTTGTAATATGTTGTCTGGCCATCGTCTCCTTCATGGATATGTAGCTGGGAATAGAGGCTTTTCATTCGCTCGTAGGTCTGCTCCGCTGCTTCAGGCTCTCCAGCATTCAGCAGTGATGCAATGACACAGTTAAGGACGAGGGTGTCGACAATCTCTCCAGCCTCAATGAAGTCACGGTAGGATTTTCGTATGGCATCCCCATCCCGTCGCAGGCCGTGGAAATATATTATACTGACTCGACCCATGCGATTCAAACGCAAACCCCGATCATGCATCTCCTTGAGTATTTGTTGGGCGACCACATACATGTTTGATCTCACAGCGATGTCGAAAAGAATGTTGAAAGTGACGTTGTGTGCTCTAACACCAGCTTGTTGTTCCATCTGCTTCCACATCTCAAAGGATCTCACCAAATCTATTCGTGTGACTTTCCCAAAAGATCTCCCAGCCAAATAAATGGCAGAAGCCCACTCCCAGCGGGTGATGGGCAATCCAGCTTCTTGCATATCATCGATGAGTGAAAGATATCTGATCATAGTCTTTTCGCTCTTTTGCCATGGGGTGGCCATTCGTTGCAAGAAAACCCTCAACGTACCTCGTGGCAGGAAGGCTACGCCAGGTTTAGGCAGTCTCTGATAGGCGTTGAACAAGACCCTGTTTGGAGTTTCATCGTTCAGTAATAGATTGAGAAAGACCTGAGTAACCCGGATTTCCTGTAGCGTTTGCGTTCTCATTCGCGCTTCAACCTGCTCCAGTGGAGACCGGTAGTTCTCATCATCTTTGTAAAAATCCGCATATGCTTGTGGAGGCGCAAAATCCTCGGACAGCTTGAAGGCATAATCCTCTAAAATGGTGGGTGTTGGAGAGTGGTCTGGATTTTCAGGATCGAACCGGGAGTGCATCGAATAGTAGTACAAGTCAACCAAGTTCTTGTAGTCCTCTCTCGATAGGACAACAGTTTGCTTCTTTGCCTGCTTCCGAGCCGAGGTTGGCGTCATTGCAGTCTTGAGATCGTGCTTTGCACGCGCCAGCTTTTCCTCCAATTCTCTGACCGACTGTAGCATTCGCATTTGTTCTGTGAGCAGACGGGTGTCTGTCTCAACCTCTTTCTGCGTATTCGTGGACGAATGTTCATCTTGTTCCAGCTGTTTCTGTATTTTGTCGACATCATGGAAGAATGCAACAGGCAGCCGAGTTTTGGAAGCGAAATCTAGGGTATTGGAGTCAAAGAAGCTCCAAGGACTGTCGGGGCTTGTTGTCGTTTTGGATCGCTTCTGGGGGCGTGTGGACTCCTGATGTGAATCTGCCTTGACAGCACTTGTGCTGAGACTTCGGCACTGTGCAAAAGAACCAAGGTTCCTCGACCTGTTGGATCTGCATCTTGGCCCCACCGGCCTTGAGACTGGCCTCGCCTTCCCACCATCCTGTGCTTTCGAACTCTCACAAGAGGCTGCACGCGAGAGGGCAGAATAGAAGAAGGATTCGACCCGGTTGCCATGGGTTCGATGAGGGCCAGTCCCGCGGACAGATACAGGGATTGAAGGTGCCAGGAAATCAAATAGGGTGGTCGGTGCTATTGAGGCGGCATGCTGAATGCTTTTGCACCCCGGAAACCTGGAAGATCGATGCATATGCTAGGGGACATGGTGTAGGAGCTGGAGCATCGGGTCACGAGAGTGGAAGCACCTAGGTAGATGAGGGATCAGTAGTTGTCTAAGCTGAGAGTCTGGGGAAACGAAGCCGCAGATGGAAAAAGTAGTGGTAGATAAATCCACCAATGACAACGCGTCATTGATTTTTCCACCGTGATCTCACGTGACTCGACTCCAATTCAAACCGCAGAGCGCCAACGCCTTCAATCATGTTCACTGTATTGTCCAGTGCTCTCTGTATCAACTGCTCGGATCTAAATAGCTGGTGTGCCAATCGTAGATTCCGCTCATACCCCCTCGGGCCCTCAACCCGCCATGGGCAGAATCAATCTGACCGCCCTTAATGTGCGGAAGACTTCTCTCGCCAGAGTCCGAGCGAGACAACTCCCATTCAAACCATCCTGGGTCGATGCCGTTGCCGACATTCCTCCTGCACAAATATTGACGCGGCCGCAACCCATCCAACATCCCGTGACGCACACTCGCACGAGAACTCTCCCCAATGGAACCACAGAGCAATACTCGGTCGCCACCGAGCAAAAAAAGTCCAAAGCCGCAGCAAAAAACAGACATCTCTTCACTCCCCGCAAAATCCGCTACGAAGAGGACTCCCTGCGGAGGAGATTCTTCAGTGATCACCCCTGGGAGCTAGCGCGGCCACGAGTGGTGCTGGAGACCGACGGGAATCAACAGAAATACGCAGACTGGTCAAGAGGCCTCATGCAACCGGGGATCGCGCTCTCCGGCGAGTCCGTGGTCCAGCGACAGCTGTGGCTGCTCGAGAACATCCCCGACATCACACTGGCTCAGGCCTACGACATCGCCCGCAAGGAGTTCTATGCGCTACGGCGGCGAGAAGAGACTAGGGACAGGATCGCCGCAGAGGAGGCCCGCCACATGGGCGCACGGTTTGGCATGTCTTACGGCGAGGTGAGCATGAAGATCGAAGGTGCCATCTACGACGACTGGGAGAAATGGGCCCGTGAGCAGCTGGTGCTGCAGATGTCCAGAACGGCCGCTTTCGAGGGTACGGCTGGCATGCAGGTGGAACAAGAGGTGGTGGAGGAAAATGCAGGGGATGAAGGTCAGGGTGCGGAAACTCCATCTTCGAGTCTTGGAAGGGATGCGTTTGCCAGAGAGGCCAAGAGCGCCCCTCGTGTGATAGACCAACGATAGCATGATGCCGCATAGACCGACATGGACCGGCTACCAACATTTGTACAAAATATATCCCTATAATTGTGGTCCCTTCAGACGAGCCAGTATTCACATACCGTCGACTGTTTGTCGCTCTACAGAGCTCTAATATTCCTAGATCAATTCGCCCTAATTTCACTGACTGAAATGGCTCAACTCTCCTTTAGGCAAAACCTTGGGATGAGCGCCCTTCTCAGACCAAGATTTCTTCCATTGCCAGGCTTCGTCCTTAGCCGGGCCATTCGACTTACCGTCCAGCACATTCACCACATATCGGCCGATGGTGGGCAGGAATTTCCAGCTGTGAAAGGAGCCCGCCGTCGCCAGATAGAGGTTGGACAGTCTCGGGTCTGGATGTCGACAGATCAATTGGTTCTGATCCGGGGAAATGGCGTCCCAGCAGATGCGCCAATCATCGGGACTTTGACCGCCAGCGAGTATCTCCGGGATGCGCTGGCGGATGATGTCTATCGATTGTTTCTTCAGCTTCTCCGGTACAGATTTCTGGTCTGGCGCTGGTACTGAGATTTCCTGTCCGGTCTGAGGATGGCGAAGGGTGTTTTTGAAGGTGTTCGCGTTGGTGAACTTGAAGAAGCGGTCTTTGTTCGGTGGTAGGACTTCACCTTGCGAGCCGTAGATTAAAACAGGCATCTGGCTGTAATGACTGGCCGAGTCCTCGGAGAGCTTGAACGCCGCGACACACACTCCCGCCGCCTGGAGTTGGCTCTGAATACTATGTTGAGAAGGGATCTGCAGTTCTTTCTCCAAGGGTGTCAACAACCACGGCGTCCAGGCACCTGTCGCGAGGAGGATCTTCGAAGCCGGGAAAACACGGCCATCTGATGTCCTCACACCTACCAAACCCTCGCCTTTTTCCCTCAAAAACTCAGACACGTCGCCTACCTCATGCTTGATCCCATTCTTCACTGCTTCAGCCATTATGGCTTCGACCGCTGAAGAAGCATCAGCCCAGCCAGCACTGGAATTCGTGTAGGCTTTATCAAACCCGGTCGTGTCGATGTTGGCCAGGACCCCTCCCCATGCATTCTTGACCTCGTCCAGAGTGATATCAGCAGACGTGTCTGGGCGACCGGAGCAACGAAAGTTGGCTCGAATTCTTTCCGATAGATCACTATCCTTCTCGTCCAGTGCGACCCAGCCAGTCTGATGGAAATACGGCTTTAGAAACGGCCACGAAGTCCACGCTTCCATGGCTTCGTACGCCAGATCCATGTAGAAAGCTTTGCTGTAATCCGCGCGGACGATCTTGTTGATGTCACTGGACGCCGCGCGTGGAGACGGAACACGAGCATGATCGAGGACCGTGATGTGTGATGGATTGGGATGAATTAAGGAGAGATGGTAGGCCGTGCTGGTCCCGAAAATGCCAGCCCCGACGATGAGAATCTCACTGTTGCCAGCGTCTTGGGAGCCCATCTTTTGCTAGATATGGTGCTTATCAGTATGAAACTCTAGAGCCACGATCCTACATGAGGACTTCATGGACGTCCGTCGATCATGACCGCAACAGGATGAGGTCGTTCTCCACGGCTCCCCAAAGGCGCCAAGGTCAGATATTTAAGTACCAAAGATGAATAGGTAGACAAGTACCTCCCTGCTTCACCAACAAACACGCGTTTATAAGAAAGTACCCAGAACGCCCTTGGATCTATTCAACCGACCACAGCCTTCAACCATTAGCTCTCCTATCTGCTGCCATAAGCTCTTGAAGTCTATTGATGATTACTGACATGGAAAGATTGAAAGACGAAGATATCAAGACGCCGCCCATTGAAGGGAAGGAGGATGCTGGGAAGCTACTCGATATCCCTATATTGCCCTAACCAAGTGAGGTTGATCTCGAAAGGGTCCTGAGGAATCCCTATCTCTAACAAAAGTCATGTCTACCCAGCGGTACAAAGCACGTATCTATAATCTAGCCTGTGCTTGACTGAGAGCTTCCCAATCCTTGGCCTCGAATGGAATATAACGATCCGACTTGGGTGGCAGCCACAGGAAGACATCGTCTTTTCCCTCGGGTGCCTCGGTCCCTACCAACTTTGGATCCACGCCTTCCTTCCGCAAGGGCACCTTGTTCTGCTTGTGATTATGAATATGCGTGCTCGCCTTGACCAGCCGGAGGAAGACCGGAACGGCGTACCGTGGGAGACGAGAACGAGTAAATTGAAGTAGATCGTTATAATCCACCGCAGGACCGGTGTAATTGGGATCCAGATCAATGGCGGCACATCCTGCGCGGCCTTCGTGGTTTGGCACCAGCACACCGTAGACATTGGCCTCGGCGATGCCGGGGAACTGGCCAATTGTCAAAGCGACCTCGGCCGTCGACACATTTTCCGACTTCCATCTGAACGTGTCGCCCAGGCGATCGAGGAAGTGCCAGCGACCTTCGTCGTCCCGCCGCAACGCGTCGCCGGATCGGTAGTAGATGTCGCCCTTCTTGAACACGTCCATGACATATTTCTTGTCCGTGGCGGCCTGCGCTCGCCAGTATCCTTGGAAGGCTGCCTTGTTGGGGATCGCCACGATCATCTCGCCTCCTTCGTCGTATGACGTCCTTTGGGCGAATCCCGTCTTCGGGTCCCTCCAGATGTCGCCCGTTTCATGGTCAATCTTGACCGGCACGTATGTCTTGTGCAGAGCGGCTCGGAGCAACAAGCCGTGGTGGCCAACACAAGCCTTTAAGAACGGGCCTTTGTCATAGTTGAACAGTGAAAACACTCCTTCGGTGGAATTGAAAAATTCACCAATCTCGGCGACGTTGAAGCGTGCTTGAAACTTCTCCCAGACATCCGGCCGCAAACCGTTTCCGTAGGCGAAGCGGAGGCGATGCTTCTTCTCTAGGGGATGAGGCGGGGCATTCAAGAGGTATCGCGCCGTCTCGCCGACGTAGATGAAGCCAGTCGACTTGGAGTCGTGGATGTCGTTCCAAAACTTGGAGACGGAGAACTTGGGTGCGATGGCGATGCTGACCCCCTGCAAGAGACAGCAACCCGATGAGATGGCGCCGGTACCGTGATAAAGAGGCATTGAGTTGTACCATCGATCGACACCAGGCACAGAATCACATGTCGTCTCTCGGTGGCCCCCAATCGACCATATCCGTTGGATGGTGAATGCACAGCCTTTGGGAAGACCTGTCGTGCCACTGGAGACATGTGAGTATAACAAGATCATCGGAAGAGTGACAGAGAGGGGAGTGAGGGACATACCTTGTATAAATCAGCGTCCAAGGAAAGCCACCTTGCGTGCCATTCCGCCATTCGTCACCCGGTCGATCTGCCGGTAATGAATTAATCTGGCTTTTCAGCGAATCATCCAGCACCACGATTTTCATTCCCTTGGCTTCAATCTCCGCCCGGCTGTTATTGACCCTTTGTTGACATGCACTATCTTCATCTACAATAAGCAAACGCGATTCGCAAACCTCAAGACAGTGAAGCAAGCCCTTGCCCTCGAGGTTATAGTTGATGAAAGCGGGCGCGGCCCCGATGGCCATGGTGGCAAACCAGACGAAGATGAAGTGGGCCGAGTTGGTCAGATACATGGCAATGAGCTCTTTGGGCTGGACGCCCTCGTTGATCATGTATTGGGCATATTTCAGGGTGTGTTCGTACAGCTCGCCATAGGTGTATGTTCCCTCTCGAGACCAGATGGCTTCCTCGTTCCATCTCTTTTTGCAGGTCTCTTCTAGAGTGTAGTATAGATTGACCTTGTCATCTTTTACCGCTTGCGCATAGTTCTTTTCTCCTCTTTTCATTCGCGCTATTGCTTCAAGGTCTTTCTGGATGTGGAATTTGCCATTGAGGTATGTTGCGACGGCGAGTCCGCCAGCTGCGATGGCGGCACTTGTTGCTGGAGGAAGAAAAGTAGTCAGATTCTGAGGGTGGCATTGGATTGTTGAATGTCTTTATGATCATACCGAGAGCCATTGTTCTTCAACAAAAGTTCTCCTCGTTGCACACCGTGCTATCGTACTCGTACTCGTATACTGCCCAGTTGCGTGCGGAGAAGTATGGGGGCTCAATGACGCAAGATGCGAGCCAGAACAAGTCTAAATGGAAGCCAGAAAGCACGAAACAGAACGGCCAGCAATGGAATTAGAAGTAGGTGATATTCACCGATACATCGTTGATGGAAGAGCAGTTGAACAAGATCAGAATGACCAACTGGACTTTCAGGAAGGGTCTGCATCAGTTTGACGGATAGGCCCCCTCGAGGATCTGATCTTCCTAGCCAGATGGGAAATTACCGAGGTTCAACGAAACTTGATCCAATCTGAGGTCGCCAAACTGAAGCAAAACCGGGTCCATTATTATATCCGCGGTGAGCATCCGTGGTTTGAGGGGTGCCTTGTGGGTGGACAAGATGCAGAAAGCGACCAGTCGAGGCCCAGATGACGAGATGTGTCTTAGGTAAGACACGATGCCAGAGACATATGCCTTCTTCAGGTAGACAGATATGTCGGTCGGTACATATCTAACTAGGTAGTGTTGTAGGAGCAGTAGTTGACGGAGTTTCATGCACGCACAATCCATTTTTAATCCTCAAAATAATGGCTTGCTGTATCTAGGTATGTAGAATATCAGGTCAAATGCTACAGTCTACAGGTTCGCTCAGGCTCCTATAATTTACTCTGTCGCCCAGATGATGCCCAAGAAACAGCATACGGATGCTCCCTCCTCTTGACCACCCACTTATCTATAGCCCCGGAGTTGATATAGTCTGGCGAACACTCATCTATACTCGTAACACCAATATTGCGCATCGCCGTCTCGAATTCGTCTTTCAGCATCTCGATCAAATGCTCAACACCTTCCTGGCCATAGCCAGTCGCGAAGAGTGCAGGCCTTCCAACCCCTGCAGCGACAGCGCCAAGGCACACCAGCTTGAGGATATCCGTGCCTCTACGTACGCCTCCATCCACAAAGATGGAGAAAGGACGGGCTCGACCCTGGCGAACCGCGGCCGAGCGTGGATGGTGCTGCGTGATGATCTCGGGGAAGCGTGCGTGGATTTCCATCAAGACGAGTAGCCCAGGCGGACTGGTGTCGAGGTTTCGTCCGCCGTGGTTTGACAGCACGACGCCATCCAGCCCGTGTTCCAGTGCTAACCTCACGTCGTCGGCGGACATGATGCCTTTGAGAACCAAAGGTAGTTTCGTCTGGGACCGCAACCAAGTGATGTCTGCCCAGTTGAGGTTCGGATCGATAAAGCTACCCATCAGCCGACCGTAGCCACCACCCTTCTTGTCGTTCGTGGCATTCGACGTCATCATGGGGTTCTGGATCGTTTCGTCGGCCTTTACACGCTCGTCGGCCTCACGCTTTCCGGCTGCTGCAGCATCGGTCGTGACGAAGATGCCCGTGATGTTCTTGTGTGAATGAATTTTGCGTAGCAGAGCCTCGGATTTATGCCTTTGGCGATCGACGTAGAGTTGGAAGAAGAAGGGGTAATCAGTCACAACGTCTTGAGACACTATCTCGCTAGCTGAGTAAGATGCATTGTTTGAGATGCACTGAATAATGGACTGCGATTTCGTAGCGCGTGCGATGGCAAGCTCACCATCTGGGTGAATCAAGCGAGCCATTGCTGCTGGGGAGATCATGAGTGGAAAAGACACATCGTGACCGAGGATGCTCGTCGCAGGACTAATCTTGTCCACCTTGCGCATCACCCTTGGCCGAAATAATACGCGGGTAAACAATGATGCGTTGAGGTCTTTGGTGATCAAGTCATTACATGCCGAACTGTAGAATGCCCATGTCTTTGCTGTTGCACTGTGTTGCGCAGCGAGTTCGAAATCGTGCGTGTTGATGATCGAGTCTAGCGGTGGTTTTTCTGCTGCTGAGGCCGGGGCGGATTGTGGTGTTTCGTTGGCCAGAGGTGTCGCCCATTCCTTTGTCACCGTCGTCGTATCGAGTGTGCCCTTCAAGGCGTCTTTGGGCAGATTGTTTTTTATTATCGAGGGAGAGTGAATTTCGTTATATGCTTGCGTGGCATCTCGGCCAGCGTATTTATATATTATCCCAGGACCACCTGGATGCTCTGGCGCGAATTTTGTGATGTCCCAGACTTGACCGTCGACGACTATCCAACAGTCAGTGTCTTTATTGTGAGAAGATATCTCGGAGGTCGAGATCTGTCTTTGGGACATATTGATAAAGTCTATGTGGTTAACAGAAAAGTGGGATTGGAAAAAAAGGCAAAGCGCTGTAGGTAATCTAATATATTCAAAAGCAGAGCAACTTGAAAAGAGTTTGACGATCTGATCTCCAATGAACGGCCAATTTACCGCAGAACATACCTCCTCAGAAAAGTCGATCCAGAGCCTCATTGACCGTAGTCCAATGCCTGGCCTCCGATATGAAAAGGGTTGAGGACTTTGTTTGGGGAGCTTGTCGGTGTCCAGAGCGATGCGGAGTGCGGAGTAGAAATCATTGACTCGGAGCTGCCGGGGCTTCGGAGTAATTAATGCCGGGTGAGTGTCTTAGGCGTGGGAATTGGAGTTGGTGATGTGCATCATTCTCATTTCTCCTCTTTCCTTGCGAGGCTGAGGATTGGTGATTGCTAGTAGAAGTCTTGTAGACCGATGTGGTCACTGTCGGTCCAGACCAGTCTACTTGCCAAACGGAAATTCCTTGGCCCCCTGAAAAACACAGCCTTCTCATTGACTCATCGCCATCTTGTTCGATTTTCCATTAGTACGTCTGCCATCATCCAGCCGTCGAGTCATAGTTTCACGCATGAATATCTAATCCCCAATCAAGATTCATCGCGGCCGAAATGGCACGGTAATTCATCTTTCCAGTCCATCACACAAATCTCTGGATACGCCACAATGGCTGATACCACCACGCCCTTGAGATATGTCGATGTGCGTACTCGAAGACAGTTTTGCGAGAGTGTCCAGCTAACAATATCAGATTGGGATCAACCTCGGAGATCCAGTCTTTCGAGGCACTTATCATGGAAAAAAGGTTCACGAAAATGACCTAGAAGACATTATCCAGCGTGCACAAGATGCTGGCTGCACGAAAATGATGATTACTGGTTCCAATCTTCGCGAATCGAGGCATGCCATTGATTTGGCCAAGCAATATCGTATGTCTTGATCGATTGGCCTTTGATTGGCCGCACTGACTTCCAAACAGCCGGGACATGCTATGCTACTGTCGGTGTGCATCCTTGTTCGACGCAAGACTTTGAGCGTTACAAAGGCGGTCCAACAGAGTTGATCAAAGACCTTCGAGCCCTTGCCCTAGAGGCCAAGATTGGCGGACACGCGGTTGCTTTCGGTGAGATTGGACTCGACTATGACCGCTTATTCCTATCGCCCAAAGAGACACAGTTGAAGTACTTTGAGCTCCAACTGGATTTGGCCGTCGAAATGCAGCTCCCACTTTTCCTACATTCCAGAGCCTGCAGTCCCGACTTTGAAAACATGATAGAAGCTCGACTGGATAAGCTACCTAAACGAGGCCTAGTCCATAGCTTTACTGGCACCGTCCCAGAACTGCAGGCATTGATCAATTTAGGGTTTGACATCGGGATCAATGGTTGCAGTATGAAGACCGAAGAAAACCTCCTGGCCGTCAAAGAGGTGCCACTGGAAAGACTCCAGATTGAGACCGACGGGCCATGGTGTGAGATTAGACCGTCACATGCATCATCCCAATTTCTCAAAGACGGACCTGCCGTACCGAAGGCAGTCAAGAAAGAAAAATGGCAAAAAGGGTTGATGGTCAAAGGCAGGAACGAGCCCGCTACGATTGTGCAGGTCGCCCACGTGATCGCCAAAGTCAAAGGGATCTCGGTGGAAGAGGTCTGCGAGGCCGCCTGGAGAAATTCCACTCGAATGTTTGGTTTGGGGGAAGCAGTGGAGAAGGAATGATGTACTTATCATAAAGCCATAGATAGACGTTGAGATGTTCCACTCATTCCTACCTAGGGACGAGATACCGTGGCATACGAATAATAAGCCTGCGACTATAGTAATCATGAATGATTTGTCCTTGGCTGATGGTTGATGGCTCAGGCTGATGACAAAACGTGGACCGTCATTTTGCATTCCAATAGTATCCCAAGGTCCCTGCTCACCCCTAGCATTTTGAACAGACCATGCTCTGTTCCTGGCAATTAGTCTGGTGAGCACAGATAACACTGTGAATAATGCATCACGCTCTGCGTCATCGACGCGCAACAAGAGGCTGATCTCTTTGCTTGGTCAACAAGACAACATGGAAGCAAGATGAGAGAACTCGGTGATACAGCTTACTCGTACGACCGTGTTGCCCACATTGCCTTGTTTTCCCTCATGTTACAAGCGAGGCGGCAAAACGGGAGCCCCCGGAGAGAGCAGAACTCGTAACCAAGTGGTGTTACCTAGAATTGTGGCACCAGGCTTTGATCTGGATTCGAGGGTTTGGCCCACGGGAATTTCCAAACCGAGATTGTCAGTTGGTGCAGAGTGGGTGAAGAGGGGGACGCACTGGGGGCTCGCGGACTTTACCATGACTCAAACTCCAGGCTTTGTCACCACCTATAACAAAGTAAGCCTTGGGCACTCTCGGCCTTGGACTCCAAGAGGGCTCTTAGGCTTTTGGCACGTCTCGAGTCCGAGTTTTTTTACGAGTCATCCCTCCCTCGTCCCTCGTCTGCCTGAACTGCTCGTGTGTCATTCAGCAATATTATTGCCCCAAGCCTGAGTCTCACGTGCTTCTCCCACACATCGCTAATAATTCTACCTTTTTCTTTCCACTGGGGTCCTTGGTACTAGTGCGCTAAGGTACCACGACGAGTAATCCGTCCGCCTTGACTTCGAACCATCGAAACCTTCAAGACACGCTCTCGCTCTTGTGCATTTTTCCTCCTCGCACACTCTCTTTCCACCCTCTCATCTACCTGCCCATACACGCGTTGGTCGCTGTTCATTCTGTCGTGCCCTCATCGCAGAGCCCTACAGACCTCACTGCAAAAATGCCTCCCCCTACTCTGAGATCTTGTCGAGACCGTTTCAGGTCAAGATAGTTGGCTGTCTCATCCTTTCCAAGGAGATCCACCCAAATCTTAAGCAATACGTCGACCCCAATTGCTGGGTCTTCAACTACACGGTTTGCCAAAGAGAAACTGTACATTGCGGACGCCTGAGCAATTCAGTTGCCTTCTCCCCCATACCGGGACCGCAATCGTAGGGTTTTCCATAGAGGACCTGTACTTTTCATCCAGACACGCTGGTAGTGCCCTGGATAACAGAGTTACAACAACTCACAAGGTTCACACAACCCAGAAAAATGTTTCTCTAAATTCGGTAAAATACCTCTGACGAGGTCCTCCATCAAAGAGGTCCTCAACTCGACTCTTGCATAAACCACCCCAAACCACCCCGGAATTTTCTTCACCACCCAGGTCTTACGCGAAAATCCTTCTCTCAGCATTGGAAGAATCCGCACTGCCTCAGCAGAATTACGAGTCAGCAAGTGCCCAAGGGGCTCTCATCCTCTCTTGCCGACATCCAACACCAAAATCCATCTTTTCCGACTCCAAACAACCATCAAAACCGTCCCAGAATGGCCGATACACAGTCCATGATGACTGGTCCCAATTCAAACGACCTGACAGCTTCATTGGCCGCCCTCGACACCACACAATCCGACTCCAATACTATTCGCGATGATAAATCTCAACCTCCAACACCAGATGGTTCCGGAAGGCCCGTTAACTTTGGCATGATTGCCCCCGGCCTGTACCGCTCCAGCTACCCGCTCTATGCCCACTTCGAAAAATTGGCCGATCTGGAGTTGAAAACCATCGTCACACTGGTGCCAGAACCACTTTCTTTTGATTACGAAAACTTCATTTCTACCAACGGCATCATCCATCACCACATTCCCATCCTTGCCAACAAGGACCCCAAAATATACTCCACTCATGAAACCGTGTTGAAGGTTCTGAATCTCATGCTCGACCCTACCAACTATCCCATGCTCATCCACTGCAATAAGGGCAAACATCGAACCGGATGTATGACCGCATGTTTCCGCAAAGTCACAGGCTGGACTCCTGATGCTTGCGTCGAAGAATATGAATTCTATTCCAAGCCCAAGGATCGTGCTTTGGACAAGGTTTTCATTGAAAATTTTGATGCGTCTAGCCTCAAATCCCTTGCTTTCGAGCGAGGCTACGTCGGTGGTGTATATCGACAGCCAGTTGGAGAATCGGGTAAATCCTCAATCTACACCAACAACACCGTAGGCACGTCAAATACCAGCGACTACGATTATCCTATCAACGACTATCAAGAACGTGTCAAGAGAGAGAACGATGCCATTATGGAGTCGGCTCGCTTGTGGTCACATCGATAGTAACAAACGTGCCCACTCAACACTCTCGATTACAACCCAAGAATTCTGGTAGAATCTACTGGATAACGATTTAATATGTACAACTACTCAGCAAATGCTACCCTCAAATAACACGTGTAACTGGAGCCTTACCGGAGAAGGTCAGACGTGGAGGATGCAACGGATATCATGACAACTGTTCATTTTGCAAGGCGTATGATGGAAGAAATGGGCGGCAGACGTCTCAAAAATTGTGTTTGTTGGCTACCTAGGGAATTGAAGACAAAGGCGACGAGGCCCAAGGCCTTCCAAGATCGACCTGGAGGTTTGACATTTGCATAGCATGGCATAAGGATTGTTTGGCACAGACCAACAATGGAGAGGAAATATTGGATTAGCTATTGGTAGAGCATAGCATACAATGCTACGGCCACCAGAAGGTCACCAAGAAATTGTGACTGTGATAATGTAATTACATCTTTGTCTTCCATTCCATTGTTGAAGACATGCTATGATCATCACGTGCAGTGGTTGTAGCGAAACAGAACCGCCACTTCTTATCACGGAGTCCTCCGACGTCCAATGGCGGGCAATACGCCTCGTCAGCTGTAGTGTTGGATCGACCACACCTGTTCTCTCTCTCGTAACAATGCAACCCTCAACGACAATGTCCCATTCTTAAAACCACGTCCATTCACTTCGCTGACTGTAGGTTTCTGTACCGCGAACAGCTTCATTGTTAGGAAATCTGTATCTTCCCGTCCGATTGTTCTTGGTGTTGTTTCCCCCCTCATTCGGCAACAATCTATGCAACGATCCATATTGGCTTTTGGAGGTTCTTGCATCTTTCTCTTGCCCTTGGTTGATCGCTAGCAATCCCTGGACCGTCAATTGTACCTAGTCTACAAATACAGAATTCAGCTCCTGGAAATTCCAGGAATCTCTCCAACATGACTTCCACTCAAGCTTCATCAGATCCCAACGCTCTTGGTCAGACGCTGGTCGAAATACTCAGTACGCTCAAAAGTATGAAGACCGACCACGCCCAGCTTGCGTCGAGCGTCGAGGCACTCCAAAGCCGCTTTGACGTCGCAACTTCACTCAACCAAGTCCGAGCTGGAGGGACAGCAACAACGAGTTCTGGTGCCAACGATTCGCCCAGTCTCGATGCCGCCCAATTGGCCAAATCCGCCGATGGCACTGCATCTCCGCCAACAGAATCGGCTTCCCTGGTCAAAGCTCCCTCGTCTCCCACGGCCAGGAAATCGTCCTCGGCTATTTCCCGCATCATCCTCACCACTTATCCAGGCCAGTCTGGCATCGATCCCATTCCCTTGGAATGGGGTCAAGAAGACCCTACCAAACGAGGCCCAATCGTCGTCAGCCGTCACTACAACACGATTCGAAGAAGAAATGCCATTGGCGCCCACGGCGGCTCCTATTCAATCTACCACGCCCTAGCCGTCGCCAGCAACAATCTCGACCTCGAACACAAACCAGACTTCACCAACACGGAACCCGCGGCGACGATCGGTCCTTTCCCGACCTGGTACGGCAAGAAGAAAATCGTGGCGATGGACCCCTTGGGCCATCTGGCACCCTGGCTGTTCAACGACATCATCAAAGACCAAGATGTCGACATCCGGCCCACGATCGCGGTGACCAAAGCACACATGAAGATCCCCGAACTGGAGCAGAGCGTCAGAGCGGGCCGGCTCAAGCCCGACGGCAAGATCTGCATCAACGAGAGCGGAGAACTCAGCGTAACCAAATTCGCCGTCGAGCCCGTCTGGTACCTGCCGGGGGTGGCGGAAAGGTTCGGGATCGAGGAGAGCGCGCTGCGCCGCGCCCTGTTTGAACACACCGGCGGCTCGTACCCGGAACTGATCACGCGCAACGACATCAAGGTGTTCATGCCGCCGATCGGCGGGCTGACGGTGTACTGCTTCGGCGACCCGGCCAAGATGTCGGACGAAAAGGTGCGGCTGGCGCTGCGCGTGCACGACGAGTGCAACGGCAGCGACGTGTTCGGGTCGGACATCTGCACGTGCCGGCCCTACCTGATCTTCGGGATCGAAGAGGCGGTCAAGGAGGCGCAGAAGGGCGGGTCCGGCGTCGTCATCTACTTCCGCAAGGAAGGGCGCGCGCTCGGCGAGGTCACAAAGTACCTCGTCTACAACGCCCGCAAGCGCGGCGCCGATCGGGCCAGCGAGTACTTCCAGCGCACCGAGAACATCGCCGGCGTCAAGGACATGCGTTTCCAGGCCCTCATGCCGGATATCCTGCATTGGTTGGGCATCAAGAAGATCGATCGCATGTTGAGCATGTCCAACATGAAGCATGATGCCATCGTCGATCAGGGTATTCCTATTCTCGAGCGGGTGCCCATTCCCGATGACATGATCCCGGAGGATTCCAGGGTCGAGATCGATGCTAAGATCCACGCCGGTTACTTCACCACCGGTAAGGTCATGACCATGGCCGAGTTGAATGCCGTGCAGGGTCGGAGCTGGGATGACATTGAGCATTAGGCTGGGGTTTGCTGGTTGATTGATTGGATGGGTTGGAAGGATCAGAGGTGGCGGTGGTGGTTGGTTGGTTTGTCGTGTGCGTTGATGCATGTTTTGAGTTCGAGAATGTCGGTGAGCATGCTTTATCATGGCTCGAGACAAGAGCGAGGGCTTCTATCAATACCTGGTCTTTGTAGCCTACACATGGAAAATACTCGGTTTGAAAGTTTGAACATCCTGTTTCTTTGTGCCCTCTCTTCTTGACTCTTTATCCACGACACTAATTGACACTCAACATGATCCTAGCAGGGAAGGCAGTGTCACAAGAAATGCTTCAATCTCCGTGCCCAATAGCCAACGGTATATTACTATGTACCTTGCGCCTTTTACTTACGCGTTTACATGAGGTGTTGACGACCTCAGGCCCACCCGGTCACCTGTTAAAAGATGCTTTTCCTGGAAAAAGGACATTAAGGACTATACAATCACCCCTCCAATCGCAACTAATCGAGCAGCTCAACTGGAGCCACCTTCCTTGATCCACGGCTCTCCAAAAGTGCCCACCCAGTCTTCGACTTCTTGCCTCAACGTCAAGATCTCTGGCACTTCGGTGCCGTCCTTGACATACTCGAGGAAACTCTTGACGGTTGCCGGGTTCTTCTTGCCCTTGCTCTCGGCGTCCTGTCTCGCACTCTTGTCCACTTTGACTGCGATGGAAACAGCACGGTCGACGATTTCTGCGACTCGCGTGAAGTCGTTGGGTTGGAAGCCTCGCGTGGTCATGGCTGGTGAACCCATTCGCAACCCACCAGGCTTCAGAGCAGACTTGTCACCGGGAACGGTGTTCTTGTTGGCCGCTACACCACAGAGCTCAAGCACGCGTTCAACCCTGGCACCATCGATGGCCTTTGATTTCAGGTCGACCAATACAAGATGGTTGTCTGTGCCTCCAGACACAACGTTGTAGCCCAGGCCGCCCGAATATGCGCCATTGCCCAACCTCTCGGACAAAGCCTTTGCGTTGGTAAGTACAGTTTGCTGATATTCTTTGAACTCTTTGCTCTGTGCTTGCTTTAGAGCCACCGCGAGTGCGGTAATTGTATGGTTGTGTGGACCACCTTGATGTCCCGGGAACACCGAGGCGTTGATCGGGCCCTCGAGGTCGTACAGTTCCTTCTCACCTTTCTTGTTGGTCCGGCGGACGCCCTTGCGGTAGAAAATCATGGCTCCACGAGGACCACGTAGAGATTTGTGAGTGGTGGTAGTAACGACGTCAGAGTATTGGAAGGGAGTAGGGATGACATCTGCGGCCACGAGGCCGGAGATGTGAGCCATGTCACTCAAGAGATAAGCACCGACTTCGTCGGCAATGGCGCGGAACTTTTCATAGTCGATCAATCGGCTGTAGGCGGATGTGCCTGCAATAATGATTTTGGGTCGGTAGAGTAATGCATTTTCTCGGAGCTTATTGTAGTCGATCAGACCAGTAGATTCGTCTAGACGATAAGGAAAGGTTTCGAAATATTTGGAGATCATGGAGATCTTCTTGGTCGGCGTCTGATAGCCATGGGATAGGTGACCACCATGAGGTAGATCAAGCCCCATGATACGGTCGTGTGTGTTGAGAAGTGCGGAATAGGCGTACAAGTTAGCCGGAGAACCAGATAGAGCTGTTTTTTGTTAGAACACTGCATGCATACAGCTCCCAGGAAACACACCTTGAACATTTACACCCCATTCCTCGGGATTGAGCCGGTAAGTCTGAAGAGCTCGCTTCTGACAAAGTCTTTCGGATTCGTCGATATGTTCATTGCCACCATAATATCGAGCACCGGGATAACCTTCCGAGTATTTGTCTGCGATAAATTAGCATTGCCTTGCAACCTTTCGACTTGAAACAGCTCACTCTGCATGACACTGCCCAAGGCATCCAATACAGCTTGAGAAGTGAAATTCTCTGAAGGGATGAGGTTGATGAAATGCTTTTGTCTCCGTTTTTCCTAGTGGGATGAGCTTCTGAATGTAGGTAGGAGCGAAAGGTGAACCCTCTTACCCTCTGCAATATCTCGAAAATCTCCGGGTCTGCATCTTTGAGATGGTCTCCCAGCAACTAATCTCTATTAGCCGAGGTGATCAACAAACTAAGTCCAGCCTCACCTTGTTCTGTGCTTCCGTGTGTGAAGAAGTCAGAGCCTTCGAGGTCGAAATCCCTCGGAAGGTAGATCTGCATGAGGTACACACGGATGGCTTTGTTGGTAAGGAAAGTGATGACCAGAGTCCCCTGGACACGATGGGGCGTGACATGGTCACGGAGTCTCGTTCTGTGTCTTGTACAAACCCGACACTGTGATGTTTTTTTCAGCACGCCACCACCGCTGGAGTGAAGAACAAAGATCTTTCTGTTGATATCAGGTGAAATGATCACGAAGTTTGGGCAACCACCTGAGATTTTTTTTCACCCAGCTTCGCTATGATCGAGCACTGCCACACATAATGTATGCAGCAAATGTCCAAGGAGCGCCTTTTGATGATGGAATGAAGTCCAGTGAGAACGGAGGTTAGCCCGAGGGGACAATTGCGCGTTGGTCCCGCAATCCAGATCGACACTGGGACAGTCACGTGTGGTGTGAGAGCTCTATCTCACTGGCTTCCTTCGGAAGGTATAGCGAGGGCACACTTTAACAAACCATCAACACGTCCGCCCCAACCTCGTCTTCTTCTCCTCTCCTCACAACTAAATCCAAGATGAAGAGAGCCTGCACGTCTGTTTCAGTCCTCGCACTCTGGCTTCGGCTGGAGGTTTGTGGGCTATGTTGACATGTCTCGGGTCCATAACCACCTTTTGGAGACAATATGACACAGTCTGATTGGATCAATACGTTGTTCTTTTTGTCGTCAGTCATGGACCATTGTGCTTGGATGGTGCTTATTCTATTCCGGGGTTATCTGACGTCCACTGCTAGGGTGTTGGTGTGTAATGCTTCAGCATCAATGGCTCTTGGCCTGATCCAAAGCCGACTGCGAGAGAGATCTGGGTACCTACTAGTAGGAGCCTTCCTGGTAAAGGGGTTGAATCATGGCAAGTCTGCATGGCTTGAATACTCGTACGCTCCTTCCATCCCATATACTGCTTTCACGTGACTTTTCCACTACCGGACTCTCTTCTATATCGACACTCATGTTAACGACGATCGATCCAAACATATGAGTCCATGTCCTTCCCAAGACATTTCTATCACAGAGAGCTTGTCTGGTTCCAACATGTGCCATCGAAGGACTCTTACAAGGAAGGTGGACCGAGCATGCTGAGTGCCATGGCCAAGACATGAATGCTGCAACTGCCTGTTGCTCAACGTGAATATCGCCTGCCTGTGAGGTTACGCTAGTGGTGACAGTCTTGTTTATCTTGAGTTCCTTTCAGTTGGAATATCTTCGTCTTTCAGATCCTCTCTCCCTCATCCCAAACTTCAACCTTCTCCCCGTCGATCTTTGAAAGATCGGTATTCAAAGTCTCCCTTGTTCCATACTCAAACCATCTCAATCTTTTGTGAACCCATCGCGACTGAACCCCTCACTCATCAACCTCACTTGCCGTCGCGATTCGCCCTCGTGCGTCCGTCGTCATGGCACCTCGGCGTGGAAAAGCGGTCGCTCACGCGAAGACCACAACCACTAACAACACTACCAAACCTCCCAAGCTCCCTGCCAATGACAAAGCTACCGACACTGATACCGATCTGTCTGACTACGACTCGGGTATTGACCAGCCTGCGCCCACCAATACCAAAGCCACTTCCAAGAAGCGCAAGGCCAAGAAACAAGCCTCCAAGCCACAGGGCAACAAGAAGCAATTGAAATATCTCAAGAGATATGGCGAAGCCCCTGAAGCCAAGTCATTGTTGGATGATGCTGATGATCAATACCCTGCTCTCGATGTCCCCAATGATCCCAACCCATGGGCTGGCATAACTCAAGTTCGTCAGGACCCAAAGGTCGTCTCTCTTCATGTCAACAGCAATGCCGGTGCAATGGGAACCATCAACATCAATATTGCAGATATTCTCGCTTCTGCTGGCTTGAAGCTGGCTCTCAATTCAGTTGCCCTTGGTACTCCAGGTGTAGCATTGGAGAATGCGCCTTCAGCCTTGTCTAAGAACGACAAGGTTGCGACCACCAAGAACCGCGTCATCAGATCCAGTGGCTTTTTGAAGATTCCAGGAGAGTTGCGTGACAAAATCTACCGCTTGTTGTTGCTTGGAGACAAGCCTGTCAATTTCGACAAGCGCACCGGCTTTGGCGGTCGATCTGTCGCTTTCTTGAGAACCTGCAAGACCATTGCTGAGGAAGGCACCGACGTCTTGTATGGCGAGCACTCGTTTCATTTGGCCCGCACTCCCCAATTTCGTGGCAAGTTCTTTGAGAAAGACTGGAGTGAGATTGCATATCAAGACATTCGCCGCTTTCTTGAGACCATCGGCCCTGTCAACATCTCCAAGATGAAGTTCATCTCGTTCGCCATGACCGATGGTCCGAGCCGTTTGACCCAAGCCTTGCCCAATGTCGAGCATCTCAGATTTGCCAATGATCCCACTATGCACCACATCCTTCGCCTGATTGGAGACAACGCGAGTTTGACTCGACTTGGTCTTTTGTTCTCCGGTCGCGGCAAGGTCACAGGTGCCGACTTCCACTTTTTGAATGCTCTCACCGAGATCAAATGCAACCAATTGGACCTTTTCGGCCGTGGATACCCGGGTGCCGGTGATCGCTTCCGCGTCGATCGTCACCTAGTGCCAAAGTTGCGTGAGCTCATGGTCGTCAAGAGAGAGGATGACGAGAACATCGACCTCAAGAAGCATATGTCAAAGGTTGAAATGGTTTACAAAGATTCGCACATTTTTGCCACCAATACCACTTACTTCTACTAGTCGTGTCTCTTCACGCTTGATACTAGTGGAAGTAGTACGCAAGACTACTTGCTCATTGCTGAGATATGGTGATTTGCTGGACTGCCTGGTTGTGATTCAGTCGCAGTCTGGAAGTCAGAATTCTATTGACAGCCTAATTGAGAGGCTCATTCGGAGGGCTTGCATGGACAATAGGTTGAATGATGGGTGGACTTGATTCCCTATGGTCTGACGATGACTGGGAAGGTGCTTACCAAAGGAATGCCCTCAGGCTCGATCGAATTCGTGTTTCAGAGATTTGCCATCAGGTCTGTCTCATTGTCGATCGCCTGAGGTGGCCTGGGATGACATTTTCGAGTAGAGTTCATTACGGCGGGCATAGTGTTTGTGACGGAGGAGCAGAGTTTTCGTGACAAAGGAATCCAGTCTTGAAGGTAGACGGACCGAGTCAAATTCAAACTCCATAACTTATAGCACATAGCGCCATAGCTACGGCTCTCTCAATGAGAACAATCAAATCCAATTGGAGATGAGTCTTTCTTTCCCATGTGCTGGGCAGCAGTTGTTTATGACTGTCGTCGGTGTCGAGGCCTTGAATACCAAGTGGTCGATACCGATCAATGTGAAACGCTGAGAAGGAGAGACACGAACATCTCTGGTAGCACGGCCAGCTGTTCTGGAATACCAATTCCATTAGCCCTCCACCATACACTTACCGTTACAGAGAAGCCCTTCCCATCTGTCTGGTAGTAGGTAATGCTCAACCGCTTGCCAGTTCGGCACGGAGACACACGGACAGTTCCATGCAGCCGACTATTGTCCGTCAGTCAACAATGTAGTCTGTCGTCCACACAAGAAGAAAACCCATGCCATGCCATGCCACGATCGAACGACCCCATCACATGTGAACAACCCTCATCATCACACACACCAGCCTTCAGTGCATCACTCGTAATGAAGTCTCATCACGCCTGTCCGACCCATGTGGAGCCATGCTATTTTCACTACCCGCCCGTTGATCCGTCGATCACCCGTTCCTTCGGAGAGCGAGGCTGCCAAATGTCCCCTTCATTGTCTTAGATTCTCAGTTAGTAGTAGAGTTGGATGTTACCCAAAAAGAAATCAATAAAAAAAATCGGGGATCGTCTCCTGCTGCTTTCCGGATGCGGAGAGGATGCTACAGTATGTGGATGCATTATTCTCCTGATTCCGAAAATAATGAGAGCTGCCTCGTGGCATTATATCGTAGATAGATGTCCACAGCAGTACTCGTAGTGAGGTGCTAAAAAGGGGGGGAGGAAGGTATCGACTACTGGTTGTGGTGTAGAGCAGAAAGCAAGTACTGGATCCGGTACGGAAGAGGCTCGCCTCTTTGTTTAATTAGTTTTGGACTCGCCATCCACAAGGATAGCTTGACGAAATGATACGAGTACCTTTTGTTTACCTGCTCTCGCTAGGAGCTGCGGGATGGTTCCGTCGCAGGTCCATTGCTACCTAGATTAAAAAAGGTACGAGATAAGCTACTTCGAGAATTTGGTTTTGTAAGACATTAATTCGATAGTTGTGGTGGGTGTCCATTCTCGTCGAAGAGACATGTACCCCATATAAAAAGACTGGAGATGGGATGTTTGTTTACTACCTGAATGGTACTCCGTACCCGTAGTCGAGTGACGCACTGGGCCCAGGGATCCACAGGACGGTGGCATGAGCATCTATTTTGAGAAAAGAAACTCGTGGGCGACGGGGAATATCTTACTCTTACCGAGTACTGTTTTTGCCTGTGACGCGAGAAAAGGTAACCTCGTAGGTCTCGGCTGTTAATCCGTGCTATCGATTGGCGTGTGATATCTAATCCGTTCCCGTACGGAGTACACGGTGCCATGACTCGGGCAATCAGAGTATCATAGCTTTCCCGGTGACTGGTGGCCCATGAGATGAGTTCGTCTTGCTTGTAGATGATAGATGTGCATAGACATCACAAGCAACAGTGCGCGAGATCCAATAGTTTGGTCTAGCAAGAAGGAACTTGGTATGAATCTAGAGATTCGCGTTCGCGCATGGATCATGGCGTCTGGTCTGCATGTCATTTGGACTCACGCAAGGCAAATACGTATCAGACAGAAGGGGTGAACCACGGTCCATGGTGGCATGGATCTCCAACCGATCAAATGAGAGCTCAATCGGTGGTGACTGGTGAGAATGGGAATTGGTGATGTGCCGCTGGTGCAACCTCTCTGTCGCCACCCGATGGAGAGCAACCCGCTTTCATTTTGGGCCGGCACCACTCAGGACATCAGAAGTCGGAACGGAGGTGACTGGTGAAGGGCTTCCAGATTGATGGACCAAGCTGGCGGGGGAGACTGGCAACGAAGAAACTGGAGAAATTGGCCGTGGGCGCAAGAGATGAAGTTGCAGTTGAGCAAATTTGACTAGCAAGGCTCTCAGGAGAACAATCTTCGTTGATTTGCCAGGCGAGCCTTGGCTCATTTCCGACAACCGCCAGATCAACAAGGGGCCCACCGCCAATATTCCACCAACCGTGGTTTGCGATTTGTGAAACAAGCAACGAGCAAGCTCTTGATCTGGCTGAGGAGGTGTCGTCGTTGGACAAATCGGTCTTTGCTCGACCATTTCCCCGTGATCTTTTGGTGCGCAAGCAAAGCAAGCAAGCGTGACCTGGCCTGGCCCCCCCGGTACGATCCCTCATGCGACCGGTTGGCCCAGGAATCAAACTCGAAACAGGTCCAAGGAATTTCTTTTGCAGCTACTGTCCATCCAGGCACGATGTCATTTCCTCCTTGTCCATGTTTCTCCAACCAATTCGAGCTATGTCACCACTACAACAGAGGACTGTATGATGTCTCGCTTGAACATGCCCCCCAGTTACCGTAGTTTGACGAGACCACCGTCGAAGATGGGCCGAGGATAGGTTTACCGCTACTCCTGAATTCTCTCTCCTATGAGCTTCTGTTTACCTCGTACTCCATCTCAACGGCCCTGAATAATGTGCCTAATTTGGGCCACATGACGGGGTTGGCCTCAAGCGAGGACATGTTGCTTCCCGCCCCCAGTACAAAGGAGTATTACCAGGATCGCGCTGCCCAATAGGGCCAATAATATTCATATAGACATCATTCAAGTCAGAGAAGCAAGATGGAAACCATGACATGCATCATTCATGGCGATCGCCTATCGATTATCATTTGACAAACCGGTTCAGCAGATGACATTGACAGCGACCGCACTGAACAACTCGTAGAAAAACGCACTGGGACTCGTGTCACGGGCGGGTCACCGCAGCGAGAGTCGGGAGAGAATAAAGGAAATTGGGATCCAGAGTTAGCGTATAGACCGCGAAATGACGGTGGATTGCAGTTCGGAGAGTGGATGAGTCGTGGTCGTAGCGGACCTGGCAACAGGCGGCGTCAGGGGTAGCTTTGACAAGGTCTTTGATAGCGACCTCCACATGGCGCAGCCTCATCAGCCCTTCTCCTTTTTCCATTGGCCCGTTCTGAACCCCGGTCGAAATTGTGGCTGCAATCTACCACTTGCCCTCCCACCGTCTTGCTCGACGAGCTCGTCCCATATATCTATTCTACTCAGCACGTTGATCCTCTGTTTTCCTTTCTCTCCATCACACAGATCGAAGTCCAACTTCCAGTCGCTCTTTAGCACCAATCCAAACAACCAGGTCTTAGTACCACTTACACTCGTTACAAACAACCAACCCTCTCAACCCATCCATCTTCTCACCAGTTTTATAATCAAAAACTACCATCCACATCCATCAAAATGAAGGTCACAATTGCTGCTCTCGCCGCTTTGGCAACCTCCGTCGTCGCCGTCCCAGCTTGGGGCGATGCAACCACCACCACTACCACCACGACCACCACCACCAAGCCAGTTGCTGCTTCGTCCACCTCGGTCTGGGCTGACTGGACAAGCACCACAACCACCACCACCAAGCCCGTTGCTGCTTCCACCACCACCGCTGCAACCACCACTGTGTGGGCCGACTGGGAGGAGCCAGATAGCTGGACCACCACCATCGTGACCGCCATCACCACCTATGTCCCAGAACCCACCACCATCGTCCACTTCGGCAAGACCTGGACTGTCAGCACTGCCACCACCTTGACCATCACTGACTGCCCATGCACCGTCTCTGTTCCCATCTTCACCAAGGTCTCAACATCTTGCAGCACTACCGCCACCCCAGTTGCCCCCGTGTCCACCTCGACAGCAGTTGCACCCGCTACCTGGGGCTCATCAACTGGCGTCAAGCCCGCTGTTGCTACCTACACTGGTGCCGCCAACGCCCTCGTTGCCAACGTCGGTGCTGGTCTTGCCGGTGTCGGTGCCATTGCCGCTTTCCTCCTATAAATGGAGCATTCTTTGGGGCATGGGCTTGGATAGGTCAGTCAGGCATCTGATTGGCCGCTCCAGGTTTTCATGGCTTCTCTTTTGTTCTTAACGCGGTGTCTCCCATGGGTATGAGGCGGCCGAGCTTGGTTCATCTGTGGGTCGGCGGTGTGCTTGTGATGCAACATGCTTGCACTCCATCTCAGATGACGCATTGGATAAATGATTTCGGCTCGGCTGGTTGAAAGTTTGTGGTGGGACGTTTTTGTACAGTTTTCTCTGGTGCAGAATTCCACCCCCTTGATATCCTGGGATTTGGTCATTTAGTTAATGAAAGGATATTTTTGAGGATAGCATTGCATCGTGTGTTTCTCGGGGCATCCAAAAATGTGAATTTGCTGCATACCACTGAACAAGAAAAGAGAACCTGTCTTCCTGTTGTCTTTTGATCTCGTTGCCAGTAATGTATATATAGTTCAGTATTTGGATGTCTCTAGAATCCGCATGCAATGAATGTCCTCAACCAGTAAAGATTTTGATATATGCTTATAGAGTTCATGCCTTCTCGATCATGCTCAGCAACAACATGACGGATGTCTATTTGTTCATCGAATCGAAGGGCAGACTTGTAGATGCGGCGGTATCTCGGCTTTAGTCGGGCTTCGACGGGCCGTCGTCGGCGTGTCCTCTTCATCCTACCATACGGGATGCTGGCTCCTTCAGAAGGACCAAAGGATGCTGGTCATGCCACTCTATTCAACACGTCTGGTTGTAGATGCTTTACGGAAGTTGCTAGTCTCTTTACTCGACTCTTGAAAGCCCTCGCCTTCCCTGTCCAATGGCCTCGGCAGCAAGTTGAACGCGGTACGCGTCAAGCTGTGCCAAGAATTCGGCCGGAAAAACCTACGGATAGGGCCAGCACCCCAATTATTGATTCGCGCTTCTCCATCTAACCCCATCTCCTCTTCTACTACTCCGCGCTGATCGCATTGATGCTTCATCTCGACTCCGCTGGACCGGCCGGACCGTTATGACAGCCCAACTTCGTCCTCGGCATCATCTTCAGGCAATGACAGCCATGATCTTAGAAGCTTGTACAGTCTCGCTTCTAGTCTTATTATCAGTTTCAACAGTTTCCAGTCCACCTTGATCCTCGAGGGACCCGCTGTTCTCGAAGATGCCAGGCTGCGGGTAGGCACTCCTGTCAATAATAAATACCCCCGTCAAGTGTGTTCAAAGACTCAACAGTCAACTTTCCTAGCCGGGCGAGCTCTCCGTTTCTCTGCCAAAGAACTCCCTACCTACTATCTAGGCAATTCTATTCATCCCTCCCGCTCCCATTTCGATCCCTACCTGCCCTACCCGTGAGTGTAATACTTCGATCGCCGTTCAGCACCAGCAGAACCATTGGCGCCATGTCACCCAATAACAGAGTTCAGGACTCGGTGCAGGCTTCATCTCTGTCTGATCCCGAAGCATTCTGGGATAAACATGCCAAAGAATTATACTGGCACAAGCCATATAGCTCTGCCCTCCGACAGACTACAAAGAAACTACAAGATGGCACCACACATCCTCACTGGTCCTGGTTTCCCGATGGTGAGATCAGTACAACATACAACTGTCTAGATCGTCATGTGAAAGCTGGCAATGGAGACAAGATCGCCATGATCTGGGACAGCCCGGTGACCGGATCAAAAGCGAAGTTCACCTACAACCAGATGTTGGATGAGGTGGAATTACTTGCCGGGGTCCTGAGAGATCAAGGCGTCAAGAAAGGGGATGTCGTGTTGATATATATGCCCATGATCCCCGCTGCAATATTTGGCATGCTAGCAACAGTCCGACTCGGTGCTATGCATGCAGTGGTCTTTGGAGGATTCGCCGCAAACAGTCTAGCTCAACGCATAGAAGATGCGAAACCCAAAGTTATTTTGACTGCTAGCTGCGCGATTGAGGGCGCAAAAGGGCCTTTGGCTTACCAACCCTTCGTCGAAGGAGCAATCAAGCAGAGCAGCTGGAAGCCCAACAAGACGATTATTTGGCAACGGGATAACAAGAGGTGGAATCCCGTCAACAAGGATGCTGGCCAAAGTGATTGGCAAGCTTTGATCAAGAATGCCCGTTCACGAAATCTCAGGGCGGAGGCTGTCCCGGTCAAGAGTACTGACGGCCTTTATATCATCTATACGAGTGGCACGACTGGTCTACCCAAAGGTGTGCTTCGTGAAGCAGGTGGTCATGCCGTCGGCTTGAATTTGAGCGTCAAATACTTGTTCGATGTCAAAGGCCCGGGCGACGTCATCTTCACTGGAAGCGACATTGGTTGGGTGGTGGGACATTCATTTATCGTGTACGCGCCCCTCCTTGCTGGAGCAACGACAATCCTCTTCGAAGGCAAGCCCATTGGTACCCCTGATGCAGGTGTTTTTTGGCGCATGGTGGATGAACATAAAGTCACGACGATATTCACTGCTCCTACTGCATTGAGAGCTATCAGGAAAGAGGATCCTTCGGACAAATTCTTCAAGGAGCAAGGCGACAAGGGCCGCTTAAAGCATTTACGCGCTCTTTTCCTCGCTGGCGAGAGATCTGAGCCTTCGATCATCACACATTATCAACAGTTACTGAGCAAATATGCAGCACCAGACGCTCGAGTCATTGATCATTGGTGGTCAAGTGAATCGGGCAGTCCAATGACCGGTATTGCTCTCCGTCCGGCCATTGGCGAAAAACAGAGCAATCGTGACGAACACAAGGCCTTGGCGATCAAGCCTGGGAGTGCAGGCAAAGCTCTACCGGGGTTCGATGTTCGCATTGTAGATGATGAGGGTAAGGAGGTTGGAGAAGGTAAGATGGGCAACATTGTTCTCGCCACACCATTTGCACCGACGGGCTTCACGACTTTGTTCAACGACGATGCACGCTTTTACAAGGGTTACTTGAAGCGATTTGACGGCAAATGGTTGGATACTGGGGATGCAGGCATGATTGATCAAGATGGGTATGTGCACGTTATGAGTCGGAGTGACGATATTATCAACGTCGCCGCACACCGCTTCAGTACAGGTAAGGAGGCTGTCGGTTCTAGGATGGCGAGGTGCGCTAACATTAAACTACAGGTGCCATTGAACAAGCGATTACATCACACGACTCGGTGGCTGAAGCCTGTGTCGTCGGCATCCCTGACGAGATGAAAGGACATCTACCTTTTGCGTTCGTCATTCCTTCGACGACATCCGACTCAAATCTACCTGCCACCCCATCCAGAGAATTCTTCACGGGTATCAACAACATCGTTCGGACTCAGATTGGCTCCATCGCATCACTCGGCGGTATTGTCCAAGGCAAGGGAATGATTCCCAAGACTCGAAGTGGCAAAACGTTACGACGGGTCTTGCGAGAGCTAGTTGAGAACGCTGCCGAGGGCCAATTCGACAAGGAAGTCAACGTGCCGGCAACAGTGGAGGACCGCGAGGTTGTGGAGGTTGCCAGACAGCGAGTTAAGGAATGGTTCGAGGAGCGAAAAAAACAAACTGGCAAAGCCAAATTGTGAAAAGTTGGAGGTACTTAAGTAATGATGCACGTCTCTTGTATATATTGGGCAATTCGCGACCGGCTTTTATTACAGCAGTATTTCACTTGATGACTGCGCGAGCAAAATGCCATTCATGTTCAAATTTAATGCCCAACGACCCCACTGCTTGCGAGTTGTGAAATGCCTGCCCCTGAGGCCGATGCAATATAGGCTAGGGGCGATCCGTTGCAGAAATCAACGACGTCATCAATGGGTCGGGTAAGGCTAAGCTCATGGCTGAAGCACAATGATCACCAAGACACACCGAGGAACTTTGCCATAACAACAGCACTTTTACGAGACGAGTCGAGTCGCGATCATGGGTCACTACGTGCGTTATAAACGGTGCTGGGGCTCAAGGGTTTAGAGAACGCCAGGCTGCAGCTTTCTTCACTCGGTAGGATAAAACGTCGTGAGCTAACACGGACCGTTTGACGTTGACGTTGACGTTTCATATATTTATATTTATTCACAACCCTTCTGTGTGCTAATTTCCCCGAGTTACACCTGGTCCAGAAGCTCACAGATTATCATCTGGAAGGCACTTGTCCTGGCCACCCTACTCACCATGGCAGTCCACCACGTCCTCGACGACTACTACCTCGCCATCACCCTCCTCGTCACCGTCGCATACCAACTCATCGGCTTCTCCATCGCCTTCACGTGTAAATTCGACAAACTGACCGACTTCGCAGGCGGGACTAACTTCATCATCCTCGCGGTTCTCACGCTCGCGCTGTCTGCCACGCACACGACGCGACAGATCCTGGTGTCGCTGTTCCTCATTCTCTGGGCGTTCCGGCTCTCGGGGTTCCTGCTCTTCCGCATCCTCAAGACCGGCACGGACACGCGCTTCGACGACAAGCGCGACAAGTTCTTCCCCTTCCTCGGCTTCTGGGTCTTTCAGATGCTGTGGGTCTGGACCGTCAGTCTGCCCGTGACGATCCTCAACTCGCCCAACGTCGCCGCCATGTATGATCAGCCGGCGTTTGGCACCGCCGCGGACATTGTCGGTTTGATCATGTGGGCCGGCGGATTCCTGGTGGAAGCCGTGGCCGATGTGCAGAAGTATCGCTTCCGGTCGAACGCGGACAGTCAAGGTCGCACGTGTGATGTCGGCCTGTTCGCGTGGAGCAGGCATCCCAATTACTTTGGTGAGATCATGGTGCAGTTTGGGATCTTCACCATGGCCGTCTCGCCGTCCGCGTACGGCTATGTGCCGCGTGGTAGCGGTGCCTACGCGGCGCAGTACGCCAGTATGGTCGGGGCGTTCTTTCTGACGCTGCTGCTGCTCTTCGTGTCGGGTCTGACGCTACAGGAACGGCCCGGTGCGAAGAAGAAGTATGAGAAGGATGGTCCGGACGGCCCCAGCTGGACGCAGCATCGCAACTGGCTGGAGAGTACGAGTATTCTCATCCCGATGCCGCCGTTCGTGTGGAGGGCACTGCCAACGGCGGTGAAGCGGTCTGTTGGGTTCGAGTGGCCGCTGTACGTCTTTGAGCCGAGTAAGCACGCGGATCTGAAGGCTGTGGAAGAGAGGAGGAGGGAGGAAGGGAGAGGATCGGCGCGAGAAGAGGGAAGTCAGGATGGTTTGGTGCGTGATCGGTGAGAGAGAGGGAAGTGGGAACGTCGTCGACCAACTACTGTCTCATCGACTTGATGAAATTTTTAGTATAGCGTTATGGATACATATTTATAATTGAGATCTGCAAACAGAAAGATGCCATCCGAGTCTATCGTCGACAGCTAATGAGGACCTGGGTGCTAAAGGCTGTGTCTATGGACCTTGTTGTTCACTCTTTGCACTTTGGACAACGATGGTGATTGACAAATTTATATCTCCCGGACTTCAAAGTTGGTCATCTGGATTAAAGGACGGTACCTACAGATGGTGGCAAGCACCTTGACCATCGATCGCTGGGTCAGTCATGAATGACGAAGCAAAGCATTGGGCTGTCCGTACCCGCAGGATTCGAAATAAGCCCATATTTAGCGATCACGCCTAGAAGCTTAACCCCCGGGCTGAGTTGTGCCCGGGTGTGGGTGGGGCTGCCCGGGGGTCTGGCTTTGGTTATAGCTGGGTGGTCACGGCGGTGGTTGTGCTTCGTGCTTGGAATCCCAGTGGACCACAAAAAAGAACCTCCTGAAACCTGCGCATCATTCAATTCCCGTTGCATTTATTGAATTGCGTGGATAGAGAATTGCGTGGCCGCTCCAAATCAAATCCTACGAAGTACGAGTAGCCACCTTCTACCCGCATTTTCTCCCCTGCTCATATTCCTGTCCACGTCCCAAGTCAGTGCTCCTGTACGGAGAAGTTGCAACTGCGCCCTACTATCCACAGCCGTACCTAGTCAAAAAAGGTGGGTAGCCGACCGAGACAAAGGTCTCTCAGCTGCCTCGTCAATTCGTCTCTGGGACTGCTTTCGATTTCTTCACCTCCTTTGTTCTTCCGACCGTGACCGTGGTGGCTCATTACCTACAACTGCCTCTCAAGAAATCGCACGTGTTTCGAGACAACATGTATTGCTGCAGAAGATAAGGGTTTGACTTGGAACTGCTTCAATCTGTCACATGTTTTCGAGACCTGTCAACCAACGACAGGCTGTCGCTGCATTTCGTCATTGTTCCTAGCCATTTGCTCTACAACATTCTCCCACTTTCATGGCGGTACCTACCTCGTTGCGGAGAGCTGTGCTCGCCGGAATCCTCATCATCGCCCTCTTCCTCTTCCTCAGGCCTTCCTCTCCATCTGCGCCCGACCCTCCGTCCTATCAAGGAACTCCAGATCCAAGAGAACAACCTACTCGAGCCTACCCTCCTCCCCAATCGCCCAAGAAACCCCAAGTGGACCAAACATCCATTCAAGACATTGCTTCCAAGCCCTTGAGAGAAAGATTAAAATTTCACTTTCCCTATGATGTGGAATCCAAGTTTCCTGCCTACATCTGGCAAACGTGGAAGGCAGGACCCGACTCGGGCAACTTTGAAGACAGGTTGAGGCCATTTGAGGCATCTTGGTCGACCCTGCATCCTGGCTTTGTGCACGAAGTCATCACGGACGAGGCCGCGTTGCACCTCATCAACTATCTTTTCGCCTCAGTACCGGAGATCATGCAGGCATACGAAGCGATGCCCCTGCCGGTTCTGAAGGCGGATTTTTTTCGATATTTGATCCTCTTGGCTAGAGGCGGCATCTACAGCGACATCGACACCAAAGCACTTCAAAGTGCTGCAGATTGGCTCCCCGAAAAACTCGATCGGTCTACGGTGGGTTTGGTGATTGGTATTGAAGCAGATCCAGACAGACCGGATTGGAAAGATTGGTATGCTAGGAGAATACAGTTTTGTCAATGGACCATCCAGTCTAAACCGGGCCACCCAGCTCTAAGGGAAATTGTGGCAACCATCACTGAAGATACTCTCGCTATGAAAAGAGCTGGCAGCCTGAGAATGGGACGAGCGCCGAAGAAGTCGATCATGGAATATACCGGACCCGGTGTCTGGACCGACACCATCTTTTCCTACCTGAACAACCGAGAATACTTCGATTTCAGCTCGCGGAAGTCCAACGTGACCTATTCGGATTTCTTCAACGTGCGGGAGCACAAGAAAATTGGCGATGTGATTGTGCTCCCAATCACCAGTTTCAGCCCAGGGGTTGGGCAGATGGGATCGGAAGGACCGGAGCATCCGATGGCCTTTGTAAAACATGAGTTTGATGGTAAGATGACACCGACATCATCTCGACGATTGTGAAGCTGACCCGAGTGACAGGATCTTGGAAACCTGCAGATGAACGGATGTAGTAAACAAAAAGTGGACATTGTACAACGGAGCGCGCAATGGAGACTGAATATAGCGTCGACGCACACGACGAGCGTCTCATTCCTTTCAAGCATAGCGAGGGTGTATGGCAAGGCACATAGAGGGAACCATCAGGACTGCCACATTCAGGTGGTCTGATTTGATTTGAATCATGTAAGATAGCACAGATACGCACGGGTCGGGGGATTCTCCGTGCAAAAGTATGGATGGTGAAAAGCACACACTTCTGGTATGTTATCGAATGGTATGGAGCTGTCAATGCTCGACCTACCTAGTATTATTGATAGCGAGTCGAGCATCCGTACCCACCAGGTGCACCAGGATAAGATCCTCATGCAGTGACCCGCATGATGCTCGCCTCCATCCAAACCATCAGAGCGGTGACCGTTAGAGAGGACTTGTGGGGAATTCTGATAGGGACTTCATCATCCGATCCTCGATAAAGCAGAAGGCTGGGAAACGCTATACGTACGTCCCAAGGCAATACCGAAGGCATCCTCATGCTAATTCAATTCCAGATGAGTTCTTGGACGTTTGGCACATGCCAAATAGGTATTTGTGCATGACCCTACCCGTGGGCCGTTTAATTCCTCCGAAAAGAGGACTGGGATCAACAGTGCTTGCTCGGTATCCCTAGTTAGTGGGACTTTTGACCACGTCGAGTTCCCGGTCGGTTTAGTTAGCGAGGCGGCTTCGAAAACAAGGGCTCAAACGTCGCTGACAGGTTGACGATTTCGGTTACCCAAGCCACCCCAAGGAATGACAAGCGAGCACCTGCCTGCTGACTCTGAGGGATGAAACCAGGCAAGTCCGGTTGGGGACAATGGACTGGATGGAACTCACTGGGCTGGGCTGGACTGCATCCGTCATCGTACGATGAACTGCACGAGTATCCGAACCTACTCGTAAAACTGAGACCAATTCATCTGTGATGATCTGGGGCAAAGACTGTCTCTCTATTGGTATAAATCCTCGGGCTCGTGCCCGTGGAATTGACGTAGATGATGGAGGGGAAAAGAGAGTTTCTTATGACATAGATCTGCATTGTTTGACAGGAGCTGTTATTGACATATGGTCCATGGAGTCCTATTCGAGTTTTGAACGGACGTAGATGATGTCCAACTGAATTCACACTATGGTCCATGTATGTCGCTCACCGCATCCTCCTGTGGACGGGCTACGCCTCGAGAGCCGTGGTACTAGTCGCGTTTCTAACGATGTAAGCAATGAATTAGTCTTTTTCCGTCTTGTTCAACCCCGATGCGATGTCATGCAGCAGCACCTCGTAGACAGCCAGAAAATGGAGATTGAGGTTTGCGCCTAAGGTCCAGTCAAGATTGCGTTGCGAATTGCCAGTTGGCGATGGCGTGTTTCCATCTGGACACACTACAGTTCCCGCCACGCGCCCAAGGCCCCTCTTTCAGCAGGCCGAGGGGCCCCGAGGCCTTGACTGAAATCTGAGCCTGATCGTGATCGTGATCGTGATCCTGCCCACAGCCTGAGGTTGGAGATGACAGGCTATGGACGCTACAGGCTGCAGCCCATGCCTGAATCGAAGCCCGATGCCCAAAGCCACGAGGGTGCACCCACCTACTAGGCCTATAACCTCAGGGCTACTAAGCGTTTCCTCTCCCCCTCTCCCCCTCTATTCCCCTCCTCCTGCTCGCTACTCGCTACTCGTTATTGTTCCAACTCAGACCTCGATTTGTCCCTCTGTCAAGTTGTCGTCATGCCTTGCCCCTGTTTCGAGCTCCACTTGGATTGAGCACCCGTTTCCATCTCTTTTTGTCGTGAATCGAATTTGTGGCTGTGGCAGCGGCAGCAGCGGTCCAGTCGTACAGGTAGTCCACCAGTTTTAGTTCCCGCTGCCACCCTCAGGCTCTGCAGACTCCAGAACAAGACAATCTCTCTCTAGACTCCCAAACCTCTTCTGAATCCCGTAACTTGATCCTGCTCCCTACCAAGGATTTGCGCATCTCGTACTTTGCTTCATCCAAACCAGCCCCGTCGTCCCACCATCTCAATCAACCCACCGCACTGCATCTCACCACCACTGACTGACCTGTGACTTGCGCATCCTTCACATGGGCTCAGCTCGCCGTTCGACATGAACCTCAGCCTCCACGGCTTTTAGTCTGAGAAGATGCGAATTGGCTGCTCCGATGAGCACAGCGACACTCCAGCCGTCGCAGCAACAGCCGCCGCCGCGTGCTGCCTCTGCTCAAGGTCATAGACAATCATACCTGCGCACCAGCAACCCCAACAATGCGAGAAGCGCCTCTCACCCACATCCCAGCCGCCAATATGAGAAGGACCTGGTTCTCAAACAGGCCGATGTCTCCAAATCCAAAGACGTCCTGTCTCCAGAGGACATCTCCAAAAACCCCGAAGACAAACAGGTCGGTCGTTCCTCAAAACACCTCAAAGTGACCGACTTTGACTTGATGCGAACATTGGGCACCGGTAGGCTCCTCCCCTCCTCATCTGTCATTTTTACTAACCACGCCTCTGTCGTCGCAGGAACATTTGCCCGCGTGTGGCTATGTCGTTTTGCGAAGCCCCTCCCCCAAGACAGAGACAAAGTGTTTGCGCTCAAGGTGTTGAAAAAGGTCGATGTCATAAAATTGAAGCAAGTCGAGCACGTCCGCAATGAGAGAGACGTCCTGGCAGCGGTGGCAGGCCATCCTTTCATCACCACGTTGATTACCTCCTTCTCCGATGATACGTCGCTCTATATGCTGTTGGACTACACCCCAGGAGGAGAGATCTTTTCCTATCTCAGACGGGCGCGGCGATTTCCCTTTTCCACCGTGCAATTCTACGCCGCCGAGATCACCCTCATCTTGGCTTACCTCCATGAGGTCCAGTTTGTCGCCTATCGTGATTTGAAACCCGAGAACATCCTACTGGACGTGGACGGGCATTTGAAATTGGTGGACTTTGGTTTCGCCAAATACCTACCGCCGGGTCAACAAGAGCAGTCGCCCGGAGGAGCGAAACCCGAGAGCGAACATTTGGAGCCACAAGCAAGTGGTGCCGGAGTGACATACACCCTGTGTGGCACACCCGAATATCTCGCCCCCGAGGTCATTCGCAACACCGGGCACGGGACGGCGGTGGATTGGTGGGCACTCGGTATTCTGGTGTATGAGATGTTGATCGGACAGCCGCCGTTCTGGGATCAGAACCCCATGAGGATATATGAGCAGATTGTTGCTGGTCATATTCGCTTTCCCACCGCACATCCCTCTCACCACGGTCAACGACAGAGTCTCCATATCCCCCGAGCCGCACGAGATTTCATCCTCGCCCTCTGCAAGATCGACCCCACCCAGCGGCTTGGTCACATTGCAGGTGGTAGTAAACGAGTGATGGATCATTATTTCTTTGACGGGATCGACTGGGATGAGATATATTACCGGAGAAGAAGAGGTCCCATTATTCCCCGCGTGGAATGGGTAGGCGACGCCGGGAACTTTGATGAATACCCGGACCCGGTCGAAGGGGAGGAAAGTGAGGGTGGGAGAGGACGATATACCGACGAATTACGCGATGAGTGGGAGGAGGCTTTTGCGTCGTTCTAGGTCATGGACGACAACGGGACGAAGATGTTTGGCTACTGGGCACAGCCTGAACCTATGGATGGATATGATATGGTTGCATCGACTAATCAACTAGACGTCATTTACAAAGTGGTACGCTACTGTCATGTTTGTGATTTCAAACAAGCTATGGAAATATGGTTGAGATTTAAGATACCACAAGGGGAATATGGAGGAACAGAGTCATGATGAATTCAAGTCAAAGATAAAGGTAGCCGTATGCCGGCATGAGGTATATCGTTTGAGGAGCACAGTCAGCACTGAATCTGAATGAAGTTGTTAAAATCCATGTATCACGAGAGAGCAGACGGTCTGGTCGTTCACATGGCTTGTTTGATCTACGAACCATAATATTTGGGAATATATTTGCGGGGAAGTGTCGACCAGGAACCGACCATGGCGACCACCAGCTTGACCAACCTGTCCCAAGAGTGATCAGATTGAGAAATTGATCTTCTAAAAAATAGCCTTGGTGACCATAACGAGCATCAGCGAACAACTACATCACTCCGCAACAACTCCTGCTGTCCCCTTGTGACCATTGCAAGTGATGTCTTGAATGTTTGCTGGGACTCCACTCCGCTCCTTCTCCAAAAGGCTACCATGACATAGCACCTGCCTGCAACTGCCACTGTAACTGCACCTCCCCATCCAACTCGTCTCAATAAGATTTCTCCGCCATTCCACCTTCATCAGAGCCGCCCCCTATACCATCTCGATTGATCCCAAGGTATTCCGGTCCTGCCGACTCTTATAACCATGGCTGGCGCGCAGCCTACCCCAGACCAGTTGTCTCAGGTCTGTGGCATCACACAGGTGGATGAATCAAGTGCCAGAGTTCTGCTTCGGGTGAGAAACATGACCAGTCCCGTTTCCGGGACCATACAGACTAATACGTGCATCTCTTGCTTTAGAAAAATAACAACGATCCCAATGCCGCCGTCAACGCCTACTTTGAAGATCCAGTGGGCTCCCTGCGAGAGGCTGTAAGTGACCCTTAGAGAAGGACGTTCCCGTTGAGGGGTTGGGTATTGATCCATGTGTTGTAGCCTCTTGCGAGTCAATGGGACAATTACACGGACAGCATGCCATGTAAGCTGATGGACCGTCGTTAAGCCGTTTGCAATTTGTGACACTGATGTTGACTTGGAGCCTTTAACATAGTCGCCGACGATGCCAGCATGGGCGCAGCCCCTCCCATGTCTCGCCCGCCCTCCAGGGTCGACAACTCTAGACCGAGGATCGATTACTCAAACAATCATGCCGCAGGTACGTTGACACCACTGTATTCAAAAGAAGGGCTATACTGATGGGCAAACTAGCCATGGCCAGCACCGGTTTGAGCCTTAGGGAACAAGAAGAACTGGAAGACCCCAACATTCAACGTGCCATCACCGAGTCTATGCGGTCCACTCTACCGGCCCAGGAGAACGGTATCACTGGTGCCGGTTCCCATTTTGGGCCGGCGAAACGTGACTACTATGAGCCGAACAACTGGGCGCTCACCACCTTTGCTTCCTCCCGAGAGATCATCGATCATCCTCCACCGACCAAGAGGCGTCGTTTGGACGACGAACCTGCTTTCCTCCGGGGCTCGAAAGAGACGGACTATTTGGCTCCACTCCTCACCATATATCACTCGATCCCTCTGGCACGAGAGGCTCTACTGGCGCGAACACTCAAGGTCCATACCTACGGTCACGATGCAAGCTGGTGGGCGGGATCCACTGACGAGAACACCAAGGCCTTATCCATGGACAACGATATCGAACTTGATCGTGAAGACTGCAACCTCTTGACAGAGGTGCAGTGTTTGATGGCCTTTCTGGACGCCACCAACCGTGCGTATGGCAGTGTGGATGCGTTGGCTGATCTTCAAGCCATTCGTAGCTCTCATACCAGTGGTGATTATTATGTCCGATTCCTGACCGCCTGGGCGTCGGCTGCCGTTCGTCACGCACCTCAGTCCTCAGTCGCTGAAGTGTTCGTTTCCGTCGCGGCCAAGGATTCTGCGGAACTCGTCGAACCCGAATTGAAGCCTCTCAAGTGCGTCGAGGCGCCCGTGAACAGAGTCCCTGGTGAGACCTTGGTCGATTTGCTCGATTTGACCGTCTGGGACGATGAACCCAACAACATCGATGATGTGTGGTTCGATCAAGTTGCCGAGGTGTTTACCGTCCGAATCTTTGATCCGGCCCAGGGCAAACACGGCCCTCTGGAGCTGAGCCTGGACCCTGTCTGGTACCCCGACCGATATATGATCGAGTGCAAAGATGCCACCCAAGAAATACGCAAACAGAGGCAATTGCTTCTGAGAGAGATCGCACAATGCACCAACATCCAGCATCGATGTGAGATGCTCAAACTACCAGACAATAGGGTCCTCATGTTACGTGACGTCCTTGACGCTGCTGCTCAGGCATCTGTGGAGGCGGTCGGAAACAGATCATCCACCACACGCCTCACAGATGATCAACTAGAGCAGCCCGATATTGAAGGAGTCGAGTTGGAGTTGCGTCGCATCATCGATCGCATCGATCAGAAAAGACAGTTGCTCGAGGATCGAAAGAGTGATCTACGTGCGAAGATGAAGGAAATTGCACGGCAACTGACTCGCCCAACTGCAGATAGCCCCAACCTCCCGCATCACAAATACACACTTCAAGGAGTGTCAACCAAGCCTAACGTCACCTACCTGCGCCGCCCCAACACTGATTTGCTCCTGGAGGACGATGAAGGAGGTTCCGACAGTTCCCAGGGGCAATGGTGGAGGATGGCCTGGGTTCAGGATGAGGTTCAAGCCCAGCAACAGAGCCAGCAAGCGAATGCTCCAACCATGGGACCTCTTACTCAAGCCCAGGCCGTAGCATCCACGAAGAACCTTGGCTTCACGGCAGGGTTGAGCTTTGACAATCTGACCAAGTCCAAGGCGCCAGACCTGGATGTCCCCAAACCGTATACCATTCAAAAGGTCACAGAGGAAGAAGTTCTGCTTGCGGTCAAGAAGGAGCACAGCTCGGTTCTACTGGTTTATGCCAGCGAGGATGCTCTTACCTATGAAGGAGGCGAGTTGAGCATGCCATTGAGACATTTTGTGGATCGCGACAATCGAGCATTCGCGGAGGAATTACATGCCGGAAATGAGCCAGATCAGGACATCTTGGATGACCGAGATAACGAGATCGAATTCGAAGATGTGCCTTTGATCGACCCCAATGGATCCAGCAGCTCGGCGCGAGAATTGACACCAATGTCGACGTCGAGCCCTGGCCGGGATGAGGACGGGCAGGCGTCACCGAAGCGATTGAGAGGAGAGAATCTCTTGAACATATCCGACCAACTACCCTCGTACGATGAAAGCACGGGGAAGCAGGAAATGCAGGAGAAGAAAGGCAACAAGATCGGTTTCCACGCGGAGCAGATGCTTCAAAAGTACGGAGACGAGGCTGACGCCGAGTCGTCTGACGAGCAGTACGAAAAGGCCTACTTCATGCACGTTGAGAATGATCATTAGAGTTAGTAAGACGCGACTGCAGAGCGAGGTGCGCCTGCCGGCGTGATTGGCAGTATCGAGTGACTGAGCCGTTGCAGATTTGGAGTCGACCAGGAAGAATATCGTGCTTTGGGCATTGGGACCTGATATCAAACCGACCCCCCAAAGACTTTGTCACCACTTTGGTAAGAACTGTTCCCGGGCTCGAAGTTCAGTTCATTTGGTCAGCTGTGGTGGTGTACGCGGGGAGAGCGCGTGGGGGCGAACGATAGGCCTGAAGGACCAGCCTACACCCTGGTGCTTTGCGACAAAAGCCGTTGCTTTTCCGGCCTCTCGAGCTCGGGGCACATCTTTCGGCCTGTGGGCTCTCAGTCGGGTCGGCGAAAGCTTCGTTTGGCTTGCCTTTCCCAAAGCTTTTCCACGTACGGATTAGCATTGATCCCCCGACACCTCAGATCCCAGGTCTACGGATATGCAGAGAGTGACATCCGTCAACCTATCGTGTGAAGCATCCCGTACTCGCCTCCGTGGAGAGACACCCTTTCAACCCAGCTGCTGGAGGGTTTTCCAGGCATAATAATCAACTCTACTCCTACTTTCCGAAAGTCTGGAACACTTGATTTCGACGGACCCAGATAGCACAACTCGCTGAGGAATCAAGCCCACGGAGCTCTTTCTCAGATATATTTGCTTTTAGGTAGAAACACAGCACACCGCTAGTCTGGGGCACCCGCCCTCGCCGCCGCGCCTGGATTTGACGAGATGAGCTTGGAGTCTCTGGCGCTGACTGGCCAGATTACTTGGGGACAATGCCGCTAAATGCTGCAGAAAACATCCTGGGCTTCACCTTGCTTCCCTACTACTCGTAACTTCGGTTCAACTCCGCAACCATGCTGGAGTGTGGAAGAAGTCTTGGTAGCGAGTAGTTACCGAGTATATCGAGTAGAGTGGTGGTGGTGGAGGACGGTCTGGCAGGAATCTTGTTTCCGACGATGCTTGCATCCTGAATACAGGCATTGTTGCGGACTAGCCATCGAAGGCATTGACCAATGGGAATTGCGAGGAAAACGGCAGTGCAGTTTCTGACAGCTATTGGGAATGCCGTCGAGACGTTTTGAGGACTAGATAGCACAGTGCACCCGCTCAACACTTGAAGGATGGCCCAGTCAACTTGCGACAACGGCAGGGAGCTGAATGGAAAATTGTGGGTCGAGGTAGATATACGAAGCATTGAAGCTGCAAGCGGGTACTAAGCCAGTTAGTTCCTCACTGGCATTATCCGTCAAACAGGTTCGGCTTATTCGAACGAAAGCTAATAAGTTCACCTGGGTTCGAAGTTTCACATTCGAGGCATCATTGGTGGACAGGGGAAACGTGCTTGAACAGGGCTCCTGATCCCTTTGATCAAGAAGTCATCTTTCTGAAAATGGATGGATCCGCTGGTTGTCGCACTTCTGTATTCGTAGATCCCTTTTTCCTGATGAGGTCAGGAGCGAGAAACAAAGTACAGTTCTTGAGGCAGACATGGCTCTCGAGACTCGAGACTCGAGAGCACCCCTCCAACTGAAAAAACCCCAGGCTGATGGCAAGGGTTGTTCGATAAGGATCAACCACATGAACCGGGGGGTTGAGGAGCGAGTTTCGAAATGTCGTGACTGGACTGGGCTGCATCTGGGCAGTCTGTTGGGTGTGGGCAGCAAAACGGCAGACATGGGATTGACTGTCGGTATGCTTGAACCGCTGATACGCTTATCATTCTGAATCCCTTTACGAGTACTTATGCTGGGCCGAGGGCTGCTATCCGTCCAGTCCACTCGTTAGCATGGTTAGGGCGACCCCGAGAGAGAGCAGCAGCTCATGCTGCGATGGCGATCTTCATGGCCCAGCAGCCTTATTTCAACCGTCGCATGCCCGCGTCCGCCCATCATCGATTCCGATTGTTCTCCCGGGAGGGAGGGTAGCCCACTCTGGCTGGCACCGCGGCCCTTGGGGCCTGCAGGCCCCCAGGCAAGGAAAACTAAGGTTCTGGCACTTTGAAGCTAGCCCATTGCCTTTGTGCCTAATAAGCCTGGGCCGAGGGCGCCTCGGGCTAGCAGTGGGTGCATCCTATCGCTAGTTGGGGCTTCGGCCCTCTATCAGCCTCTCACAGGAAAGAACAATGTCCCCGCCTGCTTCAACCACCCCCCTCCCCAACAGTCCACGGGGTGGGGGGTGTGTAAGAACTGTGCAGTGTGTACTTACGGACAGTCAAGGCATGGGCGCGGCCAGTTACTCCTGGCAAGCGTGGGCATGGGCTTTTGGGGCCGATCTGACGGGCTCTTGCTCAATTCTCATCACCTCTGGCGTGCGCTGCTCGGCTGTCAGTTGGTCACTACTGCTGCAATATGTCAAGATGTTTATTGATCGGTCAAGGTCTTGTTGATGGTTCCTACCCAGATTGTCGACAGTGTGCGTTGAAGGGGAGAGAGGACAGTTCATGGTCGAGTTCGATGGCTTATATATATCACAACAACCAAGGCCATTATACTTCTTCGCATTCAAGTTGGTCAGTCCACATGTTATCATATCACCACTGCATCAGCTACCATCTCATCTCGACTGCTTCGGACTATTCCACAAACCCTAGTCTACTGCGCCGCCACGCCTTGCATTCTAGCCAGGCACTGGTGGTTTGGCTCCCGAATCTCGAACTCGTCCCAAGCAGACAAGCCCCCTCCCCTCCCACTTCAAATCTTCAATCTTTATCCGGGAGGCTTCTCCATCCTTTCTTTCTTCACGGACATCCCACGGTTTATTCTGACAGGACACTCCCAAATTCGGGCATGTTGCCATGTGCCTTGTGATGGAGAAACACGCGACTGTGAAAAGAACGTTCCTCGGGTTCAAGTCCAGTGTCCACCATTATTAAACACTCCCCAAAGTATCTTTGGCTTTAGCCCACCTCTACCCATCATTGGTGAACGGTGCAGACAGCACCCCTCTCTTGGAGTTCCTGATCAAGTACAGGTCCTGTCCATTCATGCCGCCTGTTTAGTGCCTGGACGTTCGCACTCCACCATCCGGTCGCCGCGCAATCGCGATTTGTATCTGACCCTGCCTACCCTACGCCTCCAGCTTGGTGCTTGGGCCCGCCTGCAAGCCACAACCTGCCCGGATTGGCGCGATTGATCATCCTCGCACATTGCCAAACACGGGCCCCCGTCCGGCTTTATCAGGTCAACACCAGACTAACCTTGACGGAGACTTGAGTATCAACTGGGCTTGCCCGCTGCCCGCTGCCCACTGGCTACTCGGACTCGCCATTCGTCGCCGCCAGAATCTTCCGCATCCTCTCGACTCTCGAGTCCCTCTATCCCACTCTTTGGCCCTGAACGAACCTGCCTTGGGTCATTCGTGCCTGCCTTGGGTACTTTTTTCGCGTGAACGATCGACTCTCAACACCCTCTCTTCCATCCGTTTTCCACCACGCCTTCTATCACCTTGAACCATTCCATTGTCGCATCGCCTTTTGCGACGGCACCTATTCCGTGGTCCTTGCATGGTTGTTACTTGCTGCAATCTGGTGGTCAGTGGTCGCACTGATTTCTCGCGTCGCTTACTACGAGTATCACTTTGTCACCATCCACGCCTTACTGGTGGAGACAGACTTGTCGGGGTGGCTGCTTCAGGTACCTGGCAACTTTTTTATTGAAATCAACCACTTCTTCAACCACCTTCTTCGCCCAACATTTGGTGTGGTTTCGGATCACGGATATCACTACACTGGCGGCCTCGACGTTTCAGAATTAAAGTATCATCTTGAACGGTCTTGTCGGAGTCTTGCGTCGATACCCAGCTCGCAATTGCCGCTTTCCCTACTATGATCATTGTCAACTACACGCATCTACATCATCTCATCTGATTCAGAGCCTTCTAGGGTCAGGGTGCCCGAGGGTGTTTCTGTGTGTAGCACGTTTGCTGATCTTGCATTTGCAAAGGGTGGAAGTTTGAGTCCCCTTTCGTCTTATCTGAAACCACAGATACCCAGGGAACCATCACCATCAAGGGCCGTTTTGGAATTGCGATTGTGAAAGACAGAGGCAAGCCTGGGATCATCGTGACCTACGAAGACCTGCCGGCCCCCAGCATTATGAGCGCAATCGCTTTCAGTCCATTAGAGGGTCGACTGCATCCCACATTATCCAACCAATATCCACCATCATCGACTTCAATACCATTTGAATCGGTGTCGGCTGATCGACGCATGTCTTCGGCCAACGAAACCACCATGGCCTTCCCAACTGTCTTGTTGCGACGCCTCCCCCGAAATACGACCGCCGAGGCAGTTCGAACCATGTTGTTGTTCGCCAAAGATCTCCACGACACCGAGATTGTCCCCACCGAGTACGAAGAGGATTCCGGCTTCACCACTGCCATTGCTCGATTTGTGTCTCTGACCGGCGCCGCAGAGGCACAGGCCCTGCTGAACGGGAAGCAGAATACGGCCGGGCAGGCGAAGATGATCGTGGACGTGATCGCCGGCCCTCCCATTTCATCAGCGCCCCGACGCAACACCATCGACCCTCTGGCAAATCGAAAGCTCGCCCAGTCCGTATCGCCTCTTCTGGCGAATGCTCAGAAATCCTCTCGCTTCAATGGAACCTTTCAGTCGCTTGAAAAGACCTCTCCTCCTTTGCTTGCGTCGCCTCCAGATCATCCATCATCCGAACCCAATTCACATCTGCAGACCATCTTCTCCCCTCAGTCACCTGGCAACAACGCAGTGGCCGATCGGTCTCGCACCAGTGGTAAGCAGGTCATTGATGAAGACGGGGGTGACGATGATACGAGAGAATTCCTGAAAGACCCTCTGGCTTTTATGAACAGCTCTGCGGGTCGAGGGCCTGGTCCGGGTCGCAAGGGACCCAACGGACGACTTCCGACCGCAGCGTTTTCTGCATTGTCGTTGAACACCAGTATGAGCAATGGCGGAGCGAAGAACTTTGCGGCTCCACGGTCTGCGGTACAGGGTAGAAGTAACCACAACCAGTTCTCGCCGAATTCCGCACCCAATGGACCGTACTCTGCGGCAGGTTCATCCTACGTCCGACATAACTATCCTCCAGTCAACCCTGCGGATCAGAATCCGCCGTGCAACACCCTTTACGTGGGCAACCTTCCTATCGACACGTCGGAAGATGAATTGAAGGCCATGTTCTCGAAGCAACGTGGTTACAAAAGGCTCTGCTTTCGGACGAAACAAAATGGACCCATGTGTTTCGTGGAGTTTGAAGACATATCGTTCGCGACCAAGGCGTTGAATGAATTGTATGGTGCGCAGCTGCACAACAGTGTGAAAGGAGGGATTCGATTGAGTTTCTCCAAGAATCCCTTGGGCGTTCGAGCCGGTCAACCAGGCAGTGCCAATCCTGTCACGCCATTGAGTGCTGCGGGACCAGTCGGCATCAATGGCTTCTCCAATGCTGGCTCTCCAGGCAACTATGCGTCGACCAGTGGACCGCCACCTGGATTGTCCATGCCACCTGGACTCCATGCGGCTCTGAATGGAGTTGGGCCCGGTCCAGGACAGGGACCGGTCCCGAGTGGGCAATTCATCAACCAAGGCATGGGCATGCGTGGAATACCTCTAAATCATGGGCCTGGTGGGCCTTCGGCCGGAGGTAATTATCCTGATTACATGCTTGGTTGGTAAAGATTGACGAGGACAAGACTGGTTGTCATGTCGGACATGGAGACGAAGTTAATGGCACTCGGAAAGCAGACGAGTGCATCACATCTCGGTATATATGTCTATGTTTCATTTTGCGATTCTCCCCATTAGTTCATGAGACGGGATCGATAAATCACGAGCGGCACATTGAACTCATCGATGGGAGTTGAGATGGGTTGTCCTCGGATGAACGAGGGACCGGTCCTTGATGACATTGGGTTTCATGGGCAGTCATTGCGTTGCATTTTTGGGGGCCGCCTTGGTGTCTTTTTTTTCTTTCGGGTTTCTCTTTTCCTTTGGCTTGATCACATTCCAGCACGAGATTCCCCATTCAGCAAGCAAACGAGTCAGGGCAGCACAGGGGTCTGAGGGAGGGTCACATTTTACCACAAATGCGACTTTTTCGCTTCATGGTAGGAGGCGTTTGTGTTTTGGATTTTCCCTCTTTTTTTCATGACAACATTTGCGAGCAGTCAGTCAATCAACAGAACTTGAGAGGGACAGTCGCCGTGTGTATCGCGTCGTGGTGTTGATGAGAATTTGGGAGGAAACAGGACCATGGGCATGATACGTGGCAGGGGGGCGGCGGATGAGTCGATGGGTTGCGGAGAGCCAGGCCAACAAGGCCTTGAGTGATTCTGGGGCTGCGGGTCGGAATCAAGAACTCTGAGAGGTCATTTCTTTGCACACATTTGCACCCAGCCGGAATTTTTACAGTCTATCACATTACACCAGTCAGTCATTATCGGAAGTTATTGAAGCTCTTTGACGAGGTTTGGGTTTAGGTTTGGGCTTGAGATGGGCTGGCGTCTCATCACATGCCAGAGGCAGAGCAAGAAGACAGCGTTTGCATGATACTTGGTATCGGTACATTGAGACGTCCAGGCATGAAAGGGAATGGAATGGATTGGATTGGTGGTGGATTTGACACGTGACACCGGATATTGGACAGGCAGGGACGAATAGGTATCATCATCAACATCATCATTTCGTTTAGAGCGATATGGATTATGGAATGTGGACTTTGTTGCATCTATCTACAGTGCCTGTATTTCATTGATTATTCTCCTGTGTAGATTGAGTGTGAGAGAGTGTGAATGTGTCATCCACATGGAGATAAACACGCGTCTCCAGATATGGATCCCTAAGTACCCAGGTATCTATAAAATCATCCAGTCAGCAACGCCCAGCCGGAGACTCATGGTACAGTCAGCAACTTTGAAGATGAAATGGGAGTCGGCCGTGCGTGGCCCGACCGTGGAAGGCTCCGGGCAATAAACAAATACAATCCATCACAACCATGATTTTTAAAATTACTGGCACCTGGATAAATGAGCGCGAGCCGCGCGACGGGGGTGGGAAACTGGGATATGGGAAATGGGAAACCTTGAATGTGGTGGGAGAAATGCGTACTTGAGGATTCAAGATTACCGAGCGCGGTTTCGAAAAGTGGATTTTGCTTTAGGCGGAATACGGAGTACTTTGGCTACTGCTTCCCGGGAGATATCTCCGTCCAGAGGGGAGAGGAGAGAGGAGAGAAATAGACAGGTGAGCGAGCAAGGGAGGACGAAGACGAGGATGAAGCCGGGCAACTTCCATGGCACGACCTGTTCGTGGAGTTGGAGCAGACAGAGCTGTGGATTGGTGAAACAAGTAAATCAATGCCCATTCCTGGTATATAACAAGCTGCTAATGGGCTTCGATTGGTGATGGATGGCGGAGCCTGGGGGTTTTGCTTTAGCCCTAGCCCGCGAGTCAGACTTGCTGCAACCGCTCGGATGGTCGGGGGCTTCTTGACGGGGCCTCGGGTGGTCGAGACTCGTTATTATTGAGCAGTTACTCGCAATGCTGGTTTAGCTACCGTCCATACCAGACTTTCCTGTTTGTCCTGTACGTGTTTGCTGTCACTACTAACTATAATTGAATAGGATTGTTTGGGGATGGTCTTTTCCCGTTGCCAATTGGTTCTGTAGATACTTCTGCACCTTGTTCTTCCTATCAGATAGTCGGCTTCGAGAAAAAATGGACTCGTCTCGTACTCTTCTTGGGGCCACTACTGGCACGGGCGGCCAACAGGTCGAAACTAAACTTTTGACTCCTAGCTATTTACTCATGTACCATTACTGTATACCAACTTGCATTTTAAACTCCCTTTTCTTAATCCATGGTAGAAAGCCTGGACCCTTTCCTCTTGATCCCTCTTGTTGTTGTGGCCTTGAGTATCTGTCTCTTCCTCCATCCGGCAGACACTGCCCAAGCAGACACCCCCTATGGCATCCCTCTAGGCATGCCCTCAACCAGCCGATCCCGTCCGCGCATCCCTCTATTCCGAAGTCTCAGTAGCAGCACCGCCAAAGAAAAGGAACGCGACAGCGACGACAGACGAGGACAAGACTCCCCCAAGCCGACTCAAAGTCCTCTCGGTGGCCTGGGTTTTAGTCTGCCTACTCTCTCCACCCTGGCAAATCTCAACCTTCACCGTCGTGGTCGTAGCAAATCCACCACCAAGAGATCCAGTCTCGACTCGCGCTGGAAGTCGGGCGATCCTGATCTCGATCGTGATTCAGAACGTGACCGTCGAGTCGGACATGTCAACCATCAACATGTGCCAGGAGCGGAGATAGAGACCGGAGCAGAGCATCATCATGACCCTCTGCCCAATTCAAACTTGAAGCCTCCCTCCTCACCATCGACGTCGCCTATTCTACCTGAATCCAACACCCACGTTCCGACCACCAGTGGTAGTGGCACTAGTAATACTGCCGCTGCTAGTCCTTCCACCCTTTCTTCTGCACAAGCCACACCTTTACCGACACCGACACCTACCACACCTACACCTCCAACTACCACTCCAGCTTTTCCCACACCCTCCGAATCTGCCTCAACTCCCGCCTCCTCCGCCTGCGCCGACTCCAATATTTCTTCCACCACTGCCATTCGCCACTCGACCCAACTCTCAACCACCACCACCGACACCATCGCTTCATCAACACCTCCCCCTCCACCTCCTCCACTCCTCGTCGTCCAACGTCCCTCCACTCCCAACGTCCCCGTCATCTCTCAGCCGGGTCCCGACAGTCATGAAAGTCTTCCAGCAATGTTCAGAAAGATATGGGTGAAACGACCCGGTGCCTCGCCCACGAGAGTTGAAGTCCCCGAAGACGACCTCATCGACAGTGTTCGAGATGTCATCCTTCGCAAATATGCCAATTCCCTCGGTCGCAGCATCGATTCTCCCGACATCACCCTCAAGATCGTCAGTCGCGAGCCCGCCAATAAAAACATCACCACCGAGCGCACTCTCGGTCCCGAAGAGCCCATAGGAAAAACCCTCGATGCATATTACCCGGGTGGGCAAACCGTCGAGGAAGCTCTTCTCATCGATGTTCCTTCCCGTCGCACTCCGCGTGCTTCCCCTCGAGCTGGAAATCATCAAATTTCCTACTATTATCCCGATCAATACCGCCCGCCCGACGATGCCCGTGAATACTTCCCTCCCATGCCGGTCCATTCACCCCATCTGGCCCACGTACAGCATCAAGCTACTCTTCCTCATGCCATGTCTGTCTTGACCACGGGCCAGTTACCGCCCTTACCGAGTCCCGGTTCACATGGTTCGCGGAGACATGGGAATCGACCAGTGTACAGAAGGCAGCATACGAGTAGTCCGACCATCATGCACACCGTTCAGCCCAATGGGCAGGTCATAGGTTCGTCGAGTTGAATTTCATTTTCTCGTGACCATCACACTGACCTTTTCTATCAGAAACAAAATCCCAACTCGCTGGACCCGCCCCTTCCGCACCACCTCTGCCCACCCCGCCTGCTCAACCAAACGACCATCCCTCCACGCTCACTCCTCCCAATCGAGTCGGTTCTCCACATCCAGGCCAGAAGCCGAAGAAGAAGAAGAACGCCAATGTCGCCCGTTCCGCCAATGGTGATCCCACCTTGTCTTCCAAGCCGAACCCCGCCATGTTGCTGGACAACTCGGTCCCACCCATCAACGTCTTGCTCGTCGAAGACAACGTCATCAATCTGAAGTTGTTGGAAGCCTTCATGAAGAGACTGAAAGTCCGATGGAAGTCTGCCATGAACGGCAAGGAAGCCGTCACCATGTGGCGGACCGGCGGGTTCCATTTGGTCCTGATGGACATTCAATTGCCCGTCATGAACGGATTGGAAGCGACCAAGGAGATCCGTCGGCTCGAAGCCGTCAACGGCATCGGTGTCTTTGGTGGAAGTCCCATTGAGGACGGTCTGAAAATCGCCCCCAAAACCAACGGTCCCGTCAGCGAGGCCGATGCGTTGCCAGATCGAAATCTGTTCAAAAGCCCCGTCATCATCGTCGCCTTGACCGCCAGCAGTTTACAGAGTGATCGACATGAAGCGTTGGCGGCGGGGTGTAACGACTTCTTGACAAAGGTGAGTCGTGTTGATGTTCTGGCACATCGATTCTGAAAGCTTTTCTAACGTGTCCCAATCTCCACAGCCCGTCAACTTCGTCTGGATGGAACGCAAAGTCACCGAATGGGGCTGCATGCAAGCGCTGATCGACTACGACGGCTGGCGGAAGTGGAAACAGTATGCGCAGGAAAAGGCCAAAGAAGACCCGGCCAAGAAAGCCGCCGAAGAGAAGGAAGAAAAGGCAAAGGCCAAAGCGGCACTCAAGGCCTTCATGGCGCGACCTCCTCCCGCTGTGAAGAAAGACTCGACGGGTTCAGGCGCAGGTTCCAACAGCACATCGTCCGCGACCATCGAACGCTCCGCCACACCGACTCAGAATGGGTCCGTCAAGAAGAGCGGCGGTTCCGGTGTGGAGGGCTCTGATAAGAAGCCGCGCAGCCACAAGAGCTCGCGGAGCACCGCCAGCATCAGCACGGCCGCGGGTAATCTCGAGTCGATGGCTGAGGAGGACGAGAAGGCTTCTTGACTTGGCGATCATGTTCCCTTGGTTCGAAAATAAGTCTTAACGGATGATTGTTTGGACTTTGCGCAAGTCCGGAAAAGGAAGCGAGAATCCTGCTTTCCCTCCCCTCTTTCATCTCGATCATGGTCTCCACACGGAATAGTTCACACACCCCTTTTCCGTCGATGAGTGAGAATGTGCTACACCACCGAGTCATCCCAAGACTCGGTATGACGGCGCGTCATATCCTGTCATATCACATCACACATGAGGAAACGACATCGAGAGCGAGAGCGAGACCGGAGAGCAAAGAACACGTGTATGTCCAAACCTGTGATTGTGACTGTGAGCGTTTGGCGGTTGTATATATCAAGGAAGGGCCCCCTTATCCCCTGTCCTGTCCTACTGTCCTGTTTCATATTACTCTAGTATTGTGTATTGTGCAGGTTGGATCTTTTTTGGGGGAGCATTGTTTCCATCATGACGGCAGACGGGCAGGGCAATAAACGAGCGGCCCCCCTTCTCTCTTGTGGTTTTTCTTGTCTTGCTTTTCTTTTTTTCCCTTCTCTGTTCCCGTCTACTCTGAGCCATCTATCTGCTCAGGGCAGGGCAGGGCAGGGCAGGCAGGGCTAGACTACTCTGGTCAAAAAAAATTCCATGGCCAGATATCAGTTATCAAATACATATCAAACATTATCCTCCTCCTGCTCTTCCTCCTCCCCTTCCCCCCCAAAGTCAACATCTCCCTCAAGCCTCTTACCAGAACTATCTAGACATCTTTGATTCTCTTTTTCTCTTCGGCATATGATGTATATATCTTCTGCCATACTGTATATATGTATGTTTGTATGCATGTAGTAAGTAAACTGCCATCCGTTGGTCAAATCAAGTCCGATTCGCGAATCCTCCATCCAGTCGGAAAGTCTTTCTTCATCCAGTTTTTTGCTCCCCTCTCCCTCTCCCCTTCACTCGATGCGATCCAACCCACCGCCACCGATGCATGTGGGGTTTTTGGAAGAGTGAAGCGGAAGGGAAAATGTGTATTACATTCAAAACACCTAGGTCGAGAGGTCTATCGGTCGAGGGGAACGTGAACCTCTTCTACTGCAACTGGCACCAAACGGGCTGGGCCCTGCAGGTCGTGAAGAACAAGCATGGACCATAACCGAGACATCGTGCGTGGATCTTGAAGGTGGGATCTGAAGGTGGAATTGGAATTGGAATTGGAATCTTCTCTCTCTCGTTCTCTCGCTTGCTCTCATTTGCTCATTGGACTCACGCTCATACTCACTCGCTTCGTTTCGTTCACAGCTCGCCCATGTTCACACACGCTTACTCACAGCTCGCTCATCCACGCTGACTCGCTTTCTCTCTCTTAAAACGTACAAAGTACAATCCTCTGGAAACTAGAGTTCTAATCCACAAACGTGGGACGCTGTGGCGCACCCAGGCCATGGCCAGGTCTCTCATGGTCGCGCTTTCATCCACTCCGCGGCCGGGCTTGGCCCAAACCCATCTGAAAACTTGGCTCGCAGCTGCCTCTCAAAGCACTTTGCAGGTACAGCGTGATATGGATCATTTCCGTGACCTCGTTTCCTCCCGTGTTCTCACTGTTATGTGCATGCCCATGCCTACACAGTATGCCACCATGAAGTTCGAGTTCATGTGCATCATATCATGTATCTGGTTGGTTTACAACGTCAACTCCGACATTGTAAGCCCTCCATTTTGTATGAGTCTCCGATTTTGACCCCAGGTGGAAATACGAGTGAGTCTATCATCTTTTTTGAAGTCCTAAATTGTGGCGGCCACAGATGTGGTTTGGTATATGTTGGAGATTTTCGTCGTTCACGGTGGGGCCATCTGCCAAAAATCAAGACTGGCTATCACATCTTCTCCTGCATCATCTTCGTATGCATATAGAATCTGAAGCCATGTCAGTAGAGCGCCAACAATAGAGTTCCACGGGTCAACTTACTTCTCTCGTACTTGAATGTAACATTCTCACATTCTTACCGGTCATCACATGGATCAACTCACTGGTCTCGATGTGTCGAATCTCGATGAAACTGGGCTCAAATGCGAGGATATAAGGATAGTTCAGAGCAAAGGCTTGTGGTGTTCCCTCCCAGGTGATTTTCCAATCTTGTCTCGCACGCCAGCCATTGCGGTTGACAAAGAAACTGAAATCCGAGTAGTTGAGAAGGAATTCGCCGTTCAAGCGTTCGATATGGATCGGCTTGACGTTTTCTCGCCGCGTCACAAAATCCAGTGACGTGTCGGCCTGATCCAGTAAGGACTGTCGTTCCGTGGTTTCCAGCGAGACCACCTCGAAACCCCTGGCACATCCCACACACAGGGTCGAACGGAGATAATGCACCGACGTGGATTCGGCGGGGATATAAAATTCCTAGACGGGGTCAGTCAACATCGCAACCATTCGGAACGTTCTTCTCCTTACCTTGAAAGGTTTGAGCGCGTCCTGCCCACTGGTAAACATCTTGCTGAGGGCGGGCTTTTTCTTCCCCTTGGTCAGGTCGTCCATGGGTTCGTATACTTTGATGGTCGTCGACAAGGCGGACGTCTTGACCGAACAGACCAAGTGCCGTCCCAGGCCGATGCCGGCCTTGAAGAAATTGGCGTGGCCTTGAATCTTCCGCGGTCGCGTCGCCAAGGGATTTTGATTGTTGGGGTCCAGTGCTTCAAAGGGATACGACGTGAGGGTCTTGTTGGAGAGAACCAACAACAGGCGATATTCTTCGAGGGTGTCTATTTGAGAAACTTGGGCCGCCTCGAGGATCCTCCTGGGTTTGACGGTCTTGTCCTTTGGCCAACGGTCGGCGATATAGACGCCGCTGTCGGTGCCGTAGATGAGTTTTCGACCGCCGTCGGTCGGGACCAGACAGTTGACGCGATTTTGAGCATTGAAAAAACGCTCACAGAGGATGGTCTTTGTGTAAAAGTTGCTGCTCCTTTCTCTCAACTTACTCTGCTGTGCCTCGACCAGCTCGATGAATTTCTTCCTCTGCGTGACGGAAGTGGCGTACAGTTGCAACTCGTAGGCCCCCTTGCCGAGATGGCGAAACGTCACCGGGTAGATGTCTTTTTGACCCGGTGTGTTGGAGGCGGACGGCTTGGGTATCAGACTCGACGACGTGCGTTTGGCGATTCCCAGGCGAGGTATGACTTGATCCATTTCCGCAATCACGAGGAGTTCCAAGGGGATAGGTTTGCGGTAGACTCGGAGTTCCTCTCTCTTGTTGACCGTCTTGACCCGACACATCAAGACGGCATGATCAAACAAGTAGACCTGGACCTCGGAGTTGTCGGTCGGACTCTTTTTGAAACTCATCTTGGTCAGGATGACCCGATTCTCCTCGGTCAATTTCAAATCGGTGTACTCTCCCGCATTCCACTTGAGTTGTTGGTTGAGTTGGATCAGGTTGAAATGGTTCTCCGCCTTGCCACTCTCGGCGTTGACGCGGGCGAGGAAATCTTTGATGATGGCGATGGCCTTGGGGATGTCCTTCTTGTCCGGGTTGTCATCCTTGGTGTACTTGAGGACGTTGTCCAGCAGCAAAGGATAACGAGCCAGGCGCGTGGTGGGCTTGGTCAGATACCCGTTCAACTCCAATTTTCTCGACTCTTTCAATCTCTCGGTCTCGTCCACGAAACGGGAGAAGACGGGATTCCCACTCTTTTCCTTTTCGAATTCGTATTTGCCATACATTTGATTGGCGCCGTACTTGATAAAGGGGTCGAATTGGGGGGCCCATTTGAGGAACACGTCACCGATGCTGTGGACCACGTGTTGCTCTTTCTGCCTCTTGGAGAGCTCCTCGGCGAACTTCCCATTGACCCCCAGCACCTCCGAGATGTTGCCAAAGACGGTCCGGACGAATTTCTCCCGTTTCTCTTCCTTGATGGGCGAGGAGTTTTGACTCAATCCACGGAGAGGTCGGATCCAGAAATCGCGCAGGTATTCCAGATCCTTGACAAAGTCGCGCTCGGTGTACATGAGTTCGGAAATGACTTCTTGTCTCTTTCGTTCCTTTTCGTCGATCTTTTCCGCGACTTCCTTGGGGACACTGTTGATCCACAGCTTCTGTTCTTGATCGTCCGTATCGTGTAAACTACCGCGAGAGTTGGAGTGTCGTAGACCCGGTTGAGGTCTCAAGTTCAACCTGGCTTGTTGTTCCAGTCGTCTTGGACAGGCGATTGAGTAGCACAGATGATCTTTTGTACAGGTGGGGGAATAACATTCGGTGAGCAGGGTGAAGACCCCATTGACATCCTTGGAGGAAGCCTCTTCTCCCATCGTCTCTCTAAACTGGTAGACCTCGTGCGGGGCGTCTCTGAGTCGATGTTCGTAGGTGACATCGTGGAAGAACTTTTGGGCGTCCAGGGCGCGTCCAAGCAAGAGTGCGAGATTGCGGTCGGTGGTCTTGATGATGTAGGCAATCAAATCGACCGACTCGGCACCAGTGAAGGCGTTTTTGTAGGAGAGGTCATTCTTGCTTCGGTCGCCCACCCCGATCCTTTCTTGAAAGACGTTGGCCACCCGGGAGAGGAGCGCAGGATAGACCAAGGGAGACTTCCTCTGAGCGACCGTGGTGGTTGTTCCCGACGAAGAGGAAGCCGATGCCGTGGGTCGGTTTCTCATGCTGTCGGCCCGCGAACCGTTGACCGGGGTGGTGGTCATGTCGGAAGACGTGGAGGCGCTGGAAACGTGAGAAGCGGCGGATACCGCGCGGGCGGGGGTACTCCCTTCACTCGGACGGCGAGACCTGGTGGCGGGGGTGTAGGCGGGTGAGTTTGTGGACGAAAAGGAGCCCAAGCTGTCGGGTGAGGCAAACTGATCTGCGAAAGGGTCTGATTCGGATTCTCGGTGACGGGCAGGGACCACCCTCCCGCTGGTCAGGTGTTGGGGAGCATCGCGATCCATGGAGGAAAAATTGCCCATAGACATGGCGCGACCATCGTCGACTCGTTCTGGGATGTGTCTCCCTTGAGAGGTGGTTCTCGAGGCCGGAGGTTGTCCAGGACCAGGGGAAGCTGAATAGGGTTGTTGTCTAAACGCCCCGGCAGTTCCTGGCTGAAAACTACTTGGAGGAGGCCTGTACATGGTGGGTTCACCTGGCCGAACCATGGATCGAGAACGGTAGGCGTCGTTGTTGAGGGCAGGGGGAGGCATCCGATTGGGGATGGGTTTTCGATCGTAGGCACCACCCATGGGCATGTTCATGGGACCACCGGTGCGCGTGTCTATCCGTTGAGGGGGAGGATATGGTCGTCTGTCAGGGAAAGGAGGAGGCATATGGTTGCCGGGCGGTGGTGGTCTCATGCCGTTGGGACCAGGACTAGGACCGGAACCGTTCATGTATGGTTGACCCGGGGCGATTCCGTTTGAACGGTCGTAGTTGGGAGCCAAGGGTCGCATGGGAGGAGCAGGACCGTGCCGCATGGACATGGTATGCGGGTGTTGGTTGGCCGAAGTCATGGAGGCGGAACGGTCGTACATCATGTTTGTGGATTGAGTGGTCATGGTGTGAGAACGACCTGGAGGGGGCATGCCCCCAAAGATGTTGTTGAAGGCGGCATCTCTTTGGTGGTCTGGTTGAGCATTGTACCCAGCGGCTCGTGACCCATGGTAGCGTTGGTCGGGACCACCATAGTCTGCCATACTCAGTCAAGAGATAGCAGGTGAGGATAGATGTGGGCTGACGTGGGAAGGGAGAATGTCACCGGGTGAGCATGTGGAGGATTGATGGTAGGTCGGGGATATGGAAATAGATTGCGCGGCGCAGGGAGAGTGGCCAAGTGGGTGTTGGGGTGTTGGATGGGCGACCCGCAGCTGATGAGATGGTTGAGGGACAGGCCTGGTTCTTGTGTGTGTGGATATAGATATGAACAGAGGCTGAGGGTGGTGTGGATGGGAGGTGATTGAAATTGAGGTGTGAACTTGAGGTCGTTTGGTAGGTGTCGGGATGGGGGTTTGAGAGGGCTATTGAAGCAGCAATGGCGAGTTGAGACGGCCGCGAGTCATAGTCTGTGCGTACCAGGAGGTCAGGCACGACAGGCGGAAGAATAGGATGGCGATGTGTGGATAGAAATGGCGATGGGGATGGGGATGAAGAGGGTATATTGATTGTGGTACAGTAGTGGTGGTAGGATTGAACTGCAGTGTACGACTCAGACTCGTTTGGGTTGGATTGGATGGAACTGGGAACTGGGAGTGGGAGTGGAACGTGGATAGCAGCAACTCGGCCGAGCACTGTGATTGGTGGTGGACAGGGAGCAATCGTGCCTGCCTGCGCCTGGGAACAATATTGCACTTGTAACTTGCACCTTCCCAAATTACACTTACACTCTGCCACTGCCACCAACACCACCACTTGCTTTCACAGTCGCACCTGCCACTCGAAGCTCAACCACCACACTCCTTCCTCCACTGTCCCTGCAGCCATCGCAGTCATTCATCTTCGTTGAGATTTCAATCTATCCTCCCCATCAACTCGACCATCCCCTCTCAATGACCAACATGACCTCCATCATGGATGCCGCCGAAAGCGAATATGCTCCCAAGTTTGCTCCATTCTTTGGCATGGTAAGATGATCCTACATGGCTCCTCGCGTCAGTCCGTCAGCTAACTGTCTATCTAGGCTGGGATCGCCTTTGCTGTACGTTCCACACCTCATGTCTTCCATCTTCCTAACTCTCAACTCTACAGATGATCTTTGGATGTCTGGGAGCCGCCTATGGCACGGCAAAATCTGGCATTGGAATCGCTGGTGTGGGAGCATATCGTCCTGATCTGGTCATGAAGGTACCATCATCGCACACAAATTCGTTTCTCCAACTCTGCTCACATTTCTACAGTCTCTCATCCCCGTTGTCATGTCTGGTATCATCGCGGTCTACGCCTTGGTCATTGCAGTTTTGATCGCCAGTGATATCGCTCCCCCGCCTCACACGTACAGCTTATTCACGGGCTTCATGCATCTGGCCGCGGGTTTGAGTGTCGGGCTAGCTGGTCTCGCCGCCGGATACGCCATTGGCGTCGTCGGAGATATGGGCGTGCGCTGCTACATGCAACAATCCAGAGTCTTTGTCGGCATGGTCCTCATCTTGATCTTTGGCGAGGTCTTGGGTCTCTACGGCTTGATCGTCGGCCTGATACTGCACTCCAAGTCTTAGAATTCCACACATCCCACGTCCATCCGCCCAACTTCACATCGGGCGGTTCGGCTATTTATTTATGCGGGGAACACATCTGAGAATCCATACCGCAAAACACTTTTGGCATTAGACCATGGAGTCATAACAATATATCATATCTTACAATCTGTTACACACGTGGTCCTCGCTGGTGCTCTATGAACGCTACTGCAGAAACTTGCCCACGTTGCCCCCCACGTGCTCCAGATCGAGCAAGAAGGTATCATGGCCAAACAGACTGAGATCTTCGCCCAATTCCACATGCGTGACCTGTTTGTTGCCTGTAGCCCGTAGAGTATCAGCAATCTCCCGTTGCTGCCACGCCGGAAACAGAATATCACTCGCCACGCCCAGAACCAGCACCGGATGAGACCTCAACGGTGCGAGACCCTGAATCAGGTCTCGTGGCGGACCCTGCAGTGACCCATTGTCGACCGCCTCGTCCATCGGCGCCGAACTGCTCTGCTCCTCGTATTTCCTCGCCGGCAGCGTGAGACTACACGACGCATCATTCTGCACGTCCCCTCCCTGTCGCTTCCCACGCGTCACCTTGTCCTGATTCTGCTCTCTCCGAACCCGCGTACGCTCCTGATGCTCGTGTCCCAAATCGAACAAATCCATCGCCTTGGAGACATACAGCAGCGAGTTGGGGTCGTATTCGAGCGAGAACTTCTCGCCCGCGTGGTCGAGATACGTCTCGATCAGGAAATCCGGACACAGGGCCGGCTGCTTGCTGGGGTCGGCGCGGCGGCGCCCGAAGCGGTTCTCCCACTCGGGGCCGCTACGGTAGGTGACGGTGGCGATCTCGCGTGCCAGCTTCATGCCCGAGTGCGGCGGGATGCCGTCGTAGTAGAAGCCGCGGTTCCACTTGGGGTCCATCATCAGCACCTGCCGCTGCGTGTGCCGCATCGCGATGCTGTACGGGTGGCTGCGTGCACACCCGGAGATGCTGACGATCTTGCCCACCCGCTCCGGGAAGTGCACGCCGAACGCCAGGCTCTGCATCCCGCCCATGCTGGCCCCAACGCTGGCGTACAGCTTGTCGATCCCGAGGTGGTCGAGGAGACGGGACTGTGCCCGCACCATGTCGTCCATGGTCAGGATGGGGAAGCGCGTGGCATAGCGCTGGCCGTCCGAGGGGTCGAGCGACGCCGGGCCCGTCGAGCCGTAGCAGCCGCCCACCACGTTGGTGCAGATGACGAAATGCCGATCCGTGTCGACCGGTCGTCCTGGCCCGATGAATTTCTCCCACCACCCGGGTTTGGGGTTGGTGGCCGTGCTGTGGGCGTGACTCGAGGCCGAGAGGCCGGTGTGTAGCAGGATGGCGTTGCTCTTGGTGGCGTTCAAGCTGCCCCACGTCTCGTATGCGATGTCGAATTCAGGGAGCACGCCGCCCCAGTCGAGGAGAAAGGGCTCGCGGCTCTGGAAGACGAGGTGTTTGCCTGTCGTGTAGGAGGGCTCGGGTCCCGTCTCGTGGGATTTCCGCTGGAGCGCCAGTGTCTTTTGTTCTTGGGCGTCGAGGCACGGGAAGGACATGGCCGGGTTGCTGCTAGAATCACTGGTCGAGTCGAGTGTGTCTGTCTCCACCACGGCCGCCGCTTGGGCTTTGCGTGTGGTGTGGGTGTGTAGAGAAGCATTGCTGAGGAGGAGAGGGCTTTCAACCGATCTCTTCTCTTTGAGTGCTGGCCGAGTACGAGTAATCGAATTCGAGGAACGAGTGCCCAGAGACCTGGTCCCTCGACCCAGGAGGCGAGCAGCGATTTGTGCACCTCGTGGTGTGGCCATGTCGATTGTCAGGGAAGTATGTGAAGGAGAGGATATGGGAAGAAATCTGCGGGGTCTCGCCCTGTCTAAAAGTTATGAAAAAGCGATGCCATGGTACTGTCGACTCTGGGGTTGCTGGACGGAATAGTAAGCGATCTGGAACTGTGGAGAGCAGCGATGGAAATCACATCATCAGCGGCCAATGAAATTTTGTCGTCCAGACAACTTTATACTCCACCGAATATTATGCTCTACTGCTTTTCTACGTCGCCGCAATCGATGTTGCTGCACATACTAGTTCACTACCTAAGTTACTGTTTACTGAGAATATCCATGAAGTTGGAAAATGTATTGCTCAATCGTTAGATCATCGACCGATCCCAATCTCTGCAAAGGCAGCCAGATGTCATGTCGGCTCTCAATATTTCCCTCCATAAGCACGCCTGCATACTCCATCCCAGGCAAGTAAGCGTAGATGCCGAGTGCATCTCGAGCTCCTTGCTCGTCTGTACGAGCATTCTTCGCAGATATCATCGGCTTTTGAGAGTAAAGAGAGATTCCGAGTCTGCGCTCGTGCATGCCTTTCTCCAATCATTCGAATTCCTGTATGGTCTTTGAAAATGTTCGTTAAGGAGCCCTTTTCACCATCGTGCAGGACCATCCAAAAGCTATTCTTCCTCCTTCACTCGCACTCTCTTGTCCCCTTTTTCCGAATCCCGACCTTCAGAATCCCCGCTCTTCAGCTTTGCGTTTTCTTTCGGCGGCCAACTTCAACTGCGACTTGGTTGTGTTGTGCAAATCGTATTGAATGACTGTCCATAAGAGACAATTCATTTGGTGCTCCGTGAGGTTCTCGCCGGACCCGCGGTCGAAGAGGTCGGTATTCCAAGTGTTGAAAAATCTCATGGCCCCCAGATATACCGCGTAGTATTCGATAGTGTCCCATGAGTCTTTACCCGGCCACAATTCCTCGAAGCGTTCGATACAACTGCTGTCGAAGGTTTTCGTACGACGCTCAACGGCTTCGAGTGTTATCACTGGCATCCTGGCTTTGCCTGATCGCTCGGCTTCTTCGCGGAGTGGCATGATACAAGATTCATAGAGATCCTTCCAGATATTGCCGTACCATTCACCATCATGCCATTGGTCGAACTCGATTTCAGAGGCCATGCCCAACAACCTTATAATGACTTTCTTGCTCTTTGTGCGTACAGGCTGCTCGATGGCTTTTGGCGATTGCTGACCTTCAAGACAATAGCTGGGGTGCCAGCAGGTTGGGTGCCAGCGGATTGAGTCGTCCTTGGGGAGGTAGTATTTGAAGATAGGGCCACACAAGTCGGTGCAATGGTGTCGGTGGGGTGACGGCATCTTCGGTGGCCATGCAGATTGACAACCAGATTGGACCAAAATTCGGGATCCAGTGACATCGATCGAGACAAGTGCATCAGAACCTCCCACTACTCGTGAATAGACGTGAAGCACTGGACAGGCTTGAGATGTATCCTTTTTGGTCGACTGCAGTTATCCAGAGACCAACATTCGGGTTCAGATGAGGGCCAAGGGAAAGGCAGGAGTACGACAACTTCTACTGCACTTTAACAAGAAAGCCGTCGGGATGAGTTCAGGTAAACCATGAGTGATTTCGATGTAATTTTGGGAGTGAAGTTAGTTGTTCATGTTACCTCCCAAAGCGAGTGACATTGTCGACTTCGATGGCAGAGAGAATGAGTTCACCATGGTACTTCTGAATTATGTTTCTGAAAGGCCATCCATACCAAAGACAGGTAGCCACAATACTAGCTAGAAAATTTCAGTACATCCGCCAAAGGCAAAGGATGTATGAAGTAGGGGCACTCTACTTGGACTTATTTCCAAGGCACAAACCAACTCGTTATTGAAGCAAAAGTGATGATTTGAGTGAGCCATCTATGACTACTGTTTATTTCAAGAGTAAAAGTCATGAGATATTCTACTTGATAGCTCGACGATCAAATAGCTCAGAAAGTACCAATCAGTTTAGTTGGCGTTTGCATCTTGACCGCAAGGCTGCGAGGCTGCATGACGTCGGGTGTTTTCTGTCCGCACCACCCAGACCACCACCACCCACCGCCAACCTCGCATTCATGTCATAGCACCTCATCCAATACCCTCCATCAACAGCATCCATACACCAAATGTCGGCCAAAATAGCAAAAACGATTGCCCGACAGAAAGAAAAGTGAGTTTCGAGGAAATCCCCCAATAAATCCTGCCTGCCACCACCACGTCACTGACAATTCAATCCCCAAGAATCGCCGAAGGAAACTTCTACGAAGCCCACCAACAGCTACGAGTGATCACATCCCGCTATCTCAAAGCCACCGACTACCCCTCGGCATGCGACGTACTGTTCAATGGCTCGCTACTCCTCCTGCGCGCCGGACAAGGCGGTTCGGGTGGGGATCTGGCACTCATGCTGTTGAACGAGGTCTACATCAAAGGAGAATGGCCATGTGATGATCAGAACAAGAAGAGGTTGACCGAGATACTACATGCCTTCCCCAAAGATGAACCCACCCGCAAGAGATTCATCACCGAGATTGTGGGCTGGTCGAGTCGTTTTGGCGAGATCGAGAGAGGCGATCCAGACCTGCATCATGAAGCTGGTCGATTATACGCTGAAGGTGAGGCACCAGAATACTAAGGTCAAAGAAACCCCATTCTAACAACATCAATCCAGAAGGAGAAGCCTACGACGCCGAACGGCACCTCGTCCTGGGCACATCGCACTCACCCCCGATCCTCGCCCGCCTGCACTACACCTGGTACAAAGAAGACGCACCACACCTGGCACCGCTCTACGCCTCACGCTCAGTGCTCCCCTACCTGATCGTCGGCAATCTCTCGTCGGCAACCCTAGCGCTCAGCACATTCACGTCGCAACTAACGACGCAAAACCCGCATCTGCTGGCCATGTCGCAGCCGCTGGAATCCGCCAAATCCGGCCTCAGCCTCCGCATCTTCCCGTCGATCCCACTGCTGAACTTCCTCTCGCTGATCGTGCTGGCGGCGCAGAAAGGCGACGCGGGCCTGTTCAAGCAGCTGGCCAAATACTACGCGCCGCACCTGAAGGACGTCGAGGGCCTGTGGGGCGACGCCCTCGCGCAGATCGGCGAGATCTGGTTCGGCATCAAGATCCCCCGCCAGGGTGGCAATCCCCTGTTCGACATGATGGGCAGTATGTTGTTTGGCGGCCAGGGCGGTGCGAAGGGCGGTGCCGGCGGCAGTGGGAGCGGTAGTACGCCTCGGAGCGGCACGCCCAAACCTATTGCGGCGCCGAAGAAGGACGTCGAGAAGCCCCCGACCATGGATCTGGATTGAGTGGATGTTGGGAGAGGAATGGTTGAGGAGGTGGTGAGGGAAGAGGAAGGGCTTCATGTATCCTTCCGTCGAAGTCGGCTGTTGTGCATGGCCCTTGGCTACAGACACGAAGCAGAGCACCAATTCACTCATGCCCCCTTTTTGAATTGGGTATCTTGTTTGATTCGATCATTATCATCATCATCATTTTCGTCCCGGTGTTGATACATTATTGAGCTTCATGTTCCGCCATACCAGCCTCGTCGTCGCAGAATCAACAGCAGTAAAAACACAATCTCATGCCACGCAGTAGACCATGCCCAGAAACAATGCAACCCAACGCAACGCAATGCAATGCAGCTCCCAAACAACCGCTTGCGACAACACCCAAAACATCACTCATACCCACCGACAAGACCCTCCTCCCGCCCATCCCAACCGCCACCAACGCCCATACCGCTGTCACCATACATCCAGCCCTCATCTTCGGCTCTTGCGACCTCCCGCCGGAGACTCGCCGTGATCAGACCCATGAGTTCCTCCCGTTCCGCCTCCGACTCCTCGCTATCTGCATCTTCCGCCGCGTAGAGCTCGTGGTCCTCGTCATCATGTTCATCCCCGCCTCCATTCTCCAGGGGCGACATGTGCCGGTGTCGCTGACCTCGCCCGTGGTGCTGGTGGGTGCTGCGTTTTCTCACGCCGCCGCTGGAGACGTTCACGGCTGATGAGCCCGAGGGAGGCCCATCGCCGACCATGTTTGTGGACGAGGGTTTGTGGGTGGTGCCCAATTTGGCCCGAGCCCGTTGCCTTGCCATCATTTCACGCAGCATCCGTTCGATGCGTTCGCGATCCCGCCGTTCCTCGTCGGCCTCGAGTGATGCTTCGTCTTCGGCGGCGGCATGCATCATTGCCGCTGTGCTGGACTGTGTGTGGATCATGTCTGGGTCGGAAGGCTGATGACGGTGGTGGCGGCGGTGGTGTATGCCGGCGTCTGGTGTGCCCTCCGGATCTTCGTCTCCTTCGTCTTCATGGTCTGCTCCGCCGTCCTCGTCTGACAATCGCAGTCGACCTGGCAGCACAGGGAGATGAGGTAGGATCGGGCGTCCGGTGACGGGATTAACGGCAATGATGGACGAGTTTGGGAATAAAGTCTCGCGGGAACGTGGTGACAGAGGGCGGTTGGGGGAGATGGTCGGGTCGTAGTCGTAGGTGTCTGCTGCGGCAGTCATGTGGCGCGGTGGGGTGGGTGCGAACGGCGGTCCTCCTGTTGTGATGTCCACGACATTATGCCCGAATGCCGCTGCAGGTGGGAGGTTGTGGAATGGGGACAGACGTGGAGGAGAGGGAGACAGTGACGGGGTCGAAACGGAACGTTGGTGTTGATAGCGGCGTGACGCGGCTTGGATCTGGCTTACTGTCGGCGGTGGTGCATGACCAGGAGCAGGAGCATTCGTGGCATGTGTCGGTCGAGGCAAACGGTGTTGTGAAGGTTCCTGGTCTGGTGCTGTGGGATGTTGGTTGGGTTGTAAATGTGGTTGGGTTGAGGAACCTTGAGAACTGGACTGGGAACCGGAAGCGGGACGACGCGAGAGATGTGCCGAGAAGAGGCTCCTTCGCACCGAGGCGGTATTGTTGGTGGTATTGTTGGTGTTGGCTGTACCAGTTGTGGGAGAACCCGAGAGAGAGTTCAATTGCTGGGATGGGACGCGTGCTGGAGGCATCACGACGGGGACTGACCAGGAGTTGGATGGGACTCTCTCGTCGTATCGTACCCACAAGGGCCGGGTGGTACTCTTGATTTTCTGTGTGACCCTTTACGAGAATTAATGCAGATTGCTTGATGAAGACCACAATAAAAGTTCCCTCGAATGTTCAACTCGTCCCCCGTGGCGGACGTGATTTATTTGGTCTCCACCGAAAGAGGCAAGGCCGACCCCCATTGTAAATATTGCCCCTCCACTTCTGGGATCCTCCTTTCTATATTGCCATCACAAGCTCATATATCACGGACCTCTTCAATCACAACTTCGACTTGCCACCGGCCGCACCCGCACCGCCCGGCACATTCGACACAAACGAACCGTCAAGTTCCTCCCACTCGCTCAACACCGTCTTCTTGCCCTGAACATAGGGTCCCGTGCCTTTACTGTGAAGCCGAGCGAAAAGAAGTGAATCAGTCTGCCGTTCATCGTAATCTAGGTCAGGATGGACTCGGGTGACTTACAACATGGCCTTGAATTCCTTGGTCTTACCGTGCGCCCCGATGGCAGGTAGGTCCTTGTAACGCTCGAAGAGGAGAACCTCGTTTGGTGACTTTGGGCGTGTAAAGACGCCATAACTCAACGTGGTCGGTTCGTTGTCGCGCACCCAGGCACAGTAGTTGCTGATGGGTGTTTGTCAGAAATGAACTCCCTTGACCTCGCCATTTTGATTTATGACGAAAGGAGAAGATGAACAGGACACTCACCTCAACACTTCGACCAATTTGTCCTTATTCTCTGGACCGTCTTTGGCGACGAAACTGGCCAGCACCACGATCTTGGCCTTGCCCGTCTCCGTCTCGTTGGGCCGCGCGACGAATCCGCCGGCCGGGTACCAGACCTCGAGGGTTTCGTCCTTCTCGTACAGGTCCTGGTCCTTGACCTGGTCGAAATACTGCTTGTACTCGGCAGACTTCTGCACATAGGACAGCGCCGACGGGGACGAGTAGATCTCGAGTCCCCCGATGAGCGGCACGGGTGCGTCTTGCTGGAACTTTGCCAACATGCCTCCTTGACGCGTCGCGGGCGTGAAATAGCTCCATGTCGTGCATTGCGTGTCTGGTTGGCGGAAGAAATTCACCGGTAGACTGGAGATGATCTGTGTCGTCGCCGCGGGATGAATTAGCTCTCGGTGGCTTTGATCGGTACACGTTTTGGGGGACAAATTAATTACCTTTTCCCTCTTTTCTGCCGAGCGAGGATGGATCTTGACCAACAAGGCCAGAGGTTTCTGTTCGGACGACATCGTGTTTGAACGATCGACCACTTGACGACTTCTCAATGAACAGACGGCTGTACGATTCTTTTTGATAGTGGTCAAGTCAACCTCGGATGAATAGAAATAAATAAATCTCAAATAAGGATTTTCCCGTCCAATTCCAGATGAAATCAGACAGTCCTTCGCTCGTGCAATTGGTACAAGGACGAAGTAACCACTATGTACCTTGTGAATGCGGCTATTGACAGTATCGAGTGATTAGTGATTGGTTTGGATGGGTAAGATGGTCATTCGAGATCTGAACCATGGGGGTGGCCGTGAGATACCTCGGCACACCGATCCCTCGTATTGGAGGACAATTAGGTCAGCAGGATTCTGTTCCCGAACATTTCTTGGAGTACAGTACCTCGTATATATCCGCGGCTATGATGGTCAAGGCATGCGTGAAGCTTAGGCATCTTGTAGGAGAACGTATTGGTTTAATGCCCATGGATCGAGAATCATTTGTGTATTTGATTTGTATCCATTCAATGTCGACGGCCGAAAAGCCTGGCCTTGGCCTCACCGACCCGACGAGCTACCCTTTCCATAAAATAACAATACTAATGTATTTCCGCATTACCAGTATGCTTGTGAGAAGCCTCATACACATCTAAATTCCCCATCCTCCCAATGTCTTGTTACGGATGCCCTTTGACCGGTCTGCAACCATCTCCCAAACCCGAGATGGTCTCCAATAACTTTCTCCCTCCCACTCCAGTGTGTAAAGCAAACTCCTCAAAATGTATGTCCATTAGTCAATATGGTAAAAGTCTATGCTTCCAGTTGTACAGATGATTGCTCCTTCATGTAGTGTGAGCCCACACAATCGAAACTCCTATGAATCCCGTATGTACAGAAATGCCAATGGCCTGCTAGGGTGCGTTTCGTCATTACCGTGTAAGTTGTTTAATAAAAGAATGCCGCCACGAAAACCGCCGTGGTGAAAATCGTCGTGAAGGAGTACTCAATCTCAAAGAGCCAGGTCTGTGGCGCCCGACCGATTTTCTTGGCCTTTTCCGTAGGATGTGCCACACCGGTCTTGGGATCTCTCACGAGGAGCTCCTCACGATCAGGCATGTCGGGTGGATCCACCGCATATGTGAATGGAATCCAGAAGGATGAACAGACGATCACCCATGACAGTGGTGGCCAAAAAGCATGGGTCAACAAGCCGACCAATTTCGCCCGTACCGTATACTGCGTCACCACGGCTCGGTAAGAGGAGAGGCACACGGCGACGAGGACAAAATAGACGTAGGCGACATGAAATCCAGCCATGTAATTGACGCAAATCGTCCAGACTCGTCGGTACATGGGCGCCCGGATTTTCGGGAATCGTTCATTGAGGGCCGATTCGAGAGATCCCGTGGGCTTGAAGGCTTGGGTCTGACCACCGAGCCACTTGGGGAGGAGGAAGGAGCGAATGATGCACAAGGCCACGTATGGACTCATCCACAGTTGAGACCGACTCCCTCGTTGTCCGGTAGCGTAGCCGGATGGGATATAGAGGACAAACTCGCACAGGCGATTGCAGACCATGGTCGCAAAGCAGGCCCGAATCAGCCATCGTAGCTGGTTTTCATTGGCGTAGGCCACGAGCGGTTTGTTCGAGATGAGGACGATGGGCATGGCGAAGATGGACAGGGTAAGGAAAATGTTGAAAAGACTGAGAAAGGCGTAGATGAAGCTGGAAACTCGAGCGGCGAATCTCATGTGCTTGACGGCTTGACCCCAGAGACAAAATTTGAGCTTGAAGGCCGTATCGACGGTTCCAATGGCCTGTGATCATTAGCAGAGTTGAGAAATGGGATGGGAACAAACTTACCCATCGAGTACGTTGCTTCAGATGGCTACCATAGTCTTCGGGAACGGTCCCGAATTGTAGCTTCTCATGAACGTAGGCGGTCTTCCATCCTTTACCGAGTAACAAGGTGGATGTCGCGACATCTTCGGCCAAGGATCCACAGGGAAAGTTGCCAATCTGATCCAGGGCGACTCGTCGAACCACATAGCCCGAACCCGTGCACCAGGCCACACCCATGGCATCTTTGACGGTCTCGGAAACACTGACGAAGAAGTCCAAACTCTGGCAGAGCGGGTCGTCCTTGGGCACGTTGTAAAACAGTTGAGGTGGGCAGGCGAGAGCCATCTTGTCGTCCACCAACAGATGGGGAAGCACGGCACGGAGCCACTGTTGTTCAGGAATCATGTCAGCATCGAGAGCCGCCATGTATTCGCCGGCACCCCCTGGCATGTTGTGGACATCGTCCAGGCCGTAATTCAGGTTGCCGGCCTTGAAGTGATGGGGTACTCCCGGGAATTTCGGTCGACGCTTATAAAAGACGTTTGGGAAGGTCTCCCGCATATCCTCGATGGCATTCTTGAGAGCGTCGGATTTTCCGTCATCGAGCAGCAACACTCGGAATCGATCCATTGGGTAGTCCAAATCGCACGAAGCTCGAACGGTGTCCATGATGACATCGAAATCTTCACCACAGCAGGTGATGAAGACGTCGACGGTGGGGACATCGTTTCCGAGCAGCCGCAACTTTGGCCTTCTGCGCTTCTTCATGATGAACAACGACCAAAAAGTCTGTAGAAAGATGGGGACCGCCACGCTGATTTCGATGGCAATAAAGATCCAGGCCAGAGGGAAAGGAGCGCCGAATTTTGCCTGAGCGGACAAGACGAAAGTGATACGCATGCCAAAGTACAGCCAGTACAGTGCGAGGGTGGCCAAACCCAGCAAGGGCGCAAAATAGGTATACAGCCACCTCCTGCGACCAGCCAACAGATCCTTGTCATCTCGGTGGTGGAGTTGAGCGATTGAACCCTCTTTGACCCAATCCCGGTGGAGATATGTGGGAGCAGAATCGGGGACGAGTGGTCGTAGAGTTTCTTGACTGCGCTGTGTGTTTGTTAGTCAATTTGACTTTGGACAATGGTCTCCGTGAAACTTACAAAGGGAGTGGACGCGGGATATGGAGATGGATAGGGTGAAGAGCTTCTGGTTCCGGCCTCGGAATATGAAGAGGTCGCTCTGGGAGCAAAAAGAGGGAAGGATCCTGAACCCGGGGTTTCCATGGGACTGTTTTGTATGCTCTCGGTCATGAGGTCGGAGAGGGTTCGACTGTGGTCGTCTGGATACCCTGGCCGTCTCACGGGTGTGGGTGGTTGAAGAGGAGATGACTCTCGGTAGGAACCATAGACAGGGTGGACCGAGGGAGCCTGCTCAAAGCCAGACTCCTTGTCTGGATGGTTGTTGACCAAGGTGGTGTCCGTTGAGTTGGCCGACATTCTGATCTCGGTCATGGGCTGTGACTCTCCTTTCTGTTGCGTACTCCTACGATCTGGTTTGCGAAGAGGAGGCATGATGGATGAAGAGGTGGGAGAGGTGTTGAAAGCAAACAAGGGTGGTCTGCCTTGACCAATTTCTGGTCCGGGGCGGGTGAAATTAGACTAGTAGCTAGGCATGTGCGTCTTTTCCTCGAAATCTGGACGCGACGGGAGTGCCTGTTTGAGAACGAGTGTCGATGAAAGAGAGATGGGGACAACGAACGTGATGTCTGGTGAAGGAGAGGGAGAGGTCGCCAACAACAAACGAATGATGTGTTAAAGTGAAGAAGAATATGTCGGGAAGGAAACTGAAATGGACAAAGAGTGCCAAGGTCGAAGGTTTGAGTGGATGTCTGGACGAATAGCTGACAGTTGGACTTGGCTGACCTTGGTCTGGACACGGATAGTAACGTTGATCTTGGTCGTGGGGATGGGAGATGACCTTATCGTGTCACAGCAGTTGGGATAGGGAGATGAATCTTGGAAGAAAAAACGGCCGGCAAGGGCGAGTTATCAAAGTGGCAACAACGGAGTCGAGAAGATGGACTTCCGGGAATGAGCAGTAGGCTGGGGCAGACTAAGATGGGAGGTAATGACACGACGAAGCCAGGGTTGAACAGGCGAGAGTGATAAGAGCAAGAATGGATGGGAAAAGGCGCAAGGATCAGTGGACATCACTCGAGCTTGAGCTTGGGACTCGGCGACTGAGCATTCAAAAAACACAGGCGGTGGATATGAAAGTGTAAAATTGAGGATACCGTATTCCATCATGTACCCAAACTTGTGCTACCCGAAGACCGGTATCCACGGGCGGTGGACAGCAGAGTTTTCGTTGGCTGGCAGAGTCCTTCCAGTGACGCCGGGCTCCCAGGTCTCAAAGGGGACGCCAAGTAGCAAACCAAGCAGGTCGGGTGTAACAAGTAAATTGATACAGTGGCCATCAAATGGCTGTCAAACAAACAAACGGACTGGTGATTGTTGGATTTACCTCGAAAAATAGCGAGAGACATGCGAAACAAGCGTCGGCGGAGACCAGGGTCAAGGTTTAGGCTTTGACCACAAATTTCCCAGGCGGGTTAGGCGGGAGCTGCAGGCTGTGCAAGGATCGTCGCGTGTCCACACGCCACCCCAACATCCACTTTGAGTCCGAGTCCGGGTGTGCTCTGCCAACGAATCTCCTACCCGTACGCCCATGGCTCGTCACTGACGCCCAAATGGCGCCCGGATCCCAACTCCCAGCTCCCAACTTCCCACTCCCAAGGCTGACCAATATCACCCTTGACTCCCCAATCTGGCTAACGGGACCACCAAAACCCTAAAAATCTTCATCACGCCAGGAAGAAGGAGTTACTCGTACGAAGTGACCTGGTCCGCCCAGGCATCGGCCTACCACTGTCTACGTTGACCCTTTCCAACTTCCAACTGAGCAGGAGCACAAAATAGAACTGGGACTTGAACCTCGACTTGAACACCGGGCACGTTCATCCTCTCCTCTCTCGTTCCTGCCCTTTTTGTTTTTTTAATCCTCAACTCCCTTTGTGTCCCAACCACTCCATTCGTTTTCATCCCTCTCTTCACTTCCTCGAGCAACAACCGTGCTGTGTCTGCCTCTATTTTGTCCTCGATCAACAACCACCCTTTCACTCTCTTCGACAACATGGGTTTACGATCCCTCGTTAGCGCGGGATTCCTGCTTCTTCCCATCGCCGTCACCCTCGGCCTTCTGCTTGGCCTACAGGCACATAGGGAAGCCCGTGGTATGCCACCGCCATTTGTGAGCAACAAAGTCTCGACCGATACCTATTGTCAAAGGGCATTTGGTATCTCACCAGCCACCCGTGGTCTACAGTACACTTGTGAGTGCCCTCTTCTTGCCACTCCTGATATCCACGCATTTTTCCTGGCCATCATGCATCATCGTTCCACAATCAGTACCCCTGTCCGGCCCATGGGACGTTGAGCTCATAAGGTTTGCCGTCTGTTCCTGAACTATCACTTGTTGGGACTGGCAGGGATTTTCGGCAGGGGTATCCTGCACCTCTGTTGTGCTTTTCTCCCGACCCTTGCGTCCTTGGCAAATCATCTCCGAATTGCTTTGACACGCGACCAATCACCCAGAGAATGTGTGCTAACCAATCACAGTGAATCCCAATCAATGGGGTATCGCAGACAATTATACTGGTCCTGGAGGTTTATGCATGAATGTGAGCAAAGAGACAATCTCGGTAATCATCACCATTGTTTCCTAACCAAGCATCAGGTCACGAGCTTTGAGAATGCCAGTTATCCAACAAACACGTCCGCACCACAATGGTCCATCACGTGGCAATTCCCTCCTGGTCCTCCCACTCAACCTGTCCACGCCTTCCCCAATATCAAGCTCGATCCCGACGCCGTCTTCCCCATCGAAATCTCAAAGGTCGCGGCCATTCACTTCTCGGCTGAGTGGGCGTATGGGGTTGGGGACGTCAAACCCAACACCACCAACGTGAACGACCTCCTCGCCGCCGACGTCAATTCCAACGTCGCCATCGACATGTTTTTGGATTCGGATCCCGACAAAGCCGTGAGTTCGACCGACGCCAAGTACGAAGTCATGGTGTGGCTGGGTGTCTTTGGTGTGGCCACAGAGCCTATTGGTTTGAAACAAGGAGCACTGAAGACGCAGTCTGTCAACGGTACCAATTTGTATGTCCTTGGTGGTCGGTCCCCATTGCGACTCCCCCGCTAATTGCATCTGAACAGCAATCTCTACTTTGGTGAGAACGGCCTGGGTCAGAGTGTCTTGACCTGGGTGGCTGATGGAACGGTCCAAAACTTCAACGCCGACATTGGCCCTCTGTTGCAGGGCTTGACCGGATTGGGAGGTCCCACCGTCAATGATCACCTTGGTTATCTCGCGTTCGGTTCTGAAGCCCTCAGTGCGTCTACCAACATCACCTTTTGGAATCCAGACCTCCACATGGACGTCATCTCCATATAAATCGCCAATCGGTACACCGAGAAGGGGTTAATTTTTTCACCGCAGCAACATCACCAACCGCCATCATTCCTCCGTATACGTCGACCAGAGTCATACATCGGACTACAACCACCCGCATCACGACCGGCGCAACCATTGGTGAGGAAGTCCGTGCTCTCTACCATCGGCATGCACAACATGCACTCGGAATATAGGCTTGTGAAACCCGGCTTATCGATGCATGTGCAAGAATACTGGAGTTTTCGACGTATCACGTATCATGATACCTTACTCCGTAGCTATCAGTACACATATGTGATTGGGGGTTGGTAAGGTGCAATGATAAGATAAAAAGGCGGTTGGGAGTGGACGCCAATGCGCTTGCAGCATGCAGGTCAAAGAGCCTCGAATGACAGCCGTCGGAAATACGCTGGCAGGTGCAGGCCACTGCATTTGTCGGGAGCCAAATTTGGATACTCCGATGTGGCTAGGATCGTCCACCATGAAACCGGACTTCTTGGCGACGGACTTGACAGGGTCCTTGACTCAAAACAACGAAAATTTGATGTCATGAGTGCTGAGGCGAAATAATTATTGACCCAGCCTCATCACCGTCGTTCCTCTTTTTTGTGGCAAAATCTTTATTCGGAACAATGTGAGGGTTGGTGTTTCAGATCCCATCACCTCGGGACTCTCACATCCGAGTAGTCCCAAATCTCCATGGTTTGGCACACCATAACTTCCCGGCCCCAGAGTCGTTGACATTTTACTCATCTCTGATGTAATCCGAACCAGGGCATGGATGGATGATCGTCACATGGATTCTCGGTGGTTGGGGCCGGGATAAGCGAATCCTCACTGATCCGGCCCCTCATCAGGCTTCCAAGAAGGCCTCATTCCCGTAACAAGGCGTGCCAAAGGGCATCCATAGTGCCGTGTCAAATTCAACGTCACTCGTGATGACATCGCCGTCAGGTGCGTGTCGGTGGCGCGAATGTCTGGAGGGCGGGTGGCTGGGAACTGCGACGGGGAGGATAGGGCAGACTCGAGAACGCGTCGACAGCACGCAGGCCGAGTCGATTCAAGACTTGTGTATGGTTGGATTAATAGTAATGTATGAGTCAATTGGTGATATCGTGTGATTAGGAACGTATCAGTGCTTCTTGTTGAGCCTCCACAAATTTAGAATCAGGCTGATACAGTCCTTCGTCCACCACGAGTTCAGACACAGGTCTAGCTAAATCAGCCAGAAAATGCCGTCGCCGACATAGATGGAATTCCAATTCGTAGATAACCTCTGAGCTTTCGTTCCCCGAGTTGCTTTTCCCGGTTCTCTTGGTCCCGTACGGTAGGTCTGGACCGTCCGGTGGAAGGTTCAATGGTTTGTTTGATCCACAATATTCAGCCTGATCACGTTCAAGAGCAACGATTCAGGCTCTATCTCGAGCTGGTCACAGAGGGAAGAAGAGACGGCAGTTCCAAAGTTTCACGGTTTGGGGGGGGGGAGGTCTCAATGTATCTATCATATCATACGATTCAAGAGAGAGGCAGGCAAGGAGAAGACGCCAGAACAACGAACGAGCGGGCAAAGTTCAAGCTCGGCGGCGGTAGTGGCCATGGCTATGGCGTGGTCGTCGAGTCACGGTATACAGTACACATTAGTGTGGGACACGCAAAGAGGGCAGAGTTTGGAGTGATGAATGGTGGACCTATCGATCTACATCTGCATTGGTCTGGATGTGCCAGAGCGTCGTTTCTTGAAAGGGCTCTGTCTGTAGCAGAAATATCAAGCTAAGTTAGGGTATGGCCTGGGCATGAATGAGTACCGAGAGTCCAGAAGACGGCCAACGCTCCTCATCCTCAAGGGGCAATGTTCAATGTCTTCGCTGAGCAGATCTGGTGTGCAAGCTTTCCTTCCCACCCTAGCTCCTCCTTCCATTCACGAGCCTGTGACGAAAAAGCCGCCCTCCCCATTTCTCGCCGATTCAAGTCTGAAGCTCGATTGCCTTGTCATCAATTTTTTGGCATACCACGGAATGTCTGGACCACGGCCTGATTGAATGATGATTAGCTTTCACAGGGCAAAGTCCACTTCAAATCGAGACAGCACGATGCGAGCCGCCCACGGTCAGAACCATGATCATCTGCACTGGTAGTTGGTTCAGATCAAGTGAAGGCGAAGTGGGAGGCACAGGGGTCTGGTGTAATCGTCGGGAATGAGATCATTCTCGATATCAGAAACCTTGGCCGGCCGGGCCATCAGGGATATCACCAGCTCTTGACGTGGTTTGATTGGTGGATTCTTCGTTCTCTGAATCAGAAGTCACGATTGGAGCATCAGGGTGACTGCCGAGACGATTGGGAGTAGGCTGATTCAGAAGGCCTGCCTGGTTGATCATTTCTGTGTCCACATCTTGCTGTCTTTCTGGATGATCAGACTGATCGGAAATTGTTGGCAGTGCAGTGTCGAGTTTGGATACTTCTTCCGCACGCTTGTAGAGGTATGCTTGCCAGATGATCCACCACATTTGATTCATGATTGTTCCTTGTCCGTAGAAGCTTCCGTCGCGGTTGTATAAGTTGATATCCGCCACCTGCAATATGAAGTGTGCAAGATGATCTGTTGCACCCCAGCCGCTTTTGCCTTGAGGTTCTGGATTCGAAAAAGTCATGTGTCCGGTACACGCGTCGTTAAACAGCCTATTCCAGATAGCGATAAAGCTGAGCCCATGTGCTAGGTTGACACCATCTCTGCTGGCGGTCTCCAATTCCTCATCAAGGCAATCCTGCTTGTACTGCTCCCAAAACGGTGAACAGACATAATCTGCGAACCACTTCACCAATTCTTCCACTATATTGCAAAGCCGGATGTTTGGGGCTAGCTCTTCTCCACCAGCATGGAAATCTTTGAGATCATATCGAGCGCTGAAAGCTCTCAACCCAGCTGCGTCAGTATCAGTCATCTCTTCTAAGGGGTGACAACTTCCAGTACCACGTGGGGGACTCTGCTCCACTGAAAGGAATGAAAGACATAGAAAGTGTGCCGGCCTGGAGACGAAGCTCGTACATTGAGGTCGTTGATGGAGATACGAGAACGAGGACAGACGCTGGAAAAGTTCCTGGATGTGAAATTGATTGGACATTGAGCTGGAATCCAGATCGGTGGATGACAAACGATGGAGAATGCAATGGAGTTAGACGAAAGCTTGGTGAGCAACGGACATTGTGGCTGGGCGGCGATAAAGCTCGTGCTCTCGAGGTGCATGATTCAGCTTGGTGGACTGCAGATGAATGATTCCTGCATGCGAGGTTGAACAGTGTTAGGATGGGACCAAGATCTGTACAGAGCAAGTGATGGACGGTCGATCGCATGAAGAGTATTTATAGCCTGACGGGAGTTTTAAATGGAGGATGCCGGGAATTAGAGGCTTCTGCTTAATCGAAGTTCGATGGTGAATCAATTTCGGAGGAAAGCGAGCTCAAGATCTCTCGCATTTCAGGCTGAATGATATCGAAGAGAACCCTTGAATCGGCGGAGAATCAGTGAAGATCTTGCATGCAAGACTGATCGGAGTTTGAGACGATATCGAAAGTCGTGATTCGACAAGTAATGGGTGTCTGGTTATTCTGACTCAGAAGTCCATAGCATGGTAAGAGTTTGAGAGCGTGATGATGAGCTCCGTGAAGGCGAAGAGCCTGCTCAAGTGAGTGCTAGAAATGAAGGGTCCTCTGATCATAATAACATTCTCCTCTTGGTACTTGTTCCGTGTTGCGGGTGGGCAATCGGTACTGACAGCCTTGCATTCACTAGGCAGCCAGTCAACAAAAACATTTTCCTCTGCTATGTTTACAACATCGAGCATCTGCTGATTTGTTCATGTTCAATCTTGCACAAGAAGCACTCTGAGCAATGATGGTCGATTCTCCGGGTGCAATGTGGATAAGTGGGTTTGAGGACAATGTGTGGGGATTCAATGATGCCATTTGAGAAGGCAGTCAGCAATAATGTGAAAGCCTAAATTTCTGCAAAGTCACCATCACAACAATCATATGTGAGAATACCTGCACCAGGGTCTGCCAGCCATGCTTTCTGCAGGCTGGCCTTCCGAAAGAGTCATGGTTTCAAAGGCTTCTGCACAAGTTTCAGGAGGACATTCGCATCATCGATACGCCAATGTTTATTCATGAATGTCGAACCTTGAAATTTTAGGTCGGAGCATTGTTTTGGGTAGCTGACCATCAATTTTCCCCGGGCTTGATGAAGCTGCAGCATGCCACGAGACTGTTATCGACAGAACGGATGATGAGTCCATCGATATTGGTGCTATCGGACTTAGAGCAATGAAGCTTTCGACAATCGTAGAATGTGGAGCTGCTGTGTGGTATTGACGATGCGCCGTCGAAGTGGTTGTGGCAACAAAGCTGTTGGTGGGAACAGACCTGGAGACAATATTACTCATGAGGCCATTGAATATGAGACCGCTTGAGGTAGAATTGGCAACGGGCGTCCACAAGGCGGCCTCTCAAGAGGAGGGTGTCAAATGTGAAGCTATGAATGATGATGGCGTCGAGATGATATTGATGAAAGCCTTCATTGAAACCACCCACTAACATAAGTGTGACGGCCACCAGCTGGGCACGGCGATGTACTGTAAGGTGTATTGAGCCATGTATATGTGTCTCGATGTGTGGGTGCTTTTTAGCTCATGTCGATCGTCATAGTCCAAGTGTTCTGTGCGAGAGCCTGCAACAACAAGGATTAAAGGTGACCCTAAAAAGGCAGAAGAAGGTCATCTGAACGTATGGGTGGATGAAAGCGACTTCGGGAGGAAGAGAGTATGTTTTCTGGTACCCAAATCGCCCCATTTTCTTGTCAAGCTCGTGTGATCATGTTTTTGGGGCTCGGTTGCGGCTAGATCGCACACTTTTGCCGGAAGTCGTGGTTATTCTCCTATGTTGAAACTGAATCGTGTCTTGTCTTGAGTGCTCTGCAGTAGCCTACTTTTGTATTGCAGACCGAGGACAATCATGAAGACAGCCATAAAGGTATGGCTTGAATCAGGCTGATTCGGTCTGTCAGGCAAGTACAGCACATTCCAATGGCAAAACAGATTAGATAGGAGGCTCTTCGCAGCACTAAAATAGTGTCCCAAGTGACTGGAGGGATGAATCGTGCTCCTGTTCGCCGTGACTTGCAGCATGATTGCTTGTTCTCGCTTGAGAATGGCGGGTTTTTGAGAAGGGCATTGTCAATAGGGTGCGAACTGTGCCTGAGCCTTCTTCATGTTCGTGGCATTTTGCGGCATGATTGCTCGCCGTTTGAGTGCAAAATGAAATTTTCGAGGAGTTCGTTGTGTTGTAAAGTGCATCCTACCCGACACGAGGCTCAATTCGCCGGGCGACGCACCAGTGGGGAAGAGTAGACGATCACTCAATCATCTATCCACTATTGGTTTGCCAGTGTCTGTGTAATTAATGTCATACACCATGAGCCTAATATCTGTTTCGAATCTCAACCCCCGCTTGGTTTGTTTGATGGTTGAACAAGACCCTCTCGAGGTCTGCTCTGTGGGAATTGAGGAACACTGAAGTTACCGGTTTGTCCACAGAGATCTCGCTTTTCCTTCGCTTCTAACAAATGTTAGGCCCGCGAGCAGGCGTTGATGATATTTTGGATATCGTAAGTGCCAAGTGTTGATATCGAATGCCAATCAGGTTCGGTGTAATCGATGATGACAAATGAGTTGTTGAGTTTGAAATGCAAGACTCGAAGGTCTGCCGCACATGGGGCCTGGAGGGGTTATCCCATGGGATCTCACTGTCTCTTCGCACAATACGTGCGGCCGTGAGCGGGCGTGGTTGTGGTTTTGACATTGTTGTGAGTAGCGAGTGCCAATGTCGGATATCAATCATCATCGGTGCAGTCGATGATGACGATTGTCATTATTGTAAGTTTGAAACGAGACTCTGGAGGTTCGCTCCGTGGGACCTGAATCACACTTAAGTTATCGGTTTACCCACCGAGATCTTGCTATTCCTTCTTGATGGGTTTGCACCCAAAAAGGCCCGCAAGCTGGCAGTTGTTGTAGTTGCTAGGATGTAGTGTCAGCTGATGGGAAGGTAGATTAGGCTGATCCAATCCAACAGTAGAGTGAGGTTTGCGATGGAAAGATCGTTTGTCACGAAGATGGTGGGGATTAACTTACGGACAAGATCAAGGCTCGAGAACATGGTAGTGATAGAATGACAGGCTCATAACTTATGATTGCGTGCTTCAGGAGGAGTCTTTCTTGTGATGATTCAAGAAGTTCGAGTTGTTTGAGATGGATGTTGGGGAGACTGCGAGTTAGCAAAGTATGGGGTAGTGCCAAGAGATATGGCCAGACCTTCGACTTGAAGTTCTACGACGACCGGTATTCTTCCCGATCGGGTCGAGCTCCGGAGGTGTACATTCTGTTCCAAAATTCACAAATTAAAGAGCTCCAATTTTCTTTAGCCTTAAGTACATAGATTTGAGAGTGGCAAATCTTCTCAACAATTCGAGCACAGCTTCTACAAGCCGCTCAACTTCGGGGTCGTGGTTTAGTGGTATAATGCGTTCGTCTCAACCCAACCATATCAGCATCAACAATAACTAACAATCTCCCAGATCCTTAGCACTCAGCAGTTTGGATGAGGTCCGGGGTTCGATTCCCCGCGACTCCAAAAGCACAGCTTATAGCTATGTTATCCTTTTTTTGCATTTTAGAAAAAAATCTTACCTCGCTGTGGATTTACCTCGGTGTTTCTGCACTATAGGTCAACATATCGACACATATATACCTATTTAGTGTTGCTGTGGCTCTCTCCAGTTAGGATCTGAACCAACAAAATTCGATAGAATTACTCTCACAAGTTCACTCATCAAATCTGTAATTCAAAATATATTTCATTTTTACCAGCTCAAGGCACGCTTTCGCAGAGCTTGTCTTCTACGGTGGTCCAGGTGTGAGGATCTCGTGCTTAGCACCGCTAGCACTTCGGATTCTCTACCTCTGTGGATGTGTGATCATTATTTGGGTGCTTAGGTAGAGCTCAATCCACACGTAAAATGGTTTGTTCTACCACTCGCGTCCAATGGGAGGCGCTACCCTCAAAGACTTCAGCGTAACAGAACAATTAAAGTGTGATGGCGCTTTTGATTAGTTCTCGTCTCAGCCTCTATGTACTGGAGCACACCGTCTCGGTGCTCATCTCTCGACTTAGCGGTGACCTCGTATCAATTCCTCCGCATGCTCGAATCTATCGCCTACTGTTCTGCATGGTCCTCCATTAATTTACACTGTATATTGATCATGCAATCTCCAACGCTGGGATATGCTTCTCCTAGATTACCAGTTCAGCACGACCTAAGTCACCCTTCCACTCGTTTTGCATCATTAGTCTCCAATGAGGTTGTCAAAGGTCTTCTTTTTGCTCATGAAGGGGTTGGTGCCTTTTTACTCCATATTCCATCCTTACTTAGGACCTTTACTACATTGAAAACACAAGATCATCCACTTAGGTAATAACAATGAATATCAGTCGTTCGGCTATTTAGATGGCACGTAGGGGCATACTTGATACATACCGGAATAGTCGGTCGATCCTATATACAGAATCCGACATATCTAAGCACACATTGAAGTACTTAGGTATCTACTTGGGTAGAATGGGGGAGCCTTTTCATCCAAGTAGTAGCCTCCACTCGTCTCACTTTCGTGAGTGCTTTCTTTGTATTTTTTGCAAATTCGTACCTCTCGCCTTTCCGTTGACCTCCATGACTATACCTCGGGGTGTCTAAACTGTTGGGTGGACAGACTTATCGAGCTCTTGAGATAGGTGGAGGCTCTCTCCAGTGATGGCCTAGATCTGCTTCGAAATTTGATCCGACTCTAACAAATTCCTTAATTTTTGTCAGCAGAAGGTGCCCTCCTCTCACTTTCAAGGAATATTTCTAGCAATTTCCAGTCTCCAAAAGATTGTCAGATCTTCTTTTTGGGTTTGTGAGAATAGTTTGAGACTATTGTTTCCTGGCTGTCCTATCTGTCACCCATCTCCTTAGCAAACTCACTACATCTGAATACATATGCGTAGGATAGCTCGATGTCAACTGTTCAACTATTTATGCGACATGTACAGAGCGTTACTTAGCGCACGCCGGAACGGATAGTCGATCTTACACACTGAACCCGACATATCTAAGTACACACCCAAGCACTGAGGTATCTACTTGTATAGAGTCGAACACTATGATTACAATATTTCAACTCCTTATGTCTCATTGCCTATAATAATTTCAGTCAATCGACACATTCTCCTCGTCGGAGACATCTACTCGGAATGTTCTCATCCTCCGACATAATGCCCGGGGCGGCTTTGTTGACTGTGTTCACCCATTGGCGGTCGGATATTGTACCGGCCATGCTGAGATTCTAGGAGATGACAGTCTCGGTTTGGCCGTCTCGTCGGAAGCAGTAATCTGCCTTTTCTCTCAAAGCCCTCGACATAGGAATATCGAAGTTTACCGTCTCATAACACATGCGTTGGAGGTTCAAGCCGTAGCTGGACATCGAGTATGAGGTAATCAGGATTTGAATACCATTCTCGTTGTCATTGAAATCATCAATTATATCTTGTCTCTCGTCTTAGTTGAGGTCCGAGGTGTACAAACCGTATTACGCGCAATGCTGTAGGTGTAATCCTTGATTTGATGGTGTCTTGTTGGTATGATGAATGAATGAGGTGGTTCTGCCATAGGAAGGATATTTAAGTCGTAAACAGCACTAAACCTAGTCGAGATCTATGACGTAGCTTAGATCTCAATATATAACTACTAGCCTAGGGGGTCATATAATTCATGAACTACCTTCCCCGATTTCCTTTATAGAATACGCCGTACTCAACAACTCCACAACGAAAGGAGGTCTACATATACAATTAGTTATATAGTCTAGTAGCTATATAATATAAGAGATAGCCTACTAAGTTATACATTATTACAAATTTTAAAAGAGAACTTATGGCTAAGAAACATGTGAGGTCGTCACCAAAATTGAGGTGGTAAAGAGTAGAAACTCCAGCAAGAAACGCAGTTTGGGTGGTTCATGAATTCTGACACTCGCTGGGTGATGACCCTCTCGAATAAATTGCGTTTATTGATATAAGGATTTCGAGGAGGAGGAAGAGGAAGAGGCTATATCTTCAAATATCGACTACGATTTTCGAAGGAGGAGGAGGAGGAGTTCGAAGAGGAGGATACCGAGAGACTTCGACTGCAAGTCATTAAGTTCCACGTCCTGTTCACCTCGACTAGAGCGTAGCAGGTGGTAGTAACGATTTCTTATCATTATAATCCCTTCGTCTTCGTGAAGAGTCCTCGTTGTCGAAGTCCTACCACGATCCACACTTCCGAAATATCTTGAGAAATTGTGGTCGAAGTCTCCTGATATTCTTCTTCTCGAAACTCCTCCTCTCGCAATACCTTAAGAAATCGTGGTCGAAGTCTCTTTATTTTCTTCTCTCTCAACTCTTATAAACTAGTATCGGCACCTAAGGATCCTCTTCTTCCTTACAATCCTCGAATCCTCTGACGTAGCTTACTTAAGAGAGGCATATATTGGGAGCAAGAGCTATATATTAGATCTCGACTAGGTTTAGTGCTGTTTACGACTTAAATATCCTTCCTACGGCAGAACCACCTCATTCATTCATCATACCAACAAGACACCATCAAATCAAGGATTACGCCTACAGCATTGCGCGCAACAAACCGACGTTGAGCTTGATCTTGGTGAGTATGTCCCATAGTAGGAGCTGTTGGGCTGGCAAGAGTGTCCAGACACACAATTATCTGTTGTGTTTGATGGTGGATTCGCTGATAATGGCTAGTAATGCCCGGATCTTTGGAGACTTTCGCACAGACGATCCGATTTGTTCGAGGGTGTTAGCTTTCTCGGGCATGTCGAATGAGGGTTCGCCGATGGCGCTTTCAGCTGTGTGGATCATAGACAGCCACTCGAAGAGTAGATTGTCAGTCTCCTTCCATTTCTTGATTGCTTCCGCGTACACATGGCCGAGGATATGTTCGAAACTGGGCCACGTGGACAACAACATCATCCTCCGGAAATGCTTTGCATTCTATGCCAAGCTTCCGTCCTTCAGAATCAAGTGTTTTCGGGCAACCTCCATAGCCTTCAAATATCGAACATGCAGTTCTTTGTTGAATTAAGCGGCGGATGATGGGCTTGATGGAGTCTCCAATAAGGCGACCATCGATGACGGAGGCGTATGTCTCACGGATATTGATTTCCATTGCCGAAAATGAACTTGCTGGCGGACTCTGGGTCCAAAAGTAGCTGTACGATAGTGTGACTCACGTCCTCCTCGCAAGGATTAAAGTCTCGATTGAGGTCGAGATCCGATCTTTGTGTTCTTCTTCGGTGAGATCGAGTTTGCGGAGACGTATGAACTGAAGATATCCCTCAATACTTAGGTATCGTCGATACGGCTAAGGCCAGGAGTCGCGCTCGCAAGACCTACCCATCCAGCCTTCAGCCATTGAATTGAGAGTGATTGTTTCCTTTTTCCTTCTTCACCTCACGAGCTTCATCAACCCAACGAGGTCGAACTTTCCCCGTAGAAGCCATGGACACTCATAATCAGGAGAGGTGTCATCTCGTTCGCTGACTTTTGCGATTAGCCATTTTCCATGCGCCATTTTGTGAGCTTCGCGGGTCCGTCTCGGCTTTGCCAAGTAGGATGAGGCGAGACAATGACTTTGCGATATATCCCACCGTCGAAGAAGGGGTGGTCAGCCTTTAAGAGGGTCTTGATTTGCTTGCCATGAATGTCACTTCGTATACGACCATCGCCATAGTACGCAAAAGGTTCCAAGTCCAGAGAGAACACCTTGATGGCGCGCGTGGCTTGTCTGGTCAGACTGGGAGGAACGATGAAAAGGATTGGCTTGTTCTTGTCGGTGATATGCTCTCCTGCATCCTTCATGAGCTCAATCCGGCGAATACGCTGTTCGTGTATTAGGAGGGATCTGGACTGGGCGATCACTGGGCTTTACCTCATGCATATGCGCGATCATAGTCACTGTCTTTGCAAGTCCCATAATATCTGCTAACAAGCCACCCGTCATAGATTGCTGGAATTGTGCCAGCGCGAAAAACTGCAGGGATCTGCCAAAACCGGAGAAATACACTGCGAGGCATTGCCTCTTGTCGGGGACGATCAGTCTCTTCCCATGACGGCCAAGGCACGTCGAGCTGTCTCGAGGTTGGTGCGTTCTGTGCCAAGTGACCGCAGGCGCTCCTCATCTTCCATGAAATTCAGGATGTCATCATCCGTCACCTCAAGCGCAATAATTTCCTTGGTCTCTAGTGCAGTCACCAGTTCTCGTCTCCACGCCTCGCTTCGAGCCGACAGTGATTGATTATCATCGAGTTGGAAGCGTGAGAGGACTTCGCTAAATCGGAGTTGGTCTCGATAGTCTTTGATCAAGGCTATAAGGTGAGGATCTGCCATAGAGCGCCGTCGAGAGCCAATTTTCTAGATCCCGCATTAGCTACAGCGGTCTTCTTCTTCATAACGACAGCAGTCCTCTGTTCCACAACGACAGCGGTCTTCTTCTCCACAACGACAGCGGTCTTCTTCTTCACAACGACGACGATCTCTCTCACTGTTGGGACTCGAATCGCGTGGAGCATCGGGCTGCAAACGGAGATGGCCTTGTAAGTTCAAGGTACTGGTGAGGTTATCATCCGGATCATCAATAACGATAGGCTGGTTTTGGGTGCCTTCGCTGTTATGTGGAAAGACTCGATTTTGCTCGCCGGGCATGATCTCTAACTTCACGTGCCCGTTGTCTTTAACATTGATGCTAACATTGATGCTGTCTTGCGCACCTTGGATGTTCTGCAAATGGATTCGGCTTTTCTCGTCGGGCATCTCTTGTTGCACATGATTCTCATTGTCTTCCGAACCGATGCTGTTTGGCAGCTGATTTCCAGAGTTGGAATTGCGTGCACGCTTCTCCGGTCGACCAATCACTGGAGATGGTGGAATGCTTGGAAAATCGCGACCGTGTGCCTGCTTCTTGCGTGTTTTGCAGATTCTGGAGTGGTGGCAGGAAATGTCAGCCCTGTAGAAGTTGACAAGCCCATAGATCCTATCATGCCGACTCTTCAGTATACGTGACGGCCGGCGAATCTGCGCATGGTCGCCCCGCCAGACTCCGTTCGATCACTGAGTATCTGTTGTAGAGCTCCCGGAGCCATTCGTCAAACGATTGGCCCTGTTCATTGACAATCCCTTCCGGGAGATCTTTCCAGCCGTCTCCTGGGACTGGAAGGAAATCCCAACAGCCGCACCACCTTTCTCCATCATCCCGACAATCTTCACAGATCCATATGTAAGGGCAACGTTTGCACTTGAAGAGGACTCCCTCATGTTCTTCAGAACAGCTCTTGCAAAAGTCGTGGGGGAAGTATGGTGTTCCTCTCTTCGACTTATGCTCCATGCGTGCCTCCAGCATGGTCAGCGCGGCAGCATCATCTCCCAGCTTCAGCAACTGTGAGGCGAGTGAAATCGCCAATAGTTTCCTGTTTCGGTCGTTGGCTGAGAGCATCAATTCTAATTTCTCGGTCAAACACGAAATGATTCGTCGACGTCGATGCTCTGGCTGTGTTGGTTTGTATGTCAACCAATGGACCGTTCTGAACCCGATGTCCTTCGCCATGTTCGGCGGCTGTTGCTCGAGGTAGTCGAAAACACTCATTCCGAAAATATCCATGACATTCAGGTCGCCCCTGTACTCAGATAGGCAAAGCCGCGCCAAACTGGCGTTGCCTTTACATACGGCCTCTGTCAAGGGCGTCCCTCGGCTGCCGCTCCAATGAGCAGGATCGGCCCCAACACGGAGGAGCGCTGCGGCGGGTTCGGGATTCCCATAAAAGCAAGCCAGGTGGAGTGGTGTGAGGCCAAAAGAGTCTTCCTCCGATGTGGCAATGGACGACTCGAGAAGGATGGTCGTCATCATTTGTGTTGAACGAAAAGCGCCCGCAGATTTGTGCAATATCGACTCACCAAACACTGTCTTCGCATTCACATCTGCGCCTTTATCGATCAAGAACTTGACCAAATCGACGTTTTGGCTTTGCACCGCGTAATGTAGTACTGACATGCCATCCTCGTCCAGAGCCAAAAGATCGGCCCCAGCATCGAGTAACCGGGAGGCGGCGTGCTCACGGCCGCTTTCTGCTGCGAAGTGAAGTGCGGTCCGTCCTCGATCGTCTCTGAGATCCGCTGGAAGCTTCTCTAGGAGATATTCCAACTGGCCTTTGGTGAACTCGTCTTCGTCCATCCGTGCAAGGTGGTGCAAAAAGCTCCGTCCGGCAGCATCCCGAAATGTTAATGGATGTTGACAAGACTCCAGTAATCGCTGCACGTCAGACCCTCGGTCGTGGATTTCGTCGTATTTGATGGTCATCCAGTCAATGGCGTGACGACATGCTGGCTCGAGCTTAACGTCGGCGTAGTAGGTGAACGGCCAAAGCAGGCGTAATACAAGAAATTCGGCGAGGACAAAGCGATGGTCGTTTTCCAAGAGCCGAACAATGGCAGGTATGAGATAGGTGTCTGTTCGGGGAGTGTATTCTCTGTGCATGTAGTCTTTGGATAGTTCACCAACTCGATAAGCTAATCCACCAGATCGCCAGGGATTGAAACTAGGATGCGCAACAAGTTTTCGAAGTATCTCAACCTGAAAATTTTGGGCAAGCCTATACCATGGGTCCTTCTCAAACACATCGTGAGGACCATGGGCATTGACATCCAAGTCATTGTGGGCCAGGAGCAGCATGATGATATCCCCTGCCTCCGAGACCTCTGCCTCTGAGGCATCCCTCTGCGTCAGCAAATCGACAAGCATAGGAAATGGGCATCCAAGGTTGATGTCCACATGACTTTTGGAAAACAACATCTGCCGAACAACTTCCCACTGCTGAAAGAGAATGGCATAGCAGAATGCGGTATTGCCCTCCCAGTCCTGAGCATTAACATCCGTGCCACCTTTGGAAATCAAGAGGCCCACGATGTCAAGATGTCCTTCTGCCGCAGCGAGCATCAAAATAGTCCTTTCACACTTGTCTCTCCAAGCCATTGAAGTCGGCTGAACCTTGATCTGATCCTGGACCAGGGATGTAAGGCCGTACATTGCTGCGATGTGTATATGTGAAGGTGGAGTTGTGATCCACCCATGATGTCTCCTCCACCATGATTCGATGGCGTATCTCTGATGATGAATTTGATCCTCGACTGTACGCGCCCAGAAGGTCACCGTATTAGGCGAAGCAAAGAAGTCATGGACTTTGGAGTTCATGACCGCCACGGACTCACTTTCAGGGCGTGCCAACTTGGCATGCATACCCCAATGTGCTATGGAGTAGTTCAAAAATGGCCAATGAGGAGGAGTTTTGTAGGGTAGCTCGCTCCTCAGAGAGTCGTTGGCCTGCAGAGAAAGTAGTATATATGACAGACACGTCGCCGCCAAGGTGGAATGTGGATGCTTGAAGAGTTCATCACGGCGCTCTTCGAGGAACTCGCTGACCGAGAAGTGAACCAACCTGATGACTGATGACTCGTCAATGATGACAAGCCCGAAACAGCAGTCGACGAGAATCTCGGCATCGATAATATCCCCAAGCTTCATGCTGCTCGAGTCAGTCGCAATCGCATGTTGCAGTTCATGCACAGTGAGCAGGGATTGTGCTGATGATAACCACATCAGGACCGTCAGCGCGAGTTTGGCCCGTGTTTTGGTATGCGGGTCTTGTGACTTGATCCGTTCCATGGTAAGGAGAAGATTTTCACCGAGGCCAATTGGCAACGTGTCAAGTGCCTCCTCGATTTGAGACCTGGTCGTCTGGCCAAGAATAACCTGCATCTGCAGAGCAGGAAGAAGAAACCTGTCTTGGTGAGTCATGTACGTCTGCAAGGCAGCATGTCAGACTTACATCCCGCCGGATCTTGAGGTGATGGTATGAATTATCTTGTCCTTCAGGCTATCGTCGATCATTCGGGCCGTCTGCGGGTTACAGGCAATTCGATCTTGAACGTACGCCGTGATATCCGAGTCTGAAGCCTCAATAAGGAGTTGGGGGCAAGATCCTAGCACCTCCGTGACGTCCGCTGGATACGGCCTACTGGTCACCATCAAACGTGCTTTCGATGCCTTGATGCCTTGGATGAACTTGACAATTGGTCCTCTGTTGGCCACCTTGTCGCATTCATCCAAGGCATCCAGGACAACGAAGACATCTTGAGTGTCGTTGCAGATCTTCAGGAAAATTGATGTGAGTTTGTCCCAACCGGGCAACTCCTCTCGCTTCGCGATCGCCTGGGACAATTCCACTGCCTGGGCAGGGACGTGTGTAAATTTCGAGAGCAATTGGTGCAACAGAGTCTGGATGACATTCAAGGGTGTCTGATCTGACTGTAATTTGTAGTCAAAATAAAAGTAGACGACTCGACGATTGCTTTGCACCGTGAAGTTGTGCAAATGATCGATGGCGATGGAGCTAAAGTAGGTTAGCAAGGCCAGGTCGTAGAGCGACAATTCACATACGCGAGGTGCGTTTTGCCAACTCCTGGGGCACCATTGCACCAGAGTGTGCCCTCGCTAGACGTCATGTCTCTCCATTGGACAAATCTGGATGTGTCGAAGAGCCAACGACCCACACCATCTAATCGTGTGAGCTGCAGATCGCGGTGTCTTTCACCATATGGTAGCTTTGGTATGCCATCGAGCAATTGCTTCAGTCTATTATCTGTCTCGAATCAGTCGCCTGTGGAAAGCTCGGTGGGTGGATTATACCTATTTCCAGATCATGGACGAATTTCTTGACCAGTTTCATGTCATTGACCAGATCTGGCATGTCCTTGACCATATTTAGTATCGTTTGAATATTGGCGTCGTTGTAGTTAGTCTGGTGTTGCTCTATGGTATTGAGACTAGTCTGGATCTTCGCGAGTGCGTCCGGATTCTGAGGTTGACAGAGTGCCTTGCTACTCAACGGCAACCAGATCAGTGGTCTGATGTTCGACCTCATGGCTTGTTTGACAACTTACAATCCCTCCAGGCTCATGGCGAAATGAAATATTTGAGCGAAGCGGTGCAGCGCAATGACAGCTTCGGTGGTTCCTGCCTTCTCAAAGGGCCAAGTTGCGCGACCCCAGAGTCTTTGCACCATGCTACTCGCGGCCAGAGGTTGGAGAGCCTTATGGATTTCCTGAAGTCGGTCTCGACATCCATCTACGGCGAAGAACAATACCGATGTTTGTTCAAACACGGTTTGACCTTTGCGGTGTTCTTGTTCGAGATGTTTTCTCAGAGCGCCGAGGACATGATCCACCGATGCGACCTCAGTGACCAGAGCCTGGGCCTGCGTATTTGCGTGCTTGAAGGCTGTGGCATATTTGACGATCCCTTCGGTCAATTGGATGCATACCCCCAGAATTCCAATCACGGCAGCGAAATCAGCCATGTTGATGGATGAGGTTTGGTGATGAACAAGAGGACGTCATCTTATTTCGTCAATAGCAGAACATTGTCAGGCTGATGAGACAGCAGACAAAGCTCGTATTCTCGGGCGTTCCAGCTTTGCCGGTTGTTCAGCGTCGCGGTGCCCCTGTACATTGCTAGACGCCAGTGCAACAAGGGACAGCAAATGAAGATGCATGGTGGCGCTTTGGTGTTGGCACACTGACAAGGTAGACCTTTAACTGTTGCAGGTGGGCTTAAGAGGTGACCAGCCTTCCCTCCATTGTTCATACAAACGTGAGAGACCACGCCTAGGTGCTTAGGATTACTGGAGTCAAAAAAGTAGTTTTCTGAATCAGTCGGAGCTTGCTAGGGATTTTCCGGTAGTGAGAGTGAGCACATTCATGTCCGGGCAGCCCTACCCTAAATTTTTACCCAGGCAGGTAGCCAAGAGGTACCTATCTACTCATAGGCATCGTAGGCATCGTACGCAGTATACCTACCTGGGGTGGGGTTTAACAAGAAGGGCGGATCAACGCGAGATACCAGACCTATTGCACTTGACAGAGGCATGGCGAGAGCCTCGTGTCTATCAATGTGAAGGAACTTTATTCCTGTGAGGGCTCCGGAAGTAAGAGCTTTGTAGTTAGTATTTATCACTTCACTCAAAGTGCACTTAAACGGGCTGTTTACATTGAATGTAACGAGGCATGTATTTCATCATCTCCCTCTATCTCACATTTACTCTACTCCAACATCTCACCACCAATGCCCCCCCCCCCCATCTCCCAAACGGCTTTTCGTGAGGTATTTTGGTACACGGCCCAGCGATTTCCCGCCACGGTGCTCTGGCCGCCATCCGAGGTGCTCATCCTGAACTTTTCTTAGGTCGTTAAGAAGAAGCGAATCGCACCATCAAAGAGGTCGGGTATCATTTGTAACACAAAAGCAAACGCGAAAAAAGTAACGACGCTCACGATCTTCCCTCTTGTCCCACAGCTCAGGACATATCTTATTCCACCTCCTGTCCCTCAAAGGCTGGCAGTCTCTTGGCGATGTCATCCCAAGTCTCCTCGCCATCAACCAGACTCTTGACAGCGTCGATGATTTCATCCTCGCTCGCACGAACCTGTTTGGTGGAGTCACGGTCGCGGAGCGTGACGGTGTTGTCCTTGACGGTCTGGAAATCAATGGTAATGCCAAAGGGCGTTCCGAGCTCGTCGTTTCGAGAGTATCGTTTGCCGATACTGGCAGACGAGTCATCCACCTTGTTCGACACCCCCACCCGTCGAAGGCGGTGGGTCAGCTTTTTGGTGTGAGGCTTGAAGTCGGGGTGGCTGGACAGCGGGACGAGGAGAACCTTGGTGGGTGCCACCGCGGGTGGGAAGGACAAAACACCGCGGCTTCCATCGCCTTCGCGAATCCAGAACACGTGTTCCATCATGCTGTAGAGAATGCGGCCGATACCGAAAGACGGCTCGATGACGTTGGGCGTGTATTCTCTAATGTGCTCGGTTCTCTTTCTCTTTTCGATCTTGATGAGGTCTTTCTCGAGTTCGGTGGTTCCACTACCAACTCCTGGGGTGGGCACCTCGATTTTTCCAGACTTCTCCAATTCCAAGGAAAGCTTCTCACGTAGATCCTGAGAGAGGGCGTCCACGGCGGATTCGACAGCTTTGGCATCGGCGCGGAATTTGGGTCCCAACTTCTTTCGATTCAGGTCGATTTGGAACTCCTCGACGACGAGCGGTTCGGCCCTCGTTTCGCGAACGACCAAGGCCGCACCGGTCTTTTCCTTGTGGACGGTCAAGTCATAGGCGCTCCGATCAGCACAACCAACACATTCGATCCATCCATACGTGGTGAAGAGCTCCGCGTCCCAGCAGTCGGCAGCGTAGTGGGCCATTTCGTTGGCCATGTGCTGTCGGAACCGCAATTTGGTCTTGTCGACGCCAATCTTCAACAAAAAGTCTTGGATTCTGGCGATGAAGTAGCCGAGAGTCTCGTTGTCGACGAGCCCGGATGCGACCGCATCACCAATGGTGACCTCGTCGCATTTGGTGCTCCCGGACAATTGCGTCTTTCTGTTGAGCAAGGTGAGTTTGGTGTTCTTGACCTCCTCGAATCTGGGGTGCTTCTTTCCACCTTCGGGGTCGACGAAATGTTCAATTTCGGCCATGAGGAATTCTCGAACCCGTAACAGTCCCGATCGTGGTGAGATTTCATTTCGAAAAGACTTTCCAATGGATGCTGACGCAAATGGCATGGATTGTTGATTGAACTCGAGAAGCTTTTGGAAGTTCAAGAACTGTCCCTGGGCGGTCTCTGGTCGAAGATAGCCGTTGGGCTTGTCGGCAGAGGGACCGATCTGTGTTTGAAACATGAGGTTGAAAGCCTTGGGCGGATCAAGCTCGGCACCGCTGGTCGGGCCTTTGATGTTGTATTTCTTGATCAGCTCACCGAGCTCGTCGCCTCCGTAGTTGTCAATCTTGGCCAAAGTTTCCTCGTATTCTTGGACGAGCGCGTCGTCGAGTTTTTCCGCCTTTTGGGATATCTTCTTCTTTTTCTTGGCCTCTTTGGCTTCATCGACCTCGACTTTGACGCCGCGAGCGTCCTTGTCAGCCTTCAGCCTGGCTTCGAGAACTTGCTCCACGAGATGGTCTGCTCGGAAAATCTCTCCACTCTTGGGATCTTTGCACATCCAGTCGGCAAACTTGTCCACGTGTCCACTGGTTTTGAGAACAGCTTCGGGGGTCAACATGGTGCAGTCGACTTCGAGCATGTCTTCCTCGAGGACGAAATGTTTCCTCCACAGGTCGACAATGTTGGCTTGGAGAGCACATCCTGGGGGCCCATAGTCGAACAGACCACGTTCTCCGCCATAGATTTCAAAGGAGGGGGTGTAGAAGAGTCTCCTCCGTAGTACCGAGTCGATGGCGGCACGATCAAGAGGCTGGCCGGTCTTTGTGGTGCTTGTAGCCATGGCGAGGTCGACTGAGATGGGATTGTATCTCTTCGACAAGGAATTGGTGGTGGTAAAAGGTCTCGCAGAGAGCAGGAGATGTGGTGGTGGACGTAATGCTTTGAGTCGAAAAGGAGAAATCAAAGCCCACATGAACGAGTGGAGGATGGATGGTGTGAATAACAGCAAGTGATCGGGTCAGAGCACTTGACTATTTGGGCAGAGGAGAGAGGTGGGAGAGGGGGAATGAGTTTCGATAGTCGTGAGCTTGGGAGGGAGCACAGTCTCAAACTCTCAGAGAGTCATATTGAATTTCCATCCACGGTGACTGAATTCAATCGACAAGTACGGCAGCCAATGAACAGAGGAAGTTGGATCAAAGTGGGGCTGGCACGGACAAACTGCGGGGAGAGTCTCGCCGAACCTTCCCCTTCAAGCCTTCAACTTTTTTTCTTGTTCACCATCACCGCTCGAGAGAACCACCATTGAGACGGACAACAAGACTCTGGGGCGCCGGTGTAATTTGCAAACGACATTTCGCTGATGCGAACTTGAAGGAACTCCCTTCCAAAATGCCCTCTCGTCCGCTCAAACTCTCCGACAAGGCGGCCCTCCCGTTCAAAACCGCCAACAAGCAGCGTCGACAGGATCTCCATCTCAAACAAAAGCGGGCAAGAGATGCGCTGAAACGAGCAGAGCGATTCAGTCGCAAGAAACAAGAGGAGAAGAACCCCAAGTTAAAGGCAGAACGGCTACGGAAGAATGTCCCTGCCACACTCGATAAGAAGCGAGTCTACGATGAAGTCGACATGGAACCCGAAGATGGGGGTTTGGGAATGGTCTACGATGTGGAGAGGCTGAAGAGGCGGAAATTGGCCGAAGAGCAAGATCTACTTGAAAACGAGGTGGACGAAGAACAAGGGGACGGTAGCGAAGAGGAGGACGATGACAACGATTCAATGCTCGACTCCGACTCCGGTTCGCCAGACGAGGACGGGTCACAGTCTGACATCGAAGCCTTGAGCGATGAAGACGCCGACCCGCTGCCCTCCAAAGCACAATTGAAATCCGCCAGGTCACGCACGTTACACAACCAAGACCAAGAAGGAGGCCAACCACCACACAGAGCGACATCACCCACCCGATCCACCACCTCAACCAACCTGTCCCTCGCTCCAGCAGCTCTAGCTGCCAAATTCCCGACTCTCTTCCCCTCACAAGACGAAAACGACGAAACATCCACACCACCCGAACCCAAAATCCTCATCACCACCTCCATCAACTCCACCCTGCACAAAGAAGCCGCCATCCTGACCTCCCTATTCCCCCACTCGAAATACATCCGGCGCTCGTCCCACCGGTACGGCTACAAGTTCAGCGTGCGTGAGATTTCCCAGTTCGCATCCAAACACGGATACACGGCGGTGGTGGTTTTGGAAGAAGACCAAAAGACCCCCTCGGGCATGACGATCGTGCACCTCCCGATCGGCCCAACCTTCCACTTCACCATCTCGAACTGGTACACGAGCAAATCCATCCCGGGCCACGGACGCGCGACGAAACACATCCCAGAACTGATCCTCAACAACTTCACGACGCCGCTCGGCCTGCTGACGGCGCATCTCTTCCGGTCGCTGTTCCCGGCCACGCCAGACCTACAGGGCCGCCAGGTGCTCACGCTGCACAACCAGCGCGACTACATATTCCTGCGACGCCACCGCTACGTGTTCCGCGAGAAGCGCGAGTCCGAGAAGGCCGTCGTCGGCGCCGACGGCAAGGAGATCGAGGGCGCCGTCAAAGGCATCCGCGCGGGTTTGCAGGAGTTGGGGCCCCGGTTGACGTTGAAGTTGAGACGCGTCGACAAGGGCATCCAGCGCCGCAGTGGGCAGGATTGGGAGTGGAAGAGTCGCATGGAGAAGGTCCGGACCAAGTTCCAGCTGTAGGTAGTTGTGATAGACGATGGATTGGGATGTTCTTCTTTCTGGATCTTTCGAGGATTCAATAATCTTGCCCTGTCCTACTAAAGTGGTGATCGTATTGGCATGTTTGATTTGTGTGATGAACATTAGTACTCATCGACACGAGAGCTTCGCGATAAACAATGTAGTCACATACACTATAGTGCTATTTGGGTATATACACCTACTCGGGCACAAGAACTGAAACTTCCCAAAATTGTTCGCACGCCGGCACACTCAAGGCCACTCTGGCGTCATCCAAACATACAGCAGCGGCAATAACAGGCGCAATGGCCTCAAAACACAGTGTGCAGTGCTCAAACATGGCAGATCAGTCAGACATCGACCAATCCCGCTCACTTCCCACCCGCCCTCCTCTTGTTCTTCTCCACCACCCCCTCGAGCACCTCCAGCCTCTCGCGCGTGATCTTGATCGCGTCCTCCATCTCGCGCTGTGAGATGCGCTCCTCACGCACCTTGGCCTCGACGTCCTTGGCGGCGCTGCCGTGGCTGAGCACCTTCTTGCGCTGTTTCTGTCGCTTCGTCGAGTCCCCCGACGATGAGACGTCGTCTCGACCCCCACTGTTCGAGGACCCGAGCTTGGAACCCTTGCGATTCTGGCCCTGCTCGCGGAAGAGGACCGTGTCGACGTTGGCGCGCGCTTCGAGCCAGTCCCAGAATTCGTTCTCTTCCTTGGCCCAGAGGGTGTCGTAGGCGACCAGCCGCTCGGATTCCGAGAGCGTGCTGTAGCCTGGATAGGGACCGAGGCGCGCGTTCGACGTGGGTGGTGTTCGGAACCAGAGGACCACGACCATGAATGTCAGCAGCACCAGGAGGAGTTCCATCTTGAGCACCGGTCTCAGAATGTCGGTGGCCGGTTGCAGCGGACCTCGGAGCGGCTCAAAGAGCCCCCAGTCTTCGCTCTTTTTCTTGGTCTCTTCGACCTTTTCCTCCTTGTGTCTCTTGTCGCCCTTGCGTTTCTTTTTGGTCACCTTGGAGACCTTGCTGGCGTTGGTCGTGCCCCTAGGTCTGCCGCTGATCGCGCCCCGGAGCACTTTGATCAGTCCGTCGCCGTATTGCTGTTGCCCGTCATTGGCACCTTTCTCGATGGGCCCTTTCAACCACGACTTTGCCGTCCATTCGATCGTGCAGTTCATTTGGAGTCGGGTGGCGTTGCCGGGCGCCCACGAAAGACAATATCGGGTCTTGACGGAAAAGGCGTTCCCGCTGGGGACATCGGGTGTCTGTGTGGTGCAGGTGACGGTCACGGCCTTTTCGAGGTCCCAAAAGTCGAGATTTTCGGTCGTGATACACTTGGTCTGCCGAGGACCGATGGAACCTCCCAAGGGCTTGATGTAGCTGTATTGTCGACTTTTGATCTCGTTGTTGAGACCCTTTTTGTCGTCCTCCAACACCAGGTCCGTACACTTGCAGTCGTCCGCCAGATATTTCCGTACAAACACACCCGACTCGGGTCCGTAGAGGAGTGAGTAGATTTTACCCAGAGGTGCCGGCAAGACTTCATCCTTGATGATCTTGTCGTAATGGGTGGCGGCATCGGTGCATTCGGTCGGGGCGTGAGTGGCTGGGCCGGGGAAGTCGTTCCCGGCCACGTCGGGCATTCCAGCCTGAGCGGCGAGAGATGGAGGAACATCGTTGGACGTCCCTGCAGCGATGCTCGCCACTTGAGCGACGGCCGGTGCGTTCATCCCCGACGGTTTTCGAGAAACGACCTTGGTCTCTGCGCCTTCGCTGGCGGCGTTGCTCGCGCTGCTCTCCACAAAGCTCGGAGCACTGTCCTCGTCGCCGCTGGAATTCGAGTCCTCCGTCGTGCTCCCTTCACTGTTCTGTACAATGACCCCGTTTTCCACGTTGGTGCCTTCGGCGACTTCTACTTCGCCCGACGCTAACTGTTTCCCATTCATGCTCTTTTGAAAACTGGCCGGATGACTAACCCTCCAGATGCCGATCAGCAGCTCAAAGGTCTGTTCGCGGTAGAGCAGACTCCGAAAAGTGTGTCGAGCGTGTAGTGTTTGCACGGCAATGGCGTTGGGGAAGACCATGGCGGTACTTTCCCGTTCAATGCTGACGACCTCTTCAAAAGAGATGACCACGGTCGTGACCCATCCCAGAATGTTGCTGAAAAAACAGATGTGTCCCTCGGAGATGTATATCCTGCCCGCGAGGAGAATTTCCTTTTGCAAGGCGCAACTATAGTCCTCGATCAGGTAGTCGTCCTCTGGCACGCTTCGAAATTGTTGGTGAAAATTCCGGTTTCGCTGTTTGGGGGCACAGGTGAATCCGGTCAGTCGCGGTCCCTTGGTCGGATTCACCAGCGCCGCGGTGCTGGCTCCGATCATGGCTCCAATCGCAGATTGACCGGTGGCGACCGACGATCCTCTCGATCTCCGCTTTCCCAGTTTGCTTCTGACACTGTTTGTCCTCCGGACAGAGCCGAGCTCGCCGTCATACACACTCCCGTTGGGGGGCGTCCTCTCCCCGTTGACGGCGGCGCTGATCAATTGTGCCTGCTTCATGCTGCTGATGGGGTCGGAGATCTCGGCCACCGGGGTACTTCCCGTGGAGGTCCGCTCATAGGCGGCAGACACCGCCCGTTTGGCCAACAGATCTTCCATCTTGGCGGCAGCCTCGTCGCGTTCCAGCATGGAATCTTTGCGCAACTCATTCAGATCGAGTCTGGAGCCGTTGTGGTTGGATTCTTCCCCGTTCAGACCGAGATGTTCAAAGTTGAGATCACCGGTGCCCATGGTCTCGATCGCCAGCTGCTTGCGCGGGACCTCGGGTTCGGAGACCTCTTCTTCTTCCTTGATGGGTTCCTCGATGGTTTTGGGTTTGATGTTGGGGTCCGACGCGGTGGTGCCCGCCCGACTGCGGTTGGGACCCGTGAGATTGGTAATGGTCGAAGCCGCATTCTGAGCGGCCGAGACCCAAGACGAGAATAGACCACCACTCGGGACCCTGTTGCCAAAGGTCATGCCCGATGCCGTCCGGCCGTCCTCCGTGGGGGTCAGAGGGGCGGTCATGGAGGTCGACAGTTTACTCGGTTGATGGGTGATGGAAGATGTCGACCTCGTCTTGCGGTGCGAGATCATGTTGCCAGACGGACTGACCACGATGTTGGAGAGTTCATCCTTCTCGTCGGGTGCCGCCTTGTCTCGCTGTGGAGACCCCGTGGTTCCATCGAAACGAGTGTCGGTGGGCGTCGGAGGAGTCACGGTCGTCAGGGGAGTGGTGATGAGCGCCGCTGGCGGTGTCAGAGGGCGAAATTTGGTGTCCAAGTTGGGCATCGAATGATTCTGTGGACGATCGACGGGGAGAGGAGGTGGGATCGGTTCTGCAGGAGGCGCTGGGACGGGCTCATTGGTGGACAGGCCCAGGCCCGAATTGTTGCCCAACGGGCTGGAATAGGCACTGGACACGTCGGTCTGCCTCCTCTCCGGGCTCACTTTGGGGCTCTTGCTGGGTTTTCCAAAGACGTCTCTGAACCTGCGGGCCGGTGATTTGCCTCGGATAGTGCCCAGGGTGTCGCTGCGTCCTTGAGGGAGGAGGACATCACCGCGGTCGAGTCCACCAAAAGTCGCCGCTCGATCGATCGGTGTCGACGTGGTGGGGGAGCCGCTCTGGATGGCCGGGCTTTTCGGAGAGGGCGAACGTCCCGCTCCATCCGGCTCTCTCAGAATGGGAATGTGACTTGCGTATCCGGGTAGAGGCGGCACCGGAGGGACCGCCGAATCTTGATCGCTTCGCGTGGTCGTGTGTGACACCAGAGGCGATGACATGGTCAAGTAGCCGGTATGTGAATCTCTGGAGACTAAGGGAGGAGTCTCGAGTTCGGAGTCATCGGTGAGTAGGTTGTTATCCCCCTCAGGAGGACCGAGACTGCTGGCTCGTCGAGTCAGGGTTGCCTGAGGAGGCAGTACCATCGAGCCACTCCCCGTCCGACCCCTCGCCAGGTCCTCTGCGGCAATCTTTAGTTCTTCCTCGTGCATCCGCCGCCTCCTCCTTTTGCTGTGGCCAGGCAGCAATTTTCGCACTCCGCTAGAGCCGGACTTGGAACTTCCATCCTGACTAGTGGAACGGGTGCTGTATCTGGTGGGGGACTTTTCCAGGACAAAGGAATCGGCGGAGCCTTGTCGTAGATCCCTAAAGCTAGAGTCTGAAGGGACATCGGAGGAGCGCCTCTTGGAAAGGACCTTTTTCAATCCCTTGAGCTGGGGTGAGGGTTCAGGCATGGTGGGGGCGACATTGGGAGAGGATAGAGCGGAGGTCGACACTGTGGCCATTCAAGGCTGAAGGATTGATACAGGATGATACGTTGGTGCGAAAGAGAGGTGGTGGTCGACGTGCGGTGTGCCTTGGATTGTTTGGGTGCGGAATGGCACAGGCCACGTTTGGGCCAATTGGGACGAATTAGTGTACGTGGACGGTGTCTCGCGGTGATGTCACCTCGGCGTGGATGAAGAACCAGGACAAAGAGAGTGGCATGTGGGTCAACAGCAATGTCCCCAGCAGATTAGATCATGGTGTCAAAGATGGCAATTAATTGGAAATGAAGAAGAGATGGAAGGAAACGAGTGTTGTAGACTGAAAGTCCGGGTTCTATGCTGTCTGTACGGAGACAGACCATTGTTGTTCAGGTCATTCTCCATCCAGCAGGAGACGAAAGGAGAACGAGAACGAGAACACGTCCAACCGACTGCACGTTTGGCTCGAGCTTCTGCAGCTTCCTCACAATTGACCGATGGGAGCTAAACTGTTTCTCGACGCCTGTGCGAGCTCTGGACGAATTGGCAGAGTTGAAGACGTCTGCCAGGCTTCACTTGCATCGACTTGTTTCTCCATCTCGCATAGCGTCCCGGTGGTAATACGCGGATAAAAAGGTCGATTGGGGCGACTGAAGAGGCCGAGGGGCCCAAGACTCCCCCGTAACTTTGGCACCTCCTGGGTCCAAAGCCGCCCCCAAAGCCGCCCACAGGACCGCTCGATTCGCAATAATCCGGTCACGACGGGAGGGAACAGCTGACCAGGCTACGTTGGAGCCTCCTGCCCCCAACTTTCAGCCCCTCCAACCCCTTGAGGCGTCGCTTCCAGTGGCTGAAACGCCTAAAGAGTACCGATCTTGGCGACCAATTACGCCTACGAGTTGTTCCTCCAGCCCTTGACAACCCGCTTGTTGCAGCCTCGTCGCAAGCAGTGACTACTTGCGTGAAACTTGGACCATCTCAAACCATCCCAATTCATTACGGACCTCTTCCAAGACACGACTCTAGAAGCACCGTGTGTCTCTGGTTTCTGCCGGCCCCCATTAGCTCATCATCGAGCGGGATTCGCCTGCTCCATCATCACCCTCTGGTCACAATGGAGACTGCGCCGTTGACTCTGGTAAGTTCCCAAGCGTTTGCCCCTCCACCGCCATGGCTCCGCTGACCGATTGAATCAGGCGCAGACTCATGCTCGCAATGCAACCCTCGAAACCGAACGTTCCAACCCGGTGGCGGCCAGCGAGGAACACGATCTGGCTGCTGCCGAATTCGCGGCTGCAGCTCACGGCACCTCGGACATTGAAGCATTGCGCATTTTGAATTTGTTGCAACAACATCATAAAAAGCTGGGGCGGTTGTTGAGAGAAAGTCACGAGAAACCACGGGAAAACGAAGCAACCCGCACAGCCTCCTCCACCACGGCCTCAACGGCGACAGCACCTTCATCGCATCGAGCGACCTCCCCAGAAGCCACTCCTCGACCACCGAGGCTGCCTCAGTCGGTCAGTGGTCGTTCCAATCCTCACGATCTATCCTCTTCCTTGGCGAGTAATCTGGCCTCGGCGAGAGGGATTCCGAGCGTTCGTCAAAAGAGACCGACGCCCGTCTCCCCTCTCGTTTCAAATCAACATGCCGATGGCCAAATTTCTCAGGATGATGCTCGAGCCAGGCAGACCATCTCCAGACAGGGCACAGATTCAAATGACCATTTGCTGTCGATGTCGCGGCAGGCAAATACCCGCCCTTCCTGGGCACCTCCTACGACCACCAAGTCGGATTCGGCGGACAAGGTCGAGGCTGAACACTCGACGGAACCGTCATCAGCTTCCGACGCTCCGTTCCAGCAGTTCTACGCAACATTTGAAAGTCTGGTCTCCAAGCTCAGCGCTCCGTTGGCATTTGCTGGCCTTCCACTCACGGTGCCCGCTCCGACAAAAGTCCAACCCGCTCTACAAACCCCACCCTCTCCCAAATCTCCCAAAGCGCCTACTCGCTCATCACCAGCACCGCCGGCTGTGGATTACTCCCAATTGATCTCCCGAGCGGCATTGCGCGCGGTGTCGGAAAACCCTGCCAATGGTCACAACCCGAGCGAGTCGTTCTACGTGGTCCCGACGACGGGTGGCACGGTGTCTTATGCCGAAATCATGAATCGTGCCGAACGTGAGGAACTGCGTGGTTTGCGGCACCACCGACAGACCTCCAATCTGACCAATATCTCGGAAGATGATTTTGTCGACGCTCAAAGCACGATCCTCCCACACAGCCGGACACGTGAGCCGTCCTCCAATCCGACTCTTGGCCGCTTTCGGCGAAATGGACCGGATGAAGCCAAAGTGGGGGGCAAGACGATGGAGGAGCTCTCGATGGAAAACCAAGCCCTCAAGCACCTCTCCGACACACTGTCAAAGAGGTTACATGTCTTTGAAATGTCGGCACAGACGTCCACCGCCGCGCTTACACAGAGTATTCGATCACTACATATGTCGCCGCTGACGACGCCTCTGCTGTCGCCCGAGAATTCACGGGGCAAGAACAGCGCCCGTCCTCTTGATACAGGGGGTGCCGATGAGGGATTGCTGAGGAGAATTGCCGAGCTGGAGGATATCCTACGCAAAAGTGACGCGAGGACCAGGAAGAAGGAGGAGGAAAACGCCAAACTCAAAGAGACCATCAGCAAGTACAAAGAAAAGTGGGAAAGCTTAAAGGCGGGTGCAAAGGCCCGACGCGAGAGGGAGCGAAAGGGTGGAGGTGAGAAGGGGGGCGATGCCGGTGAAGGTGCTAGTACGAGAGGAGCGACCGACGATGGTAATCAGTAATGGTGGAAGATGGTTCCAGGATGTATGAACAGAGCAGAATGGAATGATGTCCACAGTCAAAGTCTGGATTCCCTCTGAATGCGTTTGTGAGTGGTCGAGCCGGGTGTAGTCTCACTGATCTTCTCTCCAAGTGAGGATAGACCGACCTCCACAGCCTCCGTCATCAACGAAAGGGCATCAACAGCTGCTCTCCAAGTCCATAAGACATATACGGGCCAAATACTCTATCGGTGGCATCACACCAACCGATAACAGTAGTCAGGCCGCGTCAGAGAACAACCCGCTTCGTGCTTACCTCACTCAGATCAGATCATGTTCATCACCTCTGTTTCTTACATCACGTACACACACTGCAGAGACCAAAGGAGAAGGGAATCTCACTGCATAAATCTCCGAATGACCTGTCATCACAGATATTTGGTGGTCGAAGTCGATCTCCGAAGAAATTCGGAAGAACGAGTTCCGAAATCCGAATCTGTCGAACAATTCAAGATCCCACAGAAAGATTACTGATATGCTGCGCTAGCTCGTCACCTGGCTTGTAAGATCCTTCGTTCTTGTCTAGAATACACAACATTACGACGCCGACATGAATCCCGATGCTTCCAGGGGTCGGAGCCTACTACAAGTGGTTCTGGGATCAGTAATACCAATTGAGCCGCCACCCGTGGCCCGCGGGTCAAGTCCAGGTATTGTTGAGAGCAGGCTACTCGCGCCTCTACTGAGAAGTATCATTGGACTACAAGTGCCTCGGATTTCGCAAGGAGAGTCAGCACTGGTCGCCTGAAAATCCGGGGTAGGCAACAAGGCTCAAGGCTTCGACCTCGCGAATCCTCCCAGATAAGTCAGCAAAGAATACCACGCTGACTGGGTAGTCGCCAATTAAACCCACTTTCCATCCTAGAGGAACACTGAGGATCAGAAAATACCCGAATTGGACAATCGAACAACCTGGTCGAGCCAAGCGAGTCAGGCGAGGAGACGTCAGAAAAGTCATGCACGGCCACTCCTAAACTTCTTGTCCTTGACTTCGGCCGACCACGGATTTTGCCCACACAGGGAACCCGGTGAACAAAAGTAGAAACTCTTTTTGAGGTCCACTATCGTCGATTGAGGAACGACTACGAGCGCGGCAGTGGCAGCGGAGTTAGCGGAATTCATTCGATATCTGCCAGTGTGCCTCGGTGCAGAGTGAGACACCAGGAGGAAAAGATTCCTGACTTGATTCCACTCATGGCAATAATATCAACAGGCAGCCTCAGTTGCGTTGTCCTAACCCTTGGATCCTTGATGGCTCCAGGATGATTGCAAATGCAGCGGGTTAGGCTGTAGAGATCCAGGCTCCTGGTTGGCAGGACTTAACGGCTAACACTGACTCTGCTCGATCGAGAAGTGCCGTCGATGGCCACCGATTCTTAAGTCTCAGCTTCTGAGTAACCTCGGGGCGGATAGCCTCATGTAGGTAGATTGTAGGTGGGGTATCCGAGGTCGAGTCCACGATAAAACTCTCTTGCCAATCCTGGTCGCCTACCCCTCGATATGCCAACCGCGTTTATCCATAGGTTGGTGAGGTCTGGCGACATAGCGACCTAGTACCAAATCCTCGCTGATCTTGTAAACCCAAAACGAGAATGATGTTTTCGTGGAACCCTGACACATGAGTAGTCCGGTTCCCGAGGGTCAGTGTTTGCCATGACCAAGCCTGCCATGCTCTGCCCCGCGATGGAAGTTTCCTTAAACTCCACGAACGTCGTCAGTCGATAAGAATCTGGCCCTTTTCCTGTATACTGTAGTCTCAATCTCCCATTCCAAAGACACTGCAAACCCACATACAACACACATCCCATATAGTAGATATAGACCATCACATTATGGGTTCACTCGGAACTAGCAAAGACTTTGACGTCTTCAATGGCTTCTACAACACCATCAACGGCAAATTGACCACCACCGAGACGACCAGACACGGCATCAACCCCGCGACAGGGAAACCCAACCCAGAAGTTCCCGTTTCCACACAAAAAGATGTCGACGACTCGGTGGCTGCTGCCAAAGAGGCCTTCAAGTCGTGGTCCAAGGTCCCCCTCGCAGAACGCAAGAAGGCCCTCCTCGCATTCGCCGACGGTCTCGAGAAGCACGTCCAAGACTTTGCCAAACTCCTCACACAGGAGCAAGGGAAACCCGTAAGTGGAGTTCGCTGCCTGTAACGTTCAGATATGTCTGACAAGCTCTTGCATAGAACCAATTCGCTGTTGGAGAGGTTCAGACTGGTGTCCACTGGATCCGTAAATTGGCCGAGATCGAGATCAAGGAAGAGGTCGTGGACGAAGATGACGATAAGCAAGTCATTGTCAGATATACTCCTCTCGGTGTTGCCGTGGGTATCGTCCCATGGAACTTCCCCGTCCATCTCGCCTGCGGCAAGATTGCCCCTGCCCTAATTACCGGAAACACCATCATCATCAAGCCATCTCCATTTACCCCATACTGTGATTTGAAGCTCGGAGAACTCGCACAACAATACTTTCCTCCTGGCGTGGTTCAGGTATTGAGCGGCGATGACAACCTTGGCCCATGGTTCACAGCCCACCCCGGTCCAGACAAGATCTCTTTCACTGGTTCGACCTTTACCGGTAAAAAGGTCATGGAGAGTGCTTCCAAGACTTTGAAGCGAGTCACCCTTGAATTGTGAGTCCTTGTGGGAAGTCAAGAGTTGTAGCTCAATTTCTAATAATGACTCTAGGGGCGGCAAGGATCCCGCCATCATTTCCAAGACTGTCGACATCGAGACTGTCGCCGCAAAGGTACGTATTGATCCTTCGAATGGTTTCTGAGAACGATCATTGACTTCTCCCTTAGATCGCCACCCTTGCTTTCCTCAACTCTGGCCAGATCTGCTTGGCCATCAAGCGTATCTATGTCCACGAAGATATCCATGACAAATTCCGAGATGCCATGGTCGCTTTCACCAAGACTCTCAAGGTTGGCGAGGGTAACGAGGAGGGCGTCTTCCTCGGACCCATCCAGAACTCCATGCAATACGAGAAGGTCAAGACCTTTTTCTCAGACATCGAGAAGGAGAAGTGGACCGTGGCCGTGGGCGGCAAGAACGAGACCAAGCCAGGCTACTTCATCACTCCCACCATCATCGACAAGCCGGCTGACGACTCCCGAATTGCCACCGAGGAGCCCTTCGGGCCTATCGTGCCTCTGATGACCTGGCGCGACGAGGACGATGTTGTCGCTCGTGCGAACAATACTCTGATGGGTCTCGGAGCCTCAGTCTGGTCCAATGACTTGGAAGAGGCCAACCGAATCGCTCGCCAGCTCGAAGCCGGAAGCGTCTGGGTCAACACCCATCTTGAACTTGATCCTAACGCACCCTTCGGCGGCCATAAGAATAGTGGGCTCGGATTTGAATGGAGCGCCGCCGGCTTGAAGGCGTTCTGCAACGCTCAGACACTTTATCTGAAGAAGAGAGCTTGATTTGAGAGCAGACGGTGAAGTTTTCGGAGCCCTGGGAAGCCTTGAGAGCCTTTTTGGCACTCCAGGGGCGAATGTGTGGCGATACGTGACTCACGCATAGCTCAGTGTCTTCTCTGACTTCTGAGAACAATGCTAGATCATTTTAGATCGGATTTAACCATGTTGTCGCTCTTGAATGGGGTTGGTAGCGCGATGAAGCGGTCTTGACCCTTTGGCGGCTCAAGGGCTAGATCACTAGCACAAAATAACAAGAATACCATGACCGAGTTTCCAGATATAAAGCTATGATTGTACTGCATTCGCCATCAAGATGAGTTGATTTAATCCTTGTAAATCCATGGAAGGGTCCTGGTTGAAGGTGGGTGATAGTCTTCACGCTCAATGTCTTTAACCGTTTGCCGGATGAGCGGCTGACTTGGCAGCGGAGAACACCATAAGCACTGTGATTGACTTCTCGAATATCAATACACGATTATCTCGTTGACACCATGTAGATTCAAAGGTGTAGCACACAGTGATGTTGACCTCTCAGGCTGAAGGGGGATGGTAGCCTCAGGGGTACATAGAATCCGGTGGAGCATATCCCGCACATGTCCTTAGATATCCGTTCATGATCCACCGTAAAGCCAACCCCCTCCCAGGCTGGCTTCAACCTATTCGTCTTACTGGTGCCCTCCTGGCGTCCATCTCACTCACTCCCCAGTTTTCAAGTGTTTGAAAGTCGACGGCGATGCCTTGAAGAATTATTCGAAAGCCACCGCCATGGCGCTGTTCACTGAGAGCCCGGGAGACCATTTTGTCTCCCCCAGTGCACTGTCAAATCATACTGGCTCTCTTGTCGATGAATTCCCGTTGAATCCTCGTTTCCAAGAGCTACAGACCACTCTCAGGTCGTACCTCTTTGACGAGGCTCGAGGCACCAACAACACCAATGCACACACACCGGAACCACAAGCCCAAAGTCCTTCTGCGGTCGAAGGTCACCAACCGATGGTCCAAACTTTGGCGGGTTCGAATGACCGAATCCCACTGCTCAAGAAAATCAACTATCTCAACATCTGGATCACCGAGTGTGCTCCCTGGCTTGACATGTTCGACTCGGAGCGCCATTTTGGCATTCAGGTACCCATCCTGGCACAACGTAGTCCTGCAGTCCTCTACGCTTTGCTTGCCCTCGCGGCGAGGCAGAGTGAGAGGTATTCTGGCATGGACAACTCGTCGGAAGATTGTCTGGAACTGTACTCGCAAGCAATCTCATCGCTGGCCCCGTCTGTTGACGCCCGAAGCCCCGAAGTGCTCATCACCGCCTGTATCTTGTGCGTCCTCGAGATGATGAGCGTCAGTCCGAGGGACTGGCGAAGACACTCGGAAGGCTGTGCGGCGTTATTCGAATCTTCAGGCGTGAATGGTTTCTCCGCTGGACTCCTACAGGCGGTCTTCTGGTGCTACGCGAGAATGGACCTCTGTGCGGCCATCATCTCCAACGGCGCCGAGAGTACCACACTACCCATCACCAAATGGGCTCTGATTGAGACTCCGTTGGGATTCCCACAAGAGAGCCGCTCTCCGGAAGAGCTGATATGTGAAAAATTTCTAGAGAAAGGCGCAGCGGTGCCTGACATGCATGCCAACTATGCTGTGTATCTCTGTGCGCAGGCTTGTGATTTACTGGCCAGACGCACGAGGTATCTAGAGCTCGGTGAAGACAACGGTTGTACGCACGACAACTTTCGGCAGAATTGGATCGTGCTGTGGGACCGCCTTGAGCGTTGGGTTCAGAAACGGCCACCCCAGATGCTGCCCGCCGCAGAAATCGACTCACGACAAAATGACAACCATTTTCCGAGCATTCTGTTCGCCCATTGGGCGGCAATCTCGGGCAATCAACTCTACCACACTGCCTGTGTGCTCATGATGGAGATGGTCCCCCCAGATATCAACATGGGCCAACTTACGGGTTCGCACACACCATTGTGGCATGCTCGCTGCATCGTCGGCATCTCCTTGACAAATCCTCACCGCGGCTGTCTGAACAATGCCATCCAACCACTTTATTTGGCGGGCAAGTTGTTTACGCACCACGACGAACACAAAGTCATTATAGATCTACTGAACCATATCGAGGCGTGCTCTGGATGGGGCAGTCGATGGAGAATCAAGAGCCTCGAGAGCTTTTGGGGCTACCGCACAGAACGACGTACCACGAGAGTGGCCAGAGACTAGATCAAACCGCGATTCTTGGCCACGGTGAACTGAACGTGACAATCAGACACCCTCCTGGTTCATCCACCACCACCAACACTACAGCAATATTGTCCATTAGACCGGCCATTTAAGCGGACGCTCTTCTCTGGGCCTCCTCACCCCTGGTCTGCACATCCGTCACATATGTGTCAAACTTCCTGGCTGGGACATGTTTCATAAACATTTCGTCCAGCTCCTCATAGCTTCGGTTACGGGTCTCGGGTTGATACCACCAAAGGAAGGCGATACAAGGAAATGACAGCCCGCCAAAGATGAAGCCGAGTTTGCCCCCGAGATTGGCCTTGTCTGGGTTGAAAAGATACGGGAGGACAAAGGACCACATGATCCCCCAACAGCTCTGAAATGCGATACCGATGGCGATGGTCTTTGCTCGAAGACGAGCGGTGGCGACCTCGGTGAGCAGTGTATATGCCGTCGCGCCGATGGTCACATTGTACAGCCAGCAGTATACCAAAATCATGGCCACGGTCCCCTTGAGTGCGACAGGAGTCCCGACCACGGCGAGACCACCCATGATCCACAGGATGACGGTGAGTGCGGCCGTGCCGTAGACCGTCAGGAAACGACGGCCGACTTTGTCGATGAGATACCACGACATGATGTTCCCGACCATGGATATGACTTGCTGGACGATTTGCAACTTGAAGGACATTGAAGTGCTGTATCCGGCCAGCTGAGCATAATATGTCGAATACGAAGCGGCAAAGACGATTCCCGTAAACATTTGGACGGACAGAGGGGCAATGGAGACAATGGTGCGTCGAAGATTGGACCTGCGAAAGCACTCGGCGTAGGTCGCACCCTCAGTTTCTCTCCGGATCTCCTCGAGGGTGACCTGGATGTTGGCCAAGCGTTTGACGTCTTCACCCGACGTGGCACTGTAGCCCAAGCGGTGCAGACTTCGCAGAGCCTGTTCCTTGCGGTCCCTGCCCGCCAGCCACCACGGTGACTCGGGCATGAACCACACGAAAATGGCCGAAACGGCGGCGAAGCCATACTGGCTACAGAAGACGGCTCTGTAGGCCCAGCGGTTGGTGAATGTTCCGGTGCTGTTGACGATCAGAGAGACGGTGAATGGACCGACCGTGTAGGCGAGGGCGATCAAGCATGTCATCAACCCTCTCAGCGGCAGGGGGACAATCTGAGATCAATGTCAGCGCCAAGTCATGACTCCAAAGCATCCAATTCCGTGCTCACCTCGCCAATGTAAGTACCCGCCACGATTTGAATGGTACCAACGGCGAACCCGTTGAGGAATTTGCCACCGAAGAACATCTCATTCGTGGTCGCAACGAATTCCAATGTGATTGCAATGAAGGATACCGCGAGGGCGCCGATCAAGGTGTTCCGGCGGCCGATCGCGTCGGCAATCTGGGCAGCGGCGAGGCAACCGACGATTTGACTAAGACGACCTGTCAGTCACAGTGTACGATGATGTAGAAAGTCTGAGGATGTCCACTCACGAGGCGACCGGGGCACCACTGAAAGCGGACTGCCATTTCGTGCTCAGGACCCAATTGCCGTCGAAGAAGGAGCCAAAGTCCTTGCGAAACTCGGGAATACCCAGAATGTTGCCGGATGCCTGGTTCTCGAAGCTGACGAGCAACACCGTCCACACCGCGTACATACACCAGGCGAATGCCCGAGGGTTACGGCAGATGCTTTGCCATTTACCCTGCTGGTGGTCTTCGGCATTGGCGAGATTGGCGAGCTGTTGCTTCTGGTCGCTCTGTTCCTCGTGGGTGTGGACGTCCGCACCGATCTCCTTGTCCATGGTGAGGGTTTGTAGGTGACGACGGGGTTTGTCAACGGAAATTGGGAACGATCCTGTTGTTGTGGTTGGGAGTAGCTGCCAAACTCATGCGACAGTGACATAGTTTATATAGTGGCAAGATGCCTCGTCTCGTCTCGTGGTTACCCCCCACAGAGCCCCGGAATGTTGAACCCCCAGGCTGAACCTTAGCTTTGCGGGGTTTTGTCCGTGAGTGCGTGTGGTCTCCAAAGACGGTTGGCTTGTGGCCGCTTCGCGAGCCCGATCGGGTTTTCGGTGCCTCCGATCTCCTGAAAGAGGCATGATTCCGCCATGGTTGCTCGACGTTGACTAAACATTACTGTCGGGATCAACCCTACTCCAAGGCGTATGAGCCGTGTCGAGAGACCTTTCCTCAACGTACATCACGAGATGGCTGTGCGTCCCGAGTACACAAAAATGTCCGAGTCATCTGAGATATTAAAGCGTGGTCAAGGTATGACGTGAGGTTACCGAACGATATCGCATTACACCAGTTCGTCAATCACCGACTGCCTCAGGCGATTATTTCAACAGCCCAACGACATCGCCAGTCACCATGGTGGACAGATCGCGACTTCGAGTCTGCGAATCCAGGACTAGAGTGTTCATCGTGTCGGATATTTCAAACGAGCCAGATGACGCCGAGTCTCTGGTTCGTTATTTGTTGTATGCCAACGAATTCGATACGAGAGGGCTGGTGGCCTGTACCTCCAACTGGATGAAACGTGTGGTACACCCAGAAGACATGCAGAAGATTGTGCGAGCGTACGCCAAAGTCGTGGACAGCCTCAACCAAAATGTGCATCCAGACAACCAATATCCATCCGCTGAAAGTATCATGGACCTGATCACGACGGGACCCGCGCTCTACGGCAAAGAGGCTTTAGAGAAAGGCATCCCACTGAGCGAAGGAGCAAATCTCCTGATACAGAGACTCGACGAATCAGAAGAACCATTGTGGATTCTATGCTGGGGCGGAACGAATGTACTAGCACAAGCCCTCCAACATGTTCAGACCGAAAGATCGGAGAGCGAAGGTGTCAAATTCAGATCGAAGATGAGGGTCTATGCAATTTCCGACCAAGACGACACCGGGATGTGGATCAGATACCGTTTCCCGGATATCTTCTACATCGCCTCGGCGCACGGCTGGAACCAGTATGGCCTGGCTGCTTGGGCCGGTATCTCTGGCGACAGGTACTATGGGTTCGACAAAGGGGGACCCGATTTCACCAAATGTAGCAAGGAGTGGATCAAACAACACGTCCAAATCGGGCCGCTGGGCGGGGCATACCCAGACTACATGTTCATTCCAGAAGGCGACACCCCGACATTTCTATACTTGATCCAGAACGGTCTGGGCTCGTCGGAGCATCCCGGGTGGGGAAGCTGGGGCGGTCGCTACCTGCCAACGGACGTCGGGCAAGCGGGCAAACATTACACGGATGCGGTAGATCGTGTGGTGGGCAAGAACGGCGAGGTGTTTACGAGTAACCATGCCACGATCTGGCGCTGGCGTGATGCGTTCCAGAACGACTTTGCCGCCAGGATACAGTGGACGCTCGGCAAGGACGCCAGAACATGCAACCACGCTCCCGTCGCCATCGTCAACGACAGCCAGGGCGGACCGGAGCCTCTGCTCATCGAAGCAGAGGCGGGATCCACGGTTCAGCTGGACGCCAGTGCATCGTATGACCCCGATGGCGATGAACTGTCGTTTTCGTGGCTGCAGTACAAAGACGTCACCGCGACACAATGGTGGGTCGACGCAGAAGTCGAAAGCTGTCGCATCGAGGACGTGGACGAGAAGGCGTCCGGAAAGGTGGTGTCAGTCCATTTGCCGCCAGCCTCAAAGTGCGCGGTAGACATGTTCACGGGCAAGGCGAAGGAACGGGGCCAGGTCCTACACTTCATCTTGCAACTGAAGGATCACGGAACCCCACCGCTCGTGACATACAAGAGGGTGGTGATTCAAACCACCAACAAGGAATTAAAAGGTGGACGAGAAAATGCCGTAGACTCAATTGCCGAGGTGCAGCATGCTTTTGACGGGTAATGAAAAAGAACAACTAGTTGGATTTCAACGGGTTCTATTCTTTCGTTCTAAGCGTGGCCAAACCGATTCCCGTCCTCGTGTACTTCTGACTCGACGCTTTTGCCACAAATCGAGTGCCTGTACTTACCGTAAAGCGTTGTGTTAAGCACACCCTGACCCACACATCGGTCTCGGTGCCACACTCGCTCCAAAATCATCCACCTTGCGGTTGAAGGGGCCACCCGTGGACATCCATCTTCCCCATACTATGTGCAAGTGCTGCGTTGTTCGAGGTTGTGGAGCAGCCAGCGTCCAACTGTGGCTTTTTGAAGTTTTCTGTCACTCGAAATGTATGGTCCCAGATCTTTCGGCATAGGCTTAGGCTTTCACGGTTCACAGACAAACAAGTCAAAGATATTTAGTTGAAACATACACCGGTTGGTCATAAATTCCCAGTCTGGACAGGAACGGCGACATTATTCGACCTGCAAGTCACAAGCAAACGTGACATTTCGAACTCAATGGCCCCAGGGACGCTGATCGAAGAGAGCGACGATGTGAATGGGAATGGATATCGTGCCTCTCTTCATGGTACTGGAGAAACCAACGGGTCCAACAAAGCGACATCCATAAGTCCTATCGCAGCAGTATTACCTTCTCAACAATCAACAAGTGAAACCGACATATCGTCTCTCGTCGCCCATCTCTCGAAAAAGTACTCGAATCCATCGCTCCAGGTCACCCCCGAACACACCATAGAACTCTCAGATACGCCAATACCTCAACCTGGGCCGACCGAAGTGCTGCTTCACATCAAATGCTCAGGGATCTGTGGCTCAGACATGCATCTTTGGAAACACGGGCGCATTGGACCTCTCATCGTCAAAGGTCGCTGCGTTCTAGGTCATGAAGCGGCCGGAGTTGTCCTCGCGGCCGGGGATCAGGTCTCGACTCTCAGAGTTGGTGACCGCGTTGCCGTGGAACCCGGGATGCCTTGCCACGAGTGCTTTTTGTGTCGTAGCGGCCGATACAATCTGTGCGAGAGCGTCAGGTTCTGTGGCGTCAACGAGGGCTGTGACGGAAGTATTAGGAGATTCATGTGCCATGAGGCGCGATACTGCCACTTGATGCCCGAGACAATGAGCTGGCGACAAGCGGCACTGCTGGAGCCGCTGAGCGTGGTGATGCACGCGGTGTCGGAATGTGAAGGGAGAGTGGCACTGGGCAGGCCAGCACTGGTGTGCGGAGCCGGGCCGATTGGCTTGATCGCCCTGCTCGCGGCCAGAGCCAGTGGAGCCTGGCCGCTAGCCATCACAGACGTCGACGAGACGAGACTGGACTTTGCGAGGAAGTTGGCCCCCGGAGTGCACACGTGGAAGATTGATGCCGCGTTGACGGACGTCCAGAATGCAGAAATGGTGAGGAAGATGTTTGGATGTCGAGGTGACCGGGACGTCGAGCAAGGTGTGCCTGACCGAGATGAGTATCTCGCTCCTCAGGTGGTCTTGGAATGCACGGGGATCGAAACGAGTGTCGCCACGGCTGCTTACTCCTGCCGAAGAGGAGGATTGGTCATGGTCATCGGCGTGGGCAAGAGCAAGATGAACAACCTGCCGTTCATGCACATGAGCCTGGCCGAGATCCAGCTCAAGTTCATCAATCGCTACCGCGACACGTGGCCGGCCGCGATGAACGTCTTGGGCGAGGGCCGGGTCCTCAATCTCGATCCGCTGGTCACACATACATTTGGGCTGGAGAGCGCGGTGGAGGCCATGGACACGTGTGCAGATCGTTCATCAGGGAGCATCAAGATCCATATCGTGGATAACATAGACGTTGCGTAGCATTTTTAGACACCGAATGGGTAATTCATCAAATTAACACTAATACTTTTCCTAACCGTCATTATGCAAAAATCCTCAGTGGCTCGTGCAAGTAGAACCCAGGGTCGTTGAACCGCAGGCCAATGTTGAGCGCACTGATCGCTTCAATTTCCTCCTTTGACAGATCAAAATCCGTGACTTCGAGATTCTGCTTCAGCCGTCCTGCATTGTTGGACTTTGGAATCACCGCGATTCCTCGCTGGGTCGCCCATCTCAGGAGAACCTGTGCAGGACTTCGGCCCACTCGTTCTGCCGCCGCCGTGACGGGTTTCACGTCGAACAGCAGTGGAGTATCTGTTGCCCTGGCGCGGAAGGCGGGCGGAAGCTCGAGGAAGCTTTGTGGCCCAAAGCTGGAGTACGCGGTGACGGCGATGTGGTTTTCCTGGGCCATGGTAATGAGTTCCGGCTGCACCAGGTATGGGTGATGCTCAATCTGGAGAGACGAGATGGGGTGACGAGCATATGTCTGGATATCGTAGAGGGTCTGAGCTTGCGCGTTGGAAATGCCAATGGATCTTGCTATTCCAGAATCAACGGTGGCTTCCAGTGCTTGCCACGTCTCGTGGAGAGGGACCTTGGCGGTCTTGATGGTCTTTTGGTCTTTGTCCATCCACCAAGCAGGATATCGTAGAGTCTCGGGGCTGATGTATTCCAGGGAAACCGGGAAATGGATCAAATAAAGGTCGATGTACCCTAATCCCCACGCCTCATTTTGCGCTTTTGCCATCTGCGCGGCGTGATCCTGGCGATGGTAGTTGTTCCACAATTTTGTCGTGATGAAAATATCCTCGCGCTTCACGAGCCCATCAGCTATCGCGCGCTTGATACCCTCACCGGCTTCTTTCTCATTCTGATAGTCGTACGCCCCATCGAAGAGGCGATAGCCATTTTTAATAGCCTACGATATGTGTCAGGCCTCCTCGAGAGCCATTGAAGGTATTTGCTGATCACTTACGTCGTAGACCACATCGGCCGCTGTTTCGGCCGGCACTTTCCACAGCCCGAATCCCACCAAGGGCATCTCATGACCAGAAGCGAGCTTCACAGTGCTGGCCGTCATTTTGGATGGAGGTCTACCAGGAGCAAAAGGCCTTCTGTCTGCGAGGTGGCAGTCGAATCTCGAACGTGATGAGATTTGACATATGCGACATTCTATATGCCCCGGGCCAAACCGTCACCATCGATGGCGAGCCTCAGCTCATAGATCTCAACGCCGCTGGCACGGTGCAGAGCAAAACCGCGGTGACATCCTAGGGCGCCCCAGGCACAAAGTCAAAGTCACAAGGGCTGGCGGTCTACCCCTTTTCGGCTTCCGTAGGCACTGCTACCGAAAGCGGCACTCGGGCCAGATTCAAATACCACCATCCTTCGTGTCGATCCCACCTCAAGCCCGTCCAAATCTTGTGGTTCCCGATAATTGAGCTCTCATTACTTGAACCGGTAGTGGCAGGCATTTTCATCCAGCCCAACGTGTATCTGCGCTTGGGTGGTTCCATTCTCCAGCGCAAAGATGACAATAGTGCTCTCTGGGTCGACCAAGCCATGCACGAACGTTCGAAACGCGTCAAGACTGGGTGCTTAACGTGTCGAACCAGACGGAGGAAATGTGATGAGCAAAAGCCCAAATGCGCCAATTGTATAGGCAAGAGTCTAAGCTGTAGATATGGGCCTAATTTGACATTTGTTCCATCAAAGCTCCAAGAACTCATCGCACCAGGTTCCACTAGACCCTCATCACCAGCATCACCAGTCGTGCCGACACTCCAGACAGCCATCTCCCCGTCCGGCAATCAGCACACACCGACCCAGGACGACATCGGGTTTGACATTGATACTCCTGGAGAACTTGGCAACTTCTCAGCCGGTCTAGAGTTTCAACTTGGCTCCACGATCTCTGCACATGTGGACAGCGTTCAGTCGAGTAACAACCTACTGGTCGAAGATCCCCAACCTCGTTACCAGCCAGCTGAGCATCTGGTACCCCAAATCGATGCCAATCCACACCGAAAGAAGTATGAATTGGAGCTGTTCACGTACTACCGATATCACGTGGCTCCCGTTCTGGATTTGGGGCTGGGAAGCCTGGCCTACGGCGTTGGGGCGGTCCTTGACTCTATCGCGTCTGAGACAATCTATCATGCTATCCTCGCGGTGGCGAGTCTTCACCGAGCTGTCTTGCGGTCTCCAGCCCAACATGTAGACGAGGCCACTGGGATCATCTCGTCACACCTCGCTCAGCAGTCGATCGAAGCATCAACAACCAGACACTGTCTGAGTTCCAAAGCCTTGCTGCTCTGGAGGACGCTCTTGTCAACGCCGGTTCGTTCATGGTCATGCGTCGGCCCCAGCGTCCTAGAACATCTCAATTGCGGTGTAGAGTTCCTTGAAGATTGGCAGCTGTTGACACGACTTCATCTCGCCACGGTCTTGGCCGACCTTGCCACCGCTCAGCCAGTCAACCTCACTCCGGCACCTCTGAATACCATTGATGGCAAAGAATCCGAGCATCTGAAGCAATTGAGTGTTGCCCTTTGGAATCTGGAGCAAAGTGTCGCCCTCCAGAACCCCCCATCACCAAACTCGATCAATGAACGCTTTCCCCTCGCACAGCGGTGGCTCGACCGATGGCGAAAGCTCCAGAATTGGTATCACGCGAGATCTGATGATATGCAGCCCATCGTCGAGGTCCGAGAAGAGGAGATGTCTCAATTCCAGCTCAAGGAGACTCTGATTTTCCCATGTATCGTTTTCAGCAATGCTTGTGCCGTCGTTGCCAACGTCGTACATCACGTCAACGCCGTGATCCTGCTCCGGAATAAACCGCGCTTGACCAAAATCACGGGTCAGCCCAAATCTTCGACATCACTCCTGTGGCACGCCAATCGTACAGTGGGAATTATCTCGTCCGCTGCGGATGCCAAAACTTGGGACCCTGTGTTGATTGCCGCCTTGGTGTGCATCACTCGCCAATTCAGTCATCCAGAGCAAATTCGGGCGATACAGGACACGATGGCTAGGATTCAGACCATCTCTGGTGTCCACGTGCAAATGAAATTCCAAGATACAAACGACAATGATAACGATGGATGACTCGAGGGCACAGCTCTTGGCAGATACTTGCCACTCATGCAGTGGCAACTTGGTGTGAGGGTGGCTCGATTGCCTATTTGGGCATAATTAGCCATATGCAAGATGCAGTGGGAACGGTTCTATATTTGTGGAGAGCCGCTGTTCGAATGTGGAGGCCACATACTGACACCCGTGCTCACTAGTGAATGGCTCGTCGTCAAATACCAAAACCACTGTTGACGACATCCGAGTTCGTTCTGTGCAAAATCTCCATTACTCGAGTCCATCTCGCAACACATTTCCATCACCGCTGCTTTGACAAGCACCATGTCGCCCATTGCTCTCCAAGATGTCGGTGTCGGCGTGGCTACAATGTCGGCGTTGAAGCGACAACCAACAGCAGAGCAAGGCGCGGAGAGGCATGAATTGGTGTTGAAAACGCTGAGGTTGTTGGTCGCCGACCTCGTCCAGCAATTCAATGGCGGCCACCCAGGAGGCGCAATCGGAATGGCGGCCATCGGGGTGGCTCTGTGGAAGTATACCATGCGATATGCGCCGCACACACCAAACTGGTTCAATCGAGATCGTTTTGTTCTGTCAAACGGCCACACTTGTCTTTTTCAATACATGTTCCTCCATTTTGCCGGGTACCGGCAGATGACGTTCAAACAGCTCAGGTCATATCATTCGTCTCGCGAGGATTCTTTGTGTTCTGGGCATCCTGAAATTGAAGTCGATGGGATCGAGGTCACCACAGGCCCCCTCGGTCAAGGTGTGGCCAACGCTGTGGGCTTGGCCATGGCGACCAAACATCTCGCCGCGACCTTCAATCGACCTGGCTTCGACGTCGTTTCGAACCACACTTGGTGTATGATTGGTGACGCTTGTTTACAGGAGGGCGTCGCACTCGAAGCCATCTCTCTCGCGGGCCATCTTGGTCTGAGCAACTTGACGATAATTTACGACAACAACCAAATTACCTGCGACGGCTCGGTCGACTTGACAAACACCGAGGATGTCAACACCAAGATGACCGCGTGTGGATGGAACGTGATTGAAATCATGGATGGTTGCTACGATGTCCACGGCCTTGTCGCCGCGCTCGCTGAAGCGAGACGGTCAGAGAACAAACCCACCTTTATCAATGTACATACCATCATCGGCCTAGGGAGTGCCCTCGCTGGTGATGCTGCGGCGCATGGGGCGGCATTAGGCGAAGAAGATGTCAAGAACATGAAAAGGACCGCTGGGTTTGATCCTGACAGGACCTATCACATCCCGTCATCGGTCCGAGAATTCTTCGCTGATCTCCCTGCTGTTGGGGAGCAACAAGTGGAGGCGTGGAACCAAGTGCTATCTTCATATGCGGTCACCCACCCAGATCTGGCCGGACAATTCGGCTCGCGTATGTCAGGAGCCTTGCCACAAGGCTGGGACCAGATCATCCCCTCAACCTTTTCATCCAGTGCAACAGCGACCCGAGCATCATCTGGTCTTGTCCTAAATCCTCTCGCCTCATCGATCCCGAATTTCATGGTCGGTACAGCAGATCTGAGTCCTTCGGTGCACATGGCTTGGCCTGGGAAGGTCGACTTCCAGCGTCCTGACCTTTGTCCCCAATCTGGTCCAGTAGGCAACTACCGGGGCCGCTATATCCACTACGGTGTGCGTGAGCATGCCATGGCCGCGATCTCCAACGGCCTGGCCGCTTTCAACCCGGGCACCATTGTCCCAGTCACGTCCTCGTTCTTCATGTTTTATTTATACGCCGCCCCCGCGGTACGTATGGGAGCTTTACAACACTTGCAGGTGATCCATGCTGCGACTCACGATTCCATCGGCATGGGTGAAGACGGGCCGACACATCAACCTATCGAATTGGCTGCCCTGTATCGAGCAATGCCCAACTTGCTGTATATACGACCTGCGGACAGCGAAGAGACGGCTGGAGCGTGGATAGCGGCAATCGAGGCAAAGCACAGCTCCAGCATCATTTCCACCTCGAGGCACAAGGTAGCCCAGTTTCCGGGTATCACCTCGCGTGTCGGTGTGCTGAAGGGTGCCTACGTTGCCAAAGAGGATGGCGGTGCTCAGCTCACGGTCATCGGAGTGGGCGCAGAGTTTGAAATTGCCGCTGCCGTCGCCGACGAGATGCAGACCAAGCACGGTGTCAAGACTAGGCTCGTCAGTTTCCCTTGCCAGCGGCTTTTTGAAAAGCAAGACGTGGACTACCGCAGATCAGTTCTTCAGCGGCACAGAATGCCCGCTGTCGTGATCGAGGCGTACGCTGCTCAGGGATGGGAGAGATATGCTGATGCGGCCGTCTGTATGAAGATGGATCGCTTCGGTAAGTCTCTGCCGGGGAAGGACGCGTACAGGTATTTCGGGTTCACAACCGGACAGATCGCGCCGAAGATAAGTGACTGGTTGCGGCAACGGAGAGAAGGCAGCATTTTGGCTGGAGAATTCACAGAGATTTGATATAGACGTCCCATGTAACATATTGAGGAGGCCCTTAGAGCTGACCATGTGATGCACATGTCATATTTTCAGGGTGACAATAATGGCGCAATATGTTGTTGGCAGACTTCGAGGCACGGAGCAGGGAGGTCAGCCTTGCCACACACTCCGGCGGAGCACTGTAAGATGCTAGCCACGCCCTGTAGTCCACCGTAAATATTGCCAAGCCCTCCCGGATCTAACCAGATGCGAAAATATTGCGGGTAACCCAGGCCTGAGGACAGACAGCGACTTGGGAGTAGTAAAGGAGTACTATTTCGAAATCGTGTGCCGTCATGCTCATTCTTCTGAGTTCGCATATATGATACTCGACTGGCGATACGGCGTTCGTCCTTCCTGGATGTTCGCTCTGACATCAATTCCAACAAATGGCATCTCCTCCCCCTCCGGCGCCACAGCCAGCACCTGCGACTAATGGCACCCCCGAAGTCCAACTCGACGTAGCCAAACTACACGCCTTGCCCACCGAGCAGCAAGACCTATACCTCCTCACTTTCGTGTCGGAACTGCAAAAACATGTCGAACAACTGTCGACCGATGCCCTGCCCGTACACCAGGCCTCGATCAAGAAAGAGATCATCAAGATCGTGGGACTCGGTGCACCGGTCCCCTCGCGCGTGGTCAGAAATACGCTGGGAAGCATATTGGCAGACTTGTTTGGACGTGGCACTCGAAGTCTGCTATATGAGACCATCAATGAGCTAGTGGCCATGCTCAACACCGGGAAGCCGGACAAAGATCAAAGTTCCAAGCACGCTGCGGTGGTCTGCCTGGGCGAGACGTTCCGTGCTGCTGGTGACAGTGCCATCAGTCTTTCGGGACTTGTGGTGGCAACGCTCCTCAAACTACTCAAGACTTCGCACACGGGATTGAGAGGTCGAGTCTTCAGGGCTATCAGTGGTGTCGTCAAAGGAATCACCACCAGCCTGGACGAGCACGTGGCCAGGGATATCTGGAAGCAAGCCCGAAATGCCGCTGCAAGTGAGAAGTCCTCGTTCGTCCAAAGATGCGCCTGTGTTTGCCTCAGAGATCTTCTAGGGGAGACCGCCTATTTCAACAATTCAAGCGACTTTGACCACCTCAAGACGGCTATCTGGAAGGCTTCAGATAGCGCTGTGCCTTCTGTCAGGCACGCTGCCGCGTTTGCATTGGCAGAGGCCCTCCGACAAGCATACTCAGATGGCAAGGGCACCGATGTACCTGTGATCCGGAAACCAAAGAAGTCCAAAAAGCCTGGTGCGGACTTGGACGAAGAGCTACCAAATGAGCGGCCCGGCTCACCGAATCCCAATTCCGCCAAGTCGGTGGTCCGTCTCTCATTCTCCCTAAATGAAATGCTCCGGGTGCTTTCGACCCAGTACTGCAAAGCAGCCACAACAAATCGAGCACGAGCGTGCATTGCCATGTGCTACAAATATCTCCTCCGAATGTTACCGCGCAAGCTTCTGGAGGAAAACTATGGTTCGTTGGCCGTTCGCATGTATGCCGACCTTCTCAACCATCCGACGATTCACTTCAACCGATATCGCATGCTGCTGACCAGAAAACTGGTACAGGGTATTCTGTCAAGTGTCACCAGCCTCCTCACCGAGAATGCCCAGATCAATGCTGCAAGGTTCATCATCAACGAGGTTCTCAAGAATTACCCCCAGGTCATGCCGGAACGGAGAGAACCTTCAAAACGGATCATCGCCGGCGCTTTGACCACGTTGACAGATTTACTTGAACGTCTTGGCCCTGCCGCGAGCATATTTCAAGACTCTTGTCGAGAAGCACTCTTCCAAGTGGTGCAACATCCCAGTTACACGGTTCAAAGCCACGTCAGCCATTGCTTCCGAGCTTTTGTTCTGGGATGTCCAAGTCAGCTTTTCCGTAGCATTGAACATGCTTTGGGCGAGGTACAGAAGGAATTCCAAGCCTCTGACGGCAAGCCACCGCATAGGAAATCACTGGGCTACGCGATGAGCATTGCGGTGATGACGAGCTCCGCCCGACAACGGCCGCTATACGGCTCCACGCGCATTTATTCCAGCATATTTACATTCGCCACAGATCTGTTGAAGTCCAGTGCCGCAGCCGAATTGCGGACATCGGCCAACCAAGTCCAGGTGGCCTGGACGCTGATCGGTGGCTTGATGAGCTTGGGACCTAGTTTCGTCAAAGTCCATCAGAACCAGCTCATGCTTTTGTGGAGAAATGCACTGCCGCCACCCCTCACCCATGAGAATGCCGCGAAAAGGGGCCACTTGGAGTTGAGCTTCCTCTCGCACGTTCGCGAGTGCGCATTGAGTGCCCTATTGATGTTTCTTACCTCCTGTAGCAGTCTAGTCACGACCGACGGCTCCAAGCGTATATCGACCATGTTACAAAACACCATCCAATTCTTGGAGAGTTTGCCGGCCACCCGAGAAGCAGAGGACTTGTCACACCGCCTGGTCCCCGCCCTACAGTTGCAGGATTTCGCCATCATACTGCGACGGCGTGTTCTTCAATCTTTTACCGCTCTGATCGGTTTGAAACACCTCGACCAATCCGAGGTGGTGTCCCAGTCCGACCTCATCGGTCTGACGATGCGGACTTTTACAGATCCTGAGCGACCGGTGTTAAAGTCCCTCGAAACTTCACTTGCAAGCGCAGCGAGTAATTTCGAGGGACTGTATTCGACCGGTGACAATTGGAGCTTCGGAGTCAGCAGCCTGGTGGAGAATGTTGATACATATCTTCATCTACAAAGCCGAGCGCAAACAGAGGTCGTGAGATCAACTGAGCAAGAGGTTGACTTCCCGGACAAGATCGTGAGTGCTTCGGGTTTGCCGGCGATCGAACATGATCCCGTCTTGCTGTGCCGTCACGACGCTGCAGTGGACGACGCAGAGATCAGCTCCCCTGCGACATCGTGTGTTAATCTTGCCATCCGGTTGTTCGCTATATCGTTCCCACTCCAGTCTCCTCGAATCCAAGAGAGCACAGTCGAACAACTCATCACCACGGTATCGCAGCCTCTACAACGGGAGCCGGGCCGAAAGGCTGCCATGCAGGTCAATTCAGCTTTGGCCCTTCTCTGTGGCTTCGCCGTTGCAAACAACGAGACGCCGTTCGTGGCCGGCAAGCTTAACGTGGTTGCAACAGGCGGTGTGATTGTTGAACTACTCGGCAAATATGTCTGTGCCGCAGACTCTGTCCTTCGTCACATTGCAGCTCGCGCTATCGGTCGCCTCTGCAACCTCGCAGGCACTCAGTTTACAAATAAAGAGGTCAAGGTTCTTATTGACACCATAGTCGCCAATCGAGATCCCAACGCTCGTGCCGGGTGTGCACTGGCATTAGGCTACATTCACTCGGAAGTTGGTGCCATGGCGGCTAGTTTACATATCAAGTCCATCGTCGGCGTCCTGCTCTCCCTCTGCAGCGATGGACACACGACGGTTCACTTCTGGGCGCTGAAGGGGCTGGTCCAGGTTGCCGAATCCGCCGGCCTCGCCTTCTCGACCTATGCCACGAATACTCTGGGCCTCCTCGCTCAACTGTACAGCAACGATACGCACAACGAGGAGTCGGCGTCGGTTGCTACTTCTAACCTTGAGCTGGAACTATTCTCCCCGTTAGCGCTGGGTGAATGTATCGATTCCATCATCAATGTCCTGGGCCCTGACCTGCAGGATGTGTCGAAGGCGCGCAACCTGATTCTCATCTTGATAGGCTACTTACAGCAGGAGGCGTACGTGCAACTTCGCGCTGAAAGCTTCCAATGCCTCCGGCATTTGTCACTGTATGCCCCGGCTCACATCCAGTTCTCGAAATACGTACAAGACCTACAGATTAATCTAGCGTCTGAAGAGGGATTGCTCCAATTAACAGCGGTTCAAGGGTTGGGGGAACTGATGAAACGAAATTCCGCCGAAGTGGCAAGGGTGGCAACTTCCAAGCTCAGCGATGATTTGTGGACCCGACTGGACGACTCAACCAACGACGTCGCCGTCCAGGCCATGTTACAGAACTGGATGCAACAGACCATTCTCACCAATCCGGCAGAGTGGATCGAAAAGTGCCAGACGATCCTGTCCAGGACGAGGGCGAAGACGGAAGCACCCTCCAAAACCGCGACGGTGACTGCAAAGACAGCTATGCCGGATCTCGCTGACGACGAGGTAGCTGGATTCGCGGCAGCCGTTCAAGGTGAAAGTAGTGACCCTGCGCCAGAAGGACAAGAGTTCCTCCGCTGGCAAACTCGAGATTTCGCCATGCAATTGCTGAGCGAATCCATGAACATTATCCAGGCTGCCATGTTGTCGGAAGAAGTCATCCACGCGGAAGAAGTGCTGCAAAGCAAGGTCGCCGAGGTCATTCGCGTGGCTTTTTCAGCTTCGACAGCAAATGTCGTGCAACTTCGGATCTGGGGTCTTCGGATCATCGACCAGATTTTGAAACTTTTTGGCAAGACCCCGGATCCGGATTTCCTTGAAGCGTCCCTACTCGAACAATATCAAGCGCAAATCAGTTCGGCGCTGACGCCCGCATTTGCGGCGGACTCGTCCCCCGAGCTAGCGGCGGAAGCCATCGGGGTGTGCGCGACCTTTGTGGCGACGGGAATCGTGACCAATGCAGATCGCATGGGACGAATATTCAAAGTTCTCTCGATGGGGGTGGAGAACCTCACACAACCCACTCCGGAGCCATCGATTGGCGATCTCAAAGACCTGAGCCCCAACGCCCAGGCGATGTTGAAGATGAGCATCTTGTCAGGCTGGGCGAATCTTCAGCTGGCTAGTGGTGAGCAGCCATACCTGGATGAGATCTTGCAGCCCTTCATTCCGAAATTAGCGCCGCTCTGGCTCACTTCGCTTCAAGAGTTTGCCGGGTTGAGATTTGAACCCGAAATCTCAGACACTCTGGGAGGTGAGGTCGCCGGTGGCAATCTCGACGAACGATACGCCTCGTTCAACCGGGAGGTCAGGCTGAAGTTCTATGAACAGAATTGGCTGAGCATAGTGGATGCGATTGCTGTTTTGGTGGAAAGAGACAGCGAGTCGGTGTTTAGTGCGCTGGACAATAAACGCATCTCATCCCTTGACGGCCAGACAGATACCTCCGCTCCCTCGGGTCGAGACATGAGCTTCAGAGAGGAACCGGTGGCGTTCTTTTTCATTCTGTTTGGCCTCGCCTTCGAAGCATTGGTGACTCAAGCACGAGAAGATCCTTCACAGGTCTTGTCCATCCTGCAGGCGCTGCGGAAGATCCTAACCCCGGCCGTCAGTGGACACGCGATCTACGAGGAGGCTGTCTTCAACGAAACCACCGACACGCTCGATCGACTGGCGATGACGAGCACCCGAGAAACACAGAGTGTGCTGGTGGAGATTGCACGAAACCTTTCGCTCGACCACTTGACGGCCAAGAGTCAAAACCGTGACGACAAGCTCTCGGACGATATTGAGCAATTATTCGAACTGACTCGGATCATCATCTTGGTGCTGACAGGTCTGATCCCTACTCTCGAAGATCCTCCGGGGCAAGCCAGCCGTCGCCTGGGAGAAGAAGGGATGGCCTTGGTGGAACTGTCCTTCAAGGCACTCGTGGACGCGGCGGAGGTATTCCCAGCCATCATTCGAGCCGACTTGCACGCTTGCATCATCCACAGCTACTGCACCATGCTCGCCACGGGGATCTGCCAAGACGAGGTACTCCCTCGCATCATGCCCATCTTCAAATCGTTCCTCCAAGATGTCGGCCACGCGAATCCTGGAGAAGCCGGTTCTCGACTGATTCGCGGCTGTTTGCACCGGATGCTCGCGACTCTGACTGTTGCCCAGCGCCGCGAGAACGACTCTGCCATTACTTGCGCCAAGAACACGCTGCTGTCCATGACGATCCTCATCACGACCGCAAGTGAGCTCATCCCGGCGAATGATAATCTTGTGCGACAATTTCTATCTGAGCTATTGGATTGCCTACAAGATGTTGGACTCGCCAAGATCGCTGCAGGCTGCATTCGATCACTCCTTCTCGCCAAACCCAAGAGCCCCTGTGAAGAGCTCATCGCACGGACATTGTGGATGCAGTTGATCCCCTTCATCGCCGATGAAGAGCGAGATGATCCAGAGAATGTGAAACCGGCGCTCACGCAGTCACTGGTTGCGTCCGTGACCACGATCCAAACGAGGGGCCGTTTTGCCGCCACCTCGATCCTGGTGCCCGTCCTGCTCCTCCGCGCAACTCATCGCTCGTCACCACCAGGGGCTGCCGCCGGCAATGACAACAATCGCAGTGTCGAAAACTCGCGCAAAGAGAGTGCAACGCGACTCTTGGAGCTTGTGGCTGCTGACCAGCTCGCGTTCAAGGTCACGGTAGGCTTGCTCAATGAAGAGCAACGCGTGGATTTGGAAAGTCTGCTTCGTGCGGCGGGAGTTGGGAAGCGCCAAAAGGCGGAGGACAATGCCGAGGGCGCGGATGCGGACGCTCGTCCGGCTATTCAGCTTCGGATGGATTTTGATTGAGGTGGGAGGTGGCAATGATGGTAATGAGGATATAGATACATCAGTATGAATATAAAATTCAAATCATGAGGAGGGTCCTTCGTACAAGGCTCCTGGCCCTTGACCAACACCCGAGGGATGCCCAGAGCTTAGTGAGCTTTAAGCTGTGTAAGGGCCTAAGGAGCCACAGGGGCTGGCTTGTCGCTCACTCAGGCTACACGGCAGAGACTACTCCTAAGTAAAGTTCTGATGGTTCACGGTATTTTCATCGCCGTGGGGTGGCTTAAGTGAGTGCCGAGCCAGTGAAGAGCCAGGACGTCGGCCATTTTCTATAACTGATCTGCGTAACCCCGCCCGCCAGTGCCCACCACGTCAGTTCTGTCCTATAATCATCCACCACAAATGATTAAGCCCTCGGGACTGCTGGGGAGTCTTGCTTAATCATCGTTCTAGGTGGTTCAACGCCTGCGACGAGAGATGCCATAATCAGCAACGATCTCAGGCATCCCATTCACACGAACAATTGACAACGCTCAGGGTCTGCTCTCCTCTCCTCCGCGTTCACTTCTAATTAGCAACCACCTACCACATCGAGTAACCCAGGTGGATGCTCAGAGTAATCAGCCCGCTGCCTCGACTTTCTTCCTCTTCGTACTCGTTTGTCATATTCCCGAACCTCCATACTCGGCTCTTTGACTACCTTGCTGTCGTCAATTCCATTGTCGCCGTTGCCATTGCTCGTTTTCCTGCCTTGTCCATTGCGCCGTCGCCCTCATCGTCCGCATCACCAACCTGCACAGATTGATTCCTCTGAACCTGCAGACCCACTACAATGTCATAATTGGCACGCACGTCTCCCCCGTGCAGAATCGCATCGATGGACGAACTTTTGGGTGACGATCTCCCCCTTGCGGCCGGCAGGCTCTTTGACCGCCTGAGTCAAGTTCCGAACTATACCTGGGACCGATCGGTAAGAGACGCAGTCTTTCCCTCTCGACATCGCTGACGCCTATCAGTTCATCCCATTTCACACCTCGTACGACGCTTGGTACGCAGCCCTTTTGGTCCCCAGTGCGCCGATATACTATTTGACTGACTGACCGGCGATTCATCTAGGCATGTATACGGCATCCTACACAACATCGACGTCTTGAATCCTCGATCCTCCATCAGCACCCTGACAAGTTTCTCCCTCCCCTCGGCTTCCTCCAGAAGTTCCCCCAAACTCGATGCCCATCGTCCTTCTCTCCGACACCATCACTGGAGCAGTATTAGCGGTGCCTCCACCGACAGCGACAACCTGTCCTCCAAGGATGAGCCCGAACCAATATGGCAGCCGGTCATTGCCCGTATCAGCACGCATGTCTTGCGCCTCGAGAGAGAATTCCACTACAACCAGGCCATCATCAAAGATGCCGATCCGGACTGCAAACATACAATCAAACCCATTGAGATGTTCCGCTTGCCCACCACCCCGGGCGACGCCAATTCAATGCTCGTTTGCGTCTACGAGGCCCCCGGCAAGAATTATCTAAAGGAGATACTAGACTTTGGTCCTGCTTTCTATGGCCTGCAGCACCGTGCTCTCGATCCGCCCGACCGCGTCACTCCGGGCGAACGAGTCCCCCTCCAGGCCTTCCTCGATTTCGCCATTGGGGCCTCAGAAGTCCTGGAGTTGCTACACCATGGCGCCAAGTGCATTCACGGTGAGATACGGGCAGACACATTTCATTGGAACCGCGAGTCGAATGTCGTCAAGCTCATGAGTGGTGGCAACGGTCCTCGTGCATATGAAAACCTTCTTTCCAGTGAAGGCTGGGCCACCATGAGCCGTCAGTTGGGAGTGAAGAACAAATTACAATTCATCGCCCCGGAACAGACAGGCCGGCTGGCTGCAGAACCAGATAGTAGAACGGATATCTACAGCTTGGGTGTCATTTTCTGGACGATACTTACCGGTCAGCCCGCGTTCGACGCCGAGACCCCGATCGATATCGTCCAACGTGTCCTGGCACATCGGCTACCCATGGTGACGGCCATCCGGATGGACATACCCGACGTGATTTCCCACATCATCTCCAAAATGACCCAGAAACAAATGGATGAGCGCTATCACTCAGTCAGTGGTCTGAAATATGATCTGCTGCAAATCCAGAAGATGCTTGGTGAAGGCGATCAGGAGAAGATCAGGCAGTACAAGGTCGGTCTGCGTGACGTCTCCTCCTTCTTCATCCTTCCTTCCAAGCAGTTCGGTCGACACACCGAGACCGAGCGCATAACCAAAATCATCGAAAAAGTCCACAAGCGCCAGGGTTCGTCCCGACACCTTCCGGCCCAGCAGCCGCTACACAGTGCCGCCTCGAATTCTTCCATTTCAGACAGCCGCGTTGATGGCTACGATGACAGGGAAGGCTCCGAGTCATCCGGGTCTTTTGGCTACAGAGAATCACGGAGTAATTCGACCACGATCGGACTGGACGGTGCAGTGTTCAACTCGAGCTTCAGCGCCAAAAGTGGTTTGCTTGCCAAACGAGGCAGAGGCACCCCACTAGATGTCTTGTCAGACCGAGACAGTAATCTGTCCGGTGGAATGCAGCCATCTCCCGACGGACTGGGCATGATGACCAGACGGAGAAACAGTCACAAGTTCAAGCGCAAGAGCCGAACCGAGGTGGTGACCATCCTAGGTCCGTCAGGAGTGGGCAAGACGACATTACTCAAAGCCGTACAGCCTGCGATCCGTCGTCACGGGTATTTTGCCCTGGCAAGATTTGACCGTGCACGACCTTCCCCTTTCGAGCCGTTGATCAAAGCAATGGCGAGTCTCTTTCGACAGATATTCTCAGAGAAAGATGTCAACACTCCGTATCACGAGCACCTCCGAGCACACGTCACCCCGTTCTGGCCCATTCTCTCCTCCATGCTGGATTTACCCGCCACGCTTCTGGATGTCACCATCTTGTCCAAGAAGCTTCTCATGAAGCCGGACACTGCAACCCAGAGCATCAATACCGAGGTTCCGACGGTCGACAGTTCGGCCAAACCCCATTCCAACTCCGCCGCCCACAACGCCTGGGACGCCAATGATTTCCTCCGGGGCCCAGCAAGCACCAAATCCATTAGACTGATCAACACCTACATGGATGTCCTCCGTACCATCGCCACCGGAAAATTGATATGTTTGTGCCTGGATGACCTGCAAGCCGCAGATTCAGAATCAATAGAACTACTCATGCATATCATCAAGGCCAAGGTGCCGGTGGTCCTGTTGCTTTCGAGCCGGACCGAAAACGGGCAGCCTCACGAGGGCACAACGAAAATTCTGGACCTAGATGCACTCAATAAGATAGAACTGGGCAATCTGCGCGAAAAGCACGTTTTCGATTACGTGGCAGCCACCATGTCTCAATCTGTCGACACGATCGTTCCTCTGGCGGCCGTGGTGTACGCCAAGTCAGAGGGCAATCCGTTCCTGGTCAAAGACATTCTTCAGACTTGCTACGAGCGCAACTGCCTGTACTATGACTATCGAGCCTCGGGATGGTCCTTTGATCTGGACAAGATCTTTGACGAATTCAGCTCACGCGGCTGTCTCGAAGCTGGTTACATCTCCAGACGTCTCGAAGAACTCCCACCAGCCTCGAGGTCCATCATCGCGTGGGCTTCGCTCATTGGAGCTAGCTTTTCGTTCAAACTCATTTCGGCTATCATGTCGGGTGAACTCTTCTACAAAGATGGACGTGATGGGGGCGATGACGCTGCGTGCCCGAATCGAGTCAAGCTGTTCAACCTGTCCGAAACGGATCTCGTCAACGGGTTGCAACAATTGGTCAACATGTACATAATCCAACCTGGCGACAATGACGACGAGTTTCGATTCACCCACGCCCGCTCCCTCACGGCCGCAAATGAGTTGCGGGAATGTCAGAATGTGCCTAAGATGCACTTCATCATCGCCCAGACAATGATGACCTACCTGAGCAAGTGCAAGTTCAACTTGTATCCTCTTGCCAGACATCTTTGCATGTCTTCGGATATTGTGAAGGAGAGATGCCCCACGAGAATGCGACACCGTGATGTCCTTTGGAGAGGGGCTCAGAAAGCCAGTGAACAAGGAGCGGCGGAAACCGCTTTATCTTATTACCAAACCGCGCTCAAGTTGCTTCAAGATGACAAATGGAACACCGACAACCCGGATGTGCATTATGACGAGACACTTCAACTTCACGTTAATTGCGCGGAAGCGATGTATACTCAGGGCCAATTGGAAGAGGCTTTAGCCCTCCTGGAAGAGACCTTCGAACACGCACGCTGTGCGGCAGACAAGACCAGGTCCTACATCTTGAAGGGTCGGATTCTCGCCACGCAGGGCCAATTCCTTGATGCCTTTGCCAGTCAGCGTGATTGCTTGACGGAACTCGGCCACCCTATGCCGGAGATGACGTGGGATGAGTGTGATATCTGGTTCAAGCAATTGGAATTCCGCCTTCGCGGGATCGACAGGGCAGAGCTCGTTGCGCGACCGCTAAGCGAAGACAAGACGACGATTGCCCTCGGAACAATTTTGAGCGAAGCTCTCGGCGCCTTGTATTGGTCAAACGCCCAGCTCTGGTATCAATGGGTCATTGGTTATGTGAATGCTATCCTCAACTGTGGCAATTTCGTGCAAGCAGGTCTCGGATTCACGATGCTCGGTGCCGCTGTCATTGGTCGCTTCAAGGACGTCGAGCTAGGCATCAGCTATGGCGAGATTGCACAAGACTACTTTACACTCTATGATGATTCCTGGACTCGGGGACGCGGCTGGACTCTATTTTCATTATTCATCGGCCATTATCAAACGCCGGTTCGGAATCTACTTCCGATCCTCGACAACGCCCTGGAATATTCACTCGCTTCTGGGGACAAATTCGTCAGTATTCTCAATATCGGATCGATGGCGCTGTCCAGATTTTGGGCGGGCCAAGATCTCGCAGAGGTCGAGGCGTTTTGCAACTATGGCCCGGAAGAATTTGAGGACTGGATCAAAGATCGTCGGGGAGGCACCCTGATCGTCGCCACCAGACAAGTCACCCGAGCCTTACAGGGAAAGACTCTGAATCAAGATGCCAAGACACTTCTCAACGACCAGGACTTTGTCATTGACACGTGGTTGGCTGACTGTTCCAAGTATGCGGCCAATGCTGAGCGTCCTAAAGATATCTGGCACGCCGTCTCCATCGTCGCCTATTACTTGATGGGATACCACGAGTACGTCGTCGAAGAAGGCCGACGGTTGGTGGCGACCACGCTGGATGATCTCTGGTCTAACAGACCGGTGTGTGGCACTCGCTTCTACCTGGGCATGGCGCTTGTGGCCGTCGCCAAGACCAAACCCGAGGAAGAACGTGCACCATACATTGAGGATGCAAGGGCAATGAAGAGATTTATCGACGAGTGGGGCAAGGTCAACGACGTGAATTACCTGGCCTGGTCTCATATTCTTGAAGCCGCCATCGCAGATGCCACAAATGTCTTTTACCAGGTTGTTTCCAACCTCGAGATCGCCATCGATCATTGCCAAGTCCACGGCTTTTCCATCGAGGAGGCTTTGGCTGTCGAGCTGCAGGCCGAATTTCTTCTCGCCCGTGGAGCGAAGCGAGCCGGGAAAGTCATGATTCAAGAAGCCATCGCCGCATGGAATAGGATTAGTGCAGGCGGTAAAGCAAAGCAGTTGGCTGAGAAGCACGAGTGGCTGATCAAGACCGCTACCACGTCCAGGACCATGGATGCCGTGACCCAGACCGAAGATTTACATACCCTGACGGCGAATGAGGAGGAAGCGCAGATTCAGAACAAGCGCGACTACACCAACGCGTGGGTTCAGCCGAAATCTGGTGGTCAGGCGCACCCTCCGCAAGACGTCCCTGGTCTCGGGCTCGACATTCTCGATCTGACGTCCATTCTGGAATTTTCCCGCGTCATAAGCTCGGAACTTCAAATCAACAATCTGTTATCCAAGATGATCTCGGTCATCCTGGAGTCGGTAGGGGGACAGGCCGAATTCTGCGCGATTGTCATCGACTCGGAAGACCAGGGTTGGTGCGTCGCTGCGAGCGCAGACCACGAGAGCGGTGTCAAGACGTATCCAGACGGTATCCCGTTCTCCGAGGTTGACGATCAAGCTGCGCAGCAAATCACACATTACCTCCTTCGGACCAAGGAAACCGTCTTTGTGCAGAACGTCCTCGAGGACGACCGCTTCTCCAATGTTGGCGAGGCATACTTGACACGACATCCAACCGGACGTTCCATCATCGCGATTCCCATCATCCAAGCCGATCACTTGATGGGAGTCATCCACTTGGAAGGGCGGCCGAACTGTTTCACTCAACGGAACATGATTGTGTTGAACCTCTTGACAAATCAAGTCGCTATCTCGCTGGGAAATGCCCTCTTGTACCGAAAAGTCCGCAAGGTGAGTGCATCAAATGCCAGTATGGTCGAATCACAAAAAAGAGCATTGGCCGCCGCCCGCGAGGCAGAGGCCAAGGCGAAAAAGGCCGAGGCGGAAGCCATGCACAATGTGAAATTGAAAGAGGAAGCAGCCAGAGCGAAATCGATCTTCCTTGCCAACGTCAGCCACGAGCTCCGAACTCCGCTGAATGGAGTCATCGGCATGTCGGAACTTCTCAAGGGAACTCCTCTCAGTAAAGACCAGGAACAATACGCCGACAGCATTCGAGTGTGTGCTGACACGTTATTGACCGTCATCAATGATATCCTCGACTTCTCCAAGCTCGAGGCGGGCAAGATGCAAATGTTCACGGTGCCTCTGAGTCTGAAGGAGACAATTACGGAGGTGGTGCGGGCCTTGGCATACACCAATCAGGAACACGGTCTTCAAACCATCGAGGATCTGGCCATCGAGGAGAACCTCGTCCTTGGGGATCCTGTGCGGCTTCATCAAATCTTCATGAACTTGTTGAGCAACGCGTACAAATTCACGCCCAAGGGCTCTGTGACGGTCCGGGCGAGGAAGATCGCCGAAACACGGGACAAAGTCAAGATCACATGTTCCGTGGTCGACACAGGTATCGGTATCACACAGGAACAGCTGACCCGATTGTTTCAACCATTTTCCCAAGCAGACTCCTCGACGGCCCGCTCATATGGAGGCAGCGGTCTCGGTCTCAGCATTTGCAAGGCGATGATCGAGAACGTCCTTGGGGGCAAAATTTGGATAGAATCCACTCCTGGTGTAGGGACAAACGTTTCGTTTACTCTTACCTTCCAAAAGGCACCCAAGAATAGTAGCAAATATGAGGACATGAAAATCGCCGCCAAAGACCCCGACCCGATGGCGAATTGGTCGCAAGCCGCGAGTCCAGAAACGGAGCCGAAGAACTTTAGCTTCTGTGATTTGAGCAAGATCCCTCGAGAAGAATTACGAGTATGTATTGCCGAAGACAATCACATTAACCGAAAAATCGCCATTACCTTTGTCAAGAGAATCGGACTCAAGTGCGAAGCGTATGAAGATGGTCAGCTCGCGTATGACGCATTGAGAGCCAAGAGTAAAGAGGGGAAGCCGTTTCACTTGGTCCTCATGGATGTTCAAATGCCCGTGCTCGATGGCTATGAAGCCACCAAGGCCATCAGAGCAGACCCGGACCCCAATGTCAGCCAGGTACTGGTGATCGCAATGACCGCTTCGGCGATTCGTGGCGACAGAGAAAAATGTCTCGAAGCGGGCATGAACGACTACCTGGCCAAACCAGTGCGGCAGAATGTGCTCAAAGCGATGCTGGACGAATACTTGAACAACACCAAAGCAGCTGTGCGAGCGGCGGAGAAAGGTGCTGCGACGACTCCGGCTTCAGACGACAAAGCACCCAGCGTCGCAGAGAAAGACGCCTCGGAGAAGAAGGCCGAAAGTCCGATTGAGAAGCAGCCAAACGGAGAGACACCCCCCAAGTGGGAAGAAAAGCCAAAACTGAGACGCCCCTTTAAAAGAGTCATGAAAAGAGTCAACTCCATTCCCACAGAGACAAGCGAGAAGACAGATCGTGCTGATAGTCCCCCAAGTGGGAAGCGGGAGACGGACGAATTGGGAAAGATTAGCGTGGAGCAAGTCTTGCCGAAGGCGACTATCGATGTGGGGTCGCCTGTTTTGAATGGTCACCCCAACGGTTGTACCAATGGGTCGATGCCTGACGGTCGAGGCAAGAAAAATGAACCTGTATCAGAGGTTCAGGGACAAACAAATGGCCATCAAGTCAATGGTGAGTAAAGACGACGACAACAGAGCACGACACCAGTGAACTTCAGTATGTCAAGAGGGCAGGTTATCAGCCGGATTGGTCACGACTTCATGAATCAGACATGATGTTTTGCGTTTCGGAAAGAGTCCTTTTTTAGTTGGACTTGATATAGTATAGGTTCCCACGGTCCAAGCATTGAGGGGGATCCCACCGCCAGATCTCCAAGTGGAGTGATAGACACTTTTTTTACAATGTTGGATCGCTTCTTTGCATCCTAATGCGGGAAAAAGGGGAGGAGAAATTGGTCGTCGTCGGGACGAACTCGGTGGCCGCAAAGGGATGGATGGATTCTTTGACACCATAACAGTTGATTTATCCTGTAGAAGTACGAGTATAAGGATGCACAAAACCACTTATGTAATAATTGTCAGATACAGTGACCTGTTCAGAGCACTCCGTACCTCGTAAGGAGGATGTATCTTGATCTGTGATGGTGCTTCGAACCGAGACACGAATGGAGCCTCAAGTCTGTGTGACAGTGCCAAAACTGCTTCGAACTCCGTCAACCGTCGAACTCAATTGAATTGAGACTGGATTCTCGGGGGAATTGACTCTCGCAACTCTTTTGCCATCAGTGGTCGATCTCGCATATGGCAATAGTTGATGATAGTCCCTTCTGCTCCCATGTTCCCCGTGCGGCATGTCTCTCTCCTGCTCGGCGACTAACCCAGAGTGGACTAGCCGTGGCTGAAACGGCGGGAGATCCACAGCCAAGAAAATCTTTAAGCGGCGCCTCAAGCTTTACCAAGTCGGACGTCTATCCTGCCAATCACATGGCCCAGCCTTTCCACCGTCGACCTCAATTTGTAACTCGTGCAATCTTCCCCTGCAAGCGCCCAGGAGCTACCAATTCGCTTCTCTACAATTCTTGTCATCCACAGCTTTCCACGCGAGGAGGTCGACCTGGACACTGGACAGACACAGCCTCGATAGTGGACTATCCTCAGCTAAGAGCTTAGCTGTCCAAGCGACTCCAGAGTTACCTCAACCGCGTGCCGGCCCAGTCGTGTCTGGGTTCGTGCCAGTCCTCGACAAACCCAACACCTCCTGATTTGTTTCGAAACACTGAATTGATTTTCAACTTCCTTTGTCCCAAGGCTGGCTCTTCGGTCAAGCCGCTTGACTCGTTTGGACGCCCCTGTCTGTCATTCCGTGTCTTCATTGGCCTTCCTCACCATGCGGCTCTCCCAGCCTTTGCTAATTCTGGCTCTGGATGTCCGAGCCTTGCGCTCGCTACAGTCGAGAACCGCCATATCCGCTTGGGAAAGAAAAATCATGCTCATGTTCATCGCTTCAACCACCTCGAAACCTGACCGTGGCGCGCGCCTTGGTGGACGGACCACCGATTGTCTGTGTCCCCTCTCTTCAAAATGTCTTGAATTGATGTCTCCGCTACCCAGCTATGGAGCACACCAGTAGTGTCGTTGCATGGTCTATCAAAACATGTTGATGGTGGAGTGGGGTGTTTCGATGTTCATGAATTCGAATCGTGACTTTGACGCATCCACGGTCACCCATACCATGAGGTTTTCATACAAATGTAGGTCAAGTCCTCCTTGGAGATGACAAGCTTCTCTTTCCTCCTCTCCATCCTCATCCCTCTTGGTCCTTTTGAGTACCATCACTTTCGTTTTTTCCTTTTCCATTTTCATTTGCTTGATCACAAAAGCTAGTCTTTCGCTACAACCACAATCGTTACACCTCAAGAAGGTGGCCAACCAACAATCGTTACTGCTCAGTTCAGTTCACACTTGCTTCTCTATATATACTATCACAACCAACGCCAGCTAAAGCATAGTGATTTTGATAATCACCATGAAGTCCGCATTGACTGCAGGGCTTGTGGCCTCTGCCTTGTTCGTGCAGCAGGCTGCTACGACGAGCTGGGGTGACCAACCAAGCTTCTCCAATCCCGGCAACACCAACAATAACTGTACCGTCGATCAAGGTAAAGGTTTTGACTGGTCCAAGTTGCCCCCCGGTGGCTTCAACAACTACGACGGCTTCAACTTCGGTGGATTTGATTGCAAGGATTCCTTTCAACCAAAGAACCGCAAGAGGTCCTTGGAAACTCGGACCGGCTTTCAGGTAAGCCGAATCTAGCCAGCAGAGGATCGTTGCCGGAAGCTTGAATACTGACATGGGATCGAACAGTCGAAATGTATTCAAGGCACCATTCCCAAAGGTGGCAGCAGTGGACCGAAGATCTCTTCGGGACAAGGCGACAAGTTCTCCATCACCCATTTTGACGTTTCTGTCGCGTTTGACACCGACATTGACTTCATCTTCTCCATGCCTGATGGCTCCAAATGCAAGCATACTTCTGCCTGCAAGGCTGGCGGCTCCACAGTGCAAAACTCGCAGTGCGGTGGTGCGCATGAGGTTACGTTCCAACTTCCTCCAAAGGGCGGAAAGGATTGTGATTTCGGTATCCACTCGATCGGCTTCGAGTGTCATTCGACTTCCAAGACGACCACCACAACCAGACCTCCTCAGACGACCACTACTAAGCCACTGACCACAACTACTACTCCGCCAGTCACCACCACCTCCTCCAAACCTGGAGAGCAGCTACCACCACCCCCAAGCACTACAACGACAACCAAAGGTGGCGACGTGCCCCCTCCTCCGCCTCCTCCTGTCACGACAACCACGACCAAGGGAGGTGATGTGCCACCGCCTCCTCCACCAGTGACTACCACAACATCAAAGGGCGGAGATGTTCCCCCTCCTCCACCGCCTCCGGTCACTACAACAACCAGCAAAGGTGGCGATGTGCCTCCACCGCCTCCAGTGACTACAACGACCAGCAAGGGTGGTGATGTGCCTCCTCCACCACCTCCGGTGACCACTACGACGACCAAGGGAGGAGACGTACCACCTCCCCCGCCGCCACCAGTGACTACTACGACAACTAAGGGAGGTGACGTCCCGCCGCCACCGCCTCCTCCAGTGACCACTACCACCAGCAAGGGCGGCGATGTTCCACCACCACCTCCTCCACCAGTGACCACAACGACAACCAAAGGCGGTGATGTGCCACCTCCCCCTCCTCCACCAGTCACAACTACAACCACCAAAGGCGGAGATGTTCCTCCTCCCCCACCACCGCCAGTTTCAACCACCACCACAACTCAACCCGGCGAGCAACCACCTCCACCACCCTTCACATCCACCACCACTACCAGCACAACATCCCCAGCACCACCCCCAACCACTTCACTAAGCTCATTCACCCTCCCACCTTTCACCAGCTCAACCACCATCGTGACCCTCACCACCACTACCAGCAGCGGCTCGTTCCCTCCACCACCGCCTCCACCAGACCACGACTCGCCATGCCCACCAGTCCTCCCGCGCTGCCTCAACACCTGGCTCAGCCTCGTCTCCAGCTGCCGCAGCAACAGCGACCACGCATGCTTTTGCCCCTCCGCAGACTTCATCGCAAACGTTCAGTCCTGTGTGTCCGCATGGTCTACGTCCGACAGCGAAATCACCGCCGCACTGTCCTACCTCGCAGGCATCTGCGCCGACTTTGTGCCCCAGAACCCCGGCATCTGCACCGGCGTGCCCCCAACCATCACGCTCGTACCCGAGACCGTGACTGCCACCGAGACCGTCACCGCTGGAAACGGCCGTGGCACCAGACCCCCCGTTGGCCCTCCCTCCGGCGGCTTCAATATCCCCGTCACAACCCTCACGCTGATCCAGACCCGCGGCGGCGAGACCATCACCACCGCATACACGGTTCCCCAGGTCGAGTTTGTCACCACAGAGTCAACCGGCACCGCCACTGCACCGGCTGTTGGCCTCATCCCTGCTGTACCCGCGTTGGCGACTGGCACTGGCTCTTCTGGCTCAGGTTCAGGAGCCCCAGCCGCAGGCAACGGAGCTGGCTCGCCACCCGCCGCCACCTCCACCGCCGCTGCTGCTGCGGGCGGTGCTCCCACAGGCACAGCATCCGGCACCCGTCCTACCGCTGCCACCTTCACCGGCGCTGCGAACAGACAAAGCGTCGGATTTGGCTTCCTCGCTGCATTGCTGGCTGTCGCTGCGTTTGTCATTTAGAGGGTGAAAAATATGGTTTTTGCTTCTTGGGTTACTTCGGCGTCGGCATCAGCATTGATTTTGGGATCTATGTTTCACCCACATACGTTATGGTTTTTAAAAACAAACGCGTAATTTTTAGTCACGGTCTATGCGGCATCACAGCGCTGCTTGAAGTTGTATATAATTTGCAAAAATGGGGGGAAACATGAAATATGTGTGGAAAAGAGGAACACGAGTGAAAAGAGGTACAGAACTTATATATACTATGTTATATATACAAATGCATTCAAGGGAGACATCTTCCCATGATCTTTATTTGCTTCGACTCATCTTTTTGAGTTTGTCTTTTGTTTGTGGACTTGAATCTTTCTGTTTCGTTTTGAGTCACTTGGGTCCCGTGTCGAACTAACTAATTTATAAGCCCTCCGAGGGTTTAATGCGCGTGCCCCTGTGTGATGGACATCGGAATAGGTATGATAATCAAAGCATTGCACTGCCGAAAGTGATGCGAAGCAAGTCCGATCTGCCAGAGTGGTCGCAAATAGAATTTGTTCAAGACGAGCTTTTTTAAACAGAAATGGGATCGGAAGCCACTTAATTTAGGTTGGAGAAGACGTGGACCCTGTCACTGCATGGATTCATTGAACTGCAGACTGTCACTTCTTGTCGTCCACCTCAAGACCCTTGTCCTCGAATGTGACTAGAAGTCTTCACGGTGAAGGTTCACTCACAATGCGATCGCCGGCCTTTGCCATTGGCCAAAGAGATCTGTCCGAGGTCGTCAGGGTCCAAGACCATCAATTTCAAGCTCATTCAGGAACTTGTCGGTTTGCGCCTTAGCTCTCTGGGCGGCAATCAGCTTGCGTCGTTCTTCAATTTCCTTCTTTCGCTGAGATTTTTTGTCTTCTCTCTCCTTGCGGGTACTTTCTGTCTTCATTCTCTCCTTCTCCAGAGCTTCCATTTCTTTCTTCCTCTCTTCAGAATCCTGACTGAAGGCATAAAAGCCAGTGCCCTTTGACCTCACCTCTGCACTTGCGTTGTAATGGGTTTCAGGTGGAGGGGTAGCAGATTTGTCCCGCTTTTTGGCAATTTCTGACATACGATCCACGATGACTTGATCTGGGTTGAAGGCAGAATATTGGATTGTGTCTCCAACGATGATGTTCTCTGGCATAGCTGGCCGTGCAGAAGAACGTGCCTCCTCTTCCGCAAGATGAGTTTTGGTGGCCTTTCGTCTCTCTTCGCGAGCAGCTTGCGCCTTGGATCCTTTTCGAAGTCGACCAAATTCATCTAGGTATTCCACGACTTCATCCTCATCTGTGACATTGTCATCTTCCGATTCCGAAGTCTCGTCCCTGGCGGTGCCATGTGCCATCTCCTTCTCGGCCCATTTCCGATCAAAATCCACCAGGCCACCTTCGTCATGGTCAGTCCGACCAACGTATTCTCCACGCTTCATGGCATTGTATATCCTGACCTTATCCTCCATTTTCCTCTTGGACCTATGCAACTCTGCGGCGTCAACGGAACCGATTTCATCTCTTGTTTTGTGGCGCTGTTGACCATCTTCGAGGTCCGCAGCTGAGCGCTTTTTGACGTTCTTGTTATGGGCTTTGAAGATGTCTGTTTTGGAGTTTGAGGGTCGAGGTCGGCCAGATGTGGCTTTCTCTTTACTCGACGATTTACTGGAGATTAGTGAGGCAAGATTGGAAGAGAAAGCAAGGGATGTGGATGAGGAAATCTCTTTGACTTTTGTTTTGGAAGCCTGCTTGATACCATAAAGACTGTCAGCCATGGCACCTACTGTTTGCTGTGAAGCACTTGGAAAGTCCGCAAGAGGTCAGTATGACCAAGGCGGCATGATTATTGGCAAGGCTTGATGATCGTCAAGATTGATGCATGTCCGTCTTTACTGGAAGGCGGTTCGTGTCGCAGCTGGTACAGTACGAATTAGGGATATCAGCCGATCACGTGTGGTTCTGCCAAGACCGGCCTTCTAGAGCAAGTTTGCCGACCTCAGGTTTAGGGGCAATCATGTACGAATCTATCTACTTCGTAACTACTCACCTAGGCATCTACATTGGGTATTTCTGGATAGACACATTCATAGCAGCCATCGCCGATTCACCGGTCGGTTAATTACGAGTGGCAGTCAACATTTCACTATCGGAGTCAGCACCGAAGGATCTGTGTCGAAGGACTTGGTGGAACCACTTGCATGGTTACATCCACGTTGTTGGAGAAGTGAACAGCGGGGATTCGCGCTCCCTCCAACTAAATCCATATCCTGATCAAATACCGACCATGGCATGTCGATCATTTAGTCCAACCCTGGGAAAGGGTCACCGGACATTATTCACGTATCGAGGAGATGGACGCTCGCTTGACGTGTGTGGCATGGTCCCTGGTAGTCGGAATTCTGTGAATGATAAGCGGTCGAAAATCCAACGACCTTCCAGCTGCTGATGTGCAAGGTCCGCTCTCGTGGAATCTTTAAAACTCTTGTTCCAGAAACACGAGCAAGCTGTGTCAAAACCCATTTCTCTTGCATCCTACTCCTCGTGCTTCTTTTTCTCAAGCTCATAGGGGAGGCGAGCAGATAATCGACCATGGCGAAACCGTCAGGATTTCGGACCTATCTGAGGTCTGAGAAGACACCAGAGGAGAGGAAGCTCTTACGCAAGGTCGATTTCTTCATATTAACATTTTGTTGTTTTATGTGAGTATATTGGAAACGTTGTGAGCAGCAACTGTGTATGAACACTTCCATGTTGCTTGCCACTACTCAGATTGATACCATATTCCTATTCATTTCAACTGACATGCGTGAAGGTACTTTTTCAATTATCTCGACAGGTCCAACCTTACTCAGGCATATGTTTCTGGCATGAAAGAAGACCTCAACTTCAAGGGCAATCAGCTGACCCAGATTACTACCATTTTTACCTGCGGGTACATCGTGTACGTCCACATTACTTCGCAGATGATACAACAGTGCTCACTGAACCTCACAGTGGGATGATACCATGTAATCTAGCCCTCTACTACATCAAGCCCCGGATATTCTTCCCTTCCATGGTTGTTCTCTGGGCTGCTTTGACCATGGTAACTGCCGCCGCAAGCACTCCCCACCACATCATGGCCATCAGATTTTTTGTCGGTATGGCTGAATCTAGCACTTTCATCGGGACCCACTACATCTTAGGTTCGTGGTACACGGAGAGCGAGCTTGGTAAACGGAGTGGAATCTTTACCGCTTCAGGCTTGGCCGGCACCATGTTCGGCGGTTTCATCCAGTCTGGGATATACAAAAGTATGAACGGACTACAGAATCTTGCAGGCTGGCAATGGCTCTTTATCATTGATGGCATTATCACCCTACCAATTGCGGTCTATGGCTTCTTTTTGTTCCCCGACACTCCATCAAGAACGACAGCGCCATATCTATCCGCCGAAGAACGCGCACTGGCGATCTCACGAGTGCCCGAGGTCCCTGAGCAAAAGCCACTCACGTTCGCATTTGTGAAGCGCGTCTTCAGCTCCTGGCAATTCTATGGATTCGTTGTACTCTGGATCATCGCTGGAGAGACCGAGAGCTTCAGCACAAATAGCTTGTTGGCACTGTATATGAAGGCCAATCCCGACAAGAAATATTCGGTATATCAACTGAACAATTATCCGACAGGGGTCCCAGCTGTCGGAATCGTCTCAACGTTATTTTGGGCGACCCTCACAGACTTTCTGGGTGGGAAGAGATACCTGGTTGCATACTGGATCGCAATCACCGGAGTCATCACTTCCGCCATCATCCTCGCTCCTGGCACCGGGATTGGAGGACATTTTGGTGCATATTACTGGGCGGGTTCGGTCTATGCGTGTCAAGCGACGTTCTTTGCGTGGGCCAACGACGCCCTTCGGTACGAGGAAGATTCTCTGCGGGCAATCGTTATCGCGAGCATGAATCTTGGAAGTAATGCGGTCAACGCCTGGTGGTCGATCGTGTTCTACTCCGCAAACTTTGCGCCGAAATTCACAGTGAGTTCCTAGAAATCCGAGAGCAATTGGAAACGCTCTTTACTGACGAATACCGTAGCGTGGTATGTGGGCGATGATCGCAGTGAGTATCTTGATGGCTATATGGGCATGTGGACTACAAATTATGCAAAGAAGAGCTGCCAGAAACCATGTTCACTCCACAGAAACGGTGGAACCAAGAGACATCGAGAAAGAAATGGTCAGCGATACGACGAAGGTGTAAGCAATTAGGAGCAATCCATTAGACCCGCAAACTGGATGGAACTCTTATGAGCATTTCGAATCCCAGTGGAAGTCGACATAGTCGTGTCTAACTTAGTACATGAGTTCGAACATGTGGTCGGGATACTGGAAGCCGACCCTCATTGACGGTGTGACCCAGTATTAAGGCACGGATCGAACAAAGCCTATTCCGTTCTTCAACATTCACCATCTTCGCACAGTTTATCAGGGTTGTACTACTCTCAGAGTGTTCTATCTGCCGTGCTAGCTTCGATGTCTTCCTTGAGTACCATCTAGTCCTTCCTCATGTGACGTACCCTGATTCCCCACATGTTGTCCAGGGAGGCCGCCTGCCACACTTGCACCAAAGTGTGTCGAGCATTGCTCCTGTGGTACCATGCTTCTTGCCATTGCAAACATATCCCAAACGTACATATTACCTCGGCCGAAAGCTTGGCAAAAGTAGTTAAACTGCTCCTTACTACTCAAATTCCATTCTCCGGGTCAGCCATAATCCTATTGATAATGTCACAACGTCGCGATTCCTTGTCATCCAGCTGTTCAACTTCCAAGCCCGCAGCAGTAATGTTAAGAAAGCTGCCAGTGCCATAGAAAGGCCACTCGGCACCGGAATCAATCTCCAAAGGCTCGACTTGATATAAAAATTTCCAGAGCAACGTCTGTAACGATTGTGCAATGCCCACATCTTTCACGGGAGTTGTCTCCTCGTCTGTGAAGAAGTAGTCTTATCCAAGATGTCAGTATTAGCACATGTGTGTCTGATAGAAGATAACGCTAGTAGGCAAGCACTTACAGAATAGATCGAGACCATGATACGCAGGCGGAATCGACATGATATACCTCCTAGTTGACGTGTTCGCAGCTTTTGCCAAGGCTAAAGAGTGGCAGGCAAACACTGCGTCGGCAGTCCATTGCCAAGCGAGTTGTTCTGGAGCCGCATCTGGCCACTGGTAAAGTGATTGAATCGTGGAGATTATTTCATTGGTCGAGGAGGGAAGTATTCTTCGGACAAGCTCTGGGAATGCTTCAGGCATATCGCGATCGGAGGAGGTAATGGCACCCTGTAATAACAAACAGTCTGTGAGAATACAAGAGGGAAGCAGAAAGGATGAGGGAACGCAAGTGACAGACCTCATTAGCCATGTTGGCGACGATCATGCTTCTGAGCCGACTTAAGCTCTTATCGAGAGTTGGGTTCGCTATCGGGAGTTCAGGCACAAGGAATTCATCGACTATTGGCCCGAATCCAATGCCTGGCCCAAGATTGCCTCCTCCGCTAAGACTCGGGGTATCGTTGATCAGATAGCGATTTATTTCGCGTAGCGCCCCTTCGTTCATATCCAGCAGGCAAACCAAAGAAGAGCAATTTGCAGCACTCAAAATGGAGTCAAAGACGTCCTGTCGCCGCTCCGTGACATTTGCTTTCAGAGACAAAGCCGGAGATGACAAAAAAGCATGTTGAAAGGGTAGATCCACGCTATCTGGACTTGCAGACAAGAGTTCGACCATTGCTGCGCCCGTGCTCTGTCCACCAGCCGTAAGCCTGCTCGGATCACCTCCGAAGTGGTGAATATACCGTTCCGACCATTTCAACGCTGCCAGCCCATCATATAGTCCGACATTCGGCTGCGTTGTCTCGTCACTCGGGGAGGATGCCCAGCCATAGAGGCCCATGCGGTAATTGCTGACCACAAGGATGAAGGGTGTCCCTTGCGAAAGTAATTGGTCAAAAAGTCCCAATGGGGTGAATCCCAACTCTTTTGATCCGAACGTATATGCGCTACCATGCAGCCAGTGCAGCACTGGAACGCCAGCACTGTGAAGAGCAGATGTGGATTTCTGGCAGGAAAGTACATCTGGTACATAAACATCAAGGAACAAGCAGTCCTCATTGCCAAAGACCGTGCCGTTGAGTCCCGGAAACAAGGCTTCCGCTCCTTGCGGCACAGCGCTTACACATTGCGTGTCCTGGGAATAATTGCCCGACCGAACCACACCCGGTTCGTCCCAGAGAGGCGGAAATGCAGGTCTGTGAAATCTCTCCGCTGGTTCTGCGAACCGGATGTTCTTGTACACGTTGATTAGATAGCCTGAGTTGGTGAGGTTCTGATAGGCCACTTGGTGTCTCGTATAGCCTAGATCGATGGGTTTTGGGTCTCGTGGGCAACCAGTCAACGGGGCTGCTATAGTTGTACTGGACAGCAGCAAGCCGAGATGCAGAAAGAGTGGCCTCATGGTGACATTTGTTGCGCTTGAAGAACTGGAGGCCGCCGTCCCTGGGGCATGCTCAATAATTAATAGTCTGTCGAATATACCTCGAGTCGTAGTTCAATGGCGCAGCACAGTTTAAGTAATCGACAGTCTTATATACCGGGTTCTCCGGTGATGTCGGCGATATAATCCATGGGAAACTCAAAGGTTGACGTATGCAAAGCGTGTTTAGCCTTGTGAAGGATGGGTTTCTGAGTCAGAGCAATGATTGGCCAGAAAGCAACTATATATCCGAAAGAGGAAATCGAGCAATACGAAGCCGCTTTTGTGGCTGTGCATCGTATTCGGGATGGCAAGGGGTCTCTTGGCATTAAACCACCTTAAATGCGGACATGACCAGAATTCTTTGGATTCGAACATCAATTCGATTTCCTCATTCGAGTATTCAGTATCATTATGCCGTATGCCGAATTGGATGAGGCTGGCAAAAAAGGACTGGGCGTAATCAAGCTGTCAGCCAACGAACCTGGCATCTGGTCGAACCATTCCTATCGGCCGAAGCGTACACATACCAAATCGAGGAGCGGATGTTCAACATGCAAGCATAGGAAGATCAAGGTTCGTTGACTCCATTCACATAGACAAATGTCCCATTCGTTTGTCTGACAGTCTGCGGTTTTCAAGTGTGACGAAGCAAGACCCCAGTGTCGCCGATGCTCGCAACGTAATGTTGGTTGCTCTTATAACCAATTCAGAATGGTCAGCCCTGGTGTGGAAGGCATACCACCAAAGCCAACAATACTCTGGCCAGGTGTCAAAAGTCCAGATATCCTCGTGCAAAATTCGGATTTCTTCACCATGCACGATCTTGATCTCTTGCATCACTTCGTCATCGCTGCATCCCCAGCAACACTGGAAGATGGTGGTTTTATTCAGATCAGTCGAGAGGTCCCCCGCATGGCTTTTCAGGTAAGTTCCTGAAAACTTGTAACGGCCAATCTGGCTCACCCTGGTGCCGCAGCATACGCACGTCATGCATGTGACCCTGGCGGTGGCTGCCGCACATAGAAGAGTTCATGCAGGTCAAATAAATCCGTCAAAAGAGGAGCTTGGGCATTGGAATCAGGCCATCTCAATATTCCGACATGTGCTGAATGATGATTGGGACCAACAGACCGATGCAGTCTTGACAACATCGATGTTTCTCAGTATGCTATCGTACACGGATAATGGTGTTGCACGTCCCCAAAATTCAATCGTGCATGATCTTCAACCTTCGTCGTTCACCTGGTTCCAAAATCAGATTGGATTGGTGGAATTGATAAGTCTTGCATCCATCCGGGCTTCGAGTACGGTGATAATGCCATATTTCGAAGACATGGACCTCAATCTTGCGCTTCTTCACGATGAAAGACCAGGAACAGATGGAATCCCTGCGTCGCTTGTCGAGTTGTTTGATATCAGGCGAGAATCGACCTGTGAGGACCATCCTTACTTGCGTCCACTCCGTCGAGTTTGTAGTATGAGCAATATTCCGAGGACGACAGATAATGGACTCAAATTCATGCAGTTTATGCAAGCTGTCGATAAAAGCTTCATGGAGCGTCTTCAACGACTTGATACACGCACCATCTTCTTATTTGGATGTTGGCTGGGCTTTCTGTGTCACATTGACCACTGGTGGTGCAAAGGACGTGCAGAGAACGAGTTCAGAGCTGTTGTGGCATACCTGCAGCAGCATCATACAGCGTTGGTGCTGTACCTGACCGCTATGGTGGTGTAGGAGAACATGAACAAACTTACCAGACGAATGGCATGGTCTTGAAAATTTGCAAACAATAAAGATCTGGCGCTGTAGGTTGAGCGGGAAAGTTCTTCTACCAACACCTTAATGTTGTTCGGTCACATAACCCATTTCGGCAGCAAACGACACATCAGGCCAGTGGATCTGAGTTTTCCACCCAGCCAAACACTTTATTCCTCGTTTCAGTGTTTGAATGATGGATTATCGTCCCGAGCCATGCAAGTACGTGGCCTTCGATGAGAAATTCGCCGGGAAGGGTGAGGGGAGGCTGAGATTCCCGTCAGCAGATGGAAGCCAAGAGAATGCATGAGCAATGCAGGAGTATGGCGTAGGGGCACCCTACATTGGCTAACAGCCCTGCTTGTCCGATCCCCATGATTTCATGAATACATGATAGAGCCCCACTGAAGCTTTTTCTGCTAGACTCAGGAATAATTGGCAGATGTGACACTGCTTGAAGTACATGCATCAAGAGGAGACCACTGTATGCACTGTTCGGGTGCAGTGTCTCTCCCTGCACAGCTGATTCACCTGCTTCCGTTGATCGATTGAGCAAAGCGGTTGGGTTTCGATAGAGATGAAACGGAATCGATGCTACGATGGCTCGGGACAAGTCTCGCGCTTTCTTGATCAAGCTGTTCCGTTGGTAACTTTCCGAGACCTTTGGTAAGTTGGGGTCATCACCAAGCCGATCCGAACATGCGAGGACGAAGTTGAGGAGCAGAAGGCGACACTTGCGATAAGCATTCCAGACCACGCCCACAAACACTAATTTGAGAGTAAAAGGCATGTCAGCTTTTGAGTAGGTATCATCAGGGCTCGTCCCATGCTTACAGTCGAAGTAGATATCTATGCGATCTACCACATCAAATGGGGAGACTCGTTGCTCTTTGCTTCCTGTTGAGGCAAGATAGCCCACTGTCTTCGGCAGCCACATGTCTGGCAATGTTGAAGACCATCTCGCAAATTCTTCGTCCATCGAAATGGCAAATTCTCGGGTCCGAAGAAGCTTTTCTGACGAACTCACCTTGGCAAGAAGGAGATCGTGGTTGTGGCGGAAAAAGGGAGCGAATCGAAGGAGGAGGGCATCAAGAGATTTTGTTGGGTTCTGAGGGCTACTTAGGATGGTGATGTTGTGCGGCCACTGGATTGTAGTAGATACGTATCCTGGTTAGTATATATGAGAAGGAGGAAAGAGGGGACAACAATGGCGATCAAGGCCATTAGGAGCAACATTTACAATTAAGACTTCACTCAACGAACTGATTGATAGTTGTATACTCTTGTCCTTCATTACCCCAGGGGCAGGAGAGTAATCTCTGTCGCAGTCCTTACTTGATAGGATTGCTAGTAAACCTTTGAAATGGGCTCTATGCCCACCAAAATGAGCGGTTGTTGCAGATATCATCTGCCCATATTTTAGATATGACTTCAAGTCCCGGGTTAGAAACATACCTCATATAAACCAAGAAGCACTATGGTCGTCAGGGACTCGACCGTACTGGAAGAAGGTGTCTTGGAGATTGCAAGCTGGAAAGAACGAAGGATATATGGGTATAAAACGGACGCTCGTCGAACAATGTCAGGTCTCTGCAGTTTGTTGCCCAGAGTCACCAAGCCTACTAATCTGGCAGATTCCGCAATAATGGAACCGGGGCCTAGCATCAGAATCATAGCTCGGAGAGAGCTTAGATAGCCTCTGGATACTGACAGGTCTTGAGAAATGGCAGTATATTCCTCAACGCAGATGGTGATCGCGAGCTGATCAATGTCCACCTTCTGGTCCAATCGATCTGACGAAGGTTGTGACAATAGTGAGATGTCAGCACACTTTCTTGGACGTATACGTGTTGCGCTTCGGCGTTTGTCGTCGTATTCATGGCGGAAGAACTGCAGTGCAGTGTTCGGGTAGAAGCAGCCATCCCCACGCTTGAGACATCTTTGGCAGGCCTGAATGAACGTCAGTCGGTCGACGTATAACCAAGCAAGAGAGGTGTCGAAATTTGCCAGGTGCTTGTTGCTGGCTCTTGCAGGGAAAACATGGGTCTTTGTTGATACTGGTCTACTGATTTGCAGAAACGGGACCAAGGCAAGGTCAGTCGGGCATCGCGCTTACCGGGCGGCCTTCATCACACTACATATGGATCAGTACTGAGTGATCCGCGAAACCGCAATGTCGCGTACCTTTTTCCGCTTCTGCTTGCATCCCACACAGGCCCGAGACATGCCGTGATTGACCATGTTTTTCAAGGTACTAGCACTAATATGATGGGGAGATTCGGCGCAGTGCCTCCAGAATTCGGGACTGGAACAAACCTTTCGCGATGATAATACTCCAATTGCGACTGCATGAAAAGCGATGAAATTGACAACGTCCAGCAATATTGACAATCGTCAGCATCACGATCCATAGGGTGTTTAGGCAACCCGGAGTTAAGAATCCCGCCAGTGGGTGATCGTTGCGCTTTTCGTTGATAGAGGTTAGCGGTGGATAGTTTCGAGCTAATCCCTTTATGGCCAATATCGCGCTCGGAATGAAAAGGGGTTAGCGCAAAGCAACTCCAAACACCTCCATTTCTATCCATTTGACGCTATCGACAACCGTTCAGGAGATTTGTGTCGCACGTACAGTAGGTATGTGGTCCTTTTCGCGTCTCTGAGCATAGTTACCAGCATTACGGAACCACCTTGGACCATCAATGATCACTCCATGTGCGTCGATAATCTAGGACCTCAGCCCGATCGGTCCGGGTAATGAACAAGCTCTTCCTTTCCATGATCAATAGGTAAGTCCTTTGATCGCGGATATACAGGAGCCTCTTTAAGACCGAGATGTGGTTGCAACTTCCCATTGCACGAGAATGGGTCCAACGACAAGATGGATAGATATAAAGAACGAAGGATCCTGCATATTACTTGAGACTTTCCCCATCCATCTCTACCCTCGCAACTTCCTCCGACCAAAGACTCTACAGTACGTATATAGCACTGAAGCTCATTCACCATGACAAACAAAGCTGCTTGGCTCACCGCTGCGAAAGCTCGACCTTTCAAGGTAGACGACGCACCAATGCCCATGCCGTCAGGGACCGAAATCGTCGTCAGAAATCATGCCGTTGCGATCAACCCGGTTGATTGGGCTATTCAAGCTACTGGTATGTTCCCACTTCCATATCCTGCCGTGCTCGGTCTGGACGCGGCCGGCCAGGTCACTGCGGTCGGAGAATCAGTCAGCAAGTTCAAAATTGGAGATCGTGTAGTCACTTCTCTTGATCCTTTTGCGAAGAAGGATCCACGAAGAGGTGCTTTCCAGCTGTACTCTCTGGCTAGGGAAGAAGGAACTGCAAAACTGCCGGACAGTATCAATTACTCTGAAGCTGCTGTCTTGCCACTGGCAGTGTCAACCTCGGCCAGTGCCCTATTCCAGGAAGACACATTGGGTTTACAACTTCCAATGCCCAATGCTACACCTACCGGTAAAGTCGTCTTGATCTGGGGTGGCTCTACAAGTCTTGGTGCTTGTGCCATTCAGCTTGTCGTCGCTGCAGGCTACGAGGTCGCCACCACTGCCAGCGCTCACAATCTTGATGCCATGAAGGCCATCGGAGCCAAGTTTGTCTACGATCATACTAAAGAGACTGTCGCCGATGACATCATCACCGATTTGAAGCATTTGGATTTTGGAGGAGCATACTGTGCAGTCTTGACAACTGAAAGTATCAAGCAATGCGCCAAAATAGCGAGAGAATTTAATGGCAAGAAACTCGTGCAGACTGTGCTTGGCGTCGAAATGCCATTCCCAGAAGGCTTGCCAGAAGATATCGCATTCAGAAATGGTAAGACACTCAGCTCTCTCGGTCGTCATTATCAAAGTTCTAGTTAGCTGACATGCGCACGTTGATCAGTTTATGGCACGTCCCTGCTTGAGAATGAAGTCGGCACTGCCATCTGGGGAAATTACATACCTGAAGCGTTGGCAGCTGGATCGTTCAAATGTGTGCCACCTCCCCTGATCTTTGGTGAAGGCCTTGATGCGATCCAAGGTGCATTGGATCGATGGAAGGAAGGTGTGTCATACCAAAAGGTTGTGGTGGAGCTTCCATGAGATCAGCCCATTCCTGCCTCGACTTCCAGACAAGTGGACCACGGTGGAGTCGCGGGAAATAATGTACTTGTGATCCTGCGCTGAACTGATATGTGAAGATTTGGGGACACATGCTCTGAGACGAGGCTTGATGGCTAAACACAAGTTGAGTAACTTTATCACTGTTTAGTCGCATCTCTTAGGGGCCATTTACGCGCAAGGCTGGATTGGAATGGTGTGACAAGGCGGACAATTATTCAACCTAGACTCAATCAACTACTCGTCTCATAAACCATGCCACCATCTCAAACAACGGAGATATGGAAATGGGGTTTCACGACCGTCTCTCCATCTCGATACCTATCCAAAACATAATTCACCTTGTCTGCATCAAGTCCCGGTTCGAAAACCTCAAAACTTGTCAACGGCTTGATCCGTCCATCCGCGAGATACTCTGGGAGACGAGTCCAAAAGGCCTCCGCAAGCTCCCTGTACATATGTGAACTCCCATAGACGTTCCTGACTTCATATCCCTGCGCCTTGGAATGAATCTTGTCTGCGTCGGGGTCGCCCGTAGTCAGAAGACGAGCCAGGACACCACGCTTCGTGTTCGACAATGCATTCAGCGCCAAATGCTGATTCGGCGCTACATTGTATGCATCGTACGCATAGATGAGGTCATCACCCACGACGTCGCGGATGCTGGCAAGGACCTTCTCTTCGCCGCCGTGCCGGGACACAACATGAGTCGCACCATATGACGCCAGCAATGCCTTGTCTCCGCCAACGACGACAATCCGTCCAATACCCGCCAACTTCGCCAGCTGCACACCGAGCTTACCACAGCTCGTGCCGCCGCCAATGACCAAGAGAGTCTGCCCGGCAAAGTCAAACCCAGCGGCGGCGCTGGTCCACGGCGCAGGGAACCCGAGAGTATCGGCGCTGAACAACGCGACCAGCGGCGCGATGATATTGCTCGGCAAAGTCGCCGCGCCGTCGTCCGACACCGAATCCGGGATCCTGGCGCTCAGATCCACGTCTACCACCGCGTACTGCTGCAGGCCGTTCTGCGGGTTTCCTGCTTCCAGGCTCGATTGGGCGACAACGCGGTCGCCGACAGAGTACTTGGTGACGCCATCAGCGACCGTCGTGACGCGGCCGACCACGTCCATGGCCAATACCGCAGGTAGTTTGTCGGCGATCAAGAAGCCCCCGTCGCGACATTTCTGGTCGTGCGGGTTCACTCCGGCAACGGTTACTTGGATCTGGACTTGTGATGGGCCTGGCGTGGGAATGTCCCGAGACTTTGTCAGTGTGACGGGCTTGCCTATGTCGGTCACAATTAGGGCATTCATGGTGGAGGGTTTCGTGAGGCTGTTGGGCGGTTTGACTTCAGATGGGTTGGGCATTGTCTTGGGTTCTTATATTCAATATCTTCGCCTGCTATACAACAAACAGATAACGACAGAGTTATGGGGTATACTGGAGAGCCGGTATGACTTTAACACCACACTAGCCCGAAACCATTGTGCAACACCTCTAACCACCATGCACAGGTGTATTGGTTATGCGTGCAGGTGTATGCTTTGAAATTACGATGACTAATGATGGAGGGCCATGCGGTTTTGATTGGCCCATTCGAGAAATCTAGCCGTCAAGGCCAAAGTTCCAGCGATATTTAAGGCCGCGGCCGACTCTTTTGCTTTCTGCCTTCGACCTGTACGAGGATAGTTGGCCAAGTACCTCGGTAATGGTGTCATATGAGCTTCTTTGTTAAACGAGCCCATTTGAGGGACACTAAGAGCTTCTTTGATAGTTGGCAGTCGGTGGTGGTCGTCGTATGACCAGTCAGATCAAGTTTCTTCCGGACGGACTTGGAACGAAAGAGTTTATCCGCCCCCGTTTTGCGGCCTGTCTATTGATCCGAGTGCCCATGAATCGCCATGGACTTCTTGTTCTGGGAGCATGATTTCACGCCAGTCAGGCGTGACGAGGATCAAGCTAGCAAGTTCATTGCTAAGGGTCTGACTGCTTCATTGTTGCCATGGGAAGTTGACGAATGATATCACAAGAAGCGGTTAGAAGTGTTCGGCAGAATGCCGCGGCGTTCCAAGAACTGGTGTCTGCAAAGGTACCTGTGAGACTTGGAAACCTCTGGAAGAATGATCACGTTCACACACCAGACCCTCCACCCTCAGTTTTCTGGCCTTCAGACTTCTTTGCTGCACGCCTCCGCTTCTTTCGAGCATCAACAGCATGTCTCCAGCTCTCGCCCCACACAGTCGTGGCCCACACGCTGACCGCAGAGAGAATGAGAAATCCACTAGAGATGGTTGAGAACCATCCCACACCCACCTTCTGAATGGCAGGTAAACAGACAGCACTACCCGCCGCGGCAAAGAAATACCGGATCATGTAATTGCCCGCGACGACCTCGGACGAGAGACCTTTGGCTTGCATGACATCTAAACAGTAAGTATTGAGGCTGGGGAAGCAGAATAGCTGCGCGACACCTTGGACGAACATGGCGAGAACGGGAAGAGGAACACCGCCGACCGCTTGATCGACAGACCAGCCGTAGATGAGCATACACACGGGAATCAGTCCTCCCATGAAGGCATAGCAAGACCGGAGCCGATCTTCGGGCACGCGCTTGTTTTTCTTCTGAATCCATTTCTTGACCATGTAGTCTGCCCATCGCCCGCCCATGAAAGTTCCGACCAGATAACCACAGCCGGGCGCGATATAAAATAGGCCAGACTGGATGGGAGAGGTCAGGTGGAAACGTGGATTCAACACATATCGGATCGGTGTTAGCAACGAATACATGTTGAACACGAGCGAGCTGGATGCCAAACCGGCCAGTAGGAGATTTGGATAGCTGAAGAGCAGGATGGCGACGCGGAAAGGGGACAGCCCATGAATGATCTTTCTCGCACGCTCCTTGCGCGGAAACTCGCGCAGTTCCTCGATTTTCTTCTCGTGGATCGTCTCCGGAAGGAAGAAAACCACCAAGATGGTGGCGAATCCACCTAGAGCGGCTTGTAGCCAGAATATATCTCTCCACGAGCGAAATGTGACGATGATCCCGCCAATGAACGGCCCAAAGGCCGGTCCGATAAGGGTCCCAGAAAGAAACCAACCGAGTGCGGTCGCACGTTCGGTGGGTGTATATATATCCCCCAAACAAGAGGTCCCCACGATCAGGAATGATGTCCCTTGATAGGCGGTGAGCATTCGAAAAATAAAATACGAGGCAAGATTGGGCGCCAGCGCGGTACCAACGCTGAAAGCGAAGAACAGAGCGGCCGATATGATACATATCCACCTCCGACCATATATCGTCGAGAGGGGACCCCACAAGGATGGCGATATGCCCATGAAGATCAGATAGAGAGCATTTGAAAGGTTGATGATGGTGCCGGTGGTGTTATACGTAGTAGCAACTTCAGGGATGGCTGCGAGGATGGTCGTGGAGGAGATGGGTGCGAGGAAGCCACATAGTGATAGGATGCTTGTTATCAGGACCTTGCGACGATTGCTGAAGCGTTCGTACTGTGCGGCGTTGACCTCGATATATGAACTGCTATGGCTTGGGACACCCTGTATGTCGTGGTGTGAGATTGTTGATTGGACATGGTATAGATTGGGTCGGTCCTTGTCGTGGCTCTTGCTTGGTACTGTCGGTGTCCTGCTGAGATCTAGGGAAGTTGCCTCGTCCGGGTTTGATTGGACAGGAATAGCCCGCGTGATGGTATGGTCATCTTCCACGGTATCGTGATGGAGTTCGCCTGTCATTATGATATGAAACGAAAGAGGGATGTCTGTGAAATACTATTCATTTCCTGTACGGGAGATGATCGAGCAAAAGAGAATGAGCGTGTAGGAAAAGAAACAATTACCATCGGAGAATGTTGACGAAAGATATGCCGACCTAGATATCAATTCTGTTTCTTAGAACACGGTGAGCATTCATTGGGCGTATGAGCAGATAACACCAAAAGTAGGTGAGGTATAAAATGACTCAGATCGTAGATATGGAGCAAAGAGATGCGATACTCAATGATCTCAGGGCGCGCGGTTTCACCGTCACAGTTTTCAAGAAGGAGTTTAGTTCTCAACAAGTTTTCCCCATAGCGGTACAGGCCCTGAATCCGTAGCTAGCTGCTTGTAGGTTGGGGTCATATCTGGAAGCACCAGCCAGTCAATGACAAGGCTTTCAGCCCGCCCTGGGCAGTTCCATAATGAAATCTGCTTTCTCTGCAAAGTTTTGTAGCCCGATGTGATCTCCGGATCGCCAGAGTTCAAGTTCAGAGACATTGAATGACCGAGATCGGACAAATTTGCAACTGGGAGGGCACCATTGGGCAAGCTTGTCCGGGGTCTGCTTGCCGGTTGCCGCTCTGACCAATCCCGGCGATTTTCGGTGTATCGCCGAAGGGGCAAAAGGTACGAGGCATTATGGGCTTCTGCCGTCGGCTGGGGAGCGAGCTCTGAGTGCGGACCATTCCGTCGGCTCAGAGGCTCAGCGATTGTCCATGTGTAGTGTCGGCGCAACATTATATGGATTTGGATCGCTCCATCACGAGAAACCGAACAAGGCTGAAACTTGAAATGCGGTAGCAGCTCCTTTTGAGTTCTGATAATATTCGATTGACCGAGACTAACTGTGCATTTATGGAGGAACAAGCAAAGGGGAAAGCTCTTCATAACTTCGATCCTTTGCCCGCCGACTTCGCCTTCAACGAGTCCTTCAATTGCCTCCGCAGGATCTTTCCACTGGGGCTCTTCGGTATCGCATCGACAACGTACAGTCCGCCCCTCAATTTCTTGTGATTTGCAATCCTGGCATTCAGCCATTGATTAACACCGTCGACAGTCGCCTTGTCACCCTTGGCCTTGGCACTGTCCTTGACCACAATGAAGCCAACAGGAAGTTCTGTCGCTTGCTCCTCGACCCAATGACCAACGACACACGCATCGGCGATATCAGGGTGCTCCAGTAGCTTCCCTTCAAGTTCAGAAGGTATGACTTGCAGTCCCTTGTACTTGATCAATTCCTTTATCCGGTCGACGATGGACAGAAATCCTTCGCTGTCGATTGTTCCTATGTCACCTGTGCGGAACCATAATGTCCCATTCTCGTCTCGTGCGAATCCATTTTCCGTCGCCTCTTTATTGCGATAATAACCTATGGTGACATTCGGACCTCGACACCATAGCTCTCCTTGCTTGGAAGTGCCATCTGCATCAGTACCGACATCTTTCATGGTCTCGGGGTCGACAACTCTGAATTCCATGTTCGGTGTAATGTTGCCGACAGTGTGCCGTTTATCGGCCCGCGCGATAGTCACGACTGATCCTAGTGGACTGGTCTCTGTCATGCCCCAGGCTTGTAGACCATACACCGTTGTTCCGTAAAGTTTCTTGAACCGGTGTTCGACTTCTTCCCGCAATTCCACGCTCAATGGCGCAGCGGCAGACATGATCCTCCTTATACTGCTCAGGTCGTACTTCTCCACTAACGGATGCTTGGCCAAGAGCAACATGACTGGAGGTACCACCACGATCATCTCAGGTTTGTATTTCTGCAGATTTTCGAGATACAGGACCGGTTCAAACCGAGGCAACACGACCACAGTGTTACCAAAGTATACACTCACGCAGATATAATTTGTCAGACCATATATGTGGCTTAGAGGGAGGAAAGTCACGGTCGTCGCGTTACCACCTGCATCCTCAGCAAAATGCGCCCTCCATTGCTGCATGTTGGAGACCATGTTTCTATGCGTGGTCATCACACCTTTGGCACGACCCGTTGTTCCCGACGAAAAGCACATGAAACTCAGGCGTTCGCCTGATTCAGTGGCCTCAATACTGACAAGATCTGTGGCAGGGCTGGTGACCGCGAGAGATTCTGCCGTCGGTTTCCCATGTCGATCACGATCACCATCTGCCTGGATAAGTCGAACTTGTGGTAATGACTTGAGAGCCTTTTCAGCCACATCGATCAATGACGAATGCGCGATTAAGACTTTGGCAGAAGAGGTCTCGAGCTGCGCCTGTAGTTCGATCGGGGTGTACGCCGCGCTCACTGGAGAGACCGTTGCCCCCGCCCCGAGTATGCCATAGCATGTAATGGCATAGTCGATACTATTTGGACTGAAGAACGCCACAATATCTTTGGGCCTGACTCCTTGCTCACGGAGAGCATGCGCAAGAGACTTGGTTCTCTGCTTAACATCGGCAAATGTGCGAACGGCTCCAGTTACCGCATCCACATAAAGAGGTCGATTTTCTGGTGCATTGTTTGGATTTGAGAAGACGAACTTCACAAGGTCGATATCAAGTGGCTTGATGTCGGGAATTGAAGATCTATAGATCTTGACAGGCATCTGAGATTATGGTGTTTGTGAATAGAGTAAACGACGGAGCGACTTATACCGAGAGCAAGGAGACGGTCAATGGTCAATGGTCAATCAGAGTATTTGTGTTTGATAACTCGGTCCAGCGGCGTTGAAGCGCGGCGAAAGCATTAAGTAAACTGGGACAGCAGTCGTGATGTTGGCTTGCGGCCGCATGGTCATACGAGCGGGTCTGGAAAAGCATCCACTGCTGACCGTGAGAGAAGCTGGGGCGACCGAATCACCAACATCTCCATATCTGGAAGTTGGACTAGCTCGCCAAAGCTGACTTTGATCATGCTTCAAATCGACCTAGCAGGAGCTGAGGCCCTCTTAACCCAGCCCTCGGTGTTTGGAGTACTAATCGTATCGAGAGCTGTGTGAACCGTGTGTTTCAAAGTTAAGGTTCAGATCAAGGATGAAATACGGGGTAGAAATCCCGAGGCAACACGAGAGGAGGGTTTTGGTCAGACGACCAAGCAATCTTTAAAACCCCGGAAACGTTCTTAAGTCTCGAGATGTTCGCTCATGATCCCACCTAGAGAGCTGGAGCGCTGCTTACCCCTGAGACAATTACATTATGCTGACCGTACGAATTTTCGGCAAAAAATCTCGATATAATGGATTAGTCAACATGATGCCCCTAAGATCGACAAGATAATCATTTGGGCGATCTTACTCGGTATCTTGGTGAGATGCCGCTGTTGACCCGGAAGTTGCCCAATCATTTCAGTATAGTAAACAAGGGGAATCAGGTGTGGACTTTTGAGACTTGTCTAATCGTGATTTAAGTCCTTGAGTAATCCATAGTATTGATTTACTGTTGTGGAGGATTTGGTTGCATAAAAAAACTTCCTCGAAATTTGAAATGCTCCTCAAATCTAAACATACACACAACCGTGCAACATAACGTCTAGGTATTGGGTCCAGTAGCATACCGATCGCTAATTGAGAACCTGCTTTTCAAACATCGAGCGCCTTGCCAACGATCAGAGACGACCCCTGACTTGGCTTCGATATGACCAACGCTTCTTGAAGCTTTTCCTCGCTGATATCAGGAAATTTCTTAAAATAATACTCTTTTTTCAGAGCCTCTGTGACGGCAGCGACTTTGCTCTGAGGTACCAGATGAACGGTACAGCCGCCCCAGCCTGCACCAGTCAGGCGAGCACCATAGGCGCCAGCATTTCGAGAGATGGAACAAATATCATCGATCTCAGAGCAAGAGCACTCGTAGATGTCTCTGCATGATGCCTGGGTTTGATTCATGAGCTCGCCCAATGCTAATAGTTTTTCTTGGTCGAGACTTCCTGTACTGCTCAACGTGTCTTTGAACTTTAGCACACGGCTAGCTTCCTCCAACACATGTAGAGCCCGCTGTCTGAGCTTGAATGCATCGGCTTTGATCGGAAATTTGGACATGTATTGTTTTTCGAGCTGTTCCACCGAGATACCAAGTATTTGAGAGATGTCATCACGGGTGTAATCGGATTTCTCGAGTTTGGACTTTATGGCTTTGATGACGACCTCCACCTGCGAACTTGCATCACTATCCCGAAGCCCTTCCTTCTTGATGAGTTCCTCCTGAAAATTCCGTAACGAGAAACCGAGGGAGCTGTCGTCGGGGTTCAAAGAGATGTCGTGTAATTTGGCGAGAACCACGGTGGCTAATGTCACCTCCACGACGCGAAGATTGTAATGTATCTGAGCAGTGACGGCCTTGTCAGAGGTGACAAACGATTGTGCGATCAAAAATGTGACTTCAGGATCTGAAGTGGGTACTGGGACATGTTCGGCGGAGAATTTGGGGAAGAAAGTGCAGTATAGCAAATAACCTCGTTCAGAGAAGATCGAGGCTGCTTGATCCATGCCACCGGAGAAGACTCCAACGGCACGCTCTGATACAATACAGAGGTCGAGGAGATCTTGTTTCGAAATTTGATGGTTGTTGGCTGCCATGACCGCAAGAGCAGATGCACACACAAAGGCAGCGCTGCTGGAAAGGCCACCTCCTGCAGGTACATTACCATCGATTAGCAATTCCATTCCGTTGGTCGTGAAAGACTCTCCCAATTTCTGACGCAGATATTTTAGTGAACCACTCAAGCCAGCCAAGAAGTAGTTGCTCCAAGCGTGGCTCTTTTTGTCTACTTCGATGAGGCCCGTTTCCGGAACTGTGATGTCTTTGGAGGGGTATTTGGACGAGTTGACGTTGGCAATTTTGATCAGTGGATGGCCACTTGGGTTCTTGAGGACTCGGACGGCAATCAGAACATCGACTGTGACCGCTGTGGGTAGGACATTATATAGTGAATAGTCGACGTGTTCACCAATGATGTTCACTCGGCCTGGACTTCTCGAGACAAAGTCTGGCTTCTGATCGTATTGTTGCTTGAATGAGTTGACAAGATTCACAAAGCGTTGCTCGAGAGCTTTGGGGACTTGATCACCCTCGGCCGCCCCAGCGTAGACATGTTCTAGGCTGTCAACCTGTGGTACCAAGGCAGCCATTATTGACGAGTATTGAATGGTTGTCCAGATAGCCTCAGGATATGTTGTAATGCGGCTGGAGTCTAGGAGCACCTGTATCGATTCTTTATATCAGCTCTAGTGGAAAGAAGAAACCTTGTAGCTAGAGCCAAATAGGCAGGGTTCAAGAAGCAATTGTTGAAATCGTTACAGAGTAGCATTTACAATCTTGGACATGCTCGTGTGCCGGCAACATGAGCCATGAAGGTCATGGAGGTGCGGGAAACCGCCCACCTTTAGTGAAGAACTTGCGGAAAACGCTCTTTCCCTGCATCCATTGCCCGCTGGGTGCCCGCCATGGGCTCGAGTGAACCTATCTCTTCAGGGCCTAGTGGCCTACTAGTGGAACATTAGTCCTTAAACTGGTGGCATTCGGATCGGAAAAACGTCATTGCGCGGTTATCCTTCCAAGTTCAACCTGAAGGCCGAACCTAGGCATCTCGTTCTCAACTGCAAGGCTGGTCAGTCGTCACGATTCAATCGCAGGTGTCTTGCCATCAACTTGTACTACATCACACGACCGGCTTCAATCGTCGTAGCCGGTGCTGAGGTGGCTTTCTCTGCGCTTTCCTCGCCTGGTCGACATCGAAATTCAGATCGGCCAAACTCGAGCCTCCGCCTCAGCTTTCTCTCTGCAGATGCTGGGTACATACGGCTCACTGACCACATTGGAAGAGTCTGCGACGAAACACTTCCTGCGGCTAACCCGAGGCCAATTTTCTACACAATGAGTTCTGAAGAGTCCGATGCCGTACTATTAGAACGGCCTGGCTCTGAAGAATCAGACAGTGCTCCCCCAACCCATGATGCACCCGAACGACCCGCTGTTCTCTCCCGGGCTTCTACCTTTGGCAAGAAGTGTTGGATATGTTTGATGGATGCGAATGAAGACGATCAGACCAACCCTCCAACTTGGAGAACCCCTTGCAAGTGCAGTTTGACAGCACACGACCAGTGCCTGTTGGACTGGGTAGCCGGCCTGGAAGATCCAAAGACAATAAAGCGGGGAGGGCCTCCTCAAATACTTTGTCCGCAGTGCAAGTCGGAAATCCGCATTACAAGACCAAGAAGCTACATTGTTGATGCATATCGCGCGGTTGACAGGACCTTGGCCCGGGCTGTGTTGCCTGCGGTGGGGTTATCATTCACGGGGTCTGTCTACGCGGGGCTATGGGTCCACGGATTCACATCTGTTTATATGATTTTCGGTGAGGAAGAGGCAAGTCGTTTGCGCGATATAGCAGCTGTTTCATATTGGTCACTTGCATCCTATGGATTAATTCCGATCAACCTGATCATGGCCCGTACCAACTATGCCGATTTCGTCCTACCCGGGGGTTCGCTGTATCTCTTAGCGACACAACTCAATGAAAATCTTGAGATCGACATGACTATCTGGCCCCCCTTACCAAGCACAGTGTTTGCATGTTTGCCTGTCATGAAAAAGGCCTACAATTGGGTCTATCATCAGGCCTTCTGCGACTTGAACAAGAAGTGGCTGGCGGAAGTGAAGCCTAGAAGCCAAGAACTGGTAGACGGGCGGGAGGAAAATGTAGCAGACGCCGATGCAATGGAAGAGGTGGAGGAAGCCGGGGCTCAAGGAGGCCTTGTCATCGAACTGGATCTCGAGCTCAACGTGCCTGCTGAAAACGGTGCTGGGAATGAGAATGCAGGCGAAGCCGGTGAGCCGCCTGCAGGTGGGGATGGTCAGAACGCAGCGATGAATGGAAATGGACACGTCCATCGATTACTGGGCGACCGTGGCGATGTGATCGTGGAGAGCACCTCGACGTTCGGACAGACCATGTTCGGAGCACTAGCCTTTCCGGCGGTGGCTGCAGGCATGGGCAATCTCTTGGAATTGGTGTTGCCGTCTTCTTGGCTCGGACTCACGAATACCATGAATGGTCGACCAGGTCTCTTGCGAACCAAGTGGGGAAGAAGTGTGGTTGGAGGAGCCATATTTGTGGTCCTGAAGGACGCATTGGTGCTATACTGCCGATGGCGATTAGCCCAGAGTCATCGACAGCGGCGAATCGTGGATTACGACAAGAAGACTCAGAAGTACAAGGCATGACACGAGATTGTGAATGGGTGGAACGAAGTGTTTGAGTAATGCGTCTGCCCATGGGGAACGATGAGCATAGAGTCACCATTCGAGGCAATGAAATAGATACCCCAATCCAACTCGAGAGTCATCACTTCCCTCAAGCAACTATTTCAATCTTGAATGCCGTGTTGAGTCGATGATCATATTGCAGTACCCGCATCACGTGTCCAGCCCTGGACTCCATCTGCAGCAAACACGCCAAGATATGAGCCTCGCGCTAAAGAACATTCAAGTCCGAGTCCGAGTCTATAGCTTGTCCCATCGTGTCTGTCGCCGCGAGCTTTTCCCCTAGGAGTTTTACACCTCCAATCCACCACTACTTGCAAGCGGGACAGGAAGCTGCCAAACGGAATTATATCTCACAACAATCCTCCCTGTATCTCGCACCACAGCACACGACCTATAAAGGGACGACACAGACGGCCTCCTGTCTCCTCGAACAAGCCACAATCATGCACACCACTTCACTCCGATCTGCACTGGCAAATGCGTTCCAGATTCCGCTGCGCCCGGCGGCGACGAGACAGTTATATACCCAGGCTGCGCTGCCTATGAGCAGGAGTAATGGACAGAGTCTGTCTTCGACGCCATCGTCGTTAGCGCCGGCTTTGAGGTCGTCGTTCTCTACGTCGGCGGTGCGTGCGGCGAAAAAGAAGGGTGGCAGAGCGAAGAAGGACCAGCGAATCAGTATGTGACCTTGTATTCCCCGTTTCATCAACCCGTTACTTGTGGTCTTTGCGTCCGTATGAACATCTACAATGGAAGTGAAGGAATGCTACCGGCAAGCCCAACCAACCATCACCATCACAACCATCTCTCATACAAACTACACTCCCAAAACTAACACTCCTCTCCCACAACAGCCCTGATCCGCTATTTCCTATACCATCCAACAACCCTGCAACCCCGTCCACTCCGCTTCTCGCGCAACCGATATCTACGACACTGGACGATCCACCGAGCATGGAACTTGTACCAAGCGAAGCTGAAGAACGCTCGCCAGCTCGAGCTGGAAAGACAGTACAACGCGATGGCGGCGGCGAACGAGGAGCTGCGACTGGGCGCTGGCGATGGCGGACGATTGTTCCGCAAAGCCCAGATGAAGACCGGTGTGTGGAGTATTCCTGAGCGTGGCGGTGGTGTACCGATTGAGTATGCGAAGGGACTGGTGGAGTGGGTCGGCTCGACCGGTATGGGTGGTGTGGCCGCCGAGGGTTCCGTTGGGAAGAAGGCTATGATTTGGGATGCCGCGTGGAAGAGATTTTAGAGGGCAGGTGCAGGCGATGGTGTGCGTGTATGGGGTGGCACTGCACCTTGGCCATGGGGAATTACCTGGTAAGGACCTGCTGTGCTATGACTCTTGCCTTCTTTCGACACGGAAGAGTTGGTCAGTCCTTGTCCGGGGCATTGTTTCAGAAGGTCGGGATTATGCGAAACCCGTGATTTCCAATTGAGGAACGAGGTTGTGAGACAAAAGGACGAACTACTGCAACGCCAGGCACACAAGCTTCACTGCAAGGCTATCAAAACATGCATCCATTAGGGGTTCCGGAATGCTGGAGCACGAAACTTTGAGATATGGCGTTCTGCAAGAGTGTGTTGACCACGGAGATTCGGTCTGCAAAGTCTCATCAAATGGCCGTCAAGGGATCATTACAACAATATGTATCTATACATCAATTCCAACTTTTTGTTTTCCTCTGGTGGTTCCAACCCCGACGCCTTTTGGATTGTATCAAATCAAAAAACCAGGAAGAAGCGTTGTAACGAGAGATCCTTCATTGTAAATCGCTAATGTCGAGCAAATCAAAAGACAGAGGCATGATACAGTGAAATGGTCGTTTTGTGGAGAGAAAGGTTTCATCGTCATGGTCCAAGATGCAAGACGTTCGGGAATCCCGAGCCCCAATAAAATGCCAAAGGTGTGGCATCTTGCCGCCAGTGGCATGAAATATGCCCATCCATCACAGAACATTTGCTCCATGTCTGTAAATATGATCGTCAAAGTCCGTAGACAAGAGAAAGCCTCCAACATAACCCTGGATTTTGACGTACTCGTGAGAGAAATAAATGCTTTCCAAAAGGGTTGTTGCAGCTTCATGTGAGCATTGAAGGTTTGAAAAGGTCGTTGATTCGTTGATCAGAGTATCACACAGCAGCCACCTCCACCCTGCTTTCCATTGAATGTCAAGAGAGCTGCTCGAGTGGCGGCTTCGAATACATCATCAACACCCTCGCCTGTCAAACTCGAACACTCGAGGTATTTGCGAGCCCCACAGGCTTGTGCCATTTCCTGGCCCTCTCGCGCGGTGACAAACTTCTGACTTCTCTTGCGCATCTCCTCAATGGCCAGTGGGTCTTCTCTGAGATCTTTCTTCAGGCCAACCAAAATGATAGGTACAGCGGGACAACGCTCTCGAGCTTCTTCGATCCATTTATGCCGTACGTTTTCCAGACTGTCGGGGCTGTCCACGCTGAAGCCGATGAGGATGACATGTGATTTGGCATATGCCAGAGGTCTTAGTCTCTCGTAGTCTTCTTGTCCCGCTGTATCCCATAACGCCAACTGAACGGAACGACCATCGACCCGACAATCGGTAACGTAGTTCTCGAAGACCGTGGGTACATAATGTGTTGGGAAATACCCTAATGTAAAGACCGATAGCAAAGATGTCTTGCCGCAAGCGCCGTCACCTATTATAACCAGTTTTCTGTGAGATCGTTAGTTGCTGCTTGGCTGACGCGCGGCTGAAGGATGGAAATAGATCTGAGGGGGTTCAGAGGACTCACCTCCGCATAACATTCTGTTGTGCCTGGTTCTGAGCCATGATAGGCGCGGTTCAGTCAACTCGACACCGGATGCGGGCGAGTGACTGTCAAGTGGTTGGTGACTGATCCAAGGGGTGTGGGTGCGACTCAATGAATTGGTGGGTGATCAAGGAGAGGGAAGAGCCTGAGGTGGAAACAGTGACCAAGAACAGAGGGCTGAGGAGGGATTAAATTCAGGCAAAGGGTGGATCGATGTTGAGTGCTGTACGACGTAATATAGTAGTAGTGAAGTACGGGTGGTGGTGGTGGTCTGGAGTTCGGGGGCCTCTCAAGGTGACTTTGGTGTTGTAGAGATGATAAAGTCTCGGTTTTGGTCTCAGTCCAGGTCTCGGGAGTGTGAACCAACTCAGTTGGAGATCAAAAGGTGTAAAGTGTGAAGTGAAAGCCTGAGACTAGCTCGGAAGGTTGGAAAGGTCGTTCGTGGGGTCCAGAGCAAGCCTGTCCAACAGGAAAGCGGAGGTGGTGAGGCGCAGCCACAAATAGACACAGGATAGAGGATCCGTGGGACGGAAATGTAACGGGAGTGGGATCAGTGAAAACAGGAGATATTGCAGGCCACCTCCTGAGGAGAGGATGTCGTCGATTAGTCAGTGGTGATCACAACAGAGCGAGTATTGGGAGGTGGAAAAGAGTTGAGAGGTGAAGATGGAGATGTGAGGCTTTGGAAGGTGCAGTGATGGGCCGTTATTGTTGGCACTGGCGGTGGAAGTTGCGGTGGTCAATTGCAGTCCTCTGTAGCAGGAGCCCTCCGCTTACACCATCATGCCTGCCATTTCCAGGTTCAAATGACGAGGTAACCTATGTCTGACAATGAGACTTTATTCGGTCGTATACTCCGCGGTACAAACTGCACTTCGGGCTCTCGGTAATCCGCCCCATCGGACGTTCTTGCCCCACGATGTAACAACTTGAACCGGTTCTGGTTACTAGTGCAGGTGGAATGTCTCTAGAACGACCAAGTGCCTCAGAACTCCATCTCATTTTCACGAACCACTAACACATCCATTCCTCCCGCTCTGGCGGTCACAACTCCATTAACATGCCTTCCAAGAAGAAGGGGACACCTATCACCCACCCTGCAAGACCTCAGGCTTTACCTCTGACCCACGATTCCTCCAAGAATGGAGACACCACCGAATCCGCTACCGAACTTCCCCAGCCTCAAATAAACAGAAAGAAGCAGAAGAGGCGGCAGAAGGAGGCTGCCAAAAGAGCCGCAGAGACTGACATTCCTCTGCCCAACGGTCAACAGCAGAATGGAACTCTTCCTCCCGTCAAACAAGGTCGAGGTCCTGTCAAGGGTTATTTTACCGAGGAGCCCGATTATGTTGACCCTCAAGACCCCTCCGCCTATCCCGAGCTAGGAAGCCCCGAAGAAGCCTTCTACAGTGGTGACGATGACCCCGCATATGCTCCCCAGGACGATTCACTACACGACAGTTCATGGCTACACACCAGCAAACGGAAGAAATCAAAGAGTAAAAAGAACCACCTCGATGACTCCAACCCCATCTCGCGAACCTCGACCGCATTATCCCGGTCGAATATTCCTCCAATGTCCAATGCTGCCATTCGCGCGTCTCACAAACTCTCAAATGACCAGATATGGAACACATCCACCCAGGCCGAGCGCGAGAACATCAAACAGTTTTGGCTAGAACTGGGTGAGGATGAACGACGATCCTTGGTCAAAGTGGAGAAGGAAGCCGTGCTACGTAAGATGAAAGAACAGCAGAAGCATTCTTGTAGTTGTTCAGTGTGTGGACGAAAGCGCACAGCCATCGAAGAAGAACTCGAAGTCCTCTACGACGCCTATTACGAAGAGCTGGAACAATTCGCAAACCACAATGGTGATATTTCAAACGCCCCACAGCTGATGGCTCCTGCTCGGACCCCTTTTAGGAGAGTCACTCAACCCATGGCAGGCTCTTACCCTTCTCGGGGAAGAGTCCATGAAGTCAACGAGGACGAGGACGAACTCGAAGACGACGACGACGAGTATGACGACGACGAAGAGCCTTACAGTGACGAGGAAGGCGACTTTGATCCTCATGGCCTACCTCCCGGACCGCCCGATTTTTTCCAGTTTGGAAACAGCCTTACAGTCAAGGGTCAGACAGATGATCTTTCCCCTTCTCCTAAAATTTGAGCTAATTGATCTTCTAGATGGCATCCTTACCGTGGCCGACGATCTATTAAAGAATGATGGCAAGCACTTCATAGATATGATGGAACAGTTGGCCGAAAGAAGAATGCAACGTGAGGAAGACATTCGCTATCATTCCTCTGCATATGCTCATCGTGATATTCATCAAGGTCACAATCATCCCCCCATAGACGATGATGACGATGATTATGACGACGAAGACGACGATGAATATGACAGTCAGGAAGAGGACGATTTCGAAGGCGACGAAATGGTAAACCTTTCACTCTTGCCGCGTCAACCTCCCATGCTAATGTTGAACAAGGATTCTATGACTGAAGAACAGCGAATGGAAGAGGGTCGACGAATGTTTCAGATCTTCGCTGCTCGTATGTTCGAACAACGTGTTCTAACAGCATATCGAGAAAAGGTTGCCGCCGAACGTCAAAAGAAACTCCTCGAAGAACTGGATGAGGAAAACCGCCTTGATACCCAGAGAGAAGCCAAAAAGGCTCGCGAGGCTGCCAAGAAGAAGGAAAAGAAACGACAGCAAAAGGCCGCCAAAGACGAAGAAAAGGCCAAGAAGGACGCTGACAAACTGGCTCAGGAAGAAGCTGCTCGGAAACTCGAGGAGAAGCGAATGGAGGAGCAGCGTCAACGGAAAGAAGAGCAGAGGAAGAAGCGTGAAGCCGAGAAGAAAGCCGCCGAAGAGGATCGACTGCGGAAAGAGGCGGAGAAGCATCGAAAGCAGCAAGAGCAGCGCGACCGACAGGCCGAAGCAGAAAGAAAGCAGCGTGAAGCCAAAGAACGAGATCGCCTAAAACGAGAGGATGCCAAGAGGAAAGAACGTGAGGAGCGAGATTCGAAAGAAAAGGAGGCCAGGGAACGAAAAGCTCGTGAGGACAAGGAGAAAAAGGCCAAGGAAGACCAAGCGAAGAAAGATGCATCTTTGAGAGCAGAGAAGGATGTCAGAAATCATGCCGGCCAACATCCCCCTCAAAAGCAACAACCAATAGCGCTTCCACCTGGACTCCATCCTGCTACAAAACCTTCCAACCTGCAGTCTCCTCATTTCCAAACTGCAACACCTGTGGTGCCTCCCAAGGTGCCCACACCTGTTCGAAATCGACAGTCTTCTCAACCTGGGCAGCAATCCCATGGCTCATCACCTCGATCTCAAAAGGCGAGCACGGAGATTTCACGAAGCTCTGCTTCACCTGCGACGGTATCAATGCCTCAGACTCCTGGACCTCCGCAACCGATCAAGACACAAGGTCACCAACCTGTATTACACCATCCTCAGCCATCAGCCCCCAGATCGCCTCTTAATAATCATGGACGTGGTCAATATCCGTTCAACATGAATGGACTACCAGGACTGGGCGTTAATGGACCTCCTATGGGATCCGGAATGATGCCAAACATGATGCCGCCGATGCCCATGTATCAAGGTCCACCCCTTGGTAATCAGCAAAGATTTGCACCAAATGGAATGCAGTATCCACCAGGATTCCCACGACCCTTCCAAGGACATCAGATGCCATTTGTTCCTCCTGGCCCAGTCCAGGTGCCAGGAATGCCGAATCCGCAGCCAGTTGCAAACCCACCTCCACATTCTCGGCAGCCATCCAGTGACAATACAGCTCAGCCAGCACCTATTGCCCGACCCGGACCCATCGCTCGGCCTTCGAGTACGACTCCCGACAAGCAAAAGCATCAACGAAAATCTCCAGATGCTGATCTGGACCAGCTGACTACACAATTAGGCAGCAAGGCACTCTTGGACGATTCAGATGAACCTTTCTTAGGGAACTCGGAACCTCGTATGAACCTACCACCACTTGGACCACCTGGATCTTCGAGATTGCCTTTTGCGAGCGCGTTTGGCGAACCCAAACAAGATGCTTTTGGGCTTGGAACTCCAGGCTGGGGTGGTTTCAATCCTGTTGCGCCCGTTTCTGGGAACTGGGGCCCGCCTCCAAATGCACGACCGGGTCCTGGCTGGTCACAACCTCCCTTTGGAGCGATAGGCGGCGGACCTCAACCATTGCCACGTTCGCATTTTCCGAGACCTGTCTCTGTTAGACTCATGCTTGTTCAAGCTTGTCGACAACTATCAAACATCCCGGGAGGACACCTGGACAACTATCATCCAGTGCCGAATGTGCTTCGGCAATTGAACGCTATCAAAGACCCCAGCGAGGCAGCGGTGTCCATGGATGAAATGCTAGGCATTTGCGATACGGAAGGCAATTCACAAAATGGAGGTGGCTCTTTTGAGGTCGTCATTGACAAGACAAGAGGACAGGTCCTGAAATTCATTGAAGAGGTCCCCAATCAACCACGGAACAGTGTTTATGAAATCCGCAGCCCCAATCTCGGACACAGTCAACATATTCAAACGAGTCCTTTTGGTGGCATCGGCCAAAACAGCTTCGGACCTCCTGGTAGGAGCTTTTAGTGGTCGACTCCTCCTCGAAGAAAGGTGAGAGCCGAAGATCACAAAAGCGAGAGCGACCGATTTCTCGAGTTATCCATACCCCATCGCCGAAGCAGGTCAACCACCTAATAGGTTTTGATTCCTCTTACTGCATGGATTCGTGATTTCTTGCACCAGAGCTGTCATCCTTCGCAAAGGTATCCTGCTCTCCTTTTGTTCTTACACCGTTTAATATCACACTGTTAACCGTGGAGTTCTCATCGTGTACTGTGCTCGCTCACCTTCTTGAGCGGGCTCTGCGTGGGACCTACTTTGCGATTCAATCACCAATACTCTCCGGTCTGATGGAAATGGGACGGAGAATGACTCTCGGGTCCGCCATGTAGTGTGCACACGAGGAAGACTGGGCAGGGCAAGGTGCTACTAGGGACTAGCACGACTTCTGCTCACTCATCCATGCACCCTTTTCACTACGGTGATTTCACGCGACTGAGATTGCGATTCGCGCGTGGAGTGGTGGGACAAAAACTCGGTGGTTTTTCCAAGAATATCGTATCACATCGCATCACAATGACACCTGATAGTCTTTTCATCAGCTGCTGTGCTATGCTATGCTGTGCCAGTCTGGCCCATTCATATTAATTCAAAGGCTTCTGCAGAAAGACATGTTTCTTGGTGTCGTAGTCTCTTTATTTATGCTCCGTCTTGATCGTTCTTTTCATTTCTGTTCCCTTTCCGCCCAAGTCACTCGGTTGATGTCCTCCACATCACTCACTGGGTGCGAACCTTGCAGTCTTCCTTCTCTTACCCCAATCATTTCGTCCCACCGCTCTCGGATCGTTGGATTCTGATACTCGTGGTTGATCTAGCCCCTCCTGCCAACGAACGAGGTTGATGTTGATATTCCGATACTGAACAGCAGACCCTCATGCTTCCGCTAGACTAGCCCGAGTGGCTTGAGGTGCGGCAACGCCATTTGGTGGAGAGAGGGAGCTGGTTTCGTTCTAATCTCTTTCCTGGTTCTTCCTTTCGTTCTTGGTCTGGCTCTGGATCTTGGTCTGTCTATTCGATTCGTTATGTTTTTGTCACTACCTACATACATGATATGATTGAGCTCCGTATCGTATATGCAATTTGCACCGGTCATCATTAGCGTTAGACTCGCGCTGCTTGATGTGATTGACGGCTAGACTGGATGCCTGCCTGACACTGGGTATTTTGAAAGACGTTGGATCGATAGGCGGGATTTTCCAATATCCTAATCTTCACATTCGGTGCAAACTGGCTGCGTACTGATCAGCTTTTCTGAGGTATCAGGTGAACCCAACGATTGAGTTCTGCAGGGGATCCGCGTAGAGAAATCGCGGATCCCTCTCGTCATTCGCGAGGATATCGGATCCAGGTTGTGAATTGAGCCGATGGCGAGATGTCTATGCTGCATGTCAAGGAACGTCAGTCCGGAAGCCCTGCGCGGTCGTGTCGTCCTTCATCTCCTCATCCATTCCCGAAGACCGGACCCGAGATCTCGCTTGCACCGGCAAGTCACTACTGGTACTGTTACTGACAGCGCCTCCGCTGGTGCTGACATCAAGAAGTGATGGAGCCGGTTCAGGTGCAGGTGCAGATGCAGATAAAGCTGCATCATCGTTACCGAACGGCACGGACGTCAAAACCGGCCTCGGCAGCGGCGTGGCGGGCACACCGCCACCAACGGACTTGACCAACGCCATATAGAAGCGTGCCTCGTCGATGCTCTCCAGCACATCCTCGCGGGCACTATGCCGCAGCATCTTGACGGGCGCGGCGGCGAGGACGTCCTCTGGCGCCCATCGTCGCACCATCTCCTTCAGGGCACTCACGTCGAAGAGCCGGTAGTGCAGATGTGCGAGGATGGCGTTCCACGGCGGAACCATCAGGAACGAGCGGTCGGCGTGAATCGAGTTGCCCGCCAGGAGGGCGGTGCGTGGTGTCGGGATGTGCGTTTGGATGTAGTGCAGCACTTGGGCCGCGGCCAGGATGGCCGTCGTCGAGGTGCTCGGGTCGACGCATATCTTGGTGAGGCCTGTCGATGTGTGTGTGTTGATGCACCATTCGGACATGGACGACAGTTGGATTTCGCTGTGCGTGATGTATAGCGTCAGACCGAGCGGTTCGATTGGGCGGAGGTCCGCGTCTGTGAGGAGGACGGATATGCTTAGTATTGTGTCGGTTTGAGGGTCGAGGCCTGTCATCTGTCGATTTTGTGGAGAGAGATGGTTAGCTCTGGGTTACTTCTGATTCTTGATGCACATGCGGTCAGGGTTAAACACTGTTGAGTTTCTGGGCTGCTGAAGAAGACGGAAAGACTATGGTAGTTGTGATATTGCTCAGCATGAAAAGTCCGCTGCTGAAAGGATTTAGACTTCCCATATGCTCGAAGGGCGTGGTCACTCTGGTGAAATATTCATTCTGGCGAGGCTCCCAGTGGTCGTCAAGGGCCCCGGTCGATCCATGCCACAAGCACAGAGAAAGGAATCTCCATTACTCAAGAAGAGCCACAGCCAGAGCTAGACCATGAAGCCTTTCGAGGCCAGAAGTCTGCATCATCCAGCAATATGAACATGTCATCAACACGAAAATGTCGATGCACATGTTCGTGGAACAATAAAGCATAATGGCCCTACCATACCTCCCTCTCATGGGAACTCAAGATTGGAAATGCAGAGGAACCTCACGACATCACATGTCCTCGCGGATAAGATTAATGCAGAGAAGGAAAACATCGCTCTCTTACCTCGCAATCGATCCAAACAAGTGGATCAGTCGACCTTGTCAAGGCCATGATGGTGGTAGTGCTATGCCTCACAGAACCAGAAATTTGAAATCGATTCTTCTGTTCTCGTTCCCAAATTGTCAGTCCTTTCAATTTCGGCTTTGTTGCAAAAGGACTGAGTAAAGCAGCAGTCTTCGAGGCGTTGCGGACTCCTTGGACTCCTCTCGGTCGAAAGACGCCCAGGTGCGCTGGACCGAGATGCTTAGAATCTTGGCTGATGAATTTATGTGCTTTGCTCGGAGGGTTTCTCGTGAAAAAATGATGACTCTTAAGTGGTATATTTGACGGAATCTGTGACATCAGTCTAGCAGTGGCCTTGGGTGAATTTGATGCGCCCCAGGGAATTTCTTCGAAGCTACCGGCTCGGCGAGCTCGGGGCGATATCCATATATCAGATATCTTCGCTCAGTCGACTATTGAGCATTCGATGAACAATCAGAGTTTGTAGAGAAGTGTGAACGATTTCCAGGTAATCGGCAAGGGGTGAGGGGTACCTCCAAATGAAGGCGATGTGCGGTGTGTGATGCGATGACGATCATTGACACTTCGTGCTCCCGCGTAGAGAGCACAGCCTTTGATGGTCGTTCAGAGCCAACCAATCACGGCCCACCCGACTCCCAGACGACTGACCCTTGGTGGCGACTCCCTGAAGATCCCAAGGTCTGGATGGAGGATGAAGTATCATTCACCGTGTGTCGAGTCAGAGCGGCCATGTTACATGCTTTCACTGGCTACACTTGATGGACGACTTGAGCTTCTCGTGAGGAATGGGAGTTGGGACACGAATGATTTTCTGCACGATTTGGGTTGCGAAATGTTTATTATTTTCTTGTTTCACGAGTACTTGCAAAATTCTTCCGAATTGATCCGCACCTCGATCTACGGTCCGATCCATCTCTGAGGAATCTTCCCAAGCAGGAATTCCTTCTAGCCTCCGTGAAGAAGACTTCGTTGGGTACTGGTACATCGACCAACCAAGGACACGAAGCGGGGGTTGGTCCAGCCGCTGTGAAGAAGAATAGACTATGTATCAACCAAGCTGTTTCACGACAAGTCCACCCGCCCGCACCGATTCATATGCATCCATCTTTGCCGATCCTATCATGCTTGATGCGAGGTGAACACTCCTTCCCATGCCTCTGTTTTGGCAAAGCATGTCTCGTTTCATACTCTCTCTTACTCAATAAAATGAAATGGTTGTGTCGTCTGAATCAGCATAATGGTGAGCCAAATGCCTTTTCGATAGATCGTTATTGCTGACCTTGCTGCATAGAAGTTTCTTATTCCCGTAACTGCAGAGAATTGAACGCACCAAGATGTTTCCAAGCTGGTGCTGAGATTTGTTGCGGATTAAAAGCTCTCAAGAATTCGGAGAAATTCGATGCTGGACCTTACGCGGCCGAAACCCATCTTTGGGTGCAATCGATCGCCAATCGAGAGGGCCTTGAATTGACAATGATTATCATAGTTCGTCGTCATCTTGATCGGGTTCCTTGACCAGTACTCCACCAAACTGGATTCCGGCGGAATTCGATGTGGATGAAGAACCGAGCACTTCACCGATGGTACTGGCTGATGTTGAAGAACCGGCCGCGAGTCGTCTCTTGATTTCGTCGTCAAATTCTGCGACCGACGCTCTTTGTCTCTTCATTGGACTACCAACCATGAAGCTCTCATCCTCCTTTTTCGTATCAAGACTTGTTCCGAGGGCGGAGGAATTGAATCCAGCGGGAGAAGTGCTGAGATCGTCCCCGATTTTCGGCGTCGATGCGGCCGAAGGGCTTCCCGATTTCGAGGTCTTACGTGCCTCAGTCACACCATTGCTATTCAAGGGCTCGGCCGAATGCTGCCTTTTGAGCTGATGATATCTTAGCCCATGCCGGAATTTCAACGGCGAGGGATCTCTTACCTTCATTTTACGAATTCCCTCCGCGACTTGGCCAGTCCGTTCGGCATCTTCGGGAGATAACATGCCGGAATCCTTCTTCACATCAGCATCGTTAATATCTTCCATCTTGCCAATGATACCGGCGTCCTCGTCGCTTTCACTTTCCATGTCATCGTCGCTGGTGCGCTTAGTCTTTCGGGTCTGTCGAGGTTCAATGTCTCGGAACTTGGAGAACCCAGCACCACCTTCTTTCTTCAAAGGTCCAAGCTTTGGTATGTCTGCGGCTATACTACGTCTCTTTGTAGTGGTGGCAACTTTGTCTGTCTTGGCGCCTGGGAGAATTCCCATCTTCTGAAGCTGACGCTCTCCACGATAAAGGAAGGTAAAGACGGCATATGGTTTGTCAGTCGGATCAATGCCAGTAACAGTCTGGGTGGAAATGGTCTTTGGATCTAAGGTCTTTGGTTTGGCGAAGCTTGTCGTGTGGTCAACATCGGCTCGGCCAGTGCCGTCTCCATTCTTATTAGCCGCCTGTTTCTCATCGGAATCTTCATCGTCATCATGAGCATCAAACTGAGGTGAATATTCTCCACGCTTGATTTCACCAGAGGCCAACACTCGGAAAAGAGCGACTTTGATTTGTCCAGCAGTTTCTGGGATGGGGTCGTCGTCGTCATCTGACGATCCTGAGTCACTCAGAGACGCTTCGTTGTCCGACACATCTTGGAGATCACCATCTTCGCTGTAGCGCATAGTATTTCTCCTTCTTCTAGCAGAACTCAGGCCACCATTGGTGTCGTCATCGCTGGCATTTCCGTCCTTGCGCTTCCGTCTTCTCTTTTCCATCTTCTGTCGTCGTCTCTCGATGGTCGCGGCTGCGTCTTTGCCATCGAGGTCAAGACCGTTCAACCATCGCTCAAGGCCAACTTCACGGAACAAGAACTCTCTTTCTGCAAGTCCACCTCCCTCTTTTTCAGGGACACTGACCCACCGGGAGTTGACCCATGTTTCTTCGCCTTTCCTCAGTAGAGTGGCCACTTCTTCTTTGACTCTGCCGTCGAAATAGATGTATGCAGCGATGGTCTCATTGGGAGAAGTCGTGAGAGGAACATATGGACTGATCGTAGCGAGGGATTTGGTGATATCACTTGTGTGACCCGGCAGTCCTCCAACAAGCTTAGGTTTCGGGTTGGGCTTCTCGGGAGTGCTCTTGGGCGTAGAATATGGAACCTCTTGATTGGGAGTGAGGAGGGTGATGGAAATTGCGAAGGTTGACTGCTCAGGTTTGCCCGTGGTGGAGTCGGCAGGTATCCGCGCAGGAGGAACGGGGATGTAGGTGCTGATCCGAGACAGGCGAGAGGTTTTTTGGACTGAGTGCTCGGGCAGGGGACCGTTTGGTGTATGTATGCTCACAGCAAGACCCTTGAAGCAAGGCATCTTGAGGTGGAAAGCAACGATCGATGTGTTGAAGAAATCTTAGATCTCCGCTGTCTGCGCAGGGCAGAGACGGCGGAGAGGAAATCCTGAAAGACAATCCAGTGGAATGATCGACTGATGGGCGGGTGGAATTCCTCCTCTTGTTGATGTATCCGTATGGTGTCCTGGCAGTGTTTACCAAGTGAGGATGAGACTCGGGTGAAGAGTGAAGTTGTGTAAATTTGGAACAAGTGATACTCCGCAGGTCGGGCGGAGACGGTGAGCTATCCGGTTGACTCGTTCAGCAGAAATGAGAGACTAGGGTTTGATGGTATGGATGTGTCCAGAGAATGAGGATAGGGTATCTTGCAAGTGTCGTAAGAGAATGAGGCTCGCAAGGGCAAGGTCGATGTGTCTTGTGAAAGTGGAAATTCGTAGGATGGTGATGCACGTACAAGTGACCAAAGCACGAGGCAGAGACGAAATGGAAATGCCAAGATATGCCTTGCCGAGCTAGGCTGTATGCGGACAAGGCTGCCACTAACTTGTTCAAGTTCAAACTGACTCGGCAGAATCTGGAGGGCTGAACCTGGGGGAAGCTCAACTGATTCCAGACGTGAACCCAGTCCTGGAGTCAGTTTTCTTCAGAAATGAACCCCAATATCCTTGCTGGAAAGCGCCTTTCATAATACTCATTTTATATTTAGTATAACCACGTGTCTCGTGGCGGAGTATCTCCGTCTGGCAAGGACAGAGCGTCAATTTTATTTGCACCTCCTGCTCATGGATAAAGATGTAGTAGATGTTGTTGGCAGTGCCGTGAAGCACTGTTTGACACCTTGTTGCGTAACATTCACTAGAGCTTTCGTTGGTGGCGTTGCCCTCCAAGTTATAGCTTGAAGTGCACACCCTGACCAACACTGCTATCAAGCAATCCACATTCTACGACGACATGGCCCACAAGAAGAATCGCGTCCAAAATCTATGCTCGTTTCTCACGTTGTCCGCCATCTCACTGTATCGCTTGAACATCACAAAAGTTGAGCAACAGTTCGTGGCTGGTTACCAAGAAAGCCTGGGTGTCAGGACACAATTGACTCCAGTCTCACACGATATGGAGCCCTCCTTATTGCCAAAGTTGTGTCTCGGCATGAACTGTAGGTTCGTGCTCATGATAACAAACAGTCTGGGGCCGTGTGCTCGTGCACAGACCAGAAGGAGAGTGATGCGATTAGATTAGTGTCCAAAGAACGTCTCTTACCTCAACCATTATTATCTCACCCTCTTCAATCAATTTGCCGATTCTATATAATCGTGGGTCCTGCACGTTACTGGATAGGAACTATGCGGAATATGGTGATATTGCCATTGGCAATAGCAGCGAGAGTGGTGTGAGTGTTTTTTTGCTGCTTGACCAGAAAAAATCCCGGATTAATTTCTGTTGAGGTTTCTCCGTTCCAACCAATGAGCGCTGCTCGTCTTCAGGGGAAGACCCTGTGGATGGGGAAAACGGTGTGGCAATGACGTTGTTGTTGGGTCGTTCCTCCCCAGAAACGTCGGATGCAATCATTTTGGCAACTGCCCCTGCACCTGCTGCACCTGAACGCCCACGCCGACGCACCTGCCCCGCGGTGATAGCTTCTTGATCCAATATTTCTCGCCCTTCAATTGAGGGGGATCTTCTGGCAAGGAATTTTTTACCTGTCGCCATATTCCTTGCCATAAAACCCTTCGCACCTCCATAGCTGACACGCTTTCATTCACCTTCTTCACTATCACCCCACCTCAACTTGACCAAAACCTTTCTCACACAACCAACATGTCTAAAGAAGTTCAATTCAAGGCCTTCACCGACCAGAAGTAAGTTCAATAGCTTGCCTGTCGTTTATCATCCAGGAGCTTACCATCTCTCTCACAGGCCTGGTACATCGGGCCTTCGCAAGAAGGTGACGGTCTTCCAACAAGATCATTACAGCGAGTCCTTCATTACCTCCATCCTCCTCTCCATCCCTGAAGGTGTCGAGGGTTCATTTCTTGTCATCGGTGGTGATGGAAGATATTGGAATCCAGAAGTCATCCAGCTTATTGCAAAGATCGGTGCTGCATATGGTGTCAAGAAGCTGCTCATCGGCCAGAATGGCATCCTGAGTACACCTGCTGCCAGCCATGTTATCCGGATCCGCAAGGCAACTGGTGGTATCCTCCTGACTGCCAGCCACAATCCAGGCGGTAAGTCTTCTTCTCACCTGTCAGCGGCTATAAATGCTTATCTGACCGAAAACAGGACCCAAGGCCGACTTTGGCATGAAGTACAACCTATCCAACGGTGCTCCTGCCCCCGAGTCCGTCACCAACAAGATCTATGAATTGTCAAAGACTCTTTCATCATACAAAATCGCAGACATCCCCAAAGTCGATATCGAATCCATCGGTACAAAAAAATATGGCGATCTTGAGGTTGAAATCATTGATTCTGTCGCCGATTATGTCACCATGCTCAAAGATATCTTTGATTTCGATCTCATCCGCTCCTTTTTCAAATCTCAACCCGACTTCAAGGTTCTGTTCGATGGATTGTCCGGTGTCACCGGCCCATATGGCAAAGCCATCTTCCAAGGCGAACTCGGATTGTCCGAGTCGAGCACACAGAACTGTGAACCCAGTCCCGATTTCAACGGCGGTCATCCAGATCCCAATCTCACATATGCTCATTCGTTGGTTGAGCGCGTCGACAAGGAAGGCATTCACTTTGGTGCGGCCTCAGATGGTGATGGCGATCGAAATATGATATACGGCAAGAACGCTTTCGTCTCACCCGGTGATTCTTTGGCGATTATCGCCCACTATGCCAAACAATACATCCCATACTTCAAAAAGCAGGGTGTCTATGGTCTTGCCAGATCATTCCCAACCTCTGCGGCCCTGGATCTCGTCGCCAAGAAGCAAGGCTTGAATGTTTATGTCGTACCCACCGGATGGAAGTTCTTCTGCTCTCTTTTCGATACCGACAAGATGTCAATCTGTGGTGAGGAGTCGTTTGGTACAGGTTCAAATCATATCCGAGAAAAAGACGGCCTGTGGGCTGTGACTGCTTGGCTCAACATCATTGCTGGTGTAGGTCGGGATACTGGCAAGTTCCCTTCTATTGCCGAGATTCAGAAGCAATTCTGGCACGAATATGGCCGCGTGTATTTCACTCGATACGACTACGAAGATGTTAGCAGCGAGGGAGCCGCGGATATGGTCAAGTCTCTCAAGGAAAAGATTGCTGACAAGGCCACGGTCGGATCAGAGATCAAGGGTCGCAAAATCACGGAAGCTGACGACTTCTCCTATACTGATCTTGATGGATCAGTCTCGAAAAACCAAGGAATCTATTTCATCTTTGATGATGGAACCAGGGTCGTTGTACGCTTGTCTGGAACAGGCAGCAGTGGAGCCACTATTCGTCTGTACGTCGAGAGATTGGAAGAAGACAAGAGCAAGCTTGGAGATGATACCCAAACTTATCTGGAGGGACCGGTCAGCTTGGCGGCGGAGTTGTTGCAACTTCAAAAGTTCATTGGTAGAACTGAGCCTGATGTGAAGACTTGATCGGGTTTGTTCTTGAGGAATGTAGTTTGTTAGCAGTACCACAGCCAGAATTATGATAATGCTCACAGCCAATTGCTTGGTCTTTCTAAGGCACCCATATCTTCTCTAGACTACTTGCTCATTTAATTTGCCAGGATTCTCCACAGCCCCCTAGATAGCCATAGTTAAATACCTTGTAAGTACTGTACTTGTTAGACCTGAGAGAAACCCATTATGGTAACAATAGAGTGCTCGTGACAGCGACGGTGATTCTCATAGGGATGATCACGTGAAAGAAGAAAGCCTTGCCAGCTGACGTAACTCGCCAACTGCCTGAGCACGTCGGCAATCGGTGCCAGGACCGACAATTTCTAGCGTTGTCGATCATGGAGATAGGAGAATGCTAGCGTTATGCTTATTTCAGTATGGGACGTCATTCCCTATCAACATTCAGGATCAACCGGTCAAGACCATTTTTACAACAAGTCAAATATGTCACTGACTTAGTATTTGCTTTGTCCTGGTTGAGAATGTGATGCCACTTACAGAAAGTCGAGGTTTGTTATTTCTTGTCCATACCGAATTCAAGTGCCCCGTGGAGAGAGTGATTCACACAGAGCAGCATCACCTCTTGTTACACGGTCAAGATCAAACCTGCCACTTTAAAGCAGCACAAGAGATGGCTAAGACGCACAGTGTATGCTCTGACATCCTTGGGTCCGGTCAACTTCCGATCCACCAACCTTTGGACGGTGCAACGTTAGGACAAGGCCAAGCACCCCTGCGTGGAGACCGAGTCGCACAGCCTCATATCGGGCCCAAGTGGTCCAATTAAGCTATGGCGTTATCGGTTGAATGGTGGATAAGTGACACGGATACTCAGCACGTATCCGTGGATGAGATGAGATCTGCGTATGGTATTCAATGATTGCAGCCTGATCCAGCCATCGAAGGGAACAAAGAAGCACATGGTGGAGATTGCCGAGCCTTGGCGCAAGATAACCATCCGGACTTGCTCTCATGTCTCGAGTTCTCAGGTCCAGTTTCTTGATGCCAGCTTCCAATGGCTTATCACACTGGTTTTCGTCTCTTGGTCGATTAGCACTCCTGAAATCCCTGGCAAATCCACCCTCTTTGAAGCTTCGTGTCCATCGCCGCCACGCAACCCCGATGCGTACGAGTACGTCCAGATCTGGGTTTGACCAAGGCGACCATCCGACATGTGAAGTGCTTGACGCAGCCACCCTTCTTGGTCTCTGCAACAACGATATCTCAATTCGGATGCGGAGCCACAATTTCCTCAGGCACAGCGTTTTCTCGTTCACTTATGCGGAACCTGACGACTTCATCTCCATACCTGACGAGGCCTCAGGCAGGCTTTTCATTCAATCTCAGGCTATTGGCATATGCAACATGATTCATGCACATGCTCAACAGGTTTGAATCCCGAGTACTCAGCCTCCCTTCCTATCACCTCATCTGTTGTCACACAATAGGGTGAACTTTGAACTCTGTGAACGCGGCTGTGGGCCATGTTCTCACTACCTCCATCACTGTCTACCCAATCACCCCATGTGTCACATTCATTCGGCACTTTAACAGCCATGATCGTGGGGGGAGGTGGGAGACGAGTATTCGTAGTAGTGTACAGATGCAGATATATCTGCTGTCTTCCGTTCTTTCGTTACCACCCTGTCCACTGTCATTGTCCTTGCCTTCGAACCCAGTGGTGCCCAACCGGTTTGTTTTTTTTGTGATTTGACTCAACGTCTCCCAACTCTGTTCGTTGGGCAGTCACACTCGACTCACCAGCTCCTTCCACTTTGACACCCTCTGCAATATCGTTTCTCCTTCACCATATTCAACTTTTGAGCCTCGACCATGTGTGATTCACGGTTGTCCCTAGACCTCGAGAAGGCTGAAAGTCCGGGTCTGAGCCCGCTCCAACGAGTCGACTCATCTCGCACTCTTACCAATTCAACCTTTCCCACTCCTCAACAATCACGAGATCCAAGTGTAGAAAGACAGAAGCGAAGAAGACCGACAATGGGTGGCCACTTGAAATCCCCATCTGTCGTTGTCAAGTCTCAGAGATACCTTTACCAGGATCTCGACACCTCCTATAGTGAGTAGCCAGATCTTCTCCGCGAGTCTCTCGCGTCAGTATCCTTTCTCTAACCTCCGTGTCAAATAGTGGGCCTTGTGGTCATTGTATGCTTCTTCATCTCAGGATTGATTGACAGTGTTGCCTTCAATTCATGGAACTGTTTCGTCCAAATGCAGACGGGTAAGCTTGCAGCCCCGTTCATATAACCACTGAAGTCTTCAACTCATATCAATTTCAGGCAACACCGTCTTCGCCGCACTCGGACTCGGAGGCCAACCCAAGGCAAGTCATGACCAACAATACTACAAGTCTCTCACCTCCATCGCCGCCTTCTGCCATGGAACCCTCTTCTTCAGCGCCCTGCACCGCTATCCCACCGGTCTGTCTGAACAACCATCTTCTCGCCGCCGGGTCATCTTCATTATTTCCTTCTCCGTCCAAACAGTCTTCATCATCATCGCTGCATCCCTAGTCACCGTCAACCTTGTCTCCAATAAACCCTTTGAATCAGGCACATTCTCATCTGGAAGTGCCAAAAACCCCTCCAAGATGCCCAACTTCCTCGACCTCTGCCCCGTGGCAATCCTAGCGTTCCAGGCTGCGGGCCAAGTGACACTCTCACGGCTTCTAGCCATGCTGGACTTGCCGACCATCGTCCTCAGCACACTGTACCATGACTTCACTGCAGACTTGTACTCCCTCAGGACATCATGGCGAAACAGAACTAGTCTCCAGCATTTCTTCCTGGGACCTCAGAGGAGACAAGCAACGAGATTGGCCTCAATCTTGTCACTGTTCATCGGTGGCATCGTTGGTGGAGAAACTTACAAATCCAAAGCCGGCATGGCGGGAGCGTTGTGGATGGCAGCTGGCCTGAAGCTCGCCGTTACCATGGCTTACGTATTTTGGCGGCAGGAGAAAAAAGCCAGCGATGACGGTGACGGCTCAGATTCCACAACACGCTGATCTTGTAACAAAAGCGGGTGTGATGCCTTCTTTCCAAGCATTATCGGATTTCTTCCTTCCATCCCAACAAAACGATGTTCGATCTGAAAGGGAATCGCTTGGAATTAGCTACTTCTGCAATATATGAGTATGGTGCTCCGGATGGCACTTGAAACGAATTTAACGACTAAAGGCTTGACGCCGACATGGGCATGAACACCGAGGTGAAATAGATGAATGGCGCTTTCTGAGCTGTGGTCGCTCAACGGATAGGTTTCATAGATTTTGAGCTAGCTGGGAGTTCGGTAGACATTTTTAGACTAGGGCTTCGAGATTAGAGCTCAGACAATTTGATTCTCATGATAGCTCGCTTGTTTTGGTCTTCCTGGAAATGGGCGTTCAGATAATTCCACATTGTCGAGCATATTCGTGCACAGCTTTTCGCACTCCCTCATTCATTCGTGACTCGTGGGTCCGTCGAAAGTCCTCGATACGGGAGAGGGAAGGGGGTGATCAAGGCTAACGTGAGATTGTCCAAAGTAGCTACGCCGAAAATGATAGCTGGGTGGGTAGGATGGGGATGGAATGGCATGGGATTGCCACCTTGTCAGGCACCAAGGAGGACGAGTATGTCAGGTAGTTATCGTCGTTCCTTTCGATGGAGAAGTTCTCTCGCCCTGTTTTGGGGCGGGTCGGGGAGAGTGTTCAGAGCCAAGGGGCGGCGAATGTGAATGGGCGCTCTCCAGCGTTTGACTCGCTTCATTCTCTGGCTTGGACCTTGCAGATCTCGGAAGCAGAGTCCTGCGCTTTGCGCTTTGCGCTTCAGGCTTGAGACTTGTGATGGATGGTTTGTGTGCAATGTATGCCGTGAGTTGGTCATGTGGGAGTCCTACTCGAGGGGTGGGTTTTGAGCCTTCTTTTGGTCGATGTGCTCCAATACTAGGTAGTTCATCGGTGCGCTCACAGTCAGAGCTTGCTCGGATCCCAGCGGATAACAGTCGGTTGCTGAGCTCCTGTGTACCAGACCGCCAGGACGCCGGCCTTTTCGTCAAGAGCAATATTTTCGCTGTAGTAGTCGAACCCGGGTGGTAGGTGAACCACGAATTTATCTCCGCACTTCACCCATCCATTGTAAGACACCTCAACCCATTTTTCTCGTGCAGAAATGACGTCCATGTCCCTCCCATCAACCTTTTCAAGATGAAATTGCTCTTTATCGTATTCAGAAGATTTCACTGCTAGCAGTGTTGATCCCCAGTCCATCAGCAGATATTTACCATCGCCAGAAAACTTGTGTTCGTTGTTGATTCCAATGGTCATATGCAGGGTTCGTGAGACTTTGATCGTCGCTAGCAAGCTGCCAGTTATAGTGTCTCGCAGGCGGACGTTTCTTTTGATGCGATCGGAATGTAAGTCAGTACTAATGCACGCGTATCGCAATCCATCCGGTGTAAACAGGATTTCGTTTATATCACTCCATTGATCACGTGGTCGGTCCCATATTCCATCTGAAAGAAGTTGCAAGTCTTGAATTGTATAAAGCTTTTGGCTGTTGTTCACATCCCAGAGCTCGATATGGTTTGACCTAGCCACGATGAGATGAACTCCGTCTGGCGAGGGACAGCAGAACTGGGCATCACAACATGGATATTCAACGTAGAAGTCTTCCTCAAAAAAAGATGATGAATTTGTGGAGAACTTCCAAATACTTAGTCGATCAGCCGACATGGATATCAATCGATTCTGGGAGAATAAGAAAGTCAGTACTGATCCCCACTGGTTGTCGTCCTGGAGGTCTAGAATCTTTGAATCGCTTTCGCCTGTTATCATCATATTCTTGACCTTGACGCCACCAGAGGAGGTAGCAAGAGCAAGGAACTTATGATCACTTGAACAGGCCAACTTCCTGAACTCATGATATCGACTATTGACTACAAATCCACTGCGATACCGCACTTCGGGAGAGTAATTCCAATTAACGGCTCGAAACAACTCTTCGCCATCCTGGGTGACCATTCTGTGTGTTGATGTCAAACTCTCGAGGTTCGGCGCAAACTTAAGCATCATAGCTGGAGATATGCTGGCAGTGGCAGAGACACTCTGAACAGGGGCCTCAGGTTCATTGATCGCAGCGCCTGGGAACGCTTCGCTCTCACTCGGTGTTGTTCTTACCGTCCATGTGTTCATGTCAGTGTGGGACCACGCAAACAATAGCATCGTGGCATCGGTGACCTTGGAGCGCTGCGAGAACTTCACGGAGTCCATGAAGTCTAGGTGACTCTGTAGCCTCTGGAGCACCTTACCGGACTCTAAGTCGTAAATTTTGAAATCTGGACTGGCTTCGTATCGTGAGACAGTCACCAGTCGCTTCCCATCACTTGATACATCAAATGAAACATCACAATCCAACGTGTGCTCCCAGCATTGTAGGCCAGTACGGAATTTCCAGAGACTCAGCGAGGATGGGCCACTGCAAACGATGGTTTCTTTGTCAGTGAGATGGACATTATACACAACTTCTCCATGCATGGGTAGAGTGAAGGCTGCTCGCGCTGCGCAGTCCCATATCTGCACCACAGATTCGTCTGTCCCAGTTGAGCTTCGTAGCTCTGAGCCCACTGAGTCGTCAACCTTGAGGTCAAATACACGCACGAACATACCGTCTGGTGACAAACGAACCGTATTCACAAAGCCCTTACAAGGATACGGCTCTGGTGATCCATAAAGCTCGGATTGAGTTCCAGTCTTGGTATTCCAGTACATCACAATTCCCGATGGTTGCAGCACAGCGGCCAAGAATGCTCCATTGTCCAGAAACTGTAATGTAGATACAAATTCTGGGTCGGAATGCACTTTCAAGATCTTGGGACATGTAGCCTTTGATTCGAAGTTTTCGGTAGCGGTGTCCCACAGCTGGATAGACTCATCGCCGGCTAGGCAAGCCCATATCTTGTCATCCGGAGAAAATGTCATGGATGTGAGTTCGTTAGAGTCCTGTTCCTCTACGTGGCAAACAACACTTCCATCAGACACTCTGAAGAGCACGTAGCTTGATCTGTAACGGGAAGGTACGTATGCGACGGCCAAAAGAAGTCCTTGATGAGAGAACAACAATTTTGAGGCTCCCGTTTCAGCTCTAGAGTATATCATACTGTCACTTACTAGACTTCCGGTATTCAAATCCCACAGTTTCACGATGCCGTCCGCGGTTGACACGGCGATAAGTTCGCCATCTGGAGAAAATGCGACGTCCCATATCCTGGATCTGGTAGGATTCGGGAGTGTTATAGGATCTTCTGAGTTCCATTCTGCTTGAGTGCCGCTGATAGTAAGAAAGTGCGGAAGCATGCGGCTGCCAAAACAACGCTTCATTATGCTATGCTCGGGACAAAATCCGATTGCGGTGCCATGGACTTGGAGTGGTGCTTCCTGGATGATGTACAGATATTTTCTTGTGAACTTCCGAGCATCGCGAATGAATTCGATAAGTTCTGAAGGGTTTTGGTACTATTGTATCGTTCAATGAGAAATCACAGTATTCGCAACACGGACGACAACATCAACTTACTTGTGACCAGTTTTCAAGGCGTTGGAGCAGTTTTGGAACGTCATATGCTCTTCCCAGTAGTCCCATAGCCTCAATCCAATTGAGAAAGTTCGTTTCGCAGAAATCAAAAACACGGTCAGCAGTTGATATCGCAGCTGAGTCGATTCTTCTGATGTCCTCAAACACAAGGTGTTCGATCCAGTGGCAACATGCATAATTTAGAGACCCCAGCCTTGGCGAATCAAGACATCCCGAAGTCAGATTTGCAGAGATGGGCCCGTACTCTTTGCCGTCACAGATGTCCATCTTTAGACCCTTAAGTGAGTCACTCATGCAGTCGAGAAGTCGACAAGCGAAAGCTTCGTGATCCAGTGGCAGTAACGAGAATTCATGCAACTCGTTGGAGTTCTGTACAAAGTCCTGTGCCGATTTGTGGACGAACTTCACTTGACAGCCCTGCAAGACGAGCAAAGACCCACAGCTATGGACCAGACGAGAGACGTCCTTGGTGGTCCGAAAGGCGGCTGGAAGTCCCACGACAGGAATTATCTCAATAAGCCTGAGCGGTCTTTTGGCCATGCTGAGGGTCGAGAGCAGCTGTGTGCAATAGTTGACCGTGGCCGGGTGGCGGGTTTGAAGTCGCTTGAGCATTCCGCGATAGAGGCTCTTGAGACCGCCAGGAAGCTCGTTGAGTATAGTCTCCGCAATGGTGCTATCGGCCTCAAGAAGCTCTTGACACACGAGCGATACCCATAGAAAGGTATTCTCGGCTTTGTTGTGGAAGATTTCTAGAAGCTTGTTCTGGAGATGCCCGAGTTCTTTCTGTCGAACCACCTGGTCGACTTTGTGACCAATGTATGTATCCACATTCGAGTTGATCATGTCTTGGTGCTCTTCCAGTGAGATGGTGAGCTGATACGTCTGAAGTTAGCATTTCCAAATTTTGAGCAAGAAACAGCACTTACTCACACTGGAGTCACACGCGCTGAGACTAGGAGGTGGCTTTACACTGTCATCATTTCGACTTGTTATGAGCCATCGGAGATTGGATGGTCGGTTGATATCCTCAGCAATGAAATCCATCAAATATGCTCGACCTTCTGCACATTCATCAAGGGCATCCACGATGATAAAGATTGTTGGCATGTCTGGATCACGTGCGATTTTGGTCATGAGCTCCTGCATGTATGAAAATGCCTCCGAACCCTGCAGGATTTCGGTCATCGGCCGTTCTTGATATTTTCCCAGATACTTCCTCAGAGCAGGTCGCTGTTCGATGAGCAAGAATATAAGACCTCGACAAATCGATACGGCGCTCCTAAGTCGCGGTTCAGAATTTTGGCAGAAGAAGAATGCTATGGGTTCGTTTGCCTGGTCATTACTTTCGTCGTTATGCTGTGGAGAAATGCTGTCATGTTGGAGATGGTCGTCGGAATCATCGAAATCGGGTTCGCTGTCATCTGTGATGTGTTGCTTGAATACCTTGTTGATTATGCCGATAGTCATCATTGTCTTCCCCTTGCCGGCATCGCCTTTAATCCAGAGTAGCCTAAGATTTCCAGCTCTCCATTTGCAGAAATAGTCCTCGTGTAGAATCCAAGAGAAGCACGCCTCTAAGACATCCTCCTTCTCTTTGATGAGCCGTTTCTTGTCTTTCCTAGGGTCTGTGATGTAAAGCCAGGCATCGCTGGGTTCTGTGCATAGTGTGAACTTGGCGAGTGTATCCTATGAAACATGAGAGGACATACCGGAGTTGTTGAAATTGATCGTCGCGTCTCCTCTGACATATGAACCGGCTACAACATTGCGACCTTTGATTGGTCCGAAGCGAGTCGCTGGATTCATACTGGTATTAATATGGTTGCCTAATGACGAGGAAGGAACAACCTGATGCTGTCAAGAACGGGGGTCAGTCTTGAAGATGAGGTTCTAGCTGGAGCGCGGCTGAGATGTGCTGGAACTCGCATCTTGGTGGGGTGGTCAACCCCTGCTCAATTTGGGCTGCATGCTGTACAAATCAGGTTAGGTTGATCTGTCTGCCTGGAAGAGAGATGTTGGTCGAGTGTAAGGCTGAAGGAGGGGAGTAGATGCACCGCCTCGTTTTCTAAACATTCTCTCGCATCTGTTAAATGCAAACCTTGATGGTACTTATTGCCAAACTTAAAAATACCGGATAGACAGCCTTGCGCTAAACCGGAATTTATAACCCTGAGTGACCTAGTTTAGTTAGAACCGCAACTGTGACTGGACAGAATGGTTAGCAGGGCATCCAGCCGGGATGATTTTGAGATTGCCATCATATGTGCCCTGCGCAGAGAGTACAACGCTGTTGTGCCATTATTCAGCGAGCTGTGGGATCAACAGTCGGAGGACGACGAGGACAACGATTTTGGGAGAGCAGCAGGTGACACCAATATTTATGCCAATGGACGCATAGGAAGGCACAACGTCGTTTTGGTATTACTCCGGAAGATGGGCAAGAGAGCTGCAGCGGGAACTGCAGCGCAGATTGCGACAAGCTATACTCGAGTCTCTCTGGCACTCCTGATCGGAGTTTGTGGGGGTATTCCCAGATACAAGCGAGATGGGAATGAAGACATTGAAATACTTCTTGGAGATTTAGTCGTGAGCACAAAGGTGTGCGAATTCGACTTTGGAAGAGAATATCCTGATGGTTTTGCACCAAAAAACACTGAGGAGGATCAGCCCGGTAAGCCAAACAAGAACATCAGCAACTTATTGGAGGCACTTCAAACGGATATTGGCATGAAAACTCTCCGACAAAAGACCCCCGAATATCTGCAAGCAATCCGAGAGAGAACACCGATTCATCCCGAGAAGTACAATTTTCCGGGTCGAAACGCAGACAAGCTGTTCAAAGCGGATTACCGCCATAGGCACGATGGAGCGGTATCATGTGAGTGTAGAAATTGGCAGAATGCCCGGGATGCAGTCTGCAAAGAATCTCTCAAGGCAGATTGCAACAACACCAAGTGTGACGAGACACAGCTCGAGTCAAGGCGGATCGAGTCAAGGCAGCAGTTCATTAACAAGCCTGAGGACCCGGTATTCCACTTCGGCGCCATTGCCTCGGGTGACAGAGTCGAGAAGTCTGGTATTGATAGGGATCAGTATGTGAGGGATCTCGGAGTCATCGGCTTTGAAATGGAGGGGGCCGGAGTCTGGGATGAGTTGCCTTGTCTCGTGGTAAAATCAGTCTGCGACTATGCAGACAGCCACAAGAATAAGAAATGGCAGGACTATACTGCAGCGGTGGCAGCGGCAGCGGCAAAAGCCATTTTGGATGTCTATCCTGGTAGAGATAAGCCGGTTGATCGTAAGTTGTCTCGCTGTTTTCGGTGTCCTAGTCCTTGAGAATCGCGAACGAGCTGCTGAACAAGACTTACAGTATCAAAATTCGCTAAGTCGTCGGTTTCTCCAGGTGCAGTGATATTTCATGGGCCAATATCTGGGAAAACTGTGGTTGCGGGCCACATAGTCCATGGACCCTCAACTATGACTTTCCACTAGTTAAAGTTCAGGAGCATTTCTGCTGTATCATGTCTATATTCCGAGAGATTCGATAGGAGACATTATGAAGCTGGTACGATTGAACATTTGTTTCGTGTGCATTAAACCCCACAAATTTTTGATGACCAGATTGTGGATTCACCACTACTGACTTTGAAAGAGGATGCGATGTTGTCATTGTTGGCTTTTCGCCTAGAATGGAACGGCCTGTAATTGAGGCAATTATTAACCATAAATAGCATATCCACTCGTGGTACATGCTGCCAATCGCCTTTGATTGTAAGAAACTGTGCTTTTGTCTATTCGAGACTCTTGAACAATTTTCCACCTTTCCACACATGTGTGATATTCTTTGGATGCTTGAACACAGCCATGTCCTCCAGCGGATCTTTGCTGAGAGCGATCAGATCGGCATCATAGCCAACCTCAATCCTCCCGCTCTTAGGCGCCATGCCTAAATCTCCGAGCACATCTGGTGCATTCGCAGTGGCGGCTTCAATAGCCTGTAAGGCCGTCATGCCGCCATCCGTTACAGCGTAGCTCAGCTCGCCGCCGCTATTGCCCAACGCCATAGGATGGGTAGTCGGCACCGAGATCCCCAAATCAGTGCCGAGCGCGATCTTGATACCAGATTTCACAGCCAGACGATACGCCGACTCGTGGTGCTTGGCTGTCTCAAGCATCTTGCGGTAAGACTCAGGGGACATCAATTCTGGGTGATCAACGCCAAGTTTGACGACCGTGCGTGTGGGCACGTACACAGCATTACGTTTCTTGAATTCCGAGATGCATTCATCGTCCATGTATGTGCCGTGTTCAATCGTGTGACAGCCGGCGCGGAGGGCGGCCATTATCCCGTTCTTGCCATGACAGTGTGCGGCTACGACGCGACCGGCGCGGTTGGCTTCATCGACGATCGTCCTGAGTTCGGCATCGGAAAACTGTTGACGCAGAGGGTCATCGGCAATGCTGAGAACGCCGCCTGATGCAAAAACCTTGATGCACGAGGCACCACGTCGAATCAGCAAGCGTACGGCGCGACGACATTCATCTTCCCCGTCAGCAAGGAGTAAAGGTCCACCAGCTGGATTGAACCCATTTGCTTGAGTATCGCGGACACCCAGGCATGATGTCACGAAGCCCGATGGCATATCGAAGATATCGCCGTGTCCAGATGTTTGGGAGATAGCTGCCCCCGCCGAGTAAATGTTGGGTCCTACTAGTGTACCTTCGACGATGGCTTTGGAGACCTCAATTGCATAGCCTCCCAAATCACGCACGGAGGTGAAGCCGCTCATCAGAATATCGTGCACATTACGTGAGATGCGGGCACCTGCGAGTGCTGGTGGCGAGGTTGTCAATAGCTCCGAGAAATTGAATGATGTTGCGCCAAGCAGATGCGTGTGGCAGTCCCAGAGCCCAGGTAAGAGAACGGGAACGGTGGTGGTTGGAATAAACTTAGAAATGCCTTCTGTGAGAGAGCTTGTCGACTGAATAGAGTGGATTTTGCCAGACTTGATGATTATTGACATGTCTTTCTGTGGTTTCCCTCGGCCAGGAATCAGCAGAGAAGTGTTGATTAAATGTGTGTCATGCTCCGTTGATGAGCCAGTTTGGAGGTCTGTAAGTCGTGGTAACTGAGGCGAATCATCCTCTGATACGGGTAGGCTGCTGAAAATGTGTTCCGTTGCGGTATTGATGGAGCTGAGGTCTGTCGTACAAGGCTCAGAAATTGTCGAAGAGCCTGTGTGGCTCGTGATGACCTTACGGCGGGTCATGCTGATGGTGTGAGATGGTATTGTTGGATTTTGTACCTTGCTGAAATGCCTGTTGTTACCTGAAAAGAAGTCCTTATTGCCAGAGATAGTAGGACCAAGTGTGAGCAGCTCCGAGGCTGGGATGATTGTCGAATGACCTGCGCCTTTTTGAGAGTGGTTTGTCCACAAATCGGCTGTGAAGGTCACAGTGACAGTACTCTACAGCTGAGATCAAGTTGGCATAGCTCTAAGAATGACGGTGAAGCAGGAGCCCGTGGCAATAGAGCATAAGAAGAGGAAGGAGGTTAACCAGCTGACGGACATTGATTCGTCGTCAGCAATCCACTGTAGTTGCCGTCATTGCCGAGGATTGGACCAGATCCAGCCTCGTCTTGGCAAGGCTGAAGCTTGAGGAGAGGCAACAAATCAGCCACTGCCAGATGCGAATTTCGCACGCGTTAGCATGACTACTCAAGAATGAGAAAAGACGTCTAGAAATCAACAAATATACAGAAACTGGCAGCAGCTGATGAACACCAGCGGCTACAAGGGGTTTTGCTCAAAGAACGATGGAGGGTCTAACGTAATATAATATTTTATTGTGAAAAGAACTTAAGAAAAATACTCAACCATGTTCCTTGATAACCTCGTCCACACTCTCGTGAATGACAAGCTAAGGGTTGGAAAATACACACACCACAGCCGAGCAGATCAAAATATGAAGCTAATAGTAATAACTTGCGCAACTCAATGTACCATGGTAATAGGTTGTGCTCGTTTCGAGTAGATCACTGGGGAGAGATTCATGCCTCTCCAGCGTCGAATTTCAACAGTGGTAATTTCACACGAAGATGCAACATACAGCCTCATGGAAAGCAGGCGTTATATGGAAGAGAATCGATAGATGACAATGGAGCGAAGAACACCAGGGAACATAGAGGGTGAAGTTAAGAAACCTTTCGTCGAGTGAAGAGCTCTAGGTCTTGTTGATCTCCACTGAGTCTTACGGAGCTGTGCAAAGTCATTACAGTCTTGACAATCCATGATATATCCGGCCGGCGGAGTGCAAGGATAATCCAATTGCGCCACTTACAGATCTATTCAGGATTACGACCTTGAAGTGGCCTCATCACGATAGCTTACCACCGGTGACAAAGTAGGAGAAGCATTCCGTGCGGAAGTGCATATGCTAGGATGTAGCTCGAGTTGCGAACTTCCTGCAATGGACAGCAAACACAGACATCCGCTGGCAGAGAGAGGGTCGTGCTTGTGAAAGTTGGAGAAGGACAACTTCTCAGCCCTTGCAAGGAACAAAGTGTGAGGATGAGGTCCCTGAAGGAGTACATGCCAAGGGCCCCTATGGTGAAAGAGTCCTTGATGGTCTGACATAGAATGCACCTGAAAAAGTGAGCACCAATGAAGTGAAACGCTATTTGATGCTTCTCGCTGTCGTGCGTGAAACTATCGACGAGCATGAGATGCCCGTGCTTCAAGTCGGGAGCTCACGAACAGAAACATTGGAAAAGGACGGATGTTGACAAACACACTATCCGTTCGCGTACAACAGAAGGTGCTGGACCGGCACGACCTCCACCAACGAATCTGTCGTTCTCGGTACTCAAGCACTTGGGAGTGGAGTGATGATAGATGTTGCACCACCGCTACTGGAGGCAATTGTCGGTCATGGTTAAACTGCAAGCCGAATGGAAGTTCTAACGGATAGAACGAGCAATTTGGGTTTTTGCCCTTGGCGGTGTCGCAGGTAGGGACTGTCCATTCAATCAGCCAACGTCTCAACAACATCTGTGATCTCGGAGTTCCAGAGTAAGGTGCTTGTATAAGCGCCGATTTCATCGAGTGCACGGTCTCGTCTCACCTAGGTGGGTTAACTGGGGTGATCAAGGGTAATAGTGAGATACATTAGTTTCAGGGAAAGCTCTGAATGCAACAAATTGTCAACGAGTGAAGCCTAAACGGATCGTGTCTCACGATTACATCTCGGCACTGTAACTTGCCTGTCCAACACGTGATAATGGTAGAGTCTGGCACGTGATTCAGAGAAATGGCCTTGAGATGCTTTGGGTCAGATGAGATGTTTCTTGCTAGAGTGTTATTCCTTGCATGGTAGTTTGACTCCGGGTACAGATCCCAAGGACACCCGTGCACCGATATCACTTGACATGCGAGCCTCGCTCAAGGAAGGAAAAGTAGTTGGTGGAACCATCATCGATTCCCCCTTGTGCACCGACAGAACGCCATCTCTGATCTGAAAGTGCACACACGGGTTGGATGTGTGAGGCTTGAACAAGACGTTCCAGACCTGCATTCAAACCCTGAAGACGAGGAAGGACTCGGACAAAGTGTCAAAAATTTGCCACCACCTCTCCAACGCTTCTGAACCATGTTTACCTTCCTCATTCGAAGTATTCATTAATGCATTGCATGCTGCAGCGGGTTTTGACTTTGTCTATTTGCAATGTCCACCAGTTTACCTTTTTTGCATCGGCGATTGTTCAACATGAATAACGGGCACACACGGTTGATCTCCAGTTCCGGTCGATCGAGAGCGTGCACGGCAGATGTTCACATTCTTGGGTGTGCTTATCACCCGATGATCTTTCCATTGTAGCAAGATCCAACACATATCCCAGAGATCGTGGGAGGTGATTTGCGGCATTCTACTGTGGAACCAGGAGCTATCTACTGATCAGCACACTTCGGGCGTCGTGGTAAGCATGGTCCTCATGACGATCCCGCAAATCCGTAAGGCAAGGGGAGTCGTTGAGAGCCTGACACTCCGAGAGGAACTTGAATTAGGGGAAGGATTCAGCTAGAGTCCACTTTGGAGTCCGCCTAGGAGTCCGATCATTGCCAAAAGATTTTATTGTTGACGTAATAACACAATCGAGCTGAACAACAAACATCTTGTTTTCGCTACGGCGGAGTAGTAGCTTCAATATCTGCTTCTACTGTGGAGTTTTAGGTACCGTCTGATGTAACACGTGATCTAACAGCACTTCGAGTTTTTGCGGTGGCAAAGTTCTTGGCATCCATGCGAGTGCTCAAGCGTTAGATTTGCCTGTACGGATAGATCTTTGAGGTTGGGCTGGGTTGACTTCATCAACTCGGGTTAGTGGTCTCGTGATTGCTGCACTACGAGTTGCTTGCATGAGGAGCCCCGACCCTGTTCAGCCTTCGGAGCCAGAGCAGCTTTTTTTGTTTCACTCGTAATTAGCAGTTTGCCGCCCATCATGGGTGCTGCCCCTGGGCCGTGGGCCCATCTGTCTCGCCACCTCGAAAATGAGTCGTTGGTCGGCAACGTGGCTTGAGAGGTTTCTTGACAGGCTGGTGGTCTACCAAGCACCAGCCGCAGAGAAGCATCTTTGCCTCCCAAGGCAGGCCGCTCTCCGATGTACGGATATTCTCCTACGTAATCTGGTGTCACTCACACGGTCTGGCTCGAGACACTTTCATAAAAAATCGTGTCACTGGTTGCAAAACCCGCTGCCGTACTCCGTGCTCCAGACTCCGTACAGCACCGCGCACCTCCGGGAACTCAAAGATCCTGGCTACCCTGGCTACCTATCCTGAGCACGAAAGCCAGAGTCATGCAACAAGCCCTTGGTGAACCATGGTTATCAACGGCGATCCTGAGACACACGAATGCTCTATCGCTAGGTGCCCACCATAAATGCATTTATCAATTTCGGCAAGGCTCATGGCTGCTACGCTATGTTCTAACTATTTGCGCTTATTGGCTGTGGAAGTTACTGTTGATCTTCTATTCGCGTGGTGGGAGGGGGTCACATGGAAGGCAAAGGCAAGCAAATGTGTTCTTCAGAACAATCTCAATTAAAGGCTCTTAGCGATGAAACAAGTTCGGCCCGCAAGTATCCAATTATTTGTGGCGAATCAGACAAGCAGCTAGACCAATAATCCTCCAAGCCACACAGCAGACAACAGTCGGTAGCCGACGATTCCGCCGAGGCTGGCGCTGGAGGGTTGGTCAAGGAATTGGGAGGCAAATTTACTGCAGAGCAAGCTGGCCTCCTCCGTAGTCTCGTTGCTGTTCAGTCAGCGACGCAGGCCACCCCAGCGCTGAAGATACGATGTCTATTCTCGCCTCAACCACCTGGATTTGGTGGCTGAACACTTAAGCCTAGGGGCGTTGCAAGGGCTAACCTTGAGAACTTTGGAGGCCAGAGGTCGAAAGAGTGATGAGGTTAACTCCAGGTCCAAATGCAGTTCTGCCCTGCTGTAGCGCTGACCATGCACCACTGCACCAGAATTCTACGAGTACTGAAGGCTTCACATCAGAGCCATGGTCTCCTCATAGGCGAGGATTGGCAATGCAGCGCCCTGTGGTTGTAAATCACAGAACCACTTTGTGGACAATTGGGCATTGACCCGTGAGATGGCACTATGAGTCTGCAGGAGTCGTTTGGAGTGGCTATGCGTTCCCACCGACCATTGGTCTATCCTTTTGATTGGGAAGATGGAGTCACTTTGGGCGAACTGTATTGTCAATGTCAAGCAGGAGTGTGCGTATTTCTCAGACTGGCCGCAGTCTGAAGTGTCCATCTTGCCTCGCCTGGTCTGACTGCACGCTACCCATGTCGGCTTGAAACACGAGCGAATAACAAATGAGTGCTCAGCAGCACTGGTACTACTAATTCCACCAGTGCGGAGATGCCAGGCGCAAAAAGCAACACGATCCAAGCATCTCACCGACCAGGTCTCTCCTCGACCCCACCAACGGTCGATCAATTATGGACGTCTCATGTCTGTTGCCGTCTGTGCTGGCGTCAGAGGAATCCAATGATAGTGGAGCTGTCAACACAGAAATTAAGTGTTTTTTTTTGCCAGGAACCTGGTTTCGACCAGAGTTGGAGGAGAAGTGACCAGCGAGAACTGATCTTCCCTTCAACTATCGTGCATATCTGGAGGGCAACAAGAATCTAGCAACATTGTTGACTTGACTGGCTTCGGAGAGGGCGAAATTCGATACGAAGGATGGTTTTGGCTAGTCAGCCCAAACTTGGAAAATGACATTATCATGATCATCGTGGATTCTAATTTCTCCGAGTTCGAGCAGCCTGGCAGCATTGGGCAAAGAGGCTGCAGGCAGGCGGCAGGCCCAATGGTGAGTCAGGAGAGCAACTTGCTGGATTGCTCGTTCGTACAGGAGTAGGCGACCTCGCAGGTTACTGGCTGATGGCTAGCGCCTGGCGTTCGGTCTCGCAAGGAATGTTGATCTGTGACAGAAAATGCACCCAGCCACTAGGTGATCCGACCATTTCTCAACTGGCACAGTGGCCAGAGCATGCAACCCACCCGTCTCAATGCCCACCAGATGTGTGCCCGCCTCGTCTTGCTTCCCTCCAGGTCGGTCTAAACCAAAACTGCTCAGGGCCGACTCGTCATCTAGCGTCAGACCACGGCCCAGGGTTTGCGAGCCCTCTTGACTTTTGACGCATCGAGGTGGGCCTTTATCTTCGATGGCGTTCTATTCGCAGCACTCTTCAACCAGGATCTTGAAGCGTTTTGCCCCACTCGCATGGATGACATGGATCATCGACGTCCGTGCGTTTTCGACCATCTTTTATGCCTTGCCTTGTTCAGTTGAAACTACCGTCATACCCTAATGGGAGTGTATGTTGCCTCTCTATACTTACCTCAAGACCCCCTCCCATCACCAATAACACCACCATCAAATCCGCCCGTACAAACACCTCACCATATCCTTCTATTGTCTTTATCTATCATCTATCTTATTTAGTATTCCACTTCGAGTCCTTCCTTACTATCTCGAATCTCTCAAACTCGACTACAACCTTGGACCCGTTGGACTAGAACTTCCAAAGGAATCCGGACTATTTTCTTGACTTCCATCTCTCTCTCAAACACAGTCACCGGATCTTTTGGACCCATGTTTTGAGTGGTCTCTTGCCTTGTTGGTCTTTGTCGACTTGTCCATTTCCTAGCCAAGTACTCAGTACTTTCGGGCTCACCCGATAATGCTTCTAACACCACCCTCGTCTCCTCAACTGACGACTTGTCTTGGACCAGAAGACAAACTTGGGTGTTTGTTGAACGACACTTATAGACTTGTCTCTATCCTTGGATGTGGCGCCTATGGAGTGGTCTACCAGGCCATCGACATTAAAACCAATATCCCTTATGCCGTGAAGGCTCTTCCCAAAACCGGACTGGATGCCAGACAACGACGGTTTCAAAAGCGAGAGATCGCTCTTCACCATCTCGCAAGCGGTCATCCCAATGTTGTTAAGCTGGAGCGCATTCTTGACAGCCCAGATTGCACATACGTTGTGATTGAATTCTGTCCCGAGGGCGACCTTTTTTCCAACATCACCGAACAGGGCCGTTTTATGGGCGACGACTTGCTAGCCCAGCATGCCTTTTTGCAATTGTTGGATGCCGTCCAGTACTGCCACTCCCAAGGGATCTATCATCGTGACTTGAAGCCCGAGAACATTCTTGTCACCAATCACGGTTCCACTGTCAAACTGGCCGATTTTGGACTCGCTACCATGGATTGCGTCACATCTGACTTCGGGTGTGGTTCGACCTTCTACATGTCTCCAGGTATGTATATCAAACCCTCTCAGTTCTGGTCCGAAAGCTAATCGTTTCAAGAATGTCAACAACCACCGACCAGGTCCTATGCTCGTTACGCTTCTGCGCCTAACGATGTCTGGAGTCTCGGCGTTATCTTGGTTAACCTGACTTGTGGCCGTAACCCATGGAAGAAGGCTTCACCTGAGGATTCCACGTTCCGCGCGTTCTTGAAGGACCCCATGTTCTTGAGCTCGATCTTGCCCATCTCTCCCGAGTTGAATATGATCTTGCGACGCATCTTCGAATGTGACCCTCAGAAGAGAATTTCTCTCCAGGAACTTCGGGAGGCCATTATCAACTGCCCCAGGTTGACCATGCCGTCTTACAACACCTTGCCGCCGTCCCCTCCTCAATCTCCAACATACTACGTGGATCCCATGGATTGTGCCAACGTGGTCCTTCCTCCATCCCCACCCGCCTCTCCATGCCCACGGCAACCCTTCCACGCTCAACCATCGGATTATTCCTTGTTCGAACCCGCTTCGAAACAAGGTTCTTCCTGCTCCTCACTGTCCACGGATTCTGGTTACGAGTCTGAGGCGTTCTATGCCGACGCTGGCCATCGTCTGCAACCCATTTTCAACTTCTACGGCAACGTTATTCCCCTGAATGATCATGAAAAGCAATATTATTTGCCACCCAATTTTGTTCCCACTGTTACCGCATATTAATATTCGGGACTTTTTCATACGTTGCGCCCAACCCAGTCTGACGCCCTTTCACGACGTCATGGCTGTTTTTACGATCGGAGTCTTTTCTTCATACTTCTGGATACCCAGGTGGTCTACGACATATTACTTTTATTACTGGGCCGATCTCGAGAGATGTTCCTGTGCTATTTTGCCTAAAAAGTCCCTGGAAGGCTTGTGTTGGTCTCACATGAAGGAAGCATGTTGTTTGGAGTCAAATTTTTCTAGATGCGAGGTTGGAGTGGTTCCAAGTTTAGCGTCGTCGCAGCGGATCACACGAACATTGGAAGAAAAGGCGCGGTCCTGCGAACTAGTTGATTCATCGTTGTCCCTCAGACCAAGTGCTGGCGAGAGACGACACCTACGATGAACTGGATACGGAGAGGAATTTGTCAATTTTTTTTATCACGTTAACATTTTTTTGTACACCAAAAAAGGACTTCCGGTACACCTGGCCGTCGATAAAACTGGTCGGCGCGAACAAAACTGGGCAACTTCCATAGGCCTTGTCGCGATACACTTGATCGATAGTTTGAACAACCGCAAAGCGACTAGAGTCATTTGAATCTGTCGATTTCCTGTATATAGTTTGAATGGAAAGTGGATTTCGAAGACAAAACCATGAGCGAACATTTCAAATCAGGAGTATCAAGTAACAGCACACACCCACCCCTCTACGGTCAATTTATCATCACGTGACTGTCTTTTTGTTGTCTGTATGATTGATAGAAATGACTGCTCGGAGATGGAAGTTTGTGCCAGGATGGGGCACTGAATTCTGGAAAGAGAGGGGGGTGTCTGGCAGATCTCGTGGTCGCCTCATGCCATTCTATTCCTGATGACATTTCTTCGCCCCCGAGTGTGCCGCCTTGACATGGACTACTGCAAGCCTCAAGGTTCCAAGAAGGCTTCCAGCCTTCAACTCACCACAGATGGTTGACAGCGCATGCGTCAGCCATCCTCCTTCGCTGGGATGCATTGGCTGCCTTACTTGCCTCTCCTTGCCCCGCATTTTCGAACTTCTCCCTATCTTGCCATTCGTTGATGTCAATTAAGGATTTGCCACGCACTACTGCAAGTGTCTGCATTCAAGCAACCTTCGCTGAAATCACTGCTGCAGTGGTGCGCAGCATTGGAACGGTTCTTATTAGAACTGGCTTGGCTCCCGCTCCTTGGGGCGATGCAAGTCCATCAACTGCATGGGATAGTTTGAATCTAGCCAGAACCGACATCGTCTCTGATTAGTTACTGGAGCACGCTTTTGCAGTCGACTTCCCAAAGAATACTGCGAAAGGGCTTGTTGGGGAAATGAACTCCTCCACCTCGAACTATCTCGACAGCCGCCCGACACTAATTTTGATCCATCCTAGGTCTACACAACCCATCAGGTCATGACACTCCCCTCCATCACTTGCGACTTATGCAGGAGCTTGCGCGGGACTAATGCTCGCGTTCCCGGCAACCCAACTCCATGATCGACCGTCAAAACTTGGGCATGGATACTGTCCTGCCACGAGCAACGTGGTCATGCGTAGCTTGTGGCACCGGAGGGTTGTCAATTCTGTCAATTCTGTCACATTCTCCAGCGACGGAATCGAATGTCAACTAATGGTGTGGGTCGAAATTTGCATCCAGATGTAGACGTTCACTGGTCGACTGCTGCCACTCTCCAATCATCGCCTATGCCTGAGCGACCCCGTACTCAATTTTGTGCGCAGTCTCAGTCCTGGACTCCTGGAGGTCAATTCCCCCAAGTGAAAGGCAAGGTTCTCCTGGTCTGTCATCGATAAGCACTGTGTCACCGATAACGTTGTCCCAACTCATCTCCATCCACTCTGCTCCTTGTGTAGCGACACAGGATACAGACAAGATCTCGGTCCTATCATGGTCCAATAATGCTAGACGTCTACGTCCCGTCTCCAAATTCTCAAGTACGAAGCGTCATCACGCGTGTCCCAAGCCGTGCCCAACGATAGTAAGGTCAGAGCATGCAGCCTTGAACAACCTCGCGTCAACTGCACCCACCCATCTTGCCTCTGAGCGGAGCATCAGTGCCAGTAGGTGCTCAGTGCCCCTCCAGGACATGTTTCGAATGAACCCACCGCAGTCTCATGTGTTGATTATCTCTTGGGCCTTGCTCCTTGTTCGATGACATTTACTGACAAGATACCACCAGTAGTAGTAGGTACTCGTACCCAAGGAGACGAAAATGCTCCCGGCTGGCACGCATGTCAGCCTGCATAACTCTCGAGTCTCAGCTACTCCTCGTACAGGTACTTGAATACTTCACACTCGGCGTGCTTGACACCTCCAAGCAAGTCCCTCAACGTGGCCTACTCGTATCTATCTAGCGTCTAAGTGGCGTTCTCATTCACCTGATTAGATGCTGATGCCGAGCAGAGAATCAATATTCCCCCTGTACGGATAGATTGAGACTGTAGACCACTTGTCCAGTACCATCAGCTCGGCAACGAAGCAAATAGTGTATCTGTACCTGCAACTACGGGAAAACCTTCAATTCCATCCCCCGAGTCCCCCGAGTCAAAGAGCCAGTGGCAATAGGAATACGAATCGCAGTAGTGTTGGCTCGTTTAGGTGACTCGAATCGTGATTGGGGTATCTCGGTACAAGCAATATTCTCGAATGGTCCTTCAAGCCAGTGCAGTCGTAACCCAGTTTACGCAAGTACTTGGAAAGAAGGAGACTTATTCCGGAGCGATGCGAAAAACCCACCTGGGTCATGCAGGACCCGTGCGATAAGAAACTCCGAAAAAAGCTAGATGTCAACATTTCATCACGACCGGCACCACACCGTTTTTTGCCCATGTCCAAGATCACGATCGAATCACGATGTGCATTTAAATCTGCTGTCAGGGACGTTTGTAGCCAGTCATCGTCATGCCGCAGTTGACGCCGTCTGAAGTGCGCAGTATCCACGATGTTGCTTCAAGTTCTCAGCCCGCCTGCACTTTACCACCTCTTTACTCGTCCGCGGGAGAAACTAAACTACGTGCCACGTCGGATAGCGTTTCCGCCAGCTTCCCAGATTCCCAGCCCGGCAGCGAATGGGCAAGGAATTCCTTCCCTCCCTCCCTCAAAGGATCTTTCGGCAGGCATCAAATTGTTCATTCTCGGGGCGCTAACGCCTACCCAGCCCACCTCGTACGGCGTGCGGCCTGACCATTTTTCTCCCAAACTCGAACCTGCCTGCCTCTCGTATCAAAGCCCAGCCGTAAGCAACGACGTGTAATTGGCAAGGCAGAATGATCCTATCTGGCAGTCTAGAACAAAACTGCCAACGCCGCCCGCTGGAACGCTGACCTTTCCACGTCCGGGTTGGTCTTGGAACGCGATCCCAAAAATTAAAGCCTATCCATCCATGTCTCTGGATACTGCCCCCCTCTTTCTGCCCACCCCTCCCTCCACCGAATGACTTTGTTGGACTCACCGGACTATCAAGCAAGTGTCATTGCTGACTCGCAAAATCGCAAAAATGCCGCAATGCAGACACAAAACCAGCCCAGCCGAGCTTGACGGCTCTTCCTGCCCAATCATGTATGATGGCCTCGATGCAAGACTTCAGATTGTCCAATGGGCAAGATTCCCTGATTGAGAACACCTGCCTGCCGGAACCTTTTCTGCCTGGCTTGTGATCAAGTTGTGTCTCCCAGCAATGGGATCACCTTCTGCGAAGCCACTGACCGGTCGTACGTCTGAGGACTATGACTCTACAGAGTACTGCTAGCGTGGTAGCTGTCACTTGGGAAAGAAGTCTGATTTTAGATTGGCCTATTCGTGGCAGCTAGATCTGAGCCGATCATTCGACCACATCACGTGCTATCAAGCGTGCCTTCATTTTCGCCCTGCCACTGCGCCATGTTGAAACAGGGTACGGTTGCTGGAATGGGTGTCTTGAACGAAGGCAGGAAGAATCATTCCGCGAGAGTGGTCTGGGGGGGGGGGAAGATGCTTGGTGGAAATGGGTGGTCAGCGGTAATGGCTGCCAGACATCCCAAACCTGCCTTCCAGGATAGGCCCCTGGGGGACACTCTGAGGAGTTGATTGTGTGTGCTATGACAATAGTTAGTATTTGCAAAAGGAAACTCAGACATGACATCTGTCACAACAACAGAGCGAAAGTGATGATGTCTCAGAAATAGGATATCCTGCGGCTGCGTAAAACAGACGGTGATCTCGTCGCCGTCTTGTTGCGGTGAATTGTAAATCCCGCAGGCCAGACATAGTGTAGAGCAAATATTGTACCAGAAGTCCTGGCGGTGCTGTGATTGGGTGGCATACATTCCTTCAGGGTAGAGACGAACGGCTCTAGACCTCACCGCCTAGTACATAGACGGCAGCTCCTAAAATCAGGAAATGTGCCCCCGTGCCATGCCTGTGCGAGGAATTCAACGATTCCGACCAGCGTCAGTCTAGGACTGATCCTCTGCGTCTGATCCAGTCCCTAACGTGCATCGCCGCAATTGCTAGTCATCGCGCTCATGAGCCAGCATGGAGCATGGTCGCGAGTCCAAATCTCGAGACTTGTACATAGAAAAGATCGGTCATATGCTGTATGAGTGCGTATACTCATCGTTGATCATCTCGGTAGCGTAATTTCCGTTTCTTGTATTGATCAATTGATCAATCATTCAAGAGCATTAGATAAATCACCAACGCGTGCTCTGGCTTGAGCGAGGCTATACATGTTCGCGGCGCCATCGTAGATGCCAAGGGTTTCGGCAAACTATAATACGGAGCAGTGTTCGTAGGTAGGTCCTTAAGATGGCAATCAGGCTCAAGAATCCATGTGAGGCTCACCGAGGAAGTTATATCTTCCCACTGCATCCCGTAAACGTAGTCTGATTGGGAACCATAGGCAACTTTGAACAAGAACCAGGAGTCGTGCCTCCGTCATTGCCAGAGACACGAACACCCACCCGTCCTGAGCAATAGTCATCTCGCCAGTATACGCCATATCAAATCGTCCAAGTCACAATGTCGCAATAGTCATTGTCGATGAGTCTTTCGGCTAAAAGTCAGCAAGTCATGAGACAGGCCATTCGGTTAACCATTGTGATGCTGAAGAAACATCGCGACACACCTCACTGGACATCTTGAAAGGCTTGAGTCCCTGGCCAATAACCAACTCACCAAGAGATTTTCCAGCGCCCTTACCATTAATTCGTGGCTTAGCAAACTATTAGCGTCCAAGACTGGCAGAATTCTATATCCGCCAAAATTTAGAGACCTAGAAATGCTTCGCTTCTCCTCCTGAGACCTCACACTGAACGGCCTGGAGTGAGGAAGATACGGCGTGGACAATGACTGCGATGCAGCTTAGTTTGGTGGCTTCGAGCTGGCCCCTGGACATCATGAAGAAAGGCTTTGGTACTTCCAAGTCACTGTTTCACTGCTGCAGCAAAATGTTGTGGAACAATCAGAAATACCTGGTTACCGCAAGAACATTAAGATGTCTCGTTAAGATGGATCATATCATCCCTGTGGGCCATTTTCATAGCTGGTGAATCCGCTACAGGTGATCGATTGGACTAAAGAAGGGACGAAACAAGGGAAGTTGTCGTTAGTCAGGCAGCTGATCGTGAAAATGACGTCATCTCACCAATATCCAGCCTCCTTCAATTAAGTTCTCGCCGTGACAGAACTTAGCAACTTCGCGCTCTTTTTCGAAATCGAGTTTTCAATAAGGTCCAAATACCTATCTGCCCGCAAATCGTTGCTCTTCTGTACTGCCTGATGCAACGGCTGGCAATATGTGATGCACGAACACCTGAAGGAAATCCTTTATGGCACTCCATGAGGAAGGAAGCGAAGCTCAGTGAGCAGGCGGCAGTCCTGTTATATGTTCTTTGAATCTCTCTGCATGATATACCAGCATACTAGCATGGCTTCCATCTGGGCAGAGCGCCCAATACGACGCGATTTTCCGCAGTTACGATGCGACGAGGTCGGACTTCTGGGCAAAAACTCATACCACCAGGTGTTTACCACCCGTTTTCAGCCTTGTCCCTCACTCATGTGAATCTCTGGGTCAAGCATTGATCAATGTTATAACAATGAGCTTCTTTCAAATGTTAAGCTAATGAGAGTTGAACCAACCTTTTCCTTCGTCATTGTTTGGAGTCTGGAAGCCTGGAAGCTGTCGGCCGGCTTCTTACTCGGCCGATAGATGAGCCTCCACCTAACAAGCAGTGCTTGGGGGTTCTCGGTCAAGAACGAACGTCACGTACCGAGACTGCTTTCGCAACATTCACCAGAGATGACTCGGTCTGTCAAGGTAAGGAGCGAGAAACAGCGAGACACCTCGACCAAATAGTTCGTATGCTAGGCTGCTGGGCTTTATTCTTATACTGCTAATAGCATAGCCCCATTGGCAAAATCAGGGTTTGCGAGCCTTGTCAGGAACCTTGAGTACTTGCAAAATGCACATCACCAGCATTGGGTAGTTGTTCTCGTTGAGATATGACCCTGACTTAGTCCTCTAGGACATTCTAGCTCCTCTGCGAGACCTGCTTGCCAGCTCGGTCCGGAGAAACTGACATGAAAACTATCGGTCGTAACTACGGCTTCACTGCCAGGCTCCACGGAAACATCAATGAGGTCGTTGACTTTCTTGAAGCCATCAATGAGGTCACAGGCTACCTATGGCTATGGTCGATAACACATATAAATGTCTATCAACCACAGTCCAATGTTAATGTACACCTCGAGTACATCAGACTGCCATTAACATTATCGATACAAACAGAATTCACGATGGAGCTTAAATCTCTCTTCAGCTTGAACATATACTTTTGTCTATCGGCCCTCATCACCCTCAACTCGGCCGCGCCTGGGGCTACAACTCGCATCTCACCATCGGATTATGAATGGCACGCACTGCCCGCAATCCCCTCGCCTCGACAAGAACAATCCGTCGTCGCGGTGGGAAACAGAGTATACATCATTGGTGGGATCACGAGTAATTTCTCCTACACAAGCGACACCCTCAACGAGCCGGTGGAGCTTCAACCTGTGAAAGATGTTGAATTCTACGATATCGAACAGCGTAGTTGGGGTTCAGCAGCCCCTCTTCCTGTCAGCATCAATCATGGCAACGTGGCGAGTGTCGGAGGGAAGATATACCTCCTCGGAGGTCTTTCCGGCGCAAACATGAGCACTTGGAACAATCTTGCGAACAGCTACGTCTACGACCCTAGCTTGGACACGTGGACAGAGATCGCCCCTATGCCTGAGGGCACCGCGAGAGGAGGTGCAGCCGTTGGTGTTTACGGCTCTACCATCATTCTCGCAGGTGGACTTACAAAGCTCGACCTCACAGGGAATCACGACCAATTGAGTGTCAACTTCGTCAGCTCCTATGATACCAAGACCAATAAATGGAGCACCTCATTCCCATCACTACCAGGAGCAAGAGATCATGTTGCAGGGGCGGTTATCGGCCATACCTTCTATGTGACCGGTGGCCGAGATTTGGGCCAGTATAACACGCGCAACAACACCTGGGCATTGGATCTCACGTCACCGTCATTGTCTTGGGTTGAGAAGGCGCCACTGCCCACTGCACGTGGTGGATTGGCAAGCGTTGCTATCAGGCAGTATCTTTTCACCTTTGGTGGCGAAGGCAATACGATGGACCCAAATGGTGTATTCAACAATACGGAGGTATATGACACAGTAAACGACTCCTGGTTGATTGGGCCTCCGATGAGTCTACCACGTCACGGGACGAATGCAGTCGCAATTGGACCAGAGATATTCATTCCGGGGGGAGGCATTTTGATTGCTGCAGGGCCGGTCAACGCCAGCACTGTCTACAGGCCTAAGGTTATGTGGTAAGAATGGCATCATGCTTCTTTGCATGCATCAAAACAACGTGGTAAGTGAGGGTCTACATTGACAACAAGATGGCTATCTGTGCGATGAGATAAAACGGCATGTTCGCTCCATCAACGCTAGCAGCAAACGAACAACTGGCAACTTGAATTTCCACTTTTCACTTTCTTGGGATTAAAGATTAATAGTATGCTACTGGCATCAACTACTTTTGTTAATGACCAATCCACCCTATCCAACAGTGCACACCTGGCTTTCAATTCGATTGCTTTCCGGCTTGTTTCGCTAGTGTAGGGTTTCTCTCCGCAATCAGTCCATCAGACCCATACTTTTGGCCAATCCGAAAGAAGATTGAGCATCAATCATGGTCGAGCCATCGATGCGAAGGAGGACTCATCGTAAATACTCGAAATGGAATTTTCAGACATGCGAATATTCCGAATTTGAATACTTGACCGTCCACACTGGGTTAAATAATGTCCAAGCGCAATGATGTTGATATATCGATATAGCTTCTTTCAGCTCACGACTCCGCAAGGAAAGTTCCTCAGGCGACGGCAATCGTGCACGATCCGATTGGGACGTTGAAGTATCTTGAAGATCTGGAAAGTTCCCTAAAGTGCAACTATGGGAGAGGAACCTAAAGAGCATTGAACCTTGAGATCATGCTAAAGTTCGACCAGTTTACTCTTTTGGCCACGGTTGTACGAGGTATCCCCGTCGGGTATGGGGACACGGTCCTGGTCGATGCGAGATGGGAGATGCGAGATGTCATAGCGCTGTGCCTCAATTTACACTGCGAAGGGATGGGGTAGGAATGTGTTCAAGGGAGCTGTGCGATATGCACGGGCATTGCACAAACACAATACGAAGTACTTGTGCATGGCCGCCTTGATCAGATCAAGCATCCAGCTAGTGATTATTGATGTAGGTTTTGTATGAGGTGATCCACAACGTCTCTCCGGGAACTTGAAGCGTATTCGTCACGTCCTACTCCCTCCCTACGTTTTAGGAAGATGACACGATGGACCAACGATGGCAAAGACGAGTTCCTTTGATCAATCATCCACCAAGGCAGGCGCAGAGAGCCCTCGTAAGTCTCCGTCCACTCGACTGAAGTTGCAACTTCCACGACTTCAGGTCACTCCGTTGCTCAGCCACAGGTGACTACGATAGACGCCACATCACCAGTAAAAGCTGAGCCTCAGTTATAGACTTTGCCCTCCACCTCCACCTTCGCCTATGCCTGTCAGGTTTCGGCAAAGCGCCACCACCGTAGCAGTTATGGGAGTGGCCCTCGTATCTCGTAGCTGAAACCTTGGGCGGCCTGCGAGTAATGCTACCCTTCCAGAAATAAATCTATTGACATCAGGTCGATGAAGTGTAACCAACTGGCGCAGTTACATCTCTCCCACGCAAAACAGACAGCGACGAGCGATTAATTGAATAACGGGCGCAATGAGTTCAAAATCTTTAGCCTAAAGGTGAGAAGTGAGCATACGAACGGAACTAGTTCACTCCGTCAGTGAAAGGTGGCCCAGCCAAGTCGTCCAAGACCAAACCATTACGCGTCGAGAGCCGGACAGCGGCTGGAGCTTCGCGAAGCTGTCGCCTTGTCTGCTTGGTCTGCCAGTCATGTCTCTGACCTCGAAACGTTTAATAACATCTCAGACTCGTAGTAAGGTGGCCCAGACTTGCACTTTCACTCTTGCTGTCATTTGATTTTCATTCAAACCCTCCCGTTCTCTCCTCTTTCTCTTACCCTTTCAACTACATCACCCTCATTTCACCACCAACCACTGCAAGTGAAAGACCACAAACAGAATTTGTTTGCGCTTGAAGACCAGCGTCTCTAATCCACCAAACCTCTTTCCTGCATTCAAACCAACGAGGAGCGCAAGTCCGTGTACCTGACCCCCAAAATCGAACCTCTCTCAACCTCCAACCCAACCCAACATATACACACACACAAAATGGCCGACAAGTACCCCCCGCCGCAATACCCACAAAACACATATGGCAACAACCCAGGCTACGCATCGCCGCCGCCACAGGGCCAAATGATGTACATGGACCCGAACCAGCAGAACTACGACGCCAACCGCGGCTACTATCCTCCGCCCGGCCAGCCCCAGTACGGCCCTCCCCAGGGAGGCTACTACCCACCGCAGCAGCAGCCGATCTACGTTGAAGAGAGAAAATCAGGTAGCGGGCCCGGCATCTGTGCTGGTCTGTTCGCCGGTCTGGCTTGCTGTTGTTGTTTGGATTGTTTGTTTTAGTTGGGTGGTGATATATTTCTTCCACTTGATGGGATGGGATGGACTCGATACAGATGCCGTGCGAGAGGAAGGGTTTCGGCATCTAAGATATGCGGAAAACGGACACGAAGAATGTCGACTCGATGGCCTGGCTTCTCGGCCTCCTCCTATGTCGCCGCAGTGGTTCGCCAGACTCGTATTGATCGCCACCCTCGCCATCGGTGCGGTCATCAGTGAGCTCCGAACAACTATCTTCATTCCTACAACGGCTTTACAACAAGGGAATTTTTTCTTCAGCTGGACTTTGTATCATTTTTTATTACCGTGGGCACGGCGTGAAACGAACCAATCGAGCGGGCACTCCGTAGTGATGATTATTCAGAATGCATAAGTACATACCAATCAAAACACCTATTAATGTCTAATATGTATATGCTTGTGGAGATTTGGTCCGTTGCTAATCATCACCCATCATGATGTAGATATACTGCACATGCACAAAACAAACTTACGTCAGTATAGCAGTGTAGACTTCCGCACATGGCTCCCCATGCATGATCCAACTTCTTCCTCACATCAAACAACACGAGTTGACTTGACTGAGACCACCCTCGTCGGTTGTGGTCTTTGCGGCCGTCCGAGTGATATCTTCCAGGACCTCCCACATCAACTCACCAGTGACGGCACTGCACTCGGCATAGCGATCGCAACGCATCTCCTGCGCGACCCGGTATGCTTCCTGAGGCATCACGCACTCGAAGGATCCGTCCTCGAGCCTGTTCTCGGTCCGCTCGTCTCTTTTCAATCCCAGCAACATGACGGGCATGGCGTGCTCCTGATCATGATAGTGCATGGACAATTGCTTCCGCCAGTAGAACTGGGCATTGTGTAGGGACTCGCGAGACGAGATGGAGAAGGCGATGATGGTGAAGTCTGGCTCGGCGGGGAAGTCGTCGATGAAGAGTGTCGAGGTGGAGGGATGGATCCTGAACTGGTAGGGACGACGGTAGAGCGTCACGTCAAAGGACAGGGTGCTCTCGGGTGGCAAGACGCGTGCCCGGGGAACAGAAACATCAAGCTTCCCATTGCGGATGTGCTGTAGTTGTCTAGCGGTGTGTGCAACCAAAGTCAGTACCTAGGTCATGTCTCGGAAAGCGGTCGGGACCACATGGACCAGTCAGGACTGTGAGGATTGGCATGATGTGGAATGAAGCATGGATTCCGTGATTGAGCAGGTATGATATGACATACGATAAAAAGGTAGCCTTTCCGACGCCAGGGCTACCAAGGAACAGGATGTCAACCACTGGCCGAAGGACGGGCTTACCGTGGTGGACTGACTCCTCCATGAATTTTTACCACATCTGTATATGCTTTGCAGGATCCGAGTCCATCATGTTGCGGGTTAGTAGTGGGGGACCGAGACGTGAAATATGTTGAACGTCGTTGGTTAAGAGAAAAGCTGGTGGAATATTTCGGTGGGGTTTTGCCATATCAGGCTACCGAGAGCGAGAGCGAGACTCTGGCTTGGCACCAGTCGATGGTGGCATGTGGAGGGGTCGACGAGATCAACTACCGTCCATTTACTAATTCGTCCCTCATCATTTGGTGGTTCGGTGTAAAGATAACTTTATACAGCGAGCCTGAGGGGGAATAGGACTCCAGAGAGGGACCGCCAGACCGCTAGACCCCCGAGAGGACGAAAGCCTGAGGGGCATTCCATTCCCTTCTTGTATCAGTTGTTTCGAGACGGAGGACGACGCGCGGGGTATCGTGCCTACTGCAATTCTGGCGTGCTGCCTTCCATTTCTTGGTGATTGTCACTTGCTCTTTCCCGCTGAAGAAACTTATTCTCCATTTCTCTTTTTCATTCTTCCTTCCTTCCTCTTTCCTCTCTTCCTTTCCTTCCTCACTCTCCTGTCATTACTGATCACTGATCATCCCTCATTACACACATCAAATCCCATATCCTGATCAGCAATCATGGGTGAATGTCCAGTCGACCACAAGAACGTCAACATCGGTGGCGGTGGTACCAGAAACACTGACTGGTGGCCAAATGACCTCAAATTGAACATCCTGCGCCAGCAACAGCCCTCGGGCAACCCATACACCAAAGACTTTGACTATGTCTCGGCCTTCAAGAGCTTGGACTATGATGCCTTGAAGAAGGATCTCACCGCCCTGATGACCGACTCTCAGGAATGGTGGCCTGCTGATTTCGGTCACTACGGTGGTCTTTTCATCCGTATGGCATGGCACAGCGCCGGTACCTATCGTGTCTTTGACGGTCGTGGTGGTGGCGGTGGTGGCCAACAACGTTTTGCTCCCCTCAACAGCTGGCCCGACAACGTCAGTCTAGACAAGGCTCGTCGCCTCCTCTGGCCCATCAAGCAGAAGTACGGCAACAAGATCTCTTGGGCCGACTTGATGTTGCTCACCGGAAACGTCGCTCTCGAATCCATGGGCTTCAAGACCTTCGGCTTTGCCGGTGGCCGCGCAGACCAATGGGAGGCTGATGAGTCAGTCTACTGGGGTGGTGAATTCACCTGGTTGGGCAATGAAGTCCGTTACGCAAACGGCCAGGAAGGCATCAAAGGACATGGTGTTGTCGATGGTGACGAGCACAAGAAGGAGCACAAAGACATCCACTCCCGTGAATTGGAGGAGCCACTGGCTGCTGTCCACATGGGTTTGATTTACGTCAACCCCGAAGGTCCCGATGGTATTCCCGATACCAAGGCCTCTGCCCGAGATATCCGCACCACCTTCGGTCGTATGGCCATGAACGATGAGGAGACTGTTGCTCTCATTGCCGGTGGTCATACCTTTGGTAAAACCCACGGTGCCGGCCCTTCCGACAACGTTGGCAAGGAGCCCGAGGCTGCTGAGATTGAGCTCCAAGGCTTCGGCTGGCAGAACAAGTTCAAGTCTGGAAAGGGCCCAGATACCATCACCAGCGGTCTAGAGGTCACCTGGACCAAGACTCCCACCAAATGGAGCAACCAGTACTTCGAATATCTCTTCAAATACGAATGGGAATTGACCAAGAGTCCCGCTGGTGCCAACCAATGGGTGGCCAAGAATGCCGAACCAATCATCCCCCACGCCTTTGATGCCAACAAGAAGCAGCTCCCAACCATGTTGACCAGCGATCTTGCATTGATTCACGACCCAGAGTACCGAAAGATCTCGGAGCGATTCTACAAGAATCCAGATCAGTTCGCCGATGCCTTTGGCCGTGCTTGGTTCAAGCTGTTGCACCGTGACCTTGGCCCCCGTTCCCGATGGGTTGGTCCCGAGTTGCCATCCGAGGTCCTGCTTTGGGAAGACCCAGTTCCAGCTGTCGACCATCCTCTCATCGATGATAAGGATGCTGCAAGCTTGAAGAAGGAGATCCTCGCAACGGGTGTTGAGCCTACCAAACTCATCCGCGCCGCCTGGGCTTCTGCCTCCACCTTCCGTGGCTCCGACAAGCGTGGTGGTGCCAACGGTGCCCGTATTCGCCTTGCTCCTCAGAAGGACTGGAAGGCCAACAACCCAACTGAGTTGGCCGAAGTTCTCAAGGCTTTGGAGGGCGTACAGAAGAAGTTCAACTCAGGTAGCAAGAAGGTGTCGCTCGCAGATCTCATCATCTTAGCCGGTAACGCTGCTATCGAGAAGGCTTCAGGTGCTTCAGTTCCCTTCACCCCAGGTCGAACAGATGCCACCGAAGAGCAGACCGATGCGCAATCTTTCGAGCATCTCGAGCCTGTTGTCGATGCTTTCCGCAACTATGGCAAGGGTACCAAGCGTGTACGCACTGAGCAATTCTTCGTCGACAAGGCCCACTTGCTCACACTCACCGCTCCCGAAGCCACTGTTCTCGTCGGTGGTCTCCGTTCCTTGAACGCCAACTGGGATGGATCTTCCCACGGTGTCTTTACTCAACGCCCAGGTCAGCTTACCAACGATTTCTTCGTCAATCTGCTCGATGTCAATACCGCGTGGAAGGTCAGCGACGCCTCCAACGAGGTGTATGAGGGTGGTGATCGCAAGACAGGTAGCAAGAAATGGACTGCCACTCGCCACGATTTGATCTTTGGATCTCACCCTGAGCTTCGTGCTATTGCAGAAGTCTATGGCAGCTCGGACGCACAGGACAAATTCGTCAAGGACTTTGTGTCTGCATGGACCAAGGTGACCAACCTCGATCGATTTGATGTGAGCTCATCATCTGGCTCTAGCAAGGCTCATCTATGAGCGCGCACTTCTCTTTCTTTTACCTACCGTGGTAGTCCTGAGATGTGATGATCCTGTTTGCCGGAGTATATAGGTAGAGGCAAATAGGTCAAAAGTTTTCGCGAGTCTGGAATCCTCAACTTCCGCATAACGGATCATAGTTGTGTCCTGCCATCGATAGCTTTTTGTGCCAACACTGTAGCAGTGCTTGGGCAATTCAACATAATGAAATTGTCTCCGAATTAATCAGTCTTTTATCCACCCAAGGACCCATTAGTCTTACATCCTCTTCGGCAGTTACTAATGGAAGATACTACATGGAATTCCACGGCTATCCTGCAACCATTTCTTATTTTCATCCACCAAGAAAGTACGAGTAACCCGCATATTTACGGATGTTGTTGGCCGAGATGCAGTTCAGGTACACCCGATATGGATATTGGACTCACGTGCGATGTGGACAATCTTCCTTCGCAGTTCGAGAAACCCCAGGCCTGGACAAGTTCTGCTATCGCCATATGCCTGAAGCTATCGCGGTGGAGACATCAAAAGCCTTTACGCATCTCTGATACGCTAGAGGGACTGACTGCCATTTCTTGGCAACGACTTTCTCAAGCTTGGCCGTCTTTCAATTTCCGAGTTTGGAGCCTCATCCGCCGCCACGGTTCCCAGGGTCTTTGGTTTTTTATCAGATCAACTGATAATCACTCTTCATCTAATCGAATCCGATAATCGGCTTTCAGATGACCCATGCCATCTGTAACTCAAAGGCAGCGAACACGGGTGCTCGCCCCGTCGCTTATTTCATCTCTCATGCTTGTTCTCCGTATACTCGTGGGACGAGCATGGTTGAAGAGTGCTTAAGGCCCTTCATTTCGAATCTTGGCCAATAGTACTGTTGGTGGACTCTGTTGACAGACTCCATAGACGAATCCAGTGCCCTGATGATCGATCTCGGCTCGAACAAAAGTATGCATGAGAGCTTTTTTTTTGGTCCCACCGATGGGCCATGTTCATCGTCAAGACTGGCATGGATGCCGAGGACTGCTTCTGACCAGGTAGGTCAATGTCGTTCTTACATCGATGGGAGGGTGCCCTGCGAACTTTATCTGCAGGAATATATTACCTCTCGGAGGGACGTCGCAGTTTTTCGTCAAGCTCTGGTCATCTCCCTGCGCTTCACGCCGCACACTCTATACGTTTTGATACTGCCATAAGATAGCGGAATGGCAGTCACAGAGATATCGACGCCCCCAGCTACGGCTACCTCCCCGGCCAGAGCGGACGATAACATTGAGAAGCATGCCGCGGCCGATAATGTAGATGCAGACTTCTCTGATGACGGCAAGCTCGATGACGGTGCCGAGCGGAAACAAGCAGGTGTTCGACAGGTGGAGGCTATTACGACGGTGTGGTCGAAACAAATGCTAGTCGTCATGTTTATACTGTAAGTGTTATCCCATTCCAGCTCCACTTTCCTTCCAAAGGAATCGCGAACAGAAGCACGCATGCTTACCACAGGGGCCTTTTACAAAACTAGGCTCTACATTGTCTCGTTCTGCGACAGTCTCCTGCAAGGCGTCCAAGGAAACCTCTCACCATACGTGACCTCGGAATTCTCACAGCACGGCCTCTTGGCCACCACCGGCATCGTCGCTTCGATCCTGGGAGGAGTGTCCAGCCTCGCCATCGCCAAGATCATCGACATCTGGGGCCGCGTCGAAGGCTTTCTCGCCATGTTGCTCCTCATGGTCGTCGGCATTGTCATGAAAGCAGCCTGTCAAAATGTCCAGACCTATGCGGCGGCCCACACCCTGTACTGGGTCGGCCACCTCGGATTGATCTACGTCATTTCCATCATTTTGGCCGACACCACGACCTTGAAGAATCGTGCCATCATCTACGGTCTCAATTATACCCCTACGATCGCGACGAATTTCGCGGGTCCCAGGATCGCCGACTTGTTCTATACTAATGTCAACTTCCGATGGGCTTTTGGCGCTTTCTGTATCATTTTGGTCGCCTTCTGCGCCCCCGTAGCCGTTATCTTTATCCTCAGTAAGCGCAAGGCGGTCAAGCAGGGAATCTACCCGGTCAAGACAGAAAGCCGAACTGTCTGGGAATCTTGCAAATACTACTTTGTCCAGTTTGATGGTATGTCGCACACCCTTGAAAACCTACAGCTCGCAATCTTTAGTAATGAGGAGACGCTGACCAATAACCATATTCTAGTCGTCGGCATGTTTCTGACCGTTGTTGGGTGGTCGCTCCTCCTCTTGCCCTTTAACCTCGTGTACACTGCTCCCAAAGGCTGGGAGACTGGCTATATCATCGCCATGATCGTGCTCGGAGTTCTCTGCCTGGCGGCATTTTTCGTGTGGGAAAAGTACTTCGCCACTGTCGCGTATCTGCCGTTCAGGTTTCTGAAAGACCGCACAATCATCGGCGCTTGCCTCCTCTACGGAATCATGTTCCTCTCAATCTTGTAAGTCAAATCCGGGTGTCGGAACTATTGGTCCGCAATTCCAGTACTAATTTTCTCTTCTACTTAGTTGCTGGGATACTTATTACGGATCCTACTTGCAGGTCGTCCACGGCCTCGACATCACCATATCGGGCTACGTGCTGAACTCGTTCTCCCTGACGTCTGCCTTCTTCATGCCACTGACGGGGCTTCTGATCCGGTGGGACGGACGCTACAAAGTGGTGTCGTACACGGGGATCCCGTTCTGCGTGCTGGGCACGGCATTGCTCATCCACTTCCGAACACCCAGCTCGTCGGTCGGCTACCTGGTCATGTGTCAGATGTTCAACGGCATCTCCAGCGGCGTGTGGGTGACGACGGGCCAGCTGGCCGTGCAGGCGTCCGTCAGCCACCAGGAGCTCGCCGTCGCGACCGCCATCTTCTCCATGTTCGGCTCCATCGGCGCCGCCATTGGCATGGCCATCGCCGGCTCCCTGTGGACAAACACCCTGCCCACACAGCTGTACAACCGCCTCCCTGCGGATGCTAAGGACCTCGCCGCCGAGATCTATGGTTCCATCATCGTCCAGCAGTCTTACCCCTTGGGCAGTCCCGTCAGAGACGCCATCATTGCCGCGTATGCTGATGTCCAGCGCAAGATGGTCATTGCCGGTGCGGCGTTTATTCCTCTGTTGGTCATTTGCATCATGGTGTGGAGGAACGTCAACGTCAAGAAACTCGAGGCCATTAATGGGAACCAGGTCAAGGGTACTGTCTGGTAGAGAGTTGTTACGGCACGTTGTAGATCAGCAAATCTCATCCAGACCGTGGATGACAGTATAAGGAAGTGCGATGGTTGTACTGCAGCCTTATATGCTGTGTTATCTAGACTTTTGGGCAATGCGACTGACAGGGACGGACGTGCACAGGAGATAATTCGTATCACCAGATCAGAGTCGGTCGAGTAATCTAAGAGGAACAGTAGCTCACAGCCTGATGATACCAGTTCTTAATAAATGCAACATGCCGACGCAAACCTTCATCCCAACGACCAAGCCCCATCCAAAACCCCCTTACCTTCTAGATCGTCAATAAGCCGTGCCCTCCCCATGGGCAATATCAACGGCTCTCTTGGTCGCCTCGTCGAACTTCTCCTCCGGCAGGCCCAAGAGCTCATTGGTCAGCAAGCCACGTTTCTCGTAATTGCCCTCGTCGGACGGGTAGAAGACCCGCGTGTACATCAGCTGAGCAAAGCCTAGCCTATTCCCAGCCTTGAACATACTCACGCCCTCATCATACCTCTCCTTGGAACTCTGATGCTTGACCGTCCAATCGCTCTCCTTGGCGCCCGTGACACGCAGCACCGACGCAAACATATCCTTCTGGCTGACGTTGAACGAAGACAGATAGACAAAGTCGTTCCGGAAGCGCGAGATCGAGGGACTCTTGTCGTTCTCATCGTCCGGCAGGACCTTGAGGCTCAGCAGCGCCGCCACCGCACGCCCACACTGCTCCCAGGTACTGGTGTTGATCTTCGTCTCGCCGTCGTCGAAGAACGTGACGGTGCGCTCTTTGAAGTCGAAGCCGTAGCGGGACGGCGAGCCCGCCAGCGAGAACTCGTACCAGAAGCTGCAGATCATACCGATCCAGCTGCTCGCGCCGAGCTCGTCGATGTAGTCGCGCGTCGCCGCGTACGTGTTGTGTGGGAACGCGTCACGGATGAGCGCCGTCTGCGACGGGTCCGCGCCCCATTCGTTCGGGAGCACCCAGGGCACCGAGGCCTCGGCGGCCGCGGCGATGAGCTTCCGCTGTGTGTCTGGGGGTGCCATCACGTTCATCGTGATGATCAGCACGTCTTGGCCCTGGAGAGCAGTTACCAGCGTCGACGGCTCGTCGTAGTCCACGTGTTTCACAATCACGCCGGCCGGCAGCTTGTTCTTGCTGTCCTTGCGGCTGAGTGCTGTTACAACGTGCTGTGAGGTTCCGAGGAGTGCGCGCGCCACGTAGCTGCCTACGCTGCCGCCTGCGCCGACGATGGCGATATTGCGCACGCGGTTGCTGAAGCCGCTCGGCTGCATGTTGGCGTATTGCGTGGACATATTGCTGTGGGTCTTGGCGAGGAAGTTGATATTTGGGATGGGGATGGGCTCTGGGAAGACGAGTGTGGAGGTTCTGAGGAACTTGATCGATGGAGTTCTTCTCGGGGCAAACAGGCACGAGGCAGGCGGTTTCAACATTGACTGATCGATGGGGATGAAGGTGTGAAATTGCACTTACCTTGCGTCCTTTTATGTCCTATCGTTGACCTCAGATGTTGGCGGAGTTTCATTAAGTCCGCAGACACGCAGCTCATGATGGAAGAATTCCTTGAGTGTAATTGTTGGGTTTGAGATAGGATCCCATGAGACCGAAGAAGTCGTTGTGGTCATTGTTTTCCGAAAGGGCGTTAGTGTATATCGCAATACGACAGGAGGTTAGTGCCATCTGCTGAGGAGGGAGATTATGTCACCAAGAGATCTGGGGAACCTTCAATTGAACGGTCGACCTCTCCGGCGTTTATGGGCACAGACTTCGTACCTGCAGTAGAAGGAGTCGTCCTCGGCCGAGTCCGAGTCCGAAGTCCGAGCTAAATACTCGAGCACTACTTTGTATACGCAATGAAGAACCCTATTTCTAAGTCCGCTTAAAGTCCGGATGGTATTCTGGTAACGCTCCTAATGTATCCATCAACTGGGCGAACCGTGCGTACTCGCACATTGGCTGCGGAGCTCAAACAAGCCTTTGACCGTCCCAGTCCACAATCGCATCCTATTTAAGTAGTTCCGCTTCCAATCAAGCTTTGTCTCGACAAGATGTGCTCATGATTGCACGTATTCTTGACAGCTTTCAAAGCGGTCAAGTTTTCTTTGGTAGCTCCAATACTACTCCTTCACAAAATCCCGAACCTGAATTGTTGTCCCTTCTTGAGTAAACGTAGCCACTTGGTCTGACGTTTTAGTCTAGATCAAACATGTCTTCCGTCCAACCATACGTACGGCTCAGTCGTCGGCCTATCATTCTAGCCATGTAAAAGTGAATCTTGTTTGACGGATGAGGTTCGTGGACATGAATGCCTCGCTTGACACTACCCGTGGTTGGGGTGAACTGCCAGACTGATCCGTATAGCTTCTCAGCGTTGAATTTCAGTGCTGTCATGACTTGCAGGAAATCTTTCCAAGCTATCTCCCCACGTTGATTTCGCGTGTCATTGAGGTGAAGTAATGTGGCAAGAACCTTCCGACCCCGTTTACCAAGATCATATTCCTGGTCGGTCTTGTTAGGCATGCCTGGCCCTTCTCCCTCAAGTGCATTCTCCCCGCGTTGCCCTTGTTCAACCATCTCCGAAGGAGCTGGGGTACCTCTTGTTTTGATCCTCGATTTCTTGATCTCGGGGCTGAATTTCGAATGTCCTTCATTATATCCAATGATGCTGCGGAAAGGAATATTCGGATTCATCGTCGTCCCAACAAATTTGAGTGTTGCATCAACCCCATCCTCTTCCAGAGGGACGTATGCAGGTGTTCTTCGAATCTCTCGTTGATGGCTGGTGTAGTACGATTTGAACACGTTCACGAGTGTGCGTGTATGGTGGCTAGCGAAATGGATTTCAAGCTTCACCCAAACTTCATCAAGGTTTGCCTCCGCCTTTTGCAACGCTGTGACTTGTGCTGCATCATAAGCCTTCTCAATGGGGTAGTAGAACTTCTTGTGTCGAAGATTCAAGAGAGAATTGCAATCAAAGACTTTCGGAATGTGGAGGACCTTGACAATTTTGTCCACATGAACATACTTCAGTCCTGGCTCAGGGATATCCTCGCTATTTCCATGAATGAAGAGGGGTGCCCAAGAATAGAAAATATCGATTTGGTGGGCAATCTGTGTGATCAGTGCGAGGTCTGAGAAAAGCTTCTGCACAAAGGATGTGAACACATTCTTCTGGGCAGGATCGTGGTCCAGATAATATTGTATATCGTCAATTGTACCATGTAATGCTTCCATCGATTGATTCTGGGGTCTCGAAAGATGTCGAACCAAAACCAACAATGGCTCAAACTTTCCCTTGATAAAGATCTCAGCTTCGGATGTCTTGTCTGAGGTGTGAGGGCATCGCGCAAAAAGAGCACATTTTGGGTGTGAACAGGAGACCGCGACCATGAAACGCTTCACAACGATGAAACAAAGCTCACGCAATGTCCCATAAGTCCACATGAGTGGGTATTCAACCTTAGAAGACAGACGTTGGTGAGGAACCAGGACTCCTTCATGCCGTCCAATACGTGAAGCCAGTTGTCGAATCTTGCCATGTAATCTATTCCACTAGAAAAGATCTTCATACGCATTACCAACCGCGGTGGAGAGGACTCGATCCCATGTTCGATCGTCGTTCAGAATCGGATTTGCTTTTCCATCAATATCACGAATAATTTCTGGTCTGTGCTCGTGATGCTCGGTCAGAACTGATGCAAAGTATCCTGGGTCTTCTCTCATGTCCCAAATATGATCTTCTGCAGCGTTCCTCCTAGCTTCAACCAGTGCCAGGAGGATCGTCGTGTCTAGGATTGTCGGCAGACGGTAAGGTGCTTCAGCGATCATCGTTGATAACTGGCCATTGGAGCGATACTGGATCGTAGGCAAGGCTTCAACGTTTTCCGATGGCGCAGCTATTTCGAGTTTCAAGAGCTCGTCCTTCGGGATATCTCTGAATATTCCAAAGCAGCATTTGACCAAGAATTCGAGTATTTTGCTTTGTATCTCAAGAACAAGCAAGCCGTGGCCAGGCTGAAACTGAAGTGTGTCTCCCACCTCTGCAAATGTAATTGTCTCATCTTTCCAGTGAACGATTTTACCGTAGCCCTCCTCCGTAGTTTGTCCGGTCAGATACATGGTATAACCATGCAGGTAGGCTGTCGGAATATTGGTACTGTGTCTTCCCGTCGCGCATGCTTCGAGGTCTGCATGGGCAAAACAGTGTGGTTGATGGCGACCGCGACAGTCGAGTAACAGCAGGAGATTCTTTCCTTTGACCAAATCTTCCAGGTTTATCTGTGGACATCTGAATGCGGCTTTGTTTCTAGCCTGAACTGCATCACAAAAGGTTGGCTTGACTTTCTGACAGCATTGACAATAACCTTTCTCCAACATGCGCATCAAGATTCGTTGATCAGGATGATGGTTGGGAGGGATATCTGGATCTGCCTCCAAGATTACTGATTTTCTCTGTCTATCAGACTTTTTGTTCCACCTACGCCAGACTGCCTCGTAGCGCCCGCAGACGACATGATTGAGAATTTTCCAGGATTGGAAGATAGACTTTGAGAGAGCTGTTGCTTGGCGTTCAATTTCCGCAAAGGTGGGATATGAGGTTGGTACAGCCATTATTGGATGTTTCTTTGCAAGCTGATTGAAAGCCTTCTCAGGATCAAGACCGTAGTCCGGATCCTGGCGCTGTTGAGTGTAGAAGAAGTCTGAGTCCATGGTTGCTATTGTTGGTTGTTTCAGCAATCCCTTCAGTGATGTCTCAAGCAGTCAGTAGCTGTTCCTTTGACAGCGACGCCGCGGGGAGGATATGGTGCAGGGTTCTTGTCTCTAACTGTGGCGAATAGTAGGGAGAGTGTTGGTAGGATGTTGCTGTATCGTCGCGATAAGTCGCTGAGTGACCAAAGTGGGTTGATTTGTCTCAGGACTATGGGAGCAAAAGACCGGGATGAGAATTGCCGTCAAGACTGTGAAGCCATGGTGAGTCGTGTATGTGGTCCCTGCCGCTTGAGACAAAGGGGGGCAGGCACGAGGCTTGTCTGGTTTGTTAAAGCGGCGCCTTCCTTCCGCCCATCTCCCGACAATCATCCAGTATATATATACCTATTTACGGCGTGCAAATCACCAGCCGTGTCTCATCCTAACCTAAACAATTCGGTGTACGTTCTCTGACAACACGACCTGTGGCTTGATGTTGACACCGGGTAGGGAGACTCTGCATGCTCATGGATCCAATCTGCAGTATCACCCTACGAAGGGACGGTGGCGGTCGAGCAGAGCTTTGTTGAAACATGACGCGGCGCACAAGATCTTGTGTACAGAGGGTCGAAATGCTCTTCAGCAAGGATGAAAGGGGCAAGCAACGCATGCAACAACAATGGTTGAGAGCGTACTCAACCACTAGGACGAGGACCTGATCTTTGACAGCGCTCATGGCCAAGTGTTATTGATCGATTCCGAGCAGATCGTCTAAGAAGACTACCCTAAAGACACGAATGTCAGCAAGCTATTTGTCGAAGCACCGTGAGTACATACAGGTTCACTGGAGGACTCATCGTTGTCTGCGAATATATGATGAGAAATTGGCGCACACCTAGTATGATCAGCGCATTCTGGATCAGTCAATCTCAATGCCAGCCAAATCAAGTGCCAATCGTCGAGGGTTCTTGATGCGCTTCAGGCCCGTGAAAGCTGTCCTTGTATTAAAGTTAAGTCGTTGACACACAAGGTTCAATACCACCGGCCAACGGCCATAACGAAGGATGGATTCGTTGCTGTTGCTTGAGGTTGTGAGTAAGAACAAGGATGAGGGAAAAGGAAAGACAAAGATATGAAGGTTTGACGCGATCTATTCGTCTCTGAGGTATCTGGCGCGTGGGCCATGTCCATTGTCCCAACGACAGTCAGTCACTTTCCACGGCCACTTTAGTGGCATTGGAAGCTACATGGCGGAACATAAAAAAGGACAGGAATCCGATACTTCACCATTGGGTCTCGGTCTTTGGCTTTTGGGCATGTCTGGAACGGAGTTGGCATTGCGCGAACTGTCCAGATCTATCCATAACCTGGGGATGGGCATGCATCTCCTCATGGAGACCAGAAGTGACCATTTTGTTGCATTTGTGTCGCAGAGCTATGTTCTGTGAAGCACACTTACATGCCAATTGGTTCTTTACCCTCTTACCGCCAAGCTAGCGATCTTTGCTCACGAGTTCGAGCAATGTCTGATTTGTCTATCGGTCTCTGAGGTTGGATCTATAGATCGAGGACATGCTAAGTAATTGAACCCATTGGAGGTTGGAATGGTTTTTTGGTGCATTGAACAAGTCGAGAAAGACTATCCCCTCAAATGGTCAACGCGATAGACGTCGTGGACGTTTACGTGGCCGCATCATGCCAATGAGAATGCTAATCCTCCAAAGTGAAAACAAAGGTCATCACTGGTCTTCAAACGCTAGAATAGAACGAGAGGTACAATACATGATCCCAAGGCGTGATTGGGATAAAATAAACTGAGTTGCTTTGACACAACGTACATAAAAATTGTCGAAAGAACAAGGCGGGAGGATGCAGGAGGTTGAACTGAATGCCGAGACTTTGGCGGAGCATTTGCAATCGGCATGCGAAGTTCAGTAATTCACCGTAGAAATTCCCAAATTTATCGGTTTTCATCGCTCCCTCAATAGCCTGAGTCGTGAATTCAGGAGCGCATAGAGGAGTTGATTGTATGACCGCTAACGCATTTAGTGGAGCTCAAGATGTCTCAAATGTTGTGAGATCAATTTGAAGATTTTACAAGTCTCATCTCCGCGCATTGGGAGCACTAACGTTACTGGCAGGTACCTAGGTATGCACAAATCCATAACCAAACACATACGCACGAAGCGCTTGTAGTTCATCCGAGAGACAGGATACGGATGCGGCTACGGAGAAATGAGAGTGAAGGGATGGAGTGACCATAAGGTAGGTCTCGCCAATCAAGATGCAATTTTATCCAGAAATCCTGGTGCCTGGTCTGGATGCATACAAAGGGTTGCCATCGGATCTTGGCATAGTGACCATGAAGTTCACCCTCTTTTCACATTCCATGTGTGGTTTTCAATACAATAACAACCACAGGTTGGAATGATGACACTGAAGATGGCCGGTCCCGAAGCAAAAGTCGAGCTGAAGTCTACCGTGTCGAAGGATGGTACCCAGATTGCATATTACGAGATTGGTCAAGGACCAGGGCTGATAATCCTACATGGCGCAATGCAATCCGGACTCAGTCACAGTGAACTTGCATCTTTACTGTCGCAGAGTTATACCTGCTATCTTCCAGATCGACGTGGGAGGGGGAAGTCTGGTCCTTCCGGGCGCAATTACGGCCTAGTAAAAGAGGTCGAGGACATTGAAGCAATTCATACTGCCACTAACGCAAAGTTCGTGTTCGGAGTAAGCTCTGGGGCGGTGATAGCGTTGAAAGCTGCACTCATTGCTCCTTCCTCTCAGATAGAGCGAGTTGCGGTCTTCGAACCTCCTTGGTGGCCGGATTACTTGGTCGAGGAAAGTACTTCATGGGTTGGTCGCTATGAGGAGGAGCTCAGTCGTGGCGAGATTGCAGAAGCATTGACAACCGCGTAAGTTCCTCTTCATATGTTCAGCAGGATCAGTCATTCATGTGCACCCATCCGTTCCATCTGCACACTATTCTTGACGATCTTCTGCGGAAAGAATTCTGCACCCCCGGAGACCCCCTGTATGAACAGCCACTGTGCAGACCTGAAGGCATTTCAATAACTGTTCATCATTCAAGGGGCATTTCATTTGTTGACTCCTTCTCATTGATGAGTTAAGTCGCTAATCACGCTCGGCAGAATGCTTGGTGTGAAAATGGGGCCACCCCTTTTCCAATCAAAGTATTTTCCTCGACCAATCCTAGTCCTCCTATCAAAATTATTGATGAAAGCAGACAAAGCTGCAAATACAAAAAAGTCAAAGAGCAGCTCTTGTAAACAACATGCTTATGATTATCCAACATTTGAAGAACTTGCACCTACACTACGGAATGACATTCAGGTCACTAGCGAGATGTTCGGTGAGCAGAACTTTGATACACTGGCGGATATTGATAAAGAGGTGTTCATCATGGGTGCAAGCCGAAGCCCTGACTACCTAAAGAATGCAGTCCGGGTACTCAAGAAAATCCTTCCGCACTCTACGTGGGTGGAACTTCAGGGCTATGACCATGGAGTGACGGGCAACAGATCGTATCATGGCGATCCAGAGGTTGTCGCTCGGGAGCTACAGCGCTTTTTCGCTCAACCACAAGAAGTGCAGACCTCACCACAACATCGGCATGATACAACCTGAAACTTCTTCACTTCGCAATCAGACCTCCATCTACCACAATGCTTGTCCCGCAAACGAAATCGCTTGCCCTACTAGCAAGGAAGATGATTGCTCCACGGAAATCCTCGGGTAATCCCCAACGACCAGCAGGTGTCCGCCCGATGATGTATTCGGAATATGCTGGGTCATCAGTATACACCTTGGTCATGGCCGTCTTGATATATCTACACGAAACAGTCAGTCCACGACTTCAGAATGCTTTTCGGCGCATGGGGGACACATCCATACCCTGGGCAAATACAATTGACGTTGATGCCCTTGGATGCCCATTCATTACTCATAGCTTTTGTCATTTGCAGAACACCTCCCTTTGTGCATGCATATGCAGCGATGTTGATGTTTCCGATGAAAGAGATGATGGATGCAATGTTGATGATCTTGCCGGGCCGCTTCAGCTCTAGGAGTCTCTTGCCAACCTCCTGCGCAGCTACGAATGACGCTTTCAGATTGATTGAAAACACCTTTTCCTTTGATCAGTTTCACACTTCTGCTATATAGCATTCTCAATTCCACATCAACTACTCACCGCATCGATATTCTCGTCCGTGAAATCCTCGACCTTGGCCCGTCTATTGATTCCCGCACAGTTCAACAAGATATCAGGTGTGATGCGGCTCTCCCAGATCTTGGCGAAGCAGGCCCTTAATGATGGTGAGTCGGCAACATCTGCTTCAAATACCTTCAAGGTTCTACCACAGGCCTTGACTCCCTCCTCGAGCATTGATGCCCTTGCGTCGTCCTTAATCTGTATCGAGACAATATCCGCACCTGCTTCTGCGAGCGCGATGGCCATTGACAGGCCAAGACCTCCCGTACCACCAGTGCATATTGCTGTTTTGCCCTGTAGCGAGAATAACTCTGCCACGCTGGGTAGCGTGCCCTCGCCCATCTGGTTGACTGATGCCATTGCCGACGATTCTACCTTGGTAGTTCCTGACTGACGAGCTGTGAGGAGTGCGAGTCAATGTATTGCTATCCACTTAATATTTCTCCGATCTGCTTTATGCGAACGATACGAGACCCTGGATATACCTACAGATCTACATGTGAAAGAACAGTATATTTCTCGACTTTATCGATCCAGGCTCTCCAAACTCCAACCGATCCTCATTTGCCTTGTAGATCGATAACCGAGGTGCAGCAAAACAGGACATCCAGAGACATCCTATGATGGGCAGGTGTCCTAATCCGGGTAGTGACATCTCTGCTCAGCTTCCTTTTCCCCCCTCAATCCAGGTCTTTCTCCGCACATGGCGGCCGAGCAGAAGTGAGGAGTAAACAATGGAGTGACACACCAAGCTGGACAGCACAAGTTGGCCTTGCTATCCTCGTGAACCTAAGTCGAGCAGAGTCTCTAGCTAACGTCTTGCTTCAGATACTTTCGCCCTTTAGGAATCTCACTTCGCTGACAACGCAGATATGGGCCGTCTTGATGGGAAGGTCATCATTGTGACCGGGGCAGGTGCTGGCTTTGGGCGTGGTGTAAGTACATATTCTTATATTGGATAGAAGCCGGAAAAGATCATGGTGCTTGGGGAAAGAGTCCATGAACACCAAGGATGAACCACCATTAGATATCGTATTCTAAAGGCGGACCAGCTTCTACTGTCTACAAGTACTTTCTGAGAGGTCTAACACGGCTACTTCCCACAGATCGTCCAAAAACTCACAGCAGAGGGTGCATCCGTACTAGCCGTCGACATCAACGCGAAGGAAAACGACTCAACGGCATCATCCTGTCCAGGCGGCACTTGCCACGCTTTTAGCGCGGACATTACGCTCGAGACCTCCTGGCGGGACATTCTCTCCACAACATTATCAAAATTCTCGAACCGCCTCGACGTCGTCGTCAACTGTGCAGGTGTCGTGCACATTGCGGCCCCGTCGCACGAAGTCCCTGAAGACCAGTTCGACCTCATGTTCAAGGTCAATGTCAAGCCCTTGTATCTGAGCACCAAGGTCATCGTACCCTGGTTCAAGGGGAACAAGGTGGCGGGATCGTTTGTCAATCTGAGCAGTATCAGTGAGCCGAGGCCGAGGCCGAATTTGGTGTGGTATGCTGCGAGTAAAGGAGCAGTTACAGTGGTGAGTTTTTTTCGACACTGTTGTTTGCATGATGGGTTTAGATTGTGGAGTAACCATCGCTGATGCTGTTGCGAATTTTTAAGACGACGAAAGGCCTAGCTGCAGAGTATGCGGTCGATCAGATCAGGTACAATTGCATTCGTCCCGCTGTTGGTGAGACTGCCATGTGAGTTGACATGTCCTGCTGGACTCCTGGACTTTCTGTCTGACCAGCAATACAGGCTACCAAGAGTGCTCGGTGGGCAAGACACACCCGAAGGTCGTAAGAAGGTGCTTGGAACAGTTCCGCTGGGTCGAGTGTGCCAACCGAGTGACGTGGCGAACATGGTCTGTTTTTTGGCGTCAGATGAGGCTAGCTATATCACGGGGGCTGCATTTGACGTCGATGGTGGAAGAGGTGTCAGCTGATTGTTAAAAATTGACGTCGGAGAAGAAGAAATATCTGGATTGCGATCATCATTGTACAGTGAAATTGTTCCGCAGGAATATTTTACAGGGTAATCTCTCCCTTCCACATCGCATCGGAGATACCTAGTTTCTCGACGACATTCTGCCATCTCGGTCCGCCCTTGTCCTCTCTTCTTAGATATTTGAGTAATTTTTGTCTCTTGTGGACCAAGAGCCGCAAATTTCGCTTGTTGTGTTTGTCCTGATTGTGCAGATTGTCCGCTAGAACATTGATTTTGGTGGTAAGGATGGCTATTTGAACTTCGGAGGAGCCGGTATCGACACCTATCCTTTTACGAGGCTCAACTGGAGTCGAGAATTTGCTGCGAAGTCTTGGGGCCAGGGTGGAATCGGTTTTATGTCGCCCGAATTCCTCAATGCAACGATCGATGTTGATTCGGGTACGATCCTTGCTGCTTGCATTGTTCAGCGCAGCAATGGCTTGAAGCGCTTTGGAAGCATTCTCGTGAGACGCTTCGTGAGCCTTGACTTCTTTTGCATGGATCTCCTCGGCCCTAGGTTGGATATCGGCTCTCTGGGGAACTGGCTGAGACAACCACTTCGAGTAATCTAGGGACTTTGACATATCTTCTGGCTTGAGGAAATAGTTTAGATATGAATCCTGTGTACTCGCTGGAATATTTTTGGAGTGTAATGAATTGACAAAGGGGGTTGATTGCGATCGAATCGGATTGCCTAGAGTCGCTTGACGTTCAGCAACAAGGACTCTTTGACGCGCAAGATTTGCTGATTTCCGTTGTCGTGCTTGCGCCAGGCGGTAAGGATCTATATGTCTTCGAACTTTGTGTTTCTTCGCTCTCTTGGCCTCTAGATGAGGGCTTGTAGAAAAAAGACATGTCGAGCATTTGGAAAAGACTTGACCGCGAGAAGTCGTTGGCAAGCTCTGAAGTAGGCTCGACACTAGGAAGGCCATTAGCTATAGGCGTTGTAAGCCAATTTGTGGCTACTTACGATTGAAAATGCTACTCGAAGCAGCATTAGCTGCACGAGGAGGCATTGTATTGGTATCGTGTCAAAGTCGCAGATGATACGGTCCTTGCAGTTGCTCTCCTGCAACTTTCTTCAATCCAGTAAAGTCGAGGATCGGCAATCCTTCTCCTTCTGGCTACGCGACAGTACGGAAAAATAGCTCCGTTCTGAAGAGCCACTAGACCTTTTCGAGAGCGAAATCTTGGCAAGCCCTAACTTCCACTTTCATCGAAAAGTTGACCTCAGGCTGTTGGCGCATCTGGTAGTCCCTCACTCTTCAAACTTGAGATAGATCAACACCACAACTCCTCCATTACACCCCTCCCCCTTTGACTATCCTCAAAAGAACAGTCGCAAACATGGCGAGCCCAGCTAACCTCCCCCCTATCTTCAACCCCACATCCAATGACATTGAGATGCTTCTAGCCGCTCAATGCCATTTGGGATCCAAGAACTTGCAAGTTCACATGGAACCATACCTGTGGAAGACTCGTCCTGATGGAATCAATGTGATCAACATCTCCAAGACCTGGTTAGTGATATCTCAACCACAAGTCGCCTCAAAATCTCCTCTGGGCAGTTTCGAGGGCGAGGGAAGGTTCAAGCCAGAATTTCAGTACTGACCATGAACGCAGGGAGAAAATTGTTCTTGCCGCCCGTATCATCGCAGCCATTGATAACCCCGCTGACATCGTCGTCATCTCCGCTCGCCCTTACGGTCAACGTGCTGTCCTCAAGTTCGCCGCACACACTGGAGCTGTCGCCATCGCTGGTCGTTTCACCCCCGGTAACTTCACCAATTACATCACTCGCTCATTCAAGGAGCCTCGCTTGATCATTGTTACCGATCCCCGCACCGACGCTCAGGCTATCAAGGAGGCTTCCTACGTCAACATCCCCGTCATCGCTCTTTGCGACACCGATTCGCCCACCGAGTTCGTTGATGTTGCTATCCCCACCAACAACAAGGGTCGTCATGCCATCGGTCTGATCTGGTGGTTGTTGGCACGAGAGGTCCTCCGTCTACGAGGCACCCTTGCAAACCGAGAGGTCGAGTGGGATGTGGTTGTGGATCTGTACTTCTACCGCGATCCTGAGGCCGAGGAGCAAAAGGAGGAAGAGAAGGTACCAGGTGCTGACGAGGCAGGCCCAGCTGCTATCGACCGTGGATTCACCGACAACGCAGACTGGACCGGTGAGCCCGGTGCCGCTGCTCCTGGCATTGAGGGCGCTGCTCAAGCTGACGCAAACTGGACCGAAGGCGCTGGTGGAGACTGGGCTCAAGAAACCGCTGCTCCCACTGCTCCCGCTACTGGCGGTGCAAGCGGCTGGTAAAGGATTGTGGGAAATCGTCGAAACAATCGAGAGGCTGTCTATTTCCGCAAATACCATGCGAGTCCATCTCAAACGATACCCCACCATATCCAAACCTCTCTCCATCCAAAAAAGAAAACCAGCCACTATCAACATTCATCAATTCACATTGTTTGACCCGTTCACTGGGTCTGAAAGTCAAAGGCACTCATGAGGGAAAGATACTGTTCTCGGGATCATTCACTTTTCTGAGAAGAGGGAAAGCCCTGTGCTGGAGATAAAAGGGATTGTACTTAACAGTTGCCCGGACCTCAGTGGAATCGGAAAGTTTTCATAGAATGAGATACGTGCGGCCAAAGGAGAAGAAGCCAAGCAGAATAAAAACAGAAATTCATGCCGTTCAAATTGCCATTTGATCTGTGATTGCCATTCGGGCTAGTCTATGAATGCACCTAGATTATTGATTTTGCTCGGTTGCCCAGTATTGCAATCGTTCACACCAGGAGTACATCTGAAAGTTTCCCGTATCGTTGACCAATGGGTAGTGCCCAACAATGTCGCTGTTATTGTCACCCTCCTCACACTAGAAGGAGTATTGCAGAAGGTTTCAATCACAACCTCTATGATGCTTGACCTCAGTCAGTCTTGGAAGTTCTTGCGCCACTGTCGAAAAGGAAGAAGTGGTTCTACGCACTCCCGGTGATTGAGTTGACTAACAAATGCGACCTTGTCTGATCTTTCGTCGAAGTCCCCACGGCAATATCGGCATTGGCTGTCAAAAAGATCAACTGCTGATGAGGGCATTGCTTCGGGACCAGCGTTTGGTGCAGCGGACTCCGGAGTCTCTTCAGAAGGGGTCTCGGCTTGATTCGATGTTTGTTCTGTACTATCTTCCATATCACTACCGCATAAAGTGTTACAGTCACTATCGTAATCGGGGTAATCGTCGCTATCGTAGGTAGTCGAAGGATCACTGTCGCAACCAGTGGCAGCACCCCAGCAATGTTTGATGTCAATTTTGCGGCTAGTATTGTCGTCTTCTTTGCCATCACTTTCGTCATCGCCATCGTAACCATTTTCAGTGTCTGTGGCAGTGCTGTCGTCGTCCGGCCCGTTGGTGAATTCAATATTATCCATCAATTCATCGGTCAACGTTCTTTGGATAGTAGGCATGATCATACAGCTTGGTGCGACTGAAGTCATTTTGAGATCCAGGATATGGGTACTTGTGAAGCCGTGAGATAAATACTCTATACTCCCGAGGGTTAAAGGTATGAACTGTCTGGTTTTGATGTTGTTGTTGTTGTTGTTTAGAAAAACTGCAGATTTTCTTGCAGTAGGAGCGAGTTGCTGGAGAGAAGGAAATGTCAGAAGATCTCTGGAATTTAGGATGACTATATACTCATCCTTGATGATCCATCGCCGCCTACCTGCGCATAACGTGGCTTCAACAAAGAACTTGTTCAATGCTAAGCAGCTCAATCTCAATAACGATTGCAGAATTCAAAGGCACGACACAATCTCGACTCAGACTGGGACTGTCTCGATGCTGATATGGCGGAAGGCTGTAGAGAAACATTCCAACTATAAATCAAACTTTCAGAAGCTGAACCAGCTTTTGTCTTTCTTGACAAAAAGCTTTGATTCCGTGAAGAAACCAGTGCGAACACCATGTCTCAAAAGACATCGATTGCCTTTGCGAAGCGTTTGGGATATACAAAGCTGAATTAGCTTGAAATAATCACCAAAACTCCATGACATATACCTTTGCTGAGACTTTGTTGCAGAGTCAAGGTTTCCGAGGGACGTGTAGTCTCAAGGCATATGTATATCAGGCGTACTAAATCACAAAGTCTTAGGCAATGAGCCCAAGCATATAGGCCGTCTGATGTAGAGATAACTGCACTTCGAATCAGCACGTAGGGAAGCTCAATGCCCCATGCCACTCAAAGAGGTTCGTAAACCCCCCAGGGAGCTTTGCCAACCTCCGCGGGCACACAGCTTCGGTAGTAATTCGCCTCCAACGGGCCAACGGGGATGGTTGATCGGGAGAATCTTCATAGTCATATCAGAGACTTTATGCGGTCAAGAAACGGCGTCCGGTTTCCACATAACGAGGATCTGCCTTGCGCCTTCGGAAGTTGGTGGTTGGACGAAGTGGTGAACTGATCCTGGCACTTTCCAACGAGAAAAAGCACTAAGCTCGTGCCTGGTGGTAGCGCCGTTCGTCAAAAGGCGCCATCCAATCGGAAACTCTTGTCTTCCGTAAGGCTGCACTAAAGCAGGCCTAGTCCTGCCAAGGCTTATTTGGAGCTAAGGAACAAAAATATCTTGTCAAGCTCCATTAATGGTATCCCTGGATTTGTTATGCAAACCCCCACAGTGTATACATGAGCAATTATGCCATTAACAAATGGAACGACGAAGGAGGTTCGAGTGAGCCTACTCGGGAAAGAAAGTATCATAATCAATTTCGGTCTGTGGCGCAACTATGTCGCTTCTGATCTCCTTGACAACCTTGAGTCATCCACCTATGTCTTGATCACGGACACAAACATCGGCGGTCTTTACACGGAGTCTTTCTCAAAAGCCTTCGAAGCTGCGAGTTCGAAGAAATCAAATCCCCCACGCTTGCTGGTCCATGAGATCCCTCCTGGAGAAAGCTCAAAATCACGGCAAACCAAGGATGACATCGAAGATTGGCTTCTGAGTCAGAGCCCGCCATGTGGCCGAGACACAGTTATCATTGCCCTCGGAGGTGGTGTCGTTGGTGATCTGACTGGGTTCGTTGCTGCGACCTATATGCGTGGAGTACGATTTGTCCAGGTGCCAACAACCCTGCTCGCCATGGTCGACTCCGCCATTGGAGGCAAGACGGCTATCGACACTCCTCTTGGCAAGAATCTAGTCGGAGCCATATGGCAACCTCAGAGGATCTATATTGATCTCGATTTCCTCGGGACTCTTCCTAGACGTGAGCTCATCAATGGTCTGGCAGAGGTGATCAAGACTGCAGCAATTTCTGATGAGAACGAATTCATTGCCCTGGAGACCAACTCCGACAGAATCATGGCTGCGGTCAATGGTGATATCAACCAAGGTGCAGCGAGATTCAAGGACATTGAACCTATCCTGATCAGAGTCATATCTGCCTCGGCAAAGTTCAAAGCACATGTCGTCACAATTGACGAGCGTGAGATGGGTTTGAGAAATCTGCTGAACTTCGGGCACTCCATAGGACATGCGATGGAGGCTTTCTTAACGCCTCAAGTCCTCCACGGCGAATGTGTTTCGATTGGTATGGTCAAGGAAGCCGAGCTCGCTCGCTATCTCGGCGTGCTCAGTGGAGTCGCAGTCGGACGATTACAGAAGTGTCTAACAGCTTATGGTCTGCCCACACGTCTTGATGATGAGAAGATTCGAAAATTGTCCGGTGGCAAGATCTGCACTGTGGATGGCATGTTGAAAAAGATGGGTGTCGACAAGAAAAACGATGGCGCAAAAAAGAAGGTCGTTTTGCTTTCTGCGATTGGGAAAACTCATGAACAAAAAGCAAGTGTGGTATCTGACTCTGACCTCCGCGTGGTATTGTCTCCCAGCGTGGACGTCATTCCCGGAGTCCCTCAAGATCTGAATGTTATTTGTGCTCCGCCAGGATCAAAAAGTATTTCAAACAGAGCATTGGTTCTGGCCGCCTTAGGCAAGGGAACCTGCCGGGTCAAGAATCTCCTCACATCTGCCGACACAGAAGTCATGCTTGAAGCCTTGACCAGATTAGGAGCTGCAACGTTTTCCTGGGAAGAGGATGGAGAAGTCTTGGTTGTGAATGGTAACGGTGGTAAGCTCCACGCCAGCCAGACGGAACTTTATCTCGGAAACGCTGGTACCGCCGCCAGGTTCTTGACTACAGTTGTAACACTCACTCGATTAAGCCATGTCAGCTCAACGGTGCTCACTGGAAATGCTCGCATGAAACAACGTCCTATTGGAGACCTGGTCGATGCTCTTCAGACAAATGGAGCCGGAATAGAGTATCTCGAGACTCCTGGCTGCCTACCGTTGAATATAACAGCATCGGGGGGCTTTAATGGTGGTGAGATCAAACTCGCGGCAAAGGTCTCGTCACAGTATGTCTCATCACTTCTGATGTGCGCACCATATGCCAAGAAACCAGTAACCCTGAAGCTTGTTGGAGGCAAACCCGTGTCTCAGCCCTATATCGACATGACGATTGCCATGATGGCAAGTTTTGGTATTGCGGTGCAAACATCAAAGACTGAAGAGCACACATATCACATCCCTCAAGGAAACTACGTTAATCCAGAGGAATATGTGGTTGAAAGTGATGCGAGCTCTGCAACTTATCCATTGGCAATTGCTGCCATCACTGGAACGACATGCACAATCCCAAATATCGGGTCTGCATCTCTTCAAGGAGATTCACGATTTGCAACTGATATACTGAGGCCCATGGGATGTCACGTCAAGCAGACTGAGACCTCTACCACTGTGACAGGTCCCTCCACTGGTGTTTTACTACCACTCCCAAATGTTGATATGGAGCCAATGACGGATGCTTTCCTCACAGCGTCAGTCCTGGCGGCAGTGGCCCAAGGAGGCAAGTCGAACACAACTCGCATTTATGGGATTGCAAACCAACGCGTAAAAGAATGCAACCGTATTCAAGCAATGGAAGACGAATTAGCCAAGTTTGGCGTGACATGTAGGCAGTTCGACGATGGTATCGAGGTGGACGGCATCGATCGATCAAAGTTGACGCAACCAAAGGCAGGCGTTCATTGTTATGATGATCACCGAGTCGCAATGAGTTTCAGTGTTCTTGCTCTGGCCGCACCTCAATCCAGTCTTATTCTTGAGAAGGAGTGTACAGGGAAAACATGGCCAGGATGGTGGGATACACTCACGCAACAGTTCGCAGTCAAGCTGGAGGGCAAAGAACTGGAGACTGTGGTCACTCATTCCAAGAAAAAGCTTGACAGAGCAGCGGCATCTATCTTCATCATTGGTATGAGAGGTGCTGGGAAGACTACATCCGGCAGATGGGCCTCTCGTTCTTTGGGCAAGAAGTTGATAGACCTCGACACGGAGCTCGAGGCTCGTGAGAAAGCCACGATACCAGAGATCATTCGCCAACACGGTTGGGACCATTTCCGAGCTCGTGAACTGGCCTTGCTGAAGTCTGTGGTCAAGGAAAAGCCTACCGGTCATATTTTCGCATGTGGCGGGGGAATAGTGGAGACCCCTGAAGCTCGAAAGCTGCTGGTCGACTATCATCAGAAGGCAGGACACGTACTGCTGGTAGAACGCAACATCAACGAGGTCATCGACTTCTTACAGATCGATAAGACGCGACCAGCTTATGTTGAGGACATGATGGGTGTCTGGCTGAGAAGAAAGCCATGGTTCGAACAATGCAGCAACATCCTCTACTACAGCCAGAGTATTCCCAACGAGCAAATGTCCGAAGCTGCCGAAGACTTTGATCGCTTTCTACAAATGGTCAGTGGCAAGATTGATACGCTTGCGAATCTCAAACGCAAGCCTGAGTCTTTCTTCGCAGCATTGACTTTCCCCGACCTCCGGCCTCACCTTAAGATTCTTCCAGAGATCTGCCTAGGCTCTGATGCGGTGGAACTTCGTGTTGACCTTCTCAAAGACCCTCAATCCACCAGTGGCATCCCTTCGCAGGAATATGTCACTTCCCAGCTCTCCCTTCTCCGCGCGACGGTCCCTCTGCCAGTAGTTTTCACCATCCGAACCACTGCACAAGGAGGAAAATTTCCCGACACAGCTCACGATGAATACCTTGAGTTGAATTCGCTTGCCATCCGCATGGGAAGCGAATTCGTCGACCTCGAGGTTGGATCATTCCCAGATGGAATCCTCAACAAACTCCATGAGCTCACGAGTGACAGCCATACCAAGGTCATCGCTTCACATCACGATCCACAGGGCAGACTCTCCTGGTCTAAACCAGGTTCTTGGATTCCCATCTACAATAAATGCTTACAGTATGGCGATGTGGTGAAGCTTATCGGTATTGCTTCCTCCATCGACGACAACTTTGCATTGCGACGCTTCAAACAATGGTCAGCATCACAGCACTCTGATCTCCCCCTCATCGCGATCAACATGGGCCGAGCAGGTCAAGTTTCACGCATCCTGAACGGCTTCATGACGCCAGTCTCACACCCAGCACTGCCGTTCAAGGCAGCACCAGGGCAGCTGTCATCAGCCGAGATCCGCCAGGGTCTTTCCCTCATGGGCGAAATCGTACCAAAGCAGTTCTACCTCTTCGGCTCACCAATCTCAGCCAGCAAATCACCTATCCTGCACAACACCTTGTTCGGAGAGACGGGTCTTCCACACAAGTATTCCCTGTGCGAGACGACATTGATAGAAGAGATCAGAGAAAGAATCCGGGCGGAAGACTTCGGCGGCGCCAGCGTCACGATTCCCCTGAAGCTAGATGTGATGGGTCTGCTCGACGTGATCGACGCACCAGCACGGCTGATCGGCGCAGTCAACACGATCGTCCCCGTCATCGATCCAAAGACAGGCAAGAAACTCCTCGAGGGCCGCAACACCGATTACCTTGGCATGGGCGACTGTCTACGCGCAGCGGGCGCCAGCGCAGCTCTCGGCGACGGCCCACAGTCCGGCCTCGTCATCGGCGGCGGCGGTACCGCCCGCGCAGCCATTCAGACCCTGTACAGCATGGGCTACGGCCCGATATACCTGATCGCACGGAACAAGGGCAAGCTCGCGGAGCTCAAGGCCACCTTCCCGCCTTTCTACAACCTGCATGTCCTCGACGCGGAGGACAAAGCGTCCTTGGAGCCGCTGACGCGCAGTCCGCCCAGCGTCGCCATCGCCACCATCCCCGCCAACCTGCCTATTGATCCCGCGTTAGGAGCAGCTCTGCACGTCCTCTTCGCGGCATCGAAGAAATTGCAGAAATCTGGCGCAGGTGTTCCCACTCTGCTCGAGATGGCATACAAGCCGGCCCACACCGCTGTCATGGCAATGGCGGAGGAAGTCGGTGGTTGGAGTACCGTGCAGGGCCTTGAGACACTCGTCACGCAGGGCTTGTGGCAGTCCGAATACTGGACTGGCATTAGAGTCAGAGGTGTCGGTCAGCGTATTGCAAGGGTAAGTCTGGCTTTGTTTCCTTTTTTCAGTACCTCGATCCCTTGTCTTTCTTCTGCTTCTGTCCTCCTAACAGCCATGCCATGTCGCGTTGCGTTCTTGCTAACGAAGATTGTTTTGCGGGAATATAGGAAGTCGTCTTAGGACCCGGTGCATGAATTTTCCCCCTCGGTTCCTCGGGATTCGCAGAACTATAATTCCGTATCTAAGTTCCCATCGCAGCAGGCGCTCGTTTCCAATCCAAGCTCTCATGGTCTAGTAGAAGTGTAGCAATACTTCAGTGTGCAAGCACGGGCACCAAGATCTCTCGTTCTCCTAAACTCCTCCCCTAGACAATGCCTGGCAAGGTCATGTATCCATAACCGAAAAATTAACTTGGCGGTAAAGGTATTCATATCAACTCAAAAATAGCAACAGCGGCAAATTAATGGAACACTTCGGAGGAGGAGGCCCTGAGGGACACTACCTAGATGCTTCATCGGATCAGAATAAATTGGCACGCTCGCTTGACAAAGGCAGAGGATCAATCATCGGTGGAATGGGTAGTGTTAGAATTCCCATTCGCTTGCTTTTGTACAGTGTGGTCAATCATAGCTACTTATAGACACAAAAGCCAACCCTTTTTTCAAGTTGCTCAACAGACCATGACATTACCACCGCTAACCGATTTCCTCATGACTTCATTAGGTGGATAGAAACGCCGTCATCCAGCACGCCAACCCTACACAAGATGATGAACAGGCTCCGCAGGATTCGCAGTTCACGATCTCGGTAACTAGTTCTGCCCCTGGCCCTGATGCCTTCTCTGCTCCTCAACCTGTCTTTGAAATTCCGCCATGAAGGCGGGATTGCTGGCCCACGGGCCTGCTTGTAGATTGCCCTGGTCGGGTGCTGGGCCTGGATTTAGATTTTGCAGGTTGGCCTGAGGATTGTATTGGTGCTGGAAATTTGGCATTGGAGGCATACTCATTCCTGGTATGTTTGGATTTGGAAATGGGAAATTTGGAGGAGGCTGAGGAAAGGCGAAGTTTGCAGGAGGCTGATAGCCGCCGAAATTGAAGGATGAATTCGGCAGCGGTGTGATGGGAGAAGGAGACATAGGAGGGTAGGTGACGTTATACGGTGTTATGGAAGGAGTGTTGGGGAGATTGAGCTGCGGTGCTTGTGGCACTGCCCCTGTTTGTTGTGGGTAGCCAGCATTGGTGTTGGGTTGGTAAGACATATTGTTAGGGCGAGTCCAGGTGGAAGAGTTGCCTTGGTTGAAACCGCCACGTCCTCGATGTGGACGATTGCCTCCTCTTCCTCCTCTACCATGGCCTCTGCTCCGATCACCGAAGTCGCCTCTGTTGCCCGGTATGGAAGGTGGTGGCGGCAACGGATGTGTCAGAGGCGGAGGTCCATTTGCGAGTAGGTCTGATAGATTGTCTGGCCGCTGGAGTGGAGTATAATCATCTTCTGCACCATCTGCCACATCGTCGTAGTTCATCTCGGGTGAATCCAGATCTCGAGGCCCAAATCTCGAAGATGGTCCTTGTTGCCCACCACGACCACCACGATGCGGACCTTTTGAGAACTTCGAACCACCGCGACCTCGGCCGATTTCCGCGGTACGACCTTGCCTGCGGAGCTTTACCTGTCGTTTGTGCTCAGCCTCGGCCTCGTCATCTGAGAACTCCATCTCATCATCACCAACTTCCTCATCATGAAAATTGGACGCATCACTGCCTTTGACACTCTTCAATGGTTGTGTAAAGACAAATGTCGAGTGCTGTGGAACGTAAAATATCGTAGTTCCGACCTCAGAGACACCAGCTTCCACAATATCTTTTTCGTTGGTGAAACGCACGGTGTACCTTGGCTCTTCAACTCTTCCTATTAAGTCGGCCACCACTCCAATAACACTTCTATCTTTCAAACATATAAGGGAACCTGTCTCAAGAACTTGATACTCGCCAGAGGTCTTTGCTTTGATGAGAATTGTGTTCTCGACCACAAATTCGACATTCCCAAGTTCTTCGATTTTCATGTCTTCGGTGATGGTGATATCAGGTTTGGGAACTATTTCCTCAGGCTTCTCATTCGCCGTTCGCAGAGCACCAGCTCCTCCGGACTTATCCTTAGACTTGCCTCCCTCGTCGTCTGAACCACCATCTCCCTGCATCAATATACGCGCTGCCTCTTCCGGGTCAAGCATTGCATAGTCACCATCAGCATCGTCGTCATCGCTGTCATCGTCCGATGTGGTGTCGGACGAAGAGTCAGAGTCAGAGGATTCATAAGGCGACGAATCAATTTCCCACTCTGCTCCTTCGGTACTCAAACCGGGTATGATTGTGTTATCGGGGGGGATAGCATCCACATTCAGTGCGGAGGCATCTGATATAGCCGACATGTCCTCTGGTACTTGTGTATTTGAATCTTCCGACGCTGCATTGGTTCTTATAGAAGGAGGCTCTGCAGTGTGTTGATTACTTTCCGCAGACATGTTGTTTCCTTCCTCTTTCCCTGCCACTGATCCTGTCTCCATCGAGACGACGTCCTTGTCAATATCATCGGGTTTTATCTCGCTAGGTTGATGTACAATTGTCTCGGTCACGGCTGTCGTAGATGTTAATGTATCATGTGAGCCTAAATGATCGATCTGATCGGGCTGAGTAGCACCGTAGTTGTCGTTCAAAACCTGAGTGGGAGCGACAGTTGAATCAATATCCATACTTCCATGATCGGCAGTATGGTTCGTGGTGTTCTCAGTCAGCCTGGTCCCATGGGAAATCTCTCTCTGCTCTTCTCCAGCCGGAACCTCACTGATGAGGGGGCCTGGGGTGTGAGGTGATGGTTGGGTGGGAGTTCCAGACTCTGCTTCAACCTGAAGCATTAAAGCATCGAGTATAGAGTTTGAAGTATCCATGGCGCATCAACTAGATTTCGTGATCCATGGTTCATATGGTAGTTCTAGGTGGCCTTCACAAAATTTGCGAGAAGAGCAGAGCGAGCGCAGCCAACGTCTGCCCGCCTCCAAATCGACGAAAAAAAGTTGATGCGGAGAACAAGTCTAACCATTTTTGTGATGGTGTGGGCCTCGTGTCTTATCATCACGTGAAGATATACTTGCGACTCCCGACGTCCATTTCAATCTTAACCGCCCAGCCTTCAGCCTCGCTGGAAAGCCTCGAACATGGTAGCAGCCCCTGAGGCTCGGGGGGAAATCAAATCACCATCTGCACCCGTCTTACTTGAAGTACAAACCAAGGGTTGTTGCGGCAATATCATCTCCCATGTTTTGACGATGCATCACTTGTTCCCATCATCCTGCCGAAAAAATGACCCACATGATGTCCAACTAATGGAACTCTTTGCATTCAATTCCTGCGATGATGCGCAATCTCAGCCCACACCTCCCCTTGTGACAAGGTTGACTCCTCCGATCGTACCAACCTGAACAGGCCCGCGGGCCCTTGCGTCGCTCGCCCAGCGACCGCCTACAGGATAGTAGCCGGGAAGATGGCTGGGAAGATGAGATTGTTTAAACTGATCGTGATTGGGGATGGTGGTGTAGGCAAAACCTGCTTGGTTATACAATTGGTGCAGAACCACTTTGTCGAGACCTATGACCCGACTATTGAGGACAGCTATCGAAAACAGGTGTTGATAGATAAAGAAGCCTCTATAATTGAAGTCTTGGACACGGCTGGACAGGAAGAATACACAGCTCTTCGGGATCAATGGATCAGAGACTCTGAGGCTGCAGTCCTCGTGTACAGTGTGACCTCTAGGCAATCGTTCGAACGAATCAATAAATTCAACCAACAGCTCCTAAGGGTCAAGGAGTCGGCTTCCTCTCACTCGATATTTGGATCCGCCACCACTCTGGACATGGCAACACCAAAAGCCCCTCTACCAGTTATGTTGGTTGCAAACAAAGCTGACAGGGAGGATGAGAGAGAGGTTACGACTGCAGAAGGCTTTGCGCTCGCCCGAGAGCTGCAATGTATGTTTGTTGAGTCATCCGCGAAAAGCTGCATCAACGTGGAAAAGGCGTTTTATGATCTGGTACGAGAATTGCGTCTCCAGCAGCGATCTGCAGTCATAGCAGACAAGATAAAAGTTCCTGTGCCGCCTGAGAGGACAAATCGGAATGGCAGAACTCGTAAAGTCTACTTCGGCTCTTTTTCCTCCCTGCTTCGACTTCTACCGGGCTTCAAGGTCAATCTTCGAGAAGAATACAGGCACGATGTTGCTCATCAGCTTGCTATTGACAAGGTACTTGTCCAAGCGGCACGGCTGAATGATATTAAAGCCGTCAAAAAATGTTTGACCAATGGTGCAAATCCGAACGCGCAATCTGGAAGTGAAGGCAGTGCCTTACAGGCTGCTGCTGTTCTGGGTCACTCCAAGATTGTCAGACTTTTGCTTGAAAATGGTGCAGCTCCCAATGCAAAGGGTCCCAGAGAGATGACTGCTCTTCAAGCCGCGGCAGCTGAAGGCCATCGCGACGTTGTGAGTATTCTCCTCAAGGCCGGTGCAGATGTGAATACGACAAGCTCTCTACACGGAACGGCCCTTCTGGCTGCAGCATCAAGAGGGCAGGTTGAGGTCGCACGTCTCTTGATCAAATATCGAGCTGATGTGAATGCCAAAGGAGGCCAGTACGGTAATGCACTGCAAGCTGCAGCCGTGGTGGGCAAACTGGAGATGGTAAGCACATTACTCGATGCAGGGGCCAGTCACCATGCTAGAGGTGAAGGAGATTGTACGGCGCTTCAAGCAACGTGCAATGCTGGACATGCGAATCTTGCTCGTCTGCTCCTCGATAGAGGTTCTGATATCAACGCTCGACCAGGCAGATTTGGGACCGCATTACAAGCTGCAAATGATTCCTCGAGATTTGATGTCTTCAATCTCTTACTTTCATATGGAGCTGACGTGGCGGTCCTAAGTCCACAACCCTCTGCAGAACAGGTCAATCGGAACCAGGGGAGCAATTCAACTATCCAAGCCCCAGATATAGAAAATGGCGAAGGAGCCGCTGAGCCTTCCACCAGACTTGCGAGCCCACATAGTAGTGAGCCCACATTTCCAGTAGTCGACTCATGTTCCATCCCGGTGGTCAGCTATGGTTTGATGAGAGACAACGCTGCTGGAGATACAGAGCCTCAGTGTAGTAATGCCGCAACACCTAGAAGCCCATCTCAAAATCAAAGCAATTTGCCAAATGCCGCCAACCCACTTCCACCGAGGACAAACTATCACCTACCTACACATACACGTTTTCTGTCTTATTCTCAGGATCCTACAACCCCACTAGTCGATAAACCGGAACATTCACTCAGCAGGACGGGTGAACAAACACCGGCGTGGAAGACCTCAGCACTTAGTAATGGCCACCTTCGAAGCAGATCTTTGAATCTATCTCACCATATGTATACAGTTGCTATTATCTGCCCTATGGCTGTCGAACTGGCTCCAGTTGAGGCTATGCTGGATGTTCTACACCCCAACCTTCCCACCAGCCGACTCGACCACAACGTTTATAGCTTCGGCTCTTTGGGTGAACACAACGTTGTTATTGCAGTCATGCCTGGCATCGGAACTAATAGCTCAGCAGTCGTTGCGACGCAACTCCTACATGATTTTCCTTCAATCCGATTTACCTTGCTGGTCGGGATTGGCGGCGGTATTCCGGATGATGAAAACGACATTCGACTAGGTGATGTCGTTGTGAGTCGACCGACCAATATATTTGGAGGTGTGGTTCAGTATGACATGGGCAAGTGTCACCCTAATGGGTTGTTCCAACGCACTGGGGCGTTACGGAAACCGCCTCCAATACTGAGCGCTACGGTCGAGAAGCTGAGGTCGCGACACTTGCGGGATGGAACTCAAATTACTGAGCATCTGGTGGACATGATGACGAGGTTTCCAAAGCTTATGAATGTCTATTCGAAGCCTGATTCAGAGCACGACCGACTGTTTCAGGACTCTTGCAATCATTCGGCAGGGCAGAGCTGCCTCGAATGTGGTCCAGAACACATTGTAGCACGGGAACCACGCAACAACCCCGATCCAAAGGTACACTACGGGACGATAGGCTCAGCGAATGCCTTGGTGCGAGATAGCCTTACACGGAACCGATTGAAACAAGACTCTGGTATAATCTGTGTGGAAATGGAGGCGGCGGGTCTGATGGAGACGTTTCCGTGCCTAGTGATTCGAGGAATCTGCGACTACGCGGATTCACACAAGACCAAGATCTGGCAACCATATGCTGCTGCTGCCGCCGCTGCCTATATGAAAGAAGTGCTGCTTATGATCCCTCCAAAGGAGATTGTAAGGGAATCCCGGGCAATTGACGTCTGGATCTGACATTTGTCTGTCGACTACTAGTATCTATCTTGTGATCAACCGTGTCTTGCCACAGATATCTTATTAAAGGTAGAGACAAGTGGTCTTCCGCCTGTCTTCCCAAAGAAACTTTTTACACGAGAGGCTTCGCTGACTTCGTATCAGTCTGCAGTCTGCAGAGATACTACAATGGCGTAGGAAGATAGATCACGCAGTCGCCAAGAGCGGCGATATGCCTCCCTGACCCTCCCCAGAATGGACTGCATTGACACCCAATGAGATGTGGCCCGGCCAGCTGACCTCATCAAGGAAGCACCCAAATTGTTAGTCATGTGTGCTTATGTAATATTTCTTTCCTCATCGGCGGACTGAATCCCGGGCACGAATAGCATCGAGCAGATCAAGAGGAGATGACATCCCCTAGGTCTGACAGAGATCCTTTGTAGTAGTAACCAAAGTAGACTTCGAATTCGCTGGGAATGATCGGCGGAAATACTTTACTTACCTGTCTACGACCACACTCGTTGGCCAGCGCTTCTCAGCGTAGTCGGACATCTAATTGCGTATCATGCAGAGTACTGTTGATTCAGTAGTGTCTAGGTACTAAGTATGTTTGCTTGAGACACCGGTATACGTGGGCCCTCTCAAAGCAGTGATAAATGCAAATCTACTCCCAGCAGATCCATGCTACTATGGCCTAAACTTGAACGTCAGGCGTCCTAATAAGCTCGGAGTATGCGTATTTCGTAAACTCCGGCGTACTCGGAAGACAGAAGATGCTGTCACTTAGTAGTACATAATGGGAGGGATACCTTGGGCAGAACAGTGGCAGGTCAGCCTCGACCACAGCAGAACGCAAGCGAGACATTCAGACTTGAACGAATTCGAATTCGGGGGCCAGCATCATGACGATAACAACCATACCAGCTCCATTGCAAGGCAAAGTCGCGATCGTGACAGGAGGAAGTAAAGGCATAGGTCGAGAGACGGCACTTGTTTTCGCCCGTAGAGGCTGCAGTCACATAGCAATCACTTATGTCCACGACCGTGCAGCAGCAGATCGGGTTCTCGACGCCATTCGCCAGATCAATCTTGAATGCTGTGCCGTGGCTGTCAAGGCTGATGTTCGTGAGCGGGACTTCGGTAAGGAGGTCGTCCAGCAGAGCATCGAGGCGTTGAAGGTTGATCGCATTGATATCCTCGTCTCCAACGCTGGAGTGCAGGACATCAATGACCACACCACGGCTTCGCAGATGACGTACGAACATTTCGAAAAGGTCATGGTCGGCCAGGCATGGGCGCCGCTGCAGCTTTCTCTTGAGGCGATCAAACACATGTCTGCCGGAGGGCGAATCATCATGAACTCCTCGGGCTCCAGCAAATCGGCCAACGGCGATCCGTTCTTGATGCACTGCTGCAGCAAGGCGGCGATGGACTCCATCGCCCGTAACCTGGCGGTCATTTATGGGCCGAGTATTGGCATCACTGTCAACTCGATTGGCTGTGGATGCACCGACACCGAGTCCTTGAGGAATTCAGTTCAGACTTTTGGGCCCGAGTTTGGGAAGTTCGCGGAAAACATGAGTCCTCTGAAGCGGCTTGGTAGGCCCGAGGAGGTCGCGAATATTATTGCCTTTGTGGCAAGTCCAGAAGCGAGCTGGATCAATGGTAAGTCTTTTTATGGTTCTGGTCGAGGTAACATCTTGTAGTGCTCACATCATTCTAGGCAATCAAGTTCCTGCGAATGGTGGTATGATGCTAGAACTGCAGGGCTGAATTGATGAGAAGCTTGAAGGTTGGATCGTGTCAGGTTGTGACGGTCAGAGATACTAAGTAGCTGTCTAGGGCCAAGTCTCGCCAGGGTCGGCGGTGCTGACTCTTCAGGGTGCAGAATACGAATAGGCTCCTCAGTCCATGAAGTCGCTCCTGTCAGCTTCACCTCTCTCCAATGTTGATTCGATTGTGCACTCAAGGAATACTGAGTACTAGTAAATATTCGCCTGGACTAGGATGCGTTGACAACATGTACAGATACGTTCACCAACCATCGACAGTCGGATTCTTCGACCAGGATCGGTGCCGAGGTCCAGGGACCTCCGTCTCACCTAAAGTTGGATGCAGTGGCTCAGTGAGTTGGTACCAGGAACTCACATCTGCCGCAAGTGTGGGGAAACGTTTGCGGATATAAATACTAAGTACTTGACTTTACTAATGCAGCGTATCCGCGAGTGATATCATTGTTGCCGGTAAGTCTACTGATGTGAGTGAGTCTGGGTGAATAAAAGCAAGCCTCTCGCCGAGCCCGAAGTTGAGAATCTTACCACAACCAGCATCTTTAATCAATATAAATTTGACATGGAGGCGTACACAACCATTCCCCAGGCGGCAAAGCTCCGCCCCGAGAGATACCACCTGAATATCCCAGACCAAGATGTCTCGGACTTCAGAGAGTTACTTCGCTTGTCGAAATTGGCGCCAAAAACCTACGAGAATCTCAAGACCGATGGCAGTTTCGGAGTGGACCACGAATGGATGTCCAAGGTGAAGGAATATTGGCTGAATCAATACGACTGGTATGTCTGTCCACTGGTGCAGGGCATTGGGGTCGTTCGGCTCCCGAAGGCTTTGCAAATCTTGCTCACCCGCTGCTGCAAAATAGGCGACAACGGGAGGAGTATATCAATTCTTACGCGCACTACACTGTCGACATCGAGGACGAGGGAGAAACATTTAAGACTCACTTTGTGGCACTGTTCTCCAAGAAAAAAGATGCAGTTCCCCTGCTCATGATGCATGGCTGGCCAGGTCTGTTTCCTCAGGGAGGGGGAGAACTCCTAGTCTAAGCCTTTGTCTGACCGTTTACTAGGCAGCTTTCTCGAGTTTCTCGAAGTCATCGACATCTACCGCAAGCGATACTCTGCAGAAGAACTGCCTTATCACATAATTGTGCCTTCTCTTCCGGGTTACACCCTCTCATCCGGCCCACCTCTGACAAAGAACTTCAATCTAGAGGATGTAGCGCGCATCATGAACAAACTCATGGTTGGACTCGGATTTGGCACTGGCTACATTGCCCAGGGAGGCGACGTTGGCTCATTTTTGTGCCGTATCCTAAACGCCTACTATGATGAATGCAAAGGTACCTGACCCCCCAAACTCCAAATTCCAGAGATCTCGTTTTCTGACAGCCATAGCTATCCACCGCAAGTTCATCTCCGTACTCATGAACCCACTTGCTTTCGATCTAACCTCATGCTAGTGAATTTCTCCATGACATGGAAGGAGCCCGAAGGAGTCGATCCAAAGGACGTCAACGAAGAAGAACAGGCGGGTGTACAGCGAATGCTCAAATGGGTGACGCATGGCTCGGCATACACGGCCGAACACCGCACCAGGCCCGCAACCATTGGCTTTGCTCTCTCTGCAAGTCCGCTGGGATTACTAGCATGGTACGACAAAAACCAACTTGCCCCATCTAACCAACCTCCTCCCCTCCCATCCACAAGAACTAACAGTGATTGATGTGCACAGGATTGGCGAGAAATTCATCGAATGGTCGGACGTGACTCCATCCTTTGACCAGATACTTGACGATCTCACCTTGTACTGGTTCACGGAGACTTTTCCCCGTTGCATCTACCCGTACAGACCGGCAAGAGACCCCGTTGCTACGATTGCTTTACTGCTATTCATGTCAAGTCACTAACTGGGGTTATTCGTACAGATCGATCCGGCAGTCACCGACCTCCCGCACAGCAATCCAAAGTACTACTGCCAGAAGCCGGTGGGGTACTCTTGGTTCCCTCGAGAACTCGCACCGATGCCAAAGGCATGGGTGGAGAAGCAAGGAAATCTCGTCTGGTATAAGCAGCACAACAAGGTCAGAATCACCCGCTCGTTCCAGAGTCTCAGCATACCTAGTCCGATCTCGATTCTGGTATCAATGGTCTAACTCGTTTGCTCAATATATAGGGCGGTCACTTCGCTGCGTTGGAGCAGCCAGAGCTCATTGCCCAGGACTTGGATGAATTCGTGCAGCAAGTCTGGCCCGTGAAATGAAAGAAACTGATGGCCGCAGTCGGCGCGGTCGATGTTGTCTCCTAGACGAAGCATAAATTTCATTCACTATTTCATCAACGGATGAATTATTCCAGGCTACAAGTGTCATGCATTGTGCCTAAATATTGCAGAACAAGAGCTACAATCCAATTGAAAATTCTCAAGGGTTCTGTCGTCTTGTCACTAGCCATATGGCCCTTGAGTTCTAGACCGCAGCTCTGTCAAGCTCGTCATCTGTATGGGTTGACTCGCCATCCAGTTGTTTTCTGATATCCTTTGGGTGCTCCGGCACCTGCCATGTTAGGTAGGACGTTGTGGGTACGCAGAGAATGAACATGACAAAAGCCACAATCAAATTAACCATCGGTGAAATCTTGGCTGCACCAATTCCAAATGAAAGACAGCTCCCGACGGATTCAAACGACCGAATGATACCCACCGACAGCGTCAACGTCTCGACATCTTCGAAAAATGTCCCTACGATCCAGTACACGAATATGTAGTGGGACTCGTTCATGAATCTGTCACAGTTGTTAGCTCGTTGATCGAGGTTTTGTGACGGACTCAGCCTTACCGGAATAACACATTGACTGCGAAAGCACGACCAAATTCTGGCGAAAGCCAGTCAATCGTGACTTTGGTAGGCGAGTCCTCGTACTTCTTCTCGTTCGCAAATTGCCAGGCGAACAATGAAATCATGATGGTTGCAAAGACCGCCCAGGTGATTTTCGCAGCCTTCGGGCGGCTAAAAATCCTCCAGTCGAGGAACCAGCCCCAGAAGAGATCGGCGATCGTAGCGGCAATACCAGAGGTCAGAGCTCCCAACGTGCGTGCCCGGACTGAGAAGTACTTGGTCATGTAAATACTCAAGTACGTTCCGTTCCAGTTATAACCGACCAGGATTGGGACGAGAAGAAACATCTGCTTTCTCTTGAGCAGTTTCCAGATCTTTTTGAACTCTGCGGTGACCAACTTCGCCCTCGTCGGATCTGGAACTCGAGTCCCATCAGATCGAATTGCCTTTCCGGGGGGCGAGATCAGTAAAGCGAGTGGAAGTCCGAGACATTGAAGTGCAATTAAGACGAGATAAGTGTTGTAGCCAACTTTTCCTGTCTTTGCCGACTTGTGGTTCAATGAAAGCTGAATGGAGGAGCCGATGAGTTGACCAAGTTCTCGCAGACCGAGCCAAATTCCCGCTACAACCCAAGTTAGCCTAGATCACACGGCGTACTCCAGGGTGTCCCACGACCCTCTTATAGGGCTCCCTGCCCCTAAGGAGAACTCACTATAGATTCCTCTGTCCTTCACCGTGGGATATCCAAGGGCGATTGCGCCTTCAGTTGCCCACAAAGCAGAAGCAGCAATCCCGCAAGTAGTCGCTCCGAACAAGACAAACCATTCAGTTCCATAGCGGTTGTTGACGTACAATGCCGCTGAATATGGCGCATAACCCAAAGTACCGATTATCAGCATTGGCTTGAGACCGAATCGATTGGCCAAAACAGCAAAGATAGAGCAGCCAAAAACCATTATACCAAAGGTCAGTGAATTGGCACCGTTCACCAGATAAGGCTCTTGCTGACCACCAGCACCAGTATCTTTTGATGGGCAGGTTAATTTAGTGATACAGCAAAGATTGCAATGTTACTTACTGTTCAAGGCATTCCAGATACCCGGTTGTGTAAAGGATATCAATCCCACAATGATGACATTGAAGAGGGTACTTCTGTACCATCTGACCCACTTGGAACGAGGTAAGGGAGCTTGCTGTTGCTGGATCTCGTCGGAATCTCGTGTTGAAAGCTCACTGTCCTTCAATTCCGCAGACACTCTCGCCGCGAGTATGTCTTTGTCTGCGTCAGCCATGATTTAGTTTCCCGTTTGGATGAATGCTTGCTAGGCGGACAAATGGTATACTCAAGCGTTGGTGACTTTAAGCTTATATGTTTCAATTAACAGTCTCCATTCAGCCCGGCGCTAGCAGGAAATTTCTGAGTTCCAAGTCGATAATCATGGTGCAAGATCCGCTAAAATGAGCTCAGGATCCGCTGAAATCACACGTGGGAGTCCATAAAATCAGTGTTGGCCGACAGCCACCGAAGGTGATGAGCAGTATTGCCATCACAGGCGTTACTCCTTCTTCCTTAGGTAGGACAACCCGAAATAAGCGGACGATACCCAGGTGGTATTTCGCTCCACTATTTGAGAAAAGCATTACATGCTCGCATTTGTATGGCGGTATTCACCCCGAGGTGCCAGATATGTCGATAGTGTAACCATGTCGGCTACTAAAAGGTTGATGCATTGGGAAGGAGGATCAATGAGCGCCACAAGTGACCGGGCGGTTCCCTTGGCGACCTGGGTTTGTACGGTGCCAACGCCGGCTGAAGTACATGATAGAGGAATCACCGGCGAGCTAGACTTTTCTGGAACGCTGACTGTTGAAGAAACGGGCGGATAACGTCGATGGCGTGATTCAAAGTCAAATGTTGCAATGATTCGGGCGTATCAAGTATAGAGCATGAGCCTGCTCGCAGAGACTTGCCTGTGTAAGGTGTATGCTCTGATAAGGAAATAGCAAAGGACATTTACCTCCATCATCTTCTCCCTGATATACCCGTGGTGTAAGAGAGAGGTCTGGCTGAAGTCAAAATGGCACCAACGACTGTGGAATCTCCTCGAGCGCCTACGGTGGGCCACACGACCGCATCCCACGAGCCAGATACCACATCAAACTCAAATCCTGCATTTTACGCCACAAATCGATACAAGCTGGACTCGCTCCCACTAGAACTCGCCCCAGCAAAAGATTTGACATTGGATCGGAAAATTTCTGCGGCATCGCGGCTCGCCGCCAATGGCACGATTCGAGACCTCCTCACCAATCATGGAGCCGTCCACTTCAAAGGACTAGGTTTGAAGAGCGCCGAGGAATTCTCACGATTTGCCCAATCGTTTGGATGGCGTCCACATGAAGACATCGGAAACCCTGTGCGAAGGACTGTCCTCGCGTACAATGTTGCAACCGCCAACGAAGGTCCCAATACTCAGCCAGTGTACCCTCACAATGAGTTCGGATTGAGTCCACATTATCCTGCTTATGTATTCTTTTACTGTCTTTCTGCTCCCGAGACCGGTTCGTAGATCTCCCCTAGCATCGAAACCGTACGATATGACTGACAAAGTAACAAGGTGGAGAAACACCTGTCAACAACTCGATAACCTTGTATGACAAACTGAAACAGCAAGTTCCTGATTTCATCAAGGTCGTGGAAGAGAAGGTAGGTGAGATATCCAGGAAGATGGTGCGTAGCTCCGCTCACTGGAGGTCGATGACCAGGGCGTCCGCTACCAGTTATTCTATCGCAATCGGCCACGAAGTGACATAAGTTCTCCCGGAACATCCTTGCTGCAGTCTTATGGCATAAACGTCCTGGATTCCGATGACACGGAAACCGCACGTTCGAAGATCGAAGATGAAATACGGCGCCTCCCGACCGCGACCTGGCAATGGGAGAACCAGTCCCCAGACAACAAATTGGGAGATTTGCGTGTATTTCAACGCCTGCCTGCAGTTAGACGACATGAGCAGACTGGGAAGCAAGCTTTCTTCAATAATGTCATCTCCAGGTATTTGAATGCTAAGACAGCAGGAACACTTGATCCTCCGTACTTGAACAAGGATGGCGACTATCAGCCTCCAGCATTGGTAAGCGATACTGAAGTGAGCAACGGCTCTCGATTGCTGCAACTGACCATGTCTCAATGCAGTATGCCGACGATACACCCATACCCCATGAATATCTCGAAGCTGCTGTTCAGATTGTGAAGTAAGTCTCATTCAGTCAGGATCATGAGGTCGAATTGCGTTTTTAACTGGATTGTAGCGACACAAGATCTCTGGTGTTGTGGAACACGGGCGATGTTCTCTTGATAGATGTGAGACTCTCCAGACTTGTAATGAAGCGCCGAATTCTGCCATGTCGTGTTGGCGGAGCTAGATTTGACACTGGTTTATATCCGAGACATGAGCTAATTCCAGCATGCAGAACCATGCCGTTCAACATGGCCGAGAGCCTTGGACTGGGTAAGTGCAACTTGTACTCTGCTTCGAGCCGAGCCGTGAACACCAATTTGTTGACTGATAGGTCTTCCAGTGACCGGAAGCTGCTCGCAAGTCTCTGGGACGAGCCATCTGTTGGGGTGCAGAAGTCATAGATATCGGATTCCCATACAGTCTTTGCCTTCCTTGAACAAGAACTATCACACCAGAACCACTGTCACTCGTTTGGTGTAGCAGGCTCGTAAAGATACTCAGTGAGCATCTCAGCAAATCACGCATTGCGCATCTGGCATCACTGAAGCCTCCACTTCTTCCCAAATCAACCTGCAGGGGACTTCACACTCACTGTCGAGCCAGAAAAATTTCTTCATCTTGTTTCGCACCAGCTTCCAGGATTGTCCGCCAGATTCTTGAAGCTCACTTACATTTCCAGGCACTGCATATGGGACGATGTCAGTTGTTAGGTGTTCGATGAACCACGCTCTCTCACTCAACTCTTGCGTGAGCCAGGCACCAACAATGGTCGCCCAAAGCAACAGATCACGGTCTACACTGTTATCATAAGATCCGAGTAGGGTCTGACAACAAGTTAGTATATCGCGCAACCGCTTTGCGTAACCTGACGTGACAGCCTGAACGCTGTGGAGGTTTGGTAGGAGAACTACGATCTGGAAGACCAGCGCAGAGATCCGAGACAATTCGTACAAGACAATATCTCGTGAATAGTATCCAACGGCGGATGTGCTTGTTGGTGAATCGTAACCTTGGGATCCATCAAGCCATAAATTGTCCATGCTAATGAGTTCGTGTTGATTGAGATTGCGTGCAAAGATGATTTGTTTGATGCTAGGTGCGTCTGAGTCACATAACTGGTAGCAATTGAAGCCGATAACGATATCGCGCATGTTTCGAAACACATCGAGTAGATGTCCTGCTTGGGGTAAGTCCATAGAGGAGAGGAACTCGAAGCCGAGGATAAGTTGCGATGACCGCTGGAATGCTGAACTGCGTGTTGAGCTTGACGGCCAGGATTTTATAACAGGTGCCGATGGCATCAGTAGTGGAAAGTTCGGTTTGGACTGAAACATCATTGCCGTGTGAGTGTCAAAGCTGATGGTCCCGTCAGTATTCCGTCGAAGAAGACTGGAGGAGTTGGCGGAGAGGGAAGTCAACTGAAACTTACGAGGCTAGCGCAAATACAAGACCAGGAACGGAGATTTCCCGCAAACCACCCTTCTTTTGAAGGATACCCATCAAAGCGTTCATATGCGTCCATTCATACTCCATGCTGGCATAGAACTGGGCATCTTGAGCGGCAGCGAGCGCTCTTTTCTCCCTGTGGTGGGGCGCCGTCACCTTCTCACCACTCCCGTGGGAGGCAAGAAGAACCATGGCGAATATCACGTCGTCCGCGCACATAGTGTCTGGGGAGCTCAGCGCCTTGCGCAAAGATTCAAGAGCTTTAACCTTGCAAGTTAGGCGCAGAATCTGGCTTTTCCGATTGTCGACCGTTGGTGATTGGTGGAATGCCTTATGCGTTGCACCGGCAAAAATAAGGGTATTGAATAGCAAGGGCGAATCAATGGCCAGATTCATGACCGATCTCCTCACCACATTCAAGGCTTCTATGCTGTCATCGGGTGCAAAAAGTGACCACTGGCATGATATTGCTGTTGGCTAGCGTCAGCAAAGCTTGGTCCTGCCGATGAAGAACTGATGGAGGATGAAATCAACAGCGGGGGTAAAAGGGTGATTCAAGAGGCCAAAAGCGTTATTCAGAACTCTTACCATGATCAAGCATCTCGTGCACCATCAGTGGCTGATTCGGAGCACAATAGACATCGAAAGGGTCTAATCTGCCAGCCCCGAGAATTGTTATCGGGCTTGTCCTCATTTGTCGCTCTTCTGGCTCATCATCCACTTTCCACTCGATGAATTGTCCCCTGGAGTCTGCAGAATCCTGAACTTCGTGGCTGGAGACTTTTTGGTTCGACTTCAATCGCTGTTTAGTCAATTTTGCTTTCCGATGATGTTCCCGAGCCGCATGCTTTTGGTGCGATATCTTAGGCCTTGCAGGCGCATCCGAGGTGGCGTCGGAGGTGGGCTTGTAGGGCAGGAAAAGTAGGCGCATCGTTGTTGACCTGATTTTCTTGTGCTGTGACCACACACGACGAGGCGAAGGTCAATAAATTTGGTTGTCGTAACTAATGGTGTCTTTCGCGGGGTTTCTGGTCGGCACGGGATGGTTTGCGACCACATTTTCAGCCTGGCTTGTTCTAGACCCTGCCTCAGCTGAAGGTGGGGTTCTGCTTTTGGCAACAGTTCCAAACTTTGATCAACCATTTCGCATTCGAAAATCTGTCAATCCCAAGCTCTACTTGAGAAAACAAATACAGGCAATGCTATAGCTCATGTCTCCACGAGGCAGCGCTTGCTGCAGATTTGATGGCCACGTAAGAGTGCAGGGAGGTTTGTTCGTCGGGAGTGCATCATACATTTGAGATGCCTGGTCTCATCGGTCAAGAGGCCCGTAATTCCAGAGTTTCTTAAATTCATCCACAAGGTCCTTACTTTCAAAGAAGATGCCTAGTTCTTGACTCGTCTTCCAACTTGCAGCGTCCATATTGCCACTTCCGAGCAATATTTTGGCTCCGTCAACAATAGTCACCTTCGAGTGTAACTTGATCGGAGTGAGTTCTTTTGCATGCTCCTGGACTCTCTGCGCTCCGAGGACGTCATCGAAGAATTGGGTAGTCAATGAGCCTCTGTAGCCTCTCGTTCTCTGGGCCAAATTGCGCACACATCTCGGAGTAGTTGTACCGGCAGTTACTATCTGCTCCATGGTCATGAGCTTTCGATTCGTCCAAATATGAACATCAACACCTCTTTCCATCGCTTGGACGAGGTCATTGATGACGACGGGTTCCGTTAGGTTTGGGGTGAGCATGATGATCGACGATTTTGCCGTGAATAAGAGATGGTGTGTCTTGCTTAGTAATGGAGTCGATGGAAAACTGTGAGGAATGCCGGGGAAACAAGGTAGATTTCCTAACATTGAGCGTGGATGGAGATGATTTGGAAGATAGCTCGGCGTATGTGGTGATGGCAAGAGGGTGGTGTCCACGTGAAGATGGCTGAAGACTGCTACTGCTGGTCCCTGATGTACCAAAGCTCCGATATTCAACTGCTGTGGCGAGGACTGCATGGAAGGGAAAGGGCGCCCCCTGTCCCAAAAGTCCATGTGGAAAGAGAGCAAATCTTCGACGGCAGGTCCACACACCGACACTGCTACCTCAAACCATCGTTCCCAAGACACATTGCACGATGGAAACACGGCAATTTCGCGATCAACAATCACATACTTGGAATGGATGATACCCAGCGGCCAGAAAAATTTGCGTTTGATAGTGATGTTCAGCCCAGGGAGCTCATCTTGTTGAGGCAATCCAAGCTTGCTCCAAGTCGCAGGTGGGTAGTTCTGACCATACTTAGGCGTCGGCAGTAGAAGTTACGCGCCAGCGAAGAAGATGAGAAGTAAATCCGAACAGATATCTTGGAGAAGGATGCTGATGCTTTCTCCGACAAGTGCCGAAGTGCATCATTGATAAGGGTGAGGGTTTCAGACTTGGCCCAGAAACACGTTACCAGGATGACCTCTTTCTGTGCAGCTTTGATGGCAGGAATTATGCTGTTCTTATACACAGAGAAGCCAGTTCCGACAACCAGAGACAGTGGTGTGCTAACAGAAAGTGTAGAGGGGTCGAGGTCAGGCAACAGACGACCTTCCAGGCTATCGCTGGCCCGATGGTTGGTTTGCCCCATACCTGGTTCGGCCATGTTGATATCCAAATCACGTAAAGGTATTGTTTCAATTGTCATTTACCAGGTACGAGATCATTGCAGATTATGGGGATGGTAAGGTCATGAAAATGTGAGTGGCTTGTTGTTGAAGCTTACGAGGTTCCTTGGTCGCAGAAGCGATGGTGTTGGCGCCAAGGAGCTGACCCTTGCTATCGCCGATTTCGAACCACTACAACTAATGCGTCGTCCATAGGGAATCTGTTCATTTCTACGATCTGCGATGCGTCTGAGGATGGCAGAAGCTATCATGCTCTGGATTAGGGTGTGATCCCAAGTGGCAGTATAGTGGAAGCATGCTCTTGAAGACAAGGATGTCCTAACGCGAGGCGCGACATTTTAGGTTTATGCATGACGTACGAGGATGATCATGAAGCCCTTGCCTAACCAAAGTCTTGGCATCAATCTGGCCTCCAATTCCAATTCTGGTTGTCTGAGGATCATCCTTTATCGACGATGAGAGTTGGTCGCAGCTGTCCAAAGCAGAATCATGGATCCAAGTATTGAGGCCTTTAAGCGACGGCAAGATCCTGTTAGAGTGCCAAAAGGGTAGGAGCACAATACACTCATAATGTTGAAGGCACTGACATGCACAGGGGTCCAATGTACGATGCAGTCCCTCAACCAGTGGCAGTCAAATTCTACCTGCCATTGAATATTGCATTTTATCTGTGTCTGGTTTCCCATGTCGTTGCTGCTCTCTACGCTCCCATTCAGGATTGTGATGAAACCTTCAATTATTGGGAACCTTTGCACTATCTCAATCACGGTTATGGACTTCAGACATGGGAGTATTCTCCGGAGTTCAGTATTCGAAGCTGGGCTTACATTTCATTACATGCCATACCTGCCAAGATCATTGCATTGATCAGTGGGTCTAAAGTCTCCGAGTTCTATGGCTTGCGTATTCTTTTGGCATTCGTCTGTGCTGCCACCGAAACCAGACTATATTCGGTCATATGCAGAGCTCTGAACCCAAGAATCGGTATCATATATCTTTCTATCGTGGCCTTCACTCCTGGTTTCTTCTATGCATCTGCAGCTTTCGTGCCATCAAGCTTCGCCATGTATACATCAGCATTGGGGCTGACATCGTTCATGGACTGGCACGGTGGGTCCAAGACGGCCACTGGAATCATGTGGTTCGGAATCGGCGCATTGCTGGGATGGCCATTTGCGGGTGCTTTGATCGTTCCATTCGTCATCGAAGACTGGCTCATCGCTGTTGTTGGTGGAGGAGACTTGTTTGAGATGTTCAGACGATACCTCGATGGCGCCGTTCGCTGTCTGATAGTGCTTGCTCTGCAAGTTGGTATTGATACGTTCTTCTTTCACAAAATGGTGGTGGTGTCCTGGCAAATCGTGGCATACAATGTCTTCGGTGGCAGAGATCGAGGTCCGGATATCTTTGGTACAGAGCCGTGGCATTACTATATTCGCAATCTTTTATTGAACTTTAACATGTGGTTCATCTTGGCTGTCGCATCAGGACCATTCTTCCTGTTTCAATCTGCGATTTTGAGACAGAATTCGACCAAACAGACCTTCCTCCGCACCCTTACATTTCTGACACCTTTCTATCTTTGGTTGGCCATCTTCAGCCTTCAACCGCACAAAGAGGAGAGGTTCATGTTCCCAGCATATCCTTTCCTAGCCTTGAATGCTGCAATCACATTCCACTCATTTTTGGCCTGGGTCGGCTCAACCGACTCCGTCATATTTGGCAAAATTCCTCCGAAGCTCAAGCTGGCGACGACCTTGACGCTTGTGTTGCTTTCACTCAATATCGGCCTGATCCGAATATTCGGGACGCTCACTGCTTATCGCGCTCCCCTCCAGATTTATGGTGCTCTGAACTCACCGGGTGCGGTGCAAATTGGGGACACCGTCTGTTTCGGCAAAGACTGGTATCGGTTTCCATCATCGCACCATCTTCCGAACGGCACACATGCCAAATTCATCAAGAGTGAATTCGATGGACTCCTCCCCGGGGAGTATCATGAAGGTCAAACCGGATTTGGCTTTTTCCCAGGAACCTGGCTACTTCCCTCCGGTATGAACGATCTGAACCAAGAAGATCCGGCAAAGCACACTGCGGTCGAGCACTGCACTTACCTTGTGGACACTTACCATCCTGGAATGGAAGCAACAAAACATGAGCCATTGTATGCTCTGGAGCCAGAATGGTCCAAAGTTGCATGCTACCCATTTCTGGACGCAGGGAAAACCTCACTACTTGCACGCACGATTTGGATTCCTGACCTATCTGTCATACCTGCACGTTATCGTCGGCATTGGGGCGAGCACTGTCTCCTCAAGCGAAACGATCCTGCACGATATGTGAAGCATTGACATTGATAGATAATAAGGAAGATTATCCAACAGCTCGTTGTAACTTGCAATAAAGCGAATTCATGACAACGACAACGAAATGTAACTACCCAGGATTTGGAGTAGGAAACCTGCTCGCGGTGGCATACCCGACCATCCTGGCACTGGCCAAAAAGTGCGGAGATAGACCATTGCCCCAACCCCAATGCGGTCATACTTTCCAGAATCACGACGATTTCATTGGTTGATCTTGACAGCCTCTTGCGTGGTGGAAACGATAAGAGATGGAGCAGACACAGGGTTATAGGTGATAAGCAAAAACCCGTTGACCCAGTCAAGCGAATGCTGTAACTTGCACCCGCCAATCTTGGGATTGCTCGCGGTGACTATTCAATTGAAGGTCCAAGCGGCTGGCCGATCAACACCACTGGAGCAGGAAAACAAGTGCTATATATCCTCCAATGCTCAAGTCACCACCTCAACAATTTTCACTAGCCATGTCGGTGTGTTCACACAGTTCCAGTATTGTAACCTGGTCTTGCCCCTTGATGATCCAGAACCCGTAGACTTCACAATCAATAATGGACACCGAGGTATTGAAGCGGTCCATCTCGGACCTGGTTGCAAGGTCACAACCGTACATCGACGAGGCAAGCCAGCATCTCCAGAAGACCAAGACACACTGTACATCAGCATTGAAGAACGCCCAGACCGATCTCGAAAAATTGTCGAAGCAGCGATATTTCAAAGAGATACTGTACGCGTTCCTCCTCTTCGCACTCGCCACCATCACACTATCCAAATACCTCTCGAGACGGTACAACCGAGCACACCCCTCACGACCATCGACCCCAACAGTCGAGAAAGCAGGCTACACGCGGCGAGAGACAGTGACTCGCGAGCCAGGGACATGGACGCCATCAACATTCCAAAGGCCCAAGCCGGCACCCTACCCAGATTGGTCGATCGAGACGACGAAGCCACTACCCTACCGGCCGTTCCGCTACAAGTACTTCCAGACGATGGGACTGCGCAGCGCGCAGTTCGAGGACTGGGTCGAGCTGGACAACCACTACCCACGGTTTCACGGCGACAAGGCGCGACGCATCATCGAGCGCGGGCCCAAATGCTGCCACACCGCGCCCGAAGCATACGCGGCTGCTGTCGAGCTGCTCGACGAGCTCGTCGACTACCTCTGCGACCGGTACCCGACGCTGTACCAGCACAGCGAAAAGGGGATCAAGAACCTATGGTCCGGGGAAGACCTGAACACCAAGTCGCGGCCGTTGCCCGAAGACCCGATGCAGACGTGTGCACGGCTCACGCAGGACGACCTGGCGATCATGATCGAGAAGCCCGACGGGCAGTACTACCTGCTGGCGGGGGCGATCCTCCTCGCGGGGTTCTGGCGGCTCGAGGATAAACTCGGGATGCCGTTGTCGGAGATCCACACGTCGGGCGACGTGCCGCAGTACCGCGAGAAGCTGGAGAAGGGCATGATGAACTTCTTCCGGCGGCTGAAGCCCGAGGAGCTCGTCGCCCGCAACAACTACTTCATCCAGGTCGACGACGACCTCGCCTGGAGCCACTCCATCGGCAGCGAGGACTCGGACGGCATCAGTTGGAACACGGCCGAGCAGGACCGCGCCATCGGATACCATTATTTCCGCTCCGAGCGCCAGACCCTGCGCCGCCTGCCCAGGTCCGGCGGTGTCGTCTTCACCATCCGCACCTACTTTCATCCCATCACCGAGGTCGCCCAGGAGGATTACGTGCCCGGGAGGTTGGCCTCGGCCATCAGGAGTTGGGGCGACGACGTCGGGAAGTATAAAGGCAAGAAGAAGTATCAGAAGGTCTTGCTCGAGTATCTGGATCAGAAGCATCAGGAGCAGTTGGATAGAGGTCTGAAGCTGGAGGAGGAGGACGACGTTAGGACTTACCCCTGGTGAGCATCAAGTAGTGATGATTATGATATTGATGACGGAGCACAACAACAAGGAGTAACATCAGATATTGGGGATTACTCCTCTAGTCCATGTAGATAGGTATTGAATGGATATATTGAGAATTACCAACGGCAAAGGTGTTCAGTAGCTAGGTACTAGGTCGGTCTCACTCGAACCTCCGCAATCGTCCGCCTCGAGTTCAAAGTTTGAAATGTGCACATGGATTGGGTGTCATAAATATATGCAACGTTTTCGTCTTGCGTCCAGGTTCCATCGAGATATAATAGTCGTGTTCAGGGATTTCATCAAGCGGGCTGAGCATTGCATTGCATTGCACGAATGAGGATCCTCGCTGCAAGCAACGAGCGGAGGAATATATACCGATTTCGCCAGTTTTGTTGGCCGCAGGGGAAAAGCCACAACGCACATATATTTGATGCAAAACTCGGGCTGTCGTACTTTCGCCAGTTGCAAGCGTCAAGAAAGGACTCCATCCCCTTTAGCAGCTGCATTCGCGTTTCGGCGGACGAGATGATGTAGACAGATATGGAGAGTGGCTTCAATGATCTGCAAAAATCAGAGCGGGTTTGGTTTTTTTCGCCTAGTTATGTCGCTTGATGATGCGGAAATGCAGCAGTAGTGTTTCTGGGCCGCAACCTGTATACAGAGGTCGATTGCAAACGAGGGTCAGCAATGCCGACAAATCCAATGCCAACCAAAGGTTGTGGTGTTGGGGTGCCATCACCAGGCTTTGGACATTTCGCGCATTTCTAAGCCCGGAATCTCTCCCCGGCCATTGAGAATGAACCCAGGTCAATCCACATACCATTTGTGAAGACAATGGGCACTGTTCCGCGATGGCATTGATGGCCATGATCATGCCAGAAATATTCTCAGACGTAGGCGAGGAGATAAACTGCAAGTTTCACCACTATACATGACTCCTTGTCACCTCATCACCCACGACGCCGATGCCGACACCTTCCTCCCGGATACGTCTTCTCTCCAAACTATCGTTTAGGGCACGTTGATCTTGTTCTTTGACCCAGGCACAACCGTCACGAAACTCGCAAACACGACACTTCCATGCATCCGAAAGCACCACGCCCTTTGGTTCTCGCTCGCCTCGCCAGAAAGCCAATGTATCATATAAATAGCTTCTGAGAAACGAGGGATTGAAGATGACGCTCTTGGAGCCAATAATTTGCGGCTTTGAAGGGTCAGTGCTGGACATAAGTCTTGAAGAGAGATACTGGGCCGTAAGAAGTGGAGACAGGAGGGTTGGTAAGGTCGATTGGGGTGGATCATCCAATAATGTAACGGATTGAGGTGTTGCACTTGGTGGCTCATGTTCGCTCTGTGGATTTGAACTCGTATTTTGGCTTGCATATGTAGAGGAAGCCGTCGACCGAACCATGAATGTCTCCTGCAACTGGCTTAGCATGTACTGCCAGAGGCTTGAGATATTATTGTGCTGAAGGATGATGTCGATTGACTCCTGAGTCGAAGCGACAAAGTTGTCCTCCGTCAAATCGACTTCCATATCGTTTTCATTCGAGGAGTTCACGAGGTCGAAGGCTTCTTGGTTGAGATTTCCGATTTGTGCAATGAATGAGTCCGAGAATGTCTCGTTGACGTCAAAGTTGAACCGTGATGACAAGTGTTCGAGTGGAAAATTTCCCTGGGCAAAGTTCTCCAACAGATGATGATAAAGGTGAAGCTGGACAATTGTAGGTCGAATGCTTGAGCCAGAAGGCAAAGACGAAACTCCTCGAGTCTTGACATCAGTGATGTAAATTCGTCTATCGCGAGCTGCATTGTTGGAAGGCTGTACATCTCGGGTGGTCTTCATTGTGAGAGCATCTGCAATTGACTGTCCCTGTTCACGATGCTCGCTCAAGATCAGGTATTCCCTTATACTTGCCTGATACCCAGGCATGGGAGGTTCATTGTCTTGTTTTCCCATTGATTTGAGACTCTGCTCCTCAAGTTTGGGATCCGGACAATCGTAGCTCAGCTCATCAATGACACCATTGACAAGTTCACCACCCACTGTTCCCCAGACCTCGAACTCACGAGTTCTGCCAGTCTCTCTCAAGGTCTTCAGACCATGTATTATGTTCCACAGCCTAAGGCCCCAACTGTCTTCCTTTTTCGTGATCGTCACAGGGACAGTCACATGAACTTCTTCTTCCAGAACTTTGTGAACTTTGGTTCCTTTCTTCATAGCCGAAGTGGGTTTCTTGCGCCCAGTCTTACTGCTGATTGTATAGAAATATTGTAGCTCACACCAGGCGGGGGAAGTGAGGTCTGTGACAGAAAAAGGTTTCTTGGGAGGACGTCTGAATCGTTCGAGGGGAGACCTCGTATCATTCAGTGGTGTTGTTGGCTCTGCTGGATTTCTGTCCAAGGGACGAGATGAATCACCGTTTGGTTCGGGGGTCCGGTCCTTTTTGTCTTCAGTGTTGGTTAATACTGCAGCTAATCGCTAGGTCAGCAGGTCAGCAGGAATGATGCGCGAGGGGAGCAGGGCATCAATCATGGCTCACCACTCTCGTCGCATATGATCTCGACCAGGCTTGACTGGTATTCCTGATCTTTGATCTGGCTTGAATGATTCCATTGCTGAGCAGATTGGAGGTCAAGCACCTCAGGCAAGTTGGGGCTGCGCGGTAATTCATAGTCTTCGATGTCTGTAATTGCCAGGGACACAGTTTGAGTCGAGGTAGACTGTTTCGCAATCGCTTCTTGTAGAAGATGTTCGATCAAGGCAAGTTCTTCTGGATCAGCTCCAAAGTCACTGAATTCATCGTCATCGTATTCCAAGTTTGTCTTGTCGTCTGCCTGTGCTGCAACGACTTGCACTTGCAGTTTGTGATATGTAGACTGCTCGGGAAAATTGGACATGGTCAACTTGAGAATGCAGGAGAGGCAGTCGGTAGAGGGTGGCGTATCTATGCGTCATGGAATCAAAAGGCTGCCATGGCAGCTTCACATTTCCAGTAGCTACGACTCGAATTTAAAGGGAGCCGAAGTTCACATCTTGGGCGGTAAGAGGCACATGAGGATTTCTCCATGATGCCCGCCGTGTTCAGGTCCTTGACTGAATCGATAGGTTTAGATACTGCTTCTGCCTGCTCGATCAAGTCGCGTGTTTGCTCGACGCGTCGCGGGGCTTTCTGGTCTTGCCCTCCACTAATTAGAAAACGATTTCTGCCACAACTTGTAAGGCCCAATCAATAGAATTTTGGTATGCTGGATTGAATCATTCATATCTCTAGTGTCCAATTCTGTCTAGTTTCTATGGTCACGCAGCAGGTTCTTTGCCACTTTGCTGTCGCCAGCACTTCTTTATTGTCGAGCAATGTCTGCTTCTCGCATCAACATAATCCACTCTCCAACAATGTCAATGATATGACGAGTATTATTGCTGATGTCTTTGGTGTTGTTCATATCCCAGTCTCAACCCCAAGAACGACCGGTCCTCCCAAACGCCATATCCAGAAATCACCCATGCCCGAGCATTCTTCACTCGACATTTGTTCCCGCAGGTATAACGGGATGGCTCATAGTATCGGTCGCCTCTTCAATCTTCTCTTCCTTTCTGTTCAAGAAGCTGAGGTAGCACTGCCAGGCAACAGCAAAGATACCCGAGAACATGAATCGATACTGCGCCGGGACAAACCAGAAGCTAAACGCCGTGACCGCAGGCCACAACTTGAGAGAATTGACAATGCTAACCGGTACCGTGGCAGCGATCCTGTTGATTGTCCCCGTGGGTCCTTCTCCTGTGAGGATGGCCTGCATGCCGAAGAAGTAGCTGTTGAACACGGGCGTGAAGATGGCTTGGTTGACTGTGACCTTTGTAGCGATCGAGGCGACTTTAGAGGAGTAGTTGAAGTTGCGGCCGAGGAAGAGAAACCTGTGTTCATTCTTGTCAGCCAGTATTTTTCAAGATCATGTCCCTCTCCCATACCATTTGTACCCCGGGATGGCCGCGATGGCACCAATTGTCAACATCCTCAAGGTCCTATTGGGATCATAGAGTTCCCCTCCAATGTCTTGCGCGAGTAGATCACCGCACAAGTAGGTCGTCAAGGTCGTACATAACTGAACCGTGTAGGGTCTCTTGGTTTGCATTCGATGGAACCAGCTGAAGAATGTCGACACCGGACCCAGACGATGGTACCATAGTTGTATTGGTATGTCCACCGGTTCTACCTTGGCCGAGTCACCAGCGCCGATCCCATTCTGTGGCTTCGGTGGAAGACTGTTTCGTCCTGGTGTTTTGGCTGGTGGTGAGTCACCAGGATTGGTGCTGGATGAGTGTCTTTGGCTGCGGACTGCTGGGCGACGATGTCTAGGCACCCTCAGAAATGGCGATTGGGCACCAAATTTGGAAGATGCCCGCTGTAGAGCATTCATGTCAAGGGGAATATCATAGTTGAGAATCTGCAGATGTCTTGCATCGAACGTCTGAAATGTCAGATTGCGAGGAAGATTTCTGCAAATTTAGTTTGGTTCCCCTCCAGCTGAAGACCATTGGTGCGAGTTTGGAAGTTCCGAGGGTGTTTTCGGGAGCCAACGTGGAAATCATAGGCTCCGATCTGCTGCCGATGACGAATTTCAGGGCTACCCCAGTGCCCAAGCTTTCTGTTTTTAGGCATTGGATTGCCCTTCTCGTCAGAGGCTTGCCCCTAACGCAGGGGCAGATGATGCCTATTTCCACCCCTGGACTGCAGCAGTGATGTGATTTTCCCATCCATCAACCATCACAAAATCTACTCTCTACGACAAAGGATTCTACGGGCACAATGCAGAGGAAGGTCAAGTTCTTGATGTTTGGACGTGATCATATTGAACGTCTAGTTGTCTGAGGCGCCTGTCTGCTCAGTCCAAGTCATATCACTGTGATGACTGGATTATTTGATGATTTACAAGCAGAAACGCCGAAGTCCCCATACCCCATAATGTGGTGTTTGCCAGAAAAGCAATACAAAACCATGATTGATCATCCCATTCGCCAAAGCACTCATGAAACCCCCGTACCCATCATGAACATCCAGCTTCCCAAGAATTGGTGACTCATTGCTGAAGTGAATGGTTCATGTCGTTTGTCATGTCATCTAAGATCGCTCACCACGAAGACGGCGGGCAAGTTGGATATCCTTGGATTGGATAGTGACACGCTTGGCGTGGATGGCGCAGAGGTTGGTGTCTTCAAAGAGAGAGACGAGGTAAGCCTCAACGGACTCTTGGAGAGCGCCGATGGCTGAAGATTGGAAGCGGAGATCAGACTTGAAGTCCTGGGCGATTTCTCGGACAAGACGCTGGAAGGGCAGCTTGCTGTGTGGATGTTAGTCATGGTCAATGAGATGATGGTGAGAAGGTACTGACCGGATGAGGAGCTCAGTGGATTTCTGGTAGCGACGAATCTCACGGAGAGCGACGGTACCGGGCTTATAACGATGGGGCTTCTTGACACCACCGGTGCTGGGAGCAGACTTGCGAGCGGCCTTGGAGGCGAGCTGCTTGCGAGGTGCCTTGCCACCTGGGATTGTAGTTAGTATGAGATGCGGCGGTGATGATGATGAGGTATGAGTTGAAACTTACCAGTGGACTTGCGAGCGGTTTGCTTGGTTCGTGCCATTGTGAATGGAACTGATGAATTGATGAAAAGTGTTGTTGATGATGGATGAAGAAGATTGGAGATGATGAGTGAGGCTGACGAGGGAAGAAGCCAAGTGGTGGAAGTGGGCGGGAGGAGGAGGTATTTGTAGGGGAAAGAGAAAAGGCGAAAAGGCAGTGACGGGGCTTGGCGTGATCTGAGGCAAGGCAGTTGATGATCTCAAAGGGAAGCTGGAAAATGGGTGCCTTGGAAGGAGCAAAACAAAGTGATCAGATCAGAGCACTGATAATGATCCAATTTACACACGATTTTTGGCTGTGATTCAGAATGACTGCCAAATCATGACCTGTTTTGGGTTTAGTCGGTTGTCTGATTCCGTCACTTGGCGTACCACCTCGAGATCTCCAGCACCCGTTTCACCACCACCCCCCCGGCAGCCATGCTCTACAACGAATAATAATTATTGCAAATATTCTGTAAATCATTATCACATCTGAATGACTATAGTTGCAAAAGGATCAATTGATTCATCAAGTGGTGGGTGAGAGATCATCAGATCAGGTGGTGATTCGGCCTGGTTGGGCCACTACCCAGATTTAATTCTGATTGGTTGTGATCTGACGGCCCAAAGTTGATCTGGAACCCTTCGCTGGGGTGCATAAGTCTCCGCCCACCACGCTCCCAATCAACGGCTCCTTTCCTCTTCCATCCATCCATCTAAACTTACCATCTTCAATCCTCTCTACACTCTACACTTTTCAAATCTTCAAAAGCTTTTAGCTTCATACCTCATTCATCATGACTGGACGTGGAAAAGGTGGCAAGGGTCTCGGCAAGGGTGGTGCCAAGCGTCATCGCAAGATTCTTCGTGACAACATCCAAGGTATCACCAAGCCCGCCATCCGCCGTCTCGCTCGTCGTGGTGGTGTCAAGCGTATCTCGGCCATGATCTACGAGGAGACCCGAGGTGTCTTGAAGACCTTCCTTGAGGGTGTCATCCGTGATGCTGTCACATACACAGAACAGTGCGTCTTCTTCCGTCCCTTCCATCAACATCAAGCTAACTCCCTCCCAGCGCCAAGCGAAAGACTGTCACATCTCTCGACGTTGTCTATGCTCTTAAGAGACAGGGCCGTACCCTCTATGGTTCGTACTTGTCCAGTCTTCATTCTCATAACCTCAAAACTAACTGGCTCCAGGTTTCGGTGGTTAAACAACTCAATCTGTTCTCGACATCATTATCACGACATCAACCCGACATATCATGCTTGCAGTCATCCCTGGCATGGTGGTCTTCTTTTTGCTTTCAGTTTCGGAGTGGTTGGGCACGCAATGGGTTCTCAATGGGGCTTGCACGGTCAAGGTTATGATGGGATGGCAAATCAATAAAGGTGCCTTGATGTATCATACAGGCATAGTATGAGCAGCCTGAACGGCGTTTGCAGATGGACTGAGAGCCATGACATAAGCATCAGTACCAGTATGAATTAAATTGTCAAAGCAAACAACTCTTCTGCTTCCTCCGTCGTGGTTATCTTCTGTACGCTGCCTACGTTGCATGGCTTTGATGTCTCTTGGGCCTGGCTTGTAACTTGCCTTGCTCTCCGTGAAGCCGGCGCTGCCATGGTTCGGTGCATTTCCCTATCACTCGTCGGCATATCATTTTAATGCGCCGAGCATCGTTGGGCGATCTCTTCAACTCGGACTTTGCAGACGGCCGTTGCTCGATGGATCAAGCCGAGACTCTCGTTGTTGCCGCCTGAAGTTTGTCGTTGTCAGTTGAGGTTTCTTCATAAGGTTGGATCATGGCCATGTGACGCAATGCTTCTGTGCTCCGGCATTTGCCACCTTGTAGCCCTCGATCTAGACCACCAAAACTGTCCAATTTTATGGTGTTTAGGCGCCAGTGTATATACAAGACTTGCTGCGCCATCACAAGACATGGTTTACTGGCGCTCTGGTGCGCAATTGGGCATGTGTACGAACCTTTGCGCGTTTTTGAAGCCAACTTAGTCTCTCATTCTGCTAACCTCTGTCGTGCATCGCTCAAACTACTTGCAGACAGGCTCGCAACATTCTGCCACTCTTGTGACTAGGTCGCTACCACTATAATTAAGTGCTTGCTCGGTCTGCTTACGTCTTTTCCAGAGCGGCTTGTTGTGTCTAGAACATCTCCGTGCGAAGCCGTGGTTCTACCAAATCCAGATAAACCACTCGATTCGCAGCAATGCCGCAGTAATCCTGCGAGTGGTTATCTCTCTATGCACGTAATTCGAGCAGCAGCCCCGTACTTGCCTACCTAGGCAGTGGATAATGCGCCATTTCATGGTACGATGGGAGGTGGAATGGTTGTGACGTGGTGCTTGGATGATTCATCAGCCTCGGATGCTGAATATATTTTTTAATTCTTGGCGGGTTAACTACCTCCAAGCGCTGACCAGTTCGCATCGAACACAGTCAGAAGCATACACACATCATGACCAAATCACAAAATCTTGATAATAGTATTATGGCAAATTGCATGCTCAGGTGTTCCGGCGCAATGGGCAATTAGACAAACTGATTAGGTGTCCTGTCCTTGGTGGTTGCCTACTCGAGGAGCCCCCACTAAAATGGCGCTTGCTATCTCATACGAGCTGAGCCGCAACTGTCTACGACCCTCACCCGATCCGAAGTGACCATGCGAAGTCCGAGTATACGATGGCTATCTGAACCGTCTCCCCCAACGGAGCCGTTTCGCTCGAGGGGCCATCAGTATACACATGTAGATTACCATTACACTGGTATCGAACATTACCTGTACAGTCTTGAACGGGTTCCAAATGGGAAGTCAAAGTACAAGGCGAGCATGATTGCTACAATAATGGGCTGAAAGTACATCCGAGTATGCGACTGATTATTAGGTGACAGCCCAACAATCGTACCCAAATATGGGTGCGTGCAATGAAGGCACAGCTCGGCCACCGACGCCTTGACAACGTTTGAGAGCAAGACTCAGCTGCCACGGGATGTTTCTCTCTCAGCGACATGCAACGGGACGCACCAGGCATAAACAGTTTCAGCCATGTATAGCTGCGATAACTCCATGCACGAAAAGTCAAATACATGCTGTTGCTCAAATGGTGCTACTCGAAGACCGGCTCTGTTATCGCCGGGTGGAACTTCCTCAAAGAGGGGCGTTGTCCCACCTCAAAAAAGATACATGGGATGGTCACGGGACCCGCAGTTCACACAGGTCGTATCGAGTAGCCCATTCGCACAAAGCATCCCAATTCTCATGGACGTGAGTTTCGGCGACAGAGGACACAGTTGCGTGAGCTCAGCTCGCATACCAAAAAACTGCGTTGCCAGGCGTGCTGAGCATGAAATCCACTACGGGGTACAGAAGTACATTTTGGTCGGGAGAGTGGTCCCACCAGGCTGCAGCCATTCCAAGGTTCCCCAGATGTGGCACATATGTGGCGGTGCTCGCGCTTCTGAAGATCACTTGCCAGTGCCAGACAGACGTAAGCTGAAAGCCACGCGGCCAGACTATTCTTCTGTATCCGAGCTTGCGCTGCAGACACAAAGAACGTTTCTATTCGACTGTTCGCATCCTGATAAAACAGGCCAGATGATCGATTCATCAAACGGGTACCAAACCCGGCTATGCTCACGAATCATTGCCTGTTTTCAGGTATATTGTACTCGGATTGCCCGAGAACAAGGAAGGTTGGTATCTTGTTACAACAGAGACCACGCATAGCCATGGATATCGTTCTAGGTAAGTGGGACAGGATATTGAAATTTTCTGTCGAGATGCAAATCTGATAAAAGTGCATCTGCCGAATCAAAGTACGAGACACAAGCATCTGCCTTCCTCATCAGGGTTAGCAGACAGGACAGCGAGGAGAAACCTCCCCCAAAGTTGTCCTCCAAGCCTCAGGCCCAGAAGCCATCGGACCCCTCCGACAATAGCCGACCTTTCTCCTTCTCGGCCTGGTGGCAGAAGATGCCCAATCAGACAGACCAGTCGGTCGATCAAAGTTTTTCCATCAGCTGCATGTTTTGACTCGCGTGTCAACTTGCCAAGGGCCACCAAGTTCTCTGTCCAGTGGGGGGACAGCCCTACAACCCCAAAGAGCAAAGCCCATGCTAAATTTGCACCAGGGTTGTGGGACGCAGATGCAACGGCAGCTCGGCACGTTCCTGCATGTAACTAAGTCGTAGACGAGGACAATTGAAAAATTCTAGAAGGTCATGGCAAGTGGGTCGTAGGAATGCATTCCGTGCATTACTGGCATCCACCGGGAGCCCCAAACTTGTCTATTGTACGGAAATGATCACCATATGTCTGAGACTGGTGTCTTTGGTGTGTCTTATCACAGCCCTGTCCTCGTACTGCAAGCTGCATTTGGATAGACGTGACAACAAGAATCAATACCTGAAATGATTGCCGATCATCAGACACACACTAGCTGGATACAGGCAACAAATGGGCCAAAGCAGCCGAACGAACCACGAGTCAGGAAACTCGCCCATTCAGAATTCAAGTGACCATACCCAAACATAAGGCTGGCTGGAGATCATCCGTGTGGCCGTGCTTGGTCGCGATGCGAGTACTACAGGCTATGTTTCTTGCTCGACTCAGCTGGCTTGCATGCAAATGACACGGATTTAGTCACGGCAGAGGACAGACTTGGTCTAAGTAGGCGAGCAACCATAGTGGGAACATTTGAATGCCATGTAGAGAATACGCATAATACACTCAAATAGGGAGCGTGGTGTACGAGGGGTTTGTCAAAGCGACAGGGACATGACTAAGGGTGTACACAAATTCTGGGAGCGGTTTTGGCGGCCGTCGCAACAATCTAGACTCCGAGGGAGGGAAGGGAGAGGGAAAGGTTTTCCACGGCGTCAAAAAACTTGGGTGACGGGCAGCAATGGGTAACGACGGCGTATCCGTACGGTTCCAAAACAAGAAATAACAGCAGTGGAACATCCCCTCGGATACGCTCGGGTTTTTGTTGTTCCGGAGGGCTGATTGGTTGGAATCAAGGCACAGCCACAGCTTGTGACGATATGATCGATCTATGTTGAGTGCATTATTGGCTCGTGCCAAGAGTCAGAGTTCTCAACATGGCAGGTCAGGTCGATTGTGCATTACGTGGAACTGTCGATCTTGGAGCAAAGGATAGGAAACCGATGAGCACAGTATATTGGATGCCTCGGATGAAAGAAATACTTTCTTTGTAAGGCCGGCGATAAGGGGAAAAGCCATTGATCATAGTTACGAGTGTCAAGAACAAGCAGGCGGAGGGAAAGAGTCGGGTCGGGTGCTGATTGTTTCGTCCGAAAGAAAACCGGGTGACCGTTGTAGGCGTGACTGACGGTACAGGGTCAGCTCAGTTGGGAGGGCACCCCGAGGTGGTATTTTTCCGCGACAAAGTATTGAATGTGACGATACACATTACTTGTACGGAATACGGAGTGCTCGGTTGGTAGTTGGTGGTTGAAAAGCAAAAATAAAGCCCGCAGGACAACGTATTGCCGAGAAGACGCCAGTGTCCAGTCGCAAGTTGCAGAGGCCGCAAGCCCTGGTCTGGTGGTTAATGCCTCGACCCCGGTCATGCTGGGCAGTGGGCACAGGCATGGCATGGATCTGATCATGGATGGTGTCGACGTCACCGAGAAAAGCCATGCAGGGTCCCCAGTTTCCGCTCGTTTGTGCCGGCTGATTGTCCATTCTCTCACCACTACCTCACCACCCAATCTATACGACGCTCGACTCAACACATTACATTCGCATTCAACCCAAAGCCCAAGCCCAAATATGTTGCTTCCGAATGCACCTTCTCTTTGCAATCCTTTGACTGCTACACTTACCACTATTGGCTTTTTCACACTTCACGCCCGTACCAACGCCGATACCTCCGCCCACTTGGACTCGTACATTCTTTAAACCCTCCCACTTCCACATCTTTCCACCCCCATCTTTCGTAAGCCGTCTTCGTCCGGCCTATTCAAATAACCTCGCTCTCGCATATACATTTGCCACTTCATCCTACTTTCTCCCATACCACTTCCTATTCCGAACAACAGTCCACGTACGACTACTACTCGCTGCCTCGCTATCCATTACCAAGCACAGGCCTACTATACACATCTACCATCGCTGAAGGCCTGATCCCATCCTTGCCTCCTTCATATTACTCGTCTCACCCGCACACACCCTCACACACCCATCTCTATCAATCGATGCAAAGAGCTTCTGTCAGTCCTTCTGTGCGCATCTCTCACTCGAGCCCTACTCCCACTCCTGCTGCTACGGCGACCAGCCCGCAACCACCCATGCTGGCTCAGAGCGCCCTTGTAGGAGGGTGGAACGACGGTTACAACGCAGGCCCTTTCCTCAGCGCCCTGCCAAAGAACTTTCAAGAACAGAGATTCCATAAGAGAGGCTCCTCCGGATCTTCTGTCACATCGGCGGGTCCACCTTCGCCTCTTAATCATAATACGATATATCCACACGTCGCCACCTCCGATTCAACTTTTCCCACACACTACGACTTCGACTACACCCAGACTCCACACACTGCAAAGTCAGAATCAACAATCATGTATCCTACAAACACTGGCTACGGCGCTGTTGACATGAGAAGAATACAGTCTCAAGGTGTGGATGATCGTGGGTCTTACAACCTGTCTGCACCGCAGTCTGTGTCGACCATGAGTCACAACTCCCCAGCGACACCGCATACAACCTTTGAGCCAGAGTACGATGAGAAAACCCAGCAGATTTTTGGTGAGATGAGCGATGTCGACGAGCATTTGTTCGACTACTTACAATTTGATTCAGGTTATCACCCAACACCAGCATATCAGCAGTCACTCCAGGATGTCTTTCCAGACCAGCAATACCAGCAGCAGCTGTCCTTCAACCAGGCACAGCAGAGTATGCAAAGACTGAATGTGACACCACACAGGCAGAACATGATGGCCGATAGATTACAGGCAGCACAGCAAGATCATCTCCATCCTGGCGCCTCGACTTCAAATCCTCGTCAGAGATCTCCATTCAGGCAGAACTCACCATACATGGCTGCGCCTCAACTGCGTCAACCTCCTGCTACACTACAGAAACAGCGGACGTCGATTTCACCCAAGGAGTTGATGCTTGACGAGCATGATATCGATGACAATGCTACACCGTTGTTCGCTCCATCTCATTCTCAGGATATGTTCGCCACTCAGCGCACCTCATCAAACCTGTCGACATTCTACACTCCAGACCAGTCCATGCAAATACCCCAACAGTATCCATTTGTGAGTCAGACTGGCCGCCAGCAAATGAATTCCGGTCTACAAGAAATGGTACCTGAATTTCCTGCTCACATGATCTCAATGGAGTCGACTGGTGATGAAGGTCCATCGGAGCCTTCGAGTCAACAATCCATCAGATCAAGGTCGCAAGCACAGCCTGTCTCACAACATCAGCAACAACAGTCACCACCGGTACAAAAACCGCTTGACACATCATCTGACTCAGGAACATATTCGTGCACCTACCATGGTTGTCACCTGAGATTCGAGACTCCCGCCAAGTTGCAAAAGCATAAGCGGGAGGGGCACAGGCAAACGTCACCTACGTCATCGCAGCAGCAATCGCCAAATCTAGCCCTGCGGAACTCGCAAGCCGGCCCCCACCGATGTGATCGGATAAATCCGAGCACTGGAAAACCTTGCAACTCAATCTTTTCTCGGCCTTACGATCTTACCCGCCATGAAGATACTATCCACAACGGTCGCAAACAAAAGGTGCGCTGCCATTTGTGTACTGAGGAGAAGACTTTCTCGCGCAATGATGCACTTACCAGACATATGCGTGTGGTTCATCCCGAAGTTGATTGGGTTGGTAAGCAAAAGCGCAGGTCGCCAAAATAAAATAAGTAACAAAAAGCTTGAGTCAGTCTTCGGTCAGAAGCAATACTGCGGCTGAAAAACAACGACTACGATTGGCGCAATTCAACTTTGTGAGGGATTTCGGCCACTTTGGCAATACACTTTTACCCGCATAAAAGGCGGCCTGAGGGCACAACTGTATGATTATCATGAGGTTTTCTCCTTGTTCATCAGGCGTTATGTGGGTTCTTTGGTCCCATTGATCAGCGACATGAAATGGCATTTAACGCAAACACTTTTTGGAGAGTGTTGAGAGCGTCAGGCAGGTCATGAAGCATGGCGCAGGGCGCATACGGCAGCCTGAAACGAGGCTACGATATAAGTTCACCAGCGGGACGGTGGATGTGGATTTTACGAGATTGAAATGTCTTTTTTATCTTTTTGGGCTTGGGATCTTGCTCTTACTTTATTTCTTTATACGCGACATCACCATCAGGACCGGTCTATGGACAAAGAAAAAAGCTACTTGCTCGCCATTTTTGGGTTATGGGACATGAAAGAAACGATAGACTGTATAACACTCACTCTTATACGCACCGTACCGACGCGTGCTTTGGGTCCTGTCTCTGGGCAGCCCTACCTACATAGTTGGCTGAATTTGCAGATAATGTGGATTTTCTAAACCCTCCACCTTGACTCGGATTTGTTCCCATGTAGAATTGCATTTACTTCACTTGAAATTTCTCCAGTTTTGTCGTCTGGGTTTAGTTTGATTGAAACTGTGTAGTCGGGGGATTTATTTGGGCACTGCCAGGTAGGCGGGTAGGTGGATCCAGCGTGGATGGATGAGCCTTCTTTTGACCTTCCTTCCTTGCCCTGCTCCCCCAGATTTTGCTTTGCCTGTGCGCGCGCCGCAGAACTGAGTGCCTCAGGCAGACCAGGAACAGACTGTCTTCCTTTTTTTCTCTCTTCATGCCACGTGACCGTTCGGGGTTTTCGTGCCACTGGGCTGGCTACGTTTTTACAGAACACCTACTGGGTAATTAATGCCTATGGTGATTATCGATGAGCTGATGAGTCAGAGCTGTGTGGGAGGGTTACTCGATCTATATTACATGATGGTTGGAGGTACAGTGTGTCAATTCATTCGTGGGTTGGATTTGACTTCTACGGTCCTAAGTTGGATTTTGTGGAATATAATTATCATATTGTTCTCACGAAACCCTCGCCGACATTTCTGCCCTTTCAGACGCAACCCTACTCAGCCCCCCACCCCCAAATTTGCTCAAGGAAGAAATATATCCGATGCAGACAGGCATGCAAGCATGGTAGGTCGAAACGCTGACATGCTACACAAAGACTTGAAATTGTAACATTGATCTCAAACAAACCCGTCAATCACTAATCAATAATTGATGGGGGGGGGAAAACCCGACGTGCGCCCTTTTGGCGTAACAATGGAAGACCCACCGGCACTGGCTTACGAAATCTACTGCATCGGGGTTGTGCTTGGGCCGTGGACATTGAATGAATAATAATAATAATGGCGGTGGTGGGGGGCTTGACTAAGTCAGTCGCTCCTCGCTAGGCTCGCCAAAGTTTATTTCCCGCGGGTAGGAGAGTTAGTTAGGTAGGTTGGAGGTTGCGTTTAGCCGCCGTAGATTTCCCCTAAGGTGGTCCTGTGCCCTGGGCCCTGGGCCTTGGGTCCCGAGGGGGCATGTGGGCACGGCGAAACACAAACAATCCCACATGTCCGGCTTTGCTGTAATCGGGAAGCAAACGAAACAACCCAGAGATTTCCGAGATCAGAAGTTAAATTTCGGACACTTTCTTTTAGTGTTAGGGATCCGAGTTGAGTAGTTGCAAGGATGCTAGAAGAAAAACACGCGAGGACGGCGGTGCGAGGAAGGGAAAACTTAGCCTACCTATCTGCTTACCTTGCGGTTGAGCGGAAACGGAGGGACGGTGAAGGTGGGCTTTGCAGCCCGAGGTGTGAGTTTAGATGGGAACCCAGCGCCCATAACTTTAAGATCCCGATATGCAGACCACTGCTCTGCTGGTGTCTCCTGACTCGGGATTCTTTCATGGGGGATGGAAATACGATGAATTAGTACGCCAGGATATGGGAGGACAAGAGGCCTACCATTCCAAGCCGGATGTATTCTGCAAATGCAGGCTTTGTGGAATGTTGAGTTGATGTCGGACGCTCATTTCAACACTCTTGAAGGTACTACCAGTAGCTCGCTCCACACGGCAGGGTCGAAATGAGAGGGCTGCTTTTCCGAGCAAGACACGTTCATCAGAAATCGTTTGAACTTCGTATCATCTGCCTGGGGCACATACTTATTTGAGTAGAAGTCATCTAAACCGTGGATGGAATAAGCACAGTTTGACTAATTTTTTCTCGCTGATATTGACAACGGGTGCTTCGTGTCGAGGTTGGTTACCTAACGGTCGTTGGAGAACTCCGTTGCAAAAGTCCCTAGGCCTGGGATGACTTGAATGTTAGCTCAGCCGCCTAGGCCAAAAAGGAGAATTCAACATTCTGGCCAGGCCCTCATCGAGTTCGGCCATTAGGTCGTACGGAGAGTAGTCAGCACGCTCGCCGAGTTGTGTTCGTATCGAAGATTGTTGGCATGCAAGCTAAGCTGGCTTTGTCCACCGAAGGGAAGCACGAGTAAGAACCAGGGGATGTCCCACTCGAAGTTTCGAGATCGAACTCGAAGTGACTAGTAGGGAGTTAGTGAGCATACGGGGAGCATCCCGACAGGAGACGAAAAGATGCACATGCCGCTGAGGACTTGGGAAATCTCGAAAAGTAAAACGTAAACACGAAATGGCCAAGCATTGGGGCACATTCCCGATAAGGTCAGGCTTGTCACTTTGTGAGATGAGAGCGGAGAAAAGGTGTAAGAGAGTTGGGACATGTCGAGTGAGAGAGCTCGGGTATTTTGACAGGGCCAGCAAAAGATCAAGCGGATGCGCGAAAATGTTTATTCAGTGCCTGTTGATGATGATAGGTCATGAGTAGTCAAGCCACAAGCGGATGAATTCGTAGCGGTAGAAATCGTCGGGTCCAGTCTTTTCATCCAAGTCCATGGTTGGCTATGTCGGCTACTCGTGTTTGTTGTAACTTGTTCATGGTGACGCCTTCGGCAATCGAATTGATCTGTTGAAAGACGAGAGTGGCATGGTTTCGGACAGCTTCCACCGGGGAACGGCGAGCCTGCCACTAACGGTGTGGGAAATGTGGGGAGAGCATCCACTCGCGGATATTTTCCAGTCGTTTTTCAGCTAGAGAGCCCCACACAGATACAGTTACTGCGTGGATAAAAGCATGAGGGTCGGGTAAAATCTTCAGCCACAAAACACGAGTGTCGGACCGAACTTTGAAATCGACCATGCCATGTGGCCCGTAGGCGTAAATGTACGAAGTAGGAGAAGTCGCTTAAGCAGCCAAGTGGGGAGCACGGGTACGGCACGGAGGGAGTTGGAAGGTGCGACGGCTGCATTTTCCAAGTCTCACCACCGGCAACCACGGACGGGTTAGAACTTCAAGTTGCTTAGGCAGTGGCTTGGTTGGTAAAACAAGCATATAGCGAGTCATGGAAAGTTCAAGGACAAACTCTCCCGACTCTCAAACCGGCTGCATATACGAATCTTCCCCCTGTTGTTGCAGGAAAATTCATTTAGGATATGGAGAAAAGTCGGCATCTGGGAATGCCTTACCTAGTAGTGTATCTTGAAACATGTTAACGAGTGCGGAATATGAGACAGGAACAATACGAGTATTGCCGAAAGGGGGTGGTGCTGAATACGCTGCATTTACTGTCTATTCGAGAAAGAACGCGCATCTTGCCTGGGTATGAACCACGATGGCCTCCATGCATATCTCGTGAGAATCTAGTGACCACCTCCAGGATCCTCATGATGTGCAACGAGCCGACACTTTTGCAGGGTAAGCCTTGCGAGTGGCTCACTTTCTTATTCCGAACTATTAGATCATGCATACTAAGTATTCAACTTCAGGGCACGATTGCTCATCCTTCAAGGCTCATTAGAGGGAGGCTTCCACATTAGCTCCTTCGTCCAACTACCCAGAAGTACTAAGAACTTCGTTGCCCGTCATTATCGTCTGTCATACGACTCGTGTCCAACGTCACTCTGGTCATCCTGGCCGATGCTATTCTCCAAACCTGACCAGCACTTGCCGTTTCTGGTTCTCGGCTGGCAGATCTTGAAACATAAACAGATGCCTACTATAGGGCATACCTCATGGCTTTCCTGAAGGAGACTCAATCTCACCCATTCACATCACTAGTGCATACACTATCCTCCGTATCTCCCGGTCTGTTCTAAACCCGAATTTTAAACCCCCGAGTCCCGCCAGATCCGAATCTTTTGCTTATCACTTGCATTTTGTCAGTGATCGTACACACTTGTCGGTAGTATCGGCTTGAACACATGCCGTTGTTTGCTGATTCCCATGATTCAGAGCCGGGCGAACAACTTTAAACCCGAAGTGCCCAGCAGTTCATATCGCTCACTCCTCAGCACTTACCGAAAGCTAGCACGCCCAAACTTGGCGGGTCGCAAATTTTTAGGTAAGCATACTTAATAATTTTGAGTATAGCGACTTTGGAACTATCAAGTACTAAAGTACTACGTATATGTTTTACATTCCATATTCCATGCACGCTATTCATAAATACTTGTACCAAGTACTTAGTAGCTACATTTTTTGGCCCACCTAAGTTCTAGACTTTTAGTGCTAGTGTCGAATCTGAGGACGCCATTCGAATTCTTTCAGTAAGTAAGTACTAAGTACTAAGTACTACTTAGATCCAGTGTGCGTACAGAAAGATTTCTCTAAAACGGTAATTCCTTATAGATCGCTATACGGCTATTCTGATAGCAACTTAGAAGTAATAGTGTAAGTACATTAGACCTTAAGTGTATAATGCTAATATTTAGATCTTGTCACTACATTCAACCTAGACCTTGGAGCTAGATTTGGTTAGGATCGATAGACCGCTTGCCTATTTACGGATAAAACATGTTCTGTTAGGAAGGAATACTGCGTTAACTACTACTAGTACTTTTAAAGTAGGGACAGAGTAAAAGATTCCAGAATCCAAGTGCTCAATTTAGAACCTGGAGTCCTTTCTTTCCTTAAACTCTTGGTATTAGACTTTGCATAAAATCTGAATTACTCAGCCCTGCACAATTTTCTTGAGAATGTTCACCAGGTTATCAGGTTGGCTGTGAGTGGGACAATGACCGCTGTTGATGCTATGAACCTGGACCTCATTACCACTGGAAGCCTTGATCAAATCAATCATGGCTTGCTGGAACTGGGGCGGGATGATTTTATCCTCCTCGCAAAGAATATAGTGAACCTGAACATCGTTATAGCCGGGATAGGTGAGTTTCTCCTTGAAGCTCAGTGTCGAATGCACTGACATGCGGTTGGCCCACATCAGAGCCTTGTCTTCGGGAAGGTCGGAGAATGTCAATGGGGCGTTGGCTTCGACCGAGAGACTCATGTAGTCGTCCTGGGTGATCTCAGTGATCAGAGAAGAAGAAGGGGATCACTACTAAGTATCCGCCTTTTGGGGGATACTAAGTACTAGCAGAAGGAACTTAGGAGAACTCACAGCCACCGAGACGAAATCAGGCATGGTGCCCCCAAACAACTCAAAGTTCGACATTCCAACCTGCAAGACGACAGCCGTCAAGTAGATGACCTTCAGTACACCTCCACTCTTGCCTTGGGCGCCACGTGCTTTCGGCGACAATCTCTCGAGACTCTGCGTCGTTGGTATCCCGCCATATGAATGGGCGACGAGTACCACTTCCTTCCCTTGATCGATGAGCGGTGATACGACTCTCGAGATCTCGTTCGCATCATCTGTCATCGTTGCGGGACCTTTGCCTTCACGACGCCCCACCGAAGGCGTATCAACGACGACCGTTTCGAGACCGGCCTTTGCAATTACCTCGACGAAATCCGTGTAGAGATCCGCTGGAGCAAAAGAGCCTGGGACGAGGACGATTATAGCCATCTTGAGGGAATTCAAGTTGTTTTTATCACACAATCAAGTTGTGAAGCCCACAGGCAGATCACTGAGTATTAGCTAAGTACTAGTACTTAAGCAAGTATTAAGTACTTAAGTGGTGTCTTCACATGCAGAAGTAATATGTGCATACGCTGTGTTTATGGCCCAGGCAGCTGATCAGGCACCCTGTGCACAAGGAAATGAACTTTGAGAAGTGAGGCAACCTGCAGCTTGAAATAAAGCTAGCTTTGCGATGCCCATACTAACCTCGGCTGACTAGATTTATGCGACCTTCTTTATTCACCTATGTCGAAACGGACTCATGGCCACCTAGCACTTAGTATCGATTTACTAAGGAACTAATCATATGATCTATCAAAAGGCTCTTAAACTGCTTCCCAGCCGGGTTCAGGAGGATGAATGTGAGACAAAGAAAACTGGCTGACATTGCCGTGAGACCGCCTAGAATTTTTGACTGTCCTGAAGGTGAAAACGGGGCTATGTTGTATATCGATAACCAGGATGGTAGTCACACAGCCGTTCATAATCTTCATCCATATCAGGATCGAGCTCACCGGCCGCAGCAAATTCTGCCTGTCGTTGATCCTTCGCCTTGTTTGCACGGGAACAAATCCACCAGCAAGCAATTGCACTGAGAATGCCAATGGTGTAAACGCCGAGAGCAATGCCGTGGCCAAGAAAGTATCGAGGAGGGTTACGGTAAACCTGTGTGGCCATGATGCTGTAGCCTTGAATGAAAATCTGATTGATCCATGAAGCGGTTGCGCGCTTCGTGTAGCCACCATGAAACGTCAACAACCAGGCAATACTGACGACGAGCGATGGATATGCGCCGCCTGCGACGAAGCATGCACCAGCCACCAGAGCAACCTTATTGGTTGTCGCCATCAGGATGATAAAACCGGTTGCTGTGATGCCTAGACAGGTAATAGTCACCAATGCCCGCTGGTGAATACGGTCCGAGAGCCACGGGAAGAACAGCAGTCCCAGCAGTCCAAAAGCATACGGAATCATTGAGTAGAGTTGAGTCTCAAGGCGAGAGAATCCAAATTCCTTGATGAATGTCGGAAGGAATACTGAAAAGGCCCCAATTCCCACACCTGCCGTTCCCACCATCAGAGAACCTAAGTAGAGTTTTAGATCTTTGAACGCGATCCAGATCTGCTGAGGGCGCAACTTTGCATCCTTTGAGTTTTGTGCTGCAACATATAGTTAGCTTAAACCTGCCAGCATCATCTTTGAGAGTATTGGTGTACCACTTACACTTTGCAAACCGAGTGAGTATAGCTTGTCGATCCTCTTGACTTCGAAAAAGATATGAACCTTTGGCTGCGGTCTGCTCTGGAAGGCCGGGCAGCAAAAAGATAACCAACAAGCCGAACGCACAAGTGACTACGCCTTCAATGACAAACAGCCACTCCCAAGCCATAAGCCCGCTCTTATTTTCGAGGTTCTTGCCCACGCCATATGCTATTACGCCACTGATGGCTCCTGCAATGGGTGTCATCCCATAAACAGCGGCTGTGAACACGATTAGACGGGGGTTCACATAGGTGGAAGATCTGGAAGATCATACCCGTTCTGGTTGCCAACTCGTTGGGTTTGTACCACAGCGTGATGAAGATGTATGCATTTGTCGTAAATGCTTCCCCAAGACCAATGAGAACTCTCAAAGTCATGACTCCACCATAACTTCTTGCTGGTGGAATAATAGCTGCAAACACTCCAAAGACAAGAAGTGCAATGCCGAAGACATATCGAGGATGGAAGTATCTCAAACTCATTGCCGCAGGAAGCTCGATGAGCATCTAGGATGGAGTCAGCTTCTCCTCGCAGCAACAGCAGGTCATCTACGAAGTAAACATCAATCTGGGAACGTACATAGCCGACATCTGCAATTAATGCTATTAGAAAAGGCTCGATTGGCAGTTTCGTGCTTGTTTGTACTCACAGAACATCATGACGCAGTTATAAAATTGCTGGTTGGTGAATCCCAGATCTTTTTGCATTCCAAGGACTCGGGCATTGCCTATCTGTCCACGATCCTGATACCTATGTTAGACACGAAACGGCACCAGGGGGTTTCAACGGTGCACACTGACCAGGTAGCCGAAGAAGATACTCAATGAGAGTAACGGTAAGAGGACAAGGTCCAGCTTCAACCGGACACCCCTCTCTGCTTTTTCATTCACAACATCGTCGCCTGCAAGATCTGATGGACGGCCTTGTGCCAAGTCCTCGAGGCGGATCGCTTCTGCTTTTTCGGTATCCATGGAGACTGTTGAATTAGAAGTACTACCTTCCTCTGAGTTGCAAATTGGCGTTGCTATGAGGTAGGATATCGAATATTTTATATCAGCTCCGAACATCTAGACTGATCCGAACATCACCGCTGCTCGCTTCTCGGCATCACGCTAGATATTGGTGATGCATCTGCCTAGGCCTCTCCTGGGTGTGAGTATGGTGGGGATGTTATGGGGTGGCCCCGGGGAAGTGTTACACGTGACCGGACTTTGACGACCAAAATCGCATCTGGGGGTTGCGATACGGGATGAAGACAAGATGTATGCTCGGATTTTGCTCACGGATGAGCTATATGTCGAGTAATTAAAGTAGGCTCGGTCCAAGCTCGGTAAATCGAAGTTTCGAAGAAAATCGTCAGTGTGCTGTCTTAGAATTTCGTCGTCGTGCAGTTGTTGAAGCGACTGCAGCTCAGGCCCAGATTCAGAACCCTTGGTGTGGTGGGGTCCTCGCTGATGAAATGATGACTCTTGAGGTGAAGCCCAAGCCTTTGCAGGCAACGTCCATGCTTGGACTGTTTAATCTAACGCTACTTCGATGTTTGGTGACCTTTTCAACGGTATGACTTCCTCAAAGCAACTCAATCGTGTTGACCTACGCTCAATCGGGTTGACCAACGCTCAATCGGGTTGACCAACGCTCAATCGGGTTGACCAAGTTGATCCATTGTGCTCGGATTACCACTAAGGGTTTGTGGCATGGTTGACCAGTCATCAGGCACTGGTACTTCAGGAAAATGTAGAGGGAAATCTGTCATGGGAAATTGAAGCCATTCGACATCCCCAAAGCTGGCCACATCAGTCTCTGGTGTGCCCGTGAGATTAGCAGTGGGGGTGGTAGTCACAGCTGGCAACGGAGTCAGTTAACCACATAATATCTCCAGCAAAATGGGAATGCTTGAAAGGGACTCACAGTTCTCAATATCGTAAGGGTACGGCTCGTTTGTGAATTCTTGTCGCCACCACCAGTAGCTATCATAGACAATGCTCATCCCTAGTCTATTTCTGCACCTCAAAGTCAACGAGTCTCTCGTGCCATCAGGTTTGCGATATGCTTTCTTGCTCGCCCACATCTGCGGTAAGTAGACAGAGCCCCTCGCCCAGAAGTCGTCTGAGCGGACTGGTATCTTCTTGTGCATCTGAATAATTGCAAAGTAGCAGCTTTTTCCACGTGCAACATCTAGATTTTCTCGAGCACTACTTCTTTCAGTCCTCAGTATGAGTACTGCCGCCAGATGCAGATATTGAATCAATGGCAAAGGGGCGTAGTCACAGAACTGCTGGCTTTGTTCTAAGGATACAACAAGCTCGGCAAGATCGCAAGATGCTGCAAAAATTCTCTGGATTTTCGTGATATCTATATGCTGCAGCGATAGGAACAGATAGAATTGTAGCATTTGCAATGTTGCCGCTTGCAAGGTAAACTTGTCTGGAGTTCTTAGCTTGTATGCCGCTTTTGAGTCCGAGAAAAGCTTACCGATTGATGTTGGACACTCATGTTCGAGAGTTGATGCTGAAATTAGCCACTCTTCGATCGTTGTAACTATCCTTGCATCTCTCGCGTCCGTAGGAAGTGGTAGGGCTTGGGTTTCAATGCTGAAGAGAGCCTCTGTGTGTCGCTGGCCTAACACCTTTTGGAACCGAACTGAGACCGGCAAAGAGTCGTATGAGTTTCGACTTAAAGGGCGGTCATAGGTATCGGGAATCCAGATGGGAGGAGTACCCTTGATTGTACTCACCCTATATCGACACATGTGAGTGATGCATCAATGGCCCAGATGAATGTTCAATTCCCACCTTTGACAAGTGGCGATGCAGATACTCCAGAGCTTTGCGCGAAGTCGTCTCGATTTGTGATCGTCGACCAGCTTCTTCCGTGCAAAATCCTGCCCGACTCCCAAGACATGTAGACCATTGCTCATCGCAAGACCCAGAACTGCACCAGCAATCGTTGATGAACAATCATGGGAGAGCGAGTCAAATGGTATTGGCCAGGCACAGAGCAGTAGCAAAGCTTGTATGGTAAACAGCACTCCGTCCGTTTCCGTTGACAGAATGTTCTTCTCGACCAGCTCTGTCAATTTTGGAGCAAGTGATATGACAAGAGTTGGATCTTTGACGTATCTTCTTGAACCAATGGCGACCACTGTCCAGAACAATAGAACGGATTTCTCGTAGCACTCACGTGGTTTTAGATCGCTATCAACCACCGGTTGGTAGACAAGATAGTTCCTTAGAAAGCTTGATTCTGGTCAGATAGTTTGGAAAGCATATCTCATGGTGCAAGCGGTCACTGTGGAAGGCACAACGCTCCAACTTACGCATGAAAGCAATCCTGCACTTCCGCCTGTCCAACGGCCAAATCTCCAATTGTCCAGGACGAATTGTTCATGCTGGAAAATGAGCCTACCCCATAGTCTTGGTCAATCGAACGTGAATTCTGAGAGTTCCGAGGGAGCGTCATAAACCTGTCAAGGTCGGCGCTGGACAGACTGCTATCGGACTCATCGAAGCTGTGCTGGAGCTTGCTACCACCGGGCAGAGTGGCTTGATTCGTCGACTGGTGTAATTGTTCACGCAAAGCTTGCAATTCAGCTTGCAACTCGGATTTCCTAGGAAGGATTTGGTTCACAAAAATCATGCCAGCTTGCGGGAGTGCGCACCTTCGTCGCTTGACACGTCTGTACGTCTGTGAAATCTCACAATGAAGCTTCTGACGACTACAGCGCGAACATGGCAAAGACGTAAGCTCTTTTGCATCGCATTTAAGCTGGAGAGATCAGTTTTCGCTGGTGCTTTTAGGTGCATGATGATTTCTATACCTTCTGCTGTCGACACTCCGTACATGCCTTGACTCTGTTGCCTTTCACGGTCGAAGAAAACGAGTCCATGTTCAATATACCACCATCGCAGTGCTTCGAGTGGGGAGCTTGAAAGCTGATATCCTTTGGATGCCCATATGGTGAGGACACGAATGAAGGAGGTGAGTGAGGAAGCAATAGCGGCGATCAGGCCTGTTCAATGACATGGAGCAACAGGGACGGACCCCTAGGGAGCTAGTTCTAATTAGGGACCATAGTTAAACATCCCAGTGGCCTCGGCTAATTGAGTCACCCCCTGGCCTCTGGCCACAGTCACAATGGCTGCCGGTATGCTATCAAACACATATTTTGAGAATGTAGAAAGTATGAGTCTTGTTGACTTTGACAGATCCGATGCATTTATCATTAGGTATTCTAAGGGATCTCGTATGTATTCTAGTCAACCTCGAAACTACTATTCGTACATTAGAGACGAACCTGAAGCATCAGATTGTCAATCGTCTGATCAGACAGATGTTTTGTCCAATCTATGATCCCATCGATTCTTTTTCCATCGAGCAAGCCAGAAGTCAAGCCCTTAAACTTTCTCTCGAGACTGGACCATGTAACGGGTCGCTCTTCCTCCCACAGCAGGATCTCCGAGGACGCTTCAGAGAAATCACCATTGGTTTTCGTCACTGATAATGTGGTTGCAGTTGGATTGGGCACCTCTGCAACTACCACGGTGATCTTGTCCGATAGGATTTTGACTTTCTCATCATGCAAGTAATCATACACCGACCAGCCAAGGTTGCTACCATACAGGAAGGACACTGCAATTTGATAGTAGACGCTGAACTGGGCATCGACAATATTCTGCGGATGAATTTTGTTCGGCGTCGGTTCCCCAACGACTGGGAAACAAGTCGCAGATATTTTGACCCTGATAGACTCAACGCTGTCTCCATCTCTTGTGTCCTCAGCTAATTGATCAGCAAGCTCGATCATCCCATGAGTCATCCGACATGCTGGATATGGTTTCAGAGCAGTTTTCAACAGAGACCATTCGCTGCCCAACCCTTTCACTAGCTTGGTTGCATCGTAGTCCCCCGAATATGCGTGAAGAAAGCCAAATTGACCTTCAATGGGCAACGCTGATCCCAAGACACCCGCTTCTGCGAAAATGACAGCTTCGAAAGCACTCTTTGCAGCCAGTCCAGGGTGGAGTCTTTTGTTCCATGATCCGTTCTCTAAATATTGCATCGATCCTGCCGCCATGGACAAAGCGACTCCGAAGGCTTGCTGCAGAGTCGAAGCGTCGAGTTTTCGCAACTTTCCAATAGCCGCCACGGCACCAAAAATACCACAGGTTGAGGTGTTATGAAAGCCTCGCTTATAGCCTGTGCTTCCGACAGCCACACCCAGGCGGCAAGTCAGCTCATAGCCTACCGCCAGGGCTGCCAAAAAATCATCCACTCGGGACGATGAAGTCTCCGCTTCTGCAAATGCAGCAGAGATAACAGTGACACCAGGGTGAAGAACAGCTTCTATGTGGGTGTCATCGAAATCCAAGCTGTGGGCATGAGCACCATTCAAAAGAGCTGCATAATGAGGAGGCAATCGAAAATCTGTTCCAATTACAGTGGCATTCCCTAGACTCGTATGTGACATGGCTTTCACGGCCCGTTGGAAAGGGATGCTAGACTCGGGGATTTTTGATCCTGAGACAGCCATTCCGATGTAGTCCAGTAGCAGCTGAGAAAACTTAGCTCGCAATTCAAGGGTAACATCATCTGGGGTGAAGTCCACAACAAAGTTGACGAGCTGCTCTGTAATGTTCGATGCAACTTCACTACCCTTGTCGGTGTGGCCATTGGTGACAACTCCGTTCGAATATTGGGGGCCACTGGTACCATTGAGGTAGGGCTTTGAAGGCACCGCACCATTTGTTGAGCTGTGCCTGTCATCGATATCATTAATGCTGAATGAATCATACTTCTGCCGAAAGTCCTCGGGAATGAAGACATCACCCTTGAATAGATATCGAGATGTGCGCACAAATGACAATGTTCTGAAAGTCGGCAGTCCGCTGTCATGCGAATACTCTGCTTCTACTGAGATAGGTAAGATACCTCCTGGGTGTTGGATTTTGAAAGTAGTCGTCTTTGTGCCTTTGGTATCCAGCAGTCTGCCGACGATGGAGTCGCTGATCTTTGCGCATGCAGCAGTTGCAACCCCTCCTGTCAATGCCATAGCCGTGTGACATTTGTTGTCCAAGAATAGGCGGGACTGGACGTGTGCTTCGTGATCACTGGGTTTCGAAACCAAAACAATCATAGGTGCCATGGGTGATTCTTCGTCCACATTCTCCGGGTGTTGACATAGTCCAAGTTTCTGAGCGACAAAGCCTCGTAAGCGTTTGATCCTTTCGATTACAGCATTGTCACTGGTGAGATCAAGTGCCTTCTCTCCGCCGCTTATGGCAAGGTCCTCCGCATTGGCAAAGCTAATCAAGTTGCCGATGTCTACTGTAGTAACTTCTACAGTATTCTCCCCGAGTTTCAGATGGTCGACGACATTGCCCGTTGGCAGTAGCCCCTTCCCGAGCGTCCCACCAGCCAAGTCACGATAGTCCATCAGTATTGGAGCACCAGTGCCTGGACAGCCAGCAATAGCGTAGTCACCCAGCTCACGCGCCCTGCCAGTCTTGTCGTCAAGTGGCACGTGAGATCTCATTACTTTCTTCGTTCCGGTGTTGTAGATCCGTATCTCTTGGGTGTGAGTCTTTCCTCCGTCAGGACTCACGCCCTCCCGATAGGACTGCACGATGCCTTCATTGATAGCAAATGGACCGACACCTGCGGATATATTGCCGCAGTTTCCAGTACTAGAGACGATTGCATTCTCCGTACTGACTTGATAGAATGTGTAGTCGACATCGGCATGTTCATGTTGTGATGGCGCTATGACTGCAATCTTCGAAGTGACTATGTGTGTTCCGCCCATCCCATCGATCTGCATAGGATCGGGACTTCCCATGATTCTGAGGAAGAGAGCATCTCTGAGTTTGCCTGGTGGTGGGAGATCTCGATCGTGAAAGAAGAGTGCTTTCGAAGTGCCACCACGGATATAGGTTGATGGTATCGAAATTGGGACTGGAGCTTGAGACGACATGGTCATGGGTGGCGTGTACTGTAGTGGCCGCCGTTAGAGGAGTTGCAAGTCTACTTAGCACTCATCGATGACTTGACGGCTAGTGTGGGGATTGCAGTGTATTTTCAGTTGGAAAAAAGGTAAACGCGGGTCCATCGCATCGCACCCGTTTTTCGGACTTTGTGTTGAATGCCCACAGCGTATTGATTGTATCAAGGGCTACGGCTTTACCTCCTCTTAAAGTCCGATAATGGATGATAATTCGTGATTTGCAGTTGCGATATCCTGGTTCTGTTTCTCCGAGGTGTGACATACGAAGTGCGGAGAGGTTGATCCCCGCATGTTGATGCGGTCCAATAACGAGCTCTTGAGGCGCACGGCCAGGTTAGGCTCTCAAAGATCCGATGACCGGACTTCGTCTCCGATATATCGCATGTTCTGTTACATCGGGAGAAGGCATGCTTGAATATGCATAGTGAAAGTCTATTGACCCGAGATAGTGGAATGTCGCATTCGAGAAGAGAGATCATTCCCTCAGTAGTGAACTGAGACATGATTAATCCTCAGAACTGGTCTTCTCTCATGGACGTTGTTCTCATGGAGTTTTGAAAACCAGCCAACAATTCTGGGGGAAGAAATCTCTGTTGGAGATCGTTTTGGCCTTCGATTATATCGAGATCCATGGCTGGGGAAACAGGCAAACTCGGTTGCGGTGAGAGAAGGCACCGAATGTGTGGTTGAAAACCCGCAATTGCAAAAGCGGGATATGTTGCTCGTTACCCTCGACGTAGTAGTTCGCCATTTGGAGTCTTGCGAGTTAGAGGACGGTTGCTGTGTCTGGACGGACTCGAGTGAGGATACCAGCCACATTGACACTAACCAGAGAACCTAAGATATCTGTTGCCATGGCAGAAGCTTGTCTGGTGAGTTCCAAGGGGTTATCAGTAGGAGGAAATCTTCAAGGCTATACACGCCTTTGCATATTCGATAGATTTCTGTAGGTCAGTCTGGGCGCTCCATCGTACAAGTGGTAAATCACTAACTGGCGGTCCAGGAACGCTTACCCAGTCATTCAACCTTGCCAACTCGCTGCCTAGCCGGATCTCACTTTCTTGAGAAGCTCTTGCAACTGCCAGAATATCATCGAGACGACCGAGCCATCGCGTACACAAACACGGAAATATGATCAGGCGAATAGAGGAAATCCGACTATAGCAATGTCTCCATCTTCTCACTGACCTAGACTGTTCCACAATTTGTGAGCGATTTCCATGGTTGGTGAATGTCAATGATTCCACAACATGCTGTTTCACGGGTGCTTCTCAAAATTCTGTTTCTTGAAAAATCAAGCCTGTTTTGGTGTTTCGCGGATCTATACAAAATGACCCTTTCCGGGTAATGGTCTTAGCTCGTGGGCACGTAATCACCCTATCGTCCTTTGTGGGTCTCACGTCCCTCACAACACTAAAGATGTCTGGCGAGACCAAGTCTGGAAGGTTATGTGCGATATGCAGGAGAGATAGTCTGAGAAGTCTGGCTTCGGCAGCTTATAAACATTCACCCGGTACAAGGTTCAAGATTCGGGCTGTCTCGGGAATCGGGATTCAGACAACTTCTGTGAGATTAGGAAATTATGATACCAGCAATCGGTGGAGGACAGGCTTCAGCAGAGACTCAAACACGATCAGCATAGATTATGCGTGTTTGGGGAGTTTGCAGAGATGTCTCCTGGTTGGAGGTCACTCGGTGGTGGTGGAAAGCCTGAGAAACCTTTACCCAGACGAGCCGCTCTACCGGAACAGAGGGCTGGTTGTCGAGATTTGAGTTGAGCATGCGATAGGAGGCATTTTGCGGCAGAAGCTTTGTGGATCGAAAGTTCCTGGAGAAGCGGAAGACACGATCTTGCACGTTCTGCTCCTTCACAGAAGTTGTCGTAAGGGTTGACGCGGCTATACGATGTGGCATAAGGCTGACGACTCCTTACCCGATGGTTTCCACGACAAGAAGAAGCCCGGCCAAACCTGATATGAGCCACAATTCCCGGAAGAAGCCTCGGTCTGTAACGATCGTCATTTCACTTCGTTTGAAATCGTAATGTACTTCATGAGACGCGCACGATACGAACCAGTCTCGTACACACTTGAGAGAGCGCGGGAAATCATTTGAATCTCGATGCAGCGCGTCATGTTTCGATGATGGCCATCGGATGCGGTAATCCCTCCTACCTATTCCAGTCTTGAGAGGTAAGATGTTGTTAGGGCGATCTCTGTGATCGGGAGGTTTTTGCTGGCAGTGACAATTCTTGGCATACGTCATCACCTTCTCACCACCTGGCACCCACCTGGCACCCAAGGAGAATTATTACAGCAGGGCATCGTTCTCATCTCATCCTGCAAATCATTGCGCAAGGATGACATTTTTGACAGGTCAAATTCAACCTGACGTTGAGCATCGTTGACGGTGCGATGATATTTACGGCTATTTTACGCGAGATATGCATCCGTTTTCAGAGCCAAAGGGATGGCACATCCTGACCCAGTCATGAACTCTGCTGAAAGTCAACTTCGCGTGCTGAACCGCCGGTTGAGCTGGAAGCCAAATGTTGATGTTGTCATGTCGATCGGATCGAAAACTTTTGACAGACCACAATCTCGCATCGCTCTGTCGAGGAAAGATCATGGAATCATGGATTGGCAAGCATAGGCGTGTCCCGTATCCAAGCTTTCTCTTTGACCTCGTTGAACACCCACTTCACCAGACTTGCCCGGCTCAGATTCAAGCTGGCGGTATAGTTCCGATCGAGATGGCCGGCAATGACACCAACATCTCGTGACCCACTGGTCAAATGGGGGACACGAAACACGGTCCATTCCAGATCCCTGTCTTTGGTTCCTGCCTCGATCACAACATCCGCAATGTGTTTCATTTCCGCGTTGCCCTGTGGCTGGAGCAGACGTGGTATCTGCATATAAAGCCACCACTTCCACGGCACTGTCCTGGCTTCTTCGGCGGAGTAGCATCCGGTAGGTGTGCTTAATGCAATGATCCGTGAGACGTGGCTTGATTTCATCACGGGTAAGACAGTCGACCGAAGTGCATCGGCTATTGGGGTTGAAGTGTCGCGAGTAAACAGTGGTATGAAGGAAGGATAGGCACCCAATAGGGAGACGACGATACTGACAGGTGGAAATCTCTCGTCACCGGCGAGGGCCAGCTTTATTGCTTGGGCATCGGTCAGGCTTCCGAGAACAAGGCGGAAGTTGGTGTTGGTCAGTGCTGCCGGAGGTAGTTTGGGCTCTGAACCTGGGCGTACAAAAAGAGTCACATTAGGCCTTTGAACGGTCTCGAGTGCTTGGTGGATGAATTCGATGCCCGAATAGCCTGTAGCTCCAAGAAGAAGATAATGCTGTTGGCTATCCATCACGGTGTCTCCTTGGTCGTGTCCTTGGTGTTCGGTTCCAGGTTGCTGTGATATATAAGTTGAAGTTCGCAAGTCGCACAGTTCTTTTCCCGATGATACCCTTGGTTGCTTCATAAGCTCTCGAAGTTGGCCTTTGCATCCCAAATCCTATTCACATGCATTTCTCAGCGTGGGGATTTTCGTCCGTGGTCGGGGATTTCTGTCACCGATGCCTCTCCGGCGGCGAACACAGCTAAGACATCATGACAAGACAGTAGAGGTTCAGAGTCACTTCGATGCTCCTCTCGGGCCGCCCAGACAGATGCTATCGTGATTTTAGCACGAAGACAACCGCTCCTGATCATTCATGAATTGAAATGAAGTCCAGGACGTTCGTCTTCCAAGCCTGAATGACTAATTCCTTACTTCAGACACCTTGCGCCACAGAATCCGATTGAATGCGTGAAGCGCCGCACTAAATGTGGCGCCATAATTTCCCCAAGAACTAGCAGTGGGACGTGGACCATCTCTGGTTCACAAGTCGGTCCCCACGATTGATTGATCTACAACTAGGAAGCAAATTAGATGGCTTCTATTGGTATAGCATGAAAGTTCATAACTTCTCCAGAGATACTGCGCTCTCACTAGAGAGATAGCACCTCATCTCCGACAAACCCCTAAAGTACCCGAGTCTTCTCATTTCGACAGTCGGAGTGTGTAGAGGACTGATTCGACGCCGTACGAGTAGGCGCTCTCGGCTCTAGCTACTTAGTATGTAGGCATCCGCAGAGTCAAGCGAAATCGCGACTAAAGGTTACCGAGGAAGAACTCCACCACCTCTATGCAACGGTGACGGCACGACTCGATCGTCACTTCGCAGTTCGCAAGAGCAAGCAACCGGATTGTGTACAACAGTCGGTTGGTAGCCGAGCACCGACAGAAGTGTCAGGAGTAGAGATGGAGAAACCCTGGATTGAGCGTCATCTTTGCGCAAGTATCCGTTGCGCTGTGTCGCATCGTGATCAGAGGAACTTCTCTTATCGTTCAGACTTTCAAAGCTCGTTCGTACTATGTGGGTGGTCTAGAATTCTGTAGGACCGTTTTCCAGCTTGTGTATCTTCTGCGACGAACGACACTAAGACAAGAACGGTAGCACATCATCGGATTCCCATCCATAAGTAGCAGTGCGACTCCGTGATGTTCCACAAATAGGGAAAAGAAAAGACGACAATCAAACGAGGAATCGACCAAAAGAGTCATTGGGCTCGTCTTCTCGATGATTTGATCGCGGCAGTTGCGACTTCCACCTAGACACGTCCTCGTAACGCAAGGGTCTCATCTCCACGAAATGAAAGATAGCACGCCCCCCAAGTTCGAAAGCACACGAAACGAAAGGGATCTACCGAATGCATTCGCGGTCGCCCGCCAACGGCTAGTGTGGGATCTTGGTACTACTACAACGCACTAGGACTGTTCGTCGATCGGTTACGCTAGTATAGTCGGATTAGTTTGGATCAGATGAGTTAGTATCACTTGGAGTAATCTGAGTAGCGCTTGTGGGAGGAAGATATGTAGGTGTTCCTTCAATGCCGGAATGAATGTGGTTGGTCCGGAGTGTGAGAAACTGCTAAATTGCGTACGTGCGAGTTGTTACCGAGTTGATTGTCACAAGGCAAAAACTCAGGGGTGGGAGGTTGTGAAGAGCAAGATTAAGATGCACGACACGAGCGTCACGACATCTGGGTTTGGTGGGAAGGAGAACAAAAGACCAACTACGGGGTCAGACACGAGAAGTGATTTTGAGATAGGTTTATCATTCATTTTGGAAAAACTCCAATGAGGGAGGGATTGCACTAAAGCTTTCTCTGTTTCTTCCCACCTATCATACCACTCATTCATTACCCAGAAGGCAATATCTTTCTGTCAAGTGTAAAAGATTTGAGACATTAAATGTTAACAGTAGTATCGACTTTCGTTCTGATATACCTCCATTTCCAAGGTAACGTGTAGTGATATATCTGGATGTTGTTGAAAGTAAACAAGAAGTTTCTGGCTTTTCCCCTTATCATTGCCAACTGTACAACTTATATTGCGCGTTCGTCCGCAGATCAAGAATGATACCAAATGGTATTGCTGTATGTAAAAGATTCGGTTGTAGATTGAGAAGTGCTTGTCGTATCGTATCGATGTATAATGCTCTGGGTGGCTGGATTTATCGCTGCGATATATGTCGGATGCAAGAAGTGATTTCGTGACCCCAGAATCTAAAAGACGCCCCTACCAACTCCATGCCAATGAACAAAGACCGCGGTGATTGCGTTCCAGGATTGGCTTATGTGAAGGTAGTCTTGAGGCTGGCAGCGGCTCCCATACCACCGCAGCCACCTGAGGGAGCGCCCTCGTGGATACCATAGTTGGCGCCAGGTTGCGAGCCATTGGCACAGTTCTCCAGGATGTAGTCGAATGTGCAGACATTGCCGGATGAGCACTTGAAGACACAGGTGTTCATGTCAGTAGTGCAGGTTGGGCCAACAATGCTGAGTCCATGGCCGTCCATCTTGACTTCTCTGGAAACATCAACGACACCCCATTGTCCGAAAGTGAACTCGCCCCAGGTGTTGGAGAGCTGTCCGTTGACGAGAGTGGTATCACCATACACAGCGGTAAAGGCACCTGATGCACCATCGGCGAAAGACACCCAGATAGATTGGCCAGCTGGAATCGATGCAGTGATGTGAGGTTGAATGACGTTGACCCACGAGCCAGCAACACCCCAGATAACCAAGATCAAGTCCTGGCCAGACTGGTTGGAAAATTCGCTCTTGTAGGCACCGTCGGTACCAAGCCAAGCAGCTCCATTGGGAGCGTAAGAGTTGGCACCAGTGGATAGTACACCGAGGGCGGAGAGTTTGGCCTGGTCGGCAGCTGTGATGGCAGTGTCACGTTTCCTGGAGGGTACATTAGATGGGCGTGGTGAGGATTTGGTGAGATCGGGGGGACTTACTCGACATGGTCGTGCTTACGAGCATGGTTGTGGAATGCAGTGTGAGAGTTTCCAATGGAGGCGGCAAAAGCCTGGCCGACTGCGAGGGTGGCCAGCACCAAGGTCTTCATTGTGTAGCGCATGTTTGCTGATTTGGATTTCTTGAAGTCCGGTCAAGGTGTTGATATGTGTGTACAGGGTTGAAAAGGAGTGAAGTTGTGTAGTTGTGATTGTGAGTGTGAGTGAGGTGACGATCTCGGATCGAGTCTGGTTTGAATGAGAGTGAAGTGATTTGAAGGGAGTGAGGTAGTTGCTGCGTGAAGGAGTGAACGCGAGCGTAGACTGGTACTGCTGAAGAGCAAAAAGAGCGGACGACGGTCAAGAGAGACGTCTGTGATCAATATAGTCCTGACGGATGGTGGACGGTGGATCGTGAACACGAGTTTTGATGGGAAGAAGTGAAAGGAGAGCAAAAGACAAAATGCAGTGCAGGTGCAGGAAGAGAACAATGGGGGCCGAGCGGAGCCAGCAGTGCTGCAGTCTGCAGACTGCATGGAGCACCCAGAACAACAAGGGCCCAATTGCCAGAGTCGCCCGGGGATCACCCTCGGAGGATTAGGCTGGTCAGGGCGTGGGACCGCCCCAGGCCGCCCCTGTCGGACTTACCTGGTTAAGCTAGCCCCAGGCGCTTTAGGCTTTGAATCCCCCAAAGTGAAACGACCTTGCTCCAGTGAAGCTCTGCCAATTTCCAGGCGCTTGACGAATGGCAGTGGTTGTCGTGCTCGCGTACCTGGCGCTAACTCGAGCTTATTCCTCTCGCCTACGTCAACTGGCGTCCTCGATCGTGGCTTCCAATCTGCCACCAAAGGAGAAAACTCACACGACAAACTGTCAAACTTGTCAGGGCCAGGAGCTGGGAGGCTGGGAGTTGGGCTGTTTGACACTGACTGCCTGGAGACGGTCGTCGGTTCACTTTGGGTGACGACCTGATTCATACTCGTAGGGGCAACTGGGAGCCAAGAAGCCCGAGTCGGTTGCCCAGCTCTGGCACTTGGGATGAGCCTGCATATCCGCACAATCAGTCTGAAAAATGCACTTCAACCACAGGCCTTTTTCCTTTGCTGCCGTGTGATAAACTCCCACTGTAGCCAATACGTAGCCGTCTGAATCTATTGTTTACCAACCTCCCGAGTAAATGCCACGCGACGCAGCAAACTTTATCTTTGCGCTCCTCAGCGGATTGGGTCAACCTTGTCGATGGTCTCAGATCTTCGCAGAATAACAAACGAAACTTACCTCTCTTCTCAAGGATCAAGGTCGAGACATTCCGAATATCCAATAATCAATACGGATCAAACCATCTTCATGTTGTCTTTGCAAAACATGCCGGTCCAACGCTGCAATGGTTATTGGATGCTGCCCAGTTCGGATGGATCTGCTTGTTGACAGCATGATTTCATGAATCATGAGACTGACACATTTCACTTCTGACTGCACTCCAGTGCGCCACACATCAGCATCCAGTTACATCCGAAATCTTTTCTCTCTTTTGCACGAGACATAATCATGCCTGCCAGTTCTTGCCCAAGTACCAATATTGTTAGATGCTGCAAATCTGGTGAGTAAATTGTCAGTGGCATTGCAATGAATTTTGGAGGGATCCTTCAAGGAACATTCCATGGTCGCCTGTGGGTTTTTCCCCCGGGCAGTTAGTTACGCCCCTTCAGGCTTCCAAGTCCCGGTATTCAAACTGGGCCGAGGGGTCCCTCGGCCCTCCTTCCCACACCCGGACTGAAAAGCCTGGTGCCTGGGCAACCGCAGACGGCACAGCGGATATGCAGGAACGGACTTGACCATCGAATGAAATTCCCGTGCTTTGACACTCCTGCATGACCACGAACTTCTCAAAATGCGCCAAGTGTCAGGTCAGGAACGAATATATTCCTACTGGATACCAAGTGTTGGGTGGAGAGCTAGGGCTTATTCGAACTTGCGTATTCTTTATCATGATCAGGATATCCTGTACGAGGTATCGGCAATTCAATGAACGCTTTTGCCTTGCAGCAAACAAGTTTTCGTCGCGACCCGGAAAGGGAAGCCGTTGAGTCACCCAACTGACCATTCACAGCCGTTGCGCAAACAGAGTTTTGGACTATGCAGCATCTCGCCAGCAGTCTCTATCGCAGTCTCTATCACGGACGTCTGAAAACCTTTGGCTAGCCAACTGCATGAGGAGTATCCCCATGGCCGTTGGGCTCCGCCAAATCGTCGCCATCCAGTCATAACTGTTCCCGACTGAATTTTTGACTCCCAGAGACCTCCACCCGTAGTGCATGCATGAAGCTATCGATAATGGCCATGCGCCCGGAGAATTGACAGCTATCGCGACCACACCATTCGCTGCATCGGAGTGGAAGCCATGCCTTGTCCTATGATCAAGGGATCCGTGGAGTATACTCAGCGGAACCAGTTGACATAGATGGCTGAAAAGTCCCGACATTCACACCAGCATGTCCGCATCCGTAATCAATACCAAGCCGTCGTGTCGAGGACCCGCCTGCAAGACAGCCCTGTCGTCCTTGCATATACTCAGGACCACACTTCTCAGAGGCCGAAGGACACCTTACCCGGGATTGAATTAAGAATTTGGTGAAAAATCCGGATGGTTGGTCCACTCACCGGATCAAACGCCAGCACATGAACATGGTTTGCTTTGATAAAGTTTCGAGAACAAGCTGTCGAGCATTTCTGAGCACAGGTTGAATACGAGATAGACACGAATCTGACTGGTGAATAGTTTCCATCTATGGCCTTGGTATGAGGCATTTAAGGATCGGGAGAGGAAAATCAAACAGAGAGAAAGTCTCGAGCCACATCTCAGAGTCGGCAATCAGCGTCAACAAGGGCCCATGTCGGTGTGGTAGAGCAGTTGACCATTGATCATCAGCATTGGATGGAGGGCAACAGCTTTCGTCGAAGCAGCGGAGTATTTCGACACGAGCTATAGGGTTTACCATGAGTCCATGACAAATCGCATTGTATTGTAGTTCGACAAACGATGCTAGGCTCCGAGCAATTGCCATTACTATTGATCGCGCAATATGATCTTTCATGACCAAGACAATGCCGCATGGCCATTGTCGAGTCGAATCACGTTGAAGAGGCCGATCCGGTAATGATGGACCATCCATTCGTGATCATGGAAGTCATGAATTTCGTCCTCAAGAGTCTAGAGGTGAGTTACTACAGTATGAAGTATTGAAGATGATATCCCTAGGTGCACATAGCACTTGTACATACTGTGGACCAAGCCATTGTGCGAAGGAACAATGCTCTTCCACTCCGGCTGGGCACATCAGCGTGACCCAAATTCAGGGTTCCAGTTTTTGTGCGTTGCTCCCTCCATCCACTTGTCCATTCCCCCTCTCCCCTCTGGATGCCACGGACAGGCCTCAAGAATCAAGAGCCACCAGGCACAAAGCACAAAGCACGTGCAACCCCCCTACGAAATTGACACTCCACGATCCACGACCAGGATGATCCAGCGTCGTAATCTTCGCAAATCAGGCTGATCTCGTTTGCTTTCCCGCATCCACCACTACACTGCATTATCGTTACATTCGTAGGTAATAACAATGGGCAATTTTGTCTCACTGAATGCTGATCCATCGCCATACGTGGACTTTTTGCCTTGCATGGTCTATCAAACGACGACGAAATGCGAGATCAAGCTTCAGTCTGCATCTTCCTCTCTCCATCGCAGTGCAAGGTTCTCGTGTGACGAAGAGTGTTTGTCTTCTCCACACCCACCAAACTGACACAGGAAACAGGATTAAATCTTGATTGTCCTTGTTCTCGGAGCACAGAGGTCTCGACTCTCGACCAGGATTGGTGGACACCTTGACTTGACTTGGGTGGTGATGATGATTTTCGTTTGTCTAGATTCGTACAATTCCTCCGTCTTGTGTTCTACTGTGTACTCTTGTTTGTTTGCGTGTCCCCCTGCACGATGTACGGGCGTTTCAAGCTTCGACCTACGAGTAACAGCAACCAGACTACAGAAGGTCAAGCGTGGCGGAACCATAGCCTGATCACATGTATGTAAAGCCTTACGGTACATGACATTCAACATTATTGCCTCCCCAAAGTCGTGGTACAGTGTACCGGATTAGCCTAGTTAAAAGCGGCATGGACCTATCTCAAGGTTACCAGGCCCATTATTGCCCTCGACGATTTCTCACGGCGTGAAGCGATCAACCCAAGAATGCAAAATGGCCACCACAGAGAAAGGTGGACGCATTTAGGCGACGTCCTTTTCCGACATGACTTAATCGGCCTCTGCGAGTCCAGGGAGCCGCCGCTGAGGTCAAAAGGCCATGGCCACGTACATATGGACACCACGAGGCGCACATCACAGGGTTCAATCGAATATCACTTCAGCTGAATCCAGACCTTGTTCGCATGACAGCTTGTACACCCTTGTTAAATCATAGGGGATTTCACAAAACTCGACGGTGCCCAACCTGTCTAGTAGATCCTGACGAGTCCAATTGAGGTGACGAAGCCGACTACGTTGTGAGAACAAGTCGTCGTAGTCGTGGTTGACTATTCGATGACGAGGCCGACTAGGTTTTAAATTAGAGCTGTAAAATGAGGGTGATGCGGGCCGTCGCATGTCAAAGTACTCCTTGATGCTGCCGGGTTCACATTCGATACTTGTTGGCATGTTGCCAGAGAACCCATGGGCTCTGGGCCGGCCCTGTCTTTGAAATCCTCGTTCTACCGAATCTTCGTGACGCTGTCGACCAGCCGCGGCCAACACACCGACGACGACGTCATGGCGCCCGACTACCACTGCGCCGTGCATTTCTGCCTCTCGCCACGCCCGTCGGATAACATGTCGTATAGTTTTGAGGACGAGGGCTTCAGGGAATTGTATTATACCGAGGTCATTCGGTCGCTGGAAGAGGACGCGAAGTGCAAGTTGGAGATCAAAGACAGCGACTGGAGGGAAGAGATAGATGGTTTGCGCGCTGAGGTCGTTTTAAGGTGGACTGTACCTTCCTCACCCATTAACTTTGAACGACGTGCATAATTGATTGCCAGGCAGGTAGTCTTGTAGCGAGGCAGCAAACTGGCTGCCAGGTATCTTGCTATGTAGGTTCGCTTGTCACCGGATGCTGTGCTGCTTGCTTTGCGCCTGTGCTGACCTTCCTGCTTCCTAGACGGGACAGGAGGCGAGTATTTACAATAATGCTTCTTTCACAATTGCCCTTGATGAAGGCGAAAAAGGGACACGATGTAAAGGCATGGAATGCAGGTCCCAACTGCCACCGCGCGATAAACGTTGCGTATGCTTGTGTACACGTAGACAAACAGAATAAAGCCTTCCATTCAATTACATAGGGCTAGGAATTCCTTCCCCGATATGTGAGACGGAGCCCTTTGTCCGACTGATCATACCTAAATATATGCCGAGTATATCTCTTGACAGTGGAATATCTCCCTTTCCATAGATGTTTTATACCATATCCCCTCAAGCATACTCTGCTCATTCGATTGGTTCGTAGATAGGTCGTGTGAAATTGAATCCTGTGGACGCCGAGCCATTGTCAATGGATAGAGCTCGTGTAGTCATGTTCACAGCGAATTATGCTCGCGTAGATATTGCGAATTGTTCGGACCAATCAAGATACTTCAAAACTCGACTTGTCCAAACCGTACTCCGTACTTGATTTGGCAGCATCGTAGGGCTCTGTCGTTCAATAATTTTCCCAGCCCGAGATCAATGGATATCGTGGATCAGATTCATATGGAATCCGATTTTCGTTCCAGCCGCTGCCGCCACCAACCTGCGACCGTCATTCCCCAGTGCCGTCAAGTAGGGGGAGTGATGTACCTTACCGGATCGGTTGTCTGATTTGTGGAGGACTTGTTAACAGTAATGAGCGTTGCTAACCGTTCCAACCTCGGCCTCTGGATTTTCTCGTAGTAAAAGAATTTTTCTTGGAAATTTTGGAGAACGCTTGCCGTGGTGGCTTCTGGTCCTTGCATTTCTCGGAAGAGCTGGACGTTTTCAGGCAGGCCAAGTTCAAAGAGCTTGCCCACGAACCAGCTCTCCTCTTCCGAGTCGGTGCCGGCACACATGGCGCCAACGGTTATAACCCATATCTGGATATCCATCCTACCTTTCCATTGATGATAAGGATTTTTTGCTGTCCTTAAGAGTGATTGTAATTTCGGGGCTAGGCGGTGTCCCAACAATCTGAGTCCCAACAACACCGTCGTGATCAGAACCCAGAGTAGGAGGGTCACTCGGACGGCTTCCAAGCTTGCGTCCGAGAAGCTTATACTCAAAAGTTTACATCTTATTGCGGCACTCCGCCATTGCAGCCACTTGACGGCATGCTTTGACGCAGGAGATGGTTCCACTGTTCCATATCGCAGCACCCAAGCGCATTCTCTGATTTCATGTATGATCCCTTTTAGATCGTCCGGTAGGTATCCATCTGCTGTCAGTCCGTGTAATGCTGGCGCTATATCGTTCAGTTCTTGCTCAGGGCCAAGTTGTAGTGCCAAAGGCGTGGTACTCCAATACGGCCCAGGATCATAGTCACAAGGCAGCTCAGGAGGCTCCAACAAGACCGCGGACACATGAAGATCACCAATGATGAAAAGCTCCCTTATAGCTGGATCAGGGATTTGACTCAGACCACCCCAGGAAGCAAAGATAGCCTTGGCAGCTCTCATGTGAATTTTGGCCGCCTGATAATTCTGCCTATATGCCTCACCTGCATAAAGATGAAACATAATAAGTAGTAGTTGGTCTTTGGATGCAGAGCTGAAGCGCCGTCGAACAGCGACAAGAGCATTTCCCATGTATTTGTTTGTGCCCTGATTGGGAATGCCGTCAACATTCTCGATCCTCGCAGCCATGGCGGCAAGCATGGCATTCATTTCCACTTCACTTTGCATTGCCCGCTGAATGACAACTTTTGCAGAAGGGAGGTGTGTGTAAGCTCCATCGGCTGAACCCCATCGCTCGGCATTCCAGACACTTGGATGATAGCTTTCGGCAAAATAGCGACAAAGCTTGGCAACATGAGGGTCAAGCTTGACCACCGACTGACCAAATGGATCTAACGAGGACCCGATGACCTGAGTTATATCTTGGGGGGAGTTGATCCTCGAATTAAGCAATAAAATTGTCCCTTTTTCCTCTTCGGCCTTGGGAGACGATGCCGAGGTAGACTTTGATCGTGGTTTTTGTGCCTTGGATGGTCTCTCCTTGACACTTGGAGGAGTCACTGTCTGTGCTCTCGAGTGGGGTCTTGAAGGTATGTCCAATTGCTTGCCTTTCAAAAGCTTTTCAGGCACACGCCCCTCTAGGGTCGGAGATTCAGACGAGGCTGATGTGCTAGGGGTATCGACGATGACAGCTTCCTCTTCTGCCGCACGTTTGCTTGGCCCCCCAACCCTTCTTGCTCGATTGCCGGAACGACCGGCGTTATTGCCGGATCTTCTATGCCGACGGCCACGCTGAACATAGGAATTGATGGAGGATTGCTCGAGGGATGTGCTACGGGTCAGAGATGAACTGTCGGCATCCTTATTGACGAATAAGAACTGCCTTGGCATGGCTGAGGCTAAAGAATGTGGCTCTCGGAACCTTCATTGTCGGTACGATGTTTCATCGATGGGACCCGAAGACCAAGGAGCTTAGGGCACATTCAAGCAACGAATCCATAGAAAGCAGTGACAAGTACGGATAAAGGGTGGGCATCACTGTTAGACCTGAACGTCAGAGTTGTAGAGGAGAAAGCGACTACCAGAAACAGCATGACGGCTTATCGCCTGTAATATGAGGGATAGTGGAAGAGGGGAACTTGAATGTTAAGCATGTCAGCAGCAAAGGGGCGATCAAACGCCATCAAAGGCCGGGGGAGTTGGCCTAACTGCCGACCATCACCCATTTGGACACGGAAGAGGCTGGAAAGGAGGATCCTAACACGCTAACAAAGGGCGCGATGCTCTTTGAGGATTAGACGGTTCTTGGCATGAAACGGTCGCACGTGCTCTCACAGAATCATATGTGGTTGAGGGCATCAATTTGAAGCATGCCGAGGTTCAACCTCTCTTGCTCATGCCAGTGGGACCATGCTCCCTGTATTATTTCGTTGCTAATATACCATTCAACGTCCAGACATCTGTACTCAAACATCATCAATCACCAGACCGTCCTGCTGAAAGCTTCTCGTAGAATTCCAATGTCATGGCCGCCAGAAAGCAGGGAATTTGTTTCTTCTCCTTCACCCAGAAGTTCACCAGATCTTTGATATCAGCTCCAAAGGCACCATCAGGCCCTCCGCTTATTTTCATGGTTCCGTTGTCTCCGTCGAAAATAATGTAATTTTCGTCTTCTTCATCGCTGTCCTCATTTGCCTCATGGCTCCGGCCATAGTACATACTCGATACTTTGGCCTTGCCATTGGGCAAAAAGTTGACCTTGTATCCGAGTACGCTCGCGATAACATCACGGAATTCGCTTGCTTTCTGTCCCCAAATCTCGCGTTGTCTTCTCATTCTCTTCTCCTTCTCGGCCACAACCATCTCCATGTCTTTGAGGTCCAACTTGAGGGCGTCCGCGGTACTAACAGGGACTACTTTCACGCCTTGTAAGTCTTCGCCCCGTAGTTGCGCCAAGAGTTGCGTATTTTCGGCTTTCAATGTCCGCAATGTTGACATCTTAACGACTTCGGAATTTGCAGTAGGGTTGTCTCGTAATTCAAGGACTCTGGTCTTGCTGCTCTCGCGTAGAGCTTTGAGTTGCGTTTTACTGGCCTGCAATTCAGTTGCCAGTAGCTGTGCTTGCTGAGCAGTCTTCTGAAGTGCGACCTGAAGGTTTTTGTTCTTGCGCAGTAATGGTCCAATTTGCTGGTTGTTCTCAGGTTCAGGATCCTGAGATTCCGCAAGTCTCTTTGTGCCTCGAGGTTCCTCCTGAGGTGCGGACTCCAGCTTCGACAAATCTGTGTGCAGTGTATGAATTTCCGATTTGTATTGATCCACCAATGTCTCCAGCTGTTTCACCTGTTCGGATCGTTGTGCATCAAAATTCTGGTTATCCATCAAAATTGTTTCCTCTGTATCAAACGTCTTGAGTTGTGCGCGTAGATATTCGATTTCTTTAATGGCCAGCGCCCGTTGTCGCTCGAGCCTCTTGTATGCCTTGTGATCATGACCGGCATCTTCTCGAGAGGGTTGACTAGCTTTCATTCGATCAAGTTCTGTCTTGAGAGATGTTCTCTCAACATCCAGAGTCTTGATAATTTCATCTTTCTCACTCAATTCGGATTCCACGTTCCCAACTCGATCAGTGACAGAGGCGAACTCAATTCGCAGCTGAATTAGAGCTTTGACGACTGCTTCTGGGGAGTCAAATTCACTCTCCTGCCCATCACGCTCTAATAAACTTGTCCAAGTACGCTTCTCATCTTCCAATATTTCCCGCTGTATTTGAGCTTCGCCAAGTTGGCGTTGGACATCCTTCAGCACTTGAAGTTCGATTTCCAAGCCATGCTTTTGCTCTTCGACAACTTGAACGCTTCTGTGTGCTTCACGCAGCTTTCTAAGCTCCGTAAGCTGTTCTCTGTTTGTTGTTTCAAGTTGACGGATATGTCCAACTTGTTCTGAAAGCTGTGTCTGTAGGACATTCAATGCACCGCTATCAGCGGATTGAGACCTTGAGGCTAGAAGGTCGGCTTCCAGTTTTTCGACCTGGGCGTCACGTTCGGAAAGCCGGGTTTGTGTCAATTCGAAGTGCTGGCTCAACTCTTCGAGTTCTTGTCTCACAGTATCCACAATTTCTTGGAGAGCAAAGCGTTTTGCTTCAAGGTCATTCAACTGGTATTTGTAGTGCCTTTCTTGATCAGACAAGCGCGCTTGCGAGTCCTCCGAGTCATCTTTAAGAGCCGAATTTTGATCCTGCAGATCTCTCAGCTTTCGCTCTAATATGGCCTTGTCGTTGACTTTCTCGTCCTGCGCCTTACGTAGTTCTCGTGCTAATGCCTCATGCCTTTGAATCGCCTTTTGCGCAGCACTTTCGGCATTTTGACACTTTTTGAAGTCGGCCTCTGCTCTCGCTTGTTGTTCTTGAAGTTCTTTGTCATGTTGTAGTATCAGGAGGCTCCTTTCTTGCTGCAGATTCTTGAGTTCGTACTCAAGAGAGTTGATTCTGGCTCTTAAGTTCTCATCCTGCGTATGGTCTGGCTTAGATACTGAGGATTGTCTGAACTTCGACTGTCTTAGTGGTTGCGCTTGGCTTTCGGATGCACCACCAGTAATAAAATCATACTGTGGTTGGGTGGTCTGTCGGTGCGTGCCTGCCTACATTATGCAATCAGATATGGTAGTGATCGTTCTCATGATTCAACTTACAGCAGAAGAAGGTCGAGGCAGGGCAGATTGACCACCTTGCAGGCTTTTGCGACCGGATAAAGAGTTCCGAGACGTCGAAAACCGCGGTCTCTTGTTGGCAGGTGAGCTCATGATTGTCGTATGGTACTGAGGCACTGATACTGCGACGACTCTGGGTGGCGTAAAGACGCAGTATCAACCCTGTCGCATCAACTGGACTGTTTACGTTCGCAACTGGGCAAAGAGTTCGGACTTGGCGCAGGTAAACAACTGCTTACGTAAGTCCAACTTCATGGGGACTTGGGCGCGTTCGCCGAGTGGCACGGGCGTTGGGAGTGAAAATGAACCGAGACAAAAGGGGGTACCTACTAAGTATCTCTGATCTTCAGGTTTGCGTTTGCACAAAGAACAGGCAGTCGACGGAAATTGTACAAATGAAGTGGTGCTGAGTAGTCGCCAAGCAGCCTGGTTTTTCACCTTACTCCAGGGCCTTTCTGGTTAACTCGGGAATTCATGCATGGTCATTTGAGACAAGTGAGTGCCTACTTTGGTATGATCATACTGAATCTTTACCACATACATTTATTTTAGCACGCTTTTCATTCAAGTGAAGCGGCTGTGTACTCCAGCAAGGCGTACATTTGCAAGGTCCTAAGACACGGTGTATTAACGGGGTAATACTTTATCACCTCATTGGAAATATCGCCAATTCCAAGACTTTCAAGGTAGGAAGCCGTTTCCGCAGCCCTGCTTTTGAAGGGCGGGAGCCTACCGGAGGATGACAACGGGGGCACCATGCCGATACCAGTGCCACCCTTCTTCCCGTCTAACTGAGCAACCTGAAGCCGAGGCGCTCGTGTTCGACTTCGAGAACTGCCTGCACGGCTCGTCATAGTTGTACATTAAGTATGACCATCCCGCTTCGACTTCGGCAATCCCCACAAAATCCCCAGAGCTATCGACTTCAAGGATGTTCGCTTATCTTGTTACTGCACCTCATTTGTACATTATATCATAAGGGTTCAATCTGGAGATGCACTATTGACATCTTCAGGTATCCTGGATAAGGGTACACGTTGCTCGTCAATCACTGAATAGTTCTCAATGATGACAGCACGAGAGCTTCGACAATGTCAATCAGCACAACTCACACCCAAGGTTTCTCTCCAACAGTGGGATGGGACGCCGAAGCCATCATCGTTGTGGTCTGTGTCACTTTATCATTCTATAACTGCGTAGAACTCCTGGTCCTGGTCCTCACTAGCTTCCGCCAATGGCGAGGTCTATACTTCTTCTCCCTGGTCATCGCATCTATTGGTGTGATCCCATATTGCCTTGGCTTCTTACTCGAATACTTCCACCTCCTGGTCTTTTGGGCGTCGATGCTCTTCAGCTCTATCGGGTGGACTATGCTCATCACAGGACAGGCATTCGTGCTCTACTCTCGCCTTGGACTCATCTTGACCGATGCGAAGATCCTCAAAGGTGTCAAGTGGATGATAATTATTGATGCCATTGTGTTTCACTGTGGAACAACCATCATCCAATATGGTACTGCGTATGGCTCCCACAAGGCTTCCTTTACCCATGCCTTGTTCTATATGGAGAAAATCCAAATGACAGGATTCACGGTCCAAGAGTTCATAATCTCAGGGATCTACCTGTGGAAAACGGTGCAGCTCCTCCGCATGATCCAACGCGAGGGCACACGTCGTGTCATGTGGGAACTGTTGACAATCAACATCGTCATTATCCTCATGGACATCGCACTGCTGGCCATGGAATATAAAGCACTACGTGCCATGGAGCGCGCCTTCAAGAGTGTCATTTACAGTGTCAAACTGAAACTCGAGTTCGCAGTCCTTGGTCGTTTGGTGGATCTGGTTCAGTCTAGCCAGAGAACACTGAGCAATGCCCTGGCAGATGTGGAGTCTTTTGTCGACACCTCCATTTCGAGATCGGATACCCAGGCTTCGGCTCCAATGACAGCGCGAAGAAAAAGTGAAACAGTCCCAGATTGGATGGCTAAGTTGGAGGGAGAGACGAGTCATGTCGAACAGGCACAGGTCGCACCACACAGTTCCACCGCAAATGGCAAGCGAAGTCCATTTATTACGCGGCCGCGCGATTTCGATGAATGTAGCATATGAAGTTTCATGGTTTTGTCTTGATTGATGGCAGCACGATGAGAGTATTGAGAAGAGTCGAGCTGATGAGAGATACGGTGGGTTCTTAAAGGCACCTATGGGATTGCAGATCAAGCTGGACGCTCTGTTCTTAAACCTATTACTCAACTAGATGTCCCCACAATTTCTCCTCACGGAGCGAAGAATAATATCGGCTCATCAATGTCCTCCACTTGGTGCAAGGCATCCGGTAGCCTTGTCAAACCTTATCAGCCTTGTGGTGAATCATAGCATTGCCGAGTACTGAGCTTCACGAGCAAGCCTAGGTCCGCATTCACTCCCTAACAGGCGACTAAGCAAATAATTGAAGCTATATATTTTTGCAATGCTGAGTTCTTGTCACTCAATTGAGTGCAATACTTAGAGTCTCCATTAGGACAGGTCACAGTCCTCGCCCTCGATGGCTCAATCAGTTTCGACTGGTTCTCCCTCCGCCTCACCTCTCTCTCTCCTCTCTCCCCCTTCTTATTCTTAAGAAGCTATCGAGGGCGTACAGGAGGCTCCTAGTACCTTCCACCGTTCCCCTTCCCCTACTATTATTATCAACAAAAAATCCCAATCGGGATTTCTCCCCAGTTCGAACCCCGCCGGTGGGGGGTGAGAATTGGAGGAGTTTTTGTTTCTTTTGAATTTTTTTCCCTTTCCACTCACCAGTAGCCCTTCTGATCCTCATTGTGAGGCTGCTTTCATCCATCCTCCTCAATGTAGGTTACTCTTCCTCGACCGGAGTTCCACAGCTCAACGAAAGATGTCATTTGAGATTGTGGTCTGTCAGTAACCACGATACTTCGAACAATCTGTTCCATCCACCACGAACCTGAGAATTAGCAATCTGTCATTTTAATTCTTAACACCATCGTAAACGTGCTCGAAAACTGCAATTCATGATGACCCCCGGAGCATCTGCACTGACGTGATCTTTCTCGGACACATCGGCATTGAAAAGGCCACCCTCGTCCTTAGGCAGACCTTTGCCTTTTTTCCTTTCCCACCAACAACGCCGTATCTGAGGAAACAATATGTTCCCACCTTCCAATAACTTCTCCAGCAGGCACACCCGACTAATAGGAGACCGAGCAGGACCAATACTGACAGAACCGCAAAGATAAAAGGAGATTGCCCAGTAATGCATCCTGTTTACGTTAGCTTCATGTGATGGCGGCAGTTGATAACGCCTTAAAAGTCCTTCTGGAGCCATGTGTATAGCTCCGCCATTGTTATCTGAGTCAGCCTTATAAAATGTGCAAGTCAGGGGGAAGTTTAGCAGCTTGACAGATTCAAGACAACGCCTATCGCAACATGATCGACCAGAGTACCTATAAATCGTGCTATACTTACTTGCATTCTTGTCTCTTTAGCGGTGCAGCGCGAGTTGTAGGTAGTCTCCTGTAGCAACACACAGTCCTTTTTTCCACCGCGAGGGTGTCAACGACTCTTCTCCATGCATCGCCCTCTCAACAAGACTTGTGATTTCATCATTTTGAAATTTCTCTCGTCGCCCCAGGGACTTTGCACATGAGCAACTATTAATCTTACTCCGCGATATTCGACGCCAACAGAGTTGCCTTCCTTCGTATCAAGATAGTTAGAGTCCAAAGTCCGCCGATAAAACCCATGCCATGCTGACTCGAGCACGATGATTCACGTGATGTGTATGACTCGAATATCGGGATCGATGTCATCTCTTGAAACGTAAATACACACTCTGAATTCTGGACTGGGAATCACCGGGCTCTGAGACTACCATAATTTTCCATTCAAGGCAACTAGAATAATGGCTCGTACTGCTGGGAAACGAACGGCAAAGCCTGCAGGCTCTTCAAAAGCAGCTCAGCAACCACTACCCCCATCAACCTCGACGCCTCCCACACCATTTCAATATGCACCAACTACCCTCCGCCCATTTCTCGCAACTTTGCCCACGGACCACTTCTACCTCGTCCATATCGACCGTACGGAGCCTACCATGAAAAAGCGAGTCTTCGTCGTCCCTATCATCATGAACCTCATTATCACACTAGGTCTCTGTCTGCGGATATATTACGCTGCGCCAGCCTATCTAGAACAAATAATCACCATATTTGGATATGAAACATCTTACAAGGTCGACACGACGCAGGCAAACGCCGGGGAATTAATGAACGTCGTCACCACTAGGACGATGCTGTTGATGGTGGACTACTTCATCTTCGTCATCATCGGGAGCTGGCCACGAGAATTCATCTTCGGAAGCCAGTCACTGCGGTTTGTGGGACCGGTGGAATGGCGGCGAAAACTTGGCTTTCAAGACACGGAGATTGTGGTACGGCGAGGGAGGAAATGGGACACACCGTTGCTTGTGGAGGAAGTGCCGGACAAGGTCAAGACTTGGCAGGTGGATGAAGAATTGACCATCCGCGTCAAGGTCGACAGTGCAATGCGGAAGCCCTACATCGCAAAGACGGGGTATCTGCTTCTGGACAAGGACTGGGACCTCGATTTCAAGGCCATGCTGGACGCACATCGGTTGGTGGAGAGCGGCACCGTCAAGATCCAGGATCTCCAGGACCTGGCTCTCGTCTACTACCAGAAACAGTGGCTGGCGTGGCGCGTTCACGAGGAACCTGTGATAACGGCGCAGGAGGCTGCGCAGGACTCGGTGCTCGAGAATTTCCGCAGCAAACTGACCGACCTGGGGGCCGAGGATGTCTTCTTTCGCTGGATCGAGATGGTCCAGTATGAGACGTCACGACCCGGTGGGTTTACGAAAGGGAGGCAGGCGGAGGCGATGAGAGAGTTGAAGAAGCTTCTCACTGCTAAAGGTGTTGATTATGCCCATTTCTGGAATGAGATTGGTGGGCAGACCGGCCTGCCTGGGTTTTCGCAACAGTGAGTTGTTGAATGTATATTATTATGTTTCTTTCCACAGGAGAAAGCGCGCGAGCGAGCATTTTCATCACTGTATAATACCCCCCATGATCATGACCTCATGGGACGCTGAATAGACCAAACGAATTTATAAAAGATCCACGACGAAACTCTCGCCAATATCAAGCACCCCGGCCCAGCCCTTGTCATCCTCTGCGGATACAATCTTCTCTTCCTCTCCTCCCTTGTTGTCATCCAGCCAACCTATACTCCGAGCATCACAAGCATCCGCAAATTCCACTACTGCCTCGACCGTTTCATTCTCACTCCCAACGAACGTCCCGAAATGCACCCCAACCGTATTCCTCGCCTTGACCGCGAGATGCATGTCGGCCGCATCGGTGGGCGACGCATGCAGTGCAGCCGGTATGTCATGATGTGAGAGACGCAGGCCCATATACGAGATGAATCCTAGACTGCCGCCGCGCCAGATCGGGAGGAAGCAGAGGTCGAGGGGCCCGAAGCGTGAACCGATGGTCTCAAATATGGGACAGATCGGTGAGTTTGGATTGGAGTGTCGTCGGTAACCGGTGTCGCCTGCGTGGTAGATTGAGCCTATACGCGTGCGTGGTGATTCCGTTTTAATCTCTGATAGCCCTTGTGAAGGCTGCCAGAAGCACTCGATCACCCATCCGCACCATAGTGTGCTTCCTTGGTCAGCGGGACTACGGCCGGAATTGTGCTGAGCGGGAACACAGGAGACTTTCAGCGTGATCTTGTTGTCTGTGGTGTCGTTACTCCCCCGTTGCTGCACTTCCTGAATACCCGAGCACTCGCCAGAAGCAGGAAGTTCCAAGTCAGATAGTTGGAGTTCTCGGTCTTGCCACCAGTCGAGTTCGATGACTTGATCTTTGGAAATCTTGATGGTGGCCAATATCCAAGACTTGATTCCCAGTGGGACGAAATATCTTGCGTTGGGGAAGCGTTTAAATACAGCTTTGACAGAAGATACATCAAGATGGTCGTAGTGACTGTGGGAGATGAAGACGGCATCGCAACCGGGTAGATCTGCAATTTGACAGGGCGGTTCTTTGAAGCGCGCAACCCCTTGATATTGGGTTGGGCCGGCGCGCGTGGAGAAAATAGGGTCGAAAAGCAGATAAGTGCTTTTCGACTTGGATTCGCCGCTGAGAGTGGTGCTCCCGCCATCCTCGTCTGGTTGTTGTATCGGAGGGATCTCGACTAGTGCACCAGCATGTCCAAGCCAAGTGGCAGTAAAAGACTGTGGTTTGGATTTACCACTGGATTCTCCAGGCTGAGCTTGTACTTGTTTAGGGTGACCCCAGTCTGGCTTGACGACTTTGATCTTTCGCGCCCTCCGATGACTGTGCAATGAGGCTTTGTTGTACCATCCAAATGGAAATGAACTTTGGAAGACTTCGGTCCATGTCGGCAGTCCTGCTGACGGCCAAGGGTTGATGAATGACGTAGCAGTACCATTGGCGTGATGTGCCGGGCGAGATGATGTTCGTTGGGACTTGGGCATGGTTGATGAAGTATAATTGTTCTGGAGAGAGATATAGATCGAGACTGAGTCTGTCGCATACTGTTGATTAATCTGGTCTGTGGCAGAGAGTAGTGAGTATAGTCGGGAGTTGAATACGGAGCTCCGGCCCACGAGGCTGAAATATCCCTGGATTACGTCATCGGTCAGGGTCCCTTCCTGCATTTGTTCCTGCATGCCACTTCCACTATCCACACTTTGATCCCCTCTCAAAATAACCCCGCGTTCTTTCGCAGGTCGATTCTTTTTGTTTGTCGCGCCCAAGAGACAAGTATCTAGGTAATTTTCAACCACTTATAACATCACCTCAATCATACAGACGATGTCCAATCTTTATCTCGCAGTCATTGGTGTTGGCGGTGTTGGGCAAGCCTTCCTTTCTCAAGTCGCTAACCTCCCCTCCACCCTGCGACCTAGCTTGATCTTTGTCTCACGGTCAACCAAACAACTCTACAACTCATCCTACAGCGCCGTCAATGCATCTGACCTCCAATCCTCTTCCTCGAAACTTCTCTCCCTATCCGAACTGTCCAGCTATCTGTCTTCTGCTCCAGGCAAGACCATTCTCGTCGATAACACCTCCAGTCAAGATGTAGCAGATTCATACCCGTCATTCTTGAGTGCTGGCGTCAGTATTGTTACACCCAACAAGAAAGCTTTCTCAAGTAACCTCAAACTATGGAATGATATCTTTTCCGCGGTCGATTCCTCTAATGGCAAGGCACTGATCTACCACGAGTCCAGTGTCGGCGCAGGCCTTCCAGTAATTTCGACCTTGAAAGATCTAATCGCGACAGGCGATCAAGTCACACGCATTGAGGGTGTCTTCTCGGGTACTATGAGCTTCTTGTTCAATTCATTTGCACCAGCCGATGGCTCTGGGAAGGGTAAATGGTCTGAGATTGTTGCCCAGGCTAAAGATGCCGGGTATACTGAGCCCGACCCAAGAGACGATCTTAATGGCATGGATGTCGCGAGAAAACTCACCATCCTCGCTCGCTTGGCTGGTCTCAAAGTCCAAGCTCCTGACACATTTCCTGTTCAGAGTCTGATTCCGGAAGCACTGGCTTCGGCAAAGGATTCTAGTGAGTTTATGCAGCGGTTACCAGAGTTTGATGGTGAGATGGAGGCGTATAAGGACCAGGCGGCCAAACAAGGGAAAGTGGTTCGGTATGTAGGCTCTGTGGATGTGGCTGCTGAGAAGGTCAAGGTAGGCTTGGAGTTCGTCGATCAAGGGTCGCCAATTGCTAGCTTGAAGGGGAGCGATAACCTCATGTGCTTCTATACGAAACGCTATGTTGCCAACCCCTTGGTGATACAGGGTGCTGGTGCTGGTGGTGAGGTCACTGCCATGGGGGTCACGGCAGATCTGATCAAGGCCCTTGAGAGGTTAAGGTAGATAACAATACATGGGAGTGACAGTACGCTGATCGGACAACATCCACGACTCAGGGACACTCGGGAAACCTACGCCAATACGTAGACGACTAGAGATTCTGGTCTCAATAAGTAGATACATGATTGCATGTTTGGACGAATTTCATTATAACCCGCTCCTCATATTATGTGCTTGCGTTCCCAATCCCGTGTATCGTCATGAACAAAAAGGTGACGATCGTCTCAACCTTAGCTTCTCAAGTATTTCTTAACAGCCTCACCCCAGACAGCCCCCCTTTTGTAGAAATGCATAGCAGGGACACTCCCCTCCTTCAACCCATCCACCGCCTGCGCAAGCTCCTCTCCCAGCCCATCAACCTCCTTGATCTCCCGGATCGGATACAAATAAGTCTTGAAAGCAAACACCAACCCCTTCGACTTCGGCAACCGATGCAAAGTCTGACGCTCACAGCGCATAAAAGTCTTATCGAGGTCGAGCTCTTCATCCGCCATCTCCTCGACGACATCGCCTTCGTGCGCATGGTTCGTGCCCGGGCCTGCTGCGTACAGGTTGTCGTGTGTCTGGATGCTCCAGTTGGCTCGTTTGACGTATTTGCCGACCTCGAGGCGGGCAAAGAACCGGTCCATGGACCCCGAGATCTTGGCTTCGTAGCCGGGTACTGGTGTGTGGATTGCAGACAGGCGTTTGCCGAGCTTCTCTGCCGGGTCGAAGCCTGACGGGCAGCATACTACGTAGGCTTGAAGGATGTATTTCTTGTCGTCGTCCTTGGGGTTTGGCTTTTCCGAAGGTGTTGATGATTTGCTGTCGTCTTGTTCCTCGTCCTCCTCGGCGTGGAGAAATAAGAAGTCCTCATCGATCGTGCGCCCTAGAGTCTCTAGTAGGCGTGTCGTTGGTGTGGATGCAGATACATTGGCGGGGAAGATTGCGCCTGTGACCAGATTTTCCAGCATGAAGGTCTTGCCCATCTCATAGTCGGTTTCGTGTAGTTTGAACATTTTGGGAAAGCGGAGTGGCAAGTACGTGCCCATGAGAAACTCATAGTGCTCAACCACGGCGGGTCGGATGATATAGTCATCATTGACGGCTACCACATGCGTGCCGTGTTTGGCCATTGTGTCGCGTCGAAGGGCAATCCGATCTCGATATGTCTTGTCCATCTGAAGCAGTTCTGACGGGATGAGGTTTTCAAGTGCTGAAGAGTCAGATTCCACTTCAAGATTGAACGAAGCATGAACGCAGTCAACATTTAAAGCCACAAAATAGACAGAACTCAAGCAGTTCATCAGCCACGTGGGGACCAGATGCACTTACCCATGGTCAAATGGTACTTTGGCTTGAACGGTCGCAACTTTATGGGTTCAGTCTTCTCCCATTCGAAGTCGGGCTGTTCCTCCACGGTTGGGAACTCATCCCGTTTGATATATCGGTGTTCATAGCCGTGTTTGGCGGCTTCTTTCTGCTTGGCCTTGACTTGTCGGATAGCGATGAAGATGAACACCAAGAGCATTATGATGTTCGTGTAGTTGGCCTTTGTGAATGAAGTGGCCATCTTCCAGTCTTCCAATGTTCGCCATTTCCAGAAGAACGTAGGCCTCTCATAAAGATTTGGATTCTTCATGATGTGATGATCCTGCCGTCTGTGAAAAGCCTTCTCCTGATTCCCCTTGACAAAAGTCTCCTTTAGCAAACCGAGGCTGTTAGCAAAGACGATGCATGAAGATGTGAGTGGGTGTAGGTCCTAGACTCACCCTGGTGTTATATGCCAATGGGGATTGATGAATTATCTCAAACTTTCACTCCCCACGCCCAGTGACAAGATACCGGGAGAAAGATAACCTTCTTGGGTTCAAAGGGAAATACTTTCTCGCGCTTCTCCGCCGAACCCGTTGATATCTGACAAGGTTGCATTGCATTTGGTTGGATCTGGATATGATATTGCGGGGAACCGCCAAGTCATCACGTGCGCCGCAACCAATTAATCCGACTCGGGGCCCGGAACGGTGGCTTTGTTCTCCCGGGCCGGTAAATGTTGATTCGACCCGTCACACATTCCATCTCTGATTGGTCAGCCTGATTTTGGGCCATCCAGGCACGCGCTGCAGTTCGCGAAAGTGTCATGCTGCACATGCCTTTGCCAGACACCACTGCTTACAGCCACGCCGATCCTTTGCCATGACATGCCATGCATCGCTTGACATGACTCCATAATTCATATCGCAGGCTGCTACTGCCAACGGCGACGGATAAGCCACCCGTCCGTCTTCATTTCCCCGACAAGCCCGGTGTGTAACGGGTGGTCCATGGAGCAACAAGTGTGACAGACATGGCTTTACGAGTTTACGTCTCCCACACTGGGGCGGCCCTACCATACAATGACCCAGCCTCGCGTGTCGACACCCTACGATCATGGATCGAGGCCAACGCTGCGATTCCGATCAACCGTCAAATTCTCATGACTGCGAGGGGGAAGATTGTCAAAACCTTAGCAAACGAATCTGAAGTCTTTGTATACGACAAAGAATTCCTAGGCTCCAACTCTAAACCCCCGTTTAAGTCGAAGCCGAACCTCGAGACCCTACAAGAGCCTCCTTCATCCCTTGCCGATGAGACCAGCCTTGCTGCATGGCATGAGTTATTCAAGTCTAGACAATCTTGGGCCGTTGATGCCTTCGATATAGCAAGAGCTGGTGTCGAGAACCTCGAGGTCGGTGCTGATGAAGCAACGGTTATTGCGCGGTCTATGAAGGTCGCTCTTGACAATTTACGGAACCACATAACTAGCTTGCATCAGAAATTCCAAGAGACCAAACAATGGGCTGAAGGGTACATACAGGAACATCGGGAGGTACTTCGAGATTGGCAGGGTAGTGCAGAACTTTTGAGAGAATTGCCGGTGAGGGAAGATGTTGCTCGCATCCTCCGTCGATCGGTCGAATCAGATACCAATCGAACCAGTACTCCCATTGGTACCTTGTTTGATTTAATTGATCATGACGGCTTGCAGTTTGCCGCTGCAAAGGTTGAACAAAGCTCGACCCAGTTTCAAAAGGATCTCCGCGAGTTGCATTCGAGTATGGCAGCTCTCAAGGAAGATGCAGAAGGAGCTCAAGGCCAGGATCCACAAATACCCGATATTGATACGAATGCTTTGTTGGAAGAAGCAGAGACAATAGCAAACCGCATCCAATCCGATATGGATGATGTTTTGCAAATGACGGACAGTCAAAAGTCTGTCATTACCGCATCGAGGAAGGCTGCAGTTCACACTCAAGAGCTTCTTCCTGCATTACAAGGTGTTGTGGAGGAGATTGTCCAGGCATCTCTAGCAACATCGGAAGCAAGAAATAATGCTTCTGCCGAGTGGTACCATACTTTGCAGAATATCTCACGTCTTCAATCACGGCTCCAGGAATTGCAGCCTCGGATCACGAACCTAGACTTCACTGATCTGGATAATTGGCAGACCCTCAATCGAGTTTTCCAATTACCCCTTGTTTATGGTGATACTCTGATAGAGGCAACAAGAAGGACCGAGTGGACGGAGAAAATGCGGATCGAGGTCGATGGACTTCATGATGATCTGCTACATCAAACAGAAGAAGAGCAACGACGTAGGAAGAAGTGGACCACTGCACACAGCGACTTTCTCAGTGATGATCTGAATGCTAAAGACGCTTTGATCGACCTGAAGGCCTCATCTCCCCGAAATTCTTGGCCTTTTGTCAATCGGGACGAGATTTTTGCGTGGATCGATGATCTCCGGGCATTACAAATTGATGATGCTGTGCAAGCCATTACTCAGCGGCTGAAAGATCTAGACGCTGCGGTCCGCAAACAAAAACCAAAGCCATTCAAGAATGGGAGTGTGCATGATCTTTCTCAAAGTGCTACCCTTCAGCACGGGGACGAGGTTCGAGGTCTACAAGATGAGAAAAACCGATTGGAAGAAAAGCTTAGAGCTTCTGACAGCAGAGTCCGAAAGCTGGAAGATCTATTGCATCGACAAAGCCAACTTAGCCGACCTGCCAGTGGTATCTTTGTGCCCGGAAGTGCAGCAGATTTTGAACGACAGACTCCTTCACCAAATCCATTCAATAGACAGAGCGACCTCTCGCGAAGATCATCGATGTCCAACAGAAGAATGTCGAACACCCAAGACGACAAAATGTTGGTTCAAAAAATCCTATCTTTAGAAGGTCAAATCCAGAAACTTCAAGATGAGGCTCATGCCGAACGCAGATCAAGCACTGAGAGTCGAGACAAGATGCAGGAGGCAGAATCGGTTAAGAGGGATCTGATGGCCAATTTCGAGTCCCAAAAGCAGGAGTTTGAGGATGAAAGACAGCTTCTAGATGATGAAGTTCACAGGTTGAAAGTCAAAATGGAGGAAGCGGAAGATGAGCTTGATCGTCTTAATGAATCAAGAGACCATCTACGCAACGAGCAAGACCAGACAATTGCTAATTTGCGCAACGAATTGGACCAGTTGAGGAAAGCACATTCTGAAGAACAGGCTCAACATCTACGCAAATTTGAGGCTTCCCAGAAGGATATCTCGTTGCAGCGTGACAAGATTGCCAACCTTGAACGTCAAATCCACCAAGTCAAGGAGGAAAGAACCGCCGCCCAGGGCCAGAATGTCACATTAGCGAATCAAATCAGGACAATGGAGGACCGTCAACAAGACTATATCGGTATATTGCAAGCAGTCCATTCAAATCTTTCACCCGCTGGATCGGCACCAGAAGACCTGCGTCGTCTAGTGAATGCTCTTGAGATACTGTCGGAAGGTGCGGCTATTCATGCAAGAGGGCTGGATGACTCTTTGCAGCTCGCAACTGCAGAGAATAAGGCTTTGGAAGAGAAAGTATTCCACGGCGAATCCCAAATCAAGTCATTGACATCTCGACTGTCGGCGGCAGAGACACGAGCTAGTGAGACTCGGGAGAATCTTGATCAAGAAAGAAGCAGAATGTCTGCATTGCGATCTGAACTTGCTACTGAACGAGCAGAGATGCATAATCTCCGAGAAAAGTTCGCTGCTGGGGAGACAGGATCGGACGCTCTCAGACAGCAACTACAGTCAGAAGAACAAAAGGTGGCTGAAATGATGGAAAGCAAAGCAGGCGACGAGAGCTCGATACAAAGATTGAAACACGAGGTTGAGAATCTAAATCGTGAACTCAACACAGCGAATCAAAGTCAACAGACGCTCAAGAAACACCTCGACAAACGTGGTGAGAAAGCCAAACAATTGTCTGAACGTCTTTTCCATCACCATGATCGTATTATCCGTATGCTCGAGCAATTTGGATATTCTGTTTCTCGACAGGATGATTCGTTGGTCATTCAACGAGCTTCCAAGGTCAATGCGTCAACGATCCTAGGTGCTGGTGAGGGATCCTCAAGCATGAGACGAACAATATCAGGCTCTGTACCTCCACAGCACTATTCTGACCCATCCGACCTTGACACTTTATATTGGATGTCTGATACAGATGTCACTAATGAGAACAACAAATATCAGTCGTTTGTGACGGCCTTGCAGCGTCTTGACGTCGATACAACCGTTGATCTGATTACCAAACGCTATAAAGATGTCGAGACTCTTGCTAAGAAATATCAAAAGGACTCCCGTGGTTATCGTGAACGGACCCATCGAATTCAAGCCGAAGCACATGATAAGATTGCTTATCGCTCGTTCAAGGAAGGTGATCTCGCTTTATTCCTTCCCACTCGCAATCAAGCTACTCGACCCTGGGCCGCTTTCAATGTTGGTGCGCCACACTACTTCCTTCGTGAACAAGACGCACACAAGCTTCAAGCCCGGGATTGGTTGCTTGCACGCATTACTAAAGTCGAAGACCGTCTTGTCGACCTCTCCCGATCCATGCGTGGCTCTGCAATGGCTGAAGCGAGTGATGCAGGTTCTTTACGTTCCATGGATGACGAGAATCCCTTCGAGCTCTCCGATGGATTGAGATGGTACATGATTGATGCAGTAGAAGAAAAATTGGGCGCTCCTGGAACCCCATCGCTTGGAAAGTCGACCGTTTCCGCTAGTAACGTTGAGGTGAAAGGTCATATGGGACGGAAAGAGCAACCTGGGGCGTCTGGATCTGGAACCGCTAATACCACGCTTGTTACAAAGACGCTGACCAAAAGCCTTGATTCCCGCCGCTCGAGTTCCGGAAGTAAGAAAAGCGTTGATCTGACCCGCAAGCGCGGAGAGGGAAATAATAGCAAGGATATGCAAGCTCCTTTGGCACCTATCGTCAGTGATACAGATGCAGAGCGGGATGGCAACAACATTATGGTACGCAGAAGCCAGAGCATTAGCAAGGACAAAGGAATTGGATCACCCACGTCAGGAGTGAATGCTACAGCATCAGCTTCTGGAGCCACGGTACCACCCAGCTTGGTACAGCAGCCTTCTGAGACAGGCCAAACAGACAGGGAGGATGCCCATGTCTTTGAAGTGGTGAGGCGCGATCTCCTGCTCGGTCCATGAAAAGGGACCGAAATATCCTCCCTGTGGTGAAGAGATGGCTGACGCGAACCATATTTGTCGACAGGCTGCTGGTAGCAATATTTCTGCTAGTGGACATTTCGCGGGATTGCTTCCCCAGAAGTCTCCCTCCATCTTGTCCAGTCCCAATACTGGACCATCCGGGCTAAAGAAGCGTGCACCAAACTTTTCTTCAAATGTTCAGACCGACTCACGGGCATCTTCACTATCTCCACTGAAGCGCAAAACCCCTCTAGCGAGTCCCTCGAAATACTCCTCTACTACACCTACTGCCTCAAGCGCTGCTCCCTCGCCTGCGAAGCCTGCGCCAAGTACTAGAAATTGGGACAAACTATTCAGTATGGAGTATCGCGGATGATCACACTCCTTGGTTCCCAGAGGACTTACGAGGTTTTCACTGGTCTCTACAGATATTGTTACTTTTGATAGAATCCACCGCCACCGTCCTAGAGCTGTGTTCTCTCCAACTGGAGCACGCCTCGAAAGATTCCAGCTCTACATAGAACAAGATTTACAGCCATAACCTATAGTAGATCGATCATTCTCGAGCCGAGGATAGGGAGCTTCGCAGTAGACACCTCTTATTGAATGCGTGGGTGCAGTGTTTATCACCAGTGATCTCTGGTGTTTACTAGTTATTGGGGTTGTGAAAGGTATAGAAATGGGAAATGGCACTCAATCCTCCAAAACCAACAATTCGTCCCTCCTTACTGTAACCAAGTAATTATGACTTGTCCCGTCATCAAGCCCACGTGCATAGCAACCGGCCAGCTTGAACACATTCGGAATCACTTCTGATGGACAATCGCCATGGCATCAACTTCATACAACAACTCCGGCCATGCCAACGCCGCAACACCCACCACGGTACTCGGCGGACGATGATCCCCAATAAACTGCGTATACGCCGCGAGTCTTGATTTATCCTTTGGGTCCAAGTTGACGATATAGTGCGTGACCTTGATGATATCCGCCGGCGTCGCTCCTGCGGCCGCAAGGCATTTCTTCAGATTCTCCAGCGCGATTTCAACTTGCTCGCCGAAGGTCGCTGCTGCGCTGGCGGAGTCTGGAGGCACGCCGATCTGGCCCGCTATGGTAACTAATGTGGTCGTGGGTGAGAGTGGTGTTGTTTGCACGTGCGAGTAGATCGGGTGCGGAGGGCGGACGCCCGCTGGGTTGATGAGCTGGCGCTGGGACATGGTGGTACTGCTGTGCCGTGGGCGACCTTTTTTCCGACAGTTGAAGCAAATCTTGTCTAGTTCAAGGAGTTTTGCAAGTCACTGATGGTCTCCTTTTTTGGACTTGTGGTCCTCTTTATACGCATGGATGTCGTGCTTGAAGTCGTGACGGAGAAATGCGCTCGAGCTCTAAGCAACTACAGAGGGGTTGTCAGCTAGCTACTGTACGGATATCGCGTATTCGCTAGAACTCCAGACTCTTTTTGGTTACATATATTCACCAAAGAGTCTGACAAGCGCCGATCCGTTGCACACAGTCTACCCATTATCCGCCAACGTAGAGATGGATTCACTGAGTGAAGCTCAAGCCATCTCTCGTGCAACGTTTCGTGATTTCATGGGTGTTTGGGCAATATAAGGCTGCCTTTTGTCACGGACTCGTATGAGATATCGAACGAACATCGCTCAAGGCAGTCTAGGAACCAGTTTTGATGCTTCCGGAACTGAAGCGACACTGTCACCGATGGCTGTGTTACTCGACAGGAATGATGGTGTTGAGTTGCGCCTTATGAATGCTCAGGAGCTCTTTTTGGGATATTATACTATCATACGCGCTGTGGAATGAGATCTCGGAGATCTAGGTGTGATTATACCTCTTATCAGTGAATATAAATCTTGGTCCTCTGTTCGTCCACCTTGACCTGTGGGATACTGTTATAGGTGCTGTAGATAACGAGACCCCTGGTGTCGCCGAACACCCTGCGGTGCTGGCTGGAACACCTTGACCACGTCACAGTTTGGGTTCAGTTCATGATTCCCCTTCGAGAACTTACTAAAATGTCCACAAAAGCCTTTTCCCAGCCGAAACCCAGACGAAGCGACAAATCGGTCGGACTTCGCGTAACTGACGTCCTGTGGTCGGTGATACGGTTGATATGGCTGTGGTGGGCGAGAAGGCACTTTCTTATTAAGCTTAATATATTATAAGCCAATCAAAGACTGTATTTCCTTGTATACCGCCGCACTCGGCAGGGTTCACGCAGGACAGTTAGGAGAGGTTGCTTTGGAGTCTTAACAAAGTTGTCTCATAATTGTGGCTCGGAATCTATCCTCTACATCGGGCATATATTCACACCAATGTCGCTTTGATGATCTCAGCGCCATGCTCGGCCACCCCGTACACCACAGCTTGAGGGTTGCTCGTCGGCACGACCGGTATAATGCTAGCATCGCAGACTCGAAGATTCGCACACCCATAAACACGTAGCTTATCATCAACAACGCCTCCCATCTCTTGCGACATCATAGCACATGTACCAACAAAGTGATGCGTCCAAGCAGTATTGGCCTTGACATACTCCCTTGCCTCCTCGATGTCTGTGAAGCGATTCTTGTGCGGCTTAAGGAGAGATGCGAAGGGCTCTAATTGAGTCAGGGACTTTTCGGCGTACATGATGTAGCGAGCGAGGACTTCTACGTCAAGAGGGCTTGGGGAGAAGCCTACATCCAGCGTCATCCCAGTCTCCTTGTCTGAATGCTCGAGTAAGCTGCTGTTGATGTGCACGGAACCTCGAGGAAGAGGCGTCGACAGCACCGTGATAATGGTGAAGTGATTCCCAAGCGGGCGATACGATGGATCAGCCACACCAAACCGCGCATATAATGGGATGAACATGAACCGCCCCGGTGACTCTGTTTTGCTGGTGAGGTTCCGTTCGATGTACGAGTCCCAAGCCCTCCGGAACGCTGGCGTGGTAATCGAAGACCCCATTGACTTGCCCGCGGATTCCTTTAGAATTTGCTGTATCTCGTTCGTGCCATGATCATCTGTAATATCGGTCATAGGCATCTGCGCACTCAGAAGAGTAGAACTTCTTCCGATCGGGCCGCCTTTCCCGCACGCATACGTCTTCTCAGCTGCAGCAACAGCGCTGGGCTCTTTTCGGATGAATGCATCTAGGGTACTGACATCGTCTCGGACTGGGAACACGAGGCCTGAGTAGCAGTGGTTCTGGAAGTTCTCTCCAACGTGGGGATTGTCGACAACAGAGTCTATGCCTAGGTTCTGTAAACGTGACCTTCCACCAATGCCAGAGAACTCGAGGATTCTGGGTGAGTTGATGACACCTGCTGCGACAATAACCTCCTTGCGAGCCTTAATAATGCTCTGCTTCCCGTCCTTCGAAGTCACTTGAACGCCATCCGCAATATGCTCAGCTCCAGTATTTCTTCCCTTAAAGACGATTTTGTTCACAGTTGATCCAGTTAGGACAGTGAGGTTGCTTCTAGAACAAACGGGTTCAAGGTATGCGTTGGTCGTGAAAGACCTCTTGTTTGAAACCGGATCAACAGTGTCAAAATTCCTGATTGGGCCGTGTTGCAAGCCAGAGAAGGCATCGCATGGCGATTGTCCAAGCTGTGCTAGGCTGTCGTTCCAAGTCTTGACCCACGAGGTTGCTATTTCCGACTCATCGATGACTAGTTGAATCGGCCCGGAGCCTCGTGGTGTTGTTCCAGACGGGCCGTGGATCGTCACGGCTTTGCGCACAGCCCGGTCCATGGCATCGAAGCCCCAGCCACTGTTCCCAAGCTCAGTCCAGAAGTCGAGATTAGACTTTGAGCTCGGTTGGAAGACGAAGCCATTGATGCCGCTTGTGCCTCCCAAGGTGCGGCCTGCTGCCAAAGAAAGCGGTCTATCGCCATGTGGTGACTGGAAAGTATTGTCTTAGTAAGGGTACGCATAGAGAGCGGTGAGAAACTCACTGGATAGGTAGACTTGAACCCCCAATCCAAAGGACCGTTTCGTAAAGAATTATACAAGATGGGAGTTTGGAGATTTGGGTTCGAGCTGTCATCCTCTCCAGACTCGAGGACAGCAACTTGCAGACCCGGGTCCTCAGACAGTCGAGCGGCGACGATGAGCCCCGCTGTCCCACCACCAACAATGACGATATCATACTCGTCCGATGACATTATGAAGTCTGGTAGTGAAAGGGGGACCACAGATCAACCCTTTTCAACAACAAAGGAAGAATATGCTTCGGATGTATCATGTTCGACCCCATCGTGTGGGCCGGCTGGCTGCCGAATACCTTTCCAATTACCAACGGCTTTCGTTCCTGAAGTAGTTCCCTCCCCTGTATCTACTCACATTTTCGTTTCGAATCCCGTAGAGACTTGGAGTTTGAGAAAGCACCATGACATTCTTGGTCTGGCGTACTATCAAAGTCCGGGGCCGGCCCCAAATGATCTCGGGGAGGCGCCGAACTAGGCACGAGGTACCAGTCTGTGCCGGATACGGTAGGTGCCATAAAATGGACAACAAGGGGATTGTTCTGCAAGAGAACGGATAATAGCCATGCGTTAGTTTCGTTCGGTGAGGGGGGTTGTATTGATGTATGGAGGGGTCCGGAGGTATGTAACCCCGTACCTTTTCTACGTTGGTAGCGTGCAAGACAAGGCTTGAATTCATTCTGGTTCACACTATGTACGAGTACAAGGCAGAGTACCTACGTAAGCCATGGACCCTGGAGAGTACAAGGTAGAATAAGCCATAAAGCCTGGAGAGACCATACTAGTTAAGTTAGTGGGGGTGCGGGGAAGGGCCGGAGCGTTGCAAACCATGACATAGCTTTCTCCGCATTATCAACGGGCTTTCCGCCGTCCGATATTGGTCATCAACTGAGACTCTCAGGATCGCCCCGGCATAAACCCAATAAAGTGGGTACGAGTGCATGACAGCCGACGTCGCCGTATTTGTATGTAGCCACCATAGTGCGTGCAGACATCGATGGACTTCATCGGTTGCCCGAAGCATATCCCATTCATATCTCAGGGTAGACGTCGACAGTAAAGGACTGCAGTCGGTAGGATATTCCGGTCCTTGATTCTTCCACAACTGACTATTAGCCTGAACACGGGGCTATTCCCCGTAGTACAGTCCGTCGAATCCTTCGCGTTCAATGTTAATCACTTACTCGAAAAGACTGCGCGGATTGGCTTCATGGTGGTGGAGAACCTGCACAGCTCTGGGCTGGCTCATATTCAAGGACCGGATAATCACAAGGCACCTCCACTTTACCGAGAACAGGCGGGTTCCAGGATTGTCAACGTTAAGCATTTTAACACTACACATTTATCCAAGTTGTAATTTGGGGTCCTCAACGACTGCTATTACCGTCCTGGGCGCTGCACGCCTTGCTAAAGACTGGGATGGAGACGAAGTGAGAGGATGTGCATAGGTCAGGCACAAAGAAGCCGCCAGCACTTCGTTTGCCTGGGTTTTCGACGAAGCACAACATGTAGATTTGAATAGCTACAAGGCTAAATTCATAAGAAGCGGCTGATGTGTCCTACGCATGTCATTCTCTCGTTTCTCCTCGCTGTCAATCGCCGAGTCTTATACCCATAGCTGCCTTTACATTGTAGTGACGTCCATTTAAAAGTCCCTGTCTTCATATCTTGAGCACACACGCCACGATGGCGGACCTTGAGCCCATTGCTATCATCGGCATTGGCTGTCGCCTACCGGGAGATGTAGGAAACGCTGAAGACCTTTGGCAGCTCTTGAGCGAAGGTGGTTCAGGATGGTCAGTTGTGCCGAAGGACCGATGGAATGTCGATTCATTCTACCACCCTGATGGCGCCTCTATACAATCATACAACACCAAAAGCGGATATTTCATGTCGCAGGATGTCACACATTTCGACTCGAGGTTCTTCGGATTTGCCCACAACGAGGCCGATGCTACAGATCCCCAGCAGAGGATTCTCCTAGAGTCGACATACGAAGCCTTGGAGAATGCCGGAATCCCTATAGAGAGCATTAAGGGCTCCGACACCGCAGTATATGCCGCCCTCTTCACGCACGACTACGATCGGATCGCATACAAAAACCTCGACGGTTTGTCACAATTCCACACTGCCGGAGCAGGAGAGGCTATAATTGCGAACCGCGTGTCGTATTTCTTCGATCTCAGGGGTATCTCAGTGACTATTGACACTGGCTGTGTGAGTTCACGAAGGTTCACTCGCAGGGTGAGCGCACAGCTGACAACACTTGTGCGTTAAAGTCTGGTAGCCTGGTCGCGCTTCATGAAGCCTGCATAGCTCTTAGAACAGGACAGTCTCGGATGGCCATTGTTGGCGGCACGGAAGTCCTTTTGCACCCCGATCAAAATATCGCCATGAGCTTGAGCGGGTAGGCTCACACAATTTTGTTTTAAACGGTAAACTCTCGTTGCAGCCTAGCTGACTGACTTCACTCTTCTAGGATGCTCAATCCAGACGGCAAGTGTTATACATTCGATAGCAGAGGAGCTGGATACGGTCGCGGAGAAGGTGTTGCCGTTGTCATCATTAAGCGGCTGAAAGACGCGCTTGCAGACGGCGACACGGTCCACGCCATCGTTCGTAACTCCGGCGCCAACCAAGATGGTAAGACTAATGGAATCATGCTCCCGAACCCGGATGCTCAGGAGGCCTTAATCCGGAAAGTGTACGGCGATGTGCATCTCGACCCCGCCGATACTCCTTATGTCGAGGCCCATGGTACGGGTACGAAGGCGGGTGATTTCGCCGAAGTGCAATGCCTGGGTAACGTCTTTACTGAGAATACAAGGACCCAGAACCTGTACGTAGGCTCAGTCAAGACCAATATTGGCCACACGGAAGCGACTAGTGGTCTCGCTGGCTTGATCAAGTCGATTCTGGTCCTCAAACACCAACAGATCCCACCCAATCTGAACTTCATTAAGCCGAAGCCAGGCCTCAATCTGGACGAGAGGCAGATTTCGGTAATTGCTCTTATGAATCTGCATGCCATGCATACTCATCGTACTTACCTTCTTTCTTAGGTCCCGCTAGAGCTTGTCCCTCTGCTCCCCGAGGGTTCTAAAGGCGCTCACAGAGTATCGCTCAACTCCTTCGGTTATGGTGGTACCAACTGTCACGTTATCGTTGAATCGCTGGACCAGTACCTTTCTGACCATAGCGGGTATCTGACCAATGGAGCTGCCAATGGAACTGTGAACGGAATTGTCAATGGATCTACGAATGAAGTCTTCAACGGTGCCAATGGTGATTCTGCTGCATTTCCCAGAGGAAAGAATGGCGCCCGATTCTTTAGCGGCACAAATGGCGTCAATGGTAGCCATATCAGCAATGGAGTTAAGGCAAAAAGCACGGCATCGGCAGACACCATGCCGCTAATCTTCCCCCTGTCAGCCACCTCAGAAGCTGCCCTAGATGAGATGCCGGCACAGATCCAGAAGTGGCTTTCGCGCTCAGACGCTTCTCCCTCCGACTTGAGTGACCTTTCCTACACTCTCACTTGCCGTAGGTCGCTCTTCAAGTGGAGGAAGGCCTTCGTGGCTTCCGACGTGGCCGAGCTTACAGCAGTACTGGCCGAAGGCAAGATCTTCAAGACCCGTTCAGCACCATCAGCCAAGGTTGCATTCGTTTTCACTGGACAAGGTGCTCAGTGGGCAGGTATGGGAGCTGATCTTATAGGTTCCTCTCAAGTCTTCAAGAGTTCCATCGAGAGCTCGTCTCAGTTACTCAAGAGCCTGGGTTGCGAGTGGGATCTTGTCCAGGTGTTGAGCAAACTTGAGGCAGAGAAGTCACGGATCAACGAGAGCGAGATTGCGCAGCCTGTGACTACCATCATCCAGATGGCGCTGGTGGATCTGCTCGCTCATTACGATGTCAAGCCCAACTTTGTTGCGGGACACAGCTCTGGTGAAATTGCCGCTGCCTACGCTGCTGGGGCTCTCGCCCGAGAAGCCGGAGTCAAGGCGTAAGTGAGCTTCTTTGAGCACTCGACCTGCATTGATTCCTGCCTCAGATATGTACTGATACTGTCTTCAGCTCGTACCTTCGAGGTCTACAGTCCGCGATTGCCAGGAAGCTCAACAAGTTGCCCGGATCTATGCTGGCCACAGGTTATGGCGAACAGGCAGCGCTCCAGACAATCAAGGCGGCCAATGTTGACAGTGAGATGGGTCGCGTGGTAGTTGCCTGCATCAACAGCCCAGCTAGCACGACTCTTTCTGGAGATGAGCCTGCCGTGCTTTACATCGCGGAGATGCTCCGAAGTGGAGGCGTGTTCACACGCAGACTCAAGGTCGAAACAGCCTACCATTCCCATCACATGGAGAAAGTGGCTTCCTCCTACTTGAAGTCACTCCAAGGACTCTCCAGCACTGATATTAGGCCCGATGTTGAGTTCCATTCATCTGTAACCGGACAGATGAAGACTTCCGACTTCGGGCCAGTATACTGGGTTAAGAACCTGGTGTCCCAAGTATGAATGCGCTTCTCTCTCAACATTTTGATGCTTACGGATGCCGAGCAGGTTCGTTTCAACGATGCTATGACAGCTCTACTCAAGAGTATGGCAGCAACAGGTCCACCTGACGCTGCCAACATCTTAATCGAGATCGGACCGCACTCCGCCCTCCAGGGTCCGATTAACCAGATCCTCAATTCTATCACTGGCTTCAAGTCCACTTATATGGCTCCCCTATCTCGAGGCAGGAACTCAGTCTCTTCCTTCTCGGCAACCATAGCCCGACTATATGAGCTTGGCGCAAAAGTGAACCTCGAGAGGGTGTTCACCAAGCCTCGACGTGTCATTGACAATCTTATGCCATACCCGTGGGATCACCGGGTCAAGCATTGGGCCGAGTCGAGACTCAGCCGCGACCATCGCCTTCGCACATTCTCGTATCATGACCTCCTCGGTGTGTATGATGTTGTGAGTTCAATTAAGGAGCCTCGCTGGCGCCACCACCTCAGCATTCAGAGGCTGCCCTGGCTCAAGGACCATGTTGTTGATGGTATGGTCATCTTCCCAGGCTCTGGTTACTTTGCTATGATCACAGAGGCCATGAAGCAGCTCGTGCAGTTGAAGAATACCGACTTCGATACCAAGATTTCTAACATTATTATCCGTAATGTGAGCATTGCCCGTCCCATCATCCTGCCTGTTGAATCGACCAATGGCTCCAGCGACGATATTGAGGTTCAGCTCATCCTCAGCCCTTCCAAAATTAGCTATGCCAGCCCCTGGTACTCGATCTCTATCCTATCTTTGCAGTCAGATGGAACATGGGCCGAGCACGTCTCTGGTACTGTGCGCGCTGAGCTTGAGTCTGCTAGTGTAACTGGTGCGGAGCGCAAAGCAACTGTCGACGAGGCCTTTGAAGCCTTTGACAGGATCCAATCACGTGCTCAGGAGAAGATGAACATGGAGACCTTCTACGATGAACGAAGAGCAGCAGGCAACGACTGGGGCCCGAGCTTCGCCCTTCTGTACGAGGCTCATATCGGGCCTTGGGTTGGATTTTCCAAGCTGAGGATTCCAGATGTGGCTCAGTACATGCCTGCAGGGTATCTACAACCGCACTTAATCCATCCAACAACTCTCGATGCGGCAAATCATATTGCACTGGCCGTTTTCAATAGGGAAATCAGGAATGCTCCCGTTATGCCCATCAACACCGAAGAAGTTATCTTCACCAACAATCTCTCAAGCAAGCCAGGCGATGAGATGATTATTGCCATGGAGCTGAAGGCTGAGGGTAAGAGTCAAGCACGTGGAGATGTTTGGATCTTCCAGAACGACCCCGATACCCGTGGGGTGACGTTTGTGAGCTCTATAAGAGGTCTTGTCATGCGAGCTGTAGGTGATGGGGCGAGCACGGAGGCATCGAAGCCATTCCAGCGCAAACATACCTACCAGGTGTACTGGAACGAGGATCCTGATCATCTCGACAAAGCTTCTTTCGCACGCTTGGTTGAGCCGTACGTCTCGAAGAACCCCGAGCTCTTCGAACAGCTCAGCACTATCGAACAGGCCACAGCTATTTACCTCGATAGGGTCAAGAATATGCCTGTGATCCAAAACCCAGAGACAGCGCCTCTGCCCCATCTACGCGACTTCTCACGTTGGATATTCGACTATGTCAATTCCGATACTTGCAAGAAGATCTGCGAATCTCTGAGTGATAGTGAGCAGGCTGAGCTTCTGGATCGATCTGATAGCTCTGACATTGAGGGTAAATTGCTCGGCCGTGTCGGCAGAAACCTTGCAGGAATCCTGTCAAACACTGCTGATCCGCTTGAGCTGCTTGTGGCTGACGATCTTTTGGAGCGATTCTATAATCACGGCCCCTTGACACCATTGTATCAGCAGTTATTGCAGTATGCACGCCTATTGACCAACAAAAACTCGCAGATGAACGTCCTTGAAGTCGGCGCTGGAACCGGAAGTGCCACTCTTCCGCTATTCAATAGCATGGGCGAGGACGCATCGGATTTGGTCAAGAAATACACGTACACTGATATCACGTCCGGTTTCTTTGAGACCGCCAAGGAGCGGCTAGACAGGTGGAAGTCCATCATCGAGTATAGAACCCTTGATGTCTCCCGTGATCCCGTGGATCAAGGCTACGAAGCGAATTCGTATGATCTGGTTGTGGCCTCAAACGTCTTCCACGCAACAAAGTCGATCTGTGAAACCTTGACCAACGTCAGGAAGCTTTTGAAGCCTCACGGCAGACTACTCTTTGTTGAGATCAACAACAGTACGGCAGGGGCCAGCCGCAGTCTTGCAACTATCTTCGGAACCTTGCCAGGGTAAGCAAAATCAGCCTACTTAAGCTCGTAGGATGTAATTGTTAATAAATTACTAGATGGTGGGACTTCATCGATGGTAGGGAGGGCTCTCCGCTTCTGGAACCCGACAAATGGCATGAGCAGCTTCTCCAAACATCCTTCGGTGGCATTGAGTACTCCTCCCAAGACTGTGATGGTCCATTGGCCCGAGGCTCCTTCATTGTCTCCAAGGCCATTGAGGAACAGAAGCCACTCGATAGGGCCTCTCTCATCGACTCTGTGACTGTGATTCACAACCCTGTCTCCCCTGTGGGACGGTCAGCATCCACTGCCCTCACTTCCGTGTTCCAACAAAACGGGTTCTCTTCCAATGTGAAGTACAGCTGGGAGGCTCTTCCTGAAGTCGATTCAGAGGCTTGCGAGGGAACCATGTATGTGGTTCTTGACAGTGCAAACTCATCCGTCCTCGAGCACCCTACCCAGGAGATATTCAACCGTTACCAGAACCTCCTTGTCAACTGCCGCAACCTTATTTGGATTTCATTCCAGGAAGAAGGTGGACTAAAGGAGGGCTCTATCAAGGGTTTAGCGGATGGTCTGGCTCGTGTTGTCCGACGTGAAAACGGAGTTGTCAAGCTCATCACTATTGACGTCAGGAACGTTCTCCGGACCGAAGATGATGTGAGCCGTTTTGTCCTCAAGATTCAGGATGTTGCTCTTCAACTTCTAGCGCCTGATGTCGACGACCGTGCAACGGTTGATGAGGAGTTCGCCCTCGATGGGGACAAGCTTCTCATTCCCAGAGCATACGCCGATAAGACGTTTAACAACTGGACCGACCTCGTCAATGGGCGCAGCAACCTCTCGCTTCAACCTTTCAAGGTCCAGGCCCTGCCATTGAGGATGGAAGTCGGCGCGCCAGGTCTCCTGAGCAGCATTCATTTCGTTCACGATGCAGATGCCTCCTCTCCCATGGGCAGCGAGCAGATCCAGATCGACTCCAAGGCCTTCGGTGTCAGCTTCCATGATGTCAGATGTGCGCTTGGCCAGCTACAAAACGGTACCTTCATGGGTGAATGTGCCGGCGTTGTCACAGCTGTTGGCTCCGGCGAATTCGTGCAGCGCACTTACAAGGTGGGCGATCGCGTAGTTGGCATGCATGCTCAGGCGTTTGCCAGCTACTCTCGTTTGAACGGATACGACGCGCATGTTTTGCCGGACAACCTAAGCTTTGCGGATGCTGCGTCAATGCCAGTCGTCTTCACAACGGTTTACTACAGCTTCGTAAAAATTGCACGCCTCGAGGCTGGTCAGTCGGTGCTGGTTCACTACGGCTCAGGAGGTGTTGGCCAGGCTGCAATCCAGCTTGCCAGCCATTTCGATGCCGAGGTTTTCGTCACCGTTGGCAGTGAGGAGAAGAAGCAGTTCATTCTGGACCACTTCAATATCCCCGAAAGCCACATTCTCTCATCTCGGGCTTCACCCCGCGACCTGAAGCGACACCTACTACGACTGACACAGAACAAAGGTGTCCATGTTGTTCTCAACTCAGCGTCTGGTGAGATGTTGGCGGAGTCATGGAATTGTGTGGCCTCTTTCGGATTCCATATTGAGCTTGGTAAGACTGATATTGACAAAAACACGCATATCAGTATGGCTCCATTCAAGAGGAATGTAACATTCTCCTCGGTCGATCTGGTCACCATTGCCAAGGAGCGTCCGAAGGTGTTCTACGATGTTTTGGATAAGACCATCGCTCTCTTCGCCAAGGGTGTTTTGAAGCCGGTCTATCCCCTCAACAAATTCCCCATCGATCAACTCGAGTCCGCTTTTAGGCTTATCTCGGAGAGAAAGCACATTGGCAAAGTGGTTTTAGACTGTGAACATGAAGAGAAGGTTCAAGCGGTTCTGCCTGCGCCGGCCCCTATCGAATTACAGTCAGAAGGTACATACATCATTGCAGGTGGTCTTGGTTCGATTGGCCGTATGTTAGTGAGACACCTTGCTTCACACCATGCCGGGCATATCATCACGCTTTCCCGCGGGTTTCTCGCTGATGAAGAGCGACTTCCGTGGCAGGCCGAGATTGCGAAGCTGGGAGCAAAGCTTCATGTCTTGAAATGTGACATCACCGATGCATCAAGCGTGCAAATACTTACTGAATACTGCCGGGCGTCTCTGCCTCCCGTTCGCGGAATCTTCCATGCCGGAGCGGTCTTGAGGGTATGTACATGTTGCTTTTAACGCCCAGTATTGAGCGCTCATAACTGCTATCTTATCCACAGGGCAAGCTGACCATGACAATAGGACCGCCCCTTAGCCATGATGACATGTGATGAATGGAACGCAGTGCTTGGCCCCAAAGTTCAGGGAACCTTCAACTTGGACCAAGCTTTCAGCTCCCCAGATCTCGAGTTCTTCGTTACTCTGTCATCCATCGCCTTCACATTCGGCAACCCAGGACAAGCAAACTACAGCGCCGCAAATGCTTTCCTGGACTACTTTGCCACTCACCATGACAGGACACACCAAACTCGTTACGTCTCTGTCGACCTTCCTGTTATTGAGGAAACGCAAGCACGCGCTCAAATCGAAACAGCGACCCGCAACTTCATCCTGCAAGTATCCACGCACTTTGACGTTGAAGAACTCATGCAGCTGATGGACTACGCCATGGACCGCTCGGTCGAGCTGGACAGGCCGTTCATACATGCACTTATGGGCTTTGACCGGAAGTCCTTGGGCCAGGGCACGGGAGACGACATTTTTTCTCTCCTGTTCCAGACGATTCCTCAAATGAAGACCTCAAATTCTCAAGATCAAAACGGCGGTGATGCCAAACAAGATATCGAGGGCCTTCTCATGGCCGCCACAAGCTTTGACGAGGCTGTGAAAGTGATTATGGACACAATTATTGAGAAATTCGTGAGGTTCCTCAACCTCGAGGCTGATGATGTTGGACCCGACCACCCTCTCTCGTCCTATGGCCTTGACTCGCTTGTATCCATCGAATTAAAGAACTGGATGATGCGCGCTTTCAAGGTTACTTTCCAGGTGTCAGAGCTGACTAGCTCGCGGAACATCGCGCATCTGGCGGAGCTGTTGGCAACCAGATCCAAGATTATTCCTACCGGCCTCAGCAAGCAGACGCAAGATCACAATCAGAACGCTGGAAAGGATGAAGCCCAGGGCAAAACAGACTTACAGGAAGAACAGGATCTGCTTACTCAATCGGACGACGCGCACATCGAACCTCTGCCATGCTGCCCGCTGCCCGCCAAGGAGGCCCGGCAACCGGTCCCGGATCTGGTTCTGGGCTTGCAAAAACACCTTGAGAACATTTCACATTTCGCTCACAGCGAAGAAGAGATAGAGAGTCTTCGGTCAGCTATCAAGGAATTCCTTGCGCCAGGCAGTGTTGGGGAGCAAGTCTACAAAGAAATCCAGAATGATAGCCGTGATCCTAAAGTGAGCAACTGGATCTCGAACTTCGTGTCTGAGGGATACTACATGCCCATGCGACAAGCTCTTCAATACTGCAGCTTCTTGGCCATGAACCACCCCGGTCCTGTCCAGCATACACAGGCTGATCGCGCTGCGTTACTCGCTGAAACTGCTTTCCAATTCAAGCAAAAGATTGATAACGGGACAGTGGAGCCCCTGTACATCTTGGAGACGCCTGTATGCCAGGCTCCGTTGCAGTGGATATTCAACACCTATCGTCAGCCTCAAATTGGGATAGACAAGATAAGGAAGACAGCAGGTGACTATTGTGTCGTGTTCAGACGTGGTCGACTCTTCCACGTTCCTCTTCGAAATGGAGACGCTCCGGTGTCTCTCGACACGCTGAGAGCCACAATGACAGCTATCCTGGACCATGTCCAGGACGAGGGGACATGGGCTGGGATCTTGACCAGCGATACCCGTGACTCATGGGCCAAGGTAAGTCAATCGTCCATCCACGCGACTCACTGAAAGACCTCGGTACATTCTTCTCGACATATGACTAAATTCTCAATCCAGATTCGTACCGATTTGTTGGCGGTCAGCCCTTCTAACGCCCAGTACTTCCAAGTTATTGAGGAGGCCGCATTTGCGATAAACCTCGATGACAGCAGCCCAACCAACTTTACCGAGATTGCAAAGCAATGCAAGATGGGCAGCGGCTTCAATCGCTGGCACGACAAGCCTTTGCAATTTATTGTCACCGCGAACGGGCAGTCCGGCCTTCTCATGGAGCACTCGTACCTTGACGGCACGACGCCCATACCGCTTTATGATCGCATACGTGACGCGATCGCGGCTTACAAGCCGAAGGGCCAGGCGACACAGCAAGTACTATCACCTGAAGAGATCCCACTGGCTCTGCCTTCCAGTCTTGACAAACACATCTCCTTCCTTCGTGAACAATGGCTTAGCAATAATGCTCTCCGCGACTTCATCTCGTATGAGCTTCCGACTCTCAGTGGCCAGATTCTCGGCCGGAGTAGGGTCCCCATCAAGAGCGGATACGATGTCCTGTGTCAATTGGCATTCTTCCTGTACAATGGAAAGCGCGTCGTTCCCAACTGGCAGCCTGTGATGCTCGCACATTTCCACGACGGTCGCCATGATATGGTTCAGATGGCATCACCAAAGGTGCGAGCCTTCTGTGAGGCCGTGGTGGCAACCGGTGAGGACGAGATACCGATCCTGCAGAAGCGCAACCTGATGATTGAGGCGGCGCGTGATCTCAGCCGACGGTTGAGCGAAGCCAAGGATGGTAATGGATTCTTCCGGCTGTTCGTGACTATCGAGCAGCGATGGCCGAAGGATCAGCCCAGGCCAAGAGTGTTTGACGATAACCTGCAGAAGAGGACGATGGACTTCCCCATAAGCAACATGAACCATAAAGGGGTAGAGGCAGTGACTACACCGCTGGATCCTCACGCACTGAGGATCAGGTACACTATTCATGATGACCAGTGAGTTTTCTGGTCCCTTATAATTTCTCAGATCGAAGTAAATGCTAACGAACGTCCCTCGCAGCACCCTTATGAGCCTGAACTGCCCTACAGGGGCGGCTGATAAGCTCATCGAAGCCGTCAACGAAGCGGCCATCATCATCCGAGAGCTGAGTCTGGCCATCTGAAGTAGGAATTGAGTGCTGTTTGTCCCTTGTTAGAGATAAGTAAGTGCAATGTTGATTTTACTCTCGCAAGGTTCAGGGTGAAGTGACATGTATGACCAAAAGCCAACATAACACACAAGCTAGTGGGCCAGACGCTCACCACCACTCTTCGTCCGATATGCTAAACACGTCACAACAATGCGATATCGCCTCGAAGTTGGCACAAGTAACTGTATTTGATAATTGGCACGTCCTGGAATTGTGTCCTGCTATACCATAGCTCCTGCAGTGCCCGCTCAGCGCCTCCGACATGAACCATAATGGCATCCGCCTCCCCCATGTCAGTGTCGTTGACGATCGACATTAAAGATCGTATTTAAATGTTGGCACCTAGTCTGTGAATAACTAATCTTATAAGTTCATAGATATCCATAAGTCATGAGGTGCGAAGATCCTCATGATATGAGGCGCAAGCACATAGTACTAGTGGCAACCTATATAGATTACCACTTATAGTATGTGCTTAACCCCTGTTGCCTCTATCGTAATAGAGGAATAGAGCCAACACAGTTCAAGTGATATCGATCTTCTCCCTGATTGTCAGGGTATATTCTTGTATACCCCTGCCTCCGTAATTTAGTTAACCTAGTTACGTAGCTCAGCTTCATCCTCCATTGGCTGACCCTGTATCCCAAAGACGGGGACTTGCCCTGGGGGACGTCCCCGTGAAGGTTCATGGTACGTTACTTCAAGAGGAGGATCACTAGAGATGGAAATTTAGCCTAAAGCAATACTACCTTTTGAGATCTTCTTGCCTTGTGTCGATATAACTTCACAAGTTTGTTCATGCACTGTGTTCGCTCTTCTTGAACTACGTCTTCAACATAACCATATCCATCTTGACACCCTGCTTGCGCTGTCAAACTCTTATCATAATCCACTTGTGTCGGAGCCCTTACTGCTTGAGTTAAGGAACACCAAAAAAGCTGCAATCGAGGTATCTCTAACCATACCAGAGCAGGCACAGTAATCTCGCGCCACCATGAACATCGCTTTTGTAGGCTGCGGCTTTGTTGCCGCTTACTATGGCGACACGCTGCTGAACCATCCCGAGTTGCGGCCTCTGGCCGTATTTGATATCTCTCCCTCCCGCATGTCGGCCTTTTCGAAGCGATATAACATCCCCATCGCTGCCTCTTACCAGGCCATTCTCGACAATCCCGACATAGACCTCATCGTCAACCTCACACCACCTGCTTCCCATGTCGAAATCTCCCGTGCCGCCTTACTCGCCGGCAAACATGTTTATTCCGAAAAGCCGCTTGCACTGGAGCCTGCTGGCGCGAAGGAGTTGATCGCCCTCGCCACGAAGCAAAATCGCCTGCTCGCGGTCGCGCCGTGCAACTTTCTTGGTGGGTCCATGCAGACCCTCGCCCGGCTTGTCCGCGAAAACGTCGTTGGCATCCCGCGACTCATCTACGCCGAGATCGACGACGGCCCAATACACCAGCTGCCACACAGCACCTGGATAAGCAGCTCTGGCGTAATTTGGCCAGCGGAGACTGAGTTCCGTGTTGGCTGCGTCTGGGAACATGCTGCGTACGAAGTGGGATTTCTCACCAGCATCTTCGGCCCAGTGGCGAGCGTCACGTCATTCGCCCACACTCTTGTCACCGACAAGATGAAGGAGATCGCGCCGCAAGACCTTGGCCCAGACTTCTGTGCCGCTCTCCTCCCATTCCGCAGCGGTGTCATCGCTCGATTGACTATCGGCACGGTCGCCCGGCGCAATCGCTCAATGACCATCACTGGCGACAAAGGCATCCTCCACATACCGGAAATATGGGACTACGAGGCGCCGGTCCAATTCACACTCTCAAGAGGCTCGAAGGCTGACCCAGCCTCGCCACTGTTGCTTGTCACGCCGCGGACCACCCCCGAGCGCGCAGTAGATAGCCTCGGTGTGCCAATGCCGATGGCGGAGCGAGGTATTCAAGTGGACATGCTGGCGGATGCGCCGCGGCACTATCCAAAGGCAAACCGCATGGACATGTGTCTCGGTCTCGCCGAGCTCGCTGCCGCCATCCGCGAAAACCGTCGCCCGCGCATGGCGGCGGACCATGCGTTCCACGTATATGAAATCCTCCAAGCGCTGCATGACTCTGTCGCCGCGCCCGGGTATCGCGAGATTACGTCGGACTTCTTGCCGATCGAACCAATGCCCCCATTGCAAACGGCCGCGTCGAACTGTACAATCTCCTGGTAGGCATCTTGAGGGGAAACAAACCAATTGCCGCTGGCTCGCTCTCGCAAAATTCGTTCATTATGTGCTTCGAGATTGGTATTTGTTGTGTTCCAATGCCGCAATACGCCAGTCTAACGTCGTTGTTTATCGAGGGACCCATCCTCGGCTAAACTTGATCAGCTTGCTGGTTCGACCGGGTTAATTCCATGACGGCTGTCGTTTTATTTCTATAGATAAACGGGCGCACGAAAGTGGTTCATTGCGAAACCCTTCATCCATTTTGATCTTTCAGTGAGGTTTATATCCCTTATGTTTAGCGGAATCATTGTTAGCCTTCTTCGTAGGCGATAACAGAACAACTGTCGTCGTCCCGCGATGGACCAGCCTTAGCAGGCACAAGCTCGCTCAACCTGAAAAATACCAACAAATATTATGACCACATCATGAGGGTCGATTGTAGTGACAACTCACAAATGTCGTTCAGACTCAAGTCCGGCCAGTTCCCCACATTATATTGTCGACCCTAGTTGACTCATGATAGCATGAGAGCTTGCAGACCATAAACACAGCAAAAATATATCTCCTTTCGTCCCTCACCTCCTCCGGGGTGAAAATAACTAAAAAGGCAAAAACAATCAACAATCCGGATTCCCAAATGGTCACCCACTTTAGTACTAACGAATCGGCATGGAGCTTAAGTACGGCTGAGCGAACGGGAAGCCCTGTTTTCCCCATCCTATGGTCGATTGCGAAAGTAAATTAAACAACAAAAAATATGAACGTGCGAGTGCCAAGATTTTTCGAGCTGGACTTGCACTGCCGCCCGAGATGTCCCTCTAGCGTGCCGATAGGGGCGGAGACCAGCTAGGGCATGCCCACATGTCCAAAAGAGTGTCTACGAGTACATCCAATTCCCATAAGCTGGACATTAGTAGCAGCCTTGATTCACAGATAGAAAATATTGTGCGAGAGAGCCGGAGATTTAGATTTGATGAACCTCAGCCCTTCTGGGTACAAGTCGCCTGATCCAGAATGAACATTGAGGTCCAATGTCGGGAGATCTTACGAGGCGTGTTCGCATTCGTATCGGTATTCGTATTCGTGTACCGACGATGGCGCTGTCAATTCGCTCCTTTTTGACTACCTAGGTACCTCGTAATGTTGCCCGTGCAATCTTAGCCCACATGGCCAAGGGTTTATATACAGTGGCGCCCCGATCGCAAAATATCTGTGACACTATGACACTAATACTCCTCCATGGCGACGCAACAAACACTCAGATCCATAAGGAGCCGGTCAATCACTTCCTATCTCACTTCACAATTCGACCCAACACCAAGATCAGCAACAATCACACGGAGATACTCAGACAAATCGAGCCGCCATGAATCTGAACCAACCCCCAAGGGCAAGACGAGCACCAATCCAGGTCAACTTCCCAAGTTTAGCATGAACGACCTCGGCGCCTCATCAAGTGTGAAGGTCGTTGTTTACACAATGATTGGAATTATGGGCACGGTGGAAACATATGCTTATGGCAAGTGGGCGTGGTACAAGTGGGGCCCAACCCCAGATGGAAGCCCGTCAGAGCACCCACAGGAAGTCTGACCCTGCTAAGCGCTAAGGCTTATCGAGTTGCACCACATGGCTACTCTTTTACTTTCTCATCATGAGTCTTTTGTACTATACCTCGATCAAATTTGCATCATATCATTCATTCTGAACAGCCTGCTCAAAGGGGTTTTGGACATACAGCTCGATACCTTGTGAGGGCTGACAAAATGCCACAACCCGCTCTCCTCCCTATTGAGCATCCTTTGTCATATTCCGACACTAAATCGCTCGACTCAAGTCCCACACGAGGCCCATCGGTGAAGCTAAGGAGCATTGAGCAGAAGGCTCAGTATTTATTCGAGCACCAGCAGGTCTCGAATCTCCTTAATGAGTACGCATACGTCCTGGACGTGTGCATGGTAGACTGGTAGACTCGGCCGCTGCCCACGTGTGGGTAGCGCTGTTCACAGACGATTGCAGCGTAATATATCCATTAGGCACACACAATGGCAAAACTGGGCTGGCAGACTGGTGCCTCAATGCTGAGCTCAGGTTTTATAGAATGCTGGCAAGTGTTCCCCGTGGCAAATAGGTGGTTCATTCCGCAGGGATTGTCCAAGGGATGTCCAAGGGATCTGTCATATGTGATTGCTCATCCACGATTAATGATGCCCAGTCTCTAGCATATGTCCTCGACTTTTACGATAACATTCGATTCGGATCTTGTTACACATGGCTGTACCGTATTGTTCGGCATCCGTGGAACTCATGCCGAAGATATCAGTCAGAACTTCTCCGAAGGCGGCTATTATTCCTGGAGCTTCCGCAAAGTCAATGGCGAGCGGAAGATTTCATAACTTTTCCTGAACGTCAACTGGGAAAGTGGTGATTCGAAGGGCTTGAATGAGCCAGGTGCCGCAGCATACCAGTGTGGGAGAGCTGTCAAACAGTAAATTGGTGGGAATACACGTGCATTCCGACATGACGAAGAGGTTCGCCAGACAAGGGTAGCCGGAAAGTTGAACATCTTTGGGTATTAATTCTAAGGACGGCTAATTGGAAAATGCACACCCCATTAAGCCAAGATCCGTTCCCAGTCGAACCTCAATATTCGCACCGAGGAGTCAGCCGATGCGACAGCTAGTTGTTGTGACGTTCCATCCATGAATCGAGGACGCCATGCCAGGCGGGTGATTGATTTGGTTGGGCACAAGTGGGTGTCGACGGTGACGCTCCGCTCAACTTTGTTGCCGTCAGTGAGGTTAAGTACATGGACAGCAATAGTACCATCCTCCTCACCGGATGCGAGAAGAGACCAAGATTGATGGGATACAGCAGCAAGTGCCGTGATTGCGGACTTTCTCTTGATATCCAGTGTGCATGTAAAGTCTGGAGCTGTGGAAGAGCCATCTGTGCTCCACACCCTCATGACCTTGTCTCGTCCTGCAGTCACAAATGATGCATCTCCAGCACCTGGCAGCCACGTGCAGTCCAAGATCATGCGAGTATGCGCCTTAGAATTGGACGCAACTAGCGACCACGACTTGGAATCAGAACCTTGCTGTTTGAATACGGTCCACTGCCGGTCTCGACCGACGCTCAGAAGGTATTTGTATTCTTGAGGAGAAAATACAAGTCGCGTGACAGTTAATGAATGGGCGGTGAGGGGAGGCTTGATCTCATTCCAAGTTGCTCCATCGTAGAGACGAATGACAGCGTGGTCGATTGAGCTTGCTTTACACGCCGTCGCCAGAATTGCGCCTGAAGGAGAGGAGTCAACTTCAGAAATCTCATAACCATGACCGTACAGCTTTTCATGCTCTGGCCATAGTGTATGCCGCGAGAGCAAGTCTTCATTTGGGGGCTCTTCTAACAGAGTCAGAGCGTGTGCAGGGCTGCTCGATTGGATATTCGCCTCTTGGTCATCATCATTCGGTCCTTCGTGGATGTCTTCGTTCTCCCCAATGGCTTTGTTTGAAAGACCTAACACTGGGATAGCGGCCGTTTCTGGTAACTCAGTACTTTCTGGTGGCATTGCTATCCGACACAGATTGTTGAGCATCACAGCAACTTCCTTGGGCTCGTTGAAAACTCGCAAGAGCTTCTCATCTGCACCCGAGACAAATTGATGAGGAGTAGTGCTTGCAATGCAATTGAGATCGTAGCCATGAATTTGAGGACGTGAAAATTCGTGCCATGTGACTCTTCCATTCATTTTCCACTCTGCATGCAGCCTGGTCGTTTGGTCAGAGCTCGTCGAAATGAGATAGCTACCATCAGGTGCCCAACACATCCCATCGACAGAACCTACGTGCCCACTGATTGCAGGCTTTTGATGCCAAAATTGTGTCTCGGGTGTGTACTGCCAAAGCCTCCAGCTGCCAGTTCTGCCAAGAGAAATCACCATGTGACCATCTGGAGACCAAAGGCCATTCCAAAAGCCACCAGAGGAGCCTGTTGCCGTTGTGGCACCTTTTTGACTGCTGATCTCCCCGAGCCTTGAAATACTGACCCACACTCCGGAGGACTCCTCAGGCTCCCAGATTGAAAGTGACCCATCGGCCGAGGCAGTGAGAAGCTGCGGTACTAGTGTATTCTGTTTCCAGGATGATGAATAGATCCAATCTTCGTGTCCGAGTAGAAGAGCCTCGAATGAAATAATGTATGTGAAGTCGCCAGCAGAAACACTTTGAACCTTCGCAGTCAGTGTAATCGTGTCAGGTATTTGACGAGTTGTTCCATTTGTATTTGGTGTAGCTAGTTGTTGATCTTCCGGCTGTATACGCCAAATGCGTACATACTTGTCCTGACTTGCAGAGGCCAGTAGATATCCACCATTTGAGGTCGGTGTCAACGCAAGTGATCTGATCCAAGCCTCATGCCCGGTTAAAATCGCATTTGGCGCGACCTGGGGTTTCGAACTTAAACCCTCTATCGAGAATACCTGGACATCATTGCGGGTGCCTCCTGCTATGAGAAAGGCACAGTCGGGAGATGAGGTTGTTGCAAATCCGCCAAGTGCCAAAGCCAATGGAATCAGCCTTGGCTTCAATGGGATCTCTGTAAGGGCTTCCACGTTATCTTGACCAACCCGCCATAACTTCACTTTACCGTCTGCCCCACCTGTGGCAAAGATGTTGCCCCGTCCTAGAGCTGCGATAACATTGACGGTGCCCACATGTGCAATTTCCTTATGAGCTGGCTGGAATGGGATTCCTTGCAGACTTGCCTTCCATACAATCAGTTGGCCGTCTGCAGAGCCTGTCACAAGTAATTCAGGCGAAGAATCAGATAGCAACGGTAAGAACCTCACAGAAGTGACTGTGTCGGAGTGGCTCCCAAGCAGTGCAGACACGCCTAGAATGGCTTTGTCTGTTGGGGACCATAGACCAACATTTTGGTTGGCGCCAAAGGCAATGATGCCTGAAGTCGCTGACCAGTCGGCTGCTGCACTGTTCCTATTGCCGCCGGCGCTGTAGTACTCAGCCGCTATGTGGTCAGTCATGAAGCAAATATTTTAAGAGATTTGTTACTCATTGATTGATTCAACGAAAAGTTTGGTTCTTGAGCTCCGGAGTATTTTTGCCCCGACATTCCGATCCCTGGATGACTCATCCCAGTCTTGGCAAAGCTCCCGTCCAAGTTCAACTTGGACTTTGTCACAGGCGTCCCTCCCATCTCAACCTTTGAAACCTCGCCCTGCCAGCAACAACTCACTTCAATGAGAACCTGGAAACAATGATCAATTTGGTCACAAAGCGTAACTTACTGGACTTCTCGAGATGATTTGAGGGATTCAGCAACTTCAATCAATGGCTTGCTTGATGACTCACGCTGACACTCTATCACACTCTGTTGCGTGCGGACTTTCCACCAGATACGAGGTGTCCAATGCTGCGGAAGGCTAAGAATTCTTTCTAATATTCTACTGGCCATAAACTCCCTGACAGCTGTTGAATTCCTGAAAACAACTGCCCGATCCCGATATTTTGTACTAGTCCCCTCCCACAAGGCTGAGCACAACTATTATTCATCTGACTCCGATTCTGGTCAACTTTGGCCCCCCTATTTGACTCATCGCAGGACTTGAACCACTCAGGACCGCAGCTAAAGATGTAAGTTTCTTTAGTCTTCTTGAATCTTCCCCTATATAGTATAAAGACGCTCGTTTCATCAATAATCCCTTCATCAAAGTCCATAGAGACATTCTCGGCATATCTTATCTAGATCTTTTAATCTCGATCTGTCAATCTGACTGCACAATTCGAAGCATGGCTACGTTAAACAAAGCTGCCAGAGCGGCCCTGGCCAAAGAAACCATCAATAAGCAGATCCCTTCCATTTTGGCCTCAAACCCTAGAGCTAGCTCAGGTGTCCAGAGAGTCCAGCGTTTGCTCGGCAGTGTTGACCTTCCAAAGCTGATTGTTCAAGATGGCGAAGATGGTGCAGCAAAATCGATGCTTGACATTACAATACGGCCAGTAGACACCCTCGAGGCTGCAAGATATATTCTTGATCGTCAACCCCAGGCACGAGTCGCAGTTTTGAACATGGCGTCTCCACTACAGCCCGGTGGAGGCGTTTTGCGAGGAGCTCGGGCACAGGAGGAAAGCCTTTGCATGCGGTCGACACTGTATCCCAGCTTGCGGTCACAATGGTATCGTCACAAGCCAGATACAGTTATATATACACCAGATGTCCTCGTTTTCAAATCTCCGTCCCCTGATCTCAAGCTTTTGGATCCCAAAGATCAGATCTACGTTGATGTCATCTCTTGCGCGGCACCAAGACACCCAGATGTCAAGCAACTTGACGACGGGACTCTAAAGTACGAAGACCCAAAGGACGAAGAGGCAATGGCTTTGAAGATAAAATACATCATGCGTACGGCAGTGAAGATGTCAGCAACGCATGTCGTTCTTGGGGCAATCGGTTGTGGTGCCTACCGAAACCCAATCAAAGAAGTGGCCGGCATGATGCGTCGGTGTCTTCTTGGGCGTGGGAAGGGAAGGCCACTAGATGAAGACTGGGCTGCTGCTGGAGTGAAGAGTATCGTGTTTGCTATCCTCGATGATAGCCCGAAACAGCTGGTTTGGAACGGGTTTGTCGAAGAATTTGCTGGGCATGAGAATGTGGTTATTGAAACTATCGGTTAATTACTCACCATAATGAAGCAAAACCTTGCGCGCCTCCGCCCTCCGTTACTCTTGGTTGGTGACTCGGTCCTAAAATTATGCGACTTTGCAGCCGTTGCTAGGATTCGTCAAGCACAAGTTTGCGGCAATCCATGGTTCCACCGTTCTAAGACAATCGCCGGTTTCAAATCGTCACTGTGTCCCGACAATCAATGAGTTTCAAAATGCAACAGAACTACCAGCTACGATCACGCATCATGACACTTTGTAAAGGTGTGAATACTGCCAATGACCCAAAAATCTATATAAACGGCCACCCCTCCCACAAAAACCTTCCAAGATTTTATCGTCCGCCCATTCTTTTGTATAAGTATCATCCCTTTCCAAACATCCACTCTGGCCTCTCTCGGAGACGGCTTTGCCCCAAGTTGCCAAATTCTCGCTTCTTCTCCAAGGCTTCGCATTGTGATGAACTAAATCCAGCATGCTAGCTGTCTGTTGTCACAATTTCGGAACTATTATCACGCAAATGCCGTGGAGGTTGTGAGCCAGGTTCCCATCGGTATAAGAAGAGCGCCCTTTGAACGCAGCACGGCAACCCGTTATCAGATAACCGGCCAAGGGTGATGGTAACGAAACCACCCGACTCTGATCATGTGCCATGAATCTCTAACTGACATCCATCATTACCTTGCTCGGGAGTAAGAACATACGAGGTCATTCTGTGTCAAGCCATGGCGCGGAAATATATGGCATTCATGGCCGCGGCGTATATATAACACAAATTTCGCCCTCATGATCACCCAGAAGCCTGTCATGAGGATTCAGGGTTTGCAATATGGCCTGTTGCTTTGTTACTCCCTTACACATGCCATCTTCAAGATTGGAGATTGCCAGGAGGGTCCAAATGCGACCGTGAAGCGTTCCATGATGGTGCAATCCGAAAACCTGGTCACCACAAAGAGCAGAACATGCATCTCTGGCTGGCTCCTTCGATTTCACATACCGCTCAATGATATCAGCAAAAGGACAACGGCAAAATCCATCATCATCGTCAAGCACAAGACCAGCATCAAGGACGTCTAGCTGGTGAGCAGCCAAGATAAGGGATCTTGACATTGAACGGGCGCCCAAGGCACTTGGAGGACGAAACAACACCCTATTTTCTCCAGCTCTCCTCCCTCTGGCCACTCGGGTGGTACGGCTATTCCCACGGGACAACTATTCAGTGAAGAGGCAGTACTGTAGATTCCCATAATTTCTGATCGCTTGATCGAGGATCGATCGAGTTGAAAAGGGGCTGGGTCGTTGCTGATAGGTGTGGATCTATGAACAATTATCTACCCAGCTTTCGAGATCTGCGAATATGGGACGCACATCATACAGCGACGCAGATTTTAGGAGGTCGAACATCTTACCGATTGGCTTGGATGCACAACGTGTGGCATTTCGACTCGATGTTTATGTTTGCGATTCTCGTCATAGGACGCCGAACACACCAACAGACCCCAGCTCCCAAAAGAGGAGTAGTATTGCAACAGTAACTTGCACGAGCCCAATATCACGTCGCCAAAAACGACAAGAAGCTTCCGATGAATCTACGAGCTCCAGAATCGACTCTAGAATCCTGGAGCCGGGCTGGGCCAAAGAGCGCTCTTGGCACCAGGAATTGACTCAGAAAAGCTGTAGAACAGCCAGAGTAACAAAATCCTCGCGAATCATTGCCTGGAGCAGAATATGTACCGGGAGTTCTTCGGGAATTCTTGCGTGCATTGTCATTTTCAGGTTTGGACCAACGGATGACCACGAAGATATCTTTAGGCTCGCCTTGCAATCGAAAATGGAAGAATGGGTGTTGGGAGCGAATTTACTTCAGACATGAACAACAATCTTTCGCACTCAGTAGTGATTCACTGGCACTCCACCTTTGCTTCCAGGGGAATATAAAGAAAGACTATCTCCTTTCTTTACAACCTCAGAATCGACTTTTTCACCGTCTGGCCCGGGACATCGGAGTCTGACACAGATGACATTTACGCCAAGTTCAACGAGCCTGAGGACAAGACTATGATACTGGTGTTGAATTCTAGGAGTTCTACGGTGGGCCTCAACCTACAGAATGCCTGTCATAAGATCTTGGCTCTCCACATGACAGAGAATCTAAATGTCATTATCCAGTCCATTGGCAGAGTCTATCGCCTGAGATAAAAGAAATAGCAAAAGGTGTGGATTGTGGTGGACACGGCTAGAATAATGACCACATTGGCACTCTCAATTTCTCTTGCCCACAAACAGATTTGAAGGAGCCGTCAGTGACGTACAGACGAGCACAAACTTGATTAGTCTTGATACATTTGCGAACGGGAATAGCCATAACTACTCAAAGCGACCAGAGTCGTCGACGAACTGTGCCTTTCTGATGATCGGTCAGACTGCTCAGACTTCGGAGACCTTGAACGCGTTGAAGATCGGAGAACAAGTTAGTTCACGGGAAATCAGTCACTGTCATGTCGCAGGCTATCAAAGTCCAAAGCTGCGTCTGAGGTCGACTAGAAGTCATCCAAGAGCTTGGCAGAAGTCATATCGAGCTTCTCCGACGAGGCGGAGTTCTTGGTGTTCAGGAATTCAGGCTGGTCGAGTCAAACACACGGTAAAGCTGAGTGATTTTTGGTGGACAAAGCACCGGAGCCTACCATGCCATCTCCTTCAAACCCTAAGAATCCGAGGACAGACAGCGTGCAGGCAAAGTTTCAGCGTCCATGAGCCTCATTCCTACCTGGGTCACTGAAAATGTCAATGTGGCGGAACCGGTCAAAAGCAATCCGAGGGAAGCCGCCACGAGAGAGGATCCGTAGCATGATTTGGGCCCTTGGGGGATTCAACCCTGACACTAGTCAATGATGGAAGGGGTGATATGGTAAAATCTACAGCACCATGAGCAGGTGGCGAACTCTCCAGACTGCAGTGGTTCATCGCTTCGGACGGCGCATGAACTCTGTCGAACACCCTGTCACAATTGTCATCGGCGCACTGGTGGTCCGCCACACAACTTGGTTATCGCTGACTTAAATGAGAGCGTGATCGACCGTTTTGGCCTCCACTTCTGCCTTGACGAGGCTGAGACCACTATTAGTCCAGGCGAAGTATCCATTTCTGCATTGAATAAACATACGGAACTATTTCTTCGAATCTTCCTCTGGTTGGACTGCTGAGTTTGCAACTACTGTTGAACGTGGTCAGGCCTGGAAACTCAACCATGCCGAGCTCGACGACTTCGTCCCAGAAGTGAATGTCCCAACAGCTGGAAGAGAGGCATTCAACAAGACTGTGGGTAAAAACGTGCATCTCTCGTGCGTCTCCCAGGCACGGGAGATTCAGGTCTCTCCTAGTCTACAATCTTAGATCGAAATAGGCTCTAGCTCTGGACCGCAGGATGTTGAGACGTCTGTGGCTGATGGGCGGATGGCAGTTATTCATTGGGTTTCGACATCGACTCTATCGGTTTACTCTGTTGGTCTAAAATTCCCACACCTGGTCTTAGACCACGCATCAGAGCCCTGTATCTACTTCTTGAAACCGTGTTTACGGTCAGTTTCCATGCCAGAATCAGATACATGAGTTATTGGGCTTGGGTAACTTCATAAGAACATGGGCAGGGAAAAATGCTAATAAAGATGACTCACTTCATGGACCACATGGAATACTCGACCTCTGGACCTGGTCACCACCTTCTTCCTTCGACCACGACTCCAAATCATGGACCTGGACCTGGAGCCCACCTCTGACGCAGATCTTGCATCCGGCTCACACTCCGATAAACGTGGAAGCCCCGGCCTGCGTAGTATGTGGACCAAGACTCCAAATCAGGTTTCCCAACAAGGAACATAAGAATCTAGACAGGGTTTTGGTACCTGCAATCTAGGTTATGAAAGATCGCTAGCTGTGGCTTGAACTACCGCTCCTCCACCGATTCAGTCTTCCAAAGACCTGCCTTCACCCATTCAATATGTATGGGCCTTGTATGTCACCGCATTCTCACAGCTTAAAACATCATGACTAGGAACCATGCCTGTACATTGAGTCGGGGACAGTGGGACCGCAGAATCGAGACACAGAAATCGTCTGTTCTTCTGATACTGAATAGAATAGGCGTTGAACAAAGTGGAATCACACGCACTCAGGAGAGCGCATACTCTAGGCTGGTGGAATTCAAACGTTGTTTCGTGTTTGAGTGTACTGTAGCGATAATTGTGCCAGAACATCCATCTGAGGAGTATTGATTGAAGCTGCTTCTCGACACAAAGTGGGCTCAGTAAAACTTTGCAAAGTCTTTCATTGTTTCCATCTGATGGAGGAACGAAGTGTGTAGAATTTTCAATCAATGGAATATTGGTGTCGATACGATGAGCCTGATAGCAACATCAAGCACTAAAGCGATGTTATGATATACATGAATTCCGCCGAGTTTTCGTCACTACCTAGGTAGGGATAGTAACGAACTGCGATGATGATAGCGGCTAGTTTGATATTCATCGAATGTGGTATCGATGTGCTTGCGGCGACTGCAGGGGTACAAAGGGCGTCTTTGCAAGATTCACGAGATCACCTCGAAGAGAGGACAAGTGGTGTTTAATCAACCTCTGCATTGATCGCTGCTGAGGAGCTATCGAGCACCTGAGACAATCTCCACCTCCACCATCACTACTACCACCACTGCTGCCGTCAGCTCTACCACATCGGCGCCTCATAGGTAGCGAGCCGAGCCTGGAGAGCCGCAATCTTCGCCTCTAGCTGATCCATGAAAGCCTCGATCTTTTTCCACTCCTTGAGACCCTTGGTGTCATCGGTTTCATCTGCTTTGTTCGGCTCGTTGTCTGCACCAAGCCTCGTCAAAACGCGCTTCTTGGCATCTGACTGTTGAGCACGGAACTCTTTGTGCTTAGCGGCCTTGTTCGCCTTAGCGACTTTCTCTTTCTCCTCTTTGCTAAGAAGGATGGTAGCAGTGCTGAGAGCAGACATCTTGATTGATTTGATTGTGGCGGGTGTCTGTGGTGAAGGAGGATGGTTGAATTTAAGCTTGGTTTGGAAGAGACAATATGTGTTTGTGTTGGTGATAAGGAGGATTAGGATAGAGGAGACTGTCGATGTGAATATGTTTGGCGCTTGTGACAACGCAGTTTGCTTGTGTGGAGGTTTTCGAATTCAGTGTTCGTAAATAAAAAGAAAAAAAGAAGAAGTAAGAGAGCAAGTTGGCGGCTTAAGTAGATCATCTAGGAGTCGTAAACCGACACTCTGGCCAGGCAGCGACCATGTAAATGATTATACAAGAAGTGAATAGCCCGGAACGAGGTGAAATCATGCATGTAGTATTGCCATGTCCACACGGGCTTGTTGAGGCAGGAGAGCTTTTTGTTTAGGACTTAATGCAATGCCCGAATCGGCCAAGCATCAACGCGGACGATGAAACATTTCATCACACTGGAAGGCAATCATTAGTTTGCGTGTTCACGCGTAACTGGAGCTTGGGCATTCAAACCATTTGTCCTGGAAATTTATATGCTTGAAACCTCAACTTTTGTTGTCCACAAATGCTCCCGAAAGTCAATTTGATCCCGTTTCTCCAGCTGCCAAACGACGAGCTTGTTAGTAAAACATCTTTATTAATCGAATTCGCATCGCTCGGTCTAACATAATGCCCATAGCAAGCAAGCAAGCACGCAACATGTTGGAATTGTCCGCACCATCCCGCTGTGTTCTATTTTCGAATTCCGTAACCCGAGAAACCCCCTGGAGGAAGAATGGGTGGAGCAGAAGGTATCGAACCAGCCTGTGGGCCGCCAAAACCAGGCGGAGGGGCAAAGCCGGGTGGAGGTCCAGCATTTGGCTGCGGGAATCCAGGCATTTGATTGAAACCAGGTGGCATGAAATTCTGCGGACCACCGTATCCTGCTTGACTGGGCGGTGGTCTAGCAGGAAGACCACTAGGAGGAGCAGCTAAAGGCACACTTGGCGGCGGCGGCGGCCTTGCTTGTACTGGAGGAGGAATTGATTGGAAGTTTCCATTTGGTTGTCCAAAGCCTGCTGGTGTGGCAGGAGATTGAGGAATGCCACCAAACATGGGAGTTCCCATCGGAATGGTAGCAGGAGTCGGCTGAACTCCATGAGCTTTTGCTTGTGCGGCGAGCATTCGTTCTGCCTGGTCACCGTGCCGTTCTCCCTTGCCATCCTTCTTGTAAGCATACTGAACTGAAACCTCCTTATTCATAAGATATTGGCCGTGCATGTTGGCAATGGCATCATCAGAAGCTTCAAAGTTGGAGAATGAGACAAAGCCATATCCTTTAGACAAGTTATTCTCGTCTCGGGCGATCTGCGAAATGATTAGCGATGTCCTCTGAGATGTTGAGTAGGAACATACCTTCGGAGCAGCTACTAGGGTGCCGAAACGGCCGAAGGTATCGTACAGCATCCTCTCATCCACCATAGGATCTAGATTGCCGATGAAAAGCTCTGCACCAACCTCGACGGATTTTTGTTTGTCGGCGCTGGCCTTGTTCACGCGGATGGGCTTTCCGTAAAGACGGACTTGGTTCATGATGCGAGCCGCGTACTCAGCATCTTCTTCTGAGTTGAATTCAACAAAACCATAGCCTTGATGAGATTGAGTCACCCGATCTTTGGGCAGATGTACGTTCGCAATCCGTCCTGCCTGCAAGAACAATTCCCAGACAAGAGAATCCGAAACACGCTCATCGAGATTACCGATGTAGATGGTGGAATCCTTGTCCTGCTCCCAATGTCTTGCTCCAGACATTATTAAGACGTGGCTGTGTTTGCGCAAGGAAGCGACTGTAGGAAGCGCAAAGATCTTGATGACCAGTTGTCCAGCGAAATATCTGGCCAGGCAATAACTTCATCAGTTAAATCTGAAGTTTGGAGGGCGGCTGATATTCGGTACGCTTTACTGTTTATGGCAGAGTCACGTGCATTGTACTGCGGAGCATTGATTCAATTTCTGCTCGTCTCTTTCCAGAATGATTTTCTGAACTGGACATTTCTACTCCGACAGTTGAACAATCGGCTTTGCAAGACAATTCTCATCAGTCCTCCCCAAAAATATCCATCGACCAGACTCTCTAGCACCACATGATGGTTCAATTCTCGGAAGAAACAAAGGTGCGACAGAATCCCTTAAACCATTTCGATGGGCGTTCTAATGTTGAGTTTGCAGGAGCGCATCTCCAAGATCCTCGACATCACTCGTGAAGTCGTCCATTATGGCTACCTTCCTCTCATCCTTTATCTAGGTCTGATACAATGTCTGCAACGTGCAGGCTATGGCTAATCCTTGCAGGCTACACAAGGAGTGAGCCCAAACCTGCTTTGATTAGGTTAGTGCCTGTCCTGGGGAAACAGAATACACAGACAAAAACTGATGCTGCGCAGCTTGATTTCGCCTTTTGCCAACTGAGAAGCACCCGAACGAAATGTGTGACTTGTAACAACACCCATTGAACGACGCAGATTCTTGGAGAACTTCGACCAATGTGAAATGACCTAGAGTGGTGGCTAATGGATCAGAATTGTCCTCAAAGTTCAATCAAGATTTAGGAGCTTGGGAACGGTTCAATTGCAGCAGAAGAGGAGGTACTTGCACAAGGGCGGTCGCCCGCAGAAAGAAGCTGCACAGATGCATGGCCAGCTTGTACAACAACCCTACTAACGCCAATAATATCATACTCTTGACTCTCTCTTGGTTTCAACATGTGACAAGTTCGTTCTAACGGGAGACCGCATGCAGCATCACGGTGGGATGGACCTTCGATATTTTCCACAACTCTTAATGTCATGCCATATGCATTGCGAATGACCAGACAAATAGCCAAAGTCTCAGGACTTCAACGGTACTGAGTCTGAATAATCCAGGACGCCGCCCGGCACAAGAGGGAGGCTGAATCTATCTGTTGCATTCTCTGCGATCTTTCAATGCTGTCCATCCACGTCAACAAGCATCCTCAGATGGTGCTGCTGGTTCTCAGGGTGTGAGTCCCAAGCAGCGCTTTTGAGGGTGCCTGCTTGCCAACGAACAGGATGTTGGAGCCGATGCCTGATGTGTGTAACATGAGATGGCGTACGTTCCCAGCAGCACAGTTTCCTTGGTCTCGGGTTTCCTGGTGTGGAACAAGTCTTCCGAATACCTGTGTCTATGAGCTGATACAGCTGTCCAGGTAGAGAGATGAATGCTTCTGTCATTCAGGCACGTGGTCCATGGTAGGACAAATGACAGCCTGATAATATGATCGAAGCAGGTGGAGTCAAACATGTTGTTCACCTATGTCACCAATGGTAATGATCCTTTTCTCTAATACAGGGAAGACGACAGACTGAGTGCCGTACACACCGATATACATGGAGCACGAGACCAAATGCTGTGGAGCATGCATGTATATTTTAGCACCCTTTGGATGTGCTCGAGTGGCAAGCCATGCGCAGCCTCGCTGCAGCGGGCTGATCGTGGCCGACTTGGCGAGGAGCATGGCACCCGTGGATGAGACGTCCCGTTTCACTCGGACTGCCGTGAAGGATTGTCCCCGAGTCGCAGGCGATTAACATTTCAACGAATGGCAACCCATATTGACACTGTCGTCTAGTCTCTGTACCCCGTAGTACGACAGTAGCCTACACTGGGGTCTGATGTGCAGATTTTCGGTTATAACATTGACAGGGAATTCGTTATTAGATATGGAACGGGGTAGAGCGTGGTGAACGTGCGGCGATACTCCGTCAAGTTAACGATCTTAAGCCCGAGATCTTCGCCTTTTAGGGGCTAGCAGTCTCTGGGATTAGGTGGTTTCCAGTTACTCCGGGGCCCGGGCGGATAATGTCCACAAACTTCAGGCCCCTTGGTGCAGGTGGAGCATTTCCGGCAGTTCGTCTCCCATTTAGCGTTGATTCTGGAGAAATGTGCCTGGCTTGCCAGTCCTGGGCCGAAGGCTGAAGCCCGTGCAGCATGCGAGCTTCTTCGTCCTTGGGCTGGCCTGTCTGCCAGTTACAGCATTTAGGTGCCCAGGTGGCTAAGTTAGTGGGACGGATATGTGTGGAGCGTACGCCCACTGGCACTGAAGATTCCATGGGGCCATGCCTGTACGAGTACGTGCACTGATCTGTGTGCATGACTTACAGAGTCGACGAACGAATTCTATGCCCGCTCCAGCTATAACAGTGCAAATCATGCTCATCATTTAGGTATCTCGCAGTAACCTGGTGTGTTAGTAACCACTTTTGCCCCCCGAGGAGCCCCCATCCTCGTGCATCTCGCTCCCCCAGTACCTGCAAGTCAAGCCTAAGTCCACCAGGCTACCTTGGTACCTCGTACGATACTCCATGTGAGTATTCTGGAGTCCCAAATAGCGTTACGGAAGGTTACTCCACATTTGATTGTGTCCACAGACGCCAGCATCCTTTTCTATCATTCAGCCTGCCCGTCCTCTCCTCCTGTTCTTCTCCCTTTTCTAGGTCCTCACCCACTCTGCCTCTGTTTCGCACCGTCTTATGGACTCCTGGCACGCTTTGCTAACTTCCCAGCTCTGATCCAGGCACCCAACCCCTTCCGCGTGGAAGTTTCAATCATCCAACCCCCGTCAGAGTCATTGGCTTAGCTGTCGGCGTGCTATGAGCTTATTCCCTTTTTTCTCCCCTTACCACTAGCGTCATTTCTCGACCAGAAGCCCGAGCACCCCAAACTTGAACGTGTCCCGGTTTGTCGCTACCACTGCACCGCTACCGCGCTTTTCTGCTTCAACCTTCTTACTCCCGCTTTCAGGCTGCTTCTTCATTTCTTCCATCCCATCCCATCTCCCTCTGATCATCCAGCATTTGATCAATCACCTCCATCATGTTTAATGCTACTCAACACCGCGGCAACCCCAATCTTGGGCCTGCGCCCCCGGGCCAGCCCAATCATCGCCTCAATGAAATCATGGAGTCCCTTCGCGCAGAATTCGACAACCAGAGCCGTTCATCCGAGCAGGTGGAAAACCAAGTTGCTCAACAAATTCAGGAGATGGAACTTATTAGGAACAAAGTCTACCAATTAGAGCAGAACCAGCTGAAAATGAAGCAAGACTATGAGGCTGAGATTCGCATGCTACGACATGAGTTGGAGATGCGCGGCGGTCCTCAAGTGCAGTCGCATCTCGGTGGTCCTCCCCAGCATGGTGGTCCTGCTCAAGCTCCTCCTCCTTCTTTGGGTCACGGACAAGGTGGTCTGTTCAGTGGAATCATGGCCAACCAAGGTCAAGGTGGTCCAGGGCTTGCTCCTCCTCCTGAACAGCCTCCTCCACAACAGCATCCCCTACAGCCACCTCCACCACCTGCTGGACAGCCTCAAGGACCACCTCAGCCTCCCAACTCCTTTCCTGGATATCAGGGCCCGACCCTGAACGGCTATGCGCCACAGCCACAACCTCCCACAAACTCGCCAGGATTGGGCAAAAACCGTAACATGGCCAACAGAGGCGCACCTGGTCCCGCCACTCCTCAACAACATCCCAATCAGCCTCAGCCTATGCCATACCCGAATGATCCCAGAGCTTCCCCACAAATCCCTCGCCCAACTCCTCCCGGTAGCGACATGCAGCTCCAACCACGTCACCCAGGACCTGGACAGAACGCATTCCCTAACGTGGGCAACGTTTTGGCAGAGTTGAACCCGGATGACTTGCCGGACTCCTTGAAGCGCCAAGGAGCCGATTGGCACGCCGTGTTCAACCCTAACGTTCCTCGTGTGCTTGATGTTCAGCTTCTGCACAATCTGGTCCACGAATCAGTAGTGTGTTGTGTCAGATTTTCGGCCGACGGCAAATATGTCGCAACAGGTTGCAACCGCAGTGCTCAAATCTTTGACGCCAGAGATGGTCGTAAAGTGTGCGAGTTGTTGGATGATAGTGTTCAAGATAAGGAGGGAGATTTGTACATTCGTTCGGTCTGCTTCTCTCCTGATGGCAAGTTGCTTGCCACAGGCGCCGAAGATAAGAAGATCCGAGTGTGGGACATCGAGAGCAAGCGTATTCGAACGACCTTCGACGGACACGAACAAGACATTTACTCACTCGACTTCTCTCGCACAGGTCGCTTGATAGCGTCAGGATCTGGTGACAAGACAGTCAGATTGTGGGACATTGAGTCCAACCAACAAGTGATGGTCTTGTCGATCGAAGACGGCGTGACTACGGTGGCAATGTCTCCCGATGGACGATTTGTTGCTGCCGGTTCGCTGGATAAGAGTGTCCGCGTCTGGGACTGTTCAAGTGGATATCTCATTGAGCGGCTAGAGGGCGGCCAAGGCCACAAGGACAGTGTCTACTCTGTGGCCTTTTCTCCCAGTGGACGTGAGCTTGTCAGTGGTAGTTTGGACAAGACGATCAAGATGTGGGAACTCACACCTCAGCGTGGGCTGATCCCAGCATCGGCCTCCAAGGATGGCAAATGCATTCGAACATTCGAGGGCCACAAGGTGAGATGGATCCCGACTGCTGTCAATCATGATGAAATGAGCTAACCTGTAATTCTCTAGGACTACGTGCTGTCGGTGTGCCTGACACCTGGAGGCGAATGGGTCATGTCCGGTTCGAAAGACCGTGGAGTACAGTTCTGGGACCCTCAAACCGGCAATGCACAAATGATGCTTCAAGGACACAAAAATTCCGTCATCTCGGTGGCGCCATGTCCTGCTGGACATTTGTTTGCAACCGGTTCAGGAGATATGAAAGCTCGGATCTGGCAATACACCACCTGGCGTGGAGCTCACCAAGGAGGCATCTAAGCCGGCCGCGTGAGGCTTAGTGCATGACGACCTTTTCGAGATCGAGAAAAGCCGGAAGGTCGCCAACCATTGGCAAGCCCGAAGTAGAAGGCCAATTTCGGGCTCTTCATGACTGGAACAGGAATCGGGGCAAACCAACGCGCAACATGGGAAAGACATTGGGTTCGAATCAAGAGGCATTTCCCCCAAGGCATTCCTCGGCATGGACCAAGGACCTATTGGATTGTTGTGTGGCTGAGGAGCACATTTTGAGGAGTGGGAGTGATTTCTTGGGACCGCCAGGGACTTTTTTAGTGGCGTGGGAGGACCAGCATTAGTGGGCCATGAAGAGGGTTTGGGGGTGGTCACGATCACGGTCACGGTCACGGTCGCGGTCACGGTGTGCGGACAACTTGTATATCCGGATATGACGGGCTGAGCTGCCAGTGGCAGTTGAATTGTTTTTCGGGATCTTTGCTAGGGAACGTTGCATTTTTTAGAAAAGTGATTGGAGGATTATCTCCTGAACACCCCCAAAATTCCCCTGCCATTACATATGGAGTTGCTCTTGTTCTTTGACCACCGGGAGGCGTCAGATCTGAGTTTGAGTGGTGACTCGGAGTACGAGAGACGATAGCTCTGATCTTCACGAGGTAGTCATAGACTCATATCATAGTGCTTTGCCCCCCCCCGTGGGACCATGTCGGGCGCTTCAACAGAGTTCAAGTTAGCGACGATAGGGACATTCCTATTTGATGGATGGACTTCGCTTATGATGCTTACTGAACGGGACACGAACGGGCTTGGAGTTTCCATGAGTCAGTTTCATGGTAATCATAGGTGACTGGGAAGGATGCCTGCTCGACGATGCGACGATGAGCTCAGCGAATGCCCTATTGTGTTTTGATCTTTTACGAGCGTGAGTTCTTCAGTGAGTACTCGGTACTGATACAGCTTCATGATTCCAATAGTATCCGGACCGGAAGGGTCAACACGTCACAGACTTCAGCCGGTCGTCGTCGGAACATGCATGGTCTACAATACTGAGGATCCGTAACCGTACTTGCATCACGACAGTAGGGGGACCTTGGAACTGGAAGCCCCGGGGCCACCAGCCCTCTTGCTCCTTGGGCCTCAACCTCGAAGCAGATCCATCGGGGTCTACCGAGCGGGCGGCCGTAGCCGTTGTTCTGCTGACTTCCGAGACCCTTCCGCTTCGTCAATGCCGCAATGCTCTCAATCCACACTGACACTCCAAGGACACCCCCAGGACACACCACTGTCAGGGTCGGATCCAGTAGGATAGGCTACTGTTTGTCGGTTGTAACTTGTGACCTGTACACTCGTCAGTGGTTGGCCTTTGTGTTTATCCACGCATTCTCGTTGGACGAGCATTCCTGAGCTGGGGTTGAATTATCTCAACTGAAGAATTTGCGTAAAACGAGGGGGGGTTGCCCCAACTCGACTGGCTACCTAGAGACGGCGAGCGTGAGGGGGCGTGGGATGGTATAGGCACCTGCTTACAACTTACAAGGCAATCGATGTGTGACGATCTCGTCCTGCTCCAGCTGCCCATGTTGGTTTCCTCGAATTCGCAATCTTGCTTTTCGCTTTCCTATCGAATGAAAATTTTTCACCATCTGCAAGCCTCGTGAGGGTGAGGGATATGTGGCTCTGCAGGCGCAACGGTTTCAGGGCATTATCATATCTTCTTCGTGGTGAAAAACTCAGAGATAACGAACCTGCACCCAATTTGCGAATCCTGATGCTGGGCCATCGTTGCTCATGCTCTCCCACAGTCCCACGTCCTTCTGTTGCCCTACTGCAAGCCTCATTATGTACAGAGAGGCTTTTTCCTCTCCAAAGGCCTGAGGTCCCTGGAACTACGAGAGGATCCGGACTAACAGAATTGGCTAACCACTGGCCTTCTCGTCTCTCCAGAGTCCCATGGTCGAAAGCCACGAGTCCGCAATGCGAGGGACCTCCCCTTTGAGACTACGGCATCAAGTTATCACTGAGATTTCCGTCTAAGCATGTTAGCATTCAGAACTAATGCGTCTCTTGCATCGACCTGCACTGATCAGCGTCTTCTTCAAGCTGGACTGGGGCTGGACAGGCGCTGTACCTCGTACCCTCTTTTCGCTACACAGAAAGCCTTGGCCCCCGATGCCTCTCTTGGGTTTCTTTTCGTCCCTTCAGACGGCCCCTACGTGCTCGGGGCTAGCAGTGCCCTAAATCACACGATCGTTGACGCTAAACACCCCAGCAGCCGGCCTTTTAGGCTCCGGCCCATCAGCCTACAGCCTACGGCCCATCGAGCACCCCCCTGTACTTTCTCCGCTGTCCTACCCTGGGAGAAAACCTTCGATCCAACCTCTCCCTGCAAGCCGAAGGACCTGGCATGCCCTCCATCGTTTGATGCATCATCACCATCATCTCGCACTGGCCCTAATGCCACCAAGGTAGCTCAAACGAGCCACTGAGGTGCCTCATCCAGTGAAAATTTTCACGGCGTCATCTGGCACTGTCCCGGCCTGGAATGTCGATGCGTCTACGGCCCACGGCCCTCGACGCCCTGGCGCTCCCTCTCCATTCTTTTCCCTCCACTGTCAGGCAAGGCTGCCTCTCGAGTGTCTTCCCTTAGCCGCAAAGAACACCACCATCGCTTCTTCAACAATGGAGACGTGCAATCTCTGCCGCATGCAGCTACATCCCTGTCCCCTGTCCCTTGTCCCTTGTCCCCTTCTGCTTCTATTCCCTCTAATCCCAAAAGTGTCATATCCCACGCTCGCTCACTGCTGAGTCGGTCGATGCTTTTGTATACAATGCCATTTCCAATTCAAAGGTATAAACTAAGGTCGGGGCTGATAGTCATGACTACCGTTCTCTCCCATTCACTACCGCAACTGCTGAACTTCCTTGACGCTTCAAACTCAATCGTGAATACTTGTGAATCGTTGATCATTTCGCTGTGCCAACTCCTTCCCTGCTTCCGAACTTTGGTCAATCGTCTCCGTCCTCGATCCTATTCGTCCTCGTCCTCGACGCATCCCTCCTGGAACTCCATTTCTACTTATATCAAAGGTTCGACTTACGTTTCGATGTAGTCGACCTTTGGTTCGGCCTGCGTAGCGGTTCTACTCCATTGATATAGCCGTTTTCGAATACCACTCCCCCTTCGGATACGCAAGATCTCTATCTTTACACTTTCAGATCCTCATCGACATCTCATCACATCACATTATATTGGCATCTCTGCTCTTGTATGGAAATGTCTTACAATACGGCGTCGGACCAAATAGAGTGGCACATGCATCAACTCAGACAGTGGATGGTGCCCACCTCGGCACCATCCAAGCCAGCCTCGGACATGTCTGGGCATGCCTTTCCTCAGGACTACTATTTGCAGAATGTACCCTCGAATGATTTATACGACTATGATGTCTTCGGCACTCCTGATCCTACACCGACCACTCTCCACCGTGCCCATACCATTGGCAATTTCCCAGGCTTTGATTACACCTACGACTACTTTCAGACAGGTCAAGGTCCAGCAACTCCTGGAAGTTGGGCGGGAGACGAGAAAGGCAACTTCGATGATGTTCTCTCCGTCTATTCGGAGGCTCCTTCCAGTTATCTTTCCTCGGACCTGTCGGAACAAACAAGACTTGAATCGATCATCTCTTCCAGTCGCAATACTCCTCCTAGTTGTTCACAGCCGTCCACAATCTTTCCAGAATCCACTTCAGAAGTCGATTCACTGATGAAGACACTCCAACCACCGCCAATGCAACCAGTGTCTACTCATACCACCACAAAACCCAAGAAGCACCTATGTCCCTATTCTGACTGCGGCAAATCATTCTCTCAACCAACCCATCTCAAGATTCATCTTCGTTCTCATACCGGAGAAAAGCCATATACTTGTTCCATCTCTACGTGCCGGCAAGCATTTTCCCAGCTTGGCAATCTGCGTACGCATGAACGACGGCACATCGGACAACGACCCAACCGGAAAAGAGCGTTGTCCGATCCTGGATCTTGCCAGAAAAGGTATGAGTGTAGGCTTGATGGCTGTCGAAACACTGAAGGTGGGCATGGCGGTAAGATCTTCACACAACTTGGTAACCTCAAGGCCCACATGAACAAATTTCACAGAGAGACTCTGGCACGGCTCTCTCACCAATTCTCGGCCAATGAATATGATCCTGAGGAGGAGGAGTTGAGAGAATACTTCCAGGAGCTCTACAGGCACAGCAACAAAGGGATCAAGGGACGTGGCAAGGGCCGAAAGGTTGAAGTACTTGCCACACTGGATCAACCCTGAGTTCCAGGCTGGATCAATATCACACCAATTTTTGGGAATATGATCCTACGCACGATCTTGCCAACTGCGCCTCATCGAGATCGGATGGTCGGATGAAGCACTTTGGGCGCTGGACTTTCCAGCGTCAACCCAAGCTATGTCCTGTCGATTTCAGACACCCTTAGATCGTGTCGACGATCATCCTCGAGATTCATATCTCTCTCAGCTGTCCAGGCAGCTCAACATGGAGGCAGCTCCTTACATTGACCCTTTTTCTTCTTCAAGAACTGCGTCAAGAAGTTAGCTAGCACAGCTTCCTGGTTCATGATACGCGCTACATGAAAGTCACAAAGAGTCAGAGAAGATTTCTTATCCATTCGTTGCTTTTATTATTTTTCTTTATGACGACCAGCGATGTACGAGTACAAGTATACAGGGATCCAATGATAATCCCATGGAGCGCAGAAGCGGGTGTATTTCAATGCCAGAACCTTCCAAAAGAAAAAATAACATATGACGAGAAATTTCCAACGCCTTGGTTTGAGATATTTGTTTCAATAAGAAGACCAAATCGAGTCTTGGATGTATTCATTCTTCCTTTTCCTGTTCCTATTCCTGACGATTTTCTTTGACTGTGCAAGTGGCTGAGTTGTGTGTATGAGAGGGTCAAACCTGCAATTTCCATCTTATGACACTTTTTCCAACATATATATCTTCCTCATTCATGTTCTATACCTAAAATTTCTTTCTTACAACTGTCTGTCTGTTCCCCCCCCCCTGGCTCAAGCAGACTGCAGGGACATAGGTCAGGTCGGGAAGAAAATTAAAGTGAGCACAGATGCCGCAACGATTCGAGATATAAAATCTCAAAACTCATATTTTTTTCTCTTCTTCTTCTGATGACCAACGCCTAGCATATTGGTTTGTTTTATTCTTCTTCTTCTTTCTCGCCACATGCACAAGGCAATATACTCGTGTCTTTTTCCTTTGCCTTTTCTATTTTGTTCCCCCATGGTACGTCGTGCAGATTTAATTCCCTCCACTTCCTTTCTCTGGATAGGTAAATAGGCTAGGTATCATCAATCAATGCCACACCAGTCCTGTCTGCTCTGTTCTGCTCTACTATGCCATGCTACGCCATCACACAGTACCTTCCTTCAACATGCTCTGTGAGCATCCCATCATTACCTAACCATGGTCCCTAGTTAGTGAGGCACTTCACATCACATCACATCACATCACTTCTCATCTATTCTCGCCCCCCTAAACGCCCTGCCCTGCCCTGCCCTGCCCTAAGTGAGAGAGACCCAGCCCACGCCCAAAAATTGCGGCTGGTCGCTTTTGTTTCTCGTCACAGAACTCACAGTGATGATGACCGCGCACCCCGTCCAAGCCTGTGAGATCCAAACACGGCGGTGTGTTGGTCGGTCGCGTTGCCCCTTTTGGATGACTGACAGGTACTCGCTTTCGTGGATGCTTCGGCAGCGGCGGGGCTACGGCGTTTCTTTGAATGTCCTAGGATTGAATTTCTTTAATGACGTATGGTTCAAGCATGTTTGACCAAAAAAAGTCTTTTGCAAGCAACAAGGCTCTTTATCCCCTTTCTCGTCTTGCATTCCCGGGAAACATGGTTTCTACGCTTCAACGACTACATTAGGCCGTTCTAGATTTCTGCCTCAATTTGAACCCCATGATATTTGCCAGGGAGACGTTGCCGAGGCATGAACTCACGCGAAAACTCAAACCTTCGGCGCTCCTGCCCAATGCAAGGGGGAGGGACGACGGCGAGTGTTATCTCACCGGACCAACCCACCCGTTCGGGACCTTCCGCCGGACAGTGAGGTTTGCACTCCGTCGCCGTGAACTTAAATACATGTGTAGGCATAATATGGGGTAATGAAGGTCACTCGTGCAGGTCAAGTGCTGGGTTCAAGCGAAGGAGGGAGAATGCATGTCAGGGGAATGCTCGCTATGCTGTGAAGCTTTCAGAAGCTCATCTTAGGTATGGTCGGGAAAAATCGGGTCGGGCTGGGCTCTGCTCTCGTAATAGTAGGGGGAAAAGGGCAATGGAAGGCTGAGGGAATGTCCGACTGTCTGGGAAAATATGGAGGTCTGCGTCGTGATGGGCGCCTTGTCGACCCATGGTACCGATCGCCGAGGTCTCTGTCACAAGGCTGTAGGTCAACGCACATGTTCATGTGACGAGAAGATTAAAGTAGGTGTACTGGATGGAACGCACTGGCCCCTGATTGCTTCATGTCTTACGCCATTTTGTTGACCATCTTCAGCCATGGCAATCCAGCAGAGTAGAGCAACCTCTTTTGGTTATGGCCAGAGACAGCAGAAGGTTTGGGCAATCGTGAAGTGGGGACCCTGGTCTGCACCAGGGATTATCAATGAGGCCTTTAGGCCTTGATCGACGGATCCACTTGCAGCGATTCAAAATAAACCGTGCGGGTGAAACATTCCTTATTCTGGAGACTCTCATGTCAACCCGCAAGTGTGGGTCGTTGCAACTCTTTATGATGTCTCGTCATTCCAGGTAATGGCCGGATAGACTAGTATCGACCAGCCAAGCATGCACGAGAATACATCGCCATTAGAACAAAGGTATGCTTGACATTGGGAAGCAATAAATGGTCATCTGATCTCAATGCGAGTAGTGTGCTTGATGCATGTGGAACAGGTGAAGATGATCACTACGCCATACCGCGGTTTGAGTTGCATGTCCAGGGGCACATTCGACTCCATAGGACGAGACGAAAGCCTCCTATGGTTGCAATGTAATGAAAGCCCACTTGCCGCGTCTTAGCATATCACAGCAGGGGCGACACAAACGTCTTGCAACCCTTCCGAAGAACTCTCATGTCCTTTTAGTCAATAGTAGATCACCTTTGAACAGCGATCCAGAAGGTTGCGATACGGTACTGTCAATGGAAAAGTGTGCAGAAGATCCACGGGTGCAAAAATCATCAGCTGTTGCCAACTCGTATCGACTTCGTGTACGTTTGCGATTGGGATGCGGTGTGGCGAGAGTGGGATAGATTGCTGTGGAAATGAAACCTGGACATATTTCGCACTGCTCGATGTGGCTGGGATAGTGCCACGTAGTGGGTTAGGGTACAAGCTTTGAAAGCTCTTTGCGAGTTGCATTACTGCTTCAATGGTCGATAACAGGTAGAAAGGATCAAGAATATGTCACCTACCCCACAGCCAGGGGCCTAACCCTTCGGATGGATTGCATTTCCACCCAGTTCTGTCACCGAGGAGTTCAAGCCAGGGACGACTAGAGACCCAAAAGATGCCAAGTTCAAATCCTTCCAGAAAAGTAAGGTGCAACGGTAAGCGGCAAAGTAATGTGTTCGGTTGGCACACTGGCTTACTCCGTAAATGCTGTGCACTTATGCAAAAGAGATGGTGGTTGGCCGTGCGGTAAACGAGAAAGGCTTGTAGATTAAAATGCTGATACCCTGGGGCTGAAACTCATGGATAGCTCTGAAGGTGAGGAGCGGTGGTTAGACCAAAAACCCACACTGATCATCCGTCAAAAGTGGCACAGAACCTCGGGATCGAAAGTCCGCATTAGAGGTAAACGGTTAGGCAGCTGGAGTATCGACAATAGAACAACAAGCTTGATCAACCCATGATAGTGTCCACTTGTGGAGGAACAGTCGTCGATAATCCCGCAAAATTAGTGACAGGATCAAGGCATTCCGTGATTGTGGGTCAACTAGGCTGAGACTTCTGCATGAATCCTGGCTAGTGACCTTGAAGAGTTTTTCTAGAAGGTTTCTAGAAGGTCGGATGGAACAGTAGAAGAGCCTGCCACTCGACCCACGATGACCAGGGGACTCATCCAATCATTTCCGAACCACGCTTTCCCTTGGTTGGCTGATAAGGCTCTCTTCGAGAATGACCATGATTTCTGGCAGTTGGGTGAACTTTCTTCTTTCGGCTTCAAATTGTGACTAGTGGGTACAAGATGGGATGACAGGCAACAAAGTCATGTGAATGGGGGTAAGCAATTATTAGTACAGGGCCTGTCCACTGCTCTCTTGTTAGAGTGGTCCAGTTGGTCTGAGAAAAATCCGGGAGGAATGCACCCCGTTGTCTTAGCTGTCTTAGTCTTGAGCTGTGCAGCGATCACCAAGTTGGATTACTTATGAGTGATCTGCTAATGCAAGACTTCTGCTGCAATGCAGGTACAGACGATACCAGATGTGACCCCCTCAGGATAAGACTTTGAAGTGGGGAGATGAGTAGGTCTGAGTATGGGTCTATTCATGCTTGAACGGAGTTGAAGAGAAATCGGGTTGTCATTGTGAGATATATCCATCATAGGGTTACCTCCTGAGGTCTTTCAGTAGAGTGCACGAGGCACAGACCGAAGGGAAATGCTCGAAGACTGTCATGGGGACACGACGAGTGATGCTCCGTACACCCCAGAGACATATCCTGCTATCCATCAAGAGGCAAAATCCTCGGGGGATTGAGATATATTATCAGCTTCGCACACTCAAAGTGACGGCGTGCTGTAGATTAGGTCCAGATGTAGCTCGTTTCTCGAGCTATCAGTAGGAATCTAGTCTGTACTTGGATCCCTGCTATAAGGGGCCCTTCTTCTCCACCTTGTTTGATGGCGCTGCATTCGAGATGTTTTCCAAGTGGTGGCCGTCATCGTCACCAATTAATCTTGGTAGACTCCATCGTACATTTTCATATACCAGGAAGGTGACGCATGTGCTTGGGACCACACGGAGAAGATTGGGGAACAGTCCTTTGTAAAACCCGACAAAACCTTCATTCCGCCATACCATTCGAATCAAATTGATGACACCTGGACCTCGCTTCTGGACTGTGGCACTTGGGTCATAAGTCTGTAGTCGGGCACGAACCAGTTGATGAGGATAGGTGATGAGACCTGCAAACACTTTGGATAACGACGAGGTTATCAGAGTATCAACATTGGAAAGTTTCCCATCCTTCCTTGATGTTCGGCGCCATTGTTTAAGCTTCTCGTAGGCCATAAAATACAATGAACCGTGACTGACTCCAACGAGAGTAGGAGTTAGGCCATGAAACAGACCGCGGGTGCCTTCTGTTTTGTATATAGAGTGAAGACCGGAAACCATGCCAGAGTATGCGCCTGCTTGAGACACTGACGTTGTGAGCATTCGAGTCTTGATGACCCAAATCGGATTTGTGAGGATGGCAGACAGGACCCCCGAGAGGGACGATGCACAGAGGTAATCAAATGAAGTCAATTGGTGACCTGGCTCATAACTCCGGACATTCCTGATCAGATCTTGTGCCTGGCTATACCAGAGGAAGTATAAACCCCAACCAGCAGAGTTGCCCACCAGGTTAGGTGTCAAGCCACGATAGAGAGCAGCAATTCGAGTTGGCCCTTCATTCCGCAATATGTCACGGAAGACGGATCGGGATGAGTTGAGGAATGGATGAGAAGTGCTGTCGACTGTGGGCAAGTTAGTTCTTCTGAATTATGCCCCGATAATCGACCGCGATTGAGTACCTACCCTGTAATCTAGTCTTGATGATATCTAGAGGATGGACAATGACAGTGGAGCTCAAGCCGGCCGACAAACCCGCAATGGCTTCGACAGTGGCTGGAGAAATGCCATGGTTATTGGAAGGCGTCATGTGCAGGCACTGCGAATCAAGGGCTAGGAAGATGCGGGACGGAGTAGCGACTGTAAGTTGATGTTCCAAGATCGAGTATCATGTCGAGGAAGAATTCGAGTTCAAAATGACATGATGCGATATGGATAGGGACTACACGATGGCAATCGGTGTCCTATAGGCCGGGAGGAGTGATTTGTACCTTCGGCCTGATGAATTGCTGCGTCGCAGTTTCAACACTCGAGTCATGACGGCAGCGACATCTCGGAATTTCATACTGAATCACGTGTTTACACGTGACATGACGGTGAGAGTGGGGAAGCTGCCCTGCATGTTGGCAGCTGATGTTCAGCATCTATAGCTTCAGGGGCATGAATTAGTGGCCTGTGCCCGTGGAATGGGAATTAGCCGGCATTTCGGGGCATGGAATGAGCGGGCATTTGGTCATCACCGCCTGGGAGCAAGCCCAATGACCGGCTTTGGCGGCTCAGTTAGGTGGGCTTTCCTCAGTACTGGAGTGGGGAATGCCATCTCTCAGGCCACTCATCGCCTGTTCTCTGGGGGCACCAATTTATTTTATTCAGATGCCCGTTATCGGTCGGGCGTCGGAAGTCCCATTCCCATTTTCACGCCACCACCACCAGCTCCTCATTTACCGCGTTTGAATCCTTCCTCAATGAATTCTTTTGCCATGGACCACTCAATGCAAAACAACACACAGTCCGTTTCCTAGGTCTCTTGCTATCGCCTAGACCTCATTCCTGGAATACAGAAAGACCGTACAAGCGAGTTCCTCCTTCGACACCGGGCAAGCGCCGTAACCTAGCCACCATGGACATCGTCCTCGAAATCGTTGACACTCTCGTCCTTGACCGTTTATACTCGACACTTTTCCCGGCCAGTCCCTCAGAATACATCTCGCAGAAGTTTAACAACATCACCTCTTCTACCTTCTCGAGTGTCAGAGAGGGTGCCAGTCCATCACCTCAGTACAAATATATCTTTGAGCCCGCTTCTCAAATCATCAATTTGGAGCCAACACATTGGGCCTATAGTAGCTCATTGCCACGCGACAACATATACAGGCAGGGCGTCAGCCTTTTCCTCATAGTATGGTACGCTTACGTCTTTTTCCATCGTCGAAACTCTGTCACTTACCAATTTTGCAGGCTGTTTGGTGCTCTACTTTATTTCATCTGTGCCGGACTCTCCTACGTCTTCATCTTTGACAAGGACACTGTCAACCACCCAAAGTATCTCAAGAATCAGGTCCGCCTGGAGATTGCTCAAGCCGTCAACGCCCTCCCTGGCATGTCTCTCCTCACTGCTGCTTGTATGTTGGCCGAAGTCCGCGGATATGCCAAACTCTACGACACGACCTCCGAGGCCCCTTTCGCGGCATACAACTTTATTCAGTTCCCATTCTTCGTCCTGTTCACCGATTTTCTGATCTACTGGATTCACCGCGGGTTGCATCATCCTACAGTCTACAAACACCTTCATAAAGCCCACCACAAATGGATTATGCCCACGCCTTTTGCGTCGCATGCTTTTCATCCGCTTGATGGATTCTCTCAGTCAATTCCATACCATCTCTTCCCATTCTTGTTCCCGCTGCAGAAGTTTGCCTACATTGCTCTATTCGTTTTCATCAACATCTGGACCATTTTCATCCACGACGGTGAATATTACGCCAACTCGCCTTTCATAAATGGTGCAGCTTGCCACACCATGCATCATTTGTACTTTAACTTCAATTACGGACAATTCACTACGCTATGGGACAGGCTGGGTGGAAGTTATCGAAAGCCCAACGAAGAACTTTTCCGAAGAGATGCGAAAATGGGACAGAAAGAGTGGGAGCGACAGACCAAGGAGATGGAGAAGATTCAACAAGAAGTTGAAGGGAAGGACGATCGTACCTACGACAACAAGAAATCTCAGTGAAATCGCAACTTACCTAGCATTCAGTGTGGATTGACAGGCCGGAGTTAACATTAATTAGTATGGGGCCAAGGCATTCGACTTTGGATAATTATGCAGAGGGTCGCTACTCTACGACCATAGTCGCTCGTTGAACACTATCTGGTATTTAGAAAAAAATCAATCGAGTCCAACTTGCACACGATAGTTTGAGCCCCACGTGGCGCGAAGGTCTCTGCACCGGCATACATCAACGAAAGCAATGCATTCTGCTGACCCAAGCGTGCTCCTAGAGGTCAAGTATATATCGTATTTGCCTTTTATTGATTTATCTTCCAGATGCCGTAGTAAACGCTCAGAGGCCGGCGACCGAACATGATCCGAAGATACATGTCATCGTCTATAGATAGTGACGCAAGTCCAACACGCGCGATACTGTATGTGTCTATCCTCGCAGCAATCCGCGTGGCCCCGGGAGCAGGCTGCTTGGTACAGTCCATCACCATTATCCACCAGCAATATAAATAGTGACCGCGCCACCACATTGCCTCTTGTTTCACTATCATTCATTCCCGGCTCAACAGCATTGATCACTTCCGAGATAGTGGTTTCGAACCAGTAATATCGGTGGTGGGCAACCAAACATCCGGGTCCGACCAAGGTGACAATAATTGCTCGCTCCGGTGGCTCGTCCACCCTTGAGATTGGTAGATTCGCAGTAACAGGACATTAGCGATTGCAAACGAGTTTCAAGACCCTTTCCACCCAATATGTCGGTCCGTCTCGTCATTTTCGTGAAGCAAAACATCTTGTCACCCCCGCATTATCAGAATGAACATGCCTTGAGAAACTTGTTGGGGAGGAAAGAAAGATATTCTGCATTTCGACACCAGTGTACGCTGGTATTAACAGCCATTAACTTTCAAAATGGGACAAGAAATAGACCTTAGAAACCAGAAACCCCCCGAACACAGCGCTCACAAGAACTTTCGCATCGATCTTTCCTCGACAAGGCGATTCTCTCAACCCAAGTGTCTCAGGAAAACGACACAAATTTTGGATCTTTTGGTATCCCATCCTCTCCAATACCGGCCTTCTTGAATCGCTGTTCCATATATACACGTCTGGCCTCGTCAAAGTTGATGCCACGGATCTTCATCAGTCGTTGAATGTCGCGCTTGGATTTTGGATCTAGTCCCGATCGCGAGTCCCCCTCCATAACGTTGCCTGCCAGGTCGAAGTCGTTGGACGTGAAGCCGGACTCGACATCACCCATGAAAGATGTCGGGAGTCGGGAGTAGACGACATCTTGTACTCGGTCGGGCATGTACTGCATCCAGCGCTCTCGGGTGAAATAGAGGGCTGCAGAGGACAGGGAAAGAAGGCTTGTTAGCATATGCAGAGACTCATGATGAAGAACTCAATAGCAGTGGTTGCCTACCTGTTCCGACGATGACGGAGAGAAAGAAGATGGAGTAGAGGAGATACGCCATGGTGGGTTGCGGGCTATGGGCTTATAGAGAGAGGAAGTGTCACGTAGTTCTGGCGATTGGTACTAGATTCCTGTGCCCATAGTATATGTAGAGGTATCTGTCACGCTCCACGAAGGAAGCTGGTGAGTGATAAACCAGCAGTGGTTGTGATGAGGGTTGTCCAAAGAAGCAGGGAGAACGCCAATGCTGGCCCAAGCGGTTGTCGTCAGCCTGCGAGCGGAGGGCCACGGGATTAGCCGGACACTGGGTCTACGTTAGAGTAGAATAACCTCAAGCGTCATTGTCGAAGCACAAATGCACCAAGTGCAATCTCCCGTCAGACACAAGGAGGCCACCAATGGGAATTCTGGTCCAATCGCCAAGCCCGTCGAAACAACTGCGCACAAGAACATTGAACAATTTCACCTGCAAAAGTTCAACGACAGCATTCGACCCTTATACACACTCACGCCATGTCTGCTCCTTCCAACGTGTCCGGAGATCTCATCTGGGAGGTTGTCCGTAAGTTTTGACCCCCGATTTGGTGGGTAAGATCGAAACTAAAACCCAGGGTTCTGCAGGTAACAACAATGCTTTCCTCGTCAAGCGCAAGTCGGCCGGCGGCGTCCAATTCTCTCGCGACCCCTTCAACTTGACCAACAAACACTCGAGAAAGCATGCTGGTTTCGTGAACAACAAGGCCGTTGCTCTTCATCTCAACGAGAAGGGTGGTGTTACATTACAGACCAAGAAGTCCAACTCTCACAACAAGCCTGCTTCTTCCAGCAACACACATGCCTATAAAAAGGGCACGACGAATCGCCGGTGCGTACAAATCTCCGGAAATGTCAAACTCACATATGCTGATGATTTCTACAGAACCTACGCCAGTGTCGCAGGTGCCGTGGGCAAGGGATCGTACCGCAGTGATTTGAACAAGGACGCCGTTGCCCGAGCCAGTGCTCTCAAGAAGTCGCAGCAACCCAAGAAGGATGCCCCAGAGAAGAAGAGCCGCGGAAAGAAGGCCTCGAAGACGGAGGCATAGATTATGTTCTGCAACCATAGTGCAGCCATTCTCCAAGTTCAACTTCGACAAACCAATACATATGATATCACAGGAAAACTCGCGGGGACTGGGTTTGTTCCTACCAAAGCCCCGGTTCGGGTTTCATGATGGTTATTTGATCCATCAGTCGGGTGTTCAAGAAACGCAAGGCGACACAAGTTCGGCGTGTTGAGAGATAGGGGCAAAGCAAAGTCGGCATGTGGCACAAGAATCACTTCAGAAACCCATCCGAAAGAGCTACTTCCGATAGTACTATGCAGCGATGAAAACAAGAATGCCCTCAAATGCCCAAGAACGTTTACGAGGACCGAACACTCCATAGTACGGAGTTTTGCCCTTGGGTATGAACCCCTCGATGATGCATGGTGTTCAGCCTGACCCGAACAATTCTCGTTATTCACGCAAACAAGAGTCTTGAATGAATCGTAATACTAGTAGGAAGAGTGGCGTTGGCAAGTCGTTGAAGCCGTGAACACCCTACTCTGGGACCAGACTAGGACTAAACCGGGGATGCGGACTTGGGAAAGGGAAGCCGCCAGTCGCCAGGGTTCAACGCGGGGCATGTTGATCGCTCCTTCCTCCTCCGACCGTGAATGGCGTTTCAATGCAGTCAATTATGATACAAGCTTGGCACCTTCTCCCTCAACAGCTTCCACGTCAAGTTCTCATCTGTATCTTCCCCAAAAAAGTCAGACCGCTTTCCTTCTGTTGACCTTGTCTTCATCTTCCTGACTTGTTCATACTCAATCCATTCTTCTATTGCTCTTTATCTGACACTGATACTGTAAGTCTATATATCGCGCACATCTAGCCCCACGCACCTGTTGACATGCTTCATAGTTCACGCGGATTTACCCCTCACTCTCAGCAACAATGGTCAAAGCAGTTGTTCTCGGCGCCGCTGGTGGCATTGGTCAGGTAAGACGACAGTCAACAATGATCTCGCGTCTTGAAAGCTCACTGACTTGTTCCACAGCCATTGTCGTTACTCTTGAAGATCTCTCCACTCGTGGACGAGCTCTCCCTGTTTGATGTGGTCAACACTCCTGGTGTTGCCGCCGATCTGTCACACATTGCCTCGCCCGCTGTACGCAACTTCCTCTCGTCCTTTCCTCTCGTCCGAAAGGATGAATGACCCTTACATCCCTAATCTGACTCTTTGCAGGTCATCGATGGCCAAGTTGCCGCCAAGGGTGACTTCAAAGGCGAACAAGCAGAGACTGAGGAGGCCAAGAAGAAGGCTTTGACTGGTGCAGATATCGTCATTATCCCCGCTGGTGTTCCTCGTATGTGATATAACCTTTTCCCATGACCTAGATGCGTATGGAGAGAGCATCACTGATTCTGATTCTTTAAGGCAAACCTGGCATGACCCGAGATGATCTCTTCAAGATCAACGCAGGCATCGTCAAGGATCTTGTGGTTGCCATTGCAAAATATGCTCCCAAAGCCAGCATTGCTATCATCTCAAACCCCGTCAATTCCACAGTCCCTATTGCCGCCGAAGTCCTGAAAGAAGCTGGTGTCTTTGACCCCAAGAAGCTTTTCGGTGTCACCACTCTCGATGTTGTTCGTGCTGAGACCTTCGTTGCTGGCATTACCGGCGAGAAGGATCCTCGCAAGCTTACCATCCCCGTGGTTGGTGGCCACTCCGGCAATACCATCGTTCCTCTCTTCAGCCAAGCCAAACCTTCCGTCAAGATCCCTGAAGATAAGCTTGATGCATTGGTCAACCGTGTCCAATTCGGTGGTGATGAGGTAGTCAAAGCCAAGGATGGTCTTGGTTCTGCAACTCTATCCATGGCATATGCTGGTTTCAGATTCACCGAGGCACTTCTCAAGGCTGCAAAGGGTGAGAAGGGTATTGTTGAGCCAACCTTTGTCTATCTCCCTGGCGTTGAAGGTGGTGATGAGATCCAAAAGATTACTGGCACCGATTTCTTCTCTGTTCCCGTCGAACTCGGCGTAAGTACACTCCTGCAATCCCTTTCCTCAATACTAATCCCGAAATAGCCCAGCGGAGCTGAAAAGGCCATCAACATCCTAAGCGGTGCGAACGACTATGAGAAGAAGCTCTTGGACGAAGCAGTCAAGGGCCTCAAGACCAACATCGAGACTGGTGTCAGCTTCATCAAGAATCCTCCCAAGTAGGTTCCGTTGTCTTGTCCTTTCCCTTTATCCATTGCCTAACGTCTCGCTGCAGGTAGGATGTGAGCAACTTCTGACAACAGAATGAGCGAGCCCGCCTGCCAGCCATGCCATGCCATTCCAAATACAAACTAGCCGCCATGGAAACTGACAAAGATGTCGGAGCAGGTTATGAACATTTCATGAACGTCCAGTTCTTTCGTGAGCTGGATCCCAAGCAATTCAGCCCTTCACTGCAAAAACCTTTTAGAAAAGATATTTTGCCATTGGTTGGGAAGTTTTCGAGGCTTCCGAAGCATTGCCAGGTATCCTCGAGAAGCCTAAACCAGAAATGAAATCATGTGACAACGCATTCTTCTTTACTTGTCTCATGTAATTCTATGTCTTTGCTTGAGAAGTTTTGATTTGGAAAGTCGCCGAGGGTAGTTCGTTCGTTTCTGCTTGAACTGTAGCCTTGATGCCCAGACTTGACAGTACTCCTCTGATGATACCACAAGGAAAGTAAAGATGAGCTTGCGCCCGAGCAATAGCCTCAGCATTACTGGTCATGCTCATCCTCGAGAATGGCCGAAATTTACTGTCGGTAAGAACAAACACGCCCTGCTCAAGAAAACCCCACGATTAGTAACCAACTCTCGTTGCCCAGTAGAACGGAACGCGTGCAGAGCAATCGGGAAAAGAAAGACATACCCGATGATTCGTCTTCAGATTATCGATCTGCTTCTTGAACACGACGGTCCACAGGTCCTTGCAGATGAATTTGATTACGTCGAGCTGGTCCGTAAAGCGCGGCCGGTCGCGCGAGAACCGCTCACACAATCCCTGGCCTACGCGGAACCCCAGCCGTTCCAGCCGCACGTACACGCTGTCGCGGAATATCTCGGTCTCGGGCAGTCCGTCCGCGGCGAGCGAGGGGACCAACGCTGCGTTTTGCGTCGTCGCTGTTACTGACGCAGGCCCATTGGCGGCGGAGGCGGCGGGATTGAGGTTGCCTCCTGCGGGATTGATGGCCGTGGTGTTGCTGTTGCTCCCGCTGCCGGGCGAGTTGGAATTGCCGGCCCCCGCCGTGGTGTTGCTTGTCGGTGTGGCGGCGTCGGACGGGGTGCTCCCTCCTCCTCCTCCTCCTCCTCCTCCTCCTACTATATTCTTGACGCTTCCTCCTGCTGCACTTGCATTGCTCGCCGTGGCTCTTCTGCTACCCGCGGCGGCGGTTGCGCTGCTGCCGCTGTTGCTTGTGGGTGGAGATGTAGCGGAGGGACGGTCGAGCGATGCTTCGTACGAGCGAGCCATTCGCTCGGCGAGTGGCACTAGCTCGATCAGTAGCAGGTCGAAGCAGGACATGTTGAAGAGCGTCGCATTGGGGTCCGACAGTGTGTCTGGGTTGGCGTTTGCCATGATGGCTCGCGCTTTTTTGTTGTGGCTCTTTGGTGAGGTGCGTGAGGTTATGCTGGTCTTTTCATGTGTTGTTTCGATGGGAATGGCGGTATGGTTGGGTGGGTGGTAGGGTCGGTGGATCGTTGGAATGAGGTGTATATGAAATTGAGTCTTCGATGTCAGATGTGGGGGGGAGACACTGGCTCCTGGGTGATTTGTAGTTTTCGGTTATTTTATTTCTCAATCTTCTTGCTTTTCACACGCGCGTACGCAGAGTGTCGAAGGGGATGTGGAATTCCGAAATGCACTTTCAACAATCAATGACTGCTTTGCAATGCCAGTCCGCATGGTATGTAGGACGGTTTTAGGTCTCACCTGACCTCCTGGCCAAGATGAGAGATACCACAACGACTCATGATGTTGTCTGTTGTCACTATATTGCTTGTTTGAACGCTGCTTGATTGTGTGTGTGCATGGGTATGTTGCTGGCATTCGCAAGAAGGACGAAGAGGAGGCATGATGATGTGGAGGTGGAATTTGGAGAATCGACCATCACGTGCAATCTTTCTGGCGGCTTCAGCCTCGGGCTAAGATTTCAGGGGCATGAGATCCGGGTGTAAGCAGTAGCTACCTCAGTGTCTCGATGTTGCACTCTTGTAGTTGCAAAAAATGTTGTCTCCTCTACAATGATGAATTCCCGCATCCTACACAGATACATAGACTATATACCTTGTACCTTGCGATAATTCGGCGGTTTCCACATTCGACGAATGACTTTCCCTCCCCACACAGGAATAAGGCTGATCGCTCCCACAGCAGCCACTCTCCAAACCCAACTCCAGCTGACCACGTACTTGAGATCGAAATAACCACCAAGAAATGGAACACTTGCCGCATAAATGATTGCAGTACCCAAGATACAAGCGATCATGATCGGATGCCATGTGGTAACAGCCACCGCGACCATGATCAGTTCGTTCAATACTAGTACGGTGAAGCTGACACTCAGCATTCGTGGTCCGTCAACCTCCCCAACTAGGATCTGGGTTAACCCTTGTATGACCACTCCTTGATAGACCGATACCAGAACCCAAGTGAAGAAAGTTTTGTAACTCAAGCTTTCACCAGACTTGAGCTCTTTGTAGAGCTCAGGATAGAGGTTGGCTACTTGTTCATCCACATCTCGATCAAAGACAAGTGAGAAAACTGGTGCCATGGTGTATACAGTCGCATAGCCAACCAAGAGCCAATCTTTGAACAGGCCCTTGGGGTCAAAGTGTCCTGCGATATTGTACATCGTTTGGCAAACGCTGATAATCAAGCCACGATGCATAACGAATTGAGCCAGTTTTGCTGATCGCTTGTAGCTGTTCCGACCATGCCACACTAAAAGTTTGGTAAGATGGCAAAATTGCGTGACACTGTAATCTGCAGCGAGGGATGCTTGACGTCCTTCTTTGCCCACAATACCAATGCCCACATCTGCTGCTTGGATCATACTTACATCGTTGCCACCATCTCCAATACAACAGACACGCTTTTTGGTATGCTGTCGGATCAATAGTGCAACTTCAGCTTTTTGAGTAGGAGAACAACGACAAGCGATTACCGCAGGAAGCAGGACTGCAAGTTTGATGAAATCTTGACGGAATTGGCTCAGCATTAATGCTAGAGACTCTCCGTCTATCAGAAGGCACGACTCTGTCTGGCTCCGCATGGCATCAAGCGCATCTTGGCCTTGAGACTTGGTCTTGATTTTCGCCATGGTTTGAATGTGCTGACCACGTGCCACAAGCCTCGCCGAGACAGCAACACAGCGTGCAGTTTCGATCTTGTCACCAGTCAACATCCAAATTTTGACACCAGCGTTACGAAGTAATTCCAGAGAGGGCTTGACATCCTTTTGTAGACGATCTTCCACGCCTGTAACGCCAAGAAGTTCTAAATCACGCTCAAGATGCGACTTGATAACTGCTGCTATGCCCATATCACGTCCGTGTAGGGCAAGAGCGGCTTCGTCATAGTCCGAGGAGAACGCGGCGTACTGCGCAGGAGAGAGCTTTTTCCTGCCGACAACAAGAGTTCTGAGACCTTCGCGAGCCATATTGGAGGTTTCCTCATCCAGCCAATCGTTGGCAGCAACAATCGATGACATGACTGTGTCTGCACCTTTTTGAAAAAACCACAGTTCATTGGCAAAAGGCAGCCCGGGGACTTCAGAATGTATCTGTAAAACGATACCCATGCGTTTGCTTTCTGATGTGAATGGGAAAATATCCTTGATCTCCGCTCTGATGACGATTTTATTCGTGGCTACCGATTGAAGGACAATTGTTTCGCGATCGCGTTGAAGGAGTCGAAGGCCAACACTCTCGGTAAATTCAACAATGGCTATTTCATCAGGCGAGGATGCTTGATATGATACCACTTTCTTTCCGTCGATCTCATCAGTGGTCGGCGTAACATTGTGACACAGAGCAAGTGCCAGAACCAGGTCACGCACGCGTATCCCTATCTCTCTGCGGGTCTTGGTGGTTGCTCCCAATTCTGAACCTCGAGTCGAAGCAGCAGATTCTGTTGTTGCAAAGGACTGGCCAACATAGGCCGCGACTTCCTCAAGAGCCTCACCCGCATATGCTACAGTACCGACGTGTATTTTCCTCAATTGCATCTCGTTTTGGGTGAGGGTACCGGTTTTGTCGGATAGAAGATACTCGATTCGACCCAAATCTTCCGGAATGGTACTGGTACGCACGACGGTGTCTGGAATGCCACGATCGTGTTCGATAAAGTATGCATAGACTGTTTTGCCCATGTCCAGATTCACCCGCAAGCTGATGGGGATGATTGTCGAAAACAGAATCAGGTATATCATGATGGCCACATACCATCGTTTTTGATTTGATGGTTCAAACCCTTCCAGTGCAACAAGAATGATCGATAAGCTGAGCGTCATGATACACAGTATCTTGGTCAAATTGTTGACCTCGAGTTCCAGCAACCCAGTTTTCGACCTTGATGGCGATGTAGAAAGGGCCGACCGTGTCTGCCGACCAGTGTATATGACTGCACAGTAAGTGGTTGTGCTAGAAGCTAGGACTGTATTGGCCCAAGCAGTATTGTCGATGGTGAGCGGAGCGGAACGAGCAGTGCTTGGGACATCTCCTGTCTCATTAACTCGAGTTGAAATCTCTAACGAAGAGTCCTGCTCGCCAACAGGTGGATCGTATGCAGCAGTGGGGCTTCCTTGAAGCTCAAGAGTTCCGACGAATGCATTGACGTTCTTGTCGGGGGCGCCCGCTGTTATTCGAATTTGTCGCAGATCAGCCAATCTCAACCTCTGACTCAGGGGACTGGGAAGTCGCAATTTCCAGTCGGTTTCTCCGTCAAGTTGATCTGTTCGGATAAAAGTCTCCACACTCGTTTGTGGAGCTGCCATGGTCTCGACATCGCCGGGTGAACTTGTTGCAGGATCCGAGAGCAGTTCGCTGAGATGGCTTTGCAGTATCACAACATCTGCAGGAACCCGTTGATTTTTCTCTAACTTCAAGATATCACCAACTCTGATGTCCCGTGCTCTTTTTTCAACCTCAAGAACACCGTTTCTAGCGTCCAATTGACGAGACCTTGTGGAATCGGCAAATGACAGCACGGTGAAAGGTTCCGAGTTCGCCTCGGCGTCTCGTCGTCGCCTCGTAATATCATCAAGGGCCTCTTTCCCAATGGAAATGGCCAGAACACAGGCTAGTGGTACAATATAAGTGGACATATATCCGATGCGCAAGAATGGTATAATCTGCGAAAGGGCGACCAGGAGAAAGTAGATGTTCAGAAAGAAAGAAAATTCGTTGTACAACGTCCTAGGCAGGAAAGACCAAGCGGTGTATTTAGCGTTGGAGACGACGTTAGTTGGATAGCGACTCGACTGGGCCTGGCCAACGTTGATTTCGCGGGACTCCTTGCTGTCAACGTCCTGGTCTTCACGCATATCGGCAAGCTCTTGTCGGACAAAATCAGATAATTGCATGCTTTGGCGAAAACTTGAACGTCTCGAGGCTGTTTCTCGAGGCTGTGATGGCGTGTTTCGTCCGTGATCTTTATCTGATGTCCTGTTCTGCCTCACGTTCCAACCGACTGGATCCTCCGACCATTGGCGCAGGTGGCCGTTTTCGCGAGACTGGCCCGGCCAACCACCCAAGAGGCCTTCTGTATCTTCATCGGGATCAGCATAACTCGAGTTGTCTCTTTTTCCCGCGGAGCGCCATAGTCGAGCTCCACCAAACTGCTGTAATTTGTGGAGGGGGATGTTGGAGGAGGGATTTCCAGGCCGTGCGCCTGAGCGTGCAGAAGGGTTTCTCTGTTCGACGATAGGGTCGAGTTCGTCTAGGTCGAGGTCATCTTCGGAGTCCGAGTCTACCCGACCAGGCATATATGGGGGATTTGTGGAAGACATGCTGTGTGATGCACATGTTCTGCGTTGCGGAATGGCCCCTGCGGATCACAAGGACAAAGGGAGTATCATGTTATTCGAGGTTTCGCGATAGGCAGAGCAACGGTCAATATAGGTTCGAGATGGTATATAGCTGGGGGAAGGACATAGACATAGGGTGATTGCTAGGTTATAGGCTCGAGAAATAAGAAGAATGTATTATTATGATAGATGCCTTACAAGTTGCTCAATATAATCCTGGAACCTGAAGAAGATGACTTGGTCCGGGGGAAGCCACCATGTGCAAAGATCTCGTAGGGGCAACTTAGGCGGTGGCTGGCGGCAACTAGAGCTAGATAGGGTTGACCCGGGCATTAATGATTTAGTGTTGGGCTAATGCCCAATGTATCTAGCTCTGCCTCTTTCTCACCTTAGCGCCCGCTGCCGCCTGAAGCTCTTCACGGGTCAACAAACACGCTTGGGCCGCTAGAGCCTGGGTACAGTTTAGGTATCTTTATGCCTGCGCCTACGAGTAGATGAACAACTTGGCCCTTTGCATGATTTGATTTATCCGACTACGGACACGCAGTTCCGAGCCAACTCCAATGCTGCATCACGACCGCAGGCACTGCATCCTATCTCATCTCATCACTCACTCACTCCCATCATCAGCTGCATCACAACCACCACTGTCCGGTTTGTCTTCAACCTTTTGATTGTGGATCGACTTGTCCTCGTCGATATGCATGCGTTGTATTACTGATTAGCACCATTGCACTCGCAATTCTTTCCTGTACATGTACGTGATGTGATGCCCCTTTGTCCTGGAATCGCACCTATGGTATCTGTGCTGATTCATCTTTTTAGTACCTTTTGTTGTTTGGCCCGGACATGGCTACTACCTTGGAGCCTTCGCACAGCCACCCACGCATTGTCGCCTCTTCCAACGAAAAGCTCGGTCATTGGTTTCCGGCCATGAGACCAGATGATCTCGATGAGATTCCAGACTCTTCGCCTGTCGATACTGGAGCGCCGACGATGGGAATAACGCCGCCATTTCCCAGAAACTTAGATTCTCTACCAATCTCGTCTGATGTGCAATCGCAACCACAAGATGAAGTCTTCTTTCAAGAGCAGGATTCCATAACCTCAGCAAATACAGCCCCTTTATGGACCTCAGAGCCCCCCTCGAACGGCGGGGCAGGCGATGAACTCCCGTCGGATGATGACGATGAGCGACTGGACCCTGCCTGGGGGATTAAACGGATGGATTCTACCCAGATTCTCCAGACTGTAAATCGATCGACCACTTTCCCAGACTTCGGATTGCCAACACCTACTGAGCCCTCTCTCGGGAGCGCTTTTCCTGGCGTGTCTGAGAACAGACAAGCAGAACATGAAGAGACAGATATCTTGACAAAACCTATCCAAGACGATGCGTATACTATAGAGCCCCAGCAGACTCCATGGCTGCTTCAGGAAGAGCAGGACTTGGTTCAAGAACAACCCCCCTGGACAATATCGGAACAGTCGGACCCAGACACTGAGCTAGCAGAGCGCTTTGATGAAGGGATTCCTCTTATCCAGACCAATGATAGTAAAGATAAAGAGGTGGAAGCAAACGTGGAATCAAACCCTTGGAGTTCTGAGGCCCCTCAAGACGAAACCGGAATTGAAGATGGATTCTTCTCTGGTCTAAATAATCTGACCTCCAATTCAACACAACGCAAACCGCTGGAAAGGAAATCTACTGCCCAAGTCTTGGATGCCCTGGATTTCGAGAGGCCTGCTAGATTAGACTCCCCAGCAATTCTGGAGAATACCGAGACGTCTTTCTTCGAGCAACTCCATAATGAACCAGCGGACGAAAGTCTTGTCTCTCAGCCTCCCGCGACAGAGGAGGTCGATGCAATGTGGGCAGCTGCACTTGAGGATGACGAATTTCTCGTTGAGGATGCTGACGATCTTCTGCCTGATTCCGAACCTGGGTCGCCCTCATCATTCATGGCTTCTCTTCGGCGCGATGGACTGACAACAGTACCAGAAGACCAGCCGACCTCAGCGAATGCCACCCAAGCCCATCAATCTTCTCCGCGTCGACAGAATTCCTTCAATCCATACGCGCCACATCAACCCCTGGTTGCCGATATGCTACACATGTCGCCCGATCCTACAACACACAACAATTTGGGCCTGATTCGTCCCGGTCTTCCCCAACATGCGCTATTCGGCGCCCAAGGCCAACAAAGACCAGCAGCACCACAACCAATGAAGAGCTTTGTTGACCAGTCAAAAGATGGGTACAAGTCACCGTACGATCTCCCCGTAGATATCACAAAATCTAGGAAACGGGCAGCAGCTCCACATGCTGTTCAAACCAACAAGACACTTCCACCTCCGCCTCGAAGTAGTAGCTTATCTGAAAAACCACTCCAGTCTCCTTTCAATCCGCCCTATCAACAAAACTCAACGGCTCATCCTCCCTCATCCACCTCTGCAGCACCTGTTGTCTCCCGAAGTGTGTCAGCCTTTACACCTCCATCGAAACCACCTGTTACGCATAAAACGACGGGATCAGGAAGCTTTTTCGAGGAGCTGCCGGCCGTTTCGAGACCGCGACCCGTGAGTAATCAAGGCCGCTATACTCCTCAGCAAACCGTCGTACAACCTCCACAGCTTCCACCACCTAGTCCACCCTACAAGGGCACTGTTGCAGAACCACCATCTCCACCACGTGCATCAGATCCATATGCTGCGTATCAGTTGCAGCCCCCCGAGCGGCTCGACCCTTATGCGAATATCTCTTTGCAGGCCCCTCTTCCATCACCGTCTACCACAAATGCCCGCTATTCTCCCGCGCCGCCAACAGCTCAACTTGGTGCACGCTCAGGTCCTTCTCCTCGTTATTCTCCAGCACCGCCCACCCAGCCATCATCGTCAACTCAAGGCAACCGATATGCCTCACAGCCAGTTTCCACTCCGCAAGCACCGGCAGCAGCGCCGCCAATAAATCGATATGTCTCTCAGCCACCTCCAAATGCCTTACCGCCATCCAACGTTCTGCCTTTCCAACCTCGTACATCTAGCCCATTGGCAGTTCACAAAAGATCAACAGATGAGACCAATGCAGGCATTCCTCCCGCTATCACTGGCATCCCAAGACCCGGAATGGCTGGTCGACAGAGTTCTCATAATCTGAATTTCACTCCCCAATCTACAATCAATCCCGAAGGTGCTAATCTCTCGTCATCAACACTGTTGACGTCTCCTCCAAAGCGACAAGCAGTGGAAGCCCTTCCACCTCCCCGCAGGTCACAGACGCAGTCCCCATCGAAGCAACGCCCCCAACCTTCGTTTCAAAACTTGATCAGCGATTATCCCAACCGCCCAGCTTCGGCTTATGGCCAATCCTCACCCAGCAAGTCTTTCGCGCAACTGGCATCAGATCCACCAGCAAGAACGAAATCGTTCGCCTCAAGTCTAGGTACAGAACTGGATTTCGTGCGGCCCGCCGACGATAGTCAGTTTGATCCCTTGGAACGCTGGAAAGGCGCCCCTTTGATAACTTTTGGATTCGCCGGGACGTTGGTGACTTCCTTCCCTAAACATGTTCCAAGATATACCACGGGAGTTGCAAGACCTCAAATCAAGGCCATGCCAGGGGAATTTGTCGTCCGCCAATTGAAGGATCTCATAACCCAGAACGAGCTGATCAACAGCTTTCCCGGCCCTTTGCGTGGCAAGGCAAAGAAGAAGGATTTACTTTCCTGGATGGCCTCCTACATATCGGGGCTGGAATCTTCTCAACCCGAAAACGACCCACATCAGTCGCCGATGGATTCTCACAGGCGCCACCACGAGAAATTATTGCTCTGGAAGATTGTTCGTGTCCTTGTTGAGAATGATGGATCTTTGGAAGGTCCTGCTCTGAATGCTGTGAATGTGATTCTTTCACCAGAAGTTCACGCTGTGGATGATACAACGGCTAGCAAATATCGTACCGATGAGCAGATCACTGGAATATATCGTCCATCAGGAGGCAATGCACGTTCAGACTCGGTCGATCCTCTGGCTGCAGAACTCCTTCGCAAACATCTTCTTGCAGGTAATCGCCAGGCAGCAATATTTCATGCCATGGACGCGCGCTTGTGGTCACATGCGTTGATCATAGCATCTACGATGGAGCGCTCTGTGTGGAGTCAAGTCGTCCGAGAGTTTGTCAGACAAGAAGTAAAAACTATTGGAACCAACGCCGAATCCTTGTCGGCTCTGTATGAAATCTTTGGGGGCAATATTGAGGAGAGTATCGATGAACTTGTCCCACCCTCGGCCCGTGCTGGACTTCAAATGGTAAGCAAGGTGGATAGCTTAGGCCCGACAAAGAATGCTCTTGATGGGCTGAACCATTGGAAGGAGACACTCAGCCTCGTCCTAAACAACCGGGCACCTGGTGACCACCAAGCTTTGGCAGTCCTTGGTAAACTACTCGAAGACTATCAACGCATCGAGGCTGCACACATTTGTTATCTATTTTCGAGATCTCCTGCTAAACCCGTCATCATGGGCGGCATTGATGATGCTCAGGCTGACATTGTATTGCTTGGAGCCGATCACAAGACGCGGCCATCTGACTTTATGCGCAATCAAGAGGCTGTTATCCTCACTGAGATTTACGAGTTCGCCACCAACGTGCTTATCAGTGGATCTACGCCGGTAAACATGCCACATCTCTCCGCCTTCAAGCTACAGAAGGCAGGCATTCTTGCTGAAAATGGAATGAAATCAGAAGCCCAAGCTTACTGTGAGGCGATAGCTTCCATGTTCAAGTCGAGCACCAAACTATCTCCTTACTATCATTCATTGTTCCTGACACAGCTGGACGACTTGTCTGCGCGACTGAAGCAGACTCCAATACAAGGGTCGGCTTCTTGGATCGGGAAGCCCAGCCTCGAGAAAGTCTCTGGGTCTGTGTGGAACAAGTTCACCACTTTTGTTGCCGGTGACGACAGCGATGCCGAATCCAAAGGATCCGGAAAAGATGCGGCTGAGGCAGGGCCATTTGCCAACGTATCCGGCACACCTTCTCTGAGCAGAACTGGGTCACAGTCTGATTTATACGGATCGTACCCATTGGCATCGCCCCCAGCCGTCTCCAACACCATTGCTGGATCCAGATACGCGCCAAATGGAATTCACTCTCCCCGTTCTTCTTCTGAACTGACGCGAGGCCGACCATCTTTGGACTCGCAAAGATCTCCACCAGCAACGTCACATCTAAACTCTAGCCGACAGTACGAACCCGTCAATATGCTGCAACAAAACCAAATGGTCCAACCTCTAAACCCATATCAGGCCCTTGCCGCAGCCTCCCCACCTACCAACTACCCACAAAGCCCTCCAGGTTCTTCTTACTTGCCAAATAGTGTGACTCAGCTTGTCCAAGATATTGCTCCTCCGGTGCATCATGAGCCTTATGCTCCAACTCCACCAGCTGAAGACACCGTCTCTCTGGCGTATGGACACAACCCTCAGTTCCAACAGCATGGCCAATTCGGTTATAGTGAGTATGAATATGCCGAACCACCTCTAGAGCAAACTCCGCCGGTACAGGACGAAGTAGCTGATGCAGGTTATGCTCCACCCGCCCAGTCATATGGGTACGAAGCCTCTGCTGAAAATGGCTACATACCATATGAACCAGAACCTGAATCACCTGAGGAATCGAAGCCCAAGAAAAAGTCTTTTATTGGCGATGATGATGATGACTTTCCACAAGCAACGCCAACAGCTCACCGAGGTTCCCAAGACGATGAAGCCGATCGCAAGCGTGCCAATGATGCCGCCGCGGATGCTGCTTTCCGCGCAGCAGCTGAAGCAGATGCGAACCGTGAGAAAGAAAAGATGCAAGCAAAGAGATCTTCGTCGTGGTTTGGCGGCTGGCTGGGCGGAAAGAAAGCCCCCGAAGGCCTCGATTCGGGTTCAAGCAAATCCGCAGATGCGAAAGTGTACAGAGCTAATCTCGGCGAGTCAAAGATGAAGTTGTACTACGACAAGGAACTTGGCAAATGGGTGAACCCAGACAATCCAGACGCAGGAGTGAAGACTGCAACACCTCCACCGCCTAGAATGGGAGGTACACCTGGACCTTCTAGCGGACCTCCTAAATCCGTCGGGTCTGGACATGTTACCAGTTCGAGTTTACCTAATGTGAGTATGGGATCTCCGTCTTTGCCAGGTAGCAGAGCGGGCACCCCTGCTAGTGGTTCTATGATAGGTGTACCAGCTGCACCTTACTCGGCTGGTCTATCTGGCCCACCAAGTGCCGCAAGCACACCACCACTCGGGCTGGCTCCAACATCCCACCCTGGTCTTGCTGCTCTTGTACCACCACCTAGGCCAGGCTCACGCCCAGGAACGGCAGTGAGCAATGCCAGCAGCATTGATGACCTCATTGGGCCACCGGGTGGCCGTAAAGGAGCAAAAAGCACGAAAAAAGCAAAAGGTCGTTACGTCGATGTCATGGCGCAATGAGGCAAATAGATGAGGGATGAGTACGAGTGCCGTACGATTAGATAATTGACAATATTGATGTATAGTAATAGCCTGGAATATGGAAAGCGTGACAGTGTAGATATTTAAATGTGATCAATTACTTCTGCTACGCCGAAGACGCGCAAGTGCGTCAAGGGTAGCATTTATCTGTAGCTCTTTCTATAACTCTTGAAGATGAGTCTTTGTACTCAGTGGCTTCATAGGTAATTCCCAAAGAACATACCAAGACATTAGGTTATATTGCTGTCAGGTCGGATCTAATAAGCAATTGAACTCGTTTAGAAGAGAGATTTTTGAAGGGAAGAAGAGAATAGCAAAACAACCAGATAGATAATATCGGCATAACGGATCGAACTCAGGCCTGCACATTGTCAAAAATTAAATTGGTTCCTCATATGTGCATTTTAGCACCTTAGTGACTGCAGTCACAATCAGGCGGGATGGAAATGACCTGCTGTAATTCCCAGCGTCCATTCTGCAGGGCCCTCCCACCAACCACTATACATTGAGGCCACAATGCAGCAGGTCACACCTAAAGAACATTTTCCTGACTTAATGTGGGGGACATTTCCAAAGCTTTTATTAATATAGGTTTAGTGGTGAAGTGAAGTATTCCTTGTCTCGCTCCAGCCTCATACAGCCTCGTGCAGCCTCGTGCAGCCTCGTGCAGCCTCGTGCATGACTAATGATTGTCCCCCACACACGTGACCCGCAGTGATCGAGTCTGATTCAATCTCCCACCGGATTTCGAAACACCAGACTTCAGCTCATCTACAGAGAGGCACCAGATGCTCACAATCCTGTCACCGGCGCATGAGTCTGGGACGAAATTTCGAGAACTCATCTACCTGAATTGCTCCGTCTCAGACTGAGCTGCATATCGATCATCTTCAGAACCAGACTCTCCCAACCAGGCATCATGGCATCCTACCTCTCCTACTTCACCTCCAACAATAACGCATCCAGTGCCCCTCCATCCTCACACGGGGGAACACCACAACCATCGGGCTCGACATGGTCTAGCACCTTTTCCTCTCGCATAGCGACGCTTCGGAAGGCATTGACGAAAGACTCTGAGGACGACGACCCAGACAATGAAGATTGCTCACACATATCCAACGTACTGCGTGCCTATTACACCGAAAAACAAAGAGCGCTTCCTGAGTGGCTTCCTCCGGACCCAAAACGACCGGTTGCTCCCCCTCCACAACCACAAGGGTCTTACGGCCAGTACGGTAATGCGTACGGTGCTGGGTATGGGGCTCAAAATACACACGCGCGAGGCCCATCCGGCGGACGGGGAGGGGGGCTCTCCGACCTGTGGGATCCTGCCCCAGCTGTGAGTGCACCACCTCCACAGAGTCTCCGAGCAGCTAGACCTACACCTCAATCACTCCGGTCCAACGACTCGTTACGGGCACAATCACAATCTCAGTCTAGTGGTAGCGGACAAACGACGCCTTATGGTGCTACACTGGGGGCAGCCCGACCCTTGCCAAGTCAGCGAGCTGGAAGTTATCAGACTGCGAATCCAGTTGCGAACCAAGCAGGAGGCCTAGGCTCACGTGATCGTCTTCGTGCCCGCTTACAAGGGGGCGGAAGTGGACGGAGCAGTCCTTCGGCGGGTCTGAATAGTGGTGGGAGCAGTGGAAGCCAGCAATCCTATGGAGGATCTGGTGGAAACTATGGTACTCAAAATCGGGGCGGTCCATCACAGCCGTTTGTTTCCGCATCTGAACCTTGGGCGACCAGTGACCCATACTCTTACAGCGGTAACTACGACGATGGCGGGCTCTCTAACACAAACCAATACGGAAACCAAGGCCACCGACAACGGCCTGGGGGACCAAGATAAATCAAACGCCTTAGGGCTGAGAGCTTTTCAGGTGGTAATTCAGGTGCTTCAGCCTCGCAGCCATGGCCTAAAGTTCATGGCAGCAGAGCCTTCAGTATCTGAGAATTGGACCCCAACCTGAATCTCGCCTGGAGAAGTGTTTTCTACGTTGGGACAGAAGTGTACCCGCAGAGTCAGCAATTTGACGCCATCAGGCTAGCCGTCCTCCAGGAATGGAGATGGGCGTTTCAGGTACAGACAGATCTGGATGTGGACAGCGAGAGAAATCTATTCTTTGGGAGGAAGAGAAGCTTGAGCTCAATCCTACTCGGGCCATGCCAGCCTCAAATGGGGAAGGTTGATGCCCTGGACCTCGCGCACACCGAAAGGCAGACCATGTGGTTCAAGGGGAAGCGTAACGTTTTCGGCAATCTTCGATCCCCAGCGTCGAATAAAAACAGTATGTGGCTGGTAGGTGGTAAGCATCTTGGCAGGTATTGGTTCAATAAGAAGTCATTTTGGGCCAGAATGGACCCAGCCTGGGGCCAGATATAGGGCAGAAAGTGGCAGCAGGCAGAAATGGGAGATTATCAAGATCACCAATATGCCACTGGCGCAATGCTCACTCACGGGCTCAGCGACATAGCCTCAGATCCGGAGAGGCTGAGGTTGTGCACCCCACTGATTTAGGACTAGCTTCGGTATAGTCGGCCATCTGCGCTTACTAAGCTTGGCATCCGGTCGTCTCCTAGCACCGCTAGCCTTGCCCCGGCTTGCTTCGAACAGTGTGTTACTTCGGTCAATTTGGTGCTTCCATTGTTCCTTCCAAAGCTCGCTACTACTAACCATTCTCCACCCTAGCTAGCTCATCATTGTAGACTACCTCCTCCTCCATCGACCCAATGATGGTACAGACAGCCACGATCTTCCACCTGGCTTGCATGGGTGGCCTTCTGCCCAAAACTCGTCCCAACCATTAGGAGAAGTAGTTGAGTGGTGTAGATTGACCGGCGAGAAAACGACATACTCTGCTTCTGGACTTTGTACCAACTCGGCATTTTCACTAGTCATACAAATACTAGTCTGACAACTACACTGCTCCCCTTTCCATTGCAATAATTCGGCCCCCAAACCGTTGTCCTGTCTTGTTCACCATGATCTTTTCTTGAACAGACAGAGCCCAGCGACCTTGACCTTGTCGTGGCTACCGTGACATTCTGGGAAGGAGTATTTTGCTATTACTGAGCAATCGTGATCCATGCTCTCGGCGTCCGGCACGTGGCTGGCCACCCACCAGCAACCTTGTGCCTTGCTTGGCCTATTGTCCCACTCCTCTCAGGCTTTTTTCAGACCGCATTACCCAGCGACACTAGCACCATTGTTTGCTGAGCGGCTCTGTGGTTTGAGGCTGAGAGACCGAAAACCTTTTGCTATTGCTGTGCTCACTATCCCTCGTACTTTCACACGTTAGATCGACATGAAACCATAGCTCCATTCTTTTTTGATGATCCGATCGGAAGATGACATCCCCGCCTGGCCGCAAACCCGCCTCCATTGTTGGTGTGGCGTGTGAGGGTCGGTTTTCTTTTCGATGCCCTTACATTGGGGCATCGGAGGGCAGTAGTAGCACAGGGAGTCACAAGGAGAGCGAGCATTGGCAGTGAACCGGGCAGCTGCGAAAAGGAAAGCCACCTTCTAGCGGAGACGCTTCTTCCCGGTATTCAGAATAGAATAGTTACGCCTTTCAGGGCTTGGTGCACGAGGACAGGTTCACTAGTATGGTAGGGCTACTTTGTTGTATACGGTCTCTGGAGATACACACACGAGGTGCGGTCTAGCGAAGCTCCTCGTGGGCCACTTCGGCATCATCACCTCACCATACCGGGCACTAGGAGACTATCTGGGACCAAAGACGAAAAAGACATATTAGTAGTCACTAGACCTGCTTTCCGGAAACCACACACTCACACATACTGCATGTGTCAGCCTGCTTTCCATCTCTCTTCGGATCGTTCCAGTGTATGCGCGAGTACGTGTACGTCTGCGTGTGTGTGCATCGATCGAGTTCTGAAGAGAGTCGCTCCGACCACCACCACCACCCACACCCCCCCTTTTTGTCTCTTCCCATACTCCGGATTGTCACATTGCCCGGAATCGAACATCTACACATTGCCCAAGTCCATCGTTTGTTCTCGACTCATCATTCTTGGTTGTTGCGTTTCCTGCGGTCTTACTAAGTGTTGAACCACTGGCATAGACTCTTGGTTTGTCCCCTACTCTCGGATCCCACCTATCTTCCACATTCTTCATTCTTCTTCAAGTGTGTGATCGGCCCTGCTGGTTCTGTGGTCGTGTCCATTGGCGAAATAGCGTCTTATATCATCACGATTACTCAAATTCGACATCACAGCAAACGCCCCCTACAGAAGTGTCCGATTCTGCTTCCAGTGAGAGGTCTCGTTTTTTCCCTCTCTCATCTTTCCTTTCTTGCTCGGGTGACACACACACACATACACACGCACGCACACTCACACACGAACAGAAAACGAGTCGGTCTATGGACCATTCGTCCCGTCAGGACAGAGACCGGAATACTACAAGAAGGGGCTCGTCTCGCCACCACCACCACCACCATCAAGACGACCGAAGATCTGAGTCTGCCAACACCCTCGACACCTCTCTGCCACAACATCCAGCTGCTGGTCGGACGCCTTCCTACACTTCAGCATATTCCAGCTCGACTCCTTTCCAAGCAGGGGAGCAATCGACGTCCCAATATCAAGGACCGTCGTATCCCATCACAGCAGCACAGGCACCAGCACCAGCACCAGCACTCGGATATCAGTCTCCCACTGACTCCACCATGTCTCGACACGCATCGTCAGGACAGCAATATCAGCTCGTCTCCCCTGGCACACCAGCTGATCCTCGAGCCATGAGCCAAGTTAGTCCAGGCTTTATTTTTGTAATATTTTCTATGTTTGCGATTGGCGATTTCCCCCCTGGCCTTTGGAGCTTTCCCCTGGCTCCTGTGCCTTTTCCTCTTGTTCCCCCACCTATCTCTCCTTTCATCTCTCGCTTCTCGATCTCTTTTGTCATCTCCTTATCTTTTGGTTTTTGTTCTTCTTTTGGAATGAATTTTATGGATAATCTTGATGCAAAACGGGCTCAAAATATTCCTCGCGCACTCCCGGAAACGTGCATCAAAACCGATCAGGCTAACACTGAGATTTCTGTGACAGAACAACAAGGATCAGCTGATCCAATCGCTCCGAACACACCGCGTCAACACAATCACAGAGCTGCGCCGCATTGAGAAGATCTTTGCTTACCTGGACTCGGCCGAGGTGACCGAGCCTATGACCACGGCGTGGGCGCATTACGTCAACTCCAACAACCTCCTGAACGAGCTTCGCGGCTTGACCAGGACGTACCCGTTCAGCTCGGAATGTTTGGACGAGGCAAAGGCTATGGTCGTGCGCGATCCCAGCAGCACCCGCAGCTGGAACTACTGCTGGCTAGTGCTGGTCAAGATGGAGAAAGAGTAAGCCGAAGCCCTACCCATTTCTGACCTAACCATGCACAGCTCCAGGCAGGCGAACGGATACGCATTACATACGCAACGGCAATTTGCTGCTGCGGGTACTTTTGCTTTCCTTTCGCCACCCTGGAGTGGGGGGGGGAATATGTAATCATTGGGGAAAAGGGGCAAGGAAAAGGCAAAAGGCTGACCATTTCGATTGCTTTTGAAACTTTAGGAACCTTGTCACCAAGCACGCGCGAGCCCTGGCGTCCAAGGCTAGCACCTGGGGTGGTCGACGACCGACGGCCACGGAGTTTGAGAAGCTAGTCAATGCCTGTGTGGCGGAATGGACCCGAGCTCTCAGGCAGATGCTCAAGCACTGGGATAAGCCACCGAGCACGACTGGAAACTGATCGCGACGCAGACCGATACGACGGCGGGAGAGGGAGAAGGGAAGATCACCCCTAGACGGGTAGTAAGTGAGTTGGCGTGCGCATCTGAGTGAGATTCTTGTCGACGCAAGCATGCAGGTATGCAGGTCAAGAAGCCGGTCTTGAGATGGAGGAGTCAGTTAGTCGTTTAGTTGCATTTCATTGGCATCGGTCAGGACCGAGCGGAGAGGCGAAAAACAAGACGATATCAAAATGGAATACAGTGGAAAGAGAGTTTGTTCAGGCCGTCTGTCGCGGCTTCTTTTTGGGCGGACTTGATGGAGCGGCCACCAGCGGTTGATTGTTTTCGCCACTGAACAGGCACCCTGCTTACGGAATTTGGCGACACGTGGAACTTTTGGGGGAGCAGGGTTGCATCGAGATGATGGCTTTTGTCCTCGATCCCGTCGATGGCCATGTGCCGATGCAGGGTGTTTTGTTGGATGAAGGGAAGAAGGCAGCTGTTTGTGTGAGAAATGAGCGCGATGAAGGAGGAGAGGACAGGGCCTGGAAATGGGATGGATGGATGAGGAGAATGGTGGACGCCCAGGCGAATTGGTTAATTCGCAGCGGACCAGGGGCCCGCGTCTTGGTGGGATCCTCTGAGGGAGTGGGACCAGCCCTGGAGGCTCCAGTGGTGCCATTGGACGGGTTTTTCCCAAATAGGCAATGGACAGGATAGTACGAGGTACCGAGTACTCTGGGGGGCCTTGAGCATTTCCGGAAGCTTGGACTGGGTCGACGGTGAACATCTTGGATGGTACGAGTATTTGGGCAATGGGGGACAGGTCTTCCTCGACGGAAAATGGGCGGCGTTTTTACGGGGAGCCGGAGAGCCAGCGAAGGATGGATCTCCTGCATCTTCTGTTGCTCTTCTTGTTGCATCTCTCGCAACTACCTCTTTGGGTTTGTAGAAAACCTGTATGTCGCTCTTTCAAGGTGTGCTATTTTGGAGTTGGGTTTTGGGGGAGTTTTTTGGCTTTTGGGTAAATTTCCGACACTGGGCAGACATCGCTCCAATGCTGGCGGGAATACAGATTGGGTATGTGGTGGGGGACAAATCGGGGATCGTCTTTAGAACATGATTGATCGCGATCATTTCCTCTAGTCACATACTAAGTAGGAAATGGTAGGGATCCTCCTACAAGCGAGGGTGCAGGATACATTTAGAATCATGGAGTTCCGAATACCGCATTGCATCTCCGTAGCCGTGCGGTTGCCGATGCCGTCGCCGTTGCGATCGCGACTGATTAGCATCGTGTGATAGACTTCGGTGTCATCTTGTCATGTTGTCCATCAAGGAAATCAGAAGTCAATGCAGTAACCATTTAGGCTGGTGGGTAGGGCTTAGCCTTGGATTGCACTGAATTGCAAGATACTACCATCGTACGAACGAGGTTGAAGGGCCGAACAAGGACTTCGGTCAGGAGTAATCCCACATCGGCTGCCAAAGGCATGGCGCTTATGTTCGATCCATTCGCCAGGTGAATGTCATGACCCGCACTGTTCGCTACGTTTGGCAACCGTGATGCTATCTATCAGACAGATACTAGTACTGTGACGATGACCTGGGTCTAGACTGGGCGCAGCACATCGTGAGTCAGGCAGACTATCCAAATGGTTCTTTCATCTGCTGATCTGGATTGGTAGTCACAAGAAGTCTACAAGTGGTAATTGTTTTGAAGCGTATGACATCACTCTGTAGCCGAGTAAGATCTACGACCACACACTGGCATCTCATCTCGCCTTTACTCTTCGCCGGTCGATCGCCATAACAATATGAATCATCAAAAAAGTCTGGGCTGGATTCATGTCGATCGACCCACGAACTCTAAACCGAACACCTGCACCTGCCTGACAAACCTCATCATGCTTGGGGATGTTCTGGGCCGGAAAAACTATATTCTGATTTCCGTCGGTCAACGAGCATTGGCTAACTCGCACATCGATGGCCAGGGCTGAGGGCTGGCTGGAAGATCGGAACGAGAAGGTCAGGTATGTTCACGGGTCTGAATGGTGGGTCACATTTGACTTGGGCGGAACGGCGCGAGGGCCATCAACTCGGCGTCAGTCAGCAAACATCGTATTCAACCGTGCTTGCAACCGCGGCACGGAGGCATGATTTCTAGTTGCGATTGGCTTCATGAGGCACCATTCTCTACATGTGTTGGCGCGAAACTCGGGATTGTTTATTTGCTTGAAATGTGCACCAAACGCAGTGCTGAAGCTCATTTACAAGCCAAATGAGGATGATGCTGCTACCGGAAATGGCAACTTTGCTCTTGGATCACCTGAGGAGGCAGGGGTCGCGCACCAAGTACGTCTAGTCAAATGGTACCTGCCTCAGATATTAGGAAGGAAGTCGCGAACAACGATCGTCACGGTGTTCTCGCATCCGGTTCCTGGGTGATGAAGACGGGATGCTCATGGTTCAGTGGAAGGAATGCAACGGGATACCAAGGTAGGGTTAGGGCAATCCCCAATTCTGGACTCGGTAGCTTATGTCAACCGCGACCACATGCCTTGTTCGGCGTGATTATCTAATCCACGGTTATTCGGCAGGGGCTCGGACACTCAAGACTGACATCCACGTTGCCGAGGCGTTGCGCTGGTATCATGATTGATCGAGCCAAGATGCAATGTCGGATGGTTTGGGAAAATGGTAGCGAGGCTCACGAAGTGGTGCAGGTGATGGAATTCTATCCGGAGTATGTCGACGAAATCACGACGATTGAGAAGAATTGTCCTGGTTTTTTGGACGGTGGGAGTAAATTGGAAATAGAGAAGAAGCTACAAGAGCAAGTGCTGATTAATTGGTTTCCTCAAATGGAACGAGGCTGACGGGTCGATTGGTTGTGAATTGCCCACCTTTTCCCAGATTCAGTAACACACAATGACTAGTCCGAGTGGCGCCGGCCCTGCTTAAAACGCCTTGGCGCGACTGACGAGCAGTACGAGAACGAGGAGCTCCTGCCGACTTCAAAGGTCGTGATCGTGACTTCCAAGGTCCATCGCAACTGCCTCCGCGACTCCGAATACGCGCCGGCCATCTTCGCCTCCACGGGCTACGGTTGCACCTGCCCTGCTCGTTTTTGGCCTAGGCTGCTTCGACTGCATGGCACTGACACAGAGTTTCTGGAACTTCGATGAGCCTCACACCATACAACTGGAGACTAAGTCGACCTGAATCCGTATCTCACCAGCATCGAGAGACGGAAAATGCTGCACCATCTATCATCACGAGGCCACCACCATCATTACGCCTATCAAGCCAGCATACGACGAGCCTAAGCCGAGGACAGACATTGTTGGCTTGTCCGCTATTCGGCAAGCCGAGGTTTGAGTCTGTCCAGAACGCACATCAACACTTTGAGTTTTGGTGTCTGTATTGCACAAGGCTGGAGAACCCTCTATCCCGCAATCAACCACTCCGGGCTATGCACCCACCTACTCAGAGTGGCAAAGGTTTGCCTCTTCTCGCTAGTCATCCTTATCCCCCAAGGCGAGCACCCAGGAAGTAGCCGATACTGTTTGTACCGGTACTAACCACTACTACTAGTGCTCAATGTTACGGTCATGAGTGCTAGTCGAATCTCCCCGAGAACTTGCTAGAACATTGGATATCGGAGCACTCCTCAAGTCCTCGTGCCTGGCAGGCACCTTCCGTGTTCGCGCGGCCCTGTGCATCTCTTGGCCCCCACATTTCCGACCTCGCTGCTACCTCGCCACCTCACCACCTCACAGATGATTCCTCCATCTGACATCTCACCTTTTTTTGGTCTAATCATCAATTTCCCAATAATGATCTTTCAAATCAAATCATCAGTCTCATATGGGCAAAGGGAATGCCGCGGTAATTGTCCTCAAAGGGAAGAAATCATAGATCGACTTGCCTAAAACTGCAGTTTACACCTGCCGATCCTGGCTCTTCAACCAATGCTGACCGTACTATCACCACCGACGTACCATTTCTGCGTCTGTCGTGGCATGACTCCACTACAGGAGTCAGTACTGCTTGACCACAGACCCTTGGGTCCTTGACGTCTGCGCAGAGCCTACATCTCCTGCTCCACGAAAGTACAAAACACCGGCACCGCTAATCCTTGCAGTATCCGTTTCGAGACTGTCCTTACACCAGTTGTGTGCTTGGTCAACAGGTACTCACCGTCTTCCTTCCCACACTCTCAAGGCGGGTCCCGACGAACCCAAAATACGACTCGAAAATGTAGGAATGGTATCCATTTGCTGCTTGGAATGCTTGTGCTAATTGCCTGATATCCCTAGCCACATGAGACTCTACCCAAATCGGGGATCTTCCAATTTTAACATTCAGCCAACCTTGTTTCACGTCGCGTGGGTCCATTTTCCCCAGCACTCTCTTCATCAGCCATGTTGACGCCCTTCTCAATGCACTGGAGCCAGTCAGATACCCGCATACATCCTCCGAATCCTTCCTCGGTGTTGATCATCGTTGACGCTCGGATTCGCTGGCACCTGCTCCCGACCTGTCCACGCTTCCAAAACTTTTCCCCTATAGCATGGTGATTCAGCCGTGGTTGGTAGTATGATACCCAGGCAAGTCAGGTACATCACAGCCTATAATATCCGCGCCTACGCGCAGAGCTAGTGATGAAGCAACAAGTTCGCTACATTGAGGGTGAGGTCTTTGGTTACTCATCTTGCTTTCTTTCTCGCCCATATCGACTTTGGCAGCCGAGTGGGAGTTTCTATTGCAACCGAAGGGGGCCTCAACGAACATGAGTGGAGACCTCCCGAACAAGGATGCTGGACTCCATGTCTCAAGTGCTTACATACACAGAAATTTCACCTACGGTAATGCTGAGCTAAGTACTCCACATCAAAGCCTAATGGCGGTGCGCCTTGAACCAAGCGATGGGAATCGAATACAGACTCTCTTTGAATACGATGTCCCTAGTTCCGCGTTGTCTTTGCTTCCAAGGTGATTCATCCAAAGACAGCGTCACACATTGGTTGGGAACTAGCCCCACAAGCAAGGAGGCCGACACAACGACAAGGGCTTTCTCGTTGCAGGCTCGAGATACGAGGTACATGTTCTTGAGAACGTGAAAACCCGCGCCCCACTCAGGGCTCCTGCACCTTCTTCTCAGTCGTCCCACCATGTCGTCAATCGAACCATCCTACGAAAGATACTGTCTATATTGCTATTGATCTACAAATTACAGCTTCAGGCATAAGATGTAGCCAAATGAGCGAAACGGTGCCTCAAAGGATCCAGCGGTTTCAAAAGCATCGGGGCGACCCGGAATTCGTCTGACAATCTTTGCATGCATTCAAGAACATGAGGACAGAGATCCGTCTCCTGAAACGGGTATCGCTACTGCAGGCTCTAAAGAGTACAAGGGTGGGATAACGATTGCGGACTCTCTACCTACCTCTGCGCCCAACCTACAAAGTCTGATTGGGGCTTCACTTACCTTGGTGTGCAGGTGTCTGCACCCACTTAGTAACAATAGCTCTACTTTTCTTGCTTCCTCGCCGCTCAGGATACACGCATTCACCTCGAAATGCATGCCGCGCTGAGTCATTCCTGCTTAGGCATACCAAAGTGCATGAATGAACATGATCACAGGGTTGACTTGTTGGCCCTAGCTGTGAGCCTGGGCTCTGCAAATGCAAAAAGGAGATGGGTCTCTCACAACTCAAGCAAGCCATCGACCCAACCAGACCGCTCTCATGTTCGGCATATTTGCTCTAGAGTGGAACTGAGGCCATTCACTCGGCTTTTTCAAAGATAAGCCTGTCTGTGGAGCACATCAAACTTTGCATACTGGCTAATGTGCCGACTGGATACACCATCTACCTAGCCTGTCATGCTCAGGCGTACAAATTAATTCAAGCTTGGAAAGTCTACGACAAATGACCTTTCTTGTTCTGAAATTGGCCAATTGCAAGATTGAGCATTCCCTGATTGCGAAACTTTGGGTCATAATTACACGGTCTCAAGTCAAATGGGCCAAGCAGGTGAGATAACCCACCACAACCGCCTATTAGTTTCTATTAGTTCGGTGGAGAAACGAACAAGACAGTCAGCGTGCTCAATGCAGGCTCCGAATGGTGATAGGTATTACGAATATTGAAACTAATGTTGGCCATTAATTTGTCCCATCTCGTGAGGCAGCAAGAAACCATCCACCCGGCGGACCACAAAAAGAACTCATGGAGAACTAAAATGATGCTGCCCTACAAGGTGACTATGCAGTATGAACCTTCCTGTTCTGACTCGCTCATCATTATCCAAGCATTAACAAATAAGCATGTCCAGTTTGATTGAATCCACAGCGCTGGGCATTCGACACCAGAGAACCGATGTTCCACAAGCGGTACCGGCTAAAAACTCTGAGATCCACTATTCTTAAGTACACTGACATGGGTGACAATGAAGTCTGGATATCGACTCGGTGGGTATGCTATGGATAGTCTTCCAGAACTGTAAGCTACACACCGAGAGAGCCTCCGATTGACCAGGGTTTCCCTTTGATCAGTCTTAAGTCTGCTGAGCTCAGAGCTCGTACTGTACTGAGACTCACTGCTCCACCTTCATCCCAGACTTGAGTCAGGGATGCATTCGCTCCTTGACTCGGCCTGCACGTCGCTAAAAGGCAGAACAATTGATTTGGCCATTCAGTGATTGTGGAGAGACCCATCAATTGCAGCACACTAGGACGTCCATGCTGTTGGCCTCGACCTTGGCTCTCCAATGGCATGATCAAGGAAACAGAGATCTTTCGTCGTGAGGGACTCTGTTCGCTTTAGACGAACAGGACATGTCGTATTCTCGCTAGCGTCGAGGAGCTTTGAGGGACTAGTTGTTGGTGACTTCCGTCTTTCTCTATGTGACCAAGTCCAGACATTGCTGTGGCGGTGCTGTCGAGTTGGACTTGACAAAGAAGGGACGATATCTCAAATCAACCAGTCGCGTTTATTTCTGGGTGGTGGTTTCTTGACTCGAGCACAGTGGACTGCATAAATACTCGAGTTAGACTTCGCGTATGTCGATACGTCATACTCCTCTCGGATACCATACCTAGGTGTCCATAAGTATCCATCCCTATTCTGAAGCCAATCGATACTTCATAGTCTATCCTCTCATAGCTAGATGTATATAGGTATCCATCCCCAGCCCCGTTCCCGTCCCTATCCTAACGCCAATCGCTCACTACGATACCATGAGTCGTCGCGCAGTGAGTTAAAACCAACGTCAATACAAATTCAGCACTGTGTCACACGGCATCTACAGTCCGTCTTGCGGCATACCCTCGACTCACCACGTCCCGTTCAAGTCCAAGTCCAATTCCATCGTCATTCCACCTTCACCTTCGCAATACCAGGTGGGTGCTCTCCATCTTAACGGCCGCGGGCCAGACAGAGTGTGTACAGTGTACGAAGCAAACCAATCTCTCGTCGCACTCATTTTGGGACAAGTAAGCACTTTTGACCGATCGATCTGATCTACGGGTGAAACCATGGTTATGTAAGACGTCCTTTTGGAATTGGAGTTGGACATGGAAATGAATTGGAAACGGCACCACTGTGGGCTTGAAATACCGGCACTGCCAGAGCCAGTGGACGGATACTCGTGGAGTGGGGACGGCACGTTGATGGCGGTGTCGTTGAGGTTGCTGGCACGGATATCGTCTTCATTCATGTCTGAAAGGTCCTTGCTTAGAGGAAGAAGAAAGTGGCACCGCGTTAATTAGTGGCGATAGATAGCAGCCATGATGTGGTTTTTGAGTGTCTAATGACTTTAATTTGTTTTTACCTTCGGGTTCGGTTCATGTATTGCCACTTTTTGTTCCGCACCGAGTCTATACATCGACAGAGTCCAGGCAATGGCGATTTGACCAAGTCTATCTCGACAAGAGAAGGTCTATTTCTTCCCCCTCTGATCTAATCTAAGCATACGCAGTTGTCGTCATCTAATGTCGTTTGATCCCAGGGGTCAACGACATGCGTCTACCCCAGCTGGCTCTTTTTGCTTTTGCCCATCATGCTCAGAGCATTCCGTCTAACCCGACAGCGATGGTATTCGTACTGCATCAAAATGGCATCCTCGACTGGTTGAAGTCATCCACAAGACATTGTGGCTCAAGCACCAGCAAAGTGTCCTGGTTGTTAGAGGAACGAATCGATAAGTAGTAGGCGTTCGACTACCATTGCCCGAACGGCGTCGGCCTGTGGCGATTCTGGTACTCGTGTTCGTTTTCATAAGTCGTACTCTGTGTTTTGCCGTTCATCAAACCATTAAAGGACCAGCGCTAATCGTTGACTCTTGCGTAGACTGCATGAGTCCGCCGATATTCAAATTAGAGACAAGTCCGATGATACGAGGATGACCAAAAGTAAGCGGCCCATGCGTCGTCCTTGAAAGGGATGCATTGTTCTTTCCATTTTCATACCATGATGAGCCTAGGCAAAAAAAAGCAGTGTGGCTAAAGGCTGGTAACTGTCAAAGCAAATTACATGAAGGCGACCCTTACAGGAGGTAAAATGCTGCGATGCTCGTGTTGAGGATGGTGGAACAATCAAGGATCAAACTTTGGGTCCAGTGATTTTTTTCGTGACGGTCTTGACCGCAGATTCCTCACGACTCAAAAGCCACATGAAAAGCATTTGGATCACAAAGGCATAAATGGCAAGAAAATAGGTGCGCTGATTCTTCCTGGTGCGTGCCATAGTGTAAGGAGTGCTATTCCCAGGCATTCCTGTGGGATCATTGGAAGTGTCTGGAAGCAGAACGTATTTGAGTGATCGAAGCTGCAGGTTAGGGAATATCAGTGGATGATCAGAGGATAGAGCTAGGGCAGCGAACATAACGTACCAAGAAAAAAGCATTTGCATACCAGGTATAGATGAACAAGGTCCATCCAACCCAGTTGTTGGTGCCACGGCCACCAGTCAAAAGCTCGCTGAGGAAGAGGGTAAGAATGACTCCGACGAACTTGTAGCCAGAGTAAGCGAACAAGTCGAGAAATTGCGAGTCGTTGGTGATGGCTAAGAAGTACATAGCGGCTCGGAGAATGATAAATTCAAACCCAACAACGAAGAGAGCGGTACTCGTGATGCTGCCTAGTAACTCGGGGTGGAAGGAACCTCTTATTCCGGCAAGAACGGTGGAAAGGAGAATATATGTGACCAGAGCCATGATAGGGATGTACATATCGGGAGAGTTGAGGTCGTCGCGGGGTGGGAGGTAGTTCAGAGAATAAGATTGTTGAGAGACATGGCCGTCGGGATTGGTAGATGATGTGGCCATTCTGGTCTGTTGTCTGGTCCAAGGTTTGTGCCTCCATGGAAACAGAACAAGTAAGAGTTTCCGCACGACGTAAGAATTGGAAACATTGAAGTAGTGTTTAAGAGCCGAGACAGGAACCAGACGATTTAACTGCGAGGTACAGTCAGCATGATGGACGAGTGTGACCACGTTAAGATAATGAAGGGTGAGTTACATTCTGCTCCATGTATTCTTGGCCCGCCATAACAGCAGTCTTTCCAACCTGGAAGCCCATCTGAGCAGTGGGATCATTGATGAAGCCACCAAAGCCAGCGGCTCCTCCAGTCCCGGCAGCTGGGGACGAGAAAGGATTACCATAGCTATTGAGTTGTGGTTGAGACTGCTGCTGCTGACTCTGATAGGAGGCTGGTGGAGGAGGAGATCTCATCATGGGGACCTGGGAAATATGCTGGGGTCGAGGATGAAAGAGTTCGGGGGACTTTTGTGGCGGGGAGAAAGGTTGCCGTTGCTGCATATTGACGGAAAACGAGGGTAAAGACGACCAGAATTATGTAGATCGCAGATGTCACAGTCAAGTGTGTGATGTGCGGCTTGCAATGCTTGTGAAAGAGAGTCAGGGTGGTGGAAAGGCCAGATCTCGCATGGAGCGTGATATGTCAATAATAGTGGGCGAGTCGAGACAAACGAGGTGAGTTACTACTCGGTAGTATCTTGGTATGGAGTACTACCTGGAAGGAAAAGTGTCATTGTCGATGATTGACACAAACGGCAGCCCGAGCCTTGAGCCGCAGGCGGAGTTTAGTGATTGCCAAGCCTCACTAAATCCGCCCCACGTGTCCTTTGTTAAAGTGGCAAGAGCAGTGGGGTCGAGTCCATGTCCATGTCGATGGCTCCTTCCTTAGATGCCTCGAAGCCCAACTCAAGTCGCAACTGCCAACTGCACTGGCACATCACTTCCCTTACCCTCAGATAAAATACGCGGATCCCTCTGGCAGGTTACAATAAGAGACAGACCAAGTATCGCCTGCGCTCGCACTCCATTAATTTCGCACATTCCGATCGATTCTATCCAAGTCCACTCCAGCACCCTCCCAAATGTTAGACGCCTTCGAGATCCTCACCACCTCCGGCGTGGTCCTTTGGTCCCGGACCACCACGACCATTGCCGCCACTGCGGTCAACACTCTGATTAACGATGTCTTCATCGAAGAAAAGGTCCGCCCTGTCCTCACAGCCTCCACCAACCCTACCTACAAGCATGAGAAATACACTCTGAAATACACTCTGGTCAAAGACTTGGGTCTGATCTTCGTCGCTGTCTACCAATCTCTTCTCCACCTTACCTGGGTCGACAAATTACTTGATGATATCCGCACCATCTTTGTCGAGGTTTACAGAGGCCAGTTGGAGGAACTCGACTACGCCGCCCTCAAGTATCCTTTTGATAAATACTACGATGAGGAAATGCGCAGGTTGGATCAGTCGACTGGCGGTGCTGTTTCCGCACAAGCCCCTCGAGTTCAAGTCGAGGAGGAGAAGCAACAGAGTGCTGAAGGGGCGGACACAGGGGGTCCTCCTCCACCAGATCTGCCTCAGCTTCTTAAGGCGCAGCCTCGAGCTGTGCCTAATGGTGACTCTAACCAGAGTACACCTATTCAGTCCCCTGATTCTTCCCGTCCTACGACCCCACTACCTGGCATTGCTAGCCACTTGTTATCCGAAAAGGCAAGACCGGGAAGCCGTGGCTCCCGCCGTTCAAGGAAGGCCGCCAATGTGTCCTCTGCCAACGTATCCTCTGGCGACGAAGCAAGACGACCAAAAACACCCAGATCCACAACAAAAAAGGGAAGAGTCTGGGATGCCGATGGAATGGCTGACGAAGCCGAAGACACCAATCTCGACTATTCTGTCGTCGAATCTGATGCAAATGGCGACTCAGCCATTCGATCGCCTCTACCCGAAGCCATCAGCCAAGACAGTTGGGGTACAAAGAACAAGCAAGGCCAATTCGTACTCAAGGATCTTGACGATGAAGTCTCAAACATTTTGAAATCCGTCGATACTGCCAAGGCAGACGCCAACGGCGCTGGGAGCACCAGATTCGGTGCCATTTCCGGCTACTTTAGGAACATTGTGGGAGGCAAGACTTTGTCCAAGGATGACCTAGACAAGCCCTTGAAATCAATGGAAGAACACCTGATCAACAAGAACGTTGCTCGCGAGGCCGCCACTCGCCTTTGTCAAGGAGTTGAGACGGAAATGGTGGGCAAGAAAACTGGGGCATTTGAATCCATTGACACAGCTTTGAGACCAGCCCTGGAAAATTCTCTACGCAAAATCCTCACACCCAGATCCTCCCTAGATCTTCTCCAACAAATCGAGTCAGTCGCGAATCCCTCGGGATCCAAATCAAAACCACGACCATTTGTAATCACAATCCTTGGTGTCAATGGTGTCGGAAAATCTACCAATCTGTCTAAACTATGCTACTTTCTTCTGCAAAACAATTATCGTGTGCTTATAGCTGCAGGCGACACTTTCCGGTCTGGAGCAGTGGAGCAACTCAATGTTCATGTCCGCAATCTGAGAGAATTGACAGCTCGAGAAAAATTGGGAGCTGTGAGCATTTACGAACGAGGCTATGGTAAAGATGCGGCCAATGTAGCGAAAGATGCGGTCGCATTTGCGGCTGCCAATGATTATCAGGTCGTTCTGATTGATACTGCGGGTCGAGCGCATACCAATACTCAACTAATGGCTTCATTGGAAAAGCTGGTAGATTTTGCCCAGCCTGACTTGATCTTGCAAGTCGCAGAAGCTCTGGTGGGAAATGATTCGGTAGGACAAGCCCAAAATTTCACCAAGGCTTTGGGAAAGAACAGAAAGCTCGACGGATTCATTGTGTCGAAGATTGACACAGTAGGATCTGGGATTGGAACTATGATCAGCTTGGTCCACGCCACATCAGTGCCAGTACAGTTCATCGGAGTTGGCCAACATTATGGAGACCTTCGACAATTGTCAGTCCCTTGGGCGGTCAATATGCTCATGAGCTAGGTGAACAGCACGATTGCCATAATATGTATCCTGAAAGAGTACAATCCCAGTTGGTCTAGTCATCGATAAGTTGGCTTTCCTCAACACATTTCTGAGTCAATAGCTCCCATACAACCTTCGGTTCAGTGCTGTCCAAAGTCCAATAATGCAATCTCAGTCTCTGATACAATACTTTCTTTTAGTGAACTAAGTGGTGCTCTGTCGTTGTTCCTACTTCCGTTCCATTCTCATCATAATCCATCCACCCTCCTAAAACAAACACTCGCAACGCCCTGGCCCTTCTGGCCTCCAAACTGAAAGACAGGGTATTTGATCCGACCGTAGATCTCCAGACCAACCCCGCCGCCGCCACCTCCATCGAGTCCCTCTCCCACCGTAAACCATTTCACGACCTCCTCCTCCGTCCAGTTACAACTCGTCACCAGCAAGAACCCACCAGGCCTAACCATCCGTGCCACTTTCGCGGGGTACAACTCACATACGCGCCTCTCCACTCCCGTACCCGCACCCACCGGGGGTTCATGCACGGTCGCGGACGAAAGCGAAATCGCATCAAACGTGCCCTTGTCAAGGACGAGATCGAACCCACCCGCTTCATTCGGCCACCACGGCAACAGAGACGAGCCGGAGTTCGGGTCATCGTGGATCAAATCCATGGTCTCGAAGCTGATCGTCTCACTCTCACCCTCACCGGTTGCAGCTGTCTCCCGATCCGAAAACTGATACTGTCGCCACAAGCGTCGTGCCAAGTCGACACTCGGCCGCGAATAATCCACGCCGAGCATGCGCCCGCGATATCCGCCGTCGCGACGCAGCGAGAACAGCGCGCTGCCGTTGCCCGTGCCGAGGTCTAGGACTGTTGGGTTGCGGCTGGTGGTGACGTCGTGTCTCGACAAGTACGCCGGTGACAACGGGAACGATGCATCAGTCAGATATGCCAGTGTCTTGGCCGGTGCGCCGACGTCGTCGAACCATGATTCCAGTTCGGACGGATTGGGGGGCGCATGGTCGTTGGAGTCTTCTTCGTCTTCATCGAGAGCGTTGGTCTCATCGCCCGAGTCATACCCGTTGTCCAGGTCGTTTTGGTAGTATCTGTCCCAGCTGAAGGAGGGATAGAGTCAATACATTTAATTCTAAGACGTGGAGTTGCAGGATTTGTGATGCGAATTAGGGAGGCAATGACATGAGATATTCAAGGTACAGCTGATGTGAACCTGGAGTGGGGGCTAAGACGCACTCACTACTCCTTTGTTCCCAACTCGCTGGGATCGAGGTGGTTAGGGTGTGTTTGCAAAGGTGGCTGTCCCGATGCCATGCTGCTTCGATTGCTGCCGATTCTGAGTCAATCCAGGTTCTTGAGGCGTCAATTAGTCATGTCAGCCACAACTTAGTCGTACACATGCCACCATCAGCCAGAAATATAACGACAAGCAATCGAAGAAGGGTCGAGGTCTGAGAAAATTATGCGAGAGCGAAATATCTTATCTTATCTTATCGATAAGACTGGTTCCTGAAAAAAGCAGCCTCGTTCCCCTCATCTCAGCCTTGCGATATTTGCACCATCGAACTTTCCCCCAATCGATCCTCCTCTAGTCTTTTGCTTAGAGGTAGAAAAGGATCAGAGTGGTGATACTCATAAAGCCTGCTGCACGAGCACAATCTAATACCTCCAATCTCTCACCATCCCAAACCCGCCCAAAATGTTCTCATCACGCATCTCCACACCCCTGACATCCGACCCCACAGCCGAAGACATATTCGAATCCGCACTCTCGACGCTCTTCACCGACGTGACGCAGAACAGGCACGGCACACCTGGCGCCAGCGTCACATACCACTCGCCGCGCTTCGGGCCCATCTCTCTCCGCATCCCCACACACCCGGATGTCGAGGACGGGAGAAACCTCTTCGCCCATTACTTGTGGAACTCGGGCGTGATTGCGGCGGATGCGATTGAGGTTGCGAGCGCCGTTGAAGATGTGGATGGCGGGGGCGATGTGGGGAATGGCGAAGATGATACAGGTATGGCGAATGAGTCTCCTGAGGCGGGAGCGACGAGGGTGGTTGATTGGGGCAGGCGGCGCTATTGGAATGTCAGAGGGAAGCGGGTTCTCGAGTTGGGCGCCGGTACGTGATATCGATTGAAAGGGAAACGCTGAAGAAGGAAAGCGATTACACACATCTCAACCTGTCCATAACCTTATTTTGATGCTCCGTCAAATGTGTATCGTCTGTCCGACGACACGGCATTGCACAGCAAGAAAACGGGATAACACATGGAAGGAAACCACTACGAGCCTGCCCAGCTGACGGATTCTTCTTCCCAACAGCAACAGCACTCCCCTCCCTGATTTCCGCCCTCAGTGGCGCCGGAACCATCACCATCACTGACCACCCGTCCTCGCCCGCCCTGACAATGGGTGCGATCGAACAGAACGTGCGTGAAAATATCACGGCTCGGAGGAAACAGTGCGACGGAAAGACAGGGCCTCCTGAAGGCATCTCTACCACTGCCACTGACCTCACTACCAACATCCAAGTCCTCGGCTACGTATGGGGCACGGACACAATGTACACGACGCAGAGCTATGGGCGACCAGCGCCGCCAGAGCAGCAGCCACAGCCGAACACGTACGACCGCATCGTCGTCGCTGATTGCTTATGGATACCGTTTCAGCACGGGAATATCGTCAAGACGATACTGCGGTACCTTACGGCGCAGGAGACCGGGCCAGAGCACGAGGAAGAGGCAGAAGACCCACCCTGCGCACTGGTCATCACGCCGTTCCACACTGGGAGAGGTATTGTGCGGAATTTCTTTGGGCTCGCAACGGGGGAGTGGAAGGGTTATGAGGATGATGATGGGGATGGGCAGGGAGAAAGGGATCCTGAGTTGGCGGATGTGTCGGGGAAGTTGAAGGCCTTGGAGATGTTTGAGATTGATGTTGATGGGATCAAGAGGCCGTGGCAGCCAATACGGCAGGATGAGACCAAGAATCAGGCGAAGCGGTGGTGTGTCTGTGCTGTGTTGGCGAGGAGGTGAGGGCTGAATCGACGTGCTTTAGTAGCATCGATGCAGGCGAGAACCGCCTGAGCAAATAAAATCCAGGACAAACGGATGAAGGAATGGGTTATGACCCTAAACTTCAAACCCATGCATAGTGGTTTAAAGGCAGCTCCATAATAAGGCCTTGTTGTATCATTATGTAATGTACAACTCTTTTGTAGGTGGAGATTTAATGCCTACAAACCTCCAATTGACTCACCAATTGAATCGAATTGGTCAGTATCTCTCATCATGCATTCATCCCGGAGATCAATCCTTGACCATGGATGCTTCAGCGCTGGCCCTGAAACCACCCGAGTATGCCGTTTCTCCTCGTTCTGAGCACTGGTCGCCGCCTATGTGTCCGAGTCCAACATTTCGTCCTTCCCATGATGTTAACACTCCCAACGCCATCGCTAAACGAATGAAACAATCATGACTTAAAAAGAAGGATGCATCCTATCAAAGTTAAAACCGGACGAGGGATTCGGAGGAGGCAGTTGAAAATAATACCGATTATCGAGGGGATGTGTTCTCGTCAATTCCGATGCAGACACATTCGACATCCTTGGAGCTTTGGAAGCAGGAACGTCCTCATCATCACTCAAGGTCAGATCAATGACATCCTCCCGTGGCCGCTTGCTCGCCGATTTCGGGGCGGACATTGATGGTGCTCTGGAATCTTCCCTCGAGGATAATGGTGGAGTCCTGACAGTATGAGGCGTAAGTGTGTCCACTTTGGGCTTTGTGAATGGATCGTCTCGTATTTCAACTAGATCATCATCCTCATCTTCTTCACTCGGTGTTGGATTACTTCGACGATTGTTGTTGTTGTTGCTGTCGTCTTCTTTCTGAAGTTGCCATCTACCATCAGGGTTCACTGTGACAGCCTCGGTTTCCGTCGACGTCGAGCTCAAAATATCGTTCACATATTGGTCAAGAGCTAGATTTTCCCAAGGTGCCGGTTTGTTGCAGATGGGGCAGGTCCAGGTCGGAGCTTGCTCTTGCAACTGTAAGTACGCAGCAGCATCAAAACACTGGTTGTGGTTACAACCGATCGATCGGCAAGGGGTTGTGATTCGAGTATATGCGACCGGATCCTTTAGAGATAGGACACTCGAAGTTGCAACAATCTCATCCGGATCTTCAGCTTTGGTTCGCACTAGTGAAATCAGTCGATTGACCACAGAGATATGAGACGAGGATGACTCACTTTCTCGCAGAACTTGGTCCTTGGTGATGACTCTTCCGCGTCTGAGCTCAGCTACCATTGCCGGGATGGACTTCTGTTGAACCAGGTTCACCACAAGATAGAACTTCTGTTTTTGTTTGTCCTGTTCAGCATGATAATTCTTGACTTAGATACCGGGCTCTGACAAAAGAAAGAATAACAAAAAAGCAAAGGAAATAACATGGGGGCGCACCTTGGTGGTCAGAGCATAGACCATCTCAACCGAGTTGGGATAATTGGCCTTTTTCCGAATGAGATGAGTGATGTCTGCAGGCCTGGTGGAACCAGGTTTATTCTTGAGACCCCTCAAATTGGCTTTGACTTCATCCGAGTTGCATTTGAGTTCCACATTATGGGGGAAGGCAATCTCGGATTCCTTTGATAGCGGTTGAAAGCCTTCAGCAGCGCAGAAGACCATTATTCTGCATGATGGATCCCGCGCTAGTTGGTCTACAAGACCTTGATCAAAAGAAACTGTCAGTCGTGCCGTGTCACGAGTGGCCTCACGGGCTGTTGTTGTCAGTAGGCTGATGAAAGAATCGACTGATACTTTAGTGAGACTCACCTTTGCATTCGAGAACTGTGGTTAGGGATCTTGTAATCGTGTAGAAAGGAGAGTTCTTGAATGAGATCCGATCTGTCCCGCATGTTAGAGATACCTGTGATCTTGATCCTGTCCCTCACTTACTCGACAAAGAGTTTGAACCAGGCATATTGTAAGAAGGATGTGGAACAGGGGAAGAGTAATGAGGAGAAGCCGAAGACGTTGAATTGTGGGGAGAATAAGGCGACGGGTAGGCAGATGAGCCATATGTGGGAGGAAAGCCACTAATATTGCCTCGCACTCTGGTCAAACCAGCCTGGTCACCAGCCATGCGCAGCCTCTCGATATCTGAGTGAGTTGTAGTGTCAGAAGTGAAGGAAAACGACGATGAAATAATTTCATCTGAATTGACTGCCTTACGTGCAATAGCCCTGACCTGTAATTCATTCTTGACACCACTAACAGGTAAACCCTCTGTTCTAAGGAGGATCTTCAACTTTTCAACGGTCAAAGTCTTGACACGGGCAGTCATCTGCGAGGCCTGCTCCTGCGACGAGGCATACGCCGAAGTTGCCATAGCAGCGGGTTGAAAAGGTATCTTCGGACTGGTTGTTCTGACAAAGGTGAGGCTATTGAGGTTGGGCGGACATTTCTTTCGTACAAGGCCTTGCCAACATGAGTGGCAAGTGTGGAGTGTGTTTGATTCGTGTGTGAATGAACTCGAGAAGATTGATAGAAGGAGGAAGAGAGAGGGTGGGTGTGGATATCGAAAGAGAATTTGTGGGATGTCGTTGTCGTGCAAAGTCGCCGTCGGGTAGGTCAGTGGCAGTGACCAGTCAAGATGCGCGATGGCGATGGCCTGCGCAGGCAGTTATCACACTTGCTGCTTTAGCGGGGGAAGATGAGCTAGAGACTTGTTTTGATCTAGCGTCAGGCTAGTGCATGATATCGTAGTTTGACTGGCCAGGAAGTTGTCTTTAGCTGTGGTATTCATACAGTGTATTATTACCTTATCGATATCGGCAAATGCTGGCAATCTGTTGTAAAATTCCACTCCACTGAAATTAATTCTGAACCGCCTTTTCTCATGGTGCTCTCTCGGTCTTTCTTGGATCGACCACTCTATCACTGTACTCCCTCATCGTTCTAGCAACACAGATCACAATGGCAAAATCAGCGCGTTCCTCAAATACGAAACGCAACAACCGAAACCTTCGAGCAAAAGTGTTTGGTCCAGCTCACGATGCTCGCACCGCCCGCCTATCGGCCAAACTTCAAGAAATAGCTGCAAAACCTCGACCTACGGATGACAAAGTCATGCAAGTGGATGAGTCCGCGGAACAAGGAGGACAAGACCAAGACCAGTCACTCGGTGCCATTGTTTCCGACGATATGGACTTGGACGGCCTTCAAGCCAAATCCAAGAAGCCAAAAGTTGATCATAAACAACGACGAAAAGAGCACAAAGTCTCCAAGAGAAAGCCAAAACACCAGATGGTCTTTTCTTCCGAACGCGCACGAAAAGCTAAATTAGCTTCCAAGAGAAGTCAGCGTTGAGGCTGTCAGGCGTTCGCCCCTAGCTATGGACAAAGTCATGAAATACAGGAATGGAGGCACTCAGTGCATGATAGAAATCCTGGATCACGAATGCTATTTCCTACCCCTCCGCCCGCCGTACTCAACGATGACAGGATAGAGTATTAGCTGAAGGACGCAGTTGGGAGAACCACGAATCTCGACGCCAGCTGGGTGAGAGGTAACCACGATGGGATAGTTAAGGATTGCCGCGCTTTGCATGCTCCTTCTTTCGAGCCGCGCTTCATGAGGAAGCCACTGTCGTCGCTAGTAATGACATCTGCCTCGAAAGACTCTTCATCTCCCTTCTCTCATCCTCATCCTCAAACATCATCATTCACAGCACTGGCATAAAATATCTTATTACATCAAAGGTCAGCATCAGCTATCTCGCTTTCGTGTTCCAGAAGATCTATTCAAAGTCCCTCTTTACAATCTCACCGGCTTCCATCTCTCCTTCAAAATGGCAGCACCACCATACATTCCCAAGCGACAGCCAAATGGACCCCTGGGCTTCCTCAATTACCCTCCAGAGATCATGAACAACATCTATCAACACCTTCTAGTTGACCACGATCAAGTGTTGGCCCTCCTTTGCTCAACAAATGCCAGGCTCCGCCAACTCAATCTCAAACGTCGCATCCATAAGTTGAATCAACCCCAAGATCAAGTCGAGTGGTCTCACCTGTTCGATTCACACTATTACGTGGATAGCACTGGGCTTTCGGCACAATTCCTCCGTGTCTGCAAGAGATTTTGGCTTGAAGGGTCTCCAGTCCTGTACGGCAACTTGACTATTGCCATGCGTCCTTCAAATAGACCTGATCCCTGCCACACGAAACAGTTCCCTAAGAACTCCCCGTACATTCTGGCATGGGCCAAAAAACTCATACTCAAGATCGACTTTTTGTCGGCTATTCGCTACGCAGGTTGGACGGGATAGGACCTTTTCCACAACGATCTTGTTGGCAGACAGCACGTTTCAGTGATTCAATCCGGGGGGCGGCTGAACTCATCTGTAGGACGAATGAATAGAGCGATGTCTATTTAATGGAGTCGTCAGAAGAAGATGTCGGGCAGACAATGGCGTTGTTGGAAGAGGCGATCGGGTAGGCGATGGTGTTTCACATGACTTCGATACCGAGAATGTATTTAAAATGAACCAATCAATGCTCATGAATTCCATACTGCTTCAAAAGTTTGTACAAACTCCCTGTTGTGATTCAGGAGCACGCTCTATTGCATCGCTTAATACCAGGGGCCGGCGTGTGTACAGATTTAATGACAGACACTGTACAGTACCCGCTAATTGCCACGTATTATAGCTCGTAAACAGTGAGGCACGGTCACAAGCAAGCACGATACGTTTAACACAACCACCGGTGAATCACAGATGGACAAAACTGCCGTCATCACGAGACATTACGACCCAACACGGAGAGGAGAGGAGAGAAACCAGAGAACTTCATGGGACTTTTTCTTATATCCCGGCTATGAGAAGAAGAGAAGTGGCAAGAGAAGGGACCAGGAAAAAGCTACAACAAGCATGTGAAGCAGTTAGACCGTTGCATGGACGGAGCATCCGAAATAAATAAACACTGTGCCGAGACAGATAGATGGTTTCCCTTGGGTGGGGAGGTAGTCAAGCTCTGTCCCCCATCTATCATCTATTCCGTTGCTCCGCTCCGCTCCACTCCTTTCACCACGTACGATACCTCCTCGTGGGCCGCTTACCGCTGGTAACAAAAGTCGTCGGGGCGGGAGTGCGCTTCGGCTTCGAGGACGAGGGCGGCGGCTTGGTCGACGCCGGCTTCTTCGAGGGGGTGGTCTTGCCAAAGCGCGAATTTCCACTCTTCAACTGGTAGACGTTCAGCTTGGCGGTGCCGCCGCAGTTCTCCTTGGGGTCGCCGACACACGTGGTCGAGCAGTCGGCGTCGGTGAGGTTGATGGCGCCGTTGACGATGCCCGCGCCGTTGCAGAAGCACTGGTTGCCGTTCTCGACGCCCATCCAGTTGTAGCCCTTTGCGAAGCACAAGGCGGCGCAGGCCTCGACGGTGAGCGAGGACGACTCGGTGGCGAAACTGCCCATGTTGCTCGTGCTGCCCAGGGCGCGCGCCGTCCCGGGCTCCGCGTAGCACCCGTAGTAGCCGTACTGCACGCCCGCTTGGTTGGGCACGTTGACCGGGTCCGGGTTGCGCGGCTTCACGTACAACGTGTTGTTGTACATGGAGATGGCGTTGGGCCCGCCACAGGTCTGCTGCGTGTTGCCGGAACAGGGCATGTTGCATTTCGTGGACTGCAGGATCGAGCTGGCCGCGTTGATGACGCTACCCGCGAGGCATTGCGAGGCGAATTCCAGGCCGAAGAAGGGCAGGTTGAGGGCTTGGGCTCTCTGTGCGCAGAGGTCCACGGTCATTTGGCCCGAGGTCGTGAAGAGGCTCGAGAGCGCTCGTCCGCCTGTGGTTTCGCTGTAGCAGTCCAGGTAGGCGACGCCGGAGGCGCTGGGCAGTGGTGTTGCGGAGGTGCTGGTCGTGGAGGACTGGCTGCCTGTCGGATTGCTGCCGGTGCCGGTCGTGGACGAGGATGACGACGGCGTGTATGAGCCGAGAGACCACACTGAGAGGCGAGAGCCGCCACCGCAGAATTCTGTCTTGTCGCCGCTGCAGATCACGGAACAGTTGCCTTGTAGGACCTTCTCTGTGGTGATGGTGTTGCCGCAGTAGCACTCTGTCCACTTGTTAATTCCGGGGGGAAGAAGAGGTAGAGAGAAGGACAAAACATACCATTACCATATTCGGTACCGAAAAGTGCGAAATTCCCGCGCTTACAGAAGGCGGCGCAATTCTCCAATGACATGCCAGTATTGTTCGAGTACGATGTACCAGTCAGAGCTCTAGCACCGGTGCCTTCTTTGTAGCAGCCTCTGTAGGTCGCATTCTCACCACCGGGAAGTGACAAAGTTGACACGTCGGCCACCGGAAGACCCTTCAGAACAGGACCTGTGTACTGGTCATCCTGCCAGATGTGCATCAAACCTTGACCACCGCAGAATTGGAAACTGTCACCAGTACAAATCATGGCTGACTGCGACGAGCAGACTGCTGGAGATTGGAGCTCCCGACTGAGGGCACTCGCGCAATAACACTGCGACGCGTACTCCAAGCCGGCCATTGCGTAGCCATTCTTGCGGCAGAATGCCGTGCACGAATCGATAGTCATGCCGGTTTGATTGGAGTAGCTCATGCCGGTCAAAGGTCGAGGCTGGCCTGTGTCGAAGGCACATCCCTTGTAGGTGAAGTTGGCGACACTATCTCCTGGAACAGGTTTCGAGCGGGTCTTATAATCTTGGTTGTCGACGTAGTTGAGCGCCGGTTGAACGGGGCAGATGTTCTGTTGAGCTCGCGAGGGGCCTCCCGTGGGCGGATTGCAGCCGGGGAGAACCTTGAGCATGCCCTTGGTTGTCTCGTTCACGAGAGGTGCCTGCTCGGGACAGTTGCGGCTGAAGAATGGGTCAACGGAAGCGGCCAGTGGTGGGCAGAGACCGATTTGGCCACCGTTGGTGGCGTTGGCTCCCATGCACTGGCTAATGGCAGCGTCTAGAACGTCCACATCCCATCCGTTCTGGAAGTCGCCGTGAAAGCCGTAACCCGTGGTGTCGCCGTTCGAGAAGACGAAATAGCCACCATCGGATTGATCGATGCTGTTGACAGAGTAAATGACCTCGAAGAACAAGTGAGGAAATGTCTTGGGATGGGTTGGTGGGCAGATGCCGTTGTCGATGCCGGATAAATGGGCAACGTGGCTCTGGTCAGACTTGTAGAGATTGACGCCATCCCAGCAACTTGGGAATTGAATTTGAGCTCGTAATCCAGAGCTGCACTTCATTCGGTTGAAGCCTGGGGTTTCAGGCATAGGTCCACTGCTGTCCAAGCATGCATAGCTGACACGATTGGCGACAGGCTCACTACCATATTGTCTGTTTCCATATGTCAAGGTATTGGGGTCGTAGGCACGAAGAGCGGGATCTCCAGCGAGAACACGATATCCAGGGGGAAAGGCTGTCATGTTGACGGCACCTACGCCACGGTCGAGATAGTAAACAACAGTTCCATCATGGGGCACCTCTTCGAACATGCCGTTAGTGTGTCGATAGTACAACTGTGGCGTCCAGTAGGCGCTCTTGTCCTTCTGGATGCTACAAGAGGTACAATAGGCTGCTTGGTAGCTCTCATATGTTGAAGTGGTATTGAAGTCTGCGCTAGGGTCAGTCGAGATTCTATCAATGGGAGAAGGAGGTCTTACTGTTGGGGCCAGCAACAGTATGACAGTGCCCGGCGATGGCACCAGGGTTGATGATGGGGTCGATTCTACCCATCTGGATGGTGCCACAGACCATTCGCCAGAATGCCTCTACATCATCGAAAAACAAGCTAAGCACGAAGACCAGAAGGGCGCTTTGGAGAGTCTTCATTGTGGCGGATTGCCAGAGGGTGTCACAACGAGGAGAAGAGCCGATCTGGAGGGGGGCAGAGACAGGCGACTTACCGGACGAGACTGGGGAAGCCATGGTTTTGTTCTTACTGTGATAGATCAAAGGATATTCCTCTGTTGTTCTTGGGTGTATATCGACCGCAACGGGCGAACAGCTCAGACCTGATTGGTGGAATAGTTCTATCAGACATGTCTGCAACGAATGAGAGCAGTTGTGGCTTGCAAACAGGTGACTTCAGACAAAGGGTGAGGAGTAGTCATTGACAGCTCGCAAGCAGCCTCAACCACGTGACAGCAGTTGAGGAAGGACAGAAGACAATAAGCAGAAATCCGTCTTTGTTAAGAATATGTGTGGGGTGAGTCGAGCATGGATAGTATAGAGGAACAAAGGCGTCTGCCATTATGTCGATGTGGGGCCCTGCAGTGGTCAAGGCTCTGGTACGCAACTGTCCTTGCAACCCACCATGTGGCAGAGCAGACTAGAGATGAGAGAGCACCAGCCTGGTGAAATGAACACGGCGGGCTCCCCCATTTGGATAAGGCCACATGATCTGAGATAGGTATGCACATCAGAACTTGAGGTCGAGGAGGGCATTGAGACGATTCGGAGGTTTGGGTCGTGCCAAGACCACGCGTCGCGTGCCAATTGACGCGAACGCGTTGATTAATCCGAAAGCGGACGAGCCAAATCTCCAAGCTTGACGAACCTCGTCCAAGCTTCGTCGAGGAAAAACTAGCATCCCCCTGAAACCCGCCACAGCTCGAAGGAAAGAGAGTTGGAGCTTTGACTCAAGGTTCGCATGCAATCGTTTGGTATCTGCCAGGTGTATGATAACCACAAATTCTCCGAACGTGGACGCCTATCGTTCGCGAGACGAAACACGCGGCAGCCGTTTTCATTCCCAAGCATTAGCATTATCTGCACAAGGGAAGGAAAACAAGGTTCACTGCAGAGCCGTTGAGACTTCTCTTGCTCCTGTCGATCGATAATGCAGAGATGCAGAGACCCACGGGGTCATCGTAGATCGAGGCCATGGTGGCCCATCGGGTTGACCTGAGGACCCTGTGACGAGCTCTGAGTAAAGTTGTAAACCAGTGACGAGGACACTTGGACTGAACGTGTCTCGTCTCGAAATCAATCGGACCAGATGTAGACTAGTATGCTGGATTCTCAAGCTGTGCTTCATCCCGATCGCCTGGAAATAGGTCAGATGACGAACCCAATCCATTATCCATGGTGATTCAGATAGACACCCTGGTCATTTTTGTTCCGTCGGGCACCGTTTTGAAACTCAGGCTCCAGGGCTCTCTCTTGTCGCTGGCTTATCCTTATCCCTACCGTGTGACTCGGAGGCTGCCACGGGCGGTCGCCCACTTCCCTCCCGGCGCTTGGTCGATCCCTCCCTCCCTCGCTCAACTCAACTCAACTCACCTCACTCGTCCTGCATCTTGCCTCACCCTCCATCCGCCCTCCACCCTGCTGCATCTTTCCTGCACTGCACTCACCGCAACAACACAACGCATCCATTTCTCCACGTCACAAACAAACAAACAGTCAGTCCACTGCTCCACGAGCTGGCCTACATATCTGCGACCGACTGCGCAATCCCACCCGTCCTTTGTTTACATCGTTGCGCGCGTCAAAATATTCTCCAGCGCATTCGCAAGTCGCAAGTCGCAAGTCGCAAGTCGCAAAGATCACAATCGCCCACATCCACCCTTATCCAGTTTTCACCCGCACGCACACACGCACGTCACTGTCAACCTCCGGCGCATTGGCCATGCTACTCCCTTCAGCCTTCGCGTGCGAAGGCGCAGTCACTCAAGAGTCGAGGAGGCCGCAAAGACCCAATCTCCCCTCCTTCACACCCTACCAAGCGCGACTCTCAATCCAACCGCGCGCCAGTCCCATCGCCTCCAGTTGTCGTGCTCTACATGCCATACTAGGGGGTCCTGCTGTCGCACCACAACCTGTCGCAGCCTCACGACGCGAGTTGGGCAATCCATTCATACCATCAACTAAGCCTCTACAACCACGCCGCCTACCACCGCCCCCTCCTCCTCAGCGCGGCGAAAACAAGCGCAGGCGCAGCGAGTTTGAGGAAGACCTACTTCCATCCGAATCAATAGACATCAACATGCAAGACAGCCAGTGTACCCCGCCACAGGTTCGCACTCCCAAGCGTCGACGGAGAATCCCTCTGTCCATGCCGCTCGGTCTCTCCGTTGAAGACTTCCACGCGCTCGAGACTCCACTAGAGGAGGAAGATGTCGCGCTCGACATGCCCATCATCAGCCCGCACAACATCCCCTCAGATCAAGACTCAGCATATGGGTCATCCCCCACACTGGAGGAAGCAGAGTGGACACTCGAGGATGACCAGGCGCTGGTCGAGACAGTCCTGGAAAAGTTGAGATTGTCAAAGCGAGAGTGGAACGATTGCGCAAGACAGATAGGAAAGGACAAAGATAGTCTGGGAAGGCGATGGAGTCTGCTTGTCAGCGAGGGCAACGTGGGACTGAGGAGAGGAGGAAGAATGTCAAGGACAAATTTAGACGTCGCAAGTTGGTGACCATTCACGAGGCACTTATAGTGGCCAGGAACCAGACTTGAGCCCAGAGAACTTCTTGCTTGTATGATTATGCTTCTTTCGACGGCTCCAGCGAGCTCATTTGATACCCATATCTTTAGAAATACCAGAATATACCGTGCTTCATCATTCATTCATTCGGCCACTCAGTCGCATGGCTCATCTCTTTCACCTGCCTCGGTCGGCCCAGTTGTCCATTGTCCGCTGCAGTGGTTCGAAAAGCCCCGCAGCTTGATAGGCCAAAGATCTGGTCATTCAACACATGATTGACTGAAGTCCACGAATGGACCGTCAGCGGAACCCCGAGTATCAGTAGATATCTGTCAGACCATGCACAAGCGTCATATACAAATATGGCGCATGCCGTGTTGCAATGGTGAGGTATCCAGAACTAGTGTGAGTGAGTCGTGAGCCGAGCATAGTGGTGTGGAGCCTGCGATCTCCTCCAAATCAACATCCAGGGAACGAGGTGTCGTGTCCGCGTGGCAGCACAAGATGCTCAGAATCGAACCTCGTAGCTGCCGGCCTTGGTCATGTACCGGACCCATTTGACGCTGCTGTAGTTGTTCTTCTCAAAGACCTTCAAGTAGCGAACCAGCAGTCCGGAGCTGGTGAACATCAACAATGAGAAATTCATGCTTAGCGGAGGCCGCGACCATGCCTTTTGATTCGTCATACTCGTCAGGTGTGCTTCGGCGCTGAGAACGAATTCGCTTCCACCCACAAATCTCGCAATCTTCCATACCATGCAGTTGTTTTCGGGTTCGTATTTGGCTTTGCCTTGCGTCGTCCGTTCCGTGATATTAGCTGTATTCAGTGGTGTTGGGATCCTGATCACAACATTGGTCGCGAAAAGCTTGCTTCCATAGTTGGCTTTCACAGCTATACTGTATTCGACTTTGGTGGTGCCGACCTCGCGCACGATCGCATGGATCTTGAACGGTAGGTTGACATTCTCAACTGACCGGTAGCGCATCAACTCGAACTCGCCATCTGGAGGGACAAAAGATATAGTTCTGTCGGTCTCGAACTTGCCCAATTGGACACACTGATGAAATTGGCAGTCTTCTAACGTGACGGAACCTGCAGCTGCTCGCGTGGCTTTTCGTTTGCCGTCGACATTACCGACGGGGCCATCTCCTTGGGCAATATGACCCACCACCAGTTGGTCATTGAGGCCAAACTTGCATTCCGGCGTTCCAGTAAGGTAGGCTCGCATCACGATCTGACCTGTAACGTCTGCTCTTAGGACCGTGCCCGTTGCACTCATGAGGAGGTTCACATCTTCAATAACATCCACAAATGCCTCGTTCTTGCGGTACTTGATATCCCCTCTTCGCCATGACTGTGCACCTGTGGCTTGCATGGTGATTCTGGACGTGTCACTGGGAGGTGCGGAGACGGATCGAATGGCAGAGGAGATGTTGTCAGGAGTGATGTACATTTTCAGTACGTCCACATCGGTGTTCTGTGGGTAACCAAAGTCGAGTATTTCTGTATGCAGGTTAGTGGATGATCAGAGTGAAAAGGAACATTCGATCAAGAAGGTCTTCAACATACCGTCCAGCAGCTCGTACACAAGTACGAAATTATTCTTGACTGCATCTTCGTCAAATTTGCCAAAGTATTGTTTCCCCAAGCCAATCAGCCTGTAGACAAATTCAAAGACGATGGCGGCATTGGCATTACTCTTAGTGACGGCAACAATGTATATGTTTTCATGTTTGACATGACTGAAAGTCGTCGAGCCGAGGGTGAGAATAGGTGATCTGACTTGGGCATTGGATATGACTTGAATTCTGAAGATGTCTGCAAGTCGAGGACGACAGTCCGGACGAAATGCGCGGAAGATGAGATTCTCCCCCTTCTGATTGAACAATAGAATTCCACTCAACATATTGGCTCAGTTATATGGCCACATAGGGCCTATACAGCGATTGTCCAACTCCACATTCTTGAAGAAATGGATAGGGATGGACAACTGGGAGTACCTGAGTTGTAGAGCAACTGTGGTGACAAGGCAGGAGTGGATGACTTGGATTGGGAGTCGCGGTCGGCGGCCTCGGTGGCTGTTTATTCCGAGCCTTGGCAACTCCTAGCCCAGACACGAGAGAGCTCTTCTCTTCCTTTCCGACTAATCTAATGCAAGTGCCTGATCATACCAGTAGTCTTCAGGAGATTCAGATTAGAGATATGTTGCAATGTATGAGACACTCTTTTGTGCTGATCGTAAGAAGTCATTCAACGAGTTGGGTACTCTGGCTATCATGACAATATGTGCAAGCAAGTACTCAGATTGCTTCCCAATCACACTCAATTCCGTCACAACACCAGCCCAACACGCTTTTTACCACCAAACAGCCATTATAAACCCCACAGATGTTCATATCGACATTACCTACTCCATGATTTCAATGACTTCGCCTTGCCAACCCCATTGTTCTCTGAGATCTCTTACTCGTTGAGCGGTTGACGACCCAGTCTCCTTTTCAATATTTTGTAGTAGTTCCAGCACCACCTTCCTGTCCTCATTCTCCTCGAAGCACAGCCCTGCTAGGTAAAGAGAATGAACCATCTGTCGACTCACTGCCGGAGGTGGCTTTCCCAGTGCGATACCACAGATCTGGCGGCTGTGGTAATCGGAAGCCTCTGAGACATTCCTCATCATCTGGATTCGTTTGGCTAGATTACTGTTGTCCCTCTCATCCACTGGTTGGTTTGGGAGCAAAACTATTTGCGCAAAGTGATAGAGTTGAAGAGCTGCAGCACACATGGGGACGCTGAAAAATAGTCGGACAAATTTGTTTTTATGCTCTTCGCCTTGGTCTAGATCCGTCTGGGGCGAGGTGCTCATGGTTGCGTAAGGCTGAAACGTGAAAGGTAAATTGTCGAACCATTCCTCCAGCTGACGTCGTAGTTGATTCCACTGAGAGATACGTGTTTGTATAGGAGATGCTTGGGCCGCGCCTTGAGCCACAAAATTCATAACGCGGAGCACGATCCAGATCAACGAACAGGCGACCGAATCTTCTCGATCACTAGGGAGGTACACTGCCCCATTAGCGTTTGCGGCATCATCACCATGTTTCAGTACTCCATCCTCAGTTATCGGCAAACCTGCGGCCCTCCACATTGTTAGGTTTTCGGTATCGAGCCTTGTTCGAGTACGGTGGACGTAGGCAGCTAGATAATCTGCCCTCGCGAAATTCCAGAATGCGGCCCGCCCTGCTTTCATCGAGATGTAGGGATCGCCTCGAGGATGGGGAGCAGATACAGCTTGAGGAAGAATTTTCGTTTCCAGAAGTGCTTTGAAGCCATCTAAATGCCTAGGAAATCAGTTAGCAACAACATTGGGGCCTAGCGTGAAGCCCCAGGGCATGACAGGATTCGTGGATCACCCAACTGCGTCTTCTAGCTAGTACTTTACCTTGTAATCGTTGAGTATGGCTGGCGACTGGGTAGGAGATATGGTCCATGATCCACGAATTCTCTCATGCTCTGAGTGCGTGTCGAGAATCTAACAAGTCGAGTGAAAGCGGATTTCAATACTCTAACCCGAAGTGCCAGAACACGCAGGTTTCCGTATTTCAAATAGAAAGTAGCAGGGAATGCGTCTTATGAAATTTGACTTACTGTGACCAATCATTCGTCGATGAATCGAGCGTCTCGTAGAGCGAAAGCACCGATATAGCCGCCAGTAATGCCTCCATGTCTCCTCCAGACGATTGTTCTTGGAGCAGACGACGGCGCTTGTTTGAGACACTAGATTTCCGATTGTCTGGACCAGTAGCACTGGACTCCGATAAAGCTCTCATGGTGTTGTATCGCGATGCATGGCCGGTCAGGCCGGTCAGATCATTTCCTGGGTTGTTCAACCAACGTTGAAGAAAGATCCTCAGATACGATATCCCTCGGTCGTAGTAATTGGCAGCTTTGTAAAACCAATCTTTCGGCTGTGTGGCACTATCGTCAGCCCCTATTATGGGAAACAAATGCGCCAGTCCATCCCGGGGAGTTTTGTTGGCCATAAGTTGTCCAATCTGATTGGCAGCAACAGCGGCCATCGCTGAGCGCAACATGACGTTTTGCACCGCCTTAACGGGAACTATGCGGCTAAAGTAGGTATCGAGATCGAAAAGATCCATCCATGGCGAGATAGCTTGAACAAAATGCCGTGTCAAACAGGTTAGTTCGGTGGCACGCTCATTCAAATACTTCTGGCTATACTCTGTGCGCTTGCGACGGCCTTCGCTACTGCCACTGACGGAAGCGTAGTCACTGGCCAGGAAGTCTTCTTCTGTTTCAGGTTCGGCGGCATCGGTTGCGATGACCGGCAACCCAGGTATGAATCCACACGCATTATTGCCATTTGCGTAGTATTCGTCAATATCTAGGTCAAAATAGTCGTCATTCATAGAATAGTCCAAAGATACTTCCGAAGGTGCGTATTGCAATTGGCCTTGGATTAGTTTGGCTGTAGGGTGCTCATTTGATGCATAGTCTTGATCAAGGCGTGCACCAGGATTATATTGGAAAGGCGGTAAAGTATTGCCTGTGGTTGGACCACTTTCCGGTGGCGTAGCTTGTGCGGTGAACAGATTATACTTGGGGCTGAGTCCGAACAAAGGATAATCGCTATTCGCAAGTGGATATGGTCCAAGAAGCCTGTTCGTAGTGGGTGGCGTGGCAACGAGAGAGTGAGGCGATGGAAGAACGGGGGCAGCGCCAGATTGATACGGCGGGCTCCCATTGTTGAATGAATGATTGAAATGGGGAACATTTGTAGTCCGGTCATCGATCAGAATATTGGACATGAAGCTTGGTGATGACTTGCCAGGCGGCGCCGTCACTGGCGCCGTCGTCGAGGTCAACGTCGGTGCTGGGACAACTGGAAGAGCGGCCTCCCGAGGCGCATGTGGGATGGTCTGGAAACCGCCATCATACTTTTTCCTAACCTTTACTCCCTCATCCAGGAACTTGCGTTCGAGATCATAGCCGGTACATGGCCTGCCCAACTTTTCGCATCTTTGGCAACCAGGTAATCTCTTGTCGCACTACAAAGGATCAGTTCGGAATTGCTCGAATCTCCAAGAGCAGAAATTTACCTTGACCCGTCGTTGTCTACAAGAGTTGCAGGCACGATCTGCGTAGCCCGACGCGTCCACGCTTCCAGTATTGTCCATTCCATGCAAAAGTGGGTAATTTGTCAAGCCATAAAAGGGCTCGCTCAGAATGACAGGCTTGTGAAACTATCAAAGTCACGGTCGTCGTGAGAAAGTGCCCGTGAGCGTAACGAAGAGCGAGATGTCTCTGATCTCCGGTGTCCAAAACTTACTCGAAGAGGCCGATCATGTTGCATCAAGGTGGTGGTTTGCCTTGAGACATTGCAAAGCGAGAACTGTGATAGGACATTGTTGAAATTGGCGTGCTCGGATGAGTCAGTCGTAGGCTACTGACGGACAATCAGCTGACAAAAGCGTCTTCCGCGACCGAAATCCGAAATCTCGCATAGCTTTAGCAAAGTTCCCGGCCAGCCCAAAGTTACTTCATTTGATCCGCACGTGTCCAGCATCGGTAGGCAAGCTGCTACGAGTATATCTACAGTGAGACCCTTGTCCTCACTATTAATTGCATAGATGTGGGGAGTGTCCTCGTCCACAAATCCTTCATCTGGGATAGCGACCTAGGTGGTTCCAGCGATGTTAACAATACAGCGTGTACGTCGATCCTCACACCACTGGTTCCCGTCCATTTGCTTACTGGTGCCAGCTTTTCATTTACCCCGTGAAATCTTTACCACCAGTTGAGGTATCCTCGGTCGAACTGACTAATGAGGGGCTTCGCTTCGATAGATGTTTCGTCCTGGTCAATCCGCCCACTGATGGTTCTCGCTTGGCCAAATTCCTCACTATCAAGAAGGTCTTCAAATTGTGCCTGTTCAAGACTGCGATAGATGATTCCTGGACCAAATTGACCATTACTCATCTTCATGCCAATCCCCCATCATCAATCACCGTACCACTGACCCCGTCGCCGCTTTCGCTTCTGGCAAATGCGACTTATGAAGTCAGTATTTTTGGTACTACTGCGATTGGGATCGACCTAGGGGACGAGTCGGCTGCTTTCTTCTCCAAGCACCTCAAACAAGACGTCCGTCTTCTAACGATAGGTGGCACGGGGCGTCGCGATATTCCGGGGGCTGCTTACGTCCCCACCCAACGTGATGCCCTTTCATTAGCAATCCGTGATGGTATGCAGCCACAGCGCATTCGCTTTGCCGATGCTGCCCCTTTATCAATTACATCAACTGCTTCAGAGGAGGATGTTCGATCACGTCTTCCCAAGGACTATCAGAACGAGGATGTGATTCGCCGACTCAGGCCAAATATTCATGTTGATGTACATGGGGAGCTCCCGCCCTATGACGAAGACAATTGGTCATCGCTACTAGTCAAAACTCGTCTAGATGAAGCACAGGAAGTTACAATCAAGTGCATTTTCCGAACAGTGCGATGCCTCAGCTTAAATGCTGATCCAGATACCGGCGAAATGATTCACCGCGACCGGCAGTTGTATGGACTCCTGGCCAAGGATAGGAGGGTGAACGACAAGTTTCCTCGTAGGTGACGCCTCAATTCTGCGGATCGAGACAAGTTTCTGACATTTCAGCAGACAAACCCGTTTTCGGTCAGTATGGTTTCGCAGGGCCTTCCGGTGCAATCTTGCGAACAGGAGACAGGATTCACGTCACAGAAAGGGTGCAGCATAAATGAGTTGAGGGGCTTATGATACCCTGCCCTTATTGATTTACGGGCGTCCACCTAGGACGCAACAAATGGGTAAGATATCGGCATGTGGACGGCGACCAGAAGCTAGCAAGTTCAGGCAAAATGGAAACCTCAATAAGATGCTGACAAAGTCCTACACCGTCGAACAATGACCAAGACTCATATGAGAGCCGCCATGACGAACCAGCAAGCGTGTTGGTAAGGATGGTCACGGGTGTTCCCTGGTATATGGTTTCCTGGAAGCATATATGAGTCCGATGGACACAGTCAACTTGCGCTCAAGACACCTGTCGACACCCATGACTGATAATGCCATGGCCGCTTGCAGCGCCAGCATAGCATGGTGGACCTACAGAGACCCAATTCTTATACCATATTGGGATGCAGAGCTGCTCCCCATGATCGAGAAGGATACTGGGCAAACACTGCAAGCACTTGCTACCTGCCAACGAAGTCCATGGCCCGCGGCATGCTTGGGGGTTATGTTGCCCGGGGATGACAGTGGGTGTCTTTCACTCATGGCGACAGACAATCTCCGGTCAGACTTCGTGGTATTTCGAGATACTTTGCAGACGCCTTCTCACAACTCCCCATTTGTCACCAACAACGACTCGAAACAGTATCCAGCTTGAATAATGAGCATACCTATCAGAAGCTACAGCCGCTACAGCCGCTACAGTCTCAACGGCAGACCGAAGACATCGCCACAGACGTATAATTCATGTTCCAGCTAAAGATATATATTGTTACGGATAGGAGGGCGGTTATGTTGAGACGACTATCCAGAGTAATGAGTAATATTGAAGTTGAACGACTCTAGAAGATCTTGCTATCAAAAAGACACGATAAATAGCTGGAGGCCGCCGTAACCACCGAACAAAGTCATGTGACTACAGGGTCACCTTACATCACGTGACAATAACGTGACACGCACACAGAAATAAATATACGTATCACAAAGAGAAAAAGACACTGGTGACGACATGCTTGGTTCCTTCTTTCTCCTTTTCGAAATTATTTCACATTAACATTGAGTGACAAGGTCGTTCATAGAGCGCTCGCACGTCGCAGTTGATTCTTACTGTGACCCATTTTTTCAACGGTCATGAGCGGGCGTTCTTACTGCATACAGTAATTTGCAGCGAGAGCGAACGCTTCTGGTGGTACTGTCTGTGCTGTGCGGTGCGTGATTATCTGGACAATCTCTCGGATGCAGAGTAATTGCTGTTTCGAGGTTGAGTGATGGAGGCAGTCTTGAAGAAGTTGATTATTGCTACTCTACTCCATGAGTGCGAAAGTCCACATTGGTAAGTGTCGACCGAACCAGAGAGGAAGAGAAATCCTGTTTGGCAATTCGCCTACCTCGCCTGTCGGGTGGACTAGTTAGAAGTCTTCTAAGCCTAAGTCGCTAAAACAGGTACGAGACGAGTCGACATCCGAAATGTTCGATTTATCAAGGAAACAGATCGGTATGTGTTATAGTCTGACGCAGGATTCGATCTTCGGAGCAGTCGTCGTTTGTATTGACCATCGCGACCAGAAACAATTTCCGAGACAACAACGCGTCGAGGCAGAAAGCAAGATCCGAGTCTGACAATTCCAGTTTTGAGAGTCTTGCGGGAGATTTTGGTGACGTCAACCTGGCCAATGCTTAGGTCTTTGTGGCCTTCGCTAAACTCCTTCTAGCTTTCTCAGCAGATCCAAGTTGGGATATGCCAGTTCTAGGGCGTTGGCACATCGGTCCGAAAAGAACCCCAACGTCAAGTTTCGTCTGTGGAGTGTCCATTCACGTAGTATTTGTTGTTGGCTATTCAATCCGCGTAATCTTGGAAGGCGAATGGATTCATCTGGCATTCTCGGTAGGTTTTAAAAAGGCCACTGTGCCTGGCAACGGTGAGTCGCTGTTGGGCATCAAGCGCCTTGGAAGCCCCTTTCTCCTGAAACCTGTTCCCTGTCCACTGCCTCACTCGAGACTGGATGACAGCCTCACTTCCCAAGTATATCTATACGCATCTCACCTGAGGTTTCTGTTTTGCCCTTCTTTGAATAGAATCAACGTTTACACACATACACCACCATGCCGACATCATCGATACGAGTAATCGGCATTTCCACCGAGGAATTCGACTCCAAGGATCAGTCGAAGCAAAAATCAAGTCCAACTTTCAGAGTTCACGGGCGACTCAATGTGAATAGTCAAGTTGATGCATTCGACCTGGTACGGATCGACCTACGTGGTGCTATCAAGACTCGGATTGGATCGAAGAACGCCATTGAACCACTACCTTCCTCGACGCTGGTGAAGAGCCACTTGGACTTCAAGCCGGCTTATAATGCGTCACGAAATGCCACTGAGGACCAACGCCTTGACTTTATGATGCAGCTTCCCAGTAGAAGTTCTCGGCAAGAAAAGTCCAAGGATGCCACAAATGGCTCGACGAATGCTTTCGTTCCCTCGCTGTCCCTGGCTGCATCAACATATATCACCAGAGTGACCGCCCTGAAAGACCGGCATCTTGTGGAAGGATCTTGTCAAGTGGTCTACTGGCTAGAGGCAGAACTTGTTCAATCAGGTTCCGAGAGGATTGTACGCAAATTGAGTTGTCCAGTCGACGTGTCATCTTTACATGTACCTCTAACTGTTGAGGCCATCGACGAAACCTCCGTCGAGCAGGTCATTAAGCCCAAATCTCGAAGACTGAGCAGAGTCTTCAGCTCGGTGCCAGAGCCACAGGTCTCGGTCAAAATGCCACGCCAACTTGGGACAATGTCCTCGGCCTCAGCCAAGTTTGCCACAGGAAGCCGCCATCTGTCTGTCCCCGTCACCGTGACCCTCGACCTCCCGGCTGGCACTTCCCACCAGACTCTGACCTCGCTGGAGACGAACACGCTACAATGCTCCATCAGAACACACTGGTATACCAGTAGGACATTCGGAACATCCAGCCTGTCACACTTCGAAGGCAAGCAATTAAACCCGGGCACCGTCATCCGCAACACCACGCTATCAGGACAAAAACTCGAACTCAACTTCCCTCCGCTGTACAACTCGACCACGGATGGAAACAGCAGCACGTCGAAAAAATTCTCCACCTCGACGATGATCGACCTCATCCTCCCCGAATCCATCTCCAGCCCTACGGTGTCGACCGAGTTATTAGACATCGGATACTGTCTCGACATGTCCATGAAGTTCGCCTTCGACACCAACGACTCGATCATGCGCCCTTGCACCGCCGACTTTCATCTACCGGTCACGCTGTCGGCCGCTCAACCCACCATCATGCTCAACTTGCAACGATCCGCTCCCCTCGCCGGTCTGGTCGAGCAAGGCCTCGTCGTGGCCCCTCCGCCCTATATCTCATGAATGAAGGAACGAATAATGATTTAAGACAGCATAGCATTTCTACCATTGGTCATACCCTGCTATACGGAAGTATGCACGTCGGTATATACTTGTCTTGGCGGGCCTCTTTGCGAGCGTTTTTTCAATAGCGTTGATTATCTATGTCTGTCTGCTCCTTTGTATATACCCCCCATCTATAGATCATGATCGCCTGGTATTTTGTAGACAATGACCCTAATCTATGTCCATATCGAATGCCATCAATGGCAAATAAACATTTCTAAACTTTAAGTGTCCACACCTCTCTCTAAAACAAGTATTACTCGACCACCCTGTAGGCAGTTCAAGTGCACTTGCAAAGCCATGCAAACCCACCTCCGGCACGGGCGACGAAACGACTCGAAAGCCGTTGCTGGGCTAATCACTCCTACTCCTTCTCATCGACAACGAGACAACAGGGCCTCGGGGTCTCCACTCAATCCTTTTTCCTGGTGCCCGAAGAGTGGGCATCGGGCGAAACAGGGCAGTCCCCAGTGTGGTCAAAAGCCCAACTAAGGCTTACTAGTTAGGCTTCTCTCCACAATGATCGTCCCAGGCGACCCAATGCTTTGGGCTCAGCCTCCCAACTTTGCGGCCAGACCGCGTAATAATTCCGTCGATCATCCATTCCGTCACTTGTTTCGCTACACGACGTCCTGCTGTTCCTGGATTCCGAGAACCCCAGTCACCCCACTTTTTCCTTGCAAGTGGTAATCTGACTTTCGTGTGAATGTGACTTCGAGCGGTAGTGCTGTGGGTGACCATGTCGTTAGAAAGTCTAACGGTATTGTTGGTGCATCACAAGCTCATTGGTGTGTGGATGTGCTTTTGTCCTGCATTGTCATTCTCGACAGGGCAGCCGTACTCATACGTGCGCTTCTGGGCGTAAAATGTTCAGTCTGAGCAGGGTGGGGGTATACTACACCGCTTGTCGGGCACGGGGAGTCCTTGCTTGCACGACTCCTCATTCTATCATTTGCAACCAAGCACAGGCAGACAGATGATTATGCTCATCAAGGCGAACGAGGCCTGGACCTCTTGCTGTCGAATGATCTTGTCGATCATGACAGTGGGCACGACGCCTTCAGCAATCATCCAAATGGCGAGGGCGCCCGATAGGAGCCATTGCCCGATATCCACCTCTGCTCCTTCTCAGGCGCAAACCTCCAGCGGCCATGAATGCCGCGCAGACGACTGGCTTCCGCTGGGTCGAGCTGGTCCAAGAGACTCTCCACGACGTCTTCCGAGGCGACCGCCTCACCTGAGTCGTCCACTTTGGTGAAGAACATGGTCTCCCAGGTCCGCCCCTCAGCTCGTTCCCTCTTCCGCATCTCACGCTGTGCATTTTCGAGCTTGGATTTCTGCTTGACCACCTCGCCGTGGTCGGCCTTTCGGATGGCTTCGAAAGTCCGCGCCCACGCTTTCTGTGACTCCCAAGCATTCTGTTCGCTTACAGGTCTCGTGGACATCGGTGCTGGTGCGTTCTTGGGATCAGAGAGATCGAACACCTCGACTTCTTTGCCCTTGGAATTCGAGATGGTGAACTTCGAACTCCAGCTGCCTGATAATGTAAAGATTGCTCTTGGATTCTCGGCTTTGTCGGTGGTGCGGTAGACTGAGGCCTCGAAACAATTCCTCTCACCTCCCCAAAACCCTTTCCCAACGAACCGCATCTCCGCGGTATAGCCACTGGAGCTCAGAATTTTGTAGGTGCCATTCAATTCTGGCCAGGGCACACCCGATATTATACTCCGGGCATTCACATCTGGTAAGGGCAACAGATATGTCTCATTGTATTTGTCGACGGTCAAAACCGCGTGGCCAGACTGCCGAATCATGATTGACGTGCCACAGAGTGTCGTCGCTTGGGTCGAATACGCCTCGGCACGTACCCCGTCGTCATCTGCTGACAGAAAGCATGCTGTAGTAGGTGGATGGTGTGAGACTTGTTCGGCGATGACTCTGACTTTGGAGCCGGTTGCCTTTTCGTCGGTAATATCCTGATCGCTAAACTCGGCAAAGAACAGTTCACCCAAGTAAGGATTGAGAGGCTTCTTCAATCCTTCTTTCACCGTTCGTCCGACATAGTACTGCCGTTGGAGACTGGCGAGGTATAGTTTCAGAATCAAGAGTATCCGCTTCTCGGGGTCTGATTCATGCGCGGCAGCCGTGAACAAGAACGGTCTTTCGGCCCAATATGACGGGAACTGCGTCAGGGACTGGGGCGCTAGGATGAAAGGCGGGGCTGTGATATGGGAGATATCACCACTGACCGTGGCGAGGAATGAGAGGAAGTCCTTAAGGGCAGACATGTTGCCCAACCTAGCAACCATGATTGTCAAGCTGATGTCTGGAAGTGCCTGGGTGTGATAAATAGAGGTGCAATCTGGTATTTCAGTCTAGACAATATGTTGTACGCCCAAAGTGACTGCTGGTGCGGAGAAAGAAGCTGAGATCTCTTGGTAGATGTAAAGAACCCGCTTGGACTAAACAAGAAGCCAAGCATGCGATGCTGCTGTGGTTGGTAAAAGATAGTGCTTGCCAAAGCAATGATGGAAGCGATGGGGAAGAATAACACTTGACTAAGATCTAGGCGTGCAGTCGGATGTCTATATATGCATATATCGAAAGATGAGAAGAGGAGGGCAAACGTACAAGGCATGCGTCGAGCCACTATTTGCAGTATCTTCCTGGATCGATGGCACTGTCACTACTTCCTCCTGACTTACTCGTAGCATCGTCTCGTTTCATCACATGCTGCATTTTATCCATTCTCCGCGCGTCTATAGCCCAGTGCTCCAGACCGGGTAAAGTGCTCGCGCAGTGTCTTCGAGAAAGGCTATCATCTGGCCGAGTCGTGGTACGCGGCCTGGTGAAACCCTCCATGCTGGGGAGATAAGCTTTCCATTAGACACACATTGAATGACTACGAGGGTGTAGAAGAGCCTAGGACTTCTCCCGAGTTAGAGAGGGGTTTGAGAACGAAGTTTGGTTTCAAAAATAGGACTGGAAACTGGAGGCACAGGCCCCCGGTGGCGCCAATGATGTGATGACGCACCGGGGGCCAATGATGTGATGACGATTCGACGAGATCAAACGTGGCATGTGCATCTTGAAACAGTTTCTGCTTTACGCGCGAAACCCCATCCCCTGCCTAAGAAGCCTTATCGATTGTGGTCTATAGGGGCGATATTATTACTCTACTTACTGGCCTTGATCTTCAAAGTTCTCAAGCCCTGCTATCGTTATAATTATGTTGTAGTTTTCAACGTGCTTACTCAATACCTGGAAGATTGCGTACACGGCCTCATCTCGCTATGCTAGCATGCTGATGTCGAATCATCTCTCTGTCCATTGATCTACTGATTACTGACAAGCCCTGAAAGAATTCCAGAATTCACAATCTAGTCGCCCACGAGCACAGCCTCAAATGATGCCGCAATCACTATGACCACCCATAAGGTTTCCTCCGCTCAAATTCCTTGTGAGGTAATATTGCGCATCCAAGAAGGGACAAGAGTACGCAGAATACGAACGAGTGGCAATGCAAGCTCAGCCAATCCCCAAGTACTAGTACATCTGCAACAGGCTGAGCTGGCATTGTGGTCAATTCCTATTGAGACTCTTCGGCGACTCTCCGATCAATGCTGTTCTCGTGGCGAGTTCGACTGTACTGCACAATGGCACAGAGGTTCGAAAATAGCCCAAAGAGCCAGATTGAAATGAGAGCGAGCAGCACTCTGGAGGGGCAATGGATCGCCTGGTTCTCTCCAATGGGCCATTACTGATAGTTCCTTACCTGCCTTGAACGCGCTCCTGCCCTGTGATGACACTGCGATGTGAAGCCAGGACATGACAATTACTGGCTACCGGATACCGAGAGGCCAGAGATACTCAATTTTGGTTTGGATAAGAGACACAGCAGCGTGTAGCCTTACTTCTGTCCAGGTATGTGCATGGCATGGTTGGATGTGAAAGATAAGAGACATCTGGTAGCCCACTCTTTGCAACTTACACTTGCCGGATGGCGATGCCACCAACAATGCAGAGGTAGAGTGCATCGAAGATCTGAATGCTGGGGAAGAACTTTGCCAATACATTGGGCACATTGTTCCTGTCTCAGCTAGAAATCTTGAACCTCATATCCGACATCGTTGCACCTTGGATGAGGCTGCTCATGAGTGGTTCTCAGCCTGGCTTGAATGGCCATGCACGTGGGCATGAGATCGTTGCTCAGGTGAAGAAAGGGAGGAACAAAATGAACCGGGTGATCGGAGAAAGGTGGAGATTGAGATTGGCAATGGGAGACGGGAGACAGGTGAGAATGGTCTACACAGGCTTGACAGTGAGGAGATACAGACAATGATCCAGGGGGAACTGATAATGACAAGATGCTCATAGAGAAAGGGGGAAGTGTGAGTCCAAAGTCCATGCTCTCAGGCACAGCAGCTCACAATGCAATCGGCGCCTCATGAGTTGCAGCTTGCAACTTGTCTGCCCACCGACCGAATCCATGTGATGCCTCTGCCTCCTATGAGCCTCCCTAGGCAGATAATTAGGCGCAGGAACTTGACCCCTGCTGCAAATTCGTGTTTTATCCAAACCACTCCCTATTCGAAAAAGCGAAAGAGCATTTCACTGACTTGTGCCTCTTGCGCCTCCATTTGTACCGTCTATATTCCGTGGGCCACTTACAATCATCACAGTTGGATAGTAGAACCCTTGAGAAAGCGGTAGCACTTACCAAGGGGCTGCTTTGTTGCTGGTGTGTTGATCGTCGCCGTTTCCATCTTTTGCCACTGGATTTAATCATGCGATCACGAAAGCTTCCCAGAACTGGTTAACGGCTGTTGCGAATACAGATTCCAGTAACGTCCATTACGCGTAAAAGTTCGATGTCAAGACTCTCAATCACCTACCTTGATTCACTCGTATACCCGAGCAACCAGCAAATGCAGAGCAGAAAGCCGATGGCCAAGTAAGCCACGGCTTTGAGTACGGGCTGCCAACACCGGGTTAATTCGATAGTGCTATGCATCGACCCCAGTCAGCTGCTGAACCCTGTATCTTCCATGTTACCATGTACCAAGTACAAAAGACACAATTGAACAGCATAGAGAGGGATGAGAGTATGCAAGACGGTTCTAAAGCGATCGGCCCGCGGATAAATCCTCAGACAATGGTTGCATTTCTTAAACAGTGCACACCACTGGGCCCGGCAAAACCCACCGTCCAAATACCCATCGCCGTTCTTTACCTTTTCAAATCCGGGGAAGGGACTGCGAGAGCACTGCCGTATACGGTGTGTGTTCATTTTCAGGGGCCATCTCGAGTGTGTGCTCCGTAGTCCGTACGAGTCAAAGGAGACCACGTACGGATCAGCCGCCGCTCAGGCATGACACCAATCTTGCTCAAATCCCTGCCTGGACGGCAGTGTTGCAGTCGTGTATTCGTAGTTTGTAGAAGGATGACGACTTGACAAATCTACCCATACCCAGTTCCAACTCCCCTACTTTCGCAATGCAAGTCGACATCGCATGGCGTTTCTCATACGGGGACGCCATACGGATGGTCGTAAAATGACCAAATGAAATGGCATCGCTTAGGGATTGAAGTATTTTCCCTAGCCCTCTGTCCGATTAGATCAGTTCTGAGATAAGATGTGCCTCTGACTATATCTCAGCTTTCCCAATCTCCCATCGTCGTCCAATCTGTGCAACGTGCCCTTCCAGAATTTCAACGGTGGCAGATAGGCTGGAGAGAGAGGGGTAGACTAGTTAGTGTAGGGATAGTCTTCCCTGCTAAATAGCCGATCACCATTTTCACCGAGATTGGGGCGTCTCTTTTCTCGATTTCTTCAAAGAACCACGTTGTTGCACTTGCATGGCGTGCTGACCGTTAGAGCCCTGGTCTCGTTAGCTCCAAAGTGGGTAGCCTAACTATCGTGATTCGTGTGAGGAGTGGAGCAATTGACTCTGTACATTAGGTCGCCTCGTAAAGGGAATCTACTCGTAGGAGACTGGCTTGATGCAGTTTGTGGCTTCACTCGGTTAACGACAAGAGTAGGAGTACTCCGTACCTCTTTTTGTTCTGCAAGTCCCAATTTGTGATTCGTCGGCGTGTTTCTAAACGACGAGCTTGGATTGGAAAAGTGCCAGGTACGGGCAGCACGACCTGCCCAGCTAAAAGCAGGCACGGGACATGGGCACACCCACCAGACTCCGGCAGGGTCGGTAGGATAAGCAAAAGAGATTAGGCAGGAAGATCCGTCGGAGTGACTCGCGCTGCAGCACCCAGCAGCAGCTAACCAAAAGTTGCGACTCTCCAGGTTCCAAGTAAGTAAGTGCCCTCGGGACCACGACTGGCGAGTCGGCCGCGACTGCATCAGAAGCTTGCGAGACTCTGAGCGAGATTGCACCTTTTCTTGAGGGCCAAGGGGCCAACCATCCGTATCCCACGTGATGGATGTCGCACTCGCTTTGCTATCGGTTCAACATGTCATTATTCTCGATCCTTCGTGGTCCTTCCCAATACGACCGTCGACCGATAGGTACCGATGAGCTAAGTTAGTATGCTTCCCAGGTTGCTGCTTTCAAGGTTTTGACCAACCGGTGCTGGATATTACTGCCGAATTGAACCCCGGTATGTATATCTTGGTACTCCGTGATTGACATAAATTTACCAACGGCTTACTGGGGTTATTCATGTAGTCGAAAAATGCCAGGACTTCTGACAGGCCCGAGGTCTGACATTATCCCAGACGATCAATGCCTCGAATGGCCTCGATGAATCACAGCCCGTTCTCGTTGGAGTTTGGGGCATGGTTTTGGTGGTATAATGTTTTCTTGTCTTCCAATTGGAATCACAACTAACTAGTAGGCCAGTGCAGTCGAGCCATGCCGACCACCATTTTGGGGCCATGCATTATCACAGAAAGCTACAGATTGGGCGATGTGGGTTTGAGTCAAGCATCCACAGGGCTCACAGCTTCTCGCACAAACATTGCCTATATTTTGTTTGATCCATTGCAATGAATCTCCGGCCACTAAGACCTGCAGAGGAAATGGGCTAGCACTCTCCATGCTTCTTGCCGATCTTCCAAAATGTCCCACAAAGGAAACTTTTTTGGTCGAGAAGTTCCTGCTCCAATGGACAGCCCTCAATACTGACGAAGGGGAAAAAGAAGTCTTTGCGAGAGAGGAAAAACACAGAATTCTTTTGGTTCCGACCACTCAAGCTATTCCAGCTTGACCAACAAAACTGCCCCGAACTTTTTGAAGGCTCTAAAAACCCCCTCCTTTACCTGTGTAGGTTATTCGTCCGTTCGAACAAACCCGGTAAAGATTTCCAAGGATGAAATCGTCTAGATGTCATTTCGATCATAATCGTTCACGGTGTAGCACACCCATCATTAAGTCGTAATAGTAAACAATAAGAGAACATTGGTGCTGTGATCAGCAGCAGACTCCGTGAAGGAAGTCTAGAAGATGGTACATGTAAAATTCAGATGTCGATCAGTTCGGGCTGGCGGCAGGAAACAAAGAGTAAGACACTCGAGTGTTGCGCCTCGGGCGAGAGTTTGCAGTGTTTGCCCTTCTGCGGCCAGGTGTCTTACTTCCCTCGGTGCCGGGAATTGAGGACTTCCTCTCTGGTATAGTAATTTGAGAAGCTGAAGCAACCCTGTCGTGTCTCTTTGCTGTTGTGGCAAAAATATCGTTGGGCATTGTGCTTGTTGTAGGTGATGGTTGAGACCCTTCACGAATGGTATCTTGACTACCATCTCTGTTGCGTGTGTCTATCGAGGAAGTTGACCCTCGAATATCGAGTTTCTCCATAGAATCTCCAAAATTGGCGAGATGCGCAAAATCAGACAAGCTTGTGCTTGAATTTGAAGACCTTTGAGTTCCCATCATCGAAGAAGCGATAGAGAGAATAATGCTCTCCTGTGAACTTGACTTGCTCATCGTAGAATTGGGAGTTCGAGATAGCGTAGAAGAAAAGGAAATACAAGGATCGAAATGGTTAGGGTCGACTGTCGGACTGACAAAGTTGTTGGCAGCCAACGAGACGGTTGGGACATGGGGCAACGAAGCGATTCCAAGGCCAAGAAGTGGCGACGAAGGCTCATCGTCACTCTTGGACGATGCAGAGGCTAACTTTGTATCAATGAAATGCCGGCCAACCGTCGGGTATGCTTGCATCATAAGTGGAGTGGAGGCAGATGAAGATGCTTCTTCCATATTTGCTTGCTCAATAATCAAATACTTCTCATTGAGGCCGGTGGAGGGCTTGGATTCTGTAATCACAGCAGAGTCACTTGAATGTTGTTGAGCTACTTCTTCAAGGTCAGTGGCATGATCCCATGAATAGTCAATAGCGTCTTCCCAATCCTCAATTTCAATCGGTTTCACTCCGATGGAGATACGCTTCTTCGTAATTGTGACACTTGGGTCAGGTGTCAGAGCGGTGGTAGGTCGTTTCTGCTCTTTCATCATTAACATCACGTTGTTGAAGGCAGCATCAAATTGAAGTTCTCCAGATGACTGGCTCCGCCTTTTATTTTTTAGAGAACGTGATTGTCCTCCAGATCCTGTAGAGGTGCGCAAAGGATTTGGCAAGATGGGCGACGAAGAGACAGCATCTGCAGCCCGCTCCTCTTCTTCAGGCACACCTGCCAACACATTGGGTGGTGAAGGAAGAGGAGCAGTAGGGAGAGGCAACGCGATATCATCTCCGGTCGAAACTGCATGTACCACATCCGGAAGTAGCGGCAGAGGCTTCCCAAAAACACTGGTACGAGTATTGGGGCCCAATGATGAAAGCCTGGCGTCTGACCGGAATGGAGGACTCACATCGCTAGCAGTCACCGATAGCCTGGTTGGGCGAGAGAAATTCTCCATGGAACGAGACATACGGAAATCTGAAGGACTGTATGGCGATTTCAAACCATCTTTCGGGGGTGGTTGCGGCCGAGGAGGTGTGGTTGGTAGTAACGGAATAGCGTCTGTTGTAGGAGACGTCGGCTCAACGGCATCTATTTCGACAACCGATTGAACTTGTTGGATGTCAGTCACTGGTATTCCTCGCACTGTCTCTTCTGCCTGTTGCTCTGCTCGAACAGAATCAAAGTCGGAAACCAATTGAGTCCTCGTGAGGCCATCGAGGCTTTGGAACTGGCCCTGGTCTGCATGAGTCAAATGCTGGAAAGCAAATGGTGTTGATATACTCTTCTTGAGCACAGGCCCTGATGAAACATTAGCACTATATATATAGCAAATTCTCGCACGACTCACGCTTTGAGTTGATTGTGGATTGTCGCTGGAGTCTAAAGGTGGATGGTAGTTCCTGAGACCGAGTATCAGATCCACTGAAGGAGTCCTGAGACGGAGACGGTAAGAGGCTGAGCTTGCTTCCTTGTCGCTTCAGCATGCGGGTACCTCTTGATAAAAGACTTTTCGTAGTAATTTCCTGTCGGTCGGCAAGAGGAAGGACAACATCAGCGAAACTCTGTTGTGAAGAAGGCCTAGAAGGTAATTCGTTGGAGGCATCGGACAGCGATCGCGCGTAAAGAGAGAAGGACGATGTCACCGTGTTAGTCCTTGATCGTCCGCGATATTTTGGCGATCCGTCGCTCGTAGAGGATTCGAAACTTGAAGGATCTTTCATCAGTTCGTTCAAAGCCTGCCTTGAAGGTTCCGACCCATCTTTCGAAAACCACTCCTGGGTGATGTTGTGCAGCTTGTCACTACTTTGTTTCGAGTGACCATGACTCCATGGGAAGCGACCCATCTAGACGGTTGGCAGTGTGACTAAAACGTGTCGACAGAGACAGGATGCAATATAAACGTCCTCGACCAGAGCGTCTCTCCACAACGACGTTGAGAGAGGTTGTGAGTGTTATTGGCAACGTGGTTGCCTTGTGAACGGGCGTGATACGAGAGAGATTGAGGTTCAAAGCTAGAAGACTTGTCAATCATTCTATTGGAGTGATGAGGGCCTCATAGACCGTAACAGAATTGGATCTGACACTTACCCGAGGCTTCTCAGTCGCAGGTTAAAAGTTTCAACAATAACTCGCAAGCCCGTGCGTTCTTTTCGAAGTGGCAGGGTGATGTTTCATGAACCCCGAGGCACGTGTCCGGAATGTATTTGCTTCACTGAAGATAGATTGGGTTCGTAATTGCAATGTCGAGGTGAGAGACGACAGAACGAAAAGTGAAGGTCATCTGCAACAAATGGTTGCGTGGAGAAAGCAAGAAACGAAAGGAGCGTAAGTTTGTTACAATGCACCCGGTATACAAGAAGTAGATGTCGTTAAATGGGGTGGGAGCAGAGATGAATAATGTACAAAGGGTAGATGCTGGTCAGATACTTGTTAGAGGGAGAGTATCAGAAACATGTCTGGGGGGATTGAGCAGAGATATTTGGGATCCTGACTGGACGAGCGATTGGCAGACAAGAAAAGTGGTGGTGGTGGAGTGAGGGCTGTCCTGTCGTTGAGGCCTCAGGACACGGAGCAGCTTGAATTTTGAACCAGGGTCAAGAGTGGTCCAAACTGCCGGCAAGGCTCGATAGTGGGCAACGGGGTCAAAAACACGGACTAGGCTCAAATGGCCATGGTAGAAGAGTGACATGCTTCTGAACAGACGCGTCTGAGATTCTGGGATAGCTGGCTTCGAGAGTAATCCCCATACTCGCATAGCACAAGCCGCAGGGGGGATTTCTCTGACTTGGATTGATATGGTGGAGAATGAAGGAGCACACCAGGAGATTTGATGGGGCCGACTGTCGTCAGGAACGGGTGGACTCTTTTGTGGGTCGGGAGGTCATCAGAAATGCTTCAAGTGGGTCACTTTATTGCGTGGGCGGAAGCCACAAGCCGGGACCTTATGTTCGGGATTCAGGGATGTTCGATCCAGGGTCGAACTCTCGCAGACCCGAAGAAAGTCTGTTTCGCCATCTTTCTCCGATCCTGAGCTGGGCTAGCTCATGAATTACGGAGCCAGGCCTGGGTTTGTAGGACGGCCGGCAAAAGCCCCGGCGAGGCTAAGGCCGAGCGAACCAGCATCAACCTCCCTTTGCGGGCTGCAAGCCATGCCGAAGCACATACTGCTGGAGCTCCGGGCACAATATCCAATATCCTGGTGGCAGATAAGTGCCTTTTATCCGCATGTCTCAACGCTCAGCGTGCTTGACAGGTGACAGCAGTCACCCGCCGACGGTAAAAGAATACTTTAAAGTATGTTCACCTACCAGAATGCCACCGTGGCTTGTGAGCACCCCTCACCTGAGGCTTGGAGTTTTCTGTATGATTCTGAATGCCAGACAACCGTGATCAAAAATTGGTAGCAAACGATCCGCTCGATAGCGCGTCTGTGATGAACCATGATTGGCTATTCTGACAGATGGGACCTTGAACTTCTGGATTCACGCCGTCCAACACGGGTATGGAGTGTCTGCATTCTGCAGAATGGATATGGCGCGACCAGCGGGAAAATTGACTACTCGTAGAAGGTGGATGGTATCAGGGGGGGGTTTAGGCGGATGACGAGGGCCCTTGGCCAGATAGGTTGGTGGCAGGCAGACGGAGACTCAGAGAGCGTGTAAACTCGGCGCGGTGGGGGCAAGAGGTGAAGGAACCGAGGGGAGTGGGTGCCTGAAAGACCAGTGCCAAAGCACGCTTGAAAAGCGACAGGCATGCAGGCGAAAAGAAATGATCTGCCGAGGAGAAGAAGCAAATGAGAAGAACGGGGAAGGTGTGTAAACTGAGGAGCTGCCTTGAGCGTGATAGAGAGGATACGGGCTTGAGGATGGAATCGACGGCGTACGGAGTACCTCGTAGTGTGAGGTTGATGAGGAGTGGAAGGTTCAATCGAGTCGGGCTTTCTCAAGCGCAGCTAGATGGAAATCGGTTAGGCGTTAGTATTTGGTCGGCAAAATCGTCAGGGTCATCCTCTTTAAGGCCCTCACTAAGCACTTAGAATGACGCTACATCCCTTGGCGTTCCGCTACCAGCATTAGTCTATTACAACGAGCTAGTCCCACTGGCAGTCCACAGTACTCGTACCTACAGACTACAGGACGGAGTACGAGTAGATAATTGATCCACTGGTCCCGTCCCTCGACTCTCTCGAAGGCGGCCGGGCATTGTGAACGCGTGCTCAGGCTACGGAGTACGAGGGACACCAGATAACAACTGTTGTCTCTCCATCATTTTCAGTTTTGTTCAAACAGGAGACTGAGCTTCATATCCACTGACGTGTTCGTGGCTCTTCGCCCGTCTGCATCGCTTTGCACTGCACCTTGTTCATTCGAAAATCCTCTGCCATACATCATCGTTATCGAACCGTAACATACGGAGTGAATATCTGCCGTACCGAGTATAGGCCAGGATCCTCATACTTCCGTAGTTGGTGGCCCCTGAGCTTCGCCTGCCGAGGTAGCATCATCATCCCTGCCCCTAACCAGGCCACCAAGTACTCGCACTCCGTCGTGTCGAATCATGGCTGTTCAAGATTTGGTCTCCAGGCGTCATGCCGGTCTTTCGTAGTGCGTATACTAGCCTCTGACGGCCTAGCCAGGAACACTCCATGGCCAGCGGTCACTCGCGCTAAACGCAGTGGCGCGTGCTACCACAACCACACCTTACGGACGAATCAAATCTTGATCAGAGAAATCAAGGGTCGTAAGAAGCCCACTGAATCTCGTGATTGTTGTTTTGATAAAAAGGTTTGATAATGGTAGAGTGGCCTTATGCCTCACGCGTTCTGAAACTTCTAGCCTCTTTATGCCATGAGAAGCTGGAGTATCCGTCTATATCTCCAGTGGGACCATACCAGAAACGACTACGAGTAAGCATCAACCGTTCAGTGTCCACTGTCCAGTCTCTGTACTCGTACCACGACGTTCTCCCATAAAGACTCCTGAGACGTGGAACCCGAAACTCTGGATCAGAACTTAATGACGGATGCACGGTCTACGGTACCGTCGCCTCGGAAGCCAACAACGCCTGTGTGCACCAAAATTCAATTATTGTTCGGAATATGGATACTGGCTGTTGGTACTGGTATAGACCAACCCTCGAAGAGGTCATCTCAAACCGTGATCATCCTCTAAGCCCCCAAAAATGGATCACGGAGCAGTTTTAGTAAAGCCTCGATGTCCACTTTCAGGCCGCATTTGGGCTTCCGAAAAGCCTCGAAGCGGGTATGATCAACAACTTCCACCTCCCACTTTATCATTCGACGGAAGTTCACTACAGAAAGAAGTCTTGCGGACCCTTCTTGCCCCCAACGATCCCACTATCCGAGAGCTCGAGCAAGAAGTCGTCGTTTCGATTGCGCCACATTTGATTCAGATTACGGCACAGAACCCCAAGTGATTCATGCACAACACGCGCCCGAGCCTTTGGTAGCGAAGATCTGAAATCTCAAACCTCACACCGGCTCGTGTTCAATGATACGGACTATGTCCGAGTATCTCGTTCCGTAGGTTGAGATCTTTGCCTCAACTCTGGTCCTCTCTCACTTGAAAGGGGCAAAGCTAAGACTGCCTGTCCCAAGACCCAAGTACCCCATTGTTCCGACGGAAACTCGCTCACGATTTGTTCGCCATTATACTTGTGTCCCATTCGTTCTCTCTACCACTCAAATTTGCTGTTTGCCAGAACGATATCCCCACAAGAGTGTGATAATAGCAGTGGCCACGTTACGAAGTACGATGCTTGATATTGCTCGTGGGCCCTCTGCTTCAAAGTTGTGGGCTATTTCCCACCAGCCAAGCGTAGGACCTCTAACACGGCAAGACTTGGCGTTCAGCCACCCACATCACCTCTCTGCAATTGCTAGCCGGATCGTTTGGACTGACACTTTGCTTTTGGTTAAGCTTGACCAATCTCCTGAGCAAGCATATCAACCTTGATCCTAAAAGTCTAGAACAAGTTGTCGTTGACAAAAGCTCAAACGCGTTCCTTGTAGCTCGGGAGAAGGTTCTGAATCCTAGATCCTCGACCGCGAGATACGGCAGAAGAAGCCGACCAGGAATTGCTTTTGGCGATTGCCCAGCTCGATGCCTGCACGTGCAGTCAATTCGCTTATCTGACACTCCGGAAGTGTCAAAATCAGCTTGGAACAGGGTTCGGATATCACATCTCGATATTCATATCCCAAGATGTATTGAATCAATAGTTTTCCGGCTTAGGCATGTGAAGACTGTTGATCTATCGTTGTCTGCGAACTACAGGACGAACTACTTCGTAGACCACTGCACCATTGCGCTTGTGGCTTTTGATTTTCGAGGCTTCGGGGGGAATAACCGCGGACAGTCTCCTAAATTTTAACTGCGGTGACTTAAATCCGCCTCCCTGACGCCTTCAGCACCTGACCACAGTGACCAGCTTTCTACAAATGGTAACAGAGTTTCGAAACTCGTCAAGTCCCCCCACCGGCGCATTCTCTTGCCTCCACGATTTTTTGGTGCATGAGGCTGTTGGGGAGGTAACCAGACTGTCCAAATCGTCTCGGACACTCTTCGACGGGAAAAAGGAAACCCTTATCACATATTGGGCTCTCCGAAGGACAACATTCAACGCTTCTATGTACGAAGTAGAGTTGTGGTTAAGGAGGGACGGGCATATTTTATCCATTTAAGGACTTGGCAAAATAGCCAACACTTCATGGCAAGTAGGAGCCATGCCCAAACTCTGTCCATGCTACTCGATCAAAGAACAGGAAACACGTGAGAAACACATGAAGCAAGAAGCGTCGATTCTAGCTGGTCGTATTTTTGCTTTGGCATATGCAGGACAACTCGTACAAGGTACCTCGGTATGCAGGTCCGGGCAGGTACAGGAAATTCGCAGAACGGAGACTACTCCTGGCCTGCTGCAAAGAAGAATGGCTTCTGCTGGCAGCCCCTCGCAGTACTGCATCTACGGCCTGCTCCTTCCCGGGTGTCGGTAACGCGCTCCCTGGTCATTATCACCTGCTACTGCACTGCACTGCACTACAGGCAAGTGCGCGTGGGCAAGAGCTATGTACGAGTAGCTACTACTGTACCTTTACGTGGCTATCTCATAGAGGCAGGTGCAGAGGCTATGACCCCTCTGCTCCATCACTGTGGACTTTCCATGGAGATGTCTCAAATCCAAAGCGCGTTCAGATAGTCTTTCTTCCAATCCCTGTGTCTTTGTTCGCGTTTGCAAACCTTTTGCTCTCTCCGAGTCCCTCTTTCCATCCCTGAGAGGAGTGAAAGCATCATCGTGCAGAAGTCCCTCTGGGTTTTTGCTTCTATGAGGGGGCACAAGGTCAACGCCAGTCTGGGCTCCTGTGCCCTGCATACCCGAATTACAGTCCTCCTCAACTACAGGTATACTTAGAATTTAGAACTTCATTTTGCATTCCGAACCTCGCCTATTGCATGCCGTGTTTCACCTTTCCTCCCCTCCAAAGTACCGGCAGGGCTAGTTAGTCAGGGAATTGTCACAGCCCTACAACTTCCAACTTTGAAGCCAGCACTCATGATCTAGGGTCTTGAACTTTGGAGTAGCAAGCCTTCAGAAGCTTGTTATGCTCGACTCGATTTTCGCCCAGGGTCATCGATGCTTAACGAGGTAAGTTCCCTCTCATATTCAGGGTCCCTCACTCAGCTTCCCCCCTAGGCCCTGATTTTTCTTACCCCAGTAAATCGACCGCTGCGTGCTTATTGATGGCTCCTGATCAAGAGGTGAACCGTGAACATCGGGAACGGTAGGAGGCGCCCGACGGAACTGCAAGTTGACATCCAGAGGACCAATTGCCAGCACGTGGAAGACTTTTTCAATACACCCCCTTTCAGGGAAAACCCCAGCTGAGGATTAAGACATTTAACAACTAGGATTTGAGCACCAGAACTATTGCGGGGCGCATCGGAGGAGCAAGCATAACCGTTGTTGTGTGACAATAATACCCCCGTTTAAAATAAATATTTTCCTCCCTACTGCTCAACCCACAGCGGAGGTTTGACAGCTGTCCCAGTCACCTTAATTTTTGAAGTACAGGGCTTCCAATAGCCATCATTCAATTCTTTCACCAGTGACGTCGTTGTGTTTCTTGGAAAAGCGCCCTGCTGAGTCGAGGACTGGCCGAGATGGCCACAAGTGTTCATACGAAGTACCTGAATGCAGACAAAAGACTTTATTGGTCGAACTTGCCGGCAGCCTGACCCCTGGACCAGGATTACGCGAGAAGGCATGGATTTGCTCCCTTTCAAGTGCAGGTATCCTCAATAACTCTCTGCTTGATTTGCTTGATCCCGGCAGGCCTCCAAATAATGCGATACAGGGTGCGGAAATATAGCTGACATTTCCATCTATCAATTAACCCGTTGTGGCTCGTAAATTGACGATTGCTTACGAAAGATGGATTCTCAACAACCTCTCACCGACATATGTCACTGTCTCAATACCAAACCTACTTCAGCTCCATAACTAACTCCACCCTCACTTCTAATTATGGTTGAGTAATAGCAGAACAAGTCTTGGTTCTTCGGAATCATTAAACGCCAACGGAAACATATTCTGCAACAGGAGCTCGAGCTCTCTCATCCGCTGAGCCGGCTAGAGATTAGCAAACCAAATGGGCCGGATCAGAAAAGTGCTCATTTGGCGGATAGCAAAAAAAAATTAAATTCTTGCATAGCTCGAGAACCAGGTCGAAAGGTAAGATGGACATGGGAAAGATTCCTCTAATACAGACTGTCCAATTTCAACCGAACCTCATGCAAACAATGCCTTGTTACCTTCCTCAATAATTCTCTGCTCTCCTGAGCTCATACCTGGCTGAATGTCCCAAGACACCTTCCCCATTCCCATAGCCCTCTTCCCCCCTTGATCCAGCGTATTCCAATCAACAGCATTTGTGAAGCCAAGCTCGCCGTCGCCTCCCGCACCTGGAAAATCCGGGCCAGGGCTGTATCTTAAAGCACTCGAGCGTTGTCTCGTCAAGAATTCAAGGTTCGACCTCGTCATGGCGCAAGCCGGGATATACAGGACACTGCTATCCCCGGTGCCACGGTGTTCCTTGTCGACCGCGTGAATGGTATCACAGTGCCACGCGACATAGTCACCGGGCTCGACCTGTGGCATACTGACCATTGTCGTTTCGAGATCCAGATCCGGGTGAGTCAGGGGATTGTATTCCTGGCAAGCTCCAGGCACTGAATTGGGGAAGACTGCGTCCATGTTTGGCTTCCCTGTGGCGAGGTCAAAGAAAGGTCTCAACATCAAATACGATGTCGCGTGTCGAAGCAAAGGACACACTTTCAACGTCCCTTCTCCTGGCCCAGTCGATGACATGGACAACCAGCCCTGAAAAAGCCGAAACATGCTACACGCACCCGCACCGTTATACAGGTCCATGTTGGCCGTGATGCGATGCCGTGCATCGAACGGATCATATCTCTCCCACTGACCTCGCAGAATCGCCTGATACACACGTGAGTACTCGGGATCCTCCCACCTCTCGACACTCCCTCCATCGGTATGCGGGCCCAAAGCGAACTTGGCATCGCCGGGCCTCCGAATGCGAAATCGATCAGCATAAGAGAGGGGATACGTGGTCGAGATCTCCGAGGCCGGGTCGGACGAGTGCCAGAACGACGCCATGAATTGCTGAGCCTTGAGCATGTTCGGGTGTGCCCGCGCCTGCACTTGCGAAGGTGTCCAGTATAGCTCATAGACTGCCGGGTCGTCCGGTGGGAACGCCTTGACTTTGTCTCGATTGGCAGCAATGTACTCCCTCGCCTGCTGCTTGAGATCCAGAGCTTGCTGTCTTGGCAGAACATTACGAATGACCGCCGTGCCTCGATGCCGTACTGCATCCAAGCTCGACTGGGCCACCTTGCCGTTCACAATATCTTGAAACTCAATCTCCGGGATGACCTAGATCCATCACATCAACCCACTCCAATTCCATGTCCCCTTTCTTATCCCATCCCATCCCACCCCATGCAAACAAAAACAAAACAACAAGAAAGTCAACTCAGAGAGAGAGAGAGAACTCACTGTACTCCCCTTGAGCCTGATCTCCTCGATCTCTGCCTTCAAACTCCCGAGCAACCGGTGCCACGACTCGCCCACGGCATCCTCGTGACCGGCGATCAACGACCTCTTCAGATCCGCAAACCGCGCCGGCAGCGGCTCCGGCGCCTTGCCCGACAACGAGGGGAACACGGAGCTGATGTCACCGGCCTCCTTGGTCAGGGTGGACGCCGCACGACGTAATGTCGACAGCAGGCTTTGCGCTTGCTTCATTGTAAATCTTAATAAAAAAGTTCGTCGACGCGAGAATGAGTATCTAGATCCAGGAGTTTCTCAGAACTTGATCTTCTATACTCCTTCTCTCTCTCTCTTGCTCTCCTACACATGTTCAAGTTGCGCTCTCGCCCATTCATTTATGGTCACTGCTTCCGACAGAGTGTCCGGATAGAATGCCGTTTTAGGACTAGTGCGGTGTGCCGCTCTCCAAAAATTCGGGCGAGGAGGCAAAAAAAGATAAAGTCCAAGTGATCGAATCAGAACGACCGTTGGCTACAATACTGGGTTGCAATGCAGCATGCCGCTCATATCAGCCGGTGGTGGATGTGCGTCATTCGTGGGCGGAGTTCGAGTGCACGGTTGTAGGTACCGTATGGGGCAGCGGTAGGACTGAGATGTCTGAGGACAAGACCTTGGAATTCAAGTGTTTCTATTGATATTCAGACTCTAGATTACCCAGATTCATTCGAATGCAGTCTTCATTATTCATGATAATGCCAATCTGCTCTCTTGGCCGCTTGCTATACATTGGGCACAAGAATGCAGTAGTAATTCCAACTCCAGTAACACCTTACTCGCATGTTTTTAACAGATATCATTGTAGGCCACATCTTTCGGTTGAAGTAGTCATCGGCCACAGGTGCTTTTGCCCGTTTCTGTCAGCTCCAGTACGGGCTGACTGCCAGAGATTTGGTCAGAAAATTTTCCGTAACAAAAGCAGAATTAGGACAAGTGTTCTGGTTGCATATACAGGTATATGTCCGCCGGGGGTCGACCGAGTTCTGCTGTTGCGTCTCCAAAGTGTTTTTTGGCCTTCTGTTTGCGTAATACCCACGTTTTGCATGGTCTATACGAGTGACTCAACCATTTCTCATTTCTCTAATGAGATCAGTTCAATGCGTTCCGAGAAGAACAGAATTCGTAATGAGGCACGTGATCATGACCACAAGTCCGTATATAGCGAGCGCAAGACTGAGCTTTCTCAATAGGTTTCTGCGAAAGGTTCTCGTTCTCTTTAATAAGCTCACACCACTGAGGCTCAACAGGCCCGAGTTTGCGAGTAGAGTCTGACTCTCGTGCAGAGTTTCGTCGTCTTCATCACCATCGTCATCATCTGATCTTCGGCCTGCTTCATCACCATAGTCGTAATCATCTTCCTCTTTCAAAAGCTGTTGATGAAGTGGTGAATCTGGAGAGGAAATCTTGTAGTAGAACAATCCTGGTAGGATGAAGGAAATGGACGTGCTACCGGTAGAGCCGACATACGCCAAAACTTTGTCAAGACTAGAGACAGTCATTGCAACCAGGTAGCTCAGAATGATGATTGTTGTGGTTATCGCAGCGAACCGAGTTTCTCCCATCTCAGTATTGCGCTGTCTGCTTGGCTGGAGAAGGGGGACATTACGTGGCGGACTCGATTCCACAGAAGGGGTTCCAGATGTTGAGCGAAGTTTTGACTTGAGCTTGTCACTCGGTCTCCATTTGAGAACCGCGTCCACACTTGCACGACAAGGGTGAACCTGCAAAGGGTAGGAGAACATGACAAGAATAACAATCATGGCCTGCCCAATAATTGTTGCAGGCTTCGGAGCATAGTTCTCGACGATATTGCCCGAGACTTCGTTGCCGAAGGATAGATATCCTGTGATGGCCACAAGGACGTAGATCGATGCGGCAGTTCCAATCGAGGCCGTGGCGACGCCGGTAGTGCGGAAGTGTGAATTGTCTCCAATCTCATTCAGAATGCTGAACATGTTTTGATGGCAGGTGTAGGCAAAGACGATGACAGGAAACGATGAAAGTGCGGATACTGCGCTAGCCCATTTGAAGATTCGTAGTGGTGTTTTGTAGCCTTCTTCGGGAAGGGTGTCGTGCGCGGCAAAGTGGTATACCACCAAAATGACAAGATAGCCAATGGATATCAGGGCAATGACTGATGTATATTTCAAGGAGTCCAAACGGCGCAAAAAGGAAAAAGGAATGACAACCAGCATGAAGGCGGTTACCCAAAAGTGACGGTCAAACATGAATGGAGCCAAAGCGTCCTCACTGGCAAATCCACGAACCACCTTAGGCATCAAGTCTCCAATGATGATCAAATAGCTGACACCGACTCCGAAGCATTTGATGGAAATGGCGGCATCAAATATGACGGCTGCGTTGGGGTAGGTAATTTGCGATAGAGCGAAGAAGCTCGCTGAACCTCGCTCGAGATATCTGGCGCATCGTGTTTGAAGGTATAATCCGAAGCCCGCCGTTAATCCTGCCCATAGTATAACGATTGTTCCGAGCAAAATACCCATATGCGACAAGGCAAGGGGCATAGCGAGGACCCCAGCGCCGACGATTGTGTTCAAGAGGTTGATGACACTGCTTATCCATGATGCCTGGCCCACGGTCCCTATGAGATCGCGTTTGTTCCGAGTGGGAGTGTGAGCCCGCCTGGACAAGGTATTAGTTCTGTCTTTATAGATCTGTGGATATTTATGATACGTACCGGCGTGGCCGTGAATGTGGCCGGCTTGACGACGAACCAGGTGCCATGTTGGCAAGTGAATTGAGGGTAAATTGGAACTGGCTGTTATTCGTTCAAGGGTCTCGTGGTATCATGACTCTGTCGTAGCAAGCGCAAACAGTATTAGGTATTGACGTGGATATAGTAGATCATAGATTTTAAAGAAGCTGAGCAATGAAAGATAGTGGATGTGTGTTTCTGTTCGAGAGGTGGACGAGAGGGAAAGTTGAAGACGCAATTCGTAGTGAGGATGAGAGAGTCGGTGATGACAGCGAACCGCCAACCGCAGGCAGAGAAGTTACTGGGCGGAGATCGGGCAATTACAACGGAAAGAGCCACCCAAGCCACGCGCCCCAGGCGGCAATCGGCAAGTGCTCCGGGGGCTTCCCAGCCACACCTCCAGAGAATCTCTTACCCAAGGCAGGTACAAGGTAGGTATTCTACTCCGTGTATCCTTTTCATCACCATCCCATGGTCCCCATCGACACGATGGTCAATGCTTCAAATTACCCCATAAATCAAATTAACTCTCCTTGTTCAAGCTTTGTGGACTGGACTGTGAATACGTATCTGTTATTGTGAGACCTAACTCAATCATTGACCCCATCCAGGCCGGATCAAGTCCTCAACCTCCCCTATAAGAACATGGGCATTACTAGCACCAGCGCCCGGTTCTCCATCAGCATATGGTCCAACGTTATTGAACATAGGAACGTCCCTAACTCTTCTCGTCAAGATTTCGAGGCAGGTCCCTCCTTTAATGGTGATAGCCTCGCCGCTCTCGCCACCATCCGTTTGTGGATAGGTGCTGATGCTTTGATCCTTAACGCATGCCAGCATGACTTCTGCGACTCGTTCAGGCGTGACCCATGTGTCTTTGACCTCATCCAAGGCTTTCAACTTCTCTGGATGCTCTGTGAACAGCGGTGTTTTGACAACACCTGGCTCTACCCCCGTGACTCGTATGCCATGGGTTTGTTCTAGTGATGCCAGACTCCGTACCAGAGCTTGCACCCCATGTTTTGCAGCATGGTAAATCGGGAAGGGGAGGGACGCCGTCTGTCCAGCAATGCTCGCGATGTGCACAATCGACTTCGGATTTGATGGACTTGCTGGTGGTGAAGCACTGAGGAAATGCGAGATGGCAAGTTGTGTGACTCGGATGGGATGCGTCAGGTTGATATCCAATGCTGCGTACCGTCCACCTAATCGATCATCTCTAGATTCCGCAGAACCAGGTGGATGCCAGAAATTCGACCAGTTGGGTTCGAATACTCCAGCTCCCGGGCAGACAATATCAATGGAACCGAAATGCTTCTCTGCCGCCTTGAACGTGTCTTCAAGATCTGACCACGAAGTAACGTCGGTCTTCTGAAACACCGCCTTCGGTGTCGACTGATACTCATCAATCAATTGCTGTGCCTCTGGTCGTAGAGCAATATCTGCAAACAAGACATTCGCGCCATTCTGGAGCAGTAGCCGTGCAAATTCCAAGTTGATGCCTGTAAAGGAACACGATCAGACACCAATCGATATTGAGAGGACGAGGACATACCAGAACCAGCACCCGTCACAATAGCAGTCTTCCCTCGAGGATCTTGCGCCATCTCGATCTATGGCCGTCGATTCTTTTATGTTGTGAAGCGAAGAAATGAAGAAAAGTCCTCAAGGACGAGAAACTAGATAAATATATAAGATATTCTTTCACGACCAACAACTTGAAACGTCGAGCAGCACTCGACAGAGACCAGTCGCGCTTTATCGCAGTCCCAAGTATCACACAGATGCACAATGATAAGTAACACCAGGCCTCCCTCCAAACTCAATACCCCGTGCGACGTCTCCAATCAATGATATATCAAACCGAGCAAGGAGTCATGCCAACACGGCGGTCGCTCGCCGAGGCACTTCTATATTAGGCACTTCCTTGCGACCGCAGTTGACATCGTAGGACATGGTATGTGGGACGTCCGCTCTGACTTGGGCCGAAGTAGCCCGAGGTTACTGCTGTGACATCTGCAGTGATTGCGAAGATCATTGCGATGGTGATAGAATGCGGGGAAGGTGTTTACCGATTGAACCACTCGTTCCACATCCTGTGGGTGTGATGGATACGCAATTAGGACCGGAATGTGATCGGAATTGAGGAGAAAGTATTGCTTGTTATGGACAGCTCATTACACCTACTGCTATCTTACATTATGCAACCCAACAGTAAAATCCATGAAAGGGACGGATCTACCTAATGAATAAAGATCGAGTGTCCACTATAGGCATATGTCTGAGGACTCCGGATCATTGACAACTCAATGTGATACTCTCCAACGACCTGCGATAGGTACTCCTGGCAAAAATGCCCCGGGTTGCCTCAATTGCACCAATACGCCATATTCAGAATAAATGTGGCCATCTGAAAATTGAAGGACAACGAAAACCCTTCCACATCATCGCTGTGAAACCAATCGGTGATACTCAAGCAGTGGGAGTAGGATGCGTAGATATCGTGGCTGCTTGCAATGCTCCAATATTCAAAGGAACAGATATGACCTTGCCGTCGGTGGAATCCCTTGCCACATCTAGTTGTTGTTCTGGCTGTTTAGGATCCTGAGGATAGCAAGGAACAAGTTCAGAATGTCAAGATACAGACTGATACTGGCGGCAATTTCTTCTTCGACGTGGTAATGTCTCATCACCATTTGTGTGTCCACCAGGATGTAACCGCTGAAGATCAATGCGGCTCCGACACCATATACCAATTCGATGGTCTTTCCTCCTGGGAAGAAAGCAGCCATGAATCCGAAGATGATCAAAACCCATAAAGCACCGAATAAGTATGGCATCCAATTGGTGAAGTCGTACTTGGTTTGACATGCGAAGAGAGTCAACCCGATGAAGATACCCACTGTGAGGATCAATGCCTGAAGCACAATGCGGCTTTCATAGAAGGACGTAATGACACTAATGCTGTATGCTTCGAGGCCTGTGAAACCTGCCAAAAAGAGCATGTTGGTAGGGTATGATTTGCGTTTCCAATATGTGAGCAGCATGAAGCCGATGGCACCAAAAAGGGACAACCACATCATCCAGCTGTTGGACTGGATCCAGTTGCGATAGTTGTCGGAAAAGAATGACAGAGACGATAGACCGGCCGTGAGGAGCAATTGGACGGTCAAAATACTATAGACCTTTCTGATGAAGGACATGCGAATGTCGAGGGTTGCTTCGGCCACTGAACCGCCAAACTGTTTGTATTTCTGTCAGTATAGATCTTGGAAGCCACTAAATCTTCTGGGAATGTTTCATACCTTGAAGTCATCTGGCAGATTATCGTCCTCAGATCGAGGAGTTCCATATCCTTGGTCATTGCCACCACTAGGACCCGCGGTCTGGTAACTAGGAGGTGCCTGGGTGAAGGTCTGAGGCTCGTCAAGGGAATCGCGCTGGGGCGCGGGCTGATATTTGGTGGTGGAAGCCATCACGGATTAGATATCTGACACGAGAGAACAAGGAGATGCAGGTGAAGAAACGAGAGGAGAGATGGAAAGAGAAGGTGGAAGATTGAAAGTTGAACGCAGTGGCGTGTAATTCGTGCAACTTAGGCGGAAGTCATGGTGGAGGTGAATGACCGCATCCGCCTTCGGTTTGGTTTTCCACAGCAAGCATCACGTGAAGCCGTTGTATCACGTGGTTCACCCCTCACTTCACTTCTCGAGAAGTAGAAGCACCAATTCAGTATGCATTTTTAATTCAGCTGCCAAATTCGAGAGAAAGGATAACGCAGTTCCAAAAACACAAACCGACAGACTCAATGGCCAAAAAAAACCAATTTTGCATGAACCGCGACTCGAACGCGGGCCCCCAGTATGGGAAACTGGGATTCTACCCTTAAACTATCCATGCATGTTGCTTCTCCGCACATTCTTGTGTCATCAATTCAGCAGAAAAGTACTAAAAAATGCAGAGTAGTTGAATATATATCAGTGTGAAATGTGGCGATGTTCCCCGTTTCAAAGGGGTTGCCAAACCTCATCACATTCTTCCTGATCGTGAGTGCTACAGTATCTGAAGGTGAGTGCATACTATGATACAGACCTCTATGAACAGAGCCCCTGAGAACGACTCCCATGAGCTTTAGTCTAATATAAGCTTTCAAATCAGGGGCCCATGATGAACTTAGTATTCAACTAATAAGTCTCTGCCTGCGGTAAGAAGAAATCCAAATCCATGTCCAAATCTAGATCTAGATCAATATCATATTCCCCATATCCAGCATAAGTGCCTGGAGGCATATCACTATGGTGATCAGGACAGGGAATAGTGCTACTCTCGATCCGTGCCTGCAGCAATCCATGACAGAGCTCAAGGCTATCTCTTGCACTCTTCGCGATCTTCAACTGATGTGGACTATCAGTCTCGAGTGCTTCAACCCAGGCCAAGATCATGGCCAGATATGGATGGGCTTTGATGTTCGTCTCACCCTGGCGGATCCGCTCAAGGGCTATCGCCATTCGGTTCCTGACGACTTCTTTGAGAATTTCCCTCGACTGTGAGTTGCGCTCCAATGTGCCGTCCAAATGTTGAATCTCAGCCTGCGATATAAGCTCAAAGGTGATGACCGTGAGTGCGCACCTCATGCCCTCGCGAAACAATCCTCCACTAATAGACAATAAGCGAGAAAACTGTTCATCTGGCTCTGGGCATGCCATTGCCATTGCGGTGTCAAGACTGACCTTCCGCGAGTAGTAGAACAACTGGTTGGTTCGGGCCTTACTGGCGAATGGGCAATGCAACGGTAGCAGGAAGCGGCGCAAGAGGAACTCGAGCAGACACTTATGAAACGAGGTCGCGCCGAAGTTCGCATTTTCGTCCAAGAATTTGTTACATGTACGATATGCATCCGTGATTTCTGAGCTCAGGGTCAGGACATCTGGATAGTAGAGCTCGGAGTGTAAGCCGTTGATAAGCCGGAGCACCCGCAAACGGAGGCGCAAATTGTCATAAAGAATTAGTTGTATCGAGGTCGAGGTAAAGGTGCTTCGCGGACGAACTGGTAGCAGCTCGGTCGAATCGTCGATCTCGTGGTCATTAATATTGGCGGGCGCTTCTGTGTCAAACTCGTCGAAGGATATTCTCGGCGGCATTGCCGAGTCCAGAGATGTTTGAACAACCATGTCAAGGATTGTTGCCCACAACCTTCGACGGATCTCGGCTTGCAACAAGGAGCTTGTTGGCAAGTATTTTGGATCGCGATGCAGACCGATTTGCATAGCACGATGAACAAGTGAGCCCATCGACATCCAAACCAGGTCTCCTCCAACGCAGAAGATTTGCCGTGCGAGAATAGTTAGACAGTGGACCTGAATCCCGTTGATGTTCACTCTATCTTTTTCCAAAGGTCCGGAGAGCCAATTTTGGGCAGTGTATATCCACTGATGTACCATGTCAGAAAAGGCATCGTCAACGACTTGCCCGCTGGACATGCCGAATCCTACGGCAATGACGAGGAGAATTTTGATACGAACCCCAGCTGATACAGTCGCTGGGGAGTCCCAGTAAATTTGATATTCCGTCCAAAACGTAGGCACATGAAGAATCCGGTGCGCAGACTCGAAGTATTGGAAGTATAGTGCGACCATCGCATCAGCCACCTCACGGGCAGGAGGCGCAAGAGGCATCTCACGGGTTGAGAATCCTCGGCTAGGTCGAGCCTTCTTGATGCTTTTTGCAACGTTCTTACATTTCTGCAATAGTTCTTTCATCTCCACCCAAGTGGCTTTGAGCTCAGCCTCGTCAGAAGAGGCTTCTCCATCTCGAACAAATGCATTGACATGACATGCCATAACTGGATCAAACTAGGAGTGAACTGGTAAGTCTAACAGACACTGCGGTATTGTCAGGGACGGGTAGGAATAAAAACGCATACCTCTGGCGCATTACTCATCCAATCACTCCAATTTGCCATCCTTGTTTTCTTCAACATGACCTCCGAACCTCGCATGCCTGTGAGAATGCTACGGCCCGTCTCGGTCAAGCCCTCAACCTTGGCGGACAAAGACGACTCCTCAAGCTTCTCGATCCTTCGTAGGAGACCGTGAAGTTCGGCGGAAGTGCTCGGAATAGTGTCCGTCGGTTGGCTGTCATTACTGCCGAGAACGTGTCGGTCAGTACTTTGTACCCCCGCGTTCGGTCTAAAGTGAAGGTGACCACGGATGTCGGGTCCTGGGACAGGTCTAGTCACCTTCAATTGCTGAGACTGTACTGGACCTGATGCTAGTGAGACCGACGGGCTCGACGGTGACTGTAGTGAGTCGGGACCTGAGAGTACGCCAGCGACAGGCGGATCATTGTACACTTTGTAGGTACACTGAGAACCGGATGCCACACAATGGGCACAGGGTTCGGTCCTGTCGCACTTAATTTTGCGGCGCCTGCAGTCGATGCACGACAAAGCCGGTCTTCGACGACGGCAGGATGGACGTTCCATGGGGATAGAACACTAGGTCTCTATAAGAGTTAAATGCGTTGGTGTTTTCCTGGGGGCCGTCGTGGAGAGCGATGCTGATAGTTGAATCCGAAATCTCAACTACGGATATGGTTGAAAGCTCGAACAAACGGCCATGATGAGTGAATGTCTGAAACGGCAAATTTCGACATCGAGAGCGACACATTTTCAAGCTCCATCATCCAAGTAGTTTTGCAATATCAAACCACTGCATACTTCGCTCGCTGTTCTCGGCATTTTCGTGAAAATAGCGGCTCGGGAGACTTGTTTTGGGATGCCGCTCGAGGTGTCTCGGCCCCCGGACTTAACAATAGTTGTTGTGGTGCGATTGGTCTGAAACATGTTACAATGTGCATTTCTTCTGGGCGAAGTCCACCATCTTCAACTCAAACAGCAAGTGATGAGCCCTGAATCATATCGTCACAGTAATCGCTACCTCGTGGCCGAAACTGCACAGGCAGAATGAGAACCTGATGCCATGAATGCATTTTGATTGAATTACGTTCGACCTGTGAAACACGGTGAACGACCTGGGATACACGCTTTGTGAATCCGAGACAAGGACGTAAGATGACTCTTACAACTAAGCCTGTTCAAGCTTAGCACAACTTCTGGCAAAAGAGTTCTCGAGGGTATATATACCTCTTCTGCAGCCAGCATTTTGTAAGCTGTCAGAAAGAAGAGTTCGGACTCTGCACCGAGCCATGGAGTGTGATCGAGATCATGTTTGGAAGAGGGGCCTCAGGGGAAGGCATTCAGCTAAGTGACATGTAGTACCATTCTAACAGCATCTCATGACCGGGCTTGTTGGTAATCTCATCGTTTTGATCCAGTCACACGATGGGTTGATAGCATGGCTCGAAAGGATAAGGCTCCAGCATGAACATCCCCACGATCCACGCTGGCCAGGGTTAACAATGCAACTGAGCTTGCCAACAGTCCCCAGCCCCAATGAAATGCATTCTTCACCAATGACAAAGAGACCGGGACTGTCAGTCGCCTACTGTCCTCTGACAAGGCTGAAGCCATCACGTTGCGATAACGAAGTCATGTCTGCCAATAGTAGACATTGTTCCGATGAGGGACAACGTATTCGCAACGACGAACAAGTCAAGCTTACTGAAGCTATCAATTTTCCAAAGTTTCTCAGTTCACTGTCGGTAACGAGATGTCGATGTCTTGCAAAGTGCATCTTTGTCAATTGAGATACGGTTTACGACGTCGGAATCATGACCCTTAGGAAAGCTATTCTCTCATTGCTGAATCCGGCGAACCACATGGTCGAGTTCTTTTGCGTGAAAATGGTAGTGGTAATGTTTTGGCGCGCCAGAAGCGAGGAGTGTTTCCGAGGCCTGGCCTCGATTTGTGACGCCATCCGCCTGCCCCTGCATTCGATGAAATCCATCGGCGAGGTGCAGCCGGAATTTTCGCCCAGAGGTCGATGCTCGCGAACAAACTACTACCTCTCCCGAAGTTCCCTGTGGTACGGCGACATCACCAATGGTGCACAGTTTTCGTTCGACAAGAAAATCTGCGAGAGAGACTCTCTGTCGTTCAATGAGGTTCCAGCTCCGGTACGTGGGCAGCTCTTCTAGCAGGGTCTTCAAGCCTGTCATTACAGAAAACATGCTCGAAAGTGTTTAAGCTGTGATGTGGAGATCCCTTCAGACTTACAGCCGTCCACCAGAACATCAACCTCTACGTCGGGATCAGGTCTCGGCGACCCTCAGCCAAACCTTAACCTACAGACGGTTCCAGACATACCAGCCAAGTTCTCATTCAAGAAACCAGTGCGAACGGAGCTAGCAGACACTACACGGCACATTTGTTTGAAAAGCTCGCAATTTTCCTACACGCCGCGATACCGGACGACGCTCGAAGAGAAACGCGGTCGTCTAGGCGGAGAAGGCGAACCTGAGCCAAAATGCCGTAAACAACTGCAGGTTTCCAGCGCGTTGTCGTTTGCAAGATATTTTGCCAAATTCAGAGAGATGTGATCAAGGATATAACAGATTCGGGATAAGGTACCCTTGAGAGACGATCACCTGTACTGCGACGCAAGATCCTGGGCGCATCAGCCGAAGACGGTTGGTGATCGATTCCAGTACACGCCTCAGACTTGATCAAAGTGGGGACTTGATTACTGTCGGACGTGATGGTGTGAGCTTTCTGCAGCAGATGCAAGCATGGAAGCTCTGTAGGTGACATAATCCACCGAATTGTCTGTTCAAGGCCTGCGCGGAGTGCAGACGTTCGAACGGAACCTTACCACATATGTCCTGGTAAAGAATGGGTTATATGGCGGTAAGTGTCCGTGAATCTTCGTACCCATCAGTACTGACGAGGATAGCGTGTGCAAATTGCGATATCTCGGAAGCTGCGAACAAATACTCCCTCGGTGAATATAAGGAGCTGTAGGTCTTCGAAGGCCAGCTTTCGTCACATGGCCCGTATCCTGTGGTCGAGCTTCACGCTTTGGCCGTCGGTATGTTCAAGGTCGCCAATGACAATACTGTTCCTGCAGCGAACCGAATGCTAGCCCGCCAGTTTGCTCTGCTCTTGACCGCTGTCCAAATCGACGACATGGTCGACGCCAGATACTCTGCAACCACGGATGAAGGCCATTACTTCCTCAGCAAGGAGGGCGCACTGGGCCTGGAGCGACTACGAAAGAAAGCATCACTCCAATGCGAAGCCTGAACACGGACAATCGGGATGCTACGGTAATATATTCTGCAACAACACTTGCGAGTATATGATCTACGTTAGTAGTGCTACAGCCCAACAGGGTCCCGCTGAACAGGTCTGACTTGTCCTCCAGACGCCCAATGGCCCCTATCGAACCGAAAGGCCCACAGAAAGGTTTCCCGCACTCATTCGGAAAGTCGGGGAATCGGCTGTAAATAGCCACAAGGCGAGCACCCCCAAAAATTTGGTTCTTTCCTCCTGTGCGCCACAGCTGCCCTGACGAAGCCTTGGATCCACTTCCCTAAGGGCACTACTCAAACATGAGCGAGAAAAGAGGGAAGAAAGACATCGAGAAGAGATGCTCGTGCTTGGCCCGATGAGGAGTTGTTGTTCAACAGAAGCAATACGAAATTGCTCTGCGGGGAGCTCAAGGAGAGAACAGGCCAGACCGGACACGTTCATTTTCACTGGGCCTCCGCCCATGATGGAAACAATATATCCCTCTATGTCCTTCTCGGAGTCGACAAATAATGGTCTGCCGTGGGAGCAAACAAGTCCGAGAAGAGGAGCAAATGCCAGCCCTGGGATACATTGAACAAGTCGCATGCTGGACATGGCGGCGAAGAATCAGCAATTAAAATAACAACACCAACAACAACATCCACCGCAGTTCCAACGATATCTATATCAGCTGCGCCAACAGCAGCAGCGGCAGCAGGCCAGGCTGCAGCTTCAGCAGAAACACCAGCAGCAGCAGCACAGTCGGAGTTCGCAATACTAAACCCGCACACGTGAGAAGACATCTCAACCGCATTGACCACAATATCAAGACCACGAAACTGAACAGAGTGGCACCCTCTTCTACTCTGTGGATGCGGGAAATGGTGCTGGCAGCCATTCTCCATAACCCGACCTCTAATCATGAATCTGGACTGGATTGATGCTGTCAAACAGGTTATGAGCCTAGCACACGAGGCAGGTTCGTGTACAAGTTTGTTCGTCACTCGTACGAGCCTGGCATGGCAACAAACTTCGACACCCTCAAATCCAAGCCCGTCATGGCGGCAAGAATTACTTCTTCTTCTGCGAAGCACAAGTCGAGCTAGCAGAGGAAGCGCCAACCGAGGGTGAGGGTGAGGTCGACTTGAGCAGCGATAAATCAGTCGGAGTCCTTCACCCGGCAGTAGAAACGACATGGCAATGCACAAGCCTGGGTTATGAACCAGAACTTGAGGCTCCTATTTGTCTGTGAAGACTATGCGACCCTTGAGAGCGTGTGTGACGCATTTCGGACGGCTGGAAATATCTGGGTTGTCCGATTTATGGCTTTGTCGACCACTTGCATCGGTGGTCTGATCAATGTCAGTCAATTCTTCGACTTTGCCGGCATTGATCGTTCAGCTCCGTCGAATTGAAGGGCGAAGCTGTAAGCTGCCAAACCCGCGGGGCGGGGTGTTATGGTCAACATGCATTGCTCATACATAAAGGATCTTTCGGTCTTTCCATGATTGACAACATCACTAGTTGACCTATTCACCCACCGTTTGGTGCCCTGGTGACGCTTCCCCAATCCTGTACAGCGGGCGCCTGAAAGCCAAAGCCATGGCGGTCGTGGAGTAGGCGGAGGTTCCAGCAGAAGAACAAGAAAGAGGAAGAGGAAAAAGTGGAGGAAGGAACAACTGCAGGCAGAAGAAGAGGTGTGGAGGCTCAACAATCCCTTCCCCCATTCCTCCTAAAATCCTCCCAGCGATGTGACTTAGCAGACTTGCGTTGCCCGGTACTACAACCCCGTCTCATCAGTGTTGTTGCTGCTACTGCTGCTACCACCACTACTACTGCAGCTCCATGCACCTCAGCGTGAGAGGTGGACGGCAACGTCGTTGTCCGAGCAGGCGACGACTTCGGAAAAGACGCAGTCTTAATCTCTTGTGGGGTGGTGATCTCAACGGGCATCGATGTAGTGAGGTGAACGTGAGAAACACAACGGTCTTGAATCTACCTGTGCCTATACCAGTGACAATCAGTGAGATATGAGGCAGGACGTTATGACCCTGGGGCATGATGATTTGATCAATTTTGTTCAATTTCAATTTTTTCATTTCATTATGCAAGTGCCTATGTCTTTTGTACCGGCGTCAATTCATTACTCATTCAGTCATCATTCGTTGTACTCATTACACATTTCATTCGTTCCTTCATTGCTCGTTACTCTTGATCAGTTCTCCATTGATCAGTTCAGCGATGATTCGCTTTCGTTGCAGTGGGATCTGGCTGGCATTGTAGCTCGTTGGAGCCAGTCCCAACATTATCTGGCGGGCGCTCGTAATGGCGAACACACCGCAGTCATCCATATTCGCCTGTTGGGGCGATTCTCCTCTGGCTCTGACAGCCCATTCACTCTCCACGAAGTGGGTTCCCAACTCCGTTTTCACCCAATCCTTGATCGTGTTCACGTATCCCTGGCCGTTGCCACTCAGGCTGTTGTAGTGTGTGATGGTCTTTTCTTTTCCTGACACAACGCACAGTGTCCAGTGCATACCACTATTGATTGGAATGAAGACTTGTTCGGTTTCCAACAGATTCTTGCCTCCAATTTTTGCTTTCAATGCCCATCTCCTGACACTTTCATATCCCTTGCTTGCAAGGTTGGTGTAAAAGAATGAAGCAAACGCGTGATGTGTCGGGGTTTGCGCAGGACGGTTGTTCCGCTTTCCATGTGCAGTGACCAGTTTTAGGTATCCGTTAATGACCTCGTCATTCAACCAGTTATCTGTGCCATGACCTGCTCTCAAAGGCACAACGCGTAACAGATCTGTGGCCTTGTACATGTCATGACCGTTCTTCAATGCGGTTTGAATCCGACTCTCCCACTCTTCATCCAATGGGCCAATGCTATATTGCTGCACTTCTTTCAACAATTCTAATCGTTTGGCCTCTGCTCTTGTCACTCTTTTGTCTCTAGCATCAGAATGTAGACCAGCTTTTGGGGTGGATGTACTTGGATCAAATGTTTCATCTAGGTTGAGCTGGGCTAAAGCTCGCTCTGGTGTCACTGGTGATGATTCTGTGAGCTGTGATTGCTTTGTCCCTGAGTCCAATAAGCCACTCTCTCTCTCTCGATGCGCTTTTTCAGGTGTTCTAGGTGGTGGGTTTGAAGGAGTCTTGATGGGTGAATCAATGACTATGATAGAATCGGAGAGGTCTGATGGATCAAAAAGATCGTAGAGGTCTTGCTCGATCGAAATAATGTTTCCTTGTGGCGTCTCTGGACCACTATGTTGTGTCTCCAGACCAGTTTGCTGTGTCTTTGGATCACTAATTTGTACCTCAGGATCACGCTGTTGTGTCTCTGGGCCACTTTCTTGCGTCTCATCAACGTTGCTGGAGAGACTGTTCGGATTAAGAAGGCTGATCGGTTGTGTGACAACAACTTTAGCATCTCTTGTGTCTGCAGTTTGGATTTCATTGTCATCAATGGTGAGAAGTCCTGGTGATTCGAACAACAATGGATCAATGGGGATGCCTGTTGCAACTGAAGAATCACGCCCAAGATCTGTGGATGGTTCTCTGTTTGGAATGGGGGAGCCACCGCCTGTTACACGTATGGAGGGGAGAGGTGTAACAGATCCGCAGTGGGAATTTAGAGACAGATTGGGTTGCGACTTCTCGTGATGAATTGATTCGTGCATGGTATTGTTGATATTGAGAAACTCAGATCCGGTTTCAATCTCACTTGGGGGTTGCAGACCGTTCATGTTAGGAAGGTCCCATCCCGGATTGCCAGGAGAGAATGGGCATGAGGAGGAGATGTCGGATTCGGGAGATTCAGTGATAAGAAAATTATTAGGAGATTTTCGAGCCGATGACAAGACTTCGACGCGACGATGTCTGATGCGTGGAGGGGTGAAATACTCGCCAGTATTTGAACTGGGAGATAAGGATACAAGAGGTTCGGCTTTAGCCTTGATGATGGGGTGGGGGGTCAGCGCTTTAGTTCCGTTGGAAATGGTAACGAGCGGCTGGGATGATTTTGAAGGGGAGGTGTTCAGCGCAGAAGTGAGTCCAACATCAACTTGTGGCTGTAAACCTTCCGAAGGAGACATACTCAGCGCAGTAGTCGATGCAGAATCAACCAGCTGCTGTGTAGTGTCGGGAAGTGACAGATCTAGCGCATGGGTCGAAAGATCGGCTTGCAGCTGTGTGGTGTCAGGTAGTGAGAGGTCCAGCGCATAGATCGAAAGATCGTCTTGCTGCTGTGTTGTGTTTGGGTTGAAGATGTCCAGCGCATTGGTCGATTCAATATCGCCTTGCTGCTGTATCGTATTGGGGTGTAAGAGGGCTGGAAGCGAATCTGGCTCAGGGTTTCTGTCACTGTCAATCTCGGTTTCTGTATTGGTCTCTGAGTCGAAGTCTGATTCGAAGTCTGCTGACTGCTGCAGGAAGTCTGTGGGGTAGGTTTCCAGTTCTCGAATTGCTCGAAGATATTCAACGAGCTGCTGGTCTGTGACGTGGGAATTTGAGGCTTGCGTACTGGCTGATTCAGTGGCATCGACAAGCTGCTGGGATGACGTTGAGAGAGAGGTATTGATTGCGGGAGGTGTTTCAGCGTCAGTATGCTGCACAGAGGAGTTTGAATGGAAATTGGTGAGATTGATTCCATTGGGAGGGGCTGCTGATTTTGTGCTGCTGTTTGCAGATGTTGTGTTTGTAGACAAGGAGATGAACCGTGGGAAACCAGAAGGTCCGTGCCTCGTGTCCGTGCTAGCCTGCAGGAGGGCCGTGTCTACAGATGTAGGATCGCTGACCTGTCCGCGGATTGCTGGACGAGGGCCGGATGGAGTCGAAACGCTGTCGACTGCGTCTTGCCATGACATAGTACTCTCAAGAGTGCCATCGAGCTTTCTCTCGGGACTTGCAGGGCTTCTCTTTTTGTTTGTTGGAGCTTCCTTGCTGCCAATTGGACTTCTGTTCTTGCCGACAGTACTCTTTGGGATGAGATCGGGGATGCCGTAGAGTCTCTTGATTGAATTTTGAGGAGGAAGCGCGGGATGAGGACGGGTGACCGAACGATGAGGACGCCGGCGACGCTTGTTCCACATGATGTATGGCTTGGACTCATCGGTTGCTGGGTCTTGAACTTGATTAATGTCTGGCAGATCCCACTCAGCCTGTGTCTCTGTAATCTCAGGGCTGTATGTCACTACTTGAGCCTGCATTGCTGCAAGTTGAGCATCGTGATAGGCATTCGCGCGAAGCCATGGTGACTCTGTCAGTGGTGCTGTAGCTCGGGTATGTGGCTGCGTGCGTGTCGGACGCTGTGGTGTTGACTGTCTGATGTGTTGTTGTCTTCTGACTCGTCTCACAATTCCATACACGGGAACCGCCGCAGTGTCGACAACCGTCTGGCTGGTGGAAGCTAGACCGTGGCAGACTCTCTTAGCCGCTGGAAAAAGCACGCCTGGTGGTCGAGGTCTTGCGAAGACACCAGTGGTTTGGGGAGGAGGGGTGGCTGGCCAACCGCCGGGCATATACTGGCCGGGATAGGGATTGAAAGGAGGGTCTGCTTTCTGAGGAGTCCAGTCCATTCTGGAGTCGAACGAACGGTCACCGACATAGTCATCCATGGCTGTTGTCGCTAAAGTTGCGATGGTGGAGGGAGGAAGCCACTGTGAAGGCTGACGGAGGCAGTTCGTGGTGGACAAGGGGAACTAATTTGAGGTTCGAGAGTCTCGAAGACCGGTGGGATTTGAAGGAGATAATATCTGATTTATAGCAATGATGCTTCATTCAGAATGTGGTAATGGTGAAGAATGAATCGGTGATTGAAGCGGGAATCAATGGGTGATGAGGGACTCGCTGAGCGCGATCAGATCGACTCAATGCGGAGGGCGACGTGAGGAGATCTGCCAAGAGATTATTTTCTGCCACCGCCTTGAATTGTGACCTCTCTATTGGCCAGGCATATATATGGGCCTTTGGTCCAGGGTCACGAGTATCACGTCGCCTTCTCAGTTTGCCTTGTTCAGGGAGCCACCATTGACAGATTCAATTTACAGGGTCCAATTGTATATCTATTTGTCTTATCCACCATCATGATGGCCTCTATACAGCAAATCCCAGCGCGCTCGCTGTTGACAGTCCCAAACAACTCTTCTCCAGTTGTACCCATTCGCGAATCGCGACTTGTTGACAAGCGGATCAATAACAGAGCATCTAATTGCTAAATCCCGAACGCCTTCTGGTCATTACCATTCGCGTGTGACGTGTTTCGCTCGCTCGCTCAACCAACCCCAAGACCAATGTGTTGAAAGAGGATAGGGTTGCCCTCAACCGACCACCATGCAATGCCCAAATAAACAATCAATTTGGTGATGACCTCAACATCATATCTCACTCGAGGCCGCTGTATGCTCGAAAATAACTGTCTTTCATGGAGCTCATCAACTTCTTGCCCCGCGCCGTCTCCACCTGGTGACTCGAGTGGCTGAGAAGGTAGCCCCTCTGGCCCCGTGCCCATCTGGGCGCGAAACATCTCGAGGGAACTCGATCTTTTCCGGTTCCCTGTCTCGGAGGCTACATCCTCCGAGCTATAAAAGCCTCGTTCAGGAGAAGACGCTTTGGCGGGGCTCGGTGAATTATTGGCTGTGAGACTGTCCCGCCTCCTTTTGTCACGATAGGCCAAGGTCTCATAGGCATCCGCTTCTGATTGTGGTCCAATTGAGATGGCTCGTCTTCGTCGTAGAGAACTGAGAAGATGAGGAATATCGCGAGCGTTTGGTATCAGGTTGTCACCGTGCTCCTGCTTCGGCACCGTTTGATACTGTGACGCAGGCTTGAAGAACCTCCGAGGTAGGGAGAGGCCAAGCTGTTCAACTACCCGGAAAATGGGTGGAAGGATCTTCAGTAAGAGCGGCTTCATGACACCTCTCCACGTGAAAACCACAAACACCCCCAGGAAAACTCGTGCAATGGTGACAGGCCAACCTATCTTGCCTAGGTCAAACGGAACCGTGCCTGGAGAAGGTTCCGTCCAGGAATATGGAGTTTTGGCAAAATGCCATACTCCAAATTCCACCCCCATGACAACTGCGGCGAATGCCACACTGTCATCGAAACATGGGCAATTATCAGCTGGCTCAGGATGGATACGAACCAGTACCAATATGATTGATTCAAAGAAGAGAACCCTTTTGAGATCCCCGTCCATGAACCATACATCGAAAACGGGGCCGAGGAAACATTCTAAAAGACCTATTCCGATGCCCAAAATGCTGCCAATTACAACATCAAAAAAGCCATGCATGCCGCAGTAAAGCCGTCCAAGAACGATGGAAAAGGCATAAAAGTAGGCGACTATCTGCAATGCCAGACTCGTTGTGGGGGTGAGCTGATCACCACTCTGCTTGAGTAAGAAGATGGCATAAACTGCTACGGACACTGCATTGGTGGAGTGGGTGGACGGAAACCCATATTCGAGGGCGGCGGAGCCTGACATGGTGATTCTTTGCAAAGGTGGGGACAGTGGTCTGGGGAGACAGAGCAAGTCTTTGATGAAGCCGCTAAAGAAAACGCCCATGGCGAGGATGCGGACCATGCTAAATCTCGTCAGAGGACCGTCCTCATTAAAAAGGGATTCAAGAGCCAGATGCATACCCTCTCCCAAGATCGGTATAACCGCACCAAAACCATATAGGTAGCATAATGGTAAAGAAGGTGTGGGTACCTAAGTTGGCAGACATGGCAAAATAGGTATCGAGTGCTGGGGTTCGCAGAGTGTTCTGCAGCCACGCGACATAAGGTGTCTCCCACCGCACGATGGGTAGGAGTCGTTCTCGAAGTAGATACCTCCAACGAGGGAGCATTACCTTGTCTGAAGAAAGCCCATGTCAGGAGTTGTAGTCAAAGAACATCAGCAACCTTGATGGTGACATACAGTGATCGAGGCTTCTTAGCCCAGCATCAGGCTTAGTATCCTTCTCCTTTTCCATCTCTGCAAAGCACTTCGGGCACTGATGCCCATGGATGGGTTTGAATTGGCTAGGTAATTATCGCGGTGCTTCGTCCGTCTCGGCAGGAGGACAACCCGTCCCTTGGGCAAGGCTTGCTGTTTTCACTAGGGGTTGGTGGGACGAGTCGCTCGAACAAGTGAGGACAGCAGATTATAGACTTGGTAGGCAGAACTGCAAGATGTTGATAGCATGGCGCAAGATCACAGCTCGCTTATCGAGGCAGGCAAAATTCGCGACAGGGGCATTATTGACGGGCAGTACGAGGTACAATAGTGGTTGTTGCGCAATACCAGGTGGTGGGCGTGATTGCGATTCTGATTCTGATAACGTGTTGTGCGCTAGATGTTAGCAGGAGGTGCAACTTGGAAGCGGCGCCTGCCACTCAGGCCAGTGAGAATGAGGGGAAGGTGCGAGTTTCGAAAATAACGGTAGGGGTAAGAGCGACCCACCCCACTGCTACTCCATCCCTCGGTTGCTGGCCCAACGTGGCAGTGACAACAATGGAATTGAAACCACCACAGGCTGCTGTATCATGCATCTTGCATCATCCAGTCGACGTACGATTATGTTCAGTCAAACAAACCTGTTCTTGACATAAGTACGTACATACCTACAATATCATAACACTTTTAAACTGCAGAGACTGCCATTACCTACCCCTTCACCTTCTCTCCGCCGCCTCCACATCTTCACCATTCTCTCATCATGGCCACTCTCGATAACTACTCTTCACGTCACTCCACCATCATGTCTGAGAAACACCTTTCAGCATCATACACCAACACTCCTCCCTCACCCAGACGGAAACCTACTCGAGCCCAAAGTACACGGACAAGCAACGGGACCGTCAGCACAAACATGAGTTACGGCAGCAGTGGACGAGTGTCAGAGGCCACTAATATTACGCTACCCCCTTCTTATTCCAAGAAATTCGTCGTTGTAGGCGATGGTGGCTGTGGCAAGACTTGCTTGTTGATCAGCTATGCTCAAGGTTATTTTCCAGAGGTTCGTGCCCCTGGAAGAAAAGAGAAGAAAATGAAAGTCATGCTGATACAACTGCAACCAGAAATATGTCCCCACAGTATTTGAGAACTACATCACACAGACAACTCACAAGCAGACTGGTAAAACTGTCGAGTTGGCTCTGTGGGACACAGCTGGACAAGAAGAATACGACCGCCTGAGGCCGCTCTCATACCCTGAAACTGATTTGTTGTTCGTCTGTTTCGCCATCGACTGCCCAAATTCTCTCGAGAATGTTATGGACAAGGTGAGTCAAGCCACTGTTCTGATCGGGCCAGTCTTCGCTAACGTGATCAGTGGTACCCTGAAGTTCTTCACTTCTGCCCTACGACTCCTCTGATCCTCGTGGGCTTGAAATCAGATCTCCGCAACAAGAGAACATGCATCGAACTTCTGCGAACCCAAGGACTGACTCCAGTCACGCCGGAACAAGGCCAAACCGTTGCCAAACAAATGGGCGCGTCGTACATTGAGTGCAGCGCAAAAGAATCAAAGGGCATTCAGGAAGTTTTCGACCAGGCCATCAACACAGCCATTCAGGCCGAAGAAGACAGTTATGAAGTCAGTCCCACCACAAAGGGTGTCAAGGTCAAGAAAGTCAAGAAGAGGAGGTGTGCAATCTTGTGACCGCAACATTTCCCTGGTGCCTGGTGCATTGGTCTAATCTTGCTCATCGCCTTGGGATTCGCTCAGGTTGATGTACTGATCTCTCATCTGCAGAAGCTCCATGACATGATCCTTGTTTCCTTATGACCCCGAGATGGGCCCCAATATTTGTACACGCATACTAGACGGCGTTGCTGCACGAGTGCATGACTGGCGTTTCCAAATGGGAGGCTGACTGTGTTTTGGTCATGCCAGAAAAGGCAATAGCCAACCGGATTTTGAATGAGTATAGGCGGATTGTTGTGATCTGCTCCCACTATAATTTTTCCCATCCCTTCCAAGTGCCGCGTGTGACATATTCATGTGACTCATAGAGATGCGCGGTCTGTGCTTCGGAAAGTTCGTTATTGCCTGGCTCCACGATGGTCTGCTCGTCCTAAGCCTGATAGAACAGGCTATCTGAGTCGAACGCAGCGCTTCCGCTGACTTCAAGAAATCAAAGGAAAGCGAGAAACTTCACTCAACTGGCACCGCCGCCGTGTCCGGCGTCCCCTGCATCAGCCTTCGTAGTAGCACCACCCGTCGTGCCTGTCGCTGGACCACCCTCTTCATCTCGCCCCATCACGCTCTCGAACTGGCTCCACAGCGCCTCGACCGACGAGAACTCATTACCAATCTGGGTGTGAACCACGGTCAGATGGGGAGGGGACGGCCACCAGGTGCCAGAATTTTTGGCAAACTCACCTCAATAATCCCCTCCAAACTCCGATTCAACGCGTTGATCTGTACGAGAACTTGTTCTAGCGACTGTTCATTTACCCAATTTCGCGTTAGAAATGTCTTCTCATGTCAAACTCTGGGTTGATAAGCCAAGGGAGCTACAGAGCATTGCCTCTGGTAGAGAGAGGCGGACACTTGTATGTACAGATACATAGATGTCATCTTACCTCGCCGATCTCACCCACGAGCGTGGCGCGTCGCTGCTCGAATTCGCTGGGTTGCGATGTTGCGTCGGTCGCCATTTCTTTTGTGTCGAACTTGACCTGGCCGAGACTTGGGTCTGTCTGTCTATTTATGTACTAGTGACGACGTGGTTGTTGATATTCAATCGTGGATCAGACAGAGCAAACAATCTCGTATTGGTGGGTTCTAGGTCGTTGGATGTCGCGGTTTTGCGAAATGACGAATATGCTTGGATCACATGTCTACTTCTACGTCATTTAGGGAGTTCTGCAGTGCCGTGGTTGCCCCGCGATGCTGCAATAATATTGGTCGAGATAAAAAAAATGAGACTATACTATTGCTTACATTATGGTTCGAGAATGTTACTGCTAGGTAGTTTATCGTCTGCACTCTAGACTCGGGATTCTCAACTGGGAGGTTTGGCGGTATAGAGGAACTTTTATTCAACAACGTTGGATACTCACACTCCTACTCCGCCGGTAGATAAGACGTTAATACGCGGGTATGAACCTTCTTCTTGAAGCCCTTTTAAATATCTTACGCCCCTTGTCTAATGTGTCACCCCAAAACTAGCAAAAAAACTTTCGTGTGAGAGGAGTGGGATTCGAACCCACGAGGTTTCCCACTGCGGAATCAGGTAAAGATCTTCAGTTAAAGAATGACCTAAACACAGCGCCTTAACCACTGGAGTAGGGGTTAGCAACGGTTAAAGAGAGCCTGGAGTGTATGTAGTTACCTCGGCCATCCTCCCTGAAGGGGTATTGCAAAACCCGCATTCAACTTCGCGCAAAGCTGTGGGCAAAATTTCAACCATTTTTCGAGGTGTTTGATAGATGTTCATGGCCATGGTCCGCCAAGACTTAGTCACGTGCTTATCTCCACTCTTTGAGACGTCACCAGAACTTGACCAGCATGAGCCTAGCGCAAGCACGCTTAGGCACCAGGTCGAAAAAGGGCCACACAAGAGCGGGTCAAGAAAAAGTCACGAGGCTTACAAAGACTTTTCGATTCTCGCTCTTCTTCTCATCGATCGTACTGTTCACGTTCTTGAGTCAGGACTCAGGGGTGAATTGGTGGTGGATCCCACGAGGTTCCCCAGGAACTTTTTGCACAAACGAGGCAAGACCGAAAAATGCATTTTCCCCAAACATTGAAAATCGGGGTTCTTTCACGGGCATCATTCGCCCGTGTGACTCAGGGGGGCCAGAAAGTAAATTGCGTAGGTGGGATTTAACCAGCATCCGAAGTACGAAGTAAAGAAAGGGTGCCTCGGACTTCGTCCCCGCAGGCTGCTTGGAAGGCCGCACTGCACGGCACGACCGCACGGCTCGATGTCGCGATTAGGGAATCGATCCAAACAGTCGGTGTCGTTTGCAATTGAAACTACAGGCCTCGAATGTTAGGTACCGAACAAGGGCGTGCGTGAAAGCGAGATACGAATATGGCATAGGTAGATAGAGTGTGGCTTGCAGAATTTCAATATTCTAGGTTCACATGTCTCTATGGTACGCCTGGTGACTGGTCTGCGGAACACCTAGTTAGTTCTGTCTTGTGAGACACCCGACCTTCGTGGCCCTTCTCAACCGTTTCGAACACAAGTTTGCGAAAACATTCAACTAGGCTGCACCCCTTGAACCACCATTTGTCGACGGGGCAACATGTTGCCTTTTCGTCGGTGGCGAATACTGTTCGGGGGGTGTAAGTGGACGGGATGGAGTCTTCGAACACGGTCATCCCAGTCAAGAACGTCCAGAGACGGGAACACTGAACGTTAGAGCGTCTGGGAAGGAGAATTGATTCTAGTCTTCGCTTCTCTCTTAGATGAGGTAGTCCTGATTATCTGTGGACGGAAGGAGGCATCCCTTGTAAAGCCGCTTAGTCTTGTTCGAAATCGTAGTCAAGCAAAAGACGTTGGCCTATGTTCCCCCTCGCCTGAAATGGCATATCCTGTGGAAGATCTCACGGGTAGTCACCACGGGTATGTCCTGCACTGGATTGGGATTGTGGGTAGTTGTGTATTGATAGACCTGCGAACGAATGCCCCATGGCGAAAATTTCTGTCGATCGATAGTTGATTCGACGGGTGGATGCTAAAAGTGCAGATCATGCTGTGTTGGGTATGCGAGGTCCACCAGCACGACGGTCCAGAACAAAAACCCTACCGGTCCACCTAGATTGCATGGCTGAGGAGATCTGATATGCTTGATATGCTTGATCACCGTGTTGGAGTGTTTCTCTGGATTTGTGTATTGTTCAGGTTCAGGTGTTGGAGAAACCGCATGTTGCGTGTTTGGTCGGGTATGAAAATGAAATGATGCCGTGATGGGACGTCCAAATGAATGACTTTTGGTGATGCATGGGGTATTCGTACACTCATAGCGTCGTGATGCTGTTGTATTGTAGTTTGCATTTACCAAATCTCCGTGGAAGATTGGGTGATGGAATGTTCGTCATCTCAACCTGTGGTTGGGCGTGAAATGAATTTCGTTCAACAGTATTCATCGCTTTCCACCGGTCAACAACTTCGAGAGTCTCTTCCTGCTCTTCTCCCCCATTCTCTCGCCGCTGGACGAACTCGTACTCCGTGAACTTGCCTCAGACGAGGTACGAGAGCGTTGTGAAAGATCTGCTGCTCCAATGATGTCTTCTAGACGGACATCTGATTTGGGTGAAGTGCTTTGAAAGCCAGGTTCAAGAATTTCCGTGAATTTCGAGGCCATTTCAGCGGCTGTTGTGTATATAGTTTGAATAGTATTGCTTGGTGGAGAAGCGAAGTGCTAGGCGTTGCTGGGACTTTGCTGTGTATACAAGACAAAGTTAGGAGAACGATTGTATTGTATGAACGAGGGTTATGCAGGTGATATATGAGTATATCTGTCTACGCAACACAAGAAGAACGTATAGGAAGGGATGAGACAAGCCATGGTTCAGATGGAGGGGAGGGTGGCTGCTCGTTTTGTCTTCTTTCTCGGCCACGGTGCTAGAACCGTTCTGCACATTTCAAAAAGTTCTCCCTCCGACTCTCGAAATGAACCTGCCCCCTTGTCGCGAAGTCTGGATCCAATAGCTTAAGTGGCGTGCCACGCCGCCTCGTCACACCCCTCGTTTGGCCTTCCCCGTGAAGGAATGGCTTTGGGCAACTAACTATCAGACGTCCTCAGAGGATGGTCCAGGCACCGCACTGCCCACACATCCACAACGAGACAGGGGTCCAATCTCAGGGTCCTGTGGCGGGTGCACGATCATCGTGTGATCCCCAGATGTGCTGCTTCGTGGAAGAATCCGGGATACAGCGTGAATTTCAAGGACTGGGAAACGTGGTACGGCAAGACTTTCCCATTCCCATAAACGAGCCACGCATGAGCACTCGTACGAAGATGATCGTTACGCCCTGATGGGAGGCAATAGTCCACGTAGACAGATTCAATGATCGGCATTGCAATTCTGCCTGGCTATCATTTGGGTGGTATTGATCAAGTCTTCACTTAGGCTCTTCCAGGCAGTGGATTGATGCCCACAACGCAACAAGATTGCTAAGGTTTAACGTACTTCCACAAGTGGTTGAACCACATCGTTGGTGTTTTGCAAGTGGTTGTTCCAGCTAGAACTCCGCTCACCGTGCATTGATCGTGTCCTGTTAGGTGCGTAAGTTTTTCGAGTTGCCAAATTGCCAATGCTTGCCTGTCCCATGCGATGCGAGAGTTAGAGGTTTAGCTCTGGACGCTCTGCATTAGGGGACCATCTAGGTCTTCTCGCCTGCTGTTCCAGGCATCTCGGCTCCTAGCCTTTGGGCATTGGGCATTCCACAAATCCTTCTCGGTCGCTCGGCTCTAGTTCAGCCGTTTCATTGCCACGAGTGAATATGAATTGACGGATGGAAGCCCCTGGGTGGCCCCTTTACCCATGCTTCGAGCCAGTGGCTGGTGAATGCCAGTGCTCTTTGGACTTCTGATCTCTAATCTACCATCTTGGATGCTTACGACAACGCTACCTCTATGCTATACAATTATGTCATCGATGGCGAACTCATGAGGTATTATGCTAGAAACAGGCTTCACGAAAAAGACAATGCTGCCATGGACTTTTCATCTGTTATTCTTCATGTGTCTTGCAAAATCACTAGAACAGTATCGTAGCTATCCATTGAAAGTGATATTGAGCTTTGCCCTTTTGGAGTTGGAATATTCATGTGCATCCTGTGCTTGATCATCCTGAACCTAGCCTCGTTCTGATACGGCCGGGGGCAAGTTCGGCACATACCAACATTGATTCACAACAAGTTTATTCGTGATTATCATGCACGGCGCTGTCCAGTAAAGAGTCGATGCTTCTTGTCATGGCCACATTCGTTTTGCCTCGGCGTCAAGCAACCCACTACGCTTTGTTGTGGCATCTCTGAGATCGGCGATGTGACGAGTGGCCCTCGATTTCCATTTCAGAGATGGACGCAGGCTGTGGTAGCACGATCATTTGTTCGAGAAGAGCAGTACCGGAATCATAGGTGTGCCGTTTTCGAATCATTCCATCTGCGTAACTTCAGAAGGAGTAGTTGGTAACCAGCTCGTTAGGACTACATCGAAATGTCCTGAGCGTGGACATGCGTTTTCATGCTGCGTGAGTGATGTTTTTAATCCTCCATCTTCGAATCTGCCCCTTCGCCATTCATTTCCACTCCTTTCGCAGCTGATATCCATAGAACATTATTACATCTGTGATGAGAGAAAAGAGTAAGTCTGCGGTTCTTAAAACGATATTGATGCGGGGTATGAGCCCTCCATCGTACCTTATCAGCACCTGACCAAGCGTGCCTGTATGTTTCCGGTCGATGTACTCCTCGGTGTTTGCAAGCTGGACGTTCATATACGAGTCCACACTGATCAAGCGGCCTTTGTACTCCGTTTGACCCCATTTTAGGCGGATAATCACATCTTCATTGATCCTGCGTGTTGTGAGCGATCTGTTAGTTATACCATACGTTGAGAGTTTCAGGAATCAAGGAGGAAAGCAAGCAATTGACGTGGCAAGCTCGCGCACTCCGTGTCAAGTCGAGTAGACGTACAAGTTCTGTAGCAATGGTCTTGGATTGAGTGGGGTGAACTAAAGCAAGTTCGGTCAGACATGCTCATGTGATGGTCAAGGATAACTTACATTCATCCTGTATTGCACCTGGATGTTCAGGTCCTCCAAATGAGCTCAGATACAGACCGATGGTGAATTGCAGTTGCTACGAAGAATTGTGTCTGCGCCGTTGCTCGTCCGCTTTGCAGGTTGCACCCGCAAAAATGTTCGACTGCGACAGATATGCTTGGCGAATGTCACGTGCCCAGCCTCGCTAAGCCTCTCGCAGCCTTGTGCCAAACTGAATTGGGTGCTTTATCATTCACTTTGTAGAAAATTGAGCGTGTAAATCTAATCTGTAAAGCCACGGATGTGTGTCAAGAGACAACATGGAGTCGTCTAATCATCTGTTACCATCTTTAAAATCAGGGTCGTGAATGATAACCACTCTGTGGTAAGCTGTCCTGAATGATCCAGAAGCAGAAGCTCCCCATTTCCTTATGGCTTCGTTCTCGTGCATCATGGACTCATGCGTGGATTAGCTTTTGCCTTTTGCCATCTTTGTCCGAGTACACTCATAGGGTTGTTTGTTGGCGACAAGAAGACGAGTCAGCATATTGGGTCTTATTTCGCCGCAGAATATCAAGGTGGTGTGAGGAAGATGGTTCCAATCCAACTCAAGCCCTTCGAATTGCCCATTTGATATCCTTGATGCTGACCTCCTCCCCGGCCTTCTCATCATAATCAAACCATTCCCCTTCTGACAAGTCGATTCCACTGAACTTGGTCCCAGATTCGGTACCCTTGGCCTCCCACTCCCCCTAAGATTGATCAGAAAGGCTTGATCAAATACAAATACCGCTAGGACTCACGTCTGGCTTGAATTCTGTAAATTCAAGACCCCGGCAATCAATTTGAATGATGTTCTTCGGTTTCGCAGGAGCAGTCTGCTCGTAAGACGCTGGTGCGGCCTTTATGGTGGCACTGGACTCTCGCTATAGGTGAAAATTCGAAGGTTTAGTTGACCTGAGGCCATTACATGTTCATAAAGAACTGAGAGACTCACCTTGCAATTTTTACACTTCCAGACAAAGTTGGCTTCTCCCCGGCTACCACTTTGATCGTTCATTTCCTGCGCCAATTCGGTTAGGCCCTTTCAGACTCGTGCGTGTGTCGCCAGATCTTGATTTCAAACAAATTTGCATTTGATGGAACTGGAAAACATGAATGACAGCTCATTGGTCCCGAATGAACTCATGTTGAGAAATTGGCACTCTCACTGGGGTGATTCTGATAATCCGCTCATGCGATGACTTACATGACGATTCACGCCCACCCAGTTTGCATGAATCTCTCGACATGATGTGCATTGCACCTTGAAGGTATAATAGTATGGCGATTCGGCTGTATCAGAAGGTATCAGGTCTGTTACTCTGCAGACCAGTCAGTGGCAAGAGAGTCCGGAAGTCGTCATGCTAAATACCCTTCTAGGTCTGCTGTCAATGCTAGCGCTAGCATCCTGAATACACTCTTCTACGTGGAAGAGGACAGAAACGGGGTGTGCACGTTTTCTTTCGTCAGAAAATGGCACCAAACTGTTGCTTCGATCAGAGTGCCTCGTAATTTTGGTGAGATATGTTAGACCATGTCAATCGCCTAACTAGTGCTTTAACTCACCTTTAAGGGTCTAGAGTAGAAGGTATTCCGAGCGCGTCGTGCGCATGCTGCTTTAACCGATCAAACCTCCTGACTCCTGTATGTATCCCATTCTGAGATAATCTCTCGGCACAAGACTTAAGTCGCATGGAAGATCGTTTCCTGCTGCATCCGAGAGATATTTAGAGTTGACTCACTTATGAAAGGGGCCACGCGTTAAAAGATGAAGTGCCACATCCCGACGGCTGAATCTTCTACTGTATTTACTTCACCAACAATCGGCATCTTTTAATGCTGTCTCTATAGACACTGATCGGTAGCACGGCCACTCCATCCATTATACAAGGTCCAAGCTCGGGCGAATACTCTCTTCCTGATATTTGGATTTGCCTTTGCAGATGCTCCAACCAATCACCACCCAACAGGATTCAGTCTTGCTGGTCCCCTCACGCTTCAATTCCCTTTACACCTGATGATGCTTGCTTCTCGTTATAGTCCTCGGAGACGGGTGTGGAGGGTTCAGACGAGGCGCTAGCGTCATTCAACTCACCACTCCGTTTCTTTTGCAGCTTCTCCCGGCGATCAAGCAAGAAAATCGTGGTGAAGATAATCACATTCAATCCCGCAACGACTGCGGCACCTCTGTTACCAGGCGTCACTGTTCGCATCGACTGTCAGTATGACATATTACAAAATACAAGTAAATCAAGGAAGCATACCATTTGGTTGATGGACCTGCTGAAACCAGACCAATGGTATCCAAGCCGAGAATGTGTCTATCGTAGTCTTTGTGTCAGCTTAGAACTTCAAGGTCTGAAGCTCAAAGGTCTCGCAACTTACATTGGAGAGTATTCATCGACGCTGCAGTGAACGCTCTCTGCTCGGCACTGTGTGAAATCAACTCCGCCATCCAGCTTCAGCAGCGAGCATATGTCAGTTTACGATTTCTTGTGAGGGATAGCAGAACTTACGCCATAGTAAGTGGCACTGCACTTCCTCCAATTGAAGACACAATGTACAGAGGGGCTCGGTGATTGAAAGGGCCAAACACTGGGGTCACAACAAGTAGCGTGAAAATGATGATTGCACACAAGTTCGCAAACAAGATGGGCGGATAGCGTCGTCCTTTTAGTGGACCATCAGACACCCATACTGCCACAAGGCTGTATACGGCGGTAAATGCGTTACCGATAGTCGGATATTCATTCTGAGAGCAGTCAGACCACCAGACTTGTGTAGACCATGTATCAGATGAAATACATACAATCTGTGAAATAGAATAAACAGGCTTTTGCCCCTTCTTGTTATGTGCCTTGAGCCAGAAGACGAATGATTGCTGGGGCTGAGAGGTAAACGGTTGAATGGCTAGAGGAGTCAGCGAGGTGAAACCAGCGTAGATGAACGATACGGCTTACTGAAGATGAGAGTGAAAAGAATTGTTTTCCAGCTGGTCAGATAACCAAAAATCGTCTTGACACTGTAGGGTGTACCCTGAAGAGTTCGCCCAGCTCTTGCCATTCTCTCTTTGGCGAGCTCAATCTCCTATGAACACAAGTTGATGCGGTCAGTAAAGCTTTGTTCTTGGCGAAAGGCGGCGCGGGAATACCTACTCTTTCAGAGAAAAGCCAGTTGGGTTTAGCATTACCTGGGACATCAGGTAGGAAGAAGTATGCAAGGACAGCAATGGGTAGAGAGATTACTCCATTGATGACTGGTCTGAGTTAGCGAAAGTGATAGGAAGGTTGATAAATTCACTTACTGAAGAGCCATCTCCATCCTGCGAGGCCAGCGTGCCCGTTGAGCGACTTGTAGATGCCTGCCTGCAAGAATCCGGAGAAGATTGGTGCGATAGACACGGCAGATTGCAGGATACCATTTCGCTTCCCAAGCTCGCCTATTGTTCATTGGACTGTCAGCGATACGTACAAGAGTAAGCAGCGATGACGCGGGGCGGGGACTTTACGCTTGTTATACCAGCTGCCAAGGATGTAGTATAGAGCAGGCCAGTATCCTGCTTCAAAAAGACCGACCACAAATCGAATGCCGAGTAATGCCGAGTATGAGTTTGCCCCTGCAAGAGCAAAGGTGAAGACAGTCCATCCAATCTCTAGGAACGGGATCCAAACTGATGGCATTCTTGTTAGCTATCCACACAGTGAAGCTTGGTGGAGTCTTTAAAGGGCTTACTGTGAGCAGGAACTCGAGTCAAGATAAAGTTAGACGGCTATTCAAGATCGAATTAGGCTAGATATACCCAGGAGTCGATTGAGTTGTCAACATACCAACTGTCCAATAATATAGCCGACTGTCCATGAGACAACAATATAGTTATACTCATTGTGGTACAGATTGAGGTCCTCCTTCATACCCGAGACGAAAGCATTGGTGATGTTGGATGTATCAATCTAGGCCGGGATATCAGTGGGCGCTCCAAGAAGAGAGAATATGCTTCCTTACCCATTTTGTCAACATTCCAAGCGTACCAAAGCTCAGGAGTGTAAAGTCCAACTGCGAATGAGAGTATGTTGTCAGAACAGGCCCACAGGGTATCCTTGAATCCATTACCAATGCCAATCATCAACTTACCTTGAGGAGGAATCTTCGTTCCTCTGGTGATACATCAGCAGAGTCCCACAGCCATCCTTTCCAGCTACTCTTTGGAGTCACCGGAACCACCGCAATTTCTTTTTCTGCCATTGAACAAATAAAGAGAATCCTAGCTTAATGATAGAAGGTCCAAAAGATGGAGGAACAGGGCAGGCGATTCCTAGAAGCCCTCGATGGGACCAACCCATATATGCCATCGCCAGTCGAAGAATAGATCTATTGGGAAAGTCTAGACCTTCTCCAGCAGTACCGGCTTGCCAACCGAACACCACAAGGTCTGCACAGTAGCCGAGCCAGGCGGCAAATTGTCATTGCGTGACTAGATTCGCAAGAACGGGCGTTTATGTCGACAGAGACTCTAAGGACCTCGACAGCACTGGCTTGCCGACAGAAGCCAATCGATTGAACAATTTCGGACTCATCCCGACGGCGAGACCGTCTAGTATTTTGTCAACAAATTAGAAGCAGCCAAACTTCAACCGACAGATAAGAGGGTGCTGATAAAGCTGGCATTAGCCCAGTCTGCATTGTTCACAGGTGAAATTTCGTGAAGACGATTCTTCTTAATTGAATGATCAAGAGGCATAATGGCGTGATTGCGCGCAACAGAAGTCGACTTACGAGTAGGTGTGCGACAAGTGAAGGTGCGTGGACACTACGTTCGAAAGGTTCGGTTGCTGAATTAAGCATCCGGCACGCTTAGCACTGGTCTAAGCCGTTAACGACCTCCGAAGAAGCCGCCTAAGCATTTATTAAGCTCCTTTCTGTCAGCTTAACTGTCCAGCGCTGATGTTGTATTCCTCTCCTCTGCAAATAGGTGGCAATCACGAACATGAACTTCATAGGAAGGCCTCTAGCAAATGCTTGGCGACATCAGGTGTGCAATCTCGTGTGACAAAAGCTCATCAGCACTACCGGAACCTTTACAAGATGCTGGTCCAGCGATACTGCTATCCAAGATGGAAACCATCCACACCTTTTTCTGTTTGAGGTTTCTCAGCAAGACAAAATGCCTGTCTACCGAGTCACGGCTGAAGATGTCTTGAAGGGAAAATGCTCAGAACGCGCAGAAAAACCCAGATTGTGTGCCATGTCTCCTGAGATTCTCTTGTTACTGCATCAAACGACAATCTCATGGGCACTTGAATGGAATCCTCTGCCGACAGGCCTTATTCCTGGTGACTTATATCTAAGGATTGAACATTCGAGAGGAGAGGGTTCGTGAATCATTATTGCGACGACTCCTGTTGACACAAGAAGTCGGAACACTGGACTCTTTCAGCCCATGGCAAGGATCCGAGCAATACTCCAATTTTTATCGGAGAGATCTCCCCTTTCAATGAGCAACGGTCGAGGACTCCCTATTGAAATTGGTGATTTTGTTATGTGCACTTCCTGTCGCTCTGTAACCAGCAGCCGAGTGCACATAATGCCTAATCACGAAGGCGGGATAATGTGTGTGAGGCGACACACTCTTTAGCTTTTTACTTCAAGCCGCAACAGACGAGTGACAGGAGACAAATCCTCCAGGCCGTTGATCGGGGTCGCAAGGCGAGACCGTCATAACCATATACCTAGATGTAGCCTACAGGGCGCCTAAATCTTGGCTCGAGATGTCCGTGGCTCAGGTTTCTAGTTAAGTTCGGGACCATGAGGTACGTAATACCCAACAAGTTCAACTAACTCATTATTAACTAGGTAACAGGATCCAGCTCCCACCCGCTGCCCCACGTTCGCTACTTGGCTTCCTTCCTGGCAGAAACCTCTGCATAACGTGCTTTATCTCAAGATCCGTATCTGGAGTTCTCAACTTGCAGCCAATATCATATGATGAGCTGACAACAAGTTTGGAATGCCCAAAGCCGCCCCACGGAGGACATTTACCGCATGCTGGACATGCCGTGGGCGAAACATTCGGTGTGATGCAGGTATCCCTGGTTGTTCACAATGTGCACGATCACGCATAACCTGCGAAGGCTATCACTTCAATCTTGTTTGGGTTGATCCTATTACAGGAAGCTATACGTCGCATCAAAGACGTGCCTATCCTTGCCACCTTACATGGCATGGCTTTCCTTCCTTAACGTTACAGGAGGTTGATCACTTGATAGGCCATTGCAAAGACACTCAATGTCGATGCCCACTACATCAGTTCGTGAACCCCTTCACAGCTTTTTCTATCAATGAGGATCTTGTCAACCTGATCTCACCCAGTGAAGGGAACACCGCGAATCATATCCTTCAACCACCTTCATGCTCGTTACTGAATGAGACCGTTCTTAACAACGCCACAGCCGTGGGTGAGGGCCATGACCACTCGCTACCAGCAGTGCCAACTCCTGTTTGGTCCACTCCAACCTCTGATACTGATCTAAGCCTTGCGAGGAGCCAAACTCCGATCAGAACCGTGGAAGGCCAAAAGATGCCGCTGAGGGGCTGTGACGAACCCTTAGAGCAAGAGACGAGGCTGGTCTTGCGACATTACACCAGCGATGCCGCAAATGTTCTTGCCCACCAACCAACACAACCTTGGATGGTCAATGTGACCTATGAAGACGGTATGCTATTTCACCATTTCCTCTCCAACCTTTCAAAGAGGATGGTACCGGTGGATGATGATTGCAACCCCTGGAAAACTGTATATCCATCGCTTGCGATGCAGACAACACGGTCAAGCGATGCTGAGGCCTTGTATCATGCACTTCTTGCACAGTCTGCATTCCAACTGGCCAACCTCAAGGGCTCCGAACGAGGAGCTCAAGTCCGGGGAAGTGCTCTGCGCCACTACGGCATTGCTCTGTCCAAACTTCGTCAGAGTCTAATTGATCCATCCAAAGACTACACCACAGTTCTGGCTGCCCTTTATACCGTGATTTTGGCCGAACATGTTTTCCAAGGTACTCGTTCTGGATGGCACGACCACATTCGTGGAGCTAAGGGCTTCGTCAGTCAATTTTTGAGTCAACAGCCCTGGAAGCATTCTCGGGAAGCCTACACCATTACGCAGAATTTTGGGCTTGCAGTGGTCATATCTAGTACTAGCGATACGAGGAGACCATTGCGAGTAGAAAACGACGAAGTTGGTGAGCTCGAAAATATGCTCAATGACCTGATGAGTATGCCAGACATGGTCTTCGGTTACACTCTTGGCGGGACACCCCACATTTTGAAAGCAATATATCAAATCCGACTCCTTGAAGTGCACGTCAATGCAAGAAGAATTTCTGGAGACGTGCCCGAGCTCGATGATGACATGTTCTCTCGCGTGGGCCAAATCCTCCAATTACTACATATTCCCCTACATGAAAAGTTACAGACATATGTATGCCACCGCGAATCCAATGGCATCACTGTCAAGCCTCAATTGCGCACATTGGCTGAGACTCATCTCCGGCTCTTCAACACTGCGGTCTCAATCTATCTCTTCTGCATCGTCCTTCGCTCTCCACCCTCGACCGTGGCGGCGGATATACGCCAGGTACTCGTAGACGCGAGGTCTTGCATTGACGTGCATGACAGTACTGTTTCGATCTGGCCTCTTTTCGTCGCGGCTGTCGAGGCATATGAGCTTGAAACTCAGACTATGGCCACGTATTGTCTTGATGTCTTCAAGGACGGAGGGGCTGGCAACCGGAGCGATGTCAAACGTGTGGTGCAACAAGTCTGGAAAGACCGGGACAGATTAGCAACTGAACTACAGTGTAATCCTGGTGAAGTGTCGCTCGACTGGCGTGAGACTATGAAGAAGCTTGAAGTGGATATCCTGTTGCTCTGAGAGCCTCTTTGCGCCCCCTGGGTAATATACGGTCAATCTGAAAGGCCACCGCCCTGCAGGTACTATATTTTGTCAGCACATCCCTCTAGGACGACTTATGTTGGCAAGCCACTGAAATCTTTGAGCTTCGGATCTGAAGAAATCTAAGAAGAGTGGGATTCATCGAGATTCAAAATTGCTGATCTTTGATCAAGACTGTTTTTGAGCAATGAGTGCATTGCATAGACCGTGCCGTTGGCTGCGGAAAGCTGGACATCCCTCACATACAGTTTTACACAGGTAGCTGGAACAGGACTCAATGAACGTCGTTTTATCTTGATCAGCCATGCTACGAGTGCCTTATTGGCCAAGAATTGTAATCCAAATTCTCATGGGAGTCTGACATGTTCCGAATGCATGAACAGGCGGTATTTGTTATGTGTTCTCTACCGGGTTCCTTGCGTCCTGGCCTCGATTACGCCTCGTTTTGGGCTGCCTCTTCGAGATTTCCCCATTGATAAAGGTCGTGGCACTTTCGTGTCAATTCTAGGCCTTGCAAACTAGCAGATAGCGTCTGATTCTGGAGTGGGAGCCTAGCTGCCAAGTCCGAGGGCATCCACGTTCGGAGTTTGAGCTCCAAAGCCGACAGCCTCGTCCTGAGCTGCCAAATTGGGTTGCCCCGAGAAAAGGGGTCCTTCAACAATGTCGACCAACGAAGCTTCGGGTACTTCTCGGCCTTATGTTCATAATGCCCTAGGTACGATTTCCAGTCCATGGGATTGATCTGTTTCGTCGTGAACATTTGTGCTGGCATCGGAATCAGATTTGACAACTTTGATCCAATTCACGCGCAGAAAGTTTGCCTCATCGTAATGCCTTACTCGTTGAAGGGGAGGAAAGTTTTGGTTACAGGCGGTTCAAGGCAAGTCCCATGCCTTTCAATCCGTATGCGATGTCCAGAACAGATGGTCTAATTGCACTGGTTTTGATACACCAACAGAGGCTTAGGTGCCGTGATTTGCGAGAAATTCGCTGCTCAAGGTGCTGATATTGCTGTGAACTACGTTAGCAACAAGGAGCGCGCTGAAGAAGTTGCCGAACAGTGTCGAAAAGAATTTGGAGTTCGTGTGGTGACTCTGCAAGCCGTTAGAGGACCCTTCCCAAGTTTTCTGTACAGTTCCTTATCGGAGGCTAACACGATACTTAGGACGCTGGTAGTGCAGATGATATTGCTCGGCTGGTTGAGCAGTCTGTTGAGCAGCTCGGCGGACTTGACGTGGTTATCCATAATGCTGGTTGGACACGATTCGCAACATTTGGCGATCTCAATGATCTGAGTATCGATGAATGGAACAAGGTTCGCATCACCGATTCTGTGGCGGAGATAAAGGGTGTAGAATAGTAGCTTTCACAAGAGAGTGGAGCAGGGAGACTGGGGCCTGAGCTCAACATCATTAACTATTTTCTAGTGCTGGAACGTGAATGTCATGTCACAACTGCTGCTGATGCAACAGGTTGCACCTATTTTCAAGAACAATTCAGAAGGTGGCGTGTTCATCATCACATCATCTGTGGCCGTGAGTTCGACTGCGTTCATGACCTCAGATCAACCAATTTGCTAATATGATTTGGATGGATCCTTATAGGGAACCACAGTTGGTGGCAGCAGCATGGGTTATTGTGTTACCAAGGCCGCTGGTCTTCGCCTGATGAAGTGCCTTGCTTCGACGCAAGGTCTCAAAATAAGGATCAACGCGGTTCTGCCTGGTCTCTTATTGACGGAATGGGTAAGAATAGCTGACCTCGTGCAGAGCCTTGCAGGTAGAATCGCGCACTGATTTTCTCTGTTGTCTTGTCTAGGGAATGCAATTCCCAGAAACTGCTCGAAAAGCTGGCATTGAAAAGGCAGTGCTAAAACAAGAGGTTCGTAACCTCACAATAGTTTTCCTCCACTAGTCTAGCCCGACTGACGGCTCTTAGACAAAACTCGATGATTGTGCAGACGCTTTCGTGGCCATTGCCATGAACACATCTATGACTGGACAACAAATTGTCGTCGGTAGGTTCTCTTTCCCTTAGATCTCCTAGTCCATATTGTCTGCACCTGACTAAATTCTGACAACCAACAAGACTCGGGAATTGTCATTTGAGAAACATGTAACTGGAAGAGTGTGAGAAGGAGTCTTATATCGCATCGCAAATTGTAGAATGCTGTCTTCCTTTCTGAAGCAGTTTCGATGTCCTGGAGCAGCGAATAAGTAGCCCTGGTCCTTCTGGACTACATAAATGCTACCTCCAATGAGATAGACCGTGAAGACTGTTCCCAGTTGGACTAAATGTTAAGATAGATCCTATACAGGGACACTGTAGGGAGTAAGCTGAAGATGCGTAACAAATATAATTATAGCTCGACTATCAAGTCAGGACCGTTCTGTATCTCTCAATGAAGCTATCAAGAGCGCTAAGTAGTGGCTTGAAGTGAGCTTCAGTGACCTCAATAGTCAAAGCTAAAAATCCTCGAGCAGCAATGTAGATCCCTTGCTCGAGAAGGTGGTGGTATAGTAGCGACTGGAGTGAACTGCTTTCTGGCCCAACGAAACCAACAACAAAGAGACTGCCTAGACCTCTGGTTGCGATCCTATTCCCCACGTATCTTGGGTTCGACATTGCAGGTAATCGTTTCTCTATCAGCTTGGAGATTTCATGTCTTAGCCTATCACCTCGCTCGTTGAGGCTATTTGTCAACTCTTCATCCAAAATAGCGCAGCCGGCAATACCTGCAGCCATGGTGACGACGTTATTGTTGAATGTACCGGCATGATTTAGCTTGCCTTCTCGTGGATCGAACAATTGCATAATCTCGTTACGTCCCCCAAACGCTCCAAAGCTCATTCCTCCACCTGTCCACTTCCCAATAGTGGTAATGTCAGGCTTGATGTTGAGCTTCACTTGGAGACCTCCATAGTGTAGCCGTGATGTCATTACTTCATCGAAAATGAGCACTGCTTTGTTCGCAGTGGCCAGTTCTCGAAGGTACTGAAGAAACACATGTGTACCAACTATGCAGCCTCCAGAGACTTGCATTGGCTCCACGATGATTGCTGCCAGGGACTCTGGTGGAAGGCTGGACACAATACTTGCAGTTTCGGATACATCATTGTATGGTGCAATAATGAAATCGTTGTAAGAGTTGAGGGTATATGCAGACTGGTGTTCAAAGAACGTCAGGGTGCTTCCATGGTACGCGTTCCGAAAGGCTAGAATCTGAAGGGTATAAGGTTGTTAATGATCCAATGAGAATAACAGACGACAAGATACCCAGTTTGAGGAGAGTAAAAGTTTTTATGCCCCAAGGGAGAGATTGCACTGACCTTCTGCTTGCGAGTGAAATTGGTAGCAGCTCCCAAAGCCATCAGATTTGCCTCCGTGCCTGAGTTACAGAACCGGATCGAGTCCATGCTATAGCTAAACCGTTCAACCAGAGTCTTCGCCAGTTGGGGCTCGTATTCGTTCTTGCCACCAAAATTCCAGCCCTTGTCAAGAGCATCAATGATGGCTTTCTTGATCACTGGAGAACTATGGCCGTAGACCCCGGCTGAGAATTCTCCCAAGAAGTCGATGTACTCGTGGCCATCAACATCGAACAGAGTGGCTGATTCTCCTCTGGCAATCGTGATCGGGAAGGGGTTGATATGAAGCACCGAACGCGTGTTTGCCCCTGGCATATGATCCAACCCGGCCTTGAATTGTTCAAGGGAAATCGGATTGCTTTTAGCATGTCGGTCATATGCATCTCTCAGCAGTGGTTTCAGTAGATCTGATGTCATATTAGTAGCCAGGGGAATAAGTTTTGATTCAACCATCGTAAGTCACGTTCCAAATTAACAGTAAGAATTGATGAGCGATTGTTCCAGGATAACAGGAGTCCTGGGCGGATTAAGCTTGATATAGCGGGATACCCTAGCGCGCTCAATCCGACTTTGTGTAACAACCCCATAGCCTGCCGCAACCATAAAATGCTGCAGTGTCCCGAGAGCCGAATTCACCTTACATGCACCTTGACATTTTGGTCCGTCTCAGAATTTGGGAAGGTGGTTTCCATAATCTGTAGGATTCTTGTGGGTCTCAGTGCCAATGATAATGGTCTCAAGAGGTGTTCGTCTTATCACTTGGTCTTCTCGGGAGGGTGGCAGGTTGACTGAGCTACGACTAGCCTATCCAAGGTACAACTAAAAGCCTCTACGCCCAGACGGGATAGAATTTCGCCCTGGACTGCCAGCTTTGGATCCCGGAGTATTCTGCCAGGCCCTGCAGCGGCCCGCTTATCTCAATGAGCATTAGCCCGAGGCCATAGCGCGCTAGGCGACCTACGAAATAAATCCATTCATCTACTATGCTCGTTTCGTATTCATCCTTCAACTCCGCAATACCACCAATTGTCCGGAGAGCGATGGCCATACAAGACAAAATACTCCCCAACTTCTCGACCGAGGTTCTCGCCATGGGTTGCTTCTTAAGCTACTACTATCTACGCCTCTACCAGTGTCCCAAGCGTGGTGTAGAGGTAGAGTTCATCATTCGTCGTCATCAAAATGCCTTGCTCCTCTGGCCTGGCTAATAAGGCAATGTTGCGGTTGACAGAACCAATACTCTTACACGCCGAGGCAGGCACCAGGGATGGCTATTCTCTTGACGAAGATGGAGACGCGGTGCTCCAGGTTTAGGAACGAGTATATATCAACCTCCGCATCCCTTCAACGCGGAGTTGACATATGTCGCAACCTCCACATGACTCTATATTTCTAAAGAGCTTCTAAGTTTCTACTGAATTCGTCAATATGGCTGCTGATGGGAATTCTGCTGAAAAGTTGCCTCATGAGGCAGCAAACTCGCCTTCATCAAGTAGTATGAATATCGACGTCGAAGATGCCACGTCAAGGCCAGCGAAGCTTCGGCGTGATCTCCAGGGACGACATATGCAGATGATTGCCATTGGTGGCTCAATCGGTGCAGGCTTCTTTGTCGGTTCTGGCAGATCGCTCGCGGTTGGGGGCCCGGCATCCCTGCTGCTCGGCTTCGCTATTACTGGTGTCATGGTTCTCTGCATGATCATGGCTTTGGGAGAGCTGAGTGTCATGTATCCAGAGAACGGGGCATTTTATGCCTACGTAGTCAGGTTTTTGGACCCAGGCTGGTAGGTTAAGCCTTTGGCTATTTTCGTTCATGGCTGACGCTTGTCATTATAGGGGCTCTACTATTGGGTGGATGTGTAAGTTGAGGCTCCCTATCTGAATGGTGGGTTATCAAAGGCTTATGAAAGCTAGATGCTATAGGGTGGCTCATAACTCTTCCCTTCGAAATTATTGCTGTTGGGATCACAATCAATTACTGGCATGAATACAATATCGGAATATGGGTGGCTGTCTTCTTGACAACCATTGCCCTGGTCCAATACTTCGGCGTCAGGGGCTATGGCGAAAGTTGGTGCATTCTTCCCTGATTTGCTTGCCGATACTAACATTGGATAGTTGAATTTGTTCTTGGCATCATCAAACTCATCGCTGTTGCCGGATTTATCATCTTGTAAGTGTTCATATTCATATCTGTTTTCTCAGCCATGCCATCCCTGACTAGAGATCAGTGGTATTGTTGCGAACACTGGAGGAGTACCAACAGATCAGCGAGGGTATCTGGGCTTTAAGTATTGGAGCGGCGATGATGGGAATCGCGCCTTTCGCAATGGTAGCTTTTCTCCCTCAAAACCACCAGTTGATGTGATCGAACACTAAAATGGACAAAGGTTTCCCTGGCTTTTGTTCGGTTTTTGTGGTTTCTGCCTTTGCATTCGGTGGCACTGAGCTCGTCGGACTTGCCGCCGCAGAGGCTGTTGACCCCCAGAAGTCCATACCCAAGGCCACAAAACAGGTCCTATGGCGTATCGCGGGGGTTTACATCCTGGGCTCCCTAATCCTCGGTATCGTCGTCCCGAACTCAGCCCCCGAGCTACTAGGCGCATATGGTGCAAACACCAAAGCATCTCCATTTGTTTTGGCGTTCCAAATCGCTGGAGTCAAGAGCATGCCGTCGGTATTCAATGCTATTATCGCTGTTTCGACCCTCTCTGTGGCCAACAGCTGCACCTACGGCTCCACTCGAACACTACAGGCTTTAGCTCAGCGTGATATGGCGCCGAAGTTTATCGCCTACGTGGACAATAAAGGTCGCCCACTTGTGGCAGTGGCTATTCAGCTTCTTTTTGGACTGCTGGCATTCATAGCCTTCTCTGCACAGGCTGGCACAGTATTTACCTGGCTCTTTTCAATCTCAGGACTCGGTTTGTTGTTCTTATGGGCATCAATTTGTCTCAGTCACATAAGATTTAGACAAGCATGGAAGGCTGCTGGAAGATCTATTCAAGAATTACCTTTCAAATCGCCACTAGGGATATATGGGTCGTACTTTGCGCTTTTCCTCATTCTCTTCGTTCTGGTTCTCACTCTCTATGTCGCCATCAAGCCACCTGGAGCACCACCAAGTGCGATGTACTTCTTCCAGAATTGGCTTTCTGGCCCACTTGCCTTGACGGCATTTGCAATAAGAAAACTCTGGGCACGAGACTGGACTTTGGGCGTCAAAGTTGACGAGATTGATCTCGATGCTGGAAGGAGAGAAGACAGCTTCACGTCGCCACGCGTACATGAAGAAGAGAAGCGGCAGAGTTTTGCCCAACGTGTGATTCATGCCGTCTTCTAGACGTTGCATGTGTAGCTTGCGATGTGGTCAAAACTGCAAGAACATTGGCACTCGTTAAGCGCTGCTCGGACCAATGTTTTGCCTGCACCTTGTGTCAAACGGAACCTCAATATGAAGCTTAGGACAATGCCTACATTGACCTCGTTTAAGAAGCTATGATAGCCTTTGGGTCTAATGTCAAAATTTCAAGCAGCGGGAGGCCAGACTTCACAAATTGATCAGTGTCCGTGAATCGCGTTTCGGCCTTTGCAAGCAGATGCGCGCATATAAAATCCTCCAATGGCGCCATGCTGGATTCAAATTAGTAACTGCTCATCCTAAGTACAACCCAAGATCTACAACTGTTTAGACTGGTGTGCCTGCCTGTCTTTTAGGATGGATCCTCGCACAAGTCCTCTTCCATGGCTCGTACAAGCTAGAGACCAACCCGAAGGATGACTCGAGCACGTTCTTGGAGCCACTCTTTCTCGCAATGTGAAGGAGATAGCTGGCTTCTAGGTCTCTGAATACAAATTCCAAATGGTGCTACGATCGGGATCTTTGCCTAGTCCAACACTTCCAATATTAGACGTCTTAGCCAGTAAACATCACGAAAACATCCCACGAAATGTCGTGCGAGACCGAGATCGTCCAGATGATATTGCAACAAGTACACCTATATGTCGCGATACAGCCAAGCTTGACTTGCATGGCCAGCCGATTACGATCTCGCCTCTGATGATTGTTACATACGATAATTCTGCTGTATTTAAATACCGTTGACCTCATCAGCCGTTTACAAAGTCAAATAATCGTTCTTCAATCTGACCTGTCAGTAATGGCAACCGTAATCGCTCGACCTATACAGAAGGAGAGGGGGGAGATATCAGTGAAGGCCGATGGTTTAAACAGCAGTCCTTCTGATTCCAAGGATCGGGTTTTCCTTGACACTTCGACCATTGAAAGCCTGAATCTTGGTGTGCCTTCAGATGAGAAAAAGTTCTGGTGGCAAAGAGGCAAGGGCTACGACCCTGGTGCCATTGCAACCCTCCCGTCTGTTTTTGACGATCCAGAGACTGCAAAGCATTATCAGCCTCGTGCTGATTGGGAGAACCTACATCGTTTCGATCCTTCTGCAAGATGGACGTGGCGCGAGGAATTTGCTATCATTCGCAAGATTGACTGGCGGATCATGATTTTCGCCTGTGTTATGTTCATGGCTCTGGAATTGGACAGAGCAAACTTGACCCAGGCTGTGACAGACAACTTCCTTGAGGACCTGGGCATGAACACGAATGGTACGTCTATGGAATGTCTCTCTCATTGTCTATTCCCATTGACAGTCTCAAGATTATAACTGGGGAAATACTGTGTTCAAACTCAGTTTTCTTTGTGCCGAGTTGCCATCTCAGCTGATATCGAAATGGATGGGTCCCGATCGCTGGATACCCACCCAAATGGTTCTTTGGTCCGTCGTGGCCAGCTCACAATTCTGGCTATCTGGTCGGTCTAGTTTTCTCACGTGTAGAGCCTTACTGGCACTCTTGCAGGGCGGTTTCATTCCTGATGTATCTTGTCATCCACCCGTCTCCTGCCAAAATCTAACCTTTGTCAGATGATTCTCTATCTCTCATACTTCTATAAGCATGGCGAGCTCTCTCTGAGATTGGGATTCTGGTGGACTGCGATGTCGATCGCCGACGTAAGCTGGTCCTTCTTCTTTTCCACTTTCGCTTTGTGAGTTTCTCTTTCTAACAAATGCTCGAAGATCATTGCCAGCTTTTTAGGAGCGGGCTTGTTAGACCTTCGAGGACACCTTGGATATGCTGGGTGGAGATGGCTTTTCCTGATTGAGGTTAGAAATACGGTCCATCACCCTTATCCATTGAGCTGACTGTATCTAGGGACTTATAACACTTGTTCTTGGCTTGGTAGCCTTCATTTTGATGCCACCCAGTCCTACCCAGACTGCCAATTGGGCCAGAGGGAAGAAAGGGTGGTTTACAGAGCGGTAAGCTAGATTATTAGTACCGTCCGTTCCAATCTTTTTGTCTCACAAAAGTCCAGTGAGGAAATTATCATGGTCAACAGAATCATTAGAGAAGACCCAAGCAAGAGTAGTATGCACAACAGACAGCCGATCACACCAAAGCTGCTCTGGCAGAGCCTGTCAGACTATGATTTGTGGCCATTGTACTTGATCGGATTGACTTTCCAGGTCCCAATGAGTAAGTCAAAACCAACACTCGATTGACGATGTACTGACCTTTTGAAGCTACTCCTACCCAGTACCTGACTCTCACCTTGAAAGGCTTGGGGTTTGGCACGATTAAGACCAATTTATTGGTCGTGCCCTCAACAGTCGGTCACATAATCACCATGTTGACCGTCACGTACCTGTCCGAGATCTCTGGCCAGCTTTGGGTCTGGGGTTTGTTTGCACAGTTGTGGGCTCTGCCGTTTCTCTCATATATTTATGCTGTCAATATCAACTCGATTCCGAAGTGGTCTGCTTTTGGGGTAATGACTGTCCTCCTTTCCTATCCGAGTACCCACGCCATCCAAGTCGGGTGGAACTCCAGAAACTCAAATTCGGTCCGCAGCAGGACAGTCAGTGCGGCCATGTACAATATGTGTTGTCAGGCAGGGGGCATCATTGCCAGTAATATTTATCGTCAAGGTGATTACCTCCTGCAGGCGACCTGCCATTCGCAGCTAATGGCTATTTCTAGATGACAGACCTCGCTACCGCCGCGGAAACCGGGTTTTGGTGTCTATCTGCACTGTGAACATCGGGATCTATATATTTGCAAAAGCATACTATATTATCCGCAACAAGCGCAGAGCCAAAATTTGGGACGCCATGACCGAGGAGCAACGTGCTGAATACCTGGCGACGACGACTGACGAGGGAAACAAGCGTCTTGATTTCCGCTTTGCTAGTTAGAGGTTTCCGGAAAATGCACAACTGGTTCGCGCAGGGAACAAGGTGGAGGGCCACAACCGGAGTGGGGGTTGGCAGAATGTCTGCGGCCAAAGTCTTTCAGCAAGGGGTCCGTGGTATCACCAAGCATATAGACCGATGCTCTTCGATGGACCAAGACTCGGTATTAGATCCCTGACAGTGAATTGAATTTTGTAGGAGTACATGCAAGCGTCGGTCAAAGTTTCTCCTGCCTCTTTGGCTGTCCAATCTCCTGATTACTAGATCCAAGCGGAGCGACTCGACCTACTACAAGTGTTTGTGCGACGTACATGCACGGCCACTTGATCACGCAATACATGTCGTTGGAATAACAAGTGGGAGAGACCAGTAGCTTCATCCTTGGCGAAGATAAAGCAACCCCGTCAAGCCAATGATCGCGCCCGAGTTCAAGGTACAAGTGGCCCCTCGCGGGGCCTTGATTCGTCCCCGGCAGACGACAAGCTACCTCCTCCCAACCACATAGTTCGCTAACTGCAGATCCCCATGTGTGTACATGCTTATCCCGCCGCCATGAATCTGCCTATATGATGCATGCTAGGTTTTAGACTATGGCACCATTTGGAGCCAGCATTTGTGCTCAGTTTTTTGATAATGGTGGTGCAATCCCCCGCCATACTGACGAGCTAATGCTGACAGGATGATCCACCAGTACCTGAGGTCTTCATGTGCATTTGTCCTGACATTGCGCCATGGTCTTTCGAATGGTGTAAAGTAATCCCTCACGGCCATGGGTTCTGGATGACCTCGACATAGGCATGATCGCGAGATATTCTCGATGATCGAATGATTTGATTAGTGAATGGATGGGCAGATTGGGTAATGAGTACAAGGGTGGGTTGTCGACTCGAGAAGTTTGAGCTTGAGCCTATTTCAGACACATCCGCCTACGATGTCCCTGGTCGCGTTTATGCGTGCGCTTCAGAGAAGTCGATAACGTGGCATGTCAACATATCACAATCGACTATATTATTCACACCATGAGCAATTCGACGCTAGAGTAGTTCCAAGCACACTGCCTAAGGCTGTATCGGCACACCGGCACCTCGAGGTTTGCACAAAGCATTGGGAGAAGACCTCATCTCGCAAGGCATGGCATGTATATCAGACGAGGAACCCCAGTGTCCATAATACTTTGGCTTCATCCCTCGACTAGTATCTTCTTTGACTTTTTTAACCCACCGTTTCAGCCAGATCAAATTACTATTGCTTACCAAATATAACCCCTTTCCAACCTTCACTTCCACAAAAATGGCCCCTCCTGCCGCAGATATTGATCTGGTTTCTCATACAAGCACTGGCCCCATTCAAGTCAAGAAGGTTTCTGCAGAGAGCAGTCTCAAGGGTCCACTCGTGAACTCGGGCTCGCTCGATCAGTACAACTCCTTTGATGTGACGAAAGTCATCGGCCGGGAATTTCCAGACTTGCAGCTCAGTGATATTCTGGCCGACGATCAGAAGATCAGGGACTTGGCCATCACTGGTAAGTGAATTGCGTCCCCCCAGAGTGTCTGGTAGTCGCTGTGGCTGACGAAAGGGGGAAGTTTCGCAAAGAGGTGTCGTGTTCTTCCGCAACCAGAGTCTGAACATCGAAGAGCAGAAGGTCTTAGGCACGAAACTCGGTGAACTCACTGGCAAGCCTGAGTCGTCGAAGGTATGATCACACCCATCATGTCGAGCTCACGGAACAGCAATTTGACCTACCATTACCAGCTTCATCGTCATGCGCTGAGTAACAGCAAGCGTGGGATCGCCGTTGACGAGAATGGAAAATTAGACGATGAAGTCTCGATTATCTCATCTGAGGTATATCTTGACCCATTATAGTTGAGCCAGAGTCTTCGCTAACAAATTCTTGGTAACAGCAAAACCGTAAATTCTATAAGGACCGCTTCACCAATAAATCCAAAGTTCTTGCCAGTGAGGGTTGGCACGCAGAGTGAGTTGTTAGTATATTTTACCAGATTCAAAACTAATCACATTTCTTCAGCATCACTTTCGAGCGTATTCCTTCCGACTACGCAATCCTCAAGATTATCAAAAAGCCAGAGGATGCAGGCGGCGATACTCTCTGGGCGTCCGGTTACGAGGCATACGACCGTCTCTCGCCTGATTTTCAGAAGCTCGCAGAAAGCTTGACCGCCACGCACTATCAGCCAAATTTCGTGAAAGTCGCTAAAGAGTTCGGTGAAGAGCTGATCGAGCAAGACCGGGGTGCGCCAGAGAATACCGGTCTCGATTTTACTGCGTCTCAGTAAGTTTTCGGCATTCTATAGACTGAGACGCGATTGAAAAGTGCGCGTATCTTCCTTCCTTGCTAACTAAACTTTTAGCCCTGTCATCCGCACCAACCCCGTTACAGGTTGGAAGTCACTCTTTGGCGCGGGCCACCAGATCGAGCACGGCTGGATAGACAACGTCACGCCACGCGAGTCTGAAATCCTAAAAGCGTACTTCTTACAGCTCATCACCAACAATCATGACTTACAAGTCCGCTTTCGGTGGGGTGAGAATGATCTAGCGATCTGGGATAATCGCTCCGTGTTCCATACCGCGACCAATGATTACGATGGAAAACGGCAAGGAAATCGGGTTGTTAGTCTTGGAGAGAGGCCATATTTTGACCCAAATAGTGTGAGTCGACGACAGGCTTTAGGCACTGCGTAAGGAGGGATAGAGGGGAGCAACCTGTAGTGATTTGTGCTCGCTGAAACAGGAAGCGAGGCAACGTAGCATGGTTGAATGCCCTCATGTCTGATGCTCCTCGAAGCTTGTAATGGTCCTGATGAGTTGTACAGTGGTATCTGCTGTCTCATAAATACAGCTACATCAATATCAAAAGGCACAGTCCAGAGTTTTGCCCCATTGGCATGCCTTGAAGCAGACGAGGCTGGATATCCCAATCAATGCGGAGTGAAGACTCACACCTGAAATGGACGTGTCTTACCTGCTATGTGTTCAAATGAGCCAACGCCATGCGACGATGAGTTCTACTATATGGCTAGGCAGTGAAGATCCTAGAAGCAGTCTCAATGTTTGCACTGCAACACAGGCCTTTGAAAGACTGCTGTGAATTCTGCAGAGTACTTGCCATTAGATTCAAGAAAGCGACGAAGAGCATCAGTGGGACCAATGAACCACCAATACGCGCTGTTTATCTTACTGTAATGTGTTGGAAACATTCTTTGGCTTGGGTTGCACTTCAGAATCTTTATAGCATTTGCGGTAAGCCTCAAAAAGTTATCAAGAATGATATCGAAGGGAGCAACCACTGTGCAAGAAAGAGGAACAAAAGAAAGGAACAAAAGGATCGGGCGCAAGCATTGATCACCAGTTTGGATCGGGCGCCTAATTTCCTGACGACTAGGTGCCTCAAGTGCCTAATGTACCCGGACCTTGATGCTCACAGGCAAAGTCCTGGAAACTGGTCGAGGATAAGGGCGGCATGACGTCGTTTCTTAAAGCGGCGAAAATACAACTGGGAAAGTGATATTTCGTTCTTGGCGCGACCTGGCACAAGAGGCACAAGACCTTGGAACTGCCTCAGGAGAATTTACATCATGAGTCAGTCTCTTCGAGGAATTTTTTTAACATTTTTGCAGATAAAATTCTGGCGCATCAGCACCAGGACTTTGACATGAATGCGTGTTCAGCACCGAGAAGATCTTTCATGATTCCAGTGTTGAGCGTTTGACCGCAAGCCCTTCTTGTCTGCTTTTGGTCCTTGAGGCCATCAAGACATAATCTTCAACTGACACAGCCTTGAAGTCAAGAAAGGCTGCTACAATATGGCGCCGAAGAAGAAAAAGAAGGCTGCATCTAACCCAGCGCGAGGGTTTGCTACGACATCGCTTCCATCTCGGACCAAAGTGGCTGACGAGGCTGAACACGAACATCCAAGCACCCCCACTGTGGCAGCAAAGAGCGGCTCTGCAATCCACCCTGGCAAGTCACAAATTGGGGGACACAATCCCGCTCAGCAGAGCTCTCTCCCACCAGGAGCAACTGAGATCGAGAAGATGACTCCCGAGGAGTTGGAGGCGCATCTTGAAAACGCGGAGATGGATAGTTTGCTCAACAAATATGCTGCACGGTGTCTTGCTGAGTCCAATCGTCAAGTTACTAGGCTAGAAACGGAGAAACGTCAGATGCGTTCTCAATCCATCAAACTCTCAACTTATGGCTGGCTGTCAGAAGAGACAACTGATCGATTATTTGATATGAATGCGGAATATTCCTCAAAAGTCAACGCCACGGCTTCTATCCCACGAGAATTTGTAGATGAAGACAAGATGTTGACAGATCTTTGGACCTTGCAACGTGTCTTGCAAGCCCTGGATCTCCCCATGGTGCTTGAGGCAATTGCCCACGTCACCCATTTAACAGTGCTGGGTAGGCTAGTCACCAACGGAGATCTTATCCCTGGCCTGACCGAGGCTTTCGAATGGTATGCGTCTCAGAAACAGTCTGATGATCTTCCCAGCTACGACATCGGTGTTTCAAGAAGGTTAGCGGAAACCGGTGATCTGACCCCTCAACAAGAAATATCCGGTCAGTGCAGCAACCCCAAAAGTCATTTGTATCGTGTCAAGTTTGGGAGGCCCAGCGTTCTATGGTATTGAGGCTTTAAGAAGAGCTGTCTGTGTGCTGAGGATCTGATCCAAGCATCGAATCTATATTCAACAATGCTGGCATATTTACCGCACGAGAAGTTGGCTGACGTATCATAGAGCCTCCATCAACCACAATAAGTAGACAGAATCCGGCCGAAACACCAGGCACGGTTTCTGAGGTCGAGGAAGACGCATCAACGAGCAGCTCAGCTTCAGATAGTGATGACGACTTAGATCCACAGATGCAAGTGGACAGATATATTCGTATTCAAACACGGATATGGCAGGCAAAAAACCCCGATTCAACCAAGGATTCGGCAGGTATTGCTCGACAACAGAAACGAATTGTACGACTCAATGGGAAGCTCGAAAAAATCCGCCGGGATATTCTCTTCGAAGTCGATGTAGCCGATGCAATCTGGAGCGAGAAAGCGGACGATCTACAAGCCGAACATCAGCAAATGCTGAGGGAACAAGCCAGCCGACGCCGAGCAGATGAAAAGTTATCTTCAGGAAAGATTAATGGTGCGCAGGATGACAAAAAGGCAAACGGTAATTCCCCAAATGGAGATCCACATGATGCAGACGATGGGCTTCTTGGGGCAATGTTCGCCCAAGATGAAGAGGCAAGGTCTCAGGACCAGCAAGAGATTGAGACCAACACTAACATTCGGATACTTGACTTTGGGAAATGGACTGGAGTTCTACCGAAAAAACTCCTGGAAGAAATCTGCAAGACTTACGACAGCAAATGTCGAATCCATGCGCATCCCATTCAAAGTACGACTTACTCGACCAGACACAATCTAAGTATCACGTGGAGTTCCGCAACTGAAATGCCTAGCAACGCTCTTGCATCTTTGCCCACAGGAGTTGTAGCCACAGCTACCCCGACTTCACTGACCTTGACCATGAACGATATCGCAGCCGTGTCAAAGCTCCAATCCGAGGCGTACATCTCAACACTCGCAATCTTCTTGGTGTCTACACTTGGCGGTAAAGAGCAGAAAGCCACCTTACGATTGCCTACTGTTTGGAGAGACTTGATCAAAGAGCTTTCCGATGTCAGAGTCAACCTTGTCAACGAAGAACACAAGACCACCCTGCGGGAATTACGGGCCGCAATCAAGAAGGCCAAGGATGATGTGGGACAGAACAGAAGTAAAGAGTCGCAAATTGACGCTGAGCATGTCACCAAGTCAACAAATAACAAACGGCATACGCATCGTCCGATTACTTCCAAACTGAGCTCACAGCAAGTGTTGAATGAGTGGGAGGCAAGAACCTCACGCCCAGCATTTCTCCAAATGCTGGAGATACGTCGACAGCTACCCGTTCACAGCTATAAAGACGTGATTCTGGACTGCGTCAACAATAATGCAGTGAGCGTCATCTGTGCAGAGACAGGCGCAGGAAAATCTTCTGGGATTCCCGTGCTCCTTCTCGAACAAGATTTCGCTGGTGGCCATGACTGTCGCATTCTTGTGACCCAACCACGACGTATTTCTGCGATCACATTAGCCAGGCGCGTTTCACAAGAACTGGGGGAACCTCGCAATGACATCGGAACGGCAAGGTCACTCGTGGGTTATGCCATTCGAATGGAAAGCAAGACCAGCAGTAGCACCCGTATTACTTATGCCACAACCGGTGTGTTACTCCGCATGCTCGAAGAATCGCCAGAACTTGACGAGTTGGACTACTTAATCCTAGACGAAGTTCACGAACGCACTATGGATCTAGATCTTCTGTTCATTGCATTGCGAAAGTTGCAACAGCGACGAAAGACTCTGAAAGTCATTCTCATGTCTGCAACTGTGGATGCGAGCAAATTCTCGGATTACTTTGGCGGTGCCCCTGTACTTGATCTACCGGGCAGGACCTTCCCTGTTGAGGTTGGCTTTCTCGAAGACGCAGTGGAAGCTTCCAACGACCTTACAAATGTGGCAGACAGAGGTCTACAGGGTCATATCGATGTGCAGGATACCGAGGACTATGGAGATGAGAAAGGTCACCCGGTGCTAAAAGATGCCGAAAAATACAGCAAGAAAACCCAGCAAATTCTAGCTACCATGGACGAGTACCGCATCGACTATAGTCTCATCGCAAGAGTGGCCGCCGCAATCGTTACCAAACCACGTTATGTGAGATACAGCAGTGCCATCTTGATATTCATGCCCGGAATTGCCGAGATGCGCCGCCTCCATAATATACTTCTGAATGTCGACACATTTAGCAAGAACTGCCTGATCCATCTCCTCCACTCGACATTCAGCACCGAAGATCTCGAGAAAGCCTTTGAAATCCCACCACGAGGCTATCGAAAAATAGTAATTGCCACCAACATTGCCGAAACTGGCATAACCATTCCGGATGTGACGACTGTCATCGACACATGCAAGGAGAAGGTGATGCGATTTGACGAGCGTCGTCAACTGTCCCGCTTGACCGAAGGTTTCATATCCCGTTCATCAGCACGACAACGACGTGGACGTGCCGCTCGTGTCCAAGATGGCCTCTGCTTCCATCTCGTCACAAGACACCGACATGATACCATGATGGTCGAGCAGCAGGTACCGGAAATGCTTCGATTGGGCCTTCAGGATCCAATGTTGCGGATCAAGGTTTGGGATCTAGGAAGTATCGAAGAGACATTGTCGCAGGCGATCGATCCACCGACTCGGAAGAACGTGCTGCGGGCAATTGAGAAGCTGAAAGATGCCGGCGCCCTTACGAAGAACGAAAACCTGACGGCTCTTGGAAAACAGATCGCCCGCCTCCCGTTAGAAGTTTCCCTTGCAAAGCTAGCAATCTTCGGGGCAATCTTTGGATGTCTGGTAAGCAGTTTGTTTCCACTCTGAACACTTCTATTTTGCCTCCAGGAAGCCGAGAGGAACAACCAGCTGACATAACATCTTCCAGGACCGAATCCTCGCAATGATCTCACTACTCACATCCAAATCTCCGTTTCTGCCATCCCCGTCCAAATCACAGGCCGAAGTCCTCCAAGTCTTCGCACGAGGCGACTCGGACCTCCTCTCCAGCGCGAACGCGTACGACTGCTGGCGCCGCGCGAAAACCAGCCGCCAAGGTCAGGACTTCTGCCGCAAAACCCACATCAGCGACCAAGCCATGTCACAGGTCGAAGATCAAAAAGTGCAGCTCCTTGTCTATTTGGTCGACGCGGGCGTCGTATCCTTCGAAGCAGACGAAAAAACAACGCTGAACCGTGCGCGACTTGGCTCTGGCCGTCGTGGGGGCACCTTCTACACGATCCCAGACCGCTACAATCGATCAGTCGGCAACAGAGCACTGACCGCCATCATCGCCATGGCGCTGTACCCGCGCGTGCTGGCCCGTGAAGGCAAGGGCTGGCGCAACGTGTATTCGAACCAGCAGGTGTCGCTGATCGCGCGCTCCATCAACCACGGCAACTCGCGCGCGCCGAGCTGGCTGTCGTTCTACGAGGCGATGCAGAGCCGCAGTGGGAGTCTGAACGTCTTTGAAACGTCCGCGATCCCGGACTCGGCGCTCGCGGTCTTGCTGGGTGACGCGGAGTTCAAGTTCTTCGCGGGTGTGTTGAACTTGGATTCCGGGAAGGTGCGCTTGTCGGTGAGGCACTGGAGGCAATTGATGGCGATCAAAATCCTGCGTGAGCGTATTGCAGCCGTGTTGGATGCTGTGTTTAGGAGACCGAGCGATGCTATGAATGCCGAGAATTGGAAGTGGGTCGAGTTGTGGTTGAGCATGGAAGCTGGCCAGGATGCATCGTGATTTTTCTGGCTTTATTTGCTGAGAGAATCAGACAGCTTGAGAAACGGAAATACATTCACGTAATTAGCTGCTCCGGGCATTCAATGCACTGATATTTGAGTTTGAGACATCCTTTGTGTCTAGAATGACATTTCCAGGATAGGAGACTCCAAAAGGTGACCAAGGAGAAACACACGTAAGAAATCAAGTTCGATTCTCAGACAACCTGATAAGCAGGGCATCACGCAATAAGGACTTGGCGATACGATGCGATGCGTATCGATCTTCACCTCAGAAGATATGCTCCGTCCACTGGCAATGGGACACCAGTAATCCAAGCTGCATCATCACTGGCAAGAAAGACGGCTGCTTTGGCAACATCCTCCACCTTGCCTAGTCTACCACCCAAGGGGTGCTTGCCCTGAATCTCTGCCAAAACGAGTTCCTGACCCTGCAGATTTTGGGTCATGCTGGTTTCCAAAAAGCCTGGGCAAAGCGCGTTGCAATGGATGAGATCCTTTGCATAATCCAACGCTATTTGCTTCGTTAACATGACAGCAGCACCTTTACTTGCACAATAACTGGGTGTGCCATAGTATGGTACCAAGCCTTGGACACTAGCTGTATTGATGATCCAGCCTCGGGAATCGTAGATCTTTTCCTGACCATCTAGTATTTGTTTAAGAGCGTACTTGCAGCCCAAGAACATGCCCTTGGAATTAATGGCCATAGTCTTGTCATAGTCCTCCTCGCTGGTTTCATGACACCGTAGAGGTCGGATATGTGTGCTCTCAACACTGATTCCAGCATTGTTCACCATGATGTCCACTCTCTTGTACCGTTGCACGCAAGCTCGGATGGCAAAATCCATCTCCCGCGCTTTGGTCACATCGGCCTTGTGGTAGGTGGCCTCGCCTCCCATCTGACGGACGCGCTCATGCGTGCCAGGCTGGTTTGTGATTCGATTGTTGAAATCATCGGCTCGAAGGGTGACCGGATTGATCGCATTACGAGGAGATGGATAGAGGTCGATGCAGAAAATGGTGGCACCTTGGGCGGCGAAGGCAAGACAGATGGCAGCACCTAGGCCAGAGGAGCTTCCCGTGACGACAGCGATACGGCCCTGCAGCCGGCCACCATTGGGAGTAGAATTCATGATTGTGAAGGGCAGGAAGCAGATGTTTACCTTGAGAGTGGTTGAGACTTACTCTTGGACGAGGCTTGTCGATGATATCACAAGATCGTCAGGGTCACACATTGTTCTCCAGTTCGTGAGATGGATGACAGGGTTTCTCAGCCGTACTGAATGGCACAACCAAGCCGAGACTAAAACCCACGAGATGAGGCTGAATTTTGAATTTGACGATGTGGATGGCCTTGATAGGTGTGAGATGGATTCCGATCGTTTTCTTGGTGAAGATTGTGGTTTTTGTGACTGCCCAAAGGTCCATTCGGGGTGTCTTTTGAAATGCCGCCCCACGGGCCCTTCAGGCAGCTCCTTCCCCTTCTTTCGCCCCGCCCCGCCCCTTCCTCATGAGCTTACATGACTAACTAGTAGCTACAATAACGGCAGTTGCGAGTTCAATCTCTGGCTCATGAAAAGTAAAGAACAATGGCCAGATACCTGTGTACTTACCTAGGTGTACACGATGCATGTTTGGTCTGCGTTTCGATTGTGGTTGTTTCCATGCTTGACGACGCTGTTGAAGCCTTGAAGGCCCTTCGGCCATCGTGGACCTACCTAACACATCCCTACACAACTTGCCCATCCCACTGAGCACTCGATCTGCTGCCCCATCTAGCTGAAACCGCAATTCAGGTAGGTGGCCTGTCCAGCCTATCATCGCGTTTAGCTGTTGCACCAACATCTCCTTGATTCGTCCCAATATCATTGTCCAAATTCTCCCTCTCCGGAGGCTCGGAAGCCTCCCGCTTCCGAGCACTGGCGTTAATCAAGAACAACATCGATCGCTTTACTACGGATTCCCCGAAAATCATCGGGTAGAAGCTCATCAGGCTGCCGGGTTTGCATCCATGCTGGGTTAGAATTATGGCTTTAATGCGAAGTCCTTTCCCCGGCCTCGGGGAAGAGTCGAGGGTACAAAAGTGCTCTTGCGCACCTGCTCGTACCGCGCTAACAATTCTAGATGCACTAAGGGTCGACTCTCACGCTCACTGCTTCGTGTGGGTGTTCCTGGAAAAGAACTCTTAGTGCATATTGGTCTCTGGTTTTGAAAGAGGGTCGAAGCTGATTCATGCTCCAAAAACCTGCCTACCATTCACTAATTTGACCATGGAGGGCCACGTCCAGCCTCCTCGCTGTGGTCTGAGCAAGGACGCGGCGCGGCCACTTCGTGTCATAATATGCGGTGGAGGGCTTGGAGGGCTCGGTGCTGCCATTGCGCTGCGACACAAGGGCCATCAAGTGGTCGTACTCGAGAGCGCTACCTCCCTCAGCGAAATTGGAGCAGGTATTCAGATTCCGCCCAACAGCGCGAGGGTCCTTCACGACTATTATGACCTGGGCGAAAACCTGCGGGCGCACGTGGCTGTGCCGCGCAACATCGCCATCAAAAGATACGCGACCGGGACTGTATTGGGACGGACGGCTCTCCATCCTCACCTGTCCGAGAAGTATGGCTCGCCCTACTGGCTGATCCATCGTGCCGACTATCAGCGTATTCTATACGACGAGGCAATCGCTTTGGGTGCACGAGTCATCTTGGCGACCTCGGTGGCTTCGGTTGACCCTGACAAGCCATCAATAATCACCACGAATGGCACAGAATATCTGGGAGATGTCATCGTTGGTGCGGATGGTATCCGCTCCAAGGTTCGTGAATTCGTCCTCCCAGATTACAACAACTTCCAGCCGAGCCCGACGGCGAACTGCGCGTACCGTGCAACCGTCTCTGCCGAACTAATGTCCATCGATCACGACACTGCGGAGCTCATAAGTGATCCTAATTCAAACGCCTGGATTGGCCACCGTCGACACATTATGGCGTATCCCATCCGTGGTGGTGCACTATACAACCTTGTGATGTGCCATCCAGGTCAGGCAAAACCTGGAGTATGGAACGAACCGGGGGATATACAAAAAATGCGAGAAACGTACGCTAACTTCGACCCACTGATCCGCAAGGTCATTGACAAAGTCACAACTTGTCTACGTTGGACACTTGCCGATCTGCCGCCTTTGCCAACCTGGCTTAGTCAATCCGGGAAGGTTGTATTAATCGGCGATGCCGCCCATGCGATGGTACCTTTCCTAGCCCAGGGCGCCAGCATGTCTATTGAGGACGGACCTGCTCTAGCGGAGTGTCTCAGTCGAGTGAGGGAGATCGAAGATGTCCCGAAATACCTCCGAGTGTTTGAGCAACTTCGAAAGCCGCGTTGCGAGAAGATGCAGCTGTGTTCTAGGCTCAATGGCCAGATGTGGCATCTCCCTGATGGACCGCAGCAAGAAGAACGCGACAAGGGTTTCGAGAGAGACGACTTCGCCAGGGGAGAAAGTGAAGTGGAGCAGGAGCAGGGCGAAAATGTCAACCCGTGGTCCGATCTGAACTTTCAGCCGTGGCTATTTGGTTACGACGTCGTCACGGATGTCAGGAGAGTTCTGGACCAGATGGAAGAGCAGTCAATATCATCATACAGGGCCAACATATAAGAATAGTATCCTGCAGGATCGACCTGGGTATTCAAGGCAACGGCGGTGGTGCTTCTTGTTGCGAAAACGCAGGGTTTATGTGAACTGTCTCCTTTTTCACCCAGGCAAACCGGACTACAAAGCTATGTGCTAGATATTCATCATGCACTACGTCAGACATTTTCTCTTCGCCATCCTTACTATGAAATTTCTCGCCAAGCCGATTAAGAAAGACTAAAAATATCAGCCGCGGAGGGGCATTCTCTGCAGGCAGAAGCTGAACCTTGTGGAAACTATCTATAGTCTTTCCATGAAGAGATCGTGCGCATCTGAAAGCTGATTCAGATTTCCGCAGTTTCTTGGCCTGTCAGAACTCAGGAAATGTGCGAATATCATGCACCGAGAAGCGATCAGAAAACTTCCCGGTGACTCCCCGGTAGTGGAAGACCGGACAGTGATCAAACCTTGCACATGTGGGGAAGATACATAGTAGCCCTTATTGATCACATGGTCAAGTTTCGGCGGTAATAATGGACGTTTTTCTTGCCACGCCATTAATCTCGAACAGGGGAATAGCATGCTTTCTCTACACTCAAACTCTGAATTTCTAGTAGAGACTCATCCTATGTGCCTTCACAAACCTCGGCTTCCGTCTGCCAAGGTTATTTGCCAAGCCGAGTTACTCACCCAAGCGAGGAGCACCTAGGAGCCTCCTCTTCGTCGGTGTATATTGCTGTTCCGATTCACTACAGTTGAGTCTGGCACTTAGTGCAAGCAATGGTGTCCATGCGACTATGCGAAGCCAGGTGCAGAAATCGACTGGGCGAAGAGGAAACTCGGCACTGACCGATCACCAGGACCAGGCCCCTGGTAGGTCTGAGCTCTCTACGAACGATGAGCCTGAAAGTAAACGACGACGAGTTGCTCTTGCTTGTAATGTGTGCCGCGGACGGAAGTCTCGTGTAAGTTTCGCTTGCCCAGAAAGAGAAGTTACTATGTCAGGGCCTTACATATCATTTTCAAGTGTGATGGCAAGCGTCCTAGTTGCTCACTCTGCATTGAATTGGGCTTCGAGTGCCAGTACCAGCAAGGAGCTGGGTTTCAGAATGTCATCATCGGCAAAGAGTAAGCGTATACGAGGAGATCTGGTTTCAGCAGTAACAATTTGCTGATAATGGTTAAAGCTACCTGAGCTCGATTGAGTCTCGCTTGAGGCTGGTCGAAGGCCGCCTGTCCCGACTCGAAGGTGGCACCGAGGATACCAGTCGTGCAGTTACTCCGCTGGAAGCATCTTCGAATCCCAGAAAGCAGACCCAGACACAGTCGGAGATTGCAAGCTTGCAGCGAGAAGAGTTGGAAGCTACTGAGGTGGCAGAGGATTCAATCGATGCAATGGGCGTGGTCACTTTCGCCCAGGAAGAAGATTGCGCATTCTTTGGACCATCGTCAAACATTGCCCTTCTAAGACAAGTCTCTGCAGCCATAGCACACCTCAGTCATGAGTCGCAGCCATGGAGGCCGTCGCCAACAGAGGGAAATTCTGTAGCTGACATTGCAGGAAGCTTTTTGAATACAACCCGCCCATCCTCTCCTGCCCGAGCATCGTCTGAGACCACGAGGGGAAAACCTAACGTATTTGCTATTCCATCGGGTGAGAATTGTCGAAAATTATTGAATTGGTTCTTTGGGAATCCAAACTACATGTATCCTTATATTCATGTGTCAAGCTTCATGAGAACATTTGAAGCAGCTGAGAAGAATAAGTTTAAAGGAGTTCGGCGGATCTGGCTCGCACTCTTGAATATCATCTTTGCACTCGCCAGAGTGCATGCACGTCAGTCTACCGTGGCCTCTAAAGACCACCCTTCAGTTGAGCTGGGCCCAATCGCAGAATCACAGGTTTACTATCAGAGAGCGTCGGCTCTATTCAACGAGAACATGATTGGCAACACGGGAACCAGCATAGAGGTCGGTACGTTGGCTGACTACCTCGATTTCATCACCTACCATTGCTAAAGTCGAACAGTTCAATTCCTCCTGCTGATTGGATCTTATTTACAGTCGACTCAGAAGTCGACTCAAACGTGGAAGATGCATGGTCTAGCTGTCAGAGCCGCGTTCCAACTTGGCTTACACTCTCGGGATCTAGGCAGGCTATTTTCTCCTACCGAGCAGGAGGTCCGCAAGAGATCTTGGTTCGGTTGCATCATAAACGAGACACTTTTAAGTATGACATACGGGCGACCACCATCAATTCCAGAGAACTACATGCAGCTTGATTTGCCTGTAGCGTTTGCAGCCCTGGAAGGAGAACAAGACGGATCGGAGGCGGACGAGTCCTTAAGCATCAGCTTCTTTACAGGCACCATGTAAGTTTTTCCACGCCATCTGACCTCATCGAAGCCTCCGAAGAGCTTACCTTGCTACAATAGCACTATATACAAGGTATTACAAGAGATCATCGACACGCTGTATGGGCAAAATCTGGCTTGCTCCTTACCGACTAACGATGTGGATACCGTGTCCAAGGTCTACCAGATCGAGAACCGACTCTCTCTGTGGCAACAGCAACTACCTACTGAGATGAGACTGGTGGACGCCCGGGAAATTTTCGCTCAAGACTTGCCCATAGCAGATGGATCAGCAGAAAACCATTGGCGGCAATTACGATTACGATTTGTTCTAACATTGCGCTACATCAACATCCGTATTCTTCTCCATCGCCCAGTTATGGTCAAATTTCTGGAAGAGCTGCGGCATACAAGTACTGCTTCTCATCTGCCACTCTTGCTTCAGATTGGAACCGCGAATGTCCAGATTGCTGCGAAGTCCAGCATGGAACTAATATATTTAGTTAAAAACGCGCTTCGTTACGCCAATGGACGCTCACAATGGGGGCTCTTGGGGGCGTGGTGGTATTCTTTATATTACAGTGAGTCTTCACTTCCTGGCCAGATATTAGATCCTGGTTCGTGCTGATCGACCAATTTAGCGTTTAATGCAGCCTTGGTGATAGGTGCTTGCATCTTGATTCAAGTTGAACAAAAAGGGCTCGTGGCTCAAGCGAGTATTCGTTTCTCCGAGTCGACTGAGCAAATGAGCGAACACCTTGGGATGGCAATCGAGGTACTCAGAGACTTGGACGAAGACAATCGTATGGTTGCACGCTGTCGAGATTACCTTGAACAGTTTGTGCAGATCATTCGTAGCCTAGGTAAGCAACCTAGAGTCATCGATGTGCCTTATTTTCTAATGCTTTCATTTCCTTCAGCAATTGGGCATGAGCTTCTACCACAGCCTACCGATTGGCGTATGCCAGATCCACCGAATACTGGGGCGCCAGAGCTCTTACCTTATTACGATGACTACCATTTGCTCCAGACATCAATACTTGGCGGTGCAAACGTAGCTGGGCAAAACAACCATTCTCCATTTGGTATGGAAATGGGTCAATTCTTACTGGACAGCGATCTGAATGTATTGAACTATAATTCTTTTGCTTATAGTCGGGCCACAGCACCACACGATTGAATATATGGACTGAAATTGCGTGCATCCTAAGTTCCTTGGTCATCACGAAATTCGGTCTATTGGGCATGCCATCACAACTCCAGGACAACAGACGGGAACCCTTTGACAAAAACTCTTCATTTCGCATTAGAAATCTCGTGCCTTCTCTTACACTGCACAAAGAACTCAGATACTTCTGCGCCTCCAAGGTTGGTAACTTTCCATTCTTTATCGCCATCTGCCAACTGAAGCTGTAGCAAGTCAGATTAACACCATGGTGTCACCAGATCCCATTGGGGCAACAGTTTACTCACACTGAAATATCTCAACAACGATGGCACCGCCTTGTAAAGCTCCAACATCCCAATGTTCTTACCTATGCAGGTGTTCGGCCCTGCACCGAACATCAGCATTGCCTTGTTCATCAATTGGAGGCGACTAGGAGGTGCCAGGAGCCATCTGGACGGTCGAAACTCATCGGCATCTTCGCCAAATGTGGGTTTGTGACGGTGCATGATCCATGAGTTGCAGCTGACGATAGTGTTGCCCCGGATGTACTCTCCGAGGATATGTGCGCCTTCCGGTGGTGTAACACGCTCCATAAGCTGCATTCCTAAAGCTGGCCACAGCCGGAAGACCTCCTTTATCACAGCGTCAAGGAAAGGTAACTTCTGTGCCTCGGCAAAGGGAACAACGATCTCCTCCGCCAACCACTTCTGCGTGTTTATGGTGTTCGCTGGTGTGATAGGTGGAAAGTGTTCGTCTAGCTCGGCGAGAAGCTGCTCCATGGATGCAGGATGCTTGATAAGGAAGTACAGCGCCGCGGCCAATGTGGTCGACACTGTCCCACTGCCAGCATTTACCATAGAAAGTGTTAGGCCTAGAATGGCTTGATCGTCAATGATGTCTGGATGTTCGGCTTTAGCCTGGAGGAATTTGGTTAGTAACGGAACACGGCCATAATGCGATTTTTCGGCGTCTTTATGGTTGTTCTTATCAAAATTGCGTGACAGTTCTGTAACCTGCTGCTGAGCTATGGGCACGGTTGCGGTGACACTATTCCAGAGTCCTTTACGCCCCAGCCAGAGAAGGATCGGGTTTTTCTTGAGCATACCGTCCAGCCAGGGAGCATTATTGGTGACGGTGAAGTACTGCAGAAACTTGACCTGGGCCTGGATGACGCCGATATGATCGTAGCCAGCTTCCAGAAGGCCATAAGGTCGACCCTGAGTAAGACTGCTTACAACGTCAAGGGCGAAAAACCTACACCAATCTGCCAGGTCAAAAATACCTTTCTCGTTGTACTCGCCTGAGAACCTCGAATCGAGTTGAAGCAGCAGCGAGGCCAGTGCGTCTGTTACGTAGGGCTCATAGTGAACCAGAGTACTCAGCGCGAACGAGTTGGCCACCGTTCTTCGAAGTTTGCCGTGGTGGACTCGATCAGTTGTCGAGAAAATGTTTGCAACCACGTGGCCGCGACTGACGCCCTGGGCAACCCAGTAGAATGGGGACTGAATGTGCTGGTAAGCTTCCGCGACACAGGTGAACAATGCATACAATCAGATTGGAGTCGGGCCCATAAGCACAGGATACTTAATATTTCCAATGACAACTTGTTCAACTTACCTTTGAAAAATGCGTCATGTAGATGTCCTTGATCGCCTCGGGATCATTGAACACCAAGGTATTCGGTCCCACTCGGATGATTCGCCCGTATTTGGCCAGGTCCTGGAAATAAGTTCGGTGAGGGTATCGTAGACGCTGCCAAATCCGCCAGAAATTTGTGAAAGATGCCAGGAAAGGGCCATTGTACTTGTTGAGGCCTTTCTGGTACCTGGCACTGATGCCCCATGCACATATTGCTACCGCTGCAAGAACCGACCATTCCCACCAAGGTATATGTAAGATAGTATCTCGAGTGAGCATGTTGATGTGTTGCAAGGGCAAAGTATGTGAGCCGGCAGCAGTGGTTGAATAATGTACTGCTTTGCTCACTTTAGATTACGAGGTCAGGACAACATTGCAACGTGGTTTGAATTCGAGATACCCTTCCGTCGAGCATTGGTTGAACGAACTGTCACTGAAACCAGGACCACATGAGCTCGTTCAAGAACTGAAATGCATGAGACGACAGTTCCGTAGCTACAGTCCACCCTGATGCCCGCGGCATGGATTGTCCGGATGGCATTCTACCAGGACCAGCTGGTGCTTGCGGTTTGTGGGCGGCTGTTTGATGCAAATCCCAGTTATTAGCGCTTTCGGGGCCTCGCCGGCAATGTCTTTTCGGGGCCTCGCCGGCAACCGCAGAGCTACACATAGACGGCACACAAACAAAGGCCTCTCGATCCCCGAGCCGACATCTATTCTTCGGAAATGCACTATAACTCACTCTCGGACCGCTCGATTGGTTAGGGTGTGTTCTTGGCAAGTATTTCAATTGTCCTATCCGTCTAACCCCCGTCTGGCGACACCGACCTCTTATGACAGAGCTCGCTGCTGGCTCCTCACTCAGCTGTGCTAACTGTTGACTTGCAGACTTTCCTCGGTTAGGCGGAGCAGTCTCCGGAACCGAAAGCTGTACCCGGGCTTGTGGTGATTTTACGTGGTGCCCACAATCAAGGGTTTTCCGCTCACAAAACTGACGACACAGTAACCAGTGTGACGGTATTGCATCCAGAAAAAGAAGAGTCTGGGTCCAGAAAGACCCCGGATCTGCCCCGCGAGAGGACGTGGACACGGATTGCGGAGGCTAGTCTGGGATAAGGGCATATAAAGGGGAGGACGCTTAGACTCCGCTCATATACAGGTCTGAGCCAGCATCTACTTTTTCCCTGGGACAAAGCGATCACCCATTTTCGAAGCCCGTAAACCCGAAGAAGTGTACATTCTCGTCCCAAGATATTCGCATTCATTGCGCCACCCAGCTGTTCCTATGGACGATAAAAGAGCTGACGAAGACACGATGGACGTCAAGTTCCCAAAGGTCGTTGATGAGGTGGAGGATGACGCTCACGTTGCAGCGGTCATGGTTGCTGAGCGAGAGAGAGAGAAAAAGCTAATCCGGAAAATTGACCTTCAGCTTCTTCCGATTCTCTTCCTCATGCTCATCGCCGCCTTTCTTGATCGAATCAACATCGGAAACGCTCGACTCTTCGGCCTGGAAAGCGACCTTAGCATGCAAGGGGATCAGTTCAACATTGCACTCTTCGTTTTTTTCATCCCGTACATATTGTGCGAGCTTCCGGCCAACATTCTGTTGAAGAATCTCAAGCCTTACATCTGGCTCAGCACTATGATGATAGGGTTTGGTAAGTGACATATCCCTTAATGCCCTCCCCGTCATCTGTGGTACAGCGTATAATTTGCTGATCGCTCAACGGGCACCTAGGTATCCTCACAATCTGCCAAGGTCTGACTCGAAGCTTTGGCGGACTTGTGGCTTGTCGGTTCTTCATTGGTGCTTTCGAGGCTGGCTTCTTTCCAGGTAAGTACACGACGGAGCAGGAGCAGGAGAGAGTGAACAGAATGAGATCTGACCCAGTCGTTTAGGCTCTTTGTACTTGATCTCCATGTACTACAGGCGATACCAAGTTCAAACTCGCTTGACATTCTATTGGTCGGCTGGTGTATATGCAGGAGGATTTAGTGGGGTACGTTAATTCGTTCGGTGCCATGCAATGCCAAACCGCTGGAGGCTAACCTCTGCTGTTATCCCTCAGCTACTTGCCTATGGCATCGGCCACATGGACGGGGTTGGCGGTTACCGGGCCTGGAGATGGATATTTCTCATTGAAGGCGCTGTCACGGTTTTCATCGGCGTCATGGCCTTTTTCATCATTCCAGACTGGCCAGAGACGGCGAAATTCCTCAAGCCAGAGGAGAGAACCTTGCTGCTATCCACGCTACACGAGGACTCTGGACCAGCGGTCATGAATCGTCTCGACAAGAAGGCCATGAAGCGAGCTTTCTCTGACTGGAAGATCTACCTCGGGTAAGTGACATCCCTCGAGCGTGGTCTCTCTTACAAGCCAAATTGCTGAAAAGGTACGGCCATTTCCAGATTCTTTATGTCGCTGGCATGGTCAGCCGCAGCATACTCGCTTGCACTGTTTACTCCAACTTTGCTAAATGGGTTTGGATGGTCACCCCTGCGCACCCAGCTCATGACAATCCCCGTTTTTGTGGTTGGAGGTACCCTGTCCATCGTCATTGCTATGCTCTCAGACTTCATGAAGCACCGCTTCTGGTTCATCATCGCAATGTATCTCGGAACTCTTCTCGCCATTGTCATCATGTTCACAGGTGCAAGAGTCACCATCGGAGTCCGATATATGGCGATCTTCTTCCTGGGCACCTGCAGCCCTACCGGGACATCCCTGGCCGTGGGCTGGATTAACAACAACATGGGCGGTCACTACAAGAGATCAATTGGCGTTGCAATTCAGGTCGGCTTCGCGAATCTCGGCGGAATCATCGCCAGTAACATCTTTATCAAGCGTGAAGCTCCTTTTTTCAAAACGGCGTTCTCGGTTCTGATCGGCATCATCTGTATGGGCATTTGTATCGCAATCATATTCGTCCTCTTGCTTATTCGCGAGAACCGGAAACGTGAGCGCGGAGAAAGGGATCATCGCCTGCAGCTGCCCGAAGATGAGCGTGGAAATCTCGGCGACGATCATCCCACCTTCCGTATGGTTTACTAATGGTGCAGCTGACGGGTTGATTGTGCTTTCTCAGGCTTCTTGTTATTGTGGATCTAACGAGTCCTCAGTGGCCAGAATTTATAGAACTCGAACAACCGAGGAGCACATAATGACAGAGCTAGGCTGCCAGCAATAGTATAACACAAATCATTGAGTATGAATGATTCCGTCACATGGGTGACTTGAATCCTGTAGTCATTCATGCTCCACCTTTTCCTCTCCTCTTTCGCTATTTTCACCCGTTCTCTAAACGCGCAACGGGACAAGCTTGCATATGGTAAGTTACACAGCTGCCTTCGATACTTCCATGGCGTTAGTATCGTGACCGTCCGGACATCGACTGAAATATGTGCGCACATGTCATGGTTTGAGTATTCTCTAAATTACTTTGACTAGTTAGAGTCCAAGAAGGTGGCGTTATTGAGTGAATAGCTACTTTATCAATGAGGATAGCGCGAACATAGATAGGGGTAACGTAGCTCTTGATTTTATAGTGTTTCAAGGTCTAAGGGAGTGCAGTGGCTACTTGGGCTCCCCAAGTCTGGTTTCACTGACCCAAGAATGTACGCAGACAAGACACTAATTATACAGTCTAGAGAATCTGAAGGAAGAATTTTCTTCTGTTTCACTGCTTACTAGCAGTTTTCCATTTTGAATATCGTCGTAAAGAGTTGCTCAAGACCTGGACGTGCTCTCAAGAACGTTGAATGTCAACAAAGATCCTTTAACAGGGCCTGTCGAAATGGCGTGCCAACCCATGTTGTTGGTCTGATGAACCCGGCGCGTGTTGTTGGTGTAGATATCGCTGCCGCGGATGACCAGTTGCAGACGTTCACCAGCGTTAAATCGTGTTGCCGATGGCCAAATCTCAACCTCTATCGGAACAGCTAGGCCAGGAGTCAAAGGTTCCTGCTTCGCATGAATATGCCACGGCCGGTCCGGAGTCGACCTAGTGGAATCAAGCGCTCGATGAGAGGAGCGAAGCCAGCCAAGGGCCACGGGACCTTGAGACAGAGCATTTTGAAAATGAAACGTTATCAGATTGCCGTCAGCATCCGTCTTCCTGAGCGCGACAAAAACGTCGGCTTCCTCGGCCTCCTCAGTGGTGATATATAGTTTCAAACCCATAGAGCCCACAATGTCAGTCTGGGAATCGAACACATGTTCGAACACCACAGATTGTCCTTCCCTGGTGGAAAGATAGCGTGCAGTTCCTTGATTCAAAGGCGTCTCACGCTTCAATGTTCCATCAGTGGCATCAAGATAGAAAGACACCAGTGTGCGGTTCAAAAGCGGCCATGTAGATGAAGTCATGTCAAGCCCAGTATTCAAGCCAGTCCGTAATTCCCAATTCACCAAAGGCCAAGAATCGGTCTCATTGCCTATTCCCTTAACGTACTGGTCAAAAAAGGCACGCAGGCGCTCAAAGGTCGTTGGATTGTGGTACCACGCCCACTTTTTGCGCCCGTGGATTTCAAGATGTTTGTGTTTTGATGAGATGGCTTCGAACGCATCGATTGTACCCCGAGTATGTAGTCCTTGGTCTGCCCAGCTAGCGATTATGTACGCCGGAACCTCAATCTTGGATAGGTCAGGACGCTTTGATGCCCAATACTCGTCATCCAGGGGATGTTCCATACCCATCTCCCTCATAGCCTCGACATTGGAGATGGAATACTTCAGTCGCTCGTACTGCCACTCCTCCACGAATTCTGATTCCGGAATTCCGCCATGAAAAATCAGCTCTCGGTACGGATCAGTCAGGCCCTCACAGGGTTGAATAGCCGCGAGGTGTTTCGGCTGGAGTGAGGCCGCCCACCACTGGATGATGGCGAGGTAGGAAACGCCTGTCATCCCTACCTTGCCACTGCTCCAGGGTTGAGTCCCCGCCCACTCTATCACATCACACACGTCCCGAGCCTCGCGTTCGCCCCAGCAGCTCGCAAAGTCCCCCTCGGACCACCACATACCGCGCGGATTAACGGTGATACATGCGTAGCCAGCCTTGCACCACCTCAGTCCGTCCGCAGACTCGAAACCCGTGTATGTATTCAACCAGGCCAGATCAACACCACAGCCGTACTTGCCACTGTCGTCTGGAATCATGCTGTATTCCTTCCCAGCGTCCAAGTGCTTACCGTAAGGACCCCATGATAGCACCACGGGCACGTTGACAATATCCTTGGGCCGAATCAAGTCGATGTACATTTTTACGCCGTCTCGCAAGGTCACAGCGATGTCACGCTCCACCTGCAGATCGCCATCCACTTTGAGACTGTATTTTGGTGGTGCTACACCAGCCTCAGCTGGGGATACGCCCTTTTGCAACAGCAGACCGTTTGGTCCTTTGAAAATATTCGGCCTCATCCCTTCTGCCCCCTTGATGTTTGATGTTGCGAAATTTGTGTTGAGTTTAATGCCCTTCCTTGTCTTATACGCATACCAAACACAATCCACCATCGTCGTGCAAAGTATCAAGACGCGTGTTCCGATTTCGGGCAGTAGCCGGAACATGAACTGCTGATGGCGAGGGTCCGATGTGATCGGGCTTTGTCCACCATTGCCCGGGTAGTGGTCGGGTCGTATTGTGTATTGATCTTTTCGTACCAATCCTTGTGCGGCGAGCGGCACATCCGGGACGACCTGCGTAGCGGCAAAAGCAATGTTTACGAGCTTTGAGGAGGATCCATTGATATTGTCATTTTTATTGTGCACATAATTGCTCACCTGGACGCTCATCACAATGGAGTCTGCTTGACATGGTCTTGTAGAGACCCTCAACTCTGGTTTTATTTGTCACTCCCCTGCCGGCATGGTACTTCCGCAACACACCGCTGCTTGGGTGTTTAACAAACAGGATGGAATTCAACGTCTAGACCGTGTAGATGATTTGCGCCTCCCAGTACTCAGAGAAGACGAAGTATTAGTCAAAATTCATGCGGCTTCTCTGAACTATCGCGACTTGGCGATCGCCAAGGTAACAATCCCTTTTCCCTACCTGCCTAAGCATTCTACTCGACTCGACTGATGCCGGGTGATGTTTCTAGGGAGGTCCAAGATTGGTGGTGGGCAAGAAAGATCTCATTCCTGGCTCAGATGGGTCGGGGGTGATTGAGGCTGTAGGACCCAGAGTGGCTACGCTCAGCGTGGGAGACCATGTTTGCGCACATCTGACGTACGGGCTGTCAGAAACAGAACCTCCTCAATTTCATGATATCTGCAATGGCCTGGGTCAGAAGATTGACGGGACCCTATGTCAATTCGGTATTTTTCATGAGTCATCACTGGTGAGGATACCAGAAAATCTCAACTTTCTAGAGGCGGCCACGTTGGCGTGTTCAGGCTTGACAGCCTGGAATGCCTTGTTCGGCCTCAAGGGCAAAGAACCCAAGCATGGTGACACTGTCGTGGTCCAAGGCACTGGCGGCGTTTCAATCGCTGCTCTACAGGTACGTTAGTCCGATTAGTTCTCTCCAGAATCGCGAGGTTTATCCAGGTCAACAACAAATAGCGCACAAGAAATCTGACAACCCCGACCCTGCTTAGTTCTCCCTTGCGGCCGGTGCTGTTGTGATTGCCACCACTAGCAGCCAGGAAAAGGCGGATAAGTTGAAGTCTCTGGGAGCCCATCATGTAATCAATTACAAAGAAATATCTGGCTGGGGTACGGCCGCCAAATCCTTGACAGTGGATGGCAAAGGTGCTCATATCGTCGTGGATGTTGGCGGGGCGGCTACACTTTCAGAGTCTTTGAAGGCGATTCGGGTCGATGGGGTGATTGCTGTGACTGGAATTCTTGGAGCCGCGGCGAATGTTCCGACACTGTTGGACTGCAAATACTCTTGCTGCATCGTTCGTGGATTCTTCCTGGGATCGAGGAAGCAGTTTGGTGATATGAATAGATTCATTGAGCGGCACGATATTAAGCCTGTGCTGGACCAGAGAATATTTGATATGGCTTCGGTAAAGGAAGCGTATGCTTATATGACGGAACAAAAACACTTCTCGAAGATTGGAATTCGGATGTGCTGACATTAGCAGAAGGTGGTCGCTTTCTACTTGGAATCCAAATGGTAGAAGCCCAGGCATCTATAGTTAGTTGGGTTGATGTTGTGGGAGTAAACCATCATTGTCAATGTTATTAGTGAAGAACATGAAATTTAGTTGAAACTCGTGGCTGCTTCTGCTGAGTCTCAGCAAAATGTCTGCCTGAGACTTCCCTAGTTAATGAGGTACTTTGGTAAGTACCTAAGGTGTCAATCGATCCATCGCCCGAGGCCCAAGGCTCGAAGCACCCCATATTTGTAAGTGTATAGTGGTGTCAGCCCTTCCAGCCATCAATTTTAGGCATAGTGACTAGGCTCCTTAGCCGCTATTGATCACTTGGGAACATGTTCCTACATAATCCCGGGAGTCTCTTCCATCAGTGTATAGCTAGCCACTTGAACTTCCAAACCCATGGTGGCTGAAATGAAATCCTAGGCAATTTATTTACTGATATCCGATGGTCATTTGTGTTTTAGACAAATTTCACGGCTTCGTCACCGCCACAAGAAGGAAGTAAGGCCTATGAGCCTCTCCTTTCTCCTCCAACTTAGGCCTCAGATCCAACCCTTCCCACGCTTCCTTGAAAGCCCTCAAGACAAAGCCGGCATCTATCAAATAAGTGAGATAAGTATCAACTGTCCGATGATATTTCCGGACACCGGGCGCCAACCAATTTGTCACTCTCAAACCCTCGTCCCAGTATTGATTCAGAGGCCAATAAACTCGGCCATCTTCACCCATCTTCCAAAAGGCATCAAACGGCGCACTGGCGACGGGGTGCTCGATGGAGAACACGAATTTGCCGCCAGACACCAAACTTTTGAAGACCTGGCCCAGCAGTCTTTTCAACGGCTCGTTTGGGAGGTAGTGGAGTGCTAGCGAGCTGTAGGCAAGGTTATACTGGAGTTCACTGAGCGTTACTTCCTCGAGATTCCTGCAAGAGTAAGTGATGATTCCTTCTCCGATGCCTGCCTTCTGCGTCTCGTCTCGGGCCCGGCGTAGCATGTTTTCCGAAAGATCAATCCCAAGCACCGTCTGAGCATGTCCCTCCTGAACAGCCCATCGAGCAAACCAGCCAAACCCACAACCCAAGTCCAGAATATGCTGGTCTTTGACATCTCCGACCAACCCACGCAATGTAGGCCACTCTGGAGCACCATCCAAGCCATGCACTGAGCGTGGAAGTCGCGAGTATTCAGTGAAGAACTCGGCTGTATCGTAGATATTCTGTGCCATCTCGCTTTCGTGATGAAAGACGTTGTTGGAAATTCCAAGGAGAGTCGTAATTTGAGTGGAAAGATAAAAAGGAAAGGAACTACCCCATGATCCTTGAGAGTCTATCTCATGCCTTTATCTCTTCTCGCCAGGTCCAAAGCACGACATCACCAAAGCCTATGCAGCAATCATGGAATAGTCACTAGTCCATAAGTAATGAGGTCTTAACTCGCATTCAATGAGTATGACTGTTGAGTGCGGTGACTGTGAGTCACGGCCTGTGTTCACGCAGAATATGATTGGACAACTCCAGACTCATTCAGCGTACCTAGGTAAGGTCCACGCTATCTGATGAGCCGTCATGCCCTGAAATAATAAATTGTCTCGATATTCTCACACCCATCCCTGTGTAAATGCAACGCAGTACTGTAACGACCGGTCTAGATGTACGCCAGTATTCGAGTGTATCCGTCGATGAAACATGTATGAAGTCGTTATGTACACCCCAAAAAGCTCCCTTTCTCCAGCCGCTCTGCTTCGGAGTTCGAATTTACTGATCCGCCTTGATCATGTCAGCCGCCTTTTCCGCCACCCCATATGCCACAGCCTGCAGATGTGCGCCTGGCACCATGGGATAAATCCCCGTGTCGACAACTCGGAGGTTCGACGTCCCATACACCCTCAACTGGTCGCTGACCACGCCACCCATGTCTAGCGGTAGCATAGCTGTCGTGCTGGAATAGTGATATTCGGTGCCAATGCCAACGCGTAAGATCTCCCCTAGTTGGTCGGTGTTGGCGTCACGAGGAATCTGCGCGTACGATGGCTGCAGAGCTTGGATTGCATCCGTGTCTAGGATCTTCTGGTTCACCTGCATCGCGAGGATCATCACGTCGTAGTCGAATTGGTGGACCAGCCATCGGGGATCGACGTTGGGTGGCGCAAATGGGTCAGTGGATGTGATGTGTGCGGTACCGCGGGATAGGGGTCTCATGAGTGCGAGATCCAGCCCACCAGCATTGTTGTTCAGGTTTTCGAACGCCGGGATATTCTCAGAAGCGAGTTCGCCCAGAACACTATCGAGTTGTTGTTCATACCCACGCTGGAGCGTTGGTTCGTTTGCATACGTGTCCGGTAAGTTGTATGCTGCAGAGCGCGCAGCAGATATCATGCCTGCTGCATCTGCTGCGGTCTGCTCCAAAGAAGGAAATGCAACGGCACAACTCGGCTTAGCTGTCCATGGGCCAGTCTTACTGCTGTAATACTCTGCGGCAGAGTCATCATTGAACTGGGAGTTGGTCGCGAAATCTTCGACATCCATGATATCAGGGTTCGTGTAGGAGTAGTCTAGGTGAATCATGCCGTGATCCTGCAGGTTATTACCGACACCGGGTAGGTTTTCTAGGACCTCAATACCGAGGCCTTCGAGGATGGAGCTCTGGCCAATTCCTGAAAGCTCGAGGATCTGAGGACTATGAATCGCGCCTGCCGACAGAACGACCTCCCTACTGGCGAAAGCTGTCTGTCGTGGCGAGGATGGTCCAGCAGCAAATTCGACCCCCGTAGCCGTCAGCTCGTCGCCCTGTTCGAAGATGATTCGGGTAACTTGCGAATAAGGCTGGACGTTGAAGTTGTTGCGCTGGATATTCGGGTCGTAGTAGGCGCGTCGTGCATCCGAGCGAGTTTGGTTGTTCGGATCGATATCCAGTGGCAAGAAGTAACCCCCAGCAGAGAGACCTTGATTGGGCTCCGCCGATGTGGGAATGCCAATTTCTTGTAAGGCGCTGAACCAGTTATCAGTCTGTGGCCAGTAGTAATTAGGGTATGAAACTTGAATCGGTCCGCTTGTGCCGTGGACTGCTGAATTTTCAAGGACTGGTTGTACTTCCCTACCAGCATAGTTCTTAGGAGTATATGTCTCCGACTAAAAGAATAAAATCAAGGTCAGTATCTCATAAAATGAAAATCGGGGCCACTATCGTTTACCTTTTCAAAATATGGAAGAAGAGATTCCCAACCCCAGCCTGAGTTTCCAAGGTCGTTCCAAGCATTGAAGCTTTGCTGATTACCTCGGTTCCAGACCATGCCGTTGATTAGCGAGCCTCCTCCAACGCCCTTACCCATAGGGATATGGCGGCTCACACCGTCGAGTTGCCCCTGAGGTGTTGTGTATATACCCCATTCGTAAAACCCATCTGGCTGGAGGCCGATGTAATATGGGATCTGGATCTCGTCCTCATAATGATCCCTATATGTTTTCAGTGAAAGCCATTGCGAAGGTGTGCTATGTACTTACAATGCCCCTGCTTCAAGGCACAAGACTGTGATATCTTCACTCTCGCTTAACCGTGAGGAGACGACGAGACCAGAGACACCACACCCAATGACAATGTAGTCATAAGTCTGTCCAGCAGCATTGTCGATGAGACCTCGGTCCTTCAGAGGTCTAGTATCCGACAGTCCGAATAATGATAACACGAAGAGCAATGCGATCGGGAGCATTTCGGTGCCCGAAACCCTCGAATGGCTGTTTCTGAACATGTGCAATATGTACCCAGATGAGTAGTATGCCGATTGAGAAATTCCCGGCCCCAAGATCTCGGGTGCTTTGACTCTGGATGAACTTAACCGCTTTAACGCAGAAGTGGTGCGTCACTCTCGTATTGGATTTCTACCTAAAAAAGAGAGTCTGAAACTCAAAAATGAAGGATGTATTGATAGGAGGGTGTTACAGCAACAACATGATCATCGCCGAATGAAGGAGAGACGGGAAACGAAAGAAGATCTGAGGTACGGATTCGAAGGGATCTCTGAAAATCACATTTTTCAAGGCCAGCTCAAACCTTTTCCGTCTTGCGTACCTTGTTGACCTTGTCAAGAACATGATATCAAGGCACATAAACTTTTGTCAAAGGCATGTGAATGGTGGATAGTGAGTCGAAATCAAGCATTACCTGCAGTCGGATGCAACGAAAGCACCTGCAGGACGATGAACACATCCCATTCCACATCGTAGTCATCTGGCCTATCAAGACTGAACAGACAGACTAGACCACAGCTGTGGCACAGTATCTTCCCGGCATAGCAGGAGGCTGAGGAGACTTTGAGGATAGCCATTGGTGAGAAAGTCAGCAAAAGGTCGGCACAGGTGCGGATGGATGTAGTCAGAGGTCCACCATGTGTCTCAACAATGGATGGGCCACGTGCAATTGGCAATCGGTTCTACCGGCACCGAAAGGTTTATGATCCATCAAGGTGGTTCCAGACGGCCTGGTTGGGATCAGATGTACGGCGGGCAAGCTGTTTCTGAGCTTCAAATTGAAGGTGCTGGGAAGCTGGCCTCGGTTACTTATCTGAATGGATATGGTGCACAGCACATAGCAATGGTGACTTTGCCATGACGGGACAAATATCCAATGCATCTCGAGTGCTCAGCAAACCGTGGCTTAATTAGATGAATTGTTTCCAGCTTCTGATGCGGATTTAGGTCTGACCTATTAGGGCCGCACTCAAATTGAGGGAAGCCGAAGTTGTGTGGGCAGGATGGTGTTCATGATGTCGAAAGAAGGCGACCCCGCTGCTCGCCAAACTTCCCCTAAGAAGCTTATGAAACGCCTCGGCACTAACTAACTTAGCAGGAGGCACGCTTTGCTCCTTCCATGTTGCATGTCTTCAACTTCCGACATGGTTAGGCTTGTAATCAGACTGTGTCTTGCACGGGCAACGATCCACGTGGAGCGATTATGATATAGTGCAAGAACGTAGCATTTAGCATAGGTAGGTGACTCCGCAAGCTGTAGATTCAATCCTACGCATCGAATGGCTCGCATCCGCCCAATGATTGCTCGAGTCCAAAAATAAAATAAATCGTCGCGCATCTATATAGACTCAATGGTCTCCAAGATATGTAGCGAGCTTTGTGTCAGTCCCAAGTTGTTATCACAGGTAAGCCGCTGCGCCTAAGAACCCAGCGGCTAGGGCAACCATTGCAGGAAAGAATACGTTGGAGACTCCGACAGCAGAGCCTGAGTTTGACCCAGTCGCCGATGCACCAGCCGCAGTTCCAGTCGACGTGGCACGCGTGGTAGTGCTCGTAGCGGTGGCAGACCCAGCGCTCGAGGCGACAGCCCCGGCGGTCGCGGTGTTCGCAGCATTGGCAATGGTCAAGCCCGATGGGTAGTGTGTTCCACTGGCCGACATACTGCTTTCAGCGGCACTAATCTTGCTGGAGTACCCGCTCTCAGACTCCGAGATGATGGTGGCACAGCTGATGGGCGTCTCGGTCGTGGTGGTCGTCACTGGGCCAGTACAGATTGGCCATCCGGCGCATGTTGAGAGAATAACAGGTGGAAGGATGCCACCTACGCAGCAGCCACTTCCGATATCATCTGAATACCAGACGCCGGGACATTCTGGAGTATTACGCTACAAGAGAAAAGTGAGTATAACACCCGGTGTTGCTCCATGTGATGGACTCACCTTTTCTTGTGAGAAGGCAACCTGAGCAAGAAATGCTTGCAGAAACATGAATGAGGCGAATGAAGACATTGGACGAGCTGAATTGCGAAAATGCGAATGAGATAGTCTAGGTATGTTGATGGCTGCGAGAGACAGGAATAACACTGAAAAATGTCAAGTTCCCATCATGGAGCATCTTTCTTCTTTATACAAGCTGCTTTCGCACGGTTCATCGTTCACAATAATGGCACGGTGCGCCTGAAATATGCGTTCTAGACTCTGGACTCTGAATGAAAACCAAACAAAGTCACCTGAGGTAGCATTCAGGACTACCGCCATACCACTCACTGGGGAATGTGTTACCAGTCCCCAAAGTTGCTGCCAAGCCGGCATCGGGAAATGCATCCAAGAATAACAATTAACTCCCAATAGTACGAGTGTACCAGAGAATTTCCCTGGTTGCGTTTCGTGCCCGTGCCTCTGACAAAACTTTAAAGGGTGTCGTCCGAGTGTTGCGACGAGTGACGTGGTGTCGGAGCTCGGTTGACTTATTTGGGAAAAGCCTGGCCTCGCCTCTCGTTCCTCGTGCAGAATGATTTCGACTGGGGGGGGCCGGAACGCGTACTGAAATGCAATGAAAGTCGCTTAGACAGGTACGAACGAGGCTCATTAGTCAGTCTATACTGCTGGATATCCAAGAAAGGTAAATCGCATACAACTGCTTGGCGGACGCCCTGGACCCGACTGCAAAAGGACAGGCAGATGATGTGGCATTGCGTGGGACACTACGTACTCCGTCCTCGTTTGGCTTGTTGCAAATCCTTCGTCCGCATCGACTTACGAAAAGGAGAAATGGGCCCTTCAGATTCATACATGAAGCTTAATAGTTGGCGCTAGTGCTGAGAGCACAGCAATCATTGATTCTACCTCGATGCCATCCGGGGAAGGCAGGATTACCAACAAAGTACGCAAGATCGTATGTATTCCTTGGCACTCTTACAAGTAGACAGCATTGATGGTATGCAAAGAATTGTGGTCTCGTAATTCTCCAGCAGATGGGATACATCTCTCCATAGATAAGATAGCCGCTATTAGATGCATCTCAATAGAGGGCATTACCAATCATTTGATCATCATGGAAAGATTGAGCATCTTCGAGCGTCGCTGCCGAGTCAATGGTAACAAAATTGGATGGGTAATTGGCATTCGTTCACAAACCAAACGATTGCACAATCATTGTTACAACCATAACCATGTGGGTTCATAAGTCGAGTTGCAATCGTATTGCACCGACTCCGCGTTCAGGCAGAACCTCCTACATTTTCAATATTAGACCTACCTAAGATCTGGAAATGGTTGATCTCATTTGCAAATCGTCTGTGAAGTCAGACTAATATCGCTCGGCCAACGATGCATGACAGGTGCTCTGCTGTGTAGGCGGTCCCGGCGAAGTAGATCAGAAATCATGGCAATGAATCAGTCATTTTCACTTTCATTTTCGCGTTCCTCAAATCGGAGGAATGTATCATCATGCGCATCGTCACCGAGAATCAACTTCCAGACATCTTTTACAGAAGTAAGAACATCATCGGAAAACGCAATGTCGAGAGGTCTGGGCGCAAGGCTAGTAACTTGGGCAGACATCTCCGAGGGCGTATAGCCTGCTTGTGAGCTTAGATCTGCTCCCGAATAGGCGTAAGACAGACTCCAAACATTTGACGTTCCCACGCCACAGGTTGCAAGAAAATCTGTCACAGACTTCTCCAGCCTTAACTTTGCTGAAGGGCTATGATCTGCAATTGATGCGTATATGATACCTATAACATCTTTGTTAGCTTCCAGCAAAATATTCAGGCGGTATGTAATAGATGCGAAATCGCGTGCCAGTCAGGTTGTCAGAGGATAGTTATCAGCAAGGCATAAGTGCTCAGGCAATGTAGATAAGTATTCATAAGTTGGATCATCATTGGAGGGAGTTTAGAAAGGGTTAGACTTACATTGACCACTTGGACATTCACCTGTGTCTTCAGAGTGGACCTGAAGATAAATCGGCGCGGTCTCAGCACCAGTAGCACCTGCATCGGCAAAAACAATTGCGACAGCTGGTACAGGTCCATTGTCGGCAGTCTGCGGGAAAAGATTGCGAAGAGGATCGGTAACAATGCTGATAGATCTCCATGCAGATGTAGAGTTGGCGGAAGAGGGGCCACCCTCAGAATTCGGCAGGTCATCCCTGCCTCCAACCACGAGTCTCGATATGATTCTAGTACCATCCGGTAGGATACCCTCAATCATATTCTGTTGCTCATCATTTACATCTGGGGTGATATTGGCCGCAGTAGTATTTTTGATGATCTTCAGATCTTCGAGACGATTTCCGAGTAGATAAGTGAATCCACCGACCGCGCCAGATCTGCAAGCAACCTGCGCTAATTCGGAATTGCCTCCATATTTCGCGACTACTGCACCAAAGCCAGGACCGAAGTAACCCAGGGACCGCATGTGCCGTCTGATCCTCGCGAGGGCAGTGTCAAAACGGGTCAGACTTGGAGGGAGCGGCGAGAGTGCGAGGGCTTGCAATGGTGCCTGTAGGGATTCGGAAATTTTGAACTTGCTCGTAAGAGCTTCCTGAAAAGATATCTGCGAATCCTCCGGATCATTCGGACCTTGGTCATCCTCCTCTTGCAGAACATATCGCAAGAACTTCATGAGACCTCGCTTGTCTTTCATCGACAACGTGTCGTCATTGAAGACATCTTCACGAGTACTAGGAACCTTCTGCAATATTCCAGCACGATGAATCCACAAGGACCCGACAGCCAAAAACTCTAGCTGAGTATGAACTCGAGATGCCACAAGTGTAGGGAGGATAGCGGATTGTGCGTAAATGATCTGAGGATTGAGGCTGAGGGTGTAGGAGCGTGATGGAGCAAGTTTTCCAGCATCCGCAGGAGGTTTTGTGAGAGTTGCATCCTTAAAAGTGTTGCTATGGCCTGGAGATGATTAGAAGCTGTGAGTGTATGTTGAGAGCTGTTGTCACACCTCCGTTGACCTCCAATATCCAATTTTCCACATCTTGTAGACTCAAACCAGCATCTTCACCCCCATAATAATCATGATGATCAACATGGAGAATTTTCTTGCCCGACCGAGACAGAGATCTGTCAAGAGGGTCTTTTGTCAGTCAGTTTAGGCCGACACTTCAAATCAAGAAACAGACGTACAAGGCGAGGAGTGATTGTGGGATGCTGGTCCCAGCTATGACCACATCCCACACCTCGTCGCTCAGAGATTCCATCTAAGCGATTTCTCGACCCTAGGATGGGTTGCCAACAGTATTGCTATATGGGAGAGGAGTTGTGGTGAAGAGAATACTGCAGATAATTTGAAAGCAAAGCGGCTGGAAAGTTTGGCCCGACCTAACCACCCAACCCCAAATGGCCTACACAAACGCCGCTTTACACACCAAGAATTGGGGCCTATTCTTGGTGTGCGTCATCGGTCGGCTCCAAGGAAAGTTTGCTGGCCATCGTTTTCTCAGCCTTGTTCCCCTGATTTGCCAGGCTACTGTGCTGCACAACACCTATGCTACAGCAACGTTCTGATCGTCGAAGTCAAATCAGTCACCAACATCCAATGAAACGCTTGAAAACTCAAGTTATTGCTATTATTGGTCCTATTTAATACTTGTCTACACAGCGCTTGCTGTGGTCCGTTCATCCAAGGTTAACAGCTATCTTGTGCCCGCCAAATCCCTTAGAGTCGTTCGCAGCGAGATGCCCGCCACATTACCGATGCATTCAATAGGTGTATCGAAACTGTGGGTCGCCTTCAATAATCTTCTCCCCTCTGTCGGCCTTTTTGTTCTCAGAGATAAAGTATGCACTTGTCGTGCACATGGAAATGATGCAAAGTCCAACAGCAGTAAGGCAAGCATAGAGACCAGGGCTATATAGATAGTCAGTCTTCACAGGTGTTCCTCTACGGATAAAAAGCATTCACTTACCGGTAAGACGGAGCATCTTGGGATCTGAAAACCAAAGACCCAATAATACCCCCAATACCTCCTGCTCCCACAATGGTGGCCGAGCAGAAAGCACGCTTCCACTGGCCCAGGATATTATTGGCCTGATAGGTAAGGGAGAATGGGATGTTCGAGAAGGCCGGACCGACGATAAAGAAGGCGCCAAAATATCTAACACCACTTGGTTTGGCAAAACCCAGGACGCAGACACCCAGAATCTCAAGGCCGCAATTGAGAAGAAAGAATGGAGCTCTCAGGTTCCACTTATCGGAGAAATAGCTCTCAGTCACGCCAAGAATGATGGCGAAGACATAGCACTGATGTGAGCTATTAGCATGGACAATGGGAGTTCAGACCCGACTTGACTTACCGGAGCGTTCAGACACTGAGCAGCCGCCACGGAAAATTTGAGCTCGTTCCGAAGCACGATTGGCAAGAAATACGCCACTGCATAATTGACTACACTCGTCAACATGAAATTGGCAGCAAAGAACCAGATCTTCCAATCTTTGGCATGACTGAGGTAATGTCGCATATTGAAGGGTGGTGTGATGACATCGCGGCGATCTAGGTTGATTCTGGCGATCACAAGTTGAGCCTGTTCCTCATTGATGAATTTCCACGACTTAGGTGCCTCCTCCGGAAAGTCGACAAGGATCACATAGGCCGGCAGTCCAAGGATGATCGTTATAACTCCCTCCATTATGAAAATCCATCTCCAGCCCGCGTGTCCGGCGACGCCGTTCATCTGCTGTAACTGGAAAAGATCAGTCTAGTGCTCAATTCAATACATGGTATACCTACACCATATGCTAGGATACCACCGAAGCCCCCCAGCATGCTACCGAGCAGGTAGAACGATGAATTCCGCTTCGCGACCTCCCCTGTAACCGTTGTCAGTATCTGGCAGACGTTCACGATGTGACTGGCTTGGCATACTTCTGATATACCAAGTGCTGACAAGATATGCTGAGGTGGAGAAATACCCAGCCTCGAGGATGCCTAAAAGAGCACGGAGTGCGAGCATTTGGCGCCAGGTTTTCACTAGACCGTGTCCAACCGTCACCAGTCCCCAGGCGACGACAATGAATGTGATAAATCTTCGAGGGCGAATCTTTCTCGCAATTGCGATCATTGGAGGTTGGAAGACAATGTAGAATGGAAAGAAGATGAGAATGAGCAGTGTCTAAAGGTCACCCGTTAGCCGAGGCCGCAAGAATCGTGTGGTAGAAGAATTGGCCGTACGTATGCATTCCCCTGAAGGTCAAGATCCGTCCCCATCCCGGCAACGACTCTGCATGATGTTTAGTGGCTTTGTTACTCGTTGAAAACTGCTCGAAATACTCACGCATTCTGGTCATTGCAGTCAGCATCTTACAGATCGAACACACAGTTAAGGAGAAACCACTTACGCCTAGGTTGACACGATCAATCGCAGCCATTGCGTAGAGAACCCCCAAGAGACCGCAAATTCTAATATCTGTTTTCCTCTTGATCTCCTTGATTCTCGGGTCCGAGCCGTCCAACAAAGACACGTCCTCCAACTCATGTTGTCGACCTTCGACATCTTTGAATTCAGACTGGTGAGGAGTGTCGATTTCTTGCTCAACTTGCTTAGCCATTTTCTGTGATATCGATTTAGTCTGATATGGTGACTGGGGCAATAGCTATGAGTGGCTCCTATACGGCGCAATCTGTACTTATAGCACCCCAATGGTCGCGTTGAAACTGCGGAGATACCCCAGATTGCCCTCCGCCCCGCTATTTACGCAGCATCAATATTGAGCTATAGACGAGAGCAAATCGTGGCCGAAAAAAATTAGTTATGGTATACACGTAAGCTGTACAGACGAGAGACGCGTGTGGTATTTACCAGAATCAGTGGACGGCCTGACAGAATGGGCCACGAAGAACGGCTGGTCAATCTTCAGGTCTGGTCAAGCCGTAGAGTCGTCGAGCCCGCTCGCCTGTGCGCGTGCCTTCCAGTCTGGCGAAGGCCAGTGCTCAAACCAGCAGCAGCCCGTGGTAACCTGTCATACTTCTCCAAACACACACATAATCGGGTGGTTAGTAACCAAATTGCCCCTATCCACTTCGAGCCTTGGCAGTGGGGGTCGTTCTGGTAGACGGCAAGGAAGATGGGCAGTGAGATTCCCAAAAAGCAGGGAAATATTGGCAGCCGTGACTTAGTCGGAATTCGGATCTCAGAAAGAAAAGAAGATGGTTTGTGTACTCATCTAGGTTGGTGTATCTCTATTGAGACTTAGTGACCATGCGAGACCGCATTCGTCGCATCCAAGACCGGATTAATGGGACAAGGCTTCACAGGTCGTAACAGGTCGTAACAGCTCCAAGCGACAAATTCAGCGCAAATTGTGAGCTATGCACAGTCGTGGAAACAGTTACACAAACTCGGTCAAATTCTTACTATCATGAATCAATCGCTTCTTCCCATTCGGCTATGGAGGCTGTGCTACTGGGACGTTCCATCGCCATCATTCTAAGCCCTCCCTTTCAAGCTGCGCCAGATTATATGTCATCACTAGACGACCAGTATCTACCAACGCTCGTGATCGCTCTGAGCTAGTGAAGAATTGCCTCCATCGTTCATTAGAAGGCCATTGTTGTAATCCAGACTCTCTCCCTCTGAATACCATTACCTTCTGAGAATGGTGGAAAGGTTCCCATGGCTGCTTTCCATGAACGAATGTCGAGATTGCCGTCGTCAACGCATCAGAAGTCAACTTCATATCGGGATCCGCATTGGCACCTGCGACAGCAGGCATCCTACACAGAAATGGTAGATCTAGGCAATGATAAGCCTTGCCTCTGTAGTTGCTTTCCTCAAACGTGTCGGGTTGCTCGAAATGATAGACACTCACTGGTGCTCGAAGCTGGCCCAAAACTTGTGGAAACAGTCCAAAAAAGCTCTCAGTAGTAAGATCGAGTAATCCTTTCAAAGTGTCTTGATGGAATTTAGAGGCTATGCCGTACGTGTGGACGATTTCGTCGCCCATCTTCTGGTTTGGCACGACTGATTTGACGGCGCTGAGGATGACCTCTGGCGTGAATGGTGTCCAGAAAGGTCGGATATTTGCGGTTTCGTCCTTGGTAGACCCAATCAAAATACCTTCGACCCAGTCGGGAAGAGATTTGGTCTCGTCAAGTCTTGATGGTCCATTCAAGGCCGAAAACCATTTCGGGTCCCAAGATGGGCGAATGAGAACGGCTCCATCTAGCCATGCTGTCATCTGCTCATCACTGAGACTCCTCAGCGCTGCCAATTTCTCCTGGGCTGAGGCGTTTGGGTCAATACCAGCTCTTGCAACCAAGGTGTCGAAAACCTCTTGATTCTCGTTCTCAGTTGGGAAAGAGATGACAGTCGCTGACATGATTAGACCTCTCTTACACAGTGCCATGTTAGTGACAAGGTGGCTTAGAGCCGACCAAGCTCCGGCTGATTGCCCAGCAACAGTCACATTGGAAGGATCTCCGCCAAAATATGCGATGTTGTCTTGAACCTAATCATAATTTCCACTAAGCAGTTATTTCAGTGTAGGAGCAGGCATCTTACCCATTGTAATGCCTGACGTTGATCATGAAGTCCCAGGTTCGGACAGTACTCTTTGTTTTCGGCTTCGGCTTCCATTTGCAACTCGCGAGAACTGAGAAATCCATAATATCCTAGTCGATAGTTGAGCGTGACAAAAATAATGGGTTTGTCGACTCTAGAGGCCTCCTGCACAATGAATGTCCCCTCTGCCGCAATCAGTATCCAATTCAGTACTACTTTTCTTGAGAATGAACTCACCATACTCAGCACCCCCATCGCCAAATACCCAACCACCACCGTGGATCCAGACAAGAACAGGGAGACTTGACTTTTCCGATACAGCCTGCACTGGAGTGTAGACGTTGAGATTCAAGCAGTCATGTTCAGAAGCAGGGCTGTTGGATGGAAGCCGAACTCCTTGGTATAGGTGTTTGCGCCTTTGAGGCCCATGGTTGAAGGATTGGGGGCAGCGTGGCCCGAAGTTTGTTGCATCTACCCTGTCTCCTAATGAGGCGAGATATATCCTCTGGGCAATGCTGAATCTCTGTTTAACTTTTGCATAGGGTATTCCGAGGAATTTCGCTACTCGCAGTTGTGAAGACAACCCTCGAATCTGAGTTCCATTGACATCGATCTCAAAGCTCGCATCCTCTGGCCTATTCGTTATCATCGCCAATGGTTTTGGCACTCGCTTTCCCTGATAATACTAGAAATTCGTTGAGCAAATTTAGCTGCTGCTTTCTCTCACATGCTAGAATGCGAATGCTAGGCGCGCTGGTTCTTTTTCTTCCTTCCTGTACCAACCTGTTGTAAGTACCGTGCAAGAATCATCGCCCCGTGACTCTACAACCTAGAGCTCTCTCGGGATATGCTCTAATGTAGATAGATCCACCTTTGCATGGCAATCGGCTAGTTCCATTGACAGTCGAGTGGCTTGTTACAATTACGTGAGCACTGGTGACTGTCCCTCGATTTCCTTTACAGTTTGACACTTTGTCACAAATAAAAGATCTATTCAAGAAAGGATTAGAAGTACTCCACTACTACATAGTAGGCTCAACTCCACTCTGATTACTCATTATTGATTTACATATTTGCTTTCCATAACATCATTTTGTAATTGACAATAGCCTCGCGAGTCAAAGGTTTCGGACGAGGAACTGGCGTATTGCTTCCCCTCAATGTGCAGTCGATCCCGGTTGCTATTATACTCACATCATCACATAGCTCGGGATGCGCAGCTGCAAAGACAGGGTCTACCTTGACAGTACGCCGGTCTTCCATGTGCAACAACCTGAATAGTTTCAATGCCGCTTTCCGTGACTGATAGATTTGGTCAAACGGCATTTTGATCCAAGTTCCATCGCTCCCTGGCTGCTCAATTTCGAAAGGACTCGTGGGCCCTGCGAACAGTCCTTCATCTAGATGAATTTCACTTCCCCACAAATCTGGGTTAGGCTGAGCTGGATGTACTCCTGTGCCTTCGCGGGAAATTGTCTGTACAATATCCCAGATGCTGAAATATCCTTTCCGAGCTGGGAAGTTCTCCATTCCAGTCACAAGTCTGGTTAGGTCTGCTTCCACAACATACGCGTTGACAAGTTCGCACACGATCTCATCCAACATCCAACTGTGTGAATACAGCTCTATCATGCGATCTCGAATTGAGGGAAAGAATGCCCAATCAATAATATCTGGATGCGCGGTACATAATTGGAGTGCTGTCGGGCGATGGGTCAAAGGCAAAGACTTGTAAGTCTCCAGACAAGGATCAAGTTTCCAGCGCACAAGCTTCTCAACAACAGTTGAAGACTGTATGTACGCCCACCAAATCCTCATATCTGGCCAACAAGTATTGACAAACATGTTAACCATTGTGGTTATTAGTTTGGCATAGCTGCATTCTGGTTAGGCAAGATCTCAAACTTCCACTGGCTGTGTTGATAATTACTTACGATTCTTTGCCCCCTATCTGAAGTCGATCCCGATAAGCTTGATTTTGTTTGGTGAAGTACTCGCACACAGCAAGGTGCGCCGAGAATAAAGAAGGAAAACTTGCAACACCTGGTGGAAATCCGATATTCATAACTGGAAACTTCATGCTCTCACCAGGAGAACTAGAATTGAAGAAGGGGAAGTGCATTTGCGCGCTCTCTGATTGATTTTCGTCCCGTGGCCATCGAGATACCTCGTGGTCAATGAAATCTGTGTATGTGTGATTGCTAGGCTGCTGTGTATGATTGGCCGTCTGCATGAGGGTGTTTGGAGATAAGAATGGATTGGTAGACATAATATTGTTGTGCTGGCCATTCACCCAGGAAACTTGATCAAGTCCACTTATGGTTTGTTGAGGTTCGTTGCCAAGTATACTCTGCGACTCGATGGCTGTACCAATTGTTCGATTTTCGTCTAACAAATCCTTGTGCTGTGGGTTACTGGTTTGGATATCATACAAAGATGACTCAGGCCCGTCAATATCTCCATCGACGTCAACTTGACTACCGTCTTGTTGGCCGTGCCCATCACTGTCTTGACCTTGACTTTGATCTTGAGACAACCCAATCTCAATACCGTCTGTGAGGCAGTCCAATGATGTGTCGATATTATCTGCAATTCCAGACAATACCGTGCATAGGCCCAAGATTCGAGTCTTTGTGGCCATCAAGGCCTCACGTAGTCTATGGCATTCTTGCTCTGACCTCTTAAGCCTTGGACTTTCGTCCTGTGATGTCTGAGCAACCTTATGCTCCAATTCCTTTACATATCGTGCTTGCCGCTCCCTGAACGACCTTTGTGCAACACGATTGCGGGTGCGCCTAGTGTCATCATGGTCAGTCTACTGAAAAACGATTGCAGGGGACGATGTAAATATTGCATACCGTTTCGCAATTGCGATCGGTGTAGGACCGGATTGCTCGCCTCCAGGAGCCATAGCGCATAATGTTAAGAGAGAGCGTGGTGACTGTGCAGTTGATTTCTAACAGCCTCAGCGAACGCTGGTAAGTAGACATGCGGAGTACTTTAGGAACGATCATTGGAAGACTTGGGGCCAAGCCCGAGGTTCACTTTCTAAGCCCATGGGGTAAGGAGTTACCCCATTGATATCGGTTTGCTAAGAGGCTGGTCGTTTACTCGTAACTCAGGTAGGTAGAGTGGATACGTCAGTGTGCCGAACATGCCGTGTTTGTCGTTCATGTTTTTGGCGGCTTCTTGGCCGCTCCGTTTACCCCTTCTTAGACCATGAATGATTAATGGACCCGCGAAGCCACTGGAATTAGGGTTTGACAATGCTGGTGCAGACTCGGCAACCATCGCAAGGCCCTTGTGCCAGGCTCAATTAATGCTGAATACGCTGCGGGGAAATTCCTGGCACAGATGATGATGGAACCGATATGGTAAGAAACATGTTTAGTCATTGATCACGACTCTCTTGGAATAGCCAAAGTAGTTTCGTATCGCATTAATTAGGAAATCAGCAGAAAATAATGGCAGTTGAAAACTGAACCAGCATTGAGGTCAGGACGTTCACCTGCCGGATACTATTAACATATCGCATCGCATTCAAGAAACTTCGATTCTCTACTCATCGACTCCGAGTAATTCCTTCACCATCACAGCGCAAACATGGCTACCACATGGACAGGTCGCACAATTGCCATAACGGTATGAAATCTGATTCTCTGCGAAGTCACCATCAACGGTTTCTAACCTTCTTCAGGGAGGAGGCTCAGGCATTGGCCTAGCTACCACACTGGCTCTGCTCAATGCTGGCGCTAACGTATATGTCGCGGACGTCGCCCAAGCTCCAAAAGAGCTCGAGGGTAAGGCGAACCTGCACTATGATGGGAATTGTGACATCACAAAACGTGAAAGTTGCAAGAAGTTTATTGACTCAATACCCGGAAACCTCGACGGCCTTGTGAACTGTGCAGGTATTTGCCCCGTCGAGGGTAAAATGGCTCCCGATGAACTGTTTGCTCGGATCCTGAGTATCAACGTCACGGGTTCCTGGAATATGGGTACAGAAGCGATTCAGAGAATGACTCAACAGAAAGGAAGTTCAATTGCAGGAATCTTGCCCGGGAGTGAAAGAACTCTCGGAGCTGGTGTCATCGTCAACATCGCCAGCGGTGCCTCTCTCCGTGGAATTGCCGGGCTGGGCGCGTATTGCACTTCTAAGCATGCCGTCCTGGGAATGACACGATCATGGGCTAAGGAATGGCCCACCCTACGAGTGAACGCGATAGCTCCAGGCGAGTCCTCTTCCCCATATCAAGCTGTTAAATGGCTAACAAGCAGTTGTAGGCGTGACAGACACACCACTATCAAGAGGGGCGACAAGTAATACTGGTAACACAGAAGATCTAAAAAAATTGTCTTCTGCGCTATCCTCAAGGATTCCTTTGGGAAGAATGGCATATGCCACAGACATTGCAGATGCTATTCTTTTTGCTCTATCAGATTCAGCTAGTTTCATAACGGGACAAGTTATCCCCGTGAATGGAGGGTCTGATTGAGCAATTCTGCGCTCAGAAGCTTATCTTAGATTCGTTTATGACATATCTTTCATTACAAATTTTAGTCTCCTTCGTATTCAGGCACTGTCTCGCCAACATTTGCAGACTCCATTGTAAGACTGAGGTTCAGGATTTTACGATGGATGACCACCTGCCATTGAGAAAGGTTAAGGAGGGGTTCAATACCTATAGCCATGCACAAAATAATCCCTGCCGTTTAAGTAAGACCTTTCTACCTCTGATATTCTTATCGAATACTTAGTTGCTTCTGACGAAGTATTTATGGTATTCTTTTGAAGACTTTCCCTTTACGCAAGCGCTCTTAGTATCGTCTCCGGACGATGCCCTACCTTACATCATCCTTCCTCCTGATATTTCTTTTCAACTCCTTATACTAACGGTGATATTCGTTCAATAGTTAGTATACGATATAAGTATGTCATATATAGGCTGTATTCCTAGTCCAATCTTCCCACTAGGTCTTTTGTCAACCCTGTCCTACAAATCCTACCATTGTACATTGCTTAATCGGTTTAAGCAGTGCATTCGATTTCGAATTGTAAAATTAGTGTATTGAGGTTTCGCGCTCATCCCATGACGGATCCTGTAATACCTGCCCATCCATCAGGCCATGAATATAGGAACTCTCTTAAATTGTGAGAATCCAGGCCGATCGTCGCATTTCCTAACAATGTAGAGTATAATTCTTCCAGAGAAACTGTAGACTTTATCCTCGTTTTGTGCCGTCCACGGGACTAGGCGCACGTATCCCTTTCGTGTCCTAGCTATATTGTGACCGCAATGCGATTGACAGCATCGAGGCATTCACTTTCGCGCTCGGTACAACGCAATGAGGGACTTGAAGATGGCGCTAAATGCCTTCGCCCTCGAGTACCATAGCTCAGACCTACTGCTAGACTTCTCGTCGGATAGCGCAAGCACCCGTTCGCCGGGCATTGGCGCTTTCACAGTCCGCAATGTCGTGAACGAGCACTTCTGGACTCCTTCTACACACTCTTCAATCACTCCCCATTGAACCGGTAGAAGATGCGCTTCGGTATCAGCCCGAGGACGATGGCAATTTGCACTAATGGCCAAGCTGCAGGTGGACACCAAAGGCATTGCTGACGCAGCAGGGTATTTCCGAAAAAATGCATTTGCTGATTGGGCTATCAGTAACAACGCTGGGAGAATAATCGCAAATATTGCCGGTATAATGCTGAAGCCAGAGGTCGTCCAGCCATCAAGAGTTGTGAACGGTATTCTGGTGAAGTCAAAGCTCATGACACGAATGACGAATGTTGTCTGCGAGAGAAGCCAATGCTCAAGTGAGAATAGAGCCATAATTGGCATACCGTAGCGCAGCGGTATTGAGACAAAATATGTCGAACGCTGAATCCCTACTGGATGCGACACGCGTAATGTCTTTCTTTCTCTTGCGAAGCCAGTCCATTCATATGCAATGAGCTGGCAAGAAAGTAATGCATTTTGAGCAATATAACAAAGGGATACCAGCACTTGCCATATGTTGGCAATCATGATGTTCGCGAATAGGCCGCTTTTTCCCTGCACACACATGTTAGTCCTGTCGGTAACCGAATGCTCCTACTTACTGTCGTTGGTTGGCTCCATTCAATCAATTCCTTGTAGTTGGGCGTGCCCCATCCCATGTCCCACAAAGTGCCCCAGGCAATACTATGGTAGTATCGCTTGACGACAGACAGTGCTGTTGCGAAGATGACAAGTCCAGCGCCCAAGGTAATGATCGACCTATGTTACGTTAAGGTTTTCGTCGCTCGACGCCATCTGTGAAACTCACGTCGTCATCGTGAACCACCATCGGCCTTTGCTCCCGGCATTGAACCACCTGATATCTTTTGGCAACCACAGTTGCGGGCCCCCTCTGGCGTGCGCGAGACTGCCATTAGTTGTTCTTGCAAGAGAACTGGATGTTGCGATACCAAGCTTTTCGGTGATGGCATCGGGGTATTCGAGGAACGAGGCTATGGCGTCTCCCAGTGTGCAAATGGTGTGCTGTGGCCTACCATATAATAGCCACAAGACCCCAATACATTTAATAAAGTTGAAGATGCTTGTGACTAGGAAAAATTGTGTCAGTTGGGCCGAAAATGATTGGATTCGCCTACCTAAAAGTACCCAAGGTGCGCATTGAACCCGGCAAGCACTAAACGCGCTCGCTGCGGACGCGTCTGGTACTTGCAAGCAGTATTGAACGCGGTGACCCTTGGACTTCCATTCATCCATAATGGACTCATTCAATGCTGAGACAGGCTGGAACAGATTCGCCCAGTCCTTGCTCCACACGATCGGATCAAGTTCTGCATTTGTAGCGCTGTTTGGATAATGTGCCTGCCATACTAAAAGCGATGTGTTGAATTCTGAAGCTGTTTCGTAGTCATTCGACACAAGCAACACATTTGGACGCAGTACGTAGGGGTTGGAGTAATGAGATAAACATGCGTAATTCGATAGCCTTTGATACTTTTGCAGATTAATTTGCACATCATTGTGGATCGCTTCCAGAGTCTCTATTGCTTCGGGTGATGGCTCTCCGAAAGAACCAAAGGACGGCATCACATCACCAACAACTGGCATCGCATAATAAGCGACCGTATGTAGGGCTCGGTTGATATCTGTCGGTGCCGCTATCGCGGACCCATTCTCAAGCACAAACGTCACACCATCAGACGGAGGATACAAGAATGCCTCAGTGACGGTGGCGTACATGAAAGAGTTTGACGACACTGTAGAAAAGACGGTCGCATTGTACCTGAATTTATTAGCTAGTGGCACTCAACGGTGGTGGCGCACGAACAGGAAGTGAATTGGCAGTGCACTAAATGCAAGCAGTACTGCAACAATGATGGTCGTACGAGGAAGAATTCTGATATTTCGAATGCTCGGTACGCCAATATCAAGCCATTGGCCACTGCAGTGGGCCCTGTCGACCTCTGTCCGAGTCGGTGACACGATCAACTGCAGTGATAGATTCGACATGCTAAGCAAAATTGTGCTCAGCACGTTGATAAGAACGTGTAGGCCCGAATCGAGTCGCTTTGCGAATGAACAATCACCTTGATATAGCGTCGCAACGCCATCGCTCGATAATGGGTACTTGAGCCATACCACGATCGTGACAATGAAGTTAAGGAGAAAGATAGAAAGAGTCGACGCAAACGAGATCCAAATTACGGTATTGCGTTGCGACCTCCGACTCTTCCACGTTCGCTTGTGCGGGTCGACGTTCGGGAACCAAGGCGCAAGAAACTCGACCGAGCCAAATATATGGTCGTTGCTTTGATCCGATGCGGCTGCGAAAGCCAAGAGATTTTCATTGCCGTCAGAAGGCTCTGTGGTCGGCTGGCATATTTGTCCGGACGAGCTACTTTGTGTGTCAGTCGTGCCACATGCAGTCAGTACTACATACCTGTTCGCCAGAGGTGCGTCGCTCTTTGGGATATCTGCAGCTGTTACGACAGCGCTGCTTGAAGCCTCCTCCGGCTGCGACTGGGAATTGGTTTGGACTTCGGTTAGGCCATTCATGTTGTCGGAAGGGATCTCGGCAATGAGTCAATGTAGAGAAAAATCCATTGGCAGATTGATTCTCACAGGCAGTGCAGAGATAGGTCAATGGCAGTCGTCTTAGCCACATGGCATGCTCAAAGGCGAAGAGCTCCGTGCAGCACAGGACGTCGTGATAACAGGCTGGGCGAAATAAAGAACTGCCGAACATTGAGTCCCATTTATATCAAGCAGCTTTTTCAGTATTGGGATGGTATTAGAGACATTACAAGCGGGGATCCGCTGGGTCGTCACATTTACATTAGTATACAATACAGCCAAATTGCTGTCAACACTAATGCGGTTACCCTTTCCATGATGTGACCGCTGGTGGGTTGAAACAACAGCCAGTCTCAACCCGTATCTAGACTTTCGTGGTTAGCTGAAACAGAATCAATCCAGTCTGGGGGACCATATTGAGGCTGTTGTGGGATATTATTTGAGGGCCAATTCTCTATCGTCGAGTCACAAGGACGACTCGAACCCCCGAGACATGCAGCCGCCTTGTTCAAGCGTGAAGAGTCTCGGGTTTGCATTTAACTAGGCAACCGAAGCCAGCTAGGCTTGACGAGTGCAGGTCGGCAATTGCTAGCCAATCGTACTTTAGCGTCCTAACCAGAGTGTGTAATTACGGTGGATGACATAGCTATTTGTTTTTGCAGCTGGGAGGGGCGGAGAATGGAGTGTTCACTTCAGATCATGATCAGGTCCCCTTCTGACACCCAGAGCAGCTTGTCGCTTGATTTGACAGATGTAGGCGGTTTCGACGGCAACAGCAGGAGCAATTTGGAGGTGCGAGACTAGTATATACCACTTTTGGGGCAATGAACTCCCATTCATCTACAACTTGTGTGCCATTCCAAGTTACTACGCCTGCGCCAGCACATAATCGTTCAGAAACAAGCATTCTGGAGATAAATGTCACGGGGACTGGCCGCGGCTTACTAAACTTGGGTGCAAGTTGTGCGATTTAAACCTCTATTGGGGAAATGGGTTGGTTTACCAACTTTCAGCAAGCTTACGTAGAAATTTGGTCGTAAGAGCCATCGCAGCCCCGGGTGATCTCAACTCCCCATGTCTTTGAGGGGCGAGAGCGAGAAGTGGTAGATGAATAAGGCTAGACAAGCTCAACTCTGAAAGGGTCCTTGATCGGACGAATTCTGCTCCTTTCTGAAGAGATCCAATGGTACAAATGTCTGCCCAGAAATTTCTTGATGAACATAGGAGTGGAGGTCCCTAACGGCTCTGCCTTTAGAGATGGTGCTTCCTCTTTCTCCGACTGAAACCTAACTAGGGTAGTTTTCTTAATTCTCCAAACTCTCTCGAGACTCTCGAGCTCCTGGAATCCTTCATATCCATAAGATGCCCATCATTATCTCAAAACTCCTCGACATTATTGCTAGCAATGGCTCCTTGATATCTCCGTCGGCCGGAAATGGAGAGAAAGAAGAGGCGGCAAAACGAGAGGTGATCAAGGCAGCCAATGCTCTCATTTTCGCTTTGGAACGTCCAGGAGACTACTTGGCCAGAGTGGGCTGGGGAGAACCTAGTCGAACTGCCGCTCTACGCACCGCCTTTGAATTAGGCATTCTGGCCAAGTTGGATATGCGGACACCTAAGACCAGTGCTTAACTGACCAAGGGCACCAAGGGAGATCCTGAACTGGTTGCAAGAATATTGAGGCATCTTGCTGCAAACAATGTGGTGAGGGAGGACGGCCGTGATCAGTACTTGACCACCCCATTCGTCATGGCGTCCAACGACCCGTAATTCGCAGCAGGGTTGATCTATAGCTTTGAAGCCATGATTCCAACTTCCCAAGGTCTTCCCGAATTCCTGGCCCAGACAGACTACCAGGTTCCTCACGATGATCAAAAAGGCCTTATACAGTACGGCTTACGGACTGACAAGTCTTTCTTCGGTGTTCTACAAGAGAACCAACGATTGGGCGCAGCTTTCAACCGCTTCACGACGGTCTATGCGCAACAACGGCCACGCTGGGTGGATTTCTACCCGTGCGAAGAACGATTGCTTTATGGGATGAATGCATCTACCGGACCACTGCTCGTCGATGTCGGCGGGGGATTGAGCGGGGAGATTCGCGCCTTTCACACCAAGTATCCGATGGCTCCTGGGCGCCTCATTCTAGAAGATCTTCCAAATACGATCAGTCAAGTCGTTGCAACGGATCCCCCCCTCCCTGCGGCTGTCGAGCCAGTTGAGCAGGACCTCCTCACTCCCCAGCCGCTTGAGTATCAACATGCCCGTGCATACTTCCGACTTTTGATCCTTCACGACTGGCCTGAAGACAAGTGCCGCGCCATTCTGTCTCATTTGCGCAACGCCATGAAACTTGGCTATTCGGAAATTCTGATCAATAAAAATGTCCTGCCTGGTACTGCGGCGCCGTGGCAGCAAACGAGCCTAGTCTGGACCATGATGGCCATGCTAGCCTCTCAGGAACGAACTCGTAGCCAGTGGAGTCAGATGCTGATGGCCGTTGGATTGAAGATTGTGGATATATATTCAATAGATCCTACGAGCGAGAGCCTCATCGAGGCTACGCTTCCCGACAAATAATCTTGGAAACTGGAAGGATAATAGTGGAGAGGACGGCTCTGATCAACATAGACGCCACGTACTCGCAGCCTGTTTAGCAATACCATTTGATATTCGCATTCTCCCACGGAAAGCATGGACGGATTTTGAAGATCGTTCTCTAAGAGTAGATTACTAGATTTTCTAGATTCCCCATCCGGAAGGCATACTGTCTTCCGGGTGTGACCTTTGCACAAATACTATCCTTTTTCAGTCACATTTTGAATTCGCCTCCATGAGCAATATGCCAATCGGGTTGGAAAAGTTGTCAGTATTCGCCGTAGGGTGGAAACTCATCGATCAACAATTTTTGAACAGGCAAAAGGTTCGAATCGCCAACTTGTGGAAACAGCTATCGTGTTTTGATATACGTGGCTAATGGCCGTCTTCATCGCTTCAGCTTGCTCTAGCTTCGCTTTATCATCGTCAAGAACACCTCCGTGATATAGGTTGACATGTGCCCAAAACCCCGTGCTTCTCGTAGCCTAGTAGTGCCCGCTGGTATTTTAAGTTCCTTTTCCCAAGATCTATATTAAAAGACGAAGTCCTATGAGGTCCATTGTGAACTTATTCTTCGATAGACCCAAACCGAGCTGTCGAGATATAATACTAGAGGACGCGGGAAGGGTTTAACACTATAACGATAACCTCGACACCGATCTTCCCCTTCTCCTATAATTTTCTCTTATTTTCCTCTCACTATTTTATATTGGACCTTTAGATCAGCCAGACCAGGACCACAGGATCTATTGGTCACAAGACCGCCTATTAGGGTTTAGGTTTTTTTTTACTCTACATAAGAATAGATAGGTCTCCGTTTTCAGGAACTGGGAACGGACAATCAATCATGTTACACATAAACAAGTCCTCTCCTGTATTGAGGTTCAGTCCATGGCATCTTTGATGTCAAGTGCTACCATTGATGGAAATATCTCTATTTACATGCGGTATCTCTTTTGCAGCGCCATTCGTGTACGCCCGAGTCGGAAGCAGCGCGCCTGGATCATCATCGGTCCCCAGGTAGTACGAAAGATCACTGCCATCAAACTCCTTTATACTGAATCCATTTCCAAGAAAACCGAAAGGATTTCCATGTTGATAAACAATTTCGTAGTCCTCAAAGCGCGGTTCTTTGAGGAGGTCCATGTAGACGAGTCTACTGCCAGGAAAAACTGCTGGCTTACCATCCAGTCGCCCTTGTTTGAACCAACTTCTGCAGACTCCCGACCAGGCAGTCCGCTGCAGAAATAGATCTGCGTGTTCGGCGAAGGACTCGCTGATATCTCGTTTTGGGGCCATCGATTTGATATTTTCCTTTTGCATCTTCTTGACGATTGTAAGAATATGTCTTGTTACGAGTTCGATTATCGGTATGAATGAACCATGGCCTAGAGGACCGTAGGGGCCGACTCCCATCCAATAGTTGGGAACTGGAAGAACAATCAGTTAAGCATCTGAGATTTGTGTGGAGGTACATACTCTCTGGGACCGCAATTGAGAGATACGAGACTAAGCTCTGAGCAAGATTTTCCTGTACGTTCTTGCCATTTGCGATAATAGGAATTCGAGGGATCCAGCTCGTATCAAAGCTTGCTCTCCATTAGCACGTACTTGGAAATGAGGCGAATGACCCTACCCAGTAGCACATATGATCACGTCGACTTCATGCTCAACTCCATCCTCATTGACAAAACCACTTGGAGTAATTCTTTGGAGTCCCTGAACGAATGCCTTAACATTGTCTCTGGTGAGAGCCTCTAGGAAACCATTCCCTGGCTAAATGCCAATGTCAGTGGGAGTGGGAGTCAGCCTAGTCTCTAGGACTTACTGTAGGGCGCCTGCACCCAACATTGAAGGCTTTAGGTATTATCTTGTTGATAAGCTCTTCATTGCCACCTAAACGCTCTTTCATCTGGTCGGTTGAAAACTGTACGATAGTGAGATTAATAATGAAACACAGTAACCGAGGAAGACCTACCTCTTTGGCTTGTGCCGCCTCTGGTGTACCATTAAGGATGAATTTGAACCGCTGATTGAGCTCGCTTTCGATCTGTTTGCAGTAATGAAGATATTCCAGTGGATCTTGTTCGAATTTTGTCTTTTGTTCTTTCGAGTCTGACTCAAGACTTAGCCACTTATCACAAGCAGGCAGGATTGACATACATTCAAAATTTGTTCCATTAGGACCAGCCCAGTTCTGCGCAAATCCTGCAGTGACCCAAGTTGGAGACCGGATCCAGGTGTAGAGTTGGCCAACCTTGTCAGCTATTTCGGCGGTCACTTGAATTCCACTGCTACCTGTGCCAATTACGGCCACTCTTTTCCCAGTGAGGTCAAGGCTAGTGTCGTAACGAGCTGTGTGGCAGATTACGCCCTCAAATGAGCTCAAACCATCAATATTGGGCATTTTCCAATTGCTAGAAACCACGTTAGTTTCTGCCTTTTATTCTGTTTCGAGAAATCAGTCTCACTTGAGGACGCCAGCATTGTTGATTAGAACTTCTGCAGTGTCGGTGAAAGTCACATCATTTTGGAGGTCCCTCACTGTGACCTCCCATACACCTCTCAGCTCGTCCCACGATGCTGCCATCACTTCATGGTTCAGCTTCATGTACTTCCTCAGGGTGAACTGCTCAACAACGTTCCGTAGATACTCCCATATCTCCCCAGCATAGGAATAGAAGTGCGACCATTTTGGATTCCTCGCCCACGTAAACTTTCTTCGTGTCAGTATCGTTTTCTCTGAAATTTGGAGCTGGTCATACCTGGTAATTTACCGATGGTATATCGCAAGCGCATCCTGGATATCTTTGTTTGAGATGAGCCAAGTCTTCTCGCAACGTATGCCGATAACTGCTTACCTATTCTCGAACCACGTTCCCCCAATATCTGAGTTCTTGTCGTAGCAGACGAGGGATACATTGTTCAACGTTTCAGGAGCGAATTTTGCCATGCATATGCCAGAGATTCCGGCCCCGATGTGAATTATCCTCAGAGCCTTCTCCGTGCCATATGGTTGCTCCTGAATACGGTAGCCTCGCTCGTTTGCCTGTGGCCAACCATACTTAGTTGCCAAGTCCTCAGGGTGTAGAGTCGTGTCTAGCCCAACGTTGACCTCCGTATCTGGAAATTCTACCATCTTTGCGACCTTGAGGGTGGAAGTGTCAATTGTTAGCACGCTGCAGATAGCAGTTCATTTTCTGTTCGCGACTTCGATGAAATCGTTTCAGCCATGCTCGCCATCATGCCAAGGCAACATGGCCGGTGTCTCGAGACCACGGCTAAGCGGCGTTTGAATGGTCAAGCGGGTTATGTCCTATTCGTCTCGACGTTGGGCTCAGTTCTGTTGTTAGTCATAAATGGCCCACCAAGCTTACGTGTGTACCTCCGACTGGTGACGGGGCGACTTGTCATCGCCAATGTCGAGGGTTAGTGGCCAAGTGCTCCCCGCACCCCAGACTTCTCCATTATTACGTGGTGACCTCGATGAATTAGGGTGGGTGGTTAGCAGTGAGGTAAGTGCCCATTCTCCCAGGCATCAATTGAAATTTAACCACTAACTTCCGAGGCCCAATGAGCTGCGTTTTGGCTAGGTGCTATGAGCGAAAACGAATGTTTTATTTTGTCCCCATTTCATGCAAACAAATGCAGGTAAGGCTTGAAGCCTGATATGAAGTGATTTCGCTCGGAAACAATTGTTCGAACTGTGCTAGCGTATCACTATCCTTCACTTACATCCTTCTTCCTTGATAGCATTTAACGATACCCGATCATAATCAACATGGCGCCAACTCCTTATCGTATGAAAGGGTGAGTAGCCCTCAAAGAAAGCTTCTTCGCACGGAACATGACCTAAAACAGCGTTGCACTCATCACTGGCGCTGCATCAGGGATCGGCCGCGCGGTCGCGCATACTTTTGTCGCCGAGGGATGCACACGGCTTGTTCTGGCAGATCTCAATGGAGATGGCCTTCAGGATGTTGCGAGAGAGCTGAAGGCACTGGATTCCGTTGTACAAACGTGTCTGGTCACATGTGATGTTTCCGAGGAGTCTCAAGTTCAAGGAATGATCGATGAAGGAGTGGCAGCATTTGGTGCGATTCATTATGCAGTCAACAATGCTGGTATCTCGAGCAAACCTAGAGTCAGAACTCATGAGCTTGAGGTAGAATCCTACGATCGAGTGCATAGCGTCAATCAAAGAGGCGTGTGGCTCTGCGAGCGAGCAGAGTTGAGGCAAATGTTGAAGCAGGAACCAGAGCTCCGTTCAAGGTAAGGCCTCAAACGGACGGCACAACAATGAAGAGAGTTGACCATGCAAATAGGGCTGGTACCACTCCTCAGAGAGGGTCGATTGTGAACATATCTTCGATTTTTGGTCGTGTTTCGCATGGCAACGTCGGAGCGGTAAGTGGCGCGCCTAATGTCGGCATTCGCACGCTCTAATCTGCATGTGAAGTATGGTGCCTCGAAAGCAGCAGTTCTTGGCATCTCGCGAACGGACGCTTGCGCTTATGGTAAAGATGGAATTCGGGTTAACTCGGTCTGTCCTGGATATATCAGAACACCTCGTATGTTGATTATACCACGTTCTGATTCTGAAACTAACGATAGAAGTGCTGGACCATCAAATAAAAATCGGTACTTATCCGGAAGAAATGATCAAATTGATCCCGCTTGAGCGATGGGGGCTTGCCGAGGAAATAGCTGAGGGAGTTGTGTTTCTTGCAAGCGAAAAAGCGAGTTTCATTACGGGAGAGGAACTTTATATCGATGGAGGGTCGGTGGTGAAATGCCACGGATGATAAGGGCCCAACTTTCCAGATTCCTGGCTCGAGGCGTATTTCAAGGACACTGACGGCTATAATATCTTCCCGTTTAATCACCTAACTAGGTGGTAGGATTGAGTGGACCTACCAATTTCGAGATGTGGTTCTCATTTGCGTCGTATCAAATCGAACTTGGGTGTTTGAGGTAGCGATGAAAGTCATTTTCTGCGATTATTGCATCTGTCCTCAAGATGTTTTCCATCGCCTCTTCGCTCAGGAGAAAGCACTTTAGCAACTAGAGGCCTACCTCGACCTGTTCAATGAAGGAGGAGGCCAGAAAATCTTCGCGTTCACCACCCTTGGGACTGAGTACTAAAGCTAGAACCTACCACAATATGCTGCTTCACCAATATGGTACATGGTGCGTAGACTTTCCGTCTGTATCTGTTGGCTCGGAGGCTTCTACATGGAAGATCTTTGAGCTCTAAAGAGAGAGATTCGCCATGGGCTCATCTATGAGATGTGGTTAAAAGTACTGAATGTTGATCCTTGGCGAGGAAAACAACTCGGCCTCTCCAGTCAGGATACCAGATATGGCAGAAGGGTCTTACTGTTCACAAAAGGACTTCCAACGGCTGGGAAAGCCGACCGGACTATGCTCCTCGAAGTCTATGTGCAATTGGCCAACATGAAACTCAAAGAAAAGGAGGAGCAAATGCCCATGGTGGAGCATGTCTACCTAGAAGTGATTGGTATCTTAGAAACCCACTTGGCTTGCTTCTCCACGAAATGTCGCTGAACGCCCGCAGTTTCGGCACTTTCTAGGTAAGCCCCGCCAAATCCCTAGTCACCTCCGCAAGGCTACGCCCCTAATCCTGAAACGCTAGTGATATTGATAGCCTATGCATTCGCACTTGTTCGTAATCACCATACCCCTAAAAGACATGATTTGCGGCATTCTTTCTTTGACCGGCTTCTGTAGTCCAGCTACCTGCCGAACTTCTACATATCAGCATTCCTCCACTTCATGTAATGGTTCTCCGCGTATTGCCCCACGTTTATCCATGTCAGTTCTACAAAGCCATAGATCTGAGGGTCTTGGATAAAGAACAATGCAACCTCAAGAAGCCTTATCTCGACCCCAGAACTCTGAAAAGAACCACAATCGTTAAAGAGGGGAACAAACAGTTGTATCATTCTCCATTCTTGCAAACAACTGTGTGTACCGCCCCAAGCAAAACAGTTAACAAGCCTACAAGAAAAGGTGTAAGATGGGAAGTTACACTGAGGAGCCCCAATTCAAGACTATCACAGTCAAGGAAGTCCACCCTACTTTTGCGGCAGAAATCGAGGGCGTTGACTGGAAAAATCTTTCGGAAGAGCAATTCAACGAAATATTTGCTGCTCTAGCTAAGGTCAGTAGTGATTCTCAATGTAATCCATCCCTTCGTGGCCACGTACATTCTAGTGATCGCTAAAAGCAATTTTGCACATTCCATGATTGTGGTTGTTTCTGACCTGCGCAGTATGGAGTTGTAATGTTCAGAAATACTGGACTAGACGATGCTAGCCATGTTGAGTTCTCGAGGCGAATTGGCGACCTGGACACAATGAGGCGTTACATGACAAATGGGAGGACGCCCAGGTACGAATTTTACGAGCTCTTTGACGCTGGGAACATAGATGATCAAGGTGGTGTCCTTGATCCGAACAGTCCAAGGGCACATTATGGAAAGGTATTATCTGTTCCGTGGGCGTCAATGGCCGTCTAGATCATACCAATTCACTCTTCATAGGGCAATCAGTTGTTCCACGTCGACTCATCTTTCAACCCCCGTCGAGCGAGCTACTCACTTCTTCGTGCTGTAGAGTTGCCCCCTCTAGGCAATGGTGGCAACACTGACTTTGCCGACTCTCGTACCGCATGGGACGACCTCGATCCGGAGTTTCAAAATGAGCTCTTGAAACAGGACTATGTTGTCAATCACTCAATCGCCCAATCTCGGAAACAAGGATCTCCAGAGTTCTTCAAAGATCTCGACCCAACCAATGGCGGTCAAATGTCTCGTCATAAGTTGATCCAAAAGCACGAAGCCAGTGGCCGTATGAACATCTACATCGCTGCTCACTCTCACAGCATCGAAGGTCTTCCGAAAGAACAGTCTGATGCGTTGCTGAAGAAGCTGCTAGACCACGTCACACAGAGCAAATATGTCTACAGCAGTGAATGGCGAAATGTGTCAGACATGGTTATCTGGGATAATAGGTGTACATTGCACAGGGCAAATGGAGGGGCATACGAAGGCAAGTTCAGACGCGATCTTCGCCGAACGACAGTGCATGACACAAGCCCAACAGCTTGGGGTCTGAATAAAGTGATAACAAACACTGAGGAATGGGTTGTGAACCATAATGCGACGGCAGCTGCAGGCAATACCCAGGTATCTGTCAAGGCTTGAGTATATGGTGGTCATGAATAGTAACACCAATGAGGCACTTGCTGACCTCCTGCACGTTTGCAAAGATCTTTTCTCCTCATCCATTGCAGTTACTAGTGACAATGATCGTTCCCTCAACTACTGGTTGACCATGACTATTCTCAGGTATTAAATAGTTAACATGCCAACCGCGATCGTCATTAAGCCGAGGTTCATCCGCCTAGCAGCACAACGCCAGATGAACTTCCATTGAATCCTTCTCCGCGACAAAATGTAGCCAACAGTAGATTGATAACGTTATTGATCCTACAAACAAAACTTAGAGGCCTACCGATGTACAGTCTTGAACACAGAGATTGCCGCACGTTGCAGACTTGGCGGTCGTCTTGGATGAGTCACAGTTTCGCAGGAAAAGAAGCACAGCCATCTTTCCACTTGCTGTTTGAAAGAAGAGCCACACTCCACAGGCATTGTGCATTCGTTTGCGATGGCATCAGATTCAAATCTTACAATTGCCACGATTGAAGATTTTTCATCCGTTGACATGGCACGGCTATCGCTTAAGGGAACACCCTGTTATAATTCTGAATCGCAAATCAGAGGCGAAGAACATCCGCAGGAAGAGCAGGCAGATCAGATTCCACCCATCTTCAGCCTCCCAAGAGAGCTCATCGGAAATATACAATCATACCTCCAGTACTATGACCTCAAGTCCCTCCGCAGCGTTTCCAAAGCTGGCAGCGAGGCGATTCTTCCAGAGGATATCAAGAAATCCCGACTCGAGCTGAGGGCCAAACTTTGGGCCGCCGAGAAAGCAAAATTTGCAGAAGTACAAAGCAACGAGGGACCATTTGACAAATGGGGAGGTCGCTGGTACTCTACTCAAAGGAAATACAACGGATCAAAAGGGGGTTACTTCGGCATTTACGACTTGCTCCCTTTCACCTGTTATTCTTGCTTCGAACAATTGTCGATAAGCCATTTTTCTGACAGTCAGTCGCTCGGCCGCAGAGCTTATGGCCATGAAGATGCCAGAATGCGATTCTGCACCACTTGCGCTATAGAGAAGTCTATCTGGCGCCCTGGTGAGCGTGTAAGAATATCCCACAAATTGCGCATCTTTTGCAAAGGCTGCAAAACGCTCCAGAAAGGAGATCCCGATTACCGGAAGTTCGGGTTTTGTTCAAAGAAGTGTCAGGATGAGACCAATGGTCTGTGGCAATCAGCTACAGAGCTGGACCCTTTCCTCAATCGTGCTGCTCGATGCCTTGCCTGCTGGATCACCGACCACACCGTAAGGCCAGTGGAAGGTGGCCTCAGAACTCTCTGCCCTGAATGTGGAGCCAAGGAAGGGTTGGTGCTTTCTTCTCCAACTTGAATCACCATTCAACTGAGCCATTACATGATCTAACCCTTCTCACATGCCTCTTCGCAGCCCTCCAAACCCCGCTTAGAGATAGTCAGAAATACTCAAGACACCTCTCCCAGTATGGCCTTCAAAATCTGTACTCGCTGCGATATCCTCACTATTTTTAAAATCCTCCGCCAACTCCGCCATCCTTAGCTTCGACAACTGAATGGCATCTTTCCCAAAGAGGAACCGCGAAGTCTTCTCCAAACCACTTGCCAGGCCCGTGGAATCAACAACTTCGACAATCCGCTCGCCGAATTTCTCGGGGTCGCCGGGGATATCGCTTGCGTCCTGGGCGAATTTCCCTGAATCCTGCAAACATTTCCCGACCGAGCCGGCCAAATAGTCCTCCGTGATACCAGCAGCCGGCAGCTTGGAGGCTGTAATGACACCAGTCCGGTAAAGACCAGCGGTGATGGTGATGGTCCGGATGTTGAACACAGCAAGCTCGGACTTGAGAACCGACTGCAGCATATCTTGTGCAGCTTTTGGGCACGAGTAAAGTACGCCAGCTGGGCAGGGGTAGAATCCAAGGATTGATGAGATGGAAACGATCGTGCCAGACTTTCTGGCTCGCATGCCTGGAAGTGCGCCTTGGACCACGCGTACCGGCCCCCAGAAATTCGTCTCCATCGCGTCTTTCATTTCCTCTTCTCTGCAGTTTTGGTATTCAATAAGCACCAAGAGGACGATGATCTTACAAGGACTTCCTGGGAGAAGCATGTAATACTCACGAGAAGTCTTCAATCTGTCCCACTGCATAATACCCAGCATTGTTGACTACGACATCAATGCCTCCTGCCTTTTCTGCGGCCTGTTGGACAATGTCTCTGGTACTGGGTAGTGATACATCAAGATGCAGCCACTCTCCTCCTGCGGCGGTAAGTTCTGGATGGTTTGTCCCTGCGACCTCAGGATTCCGTGCTCCTGCAATTACTTTGTGACCTTTTTTCAATGCAGACAATGCAATTGCCAGGCCCAGACCTTGGGAGGCACCAGTAATAAGCCATGTTTTGCTGGAGGATGATTTGGCCATCTCTTTGTTTGAATATGTGTATGTCTGTGATAAATCAGGTTGGATTATCACTTCGAGCGATCTATGGATGGATTCAGACAGGTATTATATACCGGATTGATTTTGGTGATACCCACCACTTAGCCTTAACGTTATCACTTGTATCGCAAGTTCAGACCATAACGGATTAACTTCAGGCCTCCAGTATCACCAAGGCTTACCTACGCCTCTTCTCGTGAAGTTTAACTGTGCTCTGGTGATAAGACCAACTGAGATTGCCGCGGGAATTCCATATATAGATCAGGCTCCCAATCACAACACTGTCATATGCGAATGGTCTGTCAATCGGCCCATTGAGGCCGACGGCTGGCGTGGTAGGATTAGATGGTTATCCTTGCGAGCCAGAAATGCTCATGCAATATTAAATGCGCCAGTGTATTCGTTAAGGTCTCTAGTGACTCCATGCTGACGAGCAGAAAGCTTGAGTTCCCTGGTAATGACATGCCAGAGCGGAGATATCACAAACGAGCAAGGACAGAACAGTACCCACAAGAGAGAATAACGTCCATTCACACACCAAGTAGTTGATCCCCAAGTCCAAGGCTGTACTACATAAGTATTGATACGTAAGAGTCAGCTCGGTAAGACCACGTTGTTTGGTGTCAGCCGCACTCCGCGGACAGTGCGGCCGTGATGTGGCGAGTCAGCCGTAAGGCGCGCTCTAGGTTCCACCTCTTTGGATCGCCGCCAGTTGACTAAAGCAACCGAACCTGGATCATATTCGAAGTCAGATATGTACAAGCGCAGTCTGGGAAGGATATGCTCGGACCTAGGTGGTGCCTGGCCGGCTAAAATGCCTGAGCGTCCGGCCTCATGGACAAATGCAACCTGCTTATCCGTACAGATTGCTTGAAGTCGTAGCCGCTCACGGATGATATACCAAAGGATGTCTCAGTGATGGGGTACGCACATGCACAACCACATAGACTTCAATAGGCATTTTATCGTCTGTTGTCTGCCATCTTTCGCAGTGCTGAATGGACTGCACAACTCGCAGCGTCATTGTGTCTTTCATCTGCTGCTGGACAACGCAATGATTACTAGACTTACTGGATCTGTACATGGTGTAATGGAGACACTCCTGGAGATCTCAATTGCGTCCATTCTTTGCAGGCTTCCACTGTTGGCCCTGCTTCAAAGGAAAATCGCGTTTCCCTTCACAAAAACGCAGGTGTGCTTGTAAACAGATGGTTATGGCAAGGCTGGCTACTCACGATGTTTGGCGCACATGACCATTTATGCTCGGCGTTTCTCATGGCACAGGTGCCAACAGGAGAGCTTTCGCGGTTTGAGAACTGACAATGCCTCAATACAGACAATCGCGTGAAGAAGTCTACATCGAACGAATTTCCCTGCTTGCAAACCACCAATTCTGCTCTTTCCAAGTATAAATTCCAGCTTCATTGCCTCCAAAGTGTGTAGATCCCCCTCGATCAAGGTCAATACAGTGATATTCCACCAACGAGACCATCTTACAGCTAACACACCTCTCCTAGATTTTTACCGATGCAACTTTCCACCCCCACCCCCTGAACCATGTCGATTCGCAAGAATAAGACTGGCATGAAGGATATGACCACAGAAGAGTTTAGCTGGGTTGAGAGCCTCTTTAGAGTCGTACCTCCCGCTTTCCTATTGATCGCCGTCATCCTCGTGGTGTTTTCCATACGTGCAAGCGTTCGAAAGATGCTTGAGCTCTGTGGAAAAGGCCTTGAAGATGGACGTTTATTAAGCCCTGACGAGGACCACAACGGCCAAGCTCTCCAGCCATTGTCAAATGCAGACTTCGAGGAACAGCTGAGCATTGCGTCCAGTTCAGATAACTACGTGGCTCGACAGGAGAGAGTTCGGCAATGGCAGCAATCATTCCCACTGCGTTCTCGTTCTCGTCTAACCTCTGAACTACAGGACAAGCGCTATCATCCATTCAAGCGACGACGAAGCACATCCAAAGGAAGAATGAAGCGTGAACAGCACATCTCTCTCCCGGCCTTGCCACCTCAACCGCTGAAGCCACAGCGCCAAGATACAGAAAACTCGCCTATTCGAAGGGCCTCCAAAGGGATTAAAGCACCATTTGTGATAAAGCAAGCAAGGAAGAGAAGTGTAGAGAAGTCTGAACAGTTCCAAGCAACAAATATAGCACGGAATGGCAACGAAGAGGAACCGTTAGACTCCTGGCGAGAAATCATCGTCATGGACGACTGGAAAGACTTCCAAGGTCCTGAGCTCCCCGACAAAGAGTCTGAGAATGAAGAATTAAGCCTTAATCGGCGCCCTAGGATTGATCTCATGAAATCTCTAGATGTCAGCGGTGTGGACCAATCAGAAGATACTAGTAGTCCACCTAGACTTCGTGGCCCCATTCCCAAGGCTTATGGTAGAGATAACGGAGAAGACGACTTCTATTATAGTGACGTAGAACAAGCTATCAACGTTGTTCGACTTCGTGGCGGTGGTAGAGACGACTATACTGCCTACGAGGATGACGAAGAAGAAGACGAAAGCGATGATGAAGGCCTAGCTACTCCTTTCGACCCATACGCCAATGACGAGGCTCTCAAACTATCGAGATATCCAGCACGTCGACCTACAGATCTACGTACAGCATCCACTGTCTCTAATCAAGAAGATGCATTACAGGAGAGAATTAGAGCCGTCTTCAGAGGTCGTTCATCCCTCGATATCAATCGAAACGAAAGCATTGAAGACGCAGATCCTTCTATTAGCATTTCACGCCCTGAACCAGTCCCAACAGCACCAGGCCCCTCGAGAAATACCCAAACCAGCAGTACGCCACGAAGAAAGGTCTACTCAGTCGAAATAGCCGAAGAATACGACGACATCGTGGCCGATCTCGACGCAATGTACTCGCACCTGGCGCTATGCCGGCGGAAATTCAACCAGGTGCTACGACAGGCGAATAAGACGGATAAACCAATGCTCAGACACATCATACTGAGCAACAACGAGCTGCAAACGCGCGAAACAGAGCTCGCGACGCTGCGGGAATACGTGGTCAACAGGGGTGCCAGCCTCGCGGCCCCGAACGCTGAACTATTCGCCGCGGTGGAGGGGTATATCGAGCGAGAGGACCGCCGACTTCGACTCCGGGATATCGCCTGCGACAGCGAGGAGGGCGGGCATCCGCCGTACTCAGCGCCTCGATGGGCGAAACCGTGGGGCTGGACGCCGCCGGCTAGGTCGGTCAGGGGTACATGGCGGCGTACGCCTGTGCAAAGTGTCGAGGATGGTCATGAAGGTAGCCGACGTGGGCCATCGAGCGTCTCGAGAGCGGTTGGGACTTCCCACCGAGTTACGCATCTATATGGTGCTGGAGATCGCCTGGGGTATCGTCGTCCACGAGAGCACGCAAGGCCGTCCATTCCAATGCAGGAGCTCGATGGGACGCAGGTGTCCAAGTAGGTGATGAGGCTCAAGCTGGTGACATGGTTGCCGCTATCGACAATCATGGAAGATTGCTGAAGGAGACTATATGATTCTAACGATGGAGTTCTTTCAAAGGGTGGGCATCTAACCTTAATCTTAGCCGATGTGGTTGGAGAGCTTACTGTTTATCTTACAAGGAATTACGATACTCGTGATGTAGGACGCGGGTGGTAGTCGATATCGATGGGAATAAGATGGTAAGGATTTAGATCTTGTGAGCATGGAACCATGTAGACGCCTTAGTAAGTAACTGCGAAATAAGGGTAGAGAACGCCCTATTCAATTGTGCATTCTATCTCTGTCATAGCATCATTAAATACGTTTCTTTGTACAAACTAGGAAGACACCACCTTCAACAATTTGTCTTGGTCAGGGGAGGCGCCCGGAAGATATCATTTCCGTCCCCTGAAGTAATCATACCCCGAGTTCAACTCATCTCCAGGGGTATTTGTCCCACTGGTATCTCTGTATGCATTCGGCATAAATTCACCATTTGTAGGCCTGATATCGCCAACACCAGCCAAAAGGTTTGCTCGGTCATCGTAGGGATCAGATGTTGGCGGCTGAGATCTCAAAAATTGTGGAGGAACATGGGAATGATTATAATCTTTGCGGGCAATTGCCCGAGGGTGTTGAGGGGCAGGACTGGTATCTCTGGACGACCCAGGGGTACTGCCTGACAAAAGTCCATCCTTAGCACCGCCCGCCATGAAAGACACAGGAGTTGTGCTTCGAGAGTCAGTAAACATGTCGCCACCTTCCTCCTTAAAGTCGGATCTGTTCTTGTAGTAGGAAAAGTCCTGTTGTGCTTCAGGTACAACTTCAAATGGCAAGTCTTGGTCAGGTGCACCCGATTGTGACATGGGTTGCATGGCGATGTCAGAGACTGCCATCGACTGACCACCTTCCGAATTCAATCGCCCTCTGTAAATCTCTGCGAGAATGTTTTTGGCCCTCGCGTGAACCATTGGCGTGATGAGTGGTTTGTAGAGTGCTGGATGACCAAATTTGGATGAGATCTTCTCGACACGATGAGCCTTGCCATCTGTAGGTAATCTTTCCATGTCATGCATACCCTGACGGACATAATACTTCAGGTCCAAGTCGAACGTCTTCATGCAATACCACTTGAACAAGACCATAATGATGAAGAGAGGTGCAATGGCAATAACCATACTCCACTCACCACGTGCTTTAACGACGACCCCGATAACGAAATTTGACAACATGACCGCAAATATGATCCGGTTGAAGATAGTGACCCAAAACTGACCGCCCGATTCGGTCTTTGTAACAAATACATACATCAGAAGGTACTTTTTCATGAATGCGTCGATGACGAAATACAATGCTGTTACAACCAAGATGATGGGTTGCAGAGTTGAGTAACAGAGTGCCACGGTAGTGTAAAATAGAAAATAGTTGTAATAACTGGCGTATTCGAAGGACGGTGGTGCTGTCCATTCGATGTTTTGTCGAGGGGTAGGCGCCATGAACGTTCTTGCGAACCAGACATAAGCCAGCTGCCATAATTGTGCAAGGTCAATGGCCGCGCCCAAGTTACGCTGAAGAAGCCAAGTCACCCAGAACGGTGAAACTTGACACAATGTGGTTGTAACGATAAGGAAGAAATTTCCCTTGCGTAGAGCTGTCCATGTATCATCCCCGTGGTCGTTGAAGTCAATAACGATGGTAACATATTGCCAGACCGCCGAGAAGATGGAGAAAACAATCAGATTATTGAGAGTGAAAAAGCTGTAAAGATTTCGAAGAACGTGGCGTTCGCGATCGGTTTTCGTAACATCGCCAGCACGAATCTGGAGACGTCGAAAAACACTAGGAAGGACCAGATAGACCAAGGATGTAAGGGCTGGAGCTGCGATACCCTGCACAACGGCCCACCAGGTTTTGTGAGCCTTCAATTGGGTGTCGAAATCTTTCCACACTAGACCGAGATTTGAAAGATTGGATAGAAAAACGGCAATGCCGGCGTTAATGGGTGTCCACAAGATGGTCAACACAGTGATCCAGACCGCATTCATGAACCGCTTGCGTTTGCGCGAAGACCGAGATAGCTTGAGGTTGTCCCAAATGAGATCATTGGGTCGTGGAGCCAAGCGAATCTTGGTATGACCTGGACGTTTGCTTCGACAGGCGAAAGCCACTTTGTGAGCATCCGCAACACTGTCCCAACTTGCGAATCCATAAGGCATAGGGTCCCGATTATCGATCCGCTCTCTGATGTCACTGATCTCATTTTCGAGACGCCGGATGCGGTCAGTCAAAAGATCAATCGCGTCAACCTTGCCGCCTGTTGTCTGACCCTTGTATTTTCCAGAAGGCTTCATCAGCGGTCGATTTGGTGGCAAGCGATCCGGATTTTTCATGTACTTGGCTAAAATGGACTCGAGTTCTCGAACAGCCTCTTCGTGTTCTTCAATTAACTCGGGCAGAACCTTGACATTTCGGCCAATTGTGGTCTTTGCGGCAGTACCTGTGGAGGTTGTCTCGTTGAGGATCCTGGCGAGACCCTCATTGGTCCGATCCTTGGGCGATATGTCTCGAATAAGGAGTGTTCGAGCGTGCAGACTTTTTTGATAGTCGGGACTTTCGAGATAGGCTCTTCTCAAGCGGTGAACACGCCGGTAGTTGTGCCATAAAAAGTAGATGACGACCAGATCAATCAACCATGCCACGACCACTTGGGCCCATAATCCTCTACCCCAGATGTATAAAGGCGTCATGATTGAGAAGGCGCTCAACCCCTCGGTGATGGATTTGTTGGACATGGTGATGTTGACTGGAATCATGACGCAAATTCCAAGTAAACCCAAGATCAAGAATATGTTCCTCAGCATTCGGGTGAAGCGCAGGAAGAGGACGGCATCCAGACCGATTTTGTCCATTAAGAATTCATCGTTGGCTTTACTGACAGGTTTAATCCAGCTGAATAGTCCCTTGCCCAGAGGAGGGGGAGCATGTTCTTTATCCGAGTTTTTCAGTCTTGGGGCATATACGAGAGCATGTCGGGGGCGGATGAAGCAAAAGAGGAGAGCCAGACCGGCACTGACGCCCAGTGAGGTCGCAAGAGAGGCCCAAAAGGCATTGGTTTGTAGCTAGAACGTGAGTTAGCGATATGTCTCTCGTGGGATGGCAGTCAATTCGTACCGATGCCTGGAAAGGATTGGACATCAATTTCAAGACCTGCTCGCTGGGAGACAGGCCATCATCCTGTCGAGAGTGAATGGTAGCAGACATGGTGGCCGGGTTCGATGGTTCGAATCGAGTGGTGATTAGCAGCGAATGTTCATAATCTCAATGGGATCCAGCCCAGTATGTTGATTGTAAGACGGTGGGGAGAAAGAGATATGCGGGTTGAATATGCCTGGTAGGGGGTGAGTTCAACACGGATATACAGCGAGTGACGTGGGCGTGTTGTTTGAAAGAGATGAACTCAATAAGGAAACGATGATGTATCTTATTTACAAGGGGGAAAAGGTGAGAAGAATGGGAATGAAATGAAGTTGTGGAAAGAAGGAGCAAAAGGAAGAAAGTGGTTTGTTTCAAAATCAAACTGGGACGCGCGTGAGAGACCTCCAGGGCTATCTTTTACAGTTTCTGCGGTGTTTGAATTCTTTTGATATTTGGCTCAACAGAGCAACAATTGCCCTGAGCCTTGACCAACCGCAGCTGCAGCAATCGGATCCAACCTGCAGGGACCAAATATTCGCGGGTGGGTGGATGTCTCTGCAACAATGGGCCGAGGGGGGCACCTTCGGCAGCCTAAAGCAAGCCACAATGGGCCACCCGAAGCCTGTCGATGCCCATTGGAGTGGCAGCTGCATGGCCCATGGGTGCCTTATGGTGCCTATTCTACCGAGCAGAGACTGTCTCTTGGGCTCTAACCCGCCCAGGGAAAAACCGTTGCACTTCCCGCATTCAAGCGTTTTTTCGCCTCTTTTCCCGCACATTCTTTCGACTCGCTTTATGGCAATCTGATTCGACAGGTGTCATTCTCGCTCCATCCCGCCCATCTTGCCTCACTCAGAACCACACTGGATCCAGTTGTGATCGATCGAAATCGCTCGTTTCTCACTTTCTGGTTGTGCCACAAACCTCAACCGATTCACATGTCGTGCATCTTACTAGTTGTGAACCGCAACATCTGTCCAAGACCATCGGCTCTTCCTTCCTCCAAGTCGGACTAGGAGGGGCTTTTATGAGGTCATACTCAGTTACTTGTTAGACGGTGGTGTTCACACGACGTATAGCATCACGGTCCTCCTCGCTGAGTCCCGCCTGCTCCAAAATCATGCAGACAATGTCGTTCTTGGCTTCGCAATATTCGTCGACATTTCTCCATTCCCGTCGAGATAGCTCCATTTTGAATCGCCCGTATTGATCCCTCAAACTGGCATTCCTCCGGCAGACATCACGCACACCAAGATGATTTCTGACCGACTGACAATCCTGGACTGTGACATACAGGTTTCGGGCCGGAATGCCATCTGCTTTGCGGCAGACATGTCGATCTGGTATTCCCAATTCCCCGGCATATATATATCCTCCTTTGGCGGTCAGAGCGTGGATGACACCATTGACGTCGTCTCGCTCGCTGATTACTACAAGATCGATAACTGGCTTAGCAGCTAATCCGGGCACTGACGTTGATCCGATATGTTCGATTGAGATATATCGTACTCCTAGGAGGGCTTGCTCGATTTCTCGCTTGATTTCCTGGAATTGAATAGGCCATTCCGGGTTGTACTCTTCAACTACAACAAGCATATTCAGTGAGTGAGACGGTAATACTGAAGACAGTTGCAATGCGTGACTCGTGTTTATGTCCCAAGCCAAGGTCAGGAGTCATGTTTTTATCCAAACCTGAAACGTTTTCATCACGTGTTTCCATTTCGAGTCGACCTGCCAATTAGAATGACAAACACTTCGGTCGCTTGGAGAGTTTCACCTCGGCTCGCATCCGACTGATGCTCCCAGCTGATTTTCATCTACCCACTGATATATATTTATATATATTTAATTGCAAACACAATGCCACTCGCCCGCAGACGATCCTCCTTGAGCATCACTGACACAGGAGATCAAGAAGATGAAGGGTCTCCAGTTGCCAAACGTCCCCGTGTGGCCGCTGCTTGTGATCAATGCAGGCTTCGGAAGGCCAAGTGTGATGCAGTCAAACCAGGTATTCCTTTTGCTATTTCTGTCTAACCCAATCCCTGCTTCCGGGTTTGATTCTCTCGTTGCGCCTGAAATATTATAAGATAGTTCACGTTGGTCGAACATATATCTGATGCAGACTCTCATTGCAGTATGCGGGCCATGCCTGAGGAGGAATGATCCGGCCTCAATATGCGAATGGGGTGAACGTAGAGGACGAGGTGCGACCAAGACCAAGACGGAGGAAATGATTAGGCTCTCGCAGAGAATTGACGAGCTGGAACGTGAAAATCGTTCTCTTGTGTCATCCTCCAAGGAAGGAATGTCTCAGACTCAGCGTCCTGTTCTACTTAACCGTGAACCCTCCGTTGAGGTCGACGAGCAGTACATCGAAAGCAACGCGATGATGGGGTTTGATGAACATGGCGACGATGGTACTCCAGAACAATTTCGTCAATCCAACGCTCCGAGCTTTATGCACCTCATAAGAGGTCTTATTGATCAAGACAAATCTGCCCGCCACTCTAACGGATCTCAACACTCTTCGAACTCACCGCTGAGAAGACCTCGCCCCCAACAAGTCCCCGGTCGAAGGCGTCGACTACCTGACTATGCTCTTCCCTCACGCCCCCAGGCGGACCATCTGATGTTCGTCTACCGCCAGCTGGCCGCAACTCTTTATCCTTTTGTCGATTTAGAACAGGTTCAAACACTGTATCGGCGACTATGGACAGGAGAAGATCTTGGGGATGATGGCCTCACTTTTCTCTGCATGATCAATGTTATATTCGGCATAGCATGTAATCTTGATTCTTCGACAGCGCCAAACGAAAGGGTGTCGACCGCGAAAGTATTCTACAATCGTGCCCAAGATCTTCTGCAATTCGATATTGTCGAACAACGTTCAATCCTCTCTGTGCAGTGCTTTCTATTGTTAGGACAGTATTTACAAAGCACAAACAACCCTCAACAGTGTTGGATTTATGTAGGATTCGCCATTCGGGTTGCTCAGAGCTTAAGGCTCGATATCCCTTCGACAAGTTCAAAAGAGCCCCCTCTTCAAAGAGAAGTACTGCGCAGGCTCTGGTATGGCTGTGTTCTCTTGGACCAGACTTTGTCCATGACATTTGGAAGGTCTGCAATGATCACACCCCAGGCTTCGATCACAATTCCTCTCCCATTGCCACACCCTGACGGAATACAATGTCAATGCCATATGACTCATCTTCCCAGTTCTTCCACGGCAGACTTTCATTTCTTTATCGAAACTCTGAGGTTATATCGCCTCATGAACGAGACACTTATCACCCTCTACACTTCGGATATTACTGAGGGTGACGGTGAAAACCTGAATGTTGTCTATTTCGGTTCGCTTGGGGCCCAGGCAGTTGGCAGCCTCCTAGAACTCGACCACAAATTGTCTTGCTGGTGCCAAAGTTTACCGATTTATTTACGCCTCCGGCCAAATGATACTCAAGCGGATCCTAGTGAGCGTCATCGTATTGTTCTTCACATCAGGTACACCCATGTCAAGATCCTCCTTTTCAGACCAATCTTGGCGAGATATTGCTCCGCGAAAGCGCTTCGGACGGCAGATCCCACGTCCATAACAGACTCTTTACCTGACAAGATTGCGCTTCAATTTTCCGTGGCTTGTATTAGGGCGGCACTCAATGCGATCAATTGCTTTGATCAAACACTATCGGGGAAAGACATAGGCAACGTTGACGATCTTCTTCCAGCCTGGTGGTACAGTATCTACTATGTCTACACAGCCGCAACAGTGTTGGTTGCAGCTAGACTGAGCCCTTCCATTCTAGCAGAAATCACTGAACAAGCTGTCTCGGACGCGTGGGATAAAGCGATTAATATTTTGAGCCGGTATCAGGCATTTACCAATCTGGCGAGACGCTGTGCAACAGCACTAAGCTTGCTCTCGAACCAGGTTTTGCAGCAGGAAAAAAAGTCGGATTCCAGGCAAACTCTGGGCATAGATGGTCTTCTGCCGTATACATTGGCAGGTCAAAGGCCACAACCCGTTTTCCAGACGGGCACCGAATCTCAAGTGGCAATCCATACTGATGCTTGGGCACCCATTGGGATGGAATTTATGACGAGATCTGGTTCCCTAGAGTCTGATCTTGACGTCGAGAATCTAGTTCGTCATATGAACACGTCCGGCATCCAGTTTGATATCTTTGGAGATATGTCATGGTTGACGGATATGCCTTCGCAGCTTTATTAGGGACGAGAAAGTCGGAAAATCGTACATCGTACATCGAGATTCCGACCCTCACCCGTCAGTAACCCACAGGCCCTTGACATTATTTACCATAATTACGCTTCCTCATCCCAGGATGTTGACGAAACATTGATTAGAAGTCGAAGGGCATTGATGCGTAGCTCCACCAGGGACGACATCCATGTCGAACTTCGCAAGTGTTTCTAGCTAAGGTGGTAGGGTGTCTTTTGATGCTGGGTCTAAGCACTGTCGAAATGTGCTCCGTAGCCTCTCGAGGAGTGCATTATCCGGATCCATGTCAGCGAAAGCCCAAGGACACCTCCACTCAATCAATACCGGGCTTATGGCTGAGACCTTCTGGGCACCAACTAAGCCCTTGGCAAGTAGATCGACCACTAAAGACCAACCCCCAAAAAGCCACCAGCACAAGCGAGCGGATGCAATAATCGGCCGCTCCAGGCACCTACCAAATGTCCGAGGCCACCACTGCTCTGGGTCCAGGCATCCCTATCACTCAGGGTTGCAATGATTTCAGTTTTCAGTAATTGTGCTCCGTTCTCCGTACCCAAATCACCACCACCCAGCTGGGCCGAGCAGAAACCTTTTACCCCAGATTTCCTCGACATTCTTCATTTCAACTTGCCTCAATTACTTTGACCCAAGCGATATTCTACATCCCGACAGCTACTCACAGGCCTGTACCCGGCGACATATCACTCCAGCCACCATATACGAAGATGTCGTGATCCCTGTGTCGAACCCGAATAACCCGAGGATGATCGCAAATCATCAGCAGCAGACGGATGCCTGACAAGCCAACCACCGTCGCCGCCTATGCGGCTGGCGCATCTTTGGCAGCCATCGCCGCCTTCTATGTCTTCGGTCCTACCTTTTTCATCGATGGCGAAAATTCCTACAATACCAACGATGGACGGAAACGCACCATCATCGGACTATCGAACCCGGCCAATGATTGCTTCATCAACTCGGTTCTCCAAGCCCTGGCAGGTCTGGGTGACCTGAGGTTATACCTAATAAAAGAGCTGCATCGGAGGCAACTTGAGGGACTGGAGATCTACGAAGCCGCCCCGACGGTGTTACGAAAGGGCGAAAGACCTGAAAAAATAGTCAATTTACAAAAGGGCCCGGTGACTAAAGCATTGAAAGACATGCTCGATGCGCTAAACGAGCGGCCCATATACAAGAAGACGATCAGTGCAAGACCCATGATAGAAGCGCTAGAACGGGCATTTCAGACACGGATAAGCCGGAACCAACAGGATGCTCAAGAGTTCTTGCAGATAGTCCTCGAACGTCTTTGTGACGAATACCATGCAGCTGAACGAGCTCGGCAGAGAGCAGACCAGAAGCTGGTTGAGAATGGACAGCCAAAGGAGCCGGGACAGAATCCCACCAAAGAAACCTCGATCTCAACCAGGGCGACTGTCGGAACCAATGGGGGATTTCCATTCGAAGGACGGATAGAGTCACAAATAACGTGCTTACGTTGTGGCTACAAGACCAAGCCCAGTGCGACAACTTTTGTCTCATTGACTTTGAACGTCCCGCAGAAGAGCTCAACGTCGCTGGATAGCTGTTTTGACATCCTGTTGAAAAGTGAAGAGATCGACGATTTCAAGTGCGACAAATGCCGGCTAAACCATGCAGTGGAATGGAAGAATAGCAAATTAAAATCTGCAAGCTCCGAGGGTGACCGAGAGGCACTGCAAAGGGACATCGACCTGATCGAAGAAGCACTCCGCGAGGATCCAGAAAAGGTGCTAGAGGGGGTCGCCCTGCCAGATTCCAAACAGGCGCCAAAGTCGAAAATCCGAAAGTCCACCCGAATCACTGTTTTTCCCAAAGTGATTGCTATTCACCTGTCAAGATCAATGTATGACCCTGGAAGCTACTCGACCAAGAACCTAGCCAAAGTTTCATATACCCAGAGACTTCGATTGGGAGGCCTTTTGAACGAACACTGGTACAAACTCCTCGGGGTTGTATGCCACAAAGGAAGTCATAACAGTGGTCATTACGAGTCATTTCGACGCAATCACCTATACCCGCCATTTGCAACACCCGATGCTTTCGCAGCGTATGCCCTCGCGAGTCGGAATGGCAGCACAGCACCATCAGCCTTACCGAGTCCCAATGTGGAAGCGATGCAAGCTAACGGGGTCAGTCATGGCCCTTCTGACGGAAGTAGCGTCTCTGTTTCGACTGCTTCGTTGTCCACAGGCAATAGCAGACCTGAGTCGCAGGGAGTACCTACTTCTACAGCGACACCTATAACCGAGACGGCAGAGACGGAGCCAGTGATGCCACCCGTTCAGCGATCAGAAACGCAGACATCTAAACCTCAGATCAGGACCCATGAATCCGCAGTTGGGAGTAAGTTTCGCCGACGCAAGAAATCCAATGATCGATGGTGGCGCATCTCGGATGAGAAGATCAAAGAGACGCGCACTGCGGATGTTCTTTCGATGCAGCGAGAAGTATATCTACTTTTCTATGAGCTGGAGCGACCAGGCGATGATGCTGTCGCATAAATGCACTTGGAATGTCAACCGAATTTTCTGTTGGGCTTGAGCATTTTCTTTTTTGAATGCCATGTGCCACCCCCACTCGAAACTATACCTCGAGGTTTGAAGCTGTAGATAAGGTCGATCCCATGTGCTCTTGATAAAGGTATCGAATTTAGACATGCGAGAAATCATCTGCACATATATATCTCACACTAGATGGTTGGTGGATTTACTACTGGGAATAAACAAAGTACAAACGTGACCTTGCATCGCTGTCAATGTGTCCCACGCTTCCGTCCCTTCCATGGCAACCCACAACCCACTACCCACAATTCTTCTGGCGCGAGGAGACTTGAGGCTGGAGAATTTGCGTTCGGTCCAGATTGACCGAGATGAGACTCCGCGAAATCCCGCCAGTTCCTAGTATTGGAGCATCTTCTCCATAGAAAAGAACGGGCAATGAGGGATAAATCGGAGCAGCGGGGGCTTCTTGTTATGGGGAGAGGCCTTGTTAGTTACCGAGTTGGTAGCCATTGGGTGAGGGGCAAAGGGAGCAGTTATCGGAAGCAGAGAGCATTTGCACACTGGCAGAAAAAAAGAACGCCAAGAAGAAAAGGTCTCGGTGGATCCTTCCTTTGTTTTCGAATGATGTCGTAGGGCAGTTGCTGCAGGTGGTGGAGGCTCCCTGTGTCTGTGTCAGTGCCCCTCATTCTCAGATTCACGAGTATCCCATTCCCGACCAGCTACCAAGACGAGGACGAATAGTATCCCAACACAGTCCTAAAACATCCTGGGTCTTTTCCGATTGAATTCGTTCTCGTTCTCATTCTCTTCATTTTATTTTCTTCCTTCATCGTACTCCTGCCTGTGAGCTTCATTGACCTTCACTTGGATCTCACATCTGATCTTGATACTTGCAGCCCCAACAGTTCCAACAGACAATACCCCACTCAACAATCCTCAATCATGGGTGTCCAGGACGTCCTCTCCAGAAAGACCGGTGTCATCGTCGGCGATGATGTCCTAGCTCTGTTCAAACATGCTCAGGACAACAACTATGCCATCCCCGCCATTGTAAGCACGTGCCCCAGCCATTCCCGACCCTGCTAACCACCATTTCTCTCCAGAATGTGACCTCTTCCTCGACCGTGGTTGCTTCTCTCGAAGCCGCCCGAGATGCCAAATCTCCCATCATCCTCCAAGCTTCTCAGGGAGGAGCTGCATATTTCGCGGGCAAGGTTTGTAGCCCCTCTGTGGCTTGGAAGAGGCGAAACTTCAATCAACAAGTCCTAACACACACTGCTTAGGGCGTCAAAAATGGCAACCAAGAAGCTTCCATTGCGGGTGCCATCGCGGCTGCTGAATATATCCGAGCTGTTGCCCCTGCCTACGGCATCCCAGTCGTCCTGCACACTGATCATTGCGCCAAGAAGCTTCTTCCATGGCTCGACGGCATGTTGGATGCGGATGAGAAATACTTCAAGCAGCACGGAGAGCCCCTCTTCTCATCTCACATGATCGATCTGTCTGAAGAAGATGTCGCCTGGAACATTGAGACAACTGCCAAGTACTTGAAGCGGGCAGCTCCCATGAAGCAATGGCTTGAGATGGTAAGGATATTAGCTTGTGACTCTGTGGGAAGATGTATGCTGACTTTGGGCATAGGAAATTGGTATTACTGGTGGTGAAGAGGATGGCGTGAACAACGAAGATGTTGACAACAACTCTCTCTACACTCAACCCGAGGATATTCACCAGATCTACACTACTCTCAAGAAGATCTCTCCTTACTTCTCAATTGCAGCGGGCTTTGGTAACGTCCACGGTGTGTACAAGCCTGGCAATGTTAAGCTCCACCCCGAATTGCTCGATAAACACCAGAAGTATGTCAAGGAAAAGGAGTCCACCGAGTCAGACAAGCCAGTGTTCCTTGTCTTCCACGGTGGCTCAGGCTCCACCAAGAAAGAATACACCGATGCGATCAGCTATGGTGTCGTCAAGGTCAATCTTGACACTGACCTGCAATATGCTTACTTGACCGGTATTCGCGACTATGTTTTGAACAAGAAGGACTACCTCATGAAGCAGGTGGGCAACCCTGATGGAGATGATAAGCCCAACAAGAAGTACTTCGATCCTCGCGTGTGGGTTCGTGAGGGTGAGAAGACCATGAGCGCTCGTGTGACGGAAGGTCTGAAGGATTTCAACACTGCTGGTCAGTTGTAGGGCAACGTTACTGAGGGTCAGAGGTGGAAAAGTTCAAGAGCCTCCTAGGCTTAGTACTTAGTACAGGAGCATGACCATGTGAACCCCAAACAATGGAGCTTCAAATGTGAGAAATGTTTCACCGTAATCAATTGTTCCGCCGTAGATATAGTAACGGCACGTGACATGGCTAGGACGAATATGGATGTGGTTCGATCTGGAACTGGAGGGAGCGGCCGAAGCGTTGATGTCACTTTTCCCGCATCTCCAATTCTCTTTCCCAACTCCTTCGTACCCCTCGTCATATCCCTGCATCACTTCGCCTCCACCGTCACACCTATCATCAACCCCTTGCAGCCATTCGCTACCACACACCTTTCAAGTCCGGACCTACAACATTTGATCATTGTTTGATCGATCCCTTGTCGCGTGGTCAAGTCGAAGAAATCAAGACTTCTGTCTCTCCATCGTTCTCTCCACTCGCTTAACATCCATCAAGACCCTCACGATCGGCGGTTTGTTCACTACTCTCTTACACCACACTTAGAATTATACTGCTTGGGACTAGTATTACCAATTTATTCTGCTATTGTCGCTATTACTCCTCAGACACGACCGTGGTGTCCCTGATATTCACTATCTTACAACTACATCATGCCGGCAGAAGCTGAAGGTGGCGCCGTCCCTGCTCAGAGCAAAGGATCATGGTCGTCATTTCTAAAGGTGCGCAGTCATTTCTCAACTACCAGAAGTTAGCCATTCACTAACAAACATAGTCGATTGCTTCCTTCAATGGTGACCTGGCCTCATTGACCGCCCCTGCGTTCATATTATCGACACAATCCTTGGTCGAATTCTCTGCTTACTGGACAGAAAATACATCCTTATGGATCGCAATCACTCAAGAGAAGGATCCCGCCAAACGTGCTCTCCTCGTCCTCAAGTGGCTTCTCAACACTTTGAAACAGCAGTATTGTTCTCGCTCTGAGAAACTGGGTTCCGAAAAGAAGCCTCTCAATCCCTTCTTGGGAGAGCTATTCATTGGTTCGTGGGATGATGAGTTTGGACAGACTACTCTTGTCTCAGAGCAAGTCAGCCATCATCCTCCTGTCACTGCTTATTGCATCACGAATCAGAAACATCGAATTCAACTTCAGGGCTATAATGGCCAGAAAGCGAGTTTCAGTCGCACTATCCACATCAAGCAGATTGGTCACTCGCTCTTGACCTTATATCCTCCTGGTAGTGATACACCCGAGTCATATTTGATCTGCCTACCTACACTGCACATAGAGAGTCTGATATACGGTGCGCCTTTTGTTGAGCTGGGCAAGTTCATTCATATTGTCTCCAGCTCAGGCTACATTTCCAAGATTGACTTCACCGGCAAGGGATGGGTGTCGGGTAAAAAGAATAGCTTTACCGCTACTCTGTGGAAAGATGGAGAGGGATCTGAGAAAAATCCTCTCTATTCTGCCGATGGACAGTGGTCTGATGCTTTCACGTTGAAAGAGGGCGAGGGCAAGCGTGCCAAGGAGATACAGACATTCAAACCGTCAGATATCAAATTGTCCAGACTCAGTGTCGCTTCTCTTGAAGAACAAGACGTTCTTGAAAGCAGGAAAGCATGGGCAAATGTTGCTCGAAGTATCGAAAAAGGTGACATGGATGCCACGTCACACTTCAAATCACGGATTGAAAACGCTCAGCGTGCTCTCCGCAAGCAGGAGCAAGATGAGAAACGTGAATGGCAAAGAGTTTTCTTCTCACAAGCCGATCCTAAGAGCCCTGCTGAGCAAGCATTCCAAGCCTTGGTGCAAAAGATCAGTGGATTTGGCCCGAATAGTTGGGAAGGTGTTGCTCCAGACAAGACAGGCGGGATATGGAGATATGACGAGAAGAAGGCGGCAGCTGCAAAGAAACCCTATCACAAGGATGGACTATTGGCATTGGGAGAGAACGCTGATGGTACAAGTGCACCCATTAGCAGAGTAACGACAAATCAGAGTGGTGTCCCCACCTGAGTTCTTTCAGTGGTTTCGTGGTCATTAATCCAGAGGCATGGTTTGAATTGAGAATAGCAACGGTAGAGCTCATTGCGGAACCTCAGAATAACCGATTCCTTTTCTGGTTTATCGGTCACTGCATGCGAAAAGAACACTTCCTGATTACGACCTTACCGGTTCTCTGTGGGATGCAGTACTTCATTCAAGCCGTTAAGAGACACGAATTGTATTATTAGACTTATCTAGCTAGTACTTTCAGAACACAGTATTTTTTCTTCAAGTTTTGATCAGTTCTGTACCTGAGTAGTATCTCTGGCAGGTACCATGCCTGGCTTCCAAGGTCCTGATGAATTGTAATTGGTGAACATCTACTTATCATCTGCAAATGGTTCGGTCGGGGTAATGCTCACAGATGGACTATTCTCTCAGACAGTTCCACCACCCAAAACCAACATACCTAGAGAAATAAGTACACTATCTAGGTAGTTAGGCCTCATCTCATCCGAGCTTCTCAGATCTCCCGGCCAACAAGCCCACACTCTCGCTCAATGAGCGCGACGTGCCTCTCACTCCGCGGCACGATTCGGATCTGGAACGGGGTATGGTCGTGCGCCAACGGGTCGATCTCCAAGACATTGATCTCGCGGCCCGGGATCTCTTCGAAGTCGAAGCAGTACAGCAGGCGCGCGAACGAGAGGAACATGTTGCGCACGGCCAGGTGTGAGCCGGGACAGATCCGGCGGCCTTGCATTCAATCACGTCAGTGACCCCAGAGGGCGGCATTCCTTTCGACATGAAGAGATTCAAAATGGGAGGGAACCACTCACCGACGCCGAACCCGAGATGGCCCTTCAGCGGATCATACAGGTCGTCGTCCAGGAAGCGCTCGGGGCGGAACGCGTCGTGCTGGTCCGGAAACTGCTTCCCGTCGTGGCTCAGCCCGTAGTGGTTGTAGCTGAAGACCGTGCCAGCCTCGAACGTGTACCCGCCGAAGCTGTCGTCGGCGCTCAGCGCGCGCGGCGTCCCCGATGCCGTCATGTTGGGCCGCCACCGCAGCGATTCTTTGATCGTCGCGTGCATGTAGGGCAGGGCGTGCCAGTCCTGCGAGTTTGTGGGGAGTGTCAATCATCCTGATCTGTTTTGCTCCCTCGAAAAGGATCGGGGATATTGGATGCAGAGGGAGGGGGCTCACGTCGAAGCTCGGCAGGTGTGCTGCCTCACCACACACGGCGTCGAGCTGGGCTTGTGCGGTTCGCACCCAACCCGGGTACTTGGCGGCCGCGGCCAGCATCACGTTGATCTGGTTGCGTGTCGTGTCGCTACCGGCTTCGATGATCGATCCCGCTGTACAGACAACAGACATACAGCGGTCAGTATTGGAATGGGGTAGGATATGACATGGGAGTGGGAGTGGGAGTGGAAGGTATACACACCGCAGAAATACTTCTGTGCCGCATTGAAGCCATGCTTGTCGGCCATGACGCTCATATCTCGCGCAAAGCATTTCGGGTCTTCGCCCTGCTTGATGCGCTGCTCGAGCTCCTCGAAGAACGACGCGTATACACTGTTGATGCAACAACCCCAAAATATTCAGCGATTCCATCCACCAAGAAGATATGGACACCCAGAGATTTCGTGAAGCTCACCCAATCGTCTTGCGAAATACCCGCTCGGCTTTCGGGCGATACCATTGCAGTGCCCGTGGGAGGAGTTTGACGAGGCCCGGAAATTGCTCGATCATGCTCGTCGATGGCGACGCTTGGGTTTCCATGAAGTCGTCGATCGTCGAGAATAGGAGTTGGACTTTCGGGTCGTCCATGCTTGTGCGGCGCCCGAAGACACTGTTTTTGTTGGGGCGCGATGGGTCTTTAGTTCTACTACCTCTCCTGATGGACGAGAAAATGGGGTCGGAGATGGCTAGGCTAGGTCAGGCTTGACTTACACTGAGAATATCACTGCTCACGTGCAATTTCCAGTGTCAGCATGCGTCGTTGATCAGATCGATGGCATGGTGGACTACCACCGTCAATCAAGGGGATCAGGAGGGTCGGACGAACCGGAATTTGCGAATCTCGCTCCATGCTTGTAGAACTCCTCGGGGCGCTGCAGATATTGCCAGAGCAATGTCCGGGACTCAACGTCTTGAAACGGTGCATATGTGTCTGACTGTCATCTCGGTACAATCAGCTCTGGTCCCATAAGAGATCATATATGTTCTAGAGAGCGACAGATATCCATTCCTTGCGAAAGGTTCTTTTCCCTTCACATCAAATCCAGGAGACGGCGTCACGTCAAGACTTACATTACTCGCCATCAAAAGCGAATGCATGATCTTGCGAAGATTGCGCCAGAGCGGCGTGTTCCCCATCATGACGATACGATTCCCTCCTGAGAGGATATCCTGCGTCACGGGGAACTCGGGCCGGTCGCTATATAGTTTTGCACGCCGGTCCAGCAGCTCCCGTGCAGTGCTGTAGCTGTTGACGAACACCCATTTGCGGGCGCCGAGTTGCAGCGTGAACCTGTTGATGTTAGTATTGTTCTGTGGCCGATGACGATGAGTGGGACGTGGGTGGATGCTTGGTAGGCGACGAACATGTCTCCATATTGCTTTCCCCATTCAAGCAGTTTCTCTCCAGGATATCTCGGTGGGAGTTGTAAGATATTGCCGAATACTGGGATGCCTTTCGGACCTGGCGGGTAGTGATATTTGGTCTTGGATTTGCGTAGCGCTCGGAAGAGAAGGAATGAGGCTATGGTAGTTGCGAGCGAGAGCAGGATCCAACTGTCTGGGATGTGAGTATCGAAACGGATTGTCATCATATCGGCGTCGTACATGAAGAATAGCTTCAAGGCATCAAGTGAAGGGTCAACACCATTTTGCCAACAAGCGAGGGGATATACACTTTCTTCGCTGGAGTGATATCTCTAACAGGCCTCGAACTCGACCCCATGGCCCCGAGGCCTTCTCGGATGCACAAGCTATAAGTCATGGTAGTTCCTTGGTCAATGCCGCAAAGATTGGAACAAGGATTGTGTGCGGCCTAAAAAGGGTCGTCCATGAAACCCCACATTCTTCGAGTGATAGGGGGCAAATGCGGGGAGGAGAGCCTCGCAAATGGTCGAAGGCGATTTAATGATGTTACCTTGAATCAACGATCAACGACCACTGTTGTTTTTCGCATTTGAGGGGCACGCATTGAGATTACGACCTGGAGTTGTCTGGAGTGGTTATGACTTTGGCCAGTGACGGGACCGCTGCTCGCAAATGGCCATCGCTTTAAGACCCGTGAGCCACTCACCCGTGACAGGATATTTCTTAGTTTAGTGCCACCCATAGGGAAATCACTTCCTATGGTAGAAGTACATCATTAAGTTGGTGAGATATACTACACCAACGTTGTGTACTGCCCTTGACGATTTGCCATATGGCTCGCTCAGTTCAATTGCGAATGCCATTCGGCAGGCGAAAACTTTCCGGAGGCTGATCAATTCATCAAGATCAACGCTACTTGTGAATGGGGGTGTCTTGCACATAACTCTGCCCTCAGGTTTTGGGAGTGATTTCAATCAGCAGTATAGACGCCCAGTCAAACTTGGGTATCAAAAACCCCTACCTAGTAGGAGAGTGCGGATGCGGGGGTGGGGAGGATGGTAAGAAAAATGACAAGGCTGAGGTACCCTTTTTGGGCGCTCCAAGGCTGTGTTGCGTCTTGTTGGACTTGTGAACCAAATAATATTTGCGTGGGTGTGTCTTATAAATTTTGAATGATGCTGAAGTCACCATAGTGTTGACATCTTTTCATTCGTAGACTAGTGAGTTTGAAAAGCAAAACTTCGCAGGTTGACATGTTGATCGTCGGTTTGGTTAGGAGATTCGTGCAGAAATGAATACCCCAACTCGGTGAGACCCCACAACATCAGAAGAAGCCCTGTCCACCTCCACATACACGGATCTCTCACCAGCTAGGCGGCAAAATCACTCTCCGATAACTTCAATATTCTGTTAAGCCATTCATAACCTTGCATTATTCCACATCAAAGTAGAGCTTTGGACATTCTTCAGACGTGACTAATCATTCCCAAATCACGTGGCTCACCAATTCATATTAGGGAATCACTATTGAGCAGCAGGGGTGAGAAAGGATAATAGTGTCGAATCAGAAGGTGACCAGAGAACATGGATCCCAAAGATTTTGGCATCTCAACTTTGCCTCTTCAACATGAGCCGTACGGACCAATACTCCCAGAACGGCTGGCGGGTGCTAATCGAGGCAAAGTTGCTGTTGTGACAGGGGCTGGTCGAGGTATGTGAATCAACTCTATCCTTGATCATGAACCTTGTTTCATACGACCAAGATGGGTGTGAAGAACGGGCAGGTAAAGGACATAGATAAACCGACACTGACCGAATGACACGAAAAGGCATTGGCCAGGCAATAGCAATCGCACTAGCAAATTCCGGGGCCCATCTGGCCCTCCTAGACCTCAGCGTCGAAGGACAAGAGGAGACCAAAGCCGCATGCCAGAAGTATGCAGGCGTGCGAGTCGAAACTTACAAGTGCGACATCACCGACGTAAATGGCGTACGGGAGACATTCGCCGCGCTAACCAAGACACTCGGGCCGGTGGATATCATGGTGAACAACGCGGGCGTATCGCATGGCAAGCTCGCGTCGCAAGACCGCTTCGAGGATTTCTGGCGGGCCATCGAGATCAACTTCAAAGGCACCATGCTGTGTATCTTCGAGGTGTTGCCGAGTATGCGTGAGAGGAAGACCGGTGCAATCATTAACCTGGCTTCACGCGCTGCGACCATCGACATGCCGACGGGGTTGAGTTATAATTCGAGTAAAGCGGCAGTTGCACGGGCGACGTCCACGCTGCAGGAGGAGTTGGAGCTGGAAGGTCTCGGCGAGCAGATTTGCACATATAGTTTGCATCCGGGAGGTGTGTGGGGTGCTATGGTTACAGGTACGTTGTTTTTGCTTTTGCGCGTCTTGAGCGAATGGTCTGGGCTAATGCAAAATCGTCCTCGTAGGCGGCACAACACTCGAGGTTCAAAAGGAGATTCGACATATTTTCAAAGACGGGCCTGAATTGTGTGGCAATACTGTGGCGTATCTGGCATCTGGACGGGCCAAAGAATTGCGCGGGCACTATTTCGATTGTCGGCATGATATTGAGCGGGTGTGCAGCTTTGGCCACAAGACTCTGAAGTCAAATCGCCTGTATAACCTGACGGTGAAGTTTTTGCCAGGCTATGAGAACGAGCCTTGAACGAGAGAATTCTTTTGCTTGTTAAAATGGCGGCCAATAGTGGAGAGTTTAATAAGCTGGATTCTACGTATCTTGTCCGAATGGCGCGAGCGGTCTATTTAAACACACGCGAAGCGCCATGTACTGCCCTCAGGTTCCAAAGATGACTCGAGCCCAACGCGCTTCCCTGATATCACAACGTGACGCAGCTTCTTACCCTGTCGAAATAAGACTTTCAAGCACTAAGAGTCAGCAGCGTGCGGGAGTTTCGTTGGGGGGGGGGGGGGGGTTTGGAGTGAGGGGCCCTGGACAAAAAATATTTTTTAAAAGAAAGAGGGAGTGGGGTGGGGGGGTTTGTGGGGGGGGGGGGGGGGGGTTTGGGATCAGGCGTCGCTGACGAAAAATGTTTATCTCAAGACATGGCCAACTTGGACGATTCTCCCCCAACCTTGTCATACTCCTGAGTAAAATCATGCATAATGGAATTCACGCCCTATTAAGATAAGGAATATTGTTAGTGGCGATTATCTCGTAAAAGCCTTGTTTGATGTTCGCGTCTCTCACCAACGAAAGCTGGGCGCAGAAGTCAGCATCCCGAAATTTGTCTGCCATTTTGAAGAGATCGTCGTCCTTCATTGCAACGCCTGGCTCTTGAATGAGTCGGCGGAGGTTAGAGCTAGAGACAGGGTCTATAATGGTGAAGTATTTCTCACGCCTAACCTCACTGTAACGATCTAGGATGCTGTCACTGGCGAGCCCCTGATGAATACCGTTGAGGCAATCGAAAAGATTGCCTACGTCGACTATTCCACCGGTAAGTCCTAACCCACCACTGATATTGAAACATTAGCAATCTTTTTGCACTTTCACCACTTCCATGGATCGAAACTCACAAAGGGTTGCAGAGATGTGCCGCATCGGCAGCAAGAAGAATCCGTCCAACACGGAAACTCTTGGCACATCTCTGATGAATCTTGTATGGACTGAAATTCACGACTTTGTAATCCCCAGGGGAAGGATGGCCTGGAAGGATAGTGCGGTACTTTTCTGGCAGACGAGCGAGATATTGTTCTTTTGTCAAGCCAGGAACCTCACCATAGGTGACCCGCAACATCCCGTCCAGGCTAATCTGGAGTGCCATCGACCAATGGTTTGGATCGACGATGAATGCTCCCTGATCCCAGCCATGACGCTCGATGTTGTAATACACCTTTACTTGTTCAGCAGTGATCCTAGCAGATCGTCATGCTATACGTGGAGATCAATCTCACATTTGTGGCAACAATTTGTTCGTCCCACGTTCGTCCTGGAAAATCATCGCCAAAAAGCGCACTTCGGATTCTTGAACTTGCACCATCACAACCCACTAAGTAGTCGGCCTCAAACTTCTGTTCCCCCTCGGGAGTTTCGGCCCAAACTTGAGCGCCTTTTTGGGTCTGGTCGACCTTCAGGGCTTTGTGTAGATACTTGACTTCGACGTTCGGACACCTATCAAGATGTTCTTTGATCAGAGCACAGAGCTCACCCAATGGGAAACAATGCAATCGGTAATCCTTGGTGATGGCATCTGGGTTAAAACGGGCAAGCAGATTTCCCTCGAGATCACGCCACTGAATTCCACCCCAAGTCACAAATCCTCTCTCACGAACTTCGCTCAAAAGACCAGCACGTTGAAGTTCGTAAATTGCAGGCCATGAATAATGCGTTGCCCGAGGCGAGCCATCAAGTTTCGAGGCGGCCTCCAAGACTTGAACGTTGATACCCGCATTAGCGAGCAAGAGGGCAAGAAGTAAACCGGACGGACCAGCACCAACAACGATGACCTAGAACATATATGTCAGCATTTTTCAAGGTTTCGATATTTCATTTCCGAACAGAACCTTGGAAATAGCCATTGGTAAGGTTGCAAGCGGATAGCACGTAACCTTTTAAAGCGTACTTGGCCGAAGCGACCGATAGCGTTGGGAGAAATATGCTGATCAGGTACGTGCCTCGAAGTATCTACCTACTTCAATTCTCAGCATCATTGTTTGATTCAAGACTGGAACCCTTGTTATTGCATGGTTAGTCGAATAACGCCCCACGACTGTATAAGGCAAGCTAGAACCAGTTGGGGTGTTTGAACCCAACGTTACGGTCCCCAGAGGAAATAGATTTGGAGGATGTGGATAGAGGTTGCCTGAAGCTCAAGGCTATCCCCAAACCCCCACATTCAAACTCTCATCTCCAATTGACCCCGGGCCTATTCCCCCGAAGCTTAGGAAGCCCCGAGAGTCACGCCTGGCACATACTCCGTGATGGCCTTAGAAGTAGAACGTAGGCAAAGGTGATTATGGCTGAGAGGTTTGATCAATTTTCAACAATCACTATGAGCTTCACCTGGCAGCCTTTCGAAGTATTTGAACACAGCCATCCTTCCTGCATTGCATGTAGATGGACTGAGTCAGCAAATTGCTGCCCCTGAGAGCTGGTAAAGAATGGAGACAAGTATTTGTGCTGCGCGGGAGATTACCAGGATAGGAATAAGTCAATCGTGCATCCATCTGTCTTAATATATCGTCGGATGATAAGCAGACATGAGAATGCCTTCTCCAAGTGACCTGATGCAATGATAATGGCCAACAGGTGTCGGACAACGCCGATCTCATTGAACTGATGAGCAAGTTGTTAGTGAGTGTGAAGTACCAGTAAAAGTAAGCTCGGATGCTAGTCTCAAAACAGTATATCTCCATTGGAAGGCGTATGGTGCTAACATCTTGTAGCGCCGCTAGCAGGGCTCTTGGTGCCTCCACTAGTGGCACTGAACTTTGAAGTCGGGGATGCCGCTAGAACCGGCGTCATTTGAACCAGGCTCGCACTCGTGACTTGACTTGGCAGGCCACGGCAGGCGTGACTGGGGCTTGAATGACAATGGGTTGACAATTGGCGCTTGCCGCTCCTACAACCGCAACCGCAACCGCAACTGCCTACCTAACTTGAACCTAACCAACCCAAACCAAACGCCGCTGTCGTCTGCGTCTCTCGCCTCTACGACCCTGTCTCATTCTTCATCCTCCCTACAACACACCCCATCTCTATCCACAACAAACTAGTACACCATCATTCACCCCCCTCGCGCTCCGGCTATCATCTGTATCTCTAGAACAGCCACGCTCGACTCACCACCAGCCTCAATTCTCCCCGATCCCGATCCTCTCCCCGATCGCGCCCCACTTCGAAAGGAACAAAGAATCAGCTTCATCACGGGCAAATCCCCAGGATCGAGACCCTCCAACATCAGCAGTGGCGCACAACCCACTGTGGAAGACGTCTCTTGCGCTCTTTGATGTCCCCCTTACCTCGTTCGACCACCATCCCGCCATCGCCAACTTCTCCGCCAGCTTCTGGTCTCAAGCGACGGCGCCTATCTGACAACATCCCTCAATCCCCAATTTCTCCTCCGTTGATGTCAGTCGCTACAAAGAGCTATGTTGCCTCATATGGAAATTCCCATAATACGGACGAAGTTTCGGGTCGATCTTCACCACGTTCTCCAAGGGGTTCCCTATCGCGTGCTCAGCAGTCCACTTCTCGTACCACACCTTCGCTCCCAACACCCGCAAATAGTGTTATCGGAATCCCTGGTTTAGAAATGACGGAGGATTCAGATTCACATCGCGATAAACGTCCAAGATTCGATGCTGGACAAACCGAAAGTGAGGATAAAATGGAAATTGACACAGACGCTATATTCACAAATCACGATCGGCAACAAGATACATCTATGGCGGGCGGCCCCGAAGGTGTAGATATACATCCGGATTCTGAAAGGAGGAGGAAGAATGAGACGATCAACCTGGAACAGCAGAAAGATATGGGTGAACCATTCCTTCTTTGCAGATCCAGTAAGACTCTCCCATCATCCCCTCAATGTAGGCTGTTCCCGTTGGTATATTGTTAACAAAATTGTTTCCAGAGCCTGAACCGCAAAGACCGAACCCTCAACAGCATCTTTTGGCCGTATATGGGCTCGGTCCGTTATTGAAAAGTGTCGCACGTATACATCCATTGTCCGGGGAGAAGATCAACAAACTCCGAAAATCCTACGAGGGACAAATCAAAGACTTCGGGCTTCCTGGTAGAAACAAGGCTGTCAGAGGTGAACGAAACGTTGACGAAGATCAACCTGGACCGTTGAGACGAATGGCAGGATCTACCCCCTGGGGCCTTCAAACCGATGAACAATGGAACTCAGAACACGTTCAATCCAAGATCAACATTACACCGGACTTTCAACTGAAAGTGAAGCAAGCAATGCAACTGCAACCTGGTACTGTTCGAAACAATACCTATTGGGAGAGCGAACTTGGGCTGTCCGACAAAGCCAAGGTCAATGCAGTCCCACCACGAGACCAAAGCTCCCAGCGAGCCATGCACAAAATTCCAAATGGAATTCAAAGGCCACCACAACAGATGGTGGGTGAACCTAAACGCCAAACCCGTGGTAAGAAACGAAGCTATGGTGATGATAGCTATGTGGGTTATGGGGAAGGCTATTCAGATGGAGACTATTCCGGCGATGATGGTTTCAGCCAGAGAAAACGGAAGAAGGTGATTTGATGTCTTTTTGATGGTCGAAACATTGAGCTCACATACCTTAGGAGAGTATCGGTACCCCTCTGGCTTATGGACAAATCAGAGATCGCTAGGTACTTCTCAAGACCAAATTGACCCAACTGGGCAACAGAAAGCGACTGCAGCCATTATTGAGGCTATGTGAAATACTTTACCGTTTCGACCAAACGGATATAAAGATACCCTAATGAGAACGACTAGAATGGGCTGGGATGTGCTTCATTCATATAACAGCGTATACCGGGGAGTTGCTGGAAAAGGCGCCTTGGAACCATCGAATTCTGATGGGCCGGTTATTCGGCGGTTACCATTCACGAACATTTCTATTTTAGAGAGGATGATTAGCTTCGCAGAAGCCGCCTTCTCTACTGAACGCGTTGTTACACGTTTTATCAAGTCAAGGTGTCGATTAAGGACTCCTACAAAGAGACTTGACTTTCAAATACGAACTGTTTTCCCAACCATGACTTTCTACCTCAAAACCCGGGCAATTTCACTCCGAGATATAGACCAGCAGACTGGACGGACTCTGGAGAATCACGCCCTTTCCTCACTCATTTCCGTAATTGCTTAATTCATCTACCTCGTGCACTGAGTCTAAATTGATTGGAAGGACCGTCTATCCCTTCTAGGGTTGCCTTACGGAGGATTCGAGGAGACCACCTGAGTGTATAGTATCAGTGCGACTAATTGCCTAAGATGGCGTATTGGGATGGAGAATGGTACATACTGGCCACGAGTGAGGAATACGAGTACGTCCACACGAACAAGCTGACGGAAACCTCGAGATGACAAACCTACCTAGATAGAGAAAGTCCCGGGTTTAACGTGGAGATGGGTTATGGTATGAATCCGGCCTAGTTCCCATCTAACGAGCGGCCCGAAACAGTGTTAGACGCAGTCAGGCTAGCGTGTCGTCATATATGGTTGGATCGGGCTATCATTCAGGCCGACTTCGAGCTTCATAAAAGCGCTTTGAAGGAGTATTCAGTTTCCGACGACCCAGTCTTTACTTTCGCGACCTCGATAGCTGTCCATCTATCTAGGTATCTATTGATCACGGGAAGCAAGCGCCCGCCTAAGGAAAACTTGTATAGGCAAAGCCATCACAAACCCACCGGTACCATCATCACACCACACGATGTCATCAAGCACCTCCCTTTCTCTGGGCATGGGGCCCCTAGGACTCTTCAGCGCGAGCCCAACACACCGGTTCGCGGCGCCCGCTGCCTTCCTCGGTTGGGGCTGGCTGTACGCGTATTGCGTGCTGGCCAGCCGCACATGGAAGCAGTGGTACGGCATCGACCACAACGGCAGCCCGCGCCAGGACCTGACCAAATACGCCGACGTCGCCGTCCGCGAGGGCAAGATAACCAGAGCCCAGGTCGACCAGCTCCGGCGTGTCGAGGCCGCCAGCGCCAATGCTACCGAGGGGTATACCCTTTTTGTCGCTTCCGGTATGTACCGTGGTTTTGAGTTCTTTCTTGGGCGTGTCTTCTCTGTGTTGGAGGCGTTGGCGTCCCTTTTTTCTACAGGGAGATGTGAGTCTGACTGCTGATGTGCTCTTTTTTAGTGCTGTTCGCTCTTGTTACTGACGTCCCGCGGTCGTCGCTGATCAATGCTTGCACCACATATACGGTCGCTAGGTTGGTGTATGGGGCGGTCTATGTCTTCGTTGAGGATGACTTTTGGAGCCAAGCCCGCGGCATCTCATGGTGGACGGGCAATATCAGTTGCTTGTTCTTGCTCTGGAAAGGCGCTCAGTCGGTCTGAGATCGGTTTTACCTCCAAGAGAGAAAGAGCACATATCAATTATTGTACAGCAATCTCTTCACACTATATTATCAGGAGATCAAAAGTCATGTCCGTTGGCAACCCCCTTATCAAGCCATTTTCTCCACCACCTCGCGCTCTTTGATCTGGTCTGACTCAATGCTCGCCGCACTTCCATGGCTTTCAGTCTCTACATGAAACCCTTCAATTATGATCTGCTCTGCTGATTGTACCTGCGACTCGAAAGATTGCTTGCCATCATCACCTGGTAGCTTGAACAGCAGGCAAATGATATAGTATGACAAGCAGCCCATCAAGAAACTCAACACCCAACCCAGTGAATACATGTGCGTGGCGGCGATGTTGATGTTGTGTCCAAAGCTGGCTGCAAACCCGGGTAGGGGAAGTAAGAATCCAATTACAAAAGCCGCGAACGCTCGAACATTGAAGCCATGGAAGAAGTAGTAACGGCCTTCGGATGACAGGGTGAATAGGTCAGTTAGACTAAGATTGCCACGACGAAGAATCAAGTAGTCGATTAACATCACGGCCACGACGGGACCTTGAAAGATGGAATAGCCCCCGAGAAAGTTGAGAAAGCCGTTGGCCGTGGCAACGATACGCCTGAGACTTGGTCAGCACAAGATGTTGTGGAGCTCTTGTTGAGGATGATCGAGGCTTACCATGGGACAATCGCAAAAGCGATGACCAGACACAATAGTTGACCACGAATAATGTTGATATATTTGGGAAGAAGGCAAGTCACATCGGCAGCAAAGGGGATGAAGTTGCAAGCAATGGAGGTACCCAGAGTCGCAAACGCAAAACTCGCCGACGCAAAGAAAACACCAGCTCGGGCTTTCGATGAATACGATTCGTCAAGAATGCGATTTAGAAGGTCGTAAGGATTCCAATATGCCTCTCCATACAGATTTCGAACCGCAGACTAGTTGCTGTTAATTGCTTTTCCAAATTCCGAATGTTCAGGAAGGCTCACTGTAGCAATAATGCCAAAAGATGCACACAAGGTTTGGCCAATTGGTAAACTGATTAGCTGACCCCATAGTTGAGCATTTTTGGTCTTCGAGTACCGAGCCAAATCTGGAACTGTGACAAGCAGTGCCGAATTCGCGCCCATGACTGCACTGAATTGTGATATAATACCCCAAGCAAGCACTGATGTTGACGTTGAAGTTCCGGAGTTCTCGAATACACCAGATGACACTCCTCCATTCTCAGTTGTCGCCCAAATCACTATGCCTAGGCCGGCAAGAGGCATAATTACTGACTTGACGCTGAATAAATGTTGGATCTTAGATGTGTGAATGAAGAGAAAAGGAATGGTGAACAAGAAGGCAAAGAAGAAGCCGACCATAACTTGTGTCGTGATATGTTGGCTCTCAGGAATGACGTTAGGGATTCGCTCCCAACCAGGGAAGATACATCGTAAGCAGACGGAGATAAACTGCCCTTCGAAGTAAAGCTGAACTCCACCCCAGATGATACCCAAGATTGAACGCAGCACGACGACAAAATAGGCGCCTCTAATGCCAAAGCTTGAACGAGAGATAACAGGATAGCCAATATGATATCTCGCTGCCGCTCTACCATTCAGCACAATAACGGCTGCTGACAGAAGATTGGCGAAGAAGACCACGAGGAGCGCATCTCGAATAGTTGCTCCAAGTGCAATGAAGGATGCTCCGACAGACCATGTCGACACATTCCAGGACTCAGACCACCAATATGCGAAGAAGCTCCAGACAGTCCATGTATGTCGAGAAGGTGGAGAAGGGGCTAGATCCTCGTTGATGAGGATCGAGGTTGAGCTTTTAAGGATGAGTGCTTGGTGGAAAGCGGAAGGGGATGAGAATGCATGCTTTAGTCGTTGTAAACGGGGAGGCCTAGCGTTCGAAGTCGTCATTGTGAAGGTTGTCCGATGTTGGGAAGGAACAAGGGACTGGAGGGGTCGTGAGGGCCTATATGTACCATCCTTGCATCCTGGAAATGATGGGAGAAGGGTATCTTCCTTTCGTCTTCAAGCGAGGTGGTGCTTGTCCGGAGGCAGTTATGATCATGTAGATGCACGACGAGAATCGAAGCGTAACATGGGTTCTGGCCAGGACCAAGAAATGTGGATTAGAGTCCTCCAATGCTATAGATTGGAGCAATCATGCTCAGTACACGCACCCTCCAGGCTGTGATAGTGCTGTTGATAGACCTAGGATGTTTGAGTGCCCGCGCTTTCGTGAGACTTAGGGTGGGGATCAGGTTACTCTTCGTCACTTCCTGCATTGATCATCTTTACCCAATGCAGATTCTTGAAGAGCCGATCTAACTGATGCCATGCCTAAATAAATTTCTCCTCATTGCAAAGTTAAATGGGTTTGTGACTCGCAATACCTCGAACGAACGAAACAACTTCGAGGTCGTAATGGCGGTAAGTGGTCCTAAAGAATCTATCGAAGGCGGGACTGCCTGGTACAAATGCGACCCTCCAATGAATCTGGGTGAAGCTCCAATCTACAAAGCATCAGATTCCACTCTTCATTGGGTAGATTGTCTATGTGAGCCTGCAGAATTGCATATTCTCAAGCTAGACCCAGAAACAGGAGACGCTCAGGGTCGCGCCCGTGTGTTGAAATTGGAGGACTCAGTGACGGTCGGATTTTTCCGAAAAAATCACCCCGGGTCTTATATATGTGCTTACTACCAAGGAGTAGCATTTCTCGATGAGGCGACGGGCAAGTTGAGTGTGGTGAAAGAGATCATACCCAGTGCACAGCGAGATCTGCTCCGATTCAACGATGGTGGTGTTGACGCCAAAGGTCGATTCTGGCTGGCCGAGATCGATAAGAAAGCAATGGCTTACGGCCCAAACAAGTTACCATCAAGTTACGGGGAGCCGAAGGGTCGCTTATGGAGGTATGATCCAGATGGTAGTTTGCATGAGATGGAGAAAGGAATCGTTTGTGGAAATGGTTTGGCTTGGAGCCCGGACAACAAAACTAGTGGGCACATATGTCCTCAACCATTGAGACTGAGATTTGCTAATCCATTTGAAAGTGTACTTCAATGATTCCGTTGCCATGATGGTTTTCGCATATGACTTTGACCTGGAGTCAGGAGAGATTTCTAACCGGCGGTTATTGATCGATCGCAGATCATCGTTCGGTGAGCCGGATGGAATGGTTGTCGAGTAAGTCGTCGCGCAGTATTACCCATTATAACCAGAGCTCGATATTAACACGACTCTGTGTGTAGCACCGAGGGCAATCTTTGGATAGCAGTTTTCGCATCCTATCGTATTATGGTCTTCGCTCCGAATGGTGAGCACTTGAAAGATATCATCTTCTCTGCCAACAATATGGCATGTACCACCTGGGGTGGAAAAAATTTCGATATAATCTTTGCGGCAACAGGGAAAGACAAGAGGCTTGACGCCAAACCGGAAGATGAAGGCGGACATATGTTTCGATACAAACCAGAGGGATATTGGGGAGCGCCCAAGTTCGAGTTTGATGGTTGATGCCAATTTCAGACAAGGCTTGACCAATACATTAGTCGTTAACGAGACCTGGCGACATCGTCGAGCGAACAGAATGGATGTGTAAATTTTCACTTCAGTTCCTAGGTATTCAGCGATGTGAGAGGTGCTTTTTCGCCATCCTTGACACCTAGGCATCTTGTGAAAAAGAAAGGAAGAAAAGACTGGCTGTTTGGGCATCGAGGTCGCCTAGTTAGTTATTACCCCAGGCAAGAAGGCACCCACTAAGGTACAGTAGGTATGGTGTCCGCGGGCCATCGGGCTGTTAAAATTGCTAGTTAAGCCTCGTTAATGGTAGGTGGGAGGATGCCTGGGCTAGGCCAGGCTCGAAGCCCGAGGCCAACTCTCGGTCTGCACCAGTCGCCCTTCCCTTCTCGGCCTCAACCACCCTTCGGGCGTCGCTACGGTGGCTTCCCAATTAAAGTGCCCTAATCCTCGGGTTGGTCGTGGCGACTTGTCCTACGCTATATTCCAGCCTCGCTCTTCTCCGAATATAATTTGATCACTATCGGCTATGTATCGAAGCAGGTTCTTTGGCGGCGCGGCATCTTGACATAGATTCCATCTCGACAGCTAAGAGGTCTTCCAAATCGTAAAACTTTATGCCAATGCTCCAACAATGTCCCCCTACAGGCACTTCCGGTCGTTCCACAGGTCTAATGAGAAAAATGACTACAACACGCGTCAATAAGCCACTTTGAGTTCTTGAAAAATACTTGATAGCTCTGCTAGACTTGGCGAAGTCTAATGTCGTCCAACAAGCGATATGAATGTTCAACAGAAGGCTGTGGAAAGAGTTCCGTGCGGCCTGAGCACCTCTACAGACATCGGTTAAACCGTGAGATCAACTTCCCACTACGTAAAGAAGTTGACACAGGCTGATAAGTTGGACAGATAAACCCAAACGTATTTATACATGTGCTTCCTGTGAGAGGACATTTGTTAGACTCGACTTACTCCATCGCCACGAGAGAAGACATGAAAGGTCGGATAATTCAAAGCCTCGTGTTTCCGTCACAGATGACACAATTTCGGGCGAGAGTATACCTCAGACTCAGTTGCCTCTCAACGAAACGATTCCGCCTTTCGGGCAGTTGACTACAGTGTTCCAGCCTGAAAGTGATGTCAATCTCAACACGTCGGCCCAGAGTATTACTTGTCCCCCAGAGGTGGGTTCATTCTGCCCAACATTGAACTCGCACTCAGGCTATGATGATCAATGCCATGGAGGGTTCCAGATGTTCTTCGATTCCTCGATGGATACACAAGGACTAAGTGACGAGCTAGACTGGCTCTTTGGAACCATTTCCCCCGAACAAGCCGACCTTTATGAACCACTACCCGACCACAATGAAAATGCAATACCATCCTTATCACCTCATAGTAACAATTCTCTCTCATTAATCATCGACTTAACATCCACGAACGATGGATTATGGCTGCGTGTTCGAGAGAAGATAGTATCAGCTCTGCAGGGCGTACTTCCAGCTTGCCTCGAAAGTTCATTCTTCCAGCCAGCCAATCTGGAACAGTTTTATCGCATATATTTTGCAAACTACAACACCCATTTTCCCATTCTTCACGAAGCTTCATTTTCATGCGATGAAGCGTCCCCTCTCCTGTTACTTGCAATCCTCACATTGGGAGCAACGCTATCAGACCAAGAACACTTTGAAACATCAGAGCTGATACACGACAAATTGAGATGGATGATATTCGGTGTAAGTACCATTCTCACCTTGTCAAATGCAAGCTAAACCTAGCAGGCGTCTGCATTCCAACCGCCTGCACCACTTTGGTGTTTGCAAGCATTACTCATCGTTCAGGCTCATGAGAAAATGTTTTCCTCCCGCAAACATCATGAGATGGCCCATATATTTCATGGATCCATTATTACAGTCAGTATTGTGAATCTTTCTCTCTCATTTCCTGTTTAACCAGATTCTTAGCTTATGCGAAGAGGAAGCTCGTACTCAGGAGAATGGGACGAGTCTGCTGACGCCTCCTCGGTGGAGAGAGCGTGGCACTTGTGGATTGAGCAAGAGTCATCCAGGCGTGCATCGCTGTTTGCTTTCGTGATGGATGCACAGCATGTTTCCATCTTCGGACATAGTCCAGTTCTTTCTGTCAGTGATATTCGTCTCCCTCTACCATGTCCGGAGGCCCTTTGGACTGCAAGAACTGCTTCTCGTTGGGTAAGGGAGAAGTGTAAATACGAAGCACCGCCAACCTTTTTGTCTGCCTTGCGGGGCCTATTGGCTAGAAGGCCTTTGCCTTCCACCTATTCGCCCTTTACCAGATTCATTCTACTGCATGGACTTTTCAGTGTGACCAAGCACATGCAGGAGCGAGACCTCACCGCTGCGGATGTTGGCGGAGCAAAGACATCTACGAATGAGTCTATACCATCATCACCTTCGAATCTTTCAGAAGTTGATGCTTGGCGCGATATACTCGATCGGGCCATAGAGACGTGGTCGTTATGTCTTGTCTCACAAGAGCCTTCTTTGTGCCTGGAAGCTGCCAGACCCCTACACCGTATGGCGCACATTACGATACATGTGAACCTGATCGACTTTCATACCTTCGCCAAAGCACCATCATTGATGGGTAACAGGACTAGCTCAAACGAGTATGCAAGGGCTCGCAAAAGAATTGAGCAATGGGCTATGAAATCGATTGCAAAGCGGACTATCTCGCAATGTTTACTACTCATCCAGGAAACCATGTTTACCCGAAAGCAGTACAAGGCTTCAGAAGATAATATTGCGCTTCGACCTTGGTGTTTGTATCATGCTACGTTGATAGTGTGGGCCTACGGGATCTTGACCATGGGGACCACCTCAGCATCATTCCTTCCAGCGGAAGAATACCTCATCCATATGCTCAACGGCTTACTTGTCGGTGACGGACAAGTAGCCATTGCCAATCGAACATCAGGACTCATTGACACAGTCCGGAAATCACTGCGTGGATGCAGGTGGCATTGACACAGTCCGGAAATCACTGCGTGGATGCAGGTGGGAGTTGCTCAAGGAGGCACACATCACTCTAGGAAATCTAACTGAGGCGGCTACCTTAGGGGTCATGGTATGAAGTTACTAGTCTGACTGTAACTTTCTACAGCACTGCGATACATTTGATTTCAACGTCTGTGTTCAGGGGTAATGTCTTGACTGCGACACAACTACATGTGATTAGCAGTTAAATTGGGCCCGAGTGGATCATGGATCACTTACGTTCTCGCTGGCTTGACTTCACCCCAATATTGCATATATATTTCATTCATCTTGGCGAAGTCGTTCATGTCGGCCAGAAAAACATTCACCTCAACAGCCTTATCCAAGCTTGAACCCGCTGCCTCGAGCACTACCCCAAGATTCTTGATGCACTGATGCTGCGGTACGTCAATAAGTCTGCAGCGTAACATCAACGGAGGAACAAACAGTGTGGGCTTGGATATCCCCATCTGCCAACGTCGAAGTCGCAGGGTCCATCGGGACCTGACCAGAGCAGTACACAAAGCCATTCGCTACAATTGCCTGACTGTAGATGCCAGGTAGGGGCTTTGGGGCTTTATCAGTCAATATTGCTTGCTTGGACATCTTCGTTCGAGTTGCTCCAATTCTTTCGGTGTTATTGGGGACGTCGAATTTGACCTTCAAAATGAGTCGTTCTTGAGGTTTCTGAACGGCAGAGACAGAGATTGATCACAGCTTACCAAAAACGAGGAGAGCGTGGGCCGACGTCGAATTACGATTCCCAGTATGGGGGTGTGGGGTGTGCCAATCGGCTCCCTAATAGGCCAACTCCGCCGTTTCTGATGCTACATCACTTGTATCACGGTGAAGGGTGGGCATTGAGTGGGCAATGCCCACGTGGGGTAAATGACACCCTCTAAGGTACCTGCTACCACCACACCTAGTCCGCATCCGCTCTCGATTGTGCAGCAACCACTCTCATTGAACGCAACGCTATCTTTGTATCACGTCCTAGGCATCATCATGGGAACTTATGAATAAGAACGTCTGGGCCCAGGTGGGTGGTAGCGTGTGCATTATGTGGGGTTTAGTATCAAAAAGGCGCGATTCTCCCCTGGTTTGTTTAGAGTCAATATGATTTTGAGACCTCTTGCTTGGAAGCCCCAACAACTCGATCGATACTTTGATCATGAGTTCACACGACACTCTTGTTGTCGCTGCAATGGAGGCATATCCCTCGCCTCCATATCCTTTACATGAATCAGTTATTGACAAACTCCATCCACAATATGTCGCATTTTACAATCAACACCTTCTCAACGCGCAACAGGTTCACTACCAACCCGTCTGTGCTTCCCGAGTAGGAGGCAGGATTATTCCCGGTGGCAGCGAGGACTTGCCAGTTGGTCACGCTGAGGACATCTCGATACCTCGTCTCGAAACTCAAGGACCAGATGTTCAAATCCGATGTTTTACTCCCGAAGGTAAGCCGCCAGCGAGTGGCTGGCCGGTGATGGTGTACTACCATGGTGGAGGATGGGTTCTGGGTACCATTGCCACAGAGAACTCAGTGTGCACGAATATGTGCGTGAGGGCCAAGTGTGTCGTCATTACGACAGGTTATAGGTGAGTGTTTCATCTTTATCAATCAAGGTCCCAGCCATGAATGCAGAACTTGCCAAACGATTCGAGGACAGTGCAAGTTGAGATGCGGTGTGAAAACGTCACTGACAGAATGTCGACACTAGACTAGCCCCAGAGCACCCATACCCGGCTGCAGTCCATGACTCGTGGGAAGCGCTTCTCTGGACAGTGACTGAAGGCGTACAGAAATTGAATCTAGATCTATCAAAGCTCGCCATCGGAGGTTCGAGTGCCGGAGGCAACCTTGCCGCAGTGATGACCCAGAAGGCGCTACTACTACGCCAACAACGGCCGTCCTATCTATCCGAGGACATCAAGTTCCTCAAGCAGCTCCTCATCGTTCCAGTCACAGATAACACCGCCAACATCGAGAACAACCCAACCTACAAATCGTCTGAGCATGTTCCAGCCCTGCCGGCCCTGAAAATGCTCTGGTATCGAAACCACTATTTGCCGGATCGGGCGACCTGGAACGACTCCGAAGCCTCTCCGCTACTGTTCCCAGCCGAGAAGTTTTCAGATCTGCCGCCCGCAGTTATCCTTGTGGGACAGCTTGACGTACTGAGGCATGAAGGCGAAGAATACGGCAGGAAGCTGAGAGATGCTGGTGTTGACGCGAAAGTCGAGGTTATGACGGGAATGCCACATCCGTTCTTGGCCATGGATGCTGTTTTGGATGAGGGAAAGCGTGCAATTACCATTCTGTGCGACACTCTGGTCGAAACTTTTGCTTAGATAGTTATTGTGGCGGGGAGAATCCAATATCAACGGCAGCATCTCTGCGTGTAATGAAGCTCGCCTGGAGGGGCATTGCCAAGAAATGTTAGGTCAGCTGCCAAGAACCACTTTACGCGCGACGCGTTCCTCTTGAGAGACGCGTCTCATCCCCTAAATTACACCCACCATTCCAGAGATCTCCCCTCAGTGTCAATCTTGCGAAAACTCCTCGTCGACGACTTTTACTCGCACTGAACCTTGAACATACTCGCCCGCCGACAGTATGGCGAACCTTGTAGATTCAATCCTCAACTCAGATGCCTTTGCGGCGACTCCATCTTCTCAACGACGAGGTCAAAGTGATTTTCCCTCATCCTCGCGACCGCGACCAGCACCATCAGAGAGCGCCGGACTCCCATCTGAAGCCGACATATTTCCCGACGACGAGATAGTTGGTGTGGCGAGCGGGCGGAATCGAAATCCCAGGGATCGAAACGTTTCGCAACTTACAGATGTAACCGCAGAACGAGTCGCGCAGGCATTCGAAGATTTCCTCGAATCTCACAGCGAAGAACAGACGTCCTCAACGCCTGCGTCAAGCGAACTGAAGACGAACAAATACTACATCAACCAGATACATGGTCTACGAGAGTTTCAGCTCTCCACACTTTACGTCGACTACCGCCACTTGTTGGCATATAAGGAGGGCACGATTCTTGCAGATGCCATCTCCGGCCAATACTACCGGTTTCTGCCTTACCTCATCAAATCACTTCATAACCTTCTCTCGAAATACGAGCCTACCTACTTCAGAGATCACAGGCAGACGACCAGTGGTGCTTCTCAAGCGGGCACCTCAGTCGCAGGAAACGCAACTAGCGAGGGTAGCACACAAGGAGATAGGAATGTCAACCAGCAAACAGACAAACTTTTTACGCTTGCATTCTATAACTTACCCCTGATCTCTCGAGTGCGCCAGTTGAGAACCAACCAAATCGGCAAACTAGTTTCGGTCTCCGGCACTGTAACGAGAACATCTGAAGTACGACCTGAGCTGGCTCTGGGCACCTTCATTTGTGAGGCATGCAACACCACCATACCAAATGTCGAGCAGACATTCAGATATACTGAGCCCAGCGTTTGCCCCAACCTCACTTGCGGCAACAAACTGGCTTGGAGACTCGACATCCGGAATAGCACCTTCGTGGACTGGCAAAGATGTCGAATTCAAGAGAATAGTTCTGAAATTCCCACAGGAAGCATGCCCCGAACTATGGATGTGATCTTACGTGGAGAGCAAGTTGAACGAACGAAACCTGGTGAGAAATGTGTCTTCACTGGAACATTGATCGTCGTACCGGATGTGTCTCAGCTTGGTCTCCCGGGTGTCCGACCAGAGGCATCAAAAGACAATAGGAATTTCCGTGGTGGTGATGCAGGTGGATCTGGCGTCACCGGACTGAAGGCTTTGGGCGTCAGAGATCTCACATACCGTATGGCATTCCTATCCTGTTTCTCGAGCCCCGATACCACAACTCCAGGGCAAAGTGCCAATCAGCTCAATGGACAGTCTACAAACATCTTGAATTCTCTGCACCAAACAGATCTGTTTGACCAGTACGACAGCGGAGAGCGCGCCCAAGAGGCATATCTAGAGACCCTCACCCCTGCAGAAATTGAAGATCTAAGAACCATGGTGCATACCGACAAGATATACAGTAGGCTTGTACAGAGTCTTGCACCTATGGTATATGGGCATGAAATTGTCAAAAAGGGTCTTCTGCTCCAACTCTTGGGAGGTGTGTCAAAGAAAACCCCTGAGGGCATGGCTCTCAGAGGGGACATCAACATCTGTATTGTTGGTGACTCCTCGACATCAAAGTCGCAGTTTCTCAAGTACATCTCATCATTCCTCCCACGGGCTGTCTACACCTCTGGCAAAGCATCTAGCGCAGCTGGTCTAACAGCAGCTGTTGTCAAAGACGAGGAGACAGGCGAGCACACAATCGAAGCAGGTGCACTCATGCTTTCAGACTCGGGCACTTGCTGTATTGACGAGTTCGACAAAATGGACATCAGTGATCAAGTGGCTATTCACGAAGCCATGGAGCAACAGACGATTTCCATTGCCAAAGCCGGTATTCACGCCACTCTGAATGCACGTACCAGTATTCTCGCTGCAGCAAATCCAATTGGAGGCAGATACAACCGCAAGGCAACTCTCCGAGCCAACATCAATATGTCGGCGCCGATCATGTCAAGATTCGACCTCTTCTTCGTTGTCTTGGATGAATGCAACGAGAACATCGACCGGCATCTCGCAGAGCACATTGTCAATCTCCACATGCTCAAGGACGATTTCGTTCAACCGGAGTTCTCAACCGAGCAACTCCAACGCTACATCCGCTTTGCACGCACATTCAAGCCCGTCTTCGAGCCCAGCGCCAAAGCAGTCCTCATTGAGAAATACAAGGAGCTGCGCGCCAACGACTCCGGTGGTATCGGACGCAACAGCTACCGCATCACAGTCCGACAATTGGAATCCTTGATCCGACTGAGCGAGGCGATCGCCAAAGCAAACTGCGTCGAGGAAATCACTGAGGAATTCGTCCTCGAGGCATTCAGCCTTCTGCGCCTCTCGATCATTAGTGTTGAGAAAGACGACGTAGACGTCGAAGACGACGAGGACAACTCACAGCAAACACGAACAGGCGCTGACGACAACGATGACGACGACGACGCAGATAGCCCCATGGACGACGGCGACAACACCTCAGGCGCGGCACAAGCTCGAGCACCAACAGCAGACGGCACACCCGCGCCCTCGAAGCCGACCACGAAAATCACGTTTGAGAAATACCACCAGATCCAGAACCTACTGGCGACGAAGATTCGCGACGACGAGGACGCGTCCGGCCAAGGCCCCGAGCACGAGGAGCTGCTGCTGTGGTATCTCGAGCAGATCGAGGAGACCTTGAGTACAGAGGACGAGCTGGAGAATGAGCGCTCGCTGGCTAGGAAGGTGTTGAAGCGCATGATCAAGGTATGTCGGAATCCATTCGTGCTGTGAAAGCAGTGACAGTCTCGTTAGTCACGCATGCTAATCTTTTTCTCGCAATGTAGGACGCCGTGATCATTCCCATTCGCGGCGAGGGGCTCGTCGAGGGTGAGGATGGAGCTGATGACGCGGCTGGTCCGTCGAATGCCGCTGCGCAAGGTCAATCGCTGTCATATGCTTTACATCCTAATTGTGGCATCTTTGATGACGAGTAGACGTGATGTGTGATGTGATGTGATGAGACATTGATACCATGCGGACGGAAGCATTCTCTATGGTGGCCATTGTTGTCATGTGTGCATCTCGGCGTTGAGGCTTTCTGGCATAGGGAGCTGGCGATTGAACTGGCCTGTGGAGTTCACGTTCCAGATTAGGTTTGATGATTTGCTCTGCTATGGCAGGAAACCATGAGACACCATATGCACGGCCATATATGAACCCGAAGTCTACATATATGTATGTCGGGATCAATGATACGTGTATAGCAGAAAGCAAGGTAGTGAAACGGAGTGAAAGAGAACATGAAATGATAATGGTATGAACCCTACGAATAGACAATGAGCTACGTTTTTCGTAGCACTTGTTCCTCGCTTGAATGCTCCCCAGCCTTGGTCAGGCCTGATGCAATGTAATGCGTTTCCTCCCTGCAGACCTCGGTCTACTACCGACCTCAAACATGTCGTCTCAAACATCGTGATTATTTGTACATGGAGAGATTTGCAAGCCAGAAAATTGCTTGAAACTCTCTCCCTCTCCGGGCTCACTCAACAAGTTTGTTGTTTTGAGTGCCGGACTGGATATGTTGTTGCTTTTCGTCATCCCCTGAATCATGTGAAAACACAGGCTATCAATGAAGGCAAGGGGAGATATTCCGAAAAGAATCAAAAGATCAGGTCAAGGGTGAAAAAGATGCATCACGAAACGAAGTCGTCTCGAAGATTAAGCTTAAGATACCTCTTCCTTTTCCGCGAAAAATTGTCGCCTATACGCTGACAATGCTTGCGCCACGTTCTCGAATTGTTTTACTTCCTTTTGTCGCAAATCTGCAATGACTTGTTTCAATCCCACCAGGTATTGATCGCGAATTGTTTTGTCCTTAATATCGCTGGCTGAGCTCATCTGCACCAAAATCTTATCATCTGCAAGAAGCAGCCATCCATGAGTTAGTAGGGGCAATTTGCTTCACATGGGAATGAGAAAATGAGGGGAGCGGGGGACAAGGGGTGGTGAGCATATTTTCGGGGGTGGGGATCTATCTCCATCTGATAACATACCGGTAAGGCCAAGCTGCCTAAAATGTTGCTCCTCACAACTTGGGTCAGTACAGAGAGAGCCAGAGAGCTCGGTTGAACAAAGCGGTTGCGAAGGATCGATGTTGTTACTGTAGGTCAAGGATCGATACCCCGATTTCACAGTGTCGTCGAAAGCTTGGTGGAAGCGAAATGTCTTGAACGAGCTCAATGGTGTTTTGTAAGGGACGAACAGTGGGTTGGAGGGCGACCTCCCGTCCAAAATGAAATTGGATGTGGCTTCGGCTGAATTTTGCTCGTCCTGATTTTCCATATTTTCAACCTCGGGTACTTGATGGTTTTGCTTATTGAGATCTGGTCGACGATCCATAGAATCGATTGAAATGTCTGGAATGTCGTCGAGTACCTCAGACAACGGCGGATTGCTGAGAACAGGTGTCAAGTGACGGGAACCATTATCAACGAGATCCGTGTCGTACGCTGGTGTGCCAGAAAGAGCAGTGTCTAAGGCACCTATGCTCTCTGCAGGCTCATAATAGTCATCAATTGCTTCGTCGTCTGCTCCTGTGGCAGGTGTGAAGTCTGAAACAGGAGCCTCTTCAGGGTCATATTCATCCGAATCTTCATCTGATTGTTGCATGGGCTGGGAAATATCTGCATCGGCAGGTTCGTAGTCGTCCTCATCGCGATCCGAGCCGCTATCAGACATGCTCGCACTTCCATCGCTGCCTTGATCATCGTCTAGAGGAGGTTCTTGGGACAATTGTTTGTTCAAGATCGTCTGGTCACCAGTTGGGAACATCGTTATTATGGGCGTCGATGTTGGTTCAGGTTCAGGTGATATCTCCATCTCATCGGTCTGAGGTACGTCGTCGTTTACATCATCATAGCCAGCCTCCACTGCTGCACTAGACAAATGTGGAGAACGCCCACTGTTCTCCCCTATAGCCACATCCTCTTGACTGATACCATGGGAGGGCAAGGTGGCGTCCTGAGGGGGGCTAGTGCGAGCCAAATTTTCATTAGGCTCTTCGACAGTACCAGTGCCGATGCTAGTTTGCATATGCTGTTGATGGTTTTCGCCAGCATTCTGAGAACGAAGCTCGCCTTCTTCGAACTTTTCCCGCTGGATTTGATGAAGCTCGGCTGAAAATTGTTCTTGGCCCGAATGGCCGTTGAGGACCTGTCGCTCAAGGTGCTGGACTTCTTGGCGCAGTTCAGCTTCCGTATCTCTCGCACGAGATAACTCATCTTGACACTTCGCAACCTCTTCTTGTGCGCGAAAAAGATCTCCCCGCGCCTTCTCCAGCCGAGTCTCGAGTATCTGGACCTCAGTGTTGAGACTGGGCAGCTCGACTTGAAGGACTTGTTGACGCTGCGCGCGTTGTTTCAGTAGCTCGGCTTTTAAAGCGGCTGTACGTTCAGCGAGTTGCGCTGGCGTAAGCTTGACTGCTTTTCCCAGTACGAAAGGCTTTCGAGGCAGGTTTGAGGGGGTATTCGTCTCGCTTCGGCCTGAGCTTGGATGTGCTGGCGAACTGCTATGAATACTACCGTGCCTGCTTGCATGAGGTGCAGAAGTGTACGGAACACTGAAAGAGTATTCTTGACTGCTGCTCGGCTTTACCTCTTCACGTTCTTCCATCTCCAAAATTCTTTGGCGCCTGGTCTCGATTTCTGCCCGTTGAGTGCCGGACGAGGATCTCGCAGCTGGTTCACTAGCTGAGAATCCTTGTAATTGGTCGGCTGCCTGTCGGTCGTATGAATCCATTTCGGCAAATTCATGGCCGTTGGAGCCATCGTCGTTTCCGGGCCGAGGCATATTCGTCGATTGCTCTTCTTCATCCTCAATAATCTCACCTTCTGAAGCATCCTCTGGGACATTCACCTGTGCAGGTAATTCATTCTGTTGATGATCCCAAGAGAGGTTGCTACGCTTGGCTTCGGGTAGCGTATCAGAATCGGCGTGGAAATGACGTTTGAGAGGCAGCGGGCTAATTGGAAAGGCTTTCTCCAGTAAGGCACCTGAATCATTATCTGTGGAACCAGACATCAAAACATCATCCGCAGCAGATTCAACAGTGGTCATGAACAATCCCGGAATCAAGGACGTCAGGGCAGCTTGACGGTTGTCTGGTGACGTTTGGTTCGCCGGAATTTGACTAACTTGTAATGCTGCCTTCGATGACTGAGGCATACTTCGAAGAAGGATGTCGCTTTTCGACTTCATATCTCGTGGAGTTCCCGCGAAGTGTTGGCTCACGCGTTCATGCTGTTGCTGGGCTGGGACAGGGTTTGATTGGATTTCAGTAGGTTCAGGCCTCGAGAAAGCAGTCCCATCCAGATTTGCATCACGCAGCTTAGTGGTGGGTTGGGCACTGGACTGTTCTCCCGAGGATGGAACAGGTGTCACAGCTGAGGGTGCGGATATACGGCCAGCCTTAGCAGCAAGTAGCTGAGCAATACGATCTTTTCGCTCCAGACTGGGGCTAGGCGCGGTGTTTGGCTTTGCCAGATCCTTGATTGCTGACAGAGCAGCACTAGCAGAGGTATCCTCAACTCGAGGCAAGGTGGCTGGTTCGGGTGAGATCTTCTGGGTTATGGTAAGACTTGGGTGGTGTTCGGTAGATTGCAACGGTAGTATAACTGCAGACGGCGCTGCAACTCGAGCGTGCCCATGTGGGACAACGTCCTTGTCTGCCGTCTGATTATAATCGATGCCCAACTCACCATAAAGATGCTGCAGAATAGACGAGTCAATGCCTTCATTGATGACATCGGCATAGAGTATCTTTTGGGAGAAAAGCGATAATAGTGCCCCTTTCGCAGCTTGTCGAAGCTCGGCCAGAGAACTTGTATCGTATTTCCGCTCGAAAGAGACGGGCTCCTTGGTCTTCGAAGAACCAAACCCACCAGAGATCGCAGAGGATATAACTGCTGGTCTTGTGGGGTCATACGCTGGCCAAGAAGTTAGTATTGGCTGGGGCATAGCACATTGAGGCTTACGTGAGGCGTTTCCATCTATTGAGGATGGCTGTTGAGCATGTAGACGCGAGCCGCGGTCTTCATCGCTTGGTGGCAGGCTAACTTGTTTCTGGACAGTAGCGAATAATTGATCGATATCTGATCTCGAACCGAAAGACGGAAGCGCTTCATCTAGACATGTATTAGAGATTGGATCGAAATACAGACAATAGGTATTGCTCACTCTGCTCACGATTGCCTCGATCAACTCCTCGATTCGTGGCGGGAGAAGACGACTGGCTTCCTCCATGCGATACACGTGGCGCTGAATGTGACTGCGTTTCAGAATTCATTGTTGAGCGATAGTCGCCCGTGCCTCTTGATCCTTGTTGAGAAGTGATGAAAGGGTCCTGTGGATTGGGCGGAGCTTGCTCGGTCGCATAGAACCCCGAAACATAACCATTCTGTCCACTTGCACCGTGTTGTGGATATGGTGAAGATACAGGTACACTCAAAGGAACAGGAAATTGCGGGTATCCCGCATTAGGCAGAAGTACAGGCGGCGGAGGAGGTGGCAAGCCTGCACTAGCAAACTGCTTGAAGATTTCTGGTGGAAATGGAAACGGAGGAGCTGGTGGGCGAACTTGGGAGTTGGCATCGAATCTAGCGGTGTTGTTCGCAGTGGGCGGATATGGCGCCACCGAGTGGTTTGGAAGATGAGGAGGTTGAGGGAGACCAGGAGGAGTTTGAATTGGCTGCTGAAAAGGATTGGATTGGTACGGAGGATAGAAAGACTGCTGAACAGGGTACGAGGGCGTGCCAGTGGCGCTGTACGCTGGGGTTGTAGAGTATGGGTGCGCCATTTTGGGGGAAGAGACACTGCACTGCAGGAAGAGAAAAGAGATGAAGATGACTAGAAGGCTTGGAAAAACCAGAGGGGCGGAGATGCAGCAGAGGGAGCCAAAGGCATCATTAACCTGGCTCGAGAACTGGAATCTCGACAGACAAGGGAGGGAATAGCTGAGGTTGCGGTCGCAGTCTCAGTCTCGATCTCAGTGTCTCAGCACCAATGCGCGTGTAGAGAAAAGCGCCAGTGGGTGAAAGGGATGAGGAGAGACAATGGGATTCACCGTTGAAGTCAAACCACTTAATAGTGATGAAAACACAGGCTGGCAGTGAGGGGCCGTGTGCTCGTCGCGTGTACAGTCGAGATGGTGGTGATGGTGAGATGGGGTGATGAAGACTGTGTAAACTGCAGGATCCTCGTGATCGTGATCTGGGTATGTGACTTTCGAGGCGAAAAAGGAATCCATGCAGATCTTCCGCAGTTTGCGCCGCTAGTCGTGGCTACGGGGGAACTTGTATTCGAAAGCGCCATCACTGTATTCACGTACTCCGCAGTACAGAATGATGCTTCACGTGACCCTCTAACTGTGGTTGCCGTGGCACTCCTGAAGAGTTTCGACGCCTTTCCTGATCCAGGTATCTGACAGTAAACACTGACGCCCACCACGACGCCATGACTGCACCAACCACATCGACACACACACACACATAATAGCGTATCCGACTTCCTCACAACTTCCAAATCCCAGCTGCACGGATCAGCTACACCTGCATCTGCCCCTCGCAACCAGATCAACTAACTACACATCTACTGCTACTATTCCACTTGTCCATACTGCCATCACATGTAAAGGAAGAACCCCAACAAGGCGGCACAATGCTGCTCCACGATCGCAGCCCAGATACTTCTCCTTTCAACAGCGCCTCTCAACGACAATACTTCAACAGATCATACAACTCAGACATGTCTTTACCTTCGCCTGCTTCGCCCTCGAGAGGCTCAAAGTCATTACTCTTTGCTTCTCCCGCCCCAACCCCGACCACTCGACATGAACGGCAACAGTCCTTTTCACCTTCCACCTCGTTCAGCTCCATCCCCACCCATGTCAGAAGCCAGTCGCTGCAGCGTCAGGCCAGCACTTCCAGTACATTTGCCCCAAAGTTCATCAAGTCGGAAGAAATGAAGAAGAGCGAAGAGCGCATCTCTGCCATTGAAGGTGAAAACGACTTTTCAGGCAAGCGATATGTTTGGGTCAAGGATCCCGAGAAGGCTTTTGTCCGAGGTTGGATAATTCAAGATCTTCCTGGCGGTCATGTGCTCGTTCAATTCGATAGTGGTTCCTCGATAGAGGCTCACATGGACGATGTTGACGCCGTGAATCCCGCCAAATTCGACAAAGCCGACGACATGGCTGAATTGACACACCTGAACGAGGCCTCAGTGATACACAATCTCTACACCAGATATCAAGCAGATCTGATATACACATATTCCGGTCTTTTCTTGGTCACGATCAATCCTTACTGCCCACTTCCCATCTATGGGAACGACTATATACGCATGTACAAAGGCCAAGCACGAGAGGATACACGTCCCCATATATTCGCTGTCTCAGATGCTGCGTTTCGACGTCTTGTGGAAGAAGGGGAGAACCAGAGTATATTGGTCACCGGTGAATCCGGAGCTGGGAAAACAGAAAACACGAAAAAGGTTATCCAATACTTGGCCGCTGTCGCAACTTCCGATTTCGATACACCCTTGACTGGTAGAGCGCCAGCGAAGCACCTGTCCAATCTCTCACAGCAAATTCTGAGAGCAAACCCGATCCTCGAGTCCTTTGGCAATGCTCAAACCGTCCGCAACAACAACTCTTCACGATTTGGCAAATTCATACGCATTCAATTTACACGGTCTGGTCAGATAGCAGGCGCTTTTATCGATTGGTACCTTCTAGAAAAATCTCGAGTTGTCAAGGTCAGCCAGCAAGAACGAAGCTATCATGTGTTCTATCAACTGCTCGCTGGCACAGACTCGCGGATGCGTGACGCCCTGCTTCTGACGGGCATGGATGTCGAGCACTTTGCCTACATCAGAGGTGGTAACGATACAATTTCTGGAGTCTCGGACAGAGATGAATGGAATACCTTAATCGAAGCTTTTCATATCATGAACTTTTCCGAGAACGAACAAATGGCCATCTTCAAGACAATCGCTGCCATCCTTCATCTTGGAAATGTCGCTGTGAGACAGGAAAGTCGAGCAGGCGATCAGGCTTCCTTGGATCCCGAGGCTCGAGCTTCGATTGATAAGGCTTGCAGATTGCTAGGTGTTCAGACAGAACCGTTCATCAAAGGCCTCCTCCATCCTAAAGTGAAGGCTGGTAGGGAATGGGTCGAGAAGGTGCAAAGCCCGGAACAAGTTCGATTAGCCATCGATGCCCTGTCAAAGGGTATCTATGAGCGTGGCTTCGGTGACTTGGTAACGAAGATCAATACCCAACTCGATCGCGGTGGCGTCAGCAGCGACGACAGTCATTTTATCGGAGTGCTCGATATCGCGGGCTTCGAGATTTTCGAGACCAACAGCTTTGAGCAACTATGCATCAACTATACGAACGAAAAGTTGCAGCAGTTTTTCAATCACTACATGTTTGTCCTTGAACAAGAAGAATATGCACGGGAACAAATTGAATGGCAGTTTATCGACTTTGGGAAAGATCTCCAACCCACAATAGATCTCATCGAGCTTCCTAATCCCATAGGAATCTTCTCCTGTCTGGATGAGGATTCAGTAATGCCAAAGGCTACCGACAAGTCGTTTACGGACAAGTTGCACTCTCTATGGGAGAAGAAGACGTCCAAATATGCACCCGCCCGCACAAGGCAAGGTTTCATCCTCACCCACTATGCCGCCGAAGTAGAATATTCGACTGAAGGATGGCTAGAGAAGAACAAAGACCCTCTCAACGATAACCTCACGAGGTTGTTAGCAGGTTCGAAAGACAACCACATTGCGAATCTCTTCAGTGACTGTGTCGATGACCTAGACGAACCTTACAGTCCACGAAGTAGGGTGAAGAAAGGTTTGTTTCGCACAGTTGCTCAGAGACATAAGGAACAACTGAGTAGCCTGATGCGACAGCTTCATTCCACTCAACCACACTTCGTACGATGCATTCTTCCCAATCATAAGAAGAAACCCAAACAATTCACCGCACCCTTGGTTCTTGATCAGTTGAGGTGTAACGGTGTTCTTGAAGGCATTCGGATTGCACGGACTGGTTTCCCGAATCGTTTGACCTTTGCAGAATTTCGATCCCGTTACGAAGTTCTGTGCGAAAACATGCCAAAAGGCTATTTGGGAGGCCAAGAAGCAGCCAAAATCATGCTTGATTGCTTGAAGATGGATAAGTCAAATTATCGTGTTGGCCTAACTAAAGTTTTCTTCAGGGCAGGTGTGTTGGCTGATCTTGAGGAACAACGCGATGGGCTCATTCGCGACATCATGTCTCGATTTCAGTCCATTGCCAGAGGTTTCATGCAGCGCCGTGTTGCCTTCAAGCAATTATATCGTGCGGAAGCCACTAGAGTCATTCAGAGGAATCTGAATGTGTACCTCGATCTGCAGTCAAACCCTTGGTGGCGACTGTTCGTCCGGATGAAACCTCTTCTAGGCGCAACTCGTACCGCTGGTGAAGTTAAGAAGAGAGACGAGAAAATAGAACTCTTAAACAACAAGATGCGGCAGGAGGCAACTGAGAGACACCGGATAGAAGAGGAGAGAAGACGGGCGGAAATTGACGTGCAGAGAATTCAACAAACTCTTGAAGCTGAACGGGCACTCGCTCTAGACAAAGAAGAGATCTTCAAGAGACTTCAGTATCGCGAGAGTGAGCTGAGCGAGAAGCTGTCGGACGCATTGACGGAGCAAGAAAGCCTCGAGGATCAGCTAGATGCCGCGATGGACTCGAAGAAGAAGGTGGATGAAGAGCTCGCCACTCGCCGTGAACAAGTTCTCCAAGCGGGCCAGATCATAACGAGACTAGAGGCTGAGAAGAAGGAATTACAACAACAGATCGACAAACTAGAAGATGAGCTGGACAACGTGGAGAAAACACATTCCCAGAATGACAACCGCCTGGAGTCCATCAGCGTAGAGTTGCGAACATTGAAGAGTCAACTTGGAGTCAAAGATCGGAAGATTTCCGAGTTGGAAGCCAGTCTTCAACAAGCACAGAAAGAAAAGGATGGCAAAGCGGCAGCTCTGGATCAAGAAATCCGAAGCTTGAGAAGTCAAATAGCTCAGCGGGACCGAACGAAGGAGGATCTTGAAACTCGACTGCACAGGGCGGAATCTCAGCGTGCCGAGGACAACAAGCGCAGAAGCGACGACTTCGAGTCCCAGATCCGAGCCCTCAAGAATGAACTGACCAGCAAGGATCGCAAGATCCAGGACCTGGAAGGGGATCTTTCGAAAATCGACAAAGATGCCGAAACAAAGCTCAACGCCACGACTACTGAACTCACCACGACCAAAAAGCTCCTCCGTGAACTCCAAGGCCAAAATGAAGAACTGCGCGCCCAAATAACATCAATGTCAATGGCTGCGTCGCAACACGAAACCGCGCTGCGTAGGAAAGATGGCGAGCTCGCCGCACTCCTGGCCGACGTGGAGCAGCACGAGCGCGAAAAGAAATCTTTGAAGAAAGAGAACGACGCCCTCTCCGGCAAACACGATAGTATCCAGCAGAAACACGTCAGTCTGCAAGGCGATCTGGAGGGAATGCGGGCACAGCGCGCTATGATGGAGCGCGAGGCCGCTGAGGTCCGAAAGTGTCTCGAGCGCGCCATGCCATTCTTCACGCAGCATTTCTCGTCATCGTGATGTATTCAGACTAATTTTTGAGCGTGGGTGTCTGTTGAAGGGAATGGAGACGAAATAGCCCGACTGCGCGCGTTGTGGTGTGTGATCGGTTGATTGAACGAATGGAAGATTTTGAATGTCAATGACAGAGCGCCTTTTTTGTTCTCCTCCTCTCGTCGTCGTGATTCTTGATTCAGCAAATCCGATGCGATGCGATGCGATACGAATGTGCCAGTGGATATTACAATCATACGATGTGACGTTGATGGTCGCGGAGGTGGTAGGGGAGATGGGGACAGAGAAGATTCAGGGAGTCGTCTCTCGGGGGATTGTGCGTGGTTTCTCGCACCGCAGCTGCATTGGCTCGGGCTGGGACCGGATTGGTTTGCTTTTTATCTTGGAAATGCGAACAGGCAAGGCATAACCGGACAGGAAAAGAGCGGGTTTCTTGGTGTCTGGACTCTGTACTGTACTTTCTTCGCAACTAGTCTCTACTAAGTACACCTAGGTCTGAGTAAATAGGATCATGAGTATGCATAAATATCATGTCAAATGAGGTTTAATTAGGTGTTAGGTGTTGGAATTGAGAGTCACTTCAGACGTGCATAGATCTGAGTCTCGTTCCATCCATCGCCTGACAAATTCAATTACTTTGCGTTGCGATGGTTTCACCCACACCTTGTCTATATAGCTAGAGTGAACCAAGCATTTCCTAGAATTATATTGCAGAAGTCATGAAATCATTCTCGCCCTTTAATCCGTACCCGCCCACTCATCTCGCCCATCTCCAGCGATGAGGATTTGGATGATATCCGCAAAACGCCGGGATATGCCACTTGCGCCGAGGCGGCGTAGCATTGTTTCTAGCACGCAGAGTGTCGCCGCCTTCATCTCGGCGTTGTTGGCGTTCAGGATCGATTTGAGGGCCCCAATCGCTTGTTTGCCCGTGTAGCTTGAGGGGAGGGAAGGTATGAATGTGGTAGTGGTGGTGGTGGAGGAGGAAGAGGACTGTGTAGTGTGGGACATGCTGTCTAGCGCGCGGATCTCGGGTAGGAGCTCCAGTTCTAGCCATGAGAAGGTGTCGGTGGTGGGTGGTGCTGTTGTGGAGTGGGAATTGAGATTCGGGTTCGAAGAGGAAGTGAGAGGGGCGACACTTGGGCGATAGAGCATATAGCACGCCCAGCAGACTGCAGAAGCGAAAAGGATGCGGGGCGTATGAATTGCCATAACGGAACCCATGCTGGTATTTACCATGAAGTTTTGCAGGAGGAGTGCATGGAGGAGACATCGCTTCGAATCCGGGGAGGACAGCCACGATACCACATACTCTCTGACGGAAGAAGCAACATCGGACCCTTCTTTTCCGATCGCCAGTTCGAGGACGTTGATATCTGCCATCAAAGTTATGAACGAATAGTGCCACAACGGCATGAGGCTAAAAGGTGCTTCGGTGGTGGTTGATGATAAAGCTCCATTATGATCCCCAATCGTGCCCATATGTTCAGAGAAATTGCGGTGCCAGAAGATGAGCTCAGACTCAAGCTTTGCGATCATCTCGAACGTGAGCTGCTTCAGGTATCGGCACTCCGCGATCGACGCACTAAGTCCCGAGAGCCTGGCATATCTTAGTAGCATCGGGGTTCGCTGGCGGGTTTCTATCGCCCATGATTCTCTTGACCCTGCAGAAAGTTTCGGATCAAGTATACTAATCTGTTCTTCCTTCCTGAGTCTTGCTGCCCAGACAGCAGCTGAGGGAGCGTTGAACAATTCTGCTGATGAAATGGTGGGCAGTGAAGCTGTGTTGTGACGGAAGATCGGTTCATGATGAAACAAAGCTGCAAGCTCTGCGTCATGGATGTGCAGAAGTAATGCAATGCTATCAGTTCCATATAAGCTATCATATATTGTGGGGTGGATAGCAGTTATGATCAGTGGAAAAGCTTACCGTTTCATCTCCTCTGCCTGAGCCCATTTAAGCCAGGCTTTGTGCAACTCTTTGGCAGAGAGATTGCCAGGGAGGATGAACTTAGGAACATCTCCAAGTATCCGAGCGTGACGAGCAACCTAAAATTTCATGTTACTACGACATTAGAAACTTGGTCGCTCTGCACAAACCGAGATAAGTGTTCCATGGTATGAAGATGCAGTGGTGAGATGATATGGATGCTGGTGGACGTTAGGCCAGTTATCATACAGAAAGCGGTGGGGTATGGCTAACTTCGGAGAGTAATGCAAATGTTTGACCAATCATTGATGCTTTCAACGTTGTACGCACTCCAGCTGGTCTGCGAGATATGTACCTCTCGAACGGCTGGAGTTGTTAATGATGTTCCTCCATCTGGGGGGCCCATTCGGATCAACTTACTGCACTCAAATGAGCCTTGTTGACTCGTTCAAAGAGCATACATCCTGTTCGGGCTGCAACATCCGAGCCCAAACATAGCGTGCCTGCAGAGCATATTGAAAGCACCAATAGGGCAGTGTCTGTTGTCGGCCGAAAGGTAGGCCCGTGAACAATGGGAAGAGCCACATTGAATCGGGTGAAAAAGAGGTGGATGCAAAGGTTCTAGGCACATGTCAGTACGCAAGCAAGGCCAGTTGGAGGAGTCTACCATGAATTCAATCGTCGGAAGGGGTTCATTCCGCTCAGGAAATCGTAATTTGGAGGCCATTTTTGCACGATAGCTTTCGTCAATGTCCTCGCCACGATCCTCCCTAACATCACCCGGAGTCATGGGTCTTGAGCCGATAGCAAAGCCTGACGCCATTAATGGGACTTGCGTGTACCAATGATGCCTTAAATCAGACACATTTGGCATAGTTCGTTTGTTGATTGGCGGGGCACGCTGAGGTATCAGAAGCTGTTCACTAGTATCGTTGCTCAAAATGTTCTGCAGATCTGGTGTGTGCCAAGTGTTCAGATTATCAAAGATGGAAATATCGAACTCATCTTCAAGAAGCCAATTCGCCGAGTCGAGGCCGTCCAATGTTTGGGCGAAAGAAACTGGATCGAAATCGAGTTCATTTGTGTGAGCTCCTGGGACTTGGAGAACCGACAAGTCGATAGCTTGTGAGGTGCCTGATGATGGTACAACACCTGAGAACCCCGTAGCTTCTACAATGTGTTCTCGACCAGGTTCATTGGAGAGAGCAGCTGTTTGGAAGTCGTACGAATGTGGTCCTGTGGGATCAGTGGCCTCCTCACTCAGATCGTCCGTGGAATTTTGATCGGAAGTTGCTGCCAGCAAGACCTGTACATAATCGCCCACAGTGCCTTCTAAAAGTTCAGTAGATCTCTCTGTCACTGTCGTAGCAGAATTCGTCTCCAGTGATTTGGCTGTAGAGTTTCCATTGTTGGTGACTTGTGATGCACGCCTCCGGGCAGCTTTGCTGTCTATGCAATGTGTTCTTGAATGGCGGAGAAGTGTATCACTCACAGACTCAGCATCCAGTTTAAACATGCCATATGGTATACTTACTGGCGAGGGTAAGCCTTCAGGCACACATTGCAACGAAATGGCTTCTCCTTCGTATGAGAGCGGATATGTCGAGTATAATGATCAGCCTTGATGAATCGTTTGGAACAATAAGGGCACGCCTTTCCCTTCTTCGACGGTGATTGGGGTTCCTGACTAGACACACGCGACTCGTCCTGGGACTGTGACGGATCATGATCTGACATGTCATTCACATATCATCCAGATTGCCTGTAGTATATGTCAGAACCGTTGCCGATTTTTACACCCTACGATATGAAGAGAAGCCGACAGTCAATAGGATCTCTACGGACCTGAAATCAAGATTAGTAGTCAAAGAAGCAAGAAATTGTGGAGGGGATGTTCTGGGGATGCGAAATGTCCCCACAAAATAGCCTCGGTTTGAATGCTAGCCCTAACCAGGGTCGTCCCAGGGTCCCAGACGACTTGCGTCGAGTCTTCGCTAGTACGCACATGCGTATGAATATGAAGAAGTACCTGTTAACCTACAATTCGCTTGCTTCGCGCATTAACTATTTGCAGTACGCATATCTGATCAGATGGCGAGACACAAGCAATTCAGGCAAGTGCTCTTCACTTTCAATGTTCATTGCTCCTCTCGAATTTGCAAGGCTACGAGTACAAATAAGTTCGACTTGCTTTTCTTCTTCGCGGGCTAGTTAGAACTCCCTTGGGCATAGCTCCGCTCAGAAGCAAGTATTCCACATTTCCAGGTTGCCCTATCAGCCCGGTATGCTCCAGAGAGGCAAGGACTCTGGTCTAAGTCTCCTATAGTTTCGCAAACAAGACTGAAGAAGCCTTACCACACGCCCTCTTAAGCTCTTCACCCGATCCACATTCTGCAAAAACATATCTGTCCGCTCTCACTAACACGTACCGTCGTCCCTGCAGCCACGTCCGAATGCCGTACATATCGTAACCTGCAGGCTCGGGTCGATTAATGTTCAGACTCGACTTCTTGAACTCTTCAATGGTGGCAACCCGATATATTTGTGTAGGAGACATCGATGTTGATAGGGCTGGGGCTTCAAGTAATGGGTCATGCACGATGTAGCAGACGTCTTCGAGTCGTAGCTCCCCGTGTGATATTGTGTGGAGATCCATTCCCTTCAGCTCGGAATATGCTGTTTCTGCCTCAATGATATTGCTCACTGACACAACCAATCGCAAGAGTGAATTGTATGGACTTTTGAAGATAACGTCGTCGGTGAAGCGCACCTGGCTGTCGGGATTGCTCAATACCGATCGGCAGTAAACCTGAGGGAATAAGATGCCGCCGGCGAATTCACTTAGAAAGGACATGCCATCTCTCCAGTCATAACGGGACAGGCCATCTGCTCGCGGCCCAAGTTCGAGCTTACGGCGCAGAGGAGGGATAAGTTGCATGATCCAGAGGATCCAATCTCTGCAAAATATCTTCAGACTGTTTCGTGCGGTAGTGAGACTCCCGTTCCTAACAGTAATGGCAATCGACCTATTGAGATGCTGCTTTCTTTCGAGACACCAGCTGTTTAAGAGTTTTTGGTGGTCAACGGCTTTTCCTGATTTGCATGCAACGGCGAGCCTCCAAGCAATTCCGGACGCATCTCGGAAACCCGAGGCAATACCTTGACCACCAACTGCACGATGTTAGAGATACAAATTTCGCGGCCAACAGAGACACTTACAAGGGGGCATGACATGGGCTGAATCTCCAGCCAATATCACTCTTCCAAGGAACCAGCTGTTACAGCTTCTCGCAGAGAATGTGAATGGCCTGGATCTCAGTACGTGTATGCAGTCTTCTGGATACTGGACGGGTTTGGTCAACCTGAAATCACTCAGCGGGAGAGATACATCAGATAATAAGAACTCCTTACCCGTAGATATGGCCTGGGTGAGTCAAGTAGGGGAATATTATTGAAGTAGCACCTTTATAAGCCGCCATTTCCTGAGGATCTTCGTGCTTTTCAACAACAAACTCAAACCTCCACAAACGTTCCTCGCGCAGGCCAAAAGTTCCACAAACTGACGGTCGATCAGGGTCACCGATGAAGCGGAAATTTGAGGGAAAGAACGTGTCATACACTTGCTGTGGTGTAAACCCACATTTCCATAGGGGGAAATCTGGATGGCTCTCGGTGGTTGGTAAGTCCATGTCTAAACGATTGATCCGGTTAGTCGACATTCATATACCCCTCTAACCATCTTGTATGGTAGGTATGTCTTGCTCAGCCGGTTCGAAGGCAACTTACGATAATTTGCAGCAACCCAGGTCTCTTCGTATTCATAGCTACACGTTGTTAGCCATAGAGCTTGCCCAGCTCCTCAAGGGGCACATACCCGGGAAGTGATTCAAGCACTATGCCTCTGGGTTCCAGATATTGTTTTCTCGTGAATCCGGTCTTGCCATCCGCACCAACGAGGAACTTCCCCCTTACCCGCTGTTCTCTTCCGTCATAGTTATGGTATGTGACTGTGACACCTTCTTTATCTTCTTCAATTGCCGTGATTGTTGATCCTAGACGTAGTTCAGAGGCAGGAAAACGACTCGCCGCCTCACGGATGTTCTTCTCCAAAATTGGCTGCTTGTGGGCTATAGCTCCAACATGACCACTAGGACCAATCGTGTCGAGATTCATTCTCATGAATGGTTTGGTTTGTAAACCCTGTTTACCAGATGTGAAGAGAGTCCAGCCAATGGACGCCCCAATCTCGGTGTGAACCTTGTCATAAATCCCCAGACCTTGTAGCAGTCGGATACCTTCTTCATCCAGAGCTATGCCTCGTGGATCTGTCACAACTTCTGTCTCCTTTTCGAGGACGATGTTCGGGATCGACATCTGGCCCAGGTAAGCACTCAAAAGTGCCCCAGTTGGCCCGCAGCCACAGATGATAACATCGGTGGATTCCAACTCTTCATTGATCTCCATACTGGCAAATTATCCCCCAGGAGTCTTGGTAGGTCGATTTGAGATCCTCCAGAATGACAGAACGCGTCGAGACGGCCATCAGATACTGATATATATTCCTAGGGAGGTCTAGCCATTCGGTAGGTAAATGGACCTACAGTACGAGAAGCTCTTCATATCAATCTCATATGACTTGGAAGTAGCGACCAATTGTGTACTTTGTTGAGTTCAAATTTGCGGGACGACTCATTCCACTTTACAATTCCGTGGGACGGTATTGTACAAAAGAGGGAGAGGAGTTCAAATGGATGCGGGACTCCCAGATTATACGGGGCCCCAACAGTCGAGTTCAACCTGTAAGTTTGTGCTGAAATTTGCGGGGTCTCGATCTCCAGATGCACGTGATTATCGGATGAACAAAATTCCGGAGCCAAGAATGCACGTGACTATATGATATCTTCATTCGGAGTAGGTCGAAGCCTTGTGTCGTTTGAAATGAAAAGACAAAAGAAATCACATTTCCATGCCATCGAACTTCCGAATTGCTCCATTCCTGAGACGACTCGAACAACGATGATGTATTTGGTGTATCATCCGTTCTTCAACAGTTTTCCAAGGTTTGAATTCGATCTTCGCCGGTCAAGCCGGCCTGCACCGTAATGTCCACTGCCGATGGATCGCTGGAGAAGATCTGTGTACTATGGGAGTACACCGGGCCGGGTACTCAGCAATGAACTGCGAACGCTTGGTTCTCCTGCATAGGGATATGGTTCATACGCCAAAAATGGAAGGTACACACCGGTGTGATCAGGCTCGGATAGCAGGGCGCGAGGACAACACTCCATCATCCACGTGAACAAGAATTGGGCTAGTGTCACATGGCAGCCAAATATATAAAGACGCCAGCACGGTACAACTTCCTTGGATTGTCTATCGTTCTTCTAACCATCATCTGGAAATCAAAAACGTCGCCCTCCTTCCACCTTATCACTTAAGTGCAAAATGCCTAGCGCAATCACAGACGAGACCACCTGGGTCACGACTGAAGTCCCAGGACCATTATCGAAGCAAAAAATTGCGGCTTTAAACAAAGTCTTTGACGCAAGAGCCGTTCACTTCGTGGTAGATTACGAGAAGAGCCATGACAACTATATTGTCGACGTGGATGGTAACAAATACCTCGATGTCTACAGCCAAATTGCTTCGATCCCAGTGGGCTACAACAACCCAACCCTCATCGCGGCTGCCAAGTCTCCAGAAATGATCTCCGCTCTCGTCAACCGCCCAGCGACAGGCAATTTCCCTTCAGAGAACTGGTTCGCACTTCTCACAGAAGGTCTGCTACGCGTTGCCCCTAAAGGCCACAACCAACTCTTTACTGCCCAGTCAGGTTCTGAGGCGAATGAGCTGGCATACAAGGCGGCATTCATGTATTACCAACGCCAAAAGCGAGGCGAAGGTGTTGAGTGGAGCGATCACGAAATCGAGTCGTCATTGCATAACACTACCCCGGGTTCACCAGACCTATCCATTCTGAGTTTTAAGAACTCATTCCACGGACGAGGCTTCGGTAGTTTATCCACTACGAGATCGAAAGCTGTTCACAAACTTGATATTCCATCATTTGATTGGCCACATGCAGCATTCCCAGCACTCAAATATCCACTTGAGGACAATGCTGAAGCCAACAAGGCCGAAGAGGAAGCCAGCCTCCGAGAAGTGGAGGAGCTCATTACTACCTGGTTAGCGATACAGTCTACACTTTTCTCATCCTTCATTTACTAATTCATATAGGCCAAACCCTGTCGCAGCCGTAATTGTTGAACCAATCCAGAGTGAAGGTGGCGACAATCACGCCTCTCCAGCCTTCTTCCAGGGTCTACGATCTCTCACGAAGAAACACGGCGTACTACTCATTGTAGACGAAGTACAGACCGGGTTTGGTGCGACTGGCAAATTCTGGGGTCATGATCACTGGAACTTGAGTACCCCGCCCGACATGGTCACATTCTCAAAGAAGGCTCAGACAGCAGGCTATTTCTTTGGAGATGCAAAATTGTGTCCAGACAAGGCTTACCGCCAATTTAACACCTGGATCGGCGATGCCGCACGCGTACTTCTGTGCAATGCTGTGATCGATGAGATCCTGAAGCGTAACCTCGTGGAACAGACCGCACAAGTGGGAGAACAGCTTTACGCCGCTCTGGAGCAGGTAGCTGCGAAATACCCGGATCGCGTGCATAATTTGCGCGGCAAAGGTCAAGGAACATGTATTGCATTCGATACAATCAATGCGGCGGGTCTGGTGAAGAAGATGAAGTCTCTGGGCGTGAATATTGGTGTCTGTGGTAAGGAGACTGTCAGACTTCGACCAATGCTGATCTTTGAGGCCGAATTGGTCCCTAAATTGGTGGGGACTCTCGAGAAGGCCATTCTGGCAACTTGATGGGTTGAATGGCATGTCCTTTTCGGACTTCTTCTACTTTTCATTGTATCAAATTGAGCGAACGGACGGGGGTAACTTGGGCGTGTGGGAGTCTGGACACTCCGCAAGATTTCCGGTTTTTACATACCGAAATAAATCTTCTCATGGTTATCTACCAATTCATCATACCAGAATTCCTTGCCTCACTATAGCGGATAGAATTCAGCACAACTTCCGCGACGTAATGAACCGGCTCCAGCAATACTCATAGCCATGGGGCGTTTCAAGTTCCCGGTTGTGGTTGTGTGCCCTCCAAAAGTCCAAGCCATGCCCCCTCAGCCTTGCCTCACATATAGTACCCGGCCCGGTGCATCCAGATTTCCGAGTCTTCTGCATGCATCTCAAAGGGGACGCTGTCAGCGAGCCACAACTTCTGCCTGGCTGGGAAGAGGTGCCATGCAGAATCATCTCGAGATTTGATGGGAAAAGAATAGGTGCATCATGCGTGAATAACAGCTGTACAAACAATAAACTCCAGTTTACTCTCAAAAATGGGAACGTTTGGATACCGCTTAAGTAGTACTCTGGGCCTAAACACATATGTTATGTCCTATATAAGCCATCCCGAATACGGAGATCTGCTGTCCTTTCATTGATCTGCGCAGAATGAAGGTAAGGTTCTAGCGAAGGATTGGCTTCACTTCCTGTCCTCCTCGAGTTGCTCCACTTCCCGGATTTTCATCTCAAGCTCAGGATCTCTAACGGGACTCTCCAAAGTCACCGCTGTCACTGTCCATACCGTGGGAATCACAATTGCAAGAGCACCCATCGAGAGGCCCCAATTCATCGCCAACTGGCTCATTGGGCTCTTATGCAAGGCGTTGATCCTCCACGCCATTGCGCCGCCCGTTGCCTGGAAAGTCTTGTAGGCACCCACCAGTATTGCGGCTCTCGACGTTGAATTGGATTCGGTTCCGATGAGCCAATAGCAGTATCCTTGCCACAGGGCATCGTACATGCCGTAAAAGATGTACAGGAATATCGGGCCGGTCGAGATCGAACTTTGGGTGTAGTCAACATCCTGCTTCAATCCTGCGGCGAGGCGCCGGTCTTGCCATTTCTGGAAGGCATAACCTCCACCCCAGATTGACATGCCGGTAACCAGGAGAACACCCCAGCCCACTCGGGCGCGTATCGGACGGCTCAAGAACGGAAGGTCGAGAATGACACCGATAAAAAGGCCACCTAGCATCTGCGCGATCCAATATAGCGCGCCGTTCAGGGAGCGAGACCGGATGTTGAAGGTCATTCCATTGACGTTGTTCTGCTGATAGGAATAAAATACATTCGCGCAGAAGAACAATGGCAGCATGCAGGCGACACGCCAGCTAGCCAAGGTGCGAATGACAATCTCAGTGGTGCCACGCAGAGAATGTTTCTCCGTTTCTACAGCAGCGTGGAGCTGCGCAAGTCGAATTCGCTTCGGTGAGCATATGAACAGACCGAGACCCCAACCCAATAGCATGATGATCATCAACGCGATATAGGTCGAGTCTGATACTGTGCCAGACTTGCTCCTGAAGTTGAGGCCGAAGGACGCAAGACTGCCGACGCCCCCTCCCAGATTGAAGATAATCCAGAACACTGCGATTGCACGGCCTTTTTGTGATTCGGCCACGTACGTCGTCATGATTGCGCCTTGTACAACCCAGAGCATGGAAGCACCTACACCAAGAATGGCTCCAGATGCAATGACAAAAGCACCATTGTCATGATCTAGGGTAGTTATTATCAGCCACGTGAACAAGGGCTTGCTAAACCTTCACTTACGATTGAAGTTGAGTAAGCTGCCACTGTACAGCGCATATGTCCACCCACCCAAAATCAGACAGAGCCGTGGGCCAGTGTATGTGAAGAGTGGGCCAACGATGAATAGAGCTGTGCCAGCGGTACAAGATAAAAGAGCAACGGTCGCATTCGCCGCTACCGTTGGGTCTACCTGACCAGAGCCACCTAGCCCTCCGAGAGCATTGTACATCTGGAGCGCTGCTTAGACATAGATCCACACGGCTATCTTAGATATACTTACTCCTGGGCAACAGAAACAAATGAAGCTTATAAGCACGATCTGAGTCCATGGATGCGAATAAAAGGCTTTAACCGTTGAGAACCCTGATTGATTTCCTTGCTCAATGTCCATAGGATGGATATCAGCAGCCTCTGTAGGCTCAACCGCGGCTTGACCAGTCATGTTGAGATGGTCCTTTGCAATTGGTATCGTAGTGTACTCAATTCTGTTCAAAGCTATTGATTGAACGATTGCAAGGGCCATTCATGACTATTAGTATCATCCCCAATTTCTCAGTCGATGAGGCTCTATCGTCTCCTGTAGATGTTACAATCAGCCATGCAACGCGGAGAAAGGAGCCTACCGTTACATTGCACGTTTGCCTCCTCATTTTCCACCACCACAACCCCAGAAACCATAAACTGGTGCTGATAAGCTTTCAACCAAGCAAAATGTTACAGCGTGAGGTGGATCGCTAAGCCTGTTTACCGAGCATAGGCATGATCGGCAATCTTGGTGATGCCTGTAACCGGATGGTCGGCATTCTCCGTGGGGGTCGTTCTGGTGGGAAGGGTACCCGGAGATGTTAGGTGGTCCACTTAAGACTTTCAGTAATCCTGCAATCTGGTAGCTATCACAATGTAAGAGATACCACAGTACTTCGTAAGCACTCAATGGAACAGTAGTAGTATCTCCCAAAGTTGTGAATGATTGATTTGTTACATGGTCATGAAGAAGGTTCCGGTGATCTCCCCGAGATATGATCGGATTTCCATCTCAATGCATTCTCTTCTGCGAATGTTCGTTAGCAGGAGATTGTACCACGAGAAAAACCATGACCTTACTTGAATTTACGCGACTACCGTTCTGAGCAGCAAGCGGAAGCAATGCCAACCGAGTCGGATCTTGCTGGGCTTTCTGCGCTCCAGACTGAGCAAGTGAATCCACACAGTCGCCAGATTGACCAAGTTCCTACTCTTGAACTTTGTCATATAATTAACAATGAGGATGCAACCATAGCGGGAGCCATTGCCAAATGCATTCCTGTCATCGCAGAGGCCATAGACAAAATTTCAGACCGAGTCAGGAACGGTGGAAGAGTGATTTATGTAGGCGCTGGAACGAGTGGCAGGCTGGGTGTCCTCGATGCTTCCGAAATCCCCCCTACATACTCTGCACCGGAGGGTCAATTTGTCGCAATCATCGCTGGAGGCGATGTGGCGCTCCGGTATGCTCAGGAAGGGGCAGAGGATGATGTGTATGCTGCTGCAAATGATCTCAAGGCTCTGAAACTTGACGGCAGCGTTGACTCACTAATAGGTTTGGCGGCCTCTGGTCGAACACCGTATGTACTGAGCTGTCTCACATATGCTAAGCAGCATGGCTGTTTTACGGTCGGGTTCGCATGTGCTGAGCCTTCAAAAATGAGTTTGGCAGATGATATTGACTGTATGATCAGTGCGATTGTCGGGCCAGAAGTCGTGACTGGGAGTACGAGAATGAAGGCAGGCACAGCTACCAAGCTTGTGCTTAATATGCTGAGCACAGGCATCATGATAAAAACTGGAAAGACCTTTGGCAATATGATGATCGATCTGAAAGCCACGAACCTCAAACTCCAACAACGGTCACGGAATATATTGCGAAACCTCTGTGGGGCGAAATGTCCTGATGCGGATGAGGAGCTTGATGCCCTGCTGAAAACCAGTGATGGGAACGTCAAAGTCGCAATGGTTTCGTTAAGCCTAGATATTCCGGTTCCAGAAGCCGTAAACCGGCTGAGGGAAGCAGGAGGTGTGCTTGCAAAGGTCTTGCAAGAGGACCAAGTCGCACGAACACTACCACGACCCAATGGCACGGGCCTTGAATATTTCCTCTGTATAGATGGAGGTGGTAGCAAATGTGCTGCTGCTATCATCTCAGCAGATGGTGTCACCAGTTATGGCGAAGCTGGAGGATGTAACGTAACAGATGTTGGTGTGCAAGCTGCGACAGAGTCAATCGATCTTGCGATTCAGCGAGCTGTTGACTCGTCGCCAATTTCGTCGGGGAAAAGTTGGCGAACACTTTCACTGTCCTCGATTTGGGTCGGTCTTGCAGGCTATGATAGACCGTGCCTTGCTGCCCAAGTCGATCAGGCTCTTGAGAAGCTGTTCTGCCGTCAGCGAGGGCCTAGACTAAAGGTGACAAACGACATTGAGCTCCTTGCACTCTCAGCCCTTGAGAAACATAAAATAAATTCTACCATGGTGCTCATCGCTGGGACCGGGTCCATTGCCATGAGCTATCAAAGATCCGGTGATCAACTCTCCCGAACCAGTCGAGTCGGAGGTTGGGGTCATATAATCGGTGATGATGGGTCCGGCTTCGATATTGGTCGGAAAGGCGTCCGCCATGCTTTGGCTGCTTTGGACGATTTCAACTTGAAGAACTATTCTGGGCATCAATATACTGAGCTTGACGAATTGACCCAACGAGTGCTTGAGTATTACAAGCCAGAGTCAGAATCGGAGCCTGGCTATGATCTGCTCAGTCGAGTCTTAAACTCTAGCCTGGACGTTCAGAGCAAGGAACACATCGCCCGACTTGCGAAGGTCGTGGTGGAGTTGAGTGAAGACAATACTGAGGCAAAGAAAATTGTCTCAAACGCGGTGCAGGATCTGCTTAACCTTCTACGTCCGATCGCAATCTCGGGCCAGCATGATGTCAGAAACTCTGTCTTAATACTCGCAGGGGGGTTGATGCAGAGCAGCATCTTCCGCAAACGACTAGAGGAAGAGCTGGAAAAGACCATTCCCCACTTCAAGGCTATTGAGCTCATAAAAAACCCGGCGATCATGGGTGCTCAACACTTGCTGCTGGAGCATTGAGCAATGATCATCTGTCAGTAATCGATCGAGACTTAGTGTTCAAATTCCATATGGTCATCGAAAACCAGACAGGATATACTCAATGATATATCTAAGTGTAAGCCTGATCCCCTGCGTATTGAGATGTCCAGATCCTTGTTGAAATAAGCCGCACTCTTCCGGGCCTACCTTTCACTGCGCTGAACATGACAGTTTGATGAAAGCAAACTCCCTTCTCTTCGGGCTCACTGATCAGAGACCTTCGTCGTTGCGAGAACAGTGGACGGAATTACCGGAATACCAGCAAGGCGTCCTCTCCTGGGGCTGAACTGAGGTATCTTGCTCGGCTCACCCTACCCAGCGAGGTGGCGACTCTAGCCACATCAATAGGTTGCCTCGCGATGCAATATGTCCATGGTGCTTTGAGTGCCACCAGGCTTGGCCCATTTTCAGATCATTGCCCGCCAGCAGAGGGCTGATATACCTGTTATTATTTTAGATCGCCGCCTCATTCATATTGCTATCAACATTTGGAATTGGGAAACATGTGAGAATCAGCGGCCATCGTTCTTCAATTCCCGGTTACCAATAATGATCAATCTTTCGTCCGAGCTGTATCTCAGGAGGGCAGGCTGTCTTGTACTGTGGTCAACAGCAGTGATGGTGGTGAAACTGATGCCCTGCGTCGTAATTGTTAGCGTGTGTACTTGCAATTCAAGTGTCCCCCCGCACTTTACTATTTCAATCTTGTTGTGCTAATCGAATGTCTTGGGAATCTCCACCGCCATCCCTTAGAGGGAGAGGCCCTTTATGGAAGTATGGTACAGTGCGTCTCCTCATTGCAATAGAATCATTGTTGCTACCGCCAATCAGCCTGGGCAAGTGTTTCCGCAGGAAGGGCTTTCCAGCAGGAAGACATGCACAAACGATGGCAAGGTGCACCTCAGTCGCCCTATAAGCCAAGTGTCAGGAAGTATTACCAATATGATTGTTGAGATTGAGACAGGGGCCATTTTTTACTTACCACCATACTGTTGGAGCGACAATGTTCCAAGTAATATCTGTTTCATCCACCAGACCCACTGTTAGTATTGCTTTAATAATGCTGACAACCAGTATACTAGGTATTCAGTAAGCTTTTGTTTCTCCAACGCAATTCAGGGAATTATCAGACATACAAGCCTCCTGTCATCAACACAATCACAACGCCAATCTTTTGCTTCTTTGGAAGTCGGAGGTTTCGTAAAAATACGACTGGTAAGACAAGAAGTGCAACATCTGTAGCAGCATTCATCACGCTGCTAAAGATTGCGATTTTCACCCAGTCTATGCAAGAACCACCAGTTATTGTAAAATCCCAGTATTTCGCGATTGGCTGACAGGTGTACACCCAATCAAATGAAGCCACCAAGATGTACACCACAGCAATGGCCATGATGATGAAAATAATGACTCTTAGTTTCCCTGGAGGCACGAACCGAAGAAAAAGTGTGAGAACCGAGAGTTTGGTGAGCATAATCGAGAATCCATAAAAGACGCCGGAAATCACCCCAAACTCAAACATATCAGCGAGGGGTTGTTTCTGATGTGCTTAGATGATTATAGCAGCAAAGAATTTCCCTTACTATCATGAAATTAGGGTTAAACCTGGAAAATGGGACATCCCACATATGCCGCCCAAGGCCATACCTCGAGTCTAGAAGCACTCAGTCTACGCCCCAGTTTGACCCGAAGAATGAGCCACCTACTTATGCAGTCAAAAATGGAGAACAGTAGTGCGAGAAACTGAATCCGTGGTACTGGATAAGTAAGGTTCCTTATTGATAGTGTGAAGTGAGTGTACGAACCCAGGCAGCAACAAGCAGATCTATTGACATTAGTAGAGGTTTATCACAGGGATAGTAGTGTGACTTACAATCATCTATCCTTACATAGCGTGTGATGGAGACAGCAGTGTAATAGCGTAGCCCGACGAATGAAACTGAGATCATTGGCCACGCGATATTGACGACGACGACAATATGTGCTCTGGACGGCGGATCGACGAAATTAGGTGTGACACCGGGAGGAGGGGGTATTGCACCAGTAACTTCATCTCGCCTGGGAAGCATCAGAGAAGACATCGACATGCTGTATTTCTGCAGAAGCTGCTTCGAAAAGCTGCAAATAATAACGAACAACGCAAAATCGCAGGACCTACCGGCCTGGCGTCTCTTTTACATGATACCAAAGAGACAGAGCGTTCTTCAGGGATTAGATGTGTGAGACCGTGACAAGTGCTAGCCTGTGCCACAGCTATACTAGTTGTTACCCTCATCAAATCCAAAAGCTTGGTTTGGGGCAGGGGCTCTTCTGCTCGTTCTATAGATTCTGCGCACTGCCCCTCATCCCGTGCCCTGGGTGCGCCGAGAACTCGATGTGCACAAACTGGGAAAATGGTGCACAGATTAGTACGAGGTACCTCGCGTGGAATATTGACCAAACTCATGAGTCTGTGTAACAAAAAACCAAAAGGGCCCGGGGAAGGCAACGCCACTCTGGAAAGGCTCCACCCCCCATAACCTTCCAGGTTGAATGGGAAAGCGTACATAGACTCTAGCAGCGGCCATTTACGGATAGAAGCTAGAGCCCTGACCTCGATGAATGCATGTGCTGCAGAGGCTCAACGTCCTTACATTATGTGGTCTGCGGAACCTTACGGAGTCCATTTCCGTGGATTGAAGAAATTAAGAGCACGGGGGTATTTCTTATGCCCTCAAACCCTGCGAGATTTGTTAGTATGGCCATGAGTGCTTCGTCCTTTCCACGGGTCTCAAAGGTATCAACATGGCCAAGTGCAAGAACTCATTATGCTTTCACATCTTGTGCCATCCAAGTTTCGGATATTGGCCTTCTGCCGGATGAGTGTTTCCAGTCGTCTTAGAACGTCAATCGTGACTCGGACGACGCTAGAGGTCAGGCTGGACTGATCCGATCTGGGGGAAACCCAAGTCGTCAATTGGAAATAGCGGCGTCCGTGTATCGAGTGGCTAGTGTGAGCCTAAGCCGCGGAACAGCCGGGAGAGACGGGGATGATCTTCCGGAACAGTGCAGGTGTGCTGGTGTCCGAAGGCTGCTCCTCTAAGTGCAAATTGGTGGCCAGCAAGTCTCCTTTTGAGAACAAAATATCCTACCGAGTGCTCTTACGAGTATGGTGGTAGAAAGTTACTGTCCGGCGTGCTTTATGAGGAGCCACGGACGAGGTATTATGCGATTACCTAGGAAGGAATTGCAAAGGTGAGCCAAGGTGAGATGGTGGGTGAGTCGTGAGCTCGTGGATTTAAAAGCGGCACGGTCTGACCTGAGTCGCACGTGAGCTCGGAGCGGATTTTATATTGCTTGAGGCGCCAAGCTTGAAAAATACGCTTGTCTAAAAGTGGACTAGCGACCAAGTTACACCTATTGCCTCAGTTGACGAGAGCAGAACTAAACAAAAGATCGGATCTATCCAGCACAGATACATCGACGTGTTTAACTTCATCGAAATATCTCTTTAGTGGGAGGTACTACTAATTTTCGATTCGCGACCATCAGACAGTTGCTTGATCAGCCCAAGCCGGCCTCGACCTCAATATTGATACGCGTGTGTGATCTCCGACTCGGAATACGCCCTGTTGCCAGGTCACCTCTACAGTATCAAAAGCAAGACGACGGGTCCTTGTCGAAAAGGGCCAGCTTCAGCATTGTTTCAGAGCCCACCGTCACCATGCAACAAGCAGGCTGTCCGCACCTGGCGATCCCGCATAGCTTCTCAAGTTCAAGTGCGACAAGCTGCACCCTTTCGCCACCAATATCTTTGATTTGACGAGAGACGGTGTCAAATAATCTCCCAGGCGCTTTGAGCTAATATGGCTCGGCGCGGTCCTGCTTCCGCGTTCGAAAGCGAGACATTTGGTCAAGATGCCTCTTTCCACCTCGAGCAACCCATTGGGGCTATGTCCATCTCTCCGAGTGGGCGTGACGTTGTCTTGGCTTCAAAGGAAGGACTTCATATTATTGACCTAGATTCTCCATATTCTCCACCGCGATATCTACCCCATCGGACACCATGGGAAGTTGCAGACGTACAGTGGTCTCCATTCGCTTCCCGTGACTATTGGGTCATCAGTACTTCCAACCAGAAGGCTTTAGTCTGGAACTTGCAAGCTCGCTCATGGCAGGATAGCATCGAATTTGTCCTTCATGGACACACGAGAGCAATTACTGATATCAACTTCTCTGCACATAACCCGGATATCCTTGCGACTTGTGCAGTCGATAGTTTTGTACATTGTTGGGATTTGCGCGCGGCGATGCGACCGGTGAACTCATTCTCAGATTGGTTTGCTGGTGCAACACAAGTGAAGTGGAGTCGACAGGATGAACATATCGTTGCAAGTGCACATGACAAGTATCTGCACGTATGGGATGATCGCTTCGGGGCATATCCCGTGAAAACCATTCAAGCCCATGGTACCAAGATCTATGGAATTGATTGGAACCGCCATCATCCAAATAAGATCGTCACATGCTCTCTTGATCAGACGATCAAATTTTGGGATTTTGACAAGTCAGACGAAAATCCAGAACGTGTTATTGAGACAAGTTTCCCCGTTTGGAGAGCTCGTCATACACCGTTTGGTTGGGGATTGCTCGTGATGCCTCAACGTGGAAATAGCAGTTTACACCTCTATGACCGCAGGGCAGTTCATGGCGAGTTTGAAAGTGGACGCGTTCGTCCTGTAACAAGTTTCCGAGGTCATGAAGGCCAAGTCAAGGAATTTCTCTGGCGTGCTCGAGGCACAGTATCCGATAATGTCGACGACAGGGACTTTCAACTTGTGACCTGGGGTACAGATGGGGATCTTAGATTGCATGCGCTCGACCCTGAGGTTTATCTTGACATTGGCTACGAGCAGGGGAAGTCGAAAGTCCAACGCCTGAATTTCACTCGCAAGGGCGCGATCTACAGAACCTTCCGAGATGAACCGAATGACACAGACTCCCCAATAGAACAGACCCCGCGTAGCGACATCTTTCCTCGGCAAAGCTTCTTCCAGTCTCGCCACCGCACAAGCACGAGTGTGGGTATGAACCGCGTTCCAGCTTCCCAAGTCAGAGGCTGGGTTGCAGGGAATCGGCAGGCGCAAAGATCAGGCATGCATGGGAGAGCGAACAATCGACAAACAGCAGACCCAATTGCCTGGCTCAAGAACGTCAAGATCTTTTCCTGGGATCCTGACACTATTGCTGAAGAAATCCGGCAAGTTGGTGAGAAGTTCAAGAAGGTGGAATTTGAATTTGTTGATATTCAGCACCGAAAGGCTGTCATGACCCTGCAAGCTCCTTGGGGTGAAGAACAGAGTCAGATTTATCTACGAGTTGAAATGCGCTTTCCCAAGCTATATCCACGCGGTGCAAACGCGGTTTTGAGTCTTCAAAAGAGCGGGTCAATCGATGACACAACACATAAACATTTGGCTACCGAATTGCAGACTATCTCTGAGACGTATGCTTCAAGGAAGAGAGGATGTCTTGAGGCTGTCATTCGATATCTCCTCCGAGAACAAAACTTGGAGCAAATTGTTGCATGGGTGCTTGGTGAATCCATCAGTGAATCCAAAGTTCTTGATACCGCACCAGTACCGGTGGACGACTCAAGCAGCGACGATGATGACCAACTCGAAAGTGCTCATGGACAACTTGATGCGTCAGCCAACATGCGAGTGCCATTAGCCAAAGGCTGTGGCGCGGTATGGTCCGAGACTGGAAAATTGGTGTGCTTCTTTCCAACGAAATCAAAAGAGCCTGTTTCACTTTTGGGCAGACTCGGTGTAAGGGATCTTGACGAGTCTGACTCAAATCGATTGTTTGAGGGCTTTGGTCGCCTACACACTAGTTCTCCAGCCCACAAGATGGCGAGTGGGACCAAGACAGTTGACGATGATACAGCTTCGGATACCTCCGAGTCATCTTGGAAATCATCAAGCAGTTCCTCGGCCTCATTTGAGACTGGTCAGAACGTGCGAGGGGACTCATCATTCCGCGTTCCTGTGGGTGGGACGCAACAACGCTCACGCTCACAGGATCGATCTATGCATTCAACGACGGGAGAACAGAAGCTCGTCGAAGCACCACGCACCAGTAACATTTCGATCCATTCTTTTGAAAACTTTCTACCCTCGAAACGCGAGTTGGCCGAGGAATATAAAATCTTCGGCGAGGGACAAGAAACATGTAAGCACAATGCCAAAGTAGCGAAACATGCTTCACTAGATGACCTTGCATCTGTTTGGACGCTCATTGGCCTGGTGCTGGATGACGCTGTCCCATTGGAAGTCCTTCCAGACCTCCGCCACACGACTGCGTATGACATTTCTATCATTGCTCGGTCACTCGCATCCTTTTCAAGCAGAGCTAAAACTGCGGTGCCAACAGCAAAGCAGTCTCGAGGTCGAACGCGGTGGGGCAATAACCCTCTGGGCTCCACCTATCTCCTCCCGGCCTTATTCGATCATTTTGAGAGACTAGGGGATGTGCAAATGCTTGCAATGATGTCCTGCATCTTTATCCCGGCGCTCGATCATAGTGCTATGTATGGCAGTTATGATTCCACCTGGAGTACCGATATGAGGACCAGGTCTTCGAGTGTTCGAACGGATTATTTCCCATCAAAAGCGGTTGCTAGGTCCTTCTTCGAAAACGAAGTCGTGCCAGACGGCTACATTATTGTAAATTCTACCGACACTCAGCCAAAAGCGAGAAATCATCTCTCAGAAACCACACAAGGTTTGCACAGCCAACGGCGATCGAACACCATACATAGGCCTGATTTTGCCCGGCAAGCTAGCCAGATGTCATCACGTGCTCATAGCTTTGTTGGCGATGATATGAGTGATCGCATTCTTCCTTACTCCACTACCATATCGGTCTCGACTTCACCTGAAGGGAACAGAATGAGCAATAAGCCAACCTCGGGTGTTGCCTATTCTTCAGCAGCACGCGCCAGCCTATCGGCGTTAACCCAATCATATTCGAACTCTCCCCCTAATCACACCACCAACTCTACCACAGCCTCCAGTGTCAAGAAATACAGCCCATCTGGCTCTTTGGGACCTGCGTGGGTTTCAACAAGCCTTTTCGGTGGACAGAGTGGGCACAGACAAAGTAGAACGTCCTTACAAGGCAGCGAAGTTGCTAGCCAGCATAGCCCTGAATCTGGAGTACTGCGCACATCTTTTTCGTCCATCAACCTACATCGCCCGCATCGGGACAGCATACCTGCCAAGCCGGACATTGGAAGCCATCGAGACCTGAAATCGATTCCTGCATCGGAAGCCTCCGAACGAACACAGCGAAACGAAAGGCAGCCTCCTCGGCGGAAGAAAATTAAGACCCGGCTTTTCAATCAGGATAAATTCGATTTGGACGGCTATCCCCAGTCTCCCCTCGTAGACCCCATCCTGGAGAGCAAATGCAGAAACTATCGAGCCAGCTACGCTCATCTCCTCGACGTGTGGCAATTACATATTCAACGAGGTGAGATTCAGAAATTCGACCATTTGAATATCCTGAATGACAATTCAAACACGTTGCAAAGTCGAGCCTCTGGCTTGACTACCCATGGTCCACAGTATCATTCCACAAATTTCACAAAACACCCCGCGCAGAAACCACTTCCCTCTTCTGCGCCACGACAATCAAGTCCACGGGGACTTGCAATTCGTCGCTGCTGTCCTCGCTGTGCCGAACCATTAAGCGCCATTGAGAAGAATGGGGTCCCCATTGGCTGGCATTGCGTGAACAGCTTATGCACGTCGACATCGACATCTAACTCGCTGTCGGCCACCAAAGCCCCGAAACGCAGTGTCTGCGCCATCTGCAACAGCGCTGTATCTGGCCTGTCCGTTCCATGCATGCAATGCGGGCATCTAACATGCCTGGCATGCGCACAAGACTGGTTCGGCGGCAAGGCTGAGCGTATGAAGCTCACTGGCGTCGAATCTCGCCGGCCTAGCGAAGACACGCCCCCCTCATCGCCCTTGGACGGCTCCATTCGATTTGTCGGCCTGCTGGCACACGAAGAAGACCTTAGCACCATCAACGAGCATCAGACCTGCCCGACAGGCTGCGGATGTCCTTGCGCGTTGATCAGCCGGATAGATGTGCCCGAACCACCTGTGTCGCCGCCGTTCAACTCCGAGAGCGAAAAACACCCCGAGTCCGTCACACAGCTCTTACATCCCAAGATCGTGCCTTTCTCCCGCCGCCAGAGTCAAAGTCAAAGTCACAGCCGCGGCGGCAGCAGCTCAGGCGGAGCAGTCCAGCTGCAGAGGTCGTCCAGCCTGCTCATCCCCGAGGGAGGATCATCAGACGCAGCGGCGCTGGCAGCACTCCTGGCCATAACGCAGGCCCACCAGCGTGCGAAATCAGTCACTGCAGCCAGCGGGGCACGGGGCAAGGCTTCATCCATGTCAATCCAGCCACAACTGCAACCGAACCACCCACAGATACACGCCAAATCAAAGTCGCAATCGCAATCGCAATCACAATCACGCACCAGCCCCGCGCTCAACGGCGAAGAAGCCATCGTCGAATCTTCCTCGACGAACAGGACCTCATTCGACGGCCCAGGCGAGTCCCAGCACGACCAAACGTCCCTCAGTAGCGTCTCGTCCACGGCCGTCTCGATCGACGACGACGTGCGTCTGAATCCCTGGGCAGGTAGTAAACTCGCGACGCTTGGTCGCGGCATTGGTGCGGGCCTTAGTCGCGGCCTGACGTCGAAGGCGAGCGATGCGACGATCAGGAAGGCGAAGTGATTCGTGCCCTGGCCTGTGTGCTTAGGGGCGTTCTGTTTGAACCTCGGGGCTCGTCAATGTTCTGGCCTTGATAGCCCTCAGCCAGCAGCTTGTCTGAAGCTCGAGCAAAAAGGATGTATGTTGTGGACTGTTTTCGCATCAAATGCACATGTAGAATATGAGGATAGGCATCGGGTGAAGGCATGAATTGAAGATTGGACATGTATTACTAGGTACGTCTATAGCTATAGTATATTAGTCGAAGCTTCTTTTACCGTCTCGTTAATTACGACCAGAATCCCATCAAGATCCACGAGGCGCGACAACTCCGGGTTGTGTTTCTCGGAAACCTGATTTAGTGCACACGTTGACCAAGGAGAAGCGTGTTTGCGTGGTGGTACGCAGGTGGTCCGAGTCCGACCTCTGGTCCTACTCAACGGGGGGGAGTGAATCATTGACAGCTTCTAAAAGACGAGTTACCTGTCACAACAAACCCACTTACATTGAATTGTGGAACACTCATTCGTACATTCCGAATGCTCTGTTCCCGAGACGAAGGTACAGCGGCATGTGTCCTCTGTCTGCCGTAGCGAGGGCGAAATCACAACTACGCTATAGTAGTCAGCTGTAGACACAAAGATAAGAATGAAATTAATGGATCTGGCCCTATTGACCGATCAGCTTTCTCAAGTATCCCTTTGCTTTTCGAATACTTTGCCTTTCCATCGCCAGGTTCAAAATGGAATACAAACCGCAAGCCCCGACTAAACTCAGATGCAGACGCGAGAAGGAGATAATGTTATGTTGCGAGGTTGAGCGATTTTCCTGGAGACACTCGTTGTGCAAACTTTGACTTTGTCAGCTCTTCAACCAACCGATATTATGCTCACAAGCCTGGTGGTGGTGGCACAGCGGAATAGCCTCCTGGTGGCGGAGGAGGTGGTGCCGTGGAGTTGTCAGGCGGAGGTGGAGGGTTTGGCTCACCACCAGGTGGTGGCGGAGGGGACTGCTGCTGTTGAGCTGCCGCCTGCTGGTAGTACTGATAATATGCAACGTAGTTTTGATAGCCACCGTAAGCCGCATATGGATCACCACCTGGTTGGCTGGCATAGTACTGAGCGTATTGAGATGCATAGTCGGTGGGCGAGGCCGATGCAGCAGTGCCGGGTGCTGGAGTGGACGATGCGCCGGCATACGCAGAGTTGTAGCTGTTACTGTGATGTGAATAGCTATTATCTCGATTTCTGTCTCTTCCATAGCCACCATAAGAGGAACCTCTATTCGCATCTGCTCCATATCCATCTGTGTAGGATTCTTGTCGTTGTGGTGGCGGGTTGGCCTTGAAATGTTCGAAATTAATGCGTACGTTGGCGAGGAGATCTTCGCAGAGTTCTTTTGCCTTTTGGACTTGTTGTGGTTGCGGACCTGCCACATGAAGGTACATGGGCTCATCAGACTCTTGACCGGTGCTATGCTCCATGAAGCCACTGCCGCGACCTTTGATCTGGACGCGACATCCGGTCTCCTGTTGGATATGTTTGACATAAGCACCGCCTTGTCCCACGACTTGGGCTCTCAGATTGAAACCAGGAATATTCTCCATGTCGAGAATGATTCGCTCTTCTGGCCATTTACGCTGCACCATGTCAGTTACCAGATGACCTGGGCATCTTTGATTTACTCACTCTGCCAAATTCATCTCGTTCGACTTGTTCGGGTTCTTTTCGACGGAATCTCCTTTCATCAACAAGATTGGGGAGTTCTTGTTGCATAAGCTCTTCTATTTTCTCGATAGCTTTTTCCAAGCCAGATTTGGATGTGCTGGTGACGTGGAGGTAAAGAGGAGGATTCTAAATCTCATCAGTCACAAGAGTCGATCATCAGAGAAAGACCCAGAACTTACCGCAGCTGTGGCCATGCTCTTGTCTGGATAGTAGGATCCTCGTGTGGTAACATCTTGATGGATAAGGTCAGTATGTGCATCTACTTTTCCAATTGCTTATTGATGGCGTACCGGCACCCGTTTCTTCTTTGATCTAAAGGCACAAAAGAGGTCAGCAAACGCACACTGTTAGGTCCTGCTGCATGCGCTGGATGAGTCGGTGGTGAGAAGAAGCGAGATCGCTTGTTGAGGACCCAATCCACATCCCAAGACTGCAATGCTCATTACAAGGGTATTTTACCATCTTTTGTGTAGATCCTTTAGTCAAGGTATATCGATTGCGTAGATCATTGACTTCAATGTCCTTGATATAGTCGCCATCGGCAATGTAGATCTCGCCATCAAGTTGACTGGTACTTTGTCCCGTTGAAGCTGTTGGCGTTCTCGCGGCTGCGCCATCTGAGGAGGCCTGGAGGGGGTTAGTTCATGCGAAAAGAAGGACCCAAGACCTGCAAAACTCACAGACTGAATGGGAGGTACATCGACATGCTGAATAGCTTTACGGGCTTGTAGGTCGGCGTTGATCTTTGCCGCGGCAGCGGCTATGCGACTGTCAGTATGAATGAAGTAACAGGGAGGTCTACCGAGGCACTGGTTTTGGAGACTTACCAGCAGCGGCAGCTGGGTCGATTGCTGTGGCGCTCTTCGCGCCAGGTGCAGGAGACTGGCTGGACTTTCCAAGCGGACTGCGGCTACGCCTGGAATCTGTGTGCCTGGAGGATGGAGATCGCGAACGTCGGTCGAATCGCGATGGTTTTCGAGGTTCTGGTTCTGTCTGGTCGAAGCGTGACCGCTTTCTGGGAGCGTCTTCCGACATCGTTGGTAAGGTGTGGAAAGAATGAAGAACTGTCAAGAGTGAGTTCAAAGAGACCTGGTCACTTCACAATAATAGATGCTAGCGACTCGTAGAAGTAAAAAACAAACTCCGAGGATGATCGGCTTCAATAAGTTTGTGTGGAGTAGGTGGAACCAGTGAAAGGACAACTTGAACCTAGACGGAATGTGATGTTAGGTAGTGAGAAACTCGAGGCTAGGCAGCGCTAAGCCTCTAGCCTGGTCAAAACTGGTATTTTATCCGAAGAGGCTAACTTGTCATGGTTGTTCTTCCCACTAAAATCATTGCCATCTATCAGACAATCAGAAAGGATAAAACGCGAAGGAAAATTGACGTGGCAAGCAGCTTCGAGGGCTGTTCAAAAGAGAAACTGAGTGTTGCGAAGAAGGATTACCCTGTCCATCAATCGCTGATGTCCTCTTCCTCCTTACGCTTCCTCCTACTCGCTCTTCTATGCGCAGGACTGGTTATTGCTTCCTTGTTCTCCAACACATAACACCTAGCCTCCCTTTCCTCACCACGCCACGCCCCCTTCCGCTTGTCGTCTTCACTTCGATCTTTGCCAGTAGTAATGTCGCCAATGGTCCTCGCATGCTGGTAGCCTGGATAAGCAGACCATGGAAACTTGAAACTCTCGATCACTTTCAAGCCACTGTGCCTGGCCAAATCCCTGACATTCCACAACGTGTAAGGCTCTCCCTCGAATATTGTGACGAGGATCTGCCCATTCACTGCACCCGGATCCGAATGCGATGGCTGATTGACATTGTCTGACGCATATTCATCGTCACTTTCGTAGGCATCAGATTGTGAAGTGACCCGTGCAGGCTTGCTTGGAGACGACAGCAAATCTTTCGCCGCTTTGAAAAATCCAACCAGGAGCTCCTGATTATGGCGTACCTGCCGATTCACATCTGTGCTCAGCCCGCCGACATGTGGGAAATTGAATACGATCTTGCTGAAAGGACCGGACAGTCGCAAGACTTTCCTGTGTGTCGACAAAAGTTTGGTCGCATCGATTCCGTATAACATATGGATCTTCTTTGCTGTCGCTGCCGATGATGGTGGAGATGGCGAGAAGCCTTTCCACTCAGGCTCGGTGTTTGGTGGATCGTGCGTATCGCCATCAATTTGCGAATTGTCGGGCGCGATTTGTGAAATCGTCTTTGCGACATCCGGATACTTTCTGTGAAGGGCTTCCTTCGAGTCGAAGCAGGTCGACGTAATATGGTGAAACTTATGATGAAGCTTGAGGGCTAGAGTAAATGAGAAATCTCCTACATCATGATCGTCAGTCGGAAACCGTAGCAGCCACTAAATGTCTGCAAGCTAATATCTTGACACGCATATTACCTTCGCCTAAGAGGAGAATACTGTCATATTTTGTAAATGGAATTTTTGGTCGTGCGGGAGGACCTTTGCTTTTCACCGAAGGTGAACTCTTAGCTGGAGCCGCTTGCTTTTGACTAAACTGCCGTCGCACCACCACACCTCTACCATTTGCCGGATTGTCATGATGATTTGAATGCTTCCTGGCCTGGCGTTTGACTTTTCCCATTTGTAGGCTGGACTGGCTTTTCGCCTTGCACGGTCTGCTACGGCTTACCGCGTTTGAACAGCGACGTACAATACCACTGGAAGTCTATGCAGGCCACCGTCCAGCTCTTCATTTCAACTCTTGTGATGAAAATTCCATGGAGATATGATCAGTAAGTAATTGTGTGATCGTTCATCGGGTTTATCGGGGTAAAAAGTGAATTAGGCGAACTCGAAAGTCCCGAGACATCTGCGCCAAGGGTTATGCTTGGCACTATTCCTCTCATTAAAGTTTGTACGGATTTGTTCTCCTCCCCCATGCTCGCACCGTTGCCATTCCACCAAGGTTGTAAATATTAGCTGCAGCCTTGCCGAGCCGACACGGGTCCTGTTATCCATGACGAACGGGACCTCTTTATTGCACTGGCATCAGTATTTCTCGACCAGGCTTCTTCCTCGTTTGTTGCGACCCACGTCCGTATGCGATGATAGTGCATTTCACTCTGTCAAATTGCAGCTAAGCCGGTGCTAGACAGATCTTCCAATGGTAGCGTACTTGAGCCTCAAGCCAGGACAACATGGCTGCAACAATACCCAATATGACCGCAACCAGGGCACCCCATTGTCCAACATGGCGAAAGGTTTCACCGCTTTGATCAGATCTCCAGATGACCCATTCAATGGAGGCCACAAAGGATAGCAGCGCGAGGGGACTTACGAAAGTAGAATAGGCGTAAACTATCAGTAGGTAAGAGTAGCCGCAGGAAGTCCAGACACGTGTTAACCTGCCCTTGTTGTGGTCTTTCCAATGCTGCATGATTTGCTCTCTGAGCCACTTCAAGCTGAACTGCATCAATCCTCCCGAGGTCGTGGCCCCTGTCTGGACCCGAAGTGGCCTGAGATTTGATAGCACAAGATGTGTGATCGTTGCTCCTGCTGCACTACCCACGAGTAAGTACAAGATAGACAGCAGCATATAATAATCATAGCTCGTCCAATCGACACTAAACCTTTGTTCCACAAGATAGGCATCGGATGTATCCCGCAAAGACCAGGTATCCGTGACGTGAAGATCAGTTGGGTTTCGAAGAGACCAGGTTGACTCGAAGCGTGGGTAGATACAATAATTGGTCAGCAGGACTGTTGAGTTTTTGTGTATAAATTCATCAGCCACAGTGCGATTCCAGTGGTAGCGGTCCATACGATCCCATGAGTGCCCAGCCTTTTGAGAGCCATCATTCATGAATGGCAGTGTATCATGTAGATCTGGAGGACAAAATCTTAACTGGGGAAATGTCCATAGCCAGACATAAGCTTCCGAGATCAGGCCCCAAATGAAGCCCATGAACAGTAAGACTCCCCAGAGGTACACAACTAACTTTGCCTTGTTTCTTTGAGCGTCTTAGACCACATTGTCATGGGCAGAAAGACCAAGAATGCTGTTCCAGTTGTTGCGAGTGCTCCATCGCAATCACTGTCCCAGGCCATGGGTAAGACAGGGAGCCAGAGGCTGGTATCATAATTTGTTGACAGAACTGAGCCATCTGCGGAAATCCCCTCTACCAGGATCGTTTCATAATTTTCCACCATATAGCGTGGGACCATTTGAGTCCGAATCAAAGCCAACACAATAGAGTGGATAGCCGTAAGAGCGCTGTAGGCCATGACCAAGCTCATCGCTGCCTTGGCCACAAAAGAAGTTCTTCTCCATACGACAGTGACAATGACCAACCCATAGAAGACGCAGCGACCAGTCGCGCCATAGTCGCCGCTCATTTGGTAGGAGCACCGAATCCATTGAGTCGAAAATTGAGTATTGTTGCCAGTAACCTCATTGCCGATATAACCCATCTGCCGAAAGAGGTGTTGTGCTCCGGAATCAGCCTCAACTCATCCGGAAACAAAGAGTCCGCAAATGGGACAGGGAGATCCATTATGCGAGGCTAAAAAATTCTCTGTTCGATTCATACGATTAAGTATCTTTCCAAGACTGAAGTTTGACGAGATGCATACAGGGAAACTGTCCGATGACACGTTAAATTAGGGTAAGGCTGAGCTTACAAGAACTTTCCCACAGTCGTGACTTGGAGGGTGAATATGAGTGGGGGCCATCTTATTACAGCGCCAATTCTAGCGAGTGGTGGTTCGGCCTGTTCAAGCCTCATGTTGTGTTTGCAGAAGGCAGCGATGCCTATCGCTCCAAACCAAGAGGGCACGACCTCGTACCTAGTTAGGTGGTCGAATCAGTAGCAAAAGGCACCAGCCAGGGGCATACGTAATTCATCTCCCGATTCCAGGAACAAATTCAGTACAAAGTGGGAGATACTGTTTGACGCACCCTTACTTTGGCCATCGACTTGATAGGTTTACGACTGGACATTATTCGAGTTGATTTTAGTTTTCTTCGAAGGATAACTGTACTTGGTACGCACGCAATAGGTACGCAATAGGTACCTATGTATGTTCTTGCTCAGAACAGAACACCTCCATACTCTGCGAATTTACGGCATGTCTTCCCACTCCTCGGCAATAGCGAGCAACATTCAGCGCAAAATTACCTGGATAAGTAATCATAATGATAACAATCCAGAGAGACATAGAGAGAGATGACTGTGGACTGGCAAACACAGAGTGAAGCAAGGAAAATCTGCCTTTTTCCTCGGGACGAGTCCTTGAATCTCACGATCACAATGTCTCCTGAATAGCACTCGTCGCCTTGCACTCCACATTTCTAAGGTCACACACTCTCAACCTCAAGCCCCCTTTGGGCTTGATAGTCAAAAACCCAGCCATCTCCACGGTCTGGCCCGGGTATGCAGGCTCGAATCTGAACCTCGCGACCAACGGGGCGAGCAAGCACTTCATCTCCAGCAGAGCGAAGCTCTTGCCAATACAGCTCCTCGGACCATGCAGAAAGGTGGCATACGCGAGCGGGCTCTGCGCACCTCCTGTCGCAGCGTTGGGACCATGCAACCAACGGTCCGGGACAAATTCGGCGGCGTCGGCGCCCCAGAGGACTCGGCTACGGTTGATGGCCCATGGGGGGATTGATACAGTCGTGCCTTTCGGGATAGGTACGCCGCCGACCGTTGTGGACACGACTGCCTCGCGGACCGTGTTGGGCGCAGAGGGATAGACGCGCAGGGTCTCGTTGCAGACGGCGGTCAGGAAGGGCATTTTCTCCGAATCGAATGTCGAGGCGTCGAGTTCGGTCATATCCTTGTTTCCTAGTGTTGTGCTGCACTCACTGTGGAGACGATCTTGGATCTCAGGGTTTTGTGACAGAAGCCACAGTGCCCACGCCAGGGCTGACGCTGTTGTGGAATGACTGTGTATGCGAAGTCAGCTTCTCTGATCAGGACATATCAACGGATTAGGACATGACCCTGTTGACGCCATAAGGAACCGTTGCGGAAAGAGAGAAGACCTACCCAGCGGCGAGAAAGGTGAGTAGTTGACTAATGAGGTAATCGTCCGAGAAATCACCCGACTGCATGATATGTGCAATGATATCCTTGCCGTGCTGCTCCGTTTTCTCCTGGTTCATACGCCCCTTTTTCTGCTGCAGGATAACGCGCATCTCCTGCCAGAGCTGCACTTGACCATTCATGATTCTCGCAAAGCCGCCCCATGGAACCCGTCGGATGAACCACTTCGGGATGAAAGTATCAACGAGCAGGAAGAAGGCGGGCGGCTGCGAGGTCTCCCTATAGAGCTTTGCAAGTTTCGAGTCCTCCTTCTCCAGTGCTCTGAAATTCATCCCAACGCCGGCGGCACCGATGATATCGAGAGTGACGCGTGATATCGGGGATGCCACTTCCACAATCCCTCCATGGTGGTGCGTTGCCTCATGCGCTAGAACTTCCCTGAGAGCGGCGCCACTGGCGCAGAACAACGGCGCTAGTTCGCGGACCTGGCGGCCAGAGAAAGAGGGTGCTACGACACGTCGCATGGCTTTGTGTTTGGAGCCTTCGACGTTGATCAGGCCTTCTCCCAGTATTGAGATAAGGGATTTCCTGATCAGCTTCGGCTTCTCCCAATCATAATTGTGCGTGTTCAGCACGTCCATGAGCGTTTCTGGTTGTGTTGCGATAATCTCGCATTGGAGATATAACGGGCCCCAGAGCACGACAATACCATCGTTAGGTGTATTATTGATTATGTCTTCATAGATGGTCGTGAAGGGTTTGCCCCCATTGAAATTCAGATGGCAAAGGAGAAACCTCTCATTCGGCGGAGACGGCAGCCGACGTAGTGGATTCTTGAAGAAAGGGATACTGACCTGGGTGACTATGTACAGCCATGCCACACCGTGAAGAAACCAGCTTATGCTTGACCTTGACGTGAAATCTGTGGTGTCGACGAAGCATCGAATAGCTAGGTAAATTGGCTGAGCCAGCAGGAAGCTGACATGTGTGATGACTCCTCGCCAGTAGTGCATTTCAATGGACGTGAAAGCGCTATTCAAGATCTTCTTACCTTAAGTGAAGTAGACTATGAAGAAGAAAGGCAGGATGGCGATGATCAGACTCTTGAACGGGTTGGCACATGCGGGGTTATATAAATGAACTGAGACGAAGACGACCAGGGGAGGCAGCGTCAGGACACCCTGCTTGCAATGAATGCTGGAGCCTGATCACTGGTTGGATTGGAATATCAAGCAAGTAAGATCCCAAACCCTTCGTTGCTGTGCTGGGGGTGTGCAATAAGAGCCCGTTGTCTGCCTCCTTCAGGAACATACGATATACGGTGTACGACATACGGCAGTTATTGTTGAGTAATGGTGTGTGGGAATCAGCAATTCCGCGCTGTAGACATGGGGTTTCCGAGTTGTATACCTATCTGGCTCAGTAGGAATGGAGATACCTAGGTACCTCATACCGAGTATAGACGGCGCCAAGGAAAACACCGAGCCCGGTCAGCAATAGGGGTACCTAGGTACTTAAGGAAAAGAGAGCACTGAAGACAGGGATAGAGCTAAGCTTCAATACCCGTTCACGATCGACAGCCCTGGATCCCTTTATTCGTGATACAACGCTGTAAGTCGGAGGTAGCAAGAATCTTACATAGGTAGTTAAGGAAACTTTCATTTCATTGCCCCTAGGCCTGCCTGTTCTCGTGAATTGTAACAAAGTCCAGTGACTCCTCCTTGATAATACAGAAAATAAAAAAAAGGTGGGTTTCTAAACATATCTAACACATTTTTGTTCCATCAAGATTATCTTATTTCATGCAATAATGGTGAATACCACCTGATCCGATGAATATAAGCAGTCTTGTAAGCAACCTTTCGACCCTAAGTTCTTCCGTGAAAACGCCTCGCAATGCAGTAAATTCCGAATCCGTGGATGGTGTACCATCTGACTATGGCCGTCAGGTGCTCTATAGGAGGCTAGTGAAGCCTACAGCTATGCTCAATTCTTGAGACTATCACGGTTGCTCAGACTGCTGGCACTCATGGTGCTTGAGGTCGGGAGAATTCCAGTCTTCGGTTTCGAGTTCTGTTGAGCCTTGGCGACAGCGTACACAATTCCACTGACAAAGCCGAGGAAGATTGCAGAAACGCTGGGAAGGGTGACTGGCGCATCGAAAAAGATGAGACCGGACACTGCGATGGGAAGCTTGTTGAGCATGCCAACCATTGAATAGGTGGTCGAAGAAGTTGCACGAACGCACCACGCTGATGTGTACGAGATGAAGATTGACGATACACCAGTGAAAATCATGGCTCCAAAGATGGCATTTCGGACATCAACGGGGAAGTTCTTGGCCAGATTGATCGCTGACCAGTCCTCCACGATAAAAGAGCCAAGAAGCAGGACGGGAATAGTCAAGAGGTTGTTGTAAAACATGGCTAGTAAGCGTCAGCATATGTTAATTGCATGTCGGCGACGGACATACTGTCAAAGTCTTTGAAATTGGTGAGCTTGATGCGCTTGCGCATGCCTAGGACGTACGCAGAAGTGCAAAAGCAATTCATCATCATCCAGATATAACCAGCATTTAATGTGGCTAATTGCGCGGTCGCAGCGGCCGAGTTCTGCGATCCATGAGATTCCAGGACATGTTTGATGTCGGCCCAGGCAGCAATGACAGAGCTGAGAACCATCAATCCGAAGGAGAACAGGGTCATTGGAGACACCGAGCCTCCGAACCATAGCACCTCACCATATGCCGTCAAAATGATGGTCAAGTTCTTGAAAATGGTGTAGACCGGAATAGAGAGATATTTGAGAGATTTAGTGCCGGTATAGATCATGCCAATAAGGAGTAGTGAAATGGGGAACCCTGTCAGAATCAGCAAATACTCTGTGTCTTCCTTCCATGGGCGTATTCTTACATTTTTTGGCCTCGTCCGTCTTGAAGTCTCGGTATGTGATAATTCCAGCGGTTTTGCACGATTGAATGGCGACAACACAGACAATAGACTGGACCAGAGTCAGTGCCTTCGCGACAAACAAAGAGTGGGAAAACATACCTGGACAGCCAAGAGAAGGAAATTCAAGTTGTAGTCAGGAAACGAGAGGATGTACTTGTTGGCGACGGTCATCAAGATGGATGAGGCGCAGTAACTGAGGACGGGTAGGATGGGATTGTTCTGCCAGTTACTCGAGGGCGGAGAAAATCTGGGAGCGGAATTCTGAGGAGGACTGAAAGTCCGGCCTTGCTTGTCTCCAAGTTCCATCTCGTTGCCATCGAGGAATCTCTGCTTCTCTTCAGCAGCCATTTTAAGGGTTGTTGAAGGCGATCGACTGATCGAATGGCTCTGTTGAACAATGAGAAGAGGGGGTGGTGGTGATGACAAGAGGGGCTGAAGATGGACTCTGGATGGTAGGATGTACTGAAGTCTGTAGAAGACTCTCTCTTTCTAAATGAAATCGAAGGAAGAGAAAGGGAAGGACAGTTCAATAATGGATGAAATTAATGTTGGAAAGGGAAAATGCAAGGGCGCATGCTGGCTTAGCTGAGTTAAGAACTCAGACCGTGTTCACTGCTGAATTTTGGGTGAGGAAAAGGGGACGACGCGCAAAGTGGCACGGGTGGGCGGGCCAATTGATTTGTGTCTGCAAGGACGGAGTACGGAGTCCTCGGTAGATGGGTCACTCAAGCTTATCAAAAATCCGGCGTGCTAGTCAGTAGTGCCCTGCCCATTGCCCACTAAACCAGATTTTACTCTACAGACGAGGATCAATGGTGGCTAGGCTTGAGGAGCACAGAGTTACGAGTAGGGGAGCAGGAACTTCGGATCCTTACGCTTCTAGGCCTATTCAACGCCTAACCAGGCCTAGAGTATAGTTAAGCATTCCCGCTTCAGCCTCTAATTCAGCCACCAATATAATTTCCCTGACTCCCATGATTCTATGATGTGCTCCTGCGAAGTCGTGCCTTGTTGCTGCTTGTCTTTGAATCAACATAAACAGTATGTACCGGCTCCTTGCCGACTAGCGTGGGGTCGGAAGCGGGCTTTGACGCAGATGCTCAACTGCCATGCATCTATCATATCGCAATCTCATATACAGACGTCGACATATATCGTCAATTGACCTATTTGCAGCTCATTAAGCCCGGGATCAGTCTGTTTGTTATGCCTGAGAACCCTATGTGCATATTGCTGAAACATTGCAGTCATATCAGACGGAGGGTGCGGTAGTGTAAATCGATACCCAGGTATTGATTCGTGCTCCCAGCTGGGTTCGCCGCCTCTAAAGATATGAAGTGGGAAAATCATCAATCCCAGTCATCGTCTTCATCCTCCGCTGTAGCTTTGCTGCGATCGCGAATACCTCGACCTCCCTTCTGAAGCGTCCTCTTTGCATTATCGTCCTCGCTGTCGTCCTCGTCTTCGTGCCCACGGACAAGTTTCCTTTTCAAAACGGTCCAATCGACGAACGCTTCCTCGAGAGCGCGAGTGACATTGAGACTCCCTTCTTTACCATCCCAGCATAGTCCTTCGAAGCCAGTAACTTTGCCTTTGGCGACTCCCTTCACAAAGCCAATCACACATGGCAAAATCCTGACTCCAAGTTTTTCCACCACGAACGGAGCATTTTTGACATCGATTCTGGCAAATGACACATCCGCTTCATGCTGCTGCGCATGTGTCTCTGCGATTCGCTCACAATGTGAGTCCATGGTGCTGCATCTGGCGAATTCGGGGTGGAAGAAATGTACTACCGCCCTCTCATGCTCTGTCGTGAAACTGAGTGTTTCATCATCGCTCTTCAGCGTGATGAATGCTCTGTTTGTAGTTGAAAATGTCGTTGTTGACGGCTTGGTCACCTCACTTGCACTGCGAAGCTCTTCAAGCCTCTGGGCACGGTACTCTGAATCATCTTCTTCTTCAAGCGACGCTAATAGAGCGTCCACATCATCTTCTGCAGGTGGTGGTAGTTCAGTGTTATGAAGAACTTTCCTCCTGTCCTGCTCATCAGACATTTTAAGCACGAGACCGGTCGCACGCAATCGGGTTACTGCGGAACAATTTCTTATGGATTTGCGTATAACATTCTCCCCTAGCTTGTTCCGTGGCCGAAATTGAAAGATTAATTGAACAAGGGTGCCTAGGTGTGGTCTAGAGCCTGGATCCGCTGCAGTGGCTGTCATTTTCGGCCCCTATTTTTGTACTTCGCTTCAGAGTGTTTGATCCACCGTAAAGAGAATTGACTTGGCAGGTGCAAAACTCTTGGCACTGCGCACACATTCGATCCTGCGGCAATCCCCATACCAACTTTTGAAGATTGAATCAGCTTCTTTTGTGACGACCACCTTGACACCATTCCTCTGGCGCAAACACAGTAGAAATGGCGCCTCCAACACAAAAGCCGAAAGGTACGATCTCAGCCTCACACTACTCCCCGAAATCGACCCATGAAAAGTCCCAAGGGCGTGGCAAGCAGCACGACAACGAGGACGCTGATCCAATTTCTCGTACACCACTGCCATCTCGCAGATGGATGATTTAAGAATCGATGACTTTGTGACGGGCTTAGCTGACATTTATCTCACATCCAGGCGGCTCCAAGAAGCCCGGTGCCAAAGCCAACCAGGCCGCAAAAGCCACTCTCAAGGGTGTATGTTTTCTGCCCACGCTCGTAAAAACGGATGATCAAAAACTCATAATCGATATCTAGGTCCACGCACAAAAGGCTCGCAAGATCCGCAAGTCAACCACATTCCACAGACCCAAGACCCTCGTTCTCTCGCGATCACCCAAGTACCCACGCAAGTCCATCCCCCATGAGACGAGACTTGACCACCACAAGATCCTCATCCACCCTCTGAACACCGAGAGCGCGATGAAGAAGATCGAGGAGCACAACACCCTGGTTTTCATCGTCGATGTCAAGGCCAACAAGGCACAGATCAAGGGCGCTCTCAAGAAGCTATACGATGTCGACACAGTCAAGATCAACACCCTGATCCGACCGGACGGAACGAAAAAGGCTTTTGCCAGATTAACGACGGACGTTGATGCTCTTGACATCGCTGCCACCAAGTTGTCCATTGTGTAGACGGGGTTGGCTCGGGTGGATGTCGAAGGAGATGATGACTGGAGGGGAGTGCATTGGCTCGGGTTTTTACTCAATGGAGCGACTTTACTTTATGCGTCTTCATTGATGCTCCTCGAAATCACAAAAAAGAGGATATCGATTCGGAACAAAAACAGCTCAAGATAGATGTCAGGGCGCAGTTTCAGAATCAGTGCATGCCTTCCAACAAACAAGAAAACTTCAGAGCAGAATTCTTTCAGTTTATTATTTTCCCGTACTCGAGAAGCACATCTCATGGCGGATAGCTTCCGAGAGATTGTGACGGTAGTGGTATGCAATGTCCAACTCAGTGCCTGAAGAGGAGACAGCCCATCAGCAGCCCAATGCATGTATCCATCCGCAAAAGACCTGCCTCCCATATGCATCATCGCCTTGTAGACCGTGACCGTGACCGCGATTTTCTACACATCCATTTTCCATGTTTCCGTTGAAGGGTTTCTATAATAGTACAAGACACTGATGGTGTAAACACTCAGCTGTCGATGCAGGCACTCCGCAGCTCAAAGCAGTGCGATGATTCCGCAGCCATGAAAACACCGAATCATTGACTCGCCCTCAGTGCATCCAAATGCTTGAGGATCTGCAGGTTGGAATCGTACCAACGGTTGACACAATTGGCCATGCACGTCTCCTCCTTGCCGGCCAACTTGCCCTGCGTTATCGAGCTCGTGATGCATTTCTTGAAGCAGATCTCGGCTAACGAGTGTGTGTCTGTCGAGCATCAAAGTCAGTAATCAGAATTTTTCGCGGTTGAAGTTGGCAATGAGAAGGGATAGAAGAGTGGAAAAGGGGAACATGGGGTGACCGGCAGGGAGAGTCTCACTCTTTGCGATCTGGTTCTTCTGCTGCTCGCTCTGTAGGAAGACCTGCAGTTCTCGCTGTTCGTTGGGTGAGAGGCGCTGCAGATCTTCTGGGGAGATGTTGATTTCGTCGTCCATGGTTGTTGAGTACGGAAGATGTGGAAAGGCGGATTTATTTGTCTGAGGAGTCTTGCTGAAAGTTTCGAGGGCAGTCGATGGGATGTTTGCTTGAGTGGTTAGTCGGCTCTGATGCTGAAGATCGCATACGAGATTCGTGTTCTACAAAAGTTGACTTGCATTTAGTTAGGCTCGGCTTCTCCCTTTGCGGGCGGACAGGGGTCTCACGTGACCACAACCAAATCGTCAAATTCTTGCTCTTGTCGTGTCATGCACTGTACTATCATCTAGTGGCTCCTCTTTAAGTCTAAACGATGAGATTGAATGAGGAATGCTTCAAGTTCTGGGTTCCTTGTTTTGGGTGGCATAGTGGTGCGTACACCGCCCTAACAGTTATGGTGGGAGCATGGTCGCAAAGCGTCGGACCAGCACCGCAGCTATTGATCGGAGCTCGTGTGTCCAACCAAATGCACATAGCTTTCATTCGAGAACGATGGCCGTGTTCAAATTTGGTTTCCTTGTCTGGAATTCTGTTCCGAAAATGGCAGGCACTTCGCCCAGTATATAGGTGCCGAAGAGCTGAGCTCGCTCTCTGATATCCTGTCTTGACAAGGTTTGACATCAATCGCATGTCCTTCGTCTTGCACATTTCATTGCCTTTGGCATTTGGAATCGTAGAACAAGATGTGTAGAACCGGGGATATGGGTTCCTGGTGAAGATCCATCAAATGCGTCAAGCCATACGCAGGAGTGATTGACAGGCCGTTGTGGGTGAGGGCCTTCGATGCTTATATTACCTCCTTGCTCAAGTGTCCATCGCCCATAACTTTCGCGCATCTTTATTTCCAACGAGGCCACCAAGCCAAGCACCCCTTTGTTCGATCCTCCAGGCGACATCTTTGGAACCTGTCCAATGGCTGAGACTTGCAGCAACTGCGACTTCATCTTCGCTGGGCACTCTGATCCAGGCATCTCGACCCTCCACTTTCAAGATATCAATCGAAATAGCGGTGCCAGTAAGACCCAGGTATTGTTGCAACGCCAACGTGAGGTATGTCCGCGCAGAAACCTCATCAAGGTCATGTGGTGCCTGTGATGTTGCAGATAATGACCTCAAAGAAATCCTGAGATATGAGTATGGTGCCTTTCGGAGTGTGAAACTCATCACAGGATCGGCAGATGAAGCTTTTGATTTAGTCATGTGGATGAGCTGTGGCAGAATACGTTTTTATACCAAGAATGCTTGTCTAAATCTGCATGACATGTCTGTAGGAAAAGAACTGGAGTCAACGATCAGAGGCACATTGGGATTTCACAATAATTTCACTAGATAGGATCTTCCTACTAATAGGAGAACTGGAGTTCTGAGCTGAGCTCACACATGCCTTTGACGTCTGAGGAGGATCTCAGCTGATCAACACAGTAAAAATGGAGTATTGTTGAACTGGATGTCTCATGGTAGATATAGGTGCTGGACGAGCTGTCAATCCCGGCATTAGGTATGATCACAGGTTGAAGTTGTTGGTGGTTGATAGTTATACGGAGAAGTATAGGTGAATGATACGCTAGAGCTCCCAAAGACAAGAACATTTCACGTGAATAAATCTTGGCAATTTACGACCCACCCTGGCCTTGGCTGCACCTGCACCGCACACAATTCTCTCTGTCCACAGAATTTCATACAACACTCGCGACAACTTTCTTCTCGACACCAGCAATATCAACACTCGTCAAGATGTCCGACAACGGCGAGGTCGAAGTCGAGAACCCCGTCACCGGTTACCCCGTCCTCCCCAAAGATGTTACCAACGAAATTGGCAGCATCAAACTCTTCAACAAATGGAGTTATGAAGATGTGGAAGTTCGCGATATCTCATTGACGTACGGCACCAGCAGCGGCTCGAGAAACTCCCAGATTTACTGACCGTTGTTCACAGCGACTACATCCAAATCCGATCCCCTGTCTATATCTCTCATTCCGCCGGTCGATATGCTGCAAAGCGATTCCGAAAGGCTCAGTGCCCCATCATTGAGCGACTGACCAACTCTCTCATGATGAACGGACGAAACAACGGCAAGAAGCTGATGGCTATCCGCATTGTTGCACACTCATTCGAGATTGTACGTCACTTCAATTTTGCGGGACAGGATATTACCAGGGAAAAGTCGAGGACTAACAGTTTACTTTCAGATCCACATCATGACCGACCAAAATCCCATTCAAATCGCCGTCGATGCCATTGTCAACTGTGGTCCTCGAGAAGACAGCACCCGAATTGGAAGCGCTGGTACCGTCCGAAGACAAGCCGTTGATGTCTCCCCTCTCCGTCGTGTCAACCAAGCTATTGCCCTTCTCACCATTGGTGCACGTGAGGCTTCGTTCCGAAACGTGAAGAGCATTGCCGAGTGTCTCGCCGAAGAGCTGATCAATGCTGCCAAGGGAAGCAGCAACTCCTACGCCATCAAGAAGAAGGACGAGCTGGAACGTGTCGCCAAGAGCAATCGGTAAATGGTTATTGATGGAACCGGTGTTTTGCGGCGGAAAATTATGGTGCGTTCTGCTCGTGTGTTGACAGCAACCATAGCGAGTGTACTGGTGGGAGCATGTGCTATCACCGCCAGGCATGCATTAAGGTTGCATACCGGCTGGTCATGACTTCAGTCGATATGCAGGTCCAAGATTTTTTAGATCAGGCTGATGTCCACAAAATCGAAAATCAGTGCAAATTCATTCATCCTCTTTTTGTCATCCGTGGCCAATATTGTGTGGACCCCAAACTTTTTGTGATGGCCTTACATTTGCAGGTAAGTATGCAGTACTGGTAACTACTTCTATGCCCTTATGTCTTTGAGGTGTTGTGTGATTTTGCAAGACACCATACCATCCTACCTTGGTCTTCGGTGTGACTGTGCACTCCTGCGCCGACATCCCGGGCAACCTTGTCTCAATGCTGAGAGCAGGGCCTTATTGAATATACTGAAGACGACATTAAAGCTACAAATCACTTGGAGAATCGCGACTAAATGCAGATACTATTGCGAGTCATGTGTGCTCCTAGCATTGGTAACATATACACTTTGATTCCATTTCCAAGCCCATCAATAAACTCCGGCTTGGCTTTTTAAATGCTGTACTGACAATAACACCCAGATACCTTTTATGTTTTTGGACGACGCTATACTGATAGGAGCAACCTGATGTCTTCTATGTGGATGCTTGTCCTTCTGAACGTTGCTGCCACCTGCCCCATTGCAGTACTGGTGGATCGATCTCTTGCGAGCACCAGAGAACGGTCAATTGATATGCATCGCATCCTCTGGCCTGACAAGTTACCTAGTAGACGGCGGACAGTAGACAATGTCCTTGCCATCCCTGGCGCTACTCAATCCTTCTCATCAATGTGACGCCCTGTGGCTCTCATGGGCAAATTGACGTTGTTTTTCCCCCACCCGGGCTTCACTCCAGACTTGCATCCGCGACCTCTCTCGCAGCTCTCTCATATACTCCATCTGCGGGGCTGACGTCTGGTTGAAGTTGACCCCGTCGTTCTTGATCCATATCCTGTTGACTGCGAAGCCCATACAGATCACAAAAGCTGCGGAGAGGATGATGATCAGGATGATCACGTTGTTAGACAGTGCGGCCATTTTTGGATATCGGAGAGCTTCAATCTTCCAGGGGACGACTTTGGAGGCTTCCAGTCTAGTCTTGTGCTTCTGATGCTGAGTCTGGCTCTGGAAGTTGGGGAGGCGTGTGAACTTGGTCTTCTGGTTGGAGGATTTTGTATTTTCTTGTGATGTTAATAGTGCCGGAGAAATTGAAATACTGCATGAGGTATTGAACGAGTGACGGGAGATTGTATCAAAGAAAGAGACACCTAGGAGTTGAGAAGTAAAGACCAAAACTGGGAGCGGCGCTCCTATTCTACTGTCGTTTTACTACTGTCAATAGCTCGGAGATAATGAAGCACCATACGACCTCCTTGGACACTACGCCAGGGGCCATATATCTCAGAGGAGGTGAACTTGACACAAACCAACCAATACTTCCTGGAGGACGCCATCCGACAATGGTGCAGTGCACATGGAGTATACGAAATGTGATAAACCGCCTGCAACGTGAGGCCCACCGTGTCCAACGCGCTATACCAGACGCAGAGAGTGACACGATCCAGCAAATCAAAATGCACTCGCTTAGACCCGGTCTTCGTGTGAAGGATATAAATCGAAACCCTTTGGCTATTTTTCTGAACTGCTGATAGCCATGGATGCTGACATAATATACCGTCGAGCCTGGGAGTCTTGCCAAGGCTGAGGCCCCCTGAAAACGTCCGAAGCACTGCCCCACGCCATCCTCGACATAGGATGGTGTCAATGCTGACAAGATCCACAGGTTCAGGCTGATTTCCAGCCTGGTTTCACGTCAGGTCCCGGCCAAGTGCTGTAATATCCATTGTTTGGCATAATAGCCAAGAGGTTTCGATAAATATCCCTTCCCACCAGATGGCCCGTTATTTGTGAGCTCGGTTTGTGGAGTTACGCTAGCACCGTCGGAAATGAAAGATTCAGAATCTCCAGGGCTTAGTGTGCATCAAAGAAGGTCCATTGCAACTGCTTTGAAATATGTATCTCATGCATCCTGAGCCGTCAGACAGCTGTGACCGAAGTTGGCGGGAGATTCAAGGCGGAAACCACGCGTGTCGTAAAGCTGACTTCTGAAATTGCAAAAATAGTTGATCCTCTTCAAGACATCGACGTCCCAAAGCGCCATCGTGCGTGGGGAGCACAAAAAAACAGCATTCCTTGTTTCTCGATCGCGAAAGCCATTGGACAGTTACGGCTTTCCATTCTGTACTGCGTACGAGTCGGCAGTATCGCTTTCGCGAATCGCCTGGTCATTTAGTGCCAAGTCGTCAACAACAACCACCCCAGGCATTCTGCAGACGGGTGGGCGCCACTTGCATCTCGCGCGGGTCGTGGCTGATGCGTCTCCGACGAGCTGGCCACCAGAAATCGAAAAATGGGTGCCTGACCTGCAGGATTCGGAGGGTCAAGTGTGACGAGACCAGGCCACATTGTCGAAAATGTACCGAGACTGGTCGGAAATGCGAAGGACCTAACACGTTGGACCTTCAATTTCGCTTTATAAACAGTCAACCAGTGTCCAGAAGTAAGAGCAAGAGTTCTTCTGCCGGGCTGTTGTTTGAAAATCCGGGAGCTGGTTTAGTTTTGGATGCGACTCCCTCCAGCGAGGACAAACACGCAATTCCCATTGTCGGCGGTGCTCTGACCCACCACAACTTTACTCCCTTGAACAACTGCTCCCCGCTCTATCCAGCGGTCTCTTTCCTGCAGTCTCAACACTGCGATATTGAAATACGATCGTTCGACCATTTCATTCATCGTGCGGCGCCTTGTTATGCGGGTGCTGTGGAAGATGATTTCTGGACGAACACGGTGCCACGACTTGCACTGTACGACCCTGTTGTCTGGGACATAGCAGTGGCTAGTAGCTACATGTTCGAGTATGTGCCTCATGATCCACTGGTAGCGTCTTTCACCACCACTTCGGTGTCGCTCCCTAAGGCCAAACCTCATCAGCAGGCGCTGAAATGGTACAATCGGGCTTTATCCAATATCCGTCAACGAATGGATTGTGAGGAGATGGATTACACATATGCCTTGCTCACCTGCATACTATGCACGTGCATAGAATTTCAACAGAGGAATATTGGAGTTGCTATTCACCTTGTTCACAGTGGCTACCGGCTCCTAAACCAATCGTTACTCACCGACGTCAGCAACATTAAATCGGCCCAGGTGCGAGCACTCAACAATGTCGTCACATCGTTCTTCTCTCGGCATGCTCTCGTGACTGCGAATTTCGTCGTCCATCCGTTGTCAGAATGGTCAGGTCCCACGAAGAATACCGAGGGGACACTCCTCAAAACTGATAACCCCTTGATGGAGAAAGCCCACAGTGCCAGCTTAAAGCTTTACCGGCTCATGTACCAAGCCTACGAGATTCTTCGGGTTATTGTTTTGATGTGGAACATGCCCGATGTCATCAAGTCACAGAGCGCAGGGCAACGGGTGACGCTCGATGAGTTGAAGAGATGGCGTATATCCTACACGGAACGTGTGATGAACGCAGAAGATGCCATGATGAGCAATGACCTGCAATTACTGACATCGCATTTGCTGATGAGCTGGGACATCTGTTACACCTGGTTTGCGACTTGCATCTACCCCACGGAGATGGCTTATGATCAATATATGGACCACTTTGCCGAAGTGGTGCTGCACGCGGACCGTGTTCTCAGGCTCAGGGGGTTTAAAATTGGTCGCGACGAACCACTACATCGCCACACCAAAGTCGGCTTGAATATCGTGCCCCCTTTGTTCTTTACCGCTTTGAAATGTCGTGATCCGATACTCCGGAGAAGAGCACTTGCACTGCTGGAGCGAGCGCCACCGGCAGAGCCGTGGAATGGAGTCTTGACGCCGCGAGTTGCTCAAAATGCCATTGCGCTGGAAGAGAATCGACCATACGAGAAAGTCGACCTGACGGATCCGGGAGCCCTGGCAGAACTGCGCGCGCGACCACTGCCTCCCGACGGCCAGCGACTACGAGACATTGCTTTGGTGGGCCAGGAGCAGTCCAATGCTGGCACCACGCTAATACTGGAACTCGGGAGGATAGTGGTTGATGCCGATGGAACCAAACGCTCAGCTCACGAAACAATCCGTGTTGAGCATCCGGAAGCTCTTACGATTGGTGCTTTTAATCATGACGGAAGGGCAGAGATACCCATATAGAATATGCACATCGGTTGACATATCTTCAAGATAGGATAGATGGATGTTGACATGTACTATCATCCTTTGATCTGTGAGGCGTGCGTGACAAGCACAAAAGGATTCGAGAAAAACGTACTCCTAGCACTGTATTCGTCCTGCGAGTAATTCATCATCAGCATCGAGCTTGGGAACGCGAGAGCCTGTCTACCACACATATACGTTTCAGCCTGGGATCGAGCGTTCGGAAGTTCCTGGTACCAGGATGGTTTTATTTTGTCTACGACTTCATCATGATTGTCATGCATGCTACATAGACTCGTTCCACTACCGCTCGCCATCACAGGGAAAGCCTCTTTCGTATCACGAAAACGAAGGATCCCGTTCGGTGGCGGTACCACCAGCAGCAGGTGCGGGAGAGGCAGTAGTACCAGCCGGGCCAGCCGCTCCATTCTGCGTTGCAGACAGGTATCTCTCGTGTGCCTTGCGCTGCAGCTCCCAATCCTTCTTCAACCGCTTGACCTTCGACGCCGTAAGCGGTGTGCCGTCTCGTGCCGTCGTGGGCAGCCCGTCTGGATCCCACGCCGAGAAGTCGTTGGAATGTGGTGGTTTGAACATGTCGGCGGGTGAGAGTCGGCCCTTCTGCAGCTTCTCCAGTGCTTCCTGTTCGCGCTTCTTCTTCGCTTCTTCTTTCTGTCGGATTTTGTCTTCACGTTCGCGACGCACGGCTTTTAGTCCTTCCGTTACGGGCCGAACTAGTGCTGGGGCGTTTTCGCGGTCTTCGAGGTAAATGTCGAGTTGCCAGAGATCTACATCTCGTACACGATCGCATAGGGCGAGGATCTGCTTGTTCAAGTCGCCTGACTCTGAGGGTGATGCCACTTCTAATGCGCTGCGACTGAATTCACTCAGTGCACGAGCATACGAAGGTCTGGGCCGTCCACTAGTCGGCACATCTTCCTGGTCAGGAGAGCTTGATACGATTTTCTGTACCTTCTCGGCTGTAATCGACTTGGCGATTGCTGCCTGTCGAAGCTCATCCCTCATTCTGGCCAATGGATAGACGTACTCCTTTGCAGCATCGGGAATTTCAATACCCTTCCATCCTATCGTTGTAGAGTCTGCAGGTGTATCGCCGTTCAAACCGAAGATATTAACCATGCGTGTAACAAATCTTGCCGTACTTATGTGATCCTCAGGAGTGGTATCGATCTTCTTGGTACTGTTGTAAGCATTTATCAAGGTGGAGATGGCACTCATGGCTGCAGGGGTGTTGAACGAGTCCAGAAGGGCGGCCCGGACTCTCGCCTCGGTCTCCTGTAACACATCTTCAAGAGCCCCTTTCTGATTTGTGGTGGTTGTAGCGTTCTTGCTATTTTCAACAGCGTTGATGAAGAAATTGTCAACACGATCTTCCCAACCTCTGCCTTCGAGGACCATCTCGTCGGTAATTTCAATTCCATCTTTCCACGTTCCAAGTAAGAACACAATTCGGAGACTTCTAGAAGTCCACTCTTTTCGAACGTGTAGTGCCTCTCGGATGGTGGTGAAATTCTTTAGTGATTTGGACATCTTTGAACCCGCTATCGACAAGTGGCCCATGTGAATGAAATAATTGACCCATTGTTTTCGAGTTCCATCAGCCCAAAAGGCTTCACTCTGAGCCAGCTCATTGTCATGATGTGGGAACGCCAGATCAACACCACCTGAGTGGATGTCCATCTGGTTGCCAAGCTTTCCAGATGCCATTGCTGAGCATTCAATATGCCAGCCAGGTCGACCCTGGCCCCATTCACTGGCCCAACTTGGTTCGCCGGGCTTTGATGCTTTCCAGAGGGCGAAATCTGCATCAGACCGCTTGACAGAGCTGCTTTGCTGCGAAAGTGCTCCTTCTCCATCTGCCTGCAGGTCTTGGTTGTGTCGGTTCCATGGTTCTAGTCGTGCATAATTGAAACCAGCAGCTTCGAAAGCTTTTATATCAAAGTACACAGACCCATCAGACGTCAGGTAACCCAGGTCGTTGTCCACGATTTTTTTGACGAATTCCGCAATTTCCTTCCCATGCTCGGTCACACGGACTATCTCGTCTGGGTCGAGGACATTTAGATCGTGCATGTCTTGGAAGAACCGGGTTTCATACTCCTTGGTCAGCTTGGTGAAGACAGCATAGTCATCGCCCTTGATGGTAGTACCGAGCTTCTCATCCAGTACGAGGTACATTGGATCGGCAACTCTGTTGTAAAATTCGTGTGGTGTCAGGAGTTTTGGATCTTGCATTAAGGCTTTTGCGGTGCTTCTAGCAGTTGCAAGATGCATTTTGACTTTCGCTTCTTTGTCTCCAGGTTTAGTGCCAGGTTCCAGACTTCCTCCGGCAAGGATATCTCCATAGGCCTGTTCCACCACATCGTCGAAGGTTCCGGGTTCCAGTAATGTTTTGGGTCCGATTCTTTTCAGATATTTTTCGATGTAGTAAACCCATGCATGTCGAACGTCTCTTCGAACTTCTGCGTCGATGTATCTTGAGATTTAGTCAGAATGCTGTTTGATGTCTATGGATCCAAAAACCTTACCTGTGCTCCTTCTTGTACTCATCATATAGATGCCTCTGTCTTCCTCGCAGAATGATCTTGTCGTCGACATCGGTGGTGTTCATAATGAACTTGATATTAAAGTGGAAATAGTCTCGCAGAATGCGACGAATGATGTCGGTGGAGACATAGTTTCTCGCATGGCCCAAATGGGCATCGTCATAGACGGTGGGACCGCAGGCGTACCATGAGATTTTCTCAGGCTGTATTGGAATGAAAGGAACTTTTGATCGAGTAAGAGAGTTGTAGATCTTCAATTGCGGTTCGTGAGTCGAGCCCGTGGGCTGCGCCCATGGAGGTTGAGACATTCTGGTCGCTTTACAAGAGGAATATGCAACAGAAGAACAGAAGGAGCGTCTCAGAGAAAAGAGATAAAAGGAACGACGTTGGATCATTGACTCATTTCTGTTGCTTGTAGCATTCACTTTGGGCGCAGGGCTGTGATGTGAGTCCGAGTCATTCTTGGGGTAGCCGCATCTGAATGTTAGGCACGAAATCAAAACACACAAAACTGCCAATGCACTCTAGCTCTATTCAGGCTAGCTCTAGTCTCTAGCGGCACTTCCCGCTCAGCTGCAGATCTCTTTTGGGCTCAGCCTCGTCTCTGAGTCCTGCTCGACCTTCGGATGCGAGAATTCTAAAATTTCGAGGTTGTTTTCACCTGAATCTAATGAAGTTCAAAAGTCTATCAAGAATTAATTCGCGATATATTCCTCATTAGCAGTCCCCGTTCACCTAATCTTTGATCCTACCAGCATGGAGTGGTCCCCAATTTGTTGGAGAAAAGATATTCCCCGGCTGACAGCTCAAAAGTTCCTCCCCACGTACCACATCTAACTGAAAATTATTCATCAGGAGCTAAGCTGGAATCCTTATGAAGGTCGAGATGAGTGTGATAAGTAAAGCAGCTCATGTCGTTTCAGAGCCTTCCGCGCCTGTCTCTGCAGCTACTGTTGTCCGTGGAAGGCATCTTACGAATTCTTGTAAGGATACCACCTCTTAAAGATTTCTTTCTTTCTTGCAGGCTCCTGGAGGGAGAAGTTGCAGGAACATTCTCTTTGGTGCTGGTATTTGAGGATGCTCCCACTCTCCTTTTATATTGCTCCTCCCATATTACCCTGCGTTCGTTTTCAACCTGAAGTTCCTGCGCGAGCGTGGACCTGTCGCAGTCGTCGAGTGGTTGTCGTGACTCGAAGTCGCGTTCCCATCTCTGACATACATTCATCTCTTCGAACCAGTCACTATCATCCGCATTGATAGAAGCTGAACATGGCATCAATATGGAGTGCTTTTCGTCTAGTGCCAACATACCTGAAGAAGACTCCATTGCCGACTTGAATATCATGCTACAGCTCGTCGGGTTGGGGTCTACCCATCTTAGCAGCGAACGATTGATTTCCGCGCAGAATAGTCGTTTTTCGGCACCACTGACAAGGACACGAGCAGTGCGCGAATGAGCGGCCGCTGGGTGACGGCGGAGCCTCTTACCTTGACTGTGAGTAAGGCTTTGCAGCATTCCCTGACATAGTGCGAGCATTGGCGATCGAGCTGCATTGTTCTGTTCTTGCAAAAAGAATCTCACATCAACAATGAAAAGCCTGTGAACAGTGCGCTGTGAGGAGAGGGTATTGTCTATCCACGTTCCAGAGATGTAGCCGCGGCAGGGGAGGAACAAACCATTAGCTACTTCGGTCTCCGTCGATTGGTATGGAAGCTGATGAAGAGTGAAGTGTTGCCAGTCGGCCCATTCAACTGAAATCGGATTCAAACAGAGATCGGAAAAGAAACATGCAATAGCAGGGATTTTGTTTGAAAAACCCTGGGATTGAAGCAGTCTGGTAGTAGTTGTCAAGACTATTTTTCATGGCATGGATCCTTTGATCTTCGGAGCGATTGCCTCACTTACTAGTACATCGATTTCGACCAACTCCACGATCTCAGATCGACTTTGCGCCCCAGAACTCCGGACCCCCTGAGTCCTTTTTGCACTCCAAATATTGACTGACTTGGAGCGGCGGACTCAACGCCGTGCCATCTATGTAGTACCAGGGCTGAGCGGGAATTGAATGGGGGGTTTTCCATTGGCTTGGCTATTCTACAATACTTAATTAGTAGGTATCTAGTAGTCTAAGAAGTGATCATGTTGTCTGCTATGATAACTACTACTTCGAGTTCAGGCGCATTCAAGCACCTTGTGCCTCGTCAACTGGTGCTCCAGCAGAGCCTTCCAATTCGTCTATCTTCCCGACAGATGATTCACCCATTCCTCCCGGTGCTCGTGCCGCCGGCTTCACGCCATTCTGTCCTCTCGATCGCTTCTTCGCCTCCTTCTTAAGCTGGCGTTGACTCTTTGGAACGTTGGACTCGACCTTCACATGCTTTGACCATTTTGCTTGAGCTGCAATCTCGTCGTCTTCACTCCACGATCTAGGCAAGACCGCAAAGACCAAATATGAAGTGTGGGTCTTCAAGTCTGCTTGCGTCCTATGCACCAGCTTCCCTCCGTCGAAAGGAAGGGTCTGCTGTTGCAGGTTTTGACTTTGGTTCTTTACAACCGGCGTATCTGCGACTCTGCCCTGGCCAGATTTTGACCGGTTGAAGTTCTTGGCTTTCTCTTCGACTTTTCGTAGTCTTGCCAATGCTTCATCGACATCTGTTGCAAGACCATTGACGCCGCGCAATCCCTCGTATTGCAAGCTGGTGTACCCTCGACGGATATCTATTCGCTTGTGTTGAACCTCGACTGTTTCGATTTCCAGCCAGTCGAATTTTCGGAGGGCTGTTATTGTTCGCTGAACTTGCTCTATGCATGGGTTGAACGTACAGATGTAGACAGGCGAGGATTCATCGAGGGCCGATGGTGTGCCATCTTGAGCTTGTCTTGTAAGATGAGGTAATGCCTCCCACGGCGCTGGCAGATCGAGGAAAATTGCATTGGCCCGAGGAGAGGTTTTTATCTTCACGTCTGACTCATCGTTATGAAGGAGAAAGCCATCTCTGTAAACATCCCGATGTGAAGCTCGCACGATGCCGTCCAGACCATGCTGCAGCATTTCCTCCTGTACTTTTTTATGTCGCTCCTCATGGAATTCGAATGAGAAGACTTTGCCACGGGCTTCTGGATTCTCAGCAGGGTTTGTTTGGTTTTCAATGTCTTGAGAAGGAGGGTATCCGTTGAAGACTGCTCTTGCAGCAGCATGTGTGAAGCTTCCACTGCCACTGCCAGCCTCAATCAATCTCGTTCCTGGCCTGGCTCTGATCCTGTGCAAGATGTAGCTGTAGTCCGGCGTGTAGACTACCTGTGTCCTATGAGGCAAGCTCGTAGTCCAGGTCTCCGGTGTGGGTGGTAGGACATGGACAAAGCCGGTGCTTGCAACCACTGCATCCTTGGTATTTGCTAAAGCACTATCGTCATTGGTGGCCTTATCGTCCAACACGTCCGCTTTACGCTTCTTTGCATTGCCCCTATCCCTTCTGCCGCGAGATCCGGTATCGACCTTGCTTGCTCGAATCTGACTTCCCCACGGGACACCAATAATGGTTGAATGTGGAAAAGAGCCAAATCGAGTGTTGGTGACCACACCTTCAGCATACCCTTCATGCTCTGCGCCTTCCGCTTTGGTCGACAAAATCACCGGCATTGAGGCATCTCGACGCAGGTGTAAAGAGGCCAACTCGCTCTCTTTGGTGACGGGTCCAAGCGAGAAAAACGAGGATGCCATCGTCGAAAATTCTTCGGCTAGTACTACTTGAGAACAGAAGAAGTCGGAGCTTTATTTGCTAACACCAAGAGTCGGTGGGGTTTTCAGCATCCATTAGATAACTGCGAGCTCTCTTGCAGCGGCAATTAATATGTGGTTGAGATTTCCGATTCATGTTAGCGTCTCGAAATCAAAAAATAGTGAAGTCAAATTCATCTCACGTGACAGGACTCGAAGCGGACATGATATCCGAAGTTGCTGCACACAACCAATACGAGGGCATTGAACCGGGAGATCTTGGGGAATGCGAGTCGGCAATTAGGACCTAGCTGGATGAACGACGAAATAACCAAAATTCCAAATCGATGGAGCTTATTTAAATTTGAGAAGGGCTTACATTGGTTGGCAACCCTGGTTGTGGGCATGGGAGGCCCGCAAGTGGTATATGGATGCCCATGAGAGCGCTAAACTAAGTCCCATGGCTTGAACATACCCTCGCAGACCAAACCCTTAGGAGGCAACGTCCCATTTGCGAAGAATGCCCTGACAATGGGGAAGAGGCAAGTACTTGGATTAGCTGCGGTGGAGCAGTGACCAGGAAGATCCTGTGTGAAGACCACACTTCCCTCGTGCGATTTGGACATTTTATGAGCATTGAAAACAGGCGTCACGGGGTCCGCGGTGTTTCCGATGAACAATATCGGACTTCCCTTTGGATTATACTGCGACAATTTCGATCCAAAGGGTCCTGTAAAACGGTTCTTTGATGTTGGTCTCAATTCCGAAGGCCAGTGAATGCAATGAAGATTGATCTCCGCCCAGACAGGTCCGCTGATCTTAGATTGAGATTCAAGGAGAGCCAAATAGTCGGTTTGATTGGCCTTGGTTCGGTCTGTGATATCCTCGCCGTCACCACAAAGTACTGAGATTGATGCTTCCAGGCTCCAAGCATAGCCGAATTGCGGTTGTTGGTCGGGTTTGTTGGAAGTCATCGAGAAGTAGTCTGATAGTTTAGGAATAGGCGGCAGAGAAGGCGAGAAATATAATGGCAGTTCGTGCTGCCATAAGAGGCCCTCCTCCAACATTGAACTTGCGGTCACCAGGTCTTCGTTGGCCAGTGAATCAATGAAAACGGCCAGGTAAGGCCAAAGAACATTTGGGATATAAAGTGCCGTGTGTACGAATGTTCGCAAGATGAAATTTGTAAGGATACCCATGTTACCTCCAATCACTATCGGTATGGGTTCTTGCTTGAGCTTCTCCCAGAAAGCATCCACCTTATCACGGATGTCGTTAGCAGACTTGTATGAAGGATGATACAAGGCGCATTTTGAACCCGCCTCGAAGCAGTACTCGAAGAACTTCGACCACGTCTTAGTGTTGTCCCGAAGATTCGTCGTCCATCCTGTTGAGACGTAATCGTCCGCATCTACAACTCCATCCAGAATCACCCGACCCACTCTTTCAGGAAACATGGAAGCGAATGTGTTGCCCAGCATTGTTCCATAAGACAAGCCCCAGTAATTGAGGAGAGGAACATCGTCGCTCGAGGTCTGTGAAAGGGTCTGCTGCTGATAATTTAACCCCGAGGGCCTCTTTCCGTCCTCCAGCTCGGTCTTCAGATTCTCATCCAGTCTGTCAATAATCTCGACCATGTCACGAGCTACCAATGCAGTGCTGACGAATTGGCGAATGTTGGATCCATCCGCGTAGTAACCGGAATGTGCACAAAGACGACCGAGTCCTTGATCAATCCCCCACTTCAAGTTCAAAGCGTTGGAGGAATCATCCAAACCACCTGCTCCCATGCCCAGAATCAACAAAGCTTGCCTGGAGGGGTCATCTTGGAAGCAGCTAACACTCGGTGTCGTGTACTTCATGCCGCGAGGGTCAAAGGACAGTACATCGAAATGTTTCTCACCATCCACAAGCTTCTGCAGCCCTTTTCCCGATGCGAGTAGAATGTCGGTCCCGGAACCTCCTGGGCCTCCGGGGTTGACAAGAATAGCACCGCCGTATGATTCATCTGCTCGATCAACAACAGCGGGCAGTCGGACAATGGCGATGGAGACATTATTTGGGTTGGACAGATCACTCCAGTCTAGCGGCACCAAGAGCTTTGCGCACTCGAAACTCCCATCATAGCATTTGTGGAAGACGAGATGTGAGGATGACTCGGTTTCACCCCAATCGAATAATGTAGCAGGGTTGTCTCCGTGAGCTGTCGGGATGGAGACTGCCTGACTTGTGCTCACAAGGATAGACAACAAGCACCCGCCGAGGGTCTTGAGACTTGACCGCATGTCTAAATTCTGCTCTGGAGTTGAACGTCCAAGGAACAGTTCACCTCTGTTAGAGAATTTGGTTTGGACATATTGATGATATTTAATGGCCGACTCAAGCTTAAGAGGGGTTGGTCCTACTGGTCAGCGCTAGCTCTACGGCACCTAGTTAGGTACCGATAAGGAAGCTGTCTCCATGCCCAGAGGGCCCTTAGGCCGACGATCCCCCTGGACCACTCTTCCCTCGACCTTGTTGGAGTAAGTTACGAGTAGTTGATGCTGCTGCCTGAGAGTATATACGAGTACGAGTCAACCATTTTTGATAACGGTCGCTAGTACGCTATCCGTGCCCAATGACACTCCATATCCCTCCACCGTCGAAGCTATCAATAGCCGAAACTGTCCTTTAGGAATGAAATACTTACCAGAAACGGTCTTGTACCAAGCGCACATTCTGGGAAAATGTAACTAACATTCTAACCCCACACACCAATTCTCATCGTGCTGGTCGAGAAATCATGATCCCTCACCACTGATTTTCATAATTATCAAGGTTTCCTTCCCCATATGAAATAAAATGGGACATATAGATGAGCTTTGGGATGGCGTAAATCTTTCTTTACCTGCTCGATAGTAACTTGAGTCTCTTTGGCCGAGAATCCCAGCACTCGTGTGTATAACGCCAGGGTTAATGCTTCAATGGAGTCGACTGCTTGCGCGTGATAGAAAAGTCCCAGTTCTTTATTCTTGCGACCTTTTGCCCACTTTCCAATAGGGACCTGAATCGATTTTCGTAAGAAGATAGAACCAAATATTTGATGGTGATCAGCATCCATTCGTGTGACTTACCTTGTATATCTCCTGTTTTACATCAACAAACCCGACTTCTTCCATGTAACCTTTGAGCAGGTGGGCGTTGTTGCCGGGTTTCTTAATGATGTCGCAACCCTCGTTGAGTTTTTCAACCCACTTCATCATCTCGGGCACGAGCTTCGTGGTGTCGTCATCCGAGTTCACGGTACAAGGGTATTCCTGAATCTCGAGGACACCTCCTGGTTTGAGATTATTGAAAGCCTCGGTGAAGAGCTGTTTCCAGTGTGTGATGCTGCCGATCAAGGCCCTACCGTGAATGTAATCGAAATGCTCCGCTTCGGGATATGCCCAGGCACTTTCTAAATCATCGACATAGAATCTGACATTTGGCGGTACCCAGGTGGGCTGGATAGCACTCAAATCGTTTCCTAGTATCGTAGCTTCTGGAAAATCCTGAGAGAGGTCGATCGGCCATATGCCAGTTCCAGTACCCATGTCAAGAATTCGTTGCGGTTTTAGTTCTACCAATGGAGCTTTGTAGAGTCCACCATCCAGGATCAAGCAAAATATATGATGAAGCATATCCAGCCGATCCTGTTCTTGTTCATCGTTTGGAAGCACATACTTACCCTCGTGGTAAGCATGATAGCGTCGGCCGTTCTCGTACTTGTAGTCCAGAACCGACGGAGCCAAAGACGCGGACAGTAGAGAGCCAGCCACGGAGTCACCGAGCGCAGAGTCACCATCAAAGTCGCCAGTCTGTTGCGAATGTCAATACGCAGGCTGTGTGTGTGTAAAACAGAGAGGGAGAACATACGTTCTCCGCATCCACTACCAGGGCCGCATCGCTCTGACTTTGCTCCATGCGACTTCCAGGAGTAGGCTCAGACATGATCAGAGAAGCTGGGGAAACAAGCAACTGTCACTCGTGCATAAGCTCGAGTGTAGAAAGTTTGCGATGGACGATCTCCCGACTTTTATTTCGAATTGAGCACGGCGGGTGACAACGAAGCAGCCAGGTTACTTACAAGTGCCCAGGTGCCATGTGCATTAGCTGCCTCGCGGATGCAGCACAAGAACCTCTTGTGCAGCGAGAGTGAAGAAAACTGCAACCGTCTGGGGCCAAGCGAGCATGCGACCAAGCCTCTATGAGCCATGTCTGCCTCCAACAGGTGATCTCCATCTCTGAACAAGAGACAAGCGAAGGGAAAGATGGTGGCAAGATGCAAGTTCTGTATGCAAGTGTTAACTGCTTTTAAAGGTCTGCCAACACGGGTGGCCTCTGGAGCCAGAAATAATCGTGAGTCAGACAGAAATGGGATTTCCACCTTAATTTTATCTTTTATCCGAGAGGCTGTTCTTGTCATTTGTGTCATTCATCGAGTTACTCTCCCGCCCTTAGCTTTAGGCAGCCTGTAGGTCATTAACTACCCAGCCGCTCGGCATGCAGGCATCCACCCACCCAAACAACCAACTTCAATACCCTGCATATGACGCCACCATGCTCGACGCGTTCTGAACTTTTGATCTTCAACATCTTTGACTCCTAATGACTGTAAATCAGCACAAAATATCTCAAAGACATGAGGTGATGGCTTTCGCTTTCGGTGGTGACGTCTTTCAAACAATTCTGATGGCTTTGCACGATTTGCAAAAACGCAACCATGAAAACGTATTGCCCTGAAGAAAAGACAGGCAATCGAGTAATCCATACATCTTAAAACATTTACTCTCAGTGCGACCATGTCATCTTCGCAGACGTTTCTTCCGTCGTCTCCACTAGTAGGTGGCATACGGAAGAAATCGAAGTTTACTTACAGACAACTGCATCTACTGAGCCAAGCGTCGGTGAGCTGTCCGCTGCGCTGTATCGCGTTGATCGACTACGATGCTTTCTACGCACAATGTGAAATGGTGCGTCTAGGGGTGGCCGAAACGCAGCCACTGGCCGTGCAGCAATGGCAGGGCTTGATCGCGATCAATTACCCGGCGCGTGAGTTCGGGCTCAATCGACATGTTACTGTCACGGAGGCGAAGACCAAATGTCCCGAGATCGTCGTGCAGCATGTCGCGACGTGGAGGGAAGGGGACGATAACTGGGCATATCGGGACGACGCGGCAAAGCACATCCAGACAGACAAGGTGTCTCTGGATCCGTACAGACTCGAGTCGCGAAAGAGTCTTGCGCTGGTCAAGGAGATCTTGCCGCCCGCTCCGATCCAACGCGTCGAGAAGGCCAGTATCGACGAAGTGTTTCTGGACCTCTCGGCGCAGATCCATCAAATCCTCCTCGAGCGGTATCCGGAATTGCGCCACGCACCGTACGACGATCCCACAGAGAGACTGCCCCTCCCACCCTCGACCGCGCTGGACTGGCAGGCCGATGCACTCATCGACCTCGACACGGCGGAGACTGAACATGACGACCCAGACTGGGACGACGTGGTCATGAACATAGGATCAGAGATCGTCCGAGGAGTCCGAACGGAGATCCGAGAGAAATTGTACTACACATGCTCGGCCGGCATTGCGCGCAACAAAATGATGGCAAAGCTTGGTGCTGGCTACAGGAAGCCGAATCAACAGACCATAGTACGCAACCGAGCCGTGCAGCATTTTCTTTCGGGATTCAAGTTTACCAAGATCAGAAATTTGGGAGGCAAGCTGGGCGATCAAATTGTGGAGGCATTCAATACGGAGGAAGTCACTGAGCTGCTCAAAATCCCTATCGAGCAGATGAAATCGAAATTCGGTGATGAGACTGGCACATGGCTACACAGCATTATTCGCGGCGAGGATAACAGCGAGGTCAATTCAAGAACACAGATCAAGTCGATGCTTTCGGCCAAGTCGTTTCGACCCAGTATCAACAACACAGATCAAGCGAATAAATGGTTAACGATCTTTGTTGCGGATATCTATGCTAGACTTGTGGAAGAAGGGGTGGTTGAGAACAAGAGGCGTCCAAAAACCATCACTCTCCATCATCGACAAGGCGGGCAGACCAAGTCGAAGCAACTACCTATTCCCATGGGCAAGAAGATTGACCAGATGATCCTTTTGGACCTCGCAAAGACATTGTTGGGACAAGTCATCGTCGATGGACGAGCATGGCCTTGTGCGAATCTGTCTTTGAGTGTTGGAGGGTTTGAAGATGGTGTTTCCGGTAACAAAGGCATCGACACCTTCCTTTTGAAGGGGGACGAAGCGAAGGCTGCAATGGATGCACCACTTCGAACTAACGCCACCACACCAGTTCAAGAAGAACAGTATCCGACAAAGCGTCGACGCCTCAACGACCCACCCAGCATCACTCGGTTCTTCCAGAAAGGTGAGAGCACGGGTGAAGGTGACGATCAGTCTTCGGACGCCATGGTTGATGACACAGCCCAAAAAAATGATCCTCGTGCCGATGAAGAGGCTGATATTTCGATTCCTCCAGCACTGCAGCAGTCGGATATTGCTTCATATTTTTGCAAAGCATGTCAAAGATCCGTACATGAGACCGACAGGCCTGAACATGAGGACTGGCATTTTGCCAAAAGCCTCATTGAACAAGACAAGAAAGTCGTCACAGGTCCAACCAATAGCCGTCCTCCCGGCCCGCAGAGTACGAAGCCCAAGCGTGGTGAGGCCAGCAGTCGAGGGAAGGGCTCGAAGCCGGAGAAGGGTCAAAGCCGGCTGACATTCAAGTAGCGAATTCTCAGCTTGGGAAAGGAACTTCGCACTAGGATATGTTGCTTGCCAGTGAAATGACAGTTTTTTAGATCCCTTGATCCTTGTATTCCTTGTTGAAGGCCCGGCCGATAACCATTCGCCTGATCTCGCTGGTTCCAGCACCGATTTCGTATAATTTTGCATCCCTGAGTAGTCTTCCAGCGGGGAGCTCGTTGACGTAGCCGTTGCCGCCCATCAATTGGATGGCATCCAAACCACACTCGGTAGCTCTCTCGGCGGCATACAAGATAGCGCCAGCACAATCTTGGGTGCGGATTTCACCTTCCTCATCCACCTTCTTAGCCGTGGTATATGTGTATGCCCGTGCAGCCTGCAGCTTGGTGTACATGTCGGCAAGTTTGCCCTGGATGAGCTGGTTGTGGGCAATGGGCTGGTCAAACTGCTTGCGCTGATGGGTATAGGGAAGGACGAGATCGAGGCAAGCCTGCATGATGCCCAATGGACCGGCGCTTAGTACCAGTCGTTCGAGGTCCAAACCTTCCATCAGGACGGTGACGCCCTTATTGAGTCCGCCGAGGATGTTCTCGTTGGGCACGAATACGTCTTCGAATACCAGCTCCCCTGTGTTTGAACCACGCATGCCAAACTTGTCCAACTTTCTGGCGACGGAGAAGCCTTTAAAGCCCTTCTCGACGATGAACGCAGTGATGCCTCTGCTCTTCTTCTCGGGTTCTGTCTTTGCGTACACCACAATGAAGTCCGCCTCGGGTCCATTGGTGATCCACATCTTGGTACCATTAAGGATGTACCCTCCATCCACAGCCTTCGCTGTAGTCTTCATACTCACGACATCACTTCCCGCCGAGTGCTCAGACATGGCCAAGGCACCAATCTTCTCGCCCGAGATGAGGCCGGGCAGGACTCGTGCCTTTTGCTCCTTGTTGCCGTTCAAGCTGAGCTGGTTGACACAGAGCTGCGAATGTGCAGCGTATGACAGACCAATCGATCCAGACGCCCTGCTGATCTCCTCGTTGATTATGCAATGTGCCTGATACCCCATAGCCAGCCCGCCATACTCTTCATCTGCGGTGGGACCGAGAAAGCCTGCCTCGCCCATCTTCCTCCACATGTCACTGGGAAAATCATTGGAAGAGTCGGTCTTTGCAGCAACTTCTTCGGGGATCTCTCGGCGGGTAAATTCCTGGACCCGCTCGCGGAGCTCATATAAATCTTCTTGAGTAGGGGGGACAAAACCGGAGGGGTGTTTTGAGGTCGAGGCTGCTCGTAGTGGCACTCTGGAGACTGTAGGGGCAAATATGTGTGTATTTCGTGCAGCGCGGGTGGTAGGTCTTAGAAGTCTGGGAGCGAGAGAGGAGGCCATGACGGCGGTATATCTCTACTGGAATATTAGACTGGTGTAGCTTGTAATCACTTGAAGACCAAGAATTGTACTTCAAGATCCTTTTGAGCAATTGGAACGGATGGTGTAGTGATTAACTATGGCAGGTAAAGATCAAGTGGTTGACGCTCCTTGCACGGCCCGTCTCCGGGTGGAAAAGAATGCTCGCTGCCGATGGTAGCCGCGCATTGTCAGCCGAGGATGAGATGAGGGGGTTGAGACACGCCTTGGCGGTCGCGTCTTCTTGCAGGAGGCTCGACCACCAGAACTAAGGAGTGAATTGATTAATAACTTTGTCCAGGACGTTCTACGCAACAGCTTTTGTTTCTCGTATTGTGCGCCGGGGTTTCATCGGCTTCTTTGATATCGTAAGTCGATGATATGTTTGAACAGTGGCACACACCGACAATCGACGATAAAGCCGTATTTTAGGGGCTGGCTGTCAACGGTCAGCCCGTCATTTGCAAAGACTGGGAATCCACGTATGGCATCAAGGTGATTTTCATGCTTTTGACTACCTACAGATTGGCGACTACTCGTGTCACTTTATTGACAGCTGTGCCTATTTCAATCGAGCATGATTGTTACACCATCTCCTTCTCCACCTCTCTCATGTTCCTCTGAATGGGATTGATTGACCAAGTATTGCACCTGTGCTTTGAGATTTTTCTGGGACAGTAGGCTTTGCTCCGCATCTGGTGCACACTCCTGGTGGTGGTGGGACTCTCTCAATGATTGCACGTCTGATTTTGTCTTGATCGTATGGACCGAGGAGACCTGCAGGGCCTTTGATGAGAGAGCCGAGGAAGACCCTACGATGAATGAGGAGCATGTTCAGTCATGACCAAGAAATTGAACGACCTACCACTGATCTCCAGATAAAGACATGAGAGATATGATTCGAGAAACTTCATCGACAACAGCAGGCTTGCAGTGCGCTGGCCTGCGCAACTCATAGTTTTTCAGATTGTCATTGAACGGAAGACCTGGTGAGTTGGTGAGTCTCCACACTTGCTTGTTAGGCTCATCATTCGTTGAATAGGCCTCAAGCATGAGCAAGCGTCTCTCGACCATGATGAACAGTATTTGCTGATGAGGGCTGACTTGGTTTTGAGGCCGCTCTGATGAACCAGGTTGTTCAGACAGAAGGACAAAACCTGATGGCCAGGTAGGTGATCTGGCTTGTGTGAAAGATCCTGCTTTGTCCTCAGGCCTTTGATGTGCAGACTGGTAAGAGACAGTCCGACGTGTACGATGGGTAAGATGAGACGAGTTCACGTTGATTTGGTGCTTTTCGAAACCGCAATACGGTAACGCCGAGCCCCAATATACGTGGAGCAATCACAATCTGCCGTAATTCGATACGTCTCCCTCAAGAGCAGAAGGTGAACTTTCCTGCCGTCCAAAACTATGAGGAGAAATGGCAGAGTCTGTGATTCAGGTGCTTAGAAACCAACGACCTCTAAGCATGCCTGTGCTGGTAGAGGAAGCCTCTCATTTCCCTTCGTACTTCTGCCCTAGAGACGAGATGATACGACAGAGTGTGAGCAAAGCTCCTAACCACTTGGATGGCTGCCGGGGGAACCCTGGTCGGGTCGTGCCTTCCTGTTTGACATGTAAGGCTGCCTATTGCCAGCGGCTGCATCATGGTTTTAACGACAGTAAGTGTTCCCATTCTTTGGCTGCCCCTTTGCGTCTCTCACCTAGTCACTTATGGTGAGATGCAAAGGGAAGAAGAGCATCGGGATCTCTGAGAAGTATTCAGCAGTCCACGAATAGTCAGAACCCAAGATTTCTTGTCAAGCATGACTGACAACTCGTCTCAAAAAATAATAATTTTTGAAGCAATTAACATCTTGGTTAATACCACCTTTGAAACTGTACAAAGGCTGAATGCTCGACAGGTACATGATGCTGATCACGATGTCGATCGAAGTCTATCAAGACCACCGATCTCCGGAGAAATACTCCCCCTGTCGCCGATGAGTTTATCCGAGCCGAGGTTCGCCAAAATTTATCCACTAGTCCAGATAAAGCCTAATCTCTATCTAAGCTGGATTCCCACAATCAATTATCCCACGCCACCTGGGGCGGATTTCATTCCCAGCAGATAAGAATCCCACTTTTGTCATCTTCAGACCAGGCGAAAATCAACTTTGTGCGAGCAAGGACAGTCAGACGTGCTTCCTCTGATTTCTCAACCAGCTTGGACCTCACACATGCAAATATAGCGTGTCCAATTGTGATCCACGGGTCATCAATGCTGACCGCCTCTCTTTCTCTCCAGCTTTCTGGCTCCTTCGTTTGGCACGGTCAGGCCAATGGTCTAAGACCATAGCGTCATCATACATATCGGAAATGCCATGTTTCAGGGACGGGAATCGATTTTTTCAAGCTAAGCATGTGCATTGTGCAGCAGCCACCCGTTGCCATTACCAGCCAGACCAATGGAACAAGTACATTGTACCATCTGCCTCCTCGCCACTCATTCTTTCGCGTTATCTCGAATCCATTATCGATCCATCAACTGTGGAACCAGTCACTGTCAATGGACCGGTAAACGAATATATGGCGTCAGTCTACATTTCTGTCCGTGTCCCTAACCAATCATGGTCTGTGCCCAATATCCCGCAGTCGTCCAAGCTGTTGCGGAGGGCATCAAAGTTCTGATGGTCAATAAAACAACGGCCATCGATTTCTCCATGTCTACGTTCCAGTGCCCGCAATAATGCCATGTCCTGGCTACCACCCTAATGCAAGCCTCGCGCCTCCTACGTATAACTTGACCTTTTCCCCACTGCCTCCTTCACCCTTTCTTCCCTATATCAACACATAGATTGTCCTTTCCAGCCTGACCCTACGAACAAAACACCTCCTTACTCACTTCCCAGACACTTCATCACCAATCATTCATCATGGCTCCAATTGCTCTCACTCCTCCCCCAGTCGAGGCCAAGCAGGCTAGGCCTAGCATTCACCGCACCAATACCGCGAACATGGGCACGAAAAGAAAGATTATATGCTTTTCAGGTAGGATCTACCAAAACCCTATAGATATTGTCTGAGAGCTAACTCCATCACTAGATTTCGATGGTACAATTTTCATGCAAGACACCGGCCATACACTGTTCGATAACTTCGGTTGCGGCCCCGAGCGGAGAGCCATCCTAGCTCATCAAATGGAAAGTGGCGAACGCACTTTCCGCGAAGTTTCCGATGAACTGTATGCCTCATTAGACGTGCCCTTCGACGATGGTTTCGAGGTGATGAAGACCGCACTGGAGATCGACCCAGATTTCCAACAATTCCACGAATTCTGTGTCAACAACAGCATTCCTTTCAATGTCATATCTGCTGGCTTGAAGCCCGTCCTCCGGAAAGTACTCGATCACTTTATCGGTGAGAACATGAGCAAGCACATTGAAATCGTTGCCAATGATGCCAAAATCGCCGAGGACGGTAGCAAATGGGAAGCTGTTTGGCGGCACGACACAGACCTAGGCCATGACAAGGCCCAGTCCATCAACGAGTATCGAGAAATGGCAGCTCTCCAATCCGACAACGGCACCATCCCTCTGATTGTGTTTATTGGTGATGGTGTTTCCGACCTTCCTGCCGCAAGGGAGGCAGATGTCCTCTTCGCACGCCGCGGACTGCGATTAGAGGAATACTGCATCGAGCACAAACTCCCTTTCATCGCTTTTGACACATTCGCCGATATCCAGCGTGAGGTTATCAAGATTGCCAAGGTCGATGATGAGAAAACTCATGGCAAAGGCTTACCCACGACATTCAACCCCAGAGCCAATATGTGGCGCCGTGTTAGCAGCAAAGCTGCCGTACCGGTTTTCGCCGCCCTCAGCCCAACCAAGGAAGAGAGGGTTTTCGTCTGGCCTGAAACTTTTACTCAACCTGCAGTTGTGGGGAATGCGGAAAATGTCAAGGCTGCTGTTGCTGCACCCGTGGCATAGGTTCTTGGCTAGACTTACATTCTTACACTACCTCCTTATTCTCCACCTGCTTGTTTTACACAACGTCAAACAGTGCCTACATGGGACAGAAAATGGGGTCGAACAACGCCCTCTCATCCCATGCAACTCATACCTTCTTTGATTTATACTTTCAGCGGCTAGCGCTTGGAGTTTGGGGGCGTCTGACTTTACCATTGATGTTGGGTTTTGGACATCAACATGACCCTATAGCGAAGACAATGGACAATTTAGAAGTAGATGGAGTCTCGAAATCGCTTGTATACAAAGATACCTCCTGCTAGAAGAAGCGAGATGTTGCTTTGGCAATTAGATGTGATTATGAAATGTATTCGTGCCACCTCACAACTGTTAATATGGTTTCTCAGTGTTCGTCCAGTTTTTCAGACAGCGATATCTACCCGTAGCTTACACTGATAGTCCGTACCCAAGTTGATAATGCCCTAACTTATGAAGCAACTAAGAGGCGAAGGAGGTGGGCGAGTGAAGGGAAGGCATTTGTTAATGCTGCAGCCTACGACTGGTATACATGTACCTAAGTAGCCTAATTCACTCCGCGAGAGACCGAGCCATCGAACTTTTGAGCATATGCATATCGTGTTAATGGAGATGCGAGGCAGTCTCTTGAATGGCGTTTTGTCTGCCCTTCACTAGTGGCGAATAGCAACAGGTTTTTCACAGCCTTGCAGTATCTGTAAATACAAGGTCGAACCTGATGCCGAGGAAGACGAGTCGGCCCCTTTAAGAAAAGCATGAAGGGCATGGATCAAGGTTACTCATACGTCAAAGGCATCTATTGGTCGCTGTGCAGCTGAATATCTAACATACACTCTGTCATTGACAAATGTGAAAACATCAGGTTGAACAAGACGCCACTGGCGAAACGTGAGATGGCGTAAATGAGGCAACACGGCCTCCACGGCGGGAATTTCTTTACACATTATGCCACTCTCGGGCTGATGTGCAAAATGATGCTTTGGGCTTTTCTTCCGTGGGAAGCCAGAAAGTAGGTAGCCTGAAGACGTTTATGCCCCAGGCTGAAAACAAGCAGCACCAAGGCCATCTAAGGATTACCGACAAGGATTGCCAAATTGTCATTGCACTTTTTAACGAGATGGGGCTGGGGATCCGCACCCATCAGAAGATTATTGACGGCAACACCGGTCCATGCTTTAGGGCAAGTGTAAGCCACCCGAGGAAGGCGCCAAGCCGTGAAAAGCACTTCCAAGTTTTGGTTGCCTTGCTTGGGCAAGCTTGGAGCGGCAGGCGCGATGAGCATCCTCCCCGGTTCTCGTGATCTGAGTAACATCGTCATTCGCACGCCATCAACTCCTCATCCCATTGAATGATCTGCCTTCAAAAGTTTTCCCTCTTAGCAATTGAATACTACCTGCTGCAAATCCCACGCGTCCTTTGCAGTGGAAATGACTCCATTGCCGCTGACCTTGGGACCATCTGGTCAGCATACGTCTCGCAAGATGTTAGAATATAAACCAGGTAGGATTTCGTCCAGCACACTTTGTGAAAGAACTCAAAGGCTACATGAGTGCCGTCCTGATGGATCTGCAAAAATGATGAATATCGACTAGATCGTCATCTCCTTTTTTTGAGCTCATTTTCGGGCACTGCTTCCGCTGCGCTTCCAAATCTACCCTACCTCATTCTCAGTGCCATTATAAGTAACACATCTAACATCTTCAACTTCCAACATTACAACAATTCCTCTGGATAGCAACTATGGTATCCTATGATGTGGAAACACAGAAGGGGGAGCCAGCAAGTGTGCTTGGCTCTCCCAAAGAGCACTCCTCGGCCGAGTTCGATCAACCACCACATAACCACGATGACTACACCATTCATATCCAAGCCGACAAGCTTGCTCGCAGGCTCAGCGCTCGCCAGGTCCAAATGATTGCAATAGGTGGTACGATCGGTACGGGCCTTTTTCTCGGGACTGGAAAATCTTTGGCCACTGGTGGACCAGCGTCGATTTTGATCGCCTATTCCATTGTCGGTGCTATCGTCTTTGTCACTATGCTTTCATTGGGAGAGATGGCAGCATATGTTCCCGTAGCTGGTTCCTTTTGTACATATGCTGGCCGCTTTGTCGACGACGGCCTTGGATTCGCCCTCACCTGGAACTATTGGTTCAATGATGCCGTTTCTACTGCCGCAGACATCATCGCCCTACAGCTGCTGCTCAAATTCTGGACGGACAACTTTCCAGGCTGGGCGATCAGCTTGATCTTTTTGATAGTGGTTGTGGCATTGAATTTCATGCCTGTGAGAGTTTATGGCGAGGTGAGTCCTTATCTTAACAGTCACCCTCTTGTTTACGCTTTAATTTAACACACCTACAGGTCGAATATTGGCTAAGCCTGCTCAAAGTCATCACGATCTGCATTTTCATTATTCTCGGCATCGTCGTCAACTGTGGCGGCAACAGAGACCACAAATACATCGGCGGCCACAATTGGCACATTCCAGGGGCTCCGTTCCATGGAGGCATCGGTGGGTTTGCCAGTGTGTTCGTTACGGCGTCGTTCGCATATGGAGGAACCGAGTCGATCGCTGTGACAGCGGGAGAAACGCAAAATCCGGCAAAGAACCTCCCTAAAGTCGTGCGCAATGTATTCTGGCGAATCCTCCTTTTCTACATAATCAGCGTCTTGATTATCGGTCTAAATGTTCCATGGAACTATCCGAATCTATCCCAGAAATCAACTGCGACCAGTCCATTCACAATCGTTTTCACTCAAGCTGGAAGTAATGCGGCAGGTAGTTTCATCAACGCAGTCATCATGACGAGTGTTATATCTGCTGGAAATCATGCTTTGTTCGCAGGTTCTCGGTTGATGTACACTCTTGCCGTTGATGGATATGCCCCTAAGTTCTTAGGTCACTTGAACCGCTTCCAGGTTCCTTGGGTGGCTGTGTTGGCAACTTCGGCGATATCAGGACTCTGCTTTGGCGCAAGCTACATCGGAGCAGGCCAGCTGTGGTCATGGCTCCAGAATCTTGTTGGAGTATCAAATCAGATATCCTGGATATGTATCGGTTTGTCCTCCCTACGGTTCCGAGCAGGTATGAAAGCTCAAGGTCTGGAGCATCTCCTGCCATTTCGAAACTGGACGTATCCTGTTGGACCCATCCTGGCAGTTGGCCTCAACATCGTCATAGTACTCGTTCAAGGCTGGTCTTGTTTTAGTCCAAAGTTCAGTGCGGTGGACTTCGTGTCTTACTACATTGAGATTCCGATTATGTTTGTCATGTTTGTGTTCTGGAAGCTCTTCAAGCGCACAAAATTTGTGCACGTGGATCAGATGGATCTCGTTACAGATCGCTATGACCTCCACCCAGATCACAAGGCGGAGATTGAAGCTAGGACTGAGAATGGTCAAGTTGTTGTCAACCAGAGCAGGTGGCGCATGTCTTTGAAGGAAGGCCAAGAAAACACCTTCCTTGGAAGACTGAAGAGAGTCGGAATGTGGTTATTCTTTTGAAATTAATATATTCATGGAACCTGATGAAATAGTTTGGTGCATATAACTGCGTTCGAAGCACTATAATAAAATTGTCAAAATACATCGAGAGATAACCATCGTGCTCAACAAAGTCATCTCATACGAGTAGCGGGTTCATAGCGGTGCCAGAGCCTTGTGGCCCCAAGGCTGTGAAAGCCGTGCTCCGATTCGCCGTGCTGTGATATGACTTTTCTACTCACCACCGATGATTTCGCTGCTTTGCCACAATCTAATATTCGTAAATCAACCACTTGCCATGTTCCATTTCACCCACAGCAGGAGCAGGACCATGGCACGACCTGGGCGACATCTGCCTGTCACTTCAAGCCCACCATCCTCCTTGAGGATTCCAGAGGCTTTCACAGCGCGCAAACGAAAGATTTTATCCGAGCTGCAACAGCCCGACGACGAATACACCGACAAATCACCCAAAGGCAATGTCGACGTTCAGATCCGGGATCTGATTGACGAGATTAATGGGATTGAGGGCTATGTCACGACGAGCAGCTGTGCTGGTCGCGTTGCCGTGTTTGTCGAAGGTGGCGATAGTGGGAACTCTGCCGCAGAGCGTACTGCCGACCTAATTGCCAATGTCGATGTCGAAGCGAGTGATGACGCTAGAGACGTGGAAACTTCAGTTCCTTTGACTCGAACCTCTCCCGGTGGCAAGGGAGGCGGGCATTGGCTTTATGTGTCCCATGATCCGATTCCAGACGTCACACGTGATGGTTCGAATGTGGACCGACAAGTGACTAGAAATGAAAAGCGAGAGGAAGAACGTTTTACGCAACTATTTGGACTCTCTTCATCATCGCCTACGGCGTCTCAAGAGGACTTTGATCTTTCCAAGACGGAAACCAAAGTCGAACCTCCGAGTAGACTCCCACGCCTCGTGCATCTCTCCTTCTCCCCACTCATACTACACATCCACTGCGCAACACTGCAGCATGCACGCCCGCTCCTCGCCGCCGCTATCAACGCCGGTTTCCGCGAGAGCGGAGTGCAAAGTCTTCGCGCGCTCGATGATTCAACTTCAGGCGTCATGCTCGCGATCCGGACGGCGGGCTTGGCTTTTGAGACCGTGGTCGGCACTATGGAAGGGGACAACGAGTTGAAGAAGATCGTGAACGAACAGTATCTCGCTATGTGTGCGAGAGTGGTCAATGAGAGGTTCAGGTGGAATGACGAAAGGAGGGAGAGGCTCAGGGTGGAGATTCGACGGGTCCGAGATCAGCTGCGGGAGGCGGCGGAGTGGGAAGATGAAGATGTGCGCAGGGCGAGGAAGAGGAGAGAGGGCCTCGAGAGGCAGCAGGAGCGAAAGAATGTCAAGACAGGTGGGAGGAAAGATGAGCCTCGTAATCACGGGCAAGACGGGCTAGAAGACGGACTAGCCGGTCTTGATATTGGCTAGGGAGATCAACGAAGCACGGTCAGACGGCGCTTGATCAATTCTACAAAGCCCAGCAAACTCTCACTTCTTCAAAGAACAGCTGCCTGCTTGCCCTCCGGCTTGCGGCCCTTTGCAAGCAATAACTCTCTGGGATTCAGCCCCCTCAGCATCACCTTTTCACCAAAGACCCGCATTCCGAACTCCGTCAACCCGGCCCCTTCGAAGATCTGCTTCAGACGCTGCTCACTGAAGCCATTGTGTGCGACCGTGGGTGCGGCAGGATTGCCATCGTCTGCCTTCATAGCGTCATGTGAGACGAAGTCAACAATGAGGAAGACACCGCCGGGCCTCAGCCGTTCAAGAAGCCGTGACATGGTCAGATCCAGGTCCCTGAAATGATGGAATCCCAGACCGACGACCACAAGGTCGAAATCCTTGTACTTGGGATCGTCGAATGCGGGCGGCGTGCCGGCTGGGTCCAAGAGATTGCCCACCTCGGCGTGAGCATTCAGCTTCTCCTCTTCTCCTTGATCCTCCAGTGGATTTGCAGCACATTGGTCCGAATCTGGATTGAAGCGGAGGTTGTAGGCCTTGACCATGTTTTCGCTGAGGTCCAGGCCGATGTACTCGGTCGCGCGGCCGGCGAGGGCGTGTGTGATTGTGCCAGGGCCACAGGCATAGTCAAGGATCCTGACTGTCTTGGCTGGGTCGTTGTCCTTCTCGAAGGCGGTGGCAGGGTCGATGAAGTCGACACCGATCCAGGATATGTTCGTCAAAATGAAAGCATTGACATGGTTGACGAGATCTTTTTGCCACTGTTCGGACGTATATGAAGCAGCGAATTTACTAAATCCTTAGCTTTGGGATATTGACTTAGGGAGAAGTGGGTAGATGTTGTGTGAAAACAAGTGATGGAAGTTAGATTACCTACTTCCAATGCGCCCTATTGACTTCCGTAAAAGATGCTGCGTCTATCGGGATTTTCCCATTATGAGCATGATCTCCAGCATGGTCATGCTGGTGGACATGGTGGTGATCGTGTGAGTCGGCCATTTTGAAGAGTGGCAAGAGTAAATAAAGGGATAGGAAGAGTGCGCGAAGAACAAAACTCATGAATCTGTAACTGCTTGTATGATGTAGAGCAGAAGCCGAATCTCGTAAAGGGAGATGCCGGTCTTAATATAGCTTTTCCAGAGGCTGTGGTTCAATTCGAAAGCCTCGGAGACATTCACGGAGACATTGTTTGATGCTCTGAATCGGGGCTTGGGTGCTAGTTACCGATTTCCAACCCTTGGTGTCTAGGCCTTGAGAGGTCTAATTACTAGTACCTATCTGAGATGAGTCATTCAAATTGTACGTCGCCGAATTGAAACGGGTGAGAAATTGATGATTTAGAGACTTGAGCTGTTTTGCACCTGGAGGGGGTGACAATAATCTTGATCAAGCTGCGATCGCTTGTTTTTAAGACTCCCTGCGAGAAGGAATTAGTGCTTAGAGAACCTTTCACAATACCTTCTAGCTAAGTGCTTATAGTTGGATAATGGTCTCCCCGTTCACGCGAGAATTCTGGAACGTGATGTCCTAGGACGGGTCACCCAAAGAACGTTGGCAGCTCAGATAGACCGTGATTTATCCGAGATTCCGAGATCACGGGACCAGTCTTACTGCTGCCTGACCAACCCCTTGACCTGAACTCCTTAGTCTAAAATACTGATTTCATCAGCAACAAGATATGCGGTAGCTATATGCATATTCCTTTCAGCTCATACATAGGCGCTTCCTCGCCGAGCAAGATGACCCAGTGCGTAGGAGCACAATCATGCCGCCCGTCTCGGATAGGGATGACTTAGCGTTGTCCCATATTACCTCAACACCACAGTGATCCAGCTTTGATGATAACCAAGCTTGTGCGAGCCAGCCTCGGTGAGGCATCAAAAGGATGGTCCATTGTTGGGTATGAAGAAGGAGAAATCATCCATCATCGTGTCCCACACGAACTCGTCAAACCCAGGTTCGGCCAAATCAAATTGCAACTCCAGTTGATTTGCAGAAGAAATGTCCGGGTCCCCTGTTTCCAGTACCGCATCATTTGTGTTGACTGCTGGCGGCATCGATCCTTCTATGTCCGCACTCCTGACTTCCGGATGCGACAGCTGTGAAAAGGATGCCTCTTTTTGATGCGTTTCAAATTGCCCCAGTGTGGGTGGTTTCTCAGCCCTAATTCGGCTCTCATAGCCAGATTGTATGCTCTTGAGCAAGACCCCATAGTAATATACCATGTCCCTGCTGCCGTCATCATCAACAAGCTGCGTGGTAATTGTGGTCAATTTCATCATATACTCATCCAGCAGATGAGGTATCATGAATTCCTGTTCAGCAGCTCTTCTGAATTCAGCTTCTAGTGATTCTGTTATCTGTACCTTTCCTGTGACAAGATTCCCACAGTTGAGGAAAGCAGTCTTGACCTGAACGATAACCACGTAAGAAAGTTCTGTCCACCAAGAGAATGGAAAATGGAGTAGCTCGTTATTCTCAACAGACAGACACCAATTATGAAATGAAACCGTTGCTGCGACGAGCTGCCACAGCATCTTTGTCCGATGTACTGAGAGCTGTATTGAGAGACTATTCTCGGGTTGACTAAGTCGGGCAGACACGAAGGAGTTTTGCCAAACCTCGTTGTGGAGCGCGACTTCAAGAATCCAGACTTCCAGAAAGTGAAGATGTTGGGCCAGAATAGCATTTCTGTCTGTTGAGCCAACAATCTTTTTAAGTCCATCAAGTTCTCGGGAGAAAGAATCAATGGTGATCTGGAGTGCGCGCTCTCCTCTTATGTCGCAGGTAGATATATCGTGGTAGCAAAAGGCGTCACTAATCTTCCTCTGTAGTATCTGAATTTCCACAAATGGCGCGATCAGTTGATCGCTAGGAACATCCCTCAGTCGTGCGAGTGACATGCAACAATCCTCCATATATGATGTGTAGTGCATAATCGTCCGTTTTCTCAACACCATCGACAACCTCATTAGAGTTCAGTCAGCTCACGTTCAGAACAATGACCAACAGGCAGGTAGAGCATACTGGGATGATAGACAATATGTTCCAAGGAGAGCTCTCATCTCTGCGGGATTTTGCACTTTCCCCTGAGTTTGAGCCTCTTCTAGACCTCTCTTCCCCTTCTCATTCAAGTCTAGTCTCAACTCATGGCATAGGTTAATACACAGCTGTAACATGAGGAAGTATTGATGCTTCCCAGGTAAGCAGAAGTATTGATACCAATTGACGAATACCAAAAGACCTTGTAAAAGGTCCAAACTGACTTCAAGACCCATCACTAAGCGATCGCAGATTTGCTTCTTGACCTCGTGCCCGAGCCTGCGCTGTAGGATGGGATCCTCAAAGGAAGTGACGGCCATAATACATAAGAAAAGGAACGGATTGTCGCATCGTAGAGCTTCCAGGCTTGCTGTGAGAGGCACAACTACAAATGGGAAGTAGTGGACGAATTCTTGCCGGAAAGCTTGCAGTCGACGGCCCAGAGCTGCCAGGCCCCCTAGATCATTTAGTGCAACCTTGGTCAAGCTATCATTATCACCATCTCCGGACCTGGATAAGTATTCGGAAGACCCCAAGTGACCTCCACTTATTCGGTCGTGTGAGGACGGAAACCTGGACCCAAGGATCTTAGTGGTAGGGCGAGTACTTAGTTGTCCTTGAATCGAGTTGGAATGGATATGCTGTGTCAAAGCAGCTACTTGTGTGGACAACAACTCCACCTTCTCTTCGAGTCTCTTGGCAGAACTAAGCACGAATTAGCCAAGTTGAATTGAGCCATATCATTATGCATGCAAGTGGCATCTGATGTGCGAAGTATTCCAAGGCACTCTCATAGACCTCTTAGTCCGACAGTATATGGGACTTTGACACTCACGAAGATTCTCTCCGACGACTTCTTGCCTCAGACGAAGGCTCTGCATAGACGCATCCTTTGCCCAATCTTTCACATCTTTCGCATACTTCTGCGCCCAGCGAAGCAGAAGTGCACTTGACCTTGGCGCTAGTGCAGCTGAGGCACGCTCGCCTCCTTACTCGTGGATTTGTCACCGATGATAGTTCCAGTACGTTCATCGTAGCGACCTAGAATATTATACAAAGGTGTGGACGAGCTGATGGTTCGAGGTTCGTTGGAAAATACGCGACACCAGCGGCCATTCCGACCCGAAATGAGCCCGCTTAGTACGTCACTAACAGCGGTTGTCAGTATTGGGGGCACGACTATCTTAGGCCTAGTGCCAAGGGGTCGGGTATATCGTGTTTTCCGTGCCTCCGAAAACTCTCTCCTTTATATCATGAATCAGCAAGGTGCTCACTTAATGGAACCCTTGAAGCATCACCATGCGGCCATTTCCTACGGTAGCAGGAGTATCCGCTGCCGCTTATGGCTATATATACGGACCTCGATCGCTGCCATAGAGCAGCTCAATCCTAGAATCCATCGACCTTGAACAAAGACGTGAATTATATCCTAGCATACTATTTTCTCGATTAGACTCTTCGGAGAAGGTCGTACTCTTTACTTCTTGGAAATGCCCGGTCTTACATTTCTTCTCAAGGGCAAGTTTATCCCACCCAAGCAAATCACGACAACTTTCGAAAACAAGACCGTCATTGTGACAGGGTCGAATACTGGCGTTGGTTATGCAACTGCCCTCAAATATGTCCAACTCTCCGCATCAACGGTCATTTTGGGTGTCAGGAGCTTGCAGAAAGGCGAAATCGCAAAATCGCAAATTGAAAAAGCGACAGGGCGGGCAGGCGTCGTCCAAGTATGGCAATTGGACATGGCTAGCTCCGAAAGCATCGATGCATTCGCCAAGCGAGTTGAGAGTTTGAAAAAGGTCGATGTCGCTATTCTTAACGCAGGCATCTTCAGTCGGACTTTCAAGCAGTCGGAGGAGGGATGGGAGAACAGTCTTCAAGTCAATACTCTCGGGACTGCGCTCTTAGCGATCCTCCTTGCTCCAAAGCTGCAAGCATCCCGCACTGCAGATTCACTAGCACATCTAGTTGTCGTCACATCGACAGGGCACATCGACGTGCAATTGAAACCTCAAGACAAAGATCAGCTTCTCCACAAATACAACAGTGACCTTGGCGTGGGACCTTACCAGCAACATGTAGCCTCCAAGCTATTCATGATGTGGATTACAAGAGAGCTGGCATATCGATGTCTTGATGGCAAAGGCGAGCCAACAGTGGTTATTAATGACGCATGTCCTGGTGCGTGCCGGAGTGATGTTGCAAGAGACTTCGACACCCCTCTATATACAATTGCCAAGGGCATCGGCTCCTTTCTGGCCCTGAGGCCTTCGGAAAATGGCGCTCGCGTGCTTGTTGGGGCTTCCACTTTAGGAAAGGATTCCAACGGACGTTGGTGGTCTGCAGATGGAAATTACGCTCCGTGAGTTAGCCTCCAAGAAGAGAGAATGGAATGACGCTGACAGATACAATAGTTGTGGTGAGCTCATTACAAGTCATGAAGGCAAGATATTGCAAGAGGCAATGTGGACTGAGGTTGTCGATGTTCTTGAAGAGATAGTTCCTCGAGTCAAGGACGTGATTGCGACTTTATCTGAGGCGAGGGCTTCGTAATTAAAAATATGTCTGTAAGGAATCGCTCTCAAGATATTGGAAACCCCGGAGCACTTCCTCTGGACCACTGAGGTCATCAGATGGCAAGCCATTGCGGCGGAAACAAAGATATGGGCCGGTGCGCGCGAAATTTGGCTCACCTTCATCCGGCATGCCCCGGTGATGTACGAAGTAAGGCTGTAATACGGATAGATTATATGGCGTATGATGATATAAGCAGGAGATTTGGTTGGTGTTGGACCCAGGTAACAGGTAGACGCGTCCGAACTAGTCGAAGGCCAAAAACTGGAATTCTAAGAGCCAGACGATAGGTTCCCATATATCTAGACGACTATTCTCCTGATTCTCAAGGCAGGCTAAGTTATGCTTAAGATTATACAGCTACAATTTAGAGTGGCTTGGTTATGGCTCAGGCCAAATGGTGAGATGCTCAGGCCAGGAAACGGAAGGATGTCAAGATTCGCCGCTAATTGTGTCGGCATATGGCTTTGCAGCGTCACCAGAATAACTCTTTCCATTTGTATAGTAGTTGGAGCTCTAATTATGAGCATAGTAGATATAGCTAGGCATGCCAGGTGACTTTATGAAGATGTCTTCAATGATGATTGACGGTAGTTTTTGACCTCCTCTTGGTATGATTTCTCCTCACTCTTTCCGTGCAAGCCACCAGCAACATAATTCTCCGTACTAACATCGTTATTAGTAGTGAAGCATGCGAGGATGATTGCGGTTCCAGAGAATGCCAAAACCACCAAGAAGACGGTACTTGCTGCGTTCTTGAACGCCAGGCGGAATGGTGCTTGAACCGCTTCCTTGATTTCAGGGGTCAAGCCTTGCACGGAATTCCACGAGGCTGCCCCCTTCAAAGCAGCGGCCAAGCTTTCCAAAGAACCTTCAGGGAGTCCGGCTTGGCGTGCAACAGGATAAACCTCGTCAGGGATAGTCTTGAGTAGGCGGTTGCTCAGAGTCGCTGTGTAGACAGCCACAGCGATTGCTGAGGTAAAATTTCGGATACTACCACTGAGACCACCACCAGCACCAATTTCTTCCTGAGATCGCAGGGGGAAAGTCGATGTTGTGATTGAAACAGATTCGACGATACCCATTGCATATGCACCTGGGATGAGAAGGCCGATTGTCAGATTCTTATTGTCGAGATCATAGGCGGCAGCACTCAACAGTGGTGCAGCGATAACAGCCGCTCCGATCATGGCCCACTTTGGTCCTGTAAACCAAACGATGAAACCATGGCACATCTGTGCGAAAACGAATGCCATGTTGAGGAGACCAGCATATGTTCCGATATCGTATGCGCTGATCTTGCCCTCGGCGTAATATAAGTTGTTGACCACTTGTGGGAAGACAATTGCGGCACCATAGTACACGCAAGCCCCAATACCGGTATTCCACGCCGCAGACATGAAACGAATGTTCTTGAACAAGTGCAATGGTAGATATGGTTCCTTGCCTCTCTTCGAGACCCAGATTTCATAAGCAGGCAGGATACCAAACAAGGTGATACCTCCAACTGCCATGGTTGCAATGACTTGAGGTGAGTTCCATGGATACCTAGCATAGTAGATTAGTGATCGTGATATTTGACATCAAAGAAAGATCGAAGCTCACAAAACACCTCCCCAGTTCATTCCGAAGATGAAAATGCATAAGCTGCCGCTGTAAAGGAAGACGCCAATCCAATCGAAATGGAGGAAGAGATCCCTAGCGAGTTTCTTTCGATGCAACATGCTGAAGGTTGGTGGATCTAAGGGACGAAACAGTCAGAAAGGTGTCAACCACTTACTATTGCGGGATATACTCACGGTAGAAAAAATACCAGGCAAGAACACTAGTTGCATTAATCGCGATTAAAAAGTAGAAGCTTTGCACTTGTCAGAATGTATGAAACAATACTTAGTTGTTATGACAAATCATACCTGTTGCGCCATTGACCTGGGTAGGTTTGAAAGCTGTATGCAACTCTTGCTGCCAGAGGGGAAGTAGGAGTTGTCATGAGATAGCAGTACGAGTTTGCGATGTATCGCCATCGCATAGGTACAATTTCTGCAACAACCCAGAAGAAAGACTGTTGGAATGCCACAGCAATACCAATGAACTACCATTCCCGCATATAAGCATGAGAAATGGGAAAAGAGGAGTAGTCAGCATGGATGCACTTACTAGTTGAGCAACGATGAGAGTGTTCACGTCCTTCGCAAATGCACCAATGATGGAACCAAGCAAGGCAATAGCGGACCCAAAGATGAAGAACCTGTTAAGCGACATGTTAGTGATCCATCATGTATAAGACAGTACGTTATATGCACGACAACATACCATCGTCTGCCAAAGATATCCGATAGTTGACCAACCATCAGGAAAAAGACGGCACCGCCACATAAGTTGACTAGAGGAATCCAGTAGATGTTGGGTGATGGGCCAATATCAGCGTTGATATCACCAAGAACTGGTGCAATGAGACCATAACCTAGAGTTTTCCATAAGCTCAGGTAGATAAGACTGGGTGTATTTTCCTGTCGGGTGGTGTACCTCCGATACCACCCATGAAAGCCATGCCGATGGCGAACATGGTACCAATAAAATTAACGGACAACCAGTACTTTTTCTCGAACTTGTCGGAATTCTTGCCCTTAGCTACATCTGCTCGATCATCGTCGGCACGATGGTCGTCATAGGAAGGGTCATTGTAGCTACGCTCATGCGTAAGAGCTTCGATGTGATCGTTGTCATGATCTTTCCCTAATGCACCATTGCTGGCGACTACCTTTTCGTGTTCCATAATAAAAATCCTTTTGACAGTAGTCTATCTAGTCAAAGGCGGAAGTGAATAGATGCTATGGGAAGAGTGACGATGAAACAGGGTGTTGGGTTTTCATATAAGACTGGATCAACATCATAGTCCCTTGGATCACGTCTCCCAGCCTTACTACAGCGGAATCTCGAAAATATACTATAAGCTACTGGAGAGAGCTGTATATCCTATCCCTTTTGGGATTGTCTTCAGTTCCGAGACAAAGCAATCCAATAGATTGGGTCGAGTCATCTTCGCTCCGAGTTTTCGTTAGCGTGCTGGGGAATACCGAGCAGACGGGGCGAGCTTAATGGGGGGCTTTCCTAGTTCCCCATGGGGTCGATCGTGGGCGGATGTGGATACTGGTATCTCAATGGGAGTAAATCGAACCAACGCGACTCGCAACAGGTTTCCGTGGTCAATGCATCGGACGAATAAGCTCGTGGGTTTTTGCTGGAGTCCTGTCCCGTGAGTAAGTTATCTCTGTCTAGCAAAACTCCCATGGCAAAGTACATGGGAAAGGCTATTTTGAGTTCACCCGACACAGCGAATTTCATCAGAGATCGTTGAAACAAGCCAACAAGGAGCGGGGTCACCAAGGTGCTGTGACATTCCGATGACTTTTTATTGGTGTACCAATCCTGTTCTGGACGCAAGGATGTACATCACGGCGTTAAGCCTTGCGAGAGGCCAGAATGTCAGCGATCGAAGATCAGTCCGAGATCGCCATTGACGACGTGTGTACTTTCTTTGGGGGATTCAACGATGGCGATACTGATCAATGGCTATAGTAATGACGTTTCAACCCGGCCATATAGTGTCGGTGGCGTCTGAAGCACTACCCATGGCTTCGGGAGAGGGGGTGACGAAGTCTATCTTTGATGTTGAACTATCTCGCCCTCGCTCGATTATCATAGGTGCATCTCGGAACCTTGGAGCTCATACACAAGCCAGAAGACCGAAAGCGGTCCGAACGATGGTCGGTGAGGGCTACCTTTCTAGATTGAACACCATGGGCCTGCAGGATGGCGCTTGATATCTCCAAAAGAGGAGCCCTTGGCCGAGCGACAGCTAAATGCTATGGCGATATGGTTCATTCCTAGTTCCCCAGGAAATTTCTCTGGAGACGAAACATCTCCCCGATACACAAGCTAATGTTTTCTGCCTGGTCAAAATCCTCGAGTCAAATTTTCGGGGTCAAGAGTTCAACTGATCTAATTTAGTTGCATAGATATGTATGAACATTTCAAGCGCAGTTATCATAGCTTGGCTTTCGTTACTGGCTTGTTTTCCATCAGTTTGTCGATCAGCTGCCTCAATTCAGGCTTGGAAATCTTGCCACTCATGGTCTTCGGCCATTCCTCAATCACATTTTTGTCTCCGAGCCACCAGATATGCGCCGGTGCTTTGAAGTATGCCAACTTCGCCCTGACCCACTTCCTCACCTCGTCATCTGTAGGCCTCTGTGATCCCTCTTTCACCTCGATGAAAGCCCCAACTGTCTCTCCATACTTGTCGTCTGGCACACCAACGATACTTGCCTGTACAATAGCTTCCATCTCGCTTAGCCGCTCTTCGATCTCCAGAGGCGTGATATTCTCCCCTCCCCTGATAATGAGATCCTTGATTCGGCCTGTGAACACCAGATACCCGTCGTCATCCAACATACCCTCGTCGCCAGTGTGCATCCAAAGCCTCAAATTTTTCGAACCTCGTTGGCCAATTCCACCCACACCTCTTTCATCAAGATCGTCTTCGTGATGCCGTAGAGCTTCGTCTGTTTTCTCCTTGTTTCCTAGATATTCACTCATTTGACCATAACCACTTACCACGACCTCACCCTTCTCGCCCCAAGGTACGGCCTTGCCGGAATTCGGTTCGACAATCTTGAGAATGAAATCAGGGAATAAACGGCCAGTGGTGTGGATTCTTTTTTCCCAAGGATCAGTCTCATGCATCATCGTCACAAAAGAGGAGAGCTCGGTCATGCCCCAGCAAGAGTATATACGCGGAATAGAGAACTCTTTCATCACTCTTCGTAGAAATTCTGGAGGCATGGCAGAGCCAGCAACGATCCCGAACCTTTTCGCGCGACATATGTTAGTTCATGACAGCAGCTGTATTGTTTCCTGTGCAAGTGAAGTGGCGCACGTACTTGAGTGATGACTTATCCGTCTTTGCAAAGTTTGCATTGGCCATCTCGGTGATGAACATGGTTGTAACACCATAGAGCGCAGTACATTTATACTTTTCAATGCAATGTAGTGCTGCAGCGGGATCGTAGAGTTCGGAGGGGAAGACAAGAGAAGAACCGGCGACAGCACAAGTGCTTATTGCTGTAATGATTGAGATTTTAGAAAACTTCCTAACCAACAGAGGTTTGCCCTTCTCTTACCAACGATCATTCCAAAGCTGTGAAATAGCGGTACAGGACAACAAATCCTGTCCTCGCTTGTCATTCGAGTCTGTTGCCAGATATACCTGCCACAATTCATGATGTTGTAATGAGACAGAGCCACCGATTTAGGTAGTCCAGTGCTACCAGACGTGAATTGAACGTTTACCATGTCGTGGGGAGATATTGTGGGATCTGGAGACCAGGCAGACCCAGATTTCGACTTGAGAAATACCTCGTAGTCTTGATATTGTTTTGATTTGTCTGCCACGTGGTGCTCGTCGAAGATATCGGCTAAAACGATGATGTTTTCAAGCTCTGGAACCGAAGAACTTGCATTCTTAAGAACATTGTTATAATCATATCGTGCAAATCCTGCAGGTGTGAAAAGCATCTGAGTCTCTATTTCGGGCAAAATCAGAACATAAACTCGCTTGTCGCAGGCAATATGCACCTACTAATCGCCTTCAGTAGCGCCAACATTTCAGACTCTGTGTAGGCGTAGTTGAACAATATCAACGCGGCACCAAGCCTAGCACACGCGAAAAAGATCTGTGATGTTCATCTAATTAGTTTCAGCGTACCAAGGCTACTCGAAAGAAAATGATTCACCTCGAGGTACTCGTATCGAGTTCCTGATATGATCCCAACCATACTGCCTTTCTTGATTCCAGCATGTGACATGGCTTTTGCCAGACTGATGCTTCTGTCCTTCAACTCCTTGAAGGTTACTGTGCATCCTTGCACGTGCGACAGCACGGCAGGACTACTTGGTCTGACCTCCGCATGATGATCGAGCAGCTGTCCAAATGTGAGGGTAAGAGGAACAGGGGCACGAGGTCCATACACAATTGAGAGCTGGTTTTCCATTGTCGATGGAATGTCACCGTCGACCATGCGACTCGAAAAACAGAGGGGGCGCAGAAAGAGTATCTCCTAAGAGAACATGTGAAGTGGAATTGCGGCCAACTCATTGTGCCTGTTCGAACGTCGAATCTCCGAGAAATCCCACAGTGTAGCGATTGGTCGATGGCATTGGATTCAAACTTTCGAAGTGACGTTCAAAATCGGCTCGACCTGGTACTCGTCCTAGCTTCTTTCGAGTCGCCACTGCTGCGGGGAAATTGTCTCGACCTGGAGAAATCCGCGAGAATGGTAATGATGTGCAAAGACCAACTGGCAGGGGTTTTGTGGGGTTGCGCCACGAAAAGAACACTATCGCACCCCAAATTCTGGGACACGATCGGCTTGCTCAGTATATTGAGAATGGAACTGTGACTAGCACATTTGCGATCACGATCGGTGGACAGATATCCTCCCTCTTCAAAGCGTTCGATAGTTTGGTCTGCTCATCCTGCCGCTTGCGACCTGGCTCCTACAACTCCTACAATTGAAACACTTTGTCAATTCAGGCTGAGTGCTACAGCCTCCATGGCTGGAGAGGGCGCTGTGTATCTTGCTGGTGTGGGATATTCGCCATTCTCATCCAATGATTCAAGTGGTGGAAGCCCTATCGCTGCCTTGGTTTCTGCCGTAGTCAAGGCTCTGCTCGATGCTGGGATAACATACGATAATGTGACCACAACAGTGGCAGGTTGCCGTGATAATGGGTCAAGTTATGGGCCTCAGGTAGCAAAAGTATTTGACAATACTTTTATTGAAGTCAAAGAAATCGAGGCCGGATCCGAGTTGGACGAGGCCTTACATCTCGTCAAGACTCGACGCAGTCATTGTGTTCTCGTCTTTGCCACAGAAAACGTATGTCTTTCGATCTCTTGACCCACTACGATCACGAGTGGACACAAATCCAAGACCAATTGCTCACTTCTCTATAGTCTGCTGCAGTCGCTTTGACAGTGGTATCTAGCCAGTTCCTTTGGAGTCGTCCATACCTGAAGGACTCGGCAGCATGCATTCGACCAGCAAGTGCTCCGCAAGCCAATGATAAATCTCGAACGAAAGAAGGCCTTCAAAGCCTCTGTAAAATTGGTTAGTTATCCTCTCTGGCAGCATTTCTCCCACTAACACTGTCACCAGCCTGGGCACTCAGAGGTTGGTCTCACAGCAAGGATTCCGCTGACGAAGAACCCATCTGCGCGCTCGGGTCGAAACACCAAATTTTCAAGTTTAGTCGTGCTGATAAGAAGCCTATTCCACCATGGAAAGATGTTGAGTTCAAACAAGATGGAAAATATCGGCTGGGTTATAATCCTACGGTAGAAACAAGATCGGTTTCACAGGAGGACTTGGAGGCAGTCAGAGCAGCCAAAGACGGGCAGCCGAAAGAGATGTGGTCAAGCTTATTTCCACGGAATGGTGGAGACAGATACATGCTTGCAAGACTATGATATAATCCAGGCACATTCTTAGACAGATAAATCACCCGGTCTTCATTTCACGGTCTTGATACGGCTATTAAATCCTTAGCAATAACTAGACCTTCTATGATTCTTATTCGTGTTTATGTATAGAAATTTCCCAGACCGAATGAGTCGGGTAGTGAGTCACTTGACATGGACAGGAAATTGTGGCCGGGTTTGTCATGGAACAAAGAAATCCGAAGCCACTGATCTGAAGGGACCGGGAGTATGTATTACACAATCAGTAACAGAGCCCAAGTAATTCGAAAATTCGAATGTAAGTAAACATCTCATTCATGACAAATTTAAGGAGTTTACAAGAGTAATGCAATCATCAAGCTTGCTAACTAATGTCCGTTTACCACGTGTCCGTTGACTTTGGTGTACCCATTCACAGAGTGACCATTAGTCTTAGCGTGGCCATTCACGGCGTGGCCATTGACGTCGGCCACCTGTTTTATATACTCTGCCGCCTTCTCTGCAATTCCAAAAGCGGGCATTTGAGTATGGCCGCTGTTGAGAGTCGGCATCATGCTGCAATCTGCCACGCGCAAGCCTTGAACACCGTGAACAAGCAGTTTCTCGTCGACAACAGAGGTTGAGTCATCTTTGCGTCCCATCTTGCAAGTACCACCGGGATGATAAGAAGTGGATGCGTACTTCTGGACATGAGAATGCCAGTCCTCGTTAGTCTTGTTCAGGTGGTGTTTAGCATCGGGTGGCCATGAGCCTTTAATCTTGTCCTTTGTGCCAGAGCCAGTCATGACAATCTCGTTGGCGAACCGTACACCCTCCGCCATCATCATTAGATCTCTCTTGTCATCCAAGTATTTATGGTCGACGATAGGGTTATCGCGAGGGTTGGTACTCGCCAGTTTGACGTCACCTCGTGACTGTGCATTGCACAAGAAGCAGCACATGGCGAAAGCGTACTGTCCCTCCTTAGGGAAGTCTGTATACTGTGGAGGCCCTCCATAACAGACGGTATGGAAGAATTCAAGACTTGGCTGCGTGCTGGTCAGGTCCATCACATCGCGTCCAGCACGTTTAGGATATTGACGCCACTCAGCGCTCTCTGCATCAAGCCGGTCGTCAAGACGGGCGAAGGCGAAAGAGCCGAATGGAAATTGGGCTAACCACCCAGTCTTGTTCTCCTTCCATTGCTTGAGCCCATTCTCGTAGGCATTAGGGTCATGGTTGACTCTTGGATCATCGGTGAGACCTGGCTCATTCAACTCGTAGTATGTGAAGACAAGTAAATGGTCTTGTAGATTCTTCCCCACGCCAGGCAAATCAACTGAGCAGGGAATATTGAGGGTGTCCAAGTCAGCCTTGGGTCCAATACCAGAACGGAGTAGCATAGCTGGAGTTCCGTAGCTACCACCTGCTAGGATGACCTCTTTGCGCGCGAAAGCCTTGATTCGATTTCCGTTCGCATCTTCATACTCAATACCAGTGGCTCGGAGAGATCCTGCATCTCTTTCTAGTATTACCTTGTCGACTGTCGAATGACATTTAATGGTAACGTTGGATCGCTCGTAGTCTTTGGTCAGGTAATCCATGGCTGTCGTCCGATTACCCTTCCAGGTTGTCCTAAGAGCATGGCCACAGCCATTAGCCGTTTCGCCAGAGCTAAACATATCAGGACAAAATTTCAGGCCCTTGGATTGGTATGACTCTAGCATCAACTCTCCAAGTGGTCCACAAGGAGCAGCTTCGATATGCATGGGACCATCATATCCATGGCTGTCCTTATCTTCCTGAAACCACTTCGAAGAATGAAATGTTTCCGCCTATAGTTAAATAAGTTAGAACGATTGTGTTAACAGCGTAATATTGACAAACCTTCTTCATGGCTCTGAAAACTTCATCACCACTCCATTCTGGCGAGCCCCAATCATCATAGTCTTGCTTGACTCCACGCACACAGATTGTGCCGTTGCAACCAGAGCTGCCACCTAGGAATCTGCCTCGTGGCAAGTGAATCTTACGATCGACTAGCCCCGGCTGTTCGGGAGTGAAGATGTTCCAATCCGTTTCTCCTTTATGGTTCTGTGTCCAGCTACCAAAACGTTAGAGGCTGACTGGAATGACATCCGCAATGAGACGGGGAAAGGAGGATACATACGCTCCAGCCATGTGCATATTGTCCATCTTGGCACTATCTTGCCCTGCCTCAAGCATCAGAATCGTCACATTTGGATTTTCTGACAAGCGGCCAGCGACCACTGGGCCGCAAGTGCCGCCACTATACACCGATGTCAGGCAAGACTCAAGTTTCTTGTGATGATACAACTCACCCAGCAACAATGTAGTCATATGTATCGCCCATAGTTGGTTCTTGCTTTAGTTCTCAGAGGTAAACGTCTGTGTCTCTTGGATTGGGGAAAAGAACTTGATGGCAGAAGACGACGTTGTTCCAAAGCCACTATCATCACCGGATTTAAAGATGGAAATTTGTAACCAATACTCATGGTTGTTGCAATCTGAGGTACAGGATTGGGATTGATTCGTCGATAGTCTCACCACGTCGGCGGAAAGGCAAAGTTCGACAGTCGACATCATTATCCGGAGCCCAGAGTTGAGGGGTTGCATGCCCTGCGTGCCCTGCGTAGTCTCGATACCGGTGTACTTTCGATGCCAGCTTGATCGGCTTGTGATAGTATTGGACGAGGAGTCGTCGGTGACTATCTCGGAGACCAGTTCAAAGACCTAAAATGGCATATTTGAGCGACAAGACAAGTGAGATGCTCCGACTCTTGGACTTTCGAGACTTAGTCAGGGCCTTAGACTTCGAGAGATCACCGGAATTGGATTTGAGTTCCAAAATTCGAGACTCTCCAGAGTTCGAGACCAAGGCCAGATACGGCCTATTTTTTGTGGATCATGCGGAGAAAGCATGGAGCGGAGAGGAGTCGGTGGCCTGCATTACTAGCTCACGCTCAACCGTACGGAAGACTTCCAACGTCATGCTCTTGCTTTCAAGTTGACTTCAGATTGCAAACATGTGCTGTGACCCGAGGTCCGCACTTCTGCCCGTTGTCAACACCTTCCATTTCAGCATCAGTTTTGTTTCAACTGTTTGAGGTCAGCTGAAGCACACTTTCACCTATACAAAACTTGCACGAGAGTGGACGAAATCACCTTCTCTGTCCTCACAAGTGTGGCCCAACTCATACTCCTACTTCTTTCGTTGAGCTTGCAAACATGATTTACGGAGCAAAGTTGATTGCTCAGGCTCTCCATGACCTGGGTGTCAAGGTCATATTCGGTCTCCCAGGGCTACCTGTCACAGACATCGCGCAAGAAGGTCTTTACTTTGGTATTCGATTCATCAGTTTCCGCAATGAACAAGCTGCTGTCTATGCGGCAACTGCATATGGATACCTGACAGGTAGACCTGGTGTATGTATATCTGTGGGTGGACCAGGCGTTTTCCATGTTATGGCCGGTGTATGTAGCTTAATCCAATGTTCGTACGGAAAATAAGCAATTAATGGTGCAATAGATACCACACGCAGCCGCAAACTCATGGCCCCTGCTGGTTCTATCCGGATCCAGCGAGACACATAACGGAAGAAAGGGTGCATTCCAGGAAGTTGATGCCATTTCTCTTTTGACACCGCATGCGAAATTGTGTCTGCGTCCGCCTCAGCCGGATATGATCCCAAAATTCGTAAAAGATGCATATCGCACTGCCATGTTTGGTCGACCCGGGCCCACATTCGTCGACTTGCCTGCGAACTTGATCCTGGGTACATTTGATGTTGAAAGACAGGCCCTTTCTCCTATAATTGAGGCTCCACAACCTGCGGCACCAGATAAGAAAATCCGGGAGGTTGTGGAAGTGCTGAAGAGCGCTAAGGCGCCACTCGTGGTTCTTGGAAAGGGAGCGGCATATGCTCGTGCTGAACAACAGATCAGAACCATGATCGAGAGGTATGGATTTGAGATTCTTGCAGTCAATGACCAGGGATAGATGATGACTGATGCTTCGTCCAGAACCGGGATACCATTCGTCCCAACGCCCATGGGAAAAGGCATCGTACCTGATTCCAGCCCTTACAATGCATCTGCAGCACGATCGACAGCCCTAAAAGAAGCCGACGTCGTCATAATACTTGGAGCCAAACTGAATTGGATTCTCTCGTTCGGACTTGCTCCAAAATGGAACCCGTCAGTGAAGATAATTCAAGTGGACATTTGCGCCGACGAACTTGGCAGGAACGGCAGTGATAGTCCACTGAGCCTTGTCGGCGACATTGGTCTCGTTGTGGAGCAGCTAATCTCACACCTCGGTGACTGGAAGTGGCAAAACGAGTCTTCCGCTTTCTACCGCAGCCTGGAGGCAGCCAGGTCAAGAAATGAAGCTAAAGCTGCCAAGAAAGCGCAAGTTGACAAGATTCCAATGCCATTTGAGAGAGCATTCGACATCATGAAGACCAAGTTCAATGAACTGTCACCCCCAGAGAATGGAGATATTGTATACGTCTCTGAGGGTGCGAATACGATGGATATCTCGAGGTCCATATTCACGATGGAGCACCCTCGAATCAGGCTTGACGCTGGCACATATGCCACCATGGGTGTGGGACTCGGCTATGCCATAGCCGCATGGGCGGCATACAACCTGCCAGAACCAGAGGGGTTGTCTCCAAGTCGAAATCATAAAAAGATAGTTGCCATCGAGGGGGACAGCGCTTTTGGGTTCTCTGGCATGGAGGTTGAAACCATGGCCCGGTTTCAGATGGACATCTTGATTTTTGTCATGAACAACAGTGGTCTCTATCGAGGAGACACGGACTCGGCAGAGAAGTGGCAGGAACGCCAGAAGCACACCATTGCTGGCACGACGACGGATCGGAAAGGATTGACAGCCTGGTCTCTTGGATATCAGACCGACTATCACAAAATAGCCGATATGGCTGGTGGGATCGGCATCCTGGTGCGGACGCCGGAGGAGCTGAGAGAAGCTACAAGGATTGGATTCGAAGCCAAAGTCCCTGTAGTAGTGAATGTCATGGTTGACCCACAAGCTGATTTACCAATGGTAAGAAGATGCTGGCTGACATCTTGGTGATGATTTGATCTAATATTTCAATAGGACTTTTCCTGGCTCGATATGGTACCACCAGAGCAGAAGCAAAAAGCTCTCAAAGAGAAGCTATAGCCGGGTTGATCACATATGTTCAACAATTTCAGAGCTCGGCGTCAATCGTCTTCCTGCGCTGCTGGTGAGATGACCATCCGCTGCCCACTGCAGCATGGCCAACCAAGTAAGGCACCTAGGTAGCCACGGAGTAGCATCTATTTGCTCAAGGCTGGTCTCCCAGATATCATATGGATAACTCTCCGCCTTTGCCCTGATCTGTTAGTTTGTAGGAGAAAGGGGGAGGATTTGAGGGCTGCGAAGGGGCACATTCAGCTGCAGACACATGGTCCAGCCTGAGCGCACTTCAGTCTGATGGAGCCATCTTTCAAACATTTTTAAAGCGTTATCTGTGATCCTTGAGACCAGAGCTCAAGCCGAAGTTAGGTATGAATGTCAAGGAGTAGTTCTCATGTAGCACTTAGGATATGGCTTCAAAGACGCCGAGGTGAAGCCGGCTGACTTTTCGTGGTGACGTCATCAAGAATGGTGTGTCCGAGCAAGCTGCCTGATTGACGCGATAATTCACGTCTACGGCGCGTACCTTGGACGACCCCCTTAATTTTGGTCTCAGGAGCAACAAATCGACCAACATACGTCAACCGCATAAAAATACACAATTGTCTCAAGAAGAGCACTCTAGCACGCGGATTGATACAAATCTTGGTAATCTTGACTTTACAGAACCTTGAAATCATGGCCAGACGAAAGTCAGCACCGACAAAACCATTACCAAGCGCTGCAAGCACTGGGAAATCACATAAGCGACGAGTTTCTACAGCCACCATCACAGCCACACCTGGGAGCAGAGCATCGAAAAGATTGAAGCAGTCAGAACAGAGTCCTATCGGTGTCAGAGCGACTCCGACAAAGAGCAAGTACTTCGAGGATCCCGACAGCGAGGATTCCGGCGACGAAGACGAGACTCAAGATGATGGGGAAGTTTCCGGCTATGAGGATGCATCGCAAGCAAGCGAATCAGCACCCAGTGAAACCGACGAAGATGATTATGATTCCTCGGAGGGTGACAGCAAACGCAAGCGGACAAAGCCTGCTGCTCGACGAGGCAAGGCTGGTGCCGGGCAAGGGACTGGCCTCATGTCTGCGGTGACGAATACTTTAAACAAGGCCAAAGATCTATGGAGACCAGGTGTCTCGACCGGATTAGGACCTGGAAAACAGGTTTTCATAGAAAAGCCCAAGCCACGAGGCGACGGAGGCGTCAAATATGAACCGGCCAAGATTCATCCAAATACGATGGAGTTCTTGAAGGATTTGAAAAAGAACAACGATCGAGAATGGTTGAAAAGTAAGGGCTCTCGACTGGCACTTGTCTCTTTCTGATATGTTTTGCTCGACGAATGCCTGCTTACCTATTGCTTGCGTTGCAGTGCATGATCCTGACTATAGGACCTCGTGGAAGGACTGGGAGAGTTTTGTCCAAACTTTGACGGAAAGAATCAGCGAGGTCGACGAAACCGTTCCAGAGCTACCGCCCAAGGACCTTGTCAGTACATGTCCAATGAATAGCTTGACTGTGAGCTGATGGTCTTTAGGTTTTCAGAATATATCGAGATGTCAGATTCTCCAGCGACCCGACACCATATAAGGTCAGTCTAATCGAACACGTTTGTATATTGATATGAGCTAATTTACTTCATAGCCTCATTTCTCAGCTGCATGGTATGTCAACATTGGACGCAGCCTCAATAATCTGTGACTGACAGGTCAATAGGTCTCGCACTGGTCGAAAAGGCCCTTACGCGTGCTACTATGTGCAGATCCAACCTGGGGGCAAGAGTCTCGTCGGTATGAAAAAGCGCTACCCCTGAGTGATGTATAGCTAACTCTTCTGTGCCATAAGGCGCCGGTCTTTGGATGCCTGAAGCTCAGCCTCTTGCTCTCCTACGCCGCAACATTGACAGGAAGCCACATCAGTTGAGGCAGGTCTTGATGGAGCCGCAAATGCGAAGCCAAATCTTGGGAGGGATATCGAAGGACGAAAAGAAAGCCGTGAAAGCATTTGCCGGACAGAATGCTGAAAATGCTCTCAAGACAAAACCGAAGGTATGTAGGTCTACTCGATCGTGATGTTTTTCTGCCTGCACAGACTATGTCAGCAACTACGTGCGTGAACTCGTTGAACCCGCCGTGCTTGAATGCTGCATCCCGAATCTCTGCCGATGTTGGACAGAACTCAGAGAGCTGGCCACGAGCCTGTCATTTTGATATGGTTACCCTGCTATAAGTCGGAGTATATCATTACATCAGATCTGCTTGCATTGCAATTAATCGGCAGGCAGTTCCTGGAGAGAAAAACAACGCGTTTGAGCTGATGAGAAGGAGGGGCAGGCCGATATCCCACTCACACAGCCCAGCCCAGCTTGAGCAAAACTGAGACACCCCTCCCTTCCAATTCATGAGGCAAAATTGGCGCCAATCCAATTCTGCTGTTCACATGCTAACTAATGGCACGGACTTCCACAATATCATCGGGGTGCTCGATTCGTGCCGCTTCACCAGGACTCAATACTAATGCTCGTCCCGACAAAGAAAAGGAAGGGGGGGCACGCAACGGAAACATCAAGGAGCAGCGGGTACGACAGACTGCACCTTCGCTGCCCCTCGCCCCTCGAGACGCTTCCTTTCGGGTCGTCCCTTCTCCGCCGCTGAAATTATTTGTGCGCATGTCTCAGCACCGATTGCCAGAACCTCCAGGAAGGCCTGTCTTTCATTCCAAACCATTAGGCACTGACAAATTCATCTGAGCCCAGCTGATACTCGTGTGATTAGGGCTATGAAGCCGATAATCCTAATATTGAATTGCTTCGATTGCGCAATTTTACCCTGGGCAAAAGGCTCGCGGACAGTGAAATCACTGGAGCAAGGGGTCTGGAGAATATCATGCAGTTGATTGGCGTGATGGTCCCTTTTGTGAGTCCACCTTTCCATTTTCAATTCGCCTTCGCGTTCATCTTGCAGCGTGCTATTGCCTCGAGTGTCGAGTGTGGTGTGTGACCGGCTCCGCAACTGCCAGTCACAAGCCTGAGTGTGATTGTCCAGTTCTCTCGAGTCTTGACCGATAAGATGCCCCATTACTTGGAAGTCAATCCATCATTGACTGGAGACGGCATTGATGCGGGCCGCAGGCGAACCAAACTTCGTCCCAGACTGTGATGCTCTTCTCTTTGCGGTGGAGGCCCACCCACCTTGACCCTCACGCGGAAAGCTGGAATATCGCTCAATCACTCCTCCAGAAAGATGAGCAAACTCTCTCTAATCACTGATTGCTCCATAGGTCACATATCTCAATAGCGTCGTTATGCCAGACGATGATGATGACGAGGATGAAGAAGACGATGAAACCAACACCAATGAAGCTGAAGATGATTGAGGCAATAAATTGGAGGCAAATAGAGCCATGCGAGGCTCGCCACCACCACGAAAAGGCTCGAAAACCGACGGATTAAGAAGAGGTAGAGATTCACCTGGGCACGATCTGGCTCGTGCTGAGGTAGTACATAGGCAGTATATTGGGATTGTTTGGGAAGCGTGGTACTTGGCGGCCGCCTGGATAGAACCGAAGTGTCACGTTGTGATAAAGTCAAGCTTTGACCTGGTTAAGAAATACTACCTCTTTGCCATAAAGGCTATAATCTGTCACAATCGGTAGTCTTCAAGAAAGTGTCATTAAGCCTTGACTTCGAGCGATCCGACGACGGATGATATGCAGTGCACTGTCAGTGCGAGCTGTCAATTTGGCGGTGACGGTGGCAGACGCCGCGTGTAGCCAGATCGATGCTGGGATGAATGTGACAGGTTTGACAGAAAAGGCAATGGCACAGTGCCCATCAAGGGTTGTTCCTGAGGTGGCCTGTCCACCAAAGCGTGACAAGGGTTGGGCAGCATCCAGCACCAGGGTCTCCGCTCTGGGGACCGTCTTCAGCTGAAATGGCTTGATTACCACCCATCCGAGCTAGATGGTGGAGGTGAAGTCCGAGGTCCATACTCCATACCTGATGGGCCAGGATTTGCACCCACTCTGCGACTCGATGAGAGGTTCAATAAACAGTTTGCCAAATGTGAAGACATTATTGCTACTGCAGGCGGTGAGCAGTGCAAAACAGGTCAACTCTTTCTGCAGGTGGAGAGAAGAGAGGGGGTGGCGTGCAGAAGGGCAACGCGGCGTGCAAAGGTAAAGTCCAACAAGATTACCTCTTCCCGACGGGTTCACCTACCCCGAAGACAAAACACTGTGCCGCAGTCCTCTCCTCTCCTTTTCTTCTGCAATTGTTGACCCCAAGACTACTAGTCAAATCGGTGGTGCTGCAAAGGTGGAACGAGCCGCTGGATCGCGCAGCTGCCCACGGTCATGTGAACGACCCACATGGAGAATGTCCCAAATGACAATACGCTCTGTCAATACAGAAATTACCATTCACCACTGCCGCGACACATAAAATACCAACCAAAAGACCAGCATCTTGTTGGTGGCTTGCATTTGTTCTTGCTCACTGTCTCTTTGACCATAGGAGCATCGCTGGTGTTTCTACGAAGAATCAGTCTTGGAACCACGCCAATTCAACCCCTGTCAGTCGCGTTCTTGCCCAGTCCGAAACCCCTTTGGTCGCTGCCAGGTCCTCCTCGGACGGTTAGGTCAACAAGGCCAAAGGTCAGGTGGGCGAAAAGTGATGTCGACAAGGTCCGTAGATCCCTGGAGGTCGGGCGGCGGTTGGCCTGCAAGCGACTAAGGCCAGAGCCGGCCCGCGAAGGCTAGAGATCCGATTGCTGCAAGACGCAGGCTCGGGGCTCCTTCGCAGGGGTACATTCCATCAGAAAATCCAGCGACTCGCTTCCGTTCTGTTGGTTGCACATGTGGGAGTGTCCGAGGTGCCCGAGAAGCCGTTCTGCAGGCTAGGGGCGAACTTGAGTGTCAATCATGATTAGGACTGCCACTGACAGACCGCAGCGTGCGAGGACAGACCGCACGCAGTACACGCTACGTTTCCGAGTGACACGTATCAGACTGACTCTTGCCCCAAGATTCGTCCTTGTGTCATCATCCTCGACAAACATCTCATGCACCTTGTCAGATATCTCTCCATCATTCGGCGCCAGAGACAGGTGTGCTCCACCATTCGCCCAACGTCTTACAACTAGGACAGGTGAGGGTGTATCTAGGAACAGAAAGATCTCCCGGGTTTGGTATACAATCCTTGCCTGGGAACACAGAGGTCTCGGGAACCAGCAAAGCCTATGATGGGCATTGAGGTAGGCTTCCGGAGTGAAATGTCCGACAATTATCGTCAACTTCTCAACCATGATTGTGTTTTTTCTGCTCCCTGCCTCGTACTCCAGTTGCCGGAAAGAAGACTTCCTGAACTCGAAAACCTTAGCGTGACGATACAGTCTAGCACTGGCATTGAAAACACGCCTTAGTCTTTGTTCGAACGAGGCATCAAACCAGTGATTTCGATGCGGCACAAGTGGCGGAACGTTTGCAATGCGAGGAGAGGTCACTGAGGCATGTCAACCCCGATCTAGCAGGACTGGGCTACTGGCGGTCAAGCAAAGCACAAGTCGAAAAAGCAGCTTCAAGGACACGAACTTGAGATCCATTACGGTTGTTCTTGGTCAACATTCCCAGGAGTTTTTCCCCTAGCTTGCGCAAGTCAGACGGCTGCGGGCTGATCCGAACCTTCCTTGTGCCCTTACCCCTCCCTTGATTCTTAATGAATGTGGGCACCATCTCCCCAGCTGCACGCCAATCGATATGGCTGGGCCCAATAGAAGTCCCGACTTCGAGACCGCGGGGCTTTACAACTGAAATGCAGCTGCTCGTCCCAAGAGCATTTGATTAGCTTAGCCACGACAAGGTGGTAGCCAACAAAATATTAGCGTTGGACACAAATTGCCTAGGGCGTAAACTGTCGCCCTGATTTCTGCACACGAACAAAGAACAAGGCAGGTGGCGAGATCAGCACGACTCTTCGACCGGTTCCAGCAACCAGGGTTTGGCCTTCAATCATGTCGGGTGGAGTCATGATGACAGTCAGCATCATCCCTCCCCCCCTCACCACCGGTTGCAGGGGAATCAAGACGCCCCGGAGTTAACCATCTCAGCAACAGGGAGGGTCGCGAGGGGAACAGGCTTTGCAGCCTACAGGAGATTCAACAGGCGCTAAGCTCGAGGCCCGGATCTATACGGAGGGGTAGTGTCCAGTGATCCACAATGCTTGGGGCTCTACTTCGTCTGAGAGCAACCTGCAGCCCAATGCACAGGGTACATACATTCATTGAGAGGTCAAGTGACGAGTTGCATGATACTGATTCGCGAGTCCCTGTTCTGGTACAAGTTTAGTCGCAATCAACAATTTCTTGTCCTCACCTTCGGCGTCTTGGATCTTAACAGCAGTCTCGTGGGTTGGCCTTGGTTCACCGCCTCCGAATTGTCTGTCATGTCATTCTTGAAGTCTAAGCCTCCACCATCTCCACATCTCTAGGAAAGTCGTCAAGCTCGAAGTGTCGCAATCAAGGTCAGGAGCTGAGATCTCTCGCGGCAGCATTATGTTGGGCTCGAGCCCCACCACGACACGGTGCAACAAGCACAACATCAACAAACCAAAAAATTGAAACCCCGAAAAATAAAAAAATAAAAATATCATCTTGTATTCGTCCAACACGGAACACCCGACCTTCCTGTAGGACAAACGTCACGCCCACCACAAGGGGCGGCAGTGATTTCCGAAAACGTTGATCTATGATGGTACAGGCAATGGGACAAGTGGTTTGCACTTAAGTCTTTACAGTAGGTACGGCTCGCCGGGTACCTCCAGAGCTACCTTACACAACCGTGGACGGACTTCGTGCTAGAATTGCTTGTGACTAGGTACCTAAGTACCTAGGTAGTATTTTGCCCCTCAATTTGTCATAACACTAGAAGATGAGAACCATTGTGATACGGGGTATCAAAAGGCGGGAAGGAAGTATCCGTAGCTCGACCCAAGTTGGCCATTGCATCGAGGACAATATTGACGATCAGGCTTGTTGGAGAGTACCAACCACTCAGTTGATAATATCGCAACTCCAAACTATTACAGTTCTGGATGGGCACGGCTCGCGATGCAGTCTGCATGCAGTCGTTAGTGGATTACCATGATGAATGTTGGTTTTTGGGCTGCATGATACTGCCTCTGGCACCCTTGTCTTGACTAGAATGCGGATGGCCACACTCTTTGCTGCAATGATGCATGGTGCCACTAACAGAGCAAAGCTAAACAACTTGATTGTATCAACTACTGCATCCTAGGTACGAGGTACGGAGTGAGGTCCAAGCTGCCCATGGACCATGATCAACAAATTATTGTTTGGTGTTTGCCATTCACGGTTGCCCAATTGCCCCATGGAAAAGAGCCTTCAGCCCTTCAAGACCGGTATGCAGAACCGATGTCAACCTCAGGCTCAGGTCCACTCAAGGGAGGGCTAGGGATACAGCAAATAGACTCGTAGGAAGGAGGGAATGAAGTCAAACAGAACAGGGAGCCGCATCAGCTGCCATCCTCTTCGCCTCGTATGTTGGACCACCTAATGGAAAAAGTCCGCTGGCGGTAAGTACCTACGTACCTAGGTACCTACCTAGGTAGCCTGCCTGCTCACTAAAACACTAACTGGAAACTTAGAGGTCGACTAGGTACCTACTCGTAGGAAAGCACCTTTGGTACCGAACAGGCCATCAGTGGCACCAATCGCTCAATAACCACTAGTATCGCCAAGTATTCAAAGCTTACAGCACCCTGCCTGACACGTCATTTATTCTTCTCTGGATCCTTCACTTTTCCTCGTCCCATCCCGCACTGGCAGTCTGCAGTCTGCAACCTGCACCCTGCACCCTGCGACCTGCGACCTGCGACCCAGCGGCGACCAGCGTGCGTGCCGTTCATCATTTCATTTTCGGTTCTCTTCGCATCGCATCACATTGGTGTTGACGCAGTCAGTCAATCATCCATCCGGCCTAACCCACCTCGGTGACTTATCCACACTCGATCCAAGGCCTACGAATATTCGAACGAATCTCGTTATTTGCCCTTCAAGTTGTTCAAGTTGCCCATGCTCACGCCCACGCCCACCCACCCAACTTGAACATCCACACCAACGCTCAAAAATTGACATTTCACCTCACTCTTCTTCAACCGAAGACGTAGTACCATCCTCCCATCCTCCTAGCTCACCAAGCTGCTAGTTCACGCCGTCCTCCGTACGGATATCCTTCAAGTCCACCCATCGCCATCCCCACCCTCGACACTATTTCCATCACTGGCATCTTGTCCGAGAATTCGATCCTTTCCCTTCCACCCCGTTTCGTTTCGTCTCGTCTCGCCTCGCAGTCGCGGCCTGGCTCGCCACTTGGCTACCCGCAGCAAGTCATCCATCATCAACCAAGGTCCATGCGGGCCAATAAAGCACTCTACACCATCATTTATTGCCCATGTTGCAACTACAAATGCCCCTCCTTTTTAAACTTGCAGACTAGCCTGTCAGCTCACTGACCAATAATCGGCTATCGCGGCTGGCTGCGGCAGTATCCCAGCATCCCACCTGAACCACCAGAACTCCATCAGCGAGCCACCTGAGGCTGTAGCTCACCCACTCATCTGTTCAACCTGATCTCAAACCCAGGCGAAAAAAGTTATCCTGCCAACCTGCCATTGCTGCCAGAGTTCTTTCGTCTTCACAAACTTTCCTCGAGGGACGAACCTAGCCGCAAGACGCAGAGACATTCGGCCTGCCTAACACGACGGAAAGTCCCCATCCGAGCCATCTGACTGCTCGATTTGCGTCTTCCCCTCCAAGCTGACTGGCAATTGTCCTCGCTTGGCCGCCCTCTGACATCCCACTTTGGTGCCTTATTTTTCACTTTCCCTAACATTAAGGTCAAGGGTTCCTGAAGTTCTGCACCCACGCCTCCGCCCTTGCGCTCGCCATCTCCCGGAGGTGGATCCTGCATGTTTGCCGGTGACGGCTTTCCCTCTGCAAGCAATCCTGAGCGCTCGATTCCTCATTCGTCCTGATTCAATTTTCGAACAGCCACTCTTCTCCCAGTAAATCCTCTGCCCAAACTCTGTTAAACATCGGATCACGCTGAGACTTTGCGGCCAGACAAGATACTCGACCAGGTTTCAACAAACGTAGTGAAAGCAATAAATTGATCTGCTCTATCAATCTCTCTTTCTAACGAGTGCTCGGACCTTGGACTAACCCTCCACAGACATCAACAGTTGACAGGAGAGAAACAGGCAAGAACAATCATTAGTACGACCGAGTCTTAAGCCAGATCCACGCTGTACGCCCCCCCACGGGTTGACGAGTGACACCACAAAAAATAACTGAAGGAGGGGGAGCTGTTCTCCGTGTTCTGCCCTCCCACTACCAAGTCTCAACTTCCACTGTCCAAAATACTCTTGAACCCTAGAAAAGTGCCCTAGGGAGTACGTACAGAGGTACCACACCAAGGGCCAGGGGTGAACGCGAATGATCTTTTGGCGTCTTTCAGCCCACAATATCTACCGGGGTGGGCAGTCAGAACGCAGTGGAGCTTTCCTTGGGTTTCCTGACGGTGCCTTCCACAAAAGCGCCTATCCTGGCACCTCTATTATTTGACTTCCCCCAAACTTTCTCAGGCAGCCGACGCCAACTGAACCAGTGTACTCCGTACTCCGGACTCGTACAGAGCACTCCGTACCTAAACATCCAGAGGGTGTTCAGTGCGTTCAGTCCAACCTGTTATCCGTAACTAGTTTCTCCAAGCTAGTTGACCAGTCAGTACGAGCACTGACACTGGCATCTTTTACTGGCACCTGGCACCTGGTACCACACCGCCATCCCTGTCATCCAGGCACGCTAGCCTTGACTGTCCCGACTTATCGGGTCCCGGGGGCTCTTTTCCAGAAAAGACTGCACAAGGGCGAGCGCCAGCAGCCTAGCTCCCTCGATTCTCTTTGCTCGTCCCTCGCCTGTCTCTCAGCCTATCCTATAACCTAGGCAGCTTGCCACGCTCAAGTCCCAAGCACCGCAGCACCACAAGCACACCCTCTCCACTAAACAGAACTCTGTCACATCTCCAATCATCCCTCATCAACGGCCTTTTCCTCCCATCATCGTCATCCTTCAGCTGGTCACTTCCTCATCGTCCTGTCCACTCCCACCTTGACTTTTACCCTTCTCACCACCTCTCTCTCACGCCTCTCACGCTCACCATCGCCTTGACCGGGCCCTCTTCTGACCCTCATCCGCCTTCCCGTCGAACACCTGATCCTCTTCTCTGACTAGGTCACATCTCGTAAACCCACCGCCCGATCTCTTTCAGCCTTTTGCCATCCTGAGCAAATAATATACCACGCTCCTGTCACTTCATCACACCCTTGCAGGACTTCCATCCTCTTTTTCTTTCTTCCTCGATTCTTTGCACTGCTTGCGAGTGCGCTCTCGATATCTTTGACCTCGAGCTGGTTCCGAGGTCGTCAAATCCTTGGGTTTCTTTCGCCTTTTTTGTTCTTGGGCTCTGAGAGCACTCCTTCCACCACTGCCTACGATCGATTTCCCACCTTACCGGTCTTTACCTGTTGGCCCAATCGTCCCCAGCCTCGGCAACTCTCTGGGCTGTGTGTTACTCCTGGTCTGGATCTCTATCACACACCAACAAACTTCTAGAGCATGGCGCAAATGGCGGACCCTAGGGAATCTCAACGTCCTCAATATCCTCCCCCGGATGATCCAAACCAAGGTGGCTACTACTCGCAACATTCTCCTCGTGGACCTCCTCGGGATGACCGCAGTTCCTATCCTCCTCCGGATGCTGGACGTCAAGGACAATACCCGGACCCACGAGCGGCTGCTCCATATCCTCCTCAACCATGGCCTCCCGCTCCGCATGGTGCTTATCCTCCTTCCCATCACTATCCTGTAAGTTTTTCTTTATTGAAACCTGGTCTCAAAAGTTGGCCTCTGATGATCGAAAGCAGGACCCTCAGCACGCAGGCTATGCCTATCCGCCAAGATCTGATATGGGTCAGCCTCCTCAGCAGATGCAGCCAGATCCATACCGTTTGCCTCCACCGCATCCATACCCTGGATATTATGCTCCTCCTCAGCACTATCCCCCTCCTCCGGCCGCTGCTCCAAGACAACGCACCGCCATTGCCTGCAAATACTGCCGCAAGAGAAAGGTATGGATCAATCTCTACACATATTGACTTTTCTTCTGACATTCATTCTTAGATTCGATGCTCAGGCTACGATAGTTCCCCTGATGGCCGTTGCCAGAACTGTGTTCGCTTCAATCAACAATGCTTGTTTCACCCAGTCTCCTCGCAAGCTGCCTTTGTTCCGGCTTCTGCTGTCTATGGTCCTGGTGCAAGAGCTCCTGTTGCTGGTCAGTCTGATAACCGCCCCGGTCAAAATGGACAGCAGCCTTACACCCGTGAAGGAGAACAACCCATGCTCTATGGTGCCCATGGACAACCACTTGGCCCTGCTGGTCCACATGGACAACCCCAATACAGTTATCCTCCCCCAGGCCCAGGCCACTATCCTCCTCAGCCATATCCATATCAGGCGTCCCCGTACCCTCCTTCATCTGGGTCACCATATGACGCACAAGGGCAGGCACCCCCTGCCCAGCATGATGAACGTGTCAGTCTCAAGCGTCCCCCTCCTGATGATGACCCCCACAACGAGAATTCTCATACTGCCCAGTCTCCTCATCCAAACGCTCGCCCTCGTCATGGTACCTATGACTCTCGTGCCAATAGTAGTGGCAGCTATGATTACCCAGACCCAACAAGTGGGGCTCCAACCTCGCCTGCGACCTCGACGATGAGTTATCAGTCTTACCCGCAACAACAACAATCTCGCTACCCCAACGGCACTCAGTCGCAAAAGGGCAATGCGTCACCCCCATCTGGGCTCACTCCATCATCCGCACAGAGCTTCAATTCACCCCACCATGGCCCGACCCATGACGATGGCCGAACCCCTCCACCCAATCAGCCCAATTCTGCCGGATCCTCTGCTAATGGTAGAAGTGGCATGAAAGTGCATGAATTAATGAGCGGTCCCTCCGCCGGCGGTCCTGAACAACGGGGCAGAAACGACAACGAAATGCTGAGCAAACTCGACGGCAAGAAATAACGGACGTGCGGGATGAGTCAAGTATCATGATGCCTAGACCACACCCACGTCGTGGTCTAGTGCGCAGAAACTGGGTCATTGCAGCGGTCAATGACTCTTGATCGGAGTTGTTCCCATTCTTTTCCTTGCAGATATACACTTTGGGGCAACCCACATCTCTTTTTTCTCCAAGAACTTCGGTCTTTACTGAAATTCGCTCGCGGAAATGAACGGCGGTCTGGTTTTTTGATTCGACGATTCCCACCGGGCGGCTGTTTGATTGAAAAAGCAAAAAAATGTCTATGGCGACCAAATGCAAGGCTCTCTTTGCGATGGAGCCTGGCTATCAGGGCCCCTGCTTCATATGCCCCTTGCGACCACTGAATGAAATGTAATCTGGGAGGCTATTTGTGCTTTTTCTGCTTAATGCAACGTTTTGTAACTCGGGAGGCAGCACTGAATCTTTATGTCTTTGTTTTGCAAGAATTGAACCACATGGAAGTTCTTTCATGTTCTCACGGTAGCCAAAGGACGAATAAATTCTGCTGAGTGGGCTTGATTTCCCTTGACTTGAAGGGTCTTTGTCCTAAGGACGTCAAGGGAGGTTGAGGCTCAGGCATGGGAACAACACTTCATCAATATGGAAGGTCCTTAGGCTGAGATCATGGACGGGATGGGCAAGAAGTCGAGTTTGAATGGGGGAGATAATGGTCAAGACGACGCAGAGGTGAAAGACACACTTTTCTGGAGCAAATGGTGTACGGGAGGCACACTCTATCATCGATGAAGGACGACCCGTCATATACGAAGTGGGTTTGCCTACTATCAAAAGGAACACATGCGCGAGATGATTTCGATGGCGTGTCGCTCCATGGAAACAAATCGATAGACTCGTCAAACTCGGAGCCGGTGTGTAACATTCAACATTCGACAAACATGCGAGAATAACTGTCTTTTCAATAGTCATTGATTTGAACAATTCGAATCCCTTTTTTTCCTGCCATAGTTCTTGGTGATTCTTACGATTTGGCTTGTTGACCTCTACGTGGCCCTCCCAATGATGGGAGTATTTCTACATGCAGTAGTTCAAAAAGACGCACATAACCTCAACTGCAGTGCTGGATAATCCGTGTGAGCATCGTGACTTTCAAACTGTTTCTTTCACTCTTCCCCCACCGGGGACTGGAGTAATCGTATTCAGCCACTGACTTATTACTGGCAGTACAGTTGTAAGCTGGGTGGCGATCAGCTGGAAGGACGGCACGGGAGTGGGAGGGGGAGCCTGGGAGCCTTTTGGGGGGAGAAGCACAGCGAAAAGGAAAGGGGTGCACCTACCTACCTAGGCACTCCCTGAGGTAGTCACATCGGAGTTGCTACTCGCATGGGCATGGGCATTGGCATGGGTATGAGCATGGGGAGGAGACCAAAAAACGTGGCAGAGGACGACCAAATAATCCCCGTCCGTGGGCCGTGGGCCGTGGGCCCCTCGGGGCCTTCAGGGCTTTATTGACAGACTTGGCCTGAACCCAACCCGGCCGCGCGCACCAGGACCATGGCCATGGAAGGGATGCGTGGCCGGGCGGCCATATTATTCGATTCCCACTACGGAGTACGGACACCTTCACAGTTTGGACCCTCTGTCGCCTCTCGTCCAGGGTCCTCGAGTTTTGCCACCAACTTACATTGAGATACCTGCCTACGAGGTACCGATCATGATGATGCTTGGTCTTGGAAGCTGGGAGACCCGGAATTCAAGGTCCGTTGTTCGAAAGAAAAGGCTTGTGGAAAAGTCCGAGGGACAGACGACGGATCACGTCAACTAATAATAACTATAGGTAGCTATTCATCTAACATCAGCAGCGTTCTACAGAGTAGGGGGCAGTAGTTTTAGGGACCTAAGCTAACTAGTTAGTTAGGTCGGCCACTAATGCCGGCCGCTGGCGCTGCGACCAGACCAGACCAGACCAGTTTGACCACCCGCAGCGAGCTGAGGGGGGCGAGTCTGTTTGTTTCTTAAACCAAACTGCCCGCCGATGGGGATTCGGTACTCCGTAGCCCTAATTTAACTAACTCAACTAAACGCCGTAGCGACCCAGCGGGCGGGCCGCGGGGTATGCACATAATAGGCAGGTCACGCCCGTTGGGTGCCTGTCTCATGATAACTACTCGGTAGCTAGGTAATGTTAGGTACGGATATACCAAGTCAGTTACCTAGGTAGTTAGCTACTTTCGACATCTAGAAAGATACTCCCCACGCTACCAACTAACTACAGTACACAAGGACCAGAACTTCCATGGACCTGACTACCTAACTGACTAACGGTGGTGAAATCTTCACAGGATGGGTAACGCTGCGCGCGCAATGTAGATAGCTATGGATCGGATCGCTGGTGCGCGGTGCAGAAAAATCACCAACTAGCTCGACCATGTCGTCAGCTGCGCTGCGTACCTACCCACCCACCCACCTCCTCACCTACTCAAGGTAGATATCGGACCCTCCTTCCACATCGCCTGAGGCAGCGATGCAAGGCTGAACCAACTGGCACGTCTAGGGAGACGTCTGATGTCGTCCTCCCTCCCTCCATTAGAAGTCTCGAGCATCCGTACCGGGACCATAAAATCGTACCAACCAAGTAAATACCTAAGTTAGAGACAGTATTTGATCATCTCCTCCGCGTGCTTCCCCCATGGCCCCCATGCGCCGTGGCAGCGTCGTCCACATCGGATATGAGCCATTCACCAAGTTGCCTGCCTTCCTACCTGGGCAGCGATCCTCAATCTCATTGATCTGCAGGAATCGCGCGAAGGTGCGGGATGTTCATGTAGTTATGGTTTGTTTGTGTGTCTTCAAGTTGTGTGGGGCTACTAGGTCATCTCAGATGGCTGATGCGAGAAACAATGTACGTGTACCCCTTGGCGGGACTGGTCACTCATGCGTAGTTGGCTGCTTCCATCTATCTGTTTCTGTGTCTGGGCATGGATGGACCGCCATCCAAGTGATCGATCGGGATGTTGGACCGTCGAGGTCAGAGTGGCCACGCGATCACTCACTCACTACCTGGGACTTACGCACGAAAGAGTCTACATTCTGGGTACATAGATGGTACTCATGTGGAAGTATGTACCAGGGCACCTGAAAATTTTGGGGTCAGCATTTCAAGTTGGCCAACATGGAAGTTGTGCTCTTCCCAACACCGCATGTTTGAAAGGCATTGACAGTCCAAGGAACGAGGAGACCAACCACACAGAAATACGCCAGACACGAAAATTTTGCGTAGGGACACTGATTCTGCTATCTGCTAGGCATGCGTATGCACACATGACAACCTTCATTCAAGGCGTCGAGGGCCTGTCAATCCGATAAGTCGATGCAATCCGCAATGCCGTGCTAATAAATACATGATGCGTTTGTGTTGTGCGTTCCTCTTCGTGTTGCGAGACACGGTACCTCGATTTTGCAATTCCTTTCTGGTGGCATTGAATTTCCACTCCGATTTCCTTTTTCTGAGATCTCTGACTCACACAAAAGCTCCATTTCGACAATCTCATCTGCCCTTGTGACATTTGCACATTCCGATGTCAGCACCCATGAGTTTCCAAGTTCTTTCTTCCCAATGTTGACCAGACCACTGGCCATCCATCTCCAGAAAGAAGGTAAGAAGTACCTCCAAACAACTCCAACGCCAATCGTAATGTTCGTTCCGTTCATGTCATCACCGTATCAAGGTCACATAGTGAATGAAACTGCGACGCGTTTTCCTGACTCAGTCAGACTGAACTATTCCTCACGAGGGGTGACATTGTCATCATTGAAGATCAGGCCACGCTCAAAGTCACGGACAAGACCTTGATTTTCTTCTTCAACAATGGTGTTCTCTTCATGAGGAGCATATCTGGAGCTGCGGCGGACAACGGTGCCAGTGGTGTTTGCAGAAGTTGAACGAAGACCACTTCCAACTGGACCAGGATCAAAGGATGAAGCATCGGAACGCTCACCACCACTTCCACCAAACACGTCAACCAAAGGAGCTGCAGAAGGAACTGAACCATTGCGGGAATCTGCAAGAGCGGGCTGGTCAAGGTCCTCGCTAGACTTGGACAGCGAGTTGCCATGGGATTGAGAACGACTCAATCCGACAGTGTTGAAAGGATTGTTTGCGCCTGTCTTCTCCAACATGCTAACAAAACTGGCATCGCGTGAAGATGAAGACATGCCGATGTTGTTTGAACTGATATGATAGGATGCAATCGAAGCACCACCTCTGATAGGGCTGATATTGGTACCAGACATGCGACGCAGACCGCGACGGGTAGGAGAAGCGCTGGTAGACTTGGATGCGTAATGCCCTGAAGTCAACTTGGGAGGCGTGGCCTGGTTATTGTGGCTCGATGAGGCAGCGGACAAATTACGTTCATGGCCGTCGCTGTAGCTTGCACGATGTTGAGGAGATCCGGTGGCAGCACCACTGACACTGGCTTTATTGTTTGAACCACGAAGAGCATCATTACCGCCAACAGGAGCCGACGCCGCACCAAGGAAGTTGTTGGATTCAAGTTTGAGAGCTGTACCATCAGGTCGACGAATAGAAACAGCGTGGTTGATTCGGGTAGGGGTGTCTGGAACTGACTGAGCCTGGAAGGTGTTTTGAAAAGCGGTCGAGGTCTCTTCTCTGGCTTTGCCTTTGACATCAGAAGTACCAGAGCTCTGACGGGCAGTGCTGATACGACCGCCTTGTCCATTCATGCCATTGGTTTCAGACCCGGGGTAGTCGTGCGTATTGTAGGTAAGGGCAGGGCCCGGACCATCAACACCAAGTCCAGATTGAGCCAAATAAATAGGCCAACCCAAGACCAATGCTTCATCCAGGATTTCCTCTTCGACCGCCGAAAACATGTCGCGTGTGAGTTCCAAACCATGATCAGTCGCACGAACAACGACGTAGTCCTCCACGAGCTCAATTCCCGCATAAGGCTCTATCCCAACGAAATCGATACCTCCACATTCGCGAATCAGAGCATGAAAGCCGTATTGAATGACATTGAGCCACATGCCAATATCTTGATCAGTCATTGCAGCTGACTCAGGTGCAAGGCATTGGAAAGGCCAGCACTTTGCATATTGACTGAGATAGACACCACTGCCGAGTCCCTCAGAGGTGACGACGATGTCGTACTTCTGGCGCAGTGAGAAAGCGGGACAATTCATGCCAGCGAAGATAAGATCCATGAGCAATTTGTTGTCAAGACCGACTTCACGGCGCTCCTGCTTCATGGGATCCGCTCGAACAACAAGAACTTGAAGCTGTCTCTTCAAGCATGAATAGACACAATCTCTCTCTCTCATGCTGTAAAGACGATTGGCATACCAAGGGAACTGAGAAAACTGTTAGCCCAGGTGAGTCATTGATGTTGATGTTGCTTACCTTGTACAAAGTACTGATCATTGATTCATAGGGACGTTGTTGACTGCGTGTGGCGAATGGAGACTGCAAGGTCGGATAAGTATCGGCATACCACGACAGGTTGGAGTACTTACTCGGTTTGGAGCCTCTGCATGGCGAATCATACCATTCATCTCCTCTTGAGTAAACAAGCCATTGAAGCCAGAGGTGTATGGATCGTTGGTTTGAACCAGATAGGGGTGGCCGCCATTTTGAGGATCCCATTGGATGCTGCGCGCACGGGGGAACAGCTCTTGGAGAAGCTGCGCCTGGGTGCTGAGCTCGAGATTGACATGTCGCTGCCCGAGTCTTGAGAACTTCATACCCTTGAAGTTTCGCTCAACAGCCTCCTCCGCAATCTTTGGGGTTTGAACTTCGATGAATGCGTCCATGGTCTTACCGGTAGAACGCTCCATGATGATGTGGAATGGAAAACCGTCACGGTGGGGCTGAACCAGGTCTTCTAGAGTAACATGTTTCAGGATAAACTGTTGAACCTCAGCCATGGTGATGCCATAGGGAATCTGTAACAGACACGATTAGTTGATGTCATTGTGACATTTGCTCGAATGTCTGAAGTGAACATGTTGTACAGCTTTTCGGTCAACAATATCCTGTGTACGCGTCTTCCTCACCCACAGTCCATGTTTATGTCACAGATCTTGACTTGTGAACATTGGGCATGGGGCCAAAGATCCGCTGAGCAGGAGTGGGTGCATAGCGGAAAGGGTCAAAGTGAGCAGTAGGAGGGTAAGAGATCGAAGAATCCCAGGTGTCAGATCGATTGAGAGATAAACTTACATTCTTGATTCTGATGACACCAAAATTGCTAGGGCCAATGAGCTTGACAACATCGACAATGGGTGGTTTTGATCCTGGACCAAATGGGATTGTGGGTGATTCCAAGTCCATGCCTGTGACGAAGCCTTCAGTGTGAGGACCTGGTGGGACAAAGCGTTGTTGCTGGTAGAGAATGGGATCAGGAGTGGCAACAGGCGCAGGAGGGTTTGGGGTCTGTTGACGAAGATTTGTGAAGGGATTCATGAAAGGACCTCTCCAAGTGTAAGGAACGGATCTTTGAGTGCCTCTCTCGGTACGACGAGTTGCAGGACGATAGAAGGACTGGAAGTCGGGCCCTCCAGGACCACTGTACGGCTCCCACGACATGATGAGCAAATGACACTTGAAAGAGAAAGGATAGAGGACTGAAGAGGAGTTAAGTTGATAAAAGAAAAGAAGGTGGAAGTGTGGAAGATGAGGCGGTTGAGGGTGAGGAGAAGAGGAGAGAAGAGAAGAGATGTCAAGATCCAGTGGAGTGGCAAGATAAAGAAGGTCGATATGTCAAGCGACGTGAAAGTGACGAGCAAAGGGAAGAGGCTCCAGGTCGAAGACTATGTGTGCTTCTGAGATCCCGCAAGGACTTGCGGACGGTCGGAGTTGGCAAAAGTAAAGCAGCTGTTCCAAGGCTGGGAAGACGCTTAAAGACCTTTCACTTAACTCTCGGTGGTAGTTGAGCCTGGAAAACAGGCCAAACTGTGGGTGAATAGTAAGGAGAATTGAGGCAGTTTCTGTCCAAGTCTGTGAGCGAAGATCCAAAGCTGTGATGACCCGTCCGCCAGGCACAAGATTGTTCGTTGGAAACTGACCAAGAGCGGCCGCCCACGCCATCGAGGTCAAGAACTAAAACTGCAAAACCCTTTAGTTGCGTCGCATTTTCTATCATGCGCAGCGTGCCGATTTGATGCATCAGAATCAATGTCCTTCCGAAGGGTTGTCCCTTCTGAGGAGAAGCTCACTTGAAACCATTACAGCAATGCTGCAATGCTATTGCTTGGAATGATTCTGTGAATTCTCTTTCTTCTATTAGCACCGCTCTCGAACAGCAATGCATCATTATCGACGCTTGGGCTATTCAAAACACCTGGGTTGTTGGCAGGTGGCTTGGTCACATGACCTTCAAGACGAGAGTCCTCCAACAGGCCCAGAAACAAAGTGCCACGAAGCAATAATCACTGACATGACTTTGTCTAGCTGCGATGCATACGAGGAGACATACAGGGCGCTTTCGAGACCGAGCCCATATATCTAGTCGAACTTTTAAAGGGTGAATAAGTCAGGCTTCCTCTTGGACGGAATCTCGATAAACATACCGGAGTCAAGAAAGATTCAGCCACGAACCGAGCCCTTGCATTCAACTGGGTATGGAGTTAGTCAAGGCGAAGATGTGGGATCCAATATACATACAAATAGCTTCATCTCCGAGATTTCCTTGTCGACTTCCTCCATGAACTGAATAATGAAATCCACCAACTTGTGCTTGAGCATTTCTTCTGTGTGGGTGTTCGTGATCAGGAAAGAGATGTCATAACCCTGGAGGACGTCAACTGGACTGCTCTATGACCGGAACGGGATAGACACGAGGCATACCTTGACAGGTTTCCGTCTCAGAATAAAGAAAGATTCGGCTCTTTGTGTCAAAAAGCGAGTAAATTTGTGAACCAGGATGTTTTCAATCTCATCGGCTTGTTTGATTCTTATGCTGACTCTGACGCTGTTAATACTTGGCTCTATCAGAACCTTCTCGTTCTCATTGCGGGCGACTGTGAGGGGATTCAAAAGGACTTCTGGAGAGCTGGCTGCTTCTATTTCTGGAACATTGTGTCGCTCTGAAGCCTGAGACGCAAAATTGGAGAGGGAGAGCGCAGCGGTCAGTGAGGATCGCACACATTGCAGGTAAGGACGAAGAGATTGTGACTAAGGCGGTTCATCAGCATCATGCCAAACTATGAGAGCTCCGAGGTGGGCATGCGAACCATTTTCAATATCGTGAGTCCGGTCAGGGCAAGGTTGCGGGAATGGTGGGATGGATATTCTACCGACTCATGGAAGCGAGATGAGTTTGATCTTTGGGAATTTGAAAGAGGTATGCGTTTGGAGCGTGGATGGGACTAAAGACTGATTCTCGGCGGCCTAGTCCTCTACTAGAGTCGACACCATCAAGTTCTGGGGGGATTTATTGTTTGCGCAGTGAATCTATGAACATGAATATGACAGTGGAGGGGAAGCCGCGAAGGCCGCAGGACACAACAGGCAAGCGCTGGACTGGACAGCCCTGGCAGTGGCACCTGGATGCAGGTGGAGATGTCATCCTCAGGCTCACGACTGGCACCTTCCTCTTCCAATTCCAGATTAGTGTCACCTTCCACGTGACTGCTTGGCAATTGAACAAAACTCAGATAAGGCTGAGGTGCGAGGCTGAGTGTCTTCCCAAAGGCTCTCATTCAGTAGGGCCACAGAAGGGAGAAGGTATGAAACGGAGACGGATTGGATGAATGGATTGTGGTATACTACATCAAGCGTGCGAGACTACTTGGGCATGGGATGTTCATAGAGATGTGCTAACGATTTGCATAATTTACACTTATTCGAACACCGTGGACTTTCTTCGTGGCCTCGCTGGAGTTTGGCTGAGGTCAACCATATAGCAACCATCTAGCATTGAACGGTATGGTTATGGTAACAATGAAGCCACCCACTTTGCATTTGAGCCAAAGTGAGAAGATGTACTTCAGGTGCCAGCCCGTGAAGCACTGATGCTGACGTCTGTCTTGGCAGCCGATTCGTACCTCGAAAAGTGCCTGGCCGCGGGACAGGGCCTGCGGTCTATTTACACGTGTGTCTCTCTTCGCCTCCCTCCATGCAGCCATTTCAAAGCATTTATCTTTACCAAAACCTCATCCTCTTTGCCTAGTCCTCAACCTTCTTCCACCTTTCTCGACAACATGGCAACCATTCCAAGTAAGTCTCGATCGCTCAACTTCCACTCCGAAATCGTTCGTTCGTCGCTAACAGTTGTCAGTTATCGTCAAGCACCAGGGCAAAAAGTATGATGTTGACCTTGACCCTACCGCCACAGGCGAAATCCTCAAATATCAGCTCTTCTCCTTGACGGGTGTTGAACCCGACCGCCAGTCACTCTTGATCAAAGGCGGAAAGCTCAAGGATGATACAGATCTCTCCAAACTCAATGCCAAACCCGGTCAACTGTTCACCATGCTTGGATCCGCCTCATCTGAAGGCAGTGTTCTGCTCGCCCCGAAAGAAAAGCCGAAATTCGTCGAGGACATGACTGAGGCTGAAGCCGCTGCTCAAGAAGGTGCAACACCTGCTGGGCTTGAGAACTTGGGCAATACTTGCTATTTGAATTCCACTCTCCAGGTATTACGGAGCATCCCTGAAATGCAAGATTCCTTAAAGGTATACAAGCCCGGTCCCTCAGCAGGGAGTAGTCTCCAGGACCTCAGTCGGTTCGGTCTTGATGGCTTAAGTGGTGCCAACGATTTGACTGCTCAACTGCGTGACCTCTACAAGAGGATGTCTGAAACCCAGGAAGGTTTCCCACCCGTCATGTTCTTGAACGCCCTCCGAAGTGCATACCCTCAATTCGCCCAAAAAGCCAAGAACGGTCACGGTTATGCACAACAGGATGCCGAAGAGGCCTGGTCACAGATCCTTCACTTGCTCCGACAGAATCTCAAGATCTCGGAGAAGACAACCGACGCCGAGAAGAATATTGCATTCATTGATCGATATATGGCAGGTTCTCTTCATTCCACACTTGCACCACCCACCGAAGCCTCAGAAAACGAACCAGCCGTTGAAACAGATGATTCATTTCTCAAACTTGACTGTCACATCAACATTACCACCAATCACCTTCGCGACGGTATATTGGCTGGTTTGACTGAGGAAATCGAGAAGCACTCTCCTACACTAGGTCGCGACGCCATTTATACAAAGACATCCAAAATCACCCGGCTCCCTCAGTATCTCACTGTCCATTTCGTGCGCTTCAATTGGAAAAAGGACATCAACAAGAAAGCCAAGATCATGCGCAAGGTCACTTTTCCCGACGAGCTGGATGTTGTGGAATTCTGCACAGATGAGTTGAAAAGCCGACTGATTCCTGTCCGTGATAAGATTCGAGACATTCGAAAAGACGAGCAAGACATCGAACGCGCAAGGAAGCGACAGAAATTGGCCCACAAACAGGAACAAGACCGAAAGCATGACGAAGCAAACAAGGTAGAAGCAGCACCAATTGCGAAGTTGAGGGAGCAGTCGGAGAAGAAAGAGTCCAAAGACAAAGTCCCCGAAGGTGGTGACTTGGATGTCTACAAGACCGATGCTGAGTATGAAGCAGAACGTGCACAGTCTATCAAGCAAGCTAAACAGGAACTTTTTTCCGTGATTGATCCGAAACTTGCTACAGATGAGGGGGCCAACAAGTCGGGTCTATATGAGCTGACAGGAGTCATCACCCATCAAGGAGCAAGTGCAGACAGCGGACACTACACCAGTTTTGTCAAGAAACCGGCCAAGATTGTTGATGACCCAAAAGCACCTGGTGGCAAGCGGAAAGAGGAGGATGGCAAATGGTGGTGGTTCAATGATGAGAAAGTCAGCGAGGTGGAACCGGAAAGAATCATGACTCTATCTGGTGGTGGTGAAAGTGCTTCCGCCTTGATTCTCCTCTATAGAGCCATTGATCTCCCAACCAAGGATGAAGTTGATGAGGCAAAGTAAAAGAGTCATGTGTTCTTGTAGCGATCATTTGGAGAGGGTTTGAAGCGTCCAAAGCGTGCATGGTGGATGAAATGCTTTAGTAGACCATCTCTAGATTAGATAATAGAGCCTCACGAAGATCACTTGATGCCCGCGAGAGACAGAGACAGAGTCTCCTGCTTCCCTTTAATCATTTGAGAACTCAGCCAAAATTCGAGCGCTTGGAATCGCTCCCAAGCCATCTTCATATCCGGACTTTGCGGACTTAATCCCTTTCGTCACATGACGAATTTGCCCGCTCTTGGCACCCACCAACTCTGACTCTTACAAGTTTCTCCAGGACCTCGCCTCGCCATCACCACCCAACGACCATCAACTTCCTTCTTCACCTCACCACGCTCAGTTTCATCGACAACTGAATCTCCATCGCAATCATGGGTAAAGTGCACGGCTCCCTCGCCCGTGCTGGCAAAGTCAAGTCTCAGACCCCCAAGGTGAGCATTGGAAACCTCCTGGGACGCCGCACATGCGCAGTTCCTTTCGAATTAACAACGAGTCGATCGATATACTTGGAGACGGACGAATATCAGTACAAGAAAATTACTCACAAAGATGAAATCAATAGGTTGAGCCTCAAGAGAAGAAGAAGACCCCCAAGGGCCGAGCGAAGAAGAGAATAACCTACACACGACGATTCGTCAACGTCACACTGACCGGTGGCAAGAGAAAGGTATGGACTATCAACATCATCATATTATCGATCAAAGCCTTACATTTTTCGCTCCAGATGAACCCCAACCCAACCTCATAAGCCAAGCAATCCTTGCATGTGGTGTTGAGCAGAACCATCAAGGACTGTATGTACAGCAGGACGACACTCCCTCTAGGAGGACGACGAAACACGCTTCCGACTTGGGGATGTGAGCGGGAAATGATGAATTGAATGGTGGGAATTTCTTCATCGATCAAAGCGTTTTTTTCCAAAGACACAAACGATACTCGGCATGTGTGTGGTGATTCAAATGGTTTTAGATTCCCCAGAGCGACGCAAAAACATTACACACTTTGCATATAGCTTGAAGACGGGACCTGCATGATGAATTGGCACCAAAAAAATTGAGGCGTTCTTCTCTGGCTGTCATATCCACGAACAATATCAAACCTCCGAAATCGCTTTCATGTTTCCACTTCATCTGTTTCTCTCATTTCTCGACCCGCGATGTTGAAGATGTTCTATGTCCCAGATGCGTCCAGTGTCCCTCACCCACCTGTGCTGGTCTACTAACACTGAACGGTTCTCATATCATTGTAATTCCCGACCTGCTTGCCAGATACCCTTGATGTTCACATTGTCTGTCTGGAGTTAAACATTGCCGTCCAAGCCGTGATCGGTTGTCGAGGATTTCTAACTCTGATACCACCCAGTGAACACCAGAGCCAGCTCTAACTAGTCACGACAGCGGCGTCTTCAGGGTCCCGAAACGGCAGAAGCTTGGAGACAAGCGGCATCACCGTCGACGTTACAAGCAGTCGTCCGAGACCACGGTGAGGATAGCTCAGTAGATATTTCATGAAGTTTAAGTATATTCAACTATCGCTGGAGGATGATGAAGAGACTATCAATAACGTTGTGGCTATGGTGGTCATCAAATATGAGAAGGGCAAAAGGTAAGAGTGTCCTGCTCTCCAAACTATATCTTCTTCTTAACTAAATCGTATCAGGTTCTCGCAGGAACATCGCACTCAGCGTGTTATGTCGTTCCAACGCTCCAGCTCCGTTTCCGCCTCCTAAGAGGGCACATATCTCCACACCTTGTACCTCGTTCCTCTTCTAATCGCCCATGGCGTAGGCCATGCGCTCTTCAAGGACGGCAAGAGTCTCCCAGAGATCCTCCACGCTACGATGCTCTGAGGGGATCGCCGTATCCGCTGGACTCGCCCGAGTCTCCCATTAGTTCCTGCGATCTCTATGTCGTACTTAGATCGAACCAAAATTGAGAAACCAGCCCACACGGCGTAGGCGTGAGGACGTTTAGACAGATTGGGGATCCTACTGGATACAATTTTCGCCTCAAGATCTACGACGCTCGCCGTAGAAGTGCAAAGGATCTCCCTCGAATCGATCGGTCCGTGATGAACACACCTTCCGATGGTTCAGTCTGCGGTCTTCGTTACGGCAACAAGAATGCTCAGATGCCGTACAAGAAGCAAGAGGACGAATCTCTCGTCAACTGGAGACGTCTTATTAAGGAAGGTACAATTGACCGCCTCATCCTTGGGGTAGAGACGGGCTACTAATCTTTGAGAGACGAACGCGTGGGACAGAAACTCATCCACGGATCCATCATAGATCACCAAGACGAGCTTCTCGAAAGGTTTGATGGCAAGTATCCGCTCGAATTCTTCCTTGGACCATAGCCATAACATGGTTCTCCCAAATACTCAGCTTCCGCAGTGTTATCACCGGAGCTACTACGCGTGTCGAAGATGAACATCGTGAGCAGTGGATGAAGAGATCAGCTGGCACACGTCCACAAACCTCTACTATTCCGCGTAAGCGACCTGCAGATTCGGCCACCACCTCAACCCCTTCCCCGAGGCTATCTTCTTTAACCACCTCTGCGAGGATTGCCTAGGACATCCTTACTCCCGGCGCCACTGGTACTTCTGCTTCTGGCTCTACTCCTGGCGGTGCACTCAACCCCATGATCTCCATCGGATATCTGGTTCAGCAGAGAAGCGAACAAGAGGCTGGTACGCCAAACTCCGCGGCCAATATGCACCACACCACAGATGATTTCAATACTCCCATCAACTCCATCGCTTCTTCTGCCTCTGACGAATCCAACCATCTTCTAACTCCTTTCATTTGCTACTCAGTCAAATATGCTTATATGTATGTAGCAGTATAATCGTACAGGTACAAACACGACGTCTCACCTCGTCGCTAATAAATTACAGATAGTCATAGAATATTGTATCCTCATTAGCCTAGCTAGATACAATATATTCTCAAAGTTCCCTCCACCTCGATAAGTAGATTCACTAAAGTATTCGTTACTAGCTCTAAAGATATATTAGGTTCCTTCAAACTACCGGGAAACCGGCTGTTGTAGCTAAACACTACAGCGATGGTATATATCACTTCAAAATATTTCACGATTCTAGCTCCATCCCGCCACCAAATATTAATATTAATCCAAAACCGGATCCCAAACCCCTCGACAAGAATCGAATGCCTTGTGACTTGTCATCTATTTATGTCTTCATATAATAAGAAGTCCGACTTAAGCCATCAGACTCGGATGTGCAGGTGGTTTTTCCTTGATATTGGTCACCGCGTAATTATCACTTTAGTACGACAAAGAAAGGTCATGATGTTTAATTCGAAAAGTATTGCATGATGCTAATGATGGGTATATGAATATGTTGTACAGGAAATGCAAACGCAGAGTTAGAAGGTGTTGACACAGTGCATGAACGGCAAGTTGTCCTTTTCGAGTCCCCCAAGTATACTGCTCCAACCAGCCCAGCTTTGTTCGGTAACAAGATCGGTGAATGGTGCAATATGAGTACAAACGCTCCACTAGGTTGTTGATATGTCACTTTGAAGATGAGCGTCATCTATGGGTGAGGCATCCAGCCAATGCTCCTCCGCCAGCTATGAGCAGGCTTGTCCTTTTCTTGGGCACCTTCATCAGAGGCAATACGTGCGGCGATCTGAGCTTCTTGCTCCTCACTCTCACGAGGCTCTTCGACGGGGGAGGGCACTGCGGCAGTAGGTCCTGCCTGCTCCAAAGCAAGGTTAGCCGCAGCAAGAGCCGCTGGTGCAGGTTCGGCAACGGAGTTCTCCCTTGATTTCAGAGCCTCGGAGACCACGCTGTGTCGTCTTGTCGCGTGCGACTCGGCTTTTCCGTCCTTAGTCATGTGTTTGCGATAGAAGGAGACGTGCTTGATGAGCCAGGGCTCCAGCCATGAGTCGGCGGCGTGGGAGTTGTGCCGGGCAGTACCTGCTGGTTGGTCGATTGCCATACCGTTGAAAAATTCAGCCATTATATGAGTAGGCTTGATATGGACTGGATCGGAATGTTCAGGGTATGTCAATACAATACAGTAACCTGCTGGATTGATGGATTGACGGAGCTTGTTTGTGGAATGAACTGTAAAAGATATTACTCTTGCTTAAGTCGTAATTGATATCGAATGCTGAAGGACAAGCCTCAGCACGAAGAGATAAAGAGCCACTACTTATGCGTTCCAGGGCACAGTGTTAAGAGCGGTAGTAGGACCAAAAAACCCTCAATGACGCAAATTGCATCTGTTCGTATAAGCAGAGCCACGCTGTCCATCATCAGCGTAATCGTAACGACGACATATTGTCAACCCCTCGATCAGCATAAATCCGGGGTGGACAGGATAAGCAAGCCGAAAGCCTCCTTACCACCATTCACAGGACCTGAAATGCGTCACCAATTCGACTTCATTGGCAAGGCTCCGGCCGTAGAAGGCTGTGGCATCACTATCAGCCCATGGCATTGCGGAAGTTGGCGGAACAGCAGATATCGAAGATGGAGGTCAGAGGCTCGACAGCGGCCACCCTCGGCAATGGAATCAAAAATGCCGCACAGTCAGATACGGCAGTCTACGTGGAAATAGAGATGTGGTTAGTAATAATGCAAGCTTTCTTACCAGGATCCCGTAGTTTGTCTTATCGATTGCGCCCTGAGCTGGGTCCTTACTCGACGTTAAAATAAGATGAAGTGAGCAGCACTAGAGGTGTGCAAAGGCTCGAAGAAGATATGGGTGGTGGTGGGTTTATTAAGGATGACGTCATATTTCTTAACCGCCGCCAAAATTAGCAAGGAGTGCCTTTCACACTTTCTTTTGGATTTTGCACAACCTTCAACCGCACTTTCGAAGCCTTTGTGCTGAATCGCGTCATCTCCAGCATAAACGATTGAAACAATAGACTCGATTAGCGGCGGCGGCTGCCACGTGATTGATGACGGAGAACGACAAGGAGGAAGTCGCCGATGAACATCAAGCACTGACCCGGGCCACTGGCTTGGTCCTTGTTATGAACACCCCTAAAGGTAGTATGGAATCCTTGAGAAAGCTGAGTATTGATATCAAGCGCTTTTGAACATTTCCCCTTACGTAAAGAAGCAGAGACCGTCAAACGCTTTTCAGCACGAAGCCTGATCATAATATCCGTCGTCGTAATGTACATCATTCTTGAAAGGATACTAACTCTGGTTCGATTGCCTCGTAGGGCGTGGAGTCTTTGCAACTCAGGACATTTCAAGTGGAACCATCTTGGATATAAGTCCAGTCTTGATCTTCACTGAAGATGAAGTCGAGAAATATACCCGGCATACGGTTCTGCAGCATTATACGTAGTAAGTAATGCAGGACCCGTTTCTACACAGCCCTTGCCACTTTCCGGCTAGCAATTGATCTTGTTTCCAATAGTTACTGGCCCTCGCCAACAAGCCGTGGAACAACGCAAGCTATCGCTCTAGGCCTCGGCAGCATGTTCAACCACTCGACACTTCAGCAGAACGTTGGTTGGAAGCGGAACACCGAGACCGCAGTCATTGTTTACAGCGCCCTCCGGGATATCAAGAATGGAGAGGAGTTGTGTATCTCATATGGCAGCGCACGGCTCTGGTTCCCCGACGCTGATTCGGACACCATTGCAAAGATAAATGCTGCAGATGATAAGATCTTGGAGGACGCTAGGCTCAAAGATCTCACTGAGCTGGAAATGAGTGGACTTGGCACCATGGAACTCTAGAACTCCTCTTGAGGGCGTAGTAGTTAGTAAGTGGTCTGTCACTTCTTGGTTATTGTACATGGTGCCTCCTTGAGGTCCATCGTCTTGAGTGTGCCGCCAGAAACACACAGCCTGTCTGCGAACATACGAAATTCCATGGAGGCGCACAGTCCCGTAATGTCATTCATGACAATATTATGTTGGACGCTGTACTTTCTACAGCCTAAAATAGACGATTTTAGATAACTCCAATGTAATATCCTACGTTGTTAAGATGATACTGCGGATTGGCCATTGAAAGTTATAAGAGAATCCGTAAGTGGTGTGAACTATTTAGTACACCAAAGTGCCCATAGAACTATCGAACGAGAGTTGTACGGTAGTGTGGTGCTTAAGTTCTCCTCGGGAACGGGTACATGGACTTGGATGCTTTGAAGGTCTAGAGCTAAGAACATAAAGTCACTTGATTACTATTCCTCCCGACGCCCCTCGACAAAGGAACTAAATTAGTTGTTTGGGTCCCTGATCTGACATTTCATTTGCTCCATGTTTTTCGCCTGGCTGGCCATTCACACCCATCCGGCCGAAGTGACTAACTTCGAACTAAGTGATATTGACATCCGTAATAGGAACAGACCTCATATCTTGATAACTCCGAATCGATACTCAAACCAGGGTTCAAGGTATACCGAGGCCTCTTGATCCAATTGCTTTACCTGAAGAGGGTCCTAGGTAGCCTTGTGGCTTAAATATCTTACACAAGTGCTCTACCTCGGCCGGATTGTTGGACCGCCCCGTGTGGATCACTTTCGAGTCAGGGTGAATACTAAATAATGACTGGGGAAGCCTTAAGAGCCAAATGAACCTACCATAGTCATCGACTTCACTTCAGCGACAGAGAAACCACTGTTCTGACCTTCGCAAACTCGTCATGATCGCACGGCAGAGGACTCGAAGCCTGCATGGTCTTCAACGGACATTATGCCAAGAACAGATACAATACCGAACATAACGTGAGGGTGCTCAACGCCCGAGACCTAAGATCCAATGAGATTACAAGTATGCCGTCCGTATCTCGTACTCGTGTCAAGACGAATCTGGCCCCCGACTCCAACCTTTGTCTGTGCTGCCTGACGATACTCGAGAAGTCTAAGGTACGAAAGTACGAAAGGGCGTTCCCCTTATGTCCAATGGCGTCCTGGAACATGGTGTCAAGTTGTCAAGTTGGCAGGTGCAGATATCAGTATCCCTGCAGCCCTACTCGATGGGAGAAGAATATAGAGGTGTCAACCCCACCGCATTTTCACAACATTCCTGGCCACTCTAGGAATTTCTCTCAACTTTACCTGGCTCCCTGAGACTCATATATACTGCATCAATTGCTCGACGTCTCTTCTAGGTAGTCGTTTGAGATAGACAAATCTTCCTCACGGTCGTTAGGCCCGAAACCCCGAGAACCATACCGCAAGGCTGGACCACTGTTCCGCACCACAGCCATGGTCAATCATCGTCAGGTCTCTGCGATGACGTTATCAAGAACGCTCCAGATGACCTCGGACAAAGAGATTCAGGTATCCCTGGCACACAGGAGATGGTTCAATGAGGCTGCATAGTATATATGCATTGATTTCGAGCCACGATATGATTATCGAAGCAATTATATACTCAACTTATCACCTATTCATCATAATCATCCTTCGATCAAGGATCTGCTGCACAATAGCAGTGCCAAGAACCGAGCCAAAATTATTTTCTCTGGAATTCGTCAACCTAATGCATGACCACAGCGACGTGCTCATCCATATATTTGTCGATATTTCCGAGGAAGAAAGCAGCAATGATACTGATGCCTCCGAATGCAATGCTGGTCAGGTACACATATTTATAACTCTCAGCATATGCGACTTGGCCTGCCAGTACAACCATCTCATATGCGGTCTCATTTCCGGCAATACCTGGAATGGTCTTGAGAGCTGGCAACAAGCTGGCAGCCGTGTACTCGATGGCATGGGTGATATACGTGACGTTTGTGATGTTGAGTTGCAACGCCATCGTGCCGCCGATATACTTGGTGGCGTTCGGTACGAACTTGTTCACAAAGACATTGTAGTATACTGCAAAACGTCAGCACAAGCATTCTGGAGCTCCAGAAAGGAGAACTCGGCACCTGTATAACCAATGCATCCACCGATGACACGAATGGACAGGGTTAGAGCTGTCACTGTCGCGATAATGTCGTCGGGGCAAATGATGGTGGTGATGATCGAAGCGGGAACAACGATTCCACCAATGCCAATTCCGGCAAGAACCAAGAGTCCCCAAAGCATGTGAAGGTTATCACGGTCTGCAATTGCAAGAGCACCACAGCCTGCAGTCATGAGGACGGAGGAAATGACCAGAAGTTCTCGGTTGTGGCCCCGGAAGACGGACAAAAGCCACAACACGATACAAGCTCCGGCGAGAATGCTGAAACCAATGGGGATACCTCGAATGCCGACGCCAACTGGATCATGGCCATAAACATTGAATGCTTGCGTTGGCCAGAACATGATGACTGAAAAAAAGTTGGCGCCAGAAATTGCCGTAATGATCAAAGTGAGTGTGAGAGTCCGGGCCTCCTTCTTCATGCGAGATGGGAACATGGGGAACTTGGCGAACTTGATCTCCCAGATTGGGAATGCGACGAACAGGAGAGCACCGCCGATGATGAGAGGAGCAAGGACGTGAGCAGATCCCCAAGGGTATTGGTATCCACCCCATTGCAGGCCAGCAAGGAAAACAATCATGCCTGTAATGCTGAGCAAGCCCCCAACGAAATCGATCTCGCCAATGATTTCTTTCCTGCTCAAACCACGGGAGTTTGGTCGAGGTGGTGGGAAGTAGAAAAACATGGTGCCGAAGAAGCCGATTGCGGCCCAGATACCGCAGAGGAGACAGCAATAACGCCATCCAGCGTGGCTGGCGATCAATTGAGCCCACAACACGGATGGGCAGAATGGAACGATAGTAAACACCAAGACGGCCACATACTTGCCACGTGAGCGGGTGGGAGCGAGCTCAGCAGTGACAGCCAGTGAAGTGAGCTCGCAGATACCAGCACCAACACCAGAGATGGTCATGCCAACTAGATTCGGAAGTTGTCAGATCAGGTACTCCATGAGGCTTCTGTTTGGAGTCGTAGCTTACCGATGAAGACATTCATATTTTTAGCAACGCCACAGATGATCATGGCGATGACCAGAAGAAAGGAACCGGACAACGCGACCCATCGTCGCCCGACAAGATCGGAAATTGATCCAACGAAGGGGCAGATGGCAGCAAGGGCCAGAAGATAGGCCAAGACGAACCAAATCCAGCGATCAACACCACCAATATCGGCATAGATATATGGTGGAACACCACCGAGGATGTACACTGGAATTTGAGAACCAGTCCACAAGAAAGCCTGTGCTACCAGCGCCAAAATTCGCTTTCCGGACATCTTTGAAAGATCAGTATGGGCTCTGGAGCAGGAAAAAGACAGCTACAGGCAGGCTTACAGGAGGCTCGTGGTCGTGATCTTCATCATCGCCATATGTTCGCAGACCATCCTTCTCATAGTAACCAGGATGACCAGGAACCCTCTCGTTGGTGTGGACCTGCTCGACGTGGTCGGTAGCATCTTTTTGGGTACTACTAGGAGTTTGCATACTGTCACTGGAACTATTCGCCGCGGGCTCGGTGGTTGGATGAGTGGTCGCCATGACGAGCGGTAAGTAAAAGGGAACTATGAAGGCTCTCAAGAAGAAAGTTCAAACCCCTCCAGATGTGTGTCAGGGAGAGTCAATATCAGGATATGGGAGAGGAGAAGAAAAGAGGTGGGAGCAAAGGATGAAATGGGAAATTGGGGATTGATGTAGACGAAAGCAGAATTAACAGTCAGGATGTCCGACTCGGTTGATCACAAGGGTATGAGCCTCGGTCTCAAGATCTACGAATACTACTGAGTACTGGGAGCTATCTCAAGTCCTGATCGAAGGCGTTTCGTCTGGTCTGGAGAAGCCTTTGCAACCAAGATGCATGGAATTACGGTCTGGTTCCGTGGAAGGGGCGCATTTCGGCGACGATCAAGGTTTATTGGAGTGCTAAGGCCAGAGACAAGCATGGCTGGAATGCACTCCATGGACCTCAACCTCGAGAAATAAGTGGAGGCACGAGTCCGGATGAGGGCGGACAATGGCCTAGGAGGAGGGCTGGTAGGCAAAATGTTGATTGTCCTTGTGGATCGCGTGGAGAAACATGGGGTTGTCTGGAAGGTTGATGGAGATGGAGAGGCGGGAGGATGTGTCTAGCAGGTGGCGACCATATGTGTTCTGCACCCACTAACCTTTGACATATTCCTCCCTGGAACCCAACCGTCGAATGGGAGGATGATCCATCACGTCCCAGCACTGACCGGGGAATTGAACTACGCAGGCTATGACAACGCAACGACAAATAGAGGATTGCCCAGACGAATCTCAGGCTCTAGCTTCGAGGTTCAAGTTAATGTGGGAGGTATCTAACCAACTGTGTTGTGATTATGTGGGAGCCGCCACTGAGTACCACAGGAGAAGACCAACGAGTGGCCTTTCTCCTCTCCACGAATCGATGCGGCTTCATTTTGTTTGGTTGGCCTTCGCTTATTCCCTATCTCGAGCCAGGTACCTCGTCCGCTCTCCAACTACGGCTTTTGACCTGACATCACGAGTGACGAAAAACCACCAGGGTTCTCATTAAATTTCATCATTTGAGCGCTAATGTCATATCCGGAGATGCAGCAATCAACGAAACTCATCATAGTTAATCAACAAAGGCCTCGAATATGGAGTCTGGACGCAAAGGTAGGACGCATGATTCAAAGCTCAAACATTTCGAGAATTGGACCCTCCCTCCAGGCTCGAGGGGTCCCCATCTAGGCAAGCCTAAGCACCAAAGCTAAGCGAATCTAAGGGATATCTTCCTCCAGACAAGGTTAGAAAAGAGGGGGGCTCACACCCTAGCTGACTCGGCTTTCTGGGTGGGAGTCTTCCTTGGTATTGCTGCCACCAGTGACCAACTTGGGCAACCGTCAGGAATGCAATGTAACATCCCAAACCTAAGGACAGTTTTGGATAGATGTGAACGGCTCTTGATAATTTGTTCAGGACTGTCTGCCTTATCAAAGGGTTCACAGGAGGAGAGCAAGGCAGGACTATGACCTGCTCTGAAGTGTCAACCGGTTTCACCAGGCGCATCGAATTAAGTACCAAGTACTTAGTTACCCAGCTAAAAGTACTGGACTACTGGACTATCCGTGCGCGAAGGCCGCCTGACTCAGAAACATTTCCGGGCTTGGGGGACCATTCTTAGGCATTGCTTGGCCCCAAGCAAGCGAGTCAAAAATCCTGGAGAAGGAGAAAGCACACCACCCCCTCCGCATTGCGGCCCGCAAAGCTGGAGAAATCCAAGGTAATATTGGAGAATCCTACTCGTACCATCGTACGAGGTTTTCGCCCTCGTTGATAACGCGACCGACTGTTCCGTACGGGTGTCAATCATGGGCAGAGCATTATTGTGTGGTCGGATCCTGAACGTGCCGGTGCCATGGGAGCCACCATCCCTCCCTCGACCACGTTCACTATGATGATACATACGAGAAGCCGCCACCAGTGATCGCACGCAACGTTTAATCCAAGGGAACCTTGTTTTCCTCTGAAAGAGCCGCGTCCCTGAGTTTCTTCCCGCAGTAACATCTCCCCTCATCACCATTGCTTGTGGTCGAACTTCGGGTTCACGAATCTCCGACTTGAGAGGCGAGAGGTGCCCAAGCGCTTAGGCCTACTGGGATATCACAATCGCTGTTCTAAGTCCTTTGTGGCAATGCAATCGAAATCAAAATGGTCTTGATGACAGTTGAATAACACTAGTGTCTGTGCAAAAACTTTACAGGGTGTCGGCAGGGTGCCAAATAGGGTGCCTGCTCCGGCCTGTCCAATAGACCCGAAAAGACTTCGAGATATCCTTCGCATGATCCTCAGACCAGCCCAATCTGGCGGAAACCTCACTGTTCCCTCGGTACTTTTCATGCAGCCACGAGGGTTTCTCTGGGCATACCCGGCCGATTACCGATAATTGCCTGCAGCCAACACCTTTGTGCGAAAGCCATAATCGGTTAAAAGACTGCAGGCCATGTTTGACCCCGCAAATTCACTTCTCTCGAGATCATGCCATCAATCTCCATCCCATGCTTGATTTGTGGGGAGCCCGATAGCCTGGTCCAGGCGGGAGTTTTGTCGACCACATTGACTCGTGCCCTTGCATTCTGGACTCAAAACATCAGCGCTAGAGACCGAAGTTATACCCAATCATCGTTTCCCGCGCTGCCCTGTATCTGCAAATTCCAAAGTCATGACCGAACCGCGGCCCGCTGGACGGCCAGATCGTTTTGACTGGTGAGATTCTTATTCTGTCCTGTAGGGACCCCGCAAACATGTAGGACCGCAACAGAATAGCGAGTTGAACATGTAGGGTCTGGGTGGCTAAGAGGCGAAGAGTTCCGAACTGACCACGCGGCGTGGCTCTGCACCACCCAGTAAAAGCTGCGGGATAAATCAGTGCAGATCGTGTGCAAGGATCTGACTCCCTGGTCCCAGTCGTGCTTGCGGATGTTCCGAACCAAAGTTCAAAAAATCGAGTTCTGAATGAGTCAAGTCGAAGACCACGTTGTTTGGTGGCTCGGTTCAGTGACAAGCGAGAAACGTCGGATTAGGTCACAGCTTCAAGGGCTATCGCCATCCTTTTGGTCGAGCTCAGCGTGCTGATTGTCGACAAGAAGTCGCACCTGTGTAGTGCCTACCGCATGCGTGGTATCAACAGCTCCAGGAGTTCGGACGTCAATTACATGCTGGTCTTGATTGGAAGTTGCATCAAAGCTTGAACGAACTCGTGGAGCTGCTTCCATATGCATCAAGATCGGTACCAGCTGAACAACCTTCTGTCCGGGTGTGGGATTGGTCTCCGTCGCTCCAGGTGGGACGAGTATAGCATAGATCTCCCCTGGCCGAACAGGCTTTTTGAAATCAACGCTGATGACCTGTTCTTGTGCGGTGCCTTCGTGTGCATAGAAATTATGGATATGCTGGTCCACGCCTTCCTGCAGTAACGTCGTGAGGATGCCTCCATGTATCTATTCATGGTCAGTGCCAGACTTGATGTACCGTCGCCATTGTGAACCTACCACATCAGGCCAGCCTTCCATACCGAAGCCTAGAAAGAACACCAACATCGTGCATTCTTGGGAAGGATGCCTAAAAGCTTTGGCGGTGATACCTTGGGTGCCCGTAAGCCGCTCCCAAACGAGGTGGAGACCGGGCCCTATGCCTCTGAGTTGACTCGCGTAGCGATTATCCTCGATCCATTGCTCTTCTCGGAGTGACTCAACAAGCGGATGTGTTTCTAGGGTATCAAGAATCTCTTCGATCATCTCTTCATCCTCCGGTGATCCCTGTTCGAAAGGTGGTTGCAAGTATTGCCATGTTATCAAGGCTGTACCTGCCGCGGTACCCAATACGTAGAAGAGAATGGCCCACGAGACTGATCTTGCAGCGCGAACGATCCGCGAGGGTCCAGCGGAACCTTGGATAACTGGGATCGGTCGTGGAAGGACATAGGGTGTGGCATCTGGGACGGGGGTCTGCCCTGGGTGCTGAAAGTATTCCTTATGTGGACCATGGAAATCGTGCTGCGCTCTTCGATACCAAGTTCGTCCAACGGCAGCGAATCTCGCTTGACGGCGCGCCGCCGTTCGAAACAGTTGCATCAACCGACTGCTTGCGATCGCCAACTGCGACCAGTCGTAAAGAGGAAGAGATTTGAAGATGTTGAGAAAGTCTCCCTCCTAGAAGCCTGAAGCCTGTTCGGCCGCAAGCAAAGTTGGAGCCCCGAAAAATCGTGACACGTGACAAACAAGTACAGTGGATCTTAGAGACATACAAAGGTGCTTCAACAGTCCACCGTACAATATGCAATTCGAAGGCCTCAATTTGCGCATTCAAACATTCCCAGTGTCCAATTGATACATGAATATCAGGGGTGGCTATGAATGCAGGCGACGCCCGTGAAACAACTACGCGCCCCAGAATCATCCCAGTTGTTTCTTCATTCAGCTTACAAGCGGCATTGCGATTATTGCTTGAACTCCTGCCTGAACTCTTCCCATACCTCTGCTGCAATTGCATCATTTGCGAGAATATCATACGCTGTCATTGCCATTCCCTTGGCACAGTCCATCGCTAATAAGAAAGCAGATTTGGTTCCAGCAGCTGTTGCAAATTCCGGGTTATGTGGACTTGCGCCCGGTATTTCTGGACCAACACTGAAGGAGCCATGAAAGCTCGGGACTTCGTAACACACATTACCTGTTCATAAGTCAGTTCCTAGCCTGTGGCAGGAGTTCAATGGGCATACCCATGTCGGTAGATGCCCCCATGGGTAAGCTCCGACCATCTACCAGGTACTTCCTCCCAATGTTTGACATGTGCTGGGTAAAAGATCTAGCTATTGTCATGTTCGGTCTCAGATCCTTATAATCGCATTCACTGTTCTCAGGTCAGCCCACATATGCAAGAAGCTTAAGACTTAGGTGCAACTGACTCGTCCCAGACACATTCCAGGCTACAGCCTGTTGCTTGTGCACCTGCATTGAAGCAAGCCTCAATCATCTTGGCCATACTGTTCACGCTGACTGCACTGGTATCCCGAATAAAATACTCTAGGCTAGCTTCGTCAGGAATCAGATTCGGCTCCATTCCCCCATTCCGGATGACGCCATGAATCCGTGCTGTCTGCTGCGTTTGCTGTCTCAGTAAAGAGATATTGACATAGCTAGCCACTACTGCATCAAGCGCGTTCGTTCCGTCCCAAGGATTGAGTCCAGCGTGAGCATTCTGACCCTTGAAAGTAACATTTACCTTTTTTCGAGCGAGAGAAGTTGTGGCTGATGTCCCATCTAGAGTGAGCTTGCCATCGTCACTCTTTGATGAGGCGGGTCCGGGATGGGACATCATGCATGCATCAATCCCCTGGTAAGCTCCTGCCTGGATCAATTTGATCTTTCCTCCCCCTGATTCTTCGGCTGGCGTTCCCAACAATCTCACTCTTCCACTGATTCGACTGTCCCGAATGGCCTCTGCAACCGCGATGAAGGATGCGATCGAGCTTGTCGCGATGAGATTGTGACCACAAGCGTGCCCTATACCTGGGAGAGCATCGTACTCAGCATTGAATACCACAACCCGTCCGCCAGTGCCGTACTCAGCCTCGAACGAAGTGCTGAGTCCATACGCATGTCGTTCCACCGAGTAACCCATCGTTTCCAGCAGGTCACAGATTCCATCATGGGCCTGAACCTCCTCAAACCGTATTTCAGGGTGATCGTGGATCTATGATTAGAGTCAAATCTGAAAAGGCGATTATCAACATATTTTGACTTACATGTTTATTAATAGCGAAGAGCTCAGGTTCATGATCCTCTATTGAGCGTACTACCTGTTTGCACAGCTTCTCTGTGGTCAAATCTTCAGAAAGCCGAGCTGGTGACATGTTGAATATCGTGGACTTTTGCTGAGGAACCTCTAATGATAAAAGCGCATTAATCTAACACGATGGTCTGGGGATTACGCAAAGCTTATATGTCGGGATGATCCACATCTCTACTTTACAGTACCTGCACCTGCCGTCAAGTACTCTTTTCCTTGGTTGTCCGATAGGTGAGTTTTGATATGGTCTCCAAATGCTGAGAGGACAAGTTTTGCCGAGTCGACCAATTAGAATATCCACACACCATCCATAGTTGCCGAGCTGATCTTCACAGTTCACGGTATTCTTCCGCATCTAAGAGGAGCTTATCTTTCGGACGGCAACCCCGCATGGATGGCAACCTCAACGTTCCTCCTTCGAGGTGTATCACCATCTGAGGATAGTACCCGATCCAACGAATCAGGAATATCATCGTTCTCAGGATGTGACATGGCTGTAGATGGTCAATCTGGTCGGCACGGCCCCCGCTCGAGACATGGTATGAAGATCCACCATCTTAATATGTTCCTCGGCTGAATCTCGTAAGGCTGTACAACTTGCCGTACTCGCAAGGTGAAGTGTGATGAACAAAAACCACTCTGCTCTCGATGTGTGCAGGGCAAGTATCGATGTGACTGGAGTCAGCCTGTCCAGAGAGCCCGCGCAACATCTATTGCAAATCGCAATGCGACTGTTTCACCAACTTCTCGAAGTCCAGTAGCATTGGCTAGTGCAGCTCCCAAATCGCAAAAAAATTGCACGGCATCACCAGCAGTTGCCCGTGACGTCCTTCAGGTACAATCCACACGGGAAACGACCTCGCCGAGCATAGATCAAGCCAATGAGATACATTCTGGACATTCACATGATGGTTCGCGATTACGTCTTCCAGCATCTCATCTACCTCTCGCAAATTCCATCATGTTGAACGAGCAAGAATCGCAGGCTTTTATGTATGTGCCAGAATCTTTGATGGTGCTTCGCTTCGGGAAACCTTGGCAATGGAGCATGCTTTCCTACGTTCACTCGCGGATAGCAAGTCGTGAAGCAGGGGTCATGAGGTCTTTCATCGCACTTGCTTCAATGGAATTGCGTTTTCTAGAACTCCTGAAATTCCAGGAAACAACTCCCACCCTAGAGAGTCTCACCAGGATACGTCAATTGAAAGATGCTGCCATGAATCATTTGCACTTGGCACTTCAAGATCTTTCTTCGATCTTGGATCGCCTATCAGGAACTCAATCCCAATCTGACGATATTGAAGCACTATTTTCAATGTGGTTCTTGATTCTTCACGTAGGACTCTACGATCCTGAGATTGTCAATGCCTCTCACGTACACTTGAAAGGTATTCGATCATTCCTGCAGCGATATGTGAATGGAGATGTGGCTCAAAAACAAGACAACCTACCACCAGCTGCACAACAGCTATTGCTATTCATTGCGTAAGTGAGATAAATGCTCTTCAATCAAGGCTAACAGATACACAGCCATAACGATGTCATACTAGCGCTGGGCAACATGAATGGGGGTGGTCATCTTTCGCTAGATTTATTAGGCGCTCCAGAAAAATCGCCAATCGCTTATGATCAGATTTTTGAACAGGCTCGTCGATGTCTACCCAAGGTATGGGGCTCGGATTATCCACTTGAAGAGTTGCTAGACGATGTGGAAAACTACCGAGGACTATATTTCTTGACCGTATGCCAAAAACTAAAATTGGGAATTTGGAAGTTCGGTGTTGCAAAAGCACAGAGGAAACCAGTTGGGGAGAGTCAGGAAGAGCTCTGGAGGAGGATCGAAGAGACAGGTGAGGTGAGTTTTAGTCTAATCTACATTTTCGGAACCTGAAATCCACTGATACATTCGCAAGCACTTCTCTGATCTCCTTCTACTGGCGAAAATGGTCAAGAGTTCAAATGGGCGGCGGGTGATCTGGACAATCTATCATGCATGTCTAGATTACTACGCCTTGAGAGTTTTATACACCTGCTTGGATGGTGGGGATCCCTACCCGCCATGGCTTGAGGAGTCTCTCGCAGAACTCTTGGCCATTGCCTACAAGTCCATGCTTGAGATACCCCAACAGATATACCGCTATTCTTGGCCACTCACTGTGGCCTTGATGAAGGTCCGAGACCCAATCCATAGAGATTGGGTTACGGCCCAGGTTCGTAAAGCAGGTGTACTCTTCTCCAATCTAGGACTTCCTCCCACTTTGCTCAGCGGTACCTGTGCACCGGAAACGATATTCCTCGAATACGACCAGGAGGAACATACACGACTGCTAGTCGCCTAGACATGGGAAGAGCTTACAGCAGGGTCGTTCATTTCTACTCGATCTCCTCACCTAATTGAATAAGCAGGAAATCGGGATTGTGCATTTCTAAGTTCTGGAACACGTCTGTCGTCTTTGACAGTTTCTTGTTCAACAAAACAAGACGCCGCCCAGAATTCAATACGCTATTGAAGACTGATGAGCAATGGCCGGATCGATGTTGATCATATCGATGAAGAATCCCAACCGACTACTTGAACAAAATGGTGCAGATGGACAATCTTGAAAGCATCCACTTTTGCCGACAGAGCCAATGAAGGTGGGCTCGGCTTCTCTTCCATCGGCTGTGGGATTCCTGAGATCATCCGAGGATACAATCCCCAGAAAGTCAAATGTTCTTTATCACCCCGGATTTTATACCACCTTCGCTGATACTACAACACCCGATGTGGTTTGCCGTTGAGCGGACTTATGCGCCGTGATCAAATGTAAAGAAGATGGAGCATACAAGTCAACATATCTTGCTTGACTCTTATCAAATGTGGGAATCGTGTGGAACGGGGCTCAAAGTCATGATCCCGATCGCTGGCTATAAAATATCTGCACCATTCCCTCTCTACAATCGCTTCTGTTGCAGAGCTCTACCTTGAACCTTATAACCTTGATCACCTTTCAGAGCTGAGTTCATTACAAAATGGCAAGTCTCAAAAAGATGACAACTCGAAGTATAACCAGAGACAAAGAGGCTGCAGACTGCTCCAGTCTGCAGGGAGTTGAATCCTTTGCCGTGTGTGACGGGGGACTATCCTCGAACGAAGAGAAGAAGTTGTTGAGAAAGATTGATCGATGGTAAGCACCCACACTTGTATGATTGCAGGACATCCGCTAATATTGCTTCTGCAGGATCATGCCCCTCCTAATGGTGTCATATCTACTTCAATTTCTTGATAAACAGACTCTGAACTTTGCATCCGTGATGGGAATGATTCAAGACCTTGTACGATTTACTCTACTTGAAAACCCCACCACCTTTCCCGAGTGTATGCTAATAACGCCGCACTAGGATCTTCATGGGAGACAATACTCCTGGGCAGGTAGTATTTTCTATCTTGGATACCTGGCCTTCTGCTATCCGGCCTCATACCTCATGGTCCGCCTTCCGTTAGGGAAGTACCTCAGTGCAACTTGGTATGTCATACATCCTATCATCTTCAATATTTACAGGCTAATGATGCAAACAAAGTGTTGTCTGGGCTGTAATCCTCACATGCCATGCGGCGACGTCCAATTTTATCGGTCTCATGGTGGTTCGAGCCCTCCTTGGGGCGGCCGAAGCGTCAATCTCGCCCGGATTTAGTCTAACGACTGGGATGTGGTACAAGCGCTCTGAACAACCACTTCGCCACGGAATCTGGTTCATAGGGAATTCATTAGCTGTCATGTTCGGCAGTCTGCTCGCATTTGGCATTGCACACATCAAGCACAGTCTTGCTCCATGGAGGGTAGGTGGCTGAGACCCTCTGTGAAACCTCAGAACTACCTGCAAGCATTGTACTGCTCGCAGTTCACTGCAATCTACTATTGGAGAACTTGTGCTAACAACATCCTTCTAGTGGCTCTTCATCATCTTTGGCGTCATGACTTTAGCATGGGCAGCCGTCCTTCTCTGGTACTTGCCCGATGCACCAAACACGGCCAGATTCCTCAGTGAGGATGAGCGTATTCGAGCTGTCGATCGAATCCGGAGCAATCAGACTGGGATGAAAGACAACCAATTCAAGTGGAAGCAAGTCTGGGAGGCCATGACCGACATCAAAGTGTGGCTTTTGGTGCTCTTCCAATTGGCAAACTCAATACCTAATGGAGCGTTCACTACGGTACCTAGGCTAAGCAACTACAGCTTGAAGCTTGACCCTGTGCTGACGTTTTACATAGTTCAGCAGCCTGGTGTTCGCAGGCCTCGGCTACAACAGACTACAAGTCTATTTATTGCAAATCCCCCTTGGCGCAGTTCACGGGATCTTCGCTCTTGGAGCCACATTCATCTGTAGCAGATACGCAGACTGTCGCTGCATCATTGCGGGATCATTGTGCATGGTCAGTCTAATCGGCAGTGTTCTGGTGCGTTATGGGCCCAACTTGGGAAGTAATCTACTAGGCTTGTTCGTGTTTGTTGGATATGTCGCCGGCATTCCATTGAGCTTGTCGATGATCAGCTCAAATGTTGCAGGCTTCACCAAGAAAGCTGTTGCTTCGTGAGTCTTGCTTTTCAAACAACCCTCTTCATGACAGGTACTAACACATGTTTCCACAGTGCAATGATGTTCATTGCATATTCAGCGGGTAATTTCATCGGCCCATTCTTGTTCTTCCCATCCGAGGCCCCATACTACGGTGTAAGTCTCCATTCTTGGACCTCTACCATATATCTAGCAATCGACTAACATATCAAGCAGAGCGGTTTCCTGGCAACCACGATCTGCTTTGCCTGTGCTGCGCTGTTCATCGGCACACTTCGAGTCTTGCTCGCCCGGGAGAATCAGCGCCGCGATCGTCTCCAGTCTGCGAACGGCACAGCTCCGAGTATCGAGTCAACAGATGACTTTCCCCTGACGAATGAGACAGACATGGAGAATCTGACCTTTCGATATGTTCTTTGATAGGCCATTGCGAATCAACCGTCTCAGTAGGAAGAAGGTTTCGAACCACGCAATACATTATGTGACTATATAGTTAGATGATACAGGCCCGCCTCTGTTCACTGGCAGAGTTGCGGATCCGTTAGATAGATTTCTAAGCTTGTGATCAGATGTTCAGAATGCTCAAGATGTTCTAATGTCTGACAGTGTCAGCTTCTGCGGGGATTAATTAGCCCCTATCTAGGCTTCAACACCTTTCATTGACTCTGGAAGCAGCATTGGACATCTGAAGCTCAGTCCGCATAATTCAGTAGCTAGTTCAATGTCACTGTTACTTCCGTCGCGAACAGTAACGATATGCCTGGCATCCATTGCCGTAGGTGCGAATCCCCCCAAAATAGCCGATCAGCAATTCTATTCAAACGCGAAGTAACTGTCCGTATCTTATCCGGTGTTAAATTGGTATACCATCGACACAAATAGTCCTTCGGCACTTCCGTTGAAATCTATTAGTCGGTTGCAACGAAGTGTATTGCGATGAGAATCCTGAGTACGAAGTATGTGCTGGTGATCTAGGCCAGCTAACAAGCTCGGCACGTGGTTCGGGTCAAATTTCTCCGATGGGTGCGGAAAAATGATAGACCGAGGATGGACACGTGACAACTTTTCGGTTCCCACTCCAAATTTCTTCAACCTCAACTACCGAACTCCTCACGTCTTCCTATTCGTCTTTCTTTTAGCCTCTCGATCTCGGAAGTTGAAGTGGCTGGGGTTCGCTCACAGTGCCCGTTCGGTGAGCTGAGTGACTCTGAGTCCGCAGCTGTTTCTCCTCCACCTTCCACCCTCCACATTTTCGCCTGACTCTTTCCATAGCTCCTTCCCCTCAACTTGCAGAAGTTCAACCCCTCACCTTCCACGTCCCAAAACCATACTGTTCGTATCTCCACATCCTGACTTGAAGTCGCTGTCCAAGCATCGCCATCTCCAACTTGACCGTCATGGACTCGACATTGTCGGCGACAGCCTCTGGTAGGATCAAGAGGAAGCAGTCTGGCAACAAGTCCAAAACTCTCCCTTGCCCGCACTGTCAACGTCTCTTTGCTCGCCTGGTATGATCGCATCCAATACTAACTCCATGATTCTACTGCTTCTGCCTCGGTCATCCACTGACTCAACACTTGTAATACAGGAACACCTTCAGAGACACATTCGTACACATACCAAGGAGAAGCCTTTCATCTGCGAAATCTGCTCAAAGACTTTCGCACGAAGCGACCTGCTTGTCCGTCACGAGAGGCTCGTCCATCCAGGCGAAGAAGATCAGCATACCACAAGAAAATCCCACAAACATCATGTTCAGAAGTTCAACGATACTGCGCATGTGGCTCAGCCACAGCCAGCTCATCAGCCCTCTTCTGATCCCATGGACATTACTTCCCAGCAGAGTCAACCCATGATGTCGCCTCAAGCTACCCATGAAGCGCGAGGCATGATGGATATGCTCGATCCACAGCTCATGCAACCTACCAATGGTATTTCGTCACAGCAACAACCCGTCATGGGCGCACCTCCTCTCGATCCTTCTTGGGGCTATGATTTAAATCTCCTCTCTCATGCTGCAAGCCATGTAGCTTCAAGTGGTCAAGATCATTACATGGCCAATCTGCCCCAGGTGTCTCATGAACAAATGCACGAGCCTCTACAGCAGATAATGCCTGTTGTCTCAGAAGCGCAGTATCAGCCTCGAATGCTCACAGAGGGATACGGCCATCCGACGCCTATGTTTGAGCCTCCTGATCTTGGTGATCCTATGCAGGACTTCACTGTCTTCCTTGATAGCGTGGGCCTATCTTCCGAATGGTATGCCAATATGTTTGGAAATGATCAGGTAGAATCTTATCAGTCGCCAGAACTCCGAGGCGACCACCTCAATATCTCCCGACCTCATTTGAATGGCGAACATCCACCGGATGCCAAACTTGGCGTACCACAAGATGAAACCGGCACCTTTTCTCGATTCGGCTCGCGACTACCATCCCTTCAACCAGAGTCCAAAGATCCTGACGCGAAGCCATCGGACCCTCGAAATGCCGCCATAGAAGAAATCGAAGCTGCTAAGGTTAGAACAAATTGGGACGTCTCTGACTCCGACCGACAGGTATTTGCAACCAAATTGGCGACCTTTGACACTGTTATGCCCAAAGGTTTTATTCCACCCTCACGGCATTCACTCTCCCGATATCTAGCCGGCTACGTTAATGGCTTCCACGAGCACTTGCCCTTCATTCATGTTCCCACTTTGCAAGTTGCCGGCAGCGCACCCGAGTTGATCCTCGCTTTAGCTGCTGTTGGTGCACAATATCGTTTTGAGAATAGTCGAGGCATTGAGCTGTTCTATGCGGCAAAAGCTGTGGTGATGGAACAAATTCGGCGACGTGATGAGCTAGCTCTTCCTCACTCATGGAACAGACCAAGGACAGGCTCGACGGCTCAATCACCACCGGGAGGTGGCTTCACCGCTCAGAGTCATTCCAGCAGTCCATTTCAATATGTTTCACCGGATGATGTGGTTCCCACTGATACCAAGGAGCAAATGGATTCAATTCAGGCACTTCTCCTGCTGAGCGCCTTCGCCACATGGGAGAGACATACTGAGTTGCTGCGTGAGGCTCTGGCTTTTCAGAGTATTCTTGCACGTCTGGTGCGCGAAGCAGGTCTAATATCACCGGAAGTATTACAACCTTCAGAGGAGCTGACTTGGGAGGACTGGATCAGAACTGAAGGAGAGAAGCGGACCAAACTGATTGTCTATTGTTTCTTCAATCTTCATTCAATCACCTGGAACATCCCCCCACTCATTCTGAATTCCGAAATCAAGCTCAATCTTCCAGATCCTGCAAACGAATGGAAAGCTACGACCGCCGAACAGTGGCAGAAGCTGCATCTAGCGAATGCCTCACCGCCAATATCTTTTCAGACTGCGTTCTCTCGACTCTTCACCAAACAGAGTCAAACTCCTCCAACCCCGATCTCACCGCTTGGAAACTATGTCTTGATCCACGCCGTCATCCAACAGATTTTTTTTGCCCGACAACTGTCGTTAGCTTGGCCAGGAGTTGCAGGATCCAGTTTGAGAATCGAGGACATTTCGGTGCTAGATCGTGGTCTGAGCTCTTGGAAGACAGGATGGAGACGGACTCCGGAGTCGAGTCTCGATCCCCAAAACCCCAATGGCCCTGTCGCCTTCACATCGACAGCTCTACTGGGATTGGCTTATATCAGACTGCATGTTGACATGGGACCATTACGGCATCTAGAGACGAGAGATGCCACACAGATTGCCACTTCATTGCTCAACACCCCAGACATACGTCGTGACCCTCGTCTGACGCCAGCATTACTGCATTCGGCACACGCACTGTCAATACCGGTGCGCCTAGGAATTGATTTTGTCGCACGCACTCAAACATTTTTCTGGTCGATACAGCATTCTCTCTGCAGTCTCGAGTGTGCATTCCTTCTGTCGAAATGGCTTGCTATTCTGTCCCGACTCGAGACAGAGGGCGGGCCTCCAGTCACAGAACACGAACGTAAACTTCTTTTGTGGGTCCGGAGTCTATTGGACGAGACAGAGATGACGATTCCCTTGGACGGTGATGCAAATGACCACACGCTTTTGCACGAATCACGAGAATTACTTGCCGACACTCAGAAGATGAAGGCGTTATCGGTTGCCGTTGTTCGAGTGTGGAGCAAGACATTCAAGGGCAATACTAGCTGGGCAATTGTCGACATGATTGGCAGCGCACTGGAGTTGTATGCCAATATGTTGGAGCAAGAACTTCTCGAACAGTGAACTGATTGTTCTTGAATTATGAAAGCATTTTGCTCTCTTGGCACAAAATGGGGGCGGGAAAGTAGATGAAGTTAATGAGCACACTTGCGGTCCCTACTATCGGCACAGAGTCTCGAACCGGACGATGCAATACGCATTATGCACCTTTATTACTGATTTAGCCGGCGTACACCTGTTTCATGGTAAATAGGTCCAAAATTTCGAGAAGACGGCACAGTGTGACGGGTCGGCCAACGTTTGATCAATGTCCTTTCTTTCCTGTGTCAACACATCCTTATCCAATACTCAGCGGGCCTGTTCACCTAGATTTGATCCACGGGAAGCAGTGTCATTTGAACAGAGGAAACGAGGACGGATATGTCGAGAGTAAATAAGAATTCATTATTGGTAAAAGTCCAAAAACTTTTGCCCCCTTGAAGCTGTCGCAGTAGGTCTTGAGAGCGGGCATCTGATGCGATTCCTCCTTTTCGCCTTACCTAATATCAGCCTCGTCACGGTTCTATTCGGTACATTTGGCGACAGTCCTTCTATCGACGCTGTGAAAGTCGTTTACTTCTTAGTCATTGACACTACGACTACTAGGTTCAGAGCTGATTAACAAAATACCTCCAGCTTGCCACGGGTGATAAAGGACTGAGTTAAGTCACCGACCTATTACTCAGTCCGGTCCACTGCGACCCATCTGAAGTACGACTGCGGATGCGAAGCACCACGATATGCGACCATTTGTACGAAGCCTGCGACACGGGATGACCCAGGGTTGCCAAGACTCAGGTCCATTTGCCCGATCACTATCCGTATAGCAATCATTGAACTGATTGTCTGAGAGAGCGACGGTATCAGCCAACCAATGAAAGCACTGCATTGGACTTTTAAAGTGGGATCTTCCCGTCTCCAACTTGGACTGCTTCAGTATCCAAGCCTCAGTCTGTCACGCACTCCCCACAATAATCGACCGCGTCTTGGTATCGAATCCTTCTCATCATTTCGCAGCATGGATATTCGTCAGTCGATTCTTTTCTCTTGTGTCCTCGTCGCGAATCGCGAGGACCCATAGTAAATTGTAACGTCTGTAGCCAACGGAGCAAAACGCGAGCTAGCCACTAAGTCGGGGTTAACAGAACCCGAAAATCGTGCAAAAGTTTTCCATGTCACTCGTGCGCCGGCCCGTTTCAGTTCGGAAGCTACAACTCCATTCTTGAAGATTCAAGCAGCTGTCCGTATAAGCTCAAAGTTTGGCTGGACTCTTCTTTTCCACAACTCGGTTTTTACCTCGGGAAGATGAAGACAACTGTGCGCTCTTCATATATCAAGACCTCTGGGTACTGAGCATGTGCTTCAGCAAGTCTCTTCCTAATCCCTTTTGAAAGATGCTCAGTGGTTGTCGTGTATGATGACCCACCAAAGCGACCACTTAGCGTGTGACTAATGGGCACGCTGGACGACATCATTCTAAGCTAAACTAAAGGTGACAACTTGCCCTTAGTTGATTCGCCAATCACTTAGGCTGAGCCTCGTCTCGGTGTCCAAAATTTCCACCCAAAAGATGCTCGTACGAACTATGACTGTCTGAGTACGGATGGAAGAGCCGATGATGATTATGTGGCGCTGTATGAGCAGAGACTGCACGCCTTTTTCATGACTCGAGGCACATGTGTTCTCCTGTATGCTCGTACATGACCGTGTGCCTGGACAGGCCTTTCGGTATCTCAAAGGGAAAAAGCATACGAGAAAGGTTCTTTTGGCAAGGGTATTTTTTCGGATCCGTGGTCTGATCGATGCACTGACAGTGGCGAAACTGCGAAAGATACGGATGATCATCGCCTATGCACTCTTAAGTCATTATTGGAAGGCACTTGCCAGTCTCGCTCTGTTGACTACACAACACGGGTTTCAGACCAAACAATCTCGGTCCACAAAGGCTTCACCTACATGCTCAGTGTCCCGTGTCTGTCCACTTTCTACAAGGAAAAAGTCAGCAACTAGGTCAGCATCTCGCGCTGGTCAGGTAGCTAGAGACAGGGATCTCAGCACAAGAATAAATTCCATATTCCCATCATCTACCCCGACGATCATTCTTTGCACAAGCTACAGACCCAACTTGGCAAGTTGGTAAGGGTCCTCGAGACGGATCGACAGCGCATATGCCTCCATTCGTACACCGTGAGTAAGGTACTCTGTACCGCTTTCGCATACTGAACACAGCCCGTCCCTTCAGGTATCTGCTACATGCCTAGGGGTAAACCTAGGTGACTTTCCGAGCCCCGAGCCAAATCTACTCCACCGCTGAGCGGATCATATCGTACATATGCAGGCCCCTCAATCGGTTCCCGCCATGCTTGCATTCCGCTGCACTGTCCTAGGCAGGCCTTTTCCGAAGTCACTGCGCGAATCCTTGTGAGTGGTGGTTTCCCTTCTGTTCAATGAGTGGAACTTGTCGCCGACACCTGTTGTGGTCGTTCGTTGATCTCCCGTCACAGTCAAGGTCAGTCCACCTGGTACCGCACACGACGATTCGTGTAGACAAAGATGTCACAATGGTTGCTAGTGTGGCGCTTGCAAGCCGTTTTCCTCACATAACTTTTTTTTTCTGCACTCCAGGGCCGAGTCCCGCAAGATACGGGTATAGTGGAAAGGAGACGGGGTTGCTTAAGACGATATAGGCAGGTCCCAGGGATGCTGATTCTTGGACAGAGTATCCCAAAACCATCGGCAATCCCCAATCCCCATTCCACCGACCGACTCTCCTGGGAACTCGAGAGACGATTCGCCCGCAAAGTCTAGCCGTCGATCTTCAACACGAGCTCTCAAATGCATAAAATCGGCCGGTGTCCGCTTTGTCGTCTTGCGTCCAGTCTCCAGTCTCGAGTGGTGTCGTCACGCGCTCCCAGGGTATATCTCCAGGCTATAGCCTCTCACGCTCAGGTCGTCTCGCCTGTCCTCGCCTGCAGGTAACTATTTGGATAGGCGCCAATCCACCTATTTCAGTCATAGTCATGCTTGTCCTGTCGCGGTGTCCATGGTCTTACCCCTAGTTAACTGACAGAACACTCCGTCGCAAGCAAGCGAGAGAACAACCGGATCTCCAGTCACACAGCCCGCCAACCAGCCAGTGGATGCAACAGCCTGTCACCACTACTTACTAATATCTACCGACTGCTGTACGAAGCACTGATCAGTCAGGCCGCTGTTAGTCCATGCTCCGTCCGGTTCGGACTACTCATATCGAGCCGTGTATATAAACCCCGCAACATCTCCTGTCCTTTGCCTGGTGGCCCATCCCACCTCCTTCTCACCCTTCTGGCAGGCCGGAAGGAATTCCCCCGACACCACCAGGCCGACTTTTGGCATCCGTCAGTCAGTCAAGCAATCTAGATTCCTGAGGAGGGGTCCTTGGCTGTGCGAATCCTTCTTCGACAGCCGAGATGGTTTTACCCGTTCTCGAACCTACATGGATGGCTACGTTGACTCTTGTCCCTCGACTGATCAGCCAATGATGATATTCTCAATGCCTACCATGGAGGAACAGCGGCAGGTCGTGAACGGTCTCATCGTTCTCAACCATACATAACACATGACCACGCTTACTGGAGTCGACCAATCGGCCTCGCCTTGAAAATTGGAATCGACGATGGGAAATCGAAGTATAGGATTTGATTCTATGCTCGTTGGATGTCTATGTTACATTGCAAGGGGAAACGGGCGCCCCGAAAATATTCAGAGGACACCAAAAGACTCCGCTGTGCTGTTGTAACCATGATTCACCATTTCCGAAGGTGGTTGCCACTCAGCATGTCTATGAGACAACGCCAGAAACATTCGCAATGGGGAATCTTAGCCAAGCAGCGCTCTATTCTACTCGATAAACCCCGCAAAACGTTTCGGGGTGTTCAGAAAATATCCGCCCAAGGTCATCGAAATATACCCTCAACGAGTTGATTTCGTATACGTTTTCTGTGAGTTCTGTCCAAGGTCGGTTGGAATGCGACATTATTCTCAGAGGTTTGTGAGGAAGCAATCCTAGGCGCGATGGTAAAGCTCTCGGTTGTTGGAGCAGTTGTATCCAATCTCCAAACTCGACCTTTTCAAGCCGAAAGAATATCGACAAGACGCTGGTGTGTTACCTCGGGGCAAACCAACTCGAGTTTTTGTGCAGTAAAAGGCACAAAGATCCATCAGGTAAGCAGTCTGGTTCAGCCTCAGACGTCGTCGACATCTTATGTGGATGTGCGATCATCAAAAGTACGCTCAGCTTGGTGGTGTGACGTTTTCCCGATGACCTCAAGACATCGAAAACTCAGTCAGCAGATTTTTTGACTTTTACAAGATCAACCAAGTTTGAGATGATTGCTCATTCATGGTAATGGGCTTTCGGCCGAACCATTCCAGATCATTTGGAGATGATCTGAAAGTGGGTTGAATGGCCAACCAGCTCGCTCTCTACTGGCTTTCAGAAGCTTTACGACCTCCTGCCGCTCCCGGGGATCTTGAATACACAGGCCCGCTAGAAAAGTTCGGTCAGTCAATGGAGAATGATCGGAGATGGAACGTCCTTACCGATGAACAGGCATTGAGAAGACATAATGCTCGAAGCATCATCTGTGAGGGTCGAGGCGAGACCGCAGATTGCATCGGTATATGTTTTGAGCAGTGCTTGTTGTGTCATGAAGTCACCAATACCCCTCAAAGCAGGTCGATGACAGAGTAACAGGATTTTCGCTGCATAATGCAACTGGAGCGCAACACCTGGTATACTTGTCAGTACGAAGGTGGGTGCACAGGTTTTGGGGACTTACTGAATGCTGGGGGATGTACCCAAATCGGTTCAAAAACACTGCCAGCCTTGGAAGACATTGGTAAGGAACTAAATTCGATCGGCAAATTTCGGTGCCACTCGTCAAGCAGACTGGTCAAATGGTCCGCCTTCGCGATACGGCTCTTAAAATTACGCTCGCCTTGGTCAATTTCTGACTGAGAGCAATACGAAACCACTCGTGCCATCAAATGGACGGAGCGAGCAGCGAATTCATAAGGCGTCATGTTGCTATAATCTTTTGTGGGGGTCCAGGAAGTGTAAGGCTTGCGCTTCTCTCGGAATGCTGCCCAGAGGTCCTGAGAAAGCCATGCCCACCAGACGGCTTGTTTGATACCTTGGGATTCGCCATGGATGAGCTGGGATCTTTGGAGTCGGTAGAACCCTTGAAGATGTCTTTCCCAATCCTTGCGTGAACCATCGATCATCTCATATGCAGAGATAATCAGACAAGTGGAGAGAAGTTCGTCACTTCTATTATATGAATCGTGTTTCATTGCATCCTGGATATATCGGAGTGCTTCGTGGTAATATTGTACAGCGTCGTTTCGATTGGGAGTTATCTTATTGACATGGCTAGGAGTCAAAGACAAGTGACAGATCGAAAGCGCGAGGATAGCATTCAACAGGCCAATGTTATGCATGGCGAGATGAGGTATATGTGTGGAAAAGTTTTGGAGCGGATCGAACAAATCGAGCCATCGACTGATCCGAGCGACAAAATTGTCAAAGATCTCGACTTCACGTGGTGTCATGGTCAAGACATCTTTCGATCGCCATTGATGAGATTCTATTGCCAGGGCTTGGTCTTCAGATCGAGGGACTAGGCTGATTCCAGAGGGTTGACTGCCTGCTTCTGCAGTACTGGGTGAATACTGTTGGGTATCCACAGTAAAACTATGAGACGCATCCATCGTCTCGGGCTGTTGCGTGTATGAATTACTTCGTCTGCGGCCAGCCCAGTCGGCGTCGGAGCTGGGACTTCCGTGTCGGAAATCTGTGTCACCAGCCAGTTGTCCGAACCATTTCGCAACCGCTGCATCTGGGTTAATCCTCGAACTTCCTGGATGAGAGGTGATTGGGATATCGTCTGAACCAGTGTACGAACGGGCAATGCTGACAGGGCCGTATGTGTGTCCGTATGGTGCAGAAGGGGACATCATCTCGCTGTGTAATGATGGCGGACCGGGGCTAAAGCGGGTGGAATCCAAGTCATCCATTATTGGCGTCCAGTGAGCTGGCATGCCTCCAATTCGATCATACTCCACTCCATTAATAGAGTGAGGTACGGAAGTGTGGCGGACGTTTCTTGCCTGCCAACCTGTCGCTCGAGAGGCAAGGTGTGAAGGCTTGTCTCCCGAGGCATTCCTATGGCTCCAGGAAGTCCTCAGGGCCAGCTCGAAACTTTCAGATGGGTCTGGATAATCGAGATCAGGATTTGTGATGACTGATGGGGCGGTTGAATTGGTCATAGAAGGTGTTGTCGAGGTTTGTTTTGAGGCCGAATTCGAAGTCGAAGTCGAATCTGAATGAGAAGAAGCATTTGGGTCTGCGTAGACACAGGGATGATTGCTTCTCGTACATGGTCCACAGATGGGTTTGGCCTCGTTGCATTTCAAGTGACGCTTCCGGCAAGTGAGGCAGCCTGTGCGCGTTCGAAGACCTCGCCCTCGTGGTTTGCGCTCCCTTGTACGCGTGGGTTTCTTAGAAGAGTCGTGGGATGATAGAGACATGGTGGTGACAGTGGAAGGCTGAGTTTTCTGCATCGATCAGGGTATAGTAGTGCGGTATTGAGAGCCAAAAGACGACAACATCGGGACACAATGGACGTGTAAGTAGGGGTTAGATCTGGAGGCAAATATGCCACGTTAATATGCAGACAACCCGTGCTCGGGTCTCAAGCGATCGGGATGGGAATCTCTTCTCAATGGGGATGTGGTGTGAATCATACGTCGATTCCTATAGCGGTGATGTAGCAGATCGTAGTGGAGGTGGTCAACAAAGTTCAAGCCAACCCTATCCAGGTGATGGTCTACATCGGTGGGAGAACGGTGCAGTATTCCGTGGACTATACTCCCTTGAATTTCGAAGTATGAGAATCAAGGTTTACCCAAGGCCATGAGTCGGGCACACAGGGCTACTGGGGCCAGGGTTGCAGACCGGGTCGAGTCCGCCAGGGGGGGGAAGCTACGAAGGAGTAGCGAGCTACTTCGCTAATTCCCATCAGCCAGTGCAGATTCAGTGGAGAACTCGTTTCTCATAGCTTTAATGCTTGCCTTTCGTTTGGAAAATGACAAGAGCCCCAAAAGACTCCACTACGACAGGAGCAACACTGCATGGGTAGGGTTGGACCCCTGGAAAGCTTCTTTACACTTTGGCTATTCCAGAACCGTATGTTCTGGGAGTGCAACTCGGTGGATTCGCCCATTATACCGATGAAACCTGTAGGTGGGTAATATCCTGCCAAATATCTGGTGCAGCGGTGATCGTCATTACTTGCCTGTTTGAAGTGCGATGCAAAATAGCAAATTAACATTCTATACTTGGCCAATTAATACGGGACGGCAGAAGCAGAAGCCATTCTGCAAGTATTTTCTTTCACTTTCCTTGGGGACACATTTAGGCCTCCTTGGATTCTCTGGGCTTGCCCACTAGCCCCCGGATCTGCCCTTTAACCCTTTGATGGTGCTGGAGTCACATGGCCAGCGGGCCCATCTTTGTTTTACTCCCTACCGAAGCACCGTCCATATGGTGTTTTCTAACGGTGGTGAGGCACGGGCACGGCTGGACTCGTATCTGCAATTACTCGTTAGTGGGTGTGGACTTATCCTTTCGCCCAGCGAATTCCAGTCACTACAGATTCTGATGTTCATCTGTTCTCGGTCCAATGGGCAACCTTTGATGGACTGAAGTATCCTCCTTTCCAACGGTCGCCTACTCACCGACTCCCATCACCACTGCTACAGTAGGCATCAGGTTTCAAGGGCAAGGGAAGGGATGATCCATCCAAACTCTAGACGTGAAAGGCTCCATCTCATTCATCAGAAACGTTGCCGCAGTTCGTGGTCTTACGAGTTACAACTTGCAGATTTGCTTCACACTAACAGGGGTGGGGGACGGGAGACACATGCCAATCGCATGTCCACACTTTCCAAGAACATTCGAATTTGAAAATGACCCGCTTCCAAGAAACGCCGCCTCTAACGATTGTCCGCAATAATGGGGGCCCTCACCTCACGTGGCAGGGCACTACTGCAAATGCAGAACTGGCCAGCATGGAGTACCTCGTCCTTAGCCCATCGAGCGGAAGTGAGGCCGTAGGGATCTTCCGGATCAGGCTGGGCATGGAACCTTCGTGAGTGGTCCCTCGAAATGATTTGCAACCATGAGCGTCTACTCTGTAATGTCTTTCGGCCAGTCTGGAAGACATCAATATCACGGCTGTGAACCAAGTCCTCTGAGTACGGAATTCAGAATGCCACTGGCTCAACACTGTAACATCACCAATATCCATGGCTCCCGAAACCAATCACAAAGTTACGCCCATGTCCACGGAAGATAATCTTCAGCTCACATTGACGGAGGTGGTGTTTTTCATGCATTTCCATGCAGCCACACTTTTCTTGCTTTTTCTTCTGGAAGGCTTTTTTTATCGCCAGCAGGCGATTGATTGTGGATTGTTGCCAAGGAGTAGCCGCCGCCCGAACGCTACCTAAATAGGCATGGCTGTCAATCCCGGTAAACCTTTGGTATTCTTCGCCAAATGGCACGCGGGTTGACGCGAACCAAGTGACATCAGTAGTGCCATCTTCCAGGACCAATGTGGCATGCCCGGAGAATGGAGACAGGGACCACTCGAAGCTAGGCTTCAGCTACTCTTACGAGTATAATCACTCTTCACCACCCCTCGTCATGATTGGGAACGAGTGCCTTGTAGGTACCTCTTCAATGGCCAAACTGTGCAATGTTCGAAGTGCAACTCTGTAATCTCCTCCTGGCTACGTCTGCGGCACTCATTTGGGAGCAAACAAAATACATGTGGGAAGCCCGTCAGATTAATCCTTGCCTACCCTTGTTGCTGCAGCGTATCGACCTTCCTCTTGAATTCATGAAGATTCATGAAGATTCATCATCACAGAATAGCGGTAAGATGCTTGTCGCCTTTCCTCCATGGAATGGCGCTCATCAGGGCTGCATACCAGACTGAGAAGAAAGCGAGTTACGACCCTTCTACTACTTGTGCACTTCCACAAACTTGGTTAGAGTTGAACTCAACTGGCCTCGACTCGTACGGATGAGACCCTGCCTCATGGTAGCCAATCGGACAAGAGATTCATTCACTCTATTCGCTCGGTCGTGTCCTTCAGCCTGACCAATGCACTCGGGTGAAGGGCTCAATTCATCGGTTCTATCTCGCGAATACCCCCTCTGGCATCACTTGACATTGATCTGATCGACAATATGGCTCGGAATCTTGCCGAAATCTAAGTAAGCGAAAGTAGGAATTATTATCCCCGATATTTGAGCACATTCTGAATCTGTGGTCATTCTTGATGCATTTGCCAGGTGCTGTTGTCATCTAAAGTTCTGAAACAACTCAAGAACGCCAAACCACTAGGGAACACGAGATTCTCGAGCCGTCTCCCCACCAGACCTGTGAAACTGGCAAGTAGCTGGCTTGTCGGTATTATCGAGGCCTCATGATTCTAGACTCTCATTCAGGAAGTACGTTACGAAGCACTTAATGGAGAACTTGGCTTTGCACCTTGTCCTAATGATGAACTTCAGCTCTCCTCCGTAGGTCATTGAATGCCGTTAGTGGGAAACCGCTGAGGACCAACAATCGAACCAATGAACTCATGTAGCGCTCATGGCAATTTAACTTCCAGCCTTCCCATCCGGCGCTTATTGTTGCATTTGCTAGGGAAACCTCCGTACTGAGCCTCTGTGTTCCTTACCGAGCCCTTGGCTCACGTCTTCAAACAACACGACGACTTCAAATGGAGATGAAACGCTACCCTGCATTTGGAGGCTCGTTCTCGTGAGCCAAGCTGTTGTGTGCATGAGACCCGCACAGAATAAATGACCACGGATAAGGGTTGATTCTCGTGGATAAGTCCAGCCATTGTTGAGCGGTGCTGGTTGCATATACGACGGGGTTCGAATGGAGCAAAGGCCAACAGTACGGAGTATTTCACCATTCGTCCAGCATCAAGTGGCTTTCCGCCAAGCTTCAGTCCGTGGACAGCAATTGGACTACGAGGAGATAGAGTTGCCCTCTTCCTTTGTTAGATCAGTCGCTCATGCTGAATATGGCTTATTTGACATCCACAGTGTCCGAGTACAGGGCTTCCCGTGCACAACAAATCGGACAACATGGCATCCATCGGGCTCAATCTGTTAGGGACGGATGCGCTGGCCCTTTCCTTCGGGTTGCAAACCGGACCAATCGCAACGTAACCGTCGGGGCTCGGGAATTCCGTCGATCGAGATGGACCATGAAATCCCGATCCCGAAGCCAATATTGAATCGGTCTTGTCCGTGCAATCAAATATGATTAATACCATCATGGGTAGATCTTTCAAACGCAAGACAGAAAAGGTAGCACCACTCCCTCCCAGATTTACTCGTGCTACTCACAAGTCACGGGCGCAAGACCTTTGCATAACCGTTTTGCTAGGAAGCTCGGAGCGACCCTGATCCGAACGAAACATGTTGTGACTCTCTCAAGTGATATACCGAGAAGCCGATTCGTGTTTGTGGTGTTAAACTTTCGATGATGCGTGATGGAAGAATAATAGCCCTATGATTGGGAGTTAAGCGGCCCAATCGAGAGTCTTTCCGCTGGCACTACCGTTTGACAAGGGACTGTCTGCAGCGCGCTCCCTCTATCTCTCACAAAGATCATGCTTGAGTCCTTCACATTTACAAAGCATCGTCGGCCTCGGAAATCAACGAAAAATAGCAAGTATACTTTGTTCAGACCAGAGTTTCAACATCGCCTGAGTTACATGGGCTGGAAAGGTGGATGGGAGCTTTGGGAGTTCGTGACAGGAAACCACTTCCGCGGCCTCTAGCCCGACGCCGCGGATGTGAAATACGGATAAGATATTAGAATCTCATGGGCCGAAGGGTGCCAAAGGGTGCCGAAGAGTGCCCCGGAGGCTCTTAGGTTATTCAAGGTTACTATTCGTCAAGTCTCCGGCGCTGACGGGAGAAACCCTAATACTTTTGACCAGATGGGTTCCAATCGATGGGAATATCCCCTCGACCGCGAGATGCAAGTTGAAAGTTGCAAGTCCTGAATCTCGACCGTGTTTGCCAGTAAAGACTATAACCAATCCTAGTGGAACTCGATATCATGGGAACCATTCTACGGCCACCATTAGGAAGTACTTGATGTTGATATCTCGACACTGGAAACCCTCTTGCCTCGGCTCCCGCCCCCACCTAAACAATACCTCCATGCAAGATTTCGGCTCGGTGTGGGGCTCGCAGTTGTGTTCCGTTGAATAACAACTTGGCTGCCGATCATGTCGACAATAAAGTTGAACGCAAAGCACACCATGGCAAGCACAGCAGTAGTACTGGCAACCTTCCAAACGGCTCTTCCCGCCGTGGAAAAGAAGGTTGTCGGCGCGCAACTGGCAGGTGGGAGATGAACGTACGCTTGCCTGATTCGGCGACCTTATCGGATAACTTCCGTGGCATCAAATTTTCCTTTTTGGATACGCGCCAACTTATTTGCCGACAACGTTATGCCAGTGGCAGACTTCCTGCCCTTTTTTTTCCAAAGTTGCAGAGGTGAGTCAACCTATACCTTATTCTGCAGAAGCTCGAGTCGACCAGCAGAATGTTCACGCAGGGACAAATGCTCATTTGGCAAGCGTGCTGCACCCTTGGTTCTCTGGTGGCTTCATGATGGTGTTGGCATGGCCTGCGAATTTACTATGGACACCCGGTATACAGATATATTGAGGTTGGGCGTGTGTGTAGTGTGGTCTGATGGCTGGAAACCCATGTCCTGTGTAGTACAAACATGCACGGTCGTGTACGGAGTATGAGGGAACGACCTCGTGATCGTCAACTGCCCTGTTATTGTCTCGGGTTGTGGGCAATTTCCAGATTTGTTTAAAAAGTGCGACGGTGGATAATGTCATGATGCAGCAGCCACTGCATGGGTTCGCATCAATTTCTATAAACTTCTGTCGATTACGATGACTTCTATCCGTACCAAGGCTCCAAAAACAATCACTTGCACACATTTCTTACCGCAGGTTTGGCCATGCATGTACGGGATGAAAGGACAGGGGTGAGACGAGAACACGAGCCCACGTACGCATGTGGCTTGGCGCGCACATGACATGACAGTGTGGATCAAAAGCCGAAAGTCAGCCTAAGAGTGCCGCTAGACTAGCTTAGTCAGGGCGGGCCGCCCCCATGATCTAAGCTTAAGTTGGGCAGGTCATCGGCAAGATAAGATAAGATTGATCGCACGATCACGTGCGCGGTTCATTCCGAAACGCCTTGCTCGTGTTCCGCCGTCACCACCCACCGCTCGACATTCAGGGTCAGCCTGATGCCCCCCTGTGATTGAGGATCGCGAGTGTTCACTTTCATCTCTGGCCCAGTTTTCGTGCAGAAGAAATTGATGGAAGAAAGACACACAAACTGTCCCTTCCACGGCGACAAGCTGGGGAATCCACGCAGATCCCTGACTTGACGAGAGAGTCTGGCGCCGCGCCGTTCGATAACTTGTCCCCATAATTGTGGCCTGGATCCTCAAAATGGAGCCCTTCGTGTTTATGGAGGAGCGGTGGATCTGGTGAAGAGGTTCCACTGCGCTGTCAGGCCACGGGGAACAAGGAAGAAGATGACAGCGGCGACGATGCCCAGATTCGTGCGAAAGTGGACGTCTCATTCGTGTTTGGGGCTTTGCTCCGAACATCATCAGCTGAAGATGCTGCGGTGGCTTATCGAGGGCCTGGTGTCCTCATTCTTGTGTGAAGGTCTGAGCGATGGTGAGCTGGGTTTGATTCGATTGTTTTTCAGTCTCCCACTCACAGAACATGGTTGGATCATATTTACATGTGTATATACAAAGACAGGGATACATGTCCGTCTCCCTGAGGTGGTATCTGGTTAACTATTGCTTCGTATGGTACTATTAACTAGTGCCAGTAGTTCTTTAGGTGAACATGAAGCATATCTAGCTAGTTAGCGAGCTAACTGCAGAGTCGATGCCCAAATCATAAGTAGTGATGTACTGCTACGAGGTACTCATCGTTTGGTTCGTACTGCTTCATGGAGCCACTTGGTCAGGATCCCAGTGCTGGTAGATATCCATACGGATAGAAAGTCTTTGGGTGGTTGTCCCACGCCCCATGTTGCTATCCTCAATCCTGGTTTCTGAGTGATGATACATAGTCCATGAAGCATCTTGTACCCTCAATGGTCCGATATTAGTGCTGGTGCATCAGTTCCGGTCGATCTCATCAGGTCAAGCACTCGCCAGTTCCGGACTATGCGCCCCATATAATTAGTTATTCATTCGCAGTCCTCTCGAATGGCCTGCAAAGATCTTGGAAAAACAGATTAAGTTATCGATCGTGACACTGTACTACGAGACTACTCGCAAATTCCCCAGATAGCACCAATCGTAAAGTGGATTCTACTGGAGTCATAAGCGGATGCTCGTGCCAATTCACTGACCGATTTTCCCCAAACAGTGCAAAGAATCGCGTAGCCTAGTAACGTGGATTCAGTGGTTCATTGTTGTTATTCCTCCATCGGCTCGATCCTAGCTTGGATGGTGTCGGAGCAAACTGACCACACCTTGATTGTAGTGAAATAGCTTCATCTGCTGTAGTTGACGTGCATTGGGTTTTTACCTGTCCTGCTGGCCTTTTGTCACCGACGCAGAGAAATAAGCTGTATAAAAGGCCTGTCTGTCGTTAAGTAATCTGTCTCATCGTGCATGATGACAGGAAATGCCAGTTGATAGGCTGGGGAGAAATTAATAGGAATGAGTCCGGCAAACCCATAAAGATGGTAATCAGACTTAAGAAGAGCAGGTGCGATCCGTCTCATCAGGTGATATTCGACACAGAGACCAAGCGTGGTCTTCTGATGCTCGGTCTTGAAGCTATCTAATGACCGAACGCGACCGTTGATCAAGGAAGCAGCTCGGAAATGTATCGTGTAGGTAAGACTGGCGGACGCCAATCTGGGTCAGGGAAAGTCTCTCACCACCGACAAACTAGTTAGTGTTGCTACCAACAAGCTTAACCCATCCTTACTCCCCTCGTCCCACGTGGCCGTAAACTAATGCCCCCAGCTACCTTAGTAGCATTCAGATGTACTGACGGTGACGAGTGGTCGGCTGGAACATATATTCGTGCATGCATGATGTGCATGGCTCGTGCATTTCTGCATGCAATAAGCATTCTGGAACCCTTTCTGTGGAGCATGGCATTAATTAGATAGCGTAGAGTGAAGCCAGGGCTTGCAATGGAGTCGGAAGAGCAATGATCTAGTGATGCAGCGAATGATGCCAGAGGATCGACAGCTTGAATTGAGAGAATAGCGCATTGGCTTGTTCCAATTAGAGGTTCATTCTGAAAGTAGGCCTAGGAAGAGGCTTTTAAGGGCCTTCCCGGGTTCACGCACTGCACTGAGCCTGACCTGTATCAAGGCGTGTTCTGTCTGTGGGCGCCTGTTCTTGTAGAGTGAGCAGTGAATGAGCCGTTGACCATTAAAAGTATTTAGACAGGTCTTTTTGGTACCATTGGTCTCGGAATGGTAGATCTGCAAGCATCCCATCCAGCGACAGTAGCAGTCTGATCTTCAAGCCGTGCGCTGTGAGCTTAATGCAAGCGTCGAGAGCCAAAATAGTCTGCGACCAATGCTGGCAGGGATGGCACTACCTGCGTTGCAGTAGTAGGAGACAGTCCATGAGGAAGCTAAGGGTAACGTAAGTTGGCAAGGGCCTGCCTACGGTGGAGGCCGCTGCTTGAGGGTCAGAGAGAGGAAAGTCTGACCCGTGGTGACCACCACATGGCATTTCCGGAAGAGTGATGGGAAGTCGTTGATCGACCATCGTTGAAGGCTTGCGCTGTCCTCACATGGAGTGTTCTGCCCACGCGGAGCTGTTCCGAGAATCTTTACGTGGATTTGCCAGGCTTTTTAGGTCTTACTTGTGATTAGAGCCTGAACTGGGCTCTAACATCATTCGTGGATTGGTTAAAAGGAGAGCTGATACCCTTTGCGACAGGTACATAGACTCTCGCTCTCTCTGAGCGAGAACAATGCCCAATAAAAGTACGGTTTTAGTGTCCATTTGGTGGAGAGCGAAGCTCGTGGCTGCAACGCAGTGAGGCTTCCAGATTGACGAATTTCTACTGATCTCTGATCAGACAGATCTGCAAAGAGGCACACTTGCACGCATGTCGATGTGGAATCGGATCTTCACGGTGATCATCGGCCGGCAGTTGCCCGGAAGTACTGTACACTAGTCTCAGCAGCGCTCAGGCCCTTCTCCGAGCAACAGCAAAGGCCATGGGTAGCTATTGTTAACGTGATCAACCACCCATGGAAGAGTTGTCGTCGAAGATTTGTTGATCTCCGATTTGGTTGCGTTTGGCTTCTGGAGCTGCCGGCCAATCTCATCCTGCAGATGGTGGTTCAGGGCTTTCTCTTGTATTTCAGTCGGAGAATCCTGGCTGTTCAGGATGCCAGGCATGCCACCCAGACAACAATAGGCGGGACGATCTTGGGTCGGGTTAAGCCAACCCTTCGGACTGCATTTCCGGTTCGTTGGTTATGTTTCATCAGCTAGTGTTTCTCATCGAGCGCTTGGGAGACAAAATTTTCGACAGGAATCGGTATATGGGAAAAATAGTATTGATTTCAACATCTGCGAATTCCAGTAACTGGTCGTAGGCTTGCTATACAAAGAAGAGTCATCTTCGACTTCAATTCATGGAACCAATGAAGGTCCCGAGTGGAATACGTTGTCCCACAGTACCATTCGATACTTGAGCAGAGGTCTTTACTTTTTCTCACTGGGTTCCAGCATGAGCTCTGGTCGAACATATTTGTCAAAATCTTCCTCAGAAATTGCCTTCAGCTCCAAAGCTGATTGCTTCAACGTTAAGCCCCTCTTATGGGCATTCTTGGCAACTTTCGATGCCATATCATAACCAATGACCGGGTTGAGACAAGTGACAAGCATAAGACTGTACGAATTGTGAGCAAGAATTTTCAGAAAACAATTAGGACAAACAAACCTTTCATGGAGGAGAGTGCCGATTCTCTTCTCATCGGCCTGTAGACCGACAACTAAGTGGTCCACAAATCCATTCATGGAGTCAGACAAAATTCTGACACTGTGTAGAAGGTTTCGGATCAATAAAGGCTTGAAAACATTTAGCTCAAATTGTCCACTAAGACCTCCGACTGTGGCAGCTGTGTGATTGCCAATAACTTGGGCGGCGACCATAGTCAAGGCTTCGCACTGAGTGGGATTGACCTTGCCAGGCATGATACTACTGCCAGGTTCATTCTCGGGTAAAATGAGCTCACCCAAGCCACAACGAGGACCTGAACCGAGATATCTAATATCTTGAGCGATTTTGAAAAGACTGCATGCCAGCGTGTTGAGAGTTCCGGAAGCCTCGACGATGCTATCATGAGCAGCAAGCACCTCAAACTTGTTTGGGGCGGTAACGAATTCAGTACCTGTCAGTTTAGTTACCTCTTCAGCAATACCTTCGGCGAAGCCTTTGAAGGTGTTAAGCCCAGTACCAACGGCGGTTCCGCCCTGGGCTAATTGCCTGAGATGGGGAAGGACAAACTGAATTCTTTCAAGGTTCCGGTCTAGTTGGGCGACATATCCACTGAATTCTTGTCCGAGGGTCAGAGGTGTAGCATCTTGCAAGTGTGTTCTACCAATCTTAATGATATGGTCGAATGACTCCTTCTTCTTCTGCAGAGCGTCTCGCAGGTTTGTCAGAGCGGGAATCAGCTTCTGTTCGAAATCGAGCACGGCGGCGATGTGCATAACGGTAGGGAAGGAATCGTTGGAGCTGGCGGACATATTGACATGGTCATTTGGATGAACGGGCTTCTTGCTACCTAATTCGCCGCCAAGGATCTCGATGGCACGGTTGGAAATGACCTCGTTTGCGTTCATGTTGGACTGGGTGCCAGAACCGGTCTGCCAGACAACAAGGGGGAAGTGATCGATCAATTTCAGACTTGCGACCTCGGCGGCGGCTTGCTGAATAGCTTCACCAACCTTGGGATCTGCGAAATGTGTCAGAGCGGGGTTTCGAATTTGACCAGTGTGAAGCTCCAAACATACCCAGGCCATATTTCATATTGACGGTAGCGGCAGCACCTTTCAATATGCCAAAAGCACGCACGACACCTTCCGGCATGCGATCTTGTGGTTGATTGATATTGAAGTTTCCCAGTGACCTTTGTGTCTGAGCACCCCAGTACTTGTCGGACTCGACCTCGATGGGACCAAAGGCATCGGTCTCTGTTCTCGTGGACTTGGCCATGATTGTGGTAGTGCTAAATGCTTTGTTGGTGGGGACAGAGACTCGAGAGGGTATCGCAGTGGCAGTAAGAGGTCGTAGTGGAGATTTCAGGGAAGAAGAGTAGAAGCGCAGAGCAGGACTTCTTAACTGTCGTAGTAGTGGTCGGGTTAAACAGCTACTCCGCATTGTACCGGTGCTGGAAGCATGTGAAGAAGCTGAGAACACGGCCCGATTTAACATTTTGAAGGCTGTCAAAGCAGGCGGAAATAGAAGACCAAGTGAAGTTGTCGTCAAGCACAAATGCACCAAAATGAAGAACCAGTGTACTCGATCGATCTTGCTGCTGATGGTAGATGGACCTTTTTTTTTTATTTTGGCAACATGGGGGAAAGCTCCTAGGGCGCTCCTGCCATGACTGCGCGATATCGGAAAAACTCGCGAGCCGCCCCAACGACGTTAGTCGCGCCTTCTCTCCAACATTGGAAGGTAGGTGCATCATCCGATGCTGGGATCGATATATTATTGTTGATAGCGAGAATACCCGGAGCTCAGTGATCCTCAGTAATTACATAATATCTAGACAATTCAAAGAGCATTGATTCTGTCAATTATTATGCCGTTTGTTACCGTGCATTCGCAAGACCCATATGACGCTCTGAAGATACAGTACACCTGGGCTGTCGCCAATCCTAACACTTTGGGTATCTCTACGTATGAAACGTTGTTGCTCAAAACAAATCCCCTTCTAATCAGACCATCTCGCACCTTGGCGATCTCTAAGCTGTGCCTTGAACAGTCGCGAGTGCCTTTCCAATCATGAAATCCTTGCCCTTGGCAAATTTGACAATGAAACTCGGGACTCCCCAACCAAATGCAACACCAACTCCTTGGTTGGGTCCGATGGGCACGAACATCATGTCGCTGGCAATTTTCTTGTAGACGTTCTTGGTACGAGGTCCGGGTGCTGTATTATTGTCAGTGACTCTGTCTGTGTAACATTGAAACTTCCACTTACCAGTTCCCGAAAGATCACTGCGGATGCTCTCCAGGAATGCACCCTTGGCGAACTGGACGTCCACAACAGAGCCATTGGAGTAAGAGCCGACAGATCCATAGACATAGACATCGGTCACGCCTGGTACGTCGAGACGAAGGGTCTGAGGGTCAGCCTTGACCTTTTGCTTTTCGTTCAACCACTCTTGAGGTACAAATTTGGTGTTGGGCTTGTCTCCCGTGGCTTCAATGTAGACATCCACTGTTTTGGTCTCTCCATTGCTCAACTTCAAGACGTCCTTGCCATTCGCCTTGGTGTGCTCAACCACGCGAACGCTATCATGGATGACTTTGACACCTTGCTTTTGTAGACGGGAGGCTGCATTCTGTCCGATCTTCTGGTTTTGAAGGCTGGCCAGAAGGTTGGTGGTACCTGACAGGAGGGTGATTTCCTTCTTGGTCCCGTAGAGTTCGCCGAGCTCGCCAGCAGTCTCGACACCTGCAGCACCTCCACCAGCGATCAAAATAGATTCGGCAGCAGGGAGTCGCTGATGCAGGTCTGCAATGGCATTCTTGGTAGCCTCGGTGCCATCAGAGACACTCCAGATTGGGGTGGCAAAGCTGGTTCCTGATGCAATGATGAGAGAGTCATATCGAACAGCAGTAGATGTGCTGGTGTGGACTGTCTTGGTGGAGGCATCGATCGATGTGACATATGCTTTTATGAACTCGTACTTTTCAGGACCGTACTGTTCAAAGGCAGAGGCAATTGGAAGGAGGGCCTTCTCGAAAGGGAGGGAGGAGGGGTTGGCGATAAGTCGAGGAGCACCGATCTTCCAGAAGAACTCCTCGTTGGGGGCGATTTGGACCACTTTGAACTTCTTGCCTGAGATGGTTGGAAGGACGGTCTTCAGGAGACCGTGGGCGGCGGTAAGGCCGGCGAAGGAAGCGCCGATGATGACGATCTGGTGATCAGACATGATGACTGCTTGTTCGAATGATGAGACAGGGAGAAGAGGGAGTATACGGTGATGAGCGATGAGTGAGCGTACAGGAGTGTGAAAGGGATGGTCAGGAGAAAAATCGAGGAGGGACAACAATAAAAAGCGTCAGCGACGGAGAAATTTGGACGCGGTGGCCGATGAGGAGCAGTAGCGGCGGGAAGGTTGGGCTTGTTGAGTGGAGACGGACGGGGGGGAAGATTCCAAGAGTACGAGTACTCGTCCTTGAGGGTAATTGAATGGCCAAAGCTGAAGCCTGAAGGTGAGACAAGACACACGGCGGCTGAAATTCAAGAGGAACAATGAACTGGAGGCCTCATCATGCATGTTTCCCAGTTCCCATTCCATATTTATCTTGTCTACGTCTTACCACCCATCGGGACCAGGACGAAACCTTTCAAGTCTGCTTACAATTGCAGCATCGATGAGCTTACCAAATATTTATCTCGACATGTTGCAATTTAGACTTCTCCGACGCGTGGCTGCAGCGCGACGGACTATCTGCGCAGCCTAGTCCATTGCTGGTCGATTATGCATGTGACTTTTCGCCCGAGTGCCGTCAGCGATCCTCGATTTTCTCGCACGAATCGTCCTCCCAATCACGTGACAACGGCCATGGACGGGAATATGGATATATCAATATATTTGTGCATCCTTGGCAATCATTGTGAACCATGATTGTCATTGCCATTATTGCTAGGCCATAGGTCTGCTCGCCAACATATCTGGACCACACGGACGATGATGTTGATGCTGCTCACATGTTAATTCTTGTCCGAACAGCCTGGTGCAACCAGTGGCATGCACCAGTACTCTGTTCAGCGATCAGTCATGCTTGATCAAGCAGAAGGGATCCACTTACTTTGATGCGAACCCGCTATAGGGAGGGAACCAGATTTTATACTGTGCGAACTGCGTCGAGATATCACCCCGCGCTGCGACGATTCTCCCGGCGATCATGAAACGATAAGAGCGAACTTGATGCTGCCGTGACGATCAACATGGACCCGATGGAATATATTGCGTTTCCATAAAAGGATGGCTCCTGCAAGTTGAGTTGCCGACAGCGGACGGCGATCCAGAATCTCTCTTTCTCTCTTGGTATCTACCCACCAGCTCCGCCAACCCTGTCAGTCAACAAGCGACTGAAAAGAATCAGAGCGGGGACCATGAAATCCTCACTGGCTTCCAGAAGTGCAAAAATTGCGTGTTGTCGATGATGTGCAATTCCGTCTTGAGCGTCGATTTCATGGCGCCCGGCCCGCGATGCCCGAACTCCACCGAGAACCGAATCCGATGGCAGTGACGAGCAGGATCGCCACGACTTTCCACCTGAGAGTGGGCTCTGGTCGACAGGTATTCCCATCGGCGTCACTGCTGGTCTCACTGGTCTGCATCGAAGACGCCTTTCCAGCCTGAATTTCTCGCGAGGCAATAGCAACCCCTTTCCTGGCGGTAGATATGTTATTGGATGTCTGGTGACCGGACTGGCGAAGTCGCGCGTTCCATGTTCCAGATCCTACGGCAAAAGGGAAACTTCAAAACCAAAAGACCTAGCAGACCAAAAGCATGGGAGCCTTACAGGCACAAATCCGGTATGTTTCGTTTATCAATGGGCACTACTAGTCACGACGCACACCGGTTTCTCGGATTTAGTGACCTGCAGGACCGAATCTTCCCCAGCACCTCTCAACACCGGCAAATGTCCCGCTGCCACGGCGAAGGGACATTTCCCAAACGCTCAAGTTCCTTGTTGGCTCTGTGTCGAGGTGGATCTCTGGTATACGGAGTCACTTTAATCAGAGTCGACACACCACACCCACCTACCTAAGATACCGTCCATCACCGGTCAGTAGGATTTCAAGCTTGCACTCTAAGCGCGAGGTGAGCGAACAAAGTCTTTTGTTATTTAGCCGCACGTGTCAAACTTGGATCACTACATTGCGACGTAGGGGCAAGGGCAGGTAGGTGCTTATGAAGATGCAATGTCAGGTCAGCTTTCTCCTCCTTCGATTATGCACACAGAAGTTCGGAACAATCTAGTGGAAAGCTTGAAGTTTTATATCAAATGTTTTCATTTCTTCTTTTGTGTTCCACATATGACTTTCAACAAGGTACTGAACTTATGAACATTGTAGCAGTATCCGATCATACCACATACCACATACCATCACCCATCACCCATCACCACCCATCACCCATCTCCACCTATCTCCCTCCATTCCCCAACGACAGCTCCTTGTTCACCAGCTTCCACCGGCTTAACACCCTGCACCACGAGAAGGTGGCTGTCCCAGCAAGGCAAATGTCGACATCGTACAACTCAAGATAACCGGAACCCTATTCAGCCCAAACTTCCATTTAGACCCGATCCGACACCTGCGAGAATGATGGCATTTCAATCTGTTGTCCTCCTCACGTAACCTGGTCGATCTGCAAATGCAAGAAAGTCATCTTGCTCCGTGTCGACCATCCCACCCTCCAACGACACAAACGACAATCAAAACAAAACTCCAACCGACCACCCAACAACCAAAGCATTTTTTGGCGGTCTCAGAGCAAAAGCCCCTATTGACCATTTTCCGAGTTTTTGTGATTTTTTTTGATGATATGCTGAATTTTCAAGTTTTTGGTGATGGTCTCCGAAAGCAAAAGCCCTCGAAGAACCGTTTTGTGAGTATTCAAGTTTTTTTGGTTGGTTTCCGAGGCCGTCGACTCATCCGACCAATTTTCTGGACTTTTTTCCGAAAAGACAAAAACAATGCACCCAGGTTACGTGTCCCCTGCTCCTTCGCATCCACATGATGATTTTGCAAGTAAGTGAATCCAAGCGTCCAAGGATTCACCGGCCATCAAGCAGCATCCGTCATCAGCAATAGCCCTGCCGAAAACCTCAAACCACCTGTTGACCCTCGCCTGGTATTTGGGGTCAGCGTGTTTGAATGCCATGGCAAAGCAAGGGAACTTACCACACTTGGCCTCCAGTACTCGTTACTCGGGCGGTGATTCGAGAGTTAGCAGCTCAAAGAGCAGCTCACCCTTCACTACCTTCGCACTTCTCACCGGGTAATTGATATTGTCGTAACCAAGCGCGAGTTGATTTCTCAACCATCCATGGAACGACAAATCCATCGAGTTTCGGTCTGCAATTGCCCGTGCACAATTGCAATCGTCCCGCTTGCAACCCTTGCACTCCCACGCTAGAGGAGTTTCCCCCCCTTTGGGAATGTATTGGGTGATCAGCTTCTCGCTCCACATGACTTTCTTCTTGGGTTCGGATTTCACTCCTTGGCCAATCGAAAGCAGAGGTGAAGACTCAGCGCCATCCAAGTGTGTGGCTCGATGCTTGAGGATCGGTCGAGGTTTTACCCCCTCCCGAACAAGCCCCTTGCTCTTGAAACCTGGAATCTGTAAAGTGATCGTTGTGATGCCTTTCCGTAGGATATTTTTGCCTGCACCCTTGTCCTTTAACGCCCCAGCATGAGCATTCGGAGTGTTGCGACGCCGTACCTGCGGCAATGCAGGCCGACACGAAGCAATCGACCTCCAAACACGAACTGGGAGTCTGGACGCCGGTGTATCCTTCGTGACCGTAGGATGAGCGGCGGGTCTGTCCTTTGTCTCTACACCATCCGGCTGGAGAGAGCAGCGTGAGAATGCACAAGATAGGCCTACCCAGACTGGGATCTTCGATCCCGCTGAACGAGCTAGGGCTTTCGCCTTCGCCACAGCATTGGGGGCTTTCTCCGGCTTCGTCTTCTGCTTCTCCGAAGTGCCTGAGGTGGGCCTCGGAGGGCATGACGCAGGAACAGCCGTCACGATGGTACTGACAGAGGGTTTAGGCTCATCCAAACTCTTAGTCTGACCAGCAGAAGTCTCCGTTGTTGACCGTCTTCGGACAACGCTATTGGTCAGCCATGGGCGAGCCCTGGCTTCTCGCAAACGCCTCCTCAGGTCGAATTCGCTGTTGTCTGTCATATCGACAGGACGGTCTGGGGGGAAAGAACATGTGTCAGTCTTTCCACTGATGAATGCCTGTCTCGGCGCAGGATGGGATCAGACAACAAGCAAGGAAAACACGATTGATCGAGATGGTGAAGGAAATCAGAAGCACTTGAAGCTGGACCTGGGGAGGCAGGCTGAGGCAGATTCACTTACCAGCAGATCCCAACTTCGATCGTCCAGTATCCTTCACAGTGTGCCTCGCAGTCTTGGGAATCGAAATCTGTATCGCCATTAGAAGTAACGGTAACAATCACGGTAGAGTAACAAGGGGGATATGAGAGCATAGGACGAACCTTGGAAAGGAGGAGGAAAGAAGAGAAGAAGAGAAGGAGGAGGAGGAGAGAAAGGTGAAAGGTAGGTCTCGCCCTTCAATTCCTTGTTATGATTGCTGCCTCAACAAGATGGAGTCAAAAGTTTTCAGCATTGAGGACCATAATTGAAGGAGTCATGGTGAAAAGTTTGAAGGGTTATCAGAAGCGCACTCCACAACATGTTGACAACCCTCCGACAGTTTACCAAGCTGCGACAAGGTAAGCATCATCATATCAGCCAACGGACTCGGGCAGGAGCGAGCAATGCACCTTCCTCTGGCATAGCCAGCTTAAAGCCGCACCATTTGATCGTATATGAATTGTCAATATCCAATCGTCTTCACCGATAGATGGACACGGAATGGCATTGCCATCACATGTGTTGTATTCGAGTTGAGTTCCAGGAAACGATGGTTGGTTGCCTTGTGGGTGGAGTCGAGTTTGAACCAGAGTAAAGTTGTCCATCAGATCAAAAGCACCAACGACCAGCTCAGCTTGACCAGAACGAGGTCAATGTAGACCGGTTAGAGTTATGGCAGTATAACTTCGAGCCGGGATAGCATATTGGGAGATAGTTTGTGCAAATGCTCTACCCTCGTCACTATACGAGCAAGTCAGACGATTTACTGTTTTGATGGTCTGTTGAGAGGAGTAGGCTAGTTGGCTGCCTGATAAAGGTCCTCGTTCTGACCAATAAGTGTAGACTGAATACTTGGGCTTGAAGGCCGAGTAAACAATACTAAGTATACGACTTGACATATTGGGCTATTGAGTTCCACCAGTATGAGTGTGTCGGTCTGCCCGTAAAATATATCACATCAGTATCTTCAGATGAAAGCTGGACCTCCAGCATATGTATCCTTCTCATCTGCACTCACACTCCTTTCTATCCGACGGGTTCTGAGAAAGTTGCTGACCATACGCCGTCCACTGAACAAACTTGCTATCTTGGATGCACTCCTCGAGACTGTCGTGGATGAGGAAGTGACTATTGGAAGAGCATCATCCTGAATGTTTTTAGGTGGCCTACGAAGACCACCATAGCTCTTGGATTCACGGGGAGCAACGCTCAATCGGCTATGGCCTAGAGTATCTGCATGTCCAGGAGTTCTCTTCCCAAGGTACATGCTATCGAAGGGTCTGTTGTGGCGTGGGACATCCATATCAAATGGTCGACTCAAGCGGGCCACCAAACGATCCTTGACTTTTTGTGAAGGGCTGTCCCCATTATCGCTGAAAGTTACTGACCCGGTCTGCATGTTGCTTATCGGACTTGCGTGTAGTTCGCTTCGCCGAATATTGAAAGGCACCTCGCTGTTACTCTGCTTGAGCTTTCTATGCCAGCTACCAATCTCTGCCTGCAAGTGTAGGCGACCTGGCGTACTGAGTGGTGGTGTGCCAACGTGACCAAATATCTGGGTCTCCTTGTTATGCTCACGACCTGCTGATCTGTTGTTGCTTGTGTGGCCTTGCTTGTTCTGATCAATGGAAAGTGGATAATTTGGCTTTTCAGAAGGCGTCCTGCCACGTCTGAACATCATTTTAACTTTTGCGTGGGTGGTAGTCGGCGCCGAAGACTCCGTGCCTGCGATGGACTGGTCAGAGCTCAGATTCATATGTCGCAGACTCAATTCAATATCCCCATCTTCAGCTTGTTCACGAGCATGAGATCCTAGGCTAGAATTTCTTGAGCTCAACCATGGATTGCATTCTTGTATTTCTGCTGGATTGTAGAAATGTTGAAAAGATGAGGGTGACTTGGACACGACCCGCATGGTATTCATCGGCTCTACCATGGACTTAGATTTGAAAAGCCTGTTGGGAGACCAAATCAAGCTCGCAGCGCTTTCACCTGACGACATGTGATTGAATTTCGGCAGACCATCCGTTGCTCGCGAGTAGATGCTGTCATCACTGCTGTTGCCAAATTGCAGTCGACCAAGGTTGGGAGGATCAGAGTGTGGGTTGACGGATAAGTAGCGTTCAGCACCACTGAGGTTGTTGTTGATGTTGTGCGTGCGCTTATGACGAAAGATCTGCTGGAACGGACTGGGACGATTGGACTTCCGCTCAACAGGGAACGGTAGGAAGCTTGGGAATGATTCCAGCGGCTGGTCATGATGCTCATATCCGCGCAGCTCGTGCGTTGCCTGCCCATGTATTTGTGTTTCGCTACAAGCGACTTCAGGAAGGCTCGGGTCATTCAATGGTGGCTGAGTGTCTGCACAGACTGTACCAGTCATGGACGAATCACTCTTCACAAAACGTATGGTAGGCTCTTGCCTAATTGATATGGGAGTATTAATCGCTCTCTCCTGGTTCAAGGCTTTCAAAGCTGCAGCAGTGTCTTCTATTTCGGCTTCTTCTTGCCTGATTCGTTCAATCAATGCCGAGTAGATACGCTGACTGTCAACAGGTAGTAGAGTCTGTCCATCGCCTGTCGTTGACTGCAAAGGTTCCTGAAAGAGACTAACCCCACCAATATGTCGCCCTGCGGACGAAGAGGGTTGATGCGGGCCCCCGTCTTCCTTGATCACGGACAGTCGATTCAGCTCAAGCGGTCCAGAACGCAGTGCAACTGACCCAGTTGTGCTTGAGTTTGTCCAGCTGGTAACACGGGACTTGTTGTTTGAATGTAAGCTTTCTCTGCTAGCGGATTGGTGAAGGTCATTGGCCAGCGAGTCGATAGCCTCGTCCTGTTCCATAGGAGACAGCACATCCGAGGGATGGGAAATTTTGTGGTCTTTGGCATGATTATCGCTTGAAGGTATATTCCGTTCTTCAGATGGCGTACGTTCAGTTCCCAGCAATTGGGCCGACACGCTCCTTTTTTTCAAGGATCCTTTGACAGTCGCCCAAATGCTTCCAGAGAAGTGGTTCGAAAATGGTTTTGGCGCGGGACTCGGTTGCTTCTGGGATGCCGCTTGTGTAGTCTCAATTTTTGTTCTCTCCTCTCTGAGGTAGCTTGGGGCCGCCGAATTTCTTTCTTCCCTTTTTCGGCCGATCAAGAAGATCTCTCGTTTCGAAAAGCCGAGCTTCTTCATGTGACTCTTGTCGTCTCCCGGAATACGAAAATCTCCATAGCTGGTCTTTGCACATTCGGCTATACTTTGCCCGCTGAGCTTAGGCAAGGAGCTGATCTCAGCCCGACTCAACTGCTTCGTGCTGCTTGGCTCCTTCCCACGTCGGCTTGACTGCCGAGCTAGGTGGTCCAGGGGCCGAGACTGTTTGCCCGAAGACCTCGACGGTGTAGACTTTGTCACCGCCTGGCCAGGATCAATTATTCCAGGAGGCCTCCATGCAGGTCTAAGCCTGCTTATGGATTGCTTGACACGAAGGAGAGGACTGAAGTGACCGCGTGGTTGAGAGTAGGACGATCTAGAAGTTATCATAGATTTCGACTTCCGAAGCCTGCGGTAGGAGGAAGGTAGAGCACCATAGTTCTCGTCTGAGGAGGAGGAAGTCTTCATGGCGCGGTCGGCGGCTATAAATGCATGTTTGCACGCGTAACAATCGTGGCCTTGAGCCAGCTGCTCACTTTGCTGACCCTCGGTCAAAACCATACTGGAGTACTAGAGCTGGTAACCAAAAATTTGACCAGGTTGTTAATTGGGGAAGTGGATGTGGGATGTGATGTGACAAAGGGAAGAGGAGGTGGGAGCTTGGATGGACGATGAGTAGCAGCATCATGTGGATGGGGAAGGCGCCGTCCTCGAGTAGGTGCCTTTGAAGCATCGTGAGTTCCTTCTTCAGAGGTTGCTCTTGCTCAAGACAAGCACGATTAATGAGCAATTGTCTTCCCCAAGAAGAACTCGTCAGATCTATCATAGCCATGTTGAAGAAATCCGTGACAGACCTACCTGGTCGGGCGGATTTGATTTTAATGATAGAGGCAGATGTTGACATAACTTCCCCAAGGACATGAATCCCATGAATCCCATAGAGATGCCATGGCGTATGCTCTACCACAAGATGGTGGTCACGCTGTAGAAAGCAGAGTTCCTTTCTTCGTTCTCACGCATTGATAAGTCGAGCAAAGTGGAAGGGACTTGGATCTGGACACGAAGTGATGTCGTTGTCTTCCAGAATTCGCTTAGATGCAGGGACATGACGTCTCAAGTAGGTACCTCGGTAGGTAGTCTCTGGCTAAATTCATTGTTAATTTACCTATTTGTTAGTACGCGATACCGAGTACATGAGTTGGAACGGAAGCTGGGAATTTAGGGCTGTAGATCTCCTCTGTTGAGCCCGAGATAAGCCTTCCGGTAGCCAGCATTTCTATGTCTATGCCGAGGTGCTCCCGGGCCCAACCTGCGTACCGAGTACTGCGTAATGCGTACCTACACCTACGGGCTACTCGCACTCCAACGTCAAGTCGTGATGATCCCATCACGTGGGGATCAGCGGAAAGAGCCGAATCTACGAGGAAATATATCCCGTACGAGCACGAATGAAATGATAGTTGATCATGCAGGTCAGGCCGACCGTTGACAGATGATTCTTGCAGCTTGCGAGCTACGGGCTTGTTGGCTTGCGAGCCTGCCTGCAGCTGCCCAAGGCCCAGCACTGCCCCTTCAACGCCTTTGTCTCACTTCAACTTCTCGTTTCTGCAGCCAACATGTCATTTTTAGCATCACCAAGCTCGTACAACATGAAACCCGCAGCATTTAGCTGCTGCGCAGGTGGTGATCATCAGTGATGTTATAGTGATCCAAGTATTCGCTAAGACTTGTTTTGCAAATTGTATTTTGTATCAGCATAATATGGGCGAAAGATGACCTGGGCGGTTGCAACCGAGCACAGCGTGCATCACGCGATCCTACTGTGCAGAAGGGAAATCATTGATTGATAGATTTAATCTGTTTTTGGATTTGTTCTCTAACTGGTCACAAGCTTCGAGGAGCTGTGATGATTCTGTTGTAACTAATTCAAGCGTATAGGAGATGCAGTGTTGGGAACAATGTTGGTACACGAGTAGGAAACCAGCCGCTGACTCAATGTTCCTTCCCCGTCTAACAATCCCAATGCTTTTTCCCTTCGACGTCCATTCGTCGTCTGCTTTTTGCTCGAAGTGGTACGATTTGTTGCTCTGAGATGCAATCTCGCAGGAAGTCGCTCATGCAACCTAATACTGCAAGGCCACGCTTGCCAAAGAATAGTGGTGAGGTTGTTACAAAACCCATGGCATAAAAAGGAGATGCCGGGTCCATCAATGCAGAAGTAATCGTGTACATCTGTTGCCAGTCGCTAATATGCTCAGAAAATGTGAAAGAAAATGGCCCCAGACACCAATGCTAAATCCGATAAAAAGTGGTAATCGTGAACAGTGTGCATCATGTTGGCACAGAAGAAAGCGAGAAAGGCTGCAATTCAGAGTAAGGTCGTAATCGTCGTCTGAGTCGTAAGAACATCATCATCATCACCCTCCATGTCAAGCTGCAGACCGCATGACGGTTTCCTTGGAAATTGCCAAGGTAGGCGGTCGGACGGATTGGGTGGCAGTTGAAAGTGGTGGAAGTGAAGTGAGAAAGTTGACTGGTTGCTCTATCGGGCCTCATCTGCAGGGTCTAACGGCATGGTGACATCAGCCTCCGATGACGTAGTCAACAGCCCTGACCGAAAATTGGGCGGCTGTGAGAAGACTGATCGAAATGGCTTGGTGTTTCGACTGCGGAAGTTGTACATCTGATGATACTTGTCAGTGCTGCGTAGAGATCAAAAGAATAACGGGTTAAACATACCTTGCATTCTGTGCATTTACCACCAGCGTTATCGCATCGTCCGCGGCATCCACGGGGTTGGTTGGTGCAGGAGAACATTTTGGTTGATTGTCGGCAGAAGACTGGAAGAGAGACCAATGGTTTGGAGTAGTAGCGAGCTCCAATAATGTCGGCGTCAGATAAGTGATATACTAGGTGGTGGAGGCCTGGCTGAGACTGCTTGATGGTGGTGGTGTGGTGGTGGCTGTTCTGTGAAGTGGTTTGCTTGTTGGCAGCTGGTCGAAAGCTCGAGAGGCAAGTGTTGAGTTCGGTTGATGTTGAATATTGAGTGTGAAGTTGTTTGAAGAGAGACTGTGGGAATCGAAGGGTAGAAAAGGAGAATGGGAACGTCGGAGTTGATATGTGACCGGGATCTTGGACTGTGTGAGAGATCGAGAAGCTCTTTAGGCCGCCGCGACGGTAAGTGACACTGGCACCGCCAATTATGACCCGCGCGAGCCCGCCTTGGACTTGCCCTGTCAAGCCTCAAGCCTTGCCCTGCGACGGACGCACGCCAGGGTTTCGTAATTGCTGCATCGACTTGTAACAACAGGATCCACACTTGGAAGCAGGTCACAGCATTAGTATGCATGATTCGTAGTCACCATCATGGCTGAGTCTACATCTGACTCTTGCTTTGGTTTGCCAATCAGCTGTCCCGAGCCAGTCCTGCCTATAATTTATCCCATCCTCACTCCTCGATATCTAGGTGATTCATCAAGGGTGGGCGTATTCCACTACGGACTGGTTTGCAGAATGTGGTGTCATTGCATTGTGCGTGGAATCCTTCACTACCTACCCTACGAGGTATTCTGATCATTACAATGTAACACAACAACTTCAACTTGATCAATTTGTGGTATTCAAACTTCAGGCTGCAATCATATCACCTCGTTCCACATCGTAGGTCGGTACAAGCGGCACGAAGCGGACTCGGAGACTCGTCAGGCACAATTGCGGCCTCAGGCTGCCCAAGGCCCACTAACAAAAATAGGGCCCTCGTAGAGTCGGAGCCTCCCCAGAATGCTCCCTGCCGCGTTAGTCACCCATGGCACTTACTCGTAGGCTTCCCCCTCTGCCTAAACTGCGCCGTGCGGATGGCTCGGGCGCTGACCGTTAACTCGCAGGAACAACCATAAGAAGGTACGAGTACTCGTACGCGACTACCTCTTCAAGCTGAGCAGGTGCGATTTTGGGAAGAAGTTCTCTCGGCACCTTACTCGGCACCGCACAATCATTTTCTTAAACTCTCCGTTTCGGGAACCACATTTTGACCCCCAACGTTGGACATGTTTCTCAATGCTTGACGTCTCAGACCACGCCTTTGTGTATTATTATTCATCATAGGATGAATTTCCACAACCAAGCCAGGTCAATCCCTCCACGAATCCAATTCAGATTGAAAATTCAACCATGAGACTCGCATCGCGTTCCCATTGTCATTGTTGTCTTTTCATGGCTACACAGCAGCTGAACCGGTTCCAGGCGAGACTGGTGGCTGGAAGTCCAGACCTCAGAAGACTCCGGCCCGCTGACAGTCCAGACCTTCCTTTCAGCACCGAAGGATGACCTTACCGTGTTTCTCACTCTGACTCTGGCAGACCGGCCAAGGCGACTGTAACCTTACGGGAGACAGAAGCTAGCCAATGCTTGCGATTCGTGTTCCAGAAAATGTGCTCTTAAGATTTTGTGTTCAGTTGTTCTGTATCCGTCCATCCTTCAAATTGTGCATCGACGAGAAGCCACTGCACGCACCGCGACGGCCTAAAACCTTAGGGTACCTCGTGACCCAGCTTGAACTGCCATACAATGAAGTCGGCTGCTGTTGCCCTCGCATCAAAATAGCTGTCATCTATACCCAGGTACCCTGTCGCCAGCATCGCAGAATCAGACCACCCAGAACTTTCTCCCCGGCTAATCCCCCCCTGGTTGCACATTCAGTACGAGATACGGTGCCGTGCGTACTTGGTCTATGAAGGTTCGATCTCCTCGAACTCCAAGCTGTCACATGTGCACCAAACCTTGTAGTTATGTCAGCTGCACAGTCAGTTGTCTGACGCCGCAGGTGTACAAGACAGACTCGAGAGCCAAGTTGCAGCATGAAGTGGGGGTGTTCGGGGAACAAGCAGATTCATCAGCCACAGCTAACCATAGCGCGGTGAGTAACGGATACATACCTCAAAGGGTATCCTGGGTGTAGCAATCAAATCTCTTTGAATTCCGTCGGAGACCAAAGAAACAAACTTCGGCTGATTAGATACATATCATGTCATCAAGACAATTTACCCGATCGTCGTTGACAACGCGTCCTCCGTGCCGGCTCAACCTCGTACTCTACATATTAAGCGAATCCCATCCATCCCCCAACCCCAAAATGTCGTCCATTTATCTCCCTGCGACTTCCAGAAGCAGTGTCAGGTATCGGGTAGCGAGATCCCAGTAGTTCGTTGGTGGGGATGGTTGCTCGTCGGGGAGAAGCCTTCCATGACTTCCCGCTAGAATCACAGTCGAAGCATTGCGCTCGCCTAATGGCCTTCTACGGCGATCGGCGATCCACTCGATCCCTTGATAATCTCAGGGTGTGTGGTTGACACACGAACACCATCCTGAGTCACTAGTGTGATGACTTACTCATTAAGGAGCGTCAACGAAGCCCAGATTGTCTTTTGCTCCGTCGTGGTTCCGCGCACGTTCGTTCGTTTCTCTGCATTATTATTATTGTTGATTATTGGGACCGACTCCTTGATTTGTATCACACCATCAGCAACGATCTGATAATCCACCATCCGCCGAGTGCTCCCAGTACCGTCGCCAATGCCAAGCCATTGCCCTCCCGCGTCAGGGTCAAGTAAGCCGCCAAACCCACAATCAATTCCTTCCTCCTGCCGGCTGCTCTAATGGCTCTCCACTGCGGGTCGATACTGAAGGGTGGTTCCTGAACACGATCTGCAGTCCTTGACGATCTCAATGGAACCGTAGCTGCCAGTGCAACGGGTCGATGATCTGATGTTGCGAACAGTGGTAGACACGTGTAGGTATGTGCGTCAACTGTAACGTCGTCATTGCTTAGGAAGAAGATCCGGTCGCACCAGCTGGGCCAGCGGTGACGTGCCCAGTGCCATTCGTCTTCTCCGTCCAGAGTCACGGCTTTGTTGGGATCAGTGTCATACTTGTAGGTGGGTGGGAACTCAATTGGAGCTTCTGTCAACCCATGCAATGTCTTGCCAGCCTTGATCTCTTGAGTAAGCTGGTCTTCTGCGAGTAGATGCTTGAAATGTCTCGGATTGTCCTCATCCTTTGTCGGTTGAGGGAATTTCTCCGCAGCATCTAGAGGAGATGGCTGGAGCGAAGAGGTCCGATAATTGAGATCTCCGGCGAAGAAGAGGTGCGAGGATGACGAGTAAATACCACTCTCTTCACTATGTGGAGGAATGGGTGATTGCAACAATGGAGCATCTTCTCTTTCTTCACCACGTGAGATCGGCTTCCCGCTTGCATCTGGGATGAAGACAAGTCTTCGAACAATGTTCTTATAATCCTCGTTCCGCTGCTCCAGTCCATCCTCCATCGGAGCAAGATGAGCAGCAACAAAAGTCAACACAACTTCCTCCGTTTCAGTTGTCTTGTAGCCCAGTCTGATCCCGACGGCGCCCTTGTTGCCCATATCACTGACGCCAAGTCCAACTTCTGCCGTGTGAAGCCAATTGATATTGTCGGCCACATCATCTCGCGCAAAGACCATGATCGCCGTCAAGCCGATATTTCTCGTGATGACATTGACATAACCATGATCCTTCGAGGCGAGCTTGACAACTTTCCGGAACGCATTGTAATATGGTGTAATAAATGAACCTCCCAGAAGACCCGGACCAATTGGAGCGAGCTCTTGTAGCGACAGTACGAGCACTTCCGGCGATGGTGCGTTGGGTTTCAGAGCCTGGAACAGATAAGGTGCGAAGCTATCAGGCTGTACGAGAGCACGACCGCAATTGAATGTCAGGAGATAGAGACTGAGAGCCATCGTGGGTGTACCGAAGTTCGTCAAAAGGCCCAAGCCCAGGATCCGATCCGGTAGCCAGAACGTGCAACGGGAGGTGGACGGTTGTCGGTAGCTATTTCTGAATTGTGAAGCCTTGTATCAACCGACCATAGGGGTATTGATCATCTTGCCGACTATCTGAAGGTTTGCCCGTCCCCAATGTGGTCGATAGGTGTTTGGGAACTTGAAATTCGCAAGGCCGAGAATCAATGACATCATAGGATATGGCAATTGTTGCCCAATCATCCAGTGCAGAATAACAGAAAAGATATATATATTTAAGCATCGAAGGTTCTGCCACAAATTGCGTCACAGCAATCACGCATCAGGTTCGTTGATCTTCGCTCAATCATCCTCAATGCATATACTAACAGGAATCACAGTGGTTTAGTGGTAAAATCCATCGTTGCCATCGATGGGCCCCGTGTTCGATTCACGGCTGATGCACATCTTTTTGCAATTTTTTGCATTGATCTTCGTTACTTGTACTATCCTTGAATTTAGGTACTCGCGCCTAATTAAAGACTCTCGACTCCGCGAATTTGAACACTTCATTGATGTAATATTTATGTAGGAGGTAGAAACCGCCTTAGATAGGTCACATATAGCTTAATCCATTTAATGAATTTTCATATGGACATTATCCTAGTCTGACTTTCCTCCATAATCGTATGCATTCTAGCATATCGGCTCCGGCCTTCCCACCAGTCGTGTCAGAATACACACTCTCTAGAATAACGGCTGCCAGGATGGCCGCACAGCAGAACGCCATCTTCCTCTCCTGGAGCATCTTGACTTGGTCCATCTTCATGCCCCCAGCCACAGCCCATGCTAGCCATTCCTCAAGAAGTTTGATAATCTTCAATGCCTCTCCTTCCTCACTCTTACTTTGGTCGACCACCATGAGATACAGAATTGCCTCGGCGACCTGGCCAATTGTCCATTCCCGACCAACCTCACCTTGTTCGATAAGCCAGGCTAAGCAAGCCTCACCGACAGACTTCATGCTCATACGAGGGCTTGCTATGGCCTCTTTCAGTCTTCGCTCCCCACGAGCCTGCCGCTCGGACATGGATGCTAGCATGTCATTGTGCTGTTCTTGTCGTTCCGCAGCTTCACGGTTCATTTTATGCACTCTCGCTTGGTCGGGTGGCATGGTTGCTTCGAGTCTCTCGGCAGCAAGACGTGCTTGGAATCGTTGTCCATGCCGTTGAGCCATGTTCATTCCATTGCTTCGAGAGTCTGAGCTCTTTTCAGAGGACCACTCTGGGGCATCTGTATCCGAAAGGAGCCCGAGGATTACCATGACGCCGCAAGGCATCGAGTCTTTTCGTACAAAGGCACTAATGTCGGCCGGCACTTCAAATGTCCATAGACCGCCACTATTGTGGTTCTGTCCCAGGATGGCGGATGCCACACACGTGAACCAAGTTGCTGCGGATGATTGCTCGTAGGCGCGGAAGGGTTCACAGGACAGCCCTGTCTCCATGTTCTTCTGCTCCCACTGTAGCCTCTGGACGTAGTTGTTCTCCGTCTGAAAACGGAAACTTGTGCTGTCCAAACTATACTTATTGGCGTTTTTCATCTCCTCAATCCTGGCAGGCAGGTCTTTCGCTTCTGGAACGACTTTGTCATTAGCTTCCAACAACGCAGGTTGCACAATTCGACCCCAGCCAGGAGGTAGGCTGCTAGCACCTCTGCTTTCCATTACCGCACTCATGTCGTGAGACCATCGAATTGTTACACTCAAGATCCCATCACTCTCATCAGGCATACTGGTTCTCAGCACCCAGTCAACATGTTTTGTCGTTTCATTCTCATCTTCTGCCTTCCTAAGCAATATTGTTCCAGCGGGTGTCCATAACCCACCAGATCTCAACTTCTCCCAGCCCAAGGGATCAGGAATCGCGCCCCAATCCAGCAGGAAATGAACAAGCTCCGAGAAGTCAATCTCAGCGGGCGGCTCTCTCAATTCATCTTCGTACTGTATCCGGTACAATTTTCTACCCACGATTAATTTCTTCCAATGGAAAGCCCGCCAACTGCCCCCTCGAAGAAATCCTCGCACTCTGCCTTCTTCAATCATGCTCAAGGTGCTCTCCGCACGATCAAGCAATCTATGATGTTCGCCTTCCACCTCTTGCCCATCTCCCGTATTCTTCCAATAATCATTGTTATTCCGTTCCAGGGGTGCTATCGTATATCTGGGGAGCTCGACCTCGATCAAACTCGTCATGGGAGAACTTCGAATCATGAACCCATCATTTGGGCGCGTTGTGCTGACCGGTTTGTGACCATGATGGAGGAGGGATGCCCGTATCCGTCTCTGTGTGAGCACTGCCAGCATGAATGTGTACAGAATGGGCAGAACGCCTAGGACGGCGAGGGGCACGCCCACGTAGGTGATAATATCCGATGCGTTGGCCATGTTGTTCGTTTGCTCTCAAAACGAGGGCGTTGGGAAAGGGAGAAAGAGTTGGACACTCTATAGATCAAGGTGGCCGCCAACTTCCTTCTCTTCCATGTCCCACAACTTGTATCTGCATGCAGGAAGGAGAAGGGATGCCAGCAAAGTCCACGATACGAGCCATAATGTTGGAAGCCCTGTAAATTCGATGCTGTCTGCGGGCCTGGGGCATCAGGCTGTGGCTGAAATTAAAGCGCAGGCTAGAAATAGGGGGTAATCTGCAAAGTGGCTGCGGAGAAAGCCGTAGGCCATCGTCAGTTCATAAGGTCCTGACCCTCTTACCCTACTACAATCTCCATCTCCTTCGGCATTTTCAGAAGCAGATGTTTTGGACTTTGAAGACTCATCTCTTTCCAACTCTTTAGTCGACACCGATAGCCATTAACTTCGTGGCAATGGTAAACTTGATCATGTTATTGACAAGGCCAAAAGCCCCTTTATGCGGATCTTGGCACTTCCCACCGACATTGATCACGGATTCGGTGATTCTCAAACCAGGATATCCTCTCAAGCAGATAGGCCACATATGTACTTACTATATAGATTGTATTCTAGGTGAGGCTTCAGTGTGAGCTGAAACCTGTCTCAAGACTTGTGCGGCGGTGGTGAAAGCCGAGCGCTCTGGCAGCCGATTGAAAATGCATATTTCAACCTCAACCCACTTCCTGATAGTGAAGAAGCCATACTGTCACAAGCATATCTCGGTAAGTGGTCAAGAAATGAGCCCATCGTCTTGATGAAGGGTCCTCCAAAAAAGATTGTCACAGCAGTGACCCTATCCGTGTCTGCTCTTTGTTCGTTCACGCAACCGAGCGGTGTTCAACGAACAAAGGTTTGTCGTTTGCTCCCGGTGGACAAGCGCAGCTTGTTTGCTTCCAATCCTTTTTCATACCATGGTTTCTTCGTGGACCAGAAGATAGCTGATATATGGCATATATGAAAATGACATTCAGCTCGGAGCACTGGAATCCTCGTTGCCAGTCTAGATGGTGTTCTTGGTGGAAGGCTACCACCCTGGCCCCGCTGCGTCGACCATGCTCATGGCAGTGACATCGCCATCAGTGAAGTCCCGGTGCCCTTCAGCTGCATACCGACTGCCTTGTGGTGAAGTACTTTACGCAATCACGTCGACGCGTCACAAGCAGCCCATTGCCTCGATAACGAGAGTCGCGCAGCGAGCTGCCTCAGCACCACCTGACCGCCTCAAGCTTTGCATATGGTATATCTTCCATCATTCTTAATTTCTCGACCTTTCTTCTCTTCCTCTCCTCCTCAACACACACGAAACTTTCTTCAAGACTCTCAAGCTCAACTCAGTGCCTTCGATCAACGAAGCCTCGAGTCCTCAAGCCTTGGACAGCACAATTTTCCCAGCCCAACTTTCCCCCTTTCCACAACGTTATCCCTTTCTCCACCATAACGCATCCTTCTTCCCCAGACAAAAACCCAATATTACTCTCTCAATCATCACAACAGGACAGAATTGAGCAGCGCAATGGCACCAAAGAACGCCATCAAGCGCGTCGGAGCAGTCGTACTGTCTGGTGCTGCTGCTCTTCTTCCATCAAGCATCACCCTTCGCCGCGAGTATGAGGCAGGACCGTTACCTCAATATGATACCCCTTTGACAACAGCACCACTACACTCAGCCTTGCCAACTTCGAGGAAGGGCACAACTGGCAAGACTCACATACTTACTGGCATTCTTCGACGAGCAGCCGCCTTTCCAAGGGGGTTCAAAGGCCTTTTCAAACATTCCAACCATCCCAAGGATTCCAAGAATCGAAATTCTCCAGCTGGATCGATTCAATCTGCTCTAGCCATTGCAATGTTCAATGCAGTCAAACTCCGTAAAGCCTCACCCACAGAGACTGAGAACAGTACATCCAGCCCCATGATGGAAGAGTCCAGCACCTTATCTACTGAAAGCACCAATGAAGTCATCGTTGAAGGCGCCAGCACTCCCACACCAGCTGCCTCGATTGAACGAAGCATGGTGAGGCGTGCACCAAGCATCGATACCATCGTCTCCGGATTTGCAGACGATTTCAGCTCAGAAGTGTTGAGTATCTTCGATGTTGACACAGAACAGGTGTCCAATGCTGCCCCATCCACACTGCCTTCAGCGTTGATTCCCGGAAATTTCCCCGGCCATCATCAGCAAGCCTCCAGCATCAAGGAAGTTCAGGCTGCTTCTCCGCTTGCCACCAAATCCTTCAATCATGCCACTCCGGCTCCCACGAGAGTCTGCCGCCAAGAATCAACTACTTCAGCATATGTCAATTGTGCAACTCAGACCGAGGAGGTGGGAGATGTGAGCATCTCTAAAGCAGGAGCACCTTCGAAAGATCTATATGTTCAAGTTGACCTAGAGTGCAATTCATCACCCGAGCCATCTCCTTTGGAGAGTCAACGTTCAGCAAGCCCAGAGACACCCGACACTATTCACTCTGATAGTCCTACCAAATTGGACCTGGAGCAAGAAAACGAAAAGCTGAAAGCAGAGAATTCTAGACTCGTTGGCGTCATCCACAACCTCAACGAGCGCATTGAAGACCTTGAAACTTCGGAAGAGGTGTCTGAGAGAGACAGCAAGCAAGAGATGCAGCAGCTCCGGGCTGAGCGTGACGGCATGGCGCGTCGAGCAGAGGAGCTATGGGATCAACATGAGCAGCTTCTTGGTCGGAATCAGGAGCTGCGTTACCAGAGAGGAGAATTCGAGCACGATGCAGAGCATCTCCGCGGCCAACTCAAGGCTGTTGAGGCGCAACATGAACAGAACATCGCTGCAAATGTCGCAGCATATGAGCGGGCCCGCAAGGTCACCTTGAAAGAGCTTCAGGACAAGCATCAAGATGACTACATGCAAGGTGTCGCAAAATACAAGGAGCTGCAAAATCAAGCACTGCAGCAACAACACATTATCAAAACTCAGAAAGATTTGATTGACTGCCTTGAGCAGGAGAATGTTCCCGCGGCGGTTGCAGGTGCCGCCAACGCTCTGAGAGAAGCAGAAGTCAAAAATGGGATGCTTGAACAACAGCTTGCGCAGCAGGCTGGTCACATTTACAACGTGGAGACGCTGCTCGCACGAGCAACACATCAAGTATCACTGCTCCCTCAGATTCAAGATGAGGTGGCAAAGCTGATTTCGGAGCGCAATGCTCTGCAACACCAGCTGAATGCCCTGCGCCGTCAGCAGCCTGCTCCTGTTGTTGCTGGAATAGGCAGCAACAATGCCACCCCGAAAAACGCAGGGTTTGGTGCAATCGGTGGCGAAAGACGCGCCGCTGGGGCCAACAAGACCAGCAGCAAGCCGACCAACAATGGCTTCGGTGGCAACAACAATGGCGGCGGCATACCACGCAACTATGGCTTCCAAAATTTGAACGGCCAGGCGAATTCTGGACTGTTCTCAGGCTTCAACAATTGAAGCAATTGAATCGCTCTGAGGCAAGCCCAAGGAAAGCCAAAATCGACCATCTGGCCCTCCTGAAAAGGCGTCCATGAAACAAAGGGCAAAGAAAGCAGCCAGTCACAAAAAATCCAGACAAGGCCTGAGGAAACATGACCCATCCCTCAAAAGGCAAATGAATTTGGATGTGAAAATAAAAATATATGAAAGGGTCGGATTTTCAGATGGCGGCCTCCTCTCGAAGGCAGAAGCACGAGAGCAAAAGTGCCTTATCGGAATAAGAAATAAATCGAGAGAAATAACCAAGGAATGGTGGATGAGAATTCTGGAGTGCAAGGCAATGCCGGGAAGACAGGCAAAGGCCATGAGTGCAGGAAGGAATGGAATTCTACTAAGACCAAGGGTCTGATGATGATGATGATGGTGATGTTGATGACAACAATGGCGATGGTTATGATGAGTCCGACCAACGCCAACGACCACATGAATGTAATGAGTACAACGAGCTACGACCAAAAAGTTTGATACCCCATTGTGAGGCAAAGCATATAGGCTACGGCTGTGATGAGGCTTTTCATTAGGAATTTTTGGCCTCTACCTTTTTTCCCCATCGCGTGGGAATGCAGGATAGGAAAGGACAATGCTTTTCATCAGAGACAGTCAATTGAGCCACAAAGAATTGCAAAAAGGACAAAGAAGTTTCCATTGCTTCCGGAGGAGCGTGATAATCTCTTAATCCTCTATGCATTCTGGTAAGATGGGAAAGTAAAGGAAAGCGAAAGTATCTTATAATCTTTGAGAACGAGGTCCGAATCATGATTTCATTCGGATGGTCTATATAGAAATGGGCTGTCGATCATTCCCACATGTTCAACTCACCCCATGCTCCCCTCAAACTCGGCAGTCTGAGTGCCCTGCTCACGACTGGGGGTGGTAAATCTGGCGGCGACAGCGGCATCGACTTTCTCCTCATGCGCTCTGGCCGCTGCCTCGCGTTTCTTCTCCATCTCCTCTTTCCCACGGGATTTTATGGATGAGTAGTTCAGCGTTGAGATGATCATGACTGGAGTTGCGCAGTTAGTATTTGTATGCCAAAGCTGATGTGGTGTGGGAAGGACTATATTGCGAGAACTTACAGGCACACATGCCGATCGCAAACGCTGCGCGACGAGTCAATACCCATCTCAGACCCTCGACTTCGCTTTTGGCCTCGCTGTTCAGCAGAACTGTAATCTCATAGTTGAGTTCTGAAATCTTGCTGTCGATCTTACGCTTCTCTTCCTGCAGACCTAGTTTCCGATCGTTGAACAGACCCTTAAGCTCTTCGCGTAGAGTCAACAGATCCTGAGTGACTTTCTGGTTCAAGATGTCGTACTCATGCTGTAATTGAGCGCGATGGGAGCGCTGTGTCAGCGTCTCGGTGTGTCGCGCGGTCTGCAACGTGGTGCGCAACTCGGAACAGGCTGCACGGAAGAGGTAAGATTCGTTCTCGGTGTCGGATTTTGACACGAGACCTTCTTTTGCAAAATCCAGATTTAGGTTTAGCATCAGACGGATTGCTTTCATCAAAGTGATTGCTTGCTCTTCCGTGTATGCTGGTGGCTCTTTTGAGGCCAGTTGCTGCACCAGACTGTACGTGTCGAAGTGATGCTCATAGGGAGATGGTTCGAGATGTGGATGCCGCGATCCATCCTTGCCTTTAATCTCAGATGGTGAAGGAATGGAGAGCACCATCTCGAGCTCTTTATTTTCTAGAGGCCCTTCCTCTGATGTCTTGACCTCATGTTTGGAGTCCTTCGAGAACGAGGCTTCGTCGATATAGTCGGACGTGGTATTGGACTCTTGAGGGTCATCTTGTCCTACATATTCCTCGGTATGCTTGGCTTTGTAGGAGGGCTGGGAGGATTTTGGAGATTCCTGTTTTGTGGAGGAGACCTGCTTCGCCTCGTTCGTGGGGGACAAAGCTTCGTCTGGTTTCGATGGAGGTGGAAGGTTTTGTGTTGCCGCCTGGCCATATCTTTGCACGATCGCTTCCTGACAGCGCCTGCTGGTAGAATGGAATTTTGCTTTGCGAGTGGCTTTTCCTGTAGGAGGAGTGCGAATTGATCTGTACGTTGTCGGTTCACAGGCTCGCACAGCACGAAAGAAGTTCGGCCACAGGAATGGAAGGCGTGGATTTGCCATACCGACTTGCGACCAAGCCTCCCGCTGTCGATCTAATGTTGCTGTGAGTTGTTCTACCCTTGCTTCAATAACCAGGTCACCAGAAGCAGGTTCTCGTGGCGTTGCGTGGGCAGTCATCACGTGGCATTTTTCTCCGGTACCTCGACGAATGAGCCACTATTTCTATTAGCGGCTTGGCATTTGTTAATGCCTCAAGTTCAAGTTTCTTGCAACGACAAGTTGATAAGTACCCAGGCATATCTGCCATCCATCAAAAAGAGGCTATTGTCAGAACATGCGAATATCGTAAGTCAGTCAGCTTAGAAGCACTCAACAGTCGCTCACAATAAACTTATCATCAGCTGCAAGCGATGTCAACAACGCAAGGTTTGTACCCGAAGCAAGCGACCCCGAGAGACTGCAGGGCCAGTGATGGGATTGTCACTTATCAAACGCTCATAGATACGATGCTCGCGTACAAAGACCTGCATCAATTGCTCAATCGCTTTGGTGCACTGCGAATATCGAGAGAACGATAATAAGCGAGCACCTGTGATTAGAACGTATGCGGATGCCCTTGAAAAACGAATCCTCTCGCTCGAAGCATTTCTGCTCAAAGTAAGAAATGCTTCCAATGACGCAGAACGGGAAGAGCTTCTGGCCGAGACTGCTTCTTTTGAATTATCTGGCCTTGAAGCCAACGTTCAAAGAGGTGAATCAATAAGGTCATCATCAAGAACCAAACCCTCAGAAGAGGACGAACAGGGTAGGTTCTGGAGGACAATTTCAATTACAATCCTTACTGATGGTGAAAAGCATCTCTCGCTGTGGACCTCGGTACAAGCATCTACAATGAAGCTGTTCTGCCTCCTGCCTTCAACGAAATTACTAGCCTCGCAAATCTCGATCGTTGTGATGACTTGAAGTCCCTGTTGGAATCCCCTTGCGTTCCTGAGTCGATAGCGCTATTTTTTCGATACCAGTACTCGACCGCAATGTTCATCAACAGGGAAGCCTTTCTGCTGGATTTTGTTCCTATCTTCCGAGAGAGCTCGGGAATGAACAGAGCCCACTTTTGTTCGCCCTCATTGATACTTGGGATTGCCTCGATAGGTGCCACCATGTGTTCAAAAAGCTCAGCCAGGGAGCAATCTCCAAAGTTTTTCAACCTTGCGCTGAGTATGGTTATGAAAGAGGCACTGTCTAACCCTCATCCCACAGTTCTCCAGACACTATTATGCTTAGCAACATATGCTCTGGGACACAATTATCATTCTCAAGCTTGGCTCCTTTCTGGAATGGCATTTCGAATTTGGCACGATCTCGGCTTTCAGCGCGACTTGAAAGAAAATGTCTTGCCTACGATGGAGCAGTTCCGATCCCCAAGTGAGCTTCGTCGTCGCATTTATTGGGGGGGCTATGCAGCAGATAAAATATTTGCTTTGTATCTAGGAAGACCGGCTGACATGTATGATGATCACACCGATGTCTCAGCCGCTGTGCCTCGACCACATATTCCAGTGTTTGACAATTTCATAGTCGAACACGGCTTAACACATTTAAGGGAACCAATACCTCCATCGCCAAGACTGATCTTGACCCTCCATCAGCTAGTTCGACTTTCGTCCATCATCCATCACATTCTCAAACGTATACTTGCGACCAAATATGACCAACAGAGTGTTGATAATGCAATGGTTGTGAGCGAATTCAATGCTCGCTTGCTAAAATTTTATGATGATCTTCCTCCAGAGATGAGGTACAATAAAAGCGCACCGGCAACCACCCTGTTAACGCCTCGAGTTGCTGCGTTGCACATCATCTACCATGCGGCTCGTTTGTCGCTGAATAAGCGATTCATCTGGTCCGCTACACAGACAACAGCAGCCAAGCTTTCATTTAATCCGAGAGAGCAATTGGAAGCGATTCAGGCTTGTGTCGAATCCATTGATGCGATAGTAGCATTGGCAGCATCTTTCAGCGCACAATATGATGGATTAAGCTGTGCACCACTTGTGCTTGTCCACACCGCCTTGATCGCGGTGAACATTGTGGTGGCTTGTTCAAATGTGAACTGTAACACTGACAGTACACTTAGACACACCTCGAGTGAACTCCAGGCTTTCGGGATACCGCTCTATATTATCCTGCAAGAAATGGCCACCAGCTGGAAGCTTGCAGCAGAGGCTGCCACAAGGCTGGGAGCATTGTTCCAAATCAAGAAAGGTTCTGCATTTGAAGCCTCTCATCCTCCCATCAACGGAAGCCACATGGCGCCCGGGTCTTGGCAAGATCCGTCTGTGGCAATTGCCAGTGTGTCAAGCTCAGTCGAAGACAATGAGTGGGCCTCATTCATGCAAGATTTTGAGCTACAATATGGACTCGAAGGGTTCGACATTTTATTCCCCACGATGTAACGATTTTTGACTACAGCACACTTTTGCTATCGGCAATTCCGCCAATTCCATTCGTGGCAGTTTTTTGAGGTTCTTCTTTCAAGCTAACGTCAAATGCAGCTCTCATTTTCAGCATTGGTTGCAAAACCCAAGTGTTGTATGCCAGAATGTCGGTCTCCTCCTTTGGATCGCGAGTGGTGTTGAATAGATATGGACTTTCCAGGTGTCCACTACTTTGATTTACCTTGGGCTCATACACGAAATGCAACTTCCAATCACGCCATTTGATGGCGCGAAGCTCATTCTTGATGTAAAAGAGAAATCCCTGGCGTGGAGATTTCCTGGTCAGCGGGTTGAAGAGAAAATTCGTTTGGACTATACCATCGATATGACGATCCCGAGGTATCAGAGTCGAAGCACCAGCAAGGTCCAGAATAGTACTAAACAGGTCTGTGATGTGAATGATCTCGTTCGACACCACGTTGGCAGGAACTCTGTTCTCCCATCGTACAATGCAGGGCACACGAAGACTGCCTTCCATTGCGGTGTGATAGGTCCCCGTCCAAGGCCCTGCTGTACCGCGATAAGGTGGTCTGAACTCCGGTCCGTTATCAGACGCGAAGATGACAATAGTGTTTTGTCGAATAGGTTCTTCCAGTGTATCAAGATGGTCCAAAATCTGACCAACGCGGAAATCCATCTCCGCCATGGAGTCTGCGAATTCGCCATTGCCAGTTATGCCTTCGAAATCAGTGTGGGGCAATGTCGGGAAATGCAGATGTACCAGTGGGTGGTAAAGAAAGAATGGCCTTCTAGCTTCAGCCTGGCGACTGAGCCAGTCCTTGGACTTTTCGACCAATATCGCATCGATTTCTCGTCTCATCTTCAGATCATAGACGCATACGTTTTCCGATGGTGATCCAGCACGTCCTTTCATGATGTAGGGCATCTCAACCTCCTCCGGTACGAAGCCAAGAGCTGAAGTGAATTGGCTTTCATCTGTTGTCCGAGGTATCCCATACCACTCATCAAAACCTCTATCAGATGGATAGCGACCCGGTATATCGCCTAGGTGCCACTTCCCATGATGAGCACTGATATAACCGACCTCAGTCAGAATTTCTGGCAGGAGCTTTTCCCAACGTGTTAGCCCCTGAGGGAGACCTGCTGGAACTGACTGTAGGCATCCTGTGCGAATGGGATGCCTTCCAGACATCAGCGCAGACCTGGTGGGTACACAATCGCTCTCAACATTGAAATTTTGGAGAAGAAGCCCTTGTTGGGCGAATTCGTCAATCCTAGGAGTGGCTGCTCCACGCAGCAGTCCTCCTCCATAGCAGCCTAACTCTCCCCATCCCAGATTATCCGCTAATATCAGAATGATGTTCGGGCGGCTGGGATCTGAAGACATAATTTGCTGCTGAAGGTCACAAATATAAAGTGGTTGTAGCAGCAATTACTCGTTGGCGCAAGAGTGGTATTCTGGAATGACCTGGAGAATTGGCATTTGTATGTCTCATCTCCAATAAATATCGGGTTCCCTGAGTTCATAGTCCTCAGAGTTTCGATCTAATGAGTGACGCGAGAATGACTGCAGTTCACTATCTTCAGACAACTCGACACGAGATCCTGTCTTCCAAACTTGAGTGAAAGATGGACGCTAGGCATGGCGACATCTATTTTCTTTGACGTTGATTCGTCCGTGAATTGCGCACGGACCACGGAGTTCGACTCCGTGTGGGGATTGCGCAGAATATCGGCTTGAGACAAAGATAACCAAAATTAGCTATGATTGTGCTATAACTGTTCCTCAATGGCGAATACCAAAGGATGATGGCGCCCAGATTGGAGACCTGGTGCATGTCTATAAAGATAATGCCATTGAACGCACTATCCTCACACCTTCGTGTCTTCTTAGCTCCCTTGTGTTGAAGTATTCACTTACGCCTCGTTGTTAGGTCAAAGGCGTTGGTCCCCAATCGAGATCATGGAGACAGCTATCAAGAAACAAGCGATACCTGAAACAAGTAAGCCTGGAGAAGATGAAGTTACTGTCATGCAGGAATGGGATTCAAAGGAGGAAAGCAGGATTGTCCGAAAGTAATGCGTTGCTCCACAGCAATAACGATCAGAAGGACACCAAACTGACTATCATAGATTGGACTTCTTCCTGATGCCAATCCTGGTTGCAGGCTTCTTCGTGCTTCAGCTTGATCGCTCCAACATCGGCAACGCTCTCACATCAACGCTTACCAAAGATCTTGGTATCACCAGGGACGAAGTAAACGCTGGTAACCAGTTACAAATTGCAGCCATCGTGATTTTTGAAATTCCGTCGAATATCATCCTGCAGCGCGTGGGAGCCTCGGTCTGGATCACATTTTTGGCTTTTGCGTGGGGAATTATAGCGACTCTTCAAGCTTTCTGCACAAACAAGGGGTCTTTTTATGCAACAAGATTTCTCCTGGGCGCCTTTGAAGCAGGCTATATACCAGGCTGTCAATACATTCTGGCACTGTTCTACAGGCGAACCGAACTCGCTCAACGCACCGCAATCTTTTACGTTGGAAACTATCTGGCTGCCGGCACCGGTTCGCTGATGGCTGCTGGCATCTTACAGCTGGAAGGTGCCAGAGGTCTTGCGGGTTGGCAATGGATTTTTCTAAGTAAGTTCACCCTTTGCGCCATGACCATGTAACTCCAGTTTATTGATAGTTGTGTTCTAGTCGAGGGAGCTATCACTCTGGCAGTCGCTGTCGTCATCTTATTTCTCCTTCCAAAGGACCCTCTGAACACAGTTGGCTTGGCCAGGATACAAAAGCTCAATCCCTTCACAGATCAGAAGCGCTCAATTCTGCACAAGAGGATAATTATTGATGATCCACACAAAGAAGCCAATGCCCATGAGTGGAAGCTCAGGAACATGCTCAAGGCGCTTGCCGATATTCGACTATGGGCGCATATGGGTATCAACGTGTTGTCGCTCGCTCCCAAAGGCGGCCTACAATTGTATTCACCATCCATCATTAGATCCCTCGGGTTCGATTCCTCCAAAGCCAACGCCCTCAATTCAGTCGGAAACTACGGCGTGATCATACTCTCGCTATTGGTATCCTGGATTTCAGATCGAACTCGGCAAAGAGGACTATGGTGCCTCGTGGCCAGTGCGTACTCAATGATTTTCTCCGGAGTATTATTTGGTCTACCTGTCGGATCAGCCAAGTGGACCAAGTACGGCATGCTGATGTTATTAAACTCGGGCAATGCAGTCGCCCAAGGTCTGAATGATGCTTGGTTGAGCAGTAACTGTAAGACTCCCCAGCAGCGGAGTATCGGCCTGGCCATGGTCGTAATGGGGAGTAATCTGGGTGGTCTGACCGGTCAACAACTCTTTAGATCATCTGATGCCCCACGCTATGTGAACGGGTTTTTGGCAATCTTGTGTCTCTATGCAGCATCCATGGTGGCCATTTCGCTTCTCACGGGTTTATATTTCTTTCAGAATCGAAAACTCGATCGCATGGACACTCGCCCAACTGATGCTGATGACAGCTTACAGACCGCAAGTCCTCAGGCGTTGGCGGAGAAAAGATGGAGATTTGAGATGTAGCGGAGTTTGTATAAAACAAGGGTCACATAGATTTGGCCGCATCCAGTTTGGGATTTGCCACCCCTTGAGATCTCTGCCCGACGAGTCAATCAAAGGACGTAAGCAATACAAGAAAACCACCTAACTAACACTTGTCTTCTCAATATTCTCCTTCGCTTTATTCTCCAATTCCTCATGTTGTTTCTTCAACTCGCCAATCTTAGTCTCATGGACCTTGGAAGCATCAATACCCAACGCTTTCATCCACTCGGGGTCGATATTCTCGACATTCAAATATGGACTGACGTCCTCTTTATTCACCAACGCCCTCACAGCACCCATGCCCAAGAAAGCCCAGGGGTTCTTCTTGGCGGGGCCTAGATACTCGATCTCAAAGTCCTCGTACCGCGGCACTTTGATGGCCTCGACGTAATGCAGACTGCTCCCAGGCCAGACGGCATTGACACGCCCGGTCTCGTTGTTCTTGTACCAGGAGCGACAATCGTCCACCCACACGGTATGGCGCACCCACTCCTGGCAATGCTCGTTGAAGGCGTCGGTGACGTCCTGCTTCGGCGCCAAGCTCGCGATATACTCGCTCTGGATCTTCTTAATGATCTGCAGCGCATACATGCTGACCTGCATGAGGGGCCCCATGACGCTGCCGTTCTCCACGGGCCAGTTGGGGCCGATGAACGTGAGGAAGTTGGGGAAGTCAGGAATAGCCAAGCCCAGATAGCCTTCCGGGCAGACTTTCCATTTCTCGGCCAGGTCCACGCCGTTTTGTCCGACGATGGGGAACCGTGGTCTGTAGGATACGTCGAACCCGGTCGCGCACACGATCGTGTCGACTTCGACGCGCGTGCCGTCTTTGCCAATCACACCGGTCTCGTCGATGCCCACCACTTCCGTGAAGTGTACGTCCACATTTTCTTTCTGGATAGCTCTGTTTAGGGGTAGAATAGTTAGCTAAAGGGGTTCCCTTTTGAACGGACGGCAATCTAGCTCGTGGGCCTGGTCTAGAGCCAAACAACAGACACGCTATGGCTTCGAAGAAGAAAAGAGAACTCACTCAATATACGGATCTCCCGGGGTGATTCGACGACATCCGATACCAAAAGTCGGCGTGAACCCCTTGATGAGTCTTTCATCCTTGATCATCTCGGCCATGCGGGCTTTGAGGGCAGCCTGACCCTCAGCCTGGGCCTGTGCGCCTTTGTAGAAACTACCCCAGAGGCCGTTGACCTGGTCTTCGATGGACTTTGCATGCTCGACGATCTGGTACGGGTCGCGGAACGATGCTTTCTGCTCATCCGTGTACTCGTGGTTCGCGCCAAAGTTGTTCGCGATTTGTACGAACCAGACTCCTGTTGGTAGAAAGACGGGATTAGTCAGTCATCGAGCTTTTCCCCTCCTCCTCGCACAGGATACTACAGGCCAGCAGGAGTGATGGATTGGAACATACCGGTACGGACAAAAACATCCAGATGCTTAGCGTGAGGCTGCATGGTCGGAACGGTCTGAATGCTACTCGCACCGGAGCCAATGACAGCCACACGATCATTCTTCCACTCCTCCTTCTGATAGTTCTCAGGCCATCTCGCCGTATGGATAATCTTACCCTTGAACTTCTCCATACCTTCGATGTTTGGCCACTTGTAGTTGTTTAGAATGCCTGTGCCGTGCAGAAGGACATGACATCTTTCTTCGAATACGCGCACAGTTGAGCCGTTCGACGGATCAGTTTGCTTGAGTTTGACGAGCCATTCGCCTGTCTCCTGCTGCCAGTAGCATCCAATGACCTCGGTGTTGAAGGTCATGTATTTCCGGAGTCCCCAGACCTCGCACACCTTGTCGAGGTACTTCCAGATATCGGGACTGTAGGAGAAGAACCGTGGCCAATCGGGCTATTGTCACGTAAAAGCCGTGGTCGTGTCAGCAATTGGCAAAGGTGATACGGCTCATATCCGGGGAATTGTGGATCGGTACACTTACGTTGAGAGCAAAGGGGTAGGTGTATGCATGGCTAGGGATATCACATGCACAGCCTGTACACAATGACGGTCAGAAGTACTTCCAATCTAGGCTTGCCTTGTCAGGTACTAAGACGAGACGCGTCGCACCGGTCTTTCCCCGATGCCAAACACTATCCAGAGCATCTCAGGTCCACAAGATCACAATGACACTCAACATTTCGCTAATTGACCAGCATTGAAAGGGATCAGAAACGGGAGGAGAAGCATACCAGGATATCTGTTTTCTAACCAAGTTCCACCAATATCTTTGTTCTTCAAGCATAGAGTTAGGATGTAGTTTTTGCCTTTTGGAAGGAGCGATCACTTTACCTTTTCGAAAATGACATGCTCAACGTTTTCGCAGAACTTTTGGATATGGTAGGCATTCATGATACCCGTGACTCCGGCGCCAATAGAGAGTACGCGGATCTTGCGCGTGTAGGGGCCATGGAGGACAATATCTGTAGAACCACGTGCATCAGGGCACCTGGGTCAGCCAATTGGTTCAATGAATTTGATGAAATAGAAAATGGGTTGACTATTGTGCTGCTCGGACAGGCTAGGAAAAGGCCCTGTTCATGGACATGGAGGAGCTGAGCGGCCTCAAGATGATATCACAAGGAATGTCCTCAGGGGGCCCTGCAGTTGTCGACGATGCCTCCCAAGACCTCAGTCAACACCCGAAAGTAGTTTGGCCTTGGATGTCTTGGTAAGGTTCAGTAAAGCAGCTCGGACCCTGCCTAATGATCTTGGAGAGGCTCAAGTTTTCAAATCACGATGAATGAACTGTGGTTGAGGTCCCAGACGGTGTTCCGACCAGCTGAACAGCCAAAGGCAAGTGGGAAGGAAACAATCAGACTGACCTGGAATTTCGTATTCTTCTTTCCGTGGAACCTGATTATTAGCATACCCATCAGTAGCCCAATTAGCCATCGAGTTGATGTCGGGCGCCATGGTACAGGTTAGGGGGGACAGTAGAAGCTCAGGGCAACAGTGAGAAGGCAGGTTGTAGCAGATGGGACGGCAATGAAGTGCTGCCACTTGAATTTATAGCTCACAGGTATGGAGCTTACGTGATACAAGGATGAACAGGAAGTGCAAGAGATGCGAAGGACAAGGTAGAACAAAGAGCCCGAGTTGGAAAGCCGGTAGTCTATGAAGTGAAATTCTACTATTTGTGGTGATCTACACCTGACCTGTTTGCTTGTTTGCTCTGGGAGGGCATTAATAGGGTCACTCTAGTCCGAATATTCACGGCCGTAGTGGATCTGAGGTTCGTATCAAATGGATTTGCCAAATCATTCGTGCTGGAAAGTGATACGTGGTGGTGTTGCTCGTTCAAGTTGTGGGGTTGCTTTGCGGGGAAGGACTTTGTCTTCCTCGGTTGAGGCATCAAAATGGTGCGGGCCAACTCATCCGAGGTTTTGGAGTACCCTTGACCAGAAAATGTCGAGTAAGCTGTTAGGTATGTGTTGGTTGGTTCAACAGCACTCGTATTTGTTTCGGACAGAGGGTACCAAAACCAAAGGAGCTACCTAGGTTATGGTGGGTGGTCGTTCGTAGGAGATATGGCCAGATGGGCCGAGGGCGGCCAGGTATTCATCAGCTAATCCCAATTTCCAAGAGATAAAGTGGTTGTTCACATCTAGTACACGCCCTGTAACGGAAGATCCCTCGAACTTCGGCCAACAGCGAGGTTAAATTTGCCCTCAGGCATTATCCAATTCTGTCGGATCACAGACCAAAAACTGAGATCTTTCCTCGTCAGGGTAAGGTTAACAAGTTGGGTCTCTCCAGCTTCAAGTTCGATCTTAGTGAAGTTTCGTAATGTTCTCACAGGGGTGTCGATGATCTCCTTGGTTGTGGGCTCCATGATAGATGAAGGTAGTGTAACATATAATTGAACGACTTCCTTTCCCTTCCGATTTCCTGTATTGGTAACCCTAACTTGAATGGCTACATGTTCTTCGTATAGGGATGGGTTGCCACCTTCTGCTCCTCCGGCGGGACTTGGCTCTTGATCAAGGTTATAACCTTCAGGGTAGGGGTATGTGCCCTTCTTTACTTCCTTTACACTGGAGATGTAAGGATATATAAACTTTCGGAATTTCCCGAATTCAGCTGGCCATAGGGCATCTTCTGCAGGGGGAATGCTCTCGTCAAACTTTGGTGGACTGAGTGATTTTGGACGAGGCGATGGGAGAGCTGATTTCGATTTCAGTGGAGTGATGGATAGATCTTTGAACTCGAACGAGGTGAACGACAGTCCATAACCGAAGGGATATCGAGGTTCAATCTCTTCCCGGTCAAAATGCCGATAATCAACATAGAGACCTTCCTTGAAATCAACCTGAGGAATGAAACCATTGGGGTAGTAAAGTACTGGAGCCCCTGGACCATAGTCGGCAAGATCTTTACCTACAGTGTAAGGCAGTCGTCCTGACGCATCGATTCGGCCAAACAAGACATCAGCAAGTGCGTTACCACTTTCCTGGCCGGGCAGGTTGGCGAACAAAATAGCCTTGACAGCGGACAGATCTGCAAACTCTTCGACAATGACAGGCCCGACGGAATGAATGACAACAACCACAGGCCCACCACAACTCTGCGCGACACTGGAAATGAGAGAAGCACCCTTCTTTTGGATTTCCAGGTCATTTCTATCAGCTCTCTGTGACTCCCAGAAGCGATAGCCTTCGCCTGAATCTGCATTTCCAAAGACTATGCAAAGATCTTGCTCTGCTAAAGTCTTCTTCAGGCTGCTAGAAACCTTATTGGCTAGAGATGTTGTGATTTCCACGACCGAGGGATCAAAAGAGGCGTTCAAGGCTGACAGAGGATCTACCAAATACGTGAACTCGGTGGCTCCAGATCCCCAGCCCACAGCAAGAGTGCCCTGATTGCAACCTCTATCCTCACAGTGATTAGGACCTTTGCCAGGACCGGCATCTTCGCCGATGACAGCCACCCTTTTCCGACGATGAGCATTCAGCTGCTCGAGTGAAGGGGTGAGTGGCAACATGGCGTCTTCATTTTTCAGTAGCACGATACCTTCGGCAGCGACCTGCCGTGCGATATTTCGACTCTCATCATTTTCGGTGTCAATAAACTTGTTGACAATGACTTTTTCTTGCTTAGTACTACTTCCGTCATGCAGAACACCGTACTTATCATTTGTCCACGACGAAAAGTTCGGAATATGATCTTGCCATGCATCCTGGCCAAGTTGATACCAGGCAGCAACAACACGGGTGACCATGTCGTTGAGTCGAGATAGAGGAACGGACCCATTCAGAACAGCCAGGGTCAACTGACTTCCCCAAAGAGACTTGCCGTCGAGCCAGTGAAGACCATCACCCGGCATAGATACGTCCAAACCGGCAAGGGCAGAAGCCACACCACTGCGCTGAGCCAACCAGTCTGATTGTATAAAGCCTTGGAAACCAAGCTCGTCCTTGAGAATTCCATTCATGAGCTTACTGTTGGCACATGCATAAGAGTTGTTGACCATTTGGTAAGAACACATGACACTAGCCACACCAGCTCTGACACTTTCTGCGAAAGGCCAAAGATAGAGCTCATGCAGGGTTCGGTCATCTATATTGGATGAGAGAGCCTCTGGAATCCCCCACTCAAAAGATTTGCGGAAATGTTCTTGCTCGTTTCCAATGAGATGTTTTGCCGTTGCGATAATGCCTTGAGATTGGATTCCTTGGATGGTCTCATATGCAGCAACACCCTGAAGCACAGGATCACTCCCAAACCCCTCCCATACTCTTCCACCTGCTGGGTTTCTCCCAAGCGGGCCCATGGCTGGGCCTAGGAGGACATGGACACCTTTCAATTTGGCCTGACGAGCATGAGCAGCACCTCGTCGTCGCATCAAGTCACGATTCCAAGTGGCTCCAACGGTGATGCCAGCAGGAAAGGAGGTGATGTGGTCAGCAAATCTGATGCCAAGGGGTCCATCCTGAAGGCATAGTGCAGGAAAGCCAGCATTGACGGCAGGCGCAGTATTTCCGACACAAAGATCTTGAGCCCATCCAGTACCAGTGGTGATGTTGACCTTTTCAGGCAAGGTCATACGCTCAACCAGTTTTCGAGCTTTGTCGTAGCTTACTTGCCATGACGACAAGGTCCCTCCGGGCGGTGTGGGATACCATGGAGGAGATTGACCATTGATTTGACTCTGACCAGTCTTCCATGCCCAGAATCCGCTACCGGCGATGGCAGAGAGAACGACAGCGGTTATCAGGACACAACCAGCGATATAGGATTTTGAAAGTCCGTGACCGGCAAACAGGCGGGCGTAGAACGATCTGGGATATCTGGCAGACTGAGTCGAGCCAGGGGGACCTAAGAGGGTGGCATGACTCTGATCGGGATTGGCTTTTAGGTCATCATCCGATAGATCTCCGTCGTCTTGTTCAGGAGCAGTATTTTGCATCGGATCATAGCGAATATCTGAATGTGGTCGGGCCATGGTCAGTGAATGACGATAACCTCTTTGTGGGCCAGGAATTATTCAGGCTGGGTTCATTTAGAGGGAAGCAAAATCGAGGACGAAGAGGACTGCGCCAATCAGGCTATGGTTCACAAGAGGATTAGACAGAAGTCTAGGCCTGATAGGGAGTAGGGCACAGACTGATGGCGACGGCGCAGAGGTGACCAGGAGCTAGGACAGGCACCGGACCGCGAGACCGAGGAGCAATTGGTGGTGGTGGAATTTTGTGTGGCGGCAAGATGGATTGCTTGGCCGGCCGAAACCGAGGCAGTGGTCGGGCCTCTATCGGCAAGGCAGAGTGGAGGGATGAGGGGATAGGATGGGGGATTGATTCGGGTTGAGGTTTTTCAAGGGAGCGCTCAGCGTCGGATAGAGAGCCGCAGAAAATGTCAACGGCAAGAACAGGAACAGATGCAGGACACTGGGAAGGTGCAAGTCGTAGAGTGGTAGGAGTAACTAGTAGGAGCCTGAGTGGTAAAGTAGCAGGCGTTGTGAGTCGTGACTGCTGCAGTGGTCGAAGCCTGAGCACGGCTATTCAACTTGACACTGGATCATCGGAGGAAGGAGCTGTGAACCAAAGACAAGACTACTCGCAGACCAGGAGCTTGAACTGTCCATCTCATTTAAATTATTTCTGTTTTCTGCTACTGTCCGTAGTCTTCACCTCTCTTCCTTCATCGTCTCTTCCTCTCCACTCCTTCGTTCTCACACGCAGGACATTTGTACCATCTGCCCAGCCTGCCATCTTAGCCTCTCAGCTGTAGTGCGGAGAGACTTCTCCCTCAACAGTCTTTGTCCCACTACCACTCCTTCACTCACCTCTACTCGGTCGAATCATGCTCGCTACTTCTACCATCAAACGTCTGCCTCTGCGAAGATTGGCTGCCAGTGCCGTAGCTGTACGAGCTCCTACACAAGCAATCCACCGTTCTCCCACCTTCTCCCCACCATCCTCATCCAGATTTGCGAGATCCGCCATGTCTGCTCCCTTCTCCACCTCGACTTCCACAAAGTCCTCTGCTCCAACAGGCGCACCTGCTGTCGAGTATGACCCTGAGATTTCCGACATTGCCAGCTACGTTCATAACTTCAAAATCGATTCCGAAGTCGCCTTGGACACTTCCCGCTATATCCTCCTCGACACCATTGGGTGTGGTCTTGAAGCTCTGAGGTTTCCTCAATGCAGTGCCCTCCTCGGTCCGTTGGTCGCTGGTACAACCGTTCCTAATGGAACACGAGTTCCGGGTACACCTTTCCAGCTGGACCCTGTAAACGGGGCCTTCAACATTGGTGCCATGATCCGATGGCTCGATTATAATGATTGCTGGTTGGCTGCCGAGTGGGGCCATCCTTCGGACAATTTGGGTGCCATTCTTGGTGTTGCCGACTGGATTGCTCGAACAAACAAGGCTGGAGGAAATGTTGCAGGAGGCAAGGTCCCCACCATTCGAGATGTCCTCGAGGCCATGATCAAAGCACATGAGATTCAAGGTGTCTTGGCTCTGGAAAACTCGTTTAACAGAGTCGGTCTTGATCATGTTCTTCTGGTCAAGGTTGCTTCCGCTGCTGTTGTGAGCAAGATGCTAGGTCTCACTGAGGAACAAACAAAAGCTGCCGTCTCTCAAGCTTTCGTCGACGGCCAGAGCTTGCGTACATACAGACACACCCCCAACACCATGTCCCGAAAGTCGTGGGCTGCTGGTGATGCCTGCCAGAGGGCTGTGAACCTCGCTTTCAAGGTCCAACAAGGTCAATCCGGTGTCCCAACAGTTCTCTCGGCTCCGGTTTGGGGTTTCTACGATGTCCTCTTCAAGGGCAAGAAGTTCGAATACCAGCGGCCTTATGGTAGCTACGTCATGGAGAACGTCTTGTTCAAGGTCTCTTACCCTGCCGAGTTTCATTCACAAACGGCTGTTGAGGCCGCACAGAAGATCTACAAGATCCTCGCAGACAAGGGCAAGTCTGCAGCTGACATCAAGGAGGTCACCAACCGCACACACGAGGCTTGTATCCGAATCATTGACAAACAATTCAAGCCTATGGACAACTTTGCAGACCGTGATCACTGCGTTCAATACATGGTGGCCACAATGTTGGCCTTCAACCGTTTGGAAGCTACCGACTATCTCGATGGTGGTGAGGCTGCCTCTTCACCACTCGTTGAGAGCCTACGCAAGACTATCAAATGTGTCGAGGATCCTCAATTCACCAAGGACTACCATGATCCATCCCTGAGAACCATCTCCAACGCATTGACTGTGACATTGAAGGATGGTACCGTCCTTGATGAGGTCGTTGTCGAGGCCCCTCTGGGTCACAGACTCCGACGAGATGAGGCCAAGCCAGAAATTCTGGCCAAGTACAAGAGACACTTGAGCCACCACTTCGATGAGGCAAAGATCAAGGATCTTTTGGCTCTAAGTACCGATGCTTCCAAACTTGATTCCATGGATGTTGACAGCTATATGGACCTGTATGTCAAGGAGAAGATGGACTGGTAATACCTTTGACCCGGTTGGTGATGTGTATAGGCTGCGTGCAAATATCCAAGTTGTATCTACAGGCGCTGAAGGAACTGAAAACATAGAACCGGGGTATCCCCTGAAGGTCAAAAAAAGCCACAAAATTCAAGCTGAAATGAGAATGACTGAAGTGATTACGATCTCGGGAGTCTATGCGTGATTTTTTCCATGCCACTCAAGCTCCAGGTCTGTCGCGAGCCCTCCAAGGGCTACTCAGATACTTGACTACCAACCCATTCGTGGCTTCTTCCGCTCGGCTTACCTTCTTCTTCCGAGTCTCGCACGCGCGATGCTCCCGACGCGTTCCTACCCATGGGAGTACATAAGGAAGGTGCCTTCCACTTCCTACGAAGTAGGTAGTCTGCATCATCTTCCGACTCCTCCATTCCACATTAACAATTAACCTTGACTGCAAAGCTCGTCCAAAGGGATAGCCACCATGTTGTAAAACTCTACCGCAGTGACCGGTCCCTGCAAGTCGAGACACCATCTTACAATCTCTTTGTATCTGGTTCCTACACGATACGCCAATTCCCCAGCGATACGTATCATAACCCTTCTCTTGAGCTCAATTGCCTCCAACTCGTGAAAATGAACCATGTCTGGAGAAAGTGCAACGGGAGGCTCCTTCCCAGGGCGATGCTTTGCCGCAAGCAAATCCATCAGTGGGCTCCAGAGAGCGATCTCAAGAAGCACCAGACCCAGTGAGTAAATATCATAATGCACCTGATACCCAGATGCTGCCTCACCTTGGTAGGACGGATGACGGTAGATGGCCGATTCAAGATCATTAAGCACCTTTCCCCGATCAATAGTCTGTGCTTGTGTCAGCTGCCGAGAGTAGTTGAAGCCTTGAACCAGCGCCGTCTGAATGCCCGTGGACGCAACGCTCTGGGCTGACCCTGCAGAATAGACCTGTGGGAACACTATATTCTTGCTGTTGATGCCCTTGTGCATCCACTCACTGCCATAAAGCCTGGCGAACGTGTCAACAAGGCGCTTGCCTAGCTGATAGCGTGCCTCGAGTGGTGGCTTCACTGGCGATAAAAAGAGTCTGTGCAGCGAGAGCGGCTCGTTTGCACGAGAATTTTGGGCTGACAGCAATGAATCAACCGGGCCTAACGGGAACTGGAACACAATCCACCAGCAGTGGTAATCTGGGTCGTCAACATATCCCACAGCTCGCAGGGTGTGTAATTTTCGCCGCGCATTGACCTCACCGAGCAGGGAGACCAGTTTCCGAATGCTTTCACGGACCAGATCCTTGAGCTCGTCAGTGATGTTCATATCGTACTCCTTCTTCTCAAATAAGTATGCCATTTCCGAGTCGTGGTGACCTGGCTTCAAGAATCGCGTTTTGGTCCGATCATCCGTGCTGCTTCCGGCGAGACTCCAATCTTCAGCATCCACCGAAAACAAACCCGTGGTGGGAGTTCTCTGTTGCTGTATTATGGCTTTCCACTGCGCAAGAGACCTCACATCAATCTGAGAAAGCCCTTCATCCCATCCAGTGGCTGATTGCAGCCGGAGGAGGGCTTCTGGCTCCGACAGGCTCCGCACGATCTCCATCGCCAGTCGTGTCCCTTCCTGTTGAATTTCTTTTCGATCTTTGTCAACAGTCAAGTCTTGTAAACCTCGCACATGCTTTTCCAACGTGTCGATAAAATCTTCAAATTTCTTCTTGTCCCGAATGGCCCAATACATCCGTCTTGAGACACTGGTTGCCGCTCGTTTGGCCATCGACTGGGCTGACACTTCTTTCTCTACCTGCAATGCCAAACTGGATTTGGACCGGGAGCTTGTAATGATAGCACTCAAGCTCCGCCGCATCTGGATGACTGCTGCGGACATCCTTTTTGAGTCTGGTCCACCTGGTTGTTTGACTACAATGCCATACTTTTCTCCCTGCTGCTCGATCTCGAAGATAAGGTCCCGGATTCTCCGAACGGTCCGCTCGAGGAGCTCCTCTACTGGGTGCAACGGCGCTATGAGCTCTCCATCGGCAAGTCCTGCCTTGCTCGCCCAAATGCCTAGGCGAGCTTTGACTGTCTCTAGACGAATGACAAGATCCTCTGTGTCGTCGTCAAAGCTGATGGTATCGTCCAACGTTCTCCATGCTTCAACAGCTGCATTGAACGCTATCGGAACAACCCCGAGCACAACCCCCGCTACCTCGAGGCCTGACATGATAACTCCTCTATATTACCGACAGGGCTCTACTCCGGAAGATCCCCAGTTAGTCAAGCTTTTGAACCAAGGCTGACTGATCCTGAATGCATTGCTTCACACCTGTCACTCGGCAGTTAGTCTCATTGGCCATCAACCTAGGATCGCCTGGTGTGGCAAACCTTGGTTAGCAGTGGCCTGTATATCGAGTTGGCACATCTCAATATCGAGCAGATGAACTTCTCTATGGACGGTCTCGCTACTTCAACGTTATTTAGTGGTGCGGGGCATATCATGTGGTCTGATTCTCCTTGGATCCGAGTCACTCAACCCCCACTAATCTACCACTCTGGGCGCCCGCCACGCGAAATCTCAGCCTCGATCTTGAGCTGAATGTTAGCTTGATGTTGTCCAACATCATGGGCCTTGGCATAATTCTTCCAGCCTGACGAGGAGGAGAAGGGCCAATATCCTTCGTTGCCCTCTGTAATCTTTGCCAAAGATAATTGCCTTCAGCAAAGCACTACTCCTTAGGGACCGTTTGCGATGGACGAATTTGAATGGGTAAAATCTTTTGCGACATCAAGCTATGGCACAGTCAATGATGCTTCCCTTCCCGCAGCAAAGGACTCTGTGTCATCTCCAGCGCCCACCTCACGGGGCTCGTTTGCATCATTCGTTTGTCACGTCGCGCGGCTTGAGAGCAAATTACGCTCGTTTTCTTCGCTAGTCTTGGATGATTCTTCTGATGTCAAGGCTACTGGGAAAATTCTGGGCCAAGGGAAGACATTCATGGTGAGGCATGCTAAATGGGTGCGAAACCCGAAAGAGCCGCCTCTCGAAGTTGCCCTGAAAGAGATTATTCCCGACGTCAAGTCTTCAGATGGAACCTCGAGGTGAGACTAATGTAACGTGGCCAGTTTAATACCTTCCTCTAATGCCAATGCTAGACCACACACTGACTGGAAAGATATCTTGTTCGAACTCCGAGCGCTACTTCACGAGCCCATTCGGTATCACCCAAACTTGGTTCGGCTACTTGGCATCCAATGGGGTCTCTCGCCAATTGCAGACTCCACATATCCTGTATTGATTATGGAATATGCGTCACTCGGCACCTTCAAGACTCTTCAAACATCCTCTGAACCATTGTCTTTTCCTGTAAAGCAAAAGCTCTGCTACGATGTTGGGCGAGCATTATCTGCGCTACATGCAAGCGGTATCGTTCATGGAGACATGAAACATGAAAATGTACTGATATTCCCGAGCAAGAAGCCTATTGACGGCATTGCATACACTGCCAAATTGGCCGACTTTGGTGGTACAGTCATGGATCTGGTGGGGGGCGAGGTCAGAAAAAAGGAAACCTGGACTTGGCCTTTTCAAGCTCCTGAAGTCACAAATGATCAGGCTTTGACCAGAAATGGACTGATGCTCACAGATGTTTACTCCTTCGGCCTTCTAGTCTGGAGGGCATTCTTGGATGGTGAGGGCTTTGTGTCGCTCCCAGGCGCTGCGCAAACTGCTTCAGACCAGGACAGACGTGCCTTGAATGCTCACAAAGCATCTGAAGAATTAACAAATATCGCGGTTATCGACATCTACGACTATGCCAAAAGCCGGGGACTTTCGCAAGCTTGTTTGGACATGATGGTTTACACCGTACTTCATACCGTGCAGCTCAAACCTGAAAATCGTGAATTGGTAAAGGCACAGGCAGCATTGAGGGGCATCGTGTATGGAGACAACCCATTCCCAGTGCTCATTCATTGACAGCTTGATAGCCCAGGTCATATTCCCAACTTCATGGAATTCGTCCACAAGAAAAATGAAGAGCGCCAGGCCACAGAGGCTCGAGCAGCACCGGTAAGATAGCCTGATCCTGCGTTGCATATTCTGTATTTAGTGGGCGCTAACTCGTGGAAGGGGCGCCATGGTATCTCTAGAGATAGCCTTCAGTTTATGCTGGGACGTTATGGAAATGATGCAGATCTGCAGGATAATTTGTAACGATAAGTTCTTTTCATGAAAGCGCGCGGGTTTGTACTAACAATTCATCTCTCAGACCAGGCTTTCGACCTCGACTGGACGAACCAAACCCTGAAGAGTTCATGTTCGAACCTGCGAGCTTAAAGAACATTCTGACTTGGGAGCAGCAGCGGCAAATGCTGGATGAAATGAAGGCTGTTGCTGGCACTACTACCCAGATCTCTGGTGGCCTCCTGGAAATGCCGAAGACAGTAGCAGCCTTTTATGTTTTTCAATGCTATCTCCTGGAATTCGGCACAAACTTCAACCCAGATGAGGCAGTTGCATGGCTTCTGAAAGCGTCCTCGGATGATGACAGCCATGAAGATCAGGACTACTTCGCCCAAGCATGGGTTTGGCGCGTCTCCCGTGCGCTTGGTGTTCCAGCAAACATTCCACCGGATCGCTTACGAGGTCTTCTAAATCTATCTGTCATTCGTGGCCACCGAACTGCCCTTCTAGATATGCTTGAGCTAATGAACATAAGCAGTGGCCCAGAACGTCAACAATGGTGGAATGCATTCCAACAGTTCCGCAACATTCTTCAGTGTCAGATGGGGGCTGTTGGGATGGGCTACTATTTTTCCAAGTATCTGACCAGACCATGGAACACGGTCAACTTGAACAACACGACAGAAGTAGATGAGGCCATTCGTACATGTGTTGGAAGTGACTATAATTCCTGTCTCAGATGCTCTGCTTCTGTGGACCAGATATCCTCGTCCCAACAAGGCAGAGACAAGGAACAGACTACCTTTGATCGAATCTACATCAACCAACGTGGCCATGGTTTGTTACATATGGCGGCCGCGACAGGTGCAACTGACACTCTGCGACACTTGGTCACAAAATATGATTGCGATATCAATATTCCTAATCAACATGTTGACGAGTCACCTCTCGTTTGCGCCTGTGAAGGCGGCCAGTCAGATAGCGCAATCCTCTTACTCGAGCATGGTGCAGATCCTAACGGGTACCGCTTTTCACAAGAGGGACCATTGCATTGGTTATGCAGTTTTCTACCCAACGAAATGGAAAAAATCGCCTCGAGATTAGTGAGGGCGGGAGCTGATATCGAGCTGCGGTCTGGCGGGATGCGTCACGACGTTCGTGGAATCCGAGCCGATTGGGAGCATAACTTTGAGATCCGCACAACACCATTGGGTCGAGCCGTTTTGATGAACAACCTCGATGCTGTTAAGGTTCTCCTGAAACTTGGTGCAAATCCGCTTGCTAAGAGCGCGAGTAAACATCCAGGCGAGTATGAAGGTATGCAAGACTTTTCCAAATTGATCGATGTATCTTCGCCATTCGAGCTTGCTGCTGTCTTAACTCTACCTCATATTCTGGCAGAGCTAATTAAGCACATCGATGGTCCGAGCGGAACCCCGAGACTGAAGCTTCTTGATGAGTGGTCAATGCTTGATCTTGCACATGGAAACAAAGTTACCGAGTTTGATTCGGTCTCATTACAGAGTCGCCTGGTTCGTTGTGGAATGAACTACAAGCGCAACATGCGAGATACTCTTGTGCTCCTACACACTCGCGATCGACCATTCCGCGGGATTTCAGGCGATGAAGTACAAAAACAGCAAAGTCGGGTATTGTTCACAGAAGTCGCGCTTGGCAACTTAGATGTCGTCGAAATCCTTCTAGAGCTCGGCTACAGTTCAAATGGCACTCAGGATTTCCGACCGTTGCAAAAGGCTGTGGAAAGAAATCATGAAGAGATGTTTTGGATTCTAGTGCGATATCGGGTTGATATGAACGTGACCATTATGACACCCACAGGTGGAATATCCATGCTTCATGTTGCCGCCATGCGGCCACAACAGTCGCGACCTGGGCGAGTGATCGCCGATGCACTCATACGAGCTGGAGTTCCTGTTGAAAGCACGGATCCACGGACTCGACCGCCACTCGCAATGGCAATCATGTGTCAGAACTTCGAAGTCGCTGGAGCACTATTGGAAAACGGCGCCAACATCGATGCGATCTACCCGCTCTCGCCCAATGCTCTTACCGGAACCGAAGAAACAAAGGCCGTTGGTGTTCTTGTCGAAGTGTTGTCCCAACATACAATGCGTACACTCGAATCACTAAAATTCATCTTTGGCCAAAGAGACGGCGGTCCAAGTCAGCGGCCTGCTTTCCACATCGACCCCGGCAATAAGCTATCCATTCTCCACCTCCTCGCTGGAAGTCCTCAGTTCACACAGATTGCACAGATCACGCCTAAGATCCTCAATTTGTGTCTAGCAACTTACGCCGACCCAGCACTCATCAACTATAGACATCCCTTCCTAGGTACGGCCTTGTACTACGCGGCGATGTGTGGACACAAGACGATGGTGGAACTCCTTCTGGAGCACGGCGCTGACGAGACACATAAATCTGGGCCAGATGTCGATGGCTCTGTACAGACACTATTCCGACCAGAAGAGTCGTGGTCCCCACTCTGGGCAGCCATACTGAAGTTCGAGGACGAGCTGAGAAAGGGTATTCACTTCCCACCAGAAGGGCCGCCAGGAGCATGGCTTAGTTCTAATTCAATCCAAAATGCGGAGAAGATAATTGGATTACTGTCCGCAAATGGTCAAAAAGCAACAGCTCAACGAGCCATAACACAACTGAAGGCGCGAAAACAGGCGCTTGAACTTAAAACCAATGCGTGGCAAAAAGACAGAATGGCTAAAAGACGAGAGTACAGAGCACAGGAAGATGAGGCGCCTATCGATCTAGGCATTCTTTCAGGCGATGGCAGTAAAGATGATGAGGCAAAGATCCGCGAGATTTGCAGAGGGCCGGAGCAGGAGTGGAAAACTGAAAGGATCGAATCGTTTCTGGGCAGCCTGAGTCTCGAGGAATAGATCATCCGATACCCGTGCTAGGTATTGAGAATCCGGTGTGGCGAGGCTGAGAAAAGAGGGGATGATTGGCAATGCAAGGCTGAACTCGCCGCGGCGGCAATTCCGCGTGAGACGTCTGGCTTAGCTAACATTTCCCCATCTTCGTGCCCCAGCACGCCACATCAGAGCCAATGAGACCTGAAGCAATTGGTGCTGAAGCAAAGCATGCATGGGTTTCGAATCCATTGCAGGTGCCTTGCAAACTCCGAGTATTGCCATCTAACTGCCGGTAGACCATTCGACGATCGTTCACTCGGCCGGGTGTTAGAAATCAAGCCAAAAGGCTTAGTTGTTGCCATTAACTCGTAAGGAGATCGTATAAAGAGGAAAAGAAGAACTCATCCGATAGTACGTGGACGCTGGTCTTTATCATCACCCAAGACATATTTATTGTCTCGGACTGTATATCTTCTTTCGACAGACTCGCGCAAGTGAGTGGCATGCCATCAGTGGTGCAGTGGCATCGAAATCGAGAACCCAGCTCTAGTAGTCGAAGAATAGGAACCACGGCCATCGCATTCAAGTTCGCTGTGGGAATCCTGGTACTCAGCATCCTACTCGCATCAACACTGTTTCATCATTCGTCTCCGACGAGTCAAGAAGTCGAATCCATTGTGGCGAACCTCCCTCGCAATCGCATGCTAAACCCTCTCAAATCTCTTTTCGGGAACTATTGGGGCGCATCAGCCATAAACACCCTCTCAACTTCGACCCTGACGAGCGAGTCCAAGATCAACACCTCCGGAAGCATGGCGACAAGAACACCCGTCTATTTCGTCTCTCATGGTGTGAGTACCACACATCCTGCCGCCTCTTTAATCCCGAATCTGGAAGTTGACACTAACCATTTCATCTCTTCTCTCCTCTCCACAGGGCCCAACAACCATGTACGATGACAAGCACCCAGTATGGCCCGAACTGCAAGCGATCGGGCGGGAAATCACGCAAAAAGTACGACCGGCGGCGATCGTGGTGTTCAGCGCACACTGGCAGGCGCAACGGCCCAACACGATCGAAGTGAACGTGTCGGAACAAGAGCCGCTACTGTACGACTTCTACGGGTTCCCGCGACACTACTACGCGGAGAAATTCCCGAACAAGGGGTCTCCGGAGCTGGCGCGGAAGATCATGGCGCTGCTGAACTCGAACGGGATCAAGACACAGGAGGAAGAAAGAGGGCTCGATCACGGCGCGTTCGTCCCCTTCAAGGTCATGTTCGACCCCAAGCAGAACCCCGTCACCGTGCCGATCGTGCAGGTCAGTCTGTTCGACGACGACACGGACGCGGACGCGCACATTAAGCTGGGGAGGGCGGTGCAGAAGCTGCGCGAGGAGAATGTCTTGATTCTGTGTTCTGGCATGTCGATCCATAATCTACGGCACTTCATGATGATGGGCGGGCGAGGGCTCGCCGCGAACCCGCCGGCCTACGCCGTGGATTTCGACCAGGCGTTGAAGGATGCCGCGGAGACGGCGCCGGGGTCGCACAGGGATGAGTTGATGGTTGAGTTGCTGGCACGGAAGGATGCGAGGCTTGCGCACCCGACTTTCGAACATCTCCTGCCTGCTCATGTTGCCGTTGGGGCTGCTGGTGCCGATCACGGGAAGCAGTTGTTTACCTTTGTGGAGGGCCCAATGGCTTGGGCGCAGTATCGATTCGGGGAGATCCAGGCGGCGGCAGGGTGAGCAGTTTTAAACAAGGGAGGTGTTGGAGTCTTTGAGTCTTTCTTCTTCCTCTACCTCGTAGGTAATGATGCACACCATATGTACAAAAGTTTTTATCGCTGGTTTGCCCCAATGCTCTGCAAGAACATGATGCATGTAAGATTGTCGTAGTGTAGCCACGACCTATTTCTGCTCTTTCACCTGCTTTGTACAGCCCCTAGCTCCGGTTGCTGAACTGAAGCCATTTGCGTGTTGTTGATGTACTTATTCGCTCTTGACGAGGGTAGTCACCTTATCCTCGATTTCTTTGTCCGATAGTCCTGTGAATCCTCATCAGTTTTTCTGGCCGGCATGTCTCAATCAATGCTTGTGTATCTCACCTGCTAGAGACTCTGATTTCTCCCTTCCAAATCCTGTGTCGTTATTGATCAGCACCGCCCTTTTCGTTGGATCGCGCTTCGCATATTGGAGACCTACCATATCTCGCCCAGATCTTGGGTTCTACACCCGTTGCTTCGCGTATTAATATGGGAGTGTTGGGATTGTGATGTTTCATTGTGGGGTAAGCTCGCTTGAGGAACGATCTGTGTAGGGATCGGTCAGGCACGATTCCAAGAGTGCAGATTGGAGCAAACGGGAGAGGGTCGAAGGAGGTGTCTACCTTGCTGCTTCACTGGCTTGACCGGAGCTGCAGAGATGAAAGCGCACCTCTCGGAGGCCTTTGGTGAAGGCATACTTGGTTGCCATGTTGGCTGGGGAAGATCTATTGAGTTGCGAGGGCAGGACAGAGCATTACCGTCGTCGAGAATGCACCCGACTTCGAGTTGCAGTTGGGATGCAGAACGTCTGGAGCTGGATTGGGATTTTAATATCGCTGCTTTACTCTGGATAAGTTAGCGAGATATATCCCCCTCAAGGAGCTATGAGAGTCGGCCGGAGATTAGGTTGAGGAAGGAAATGTTTAGCCGCGTAACTGGAACTGTACTGCGGACTCTGTGAACGCTGGAGCAACTCCTCAACCCCATCCCAAACCTCAAGGTCACTCATTATTACTCACAATCGAGATATTCACTTCCCATACCGAAGCCATCCCATCTGACCACAAGAGGTGATACTCTCCACTCCACTCTCTTTCCTTTCCTTGTCTTCGCCGACCTTGATTCTCTTCAAGCTCGTGCACGCCAACCTAATTAAATACCCAACAATCCTCTCATACCAAAATGTCCGCACGATTCGGTCTGCGCTCAGCGCAACAAGCATCACGACAATCGTCCACCGGTACTGGCTTCACTTTCCGATCGCGCAACCCCATCTTCCGAAGATACCAAGGCACTGCGTCCAATCCTGCCGCCGAGACCGTGGTTCCTCCCCAACAAAGCCTTTTCCAAAGATTATGGACCAGTGAAGTGGGCATTAAGACGGTGCATTTCTGGTAAGGATTTACTTTGATGTTCTCTCACAAAAATGCTCCGGGGGAGGAAAGGGTGTGGAATGGAGATGAAGAAGCTAATATGGGTTGAAATCCAGGGCACCAGTAATGAAATGGGGTGTTGTCATCGCCGGCGCCTCCGACTTCCTTCGCCCGGCTGAGAAGCTCTCCCTGACACAGAACCTCGCGCTCATGGCCACTGGCTCCATTTGGACTAGATGGTGCTTCATCATCAAGCCCCAGAACATGCTGTATGTCCCTTTCTCCAACATCACCCGTCCATCCTCCTAGACGCAATGATATACATATATGAGAAACAAATGACTAACCAAATCCCACGCGTTCTTCGTTGGGATGTACAGTCTCGCCGCCGTGAATTTCTGTCTGTTCCTCGTCGGAACAACACAAGTCACCCGTATCTTGTTGTACCAGCAATCCATCAAGGGCACCGAGGGTGCTCTCAAGAGCATGGAGCAAGACGTCGTGTCTGCCGCCAAGGACGTCGAGAAGAAAGTCGAGGCCAAGCTGTCGTAGGTGGTTAGATGCTGTGGCTGTAGCTGGATATTGAACGTGCTGGACCTGATTAAAATACATGGAGGGCAATGGTGGGATCAGGGCTGAAAGGGGTAGAGCCTTCTGACCTGCACTTCTTTTCGAAAGAAGAAGAAGAAACGGGAGAAAGCCCATCAAGTAGTCTTGCTTGTGGCAAAGGACTACAGCATCTACTACACGCACCCTTTTATCTTTCACATCATGGATTTCTGTCCGGTCAAGAAAGACTACCCGACGTGATGCGGGCTTAAAGACCCCGCCGCTACCAGTACATAACCGCAGCTTGGATACGTAGGTACCTAGGTAGGGTAGACAGAGACCGGGCCTTGTCGGCCTATATATACTCTGTTCTGTTATTTCAACAATGGGAACCTTGAGTCATCGATTCGCCCGGCGAACATGTAAGATACCGGCCCAAGGGGGGGTCCACCAGGAACTCTTGTCCTCGTATGTATCGATTCAATAGTTCTCCTGTGCTCTCCTGTGTGCGTGGTGGGTTGACCCTGTATTCTCACTTGCGGTGGAGGAAAAATACCTGGGACACCAATATCTATCTCTCTCCATCCGCGCCGATGCAGGATACTGAATACAAATATCCACCACGGAATGGACGTCAATGCTCGATATAACAGGTCCAGAAATACTGTGCCGTGGAAGAAACGACAACTGAAAGAGTAGTTGACGGACCATCTCTAAACTCGGATTGCTCACTCCCTAGAACCTGGTGAGTGGATGACCGAGCGTGTGAGGTTTGCGCTGCACGTTGCGCTGCGCGAGTACTAAATAAAGGAAGTTGATTGGGACGGGAGTGGGAGTGGGAGTGCAGGTGGAATGTGTGCGTAAGTATTATCACCATCATCATCATATTAATATTAATACTATAGCGTAGTCATGTACAGTAGTAGAACAGAGACTTGAACCTGCAAAGCCTTCTGATTGCAACCAAGTTGGCGTTCGACACCAACTTCGAGACTTTGAATTCGTGACCGTATATCTCAATCTAGTGGACCGGCCTCACGGCAACAAGAGAAGCACCAAATTCATTGGTCCCCACGTCATCTCACGTTTTCTCATTCTTCATTTCTTCTTCTCAGGCGCCCCCTTCTGCGCCTTGTTCTTATTGTCGCCGGTGTCCTTGTAATCGCCGCCTTGGGCCTCGTAGCGACGGGCGAGTTCACCAGCTTTCCACGCCGACCAGGATCCTTTGCCGCCTCCTATTTTTCACAAGATAACAGAATTAGTATAATTCCTCTGAGTACGTGGGATGTCTAGACGAGTCTCAAGCGATGCGACGAGACAACGTACCTTTCTCCTCGTTCTTGACTTCCTCTTTGATCTTCTCGCGGAGTTCGGGATCTGTGGGCTCGCCTTTGGAGCTGGGCATTTTGATGGTGGAGTTTTTCTGTGAGAATAGTCGGGTGGTGGAGGTGGTGGTCAGCCTGCTGCTGATAACACGCTTGATGGTGGTGGCTTGAAAAAACGGGCGGGAGATTTTCGATGGTATGGTGGACTGAAACCCAGGAGTTGGGTATGTTCCTGACCACAATCGAATCGACTTGGACGATAGCAAGAGATCGTTCTTGAACAAAGAAGAACGTCAAAGAATTGACAATCACCGTGGACTCGAGTAGTTGTAACCTCGGGCTAGAGTATTCTGCTTGTGTCTCGCGTCCTTTGAACTCGAACTCGAGCTTGATCCCGATGATCTGGAGGAGATTTTGGGACTCGGCGTCCGAGAGTTCGGCGATGACGTGGACGAAGTCGAAGTCGAAGACGTAGAAGTGGAACTGGTTCTGGGTTTCTTGTCGGATGAGTACAAAATATCACGCCTTGAAGCCGACGAAGACGACGATTGTGAATCTCTCCTCAGGATCTCCTGTAACGATGCTTTGGCGGTTGAGCAGTTCTGGCAGGTAGGTGTGTCGCGGAAGGTTGGAAAGCGGAACATCTTCGGGGGAGATGTGAGTTCTGGCATAATGAACCAAAGTTTATATATCTTGAATGATGGAATGGAGCACGGATGTCGAATGCTGGCTCGCTTATGATGTGGATATGATGTCGTCTTCGATCTCCCTTTTCGCGGTATCTTGGGGCTTAGTCGGTATTGTCGAAAGAGTGATTTGATGGAGATTCGATTCAGTGGGTCACCACAAGTCGAAGAATCTGGGGATCTGTTGTGAAGCTTTAAATGATGATGCAGTAGTGATGCAGTGAGGCTGGAGTGGCTGATGCTTTGACGGGCAGGCTGGGACCTGGAGGGGAGATGTCGAAATAGATAAAAGGAGTCAAGTCTGGGTTGGGAAATGTAAGACGTCACACAAAGCATGTACCACTGAAAGGTGAGTATCGACGGATCGGGTGACGAAAAAAGGCCCAGAATTGTAGATCGAGTGGGATGTTCCTTGACAGCGAATGATGGGGAGGGAGGGTCGATGCAAGGCTCAACAAAGAAAAGTTTGAGGATCTGATGGTTATTGGTTTACGATAAGAAGCCTAGGTACCTAGGTAGATTGTGGCTGAGGGAGAGCAACGAAAAGGCCGGGCATGGCAATACTTGTATTCGAATTCAACCTGATCCTACCGGATGGATTTGCCATGTCTGATGCAGAGGAGAGGTTTCAGATCCTAGGAGGTGCGACAAACGAACTGTCAGAACAAAGCGGAATAGGCCAGCCAGCCAAAACCCCACACTTTTTGCCATCGATGAGAAGATGGGTAAAATGACGCACAGACAGTTAGTTACCTTGGACCGTGGACAGATGTGGAGGTACCCAGGAGGGGGGGGACCAGAGAGTGCGGCTGACTCCGAGAGAAAAGTTGAATTGATAGGGCCAGGCGAAAGATGAGTTTCAGAATTGATGGATTCAAGCCTTAGAGAAAGCACTGGCACCAAAAAAAAAAGAGGCGTCAGCCTAGAAAAGATCCGAAGCAAGATGAAGGATGGAACTTGGATCCGTCGAAAGAAAAGTATCTGAGACTTGGAGATGTGATGGTGATGGAGGTTATGATTTGACTGGGTCGGATGGAAGTGGCGGTGCAGGGTTTGAAGATGCGTTTGTTCCATGGGAAAGCCGAGGGAATTAAGCGACTTTTCTCAAGGTTACTTCGGAGTGATTCTCATTGAATGGGTTAGCGAACCACCAAGAGTCAAGAGACTGGTCGATGGAAGATTTCGTGCATGAATGGACCACAATTAGAATTACCTTTGAAGACAAGAACCAGGAAATCTCGCCTGAAGTTGTGGCACAGTCGTGCCTTACGAGTAGACACTAGTGGCACTCGCCATCGATCAAGATCGTGGCATCGGTTGATCAGGAAAAGGATTGAGATGCGGGAAGAGGGAAGAGGGACTGCCACACCAACCTTATCGAACTGTGTGTATGACCTCATCCCTCTTTTGTGGCTTCTCACTTGACCAGACAAAGACCAGTCAGTGACTTTGATGTCACGCACTGGCTTGGCCCCTGTTCTGCCCGGCTCTGTTTTCCGCTACTGGCTTGCACCACCACCGCGAGCCTCGTGGATCCGGGTCGAAGGAGAGGTTTTAAGAAACTTATCGATCGGATGACCTCTATCGCCAGAGAGATCAACCCCGACGTCGATCTCGTTCATCGAGATGATACGACGTCTCTGTAGAAGTGAAAGCGTGGGATCGGGGGGTAGAGTGGAATTGCAGTGCATTCCAGAATCAGGCTGTGGATTTACTGGCGGTCTTCTTTACGCCTTGGGCGATGGTTCGCCGAATATGATCTCATTCTCTTCATGTCATGAAATCGAAACACCCATGAATTCCTATATTGGATAGGTGTTTACTGATATCGCCCGACCCGTCATCAGCGCACAATCCACGCCCAAGTAATTACTTTGTGACTCCGAGGAAGCTAGAAAACGACACACGCTCCTCTCAAGGAGAATACCTGAATGGAAATGAATCAAAAAGGTCCGCACTCGTCAGCCCACATCTTCATCTTCATCTTTGCTACATCTTTCGTCTTTCGTCTTTCATCTTGCTTGCATACTCTCATACACATCACATCACATCACATCACGGAGCACTCGCCGTCATTTTTGACGTTCGTTCTCGACATGCGCGTCTTCTGCTGCCGTTGACCACCCCTCTTCAACTCCTCCAACCTCTCGCGTGCCTTGACGTGACTTTGCGCTATTGGAATATGTCAGCAAACGAACACTCATAAAACCCGCACACTACAAAAACTTACCAGCAGCTCGATAATACCAGCGTTTCGCCTCCTCCACATCAACGGCCGTCCCGATGCCCACCTCGAAGAAATATCCCATTGCGTATTCCGCCTTGGTGAGACCGGAGCTCGCTGCTTTCCGTGCCCACAGGAATGCCTCGGTGTCACTCTGCGTCAGGAGTGGTTCGGATCCAGTCAAGTACCACCCACTGAGGGCCAACTCGGACTGGTGCTCCCCTTGAGCTGCTGCCCGCGTATACCACGCGATACTCTGGCGCGCATCGATGGGACATCCGAGCAGTCCATACTCAAAGGCCGATCCAAGTCGGAACTGTGAATACTTGTAGCCTAGCTCTGCCGCCTGTTGGAACAGTTGGATCGCGTATCGTTCATCTTTCACAATGTGATCGGTGGGCGTTGCAGATTCATATAGCAGACCAAGCTCATGCAGTGCATGCGGATTGTCCCGGTCTGCACGCTCGGCAGCTCGCTTGAGCCAAGACACAGCCTCTCTCGGGTTCTTTTGCTGGTTAAGATGTCCTTTCAGTAAGATCATGCCCATCTTATACATGGCAGGCGGATCTCCCAATGTGGCAGCCCGTTTGTACCATTGGACGGCTTTCATGGGATCTCTTCGAGTCCCTCCTCCGTCTTCTTGTCCCAATTCACAACAGACTGCAACTCGATATGCACTCTGAGGATGATTTAGCTTCGCTGCAGATTGATAAAGAAGGAATGCCTCTCGTGGGTCAACTGCCAGTCCCAAAAGTCCTTGTCCATGACAATCTGCCAAGTAAAACATAGCCTGCGCATAATTGGCCGCTACAAGTTTCTTGACTATCTTATGTCCATCAAAGATATATCTTTCTCGATTCTTTTGCGTCGTTTTGGCATCAGCCACTCCTCCTTCATCTGAAAGAACACGAGCAGCTTCTACCAGCTTCTTTGACAACTTCAATCCCAGTTCATGATCATTGGGACTCCGGCTGTAGGCTTCTCGCATAGCGTTGACCTCTTGCAGGGTAATGGGAGGTGAAGCTCGACCATTTGCGACAGGTCCCGAAACTTGTCGGTTGGTAGGTGGCGGAGGTTGCCCTGTTGGTGGTGGTCCTGTTCTTGGCCCGTTTTGCACACCGTAGCCGTTGTTAAAGTTTCCTGTTCCCTGCCTGGCAGGTTCCGGATGAGCTGGCAGCGAGTCTGGGTTGTTGGTCACTGGAGCGGGCGTGCCATAGTGACGGACAGGTACTGGATGTGCATTGCCTGAAAACGTAGGCTGTGGTGGTCCGGGCTGGGACGCTCCAGCATTGTAATTGTCTTGAGAAGTTGACCTTGGAGGTGGGCCTTGTCCATATTGTGGCCTTTGATGTTGCTGATTTGGCTGATTCGGCGCTGACTGGTTCCAATCTTGATTATACGGTACTTGGCCGGCCATTGCAGGTGGTCCTCTCGGATTCTGTTGGATTTCTTGATCATAGGGGTTGCCCATATCAAAACTCCTTGCATCCGGTCTCGGCCCTTCATTCGAGTGCCCTCGTGAAAACTGCCCCTCGCTGATTGAGCGGTAACTGGGGGCCACGACAGGCATTGGTGGGGGACGACCATCATTCATCTGAGGCTTCATCCCATTCCGACTTGCTACTCTCGGAGGAGGCTGGGATGGTGTCTGCTGTCGTTGGGAGTCTTGAAATCCATCGTTTCTTCCTGGTCGTTGTTCATAGCCTCTCTCTTCCCCAAATGTGGGTGGGCGATACAAGTTCGGCACAGACGCTGTTTCATTTCGACTAGGTGTCATAGGACGTTGGCTGCGATTGGGTGGAAGATCAAATGAAAACTCCGCCAGAGGAGAGACCAATTCCTGCTCATCCGATTGATTGTGTCGAGAATTTCCTGGGTTGGGATATGATCCTGGCACTTGATAAACTGGCTTCTGATACACCGGCTGTGATTGTGATTGTGATTGTGGGCTCGACCCAAACAGTTCGTCCGGTTGTTCATTCGGCCTTGTCGGGATCGCATCGAAATTGGGCATTTCATGGCTTCTTGTCTGAGTCAATCCGCCGGCGTGTACTCCACGATAGCCACCCTGATCCACATGACCAGTAGTCATTGCGCGGGGAGGAGGATTGAATTCTTCAAACGTTGGTGCTCGTTGTAGGTTGTTTCGATCACGAGGATCATCAACTGGAGACTGGTGTGCCATTGATTGAGGAATATGGTCTCGCTGATAGCCTTCGTCGAGCCCGTAAAATTCACGTTGATTTCTCGAGGGTCCATACCCATTACCACCAGGATTGTGACCATCTCGGAGATCATATGAGTTCTGCTCATTGTATTGACCAGGTCGAGAGCGGCTTTGAGGAGGAGGGCCTCGATTTTGTGGTGCAGCAGGTGGTGGTGGTTGCCGCTGCGCTGGATGTCTCGGTGGGCTTGGCATGGATCCTGGTGGAGGTCTTCCATTTTGATATTGTCGGGCAACTTCGGGAGATTGACGACCAAGTGGAGGCATCGGAGAATCAAAAGAGGGACGAGAGGGTTCAGGGCGACGATCGTGCGAGGTATTCGGTCTTTGTGGATCTTTTCTGGAAGACTGCCCTCGCTGACCATGAGATGTCGAAGGTCTCTCGGGTCCTCCGCTGTGTCTCCGGTTATTAATGCTCATATCATCCATGGCTTTGTCCAGGCTCGTATGTTTTTCTTTATCATCGGGCTTTTGCTTTGGAGGAAATGCGCCAAAGGGGTTATCCCATGCAAGATTCTTTGGAGAGCTAGGCTGGAGAATTCTCTCACGTGCTTTGAGTTGTCAGTGATATGGTCTCTTGAAAGATTGGAACCGACTTACGCTTAGGGCGAGACTTGTGGCCAGAATGATCGGATTTATGGTTTCGGGGTGAATGTCGGCTCTCGTTGGACTGGTTGCTTGGATGTTGCTGCACAGGCGGTCTTCCGGGTGGAGCATTGTTGTTTCGATATCGTTCGTCATACTGATAGTTGCGACCGGCTGATGGACCTTGATTATATTGCTCTTGACCGTAATCATTGGGATAGGCATTTCGAGAGTTTGAGTAGTTCTCATGAGGGGCCGGCTGGGAGTACTGGTAGTGATCTTGAGGTTGCCGTTGATTTTGACCCTGCCACTGATCATGCGCTTGATATTGAGCCTGTATTGGGCCTGGAGCATGCCCATTGTGGCCATTGGGGTAGTCGTTGTACCGTTGATACTCCTGTTTGTAACCGCCCTGAGATCTTCCTTGCTCTTGCCATTGTCTTTGTTCGTTCCAGCGATCGGGTTGATATATTGGCTGGGCAGTAGCTGGACCTTGTTGCCATTGCTGACGGTGCTGAGGGCCAGCCATGATTGTGTAGAGGGCAGTCAACCGTGGTGTCAAGGGGTGTTCAGTTGCGCTTTGCAGAAGGAGCGAAGGGAGAGAAAATCCACTTCACTCTCGAAGTGGGTGCGTGCTAGTCAAGAATGAGGTTGACGAGTGTTGCAATAATGCTATATTAGGATTCAAGGCCTCCTAAGGTCGCAAGCCATTGTTTTCCCAAGCAAACGGGAAAGACAGTGGGGATGAAATGATGGAATTTTAGATGACGCTGGTGGAGGAGCCGCTGTCCACGTTCAGCGATGTTTGTGGAGTGTCGAGAAATTAGACAATGTGGTCAAGACCAGAAATCATTGAGCGGTGCAAGGCGATGAGCAGACAAGAATGTCAACTGTAGAGAGTAGTCTTGTAGACGGAGTGGTCAAAAGGCGAGTGGTTCGGTTGCCCGTGGTTAGTTAACTTGGTGAGCTTTGCGTTCGGCGCAAGGGCCGTTTTGGGGCCACGTTGGAAGACTGGGGGGTTCTGGGGCGGGACTCGGGCGTGCGAATAGTGGTTTAGGTACTTTTAGTGACCAGGATGAGACGGGAGAGCCGCCCGGTCGCTAAGAAAGAAAGAAAATAGCACTGAAGACAGTAATCTCTAAACTGGAGTTCTGGATGATCTGGATCCAACTTGAATCTAACGTAATCTCGGAATCCATATACGGATTGCATAAGGACTCTGGTCCATATTGAACCGGGGGGGTTGCTAGCAAGAAATGGTGCTGAAAGTGATATGATTGTCTGATACATACACCACCAGCATCATCACTGCTCGGGACTCTCGAGTCTCGACATCGATGATCCTCATTCATCTCGATTGATTGCGGAGAACAAAGAAGTCAGTCCAGTGGCTCAGGCTGTTCATGCCAGGCACAGACTCATGATTCGCCGCAACCAACACTCGAGTACTTGGATCTCCCGCTAGACGACCGCCTGCATTGGCCACCCGATCGCTCAGCAACCTGAACCTGAACACGCAAGCATTGGCCCAGACGCGTTGACCGTCCAGAAAATGGTTGTCCGTGGTGAACCGTCACTGGTCAGTGGTTACGTCCTCTCCCCGGGCTGTGTAACCAACTCCTGAGGTACTTGGGGTGCTGCAATCAGGTATTTGTGATCTTATTCGTAAAGCCTCTGGATGGCAAAAAATGTTCTGAACATGACCGGTGTGCCAGTCCAGCCCGTGTCCTTGCGGATCCCCTATAATGCATTTCCTAGTGGTGGAAGAGGATAACATGATGAAACCAAAACTGTCACAAGACTTGAACATCGCATTTCCATGGTGGCTTGATGGTGGCTTGACCTTGTTCTACGCCACAACTTCTTTTCCACGCCTCCTGGCTTGAACCACTATCCCTATGGTCACCTATCCACAGATCCTCCTTGCAGTGTTTGTCGATCAAACGGTCATCATCCACATTAGCATCGTAATCATCCTCTATGCAGCAGCTAACCAGGCTGACCTTTCCGAAGTGATATCATTTCCATTTCCTGTGACCTTTGAATCGCTCGGCTACGAGATATCCGAAGTGGTTGGCGCCCCTTCCCATCTCCCAGGGCCGCAATAAGATCATCATGTTTTACATCCTACTCGGTACCCCATTCAAGCTATCTTCCCACAAGCACGTCCGTTCAAGTCATTATTAGTCAATCACCATATCATTCCCTAGCAATCCCACATGTTTTTCCGTCCGGCACCAGTCCTTTCCGTACTTGTACATTTCCTCATTCAAGTGGATGAGCTCCATTCCCTCTTCAGGGTGTTCAGGAGCCCTCCATAACCGTGCAGCTTATTCCCCTGCGACGGTCATTTCAATTTCCCCAAACGCCACTTCTTGATAGATATCAAGCAATCCCTTCGTAGCCAGAGCCAACACATGGAGCATTCCCTGAGCGGCAACGACTCGAGAATTCTGCTCAGCAGGGAGGAGTCCACTGAAGGTGACAACACCACGTCGTGCACCGTTCTCATCTTGTTCTTCCTCTCCTCCCTGCTCGCTACCGTTCACTCCGACCTCGTTCCGCAGATGCGCCTGCACAAAGCTGAGGAAATTGTATGCTTCATTCTCCAGTGTCGCCGTGACCCATTGACTCTGCTGCGCGAGCTGTGTATCCACAATCGCCGACGGTCCATATAGCTCAAAGTCCACATCAATATCGGCTCCGAGCTGCTGGTCGAGTTCGGCAAAGTCATCTCCAGTGTCAATGGTCAGTCGCGATGGATCAATCAAGTCTTCACTCCCTAACCTGGAAAGCCCTCTGCCCAGAAGTGGACTCGCAGACGTGAGACGTGATCCACGCCTTCCCAGAGCGGAAGATGGCGGGCCCAATGGTGCTAGGTCCATCCCACCTGGGATTCCACCTCCTGTTCCGACGCTGGAGCTCAATCTCGCTATCACTCCGCTTCCGAGTGCTTGGGCAGAGCTTTGTCGCGATGCCGAGACGTTCCAAGGCATTCCAGATGAGTAGTCTTGTAGCGAGGGCGGTGCATATCGTCCGACCTGACTTTCGATGTTGAAATCATCGTCGCCTGAAGGGTTGATTTCTCCGTTGTCACCGTCGTCAAAAATAATATGGCCGTCGTCTTCCAAGAAGCCGTGACCCACATCTCCTGGCGGCGGAGTCCTCGCTCTGACTCTCCTACTGCCTGCCTCAGACTGGTCTGTCCCTTCAGACTGACTATGAGACCTTTTTGTGCGACTTTGGGTTTTCGGCTCAATACCACGAAGCATCTCCCACAGAGAGTCTCCGCTGAAGATCGCGAGCGGGTGTGGCGTGTTATCATTGGCAAAGGCAAAAGCCACTCTTCCCAAACCTTGCCCGACACTCCAGAGTCCAGCATATTTCCTGGCGTCACCCAATGAGACTTGCTGTTGCTTGATGCGCAGTGCAGCTTGCATATTGACGAGGTAATTCTCATTCCAGTCCTTTAGGTCTTTGTTGCTCAGCTCGGTGAATTGATCAGGCTGAAGAGACTTGATACGACGTGCCCGCTGTTGTGGTGCTGCTGCTGCTGCTGCTGCTGTGATTGAAGGTCCATCAGATGGCTGGAATGACGGATCTGGGTTGTTGACTGATCCAGTCGGAGTGACATTCGATTGACGGGACACAGCATCGCTAGCGTCGGCATGCACATTCTCTTCGTCATCACCCCAGAGAAGACCATCATCTTCGGGGGCAACATATCCTCGAGCGCTGCTGGCTACGACTGCGGCTCCCAAGGGATCATTAGCAAGCTCACCATGGACATTTGCTCGGTCTTGAACATGATCCGCTCCTGATACTTCTGGATGTTCATTCAATTGATACCCGCCACTAGCAACCGTTCGTAGCACGCCGTTATCATCAACGTCGAAGATAAGGCCGTCGTCCTCAATGGGCTCATCATCGAACGACAAGGCCACTGGACCCGTTTGGACAGCTGAGCTCGTGCCCGCACCAGGAAACATTTGGAAGCGCCCGATCTCGCCATCTCCAGGAGTATGGTAAGGTGGCACGACAAGGTCGAGCCCTTCTTCTCCCTCTCCTTCCTCCTCCTGATTTTGATCTTCTCCGGGAAACATACTCGACTGACTACTCGCAGCTGTTCTGGGGGACAAGAAACTGGCCATGCTCGAGTCATCGGATGAGAAGCCAAAGGCCGTAAGGTCGAAGTTCATATCGAGGTCAGGAATGAATGCAGGATCTTCTGCAAGATTGAGTTGTTCTGGCCTATTGAAGCAACCCGTCAGAGATCGGTCTTGAACCACCCTGCATCATACTCACCTGGTATTCGCAACCTCCAAATCCAAATCCATCTGCCGCAGAGTAACCGCCGTCCCACGCATCTTGTCCCACAGATTCGTGACATCGGTAAGAATATACCCGCACTGCTGAGAATAGACGCGTGAAACGCCATACCTGAAGACACAAGTCAGATCACATCAAATTTGAATTTCTCGCCAAATGCTTGGGTAACAACTCACAATAGACTCCCCTGCAACCGCAACGCGAGCGGTGCCTCTGGCTCCGTGATAGTCTGGCATGCCTTGGGCAAATCGACGTCGAGGATCGCGCGACGCGTGATCTTCTTCAGGCTGGACTTGCTGCCGAGTGTTGCGACGAGCCTATGTATGTGCTGGTCAATTTGGGGTTTCTTTGTGGGCCTTAAATATCATGAAAGGCATGGAAGTGGCTTCAATGGGGCTCATCACTGGCAAGACAGCAAGAGAGTGAGTGGTGGGATTAATGAGACCTACCAGATCGTGGCAACGCCGTATTGCCTGTTCGTGAGGACTGCGGTGGATAGTGAGCATGTGACGTTCAAAGACAGGAGACCCCTAGTTTGAGGGTATTTTTCAACCGCAGTGGCGTGCAAGAACATGGTGCTTACCTTCGTGGCTGTAGAACATTTTCGCAGCGGTGATGTTTTCCGAAGTGAGGAAAAGGGTACGAGCAGTGAGAGAGTTGTGGTAGAGAGGACGAGAAAGGATGAGAAAGCCACAGGGCGAAGCCAGTCTGTGAGAGCGAGAAAACGAGTCTCCAAATCTTCGTGGTCCGGTCACTAGAAAGAAGAGAAGAGAGGAGAAGAGAGAGGAATAATCTGACAGAACGAGAGCACAACCGTGGCAGAGTGAGAGGTGGTGTGCCGTGGTGAAAGGTGTCGACACGCACAGTGAAGTAGGTCCTAAGGAACACAAGACCACCGACCAAGTCCAAAGAACACCGCAGAAACCCTGCCGGTGAGCAAGAGCAAGCTTCAGAACAACCATGAGCAGCAACACTTCTGGGGTTTTTGGCTTCAAAGGAATTCTCAATCACATTAATCCATCCTCCCCTATCAAAATTTTTGTGCAAAGCGCGTTCTTTTTTAGCAGAGCCCATGGCATGATTCTCATGTGGACAACCGGAGCTCTGGGGATCACAAACCAGCCTATATTTCCTCCCCCCCGTTCTTATAAATTCAAGGTTGTCCTGTGCCGAATGACCAAAAAGCAAAAGCAAAAGCGACAGCAAATATTCCACCTTGATAGCACTCCCCATTTCTAGTTGGTTGACATGATCTGCTTCGGTGTGTCAAGTAGTTCAGGCCTATATACATACACCGTTGGAATCAACACCCATCTATCTCAAGTCTAGCCTTTTTGAGTTGCGTCAACAGTGGTGCTGAACAGTGGAATGCGAAGAACCCAGCGAGTAACCCATGGAGAAAAACCATGGCTGTCTTAGTACGCAATTTATCCTTCGACCTCCTATTCCATTGGGATGCCCTCGTACTCGCCATAGCCAAGAGCAAGATTCATGTTTTCTGTCGTCGGTCAGCATACCTCTTCTGTCCAAATATTATGATCGGAGGAAAAACTTACGGAGACATTGAGTGGCAGCACCCTTCAATAGATTATCGATCGTAGCACAGATCACGACACGCTTACCGCTCGAGTGAACTGCGAAACCTCCAACCTCGACACCATGGCGATGTGCAATATTCTTGACCAAAGGAGCCTCGCCAATGACCTTGAGTAACTTCTCGCCAGCATATCTGTCCTGGTAGATGTTTCTGATATCTCGCGAGCTCATCTCCTCCTTCAATGGGATATTGATGGTGTGAGAGATACCTTGGAACCACACAGCGACGTGAGGGATGAAAGCGACGGGAGTTCCAAGTTGATTGGAAATCTCACGCTCGTGGATATGATCTGTGAGGCTGTAAGGGATGAGATTGTCGGTCAGGTTGTCGACATCATTCTTGGGACTTGGTTTTGTTCCAGCGCCGGAGTAACCAGAGACACCGAAGACGGTGGGCTGTCCTCCAAGATATGGTACTAATGGAGCGATACCGATTTGTGCTGCAGTGGCATAACATCCAGGGTTTGAAATTCTGGTGGCTTTGGCAATGGCAGAGCGATCCACCAACTCGGGAAGACCATATGTCCAAGCAGGATCAAATCTGTAGTCCGCACTGAGATCGACAATCAGACTATTCTTGCCGACTTGGTCAATGGCATCCACGAAGGGTTTGCAAACGCCGTTCGGCAGAGCCATTACCCAGCAGTCCACTTCTCCATTCTCCTCCATCTGTCGCACATCTTCCACGCTCAAGTTCTCATACGTAATGTCACGCTTGCTATAACCCTGGAGCTTTTGTCCTGCCAATTCTCGTGAAGAAACATGGCGGAGGTCTAGATGTGGGTGTCGGTTGATGAGATCGACAAGAGCTTTTCCAGTATAGCCACGAGCACCGATGAGTGCTACTCTTGAAGGTTCGGTATTTGAGCTATTCTTCGAGCCTAGAGGAGGATTTGGGTTGGTTGTGGAGTACATCCGGGCTCGAAGGGCTGGTGTGGTTGCGAACCGAGCATTTCTTGCCGCTCTCAAGGGATTTGACTGTGTTGAGAATGATCGCTTTTGCTGAACTGGCGCATTGACTGTATTGGACGCGGCTCTGGCAGCTCTTTGCAGCTTGGATTCTAGGTTGATGTCACCGAACATTTGTCGACCATGTTTGGTAAATTCAACCATCAAATCTCGAACTTCATCACTTGATTCAAGCCCATACCAGAAGAGGACCTCACCATCCTTGGAAAGACTTCCATCGGCTTTGTCGAAGAACCAGGCCAGATTCTCATCATCTTCTTTGACTGTCCACATCAGCTTGGGATAATCTTTCTTGATGGCAGCAAAAATATTGTCTGCGACGTTGGTAAGCCAGCCGTTTTTGGTGATAGTCAAGGTTGCCAAATGGGCGAGGGAAGTCTCTCCATTAGGTGGCAGGACAAGTGCAAAGGCCTCCATGGGTTCATCAAAGTAAGCACCGAATTCTCGATCTCTAAGAGATTTAATATATCGGTCAACCACGGCCTTGGCGTCAAGTCCAGCTCGATCACGAATCAGAACTTCCTTCAGCTGTTCAAGATCTTTGAACTGGTCGACGGAGGAATGCTTGTGAACCTTATTTCCACGGCGAATGAGTGTGCCAGCACCGGAATCCGTGAAGAGCTCCTTCTGGAGGTCTGCAGGGTGAATGATGGCCACACTGGAGGTCCGGGGCAGATCGGTCAGGAGCTCTTTCATCTCCTTAATCTTCAGCCTCGTGCCATGGCGAACCCACCACTGTGTCATGAGTTGATCATACTCTTCATCCAGATTGATGGCGGAGATCTTTTCCTTGGTATCTCCGTTAAAGAGGCCACCCTTTTCCGAAAGATAGACAATTTTCAATGGTTGGAGAGCGCGGGCCAATTCACCTGCTGCGACATCTGCATTGACGTTGAGGACTTGTCCTTCTGGGGACTCGGCCATTGAGGTTAGAATTGGTAGACATCCTGCCCGGATAGCTGCTTCGATAGGTCTTTTATCCACATGATTGATCTTGCCCACCAAGTTGTATTTTTCCTTGTCCAAGTACCCAGCGCTGAAGACGCCAGATGTGATGGGTCTAGCACGCACACCCAAGCGCTCGAGCTCTTCCACCAATCGTAAATTTTCCTCCAAGAACAATGCCCGTGCAATACCTAGAGTTTTGGGATCAGTGACTCTGATACCATCCTCGAATTGTGGCTCAACGCCGGAGTCTTCAATAATCTTATTCAACTGAGGACCTGCACCGTGTACAACAACAGGATATAGTCCGACGTGATTGAGGAATGCCAGTGCAGAAGACAGTGTCTGAAGATGTTCGGTCAAGATAGCACCTCCCACCTTGATGACGGCGAATTGCTGGGAGGAGACCGAGCTGAAATGAGATAGATATTGCTGGACCTCTCGTTTGGAGCCAATGTTGCTCAAGAGCTGTACCACTGTAGATCTTGTCGAGGGCTGTTCTGAGGGAGAAGAGTAGGATCGACGGTTAGAGAGGTGTTGGGCAGCTAGCGGGGTATATAAGATTCTAGCGGTGCGTAGAGCTCGCAAAGAACGAGGACGAGTAGAAGAAGTAGTCGCACGAGTCACTGCCCGTGTGGCAGCAGCAGTAGCAGCACCCATTGCCGACATCGTGCCGTTGACTCATGCGGCAGCTGAGAGATAACCTGGGAAGAATGCGGTGGTGGTCGTGGTGGACGAAGCTTGATTGAAGAATGGCAGAGGAGGAAAGGTATGCTTTGGAGAGGAGATGCGACACAGAGACCAGCGGTAGAGCCCACAGGCCAGGTTATCTGGAAGAGCACGAGGATGAGATATAAATTCTACATCGATGGAGAAATGCAGGGCTTGCGTATGGTTTTTTTCTGACCGTCTCAAAAACGTTTCTGATAGGGCTGTTGGAGCACAAAACAAAATATTTGCGGGGGTGTGCCAGTGAGGGCAAAGAACTTTGAAGTTGGAGGATAGAATGCAGCTTGTCCGACCCCCAAAACTTCTCCGATTTGGTTGCCAGTTGGGTAGTGGCACCCACCTAAAGCCGGGATCAACCAGTCCCCAGTGGCGCCTGGACCGCCGAACGTCGGACGCAGTTTTCCCCTGCAACTTGCAGGTGAAAAAAAGATGGATTTTTTCCACCATCAGACACGGATAGTATGCAGTAGCCGTGAGTCGATGAGGGTTGAGGCAATAATACTCGATTGCGTCTTCGATTGATCATGTACTTATCTACTAGTGCCTCGTCATAACCACATGACTAACCGTAGGCTTTATCACATATCCCGACGTCCTTGCTCACCTACGTACGTCGTAGGGGGAATTGGTTGAATAGTGATTCTTACAATTGCGAGTGGCCACAAAATCTATGCAAAAAGAGCATCACTAGATCACGGCAGAATCAAAGCAAGAGCAGGGAGAGTGAAAGCATCTGTTGATCCATGCATCAAAAAAAGATTGGGAATGAACGCCTGGCGTGTAAAAATGAACCCCGTGGTATTATTGAAACAAGTAGTCCGTCAATCCGTCAAAACCATCCATTTCGACGCCCTCGGTGCCTGTGTTTAGGAGCATTCTCGAAGATTTTTATTTCTTTCTTGGTCACATTGGCCAGTCCACTCCAGCCCTTGGGGAGACTTGCTGTTTCTTCATCAAAATGTTGGAGTCAAAGCAGCAGCAGTTTCATATGCCTCCCAAATTGCGCTTCCTTTCACAGCGACACCGTGATAATCTTCCAATCGAAGATGATAAATGGTACAAACGCTCGGGTGGAAAAAACAACAGATGGCTTTCGAGGGAGGGACTTGAGAATTCGTGGTGGACGCTGTTGTGCCGGTCGCGACGTCTATTTCCGGGTTGCAACCACTGATAATGAGTCAGTCGCGGTCATCTTGAACGTCGAGGCTTCAATGTTGGAAACTTACCAGCTGGGACGATGATAACAATGAGCAAGATAATGATGCCCACAATCAAGCACATGCGCATCTTCATGTCCTTCCACCACATTTGTTTCCTGACTCGGTTGGCTCCACGTCGGAAGCCTTGGGCAGATTGTGCCAGATTGTCGGTCTTGTCTTGCAGTGTATCGAGCTGTTCGCCTCTCTGGTAGACCTTGTTGATGTTTTCACGCATAACACCAACGGTGTCATCGATTTGCTATAAATAGGAATTAGCCCATGTTCCAATAATAGGTTGTAGACGAGGTGCGGGTGCGCGATTGAAACGGTCTGCAGAGCGGGTAATCATGAACAAGATCTTGACGGTTTCAATCGAACTTGGATGTGCCACTTGATCTTGTAGTCTTGTTGATGAACCCTCCGACTGCGGATATCCAGGCACCGAAGTTTGGATGCCCATCTCATTGCGGCATTGTAGGAAAGTCTAGATGGGAAAGATAGGCCACATACCGCTTGCAGAGCAGCTGTTCTTTGATTGCCGCCAGCTTGTTGTCCTTGTGCACCTCCCTGGCCACCAGAGGGGATATAAGGGTCATAGGGTTGTTCTCGGTCGGCCATCTCTGCGGTAGTGAATCTGGTGTTTAATGCAAATGGGAAAGGGGTCAAAATGCCGGAGTTGATTGATGGGCGAGGGAGACAGTGATCAAGGGAGGGTCGCAATAGATACTGTGGGACGAGAGAGTGGTATGAGAGTTTCTCAGTGTTGAATTGAGGATGGATTGGGAGTGTTGAGTTAGATGGAGGTTGGAAAGCTGACGCTGAGACTGGGCTTGTAGAAGTTGGGAGTCTCAGGTGAAATGGATCTGGCGCTTGGGCGTCTGTAGTTAAAGCGTGCAAGCTTGCGAAGCCCCCAGTGATTATGGAGAGCCTGCGACAACTCGAAGACAAGGGACTGGGATTCTTCTGGCTTTTGGGGCCTGAGACGCCACCAGCGTGACCACCTTTGGGTCTTTGTTTCAGAACACGTGACGTGATCCAGCCTCCTTGAAAAAGTATTCTTGCGGCTCAGGCCGACCTTTGAGTGCAGTTGACCACTCCTGATGATAATATCATTTAAACAAATGTAGAAATGTAGAATAATGTGTCTCTCCTCTAAAATCAATTCATGCCATCTCATAACTATGTATCCATCGTCACCAAACACCAAACCACAATATTGCCTCAAACCCGTCGGAGGCCGTGGCAACTCTAAGCACACCAGGGTACGAGTTGGGGTGGCTGACAGATCTTCAGAACTTGGACGAAGCGAGGCAGTGCTCTGGGCAACGCTACTCAGCATGACGACGCGGATCAATCGCAGTGTTAGCACCGAGGCCCATGCTTGAACTTCAGATAAGATGCAAGTTGGATAATTCAGCAAGCCTGAACCTAAGTTATCCGGAGCTGTGTCTGCCGTACGTACCGCTTCCGGCTTCATAATGGCTCATTCAGAGGGACTACTCGTAACTAAACCTCGCTACGATGCATCCTCCACCGATGTCATTCCACTGATGCCGATGTTTTTTGAGTCTCAAGCACTTCTAGTTAAATTCGAGGTTCAACGTGGTGGAGGATATTCCAATTGTCCCCCAACAACGTCACTGGCACAGTCCTCAAACAATTTATGATTCTACTCTGAACTGTTCCCCTGTTCGCTATGCTGCATCTGAAGACCAAGTGGAGACCAAGGATCAGAAACCAATCGGCAGCCCGCCAAGTCCGCTCGTAACTGAAATGTCGTGCATCATAGATCCCATGCCCAATGTGCCGTGCTTGACTGCGTTATTGGACTCCAATGTTGAATGATTTATCTGGGGTTCCTGAATCCTCTTTAGCTTGAAAAGTGATTAATGGTCGCGTCACGTCCATCAAAACGCTCAATCAGGACTTAGTCTCCGCTTCTGACTGTCTCCGGCCGACGACCTCTCGAACAGTCTTCAACCACCTTCTTGACCTACACACCAGACTTCATCATGTCGGGGAAAGGGGCCATGTACGCGAAGATGACCGGGATGTAAGGCCACAACATGTCCAGAGTATATACCCATACAGGAATACCCTCCTTGCTGACCGTCGCCTCCTTCCAGCTTCGTCACCTTCGCAGTCGGCGGACCAGCTCTAATGTACTAGTGAGTTGCGCGCACCTCGATCAGAGACACACTCCAATCCTCAATCTTCAAATGTTCAAGTCTTTTCCAAAAGCTCAGTCTCCTAACCCAACTCCACCCTCTCCCACAGCGTCACACCGGCCGAAGGCGAACTGTTCAAACGCTTCAGCCCGGAACTGCAGAAACGCAACCTGGAGCTGCGCGACGAGCGGATGAAGAACCACCAGGAATTCGTCGCCCAGCTGAAGGAGTACAGCAAGTCGGACAAACCCATCTGGGTCGCCGCCGCCGAGGCCCAGGCCAAGGCCAGGGAGGATGCCCTGAGGAGTCAGGACGAGCAGCACGCCGCCCAGGAGAAGATGCGTTTGGAGATGAGGGCGCAGGCCCAGGGGAGATGAAGATGGAGATGAGATGATTGATTGATTGATCGGTTGCCAGAGGACCAACGATGGCCCATGCAGGTGCAGGTGCAGGCGACGAAGAGGCATATCATATTGATCCACGATAAATGTGAACTTGTTTGATTACTGGGTTGCATACTACGGGCGGCGTTCTTGGTACTAGCTAATACAGCTCCTGGAATCACAAAATCAAAGCAGAGATGAACTTGATACCAAGGACTGTGGGTCTAGGAGGTCTTGATATTGTATGCTAAAAGCGCTACAATTTTCGAGAGAAGCAAGCAAGCTTCCCTCGAGGCCATGGTCGGCCCACCCACGCCAAAAAAAGAAGTGAAAAATGTCAGCATGCATCTGATGTGGTCTTTGAGTTCTTTCACCACCCATTCCCATTTGAAGCCATAAAACGCCCTCTAGCCGGCTGATGCAACACAAACGCCTGAGTAAATGCGTCCCTTTGTATTCATGCCAGTCATGATTATCGTATACACATTCCGGGTGCTTGTCTGATGTCAAGCATAATTAGTTGTTTCCATCCGTCTAAGCCACCAGCCACCATGCGCCTCCCAAGAAGACGAATATGACCAATACCGTCAGGATACCTGCTCCTGCCTTGTCGGCCGTGGTCACAGGTTCTTTGTTCAGGTCGTCAGGACCAATGGCACTGTTGGTACCGGCATTGGGGTCACCTTCGCTGGTGCCACCGGTATCGCCTGTGACAGGTCCTGCAGAATATTGGATGAGATTCGATTGGAACACTTCCAAAGCCGACATTTGTTCTCCGACTCCAGTCCAACCGTCGAAACTTTGTTGTGTCCATTTGAGCCCACATTGAGTGCCGCTTGCTCCGCCCGTACACGTTGCTGCCGCTGCTCTCGCGGAGGCTTCCAAAATCGGTTTTAGTAGGGGATATGTGAATGGAGCTCTGACACAGGCTGCTGCCATCCACCTGGCGAGGTATGCTTTGAACGAACGCTGATCAATATTGCAGGTGTTGATGTCTTCGCATGCAACTTCGTACAAGATGTTTTCTCGGACGAAAACCTCGTTGATTCTGTTGATGATGCCTCGTAGACGACCTTCCCAGAGAGGGTCTCCGCCAGTCTGTTCATGGTTAGTAAATCAAAATGGAAAGTCACAGAGGAGAGCTTACATGATTATACATGTTGGCCGCTCCAACAAGATAAGTACCCGCATTGTAAGTCCACTGAATATGGTCGAGCTCGGTACAATTCAGATCATCGTCACTGCCATCGAAGAAGTTGTATTGGGCATCCATAAGGCCAATTGAAGCTGTCCAGTCCCAAACTTTGTTTGCCCAGTCTGCATACGTCTGGTTTCCAGTGTAGACTGCAAGCCTAGCACCCATGTTGAAGAAGCAACCGTTGGAAATGGTGTTCTTGTAGTTGTAGCCGTTGTTGAAAGCGAAGATTTGCCACTTCAACCCACCAGCGCAAGAAGTCATGTCCCATCGGGCAGCCTGAGTGTTGAATACGGCTTGTACCAGGGCAAGCCACTGGGGCTGATCTTTGGGAGGGTTGGGAAAGTTATTCTCTGCCGCCGAAAGAGCAGCCATTGCCCAGAAAGCCTGATCATCATTGCCCTCTGTCTTTGTTTGATTCGGAGGCATGAAATCCCAGTCTGGACCAACTTGATGAAGCATAGCTTGAGTAGTGATGTCGTTGTGGGTGTCGTCACCAGTAAAGTACCAGTAGTCTATCAATGCTCCAAACATAGCGCCTGCTTCCCACCAAAAGTATGGAGCTGGCAAATTACCAGGAACATCACCAGGCCGGTATCCGGTATAATATGAGACCATCTCGTCTGCAGCAACCTTAGCAGCAGCCTTGATGCTGTCTGGACTTGATAGATCGATATCAATTGCTTGAACATTATGTGTGGCGAGTAGGACTGATAAGGCGACTGGGAGGACGGATCTTCTTCGGAAAGGCTTCATTTTTGGATGTGTGAAAAGCAGGGAGGAACGAGGGTGGTACTGCGTCTCTTCTCTCTCAAATGATCGGTCTCGATCACAATATTGGGGAGAGAAGAGTTGGTGTTGTTTTGTATTGGATTGGTATGTGAGTTTTGGTACCAATGGGAATCCCTGTCAAATGACGTGCGGGCGGCGATACGGTGCTTATCGTAGATCGGGTGATAATGCGTGGGTGCGGCTAGGGCGTCATAGGCGTGCTTAGCGAGTGACGGTGACGGGGGTCTGTCTACGAGTGCTGAACCAGAAGCTTCAGAACGAACGAAGGGTAGGACAGACAGACGTGAAGCAGGTTGGAGTGAGGAAGAAGAGTCTTTGTGCACCGAACAAGAACAATGCAAATGGAGCAGGAGCAAGATCAAGAAAGAAGGTCGAGGTGTTCCTTGCAGCAGGTTTGTGCAAGACTTTTTAGGTGCATTGACTCTGCATGATGTCCGTCCAAACTTGGCCCTGGGAATGTGCTACGGGTCGTGGCGGAAGACTGTCAACTGGGCATGAAGGGCACCCATGGGCAAGGTGGGTTGCTGATGACGGAGCACGCTGTCCTTGGCCACACACCCAGGTCTCAAAGGCGCTTCCCAGTTACTGCTAGCGGTGTTGATAAGTGCTAATAAGTGCAAATAAGTGTACGCATCATCCACTACCGCCCTGCTTCCCGCCTGCTCGCATGCGCATACCCAGCCTCCTCCACTACGACTGCCACCTAAATCCGCCTAATATTGTTCCAGTTTTGCCTTGGACCGTTTCCCAATGTCGCAACATTTCCATTTCCTCCCAGCCCCCATTTAATTACTCAGTGGTGACCTCCAGCTCAACTATCAGCAGACCATATCCATGGAGTCACTAATCCATCCCCAAGGTGCGAGGTACATACCTAACTCGTGGATGCTCCGTATCCGTGGAGTATAAAACCCAACCAGTCCTCGTAGCCCAGAGATACCGATGTTGTGCCCCATTTTGTGCATCATCAACCCGTGCCCCGTCCCCGTTCTGCATCATGATTCACTGCGGGCGCCCAGCCTCGTGCTAAGAGGCGCCCAGCTCAACTTCGGGCCTTTGTGTCCAGTTACCACGTCAGCATCCGCTCCTCATCGTCTTGTTTTATGCCTTCAATCAACGACAACAAGCCTTCACAACTCTTGGATCAATTTGCGAAACACTGGGTACAAACCATCTCGTTCTCTTGCCCTTGATTCTTGTCCATCACTGTCAGCTCATCACTGTCTTGTCCCTTACTTCTTGACTCCTCCCACTACGGAGTTCTTGGTCCAATAATGTTCACGAATACGAGCCGTGCCTTGCGTATGTCTCAAATCATGCCCCAATCTTTCAACCCCCGGCCTTTTAAGACCACGGGAAGCTGAGCTTCATGAGTGGAAGGAACGTACGAGTACTCGGGACTCGTTCCAAATCTGAAGTATCATGCAAAGTCATCATTCCAGGTGGGGTCCTTTTCCACACAGCCTCCATTGGCAATGATTATCGAGTGTCACGGAGAATTGGGCCAAGTGCACAAGTCTCTCCAGTTGTAATATTGATGTGTATGCCTTGCCCTTTGCTCTTCAGTGGCTGTATCCGTGAGGTCTTCAGGTCTCATTCAAGTCATGTGTGATCTAACATGTTCTGTGTATGTCTCGGGCGGCGAGGTAGGAGAGGCAGTCTTTGGCGTACTCGTCCCATTGGCAACTCGGGAGTCGATCGAGCCTTGCAGAGATCTTCTTTTGATATCCTTCAGGTCCTTTGAATCTCGTTTGTCTCACGACCTTGTCGGGGCACTCTTGATTTTGTTGACCGACTCTAATACAGAGTTTCATGCTGCTGAAATTCGAGTTGAGTCGAGGCTTCTTGATACGCCGTGACCAGGCTGTCCAGATCTGTGGTCAATTGTGCTCGACACAGGATTGAGAATGAGTATCCACTAGACCCTCGATCTTGAAAGCATGCAACCTTGCAGGTGCGGGATATCATCCCCGATCCCACACTCATTATGCAGGCTGCCATCCATGCCGAAGGGTGCGATTTTCAGAACTCGTTGTCGTACAACTTGAGGAGTATCTGCAATAGCATTTGCTCAAACGGTGCTCAGAGCAGGACTGGACGCTGCCGGTACGGTATCACGCCCGTATACCCGTGGAGATTCTATGTTGTCCTCCGTTTCTAGCGGAGCCGAAATTGGAGAGGTATTTGTACCTTGAGAGTCGTCGAAAAGCAGAGGGTGATGACATGATCTGTACTTCCATCCGACCAAAGGTATATCGGCATAACTCAATCCAAGTCTTTACCTCACTCTTTTTAGATTTTACGTGTAAGTGCTTATTGGGGTTTCATTGATGAGGTGCGCACGTATCCGCATCCGTGATTACACTTCTCAAGCCCAGCAAAGTCCACTGACGAAGATACTTATGATCGACCCGCCAGTTTGATTAGACATTGGTATTGCTCAGTGCAATTTCAAGACACCTTTGGTCGACCTCACTGGTGTGAGATCGGAGGTCTATCAGCAGCTCGTAGTATATGTCTCGACTCCTCAGGTGTAGTGTATGATGTCCACCCTTGGAGGTGGAATATATTCGTACACCACTGGAATTCAAAAGAAACCAAGAACGACAACAAAAAGAATCAACTACCACGACGCGACGACTAATCGAACCCACGAACAACAAAAAACCGGCCGGTCCCAACAGAGACCTTACTAGTTACCTTGCATTTCAACACCTTCAATGATTTATTTCACATCGGGTGGGATGGAATGAGGACCTGCTATGGTTCTTCCCACTTGATCCATCCTGCGAAGGCCCACCAGCCAACCACTTTTTCCATTAGGCCAAGATGCAGCAGGTCTGAGGGGGCAACTGAGTCACTAATGTTGGGCGAAATCCAGGGAATCGGAAATATATGGTCATGGTTGTTTGGTCGTTAGTGAAGTGAAGTGATGGCTAGTCAGTACCTAGGCAGTGAGTCCATGCTGCTGTTCGGCACTACGAGGGCTGCCTATATATCTCACAGAGAACCTCCCAGGATGGGAATGGGTTCGAAATATACATGGTTTGGTGTAGCATGGAGTAGGATGTTGATATTGCCTCAGACCTTCCTATGTGTCCGTACATATCATCTATGGGCTCGCAATCGAGCTTTTCAAACTCCCAAGCTTCTCCATTTGTTTTTCTCTCGCAACTGCAAGCGTCATCGCGACTTCATAGCATGGTCCTCTTTTCCGGTGTTTGAACCATTCATTGCCGTTCCCCAGGCCGCGTGGTTCCGTAGAAACCCATCTCACGTTTTTGGAACAAGCAAGCAAGGAATAATTTCCAGCTTTATTGCAACGCTGCCCTTTTTCAACGATCTCAGCATCTGTCTCCATAGTCACACATCTTGACCCTCGATGCTAATATCAATTTGGAGGTCGCCAATAGTAGTGACATCGTACTTCGATCCACACAGCGGGCACTTATTTACCCTCACTCTGCCTCACCAACTTCAATATTTCACTCTCGTTGTCGCCCACCACAGCTCGACCATTGATCCAATCAACGACAACCGGCCTCTGGAAAGCATTGCCGTCCTCCGCCAGCTTCCTCAATGCATCGGTCTGGGAGGCTGCACCCGCCACAAGCTCACCGGGTTTGCCAGAGCTACCGACATATTCAAAGATGTTCTTGAGCTGGTCGGCTGTAGGGGCTGACTCGGTGATCTCAAGCTCGAAGGGTTCACGTCTGGAGTGTTTGTCCTGCGCGCTGTGGTCGGAGGCCTGGTCTTCCGTTGCAGTTGCGGATGATGCTGCAGAGGCTTGTTTGAGGAGGGTAGCCGCTCGCACAGAGGCTTGGACAGAGGGCTTGTGGAAGAGAGTTATCACATCGAGGGTTTTTCCCTACTTCAGGTTAGTGTTCAAATTCACTTGTTCTTCACGAAGCAAAGCATGGATGGATGAATAGTGCTGTTTGGTGATGGAGGCCGTGGGTAGACGGAGAGGGGGCATCTATAACATACTGCTCGAAACATGTTGCTGATCCAACCTTTCATAGGTTTGGGGTGAGGCATATCAATGTTGGAGGTGCAATTAAGGTACAAGAGGGATCGACGGTATTATGTACTTTGAGGGGTGTTCAAATGGGACTTTGAGAGACAGCTCATGCAGCTCTCCAAAAGCTTCAATGAAGTTGAGGAGAGAAGGGAAGGGTTCCTCCAATACGTCATACGACCCCAAAGTTTCTCAGTCCATGTTTCCCCGGCTCCGCCCTCTTTCTCCAGTCTTGGCCAGGCTATGATCCGACCTCAAATGTGAAACGTTTGCCTGTTTCTTCTGCAGTCGAATATTTGACCTACGTGTATTGACCTCCTCTCGACTTGTGCTGATCTACTCTACCTCAACCTCGCATAACTGTAGTCCAGCTTCAAACTTAGAGCCGTGTATGATGTGACGTGAGCCGAACCAGCGTCGTATATCGACGACTACCTGAGTACTAGTTCGAACCTCATTTTTGGCGACAAAAGTTCGACTCATCGTCAAATCTTTCAGCCTGATTATTTGCTGTTCTTAAACCCTTTTAGAGGGTCACTCCTGATCTGATTATGGAGAGCACGAGCACCACTCAAACACCGGCACGCACCGTGCCAGGTCTCTACGATCTTCCAGTCGAGGTCCGGCATCAAATATACAAGCATCTATTCTGCCACAAACCGTCGCCCATCGAGTTCGCCGCGAACAGCAATGCAGAACTGGAGCTGTGGCCCGACGTGTGGCCGACAGATGGATATTCGTCGTCACCAGCGCCTCCCCCGACATTCTACACCGACATCTTCCGTGTCAACAAGGCCCTCTCTCGCGACGCGCTACAGTTCGCATACAGTGCCAACTCATTCCTCATCGCCAATAGCATGGGCATGGAGCGATTCTGCCGCCTGGGCGACATCGCACTGGCGTCAATGAAGTCGATCTGCATGTACAGCATCGCGTTCGAGTGGACGGAGCGCGCAAGGCAAGTCTGGTGGGTGCTCAACCAGCGGTGCACGAACCTCGAGGTCCTGAAGATCGAGCCGTCCAGCTTCCTCGCGTTCGCGACCATCCCGTATCTCAAGGACTTCATCAACACCTGCGCCGAGCAAGGTTCCCAGCCGGACGTCCTGCTCGACCTGTACGTGCTCGACCGGCATTTCGCGTTCGAAACCCCCGCGAACGACTACCGCCAGGCGATGCGCGTCCTGGGAAAGCAGTTGGGCCAGGGCGCCAAGTCCTGGAAGGGGTTCGTCCGGCCCCAGCGTGTCATCACGCATGTGCCCAAACACGTCAAGCAGGTCTATCTCGCGGCGGACGTGAGCGCGCAGGCGATGCTGGCGTTCGAGGAGATGCTCGAGGATGAACCTGTGTTCCGCTTTGTCAGGACCTCGCCCGACCGTTTTCCCTCCGGTGGTATGCCACGAATCGGACGCAATACGCGGTGGTGTTATCGTTGGAAATCCATCGAAGAGGAGGACAAGGAGTCGCCCCAATGCGGAGACGTACGAGAGGACGGAGATGGAGACGGAGACGGAGACTGAGGAACTAGGATCGGGTGCATCCACAGGGGCTTCGTTTCCGTGTTGGCAATCTCTCTGCTCCGAAAAATATCGCCGCGATCAAAACCCAAGTCCACCATAATGTTCTCCGAGGCGGCCAACTCTGTTTTGATATGAAATATCTACGTGCGCATCAGTGAAAGAACTAAGTCGAAGCCTGTCTGGGTGTGGAAGGGAATGGAGCGAGTGTTCTGGCTCCAGGTATCCCTACAAAAACCCGAGTCCCGCGTGTGACCACCAATTTCTCTCTGCTCGAGTTTGCAATTCTATATGGACAAGCCTTTTTCGGGTCTCAATTTTGCTGAGAGAAAGAAAATGAGATGAATAGGGAGTGGGAGTTCTCGTGTACTCAATCAGCATCACTGAAGAACTACGCTGGACGTATGCTGCCCGAGTCGTGTGTCACATACGGCACAGAATTCATCTCGACCTGAAGTCTCGCTTACCGCTGCGCACGGTGCGTGCCTTGGAGGATAGGTGGACGTCGAGAACACCATGACGCGGCAAAGAAGTGGGAACTGGGTATGTCTTTCGATTACACAAGGATGGTCTGCATGTCGAGCAACTTTCTACGAGAGATTTGACCGCTTTTTTGGGTATATTCTCGAGAGCTTTTCAAAATGTGTTAAATGTGGGGGTTTGGCATTGGATGCAAATCTCCAAATCTATATTTATATTCGTCAATTTTTCCGCGACGCCAATAAGCAGCACAGTGAGGTTGGCTACCCCCATCAGCGGTACCGAGTATCATTAATCAGACATGCATGACTCCCAAACAATCATCGAAGCGGAAGCGCATCGCGAATGGGCTCAAGATCTAGATCACTGCACTCACAGACTTTGGCGAGCGAAACAAGATGGAACACAAGGCTGCAAGCACTGACGTTGTGATAAGAAGAGGCGGTCGCGGATGTGGCATTTTCGCACTGTCCGAGTTGGTGACAGCCTTGAAGCCTTTTCAAGGGTTAAGGATGATTAGACACCTGGGGGCTCTAGGCCAGGGTTGCAGGGCCTTTCCCCCTCCGGAAGTTCCCTTCCTGAGATCCGTGCAGTAGTCCGCCAGTAAAGGGTTAGGGGGGCCACCGGGGGCGCCCTTCAGAGCGTTGCTGCAAGTTAACTGACGCATTGGCCCCCGGGGAGTCTGCAAGTGGTTTTTGCCATCCAGGCTGCTTTTGGCAGGTCTTTGGAGCGCTAGCTGTCATGGCTTCCTCCCGCGGGCGGTTGTGCAGTGAAGCCCTGCACCTTTGCAGCCTAGGCATGTGGGCGTCCGCTAAGAGCCGAGGGGTTGAAAACACCTCAACCCAGGCACTTCGATGCCAGCCCACGTGTGTCCCCTCACCAGCTCGCTGGGACGGTGGCCGCCGCCGGCGTACATGAACGCTCCACGCGCGAGGTAAAGCCAATCGATTGCTGGCCCTCAGAATATCAAGTTGGTGAGGGTGTTTACGATGAAGGAGTATTCGTAGTCAACATACTCTGGAACAGTATTGTTGAAGTATGGGCACTCTGCCCATGATGAAGACTTCTCCTATTGATTTACGAGTGGACACGTAGACAAGGCTTAGAAGAGCTACTTCTGAAGAAGGAACATAGCAAGACGAAATTATGGCCCCAAATCCAGGGCCTCATGAATCCTACCCATCTGACAACGCAAATCAACGTTACTCTGCTTTTCGTACGCGAGGAGTGACTGCCTAATATTGGAGCACATGAAAACTTGACAACTTGACAACCAGCAGACAGGGAGAAAAGAACCAGGCAGGAGCCTAGTTGATCGAGCTTAGTAGGGCCATGCAAGTGCCTTGAGGAATACATCTTCGCAGATTCACAGCCTGACAGTAAATCCAGGCGATGCCTGGTTACACGAGGTAGCTCCCATGGTATCCAGGATCCAGCAGTCTGGTCTTTCACCCAATATTCTCGTATAGCAAAGTTCGCCTGTGTCGCCGTGGCCAAAGCTGGGAGTACGAGGTACTTCGCTTTCTGCATGTATCGTCCTTGTTGTCCGTGAGATTTGACAGAGCGCGTTGTTTCCTCCCGATGCGCATGCCCGAAACATTTTTGGCATGTTGATCGCGACACTGTTGAGATAGCAGAGCCGAAATTAGTTGCCACCTCTGGGATGAGGCGACTTTGTAGTAGCGGCCAGAGCACAACCGGTATCCATTTCTGTTGATTCTCGTGTTTATTTCGTGATAGTCCGAATAAGGATCGAAACCCCTTTTAATGGGTTTGCTGATCAGATTCAGACGGAATATCAGAAAAAAAAGGTACGCGAAACTCTCTGGTTTGTGTTTCATCCAGCCTGATCGGAGAAATTGCTGGAGACAATCTCCGACATATGTGCTGACCCGGGAATCTAGGTTATGAGAGACATTCAAACCATTCTGAGGCAAACGATGCAAATTCTTATTATGGGTTTGAACAGTAAGTCCTCGTATTGCTTGATGAGCCGAGATATCTGGATACTCGTTGGATAGGAAAAACAATCCAGACTCCGGAAACTTTGGCGGCGTTCTGGTGGAGTGGAAAAAGTGTCTTGTTGCGTGGTTTGGAGCTATCTTGCGCAGAAGTACGGATACCGTAAATGCTAATTCGAATGTTGGCTCTCAAAGTGGTTGACAATTCAATAAGCCGAGGACGCGATCTGCAGGGGCAGTTTTGTGGCGATCTTGAACCGGAATGGTGGTTCGGTTAGGAGGTATCATAATTGGAGGCCCCCCAAATTGACATGCAGCATGGAATCCACTGCGCTTGGACAGCCTAGGATCACCGCGTGACAAGTCTGGCAATGAAATTGGTATTCCCAAGGACATCAAGTTTGACGTAAAGTGTTGACTGATTCAGTGCTCTCAATCAAAAGCGACGAATCGCATGGCATTTGTGACCACGGTGGTGAACGAGATAGGCGAAGAAATCAATCAAACGCGAGTTGTTGAGGGCAATGTTCCCAGTCAGTTTCATACCCCTCATCCAGATGATACTCGTCCAGGTTGAGCTTATCGTGAGGATGGTGAGTGAAATGTGTCATGCCTCATGCCGCATGAGCATTAGCATTGGCATCAGCAAAGCGGTGAGCGTGATGCACTATAAGCTACCTTGAACTTGGACCGTTGGGTGCTTCGACCACCTTTTCCCTGAAAACCGTCAAAACAGTTGTCAAGAGGATGCACTCCGTGGCAGGGCCAAAGGCATAAAGAACGGTCCGTCCTTGAGTTGCAGATCGATTAAACCCCGGGGGTACCCATCCGATAGCAAGTGGCTTTTCTGCATTGAGACTGCGGCTGGCTGAACTTCCAGGAGAAGGAGAAATGGCTCTGAAAGTGGAACGGCATGGCAGCCTTCTCTGGCCGGAGGGTAGGTATCTCAGACCAGTGACAGCATGCCGATCTTAAACAAGGGAGAGAAGGAACAAGCAAACCGCCCAAAGATGTTTAGGCGCAGGCAGCCGATCACGATGCATCTTGTGATGTTTAAAGTGGTGGTGGACAAATGGTGGTGGCAGCCACATGGTTCTGGAGATTGCAGAGAGTTACCCACCCTGCGATACTTACTGAGCTGCACAGCGCGCTTTGAAAACTGTGCCAGTGGGTGGCAAAGGCGTGAGGACGCTAAAGGACTCTGTGGACCTCGAAAATGGCGGAAAGCAAGGTTCCAGGTAGAAGACTAGCCTACACCGATAGAGCTTGGACCACATTACATTTTGGACGAGCATTGACCTTTGTGTTGGATGCGAAACACATTTGCGTGTGATGGAGGATTATGAGTATCGAGAAAATGAAGTTTGATGTTTGATGAGAGCAAGGGATAGTGATCTTGTCCGTTGTGCCCGCGCTTTCCAACACTTTGCTGTTACAGAATCCATCTGGGAGAGCAGGAACCACCCAGCAGAAGCAATCACTCGCTGGTAATAACTCATAAGCATTCCTGTGGTGTTGGCCACTATAGGACTAGGATCCAGTACCATCCTGTTCCTGTTGTAAAATGTTTGTTAGACTGATTATCAAATGCTTCGCTGTAGTCAAATATCGGATCTTCAGATGTCTGGAGACTGGAGAAGATCCGGTGATCTGCCCACCAGCAAAGAACTGGGGTTGAATCTTGCTGGTGCGTTTGGTGCGTCCGCTACGGCGACTCCGTGAGTAAGTGTGAGGTTTTAGTCCGATCAAGGTGTGATCTTGACTCTTGACCATTGCGAACAGGGGGGTGGGTACGCTCGAGCACGGAGTAGTTGGAAGCGAACAGCAACACGCTGGTCTTGTCACCATGTCGATGTCTACAGCCCAAATGTTCTCTTGCTACGACGAGTAGTGGGTTCTTATTTACGTCTTGGCTCGCATGTCTTCAAGTTGTTGAAGCTCGAGCCCAGATGGGATTAGACTTACCGAGTCCCAAGTGTCCAAGTGCAACTGGACGAGCAATCCACAAGCAGCTAATAACACGGGAGACAGGGTTCTTCTGACAGTAAGAGAATAACAGACAAGAGACCTCGACAGCATACTCGGTAGGGAAGCAGTAGAAACTGTCCAGGGCTCACTCGTGTTGGGAAAGTGACAAGGGGTCCTACCAAGTACCAAGGAAGTAAGTTAAGCATCTCAGATTTGGGCTTCAGGCGTGGGTGCCAGGGCTAAGGGGCCACTAATGTAGCCTAGAAACTAGCTTACAGTGAGTGGTGCCAGTGGGGCATGGCCAGGTTTGAGATTCCAATAATCATGACGAGATTTGAGGGGAGGTAATGATATCTGTTTCTGAGCGCAAGATGATCCGCTGCCTGAGGGGTTCTTGTGGTTCTCGGGTTCAGTTTTATTAAAGGCGGCAAGAATTGAGCCAGAAAAGGGTAAAAGGTATTTGTTCAGATATGGACTGGAGTCTGGCAGTGGTACATACGCATACCGGGACCAGAAATGCTTCAATCGCTACACTGCACCTGTTGCCCGCAGCTGACACCCCCAATGTCGGGTCACCTGTCTCTCTCCCTAGGCAAGTACTGATTCACATGGACTTGCACTCTCTACAGATTAAAGTCTCTGATACATCCTCTTGCTCTTGGTGGCTGAGGTGCCGTAAATAAGCTTGACAACAGGGTTGAGCAATGAGCATGAGCATGAGCATCCCATCATCCCCCCTCGTCTCCACGTTCTGTTCCCTGACTTCGGTAAGCAAAAGACACCATCATCACTAGTGGCAGATTTAGTCTTTGCTGGGTTCAGCATGTTTGAGTCTTAACGCATGTCGCGACTCCCAAGGAGACAATTCGTTCCGGATAGCGGGGACTGAGGAGAGCGCTTGCATGGCCGGCTCCCTTGCTCTGTGCCGTACCAGTCCTCCCGTACTGGTAGCCTGTAGGAACTGTAACTTGTAAGCTCGGGAGTTTTTCACCAACATTTTATTCAGCAGTCCGAGTCGACTTCAGCCGGCATGGTCCAGTGACCGCCGTGACCATGACCGTGTCCATCCCCCGACCAGTGACCACTTTTTTCTCATCACCCTGCGACCATACTCCTTTCAGTAAGGTCGTGCTTCAACATCTAATTTCTCTGCCATCCCGTTTCGGCATCAGACTCTCAGACTCTCCCATCTGCCCAGCTGCCCAGCTACCCAGCTGCTGTTTGGTCCAGACTCGGTTGACTGTCTGCAAGTCCGTCCGGATACCTCGTACACCTCCTGGCCATGTCTTTTGTCCCGTCGAACCTGAGTTCGGTTGGGGCCATGGTCGAATCCGACCCTCTCAAAACCACCCATCCCTGCTCTGTTGTAGGTCTCTCCCACGTCCAATAAATCCAGAGCCCAACTCCTGGGTCAACCAAACCACTGCATGAGATGCCCTCCTTGCCAGTCAGCCCTCGCCTTTTCAGGCCCTGGTCATCCGTCACATCGAGGTGGGAGACTTTCAATCCAACTTGCCTTTTTCACCCCCTGCTTTTCTCGTGTCCGTTTTGATCCAAGAATCCACACACCACTGTCTCCCGTACCCATGTCTCCATCAACCCCCCAAGCTTCAAGCCCAGCTATCGCCGCCATGCCTCAATCATCCTAGCCATTCTAGTCTCCGCTGTCCATTTTTGACAAACTCTCCTCTTTTTTAGGCGAAGCTGGCGAAAGGCCGAGTCCAGCCAACCGGACGCCAGCTGCCCGCTAAGAACGCCATGTGCTGCCCCGACCAAAAGGATCGTGGCCTGCCATTCCTTCATTCTTTTTGAATTCATGCCCTCTTTGACAGCCTCATTGCCCATCAAGACTTCTCAAGACTTCTCCAGACATATCAACACTCGAGCTGCTGTCTTTCTTGCACGTCACTTGTCTTGCGCATTGACTCTCCGAATTCAAGTTCCTCTCGAGAAAGATAGCCTGTGCGGATCATCTATCCAGATCTCATAACAAGCCTAATCGACCCAGAGCCCCACGTCCATCTGATAGGGCTCGGAGCACTTTTGCAGAAACAGCCCAAAATCCAAGGCGCCGCCTCTCAAGCCAAATCCTTCACCACCGCCCATCTACTCCACAAGTATCGTCGTCCTCGACACTTGGTTGATAACCGAGTTGAGCAGGCGTGAATACTACACTACGTAGTCGTTGACTATTACATTTCTTCGACACGCGCCATATCAAGTCCGGGATCGATTGTCACTTTTGTCACAACCTGATCAGTGTCGCCATCGGAAGGGACCATACGCAGGCCCTGGCAATCACGATCACAGCAACCTCATTTCCATCACCAAGCTACAACTGCTCCGTTGGGTCCTGCTATTCGACTCTTGAATCGGCAACGTTCGATCGAAATCTTCCAATAGCTTATCCTAGCAATTGTGCTTCTACCCACCTCAAGCGTCAATCTGGCGTCCGTTGCAGTACCTCTTCCAATGGGGTCGTCCCTGGATGCCCTTCATGCTCCTTCCAGCTTGACACAGCGCCGACAAGCAGCCTCAAACCTGCCAGTATTTGAGCTACCCCCTCCAAATCTCCAGTTCAATCAGGTATCAAGCCAAAGGATTCCTCCTCTGGTTGGAATAAATACATCCCACCCTCCTGCTTCAAGCCTCGGCCAACTTTTAACTCCGCCATCAAATTCGGCTTCAGAGGGAAGTGGCTCCTCGTCCACTCTGCCGACAGGGACCACCCCCAACGGGATTGGACCTGTTCTACCGTATACACCCACCTTCTTCAATACTGGGACTACACCAACTGGATACCACACAGGCTATACGCCTCAACCATGGCAACATGGAAATTTCCCTACGCGATCCATGTTCTCACCGATGCCCGGACCGCTGATGAGAAATAATACCAACTCGCCAACCGCCGGTGAAGGTTCCGCTCTACCCCCTCCACCTTATGAGATACATTCAGGGCACACATACCACGGGTCGCATCTGGGCCTCACGTCTCCCATCAGTGCGACAAATCCCCATTCCGGGTCCTCAAGTTTCACTCCCTCGACTCACGCGAATGGTGTGCGTCCGCAGAGCCAGCACTCTCCCATCACGCCTGGAGACGGCACTTCTAAGCCGCAGAGCCACCCATCTCTCTATACGAGCCTCTCCAGCTCTGCACAGCATCCATCACTGTACTCGTATTCTGCCCCGACTCCGGTTTCCCAAAGTCCACACCCACAGTCTCTTTCCGCGCCTCGAATTTCCCCCGTTCTTCACCACGGGGCTGTTCCTCACCACCCTTCACAATCACCATTCATGCGACCACCACCGCCATCATATTCGTTACCCGCTATGCCAGGGCCAATAATGTCAAATGTCCACAGTCCTGGTGCACAGATGGCGATGGTGGGAAATATGAACAGTGCAATGCTTCCAATGTCATACAACAGTGGCTATCAAGCCAATCCACCAATGTATGGGCAACCGAGGACAAGTACACCTCAACAACCACCAACTCATGATCGACCATTCAAGTGTGATCAATGCCCACAAAGTTTCAACCGTAACCATGATTTGAAGCGCCACAAGAGGATTCATTTGGCTGTCAAGCCCTTCCCTTGCAATCACTGCGATAAGAGCTTCTCTCGCAAGGACGCGCTCAAGGTGAGTTTTGTTTTTTTAATTTTCCCTATCTTTCTTGCACTAATACGATTTTCAGAGACATATCTTGGTCAAAGGTTGCGGTAGTGGACATCCGGTGGACGCGAGTGGGCGTGATGATGGAATCAAGTCTGATTCAGCCAGTGAGGGCGTGAGCGAGAGTCCAGCAGCTGCAATGGCTGCATAATTTCGGCGGCTCTCTTCTCGTCCTCGCATTGTACAATACTTTCCTTTTGTTCAAAGTTTTGAGCAAGTTCCTATCGAGTTATGATTTTTTAATGGTTGGCAGAATATTAGCGATGGGCGGACACAGGCTGACAATATTGATGGTTTGCCATTTGACGAAGCGGGAATTTCCCCATATCAGTTTTGTTACTATACCCAGGGAAAAGGACAGCATACCAGGGACATTGAGACCAGAAGTTTAGGCGATTATATGTGCGGAAGAAGCAATGGCGACCAGTGGCCATTATGTTATGAGCCCATCTTTGCGCGACAGGGGAGGTCGCGAACTATAGCAGTCTACGTAATGAATTGCTTTTGATCGCCCCATTTGGGCATAATTACACCCCCACTGAAGGCACTTTCTTGACGATTTCCAGTGATCAATGCTCTCAGAGTTGAGACAGTGCAGGTGGTCACTTTGTGGTTGTGGCCGAATCCAGAGGTAAAGTACTGAGCAGCCAGTCGGCAGCGTGTAATGCAAAACCCTGCAACCATGTGATGTGGCTTTTAGGTGGCGCAATGATGCTCAAGCCTCGCCTGCGGAAGGCGCCGTGAGAGGCACGGACCAACCTGTTTTCAAGAGGCGCCGGAAAAGCTAGAGTTTCTCGCCTATTTTCTCAGGCTTTTCAAGGATAAACCAACCAACCCAGGGATCCCTGTATGGATGCACGGATTTCTGTACGACGAGCAAGCACAATCCTCATTCGTCTCCAAAGTTCCAACTTCGAACTGGCATTTCCAACCAGGGCCGGACGTTTTCTCAAGTCTGGAGGAATTCCTCAGCAGCTACTCCCGCCTGTTAAAGTCAATATGTTTTCCTTGGGAAACTTTGCCGAGCTTACCTCAGCAATTAGCAAAAATTGCTGATGGGCACTTGCCTCCAGATCAAAATACCAGCCTACGAGTACTTGAAACAATAAATCAACTTGAACCTGCAAGAGACACATTGGCTCTATTAAGCGACTCCGACGTCCACATTCAGTTAACACAGTCACTCACAGGGTCTTCACGAGCTCTCCTTCGAGTCATGATGTGGAGCAATGTCGAGAGATCAACGGAGCTCGTGCTCCACCCCCCACTACTCGTACACGTCGTGGTACTACTTCCTCAACGGTTTTCCCCAAAAGGACCAGCTGCAGTCTGCAACGAGACTAGTCCCTGATTTCAGAGGCACCAAGTTAAATCGTATCTGCATGATATGTGCTACAAGCAGGAAAAACTCGTTCCAGTTAACAGCTGTCTCGGAGGACGAATGACGGATACCCACCTCGCATAGAAGTCGTCAAGATCGCGAGGCAAAGTTTATTACCTCGACGATCGACGCTACTTTGTCGAAACTCCACCACGCTGCACCGATCGATCCCTCTAATCGTCAATATCAAGATCGAGCTTTCCCAATCTGACTTCCTGCATCTATCCGGTCTATCTCTTGACAGGACGAGGTACATCAGTAACACTTGCATGCCACGTTGTTCACATCAAGCCACCAGAGTAAGTCCGCCCACGCTTCCGAGCAACCCATCAGCGGTTTTTCTCGAGCCGTTTCTTGCTCACGGATCCAGATGGGGTGCCCGAAACTTGGGTACGATGAAGTAAGCCCCACCACATCGATCTGTTCAAAGTTGTCCCCTGATATCTGGTGATCTCATTTCGTGGATCTACCCAAGCTTAAATATCCCTGACCTCATCAACAGCTTCCCATGCTTGTTTCTTGCCTCCGACCATGCTCATTGGGTCCCTTTGTTTCATTCACAGTTTTTCGGGTTACCAGCTTCCGCCGCTTCTGGGTTTGCTTGCATGATTGTGCCTGTCATACGAGCCCTGTTGAGTTACCAGTAGATGTGACGAGATAAACCAAAGCAGCGATTCCCGACAGAGTTTGAAATCTCTTAGAATCACTTTCACCACTGGTTATCTAAGACAGATCCGCTGTTCTGAAGTCTTGCAGTTCGTTCTCGTTCTCTGCTCTCCTTCCTTCCAATAATAAACAAAACTACTGCTTATATTTGCACGAATCGACATATCCCTTCCTAACATTGAAACGCTCATACCCCTTACTGAAAAGTACCAAGTCAAGTCCATGGTCGATTCTAGAGCCTGCTTTGAAAAGTAAAACGACCGTGTGGCAATGACTCTTCAGAAGGTTCTCATATACGTCCTACGTCGCGACTTACGGTTGTCTGACAACCCAGTTTTTTATGAGATTCACAAACTATCCCAGCAATCCCAGAAGCCTTTCACACATGTCCTGCCTTTGTATGTCTTCTCTGCCCAACAGATTGAGGTCAGTGGGTTCCTCAAGGACCCTTCTTCTCGCTCCCCATATCCCGAAGCACGATCGGAGGTGGGCAAATTCTGGAGATGTGGACCTCATCGTGCAAAGTTCCTGGCCGAATCTGTGTGGGATTTGAAGTCTCAGCTCAGGGACATAGGCAGTAATCTCGAAATTCGTGTTGGATTACTGGGAAAAGTCGTTGCCGACCTGGTGTCTCAGATCAAGCAACAAAATGACAAGATCTCGGTCTCAGCTGTCTGGATGACTGAGGAGGAAGGGGTGGAAGAGAAACGAGAAGAGAGAGACGTCCGTCGAGCTGCAGAGGGTGCTGGTATTGATTTTCGATTATGGATAGACGAGAAATACTTCATCGATGAGTATGATTTTGGCGTCTCAATCCACATTGAACCAGGGACTAACAGGACGTAACTAGCCGCGATCTGCCCTTCGACAGACCTTCAGATCTGCCAGATGTCTTCACGAGCTACCGAAAATCCGTCGAGCCACTGAGGGAAGCTCCTCGAAAAGCTGTTCCACGAACTCCATCCTTACCACCAGTTCCTTCCAATCTGACGATCCAAAGTGGTATCTTTTCCGTCCCAGAAACGTACGATGAGCTGGAGGCATTTCTCATGAAACCATTGAAAGCGAATCCTCCCCTCCCCGACTCTCCATCATTTCCACCCGGTGTCAAATCGGCTCATCCGTTCAAGGGTGGTGCAACGGACGGGTTGAAGAGAGTCCAATCACTAATAGCCAGTGGTGCTATGACGCATTACAAGGACACCCGAAATGGTCTACTAGGAACCGACTTCTCCACCAAGCTGTCTGCATGGCTTGCTCTTGGATGTATCACGGCCCGCCAAGTCCACTTTCAACTATTGGATTTTGAGGATGGGCGAGATTCCCAATACAAGGGAGTGGCTGGTTATGCTAAAGGTGAGAACAAAGGGACCGCTGCTGTGCGGTTTGAGCTTCTATGGCGAGATTATATGAGATTATGTACACGGAAGTTTGGCCCTCGATTATTCCGACTGGAGGGCTTTCGAAATGACACTTCATATCCGTGGAAGAGTCCCGGTTCCAAAGGCAGCGGTCCAGAGGTGGAAGAAATGCTCCAGCGATTCCTTCATGGCACCACAGGCACTGCGTTGATCGATGCCAGTCAACGAGAACTCTTTTTGACGGGTTACACGAGCAATCGAGCACGACAAAATGTTGCCAGCTACTTGGCCAAGCATCTCGGCATCAACTGGAAGTTGGGAGCAGAATGGTACGAATGCATGCTGACAGACTACGACGTCAGTTCGAATTGGGGTAATTGGCAATATGTGGCGGGAGTGGGCAATGATCCCCGAGGCGAGGCTCGAGTGTTCAATCCCATCAAACAAAGCTTTGACTATGATCCGCACGGCGAATATTGCCGTGCATGGGTTTCCGAGCTCCAGAATCTCGACGAGCCACAGGAGATATTCCAGGCGTGGAAGGTGCCCATCGAGAGGAGAGCTGAGCTCGGATTGGAGGGCCTGGCCATGGTTGAGCGACCTCTCAAAAGGATTGATTTCAGGGTCGGTGGAAAAGGGAGAGGCGGAGGAGGCGGTGGTGGTGGTGGCAGGTATGGGGGAAGCAGTAAAGGCAAAGCCAACGGGGGAGGGGAGGGTGGAAAGGGACGAGGCTTCGGCGTGAGAGGCAGTTATCGTGGACGGGGCAAGAGTGAGCGGGGACGAGGAGGTCATGGTCGGCAAGGGTTCATGGATAAGGCTGTCAATGGCAATGGCACCGGGGTAGAAGTATAGGAGCTGTCTGTCTGTCTGTCTGGTCGAGCCATCATGCCTGTGGGGGGAATCGAGATACCTACTACATCAATTATTGTAGTTGCTGCTTCGTGATCACGATGACTGTGCATTACCTCCCTCAGCATAAAATAGTTATGCCTCCATGGGTAAGTAGGTGCTCATACTAGTCATTTTCACTTCCCCGTATCTACTTCCGGGGCAATCTATTCCCACCTAAAGCTTACATCTGACGATCATCGACATGGAAGACACATACACACAAACACACACGGGCGGAGGCATCAATCTAGCCACCGGCGCCGGGACAACCATCGGAGACGTTCCAGTTGGGCACCACTCCACTGGCAAGCGTTGCGAGTCTCGCGAAATCTACCTAGGTAGTTAACAGTGTACTCGGGGCTTTTCTGACGCGAGATCGGGAGATAGTAACTGCCTGAACCACTCACTACCTTCTCGTGGATGGACATTGCGATTGAGGATTGATGGATTGCGAGAGGCCGGACATGGCTTTGCTGTCTCCTTCTCTTTTGGAAAAACCCCGGCATTTGGTGGATCGAATAATCATTGTTTCATATCTGTGAGCATTGGTTTAAACCCGTTCGATCATTCACGGACAGCCAGCAGGCCACTTTGGGTGCTGACTACGATCTGTGATGGAGACAGGAAGTCCACGGTTTCAATCATCAAGCTCAACGGCCGGACGGTCTTCACGAGTCCGGGAAGCCCGAAATGCCCAGGAGTAACCATCCTCTTTAGTTAGTTGGGTTAATTTAGGTGGTCCAGCCTGAACTCTGATGAAGATCTACCCTGGGAGCCGGATACTTCTGGCCCTTCTAGGCATCAACTTCAGACCTTAAATTTACGAGCCTCCAGCCGAAGTGTTTACTGTAGTGGGTAGGCCTTTAATTCAAGTTAGAAGTGGTGCAAGCTCGCATCTTGTCTCTTTCGCCATTACAGCCACGACGCACGCTTCATTCGTAATTCGTATCCTCAGAGTGGGTGTTGGGGTCTCTCAGCTTTGGAGCCTTGGACAAGCGACCCTCGGATTGCGATGTCGCAAATCACAGCGCACGTCTGGACACCCACGTTGTTTTTGGTTGCGAAGGTCGCGTTCAACTTCGTGGTCGGCACTGATGCGGGCGTCCACTCTAGATCAGATAGGTATCAACTCTCCGCGCGCCGACTCCACCCTCGGCCGATGGGTCTTGTCAACGTCAAAATTGGACGAGGTACCTCGTACTCTGTGAGTTTGTTACTTGTAATATGTAGCACTTTGCCCCTCGAGGGGGCTGACCTACGAGTTAACCTAAACTCCGCAATAATGTAATGCTGAACCGTTGCTTTCTCCACCCACCACGACTCACCATGTGCCCCATGCTTTCTCTCGCTAGCAGTAATACGACGTGGTCAGCATTCCTAATTCCTGAATCCTCGATGCCTAGGCAATTCGGATTCATTTATGCTCCCATCCAATCCATTCATTCTTCGATAAATACAAGCATCCCCCTGGAAAATTTGTCCTTTTGCTTGTGAGATTCTTTGCGGAGCTGCTGAACTCAGTGAACACGCATTGTTCCTCGCCATGAAATACTGAGGACTCTGACTACCACTACTGTCATCAGTCGGTCCCAGCTCAGGGCCGCTCGTCTCGAAGTTTGTTCCACATATAAATACATATTTTGCCTCGCCTCACCTCATTGCAACCATCATGGCGGCCTTGTCGGTCCCTTCACCATCACTACCACTCACGCTTCTCGCCCTAGTTATTGTTTTCTCCTGCTACCGAATATTCTTCGAACTCACCACGGGAGCAAGACGACGGCAGATCATTCGAGAAAATGGCTGCCAACCACCGTATTATTACCCCCACAAGGGAATCATGGGGAAATTGTACGGCTTGGATGTGATTCGGGAGATGGTCAAAGCCGGCAAGGAAGGGAGGATGAACGAATCTAATCGGTTGCGAAACTGGTCGAAAGGACACAAGACGCTGCATTTCAGTGTCGCCCGGAGGCATAGTGAGTAGCTTTCACGTTGCTCTTCTACCATGGACCATATGTTGGGGTGATGATCAAATTGACTAATTGCTTGACAGTCATCTCAACCATCGAGCCCGAGAACGTCAAGACAATCCTAGCGACCAAGTTTCAAGACTTCTCGCTCGGAAAAGGAAGACAAGAAATCATGGGACCCATCTTCGGCCACGGCATCTTCACCCAGGACGGCAAAGGGTGGGAGCGATCTCGAGCCCTGGTCCGCCCCAACTTTGTCCGGCAACAGGTGGCGGATCTCGACATGTTCGAATCACACGTCGGCCATCTGATAGACTCGATTCCACGAGATGGCTCAGCGGTGGACCTGCAGGATCTGTTTTTCGGCTTGACCATGGATTCGGCCACGGAATTTCTCTTTGGAACTTCCACCAATACCCTCGCTCCAGGTCTGGAGACCAAGTCTGCGAATGACTTTGTCAAGGCTTTTGTGTACATGGGTGAATGTAGGTGTCCCTATCGTGATGGGTGGAACCTTGATCACTACTGTGGATTTGCTAACTTTGATGCTCTTCTAGCTGTCGGAACCTCTTTCCGCAACGGAGGACTGGACAAATGGATTCCGAATCCCACATGGCACAAAATGGTCAAGAAGGTTCACGGATTCGCGGACGAGGTGATTCAGAAGGCCATCGAAGAAGTCGACTCTGGCAAAGTCTCGGACAACAAACGCTATGTTTTCCTGTACACGCTACTTGAACAGACCCGTGACCCCTACACGCTACGCTCGGAACTGCTCAACATCCTCCTGGCCGGCCGTGACACCACCGCAGGGCTCCTCACCAACACGTGGCATGTCCTGTCCAAGCGACCCGACATCTGGAGCAAACTGGTGGCCGAAGTCAACGGCCTGGGAGGGTCGCGCCCCGACTACAACTCGATCAAAGACATGAAATACCTGAAGTGGGTGCTCAACGAATCTCTGCGCCTGATGCCCGTGGTGCCAGGCAACAGCCGAGAAGCGATCCGCGACACGGTGCTCCCGCTGGGCGGCGGGCCCGACGGCAAGGCACCGGTGTTCGTCCCCAAGGGCTGGACGGTGGGATACTCGCCGTGGTCGATGCACCGACGAGAAGACTTCTACGGCGCCGACGCCCTCGAGTTCCGGCCCGAGCGCTGGGAACATCTCCGGCCCGGCTGGGAGTATCTGCCCTTCAACGGCGGGCCGAGAATCTGTGTCGGCCAACAGTATGCCCTCATGGAGGCCAGTTATGCCACCATTCGTCTGATCCAGACGTTCCCGAGGTTGGAGAGTCGTGATGAACGGGAGTGGCGAGAGTGGCTTACCATTACGCTTGCCAGTGGCGTGGGCTGCAAGGTGGCGTTGTTTGAGAAGTGATTACTCACTCACGTTGGTCAAGAGATGGATTCTTTCTTTTTTCTTTCATGAAGATTATGAAATTGCACTTGTCTTTGGAAGATGTATTACTGCTTGGCGGCGAAAATTCGAGTGTTTCTATGATGCCATGCATAATGTACTGTCATGGCTATCACGCAGGTAGTCTTCAGCTGGAGTACAGGCATGGGGAATGCCAATTACCAAGTCCCCCTCTCATCCATTGTCCATTGTCATAAGGCGTCTGCGACTCACATGTGATCAAATCCGAATGATGATCATCCTTGCAGACAAGGCGTTCTTTGAACCTTTTGCTCAACACACTCGGATTCGCAGCTAAAAGCGTTGCCTAGGTTGGGATCTCGTGAATCCCACGTATCCGGTCGTATCTGTTGTGCACATGGTTCTTATTTTCAGAGAGCACTCTTGTGACCTGGACTCTATCGGGAGAATCAACCGAGATACCAGGATTATGGTTGATTCAACGTTGATCGTACCATGTCTGTGCGGCATCTAGATGGTTTGCTGGTGGACTGGGATTCTAAGAATGACGACATTGTCCGAGTTCTGGGAGGCTGACTTGCAGCTTCAAGTTGGGCTTGGGCCTCGGTACCATCTTTTACCACGACAGCCGCTCAGTCTGCCTCGCACCGTTGCAACTCGTATTGCTATTATTGCTACGCTGCCTCTCTCCATCTCTGGTCACTCGTTCGCAGTATGGATCTTCACCAAGAAAGCTCTTGTTGCTTGGATTCCGCAAATTCAGGTAGCCAAAACTGCTGATGGCTTTCTTCATTCGTACACTACCAATTTCTTATGATGATCATCTACTCGATCAAGATGCAATCCATCTTGTTCTAGATCACCATCGAGTCTCTCTCAATCCCTTTGGGTATCAAAATACTTCTAACAAAATTTAGGGGTGCGACCGTTAAAACTCTACTTCTCTCGTGTCTGCTTTACCACTCCACCGGCATTTGAAGCCTCTGGCAGACCCCTGCAAAGGACGGGACGCCTTGCACATCACTTGCTCATGATTCGTTGCTCCGCTTCCAAACGGCATCACGGAGCAGGCCTCATCCACTTGGCTTTCAATAACAGGCTCCTCAAGGCACTCCACCGCTAAGACGGACCTGAACAGCGGGTTCAACCCAAGAATATGGCGAGACGAGGTCATCCTTAACTAGCGATGCAAGTAACTAGTTTGATCAGCGTTCCAAAACCTGGAGTTGACTCCTCAAGACTTACAACTCATCCTGCTCTGCTACACCAGTCCACTCTTTGGCGTGGCCATCTCTCGATTGAATCTTGTCGTCGTCCACCACTCGCCCTCAAAATCAATGTAGGACACTTGCTCAACGCTCACACCGTACTATTTGTCCCTCATCTGTCCTCCCACCACGTCTCACATCGCCCGCGTCAGCTTGCAACCACACATTCGTTTTATTGAACCATCTCCACTCGTCCTGACCGACAACAACGACAAAGGGTTTCACGAACCCTCCGAGTCCAGGCCAGTCCAAACCGACTCAAACCGCACCCATCAGAAAAGGAAGCCAACATCCTATTTCATCCTTTCCCGTGCCATATCACACTGCGCGTTCGTCGTTTTCGCTCTCTTCCGGCGCTCCACCAAATCCCAGTCCCACTGACCAATGCGCATCCCGACATGATCAATATCTCAATTCTCCCATTACTCACAAATGACTTCTCGAATATATTTGTTGCAGCGCAGTGATACTGGTGCTGTTGGCGCGAAAGATGGTAGTTGGCGGGAAAATGCGTCCGACGAGGACTTGATTCTCGAGTCATGGAGCCAGGGATTTGTAAGTCATGTCTTTTCGCATCGGCGTGACGACTTTTAGATCGCATTTCTGTCCTATCATCGATATCAAGCTTGGGTTGTTGGTGTTGCTTCTGTATCGCCTTGGAGCGCATGCAATGGCTCAGACATGCCGACCCTGCATTTTCATATCTCTGACTAACGTTTCGAAATCTTCAGATGGTCGGCGCTCTGATTATAATGGCATGTATCACTGTTGCAAACATGAGAAGAGGTGTACTCCTCCACAAACTCATTCTTGTCGAGGTAAGATCTTGTCCCGAACCAAGCCGTAGGCCATACCGTCTTCCAGGCTAACTTATCCACTCAGCAACTTGCAGCATTATCGCACGGTTCGTCTGTGACTATTCACTCTGAGATGCCAATGGTACTGATTCCAACCAGGGACTTTCTGCTTCATGTCTTTCAACGGCTATGGATGGTACCTGTCCGCCACGGCTGCCCTGCTATATTGCTCGTGGATCGTGCACAATGTCGTCGCATGGATGAAGATCCGCCCGTTTTTCACCGACGCAAGGTCCATGTTCAAACCAGAGACCGGTCTGTGGGTCAAACGAATATACCTCGTGACCCTCGCTTGTACCGCACCGCCCATCATCCTGCAAATCTACGACAACTTCCGGTTCTTCAACAATATCAATGACTTCTACAGACATGTCCGGCCCTACGAGCCTTTGTTCAGGTAAGCATTTGCCCAATAATACTGGTTGGTGAGTTTTGCTCATGCCCCTGATAGAGATCCTTGGTGGGTATTCACATGTGTGACTTTATTTCACGTCATTCGGAAATGTTACGGAACGGGCGTCTTCGAATTGATCAAGCGATCTCCTCGCTTCGGCATTCTCCTCGTCGCCATCTGTCTATCCCTGATCTTTACGGGCCTGGACATTGTCGCGAGCATCCATAATTTCATCGGCTCCACTGACGGGTACATTGTTCCTTGCCACTCCAGACAAACATATAATCCGCTGACCCTCATATTGCAGAATCAACCCGTGGTGGAAGCTGTCACTCGTGTTCAAATGCCTGACCGACACGATCATGCTGGATGACTTCAAGACAGAGCTGAAACGTCTCGGCATCAAAAGACTGCAACAAGACGAACTGCGCCGCAAGAGTCTCGCACTGGTCCTGGACGACAACATGAAAGACGACGACGACGCCAATCACCAACTAGAGTTCTCCGACGCCCTCAACGTCAACCCGGCCCGCTTCCACACCCTCGAGAGCACCGACACGAGTTCGACGAGCCGAAGCCCCCGCGGCCGACTGAGGCAGGAATCCGTCAACGAATCGCGGACCGAACTGAGAAACTACGCCGACCACTCTGCGGGGAAGAAGAAAATCTCGCGACTCCCCGGCCTCAAAGACTTCAAGTTCGACTTCAAGAGCCGTGGCGCCAAGAATAAGGCCAAAGCCGATGACGAAGAGAAACAACGGCCACAGACTGGTCCTGACGACGATACTCAACCTCCGCCGGCCGCGCCGGATCGGCTGTCACAGATGCGCAAGAGTCTCGGTGTCATTGATTATCATCCGAGATGATGAAGACGAGTTTCTCGAGTTTTATGTCGCCAGGTTCCACCACTTGTGCAAAAGGGGGGAAATATGGAAAAAGCGAATGGGAAGGGTGGGGTGTTAATGTCTCTTGATGTCTAACGAAGGTCACGGCTTGTATCAACAGAAGGGTTTCATGTCATATGCAGCGTGGATCGGATATGCTGGCTTGCTTGCTTTCTCATCATGTACCAGAGCAAAGGGATCTCAGAAGTCTAGCCTGGCGCATACAGGATTTGGGATGCTCCCACTACAGGGGAATTTCAAAGCATATATCCGTTTTTGTTGTTGTTGCTTGAGAGTGTTGCATTCTTGGGAGATTGGAGGCGTGCGATTTATTTTCGCCATGGTAAGCAGGCCATAAAACGTGTGCTTCAAGCCGGGCCATTATTGGGCTGGAAAGGCGCTATCCATGTCAAAGCCCAGCAGGTTTCCAATAATTGCATCAAAATGCGAAGAATATCCGATCCTGACTCACCCTTTCCTCTGGCTCTCTGACTCTGCCGTGTAGCTTTGAAGGTTTCCATCCAAGATACGCAATATTACCAGTGAGTGCAAGCATCGGGCAGTCCTCACCTTTTTCCGTGCTGGGCTTGTGCGCAGTTTATAGCAGTGGCTCCGACAATGAGTAACCAGTGCACGTTCCACTGGACCAAGGGAACCGATTCCTGGATCCCAAACCCTCCCACAGACCTGCGGCAACGTCAAAATAAATCAATGGCTCTCTCTGCCAGAGCTTCTGAGACCGTCTGCTAAGTAGACAGCATCATGGGTTCTTCTGAAATTGCATCGGCAGAAAATCATATCATCCTTGGGCGGACAACAAATCCCGTCGTTTCTTCCAGTCTCATAGGACTTCATTCTCTGGCATATTTGGCCACCGTCTCAGATTGGAAGATCACACGAGGTCCGGGGTGGAAGAATTGCAGCCGCAGACCAGGAAGTTACAGGCCTGTGGAAACGGTAGGTGAACGTCGGATCCTCGACATCAGACACTCTTTTGCACTTTCAATCCAGCTCTTCCTGCAAGCTCGTCTCTAGCCACCGAGACCTGCTCGCCGTACCGCATGACCAACGCTGTTGCAAGGCGAAAGGAGATGAGAACGGTGGCGGTTTTTGAACATTCTCACACTCTTGAGGCCCAAATATAACACGTCGAGACAAGCACAGCACCAGATCGCCTGGCAGCCTTTGCAGCTTCCAGCATTGATGGAAATGACAGAAGCCAGCGACATCCATGTCTGCGTGACTTCACACCGGCACTGAAATCTGTGGCTCAAAGACTCAGAGACTTGAGATTTCCTGTGCCTATTCTGATCCCGTGCATGCGGAAGATGCCCCTGATCTGATATGTGTCTGGTCATATCAAATCTCATCGCCCTTTCGCATCCACCAAATGATGATGTTCCAGCCAAACCCATATGCAATGACCCCCTGACTGCCCGCCCGCAAGTGATGGTATCCATAACCTACATCTCTTCCCCATGTCTGCCGATCTTGCTGATGCGGATCAAGTAATTCCAGCCTGCCTTTCGTCCGAACGGCATGGCTCTTGCTCAAAAGTGAGATATCTTACCCATAACGTTGTCACCCCCGCAAGCCAAGTCATCTTTGCATGTCTGAGGCTAGAGTATCTGAAGTCCGATCCGCAGTCCGTTCATATTTACAGGGTGTCCTTGAAGTCACCACACAACTTTTGCTCACAAGAGGGCCAGTCGATGGGTTGGGTCGATGAGTCAATCAGGCAGTTGTAGCTCTTCCCCACCATTGTCCAAACTCAATCGTATTGTAATGTGTCAATTTCTCCCCACCTGTCCCCCAGACTTCAATGCACAGTTGGTAGGCCGGTGCCAGCTACAACAGGCAATTGAATTCTCCGCGCAGGAGTTACAGGAGAGATGATATGTTTGCGGTTTAGCCGTTCTATCACTTCGCCGCAAGGCAATTCCGCTCTTTCAGATTCCTGTGTCACTCTCTTTCCCTTGCCTCGTTCTCGATGTTCCTCCTCTTCGTTTTGCAACATGTGTGTTTCGGAGCGGCTGTGCTAAGGTGAGATGGACGGTCCATGTGTGTCTGAGATAGCTTGGAAACTAGAGAGCTGAATGAGGATCAGGATCTGGAACTTCTTCTCGTCAGCCAAAGATCAACAACGCCTCAGGACCGGGAGGAAGGCCCGCGTGCCTCTTTTCTGGCGGGTCGATGGTTTTTCAGGAGGATTGTCAAAGGGGGAGGGCAATTGGGAAACTCAACATTTTCACTCCGACTGATGGCAAGGTCATTGGCTTACGCATCATTGGGAGAATTGCACCTTGCCCATGTGATGAGGCTTTCCCATCTTGCGCTGGCCCTTTTTCAGGCTGATGCCAATACGTTTCACTTCCGTGTCTTTGACGTGATTTTGTCAGCCAGCAGCGTTCAACTTCAACGTTGATGCGTTCTTCTGGTCTGTAAATCGTAGTCAGTGTCTTCCTTACCCCCCTTCCCACACCCAAGTAGAGCAGAAAGGAGGAGTGATCCGATCCGATCCCGCCTCGTGAGGACACGATCAACTCACCGCAAAGTTTCTGCGTCCCTCACCATGAGGCCTTGCTCCTCGAGTTTTTACCTTCCAACCTTCCAACGAGGATGTTGAATCTTGAATTGGGCGCATCACTGAACAGAAGAGGCAGTGGAATGAACCCTTACCTATGTGGAATTTATCATTACTGAGTCCGTTCAAATCCGAAACTCTTGTTGGTAGATCTGTGATGTGACAGCCACTTCATCAATGAAGCGCAGACTCGCCCTTGCTCTGGAAGGAAGTCTCAAGGTCGAATTGGAGATCGGTTTTCTGTGTCTCTGCTCCAAATGAATCTCAGTCGTTAGCCAGTACTCATCATTGTCAATTTCATTGAGTACTTACATTGGGGACATTGCGTACCGTCGCTTTTGCCTGCGCAATTCTGGCTCTGAAGTTCAGTCCTTCTTAGATACGATCCTGCTTGCGGTCAGTCGATGCGTCAACTCAGGCTGGATGTTTGCGAGTTGCGTAGTCCAAAGTTCGCAAAGATCAAGATACACACAGTACACGAGTTCACAATGTTCTACCAGGAAAAGATCCGAGATTGATTGAATGCATTTGCATTTGAATAAGCTAAACTAAGAGAATAATGACCATTCAGTCGGACTTGTGCAAAAGGCACCTGCCGTAGAATGGTTGACAATGAACTGCATACTCGAGATCACCCAGATTGGCATGAACGAGTGATGCAAGATTCCACTGTACTTTTTTTTTGTGTTTTTTGGTTTTTCTTGGGCAAAGGATTGATGCCGTGAATGAAATGTGACCCATTGAAAAGAGTCTCGTCTTTTGTTTCGGAGCAGAGACTTCAACTGCTCAAGCTCCCTCGTTGGTCTCCAGCTGGATTGGAAGTGTCAAGCACTTGCGGCTAGACGATACCGAGGAATGGGGTGCTGTTAAAAACTCTGAACAGATTGTTGTGAGAGACATCGTTGATCCAGGACCAAGACGCACATTCTCGAGAATTAAAAGATGTATCCGCAATGGAACATGCTGCGCTGTCGGAAGACAAAGGAGACCAGTCTTAGATGTACCACATGCTTGTCATGATTCCACCAGTGTTGAGCATGGGAATCAATGGCTTGGTCTCAGTGTCGCTGGGTTCGGAGCTCTTCTTTTGCTGTCCTTGCTTGAATCCAGGACCACCTTGAGGGCCGGCAGTTGCAGGAATGTCTTCGTGTGCTTTGGCACGGTTGGAAGCAAGATGAGCATAGTAGACTGCAGGATGCAGAGAAACTGAGGTTGTCGATCGCATGTACTGGTAGCAATGCTCATAGAGCATATTCTGAATCTGCTCAGGGCGATGATCGGCTTCATCATAGAGGATGGTGTAGTGAACAGGTCGAGAAGTGCCTTGCAAGGCAATATGAGAGTAGAGATAGAAATCAAACTCGTTAGGCATGGTCACATCTCGCTCAATCAAGCAACCAGGTAAAGGATTGCCCTTCATGTCAGCGGCTTCTTTATCTCCTGGTCGTGGGAATGCTCGAACATGATGACGCTTAGAGGCAATGATGACGGTGATCTTGCCCTCAAATTTCTTGCTGTCACTTAACTCACCGAGCACATTGCGGATCTCAGGAACTTCTTGATTCAGGACATGAGCAAACTGGCCTTCGGAAACGCCATCACGAATGTAGTAGACCTGCTTGGGGAGACCATTGTTGCCGACATATTTAACCCATTCTCTGGCAATTGGGAGGAACATGCTCTTCCAATTGGCTTTGGAGATCATCTCAACGCGATGACCATTGGTTTCACAAGCAGCAGCGTATCGACCACCAAATCGATCAAAAGAGATAGAGATTGCGGCCATGGAAGCCTGTAGACTGCCGGGGGAAGCATGTGAGACGTCCGCGCCGATCACCATGGTTGGGCCTTGGAAACCCTTGAAACCACTGGATTGATGAGGGACAACTTGAGAGGTGGTGCCACCGAGCTTGGCATTAACCTTCATCAAGACATTTGAGTAGTATTGAGGATTGCCCTTAAGGACTTGTTGAATCTGCATGACTTGAGAGACAACACCATAGCGACAGTCACAGGATTTCTTGATGCGTAGATAATGGAATGCCTGCTTATCCTGAACCAAGAAAACCAGTAGTTGAGGGCGCATTCTGAAGTTGTTGCCAGTCTCTGTGAAAAGTTGCTCTACAGCAGCACCAGCGTCTGATGGAAGCATCTTCATGAATGGAGGCTTGGCTGCAACCTTTCCGGAGTGGCCGCGATAAGCTCTGGCAAAGTCGAGTGCGAATTTGTCAATTTGGGCCTTGTCGGGCTTGCTTCTTCCAGGGAAGATGCCAATACCCCAAGAAACTAGTTCTTTAGGGTTGCCAGCCAGGAAGGTCTTCTGCTTTAGGTCCCATCGACCTCGAGTGCCCGGTTGTTCGACCCGATTGCCAAATTTGATTCCAGGTGCAGGCAGAATTCGAGCATTGGTCTTTATTGGTTCACCATTGATCTTGAGACCATAATTGACTAGGAATTGATCTTGTTGCCAGTTGAGCCAGGATTTACCCTCATTGATAGCCTCAAGTCGCTTTGCAGGAGGAGACACGGCAAATTTGATCATGTTGGCAGTCTGAATTTCATTCAACTTGGTGTTGTATCGCTGAGCAGGTTGAACGACGAGAAGCTCCATAGGGTATTTGACTCCTTTCTTTGTCATCTCGATCAAAGGGACATAGGGATTTTGGAGTGCTTTATTGTACTTGCGCTTGAAGTACTGAGTAACAGACAGCATCTCTCCAGTGGGTTGTTTGGTCTTAGGGTCCTTCCATTCGAGCTTCTCCTCATTGGCATTGTTGGTAGAGATGCGAAAAATCTTCCACTCTTTATTGGGAAAAGGGTTGCCGGGATAGCTTGCTTTGACAATCATACCTTTGATCTTGGATTGAAGAGCTCTATGGGTAGGATTGGCCTCGCGACTTCCATTCTCCCCATAAGGTCGTAGTTGATGAGCAATATCTTGGCTATCACGAAATCCGCTGGCGACGATAGCACCGATCAAAGTATTCTCTTTCCAGAAACATGAGTTGGCAACATCGAGGTTGACAACCATCTTCGTTCCTTCAGCAAGTCTCATGGATTGGTAGATTCCACGCCACACTTCAACGCCATTGCCGAGATCTGCACGATCTGCTTTCTTCTTGAAGAGAGAACGCTTGATGGTGATGTAGTTGGGGTCTCGAGAAGGGCCTTCCCGAAGAAGGTGATCTAAGAAGCCGATGGCTTCGAGGATAGTGACATCCATCTGAATTCGACCTTCGAGGTATTGCTGAATGAGGCCGACATCAAGAACACGGGTTTTTGTGATGTGAAGTCTGAACTTGTTGCTATCACGGCCAGGTCGACCATCCTCCTGGTCAAGATCGACAATCAAGCGAATCTCGCCATGATCCTTTGATGACCATGCAAGACGATTTCCATCAAAGATCATTTGCACACCAGTGGCTTCTTTGCGAGCATTGGAGTTCCAGACTTTGCTCTGGACAATACGCTTCTCTGAGCCGCTCCCAATGACAACATCATACTGATAGATCTTTGCAGTAGGATATTGATTGACTTTGTATGCATTGAGGCTGACTTGGACTGCTTTACCAGTATTGTTGAAACCAGGTCTCTTTGTGAACTCGGTAGGAAGCTTGTACTGGTCATAGTCAGAGGTGCCTGGGGCAGAGATGTTGCGAATGTATGGAATGTGGATTATGGACTTGGGAGGAGAATTGGATGTTGTTTGAGGGGTAGATTGTTCTGCGGTGCGAGGAGGGGATTGGGGAGCAGATGTGGAGGGGGTTTGATTGCCAGAGGGAGTTCGAGTAGGAGGTTGAGAAGCAAGTCCAGAAGGACTGCGAGTAGGAGATGCAGGAAGACTAGCTCCAGAAGAAGTGCGAGCCTGAGATGTGGGAGGACCAGCTCCAGAGGGAGTGCGAGAATGAGATGACATATTGTGAAGATGCTTTGAAAGGATGCTTTGAGAAAGATGGGGCAGAGATAGGATTTGCTGTGTATGAGAGAGATGGACAGACAAGAGAAAGTTTGGAGGAAAAGGCCAGCTTATATAGCCATGAGAAAGAGCTAGTGGGATTATGTGCTGTGAAGGCTCAATGCATCTATTGAAGCGTAGTGATACATTGAAACAGTGCAGGAACACAAACAGTGCAGAACAGACTGTACAAACAGTGCAGTGTTGAATCAAACAATGTGGGTCAACAGCACTGCGAATGGAAGTGGGTGACATGATTGCGTGGACTGGGACAAAGCTGTGAAGCAATCGACAATGGTGAAAGAAATCCAGGCTTGCGCAAGGTGAAGAAGAAGCGGGGAATGGTGAAGCGGACCAAAAAGAGAAAAGGTCTCAACAGGATGCGGACAAGTGTGAAGGCAACCCAGGCTTGTAAAACAGCAAGTGGCACGATGAATAGGAAATTCAATGGGTGCTGGCGCTTAGGGAGTTTATGACTGAGGCAAGGCAGAGAAGGGAATGCTGGATTGTTGCAGACTGGAAATTGTACTCACCAGATTGTCAACTGCGTAGGAACTTGCAGGCAGGTCCACATTTCGAACAGCATCGGTGGGTCGGCGTGGATTCTCCAGTGCAGGATCAACCAAAAAAGGAGCAGGTTGATTCGATTGATTAGGAGGAGAAAGAGGGCCGGTTGACGAAACATTGGGCGACCCTCTGCCAGATCCGACCGAAGGTGTAGAAGCATGACCAGCTCCGGAGCCAGTGTTTGATGCACTACCTCTGGAAGCAGGACCATCGAAACCACCAGGGAATTGTCGACCGGTACCGCGGCGAGATGAAGACTCAGAAGATCCTTCATTGCCACCACCGGCACGTCCAACACCACGACGTCTGGCTGCACCAGACATGACGGCGAGGAGTGATCAAGCCTGTAGATGAGTTTGTCAGTGAGAGTCAATTGATGAGAGATTGGCAAACATGCAGTTGTTTGCAGAATGACTGCCACGGAGCGAGTGTTACAGGAAATCTTGAGATGGGTAAGATGCTGAGAATGAAATGGGAAGAAGAGATGCCGGCTGGAACAATCTTGGGAGCAGAGGAAGAGAGGGTCTGTGTTGAGATTACAACGGGAAGAAGGTGTTGACTGCAGTCAATTGGGAGGAAGTTGCTCTTGTGGTATAGTGGAAGTGAAAGGCGCGTGGTTGCCTGCGGGGAGACGCGTCTTTTGTTTTGGGGCTGCGAGAGAAGCGCCGACCAGGTGACAAAACAACAGGCAAGTGAGTTACAATTGAGAAGGAAAGCAGTGGATATGAGATTGAGAGAAGAACTAGGAGGAGCAGAATTCCGTGAAAAGGATGATTTCGTACCTTGATGAAGTTGTTGTTTGTGGATAATGAGAACCAGCCTTGCTGGTGGAGTTGATGAGAGGGTGGTGCCGAACTTGGGTCAAGAGGACTCAATAACGGTGGAAGATGGAGAGATCAACAAAAGAAAGAAGGGTTGCTCTCTAGAGAAGAGAAAGGTCAGTGTTGTTGGAGTTTGACGATGTATAAGTGGGAAGGAGGAAGAGGGAGGGAGGAGGTGGTATAAATACCCTTGGTACTGTTGCACATGCTCGTCGCCATTAACACATGCTCAGAGTTCACATTGGCGACGTGGTCAAGTGAGATAACGAACCCTTCTTTGTTAGAGCAAGGGTTCACTTGAGGGTGGTGGATGGATGTGTGCTTGAGATAGAGAGATAGAGAGAGAGAGAGAGAATTGAATGAGGTGAGAGGAAGGTTTAAAGTGGGTGGGCAGTGAGGTTGCCTAAGAAATCTACTGCAGGGGTCCGGTGGTTACACAAAGAGACTTGGCCTGAGAGTTGCTCTACTCGTCGTCCACTAAAGAACTCCTGTAGCCTTGAGGCGGAACAGCACTTGCAGTAGGTGGTGCGCATATCCCTGCTGCACACATTTTTCCGACCTTTTGGCTTGAATTTACGGATACAGCGGTGCGTGGCAGTCCTAGGTAGGTACATACGTCTACACCGTGTTTGTCAATCATTTGAAAGCCTACACAGCCTCATATCACAAATCATGAGACTTCTTGCTCTTCAGTCAAAGAATTCAAAGAAATTGGTCTTAGACTCTTCCAATATTATCTATGGATGTTCCAGACCAGCTTAAGGTATGCTTGCAGCCTTGCTCAAGAGACTGTTTCCACCACCCCCGATGAAGTCTGAAGATGGCCCAATTGAAAAGCTTTTGCTCATAGTTTACACGCTCAAAATGCCGCCAGCCTTGCTACCCATCATGCTACTGTCCCAAAACCTGAATTACGCGAAGCGAAAAGGAGCTGGACGCGTGTTAGCTGTGTTTCAAGCCGTAGGTCTTGACCATGACTTACCACCTCCATACTGAGGTTGTGTACCAGGAGGGACCGCAAAGCCTCCTGGTGGAACAGGTGGTTGTTGATGCTGTGGGTATGATTGCCATCCTGCAGCTTGAGGTGGTTGTTGTGCAGAAGGAAAATGTTGACCAGCAATGCCGGATGGTGGAGGTAGATGCACATCACGAATCATCTCGACTACTGTTGTCGGGTCAAACTTGACATCAACGTAGAGAGCGGCTTTAGGAAGAATGCTCAAGATGTATGCGATCTGTGGCGGAAGTGGAGGCGGGACAGCAAAGGAGGCCATGCTTGGAGGAGGAGGAGGAGGATTAGTCTGTCTTTGCTGTTGTTGAGCTTGTTGATTCATTCGACGTCCAGCTGCTCCCTTCAGAGGAGACTCGCCTCTTGCAAGCTTCCGTGGACCAACATCCTCAAAATCATCTGGGAAGGGTCGTTTAGGAGAATTTGTTGCGATGGAGTCGATCACTTTCTGAATTGGTGAATTGAAAGCCTCTTGTACTTCCACAGAAGGAAGGACTGAATCGGGAACTTGGATCTGTTGTGGTGATATCACTGGGTGCGCACGTGTGGCATCAAATGTTGGAGTACTATAGCGGCTGGTGAACAGTTGAAGTGTTGGGTCTTCAGGAAAGTGTTTCTTCATCCTGGCCTCCAAACTCTGAACTTGAGCCAACTCGCCGTATTTGGATTCATAATCATGAAGATAAGCAAAGAGTGGTTTCGCTGTGTTGGTGTTTCCACCCTCTTCATTTGTGAGAAGTCTCTTCACGGTGGTCTCGAAGACAGCACGTGCATTCGTCACGTCGTTGATTTCAAACAGATGCTTGATGTATTGAAGTGGAAGATAATCATCCTCGGGAAACAATTTCATGCCACGATCAAGGATCTTGGTACCTGTTGGATCACGATAACAATTCCACTCAATCCGAGCAGATTCGACGTAGAAATCGCTCGTCAACTTGCCACGTTTGCGGGCTTCACCAAAAACAGCTCGGAATCCACTAGGTCCTCGCTCTGTTGGTAGACCTTTGCCTTGTACCCGACGAGTGGCTCGCATCAGAGCAATCCAAACATGTGAAATCATTCGACTAAGAAGGTCAGATTGTGCTTGAGCACCCTTCTTGATGATGTTGATCTGACCATCGAGGGCGGCCTGTTTGCTTGCGACATTTGCTGCATTGAATTCATCTTCTTCAGTACCATTTCCTTCTCCATTTGTGGTCGAGGAAAGTTCGGCTCTCTGGATGTCTTCCTTTTCTCGGATCGATACTTTCTTCACCTGTTCGTAAAGAGCATCCAAAACTCCATCGTATGGTTCTCGAATCTTCTTCATACGATCTTTGGAACCCGGATCACTTCCTTCATCATTCTGGGTGGAGCCTTCAATCCGATCTGCAAGTTTGAAAGCGAGAAGTGGTGATTCTGGGTTTGCTGCAATACCCTGATTCAGAAATTTGGTACCTTCTGCCTCAAGCTCGTTGGCAAAGCAAAAGTCGGCAGCATCATACCACATCTCGGGCCAGAATTGCAAGGCCATCAGTGCCTGCTTGTAAGTGAACAATATTCGTGAACGATAAAGTTTTATGTCTTCATCCTTCAGAACAAGATTGTCGTCTTTCTCCCATTGAATCCACTGATTCCATAAGAAGACTTGATTTAGATAGGCTTGATGACCTTCATAACCCAGTGATGGAGGTAGACGTGGACGAGTGGTTCTTTGGATGTCTTTTGTGAGGTTTTGAAGCTGTGTATAACCAGTTCGTGCTGTCATATATGAGGGTGATTTCTCCTGGAGGTATTTACGACCCTTTTACTCATTAGTGACCCGTGCGCAATATAAGAGGGACTGAACCTACATTGATTTTGCTGAGACCAGTCTCGAAAGAATCATACTCTTTCCATAAGGCAGTGGTGGCGGCTGTGGGTACAGCAATGGCTTTCTGATATGCTTCTCGTAGAGTATCAACTTTTGCGGCATCTTGCCAACCAGAACCACCGACAGTACCAGGACCAGTTTTCAGGAAACTAATGTAATCTTGCCATAAATTTCCCGAATCTTTGTCCATACCGATAGTTTTGAGGGCAAAACTAAATGATTCATTGATGATCTTGTATGATCTTGCCACATCACCGGATTGCATGCTATTGCGGCGACGAATGTAACTGATATATAAGGACCACAATTGAACATCGAGCACTTCAAGAAGAGAACGGCTGAAAAGGGTTTCCATGGCATGCTTTCGATCGTGTTGTTCTTCATATCTCACATAAGCGCACCACTGTTCAGCCTGAAGGAATGGTCAGCTAGGCTCAAAGAAATATAAAAGGAAGAACCTACAGCTAGAGGGAAGACGGAAAGATATTGATCGTAAATTCGACGAACATCATCTTGTTTGTTTCGGTTCTTGAGTTCTTCAATCAATTCAAGATAAGCCGATGTATCACCTCTTGGATCTTCTTTGATTCGATCTTCCAAGATACCAACGATATCATGAGCAAGTCTCGATTTTAAGACAGCTGAATTAACAGAACCGTTCACATTCAAGCGAGGTGGAGAAGGTTGAGCTGAAACATCAAGGGTGGTGGATTGAGCAGGTGTGGTAGTTGCAGCACGTGGTGCAACTACATCATTTCCAATGGGAAGAGCAGAAGAGGAATTATCAGTAGGACTACCAGATGCCTGGACAGGAACAGGAGTGTTTCCATTTTCTTGTTCTGGTGACTGGGAAGTTCTATCAAGGGGTATTGCGGGGGCTGGTGTAGAGAGACCGAAATCTAATCCGATAGATGGATCATAGACATCAAGCTCATCCTTTTCATCCGGGGAACCATTTTCTTCTTCAACAACTTCATCGTCTTCTTCATCATCAACTTCAAAACCTCCGACTATGCGGGGTTGATTTTGGGTAGAAATGGTAGGATTGGGTGTTGTAGTTTGAGAAGAAAACTGGCTGGAAGTCTTGGTAGGAGGTGGATGAAAATGTGATTGTGTTGGAGATTGTATTGTATCAGGTAGATTATTGATTGAATTCAAATCATCAGACGATGATTCCAAACCGTTTGTGTCCTTCGGTATTTGTGCTACCATACCTGACGGTGATTGTAGACCCTGAGTAGGACTCGCCATGGCGAGGTCAATTGTTTGTGTCCTTCTAATCGTTTAGTTGAGAGACGTCGTCAAGATCGGTAGCTTGGAAGAGAATGAAAGCCCGAACTATGATGGTATCTGTTATTTACAAGTCAGGTCTGTGATTCGGCTCGCAGCTGAAGTCGTCCTACTTACTGGAAGAGAAGTAGCAAGACGTTGAGAGACTCGGCTACTGAAACAGCATGTGTTGCGCAAGCAAGTAAGAAGAAAGAAGTAGAAGAGAGCGCGACCAAAAACAAAGAAGTTCAAGGGAAGTGGTGAAAGACAGGCAGGAACTTTGAATGGGATGGCAGTCAGAGACATGAACACAAAAAGTGAGTCACGTGCTCTTCGGATAAACTGCCAGATATAGGAGAGCTGGTGCCAAGTTCTTTAGCTCGTCACTAATGACATTAGATTGGTCTACAGGGAATTGATGCGAACGGGAACGAGATTCTGGGAATTGGCCTTCTTCTGGACGCGCCACGCGCTTCATCTGGTGGTATCCACCTGTATTTTGTCAAATGCGGTGTCGATTGATTTCACTGCGCAATCCCACTTCACGTTTCTACACCACAACTATACCAACCACTTCTTCCCAGATCATTTCTTTCCTCTCGCTTTCATCATTCTCGATGGGGATTGATTTATCAAAAAAGTAACAACTTATTCTCTGAGACGATCGCAAGGACCCGCAATCCGCTTAATAGTCCTGTCCTCACCCCACGACAATGTCGGTAGTCTCTCTCTTGGGCGTGAAAGTCCTTAACAACCCTGCGTCATTCACTGCGCCGTATGAGTTTGAAATCACATTCGAATGTCTTGAACAACTGCGCGAGGGTAGGTTACCCTTCCCTCCCTTACGATGAGCCTCCGAACTAACCATTCACTACCCCTCCAGACCTAGAATGGAAACTCACCTACGTTGGCTCCGCAACATCTGCAGAACATGATCAAGAATTGGACTCCCTGCTTGTGGGACCCATTCCTATCGGTGTTAACAAATTCATCTTTGAAGCTGACCCACCCAATCTTTCTCGTCTACCAGCCACGGAAATCCTAGGCGTCACGGTTATTCTCCTGACTTGCTCTTACGATGGCCGTGAGTTTGTGCGTGTGGGTTACTATGTCAACAATGAATATGACAATGAGGAGATGAACAACGAACCACCTTCCAAGCCTGTCATTGAACGAATTCGCAGAAATGTTCTTGCAGAGAAACCTAGAGTTACGCGGTTTGCGATCAAATGGTATGTTGCTCCATGGGCGCGATCCACGATTCAGTCATGTTCTAACAGTTTCCAACAGGGATTCCGAAGAATCAGCACCTGCCGAATTTCCCCCTGACCAGCCCGAGGCAGATAGACTTGACGACGACGGAACAGGTTATGGCGCTGAAGAGGCAGAAATGCAAGCTGCTCTGGAACAAGAATTGGAAGAAACCGAAGCCAAGATTGCTCAGCCACAACAACCCAGCACAGAAGGCGACAAAGAAATGGCAGAGGTTGGTGTTGATGCCAAAGATCCCAAGGCTGATGAAGAGGATGAAGATAGTGATGCCGGAAGTGAGGATCTTGAAGAAGAGAGTTCCGAGTCTGAAGATGACGAGGAGGAGGAAGAAGGTGGCGAGGGCGAGGATACGGAGATGGGTGATGCTGATGACAAGACTGCTGCGACAGTCAATGGTACGAACGGCGATCAAAAGAAGGCATCGGCCACTTCTCAACCTGAGGTCATGGTCCATTAGTGACTTTGTTCCCTCTTGTGATCAGATCATCTCGGAATCTTCGGAGCGGAGCAAGGCGTCTGGAGCTAATGAACCCCCTTCTTTGAATGAGCTTTTAATGAGGAGATTCGACACGGCGGTATGACAGTGACAGTGAATGGGAAACAGCAATGCAAAAACAACGAGAGTACAATTGAGCGATGAATCGATCGCTCTTGATTGGATGGATAGAACGGATTGAATTGAGAGTGTTGCTTTCCAGTTCACTCACCAAGACTTGCAATTGGATACATAGAACAAAATACCTGTTCATAACACAAGACCTGAAATATGCAGACCTAGAATTGAACCAAACCAACACCTCCACTTCCATCATCATCATCGTTCAAACTCCACTCAAACACCAGAATATACCGCCGTGACATGTCTACCACATTCAATTCTCTGCTCCATGTTGACCTTCCGGCCCTTGACCTTGACCGCATGCTTAGGTGTCGCATGGAAGCGATGTTCCTCTCTCCTACCCGCCTCGATCTCAGCCGCCATATCCAACGGACGGATGTACTGGGGCGTGGCGACGTTATTGCGCTTCCCACTACCAAGCTGGTAGTACTCGTTGCCGCCCCACCAGAGCACATCGGCACCCCAATTGGTATCGTTCTCCGTGCCCTTCTCGTTCGCGTCTAGATACGTCACGTTGTCCATGATTGCGGAGACGTGGGTCGACCCGACCGAGATATGAGCCATGCGGATCGGGATGGTGACTCGTTTCACCTCGTCGTATTCGAATAGGCCACTTAGACTGGGGATTTTGGTTGGTGCGTCCTGAACGTGTGTCCATTTGCCATTGCCGAGTGATCCTCGAAGACCGGCGCCGGTGGCCCATACGTCTGCTGTGATTCGGCCTAGAGTGCGAATCTCGGCTGGGTCTTCGGACGGCCCGGCCACACGGAGGGCGTCAACAGAGAAGAAGCTGTTGGTGCCGCCTGCAGAGATGCTGGTGACTTTCGGTACTTGGTTGGTGCCTTGATAGAGTCGATTGACGGGTAGAAGGGATGGGGTATCGACATATGGGGCCTCAGAGTTATAGTTGAACCCGAGCTGTCCGGAACTGTTGTCGCCAAATGAGAAGACGCGACCCTCTTCATCGAGTGCAAGGGAATGGAAGTCTCCAGTGGCTATTTGTTTGATTTTGAACCCTCGTAGGGTGGTCAACTCATGACACATATCATACGGTCCTTGTGGCCGCGTGAGCCATGTTACACCGGGAACACCAAGCTGACCTCTGCTTGGGAAATTTTCTGTACCTGATGCTGCAGAAAAGACACGGCCTTTATTTGTGAGGAGTAAAACATGCTCGAGACCACCGCTTATACTCGTGACCGATTCACCTCTTGCGAGATTCTGAGGTTCAAGGTTTCTGTAGCTGGTGCTGGAGGTAGAGCTTAGAAACGGAATCCAGGAACTTTCACTGGGTTTGTGGCCGATTTCTTGATCCGATTTGGAAGCTGGAATAGAATAGACCGTCCCATTCTTCGAGAGTCCTATGACTCTGTCCCTCGATATAGCGATCTGCTTGAGATCTTTGCCTTTGAGCGTTACTGTTGGTTGAGCAATGTCCTCCGAAAAAGCTTTTCCCCACTGAACCAAATCTCCATTCTCGAGAATTGCTGCCCCGAAGTTTCGATCGAGTTTGAGATCCCGCAACAAGACATCATCAAAATATGCTAATCGTCGAGGAGTCTTGACATATGCATCGGTGGAATCTGGAGCAGCAACCTGAGCTGTATTTGAGCCCCATATGTATACACCTGGGTTTTCCCAGCTCTTTTTGACTTGCAGATGTTGTGAACTGATGAGATCTCTATTCTCTTCTTTTGAAACACCTTTTTTCTTTTTGGACTTTTCGATCCTAATCTCCGGGGGTTCAGATGCTGGAACTTCTGTCGATACTTGGGTAAAGGGACTTGTGCTATAAATCAGTGCTACTGTAGCAGCGGCAGCAAAGAGGACAACAGATTGTTGTTTCCATGGTCGATGAAGGTGGGAATGTCTCGTGGTTCTGGAAGAGAATGCTCTTGATCTAGGAAGTAATTGAGGACATTTGGAGTTGATAGTTGTCGATCTTGATGATCGCGTGAGTTGGTGAATGGTCGATGTTCCTAGAGTTCTAGACGCCATTGAGAACACTTGATCGGGTACTCAACATTTCACTGTCGACCCGAGTTCAGACAAAGTAGAAGATGCGTTCGTGAAGTCGAACCTGTAGGTACCAAAATGGTCGTATTCGTAAATGTAGGACGTCATGCAGTGTCTCACGAACTCTACTGAGCGAGTCAACTCACCGCCTTGGCTTTGAAGCGGCAGAATAACAACCCACTTCGAGATGTTGAACTTGACGAACACATGGGAATTGCATAATTATGTGGACGTCTCTCTAACGGTTTGGTCGTTTCAATCATGATCCTTATGGCATTGTCCTCGATTTCTTTTTCCATATGACTCGAGATAGATCTTCAATCATTTCGTGGCTCAAGCCATGGCCTTACAAGAGAATTCCAATAACCAACAAGATGCCACCATAGCACAACTCGAATCCGCTGGAAATGAACTCGATCTTCTGAAATTGTCCGGTGACATAGATGCTCATTTGTTGGATGCCAGTTTAGATGAATACCAGTATGATTCTATTCTCCTTCTGTCCCTCTATCATCGCTAAGAATGACCGCCTAGGTATTATCTCGATCAATTGGAAGCCACCCGTTCTCATCTCGATACCATTTTAGCCGACACGGCCGCGATCCTCGATGAATTATCTGAGATCTCCGCCTCATTCAAGAGGATTGATGTCCAGACCAAGACTTTTCGCAAGCAATCCGCCGTAATTCTTGAAGAACAACGTAAAAATGACTCCATCGCTCAAGAAGTTGCCGACAATCTGCGGTTTTATGAACCTTTGGAACGTATCACCAGAAGACTCAATGCCCCCGGTGCTGGAGCATTTGTTCGAAGTAAAGATTTCTCTGATATGCTTGTCACATTGGATGAATGTATCGACTATATGCAGACACATACCAGTCATAAGGAAGCGGAAACTTTTCGATCCCGTTATAGGTTGTTATTGACCAGAGCACTCACCTTAGTTCGAAATACCTTTATGGCTGGAGTCAGAGAGACAACAACCGAAGTTGCAGGAAGGATAGCAGCTAAACAACTGAATGATACCACCATGTCCGCATTGTTGTATGCCAAATTCCGCGTGGGAGCAGAGGAGATGAAACAACTTGGACTGGAAATCCAAAAGCGCGCCAATCCTCCTGTGGACGCAGATCCCGGTACAGAAGGGGAATATCAAAGTCTGATGAATGAACTACATGCCAGCTTTGCTGCTTGTCGAGCCAGATTGATCTTACCTATCGTTCAAAGGCGACTCACGGAAATTGGACAAGCTCCGAGTTCTAAAGATCTTGTTCAGCTTGCACGCTCCAGTATTAGTTATGTTCGAGGCATGTGCTTGGATGAATTTGAACTCTGGGGAGAATGGTTTCATGGCTATCGGGGATTATATGAATTCCTCGAATCCATCTGTGAGCCACTTTACGACCATCTTCGTCCACGCATCATTCATGAGAACAAATTGTCGAAACTTTGCTCTCTTGTGACGTTACTTCAAACGAGATATTTACATGATGAGGAAGAGGATGGTCCAGTGGACATGAATCAACTTGATTTCTCCTCTCTGATTCAGCCAGCTTTGGAGGATGCACAAACTCGTCTACTTTTTCGAGCACAGGCAATTCTTCGAGATGACATTGAAAATTTCAAACCAAAGGCCGAAGATCTTGATTATCCACGACTCACTTCAAGACCACCCACAGCGAATACACCTCTTTCTGGTCGTCGGAAATCACGAGATCCGTTAACACCTAGGACTCCGGAAATTGCTGATGAAGATTCTGGAGATGAGGGTGCCTTTTCTTGGACTATTGCGTCCCGTCGTTCAGGACTTCAGAATTGCTATCCTACACTTGCGAAGGCGATTCAACTTCTTTCTCGGATATATCGACTAGTGAATTCTTCTGTTTTCGATGATCTTGCACATCAAATTGTTCATCAAACTACCATTTCTCTCCATTTGGCTTCACTACAGGTTTCTTCCAGATCCTCTGCGGCTGATGGACAACTCTTCCTCCTACGGCATTTGCTTCTTCTGAAGTCCCAAATCGTGGCATTTGATATCGAATTTGTGACTCCTGATGTGTCGTTTGACTTTTCTGGTGTCGCGAGCACGTTTTATGAATTACGTGAGCGAGGTGGTCTTTTCAATCCTAGGAGTTGGATGAAGCTTTTCAGCACGGGAGGACTATTACCGAGAGTTGTTGAAAACATGCTAGATGCAAAAGTCGAGCTTGATGGTCGTCTCCGAACGGTCATTAATGATTTCACCGCGGGGTTTGCCAATGATATGACAAAGGAATTACCCAGGGATATCGACAAAGCGAACGTCAAGAATGATAGTCTGGATAAAGCCGTTTCCGCGACCCGGAAGACCGTCGAGGCGGAAATCCCCATCATTCGCGCCAAACTAGAACAATATATTGATGACATCCGCACTCGCGAGACGCTGGTCGCTGCCGTAGAGGATCAAGTCGTGCAGATCTATGAAGCGTTTTTCGATGGCTATGTCAGACGAGTAGGAGGGAACGGCAAGATGAACGGCGCGAATCAGATATCCCGTAAAGGCAAGGGGCCGGAAAATACTGTCTGGGACATCGATACGTTCGCCGAGTGGGCTGAAGGACTCTTCAATGTTGCCTTGCCCAATGTCGAAGATGACGCGGAGAGCAATGTCGTGAGTAGGAGTTTGTCCAGGAGCGGGAGTCCCTAAGATAGTGTCAGACCTTCAATCGAGTGAATTTCCAGATCAATCATGCACAGTCTTCCCACCGAGATTGACCTTTCCCCTTCCAGCGCCTGTTTGCAGCTTTTGGGCACGCTCAATCCATGTTTGAGCCGCTGCAGAGATTCCTCCTGACATTGTACATTCACGAGCAACGACTTTCTCCGCAACTGTCGCTGGATCGGTAGGGTTTTCGGATTTACTCTGTGACTCCTTCCTCCCTCTCGTAGCAACACTCCTGCGATTTCCCACAATGCCAATATTCCTCGTACTCGGGATCCTCATGAGCGTGACCTCGGCTTGCATACCAATTTCCTCGGTGATGCTCACCACCTTCCGTGTCAGACAAGCATACATGCTCTTATCGTCCGAGTGATTGGCTGCTTTCAGCTTCGCTGCACGTAACGCTTTCAAATCACCTGTTGCAGGTTGTTCTTCTGCACCATTGATTTTGGAGTCGGTTTTTGGGTGGCTGTCTTTTGGTTGGTAGCGATGCTTGGCGCCGCTGAGGGCGTGTGAGCAGCAGGGGATAGCGAGGAATGGGAGAGGTGAATTTGGAGATGAGAGTGTGGCCAGTAGCGGGGTCCAAGGTGTGAGTTCGTCGGCATGGTTGGAGATGATGAATGTGTTGGGTTGGAAGAGGCCATTGTGCACTCTGGCTTGCGGTAGGAAGTCGGCTATATCGGATTTGAGAGCGGATATGAATGGTTGTGGGACACAAATCATTTCGTCCAGGTGGTCATCCATGCCTAGCACTTCCCATGTCTTTCGCCTTCGAGCATCAAATCCACGTCCAGGATATCCTTCTTGAATCAAAATGTAACTGAGGACGCCGTTGCCACATGCAACGTCAATGAAGCCTGGGAAGTCGGACGGGGTTTCATACATTTGTCGCCAGAGTTCGATCAGGAATGCGGCGATAGAAACGTCTTCGAAGACGTGCTTGGAGGGTTCAGTCTGCTCGACCCAGCGTGATATGAGGTCAGGGGCATATTTCTGCTTCAACCGGCTGTAGGTATCCTGAACGGTATGTTGGGGGAGAATTGTGTCTTTTATTGCGGATGGCGCCAGGGAGAATCCTTGTCCATCTTCTACCTGTCCGTTAATAGGTTTTGTGTCTGGTGTCGGACCTTTTGCCAGTCGAAGGAATGTTTGCAAGAGCGATATGAACGTCCGGTGAAGACGGAGCGGTACCTCGGCGTCAGGTGTGAATGACAGGAAATGAATTGACAGTGATGGTCCGGCCTCGGTCGTCTCATAGAGATAAGCCATGGCTTTGATAGTAGGATGATACCAAGGCATAGCATTCTCGGATTCCACTTGGGGGACATAGACGACAATGTGACCTGTGATGGTGGAAGCTGGCGAAAGATCATACAGGTAGCACCATTGCTCCAACGGAGGGTCGAGCTGCGCGTTCCTGGGTATCAATCTTCGCAAGACGCTTCGTTTGAGGATGGCGCCATCAATGACTGGGGCAGCTGCATGTTGCGGCAAAGGATTGGTCGTTTCCTCCACATCGCCAACCGTACCATGGGTTGTACCATTTGTGCGAACAACGAAGGCTTTTTCCTTCTCCAACGCAGTCTTCAGATGTCCCGAGCTATCGAATAGAATGTCCGCACGAAAGAGGTGTGTTGAGTTCAGATTAGGACTCTCAAGTAGGAGGTCGTTCACCTGAGCGAATATGGTTCCCGAGAGGTTGGGAGAACCTTGTCTATAGTTTGAGTCGGTCCTCCAAACCACATCTCCGCTGGTTAACATTTTACGTGCATTATTGGGTCTTGAGAGAAGAGTGTTCTTTGATGGAAAGGAGAACAAAAGTTTGAGAAGTTGAGTACGAAATTCCGCCGTTGTCTGTCTTTACAAAATATTCGGCCCGACGTATCACTTCGCATCATTCATGCTTCAAGACAACAGCGTCACACCGGCCATCAGTACATGCAAGCATACACAAATCTCTCCAGCCACATTTATTGACGTTGTTGGAGATCGCAAGTGATATCTCCTTGCAGTTTCTTAAAGTTGAGGCTACTAATCACTGAGTACCTCTTTCCCAGTAGATATCAAAATTCGTTGATCATCCAACTACGTCTTTTGGCTGATACTTTACCCTGTATTGAATTGTTGAGTACGGCGAGCGACAGGGTGGGAAATCAGGTTCGTGATCCACGGATTCTGTCATGCACTCGGTGAGTGGAAACTTACACTTGTGAATGTCAACAATAAATAGTAAGCACTTGTATCTTGAAGAGCAAAAGTTTTCAATTCCCTATGGAAAATGCGTGTACTTGTGAGAGACAAGCCAAAAAAATTCGTTCAGAAATGAGTGGACGCTTGGAATAACCTCTCCAAGCCAGTACGGCCGTTGCTACTCATGTAACTATTCCAAGTCTGCCTCTCCATTACCTTCCGATGTTTCGTCTTCATCTTTGTCCGTCTTCTTTCCTTGTGGTCGAGTTAAGGCGCTCGCCGGTGTCAGTGACTGTGACGGGAAAAGCCCACGGCGTAATCCAAAGCCCGAACGATGTGGCGACGGTGGAACCAGTCCGTGCAGAACACTCGAAACCGCTCTGGAACTGGCTGGCCCTTCCAGACTCAATATCGAGGGCAAAGTAGGCCGCTTCCGACCCGAACCGGTTGGTGACCCATGGTATGAGGAGTCTTTTATGACAACACGCTTGGCTGGCCCTTCTGCCTTCAAGCCACGGGAGGGAGGGTCGTTGATGACAGAGCTCTGCACATTGCCCTTCGTCGGGCTTTCCAGTGGGGACGGGTTTTCTGGCAAGGGGGGGATTGTGAATGTGGAGGGCTCTGTACCGAAGCCAACGCTGAATGAAGCGTACTCATCAACTCATTCTCAGAGCTAGTCGTGACATCGTATGCCATGGACATACCAATGTGCTGAAGGACGCTGTTTGCAATATAGCAAACATGCTATCACGGTTGGACTCATAGTACTGTTGAAGCACATCGAGGACCAATTGGAATCCTGCCGCACTAGGCTCATCAGGGTCGATTTGTGCAATTCCATCGTCCGTCAATGCCTGATAGGCTTGAACGTCAAGCGGACGCTCAGGAGAATCTGCAATATCATCTAAGATCAACTGCCGACCAGCCTCATCGATGCCATAGTCTCGAAGGTCCACCCAGCCAGGAACAAATCCGAAGTCTTCCGTTCGCACGTCGTCATCAAGCAGACCGGAACCGCTAACCACCTCGCGATCAAAATGATCTTCATCTTGTCCTTATATCGCTACAAAGGCGGGCTCCGAATCGGCAACCTCGTTCAAATAGCTGGATTCGTCCTCCATCTTGTCTGGAACTCCTGACTCATCATCTGGTTCGAACGTCGGAAAATGTTCCGGAAGCAATTTGCCTTCGGTGAGCTCGCTGATGGTAAGTGTAGGATCAACTCCATTGATGGAGGTGCTTCTGACTTTAGCGAGCATTCCGAACATCACAGGATAATATTTCTCATCGAAGTCATGTTTCATGGCATTGCAACCTTGGGTCTCCCAACATATATTGCACTTGGAGTAGTCGAAGACACAGGGACTACCTCCGGTAGGGTCCAAGTTGGAGATACCAAGGGCCATGGCTTCGCCGTGACGACGATGTCCGATTGAAGAGGAAAGCAGCCATCGAAGTGTTGGATGCGGGATCAAACCGATTTCGTCACGACCACAGCGATCAATAGGAATTCCGTTGTCAAGGTCCGACCTAATATTTCGAAACCATAAATAGGCCACAGCGACCATCAACTCCCCAACCTCAGCTGTCTCTCGGTTTGGGTTGTCTATCTCTCGCCAGTCGCATGTTCCTCTCATTCGTTTCAGCTTGGCAACAAAGAAGTCGTACGCATTCCCGTGATCGAAATCATCGGGCAGACCGCAATCCATGGCAAATGGGTGGAAAACGCCATTCTTTAACCACAACTGTGAGTGTTCGGGGGTTTCAAGACCACATTGACGGGCCGCAGCACGAATATTACTCATTATGTAAGTTCGCTCGTGAAACTGCCAGCCTTCCGGCCGACCGTAGGTCATCACCTCGTGGTTAGGATCTCTGAGGATGCGATACAGCGTTGATGGTTTTGTGATTGTTGGCAGTGCCTTACCCGTCCGTAGTGCATCCATGATCGCAGGCATATTTGATGGCTGCGGTTTGTTTATTCGTCGTCCAAGTCAACCATCAGCGAATGTTCCCATTGCGTAGCTGTTTTTCAAACAGGTTCTGAACAGCATCAATCCTCGTTCATAGAGCGACCTATCGTCTGGTGTATCATGGACAGCAATCACCATGGCATTGATTGCTCTCAGTAATACCTTTTCATAATGACGCAGCAGTAGATTGATTGCAAGAGAGCAAGGAACCATGTTATCTTGGTGGTGATATGATGTCTTCCCATCCCCACCAGGAAACATTCGGCAAAATGCATCCCAGGATATGGTCAGTGGGTTGGCACGAGCTTCTGAAGCGGACAGATGAATTGCGCAACCGTCTCGTGTCAGTTCTTGGTCGATATATGCATCTCGAACAGTAGTGTCATCCAAGAAAAACGGTCTAGTCTTTTTCATCAATGATTCGACTGTGGCTTGCATCTCAGACTTCGTCCAGCCAAGCTTGTGGGTCTTGTTGTTTGCCTCCAACAAGTGTATGGCAGAAGTACGCATGTAGCTTGTCAAATTCAACGGCATTTCGAATGTTATCAGTTGCTTTCGTCTGTCACAATAAGAACAGACTGGGTCTTTGTGATATCGTGATTCACAGAAATCATTACATGCTCTCATGCACCAGCATCCCGGACAGACATGCAAGGCATATCTACCACCCGTTCCGTGCATGCATGATACAATTGGATCACAGGGAATTTGATCCGCTGCGCGGTCCCATAGTGTTGCTCCCATCTCTGCACCATCTCTCCAAGCTTTCTCTACAGAAAGACCATGGTTGAGGCCCTGAAGGATGGAATCAACAATCCACCACACCTCATCAGTCGTAGGACTATCAAAGTTGATGGTCGAAAGTTTGCGAAGTGCACGATTCCGAAGCCAAGTCCCTGGCTCAAAGGTCAAGACTGCTCGATTTCGAGTCCTATTCTTCGAGAACTGACACAGAGAAGAGTCCCGCAAAGAGGCCAGAGGGTCAGTCGTACAGGCTTGAGAAGCAAATGTAATACATTCTTACGAAAGGCCTTGCCAAGCGCACGCTCTTAGGGCTGCAGCCTTTGCAAGCTTCATCACCTTTGCATGATCATCTGCTGCGAGGTAGAAAGATGGTACGTCACTACTATCTTCATGATACCAGCTGATATGTTGATCGTTGAAGTTTCCGCTCGGCTTGCATCTCAGGATTGTTTTTACATCAAGTTTCCATTTCGTCGCCCACTTAGAATCTGCCGAGCGAGTTTGGCCAGGGATATGCCCTTGTCCCTGTAGCATTAGAGAACAATTCAGCCGCTTCCGCTCATCTCGTTCAAGAATTGGAGACGATATAGAAATCAATGTCACAGAAGACTGTTCAGGCTGTGCCAAAGACTCATTGGAAACAACCGACAAAGCCCCACGTAGTATCCACAATCGATCCATGGCAGACATCGTTGAGGGCGGTGAATCTACCTTCTCTGCCAAGTGCCATAGAAAGTGTGCAAGGCGACAGCCGTGAACTGGCTTGATATTGAGATGCTTCAATCGATATGAATAGGATTGATCTTCGTGTTTCAGCGTAATTGTATCAACAATTTCTGATGTGGATGACACACGGCTTCGTAGTTCTGCAACAACCTTACGAAGGGAAGTGGCCCGGGAAAGCTTCTCGAGCATCTCAACAGTCTTCTCCGATGCATCAATGATGTATTTGATAAATGGCAAAGCATAAACGCATTGGACCACGCAGCAAGTGCAGTAGCTTCCGCCATTGATGCGGTCGATGGTAGCTGTTTCATTGATACTGTCTTCTTACGACGAATCAGTGGCGTATGGGCGAAGAAGGGTTTGAATTCATTTGTGTCGTCGGCCATTCCTTGTGATGCAAGACTACTTCCACTTGCTGGCTGGTTTGTGTCGCCCGCCATTCCTTGTGGTGTCACATGAATTCCAGGTGTTGGCGATGTTGTAGCGGCAGGGACTGAAATGACAAGGACATTCTGGATAACGAGGCGTTGTTTGTTGCCTGTTCCTGTTGATACCGGTTCTGCCTGTAGTGGGATGCTCCCAGCCTGATGAGTCTTTGAGAAATGCCCTTTGAGTGTTGTGACACCACAACTTCCACATGTCGGCTTCAACGAACTTGGAAGACTGTCGACATGTAATTGCAAAAGAAATAGATTGGTCAGGGTCCGCTGGCAAACCTTACACATACTGCGGCCGTGAGCATTGATTTCGTGTGAGTGTAGCTGGGCCATTGAAGGAAAGCATTGACCACAGGTGTGCTCCACATACATAAAAGGCCGGGCTGTAGTATGAACAAGACTATGCCTATCCAGAGCATCTTGAGCAGAAAAGAGGCACGAGCAGCCATCAAATGTACATGGAAGTCGCGTGCTATGTATGAGACGCATATGGCGCTCATAGTTGTCGAATTTCTAACCACACATGTTAACAATCTAAGCCGCCTGAGAGTAATTGATATAAGTTATCAGTTAGGACAGGTGCACCCCCACCCCCCAAGGGACTCTATCTGAGGACCGAGGGGGCATTCTACCACCTATGGCTAGGTATATATAGTAGGCTCCCGGCCCCTGAGGTCCAAGGGAGCCTATTTACTCGTACCTTGTCTCATATTGGGTGATTCTGGGCATGGGAAGGCTTCAAGGGCAACAACTCACAGGAAAATTCTGGTTACAGCCATCAAATTCGCAAGGGTATTAGATCACACCATGTTTGTTCCGCCAATGCGCAGTAAGGTTGTTTCCGGTGTCTGTACGGAAGTCACAGTTGGGTTTGCCACAAACGAAAGGAAAAAGTTCTTGATGCTCTGATTTCTGGTGCGCTTCGAGAGCTCTGGCATTAGAAAAAGACGCAGAACAGCCATTGTAGTTGCATACACTGTATATGGCCATGCTGTTGTCATACTGTTGTTTAGTTCTGCCATCAAAAAGAATGCTGCGGAGGAGTTGTGTTATAAGATTCGATACGGAGGGATTCATCTGGTGTTCACATATCACTTAGCAAGCACGGATCTTCCACGAGCTGCTTGTCGCTTGTAGCCTTGCCATCATCAGAGTTATCACCTACCCGTGATGGTATCCGTCATAAGTCTGTGGCCGTCACTGGCAGCCAATTGATGAAAGGAAATGGAGCCATCATATGGGACAACACATGTGATTCTCTCTGTATTCTTTGTCGCAATCAGCGATACCAAACATTGGTACTGCCGAGAAGTGAGCTGAGTACTTCGTGCCTGCATTCTAGAAACTTTCTGAGATCGGAGAACGGAGCCCTCATTGGCAACGACACCAGGCTACGGCATGCTGCTTGCCACCGGCCATCGCCCAACTGCGTTTTTCAGCTGATACTCTATCCTGTAATCGTTGAGCATGGCGGGCGTCAAGGAAGGAATACCGTTCGTGATCCACGCTTATACACTGGGTGCCTGCCAGTGTGGATTAAAACCTGGGCAAAATTCTTGCTCCTTCTCCCACGACTACCCTAGGGAGAGGCAGTATCTACTTTGCCTCCTCGCAGTACAAACATGGTTAAGATCCAGTTTGGTTGTTTGAATTTCAGATCCATGGGGGAGTCGACTCACCAAGATTCTCCAATAAAGTCCTCAATCATAGGACTTCATGACTCATAGCTTATGAGAGAAACTGTTTTCGTAGTACAAAGATTTGAAAATTTCAGAGCGGACATTCCGATCTGACACATCATACGGAACAGATACCAAGATCAGTAAACTTACCTGGTGGCTTCCCAAATGTCAATCATAACATCATGTGCGCATCCGAGAGCGGTCTCCACGCCAGCAAACTACCTAGGTGAGGAGCCTGATCCTTCTTCATCATCCAGAGCCACGTCCGAGCAGATAGACAAAAAATTGATTTCATAGTAATTAAAGTCAGTAGAATATTGTTGGAATCAGGCTGACAGAGGAACCTTTTCAGAGTCGACACTCCATCAGTACTCAGCGCCATTGTCTAACAATTTGGTAAGTCGACATCCCACTGTTCAGGATACGTACTAACTATTTCAGAACAGGTGAATCATGGAGTCATTGCAGCAGCAGTATTGGGCTCAGTACGAAGAAGCTGGTGAGCTTTTCATGCATGGTTCAATTGAAGATGGGCTGACGCTGTGTGTAAGTACCGTGTGGTCAATGATAACTGCTTCGTCAAGGCTAACAAATATTTATTAGCTGGATCTTCGACGCCAAGTCAAAATGGGACTTTACCTCCGAGCCATGGTCAACGCCGCTCTAGCAATATTCTCAGAGAATGCCGTTGACAAATCTGAGTATGCAACTGAGTGTCTTGACCTTTCCAACATGCTCCACAAACAAGCACCAGACGATGAGACAGCATGGCTCGTTAAGCACGCGGAGAACCTCATGAGCAAGACTAGTAGTTCTCATATCGAGATAGAGGAGGACCAAGACTTAAAAGATGACCCGGGAATCGTGACAGAGTGCTTCGGATCACCAACAGAGGTTGACAAGCCAAGTATCTCCTGGGAGGGCATGTTCACCAACCACTGGAAGGCGGCTAAGCGAAGTCAGCAAGATTAAGAGAGGAAGAAGAGTGCACTTGATGGTAAAGCGGACGCTGGAAGCAGTACTACGGTTCGGGTTATCGGATCGCCATCGCCAGCGCCAGCGCCAGCGCCGACCGTGGGAGGATCATTTGCCGGTATGAAACAAGAGGGTGGTGGTAGCGGTGAGGTGTTTGGTCAAGTCAAGTCTCCTTCACCTGCCCCGACCGCAACTGAAGATGAGCTTCAGGAGTAGCACGGCCAGTCACTGATTGTGATGAATTCGTCCCAATTCCTAGTGAGCTAAGTGCCTACTTCCAAGGTTGCACTTCGTATTGGCAAATGAAGGGATATTATGAAAGGAAGTTGTGGGATTTACTCAGAGATGCTGGTTCATTATCTCATTTCATGCCCAGCAAAAGATCATATGCAGTGGAGCCTCGCATCTACTTGAAAGTACTCGTCAACTATTTCGTACTTCATATGACTTCTTGTGATGAATGCACCTGTTGCCGTCTACTTCGAATACCTTTCAATGCGAGGAGCGGGGGACGCCGCTAGAAGACCAACCCCACTTTCCTGCTGGTGCCGCCTGTGATAACTATATTCGGAATAGCGCCATTTAGTATTTACATAATATGAGAAATATGTCCCACATTTTGTGTAAAATATGCCACAGAATTTGTAAACATATTCTACTTCAATGACTTCAGTTATTGAATGCCCGCGTGGCACAATTGGTCAGCGCGTATGTTCAGCCATAATATAGTATTAATAATTGATTACTAAGCAAAACACAGGTGAGACTTTTACTTGCTCTAAATAGTGAGATCTCAAGGTTGAGAGTTCGAGCCTCTCCGCGGGCGTTATACCCTACGTTTTTTTGCAATCGGCTCCGTTGAAAAATGGAGGGAGATATATGAAAAAGATAGCTAAACCTAAATTAAGAAATAAGACTAATCTAGTCTGAGACTAGAGCAAAACCTTATCAGTCACCCAAAAATCATAATCTTGGTATATCGCGTCATTTATTTTAGGCTACCCTACTGAGGTACTTACACGACCATGATATTCACTTAATTTCGTAATCGATATCAATGCCTTTGTAAAGTGATTAATTATCAATAGAAATCTCGCTGATTATTGCCACCGCCATGTTCATTTTCTTCGTTAACTTATTCCTAGAGCTCCACTGGGTACAGAACGACTGTCGTTAATTGTGGACCAAGAAGCCACCAACGATAGACAGATCCTGGAAGACCAATTGATATCTCGCTTCTTTGCTAGTACCATTTGCAACTGTTCACTGGGCAAGGTCATTGTCATCTTTGACAGAGGCCCGGGCAACAAGGGTAAGTACCCAACTGATCCGCAAGAAGCTTCTGCACCACATTCAGCCAGTGAGCACCTCGACCTCCGCATCGGCTCGTATGCCAGGGTCGTCGGCCGGGACAAGGACACCTCCCAATTCAACCCAATCACCCAATTGTAGATCATTAGCCCAGTCATCACCGGCATCCTCGTCGTCACATGCAATATCCTGGCCGAAGAGATTGCTATTGAGCGATGCTAGGAGGCCAGGTACTGCTTTCTTGAGGTTGTTGAGCACTTGTCGGCCATTAAATGTGCTCTTCGTGGCGAAAGGGATTAACTCGACTGTCTTGGTTTGGCCAACACGGTGAATTCTCGCGCCTGGTTGTTTCGCCGATCGACGCCAAAGCGGGAGGGTCCAGGAATGCGCCTCAGTGACATTTATGTCGGAGGTTGAGTCCACAGGACATAATTGCGTACGATCCGGTCAGCACCATAGGTGTTGCACTGCCTCTAGAGATCATCCTTCACCCACGGTTTCAGATGAGCGTGATAAACGGCCGTCGGGATTTGCAAGACATCCAATATCGCGAACAAAAGAACGTACAGGGCGGGGATGGACGCAAGGATAACCATCTTATCGGGTTTTTCAACAACAATCTTACTGACCAAGGCAATTATAGGACAGAGACTGCGCAAGTTCTGGAGGATTGCATGATCCGACAGAGTTATGTTGGATAGAAAGCGCATCGGAGATGACATGCCAACACTCAATCAAGGCACTTGTGAGTTCACTGCTGGAGAATTGGCACAGTCCGGAGAAATGGCGAAGATGCCGCTCCACAAATTCGTTCGCATTGATGGAGTCACAGACAAGCGATGGATCGCGAGGCTGGACGAATGGGACATATCGGGCCACATTCCGCACTGAGTTGATGTCTGGTGTTGCTTTGGACAGAATAGAAAACTCGGGCCTTAACCACCTACACACGGTATGTGCATTGGAGGAATGATCCTTCACCGGGTGAGCTTCGTCAATGATGACACACTCGAAGAGACCACTCGGGTTTTCCTCCCTTTTAATTTGGTGTGTCGATGGATTGCTAACACGACGGTTAGCAGCTGGCGTACTTGATCTAAAGTAGGACTTGCAACATTTGAATAACATTTTGCATTTCTGATTGTCTGGTCCAGTCCAAATGCTTACTCACAACCTCACAGAATCTCATCAATCATTATATCTGCAATCTGTACGCCTCAGAAAGCTCAAATTGCAGTCTCTCATATTCCGGAGCGCCGGTCATCCTGGCCGCGAGGCTTCGTATTCTGTATCCAAATCATGGGGTCATTGGACCAAGCATCCTTGTTTGCTTGTGCGTACTTGGCCATCACCAATTTTCCTTCTTCATATGGATATTTATTTGTGTTTGGGTCCTTGAACTCGCCAATGAGCGCCTCAACATCGCTTTGGACCAGCTTGAGGCTGGCATAGTACCTGCTCTCCCGTGTTGGCTGACCCCAATATTGCAAGATAGCTGCAAGTCCACCAACGAAGCTATTGGTGGCGCCGAGAATGATCACTACTGTTTTGACATGATTTCCTTCAAGGCTCGTGAGTACCGAAATGGTAATGCCCAGGCCCAACTGTAAGATCACCAGAACTACTGCTAGAGCCTTGAGTGCGTACGACAACACTTGATGCTTCCGGATTGACGAGAGGATCCTTGCCCAATCGCCACCCTTTTTAGGCTTGAAGCCTGCATATTTTGTGGATTCTTTCGGCGGCACTAGTTGCGCATTAGTCAAGTCTGCTTTTCGGGCCTGGAGTGATTTAAATAAGAGCATAAATAGCCTCTGGCCCTACCAATATCTAACCTTTCACAGAACTGATCGAGCTTGTTAGATCTGAGAGCTTGTTGATTGCGGTGATCATCGTCGCGACGGCCACCATTATGAACACTCCCACCCCCGTGGCTCGACTGTGACGAGTTAGAAACTGCGAGCAGTGGGGTTCCGTCGGTGGCACTCCCCGCCACTATGTCGTCATGAGAGAGATTGGCTTGGCCAGGCTGAGCATAATCTCCTTCCCCGTCAACAGGCTCAGATTCTGTCTTTCGCTTTTTCGACAGCTCCCTGGCCTCAGTGTGGGATTTTGAAGTTGCCATGGCAAATCTTCGAAGGGAAAACTGGAGCAACCCAGTGATGGAGGCAAGAGGACAAATGGTTCTGCTAACATGAAGTCCTATTCATACCTACCCACTACCCCGCAGTTTTCGGACCGTTCCGTGATTACACTAAATTTAGTGCAATGCCAGGGGAGAGTACAAGATGGTGTTAAAAGCACAAACTGGTGACCCAAGTAAGAGAAGTGATGCAGCTGCACTGAAAGTACAATCAAAGTGCGAAATCTCGTGATCCTTTCCTACCGAAGCGCCGGAATGGTGGAAATGAAACTCGATGTTTTCCCATTACCCCATGTGGCAGCCAGCTTTAAGGCGGCAGCGAGCCGAAAGCGAACAGCAGGCCCCTCGATGTAATAGCTTCAGCTGACTTACAAGAATGAGTCCCTTGATCCCTTGAAGCATAGAACATATGCCGTCCTTTCAGAATCCAGTAATTCTCTCTATCCTGTCGCACCACGTACAGAAAGGGCGAAATGCCAAGTGGCAGCTGAAGCCTTCAGAATACGGGCGCTTCCTCGTCGCCGCCATGGAAGACCCTTTGGATATATGGAAGATCCCATCCATCCTAATATGAAGGTCAAAATTTCCAGGGAATGGTCGATCCATCATCCATCGTTGCGAAGCTCTATCGCCGTTCTCGGGGTCGCCGAACAAGTCTGCCGGCGCAACAATCTTGTGCTTCACAGGAGTATTGGAGTAATAAGTGGCCAACTCGACGGATTGATGGTGAAGCAGGATGATAGTAAGAAATTTTCGAAGCGAATTTTCCAGGTCCCGCTGAAGTTAAACAATTTCTTCACTGGCCGCGATAAGGAACTTGATTTGAATGAGAGAATCCTCACAGAACCGAACATAACTGTTCAACGTCGCGTTATCCTTTGGGGTTGTGCTGGGGCTGGTAAGACACAAACGGCTCTTTTTTTTTTGCTCTGAAACATGAGAAAAGCTACGATGTGGTATTCTGGGTCGCGGCGAACAGTGCTGAAGTCTTGCAGAGGTCATTCGCTGGTTTGTCGAGGCATCTCACATTGCCAGAAGACGAATCCTCCGACCTAAGTTCTAACTAGACCAATCTTCAACTAGTCACTCAAACCTCACTTTTCCCCATCACCTCTTCTGTAGGTTGTGCAATATTATTCTGGTAGTCGTCATACCCAAGCGAGCAGAACCAGTTGATGCTTCCCACAGAAAACACGGCACCTCCAGCGTCCGTCTTGTAATACACGATAAAAGATCGAATCTCATCAGTCTGTGTACCTAGGGTTTTAGTATCGGAAACATGGTACGTTCTGTGCCGATACTAAAAGTATCCGGGTAGCCAATGCTCGTGGCAACCACGACGGCATCTGCAGGACTGCCGGAGGCGATATCGTATGAGTCGATCTCATCCCCATTTGCACCTCCGCCGAGACCAAATTTACCTATCAGGTCAACTTCAATATCATTAAACATCCATGTAAGCTCTGGGGCGAAACTGGATTCGGTTCGTTTGTAGGGGACACCAGGGCCAGTGCCTTCGGCATTGAAGGCGACACCAAAGAGGCCATGAGAGGAACAAGCGCGTGATCTCCACAACCCGGCTTGCATACCATTGACCGATAAAAATCGCTCACCTCCAGGCATTTTATGTGCGAACTCCTTGATCACCACGTCGTATTTCAAGACGTTAGGGTCGGTTAGCATCAACGCCCGCTACCCAGTAAAATCCCTTGCCACTGAGGTACATCAGATTACCACCTTGTGCTGCATAGTCTTGATATGCATCGTAAGATTGTAAAGTAAGGTACTCCAGTTGACAGCCAGTCATGAGAGTATTGTAGTGTTTCAGTACATCAAGGCCTTGCTCGTGAAGATCATGATCAGTCAGGATATCATACGGTATATTTTCTCGTTCCAAGAATCCTGTCATCATTGATTCTGCGCTCAATTCGCGAGGTCGGTCGAATGCCCACATTCTGTATCCAGTGCGAAAGTTTAGGATACGGCTTTGGGTGGAAGATAACACCACACCAGATCCGTCCCTGTGAACATCATAAGTCGATAAGCCAAAATCTGGTCGACGGATCAAACAATGAAAGTCCTCTGTCCTTGGTACTGTCGTCGGGTCGAAGCCAGGTCCAACGTCAACAAGAGTCGGGCCACCTGGATCTGCCAGCTTTTCATTCGCGTATGCCAAATAGGTGAATGTGGAAAGTACCAGAGCGGCTCTAGCACCGACAACCTTGGTAGTATCAGGAGTTGGACGCGCAATGAAAGGGACGAGATCCGTAGTCTTGCTATTCGACATGATCAGCTCGACTGCGCAGACTCCTGAAGGAGCTGTCGCTGGGAATGTTGACATGGGAATCGGTTTCCCGTTGAGCATCATCCAGATCATCCTCATGAAACTGAATAGCCCCATATCCTGACTTTGCTCGAGTCCACTCTACCTCCTCTCCTTTCCAATCATAGCCTGTGACTGCTCTGGTTGGGGCATTGACTCGTGAGCCATGATATCCACTCCCTGAAATATCAAGTATCGTGTCCTCGGACATATGAGCAGCAAAGTCGTACTTAGCTATAACCCTGCCAGGACTTTCAGAAGTGCTGAGGGAGAAATTATCAATACGACCATTGAAGAGATTAGTTGGTTTTGGAAACTGATTGTTTTGCAGTTTCGGCGTACGCCGTGCTTATTTAACAGCATGTCAGTGGATGAATTGGGAATGGCGGCCGCCTTCAACGCAAAAACGCCTTTGAAAATGGTAGGAGTTCTTTCCGCTATTTATGGTAGCTGTTTGAGAGTAAAGGAGCACTTGGTCCCATTGAGAATGAGCTCAAGGTGCACCCAACGCTGAAGCGATCTGATTGGTTTCTGGATTCAAGCGAGGGGCGAGGAGTTGGGTGAGACCACAGGGATGAGTGCGGCGAATTCGTAAGTACGAAACCTAGCGTCCTTCTTTTTGGTATCGCCTTCCCTCTTCCATCACACTCGATCGCGTTTTGTGGTGACTATTGGGTGACTATTCCTTCGCTTCTTCATGACTCAGCAGTTCGTGAGCATTTCCGATGAGATGCCACTTCGGGCCACCGCCGGCTCCCGCTTCTCCACACTCCCCCATCAATGGTACTATGAATGAGCTCAGAAAACATTCATCGCAGAAGGTCGAGGCCCTCTCTGTGAAGCTGCGACCCGGACCCTTCGCCAGCACTCTCTTCCTGCCTTCAAAGGTATGCGACGCAAGTCCCCCTTTCCAGCACTACGCCCTTTCCTACTACCCATTCCCTGCCTCGTAAGGTACTCGATGCAGATTTCCCTTTCCAACATCACACCGCCCCCGCCAGTAGACAAGTGAGGCTTCGTTCACGGATCTGGGGGCACTCGTTCCGAATATTCACCATCTCAAAAAGATTATACCGTCGTGACAGGCTTGAGGAGGATACCGATACCTCAGGTCCTCATATCCGACCCATGACCAACGGACTGGAACCGACCATGAACCAGGCCCAGCAAGGTCTGGCCTTCCGCCAACTTGAGATCCATTGGAATGGAGGGTTGATTACAGCGTCTGTCGCCGTTTCTTTCCTGGGTGCCTTCACGACCACCCAGATGCTGTGTCAAGCACGGTCTTCTCGATACTTTTCAGGTGTTTTGGTCTGGACCATATTGGGGAGCTTGACTTTTGGCTTCTGTTCAATCTGGAGTCTACACTTCATCGCCATGTTGGCGTGCGAGCTTCCTCTTCTAGTCCGGCTGAATGTCCCGTTGACTGTCCTAAGTGCTATTCTAGCCGTGACCTTCACGTTCCTCGCCTTCGCTTGGGTCCTGATGCGCGATGGATATCTACGCTTTTTCAGGAAGAGGAAGCCGAGGACGATCAAGCGCGAGAGCAGAAAAGAAGTGGCAAAAAATCTCACTGGTAGCACGGAGGCTCTCCTTGAAACGCGAGCCTCGGTGGAGTTTGAACCGGATGAATTCACTTTGACAGAGCACACAAATGGGTCTATACGTCCATCCCTGGCTATAGACGACAGCGGAGCAAGCAGGACCTTGGGCCCTTCGGAAGACCATTTCGCAGGTGGTATGTTTCCAAATGACACTTCCACAGAATCTCTCCATTCGCCTCAACGGCTACTATCACAGCTAAATGGGACGTGGAAGCCACCCTCTTCCTACGATGTCAATGAATCTTCCATCGTAGACGAGTCTGTTGGCGATACCGAAAGCCACCCTAGGAGTTCGGGTGACCGAGAACGATCTCGTCGCTCCTCTTCAACAAGTTACTCAGATGGAAGTAGTTTGAATCTTCCAGGATTTATGAGCGTCAAACTCCCCAAGAGTATTGCCAGCTCAACCACCAACGTTCTCATCGGAGTCGTACATGTGCTGTACCGTGGTGCGACATGGAAAAACGTTGCGAAGGGGTTCACTTGGAGCCTAGCAAATTCGAGTATGCACTACGTAGGCATCTTCGCTCTGAAGATACCTAAGGGCCATGTCACACTGCAACCCATGGCAGTACTTCTCTCTGAAATAATCAGCTGGATTGTATGCACACTGGGCTGCATCTTGATTCCTCACGTCGAAGTCGATCTCTCACAGCAGCTCATTTTCTCGGCCGTCGTTGCGGCCGGTGTTGCCGGTATGCATTTTACTGGAATATGGGCGGTGACTTTCTGGTCTGAAGCGGACGAGACAACAGAACAAGGATACCCTCCTAATCTGGCAGTAGCCGTAACCAGCATTGCCGTTCTGACATGTATGCTTGCGAATGGCCTACTCGCACATTCTGCCACACTGGATCGAAATAAGCTGGTTGAAATCGTCCAAACGAGGAGGAAACTGTGGGCGGCTATTGCACAAAAAGAACATGCCGAGGCTGCTGCGGCAGCAAGAAGCGAGTTTATCGCCAGTGCAAGTCATGAAATTCGAACTCCTCTACATCAGTTACAGGGCTATAGCGACCTCCTCTCTCGAACGACATTGAACGACGAGGGGCGACTACTTCTTCTCGCGATACAACAAGCTACTAGATCGCTTTCTATGATTACGGCTAACGTTCTTGACTGGTCACGCTTAGAGAAGGGGGAAGCTATATATCGACCGACTAGTCTAGACTTGAGAAAAGTCTGTGAATCTATCCTTAATATTTTACCTGGTAAGGACGATGAAGTTAATATGGAACTAATGATTGTCGTGGCTCCTGATGTTCCACAATCCCTTTTCTTGGACGAGATATATCTCCAGCGAATCTTGATGAATCTACTCACTAATGCTATGAAGTTTACTCAATCAGGGTATGTGATGCTCTTAATAGCAACTAAGAACGATAATTTAGTGGTTACAATCAGGGACTCTGGGTTTGGTATCCCTGAGTCCTTTTTACCGCATCTTTTTGAGCCATTTAAACAAGCCCAGATTAGAGGGGCTCAGAGAGGAAATGGTCTCGGCCTCGCTATTATTAGGCAACTATTACAGAAAATAGAGGGAACCATTACGGTAGAGAGCAACTGCCAACAAACGGAAAATGTGGGAACGGAGAAATGTGGCAGCACCTTTACTGTCAGGATCCCTGCCTCATTTCCAACGAGTGCCGAGGACAGTCTCGGCTCACTAGGATCGAACGGTCAATTGGCCCTGCTTCTAAACCACAATTTTCGATTCGCCGAAGGGTTCCAGCTGGCATGGAAAACCTACGGATTCGACTTGATTCTACCTGATCTAGGAGACGAAATACCGGACTCCTGGAGATACATATGGACCGATTTAACATTTCTAAGGGCACACACCAAATTACTACACCAGATAGTCAAGCTCCGAAACCAATTCGTCCTTGTATCATATGATTCGCAGGCACTTTTGGAAGATTCGTTCGGACCCATTCCTCTGCCACATATCATACCGGTCAAGAGGCCATTTGTTTGGCATCGAATTGTTGAGAGTTTGACATTGGCCGTCCGTACGGGTCGATCGTCAATTGGTCGATCGGTTCGATTTGCACCGCTGGTCGATATTGTACCCAACGCGGCACCGCGTCAACCGAGCGAGACGGTGCCTCTGTATGGTCCGACCGTACTCCTTGTCGAAGACAATAAAATCAACCAAAGACTAGGTGTCAAAATGCTGAGGATGCTCGGGCACAATTCTATCGTGGCAGATGATGGTCAGGATGCAATCGATAAACTCGTCGAACATAGTCAAGATATTGCTCTGATACTGATGGATCTGTCAATGCCACGCATGGACGGCATTACGGCCACTAAGCGGATTCGAGAGATGGAGCAATCAGGGCTACTTCCTCGGACCAGATGCCCCATCGTCATGGTCACGGCAGAGGTCGGTCCAGATGCGCAAGCTCTGTGTATGTCAGCAGGGACAGACGCGTTCGTTCCAAAGCCTTTAGCCTTGTCAAAGCTCGAGAACACGCTCAAAAAGTTCCTGGGCTGAGGTTTGACACATTGATTGCTTATTCTGCAAAGCATGCGGGAGTGCCAATACTGTGTACGTGACTGTCCACGGTTGTACTGTGCCACAATCGAGCTGTATGGAAACCAGCTTCAATCAAAAGGATATTGTATAGTCTAATCAACGGGGCTGGAGGAATTCCGCTGGCTTCTCTACGAGCGCGAACTCTCGAGATTCTGTCTTGAATGCCGCAGACCCATTGAAAGTCGTGGCGGTATAACTAGAATTGCTCGGCTGGTTTATACTGCTTAGAAGGTGGAATGTATCAAAAGTTGAGGAAACAGGCAATTCGACGTCGGAATCGCGATAGGGGCATTCTCAATCTTGAAGATCTAGTCTAATTCTATGATATAGCTAATAATTTTATTGCTATATTCCTTAGGGACATCCTCAAAGATACTTATGTTAACATCGCGAACTAAATGACACCGTTGCTCAAATCTTGACAGTAGTCTTGTCATCATAGGTGTGCTTCGGTGCTGGTCAATGCTTAATTTCTCTACCAGCACAAGTCCGAAGATGAAGCCGCGGGTTTCAAAGCACCCCGGCGTCGTTCTATGTCAAATCTTTGATACGACACAGCAGACTACATGGGTCAAACAAGGAAAAAGACGAGGAACATAAAGACAGGCAACCGATTATGGAAGTGGAGAAACAAGAACAGTAAAGATTGAGACGGGATGTACAGATCCACAAATTCTTGGGACATGAAGATTGCCTAAATAGGCATATCAAAAGATCTGGGGGTGGAGAATTTGCTAGTGCGGGTTGGAACGGCCGAGGCGCATTATTCGATGGTCAATTGTAAGCCTATCTACCTAGGTAGTTGTGGCATAGATTCCAGGCTTGCTCTTGTTGGTCACCTGGCTGTCAAGATTGGCCAGCTCCATGAATACTCTCTTTCCTATGAACACCTTCACCTCTGTTTTCGGCGGCACACTCAGCACTTTGGTCTCCACTTCCAGATCCCCTCCCTGACCTCGTTCCAGTTGTGTTGTTTGATGCGAGATGCAGCCGGTGTCGACAGAGAAATACATAACTTAGGTTCGATTGGTGCAAGTGCGTTGCGTCGGATCGAGAACTTCCGCTTGGTGCTGAAACCACCGTACTTATCCAGCAGGTCGAAGAACTTGCACAATCTGGTTGGAGGTTTCTTCATCTTGGTGGATTCCTCAAGAGTGGCAAAGACTGTGAGTGAGTCTCTTGCCCGACTGGTGGCCATGCACATGCGATGGCCGTCTGCCAAGAATCCGGGTCCTTCTCTCTGCATAGGCATAACCAAAATGACATGGTTGAAATCTTGTCCAATGAGTGAGTCAACAGTACCGGCATGCAGGCGCTCAATGCCATGGACCTTGCCCAGCATCATGTTGTCACATGCCGTCGAAAGTGCGGTCACCTGAGCGAGATATGGAGAAAGTATCGACGATGATTCCCAAGACGTGGTCTTTCAAAGCTTCGACAACGACGCGCGATGCTGCGGTATGAGTGGTCATGACAATAGCGTGCGATACTCGTAAAAGCTGGTAAATAATGGCTTTCTCATGTGCCTTGAACTGATCTTTCGCGGCTCTGTCCAAATTACCAGTGCGGTGTAGTCCTGGCAGAATTGATGACGAAAATCCTCAAAAATTTCCTCCGCATTCGGGGCCGTCAAATCTTCGTCATAAATCACGCCAACGTAGCGAGCCAGATGGTAGGCAAGAGATTGATTGACATCCGCAACGCGCTTGTCATTTACGCCTGCAAATTTCTGGGTGTGATGCTCATCATAAGCGCGACGCAGAATGATTTCCAAATCGCTGGGATCCACGAGCAATCCTGCTTGCGGCTTTCGACCTCCACGCTCTGGAATCATGTCTCTGAGGGCATGTCTTGTCAGCTGCTGCTCTGTTCCAGGGGAGTGTAAGCGGATCACTCGGCGAGAGCGTCCCAAGCGTCTGCCCAGCTTCTTTGCTAGACTGTTGACATTCTCATTCGATGGACAGGCGTGGAGAATGGGACCGAGATGGGTGTCATGGTCGGCGATGACTTTGTCGATCTCAGCCGCAAAATGTGTCTTTCCGGCACCTGGACAGCCTTCATTGATGTGATGACCTCCGCCTGGATGTATCTTTTTTTATATATAGCTCAACGTGTAGATCACGGAGCTTTCTCCTTTCGCTCAACCGAACAAGAATTCTGGAGCGTCTGTGTGCCTGTTACCGACAAATAATCCCCACCAAATCCCAAAGGGATTTATCTCTTGTTCTCGCCGGGCCCAGATCTGCCGCAGAAGCACCAAAGCCTCGCGAAACATGGTGTACCTGCATTTTCGATACCACTCTTCACAGAACAATGTGACAAAATCTTGGCCATATCGGTCCACACATTCTGAACCAGCCAAAAACACAGGAAACAAGAGTTGTTTCTGTAATGGCGAGTCTGCTCGACAACACCGGACGCTATCCAAGACCAATCTTGAAAATGAGGTGACCTCTGCCAGGTGTGAGTCTGTGGTTCGATTCCAATTAAAAACCCGGGAGACATATAGTAAGAGTGCATACTTCCATGCATTGCCTGCGTTGCAGATATCATGCCAATGTTGAACGAGCTCGTCATTGTCGGCCGCACCTGGATATTCAGTTCGACCAACAGAATAAGCTCGAATGCAATGGCTTATTTCTGTAACTCGGCTCAGATCGAACTTCACATATTTGAGGCCGACGGTCTGCTCTTTCTCAGCGGCCATTGAGGCAAGTTCTCGAGTATACTTGAAGAGTTCCCGAGGTACTCCAGAAAGGGTAAAAATGCTCCAGGTTGCAGAGTCGTCATGAGCCAAGATTGCATCATAGTATTGTGAAGGGAAAACAGGCTCAGAGCGAGCGACCAATGCGACACTGCAATCCCACCAAATGAACAGACCAAGCTGAGCCCGAAATCGTGCTGAAGATGAGGCGATACCAAGAATGTCATTGAGCGCCGCAATCTTGCATAAAGCGGCCGACAGACGCTCTTTCCATGGCCCTTCTGCAGATTCTAGGGTGTCCAGTGTGAAAAGGACAAGTATTGCGTCAATCACAGAAGTGTTAAGTCTCCCACGGGCATCAATGAGCGCTTTCTGGCATAGCTGTGTGGCAGAGTTCTTGTACGAAATGATCGTCTGCGCAACTGATTCATCCAGACACTGATCATTCGCACGATAGACATGTTGCATTGAGATTGCTAACACTGCGTGTAAAAGATATTTTGGGCCATTCAGTGAGACTCTCTCGCACCGGAGAGGATTTTCTTGGAAGTCAGAAGTCAATGGTACGGTGCAAAGTTCTTCTGCGTACCATGTGAGGAGTGTTGATGACTCTAGTGAGGGCAACAAGAGTTGCGAAGTCAAGTCTGAGTATTGAGAATCATATGAGGTCTCACTTTCGTCTTGATTGTCCTCTTGATACCGGGGGAAAGACTGTACCATCAGAGACATAGTGTTGTTGACAGTAGTACAGGGAGAAGATAATGTGAGAGAAGCCCAGTCAATAGAAGTCCCAGGTATGTCGCAGAAATCTTCGGAAACACTATCTGGTCCATCCCAGATGGTATTGGAAAGCTCAATCGAAAAGATATCATCGACTCCAGCTCTAGCAAGGTTACACCAATCATTGCTTTCGGTGATGGCCGGAGATTTTGGAGATGAAGTTTGGAGAAAACTTGTTGTGCTGGGCTCCTTGAAATTCTGCCGACGCTTTTTTCGCGGTTTCCCTTGCTTGAAGACAAAGGCATGATTGATAGGCGTGGTGGATTGCCATTGTCCTCTCGAAGTCTCAACACTGAGAGCTTTTCCCTTCTCCTTTCCCCGAGATTTGACCCCACTAAGCCATTGAAGATCTCGAGGATATCCTCGGCAGACTTTGGTCGTCTGCAGACACATCAAACAGCGATGACGAGTTCGGTCACAGACTTGTCCTGACGCTGAGCAGTTGAAGCAGTTCACCAGTTCCTTGCGTGCGGCCATTTGGAGAAGGTAGTTGTAAGGTACCAGTCATTGAGATCATTTGATCTTAAGAGTCTGTAGTGAGCAACTCTGTGGCGTTAGATTTTGATGAGTTTGATCATCGGGTTGAGATCGGTGATAAGGGGAATGGGCATCATATGATTGAGAAAGGATGATAAGAGAATCCAGGTGGCATTAGCGCCGAGACTTTGAGCCAGCCCAACTTGTTGGCGGAGGGCATCTCTCTTGCTGGTTAGTCGTTTGGAAACAGAGCAAACGACATGATATGTAATCATGAAATGATTGGATTCAAGTTGTGAAAGATCGGTAGTAGTGGGAGAGAGAGGGAGAGATCGGTGAGTGAGAGGAATGAAGTCAAGGTACAAGGAAGCGGGCATGCCAAGCCTTAAGTTGGGAATTTAATCCAGTCATCTAACCTGTTTTGATCTAGTGTGAATCTCCACGTTCCAGCTTCAAGTTGAAGCTGTGTTCCAATCTGCAGCCTTCAGGTCGAAACAAGGGCCTTACGTTCGAAGACATTCATCACTACCTAGTCGTCAGGAAGTGAAAGGCATTCACAACCAGCAATCCACAAGACCCTTACAGTCCCAAGAACTTAGGAGTATGGGATTCTTATCAGCTTCCTCAGCCAGGAGCTCTCCATTCCTACATTCGGGGCTTCAGACGCGTCCATCCTGCCTCTTCAGCAATAAGCTCGGCTGCCCTTTCGCCAACCGCTAGGACTGTCAACATCAAGTTCACGGTGATCATCGTAGGAAACACACTCGCGTCCGCTATTCGAAGGTTCTTGAAGCCTCGGACTTTCAGCTCTGGATCAACCACAGCCATCGGGTCGGTGTTGATATCACCCATCTTAGCGGTACACGCGGGGTGATAGATCGTATGTGCAACAGCACGTGCATATCTGTCCAGGTCTTCATCTGAAGTGATTTCAGGACCGGGCGCAACCTCACGCCGAATCCAACTTCTGAGAGGTTCGGCTTGCGCCATTTTTCGCACTGCTTTGATGCCACCAACGAGAATACCAGCATCATAACCTTCAGCATCCTCAAAATACTTGAAATCAAGTGCTGGCTTCTCTTTCGGATTATTCGATTTCAAGTACACCCGACCTTTTGCTTGAGGCCGTAGGCACACAGGGAGGAAACAGAATGGATGTCTAGGTCGGTCGTACCCAATCCGGGAGGTATCGTCACAAAAATCCAGCGCCCATGGATGAATTAGCGTATCTGGAATTCTCCCATCGTCCCCAGCCCAATTAAATGGTTTTTGACGAAAGAAAATCAATGCATCGGAATGAGTGGCTGTCTCTTGTGGTACCCTGTCATGGAGGTCGTACACCACAACCGTACAAGGATGATCCTGGAGATTCTCACCCACACCTGGGATATTTTTAACGACTGGGATGTTCAAAGGTTCAAGATGTTCACGATTCCCTAGCCCCGACAGCAGCATCAGTCTTGGAGTGTCGAAAGTTCCGGCGCAGAGAACTATTTCCCTCGTGTATTTGATTGTGTGTTGTGAGCCATCATGCGTTGTAAGATCGATGCTGGTGGCCACATCACCACAGACATTGATCCGGGAGACCCAAGCCTTGGTCAGTATCTTCAGATTGGGCCGCTTCTCCTCACCCCGAAGGATTGGATGAATGTAAGCGATGCTCGCGCTACTACGCCAGCCATTATCCGGATTGTATGATAGGGGAGTCCAGGCAACAGCATCGGTCAACCCAGTAGATGACGAAATCGTTTCGTTCAGGTCTGACGAAAATGGTAAGTCCAATCCTCGATGCGCGGACTTGATCCAATCTTTGTGCAATTGATTCCTGTCGCGAGGATGAGCGGCTGGATATGTTGTCAAACGAAGCTGATTCTGCAAGCGCTGGAACATCTCAAAGGACCAGCCCTTGCAGCCCAGTCTCTCCCATGTGTATGTATCGTATTCGGGTGTTCTTAAGGACACCATGTCGTTGTGACTGGAGCAGCCGCCAAGGATCTTTGCTCTTGAGTGTTCAATATGACTATTGCCTGCAGATTTGAAAATTAGCAAGGAACCCTTACATAGCCACGACGGGGTGAAGTACCTTTTGGCTGTTCAACAGTGGTATACCCAAAGTCGACATCCGTTCCCAACATATCATTACGCTCTTTCAAAACCAGTGCACGGCGATCCCCAACATCACTAGGTCCTGCTTCGATCATCAAGATTTTCTTGCCAGGTAGGTACTCGGAGAGACGGCTTGCCACGACACATCCTGCAGTACCACCACCAACGATGACATAGTCGTATGGGCCTGCATCGGCTGCGGAAATGGTATCAATAATGGTCATGGTGGCGGCCGCCAGACTCTCTTATCGTACCGTCTGAACCTACAGCCTCTGCAAAAGCAAGAAAAGAGCAGTTTATCGGAACTGGTCTTGGTCGGCAGAACAAAAAAATGAAGAACTCAACTTGTCGGTCGTATTAATATTCCTTCAGGCCATGCCGTTGGCTGCGGTCTGTTACTGGTAGATTGTGGAGTCTACCTACAGATTCAAATCATCCCACAATGCCTTGACAGTGGAACATGTCGATTTGACCCCGTACAGAAATGATTTCCCGTTCGATGTGGCAGCCAGCTTGATACACCACCGAACTAGCAATCCTATTGTGGAAGTAGCTTGGAGGCTGTCACAGCCTGCGCTTCGTTCCCAGATGTGTTTGTAATAATCGGAGCTGGTACAAATGCATGCCAGGGTAGGCGAAGCATGTGGTGCGGCCGATCAAAGAGTCTTACCCTGGTATCCTGCTTTACCTAATTACCAGTCCGCACTGGGCAGCCTTGCATGAGAAGAAGGACGCTTGACTCAGACTCAACCCCATGAGTTCGCCAAGACGAAATTACCCAGAAAGGCAAATCGAAAACGAAGATCATCTGTGGAGAGCATGCCAAGCTCAAGGCCGAAGTAAGGACATTTCACGATTGCACTGAGAGCAGATGTTCAAGTTGAATACCTTCCAACGGGAACTTCTTTATATTATTCTGTACACTGGAAAACCCTTTTATCAATAAAGACTAGGTAGAACAAAGTGATCATGTCTGAGCGAATGCCAGATGTCGATCTTGCTCCACGTGTGGCACCTCCAGCCCCCGCGAAGAACGTTGAGCACGGACAGTCTACATGCTTGGAGGACTTATAATTTGGTAAGAATCCATTGTCGCTTGTACGAGCTTGACCTAGTTCTGACTACTACAAGTGACGGGAGGCGGCAGTCACTTCCCATGGGTAGCAACGATAGAGGCAGCGCTCACGCGAGTCCGAGGGTCCATGGGTCCGCGGAGCCTCGCGTTTCCTTTTCCGTTGATCTGTTCCTCGAGTTCGAGTCCACATCCACCGCTGATCTAGCGGTAGTCAGGAACACTCCGAGTTGTTATACTCCCGGATTGGCACTCCGAACAACGACGACTTTACATGCAGATTGTGATGCATAGTGACGTGACTTAGGAGCAAGTTTTCCGGGCTGACATGTATAACTATCCTATACCAACCTCCTGTCTGGCGATGCCTGCAGACGCCTTGCCAACGAAATCGCCATATATTTCCCGTCGTGAGACAAAACGATACTTTTCATCAATTTGCAAAACATTGCAACTAGCAGAGCTCCGCACAAGATACACGGTGATAGCATAATGGCGGAAGTTCAGCCGTGAGTGCCCAGCTGCCAACGAAGCAAGCCACCTTCTAATTCAAATAGCCCGGTCTATACTACCCAGTACAAACCTCATCCTCACCATACCATGAAAGCGGCCCAATGGATGGGCCCAAAGGATATTCAACTAGGTACTGTACCGAAGCCGATGCTTACGGCGCCTAAAGATGCCATTGTGCATATCACGCATTGCACAATCTGCGGTTCAGATCTCCACATGTATAACCCTGACATGAAAATGGCAATGGAGAAGGGTCTCATCTTGGGCCACGAAGCAATTGGCATCGTCGAAGAAATCGGTCCGGAAGTGAAAAACTTGAAACCTGGAGACAGAGTCATCATCCTCCCCGTCATTGCCTGTGGTGATTGCTTCTATTGTAAAAACAAGGAGTACTCGTTATGCGACAAGACAAATCCATCCCAAGATATGGAGCAACTTTATGGTCACCGACTTTCGGGCATATTTGGGTACTCTATGCTTACAGGGGGATATCCTGGCGACCAGGCAGAATGGTGTCGAGTCCCTAATGCGGATCTTGTCTGCGTGAAGGCTCCCAAAAATGTCCCTGCGAAGAAGCTTCTCGGATTGTGTGATGTGACGCCAACGGCCTGGCATGGAAATGAACTTGCTGAGGTTCGCAAAGGAGATGTAGTTGGAGTTTGGGGATGTGGTGCGGTTGGACTGTCTATTCAGCGACTCGCACTTTTCCGCGGTGCAAAGAAGGTTTATGCGATTGACAAGGATCCACAGAGACTCGCTTTGGCCGAAAAATATGGCTCTATTCCAGTGGATGTGTCTGCCCACAAAAACGTGGCTGATTATATTCTCGGCATCGAATCCCACGGACTTGACAGGGGCATTGAAGCCAGCGGGTTCAGGAGTACGAATTCGGTCGCTCACAAAGTAATGCGAGGTATATTCATTGAAGGCGACAGTAGCGACACAGTTAGTGCCATCATCAAAGCAACTCGCAAAGGCGGCAATATTGCTTTGATCGGCGACTTTTTCTTCACCACGAACCAGTTTCCGATCGGAGCTCTGATGGAAAAGGCAATAACTCTCAGAGGAGGACAACTATATGCTCAAAAGGTACGGAACTCAATTCCCACGCGAAGCTTCAATTTCTAACCGATTCCAGTACTTTCCATATTTGCTTGATATCACTGTCAACAATGAGTACGATCCATCCTTCATGTTCACACATGAGGATAACTTTGAGAGCATTTCCGAGAACTACGCCAAGTTCAACACACATGAGGTTCCTGGGGGGCTCAAAGTTTGTCTGATAACTGAGTTTGGTCGAACACATCCAACCGAATAGCTAAGTTAAGGAAACTGTTTGTGATTTCAGTTTGTACTCACAGTATGAAAACTCATTTCATATTTTCACAATTTAAGGCTTGATGATTTAGGTTTATTTTACCAACACGACCTCCAAAGTCATTTGATGGGCACATCGGGTCCTTATCGGCCTCATTGTCGCACCGGTTGAATCACTGCCAAAGGTTCCGTCCCAGATCTGCTCTTCGCCCATGAACGTGGCAAAGATATGAGATTCTACACATTCGTCCTCTTTGGATCCCATGCGCTAGCTCCATTACTCGCTGAATTCATCACTAAGCATCTCGAGTGGAAGGCCGCCATCTGGTTTGAAACAATCGTCGTTTCTGTGACCACCGTCATCATATTCTTCGGCATGGAAGAAACAATTTACTTTCGATCGGTTGTTGAAAGTGTCAGTGATGATCCGCCCAAGTTGGTTTCCAAGGACGAAAAAGCCCAAGAAGCAGTATGCCACAATCAAAAAAGCAGCTTCCAGAGAAGATTAGTTCACGGTCGAGGCAAATGCCTTCACAAAACGCCGTACATATTTGACAAGTCTGCCAATTTTCTGCTTGCTTCCCAGCCGATCGAGCATAAAACGAATGGGGGTCATGACGTACCGACCTCTGCAGATATGTTATCTCTTTCCGAATGTCGTCTGGGCTGAATTTCTGTATGGAGCATCATTATGCTTGTACCAGAGTGGCAATGCCACTGTCGGCTTTGTTCTTGGAGGCTTCGGACATGGTCGGGCTCTCATACATTGCTCGCAAGCTGGCTCCTTCCACTTGATTCCACTTTGCAGAAATAGCTAACAAATCTAGTGGTGTTCGTATCCCTTGTGGGATGGAACTGTGCTGAATAGGCTGGTGACAGATTGAATATCTGGCTGGCGAAAAGGATGGCGGGTATGCGAGGGCCAGAGCAAAGACTTCGGATTCTCGCATAGCCTCTGCGGGTGGTTCATTTCTATGGGCCTTTGGCGCTGCCCATCAGGTATGTCTACTCATCCACGCTAATCATGTACGGGGTTATCATGGAGAACTAACCTTTTCACCAGGTACATTGCATAGGAGAGATGTTCGCGCTCCTGTTCCTCAGCTTCGGTATGGTAGTTGGCGCAACAACGGCATTGGCATACAATGTTGACTGCTTCAAAGACATTTGTGGCGAGAAATTGATTCTGGTGATGATCGTCCGCAATACCATGCGCTATAGAATGGCCTATGGGATCAAACCGTGGCTACAGCGAGTGGCTTTCAGACTACTATGATCGGATCTGCCTTTCTCTACCTTGTATGTACCTTCATCTTCTTGATTATGACTGTGTGGGGGCGTAGCCTGCGAAAGATGTGCACGAGTAGATACTGGAAGATGGTGGAGATTCTTGCTGTCGCTCACTATGACCCAGATGTGGGTTGTAACGAGTAGTCGGTAGATCTTGCTTTGTAGTTGACATATTTGGAGCGCGCGGATGATATCGCAATCCTGTCACGCAACCTTCATTTCTGAAAGCAAGATGGCAGGCTTTGTATCCGTGCTGGGGAAAACGTCCACATTAACGGTTGACGAGGAATCTGAATGACCATCTTGAGATATACCGTTGTGAGCATGGACGTATCGATCCGTAAAGGAAAGAACATAAGGTCTGGCACGATCAAGAACAGATATTAGTCGCTCGCCAAGATCCGATCAGGCTGAACTTAAATTCATGTGTTCCATCCCAGATGCAACCGAGGTTGATTTAAACCCGACCATTTCTGGGTCTTGACGGAGAAGAACGCTGTAGAGAACACAGAATCCTCAACCTTACCCACCAACGAACGGACATGCATGGTATTCGATATGCCCGCTTCTCTAAGAATTGAGATATTCCCGTCCGATCTCCAAAGGTCAATTGACTTTTACTCCAACATCCTAGGATTCACCTTGCTGCAGCGCAAGGGGGAATATGCCTATCTCGGTCGAGATTCAATCTTCATTGGTGCCATCGAAGTACCATCATCGGAGACGATTGAGGAAAAGGCCCGCTATCGCCAGCCTGATAAGGGTGTCGAAATTGTGATTGAAGTGGATGACCTTGAGAAGGAACGCGATTTCATCGTAAGCAAATCATGGAAGCTCGCCGCCGACATCCACTCTCAGCCTTGGGGGTTGCGAGACTTTCGATTGGTGGACCCTGATGGTTACTATCTACGGTTTACAACTCATAGTCCCAGGAAGGATGGGAAAGGTCTTTCGGAGACTTGATTCTCTACGAGATATGCGTACATGGGAAATGAAGAAGGCTTCCTTCAATGGTGATAATGAATCAGGCATCTCCATCTTCAAATCGATTCTCAGGTGCAAAAGGATCGATATTGAATCGCTGCGCCATAGCTATAATCGAATTTGCTATGCTTTCATCGAACCTACCGATCAATGCCAAGTACCCAGGTAGTGCCTTGTTAATGATCCACCGATGCCTGCGCCATCGGAGATAGAATTTCTGCAAGATAATGATATTTTGGATCGCAGTGGAGGCATGCTTACTATGAGAATTCAAAATCATAAGTGTCTCAGCAGCATACGGCCTGGCACCTGGCAAGGCTGTACCCAGGGTCTGCGTGTGCAATAACTACGTTGCAGCATTTTTCTGATGCTTCACTCCCTGGCACATGTACAAAACAAGAAGAACTGACATTGTTACTCACGATCCGCACAAACGCGTAATTAGAGAGCTCAGGCAGGTTATCATGGCGATGCCATCAGAACCACACTGGATTTCTTGCTGTACAAGCAGCATGCTGAGTTTCTCCTTGCATCCCACCTGGGGACGAGTACCTACTAGATCTATCTGCGTCAAGGAATCCAGTGACATGTGATGAATTTGAGAGGGATGACATAAATGGCATCATCGATAAAACCATCGAGGCTCCAAGTATGCAACGACTGGGCACCAGCTCACCGATCTACGTGACGCAGATTGACTGGGCAGTTACTCGTAAGGCAATATCGAAATTAACTCGGTGGGTTGAAACCATTAACTCAACCCGCGTCACATTATCTCACGCGTTCTTATGATCATGCCAATTGCCATGCACCTCGTACTCCGTATGCTCAAGTGAAGGACATGGATCAGCTTCATGTTGTGAGACGTTGGGTGCTGTTCCGACGTCATATAAAAAGGGATGTCTGTGGTCGGAAGAGACTTCCACGTACCGCCACCTGCCGTTGGGTTTTGCACCGCCACTTATTCTTGATTGGCTGGAGAAGACGGCCCCATCTGCCATGATGTCAGCCTCCTATGTGGTCATTTCTTGTTCCATCTCCCCTTGCCATGTTTTACATGCGAACGACTGTCACCTGCTCACAAAAACGTCATAATGGTTCATAGTAACGAGCTCAACTTGCAGTACTAGCGGCTACCGGTTTCCCTCGGCTCAGTACTCTCACATGTAAGTGAAGGAACGCGTTGGTGGGGTGAAACAGTAGAAATCACCGTGGAGGGGTACTATTTCATCATTCACAGAAAAAGGCAGGGTGTAGTCGAAGTCACCAAACCAGGCAGTCGCGAACCGTTTGTTATTCCTATAAGTATCTCTCAGTTCTTCCGACTTCCCTTGCTCATTTCTTCTCCTCATCCAAGACTCTCAAACTCCAATCTCAATATCCAAAATCTTTCCAAATCAAATCCAAACAACCCAAACCAATTCACAATGGCTGACTCCATCAAGAACGCTGCCAAGTATGTCATCGCCTCACCTCATCCTCCAGATCTTCCTGCTAATCTACATATTTAGCTTCGTCGGTGACAAGTTCAACGAGGCTACCTCAGGTGCCTCCAAGGAGGCCAACAAGAACGTTGCAAAGGACTCCGATGCTTCCCTAGGAACTCGTGCCTCTGCCGCAAAGGATGCTGCTGGTGACAAGCTCGATGAGAGCAAGTCTTCCGTAAGTTACCGTTGACTTCTCAAGCCAATGTCATGTGAACTAACCGGTATCAACAGGCATCTGCTGAGGGCAACAAGCAAGCTGCTACCCACTAAGCAATTCCAACAAACTTAACGATTCCTATGTCCAACTCCTTCAGTCTAGAAACCGCAGATATGGAGTGAACGATGGTTATGGTGGATGTTGCAATGTGCAACCTTTTCAGCACATCCTGCAGGCCTCTTATGAGCTTCATGAATGTATTTCTTATTCCTTGCTCAGGTAGCTCCAGTTACCTCTTAGATGAGGTAGTCAATCAATAAGATCATTGATAAACAATATTCTTGTCCCGTGTAGTTGATTTTTCAGTGTTCATATGCCAACATTGATCCTCTTGCGTACCTTGAATGTTTCTCGAACAGTGGTCCATTCTTACGTCGACCTCATCGTGCAAACAAGCTCTTATCTGACTGGGAGTGCTCACAGCACCTAAGGAATAAGAACTCCCGGCCAGCGAAACCTTACACTTCCTTCTTATAAATGAACGTTGCACCTGACACGTCTTCGACCCGGGTGATCGACTATCATATATAATATAACCTTTTCAGTAACCTCATGGCGTGTCAGATACTACTATCATTCCGCAGTCATGCCACAGGCCTGGGCATCTAGGTAGGTATGGTCTCAGGCTGGACTAGCGACAAACACTGTCCGGCACAGGTATGGAGGACGCACATTGACAGACGAAGAAGCCCCTGGCCGTGCAAAGATCTACCACAGGCAGTTCGGTCGCGATGACAACGACTGGGCTTTGTCGTGGTAAGGCGTCGCTTACTCGATCATCACGTCACTCACGGCCTGTGAAGTGCTCGCGAAGCAGGTCTTCCAAACGTTGTCATTGAAGCGAGAACTAGCACATCGTGAATATTTGGGCGCCCTGCTGTGATGGAGCGTGAATCATGGCATGCGAAGGAACTGCAATAAAATCCAACACGGTTGTATCTTTTGTCTTTCTGTTCCTTCTCTCAATAAGACCCTCACCTCAAGATTTGTCCATACAATAGCACGCACACAATCGCATCCACTATCCTCAAGATGGGTCTCAACCAAGCGAAAGACCAAAGGTCGCAACGGCGGCGCCCTCCACCGATTGAAATCAACAATCCGTTCCGAAAGGCAGATCCGTCTTGTGCACAAGAGGAAATCTCACCACAAACCTACCTAACGATTGACCCAAAGATGGTCTTCCCCTACCACATCGATGAAGAGAACGAGGTCATCTACAAGATGGCCAACAATGGGACATGGACAATGAAGCCTCGGGGTGAAAAGAATGGCCCAGAACACGCAGGAAAATGGGTCCGATGGGCCGAAGTCCCTCAAACTTTGGAATTCAATTATGACTGGGTGTTGACCAAGATTGCCGCCGAGACAAGAAGTGTACGTTCAGAGTCTTCACAAACCCTTTTGCTTGAAAGATGCTGACATCGAGTTTTGTGGGCGCAGGCCGATCTCAGACGCCTCATCAATCAATTGATGCTCATACGAGCAGCACACGACATCACCGAGTTTCCGACACATCGGGCCTTCACCTCAGGCCCACATGATGATTCAAAAAGTCTGGTCCCGGTTTACGGCACCCAAGCCCTCCTAAATAGTGATGGGTCGTATGTGACCCTAGTGGCATGGGATCATCTTCTGAAGGACGTCAAGAACGCCAGCAAGTTGATGCAAATTCGGCGGAGATGGAACATGGCAGGGCAGAAAAAGGTTGCTCGATGGTGTCGATGGGGTAGAGATCAACTTATCAACAACAGAACGGAGTTTGTGGAGGATCTTATCGCAGGGTATGTCATTGAAAGGAGACTCGATGGTCATGACCTTCCACCAATCGGGCTCGGGTATCGACGACGGCAAGAATGCGAGTGGGACGGAAATGTCAAAGGGCCTTGGGATCCAGAGACTCGAACGGAATTCGACAAAGCCGTCACTGCCTGGTGGGACAAGGAAGTAGACAGCAACAGATTATTGCCACCACAATGATTAGAGCTATATCTTGATAAGGAGTTAGCGTAAGGTCGAACCAATATGTCGAGCGGTTTTGGGCACATACCGTCATGTTCAAGCTTCCATGTGCAAAATTCCATTGCACGCAGTCCTCGAATTTCGAACCTGAGCCACCAAAGATGTCCAAAGCACTGCCTATCGTCAAATCCACGTTTCCACCACTACATGACTTGACCAGGTCGAGGTCTTCAATACTGCGAGCCCCACCGGCATACGTGATCGGGATGCTGCACCATTGAGATAGTTTTGTGACGAGCTCAGTATCAATACCCTGCTGAAGACCTTCATTGTCGGCAGCATGTATCAGGAACTCGGAACAGTATGGCTCGAGTAGCTTGATACTGTCTGCATGATGATTAGTAGAATATTTGACAATCCACGGAAACCGTTCTTCGCCCACCTTTGGTGATCTCCATCTCTGTTATTGTTTGCCACTTGTTCATTGCAACAAACCAGGTTTCCCCTTTTCGTCTGCAGCTGAGATCGATCACAAGCTTGGATTTGTCGTTGTCTAAAGCAGACAGTACCGATTGTAGTCGTTCCAAGGAAAATCGACCATTGGGGAAAAGGAAGGAGGTGATGATGACCTACCGTGTAGCAAACTCATAAACACATGTCTATCGAAGATCAGGGGTAGATGTATGAGCCCGAACATACCTTTTCAGCTCCGGCGGCTATCCATTCCTTTGCATTGGCGTCCGTGATACCACCACCTACCTGTAGATGATCTGGCCAGGCTGCTAATGCTTCTTTGGCTGCCGCATCATTTCCGGGTCCTAACATGATGACATGGGCACCTAGGAGGTTTGCCTCGCGATAAAGTGTTGCGAAGTGTGCGGCTGGGTTTTCGGATACATGATTTGTTTTTAATTCTGATTCAATCGTACTCAGTGTACCTCCCACAATTTGTTTGACCTGACCGGCATGTAGGTCGATACATGGTCGGAATCTGGTCATTGCAAATGGTGGACTGTGCAGAGATTTTGACACTCGATTTAATTGAGACTACAAAGGGATTGAGGTCGTGATTTGTTTTTTTGATGCTGAGCAAGTTGGCCCTTCGGATGAAGTTGTTCCGCCAAAAATGAAGTGTCAGTGACACGTAAATCTGGATCTCCATCGAAGCAAAGAGCGTGCAACTGCCACCAACTTTGGCTGATGCTTGGGCTCAATAATGACGTGGTCAGACGGCTATTCTTTTCTTGGCATCAAAAATTTGTGAACCAACGCCTCGTCTCCCTGATTCTATCTTCAATCTTTACCATGACAACCGCAGTCGGGAAAGCCTAGCAGATTCAAATTTAAAGGTCTCATTGTGAATACAGCTATTTGAATATTGATTTCCGTGAAGAGGAGATGTTGGGAAAGCGGAAAAGAGAGTTGGTCATCGCGCCACGTCAAACACCACCAAAGTCTCCAAAACAAGAGGAATCTGGCGATGATTCACCTTCCGGAAACAACGATGTCTTCCGACGCTACTTTGAATCTGCCTTTGAGCCACTTCCATTTACTGAAACCGACACACTCAGTGCATCTGAAGATGAAGAACCATCAGCACAACCATCAGATGAGGAATCTGATTGGGAGGGACTATCAGATCCAATAACAGCAGTATCTACTGTCCAAATCGTTGAGCACAAAGTGGCTCAGCTGGATGATGCAGCAGACGACGAGCAACAACGTCAGCGGTATAAAGAATTCATGGTAAGCATCTTCTCATGTACTCTTGTCATCGTGTCTCATATTAACCTGCCGCCCAAGACTTCGAAACCGCCCAGTCAAAAGAAGCAGGGCGCGAAAGGTGCCATCCCCGGCAAGCGAAGCGAGCAAGATGATGACGAATCTGAGGCAATAAATCTCAAACACGATCTTGATCTTCAAAGACTACTGAAAGAGTCTCATCTATTGGAACAGGCTAAAGCCTCATCACTTCCAGGCACTCACCGTCATAAAGCAGTCGATATGCGGATGCAAGCATTGGGATCAAAAGATTCACTCTTCACCCAGCAGAAGATGCCTTTGTCCCACAGAAGAGGAATTGCAGCCAAGGCGGTCTCTCAGGAAGCGCTACGAAGAAGGGAGGCCAAGGAGAGTGGAATCGTTCTTGAAAAGGCTACAGGGAAGAACAAATCGAGCGGAGTTCGCCGCGACCGTGGTGTTGATGTACCTGCGGTGGGCAGGTTTCGAGGGGGAACCCTGAAGCTCAGCAAGAATGATGTTCTGGACATCCGGGGATCTGGCCAAATTGGGAAGAGTCGAAAACGAGGCCGACGATAACGGTCCAAGTATACTATTTCTCTATCAATTCAACAGTTGCTCGAGACGGGGTTGATGTATGTCTGGGGCTCCCTCGCTCTCGACTCCGAAAACGACGAGACTTTGTGAAGACCGCCCTGTACAATCATAACTCCGGACGCCATGCTGCCGCAAAACAATGACGTCTTTTTAGTGCCTCCACACGTGCAAGACTTGGAAGTGTAAGTTTGAACAAGCAAGCATCATCCAGGTGGAAGTGTGACGGACTTGCAGAAACTCAGCTCAGTCATGTGTTCTCCTTTTCAGCTTTTTTTTGGGTCACATGTATGATGTGGAGCGATGCAGAGGACGTGTTTCAAGATGGACGGGGATTATCACAGGGTGGCGAGAAGTCAGGACGCAGGACTTCCATCTCCGTACGGCAGTCTATCATGTCATCTGGAGCAATTCACGTTGACTGTGCAGATGGAGTCTAGTCAACACCCAATGCCAACTTTCAAGTCTTGGGTCCGTCCCACAATCGGAAGGAAGCGCATTTGTCATGGTGATATCAACGTTAACAGAGACTGAAAGACCGGCTACTGGGATCTCAACCGTGAGAAAAGTTGAAACACTCCCTCTCGCCTCGCAGAGTTGGGGTAAGAATGTTCTTTCGTGTTGCACCATCGCTTCAGCCTTGGGCTCTACTGCAGTCCGGACCTCGCAACTCCGTACGGCAACCCGATTACACCTCACTAGGATACGTGCTTCGAGCAAGCGTGGCTAACAGGTACCCAACGGCTCTACTCCATCGCAACTGTTTCACGATATACGGATTTGGCCTTTCCGTGGTGGCTGAGCTCATCTAGATGCTCAGAAGAGTAAGTGATGCTAGGAATTTTGGCTTTTTTGGTGCCTCTGTGACAACGCCCTGTCTCTCCATACCACGGCATGTTCAACAACCGAGATTCGCAAGGGCCGTTCATGTCCTCTCTACGATTACGCCACTTTGCCAAATTGAGCAAGCTTAGGCGGTAAGCACATCGATATGTCTCAAACACATTTCGGGTGAGACCTTTGACCGAATCTATCATGGAAACGCATAGGTTGAGAATCGAGGATTTTCAGAAGGATGTCGAGACGCTTTTACTATACACTGAGCTACCCGTGTGCATGGTCACAGTGAGCCTCCGAGCCTCAATTGAAGCTTGCGGCTGAAAGGATTCATCGAGCAGATTCGCCAAGCACATCATTATCAGGATCATGCATGCATCAATGATGTGCGTTTCCACAGTGCGTGCAGGTGATTGACGAGGTTGTTGATCCAATCAATGTTGTGACGGAGAAAAAGCACAACGATGAGGTGCAGTGACCAGAGGTTGTCGAAGGGGAAGGCGTTATCTCCAAACCTCTAGTGGCCAATGTGGTTGCATAAGGAGAATAAACCTGAAACGTAGCGCCATCTGCGAAGTGGTGCGTGCGCTCAGATTTTCTGGAGATACGAAGAAGGTACGGTACGATTTAGACCGCCGAATTGTCCGTTGTGCACGGACGGCTAGGCAGGTAGAAAGGACCCGTTCTCGACGGCCCCTCACTGTTGACTCGATCTGAAACCATTAATATAAGCGAACGCGCCAGTCTGAGCTTCAGCGCCTTTTTTATCTCAGTCATCCTTGCTAGTGAGGCTCTCTGATGGCCGTGAAGGACATGAAAGCGGGAGGCTAAAAGACGCGAGGGAGTGATGAGGAGAGCATTTTACGAAAGGGTCAATCGCGGAATGAAGACTGTGGGGGGTTTGTTTGTTGTGACAGGAGCTTTGAAGAAGAAAACGAGACGAGTGGTTCTGATGATCAGAATTCGACGCCTTCCTTCCCTGGATCCGTCGCCCATCACGTGTATTTGATATAGTCAACGCTCATTTGCTTAGACTGGCCAGTAATTGACGCCAATCACATTGGATAGATGAATAATTCTCCTTTTCCCCAGGGGAAGCTGTGCGGGTGAACCGGCTTTTACGAAGAATGTGACCACACACTCCCCTATCTCGTATTCCGAAAAAGTCAGAATCAAGGGATCTTGGAGGCAGAAAACCGACCAAGTATCCGTGCTGTCATGTGGCAGTGGCACTGATTGAGTAACGTGAAAAGCTACCTCTGCACCTGCATTGCATGAATGAGTAGGTGAACAATCACGCTTATGCAGAGGCGGGGCAGGTGTCATCAAAGACATCGGAGAGTAATCCTGGTTGATGCAGAAGGGAAAGAAAGAAAGGGGCAAACCCATGTTCTTTTCGGAAGACAAAGCTGCATTTCGCCTGTGGTGGACACTCAAGGCTTGTAAACACATTGCAACCATTTGCCCCAAAGTCAAGACTCAAGAGCTGGATAGCCAGCCTCAAGTTCAACATTCTGCAGTACAAATAGGGAGTAGAAGAGTTGACTGGCTATGCCGACAAGGGTAAGCCCTATCAGCCAGTGGACGGGCTGGAGACTGAAGTAGGATGAAACTCGAGTTGCACATGCGGCGTCTGTTTGAAAGGTGTTTCTCAATCAACAAGCGGCTGGCCCTGGCTGCCCTGGCTGCTGCCCAGGTGGCATTTTGGCGCCAGGGTGGGCCAAGGCCCCAAGGGCTCCTTCCCACTCGTAGGCTGTCCAGCGATCAAACACAACCGCCATCTAGGGTGTACACACTCTATTCGTTCATTTCCCCGTGCGTTCTTAGCCACTCGTTTCATCATGTCTGCCACCGAGCTACTGCACGTCTTCATCGCTTTCATGCTTTCCAGCGGCACGCCGACAGTAAAGCCATGTCTCTGGTAGAAAAACATTCAGCCCTTGGTGCCGTTGAGGGTTCAAAATAGCAATCTGTCTCTACAACTGGCTGTGGAGTCACACCCTAGTTTGTTTTCCATGGTGGTGACTTTACGTCGGCTTGGTTCCAATCCACCTGCCATTTCCATGTTGGCAGCCTACCAACATGAACAAATCTGCTACCAAGTGCTAAGTCTCGCGAAATGCCATTGCTTGTCTCGGTTAGGGAGACACACGAGGGTCCGGCTGTTCTTGTCCTTCGCCGACGTGTCCGGATATTCGTTAGGAATATTTTGGGGGGACCCTTGATCAAGCCGAGAGTGACGCGCAAAAATCGTTCAATAACAACTCCATAATCAGAGGCAGATAGTGTGTCAAGATGCGATCACTATCCCTAAAGATCTTGTGTGTGAGTTCCAACTTCCATGGGATTCACGGATTTGCCTACTCCCGAGCAGAGGAGCCCTGTCGAGACGAGCAGTCAATTTTTGGGGGTGGGATTGGTGCCCACCATTGTAGAATCCACCATGCCCAGCGGTAGAACCGGAAGCCTACAGCTTGGGAATCGGGGGAGTCGTGCCCAGTGGAGAGGCTCGTAGCCTTTTTCTTTCTAGACCAAGTTGGAGAGTGGGACATGGCACTGGCAGAACTCCAGGCTCAAGGGGGGGCTAACAAGGCGGCTATCCCCGAAGCTGCTGGTCCATCAGGGGCCCAACAGCCTAGGTACCACGGTTAATTGGAGTCAACTTGGACAAGTAAGCGGCAAAAGCGGTCCCAAGGTTCCTGGTTCCCCATCGGAGCCAGTTAAACCATGACGGGCGAAGATCCCAATTCAGGCACAGACCATGTTTATTGGGCATTGCCTATTCACGTTCAGCGGTCCAGAGCCAACATCTACTTCGTAGTTGACCTTCTGTTGATGGATGGTCAAATGCTACTTGACTGTTAACCCATGTCCAGGTCCGCCTTAGCACACATTTAGTTCGCCCACCGAGTCGTGGTTTTCACAGCCAGGAGACCTGGGCTAGGCGGTCTTGGTCGTCCTACGGGATACTACGAGTAACCTTAGGTCCGATTACCCGTACTAACTAAGACCTGACCTGGACTCGTACTCGTAGACTGCCAGCGTAGTGGGAGTAGCAGTAGCATTGCTCCGTAGTGATTGCCAGCCCAAGTCCAAAGTCCAAGCCAAAAGTCCATCAAATCTAAAAGTTGCCCTCTTCGACTTTTCCCTCGCTTCCCTCGCTGGTCTGGTCCGGTCTCACCTCTCGACTTTTATGTACATCTTCCCATCCTCCTCCCCCCATCCCATCTGTTTCATCTGTTTTTGTTGCTATAGCTCACCACTTCCCTCCTCCTCCCCGTCGACTTTCACTTCCTAATCCTCGGCGTTGTTCTCGAGGATCTTTTTGAGAGACTAGTTTCTCTCCTTATCCACTTTCGTTTCACCTGTTCTCGCTTCCCTCCATTCGAGACAGGAGCTTCACCACGTCTGGACGTTCGCGAAAGCTGGTCTCTCGCTCCAACTCCATTTACATCATCGGTACATTCGCTATACACATCAACAACCTCGCCCGTCTCTTCACGGTCTTTTGCAGTTCAATCACCCTCTCCGCAGAAATTCCCCTGCTATACGTTGTCTGCACAATCAGACCACCTTCACTATAATCGAGGGAATATTCCAAGACATTGCAATCATATACTTCAAGACATTGCATGCAATAACCGTTCACGAGTCACTATACTGTGTGAAGCACTGCGAACATCTCCACAACCTCTACCCTCGTCGACTGTGTCGATCGACTCTCTCCTACCATGTATCCCTCAAGTGGTGCTCCAATGGCACAACCTCAGAAACCAGAGACCTTTATGCTCTCAAACGAGGCCCAACAAAGCTTGCCTCAGGATGCGCAAGTCGCTCTGCAGCAAGTCGATAACCTCAAATACTTCCTTATATCTGCACCAGTGGACTGGAGTCCAGATTCTTTAATTCGGAGGTTTCTACTTCCCACGGGCGAATACGTTTCTTGCGTGTTGTGGAACAACCTCTTCCACGTTTCGGGCACAGATATCGTGAGATGTCTATCCTTTCGCTTTCAAGCATTCGGTCGACCAGTAAAGAACCCAAAGAAATTCGAGGAAGGTATCTTCTCTGACCTGCGCAACCTGAAATCGGGCACGGATGCATCACTAGAAGAACCTAAAAGCCCTTTCCTCGATTTCCTTTACAAGAACAACTGTATTCGCACACAAAAGAAGCAAAAGGTCTTTTACTGGTATAGCGTTCCCCATGATCGTCTGTTTCTTGACGCGCTCGAGAGAGATCTCAAGCGTGAAAAGATGAATCAAGAGGCCACCACCAAAGCGGTCGCAGAGCCTGCCCTTTCATTCGAGTTCGACTCTTCGCAGTCACTCTTCGAGCAACTCACAAAGGCTCAGCAAGCCAGTTCCTCTTCATTTGCCACTGCCAATGCAAACGCATATTCCCAGTCCACCTCTCCTGTTCTTCGCGCAACAGATTCTATGCCTCCACCACAGATGGTGCCACCTCACCCTCAAATGCCTCGTTCACAGGAACCTACTCAGCACATGTATGCAAATCTGGGCTTACAAACAAGCATGCCAACGTCCATGTCAACCGTTGCCATGTCACGAGAGCCAGACTACTCTCAAGCAGCATTCGACCGTAGTGGACTCTCGTACGACCGAACTCATATGCGTCACACATCTATGCCAGCATATATGGAGTATTCTCCTGCTCCATCGTTCGTCTCCTCGCACTTTGAGGACTACAGCACCCGTGGCTTGTCATACGAACCCATTACTCCACCTCAACATCAAGTCCCCCATGGTGCTGAGCCTGCATACATTGCAAATGAGGACACTGGACTTTACTCTGCAATTCCTGAGATGCAATCCATGCAAGCCTATAACCCCATGGCTTCCCTCCCACCTTCGACACTTTCTGGCCCATCTTATGCTGCTGCACCTCGAGCATTCCCTCCCGCCAACGTCTACTCTGTGATTGAGGGTTCTCCTACCTACAAAGCACGCAGGCGGAGGTCTTCTATTCCGTCTTCCATCATGAACGCCGTGGCCGCAAACGCCGTGGCCCAAGTTACACATGGAATGAAGGCACATATGCCTCAACGTCCAAGCGACCTACGGCGGTCGATGTCTAGTTCTGTACTTCCAATTGCCGAGGGTGACGAATCTGCTGGTCAATCTCCTCCTGGGCTGGCACACAGCTATGCGTCTTCTCTGGTACACCGTGACCACATGCATGATTACTCACGGCATTCGACACCTCTGGGCAGTCTTGAAGAGGACCCATCACATTCCCTCGGTATGGTGACTTCAAATGAGGGCATGCCCAATCTGATTGCCGACCAAATGCACCCCGGGTCATTACACGGAAGCCCCGCTGTGAGACTAGAAAGGCCAGGCCCGATCCGAAGAGCACGAAGTGCAACCATGATGGAGCTTGGTGTGCCCTATAAGTCACACTCGTGCCCAATCCCAAGTTGTGGTCGGCTTTTCAAGCGTCTTGAACATCTGAAGAGGTATGTAGTTGGTCCCTTAATTTCGGTTGGCGCTTACTGACACCCATGGTTCTAGACACGTTCGTACCCACACACAAGAACGACCCTACGTGTGCCCATATTGTAACAAGGCTTTCTCTCGATCTGACAACCTTGCACAGTAAGTTACATCCAAGCTTGACTACAAAATCTATACTAACTTTCATCTGCAGGCATCGTCGTACTCATGAATCTCAGCAAGATGGTCAACCACTTCAAGTCAACAGTGAAGAGGAACTTGAAAACGAGGAGAATGAGTTTGGTTCGATGGACGAACTTTCTTCGCCCGATGAAGTTACTCGACCATCCAGTGTATCTGGCATGATGGCCATGTCAATGCCACCACCATCCACACTTGTTATGCATACCATGTCACACTCCATGGCACCCAGCCAACTTGTCCAACCTTCGATGTTGCAAAATATGTAGATCTAAAACCATTATTCAACGAAGCTGATGATTACCAACAACAAAAGAAGCCAGCGCTTTTGCTTTATTCTACAAGGGGCAATGTGGGGGGAATTGACAGCGAAAGGGGATTAAAACGAGCCTTATGATGAATGAGAGCTATAGCCTTGTTTTTGGAGAAGAACTCCCATACAGGCGGACACCCTTGATTGGAAGGGTGGGCTCAACAACGCTACGAAATCACACAGTGCAGCTGCTTACCTGGGATGGATATATATGGGACCATTTCTTTCTGGAAAGGGTCACACGACAACGACACGACCATGAACGTCACTGTTCCCGTGTAATGGCTTTCCAGGTTTCCCTCCTGACGTGCCTTTTATTTCCTTTTGCCACAGGTGTCAACACTAAGGGCAGAAAGAAGCATCATCTTTTTTTCCTATGGATCTGTTATCTCTCTGGGTTCTTGCATGGTTGAGGAACAAAAGCCCAATTGCTGGCGTGTGCCCGACGGGGGCACGGCGATGGCAAACAAGCATATCTCTCTTGATCTCTTTTTCTCTCTCTTGGGAAGAGTATCTCAAGGCCCCAACTTTCCATGGGCGCCGCTGGACCAACTGTACATATAGATGCGATCTCGTTTTCCAACCACCTACACTAGTGATTTTTCTCTCTATCTTGAATTTTGAATTGTTTGAAAGCTAGAAACACCCATACTATTCGAATTCTTGTATTTCCCTTCTCAATCTCGCCGGTGTTGAGTCTGTAGTTTGAGTGTGCATACATAAGTGCTCCGTGTACTTGTAACGTAATGTGATTTGTTTGAGGAACGAAGGATTGTTCTTCCTCAGACGACGTAGAAATGCGTCTCGGTTCACTCTCGTTTGATGCGTGCGATATGTGGAGACATTACATGTACAAATACATACATACATACCCAGGTAGGTACTGTAGGTAGCTCGGGGCATTTATACACGTACACGCGCGAGCCTCGTGGGTTTTCCGGGTATGCTCGTCGTCAACGTCACATATATACCAACCATCAGCGGCAGCGGATGGATGTCGACGCGCGGCTGGTGGCTCTGGTGGTGCATGCGACTCTGCAGGTTCTATCGCTCTAGTCATAGACTTGTGGCTGCCTTTGTTGCCCTGATCTGATGATTTATCATATCGGACGTAAGTAAGCTCATGGTCATGAACAGCATTGAGAGAGAGAGGAAGAGTGAAAGCTGAACGTGGATTGAGATGGTGTTCCGGGTAGATTCAATCGAGGCACGCATACACATTCATAGGACAGTACATTTCATTTCATTTCTCTTGAATTTCTAGGACGAGATGGAAATGGCAGCGATATAGTCTCGCCGTGCGGTGTCGGTGGGTCGGGGCCGACCGACTCTAATCTGCGTGGTGTTTACCTCTTCGGCCTCGTCGTCGTCACTGTCATCGCAGAAGCCTTCTTCCAACTCACGGCTCAGACGGCGGTTGGAGTCGACATCCCCTCGTCCAGCAGCATGAGGTGCTGAGGATGACAGCGGCGGCGGCGGGCCCATCGGCCTGGTGCTCCCGCGAGCGACCGTCCTGGTCGCGGCATCCATGTTCGAAACCTGCCGCTCCATACCGTCACGCCGCCGGTTGCGCTCCTGCACGTCGAATCCGACCATCGCCTCGCCAGATTCCTCGTCGAACAGCTCCCCGTCTGCGCTGATCACGCTGTCACGGCGCGCTGTGAAGCGGTTGCGGATCGCCCATGTCGAGGGCAGGAAAACACGGATGAATGCGTGCGAGAGCCGGTCTCGGAGAGAGAGGCCTTGTAGGAACTCTGGGAGGTGTGAGGATATCGTGTTGGAGGCGGCTTGTAGTGGTAGGTATTGTGAATAGCGTGCCCGGTGTCGTCGGTACAAAGGTAGTAGCGCGTGGAAGATTAGGAGGTACAGCACTAGTGAGACGAACATGGGGAGGAGGATGGTCTGTTGGTTGAGTTGGTTAGCAGTTGGACATTCGTCGTCGATAGCGTTTCATTGTCTTGATCGAAAGTATGGCCTTGTTCATACCTTTGCGAAGTTTGAAAATCCCGAGGAACCCATGTTCCCGTCCCTAGATGTGGTGGTAGTGGTGGTGGTGACGGAGACAGGAGGGGTGTCCTCCGTCGACGAGATGGTGCCCGGAATGGAGCGGCGTGAGAAACGCATTATGCCGCCATAGTGGCGGCGTTGAACAGGCGGGGGAGGGATGGGATAGATATAGATATGCAATTACGGAGTAAGGATAATGTGGGAGTGTGGTGGATGGAATTGAGTTCAGAAATTGGCTTGTGAGGGTCAAGCTGGACAGATTGAAGGGAAAGGGAAAGGTGGTTTGGGTATCAGTTTGGCAGCTGGTGAGGTCTCGCCATCGGCTAAGGCGTCGCTTAGCGGACAATTGGGCCCGGGCAGGCTCGTGCTATCAGCCAAAAGTGGCTTTGACGGGTTCTCACGTGGAGTCCGAGTCTGTCCACAATAATAATAATGATAGATACTATTGTCAATTGGTACCGAGTATATTGGATGATACATACTATCTTTGCTCCATAGCAGATGAAGATCTGTCAATGTATTAGGAGTTGCCAGATGAGCAATTGCCAGGCACATTCAAATCGTTACCAAGTGAGTGCCAACCAAAGTCAAACCATGCATACTCCCTACCGAGTAGCATTGAGGCAAGGTAAGCATGGCTTCTGGAATTGCATTAATATCAACATCACCCCATCCGGAGCCAGGGACTTTGAATTGCGTGGAGAAAAGAAGGGGGTGGTGGACCAACATAAACCTAGAAATGGTGTAGTCAACTCACCAAGATCAGATGTGCCGGAGGGCGTTAGGCCTGTAGCTGGTTAGCAGAGGCGGCTCGCTGGGCACTTTTGGGTAACCTGAGTGGACTGCCAATCTGCTCCTTGAGCCCAATTCGTACTAACGAGGGCAACAAGAAGGCTGTGATTGTCAATTGGTCCAACACCACGATTGCCTTTTGTCGGTGCATCCCATGATATTGGGCTTGACCAAGCACCGGAAAGGTGAGGGTGTGTGGACGGAGAACCACCCGATGGGACACCTAGAGAAAGTTGGTTGCTCCCTCTGGCTAGGCGGGATGAGCGGTATACGCAAGGCTTTGGCAGGTGCTTAGGTACACCATGTAGCCCCCTCGGCCCCTGGACGACCCATAAGGATTTAGTCGATGCACCCTCATTGATCATTCATGGCCAAATCAAGCCTCTACAACAAACCCTCTAGTCTGGTCTGGTCTGTCCACTCCCACTACTTACTACTCCGTACTCCGTCCTGTAACTGCAGTCCATGCCAGTGCCAGTGCCACTGGCTCTTGCTTCTTTCAAACTTGTTCACGATTGTCCTGCAACTCCTTTGAGAAGAGTCTGTGCGTCACACACTTGGTTCTTTTTGTCCACCTCATCTGCCCGCTTTCAATGAGACAGCTCTTTGTTCTGCTGGCTGTTCTTCGTCTACCGCCAACATTGAACAAATTGGAAGTTGCACCCTGACTCCCACTACAATTGCACGCCTGTACCTGCACCTGCACCTGCGCTTGCGCTTTCCACACCATCATTCCCGACATCTGCCCAACACGAAACCACGTGAATTTCAGCTTTCACTTTCCAAACCCGAAACTTGGTGTATCAGGAACCGGTGGGCATCATGCAAGGATAGTTACGGATATCACAGACCCCGTCATCATCTGACTTTGTAACGAGGGCACCGCAGACTTTCAAGAGGAGGGTACCCCTTCTGGGGCAAACGATCTACATACACATGATTTCAGTCTGTCTACCAGCGCCCAACCGAGGATGCCCCCAGTAAGCCAGAACGACAAAACGACCAGACAGTCGTCCGCAGGCAAAGGTTTTTTCAGCAGGCGCCATCGAGACAACAAATCTGATAGTCGTTACGATGGCCCCGAAACCCCAAGCCTCACTCTCAATGGTTCATATGGTTCGCGGCATTCCAAAAGAGATTCAGTTGCTTCAATCGATGGTCAGGAACCAGACAGTGCTGGCCTTTCTATGACCGCCGGTGTCATCACTTCAATCCCGTACTCCTCCACCTCTGGCCACCAGGCCCCAATTTCCGTTGAATATCTTCCCCGAGAAGGTGACATTCCTGGTCGAAAAGAACCTCAACCACATCAATTAGCAAGAGGAAGCGACTTTCATCAATATCCTGCTTTCAGTGGCCCTACCAATGGCGCATCACATCCTACGGGTCCCAGGCCGGCCCCTCAGAATTCAACCAATTCAACAACACTGTCCGGCCTCACCATGGCCACCAGTCAAGTTGGGGATCGAGGTACAAAGTATCAACAATGGGGTCGTCCCAGCAGTAGAGAGGGTCCACAACATAATCCCTATGATTCGGTTTCAACCACAGACTCCTATGGAGGTCAACGAAAGTCGTTTGATGGTGCCAGTATACGCTCAACAGCTTCCTCCGCTACCAGAGGCTCTAGTCTGTTTTCCTCCGAGAGTTCGGCACGCACCGCCATGCCATCTCGCCAGGACTCCGACGGTTCAATGACAGTCATATCACCCACGCACTCGAGACTTTCCAAAATCAGCTCTCATTCTGGTTGGCCCACTCAACAGGCCTCGCCATTCAATTCTACCACCTCCTTTACACCCGCCGGATTTTATCTGCCCAAACCGAAAGACGATGCTGAGATCGAAAAATTATTCCTGCAGCTCATGCATAAGCGCGGTTGGCAAAATCTCCCAGACCAGGCCAAACGGCAAATGATGGCATACGCTCCAGCAAAGAAGTGGACGCTCGTTCATCAAGACAGACTAACCGAATGGCAAGGCGAGCAAAAGCGAAGACAGCAAGCTAGAACGACAGGTACTATCGATGGACCAGTCCCGCGTGATGTTGACGGAACACCTGAGTGGTATGTTAAGAGAATATTGGACAATACAATCACCTCCAAACAGCTACAAAGTTTGAGCGTCAGTCTTCGAACTCAACCCATCAGTTGGGTCAAAATATTCATTGAGGCTCAAGGTCAAATTGCGTTAACGAATGTCTTGATGAAAATCAATCGACGTCAAGCCAATGGTCCTACACCTGCGAACAATACTACGACTACCGATAAGGATCTCGATAGGGAATATGACATTGTGAAATGTCTGAAAGCGTTGATGAACAACAAGTATGGAGCAGACGATGCTTTAACCCATGAGCAAATACCTGTAGCGTTGGCTACATGTCTGATATCTCCTCGTCTCACCACGAGAAAATTGGTTAGCGAAGTGCTCACGTTCTTATGTCATTGGGATCAAGGACAGGGCCATCTCAAGGTACTGCAATCCATGGATCATTTCAAGAACATGGCAAACGAGAATGGTCGATTTGATGCGTGGATGAGAATTGTTGAAGTCACTATCGATGGACGTGGCAAGATGGGCAGTCTTGTTGGCGCAAGTGAAGAAGTTCGAAGTGGAGGTATTGGCATGGAAAATCTTTTGATGGAATATGCCGTGGCCACCATGGTGTTGATCAATATGCTGGTCGATGCTCCTGAAAGAGATCTCCAGCTAAGATGCCATATTCGAGCTCAATTTATCGCCTGTGGTATCAAGCGTATCCTGGTAAAGATGGAATCTTTCCAGTACGACGTAATCGACAAGCAAATCGCAAAGTTTCGAGAAAATGAGGCCATCGATTATGAAGACTTGCTGCAACGAGAAGGTAGTAGCATGGTCGACAGCATTGAAGGAGAGGTCAAAGACATGACGGATCCTATGCAAATCACAGATGCTATCATGACCAGAGTTCAAGGCACACGGACTCAGGACTACTTCATCTCGGCCATGCAACACATGCTTTTGCTACGTGAGAACAACTCAGAGGAACGTCTGAGAATGTTTCAATTGGTGGATTCTATGCTTAGCTATGTGGCTATGGATAGAAGGCTTCCAGATATGGATCTCAAGCAAAGCCTGAATTTCACAGTACAAAGTTTGCTCGACAGATTACACACTGATGATGAAGCTCGAATTGCTTTTGACGAGGCTACCGAGTCAAGGCAAATCGCAGAAGCTGCCATTGCTGAACGAGATGAAATGTCAGCACAGATCGCTCTTGGTGCCGATGGCTTGGTCAGAAAATTACAGAAACAGATCATCGAGCAATCTGGCATTATTGAAATGCAATCCAGGCAAGCAGAGTCGCTCAAGTCTGAAGTTGCCGAGCTCCAAAGAATCCGGGCCCAAGAATTGCAAAGAAATGAGCTCGAAACCAGAGAGTTATACCTCATGCTACGGGATGCTCAAGATGTCGCTGCGTCCCGGACTGCCAAAGAGGGACCTGCAGCTCAAGATCCTGCCCAGATGCAAGGCATCCTGGATAGAGAAAAGCTCATGGAACGCCTTGAGCGGAACCTTGAAAGGACCAAAACACAATTCAAGCTTGAAGGAAAGGTCTGGGGTCAAACAGGCCCATCGGATCGACTACGAGAACTTCGAGAACAGATGGATGAAGGTATTGATGCCGACTTCCAAGAAAAGACAAAACGTCATCTCACCAACAGCGTCATGGGAAGCGTCCATCGTAGTAACGCTACAAAGGGTCCCCGTAGAGCTGCTCTGGGAGCTCTTGCTATTAGCGAAGAGGCTGATCAAGACTATGAATCTGAGGAGGAAGATGATGATGTCGTTTTTGAGAAACCAAGGTTGGTCGAGTTCTCACGGCCCAAGATCTCTGCAGATCAACAGTCCAGCCTGCTCGGCGAGCTTGCCGCTAAGGTCAAAAAGATTGATGATGATAGTGATGGGACAGCTGAGGAAGGTGAAGATGCTGGCGTTACTACAGGGCCTACACACCCAAGCCTCGAGTCCGAATCTCCTAGAACTCCTCTCGATGAGACTACAACTGAAGCCAAGTTTACCGGACCACCACCCCCTCCGCCACCGCCGCCACCGCCTTCTTCCATCCCGTCAACACCCAGTCTAATCCCTGGCTTTGGTGGTCCACCGCCTCCTCCACCGCCTCCACCTCCTGGCATGCCTATGTCTCCTTTGATTCCGGGGTTCTCTGGAGGACCTCCACCTCCTCCACCCCCACCTCCTGGTTCACTACCTATGAGCCCATTATCACCTATGCCACCACCACCGCCTCCTCCACCTGGTGCCCCGCCTCTTCCAGGCGCTCAACATGGCCACTTCTTGCCACAATCTCCTATCGGCCCCGTGCCGATGCTCAAGAATCCAATGATGCGTCCAAAGAAGAAGCTCAAGGCATTCCATTGGGACAAAGTCGACACTCCGCAAGTCACTGTGTGGGCTGAGACTGCCAATGCTGAAGCAAAGGAAGAGAAGTACCGTGAGCTGCAGCGTAAAGGTGTTCTGGATGAAGTCGAGAAATTGTTCATTGCCAAGGAGATTAAGATACTTGGTGGTGGAGCAAGTAAAGGCAAGAACGACAAGAAACAACTCATCAGCAGTGATATGATGAGAAACTTTCATGTTTCGATGGCTAAATTTAAGAACTCCTCGGCTGATGAAGTCGTCCGAAAGATTGTTCATTGTGACAAAGAAGTTCTGGATAATGTTGTTGTCATGGATTTCTTACAACGAGAAGACCTTTGCACGATACCAGAAAATCTTGCGAAATTGATGGCGCCATACAGCAAAGACTGGACTGGTCCAGATGCTATCACGTCAAAGCGTGAACAAGATCCCAACGAATTGACGAGAGAGGATCAGATCTACCTTCAAACCGCTTACGAATTACACCATTATTGGAAAGCAAGAATGCGTGCCCTAACCCTCACAAGAACATATGAAACTGAGTACGATGAAATATCCAATAAACTGAAGGATGTTGTCAATGTATCTGAGGCGATCCGTGACTCGACTTCATTGATGAGTGTTCTAGCACTCATCCTCGACATCGGAAACTACATGAATGATTCGAACAAGCAGGCTTCCGGTTTCAAGCTGAGCTCATTGGCGAGACTTGGGATGGTCAAGGATGACAAAAACGAGACCACCTTCGCAGATCTCATCGAACGTATCGTCCGCAACCAATATTCTGAATGGGAGGTTTTCGTGGATGACATTGGGGGTGTGGTTGCTGCTTCCAAACTGAACGTGGATCAATTACGACAAGATGCGAAGAAATATATTGACAACATCAAGAACGTTCAAGCTTCACTAGATGCTGGCAATTTGAGTGACCCTAAGAAGTTCCACCCACAAGATCGTGTCGCTCAAGTCGTGCAAAGATCAATGAAAGAGGCAAGACGCAAGGCAGATCAGATGCAACTCTATCTGGAGGAAACCTCTAGGACCTATGATGATATTATGACTTACTTCGGCGAAGACAATCAAGATGAGAATGCCAGAAGAGAATTCTTCAGTAAATTAGGAGGGTTTGTCACTGAGTGGAAGAAATCCCGAGAAAAGAACATGACCATCGAAGAGAACAAGAAACGGATCGAGGTCAGTCTTGCCAGAAAACGAAATCTTGCCAGTACCACCGCAAGTGGAACACCAAGTGGTGCGGAAACACCAGGCAGTCCGCCAGCTAATGGCGCCATGGAAACTCTTCTTGAGAAGCTTCGAGCGGCTGCTCCACAAGTCAAAGATCAACGTGATAGAAGGCGCCGGATGCGTCTTAAGGAAAAACATGATCAAAGAGTTGCTAGCGGCCAACAACTTCCTGATGCACCCATCAAAGATGATGTTGAAGAGAGCCGTGGTTTGGCGAGTCTCGGAGAAAAAGCCAATGAGGACAATCTCAGTGCTGAAGATGGCACCAGCGGCAAAGGAGATATCAGTGAAAGTGAAGATGTTGCAGACCGAGCATTAAGAGCACTCCAGGAAATGCGAAGTTCCGCTCCTGCCACTGGTGATGAATTGGACGTAAGAAGACGCCGTGATGGTGCCGATGAAGAAAGAAAGAATAGAAGGATGAGAAGACGGACGGCACAACAGAGCAGCAATGGAGTTAGGGACTCTGTGCAGTCCCCTACCAAATCGGATGTTGATTCACCGGTGACCGCTACTTATAATGGGGATTCTGTGAATGACGACAAAAGGTCATCAGGAGGGACATTAAGCCCAGTGTTTGCACAACCACCGCCTTCTATAGTGGTTAGTCCTACACTAGATGATCACCCTGAGGTGGAGGAGAAGTAAGACTTGGACTTTGATTCGAAAGCTTCAGCGATTGACCACATTCGGTCTTTTTGACTTAAAGTGAGGGAGCAAGATTGGCTCTCAGGATGGGCTTGCTTATATGAGTGTGGAATACATACTTACATTGCGGATTCAGGATGCAGCATTGTTCAACCTGTTTGGAAAGGATTGGCGAGAAAGAGACGGAGTTGTTGGAAACCGGAGAGCCTGTCTTGTTCAATTAGCCCCTCTGGTTTAGCAAGGTCGGGAGAGTCTCCATTCGGGTCACGATCACACGATGCGTGGTGTTGTCATTGTTGTTCGTGTTCTTTATAACCGATCACCCCCTGCAAGATAAGATACCCAGAGTCATTGTTTTAATCAGAATTGTTGCATTGCGGAATGGTGAAAGCTATACATATGAGAAGACTTCTGGTGTATGCTGATGTTCGATATGAATCCTACATCATATTTGATCTGCTTGGTTTTTGAAGCAGATCTCCTCCCACATCTTCCATGCCGCCTCTCACGCCAATCTCATGCATTCCCTGCAGAGCTCTTTCCATCATCGCTTCGTGGCACGGACTCGCCTTCGCACCCTGTCTCATTGGGGGTTGTTGAATCTGGACAGCTCTTTCGGAGAACCGTGGGTCTATTTTCTGTAGCCAGATCCTCACGGCCAATCCATCCATGTGGATCGGCCAAGTCATAGCATCGCCACGACCTGTCACGATGCACACGGCCTCCATCCTGCAACATAACCCCCATACTTCAAGTCCAACCCAATCCAACTCCACCCTCCAACGCAACCAATTAGTCCAGGACCCCCAAATGCGTATGGCCAAACCCAGTAGCATACTTGAGGCCAAAGCCCAACATGCGATCCATGCCGACATGCGCCAGCCACGTGAGCGCGACCCTCGCGAGACCCAACCCCAGATTGCCAGCTCCCCCTGGGGATCCGGGTCCGGATCCCCCACTCTGCTCACCCCGTTGCACGACCCAAGCGGCACACAACATCAGAATGCCCGGCGTCTCGGTATGCACGGCGTTGTAGAGCGCGGCGCCGACGCGCGTGTTGGCCAGGTAGCCGGCCATGCCCAGGTCCGGCAGCAGAAGCCAGGCGCCGAACGTCAGCCACGAGCCGCCCGTCTGGCGGTACGCGTAGATGGTCGCGCCGAAGATCGCGGCGCCTTCGAGCCGGAGTAGCGCGAGCGGCCACGTCTTCACGGTCCCGTTGCTAGAGTGGGAGTGGGCGGGGATCATTGTGGTCGTTGTTGGGATGTTTTGTTGTTGGAGGAGAGGGCTGGTTTCTGCTTCAGCGTCTTGTGGCATTACCTGAGCTGTGTGTGTGTATGTATGTATGTAGACGTGGTGTTGAAGATGACAGAAGACCAAGTCCTGCTAGGAGGAGGAACAGATGCGTGGTAGATCGGCTGTTCTCTGGGCGGGAGGGCGGGGACTAGTAGTTGTTTGACTTGGGCGAGAACAGCCTAGGTATTCCTTCAAGTCGAAAATGATCAATCCAAGGTAAAATCTAGTTGTATTATACCCAGGTAGGCACAACGGGTAACAGTCCGTAGGCGACAACTATTGTAATTCTCTCCGTTCCGACTCTAGCATATTGTTACCGATACAGCGCCAGCGGTAGCTACAAGCAGCAGGTGAAAGGCATGAGTTGAGTAAGCCACCTGCAATCCCCCTGCCGTGGAATCTGGGTCGAGGCGGCTGAAACGAAGTACCGCGACTGGTTCCTCGTATCGATCCCTACATCTGGCCTAGCGTTTGGGGGACTTGCATTGATCATTATGCCTGATCCGGCGTCGGTCGGTGTCTGTGTCAGCGAGGGTGTTGGTGGGGAACAATATGCGATCGATACTATCTCTGGCTGTCATCCTGGGAAAACCCTGGAGGACCCCTGAGGTCGGATTGTCTAAGCAGCCAGTGCGTTCCAGGCGCGGTCTTTGAGCCAACTGTGACAAGAGCGAGAGTGCTTTTCGCTGTGAATGGGCCGTTTGAGGCATCGATAGAGATCTTGTGATGCTGCTGTGTGCCGAAATCGATGGCTATCGCAGCAGCAGATGTCAATCAAGCGTGCACACACTATCCATAGCTACTACAACATGTACAGAGGGAGCATGAGTCTCCGGAAGATCAAAGAAGGAAATCACGCCGCAAAGTCTCTTATGATTTTATGAAGCCTAAGTGGCTTCGCTGTCATACATTCTACACGCCATCCTGGCATGGCATGGCATGGCATGACATAGCATTCCCATTCCTTCTAGTTTAAAACAATATCGTTACAATTCCATTTCATCCCAACCCACCCATGAATACAACTATGTATATATACGTACGTCCCTAATGTAAGCTCATAAACATCAAACAACCCGCAGACATGTGGTTAGAAGACAAAACCCATATGGGTAGGTGATCACTCTTCGATATCAACCAGGGGGTGGACCCTGACCTTGATGCTGATCGAGGAGCAGATGAGGCTTGATGAAATCTTCATCGAGTTGCTTGAACCATGCGGTATGATCCGCAGTCGCTCCACGAAGTAGATCTCTTATCCGTCCTGTGTGGCTGGAGGCACCTGCCCCTGTGTGTGTCGGGAGGATTTCATCATCACCATTGCCATTTGGCCTTAGAGTATCATGTAAGATGTTGGGAGCCGATCGTGTCCTATTGTCCAACGATCCAGGGGCTAGGTGCCCACTGCCTGGCATTGATAGAGGTGAAGGATTTCTCCGTGGAGCCGCCGGAGGGAGATCAAGATCAACAGCGTCAGACTCGTCGTCTGAGGGAGATCCACTACGACTGCTGGAGAGGAGTTGTCCTTGCTGTGAAACAAAATCACGCTCACGCTGACTGATGGTCGAATTTTTGCGGTGATTGGTCGTTCTTGCTTTCCCCAAGGGTGGTGATCGGCCGTTACTACTGCTGTAGCCCCTGTCGCCTCTTGCATGATTTCCACCTCCGGCAGACCCATTCACGCCCCCCCTGTTGTTGTCCACAAAGTCCAAGCCGATATTCGATGGGCGTGGAGTGTGGCCAAAACCTGTGCCTGAACGTTTGTAATATGTACCACCATTGGCAGTTTCAATGTCAAATTCATCATCAGAATCAATTTCTTCCACGATACCGGTACGAATTCCAAGGATTTCGAGCATACGGGCTGTTGTACCACCAAAGATGATGACCGTTAACACCACCACGACAAGGACAGTCGCGCGAAGAGCTGGACCTTCATTACCCTGAAGACCAGCAGCCAAAGCGACACCCACAGCACCACGAAGACCAGCCCAGAATAACATGGCTTGATAGTGCCAGGGGAGTTCTTCAGCAACATCATGACCTCGTCGTTTAGCTCGTAGCCTAATGATGTAATTGATGGCCTTGGATAGAGGGAAGACAGCCAACCATCGAGCCGCACAGATGCCGACCACGGTAACTAAGATGAACAGAGGTTTGAAGACAAGATCTGTTTCGGTAAACAGGGTAAGGCCGAGGTAGATGAAGATGAAATTTTCGGACAATTGTGCTAGAATTTGGAAGATGAATTTTGTGGTGAGTTGTGTTCTTCGAGACATGTTGTAGTATGCGTAATGCTTTAGGGTGATTCCGCAGAAAAGGAGGGAGACGATTCCTGAAGATGCACGTTAGCTGATGTGATCAGGAGAGCGAACGAAGATTGATGATCATTACCAGACATGTGTACGCCATTTGAAAAGAAATAGCAAGCGTATGCGATCAGAATGACCAAACAGCTTTCGATTTTGGGAAAGCGGCGTATCAAAGTGTACTTCAAGATGAGCGCAGTGCCGACACCAACAATGACACCAATAACCAGGCTGGTAAAGAAAACCAACAAGAAGAAGCCAATAGCCTCAAACAAGCTGACAATTCCGAGATTTCCAGCCACACCTCCATCCTTGTATCTCTGAGCGGTCTCAAAAAGGACAATTGCAATAGCATCGTTTAGAATGGATTCTCCAAATATGATGGTGTAGAGTTTCGGCTCGACTTTGTAGAGATTGAAAATAGCTAGAATGGTGACGGGATCGGTTGCGGAGAGAGTTGCACCAACGGAAATGGCCTCGACCCACGTGATTGTGAGTCCATCGAAAGGTATTCTCGTCCACAACCAGAGAATCAGACCGAGGGAGATGGCTGAAATGAAGGTACCCGCGAATGCAAAGGTCAGAATGGTGCCAATGTTTCGAAAGAAGTTTGCCTGGGTCGCAGGATTAGCACGTGAAGATGTGGGAATCGAGACTGTGAATGACGGACCTGATGCAGTTCGTAGCCCGAGGCCAGAATGATTGGAGGAAGGAGGAGGTTGAAGAAGAACTGGTAGTCAAAGCTGACAGTATCTTGAATTGCAGTCCCTGGCGACAGTCGGATGACGAGACCTACAACCATGCCGGCGAATATGGATATGACCGTTTCATGTACGGCCTGTATTCTCTTTTGTTGTAGAATATAACTTGTGAAGAGAGCGGCAATCAGAAGCATGATAAGAATGAAGAGAGCCCATGATGAGAAGATCTCTTTCTGACCGGCCTCGGAGGGTTCTGTTCGGGTGCGATGTCAGAAGGGGGACTCATGGTGGTATTGGAGTTGTACTTGCCATCTGGATCAACGTCTTCTACCTGGCGACCTAGGGAATTGTGAGCAACTTGCGCGTGTGATAAGGAGACGAGGGGCACGCTCACGCAAGAGATTGACGGTTGCGCCAAAGAGACTGGAGGAGGCCATGTTGGCTCAGGTTGAGAGAGAGTGGAAGAATCATTCGCGACAGGGTTTACAAAGTGACATGGCACTCAATCGTCAGGTCGGGTTGGGAACAGAGAAGTGATCGAGTCGAATCCGTGTGTCAAGGCTCCAGGGATAGGTGTGCAGGAAGGTAAAAGTACAGATGTTGTGTGCAGGCTGCGGAGTTTGAAAGTCTGTAAGAGGAGGATTCGGGAGGAACGTGGCACGTGTCAGTAGTAAGTAGTAGGGATACTGTAAAACTGGAAGGTGAAACGAGGGTGGCTGCTTCCCTAACGGGACAATCCGTGCTTGTTACTGCTGTGGCGTATAACTCTATTGTGTACTATCGAGGGCTCTACAGTCAGCTCCCCCTTTTACTTCCCGGGCCTTATCTTTGGGAAAATATGCACCTCGGAGCGTATGATAGCTCTGATCAATAATAGTATTGAGCCTGCTGAATAACCATTGCCCTCGAACGACTATACTAATGCATCGAAGCATTCTAGAAACGAAACCAACAAAGCTATCTCACACTAATACATGATTGCCCTGAAGCTGTCTGGGCATGGCGGTGATGACAACCACCCAGGAGCAGGAGCAGAGTCCCATTCTGCTCCATAGCACATCCGAGGGCGACATGCTTTTCTTTTGTCAATCAATGCCTGAGATGAAATCCCCGATCCCAGTCATGAGCCGTTATTGGTACAATAGTACACATCCATGTTTATCAATATCATTCCGTCCCACTGGCTGCCCCACTGGTGGTTCCATTGGTTGCTATTCCATTGCTGCCTCCCAATGTCAATCTCAATTTTGTTCCTCCCACTGGAGCGACAGATCCCCGTGGTGTTCCAACACTTGACGCTGCTGCTGTTGACTCGCCATCGAACCCCATTCGTTCTCCTATGCGCCCCAGATTCGGGTGATCGCTAAGAGTCTTACTAACCATCTCATTGCAGTGATTCTGAATCTCAATGTTAGTCATCTTCCTGCCCAAACACACCTCAAATGACGACTTACCTCGATTGTATTGGCATCATTGTATAACATGCTGCCGTCTTCATTGAAGGTTTTGGCATTCTTTGCCAACAGCCCAATGTCCCGTTGCAGATCTTGGAACCTCGTGTATGCATGGGTGTTGATTCGTTTTTCGATCATATCCATCGCAATCGGATCCACAATGATGTGGTAATATTCCGGATATAGCTTTTTCGGTGGAAGCTCAAGGAATGGTCCGATGATCAGCCGTGTTGGAGGCTCATCATCACTTTCATCCTCTGATTGCTCTTCAGGATCAGAGTCGGGAACTTCAAGTGCTTTGATCGACTCAAATACTGTCTTCAATGCTTTCTGTAGTATGGTTCGATCTCCAGGGCTTAAATTATCTGGCACCTTGTTGGGCTGACGGCCGCGCTTGCGTTTCGCTGGTGTTTCTTCCTCGAGTTCTTCACCTTTGCGTTTCAGCCCTGCCGATTTTCGTCCACCCTTCTTTTTGGGTTGTGGTTCAGGCTCCGGTTCCTCTGAGCTTTCCTTTTCTGGTTCCGGTGAAGATTCACCACCGTTTGCATCTCGCTCACGCTTGGCCTTGTTGGTTCGTCGCTTGTCGATCCGTGCCTGTTTTCGCTTGGCCGCCTCTCCAATGGAATCGTCCGAATCATCCACGGCGGCAAGCCATTGTTCTTCAGTAAGACCATCATCATACTTGACCTGTGTCTTCACACGTGCCCCACGACCCGCATACTCTTCTTCCACTTCCTGCGCAGGATTGTCTTCCGCCATGTAAAGTTCTGGCAGTTCGCTTTCACCCATCAAACGTGGAAGTGGTCGGCCAGGCCCGTACTCTCCATTCTCATTTCGCTCTTTGTCCATCTTCTTGAAAAGAATAAGCTCCTCTTCTGAACGAGCCATCATCTCGTTGAGGTCATCATCGTCCATTTCTTCGGTATCATGACCCGGTTGTTCAGCAGCTTCTGCAGTCTCAAGGAGCGTCTTCAAGAATGCTTCTCTTTCTTCAGCCGTCGACTTGTTGTCGAATTTACCAGCCTGGATGACCTTGCCGTCCATGTCCAATTTGAACTGTGCTCTTTCCAGAATCTTTTCCTCTACAGAGTTGGATGTAATAAGACGGAGAATTCGGACTTCATTCTTCTGACCGATACGATGGGCACGATCTTGTGCTTGCAAATCTTGATGAGGATTCCAATCCGAATCGTAGATGATGACGGTATCTGCTGTTTGCAAGTTCAAACCTAGACCACCAGCACGAGTGGAGAGCAAAAAGCAGAAATATGGTGAGTTGGGCTCATTGTACAATCGCAACAGTTCAGCACGGTCCTCAGCCTTGGTTGCACCATCAAGACGGAGATATGTGATGCCGCGCAATCGTAAGAAGTCTTCCATGATGTTCATGATCTGTGTCATTTGAAAGAACATCAATACTCGATGGCCAGTGGCTTGGAATTTTGGCAGGACTCTGTCGAGGAGCTCAAACTTTCCGGAAGTACGCCAAATCGAGTCGTTTGTTCCTTTGCCTGGATTCATCTGGTCTTCCACAGGCTCAAAAACATAAGGATGATTGCAAAGTTTTCGCAGCTGCATTAGCATATTGGAGAGACCACGCATGCTGGTCTTACCTCCCTTGCCATCGGCAACCACCAATCGATTTTGTGTCATCAATTGGTGGTTGAGTTTGGCTTGAAGAGCTGAGAAACGGCATTTGATTACTCTTTCCTGTTTGTCAGGTAGATCTTTCTCGACGTCTTTCTTCAGACGACGAAGGAGGAAAGGTCTCAACACCTTATGCAGGCGACGGATAATCAAAAGTGACTCTTCTTCCGAGAGATCAATCCGGTCTTGACTGCCCGTGTTCGCGAAGGGAGTATTGAACCATTCGTCAAATGACTTGACCGACTTGAAGATCGTTGGCAGTACGAAATTGAGCAGAGCCCACAACTCAGGAAGATTGTTCTGTAGTGGAGTTCCGGTAAGAATGAGGCGGTAGCGGGTAGTATAGTACTGGGTAATGGTGTAGCTAAGTTTCGACTCGGCATTCTTCATACGATGGCCTTCATCGACAATCATGTGCACCCACTTGATCTTACTAAGAATTGGTCGGTCCTTGATAATGTATTCGTAGGTTGTAAGTAGAACCTGGAAATTGCCTTGTCGAATTCTCATTTGCTGTTGTTTTCTCGTGTTGGGTGGTCCTTTGTAGACAATTCGGTTGATGGATGGTGCCCATTTCTCAAATTCCAGATTCCAATTGGTCAATGTGCTGAGAGGTACGATGACCAGGAAAGGCCCAGGCTGGCGTTTTCGCTCAATGAGGTAGGTAATCAGACTGATCGACTGGATTGTTTTGCCCAGACCCATTTCATCTGCAAGAATACCATTGAGATTGTTATTGAAGAGCGAGATCATCCACTGCAAGCCCTTCAATTGGTACTCTTTCAGTGTTCCGCCCACGAGAATGCTTGGCTGCACCGTAATCTCTTCCTTGATACGGTGAGCAACGGCGTAGTAATCAACTTTAGGACCTTGACCCTCCTCGTCTTCGGAGCCGCCCTCCTCCAAGATGTCTTCATCCGAATATTCATCTTCGCCCCATTTCTCTTTGTTACTCCGCTGCTGCTGTTTGACTGAGGCTGCCAGTTGTGTCAAGAAGCCATCGGTCTGCTTGAGAAGATGTGTGATACGTGAGTCCTTGGCTTGCCCAAGAAGCTTCAAGTAAGTCTCTTCATCGTCGGCCTTCAATGCCTGCAATCGTTGCTTGGCGGTTCGTTCAATACGCTTCTGCTCTTCACGTTCCATATGTTGATGGTGAGTGACCATCATCCGGCCTAGTTTCAGCGTACGGCTATGTTGAGAGGTTGCATTATTGCGAAGATCTTGTCCATGAGCAACGATAGATGTCAGGTAATTTGTCTGTCTTGTCTTCTCTTTGTTCTCCCGAGCATCTCTCTGTTGCTTTTCGAGCTTTTCGGTAATGCGAGCCTCTCGAAGTGATTGTTTCTTCATTCTGCGGTGTAAGCTTCTGTTTGCTGTCATCGCGAGATTGTCGTAGACATATAATTCTTGCTGAATCTCACGGCGCAATTCACGTTGACGCTGAAGTAAATTGAGCTTCTTGAATTCTATCAATGCTTTGAGCTTCAAAGTATCGTCAGGGGAAGGATCGGTAGATTTGTTGGTATCCCAAGAAGTAATGTTTGCAGGGAGTGCCGCCAGTTCGGCTTTTCGAGCCTGTACACGATTGTACAACAGTCGCTCCTGTTCTTCACGGACCTGCTCAGGATCAAGCCCCAGAGGCAAAAGACTCGGGATATGTTGTCTTTTTGCTCGTTGCGAATGATCTGAAAACGTGATCACCTTGGCTAATAGATCGTAGGGCGATTCGTATGATGAAAAGAACGTCTTATGCTGAAATGGCTCACCATCAACAACTGCTTTGGAATCTGCGATCCCATCCAGTGCTTTACTCACAGCCGTAACTGCATCAGCACCCGTGGTTGGTGGTGGTTTTCCAGAAGGAAACAGCTGCTGTTGTAACTTTGGCGGTAGAGCTAGATTCTTCGACAGCATCTTAAACGCGTAAATCTGAGTTCTTAGCAGATTGAGCTGTTCTGGGGTAAAGCTACCATTGGCTTGCGCAACAACGCGCTGCGCTTGTGAGGGTTGCGACTGGCCATTTGTGGTTGGAGGTGCACCATTTCCTGTTACCGCACCGACCCCATTTGCGACGGGATTAGAAGACTCGGTATCAGTCTTGATAGCTCCATTCGTAGATGGACTGGCGGCCGATCCGTTGACTTGCTGCAACGGTTGGGGCACAGGTTGTTGCTTGACCTGCTGCGGTTGCGGTTGTTGAGGCTGTTGTTGTTGATGTTGTTGAACCTGCTGCTGTTGTTGTTGATGTTGCTGGGCCTGTTGCATTTGCTGTGCCTGCATCTGTTGTTTGCGACGAAAGTTCTGTTGTTGCTGCACCATAGTGAGGAATCGATGAGCTTTGAGGTACTCGGGGTCGGTCTCGGGAACATTTTGGGCTTTCATGCGTTGAAATTTCTAACATTTGTTAGTCGCAAGTAGAATGGTTGAAGGGGGGAGGGACGAAGAAGTGGGAATGGAGTGGGAAAGAATAATTTATGTACCTGATATACTTCCTGGACTTGGGCCTGGGAAAGGTTATGTGGTAACCCAGGAGGCATGTTGGCCTGCATGGCAGGCGCGGGTTGGACTGAAGCCATGAGAAGTTAAAAGGCCGACGTGTCCAAGATAAGTTTGGGTGGCTCTGGTTCAAGCCAACCAGTGGATGGTGGTTGATAGCATGCAAAAAGACGTGACTGGGGAAGTATTGATGCTGATGGACAGGGATTGGGATAGCCTTGTGAAGCAATGCGATGAACTTGGCGCAAAGCGCAAGCCTGAGCGAGGAAACTCGCAAGGAGTTATTGGGTTGAGGTTGGGTTAGGCGTGAAGTGGTGAAGTGGCTAAAGAGGGGACAAGGAGTGGTCAATGGTAGTTGGGCGCACTCCTCAAGTCATGGACAGTAGGACTCGGACCTGGCGATGGGTCGGTTGAGATGGAAGGAGATGATCACGACGCGTTGATGATGATTTCTGGAGGGGCCCTTCACGATGTTCCGAACGCAACGAGGAAGTCACACGGGAAAACCAACTGCGCTGCCCTGCGCCTGCCTGAAAGATGCTGCTAAAAATCTCTTGGCTCGCGTCACGTGACAAGACCATTTCGTACTAGTTTCTCGCTAGCCGCAGTCTAACCCAATCGAAGATCCCACGCTCCTGCCACACTACGAGTGTGTCACCAGGGGTTCCGTAACAATAGAGTCAATTCTCATGTATTCGATACTGATTCTACATAGCAATACTTGCATCCTGCACTCCGGCGGGGTCACCTTGTTACGTTCTCAATTGATATTGTTGGATTTCACCTTCCCGTAGCCAAGAACTAAACCATGGGAACCAAACGCCAAACTTGCCCAGTAAATGAGTGAGAATCCCGCTGGACCCTGTAAGGAGGAAAAAAGAAGGCAGCTCATGGCCAGCATGATTTATGTAATTACGGATCGTTTCGCGGGAACAGGTGGTGGGGGAGGCTTCTTCGCTCTCGAAGGAGGGGGCGGTGGTGCAGCACTCTTCTTGCCCGGCGTGTGGGCGAATGATCCACTGCCGTGTGAAGTAGCCGGAGAGACAGATTGATCTCCATAGCCATGATCGGGACTACTGTTCGTGTAAGATCCCGAATCATCTGCAAACACATCGTTTTCTTCAACGTTGCGCAAATTAGACCGAGCCGTTCGTATCATCAGGGAGTCGCTAGGTACACGGGTAATACGTGGCATGGTTCCAGGGGACAGATCTCTTATTGGGGTCGAGGAGTGGTCGAATGTGGTTGATCGTCCTAGATTGGGGCGATTTGTTGCAATGCTTGGTGGAAAGTCGGCGCCTGAATCTGCATAGCGGGAGGACGGTGCGCGACTTGATCGAATTGTAGGCCGAGCCTCAACGACAGGCTCTTCTGCCGGTTCAACGTACTGCGTGTGGGATCGGACAGTATTGGACCTAGATCTTGGCGTAGGACGGCCACCACGAGAATGTTGCGACCTGAAGCAAATGGGTTAGAAATCGTCGGGGAAATTCATGACAGTGAACAAACCTCGCCGGCCATTCGTTCTTCAACTGAACCAGAGCCTCTCGACATTTATCGTGATATGCCAATTCTGCATCGAGAAATGCTCCAAGATCAGCCACGCATTCTGGGTCGGTGTCCCGAATCTCCTCCATCCGACGCAATACGTCGTCTGCCGATTCTTCGTATTTGGCCTTTTGGCTTCGGAGCTCTTCTTCTACCCTGAAATCCTCCTTCTTGGCCTTCTGCATCTTGGCGAGGGAGGTGTCATAGGCCAATCTCCTGGTTTCAAGTCTCTTACGCGATGCTTGATACTCCTTCATCTGGACCAGTGATCTTTCCAGAGACTCTAGCCAGGTGTTTGTGGCACTCGTAATGTATGATTCTTGGACACGAGCAAGTCGTTCTTGGGTCCGACCAAACACTGGTGAACGATCAGTATGAGAGGGATTCCTGGCTGGTCTGGTGTAGCTTACTAGCCAGGCATTGACCAATTTCCGAATCGATGTCAAATTCATCACCATGTGCTATCATTGTTCCACCCATATGGGCAATCGGTAATATTTTCTCCTTGCCTTCGATCTCGGATCTTTTGGAAACGGCCTTGACATAGGCGTTTGTGGAACGCTGCATCTTATCAAGACCTGGAAGTAGATGGTAAGTCTCTCAGTTGTGCAACAGACGTTGATCTTTAGTCATGGAGCTTACCATCCTGGCGCAGGGTCATCTCCAATTCCATCGCCTTGAAATCGTCAGACACATTGGTCTTGATTTCAGAGCCCATGCGCTCGCCGGCCCATTGCTTGAAACGATCGAGCTTCTTGTTGACGTTCATGTTGATCCTTGAGTGTGAGGGTGGTTTGGGTGTAGTTGCGAAGTACTCGTAGAGAGCTAGGGATTGAGAGATAAGAGAAAAGCGATGGTGGGTTGTATTTGGAACAGGTGAGCGAGTGACGGAGTGGCCGGAGCCGCGGTGTTCTCTCTGGAATGCTAGTAGTCCGTGGCGAACCAGAGCGAGCGGGACAAAAACAAAAGCAAGCTGACAGTCGCAGTGTTCCAGGGACGATAAAACGATAGAATGCGCCCAGGCTTACTCGATATGAATAGACTTAGGCGGGCGAGAAACGAACGTTGAAGACACTCACGGTGGATGAATGACTTGGAGAAACAATAACTGTTGGAAACAGCGGTCACTTTGGAACGTGTAAGAGTCGTGTCCAGTCGAGTTGTGACGCGGCACAGGGTCAGGCACAAAACTCAAGCACAGGGCACGGGCAGTTATACGGAGGAAACTCCAAACGGGTTCGTCTTAAGCAAGTCGCAATGAGTTTTTGTTCACTGCCCTGCCTACAACAGGCTTTGCTTTCCAGCGTCAGTGACCAGTGACCACTGGTTCCCCTCCCTAACCCCTGACCTCAAACCCTCTCTGCGGGCCTCTCCTCTGAAACCAAAACGCCACCATCATTCAATGACACGCCTTGATTGGGACGAGCCATTTTTACTGACACCTGGAAGATCTGCTCCATGGCCTTCATCCTCATCCGGGGCTTTACACGCCGCATTCTTTAGGCTGTGTTCCCTAGAAAAATCCAATCCACGTTCCAGGTGGCGCCACGCTCGGTACCTTGCACATGCAGAGATTGCACGTTTGTCTCTCGGCTTGCGAGTGCTAACTACTGCCCCATTCGATGCTTGTCTATCAAATGCGCATCAACTCTATCACTGTTGCATGACATTGTTTTCTACGAAGTAATGACACATCTGGAGCGAGCGCCGGATATAGTTTTTACTGCGATTCTCACAGTGAAATTTCCGTTCAGGAGGATTTGACACCATCTTCATTTCGTTCTCAACTATTCGTAATTGGTGCTGATCGTTGATCCTTCCAGGCCCTGCACTATGCTGAAAAGTCTTGCCATAAGCCCAGCTGCTTCTAGGCGGCTTTTCCACAATGAGAAACCAGGATCTTCCCCACAAACTTGAAATGTCGCGGTCACAATCTCAAGTGTAAAAGCCGGTAACACAACCACGCCGTTTTTTGCATCTCCACTAATACAAGCCAAGTATCTAATCCTTTGTCTTCTGGGTACCTCGGAGGAGACCAGTTCTTCTGGCTGCAATAAGACCAGCCTTTTGACCTTGTGCAGCGTATCTGGAAATGGTTGATGCTTTACCAATATGTTGATGGTTACCACCACCGTGAGGATGGTCGACAGGGTTCATAGCAACACCACGAGTCTTGGGCCACGAGTTTCGCTTGACGGCGAACTTATGCTTTGCGCGAGATGCCTCTGTAGATTTTGTCAGCATGATCGATCCACCATTTCTTGATTCTCAACACGTACTCAACATAGGCTTATCAGTACGGCCACCACCTGCAACGATACCGACCATGCCTCTGGCTGAGCTGAGGATGACCTTCTTGGCACCACTGGGTAGTTTGACTCGGGTCTTGCCCTCATCAGGGTTGTGTCCAATCACGGTGACATAGTTGCCAGATGTTCGGCCCAAAGCACCTCGATCACCTGTCTTCTCTTCCACGTTCGAAACCACGGTACCTTCGGGGAGTTGACCAACTGGGATGACGTTTCCGACAGTCAACGCGGCGTTCTTTCCAGCGTAGATGAATTGACCAGTGTACAGGCCTTCGTTGGCGATGAAAGTCTCGGTTCGGTCCTTGAACTTGTACTGTAGATCGTCTGATGTGAGTATTTCGATACAACCATGAACACATCGGGACTCTTACGGGATTGCGGAATTGAACTCGTGCAAGAGGGGCGCCACGGCCGGGATCGTGGATAATCTCCTTTACAATGCCTCGGATGTACTATGGAAATGATGTTGTTAGTTCTCTCTCTTTAAATCTGAAAAATGAGGTCGTTCGAGAATGGGGTCGTTTTGGGCTAGGAATCGATGGATGGGAGCTGTACCCCGTGTGCTTCGGCATAATCGAGTTGTCTGAATTTCGCAGGAGCCTTGTTCAATCTGGTGTGTGCGGCTAGGGAGAAGAGTCAGTATAGTTCTCAATCAGATCTTCAAGAAAAATGGGCGATGGCGCAGTTTTCGGAATCTTCCAGGATAGATTGATTTCTGGATTCTCGTGGGAGGAGGTGACTGACTGAATATAGAGCCGCGACCCTTTCGCTGATTTCGGATGACTCGACCCATGGCTGGCAGAGATCACCTTCAAGTGTTGGAGTCTGAAGATAGAGGGTGAGGCCTGAGTGGGAAAGTTCGTGGTTTCTGTGATCGCACGTTGGTTGCAGAGTGTGCGAAAATCCCGATAGGGCTTAGTTTGAAAAACTCTTGGCGACATGAAGAGTCATGTGACTCAAGCCGACCTCAGGCCTCAGACTTTTGATGCTCGTAATAATATCCTTTGTTAGGCGAACTACCTAGGTATCTTGTTTACTTGGGTACTACCTAGGTGGGCTTGACTGTGGTGTAAGTCCACGTCTTTTTCTTGTCAGTGCCTGAACCGGAGTCACACAGCCTTCAGCAACGGCCTGTTCAGCTCGCACTGACAAGGGACTCTCCGTCAATGGTCTCGCTCTGAGCTTCGGGGGTAATAAGATTCATTATGGTGGCAACGGATATAGAAACGTTTTCTTGCTTAATCGACATGAAGTTCGACATCAAAATGGACTGGCTACTGCTTTGTGTCTCCCGCCATCTTCCAAATCTACTCTACCAGATCATAGTATATCTAGCAGAAGACGGCATCTCAAAATCTTTTTCTCATCATGCATCTGCCTTTATGGTGAGTATTAAAAATATGCTGGTGTCCGAAACACAGCAAAAGGAGCTCTTTTATTTGGCAATATTTGCACAAAGAGCAATGCGACCAGATAAGAGAACGCATCGTTCCAACCTCGATGATCTCCTTCTCCGAATTCACCAGAGTGGAAAATGGACGATCTTCTCCATAGATCCTGGGAGGATCTCAAAAAGCATCGTCTCATTTCATCAAGTCAAAGATCTCCCTACATTCGCGAATATAACCACAGCTAATGCCTCCTACCTAGCCAGTACCAACGCAAGTTGCTACAGCGAAAACATTGCGCCTAACGAGCTCCGGAATTTGCTATGCTTTTCCTTCGAAATGTAACATGGGTCGTTCGGCCCCTTCGCCCGAAGTCGTTCTCCTCAAGAGGTCCAATAGTGTCCAGCATCTCCAATACTTCCCAACCATCGTTCTCAATTTCCCTGGCCTTCGACGCAAATTCCGACTTGAAGAACATCGCTTTCCATACCACGTTAAACCTACCTCCATCCTCATTAGGATAAGTCGTAAAACGCCTTGTCGTCTGCTCAATATAATCAGGAAGATGCCCACTCCACCTAGATAAGTGGCCATCAGTATCATACATAGTTTCGGGCAGGTCTGCGAATTCCAGTAGCAGTGAAAGTTGTAGTTTTGATTTTTCAGATCCGAGAATCCGGAATACACCGTCAATAGCAGGAGATATGTAGTCGACTAACAGCCCTACATACTGCTGATCATGCTCAGGGGGTGGGAAGCGAGCATGCTGGTCTCGTGCATGTACTTTACGCAGCCAGGATGAGCCACCTACAAACGACCAGACTGTCCCATAAGAATCCTTTGAAACTGCCTTAGGCCTGGAAATTTCGGCCTCAAGATATTGGATGTATGATCGATTTCTGGCTCCGACAGTACAGAGAAAGGAGTAGAGGGGGTCCCAGGGATCTACCAAGGGGAACTGCAGTGATCCGCAAAATTTGAAGACATTATGTTGATAGAAGACAGCTGCGGCTTCGATGGAAATCATCCTATTCACTCGAAGTAATCCAAATGTCACAGCGGCGACATTTTTTGAGGGCGGCTGCTCGCGATGTTCGGGATAGTACCCTTCAGGGTCTGCTAGAAAAATTGAGGATTTTGTGTAGACGACGATTGGCTCGGAGCTGATCAAAAGTAGACCATAGATCCTGTTCCGAATTTCAAGCGGGAGTGAACTGAAGGTCGTTGCAGGATAGATTGCAAGGCCAAGAGGTTCACCTTTGCGATATCTGAGTCTGCAAACCATAGGAGCCATTATCGACGCGGGAACTTGACGTTGAATAATGGAAGAGTGGATGAATTATACGATTTCTATCTTGACCCTTATACTAGGATAGCGTTTTAGTACGAGAAGAACAAGTCTCAATATCAAATAGAGAGTTCGCTATTGAGTGCAAGTAACAACAACTTATTTCAAGGAGTGTTTAGTTGTCTTCAATTTTGTGTCGGTGAGGTATGTCGGCGAAACTGCGGATATTTATCTACTTGAAAACTACAATACTATTCTGACTCGAAGTAACCTCTGCTAAAATGATTCATATGCCATGGGGAATTTCCATGGGATGATACACAGATTCGCGGTTGATGTGCGGTGTTAGTCTATCGCATCGTAGATAGAATTTAAATGGTAGCTTGGATCTCGATCTTTTATCTCGCATGAAAATTTTGAATCATACTACCATGTTCAAAAAGGTTTCTGAAATCATGGTAAATGAGAACTTTTTCATCCTTGTACGACCTTTTGCTTTCAGCCTCGTCGAAGATAGTCCTCCGGGATTACAGGCCTCGTTTCGTATTCACCACGCCTACATAAGGTTTCCGAGTACCTCCGCACTTAGGGACCGACGGAGGACAGTTTTAGGTTGCACAATGCCAGCCAAGGCGCTAGTCAATTTAGTCTAGCGAGACAGGCAGAGTATAGGGCGGCATCACTTTTGTCCCCAAGAATCACGAGCAGTTTCCCATACCTTGGCACGCAGAACATCAGCTTCCACTTTCCAACCTCATCCGCCACTGCCACCGTCCGACTCTGCATGATATACAATCAAGTTTCCGTTATGAGGAATGCTCCAATACTACCAGTATCCCATTAGCCTTTGATCTCCGCTAATAAAACTACTCAACACAGATACTTCATTGTCACTACTTCAGAGCCAGGCTCATGATTTGTTCACATATTCGATAGGTAGGTCCTTTTATCACATCATATGTTGCTGAAACTGTGTCGGCAACAATATCGTTGGACAAACCGCGAGATTTTTCTTCCAGGCGGTGGTTGAGTGAAACGGGATCGGCAGACCCGGGCATCTCATTGGCTGATCTCCAGAGAAGAGGGAACTTGGTCTGATAATCACCAATGCCACCGAATATACTCACCTCGAGGAGACTTCTAACCAGAGATTTTTTGGCTCCGAAAACATCTGAGAAGCCCATTGGAACTCATGTCATTGCAACGAATCGTTGTGACTCCTGAGAGGGCCATTGTCACAGTCGAAAGTCAGTCGAGACTCCAAGGCACGATGACAATATCATCCCAGGAGCTTGCACAAGCACGATTTTAGGCAGGACCTGCACGATACTGGGTTATCAGTTTCCTTGGTGTGAGGTGTCAGTCATGCTACCATTGTGGTCCTTGACCTTCAGCCCGGAGGTAACGCCGCAAGTTCAGAACAACTGATACGTGTACAACAATGTTTTTTCGGATTTTTGGCAGTAACTCATCGGATTCAGGCATTGGGATGACAGAATACTGCATTGCGCTGCTCGGAGAACGCCGCGCAGAAGAATCTTTGGGTTCCAATTTTCCACAGGTACAAGCTTGAAATCGATGTTCCGAATGTTCAACACCAGTGCCCGTTCTCTTTCGACCGCAGCGGTCACAGTCGTGGTATGCTTTACAGATTACAGCCAGGTACGGAAAGAGATGCTATGTCTGGTTGGTTGCCAGCCTGTTTTGGAGTATGGAGTATGCTGCATCTTGAGTTGTGCTTGGCATATGCTACATGCGGAACCCCAGCAGGGCTGTCCAACAAACCCACAAAGATTATACGAATACTGGAATGGATCCTGAACATCCAGGTGGAAGAAGTCAGGGAGGCCTCAGCTTTATGTGGATGGTGAGCGTCAGCTATGAACCAGATATTGGGAAGACAGGTCGAAAATGCTGGCATAGATTCTGTACACCAAAGCGCGGCCATGTCTCCCTGTGCCAAGTTGACGTATGAGGATCTTCTGCTAGCAATTATTTAGCTCGCTGGCAGACCGCTTCCCATTTCCGCATTGGCCTTTATTGTCACCTCCACTGCTGCGTAATTTCCATCTAAATTCCACCTTCCTTCCTCAACTTACGCCCACCCCAACATCCTGTTCTACTCGTAACTTTTTATTTCCCTGACCATGGCGGACTCAGACTCATCCTCTTTGTCTTCGGCTCCCTCTAGCGATGACGAAGAGATGGTACTCAAAATGACTGCTCCTAAGGGACTAAATCGCTATTTCAAGCCCGCACCTAAAGACGACCCCATACCAGAACCTCCCAAACGCGCTCCGTCACCACCTCACGACTATATACTAGCCGACAATGGGTCGATCGCGTTCCTCGTCATGTTCAGAAGCCGTTTCAGCGACGCGTTTCCCAAGTCCTTACCACATTATGGCCCCCAAGATATTGAAAGAGGGGTTCAGGGTGAGCTACCGGACGAGCACGCTGAAAGACTCCTTTGCGCGTTGTTGGGATTGGTACTGAACCGAAAAAAGGATGTTGAGTTTGTGGCCCCCACCAATACTTCCCAGCTGCGCGAAACAGTCGTTAACTTTTCTATGTCAGACGCGGTCACCATGGACGAGCACTCGAGGATGCCATCTCTTCAAACCAGCACCAGTGGCTGGCTGCGTGGCAAGGAACAAATCCCATACACGGTGGTAAAAGCTTCAACAACATGACACCTGAAGAGCGCGTCAGTACCCTCGAAAGCCGCGAAATCTACAAGCACTGACCGCAACATAGTTGAATCTACTCAAAGCCCTCGCCCTCTGGTCGTTGAATCAGTCAGAAGTGGTGCAGGCTATAATCAAAGAATCCTACAAGCAACCCCGCCGCGACGATGACCGGAACCAACCTCGAAGCGTGCAGCCATGGTTTTCAGACCAATACCGTCGCAAATACTGGCTTATTGAGGGACTTGAGGACTCGCACTTCAGAATATACCGGGAGAATGATGGGAAGACATCGAAATCCAATACCTGGTTCAGCATTGCAGGCTCAATACCTGAAGTAGTTGCGCTGGCGGACAAATTTGGCGAGGAGCATACTCAGACGTCCAAGGTCATCAGCGACAAGCTGCGGTCAGCAATTCCCAGGTTTGAAGCTGGAGATGAGGTTAGCCAGAGTAATGATCTTCCCGTATCTTGCAAGTCACTGACAAACGATCTAGAAACGAAAGCGTCGCGACTACCGCCTAGCACGAAAGGCCGCCTTTTCACGACCCGAACCCGGATTCTCACTCTACGAGGGGCGAACACGAGGCAAGAGAATGAAATACACGTTTTCGGATGAGGAAGATGGCTCGGACGAGATGTCTAGCAGACGATCAGCCAGAGACTCAGGATTCTCTACACCGTTTGAAGCCGGCCCGACAGTCACCGCAAGTGGGAGACAAGTCAAGTCCAGACTGGGCGGTATGTACGGCGAGAGCATGTTGATTGATCAGCGCAAAGAGCTGGAGAAGATTACAGGCGAGGGACACATGACAGAAACAAGCGAAGACATGCCGACAACAGCACCGACCGGAAGAGGGCACCGTCTGTCAAGGTCTGGCAGACCCGTCCGCCCCGCGCGAGAGCGCTTCAATGATGGAGCCGGGTCCGACAGCGACGAAGATCAATCCTCTGGCAAGGAATGGAGCGGGAACGAGAACGAGCCAGACGAGTCGGAACCCGACTTTGACGGCGAGGACGAAGACGAAGATGACGCGATGAGCGATGAGGGCTTGGACGCGGACGACATCATTGGCGGTGACGACGACAACACGCAGGAGTCCCTAGTCGTGCAGCTTAGGTATCGCAAAGGCAAGGAGACGACTTCTTCCCCGGCAGGAAAACGACCAATAACCCCGCAAGCAACCAACGGCACTCTCAATTCGATCAACAACGCGGCATACAGACCCCTCGCCGCCAAATCGACCCTACCTATCCCTCAATCCAGTCCACCCATGGCAGATACCATCAACGTGACGCGTCGAGTCAGCTCGAATGACCTCCAAGGGGCACAATTGACATCCGAGCAGATCAATGCACACATCAACGCGAATGGAAATGGAGGCGGGAACCCCAAGGGCAGTGAAGTGGAGACTCGAAACGGCATTCCAAGCCCGCATCCAGGGGTCCAGCAGATGGTCTCGACCGTCCAAGTCCCGCTGCAGGCGATGGATGTGTCGTGAACAATTTACTGAGTGGGCGAGTGAACGACCGAATGAACGAGGCATGAGATGAACTGCCAGCCTTTCGAGATGTAATGTACCGGCAGGGAGGAGCCAAAAAGGGAAAAAGTCTTTTTGTTTTCTTCAAATCCGGGCCTTGTACGGGTTGACGAAAGAATGTCAAATGGACGATGACCACAGGGTACTGGGTGTCGAGTACTATCTTGCCGATGAAAATTCATCCTAAGGCTACGACGGAAGTACAGTGGGGTCGTCCGCAACGAAAGCCTTGATGAGTTGATATGGAATTCGAGCGATCCGCTGACTAGGTAGACGACAGCATTTGGGAGTAAACTCGTCTTGTAGCTGTTAACGATGAATGACATGAATAGAACATCGAAGGGCAATGCTTCTTGTCCCCGATACTAGACTCCCAAAGAATTTTAACACAAGTGCTTCTCATGTCAAATGGTAGTGATGTTTGAATATTTGTTCGCTTATGATCGAGGCATTATCAAGCCCTGACTCATGGCAACGAGAGGGATGTATGGTATGTTACAAAAAAACTGAAAAGCTGTCAGGATTCGGATGTGATTTGAATTTATATTTAGTCCATCACTAACTTATGCCGATGTCTAACGGTAAAGTACAGCTTTAGTTCAGTCCCCTCCTGAGCATTCTGGTCCTCAGATTGGAAAACCCTCAGATCCATTGTTCCGTAGCTCCTGGATTTTCATGATTGTTTTTCAGCAACATACCTCCATTGTTAAATCCATTCCTACCCTCTGTACCTTCAGTCCTAACGGCTATCGTTGCCTTCAGAGTAGCACGACAACACTACCGATCACAATTGCCAGAACTAATAGAATCTTCTGCCCGCTGAGGTCCTCGACATGTGCTCCCAACCCACTGACTATCGGAGGAGTGATTGTGGGAGTTAAATTGATAATGTTTGTGACAATGGGGAAGCCACCACCAGCGGTCGGTGCACCAGTGGGGGCCTGGGTGATATTCTGTGGCTGTCCATAGCCAATGGCTGTAGTGCTCTGAGTAGAATATGATGCATCTGTGCCCACTGCTGTAGCAGGAATAGCAGATCCTACACCACTGCTTGTGTAAGGAGTTGGCAGATGGAGTGTGGACAGGTTTGGTTGTTCAGTCTTGTTCTGTGCATAGAGATTTCCGGTTTGTCCATTTGGAAGATTGAAATCACCCGTAAAGAGGTTGGCCGAGCCACCGGATGCACAATGGTAGACGCCTGTGGTCATAGAACCGTACGACTTGTCTGAAAGCCAGTAATTTGTGGTGAAACGGTCCTAAAATTGAAGGCGTGTTCAGTGCCAAATAGCGGCAGAAGGAAAGACAGCACGTACCCAGCACAACGGGACTTTCCAGGTGGTCAGAAGCAAGCAATCAGTCGTCTCAGCACCTGTACTAGGTCAGATCATCGTGTTCAGGGGAACTGGGAGAGGAGAATCTTGCAGCAAATGGTCTGTGGAAGCTCGAGGGTTTGTAGTGACTTTGGAAACCTGGACTCTGCAGTGTCGAAAAGCACCGGTGGAGTGCCGTCTTGAGGCTTCACAGTTGTAAGCAGGTTCATGTAGAGGTCAGCGAGATGGGTCTCGATGAAATGGCCATCATGAGGGAATATTCCAGGCGGCGAGCAGATAAAATGACCCTGGTCACAAGATTGACGGCCATGAACACCAGCACTTGACAAAATGAAATGAACAAACAGGTTCAAAGCGAGAAGAGGCAGTGCCGAAAGCACGCTGCTAGAGACGAGCATGATGATGACAGATGGCTTTGGTTTCAAGAGATTGGGAACGTTCAGAAATCGTACGTACCACCTCGATTGAAAACTGCAAGGTGATGGGATGAAATTCAACAGAAGTGCAGATTGTGAATCTGAGAGAAAGGTAGACGGAGAGCAGAACTGGCAGTCACTGCAATGCACGCAAGCAATTGCAGTGACTGATTGTTGGAAGGTGCGAAACCACAAGTCGTGCTGAGGAAAGAGCAACTGAGCACCAAAACTCAGGTATCTTCCTCGTTGACTTCGACTTCAGAAATTCAAAAGCAGCTTTCATCTCAGTCATCCTTCCATTTTCCTTCGCCCTCCATTTCTGTGTGCTCATATGATCAACATCTGGAGTTCCAAGTCGAGGTGGTCTGGTACATGACACATTTCAGTCGTTCCCTTTAACCAGGCATGCAATCTGGCACCCACACATCACTTAATCATCTCAATAGCTGTGCGCAGATCTTCTCACTACAGCCCACTTAGACCGAGAAGGGATCTTTTCAGGTTTGTGTTGGTGGATTCGCGACCGTATCGAGTAGCTGACCAGGACGAGTTGTCGGGAAATTTAATTCACTAAAAATTAGTAGATGATGAAATGTCCCCCAGGAATTCATGGGTTTAGTTGGGGTTTTCCAAGGGTAGCCTGATGAACAGCTGTCGTCCCCTGGTCCCAACCCGAAATTTAGATTAAAGTTCCCAATCTGGGGAAACCTGTTACATTGGTATGTAGTGTCAAGATGAATTTTGAAATATCGCACAGATGATTGAACTCCCCTGTCCATATAGCTGGTCAATGGCGTCAATATTACATTATTATATTAATCTAAGCATCTAGTTCTCGCATTAAGTCTTTAGGCTAAGATGGAAACAAGCAGGGTAAGGAACACAACCAAGCCCATATTCGCAGCATAGCTGGTTGAGCTACCGTTGGATCCAGTAGCTCCGGTAGCGCTGCTAGTAGGTGCAGCAGTTGTCGATGCCGGAAGCACACTGCTCGAGGTTGTTGAAGGTGCAGCAGTGCTGCTTGCAGTGGTCACGGAACGGCTGGTTGAGAGATTGCTAGAAGTGCTGGTGGAGTTTGCTGGTAGGTCACCACATTCAACAACGGGAACTGTGGTAGCAGCAGGTATCACACTTCCTGAAGGAGTGAAGTTTGCGACGGTTGCATAGTCCTGGACAGTGCCACTAACGTAGGTTGGAATGACGGTTTGGTGATCCGATTTGTCTTTCAAACCAGCCACAGATTTGATCCAGTCGGCTGCTTCATTCGAATAGTGCTGATAATAGCCAAGATGGGTCGAGACTAGAGCATCACTCTTGTTGCCAGCGCAAATTGGGTCGGGCTATGGAGAATGTGTCAGCAGATTGAGCATAAGATTGATGGCAGGGACTGCGACTCACTTCGAGACACCAATCGCGCAGAACAGGAGTGTATTTGTCAAGAGCGGTCAACATAGCAGCGTCCGTTCTGGGGAAAAGACCATCAAAACTAGAACCATTGCCGAAATTATACGGCTGGTTCGCGGTATGGCGAGTATTACCGAAGATGATGACAGCAGAAACTGTACATTTGTGTTAGTCAAGCCTCCAGTAAACGAGTGCTCTATTCAAGAGTGACATGGAAGAAGTCAGTAACTCACGTCTGTTTCCAGGACTCGTCGTTGGGTCTAGGGCAGGGGTCGAGGGCTGGATGCAACCATTGAAGGAGACACCACCACCACCACCTAGAATATCGGCGACGATCTGACCTCCTTGGGAATATCCAGCAAGGATGAGCTTCGACTTGGGGCAGCGTTCCGCATATGAGGTCAATTGTTTGAATCCGGCTAGTACACCATCGTAGGTTGTCTGGCAAGACAAATCGGTGAAGAGAGCGGAATAGATGAGATTTTCATAACCACAACTGGAAAGACCATCACAAGTAGCCGCAACTAGATCCCCCTGTCGTCCTGGGTAAGGCTCATTATTACCACGAGCCAAGAAGAAGTGTACATCTTCGCAAGGGGTACATGTTTGGGCCTGAGTGAACGAGGCCAATGACAGCGAGAGAATGGCGAAGATCGCCGATGTCGAAACCATTGCAGATACAAGATCAACAAGAAAACGAATGTGCTATTGAAAATGCAAAAGATGGACGAGGTACGGATACTTGAATAATCACCAAACTGAGAAAGATAGACAGACAATGGAAAAAACAAGCAAGAGATCCCAGCGACTTGATTGCAGAGGCGAAAGAAAGATCAATTTTCTATTCGGCTCGGGGACAGCGGTAATTCGGCTCAACTAGGCCAAAAGGTAAGTAAGACATTGGGCAAGATATCGCCTTTAACCGTACGTGCTAGTCCCGATCCAATCTTGTTGATAAGGTACGAAGTGCTTGTTTGCCTCGGAGGGGTACTGCACCTCCAAACAACAGGTTCAAAGGATGAGCTGTGGTATGGATACGAGTCCTTCCTTTGAAGCAATAATTCTTCATTGCTGCCAGTGCTTGGACTAGTATCACACTGATACAAGGACCACTCGCACTGCGAGGAATATAGGAGGAGTAGCATTCATGATAAACAATAGGAAATTAGCCAAAGTGGATTAGGGAAGTGGAAATCTCGGATGCGACAAAAAGGCGATGGGACACTGAGACGCGTAATTCGACTGCTACTGCGAAGCATACAAGTGTTGGTGATAGCTGCATCATGGTTTGAATACTCCGCTGAATATCATATCCCTCGGATTTATATCCCGACCCCATCGATGCACCGTGCACATCCTCCTACATATCTGTCCAGTTTCATCTAAGGTCTGATTGACATAAAACATCCGAAAACGATATGTCGCAACACTTAAAAGTGGTTCCGTCCCAGTGTTGGGCTGGATACAAATCCGCCGAGCGAGTTTCCAGCCCAGCTTACATGGGCTTGGTGAGGCTAGAGTCCTTTTAATCGAGATTGCCATCACCCGAACAGTAAACTCATACCGCTTGTTCATGCCTATGCTGCCTGACACTTAACAAGCAGTTCGTCGCATTGGTCAACAACGGACCCGTCCGAAAGAGCCAACTTTGTCTATGTTTCTTCAGGTGGGGAAAGACAGAAGAAGACAAGTACGGAGTACTGTTTGTCTTCACTAGCTGCATTGATGTCCAAGCTTTCTGCATCCTCCTCGATACGGTCCGGATACCAATGCTATGTCACAAGGTGTCAATCCACAGGGGAGACACCCTGTCTCTCCACAAACCATCATAACATTCGTCAAAGGCTCTTTGGTCGCCTTTGGGATCGACAGGAGAGTCAAATGTTAGATTTCAAGGGCAAAAATAATCTGCTTGACGAAGGTGAGTAACATCGATAGAGTAACCTGATTGACTTCAGATGGCGAGAGAACGGTAGGCAATTTAGTGTTGAGGTCGTGATATGAACGCGGGTGATCGAGATTGTGGCTGGATGTGCTACAACTCTTACGAACTGCTGGCTCCTAACCCCAGAAACTAAGGCAAGCCATAGCCTTACCCCTCGAACTCTCCAGCACAAGATGACCGCTCAAGCCCGAACTCGCCGAGATCAAATTCGGGTTGAACAGAGCAAGTCCACAGAGGCTCCCACAAAAACACCCATGATCCTGGGACATTCTCAACGGGCCCACGGCGCCATCCGAATGGACCCCTGTCGCTGGGTCATGAGATTCCCAGAGCGTTCAAATTCTCCGTCGATCCTCCTGCATTGGGCTATGTTCAAAATTGCAAACTCTAGGTCTTTGCACACCATTTGACCTTGTCACGACCGAACCTGGTAGCGATCTTCCAGAAGTGAATTTCACTCCAGGCATCCGGGACGACATCGACACTGAACCTGCAAAACAGCTAACCAAATGATGCCATCACCGATCTTCAAGACGTAACTCTCTTACTCCCTAGCAATGCTCCATATCCTTACCAACTGAGATGTGAGTGTTCATCCATTACTTTGTTGAGGATGGTGCGAAACATGATTGCAGTTTGAACGGCATCCATCGTAAATTGTGTTCTGCTGCAGCACATCCTGCTGGCCTACATGAGTTGAAGTTGATATGAAGTATATCATGGAAATCTATATAAGACCATCAAGGTCGTCCTCCCTCTCTACATCTTTTCTTCTCATCAGCATCAGCCAACAATCACTACTCAGAACAATCAGTTCCAGTCCACTCATTTGAAATCCCCCCACATTCATTTACTATCAAACTCAAACACTACTACTCCCAACAACCAACCCCAAACCCAAACTAACAATCAAAATGCGTGCCTCAATCATCATCTCAAGCATCTTCGCCGCTTCAACGCTGGCCGCCCCTCTTGCAAGTACGTCTTCTCCAGTTGCCGCCCATTTCCTATGATCAAAAGACTAACATACGATGCACAGCTTCCGCAGCAAAGCGAGACGTCAGCCTTGATGTCACCACCGGAGTCAATGTTGAAGGCCTCGACCTGGACCTAGACGACATCACCGACGTCGTCCCTGCTCTCCCCGCCATCCCAGCCCTGCCAACCATCGACCTTGGTAAGCGCCAACTCGGGCTCGATCTCGGCTCTGTCCTCAACCCTGTGACCGATCTAGTCGGCGACCTGCTCTCCACTGTGACCGGCCTCCTCCCCACATTGACCTCCGAAGTCAGCTCCGTGGAAGCCCTCGTCAATGGTCTTGTTGCCGGCACCGTCACAGACGTCGAAAGCACCCTAACAACCATCACCTCGACCCTGAACGACATCCTCACGCAGCTCGGTGGACTCGACCTCGGCGACCTTGCCAGTCTCACCAAGCGCCAGACCGTCGACGTCGACGCGAACGTCTCGGTCGATGCAGATCTCAGCTCGCTCGTCGGCACCGTCACCGGTCTGCTCGACACCGTCACCGGCCTCACCGACACTGTCGATGTCTCTTCCGTCGTCGACCTCGTTCAGACTGTCCTCAACACCCTCACGAGCTTGACCTCCGTGTTGGGCTTGAAGAAACACTAGAGATCATCATCTGTGGTGAGCGCAACGGTGTGTTTGGTTTCCGAGGACTTTTTTCGGCTTAGAGCGCATGTATCAGGCATATATACATTTGGGAGAGCTTTATGTTCCTTGTAATGTTTTCCGCACGGTATTGAACACTAGTGGAAAGAGAGAATGGAATGGTCTTAGGTATGAAACCTAATGGGCTGGGCAGAACGGGACAAAACGACAAATGTTTCGGGAGTCTAGATACTCATTATAATACATAAAAACAAAAATAAAAACACTGCACTATAGATGTCTACCTTTCGGTGGCTAGATGAAGACTGGTTGATTGTCAATGGTCCTTCGATGCAACGCCACGTCTGTTCTCCGGCGTCCTTCTATCTCGGGCACTCGTCATCAGGGAATCGACAGGCTCATGAGTAAATATATCACCGAACTGTACACTGTCCATTGTCAATTTCGCCCAGGAATGGGAGCGAGCCCACTTTCATCACGCAAAGTGAGCCGCTGAGGTGCATTGCTTGACCACAAGTGCAATGACAGGTACATCACATTACAGTCACAGTATCTACATATAAGAACCTCAATTGAGGCATTGCTGGGCCTTGCCACGTCCATTTGACCTACCTAGAGGGTACTCATCTATTCACCTAATCATGCGACACTCTCTCTTAATTACCAACCAATACACACATTCCTCCTTATGCATATTACGGCTAATGCCTCACGATCCTAAGAACCGACAACAAGCGCGCGGCCCGAAAAAACTACAGCGTGCATGATCCCCCAAAGCAAGCGAGCCCGCCGCGGTGGGGGATTCTGATCAGGCTGAGACTCCTGGCGCAATTCTACGAGGCAGCGAGTAGATACGAGCACTTGGGGCTGCATCCTATCCTGCGATCCATTCAATGTGGCGCCTCTGTGCAGCTCAGGTTTCGTGTTCTGACCTCATTCGACAATTTCTGTTTCTGCTGCTCACTATGCTCATTTGTCCACCTATCGTTGCAGCTGCATCCGTCCCCAAGGCATTTTGTTGGACAACCTTTCGCTCGCAAAAAAGCCACGTAGAACCCACAAACCGACCGAGAAAAGCTCCTGGCTTCGGTTAGAAACGTCCGCACATACCAGTCCACATCCATATCACTCTATACCTTTCACTCTCGCACAGGATCGTAGTGGAATTGTTGACAGAGTGGATGGATCTTCATACCCAGGGGTCATCTTCGGAACCCTTTCCCCTATCAAACTTAGCTCACAGCCGACTCAGTTCAAACTTGACAGGATTACACTCAACCGATATCAAGGCCTACTCGCGTATATCAGAGTTACCATAGTTTGAGAAGTTGGAGCGACCTGAGTACCTTTACCGAGTGGCTGGATTTAGTAGGTGCGGCTGAAGGGCTACATACCATAGCTCAAAAGCCTAGCATCGGTATTTTTTCAGCTCTTGAAAATGCTAGTGTGCCTTTTTGCAAGCCCTCTCGTATTCTATGACATCCTGACATGGGCTCTTTGCGATTCTAGACCTTAAACGACCCTGCATCTGGTTAACGGTGCGCTACTTGTGATTCTAGCCTAGGCTTCGGGGCTGACGTTCAAGATAAAGGTATTATCTGCTACTTCTCTGTGTAGTAGATTACGATTTCCCCATGGCTTCTACTAGCAGGAATCTATGAGCGAAAGGTCCGTAAAACGTCGTATAAGTTTATTCTCCATTTAGTTGTCTGGTTATCGACGTTTATGCCTCAAGGCGCCAGAGTTATCGATTCTCAATCACACCAATGATATAAGATGGCACCCCCATCCATCGCAAACAATTGGCTAGATCTGGTCAACTTTGAGGTTCCCGGTGCCATCCTCAGTAACCTCAATGCTCGAGGGATAAAGTGGCAGAAGATCGAGAATGCGTCGGGCAATCTGATCAACCTCGACACGTACAGTGTTGTGATCGATCAATTTCCCGTCCGAAATGGCCAACGCATGGGGGCGGCCGATTTCCTTTCCTTATTCCGCAAGAACATCAACACCTTCATCAACACGACGTGGGCCATTTTCTCGCCATTCGACGCTTCACTCGATGCCAAGTGGGCGACAAATAGTCCACTGGGTGCAGCTATCAAAATCGATGCTTTTGGTCCAGACAATGCCGCGGTGGTTGTCTCCGAGTTTTCCACCCTTCGCTGGCGGTTTTCAACCATCGAAACGCTCTTTTCGGGTGGGACAGGGACCCACCCGGTGAGTGGGACTCGAGAGTTTGGCATGCACAATGGGAATATCTTATATACACGAGGTGCCGATCGGACCACGGGTGCTTTGGAGTCTGCGTTCGAGGGAGGCGCTGTTTGGATCGCTGACCGGCTGTGGCGGAGCATGCAAGACACCACCGTGGAGTGGATCAACAGCAACGGTGGATCTGCCAGCCTCGTGAACCCCACGATCAATACTCTTCCTTGGTGGGGTTAACAAAGGACCGGAGTCTGAGGTAATACTCAATTGTCTCACCGTCCATAATGGCACTTTGGGGGGCTTTCGTAATCCTTGGTGCTCACACCAGACTCAAGGTTAGATATCAGAACGGGCGCAAGACGGTATCGTTCGCCACTCACAGGTGTAAAACTAGGCTTGAACGAGTAGGACAAAGGTATTCACCCCTTTAGGAGTGCAGGAAAGCTCCACGCAGTGCCTGTCTCTTTCTCATAGGTCTGAGACTAAGTAAAATCTCAATTTCCTTTACTGTGAGGGGGCCAACGAAGAATGCGGGCGGGTGGGAACAAAACCAAAGACTGGAAGTTTTTGGAACAGGATTCACCTCCTTGTAGCAGCTAGAGACGCGTCTTGAGACTCGATTCCATGTGTTGCCAGTATGAGCCTTTGGTAGAGTATCTGAGAGCTACGAATTTACGTAGTAGTGATTAGTGCAGTGCCCGAATTCTCCATATGAGCATTCGCGTTGCCAATTTTCCTCCCACAGGAACAAAAAGAGGCAAGCAAGTCTCTCGACATGTACATCCGACATCCCTGAGTGTCTGGTTGTGGGAGCCTTGGAAGACTCGACAACACTTTTCTTGTTTCTTGCCGTATTGCACTGGACTGTGATGCACGGTATGCATACGTGCGTTGCTTTAATCAAGTCAAGCCTTTTCGCGGAGCAAAGACATCTTCAAATGCTTCCTCACCAACCCGCACTCTGATTGACCTCATCAGCCCAATCACCGCCACCCGCAGCAGCGCCGCGATCGTCCTCAAAAGCTGGTAGGCGAGATTTTCCGTCACTACCGCCGCCACCACCGTCATGAATACTGCTGACCGTCGATGCGGAGTCGTAGACACCTGGTGTTCCTTCGCGAGTGACAGCGCCATGATCAGAGGAATCCCAAGTACGGTCTGCACTATCGATAGCAGCGGCGCCATTGGCGTTGAAAGTGTTTGTCGCATTTGAGAGATTTCGTGCTTCTGCTGGCGTGCCGTCTTCCCAACCTGTTGATTCTTCGTTGGTGGGTTGATCCCATGAAGACTCGCCCGTCGCAGCCGCGGCACCGCTGTCTCCCGTATCCCAACCAGCACCTGCGGAAGCCTCAGCTCCAGTGGCGGCAGCATTGTCACCCCAGCCTTCGCCGGCACCGCCATCAACACCAGCAGCTTCTTCGGCTCTCTTGGCACGCTTCTCAGCCTTACGCTTCTCCACGTCCTCTTGGTTGTGGACACACCAGTCGTGCAGGGCGTCGTCGAGATCTTTGTCTTGGTCACGCAGCCAGGAGAGATACATCATGTCTTCAGGAGTATCTTCGTCTGTGAGCTTGGCGTTCCACCATGCGTAGAAGATGCTGGCGGTGGCGATGCCACGGACCTCATCGCTGCAGTTGTTCAAGGCTGGGTCGTAGAGGAAATATTCGACTTGGTCCCAGGTCATTTGAACTTTGCGGGCAACACCGAGCATGACCTTGGTCATGCTGTTGGCGAAATCGCGGGCGGGGATGCCGAGGTAGTTGGCGGCGATGATGGCGTTGACATATTTGATGAAGATGTCTGGATCATCTTGATCGAACTGGAGGAAATGGGTAGGAGTTAGTCTAGATCACTGAATCTGGGAGAGTAGCGAGTAGGAAGAGGGATCGACCTTCTCAAACTCGGCAGTCTTCTTCTCTTCAACGGATGCCTTGATCCAATTGAGGACATATTTGAGGCCTTTCAAGTTGATGCCGGTAACGGTGAAAGACTTGCAACTGCTGTTGTCCATGAGATCATGACGAATACGATCACAGAAGACCATGGCGACATCGCGGGAAAATTTGTGCTCTACACATTGCAAAGCAGAGTTTCTGTCTTGCTTGTAGAAGAGGGAGATGTAGGGAGCGGTGTCGTTGAGACTGCAAGACCAGGGCTTGTCAGAGAGGAGATTCATAAAGATCAAGGAGGTTCTGAGCTTACTCTGCCAATTTCGCAGGTGGGATTCTGGGACCACGATCCTCACGTTGTTCGGGAGCAGCTTCGCCAAAGGTGTCTTCCATGGTGGTTGATGCGTTGGCGTAGACGAAGGGGAGGGGGACTGTAGGAGGAGAAAGACGAAGGGTGCTTGAGACAGGTTGAATCCTTCCTATGCTGAGAGCGCAAATAAGTGATAGCCGTGAGTTCAGCAGTAGAGAAGGGTCAGAGCAGAAAGCAGGGAATTGAGAATGTGCGTCGAGGGGACAAATTGGGAGTGTGATGTTGGAGTGAATGTCTAGTGTGCGAGAGAAGAGGGACCAGATGACATTAGACACTGCTCCGCAGTTGGTGGTAAATCGTGGTGGTTAGCAATGGTGACTGCCAGCCGCGACTTGAATCAAAGTTAGCAGTCACACGCTCTCTATTCGCATCAAGTCCTGGTGATGTCAACCTCAGACCATGGAAACTGAAGAGACACTTGTAGGAAAAAGGAACAAAATCATTAGAAACATACAAGGCAAGGACAAAGAGCAGAGGCAAACGATGTGGAACACTGCATAACATCTTCAAGGTCAAATCAGACCAGAATGAAATAAAGAAGTCAATCAGTTGGTAGCCGCATAGGAAGTAATTGAATACCTAGCCATCACTCATCCACGTTATGGTATGGGATGTCATGGCATATCGTATCATACCAGATCAGATCAGATCAGATGAGGTTAATTCGGTTCCATTGCATTGCATTCAATTGAGATCAATAGTCGGTCGTCAGCTCAGTTGAGAATCGATCTCTCCATTCCCCGGATCGTAGCAAACACCATCAATCAACCCACGCATCCATGCATCCATCCAATTTCGAGGCGCCATTGCTTGCATCATAAAGTTCTCATTAACAGGCACGGGCACAGACATGGCAAAGAGAATATGCATCTATTTCTTTCCGCTCTTCTTGATGCCCTGCTGGCCGGCGTTTAGTGGTCCTTTTCCCTTGGCCTTGTCAGCCATCTCTTTGCGGGCTTTATCGTCTAAGAAAACAAAGAAGGCGGTGTCAGTCTCCAGTCTCCCAAGCGCAAAGTTGGTGTCTTCTGGGGGATGTTATGTACCGGCTTGCTTCTTGGCCTTGAATGCGATTTCATCTTCATCCATGTCTTTCTTCTCCTTCTTGGGTGCCTTCAGTGGCTTGACTTTGCCGCCTGCAGTGTCCTGGTGGTGAGTATCGATCGAGGGAAAAGGCGGAGAGGGGAGGGGCGTACCTTCACGACTTGCACCACCCATGATGATTTGTTGACTGCTGAGTACTGGAATAATGGGCCTGGAGAGTGTGATTGTCGAAGTATCTGCGGAAGACGAGAGATAGATGGAGTTGAGTGGCAGTGAGAAAGATAAGTGCAGCCAGCCTTACTGTTCCAGGGTCCAACTTCAAGTCCAGCGCAGTGACTCGCAAAGTCCCTCATCCACCGCCACTGCCTTTCGACTCCACCAAAAAACCGATATTGCTTGGCATAGGGTGGCTGACTCAGCCATCCAGTGTTCCATCTTCAAGTTCGTCTTCACGTGTTCATAGGCAGGAAATACGCTAGAGCACGCTCATTGATTGTGTTCATTTCCAGATACGTGGTGCCCGAGTCGACGGACTTCAACTTATGTAATATTGATCCATCTGACTTGGTCAATGGGGGTATACCCAGAGACAATCATATGCATCTTCACCATTTATGCTCTCAGGATCTGAGAGACCTCCAATTGTACACATATCCGACTCCATCCTCCATGGTATATCCGAGCTCACGAGGACAAAAAGAGAACTGGCCTGCTGAGAGAAAACATGTACCCATCCAATACACTCTCCAACCATTCCGATATCTCCAATTCCCTTTAATCCAATCTGGTCCAATTTGACTGTTCAATCCTCCAACGCCCTCGCTGCTTTGGCACTACTTTTCGAATCCAGTTTGTTGAAGGAAGTAGAAGAGAGAAAAAGAAGAAAGAAAAACCCCGATTTCGTGATTGTGTTTGTCGATCGCTGTGAAATCATTGCCTTGCATCGCGTCGCTGTACTTTAGTGTGAAAATTCGGAAAAGAATGAGAGATAAAACAAATGTTCGTGGTAGGTCGTGGGCGATTGCATCTTTCCAATGGTCAATCGCTAGGAATTAAACTGTAGTCGAAAAGGAAAAGCCGGGGGAGCTCAGGTTGTGACTCTCTTGATCCATAATCCGGTCGGCTGCTCGTAGAAGTCGTCTTTGTCCTTCCGCCTCTGTACGCGGTGTAATCTCAACCCCGTTTCGTGTTCTTCATTGGTGATATCTTGTAATTCCAGTTCGAGGTTGATGATCATTTTGTCCACTTCCTTTCGTTTCCGCGCATCATATACGATGGCATACTTTTTCAACGATTCGCGTAATTCGGCAATGATTTTATTTGTGTTTCTCTTTCGTCGGGCCAAATCCTCCATTCGTGCTTCCAGTGTCCCGGCTTTGTCTGCCGCTGATGTCTCAACGGGTGTTGGGGGGAGAGATTTGCTTATAGATGCTCCACTCATCAAGCTGGCCGATCGTCCCTTTTCCGCTCCCACAGCCTTGCGAAGAATATTCGAACTCGATTTTCGTACACCGATGTTTCCAAACGGTGAAACACCACTGTAGGCATCATGACTTCGGGCGCTATTGTTAGCAGCTACACGTTTGCGCAGCATAATCGGGGGAGGAACTGTGGATGAGTCATTAAAGGAGACGGGGCTGCTGTTGAACTGCTGTCGTGCTATCGGACTCGGAGGGGCACCCGAATATTCATCCACATTACTCGTCGCATATGTGTTCCAACTGGACGCCGTCTCCGCTTCGCGCTGTAGGGGTTTTGGTGGTGCATTTTCATGGAGAGATTCCGAACTCGAATTCGGTCGAGCTGGATCAAACGAAGCGACCGACCCAAGAGTCGGACTGTCAGCACCATATTCTTGAATTGTGCTGGGAGCCGGACTGGGCATAGCATCATACATATTCCGCGGAGGAGGTCCAGGACTTTGGAAAGGGCTTTCAAGAGCTCGAGTCTGATGTTCACCCTCGGTTGGTGATAATACACGTGGTGTATTTCTTCCTTTCAATGGAGCCACGGGCTTGAGAGAATCCGCAGAGTCAACAGATCGGATAGTGGCAAGAGATGGGCCGGAGGCTGACATTGGCGGCCTAGGTGACTGGGAGGGCTCAGACACCTCATCAAGCACAGGGCTGGGGACATTTCGTTCAACCTTCTTACGTTGAAGCAACAATAAAGGCTTGGTTCGTGCACTGGGAGTGTTCTTAACAGGCTCCACTAGTGTCGTCCGTCCACTCGCACCTTTCCAGGCTGGTCGTTCCACTGGATTGTCCAGGGGATCTTCGGCAGGGGTGGATTGCGCCCAGTTTGATTTCTTGACAGCTTCCCGTTCCTTAAGGCCTGCGAGAATCTGCCTCGTCCTTTCTTTCAACTGAGGGAATGACTGTTCTGGTTGGGGCGCTCCAGATTTATAGCTGGAGGGGTGGCCCTTTTGACCATCCGTGGGTTCGCCTGAATATGCATCCCATCGGGTTTCCCCACTCTTGGTTGCTTTATGTGACCAGCGCTTCTTGACACCCGACTCTGCAGGGGAAACGTTGGTAGCGATTGGGAGTGGAAGTCTCTTGGGGATCTGACTCGGTTTCGCAGATTCCGGCGGTGGTTTCTGTGTAGCAGCGGGGAAATTGGGTTCGATCGGAGAGATTACGGAGGTGTTTGACTCGGTATGGGCATGAAGCGTTTCTCTGCTGCTGACGGGCGAGACGGCTTCGGGTTCTGAGATTGGCCGTTCACTGATGTTTCGGTTGGCCGCGGGCTGTTGGTAGAAGTGGGAAGCGATGGGGGAAACGGGTTCGTTGGAATAGACCGAATCACGCTCATACATAGGCGGAACGGCACGACTGCGATACAAACAAGAGCATTAGCCATCGGGACTTGTGAAAGACTGAGCAGAGGTCTTACAAAGGTAGTTCTGGAAGGGCCTGGTGTACACTACTCCTGCGACTGTTTCGACTATATAGAGATTCCACCTCGTGGATGGTCTCGAGATAACGATCATCCATCGTTGGCTCTGGATAGGCATGATAGCCCATCTGGGGCTCGGGGTCGGTATTTCTCCTCCACATCTTGATCCCGGCGGTGACTGTGTTGCTTGCGACTTAGACCTGGTGGGTGACGGTTAAATCTTGCGTGCGCCGCAGGGATAAACACTTGTTCATAACGAAGAAAGCGAAAGCTGGAGGACAAAGAGCCGGAGCAGATATTCGGGTAGGAGTGGTCGTTTCGCAGCGAAGACGGTACAATGTCAGCGAAGTTCACGCCACGGTCGAGTCAACGCAGTAGTAAATCTGACTGTTGGACAAGGTTCGAAAATAGATAACTGTCAAATGGATTCTCGGGATAGTGATAGAAGCAGGGGGGTCGGGAGTTGGTTGTTCGCTTGAGACTGGAGTCAGAAACGAAGCAGGTGATGTCGGTCATTGGTTGACGAGGTGTGGCAGCAAATGTGAAACAAAGGAAATGGTTCAGGGTCAAGAGAAAGGAGGGTCGGGGCTTGCTGGGCTTGCTGGGCTTGCCGGTTATGGACACGATTCAAGCACTGCCCCAATTCAATCTTCCATTGTTATGGACAATGATAAGAACATCGATCCGGCCATACATCAGACTGATGGATTATCGTCCTGTTCCCCAAGGTTGTGATGCTGATGCCATTCGATGTTTGAGTTGACCGTTTGGCTTGGACTCTGCGACGCGTGCCAGTGAAACACGACAAATAGAATGAAACCTTAAAGGGAAGTGGAAACAAACAAGAAAAAGGCGGGGAACTCAGGCTTGAGAACAAAGATTGAACAGACATGGTTGTGGGGCTGAATACGGAGTATTAATGATGTGGCTTTCGCCCACTGGAAATACGTTCACAGAGCATCCGTGAATGTTATTCATAGTCCCTGGTAGTATGTAACAAGTGTATCACTGAACTGATGATTGACATCAACATCAATCCTGATGCTTTCGACCTCCCTGGCGACCAAGCGTCAAAAATGGAACAAAGCCCAATGCCAACACACCGCCAACAAGTGACACCCAAAATGTAGCCTGGTACGGTCTCCATCGATTGTGCTCTTCACCTCCTGCACTGTTGTAGATACTGGTCTGTATTCCAATCCCCACCGTCGCTCCCAATCGGATCACGGTGTTGAACAACCCCCCCGCCACCGATTGTTGATCCGATGGAAGACTCGACATCACATACATATTCGTCACCGTGAACTCGAGATCCTGAGAGACCACCGCAAACAGCTGTGCTGGGAAAAACAACGCCCAGTATGAAATGTTCCGGGCTGTCGCACTGTACAACGCACATGAGATAACATGCGCCGCGGCACCAACAATCATGATCGACTTGTTGCTGACCCGGTGCATGATCATGGCGGCCAGGACGTTGACCAAAATGCCTCCAATTCCAGCTGGTAGCAATCGGACTGCATTCATCAACGGAGACACTCCTTCGATGCGTTGCCAGGCAAGAGATGCCCAGAACATATTGCCCGAAAAGCCGTAGAATCCCAAACACAAAATAATCACCACCAAGCTGAAGTTGCGATCCCGCCAGACGCCCAGCGGCATCAGAGGATATCTAAAGACACTCTGCCAGTAGATGAAGCCTCCCGTCAAGGCCAATCCTACCACCAGCAATGCGATCACATAGGGTGTGCCCCATCCACCCGAGGCTTCACCTCCCATGGTCAACGCTGCTGTAAACATGGCTATACCGACGACAGCCAGAAATGCCCCAAGTAGATCGAATTTGACAAATGTCTCGACGTTGAACCCTCCCAACTTCTGCTCCGTATCCGGGGGCGTTGTCCACCAAGCGGCCACAAAGAAGAAAGCATACATGACGGACATGACCCAAAAGACGGCTCTCCACGTCGTGATCTGCATCGTCACGCCCGCGATGAATGCCCCAAGCACGAAACCAACCGGATTCCCTCCACTAAAGCAGGCGAATGCACGATTCTTCCGACGTGACGGCTTTTCGTAAACAGCTCCCAATTTACCAATGGCCGGTGGGACTGACGCGGCCGAGCTCAATCCCGCAAGGCCGCAGAAGACGTCCATATAGATGGCGTTGGTGGCGAACCCAGCAACCAGTAGACAAATGCTGAAGAATCCAATACTCACCAAGAACAGGAGCCGTCGGCCAAAGAGATCAGCTACCCGGCCGAAGAACAAAAGAAACGTCCCCGCCGCAAGTGTCTGTGCCGCACTGATCCAGGTGACTTCGGCGGCCGTCATGTTCAAATCTTTGCCGATGAAGTTGGTCATGCAGAGTAAGGCTCCCGTGAAGATTGAGCTTTGTCCCACGGCGACGGTCGTGGTCAGGACGAAGAGAACTTCCTGAAGGAGGCTGCTGAAGCAGGCTGGTCGACTACCATGGGGATCTGTCACGACGGGTTCCAGTGGTGCACCGTCCGAGTCGGTCGTGGGCTCGAGAGACCTGAGCTCGACATCCTGGGCGCGGTTCTCCAGGTCAACCGTAGGTTGTTGGACGGCGACCTCTTTGGTCATGCTGGTTGACGGGCTCATAATTATGATTAGGAAAATTGTGTCGTTATAGGCAGCTCATCCCCACGCTCCTCTCAACCCAACCACATGCATGGAGGAGAGTGTTGTAAGAGGAGAATAGATGAAAGGTCAAGTTTGGATTTGAACTTTGAAATTTCGTACATCATCCAGGTACGAGACTAGCGTTCAAGGCTCCTTTTTGGGCAATTCGCCACCTATCCAACTCGATCCCCACCTCCTCATCGTCCGGAATCTTGAGGTTCAAGCATTCTTGTGATGATCCGTTTGGTTGGGGGCCCGGGGATCGGTTCTAATTCCGCTTCAGAACTCCAGTCGCTTAGGCGCTTGGTGCCTGCAAGCTTCAACTATTAATCAGCGGCGTCCAGTGCAGTGCACGCCTTACAAGTTACAACCCCGGGAGCGATACCACTTTTGATGTCTAGAAACTACGAGTTCGAGTTAAGTCTATACAGTCACGGGTGGAGAAATCTATTGAGGTAGCTACGAAGCACAAGATACGCGGCATACGTACTGAGTCCAGGTATTAGCCAAAGGTTTCCGAAGTCTTCACTCCTGCGAGCAGGGGATGGTATGTTTTCTGGAAGGGATTCTGCATCTTAAATTCGCATATCAGGTATCGGCGATATCAATCGATAATCATTTATCAAGACGTCTGCCATCGAGTGTGTAAGTCTCTGCTTGCAATATTAATGAGTATCAGCTTTCTAGGGTACTCGTTAGCAGGTCGAGTATCATGAATGAGCCCGCCGCAGCTCACAACTTCAATACATAAGATGAGCGACTTGGATAAGTCCGGCTCCTCTCACACAGGCCATTCACCCGGACTGCTACTTCAAGGTCGAGACGACTTCTTCAACTTGTAGTAGGATTTGATGGCCTTTTTGACTCGGCTCCACAACTTGAAACATGGGGGCTTATTCTTAACCAACTTTGTCTCCAACGGAGCGCGGTGATCGGCTAGAAGTCGAGGGAGAGCAGTTGTTGGTGAGACGGCATCATCCTCGATGGGGAACGACTGCTTCAAGTCGCGGAAGACAAAGTTGAATTCACGATTGGCGTGGGCCAACTCGTGGAATGATTCGAAGATATCGGTAGGACTGATTATAAACGCTGGACTGTCAACAAAAGCTTCGATAGGAGAAATCCCCGCTGACTTCTTTGGAGACATGGATCCCTCCTCAGCCTCGCTCTTAGGCGCAGCCAGGAGTCGTGCATACTCTTCGCGGAAAGATTGGAGGTCTGCTTCTGTGACGGTATTGTAGCATGGGACTTCGGCGCCATTTTCTGCAGGAGTGTTAGGAGGGGCATCACTTTGATCATAGTCCTTGGGGCTCTCACAAAATTGGGAGCGCAGTGTACTGAGACTGTCGACATTTTCTGCCCAAGTGTAAATCCTGCTCTCCAGAGCCTTGCGGGGAGATTCAACATCTTCCTCATCGTCGCTACTATCCTCATCACCACTGGAACTCCCCTCATCCGAGTCTTCTTCATCATAATAACTCTCGGGGCTCTCACAGAAGCGTGCAGGTTCTCCGCTCACAGGTGACAGCCAATAGCCCCGGTTGCGAATCTCTCTCATTTTGATCTTTTGCACTTCTTGTTCCCACACAACACCCCACCACTGGCCCCGTGGCACGTGAGGCTTTGATGCAGCGAACCATCTTTGCCAGGCCAACTTTCTTTTCACTGGAGTTGCAAGGTAGTCTTCATCATCAGACTCCCCATCACCGGAGTTCTCGCCATCAGAATCCCCATCATCAGAGTTCTCGTCCTCGGAAGGTTCCTCAGAACCCTCCTTGAGAGGTGGTTCGAAGTACTCCTCGATAGAAGAACCTGAATCCGAAATGGGCCAACTCGAGTCTTCATTGCAACTCTCAGTTGGATAGTATCGCGCTCTGATAGCCCAGGCATTCAGCTCACAACCGGCCTTGGTATCAATTCTGAGTCGCGGCTTCGCAGAAGTGGAAGGGCCCTGGATCTCGTCAGCAATTTCAATCTCTTGCAGCACAGGGTCGTCAGAATAGATACTCGATGATCGTCGACATACTAGAGGCTCACTGTTCTCACTTTCAGTCCCATTGACATTCACATCCAGACTGACACCCGAATCTGTGGGAGTGTGGTCGTCGCAAGCCAGGTTCAACTTCGATACCATGTCCAAAGGCTTCGCACACTCCTCTTCGAGGGACTCGGCCACCACACAACCAGCACAGCTAGACCATCCAGGGATCTCCCTGAGTAGTGAAGCCAAGTCTTCCACGCTGAGACGAGGCGAAACTGGCGACTGGGTTTCTTCAACGAGTGGAGTGTCCTTGGGAAGAAAGCTGGTCGGTGTAAGTGGTGAAATACACATGTCTTCAGCCATCTTTGCAAAAAGAAGAGTCCTTCTTAAGAGACCGTGGTGTTAGTGTCCTCGCGAGCTTGAATGTTCCTACTGATTCAGAGGTTTTTGGTTACTTTGGAGCAGTAGATATTGACTGGATAGCTGTGTAGGTTTGGTATGAGGACCAGACATTCCCGTTCATCGTGGTAGACCTCAATTTATACCTTTCGCTGCGTGCTCGCTCAACACCAATTCTTCCATTGTCGCTCAAGTGCTTTGTCGCGCGTCGCTTGTCTCCTCTTTTTGAAGCACCAAGAAATGCGTTTTTGGTCTTTGGTGCAAGGCGTTGAAAGAGGACGCAGATTCTTTCTGGCATTGTGCGCTTTGTCCGTCTGTCCCTTCATGCTCGGAGGCAAGTCTCCCTTAACGCCGGATAGAGGGTCATTGGTAGCAGAGTATGAGCATCGCCATTCTAGAGATGCTCCCCTTCTCACCTTTCTATGTCCACTATTCAGTTCAACGCTCACGCTGAAGTGGGCCAGGAGGATATCACCCTCCTCGGCGGACCAACAAGGTGCTCTTGTGATGTTACTCGACTATGAGGGGAATCTGTTAGAGACCATATTTCTATATATGGCAATTCAAGCGAGCGACGAGGGGAGACAGACAGCTTGTGAGGGTCGAGGACTGCTTTGTATCTAGTATGTGGTGGCAAGCTTCAGGGGACATCAGCCTTGTCAAAGAAAGAGGTCAAAATCATAGTCTGAGTGTCCATGGGGCCTTACTGGATCCTGGATGACGGAGTCACAGGTAGGGCAATACTAGTTTCAATGTGATGTTCAACAAGCCAGTTCGAATGCTGAGAGAAGAATGGCCAGAAATTCATGAACTTCAATTCGTTGACGTACACACCACTCCAACGCTCAAATTGCACAATTATCGCCCAAATGGTCACCTAAAACAATCGTAGTCCACGTAATATCTGATAGCTCTCTGTATCTCCTCTACATGTTCCATTTCAGAACAAGTCTAAGCCAACGCACCCATAGGATCCCAGAGCGGTAACTCCAAAGGCTCAGACTTGAGAATATCCTTGATCTCCTTGCTGACAAAGCCCGGGTCCACGACAACTTGATAGACGAATTCATCCATCCATTTATCCGTCATGACAAAGAACCCTTTCTCTCCGGCACTCTCGCCCCAGGAGTTCTGGACTCGCCAACGGACAGATTTGCCCTCCTCGACTTGCACGGCCGTTAGGACCATTGCGTGCGTCATGGCTGACTCACGTGCCTTCAACCGTTGAGATTTACTCAGATTCAGGCTGATGTTGAACGCCAGGCCGTAGTCGTAAAGCGCTGTATCCATGATTCCGGACTGTGAGTTGGAGAATTTACCAACATCGCTACCGAAGAAGACTGGAAGGCCTGCGCGAAGCATGGCAATCGTGGCTTTCTTGATCGTGGCCATGTCAACATTAACATACGTGATTGGACGTCCTCCCACGACGTTGCCAAGGCGATTGACCGTCAAGAGCTGGTTATATTTATTTCGTGGATCGTTGACGAGACTGAAAAGCTCGCTGACGTTGGCGTTGAGGGAACGAACGACGCTAGGGCTAGAGATGTCCTTGGCAAGTTCGAGCGGCGTCTTGGAAACACTGTAATATTTCTCATTGGCATCGTAGTATTCCCAGGTGAATTTCTCATCAGGTTTGGGTGGTGGTCCGAGCAGGAGAGTCAAAACCAGATGAACCTCTTGGATAAATTTGGCTTTTGTGGCAATAATGGATGATTTCTTGACCGATGGTTTGTTCACAAGGGCTCGTAGTGCCAAAGCATCTTCACGTAGCTTGGTGGTTAGGATTGAGTTAAGAGGTCCTGAATTCATGGCGTTATATGAGTCGGGATAGAGCTTTTGAGGGACCTGTAGCAGTCAGTGGTGAACACAACGTGATGTTATAGATAAGGACATACCAAACCATATTTAGTGACCAAGTTAGCAGCCATATCCCACTGTCCGCCGTCGTTTACGGGGGCTCCGAGGAGTTCTTGGATCAGCCGGCTATCCAGATCTTGGTCCGCAGTATCGATGATCTGCTCAAGGAACCAGTTGGCTTTCTCCAGCTTATCCCAGAAGAAGAGATATGCCTGGCTGAGCTCAAACTCCTTGAGATTGTACTTCTTCATGATGGGCACTCTCAGCACATTGGTAGTCGCGAACAACCAGCATCTTCCTGAAGACCTCTGATTTGTGACTGGTGACCCCTCGAAGGGTATCTTGACATTAAAGGTCTGGGTGTCAGACTTGGTTGCAACCTTGTTGGCAACGATGGTGCGAATGTCGTTGGAGAGGAGGGCATTGAGGGCGAATCGGTTCTTGGGGTCGGACAGGAGCTCCTTTTCCCATGCTTCAGCGGTCTTTACGGAGAGGGTGGGATCGGTCGAGTAGGTGAGAGGAATGCCCTTTTCGGTATCAACCTGCAGATAGTCATCGTCGACTTCTCGTTGCCTGATACCGCGGCCGGTGCGGAGATTCTGGAGTTGCTGGACGAGGATCTTCTCGACCTCAGCTTGAGATTGCCTGTCGGATGCTGAGGACTGTGAGTTACCCATGATGATAACAACGACCGCTATGACTATATGAATGTTGTTTACTTCTTGCGAGTGGTTCAAGTTTGGGAGAATCGAAGTACTCAACCCCACCTGCAACTTATCAGCATGTTCACTGATAAGGGTGAGGACAGCGCGCGAGTCAGTGCGAGTCGGGTTGGCGCTCGCCCGGTTGTCACCAGTTGTCCATTATGGAGCTACTTCAAAGCAGCGCCGCAGATTCTACGCTTTAAGGCTAGTGTTGAATTTGAATCCGGTACATCACGTGACTAAAGATGGCTCGAGCACGTGCGAGGCTATTGCCCATGGGGCTTCCACTACGGCCATTATCGGCTTCAATGCCGAGGACTTCCTTAGGTACGAGGTACATACAACATATATACACAGTCATCCTTCAAGCTATTTTCACTTCATCCCACACAAATTGCCTACTGAGTATATCATGCCACATATCAAACCATTGGAGCCCGTCCAGCTGTACCGCAAGCACAGAGTCTTCGTCACTCTCTAGACGACTCCGTATGGCTCGGAAAGGAGGCCGGAGACTCATCCCTGCTTTTTCCAGACAAGCTTTCCCTAAGCTACCGAAGCCTTTGTGCGCGATATTCAACGTTGGCACTGGACTTTATCCCGTCGTTGGTCCACTCAAGGATCAGACATGAGGCGTATTATGCACAGAATAAAATGGGTATTGGCTGTGGTAGGTTGCTAGGATGGAGAGGGTAGCAGGCAGGGATCTGGTAGGTGGGCATGCCAAGGCCCAACACCGTGTGGAAAATTTGGCCGAAAGCATGCCTTGCGAGAACTCCACATTCGTAAGAATACGAACCTGATCGTGATGGCGATCAAACTCAATGCATGTCGCAATCGTGTCTAACAGGAATTTTCATGGCCCCGCTGCCGGTTGGAGATGTATATAAGGCAGGAAGACGCAACGATGGTGGACATTCGTGCAAGTAGCAGGTCCATTGGCCTGGTTGTCTGTACATCAGCGCGGTCCAAGGACAAATTATGGCTCATTCTAACGACAGTGACGAAGGCTTCACCAAGTCCTTAGATGCGCACACGGCTCCACAACACGGCAATGAAGATGAACCGCAGCTCAATGTTGGTGGTCATGGAGGAACGCAAAGACGTCTTCGAAACTATCAAGTCACCATGATCGGATTTTGCAGTGGCATCGGTACTGGTCTGTTCATTGGGTCTGGTGCGGCCTATGCGAAAGCAGGTCCCGCTGGATTGTTGTTGGCATATATACTTGTCGGAGTGGTGCTGTGGTGTGTCATGCAAAGTATTTCTGAGTTGGCTACCTTGGTACGCTGAACGGCATGATCGGATGCGGAACAGAGCTTTTACTGATCTATTCGCCAGTACCCAACTGCTGGGTCATTCCCTCACTGGGCAACCCGATTTATCGACCCATCGGTGGGATTTTCTCTTGCTATTTCCTATGGTTACTGCTATACAATTGCCATTGCCTCGGAGGTTTCAGCAGCCGCGGTTGTAGTTTCTTTCTGGACAGATATCACTCCTGCGGTGGTTATCACCGTCGGACTCGTCCTCATCCTGGCTGCCAATTTAGTCAATGTACGATGGTATGGCGAGGTCGAAGTCGTGACTGGCGCCATCAAGGTTTTATGCTTCATCGGCCTGGCGATCGTCTCCATCGTCATCACCGCTGGCGGCGCACCCAGCCACGACCCAATTGGTTTCCGGTTCTGGAAGAACCCAGGTCCATGGACGGACTATAATGGAATCACGGGCTCGACTGGTCACTTCCTTGGATTCCTCGCCGCTTTGGTCAACGCCTCCTTCAGTTTCATCGGTATTGAGACCGTGGTTATCTCTGCCGCGGAGTCTATTAATCCACATCACGCCATTCCCCGTGCTGCAAGTCGCGTTACCTATCGAATCGGATTCTTCTACATCCTCGGCGCCTTTCTTATCGGCCTAATCGTGGCTTCGGATAACCCCAGTCTAGTTTCTGGCAGCGGCAATGCCAACAGCTCGCCCTTTGTCATCGCCATAGTGCAAGCGAAAATCCGTGCATTACCATCGATAGTAAATGCGTGTATTCTCGTGTCCGCCTGGTCAGCTGGCAATTCATACTGCTGGGTTGGTTCGAGAATGATGGTGGCCATGACAACGGATCACCAATTACCTCAGATCTTTGGACGAACAACGGCACAAGGTGTACCTTATATCGCGGTCATCGCTGCCTGGCTGTTTGGCCCACTCGCATATCTCAGTCTCGGCTCCGGCGGTGCCGCTCAGGCATTCACCTGGCTTCTCAATCTGTCCACCGTCGCCGGCCTCGTCGCGTGGGGCACTCTCTGTGTGTGCTACATCCGGTTCTACGGGGCCCTCAAGTCACAAGGCGTCAGTCGCGAGACCCTTCCGTGGAAAGGACCATTCCAGCCGTATACAGCGTGGGTGGGTTTTGTCGGATCCCTGTTCATCACGCTGATCAACGGATTCTCTGTGTTCTTAAAAGGACAGTGGTCAACGTCGGATTTCATCGCGAGCTACATTGGAATCCCGATTTTCATTGTGCCGATCATTGCGTGGAAGCTACTCAATAAGACAAAGGTGAACTGGTTTTGCTCATCCCCGTTTGGAAATGCCACATTCACTGACCGTAACATAGATTGTTCACCTGTCCGAAATCGATTTGTGGTCCGGCCGATGGAAGGCGCCGCACAGTGCGCCAAAGCCTGAGAATGGTCGCAAAGGGCCATGGAAGCGTTTTGTGGACGTCGCCGTGTAGCGCTTGTCGCTTGTCGGTCGCATCGGTCCCGGGCCAGGGGTAGTGTCTCAAAACTTCCACTGGAGTGTGGACAGAGGCTCGTCAGGGCGCATTATTCTCAAAGCTAGAGCATTCCATGTCGATAAGATAATTATTGAACACGAAGTATTAAACGCACGTATATATAAAGCCGTGCTTTTTTACACGTGAATCTCCAAAGCACTGGTCGGCCAATTTGATGCACAGGACATTTCAAACGTCGCGACTCTGCAACAGCACCCTCCGATTTCCAAAATCCAAATTATTAATCCTTCCTCCTCACAAAAGCCCAGCGAAGGGATCGGCAGCAGCAGGATCGAGAACAACACAATGACGCACCCGGCTCAGCGAATGCCTAAGATACAGCCAGCCAAGGACGGTGCGAAAAGGACGAGTAGGACGGCGAGGAGATGATGAGAAGATGGTGAGAGGAGGGCGGGTCTTGCTTGGGGTGATGGATTTTCAAGCGGCGCCGGGGATCACCAAGTGCAGTGGTAGTGAGCGCCGAACAGCTTCTACATACTCGTAAGTACGAGTTTGTTCAGAGATGGGGGAAGGGAACGCAGCGTGGCGACCGTAGTCGTGGTGACAAAACACGGAATTCCGCCCACAGGGTCCAAGAGACTCCAGACTCGATGATAAGACGCCATCGCCGCCCCATGCAAACGACTTGACGAGACCCTCAGCCAGGGACACTCATTCTCAATAATGCCAATGCACGAAGGAATCGCTTGCGATATGGGGCACCGAGGATTATTCCAACGACATCTCTGTCTTCGTGACTCTTTGTATATATATCCACACTCATAGTCCTTCTCGTTCTGATCGTTGTGGCATCTCCTGGGCGACAGGGGCTCAGGAGCCGTTCATTCCAGCGTTTGGTAATCGGGAGATATGTTGCAGTGGAGGAAGGACGACAAGGACGGTGGGGCAGTGTTACATAGGTGCAGAGGTTTGAACGGGCTTCTTACAGATGGAGGGCACCTCATCTTTGATAGCTGCGACGAGGCGGAGCCTTGGGTTTTGGTGCGAAGGGACTCATGGCTGAGCCGGTTCAATGTGTACCGTCACGAGATGCTCATGAGCAAGGTGGGATACAAGACAGATAGTGGTAAACAATGTTCCATTGAAAGACATCTAAAAAAAAAAAAGGACTTTGAATAACCTTGAACCCTGCATTGGGTATCGACCGATATCAACGCCCCAAAGCCAAAAACATAATTTTTCATCTGGACTAATGACTTTGTCATAAAGTGATACATGTCCGTGGGGAATCCACACCCATTTGCGCCGGAGATTGAGGTCTTTGACAGAGGCTACCAGAAGAACCTCTCCTCATATTAAGCTCCATCAGATTATGGATAGCTCATCTGGCCGGGGCTCGAATATGCTTGCTTGGTCTTGGGATTGATGCCTGTCGTTCTGACCTTGATTTCCTTGTTCTCTTGGATGAGAGTACAGCATGCACAGCAGCACGACGCGCAAAAATCGCCACAGCTGCTGCCGTCGATGCCATGCTTCTCACGTAGAGAAGTTCGGTTAATGCACTGTAAAATTCCGTTGGCCCCTAGGGCAGCGAGACAATACCAGGCAAAGCACTAAATCTGTTAGACGAGAGAGGAGCTAAGTTTGAGACCAAAGATCTTACCTGTCCACCAAAACCACTTGAGTCTTGGTCACCACGCTCGAGATCGTGATTTACCTGATACAGCATGCAGGGACACCATGTTGCGAAACAGCCTAGTTGATCAAGGGTTAGTGGTCTTATCTCCAAGGCTCTTTCAAAAAGAAGTACTCACAAGTGCCGAATGGTGAGCAGCAGTCAAAAAGTCCGAACGACCATTTGCCCTGTGCGCCGTGGGCATGTGCGTAGGCAGCAGTGGCATTGGCGTGTTGTTTCTCCGAGTGGGGAGGCTGTTGACCTTGATGATATTGCTGAGGTTGCTGCTGGCCCCCTTGTTGGTATTGAGGACCTTGACCATATTGCGGGCCTTGACCGTATTGTGGTTGAGCCATTATGCTTGAGAATGATCGGAATGAGAGAAAGTGAATTGAGTTCTGGTGTGTTTAATGAGAGGAGACGAAGACAAAGTTCGAAGGAACGTGGGATGGATAGGCCTGAAAAGACAGTGTCCAAGTAGGTTCTGAATATGCAAAGAAGAAGGAAGAATTGTTCACTCTAGAGGGCCCTTAGAGCACAAGGCAGGTGTTATATCAGAAGGTGCCCTGACTACAATTTCGGAAGGGACTAACTTCGTACTCTTGATCAGAGCGGGCAATATGCGCATCAAGACCATCAAGACCCTCGGACCCCCAGACCCGTTAGGATGCTGGCCTAAGGGGTCTCATTAGCGGTCGAGAAGGGGCGGTTTATTGCCGTATCGACAAAAGTCAAACGTTTGGGCTGATGATCAGAGAACCCCAGTGGCACATTCCTCCCGTCCTTCCAAGTTGCGACCACCCCTGGCTTACGAGTACAGGCCTTACGAGATGGAGTGATACCCAGAGAAGTTACCTCGTAGTTTAATCCAACTGGTCGACACGAATTGACGGATTCACAAGGCTTAGACACGAATCTATCCGCCAATGCTTGCACGAGCTCTCACTACAACTAGTCCTAGATGAGGACTAGAAGAATTATGCGGCTGAAGCGCTAGGGCAGGGTCAGGCTTATTCTCAGGCGAGAGCGTTCCACCATTTTGAAACGGAATTAGTGGAGATTGAGCCACTTCGCACGCCCTAGATGGATAAGGGACAGGGTCTGACATGGGTCGTTGAGATGTCTTTAAGATTATCTAATTGCAGAAATTCTTGTTGTATGTGTCATACTTGCACTTGTAGCCTTAACTGGAAGCCAGAGGTCGGATATCTTTGAACACATTCGCACGGTACGGGTGGTAACAGTCTCCATAATTTACTCAGACGCATAGGAGCATGTTTATATGAAATTTCGTCAATAAGGTCAAAGACATCGAGAGACCTCCGACACACTCCATATGTGGTAGGATCAGGAAAATTCATAGCTTGTGTGATTAAAAAAACACCCCAAGGGACTGTTTAGTTAGTTAGACGCGTGTGATAGCAATCCTTCGCGGTTCAAAAAGGGGTCAATGCGTATTAACTATTCCTCTTCCCGTACCGTTTCTCGCTTCCTCCTCGAACCAGCTCCCCACAACTGGGGGCTGAACACGGTTTGACTTTCTTCTTAAGCACGGTCAGTCATGTTCGCAATTCCAGTGAGGACCTAAAAATAGGTAACTTTTGGAGTTTCGATCAGCTGCAGGGCAACATCATTCAGTTGTGTAACATTTTCGAGCTGCATGAACGAGGCGAACATTTTCCATGACAGCATGGATGATGCTTATTCCTTCAGAGGATTTGATTCATCACGTGTTTGCCTGAAAGAGGTCTTGATCTTACCCAATGACAGTCTGGATCTCCTCCTTTCACACTCGCATTGCTTTGGTTGCTGGGGCCTGGGCCAAGGGGGCTGCTCATATTCGTCCAGACTCCAGAGACCAGCGTCCCAAATTATTTCTCGTGACTTGACAACTCAACTAATCACACATGCAGTTGTCAATGTCAGCTTGGAAGTTCGAAGGATTCTGCTCGTGTAACTCGAACTAAATCCCACTTGGGAGGTGTGGCGCCATCTGACAGCAATTCTTCCGAACAATTTTCTGGATCTCCACGATCGAATGTCTTTCTTGGCCATGAAAACTTAGGAGTGAGGTCGCGCGTGAAACGTAACACACCCTTTGTGGTTGCAGGCATGGTCTCTCAAACGGTTGTTTGGAAATCGGCATTTGATCACGATCCCGAGATCCATAAATGCCTGCTGGGGCGTGGTATTTCATGTAGTCAGAGAGAGAGGGTCATGTTTTCGATGTCCCATTCGACGGATGCGCAACTCCATTGATCGTTCTTGCAGTGTTGTAAGAATCTTTCATGACCTGCAGAATGTTGTCGATTTTGGCCGACCCTTCATCACCAGGAAATCTCTCATCCAGCTCCTCGATCACAAGTGAGAGTAGTTGTCGATCATCTTGCTCCGGTTCCTCTTCAGCCATATCTTCGTCGTGTGCCATGCCATCTCCATTGACAGACGGAGCAGCCGCACCAGAATTCAGCTGCTGGCTTCCGCTTCTTTGTGTTCCCACGCCCAGGTTGATGAGCATCAGGGCTTCGGTCTTGGTCAAACCTAGTCGACGGAGTTTGGGTACAATGCTTTGGATAAAAGCCTCAGGATTGGAGATCGCGGAGATGTATGGGACCGTCGTTGTAACGTAGTGTTGAAACTAGGAAGCACGCATATCAGAATTTGTCTTGTGGTGCGGCAGACCGGCCACGTACATCATCCCGAACGACATTGTAGTTGTTTAGGTCAACTGGTTTGTAGGTGCCAATCTTCTGCTGCTTCGGTCGAGGAGGATTACTGCTCAGGAACTGATGCACTTCTGGTGTAGTGAGCAATGCTGCTTGAGGATCGAGCACCTAGCGACGTTCAGCATATGTCTTGATAGAAAGGTGGGTGGGGTGAGGCACGAACTTTCATTTCGACGGTCTGGCGAGATGGCGAGGTTTATAGAGCGACCGTCACTATATTATGTGTATGTGTTGAGTCAAACACTCGAGTGCAGAACAATTGCACCTATGGACTAGGCATTCGTAGCATGCGCAGTTGGCACCGGTCGTGAATTTGTCTACTATTGCTCAGTTGAACTAACTCTGGTGCTGGGTGCGAGGGAAAGAAATATACTACCGGCAGAATATATTCCCTCGCCCCGCCGGCTCTGGGCGGTGAGCGCCTAAAGAAGTACCAGATTGATGATTGTTACAGCGGTGTCCACCATGTCTACAATCCCCTATGTGTGTAGATGGAGAATGATGTAGATGGAGAATGAACGAATTGGGCTGGAAAGTAAAGAATAGCCTCACAATGCACGAATCTCAGGATGCTTTGTAGACGTAAATTACTTACTCGTATCTAGCTGATAGCAATACCACGCTCATGTGCGAAGTAAGCCAACTATGAGCCGCTCTCTCAGTAACCACTGAATTTGTACATTTTCGTCCGGTTCAACAAGTCATCCCCCAAGTCCAGTTCTCCACCAGGAAACTCCAGCCAGGCGCCATGCAAGAAAGATCAGGAAATATCAAAACGATAGGAGCACGACATTGACACGACTATGCCTTCTCTTTCCGTTTCTTTTTCTTTTCCGACTTGGTAGGCTCGGCATCATCCTCAGACCGCTTGCGCTTCTTAGTGCCGTCGAGTTCACCATTGACCTCGGCTTTGCTCGCCTTCTTCTTCTCCTTCTTGATCTCTTTCTTTGATATAGATGATGGCGTACCATCCTCTGAGAATGCAATCTCACCTCGTGCAAGTTTTCGCTCGTATCTGGAGACACTGAGTCCAGCAAGCGCAGCAAGCTCCTCCACCGACTTCTTCGATGATTTCTTCTCGGACTTGGCAGCGTTCTTCTTGTCTTTCGAAGCCTTCTTGGATAGCTTCTCAGAGTCGCCATTGACGCCATTGACGCTGGCTGGGACAATCGCAGCAGTCTCCTCGGAGTCGATGGATTCATCTGGTTGAGACTCTGCCTCTGGATCACTATCTTCTTGATCCTTCATTTTCACTTCTGGAATTTCTTCGATAAGTTTGTCCTTCTTCGACTTCTTTTCCTTCTTCGCCGGTGCCTCATCACCAGCAAGCCCATCAGCATCCGGGTTATACTTTCGGGCCTCCTTTATTTCCCATTTGGGTTGTTGTGTAATTGGAATTCCATTCGGTGCGATGCCCACCCCTCTTGGCTTGAGAGGCTTGCCTTCTAGTGCTGCCAGTTTTCGTTCGAGGTGTGCTCTCGCACCTAGACCAAGTGCAGCTTTCTCGTCTTCAGGAATATCGGCTTCATCTTCGCCCCAATCTTGTAAAGCATCCACTCTCAAACCCAATGCAGCTTTGGCAGCAAGCACACGAGCCATTTTGCCCTTGTTCTTCCCCGATGCTTGACCGATCAGTGATGCGTGATAGAGTAGACCGTATTTCGGGGTGTCGTGTTTTGTCTTGAGAGCACGGAAAAGGGCTTTTTCAGCTCCAAGAATTTGAATGGTACTAGCCGGACTCTTGGAGAGGTTCATCAGACTACCCGCATGAGCGATCAATCGTGCTCCGACCAAGTCGCCGACAAGTGCCGTTAAGTTGGGGGCAATGGCTGCCATCCTTGCCGAAAGATAACTTGCCAGTTGAGTTCGATATTCAGTAAATTGCACCACTTGTTCGGCAAGACTCTGAATGTTCTCAAGGTCCTCTTCGGTAATTTCAGTTCCCATTGATCGATCTGCAGCAGCTTTGACAGCGGCCTCTATCTCCTCAGGCAGGATTTCAGCCAGGTCGCTCGACTCCCAATTTGTGCGCATGCCCATTTTCAATACCACTTTTGCATATGCGAGGTTGTCGTTAAGGATTTTGGCCATTTCGGGGAAATGCCATCCGTACCACTCTTTGACTCTCATTGCGTATGTGTTAAGTTCCTTGTCTAGATCATCCAGTAACCCGATGGCTTGGACAATCATGACATCGATCTTGTCTGGCGAAAACTTCAACTTGTGTCTTGCAAGTGAATGCGAAAGACCCAAGGACATCGTCTTCACATCATCGGGCAGCAGGCCAGGTATCAGCGAGGGTAGGTGTTCTCGAATAGCTCGGTACAGGTCAGCAGTGGTGGAGTCAGCAACAGCCTTTATGTCCAAGCCAGGTAGCTTTCCAATAGCATTTCCCAACTTTGGATCGGCCACAGCGAGTGAGATTTTCTTCTCATCTTTGAGTGTATCAAGAAGTGAAGCGAGCTTTGGTGTGACTTTTCCTTCTACAATGGCAGCAGCTTCTTCCAGAGCCGCAGCCGCACTGTCAAACTTTTGGAATTCTTTCAGTTTGAGTAGCGAGGTAACGTTTTCGACACCGACGAGGTCTGAGGCAAGGTCATCTCGTTTGAGAAGCTTTTTGTCTTTTGCTTTGAGCAGAGCGTAACCGGCGGAGGTTTCGGTGAGGATAAGGAGAGTCATGCTGGCAAATAATGCGCTATAGCACGCCAATGGATGCGAAGTAAGAGATAGAGGTTATATCAAATACTCATACGCTACAGATAGCAGCGACCTCTGTCCTGGAAAAAGAATAACTTTTGAACCACTGACAAGAGGACTTGAGAAGTTTCAGCGATTCTCCAAAAAATTGCAGCTGCAAATTCTGGACCCGCAATTGCCAAGGAATTCGATTCAATCACGTGTCAGACTTGCCACGTGACCTGACAGAGCGGCGAAGATAGCCCTCTCCAACTGGGTTGGATGCAGCTCCGGTTGATCTATTCGCCTGCCTGCACTCAAATAAACATCCTCAACTTGACGATTGCAAGCCTCCCCAAACACCTGAAACTCCCTGAATAGTTCAGTTTTGCGTCAACCTTTGGTCTGTGTCCAGGAAAGCAGCCCGGTCTGCAATATGGAGGGTATGCCATCCGCTACTCCTCGAAACAACTGCTGTCGCTAACATGACCTCCAGGACTTTTGTTTAACGTCAATGGTGGCTACCTGGAAGGTATCGTGCGCGGGTACCGCAACAGCCTGTTGACTGGCTCAAACTACAGCAATGTATGTCTCCACGGACATCTATACCGGCTTCCCTCTAATAAAGTCCCAGCTCATTCAGTGCGAAACGATCGACGATGTAAAACTCCAGCTTGGTCCTGCATATGGTGATGCTCTATCAACACTACCTCCCAACCCCTCCACATCTGCACTCGCCAATAAGACCACCGAAAAGTTAGTCTCCGACTTCAGATATCTCCAGGGACAAGCGACTGGCTCTCTATCCAAGTTCATGGAGTATCTCACGTATTCGTACATGATTGACAATGTCGCCCTTCTCATCACCGGAACGTTGCACGAACGGGACACCAAGGAGCTGTTAGAGAGATGCCACCCTTTGGGTTGGTTTGAGACTATGCCTGTGCTTTGTGTAGCCACCAATATCGAGGAATTGTACAACTCAGTATTGATCGAGACGCCGCTGGCTCCATACTTCAAAGGCAGTTTGAGCCATCAAGATTTGGACGAGCTAAATATTGAGATTGTTCGAAACACGCTTTACAAGAACTACCTGGAAGATTTTCACCACTTTGTCAACAATGACCCAGAGATGGCGATGACTCCGACGGGGGAAATCATGTCTGAAATTCTCGAATTCGAAGCTGATCGACGAGCAATTAACATCACTATCAATTCCTTCGGCACAGAACTCAACAAGGAGCAGCGAAGAAAGCTGTACCCTGAATTGGGAAAACTTTACCCTGAAGGAATGTTGATGCTCTCCCGTGCTGAAGACCTGGAAGGTGTGGGTCTTGCTGTCAGCGGTGTTGGTGATTACAAGCGATTCTTTGATGAAGTTGGTTTCAACCAGAGCAGCGGTGCCGGGGGCGGTAACATGTCTGGTGGCATAGGCGGGGAATCCAAGTCTCTTGAAGACTTGTTCTACCAGAAGGAAATGGAATTATCCAAACTCGTCTTCACACAGCAATTTACTCATGCAGTTATATATGCCTGGGTCAAGCTAAGAGAACAGGTAAGTTCCACTATTGGCTTTGGCAAGCGCACTCTAATACATCACCAGGAAATCCGGAACATCACCTGGATCGCTGAATGCATTGCCCAAAACCAAAAGGAGAGAATAGGAAACTATATCAGCGTGTTTTAATATATGCCATATGATTTTTGAGGGTAGCAACGGCGTTTGGTAGACAGCAGGCGATAACTTCGATCTGGCATAAGATCGTTGTGGGTTACATGGAACAACAGAATCAGCATCCTGTTCATCTCGAGCCTTTCGGAGTCCAATCCCGAAAAGCAGTGGAATCCGTGCATGCTGGGAAGTTGTCGATGACATCCACTGACATCCAAGCAAACCTTTTAGGAGTGGTGAAGCTGTCATCGATACCAGAGTCAATCATCAGGGTGGCACCAGCAGGGTTAGATCTGCCCTTCAAACAATGACAGCGTCATCACAGTCCCTTCCTGGTTACAGTTTCCAAGCGTTTGACTCTGCGTGTGCACCCCTGCATTTGGCTTCTACCGCACGAATCTACTCGAGGTACGTCTTTGCTGGCTTGAAAAAGGTATCCTGTTCTGGTTCAAAGCCACCAGGGACAACGATCATGGCACCACAATACATGGTTTTGCGGGACCCATTGGTGGAATGCAAGCCGAAAGTCTTTTCCGCATTTAACCCCAATGCCTTTATATTGGATCCAGAAACTATGTCTAGTCAAAAATGCACAATCATTGAATGGAACAAACACTGCTCCTTTCTATCTTACATGCCTCTTTATTATTGTCCACTACTCTGACCATTGTTCGACCTTCAACCAACGCCACGCTTGCATGGAATACAAATCTTTTCAAAACGGACCATTTCCACCATCAACGATCTTCTGAGAAGGTCGGGTCAGCATGAGGTCGACAATGCGGTATTCATAGTACAACAAGCCGGCACATGTGTCCAAGAACTCTCAAGCTTGATCCTACAGACCAGTGTACTTCCCAAGTTTGCGTTCCTGCTTTTCTCTCTTCTTGTCCGCTTTCTTCTCCTTCTTGGCCATCTTGATTGCCTTGTCCTCCTGTCTGAAATCTGCCCCTGGACCTTGCAAAATCTTGCCAGGATAGACGATGTTCAGCACCAACGAAGCAAGGAACATGGGAGCGGCATCCCACACGTATTGGTACCATTCGTGCTTAGTAATGGTGGAGTCGACACCAGTGGAGAACTCGATCAGGCGATAGACGTTTCTCAGAATGACCAATCCCATGACGACGTACATCAGGATCAATAACTTCTTGGCCAGCGCTGGGCTCGGGATCTCACGCGGCATATCATTTTGCAGTTGAGATTCTGAATCGGAGTCGCTTTGCCGGGTGGCCAATGACAGTGTCTGTTGTTTGAGTCTTCGCTGAAACCCGACGGCAAGAGACGTAAAGATGGCCAGGAAAAACAACTGCACACCCACACCTGCAGTATAAATATTCAACCCCAACTTCTGTGTTTTTACAGATGCCTCAGGAGTCACCATCAGGCCACCCGAAGCTTGAATCAAGAATGCGATGACATCGAACCACACAAAACACTTGGTGATGCGTCGAGCGCGCAGTCCAAAGACTCGATCGTCCACCAGGAAGAAATGAATCATGCGACCCAACAACATGTAGATGTACGCGTTGATCCAGAGAGGCGCTAGGAGAATGAGCAGCTGTTGCACAATTTGAAAGGCCGAGTTCTTCTGTTGTGTCACAGCCAATGTGCGGAAGACGTAGCCCCCACATTCCCATATGGCGCCCATGATCAGAACGAAGGCGAACCTTTTGCGGTAGATGATGGCCTGTGTGATGTGTGCGATTGTCGTTAAACCGAAGAGGACTGAGAACAGGATGGCCGCTTCGAACGATGGGCAGTATACCCAGAGGGCGTCGGGGGCATCAGAGGCTTCGCATTTGATAACCATTTCGATGGAGGCGCAACTTTGGAGTATTGATGTCTTGATGATATGATTTTGGATGTTGGTGTCAAGGTCCAGTGATCTAGGAATTGTGAAATGTGGTTGACTGTTGTTTCTGCAAGAATCTTGCTAGAGTAGAGGTAGGATTCATCGCCACTCATATACCTCCTACTCAGGACGTTTGCCCAGCAATTCACAATCGTATATTCAACCCATCTTGTTTAACGAAACGATGCTGCCTGAAACAGCATACGATCAAGGCTGAGCATCAGGGGAGCAGCATGGCATATGGAGTATCTCCATCGACGCGCCTCACCTAGTACATCTTATCTAGTATCAAACAAGTAAATTTTCCAGGTTGATATTTCCCAACATGGCTTGTGAACGTCGCACCTACAAGCTATCCTAGCACTATTATTCGTACTCGTACGGTTCAACTTGATCTGGTGCTTAGACTTCGACAAACACGGCTAGCCGATACGAGGCGGTGATCGCCCAGCACCAATCCGACCCCGGGCAATGCGACATTTGGGGGCTGGAGCAGTCGAAGCGAACGAGCTCTGTGGTGTCGTTACGCAAGCATCGGCTTCACTTTGCTTGCTTAATTTTGCTACTTCCTGGTCAAACTCGGTATTAACGCTGCGAATAATATTATTGAAACGACTGGAAACCAGGCATCAGTGGTAAGGCTCCCCCGTTTTCGAACTAGACTCATCACACAACGGACGGGAGTTTGGTACAGTTCTGGCTTCAGGCCCCAAAGCTTAACATCACTAGGGTTTGCTTACGGATACTGTCCTTGCATATCCGCTCCTGATGGGCCTGTGTATCGTCTCCGCTTGCAGACGGACTATATTCGCCAGCTCGGGAGTCCTCAGCCCTCTTGAGATAGCCGTAATCCTGGTGCCTGGCTGCAGTCGGCTACATGCGGTCACAGCCAACGCAGTTCATATGTAATTATCATTCGGCTGACCTGTGTTTGAAACTTCTCCCAAAAAGCATCGGTAACGTGGTGGGAATAAAATAAATCCTGGCACATCGATCCCGCTCCGTCCTCAAAATTATCGTCAGTAATGTACTGACGAACCGAGCAGAGAGATACGGCGCTCTACAGGAGGACGGAGCTTGTTTGGAATTATTGCTCGAGCGTTCAGTAAGTACTTTTGGAGATTTTATAGTTGGACAGTATCGAAGGGGGATCTATATCATCGGCGAGCACTGCACCTCTGGTGGCAAGATCCTTGTCAACCTAGGTCTGGTACCCTTAGAGGCCATAGCCCAGTGCTCCCCGAGCCTCCTCCGAGAGACCCTGGTGTCCCACATATCCCTTGAATTGTGTCTCGTCCGTGTCTAGGCCTTCGGCGTAGTCGGGAGGCGGCTTCCCAGCTAGCGTGGCTTGAAGCTGGGTTTTAATGTAAGCTTGGTTGACAGGCGTACTTGGACAGGAGCCAATGTAGATGACGGAAGCATTTTCGTCACCATCGTGGTCAGGATCGACTGCGTGACAGAGCTGTTCAGTGTTAGATTTCCTGTTCCCTATATATAGGTCTTAACTCACATCTGCATGCCACCAAACGGAATCACCTGGTTGGATAGATGGTATATGAACAAGGCAATCTTCTAGTCGTAGGTGCGGATGAGATGTCCTACTGATATATTGACTCTGTTCCTTGAAAGTTCCAGGGAAATAACTGCCTTCTGCATCGAATCTCCACTTGCTGGCGTCTAGGATATCTTCCGCATCGGTTGGAGGTTGAAAAAATGGCCGGAGTAGGATATATGCAATCACGGTAGAGACGTTGGGATAGAGTAGTATGGTCCCCTGTCCTGGTGCTGCCTTGGTTAGAGCGGTCCATCCTTGGAAAGACCGGAACACTGTTGAATGAGCAGGCCCTGGATAAAGAAACTGATTGGCGTGTTTTCGTACACTGAGGTCAAAGGCGTCATGTTCTCTCGGTTTGCCTGAGAATATCCTCTTGTAGACTTTTCGATAATCTGAATCCGCCCAGCGACAAAGGCTTCCCGCGTCGATGTGAGGGCCAAGGCCAAGGAATGTCTGATTAGGAGGGCGATCACGAACTCCGTCACTATACAATAACGGTGTTGAGATTGTCTTTCCCGTATCGTCATGCCAGAGTTTATTTAATGTCTGCTGTAGTTTGAGATGGCTAGGATGTGTTCGTACCGCAATCTGGGTTGGTGAATCATATAGGAGAAGCATACTTGGGGAACTAGTAGGCCAGGCCTGAATTTGAGCTTGATTTTCCGTGATATAGGTCTTTAGCTCCTGATAATGTCGAGCCGCGCTTTCTTGTGGGATGATTTGACGAACAATAAAACAACCATAGCGCTTGATCTGTTGTACTTGGTCTTGGGAGAACCCTTCATCGAGGATATCCTTGGCGTGGAATATGGGTATACAGCTGCTTTGCTTGTTTGCAATGTCCATCGAAATATCTTCGAGGTCGTGGCACACCTGTAGCCAGCTTGACTTGAGCGCATCAGCGCCATATTCCTGGAGGACAGATTTCTTGGATTGGACATAGTCTTGGTCTTTGGGTTGACAAGAGTCCTGATAGGAAGGGTACTCCCGCCATGCAGGCCAGGTCTTGACCTTACCAGGCATCTCAGGCTATGCAAATACGGGAGTACGCTGTTGTGAAACGGACAAGGTTTAGGGATGACAAACTCAGAAAGAAAGCGAGACGAAGAAAGGTCTAAGATAGTCAAAAGCCACAAATTCATCGAGGAAGTCCTATCAGGACAGTAGCCGTCCTGTAAATACTTTCTATCTGTCAAAACTCAATCGGTTCAGGGCTTCATCGGAGTTTCCCCTCTTCATTACTCAGTAAAATTGGCTGTCGGTTGGCTGCGACGCGGTCGAGTATCGGCTGGGTTTCGCAACGAGCTCCATAAAAGGGTTGGTCACCATTGGCTTACCATGACCCTTTGAAGTCTTTATCTTATAAACGCTATTACTCCATCACGGGCGAGTTCGGTTGAGTTGACTCTCTATCCAATCACACGAGTTTAATTTGATCTTCGAAAAACTATTATCTTTCGTTGCTCTGATAAACTGCCCTGGGTGCTATTGAACAGCCGGTATACCATAACAAGCTTCGAGATTCATAAACATGTTTTGGCGGTACCAACGGGGTTTATATTTAATGATGCCTGCATACGTGGAGGAGTATTTCTCACGTCAGTTCTCGTGTGCTTTCTTTCCTCAGAATTTGTAGCAAACTCCCTGTCGCAAATGGCAGAATTCCAGCCTCAATATGTCTCACACCTGGTCAGCAAAAACACTAAGGTGTTCACAGTAGTGGTCATAGCCGTGGCCGTCATTAATTCTGCTGTAAGTATCTACCATTAAAACCCTATTTCTTCTCGGAGCCGCGATATATACTAACCATTATGAATTAGACCCTCGGTTACGACTCTTCGGTGATGAATGGACTACAAATCTTGCCTTCCTATACGGAATATTTCCACCTCAATACCGCGACTAATGGACTTAACAATGCCGCCTCTTGGATGGGAGCGATCTTAGCGACTCCATTCTTGCAAATCCTTCCGGATACCTTTGGCCGAAAAAGGGCGATCCTATTCTCCGCCCTTATTTGCTTTGTTGGTATCGCGCTTCAGAGCGCCGCGCAGAATATAGGCATGTTTATCGTGTCGCGAATAATTGTGGGACTCGGTTCACAGCTTTCTAGTGCGGCAGCACCTGCATTGTTAGGTGAACTTCTACCTGCTGTTACTCGTGGACGAATCCTAGGGTTTTTCTTCTCTTGCTTTTACGTCGGCAGTCTCGTATCAGCCATTATCAACTATGGTAGCCAGAATATCCAATCAACGTGGTCTTGGAGACTCCCCTCGATACTACAAGTCATGCCGAGCTTACTTGCCTTGTGTCTTCTCCCTTTCATTCCAGAGTCGCCTCGCTGGCTAGTGTCTAAGGGTCAGTATGAGCATGCCAAGGAAGTATTGATTATCACTCAAGGGGGCGGAAATCCTGAATCAGAAATCGCTTTGGCTACATTTGCAGAAATCGAGAGTGCTTTAGCCGCCGAAAAAGCTACCTCCCGACATAATCCTTGGAGAGAGATTGTATCGACACCAGCGAACATGAAGCGACTAGTGATACTCTGTACCTTTGGTGTTATGATCAATTCTTTTGGCAATTTTGTTGTTTCGTAAGTGATATATATCTTTCCGTCAAAGCCGAATATGGGACTAATACAGCGCAATAGGTTTTATCTAGATAAGATTCTCACTCAAGCTGGTATCACCGACGTTAAGACAAAGACGCAGATCAATGTTATCTTGAGTTGTTGGTCATTTGTTGTCGCTTGTATTGGTAGCTATATGCTTGATTTCATCGGTCGACGAAAACAAGCTCTCGGTAGTGTAGCAGGAATGATTGTGTCGCTTTATTGTGTGGGTGGAATGATCAAAAGTAAGTCTCTTACACCTCAAGCAATATCTATACTAATCTATGTAGCATTCGGAGAAAGTACAAACAAATCTGGTATCTACGGCACTATCGCCTTCATCTTTTTGTTCCAAGGATTTTACGCATTTTCCATTACGCCGCTGACCAGTCTTTATCCTACTGAAATTTCGCAATATAAGCTGCGCACTACCGGAATCGCTATTTTCCGGCTGCTGGACAGTGGGTTTGGGTGAGAAATAGCGGGCTAATCTAGCCACAAATTATTTACTGACCGCATGACTAGACTCATGGCTTCGTTCTCCCTCTCTTATGCTATGGCCGACCTGGGATGGAAATTTTATCTGATCAATGCTTCTTACAACATCGTATTCCTGGTTATTATCTATTTCACCTGGGTGGAAACAAAGGGTATTCCTCTCGAAGAAATCGCCTTGAAATTCGAGGGTACAGCAGCTTTTGCAGATAGCAGCGTCATCACTGGCAAGGTCATGGACGAGACTACTCCTGGGGAGACCAAGCAGGCAAAATCAGATGCGGTTCCCATCTAGAATACAGCAGAGTGCCAGTTTGGCGACAACTTAGAAGGCAGATGAGCTCGAAATGAGTTTGTTATTGTAGTATCGTGTGGTCTCCTGCGAAGACACTTGGTCAATTATTTCTATCATGATTACAATAGCAGCAATCAAGTGTCCAGATGTACTGGCTTCCGACAGTGTTATGGGTGAACAGCGAGGTATAGAAAGCCATATGTCTATGATGCACTTATCAGCAGTGCCATTTAGAGATATTTTGGTGGGGGATTCTGTGAGACGCATATACTAGTAAGGTCGAGATGGATATAGGACTGATTATTAGATAAATCTTGACATCCCTAAAATTATTTTTGGTTGTCAGCTGTGATTTCACCAGGGTATAAAACACGACATGATTGAGCTCCCATCTTACACGCTAATAGCAGCAATCATTGCAAAATACAAAGTAGCCACCAGGTTCTTCCGGACACTTGAATTTGAGTCGCCCACCCTGCGCTATCTTGTCACGGTTTGAATGTTATGAAATCTTCTTCAATTGCCGGCCACGAACGTAGACTTCAGCAATGTTCCGGTCGTCGCCACTAATCAAAAACTTTTCAAACATCGTTTTGGGACTGTCCTCATCTTGAAGCATGGTCATCACACCACAAGCCTCCGTTTGCACTACAAGAGCATCAAATTCCTCGCCTACTTGAAAGTTCCCGATCCTTTCCTCGAGACTGCATACTCTGGCACCACCCAAGGTGGCTAGGTAGAAGCACTCCCAGATAGAGAGTGCTGCTGGTTCACTCGTCATGACTTGTCTGGCGTTGGAGACGATAATCGCCTGACGTATCGCATCGAGGATGCTCGATGAAAATCCACCGCCACTATCAGTGCCTAAGCCGACTTTAATGCCCTTGTTCAAGAGTTTTCGTATAGGAGCGGCCATAAAGCCGCCACCGACGGTAGTGTTTGCGATAGGACAGTGAGCTACGCCGCAATCCGCTTGTTGAAGCTTGTCGATCTCGTAATCCGTCATGATGGTGCAGTGAGCCAGAATAGTACGGTTTGTAAGTAGAGCGAAGGACTCGTAGAGATCAGCCTCATTCTGGAAACCTGGAAATAAGCTTAACGTAGCATCGATTTCTTGTTGAGCCTCATTGAAATGGGTCTGGATAGGTATGTCAGGGTTTTGGGTAGCAATAGACCCTAAACCTGTTAACAATTCATTATCGCAACAGATCGCAAAGCGTGGAGTCAAGATAGGTTTGATCAGACTTCCACTCTCATCGAGTGTATAGATATAATTGATTATATCCTGAGTGACTTTTAAGGACTCGTCGGCGTCCTTATCTCGGTAGTAGTCTGGTGCATTTCGATTCATATTACACTTGCCGATTAGTGCCCGTTGACCCTTGGCGAGACAGATTTCGGCCAGAATCTTAGTGGCCTCACAGTGTAAAGATCCATAATAAGACGCCGTGGTGACTCCTTGCTTGATGAACCCATCAACGCAGGAAGAGTAGATTTTTCGTGCATGTTCTGGGTCTTGAAATTTGGCCTCGTTGGGGAAAGTGACCTCGCTTAGCCACTCAAGGATATGAAGGCCTCCACCAAGTCCCCTTTGAGACCATTGAGGCGCGTGGTTGTGCGTGTCGATGACGCCTGGGATTAGAAACTCGGTCTGCTGAAGAGACCGAACTTGGGAGACTTCCGGCAGCTGAAGTGTAGAAAGAAAGCCTTGCACCTGGCTCTCTGGAACATCAGGCTTGATATGTGATATGCAGCCATCACGTGCCACGATCACGACGCAATCTTTGAGAATTCTCGGCTCGAAACATTCCTCACAGTGAATGACGGTACCATGAAAGATAAGTTGGCACACCATGACGGGAATCAATGGCAGGGCGCGTTTACCGAGCCTGTAACAGGAGGCTTTCAATGGGATCTAGAGGTGGACAAGCCATGATAGTAAAGGGCATTGAGAATTGATGAAAGGGAGGTCTCATCACGGGTGAGCTCGGGCGAGTTTGCTGATGGGGTCCTGCCGACCCTCAATCTGTGGAGAACTCCCACACTTCAGATAGGGTTTGGATATTTTGACCGGCCCTGATAGTGATACCCAATGACATCTCCGTTAACATTTCAGATAACCCATTATCTCTTCGTACTTGGAAAGCCTAGGGATTCTCCCAGAGCGTCACGTGGGAAGAGGATTTCCCCGTTCGCCATAACCCTTGATAGACCTGATAATTTTCTCAATCTGACTGTGTTTACCAAACCTTTGTGGAGATAAGCATTCAGCCGACATCCCTTATTTTCCGAGTATGGGGAGCGATGGAGATAGTCCTCAGATCGTGAGCGACGCTCCCACTCTTTCTCTGCGCTCAACACAACGTGCCCCACGCAGTTGCACGCGGTGCTATCGACTCAAGATCAAGTGTGATCAGAAAATACCCTGTCAAAAATGTGTCAAGAAAGGCATCCCTGAGGCCTGCAGCCGGGAGACAGTCCTAGTCCGCGGTGCTGTTACCACGTAAGCACTCTCAAAATTGACTCCTTCAAAATCAGCAGTTTATTATGATAGGGTGCAAGCCGACGCCCATGTACCGACATACGATGAGCTCCTTGCGGAGAACATACGCCTGAAAAATGGTGCACGGCGTCGCGTCCCAGGAGATCCACATACTGCAGAATTCGATTTGGATGTCGACCATAATTGCGATATGTTTGAACGGTATCTATTTGAGACAGTACAACAGACAATTGTCCGCAGTGATTTTGACTCTCGATGTATCCTATTTCCAGTGCGAGATTCAAGTAAGATACTTATCGACTATGATAAGACCTGGAATTCATGGGTCCACTATGCCGTACAATATCCAGAGTTCGATCAAGAGCACGAGCTTTTCTGGGAGCAATTCGACGCTGGTATGCTCGACGGACATGCTCATCCTTCTTGGCTGGCTCTCTACTTTGCCGTTCTTGCGGTGAGAATAATCATATCCTATTCTGACGAGCGGCGGCCTTAAGGTGTAACAGGCTGCTTTGCTTACAATCGATGAAAACGAGATAAAACATATAAGATTGCCTATAGGTCCTCAACCGCTTGATATCGTCGCATTATGGCCATAGCTGACACTCATACCAGAAGACACCGACTCCCTTCTACGTGTGTGGTTCGACACTTCTATACATTACCTCAATGTTTCAGGCTTCCTCAGAGGGGATGATATCCGTGCAGTTCAGACTATAGCTGTCTTGGGTATCTGCTTCAATGATCTTGGGGAGTACAAATTGTACAAAACTCTATGGTCATGCGCTATCCGAATTGCGCAGGGTCTGGGTATGGACCAACCAAGGACCATCGGCTTGTTCAATCTTAACCCCGAGCAGTGCCGTAGGTTGTGGTGGACCTTGATAATTTGCGAATGGTATGGCCTGTCTCGATGCTGCACATAGCGATTAAAGATTTGACGTGTGAATAGGCTGTCGGTACCATGGCATCCACCATGCGTTGCGGATAATGACTTTAATATGCCTCTGCCAGAGCCAGAGTTCGAGCCAGCCATGGCTGTCAAAGGTCCTGATGGCATAGCTCCATGCTCACCTGTAGATTATCACATTTTTATGGTCAGGGTATCCTCGGTCCATTACATGTTTCGCAGAGCTCTGCATTCTCTGGAAAGTCCCGTGGTGGATATAGTACGAGACGCAGATGACCGACTAGCACAGATCATTGGGAAGCTCCCCCCTCACTTGCAGCCAGACGAGCCTCAGACTAGTTACACCAAACGACGAGATCGGATTCATCCTTGGGTTCCCTGGCAAAGAGTCTATCTCACGCTGGTTCTTTTATACCACAGAATGGTCATTAATCGTACGCTACAAAGTAGCTGGCTCGTCGATCGAGATAAGCATGGTGGGCCAAGAGCAATCTGCCTCAGCTCGGCTAAGCAAATACTTTCAATTCAACGCGAATGGACCATTCCTCTAGCGAAACGCCGGCAATGGTATGATCATAGCTTGATTATGTGTCTCTGTTTATACTGACTTTGAGCTCTTTCCAGGAATCCCACCATTCATACTTATGCAGCGGCTGCGTGCCTATTGCGCGACATTCAGGTACATTCTTTTACTGGTGCTACCAATTGTCAGGACTTGCTCAGCTATTCAATCTCCCATCTATCACAGCTTGAATCCACTAGTGCTGTAGCCAAAGCAGCGGTTGAAGTGCTCCGGCAATTGTCAACTGGCCAGCCGGCATTGGTTGCAGCGTCCAGCCAATGGCGAGAAATGCATTCGCCAGTTGAATGTCCTCCTATCTATCAGTAAGGCGACCTTGCAGCTGGGTACGAGTGCAGACAAAGAAGACAACCTTGGAAGCTCGCCTGAAGAGCGCTATCCTGTTACGAGATTAGTCAATTTCTGCTCGTATACAGTAACCAGAATAGGCTAGATCTCAATTCGCAGATCAGGGACATTGTACAACACTTCCTCCTTTCAAAGGGTTTTCTCTTAGTATGTTGGCCCCAATAGTCTTTCAACCTCACAGCAGATTGCTGTAGCCTAACCATGCTTCACCATAAATGGCATCGCTCAGAGCGTGGCAGAGCCTGAACCACTCTTGAGAGTGGAAAGGCTGCTGTTCAGGCCTCTCAATTATCTGCCCCTGAAGAAACTCTTCATGAAGACGGCTTAGGGATGATCGCGTTTGTTGTGTCCTGACCAGCGAAGACTTCAAGTTCTCGCAGGCATTTTGAGGCTTCATTTGAACTATAATCAATCGCACATATCAATGCCATCCACCTATGGTCATTTGAGTCTAGGCGTGGAATAAATCGTTCCTGTGTACGGCACGCTAGACCGGACTCTGCGCTGAAACGATAGAGTTCTGCCATCCCGATAGGTCCTTGGTTATCTGTCGTCGAAGATTGCTGCCGAAACCACAGATCTAGAGCACAGGATTCTTGATAGGCAACAGCCAGCGAACCATATCTTGAGTCCGAGGAGACAAGTGCCTCGCAAGCGTTCCTTACACTTGTGAAGTGAAAGACCATGATCCGTATTGGGACCGAGAAAGTACGAACAGGGTGTTTGACATGCAAGTAAGTTCCCAAGGTCGCACTAGTGGGCCCTGACTACGTCGTCTGCTCGCATGGTCTAGCCGTTCTCGAGCAGACGCACTTTTGCAACCTACGAAACATCCACATTATGTCAGAGCTCTAACTGGCGCACCACAGACGAAGACGAGTCAAATGTGACGAGGGTCAACCAGAATGCCAACGCTGCATTAAAGGTGGCCGCACGTGTGAAGGATACGCAAGAAGCAGCACACCCGGCTCAACTTCTGCAAACCCGATCAAATTCGTGGTGTACAGTGGTGGTACTAAGAGCAGATCATCTTCTAAAACAAACACTGGTACCAATACACCGAGTCGGACTCCGTCCCCTCCATCACGGCTCTCCTTAGTTCCTGACTTGGGTCATGCTGAACGCCGTGCTCTGTCTTACTTTCAGGAGCGAGGTGCATGGGAGTTGGCCGGTGGTGTGCAACCGATGTTCTGGCTGCATGGTGTCTTACCAGTTATTCATCAAGAGGCCGCGGTGAAGCACGCCCTGGTGGCGTTGAGTACCATGCATGAACATTTCACTCGATCGGGTCGCATGTCGCCCAACACGCAAAGCAACACCCTTGACTTTGCTTTGAATCACTATGGCAGGGCGATTCGAGAAGTCATGGACGTCAATCGAAATCGAGGCAAGCATTTCTTCGATTGCTCTCTCATCACCTGTGGTCTGTTCGCTGCATTCGAATCACTTCAAGGCCATTACCATTCGGCCTTCAGCCATGCTGTCAGTGGTATCAAGATCTTGGCGGAGTCCCAAGAAAGCCCTCACCCAACAACTCAGACAAGCGACAAGGACATGTACATTTCTCGTCCTGAGTTGACGCGGTTTTTCTTCTCCTTCTGGCGGCAAATCCTGGAGATTGGCGACTGGAATTTCCAGGGAGAACGACCGCTCCTGGATCCCCCGACGTCGACCTGCCCGCCTATCTTCAACAGCGTCGAAGAAGCATTGAGCTACGTCGAATACAACATGTCCGGGTTCTTTCACTTCTATGAGAAAGCGGAGAGGGTTGCAAGACAGGGAATTATGACGCCGGAAATCAATCTGGAACTGATGCACAAATTCGACGCCCTTACAAGTTCTTTCGCGATTAGCGAGCAGGCCTACCAGGCGATGTTGACACAACAACGGCACCGCAATCTCGAAAGCAGTCCTACGGGGTTGATCCTCAGCATCCACAGGATCTTCCTAAACGTCTATTTCAACATGGTCAGTCAAGGGAACGAACTCGAAGCGTTCGACGCCCAACTGCCCAGCGTACGTGCAGCGGTCGAGCTATGCGAGAAGTTCATAGCACTGACGAGCCCCTTCGACACAAGCGACACAATGGGGCGACCCGCACACGACCAAACCGGCCCCCCTTCCCGCTCGCCATCACCACCCCGACTAATGCCACCGAGCTTCTCCATGGGCCTGGGAGTGGTGCCGATCCTGTTCGTGATCGCGACGCGCTGCAATGACATCCCGCTGCGGGACAAGGCGCTGCACCTGCTGCGCATCTGCAACCGCAAAGAAGGGTTCTGGGACTCGCAGCTCTCGGCCGTCCTGGCCGCCCGCACCATCGAGATCAAAGCCAACGCGGCCCGCCAGGTCGGCCGCCTCGACCTGCACCCCTCCGCCGTCAACATGAAGCTCGAGGACATCCAGTACTACCCGGACAACGAGTGCGTCGTCTCGTACTCGCTGATGTGGACGGAGGCCGATGCGGAAAGTGCGAGTACCAGTGTAGATCTATACCCCGGCGATAGCAGCGCGGCGTTGTTGCCCCGCCCTAGCCAGCATCCACCGCCACCACCACCACCACCACCACCACCAGCAGGTGAACCTATATTGCGGAAACGCATGTTCTCGGAGCGCCTGGCGTGGGGCGACCAACCTTCCGTCGTCGCTGTGACGGACGACGAGAATCTGGACTCCCTGCAATACCCGAGCGTGATGCGCAACGGCCTCATGTCCGAGGAGGTTCGCCCGCCGCTACAGGACTGGGAGAAACATGGCATGGTATGGTGATTGATTCTTTGGTTTGTCACATGACTATGTTTGTTGGAAGACCTTGAATATATCTGTCTACATAGGTACAACCAGCCTCTGTTATTCCATATTCGCTTGGGATGCGGGAGCTAGAAACTAATTTATTTTGAGATTTACGTGAAAACTCAGCTTGACCGACGGCGTATATATATTCGGTATTAGACAGGTGGACTAGTTTCCTCCATATTGCCATGCTAAATGCTAGCCTTCGAGGAGTAAGGTGTACCTCAATAATGGTGTCAGTACTACCGGTATGTGGTGCTACTGGTGAAAAGCTGTTGTGGGACGGACGGGTCTACAGTTGCACGCAATGCTTACCTTGGATAGCGCCGTTGATTACTGTGGATAAAACCAGGAAGGATCCACTTTCGTGGTCTCAAGATGATCCAAAAGAGCACGGCACGAACCAATTCAGAGTTCTTGCATTAGCCTTTTTTGGAGCAAAAGGAAACAAATCTCCCAGCAACAGTTGTCTTGAGAAAGCCAAAGAAACACTATTGAAACAACATAGACAGCCGTCCCAGCCCAAATGCATTCAACTCCTCTGGAAGCCCTTCCAGCACTTGGTTCAGGCACTTCTGGGTTTTATGACGTTTTTTTGGGTTTAATCGTTTTGAGTAAAACCACATTCACGATTAGCGAGCAGGAGACGGGCAGCAATATGAAGCTGCAAAGGAAATAGCGGTCTGTGGCCCAATGTTCGGCCCTGATGGTTTTGGAACAGTAGATGGCCTGCATGGCCATCGGGGAGAGGTCGTGGAATCCCAAAATCTTGCCTCCAGTGTCGATTTCACAAGTCGGTCTCTCCATCTGGCTGTACCCACTAGTCATACTGGAACAAGACGCTGATACTCTCGCCATAATGGACTCGTCTAATGGCCTATCATCAATAATGGTTAGTATTCTGTGATGACAATGGTGGCTCCAGCCAACTCACCTCAGCAAAGACGTGTCCAACTTCGAGAACTTCGAGTTTTGGACATCGCTTACGATGCTCCGTCTGGTCCACTGTGTTGGTCACAATCACCTTATCCAAAGCGCTTGCGTTGATCCTCTCGATAGCATCACCGCTGAGTACGCCATGGGTGACCAAAGCATAAACCTTGGAAGCACCTTCCTTTTTAAGAAGTTTTGCGGCTCTCGTGATAGTATTGCTAGTATCTGCGAGATCATCAATGAGAATAGCGACTTTCCCAGCAACATCTCCCACAAGCATCATGGTTGCATTGTGACGATCCGTGATCTTGGTAGGGCGACGTTCCTTGTGGATGAGGGCAAAGTCGATACCCAAGGAGTCGGCAATTGCAGTGGCTCTTTTCGCTCCACCTGCATCTGGACTAACAACAATTCCATTGCGATAATCCGGGATGTTTTGCTGAATGTATTTCTTGAGCAAGGGGCGGCCATAAAGATTGTCGACGGGGATATCGAAGAAACCTTGATATTGAGGGTCATGCAAATCCATGGTGATGACATGATCAGCACCAGCGCAGGTCAATAAATCTGCTACCAAAGTTCCTGCTTGGGCGACCCATTGTCTGTAACCAGGCTGAGGTTTGAACGTCTGTTGAGGATGTTCTGGTTTGGGCGAAGTCACCGCAAAGTCATGATTCGCAACACCATTTGTAGAAGCTGATGAGTCACCGCGCTTTCGAGCTCCCGGAAAGTATTCCGATTTTGTGCTTGAGTGGGAGCTAGAGTCACGATAATGGCTAAATCTCGCTTGATGGGTGGGATTGTTCTCGGCTGCGTCGAGATCGGACTTGGAAATGGCTTTATGGAGTGGATGACCGTTGGCAAGGCCTTGACTTTCCTTTCTATCTGGATGTGGAGTTGAAGGAGTGCTATCAAAAGTGTAGCCATTCGGTTCGTATTTGGAAGAGGAGCTGGATCCCTTGACAAGAGGAGCACCGGTTTTGTTGTAGGGGATGTCTGATTGGCGAGAGTAGGGGAATAGAGGCAGAACCGCGGTGACTTTCTTGGCCGAAGCGGTTTTGCAGGCAGAAATGGCGATGAGAAGTTCGACTAAGTGATCGTTGACCTTTCCACCTCCAGATTGAATGATATAGACATCTTTTCCTCTAACCGATTCACCAATCTCGACGCGAGTTTCGCCTACGGCAAATTTTGAAAAGAGGGCCTGGCCTTCTGGAATACCAAGAATCTCACAAATGGTCTCGGTGAGGCCTGGATGTGACAGGCCTCCGAGGACCACAATATTTCGAACCATTTCGAAGGAGGATTGAAACTCGCGTGCTGTATACTTTTAAGGTTCTGGGGGTTTTTCGTTTCGCTCTGTCGGGGGACTTCAGGTGAGGGGGTTACGAAGAAAGTGGTGTAGAAGAGAGATGTTCGCTGGAGTTAAAGGGAAGACTCGAGAGAGAAGTAGAACAGAGATGCAGCCTGCATCAGGCTTCCGGCCAAGGTGAGATTGCTTGACATGGTAGAAGTAAAAAGAAGATGGGAAGTCGGGAAAAGGTACAAAAGCGCTATCTTTTTTCGTTTGGCACGGGCAGAGGAAGTTTTGTCACTCGCCCCACCTTCTGTCTTTGGAGAAGCTGCGGCTGCATAATTTGGAGCTGCCTTTTTTTCGAGGCACGAGGTAGTTACGAGTCACTAGAGTAGTTACGAGTAGAGTCGTCTTGTGGGCAGCACCCGCCTTAGCTTTTGCAATTCGTCCCAGGCCTCAACCTGCCGAGGTTAATGGCATGGCGTCATCTTGCGTGCCCTGGTGTGACGGGCTTGGTGTGTTTCCGCTGCATCTCATCAATAATGCAATATGATTGTTTTTATTGGTAAATAGTGGTCTAATGAATGATATGGGTTTTTAAATACAGCATGATCAAGTGGATGTATTGCAATTTCAATCTCGGTGAGATCTGGTCCTGTCAGGCTGGGGGTGATGTATCCCCTCGTCCAGCATATGTACACATGGGCTCACTTCCCCATGTCTCTCCATCTCTCCATCTCCAGAGGAGAGTCGTGTAACTTGTCGCTACAACGTTCATCCTGGGAGAAGTTACCTAAGGAATAAGCATTCGCAGGTATACCTTAGATCCGAGGATACACGGAATTTTTGATTCTGGGATTCGCTTCTTCTTTGAAAATATCCATGAGCCTGAGTGCCACCGACTATCACTAACCAAGGCAACCTCCGTATTTCATGAGGGTTGGCCATTGTTCTCAAGCGAGACTTTGCTGGATTCGCACCCTGCCCTAGGCTACACCATGACCAATGTGGCCATACCCAGCCCGAAAACGTTGCCCAACTTTGCCACTTATCCTCTTATCCTAGTCACAGCCCAAAGCAGTGCGGTTTACGAATGAGTAAGTTGGACGAGCCTTGATGAGAGAAGGATGGTCATTAAGTTACCTCACTCGCTGCTGAGGTATGATTGCACCACGTAACACCTACTCGTAGGTACTTCTAAAACCGGCAGATGGCTTTTCGAACGACTTTCGCCTAGACGCGACAGCTTAGAGACTCTTAAGACTAAGGGTTCCAGGGGGTAACCAACCCCAAGAAAGTGAGATCCTCCCCCCTTTTTCACTCGGAGGAAGCGGAGCGGGGTACGAGGTATTGCTATTTACATAACTTCTGGGGAAGCCTCCAAACTTATGATCAACACTATCCAATATGCCGACGTGCTGCTGTGTTGGGCCCGGTGGCTTGCGATCCTGAGTGACTGAAAACTGCCATGTCACGTTGCCTCTTCTTGAGCGCCGTTAATTTCTCCTAATCGCTGTCTATTAATGAGGCAACTCACTAACTACCAAGTGCGACAACGACCGGCATAGTGCGACATTGATTCTTCCGAGATTGAACTCGTTCAATGTCCCTGCGCGCATTAACAGATGCAGTCGGATAATTCTTTCCGTGGTGGGCGGGTTGTAAAAGCCTGTAATCGGTGTCACAAACAGAAGTTAAAGGTTCGATATTCAAACAAAAGATTTTGATTTCACAGCACTTCGAGACACTGATTGTCTCCAGTGCGATCCTTTTAGACCTTGTACTCTATGTACCCGATCTGGTACCAATTGCACGACTTCCTTGCCCAACAACACTGCAGGTTCCAAACGAAGGCGGACCCAGAGCTCAGACCCAGTGCCTGAAGCCGTCCCCAAGCTTTCGAGTCCATCTATCCAAGACGTCCTGAGGTCCACGGAACCTGAGCAATCCGTCTCGCATATCGAGGCATCGCCGCGCAAGTTTTCTGATTCGGCTGAAATTCGAGGATTTGGTACTTCAACCTCCAGTATCGAATTTGCCAGAACTGTCATTGGCAACGTGAGCGGTACTGATCTCACCAAGTCATCCCTCATTCCAGGAGATGAAGGACATGCGCCCAGTCACGACCGGCCTTGGGGTCTACACCTCATGCAACTGCCCCCGGATATCATCATGGAAGAATTGATCAACAAATACTTCCATTCCTATCATTGGTATATCTGTCTCTTCAACGAAAACGACTTTCGTCAGATGGCGGCTCGAGTCTTACGGACAAGAGGTGCTTGGAAACGTCAAGATTTAAGCACTGTCATCACCGTCCTTACGGTTGCATTGGTTGGACTACAGACCGGCCTGCCGGATGCTTCATGGTCGGCATTCCGCCACTTCCGTATGCTCACCATTGATCCGGAGAAGTTGTTACGAGAGATATCAGCGGAACTTCGTCATCATATCATGGACATCGTGGAAGATTCGAAGCTCGAAGCCGTACAAACATGCGTTCTTTTATCCACCCTTCACGTTTACCATGATTCTCCCAACCTTGCCTGGACGATAGCAACCATGGGTGTCAGTGTCGCCTATGCCATCGGATTGCAGTACACGAAAGGACCGAATATTGATCCTGCTCTCCAACAAGTACGCAGTAGGTGCTGGAACCATTGTATGGTTGCTGACACATTCGGCTTGGTGGTGTATGGAAGGCCAGGATTGATTGACCCTTCCACTTCCGGTGTGCATGAGCTCTTGGACATGGAAGAAACGGTTTCCGATCCATCAATCATTCATCATCCCATCTATGGTCGAGGAAAGCACCCAACAGCCATGAGCTTTCATGTATTGAAAGCGCGGCTTTATCGGATCATTCGTCACGCACTAGACAGATTCCGAGTACTCCAGCAAAGTGAACATGCTCCAGGTCATGTAGACTCACTAATTCAGACAGCTCATGATGTCCAGGGGTTTCTCACACAGTTCAGATCGAGACTGCCACCATTATTCGAGTGGGATAACTGGAAACACGCAGACCCATGGAAACACGCAGAAGATAGCGCAAATGGTGGCAATGAATGGAGAAAGCTCTTGCTACAGGCGACTATGCTACAAGTCCTCTGGAACGGTGCTGTTATACTGGCTCATCGGCCACTGCTAGAGTACAAGATTTCATCTCTTGGTCAGTCCAAGCCCAATCGCATTGTGCTGGAATCGCTTCGCTCTTCTTTGGATACCGCCGTCAAAGCCGCTCTTGTCCTCTCTCAGATCCAAGTCCGACGATTGGAGTCACAATTCTGCATTTCATTCTTTTTTATGCATTTGTTTACGGCAGGTGTTATCTTGAGTATGGCTCCAGCCAGTCAGCCCCTCAGTTCGATGTCACAACAAGCCAAGGCCGGGATTGTTAGAATTCTTCGCGCCACGAAACAGTCGGGTGGCAAGAACAGGATAGCCCAACACACTGAAAAGTTGTTGAGTGAGCTTCTCCAAATCACACTTCACCGCGAGATGGAGAATGCGTTGAAGGCGGAACCAAACGATATTCCAAGCGTAATGACAAATGAAACACAACAATTGGGCGGTATTGAATCCGAGCTCCCCATGTTGCCCTCACACAATGATTCAAATGGTCAGTTACAAAGTCTTGGTCCAACGAATCCTCCTCAAGATCAGCGATCATATCCATCTGAAGCATACGACTTTCTCGACCCCACAGGGCTAGTGACACAAGGGGAGATTTTCGATACTCGATCAATTCCATGCCCGCCAGGGACTTTTCCCAGCAATATATGGCCGTTCAGAGGGTTTGAGGACATGAATGCCAACTATGATGGCTTTCAAGAAAGTGAGTAATATTTCATGGCTTTGTCAGAACATCGGGAGGTCGAAAGCCTCTCCCGATTATTCTATGGTGGCTAATTTCGCCAATAGTGATGTTCAACCTGCTTCCGAACGACAGTAACACGATGCAGAATTTTGGATACGGTTTCGAACCTTGAGGAACTTTGGAAGTGTAGGTGATTTCGCGCCACTCTCTCGGGAAATCTTGCCGATTCAATCCCGATCATCGTAGGGGATTGAACAAGAGTGACGAGTTTATGTAAATCTAATACCACGAGCATGACTGGTTTGTTACTCAGGAAGAGAACTTAGGCTCGAAGAAGGGTTCCGGCCCATCGTCTAGGTAGTTTTGCTCCGCCGTATCTGATAAGCATGACTTCGAACTTGAAGAATTCCAAGTTGGAAGCCAACGTGCCACTCAAAGTAATCTCCCTCATTATTTGCTACATGGATCATAGCAATTTCTTATGCATCTCACCCTGAATTTATGACTTGTGTCTCTGGACAACTTACCGGGAGTCCGTGAAGGGAGTTCGAAGTGATGTGAGAGACCAGAGCATCAGCCACAACACAATTGGCATTATTGATCAGACTCAACGACCTACCCATCAAGATGAAGATCGCAACACTTCAATTTGCTCCCAAACTGGGTGAAATCGCGGCCAATTTTAGCCGTGCTGAGAGTCTGCTCATGCGAGAGGAGAGAGAGGGATTACTCACAGGAATCGATCTACTGGTGTTACCCGAGCTTGCGTTTACAGGTAATTCTCTCCTCACGCCAAAAGAGCATACATATATATACTAGCGGAGAAGCGGAGCCACAAAACATAAGGATGGCTGGAGGTTCATTGAATCATGGCCTCGTGGTCAAGGTTAGAGGCATGGAGATTGACAGATTTACAGGGTATAATCATCCATCGCTTCAAGCCATCGCTCCGTTCCTTGAACCGACCGCAGCAGGCCCATCCACCAAATGGGCAGCTCGTACTGCAAAGCGCCTGAAATGTACAGTGGCTGTTGGTTATCCGGAAGCCGCCGAAGGGGGGAACTTCAACACCGTCTTTGACCGACACATTACGGCGGAGGAAGGAAGTATTGCATATAACTCGTTGGTATTCGTCAGCTCAACTGGAGATGTGGTTGCCCATTACCGTAAGTCATTCTTGTACTATACCGACGAGACGTGGGCACAAGAAGGGCAAGGCTTCTGGGCGGGAGTCCTCCCCGTGGGTGGCAATGGTCAGCAGATGAAAGCGGTAGCGGGCATCTGCATGGATATCAACCCCTACAAATTCGAGGCGCCCTGGACGGCATATGAATTTGGGAATCACGCGCGGGAAGCACGTGCAAAGATTGTCGTCATCAGCATGGCTTGGCTTACAAGGCTGAGTGCTGATGAATTGTCGAGTCAGGTGACGGTACCAGATCAAGATACCATGAATTACTGGATCAACAGGCTTAGTCCGCTGTTCGAGTCTCCGGGCTCGATAGCAGAAGCCCTGGTGATATGTGCAAACCGGGTGGGCGAAGAAGGCACAGATCCGCGGTTGGGAGATGTTAGATATGCTGGCAGCAGCTGTGTCATGGGTATGACGGCGGGGAGGAAGATCAGGATATGGGATATACTGGGTAGAGCACAGGAAGGGGTCTTGCTGGTGGATACTGAGCGCGATCCCTTATATTCCATTGTTCTCAAACCTGCGGACCAGACAGAGCCTGTCTCAGAGGCACAAAAGAACGATATCAAAGATAACACGACATCGGAGCTGCTTTCTACAGGGATGGAACGGCCGGACATGCAGAGATGATGTGGGGTATGGAGTGCTTGTGGGAGCGAAAACTCCCCCGACACAGAAAGGGTGTTGGAAGTGAGCATTTCTAGAAATGCAAAATGGGGGCCAAGCAAGGCTCTGGAGAAGCTCGACCGGGACAACCTGGAAAGGGCTGCCTAGATTCTCAGCTATGTCTTTGGTTGAAGCTGAGACAAGGAGCAAATTCCGTGTCAACTGACAGCTGATGTGATGGTGATGGAGGGTCAGCAAGGAGTCACGAGATATCTTCATCCAGGATGTGAGAAGACAAAGGCCCGTGAACACCCTGACCCTCAGTGTGACTTGGGCAGTTTTCATCACATGCCAGCCGGCTGCCCACCCAGCCACTGCAGGCAGGGTTTGGTTGGTGAATCTGCCACGGCAGAAACGGAAGGTCATCCGACGACGTTTAACGCAATCTGGTTTAGCGTGCTTTTACCCAGCCCAAGCTCACATGATCCTTCATCTCATCCCGTGACTCTCTCTTCCCTCCATCGTCCCTCCTCCCAAAGGATACTCGAGTTCCCAGATACTCGCAGCGCTTGCAATCATTCGTGATAATTACACAAAACAAACACTCCAGTCGTGTGCGCCTTTATCCTTTCAGTTCCTTGCCTCAGTCAGCGGGCGTCAAATCACCGCGTCGTGTAACCCAGTCGCGACTGGTTTTCACCATCGCCAGATCACGTTTCTTCAAGTAAGTTCATCTCCCACAAGTCACCTGATGCCACCTGATCATCAGTCACGGGCTGCGCGTTCTGTTCATCGAGTCTCATCATTGCGAGACGGGTACGCGCATCGACAATTTCGTCCTCGCTGCCATGCTCAAGCAATTGTTCGCGCTCATCGCAGTCCGCCAGTGCTTTGCCTGACGCTGCACACCATCACCGCCCCTCCATCTTGCCGCCTAGCTCCCAGCGAGAGCGGACAATGGAGGAGCAGCACTTCCTGTATCCCAGCCATCCACCATTCTCATGTGACTGACTGTTGGCTGCACACCATCATGATTCTTGCCTATGCCCCATTACACACTGATCTACGTGCTGTTGTGAACAGTCTTCATGATCATGGCTAACGTCATTGAAAAGCAAGTTCCAAGTCAACCTCGTCGCCTCCTTCTGCAGGTTCGCTCAGCCGAAAAGTCCGGTCACCATACCCCGACGCGATTCTGATCTCAGCCACAGGTTGCCTTCCCGCGCGAGGCTCTACAGCTTTCATCACATAACAGAACCTTGATTACTTTCCACCGTTCGCCCATCGTTACACAATTCTCATGGCTACTCAAGTCACCCAGCTGCCTACGCAGAACGCGAATGCTAACAACAAGCGCAAGCGGGCAGTTGGCGATCAAGAAGCTGGACGCAATGTGAAGACACAGAGCACCAATGGCGACCATGAACCCAGCTATGCTGCACTTCTCCAGGGTATTGAAGGTGCCTCCCTTCCAGAAGCCGATGACAGCACTCGCACAGCTCAAGCTGCCCTTGCCACCCCAATGGGACAGTCCACCTATCCGGAGCCAGGTTCGTTCGATGCCACTGCTGCCCTGCCAAGCGGTTTCGACGAAGGCAGTCCATCAACCAACTTTGCTTCTGGCCCTCAAGCTTTGATCGATGCTCGTTCAGCCAACAATGCCAACAAGCCACCAGTCGGAACCCAGGAGTGGCACCAACAACGCAAGGACAACCACAAAGAAGGTAACAATAGAGTATTTCTTCTTGAAACTACATATGCTAATGGTTTGCAGTTGAAAGACGCCGCCGTGAAGTCATCAATGAGGGTATTGAGAACATCGCCAAGATTGTCCCAGGTACCGAGAAGAACAAGGGAGCTATTCTTCAGCGAACTTGTCAATACATTACCGAACTTCAGACCAAGGTCAATGCCTTTGACAATGAACGAGCTACCTTTGAGATCGCCCTAAAAGAGCTCACCACCCGTCTCGACCGTGTCAGAGAAAGTTCACGTACCGCCTGGGCCGACAGTGTCAAATGGCAACAACGTGCTCGTGACGCTGACCTCCATTTCGACGATTATGATGAAGCTGCTCTTTCCGGTCTTGTGGTTGATGATGTCAATGTTACGACCGACTCTTGACCTGACCCACAGTTTCTCAGTTACGAGATCAAGGTTGGAGTCCGGCGCAGGTCTTTTTTCGAAATGGCAGGGTCGGGATTTTAGACTGGAGCTGGAGGTGACTGATAAATGCCTACAGCCTTTCACAGCATACGAAGGTTTCGTGATCATGACTGGTTGATTAGTATTGAGGCAGATCATCATTTGTACACACCTTGTCCGATGAAGGTCCAACCTCGAATTTAGAGTCATGGGACAATTGATTAAGCGTTCTTTTCCATATCAGATCATTGGACCCAGTTACTGCAGCAGAACTTTCCGTTGTTAACTTGGGTCCAGATGAGATACAGCTTGCTACCACAATTGAATGAAAGTCATAACCCATGGTCCCCTGCTTCAGGCAATCACTGCATCTAAATGCCCTCGAATGGAACATTATCAACATGTTTGTCTTGTGTCGTTCATCTCTCCTCCCATAAAGTTACGAGTCACATTCAAGCCATACTAGTACCTGGGTAGTAGCTACTACGGGTTGGTTCGTCGGTTCATTGGCTCAGAACGATATAAAACATGCGCTTCTCTATCTCCCCACGTATCTAACGCTGAGTCCCTGAGACGTCCTCGTACCAAGGGAGCTTTTGGAAGCAGAACCTACATAAGTTGGTGTTCTTCGCTCCTTGACTCGCGACGAGGATAGACATTGGGATTGGCGAATATCTCATTGTTGGATGCCTGAAGTTCTAAGGTACGAATACGTAACTTCATGGTCAGCATGCGGGTCGAGATCCATCTTGCCGGTGCCCGATGGGCGCCTTAGTTCCTGACTACCTATGAAGTAGGTATATGGCGAATCACCGGGTGTTATTAGCTTACCCTAAACTGTTCAACCAGACTTGAAGGAGTTATCTGAATGTTGGAAGTCGAACGATGATCCCATTCACCAAATGACTAAGCTACATGTGGATCAAAGTACGACTCCTCGTAAACAATTTCGGATGACCCCGAACGAATCCAGTCTCGTCAGAAGATGGGACTTTTTAAGTCAGCAAGGTACGAATAGTAATCCCTGGCCGGCCCCTCGTTCTCTGGTACCTACCAGGCATTCATACCGCCTGCTCGGTTTCGCTTTCGAGGCGCTAGAGGAGAGTCTAGGACAACGCTGTAAGGTATTCGCAAGTTCGGATTCGCTTCACCCCAATCCTCTAACGATGTTTTTCTCTTTGCGCCATGTCAAACCCACCAAGTCTTACTGGCTGGGGATAGAACTCTTACCGTACGAGCTTACCATCTGCAGGTCAACTCATTGCTATTCCTCGTCCGTGGGATGATGCGGGTCTCTTAAAGCCGTTTTGGTTATTTACTTGGATGAATTCCCAGTAGACTATCGTTACGTCCTGCGTTGCTCGTTCTGGTCCTTTACTTCCTTGCCTTGCGCTCGTTCTTCTCACGTTCTCTTACCAACAACCCTCGAGACGCAATGTGGAGATCTGTCTTGGCCGTCCTGGCGCTGGCCGGAGCTGGTGTCGCATATTTCATCAATTTGCTACTCACGAAAAGGCGAAGGCTCGATGGACTGGTATTACTCTCCCGTCTCTGCTCTCAACGGCCCTTCGAGAGATAAGTCGTCGGTAATGGTCGCTAACAAGAACACTGATTTATATAGCCTCAACCACCATCGAGCAGAATTTGGGGTCATCTTCAGCTAGCAGGCCAATGTCAATCGCTGTTTCCTCCCAAAGTTCACGTTCAAAATTGGATTCATTATATTCAGAAAAAGCATAACCTTGGAGGTGGGTTCTAATCTTTTTCATATTGAATGCTAGGATGTCCTGTACAAAAATCCATGAATCAGCCACTCTTTTAAGGATGCTCATAATATATCTGCTTGTATCCGTGACAAGCTCTTGGTCCTAACTTTTTGCTACTACAGATGTGTTCTATATCGATTGGTGGCCATTTGGACCACAGTGGGTGTTCATTGCCGACCCAGAATTGGCTTCCAAGTACATCACCACCGGTCAATCGTTACCAAAGTCCCTCCTCACATCCGGCTACGTTGATAGACTTCTCGGGAAGGATAACATGGTGTGCATTGAAGGACAGAAGTGGAAAATGCTTCGGTCCATCTTCAACCCTGGCTTCTCCGCGAGTCACTTGATGTCCCTGGTGCCATACATGCTCGACTCGAGCCTTGTCTTTGTCAACGCCTGTCGGAAGAAGGCGGACACCAATGAATTGTTCCAAATGGACAGGTTGGCAACACGATATGCCATCGACATCATCGGGAAGATCACCATGGACACCGACTTCAATTCTCAGACCAGTCCTCATCCCATCGTCGAGACATTCCGTAACCAGATCAATTTACTACCTATCACGAGCGTAAGCCGTTTCGAGGATCTCAATCCAATCCGGCCGATATTACTATGGTTCAACACCCGCAAACTCAACTCACTGATCGGCCAAGAAGTCGACAAAAGGATCGCTGCACGCAATCTCCCAGGGCAGACCAACGGCGACAAAAAGAAGCCATCATCCACGAAATCTCGAAGCCGCAGCGTCCTCGACCTCGCGCTCGACGCGTATGAAAACGACCACCTCACCAACCTGACCGGCAAAGCTCAAAGCCGCGACTTCTCCACCTCGTTCCGAGCAACACTAGTCGACACCCTCAAGACCTTCATCTTCGCAGGCCACGACACCACCTCCGCCACCATCTCCTACACACTATACCTCCTGCACCTGCACCCGCAAGTCCAGAAGAAAGCCACGGCGGAGCTCGAATCCGTGTACGGGACGAACTGCACGCCCGAATCCATCGCGGCCGAGATCCGAACACAACCGCATTCAATCAACAAACTCGAGTATCTGGGCGCCATCATCAAAGAAACCCTGCGCTTGTTCCCGCCGGCCTCGACGCTGCGCGCGATCCTCTCCGAAGACGGCGTGAAAGACTTCTTCCTCCCGGACCCGAAAACCAACCAATCCTACCCGATGCGCGGCTTCGACATCTGGCCCATCGCACACCTGATCCACCGCAACGAAGCGTACTTCCCGGAGCCCGTCAAATTCATCCCCGAGCGCTTCCTCCCATCAGAAACGCCGTTTCCCGACGCCAAACTCTTCACGCCGGCCGGGAAGGACGCCTGGCGGCCCTTCGAAAAGGGGCCCCGCAACTGCATCGGCCAGGAACTCGCCATGATGGAGATCAAGATCGTGCTGGCCTGCGTGGTCGGTGAGGTCGACTTCACGGCCGAGTTTGACGGGCGGAAAATCGACTCGTGGACCTCCGTAGAGACCGTCGACGAGTTCGCCGATGGACGGCCCGGCGTCGAGCGTATGACTATCGAGGGCCATTATGCTTACCAGGTCCTCAGTGGTGCCGCGAATCCCGCGGGCGCCATGCCGGGGAGGTTGAGGTTAAGGGAGAGGCGGGGGAAGTGAGGCTGAGTAGAAGAGAGGGCAAGGGCGAGGGGGAGGTAGCTGTCTCGAATCGAGGATGATGATGGTAGTGACGATAGAGACGAAAACATTCGAGAATTATACGCATGTGGCTACGTACTACACATGGACATGAGTGGCAGTGCATCGCTTAGCCGTTGACACAGATTTATATTTGGGCCGAGTACATGTGTAGAAATACAACGTCTCATAGCGCTTCTGCAGAGTGCTATATACGGAGCTAAGGTATACAATAAAAAATAAACATAACATAACTGTAAGGGTGGGCCATAAGTAACTAATAGTCGAAACAGGAGCCTCTGAGAGACAATGGTCGGGGTCCCATGCTGGGTTGTAGGGCCGCCCTTTTCTTCAGATCAGATGGGACGCGAATCCTTAATAGACCGAGATCGCTTCCCCGTCTATCTCTTTCCTTTTATCCAGTTCAATATCTGACAACAAGTGGTAGTGGGATGTGGGATGTGGGATGGTGGGTAGCCGTAGATGGCGGTGAGATCGGTGCAAAAACAAGCAGGGAGAGCCTTCCGGACAGACTGGTCGAAACAAGATAGGTGGGTAGGTGGCATTGTCGAGAACTTGGTATATGCGCGTCGTGAAGTCATGACAAAGATGGGTTGGGAATATCGGCGAGGTGGGGTGTGGGACGAGGGTCGAGTGGTGGATCCCTATTGTCTTCGCTTCCTTAGTGAATTAAACGGAAAGGTTGTGAATGTGCCCGTGACATCGGGCACTGTGTTTGCTGATCATGAAGGCCACTCTCGACTCCATCTTCCAGCATTGCCCATTTACTGATTTACCCGGAGAATGCATTTACTTCGTGTCCCAGGTGTTGGCGGGCATCTCGAACGGACGATCCATGTTTGGTGCTGCTGGTGGTTGCGGCGTGTATGGAGCAGTGTACTGTGTGTTGCGGTTCATGTTTGGAGAGAATGGATCGGAAGTCACTGTTTGGGTCTGTTGTGGAGAATTGTTAGTTTCTTTCACATGATAACATCTCAGATTTCTCGTGGGACTTACATCGCTATCCTGGCTCGATAGCCATTGGTTCACCGACACGTTTGGCCCGACTTTCTGTGTGTCACCCAATTCAGAAGTGCCATGCTCGGTTGGGCTCATGGCTGTCCAGTGCGAGTATCGTCCCGTGACGGTGTTGGCGTGGGACATGGCAGGCGTTTGAGGATTGGCTGCACCGTATGCGGGATTGAAGTTGTTATCGCCGTTGCCTGGAACAGCTTGATGTTGCTGTCTCTTGCGATGACGCCAGAAGAGGAATCCCAGACCTCCGACAAGCGCAATCAGACCCAGAATTCCACCTACGACACCTCCGATGATGGCCTTTGTATGGTCGGCTTTGACTTCGGTCGCAGGGGCGACTGAGGATGTTGCTGCTGGCACGTTGGAACCTGTTGCGGTCGCAGTGGCTGCTGTAGTAGGGTCGCATGAGGCTGTAAGAACGTAACCACCGCCTTGGTTCGAGAAATCTGTTCGAATTGCCTCTGCCATCTTGAATTGCTTGCGTGTGTAGTCGGCAATGATATAGTTCATGGTCAAGAATGGAACACCCCAATCCATCACATATCCATCGTTGGTTTGATTCATGAAGAGACCGATCTGGTAGGTATTGTTCTTGACGTCGTATTTCCCGTTATCGTCATACCCACGGGGGTAGTAGAACAGTTCCTCAGAGGGAATGGTGGTCTTGTAGCCGTTCTGGAGAGTGATGCTGATGTTGCCCTTGGGAGGGTTTCCTGCATAGTAGTTGAGATATCCAGCGTCGTAGATACCACCAGAGGCATCGCGGAAATTCTCCCAGACATTTTGTGGCACATACAAGACTCGGGTTGATGGCTGGAGGGCAACTTGGAGAGTTTGAGAAGCGTTGGAGAACAAGGATACGGATTTGTCTTCGGTTTCGTACATCAAATCGGTGATGATGACACAAAATTCACACTTGGGTTCCGAGTCGAATGTCGTGAATTCTCCCTTGTATCGAGTTTTGTCATAGCCACCTAGGACAAGTGACCCATCGACAGGGTTGCTGGTCGACCGACTTCCCGTCCATAAACCGAAGACGGTTGATGGAATCATGCCTGACTCGACAGCAATCTTGAGGAAATCAGATTCGGAACCCAAAGGCAAAACACCTTGTCCACCATATCCTGGTTCATCGTAAATAGTTGGAAATCCATACACGGTCGCATTTCCAAAACCCAGTACATCGTTGAAGTGAACGAAAGACAAGTCTTCTGATGCTGATGAGATCGTCCCATTCCATTGTGCTTCGGAAACTTGGCTGAAGGTGTTGGACGTGCTAAAGTCAAAGACACCACCATAGGAGCCGATACACGTTGAGTTGTATTCAGGGGCACATTGCGCTTTGTTCACCACGTATAATGCATCATCTGATGTGCTTGGTCTGAGTGATACTATTTGTGGTGGGGTGCCCATGGAGATTTGAATGCCTCTCGTGATGGCCGACTGGTCTGTGCTAACTGTAACATTTTTCCACGGCAGCATCATCTAAACAGAACAGAAATCAGTCTCAGTATCGCATGTTTGAAATGCTTTCCCCGAAGGAAAAAAATGTTGCAGTCATCGTTTCCGGACTACAAATACCACACCGCATGAAATAAAAATAACTTACAGGCGGAGCGCCATTTTGACAGATGGACATGGTGATGGTCTGATCAACAGAAGAACGACCAGCGTAGAAAAGATTTCGAGATGGTTTTAAAAAACGAAAGGATCAATGCCAGGCGCAGACAGGCGGAAGTAAAAGAATGACAGCCAGATCAAAAGAATGTTGTAAAACGAACGACTGTTGGGCCTCTACAAGAGAATAGCTGGGAAGAAGAAAGTAGTATGGAAAGAAATTCGCGACCCTCTCTCAAGGACTTACTCCTAGGAACAACCTCCGGATTTGCGTGACCGGGACAGTTGCATCGGGATAAACCACTCTGCTGTCCAGCCCAACGGCTACTGAAATTAATCTGACAGCTCAGCCGTAGGGGCTAGTTTGGTTGCAAGGCAGGGGTCACCCGCAGGTATCTGGGACTTTCCAGAGATCACGTCCGTACGTACTCGTACGAGTAGTACTGAGACCATAGCTGCGGCTCAAAACCAGTCCTGGTTGTGTTCGTTGACAGCTTGAGGTGTTACTTGTGCATCAATGTTGAGATACTGTCTTTCGTTTCCAGGCGTCGTGCTCGAAAAGGGTTGACACTATACACGTGTGTACACCGAAGTCCAGCGAGACCAGTTTCGCATCAAACGTAGCGGGTGATGAACACATTCGAGGTACGGAGTTGGAAGACCGTTGTTGTTTACTACTGCTTAGGCTAGAGGCAGCTCCAACCGGCGTGTTTGGAAAGCATGATAGTGGAGACATTAGAAAGTCTGGGAAAGCTTGTCTGTGGGATAGCGAACCGAAACCAGATGCAATATTAGCCGTGGCTGCAAGGGGTAGAGAGTGATGGCGCGAAGGATTGTTTATAGAACAGGGCTTCGGGATCAGGCTGAAGAGGAGAAAAAAGGGCAGATGGCGGTCATTCCAACCACGAATGAGGTAACGTATAGTAAAGCTAGATAGAGCATCATTGGTTCGCTTAATGACATTTGAAATGGTATAATTTCCACTGAAAAGTCTTGTGAGATGCGGCATAGGGGGCCTAAATGCAGCTAGACGAGAGCCAAGGCTGGAACTGGGCCTGGGCAGCAGCGCATGGGAGACTACCTCATCACCCTGGATAGATCCGCAGTGTAATCAAATGCGAGGGGAAGATGGTTCCGTCTCTGTGATTATTGATGACTGATTCAAATAAACCGTGAAGTGCTTCGTCGATGAGAACCCAGATAAGGACTTCGCACGGAAATGTTGCAGTGTCCCGTCGCATGAACAAAAGATACTCTCAGTGCAAGGATTCTGGATTGAGTCTCAAGCGTGCAGTAGTAATGGTTGCTGGTGAGCAGATCCGTATCCCTAGGGGTGCTTAGGCCATGAATGCGTGCCCGGGCACCGAATGATAAGGGTACCTGGGTAGCTCAGTGAGTGGTGTGAACCCTTAACTAGGCAGGCTTGTACTGTAAACCCAGCCTGAGAGTTCTATTTTGGACACTCTTTTTGATGTCTCTCGGTTGAAAGCTTGGCGCAAGTCTGCCTGCCAAGAACTGTCCCAGCCGTGCAGATCTTGCTATGCCCCCATTCGTCTCCCCTGAGAACACAAGCTCTCTCCCTAATGGCCTCATTCCATTGAATCATTCCACCACCAAACAATCCGAGTGTGCCTGTTCAGTTGTTCAGGTCGAGGCGAACGCTGTGACGAATCAACTTCCCCGGCCTGAACCCAAGCCATGAAATATGGAATAGATATGGCACGTGATATAGTGAAAAGGCTCCATCAACCAACCAAGATTGTTACATAGGAGGATCATCGGGTGATTAATGCCATTGCCTGGGACCTTCCAACGTCGTACAAACATTTGAAACGTCATTTTCATGCCGAGAGATGTCGGCGGTGCGCATTCTTTCGCCTCTTTGCCATTGTCAAGGCCACGATTGAATAAATGGACTCCAGCACTGAGGCTGACACAATGAGTGCAATGCATGTCATTTCTGGTCGGATGATCAACACCATTCATGGACAAGCACGCTGCTTTGATCGCTGGATCAAGTATCGGTCCGTTGGCGTGCCATTTCCGTCCTCGCAAGGTTGAGAAGAGTTCTTCCAATCAATGGCCCATTCCTGAGAAAACGACAACTTGCCACATCTCGCATGCCAGGCAATTGTGAAGTAGGCCCAATGATCCTTTGATAAACCACCGGCAACATCACTAGGAGAAACACCAGTCCTTTTCATGGATGGAGCAGGTTTGGCTCGTGCTTCATACATATCTTGCGGATATATGTTAATCCGGCTTTGTCTGAAAACCGTGCAGTGGTCAGAAGCATCAAGGTTTCTTCTCCTGTTTGTCCAAGGCGGTCGCCTCCGAGCCATAGCCTCCTGAGGCACAGCCTGGGGACTCGAGACACTGCTCTGCTGATCTGCCAGGAACTCGTGTCCACGGGCCAATATGGTGGAAGCCCCCCAATGAGAGCGTCATCAATTGAACAAGCGCCACCTGAATCTGGTTTCTCACAGGCAAAGGCAATACTGGACCAGTGTAGCGAATGTTCATGCCTGAATGTGTGTGAGACCAGGTAAGCACAGCTGTAGGTATGGTTTGTGCAGGGTTGGATCAGCAGATGCAGGTTTGTTTGTCGGTCCAGCCTGAGGTTCAAAGGTTGGCAAGTCACGACGACGGTGACTTGATCCCAACTGGGATCATGTGGACGTTATAGTGACAAACAACGATAGAAGACTGGAGTTGGACTTGTCAGAGATCCAAACGGGGGATTGAGAGGTGCCTCAAGTCCTTTCCCAAGCCTGAATCCAGGAGTGTCATACCCAGCTCGGCTATACAACCAGAATCAGCTCATCGCACAATCCACACCCTGCCCACCACCAAGACCAAGATTGCTCAGCGTGTCGGCGAAGACCCTTCAGTCACTGCTAAAGTCGCCACCCTGAGTTGATTGGTCGTGACTGCCTGTCCGGCCAACTTGCCGCTCTTGTCTTGTTTCCCTGGCTTCTCTCAGGCTCTTTCCTTTGTGACTTGCACGCAAAACAACAACAACAACTCCCAGTCTTGAAGACGTCAAGGCTCATACAGAGTCGTACAGCACATCACAGGTTTCTTCAAGAGGTCCTTCTGGGTTCACATCACTCAGGTCGAAAGCAAACGTAAGCTTCCTCTGCTCAGCTATAAAAACCGCCCATCTTCTCTCTTCCGAAGCAACCCCTGGCCCGTCCCTCCCGTCACTCAAAGCTCACATCTTCCCATACGAAAGCACAAGCTTACACCTCCAGATATCTATTCTCTCAAGCCTCAGTCATCGAACTCATCTCTCGACCCATCAGCCTTCCAGTTCAACAAGGTATAGAATCTCCAATCCTTATTGTGGCTTCCTCCTGGGCTAACTCGAACCTGCCCAGCGAGACTTCGAGTGATCATTCAATCTTTACAATTGGCCAAGATGCCGACCCCTCGAAGCAATCCAAACTACAAAGTCTACTTTTCTGATGTAAAGATCAAATCAATTGTTGCAAAGAGCCTTGACGATGTCGATCCAGACGAGATCACCATCGACCAACTCCCCTCGGGGAAATCTTTCAACAATCGCATCTACTATGTCGACATTCATACCAAATTGCGTTCTGGTGAAGAGTCTCTGGTCTGTTCTGACGCATCCGACACCGGAGAAGATGAACCACTCGAACGAATCACATCCAGACGTACTCCAGCTACTACTTCCTACGCCCTCAAAGTAATCGGTCGTGGGTTTGATGCTCGTAAAATCCAGAATGAGATTGCCAGCCTCTTACTCTTGGAGAAATATTGTCCCTCCATGAACGTTCCTCGTGTTCTGTCTTGGTCTGAAGACGGTATGAGGGTTCAAACCAGAAGCGACCCTGAGGGTTCTGTCTCTCTTGAAGAACATGACCACCTACCAATCGAAGCCTTGAGAAACGTCACAATCTCTGACCAAGACAAAGACTTGGACATGAAGCAAGGTTGGATGCTTCTTAGCCGTGTACCAGGACGCATCATCTACACAGAAGACCTTGAAGGAGATCAAGGCACAGCACTGATGATGCAAATCGCTGCCTATGTCGCTGAATGGCGCAAGACCATGCCTCGAGGCAAAGCCGTTGGCAACATGATCCTCATTCCACAAGCCAAGGCTGCTCCACCTGCTGCAACCTTGTATGCTCGCTCCATCCTCCCAGGTACCGACGTCTACATCTATGGACGCCTTACCGGTCACGTCCAACCATCTCAGCCACTCACCACTCACCTCGAGTATGTGACTCATCGATTGAAATCTGCCCTCCGCAAACTCGAAGATTCCGAAATCTATGACTACATTCGCAAGCCAATGACAGACCTTGTCCACAAGTTCATGAGAGACACCCTCCCACAATTGGACATCGCTGTCCCACCAGAGAAGCGCCGCATGGCTGATTGCTCCAAAGCCTTTCCTGATCAAGCAGAAACTGGCGAGAAGATGATGTTTACCCATTATGACCTGTCACCCAGGAACGTTCTGGTCACTGAAGACGATGATGGAAAACTCAATGTTTCAGCTATACTTGACTTGGAGTTTTCCGGCATGTATCCAATCTATGAAGAGTTTGCCAATACTCTGGTCAATGATGCCTATGACTGGCCCAAGCATTCGTATGAGACCTTCATTGCAGCATTGAGAGCACTCGAGGCTTTACCCGCAGCGCTTGGCCATGCCGGATTTTGCTGCAAAGGAGTTGAAGGTGACCGTGACTACTTGGGTGAACTCCAACGAGATGAGGTCCTTCCATTCGGTGACTTGATCTTCCATCAAGTCTGCCTTGTCATGCGTGTCATTGAAAATGTTGCTCCATGGTGGCTCAAGACTTCTTGCAACTTGACAGTGAATGAGTTGCAGAAGGAACTTGATGGAGCCTATGCAAGAGTTGAACGCGCGATCAAGTCTTTGGAAGCCATGTGCACCACCGTCCACTGCGGAGAGGAAGATATGGAGAAGCCAACATGATGGACAAACTCATCCCTGTTCGGGTACGGTGGTGACGCAAAGGAGTTAGAAAGGAGCTGAGTGATGTGGGACGGAAATAGGTTGCAATGGATCTAGGCATTGTGTGGACAGTCCTTATGCTGGTCGGAGTCGGACTGGTTCTTCTTACCAAGAATGAAATGTCCCGGTAGCAGTGAGAAACCAGGTCTCATAACAACATCAGTCAGCATAGTGGGAGCTTTACAAGTCGCTCATTCGTGTCAGTCATCAAATGATAAGAACTATTCAGTCATCAGAATTGCAGCCTGTAGCAGTCACCAACGTGATACTGGCTTTACACAAGGCGTATATTGGTTTGTGCCGAACACGCTGCAAGAAAGCCAGGTGACCAAAACAGTTACTCACTTGATCTGGACGGGAGACTAATAGCTTGCGACTGACTAACGAAAGATGTCGCAGAACCTCCACGTCTCGTCGATTGCCAAGACTCGGCTCAACTCAACACCTCCTCGACCCTCCAGCCGCCTTTACTTTTCACGTCCAGCACCTGCCGGACCTTGACGGGCGGCAAAGGCCAGCCAAAGCCCAACCCGCCGCCGCGCTCGCCGGCTCCAACCTTCAGCTCCGCAACAACCCAGCACTCCCTCCGCTTCGGCAGGCCCGCGAGATCTTCGACTTTGCTCCTGGCGACGGGCTTGCCGTACTCGACGAGCGCGGTGTCGCGGGCGAGCAGCGAGAGGCGCGCGCTGTCGATCGGCGTGAGCGGGAACATGCGCGTTTTGGGCGATATGCCATCGGTTTGAATCGTGTGTGCTTGCGCCCGCTGCAGGTGGCTGTACACGATGTATTCCGGCAGGTCTTTGATGGGGAGGCGCGACAGGACCGATGATGGGTGGATGTAGACTGCTTTCTCGGTGAGGGAGGCGGAGGTCTTGTCTGTGAGTGGGACGAGGGGCAGGTAGGGGATGTCGATTGCGCGGCGGGGCTTCACAGGCATGTCTGGCGGGGTGGGCAGGCGGTCGTAGCGGATGGCGACGCGGTCGATGTGGCCGCTTGCGGCGATGATGTTGAGCTGCTTGACGCGCGAGGAGGAGAGTTTCGAGCCGCGTGACTGTGTGATGATCTCAGAGCTGATGGTTGTGCGGTGGTTCGCGCGCACGAGCGATTCGAGTTGCGAGCGCAGTTGACTGATTTCCGCCATGGCTTTCGGCCGCAGGAAGTAGTCGCTGCAGAACTGGTTCTTGTCCGTGGCATCCAGGTACATGGACACTGCGGTGAAGAGTTTCATCGCGTCCGACGTCTTGTCGTGCCGGCTGAGTGTTGCTCTGGCCCGGCCGTATTCTTGCTTTCTCCGGTCGCGCGCATCGTCGTCAAGTTGGTCCGCTCGAGTGTATAATTCCCCTCCGTTGGGTGCGGGTTGGGACGGGTCCAGATCGAGCTGCGCTTCTGTGATGAAGATTTCGGGCACGGCGAGACCGGCCACTAGTGCGAGGACCTGCCAGATCAGAGCGGGCTCGTCGACCCCAGCGGCCATGATTTTGCCCAGTCGAGGTGAGAGGGGATACACGGACAATTGCTTGCCCAGTTTGGTGATGACTCCGTTGGTCGTCAAGGCTCCAAGATTTCGCAGCAGCTGCTCGGCTTTGTTCAAGGTGAATGATGCAGGTGGAGTTGGAAATGGAAAGTCCACGATCGGTTTTGGGTAGGCGAACCCTTTGAGTTGCAGGACGACACTCTCAGCAGGTGCTCGGAGGATTTCTGGTTCTGCGTGGTCGGGAAAGAATTGCTCATATACCGCGGAGGCGTAAAGTCTCCAACAGTGGCCAGGCCCCGTTCGACCTGCGCGACCGGCTCGCTGTTCAGCGCTGGCCTTGCTGATCCAATCGACTTCGAAGCTCTGGACTCCCGAGTCTAGGTTGTACTTCCGTTCTTTGCTTCGACCCGAGTCAAACACGTAGCGGATTCCGGGTATGGTCAAGCTGGTCTCAGCAACATTGGTTGCGAGCACGATCAGTCGAGAGCCTGGTGGAGGTGGCTCGAATACCTTGAGTTGTTCATTCGTCGGGAGCTGTGAATAGAGTGGTAGAACATGGACGGAGGTGTAAGGTTCTTTAGTCAATGTGGACACAGGGTTGGGTTTACCAATGTTGCCTTTATCTTCATCATCCGAAATGTCAAATTCATGTGCCTCTGCCTCATCTTCTGAATGTGTCAAGATGTCGAGATCAAAATCATCGTGGTCATCTTGTGCCTTGAAGTCGCCAATATCCATATCTTCAACCTCAAGTGGGGCTTCACTTGCCGCTATCGTCACTTGTGGTGCATTTTGTCGAGGGTTGTGTCTGTCCCGAGGTGCTAAGGCAGTCCTCAAGCGATCACCAACCTGCCTTATCTCGTTTTGACCCGTTAAGAAGACCAGTATGCCTCCATGAGGAAGTTTTCGATGGGCACGTCCAACCTTCTCAATCACTTCTTCGACATAATCTGGCCTGGAACGCAATGCAAAATGCGTAGTAACACGATGTTGCCTGCCTTCTGCTTCAACCACCGGGGGTCTTTCAGAGGGAGAGAAAAGTTTCTCATGTAGAAAATCTCCTATGTTGAGAGTAGCAGACATTATGATGAGCTTGAGTGGTTGTGGATCTGGATTGAACTTGGTCTTTCTCAATCGAGCAGGCACAATCTTGCTCAGCATACCAATCAAGATATCGGTATTGACACTTCTCTCGTGGGCTTCATCAATGACAATCGCAGAGTATCTTCTGAGAAGCAAGTCTTGAGATAATTCCCGGAGCAATATTCCATCGGTCATGAATTTGACTGCGGTGTTGGAAGAGACATTGCTGTCGAATCGAATTTGATACGCCACTTTCTTCCCATGGTCACCCAATTCAACGCCAACGCGTTTGGCCATACTCACTGCAGCTACTCGTCGAGGCTGAGTGATTCCAATCATTCCGGGAGTCGATCCATCTTTGGAGCCATACCCGGCTTCGAATAGAAACTGTGGTACTTGTGTCGTCTTGCCGCTACCAGTATCGCCTTTCACTAGCACAACCGAATTATTGTGGATAGCCTCCATTATTTCTTGCTCTCGCTGGAGGATTGGTAGCTGTATCCTCGATTGCTGAATCTCATCCGCACGATCGATGTGCACTGCATATGCCTTTCGGTTTGGCGTTGACTCGGAAGCCTCAGTGGGGGTATCACTGACTACTTTCATCGGAGTCGCCAACTCTTTGACTGCTGGCTTTGGCAGCAGCTCGCCCTCACCAGGGGTGTAGGATGGGACATGTCCTATAGAATTGTTGACCTGCTGTGTTGCCCACGTCTTGAATGCCGATTTTCTGGTCTTTGGTTTCTCCCCTGCAGACTCGTCTGAAGATGATAACTCCGAATCCGAATCACTGTCTTCAGACGCTAAATCGTCATCTTCGTCACTCGTTCCCAATTCGCTGGTGGCAGAATCATCGCCATCTGAAGATTCAGAGTCTTCTAGATTCCCCTCGCCATCTAGAGAGTCTTCTGCATCAGCTGAGTTCGAATCAAACCCATGCCAGGGCAGTTCCTCCGCAACAGGAGTGCCTTTGACACGCTGCTTCCCCCTCTTCCTCGATTGAATCACGGGCAAACCACTCTCGTCAAGTTCCAAAGGCCGTGCGAGTCCACTACCGCGAATCGCATTGGTGATGACGGGGGCAGGCATGGGTTCATGATCTTCATCTGGCATATGTGTAAAGGCATCCTTGTTCTCTGCTTCGAATGAATCTTCGCTCTCTATATCAGAGTCTTGATCGTCCTTTTGCGTGCGCTTTCTCTTGTTCTTTTCAGTGTTGCCGTTCGTCTGTCCCTTCACAAACTCGCTAAAAGTTCTTTTTCCCAAATTCTGAGAAGAGTCTACCACGGCGTCATATTTCTCCTTCTCCTGCTCCAACTTTCGGAGCAAGTCGATTGTCTCATCCTTTCTCAACTTATTCTCGATGTATTTATCCAATCTCTTCTGCTTTTTGGCCGATACTTTTGGCTGCTGAGCCTTCAGCTCATCTCTCAATTTCTGTCTCTTTGCCTCTTTCTCGCTTTGTGTTAGAGGGATGATTTGTTCCTGATTCGACTCGATTTGAGGTGCCTTCTCGCTTTTCTCTCGCGCAAGGACCTTGTGTTTCCGTTGGCGAGGAACAAATCGAGGCATCTTTGAGTATATACTGCCCTCTTCATTCACGCACTCAACAGTCTTGCGGCCGAAAAATGTTCCAATGCGTTGCAAGGACTCGAAAAAGTTATTGCGGCAGAAAATAGGCGGTATGAAACAATATTGAAGGGCATACTCGAGGGCGGTGAGTGGCATATCAATCACGTGTGAGCGTTCGACTTTCCACCAACGGAATGTTGGACCCGGCTTTCAATTCAGTAGAAATTGCTAAATACGATTTCTAGGTCGTCTATATAACCCAACTGAAGAGTGTAGCATGGGTCTCCCCCAGGACTATAATACTCTCACAATGGACGATACAAAAGTCACGATACCCTTCCCAGCCCCATCCAAGCAGGTTGCGGGTGAAGTCAATGGAGTTAAGACAGACGTCATGGCAATATCTTTTGCAGACAAAATCATGATAACGATTACGCAAAACGGTAGATTGGCCCAGTGGGTATGCTTGCTCCAAAACTTATGAAATCTCGTTTCTATGCTAAAACGGAAGCCAGATTACCGTGCCACTGTTGAGTGACAATCCGACACACTCGGATCCATATTTCCAAACCATCAGTTCTGACAATGATGCCCTGCTTCCATCAGCCCGTTTCCAGCCACGCACGCTTCTCGGCGCCGGTGGATCGGATCGTGAGACTGTGGGTCAGCTCTACGCTTCACAGATTGCCAGTGCCATCACTACCAAAACGCCTGACGAGTCTCGCTCTCTCATGCTTGGACTCGGATTGGCCAAGGCTGATGTTGATCGAGATGTCTTCCTGCAGATCATCGATCTTGTTCTGAAAGTCCTTTGAAAGGACTTTAATTTGAGCGTGAGCACAGCTCATCATCATACACCCACTGCGTCAATAAGACACGGAGATCTTGCTCGCCATATCCTTCGCTCCGCACCACCACCAATCCCCTCCAGCGTCTTCTTCAACGTTCCTTTTCCGCGGGCTTTGATTTCCTCCACAGAAGCATAGATATCATAATTGCCTTCTACCAGTGGAATTATTCCTAGCTCCGTTTCACACATGCCACCCGGCTCTATAGCTGGACGCAGTGCTCGCTGCAGCACGCCCGACCATGCAAATCGCTTTGAAAGGTCGAGTGCGATGTTGTGGGGTTGATGTCTAAGAGACGGTTGGAGTCGGAGAAGAAGGTGTAAAGTGTCCTGCGTGTGGTTGCGCACCCGTACTTTCAACGTCGCAAAAGCCTCGTTTCGAATGATAAAGTGCGACTTCCCGGCCTGCTTTACCAGGTCAGCCTGTCCGTCATCAGACACCTTACTGCTCGAGCAGGGAGCGATATCATAGTCAATAGCGACGTGGTCCATCTTCAAAGCTTCCACCATACGTGGACTGAGTCTTATACCCTTCCTAAGATCAATCTCTCCCTGTCGTCCAGAGCTGCCTTCAATCCATGTCCCTCGTAAGCACTTCAGGAGCGACTCTCGATACCAGAAGGATTCCCTACTTGAGGCTTCTGCCTCTGGGCTCATTTTGACGGTTGATACGACGAATTGTTTCTGTGTGTCGAGGCTTGGGATAGGGATGTATGGATCTTCCACAAATATCCGTGGCAGCAGCAACACAACCCTGGTCACGACACCTGGCTGTAGGGTCTCATGAACCGTATAACCATGCTTCCAGGATGATTCGCCAAGTTCTTCTTCGGCGGTATGTAGCTTTCTAGCTTGCAGGGTGATATCCAGTGGTTGGGGCCAGACATTGCGTAAGTCTAGTGACATCATGCAATAGTCACTGGCGTCTGACTGCTCCTGTAGCCAGTGATGCATTATAGATTGTTGTCGAGGTAGGGAGGAGGCAGTGTTGTCGTGGTCAACCTCCAACGAATTCGGTCGGTAGTCTGAACTCCAAGCAAAATCACTCTGAATGGACAAAATGTTGCAACGGGGGATTTCAATACTACCATTGACAGTGATGGCAAGAGGAAATCTGATCTGTCGGGTGTAAAAAGTCTCCTTGACTTCGGATGATTGAGAGCCCAGGAAAGCGTAATCCGCATGTACTGCGGCACTCACTAGTCCTGCTCGTCCCCAGACCTCAACGTTGTAAGTAATATCTTGATTCGGTGGAAGAAGAGTATTTGGGTTGGTGGCATCGATCTTTTTCACAGAGATTGCTGGCTTGGTCGCTATTTGCGACTGTACCTCGAAGATCTCCACCGGATTCAAATCTTTGTTTGACAAGGCCTCCTTAAGCTGCTTCATCACAGAATCCTCCGTGGTCATGAGAAGAAGATCTGCAGCGACCGTTGCACTAGTATTTGACAGAGTGACAGTAAATGAGCGGCATTCTCCTTCGAGCAGCATTATCGATGGCTGTTCTAGTGTGCTGGATTTGACTATTAGCCTGGGTTGGGCATTTATAACCTTCAATCTTAAAGTTGTCGGCTCTGGTGGCTCGAACACTATACCAGTCCCAGTTGGTGGTACTTCATCAATCACCTCTCTCAGATGAGCGCGGAAGCGACCTTTCGTGACAGCTTTCTGCTTGGGTTTGAATGGCACCTTCCAGTCCTTCACGAAAGTGAGGAATTCTTGTTCATAGCAATTCCGTACTCTCGCCCGACATCCAATCACTTCCAGCTCACCATCGGCGGTAGCCCGGCCGTTGAAGGTGAATGTTTGGATAGAGAAAGGCCCAAGGACAATGCCGTGTGGGGAGGCCTGGAAAGCCGAACCATTGGTGATCAGCGAAATTTCCTCAATATCCACCTCCATTTCGAGAGGATTTTGTAGGACAACTGCGAACGTCGCCAGTTCACCTGCAACAAGTACAGGTGCGCTGGTTATTGATTTATCCTTGGAAAAAGGATTGTAGATGAAAGGATCTCGCACTGCATCGGACATTCCACTTGCTCGAATTGATAAATCACTCGGTTTGTGCGCGATAAGTGTGGAAAACCCATCCTTTTCGAATATTCGCACATCTCGCACAAGAAAATCATCCCAGTATTCCGCGCGATACCCGTCTGCACCAAGCCGCGAGGCTGCGGACACTGCTTGTCGCATGCTCTCCATTAAGCGTACTTGTTCATCGGTGGAAATAATGGGAACCTGGGGCTTCGACTGCGTGGACATCGTCAATGTTTGCTTTGCTGTGCGAAGTATATTGGAGGTGAAGTGAAGACCTGCCGGTATGTCAGGCAGAGCTTCACAAACGCTCACACAAACTCGAAGCATTTCGATCTTGAGTAGGACGTCACCGGAGGTCTGCTCGGTAGCCCATATGGCCAACTTTTCTCGGATATTGTTGACATCTGCAGGTCTCTTGTCCGAGGGTGATGGAACAGATGGTAGCGCAACGCCATACGCACTAGCCGCCAGGCTCAACATAACTCTCGTGCCAATAACCATCTCTGGAATGACGCCTTGTTGAGCATTGCTGAGTGGAGGAAGCCCTGCAGCTGGGTGCACGCCAACTTCAGAAGCGCCGAGCTTACGTGCTTCCACAAGTTTTGGAGCAAATTGTTGCATGAGCTGCTTGAGATAAAATGCATGCTTTCGCTCAAGCCCCAAGATGGAAAGGCTACTAGCCACAGCAACTAGCATACTCGTGTAATGTGACAAATTATTGCTTGACTGGGAAGTTTGAAGTGCTTCGATCAGATTGTTTGCAAGGCCTGCCCGAGAGATGGAGACAAATTCTCCTTCTGACTGTACAGGTGCATCGATATTTCGGTCACGGGGCGAAACCAGATGGTCAAGAATAATTCTATTCAGAACACATCCCTCGCCTTTGATGATGACAAGCAAGTTCACATGCCTGACACGGGACTCTCTCAACAAATCTTGCAAGGAACCGCCTAGATCAAGATTTGAAATTTTGGCATATAACTCCAATATAGTTTCGACGAGTGGTGGGATGAGCTGAGCCAAACTTTTCAACGAACCTGCCGCTTGACTTGTCGAATCTGCACCAAAAATCCCACTCCTGTTTGGAAGTGTGCGACATATCTGGGGAATGGTATAATTTTTGTTTGACCAGGACAAGAGGAGCATTGAGACCAACAAACATTCTAGAGCCTTTCCATGCCAGAGATGGTCTTGGTTCTCAAGTGCAAGAGCAGCCCCATCCGACAAAGACGTCAACGCATCAAGCCAGAGGCCACTTTGGAGATTGTATATGCCTTGTACAATGCTGAATCGACCTCTTGAGGTGTCACTTTGAGCCTCAGGTTCATTGAAGGCTGATATTGGACTGGAGGACTTGGCTGTAGTATGTGTAGAAGAGCCCTCTGGCATGGTTGGAACAAGAGATTTGGACATACGTGGAAAGCCTTGAGAGCTTCCTACTGGGACCATACTAATTGGCTTGTCCTTTAGAGATTTTAAGAGATTCGACACCCCCCTGGTCCACCGTTGCGCTAGTTGGACCATGGTATCAAAGACCGCCTCGTCGCCGTCATTTTCAGGTATGAACAGAATCTCTGGTTCACTAGGCGGCGTAACATCGCCTTGGAAGACAACCAATTGACGCACAACAAGCCCAGGCGCATCGGGCAATAATTCAGAAAATTGAGACCGAACAATTTCTAAAGCCGCATCGGTACCATTTGATGCAGACTCGCCAACTTCAAGCGACCGTTCAAGCCGTCTGCCGTCTACCAAGCCGAGCAAAACTTGAGTTTTTCCATTAGGTTCCAGGGGAAACATATCCGCCCTTGAGCCATCCTGGGTTGCAGCCAAATCAAAGAATAACGTTCCATCCTGGGTCACTGAGTTGCGGATACAGTTAGTAACGGAGTATCATTGGTGTTAGAAATTGCGCGTCAACCTACGTTGGCGATTACTGGTATCGGTCACTCTGAGCTTGACTATTGAAGCACTCCGCAATATCTTGATGAACTCCTGAAAGCGGTCGGGATGGACGAGGCCGGCGGGAACACACAATGTGTTGATCTTTGCGCCTGCCGTGGGCAAAAATGGATTATATCCCATAATGACATGATGATAGTGTGGAAGCAGACTAATTAGTGAGAAGAAGTTCTTCAAAGGGTGAAGACCAAGTATGCCTTTATCGATCCACGTGACTTGGGACACGCGATCACATGGTTTCGCGTTGCAAGTAAGGAGCGTTTGATTAGATAAGATCAGTCTCCAGTCGCAGTTGCCACTAGTTACATACTGTCGTGCGTCACCTGGCGAATCACTTTTGTAAACTCCGTTCCCCGAGTCGTCTCAGAAAGTTGCCTGCGACTTGAACGGACTGGCACCTCCTCGAAGCCGCCTCGGGTTCGCCTCATCCTCACCACATATAAACATGTTATCCCATTCATTCTGTTAATGGAACACACTTCAACTTTATCATCAATATGGATTTCAACGCCCTTCGCGCACGGACGCTACGTTCCGGCAACGATGAAGAGGCTGTTACTGTCAACACTAGAGCCCTAATAGACAAGGTACTGGCTCGATATTCTGGCGAATGGACCGTCTTGAGAGAACTCCTCCAGAATGCAGCCGATGCTTCCGCCACCAAAATCACCATCAAATTCGAAACCGTGCCATCCACCACGGTTCCATTGCCCGCTGGTGCCTCTTCCGACTCAGCCCTCCTCAAGCACACCGTTCAGAACCATACACTGAGACGTTTGGTAGTGACGAACAATGGACAGCCCTTCAACGAAAATGATTGGAATCGGCTCAAGAGGATAGCCGAAGGAAATCCAGATGAGACGAAAATTGGTGCCTTTGGCGTGGGTTTCTACTCTACGTTTGCCGACTGTGAGGAGCCTTTCATATCCTCGGGTGCAGAGGCTATGGCTTTCTACTGGAAGAACAACTCTTTATTTACACGACGCCTGCAACTCAGCGAGGCAGAAACTTCTCGAGATACCAACTTTGTCCTCGACTATCGAGACAATACTTCACCTGTACCACCTCTTCTTCCTTTAGCGCAATTCCTCGCAAACAGTTTAACCTTTGTCGGTCTGGAAAACATAGAGTTGTGGATAGACAACTGGAACGTACTGACCCTGATGAAGAAGACATCTCCTAGCTACGAATTGGGCATTCCACGAGATATTGAGCCAAAGACCAGCGAGGGTTTCATGAAAGTAACAAAGGTTTCAAAGGAGATTGCACAAATAGATGGGCAATGGATGGCTATAATAGGATGGAAAGCCTCCAAAGACACTGGTTTGCGGTCCCATGCCCAGGATGCTGCTCCCTCATTGCGGAAATTCTTCTCCCGTCTGGCTGGCGTCGTGCCGGACGAAACTAATCCATCCTCGAGACCAGCCACACCCATGGCGAATGACTCGGATGTTCTCGCCACAAAGTTTTCAGCCACTGTCTTCTTGAACGTCAACACTGCGACAATCAAAACCTTCACTGGGCAGAAATTCAACGACGAGTTGGAACGTGCCACAAAGAAGCCTCCTCCAAAGTACACAAAACTCGCCGTTTTGACAGCCCCTTATATTGAAGATTCGAGTTTAGCCAAGGCATCGGCAGCTGGCGATGTCTTTGGGACCGTCCTACCAACAAAAGGGGGCAAGATCTTTATCGGCTTTCCCACTCATCAAACCACCGGTCTTAGTGCTCATATTTCGGCTCCTTCTGTTATACCTACAGTCGAACGTGAGTCGATTGATTTGAATGCGAGATATGTAAGGACATGGAACATGGAAATGCTCAGGGCTGCAGGCATTGTATGCAGGATAGCATGGTCTACAGAGATGCAAGAGTTGCAAGAAAAGATCCGGCGACAGGCGAGCGGCCGTACGAAGATCCGCATGGCCGATGTGAATCCTTTTCTAGACGAGGCGATAACGATATTCAAGAATTTCACTTACAAGGAGTCAACGCCATCTGCTGCGATTGGTCAGCTGCTTGAGGACGCCTTCTGGACTTGCAGTAAGAAGGCGTCAATTGAGGTTGTCTCTACTTGTGGAGTCCTGCCCACTAATGATGTGCGAATCGCTCCCAAAGACCTAACTTTCATGGCGGGAATTCCAATTCTTCCAGAAAGACTAGCAACAGAAGCCAGTAAGCTGGTGGCAAAACTTGTGGACTTTGGCTTGATCACCGAAGTGACGGTTTCTGATATCAATCTTGCCCTTGAGTCAAGTCCTCTATCAACCATTCAAGTCGGCGAATTTCTTGGATGGCTGACAAAACAATCAACGTGTGGACAACTTGAGAAAGTCACCATCGCCAATCTCTTGGCTGTCGCAGTGGTGAATGACGATGAGCCTGAGACTGACCGGGGCCAAATTTTGCAACTTGGAGATATAAAGCACTTTCTAAATCCTAGTCGAACACCAGTTGATTTCCCTGTACCACCTTCTGTGATGCCGTTCAAATTCACAAAGAGTATGAGCAAGCACGAATTGGAGAGCATAGGTTGGGAAGAACTTCAGATCGTTCCTTGGATGCGGTGGTTGATCGCGGAAGCAGGCAATCGTCAAATTCTGCCAGAACATCAAGATGTCACTCGATCGTCGGATTTCAGTACACAACTTCTTCCCCTCCTTTCCAAGCATTGGGACTCGCTGAGTCAATCTTCCAAGTCGTCTCTGGTTGACCTTCTTAGCAAGCACACCATTGTACCAACAAAGTTCGGAATGAAAAAACCAGGTGACTCTTATTTCCCGAATGTCAAGCTTTTTGACGACCTGGCAACCATAAAGGGGCTTTCCAACGTCAAGGACAAATTCCTTATCGCCATTGGTGTGCGTAAAACTGTGGAGCTGGGGATGGTGTTTGAGCGTCTTCTAGCAAAAGACTCAAGAGGTAGTCATGTGGATCTGATACAATATCTTGCTTCTGTGCGCGATGACATCCCCGGTTCTGAAATGCAGAAATTGATAAACACTCCTATTTGCCCACGGCAGATTAAAGGCAAAGAAGAAGAGGTTCCAGCAAAGCTATACAAAGTTGCAGAGCTGTTCGAACCCCGACCTGAGCTCCGAGATTTAAACCTACCCTGCCTATCCTGGCCTGGGCTTTTTCGCAGCGGCAGTCCGGAAGGCAGGTTCCTGAGTATTCTTGGTCTACGAACAGTTCCGACCGTCGAAGAACTCCTTTCCATTCTGGCAAGTGCAGGGAAGATGCCTCAACCAGACCTTGATTTGAGAGACAGGGCTCTGGCTTACTTCCTGTCACACCATCACTCCTCTGGATACGGTGCATATGACTATGCTAAGATCACAGTACCATTCCTCCCACTTGAGAACAACTCAAGCAAACTAGCCACGCCCTCTCAGTGCTTCATTGATGATGGTGCAGCACTGCTTGGATTCGACATTCTGAAGCGCGATTGGGTGCCTCATGCCATGAAATTCGGGATCCGCCAGAATCCCCCAATAGAGCTCTGCATCAATATTCTGAGCAAGCGCCCTCCAACAAGGTATGCGGATGCCCGAATCCTGTTCACTTACTTTGCCACCCGCCTTGGGGAGATCACTGCTGCGAACATGCCTCGATTGAACGAAATGAATTTCATACCAATCTTCTCCAAAGGGAAAGAAAAAGCCGCCCCCAAACTTCACACTTCTCCTAGGAACTGTTTCCTTGGCGAAAGCGATGTTTTTGGCGAAATCTTCCATTTCGTCGATTTTGGAGTTGAAGCAAATTCTTTCCTGGTTAAGTGTGGCTCCAAACAAGAGCCATCCAAGGTAGAGATTGCGCAGATACTGGTCAGAGAACCAGCGCGTATTTCCGCAAGCTTTCGCAATGCCGAAAAATATCTGGCTCTTTTGCGTAGCATGGCTGACAGCATGAAGATCTTGAAGAAGAATAAGGAGCTTTTTGCAGAGATGAAGCGGGCGCCATTCTTGCTTGCAAGCAGAGAAATTCCCGCTGCACAGGCGTCTATTGACAAGTCTGCAGCACGAGATGAAGACCAGGAGGCCTTGGACGACGAGGATCTCCAAGGCATTCGTGAATACCAACTATGTAGTGCACAGGATGCTATCATCGTCGATGAATATGTGGCTTACAACCTATTCAAGACAGACATACTCGCGGCGCCACAAGAAGAGATTCTTGAGGAATTCTACTACAGTTTAGGCTCACCATTGTTGAGCTCCTTGGTTGAAGAGTTTTCGAAACATGGACCCCGGGCACCAGACCAGGTACCCGCAGATAGATTGCGGAAACAAATTCTTGAACGTTCGACTCTATTCCTCCATGAGCAATCACCGGACACGATCAAGCATGATGCGAAATGGTTGGGAAATAACCTCACAGTTCAATTGGTCTCAACCATATCTCTCCGACGATCTTTACGTGACCGCAACATCAGCCACACTGAGAAGAGGTCGGCCGTTCTGAGTGGAACAAATCGGCAATTCACGCTCTGGATTACTGCGAAGCCTGATCTATACCAGGTCAGCCAATCACTCATCCATATACTACTGACAAGACCCAAGATCCACTCCGCCATTACATTTGAGATGTTACTAAAGACGGACTTGCTTGAACTAAGAGCACGTGGCTTTAACGTGTCCCGCATCCTACGCCAGAAGGCAGCCGAAGCACGACTGGCTGAGAATAAACGCCAACAGCAACTCGAAGAGCAACGAAAACAGATTGAGGAAGAAGAGAAGGCATACGCAGCTTCTCACCAGAATTCTTCGCAACATCAACGACACGAGCTGCCCGGTGGCTTCCCAGAATCTCCAAATCAGCATGCAGAGTCTAGCAATAAGGCTGTGGTTGCTAGTGGTGATGACAGTCGATCAGGTCGAGGAATAATTTCCAATCTTTCAAAGCAATTCGGTTGGGGCAACCGCCATGTTCAATCGATGTTGGGGAATGATAACGAGACTGGTCGTGGCCAACAACTCGCTGACTCGAAGAGTGGGCCACCGCCACCATATCAATACAACCAGCAGGGTCCTAAGCCCCAGGAGGATGGTGTTGTCGCACCCCATCGTTTACGCGAAAATCTTCTAAATGCGGTCAAGAAAACTCGTCCTCACAACTCATCGGATATTTTTAGTCGTGGCGAGACGAATGTGCTAACAGAAACCAAGTCTTACTGCGATGAGCATCCTGCTCACGAACTTGTCTTCGTAGCAGACATTAAGCATGGTATTCAGATGTATATGGGATCTGCAAACGAGGCATCCGCCTTCCTACGCGAGCATTCAGTTGGTCTTACAGCATTTGCCACCCTCTTGAATGCAGTGGGTGATATCTTCAATCTCAATCCACGAACGCTCAACATCTTCATGGAGCCTGCGGGCAAAACCATTGCTTTCAACCGCAATGGAAGTATCTTCTGCAACTATCGATATTATCATGATCTTCACGAACGCACTGCTACGGGGAGAGGCACAGACTATGCCGAGGCATTTGTTTATTGGTGGGTGATTCTCTGTCACGAGCTGGCGCACAATCTTGTTGCGGATCATAGCTCTGATCACAGCTTCTACACGGAGGGATTTGTGGCGCAATATTTTGGAAGAGTGATGAGGGCTATTGCACAGGCTGCACCTCCTCCACCAGAGCCACAGCGTTTGATTGACATATGAAAACAAGATTCTCCCAGAGGCTACTGGATAGAGTAGATGTGTTTCGTTATTAGTAGAACAACATCAGTAGATGTTTCCTCTTGGATTGTCAACATAGTCCCCAGACACCAAGAGATAGTGGCTCAATGAGAGGACAAATGTTGCTCGGCTTCAGGCTTTGTGCTCCGCCGTATTGTTTTCACCAAACGTTACTACCACTAGTCCACATTGCCTTGACACTCACACTCGGTAGACATTCAGCGATCTTGTATGGGCCCGTCTCTCTGTCTAGGAATACGGGCGTCGCCGAGGAGCTGTCTTGCTCAATGCAGGCACTTTTCGAGCTCTCGCCTGTGCGCCTCGGGCCACAACAGGTGGTCTAAGATCAAACATGACAAGGGAGCAAATGATCTCACCAAATCCAAGGAGAGGACGTTCCACATGCGACAGATCGCTCTTATGTCGAAGCGTAGGTATACGAGTGTCTGGTAGACGATATCATCAATTAACCTGATGCAGTTGGAGGTGCCGACCCCAAGGCGAATCCTTCTCTTGCCTTTGCCATCGCAGCCGCAAAGAAAAACCAACTCGCTAAAGACATGATCGAAGTCGCCATCCTAAGGGGCCAGGGTAAATCACTTTCCAACATGCCCCTGGAGCCGGTCACCATTGAAGCACTCCTCCCATATGGCGTCGCAGCCGTAATCGAATGCGAAGCCGACAATAAAAAACGAGTCCTCCAAAACATCCTTTTGATCATCAACAAGGCCGGTGGCAGTGCCGGGCCTACAGCGTATCTCTTTGAGCGGAGGGGTCGCATAGAATTCGAAGAGCAGGACAAAGTCGGGATTGATGAAGCGCTGGAAGAGGCTATCGAGGCTGGCGCAATTGATATTGTGGAGGAGGAGAACAAACTCGTGGTCGAGACGCCGGCGACCGAGCTCGCAGCCATTTCTGCGCGGCTACAAGAATCCCTCAAGATTCGCGTGGAGAAATCCAGTGTCATCTATGTCCCGAAAGAAGATACGGTGGTGCCGCTCACGGATGAGCAGGCCGAGCAGTTACAGCCTGTGTTGGACGCCATTGAAGCTGATAATGATTTCCAAGCTTTGCATATTAATGCCTCCTACAGCTGAAGACGTACGTGGTTGGAGCCTCTGTTTCATAAAAAACTATGCAGTTCAGGCTTAAGATCTTGAAGACGCCGGAAGATGGACACCGTGTAAGTAGAAGGAAGGGCAAGAGCACGGCAAACAGTATGTATCTATCAGCAACCTACCACCAATGTACATCTAATACTACAGCCTAACACATTCTCCATTCACTCTCGACGTACTCAATCCTTACCGCTTCACCTTCAATTCCAGGCACCAACCAGACCCTTAAGGCGTCGTACCAGCACGTGAACCAAGAACAGATATATTGCAAAGACTGAAATTCCCTCCAAAATCCTCTCGAGACCGCGGCAGGAGCAGCCTACTGAAATCATGTCTTGAATAATGGGCCTAATACCCAGTAACAGACGGAAGTGTGCAATTAATGCTTGATCCAACTTCGGAGATTGTGATCTTAAAAAATCTGGGTTCGACTCTCGAGAAAAGAGAGATAGCATCCCCTTAATAAGTGGATTTCACAGTTTCAGATCCCCCGAAAGGGGGGTCTGGTAGTCTCTTTTTTTTGGATTTGAAAGTTTATTCTATGTAGATAGATAATGTTTTTCCTGGAGGATGTGATTGAAGATGAAACGCGTCTCGTACTACGAGTATACGAAATCCCCGGTGAAGTATAGGAGCGGAGACCGCAACGAATTTTGAGCCTCAATATCATTCAAATGACACCTTGTCTTCCAAGTCGTGTAATTCACCAGCAGAGACAATTGAGACTTCGGGCGTTGAAGAAAGCCGTGGTAACAAGACGGTCCTGAGACCACAGGTCTGGAATATCTGCTCGATTTCTTTGAAACCTTAGAAAGACCCAATCCTCTGGTGTTCCAGAGTCGAAAGTTGTCAGGAGTGTTGCTTGAGAGGACCTCCATGATGGAGTCCGTGGGCACTATCACAACATGGCAGCAAGCCTTCGAGGAGTATCGTATTCCGACTACGAGAGTAATTGAGAAACAATTGAAGTCAAGTGCGACCCGCGATAAAGAAAAATTGCGAACACTTGTTGGGTGGGTCAATACTTCCCACCTTTGCTCTATGACTCCTGGAAAAGCCTAGCTACTGCCCTCCAGGAACCCAGAGGTTAGTCTCAGTTGTGTGCTAATTCTTATATTAGTGGGAGCTATCGGGAGCTCTTAGCTACAGCGGAATCAATTGTGGTTCTTGACTCGAAAACAAAAACAGCGGAAGAACATATGTCAATAATGGGCCACAACTGCAGACCCCCTAATCACGACACAGGTACCAAATCTCACGACGAGAAAAAAATCGTCCTCGCAGAACTACGATTGTTGCAGAGATGTTGCACAACGATAGCCAGCATTCTACGAGAGACGAGATTCCTCCACTGTTCACAGCTAATGGTTGTGTCTCGCCTATTGCTGAAGTCCTTATCCGAGCATCAGCTGCCAGCACCGAGTCTTGATCTTCTGCGCAACAAGGTCGCTCATTTGAGACGTCAACTTCTGCGACAGATAGACGCAAGATTTACGACTCCCGTTTCAAATCTTCTCGAGCTAGTCGAGGCCATTTGCTCCTACTGCCTAATCACCAGTGTCTCTTCGGAAGATGCTCTGAGTCATTTACACCAGCTGCGACTCGACAAGATTCGAAGGATGCTCCAACGCGCTTCGGATGATAGCCGTCATATTCAAGAGGCTCTGAGGTATCAGTTGGTGTCCTTACAGACTTTTAAAGCGTTGGTAGGGCGCCCTCTAGCGGAGGCGATGACCAACATGCAAAAGCGTGCTATTCTCACAGATCAGACTCTCAGAAACCTAGAATCGCTCGACCTTGACAGAACTGTTTCACTCATATCAAGTGATATTCAATCATTCGTTCCATACTTCAAGAAGAGTACTCTGTCCGCGGACGATGCCAGGGCAAAGCTGGAAAATTGGTCAGATGAAGCAAGTCGAGTCTTGGTCACCAGTTTGAAAACACATCTGAACACATCAAATGACACGGCTCCCATCTTGAACTTGCGTCAGGACCTTTACACTGCTCTTCTTCCTTCATACTTCTCAACTCCTGGGGCAGCCAACATGCACCAGCAGATACGGCAAATTGTGAACGAAAAGCTCCAAATCATTTGTTCAACTCAGGTGAGACAATTACAAGACATAACTGCAAGTCTGACCAAAAGAATGCCTGATACCCCCGAGGTAAAGTCTCTGTGGGATGAAGATACCGCAAAAGCAAGTGCGAACACTCGAGGCTCACGATTGATCAAGCAAGTGAAGAGCCGGCACACGGGCCACCATTCATCGTTAAACAGAGCGCAGAAATCATTAGGACGGTGGATTGCGTCCATAAAGGCTACGGAGGCCTCGTTCACTGCGCTTTCGACGACATCATGGCGGGACCTGATGGAAGAGCCGGACGAAGAAGATGAGGAGGAAGCACTGGACCTCTCAAAACAACTCGGCAAGACCGATGCAGAAGGCTATGTCAAGTTTTTGCAGGACTCGCTTCGCGCAGGCTTATCATCACTTGAAGCGGGCATTATTGATGCCGCTACTCAAATCGGCACCGAAAATCCAGATATCAGTCGATCTGTGGCTCTCTTGCGCTCCATACGGATGTCTGTAGCAGCTTTGCAGGACGCATTTCCGGACCATATGACCTTTGAGAAGATACACGCAGCCATCCCCCAATTACATGATCTGGTGGCGATTGAAGTCGTCAATCGACTCTCCGAGGCGAGTGAACGCAAGAAACGATCTGTGAAGTCGTCCAAAGAAAGATTGCCAGAAGATATGCCATCCCCAAGAGCCTTCGTGACTCTACGGCGGCTTTGCGAAATCATGTTCGAGATTGGTGGGACTGATATCTGGTCGGCAACTGCTGTGGAGAAGATCAAAATTCAGGTGCAGGCTCGAGTATTTAACCCAGAGCACAATACGGCGTACATGATGAACGATTTTGATGAGGCATACCTTCGAGCGGCGCTCGGTTCAACCACCGACACCGTCGGAAGCGCATCTCACTCTGCGGGAGGACACGATCGAGCTGCGCAGGAATACTGGACGAGAACTAAACTTCTCTTTGGATTGCTTTCATGACACAAGGTAGAATTCTGGGCTTGTGCCCCGCGATATCCTTCACAGTGATCAGCACGAAATCTCAGCACGAAATCGGACAGCTTATTGTCCAGCCTTGTACGTAAGGACAAGAAAGCTGTCTTTCGGAGCCCAGTACTCCCGATTACCTTCCGTCTGCTTAGCGGTCCTTTATTCCACTCCACACGATTTGGTGGTTAATGCGAGTTACTAGCTAGTTAGTCGCCGATATTACTCTCACGCATAGATAGAAACTCACAATGAAGTATTTGCACCCCATCTATCACTAGAACACCAAATGTTCTAATGACATCATTGGTGATTTGGGGAGTCTTCGGAGTGACCAATCAGAGTAGGCACTCGGGCCGGACCGTTCTTGACAGTCTGCGCTAGTCCTAGAATAGAAGGGTATAAATATTGCATCTTGAACGCGTTTCTGCTGCTCAGGTCATCAGTGTCCAAAAGATATATTGTGCACACGCCTGTACAAAGACTTACAACATCGTCGAAAGCGCGCAGTGGGCCTCAGTGCTCCCCACCGCAACTACTGCCTGCTAGGTTACAGCGTTCACACTCCCCTGTTTGTTTCCCCGGTGTCCACAAGTTATTCTCTTCGCCTTTTGCCTTCTCATCATGTCTTCCGACAGCAATATCGCTGAAGACCCAGTCACGCCAGCACCAGTTTTCGCATTTCGTGCACTCAAAGGTGTTCTCTTTGGCTCTCCAGAAACTCCGTTTGACCGCGAAGAATCAAACAAGGAGAACGCCTCTGTTTTCGACTCTGAAGCTCACAAGAAGACCACCACTGCGAAATCATCAACAAAAGGTGACAAGCCAGGTAAACCTAACAACAAACGAACACCAACCAAGAAACAAAAGACCAACCACTTAGGACGATCCCCCAACGAATCGGGTAACATGACGAGAAAGTCTATGGCCGCTAAGGTTCCTTTCCGCCCAATCTTTCCCCTAAGTCAAGCAGAGCAAGCTCTCATCTCACCCACCAAATCGATCTTACGAATTCCAGGTCAAGCTACTCCACGCGCACAGTCGTTGAGAGACGTCAATGTTACCTTCAAAAGTCTCAGCCCTGACGAAAGCAGTAAGTCTACTATCAGCCTAGCAAGTGCTTCAATTTCTAACTTCTTCTTAGTTGCCTCCCGTGACATCAAGTCTTCTGGAAAGTTGCCTCCACCAGGAACTGTCACATATCGACCAGAATCTTCCGCTACGACCGGAGTCATGAACAATGGACAACACATAACCAATGGCTTGACATTCAACGACATTCCCGCTGCTACTGGCACACTCGACCCCGCTCAATCCACGGTTCCAGTTGCTGCTACGAACAATGATCAAGCAGCGAGGACTGTCCTGACCGCCAACGCAACTTCTGCCGCCACCAGCTCAGCTAGCGGCATTTCTGCAGCCGCTTTCCAGGCTTACCAGAAGCAGACTGAGAAGGAGATGCGACGATTGATCAAATATGGCCAGCAAATGAAGGAGTTTGCCTATCAAGCCGACATGAAGAACCAGCAATTGAATGAGATCGTTGCGCGCTTGCAGACCGAGAACGAAAACCTACGCAAGGAGAGAGCTGAGCTGCATGAGCAAATGAATGGATCCGCTAGATTTGCTCCTAGGCCTGATACTCGTGGTAATCACGACGCCAACGCACCCATCCAGTCATCCGCACCTCCTCACGTTCAACCCACTCCAGTCTACCACCCCGATGTGCAAGCCATCATCGACAAGAATCAACACCGCGATCGCGTCCCACTCGTCGCACCTCCTCTCCCACCATCAGCAAAGCCCGACTCACCCCTCGCACGCTACTATAGAGGCTTGGACAACTTTGTCTCCCTCGACCCGAGCCGTGGCGGTGTTCCTCCCCTGGCCTCAGGCCAACAGATCACGGATGCATTCATGGCGCGTGAGAGGGAGGTGGATTGGGACGGTGTAATGAAACAAGGTGAAGAGATTGCGAACTCGGCTGAGGATTCCGACTTCAAGAAGGCAATCACCCATCCAAAGGTCTACGCGGCCAACAAGCTGCGCACTGCCATGGAGGCCAGCTCTGCGGGCTTGCCTGCAGAGCGGTCGGCCGCGGCGCGTGAGCGATTGGCCAAGAAGAGTGAGGCGAGAAAGGCTAGTCGTGAGGTGTAGTTGGGCAAAAGTGAGAATAGAAGTGAGGATTGATGTAAGAGTACTGACTGAGCATGTGATCATGAGAAATGCCAATAGAGGCCTCCAGAGCCCCAACGAGACAATGAAATAGCTAATAATTGAAAATGTCATCCTACGAGGAAAGCTAGTGGTTCTGTTTCTGGTGTTAATGGAGACGGGGGGGTTCATGGTCTATTAGTGACGTGCCCAACGCCGATAGGGATACAGTGTACCTGGTCTCATGTTTATTCTAATGCCCGATTATGATCGAAGTCATGTCTTTAACTACCTAGGTAAAATAGCGTGTTAAAGCAGCATCTCGAAGCAGTGAATGGCCACCTCTTTTGGAAGGATGGCCGATGACGTAAGGGCAGCCATCAGGTCTACCGCAACAGGACTAGATCAGCCCCAGCTCCTACTGCAGCCTTGGCAATCTCTTAGAAATGGCGGCCACCACTCCAGCACCGTAACTGAAGCCACTTTATTATTATCCGGTGCTACTACCACCACAGATTAAAGCTGCTCTCAAACTGTGTCCTTAGCCATCAAGCAGCTTTCATCCGTCAGGGGACCCGTCCCTCTCTATAATTTCCATTTCCCTTGATTCTGTTCTCCTTCCCTTACCTTCCATTTCTGTTCTTCGACCCTACTGTACATAGGGTTCTCATTTTCCTTCTCCCGAACCTTGTTGCACAACAGCAACCATGAGCGGTCGTGAGTCCATCATCTCCGCACTTTCCACAGCCCACGATCCAAAATACTGACATTGTGGCTTTCCCACTACTAGTCCGTTTCCTCGATCTCATTAAACCCTTCACGCCCCTCCTTCCGGAGGTGGCTGCACCTGAATCAAAGATCGCCTTCAATCAGAAGTTGATGTGGACAGGAGTAAGGAAGCCACAAATCTAGCATCGACCAGGAAGAGCATGGATGGCTGACAATGCGACACAGTGCACACTCCTCATCTTTTTGGTCATGAGCCAAATGCCTCTTTATGGTATTGTGTCCTCTGACACGTCCGATCCAATTTACTGGCTACGTATGATGTTGGCCAGTAACAGAGGAACGTTGATGGAATTGGGCACCACTCCCATCATTTCCTCTGGTATGGTTTTCCAGGTATGTTTTGACCTATGGCATGTCGCACACGATCAAAGTGTCAAATCTAATGTCAATAGCTTCTTGCTGGAACGCATCTTATCGATGTCAACCTCGATCTCAAGTCCGACCGCGAATTGTACCAAACTGCGCAGAAGCTCTTCGCCATTATTCTGTCCTTCGGTCAAGCCTGCGTTTTCGTCCTCACCGGTCTTTATGGTCAACCTAGCGATCTCGGAGCTGGTATCTGCCTCCTCTTGATTGTCCAGCTCGTCCTTGCTGGTCTCGTCGTCATTCTCCTTGATGAACTGCTACAGAAGGGTTATGGTCTCGGTTCCGGAATCTCTCTGTTCATCGCCACCAACATTTGTGAATCCATTGTTTGGAAGGCATTCTCCCCCACAACCATTGATACTGGTCGTGGAAAAGAGTTCGAGGGTGCTGTCATTGCATTGTTCCATCTTCTCGTCACTTGGCCTGACAAGACTCGAGCTCTACGTGAGGCTTTCTACCGACAACATCTTCCCAATGTCATGAACTTGTTGGCTACCTTGGTCGTTTTCGCCGCCGTCATCTATCTTCAGGGTTTCCGTGTCGAGATTCCGGTCAAGTCATCGCGTCAACGTGGCATGCGAGGATCATATCCCATCCGTCTCTTCTACACCTCCAACATGCCTATTATGCTGCAGTCCGCTTTGGCCTCCAACATCTTCATGATCAGTCAAATGCTCTATACTCGCTTCTCTGACAACCTCTTGGTCAAGCTCGTCGGAACTTGGGAGCCCAAGGAAGGTTCGTCTCAGCTTTACGCTTCCGGTGGTATCGCCTACTACATGTCTCCACCTCACAGCTTCGCCGAGGCTCTTCTTGACCCCATCCATACGGCCATCTATATCGGATTCATCATCATTACCTGCGCCGTGTTCTCGAAGACCTGGATTGAGGTCTCCGGCTCCGCCCCTCGCGATGTTGCCAAGACTCTCAAGGAGCAAGGTTTGGTCATGGCTGGTCATCGTGAACAGAGCATGTACAAGGAATTGAAGCGTGTCATCCCAACAGCTGCTGCTTTTGGTGGAGCATGCATTGGCGCCCTGTCCGTTGCAAGCGATATGTTGGGTGCATTCGGAAGTGGTACCGGTATTTTGTTAGCCGTGACCATCATCTACGGGTATTTCGAGATTGCCGCCAAAGAAGGCGACTTTGGTGCCAACCTCAAGGGTCTGATCGCTTAGACGAAGACCACATCTTTGAAGGAGAAGCAGTCGTTCGTTCCTACGACATTTAACATGCACCAAAAAGTTACGTATGCTCTGATTATGCATAGCGTTTGGGGGAATTGGGGAAGGAAGTGGGCCCGGCTTACCTCTGGTCAGATTTTCAAGAATTTGAAAAAGGACGCTGGCAAATCTTGAAAAATCAAACACGTGGGGGGTCGGCAGATCAGATGCAAATGCTATAAATCTCTGTACATTAGCAGCTAGATAGGCAATGATGTTGAGCTGTATGATGATGTTCTTTGTGGTGGTTCATGTGTTCTCATCACATCGGTCGGTGCTTTCATTCAACTCATTCTTAGGAATAAGGAGAAGTACCTGGCAAGTAACACCTGTAGACACGGATACGTATTTAATTATACGATTTCTTCCAGTAGGACTGTATATACAGATAGACTAAGCGATTCCTCTGTCTAGGCTCCATCCAAACACTTCCATGGCCCCTCACATTCTCAGGTTCGATAATCACCATTGATAGTGACATACTCATGACTGAAATCGCAGAACCAATACTGGGCGTCTTCGGAGCCGGTACCCAAATCGACCTCGATCTCGAGGTCCTCATCCTCGAGCAATCTCGCGGCACGGTCTTCATCCACGGCCTCGGGCTCGCCGTTGACGAGCAGCTTCAAGACGCCCTCGTCCTTGGACTTTGACGTCGCGGCGGGCACGAAGCTGACGTTGGTCTTGGAAGGGACGACGGCGTCGGCGGAGCTCAGGTTCGGCGTGTACCCGATGGCGCAGAGGATGCGGCCCCAGTTGGCGTCTTTGCCGTACAGGGCTGTTTTGACGAGCGGGGAGCGTGCGATGGTCGAGGCGATGAGGCGTGCGTCGGCCGCGGTGGCGGCGTTGCGCACGCTCACCTGCACGAATTTCGTGGCGCCTTCGCCGTCGCGCACGACGAGTTGCGAGAGGCGCTGGGCGAAAGATGTCAGGATCGATGCCATCGCGGCATAGTCGGGTGATGTGGCGTCGTCGGGGATTGGGGCTGTGGTGGCAGATGGGGTTCCGGCGCCGTTGGCGAGGATGGCGACCGTGTCGTTGGTGGAGGTGTCGCCGTCGATGGAGATGGAGTTGAAGGATTTCTCGACCGCCGACGTGAGGAGGGATTTCAGGGCTGGGGCTGAGATGGCGGCGTCGGTGGTCAAGATGCCCAGCAAGGTGGCCATGTTTGGGTGGATCATGCCCGCACCTTTCGTCATGCCTGCGAGGCGGTATTCGGTCTCTGGGTGCGACGGGAGGGTGAAAGTCGTGGAGAGGAGCTTGGGGAATGTGTCAGTGGTGCAGATTGCTTTGGCGGTGGCGAGCCACGCATTATGGGTGTCGTCGATATTGGCGTAAGCGGAGGGGATCTTGGACAGGATCTTCTGGATGGGCAGGCGCTGGCCGATGACGCCCGTCGACATGACGAGGCTGTTGGCGCCGAACCCGTCTTCTGCTTGGGACGACTGCTGGAACTGCGCCGTCGCTGTGTCCGACATGGATTGAGCATCTTCGAGCCCTCCCACGCCCGTAACGGCATTGGCACACCCGGAATTGATGATGATGCTCCGCAGGCCTGCCCCACCTCGTTTCTCCAGGACTGTTCGGCTTACTTGGACTGGAGCGGCTTGGAATTTGTTGGTGGTGAAGACGGCAGCTCCGAAGGCGGGTCGGTCAGAGACGATGAATGCCAGGTCGGGATTCGACTTGTTGGCGGCTTTGACGCCTACATATGTGCCTGAGACTTTGAATCCCTTGGGGTATGTGCCTGATGTTGGGATATATTTAACTTTGGACGCTGGTATCGATGAGTCGATTGGTGCCGAATAGTGGCGGACGAAGGTCCTGACCATGGAGCGAGCTGAAGGGGCTGTTACGGACGCCATGATGGAGGTTGATAGATTGAAAATTGTGTATCAGCTTTATGATATGTGCTGGGTCTGCCTTATCTGCCAAGGAAGAGACGAGGAGGCCTCTAGGCAGATGCCGCGTCTTTACTCCTCAGATATATACCTGGAAGGTCCAAAGGATGCACTGAGTACTCAAACAACCCCTTAAGCAGTTCAACGTTTGCGAGAACCGAATGAAGGTTGATTAGAGCCAGCTGTGTCAAGACCGATATCGGTAGAACTGAGAGTCCTGGGTCCCGTCGAAGTGAGTGGTAACCTACAGAGCAAGAGTGAAAAGGTTTGTTTTCGTTCCCACGGCATTCATATATACATTGCAGTTAGGTAGATGCTCTCGGTGGGATCGGCGTGAGTCACGACGGCAAGCATCAGAATTTGAGGAGAGCGGCTCTTCGCTTCGACTTTTGCTACAAACTTTGCGGTCAAGTGCGCAGCCAATCATAGTGCCGGATCTTCGGAGTTGAAAAGGGCGAAAGTCGCGACGCGCTGCACCTACATGTTCCCCAATCTAAATCTGGTTCTGATGTACATGGGGTGAATTCCTAATTGACAGATCACTCTTAAATTCATTGCATCACCTTGACGATGGCTAAACGAAAGGCCCCTGATACCATCGTTCAGCCCGCAGGCACTCCTACTAAACGCCGCAGGGAAACCATTGACACTCCACTTACAAATGGAGTGCACGATACAGAGGTCGAATCCCAGTCAAATGATGACAAGAGATCCGCCAGGAAGCCTGCCGCAACTTCGACTCCCAAAAGGGCCAGGTCCAGTGCCAAAGCCATCTTGGATGAGGAGGACACCATCAAGGATCACAACAGCCCAACTCCGAAGCCTAATGGACGAACCCTTTTTGCAACTCCCAAGAAGAACTCGACCATATCTCGAACACCCTCCAAATCAAAAAAAGCAGATCGATCTGCGAAGAGGAAGAGTGCTCAATTGCTGTCCCAGTCACAAGATGAGGACGATTGGGACGGACAAGGTGCATTGGCCAGAGCCATTCTTGAGGATGAGAATGAGGAGGATGGTGAGAACGATGAGACTGGACCTGAACGAGGAGTCGAAGAGCCTTCAGACAACCCTGCTGACATGCCTGTCAAGACCCCGAACAGACGAGGAAGGCCAAAAGGTGCAAAGAACAAGAGATCCCCCACTCCTGAGGGAGATATTCCTCCCGAAGAACGATATTTCTTTCAAAATCGAAGTGGTCCTCCACAAATCTCGAGTAATAAATTCAATTCGGTCAAATCTCTGACTTATGATCAATATCACCAACATGTTCAGACCTATCAAGATCACCATGAGCCACAAAGGTCACAATTGATGAAACTTCACGCAAGATCCTTTCCTCAATGGCAATTTGAGTTCTCCCAAGGCTTCGGACTATGCCTGTATGGCTATGGCAGTAAGAGAAAAATTGTCAATAACTTTGCAGAGTGGCTTGATAAACATTCCTCAATGCCACCAAGGATCGTCGTTGTGAATGGCTATACACCAAAATTGAATGTGAGAGGAGTCGTCAACGCAATCGCTTCTGCGCTCCTGGATGAGGAACAACGACCTTTGAGACTGGTGGGACAACCCCAAGAAATGGTCGACACCTTGTTCTCGTATATGGAAGAACATCCCCCTCGGGGCCACCTTATACTCATGGTCAATTCAATCGATGCCCATCCCCTTCGACGTTCATCCGCACAATCTGTTTTGGCTCGTCTTGCAGCACATCCGCTTATCGCGTTTCTCGCGACTGCTGATTCTCCCACTTTTCCAACATTGTGGAATTCTTCTCTACTGGACCAGTTTAAATTTGTCTTTCACGATTGCACAACATTTGCACCCTATACAGCAGAGATTAACGTGGTTGACGAAGTACATGAACTACTTGGCCGCAAGAAACTCCGTACTGGTGGCAAGGACGGTATTGGGTTTGTACTCAAATCCTTGCCAGAAAATGCACGAAATCTCTATCGAGTGCTCTTGTCTGAGATCCTGGCTATCCTCTCGGATGGCATCGAGGGCGGTTATGATGACGAGGAAGATAGACGTCCAACCAAAAAGTCACAGAAGGAAGACGCAGAAGAAGTTGGTATCGAGTATCGCACTTTATATCAGAAAGCTTCGGAGGAATTCATCTGCTCAAGCAGCATGAATTTTCAATTCCTGTTGAAAGAATTCCATGATCACCAAATGATTACTAGCCGGCGCGATGCAAGTGGCACAGAAGTACTAGGTGTGCCATTGGCGAAGGAAGAAATGGAAGCGGTTTTAGAAGAGCTTGTACTCTGAGCAGAAAGGTTTTGCTGGTGATGTCTAGCGATCATCACGACCGCACACTGGTTTGCCATTCAAGTTGAGTTGTCAAGCAACTTGTGCCGTTTCATAAATATACTCTACAACTCCACCTTGGGGTTTGGACCCTCCCGAAGACGCCAATATTTAAATGCTTGCCGAATACTCTACCAGCCACGTCCTGCCAGCTTGTCTTCTGCAGCCATAGTACCACAGTTGATACCAACCATGGCCTCTCCCAGTCCTGCACTGCATTCGGCGAGGACCTTTGCATCCTGGTAATGGGTGGTTGCCTGAACAATGGCTTTGGCTCTCTTGGCGGCATTTCCTGACTTGAAGATACCACTTCCAACAAAGACACCGTCACATCCCAACTGCATCATCAGGGCAGCATCTGCGGGTGTCGCAATTCCACCAGCAGCGAAATTCACCACTGGTAATCGACCAAGCTCGGCAGTCTGCTTGAGTAGAACTGGATCGACTTCGAATTCTCTTGCAAGGGCTCTTAGGGCACCCTCTCCTTCGGCTAAAGCTGCTTGTGCCCTTCCAATGTCTGCCTTGACAGTCCGCATGTGTTTGACGGCTTCCACGACATCTCCGGTACCTGCTTCGCCTTTCGTTCTGATCATGGCAGCCCCTTCACTAATCCGTCGGAGCGCTTCGCCCAGGTTTCGGCAACCACAGACAAAGGGAACCTTGAAAGGACTCTTTTCGACGTGGTACTTGTTATCGGCAGGCGTGAGAACCTCGCTTTCGTCGATATAGTCGACACCAAGTGCCTCGAGGATCTGGCATTCCACAAAGTGTCCTATTCTTGCCTTGGCCATGACAGGAATTGTCACTGCAGCTTGGATTTCCTTGATGAGTTGTGGATCCGACATTCTTGCAACACCACCATCTTTCCGGATATCGGCAGGTACTCTCTCGAGCGCCATGACGGCACAAGCACCGGCCTCTTCGGCGATACGAGCTTGTTCTGCGTTGACCACATCCATGATCACGCCACCCTTGAGCATCTGGGCCAGGCCGGCCTTGACGGTAAAGGAAACCGTGGAAGGTGAGGACGAGTCATTGATAGGGATGGTAGTGGAAGACATGCTGTTGTCGCCCATATTGAAAGAAGGTGGGTGGAGTGGAAGATTTGGGAAGTGAAATTGGTCTGGGAGAAATCGAAGGGCTTATGGAGGGGGAAGTGGCAGCAGAAAGGAATATGAATATCTGAGTCACCACATGCGGATACGAACAAACGACACTACACCGAGAATTATGGAGAGGAATTGTGATTAATGCCAATAATGGGAAAGCGACCTCGTGCGCCTTGGTACAAGTCTAGATCTGGGAAAAAGAAGCTTGGGGCCTTGCGAAAAAATAAATTTGCCCTCGATCTCAATCATCAAATATTACTCCCCGCAATCGCCCTCTCTGCCCGCATGTATCCGAAGGTTTACGAGGGACCGACGGAGAACTCATCGGTGGATTTCACTGCGGTACGGGTAAGTATTACACCTGGAACCGTTGAAAGTGACACTGATGACCGCTCGAATGCGTTTGGGCTGGTCACCATTCGACCGGAATGCAACCTCCCCGCCCGGGCCGGGTTTCGTGATCGATGGCTCTACCAGCCTTTGGTCCTAAGGCATTCGTTATGGATTGCCATCTTAAGAGAGAGAGAGAGACGGATTGAACACGACTTGAAAGTGTTGCGTCTGTGGTATCAGCACTCGACCATATTCACACTGTCTCATCACGTGCTTTGATTACTCACGGTGGGACGGCGACTCGGGAATTGGTGCTTGCAGCCCCTCATCTCTCCTCCCTTGGACTGATAAAGCTCTGGCCAAGCAAGGTTCTTTAACGTTCAAAAGAATGCACACTTTACCCCATGTCTATGTTCATTTTGCTTCCTTAAGCAAGGGTGTTCGGAGACGCGGATATTGGGTTTTGGGCTCGATGACTTGTTACTCTTTCTCTTACATGGGCTGATTCTCCTTGTCTCCAGCAATGATCTGTGATTTGAGCTTCTCGATGCGTTGCTCGATTACCGTACCATGGCTGCTCAAGTTCAATCAACCGAAAGCTGCTTACAGCTACCACTGTCTCTAAAGATGGCGACCAAACGCCTTGAGCCCCAGCATCTGGTTGTCATTTCCGATGGAAAGACCTCCTCGGATGATTCATCACCACCCACGACTTCAGTGCCAGATCTCCCTCAGGATGTTTTCCTACTCATTTTGGTCGGTTTGGAGGCATGGGATGTTTTGAGCTGCCAAAGAGTCTCTTCATCATGGCGCACGGCTTTTTCAAAGCCTGAGTATCTGAGGGTCATGCTACAGAAGTATCCTAATGCGAGGGAAGTTCGATCTTTGGCACCGGAGAACCTTCATTTTCATGCTTCGGAACATCAACCCAAAGTCGATTGGAAGACCCTATTTAATTCCGTGGCTGTTCGCTACAAGCATCTCTCGAAAGGCAATGCCAGAAAGATCAGCAAGTATCCCATGGCACCACTCGAGCAATTAGGTGACTGGTTTCCTGTCGGTCAATGGGATTACCATGAATCACAACCAGGAGGTCGTCTGTACTACGAAACAGCAGCTATACATCTACATAAAATGGGGTCCAAGCCGTATCTATTCAGGCCGACATTATGGACATATGATGATGGACTGCTGGTTTATGCCCCTGCTCAATGCATTGACGATGATGGTTTCCCACATATCCTCTCGCTCATCGATGTTGCGACCGGTGACAGATATCCGATTCCGTTTGACATCCGAGGGAAAATAATCCGCAACATTCGTTTGAAAGATGCAACTCTGGTGGTCGAATGGGCAGAGAAGGACCCCTTTCACAATCTCAATGCCATGGAACAGGTTAATCGACATTTCGCCAATTGCTTCGATGTGAAGAAAACAGGTGATGATTGGACTATCACATGGCGGTCGGAATGGAAAATGCATTTCTTGGGTCTTCCACCCAATTACCATGATCGATTTTTCTCGACACACAATTCTAACCATTATGCGGTGTATTTCTGGCAACCTAATAGAAGTATGTACACTGGGGATGAGGAGCTACCTATTGAATCCCTCTCTGTGTGGGACATATCGGCCCCCTCAGGCTATCAACCATCCACCGACCCATCCGGCAAACTCCGCCCACCCGAGAAAGACGGGCCATACATCGTTTCTCGATTCTCATTCACCGACATGGACTACATGGGAATACGGCAACACGCAAGCGTGTCGCTTATGTCCATCGACATCGACTCGGACAGTCTCTCTCTCATCGTGCGCGAAAACGCCGCCGTGGCAGGCCAGGGGTATTTCGACCCGGCCGAGAGACTATGGTGTGCGAAAACCACAACATTCCCATTCCACGGCATGGGTCCCCGTCTGGTTCGCGAATGGGATGGAAATCTACCTCCCTACCGTGGACATTGCAGCATGGAGAGCGCCGATGTCGACGACGGCGAGAATTGGTTCCTCCCTATCATGGATGTGCTTGACCGTGACGCTCATGTGAGGTTGAGCTTGGTCGAGACGTGCTTCACGAGTCAGAGCGTGGAGAATAGAATCATCATCAGGGTCAAAGTTGAAGATCCGGATGGAGATGTTGATGGTGGTGGTGGTGGTGATGGTGATGGTGATGCCAATACCGCCAGATGGGTGCCGCTAGACGATTCTCTGACCAAGATCGTCGGTGGCATGGGTCGGATAGCAGGAGACGAGAGATGGATTATTGGACAGAATGAAAGGATGGAACTTGTTGTGATTGAATTTTGAGGAGAATCTAGGGAAGGTGAAAGAAAGGGAATCTGATGAAAGATGTCCGAAGGAAAGGTATGACATGGCTTTCGAGATAAAACGAGACAGACCTCTGTTCAGCGAGCACCCTGCCCAATTGTGTCCCTTGGAGGGACGTGTCGACGAGATATAGCACGATCCTGAGTTGAGGTGGGAAACGGAGCGCTCTCGACGCCGTTGTTGAGTTTTCTTCTTCACACACTTGGAGATAGGTGTAGTCATTTCCAGAACAAAGAGAGATAGCCATGCCCAATTCAAGGGGAGCTCCTCAAGCACTAACTAGTGTTGTCATACAAATCGAGAGAGAGGAACACAGAGAGATATTGAGGCCCAAGTAATAAATAAGCCCAACTCAACAACACTCGACCCACCTTCCAGCACTAACATTGTCCCTATCCCACCTAGCCTCGTCAAGTACCACACGCCCCTGCCTGGTCTCGAATCACAGATATGTGTTCGTCTCCACGAGAGAGCCATCCCAAGTGGTTTAGGTATAGACCGAGAGAGAGAGTCTCGTACACTAGCTAGCGAACTACCGGTCTGTTTCGTGACGACGATGACGACGACGACGACCGCGACGCGAGACCAATCGCCTGACCTACACATTCCACGACTATCGTATCTACCCAGGTGGATCCGATCTCCGTACTGGTGCCGTACAGTGCAGTGCTGTGTTGTGTAGTGCATAGAATGCCAGGCCATGCCAGGCCAGGCCGCGTAAACATTCACCCTCCCCGTCCCCCTCGCCCATCTCACGCCCATTTCCCATCCAACGGCTCACTCGAGGTAACTAGTAGCCCCAGACTCCGTGTCGCGCTACGAGTGCGTATGAAGTATCAATTGGATCTCAATCCACATTTACCCCGGGGTAGGCGTCGCCGGTGGATCTGGCCGGCCCCCATGGACTGGACTGTCGTGGTCTCAGAGTAGTACCTCTCGGGAGATATCTAGGGTAGGGGACCCACTCGTATGTCTGTACCTACGAGTATTGAAGCACCTACCTAGGGACCTAGCAGGTCATCTGCGCATGGACGCGTCACGAAACACATTGCAATGCAGACCGAAGATTGAAAAATGTCTAGCCAAGTTAATTTGGTCAGTGAGTTCTGGCCTCCAGCACGACCCAGTTTGACATGTGAATGAAATGCTCTATCCCCGGCTTCTTCAACAGAGCACCCGCCAAGGCTATGCAAGAGCCCTTGGTGACTACCTACCTACTCGTAGGTATTGTGGGGTTTCTGCAGGGGTGGGCTGGCAGCTGAGATTTTCCCCGCACCTCCCCCTCACCTTGGGCGAGATTTTGTTTCGGGGCACATGCTCATCAGCTCAACTTTTTTGCTGGTTCTACTTTCCTCGGGAGCACATCAGATGAGATGAAATTCTGCTAGAGGACAGTATTCTGCTCACTTAGGATCGATGGACTTGGACCATCCGAAATAAAAGAACGCATCAAATAGATGTTGTGTGAGAAAAAAAAAGTCGCATTTGTTCGGGCTACCTATGAATAAATTTATACTTGGTATTGTATGTATACCCATGTGATGGATAGATATCTTGCTCGAGAGGGATGAGGGGACCCCTCGAGTCAAGGATTGGCCTGCTCATGTCATTCCTCTGTACGAGGAGACAAACGCGGACGACCTCTTTGCTTGTGTTGGGGGGTTTTAAAAATGCATCTTTTTGGTCAATCATCATGCGTCACCGTCATTGTCACCGATCACAAACATCATCCACAGACATCATGACACTCAAAAACAGTAAATCACCTCTCTCGAGTGATCTACTGCTTGTTTCTTTGACCGTAGGCCTTGGTGGCATAGTCACCCTTGTGGACGATCAGATCCTCAGGTCTGTAATCTTCCCGGCCGGAGAAGTAGCTCTCCAAGATGGCCTTTGTGCCTGCGGCGTATCGTTCTTGAGCATCGATCGAGGTACCGGACATGTGGGGGACCATGGCATTGCCGCCTCCCCATGGGTTCTTGGCAGTTCGGAGTGGGTGGTCCTTGGGTGCGGGTTGAGGGAACCAGACGTCACCGCCGTAGCCGTTGAGTTGACCGCTCTTGAGAGCTTCAGCAACATCCTCCTTGACGACGATGGCGCCACGGGCGGTGTTGACGAGCCAAGCACCTGTAAGAGAGAATTGTTAGTCATGTCAAGTATTATTGTAGTGGAGACGGGTTGGAACATACCCTTCTTCATCTTGCTGAGGACTTCCTTGTTGAAGAGACCTCGGGTCTTCTCGTGGAGTGGGCAGTTAATGGTGACAACATCACACTGTCCCAAGAACTCATCAAAGTCCTCGACTCTTCGGCAGCCAATCTCCTTCTCCACCTCGGGCTTAAGGGGCTGGTAATCGAAGTACAGGAGTTCCTTGCAGTCGAAGGGCTTGAGACGTCGGAGAACACGCTCTCCAATACGACCGACAGCAACGGTACCGACGACCTTGTTCTCAAGATCGAACTCGTTCTTGGCCACAGCGGCGACGTTCCACTCACCTCGCTCGATCTGCTCATGGGCAGGAACGAAGTTGCGGACAAGAGTAAGAATGGTCATGATGACGTGCTCGGCAACCGAGACGACGTTGGAGCCAGTGACTTCGGCGACGGTGATACCACCGTTGGTCTTGTTGGCAGCATTGAGATCGACGTGATCGGAACCAATACCAGCAGTGACGGCGATCTTGAGGTTCTTGGCCTTGGCGAGACGCTCTGCGGTCAGGTAACCAGGGTGGAAACTGGAGAAAGAGATGGGGATTAGCACATGCTTGTGGAGTGGACAGGGGAGATGTTTGGCTTCTTACGGAGTGGTAATGATGACCTCAGCGTCGACCAAGTGCTTGTCAAACTCGGAGTTCTCGCCCTCCTTGTCTGAAGTGGTAACGAGAGTGTGTCCTTGGTCTTCGAGCCATTTTCGAATGCCTAGTTCGTTCTCTGTGGTACCGAGAAGGCGAGGTTGATCTTTGGCATGCTCAAAGCCCTAAGAAGAAAGGAAGTGTTAGAGAGGTGGTTGAGTGACGGAATAGAAAGCACATGGATGGAATGGACTCACATCGTATAGAACGAGAAGAACTTTGCCCTGACGAGAAGCAGAAGCTGTCAGTGTACGTTTTGCAATTGTTGAATGAATGGCTGGCTGTGCGGCGCGACGAGCACACTGTGGGGAAACAGAAGCAAACGAGGACAAGGTGGAAGGGCGCAGAGAGCGCGAAGCAACACGGGCAAATACCATTTTGAAAGACTGGTTGATATGTTGAGATGGATGAGAAGAGGTCGATGAGGTGTGAGAATGTGCGGTATGAGGAATTATTTATTTGAAGAGAAGACTGTCGAGGTCAGGTCAGTTTGGACTGGATGGTGTCTATAATCCGGCAGAGCTTTGAGCCTGGGGTATCTGCGGGTGACATGTTAGCGGGGAATGGTAAGAGCAGGGGTAGCTCGAGGACAACCCGTATAAAGGGTCGACCGGGGTGTGTGTGGAGGCCAAGGTGGAGAGGGGCGTGCGTCGCTAGAATGATGATGACGGATTGTGTAGGACGTGCCAGACGTGGAGATGAGGGGTAGTTTTTTGGGATGGGCTGAGGGTAAAGTGGGCTGAGGAGGGAAAAAAGATAGCTTTGGTATTCTTCTGCTGGTGACTCTGCGTCGTTGACCACTGCACACCGATACCCAGGGAGGTACCTGAGGGAACGACCAGAGATACCGGAGAACATGACCCGAACAAGTAAGGAACCACGGGGGGATTGATGGACAGACGTGGACTGGGATGTACGTACCTTACTCAGAATTGAAACTGGATGGATATTTCAAGGTTCAAACTGCAAACAATCAATGGAATAATCAATCTCATCTTCGGACGAACGCCAACTCTTATACTTGTGTTCGCTCACAAAAAAAAAACATCAACTCCCTCATTGCAGCCTGAGTGCACCACACTCATTCCACTGTTACTATCCACGGGCAGTCAGTCCGAGTCCCATGCTGGTTTTGGCACTGCCAGTCCCAATTCCCCCTCTTCTCTGCGGAGCCTGAGCAATGAGATGCTTCAGACTCTTCCATCTTTCCTTTGTTTGCCCCACTCGAGCTCTTTGGCGATCCCGATGCTCCAATAAATGCTGAAAACTGCACGGCCTTGATGTTGTACGGCAATTGCCACTGACCATTGAACAGGCCAGGTACATAGACACAGAGACACATAGAATACTAGCTACAATTCAATCCTTGCCCAACAGCTCTTCTCCTCTCCTTCATGGGCAATCGTACAACCACTCGTGATGCCCTGTTCCTCTAGACCCTGGCCACGCCTGACCGGACTAGACCAGGGCCAACCCATTAGGACATGCATGAACCGCTACCGCAGATGAAACTCCATAACGGCGCTCGTTCGGTATCAGAAAAGGGTAAAAAGAAGGGTGGTATGAGAGGTGCAATATTTCCTGTCTGGACTCAATTTTCCGTTGGTTTCACTATCAGTTCCGCGGCGGAACAGCCGCTTGCGCAAAGCTTCCCGTTGCACTATTCCCCATTTCGGGGTAAACAAATGGACTGTTTAGGCATCAAAAGGCCGAAACTCGGGGGTTCCTGTGAGTGTGATCCTTGGCCTGAACCACCTGCACACTGGTGACCCGCACAAATGTTTTACCGCGTCATCTTCACCACCTTCCACCTTCCACCACCACCACCACCATCGCCGAATTAACCCCATACCACTCCGGGTCTCTCTATCTCAGACCTCATGATGATTCCAGATTATCTGCGAGAAAACAAACCAAGATAAGACCTTGCGGCACAATCTTCTCATTGTGGTTGATGTTTCCCAAATGTCCGAACTTTCAGCGATATCAAACTCTACGTACATGCACACGTGGTAGTCAATGCTCGTATCCATCAATAGATGCACGACGAAGACGTCGAAGACGTTCACAAGGCTGGATCTCGGCCCTTTCGATCAATTCGGGAGGCTGGCTTGCACCTCTCAGAGTTCCGGGCGCTCACGCAAGGCTGCATCATGCAGTGCACTGCATTGCGCAGCACCACACAAAAGCCCATGTTGCTCCTGGTGGGTGGACTCAGGGAAACGATGGATCAATTGTGATGTGATGTGCAGGACCCCAGCCAGGCGGACGAGACCTTGATTGGCTGACGTCGAGAGCGTTCCCTCCTGTGGATGGCGCTGGACTCGTACTCGATGCTTAACGACATTATGCTGCGACCACTACCCACTCTAAGGCTAGTGGTGAGCACGACTTCCCTTCCCTTCCCGTATCCTGAGTTGACACAGGCCGGGAAGAGGGCGACCAAGACCGCGGAGCTCTGGACCTCTGGCATCCCCTCCTGTTCCGGGATCTAGCGACCGACCGACCGAACGAACGAGGACGAGGACGAGGCTGTGGCTGTGGCTGTAGCATTGCCGAGTGCTTTCCTCCGCCTCCGTCCGATCCATCTCCTCTCGACTCATCGCTCCCCGGCGGAACAGCGGGCACTGTCTCTGTCTAACCTAGATTGGTCTTCCGATTCCGATGGAGACTGATCTGGGAGCTCCCTCGTCCGAATGAGCGGATATCATGTCCTATGGTGGACATACACGTGACCTTGGGTATGTCGCTACTAGTTTTCCCACCTAGCATCTGAACGGTACATATAGATTCGTCTGGGAAATGAACCGTGACTTCAAACCGTATATACCTCAAACTAAGAACATGAGTCGTGTCCCTGTTGGTTACAAGTAGGGTCAGGTTTTTGGTTTGAACACTGGAGCTCCCATTTCAGATGGACTAACTAGAACCGTGTATGCCAATGCCAAATGGAGAGGAAGATAGGTGGGCAGGTCCCCAATTGCTTGGATTGAACATCAATAATGCTGCAGAAACATTACGTCTCCTGTGACCTTTTCGTGGATCAAGTGTTGCATGCTCTTCTTTCGATCTAACACTCCGTTTACCACAGTGAACTCTACTCGAATGGCACCCACCCCAATAAACAAAATCATACAATACAATGAATGCAATGTCCCTCGTTCGCTCGTCTACTATCCCCGTCACAGCCATTATCCCGAGCACAAGCACAATCCTGTTATCCACCTGTGATACCAACGCCAATTTGCTTTGCTCCCAACTCATTAGATATGCTCCTCGGAACAAGAGTTCCTTGCACTCCATCATTGGCGTCATTGTACTCCATACACTTCCTCAAGTCATTTCATTGACCAAGAAAAGATCAAAAATAAGACCCACGACATCCACGAGTCAGCACGCTCTCACTAGAAGATAGTTCCGAATGTTCCATCGGTCTCGATTCGCTTCCGAGGACTACCTCCTTCGTTCTCGAGTTTTCGATGTCTGCAATGGATGTTAGAGTTGTACCCCCAAAAATGTGGACAAGGACTGACCTGAAAGTAAATCCAACAAACAAACCCTTATTCATCTTCTCATCTCGATCCGCCATGTCTTCCAAAGCTCTCTGCTTATCATGAACCTCCTTGTACTTGGCCATGTCAGCCTCATTGCCAAAGTCATCAAAATACCCTGCATCAGTCTCCGAGTCAAGCTCAGGAACAAATGGAGCTTTCTGATCTCGCAGACTGCTGAAGTCAACCTCGGCAAAGTAATCATGCTTATGAATCTCGGAGATGTTCTTGAAGCGATGATCCTTGGCAGCAACAAGACGAGTGATGAGATCCCAGGTCCGCTTGCTCAAGAAGTAGTTTGGATCGTCATAGATGGGTTTTCGAAGAACTCGTTGCCATCTCTTCAAATTCTGCCAAGTTTCATCAACAGTGGCACCTGCAAATGGAGGGTACCCAGCGAGAGCTTCGAAAAGCATGCAACCCAGGGACCAGTAATCAACGGTAAAGTCGTACTGATCACCTTTGAGGACCTCTGGAGCCATGTAGTCAGGTGAGCCAACAATGGACTTAGCATAGTTGACATCTCTCTTCCGTAGTGAACGATAACCTTCTCTTCGTTGATCTGCTGATCGATCTTCAATGGGCTGCATCCCAAAGGGAACTGCGGTATTTCCAACCTCTTCAAGTTTGATTCTCATGCTCTCAATCTTGATTGGACTCAACATTCCAGCAGCCAAACCAAAATCAGTCAACTTGACGTGGCCAGTAGCATCAATCAAGAAGTTCTCTGGTTTCAAATCTCGATGAATGTAACCCAGAGTGTGGAGGGCATCGACGCATGAAAACATTTCAGCGATGTAGAAGCGCGCATGTCTGTTGTGGAGTACACCAGTATTATTGAGAAGAGTTCGGAAATCACCACCCGGCACGTATTCCATGGCCAGATAAATCTGTTCATCGTCCTGAAAAGAGTAGAGTAGTTTGACCAACCAGTCGGACTTGGCAGCAGTCAAGATGTCACGCTCGGTCAGAATATGTCGTACTTCGTCCAGTTTGAAGAGCAGTTTCTTTCTCATGACCTTGAGAGCGCAGACTTCTCTAGTATCCTTCTTCTGAGCAAGATAAACTTGACCATAACCACCCTGGCCAACCTGAGTCAAGATTTGGAAATCACCATGTCTGAGACGAGTTCTTCGCTTTCGCAGATTGGCTCGCTCACGACCAAGGTACTTGTGAAGTGCAGCATCGTATTCTTGTTGAGGAGTTTCTGGTGGTGCAGGAAATGTAGACTTGAAATTGGCTTCTCTTGATTGACGATTGTGGACATAGGAGAGGAGATCAAAATAATGATCGAGGAAGTCTAGGATGGATGGTTAGTTGGCATAGAAGTGGGAAACATCAACGCAACTTACACAATTGAGTGACATTGGCCAGTCGCTTGACCTTTGGAAGTTGCAACTTTTGAAGTTCTTCGGTGGTCAAACCTTTGGTGATTGTCTTGGATTTCTCCGACTTGTGATATTGTCCATGTCGGGACATGGCAGCATGGTTTTGATGTGCATCGACTCCATACTTTCCTGGACTAGATGGGGCGTTTTCCTTGTTTGACTGACGAGTTGGACTCTCGGATCGGCCATAGTGTTGAGCGGTCTGGTCTGCAAAGGGATCTTTGTTGACATTCTCGAATTTGGAGGGGGATTGAGGCTGGCTCTTGGTCGGAGACATTGGAGCAGCGAGTTTCATGGCATTGTCAAAGACGTTAGGCAGATCATTTGCACCTGGAGGCAATTGTTTCTTGCTTGGACTGCCTTGAGGTGTCTGAACAGGACTGGTGAAGCCATGACCTGGTGAGGTGGGTGTTTGAGGGCGGTCAAACCTCTCATTCCCTGAACGGGTGTGAAGAAGCGGTGGAGGGATAGGCATAGCCATGTTGAGGTCTTGTTGAGACTTTGGAGAGAGAGGATTGCTGACAGCCATAGTAATATGGTTGCCAATGAAGCAGGGTGCGCAGGTGCGCTGTGTAGAGCGAGTGTCAAGTGAGTGTGGGTTGGTTGTTGGAAGAATCAAGTGCACTCTCGAATGAAGAGATGCAGAAGACTAGTCGAGGGACTAGTTATGTAGTTGGTATGTACTACTGGTAGCGGCGAGATCGACTCTAGCTAGAATTTGACCAACACCAGTACAAGTTAAGACAATAAAAGCTGAAAGATTATTGGGATTCAGAAGAACCACCAACACAGGATCGAGAATGAGTGCCACTTTCGCTTTCGGAGCGGATCAACACGACCGGGGTAGTCTCCTGGGGCAACCATCGAGATGGCTCTTGCACACCACTCAGAGGAAGGCGGTCAGCCAGCATCAGTAAAGGCGGTCATCCCTTAAAACGGCAGAATACATCCCCACGTCATCTGCGCTTTGATGATGTCCTTCACGACAAAATCGTCCTGTCACCGCGTCATGAAGCCATTAAAATGAATCCCACCGTAGAAGTCATATTTCAATCCTGAAGACGCCAATCTGTATCTACTGTAATTGCTCAGGTACTATCCCCTTCCAAACTGGCCTCCCACACTCTCCGTCGTCTCACTCGGTTCACATCCACAATGTCCCACGCTGCACATCCCACCCAAAATACCACTGCCCCTTGGAAGGAACTCTTCCAATCGCACATTGATAAAGCTGGTGGTGCGAGTGCCGAGTTTGTTCTTGGTACTGTAACCACCGCTGGTCTCCCGAGTCTCCGCTACTGTATCCATCGCGGATTTTGGGCCACCCTTCCCGAAAATGAGCATAACAAACTCCCCAAGAACCCTCCCATCTACGAGTCGGACTGTCCAACCTTCACTACTGATGCTCGTATGAGCAAGGTATATGACATATTTGCTACCGGCAAGGGAAAAGGGACCTTGGAGCAATCCCGCTCAGGCACTGGTGGCGGCGGTCCCGTAGAGGCTGTATACTGGGTCAAGGACACTAAAACCCAATGGCGAATTCGAGGGAAATGCTGGTTCATTGCCGCCGATGACATTGAAGGGGGAGATGAGGCTCAAAACTCCGGTACGGTGACAGTCAAAGCAGAGTTGGGACGATACATGCGTCTGAAGGACCAATCCGACCACTCACCCCAGGAAAAGGAGTGGTCATGGAAACGTGAGGTTGAGAACAATTTCGAAAATTTATCCCCGCAGATGCGTGGCTCTTTCAAGAACCCTCCTCCTGGCCAGCCATTATCCGAAGGAAAGGATGAAAAGGCCGGCGAAGGACTGGGCCAGAAAGCAGGGCACTTGTCCGACGAGCCACTGGCGCGCAAGAACTTTCGCGTGGCAGTCATCACTCCCGAGCAGGTGGAAGTGGTGGACCTGACCGACCCTGAAAATAGCACAAGGCAAATCTGGACGCTCTCTGGCGAGAAGGGGGGTCCAGATGGACCTCAACCGAGTGAAAGTCTCGGCGAGTGGAATAAGATAGACACATGGCCGTAGAGAGTTATAATTGATGCATACAGACTATGATTCATACAAACAATCTCCTGCCGATTGAAGTTATGGTCATGGTTCCCACTACTGGAATGTTCAAGGTCAGAGCAATCAAACACTCCCGGTTCCCACGCAGACTGAGAGGAAGTACCAGTGACTACGTAATTTACATTAAAGCCGCCGCTCCCAAAACAGCGGCTCCAAGCACAATCCAGCCTGCAGTGAACAGAGCAGCATTGTTTGACTGAGAAGTCGTTGCACCGGATGCGGTAGCGGTCGCAGAGCCGCTGGCCGAGCTGGATGAAGACGAGCCTGAGCCCGAACTTGACCCGGAGCCCGACTGTGGCGATCCATCTCCGTTGGTCTGGTTGGCGTTGACATTGGAGGAGAGTGGGAAAGCAGTCACGCCCGTGCCGTTTGTGCATGAGCTGGGCACCATCTGCACTGTCGGCGACGAGGTGAAAGTCAGGTCTGCGCACTGGGACAGGAGTCAGAAACAAGTGTTCGATATCGTCACGACTGAGAACTCACGATATAGAGACCACCACCTCCTTCACCATCCGTGATGACTTGTAGCGTGGCGTTCGTGCCATCCGTGAGATTCAAGTCTTTCGGGATGGTGACAGTCGGCAGACAGAACGCGCCTTCGCCCTGCTGCTGGAAGGTCTGCTCGAGGGTGATGTTGAAGCTGTCGCCGACGTCATTGCCAATGCCGAGGAGCACCTGGATGACGGTGCGGTCGTGGCCCATCTCCAATGCCAAAGGGAAGGCGGTCGAGGAAACGGTCGTGCGGTTGTCAGACACGGGAAAGCCGCCGCATGGGAATGTGGGCTCGGTGTCGTCGTCGTCGCTGCGTGGGCTGGGGTATAGCATGTGGAAATGTGCGGAGGCGAGGAGTGGGAGGGCCAACAGGCTGAGTAGTGATTGGGGAATCATGGTGGGTGGTTGTGAGGGTGGTTTGACGGGTTGGGGACGGTGCTCTTTGGACGGAAAGAAGTTGAGGGTTTGGATATGAGACACAGGAGCAGAGGAAGTGTGAGGATTTTGATCGATCAGCAGCGAGTGAAAGAACCACCGGAGACCTACCTATGCATATAAAAAGTCCTGCACGAGAGGGGGAAACGAAACGTTGACTGACAGTGATGCCGGCCAGGGAAGCCAGGGACCAAGCAATAGCTAAAGGGGGCTTGTTAGTTGTAGCGGATGATGCTTAGCCTGCTTAGCGGAGCTTATTCGACTTTGCTCCCTGTCTAGCTCGTCTGGGTCGAATGATGGTGGCAGAACTGAAAAGCCATTGATGCATTGTGGTTGAGAAGATTAAGAAAAACTTGCTCATTTTTGAAAGTGAGCAGAATAATGTGGAGACGGTGACTGCCAGCGGAGGTCAGCCTTGGTTGGAGTTCGGTTGTTATCGGCCTATTCTCATTCTGTGTGGAGTGTCGAGTATCGGGCTTCGAATGCCTATTTCGAGTCGCTTACAGGTCAAACGTACCTCACTATTTGTCGGTGATTGTGAGCAGGTATGCGAAACTGTGGTCACAACTAGGGACGATTGTATTCTCAACAAGGAGCAGAAATCTGATACCCGTTTGCTATCCTTACGATGGGCTGGAATATCAAACTTATGGGCTCAGCCAACAATTACGAAGTACAGGCCTAAGAACCAATACGAGAACTACGCAAGAGTTCGTAGACAGGCAAGGTCCCACAGAAATGGTTTCTATTCTTGTCGTTATCAAAAGTATGTAGCACGAAACAACGCCCTGGTCGCATCAATCTAGCTGGATAGTCATACAGAAAATTGTCATGAATCGTTTAATGGTCGTGCTCCTCACTGTGAACGTATCGTCCCACCGCCAACTCAGCAATGAAAACACCTGCTAATACTGACAGAAAATAGCCCACGTTCATCGTCATGACAGCCAACATCCTGGTTGATAAGTTAGTAGGCATGAATAGCTGGAATTGGATCACCACTTACAGTAGATAGCCAACACCGGCAATGATAGTAGTCAAAATGGCTCGAGGTAGATCAACCGACAATCGGAATGGGAGGACGTGACCCGATTTGGCTTGAACGACCTTGACTTGCTCCTCGACTCCTTGCGCCGTGACCAAAGAACCGACCTTGGCATCGGGGTCATTGTCAATTCGACCTGCCTCGGTGGATTGTCCCTTGATGCGAATGAAACGTCTGTTACGTGCTGCGGCAGACCAACGGTGTTCGCAGATGGTCTTGACAGCGAAGAGAGACCGTAGTATCATGGCGAGGAGGACCAAAAAGATGCAGGTGCCTGCATAAGCACCTGCTGTCTGAGGAGTCCATCCATCGGCGTAGAGAGGAGTATTGTGAGAGTTGGTGAAGGTCATGATCATGTGCATCGACGAGGACGAAGAGTCCATATCATCATGACCATCATGTCTTGTAAAGAGAGACATGGTGATATGTGAATCGAGTCAAAATTGATATTGATATTGGTGAACTCGAGGTTGTGGCCAAGGCGAGAACTTTGGTGATTCGGGTACAAATGATATCAAGATTTGAGCGAGATGGGATGGTCCTAGCCTTTGTATACCAATCGATGAGGCTCTTGCTTTGTTTGCGCCGTAAGTTAGAAACCAACACTTCCGTAAATGGTGATATAAGACAAGGAAAGTCGGAGATGTTATTGTCAGGACGAAGAGCAGTTTGTTGTACGAGCATGACTGCCCAGCCTAGGCGTGGTGAAAGAACTCGAAGTCGTTCCTTCTGGTTGAGCAAGTTTCCAAGCCCTAGCGTGTCGGGTGGCGTCCAGACTCAAAGTCAATTGGACACAAGGTGCCTCCGCGCCCCACTGTCCTCATTCTCACGGGGCAAGTGCCCTCAGCCCTGGTCAGATCGGACCTGAGCCCCACTCTATTTTTCTGCTGATCCCATCTTGAGCATGATTTTCTTACAACTACGGAGTACGCGGTACTCTTTTTAGCCCACCACCACCAAAGCCGCCGAGTATTATCAGAGACCAAACGCTCGACTGCTACAGAATCTTGCTCACTTATTCAAACCCGCCTTCCTTCCAAGTAATTAAACCGGACATGCCTCGTCACAGGGAGCCTCACGGTGACGTTTGAATAATTCCAGATCTCTCGGCTTTGAACCCTTCCATCCCTAGCCTGCTGGGGCTTGACTGTATCATCCTTTTCTTGGTACGGGGGTACTTAGGATCACAGCACCTAATTATTTGGCATTAATCCTCACATTTCTCACTTAGACGTCTCAAAAGTCCACTGAATTTACATCCGATATAGAAATGCCCAAGGGCATCCTCCTGAGCGACCTCAACACTTCTTGGCATCCTCTCCCGAGTTACACCTGTGTCGCTACATTCCACAACCCAGTCCACTGACCAACAATTCAGTTTCACATCGCACCACAATGGTCCTCGAACTTCGCCATGATGGCCATGGCGGGATGGACATGGGGAGTATGGGAACCTCTTCCGGTGTCCCAGGTTACTTCTACATGCAAAAAATGTATTGGGCCGCAATCGGCGCCGTCATTGCTTTTGCTGCACTGATCAACCTTCTCGACATCATTCTACTCTGGCAACGCCAACAAAGTCTCAACGCCAGACCAAAACTCTTTCCAGCATCCCTCTACGCCACCCTAGCCGCCACCACCCGTGAAATCTACTCAGCCTCTCTACCAACCTACCATCTAGGATGGCTGAAGCTTCGCTCGCCTCTGGCCGGCAAGGTCGCGGTTGTTCTTTCCTATCTCATTACTGTGGTCGTCATGTGTTTCTACATGTACGAGACCGAGGACCAATGGAGTTGGGAAAACATTGCCTATCGATGTGGTTGTATTGCTCAGGCTCAACTACCGCTAGTTTTCCTGCTCGCTGGCAAGCAGAATATCATTGGTTATCTGACGGGGATGAGTTACGAGCGCCTCAATTGGTTACATCGTTGGGTCGCTCGGATTCTCTGGCTCACTGCCACCTTCCATCTAATGTTTTGGTTTCGAAGTTGGGCCCGATACGACTACATCAAAGTTAAAATGTCCAAAGACCGGTTGACCCAGACTGGCTTCGCGTCTTGGTGCATCTTAACCGCACTGGTGGCTTTTTCATTCGCACCCATACGACGTTTCAACTATGAAGTCTTCATCATTTCTCATGTGGTGCTGTTTGCTGGCTTACTAGGTGCCATTTACACCCACGTCACCTATGGCCAAACCTATATTTGGTTCTGCGTAGGAATCTTCTTCTTCGACCGAGTGGCTAGACTCGCCGTCACTGCCTTCGCCAACTTATCCTTCCTCCATCGAAAATCACCAGGGAGACATTGGCTATGGGCCAATCGTGCCACTCTCACTCCACTACCTGGCGATGTTACTCGTATCACCATTGACAAACCGGTCTTGAGATGGACTCCCGGCCAGCATGTCTTCCTTTCTTGTCATACGGTAGTCCCCCTACAAAGCCACCCATTCAGTATTGCTTCTCTTCCATCTGACGACAAATTGGAATTTCTTGTTCAAGCTCGTAGAGGTGGCACAAAACGATTTCATCGGTTTGCCTCTCGGAGTTTAGAACGTCCAGACAGCCGACGGTCCCTCTTTTACAGACGAGTTGCCAACAATGATGGAGGACTGAGCCATCAAAAGCTGGTTGGCGTTGAGGGCCCGTATGGCAAAATCAGGCCACTTCGCCAATTTGATAGTGTTATCTTCCTCGCTGGCAGTACCGGAGCTACATTCACCGTGCCTTTGATGCGCGATATCATTGAGCGTTGGAAAGCTCACGTCTCAGGGTCAAGCGGGAGTGTGACAAAAACTATCAGGTTTGTATGGGTTATCAAGGCACGAGATCGGCTCTGCTGGTTCCAGGACCAGCTGGAAAAGGCCATTTCTGATGTTGTGGAAATTCAAAGGACCCAAGGCCACTCACAAAAACAGCTCGACATCAGTATTTATGTCACTTGCGATGAGGAATTAGATGCATCGAATCCTGATGATCGCTGCGAACCACCCAAGCATGGAATTGCAGAAATGAACCCTTCTGCAGACTCCCAAAACGAGAGCAAGAGCCAACAACTCGTGGATGAAAAGATCGAGCTACAATCATTGACCTCGAAAGCTGATATTTCTGGTCATGTGAGCAGTGGATGTTGCTGTAAGGCCGAAGTCAATGAAGACGGTGGGCCCAAGCCATGTTGCTGTGTCCGACCTACTTCCAGCAACGACTCAATGTCGTCCTTTGATGAGAAAGATGGCATTGTGCCCGCCACGGGTACACGTTCAGCATCCACCAAACTCAGACTAGTCTCGGGTCGCCCCAAAACGCGAAACATCATGCGCAAGGTTCTTGAGGAGGCCGAGGGAGAAAGTGCAGTAGTGGTTTGTGGTCCCCAAGGATTACAAGATGATGTTCGTCGCGGAGTTGTCGCGTTGAGTGATGAGCGTGGTGTTCATAAAGGGACCGGTGCTCAAGGAATTTACCTGCATGTCGAGGGCTTTTCCTACTGAGCATGAGCAGCGACACGTTTTGTTTTGTGCATAGCGATAGGCGTTAGCAGTTTGAACCTCAACACATGATCCTGGCTCGTCGATCAAGATATGAGCCATGTTATTTGATGACGAAAGAGGTTAGAAACCAGGCACCTGTAGAACTTATGAGTGTAGAACTACATTGAATTGAATGATTATCTCGAAGAACGATCGAGGAAAGTATTGATGAGTAACGTGCGCAACGCCAGCGAACCAAGTGCTTGAGTATGGGGGTGGAATCAGGGCGGACAATTGCTCGTACGGGCGTAAAACGTCCTCGTTGAAGCAGACTACGCCTACCACTATTAGAGACGATGCGCAGAGAAGCGAACCGTAGCAGTATTCGGCTCTATAAAGCTTAGCTTAATCTCATATACGGCGATGCAACGTTGAGACTAAGCTTGATACAGTAAGCTCATCGCTCGAACACGGAACAGCGGGACTTCTCTATTCACACTCTCCGCATGGTGGCCTAACGACTCCAATGACTCCAATGACTTCAGCCACTGCACGGCCGTTAAATGAACTAATTAGCTCCGTCAATCCAAAACGGTCGATTTTTCGTATAGACGGATGGAGGTTGATATGTCAATGCCGTCACCAGGCGACAGCGCAGTAAATCAGAATGAGGCCGGAACTCTACATAAGAGTATCAAGGGGCTGCCAGAAGGGGGTCAAGCTCTTATCTCAAACACAAGCACCCACCATCCATCTAGGCAAGAAAACTCCTTCACAAAATACCGTGATCTCATAGTTTTCACCATCGGCCTCATCTTGCCATATATCTTCCGTCCATTATTAGGAATACAAGTATATCTCCCAACTCTAGCAGCAATGTGGCCATTCTCCTCCGGTCCAGCTTTCACCCCGGCAACGGGCATCAAACCTCTTGCGGGTAAAGTCATCCTCGTCACTGGAGGCAACAATGGGATTGGCAAGGAAACCATCCTCCAGCTAGCCAAACACAACCCACAGAAAATATATATGGGTGCCCGAACCGAGTCCAAAGCACTCGAAGCTATTGCCTCGATCAAGTCTCAAGGCGTCAAAGACGTCGACATCGAATTTCTTCCGCTCGATCTCACATCGTTCCCTTCCATCAAATCGGCCGCCGACCAGGTCCTTAGCAAAAGCGACCGACTCGACATTCTAGTCCTCAATGCCGGCATCATGGCAGTCCCAGCCGGTAAAACACCAACGGGCCAAGACGTTCAACTTGGAACCAACCACGTCGGCCACTTCCTCCTCACCAAACTCCTACTCCCAGTCCTGGAGCAGACCGCGAAACAGCACAACTCAGACGTGCGCATCGTCTCTTTAGCCTCCGAAGCCCATAACATGGCGCCCAACATTTCAACAATCGTCTCTACCGAAAAACTGACCGCCACAAGTCCTTGGACGCGTTACGGCGCTTCCAAAGCCGCCAACGTCATGTTCGCAGCCGAGCTCGCCCGTCGCTATCCGGCATTCACGAGCGTCTCGCTTCATCCAGGCATGATCAAGAGCGATCTATGGGGTGCAAGCACCGAGTCCAATCCCCTCTTGAAGTACGGAAAGGCTCTCGTCGGCCCCTTGATGTTTGTCGACGTCCCAACCGGTGCTTTCAACCAGTTGTACCTTGCTGCGGGTGCTGAGAAGTCGGAGCTTGTCAATGGTGCTTATTACACACCTGTCGGGAAAGCGAGGAATAACAAGTGGGCTTCTGACGCTGATGTTGGAAAACAATTATGGGAGTGGACTGAGAAGGAGATTGCGGCTGCTGGCTATTAAGATTGTTAACTATGGAATTATATTGATATAAGGATGGCCAAGCATTACCCTTTGTCTGAGGTTTGAGTTGCTTATTCCTTTTGCAGGGAGTTTGGGGATTTTCAGAGCGAGCATAGATATATAGTTTACTTGGTCGACTACAGGCATCGAATAACATAGCAATGATTGTCACCTTTTTCAAGGGCACAATCTCCTTCCCATACGATACGGACATCAACCTCCGATCGTGGTGCGACGTTTCGCTCTCGTTCCTCAAATCGCCGAGAAAATGTCAAGAAGTTCAAGGCTGTGCATGCAGAACGTTCGAGGCGGACTACGGAACAAGGCTCGGCAGGGGCGTGTGAACGAATCCCTTGATTGGGCCTGACAGATGTCCCTCAGCTTATTCACTATGCACAGCCTCCATAACCGAAAAAGAAGGAAAAGCGTTGACACCGGGGCAAATCCACTCTTATATCTCACGATAGGGTGCTCTGGGTTCTTCTAAGCTTCTCATACTTTGAAAATCATTCTACCAGTGTTTGAATGCAACATAACTATATGATATACTATCCCGCGGATATACTGTTCAATTCTGGAAGTCGACATACCTAGGTAATCAAAAGATTACACTATCACCAAAACATTGCATTTCTCAGCACAATTGCCCCCTGAGAATATTTTGGGCCAACCGGTATGAATTTCAGCGGAATCTTGACGACATCGCACCAATAAAAGTGCCATTCGACGACACGGCAGAGTCTTTAAGCAGTAGGCGACCTAAACAGGTGCACGTCTCGCGAGCCAGCCCACCAGCCCGCCGTCCTCGCCCCGATCCCCACTCTTATAGTGGGGGTGAGGAACCTCATCAGAGATATTTATATAAATACACCCAACAAACCCCGTCAATACCGCCAAAATAGAGACCTCCAAGCGCCTCAGTCATCTATACCTCGCCCTGGAAAGGCAACGGTCACGATCACGCTCCCGGCCCACATCCCCAATGCCGCATGAAACCAACAGTAAGATCATCCTCATCACGGGGATCAACGGCTACATAGCCAGCCACATCGGCGTGCAGTTCCTGCGGAAAGGCTACACGGTACGGGGCACGTCGCGGTCGCTCTCGGCGCGCGACCACCTGCTGTCCGGCGCCTTCAAGGGCTATGAGCCATTCTACCAACACGTGGTCGTGCCCGACATCACGGCCCCGGGTGCCTTCGACGAAGCCGTGCGCGCGGTCCACCACATCATCCACACCGCGTCCCCCGTGGACTTCACGCTGACGAGCGTCGACGCCTTCTTCGGGCCGGCCATCGGCGGCAACCTGTCGATCCTCAACAGCGCCAGGATCCACGCGGGCCCACAGCTCGAATCCTTCGTCGTCACCTCGTCCGTCGCCGCCGTCGTCGACCGCTGGAAAAACGCCCCGGACCACGACTACACCGAGGCCGACTGGAACACGACGGGCGAGTCGGTCGCGCGCGAGACCTTCACCGCACCCGTCGCGTACGGCGCGTCCAAAGCCGCCGCGGAGCGCGCCCTGTGGGACTGGGTTTCGGCCAATAAGCCCTCATGGTCCGTCGCCGCCATCAACCCGGCCGTGGTCACCGGCCCGCCCGTCTCGTTCCCAGCCACCCCGGACAAGCTGAACGAGACGCTGCTGCCCATCTGGCGCATCTACGCCAACGAGCTGCCCAACGGCGGCGCCATGCCCCCGCAGATCGGCGGCGCTGGCTATATCGACGTGCGGGATGTGGCGCGCATGCACGTCTGGGCCGCCGAGCACCACGCCCTGAGCAACGGCCAACGCTACCTGCTCGCCAACGGCAAGGCGCCGCCACAGGCCGTCGCAGATATCCTGCGTGAGAAGTTCCCCGAGCGCGACATCATTGTCGGCGAGCCTGGCAAGGGATATACCCCAGACTATGACTTTGTCAAGGGCGAGAGCAGTCTGGTCAGCACCAAGGCGTTGGCGGCGTTGGGCATCGAGCGGTTTATCGGCTTTGAACAGAGCGTGCTTGATACGGTCAAGGCTTTTGAGGCTAAATGGCCCGGTGTCGCGAAGAATTTGAAGCAGTGACGTGGTTCATTTGGTCCGGGCGGTGCAGCAGACTGAACGAGGATTTGACTTGGACTATCTGATGGAAGAAGTGCCATCGACCATAGAAGAGAAGAGCACTTTTTGTCAGTAGCTACCGGTGGGCTTTTTAGATGTGTTGGTAGAAGAACAAGTGATCGGGCTTTGGGTATAAAGTGGCGAGTCTTGATTGTTCAGGTGTCTATTTACATCTTTGGTGCTCCATCTTTGCAGTGCATCATGCAATCGCTTTCCACCATGCCTATTTCCCTTCCCATCACAGCAAAGTTTTGCAGGTAATCTGTCAGTCGCAGTGCAGTCAATCCACTGCCAATATGGTTCTCCCACCCCACAGGTCAAAGCTCAAAGTTAACTTATTATCAAACCATCGGTCTTCCTCCTCCCTTGGGTTTTTCTACAAGTACAATTCTTTTCTCGTTGGTGGATGTGTGGTGAAGATGGTTCGAATGTGCGGTGTGAGAGAAGGAGAATTGCAAAGTCAATAGGTAGGTATTATATACAGACACCCCGAGAAGTGAAGGAATCTCCCTCTCCCCATCACATGCCCGAGTCCTCAATGTTCTCCCCTCGTCAAATATATGAAGCCTTCTCTCCACCTTCAGCTTGAACACACAGGGTCAGGTTGTCCTTCCGACAAATAGTGTAATAGTGTGATATTGCGTTCATGAAAAGATTGGAAGGATGCGAGATGAGATGCTGGTTGAGCTTGTCCTGGCCTGCCAAGCTGCCACTTTGAGTCTTGACAGTCAGCAAAGAAAATACCTGAAGTCCCCTCATTTCTAAAGGTTGTGGAAACCATTGAGGCTGCCGTGTCTGCTCGTATGATGCAAACACCTCAATGACGGGCCTTCCTGGGACGAAGCAGCTCAATCTCGCCCACCTTTTTCTCTGGTAACCTATGCCAATCCGAGTATTTTGACCAGACAAGAATGACAAGATTTGGATGCTTGAAAACGCCTGCGCTATGCAATTTGGCCAATGCGGTATGCGAACTGTACAGAAAAATCGCAGTACATGCCATTTCAATCCCAAGAGTCCAGCGACTGGAAACCAAGTTTCAACCTAAGAGGCGAAAATCATAGCTCGTGTCGCTTGAAGGCTGGAGAAGGTGTTTCAGGAATAGCACCGGATGGGCCCGGTTCTTCTGTAGGCGGAGGAGGTCTATGATCAGGTTAGTCATAAGTAGACGGAGTAATGGGGTTCAGGTAGAACTTACGGTGCACTTTTTCCCTCAGTATTATCGAAGTACTTGTGGAACTCTCCAGCATCTTCGAAAGGCCTCTTACCGAGGATCCGAACCAGATCGTCACGCACCAGCATCTCTTTCTTCAATAGCTCCTCAGCCACAGCCTGTAACTGGTCTTTCTTTTCCAGAAGTAGGTCTCGACATTGTTTGTATGCCTCATCGACAATACGACGAACTTCAGCATCAATGTTTCGCGCCGTCTCCTCGGAGAAAGGCTTGTGTAGACGCTGCTCATCATCTTTGTAGTTGAGATAACCAATCTTCTCCGACATACCCCATTCAGTGACCATTGCAGTAGCCATACGGGTGACCTTGTTGAAATCATCTGATGCACCACTCGTGACGGAGTCAAACCAAATCTCCTCACTGACACGTCCACCAAGAGTCATGGCCATTCGGTCCATTAGTTGCTTGACGTTCATGAGATATGCATCATTTCCACCGGCAGGAAGATATTGAGCATAACCCAATGCTCCTTGACCTCGTGGAATGATAGAGACCTTCAGTAGAGGATCGGCATATTTCAAAAACCAACCGCAGATAGCGTGACCAGCTTCATGGTATGCAACAGTCTTCTTCTCTTCTGGTGAGAGCACCAAAGACTTCTTCTCCAGACCACCAATGACACGTTCAATTGCTTGCTCAAAATGTGTCATTGCAACTGTTGTAGCATTGGCACGAGCGGCAATCAGAGCTGCTTCATTGACACAGTTGGCAATATCAGCACCAGAGAATCCAGGTGTTAGCGCTGAAAGGCGGCCGGTAAGATATTCGATGTCGACACTGGTGACAATCTTCTTCAGATGTACCTTGAAGATCTGCTTTCGACCATCCATGGTAGGCCTATCAATCGAGATGTGTCGATCAAAACGACCGGGGCGCATCAAGGCTTTGTCCAGAACATCGGGCCTATTGGTACCTGCAAGGACAACAACCTGTTCTGATGTGTTGAAACCATCCATCTCTGTCAGAATTTGATTGAGAGTAGATTCACGTTCATCGTTGCCACCTCCGAAATTTGACTTAGCTCTTGCCTTTCCGATGGCATCAATTTCGTCGATGAAGATGATACAAGGAGTATTCTTTCGAGCATTGCTGAATAGATCTCGCACACGAGATGGACCGACACCAACAAACATTTCCACGAATTCCGAACCGGAAACAGAGAAGAACGGTACACCGGATTCACCAGCAGTCGCCTTTGCCAATAAAGTCTTACCAGTACCTGGAGGCCCTGAAAGAATTGCACCTCGAGGAATTTTGGCACCGAGACTCTGGTATTTTGAAGGATCCTTCAAGAAAGACACGAATTCCATGATCTCTAATTTGGCTTCATCCATACCAGCAACATCCGCGAATTTAGTTTTGATGTCGGTTTCGTGATTGAATCTCTTCGCTCTTGATTTGCCGATACCAAAGATGCCACTTTGACCACCAGCACCGGATGCTGCTCGGCGAGATAGCCAGAACAAGGCACCAACGAATAGGATTGTAGGTCCGAAGGAAAAGATGGCTGCACTCAATGGCATTTCGTCGGAGTACGCAACAGGAATTCTCTCACTGCTTGAGATGCCAAGTTCCGCATGTGCTTCGTCCAGTCTTCGCTCGAAAGCCTCAACGGAGCCGATGGAGAAGTAGTAGTGAAACTTGGGGTCAACCGCGGGTGACTGGGGATACATGTTCTTGAGAGCCTCCCGATGTAATTCAACCCGAACACGATTGCGATTGATGACGGTCAATTTCTCAACAAGACCTTTGTCGAAGAAAGTGGTTCTGAATTCTTGCCATGTAATATCTCTTGAGGATTCTCCAGGGAAGAGGGTCGAATAGATGTAGTATGACACCAACGATGACATGATAATGGTACCTGTATCCATCTTGAGATCGAAGGTGTACGGTTTTGGACCGTCGGATTTCTTTTTACCCTTCTCGCGACCTTGCTCACGATCTTGTTGTTTATTGGATTGTTCAAAGAGACGTGGTTCTTCAGTCTCTTCTTTCTCAGGTTCGGCTTTGTTTTGGTCAACATCCTTGCCATACTTCGCCCGTACTTCCGCAATGTTCATTCGGGACATCTTGGTGAAGACACCCACTAACCGCACGGTTGTAGCAAGATCGATGCGTCGATTCGGATCTTTTTGTTGGGCATCCAGAATCTCTCGTAACTCGATTGGCATTCCACCTTTCTTTATCAAGGCAATGGCTTCATCAACCGCCTTCCGTTGAGACTTGGGTAAGCCACTTTTGATCATGTTGGCAATGTCATCTATCTGCTTGGATTCTTCAGCAGTAAGGGGCGAAAAGTCTGCCGATTCCGGCTGAGAGCTCGTTGATTCTCCATTCTCGTTCTTGTCTGGTTCAGGTCCAGGAGATTTGGAGGATTGGTCGGCAGGCGATTTATCGTCTCTGGAATTCTTCCGCGGAGGCTTCGGCTCGCCTGGATTTACTGTGGCATAAGACCTTGCTATTGAGGGATAGAGTCGACTAGAGAAGCGAGATCTGGAGAGTTGGGAGGTGCGACTTCTGGCGCATGCAGCGCAGTTTAGGGCAGCTTTGGAGGTGCGGACCAGCTGTGGCCGCAGGAAGCTTGCCGCCATGGCTGAAGGAGAGATGGGGAAGGGAGAAGGGAGTTGGGAGCTGAGGAGCTCTGGAAATGCCTTAGTGAGTACCAGCAGGCGTTCTTGTAGGCTTGAGTCTGTGTGGGAAGGTCGACGAAAGATGAGTGATGGCGACAACCCAAATTTGAGAAATGGAACGTTGACGCGGGCGGCATTTGCCTGCGTGGAATCAGGTGGTCATCGATGACTTTTTGGAGAAATTCGTCATGCTGCCTTAATGAAAAGCATTGGTCTTGGCAACATCCGGACGGAGAGTGGATTCTCCGGGATCCGATCAACTTTGGACTTCAAGTATGCATCCTCCACGAGGCTGACCTCCTTGTTAGCAGCCACTCCATGCTCAAGCATGCAAGACAAGTTTCGACTCAGGTGACTATCAAGGTGAGGAATTTACACGTCTCTAGACACGTTCTCGCTGTATAATGAGATGGGTTAGCGTGAAAGAAGCTCCCATTTGCTTGCTTCCAAGGCAAGAGTATTCACTGCAAGATAGGTTACAGGCAGTACTGATATGACTACCTCCTGCACATGTGACTGAGATTGCAACTCATGACAGTGGCTGTCATCGACCATTCTACTGTGAGGTGAAAGTGTGAAAGATTTAAATTTGTCTTTCGTCCATGGCATCAAGTACTCAATACTACTCCTGTCTAAACTCCCTCTTCTTCCACTTCCACCCTTTCAAATAAATACAGAGAACATTTACGTGGTCCGTCCCAAGCCTCGTCTTCAAGATGGCTTCTATCACACTACTCGTTATCTCTCTGTCCATGATCTTCAACGTCATTGAAGCGAACCCCACCCCCGCGGAGCTCGACAAGATCAATGACCCCCTCCGCCTCAGACTCTGGAATGACTCAACTGAGTGGATGCACCTGCACAACCCACGCTGCGGCATCGCCGAAATTGCCTGGGTCACCAAGGAGTTCATGCCAGATAATGAAAACTACATCAGCCCCGGCTGCCGAGTCATCGGTCATCTCATGCCCAACCCCATCGATTTCATTTTCGGCTGCCGTGGAGTGAAGACCACTGATCCTGGCACCAGACCTATCAAGTTCTACTACACCACTGATTTCGACCAGGTCTTGGATTGGGACAATGACAAGGAGCAGCGTGTCCGAGGAGATCTGACGGTCGTGGATACTCGTGTCGACAAGCCCGATGTCGCTCATGTTCCGGTTCATGTAAGTCAATTGCGTCTCACAGTGGTCTCTAACCAGAGGCCTCCGCTTCTCCCGCTTACTATCCGGTTGATATAACTCTCTAATACGAATCATCCCAGATCGGTGTCTACATAGACAAGAAGAAGAAAGTCGCCAACTATAAGAATATCTACTGTAGTGCTTCTTGGTAAGCGCATCTAGGGTATGGTTCGTTGGCCACAGATTTGGCCAGTCAGGCTCTAGGCTATGATCTCAGATTGCAGGACTTGGAATTCTGGGTGGCCATGATCGTATAGAGAGCATGACGGAGAGAATACAACCCCCCCTGAAATGAGCCACGAATACCGATCGATCATAAGGCACACGTGCTATCCCAATCTTGGGCTACGCGCAATCAAGTCACCCGTGTTAGGGTCATGATTCTTGTCCATATCCCTCGTGTCCACAACTCGAGTGCGGATTCAAGGATTGAGTCTAGGACACCAAGCTTTATCTTCACTGAATAACTAAGCTTTTTAGGCTTATTATCTAACATATCTTTGACCTAGTGGGAGCATATGTCTTCTCCGTTCATCGCTGTCAAGAACGGACCTTCAATTGAGTCGTGCATTTCCAGCGCGACATTCATCCGTCGATCAATTGTCTTTCTGTTCAAATTCCATTGCTTTCTCACAATCTTCTTCGGCCATAAATATCATGTCGAAGTTTCCATTCGTCATCCACTTTGCTTTTCAACCCCTCCTTACTCGCCGGGCGAAATCTAGGGTCCCGTGCAATTCGGCTAGGAGCGTTGTAGAAACCACCGGTGTCCTCCTCAAAGAAGCTTGAACTGCCTGCGTTACCAGCCATCATGCGTCCCCTCTCAATTGCATATTCTGGTGCCGGTTTGTATTTGCAAAAGTATCCAATATCATCCTTGTCACTTCCATGCAAATCACTGGACGATCTGATGTTAACTAATATGTCTCCAATTGCGCCAATTGACGCCGTTTCAATCTTCGCCCTGGCTGAATCACTGCTGGAGATAGAACCGTCATTTGTGGTCAGCTGTGAGAGTCTGCGGACAAAGTAGTCGTTGGCAATTCGATTGAGTGCCTTCCTAGCCATTCTGGTGCTAGGACTCTTATCATCACCCTGAATGTCGAGATTATCGCATCGAATGGCAGGAAATTGGACATTCAGGCCCCGATCCTCGTCGATATCTTCAACTCTGGAGCATGATCTAATCATTCTGTTCATCCATGTTCGTTCCAATTTTGTCACAGGTCGCAAATCAAGCCAATCAGATGAGTCAATGTCGAATACTTTTGGAATGCTGTCTCCATTCGAAAATATCCCACCTTTACTGGGGACCTTGGATGTGGTCGTAGGTGACTTCGGAGAAGGAATCGAGAACTCGGCTGGATGCTGCGATTCGAGTCCAGGAGGTGGCTTCACGAAAGGTAATGGCTTTTGGATTATGCTCATCTTCCGAGGCTCATTTGGTGGATTCTTCTCGGACGCAGTGTTCAGTTTGTCCGTGTTCAAAGTATCAATGTGGTACCCCTCGGATGTGTTGCGGTGTAAGTTTGGATTGTGAAGAACAGTCTTACCAGTTCTTGCCAACGCTTGTTGCGCGGCTACGAAGTTCTGCATATTGCTCTCACGATCATAAGGCTCTTCTGGAGATATACTTGCAGGACAAAATCCGGGGAATGCTGGCACGTTGGAGGCTGGCTCATGCAGCGGAGTAAATGACTCTGCAACATTATGTTGAAAAGATGATGATTGCGAGGGACGGCCGGTCTCGTTGATATTATGTTGTGGGTGATTCCAACCAGGAGGTGCACTATCATACTGGACGGAAGTGTATTGTGGGAAGACTGGCTCATTATCAAGAATAGGTGTGGCCGGAAAAGGTTGTTTGATAGGCCCAAAGCTTATAGGGGAGTCATTGTACGTTCGGGACAAGTTGGCCAACTTGTTTTCTTGTTTTGCGGGACTGATATCATCGGGGACCATGAAGGCATTGTGCTGGGGAGCGAAGCTCGACGGATAGATGGGAACCTGAGCTGGGGTGGCGAAGCTGTGTAAGCCACTTGACCACAATTGATGGGGATATGGGTACAAACTGAACAGACCTGAATTACCTGGGAGACCTTGCAGGTTGGCTGGAAAACCCGGCTGAGATTGTTGGACGATAAGATGAGGCAATGGTCGTTGAGGTATGGGAATCAATAATGGAGCAGAGTACTCTTGATGCTTAAGGTGAGATCTGCGAGTCGCCCAAGTACTAGCATCATGAACATTGATGTGAGCAGAAGGTAGGTCTCTGACAGGAGGGACTTGTGGTCTCGATGTCGAGCTAATGCTTTGACTCGAGGCGTGTGATGCCTGGCGACTTGGAGTAGGTGTAGACATGCCGTCGTGCTCGGGATGAACCGAGTCAATATCGTCGATGTGAGGATCAATATCGACATTAGCGGGATCTTCAAGGATCAGCGGGACCCAGGTCTTATTGCCCTTGTTGCGATTTGGGAGGGGATTCTTGGTGAACGCACTGAGGGAAATGGGAGAAGGCTTAGGAGGCAAATTTTGTTCTTCGGCGTCACGGGAAGCTTGTCTCGCAGTGGCAGCTTTGAAAGCCTTGTACTCGGCGGCTCTTGCTCTTGCACCCAACATGTTTGCGAAATCGGGCGAAGACATAAAAATGAGGCAAGGTCTGAGCCGGTCGGAGGTGGTCTAGATCAAGATCGGCGAATCTCACAACATGGCTTTTCTGATCCGACCAGATTCAAGACAAGGCAAAACAAATGGGATGAACGACGTGATCTGACAGAGTTCGTTCTACCAGTGTCAGTTCCAATGATGAGACAAGAGGGGAGTTTTGTTACCAGAGTAGAAGGTGTAAGCAGATGAACATTTGATGAGGCCAAGTTTGGGAAAGAAGAGAGTCAGTGGTGAGCACAGAACGGGATGAGATGGTCAGGTTCAAAACAGGACTGGAGTCCGAGAAGGAGCAAGGCAGGGGAGAACGGCAGATTGCTTCCTGCGCAGGAAGACGATGGCACAAAGCCTGCAGCGGAGGAAATGAAAGGGAGAAAATGGGTAAAGGAGAGGAGGAGGGAAGCAAAGATGGCAGTGCAGGCAGTTGCAGTTGCCGAAGTCAGTCACAGTGAAGAAACCCAAGGGAAGGTGCGACTAGCAACACGACTTCAAGGAAGGAGCGCTGGAGGTGCAGAACAGGTGTTGCGCAGAGAGAAAAGAGGAGAAGATCAACCTGATACACAGGTAGCTAGCAACATAGCTTGTCAACAACAAGACATAGAGAATCGGTTCATCGCTGGCAAGTGTTTTGGTAAAGCCAACTCTTTCAACGTGACGATCCAGTTCATTCTTCTCCTCTTTTCTGCGCGTACAATCACGTCTCAGTGAAACGCTGCAGCCATTTGGAGTGGACTGGCCATACGACGGCACAATCAATACAAGACACTCACCTGTTTTACCTACCTTCTCCAAACCAACGTTTGTGATGCTATGTAAGTGAACGTCGAACAAAATGAAGTGACAACTCAAATGGTGGTTGGAATTGTTTTTAAGGACCGTAAATGCGAACCATTACGTCAGCATGCCTCCCGTCGTTTGCTCAAACTTGAACCTCAAAATCTTCTTACCTTTTGATTGCCACCCTGTATTTATTTCGATCTGGCAACGAACAATGATGGCAAAGGAGCAAATTTTACTCAGGGGAGACCATATAGTACCTCGCATTATGCCGTCAGCCACATAGGCATAGAGCTCCAGTCTCAAGAGATGAAAGTCGGCAATCCACAATACCGTGGTGATGAGGTCCCCCTCCCCATCGAGGTTCTAGATTTAATATGCCACTTCGTCAAGACAGCTCAGCATGCCAAAAGCCAGTCCACCTTGGCCGCCGGGACCTTGGTGTCCAAGTCTTGGTGTTCTATTTTCACTAGACATTTGTACGAACAGCCGCTAATCGTCCCTGGAAACTTTGATGCCTTCACGAGAACCATCTGCACAACCGTGACTGCAAAAACAAAGCGAGTCGGTCTCGAAACTTATGTCAAGCATCTTGATCTCAGCAAAATCGCTTACGAAAGCTCCAAAAGTCTTACTGCTCGGCTAATAGGAAGGACGAGTCACTCGTTGGAGTACTTTGCCGCACCAGCAATCACATTTGGGTTTGATAAGCTCTTTTCCAGGACCTTTGAGGTGATTTACGTTGGCTTTCTAACACTTTACCAGGATTGGGTCACTCGCTCCACTGTCCAAATCGTTGAACTTGCGAGTTCTAGATTTGTCTCACGACGGGTACCAGATCAAGCTGAATCGCATTCTTGATTCCGTTAGTCGCTTGGAGCATTTGATCGAACTTAGATTGCCAACCGATGCCGCTGGAGACGGTGCTGAGTGTCATTTTCCTACAGGGTGTTGGCCGAAGCGCCTTGAAGTTTTGCAATTGTCCTTGAAAATGTGCATATATGTGCACTTACATGTGCGTTGGTGGGACGAATTTCTCAGCAGTCTGCCCGCCTCCCTTGGGACATTGATTATCCCCGACTTTCTCAGCTATCACTCTTTCTACATCTGCAAGGACATACAGGTATCTGCGAAGTCAATAACACGTCTCGAACTCGGAAGGGCAAAGGATGATGATTGCATTGCTCATCTTCCCTACTTTCTTGCTTGCTTCCCCTCCCTCACGACGTTAACAGTCCCTGTGACCATAAGAATTGCTTTGGCTGATCTCAATCTGGATCACTGGTTTGATGACGACATGTGGGAGACCTTGTATCATCCTGGCGGTGCATTGGCCAACAGCGATCAGAGCATTCAAAGGAATAGTCTTGTCAAAGAACTCACCTTTTCACTACCACCAACAAGTGTTGCTTTTGGCTTCCATGGCTCCATAAACATGGATGTGTTTTTCCTAAAGGCGATTGTGGCGAGCTTTCCACTACTCCAGAGAGTGAACATTCCGATAGGCTCCATCAAGATCCTTGATGAAGATGACAACCAAGACGAGCTACAAGAAATATGTCAAATCTTGGAGAGTAGAGCACCCTCTGACGAGTCTCAATATGCAGGCATTTTCCAGGATTGAAATAAAGTTTCACTGACATCCCTAAAAGTTCTGGTGCAACCAGTATTTCATGATGAACTAACGATCAGGAATTGGAACTGTCCCATCACTACAATGAATGATAGCGCATCCCCTTGTTTTCTGGATCAATGGTATCAATCACATCACACGCCCACCTCAGCAGTTACGTTTCTTCGTATACTTGTTGGCTCAAGGATAACGGCTCCGTCCTTTTACATTTCCAGGAGGCCGCTGTGCCGCAGTCCGGACCACCCGAGCACCGAATAGTCACTATTTACTTGGAATGGTGGAATGAAAGGACTATCCGCTCGGGGGGGCCGATGAGCTTATCCATATTCGAGGATGATATTCTTATCAACACTAACTAACATTGTACCTCCGCATTCCCTGACTTGGATCGTCCAAAGTGGAGAAACAACTGCAGTGTCCGACTTCGTACTTGATAAGCAAGTTGCAGATCTGAGATTGAACAAAGGCATGGAAGTATATATTATGCCTATCACGGCCCTTTTCATGATCACCCTATTAGTCAATCTTCAACGCTGAAGGTGCACTACATCTCAGGTTCAGATTGCTCTTCCCTTGAGTGATCAAGTCACCTACCGCTCTCAAAACATAATACTCAACCCCTTCAAACAAAACTCTTACTCATGGCTTCCGACACCCCTCCCACCAAAGCAGATGACAAGGAGATCCAGATTTTGTCATCAAATGTGGACTCCGTCGCTCAAGGTCAGAGCCGCATTCTGCGCGCTCCAGAGTATATACGGCAAATGAGCCCAGAAGAGCGACGAAAAGCAGAAGATGCTTTACGAAAGAAAATCGATATGCGTTTAATGCCTATGATTGTTATTATGTACATTATGAATTACTTGGATCGCAACAACATTGCCGCTGCACGCTTAGCAGGGATGGAGAAAGAGCTACACTTGTCAAGTACACAATATCTGGTATATCCCACCCATGCGATTGCGCAGCATTCTCGGCCAAATGCTAACAAAAGCCATAGACTGCTGTCAGTATTTTGTTCGCAGGATATACGGTAATGCAGGTTCCGTCAAATATCTTCCTCAACAAGATTGGCAAGCCAGCGATCTATCTTCCCACAGCCATGACGATTTGGGGTGTGATCTCGGGGCTCACGGGTGCGACACAAAATTTTGCCGGGTTATTGGTGTGCCGTTTGTTTCTGGGTATCATTGAAGCAGCCTTCTTCCCAGGTTTGTACCTATTTTATTTCATGTTTAATTATGTGCTACCAAAGAGATAGCGCTGACCAAAATGTGCCTCCACAGGGGTTATCTTTTTCCTTTCGTGTTGGTACACACGGGCCGAGTTGGGCTTCCGCACCGCCATTTTGTACTCAGGGGCTCTCATTTCTGGAGCATTCTCGGGTTTGATCGCTGCTGGTATCGTGGATGGAATGGATGGGGTACATGGGCTCCTGGCTTGGCGCTGGCTATTTATTCTCGAAGGGGCTATTACTGTTGTAATTGCTCTGGGAGGTTATTTTATTCTTCCTAATTTCCCAAGAACAACCAAATGGTTGTCGCAAGAAGAGCTCCAGCTTGCGGTTTGGCGTTTGGAAGAAGATGTCGGAGAAGATGACTGGGTTGACAGCAAACAACAAAGCCTTTGGCACGGATTGGCTCTTGCTCTGAAAGACATCAAGACTTATACTTTTGTGAGTAGTTACCTCCCTGCCCGGACAACGATGGCTGACTATCAAACAGGTCGTGATGTTGATCGGCATTACCATCTCTGGGGGAGTCACATTGGTGTTTCCCACTGTCGTGGGCACTCTCGGGTACTCGAGGATCCCGACACTCCTTCTGACAGTTCCACCATACGTCTTGTGTACCATCACATCCCTCGCAAACGCATGGCACGCTGATCGCAGTGGCGAAAGATATCTGCATGTCACAATCCCATGCGTCTTTACTGCCATAGGCAATATCATTCTCGCCACGACGACCGGCCTGGGCCCTCGCTATTTTGCGCTCATGATCATAATACCAGGAATCTATACTGGCTACGTCGTGATCCTGGCATGGATCTCCAATTCTATTCCTCGTCCACCGGCCAAGCGAGCTGCCGCGATCGCCTTCGTTAGTGGTTCCTCACAAACAGCCAGCATCTGGACTAGCTACATGTATCCTGTGTCAGCAGGACCGAGGTTCAAGGTTGCTTATTCAGTCAACACCGCTGCTGCACTTTTGGTGGTTCTCGCGGCGACTTGTTTGCGAATGATTCTCGTTCGCTTGAACAAGAAGCTCGATCAAGGCATTCACGTTGCGGACGCAATCAACGAACATACAGATACAGCAGAATCGGGTATCCCTGCCGTGGGTGCTCAAAGGGGATTCAGGTTCCGGGTCTAGTAGTACTGAGTTGAAGGATTGGAGTATTTGAAAGAAGGGGTGGACTTGGGGAGCTTCGGCACCGATCAGGGAGGCAGCAAAGACCCTTAGGAGTTTCATTGTACATTTGTAGGCCCCGGAGTGACACATCTTGTCGAATCTTCAATGGCCGTGTGTTGATGCCGACATTGCACCCCTGGCCCAGGGGGTCTCCTTTCGTGCGCGGTTCACTCTCAGTGATGTCTCGATCTTGTACTTTACTCAGTACTTCGGCTTTCCATAGATATATACATTTTACTCCATGGATTCATAATTACGGATGCGGAAGCCACCCAGTTCAGACTCCAATTGATCGGTAATCGGCGTCGGAGCCGACGTAGAACGGGAACCTCGCCGAGCTATTTGATATCTCAGCTTCCATAATCGACGTCGGCGGCCGAGTACTTGCAGGTCGCCTGCAAGCAATGTAGAAATGTGGTCCCGATGAGTGGAAAGTCTAAATCATTGTTGGACACTACTTAAGAAAAGCCATCTGTCCCAGCCGCAAGGGGAACACGACAAGAATTTTAATCGATACAACAAACATTCTGGTGACATCACAAGAAGCAAACCCAAATAGCCTCCGTCATAAGTCTGCTTAGGACATTTGAGTATTGCAAGCGCATCGAAACCCAATACCAAAAGCGACATAATGAGTGATCTATTCAGTCTTAAGGGCCAAACGGCAGTAGTCACCGGTGGCGCCCGGGGAATTGGTCAAGCCATGGCGATAGGACTTGCCGAGGCCGGAGCGGACATTATATTGATATTGGTAAGGATCTCGTACTTCATATCACAAGGAGCGAAATCAATACTGTGTGGGAGCACCCGAGGAGGCCAATGGTTTGATGGGTGATGGCTAACATGTCAACTTCCGGTCTGGCAGAGAAATGAATCACAACAAGAGACGAAGCGGGCGATCGAGGCTCTCGGCCGCAAAACCACCGTTTACACCGCGGACCTCAGCATTGCATCGCAACTCGACGGCCTGATCGGCCGTATTAGCAGCGAGCACCCAGACTTCTCGATCCTGGTCAACGTCGCCGGGATCCAGCGGCGCATTGCGGCCGCCGAGTTCCCCGACGACATGTACGACGAGGTGCTGCAGACGAATCTCAAGGCGACGTTCAAGCTGTGCAAGGACACGGGCAAGTATTGGCTTGAGAAGGGGACCAAAGGGTGTATTATCAACACGGCCAGTCTTGCGTCGTTCCAGGGCGGCATCAATATGGCCGCGTATGCGTGCAGTAAAGGTGGGGTGCACATGTTGACCAAGGCGTTGAGCAATGAGTGGGCTGGGAAGGGTATCAGGGTTAATGCTGTTGCTCCGGGGTGAGTGGCTCTGATTGTGTCTTTTATGTATACTTGACTGACCTTCATCCGCAGGTATATTGCCACCGACATGAATCTCGACACCCGGTCGAACGAAGACACCACATACTACGAGTCGATCACAACGCGCATCCCTGCTGGGCGATGGGGCGAGCCGAATGAGTTCAAGGGAGTCACCGTGTTCCTGGCCAGTCAGGCGAGTACGTATCTTACGGGCCAGACGATAGTCGTAGATGGTGGCTGGATGGCTAGGTAGCAAGTAGCGTGTCACATTTGACTCAGGGTGGGCGTTGACGGAGGACACAGTTAGTCGAGCAATAACATTAATCTATCCGAGTCTATCTCAGCAGTGTACGTTACACCTGCATTATGATCAACGCAAGTTCCTGAAGACTTCTTTCATCCATTGACGACAGCATCTACGACTTCAGCAACGGCGGTGATTTCCTCGTCTTGAAACGGTCGCCCGACCAATTGAATGCAAACTGGTTGAGCTTGAAAGGTCTGTGGGTCATCTAGTCAAGGTATCAGCATGTTTCACTGGACTTCTGGATATATCGTATCGGGGCGACTTACACATATCATAGGTTGGCTTGTCGAACGGGTTGTCTAAGGGTCGGTAATTCATATCCTTTGCGTCTACTTCAGGCGAAATCTTGAATCCCTTCAGTGGTAGAGTTAAGGAAGGATAGTCCAATATGTTCCAAAGCGAAGTGTAACCCCACCAGGACGGGAAATTATGAGGATAGCTCGCGGACGGGTGGACTGGAGCGATGATCCCGTCCAAAGGTCGCGAGGAACCTGGTGATAAATTCCAGTAGGTGCTCATGAGAGTTTTGTACTCCATCATGTCGCGATTGAGAGCAAATGCCTCGGCTGCTGATAATGGCTTGATATCGAAGGCTTTGAGATGGTATGCTAGGGATGGGAGCATTTCCTCTCCTCCTGCTGCAAGCCGTTCTTTCAACTCCACAGCACCCGTCTGAAAGTATATTCCCCAAGTAGTCAGGGCGACCCTCCAGCAGTCGAAGGGCAGCTGGACAGGTACCACTATTTTCTTGGTCAGCAGCAAACTACACAGAAGCGGGACAACTGATCACAGATCTTGCTTACCTTCATGGCCAGCGGCTATCAGTTTCGATGCTGTCTCTTTCAAGCCACGTATGATTGGTGGGTGAGGCATGCAGACACCATCGAAGTCAAGAAGCCCAAAGCTCAATTTTCTGGTCGGTGGAGATAACTCCCTCCAAGGCATAGGCACAACTCCTGGTTCAAACTGCATCTCAGGCCATGCATTCACTACTTTTGCAAGAAGCTTCACGTCGGCGAGGCTATGACAGACTGGGCCGCAAGAAGTTTTGATCGATATCTGTCCACCAAGGGTGGCAATCACGCCTGTCTTTGAGATTCTGTCTCCACTGGGTCTGATCGAGTACAGTCCGTTGAAAGCTGCAGGTACTCGGATTGAGCCACCGATATCCGAGGACGGACATACGGGGCATCCTTTCATGGCCACGAGTGCACCATCTCCACCAGAAGAGCCACCAGACACCAGTTGGGCATTGTAGGGGTTCTTTGTTGTCCCCCAAAGCTTACTCGTCGTTTCAACGGCCATTCCGGTCTGTGGCATGGTGGTCTTTCCAAATATGACAGCTCCGGAATTTCGAATGGTACGTACGATAGCTGCATCCTCCGTTGCAACATTATCGTGGTTTATCATGTACCCCAAAGTGGAAACTTCTCCTTTGACATTGTATTGATCCTGATCGCCTTGTCAAATGATGACCTAAAAACAACCTAGAGACTTCAAACCTACCTTGATCGCAATTGGCAATCCATGCAGTGGCCCGACTGTCTTACCTGTCCGCGAATAATGATCATCTAGGCCCTTTGCGACCTCCAAAGCACTTGTAGGGAAGAACGAGGTCAAACAATTGGTCTGTGTAATGCCCTCAATACTCCGGCCCTCATACAATCTGAAGTATACTTACTAGCTGATGAGCAATAGCCGCTCGAGTGCAGAAAGCCTCAGTGGCCTCAACGCTAGATACTTTTCCTGCTGCAATCTGAGCAAGCAATTCGGTTGCTGTTAGTTCAGTGATCTCAAGTTGGCGAGCGCTGAGTAGGCCGCATGTTCGAGGAATATCGATCACGCTGATTTTTGGCTGGGTAGGCAACACTTCGGACGGTAGCCTCCAAGACTGAGGAATGGCGTCGAGGGCTCTGCTTTGAGCCTTTACTGCAACTTTATGCCAATCCATGACTTGCGTATCTCGTGAAATGCATTCGTTTTGAATCACGTTCCGTGCTTTACCTACCGTCGCATCCTAGAAGCTTTTAAGGCATATGCTTCAGGATCCTGAACCCCATGACCCATCTCATAGAGAACTAGGGAGGAAAGGTATCCTGCTATCGAAACTTCATGATTCGTGGGCCAAATTGATGTCTCGGGCGCCATGGTCGGAGTAGCGCGATGATCCCTCTCGGGCCATCCGAGGAGACTCTGGAGAAATGCGACTCTCGGTGCCCCCGAGTACGTCTAGGCATTATCACCACCAGTCTTAGGCGTAGGTCATTCACGAACCCCTCCCCTCAAGGTAAGTTTAAATCGTGATTGGTATTACTGATAACCCTAAGACCAAAATGGCTGTAGCTGGGGATTTGTTAGATACGTGGGCTTCTGGTCATGCTGTGCCGAATCTGAAGCATGCGCGCCAGTCCCTATCCTCACCTGGGAGGGACAACTTAGATTAGCCTCGAGGTTGAGCTTCAGGTTAGAGCAAGCAATGCATTGTCTGGTTGCAAAATTTCTGAAAAACGATTGTCGCGTATTGCGTCGAAGGAAGCTGGCCATACTCGGCAATCCTTCCCCGGAATTGCGAAGTTCAAGGGATAAATAACACTCACCCAGATATCATTCTGCCTCCATGAGTACTATGAGCATCCTTTGCAGATTAGGGCTCAACAGATCGCTTCGAGTAAATGGCCTGTGATGTGTGTTATCGACGCAAAGTCCGTTGCGACCTCGATCAAGGTCCGCCGTGTGTTGCATGCCGCCACGCCGGCCTTGAGTGCAGGTAAGTGTTGCCGCTGATGACCAGTCAAACCCATGGATGCAGCCTAGATAATGGTTGAGAGACCTGACGAACCATCAGCTTCGTTCTGGCAGAGCAGCACAAAGTGAAAAGGAGACAGAAGAAGCGACATCATTCAGGAAGGTCAATAGACAGCCCGATAGCTGCCTCGAGTGCATCAAGAGGGACATTGGAACCTCAGAGTCCACATGGCAAAATTGCTCCACAGCGGCTTGACTATGGTGACTTCTCTATCACGGAGGGAAGGGATCGAGATCAATCACTAAGACTGGACGTCCCGGTTGAGGGCGACGTGTTCGAAGACACACTGGCAAAAACTGCCCTTTCCCGCTTCTTCCACCAGATCAATATGTCAAACTGGGAGGTCTTCCGCGACAAAGGTTACACTCGCATAGCTTACATTGGGACTTCGGTATCCAATCTCGCGAAACTGGTAGAGGAGGAAGGCTTCAACACTTCTCTCCATCTCCCTTTCCCATCGGTGCGACCTACCCTGCCGTGGAAGCCGGCTCCAAAAATGCCGCTGATTCAATGGTATTCAACCTCGTTCGTTGACGACATCAGCGCTTTGCCTGCCCATGAGGTAAGAGACGAACTCGTGGAATCTTTCTTCAACAAAATCCATCCTGGATTTCCCATCGTTGATGAGTGGGAATTTCGAAGCCAATACAATAGTACGGACAATCCTCCACCGCTCTTGTTGTTCCAGGCCATTCTTCTTGCCGGAGCTCATGTGAGTGAGCATCCCAATATTGTCTCCAGGAGATCCCAGGTCAAAAAGGTGATCTTCCGGAGAGCCAAGGCATTATTCGACTTGCACTATGAGAACGATCGCATGCATGCCGTGCAAGCAGCTTTGCTTTTCATGTTCTATCTTGAGGGAGCGGACGACATTTGCTCAAACGTATACTATTGGGCTGGTGTCGCCTGTCGTATCGCATTTGGGTTGGGAATGCATCGTGATCTGTCCACTGATCTCCCAATATTGATGCCCAAGGAAGATCGAAGGATCTATCGAAGAATTTGGTGGACATTATTTCAAGTCGAGATATTGTCAAGTCTGCATCATGGAAGACCATCCATGATAGACTTAGATGAGGTTGACCAATCCCCATTACGAAGGGACGACCTTATTGAACAAAATGGTCAGGTTAATGAGAAGGTCGATATTGACTATTGCATCCAAAACATCGAGCTTTGCAACATAATTGTTTCCATCATCAAATTGTCAAGTCCTGGTGCAGTCCGGAGATATTCTGCTGCTCCGGAACTATTTCATGTCTCACAAGAGAACGTCGATCAGAGGCTTGTCTCGTGGTATCTGGGCCTCCCTGCAGCTTTGATAGAGCCGGTAGACAGCTCAAAAAACAATGCATTCTGGGCGTGGCAGCTTCAACTTCATTACAACCTGGCGCTACTACATCTTCATCGATTACCAGGAGAGTTATTCCCCCGTGCTGATTCTGTCCAACAGCACAATTCTGATGATACCTGCCAGACAGCTGCAACGGCCATCTCAAAGCTTTTTGATGACATAATATCAGCGCAGATGATATCTCGGTGCTGGTTCACAGCTCTGACCTCCTTGCTGGCGGCCGCCATTCAATTTGGGCACGAGGCACGAATAGCCGCAAGAACCAGAGCAGCTGTTCTGGCCATCCAGGCCCAAACGCGCCTGCAACGTCTACTACCGGTGATCTCAAAAGTGTCAGCGTACTGGCCTAGTGCAGAAGCTATTCTGCATGTATACAAAGACTTGCTTGTACAGTTCAAACGACAATCACAGGCATCGTCGAGCATGGGCCATATGCCTGTGAGCCGACCAAACAGCAATCAGATTGAGCAAAGGAGCACCGATGATGCCGATCCCAGTGTTATGTGGGTTGGCGATAATGTCAGTCTGGGAAGTGTAGGGGTATCTGGCACTGATTGGCAAGCTTTGTTCGGAGCTGGATCACCTCATCGCTTTCCGGAGCTCGACTTCGACGGTGTGAATGAATGGCTGTATCCCACTTGAATCCGAGAAAAAGCAATATTTGTTTACCTTGTGTGGTGAATGCCTGGGGTCTGAGGAGGTTACCTGAGATAGAAGTAGTCTCTCAGAAATCTCACTTCATAGCACTAACTCACAACTCACTGTTTCTCATTCGAAAAGGGGTTAATCACTCTTCGCATTCAGGCGATTGTAAAGATATGCAAGCTGATGCCGAAAGGAACGGAGGTATAGCATTCAACAGCGCAAGGTAGGCAGCTGACTCAAAATCAAGTCGTGTCTGAGTCCAGGTTGCCTGGAGAGGAACTCCCTCATACCTGATTACAATAAGGCTTCGTGTAAACCAGGGGGCATCTTGGACCCGCAGAGTTTCTAGAGCGGCGTGGGTGATTTGAGGCACTAACCATACTAAGACCATTCTTCTAACCATATCGGGTAAGCCCGTGGAAACGCGTTTCTCCAATATGAAAGTTGATTAAATCTACAAGGCGTCTGTTTATTTGGCCTGCAGTGTGTCTGAGGTGGGAACATTTGAAACCCACGGTTGTTTATTTGCGCCCGCCGACTTCGACAATATCTCAACTCTCCAAACGATCGTCAATCGCGCATTGTCGCACCCAAAGAAAAACCACTACTGTTGCTCGTTTGCGCCTCACCTCCACCACTCAAATTGCGTTTGAATTGCTTCTATTGGGTCGGTAGGCTGAGCGCCAACAGGAGGCATGGAAATCCACTCGGTGCTTCCAGAAGAGCGAGCGCGGGATCAAAAAGGTGATGCTCTGCCATGGGGCTACCGCTATCCAGAGTAAGTTCGACTTTTCGCCATGGATTCTACAAATCTTCATTCAGAGGACGATGATTCTGATTCCTCTAGTTCAGCACGAAGTGCTCGACAACCTGAAGAGTCTGGACCTTTTGGTCGGAATCGGAGCACCAGAGCTACCGGCTCACGAGCATCAAGAACACGAACAGGAACCACACCGGTGCGACAGAAAGAGAGCTCAGCAGTGTCGGATTTTGGGAAACTATTTGCAAAGGAGCAAGAGCGAGAAGCCGAGCGGACTAAGAGTACACTCAACACCCCTTCCGCCGACACCATAGAACCCGAACTTGTCCCTACCGAATGTCTCCTGTATGGCTATGCAGGCAAAACCTCCGAATGGAAAGTCCTCTCCAAATTCGAAAAGATTGTGTCGCCCGGCGTCATATGCGAAGACTATTCCCGCGAAGACCCAAACCTCTTTCTCTCCTCCAACTCCCCTTTGGCATTCTCCCGATCATCGATCGTTGTGCGGAACAATCTGAGTCGCGAAGCGATAAAGAAGAGTAGGGTGTACATGGGAGGCCAGCACTGGATCAAGGTCACGTTTGACTCGTACCAAGCGGCTGAGCGAGCAATACACTATAGTCCAGTTGAGATTGATGGATATCTTGTTCATTGTGAGATGTGGAGTGGGAGAGGACCAGTTGCAGATGCTGCGATGCCTGTAGGACCAGAAGGTCAAGACAGCGCAAGCCTGATCAGACCCGATACCAGTCGAAAGGCTCGAACACTGAGTGCCAGCCGATCCGCAAACATGCACGCGGGCTCCCAGTCTGCACTGGCAGGTTTCGAACGTGCCTATCAGACTCTTCCCAAATCACAAACGTTACCGGACCTTCAATTTCGGCAACCTGGATCATTTGACGACCTTTCTACAACCTCGACCACAGCATCTTCAGCAACAGCCACAGCTTTCTCACCCCCCCCACAATCACCAACAGGCAGTTCCAACTTACGGTCCCGTTCGGTGCCCTCACTCCCAGCCCGGAAAGTTGAAGACCTAACCCAGTCGGAGTACATGACGCACATCAAAGTGAAGAAAGCAGTTCTACGGCCGATATCAGAAGCCTTGCCACCACAACCGTCATTTGGCGAACGGGTCCTTAGGAGCATCCCGATTGTCTCATGGTTTGTGGGTGCAAATAAAGGTACGGCAGGGAATGCTGGAATCATCGGCGAAGGACCTCTGCTCAAGGAGGATGGCTCTTGGGATCCAGCCAATGGTTGGTATTGGTCCTTCTGGCATAATGTGGATTACTTCCTCAAGACGGACTTTTGCGGGTTGAAGGACGGTTGAGAAGGAGAGACAGACGTCATTGAATTGCAGAGAGACACCTAGAAAACTGTTGTGTAGGGTTTCTTTTGCACAATGCAAACCGTACAATTCCAGAATTGGGAAGTTTATGATTTCATCCAAATGCTTCTCGAATGTGAATCTTTTGGTTTGGCTGAGAAAGAACAGAGAAAGATGCTTTTTCCTGACCCACGTATTCTTCCCATATGGATTTGTGTTTTATGATGATACCACTTTACACGACTACCTTGCCATCGCATACATACAGGGCAAGGCAAAGATGGAGAAAGTGTGGAAAAAAAGAAAACATGAATGAAGTTGGGCCCGTGGACTAGAACTAGGACTTCCTAACATCCAAATGTATTCTTTCTCTGCCCCCGGGGGTCTCAAGAGTGGAACTGATTTGCGGGAAGGCAAGGTTTGGGGGGGGGGTTTTTTCAAAAGCTTTTTGGTTTACTCGACCTTGCCCTCGAAGTTCTCGCCCTCGACCAGATCGGGGATCTCGTCGTCGTCGTCATCTCCGTCCTTCTTGTCCCCGCCCTCCTTCTTCTGTAGGCTCTGGTACGACTCGGCGAGGCGGCGCAGCGAAGCGAGTGAATCCGGGCCGAGTTGGTTCAGAATGCCGGGCACCAGCTCCGTCAACTCCTTGTCTTCGCCGTTGCCGTAGATCGCGAAGGTGTTGGAGGGAACGGCGGCGTGCACTATTGTTGGGGAGAAATCTCCGTGTCAGCTCTATATCACTCGGTTCAAATTCTCTGTATGGTGTATCATCTGATATGTCCTTTTGTTCCCCATCATCTGGGATTTCTCGTGCTCTTCCACGGGGAATAGAAAGGAAAGAAAGGAATCTTACCCTTGGGTGCGGCGAAATGGATGACGTTTCCGTCCTCCTTGAACATGTTGACCTCCTCGATGGCCTGGATGGGCTGGACATTCAGCTTCTTCAGTGACGTCTGCAGCTTCTTGTCGTCTGTGCCGGCAGATTTGTGGACCTTCTTGGTTTTTCTTCGGGGTGTGCCTTTGCCTCTGTTTTGATTCGGGGTAGTCTATTAGTCACTGCTCCGATTCGCGCTCGATGGCCAGAAGCAAAGCCAGGGTATCATATCGTAGACTCGCTTTTTGGGGGGTCCGACAATGGAAGGATGCGAATTTGTACATACCCTGCATGGCACACGATCGTTAGTTCCGTTTTCTCTCACTCTCCGCACAAATCAACCTTCAAATCCAACCGAGACGGGAACCTACCGATTCTAACCTGCGCCTGCATGCGCTTTAACTTCTCTTGATCCATGATGGCGGGGAAACAACGTTCAGAGCTCCACCGGGGTGAAGAAGGCTGAAGGACGATTGAATGTCGGGGACTGGAAGAAGCTGGGTCGTGGACTGTTGTTGGGGTTGTCAGCTAGGATACTCCGCTGCACGATGTGACGAATCGATGAATGAAGAGATTGGGGGTTCGGTGACAGTCAACACTCACTTGTTCCTCCGTCCTTGCTTTGCGGCGTTGATGATGGAACGTTCAAACTGTTCAATGGCTCAGACTGGCGGAGTAGAAGTTCGCCAGTGGTGATTGTGCTATATAAGTCTTGGCAAGGTTTTGAGTGCCGAGCCTCCGATTTGAGGGATCTTGGAAGATGACTAGTAGTCTTAGTGGCTTACTACGAGCTCAGCTTTCACCCAGGAGGCTCATATAGTAGCAAGCTAGCTTCTCTAGCTGCTGGCTACAAGAATCATTTACATAATCACGGCCATCTCGACAACCTCGGCGGGGTTGTTGGCCTTTCCCCTGGTTTCAAGCCCGGCCTGCTCCAAATATCGCTGCCCGCAATTGCGACTTATTTTCCAGACATCCATGTTGAATCAATTACACCCTGCATTTTTTTGGTCTATAGTCGGGTTTGCGTTTCTTGCACTGTTTTCCTGGTATTCGACTCAAAATCCGACCATCACCATGGCTAACAAAGCTGCTCTCGTCGTTCCGGCGATCAAGAAGCACACGGCAACGGTCATCATGGCGCATGGCTTGGGTGATAGGTAAACATTGTGAAATCAGCATCTGAATACTGCATATTGACTGGTTCGATCACTATAGCGGTGCTGGCTGGTAGGTGCCTGTAATTTCCTCGTCTCTATCCTTGAGAAGGAGGTGAGAACTGATCCATCATCCCTTCGAATAGGGTATCCCTCGCCGAGTCCTGGCGCAGGAGAGGGAAGTTCGAAGATGTGAAATTCATTTTTCCAAATGCACCCAATATCCCTATCACAGTGGTACGCATAATCTCTATGTATATGATGATTGGGGTCTCTAACGATCTCATAGAACATGGGCATGCACATGCCAGGATGGTACGATATCGTAAGACGCCGCGACGAAGTTTGCAGACCCGACCCTCGCGTTCACCCCTCGGTCTTGCAGGCCCCTCCTAAACTCGTTCATTAACACCTTCTACCGCTGACAGACAAACTTTGACGATCTAAAACAAGCACACGACGAAGTGGGCATCCTGCGCAGTCGAGGCGTCTTCACCAAGTTCATTACGGACGAAGTCGCCGCAGGCATCCCTTCGAACCGCATTATCCTCGGTGGCTTCTCGCAAGGCGGCGCGATTTCACTCTTCACCGGCCTCACCACACCCCACAAACTCGGCGGCGTGTTCGGTCTGAGTTGTTACCTGGTTCTCGGGGACAAGATCAAGGACTTTGTCAAAGAAGCCTCGGAGGCTAACAAGGACACACCCTTTTTCATGGCACACGGTGACGTTGATCAGGTGGTCAAGTTTGCTTGGGGTCAACAGACGTCGGAGGTTTTACAGAAGGAGCTGGGTCACAAGGTCGACTTCAAAGTGTACAGGTATGTGGACAATGCATAGTTTCAGAACGTCCTTTCTGATACACGGGCTGACGCAACGGACTAGGGGCCTTGGCCACTCTGCGGACATGAAGGAGATTGATGATTTGGAGAAATTCATCAAGGATTGTTTACCTGCCAGTGAAGCCTTGTGAATAGAACATTAGAACGATTATAGACAGCGCACGTGGTAAATTAAATGGAGACAGTTTGGGAAGTGTAAATCTTTTATATTCCTGCAGGCTTGCTATGCTCTAAGCACTTGTCAAACCCATATACAAATTTAGGCAGCGCCCTGAGCTCTCTGGCCGGTGTAAAAGGCCAGACCATAGGAGTCGGTCGTAAAAGTGATGACGCTACCCTTGGGAAAGTAGAAAACATCTCCGGCAGTGGCCTAGCAAGTGATATCAGTGGCCACCTTCAACCATAGACGCGGTGTGATTTTCGCAGAAGGAAAGAAAGAGCACGTGAGAGTGGACCTACATGGACTTTCTGGCCCGACTCGTCGCTGATATCGAATTCACCCTCGACGATGATCTTGGTCTCGTGGTAGGTATAGGTGTAGACAAGCGGGGTGCCCTTCTCGAGTCTGTAGAAACCACAGCTGATGGGCTTTTCGCTATCGGTGCTGCTGACGACATCGCCTAGATATGCGTTCTCGTTGGCGATCAGAGGGGGCTTGAACTCTTTTTGAGCTTTCGCGAAATGCTTGAATTGGAGAGCCATTGTATAAGATTTGGTTTATTGATTGTCTGGTTAGGGGATCTCGCGTTAGTCATGTGGTGCTGATCAGGCTGAAGGGTGGAAAGCGGTGTCAGTGCATCTATTCGTGAGGCTGACATACCGATGCTGTTGCGGTTGAGTAAATGTGCTGATCGTGGTTGTCTAAGGCACGGCTTCGAAGCAAAGGTAGTCAAGAAGGATAGAGTAGAAGAAGGAAAGAGACAGTAAACTGAGGAGCCGCACGACCCAAGGCACGTCAAGTTATACTTATTGAGGTTTATCTCCCCTCCACCTACCGAGAGTTAAGCGATTCAGCATCGCAGGTGTTGCCCGGCCGCCGTGGGTAAGCTTGCATGTGGCAGAGACCAGAGCAGACGAGACGAGACGCGATCTACGCGTGTTCGTGCCGCTGATTAGGTGCTGATTGGATTGCCGCTGCTGGTATCAAAGGAGATAACCAGACAATCTGGAAAGCAGACTGGACCATTCTTGAACAACAGCAAGTGACCACGGTAACGTTCAGCTATCCGTTCCGAGCAATCACTTCTGGTAGAGAGGGCAACAAATTCCAGATCGGGGAAAGGGTGAAGTTGTGAGGTATTGGTATTCGAGGGACTATTTGATTAGAGGGAAGGGCACCGCGAGGTGTCAGTAAGCATGAATCTTGGAGTAGAGATAAGAGAATGGCATGTCCAGGCTGGTGGTTCTCCACGAATTTTATTTGAGGCTGAATTACTGATGGGTTAAGTAAGCACTTCGTTGGATGATTGTACCATGTCCAGCATGTAATCAAGAATGATTGGAGACTCCTCTCTTGCTGCTTGTGATATCTGGGCTGGTCGATACCCAAGCATTGAGTTGTAGCACTGATACCGTTCTCGTAGTCCATGAGGGGGAGGGGTAGATACATAGAAAATAGAGGTGCCCAAACCTCAGTCGTTGCAGCCCCTCACAAGCTTGAATGACTGAGGGAAAAGTTGGAGGTCTGATGAACCAATCGGAATATGCAAGGCTCCCGTGACGTTTTCGTTGTTTGTTCGGGAAGGAGCCTCCCTCGGTTCTCGAGTACCCCGGAGGCATCTATCCTTCTCTCTACAAGATACTGGGTACCTTGTATCTTCCTCTCTATCACCTTGACCCCCACTATATTACTCAATCATTTACCTAAGCTCTGCTATTGCCGAAATTTCTACGACGCAGAGGCATGTACGAGTACTCACAACTCACAGAATCGAATATGAGCATGGATAAGCCCCTCACAACATGTGAACTAAACCTAATTGAGAAATCCTATCCCGTCTCATCATTGTCCCATCACGTCTTCACCACCATGCTCCCTCGAGACGATGAGGATGTTGAGAGCCCGCTTTCTCTACCCTTTTCGGGCAGGTTGCTAGAGTCACTTCCAACCACCTCGGTGCTGATTTGTAGACAGTCGCGCCTTCCTGTCTGCCAGCGCCTCCCACTGGTTCTTGCCCTTGTTGTCATCACACGTGCCCAGACTCGGTGTCTCTCTCTCTCTCTCTTTACGAGTTCTCGAGTATCCGTAAGGCGACCCGCTCACGGGAGAAGACTGCATTTAAATGCAAACAATTCCCTTCTCCTACTCCATTGTCGTGCACGGAACCTTGAACCATCATGGAACCCCACACTTTTCGAGGGATTTGCCATTAACTGTTACTCTACCTATTCCTGTCTCTCCTCCAATGAAGGATGACTTCTCATTGCACCTTGCCTCGCTACTGCCCATGTATCTCTCCATCGCTCCTTCCGTACATGCACCTATGACGTCGTTGGTGATTGTCACCACCAATGACCTGCCCTTCAGCCCTCGAGTCCAGTCTCCACTCTCACAACCCCCGCCATTGGGTTGACCATTGTTTGTCTCCCTCGGCCCTTCCATTTCTAGAACTTCTTCCTGCTCAGCCACTGCACCTGCCTGGCAGACTGGCACTCACCAAAATCCTGCAGTGCTTCTGAACTGTTATCGCTTGAGTGACCCAAACAGCTAACCCACGATCCGACAGAGTATGTCCATGCGTGGATCCAAATCTGATGGCAATTGTGTGCTTGAATTGCTCAACTGCTCATCTTTACTCGTGATCAATGCATGCAACCTCACTCAAGAGAGTGTAGCTCCCTGCTCTGGTAAGTGGACTAAATGGTCAAGGATCAAGTCAGGCTGTATTTCCGTGCCTATTAACTCTGTCGGTTTTCCAGCTGAGGAGGCAAAACAAAAACGCCTAAGTTGAAAAGAATCTAGCTCAGCCCACCCGTATGTCTTGTCGTCCCCAACTAACCAACCGGTGCCCCCTCCGTCCCTCTTCACCGAACAAAAACTCTCTTGTTCCATCATCCATGTCTGCCATCCTTTTACAACCACAGCACTTACAGCATCAAAACCCATCCTCCTTCTCCATCATGAGAGCCGTGTCTGCCGCCATCTCCGCTTCTCTCATCAAGTGTCCCGCCTGAGCAACCCCAGAAAGCAAGGGTTTCATAATATCTTTACTCAATTTACACAATCGGACCCTCCCGGTGAGAAGGAAGCCTGCAAGAGATTGAGGGAAAAGAGGGTTGAAAATTTTTCCTCTCATGACACCATCGGTTTTCTGAGAAACCCTAACTTTTCCATCTCACTCGCAATACCATCTTTCACTCTCACAATCTCCCTCTCTTGGTCTTGTATTCCCCGAGTCTGTGGTCCGACACTTAAAACACACACCACTTTTGATCATATTTCCGTCTTGGACTTCGGTCTCCGCTTTAATATTGATTTGTACTCCCGTACTCAACTTCGCTGGTTGATCCAGGGAAGTTCCCACAAGCACCACATCATCGCCATCATCAACACTCAAACCGAAAGCACCAAGAGAGAAATCTCCACCAAAAGCACCACATCGTCCTGGATCCAGCTTCAATTCTCCGACCTTCTTCCGCACGCGACCAAAGAAGCTCTCCAGACCTCGACTCTTCTGCTTTGATGCTCGCCGTGTGGATTCGTTGAGAGACAGAATCATTCTAGAAGACTTCCCCAGGCGGCAAATTTATTCACAGTCTTCTTCGCTCGCCTCTCTTCACCCTCAACAACTCTTGTCGACCCTCTCTCTTCGCTCTCTTTAATCTTTCCCCTTTTCACCCTTGTTAGTATCTCATAACATATCTACATTTATTTTTACCGGATCAAGCGAAAAGAAAACAAGACGACGAACGGTATTGCCATCGAAAGGGAAAGAACCGAACCGGGAGAGAAACACCGTTACTCTCTCATACGTTCCGCTTCCCCTAGATCGATCCGCTCGCTCTGTTCCCCGAGTCTTCTCGTTCCTCTTTTCACAAAGGACAAGAAGAACCGACGGAATCGATCAAATCAAAGCAAATCAAATCAGACAACCTCACCCATCTCGTCGCGTCTGACAAGATAGAGTGAGAGAGCGAGAAGAAAAAAAAGTCTGTCCCATCAATCGATAGATAGATCATTACCTTCCGGGACTGAGTATTCTTGACCGCTTGTCATTGATTGTAAAGAAGAGAAATTCCCCTTGCTACCACAGGTATCAAAGGCTCTCTTTTTTTGAAAATCCCGAAGAAAGTCCTCCTTGGAGAGAAAAGAATCCAGAAAAGACCCTCTCATCATCTCTTTTATCGGGTGATTCTGCTGACTCCAAACATTTTTCTCACTCATCATCGACAACCGTTGAATGGAATTCACTACCTAAAACACACAAATACGTCTCTGTATTGTATTGTTTTTTTCGCCACCCACAGCGACAAAAAAGATACCTAGGTACCATACCAGAACAGACTCTCTCTGCTGTCTGGTCCTTGCAACAAAAGAAGACGGCAGTAACTCTTTTCGTCGTACAGTACAATCATTATACCACCCAACGCCGTTACGCCTTGCTTGTATCATCGTATCGGGCGAAAAGGTCCCCCAGTGATCTCTAAGGTATTCAATCCATCCTCACATAGTCATCAATCATCATCAGACACCATCATCGCCATACCATACACCAACTCCTACGCGACAAGAACTCCCTGGAACTTCTAAAGGTACCTGGACAGTGTGAACCCTTTGCGACCATAATCATCACCATCACATCGTCATCATGACTCTCACCAACAACGAGCCCCTGCAACCCATGACCAACCACCGGAGTCATAAGACCTCGGCACCTGGATCTGGCAGTAAACAACCGACCGCGATGGTGATGTCTTACAAGCCTATGTCGAGATTGCCCTTGAGCGCTGAACTGGAAGAGTACACCAAAAGTATGCAGACATACTTGGCCAGCGTGGAGAATCGACCCAGCAGTGACCATCGACGCCCTAGCGACAGCAGCGAGGATTCCGAACCGGATCATTCATCAACTGAATTTCGCTGGATGGACCTCGGTACCCTTCAACGCAAATACTCCAACCAGAGTGTGAGCGCCGAAGGATCACACCGAGCAAAGTCTATGCATCACTCGCAACATTCACATTCCTCCTCGTCGCCGTCATCGATTGTCAAGCCTAGCCATCGCAACAATGGTGCCCGCCAACATCTTACTTTTGATAGTCGGCATCAACGTCAAAACCCGCATAAGATGCAACATCTTGAGAATCGTCCCGCTTCCCCAAGCAGAATATCGTCTTCGTCGATGCCCATCCGGAATTTTCAGCACTCTCCCTTGCAGCAACGAGTGCGTGTAAAGGTATCAACCGAGAAAAACTGAAGATCCAAAGCGGCATTAGCAAGCAGACTCTTTTTCCGGAATCAACGACGCCCATTGCAGTGACAGCAAAACCACGGGTCTTTCCGGGAACCAAACGCGACAGACATGTTCTGGAGATACTGGACGGGAAAATGGAACTGGAACTGGAACACCCCAGCAACGAGGAAAAGTTGAGATCAATAACAAGCAAAAGAATCAACATACCTTCCCAGTGCCAATCCGCCATAACGCCAAGCCAATGCAACTTTCCACGCACAGTGTATTCGGGCTCAAGTTGATCATTGAGGATGTCACCAGTATGGCGACGAGCAAGCGGCGGCATCGATGTTGGCATTGAGCCTGCAATGTCACCATGGCCAAAGATATCCAGATCGTCCATCGACCTACTACTGTGGGCCGTGTTAAAGGTCATACGTCGTTTGGCCGGCTGACCCGCATTACCACGAGAATCATCAAAGAATTCCGGTGGTGAAATGTTGTCATCTTCCTCCTGGCTCATGTCGTCCATCTCGCGCGAAAACCTGACTCCCTGTACCTTCCTCTTGGATCCAGCAGGGTTTCTCAGGATGGGAGGCACAAAATTTCCACCAGGAACACCCCTCGAGTTGTATCTCCTCAGGATTCGATTTGCCTTCTCTGCTTCGAACGCATCTCTCCGACTCCAAACTTCTTGGACTACATTCCAACCAGATGTCACATTGCCAATTTTCAGTCTGCTCATCATCGAGTCCCAACGGGTCATGACCCAATTTCGATCATCTGGATTGGTTATTTCACAACTGGCTGCAAATAATGGAAAGATTTGCACAATGGTTGTTCGAGAACTGAGAGGCACACTTGCCAGCAGGACCAACACCTTCTTGGCAAGTGTTGATGGTGGATCACTTGGGATTTCGGGAACAGCTTGGTGAAGGTACAGCAGCATAGCGTACCGATATGCGTCTGCTGTCTGACACGAATGCTGAACCTCGGACGAAGGATCCTCTGGTCTCTCGAAAGACCGGGTGTTGGGCACTTGCCACCGTTGAAGTTGTTCTTTGAGCTCCATTGCTTGACTGACAACGTTCAGGCTGTTGGTCTCCATCTTGCGTACGCGTTGGATGAGATTCGCCACTCTGCCAATCAAAGGGAACAAGGTCGTGGCACATCCCATCAACGGGTCGACCTCAGCTTGTTCCCCAAGTGGGGTGTTGACCGTTCCCAAGATCTCCTCGAAATTCAGCTCCACGCTTTCCTCAAGACTGGTCAGGCGAGCAATCACGTCCATGTACACGAAGGTGTTGCAGAGGAACTTGAGCCTTGCTGCATCTTGCGTGGTCATCTGACCCGTCTGCATATCATGTCGATGTTTGACAACGGCATTGTTCACCATGATTTTTGCTCCACGTAGATGTTGTACTCCAGTGGACACATGAGAGTCCCAACCCTCGGAAAAGGCAAGGGCCAATGAGGTGGCTAGGGCAGAGTCGAGGCGCATGTTTTGAATTTCGACTGCCAGTCGTTTGATGGATTTGGTCATATGAGCCATGCCCAGAAGCTGAAGGTTAGGGACATCTACGGCACCATGAAAGGCAGTCATGGAACTGATGGCATGGTATAATGCCTGGGATTCACGAGCAAGAGGCCATATGAGAGTTCGCCATGGATTCTCGGTTGGACCATCCTTGACTGAAAGTATGCCACAAGTGTTCTTGTCAAACCGCAGCATGAGCATCTCGGGAGAAGACGCATCCAGTGTGGGCTGAGCAAGCATGGTCAGATTGCTAGACCGCGATGAGGTCGATGATGCATCACTTGGTGTTGGGCTCGAAGGTCGAAGATGCCAGGCGGGATTGTTGGATTCGAGAGATGGACCATCGTTGGGAATCAACCTGGAAGAGTGGGGAAATGCCTCGGTTCGCATGATCTCTTCATCGAAATCATCACCTGCATCGACTTGGTTCATGTCCATGTCAAATGTGGTTGGTTGGTAGGGCAAAGGAGACATTGGGGGACGCATCTCAGATGGATCCGGCGGTTGATTCAAGTCGGTACCGGGTAGCAGCAGGTCTAGCAACTGTGGAGATCCAGAGCTGAAAGGCCGATCACTATTGCTTTCGCTGGCTGACTCGGTGGGAAACAGGCTGAATGGATTGACAGTGCCATCGAAGGACAATGTCGGAGAGTTGTCATTGGTGTGAAAGGCAGGGATAAAGTCATCGTCGGGTGGAAGATCAAGGTGGGGCGAGGGTTGGGTTTGATCTCGGAAACGGACCCGGGGATCAGGGCTTGTGGAGGAGGCGGAAGCGGTTGAAGGACCTTGAAAGGCTTGAGCAGCGCTGGCGAAGGCAGAATGCAGGCCGGGGGACCACGAATTGGGTGGATGGGCACCAGAGAGGTTGGAACCATGTTGAGGGTTAGAGGTGGGTGCAGCATCAACAATGTTGAGAGGCTGAGAGGAAATATTATCGGTAGAGAAAGAATTGGAGCGAACGGGCTTTTTCTTGACAGCAGCAGGTTTAGGATTGAAAGTTGTTTCCTCGAAGCTCCTCCACTTGTAGTCTTTCTTGTAACCTTCGCAAGTCACACTCCTTTTCTGGCATTGGACGCAGGACGGTTTGGTCTCGTCGCATTTTAAACGCTTCTTCTTGCATGTCATACAACCTGTAAAGAGAGAATGTCAGCCATGGGCGCAGGGAGGGATTTTGGGTGGGATAAGGGTATCAAAGCGTACCATTTCGACTCTTGCTTTGTTTCGGTTTTGTCACGGCACCATCTTGAACTTTGGTGGCAGGTTTTGTGGTGGGAGCGGACTTTGCCTTGGGGGCAGTGGGTCTTTTGGGAGGAACGACGACTGTTTGGGCATGGGAGGAAGGAGGAGACTTCTTCAAAAAGACGGAGGGTGAGGGAATATGGACCTCCATACGAGGTTGAGAAGGTCGAGGTATGTCTAGAGAAGTTGCGATCCCAGAAGTTGAAGATGGAAGTCAGAGAACTGGCGTGGTGGTGGGGTAGGGCGACTGGAGTGGAAACGAAGCGTGGTTCAAGTTTGATAGGGACTGATAGAGCGATAGTTGCCAACGCCAGAGGGTTGAAGCGTGTACGTTAGGAGAGATGACAAACAAGGTGAAAACGGGACAGGGCAATGAGGAACTGAAGGAAAAAGAAGCAGCGTAGCGAGGGTGAATGAAGAAAATTACAGTGACGGGAAGAGTGCGGTCTGAACGAAAAGGTGGGTGGCAAAGTTAGATAGGACGATAGGATAGTGAAATAGTGGTGAAGATTGGGGGTGGCAGTGGGTAAGAAATTATGCAGGGACAGGGACAGGGACGATGGGAGGATTAGGATGAGATTGAAGACACGAAGCAGAAGCAGAAGCAGCAGCAGCAGCAGCAGCAGCAGCGACGAGAACAGCAATGACTACTCCTTGGTAACTAGCAATTATTGAAATGTGATGGAAATGGAAATGGAGAGGGATTGAGTTGTGTTGGTTGCAACCCCGGGCTTGCAAAGTTGAGCCAAAGGCCGACAAGCCAATTGTCATGGCAGGTCGATCCGAATTTGGGAGAACAAGACAAGAAAATGAGGGGAGAAGCGATGACATGATTCAGACTTTGAGGCTTGAAGCATCGGAATCCACGGGGACGGACAGTGACTGCCAGTGCCAGCATCCATGATTATTGCTTCACTTTCATCTCAAGAGCCCTGGAGTCCTCGGGACGAGTGTCCTTGTCCACCGTATCATTCGCTTCAGTGCTTGCCCGTTATCTATCAGGACTGACACTTGTGGGAACTGGGCCGTCCAATGAACTTCTTATTAGGGGCTTGGGGACCCGGCAAGCCTATAAGCTAGGCGCCATTGGGGGGTGCACAAGGCAAATGGAAGGAAAATCGAAGGATGGAATCTGGGGCTTCTCGGAACTCCCTTCCTTTCCCCTCCTCGCTCCTATTCCTGTTGGGTCTGCTGACGACAGATAACAGACTCAGCAGTAAATCCACGCCCAATCCCAGTCCCAGTAATAATAACCAGAAGCAAAAACAAAGGACCGTCTAGTGAGCCTCCACGGCTTCAATACCACAACGAGTATTCTGCCCGTCCATTTCGACTGCAGAAATGCATACACCCGTTGGCATCTCAGGCACCTTTTGAATTTCCATTACCTCAACTACCAATATAGTCCGTCCTCAGGATCATTACTCACTAAACTATATATACGAAATCTTCCGTCGACGTGGCATCTTGCCTGGCTACACAAGGTGAGCGAGTACCGGTGAGGTTAGAGACGACCTCCACTTTGCTTATCATGAGTCTCCCCCACCAGCCTTCCAGCACCCGTACTACCCATAAGTCACTGCTTGAATCCCCAAGGTCTCGCTTTTCTAGCGCCATGTGGAGCTACCTCATGAACCACCAGTAACCAGCATACGGAAGTCCCACGTCCAAACGAACGACGAACATCGTCTTCATCACCATCCATCATAGTCAAGTTTCAAGACACTGATGATTGCAATGGCTTCAAGCCAGACGGATCCTCGCTGGTCCAGCAGACAAACACAAGCGGACCCGACATGGCCTTCCCGCACAAACACAAACACAGGGTTGTAACTTGCCGCCGTCTGTCTGCCACGGCCACTTGGTGACCGGCCCTGAGATCAGCTTTTTGACATTTTGACATCAAATTCTCATCCAAAAATCCTCATTCTAACCACGTTTGCCCCTTCACGCTCTTGAGCCTCACACCAAGCACTGGTACTGTCTCAACCTCCCGTGCCCATGGGCAACTGTAATTCCAAATCTCATTTCCATCTCAGCTACGTGTTGCAGGTCACCGTACACATGGGTTGTGGATACTGTGGTTTCCACCTGAATCATGTTCCATGACTGACCGAAACGATTCTCGTCTTTTTCTTTCAAGTCACACGAGATCCCCAAACAGGGCAGGCAGAGAGCCGCCCACCACGGAAGCACGTCAATGAACTTGCAAGTTTCAAGGTGATGAACTCATTCCCCAAGTTGATTCATTCCAAATTTGTCCTTATTGAGATGGTGAACCCTGCGTTCTCTGCGTACTGTGTTGAAGGAGTATGTTCTGATGCGATCATTCAAGCACGGTGGTGAAATGTGTTGATCATGTTGATTCTGCTTCCCACAGCCCACGCCACGCCACGCCACGCGGTACAGCCCATCGTGCAGATGCAGCGAACCATCTTCTATGCAGCTGCCCTTCGTGCACTGTCACATTGCCCTAGGCACGGTGACACAATAGATGGGATATCTCGGTCCGGAGCCATCGACATAAACAATAAACACGTATGAACACCTTCCAAGTGACACACAGCAAACGCCACTCTTCACTGGCCCTAATCGCCGAGACCCTATCTGCATACCGAGTGTGGACGATGGAAGACTTGAGCCGATCGTCAGGGTGACGAGAAATCAAGACTTCCTTCCACCACTGTGGCTCGAACGACACCCCCAACACGACGAACCGACGTCCCCTGTCCAAACGTCTACGTGAGAGGTCCAACCTCGCCCAGGTGCCATGTATCGCCCTGATTACGGGTAGCAGCACGGGAGATCATTCTCCTGCTTTATTTAGTAGTACCTCGAACACGTGGAGGCCCGATAGTCACTTCCCATTGATGTGGACTAGGGGCACGGCACCTCGAATATAGCATCTGAATGGTATCATAGCATTTGGTGATCATCTCTCCATACACCATAGTCCTCCGAGACCATCGACAATATGCCCAGGTAGCTGGGAAAAAAAACAAGCATGAATTTTTCTCTCTAAAAAGGTTTCGTCCTCTCATTTCATCTATCCTCACGTTCCAGCCATTGCCAATCATGCATCCATGCATCAATCATGATGGCATCACTCATCGGCAAAAACCTCACTGAGGTCCACTTTGCCCACGCTCCACAACTCGCGCTCATCCTCCTGTTCATCCGAACTCAGTCCCAAGCCTCCCTGTCCACCCTCCGCCTCTCTCCTCTCTCGTGCCTGCGCCCCCAGCCGCAGAGCAACCCGCTTGAAATAGTCGTTCATCGGCCGTTGTTGCCCGGCCGGCAGTCCTTTGCCGGGGCCTGCCATGTACTGGTCGTAGATGGCTGATTCCTCGTCCATGACGCCAAAGAGTTCCAGGAATGCTGCTTCGGCGGCCAGTTTGACGGGGATGACTGGGTCACGGACGGACGAGAAGACTGGTGGGATCAAGAATGATAGGAACTCCCGCACTTCGTCCCCGTGATGTCGTGCCACGGTCCGTATTACCACTAGTGCTAGACGACGCGAGTCGATATCACCGCCTGGAGCGACAACTGAGGATAATGCTTCGAATAACGGTTGCACTGCCTCGGTATTGGAGACTATTGTGTCCGCCAACAGGAATTTACCTGCACCCAGCACCGAGTTTTGTTGGACGAAGATGTTTCTTCCCGAAATCCCGGCAATAATTACTTCTTGCGTTTCCTGAGAGTAACCATCAACAAGTGTCGATGGGCTCTCCAAAAGGACAGAGTTAAGGGCAAGAACTGAAGCACTGGAAGCTGGTAGGGCGAGAACTCGACTTTTGATCAACGGTGCTGCCTTGTCTGCCGGAAGCACTTTGATCATGGCTCCAAGAAGGCGTGCAATTGTCACCGTCATAGTGTCACCAGGCGCATCCGACTGGACGTCCATAAGCCCAAGGATAGAATCCCTTGATGCATCACTCATGCTAGCCCCAACCTTGCTGACTACTTCTTGCAATGCTTTAAGCATTGCGTTACGTACACCTGGATCGGTCGTCTTGGACCCGGTGACTAATTCGGCAATGAGCGGATCAACCCTTGGTGTCAAAGTAATCAAGGTGCTCAATGCCTTTGTGGCACGAGTTCGTAAAAGATCACTGCTTGGATCTGCGATGGATTTGGTGAATGTTCTCTGCAGCTGTGGTAAGAATGGTCTGAGGAAGGTGGGTATCTTTTCGAGCAATTGATTGAGTGTCGCCAGAATAGCACATTTGACGTCCATGGAGCGTTCGCCAACAACTCGAATCAGCGGACCAGTAATCTGCGTGACGAATGGTTTCAAGGCATCAGGGCCACTTCGATCAATAATATCGGAAATTCCCATGGCTGCTTGTACACGTTGTTCAGAGGTGCCATTCATTAGTCCTTGAAGGAAAATCTGGAGCACAGGTAGAATGCCCTTTGGAAGCGTAAAGCCGGGGAGTATTGAGCCTTCAGTGCCCGCTTGTTGCAAGACTTGGCGAGTAGAATTGACCAGAGCCTCCATCTCCTCTTTCCGAAGGTGGCTTTGTAGCTGGCTCAATGCAGACCAGGCAGCCTGAACCACATCTCGATCTCGATCTCCAAAAGAAATAAGCAATGCACGAATGAGATCTTGGTTGTAGCGCGAATAATCCACAGACGATGTCGCAAAGAACTTGGCAAGATGATTCGCGGCCACCGCTCGTCTTCGGTGGTCGTCGTGCTTGATCATTGCGAGCATCACACTCATGGCAGTGTTCAGGCCGTCAAACTCATCAACCGATGAAAGAACTGCCTCAAAGGCTTGGTCCAAATCGTCCAGAAGTTCTTCGTCTTTACATTTGACGATGTTGTCAGCCAGGCTGTTAAGTATTGACGGCAGTCGTCGAGTCATGCTAGAGCTACCAACCTTGGCCAATGAGGCTAGTGCTCGAGCATTGAAAGCTGTGATAGGGTTGGTGAGTAGGGTAGGAATCAAGTTAGGCAGGATCACGTTTGCTCTTGTTGTTTCGGTAAGCAACGTCAAGAGAGCTGACAGTGCATTCTCTGCATCTGACTCGCTTCGTAGAAGATTGAGAAGATGAGGCAGTACTTGATCGACGGCACGTTTCCCAAAGGTTTGTTGTAGTGAATCAAAAGATTCGGCGGCAGCCTCTCGTACCTCTGGATCGGAGTCTGTCAAGGCTAACCGTACGATCGAAATCAGTTTCTTCTCATGCTCTTCCAAGGATTCTGGCTGTGCTGCATTGACAATCTCGCGTAGGGCAATACAGATTCCCTGTCGTTTGTCTGGGTCGGTCGAGATCTGCAAACCCTCCTCAAGCGAAGGGAGCAGGGAGGCAAATACACCTTCTCCAGCTTTTCGGATGACTTCGCCAAGAGCATTGCCTGCGATAACCTTGTGTTCCATGTTGGAAGATGCAAGACGAGCAATGATCATTTGACTGAGTGTTGGCACCAATTCACGGAGTGTTCTTGGAGTTGCGACTAATGCCTTCCAGACTGCGATAGCAGCAGCTCGAACCATACCGGAAGTATCACAGCGACATATGTATAGGGAAGAAAGAACTTTGTTCCGGCGGTCTTCACCCAAAACTTCAAGGAGTGATTGCCCAGCTTGAGCAGCAGAACCACCTTCCTCTTCTGCCTCTGCTTGGGCGCTGACACCAGTCAGATTGAAAAGTAGATCTCCGACAAGTTCGACAGAGCTGAGACGAATGCGATAACTGTCATCTGCCAATCCTCTCTGCAGTTCTGGCAAGAGCAGATCAATTGCTTTTGTGGCAAAATTCTTGACGAGCAATCGACCTGCACGGAGAGCAGTATCACGTATAGCTTCCATATCATCTGCCAATCCACTAAGAATGGACGGGATGATTTGGGATAGATAATTGGCGAAACCATTTCCAAAGCACGCTGGCAGAAATATGAATAATGTCATGAATCCTTCCCTCACCGTGGCTCTTGGGCTCGCAACGTTCTGCAAAATAGTGGGTAGGGTTTCTTCCAGGCGAGCGGTTCCAAGACCGGCAAGCACTTCACTGAGGGCTTGTGCCGAACCAAGACGGTCTCCAGCACCTGTATCTGTACGAAGTGATGCCATGAGGCTAGGTATGAGGTCAGGAAAGGCGTCTTCACCAAGCTTTTCAACAAGACTACCCAACGCCTTGGAGCCTGTAGCTCGGGTTGCGGGTACAGGATCAACTGACGCAAGCCGTAATCCAGTTACTAGAATAGGCAAGTGTACAACGATGTCCCTCTTTTCTGTCAGATGGGCCAAGCTACCAATGATTTGGGCAGCTTTTCGTTTTGTCGCTGATCGGTCGTTAAGACCTCTTTCCAAGATCCTTACCACCAAAGCAAGTGATGGAGCATCCAGGTAGTGTATGAATGAAACTCTGATGAGGCCATCCAACGCTTCTTCTGTGTATCTCGTCGGATCACTCAGAGCCTTCAGTAGGATATCGACCAGACTCTTGACCTCTGGATTGGTGATGACTTCGCCAAATCTCTTCAGACTACTATTTGCTGCAGCGCGCACTTCCTTGTGACTGTCAGTGAGCACTGAGGTGAGAGGAGGAATTATATCGGGTAGACTGGTGGCAAGTTGTTGGGGATCCAAGTAAGCCATTGCGCCAAGAAGATCACAAGCACCCTTCTTGCTTCGCCATTGTGTTTCATCCAGACCTTCAAGCAGCTGTGGAAGCACACGATTCACGCCGAATGAGCTAAGACTTGCGAAACACGTCTTTGCAGTATCCAGGCAGGCTTCACGAACTGATGCTGTAGGATCTCCAAATAGCCCAAGCAATTGCGGTAATACTTCAATGATATATGGTTCGAACAGCCGGCCAAGGAGCAGAGAAAGTAATTCGTAAGCCATCAATGCTCCCTGTCGCTGTTCAGCACTCTTCTTGTTTTCAGTTGCAGCCCTGAGTGCTGACATGATCCTGAGCTGTCGGATAATTGCTACTCCTTTGCCTTTGACGATACCAGCAAGTCCGTACGCAGCACCACGGCGCTCGGCGTACTTTTTGGACTGCAGAAGCTGCTGTAACAATGACGACACATATATTCCAGCATCAAGATTTTGCGGTCGCACTAATGGAGGAAGACAGTTTGCAACAGCATACTGCACGGACTCTGAGGGTGTGCTTAATGTCTCAAGGAGCTTACTGATCACGCTCTGCGTTCGTTTGTCACCATCCGGAAGGTGCCTTGCGAGTGACCCATAGAGAACGATGACTGCTTCATTGACCCAGTCTGCCTCCTGCGTAGCTTGATCTGGACCCTGTAAAACCTTTTCGAACAACCCCATGAGAGGCTCTAGCTGCTCCTTGCCGCGGCTAGCAACGGTCGCAGTTCCGGCATTGACCATTTCTTCCCGTACTACTGTATGACGATCAGAGAGCGGACCTTCTGAGACCAGAAAGGTCATGAAAGGCATCAAGGATGCTGTACTCAATACCGAAGACAACTCCTTGAAAGCCAAAGCAAGTCCACTTCTCTTTTCCCATCGATCCACTAGATCGGCTTTTTGAACGATTCCAAATTTGTTCCGTTTTGGAACAAGAGGCTGTGCTTCAGTACGATAAGCCTCTTGCAACCGTTCGAGGATTTCATCCGTCTTGGTGTCAACCTGAACAAGTGCTTGAGCAAGGGCCTTGGATGAGGCTATTCTGGTTGACTGGCTTGGGGAAAAGAGAAACTCTGGTATGCTGTCAATCATTTCCTTGGTGACTGTGAACTCATGATCCTGCCAAATTGCCAGGGCCAATTCGGCGTTTTCATCTTCTTCATCTTGACATGCAATCCAAATATGAACGGAGAAGTCAATCTCCGCAAGATCAAGTTCGGAATGTATCGCTTGAAGAGCCGCTGAACGTGTAGAGGTCTCGGGTAATGTAGTGGCGGCAAGAAGGATGCCACGTTCCCTGGCCGTAATATTGTCCGAAATGGATCGGCTAAAGTCGAGCAAGCAGTCTTTGACGATGCGGTAGTGTTGATTATATTTCTGCATGGCTTTGATGAGATGTTGAAGAATGTCTGCCCTTGGAAGGAACTCATCGGCACCAGATCCAACTTGAAACGACAAAAACTCAAGGGCAAGAAGGACCTGCGCATCGGCCTCGTCGTCCTCAACCTCGCCTACTCGCCCACTTTCAAGGACTGAAAATATTAGTGGCAATGCGTAAGCCGTGGTTGCCGTATCAAAGGGCCGCTGTTCAGCAGCAAATCTGAGTCTGTACAACACTCTGGTGCCAAGCTCTGCGAGAGGTTCACTTGACAGGTTTTCTGGCACGCTGGCGTTGCGGAGAGACCTCAAGGTTGCGATTCCTATAAACGGACGCATGGTACCTAAGCGATCTGAGATTTGCGTGGCGCAAGCAATGTATGATGTGAAGAGTTCATCGTCAACGATAAGAGACGCACCAACTTCAAGTGCATTCAGGATAGAAGTGGTCGCAGGAGTCATCCACTTCCGTGCATCGGTTGGGGGACCACGAGCCAAACCTTGAATGAAGCCGGCACCTCGTCTAAGATTTGCAGATATAACCCGGATTCTCTGCCTGGTCTCCACTTCAAGAGCGAGTTGAGAGTCAACCTTAGCCTGCTGGTCGGCTGTCAACTTCTTCTGAGGAGCACCCTTTTTCTTTGAAAGCTGGGCACGTATTTCTTCCTCCCACTTGAGGACATCATAGTCTTTCTGATTCTTGTTGTCAAGTACTTCATTCGTTTGCTGACCGAGTACATCGACCACTACTGTTCCTTCTGGGGCGCGGGCAATCAATGCCTCTGTGGGACCAATTCCGGCCAACTGAGATGATTCGAGATCTTTTGTAAACTGGGCAACCAGAGATGGAGTGAAGGAATCCGGGGAGACAAAAGCCAACGTGGCTGCTGCATCACAAGCAGCAACTTCGAACTTGTTGAGCGGTGCGAGTTTGTTCTGTTCAAAATGTGAGAGGAGCTCTGAGAGAAATGCTTCTTGGTTCGCTGCGGCCAGATTGCCAGGATCAATTCCAATGGCAAGGCAGTTTGCAATCCAGTCCGCGTTTGCAATTAATTCGGGCCTGAGAAGGGCAACAGTAGCAATCGCTTGTTGATCTAGAGTGTCTCCTGGAAACTCATGATCGATTGTTGTCCATTTTTCTTTCGTGGGACTAATGGACTTCACTGCGAGTAAGAGTCGTTGATCAGCGATAAGCTCTAAGTTGTCCGAATGACTCGTGGTTTCCTGTGCGCGTGCACGCAGGTAATCCCAGATGCCCAGGACAATGCTTGAGCCTACCGCAGCAGGGTATTCTAGGTAAACGCGCGATAGACCTGCACCAGTCTCTTTTCGAACATCTGAATCCACTTCTGGTGTCAGCAAGAGATGTAAGATTGCTCTTGCCCATGCTGTTTTGGAATCATCATCAGCATTGCCAAGCTCTGGGGCGAGTGTCATCAATGCAAGCAGCGTCCAGTGTGTGTCCTCTGATGTTGTCAGACGGCCATAAACTTTCGGGTTGATCAAGATAGATATCTTTGGAACAACATGTAGAAGCTGTTGCCTCATTTGTTCATAAGATTTTGATTTGTATTCATCAAGCAGTAAGATTGGTGAGTTCAGGAGAGCAGGAAGACCAAATGCTGCTGCCACAGAACCGTTCTGGGTAGCAGGAAGAGGACTCAGGGCAAACTCGTCGTGGACATCTTTCAATGCCTTCAGAGATGCTTTGAGAAATTCTCTTGAAGAACCTTGTGGTGGTGCTTCGTTAAGCCCTTTTAGAACACTAGCAACACAAAGCAGCCAGAGCTTCCGAAAAACTGGCCGCTTTTCGACACACCCTTTCAGGAGCGGATCTGAAATTGACTTGTCAATACTCGAGGTTGAGATGACTGTTGTCAAATGTGGTGCTAATGCCAGCAGTTCTTTCTTCAAAGCTCCTTCATTTGCTTCCTTTGTTGCTGCAGGAACAAGTGCTTGGATGATAGCCGCAGAAGTGTTCAATTCGGACGAGATGGTTTGTAAAACATCCGCAAGCATGCCACGTAGATCGAAGCTTGCAGGCTTGGATGATTTAATTGTTGACGCAATCTCAATCGCAATTTTTCGAAGATTCGAGAGATCTCCGCCTCTACCAATAAGGGCCAACAAAGCCTTACCGGCACCATCGCGGACTGTGGCATTTGTCGAATTGAGAGCTGATAGGAGGGGCTTCAAAAGCTTTGATAGAACAAGACCTGATGTATCAATGTCAGAAGAGATGCAAGAGGCGAGGTCGACAAGGGGGCCTTGGAGGATCGCCTCTGGAGATCGCAAGACCGCTTTCTCAACTGCCGGAACCACGACCCCAGTAATGTCCTCGATCGTCGCAAATTCCTGAAAGAAGTCTTCTAGGCCATGTGACTCATGATGAGGTACGGGAGATTTGGAGCCCACAATTGACTTGACATAAAAGTCCAACACTTCAGCCTTTCGAGCCTTCAGTTGTTCTTTTCTCTCTGGGATACGTGCGCTAACGCCAGCAATGATACCCACATAAGGTGCATATCCAGAACCCGAGTCCGATGCACCCGTAATTGCTTTTAGAGTGAGCTCCAAGGCATCAGCACCTAGGGTTGTAGATTTGAAGGCATCACGTAGGCCCCTCCTCGCAATGACCAACGCAGAATGTTGAATGCCACCGCGGACACTTGTATCCTCACATTTATCAACCAATCGAGCAGCCGCAACGGAAACGGTGGGATAGACGGTAGCGAAGGGTTTTTGATTGCGTACGCATTCTTGCTGAACAAGGCAGGCCCATTCAAGCAGTACGAATGCACTCGCTGGGGCTATGACGGCTTTTTGGCTCTCTTGCACCAGGTATTTTGTTATTGCACTAAATGTAGGTGCGGCCAAAGTGGAAGCATTCAAATAGGCTCGAAGACATGATTGAACTGCCCGGCGAGACTTGCGGTCTGCATAGCGTGGATAAGTCTCGAGGACGGCAGGCAGGAGATTCAGGGTATGGCGCAGCTCGGATTCATCCTCTGTCAAAGGTCAGTTTGTGCCGGTGAGTTGAGGTCAATGGTCGTACCACTGGCTTGGACAGAATGAAGCAGTCTTCGCAAGGCTTCAATACGGATGTTTGTGGAACTGCTCTTAAGTTTGGCAGTCTGATTCTCCAAGATTTCTGGAGGACCTGATTCTGCACTGTCACCCATTATCCATGTATAGGTTTGGGTGTCTTGTGTTTGGAGCCCTGGGAACGCGGTTCAATGGCACGATGAGACTGATATGCTATGACCACAACCGCTGGACATGGATCAAAAATTATGCTCACGTTGTCGTGGATTCAATTTGGAGAAAGCGCGGGGAAGTTCCTCCTGCCGCTTGGCGTTCAAGTTCAAGTTCAAATTGACGAAAAAAGAAACTGGAACTTCAGTTAATCCGGACTCCGGAGGACCATATCACGTGATGCAGTTTGGTGACGACGTCCTCCAGGTCAGGATGCACACATATTGCATGATACGTAATTCAAGACATCGACATGAGAAATGTCTTCTCACCACGACGAATCTCATGGTTTTCCAAAATCAGAAATCATGGCCAAATCCAGCCGAATACAGGTTTATGGAAGATAATCTTTAGAGCGTGAAGCACTTTGCCAGGAAAGCCTACTCGAACAGGACTGGCACTCAATTGGGTTGTCTGGTGCTCTGCATGTTTACTCCTCAGATATTGGTGCACATTAGAAGATGCTAGATTCTTCCTCTTGCAAGCAGGCTTTGAAAATGCAAGTATCACAATTCGAGTCCAATCCACATGCTGTCGCTCTCACCGTTTCTCTTCCCTCGATTTGCATCATTGGACCGACCTCGAATCATTTATTTGAGAAAGTCGTCGGATCAGATTCAACGCTTCCACTGGTACGAGGTACGTGGTACGTTGATGCCGTCTGGCTAAGTCCGGGTATTCAGGGAATCGGAAGGAGACGGGAGAATCCGTCTTATAAGGCAAGCTGGGAACTTACCCGGACCCAGCTGTTTGACCTCGGCATTTTCGAGCCTGGGCCCTGTGGATAAGGGACACTATGCCAACTCAGGCTGACGAGCCCGGTAACTTTTCCACTCGGACAAGTCGCAGTCTGACTCTAACGATCGACGAGGAGGAGTTACAACTTGCATGTCTGGCACGTACTCTTGTGAAAAGATCAGCCTGGTTGCACCTTGCAACGGCTGCGAGTTCCGTTGCCGGGATTGAGCAGTGGCATTCAAGGCGATGTCATGATGGCAGCATTTCGGGGGAAAGGAGAGTGAGAAAGGTAAGTTGAAGGGTGTTCAGAGCTGGGCTTCCGTGCACTTTTTAGAGAGGGTTTCTTACCCCACACACGGCGATGAATGATGCCAAAAGCTGATCTTCATCCTCGTCCCGGCTTTCGCCCTCATCTTCAATTGGCCCATGGCCACCATCGGAAGGACGTAAACCATTTGCCATTGGCCAAAGAGCTTTCAGAACCTGAGAACTCCGCCGGCCTTGGGACCGCAATCGACGCATGTGAATGATAGGACCACCGACCTTCACATTCTGACGTATTTATGAATTATATATCAACTGCCTCGGTGCTTTGTTTCCACCATTGCCCTCACTTTACCATCTCCTCTTGCTATTTTCCCTTCCCTATACATATTTGCATCAGCTGAGACCATCACAATGGCCACTATTGAAACCATCAACGAAGGCGTCGCCATCAATGGAGTGGTCAAGGATTCTTTCCGCAAGATCCTTACTCCCGAAGCCACTGCTTTCCTCGCCCTCCTCCATAGATCATTCAACGATACAAGGAAATCCCTTCTCCAAAGACGAGTGATCCGTCAACAAGAGATTGACAGGGGCAATCTGCCCGATTTTCTCCCCGAGACCAAGCATATTCGTGAGAATGATGCATGGAGAGGTGCCCCTCCAGCTCCTGGTCTAATCGACCGACGAATTGAGATTACCGGCCCAACGGATCGTAAAATGGTCGTCAATGCCCTCAACAGCAATGTGTGGACCTATATGGCCGATTTCGAAGGTACCCATCATAGCCGAGACTTTCCCATGCGTTCAATCTGACTCTGTCTTTTCTAGATTCCCAAGCTCCCACATGGGATGCCCAGGTCGCTGGCCAAGTCAATCTGTACGATGCCATTCGCCGACAAGTGGACTTCAAACAGGGAGAAAAAGAATACAAGCTTCGCACCGATAGAGTCCTACCAACCTTGATTGCTCGTGCTCGAGGTTGGCATTTGGATGAGAAGCATTTCACCGTCGATGGTGAGCCCATCTCTGGCTCACTTTTCGACTTTGGTTTATACTTTTTCCACAATGCTTTCGAGCTCGTCAAGCGAGGTTTCGGCCCATATTTCTATCTCCCAAAGATGGAATCTCATCTCGAGGCTAGACTGTGGAACGACGTTTTCAACCTGTCGCAAGATTATATTGGCATGCCCCGTGGCACCATTCGAGGAACCGTTCTCATTGAAACCATCACAGCCGCCTTCGAAATGGACGAAATCATCTACGAATTGAGAGATCATTCTTCCGGTCTCAATTGTGGACGATGGGATTACATCTTCTCTGTGATCAAGAAATTCCGCCAACATCCCAACTTTGTTCTTCCAGATCGGTCTGCCATAACCATGACCGTTCCATTCATGGACGCATATGTTCGTCTCCTCATCAAGACCTGCCATCGCCGTGGAGTTCATGCCATGGGCGGCATGGCAGCCCAAATCCCTATCAAGGACAACCCGGAAGCCAATGAGAAGGCCATGGAAAATGTACGACAAGATAAACTCCGTGAAGTCCGAGCTGGTCACGATGGAACTTGGGTTGCCCACCCTGCTCTTGCATCAATCGCCGCCGAAGTCTTCAATAAACACATGCCGACCCCCAATCAGCTCTATATCCGTCGTGAAGAAGTCAACGTCACCGCCAATGATCTGCTCAACATGAATGTCCCTGGCACCATTACCGAAGATGGCATCCGAAAGAATCTTAACATCGGCCTCGGATATATGGAAGGTTGGCTGCGAGGAATCGGCTGTGTACCGATCAACTATTTGATGGAGGATGCTGCAACCGCTGAGGTTTCACGATCACAGCTATGGCAATGGGTCAAGCACGGTGTCAAGACGGCTGATGGTCAGACCGTGGACAAGGCTTACGCTTTACGAGTGTTGAAGGAACAAGCCGATGAGCTGTCCTCAAAAGCACCCAAGGGTAACAAGTATCATCTTGCTGCTCGATACTTTGAAGGCCAGGTGACTGGTGAGGATTACGCAGACTTCTTGACCAGGTATGTTTATGAAACCTCGGATCGTCTTGCGTGGAACACGTCCGTGCTAACACATTATTCTCTAGTCTTCTCTACAATGAGATCACCACCGTGGGGTCATCGCAGCCTATTGCCAAGCTGTAGATAATGTTACAGAGTGGTTGCCAAAAGTTGAATGCGGTAAGGCGGGTAAACTCTCGACAACCGTATTAGTGACTTGATAGCTTTTGTATACAATCGGACAGGAAACGCGACAGTTGGCATTGCTTTTGAGTAGTGTGCTAGCGAAAATGAATATTACTTTATGACTTGTACAGGGACAAGTAGTTAGTATCTACTAGTCCGCAACATTCATCATCATTGCTTGATATTGTACCCTAGGTATTGACCTATCTCGCGCATAGCTTCGCACTTGAAGGGATGTTTTAAATTGATCCAGGTCAATAGCTGCGGGGAGCCTGGCACGATATCTGTTTGATCCATGTCGCTACTCCGGAGTGGCGAGCCGGACCTCGTCATGCTCGTTAAGCCATTCAATGGGCTGACTATCGCCTACGAGTAAAAGGCATTGATGGTGGTTTCAGTTGTTGAGTACATGGTCAAAGCACACCTGTATCAGCTTTGGTAAACTTTACACAGCCTCGTTGTCGGAGAAACAATCAGTCGCATCGATAAGTTGGGATGACTCATAGATATTTCAAGTACTCGTAAATCACATAAATCTGATCCTTGATCTGTATCACAGGCTTGTTTGTGACCATCCATGGATGCCTACCATCACGAGTCAATGAAAGTACTTAGTAGTTATCTATCCGTACGGAGTACAAGATACGAAGTAGATACACTTGGACTTTTGCCCCCACCGAGAACTGATTCCTCCAGGACGTTTCATCGTTAAGTTGTTCGGCTCTGACACCAAGTCTCGATGCAGGATGTGAGCTCCGCCCCAGTCGAAGCATCAGTGGCACCTCGCGACAAACTCTCTTGGTGCTGATCGGCGTGAGTAGCGGCGCCACTGATCCTTTCTCCCTAGCTTCTTATTGAGTCTAGGTAGATAGGATAGAAGGACGATACTGTTCATGTAGGCATACCCTTGATATTGTCAAAAGGATACCCAAGATGGACCCTACGTGAATCTTGCGCAATTTCTTTAGCGATAAACTCAAGTACAACAGAGTTCACCGCAATTAGCTGGGAATTCCCAGTCTACTCGTACATGTTGGCTATTCGAAAAAGAAACAAACACAAGCAGATGCCCCTCCGTTTCCCCATTGATTGAGAGCCCACTGAGGTAGATAGTTAAAGCACAAGTCGGCTCAGCTCGCTTGGCTTAGTGAACCCCCTTAAACGACATCCGTCACAAGAGAAGAATAGGGGCGGGCTTAACCATCAACTAGCTGGAGCACTGCCACTGATACTCATTCTGTGCCTTTGTTATCCTCACCTTTCTCTTCACGTTGTTTCAAACTTTGTGCAATAACCACTTATCATCCTATTCCCCATCACCATTAGTATCCGGTGGTCCAGATCGATCACTTTGTCAACCTGAACCTTGAATACCTGTGTAGATAGTTACCAAGACTTGAAAAAGTGGTTGATTGACGCTTACCCCGTTCTGTATGCCCCTCCGCCGCCTCGCTTCCCCGAGATGCAACTCCAGCATCATGGATAACGGCCACCGTCGCTCACTTCCCGAATCCATCATGCAGGTCCCAGGAACACCCGCGACACTTTGTCCATGGCCCCCCGCTTCATGGAGGGAGGGGGCTTGGTGCTTTACGGTCCATCGCAACCTTTCACTCCACTACGAAGTGCAGCAAGGAGAAGGGTACGAAAGTACACCAACAACCGAGTAAGTTTTGTCAAGTACGGATAGTCAAAACTTAGTAGGCCCTCCCTTGCAGATGCGGGCATGATCCGCCATCGAAGCAAGAGCAGAGTGCGACGATTGACACCAAGTCCTGCCACAATACTCGTGACAGGGATCTCACACTACGACTCGAAGAGTATCATGCACTTCCAATGCCTCAAGGTGGGACATGCTTACTCTTGCTGCATCCACATGTCAAAGTGCTCAAACCGTGCCTCCGTACTTATCGCAGGTATATCAGACTGCAGCTTCCTTCCACCATCAACCTTTCGGCCTGTTTCAGAACCTCGCCTGCTCGGTTTTTAAGTCTCACTTCCCTTTTCTCTCTTCGCTTCTATCCGTCGTTTCTACGCATTGACCAGAAAGCGCAGCAAACCCAGTTGATCTTTCCAAATCTGATACCGTTTGACGACGGCGTTACTTTCTTTGGCTCACTTTTCCCCACGTCGTGCTTCTTCGTAACCACTTTTGGTGATTTGGACGCTTTTGTCAAATCATGATACAATAAACCAACCTGGACAAAGTTTATTGGTACTATCACAGCTCATTGTCTGATATGTCTTTCCAAGAATAGTGCCCGTCTCGGGTCAACGGTCGAGGCTTGACCAGGGCAAGTGGCCTGGAGAGTATATACGAGTGACATCGGTCTATCAATCATGGTTGATACTTTGCGCCGTGAGTCTTCCTCAGTTGCATGTCCTACCAATCATGGGGATATTGACTCCCTTCTCAGCCCCGCCAGAAGTCATTGCTTCATGGCCGACTCCCAACTTTGTCAACCCAGATGACAGGGGGCCTGCACTGGTCTATGTGTGTATCATCTTCACCGTTATAGGCGTCCTCCTCGTTGCGGCCAGAATATATTCACGCCTCTTCATCACTCGGGCTCCTGGAGTGGACGATCTCCTTGTCATTTGTGGCCTAGTCCCTGCTATTGCTTTGTCAGTCCTGGTAATCATTGGCAACAAGATTTATTTCAGCGGACGGCATGTCTGGGACATCCCGATATCAAAGTTTCCTGGTCATCGCTTGAATGTTTGGATCAGCATGTGGTGTTATGTTATTGCCAGCACGTTTGTCAAAATCAGTGTTCTACTCTTCTATCGCCGACTCAGCGTCAAATTCAGTAAGATATTTCTCATCGCAACATGGGTGGGCATCGTCTACAATCTTGTCTACATGGCTGGCTTCGGCATGGCATTATTACTCATTTGCGACCCTGTTTACGCATACTGGCAAAGCTTCGACCGGCTTTGGGCATCTTCCCACAAGTTTCGCTGTCGGACGGAAGGTACTTCGCTGCCCGTCTCAGGAGGATTGAGTGTCCTTGGAGACTTGTACAGCACACTACTCCCGGTCTTCCTCGTCTATTATCTTGATCTACCGCGACGGCAGAAGTTTGCACTGTATGGCTTGTTTGCACTCGGCTTCCTCTCCGTCGCTGCTGGCACCGTTCGAACTGTCCTTCTGTACAAAATGCTGAACACAGATTTTGATTTCACGCGGATACTTTGGGAAACTTGGATATGGGGAGTTGTCGAGTTATACGTAGCCATTTGGGCCGCGAGCGCACCAGCCCTCAAACCTTTCTTCAAAAAATATTTTGTGGAATCCATTGGAAGTATCGCCAAGAACAAAGATGATGGGGTGTGGTATCCATCGCATGGAGGTCTGAGAAAGAAGGCCCTGAGCGAGGATTCTTCCAATTTCCACGATAGTCTCATCGTGGGCAATGTGGCCAATATTGGTGTCGCCCATTCCGGCACAGATGAAGAACTCCGATCAAGAGGATTCCTGAAGGACATCGGCAACCTAGAAACCCGGAATTTCCAGATGAGAAAGAGTGCGGATGGTAAAATGGTACCGATGCAAGTCTACCGTGCAGGGCAAAGCGAAAGATCATCAGGACTACCTGCCACCGAAATTACTCGACCGCATAATTCCACAGGCACAGGGGTCTCCCAATGGATCGAAGATTGGCCAATGCCCCCCGGGTCAGCAGGAGTACACCGAAGTCGACCGGACTTCGAATCTCGGGGCTCACAACAGACCATCCACGTTGGTCTACAGCTGGAACCATCAGTCGCACCATTCAACATCCCACGAAACTCTCAAGGAAGCATAGTAAGCGGCAAGCGCAAGGCCCAACAGAACGTGAATTATCCTTATGCATATCGACCTGGATCCAATCCCCAGTCATTTGATAGCTTCAACCACGACGGGTTAGGGGTTGGTTCACGACTCGAATCACCCAGCAACTCAGACCCATCGCTATACATGGACGAGAAACCGCCGTGGAACACGATACGAACGTCCAGCAGCATTGTGAAGACCGAGAGGAGTGAGAGCGATGAGACGCTGCATCTACCACGCATGGGAAGTCGGGATTTTGATCCCGAGAGGAGAAGCGCTGCCAGGCCTGGTGCACCTGCTGGTTATGCGATATGACGAATTATGATGATGATGACGATGGCAAACTCAGAGGGACGAGAAAGTCGAGATGATTACGAGAGACAAAGATCCTACGGATTATTGGTGGAGATGATGATCCATGAACAGACTTGAGATATTGGAATTTCCGCGCTGAGCATGAGGTGGCACTAAAGCTGTGGACCTAAATTCGGAATGGAAGTGTATCTGCGAGCAAATGCCACTGTATACAGGGAGATAATCAAAGCGTGTTTCCAACAGGTTTATAGCATCACAAAATCCAAGAACGCGGTTGTTCCCAGCCAAAACCATGGGCGGCGGCCGTCGAGAGGTCGCGAAGAGATGCACCGAGACACAACCCTTAAAAATATCCCCCCACTCCTCTAAACGGGATCTTTCTCTCAACCCCCATGCACCATGACCACGCACGGCTTGAGGGCCGATCGACCCCAGATGTAATTGTGTCTGTTTCTCCAAGGAATGAGGAGCAAGCCGACGAAATGATGAGGCGTGACCTCTGGTTCTTTTTCAAGGTTGGTGAATGCCATCATTCGACGATTCTTACACGGTAGGAAATCCGGGGGAGCCCTTTGACCTTGGATGATCTGATCTCTCACAAACTCGCTTTTTGTTGTTTCACGTTCTTTTCAACATAATATACCTTCTTGGTTGATCGAAGATCGTTGTGAGTGGAAGACTAATCTAAACATCACAGACGGCTTTGTTGTCCCTGATATAGGATATTTTGGCATCAAAACACAAGCACATATTGTACCCAACTTCCAAAGATTTTCCAGCATGAAGATTCTCATTACAGGAGCTGGAGGTTTCCTCGGCCAACATTTGGCAAGAGAGCTGCTCTCAAATCCCGAGCACCAGGTAATCCTGACAGACATCGTCGACGTACCGGTGCCGAAGGGATCAAAGAACCCACACAATGCCACCACGGTCAAGGCAGACCTCCTGAAAGACCAAAGCGTCATCACATCGGACCTCGACGCCGTGTATCTCTTCCACGGCATCATGTCGGCGGGCTCTGAAGCCAACTACGACCTGGGCATCAGCGTCAACCTCGAAAGCACACGAATCATCCTCGACAAACTACGACACACCAAACCCGGCGTCCGCGTCATCTACTCGTCCAGCCAGGCCGTCTACGGCCAGCCTCTGCCCAAGATCGTCAACGAATCCACCTTACCGACGCCGGAGGGATCGTACGGGTCCGCGAAACTGATGATCGAGATCCTCGTCAACGACATGACGCGCCGCGGACTGATCGACGGGATTGTGCTGCGCTTCCCAACCATCTCGGTGCGACCGGGAGCCCCAGCACCGGCGGCCAGCGCATTCATCTCGGGCATCATCCGCGAACCGCTTGCCGGCATCGAGGCCAAAGTGCCCATCAAGGACCGCAGCTTCCCGTCCAACGTCTGCTCGCCGAAAGTCCTGATCGCGAATCTCATCCACGCACTGACCCTGCCGTCGGATGCACTGCCCAAGCATAAACGCGTGGTCAACGCGCCAGGGCTGACGGTCACGATCCAGGAGATGCTCGATGCGCTCGTCAAGGTCGGCGGTGAGGATAAGTTACAGTATGTCAAGGAGGAGCATGATGAGGCGTTAGTCCGGATTCTCAAGTCTTGGGCTTACAATTTTGACAATTCTTTGGGCCTGAGTTTGGGCTTCAAGGCCCCGGAGAGCTTCGAGGCTGCTGTTAGGGAGTATGTGGAGTTTTTGGAGGAGGAGAAGTCTTGGAAGTAAGAGTAACTCATGTTCCTGAAACGTGCTATCATTCTCTCATTGTGCTACCAACCCGTCTATGGGGGAAAATGCACCAAACATATTTCCACTTCGAGCCACGGCTTTGCGTATCGCGTAGACTCTAGGTTCGGTGATGCACCGAGTCCCCTGTCCTCAGGCAAGTCGGTAACCTAACCACCAAATCCTGCCAACTCGGCTCATTCCGAAATGATATGGACCGCCGAGGATTGGTTTCACTCTTTGTTGGCAATCCCCGGTCTCAAATCCATCGGCATCACTCCGACATGACCGACCACCAGCATCCCAATCGCCATCACCAAAAAAACATATTTCCTGACCATTAAAAGAGCCGGACCGGGTAAATTCCCATCGGGGAGACCCCGCCACTTCAGAGTTGCCACCAACACATCCCACACTCACCATGCTGCACGTTGGATACCCCTCACCAAACACAAGAATGAGGTTTTCGGTGGCTTCTCCGACTAACGACATCATCGTGACCACCACCACCAGCGACGGGTCTTGGAACGGGTGGCATGTTGTAAACAAATCGATTCGAACCCTGGAACCAGGTGCCGTGCATGACCGACCGGTCTTTGGGTTGATCGAATTGGGGATTCCGGGTTTTTGGTTTTATTTTATTTTATCCTGGGCCCGTTCTTGATTAAACCCCTCTAGGTTGTCAGTTTCTGTCTGGGTATGTAGGTGAAGTTTAGTTGCATTCTTTATCCCTCTCTATCCAACCTTGTTGTATATTCATTCCTGTTGATTTCAATACTATACACCTACCTCGTTGCAACAAACAGCACTCACAATCATATACCTACCCAAACCCCATCCGTCCCCATCACATCACATCAAATCCCTACCCATCCAACCCCAAACCTCCAAAATGCCATCCCTCAGCGACAACATCTCGGTGCGGATCCTCAAAGCCGCCGAAGAAGGGCACTACGGCGTCCCCGGCGTGGTGTGCTACAACCTCGAAGCGATCATCGCATGCCGAAAAGCCGCGGAGGCCAAGAACTCACCCTGCCAGATCCTGCTGTTCCCGTGGGCGCAGGAATACGCATACGACAACCTGGTCAACCTGGCGGCCGACGTGTGCCGCAGCGCGTCGGTGCCCATGTCGCTGCACCTGGACCACGCGCAGAGCGAGGCGGGGATCAAGAAGGCCGCGCTCACCGGAAAATTCGACAGCATCATGGTCGACATGAGCCACTACGAGAAAGAGGAGAATCTCGCGAGGACAACCGAGCTCGTCAAGTTCTGCCACGACCTGGGCATTGCGACGGAGGCGGAGCCCGGTCGTATCAATGGCGGCGAGGCCGGTGTGCAGGACACGGGTGATCTCCAGGGCATCCTGACCACGCCCGAGGAGGCCCTGCAGTTCATCGCCACGGGCATTGATTTCCTGGCCCCTGCGATCGGCAATGTCCACGGACCGTATAACGGCGTGGAGAACATCAAGTTGGATTTCCCCAGGTTGAAGGGCATCCGGGAAGCGAGTCTAGGCAAGGTCACCCTGGTCATGCACGGGACGAACGAGTTCACGGCCGATATCTTCAAGCAGTGTGTTGAGGCCGGCATGACGAGGTTGAATGTTAATCAGATTGTGCTGTGGAAGTACGAGGACTATGCCAAGGAGAAGGCTGGAAGGACGCCCTTGACCGAGTTCATGGAGACGGGCACTGCCTTGATCCAGGAACGCATTGAGTGGATGATGGACGCCATTGGGAGTTCAGGACGTGCCGGTGATGTTAAGATATAGCGAGAAAGTGCCGGGTATAAACATTGAATGGGATATCATTCATGGGAAAGTAAATATGGTTTGCCTCCATTTCTTCACCATGTCGTTCAATTGCAGGTGCCAGACTTTCCTGTCCAATACTCAAGATGCTTGCGCCTTTGGCCGTGATATGTAGTCAATCCCATCCATACGCAGAATTGACCTGGCAGGTGTTCTCCTGGTGTAGAGGACATCGCACGAAGTTCCTGTCTCAATACGCACATGCTCGCTAGGCATATTGACTCAATCTACTTCGTCTCACTAGCTATACTCTCCTTAATCGCCTCATCTGTGGCTTTCTTAACTCTCTCATCTTCCTCCGTCGTGGCCTTCTTACCAGCCTCTTCAGTGGTACTTGTACCGGTAGAAGCCACGACCTCGTCATCCTTGAGTGAGATCGGCTTAGCATCTTTTTCCTCGTCACTATCGCCCAGGCTAAATGGATCATTATCCGCAACAGGACTCGGGTCCACTGTAGAAAGAGGCTGCCATTTACTCGCTTTCCCACCAGACGATGGTACTGACGCTGTTGTAATGGCCGATGGTTTCGTATTGGATGATGAGTACATGTCCTGGATCTCTTCTGGTGGTCCATCTTGGAATGAGACCTTGCGGTTGCCTCCTGGGGACGGACGACGCTCGGGGTCATTAGCACCTGAGCGGAACAGATTTGGATTCGCTAGTGGGCGGCTGGAGGTCCGTGGTGGTGCTTCTCCATCTCGTAATTCGAGTCGCGAAAAATCGTCACCAATAAGCTGAGGATCTGCATCATATCGTTGCATGTCTGCGGATCGTCGCATATCACCACTGCGGCGATTCGGGTATCCTCCTGAGGCAGGATAATTACCTGCTCCTTGTTGTTGACCTGGACGAGGAGGTTGCGCTGGACGATACTGTGGATCATCTTCATCTTCTCCATCGAAATTCTTCTTGAAAGCACTGATCCAACTGTTTACAGTCTTTTGTGTCTCCTGAAAGCCTTTCCGAATGTTGTCTCGAATTTCCGGAAGATCATCTGTCATTGAGATTAGTGGAAATCACTATGAAGTGATTGACTAGATTTCCAAAACTTACCATCTACAAAACTCCGCCAAGGGACATCATCCGGATTGGGGTTTGCTCCTGGGCGACCAGCTCTTGAACCTTGAAGATGTTCATTGAATCTCCCTCCAGAACCCCTACGTTGACCTGTTCTCGACCCATCATAATGTTCGGCTAGTTGTCTTGCATATAGCTCGTCGGCTTCCATCTGACTCAACTTTGTAGATGTCTGGCCTTGTTGCTGACTTGGTCGAGGAGGCTTGGCTGGAGGTTCGGGTTCTCTTTGTGAATCTGGGTCACTCATGCCCAGTAGAGCGTTGAAAGCCGGTTCCACATTGCCACCGCTGGCGGTTAGGACGGCCTTGACGACGCTGGCGTCGATGGAAGGGAAAGCTTCCCTTAGTGTAATCTCAGCTTGCTCGCGGGTATTTGTTGGTCTTGGAGGCTTCGTCGGAGGAGTTTCGTCTTTGGGTGGGGGCCGAGGAATGGTGTCCATCCTTGCACTTGATGGTTGAGATGTAGTACCAGTCTCTTGATCACTATCAAAGTCTAGTTCTCGAGCTGTGGTAGGGGACTCGGGAGGTGCGTCGGAGGCCTTGAGTGGTGAGACTGGTGAGGGCTAAGTTTGACGAGGTGTTAGTGATGATATGGAGAAGGGAAAGGTGAGGTGTTATTTACAGTTCGAGCACGGGGTTCCGCCATGATTAGAGAAGGGAAGGTGACGATTGAGGAGAGGACACAAGTTGGATAGTGGTATCCGTATATTGGAAAGATTTAATTGCAGGCAGATGAATTGTTTGAGATGAGGGCCATTCCCCAATCCTGTTCCAGGTTCAGGCTGTTGAGAGCCCCGCCTTGGCTGACGAGGAAGGAGCCACCGCACTCGTAGACTGTGGCGTCACGTCGCCATCGCACCTTCCCAAGCCTCTTACGGTGGCTGTGCAAGGGTCCAAAACCACGTGCTTCACCAGCCCGTCACCTTTTCTTGCTACCAAATCTTTAATTTGGATCCAAAGGACGCGTGGAATCCAACACGTCCCTTTCGATATGTCCACTCAATCGAGCAAATGAACATCTTCCTTATGAGTGTCGCCTGTCGAAATATGGTGTTGACACGTACGACAACATGGCAGACTTTGATTTGTCCTTCATCCCAGCTCTCTACACCCCATCAGCCTTACTACCCATCGCTAGACACAAGAAGAGTCTTCTGTATACCATCGAAACTCATCAGGTGACAATCCTGGTAGGTCAAACAGGTAGTGGGAAGACCACTCAGCTTCCTCAATTCCTTCATCAGGCAGGCTGGACATCCGGAGGGAAATGTATTGCTGTAACTCAGGTGGGTAAGTCAACTCTAGACATTGGGTTTTGTTTTTATTTGACCGTTTCCTAGCCAAGAAGAGTCGCTGTCACTACAGTGGCTACTCGAGTCGCCGAAGAGCTCAGATGCCAACTCGGTGATGAAGTGGGATATTCCATTCGATTTGAGGATGTCACATCTGCAAAGACCAGGATAAAATTCCTCACAGATGGAATGATTCTTCGAGAGGCATTGATAGACCCTCTTCTATCGAGATATTCCGTTATCATGGTTGATGAAGCCCATGAGAGGTCATTGAGCTCTGATATCCTGTTGGGGCTCCTCAAGAAAATCATCAAGCGGCGCCCAGAGTTGAGGATCATCGTGAGCAGTGCAACTCTGGACGCGGAGACGTTTGCAGACTTCTTCCGAGGTGTAGACTCTTCCGAGGATCAGTCCAGAGTCGTTAGTATCGAGGGCCGAACATATCCAGTCGATATCATGTTCCTAGAACAGCCCACAGAAGACTATGTCGAGCGTGCTGTTCAAACAGCTTTCACGATTCATCAACAAGAACCACCGGGAGATATCTTGATCTTCCTGACTGGTCGAGAAGAGATTGAGACCGCAATGGAAAGGTTATCAGATCTAGCCTCGACACTTCACCCTCAAGCCCCATCATTACAGCCATTACCACTCTATGCAGGATTGAGTACAGATGAACAAATGTATGTCTTTGCTGAAGCGGCTGAGAACACTCGAAAGATCATCTTGAGTACCAATATTGCAGAGGCGTCCGTCACAATATCAGGGGTCGTCTATGTTATTGACTGCGGATTCGTCAAGCTTCGAACCTTCAATCCAATCACAAACATCGAAACACTCACCCCCTTTCCTACATCAAAAGCCTCAGCAATCCAGCGTGCGGGTCGTGCGGGTCGCACACAGCCAGGAAAATGCTTTCGTATGTATACACAACAAGCATACAATTCTTTACAGTCAACGACAAGCCCGGAAATACAGCGATCAAATCTTGCACCAATTGCTCTTCAACTCAAAGCCTTGGGTATTGATAATGTGGTCCGTTTCGATTTCCTCTCACCACCACCTGCTCAATTGATGGTCCGCGCCTTTGATCTACTATACTCCCTAGGAGCTGTGGATGATTATGCGAAGCTCACTTCTCCGCTCGGAACTCGCATGGCCGAGCTATCCATTCCACCCATGATGGCCAAATGCCTCTTGGCCTCATCCGACTCCAAGTTTAATTGTCAAAGTGAAATACTTACCATTTCAGCCATGACATCTCTTCAAGGAAACATATGGTTTCATCACAGTGGCGAGAAGAAAGCCATGGACCTATCTCGTCGAAAATTTGCAGCTGAAGAAGGCGATCATCTCACGCTCCTGAATGTTTATCAATCATTCATCACGAAAGGGAGGAAAGAGGCAAAATGGTGTCACGAAAATCACCTCAATTTCAAATCAATCTCCCGGGCAGTCAGTATTCGGAACCAACTCCGCCGGTATCTCGAGCGACTTGGAGTCAAAGTTGATGAGACATTATCGTCGTCCTCATCGAATCCACCTTACCTGACAACCAAACCACCCACTGCACCAGCAGACAAAGCCACCACCATACTCCAATGCCTCACCTCTGGATTCTTCTCCCATGCTGCAAAGATGCAACCGGATGGGAGTTTTCGATCCGTCTCGGGTGATGTTACTATGTACGCGCATCCAACGAGCCTCATGTTCAACCGGAAAGCACAGTACGTGATCTTCCACGAGCTACTGGAAACTGGCGAAAAAGTGTACATCAAAGATATTAGCAAGGTCGAAAAGTCGTGGCTGGTGGATTTCAGCGGTGGCTTTTACAACATGAAGAGCTAGTTGGGGTGGTGTTCCTCTGCTTTACCGTCCAGCTGTATAACCAGCAGCCACTTCATACCCATTGAGCTGCGCAACTAGCAAAAACCATAACCTGCCGGGGTATCATATGTAGTAGTCGTGCCATCATAATCTCATAGTCTCAAAATGCCCTTCCATCAGCAATCAATCATAGTCATAATCCGTGAAAACCTCTCTCTGGGTATAGATGAAGGCAGCCTCCGCGTCCGCCAAACCGCGATCCTTCCTCCTCCTCAACGCCTCCTTCCCCTCCTTGCAAACATCACACGCGAAGAAACACTCGGCCTCCGCCATCCCACCGGAACCCTCATCTCCAAAATAGCGACAGACCAACCCATGGCGACAAAGGTCCGTATTTTCGCAAAACTCCTCAATCTTCCGCAGCGACTTCATGCGCGACTCGAACTTGGACTTGTCCTTCTCCTTGCCGCCGGGCTGCAGGCGCACAAGTGCTTCGCATCGGTCCTTCTCCTCGCGCGTGTACAGGATCAGGCTCATTGCGGCTTTCCCGTCGCGACCGGCACGCCCGGACTCCTGCGTGAATTGCTCCATGCCCCGCGGCATGCCGTAGTGGATGACGAAGCGGGTGCTGGAGACGTCGATGCCCATTCCGAATGCGTTGGTTGCACAGATGATGTTGAAGGAGGATTGGATTGTCGACTCATTTTCGGGAAGAGTTGGCGGTGTCGTGGTCGCGAGCCGGAGGAAGCTCGTCTGCACTTCTGATCGCTTGTTGGCTTCGAGACCTGCGTGGTAGGCTTGTGCGCGGATGCCGATTTTCGTCAGGTCTGTGGCCAGGTTGTCGGCTTTGATGCGTTTGGGTACGTAGATAATGCCTGTGATTGGGCGAATGGCGGTTGTGGTGTCGGCGTGGTTCTGTCGGAGGTATTCGAGCCGTGTGACTCGTCTTTGATGCATGAAGGTCAATCTGGAGACAAGATATGGGAACATGTCGTCCTCGCCGTTGACAGGGCTCGATTCGGAGAAATACTGGACTTCGTAATGGATGTTCGGACGCGCGGTCGAGGTAGAAAAGCATCTGGTTTTGGCTGGGTCCAAGAGCAGGGACTTGAAAATGTCGTCACGGACTTGCTTTGTTGCAGTGGCAGTCACCGCTACAACTGGGACACTGGGACAATTCAACGTCGTCTTGAACCACGAGAGTTCCTTGTAGGACTTTCGAAAATCATGGCCCCATTCACTGATACAGTGTGCTTCATCGATAGCAACGCGTGCCAGTTGTCCCTGTCGATGGATTTTGAGAGCAAGTTTCCGAAAATGATCCGTGGCGCATAGTTCGGGCGTGACATACAGCATCTTGGTCTCCGGATGGCCACAGAGAAGATCAGTCTCAATTCTTGTCTTGTCGCTGAATGGGGTTTTGCTGTTGATGCATTGGACAGCGATACCCAGTGCTTCTGCAGCACGGACCTGGTTCTCCATCAAGGCCAACAGTGGCGAGACGACGATGGTGACACCGAGAGACAACACGGCAGGGAGTTGGTAGCAGATCGATTTTCCAAAAGAGGTTGCGGCGCAGAGGAAGACATCGTGGTCGTCAATAACGGCCCGAACGACGTCTTCCTGCAACGGGCGGAATTTCTCTTTGCCAAAGACACGTCGGAGTGTAAATCCAATGTCGGTGATGTTGCTGCTGCTGCGTTTTAGGCCGGCGCGTGGCATCACTTTGGATCTCCAAAGACCTTGCCGGCAGCGACGGTTTGAAGTCACGTACGCCGCGTATCAAATTCTTTTGCAATCGTGCTTTGACCAGTGTGGTAACTTGCTGATTAGCCTACCGAAATATTTTACCCCCAAGTTAAATTTCACTACGCGTGAACGCGTCTTGCAAGAGGGGAAGTCGCGTCGGTGCGGGGCAATTAGATTTCCTGAATCCAAGTCTTGGCACAGAAGTAGTTCGGTTACCTAGAGACGTTCCAGGAGTTCAACGAACCATTACCCTCAAGCATTTACCATCAACGACCCGGATTCAAGAGAAGTGCGTGGAGTTTGAAACTTGAAGAGCAGAAGTTTATGTATTCGTGAACAAGAATCTAATACTCAGCTACACCATCGCCATGCATGCAAGAAAACAACACCCTAGAATGAACGCCCTTGTGAAAAGCTAATACCAGACTTCAGAACTCGCCAAACGCTAGATTACCATTGAGAAAGAGAATCTCAATCAGATTTTAGCACCAACAACACAGGGAGTGTCAACCCATACTATCAAAACTGTCAGCAGGTGTTGCATAAAATCATCAAGTTTGATCATGGTCAATACTTACAAGCATTGCTGGGCGCGACGGTGATTTGAGCGGCGTATCGTTCACCAGAGGCTCTGAATTCGAACTTCTTGTCTGTTCCATTGGGATACTTGCATTGCTTCTTGGTGGCATTGTCGCAGACACGGACGAAGCCCTTGCCGTCATCAGAGTTGACTTGGAAGACAACTTTCTCACCACCCTTGATTTTGTCGATGGTCGAACCTCCACTCTTTGTAGTGATTGTAGTCCAAGCACGCGTGGCATCCGAATCGAGCTGTCGTTGAAGGACGACATCGGTAGCCAAGGTGTTTGTTACCTCGAAACTGCCGGCAGCAAGGAAAGAGTAGGTTTGACAACTCTCACCAACCCGCTTAACGAGTTCGTTGGCAGGGGCTTCGCTATAAGGGAGTGCTGCAGCCAGAGACATGGCTGGGAGAGCGAGTGTGGCGGCAAAGATCTGAGCGAAATGCATTTTGAGTGTTTGGTTGTTAAATGACTGTCTGTTGGGTTTTTGGATCAATTTATCGAACGACTGTGTGGTTTGATTTTGTGATTGATTGAGTGAGTGTGAGTGAGTGAGTGAGTCGGTGAGTGACCAAGTGAATGAGTGATTGGTTTCAAAAATTTGCCGGTAGGAAATAGAAATGGAAAGTGAAAGTGAAATTGATAGTGATGGTGTTTGTTGATGATAGAAGTCCAAATCTCAACCCGAGACGACGCAGGATCTTTATAGACATTCTTCTATGCTTATTCTCTGAGACGAGTCTGCTAGAACCAAGACTTAGGACAGGGCGAAGCGGTTTGGAATCTATTCTGAAGTTCCAAACCGCTTCGCCCAGTCCTAAGCCTGTCTGGGCTCATAGACCGCCTGTCAAGCTCTATCGGCAGGGCTTCTGCATTTCGTGCTATAGATGGTGCAACGGTATAGAACGTAGCGAAAGACTCAAACCCAAAATTTGCCGTCCCTGCTGTCCTTCTAGAAGAATCTCTTGGCCTTCGACGCGGAGAGTCCGATACAATGCAGTAGTTCTGGTCTTATCTTCCTCAATGGTCCGTCTTGGCTAGTCTAAGCGTATACTATTACGTCTAGAGTCGAGGTGTAGCAGTGCTAAGTCAGGGCTGAGTAACTTACCCCAGACAGTGACGGCTCTCACACGGCACATAGCTCTACGTTTTGGGTAGGTCCATTCTAAGCGAATCAGTACAGCTCAACCTCAACCGCCACAAAAGTCCTGGAGCTGTCACTGCTGGTCAACTGGATGTGAAGGGCTATGCAGAGTATAGCTAGTCCCGCACTAAGGAGGACTCGGCTCTGGGGACATCGATCTCTCATTGGAAGACCCGAAGCATCAGTGACCTCGTGCGAACCAGAAACCTCGTGCCAAGGCCCAGCTGAAGTCAGGATATCTTGGTCTTCTTTCTTTACCGTTTGTCTCCGCCAAATCCACAGCGCCTCGCTTAAGCGGCTTCAACCTTATCGTCAGCACTAAATTCTATCTGATCCCAAATCACCCTCTGGCTTCTCATGGGACTTCCGCTGCACATCTCATTTTCAAAGATTTGCGGTGACCGTGGTCGAGTGTGTAGAACGCGGGTCGTAGCGCCTTGGTGCCTTGAACCCGATCCTGCATCTAGATAGAGGAAGCGAACATCAGTGAACAATGCGTATATGATCAAAACGCCAAAATCCTTGTACACAGCCGTCTCGAGGTTTAGGACAAGACTACACCTTACTTATCCTGTTGTCCTTTATTTGGTCGCGTACCTCATCACTACCTATGCTACTTTATGACCATGCATTGTGGTCTTCGAAGTAACCGCAGTAGTCGGTCTGCTGACCCTCCCAAGTGCAATTGAGTATCAGCACCGGTGTATGATTTTAGACACAATCAGTTGGGTATTTCTCGGCATTAGACGGTCGCCGAACATGACGAAGAGTCCCCAACCTAGCATCAACACTGAGATGCCTGTTTCCACAATCTCTCAGCCAGCTAAAGAGGACTTCTTCTGTGCCGCCCGCCTGTCTTCAGCAGAAAAAATGGTTGATGAACCTTAATTCGAGGATTCTAGAAGTCTGGCGAAGCAACCAATGAATACTTCGCGGTACACTTCTTCCTTAAGGTCGACTGTAATAAATCGTTTTGCGGGATAGAGGGTACCTTAGGGCCTCTTGACTTCGATTAGCCCATCAACTCGAATAACATCTACGCAAAGATCGGTTCTGACTAGACCGTCTACCGTAAGCAAAGTGATTGTAGAATTGGAAAATCGACCTACCCAGAGAAGGGATCTGTGCCGGCTCCTGCAAGCTCCAAGACTGTGAACAACGACGATTCAGCTTCACCCGCTTCGGCTTCCGTTCTCTAGAGCCTGCCGGACAGCCTGACAACATTTAAATGTTAAATCTTCGAGGCTGGAAGTTCTGGGTATGGATGTGACTTCAAGGCCTCGTTACATGGCTCGAAGCAGAAAAGGAGCTGATTGCCAACAGAGTGGCAGTAGTTGAGGAATCAATGGATTGAACCTGTAATAGCTCCGTCCTGGTTCATTGGCCTGTAGAAGATCACCATGCCATTACATCCTGTAAGTCGTGGGGGCATGATGTGTGCTATCCGTGACCTCGTCATGACCTCGACAAGTCCGCCGCTGTTGCTCCCAAAGAGATCAAGGAGACGAGCACCTGGAGATTCAAAAACCGGTCCCAAAATGCGCTCGTTGGCACTACGCGTCTAGTGACAGCTGTTCTCACGAAAGGTGACGTGAATGCGACGCAAACATCTGTTTCTACTGATATTGTTATTTTCAGACGCCCAATCTGGTTAATCCGCGAGACAAGATTATTGGAATTGTGATTGAAAGGGTTTTTGGAGGACGTTGAGGTCCTCCAGACGAGCTAGGAGGCCTCGTCAGGCTATACATAAGTAGAGAAAACAGAGAAAATTCGACAATCCTGAAGTGCATTTCCTACTGCCAAGCCTTCAACATCTCTACAGTGTGAGTCACGTGACACGTCACCGCAGTACATTTCGGCGAAATAGCTACACCAGAATTCGGCGATGCTAATGCTGGACCAGTGAGAATCCCATGGCCCATCTTGTTCTTGATTTTGTCCATGGACATTGTGGGCGTCACCACAAGTCACCTAGCTCATCAAAGTAAGTGACTCTAGGTATTCTCATGTTTAGTTAGAGCACGCCATTGTTGGCATATTCCAGAGTTGCTAAGCCGAGTGATTACACTCATACGAGATCCTGCAGAGACCCCTTACAAAACGATGAGACCATTGAGGATAGAGGATTCCACCCAATCAATCAGATCACATCGCCACCAACAGCGTCCCACTTTACATTCATACACATCTTACGCAATTGTTCAATCCATCGACCTTAGCCTCCATCCCCGTCTAACTATTGCTACGACTAGTGTCTCTTTCACGTATTTGGAGTAAAAATTGAGCATCTTCATGCTTTCGCCACTGCCACATCGAAGAGCTGGTCCCAGAATCTCCGCCCCAGAAGACATGAGTGTCGACCCTCAAATAACTTCGTCTTACATGTAAGTATACACTGCCTGGCAACTCAAGGCTCGTCAGTGTACGTCCCACTGCATACGATCACTTTGCGAGTGCGGGGAGTCAGGTTGTGGGGCGTGGGGGACATGAGTAAGAGCAGTGGCTAACCCACCAGCTCTTAGAACCATTCATTCTTTTGATCTCACATACTGTCGTTGATTTAAGATACACTGTCCGAAACATCATCCTCCACGCTGAATGAATTCTTGCTGGCGTAAAAACCCCGCTTTCCAACAATGGAGCAAACCTCGAGTCGTACATACCGCCGGCGAAAGCGTAAGTTGGCGTGCAAATACTGCAATTCTCGCCATATACGATGCAAGATGCCAGAGCGGTCCAACAGCAGCATCAGAGGAGCTGGAAATTTCGGTTCATATCAATGTCAAGCCTGTTTGGATGCCAACAGAGAGTGCGACCTTGGCACATTCCCCATCACCGTGGATGAAGACTTCCAGTCTCAGACTCAACCACCACAGCGTGCAAAGGGCAAAGCACGTCGGCCGGACACAGGCAACCCTGACCAGCAAACTTATCCCATACTTTCAGAAATGTCACCCGCACACCTTTCAGAACATCACGACCACAGCACACAGAATGGCGCTTCGAGTCTTCCTTCAGCGGGCGGACAGGTCCCATTCTCGCCTCAGTCCAAGAGTACCAGCCCCCAGGAAGGCTCAGAGATGCTCCTTGTACGATTAACGGAGACGCCGCAAGGCGAGAACGGAACTCGCCACCCTGTTGAGATGACTGACAGAGTCTTGTACTTTGGAGACGAGTCGATTTGGTCCGACAGCCTACGGAGAGCTCGAAGCAGCAAATTCAGGTATGCTGCAAGCCCACAGTCTTTAAGCACTAGAGCAGTCGATCGCAACATTCATTATGCAGTGCCGCCAACAGTGAGAGATCAACCTCAGAACACGGCACAGGATGATCTCGATATACAGCAGGAGGAAATGAAATTGCTCCAGAGGAAAGGTGCCTTTTCCCTACCCCCTTCTGATGTCCAGAGAAAGCTCCTCGACACCTACTTCATGTGGATATATCCTTTACAGCCGATCCTCGACAAGGAGCAGTTTCTCGAGGAATTTGAGAGGGGCCAGGCGCCCATCATTCTTCTCCAAGCATTGTTGTTTGCTGCCACTACCTGTTGTGATGAAAGCATCATCATCCCACTTTGGCCAAGTCGCCGAACAGCTCAATCTACCCTGTACAAGCGGGTCAGGGCGCTGTACGATGCGGATCACGAACAGAATCACGTCACAGTCATCCAAGTTCTCTACCTCATGTGTTTCTGGTGGGGGAGCCCCATGGACAAAAAAGACTTCAGCCACTGGCTGGCAGCATCTATCCATCTGGCACAGGTGACGGGCATGCATCGGTCGTATGGTCAAGTCCCACGGTCTCTACCACGTGAGAGGCGGAATTATTGACTAAATGCATAATAGGACCAAAGACTCCCATCTGTCGCTCAAGGACAGAAAACTCTGGAAACGCATTTGGTGGACTTTATATGTGAGACCACACACCAATACCGCGAAACTGCCCACACAATCTCTGATTCACTAAATGAGTGGTCCAGGTACGTGATCGTTTCGACGCCGCATCAGTGGGCCGGCCCATGATCATCAACGACGACGACTGCGATATTGAACCGTTGTGCCTGGTCGATTTTGAATGTGACGAGAACGGAACGCCGCCTCAAGGAGCCGGACACTGTGTTGAGATGACGAAATTAGCGACGTTAAGTATGCGCTCTCCAAAACTGCATCTCTGGCCGCTAAAGCAAAGACAACGAAGCTAATGAGAAGGATTTCGGGTAGTTGGCCGAGCAGTTCGAGCCGTCCGGTCCGCCCAAAGTCACTCTGAGTCAACAGATCCAAAGAGAGCGATCGACGATGATCTTTCGGCTTGGGAAAAGCAGCTTCCAGCGCCCCTACGCTACCACGAAGGGGCACTCGACCCTCAGGCCATGCTATTTGCAGCAATGCTATCGTTCGGCCTTCAGTATGTGTTCACGGTGCAAATGGATTTTGCTTGTTTTCTACCCTGTAAAACTTGGAGTGTGGCTGACGAACACGGCCAGCTTTTGCCGCATTGTCCTACATCGAAAAGGCTTCCTAGATGCAAATACCAAGAACGAATCCCTCTCAACGGCCTTGGCGTCGGCTAACGTCGTAACCCGTCTCGTCGAGGAGTTACTCAGTGAAGGTCTCCTGCCGAGGGCACAAGTACATTTGTAAGGCTTTCATACTGTTGTTTTGATCTGTTCAACTTGACCACAGCGCACAGCGCGGCTAACAATATGGCTTTGAGCGGATAGAATCGCGGTCATTTTTGCCTCCTTCACAATACTTGTTGTTTCCATGGAGCAAGGCCAGGGAGCACGCAGGCGAGTCCTGCAACACAAATCCAAGCTGTGCCTTCTGGCTCTTGCAGAGTTTCGTGATTACTGGCCATTTGTGGACTGGATGTACCGAATGTTCAGTAACCTTTTGCATTGGCTGGAGGTTGGAGACCACCCCTCTGCTTCCTCCTCGAGCGAAGGGAACAACCAGACGCTGTGGACCACCCAGCTTCGTCCGAACCACATTCAACTACCATCACAGCAGCAGCAGCAACCACCTGATTTGACGGACAGCGCCGTCGAGGTCGCTCACGATGACAATGCGGCCACGTCTATGCCTCTCTACGAGCAAGATGCAAGCTCCATGGCTGACGTCCAGCCGGAATATGGCATGCTCCAGCAATTCATGTCCGGTATGCTAACGTCAGAAAACTTTCTCGACCCATTTATGCCTTTGGACAGTCTCGAGTGGGACGATCCAAGCATTACCAACTTGGCCAATCTGCCGGGAAATTCCATGCTTTGGACTTCTACACCGTTGCCTATGGTGGACAAAGGGTCCCTGTCCTGAGGAAGCCCTTTCGTCCTTTCCTCATTGATACTTCGCAACCTCTTCAGCAACGATGGATTTGCCACCATTACTCTTGCTAAGTTCTAGCATCCCTGTATATAGTGCCTTCGACCTAACCCATTCCATCATGCCCAACCCGCATGGTTCGATATCCTGATGTCACCTTGGTCAACCGTTGGTATTCAGTACCATTCCACTAGGCTACACCAATGTACTTGCACCAATTTGGGCTTGGGTTACGGGCGATCCATCCACCGTCGACGATAAAAGCTGTGATTGTGATCAGTCAGTGTGGTCCACAGACGACGAGACTTTCTCTTTGTTTTCAGCAGTGAGGAAACACTCACGATGTCCAGTAATGTAAGATGCTTCGTCTGAAGCCAAGAAAAGGACCAGTTGGGCTACCTCGTTCGGGTGCCCTCCACGATTCATGGGGATGCTCTCGAACAGTTCTTCCCTCAATTTTTCATTCTTTAACGTCCCTTCCGACATTGGAGTATCCATGAACCCGGGACACACTGTCAATGCGCGAATTCCGTCCCGTGCATGGTCCAGGGCGATGGTGCGCGTGAGATTGATCAAGCCAGCCTTCGCAGCATTGTAGGAAGAGAGACCATAGTCTCCACCAATGCCGGAAATACTGGCAGTGTTCACGATGACTCCCTTTCCTGTCGTCTTCATGTGGGGAATGACAGCTTTGGCGAGATAGAAGGCGCCGCAGAGATTGGTCATGATGACCTTATTGAAAATATCGACGTCGTGCTGAGCCACCGGGACAATCGGACTCAGCATTGCTGCATTGTGGAACAGGACGTCGATTCTTTTAAACTTGTCGATGCAAGCATCGATAGCAGCGAAGCAGGATTTTGGATCTGGATAGGTGTGGTGTCTCAGTGTCAGCTGTGTTGCGGTTTGCTAGAAAGCCAAATTATCGTACCGATCCGTGTAGCAGCAGAGGTGTGGAAGGGCACAGCAGCGAGTATCACAGATGTGAACGAGTCCAAGGACTATCGAGACAAAAATGTTTTACCTGAGACATCACACTGGTGGAAGTGAGCGTTCGGACCAAATCGCTGCAATGCATTTCGCTCCTCCAGATCCGTAACAAATACTCTGGCGCCTTCACCTAAAAATCGCTCGCAGACCTGTGCTCCCAGTCCAGAGGTAGCCCCAGTAATGAAGACCACGGCATCCTGAAAACGCCTCGCCATGCTTTCATCAATGTATTGGACGATCGATCAGCGAACGATTGCAATTACAAATTGGCGTCCAGGGAGTTGTAGCTGTAATGACGAAGAGAATATGTGTGCTTTTAATCAGTTGCTCTGATGGTGAGGCTCGGTGTAGGCTCACAAATGATTTAGTAGCTTCGGCGAACAACACGTCTGTTTTCTCTTGATCTACCAGTCAGTCGAGGTCAACTAGTTACGGCACACTGGGCCCCTAGCCCACCATATTTTTCAGTGGCGGTTAGACACCCGGCCGGCATACTTCTTTCCGCAAACCCCAAACGCAATTTCGAAATCGTTGCCTGAGCAAATTTTGTTTGGCGCCTGGCTCAAATTTCGCCGAAAGAATGTTTTTAGACGAAGGCTGGACGAAAAGCCAAAAATCCCACCTCCAACCATACCTCCACCTCTAACAAGGAGCTATGGACATTTATGCTTCAAGAGCCTTCGCGAAGCTGCATGTAGGAGCAAATAAATGTGTATCTAGTCACAGCCAAGGCACATCGTTACGACAAGGAAGAGCTAAATACCAACCACTACTTACACCACATACATGTTCCAGTAATGGCACCCCTATTGATGAACGGGTACAAACCCTTTCCTACGGGGCAGTGAGTCTTATACTGACCATGCTAACAGAGTCGGCCTCGTCACTGGAGCTGCCTCCGGAATTGGACGAGCATGTGCCAAGATCCTGGTCGAGGAAGGATGTACGAGGCTCGTGCTCTCGGATTTGGCTGAAGCGAGCCTGAAGGAGGTCTCAGATGAGCTCAAGGACATCGATCTTTCAGTGGAAACTGTTCTTTTCATAGGAGATATGAGCAAAGAGGTCGACGTCGACCAGATGATCGAGCTCGGCGTGGCTAGATTTGGAGCAATCCACTATTGCATCAATAGTGCTGGCGTGACAAGTAAACCTCGACTGCGGACGCATGAACTGGAGGTGGAGGCGTTTGATCGGGTTATCAACATCAATCTTCGAGGCCTATGGCTTTGCGAAAGGGCACAGATCCGCCAGCTCCTGAAGCAAGAGCCAACAATCAAAACTCGCAATCATGCGCAAGGGATAGCGGCCCAGCGAGGAGCCATCGTAAACATCAGTAGTATATTCGGTCTAACAGCACACGCAACGGCTGGGGCGTACCCGGCCTCGAAAGCTGGAGTATTGGGACTGACACGGACGGACGCAGTGGCGTACGCGACAGACGGGATCAGAGTCAACGCGATTTGCCCTGGTTTTATCAACACCCCCTTGGTGGAAAAGGCCAAAGCCGCAGGCGCAGACTATAACAAACTCATCAGCTTGATCCCGTTTAGACGGATGGGCACTGCCGAAGAGTTGGCAGAAGCAGCCGTGTGGTTAGCAAGTGAGCGAGCAAGTTACGTGAGCGGTATTGAAATGCCGGTGGACGGTGCTTGGGTTAGGGCGTGCAACACCTGAGGATTACAATCTCGAATGAGGGTAGATAAAACAGGAAAGAAAACGCAGGCAGTCCGTATCAGGAGCTCTGAATATGTGTGTAAACACGATGATAATGAAATAACTAATATCATGCGGAGGACTATCTAGCAATGGTTTGAGACCCGGATAAAGGACAAGAGATGATCTATGAAGGCGGTGCCCCAAGACCATTCATGGCAAGTAGATCGAAAACTTACATAGACAACAGCAATTCTCGAGACTCGTCATAGAGTAGACAGATAATATTGCAAAGCATTTAAACATGTCTATGATGGAGAAACTGGACACATATCGAATTTGATTTTCATAACGTGCGGCTAAGGCGTCGCACCTGCCAGCTGCTCCGCGAGTCCACAGTATCAGTTCTCGCAGTGATGTTTATTTTGTAGGCGATGGTGAGCGTCTTTCGGCTGTGTGCAGTACGTGATAAGTGTAGAAAGATATTGGATCACCCTTCCACATGAACTCCTCGCAGTTTTAGATGTGGAACGGGACAACTCAAAGGCGATCCGTCTCGCGAAAGAAGGCACGGATTACAAATCATCTTCAAGAGATCAGGCCGTGAGCATGATGGAGTTTAGGTTTTCAAATTCGCCGAACAGCCAAATAACAAAATAGCAAAGTATTACCCGGGAATTCTGAACCAATGTCAATTCGATGCTAGCATTCTCCAGAGAAAAATTTCCGTCTTCTTTTCTTGTACTTAGAGCACCACTTCAAGGATTTCAAAATCGCGCGTTGACTTCTTGCTCCAGGTTTAGCAAACATCATGGCTCATGTGGCAAGCAAAACGTATCATGTGCGCTCAGAGGGCATCTTCCACGGACTGCCAGTCATTGATGCTGCTCGGAAGAGCCTTCGAGCTATAGTTGTTGGCGCAAGTGGTCAGTCTGGTCAACCGGTGGTCGACGTGCTGAGCTCCAGTCCAGATCGATGGGAGAAGGTCTATGCTCTGTCAAGGAGGTCGCCTAAGACAGAGGCGAAGAACGTCGAACACATAGCAGTGGATTTGCTCTGGGAGCCAGACCGCATTGCTAGTGCGATGCGGAAGCACAAAGTCCAAGCGTAAATCGGCCCCAATCCATTCATATTCTCGTACCAGGGACGAAATTGACAATTCTATCTGACAAGTGATCATATATTCTACTTCGGCTATGTTCAGATTTCTAGACAAGATGTCAAGTCGTCGGTGTTCGGGGATGCAAATGACTTGGCTGAAACCAATGGTGAGAAGCTATCTACGGGAAACGTTAAAGCCCTTTTTTAATGGTGCCGCACAGGACGGCTCTTTGAGAACTTCCTCCTCGCCTTGGATCGAGCGGATATTCACCCTAAAAGAATAGTGCTCCAGACTGGGGGCAAGAACTACGGCGTTCACCAAGGACATGTGAATGTCCCCCTCACTGAGGGTTCTCCCAGAGTGGAATTAGAGCCCAACTTCTACTACACCCAAGAGGATTTGCTGGTGAAATATGTCCAAACACACCCTGGGGTCAGCTACAACGTTACTATGCCACAATGGATTTTGGCTGCTGTTGCTGGTACAGACATGACAATCTTCTATCCGCTGGCAGTTTATGCTTCCATTCAACGAAAGCTAAAGAAGCCCCTAAAATACCCCGGTGATTTGGCATCTTGGGACAACAATCATCCTATATCGACGGGTGTCATTCTCGGTACATTTTACGAATGGATGGTACTGACCGACGACACCGCAGGCGAATCTTTCAATATCACCGACGGATCAGAGTTCACATTTTCCAAACTATGGCCGATTCTGGCGTCGTGGTTTGGTTTGGAGTGGCTTCCCCCTCAACAAGATGGCAGCTACCATGAGGTAGAGCTGCCATATGTTCCGAGAGGGTATGTCAACGCTGAGGAACCCTTAGATTTACGTCAGGTTTCGCTTGCTGATTTCGTATGTTAGATATGGCCCAAAAGGCAAGCTCCGATCGACTTTCAGCTTCATCGATTGGGCAAAGGACCCAGCAACTCGACAAGCCTGGACTGAGCTGAAACAAGAACATGAACTCAACACCGAGCCTTTACAGAATCCCGAGAGGACGTTTGCTTTCCTACAATTTGCGCTCGAGCTAACATGGTCTTGGTCAACGAGGTTGGAGACTACCATAAGCCACGTCCGAGCAGGGCCATGCTAACAGGAAATCTAGTATGAACAAGGCCCGCAGGTTTGGGTGGCATGGTCATGTAGATTCCATCGAATCTATGCACGCTGTGTTCAAAAAGTTTGCAGAAATTAAAATGCTTCCGCCGTTCTGAAAGGAGATCTTCAAGCCAAACCACAAGGCGATCTATTGGCGTCATTGATTACCAAGATAGGAGTGCGGCAGGTTAACAGGTACTAATCTGGCGGAAGTGCAATCGTGCTCCGATTATCAGCATGGCAATTAGGAACGTTAATTCAACCCCGTTCTCAGTGTTCGTGCATGCACTCGCCGTAGTTTCAGGAAAACCCCCATGAGTCGCCGTGCTGCAACAGACTTAGCTAGAAGAATAGAAGAGAACCTATCCACTGTCTCCAAGGCCTTTGAATATTGTAGATACTACCCGACACCCCATTCACTGGAAGCCGTTAGGCGCACACCACAGTATACATGGCTCCTGTTAACAATGTTGGCCGAAGGCGTCAGGAATATCAGCGCTTCGCCGAAATGCTTAGGGATCCACTCAAGAGCTCAGTCCATTACTTGCAGCAGCCTCAGCGGGCCGGATTCTGTAGCGGGTAGAGCATCTATAGGTCATATTTGCCTTGTATTCCTATAGACTGCCGCAACCGATATCAGCTCACAGTGAGAACGTTGAATAAAATCCCATCCGCGAAGCACCTAAATCTTTGGATTGTAGTTAAATAACGACAAGGTTTCTACGGTCCGCAGAATAAAAACGTTTCAAACACTATGAAGCGTGTTCTCCTTACAGGTGGCTCTGGCTTCATCGCGACGCACGTATTGGACCAGCTAATCCAGCGAGGATACAGTGTGGTGACGACTGTCCGCTCTGCAGCCAAGGCCAACAAGATCAGAGCTGCATACCCAACCATAGGTACAGATCGACTGGATTTCGCGATTGTGGAAGACATTGCGCTAGAAGATGCCTTTGATGACGCTGTCACATCCTCTCCGCCGTTCGACGCAGTCATCCACACGGCCAGTCCGTTCCATTTCAACGTCACCAATGTACAACGAGATCTTCTCGATCCTGCAATCAAGGGTACAACTGGTGTTCTACAATCGATTGTCAAGAATGCGCCCACGGTCAAACGAGTCGTCATTACTTCCTCCTTTGCCTCGATTGTGAATCCCTTCAAAGGATCATGGCCGGAGCATACATACACCGAAGAAGACTGGAATCCCGTCACTCTGCAACAAACCTCGGAAAACATTGCCAACGGCTACCGAGCAAGTAAGACATTTGCCGAGAGAGCGGCGTGGGAATTCATGCAACAAGAGTCGCCTCATTTTTCACTAACGACGCTGTGCCCACCACTGGTATTGGGACCTGTGATAAGCCACTTAGGCAGTCTGGACAACCTCAACACCAGCAACCAAGTCATCCGTGATTTGGTCCAAGGGAAACACAAAGACAAGGTCCCGGACAATGCCACCTTTACCTGGGTGGATGTGCGTGATCTCGCGCTCTGCCATGTCCTGGCCTTGGAAAAGCCCGAGGCTGCAAATCAACGCTTTCTAGTCTCCGCCGGCTTCTTCTGCAATGGGGAGCTCGTGGACATAATGAGGAAGGAACATGATCGACTGCGGGATCTGTTGCCTGCCGAAGGTAGCCCTGGTGGCGGTTATCCAGAGGATGGACTGTACAAAGTCGACAACAGCAAGGTTGTCAAGATCTTGGACGTCAGCTGGAGGAAATTGCCTGATACCGTCACGGATACGGTCAACTCGCTCCAACAGTTCGTATTGTGAGTGTGAGAGGTTAGAATCTCACCACCAGCCAGGAACGAGTTAAAAACTCGCCACCAGCTCACCAGGAGATAGGAACGCATTACAACATATTTCTTCAGTTCGTGCAGAGAGACTAACAAAGATTCCATAGCGGGGATTATCAAGCCAGCTCCTTGTAAGATTAATTACACAGGATCCAAAAGTATTCTAAATACGAAGTCGCTCGCTGTTCCCCAGAGCCCAGATAGAGCATTGGACAATCTCCCCTTTTCGTTTCGCCCTCCGTCCTTTGATACTCCTTGCATTTGAAGATTTGTATGCATACTCTCATCATAGTCTTGGATCTCCTTGTGTCTACTAGCGCTGGGGCCTGATGGAGGGTTGCGGCTCCAATGACAATATTGAGAAACACCCGGACTCGCGGTATTCACGTAGTAGCATTCCAGCATGTAATTTAGTATCTGCACGAGGTTTTTTCGAATCACCAGGTCTCGCACAAGCACTTTGCTCAATCTCCGTGTCTCGTGAAAACTGCCGTCGTCAGCCACCAATCTTCTTATTCGCCGGAAATTCGCTCCAGAAAGAACCTCACCTACGTCCTGTCTGGCGCCATGAGGATGCTAGAGTATATCTCTGTCCCAAACCCGTGGACCCACAATGCACACAGCAGACAATTATGGATCGCGTCACGAACGCTTTACTTGTATTCCTACTTCCAGGCTATGCACAGCCAGACTGCGTGTAGCGAAGCGTGCACAAGCAGCACGTGCCGCCACCTCCGCAATCCATTTCGGCGAAAGTTGTCAGCTACACAACTGGGCAACATTTTCTCGTGCGACAACTTCCCCAGAGAGCTCTGGCTCCCCCCAGGCAGAGTCGTCTGTACCCCAGACTTACGTGGGACTAATCCTGTCCCATGGGCCTCGAGCATTGGCTATATAGACACTTGCTATAACCACATCCCGATGTCTCGCACTCTGTTTTCTACTACACTGATAGACCTACCCATTCTCACCTATCTTCTCGCAGTCCATTCGCACCTAGCCTCATTGTGCACATTCACTTTGCAATTTATGCAGTATGGGTGACGACAAAGTGGAATCCGAGAATTGGGAAGTCCGGCCCGAAAGGGTCGACATGGAACATTACATACAGGGTACGTCTGTCTGTCTGTCACGAGCGCTTCGTCTTATACTTCTGAACGTTACTCATTTCGTGTCTTGCCCATTAGCCGAACCTGCATGGGCGAAGTACATCCCAGGAGGCTACTCAAAGTCGAGATGCCTAAAATCATCGGGCAAGCCCATGGTGGCATCCATCCTTGTCCTCGCAGGGACGTGTCTGCTTTTCTTTGGCTACGATGCTGCAGTCATGAGTCTGGTCAATATCAACCCCGACTATCTGCAGCACATGGATTCTGCTGGAGGCACGAACCGTGACGCCGCCCGCATCGGAGGGATCGTGAGTTTTTGGTTTCTAGGCTTCCTCGTAGGTATGTACCTGCCTCAAACCAGTGCTTTGAGCCTTTTTCCCCTCTGAAATGCTTGCCTTGCGACCGGGGAGGATTCCATGGGTCCACATTAGCCGAGAAGAGCGGGAACCGGTGTTGACATACCATTGCCTTGATTGTACAGGTGCGATTATGGCCGGAAGCTATGCCGACAAGATTGGTCGACTCAAAAGCATCCAACTGGGATGCGTCTGGGGAATTGTGGGCGCGTGTCTTTTGACTTCTGCTCAGAACTTCTCTTGGATGGTGTGTGCACGGATTCTTAGCGGCATCGGCTGCGGTCACCTCAATACCATAGCCCCCATTTGGACCTCGGAACTCGCAGACTACAACCTACGGGGCGCATATGTTTCGGTGCAATTTACCATGTGCGTCGCTGGTGCGACTATGTAAGCCGGACAGAACATATGAGCCTGGCCTTTTGACTTACCCGTACCAACTAACATCCGTTGTTAGGACTTATTGGATGGAGTACGCTTGCCTCAAGACCACGTCTCTTCCATTCGCCTGGCGGTTTCCACAAGCTTTCCAAATGTTTTTTCTACTACTGATTGTTGTTGCGGCCAATTTCTTTCCCGAGACCCCTCGCTATCTGGCAAAAACAGGCCGCTTCGAAGAGGCCCGCGAAATACTTCACCGTTGCCGCCTCCGGCCCTCGGAACAGGCGATTGAGCAGGAACTTGCGGAGATTCAAGAAGCGATTCGCATCGAGGCGACATCATCGGCTCATGGTTTTCTTTCCATGATATGGCAAAAGGATGCTCTGCATACCCGCCGTCGCGTTGCCCTGGCCATGGGTATCCAAGCTATGGAGAAGCTCTGTGGTCCTGATGCTATTGCAGCCTATGGGCCCATCATATTCGGTCTTAGTGGATGTGAGTACCTTGAATCCTTGTCTATGCCAACTTCACCTACAGAGAAACTTTGCTGATCTGTTGACATTGGCTAGTCACTGGCAACTTGCCTGCTATGCTGGCTGGCTTCAACTTCATATCCTACACATGCAGTGTACCAATCGGCATGTACTTCGTAGAGCGAGCCGGTAGGCGAAAGCTGATGTTGATTGGATTGTTGGTCATGGGCTGTTCTCTGCTCATTGCTGGGCCTCTGGCGAGAGAAGCCATCAATACACCAGAGACCGAACTGTCCAAAAAAAGAGCTTACGGCGCCGCAGTGGTGGCATTCGTGTTCTTGTATACCTGCGGGTTCGGCAGTACCTGGATTACCTGCTGGTAGGACTTCTCTGCGGCTTTAAGTTTGACCGGTTTGGTCGCTAACATTCATGACAGCTGGGTCTACCCGACAGAAGTCTTTCCACTCGCCACACGAGCAAAAGGTGTCTCGTTATCGATGGTGTCGTTTGCCGTCTGGGGTGCCGTCATCAACGAAGTCATCCCCTACGTCATCAACGCGGTGGGATGGTGGGTGTTCGTCATGTTCGCGGTCATGAACTTCATCCAAATCATCCCCGTTTGGCTTTTCTATGTCGAAACAGCGAATCGACACTTAGAGGATCTTGACATTCTGTTTGCCAGCGACAGTCCTTTGGCGTATAAAATGGAACGTGAGTTTGCCGAGAAGAAACGCGCCCTTGGCTTTCACACCGATGTACAAGAGGTCCTGCAAACCGCATGAGACACTTGCACCTTGTGCCTGGAGATCCTGGCGATGCGAAAGCCTCTCCGCCACCGAGCTTGAAGGATAAAGACAAATCTTCATAGTCGCCTGGCATCCTTGTTGACCATTTTACTTGCACACGCTCGGTCAACTATCTCATAATTTGAAGTCAAATATCCATAACAAGGGATGCATTTCTAAATAGCGGTGCTTTGCACGATGATGGTTTGTAAAGCTCTAGAAGCTCTACCGTTAATCGCCCTACTCGAGTACTGCCGGCCCAAACCTTCGGTGCACATTACGAACGATTACAACAGGACGGCAAGGTTGACTTTCCAATGTGCCGTGATTGAAGTCAACGTCAATCCATTTCGGCGAAAGAGACATTTCTCGATCGTATTAGTTGAGTGATGGAAATAGTAGTTGACAGACGGCGATATGCAAACTAATTGCCAGTCTGTTAGTAGTAATTGCCTCTTTGCTTGTTTAAAGCACTTGCTACCTTTCTGAACGATACTCCTGACTTTGATGGAGTAAATCGCGGATATCGATACAAAGAGAGCTCGGTACTATGGAGGTCCCATCGGAATGCTGGGCAGCTGTTGTGGTGCGTAGAGGCTGCGCTCTTTGAAGAAGGCGGCGAGGACTTACACACGTAGCAGAAGAATGAAGGACCCAATTTCTTCCTGGAGGTTGAGAAAGTCCCAGTGCCCATCATCGGTTTGAGTCTCACAGCCCCCCAAGACTTCCGCTTGCTGATCACAACGTTGGCAGGGCCTTCGGAAGTTCTCATCAAGCTCAATGTGACGGGACTATGTCTTACAGATGTGCATTTTATGATGAACGATTGGGCGTTCCCCAAAATGTCGGAAATGGGTCTTTCTTGTGCAGGCCACGAAGGTGCTGGAGTGATTGTGAAGATTGGTGAAGCCGTGAAAAGCTGCAAAGTCGGCCAAAGAGCAGCATATGGTCCCATTCACAGTACGTGTGGTTTATGTGAGTACTGCTTCTCGGGAAAAGAGACATACTGCCAACAGGCGGTCTATACAGGCGGAACAGTGGACGGTATGCTGAAAAGATTTGCCGCTACGTGAGTAGTCTGTGTTGCTCATATAAGAATTTCTCACAGGAACGTACAAGCAGTATTGCACCGTCCCAGAAGGGTTTGTCCATGTATGTTCTCAAATACAACTGCAGATGTATGCGGCCAAAAACTAATACACTGTAATGCATTCAGTTGATTCCCGAGGTATCTTGAAAACTTAATGTTAATTGGCCGTGACTAAAGCAAACACAGGGGGTTTCTGACTACGTGGCAGGGCCCGCCATGTGCTCTGCAGGGACCATGTACTCTTCCCTCAAAGAGTCCGGCCTTAGAGCTGGAAACTGGGCCGTTTTCCCTGGCGGAGGAGGTGGAACGGGAATCCAAGGCGTTCAGCTTGCCTGTGCCATGGGCATTCGACCCGTCGTAGTTGATACTGGTGAAAGTCGACGATCACTTTCTCTAAGCCTTGGTGCTGAATGTTTTGTCGACTTTTTGGCGGAAGCGGACCCAGTTAAGAAGGTGGTAGAAATCACCAATGGAGGTGCTCACGGCGTCTTTGTTAGTGGTATGTCTTATTTGAGGCTAGAACAGCTTTTCTAATTGAGATGCTGACTTGATCCAGCGGTACAGGCTTATCAGGTCTCGCTCGACTATCTCGGTTCACGTGTTGGTGGGGTGGTAATGTGGTAAGCAAGGACCCACTACATCATTCACTTGATGAGGAGCGTAGATGAATTAAATCCTGGAGCAGTGTCGGACTCCCTCCAAGGGGCAGATATCACATTGATACGGATCCGACCCGGCTTTGCTTGAGAAACCAATCAGTTAAGGGAACCTTATCCAGCAGTCGGAAGGATATAGCTGAGATACTCGACCTTGCGAAACGAGGTGAGACAGTAACCTGGGTGATCGGTTATAGGTTGACGACTGGTGCTCACTGTTCGGCCACAGGAAAGATCCATCTCGAGCCCGCCGTGGTTGGCTTGAGCAAGTTCAACGAAGCCGTCCAGAGATTGAAAGAAGGAAATGTTGCAGGGTAAGTGATGAGCAGTATTCAGGTACGTGGCTGGGTTTGTATGTGGCCGCTGACATACGTATGTAGCCGCATAGTGGTCGACTTCAACCTTCCGTAGACGAGAGTTTCGACCCGAAGAAAAACCATCGAAGTCGTTCAACTCCATTAGTCTGACTAACCAGTCATTTCGCCGAAGTTCTCTTCAACGAAGATGGTCTCTTGCTGGCTAATATAAATCCTGACGTCTTCTGTGGTTCTACAGAATGGTATCCAGTAGGTTTTTTAGCAATGGATCTTCGCACCATTTGTTCCAGATATGCAGCTTGCATGAGTGACCGCAATTTCACACAGTTATCAGAATTTGTCTGTGATGGCGTGATTTACAATGGACAACCGCCAATGACGTGTAAAGAATATGGCAAGATGATCAATGATATTGTCAGACACTTCGTTAATTTTCGTCTTGATGTGGAAATGTTGGTTGTGGAATGCTGCACGACCGAACTCGACGGCATGGTCTCAGCAAGATTCAGGCTGAGCTACGATTCTCAAGGTGAAAAGTTGGTGATAGATCACACGGTTTTTTACGAGCACGTATTCTTTCGCTTCAAGGAGGGAAAGATTGCACAGATATGGCCACTGATCGCTTGGCCGGAAAAACGAGACTAAATTCGATACCCTCTTGAGCATTATGGAAACGCACTCCTAGTCACAGGATAGGGGGAGATAACGAAATGATCATCTTCATATGCTGCAGAAGATATCTCCACAAAGAACTGCACGATTTATCCAAAGGCTCTAGAATCGTCCCCATGTCATTCTCCAGGTTCAATGTTTCTACCAGGTGGCAAGATTGCCCCTGCCTGATGGCAATACTATGACGGTTATTTCTATAAGTTCCAGGTATTCATCCTTTTTCTCTCTTACAGAAAAAAAAACAACGAATCAAGCATCATACACTCGCCACCTAGGGCTTCAAATTACGCTTTCCACGCTTGTTTCACTTTTCCACATACCAAGCCAGGTCATTTCCCTTCTGTAGCTCATATTCCAAAAATCCGCTGCCCAAGAATCGAAAACGGTTTCTGCCCCTTGGCTCGATGTCAAAGTCTTCGGGCCGTAGGTCCTGGATTAGGCGTTTGAACAACAAGGCACTGCCAGCAAAGGTTGCCGTCACGCGCCCGTCAACAGTATTATTCTTGTACCAGCTCCGGCACGAGCCGGTCCAAGTCAAGGTCTTGTGGATCAGGTCCGAATAGACAATAAAATCGTCCACTGCACTCTGCTTTGGCACGATAGCTTTGATGTCCTCTGCGGCGATCTTCCAGATCCACTTGATCATGTATTCGGCACTCCATCCTAGACTCTCCATCAGAGAGCCATGACCAATCAGTGCGTTAGGGCCGGTGAACATGAAGTAGTTGGGCATATCTGTCGAGGCGAGTGACAAGTAGGACGAAGGCTCCTCGGCCCATTTGTCTGCGAGACTCACCGAGTTACGACCAATGACTGGATACTGAGGGCGATAGGAGACATCGAAGCCAGTTGCGCAAACAACTAATCCACTGTATTAGCTCGCTGGCTTCTTAGCAGGTGTGTCGAAGGGGCACTGTACCAACGTCGACCTTGTAGGTCTTCCCATCGGCGGTAAGGATGCTGTCGTCATCGATCCTTGTGATTGGGCTTTGAGTGAGCTCAACGTTGTCGCGCAGGAAGGCTTCCAGATACCCTTCGCCTGGTGTGATCCTCCGACAGCCTAACTCCCACTTCGGAATGAGTAGGTCGCACAGGTCCGAGTTATTTTTTAATTTGTTCCTCATCTGTTGACAAGCAAGATCATAAATCTGTTGGTTGAGTTCGGAGCCTTTCAAAAACTGCACTATTTGTCAGCAAATCATGATAATTCGTCTTTAACGGCTCCCATACCATCTTAAAACTGTCGTTGATGCTGTGTATTATCTGCTTGCGATATTGATGGTGTTTCTTAGGATCATTTTCAAAGGCTTGCTTCTCTTCGTCCGTATATTCAGGATTATATGCCTGGTCGTCTTTTCCAAGCAGGGACGCGGGGTTCATGGTGCTGACTATCCACGTAGGCCCTCGTTGAAAGCTTGTAACCTTGGTGCCAGGTAACTTGGCCATTTGAGGCAGTATCTGAATTCCAGATGATCCGTTACCGATCACGGCAATTCTTTTGTTGCTATAGTCGTATTCGTGATCCCAGCTGGCCGAATGGACTTTCTTGCCTTTAAATTGCGATAAGCCGGGAATCGATGGCCAGTTCCAGGTGCTGTAACTCACAAGTCAGCTATATCAGGGTGTTGATTCGTTTGATAGCAATTTTACCGCTAGGAAGAGCAGCTCACTTCAAGAAACCTTGTGCCGATATTAAAATGTCCGCGTAGTCCTCTATGATTGTGTTGTTATGCTCGACCTTTACCTGCCATTGGCCCCGGTCTTCGCGCCAGTAGGCGCCAGTGACACGATGGTTGTATTTAACGTCACGTTCAAGACCCCATTTTTGAGCTGTTTTCTTCATGTATGCCCAGATTTCAGGGCCAGTTGAGAAGAACCGTGTCCAGCAAGGATTGGGATCGAATGGAAAAGCCTTTAGGCTATTAGTGTCAAGCCTTACAGCAACTAAGAGCTAAATGCCAGAAAACGTACATATATGTGGGATGGTACGTCGCAGACGACACCAGGATAGGTGTTGACCATCCAAGTGCCGCCTAACTCGGGTCTCACTTCGTAGATCGTGTGATCAATCACATCGGCGAGTTGGGTATGTTGATGCTGGAACTTGTGAGCCAGCGTGAGTCCTGAATAACCTGCACCTATCGTGACGACACGAAGCTTTCTAGGTTTGTATGCTGGAAGCGGGTTCAATATTGTGCTCGCGCGTCTTAGAGAATGTGGATTGCCGGCGTGAGCAGTTGGCTCGGGTATGTTGTCAGGTTTGGTATCCACGCCATTGCAGGTGCTGTCGGGCGAAACCTTCGTGGCGCAAGTAGCAACACCATTTGTTTTACAATGGTGCGCCATTGTCTCGTGTTAGATGAAGAAGATGTCTTTGAGGAATGAGAGTGCGTTGTCCGCCCAAGGAGTAAATCTGATCTATGGGGATGGGGATGTGAATATGGTTGAGGTTATTAGTGCCATGTATATCAGCCTTGCCGGCGGAATGACCAGGTAATTGCTAGAATGCGGAGACCGGCCTGGGGATTTGGAGTCGAAATGGAGCAAGAAGTAGCTGAGGCGGGTAAATCTTGATCGTAGCTCCATTCTTCGCAATTCTTCGTGGGACTCAAATCCCCTTTCGGCGAAAACAATGACAGTTGATGTACGGCTAGACTCATCCTACCATTTAGCCGCGGAAAAGGACCTTGGATTGGCATGGCAGCGTTGTCCCCTGAAATGGTCAAGGTTAACGACCACCATCGCCGAATGCTTCTCTCCAGGGTTCAGTCTTTTCGCCTGTGATGGTTCCGTCTCCACACCGGGGAAGTTTGATACATGCTTCAGGAGAAATTGGTCTTGAATCACGGCTTCGACGCGCGTGTTTCACGACTCTCACCAACTTGTCTTCAACTAGCCGCCATCCACAGGCGATTGGTCTTGGGACCGCCTTTCTGACTTGCATGTTTGATAGCTCTCTGTCACTTGTTCTGCAAGCTGCCACCTCGACAGCAGTACTCAAAGCGTAGATTGTTTTCCTTTACGAGACCAAAACCGGGAAAGACAAGACATGGGTTCGATAAGGGAGACACTCGAGTATGACGCCGTCCTTATCGGTGCCGGCTTTGGAAGCTTCACTATGCTTCCAAAGCTGCGTAGATTAGGGCTTCATTGCAAGATATTTGAACGGGGTTCGGGCTCTGGAGGTGTCTGGTTCGTGCATCCAATGTAAGATATTGGCTGAAGCGTCTAACTATGGCATTCTGCAGGCATTGGAATCAGTGTAGGTGAAGCATTTCCTCGTGGCTGATAAGACGCTAATAATGCAGACCCTGGTGCCCGCGTCGACAGCGACTCACCAGCTTACCAGTTCTTTGATCGCGAGATCTGGGAGGATTTTACCTTCTCTGAGCGGTTCCCTGGGTTCCGCGAACTGCAAAAGTACTTTCAGCATGTGGAGAAAAAATGGGATCTTCGAAAAGCCATTGAATATCACAAAAACGTTACTTACGCACATTGGGATTCCGACTTTCAACGCTGGAGGATAGGTTGTTCTGATGGTGCAGAGACACGATGCAAGTGGCTGTTTGCCAATGTGGGATTTGCGGCTAAGGAGTAACTCGAGTTATATCTTACAATCGTTCTGTAACATGGCTAACACTGATATAGGTACAAGCCGTATCTCAAAGGTTCCGCCAACTTTGAAGGTGAAATATTTCACACCGCGCATTGGCCACACTATGATGTCGCTCTCAAAGACAAGCGAATCGCCGTCATCGGAACTGGGGCCAGTGGAATTCAGGTTATTCAAGAAGCTGGATCGGTCTGCAAGCATCTTACGGTGTATCAACGCACCCCTAATTTCTGGTGAGCTGCTGTCCATTTGAGGTCGGGGTTATTCTGATCGTCCTGAGTCTACCAATGCGACAGCGCCGTCTAGATCCCGTGGAAGAGCAAAAAAAGAAAGATAGTGGCGTTTATGAGGCGGCTTTCAAAGAGTGCGAGAAAACAGACGCTGGGGTGCCGTACCAGACAAACGGCCGCAACACCTTTGATGACACAAGTGAAGAGCGCGAAGAATTTTGGAATCAACTCGTGCAGGACGGCGGCTTCAAATTCTGGGTCGCTGGCTACGCTGATCTGACAGTGAACCAAAAGGCCAACGATGCCGCTTACGACTTTTGGCGCCGCATGGTCCTTCAACGCATCAAGGACCCTCAGAAAGCACGGCTGTTGGCGCCGAAAGTTCCACCGCACCCGTTTGGCGCAAAACGTCCGTCGCTAGAACAGAACTATTTCGAGGTCCTTAGCCAGCCAAACGTCGATATCATTGACGTGAACGACCTGCCTATACAGGAGATCAACGCAAAAGGCATCTTGACCGCTGCGGGGCAAGTTGATGTGGACTTGATCATACTCGCCACTGGCTTCGATGGCTTGACAGGGGGCTTCATGGACATTGATCTACAAGGCATTGGTAGGAGGACTTTGAAGGAATACTGGAGTGACGGGGTCAAAACATCCATGGGGATTTCGATCCCAGGCTTTCCCAACCTATTCTTCCTGTTTGGACCACAAGCACCTTCGACATTCTCGTAAGTGAATCCTTTGCTCCAACCCCTCCTGGGCTAACACTATCTTCTCAGAAACGGACCGTCCTGCATTCAATTCCAGGGCCGCTGGTTCGAGAATCTAGTCCAGCGAATGCTCGCCGACGGCATAGAAACATTGGAAGCCACCGAGGAAGCCGCCGATATTTGGGTCGAGAAAATCCGTGAGCGATGGGAGGCAACTCTGCTCCCCCAGGGCAAGATAAGTGTCTCTCCTCGTCGAAAGAGGGTTCCTTACTGACCTTTCCCACAGTTGGTGGAGCGGTGCCAATATCCCGGGCAAGAAAGTGCAACCTCTCAGCTGGGCAGGCGGGCTCCCCTCGTATATGCAGATGCTTGATGAGACCTTAGAAAGTAATTATCAGGGTTGGATTGTGGGGAGCCGGTCATCCGACTCCCGTGTGTCGTGAACATGGCAATTGATGGAAATGATGGGCATAGAGAGGCGCCATTGACTGTCGCGGATAGGGTAAAGACGTATCAAGGAGTGATCAAAATACAGTATTCCATAACTCGAATGTCAGGAGGCAGTGGAAGACATAATTCCTAGCATTGCTAACTTCACTTTGGCAACTCCGATATCGAAGAGTAGTTGCTTTTTAGATTGTGCGTTCAAATGTCATTTAGGAGTAAGGAAGGACTGCAATTGCTAGAACTACCACGGAAAGACCCTGTCGTCAACGAGACAATTACTTTGTCCAGCAAGTTTCCTTAGCTACATTTCGTGCCAAGTATGGCATAATTTGGCAAGTGTCGTCCGAGCTGTTTGCTGGTACTTAGTACTTGGTGTCTTGTTGACATACTCTATCCATTACACAGAAGCAGGCAAGTCGTTTGCTCCTCGTGGTATTCTGGCTTCGACCCCTAACATAGCTTCAACCAATACTTTACTGGTTCAACTGGAGACTCCAGTCTCCACGTCTCTGTCTCCCGCCTTCTCTAGAGACAATGCGACTTCGCCGAAAATTCGTCCTCGGCGAACAATCCTCGTTTTTTGTGCCGTTATGCATCGGAGAGCTTACAAGCTGATGTCTATTCGCAACGGACCTGTACGGATAAATGTGTACCTCGAAAATCTTCCCTATCGAGAAACAGCAGAGGTGATTTCTTCTCCGGGGCTGACGCGAGTATCAAATAAAACACTGAGATGGAAGGACCACGAAAGTTAATATCGTCTGACGCCCAATACAACTTGGCTGCCTTTGAGCCCTCGAGCGCGAGTGACCGCACAAAGGAGGTCAACCAATATCTCATTTCGGTCAGCCAAAGAGACCGGAAATGGTGGGAGGTAAGGCCCAGCCACGAGATCCTGAGAATCTCCCGATACAATAAAGAATCCTCAGGAACCCCCTTCTCAGCATTGGGACCTGCTGCCAGTGACGGGTCTTGGCTAATGAATGATATATAGGTTGGAGCGCAGGAATATCGCGCCATGCGAGAGGCTGGAAAGACGGTTTTTCCACCATATACCTTGCTTCCGCATGCCAGTCAAATCGACATTCCATCCAGAGAGATTGGCAGGTCCATTTCCTGTAGAATCATCAAGTCTAAGAACATCGACCACCGCCCTGGCATTTTTCTACATATCCATGGGGGCGGTTGGGTCCTGGGGACTGCTAAAGGGTGAGAGCAGTACCGCACCTCCCTTGAATTTGCTCCACGGCTGATGACAAGCTAAGTACTAAATATGAGAAGGCAGGACCCCCTTCTAAGTTATATTTCAGATAGCACTGGTCTGACAGTGTTCTCTGTTGAATATCGACTTGCACCAGAGCACAGATATCCTGCTGCCCTTCATGACTGCGAGGATGTCGCTGGTTGGCTTTCTCTGAATTCTCAGGCGACTGTAGGTGCTCCTGAAATGGTACCACTATCGTGCTGACTTTTCGTATCTAGCTAAATGCGGAGCTGTGGTTCTTGGGTGGAGAGGTAAGTGAACCTGCGTCCCAATGACTGAGATGTTCCAGCCAAGATGATCCAGTCCGCAGGAGCGACATTGTCTTCGCTAGCTCTACTACACCTAAGGAAAATTGGAAGAGCATCACTTATCAAGGGCATAATATTGAGCTATGGGTGCTTCGACTTATCCATCCTCCCTTCATTGAAACTTGCCCCAAAAGCGTCCCCAGTCTTTGGACTCGAAGACGCGGAACATTTCTACAGCACATATCTTGCCGACACCACTCTGTCCATCGAGGACCGCAAATGTGGACAGGTCTCACCAATGTACAATGATCTGTCTGGGTTGTGTCCAGCTCTCTTCCTGGTTGGAACCGAGGATCCTCTTGTCGATGATTCTGTGTTAATGCATTTTCGATGGCTGCGTGCTGGGAACCAGGCGATTCTCGTTTTTGTACCTGGAGGTGTACACGGTTTTACCCTTCTCGACGCATCTACTGTCGAAATAGCCACCATGGGAATAAACTATATTAGGGAGTTTATCCATGGCATTCTTTAACGGAGATCAAACTCAAGAGCAGATTGAGTACCAAGTCGTTTTCAAAGAAATCGGGCGGTCTGGAGGAGGGACGACGTTTGGGCCACTGCCGCAAAGTGGTCAGCAAGGTGAGCAGGCCCACCCAAGCCTGAGCCAACATTGAGCCGGACGCGAGCCAGTCTGAGCAAAAGCGGCACAGGGTCACGTGTAGATGGACACGCCGAGATCTGTTGGTGAAAACTACTCGTAGTCTTGGCTTGGGACTTTGGGAACAACCTCGACAGGAACAAGCCTCTTCTCAGTCAGGTCTATTTGCGCTACTCGAATTGTCTGTTCATTTCGTATTGCTAATCCACCTAACGAGCTTCATCTTCAAGCCTGAACTTCTTTTCTCGTTCAGTCACTGTGTGGAGTACACCGAATCGTCAGCCTTGTTGATCACCGGCGAAACCCTGCCCCCGAAGACATCCAGAGTACCCCGTGGATCGTTCAGTTTTAAATGAGCCTGAGAGCGCCACGAACAATGATCCCCTCAATCACGTCTCGAGCTAATAATAAGTCTGCTACCTGGTTCTTCCCCAATTACTCGGTACCCCGGTCCTGCATCTCGCGACATGAATGCGTCTCCAAACATTACTTGTAAGACCCTACTGTGCCCTTTCCAACGCGTCGTGAGCCGTATTTCTCTGCTATGTCACTTCTTCCCAGCATCGCGAACCCGCCCACACTTGCGAATTTGCACATATCTCATGCCTGCTCCGAGCAGAGAAAGACTACTCCGGCGTAAGCCCACAACAGTTTCGCCATAAAGCGTCATCTGCATCAGTGTGAACTTGCTGTGAACCATTTGCTCGGCTTCATACCTTCTTTTGGGCTTCTTTACCCATCCCTTCTCCACCCACGAATTCTTTTAGGAGTCCCGAGAATGCTTGACTTCGTAAAGTCTTGTGCAGACGCGGATTGTACTCATGGAGTTTGTGCCCGTCTCCGCGAATTTCAAAGATGTGAAGAAAAAACCGGCTTTCTGGTTTCCAACACGACCAAATTTGAGGCAGTATGCAAAGACTTGAAAGACACCAACTCGGAGCTGCAAGCTCGCATTGAAGATTTGGAAGAGTACGAGGTTGAGGCCAAAAATATACCAAGAGGAGATGGAAAATCGAGTAAAGTCACTGAAAAAGCAGAATGATAACTTGCAAAAATCCAAGGGTCAGGTTGAAGAGCGCCCTGTGGAGTCCGAGCTTCAGCTTCAGAAGATATCGATCAGGCTTTCGACAGTGAACAGCACCTGAATACGGTGAGAGAAGCACTGCAGACGGAGAAGGACGAAAACGGTGCTCTGAAAGACAAGCAGAAGGTCATGGTGAAAACGCTTGAAAAGCTCCACTACCACGTTGTGGAACTGACTGACTGTACCGTGTCAGATATGTGCACAGTGATATCCAATTTCCAAGAGTCTCTCAATGAGGCCATTAACTGCTGTGTCTCCGATGAGGGAGCAATAAGAGCTATGTTTCGACGGCAGGCTATGTTGCAACAAGCCACGGCCGCCCATTGCCACTCGCCTGACACTGAGGACGAGCTTTCTCTCAATACGACCATCACTGCATCTAGCCCTGTCTCATCGGACCGAGGTTAGCAACACGCCAGGTGTTTACCAGTTTGAGCTACCGACTCCGCTCTTGTCCTCACCCGACATCGACGAGAATGAAACGCGGCGAGGAGAACTTGCCTGGGTACGAGTGCCACCGAAACTCGGTTTCCCGAACGAAACACTTGTGTTGGAACGAAAGAGATTAGACTCAACCAAGAACGAAAAGTCGTCTCGTCCAAACACTGCACACGATGGAAACAACATGGGTGGAGCACAGGCAGCATCGGAGTCCACTCCGGGCTGCTTACCACCTACTCCGGATCGTCAACTCGGGCTCAACTCCAAGAAACTGTTGAAAGCCGACTTTGCATTCAACTATTCACCACCCCAAGGACCCAAGGGCAGCAGTATAGAGCTTCGAATTCGAGGGAGGAGCAAGGATGGCAAGAATAAAAAAATCTGGGGCCCAGAAGCGACGTGAACAGCGCGAACGTTTTCGAGGCGACTGTTACAGACCATGAACTGTCACCAACACTATACTATGAGCCTGCACGGTGGCTTCGTCGGAAGCTACGTCTCGTGTTCGGAAAAAAGCTGACCACCCCGAAATGATGAACCGACCCCGGCTCACCCGAGTGCAAACCTCACGCGTGAGGCGAGACACAATGCAATGATTGGCTGGTCCTCTCGGCGTGGATCGGCTAGAAACTGACAGACAGGAGAGCAATAATTACAATCTAGCCGATAGCACTTTTCGGCATCGTCCGGCAAGGACCGGTGCTGCGGCTTTGGTGCTTGCTTCTGAACCATCCTTTCAATGTATATTCGCTGTGTGATAGTAACCATGTCGCGCAGCTCTGTATTGATAGTACTAAGGATAGCACTAGGAGGATTTCGGAGGAAGATAGGTTATTCTCTAGCTAAATAGGAGAGATAGCCGATAAATAAAGGCAAAGTGGAAAAGATGCTGGCTCAGGTTGAAGCCGAACATCGCTGGGACAAGGCTAAAGAAAAAAGGACAATCTGCCTTATGAGGATAGTATAAGTTATCACATATGCGCATAGTCTGTATATGGCTCCTGATCATGGCAACTCTACAACACAGTAAACGCATTGGCCTCCCCCAGCACGGTCCTCTAAATTTTTCATAAAGCTGACGCTTGATATTTTGTGAAGGCCTTTAGAACTGGCATGTCCCAGTCAGTAATGACGAAATGGCTGGTTCTTGAGACAGCCACTTCTTCATCGCCAGGATTTCAATGTTGACAGCAAACAACTTCCTCGTCCTGATATGCCCAATTCCGGTAGGAAGCTGGTCAGAGGACACAACGGGAAATGCCAACTGCAATGGGGCAATTAGACACGCTTCGTGACTCAACAAGACACAAGTTGCCTGAAATTACAAACGTGAGATAACAGCAGGGGAGTTCGATAGGAAGCTTCTTCAACCAACACTCTTCTTTTGTCCTCGTAGCAAGACCTTCAAAGGCGATCTCCATAATGGCCGCTGCACAGACAACAACTTCGACGAAGCTCAGCCTCTCCACCGCTGAGGCATTTAAGGGTTTGAAGCCATTCAGAATATAAATCGAGTGTGATGAACGGTATTTCTGTGGTCACTTGATCTCTTTTTTGGTTTTAGAACAACTAGCTGTTATCACAACCCGCACTTCACGGCTACCCCCTGCTGGACAGGGTGAACAACCTTCTTTCAACCTGCTAGAATCGGGGAGTAATTATGTACGCTTCTCAAATAAGGAAATCCTCCAGGTCAATGAACACTTCCTCGATATAACTTCCATCAGACCCTAAATTGCTATTCACCACATTCGGATTCTCCTGCTGTTCTTTCTCCTGATCGAGGCTCTCATCAGCCTCTGCTGGTATCAATACATGCTGAATTACTGATGGAGCATTGAGTTGAGAACCGCCATCGCTTGTATTCGTGACACTGCATTCATATGGTGAGTTGTCTCCATGATTGCGAACTCCGGACAGGGGCTTTGCCGCCAGTCCGAAGGTAGCAGTGTTGTTTGCTGTAGCAGACTCCTGTACCACCGGAGTTACGTCCCGGTGACATGATTGCTCACGATCGCCCGCTCGGCCAACGCTGGAGGACTTGTCACTGGCGAAACCGGCGGCGCAAATCATCGCCTCCTTTTTCGCATTCTCGCCCAGCCGATCTATCTCCTCACGGACGCATTCGATACTATAAGCAAAAGTAGCATAAACATATTCCGGATTCGGTGGGTTCTTGAATCTTTTGCTCCAATGGCTGTGAATGTTCAAGTGGCTGTACAGCTCGTACCGGAGACTCAATGGACATGCCATCAACCACAGTGCAAGCCGTTCGTAAATGATAACCAGGCTATGTTGCTCGGCGGCTTCGATGGTGGCGCGTCTTTTTTGCTGTAATGCTAGCTTTCGTATAGTGGTATCTCTCATAGCCGACGCCCTGACTGTGTTATGCTGAAAAATCGAAGTACTTTCAGCGTGAACGCTCCACGGAGTGTTATTTTTAGGTAGGGATCTTGTGTATTTCTCATTCCTATCGCTCACGTTAGAATAGTGTATCTCTCGATCGCTGATGATGGGTGTGCCGACCTTCCAGCGGCGCTGCTTTTTACTTTTCTGGGGCTTGCTGGGGTACAATTGCAGTCATCGGTTATACAATTATGACAAGGGATTCCATTGTCCACATTACATCTAATTTTTCGTGCTCGACACCTTTCGCAGGCAAGAAAGGCTCGCCTCTTCCGCTTCTGCAGTCCTGACATTTCCAAGGATGTCGCTGGAGACGGTGGTGTAGTCGATGACAGATTCATAGAGTGTAAATGGCTTATTTTCGATACAGAAGGGACTTCTGACAAGGTCTCCAAGGGACACGGGTCAGTAAATGGCGAGCCGCGTTCTATATGTAGTGATGAAGGGCAGACGGAAGTCATGATGAAAATGGAGACTTAGGAAGGTTTGAAAGCATAGGACGTAGCAAGCTGGCCAGCGAAATTCAAGTCAAGTTTCTTCCCCAGGAACGTGCGTTTCCAAGATCTTTCTATTTCAATTCATGGAAAAAAGTACATCTCTGCGAAGGAGTGGCTACTTTTCTCTGCTCTGTGTTTGGTCGCATATCGTCTTTTCGTCTCAGCCGTGGGACACTGCCAAGAAGACGCACTACATCGGAGTTAGCTTACAGATATGCTAGATACGGCTTATTCTCCATCAGTGGCAAGAGGAGAAGCGCATGAGGCTTGCAAGCCTATTTGCCCGACAAACTAGGAGAGCATCAGACCTTCGGCCCTTGGCATATGCTAACTTTTCGGAATGAGTTTCTAAGGTGCTTGGGGGAGCCACCGGAAGCTCCTAAAGAAAAGTCTTAGAACAAAACGCCGTGGTTGGTTCGGTGCTTCACGCTCAATTCCCGCTTGGATGTCAGTCAACACTTTCCGGATTCGTCCTTCTCATCCTTGCCGAAGGGATTGATCACCACAACGTACAGAAAGATGTTCTCCTTCGCGAACCGTATTTGTAGTCACTCGAGCAGGGTTCTGAGTTGACGAAGTTCTTTCCACCCCAATCATCAAAAGTCGACACAGCATTTGAAGAATTCAAAACCTCTTATTGCAACCTTTGCGTGCATGAAAGCCACACAAAATGGCAATCCTACACCCCACGGCAAATACCACCGACAGGACAGAGCTTGTACCCTCCCATGAAGGTCCTAATGTCTTCCCCAACTGCTCATTGTTTAGTAAGTTGCTTAGACACGCACGGAGGAATCGACTTGCGATCCGAGATGTCAATCTCAGCCTGGAGAAGACTTATGGAGATATCTTATCTGATGCACTCACGCTACGATCATTCATCGCGACCGCCCTAGGAAGTGAGATCATATTGAAGATTGAGCAAGGCGAAGAGGTCTTCATTGGAATCCTCGCCGCAGGAGGTTACGAATTTTCCGTCGCAGTATTAGCAGTGTTAGCACTAGGGGCCGCATTCGTTCCCATGACAGTGTCAGTGCCCGTGAAGGAGGCATCATACTTCGTCACCAAGTCACGACAGCCACTGATTCTAGTTTCGTCCGAGGTGGTCGAGTTGGGCAAGTCAATCACTAGCTTTGTCTCGCAACGGGGACATCCAGTTTCGACATTGGAAATACTACCACATCTACCTCCCACACCTACCTATGAACCTCTACAAATAGTCCTATCGGCAAATCGTCGGCTTGATGATAATCGAGCGGGACTCGTGATCTTCACATCTGGAACGACCGGTCGCCCAAAGGGGGCTGTAATGCGACGGGCATACTGCCACGAAGCCGCCTTAGCTATTGGTGAAGGTTACGATTTAGACCACCACGATGTTCTCCTCCATATCGTTCCCGTCCACCACACCACTGGCCTTGGGACTTCATTTTTTCCGTTCTTGGTCGCAGGTGCATGCATTGAATTTAAGAGGGGGAGCTTCGATCCGGCATGGATATGGAATCGATGGCTAACAGGCGGCTTCACCACCTTTTCAGCTGTACCGACCATATTCCTTCGACTCAAGTGGTATTTTGAACGAGAGCTTGCCCCAAAGCTCTCGGCGGACGATCTGAATCGTTTCGTTCAGGCTGCCAATCAGTTTCGCGCATTCATGTGTGGTTCCAGCGCCTTACCACAGCCTGTACAAGATTTCTGGACGGATATCCGCGGAGGACGACCGATCTTAACAAGATATGGCGCTACAGAATTTCCAGGTTGCCTTAAAGTCCCTGCTGAGTGCGGACCAGTGCCCGAGGGTTGCGTCGGCCTCCCAGTACCGGGCGTCGAGCTGAAATTGTCGGACGGAGACCACGGTGAGCTCCTTGTGCGCTCACCATATATGTTTGCAAAGTAAGTCCCACCCCCTATACGACACTTTAGTCTTCCCTTTTTCAATTCAGTGACTAATAAGCACTCTAAAAGATACCTTTATGACGATGCCGCAACGCTGGCCGCGCACGACGAAGAAGGATACTTTAAGACCGGCGATATCGTGCGCCGCAATGGCCCATTCTATTTCATTGAAGGACGCGCTAGCGTCGACATTCTCAAGTCTGGCGGCTACAAGATCTCCGCGCTGGATCTCGAGCGCGTTGCCTTGGGACTTCCCTATGTAAACGAAGTGGCTATCGTTGGGGTCGAAGACGAGGAATTCGGACAACGTGTCGGCGCCATCCTCACATTAAAACCGAATTCTCTTCCTGGTAACGATTTAAAGTTGGAGAAGTTGAGGCAGGATATGCGTAAGGAGCTTGCGAGCTATAAATTACCGACACTACTAAGAGTGTTCGGCACTGGAGAACTGCCGAAAGGAGGAACGGGGAAGGTGCAGAAGAAAATCCTCGGTCCGGAGCTGTTCCCAAGTAACTGGCGTGAAATCAGAGAGGTGCAGAGGTGGGAGCGAGCAAAGGATAAAGGACCGGTGGAACAGGGTGGGCATCTGATCGCGAGGCTATGAGCGTGAGAGCGGGGGTTGTAGTGGACGGGGTGGTCAGATAACTTAGTTGTCCTGGTCGTCTAAGATAGATTGCTTCATGGCATTCCGCCTTGTCTGATTCATGACAACTACCATAATGCTACACATGCTCATGCCTCAGGTCTGAGTGATGGATGGTTTTGCCAGTACCCTTGGATTTCTTTTTTGCAAGTCCTTTTAAACCAGAGATCCTCAACACACGGAAGGTTTGACATCTCTGATCTATATCGAAGGCTCCATGTATCACGATGGAACAGTTTAGATACAGTTGGAGGGAAGGAACGCAAATGGACAAGAAGCAAGCTCTCAAGCATTTTAGGACCTCATGGGTCATAATCATGGAAAACAATTAGCTGAGATTTCATTTCCATTTCAGGAGTGTCATACAGTCATATCTATCACGCAAAGTGACATACGCATAGAGAAAAAGTAGTCACTCCAACCACAGGTGGAGAGAAACATGAGACGGACGTATAATGATTTGGACACAGGGGTAACAAAGGTGTGAGTCAGTCGCGTAAACGGGCAGATACCCAAAATAAAGCGCGAATAGCGTTCTTTCCAGTATCGCCGTAGTTCTAGAATTTTCTTAAGCTTTCTCATTAGACCGATCGTGATTTTTCCTCTGTTAGGTACAGGTGAAGAAAGCTAACGGCCATTGAAAGTAGCAATCCGTGCTGGGAACTGTTTGAGTTGGCTCCTGTCAGCCGCAGTTTACGAATACAAGGTGTAATGGATAGTTCATGGTCTCTATTCTTTCTGCTTGTGTGTAGGCCTGTTCTCCTTTCTATTTGCTTTTTCATAGCAAAGAGATCTCCTTTCCATCGTCGAAGAGTTACCCCTATTACACTTAATCCTTAGTGGTAATGCAGGGGGCAACTACCAGTAGCACTACCATTACATTGCCACCTGCCAGTCTTAGGAGACGGATTATCGTTATTCTGTCGTCCCTAAGCAAGCGGAAAGTGATCGGTAACAAATCTATCGGCGATGCAGGTAGACATGAAGATAGCAAGGCTACTGCTTAGAGAAGAAAGGAGATAAAGTGAACCGTTAGTACATTTATCGCGGACACTGGACAGTGAGACATATGCTGATAGTAGAAACAGAGCTATAATTTCACAACTGGCTTCCGTGCAGTGTCCTTGCGATGCACAAAGCTGTTTTGTGCGTAATTTTTTCGAGCTTTGCCCCATAACTCATCACGCAATATACCATAAACTCCCATTCTCGCCTTTTCCTTCCATGTCTCTGCAACTGTTATAGCCACCTCCAGCATCACACTAGGGTCTGCAACGTCATCCACAATACCATCCATTTTTGCCTCCTTGCCCGTATACTTGTGGGCTTCCAACAATACCTTTCTTGCTATCCGGGGCCCCAGCTTTAAGCGTGGAAGACCACCAATACCATCATGATGTAGTCCGACATTGACGGGTGGCATTTGCCAATACCCACGCTGTGAGTTCATGACTCGATAGTCGTGTGCAAGGGTTAGCAGACAAGCCCCTCCGAAGACGTGACCGGTAATGCAAACGATGGTGGGGAACGGAAAGTCAAGGACTGTGTGTAGTAGTGGGTAAAAGCCATCGGAGGACGCAAATTTATCTGAGTCCCTTTCGTCTAAATCCAGACCGGTGGAGAAAAATTTGGTTGAAGATGTGGTGAGCACGACAGCGCCTGACACATTCTGTCCAAGCCCTTGTTCCTAGATTGATTGGTGAGTCGTAATGCTGAATGCTATACACCACGTACATACTGCTGTCCTATACGCTGCAATGAGATCTCTACAGACTTCACTGTTTAATCTATTTTCAGGTGCCTTGCTTAGCGTGATGAGAAAAATGTTGTTCTCCTCTCCTTTGCGCTCAAGAGAAACGTATCTGGAAGTCATGGTTTTCGTGCCGCTCATTCACAAAGACTCCTGGACATGTTGCCTACAATTTCTGTAGTCTACTTACATATATCTTGGGTCTCGGCGTTCACAAATGACTAGCAACACCATGACTGCAGTGGAAGGTACTTAAGGTAGGTAGTGGAGCTTGAGGGCACGTTTACTCGAAATGCAACTGCAATATGCTTTTGATCGAATCTGCCGAAGCGCCGAAACTACGAAACTCCTTGAGTGCCATTTTCTTCAAGTTTAGAGCCCTCGAAGCCGGCGCCCCTTGACGGGCCTCACTACCCCAGAAAATGCAAAATCCGCACAACAACGCCCAGCGACAAGATCTCGGCAAGCTGAATCTTGAACTCAAAATGAAACTTCACCCGCTACCCCGTATTCTTTATCCTGCTCACCGGTCACGTTGAGGACAAATCTGAAACCAACCTGAGCCAGGTGCTACTCTTTGAGCGGATGTTAGCATTTACAGATGTTGTCATCAATGTGAGCTGCACTCCATTCTGTGTGCGATACCCTCCTTATCCATATTCAGGCCGACAGCGCCATGATCCGGCTTGTAGTTGGTCCAATAGGGGATCTGTTCCTGGCCCAGTACAAGGAATGATAACTGATAGCGGAAACGACCTCTGAGATCAGATGAGTTAGGGTCTACAAGAAGGCGACAACCCTGGCTGACAGTTGGAAAATACAAGCCAGAAGATGAAGAGCCTCTTGGCTTTCGGTTAAAGAAAGTTCCGAGACGCTATTCCTCTCTATGGGAATTGGATTTCTCCCAAATCTTGGGTTCTCAGACCAGTGTACGTACGAGCATGCGATGCACCACCGAGACGAAGCACCGAGACGAAGCACCGAGACACAACGTCCGAGCTGGTTCTCCGCGAGGGCTTGGCGAGCGGACCTCATCAACCTGCCAGAAACTCACATGGCTCTGCCATTCTAGATCCTCATGGCCCGTGGAGAACCACATCCTAGTCTAGAGTATACGCATGGATATAAGAATACCGTGTGCTCCAGTCGATCTGGTTTGTGATTCAAGACAAGCAACCCACAATACTTCTGCCTTTGGCCTAAATGACTACCTCTCAAAAAATCTCACCAACCATGGCTATCCATCAACGGGGAACGGAGGCCTTGTCAGTCGAGAAAGATCGCAAAGATCTGGATCTCACCGAGCAGGCCGAAATAGTTCCTAATGAGTATCTCCACCTGTACCCTTTACTGGTAGACAAGGCTCCGGAAGATCTCAAGAAGATCGAGAAGAAGCTCCTCTTCAAGCTCGACTACATCTTTTTGCCGGTCGTCACACTGATGCTGTTGATGGGGTACGGGGACCTCAAACACTGGCAATCAACGACTCACTGACCTGTCTGTAGATATCTTGATCGAATCAATGTCGCCAATGCTCGCTTGGCAGGCATGCAGGATGACCTACACATGTCTGACACGATGTGGTCGGCGGGAATCTCGCTCTTCTATGTCGGATACATCATTTCACAGCTTCCGGCCACTGTTTATCTCGCCAAGGGCTTACCACGGAACCAGATGCCTTGCTATGTCCTCGCCTGGTCAGCTGTCACTGCCTGCATGGCTGCTATGAGCTCCGGCTGGTCTTTCTTGCTCTGCCGATTCCTCGTTGGAGTCGCAGAAGGACCATTCCTCCCCATGGTTAGTTTGATGACATCTTCGTGGTATACGAAAGAAGAAGCGCCCCTGAGAATGGCTATCTGGCATGCCGGCAACATCGCCTCCAATATCTTCTCTGGTCTTCTGGCTGCTGGCATCCTTCACAACATGGAGGGTGTCGCCAATCTCCGCAGCTGGCAGTGGTTTGTCATCTTGGAAGGCATAATTGGTATCTTCGTCGGTATTGTAGCATTCTGGTGTCTACCCAATTTTCCACACAATACTCCTACCAGCTTTTTGACCCCTGAGGAGTCCGAGATGGCACAACATCGTATGCTGGTGTCTTTTGGTGGCCGGTCGGAAGATGACGAGGGCGGTGCCTGGGAGGGTGTAGTCCTTGCCTGCAAAGACCCATTTACCTGGATCTTCGCGGTGTTGCATTTCGGATTGATTGTCGCCCTTTCTTTCAAAGATTTCTTCCCATCGGTAGGTGCTTTTGAGGCTTTAACGACCACGAATCTTGCACTAATTTCCGACTCCAGATCGTCAAGACACTGGGCTATTCCAATCTCATGACTTATCTTATACAAGCACCACCGTACCTCTTTGCGTACATTGCCACCGTGCTCATCTCTTGGTCGTCTGGAAGATTTGGCGAGCACTGCTGGCACATCATAGGGAGTACAATTGGTTGTATGGTCGGCGTGATCATCATGATTTCGACCCTCAATCCCGGTGCTCGCTATTTCGGCATGTTCCTCATGTGCTCCGGCCCTTTTGTCGGCTTGAATGTATGGTATCCCCATCTCAAAAGGCTGTTGAGGATTATCCCGCTAATGGTGAACAGATTCACATTCCCTGGGAGACCACCAATGTCGCACGACCCCGTACCAAGCGAGGCGCGTTGGTCGCCATCACCAATTGCATAGCTTCGGTGTCTCACTGGTTCACACCTTATCTCTTTGTATGTGATGATCGAGACCAGTTGCATTTGCCAGTTCACTAATTCGTTGCGCAGCTGCGCTCTCAAGAGCCTCGCTACACCAACGGTGGTATTTTGATTCTCGCTGGCTGCATTACTGGCATTATAGGGTGCCTGGTTTGCAGTTGGTATGTCCGACGTCTGAACAAGAAATTGGACGAGCACGAGGTTGCGAACAGTTTGCCGAAGGGGTGGCGCTACGTCGAGTAGAAAGGCTGTATGGGGAGCTATCAAGCCTTGATGAAAATAGACAGTTCTTGATGACGAAAGTCTACATGGGTGTGATGGTCGTCAGCCTGTGGACAATGTGTCTGCGGCAAGACCAGCCGCTATATCTGAATTTGAATGATGATGAGACATTCACGGACATGAAATAATGAAGACTGTCCAGCGCCTGGCGTCTTGTCTCTTGGCGACTTTCCCGAGGACGTTTAGGTTCGTGATGAACGGTCAAACTACTTGACTAGTCCTTACGCACTTCTCGGTTTGAGTTTTGGGACTTACTTTTGATGAGTGACTGTTGATCAGCGGCTACGTGGAACTTATGTCACTTTTGGGGCCATAAATCACTATTGTAAGGGTGCCTGCGTACATTGAGGACTGTAAAGTAAGGAACATCGTCTCCCTTCACTGAGCATCGGCGAGGCGATCAACGAAAGTATCAAGATATAATGTTGGCAACAACATATTGCTCAGGGAGGATTAGGCTCCGTAGCGGCCAACACCCCAAAACGACTTGTGTCTGGCCACAAGGCGCAGAAGGTCCACAACTTTCGTTTCGACAGACACAGTAAAAGTTCGTGTCATCAGTCAGTAGCCTTTATTCTGATTGCCTAATATAGGGATCGAAAAAGCCGCCGTCGTTCAGCATCCAATTCTCAAGATGGTCGAATTGAAAGGGATTAAAGGCTATGTTGTCGATTGAAGCATGGTAAAAATTATCAGGGGCGTGTGCTATTGTTTCGGTCCCCACTGGGAGGGATGGTCCTGACAAGGGTACATTGGGGACGAACTTGGGAGACGTCGCCGACATATTGAGTGGTTTCCAGATGCGGCACGAGTCAAGGTCAGTGTGCTCAAAGTATTGCTGAATCTCAAGTCTATCGACAGAGAACGATGAAGTCATGTTCCCTCGTCGGCGGGTTGCTCTCCTCTCGATTGCATTGGAAAGTGTCCTCGATGCCCCAATTGCCGATCTCCATCTCTTCGACAGTTCTGCCAGTGCTTGCTGAAGGATGGCCAGGTCTGGCTGAGCAGCCTGCCAAAGATCCGTGAAAGACATCAACGCTACAAAAGCCATGGATGAGATCAGGCAATACCGAGTGAAGATTGGGGCTAGAACCTTGACCTCATCTCGTGCCAAGAAATCTTCGAATATCCGAGCAGTTAGGGATGCTGCTAGAGTCGAGATCACGCTGATCGATCCTGTGGTATGGTGCTGGCGCCCTAGGATGACAAGGCTGGCAAGGTAAGGTAGGTGCAACTGTCGAGCAGCGAAGTTCTGAGGGTTTGGGTGATATTTTGTTGTATCAATAACGAAGATCCTGAATTCTGGAGGAAGATTGTTGTTCCACCTAATTAAGGAAGTTTTAACATCGGTCTGTGCTTTCCTCGACATGTATCTTCTAGTGCAAGATTCTGATATGTCGCCCAAGATGAGACACACTGCGACCCATTGAGAGAATAGCTCAAAAGCACCAGAAGTTTCTGGGAAGTCGCGAGGGCTGGGTGGGAGCACGTCACAGTCCTCCATGCTGATGGCGCGGGGTCGACCATGAGCAACGGAAACGAGGCAGTCACGGGCCTATGATGGGTTAGCATGTAGTTTGTGATTTATAAAGTTTCATAGCAGGGTGGACCTCACGACAAGGCTCCACCATATTTTTCGCCTTAATGCTTTCATATTCCCAAGATGTGGTTCTCGGTGTAAGCCTATCTGATGCGCAAGGCCCACCCCTATTTTCAGCCAGAACTCACTGTTGTCGAAGGAAACATACTCCGGGGCTTCTGGATTGTACCACTGGAGTAGAAGTGTAGCCTTGATGGCTGTGATGGGGTCCTTGTCAAGACCTGACCAGAATAAGGCTTTGGCGCGATGATAGAATTGATCTGGCGTAGCATACGCCACCACAGATGGAGCAGAGTTGACCATACTTCCAGCAAGCCACACGGCTTGTGCCAATAGCAAACATGGAGGCGCCTGATCGAGGTGAGAGAGCTCAGCAAGGTCGGCCGGTTCCAAGACAGGCGTCCATGGCAGGCAATACTCGATGACCGAGCTGAGGAGGCTTTGGCGGGCTGCTCTTGGGGGGATTTCGGTGGCCTTCCACAGATGCAGTGTTGCCATGCTTGTCTCAAGATGTGCTGGGTGATTTGCAGGCTCAAACGCTCGAGCATTACCCTCGTCGATGTCGTCCTCGTTGTCAACATAATGATCCCTTCCGATATATGTCTTTTCCGGGGCACGGCCCCCCGTTTGAGATAGCAGGGAAGGCGAAGCAACGCTCTCAGATAGCAGTATGTCATGACCACCACCTCGTGAATCAACGCCGCTGGTAGATGGGAAGGAGGTCGGTAGCTGCCTTACTGCCGAGTCCAACCTTGAAGCAATGACGACCGGCTCTCTAGACGGTCGAAGACTATTGCCTACAACCGAAGATTCACCACTAGATATCTGGTCATTGTTCGTGCTACCTCGTCTATGCAATGGTCTCGCAGCAATCAATCTCTTCTTGCGTGCACGTGGTCTGGTCAAGTTAGAAGTGTCCAATGCCAATTATGAAAGGTTTCCATCACGCACATGCATGGTATTCCAGCCGCTGCGCATGCGATACAGCTTCGACCATCGGATCCCGGAGCGCATCGCACCTTAATCAGACCCTATCAGCAGCGGTAGAGGGGATTCGTCCTCCGTGTGCTCCACTGGGCAATCCAAGCTTACCTTTCTTTGATGACATAATGTACATGCGAGCATAACCATGGAATGGCGATTCGGTGGATGGAGTTTACTCTGAGGATGGAAACCTTCGTCAAAACAATTCAACGGAGATATCACAATTATGGTCAGCTCATCGGGGCATTAAAGATCGCATAGGAGCGGGGTAGAGGTGCTAGTCGGCCTCCATGTTTGATCAGAACACGCTGGGCTTGCGAACCTCTCCAGAAACCCAGTTGCACATTGTGGGTGTACACCCCGCACTCCGCAATAATGGTGATTCGGAACTTCGGTGGCTCGGCGATATACCAAGACCAATGTTGTCAGCGACTGTGTCGTCGAGCATTTTCTCTTCCGATGCACACAATGGATAGCGTTCTGAACCGAGATGCTCCAATGTACGGGGAGACACAGAAGCAATATTTCTTTCTATCTAGGAGGAAAAACGCCGACAGATGACAAGCTCTGGATCCCACACCCCACAGTAGCGCGGGCAACGATAAGATTTGCCATGCCACAGGACGACTTGACAACACCACCTGACGAATTCACCACTACCCTCTCACCACCATTTCCGATCCTTAAAACCCAACTTGTGCCAGGAAAGCAGGCGCACTTCAGCTGCCGAAGATAGGACGTTGAACACTTGGAGAATCGCCTTCAAGGTAGGCGGCTAACAATATTAACACACGAGAACCCGTAAAGGCGTAGCAAGCGACTAGAAGTGGTAACGAAAAGGAGATTTCATTTGTATGGGCTTCAAGGAGATTAAAGTATATCTTGAGCATTGTATTACTAGAACTAGCATTAGTTGCCCTTTCGGCTTAGCCGCCGGGCGTAATAAATTGTGTGTGTGTAGTAGCACGTTTGGCCATTGGCAATGATGAGGGACCATGCGGCTGGCAAGATACCTATTTGTCGGCCAGAGTTATATGCACTATTGACTGATCTTCAGCCAGGCAAGCACGCATTTGCGACGGGCCAGAATATTTCCCAGCGTGATCCTTTGACTCATCACATACCATATCTTTTGGCTTAGACGCCTACTAGCGGACTCTAATCTAAATTTGATGGGGTACTGGCAATGAATCACTCCTCAAAAAACTGTCCAGCGGAGCCGTGGAACATCTCATTGAACAGTATCATCTTTGATGATAAAACATGCCACAGCTTGTCAGCTTTTGCCCTGATCCTGTGAGAGGCACAATCTTTCACAATTTGGAATTGGCCATTTGCAACCTCCGTTTCTCGAACTGCTTCTGGGGGATCCCTGCAACACTCCGACTGAGTGCTCCAAACACTTCTTCCACATTTTGAGCATCAAATTGTTCTCGCATCCTCCGTGAGATCAACTCTTTGGTCTTCAGCATACTAGTCGTATCCAGGTCGGGGTGGAACAATTTTTGGATCTCTTCAAATACGAGTTTTTTGAAAGTCACATCGTCTCCTGGTCTGCAGTCGAATACTTGATTGATAAACCCGGAATCGAGAAGCTCTTTACTGGACAATCGTTTTCCAGTGATCAACGCTTCCTTGGCTTTTGTGATTCCCATTCTCTGTGTGAAAGCTAGCGAAGAGACCCCTTCCGGAATGAGACCTAGACTTGCGAACGGTGTCAACAAGAATGTGTTTGGGACAGCATAGATGAAATCCGAATGGGCCACTAAAGCTGCCGGCATGCCCACCACGGGTCCGTTCAGCGCTGATATCAGAATTTTTGGATGCGTGTAGAAAGCCCGCGCCAGATTTAGGTTGCTTGCAACAGTGAAGGCCAAGCCATGGCGATACAGATCGGTTCCAGGTGGCTGTACACGTGATACTGAGATATCAGCACCTCTGTCATATAGTCAGCGCAAAGGCAATTGGCCTAAGGGATTTCGATCATGTGGGTGCGTCCAGGCCATCATGTCGGAACGTACGCCGAGAAATATTTGCCCTTTCCGATCAGCAGCGTAATCAAAATGTCATCACGCTCGGCGATTTGGGTCAAGTACGATGCTAATTGGTAAAAATCGTCCTTGGTCATAGAATTCAGCTTTTGAGGATAATCCAGAGTGATAACGGCCATCGGGCCACTATATTCCAGTCTAATGCGTTGACTGATGGCCATGGTAAATTGGGTGGAGAGGATTGTTTGAATGGGAGGCCAGATCCGTACACGAGGACCCAAGTTCCCGAGTTACATGGTGTTGGTACCTTAATCCTGATATATATGGTCTCCCTGATTGCCGGATGTGGGCTGTCCCCGAGACCGAAACGCCGAATAAGGGACGACCAGGTTGAATATCGACGCCATTCCAGCAGTGTTGCCCCCCACCTATTGTGATTAAACTTACTATGCCACGTCTAACTCTACATCACTATCAGACCTGTATTCATTCCTTATGTTCAACCTTGTCCTTGGTGTTTCTATTATTGCTTCAGTCAACCACGTGATTGATCCATACCGGTCCATGCTGGCCACTGTCATTACCAAATTTCGTAAAGATCTTCGGATCAGGTAGCCTGAGAGGCGCCGGATCGGCACAGCACCGTCGAAACTGGCCAATGCGTGGAGTTCGCCATAAGTTGTTACTCTCATAAACGTCGACAAGATTGTTTAATGGCTGGCTTGGCTAAGAGTAGCGTAGGGGTCGTATCCATGAATACTGCTACGCCAGCGAACCGGGGCTATAGACTAGCATGATGTCGTCAGGTTTGTGCGCGAAGATATCGCAATAGGTCGTAACATTGACCGAGTATGATCTGCTTAAGTGTTGTCTTTTCTGTCTTATCACCAATAGCTGATCATGGACGTTCCAATTGGTCTGCAGACTAAATGGGCCAGCATGTCAGGTCTAGAAATGATAATAACAGATCCGCTCGTTACGAAAGGTTATATTCTGGAAAAGAGGAAACCTTCCGACCAGAGCTGACAGAAACCTCTCGGATGTGTTAATAGGCATTGAAGAGCGAATGATTTGCCAATTCTGAATTTTCATTGGCGTACTAAACAGTGAAGTAGGTCAACTGCAAAGTTGCCATTAAAATCTTGGACAATTAAAACTGGCTGGATGGCAGGATCACGCACACTCTGAACCTCGATGCTGTAAAGCTTGGCAATAAAAGCCCACAGATTTACTCTTCTCACCACGAGCACCCGGCAAGGTATCTTAAACATTCTTCCTGCCGCCCATCTTCTGTAGACGGAAGATAGACATCATGGTCAACAGAATCAGTACCATTGCAATGCCACAATGTCTGTTATTGTTGCTTGTGCGACATCTATACGCCTTCGTCTTGTACTAAACATTTAAGCAAAAAGCTGGGGTATCAAAGTCTACTATTCTTTCGAAACCTCACCAACTTCATCCTTCAATGCTTTAACCCATTGATCAAGCGCGGCTCTATCGTTTGACGGGCAACCGCTATCTTCTGGATCACTCCTGAATATGTTCTCCTCGGCTATATGTATCAACCTGCGAAGACCGGGTCTATGTTCGAAATCAACACCCTCATCCATGACGAAAAGACAGAAGTTTTGAGTAGCCTCGGGCCATGAGCGAGGTTTCTTGACTATTATGGCTGCTACCCTGGCTCGTCCACAATCCCCTGCCATGAATGACCCTGTTGTTGTGGCTTTTCCCATTCTAGGAGGTACCTTCAGGTGGCGTCGCCACGTCTTCATGAATGGTTTGAGTATCAGCTCAGAGTCTGGATTATTCAGAATTGCTAAGCAAAAGTTCTTCAACTTTGCAAATCGAGGTATGGCCAATACTAAGGATAAAAGCACAGACAAGCTGACCATTCTTCAGGTTGGCAAAGAAGACTTCTTGAAGGAAAGCGACCACAAAATTAAAGAGCTACAAGAAGAGCTTTGAAATTCGTGATACCGAAGTACTCACTTCTCTCGTTGAGCCTGCCGAAACTTGCGCTTGCGCGACACTAGCGACAAATGCTGTGGACACGAATATGAAGTGGTTGCGATTGGTAAAATGCCGCCTTTTAGGCTAGCTATGGGTTGGCGATACTTAATTGCCACATGTTGTAACACACATGCACATCAGCATCATGTCTACGAATTTTGCTGTTCTGATGATAATCACTGACACAAACCTGGAAGAGATCGCTTTGGATAACCTGAGTGAATTCCAGGAAACAAAATACTGACTTATTGGAGTGGTAATCGAGTGAATGAGAACTGAAGGCTGCAGACGTCTCTAAGGGATCTGCCGTCTCTTTGCAGCGCTATGATGACCGGGAAACTATAAGGAACATGGTGAGCTATAGCGACGACGGAGTGACGAGATAAGATGAGATGTAAGCGGCACTACATCAAGCGTATGTACGATTGAAAGAAAATATCAAGATTTTGAGACCACAATGACATCAAATCTGCGCGTTCTGCCACATGGTCCCAGGCTTGCCCCCTTCGTCCCCTCCTTCCTCCACCTGAAGCAGAGATCCATCTTGGAAACCAGTAGCATGAACAAGGCCTCAAATAATTCAGTCATATTTCAGGTAGTGGTAGTAAGTCCGACCACCACCATTGACCCAGTGAATCATCACATCCCAATGCATCATAACGAGCAGCATCATTATACGAACCTAGCTCGTGTCGTATGTGCTAGTGCTTCGTAGGACTAGTAGCTAGCGCGCTAAGTAAAGTGTTACAATAATATCGACATCCTATACCTACGAGTACTTAAGGTAGGTATCTAAGAGGAAGACTAAGGATTAAGTTGGTACTTTAATGCTCTGGGTGGAAGGTGAGCCGACGTTGGGTAAAGCGGCTAGCGGCTGATCAGAATCGGATGTTTGTACATATTATAGGTACCTAGGTAGTAGGATGGTTCTCTTCGCTGGCAATCACGATGATTTATAACTTTAACCTCAATCATGACGCAACATTGGCTTTGGCGCTGAGCATGAACGTCGTAACATCAGAACAATTCCATCATGTTTGATTCCTGACGCTGTCTCCCTTTGTTGGTCATTTCCATCTAGCTTTGATCCCCAGCTTTAACCTCATACATCCAAGTTCGCACTGTTCAGCCTCGTCAGCCCCCACGTCTGACAGTCAGTACCTGGGAAACAAGCGGGGGGATTCACCAGGATTCATCCTGAGCTACACGTTGATTAACTTAACAGGGTCTTTGCATGGCTTGCTACCTGCATGACCCAGTAGGTGACCATCTGCACATGGCTTTGATCCAATCATGGCATTTGGATCCCTGCTGCCCACTGGACAACGATGGTAGCCACATGTGATCTGTCAAATTTCCAATTCTCCCACTACTTTTCAGCCTGATCGTTTCGATGAGAGTCTCTGAAGTTGCTGCAGTGTACAGGTGCAAATGGAAGTCGGATACATGCAGGTAGGATACGCACTTGGGATTTGCATTAGCCTCGTCCTTTGCGTGACATGATGTCGTCGCCCCTCAAATCGCTGCCTACTACTGGTCGCCGATTGTTTACCCCTCCAAACATCCCGAACCCTTTTTGCGATTTTTCTTTCTTACACAATGAGAATTTGCTTTAAACCACTCTTACCATAAAGTACGAAGCATGGTTCCAAACAGGGTTTTATGCTTATGAAGAACACCTTGTGCTGTTCAGTTTCATTCTTGGACCCCTCAGTTCGCCTTGGCTTTCACGAGAAGCAGAACCGAGACACAATCGCAAGCTGGGCTCCTCGAGGGACTGAACTCCTCCGGCGTGATCCAGCACCTGTCCTCTACCTTGACCTCACCTCTCCGTCCTCCTTATTATCGCTCTGGCCATAATCATTGATACCACCTTCCACTTCAACCCTCACGTTGATCCTGGATCACCAATGGCCACTTTGGACCACGCATCTGAAGGGCCAGGGTCAAGAATGCATCACTTGTTCAAGACCTGTCCGGATGTGACTTGTGGCCACACAGTCTCTTCACGTCTCCATCAAATCGAAAAAACACAGCGAGATACTGGATTTCAAATCGCTGACATTCACAGATTCGAGGCGGTCGTTGATGAACTGAAGAAGCAGATCCGCAAATTGGATTTCGAGAACAAAGATTTCCAAAAGGACATCGCTTCTCTCGAACAGGTCAATAAGGCGCACGAGCAGGAAAAGGACGGACAAACCAGAACTATCGACAACTTGCATACGACGCTTGCTGACTTGAGAAAGAAGCTTGCAAAAGCCGGGGATGGAACGAAGCGGGAGAAACAAAGAAAAGAACACGAGAATGCTTTAGCAAAAGCACACAAAGAAGGCGAGGCGAATCGCAAAAAGTGTGAAGCCTTGAAGAAGGCGAGTGTGGAGTTGGAGAAGGACAACAGCGAGTTAAGGAAATCGAGAGATGAGGCTGCAAACAAAGCTCGGGAATCTGAAATCAAGATTGAAGAACTCATCGCAATGACGGAAAAAGCAAGTGCTGTGGCCAAGAAGCGGTTGTTGGAAGATGGACGGAAGATCAAAGAGGCCGAACAACAGGCCGAGACTGGTAGGACGAAGATTATGGATCTCGAAACCAAATCCCTTCAGTTCGAACAACAAGCCGCCACTAATGCAGCAACGATGAAAAGACTGGAAAACCAGTTGAGCAATGCTGGGAAAAAGGCCAGTACAGATCAAATGACGATTGAGCAATTGAATACCCAACTTCTTGATATGAGTCAGAAGCGCTCTGCAGACGAGGCAAAGGTTAAGAGACTGGAGGCTCAAATATTTGAACAGACCGAACACCTCAACACTTTGAGGGAAGCTCTACAGGAAGAGAAGAACCGAAATGAAATCTTCAAGCAAGAGTCTGAAGACCACAAGCAGAAAACAACCGATATCCTCGCACATGTTCAAGGCTATATTTTTGAGGCAATCAACAGTCACATACAAGATCATAATCAGGATCGAGATCCGTTGAGAGGGCAAGGACAACCAGAGCAAACAGCAGGATATCAAATTCAATCGCCAGACACCGGATACGAAAGCTCTTTGCACACAAACACTGCTGGATCCACCCCGATCGCGCATGTGGAGAGTAAACCAACATCGCGGGAAAACCACGCTCAGTTGAGACCTTATTCACCTGAAGGAGGTGAGACTGATCGGTCTCGAATTGCATTTACTCCCAGACAGCAAATCATGCTCGCAGAGCCCCGGAGAGAGCGAGAGATACCGCCATTCACACTTCCACCTCCCAAGTCAAGCCCTGTGGCCGGCACGAATACGCAAGACCTACGAAATGACCCGGCCCTCAAATCCACCCCTCCGCGTGGACCTCGACGAAGCACGTCGCAACACCCAGATGGGGAGAACAGAGGTACGCCACGAAGACGCCAGGATTCTGGGTCGCAACGTGGTTGGGATTCGTACAGACCAGGCGATTCATGAACACATGTCTTGTTCATCATCAACGAAGAGAGCTGAGTTTGTTCCATCGCAGCACGGAGCTCAACTACCCTTCCTCAGATGTCGCCGAGATTTCTGAACATCACCCTCAGAAGCCCGATGGAAATATCAGAGAATCGCTGAATCCACGGGCGTCTGGACATGAAGTGCTACAGCAACCGGTCAATGGGCCACATGATGTTAATGTACGATTATATGCTTGAACAACAGCACAAGACTGGTCCATCATCGACACCAGCATTTGGAACACATGTTGTCAGAGTAAATTGGAATAATCGCCACTCCAACAAGAGATACACCCAATCCTTGTCGGGCGTCTGCTCGTCCACCACATCTTGGAAGCCAAAGTGGTGGGGATTGGAGCAAGCGGCTGACTCCTGACTCGTGGCTGGTGCACCTTGGATGTCAACCATAGTCCGATCCATCGTGATTTTGATATTCTTGGGTACGGCCACCTCGATATCTGCCTACATACGTATGCAGGAGAAAACCGCGGTGGTGGAAGGTAATGTCAAAGGCTGGCAATTGGATCATGACGAGACGGCCATACGAAGCGAGTGCGGACGCGAATATGCGAATGCCATGAGAAATGTCAAAAGTCTACGAGTACCGACCTGATAAAATGTACAGTACAGCACAGCACAGCACCAGAACACAGATACCCCCAGAAACCTCCCCAATAAGGCAGAGAACGCAATGAGAATAATACCAATGACCCAAACCTAGCTAGTGATGTACCAACTATTGGTCATGTTCGGAATCAAAGATGTGAGCCTGACGTGTAGTGTAGTTCGCCACAGTCCTCGAGTTCTGTATGCGGACACAGATACGAGTATCCTGCCCCGGCCCATTATACACTAAGTAACGGATGAGGCATGCAACGCAACGCAAGGAGGAGAGAAACAGTGTGCCTAGGGGTGGGTACTTCTACGGAGTCTCAAGACATCAGTCCAAACGATCAGAAATAGAGATCAATAATGCATTGATTTCCACGCCAGAGAAGATATGAATTCTCGGCGGATAAGTAGGTAGGTATAAATAAATGATAGATTTTTCGTTCCCAAATTTTCTGGTGCGTGATTCCGTCATCCCATAGGATATTTAGTTGGCTGCTCGCTCGTATGATAAAGACCAAAAATATCAAAACATCAAAGATCAAATGGTTTCCGCGTGGTACAGGTACAGATACAGGTATCATGATAAACTTGCTGCTTGCTCAAATCAAATGCTTCGCTGGTAGACCAAAAACACTCAGAGATCGCCATGCTATGCCATGCCATGCTCGCTCGCTCAAAAATAAATGCCAACAACAGATGCCAGAGTAGATAATCGTACACACACAGATAAATCAACAGCACACAAAAATTTTACCAAACGAGGATCTTGACACCATCCTGGCCAGCAGGCCACGAGATCTGGACATTGTCGCCCTGGGGCACGATCTCGCCGCCGTAGATCTGGCCGGTGATGGCACTGCAGGGGAAGAAGCCGTCGGCGGTGGCGCCGGGGCCGGAGCCCTGCTGCCAGGTGGCGCGGCCGTGGGCGACGACGTCGATGGCGCCGAGGTTCTGGTTGCGCAGGTTGCCCGACGGCCAGCTGGAGCTGTCGGCCGTGGCGGGCGCGAGCGACGTGAAGAGCTGTGCTTTGGACGAGCCGCTCACGCTGGAGCCCGGTGCGTTCAGGTCGAACACCAGTTGGCATTGGTTCGACGCGTACTGTGCGTCTAGCGTGAAGGTCACTAGCGTGGTGATGTCGGCGCCGCCGTTGGAGGTGCTGCGCGACACGAGCCCGGTCGAGGTGTGGAAGTCGACGGCTCCGGTTTTGCTGTTGTATTGAGATGTGAAGTCCGGGTAGACGGTGGCGATGGGCTGGCCTTGGCTGTTGTAGGGCGCGGCGGGGGCGACCGGGGCGCTGATGGGTGTGCTGATGGGCGTACTGACGGCGGCGGGAGCAGAGGGATTGCTCACGATGCCGGATGTGTTGGTGTAGGCGTTTGTCGAGGGGGTTCCACGAGCGACCAGTGGGGCGGCATTGGCGAGGGCGCTGAGGCTGAGGATGGCAGCGGCGGCGAAGATATTGGCGGTGGATCGGGCCATTTTAATAGTTGTTGATGTTGATGTTGGGGTTTGGTTTAGACAGTATTATAGTATAGAGTGAGTATATTAATATGGTTGATTGGTTGACGATTTGACTTGTCGAATGTGTCCTTGAAAAAGTGGATCAGATGGATTTGCCGTAGGGCTGAATTGAATAGTAAAGTTGGTGGTGTTTGGTTAATTAGATTCTGTGTTAAAGAATGTGATTAAGAAAAGAAAGAAGGAAAGGAAAAAAAGGAAAAAGACGTAAGGAAATAAAGAAAGTTGTTAACTGTGATGTGTGATCAGTGGTTTGTATGGAGAAAGGGAAATATCTGGAGGAGGTCGGGCAAGGGCAATAGTCTTATAGAAATGGATTGATTGATTGATTGCCTGCACATCTCACAGCTTGATCTGAGAGTCAGCTTCCGATTGGGATTACCGGGTCATCAGTACGAGTAGGGACGGAGAGCATAAGCGAATTGGTCCATGCCATGCGGGAGTGTCCAGATGGTGAACACGAGGTGAGCCAAAAACCCAAAAGAAGGTCAGCTGTGCCTCAATGCGCAGCAGAGAAGAAAGACTGGTTCGGGTTATTTTGGGCCAGTTGGTAAACCGTGCAGACTCAGGCCTTGGCTTGGGCGAGGCTGGGGTCGTGAATGGTCAATGCGGTCGGCTGGGATAAGCCCAAGTGCTGACTGACAATCGATTCGGACTCTTGACCCGGCCTGAAATATGTACGGATAGGAGGATTATTGATGGATCGGTTGCTGCTATTGTGATTGATAAGTGGTGCAAAATGGATGATGATGCGCTTTCAGATTGAACAAATATCGCTCTCAAAGTATGGGCTTGGTACTGATACTGGTCCTGGTCCTGGTCCTGATACCTAAGGTACCTACTGAGACTGAACGAAGCAGCCAAGTTTAGCATGGCGAGAATAGCAAGAATAGCAATAACTTTGGTAAGCTGAGCCTGGCTGGCTGACACTGGCAAGCTCAACAGGAAAAAGTTCAAGTTCCGGAGTGGCCGCTTGGAGAAGAACAAAGAAGAACGGGAGCCAGAATTGGAGTTGCTCTGGTTGGACTTCGCGGCGGTTTGTGGTTTGGGGTTTGGGACTTTGTGGTTACAGAGGAATTGGTCCTCGTGGGTCTTTTCAGCCCAATTCCCCTCAAGCCACCACTTTATTTGCTGTAACCAAAATTTGGTCAGCCGTAGTCCTCAGCCAAGGTACGAGGAACTGAATACTGTTCATCAGTCATTCTGATGGCGTCTCGCACTCAGACCAGTACCTATCTCCTCGCACTCTGGCCACTAATTGGATCTGGGTATAGTAGTAATAACCAAAGCAAACCATCCTCATCATCATAGTGCAACATCTTCCATATCTGCGCCTTCTTTTCCATCCTCCACCTTGGGCTTTTGATGATTATTGCTGCTTTGTGCTGGTGGTGGCGATGAAGATGACTCCTCATCGGAAGAATCGGCCGTATCCTTCTCCTTGGATTCTACCGTCGGCCGTTGAGGAATCTCCTGTTCATCCGTCTCCTCCTCCTCATCGCCTTCATCCTCATCTTCAGTCGACGGTGCAGGTGGAAGCTCTTTCTCTTTGATTGGAGGTGTCGGTGGCAGTTCTGGACCTGGCTCTCCACTGACCGTACTCTCCTGACCGGGACTTGATGGTGGTACAACATTCGGCCTTGAAGGAAGGTTGGACTGTTGAGGTGTAGTCGTTGGAGTGGTCCCCGAAGGTCGATTGGCAGGCAACGATGGATTGGATCCAATCTGCCTTTGTTTGGGGTCGGCATCAAGATAATAACCGCGCACTCCGATTAACTTGCCTTCTCTCTCACACCCTTCAACCCATTCCGGCCGTACAATGGGGATGTTCATCTCGTTGGCTTTCTCCCAATCCCGGCCTCGACCTTCAGTGCACACGAAATGCGTGGTATCGATCCTGACCGTATCCACCAGTTTCGCCCCAATCCGTTCCACCGCCCTTTGCAGACTGTCCATCAGCTGAGGGGGCAGAACTCCCGGGGTGATGGTAATTCCAGTCAGATTGTTCATGTCATGTGTCCTGACATCCAGTGTGTTACTCGTATATGTGCCACCGCTCGTTCTCAGTACCATGTAAAACGAGTATTCCGAATCCACAGCTAGTCCACTGATCTTGGTGCTGGTCATGTCCATGGGACGGGGAATATTGCCCGCCTTGCTTCCATTCCGGTATAAAGAAAGTGACCTCAGTGTGGTGGTGGCCAGCTGGATCGGGTCCCATTCAAGGACCAGAGAAGTCTGTGTAGCATTTCGTAGACGGAGCACAGGGGTGGTGGGAGTGTTGATGCCATAAGTGTTGAGGATTTGTTTTTGTAACGAGATGAAAGATGCTTGCGATTTCTGCTCGGCGGTGTGGTTTTGAGAGACGGTGATATCGACAATGGATCCCGAAGTGATTGAAGAGGGTAATAGTATGGAAGGGAATTCTATCTGTAGACTGCTGTCAGCACAATAAGACTTTGAGACGGGATTCAACTCCAAAACATACCAATCTTTTGTCTTCGGTAAGAAGGACAGCGACACCGGCGTCAACCTTGCCTACGGTCAAGGAGACCAGCATCTTGAGAGGGAAGATCTAGATGGTGAGGGGACAACGCAGGGTAATTCGGCTGAGAATTGAGGTTGGAGGGTGGTGGGCAGTTGTTACAACTTGGATGTTGGATGCTGTCTCAGAATGCCATCTGTGTCCCATTCCAAAGTCGCGTCGGGTCACGTGCCAGGCATTCTGATCTGAGTACGAGGTGGTTCTTTCCAACCTTGCATGTCCTCTATAACGAGCAGCCCAAAGTCAATACAGTTGATATTCTATAGAATCAGCCACTGTATGCCGTATGCCCCTCAAGCGTGATGATTCCATTCCATCCCCATTCTAATCTATACAATTTAACCACAAAGATCCCCCTCTCCTTGCGCGCAATATACACTGCTGTTGTACAAGAGTAAAGCAAGAGTCGCTCTGGTGTTGTTGTACATGGGTATCACATATAATATCTCAAACCAATTGTACTCTCCTAACCAATGGGGCTGTTTGGTTCTTCTTCTTCCTCCCTTGATTCCATAGTATTCCGCCAAACTTCCAGGGTTGAAGTTGAGGTTGAATCTGAGCCTGAGCCTGAGCCTGAGCCTGAGCCTGAGCCCGAGACTGAACCTCAGGCTTGGAAACAGGAGACTGGTTCGAGCAGACAGCATCGATGACGAGTTTGGCATCTTTTCGCATTCTCTCAAAGGACACCTCGTGGGCCATTTTATGGAAGACGAAGACCTCCAGAGTGCCCTGAAGATCTCTTCGAGGCATGTGCTTCTGACCCAGACTGGTATTGTCCCCACTGAGCACTTTCCCATTGGTATGATAGCCCTTCTCTTTCAAGGCTGAGCAAAACGCGCTGATATATCTCCTCTTCAACTTGTTCCGCACAATGGCGTAAGGGATATCACTGGCACTGACATTGGCAGTGACGTGCCAATGGAGATGATCTTTGTTCCTGCGTTCAAAGGTGTCCTTGACAACCACATGTGACGCGCTGTTGGTATCGAACAAGCGTGGTCGTTCGGCATCAAAAAGGGTTTTGGATGGATGGAATTTGACTAGCAGGTTTCCTCGAGCCTTGTGCGCCAGCCTTTGGAGCAGGGGATAGTCTGGTCTGAGGAGAGACATGGACGCATGATGAAGAGGAGAAGTGAAGATCAGGTATCTAGGTATTTCCTGTGGGCATTGTTCGAGGCAGCGGCAGTGGCAGTCGCGGGATTGATGCCTTTGTTGCCTGTTGGATGATGAATCGAGGGAAAAGGGAAAATGTCCTTTTGGGTTTTCTCTGTCGCAAAACTTGGAGTCATAATTTTGCCCCACCAACTTCCGTGTCTTTGCCCTCGTCCAGTCACAATTTCACAATATTAATTCCACTGAATCGCCTGACTTCAAACCACCCACAACCAACGAGTCTTCCAACTTCAACTTCAAGTTCAACCTCATCAGACACCACACAACACACATTACAATCTCGAGAGACCGCCAACATGCCTAAGAATAAGGGAAAGGTCAGTCAAGCCCGCCGCCTATTTTCACACCGCATCCAGCCTGCAACCCACAGCCCAACAGACTCCATACCCCGCCAAAACAGACATCCCCCCCCTTCCTCCCTCCCACCAGTCCAACTAGCCTAGCGCAAGACAAACATCAGATGAGTGACACACTAACTAACACAAATTTCCATGTGCACAGGGTGGTAAAAACAGACGTCGTGGAAAGAACGAGAACGACAACGAAAAGCGCGAGTTGACCTTCAAAGAAGAGGGACAAGAATATGCACAAGTCCTAAAAATGTTGGGCAACGGCCGCCTGGAGGCGTTGTGCTTCGACGGCGAGAAGCGACTGGCACATATCCGAGGAAAGCTGCGGAAAAAGGTGTGGATCAACCAGGGCGACATCATTTTGCTATCGCTGCGAGACTACCAGGACGAAAAGGGCGATGTCATCCTCAAGTACTCGGCCGACGAGGCGAGATCTCTCAAGGCCTATGGAGAATTGCCCGAAAGTGCCAAGATCAATGAGACCGATACCTATGGTCACGAGGGTGTTGATGACAATGTCGAGTTCGACGAGGATCGGGATAGTGATTCGGACAAGGATGTCGATATCGATGACATCTAGACGACTACTGATGCTGATGCTGGGACTGAGACTGAGACACGCACAACAATTAGATGGTGTGGTGTGCGAGTCACGACATGTCATGTGGAAATGGTAGGACAGCGCAGGGCAGGGCAGGGCAGGGCAGGGCAACGCAGACGACTCAATCCTTCTAGCGTCTTCACGTCCTTCTTCGCTAGAAGCATTCATATGAATTCATAGGTACAATCATGATCGGAGTTTGGGAGACTGGTTCCAGTTTTTGTTTCCAATCCTATGTCTTATCAAGAGCATGTTTTCTCGCTCAAATCCTGACGTCTCTCCATCACTGATCCTCGTCATCAAAAACACTCCTCGTGAAAAACCGCACAATCTGGCGGCCCGCCTCCCTTCCCACCAGAGGATCCAACTCCTCCAGGCTCATATTCGCCACATCCATAATATTCCTCCGTTCCAAATACAGCCGACTGGCATTCTTATTCGACACGCCAGGGATCGTCCGCAACATGTCCTGTGGGCCGGTATTGAACGTCTTCTCCTCGGGGTCCTCATCGTCCCCCAGCCCCACCTGCACCGCACGCATCGGATCCGGCTCCTCCTGCTGTTTCTTCAGCTCCTCGAAGATCTCGGCCGTCTGGTACGGCGAACTCGACCAGATGACCTTGAGGCGCGGGAACGCCAGCGTCAACAACACGATCTTGGACTGCAGGTCTTTGTTGTCCGCGCCCGGCATCTTCAGCGTCGACAGAGACGTCAGGTCCGCGAACGGATCGAGCGTGAAGGACTTGTTGTGGTCGAATTCAATCAGCAGGAACGGGTACTGGTAGTGCTGCAGCATCGTTTCGGCCTGGTTGAACAGCCGCCCGTTCTTGAATGACGAGATCAAATCCCCCACCGACTTCCGCTCCACACAGATCGTCGGCGAGAGCACGTAGTCGCCCACCGTCAGTTGACACGGCACGACCGCCATGTTGCGGCCGTGCAGCAGACTGGGAAGCGCCGAGCGAAACTCCCGCACGTCCACCACGACTGTTGGTGGTGCCGCCGTCGCTGCCAGTCGACCACCACCTGCGATGCGAGTGTTGACCGTGCGGAGAAATGCTTCCTGCGGATCAATGTTCCCAGCGTCCGTCAGTGTAACGGCCATGCTGCCGCGCTCACGGATGAGTTTCGTAAATGCATCTTTCTCCCTCCGCACCGCAGACAGATACCGCTGCTCCTCGACACTGCCCCCGTAGTACATGAAATAAGCCCTCACGCTCCGCTCCGTATGACTAGACCGATACACCTCGACGCGACGGATGAAGTCCGGCGCCGGCGAATACATGATGATATGCTTCGGACGCACTTCCTCGAGCAGCTGGTCGTCCTGGTCGCCGTCGTACGCATGCACCACAATCTGGTCATCCGGGTTGTACAGCTCGAAATAGTCGTCGCTCGCGTCTTTCAGGTCGTCCACCACGATCTCTTCTCGTTGTGATCGCTCGTTCTCCGTCGGTCGCAGCTCCGCCAGAAGGTCGGCCACCACGTCTGCACGATCCTCGACCATCGCGACCGCGCCGTTGGCTGTGCGCGAGGGATTGATCCCTGTCGTTCCCCCACCGCGGACCCGCCGTCGTTTGTTGGCCGGTGCTTTGCTGCTCAGCCGGGCGCCGGCCGTGCTGCCCGCGTGGTTTTTGATCTCGCTAAGAGATTTCTGATTCTCTTCGAACAACGACGCGCTCACTTGCGAGAACGTCCGCCTCCAGCCGAGGTACTCGCGCAGTTTCCGCCGCATCATGAATTCCGCGGACCCTCGCTCTTCCTCCGCTTCAACCTCGTGCGGCGCTAGTCCGTTGTTACTGTCCTGTGTCAGAGGCTTGACGTGCATCGTCTGCAGATACTCCCGGACCTGGCGACATGTGCCCTGGTCGTTACACATGATCAGCACCGCGTCGGTCGAGTCGTCTCGTACCGTCGGGTTGAGGTACGAGTCCAGTTCGATTTCTTCGAGGATCTCCGCAAGGATGGCCCATTTCGGCTGTTCTTCTAGCACGGGTGTGAGCGAGTCGGGGAGTTTCGAGGTAGGTAGTGGTCCGCCGTCTTCGGCTTTTCCGCTGTATACCCGATCCTTGGCTGTTGCGAAGATGGTTGAGGCCGCGTCTAGAAATAGCCATGGGGATTGGTTCTGTCGGGTTGATCCTGGTGGTGGGGAATGAGTGGCGAGGACAGTGTCAAGGTATTTGAGGAGCGAAACACTGTCGTAACTGAGGAGTGAGTGTAGAATCGATCGGAGCACAGTGAGGTCGTTGGCTATTTGTTTGGTCCTATAACTGACGCGATGCCACACTGGATCCAACTGCCGGCGAACAATAGCGTCAAAGTTCTGGTGCAGCGCGGAATCGAGCGTCCAATCATCCATCTCAAGGCCACTGTTGGCTTTCTTGAGTTCTCCAATACTCGCCTCAACACATTCCATCACTGCTGTTTGAATCGTCTGCATAGCTTCCGTCATGGGCACTTCAAGCTCGATGACATCGGCCTTCTTCTTCCCTTCAAGGCTCTGTGCAATCGAAACATGAAATCGCGGCCAAAGCGAGGGTTTTCGCAAGAACAAGTTCCGCATCATACTCGCCAACGGCGCATATGATGATGTCAAAGGCTCAGGTGCATCGCTGAATGCTTTCAAGAAACCGATTTTGTTGTGCTGTCGGAAAATCCTAACGATGAATGCCTCACTGCTGGTTGCAATCACCCGTTCGGCATGCAAGACAATCAGTCCTGTCACAGTCTCCGGATCCAGTAGTTTCGAGAGAAGATCAACAATCAGAATCCGACTGGTGACTGAAACAATACCGCCTTCCGCGTAGATCTTTTCGCGTGCCGCCACCGTAGCTTTGTCGGTATTGATGACACGAAGACCTTTGGCGAGTGGACTTCTGGATATGGCGTAGTGCTCGGCGAGAGCTTCGCCAATCCATTCATTTTCGCGATCTTCAGCGCCAACAATGATGACCAGAGAGTTTCCTGCCGCATCATAAGAGTGAAGCAAGTTGGTCAGGATCTTGAGAAGCCCCAGTCCTCGCGCGAGAATCACCAGTGCATCTTCTGAGCGCAGGAGATGATAGATCTCTTGTTGGAATTGCTTGAAGGAATTGTCAGACCAAGAGAGACGTCTGATGGGTCATGAGAGAAATGGAAAGGACGATCTTGTCACTCACCAAGGGAAGAGAGAGCTTCACCGGCGGCTGGGTGTTGGCCGCCGGCATCTTCGCATTATAATCTGCCACCGGTGTCACAAGACATACATCGCAAATCTACCGCTCACTTTATATACGAATCTCGTAGTAATCTAAAATACGGAGATAGCAATTGTACAGAAGAAGCATGAATGAAAAAGGTCTGGGCAAGAGAAAGCGCCTATTGCGCGAAACGATATATAGGGCGGAGTGTAGGACGCGAGATCTGCGCAAGTAGTGAGGTCATGTTGTGTTGCTGCCAAGATCTCTCTACTCCGCCGTAATGATTCGCCGTAACGCAATTTACCACTAGTGCAGTTATTAACTCGACAAGAACCAAAAATCTCAGCTGGACAGGGTCAATAACCAGTTATTATAGCTCAACGAGGGTCTCAGGAGATGCGGAAAAGGCCATTCTAGATCGTCACCACGCGTAATTTATATAGAGAGAAGAACAGCCTCCATGAGTAGAGAAAACAGAGACAATTGGACAATTCCTGAAGTGCATTCCCTACCGCCAAGCCTTCAACACGTTGGTCATGTGACTATCAGCTCGTTTGGGAGCACAACTCGGCCGATTAGGCTCTTTCACGACCCAGCAATGACAAAGTGAGACGAGTGTGTCGCATCAGACGACTCCGATCTTGATGCCAGTTTCCTGACTGATTCATCTCTTGTCGACAGACATCTCTCTTTCAAAGTCCCTCTCACGACTGTACATAAAATCTAAATACTAGGTGTTCGAGACTGTGCTTGGAAACCAATTTGTTTGTACTAAAGCTACCGAACCACGAAGCTGTCCGTGAAGGCCTGCTTTGAAATGTCTGCAAGGAGCATCCTCAACGCTATCTGACAATCACGAGCCGCGGAGAGGCAGTGCTTTCGCAGAATTTCCATTCAAGTGCTGTGAGAGTATGCCTCGTGCTCGGCAGATGTCGTTCACCGGAAGCGATGATCCGTGAGCTGCCATATCAACGATCGCCATCAAGTGTCGGGAAGTCCCCTATATGTAACCACTCATGACCCACAACCCAGTTTACAGACATCCATGAGCACATCGATGTTTGGCAAAAGACGGATTGTACTTCCTGTGAAGACTTTTTGTATCGCTCGTCCGCATAACATCCGGACAATGCTTCCGGAGCCACATTGCTGACCTCACCACTACATGACGCATCACATCGAGTATGATATAAAACTTAGTGTTATCTGTCAAAGCTACTGGCTAGAAACCACTCCAACGGAACATATCTTATTCATTTGTCATCATGGGTAGCGTAAGTGATCACTGGATTTTGGTAAACCTAAAGCCAACTAATGTCCTATAGGTATCAGAAGACGCTCCAGTTTATACGCTCGCTGAAGGCCGTCCAGTACAGGATCCGACCTCAGCAGTAGTACTACGTGGACCGAAAGTTCGTGGCGGTGGTTTGGCCTTGTTGGAAGATACCCAGTTGCTTGAGACTTTGGCACATTTTCCACGAGAACGGATTCCTGAAAGGTTGGTTTAGGCTTTCAGGAATCTACATCTCAATTAACGGCTTCAACAGAGTCGTTCATGCGAAAGCTGCAGGAGCATGGGGCGAATTCGAATGCACTGCTGACGTGTCGAGTTGGTGCTCAGTCAATTTCCTTAGCAAACCCGGAAAGAAGACAGAAGCCCTTGCCCGCCTATCAACAGTGGCTGGTGAACGAGGTTCATCTGACACTCTTCGCGACATTCGTGGATTTGCTCTAAAGCTCAAGACCGATGAAGGCAACTGGGATTTCGTAGGTAACGATTTACCAGTCTTCTTCATCCGTGACCCTACAAAGTTTCCCAGCTTGAATCGCTCGCATAAGCGACATCCACAGACTGGTGTTGCTGACTCGTCTATGTTCTGGGACTTTCACAACAATCATCAAGAAGGCGCACATTGTCTTATGCAGCTATTCGGGTCGCGAGGAGTGCCAGCGTCGTTGCGTAATGTCAATGGCTTTGGCAATCACACCTTCAAATTTGGAAAGCCAGAAGATGGCACATTCAAATACGTCAAGATTCACTTTAAGCCCGACGATGGCATCAAGACTCTCACCCAAGAAGATGCCGTTCGTCTGGCAGGTGAAGAACCGGACTACCATATCAAGGATATGTTCAACTCGATCGAGGCCGGTAATTACCCAAGCTGGACCATGTGCTTGCAAATCATGGATCCCAAAGACGCTGAGTCTTACCGCTGGAACATCTTCGATATCACGCAGGTCTGGCCACACAGTGATTACCCACTCGTCCCGGTCGGACGTCTGACGCTGAATCGAAACCCTCAAAACCATTTCCAGGAGGTTGAGCAGGCTGCCTTTTCACCTTCAAACATGATTCCTGGTATTGGTCCTAGTGCAGATACCATGCTTCATGCACGGATGTTCTCGTACCCTGACGCCGCGAGGTATCGTGTTGGGACGAACTACCAGCAATTACCACCAAATGCACCCAAGTATGCCTACAGTCCTTACCAACGGGATGGCCCAATGAGATTTGATGGGAATTATGGGAGTGACCCAGACTATGGTGAGGATATGCTCCTTCTTTCGTCTTGCTGTCAACATGACTAATTGATTCTCACTACCACAGTTAGGTCATCGTTCCGCACTGTGAAAACTAGTGCAGGTGACGTCGCGCACGACGAGTGGGTTGGCCGTGTCCACGCATACTCATCGTCCGTCGACAACGAAAAAGACTTCGCCCAGCCTCGCAATCTCTGGGCTATGTACAAGAAGTCCGGCGAGGACAAAGACTTCATCCATAATCTCTCGGGCCATGTCGCGAAAGCTTTGCGAGAAGTTCAGGAGAAGACAATTGAGATGTGGGGTGGTGTTGATAAGGAGATTGGTGAGAGACTGAAGAAGGCCTTGGACGAGACGCATAAAGGGAAGGAAGCGGATCATTGCTCGACTCCTGGCACGCAGAAAGCGTTGGCTACGAATCGGAAGTAAGAGGTCCTAGTAGTCTCAAGCTCTTGGAACGAGGGACCGGGACCGATCAGGTAGACATGAATGTTTCTCTAGGTATCATAACTTAAAATTGCTTAGAATGATGGTTTATGATCTAAGATACTCTTGGGTTGTATCAGAAGATACTCAAAGAAAGCCTTCTTAGTCATGATGATTCGTATCCGCCCATGAATTCCTTAAACGACATAAATTTTGTCTTTCGTCTAGCTCAGATCACTCTTTCGCTTACCTCACATTCGGATTCGTAGATTCTGGAGGGTATGAATCTACGTTGACCGTGATATCATTGAAGAAATGCCGTGTACTCGAAACCAGTTCCATTACAGGGAGTGTATACCAACCTACCACGAAGATGATTAATGACCCCCAATCTCCAAGTAACACACTAAACTATATTCCCACCAACCCTTCGCCGTGCCGCTCCATCCCGATTTTCACCAGCCGTAACATTCTCATCAGTATGACCACGATCGCGACGAGGACCCCACCAATGTGACTGAGCACCACCGTTGGCCTTCTTTTCACCACTCAACGGCTGACCAGTTTCGACAGCAAGGGTTGTATCACGACCGTACAAGAACCACAAGAATGCTCCCGTGAATAAAGCGCCGCCGACGATGTTCCCCAATGTCACCGGAATAACACACTGGTAGATGAATTTCCCAACACCAAAGTTTGTGCCGTAGAACATTCCGATCGGGACGAGGAAGAAATTCGCGATGGAATGCTGATAACCTAGTGCAACACTGTGGGGCAACACGATCAGCAATCTATGTTCATTGAAACCACCAAGCTGGGGTATGATACTTACAATGTCCAGATTGGTATCCAAATTCCGACCACCTTAGAGCTGCATCGCTGTCAGTCACTCGAGCCAACATGTGAGTCCAAGGAGATACTTACAACAAGTCCTTTCCACTTGTTCCAAGGTAGATGGCCAATCCGACAAGCCAATTGCAACCAATACCCCTGGTAAAGTTGTGACCCCAATTGACATTGACTCTCGCCTCCGCCCCGGTCACCGCGTACATTGACTGCGCAGGAGTCTCCAGAGTATCCGACCACCAAGCCAAGATCCCCGCGAAAAATAGACACCCAGCAAGATTAAAGACATAGCTGACAACCCAGTTCTTGAGCAGATCATATATAGATGTCTTCCGCGACAGTGTCGAGTACATCATCACAGCCATATTGCTCGTGACAAGTTCAACATTCGTGAGCACCACGAGCACAAACCCCACAGGGAAGACAAATGCCGCGAGCATTGTAGCCAGCGAAGGATTCGACTCCCTAAGACCGGGAGCACCACCAGCGATGACGAGATCGAATAGTGACCCGAGCGATATGAATATCCCGCCGAAGAAGGACTTGACGATCAGATCGGCCCATGGGAGGTTTGCTTTTGCGACGCCCGACTGCTGGACGAGCTGGCATGTCTCAGGCGGAGAGTGTGCATCGACTTTCTCCATCGACACATGTGGTCGTCGGTCGTCGTGCCATGTCTTGTCCGAGTCGTGGCCTGCTCCAACGCCGTTGTCTTGATGATGGTAAGGTAGAGACATGTTTATTGCTTTGACATCTAGGTTGAAGAAGGCCACATTCGCAATACTTGTTCTGTCCTACGACAATATAAGACTTTGGCTAAGCTTCCAGACTGAGAGTCATGGCCACAGGGGCGCTCCACTTCTCAGCATCCGTCCAACATCCGGCTTCCCCATCATGACGTTGAGACCGAGGAAAAGTTCACCTCAATTGACGACATGATGGCTCCCGTCTCACGTCCATAGAATCTTTTGCCATGGAGACATAATTGTAAATTCAGGCGCCTTTGTTGAGTCTCGTCCTGGATGTGGCAATAGCTCGGGCAAAACTGCTGTAGAATCATAACATTTGTCCGGATGGCATCACCGGTCCGATGGTCAGGGTTAACATATGTCCGTGCAACGTGCATATCTCCTCGGCATCAGTGAGCCTTGATAGACCTGCCCTTTGAACTGATATTCAGACCTCTAGGTCTGTATACTGCTAAGGATGTACTTTTCGTTACGGGCTTTCGTTTTCATCCAAACCACCCGCGGAAGTAGTGGTAAGTTGGCTCTTAGCAATGTGATCCTGGAAACATCTAAATGAAAGCCTGCGCTGCACACGTGCTATGTGGATTTTAATTTCTGTAGAGTTTCTTGCCAGTGCCTTTCTTGATCGAGACCGATTACTGGTTGAGTCAATAACCGAATTTTCATCGTAGTCGGATGTGGTTGAAGGCGTAGGTTTTGTCATGAAGAAAGATGTTAATTAGTTAGGTGGCCGTGCATTTTACCCGCGCCCAATCCAAACAATTCCCCAAGGCAGCTTAGGCTCCAAACCGCCTCGCTAGCTAGTTAGTTAATTAAGAATTCGTCTCAATTATAGGCATTCTCAACCCTAGAGAAGCCGATCCCAAGCCTATTTCTCCTAAACAGTTGATCCTTCCAACAACTTGCGCCAACTTTCACGACACAACTCGGTGTGCCCAGTTCATGGAATCTTGATCCCTTGATCCGCTTCACAACAGCCGATCAACAAACTGACGCGACTAGAGAGACAAAAGTGTTGGACAATGCCTGAAGATGTTTACATCAGATCATTGGTGCTTGCAGGTGGTATGTCTTCACGTATGGGCTCGCCCAAGTATCGCCTCCAGACTGCAATCCCGCCGCAAGCTTCTGTTCCCATGATCGCGAAGATAATCAAGGTGCATCAGATTTGCCAAGATTACCGCAAAGACATCCTGAGGTTTGATACCATGATATCAACTCGCGATGCATGCCAGGATGAAGAAATTGAAACATTACTCTCAAACTCCATCATTGAACAGACGCGAGTTCATTACACATATGATCGGATTCCTGACCATGGACCTGCCTCCGGATTGATACGCGCACATGAACTTGACCCTAAAGCGCATTGGCTAGTCACTGGTTGCGATTATCCCCTCCTAGAGGTTGAAACCCTTTTGGCGTTGATCAGTGAGCATCTAGATGTTGAAAAAGCTATTACTTGTTTCTCCAATTTTGAGGGCTGGAATGAGCCCCTGCTTGCAATCTGGTCTCCTACTGCTCTTTCCAGGATGCAAGACTTGAGCCAGAAAGCCTCTGCAATAGGCCCGAACCGTGTGATCCGAGAATATGCAACAACTGAAGCTCACGTGGTGAGCAAAGATGCATTTTGTTATGGGGTGCATATTATTAAGCCTGCTAAAGAATCATGGCTTCGGAGTACCGACACTAAAGCTGATTGGGAAGCAGTGCAATCAGAGTTACTCTCCAATCGAACTTGGAAATGCACAACACGAGCACAGACCTGAGATGTCTAACGTGGGTACATCGATGGGGGGATATCCAGTGCCAACCATCAGAGCTCATCAGAGCCGATGCACTACCATGATATCGCCTTCGGAGACCGATTCTACTCCTGCGGGGACTTCAATCCAGCAATTCGCCTGCAACAAGCTTGCCATTTTATATGAAGCTTGATCATCCAGTACTTCAACCTCGGACCTTCCCTGGGATTGGTCTTTGCTCGGAAGTTGCGTTCTCGAAAGCCAAAAACACGTGAGGTGTTTGGGCTTTGAGCGTGCTTGAGTCCTTTTCAGCGGGGCATGACATGGTCCTGAAACACCTATTTGTTGAAGCCGCACCTCAGACCGAAGGCTGAGCCCCCTGAATTCAGCGTGGCCAAGAGCAGCGAGATAAGGGACAACAAAGAACCTCAGAGCCATAGCAGTAGCTATTGGGTTGCCCGGGAGTCCAAAGAATGCAATCGACCTTTTCTGGTTTCCCCTAGAAACACCTCTGTCGCGCTCCAGAAGTGCAAACAAGACTGGTAACCCCGGACGAACTTTGACACCATGAAAGACAACTTTTGCTTGAAGTTTTTGCTCTATGACAGGCCGAATCAAATCGAATTTACCTCTCGACACGCCCCCAGTTGTGATAATGACATCCATTTGACTATCCTCAATTGCGAATCGCAACTTTCCTTCCAATACGTCTTCTGAATCTTGTGCTATGCCGAAATATTGTACATCGGCGGAAGTGCTCACTCGAAGTAGGCTAGATAAAATGTATGGCCCGTTTGAGTTAGGTATCGTCTGACTAGACACTACGTGCGACCGCGAACGTCTCTCCAGTGGATGTTCGTACACATCAGTCAACTCGGAGCCTGTCGAAAGCACTCCGACCCTTAATGTTTTCGGTACAGATGCGTCTGGTTGGATTGACTTTTTTCGTGCCTTAATTGTTGTCACTCTCACATCACGATATCCGACACTCGCGAGGCTCATGACATGTTTTGGCTCGATCATTTCGCCAGCTTCCAGGATCAGCGTTCCAGCTGCCAGATCACTTCCTGCAAATCTCCTATTCTGGTGTATCTTGACCGGTGCCGAGACCTCAATGTAAGCTGAACAGCAATTACAATCGCTCGGATCTCTCTTGACGACAACGTCTTCGATCTTAACAACGGAATCCAGCTCCGGATGACTGAGCTCAGGAAACCTTGCCCCTGTCATGATCTCAATGCATTCTGATTGTATGTGAGTTTGATGATTCGTGATATCCTTGGTAGCAGCTTTGCTTTGAATCGGCGTATCAAGCCCATCGCCAGCGGCGATCATATAAGAGATTCGAAGTCTGACTGGGTTTGTCCTCGAAGCAGACAAAGTAGATTCTGATGATACTGCAAATCCATCCATGGCTGACGTATCATGGGTAGGTATCGAGTATGGCGCTGCTACATATTGAGCAGATCTTTGACCAACAGCGGCCACCACGGGCAAGATGGCCTTTTCACAGTCATCGTTTGGGAGGACTGCATGACATGCTGGAAAGACTTTTCGAGAATCTACGTGTTCATCATTTCCAGTCGCTATCAAGCGAGTTCTGTGCTGTTCTGCAAGAGAAGTGATGCGACTGAGTGCTTCTTCGTAGGTGACGGGTGCAGTGTGTGCTTTGCTTCCAATTCCAGTGCATGTCTTGTGTTTTGAACTGCTATTGGTGTCAATCAAGCAACAGCCCTCATCATGTTTGTTCATGTCGACCACGAGCTAGCTCGCTGAAGTGGCATTTTTTCTTGTAATCCGTTTATTAACTACAAAGACGCAGCGGTTATGTTTGTCACGTTGGTGTCGAACTTTCCCCCATGGTTTGCTATCCACCTCAATCGCCATGGCCACCAATGCCCCCAGCTCCAATCTCCACCATGTCTTTGCAGGAGAGTTGAGATGTTAGCAACTAGGTTGGGCTGCCGAAGCATAACTTCGCAGCATCGTTATTGTTTTACAAAGCGGAGCAAGTCATTGGCCATTTTCTGTGCATCGGAACTGAAATGCGGATTTTCTGTTGATTCTTACATCACTATCCTGGATGTGTTCTTTGATCGGCACGATTTTGCGCTCCCGCTATTTCCAGATTTGGCGGCCGTGACTTCATCCTGACATTCATTTTTCCTCTTGTGATGTCAAATCACGGAACGGTGAAGTATTCCGAGATACCCTTGTAGGGATTTCCTTGGAACAAGAGCTTAACCTCATAGCTGCGTGGAGAAGATTTCGTGGATATGTCGAATGGTCAACACCTCAAGATAGCTCCCCGGCGGGATAAAGGTCCGGAGGCCACCAATCAATTGCGAGCGTACTGCAGGAACAGTCCAGTGAGCCGGCATGGAAGCCATGGCCTCACTAACGGTCCTAAGCGGCTGATACAACGGGAATCTGAGATGACATGTGGTGTCGGGGCTGTCTTCTCAAATCCAAGACTGAGTGCGTAGGGCATGAGTGTTGTTTGAAATCTAACCTCACTAGTTTCCATTCAGCGTATCTCCAAGAGCATCGACGACTATAGCTGACTTGAGATGGCCTCCACAAGGGATGCGGTTAAGGATATCTGGGGAGAGCGGACTCCGTACAAGCATGTCTGGCCCACAAGAGTTGACCAGCATTGTATCGAAGAGCCTACCAGTTGGGTTCAAGGTGCGTGTGTAATGTGCAGGTAGGATATCTTGCCATTTAGGACGTTGGTGCTTGAATCTGACCTGGTTCAAGCAATGGGTGTGGATGTGACTATGGAGTGAAGGATGGGAAGGTCGTTGGAATTCGAGGTAGAGCAAGCGACCGTGTAAACAAGGGACGTCTAGGGCCCAAGGGTCTCTATTCGTGAGTCATGAGTTCTGAATAAGAAGCCCTCTGTCTAAGCGGCAATATAGATGGAAATCTCTGAACCATCCAGATCGACTGACCTATCCTCAAATCCGGCGGAACGGGAAGCTTGAACGAGCGACCTGGGATGAGGCAATGACCTTGATTGTGGAACGTTCGCTTGATATTCAAAGCCGTTTGACGAATCATGGCATTGGCTTCTACACGACTGGTCAGTTGTTCCTTGAGGAGTACTACGCTCTCGCCATGGTAGGAAAGGCAGGGCTTAATACCTTGCATATGTAAGTCTATACGACACTATAATACCGTCGCTAACTGACAACAATAGGGATGGCAATACTCGCCTGTGTACCGCCACAGCTGCAGCATCAATGCGAGAAAGTTTTGGTTCCGACGGACAACCAGGTTCTTACACCGACATTGATTTTACCGATTGTATCATGCTGGTGGGCCACAACATGGCCGCAACTCAGACTGTTCTTTGGTATGCTTGAATATACCCTTTCCACCTCCGATCTGGTCACTGCCGATCGAACATAGTGTCGGAGTTGAAACTGGCCCAACTAACAAGCTCATAGGTCTCGGATACTGGATCGTCTCGCTGGACCTGACGCCCCTACGGTGATTGTCATTGATCCAAGAAAGTCAGACTCGGCAAAGAAGGCCACAATACATCTGGCCCCAAAGATCGGAACTAACGTTGCACTGTATGCTAACTGGCGGATCTCTGAAGTAATGGTAACTGACATGTTCAAGGCTTAACGGGTTGCAGCATCTCCTTTTCGAGAATGATTATATCAACAAAGAGTTTGTCTCTAAGCATACTGTCCAGGTAGAAGAACTTAAAGCCACTGTGAAAGACTACAACCCAGGCATGGTTTCCGAAATCACAGGTGTACCAGCAGAAGACATCATCCGTGTTGCGCATATTCTGGGCAAAACCAAGACACTACTCTCCACTGCTCTGCAAGGTGTCTACCAGTCAAATCAAGCCACGGCAGCAGCTTGTCAGATCAACAATATTAATCTTGTTCTGGGGCATATCGGTAGACCGGGCAGCGGGATATTCCAGATGAATGGGCAACCAACAGCTCAAAATAACCGTGAAGCGGGTTGCGATGGAGAGTTCCCCGGCTTCCGCAACCAGGAAAATCCCAATCATATGCAGGAACTGGCAGATCTATGGAATATCGACTACAATACTATACCTCATTGGAACGAGCCCACACACATTGAGAATATGTTGAAGTACATTAAAGCTGGCACCATCGAGATGTTCTGGATCAGTGGCACCAACCCACTGGTCAGTCTACCAAACTTACCAATGGTACGCGAGACCTTAACAAAAGAGAGCCTCTTTGTGGTTGTCCAAGACATATTCCCAACAGAGACCACGGCTATCGCCGATGTGGTGCTTCCTGGCGCTGCTCAAGGAGAGAAGACAGGATGTTTTACAAATGTGGATCGCACGGTGCATCTCTCCCACAAGGCGCAAAATCCTCCTGGTGAAGCCAAGCCGGATTTTGACATCTTTATTGATTATGCCCGACGAATGGACTTTCGCGACAAGGATAATAAGCCGCTGCTGAAATGGAGCCAGCCATCCGAGGCTTTTGACGCTTGGAAGGCCCTTTCGAAGGGACGACCCTGTGATTACTCTGCAATGACATATGAGAAATTGACTGGTGGGTCTGGTATCCAATGGCCTTGCACCGAGAAATAGTAAGTGTCCTTATTCCCCTATTGCGGGTTGTGGAGGGAGGAACACAACGTAATGGACTATTTCAACTTTTGGAACTACGAAGATTACCACCAATAAAACTTCTAGTTTCGCTACCTTTTAGATTCTAACAGCTTTACAGTCCGTTTGGCAAGGAGAGACTGTTCGATGACGGTCAGTTTTTCACAGATATTGAGTACTGCGAGAGCTATGGACATGATCTTGAAACAGGAGCTCCTTACACTAAGGTCAGAATCTCCCTGCGTGAAGTATAGGCGAGGAATTCTAACATGACATCAAACACAAAGGCCCAGTATCAAGTTCTCAATCCAGCTGGCCGGGCAATATTGAAGCCGTGTCACTATCACGCCGAGTTTGAGCTTACCAATGACGAGTATCCGCTGCACCTATCAACTGGGCGCCGTCCACTACATTTCCATACGAGGACTAAGACTGGTCGTACAAAGGAACTTCAAGAAGGCGACCCTGAGCCTTACATTCAGCTTGCAGAGCAAGATGCAAGATCACGAGGCATCAAGGAAGGGGATTGGCTTATCGTCGAATCAAGAAGAGGTAAAGTTGAGCTCAAAGCAAGAGTCGGGCTGATGGCGGAGGGGCAGGTCTTTGTGCCATTCCACTTCGGATATTTTGACGCACAGGACGGGAAAGCCAGAGCTGCTAATGAGCTCACGCAAGGTAGGAAAAGACCGATATGCTATTCCAGGGCGTTTCGAAATGCTAACGGTCACAGAACGATGGGATCCAGTATCGAAGCAACCATTATTTAAGTCCGGCGCGGTCAAAGTGACTAAAGTCGAAAAACAAGATGATGGTCAAGTGCACATCCACGAACAGCAAACGTCCGCGATCAAATGCGTTGAGAAGACCCAGAAGCCGCATACTGCAGGTTCGCGCAGCAAGCCACCTCAGCTCGAACGTTACTTGGAGTTTTGGCTGGCCATAATATTCGACGCATTCAAAAGTCTCCGCAGTATTTGTGACGATCTCATTCCCCAAGTGGCGCAGGGAGATTGGGAAGTAAGCATTGGAATGCAGGTCATGCACCGGATCATCACTTCATGCGTGGATCATTTCGAACCCTACGTATTGAAATATCGCGCGGTCGGAGATTTCGGCCACGACATCAACGATAAGCTGAAAGACAACCTCTTTCCAGCGGATGTCATTGGGCATTTTTCGGGGTCTGAGTCCTTCGACACATTGGTTGTCCTGCAAGGCTTTTACACATTCTTGAGCCAGGTCGAAGCACATCTAATCACTTTGAGCCCCAGTGCCCAAGCGACGTGGGATAAGGCCTTCATTTCTGCTGTGGCGTTTGTTCAGACCCAAGTCGAAAGAATGCAGGCTTGGACTAAGCAGCAGCTGAAGAGTCGTGGGCCACAGGCTCTCTTGGTGCCGTGCCAACCTGCAGCTGACCTTAAGAAGAGGTTCGAGGAGGGGAAAAGTGTCGAAGGAGTTCGCAAGGATGAGGAAATCGACAAGAGTGACTGAAATTATGCCAGGAATTGGCAATCGGCTTATACGGTGCATCCATCGTTATTGAAATGTAATGATATGTTGCCCCCCTTGACAGGGTCGTGAGTAATTATTATCCTGTCTAATCATCTATCCTAACTTTCTTATAACTACCATCCGACCTTGCTTTTCGATGCACCTGTTCTCCTGTATGTGTAGTGTGGAAAGCTAAACCGTATGGATTATGATCCTCGTTGGAAGGTCTCTCAGGATCGATGTGGCGTTTTTCAATCTCCTGTTTCTCCAACGAACCCTGCAAACCTGGCGCGAAGAAGAGCTTGCCTTGCCAAACACCTATGGAATGTCAACATGAGAAGACTTTAGACTCAAGAGGTCATACCTTTCCAGAAGCTCATCGATGCACAGAACAACCACAGTAATACAACTGCGACTGTGCAGCTCGCCGCCCAACCTTTCAAGCCTTCATTACGAAGATTGGTGCTCATGAGATTCCAAGCATTGGCATACACGCCGCATGGGAAGACGAAGCTCCAGAAAGCTACAGTCGTTGGTGAGAAAGAGATTAGACGCACAGTGGCCTTTTCAGACTTACCAACGTTGAATGGGCCTGGAGCTCTTGTGCATATCGCAAGCACACCTTCAACTAGGAAGAAGGAAGCCACCGCCAACTGAAAAAGAGCCAGGATGATACCCGCCCATTGGATAGCCTCTCCAATAGTTGCGATGTAAGCTCCATCTGAAGGTGGCTGAGGTGGGTTGGTCAGTGTGAAGTTTCGCTGTGCAATGCGCCTTGCCAGGCCAGAAGCCAGCTGTTGAGTAGAGTACGCGCCCATCCCGAACGGACCGATGGGGACAAAAGTGCTGACAATCACTGCTTGCGGAGGAAGAAGAGTACTCATGAGCCGCCAGATGTAGATGGGAACCAGCATGAAAGACATGCCCACTCCCAACGACCACATCAAGAATGATACAAACAGCACCAGTATGCCATTTTCATAACTCAAATGAGGTGCCACTGCACCACCCAAAGTTGAACAGACGATCAACGGAATGAAGGTCAGAAACCATACTCCATTCACCTGCTCGAGAGAATGTGCCTTTTGCCGAGTATACATGAAGTAGATCCCACCAAATGCGACAAATGAACTTCCAACGACAGCTATCCAGAACATAGCTTCTGCAGCATATATGCCGGCTGTGCGACTGGAGTAAAACTGCGCTACTCCAAGCACGATAGTCTCCCATGCAACGACGATTGCTCCAAGGTAGCTTGTTTGCGAAAAGTCGTCGATGATGTTCTTTGCAATCGCAGGAAACATGAAAACCCGGAGGATGCCCAGGGCCATGAAAAAAGCGAAGAGGCAAATATCGGCGATCTGTAAACAAATTAATCAGGACTAAAACTTGCCATACTGAGTATCGAATATCTGCACGTACCCAGAAGACATAGGCCAGATTGGAAAGCCAGTAAGACGGGTATGGAAAATGCGTCAGTAGTTGCACGCATACACCTGGAATGGTTTTAGTCCTCGCTTTTCAGCGTCCGCGTCGCTAACTTACCGGTTCCCATGGGTACTGTGAACCAAGAAGGATCTGCCGTTATAATTCGCTGATTGACATGAGTAAGGCGTGCTTCCTCAAAGGGGAGAAAGGCTCTGCTGTTCGTACCTCCTTCCAATCTCCCGCACGAAACCAGGTCTTGAGGTGCGACATCTTGATACCGTGAATGTTTTCAAGCAAAAATGATTGTCACTAGTCGCCCTGTCTGATATCAACTCTGCTGCGGAGAAGCCTTAAAAATGTGAAATATCAGAGCTAATTCGGCAACAAGCCATTACATAGCGATAGCAAGCAACATGGAGTCAAGGACTTAGTTTGACGTGCATCAACAAAGTCGACCTGAAAAATGAACATCAGGCTTTTCCCGGCAGTGGGGATGGGGATATGACGTTGAGGTCTAAGGGCCACATGGTTTACGTCAGGCTGAATGATGCTCCGTGTCCACGGGTGGCATTACTCCCGTTGTCGTGCCGATGTTGATGATTGAGGATGAAGTTTTGGTCAGCTCTGGCGACATGGGCAGTGCCTTGAAGTGATTTTCCTTTTCTATTGATAACTTGAGGATTGCGGAACAAATGCCTTTGATGTGGTATCGTACGAATCGCTTCTTCGGATTAGGGCGGCAGCAGGTTGACCTGACAAAGGGTCGCACATCATCACCAAGAAGCTAGGTCTCGGCCTTGCTAATGCTTATTTCGAGTTTGCCACTGTGATGGCTCGGAGCGAAAACGGAAATAAGGACCAAAATCTCTCGTGCTAATTCGCTGGTATCTAGATTTGGAGTCGAACGCAAAACGTAGAATCCGAAGTACTCCGTTGTGATTCTCCATCTCGTGCAGGAGAACGCAGACATAGACGCTTCCATGAGCGAGGATTTCGACTATGCAAAGTCGGCATCAGAAGTGCGACGGAATGCTTGATCGTCTGGGCCTAGAGCCGCGGAAGGTGTCAAAAGGAGCACCAAGTCAACTCTGCTTTCATGTGAATGTGCTTCAGTTTCCGCAAGTTGTCAATCAGAGCTTTTTTATTTGGTCTGGCGTGCATTTGAGTAATCCTAGCCTCCGCCCTCCGATTTCTAGCAGAGCAGCTGATGACTTCCATCGAATGAAGAATTGCTGCGAGGCAGGACAAATAACCTATCCACACTCGTGTATGGTCTCGGCTAAATCCCTGGGCAAGATGGGAAAGAGAGACATATAGAATGCACGTTTCCAAAGATTATCGAGCGCCTGGCTCAGTGAACCCCAAATACTCGCCCTACCACCAGAGGAAGTCCTACATAGTTTGTTGTGACAAGTCTAGAAATGGGCTACAGAAATCCTGATGAAGTTGTGAGGACTCACGCCATGTCATCAGAGCTCTTATCGCCCGCAGATGTGGAAGGGGCGCCAGTGGGCGATAATATGAAGCAGGGAATTGACACTTTTGATACTGGCGTCACAGCATGGCTACAAGTCTTTGGTGCCTGGTTCATCTGGTTCAATACATGGTACGTAAGAGAAAGATATGCCCTGAAATCCCCTTCCTCGGTCAATCCTCCTTCGCGATTAAGATATCTGAAATATGCCATTCTGACACAGTGAGTTCGAGGTATAGGGGAATAATAAATGCCTACGGAGCCTTCCAGACTTACTATGAGCAGCATCTGCTCTCCGATACATCACCATCGACTATTGCCTGGATTGGGTCACTTCAATCAGCATTACTCATGCTCGTCAGTGTTATCACAGGGCCGCTCTTTGACGCAGGATATTTCTCAGTCATGATACCGCTAGGCACATTCCTGCTTGTCTTTGGATTTATGATGAGCAGCATATCAACACAATTCTACCAGATCATGCTGACACAAGGGATATGTGTCGGCATTGGAACTGGATTCCTGTTCACGCCAACCTTAGCACTCTTGCCGCAATACTTCAAGAGGAAACGATCGTTGGCCAATGGTATTGCGGCAACGGGGAGTAGCATTGGAGGGGTCGTCTATCCGATCATGTTTCATAAGCTTCAGCGAGAGATTGGGTTCCCATGGGCCACACGTGCGATAGCGTTCCTTGCTCTAGCGACATGCAGTATCTCCATCGGTGTAATGCGTCTGCGATTTCGACCACAGGAGAAACGGGCACTAATCCAGCTGTCGGCCTTCAAAGAACCTCAGTATATCCTGTTTTGTGCAGCATGTTTCACCGGTTTCCTTGGTTTCTACGAATTTTTGGTATATGTACAGCCCTATGCCATTGAGACCCACATCGTCGACGACAACCTGGGGTTCTATCTTCTGGCTATCCTGAATGCTGCCTCAACATTCGGTCGGATTATCTCCAACTCCATCGCAGATTACACAGGTGCACTCGACATGCTGATTCCAGCATTAACAATCACTGCAGTACTCGCATACTGTTGGGCGGCGGTCCACTCCATGTCCGGCATCATCGCGCTTTCCGCACTCTATGGGTTCTTTTCAGGCGGGTTTGCTTCCTTGGTGCCTGTGGCAATCGTTAGAATGAACAAAGATAGCCATAGCATCGGCGCTCGCTTGGGTATGTGTTGGGGTATCGAGTCTGTTGGGCTCTTGATCGGCACACCAATTGGTGGCGCTCTCCTGGCCAAGACCGGGTCTTATCTTGGGGTGCAGATGCTATGCGGCACTTGTTTGGCACTGTGCGCTCTTCTCCTTGTGATCATTCGAGTCTTGCAGGGTGGTTTAAGTTGGAGATACAAAGGCTAAAACCATTATGTGGCCAACTTAAGAACCATACGAATTGTGTCTGGAAAGTATAGAGGACGGGAATTACACCGACGTGCGCTCGCACGCCTCTCTCCGTAAATTAAAACAAATATTGCTGGAATGCTAAGAAGCTAACTGCTAGCCATATAGAATTCGACTAGGACTGACAGCCCTACTGGTCGATGTTACATGGCCTCGTGTGGAGGGGAGATTTTCGGCAAATTCGAGGAGTTTCTCTATGGAACTTGTCAGAAGCGGATGTGACTGCGGGGAGAGAGAAGATCCGTGAGGGCCACACAGCTCCCGCACCAAAGCTGAGCAAGTGGCGTTGTTGTAAATCTCGGCTTGCCTTGCCACAAGCAGCGCACATGATACTGTAGCATGAATGATTAGCCACAATCGGCTGGCCCGGGGAGCGATCTGCCTCAGCCTATAAGATGCCTTCAGCACGATTTTGCAGCGTCTGACAACCTCATCGTCTGGGTCTTTTGATATGTGATTCTGTCGTGCTGAGGTCTGAGAGCTGCAGGCTAACTGACGCTTGCGACGAATTTGAACAACAAAGTAGTTCGTGTAAATCTCCAGAGTATCATGTTGCATTCTTTGCAAATCTGTTTGACAAACAGAACGACGACGGAGATATTCTTCTGTTGATGCTTGATACAACATGATCTGTTGCTCTGCAATCTGGAATTTGGCGAGTGGCACAATGCGGGACATCCTCGCGGCAGTAGTTAGTTCATGACTCAGATCGTTTAATATGGTCCCCTGGCCGTGGCAGCACTCCACGAATGATAAGCTGTTCTCCCCTGAGTAATGAGCAAGGCGAGGGAAATGGCCACCATTGAAAGAAGCGCATGGTCGATCGTATGTAAGTGACAGAGTAGTGTCTTGCCACACAAGACCTTGCCTACATTCCGTTAAAGGCAATTCTATGGGCAAGAGGGCTTGTGGGTAAAGCAAGAGCATCGGGATCAAGGACGAGTGCTCACCAGAGATGCCAGGCATATCTCTCTGACGGTGTTGAGGAAGGAGAAGGGACGTTTGTACGGTCCAGCTCAAGCCGTTGTGCCAGGCGAATAGTGGTACCTTAACCTAGTTAGCAGGCCAGGTTCGTGATCTTCCGTTATTGTTAGATCACGTACCCAAGATTGACCAAGACGCATCGGGGTTGGCTTGACCGCGAAGACACCCGCCCAGAGTGGACAGTGCCAGGATATGCTCGATTTTAGGTTGTAGGAGATAATTGTCCAGCCGCAGAAGTTGGAAAGCGCATCGCACTAGAAGGTTTAGCTGCTTCAGCGAATGCCACGGAGACTTAGATTATCGGCTCAATCACGGAATACATACCATAGATGTTCGCATGCAACTGTGTATCTGTCGACGATTCGTTTGTAAAACAGTTTCCAAAGGCTAAGCAGCTGAATAGCAAGGCAAGCCACGCAGTCGACCGTAACTCCGGTCCGGCATAGCTGCCAATTGATCGTGTCTTCCAAAAGCGCCTCGCATCGTCTTCAAATTCGAGCATCGGGCAGCAAGGCATTGCAAGTTGGTATACTTCATAGAAAGTATCTAAGGATCTGAAACAAGGATTAGCTTCCTCTCTGTTATGAAAAATTGTGAGTATATAAAGTTACCGAGCGAAGAATTCGTCACTTGGGAGAGCCAACGAAATTTCTTGTACCGAGGATCCTGGCTGCCATAAACTATCGAAGGGATGATTGCTGCCGGTATCTATCATGTATAGAACATCACTCATGCCAGAAGTCTGGGTACAGTGATTACCCGCATGCTGGGCTGTCGAAAAGTTGTTCTCGGGGCTTGCTGCCAGAGAAAGTGGCACTGCATTGAGAGTGACGCCATCACAACTTACCCCCATTGAGTCAATTGATGGCCGGCTATATTGATATGACTCCACTGTGGTCCTTGAATCTGCTGATACCGGGTCTTTCAGAGTCTGCAACCTCTTCTCAAACTCCAGCAGCCTTGATAGCCGTCCCATAGGGCCTTCGATTTGATCACTTGCGTCGGCTTTTGGCCCATGGTTGTGGCGTCGACGCTGCCGGATAACTTTTCTCTCGTCTCCGGTTACCAAGTAGAAACACAGTTCCGGATACTCATGCGAAATGCAATTTGAACACGGCTGGGAATTGTCGCACCGGACTTTTCGACGACGACATGGTTGACAGGCTTTTGGATATGACCTGCGTGGGCGCTTCGAAAGATGCTCATCGACCGCTTGAGCAATATAGTCATGGAAATTGGAAGATGACATATTGCTTGCTCAAATAGAGAGCTTGCGATCGTGCCACTCGTCTGCTTACTAGCTGGTTGCGAATTTCTCTATCGGGCTTGAGCACTGGACATTTTGACGATCCGGAGGTAGGGAGATCATTTGCGCCCACCAAGGGGCGATTGTGGTGGCTACAACAGCCGAGATAAGATCAGCCACTGCCCTGTTTCGATCCAAGGTATTTATTCGCTCGATGGATGCCGCTGTTTGTCCTAGACAAATGTTCAGAGTTCACGCGACTGTAGCAGAAGCCACTAGATGAGATCAGAGAGGTGCTTGCCGCCTTGTTCGATGATGTTCGTGCTAAGGCAAATATGGACTAGTCTCCTTTAGAGATGATTTCTAGTACGCCTTGGCACTGGCGGCTAGTAAAAAGCGCCTTGATAGACACCCAAAAGTTACCTAGGTAGGTATTGTCTGGAAACCCGCCTGGTGGGAGGCTGTACCTGGACTACATACAACCGAGGCGCTGATTAAAGACGAACGAGCCACCCCACTTGTACTCTGATGAGCACACTTTCCTGGCACCCGTTCTCCGACCAACGCAGAAGCACGCAGATGCAGCCGTAACAAGGGGACACAGCCTTGTCAACTCACTAGACCTCCGCTCGTCTCTTTTGTGAGAAAGATGACGGTGTCTTCTGTGAAGATCGGACTGCCTGTAAGTCCTAGGTGAGATCTGTTGCCCTGATTTCAACAAATGTTTAAGGTTGAAGTAGGCATGCGTCTCACCTAGCACTGCCTCGGCAAGCCGAGCCGCGATACCCCGTGGTTGAACTGAGCAATCTCAACACTGCCCATCTGGTAGCGCCATATGCTTTTGCATCCATGTAGATGCGCTGCATCCGACTTGATGTTAGTCATGGTTCTCAATCAATCTAAGGTCTAGGGAGCAGTGTGGTGAATCACATGGACATTAAAAGTTGACACTTAGGCTTCGTCCCGAATGGTTCCCCATTGAAGTGTCTTAGATTCAACCACAGGAAGTGCCGGGTTCCTGAATTTATGGTCGTTCATTAGTATGTCGAGTTTTGGAGACATTCTCTCCATCTTAGCGGCGGCTGCAGAGACAGCTGCAAGGGAGGTCACATCAAGCTGTAAATGGTGCACCTAAGTTGAGTACGGTCCGCCGTGTTGGCTGTACTTTGGATCTCAAGCTCAGTCTTGCGAAATCCATCACTATATTTCCAGTCTTGACGAAGCTTGTGATAGTCTGTGCAAGTGATATGGCAATTGCTCTTCCTCTAGCTTGTCGAACTCCAATATTAAAAGCTTATGGTCAAAAATGTAGACGTTTCTTTATCCTACAGGAAACGTCACTTCGATAGATAGGTGGGAGATCAATAATGAGAGCCGTTACTAAAAGAAGAATGTTGCTCTAAGTAATAATATACATCTCATCCCCACGTGAGGTGGGCAAGAAGTGGAATCAAAAGTAGGAGGTGGAAAGAAAGAAAGATATTGAAGAAGCGGTGGCGATGATCAGCTCCGCTGTTGAAGGCCACCAATTTCCATAAAGCGACTGCTGCTTCTAGCAATCCAAGAAAGGTCAAGTGCGATACGTGGCAGGCACGCCAAGAGAGGTCAGTAGTTCTCGCCTGCCTTTGTGATGGCTTCCGAGACCAGAGACACATTGTCCACGATGACTTGGCTTCCTGTAACGCTGGTGACTCGCACTGTTGCAGTATCAGCAGGAAGGGTACCATCCAGGACGAACATGTTGTAGTTGTTGAAAGTGGTGCCTTGCCATGTCTTGCCTCCATCAGAACTGACGTCTAGCTTCGCTGTCCGCTCTCGAGCATTTTCAACCGTAGCAGAAAACCAGTATTTCGAGGCGCCGGCATGCATACGAATCCATAGGGGCTCTGTCTCTCCAATTGGGCAGGTCACCCACTCCCATTCAATGCCATCCACACCTCCACCAGAGTATCCATTGGTCAACTTTGCCCACGTATCAGGAGTCATATCGAGATGTGTAGCATTTCCTCCTGTCAGATTTGTCACCTGCACCAGATTTAGTATTAGCCCCGAAGCAAAGCAATACCGTGAAGACTGGACGTACCATGACGGTGATTGTCTTGCTCTTGTAGGTAACCGAAATACAGCCACCACAGTTTGCGCCGTTGTTCCAAATGTCCTCGGAAACACAGGTCGACCCATCTACCATGACGGGAAGGTCATAGTCAACAAAACTGCACGCACCCTTCTGCCAGCAATCCTCCTCCTTGCAGTTATCGCCATAACGTGTTCCCAATCCAAAGAAGACTTCAGATTTAGCGGTCGAAGTAGGCTCGACACGAACCGATGTAGCATGTGACGAGGTTGTCAGAGTAGATCCTGGTGTGGATGAGGCCAAATTCGCAATGAAAGAGCTCGAGGTTGTTCGGACAAATTTGGAAACTAGGGTTGTAGGTGCTGCTGTAAGTCCTTGATGCTCCACTCCCTTTGATGTTTGCTCAGGCGAGACGAATATGGCCACAGGAGAGCTGGAAGAATGGAGAGTCGGTTTTATCCAAGCAGCTGACTTGGACGTTGAAGAAGTCGACGAGGATGGGGAGATGAAGGTTGAGGACGCGGCCGTAAGAGAGCTTGCCCAGTCCACCCATGTATTCGTAGCTTCTGCAGTGGACTGGATAGGTTCAATGGTTGTAGACCCGGCTTCTGACTCAGGCATCCACTTCCACAGAGAGATTGGGGGTCCTTGAGAGCCAAAATCCACACAAAAGCCACCAGCCATCGTCGAGGCTGCAAGCCCTAGAACCACAAGAGAGCGAAACAACATTGTGAAAGTACTGATTTGATCTTCTTCAGTCGCGAATCCTTTCTCTCGGTAGTCTCGAGAACCTGCTTGGACGATCCGAGTATACGAATATGACACTGACTATGGAACGAATGGACGCACTAGGCGGAAAAGAATGTGAAAAGTTGGCTGGTTCTTCAAACCCCAAGAACATGCGTGGAATGTAGTCTTTATATCTTCCCTCAACGCAGGGAACCATCTCCACTTAACGACCGCTATGTCAAATTTATCTCCATTTGCTCATCCGTCAGTCAGAACATTTCATAAAACTAGGGAGGACATGGTGCTCCGAGAATGCTATTCAAGATCCCATGGCTTCTGTGGACTTGGAAAGGAGAGTTACTGTAGTGAGATGATCAAGGAGGAACTATGGATACAAATCACCCAGTCGACACCCAAAACTACCACCCTCACTCTGACCACATGGGTACACTAGTCAATTGCTCAGTTGGATTTTTCGGTCGAGATCCGGGTTCTTATCGCTTAGGTCTTCCACCCGAGAGGCGAAACAACGAGCTAATGGTGGACTGATGTCGACATCATCAGATACCCTGGTCAATCTGGACTTCCTCTTTGAAGTTAGCCTGCATTGGGGAATAGTGCGGTCCATCAGAACAAGGCTCCGGTGGCACGCACTAATCATCACGACAAATTCTCCGATAGGCGGCACTAGCTGCAACATGAGACGACAAAGGATCTTGGTGGAGATGCCATCCCGTTGACCTACTAAACGTTAACTCTTATCTAATTTCAATATGCTTCGGCGGAGAATAATTGCAAACGCTCGTCAGCCCGCATGTGCTCGATACCCGCAACGGGCGAACCTTGTGCAAGAGCTCTTTGTTATTCAGGAGAAGCAGTTGGGTGGACGATGATGAGGCGATAGTTCTGCGCTCATCTACTTGGCTAGGTTGAATTCACTGTCCTTCTTGTTTTACCCTATCTTCCCAGTCCAGAAGCACTTGCAACCCCAATATTCTCAACAAGCGCTGCCAGCTTCTAGTTTGTGCCTTCTAAGATCAGCAATATACTCAATCCTCGTGCTTGATAAAGGTCATAGTAATAGATCAGTGATGTTGAGGTTTGAACCACCGATAAGAGAAGGCTCTCATAAGAACGAAATTTCCATTGATTTCGGATTAGCACGGCATGGGCGAATAGTCTTCAAGATTTTGCAGCCCGTGGGCTGAAAATGGTCCTTCAGGTCCCGTTAAGCCTTATTGTCACAGAACTTGCGAAAATGGGTGCCTCGATATGCATTGTCAGGCTATCGGTTCATCATCTCATGGACCTATATGAATGGTTAATGCAGACAACTAGATGAGCCCCGGAGAATTATATTATCAGGTGTAAAATTGCGCTGCCAGCAAGAGCAGTCCACCGCTCCATGAGAGGACAAGTAGTTGCCCTTGGATAGCAGAGGATCCCAATAATATAAAGCTGATACTGATCTATCCATGCATTGCTGTTATATGTCAGGTGTCATCTTTCGGCGCTTTGGGTGGCCCAATAGCAGGAGCATTGGTATGAGATAGTGCCCGGGATAGAGATGCAACTAGGTTCGATAAGCCTACGTATTTCCAGTCAAAGATGTTTTAATTCGAGTGGTATTCTCAAGATATCGGCCATCTTCTACCATGTTGCTAGGTGCACGTATGCGAGAGGTGTTTTTGTCAACTTCCAAGCCTGGTGAATGTGTTGAACAATATTGTTCGATATTGCTTGTTCGTATTACATGTGCCAGGCATGCCAAATTGACAATTGGACAGATGGAAGGCCATATCTGAGACACTACACAGTAATTTCTTTCGAGATCATCTCGCTAGCAGTGTCTACAATGCTACCCGTTGCTGGTAACAGATCCTCTGTCCAGAGGACCTGTTGAGCCACCCCCTGCCAGATCATCGCCTCGGTACCGGCTATGACTTGCCAGCCATTTGCTTCCGCAAGCTCAAAAAAGGTAGTTCGTACCCGCGGAAAATAGCACATTTCCAGCACCATTCCCTTCTCTGTTGTCAGTCCTGACATTAGGAACGCTTTCACGATCTCAGAAGCTAGATTCTCCTCCACTGTCGACGGGGGATAGTCCGGTACTGTTCCGACAATAAAATATGGACTGTCAGCCTTTTGTGCTTGGGCTACATAGTCCACGTGGAGGAGTTTGGCCTTCCACCCCGGTATCTGCGAGAAATCTCGTATAATGCTGTCGACTTCACTCTTAAATCTGTTGACTAGGTATATTGTTTGGACATTGAACCATTCATGAAGTGCGAAGATAGCGCTACGACATGCACCACCGCCACCGATTACTAGAGCAGGGCTTGATGTACCCCGTGCGAGACCCTCTGGCGATATATTGCGTAGAAATGCCTCGCGAACGCCAATGCAGTCTGTGTTGGTACCAATGTATCTGCGATGCCCCATTGGAGATTGGCGGATGAAGACTGTGTTGATGGCACCAATGGCACGGCCTTCCATAGTTACGTCGTCAACCTTGGTTAAAAATGTGACTTTATGGGGCATCGTGACGGCCGCGCCAACACAATCCTGCGAGGCTAAGTGAGGTAATAGGTCGTCCTGGTCGGCCGATTCAAGAAGTCGATACTTCCATGAAAGTCCTGCTAGACAGAACAGCTTGTTCTGAAGCATTGGCGCGAGAGACTTTGATATGGGATAACCTAGAAGAAATGTCCCATAGCTCTGGTCACTTGCAAGACTTTTGCGCAATGAGGTCCCGTACGTGTAGGAAGCGTCAAGGGTTGAAGCAAGGGATGCCACCTGGGAACCAAGGACAGAATCCTTCATTCTGTCCCCACTTGATTGCATCGTCAGCACCAACTGACTCCAACACAGCTTGTAGATTAGGTCGAGAATTTATATTTCAAGGGTGCCTCTCGAACTCTTAAGGCGTGAAGAAAACATCAAACAAATGAATGTTGTTCAGAGAGAATTCTCATACAACATAACCGGCAGAGCTCTTACCCGACCTTGACCCATCAGCCTTGTTCCAGAGACTTACCTAACATGTGGCAGGCGTGTTGCAACTCACGTACGTTATTCTATGCCACCTCAGAGTTTACTTGAAAGGAATCCTTGATCATCAATCGGTTGATATAAAGGCTATTTTGATGCTTATGCTGAATGTTGTTGTGCGAAGTTGTGGGTAACTCAGGGCTCATTGTAATGACTAACTCGGCTCATAAAGTTGGCAAACATAAATGATAGGTGGAAGACTAGCACAGAGCAAGTAAATTACATCGCGATTAACGACTTTGAATCAAGCCGGTTTTCACAATGCCTCATGAGCTCTTGGAGACACACCACTCGATTTTCTTTCGCCACTGTCAGCAGGATCCAACCTTAGTGTGGTAGACCGCGGTGAAACTTACCATCATTTATCTTGCACAAGCTTTTAGAATCGCCGCTTCTAAATATGAGCGCAGTGCATAATATATCTCAGTTTGCTGGACATATGGCTGTGGTTGTGCCTCCAGAGGCCTAAAACCCAGCTTTATCACTTTTTAGTGATCATGAAATTGTTCCAAGATTCGCAGGAATTTGAGCGCGTTTCAGATCTGGTTCTACACGTTTATCCCGTCCAGGAATTTGATGGCCTCCCGCCCTGTTCAAAATGGCCACTAGTGTCAAAAACTTCGGCGCTGAGTGAGCTAAGATCTGGCATGGCTTCCGGATGCATAAATGTGAGGAATTCTGGGTCTAAGTCCTCGTTCACAAATCCCAGATTTTGGGCAAAATCTGGTTCTAACGTGGACCTTGAAAAGTCATTTAAGAGATCAGTAGACATAATGAAAATGGACATACCTCTTTGGTGGAACAAATGACGACATGCCTTCCAGGAGTGCGTCAAAGTCATTGCTGTGGGTAGATTGCGCAACACCCAAGAAGTCTAGTCTTTCCGAGAAAGTATTTTCGTCAGTTTCAACGGACCATTGTGGACCATTCATTCTCCTTGGATGGTGCTGCCCCCGAGATATCGTTATTGGATCTGCTCGTTGCGTCCAGGGCGCACCACTACTGTCTCTGTCCTGAATCAAACCAGAAAGACGAGGGTCAGCGAGTGGCTGAACCCCCTCGAAGTCTGTCCCGGAAACTGAAGGTCTACTAGCTTCGGCCATCCCATCAGGGTATCGATCTTCATGGACGATGGCTGGGACCGCCGATTCGTCGGTTGGCGCCCATTGCCTTCGAAGATCGTACTGGAGACCTCGTAGCTTCGTGACTAGATCTTCGAACTCCGGAGTTTGCGGTTCCAAGGCGGTTTCGATGCTATTCTGTGCTTGTATCAGGTAGCCTAGAAGCATGGGGATTGATCCATTTTCATCGCAGATATTTGCTTGGACGATATCCAATATGGAATGTGCATTTTGCAAGGCTAGCTGTGCAATAGTCGGGTCTTCCATGTTGAACCTCAAGACAACAGAACACACAATAAACCTCCACATCAATTCCAGGTTCAAGACTACAGGGCTCGAGCCCTGTATCCTGTGCATCTGTTGATATGCAGGTAGATTTGCTTTCCAGATTTGCAGCTCCTTTAAAAATGCATGATAGTCGATATCGTCGTCTTGCCCATGAATCAAACGAGAAATTTTGTGCATCAATTGCGACATCATATTGAATCCGCTCACGGCTCTGAGTGGGCTCCGTTTGGCAGGATATTCTCTGCCCTCCCATACTCCTGGTGGATTCCAAGGTTCCCACTCTTCCAACAAGTTTTCATCTAATGGTTGAAAGGGCGGTGCATCCGGAGGGAAGCATGACTTCTTATTGAGAAGAGCGGACAGAAAGTTGTCTAAGAGGATGCAACTGAGCAACGTGTGATTATACCGCGAGGGTTGGTGGTCATGAGCAAGCAACATTCGGGCAGCTTGACCAACCAATATCCATGCGGCTTGGTGTTCACCCAAACCAATTTTCAATAGAACAATAATAAGCAACGCTTGGACATCTTCGAGTCTCCATTCCTGGAGGCGGTTGTTGAGATGGAGGTATAGTGCAACAAGAATCCTTTTAGAGATTTGATCGGCTTCCGGGATCGACTTTGTTCGAGAGAGAGTGAGCATGATGACTGCCCAAAGGCAACATTTGAGACACGGATCACTATTTTCGACATCTTTTTCCGAGTGTAACACTCGAAGTATATCCCTCCGCTCGAGCATAGGCAGCCAACAATGGATATGTGAGAAGTAGAAGTCTACTAATTCTGGTGCTTGTTCTGGGAGCTGCAATTGGGTCAAAACCATCGGTCCTGGAGAGGACGCTCCTCCTTTCTGCAGGTTTTCACATGATGGTTCACAATCTGGACCAATATCATCTTCATCGTCCTCATCATTATCCGCGATGCCACTGATGGGTCGTTCGCAGATGTCCTCAGGATCACTGAGCGGTGAAAGTACGCCGGATGCACTACCAAAAGAGTCTTCGGAGTGGGAAATGATCTGTTCAAGTTCTCTGGCAAGCATGGAATGTCGCCAAACATCGGCACATTCGGTGATTCCTCCTGCATTCAACCTGCCACGTGAGCTTGGGCTTCTTAGCAGTTCTCGCATTCTGCGTTCATGTCCTGCCTGATCTTGGAGCGACAGGCCAAGCAGCGCTTCTAAGCCCCGTACATAGCCAGACTGCAGCCCACGTTTACGAAAGCCGCTTTCATCATAGGTGCAGGTTCGGTTGCCTGATAGACAGACCAGACAGGCGGGATACTCTCCCCCGCATTTTGACTTGCGCTTCCGACATTGATGACATGCTTGAGCGATGCGCTGTCGCTTCATTGTCGTTCCCCGTTGTGACATTTAGGTTGGTGGCAAGAGATGCACCCAATTTGTGGCATAAGAGCCCGATGGGCATCAGAGGGCTATTCACTCATGCATACCTAGGTGCCTATGTAGTTCAGTGACTCGCCAGTTTTCGTTTCCCAAAGAAGACCCTGCCATTACCAGAACTTGGCGCCGTAAAACTGAGCAAGCTCGGGCCCAGCCCGAATCGCGCCCGTATCACGTGATCGGCATAGCTCTTAGCCGTTCGTCTTCTTGTCGCTCACGAGCTTGGATGATTCTTATGTCATGATCAAAATTGGAGCAGAACATCTCAAGATCCAACTCCCTCACCTTTGAGTAATGACTCCTATGGCCAACCCAGGCCAGGGTCAAGCAGCTCAGACCTCTTTGAAGCGAAATTTTCAAGCCTTCAGTAATGATGGGTCTGAAATCGAGGGGCAAAAGAAACTTGACAATATCACAGAAGATTCCTCGCAGATAAATCTGAGAGACTGCGGGAGTGCTCTTGGCCCAAGGGATAATCGTCCGCATTCTCTCGAACCGTCTAGTAGATCTCCTACAAGAACGCCCTGTGTATTGCCAAGTACAGCATTTGCGCCAGAGCACCAATGTCGCTACGATTCTAGCGCCTCAATCCTCCTCGTCGGCTTTCCCGGAGCTGGGAAACATACTCTGGGAGTGATCGTGTCAGTTGCCTTGCGCCGGCAATATGTCGACTTTAGTGCTGTGTTCGAGAGAGACGTGGGATTGGCACCTTCGGACTTTGTTTCACGTCGTGGACTTTCAGCCTATCGTGAGGCCGAGAATCGAGTCACCAGAAGGATTATTGAACAATACCAAAAGCACTACGTGATCGGTGGCCTGACTGGGCTGGGGGGTCTGGCACAAAGAAAACTCCTGCAATCATTTGGCACTACCAACCCCGTCATTTATGTTCAGAGGGACAAGCAATACCTCCAAGGCATGCCAGGAAGCTTCGTAGAGCAAGACCAGGCTTACCGGATTTGTGACGCATTCTATCGATCGTGTTCAACGGTGGACTTCTTCAATATAACTGAGACCAAGGAGTTCCTTGAGAACCCCAAAGCTTGTGGAACCCTTAAGCTCAAGAATGCAGAAACGGATTTCGTTCACTTTGTCAACCGGATTTATGGACGAGTCCCAAGGCTGCTCAAGTCTCTGAATCCATTTTCGCCTGCTTACACCTATGCACTAGAGGTTTCAATTCAATCATTGGAAGCTCACGGTGCGGATCACGAGATATTGGACGCTGGTGCCGACTTGATCAGCCTGATAGTTGAGCCATCTCAAAGCACTAGTAGCTCGCCTCAGGACGCTATAGTTCGGCAAGTGGCCACATTGCGTCGACATACGAGAGCCCCAGTCATGATCGAAGTTCCATTATCCGCTGGACTGAATGAAGAGGAGTACTTCAACCTTCTTCAGATGTGTATGCGTACGGCTCCAGACATCTTAGCCATTGATCTTGGAACAAGTCCTACGGACATCGAGAAATTGGTCGCCCTGAGAGGCTCCACAAGTATCATCGCTACTATGCACTTCAGTCAATCTGTGGCCGCTGATAGAAGGCGGCATTTATGGGAACGATATCATGAGCTGGCATGTAAGTATCATTGCCATGCAATTCGTCTCACCCACGAAGTGACGACTCCATTAGAGAATCTTGAGGTTTTGTATGAGGCCCAAAAGGCGAGAGAGAAATGGACCCTACCTCTTATCTGTTACAATACCGGTTCTGCCGGCCGCACATCGGTCTGCTTCAATCCAGTGCTCTCATCAGTCCAAGAAGCCCCGTCCAGTAGTGGATTGACTATTAAACAAGCGCAAGCCGCTGTTTACTCCAGTTTCATCCTTCCTGAGAAGAAGTTCACAATTCTTGGCAAGAGTGTCAACTACAGTCTCTCTCCCGCTTTTCACAATGCAGCTTATGCAGCATGTGGTCTGCCCCATTCGTACGGTCTACTTCAATCCGACGATTTCGCCGTAATTCACTCTCTGCTAGAAGATGCACAATGTGGTGGCATTACCGTGTCTCTGCCATTTAAGACCCAGGCTCTGAAGATCTTGGATAGCATTTCTTCAGAAGCCTTGGAGATCGGAGCAGTAAACACAATTGTTGTTCATCGAAAGAACATCGAAACTGATGTACAGAAGATCGAATTGGAGGGTTTCAACACTGACCATATTGGTATCCGTGTCTGCATTGAGAGGAACATTTCACCAGCCAATTTGGTACGTGAAAGCAGCACTGCGCTGGTTATAGGCGCAGGTGGAATGGCTCGAGCGGCGATATATGCCTGTCGCACGTTGGGCTTGACACGGATATGCGTGTTCAACAGAACAGAGGAACGCGCCCGAGAGCTTACCGCCTACTACAATGCGAAAGGAATGAAATTACGTGTTCTAGATTCACTCAGCGCGACATGGCCTGCAGATATGCGCCAGCCAACAGTCGTAATATCCTGCATACCAGCACACAGTATTGGAGGTCAGGAGCCTCACAGAATAAATATCCCCGACCATTGGCTGGAGAGCCGATCAGGAGGTGTATTTGTCGAGGTATGAACTCCAATATCATCCAAGGTGTTTGCTAACTAGAGAGTAGGTCGCGTATAGACCACTAGAAACGATTTTGATCAAACAGATGCAAGCCAGATCTGCAAGTGGATGGATCATCGTCGACGGCCTAGATGTACTTGTTGAACAGGGTATTGCCCAATATGAGATCTTTACAGGTCGACCAGCCCCGGTACACGTGATGCGCCGGGCTGTGCGGAACCACTACGACAGAATGACAAGAGATTGAGGGTTGGTGCCGATGTAACCTAAAATTGGTGAGCATTTCGACGTTGAGGATCACGTGAAATACCGGGTGAGTCCTTTGCCGCAAGCGGAGTGCCTGTTCTCGATCGGTGTCTTCAAGCATAACAATGCATCTCTCTAACGTCCTATTTGTCTTTGGCATAAACGACTCACCAGAGTCTTTGGGCACAATGACCTCAATACTCAGTAATGGAACTGAGGAAGATCTTATCTCTACAAGATATCACAAGCACTTGCAAACCTTCATTATTTCCTTGACCTTCCCTGACCTTTCTACGGTCGCAACCCAAGATTTAACACGTATAAGTTATGGGGGCCAGATATGGGAGCTTCGAGCAGACTTCTTACGGTCGCCAAATTCAAACGAAGCCTCGAAAGCGAATCTCGTCACCAACCAGTTACAGATGTTGCGGAAAGCTTCAGACCTTCCTGTCATCTTCACTATTCGAACAGTCTCTCAAGGTGGCCAATTCCCCGATGAAGCCGTGGATGAAGCGCTTGAAATGATCCTCTCGGCTATTGACGAAGGTTGCGAGTATATTGACGTTCAAGTCTCCTGGCCAGATACTATGCGAGAAGCCATTGTCAACGCCAAGCGGCAAAGTCAACTTATAGCCTCAATCCATGATTGGACTGGTGAGGTGAAGTGGGCGGATGATCAACTTGAGCAATACATCACGGCAGCTAGCTTCGGAGGTTTGTTTTCATGGACTGTTTGACTTCAGGGACTGACTTTACACGTAGATATCCTCAAACTCAGCCTTCTGGCGTCTCGAATGGAGGAGTGCCACGACCTTGTAGAATTTTTACGCCGATATAGAAAGGCCTATGCAAAACCCATGATTGCAATTGCCATGGGTCAAGAAGGTCAGCTATCACGCATGATGGGTCCAATCTCATTCGTTACACATCCTCTCCTTCCCCGGTCTTCAGCACCTGGCCAGTTGTCCGTGGCACAGGTTCATCAAGGCTTGCATATCATAGGCCAACTGCCAAAACGGAAGTTTTTCATCTTCGGCAACAACATCGCACATTCATTAAGTCCAACAATTCACAACGCCGCCTTTGCTGAATTGGGCCTCCCACACGACTATTCAATCTTCCAAACTCCCCAAATGGACGATAAGGTGCATGAAATACTTGCTCAGCCCGACTTTGGCGGTGCCTCGGTGACATTTCCACACAAACTCAACATTCAACCAATGCTTGATTCTTTATCTCCTTCAGCCACCAAATTGGGCGCTGTGAACACCGTGATTGTCGTGGAAAGTCCATCGGGACGCAAGCTGAGGGGCGATAATACCGATTGGCTGGGGATTTTACAATGCATTCAAAGTGGTCACAATGTGCAGTGTGAAACGGCCACAGTCATTGGTTCGGGCGGAGCAGCCCGTGCAGCTCTCTTCGCTTTGCAGAATATGGGCGTTCAACGGGTTGCCGTGGTGAATCGAAGCATAAGCAACGCCGAAGTCGTGTGCAAAGAGTTCTCGTCTTTGAACACGGAAATCTATGACTCTCTAACGAAAGCCCCAGCATCAAACATCATCGTCTCCTGCATTCCTGCAGACGATATCACGGAAGCAGATATTCCTGCTCATGTTTTTGCGAATCGGCCCGGAATATTAATCGAAATGGCTTACAGGCCACAGATCACTGCGTTGATGGAAGTCGCTGGGCGACTTCCGCAATGGACAGTTTACGGCGGCGTTGATGTACTGAGATTGCAAGCATATGCACAGTTCGAGCTATGGACAGGTTGGCGCGCCCCAATCACGGTCATTGAGAAAGCACTCCGGGAGCAGATCGCAAGGGCATAACAGCTAAGAGACTATTCCCAGCTTTGACACTACTGTCCGCTATGAGAATCCCGAATTTGCAGTGATATCCTCAAAATTCTTCTCGATTCAAGGGTGTGTCGGGGATCGGACTCCGTGAAATTGTGAGCACTTGATTGGACTGTTACTATTAATCCAATGCGTAAACTGTAGATTGTAGACACATTTTACCCTGCATTGTTCCAAGTATCCACGGACGCAGATCTATCAAGTTGCTGTGAGGGACAACCGGCAACAACCACAGAATTTGATGAAATCATCCTCCCTAGTTTACTTCTGATTCCAATCATGGTTCTTCGTGTGCGTATAGTTTTCTCGAGACGAGGGACACATCAATTTACCGATTTACGAATACCAAGAGCCTTAGGCCGGTGCTGTTTGTCAGAAGAATACTACCCTCCCGTGAGTTCTCCTCGGATGAAAGATGCGGTTAAGGTCTACACCGAAAATATTGGGTCTGTAGCGGATCTCATTGAACATGGGCATATTTTCATAACGCTCCGTAGTCCAAAGAGCTAACTCGTTGTATGGGCCTGGAGCGAAAACTACTCGATCTTCGTAGCTAAACTACTCATTGCATCTGACAATAGTCGTCCAGAATCTCACTACAATTGAAACCTCTGAAAGCCTGAATTTACGCAAGCTGAACCAGTTCAATCTCTCAACATGGCTCAGAAAAGTGTCCTCATAATCAATGGGCCAAACCTCAATCTTCTGGGCACTCGCGAGCCCACCATATATGGCTCCGCAACTCTGAAGGATGTTGAAGAATCAGTGCTCAAACGAGGTGCTGATCAGAACTTGTCGATTTCGTGTTTCCAATCAAACCACGAGGGAGCAATCGTCGACCACATACATGCTGCCCACGCTGCAGGAGTTAACGCTATTATCATCAACCCAGGTGCTTTCACGCACACGTCGGTAGCGATCCGAGACGCATTTTCAGGCACAGCGATTCCATTCATTGAGCTACACATCTCCAATGTGCACAAGAGAGAAGCATTTCGCCATCATAGCTATCTGAGTGATAAAGCCGAAGCCGTGATCTGTGGACTAGGCGTGTTTGGATATCTGGCTGCCGTTGACTTTTGGTCTTGGAAATTTGATCAGGCAAAAGGCTGTTCAGCATGAGCAGATGTGAACAAGAAGGACTATTATTTATATTGTATCAGTTGCAGGTGGTTGTATTTCACTCCTCGCTGGCGATTATTCTTTTTGCTCCCAGATCCTAAAGTTGCATGAGAAGTAGTGCGGTCAAGACATAACCTTTTCGCTGTTAAAACGAGAGTTCAAATCTCACCTGGGTTATACGCGGGTTAGTGTAATAGTTAACATTTTTGACTCATAATCAAAAGATTGGAGTGCGAATCTTCAATTACCAAGCGCGATATATATGAAAGTTTGTAGAACAAAGCAAAATTTTGTCGCTTTCTCTACATGTTCCAAAGCTAAAAGTTGATTGCCTTGCTGTCATCCGCAGCCTGGCGGAGGACCTTCCATACCATATTCATGTCAATCCGACGGGAACTATCCTCACCGCACCAAAGTCGGTACTGCTCGGGGACCTGGTGTCCGATTATTTCCGTACCTTCTACAGTTTTCCAGCCATGATGCTCGGCCAATTTGATGTATCTTGTTCGCCTTGGTTTGAAACACATGTCTAACAGCAACCCTTTCGTCTCGCTGGTCAAAAATTGGTTCACAATGTCGCGAACCTCGATTTCAGCAGGGTTCGATGGTTCGAAATCAGGCACTGTTCCTACAATGTAAACTGGCGCCTGCAAGTCTTTGGCATGTTGTACCGTCTGAACATGTATGAGCTTCAACTTGTCGCCATAGATCTGGGCATCCTGGGAGAGCATTTCGTATTCACTGGTATCCCTGTTGACGATATAGATGGTGTTACAGCCGAGCTGGTCATGGAGAGCAAACAGGGCAGCTCGTGATGCTCCTCCGGCACCAATAATCAAGGCCACTTTCCCATTACCCTCTGTCGGCACGCTCAACAGGCAGCCTTTGATACCGCGCCAATCGGTATTGGTTCCTCGCAATGAGCCATCAGCTGCTCGATAGACGTTGTTGCATGCGCCAATCTTCAAAGCATACTCGTCAAGACCATCGAGGTGCTTCATGATTGTCGATTTGTACGGCATCGTCACCACCCCGCCAGCAAAAGTTGGTTTGCGGAATAGAGAGACTGCATCATCGACAGTCGGACATTCTTGAGCCAGAAACTTCCAGTTGAACCCTAGTGATTGTGCTGTGTAGTCGTGCATTGGTGGTGCTATTGAATGTGTAACACCAATTCCCACCAAATAACTGAACGCACGCAGATCTTCAGAGCTTGTAGCCATTGTGTTCCTATGAAAACGAATTCTTGGATACTGATGCGAAATTCGATACAGACTGCAGTCGTCGATTTGTGCGTTACGGTCGTCAATTTTGTTGTAATCTATGATCTTGTAGAATGCAGGGGTGCTTGAATCTCACGCGATCAAGGTTTGCCTCACATGCATCATGCTCGGATAGGAACTTACCCTTGTGAGCCCCGCATTGGCGACTGAATAGCAGGGGCAGGATTCACAATGCCAACTCCAACTATCTACCTTGGTAAGGAAATACCTTTTACGCTTAAGGATGAGTTTTCAATAGTTGTACGTCGCAGAAAATGGGGACCATAACTACCAAATACCCTGAAAGTTCCCTCTACCGAAAATAGATGGCACCTATATCTCAACCGGCCTACCCTCAACCCAGTCCTTGCACTGCCAGTACAGCAGGTCGTGCTTTTCTCCACAAGCCTTGCTGCCCCCTGCTACACCTTTCTCTCGCCTGTGACCCGGCATATCAAGCAGAACTTTCACCCCCATCGTCTTCTCCTGGCAGTAAGCCAGATAGCGGTAACCGGTAGGGAAAGTCTTCAGTAGTTGTTCATCTAATTGCGGCACTTTTGCAGGATTCACAGGGATCAATTTATCCTAAGTATCGGTTAGTTGCCATGCATAATGAAAGGCAAAATTACGCAACTCTTACCTTTTCGTACCAATGCCTGACATATCTGGCACGCCATTCACCATTTTCTTTGATCCAGAAGAAACAAAAGCGACAATCACTTTCGGCATCGGCTTCAGCCCCATCAAGATCGAAGCGCTGGGTGATCGTCGCTTTCATCTTAGTTACTGCTCGAGTGGCCTCTGGATTTATGTCGGTGCTGATTCCATGGCATCTATGCATGATAAATGCCCCATTGTCCATTCCTTTTTGTGAAGCGGCAATGAAGTCCAGATGGTGGGTTCGCCCCGTCCATGTTGTGTAGATATAAGCATCAGGGTGGAAGATTGACTTCAGATTCTCCCACTCACAGGCGTCACTGTTGCCGCTCAGTATTCCTGATGTAGGTCTCCAGCAAGGATTGCAGACTTACCGATAGGACGGCCAACCTTCGGCCAGTTCTCTCAATTTGTAGCGTTCGAACGTAAGATCGTCAGGTCCATTATTGCGTACAGCGTTCTGCGGCCGGGAGGCTTTAGGCAGCGAGTGTAAGTCTACCATTTTCTTCGCTGTACTGATTGAAGATTTCAACGCAACTATACCTGGGACCTCTTACAGGAAACGAGGATCAAAATACCTTGACGTATGAAGCCTGGAGGTCGGTTGGAAGGACGGCCACAAGTTCGGTTAAGGTCCTTACCGAAGCCTCCTCTGCCAATCTTACCTCATTGACAACTTTCCTAGGGCCTACCCCACACAAACACACCTGAAGGAGATCGTTCTTCTAACATTTTCTCCTTCGCTTTCCGTCGCCATCCCGCAAACGAAGTCACGATCATCACGGCCGCCGTGAGCAATGTCATCGATGACAGTCGCCAAAACCTACAGACCGGCAATAGCGTCGATGTCATTGGGCCGAGCTTGGGTACACGAAATTCATCACAAATTACAACAAGCATCAGATGCAGGGTTTCAAGGCGTGGAAATATTCTACGAAGACTTGGAATATGCAGCCCAAAAATACGGCGACGCCAGTGAAACCAATCTAATACGTGCAGCAGCGGACATTCGCAAGGCTTGCGATTCCCTGGACTTATCAATCATTGGTCTGCAGCCATTCCTCTTTTATGAGGGTTTGACCGACACATCAGAACATGAAGCCAAGATTGAGAAGCTGAAAGTTTGGTTCAAGATCGTCCGCGCCCTGGGAACAGATCTCATACAGATCCCTTCTAACTTCATGCCTGCTGGTCAAGGTGTGACGGGGGACGTAGACCATATTGTTAGGGATATGGTTGAAGTCGCCGACTTAGGTCTACAAGAGTCGCCTCCAGTCCGTTTTGCCTATGAGAATTTGGCTTGGGGCACATATGTCAATAAATGGGAAGACCTCTGGGACATTGTCAGACGAGTGGATAGGTCAAATTTTGGATGCTGTCTAGATGCTTACAATATTGCTGGAAGAGTCTGGGGTGACCCCACAACGACTTCAGGCACAGTTGGGCCCACAGCTGACTCTGATCTGGAGAAAAGTCTGAGCAATCTGGTCAAGACGATAGATGTAGCCAAAGTGTTCTACCTGCAAGCCTCTGACGGAGAACGACTGGAAAGCCCGCTTGTGGAAGGCCATCCCTTTCACGTTGATGGACAGCCAGCACGAATGAGTTGGAGCAGGAACGCCCGCCTTTTCCTATATGAGCAGGATAAGGGTGGCTACCTACCAGTGGTTGAGGTGCTGAGGGTATTCATCAAAGAGCTAGGATTCGAAGGTTGGGTGTCTATGGAACTCTTTTCCAGGACCATGAGTGATGCAGACTCTTCAGTACCTCGTGATCATGCGCAACGAGGTGCCGCCGCATGGCGGAGGCTGAGCCAGGAACTAAATCTATGATTCCGTGAATAGACACACAGACATCCTTTGGATGTAAGCTGTCAGATTGACATACCGGTGGGAAGTACGTAAACAGTTAACAGTGATAGCGAAGTCAGCAAGTGATTCTGGCATCTGCATTTCCCGATACCCCTTGGCAGATCGTGCAGCAATATCCATCAACGCTGGTTAGCTTGAAAAGCCGGCTGCATCTTCTCCGGATATAGTTCCTAGGAACCCACACGAGTTATGGAATTATTGGAGGTTCATCGATCCACAATCGGAGCACCACGGGGTCTGTGAACATGCCGGCTATGACTCTAGCCGCTGTGTACTTCCCAAGTGTTCCCCAATCTCGCTTCTTGGGTTGGGGATTTGGACAAGCCGGGGTCCCCGGAGGAGAAGTTCCGAAGTCTTCATGACTTACATATATATACCATCCATGTGCTGAGTGGTTTGAAATGTAGCTCTTCATATCGCTTACATCTTCGAATCAATCAAGGAAACCAGATTCTTCTTCTTTTCCGCTGTCATGGGTGGCAACTTTATGCGAAAGGTCGAGGATCGGCCGACACCTCCTGAGGTCTACAACTGGAAGATCTACCTCGTCGCAGCTGTCGCTTCAGCAGGAGCCGCAACCATCGGCTACGACAGCGCCTTTATTGGGGGCACCATGGCTCTACCTGCATTCAGGAAAGATATGGGCTTCGATACCATGGGCAAGACAGAAGTCAACCTCATCTCTGCCAACATCGTTTCCTGCTACCAAGCAGGGGCCTTCTTCGGAGCTTTTGGAGCATATCCAGCTGGTCACTTTCTTGGTCGGCGTATTGGCCTAATTATATTTGCATTGCTCTTCATGCTGGGGGCTGGTATCATGCTTGCCACTGATTCTGATAGTGGCCTTGGTTTTCTGTATGGTGGTCGAGTTGTTGCAGGTCTTGCAGTCGGTGCCATCTCGAATCTTATCCCAATTTATCTGGCCGAAATATCACCCCCTGCTATCAGAGGTCGCCTGGTTGGTATGTGGGAAATTGGCTGGCAGAGTGGAGGACTCGTCGGTTTCTGGATTAACGTAAGATAACGACCTTCTCCATCGGGCGCTATCTGAACTTGCTGACTCGATGTGTTGTTACAGTACGGCCTTACCCAGCACATGGCACCTTCAAGACAGCAGTGGATCATCCCTTTCGCAGTTCAACTTATACCTGGTGGCCTGCTGGCTATTGGCGCTTTTTTCCTTCCTGAAACGCCACGTTGGCTTCTTTCAGCCGGTAGGCGTGAAAAGGCAATTGAAACGCTGTGCTTCCTGCGAGGCCTTCCAAAAGATCACCCATATCTTCTGACCGAGGTGCAGATGACAGATGACGCACTGGAACATCTCAAGAGAACTATCGGTATAAAGTTTTCCGGTCCTTTTAAAGAGGTATATCAAAACCGGAAGATTGCATATCGATTCTTTCTTGGTGGTGCACTGTTCTTCTGGCAGAATGGGAGTGGCATCAATGCAATTAATTATTACTCGCCCACTGTGTTTAGGAGCATTGGCATTACAGGGACAAGCACCGGACTTCTGACCACGGGAATTTTTGGATGCCTGAAAACCTTTTTCACATTCGTATGGATCATGGTCATGATCGATCAATTTGGTCGGCGTAAGCTACTTATGATCGGTGCCCTTGGTGGCTCACTCTCCCTTTGGGTAGTAGGTGGCTACATTGCGGTAGCGAAACCCCAAAACAACCCATCTGGCACCTTATCAGGAGGAGGCATCGCAGCTATGGTGTTCTTCTACATCTATACCATTTTCTATACTCCGTCATGGAGCGGAACCCCTTGGGTCGTCAATAGTGAGATGTTCGACCAGAATGTTCGGACTCTCGCACAAGCTTTCGCTGCGGGAAATAATTGGTTCTGGAACTTCATTGTTGCACGATTCACGCCTCAGATGTTTGCCCAGATGCAGTACGGGGTCTGGTTCTTTTTCGCTAGTCTGCAACTCCTCTCCATCCCCTTTGTGTATTTTTTGCTTCCAGAGACAAAATCTGTGCCACTCGAGTCCATGGATTTGCTGTTCGACAGAAGTCTGAAACCTCGGAAGGCCCACAAGCATGTGATGCTCCAGGTGCAGGAGAACGGAGAGCACATGCAAGCGGATATCATGGAATCAATGGGCTCCAAAGGACAAGCGACACAAGTTGAGCAGCTCCCAGCGAAGCAAATGCAAGTTTGAGAGCGAAGTTGAGCATTGAATGGTGAGTGAAAGAATGCAATGCTCCCTGATGCAGTGGTCGAGCGTGGTGGTGGCAAGAGAGACTTCTGAAAGAGTCAAGCTGGACCCAGGTCCACCGTCGTCAATAATACACTTGCTCCATTCTCAACCGAAACTTAGGACTCTGTTTATTTGGTAGATTGGAGAGTTTTCAAAGTCAATGATACTTGCAGAAACAGTACTGTGACACCTACGTATGGGTCATCACTTAAGACAGTGTCATTAAATCTGCCGATGACTGGGTACATCCCTTTCAATTGTATTTAGAGCGACTTAAACATGCCACATGGCCACAATTACTATTTCATTTTCGTGCCTTAAAATATGGGTCACGAAAGCTACTGGTATCGGTAACACACAGAAGAGTGCTGAGGGTATCCTTATCCCCTATACGGAGCACCAGTAAAAACAGGGACAGCCTAACAATCGTTGAACAATACAAGGTCAGAGATTTCAAAATGAGTAGTCTATATACGTGACTGGATGAAAGGGTCTTTCGTGTCTACGGTAATTAATTAGCATGGCCTTGAATTCACTGCAAGGCCTAGTGAGTTTCATTCTTACGCATAACTAGCCAACCGTGTGTCTACAGAAGAATGTTGCTTAGGGGGACGCGACTTACAACTTGCTTGGGGTCAAAGTCGTAAAGAATTCAGGACATAATGGCTAGCTGGGAACTTTTCCCGTCCGGAAATGGAATCACCTTTCACCTGGCGAGTTGACAAGAAACCTAAAAGCAGGGTTTGCACCCCGAGCAGTGTGGCGATTGAAGAGTCTTGCAGAATAAGAGTACATTCAAATATGCGCGCACACAGATGTCATCGTACTACACTTGATTTGAACCTTTCGTCAGCGAATCCGATCCCAAAGAGAGAAATTTTTCAAGAATGTTGGCCACTACTGGTAGAGACATCGCACTCAAGAGAGGTCTCCTGGAAGGTAGACTTCTTCGAGCACATAGAAAAACACTGCAAAACGGCAGTCTTCATGCCCCAAAAAATGAGCATCGCACAAGCAGCGTAGGCCACCTAATTAAAGCCAAGGCCCAACGCATAGGTCGGTGCTGCCGAGAAACGGAGTGTGAATGTGAGCTTTGAGGGTGGTAATCAATCTGGATTCCGAACCAGCCAGCTCACCGAAAACAGACTTGGTGGCCTTGTAGTCGGACTCACAACTTGACGCACTCCCTTTCACCCAGTTGCGCAAGGCAAGACAGAGCATCCGACCCTGTAGAAACTCGAAACTCGAAGTCTGAGTAAATAAAAACCCCGAGCCGCCCAGGACTGGATCTGGTTGCATTGTTTGTAGAGGATGCGGGAGAGAGCCTGGCGCCCGGACCGCAAGTTCGTCTGTGCTCCATCATGCTTTGCAATCAGTCTACTACGCTTCAACTTCTCAGCGTTCTAGATGACCAGTGGCGTCTCTAGTTTCTGTCGATGGGAGAGATCTTCGATTCAGCCGCGGCACATAAGCGAAAAAGGCTGGACTTGTTGAAAATGTTCTCAGATTTGACGGAGAACAACCAAAATATCCACCCACTGATGCCCTGGTTGTTGCTGCCCCTAAATTCGAGACGCAGCCACAAAGAATTAGTGTTAAGCTCTAGACCTGCTTCGTTGGAACGAAGTCAGATCACAATGATCAAGAAGTGCTAATTATCACTCTCGGGAATTCAATACCTCTGCCCTCAGTACTGTTGTCTTTGTACCTCTACAAGCACTGCAGAATATGGCAGAAATTCTTCTTCCAATCGACCACTGGGCTCACAACAACGCCGTCGATCCGAAAAAGGATTCAGTGCAAAATGACGGATTCCTGACCGGAGTGAAATACCTTTCAGCGATCGTGACAGTTAACGAAGTTCTCGACGATGACCTTCCTCCAATGGTGCAGTCATCTCCGGTCACAATTAGGAGGCCTATCAATTTTAAAACATGGCCCGAGTTCGAATTCGAAGTAAGTTTCGTGTCTCTGTTCCTATCCATTGAGTCGACTGACACCAGTGAGCTTCTTGTCCCAATGTCGCGCAGTTCGCGAGTCGATGGGTTGGTCGACGAGCCAGTTCGCCAGTCAATCTTTCAGGAGTATTTGGCCTACCGTTCCTTAGTGGAGCCCTCGCTGTTCCATGATAGAAGAAATTTTGGTGACCGATGCCGTGTCGAATGGGAAACCGCTTTTGCAGGCTTCCGTAATATTGAAGATCGAAATGTTCAATTATGTATGGCAGCATGGACAGCCCTCAACATGTCTCTGCAAGACCAATGCCAGACACTTACAACTGAAAATGTCGCATTGGCGATAGGGGTGGTTGCTGAAATGCTCAATGACTTCCATGAACAAAGTTCACCAGGCGAGAGAAGAAGGCGACTGTCGCACCCCTCGTTAACGCGTCTGTGCCATCATACAACTCAATTTCGACTCTTTGTAACTGATCTCTTGACACCATCTGCTATCGCTGGATTGAAATCAAGGTTACATGAAACATTGAGAGGGATTTATGAACGCGCAATCTGGCGCGAGACGGCGTACCCCGAAAATAAAGCCTACCTCAAGATACAAAGCACATGTTCCGGTCTTAGCGCAATGTTCTACCTTGCGCACATGAGTACACTAGTCCACTTATCCCCGTGTTCTTCAAGTCTCAAGATTATGCAAAGGCTGGTGAGTGTGGCGGCTATTCTTCAGAGAGACATCGTGGAGATTGAAGCCTCACTTGTGGACAACTCCCTTGAAAACTATGTTTTGATGACAGTCGATCCCTCTATAAAGTTACTGCCATCAAGCTTGCAGTCGCCCTGTCTGGCACCCTCTATCAAATCTTCGGTCAACAGATACAACAAAATACTGCATGATGTGTTCAGGCATTATCGGCACATCCACTCAGATGCCGAGCTTCGGCATGAGCGGACTAGTGCCGACATGTTGATGGATTTCCTAGGAGCACACTTAGAATGGAAAATCGGGTTTACACAATACTTACGCCAGGATAATGCGGCAGTGGAGCAATGTGTCGACTTTTGCGCGATAGGCACGCTTCAAAAAATCCTACAGGACCTCAAATAAGATATGGTTCTCCATTGTGGACTGTGGAGACATCCAGCGAAGTCAGCCTGACTTTGAGATTCTTCCAACTCGAGCCTATGTCTACTGTGAAGGAGGGCGATTCGTCCTCATCAGACGGATACTTCGTATCGTGGATTTATGCGGCTGGAAGGGACCGCCAGCAGCTGCCATGATGTTATCAACTTCTATGATGATAGCAGATTCTGACAAGACGTGGCGACGATATCCATTGTGTACTGGATCTAACAGCCGTTTATTATTTGTGTAAAAGATGAGGGTGCCAGCAATATCTAGATGAACCTCGAGTCGATGCGGGAAGAGAAGCGTTGTCCACCCGGCTCGAACGCTCGATGTGCTTTCGACAGGATGGCTCATGCATGGACTCATGCACTGGATACTATCGTAGCAAGACTGGGTAGTACGAAATCCATCACTTCCAGCGTAATCAGTGGTGGTAATTTTCACATCTGACTCCTTCAGAGAAGAATTGGCCAGAAGCAACAAGAGCCTGGGTTGGGGCGTTAAATATTGTCTGCTGCTGCTTTATCACTTCACTTTAGCAGTACGGAAAGCCAAATGCGGTATTATACCGTAATTGCTGACCACGTTTATCTTATAATACATCCTGGGGTGTTTTTGATATGACGAGATAAGCTTTTAAGATGCTCGGGGAAAAGTAAGACTAGTCCTGAAATGGACAGCCGCCGCACTAGACAATCGCCTCACAACTGGCGAATATCTTATCCACACCTGGCTAAATCATAGATGACGACCTTCAATCGTGAACAATCAAACATTGTCTCAAGAACTGATAACCCTACATTGTTTCACCAACTACCTAGGCTTATCTTGTCTCCAACGCAACCATTCCTGACACCGTGGCCGCTCTCTCCGACCACTTAGTCATCGCACACTCTCCGTAAAGGTCGGGAGTGGTCGCGGCACTTGAGTCGTGCGGAAGATGTTTTCCACTTTCGAATTATATCGCGACGGCTGGATCGATGCTGAGTCCAAGCGCAAATACAGCCGCTCTGTGAAAGGATGTCTGCCATGTATGACCCTCCCGTAGTCTCATCTTATCGCGAGAACTAATTCTTCGGCATTGGAAAGGCCGAAAACGCAAGAAGAAATGCACTGAGGAACGACCAGTATGTCAGAGATGTGCAAAATCTGACGTTTCTCGGTGTGATTATCTATCAACTAGCAAGCAATCTTCCTTGTCGCCATCGTCATCGCCATCGCTAGCAGGTGGTCGTGTTTCCAGCAGCTCTAGTCCTGAGCTCTCTCCACCACCAAGACGCACTCCTTCACCAGGATGTCGTGAAGATGAGATCTCAAATTGGGACTGCGCATCGAGCATTACACTAAGCTCAACACCTCGATCAGTCCCATGGACGATCGGAGGCCTTCCACCTTGCTCACTAACCGATTTATTCTTCGTCTTCAGTCCACCAGCACATGCACTTGATATTGGACGCGAATCTAGTATCATCACGCTGACGATACCTCTCACTGCGCAATCGCCAGCTGTTTTTCACTCAATGGTATCATGTTCTTCTATCGTTCTCTCACAAAAACAGCCTGCATGGCAGCAAGTTGCCATCCAGCACCACTGTGAAGCGCTCCGAAGCCTTGCTGCAGAAATGTCAGGCGGAAGTCTCAACGAACCTGCAGTCGTGGCTACTTCTATGGCAGTGATGATAATGCTCCATCTTTTTGAGGTAGGTTGCCGGTGATAGTCTCGTTGCCACAGGTGTTACTGAATACTAAACTCGAGTTTTATCCATAGCGTTTCGACACATCATCTCAGCAACTAAGTTGTGCTCACCTACTGGCAGCACAAGACATCTTCTTCAAAAGACTACCAACAAAGCCACCAAAAACAATCCTAGGTTCGTTGGTTCTTGAGGCTTTCGCGTTTCGTATTGCAATAAACAGTCTCTTTCATCCGGAACTACTTAACGGCTATAAATTTATGGAAACGCTCACAGACCTGTACACGTCATCACCAGCAATGAAATTCCCTGAGATATCCTCCTTCCGGCGATCTTTGTGGCTTGAGCTCCCTGGTGATATGTACGATGTCTTGTACAAAGCCTCATGTCTTCTGCACCTGATGCCACTTGATAGTGTTGGACGAGTCAGAGCCTCGAGGCTCAGTGAGCGCCTTGAGTCATTGCAGTTGACTTATTCGATGGATTTTAGGCCTGGAAACAAGAGTACATTTCCTGGAGTGGACAGCCTACTGGCTCGAGTGTGTCGGTTATATCTACTAGCGACGCAGCTAATCATATTAAGAGTTCTCTATCGAAATATGGAGGAAGTTGCAAGTCATGCGCACGACTTGTTCACTGCAGCGATGACCAACCTGCATCAGTTTCACTCGAACGCAGAACCCATTACGCCTCTACTAATTTGCCCAATTGCTATACTAGGGACGGCTGCCACACGGTCCCAGGACAGGGAAACTCTGGTCGGTGTCTTGAATGAGATCAAGGATCTCACGGGAGGGCGAGAATTCGAGTCCATTATGTTTTTTCTGCGTGGCGCATGGATTGAGGACAACAAAATATTGGATGGCGATGGCCGACAACTCAAGCTCATGTGTGCGCAATTGGAAATCTGGCTTGATCAATCAAAGTTGCGTCATCTGACTCTCTGAGCTTTAGACAGCTTCATGGTCCTTGTCAAACTAATGACTTACCCGGAAATGCGTTATCTTTGTCGCTTTTCGTGTTTTATCAATTCAGTTGTACTCATCACCCGGTCTGATGCATTGATCCACAAGACCGATGCATTAGATACAGTATCTATCGCTAGTTTTTAGCCTGGCGGCAAGCCCAATTTGGTTTAGTGTTGAACCTTGGGGTGCAGGCCAGGGGCTGGAGCGTGATCGAGGGCATAGCCAATGGTCCAGAAGTCGGCACTTTTGATTATGTTTCCGGGAATTGTTTAGTATCGATCTTGAATACTCGCAGAGAGTTGAGATCTCCGTTCTTGTGCCTCTAAACTTCTACGATTTCCTACAAGTACTTCTCAGTTCCATGTCATGACACAGGCCATAAGAAGCTAGAGGTCAGAACAAATATGGGTTCAATCGATTTGAGAACAACCGCAATAACCTGGCAAGAGGTCGTTGCTGAGAAGCAGAATGCATCAAGAAAACTAGTGCCACATGAGTGGCAGCTACCAGATGCAATCTGGAAGGAGTTGACTTTGCCCCTGGAGGCCAATTCGACCAGGCTGATCGACAAAGACATTCCACGTCGAAGCGGTCTCCTGAATATACGAGAGTTGGAGATCACGGAAGATCACAGCACGGTTCAGTTGCTCTCGGCGTTGGCAAAGGGCACATTTTCTTCTTATGAAGTCACCACGGCGTTTTGCAAACGTGCGGCTATTGCACAGCAGCTCACAAATTGCCTTACTGAAACCTTCTACGATGCTGCGTTGACACGAGCAAAAGAACTCGACGCTTATCTTGCGTCGAATGGGAAGACTGCCGGTCCGTTGCATGGCCTTCCTATCAGCCTCAAGGACAGCTTCAAGATAAAGGGATTGGACTCTAGCATCGGCTTTGTCTCTTTGCTCAACAAACCCGCGGAGCAAAACTCTCCCCTCGTCGATATCCTGCTGAACCTTGGCGCAGTCCTATATGTGAAGACGAACATACCACAAACAATGATGACAGCCGACTCGCACAACAACATATGGGGCCGAACGTTGAACCCTCACAACACGGCGTTGACCGCTGGAGGCAGTAGCGGAGGGGAGGGCTCTTTGATCGCCTTTCGAGGGTCACCTCTTGGAATTGGGACTGATATTGCGGGTTCCATCCGTATACCATCTTTGTGCTGTGGGATTTATGGTTTTAAGCCCACTTCCGGTCGAATTCCCTTTGGAGGACAACAGTCTCCTGCTCTAGAGGGATTTGCCGCAATAGCACCCGTTGCTGGCCCAATGGCAAATTCCTTTGCTGCTTTGCAATCGCTCAGCGAAGCCATTATCTCTGCTCATCCAGCACGACATGATTCGACAACTCTTGATATTCCTTGGCAAGTATTACCTCCACTTGATTCATCGGTCAGACTCAATATTGGTGTGCTGTCCGCCGACTCTTCGCTTCCATTATATCCACCGGTCAAGAGAACTCTCGATAAAGCAAGCGCCGTTCTTTCGGAGAGCGGGCACAACCTGATTCCCATCGGCCCTGAGGCATCTCACATCGCCAGCCTCGCGGAACTGTCGATGGGCTTGTTCACACTGGACATCACAGACGGCATCAAGTTTATCACCAGTTCTGGAGAGCCTCTCGTGCCGTCAGTGGCGGCTGGTGCGGCTCCATTTCGAGGGGATAGTTTGGAAGAATTCTGGGCCGATTTCGATAAAATGGATGTATTCCATAAGATTGCTGCTCTAGGGAGGGAAAGGCACCGAATAACTGAAGCATGGAGGAAGCTGTGGAATGAGCTGAAACTCGATGCTGTCATTTGTCCCGGAGCTCAACACACAGCTGTCAAGCATGATACTTTCCAGTATCCGGCTTATACCGTGTTCTTGAATGTCTTGGATGTAAGTAACATGATCCATGCTGCACGAACCGACCGACTTTTCCATCTCGGTCTTTTTTCTTTCCGCTTCTTATGACCCTATCTTCGTTTTACACACTGTCACTAACTCCACAATGTAGTACCCTTCATGCATAATTCCATTCGGCAAGGCCAGCAAAGAGCTAGATCCGAACACCAAGACTTATGGTCGCGTAGGCTCCTGTAAGTTGAGGATCATTCGCACAATCCCCATTAATTAGACTGACAAGCTTTTCTCTTAACCATAGATGATCCACAAGAGACAGATCAAGCGCCAACAGCAATTCAAGTCTTCACATCCAATATGAAAGATGAAACCTGTCTGCAGGTGGGAAAGCTCATTGATGAAATTCTGAACGGGCCCGAAGCATAGGTCATGAGGGCTGTTTTATGAATCACGGGGGGTTCAGATAAGCGTTTCTCAATGCCAGTCCATGATGCGGAAAACCAAATTCAGTTGATATATGTCTCTAAAGTTAATACACAAATAGGAATACTATGCGCTTCGCTCGGACTGAGCATCAACCTTTTGGTTATGATCCAGCTGCGCGGGGACTACATTGTTTAAGTGGATGATAGATCGTCCGGGGTCGACTGCAGCCTTAGACACTTTGTTACATACTAAACATGTTGACTGACAACCATGGTACAGCTCCAGAGATGATGAGTCTTTGGTTCTCGTCGATGAGATTATCTGAAATGTAAACAAGGGGGGTCTAGCAGTAGATGGTCGACTCCAGGGCTCAAACAAAGCAATCTTGATGTCCGAGTGGGATATCCGCCAATCTCAATTTCGAGCTAGAGCACGCCTTGTGGCTTAAGACTGTAACTAGATCCCACTAAGGCCTACAGGCATAACTATACAGGCCGTGGTAAGCGTCTACCTAAACGTCCTATATAGAAACTGTTCCCGCGCGTCGCGGAGGACGTCGGCACCACGGACAGGAGGAATCATAGCTTCCGAAACTCTTGTCACAGCGCCATTATGGCCAGCTTCCGGGTCATACTGCTCCCTTTGGAGTAAAACCCCTACAATGTAGATGTCTCTAGTTGGCCAAGACCCGGGGCTACACGCGAAATCCGTCCATCAATTCTGAAGAAATTTGTGTTGACAACACAGTAGTCCAATTGTTGATACTGTACTTTCCCTGGTACACTCGTTTTCAATTGCGTCTTCACGATTACTGGATCGTCCACTGTTTTCTCCAATCTGGTGCACATGGAGAGAATCCCCACCACATTGGGCTTCTGAACGCTGAATAGGCGGTAACAGTCCGGCCAGCCACGTGCCAGAGTGTGTCTTGTCTTTTCAGGTACGCCGGTCCGCCATCCAGCAGATCCTGTTCAATCTTGCCCTTCATCCCTGCTTCCATCATGCGGACTTCCGTCATCTGTGGCATTGCAGAGACGAATTTTCTGACGCTTTTCGGCCGCCTTCTTCTCCTCTGTCCATTCCTGGCACGTCTACCACTATGATAAACGTTACTTTGGCAGCGTCAAATAGGAATGGTGCGATGACAAGGAGGAACTCCACCTTTGTAACAAGCTGTTGTGGTTGGACAATTCTGAGCAACATCTCTACGTCGGATGCTATAGAAGTGACAAATAGGAAGGACTTTATGTCAGAATGGGTACGCCATCTCCATAGCCGGCCGTGTTTAATTGGACTATTCTGCAAGCAACAGGTGCACGTTGGTTATTCGGGGTTTTGAGCGTTGAAATCATAAGCATCCAGGTATAGGTATATAATTCAGCAACTTGCTGTTCCGTAAGTAAGAAGACATGAGCTCTTTAAGCCACCTTATTGTCTACGTCTTAATTTTGATAACACAGCTATCCATTTCCCATAAATATGACTTTGCCTATGTCCTCCAGTGCCGAGTCAACGGAAGCCCCCAGCCAGCTTCAAGCCAACCTTGCCCCAGTCGCCCTGAAATATGTTGCCCTCCCCGTCCCTCTTCCTGCTTCAGACACAATGCCAATCTCCCTCACCGCATCAGAAGGCATGCGACCGCCCTGCCGCCGCTGCCTCCTCGACGCCAGTCCCGGCGAGATCCTGAATCTCATTGCTTACGACCCATTCCCAGCCGACAGCATCACACCGTACCGTGGCACAGGGCCGATCTTCGTCCACGCCCACGACTGCGGTCTCTTTAAAGGCGAAGTCTTGCCTGAACGGCAGTTGAGCCGACAATTGTCAGTAAGGGCGTACAACATGAACCACATGATGGTGGCGGCGGAGGTGGTTGAGGGCAGTGACTTTGAGAGCACAGCGGGTGGAATGTTGGCGGATGAGCAAGCCGCGTATATCAATGTGCATAATGCGAAGCCAGGATGTTTTGCCGTCAGAGTCGAGCGAGCATAATAAATGTGATTGTGTGAGCATGCACTTAAGTCAGCCAAACGGAACTAAGATGAGGGTGATTTGAACCTCAATGAAATTACTTTTGTCTCAATAGACTTGCCTGCAGCATTCGAAGGCTGTTGTTCGAGGCGAGGTAAGACCCAAATTGGAGACCTCTGTTGCTCCATGATTCGTAGCTTGTATTTCAAACCCAAGATCTTCCCGCAGCACACCCTAGCTTCCTTACTACTAGTCTAAAGTAAAGACTGTAAGGTAGATCTGCCGCAAGTTACACCTATTTGGCCTTCCTAGATTAAGCTACAGACGACATCTTGACCTCCACATCTTGTTCCCGCTTCTCCAAAGGCGCTTCAACTTTCTCCGTCATCAATTTGCTCACCCCTCGGAGTAGTGCACAGCAAACAATGGATATGAAAGCAATTGGAATGATGCTAGCCCAAGCTAGTCCGAACGCTTTCGCAAAGACTTTCTGTCCTGCTTTTCGGGCGGCCTGAATGACTGGCAATGAAGCAGATGGCAGCGCCTGTGACAGTACACCAGCAAGTGCCTGTTCAGTCGGGGGACCGTTGCCATTGGCCATGATGCTTAAGAGGATTGGAACATTCTCGGGCGACAATCCTGCTCCAATCGCCGCTTGAGCCACATCGGCGCCATAGTGGGATCCCACATGGCCAAAAGCAATGGTGTACAGCACCGCGGACCCGATGGCGCCTCCGATGGCACGGATTGAGTATGTGACTCCTGTTGCGGTAGAGAGATAAGCGTGGGGTGCAGCGTACTGGACGACGGCTGTCAGTAGGAACAGTGGTCCCGCTTGTCCGACGCCAGCTATTGCACTCAAGCCGAGCTGGACGTAATTCCATTCAGGCTTGGTTGCGGCGAAGACACAAGCTGTGATGAGGAAAAGAGTGAAGCAGACAACGAGCGGGCCCTTGACGTCTTTGTATTTGGTCGAGTACCAGATGACGACAAGAGACGCTATGAGAGTGGGACCGCTGTAGGCCATTTGTCGTACTCCAATAATGAATGGATCTGTTTCCCAGCCCAGGTAGAATATCATCTGGTTCGAGATTGTGTTGACCGCACTGTAGTACATCCAGCCCTCAACCATGGTCGCGAAGAGTGCAAGTGCGAAATTCCGGCCGGACTGGAAGAAGACGTGCGCCATGATGCCGTCATTTCTACCTTTCCATTCTGTGAGGTCGTTAGCAAGGGGTACATGTTTGGTCGCGTTTCCAACGAAGTTATGGAAACATACCGTAGACACCAAACAGGACGAGACAACCTAAGCCAAGGGCGAGAGGTACTGCAACATGTGTGTTTGACCATGGATAGAGTCCAGAGGCCCAATTGAGTGCCATCAGAACGGACGTAGCTCCCCCAATGTACAAAGTCGAACCGATTGGATCGCAGGCCCATATAATTTGAGAGAGTCTCATTTTTGGGAACTCTCTGTTTGACTTTGGCGGCCAGTAAAAGATGAAGAAAGCTGCTGAAACCAGAATCTGTAGCGCTGCCTGCACCCAGAACATGTTGCGCCATCCGCCCGGGGTCCTGCAGAACGCACCAGCAACAAGTCCAGCTGCGCTGTTTCATCCATCAGTAATTTATGACGACCAGGAGTTTGGTAACTTGTTCAACATACAGTCCACCACTGGCGCCTCCGAGGAATGTAATACCACTCGCTACCGTTCGATATTTCAGAGGCAAAATCTCTGCGGGGATTGTTCCGACAACTCCGATGGTTGCAAGCGTGACTCCGTAGAGAACACCGCCAGCAATCAGCATGTTCATGTTATTAGCTTTTGCGGACATGACAGACCCAGCAAAGGCGATGAGTGGTGAAATGGCTACAAGCATCTTGCGATCCAGAACGTCAGAAAGTCGGCCGATGATTGGATTTAGCACGGCTTGAACCAGCAATGGCGCCTGGAGCGAAGAATTGTAATCAGCAGAGTTTTGTGTGATGAACCTTTGGACATTTTGAAACTTACCTGTAACACCCATGCAGACATTGGCTGGTCTCCGATATCTTGTACGATGAAAGCGATGGTGGAAGGAGCAGCCACAGTAGTGAAAATCTGCATGAATAGTCTAGAAGTATACGTCAGTTCGAGATTGGGACTCATCATACCCCGGGAAGTGGTTTGCTTACGCCAGGTAAGCAGAGATGAAAACGACAGTCCAGGTACGCCATCCCAGTCGAACTTCCGTTATGGCCGACTCAGAGGGCTCAATGGAAGCCTCATATTGGTTAGGCTCATTTGACTTGACGTCAAGCTTAAGCTCCGGGGCAGTGTTATCTTGCTGTGGTGAAGTCATATTGGAAAACCACTTCTCGGGTAACTAGTTGGGTGAGTAGATCTAATGGAATGAGTGTTAGGCACGTCCATGGTCTTATACCTCTCCTTTTGGCGATAAGGCTATCACGATATGAAGAAAGTCACGCGTGTTTGACAAACCCCGGAATGCGACCCCGGATCAAGTTCAATTAGTCAAGGTTTGTCTTGAGACAAGTCCCAAGGGGTAACTGGGCTGAAGAATGGAGAGAGGGAGAGGGAGACGATGCATAGCCAAGAAACTTTGATAAGTCGAGTTGAGAGCATCGGCAGTTGTGCAGAAATTGGTGAAGGCTGTCTTTTGAAAGACCAACCCGTGTTTGATGAGGGAAACCTGTATCACTAGTGCCGTATTGACGCTCTCGGTACGTACCTAACCTACCTAGGTAGCGATTGCGGGAAGTCCTCAAAAGCGGCAACACTCACTCAAGCGGCTTTCGTATGCCGAGGTCAACGGCAACTCTGCCGTCTCCTCGGTTCCAGAGAGAGAAAAAGAGACCCAATCAGTCCATGGTCGAGCATCTAAACTTTCCATGTCCAATATTGCTCATACAAATCCCGTGCGCCGTTAAAACCCTCGTACTCTGAAGAGCACTGAGCTCGCATCTTATCAACATGATGTGGCTTCAAGTAAATCTCGACATCGGTCAATGAAAACTGTACTACCAAGGACTGAGTATCTACGTAGATACGTATGATCGATGGCCTAGATAGTAGCTGAGTGACAGGGCATGAACGAATTGATTGGTCGAGTATGCTGATAAGTGTCAACTTTGCACTTTGATATGCTTTCGTTGATTAACCACTCTTGCCCTGGAACTCGAACCACTTCGTCCAATTTTCAGGTTTGCGACGAGACTGGGATGCGAGGACTTCCGTTCTCCAGAGAACCGCACTTCAATTCCTTTCAACTCTCCTGAATCTTCTTGAAGAGGCGGTTCCGTGCTGTGAGACTACGGCATCGTTTCCCATAGATCCACATAGGGATCGTTAGAAGACAGATGAAGATGTGCAAGCCTCCAATTGTTCCGAACACTTCCATGACACCGGAGCCGGATATCCAATCCGAAATGAAGTAGTTCATGCCTATTTTGATAGTGGTCAGTTGAAGTTCCGCATTGTCAAACTTCATGTATACAAAAGGCTGGTACATACCGAAACTGTAAATATTTCGGAGATTGATCGAAGCAAAGGCTTCCGGTGCTTTGTTTCGATGACATTCGGTGATGTAGCCGTAGACACTTAATGGTCAGTTAACCCGCAGCATATGTAACGGAGGCATAAATGCTTACCCAATGTTCAGAAAAGACATAGCAAACCAGATAAGACTGTAGAGAAAGACGGGACCGATCCAGGGAGTCTCATTCTTCAAGCAAGCCCCGAAACCAAAGAAACCAACAACGCCAATTATGAGGGTCAAGATATTGAGGGCTAGACGAAATTCAGGTTCGTAGATGCCTTTGTTCCAGCGCGCCAACTTCTTCACGGTCCAATCATTCAAAGGTCCGGCCACAAATCCTAGAAGTGCAGCGATTAACGGGCCAATGCTGATCAGACCAATTGCTGAGACAGTGAAATTGTATGGTGGGGCGCTGAATAGTTGTGCCAGAACACTGATCATGACAACTAACCAGGATGTCGACAAACCGTAGGTGATGAAGCCGTAGAGCACCTGTGGGAATAGGAGCATTCCAAATGGTCGAACAATGATCCAAAAGAGGTTTTCATCAGACTCCACACCTCTGACCAGGCGCAACTCTTCCCAAAACGTGTAGGGTTTTTCGTCGGCGCCAGTATAGACTGCATTGACCGTCATTCGGTTTGATGTTGCTGTAGATTCCACATGTTGATCGTGTGCTTTGATTTCGTGGGTGTTTTCTGACGTTTTCTCTTGAACTTCGAGCGTGTCGAAGGTGTGGTCCTCGGTTCCCAGGTCGAGATTGTAGGCCGGGTCTCGTTTGTAGACAGTTTCCGGAACCCATAGGAAGATCAGAATGATGAATACCCCATACAAAATCGCGCAAATCCCGTAGGTCCAGTTCCAGCCCAGGTCCTATCGAAATTAGCATCCCACTTCAAGTTAACACGGTGCAATACTTTTAATGCTCACTTGTATGATATAACCCGAGATGACACTTCCTCCACCAACGCCAACGCTGAGACAAAGACCCCAGAAGGCAAGCCGAAGACCTCTTTCATGGACAAAGTAGATATCTCCTATGACTGCAGTTGTCAATACTTCAAATGGACTCATTCCGATGGCACCAAATATTCGACTAGCAAGAAGAGAGTTGTAGCTATGGGCGAAGTATGCCCAGACCGAAGAGATGAACAGTAAAAGATTTCCGAGGATCATCACCGGACGACGACCGTACTTCACAGCTAGTCCATTGGTGATGAAGCAGGATATTCCGATCGCAAAAATGGCCCAGCCAAGGCCACCATTCAGCTTGTTATAGGAGATGTTAAATTCAGCGGCCATGTCGGCGTATCCAGGCGAGATCATTGGGCCCCTGAAGCAATATTAACATTTTTCTGGTGGACAATAATCTGGGAGGAGCGAACCAGGCACCAACTACAGCCGTGTCCAGACTGATAATGACCAGCAGGAGGTCTTTCTTCCAGATAGACCAATTCAAGGGGTCTCTAGGAGATTCACTGGGCTGGGGAACAAGCACAATATCTTTATTACGCCCTGTACCATGTTTGAGGCCGGAGGTGTCGCGTCCTAAATACCATATTAGTACCTCGAAATAAATAGCACAACTTCAAACTTACCATGAAACTGATGCTCTTGAGCATTGATCATGTCAGCAAGCAAGGCTGTACCCGGCACATGATCAAGGTGATGATCATCGAGAATGCCAAGACCCATTTTGAGATGAGTACGAGGTATCTGGAATGAGATGTCGACTTAAGCCTCGTAGGTAGCTTGGCTGCTGGTATTAGCGACCTCGGATCTTTTTGTTGTTTGAATGATCGCTTGAGACTCAAATCGATGTCCTGGGAGATATTTATTTGACTGATCAGAGATCCCACTCTTGTGCGGGGTGACCGGCTTTGAATCCAGGATCAATCTGCCGTGTAGCCTCCTGACCCATCTGCATTTGAGGCATGACCAAATATGGTATGCTAGGTATGGATGTGAGCTGGAGGCGAATGCCTTAGCATATTCTCCACGAAGTTGGGGTAAGCAGGTAACACTGGGAGAATGCTGGGTATACTCCGGAACCCTTGCTCCAGAGCTTGATAGTCCGCTAGCCGATTCTGGATAATGGATTTCCTTCAATTAGCGTTCGTCCCATCAATCCCACAGTCTCGTAGATGTGGAATCAAAATGACCGTTGTTCATAAATGGATATCTACCCCGGATCCTGAAGGCAATTCCCCAGGCCAACCCCACGGCAGATTGTTGCCATCAACCCTCTTGATACGTCGACGCGTGTTCCGGACCTAAGATGTCTTTTGATGGTTCCGCAGCCGAATGAGTCGGAAGCGGCCTAAGCACAAGACCTCCGTGATCTATAACTATGTGGCAATGCCAATAGAAGGAGGTACCTCGCCACGTGAAGCATCAGAGTCACGAGTGAGTCTTGATGAGCAACCACAAGGTCTTACGGCTTGCATTCCCGGCCCTCCGAACAGACATGGTCACCCACGGGTAGTCACAATCCATGTGTTCCACGTTTTGGTTCAGGCTTTCACAAGTCCCTGCATCTATCTGCATTTCATAGATGGCTTTTTTGCTCCAACATCCTCCCGGGTCGGCTAATTTGCATTGGGATGATCCAGTGACATTCCAAACTGAAGGGAAGGAGCATTCCTTAGATCTGTGTGTAGCTCGAGAGATCAGTTCGACTTGTTTACCTAGAATCGTGATTACCAGTGACACGGGGACTGTGGAGGGCACCGATTATGGATGAAGGTCCGAAGGGCAAGCGATAACATTCCAACAGGATATTTGTGGTCCGCTTAGGGGTGGGTAAACGCAACCTTCGTCAATTGACGTGGGCGAACTGGGCTCCATCTTAGAGACATTGAAAAACTGCAATCGAGCAGACTTTGGAGTGGACGCGACATGCCTAAAATCGACGATACATCAGCGTGAGGCTGAATGGCATCACGGAGATCAATGAATACGAGCCCGGGTGAGGAGGCTGGCGCCATAGCATATCGACATTCGCATGTGCACGCGTGTTTTCGAGGTATGAGTTCGTGTCCTCGGTACAGCAGAAGGGAAAGCCCAAGTACAGCCCTGCCTTGGCATCTTGTTGGGGCTCTTATGGTGCACAGCCACCTACATCTGAGGCGCCAGAAAGCGGGTCGAGACGAGACACCCGCCCCCAGCGGTGGACGCAGCATGCGATCAACTTCATTCCCCTGGCTTTCATGTCCAAGTCATGTGAGATTTCCGATCCTACCAATCATTGCGAAGACGAGTCAAATCTCGGGAGTACTTGTTGCAAGATCCATGAAGATCTCAGAGGACTCACTATCCTAGACACGGAATAGTGGCCTTGTATAGTTGAGATCTCCCAAAGATCTTCGGGGCTTTCTTGCGGGCCTGATATTTAAATTGCCATGGTTTCGAGGACCCGGCCAAGCAGATCGTAGTTGTTGCCCAGATATATAACACGCTTGATGACTGCTGAGATGGCCCCGGCGATTGGTATCTTCAAAAAAGCCACAGAAAGTTATTACCATGCGGTTACCATTTTCAGCCTTGGGGCCTCTTTTCCTGTTGTCCTCTTTGGCAGCGTCACTCTCAGTCCCGTCAACATCCAACAATAAAATTTTGGCGCGATCTTTACTGAATTTCCAGATTTTTCTGTCATATAAGGAGGTAAGCGTTGCTGAATTTTGCTCAATGAATTTCGATCATTTACAATCAATACACAGGCGAATATTTGTGAGACTACAAATGGCGTCAAATCGTACTCCGGTTATGTTCACATACCTCCCAATTCAGACGAGGGCCGAGATTACCCCATAAATACATTCTTCTGGTTCTTTGAAGCCCGGAAAGATCCAGAGAATGCACCTTTGTCCCTGTGGCTACAGGGTGGACCCGGAGCACCATCAGTAACAGCAGCGGTTGGAGAAAATGGTCCTTGCAAAATCGGAAAGGATTCTAAAAGCACCATATCGAACCCATGGTCATGGAACAATGAGGTCAACATGCTTTACCTGGACCAGCCAGTCCAAGTTGGCTTCTCCTATGATACTCTGATCAATGGTACCATTGAAGAAACGGCTTCACCATTTCTGGTCACCCCATTCAATGCAACCGAAGGAAACCCGAAGTTGAACACCACTCATCTCGCTGGAATATTTCCAAGCCAGAAGGTCTCCAACACGGCAAACACAACGCAAACAGCTGCACTGGCGGCATGGCACTTCATGCAGATCTGGATACACGAGTAAGTGATTCCCGCCGTTTGGCCCTTCGATGAGCCTCTCCTTGCGCGCATCGTCAAGTCTGATTTCCCGCAGATTTCCCAAGTACAAACCAAAGCAGAATAAATTCAGCATTTGGTCCGAAAGTTATGGAGGACATTACGGCCCAACATTCTCCGATTTCTTCAACACACAAAATCGTCGCATAGCGGATGGAAGCATCAAGAAGGGCTCGGCTGTTCCCTTGAACCTAGAAACGGTTGGGCTGGTCAATGCCTGCATTGATATCCTGACACAAATGCCAACTTACCCAGAATTTGCCTTCAACAATACCTATGGTATCAAAGCTATCAACGAAAGTCAATATCAGTTCGCCGTCGATAGTTTCCCAGAGTGTCGCGAACATGTGCAAGCTTGCCATACAGCTGCAGATCAGTACGACCCATTGGCCTTGGGGAATAATGCGACTGTGAACAAGGCATGTAAGGACGCTTATGACTTTTGTTTCGCAAGTATGTGGAGCCATTATGATGGAACAAAGGTATAGCCTACCCTCGAGTGCTGCCCAGGGGATGCACAGCTAAGTTATATCTCAGCGAAATGTCTTTGACATTACTGCCACGATTCCAGATTCTTTCCCACCCAAATATGCCGCTGGGTATCTGAATACCAAAGAGGTCCAGACCGCACTTGGCGTTCCACTTAATTTCACCGGCTACTCGCCTGCTGTTAGCACTGGTGCGTTGGATCAAATTCTGGGCTGCTTTCCTGTGCTGATAATGCTTAGGTTTTACCGTCACTGGTGACTTCATCCGAGGGAGAAATCTTGCTATCCTCGGGGAACTATTGGACCGAGGAGTGAAAGTCGCTATGATGTATGGAGACCGTGACTATCAATGTAACTGTAAGTAAATCACTCTAGTCATCGTGCTCATTCTGACCAGAACATAGGGTTGGGAGGCGAGCGGATCAGTCTTGCGATCGAGTCGAAAATCAGTGCAGACTTCAAAAAGGCTGGGTATGCCGACATTCTGCTCAACGACACGTACTCTGGAGGCTCGGTCCGCCAGTATGGAAATTTGTCCTTCTCCAGGGTTTATGGAGCCGGGCATGAGGGTAAGTCTGGATGCATCCTTGATTTTCTTGTCTTTTGCTAACTGTGCCTCAGCCAGCTGGTACCAACCAGAAACCGCCTACCACATTTTCAACCGCGTCATGTCAGATGTTGACGTCTCGACCGGGAAAGTGCCTACCGTAGGCTTGCCAACATATAGCACGAAGGGTCCGTCCTCGGTCTTCAGCATCAAAAGCGCAATGCCAGATCATCCTCCAGCAGAATGCTATTTCTGGGACATCATGGAGACATGCACCCCGACTCAGGCCAAGATGTTCAACAACGGGACTGCGATTATGAAGGATTTTGTGATGATTGGATATGTCTCGAGCAATGGAACTGCTGTTTATTACTAGCTGATTCGATGTTGTCGCAACGAGCAACAGACGCCCAGGGAAATAATTGTTTGATCCTTGGAAAAGTGTCAACCTCGTTCCCTAGAGCCCTTAGGCCCCCACGAGAGCCAAATTGCCGTTTGTGTTCATCGAGCTGATAAATGTGTATTGATCATGCCAAGCTTCGAGCTCATGCATCCTGATTTGGACGTTGAAACAATCGAGGTTCACCGACGGCGAAGATGAGCCCGGATCCGTCCTCGAAGCTTTCTTATGTTCGTGAGTGAGGGCCTGAAATCCTCAATCCGGAATTGCAAACATTTCCAAGCTCAGCGCGGGTCAACCATATTCACGCGGCTGTCTGCCTAAACTAGGTGAGAAGCTGCGTTAAAATCGAAAATGGTCGCGTCGTGAAAGGAAAGGTGTCATGGGCGGGCCAAATTCATAAGTAGGTCGAATCGAGGGCTAACCAAGATTTTACGTCACCTGCAAGGGGTTGTTCCAGGCACCCCCAGGTGGCCTCATTTAACAAACCCTGTTCTTGTGGGGTTTGAGGCTATGGAGAATGGGCTTGGTAGGCCTAATCATAGACGACACCGGAGCATTAACAGGCGTTCAATTGGCCCGCTCGGAAAGATCAGATGACTTAGGCCTCCTTGTCTCGAGAAGCTGGATTCACATATATTCAAGCAGTGTTAATGCAATGAAGGATTGAGCCGTTGATCAGAACTGAATGAGCTCCACAAGTGCGGGATTCTCTCATATTTTGAACAGCCTATGCGATGGATCCAATCAGGAGGAAGCGTCCTTTCCTGCCCAAAACCAAGACGGGATGTTTGACTTGCAAGTATGTCTGCGACAGCGATGCCTCGTACCTCGTTACTGCCGACTTTCACAAGCTAACACGAAACCACGCAGAATACGCAAGGTCAAATGCGACGAGGCCAAGCCTCACTGTACTCGATGTACTTCTACTGGGCGAAAATGCGACGGCTACAGTCCTCCACCTAGCCGGACACCGTCACCCAGTAGTACCGCGCTTATGGAACGACCAGACCTATTCAAATCAGTGGCGGAGAAGCGAAGCTTTTCCTTCTTCCAGAGTCGAGCGTCTACGCAACTCGCCGGTCAGTTTCATATGCTGTTCTGGTCGAACGAGGTGCTACAAGCCGCCATTCACTATCCTTCGGTTCGACACTTAGTCATCGCCTTAGGATCCGCATACGAGTGGTTCGAAAACAGAGCTCCGAGATGCGCAAATGCCGCTGACAGCAGTGGAGGAATGCAGTTTGCCATGCAGCAGAGCAATCATGCTATTCGATACATGGGAGATGTCTTCTCTTTGCAAGGCGCTGATGGCCAGTCAATAGAGAGAATTTGCTGTATACTGACTGCATCCATATTATTCACGTATCTTGCCAGCCTCCAGGGGAACCTGCTTCAAGCTATACAGCATGTACGCTCAGGGCTAAGAGTTCTGCAAGACTTCGAATCTATGGATCACTTCAGTGGACCTCGAAGTCCTTCATACCCAGTCCCGGTGTTGAGATTACGCACTCTACTGATCTCCATCTATGGACAGGTGCGAACCATGATCAACGACGAGTCGCTCTTGAAGTGGCACCATGATCCATTGATCTCTCATTTGGAGCCTGTGAGCTACTTTATGTCGGTGGACGAAGCTCATGGGTACGTCGAGCGGCTTTTCCACAATCTACAGGCTTTCCTGCAGGCCACAGAGCGTTTCCCTCCAAGGACGATTGAAGAACTCACCGCATTTGCTTCCCGGCGCAAACAATTACGCAGTGCCCTGACCGATAGCTGCGAGGCGTTAGACCTTCTTGCCACGCGGTATCAGTCGGGAAAATCCGCAAACGAAAGCAGCGGTATCATCATCCTCCGGCTCTACCACATCCTCATCGACATCCGGCTAGAAATCGATCCTCTCAAACCCGCGAGCAGAGAGACCGCCTTTGATAATCTTCAGGATCGGCTAGAGAAGATCCTGACATACTGCGAACACCTCGTAGAGGAGAACAACACCGTGTACAGAACACCGTCGTGTACCTCCGGTCTTGGAATCGTCTTACCCTTACATACAGTCGCAGCACGCAGCCGAAACCCGCAACGGCGGCGGAGAGCCCTGGATCTCCTTCTCTCAATCGACAGACGCGAATGCCTGTGGGACAGTATACTGACTGGGCGAATTGCAACCAAGACGATGGAAATCGAAGAACACGCACACTCGGCGGCCATGGCACATAGGCTTGAGGACCAGGCGCAGGAGTTGGATCATGCAAGAGTGCGCGAGGTGAAGATTGAATTTACCGAAGAAAAGAAAGTTCTCCTCCAGTATGTCACTGTTGGTGATTGGAAGGTTGGCCGCCGTGGCACTCAACATGTCATTGAGTGGTAAAGAGCGTGCGAACCGTGGTTGGATAGGGATGGAAATCGAAGTCTGAGGCTCGTCTTGAATCTCCGATCCGCCATTCTTTGGAGGACGATTGACCTCGGTGTTAACACTAATTGCTTCACAATACTCGCCGCACCAGTGCTTGCCACATTCTGGAAAAGCTCAATCCAGGTGCGGTATCCCTTACACAGCATGACCCCCTTCAAAGCCCGTTAGCTTGTCGGGTGCGGGAGCCGATCGTCGATCGATGCGATCGACTCCAGCGCCAATTCTAATTCTTCCCGTAACAGGGATCCCGAAATACCGGCGGTCGAAGTCATGCTCATGTCTCAGGGCATGGGGAATGACGTCCCCTGAAGGGGTTCTATACCTGGGTCGGAAGTCTGCACAGTGACCGCGATGATATGTCAGCGCTGTTTCCGTGCCTGAGCGGCTGATTCGCACAAGCGGTCGGTTGAAATTTTTGAGTCCAAAACACTTGCGCCCAGATGTAAAGAATCGATCCCGCAGCTCCCATGAAAGGGCCCGGGATAGCTCATTGCACTACTGAACGGAAGCAATTCGCCTGTGCTGATTCTGGCTGCAGAAGGTGTTCAAGGCCGCCACACCAGGATTTCATAGGAAACAGATTGCAAGCAAGGACTCCGGCACGCTTCTTGAGGTAGAAACCAGAAGATTTACCGGCCAAGGGTTGAAGAGGCTGGTGGTTGATGGCTGTGCCAAAGTGCAAGGATATGACTATATCGTTCCTCGAGCGGTGATAAGGAAAGAAATCAACCAACAGAAGGACTCGGGTACAGAACACGGCAGACATTGCCGGTGCCAGGCTGACCTTGACGCCACTACATAAAGTCGATGAGTAGCTAGACTGTGATCGCAAGCAGTTGACAGGATTTTGAGGGTGACGGACCTCCTCGGCCAGTAGTGATTGCGCGCTTAGTGAGACCCACAACCAACAGGGAAATTCGTGGCACAACTGGCAGGCAGCCCTCAACTTCAACATATGAACAACCAGATAGATAGTCTGTCTAAAAGAACCCTATTCGATTGAGACCAATCGCTCAGAAAATCGCAAGAACTCCGTGTAGAAGCAATCCCGCCGCACCCAGCGCAAAGACGCCCAGTGCAGTCCGGCTCAGCCTCGTCTCCTCCCTGACTCTCCCGATGCTAGTGACGACGCCTCTCTCCTTCAACTTCTCGACATCGCCGCTCGCAGATCCAGTAGAATTATAGTCCGCCCAGGCGATCGTGGAGAGATTCTTCTGATAATCTACCGCGGTTCCGGCCCAATTGTTCGTGATGATGCCGTCGTCGCGCTTCCACCAACTGTTGCAGTTCGGGTCCGAGAAAGAGGTCTTCTGCAGTGCGAGTTGTACGCCGTGCCAGTAGGTCATGGTAGACTCTTCGGAGGGTGACAGGGCGAGGCTCTGGCCGTTTCGTCTTGCGTGGAGGACTTTCTCGATCAGGACGGAGATGTATCGTGTCTGGGCCTCGATGACCAGGATGAGGGAATTGTGTGATAGATTCGTGTTGGGTCCGTAGAGCATGCCGAAGTTGGGTAGGCCGGGGACCGTGACACCCTTGTATGCGTGGCTTGCGTTCGCCCAGATCTCTTCGAGGGGCTGACCGTTCTCGCCGGTGATGCGGATCGGGGAGAGAAATGAGAAGGTTTCGAACCCCGTGGCGAGGACGATAAGGTCGAATCTGTCGGCCGAGTCTCTTCCCACGAATTTAATGCCGTCTGCTGTGAACCGTTCAATCCTGCCTGTCTCGAGTTTGACATTCTTTCTCGCCAGGGTTGGGTAGTAATCGTCACTGATGACGGTCCGCTTACAGCCCGGGTGGTATTGAGGCGTTAATTTCTCCCATAGGTCTGGTCGATCCGGTAGTTGGTCATGGAGCAACTTGTAGTTGAGTGTCCTCATCAGCTCGGCGTATGGAGACTCAGATTTAGTGACGGCAGAATGGAACGTTTCGCGGAAGTCCATTGCCTCGGCTCGTCCCCGCCACCGCAGAGGGGGAAGATATGTATAGGCCAGTCGTTTCCAGGACGGGATTTTGGCATCATGGCGAGGTATAACCCAAGCAGGTGTTCTCTGACATATGGTCAGTTGAGAGGCAAGCTTGGCGACTTCTGGGGCGATTTGTGCAGTGGTAGCGCCTGAGGAAGTCAGCCGGGTTGCATGAGAGGTTGTAGGGTACAATGCTATACCTGTCCCGATGATGGCGATCTTCTTTCCCTTTAGATCATAGCTCCAATCCCATCGTGCTGAGTGCATGATCTTGCCTTGATAGTCTTCATAACCAGATACCTCTAGTCCCTTGGGCTTATTGAGTTGGCCTGTCGCAGCGACCAAGAAATCACTTGAGATCGTGTGGGAGGAGGAGAACTCGGCTTCCTTGCCTCCACCGACTGTGACAGTAGTTTCCCATTTCAAAGTCTTTTCGTTCCAGGTAGCAGCATCGACCGAGGTGTGAAAGCGAGCGTATTTGTAGAGTCCGTATTTTTGTGCTACATCTACAAGGTATTCCTAGCGGCAGTCAGCAAGCCAGTCTGATAAAGTAAATGGAGGCAGACATACCAGAATCTCCTCCTGACCGGGATATAGTTGCGACCACTGGGGGTTCTGGGCGAATGAGTATGAGTACAGTACACTGAAAACATCGCAGCAACAACCCGGAAACTTGTTGTCTCTCCTGACGGACAGTCAGCCTCGTACTTCAAGCATTGAATGTGCAGCTCACCAAGTGCCTCCAAATCCACCACTCTTCTCGAGAATGATAAAGTTCTTAATTTTCCGATTTACCAAGAGATCAATCGCAGTGCACATGCCAGATATGCCACCACCAATGATGACAACGGCAGTGTTTGTCAGGTTTTGATTACTGACCGGTACTTCGGGCCATTGCTTGTCAAGGTCAATCGGCTGGAGACGATGAGATGGAAGATACCAGGAGCTCGGGGTCATGTTGAAGTCGTTTTGATGAGGCTCCTCCTTGTACACCAGTTGATGAGTACGATATATGAATGAAAGTTCCGACCTGCTGGAAAACAATCTTGAGAATGTGGGCGCTCCATGATTATCAATGTCCCAATCCGCAGTACACGATTGGAACTGGCTAGCATTTGATCATAAGGAGTGTCTTGCAAAGGCCATGTCACGGAGTGTCTCAACTCTCGCCGGTCGATGCGAAGTACGCTTTCAGGTAGCTCCCAGCGTATTGTTAACACAGGATTTGATGTCGGGAAAAGCCAATGCCCTCGAAGAATCCCAAATGAGCAGTATAACATTTGGCATATGGTAAGAAGACAACAACTCCACTGCACACCATCTCATATTCTGCCTAGTGGTGTATTCAGGATGGCCTAGAATCCGCGCAAGAATTAGCGCTGGACTAGGCCCAGAAGAGTAGCTGGCCCAAACGTGAGGATTAGGATTTCGGATGACGGAAGACTCGCGCTGCCTCGCCACGGGTTGCGGTGGAAAATGACGGAACTCTAGTTAGCATAGCCTAGATTCTGAAACAACAATCAGTGACAGCGAAGCATTAGGACTTCAATTACTCTTCTAAGCAGTTGCCTCCAGCCGTGCATGGGAAATCACTTGGAGCAACATTAGAGAGTGGATGGGTAAAAGCGTAGTATAAAACTCAATCCGAGGACCAGTATTCTTCATAGACTCGTCAGCGTAACTTCATATATTGCACTAATTTCAGTGTCCGGCTCTCAGAGGTGGTAGGCTCGCCAATAGAGTATCTGCGAGGAACAAGTGTCAACTTCTCCTCCTGGAGCATTATCGATGCTTGAGCTTCAACGAAAGTTTCAACAATTTCATGTTCAATAAGTCTCGGGTGGTCGCATGTGTGAAATCCAGTCACCAAGATCACCGCACCGACTCGGGGTGGGTCAATATTCGTTGGACCACGTTTCGTCCATCCTCATATCTCATTAATGTTCACATCACTCATAGCCTTGGCATCGGCATAAAGAATGAAGACAGGGTGATCTGATGGTAAGTCTGGGTGCTCTCATCCAAAAATGCCCCAACACCACGACCATACTTCACATTTGGTAGATGCGCGATGGGGCTGTTTGGAGCAGCCAGTTCTTTCGGTCCCCGTAAAGCTTTCATGGGTAATTGTACTTTGACCTGCTTGATCTCTGCTCCCAGGGATGGTTCATACGGCCAATGCACGAAGAAAATTTGAATCTCGCCTTTGTCCCAATACTGATGATCTTCCCAAATACGCAACCGTGAAGTTTCTGGGATATCGCTTGCGCAGGAGACATCCAGTCCTTCTTCCTCAAGCTCTATCAGTTTTGAGAGGATGGTGCTTCCAGTTGTGCCTTGAAGGTCACCCTCCATCCTGTTGGTCTGAATGAGCAAGTCAATCGCCTCCCGACGAATGATCGGATCTCGACATCTTCCAGCGATAAACGAGAGAGTGTCAATCACACCGGAGTCAATACCGAATGACACTCTTCTTGGAGAACGGTAATGGTCCCCCAGGGCGACCTTGTAAAGTTGAATAATCTCTGCAAATTTGTCAACATGGTCGTCATAATTGCATTCGGAGTGAGTGCCCAGTGTGTCAATGAGAATTGATGCAACGAGGGCAGCGGATTTGAGAAGTTTCTTGGAGCTGATCAGTGCGTCGTAGCGTTCCAGTGTTGACGCACTATTTCTATCGAGAGCGTCTATCCACATGGAGAGCAGGTTCTGCGTCTGGGAATGCCCTTGCAGAGAAAGCTTTGAAGGGTCCACATTTTCCTGGGCCCATTCAATGATCAACTCCAACTTGTTGCGAGCCTCGAGTAGACTGGAGAACACAGTCGGTATACTCGGTAACGAGAGTGGAACTTCCATTTTGCTTTTCCTTAAGGCCGCACTAATTGCAAGCGCCGAAGGTACATCAACAATGCAGCAGAATCTCATTCGTAATCGTTCAATGATTGGCCTGAGAAAGCTGTTCAAGACTGTTTTCTCACTTTCAGCGAGAATCAGCTCACCGGAAAGCAATCGCCTGTCAATATCACTGATAAGACTGTGGCCTGTCTTTAAGAGTTGATATGCCGTGTGGCTATCCTGTAGGTTTTGCATACAGATGAATATAATGCAGGATATCAAGGTCGAGATGTCCGAAACAGCGGTTTCAACCGCCAATCTCGATGCTTTGCTGCTCTGGTGGAGTGCAATATCCTGTAGGCTGGATCTCTCATCTGACTCTCCATCTATCTCGGAAGACTCGTGGAGTGCGCCAAGTGCAACTACCCCGTGTAGTATGGATCGGTTTAGATGACATGCCTGAAGAATAAGCTTGTTCCAGAAAGAGGCATCTCGCCAGCCGGACCATTCAGGGGCGGTCCGTTGACAGAAGAAGGCAAGGCTACGCAGTTCTGCTGTGTCAAGGCCTGGGAAAGAAGTGATTGTGTGCAATACCCGGGTTGATTGAGTTGTTGGAGATAGAGATGCCGATAGCGCTGCCAGCTGACAAGACCGATATTCATCGGACTGTTTATAGCCTTCAATGTTGGTGTCAAGCTTCAATCCACGTTGGCGAAGAGGGATTTGTTCCAGAGCCTGCTCCGAGTGAACGATACTTCTCTCGCTCCGACTGGTCTTTCTTGGTGGACTGACGGGCTTTGAGGTGACCTCTTGGGCAGCTTTCGCTTTTAATTGACGCTCGTGTTGAACATGCTTCCGGATCTTCCTGGTTTCGGCCTTTGAACTTCTAGATAGAACTTCTGAGGCAACGTCCTTATTGATCCAGAGTAGCGATTCTGGCATGATGGAAGTCGGGATTTGTAAGGGTGCCTAATTGGCCTTTTGTCGCGATGATCATGAGAGGAATTCGATTGTCAATTATCAGGAGATACGTGAATTGGTGCGTGGGGAAAAGAGGAGACATGAGTATTACTACCGTTCTTGTCGTCTAGAATGTCGGTGCCGCATTGCGCGTACCAGTCTGGTGTGCATTCCAAGACGTTTCAGGCCTCATGGAGATGATAACGTCAGGGTCAAGGAATGAGTTGGTGTTCATGGATTGCTGAAAAATCGGCATCGGAGATAATTCGCCCCGTTCCAACTTGGATTGCCAATAGTTGCCACTTCCTCGTGATGGGCTTGACCGAAGAAAGTTAGGCGGCCTTAGGTCTGCCTGACTCCCGTCTTTAGTTAAGGCATTTGGCTTGTCGGGGTCCGTGGCCCCTGGGGGATGCCGATGCTGCCCCCGCGTGTGCTTCCGGTATCGATTAGAATCCGGGGACTCAAGGAGCAGAAGAATTCTTGGCCAGTTCCACAGACCAGGTTCGAGAGCATCATCGAACTTGAAACGCGTACAATTCCAAGGATTGCCTAGATAAGCCTATATGAAATCAATAAAAGCTTACGAGTCTACTTTGTGACTGGCTCGCCCGTCGTGAGTAATAAGCTTGGGATTCATTCTGCGCCCGAGTGTGGCAGTACCAGAAGATAGATAGTGCTTGAGCGAAGAAACCCTGTGAATCCAATGTTCTCACAGAGATCTCCTTATGAACGTGTTACCAAAATTGACTAGTCTGCTTACAGTATCCTAGTGCTCTCAAGCTCTCCCATATCAACCGGAGACGTGCTGTCCCATTATCTACCAAGGGTGGCCTGAACAGCTTACGTCTTCTTCTCCTTGTCGATATCACTTTCCTCTGGAATAGACGAAGTCTGACGCAGCTCTTGGCCCTCATGGACAATGGCCACGTTGATCCTTGGCCCTTTGAACCACTTGCGGCCTGAGATGGCATACCAGGACATGGCAAGAAACATGGCACCGCCGTAGATCAGACAAGTCCAATTCATGCTTAATGGTCCTAAATCGGAGCCTTTGACGGCTGGAAAGCAGAGAGCAGGGGTGATTAGACACCACCACGCAACAGTGATTGCACCCAGAGGCCTCGACCAGCGACCGAGATTCCAGGGGCCTGGCAAGAAGCATGATTAGCGATCCTAGCATAAATAACGGAAGACGGAACAAAATTCAACTTACCTGGCTTAAACCTGCCATGATCAAAGAACAATTTGAGGCCAACGGGGAATGTGAACGCAGTATACTGAGCAATGGCGCCAATACTGAAGACTGCTCCAATCGCGACAGGGCTGGCGAACATCAGCAAACCAAGCAATGCTGAGACAAACAGGACACCCCAAGTCGCGTATACAGGTGTCTTGGTTTTTGGATGGACTTGACTCCACCATCTTGAGCCAGGGATCGCTCCATCGCGAGAGTAGGCAAAGACCACACGGGTTGCTGTGATGGTGCAACCTTCTCCAACAAACCACTGGGCGATGATGTTCAAAGAGAACATGGCGAGACCTGCTTTCTGTCCCAGGACTTGAAGGCATAGACTTCCAAATGGCTGACCATATGCTCCCGCGACGACGTCCGGAATATCCTTGACTGTATAGACGATGACAAAGATAATAGCCCAGCCCAGCCAAAGACCGAATTGAGCAGTCATGACGATTGCGCGAGGGGACGCAATATTTGCATTGCTACACTCTTCAGACAAGTGAAAGGGAGCATCGTAACCACTCATTGTCCATATGGTGGTTAAAAAACCCATGATGACCGCCCAGCCTATTGGCCATTCGGTGCCATTATCAAACTCGGTCCAGACTGCATGCGACTCGTTCGTTTTGGGGCGATTGACGGATCCGACGGGGAACCAGATGAGGAAGATGAAGACGACAGCCAAATTGAGGACGGTTCCGACCTTGTTGACCCATCCAATGAACCAGGTGGACTGCATGGTGACGATGCCGTCCACGAAGAGAAGAAGGAGCAAGGTGAGATAGACATGCCATGTCTCTGGGGTGTAATCAGGGTATGCAATGCTGCCGGCCGTGACCAACATGGCAGCGAGCGCATAATTGACGGAGCAAGGTCCGGTCACAAATCCACAGAAGTTGGACCATCCAACAAACCAAGAGCATATCGGACCCCAGCCTTCAGGAGCCAGTACTGCCGAGGCATAATACAAGCCTCCAGCAGTGGGCATGCTTGAGCACAGCTCGGCCATGGTGAATGCGGTGGCCTGAATGCAGAGGGCCGCGACGAGCCAGCCCCATATCGCACCACCTGTGCCGGAATAGCCCAAGCTGTATCCAATGGTTGATGCGATGGAAGGCAAGAGGCCGAGAACCGAGAACGAGACTGAAAATGATTCCCAGATTGTGAAATCTCTGGAGTGGAGAGATTCGATTAGAAGGTGAGGCATAGCTTGGGAAGTGCTTCTTTTACCTCTTAAACTCCTGTTTGTAACCCAATGCGCCCAAGGTTACCTCGTCGCTGGTTGCGCCCTCCTCAAGGACGGCATGTTCACCGCTTTTGGCAAAGACAGAAGTGACGCCGACGACATTTTCATCGACGACTGTGACCGAACCTTTCCTACCAGCAGCCATGTTGGAAGGTCTTGAAAAGAAAGCTTAGGGCATGACACCTACATGAGTGGACGTTTTGATTGCCGGGAACAGGACGCCTTTTTAAAGGGCATGCTTTCCCCTCTTTGTTGACAATCTAGCTTTGTGATTAAGCGAGGCAGATAGCATGACCTTGAACGGTTGAGCGTGCTTGTCGACTCGCCTGTTCCCATGTCGAAGCTCGGCATTGGTGAGTTTGACCTACGAGGAGTGGTCGTTAGAGTTGGCGATTATCAAAGCTTCAATGACTAGCCATGGTAAGGCAAGCTTTTGAGCCCAGAGTTAGTTAAAAGCGCACCAACTGAACTGGGCAGGTCAAGGGTTCAGTGTGTCACCCATCAATCCTGGTCGTTATCGAATGGCTTTGGCGAAATGAGACATGATTGGCTTGGGAGCGAGTTGCGAATTTCTGGGCTTATCAGCGCAAGAAGACGGTCGGACTTCCACGAATTGTTGGTCACGGTTCAGTGGTCGCATTGGTGGTCGAAGAAGAAACGGTGGAATGCCTATCAATTGCCAAATGAACTTGAAAGAGCTAAATTGTTCAAGTTGGGCGGGGAGGCGGGAAGGAACGAGGGGTACCATGAATTGTCATAGCCGACCCGTTCAGGATTGAATTTCCCTGGGAAGGATGCGATCATTTCTTGTTTGATGTATTATTCACAGGTCGTGGGTGCTGAACGAGTTGTGAATATGATACTTTGGGTGGTCACCGAGCAGATGTTGTCGTGTACCGAGTACTCGGCAAGTACTTGACGGTGGGATGGATGTCGGAGGACGACCACGTGGCTGAACGTGGCCAGAAAGCCTCGTTGGACCTGGCACTTGCATTGCATAGTTTCGCGTGATACCAGTATCTAAAGTACCGAGGCAGATATATAATCATACACGAGATAAGAAACGTACTTGTGTAACTGGTACGAGGTATTAGTGTTGGGGTAGGTGCAAACGGGATTGTTAGATCGCATAGAATCACAATCACCTGAGACCATCGACGTTGAATAAGATCTTGGGCATGTCGAGATAAGAGAGTCTTATCTCGAAGGATTCAATTTCAAGGGCTTCTCGGAGTTCAACGTTAGCGATGAACTCACGCTCGAGAATGGTTGTTATCGCGTCCAAGTCACAGAATTGATGGTGTATGAATTTGAAGCACGTAGAACGATCACATCAGTATGTCGATGGTCTGATGATAATCACGCAGGGTGGATAGTCTCTGACTTGAAAGGAGGAAGTTGTCGTCTTCGAAGTTGCAGCCAAGAAGAACGAGAAACAGGCAATTGTTTCAACGGTGTTGAATATATGAATGAGGAGTCGAGTAAGGACTGAAAGGTTGACATGTAACCAAGAACACCCAAGATAACACAAGCAGTCGTAGAGTGTGGCACAAGCCATGGTCCACTCGTCTGTGGCGTGAGCATAATCAGGGATTATTCTAGAATCATGGGTCTCAGCATGTGCACGGGGATCTATCTATAAAGAAACTGGTGGGTAAATGCAGACTGCAGGAGTACGGAGTTCACGTCACATCAAGCTGTGTGAGACACTCAAAGAGGATCGCCAGAGGAGTAAATGAAACACAACACGTCCAACAACCAAAGGCCACTCAGAGGGTCGCGACAGACAACGTCTGGAACAGAACACCATCCACTGGAATCGAGCAACAGGGTTGGAGGGTTGGAGCATCAAGATTCTAGCCAAACACCGCCTGGACATGACGCCAGAGTTCGTCTTTGTTACGACTCAGCTGAGGCTGAAGCTTCCAGTTGTCTCGAAGAGTTTTGTCGGTTGCAAGAACAGCCGAAACACTCCAGAATATCTTTTCACATTCATGTCCCATCCAAAATGAATCAATTTGGTATGTAGTACACATGTTCACCCCACCAAGTCCGGTACCTGAATCTACGAGTACCTGTTCCTGTCAGAAATCAGAAATCAGCATCTCCATGGCGAATATCGATAACGTTAGGGAGGACCAGTGCCCAGCAACGGCCTGGGTGCTGACCCAGGCGGCCAGGGCTTTGGGGGGAGCTTGGGCCCATCAAGTCGCAGTCGGTGGGGTTATCCAGCCTAACACTCCCTGGTCCGGGCATGGCTTCTAGGCATGATCCCTGTAGCACCACTGCCCATTCCACCAATCCTTGGGCCTCTAACCAGATTTTGGACCGACCGAGTTCCACAACCAGCCCGCTTTTTTGATGGGCGCTACAGACACACCTGCGTCAGTGTCTGAGATCCATCTTGCGTCCTCCATCTTCAAGTCCATCCGACTCACATCACTTTCCTAACATTCACACAAACTCGCACTTGCTCTCGCACTCAGCCTGCTGTCTAGATCAAGTCTACCGGCAACACCATTACATCCATCTTCTCAAAGTCTGACATCTCTTTCACTCTCATTACACCCAACGTATCCGATCTCCTAACCCGCATACAAGACAACGAGCAACCATCCTCACAATCCACGATCCGCGACTACAGAGTTCAGAACAAGGTCCCCAGTAGCACCTTCTCGCACACATGGCACGCAGTCGGTAACACTCCCTCCTCTCCGTGGCCTTGTCGACCAGGACACATCCATATCTACACACCATCATCCCGATCATGGATACCGTTCAGCCTCATTTGTGGGCGGTGGCCCACACTCTCGTTGCCCGCAACGAGACGAATTCCACCTCCTCCTCGACCGCCGCTGCTGAACGACCACCCGCTTTTAAAGCTGTTGGTCTGTCCCTCGCCGTCGCATCTGGCCTCTTCATCGGTATTTCTTTCGTCCTCAAAAAGGTCGGTCTCCTCAAAGCCAATGCAAAATACAATGAGGAAGCCGGTGAAGGCTATGGCTATCTGAAAAATGTATATTGGTGGGGTGGCATGTCCTTGATGATTGTGGGCGAAATCTGCAATTTTGTCGCATATGCTTTTGTCGACGCCATTCTGGTCACTCCTCTCGGTGCCTTGAGCGTTGTGGTCACCACCATCTTGTCCGCCATCTTCCTCAAAGAACGCCTGAGTTTTGTGGGTAAAGTGGGCTGTCTCAATTGTATCATCGGGAGTATTGTCATCGTGCTCAACGCTCCCGAGCAAAGTGCCGTGGCAGACATTCAACAGATGCAGAAATTCGTCATTGCTCCCGGTTTTCTGAGTTATGCAGGTGTAGTCATCCTGGCCTGCACTTTCATTGCGCTCTGGGCCGGTCCAAGATATGGTAAGAAGAGTATGCTGGTCTATCTGAGCATTTGCAGCTTCATTGGGGGCCTCAGCGTGGTTGCCACTCAGGGTTTGGGCAGCGCCGTGGTTGCACAGGCGGGCGGCAAGCCTCAGTTCAATCAGTGGTTCCTCTATGTTCTTTTGGTCTTTGTCGTCGCAACCCTCTTGACCGAGATCGTTTACCTCAATGTAAGTTGCCCTCGAAAGCTGAATCTCCCGGGTCTAACATTCACTAGAAAGCCCTCAACCTTTTCAATGCCGCCCTGGTCACTCCTACCTACTACGTCTTCTTCACCTCTGCCACCATCATCACATCGGCCATACTCTTCCGGGGCTTCAAGGGCACCGCCGTTACCATCACCACTGTCATCATGGGTTTCCTGCAGATCTGTACAGGCGTGATTCTCTTGCAGATGTCCAAATCTGCAAAGGATGTTCCAGATGCCGCCGTCTTCAAAGGTGATCTGGATCAGGTGCGCGAAATTGCCGAGGTGGAACAGCCAGAAACAGAACCGAAAGCAGATGCCATTCGAGGCACTGCCGCCTTGATCAGAAGATTTTCGGTGTCGCGACAAAAGATGGAACAAGAAGAGGCCAGACGGTTACGAGAAGATACCATCAAGGACAACCTCGAACCATTGCGTGAGAATGAGATTGTGGAATGGGATGGCCTTCGAAGGAGGAAGACCGTCATCGGTGAACCTGGCACACCAAATTCTCCAATGGTGCGAAGAAGAACGGTCCATCCACCCTTGGGCATGTCGCATTTCCCAAATCCGGATGACGAACACACAGAGGTAACTCCGGGTTTCTTCGAAAATCTGCGTAATCGTGCTCAATCCGGACGACATACACATCAGCATGATGGAACTGAGGAGCGAGAGCATTCCGCTTCAAGTCCCGTCTATCCAGTCGCCTTGAGTGAGATCAAAATCCATGCATCCAACGCGGTCTCGCCCATTGCCCCTTATGGTCCCGGTAGCTTGGAAGACGCTCAAGAACGAATTTATGGCCTGGCACCTGGGGAACGCAGGGCTCAGGATAGTCGGTTTGGAGGATCATTATCTCAACCGTCACCCAGATCCAAACCTCTTCCAGCCAGGCCTGCTCCTTCGCCAAACCTTAGACCACCGCAGCAAGAGGCTCGCAGACAATTTTCCTTCACCAACTTCCTCCGGCCGGGTTCACGCACCCCAGATGTTGAGAGCTCGGAACAAACATCACGTCTTCGAAGTCGAACTAGCAGCTCAGGTCACGAAAAGAAAGCCATGAAAAATGCCACAGAAGAAGAGAGACTTGGACTGGTCAAGGGTGATTCCCATCTTGCCTTACTTCACCATGAATCTTCTCATTCCCCCGAGCGCGCATACCCACCTTCCTCCCCACCACGTGTGTCTGCACATTCGCCCACAGCCTCCCTTGAAAGTGTTGATGATTATTATCATTATTCGCAACCCCTAGCCCAACATTCTCGATCACTATCTGATGAGGATAACGAGTGGCAGATGACGACCTCATCCGAAAAGACGATCCTCCCCACGAGTCAAGCTCGGATTCCCTCCACGCCACCTACCGGGCTCAGGCAAAGTCCTCCGAGGACCAATCAGCCAGTTCCGCAAGCCACTACGAACATTTACAGCCCCAACAACGGCAGAACGATCAAAGCCACACCTCAGATCGTAGTTGGAGAAGGACCGACACCAGGGGTAGTCACAACAGCAGCATTGGACCGTTTCCAGAGTTCGTCGACGAACCCATATCAGAAACCGATCAACCAAGCCACTCGTGGCTTCCATCAGACAGACATCGAAGATCGCCCAGCCCAAGTCCTCACGGAAAGAGGAAGGCCTGAGGCTGGCTATGATAATGTACCTCTGACGAACACTCGGGAAGAAAGCATTCAAGAATACGATAACAGTCGCAAGCGATTTGAAGAACAAAGTAAAAGAGAAAGAGAGGAAAGGAGACTACGAGCCACTGGGCGCCGTCAGAGTTGGAAACCCTCGGACACAGACAGATGAGGGGTACTTTTGATTTCAAAAGGTCGCAAGATTTTGCACATGGATAAGCAATACTGTACATTTAGAGATATGTTGGCCTTTTTTGCGACGATGGGATAAAGACCCACATGACACGAAACACGCACGACAATAATGGATAGAACAGCGATGAATGAATATAGTGTTTTTTTGGAGCGTTCTGAATGAATCATACTGGCTAGGGACGATATCCAGTTCTTGTGTTCAAGCCATTCGGAACAAGCATCTAGTGTTGGTTACCAGTGATAGAAAAGGACCACGAATGAATCATGTTCACACTGTTACCTATGACAACATAGCAGTCAATAAAAAAGCGGTAGATGAACCACTTCCGCCTGTTTTTACTGTCGTGAGGTTGTTTCAACTTTGATTTTATCTCGGCGGACCATCTGTTTTTAATCGTGTTCAGCCCTGTGTACTGCACAACTGAAGCAATATTGTCTCAATACGGTGGCCGGGCTGCAGCTGACATGACAAGGGCATGGAGTCATATATTCACATTGATATTTAAATAGTCAAGTAGTATTCCTAACCAATCTGATTCTGTTTCTTATTCAAGCAACCTCAGCCTCGCACTCTCGAACCGTCGAATCGTCTCCCTGACGCGCGACATAGACATGTCCTCCAGTGGATCATGGCTTGTCTCTACATGTGCATCTGCATCTTCATCTCCATCTCGATCGTGTAGCGCACGCCGAATGTCAGTAGAGGAATGCGCCGTGTGCGCTGTGGTGGACATTGACATGGCCCGTTCAGCCTGATCCAGCCCCAGACTGGCGAGCAACCAATACTCGGGTGCGTGTCGCCAGAAGCCCGAGCGCTTCCACATGCTCGGCTCGTCTGAGGGCACGTGTTGGTGGTGGTGTGCAGTGGACAGAATTGTTGATGCGGATGTGTTGTGGTGATGGCGGTGTTGTAGTGAGGCGATGGGGACGTCGAAGAATCGTTCGTCGTTGTTCAGGGTGCGAGCGTTCCAAATAGATTTCCAGTTGTTGAGACCCGTGCGGATGGAGGTTAGTTGTGAGTGGGATGGGAGGAGGAGTGACGTTGAGGCGTGGAAGATCATTATGTGGAATGCTGCATCGGGTCTGGTTAGGCAATATTCGATGCTGGGGAAACAAAGGGCAAACTGAGTGTTCTCAAACGCGGTTGATCTGGATGACTTGACTTACAGGAAACAACACACCATAGATTCATGAATCCTTCATGTGAGGCTCGATCCAGCGCGCTGTCGCCCATTTCGCCAGCACAGACTAGCTGAATGAATGAGCAGAGGGAGCGTGGCCGGGGCATGCCCACGTGGCTGATCCACTGCTTTAGGTAACTGAAGCATTCTGTTGCAGTTTCTGCTTGGAAACATGCTTCACTGCAGGCGAGGCCCATTTCTAGCTCTCGTAGAGTAAGTCGCGGTGGAATATTATTGAAGATGACGAATGCTTGGTCGAGAAGAGCTACCCAAAGGAGAGTCCTGGCAATTATCCAGTTAGCGAGGAGTGAGATAGGGAGAGACAGATGAGGAATTGTTCACCGAATCATCTCTTCGACTTCCAAGAAGGCCTGCCACTCGAAAGCATCTGCTGTCAGGGATGCAAGATCGGAATGTCGAGACGTCGAGAATCCCAGAGATCTAGCTGCCTTATGACTATCAGCTTTCACGTGAACCGATGAAAACGATGTAGACATGCAATACCATTATCACATCGCTGAAGCGGCGTCTGCGAATTCTCAATCGAGTAGATAGAGATCCATCCCAGTTCTGACAGATACACACAGTATATGCTGCTTGGATGGCTTGCACGGTGCGACGTCTAGAATGGCCCGACATTTGTCGTGTACCATGCGTGGCTAACGCGAGCAAGAAGTAGGGGTCGTTGAAGATTATATCTTCGATATGATCGTACCAGAAGCGGGCATCCATGCGGTCTCCATCGCTGGGGGAATGAGAGGCTCCCATGAGTATTAACGCTGAAAGGAGTGTAACAGGAGTGGCCAAGGGATTGAATGTTGGTCGGTGGATGATTGGGCAATTGGGAGACCAGATGGACCAGTAAGCCTCGAGAAATATACGAATCTTGTGAGGCGAGAAGAACTCGACGCACATAGACTCTATCTTCGGTGACCAGGATGGTTCAGCCTCTTGCAAGGAATGAAACCTGGCAATAAAGCTCTTCCGTACGCAATTCACCAACTCGAATGCTTTTGTGGCCAGTTCATCACCGCTCCAAGTTGTGAGATGCTTCAGGTCAGAGATTGAATGTCTTGAACGTCCCATAGTTATATTAAGGCCACTTGAAATGAACTTGTCAGGTGGGTCAATACACCTGTGACTTGGTGGCCCACCAGCTGATGTGCCAGACTGTGGAAGGATTATGGGAGACCAGGGGCTGTCGTCTGGCATGTGAGAAGGCTCATCAAGGCTGGCCGCAGTAGAATTGATAAGCAAGTGTTCTTTCAGTCTTTTCAAGGTTGCCTTCCTCAGCATTTCCAGAACAGCGTCCGACTCAAAGGAGCGAACCAAGCCAACATCCTTGATGAATTGGCCCAAGAAGTAGAAAGATACTGCAGGATCCTGGGCAAAAATTGGCAATTTCGATGATGACCAGAGATGCGTCGTGACCGACGGGTGTGGGTTTTCAAACTTTTGAAAAGGATGATCACTTGCTTCCTCCATCGTCAGAGTTCCACCATCCCGTGATACCCCATGAGAAGACGTGAAGGCTCCCACCTCCACACCAAGATCACCCTCGTTGGCCTCATCGCCACCACGATCAAAACTTCCAGGTGACCAGGCTGTGGAGCGAGCGTCGGAGAAGTCGCTCAATGGCTTACAAGGCTGCCCAACTATTTGCGGGATAGTGAGATATTCGCACTCTTTTCCGTTCGCGAGACAAGTTCCACACGGCGATCGTAGATTGCATCGTCGTTTATATCTTGCACAGCGCAAACAAGCCCTTCGGCGAGGATTTGCGGAGCGAGTGCAGATTGAAGTTGATCTCGGGCTACAATTGCGTGAGTGTCGTTTGAGGACGTCGCTAGAGAATCGATTGGTCAAGGAGTCTCAGCTGATAAGAGGAAGAAGCATACCTGCGTTTAAACCCTTTTCCGCATTGCGAACAAAGAAAAGGGCATGTAGAGGTATCTGCAGGTCATGTAGAATGAGTACCACGGCAATGATCCGCAAAGAATTGAAGAGGTCTTACGAATCAACAGGTGTCGATTGAGATGCTCCAACCTGCCATAAGACTTGAGGCATACGGAACACTGCAAATTCGTATGAGTCGAAGACATAGTTCACCTCAGGGTCTCGTAAACGTCAAGAGACCGCACATCCCTGCACAAATGAAGCCAAACTTGGAAGGGGACCATATGCTGTATCTTTAGAGGTGACATGTTTGGTCTGCAATGCATCAGGATCAATCAACCTATTTTCGGCTCGAACCAAGTGCAGTTGCCGAGATGCACGGGTTTACCCCAGCCTGAGAGTAAAGTAAGTTGGGGCCCCGCATTCTCACAGATGGTATTTCTTGGATTCGATGCCCTTGCTCTCCGGGTTGAGAGAGCATGTCATCGACCTTACCGTGGAAACTCCGCATCTGTGACGAGTTTCTATGCTTGGTGTTTGGAAGTAGCGTGTGCTCGCAATTCTCAATAGCGAGGTTCAGAGGCTCAAACCTGGACGGAAGACAGCAACCAAGTCAGTGTCTTTGTTTTCAAGCGTGGCCATGATCCATGAGTCAACAGATGTTTTGAGGCAGCTGGAGGGCCAGTGCTCTGTCGCCAGGAGATTTCTAGCAAACAACAGTTCGTTGAGTTAGCTATGGGAATTCGGTAGGTTGACGTCATGATAATTGACAACAGGTATCTAAGGGAAGGAGCGAGAGGGACTCTTGGTGTTTATTGTGGAAGGTGTAAACTCGAGTCGTGCCTACCTAGATACCTTGAATACCCCTGATTCAGACACGCTCTTTCCCCATGGCAATGACTATAGATTGTGGCGCTTGTAGAATAGGCAACTGCGAATGTCTCTGCCTCTAGGTACGAAGTACTCAGGACCTGGTTACTTCGTAATCTTACTTACGAGTAGGGGATGGGCCTAATTCGGACCCCATCAAGCGTGTCTAGGTGATGATTATTCCGCCCGTTTCGGCCGATCAGTGGACTCATTTATTACTCATTCGCAAGCTGGGGGTCTGGGACTCGGAGGCGAACGAGGCGCCAGTGGACGATGTCTGGGTCCGGAAGCTTAAAGAGCCGATAATCCCGCTGCCACTAAAGAGACGCTCCTTCCCATGTCTTCCGAGTCCGAATTGCTGGACGAGGAACTTCTCTGAAGGGTTCCAATAAAGACGACTTTAAATGATCTGCCTAAGGCCGGAGGTCACGGCTCCCATCTATTCATGTGTTTATTCCCATCCGCGCATTTCTCGCTTCTCGCATTATTACTCTTCTTCGATCCCATCCATCCCACCGCTCTGAATGTCTCTGGTGGATGATTCATCAGAGCAGCAACCCCTCTTACAAATTGACCTAAGCTTTGAATGCGCCCGCCGGACGCCGCCGCACGGATCCGTCCTTGGACAGCAACACTAACCATCTAGGCCTTCTTGCTGAATAACAGAATACTTGAGGTGTTTGGTTCTCTACTGTCCACCTAGCCGCTCCTTTGTCATCGCAGCTATAGCCGACTGGCGACTGGCGACTGGCGAACAGCCATCATGGCTGACACACCACAATCCAGCACTTCCCCAGAGTCGGGAGAGGAACCCACTGGCACAACGGGCGGTAATCAATCTGCTTCTAAACTCCCGGCTTCCAAGGATAAAGAGTGTCCCTACTGCCACCAGCAGTTCACATCGTCCTCCCTCGGCCGTCATCTGGATCAATTCATCTCAAAGAAAAAGCCTGATGGCATCCACAATGTCGATGAGATCCGTCGCATGCGAGGTGGTATCACAAGACGCACTGCCCGAGGCGGAAAGAGAGACAGCGCTCCTGGAGATCGCGACGACACCCGCTCTCCTCGTCACAGTCCCCCACCTCCCTCAGAGCCAGCCGTGTCAACCGTGTCGACTGACAACTTGAACCGTGTTCCTCCAGGAGGCATTCAATCCCGCATCAACAGACTCAATTGGTTGTCCACTGGCGTCATCAACGATCCTACCTCTCTCGATTCCCCTATGCCAAATGCTCCGCCCACACCCGCCCTTGTCCATAGTCCTTCTATAGGAACCAAGCGCACCTTCACCATGTATTCGCAAGACCTAACCACCGCCGAAACAAATCGGGCTCTTGAGCTCTCCTTGCGTGAGGTCTTGGATTCCTTGCGCGCTGCTACCAAACATGCGACTCCGAAACCGAGTCCGTTCAAGTTCGATGTTCAGAGTCAAACATATCCCGGCCTCTGCTTGAAAGTTTTGTCCCCTCCAGCAACCTTGTTTCAAACGAGTCCATTTAGTACTCCCACCAGCATTCCGATCTCTCCGCCAGGCCCAGATCAGCTAGCACCACTCCGGCAAAAACTCACCAGTACCATTGACTATTGGAAATGGCAGGCCCTACGTCTTGCCCAACCCACCACGTCAAATATAGCCGAAGAGGCAGATTTCCTGACCCAGAGCGCCACGCAATGGACGGAGAGTACAATGGCTCACCTCGAGGCCAGTTTCCAGAATTGGATGGCACATCCCATTGAGATCCGCAACTTGTTGTGGCAGGTGGAGCTTTTACGAGCTTACAGCACCGAACAGCAAAAGGCGACCGAACTGGAGGAAAGGATCGAAAGTCTCAAACAGGAGGCCACCCAGTTACAGCAGCAGGTGGAATATTTGAGTCGCTGCCAATGGCCTCGAGAGATGGCCCTCTGGCCGCCCAAACGCAAACCGTTTGGACACAAAATGCGTGAAGAGATCCGACTGATCAATCTGAACAAACTGCCTGCGCCCGATGGTGTTGAAGATATGGTAGAAATACCCGATAACATCCATACTCGAGGGGACAAATGGGATTTTGATAAGCTTGTGTCCAAGTGGAAGTCTTACATCAAGGAAGATAAAAATCGCCGAATCCCCCCAGTGCAATCCAGTGCGACACCAACCGAAGGGCCATCCATCAAGATTGCCGATTACCACAAGTCTTACGTTGAGTCTCCGGTCAACGGCGTATCCATGAATGGTCCCTCACCTAATGGGATGGAAGAAAGACGTCGGAGTACGAGAAATCAAAAGGGCAATATAAGCATTGTCTCGGACTATTAATGAAGCATCATGTCGTTTAATTGAACATTATATATTTGTACTCGGTCTTTTCGATCAAGGCGGATTCTTGAGATATATATTCAGAAGATATAAGACAAATCCCAAACCATCGTTCATGGTGAACGCCCAAATTTCCCATTTCCCAGAGTCCGATCATATTCATTCATGTGTACACTCATATCGCATCCCAGATATGCCCCAATCACCAAATCAAATCGCTCACAAATAGCTTTTTCTCAAAGGGTTTAACCATCAAAACCACGAATGTCTTTCATCCTCGAATCGAATCGTCCCCGAAATTGTGCGTTGGCCGGTATCCACCACGACAGGCGGAACATCCGGTATCACTTCATCGTCGCCGTCGAGCTTGAACCGCACAGTGCGGACCACTCTTATTCCTCCTCTTCGTCGAGCTCTTTCTCCTGCTTGGCAAACAGGCTCACTCGATTCTGCACCGCGTAAATCGCATAGCCCACCAGTGCCAGCACGACGAAGAGGATGATCACGATCAGTGCGATGACAATGTTGCGTTCCATTTTGATTGATGTGATGTGAGTGTGTCGCTATGGGGACGGATTTGGCCCGCGTGTGAGAGTGAGAGGATAGTTTGCGCGGGGCGGCTGTAAAGGTAGCGGTGTCTGTGATTAGGCACGGTTCGAGCGATGGCAACGCAGCTACGCTTCGAGATCTCAAATGCGAGAAGGAATTGAACACTCGGAAGCGTTTCGGCGGAGGCGGGCTCAGACCTGGACCGCTGAAGAGAGCTGAACTGTCGGGCAGTTGTCTGATGGGGATAGGTTGCGATTGGTGGCTGCGTGGAGAAATGGGTCGCGGAGCAATAGGACAGTTCAAGCTTGTGAGTGTTGTGGTTGTGCTGGTGGGGGTGAGGGGAGGAGATGGTGGAAAAGCAAAAACACCACTTCGCGCAACCGGCGGATCTATTTTGACTAGATGGGGATGTATAGCCTGGAAGAAGGTATATCACAGCACAGGGAAGCAATTCGAAAAATGTGTATGTCCAATTGTTGGAAGTGGCTGTATCGAGTCTGTGTTTGTGTGTGGAATGAAGAACAGCTCAGTAGAATAAGAATGCAGAGAGGCAGTATACATAGGGAAATGGCAAATTGGCTACCCAGCCCCACGAGGTATCTTGTTGATGGCTGGGCCACTTGTACACCATACAACCTGTAAGACGTGTGGACGTGTGAGACCGAGTGGTTGGGTGGTTTGAGACAACCTGGGTTATTTTGGAGGAACAAGGCTGCACATCGCCTCCCAACCACGTCCAGCCACGTCTTATATGGCGCTAGTCTTGTTGTGGACATTGACGAGGCTGGGGCTACTAGTATCGATCCGGTTAGGTCTGCTGGAAAATTCAAATCACGTGACTGGCCCTGGTCTCCGCACGCAGCATCGTGGGTCTTTCGACCGGACGTACTCCCATCCCATGATGAAGTATTTAATTCGAAGGAAAACTATCAAGATTCTGTGTACACAAGAACAGGAGTCCCAAACCCCGCAAAAGAGTGACTTCACACTTGTGTACGAGGTACCTAGGTACGAGGTACGTAATCTCTGTGTTTCTAGTCCAACGCATTTTGACAATGACGGTGCTGTTTGCATCGTATGGCGGCCACCTACAATGAACTACTCCGTATCGCTCAGCCTACGGCCGAGAAATCCCTTTTTGCGCTTCATGGGGATTATTGGAGGCGAATCAAGTTATCGGTCCAGATGAAAACGTCAGCTGTTGTCCACCAAGCGTGGGAATGAGAAATTCTCTCTTTTGAAGTTAATAGTGGATGGAGCTTGCCCAAAGCTCCAAGGCTTCCTGGGCGATATATTTGGTTAACCACACCTCGCTTTGATCACTCCTCATCCCAGGCAGCCCCAACCATGACCTTCTTTTCTTATAGCGCTCAGACTCTAACCTAATGTCCCACCTACGTCAATGGTTTGGAACTTTCCAGAATACTATAATTGATTTTACCGCCATATTCAAATCATGAGTATCGACATTCTAGGTTCGCAAACTATTGGTACTACCAGACTCCAGCGGCAGCATTATGGAAGTATAAACCAGATAGCTTTGCTGCCCGCAATGAAAGTTACTCGTACGATTGATGGCCTCAACAATTCGTGTGTTTCACACCGGACCTGATGAAGATACAAATATACAACCATTCGTTCTAGTTACTCAACCCGAAAAATACATGCTTCAGTCTACAGAAACAACTTCGTCATGTCTTTCAAAGCTCTTCTCACTTCCACGCTAGCCTTATCCTACTTATCGAAAGGTGTGCTGGGCTGTTCGCGTGTCACATATAACAGTGGCCCGGCAGATGGCAACCGCACTGTGATAGGCCGTTCCATGGACTGGCTGACCCCAACCAACTCAAGCCTGTTTGCTTTCCCAGCAGGCTTGCAGCGCAATGGTAGTGCGGGAACCAATTCAGCTACGTGGACAAGCAAGTACGGCTCAGTGATCCTCACTGCGTATGATTTATCTACCTGTGATGGTATGAATAGCCAGGGTCTCACGGTCAATCTGCTGTACCTGGCAGATGGCGATTACGGCCCAAGAAACGCGTCGATGCCAGCCATGTCACTCGCCATTTGGCCCCAGTACTTTCTCGACATGTATGCCACCGTGGATGAAGCGGCCCGAGATCTCTTCACTGAAGGAGGTCAAGCCAAATTCCAAGTCCGCACCGAAGCTTTGATTCCTGGAGTACCAACTCTTATGCACGTCTCGGTCAGCGATGCTACCGGCGACAATCTCATTCTTGAATGGCTGGATGGGAAATTGGTCGTGCATCACGGAAAAGAATTCAATGTCATGACAAATGAGCCCAACTATGACGATCAGATTGCAATCAACAAGTACTGGGCACCAATATCCAACTCTTCACTTCCCGGGACCGATCGTCCTGCCGATCGCTTCGCGCGTCTTGCACACTATGTCAGCGTCGCACCCGCCTCCTCAGAAGTGGTCTCTGCCTTGGCGACTACCAATGGGATGATACGGGCAGTGTCCGTCCCGATGGAACCGATCAACATAAACACCCCAAACATCACGCCAACTCTGTGGAGGACAATTGCGGACACCAAGGACAAGGTTTACTACTATGAAAGCGCATCGGATGGTAGTTTCTTCTGGGTCGATCTGACTCAATTGGACTTGAGCTCTTCTGGTCATACACTGCAATTGCCCATGGTTGGCGTCAACTGGACCGAGAGGGTGGGTGACATGACTGATCAGCTCGAAAAGGCTACACCCTTTAAATTCATGGAGGCCAACAACTGAAAGACATATGGCAGTGCTGGAGGTAGTACATACTGCAGCAGATGGATTTAGATAATGTGAACTCCTGTAGTTATATTCTCGGGGACTCTCTAGGTATGAAAGAGACCTTAAGATTCAAATCGTGGCGAATCATTATACCTTTGACGGAGCGAGAAGCCTGTGTCTATACATCGATTGAAATGCTCTGGCGTCCTATATGCCGCTAGTCTTGTTGTGGATATTCGCGAGGCTGGCTGGAACTAGCAGGAAGCGCTCGTGTAGACTAGGATTAGCGCTGGTATGATGTTGGATGATGTTATGTGATCAGTTGGTTTCCCCGCACACTCGCTACTTGTGTCTCCTGCTGGTGGATGAAGTCCATTCTTCCCAACTTGTGTATACAGCACATACTGTCCGAGTCTCCCTGGAAGCTGTTTGAGACACCTGCCACTGCAGGGAGCTCAATGATGCTTCTAAGTTACGAAACCTACAACTATTTCTGAGCCACTCAGAACTGATGTTCCTCGTGTCGTTATCTAGGGCATCATGGCCTTTCATACGAGGTGTCTCTGCTGGATACGACAATAACCAATAAAAATGGAATTTTGTTCGTGTCATGCACTTTCTCCTCCTTGCGCAACCCATCCCCATTGGTGATTGATGGTTGAGCTCAAAGCCTCCTTCCTGGCTAAGAGATGCCATAAGGAAGAGAATGATGGTCAGCTGCACCAAGGAACTTGGTGGTGACATTGCCAGATTCTGCTAGAGATCTAGATTTTGGCAACAATAGCCCAAATGTCCTCACTTACGTTGCTTTTCAGGATAGTCTACTTTGTCCATCCAGAAAATGATCAGCATTGTTCTTGGAAATAGTGATACATCATGGCCACCCAATCTCCTTTCGAAGCTTCGGGAATTCTTGTGCACGGTGTGTATATGGGCCAACATGTCAGCAATGTCTCCATCGTCTATGCTGCCAACCAGCTTCCAACTCCGTGGCCGTGGATGCTCATCAGTTATACCCTGTCCATTGTGATTGCTGCAAGTAGTCTCTACTTCTCCAAGAAAGCAGACAAACAAAAAATCGAACACGTACACAGGCCGACAGACAATCGTGCACCGTCTAAAAAAACTCGGCAAACTGCAGCAAATCAAAAAACGTATACCACCGCTTCTGGGGACATCATAACGAGACTTGTTACTGGCGAACTCCTCATCTCACCGGCAAAAGAGGTCACGCATTTCACGCAGCCAAAAGATACTTCTTCACTTCAACAGCGCGAGATTGTCGAACAAGAACGCAGGGGTGGTCAAACACCACGCGCGGTCTCAAAGTGGAGTCAGTATGGTACCATTGGAGCCCTCGTGATCAACACCATACGATCTGTGGCAGTTGTTCCTATCTATCGCAATGCTCTCACCAGACGCCAGGCGCCAGCCTCCTCACCACTTGTACTACTGCTTTTGTCGAACATGACTATAGCAGTCCAATTGGCGGGTCTGCCATTGCTTGTTGCGGTTGCGGATTTTATTATTGTCTATGTGTTTCTCGCGATTATAGCCTTCAAAATCAATGCAGGCCTCACCTGGGGCGAAAACACTGGAAATTTTACTCATTATGGTACCTGGAAAGTAACAGCAGGTAACTGCCCGACAATCAGCTCCTGGAGACCTGTCGATAAACATCCTCGTGGTTGGGCATCGCAGGCATGCTGGTTCCATAGCAGTGTGGGCGGTTGTGATGGTCGAAACACTACCGAGGCTGACGTTGACTTGCTCATCACCAGTACGCTGGGCGCTGTCGAGGCATATACTGGCCTGGTTGTTTTTGGTTTGACGACTCTTGTGATCATTTACCTGCCAATACCTTTTCGAAAAGAACTTAAACGACTACTGCCTAAGCGGAGACGTCTGGACAAAGCCGAAAATTTAAGGACACAGTCTGCAGCTTCAGATTCGCGCCGCACGGATTCTGAAGAGGTTCCGTCCGCAGCACCATCGGAGCCTGTCTGGAAGCGGATTTTTCAACCTGGTCATGTAGTTACACGTCGCCAAAAGGTAGGCGCCGTCGTGACGCTCCTGATTGGCATTATTATTAGCCTTGTTGTGCTGCCACTGAACATCCGTTACCAAACTTATCCTCCATTCCAATCTATCTCCGACAGCTTTGGTCCGGAACAGAGTTTCACATCCGAGGACTGCGTCGAGATTTATAACGAAACTAGCTTGACTGGTCAGTCCCGCGCTGATAACATGCCGTACCAGATTCACGGTAGCTGGTCAGATATTTTTATGGTGAGACCAACAAATAGCAAGTCTGGCTACCTTGAGATATGGGTAAAGGATAAGCAAGCTATTATCGGCCACCTTGTCGGCGTACTTTGATGGGCCTGCATTCTAAAAAGGAACATGGCATTTTTATGCTATAATTAGAACTTGTTCTGCGTCCCTGGATATTTGGCCGAGTCAATCGTGAGCTTGAACTCTCTTCTATCAAAATATCTCTACGCTCCCTAGCAAGTCTATGCTTCGATGTTTTGGCTATTATATCTAGTCTATGCGAGGTAAGTGATCTCGTCTTATGGTGTTGGGATACTACAATGAATGTTCACGTGAGGGTCCATAATCCAGCCTATCGCCCTCTTCAACTTGGGCAAATCATTGTTTATCACATCACGAGTCGCTCCCTAGCGACTATTTCAGCAATCCTCACGGATTTTCTCATGCCCGATGCCGCTACTACTTCACACGTCTCAGAGGGACTTTCAGCTTCAAGTTGCTTGCTTCCTCAAAACAAAGGTGTCAAAAATAGTACATCCCTCGTCTGTGCACGGATCAATACCTAAAGAAGGACCTCGAAAGAACATCATTTCCTTTGTTTTACATCACGCTCACAGATAATATTGGGCCGCATGACTTATCCTCAGCAACAAAGGATACCAGAGAGTAACACTTCCAAAGTCCAGGAAATGACTACAGATAAGTCATTGTTACAACCGGGACAATGGGTCTGGATATCTGCAAACGCCTGCCGGCTCTTCATAACCACCTTTCCACGCCAACACTGAAATCAGTTTCTCCGCCATGCGAAAGCCAGAGATCATTCCGTCCGCAGATCCCTCACTTCCCTCGGTAAATGCTCTCAGCACGACCAGGTTTCCTGGCAATATGCCCGCCATCGGATTCATCAGCATATACCAGCTTCAGCGGCGATCAGGGCCTTCGATCTCCACGTACACCGACATATATCCCTGAATCCATGGCGGTCACCTCATCCACACCCTATGATCACACAAAAGCTCTGGATGAGAACTCATCCATACATTCCGACAATACCCGCATGTCTCTGCCACCTACTCCAGATCAACCCTTAGCATGGATCTGGGTCTGCCACCTCTGCCATTCGCGGTACCCACTCGGCGTCACCCGTCGCTGTCTCGTTGATGGACACTATTACTGTTCCGGCGAGGCGAACCAGCCGAATCTGCGTAAGAAAAAGAAAAGGCAAAGCTGCACCAGTGAATTCGACTATGTCGCGTGGCGGGAATGGGGCGAGTGGAAGAAGAAGGCGGCGAAGATCCTCAAGAGTTCTCGACTGGGCCGCGGCGGTGGGAGTGGAAGTGGGTGTGAAAACTGCGTGTATCCCAGCCAATGTCGATACCCTCCCGAAGTCAAGGATCAAGTGGAGAAACCAGCTCAGCCAAAGACCACGGCTGGAACAACTGTCACCATCTCATCTAGTCCAGAAGTAACGCCCCCGACCACGATTCAAGCAACGCCGCAACGAGAAAAGAATGAAGAGAAGGTATTTCAGTCCACATCAAACGAGAATGTCAGCTTCGACCAGATCCTACACGGGATATTTACCGACGAAAAGACCGCCATGAAGATCGATTCAGCGAAGAAAGAAGCCATCATCAAAAAGAAAGGTAATGGCAGTGGAAAGCGCAAGAATCCCCAGCATCAACTCGCGTATGAAGAGGAAATGGCGAACGAGGCGGCCAGGCTCAAGGAGTTGGTGGGTGTGGAGTTGTGGAATAATCTTGAGGATATAGACCTGGGCAATTTGAAGAGGAAGGTCGATTGATTGAACCTCGTCTGGTGAGGATTTTGGCTCGGTCTGCATACAGGCCTGGGATTTGGTGTCATTTGAAGTCATAGGAAAACAGGTATTCAGTTGTATATTAGCGCCGTTGCGGTTTCACAGCGGACGTGGGATGTTCGATGACAAAAATTGATCAGCCGCATTCCCTCACATGCCTTATCCTGTGAACGAGTCACCTTCCTGCCTACACAAGCCTATTTCCCCACCAATTGACCCACGTATTCCGCAATCGCCAGCATCTTCTCCTCAGTATACCGTCTCCCTACAATCTGCAGACTCACATGTGCACCATCGTACAACTCGGCATCATAGTCGTCGAAGACCTTCTTGTCCTGCTCGTTTAGTGGCTTGAAGTTCTCAGCATACACGTCTTTGGTCTTGTCCGCCGTTGTCACGGGCACTACAACACTGGTGTAATCCAGGCCGTTGACCCACACGCTATAGCCGTAGTAATTATATTTCTCCCGGCGGGCCGCTGGATAAGGCGCGAGGGCACCGATGATGCCGTCAACGGGGCGGTCGGTTCCGGTCACTTGGGCCGTGCTGTTCCAGTAGTCAAGGTATTCCTTTTGGAATTTCCGCTTCGCGACGTTGTTGGCGGCGATGGCGGACGCCGTGAACTCTTCCCGTGCGTTGGGCCCGTAGACGCCGCTGATTTGTACGGCCACATCTTCCCCGGATAGCCCGAAGGCCGAGTGCACGTCTTTGCCGCCGTCGTACATCCAGGTTTTGAAGGAGATAGCCAGAAGGCGTTCGTGGGATGGAGGCTTCCACTCGATGATCTTGTGGCCGGCTTTCGAGAGCAAGGAGGCCACCATTTCGATGGCGCGCGACACGGGTGGTTGCGGCGTGACAATGCCGTCGGACTTCATCACGCCGAAGCTCAACTGGCCGGTAGAAGAGGATCCGGTGGACTTGACAATGTCTAAGATTGCTTGCTCTTGGCTGTCTCGCCATGGGAGGTCGACGACGAGCGGGTCGTGTAGCCAGGGCTCTTGTGAAAGAACCGCCTTTGTTAGGAGTTTGACTGAGCGAGCCGTCGTGGCGAGAGGACCAACAACGGAGAGGATGCTGTTCTGGCCATCCATGCTATTCGCCATACCTTCATATGGCAATCTTCCAGATGTTGGGCGGATGCCGTACAGGCCATTGAACGCTGCAGGAATGCGAATTGACCCGCCAATGTCGGTACCGAATCCTCCTGGAGACCCTCTCAATCCGATCAGCGCCCCTTCTCCACCAGAACTTCCTCCAGATGTCAAGTGTCGATTCTTGGGGTTCCACGTATACCCAATGATGTTGTTGACTGTCTCACCACTCATCAAGGTATGCGGAACACTGGTCTTACAGTAGAGTACCGCACCCAATGCCCTTAATTCTCTGACCATTTCGCTCTCAAACTTGCCTTTGCGTGGGTCGTCCGCAACACCTTCAAAGGTGCCAATCCAACCAACATATCCCATGGTAGTCTCAACGTTCTCAACATGGAACTGATCTTTGAGCGATACAGGTACTCCATGTAGCGGACCGATTGTTTTCTTGTGCTCGGCGAAGTACTCGTCAAGTTTCTTCGCCGATGCTAGTGCTGCATCGAAGAAGGTCTCATGGAGACAGTTGAGTATCTGATGGGCTAATGAGGCTCGATGACAAAACGCTTCGGTGACGGCAACAGCAGTCCATGCTCCGGCGGCCACCTTCTCAGCAATGCCAAACGAGTCTGTTTCGGTGATCTCAACTTCTTCTGAGCTCAGGAATTGTTGGATGTATGCGCCTGTGACATCCTTTTGCTCCTCTACTGAAGGGATTGATTTCAGAAGCCACTTCTCTTGGATGGAAGCCAGTATGGCTTCGCGTTTCGCCTTTGCTCGAGACTGCCAGTCCGTTGCCATTTTCCTGCCGTGCACTTGTGATACTGGTACTCGATCTGGTAATCGATCGGGACGGAGAGCAAGAAAGACACGGATGTCAGTCGTGATATCTTTGCGGAGAAATATCGACTACAGACTTGGAGACCTGTTGGAGAGCGCACATCTCCAGGAGCGTCACCTATCTTCGGAGCTGCCTTTTTTGACATAGTTTGGCAACTGGCCGAGGCCGGCTCAATGGGTTCACCTATCTCCATTCGAATGACGGTCTCCTTCAGATGGGATCATGATTTGTCATTTGTCGTACGTTGAGATTAATTCGTTTGTTGTTCATCCACCCCCGCCAAGCCTGATATTGACTGCTGGGGGAATTTCCGGGCCAATCTTGTAACCAAAAAGGACAGGTGCCAGAAAGAATCTTTGGAACAGCATGCCAGGCGTATCTTGACTCACCTGACATAAGGAGTACATCTCCAGACTTCAACCTGATAGTGCATGTATGACTTCCATCATCGTTTCCTGCGATAAATAACGCATCGCAGCCGATGCTTACACTTATCAGACTGTTTGTGCAGTCCTCACTTACATCGCGATGTACACTGAGTGTGTCTCCAGGACTATAGAAGTTGACTATTGCAGCTTCTGGACTGACATCAGGAAATAACCCATTCATCAGAGACGCTATGTCCACAGGGAATGCCGGCGGGGTTTCAGAAGGGTAGACTTTATGCGTCCAGTCGTATTGCCCTCCCAGAGTGACCCAACGTAACTTACTGTCGAGCATTTGTCTCAATGTCAGGGGCTTGTGAATCATGGGATCTTTAGGAAAGAGCACAGAATCTTGCGCCTGACTGAAGAACGAGACGGGAGGGTCTCGATACCCGCTTGGAATGATATGATGAAGGTCAAAGTTGGTCTTATGAGCAGGATTCGATAGATCACGATGAAGAAGCTTTTCCAACAAGGCGATTTGAACAGGTGGTGGAAGAAGTGATGGGAATAAGTAGAGGCCTTCAGTGGTCAGATAGAGGACATACACGACCAAAGGGCGCTCATACCAGGCATACAAGAAACCTCAAAAGCAGCCTTTGGAAGTTGCTGAACGCTAGCATGGTGTGAATACAAGTCCACGGGAATAGATGCGCAGAACCTCTGCATTATCTGTTCATAGTTCACGGGTACATTGTCAACCGTTTTGACACGTGTAGCTGACAGATCTACCTGAGCGTTCCCCAGAAAGACGTCAGATACTAGATGTTTAGAGCTATGCTCAAGGTCAAGATCTGAAGCCTTTCGCCAAAATTTGAAGAGTCTTTTCATAGACTCAGGAGGCTTTGCATGAGGATCAAGTTCCTTCTTCAGAGTTTTTGCATCTTCCAGAGAAGACATGTTCTGTTGGCTTAGGTATCAGGTCAAGGTACGCCACCGGAGGCGTATAGAGAGATGATGTTTCGCTTCGAAACCCTCTTGCGACCTTATTGCAAGGTTTGAAAACAAGTTGCTGAACACGTCATATTCCAAGAAGGTGAGAAGAAAATTGAAACTTGACGCGACTGGTATTGTCAAAAGCGGCACGAAACTCGACGCGTAGATGGGCACCGATTTAGTCAGTAAATCTCGCCATTTTGTGCTGCAAAGCACAGCCTTCCAGGTTGAGCTTGAAGCTTATTGAGTTCAAGAAGCGATCGACATCGCTGCTTGTCGCCAGATCCGATCGATAATCATGCATGGCCTCTAGGCGTTCATACAACAATGATGGAGAGGATTTCGCAATCGGTCCTTGGTTACTATCATCGTAAGTCACAAATCCATCCGTCGGAACTTCTGCCCATTCGCAGTGACTCGTCAGCGTTTCTACGACGCGTAACAAAGGCGCCCGATCAGGCGTTGGGGGCTTGGCTTAGGCGCGGGGGGAGAACCATTTGGCCCCTGTGACCCCGTCACTGCCGCGCGGGACGCCTGCAGTGGTCCGCGAAGCCCCTCTAAACTCCAGGCACCCTTCATGCGCCGAGGGCGTCCACTTGGGTCCTTACGAGGACCACGCGAGGCTGTGTCTGCAACAGGACTCTTCGCGCAGTCGTTTCCCGAATCACCATTGAATCACGTTGCCTTATGCACTCGACGCACTCGACTCCTCAGATTCGTGGCTGTGTAAGACTGGGACAGACTCCAATTCAGAAGCAGGCCTTATTGGATTTGTTTTATGTCTTTCGCTTCTTCATATCAGACTTGTTGTCTCCATGAACTGGTATCTTGACCAGGCACAGGACCCATAACCCCATATCACGATGCTTGACGAAAACCTCCCCAGTAGGTGATCCCTTCGAGTTCACTTGACACTAATTGACTGACTCGGCCAGCTTTCGTTCTCAAACCCTCCAAGGACAAACCCAAGCAGTTATCCACCTTCCTCTACTCTCAGTATGGTTCAGAGTTCGAACCTTCGTACACTCTCCGTCATCTAGATCCTGAACAACATGCCTCCAAAAACCGATATGCTGCCGCCCTCTATGACGCTTTCAGTACTGAAGTCCTCTTCGCTGAGGTTCTACTCATACCAGAATGGACTCAACCTCCCTCTCTTTCCGAACAAGCCAGAGCCAACGGTACCGTACCTCCTCCTCCCGAACCTATTCTCCCTTCCCAATTCTCAATTCAACTCTACAATCCCGACCAACAAATCACCGTAAGACACAAGCCCGCGGGTTTCACCTCTGCAGCATCATGGGAGTTCGAAATGCCACAGCAGACTTTCCGGGCCCCATCGGCTTCCGCTCTCGACCGAAGTCAGCACGATCCTACCGCTTCAGAAGTTACCCCCAAAATAGGATTCAGATGGAAGAAGGATGGGAAATTCTCCAAGGATCTCGCCTGTTTTCTCTCCGGGAAGAGTACTGATATTGATGGTAAAACGAAGCACAAAGAACCCGATATTACTGTCTCCATCTTGAAAGGCTTGAAGGAGCTCACGCTGTATGAACCCAATCTACAAAGGGTGGACATCGAGGACACAAAAGGATTCGAGGTTGTCTTACTGCTGAGTGCCATGGTTATTCGAGATGTATACTTTGGCTCGCTCAAGGAGACTTTCAACCTCACCACAACCGGGCGGAGATCGAACCCAGCCAGCCCTACATCAGGGCCTGCCATTCTAACCGACTCATCTCGGCCCTTGCCGGGTTCTCCCCCATCAAATAGCATGGCTCGTAACCCTCGGGTCCCTCCAACTGATCCTCGGAGTCAGTGGGAAATTGATGCCGAGACTGCTCGGTTGAAGAGACAAGCAGAAGAGGAGGAACGCTTACTGAGACGAAGAGAAGAGGAAGAAGAGCGCAAGACAAAGAAACTGCTCGCTGCCGAAGAACAAGAACAGCAGAGACGGCGACGAGCCCAGATTGATGCAGAGACGGAGCGACTGAGGATGCTCTATGGCCAGGAAGACGCTTCTGCTCGCCCTGCCATTCCCCCTCGAGTTCCTCGGGACCCTAGACAGCAAAGACATCATTCAGACTCCAGACAATCTGCTTATCAGCAATCACAACAGGTACTCAGCCCTCAAGCTTCGTTTCCCAATTCTTGGGGTGGGCCTTCTGGACCCCCTGGACCATACATGTCGGGCGCCGCGTCTCAGTCCAGTTTCCTCAGTCCCCATCCTCAACAACAGGCATTGAAGCAAAAGTCGAGCATTTTCAATTTTCGACGCAGAAGTGACCACGATGCAAACAAACTTCAACGAAAGAAAAGTGCCGTGTTTTGAGCCAACCGAGCTTCCTATTTCGGTCGTGGGGACCCTGCATGGTTTGATCGTCGGTCATACTCCGACATCACCATGTCATCATTCCCACGAAATAGCCTGTTGGTTATTTTATCCTTCCACCAAATCAATATTTGTACAGACTTGAAATATTCTTCAAATCTTTCGCAGATACCAATATTCATCATGGCATCCGCTATCGGCAAACGCATTGTCTTCACCGGTGGCTCTGGCAAGGCCGGACGACACTGCATTCCCTACCTGTTGGAGAAGGGACATCAGGTCCTCAATTTAGATCTGATCGACTTCCCTAAGGACCATATTCCAGAAGGAAAGACGGTTTACACCATGAAAACAGACTTGACAGATGGCGCCCAAACATTCAATGCCCTGTCGTCGTTGTTCTCTATGGACGAATACGCCCTTCCTAAACACCCCGGGCCACCAGATGCAGTAATTCATTTCGCTGCATACGCACGTAACATGATCGTGCCAGACAGTGAGACCTTCCGTGGCAACGTGATGAGCACCTACAATGTGATCGAATCTGCGTGCAAGCTGGGCGTGAAGAAGATCGTCATCGCCAGCAGCGAAACCACCTACGGAGTCTGTTTCAGCCAAGGGGACGATGACTACCACTCCTTCCCACTCGACGAAGATACCTACGACCGCAACCCGATGGATACGTACGCATGCAGCAAGCTCGCCGGTGAACGCATTGGGCGCACCTTCGCCCGCCGCTTCGGAGTGGACATCTACGCTCTCATCATCGGCAACGTTATCGAGCCGCACGAGTACGAGAGAGATTTCCCACGGCACGTTGGACAGCCTGAGACCCGAAAGCGCAATGCATGGAGCTACATCGACGCACGCGACCTGGGTCAGATTTGCGATCTGTGCGTCGCAAAGAATGGCTTGGGGTTTCAGGCATTTAACGCCACGAACGATACGATCACCACCAGTATCCCGACAGAGGAATTTCTCAAGACGACATGTCCCGACACACCAATCACAAGAAAACTCGAAGAATGGGAAGCTCCGCTGTCGAACAAGAAGATCCGAGATGTGCTTGGGTATAAGGACGTGCATGACTGGAGAAAGTACTATAAGCACCAGGGTTAAGTTTAGCCTCGTGGATGACGATGTATAGACCCGAATGAACCAGAACGTTCGCCTATAGTGTAAATATACAGTGATATCTATCAATCACATATCATATTTTAGGCTCGCTTTTTGATTTTTATCTACTCCTCATGTCCTCAAGCTCACCCTAGCCTCACGAACCCACAGTGATCAATCCAAGCGTAACGCCTCCTCATCCAGGACCCCAAACAACTCCTCCACATCAGCGAGCACCCGTTGGATCCCCAGACTCAACTGCCCCGTAACAAGGGCATAAGTATACAGCAGACTATAATCCTCGTCAGTAGTCTTCTGCTCGGCTGCATCACTGCGCCTGTACGCAAAGACCTTGGCCAGCAATCTGTCGCGGGTATGTTCGATATTCGGCAACGCGTCACCGGAAATGGCGTACTCGAGCTTCATGGACGAGGCGAGCACATTGAAGAGATGGCTGATGCGGCCGCAGAGCTGGGCACGCTCCTGGGCGGTGGCACGCAAGAGGTGTTCTTCGCCCGGGGTGGCGCGCGGATCGACGAGGATCACCTCGTTCATGGCGTGGAAGGCGCCCAGGAGCTCCTCGGTCGAGCGCAGGATGCGCGCGTACGTGGCGTGGGGAAACGGCCGGCGCAGTTCGAACTCGGATTTCGACGCGTCCGCCAGCCCTTGCAGCGACGAGAGGAAGCGCTGCAGAGAGAATTCCTCGCGCAGGTGCATGTATCGGTGTGTAGAGATCTCGCCGGTGAGTGTCGACAAGGGGTCGCGCTTCCAGATGAGTCCCATGCGCAGCCAGAGCAGCGAGATGCCATCTTTCAGTTTCTGGCGCGCCGAGCTGGGCCACACGACTCGCGTGATGATCAGGCCCCACAGACAGCCCGATATCACGGCGGCGACCCGGTGTCCGGCGATAGAAAATATCAGAGGGTTGTTCTTGGAGTCTTCTTCATCGCCGTCGTCATCGTCGTCGAGCGCGCTGATGCTGTAGGCGTATAACGCGCTCAAGTTGTAGGTGAGCATGATGAAGCGGCCCATGGGCCCTTTGCCCTTCCCGATGATGATGTATGCCGTCCAGTATGCCATGCAGAAGCCAAAGAACGCCATGGCGAACGGGTCACCCTGGGATATCTCCCATGCAGCGATGGCGAGTACAGCGCCTAGACATGTTCCGAGGATGCGAGAATAGCCAGTGGTATTTGACGCTCCTATCGTCATGCTGCACACCAACATGTACGTCACTAAACCCCATTCTCCACGCCAGTGGGAGTAGAATGGCCGGGTGGCAGGTATGAAGCTTATCGAGGCATATAGCATGGCTCCCAGTCCGACTTTGATTGCGAATTTGATATCGTCCCGGCGGAAGAAGAAGGCCGCGTCGTAGAAAATTTGAAACAACTTTTGCTTGAATCTGGATCGCTCAGGCCATACCGGTTGGGCGTACATGTTGGGGACCTTGAGCGAAGCGGCGTTGATCTGAAGATTGAGGTCATTGGCCCTGTCAAGTATCTCGACAAAGTCGGGATCGAGGCCATCGAGATGTGACACTTCATGGGCGGGTTGCCAAAACTTCAACCAGGTCCAAGTTCTTCCCACGGGATTCTCATCGACTTCAAGCTGCAGTTCGTCCAGTATCAGCAAATAGTCCCTGATGGACTCGGCGACTTGAACAAGAGAGAAGGAGAAATGGCCGCAACAGGCCGCAGCATCTTCCCAGTCGGCTTGTATGGGAAGCGGGCGGGCTCTGTCCATATCCTTCTGTCCATAGATGATGCCAAGGGACTCTTTCCGAGTACTCTTGTACAGATCCAGTGCACGATCGAGGCTGACCTTGAACTTTGGGTTCGTCACCACTGCATAGTGGTTGGAGGCGTCAAAAGGGAAATCGTCTAAAATCTCCTTCAGTGTAAATGCAAGAGATCTCATGGACGGCCCAAGATTTTGGATAAAAAGCTCAAATATCTGGGCAGGGGTACGGTAAGGCTTTTGGTCATGAGGAGGACGCTCTGCAGGAATTTCATCGACGGGCGTATTGAGGTCAAAGTAGTCCAGCACACTCTGGTCATTGACGTTGCTTCCTGCGGTGGAGAAGGTATTGAAGACAGCAGGGGAATAGCCGGCCATATTGGCCGACCGCGTCCCGGTACCGAAAGGGGGCTCCTTGACAACAACGAACTGCATGGCCGCCGCACTCCTCAAGCCTCCAATACTTTGCGAGACTCTTTGAATGCAATGTGCCAGCTTTGTCTCGATCAATGCTTGCCGTTCAGTTCCAAGTAAGTAATGTTCGTACTTTGACTCTTTCAAGCCCTGACCAAAGGTCGCGGAGAGCTTCTTGTGGCGATCAGTCACGCTGGAGAGGACGCTGTCCTCAAGTTCGGATTCGTCCCCGGACAGAAAACTACTAGTAATCAAGGCCAGCATGTCAGATAGCGCGTCCGTAGAGTCGAGGAGATTCTTGCGGAGCTTGGCACGGGCGGAGATAGGAAAGACCAGGAATGAGACCAGCATTGTGGCAATGACACCGCTGACGACCATCTTGAGAATCTGCAAGATCTTCTCTACCGAGTAGTCGCCTGCCTGCACGGCGCCTTCTTTGGTAAGGATGGTGACCAGAGCCAGCGAGGCGAGTGAACAACCAATATTCACCAGCGGATCGTTCATTTTCAGTTTGACCCAACCGACCAGTCCGAGCGCGCCTCCAACAAAGACAATCAACACTATTGCATGGCCGACTTTGATGAGATGGACCGTGTCAGCGAAGAAGGCAGAGACAGTCATGCTCAACAGCGAAACCACGGCCGTGTACAGAAAGGCCGTGCTGGCTATGAGCAAAGCATCCATCATGCTCCCGAGAGATCTTGCAGGATGAAAGTAAACAGTGATAGTAGCCACCATATGTTTCGAGTCTTGTTTCCCCAGTAGTTGACTGATGGGAGGGACGAAAGTCGCCAGACTCCCCAAGAGATATGCAACTGCGCATTTGAAGATTGCTTTTCCAGTGTCTGAGAGTATGAATTTCCTCGTCTTGGTCGCATAGTCTCGGGTCTGATCTATCCACCTGCTCGACCGGGACCGCGGGTGTGATGCTTCCCCATCGTATCTTGCATGGTATGAAAGTAGAGGGGTGGTATCATCCGCATGGTCAACATGGGATTCTTCACCATGGGCTCCGTCGACATCGTGGGTGTGCAGGGTGAAGGTTCTATTCAACCTAGCTCCGGTGGATGGGTCGATATAGGATGAGAATCGTAGCTTCGTATTGCTCGTGTTAGTAAACGAGATCTATGGAAAATTAGAACTGTCTCTTACACTGGCTCTAGGATCGATCGCATCAGCTCGATGTTCGGTCGAGGCCATGCTGACACGAGGGAGAAGACTCCTGCATGAATTGCAGACTTCTCATACGTGGCCTATCGGTGAAGGAGCACATGTTTTGCAGTTCACAACCATCATGTAGTGAGACAAGGCCAACTCAACGAAATATAGTGTGTTGTTGATGAAGCTGTCAGTGCCAGATGCAGTCAAATAAACAAAGTTGCTTATCGTCGCTTGTCACCTCGGTAGAAAGGCCCCCGAGATGCGGCCCCATACCTTTTTCCGCTGGCATTCTATATCTTTCATGCTGCATCACGACATTGAGCAATGTTACGAAACGAATCTCAAGTCATTTTGATCGTATCAATATTCAAGCGCGTCGATCCCGCGAATTAGGGCATGGAGAACGACAGGTAGGAGGTGTAGTAAGTCTGATTAGGGAGTTCGTAGGGGTATGAAAAGCTGGCATCGAGATCAAAAGAACCTGTTGAATATATACTGTACCACGTCTTCGCATCATAACATATTTCATCCTTCAGCGCCAACCTTCGTCAGTGCTCATGACCATGACAGACCATTTCCACCACTCGGATCCGCATTTGCAGCCGCATTCGAATCCCAACCCCAACCCTCCGCCGCTTCGACCCAACTATACCAGTTGACATTGCCGCTCAAATCCATCTCGATGTCAGTGTTTACTTCAGTTCCAGAGAAGGGGTCGACTGTCGGATCGGGTTCCGGGGTGTCCCACAGCCAAGCTGCTGGGCCCGGCCCGTCCAGGGGCAGCACGTTCAGCCACTCTGAAGATACTGCTGGGAACGGGTTGTTTGACGGTCCAGGTCGTGCCTGTTCCCAGGACGTAGGTTGATTGAGCGCGTGTATTGAGTGTGTTGCTTCCAGGTGTCTAGGATGGCTGGTGGCCTGGATTTGTCTTCTTGCTTGCTCGTCTGATGTAGAATACATTGGATCGAAATTCGTGGCAGATGCGAAATATCCTGGTTCGGAAGTTGTGAGGTGGCCCTCGCCTGACGGATGAGTGCAATCTGCGCATGTTGACGAGTCGCGAGCGACGGCATGAGAGGCTGACTGCTTCGGTACAGCTACCAATTGACGCCAGTGTTCCCTGAAATGTTCAGGTGTGGACACGGATGGCAACACCCCGGAACTCGTCGGCACTGGCATATTTCTATCTGCTTGCTCCAAGCCAGCAGCTGCATCAGGGTCTGACTTTAGTCGATGAAGCTCAGCCACACGATGCTTGCGGACTGTAGCCATCAACCTGCGAAATGGTACCCAAATGCGTAGCTTTTTGTTCGACACGGTCTTAATTGGCAGTAGCCAATTGCTATGGAGGGCCACCCATCCCCGTTCAATGGTGGGCGACCACGGGCGGCGAGAGAGCTCGATCATGAGATACACAATGGCATACCAGTGGGAGTAGATTTGGAATATCCAGCGCCATTTCCGACATCGTTCTTCCGAATTTAGGGCGTGATTGTACTCAATGATTTCTAAGGCCGATATCATGAGATTGGTCCTGAGCTCATCTGAAAAGGTTTCGCTTTGGTCGGAGAAGAGGATGGGGAGAAATGACATCAGTCTCAATTTGGCCATGACGAGTCGCGCGATGGTCACCGAGACCCAATAGTTAATGTCGCCAGCCTCCTCGCTATGACGAAGGTAGCCTTCCTCGAATGTCCGATAGATTCCATTGACCAGGTGGTTTTGCCGTTCTAAGCCAGCTGCGTCTGTGCTGACGGGGGATGCGAGGAGTTGCTTCGTCACATCGCATAGGCCAGCACAGATGTAGGCAAAGGTCATGTCTGTCACACCCTCGCGTGCTACTGGCATATCTTTGGTATCGACATCGATATCTGCGTCGTTGATGTTGAGAGGAAACTTTGTATCAAATGTGCCAATCTTGATGGCCAAATCGGTTCCCTGGTCTTCAGAGGCTTTCAAGTCGAGATTGCATACAGCCCACCAGACCCTTCGCCGGATCTCGATCTCAAAAGGTGTCAAACCTTCCAGATTGGTCCCATCCCGCTGCAGGCCAAGGAATTGGGACATCCTGATCACGATTCCAGCCATCATCCAACAATACTTCGGACTGTCGTATCGACCGACGAGGCAGAGAAAGACAGAAAGGGCCTGAACGATGGTGAGTTCCGGGTTGTTGAGGAAATCCGCCTTTGCAAGTGCATACTCTAGACCAATACGATACTTGAGATTGAGGTCCGATTTGGATTGTCCGAAGTTGGTCACTACCTGTCAGAAATGATTAGCATAGTAAACGAGTTACACGTCTTGCCGTATGAAAGCTGGGATGGCCAAGGTTGAACTCACATCGTCTTCTTCCATAGCGGTTACAGTAGCGTAGTAAATAGAGAACATCAGGGCTTGGTTGGCAGGAGTCAAGCGGGTGAGGTCGCCGTTGGGTATTTCTCTGACCATCTTCCGGACTGTGGGGACGTGTACGATTTGTAGCATAAAATTGACATTCTCGGCGAATGTGTCTAAGAGGAACGGTATCTGGGAAGGCATCGGGTGGAATTCGCGTAGGTCATGTGTCGGAGTACTCAGGTTGTGTCGGAACAAGAACGCATGACGCTCTAATGGCGTCCTTTCCAGTTCGCGCGTGGCAGCAGGTGATTGACCAGCCGAAATTTCATCTTCTGAACTACCGGAACCCTCTCCAGCCAAATCGACCGAACTTTCCCTCAGGCCGTTCAACTGCAATGACCGCGTGAGCTATCGTATGTAGACCATAGGGGAGGGAACACAAAGGGGTACTAACCTCATCATTGACTCTAGACCAGAAGCCGCTGCTCACATAGTGATTGCGATTCGAATCCTGAAGGACAAGCCGGCCAAACTGCAACTGAGAGTCGTCAGCACTGTGAGATTGTAGCAGTCTGCCAACATGGCTTGTATTTGTGCTGCTGGCCTCATCAGATCTTGCAGGAGAGTTGAGTTCAGACGACTCGGTCCGTTCAGCAGAGGCAAAAGCAGACTGTGCCTGCTCGAGCTGACCACTCAATTCTTTGACGAGACCTTCAAGGCTGCGCAATCTTTGGGTGAGCTCACGGAAGGCCGGTTGGGCATCCATGGATGGCCGAGCATTTGAGCCAGATCCCTGGGCTTGGCTTGGGTGGTGGCTTAAGTTATTCGTGAGACGATCTAAGCGGCGGGTCCATCTCGGTGGACGGTTGTTTGATGGAAAGACACAAGGGGTATTTGCTCGACGACAGTTCGAGCATGGTGATTGTTTGTCACAGCGCACCTTGCGACTACGACATATAATGCAACTCCTGGGCTTGGTGGCAACCATGTTTGCATCATGGGGCAACGGAGCCTCGTCGGAGGGGCTCATTCTCGCGGATTTTTCGGGCACGGTGGCAGTGGCAGTGGCTGATGCCGGTGTGCTCGTCTCCGAGAGCTGTGACATGACGACGCAGGTACAACAGATACGACTGTTCAAGGTGACTAGTTTTCATGATATCGCCTCCAATCATGGGGACACTGGTCATCACTCGTATTTCTCTGGGCAAGTCGATGAGGTTCCCAGGTGTCGGTCTGAACAGGCGCCATCTTCGGTGCGCGCTAACCCGACCTGCTCTGGCCGCTGGATTTGCACAGGGGTTGAATGCTTTACATAAGCATCCGGAGCATGCTCAGTGCGGGCCAAATACAGCATAGGCTATAGAAGTAGACTGAAATAGGTGCCTGGTACGAGAGACTTTGGCTAAAACCTCGCTTGGCCCCAATCAAACGCGAGATGTGGAGGCCGAGATGTGCGCGAGAGCGAGGCGAGAATGCACGAACTCAGGCCGACCGTATGGCCATCGCAGTCGTGAGAATTACCATATAATGCAACAACAGCTAGATAGAACCATATCTACCATCTCCGCCTAACAACCTCCTTCTCAATTCAAAACTTGATCCAGTTTAATTGTCGAAAACGCCAAAACTCCAGCCTTCTTTCTGGCTATCAGACAGCCAACGGATCCGAAATCCTCCAAATTCCCCACCACAATGGATCCAGGATGTGAAGAATGCATCAAGGTGAGATAACTAGTTGTTTCAAAATCGGGAATAATGTCCACTAACTTTTCTTTGAGGGCACGGTTCATAAAGGCCTACCCAAGGGCAAGGAGGAAGTGATCCACGGCCTGAATACTTATGTGATCGGAAACCGAGTCAATCCAAGAGGCATCATAGTCATCTACTCCGACATCTTTGGCCTGGCGTTGCCCAACAACAAGCTCATCGCTGATGGGTATGCGAAAAGTGGGGAGTGGCTAGTCTACTTACCAGATTTCTTCAAGGGCGACCCTATGACGCTCAAATTTGCCGACGTGGCGATTCCAGTCGATGCAGGCAAGCAGTCAACCTTTGCAAAGTACACCGGGCTTTTGGCGTCGGCACCATCTTTGGTCATGTGGATGACAAGGCACAAACAGGGACCAACGAACAAAATCTGCATGGATTTTCTGGGGGAGCTGAGAAGAGCAACTCCGAGGAACCAGAAAATTGGAATCACTGGAATGTGTTGGGGTGGAAAATATGCGATTAGAGCCGCACTTGAGAGCAACATGATTGAGCTTGACGGGAAGAAGGTGCCACTTGTGGATGCGGTGGTCGCTCTGCACCCAAGTAACCTGGTTCTTGAAGAGGACTTCACTCCTGTTGTTGTTCCAATTACCGTCGGTTGGGGTTTGCAAGACGAGGGCGTCAAGATTGCCCTGAAAGGTCAGGTTGAAGAAATCCATGAGAGAGAAAGAAAGGCTGGAAAACAGTTGCCGGAAATCGTGCACCAAGTTTATAAGCCTGGACGACATGGGTTCTCGGTGAGAGGCAATCCGGACGATCCTCAGGAAAGAGCCTGCCTGGAAGATTCGGAGAAACAAGCCTTGGATTGGTTTCAGCGGTGGCTTTAAGGCAAGAATCGAAAATTGAGAAGACGATCCAGAATTTGAAGTGCTCAGCGTTGTGTTCCTCAATACACTGCAGGTTAGAAATAGCAGTCTGGGGGACAGGGATTTCGGCATTCATTTAAGCTCTCCTTGTTAAGCAAGATCCCAGCACTTTCCGGATGTCGACAATACAAATGGAGGAAAGTGGGCGAGTTGCCGGCCCTACGAATGTCGAGGTTTAGGCAGTGTCGAACACGTAGTTTCGTGATACCCCAGGAGGAAGTATTTATCTCAGACATGATAGGTGCGTATGATCAAGATATCGGGCTTCTTGCGGATACGAGGTACAGTTGCAAGCTCAAGGCGAAGAGATTGGGACACTCTGTTGCTATGATCAAGACACGACCTCGCTACGTCACCCTGAAGCCTTGGACGCGTGCTTGGTAATCTCTTAGCTAATGAGGTAATCACCGATTAATATCCATCCTGATATCTCAGAGCCCATCACCCTCTTTCCAAATGAAGTAATTTTGAACTTCCCCAATACTGACAGTTTCGGACTGCATATCAAACTCTGTCGTCGTAGTCATCAGTTGCCTGATGGCTTGATGACTTTCATGATTAGGCTTCCCCACGGTCGCTTTTTGGAGTTACGGACTGCTGCATCGACACGATGAACGCGGATATGGACCACGGGCACTGCCCGTTAGATAGGGATTCTTTGTGAACCTTGAGTCCGAGCATTTGATTGATGCGCGGTGATTATCAATCGAGAGTTGAAATGCTTCCATATTTGACGACAACCAGGACTGAGCGTCAGAGACTTTCGACGGCAGGTATAAAGGTAGGCAGGAGTCTCTTCAAGCAGTCATCTCTTTCTGTAGTCGGCTATTCAACAAGATCCCTTAAAATCAACATCACCCAGGAAAATCACCAAGATGGGCATCGACTTCACAGTGTTCAAGGGCTCCAAGTCTGGAGAAATCGTTGAAGCCAAAGGCCATCGCGACGTCGGACCAACGGAGGCACTAATCAAACTAAGTCACTGTGGTGTCTGTGGAACCGATGAGCACTACAAGCATGCTGATCAAGGTCTGGGACATGAAGGAGTCGGAGTCATCACCGAGATAGGGTCCCTAGTGCCTCAGGTGTCGGACCTAAAGGTGGGTGATCGAGTGGGGATGGGATGGATACAGAAGGTTTGCGGCTATTGCAAGCCTTGCTTGACAGGCATGTTGATCCAAGGTACTTCAGGCCTTGTTTGCTAAACAACGTGGCAGGGCAGCATTTCAAATGCGTCAACGTCGAACAATTCGGAACTGCCAATCGGGATGAAGGATGCTTTGGAACGGGAATCGCCTGGGATGTATCTGCTCTCTTCAAAATTCCCGATTCGGTGGGCTCAGAATATGCCGGCCCTTTGATGTGTGGAGGTGCAAGTAAGTTCTTAGGGCCCTTGAAAATTGTTTCTTCAGAGCGCTGACAGGGTGATTCCAAAAGCCGTATGGGGACCACTCTATGAACACAACTTCAAAGCAGGAGATCGAATCGGCATTGTTGGCATTGGTGGACTTGGCCACCTCGCCATTCAATTTGCGTCGAAAATGGGTTTTGAGGCTGTGGTCTTCTCAGGGACAGAAGCCAAGCGGGAAGAAGCCAAAGCTTTTGGAGCATCAGAGTTCTATGCCACCAAAGGAGTGACCAAGTTCGAGGGGATCAAGCCAGTGGATGCATTGTTGATCACCACCTCAGTACTGCCGGATCTTTCTTTGTAAGCACTCATCTTGAGCCTCCTGATCTGAACATCAACTGACGACAAGCAGGTATATTCCAGTTCTCGCACCCTTCGCCAAGATCTTCCCTCTGACAATCAGCTTCGATGCGATACCAGTTCCTGCATTGGCTTTTGTTTTGTACGGGTATCAGTTGATTGGATCGGGTGGTGCTCATCCAGCTTCAATCAAAGCGATGCTAGAGTTCGCTGGAAAGCATGATGTCAAACCGACGATTGAGAAGTTTCCAATGAGCAAGCAGGGCGTGGAAGATGCCATGCAGAAGCTGAGAGATGGCAAGGTCAGATATAGGGGTGTATTGGAAGTATAGGACTACCTCTGAACTCTAGAGAGCGGCGTCACTGGTAGGGCGCCAGGGCTTGTCATGGCTAGAAAACTTGACTTCTAGAGGACTCATGTCTCCCTTGGTAGATAGATCTACATCTCGCCGAGTGGACCTCATGTAGCTACGCCGGCCAGTAGGGCTAAAAATGTATTCATTTAATTCTATTACAAGCTGACACTGTTGCTAGAGCAACCTCGAGAATTACAGCGCCTCCCATTACGCTTTGATCGTATCTTCCTTTCCTACTCCTTGTAAGATTATGGCTTCTTTCGCTGCACTTCTGATCTTGAGATCGGCCTCGAATGGGTTCGTCTCTATCAACCGCACCAGCTCATAGTTCGATAGGTCGTATTTCATGCAACCTTGTCTATAAAACCACTGTTTTCTGGTTCGAAGGTCATCGGCAAAGTAGCCGAACACTGACACTCAAACAGGAAATGCAGGTGGTTCACGACAACGATTTATACTACAATTATGGTGTAGACTTGGCAGTAACGAAGTCGATGGCATTAGCTACAGTGATACTTCAGTCCTAAGACCTCTTTCGCAGGTCTTCGACCCAGTCTAGTATTGCCGAACAAGTCTTCTCAGCCTCGTCAATATAGACCATATGACCTACACTCGGGATAATCACGAGGCGGCTATCGCTAATCTTTCGAGCCACATCCTCGTTCACAGCCACGGGACTAGCCATGCTATTCTTCGGCGAGACAATGAGCGTGGGGACCTTGACCAGTTCGATAAGCGGGCGGACATCCACATCAGCAACAAAGTCACAATACTTGGCAACGGATTCGACATTGTGCTTCAAAAGCATTTGGTCGTACCATTTCAGATATTCTGGACCACTAAAGCGACCCATCTCGTTAGTCACTTTGTCTTGGTTCGTCCCGAGTCTCGAGACAGGACGGCTCTTCTGCCACTCAACTAAGCCGAGCTTCCTCATCGCTTCACCCTGACTTGAGTACGGCTCCGATACCATCTTGTGAAATTCTTCACTAAGGGATGAACCATTCTATTAGTATTTTGATGGGAGTTGGGGGTCAGTAAGACAGGGTAACCCTACCCAAGAACCACAGGTGAGGACATCAAAATCAAAGATTTCAGCTTGTCCGGGTGTTTTGCTGCAAATGCCAGGCTTATCATGCCAGCAGTGCTCTCACCTATCCAATGGACGGGCCGGCCAGCAACCTTGTCGACAAAATCAGCCATTTCGTCGATGAGTGTGTCGAGAGTGTAGGGATAACCGTTGCTGTCGCCACCAGAGGCCTTCCCGTGGCCTCGTAAATCCCTCCGGATAAATCGAACGTCTCTGCTCATTAGAGGCACCAGATGGTAGACGAATTCTGTGTGCCGAAGAATGCCAGGCTGAAAAACGACAATCTCGCTGGTGTCGCTTTTCCAAGGGTCAGTGAAGTCGTCGACTTCATAGTAATCGGTCTGACCGTTGAACAGATCTACAAATGGCATTATCAGAAGTACCAGTTAGACGTACAGTACGTGGCGCGCAGTTTAGGCGCCGTAGCGATCGGAGTGGGTTTTCTGCGGAGCTGAAAAATAAATATCGTCTTTGGATGCCGATATTGGAGTGAGAACCGCGGTCGAAACCTCAATCGAGAATGAATTGACGATGGAGGGATGGTGGCTAGACTCCAGTTCGCCTACAATATCTTCAGGAACATCCATGGCAACGATCGCAAAGTTGAGTGCGTGGATGAGGTTGACACGTTCCCTCAATGAATCCATTGGGGCTGTTGGAGTCGTTGCACAATGTTGGGGAATGCTCCCCACATCATGTCAAGCAGCACCCATCGGCAAGGCTTTGGATATCGAGGCGCAGGAGCACTTGACACAACAGGGATTTTAGTTATCTTGAGGCCAATCCTCGTCGACGCGGAAACAATGTTGCAGGCCTTCAATACGCACAATTGTATGCAATCTGTTGCTCAATTCAACATACTGATTGTACCGACCGCCAGGGTTGACATGCTCAATATCGACTGCATCATCATTTTCGATATTGTTTGCATCACCAAGCCGTAGACCAGGTGCGCTTGGAACCTCATCGTCGTCTCAGGGTCCTGACTCGTTCGCGTGACTTGAGGGTATTCTAATTTATTATGCCCCTCAAAGTTGTGATTGCTGTTATTTTTAGATTTGTGTTTCCAAGAGGTAGCTGTGCCCCTTACCAGCAATAAGAGTCATTCACCTACTGCTACGTGGTCCCAGGCACTCTCATGCCGAAGGGAAGGTGATCTCGACCGCAAGATGCTGCGAGGCAGACCGGGGAGGTAGCACCTTCTCCGGCACTGAAGCCAGGCTGCTTTTAGGTTAGTACGGAGTAGTACAGGTACTCGTACCGATCTGGGGAATGCTTCGCAGTAGATGTACGAAGACTCCGACACCCCCGACATCGACCACCAAAAGTTTTGCACTTTAGGCTCCGGCTAGGTGGCGCCCCTCCCCCCGAAATCGCAGCCTTCAGGCTGGTTTGCTGGGGAAGGAGCGACCTTAAGTTGCTACTGTAAATGCAACTAACTGCACCTGCACCTGCGTCCCCCCAATCCAAAAATTTGTTATCGCTTCGCCGTACTCCGACTTCTTCTTGCTGATGCCAGTGCTTTTGGTCGAAGAACTCTACTGTGAGTCACCATGCGAAATTAAAATATAGGCCAAATCTACAAGAGAGCATCAAGGTCTAGCACACCCTCACATACTCGCCGCCATCAACATGGCTGGCCGACGGAGTCTTCTGTCACTGGCGTCTCGCACCAGCTCCCCAGTTCCACGCCTGCAAACCGGCACCTCATTCCTCGACTCCATCACCCCAGCATCCCGTCGCTGCAAATCCACAAATTCCACCTCTGCTCTGGCCTACAAAGCCCTTCATCGACGGTCACCTCTCCCACTCCCCGTCTCCGACACTTCGCCCCAGTATGGCGCCGCTGCCGCTGTCTCCTCCATCCTCTACGAGACCCCTGTTGCTTCTCAAGCGCCTCCCAAAAAACACGTTCTGAACTGCTTGGTCCAGAACGAACCTGGTGTGCTATCGCGAGTATCAGGTATTCTCGCAGCTCGAGGTTTCAACATTGATTCTCTTGTCGTCTGCAACACCGAGGTATCCGACCTGTCTCGAATGACCATCGTTCTCCAAGGTCAGGACGGCGTCGTTGAGCAGGCCCGCCGACAACTCGAGGATTTGGTGCCTGTGTGGGCCGTTCTCGACTACACCTCAGCTGCTCTCGTGCAGCGCGAGTTGTTGCTGGCCAAGATCTCCATTTTGGGTCCCGAGGTCTACGAGGAGCTTATGGAGCATCATCGTGAAATCACAAGCCCCGAGAGCGAATACGGATCTGAGCAGGTTGATAACATTGAAGAGAACGCCGAGAAGAGACTCCAAGAGCTGGAAGAGGGCAAGAGCGAAGATCAGTCGTTCTTACAACGAGCTCGTGAGATGCTCGGTCAAGAGCCGAGCTACCATCCAAGTGGCCTTGCCGCTAGCCAGGCTCTTCGTCACAAGCACGAGCATCTTGAGGCTATTACCCATTTGACCCATCAATTCGGTGGTAAGGTTCTTGATATCAGCACCAATAACTGCATTGTCGAAGTGTAAGTCTCTCTACTGATGGCCCACCATCGCTGTGAACTTGCTAACCACATAATTAGATCCGCCAAGCCAAGTCGAATTGACTCTTTCGTCAAACTAATTGCACCATTCGGTATTCTCGAGTCGACCAGGACGGGTCTCATGGCCCTTCCCCGTTCGCCTCTGTATGGACCCGACGAGGATCTGCAACGGGATGCTGATGAGGTTGTTGATGCAAGCGCCCTCCCTCCCGGATAAATGATGCTCGAAATCTTCAAGGCAATCGAGTAGGCGCACTGGTGTGGGGGGGCTACGGCGTCGTCTTTCAGATGCGAGGCTACTTTTGGGACTGTACAGCAGATATTGGAGAACTCAGATCTGCAGTGGCCATGAGCATAGAGAGAAATGAATGCCCAATGCAGCAGTCAGAATAATAGGTAGATACTAAAAAGATTTATTGACCTTCTTTTCACGCCTCAACGAATTGTTGTCATGTCATACTCTGTTTCATCATACACTGACTGATGGTCAAATCTCTCTTGCTAACAACGTAATCAAGCGACATCACCGAAACCCATGATAGCTGTTTTGCGACGCCAAGGGATATTTATATGCAACGGGTCCCATGGGTAGATGATGACCTTGAGCCTGAGACGCCGATGCAGCCATATAAGATGGCGGCCCATGCGCAGCGGCCCGTTTATTTTTCATCATCCGATACGAAAACCACACTCCGATGCTGGTTGCGATGAAGCCGCAGACGCCGACAATGATGCCCACTAGTTCTGACGTCGACAGAAATGGCGTGGATTTGTCGTTGGATGAGGATGAAGATGAAGACGCCGTGGTTGATGATGGCGGCGGAGGGTTGGTTTGGTATGCGCCGTTCGATGTGGGAGATCCCGTTCCTGGTGAGCCCAATCCAATCGAACCCATTAGCCAGCTATTCTTTTCAATTCAATGCCAGCTACACACTGAAGGAAAGTCAAAGTCGGAGAGCTTCTGTCACATACCTGAGCTCCCGCCACCAGCACCACCCACAGAAGTCGTCTCGACCGCCCTCTCAAACCCGGCCGCCGTGCAATAGCTATCGTAGATGCTCACGGCACTGCTAACGTCGATCGTGTTCCGGGAACACAAGTCATACACACAGCTCTGGATCAGCGCGTCCGCGTCGTCCTGCAGATCCGCGCGGCAGAAACAGTCGTTCTCGATCGGGTCGACGGAACAATCCAGCTGGTTTGCCAGGCGGTCCGGGCCCCCGCCGCTCGAGAACCCGCTGTAAAAACATTGTGTCGCGCAGCTGCGTTGGGACTGGTACGCCGGGAGGTTGGTTAGCGTCACTGTTGCGGCGGAGATGATGGTTGTTAGTATTGCGAAGGTGAGGTGGAAGAATGGCTGCAGGTTGGGTGGCATGGTGATGATTTATATGTGTATGTGTATGTTGCCTTCTCTGAGGCGGTTGCAGAAGAGTCAATGGAGAAAAGGATGGGAGAGTGGCAATTGCACCTGATCATGGCGATGGCAATGTTATGGTAATGGCCCACAGGGGATGCTTTTCTCACTGTGACCATTGACCAGTGCAGTGAACATGGACCAGGGCTGCTCAGTGCATGATACTCTCCCCGACTTACCATGGTAGATGTCTTCAACTGATATTCAAGTTTCACTTGGCGCGAACTTGCACAACCAGTGGCTCATCCATTGGAGAAATGACTGGTTGCACCAGGGTTGTACCCTTCAAGGGTGAGGAAGCCAAAATGACGAGACGACCTTGATCCCTTGAAATGAACGTGGTATCCGGATACGAGGCTGTCATGATTGTAGGTGACCATGATATGCGCCGCGTTGATCTGTTGTTGATTCATATCCTTGAAAAGCAGAATCGACGAAGCCACGCGTTCAATTGGATCCAAATATCTGTTACACTCAGGCCATGCATCATTATTGTATGGAATAGAATGAGAAAAGAAACCCCAACTCCAGTGTCTGGGTGTTGTTCTTGTATCACCATCGCCAAGAGAATGAGGCGCTGGGGGCCAGGAAATTAGGGTCAAGGGGAGCCAATGCACCTCTGAGACCAACAAGACATTTGTAGCAATTTCACTCTCGACGGCTACTGTACCCCTTTAGTGATAAGTCCCAGAGACAAACTGGGTAGGTATCGAGTAAGTCTGTATGGCATGGTCGCCTGGATTGGGATAACCAGGTCGACCATAGCGAGCGTGAGTTAACTACTAGTAGAGCAGTATGACCTTTGAGGGGCGGCCCTATGTGCAAGAACATCCATTGTTATGAATCGGATATTGAATGAAATGACGTCTCCTGCATACCAGGGCACCCACTCACATTCCTCACAAGTCACGGAGGAAGTATAGAGCAAACATTGATTGAGCTGAACGGCAATGGAGTTGTGGGATGGTAGAATTGAGAGAGGGTGACGAGTGTCGGGGGAAAGCCCAATATCTTCTTCCATGACGCAAATATATATTTCTTCTCACGTCATCTTTATCTTTCGAAGAGTTCCTCCCTACTCCCAGTTCACATAGCACCACCATTATATACACACCTACACGAGAGAAGCAAATATTCTTCAACATGGCCATCGATCTGAACACGATGACGGTGGGCCAAGAGCTCTTTCCTCCCACTCCGCGAGCGTTTGGCCTACTGTTCAACTTTTTCCGGTCAATCCTGTTTGTAAGTGAGGACACTTTCTCCTGGATATACCACTAAGCGACGGAAATGCAGATATCTGTGCTACTATGGACTCCTCTCGGACAAATCCAAGCGATGGGAAGGACATCGATCATCTCCAAATTCAACCTCCCCGGTCGATATGCGTGGGCGGCAGCCGAATCGGTGGGACCATTGAACCTCATTTACATACTCTATGCTCTGCCCGCGAAGTTGAGACCGTCTCTTGATGCTCCCTCGAGCTTTCTCGGCACTGGACTTCCTATGCAGAGTGAGATTTTGGGGTGCTTGTATGTTCTTCATTACCTTAACCGCGCATTTATTGCGCCACTATTTCTCGCGCCCAGCATGTCACCAATCCATCCGTCGATAACTGTTATGATGAGTGTCTTTCAGTTTACGAATTCTAGCAACCTCGCTTGTTGGCTCGTCTACACAGTGGCCACGGGGGATTTCCAACATCAACCTCTGATTTCATTCGGTTCAGTCATTGGGATGACCCTGTTCTGGATTGGAATGTTTGGCAACATCAAAGCAGAAACCAAGCTGTTCGAGCTCCGGAGAGGAGCGGCCAAACGCAAGGCTAAATCCGAGGGCAAAGCACAAGTCACCTACGACAAGGTCTATGTGATTCCACCTCCAGAGGGTTGGTTCAAGTCTATCTTATTCCCACATTATGTTATGGAGTGGGTGGAATGGACGGGGTATTGGATACTGGCAGGATCGTGGGGTCTAGGCTATGGCAATTCGAGCCCAGCTCTGTGGTTTGTCCTCGCAGAAATTGCAACCATGCTTCCAAGGGCGGTCTCAGGTCGACAGTGGTATGAACAGAAATTTGGCAAGCGCGCAGTGGCTGGCAGAGCTGGAGCAATACCACTACTTGGATTGTGAGATGTCTACTGATGGTGGATGTCCCAAGCGTTGCTGTACGGGGTGTGCACTCGGATTTAACGGCCAGGTATTAGAACAGCTAGCCACATCACACAGAAATCAAGATCAAACAACTAAGAGAGTGTTGTCAATGTTTGCATTTATTCACTATTCAATCGCTCGGGAAGCTATGCCGAAGTCCAGTTCGCGTGAGGATTGCGATGCAGGAACAACAGGTGAGAGTCGGGGACTAAACTAAAAAGTCGATCAGATTTTCTTACCCGGGCAGGCTGCTCAGAGTATGATAGGCTTGCCGTTCGGGGACATGCAGGGGCGTCCAGGCTATCAGAGTCGCCTGCAGGATGGGCGTTCTAAGTATCAAGTTACTCGGTCTTACCTCTACTGAAGGAGGGGCCAGCTGCCAAGCATGACCCAACTGGGGTAGGAAGTACGGTCGGAGAAAGGAAGCCACAACCTGAACTTTTTCCGAGCATAAAAGAATAAGCACCCAAAAAAACAGCCCACCTTTCATGATTAGAGTATGGCATCAAGAGGGCACGGATCTTTCAGGCTCAGGCTTACCTAGTAGGTACCTACCTAGCTCACTAGTAGTATTACTGCAACTACAACCGGAGGACCAAGCACCTGCCTCCGTGCACTGGCGCTGGTACGAGTAGTTAGTGGCAGGTGCAGTAGGTGCAAATGCAGCGGTGCACGCCATTTCCATCCAAAGATAAAATTTCCAATGCCAGTCCAGACCAGACCCCTCCATGCTTGACCTCCATCTTCTGTCTCAACCTTCCTCTGATTGTTTTCTCTCTCTCACCGCTTCTCACTCACAGATTCCTTTTCTATCTCATTCCCATCTTCTCTATAACCCCTTCTGCTCTTCCTTCCTTTCCCTTCCTTTCTCATCTTTGTACCACCGAACCTGTCTTCCCGTCTGTTCCGCTCCAGGACTCTCTACAAGATGGTTCAATCGTGAGTCGCCCCGATTTCACCACCAACAACCCCGTCACTGACTCCTTGCGTTAGATCTATTCTCGGGTTCCCCCGAATTGGAGCCAATCGTGAGCTCAAGAAAGCCACTGAAGCATACTGGGCTGGCAAACTCTCACAGCAAGACCTCCTCAACGAGGGTAAGAGATTAAGGTTGGAACATTGGAAAATCCAAAAAGCTGCGGGCATCGATGTCATCCCCAGCAATGATTTTGCTTTCTACGATCAAGTCTTGAGCCAGATCCAACTCTTCGGCGTCGTTCCAGAAAGATACACAAAGTACAACTTGGACCCCATCGATGAATACTTTGCCATGGGTCGAGGTCTGCAAAGACCTGCTGCTGATGGAAAGCCTGCTGTCGACGTCCCAGCCTTGGTAAGCCTTTTCCCCCATCAATCCAAAACCGGCCGTAGTGCTGACCAAATCCTCCCAGGAAATGGTAAAATGGTTTGATTCCAACTACCACTACGTCAAGCCTACTCTTCAAGACAACCAAGTCTTCAAGCTTGCCGCCAACCCAAAGCCAGTCGTGGAATTCCTCGAGGCCAAAGAGGCAGGCATCACCACCCGCCCTGTTCTTCTTGGTCCCGTCTCATTCCTCCACTTGGGCAAGGCTGATCGTGATCAATCCATTGACCCCATCTCGGCTCTTGACGACCTCCTCCCTCTCTATGTCGACCTTCTCAAACAATTGAAAGATGCTGGTGCTGAGACCGTCCAGATTGACGAGCCCATCTTGGTCTTTGATCTCCCCGCCAAGGTCAAGGCCGCATTCAAGCCTGCATATGAGAAGCTCGGCTCGGTCGGCTCAAAGATTGTCCTGGCCACATACTTTGGAGATATCGTTCACAACATTGATGTTCTTGACTCTCTAAAGAGCCTCTACGCCCTCCACATTGATCTGGTCCGCAACCCTGAGCAACTTGAAACTGTCATTTCTGCCTTGGGCCCCCAACAAATCCTGTCAGCAGGTGTTGTTGACGGCCGAAACATCTGGAAGACCAACTTCAAGAAGGCCATTGAGATCGTCGAATCTGCCATCCAGAAGCTTGGCAAGGACAGGGTCCTCGTTGCCAGCTCCAGCTCTCTCCTTCACACTCCCCACACGCTGACCAGCGAGAAGAAACTTGACCCCGAAATTGCCGACTGGTTCAGCTTTGCTCACGAGAAGACCGTGGAAATCGCTACCATTGCCAAGGCGGTGACCGAGGGTCCAGCTTCAGTCCGAGAGGCTCTTGAGGCCAACGCCAAGTCGATGCAAGCTCGTGCCTCATCCAAGCGTACCAATGACCAGGCCGTCAAGGAGAGACAGAGCAATGTGACCCAAGAGATGCACAACCGCAAGTCCGAGTTCCCTGCTCGTATTGCTGCTCAACAGAAACGTCTCAATTTGCCATTGTTCCCCACCACAACCATTGGCTCCTTCCCACAGACCAAGGAGATCCGAATCCAACGTAACAAGTTTACCAAGGGTGAGATCACTGCCGAGGAGTACGAGAAGTTCATCGAGAAGGAGATCCAAGATGTCATTCAAGTCCAAGATGAACTTGGTCTCGATGTCTACGTCCACGGTGAGCCCGAACGTAATGACATGGTTCAATATTTCGGTGAACGCCTGAATGGATATGCATTCACCACCAACGGATGGGTGCAGTCATATGGCTCTCGATGCGTGCGACCACCCATTGTGGTGGGCGACATTTCACGACCAGCTGCCATGACGGTCAAGGAGTCCAAATATGCTGCATCCATCTCCAAGAAGCCCATGAAGGGTATGCTTACAGGTCCCATCACCTGCCTGAGATGGTCTTTCCCTCGTGATGATGTCCATCAATCTGTTCAAGCTCAACAGCTGGCACTTGCTCTTCGTGACGAGGTTGTTGATCTTGAGAAGGCTGGTGTCTATGTCATCCAGGTCGATGAGCCCGCTCTTCGTGAAGGTCTCCCTCTTCGAACTGGTACTGAACGGACCAACTACTTGAAGTGGGCCGTCGACTCATTCCGCCTTTCAACAGCGGGTGTCGAGGATGGAACACAGATCCACAGCCATTTCTGTTATTCCGAGTTCCAGGACTTTTTCTATGCGATTGCAGCACTTGATGCCGACGTGTTGTCAATTGAGAACAGCAAGTCTGATGCCAAGTTACTCAAGGTGTTTGTGGATGAAGCTTACCCTCGTCACATTGGACCTGGTGTGTATGACATTCACTCTCCTCGGGTTCCATCCGAGCAAGAGATCCACGACCGAATCCAGGAGATGTTGGCATTCTTGAAGCCTGAGCAATTGTGGATTGATCCTGATTGTGGGCTGAAGACCCGACAGTGGAAGGAGACCAAGGCAGCCTTGACCAACATGGTCAACGCGGCCAAGAGCTTCCGTGCTCAATATGTTAAGTAATTTATGTATTACTCCGATATCATTTCGGACAGGGGTTCGAAGTGCTTCTCATCAATCAACCTGATGGGAAGTGTCTGGCGCATGGTTATTGGCATGGGTGGGGAGAAAAGGATGAATTGACGAAAGAAAAGTGATTTTTCAACATGATACCACGATAGCATGGGAGGGCAGGCAAAAGTCGATCTTAACATCGGCGTTAATTGCTGGCCTCTCCAACAGTGAGACAGCACAACAGGTGATGATGACCTCAAGGTCCATGAGGCATCGATATGAATGAAGGCATTAGGATGCCGAGTGTTTCAACAAACAGCACAAATTGCTACAGTCCAGATAGATGGACTTGTGTCAACATAGAAGAAGATTTACACTCTTCAAACGAATGATTATTTGACGCTCGTGACTCGGGTAGTCTTTGTTGTTCTCGAGGTCATCTATGAAGCTCCGTCCAAGGGTTCCTACCGTACGAGTAGACTCGGTTGTGGCCAGAAGTCAGAGCGGGTGTAACGGACTTGGTTGCCGGCTGTAGCGATGGCCTAAATAGCAGGAATGATTCGTGGCGGGCTTGCGTGGACTGGGCGGAGAGAGCAACGACGATTGGTATCCAGGTTGGCATTGCTCAGCCACAACCGACCACTCGAGTGGATTACAGATGGGTTGAAGAATACGGAGGACCCGATCGCTAGGAGATCGAGGTACCTTGTAGTCAGGTCGTAGTGGACGTCGACTCCTTATTCAGCTGGTCATGCTCAGCGGAACAACCAATAACCTGCCTTGTTGGGAGTCTTGGTTCTTTTGGAATGCTGGAGCCTTGCATGGCGCGTCTGGCCAATTGAGGAGGTTAGTCGCTACGAGGACGACAAGCGAGCTCACTGCAAGGCATTACCCATTTTCGCCACCTTCGATAGGAGGTTTTCGTTGGTCCCGTATAAACGAAAAACATTTATCCGTGTTGATCGTGGAGCTCGCTAAGAGAGCGATGATCGAGATGTCCATGTTCTACAAATATATTGGGTCATTGTGGCTGATGGACTGGTTTTTTTGTGGCAATTGGTAACTTGTGGCGATGGGAAAGTGACTGCACTCGGAGAGAATGGTATCCGTGTTTATCAATCACTCTCTACTATCTACTTGTAACGGGGATCATTTCTTGCTTTGAGTTGGTATGTTCTGATGATGGTGCTGGTTGTTGTTCGCGTGGAGGACGCCTTCAAGCCTGCTCTGCCTGTGCCCCTGCCCTGCGCCTGCCCTGCGCCTGCCCGCCCAGGACTAAAGGTGACTGCTATTTGAGGGGCAGTCTGGAATTCTGTGTCTGACATGAATCAATCACCCAGTTTTCCCATCACGTAACCACCAATCCTCATCTTTAGCCTCCGTCAGACATTCACTTTCTTTTCTTGGCACGAGGCGTCGTCATACCCTTCCACTTGCCAGTGCTTCTCTTGTAGAGACAAAACTCCCCCTCCCATTCAGTAGCCTGAACTAGAAATACTAAGAAGGCATCCCATACGAATTTCACTCAATCAGATCGCATGCCCTGACCAACTTCTGCTAAGCCATACCAATTTATTCCACGCGCATCCACAAGTTCACGCCCGCATCCCTCCCTCCTCCACCTGAACCAAGCCTTCAAGTTCATCTATTCTTTTCTAACAACTCACGTACCCAGCTCTTCTTTCTTGGTCCTCGTCATCCTTTTCAAATTCGGTCACAGACATCCCCGCGTGCCTGGCGCCAACAAGAACCTTCACTTTCTGAACAAGGCACCCTTAAACTTCCTCGTGTAACCGCGCCCGTTCGTACCACACCATCTCGACTCGACTTTCTTACATATCCAGCTGCCTGTTTCGCCTCCCGTTTTCCCCTTCTCCCCATTATACACACTACTGCCATCTCTCGCCATGGATAACAATCTGCGACGGAAAGATACGACAAAGGGCCCTCCACTGCGCATCCTGTCATTGGGTAAGTCGCAATCCACCTCGTGTTGTCCACCAAGACTCTCTTTTGACTGACAACCCCATCTAGATGGCGGAGGAGTTCGCGGCTACTCGATGCTCTTAATCCTACAAGAACTCATGCACAGACTCTACGTCGAATCCGAAGGGAAACCTCCAAGCAGAGACGCCACCCCTAAACCATGCGATTATTTTGATCTGATCGGTGGCACTGGTACCGGAGGCCTTATTGCCATTATGTTGGGACGGCTACGCCTGGATCTCGAGACCTGCATGGATGTCTATGTCAAAATGACAAGAAGAGTCTTCGAGACTGACAAGACCTTCGCCGGCATTCCTTACAAACACACTCTGTTCAAAGCCTCGAAACTCGAAGAGGCCATCCGGGAGTGTGTCGCGGGCCATACCGTTTACGATGACGAGGGATATGATGGAAGAGGGAGAGAATTCCAAGACCTCACCAGCCCCATCAGTGCTACCAGCAATGTGGCAGTTCGCCGATCGATGAGCATTAGAAGCACAACCTCCGTCTCAAGTCCTTCCACACTCAGAAATTCCATTGTCTCGCCGAATTTCCCCGGCTTTGGTAATTCCAATGCCACTCTCTATGACGGACGCGAAAATCGTACCAAGACGTAAGTGGGACATGTTCCAGTTTGTTCGACATTCCTTGAGCTAACAACGTCCAGGGCCGTCACAGCAGTCTACAGAGGTACAAATCCCCGAACCGGTTCGTCGATACTGTTACGAAGCTACGATTCAAGAAAAGAACCAGCTCCCGAATTTAATTGCACTATCTGGCAGGCTGGTCGGGCAACATGTGCCACCCAACTCGCATTCAAACCAATACAAATCGGTCAGAGTGTCTTTAGCGACGAGGGGGCTGGCAAGTACAATCCAGCCGCTCAGATCTTGGAGGAATCGATGAATGAATGGCCAGCTCGAGAAGTTGGCGTCTTTGTCAGTATTGGCACGGGGAAACGTCCATCGAATTCGTCAGTGCCTGATCATGAGTGGTGGGAGGGGTTTCTTGGTGGTTCCATGGGCACCTTTGCCGAAGGTCGAAGAGTAGGTCACCTTTGTTGTCTTTTTTCCTTGTTGAATGTTGATACTGATCTGTCAAAATCCACAGAAACTCATCCAGAAGATCGAAGATTGCGAAGCAGAACACCAAAAAATGCTCAAGACCGAGTTGGCAAGACGTGGTGTTCCAGCCGAGAACTACTTTCGTTTGAACGTCGATACTGGTCTCGCAAATCAAGTCGGTAAGTGATGGTTGAATCGTGAACTCTTCTCATCTTTGTTAACTAACCTCATTCTGCAGGGACCAATGAATGGGCTGCTCTCAACGTCGTCACTACAAATACACGAAAATACTTACAAAAGACGGATGTTCAAGAGATGATGAAAGAAGGTGCTCTTAAGATGGCCAAAATTGAACTCATGAAGAAACGATTCGATCGACGTGGACTTGGTGAAAGCCACAGTCGTGACTCAAGCTGGGGCTATCGCGAGTCTGAGTCTTTGAACGTGCCTCAACCACCCTTGGCCCCAGTACATCCAGGTGCTGTAGAACTTCCAGCAGAAGATAACGGTCAACGCACTCCCACCACACGCCAAAGGACTCCTGGTAATCCACCATATCCATTGGAGGGCTCGGCAGCCATGCAGGACAAGTTCTCGGTCATCTCTGGTGACTCAAATTCATCACGGGTCTCCAGCAATCTACCATATCGATTTGGAGACGATGACAAGTACACATACCAACCACCGCCGAATTCGGCATACAATCCTTCAGAACCACCACCCAGACCTCCGAAAACACCCATCAATGAACCAGTCCATCCCGCATTTCGACCATCACCAGGCAGATCAAATGGTGCTCAAAGGCCTCCTTATCCGGTTTCCGATGATTTGCCTGCACCGCCACCATTGGTTTCCAAATTGAGAAAGCCAGAATTCATTCCACGGTCTGCTTGAGGGACACATCACAAGCCTGGAAACCCGGAAACGAACGAGGCAGGGTGCATATTTTGCTTGGGATTTTTCGTACGGAACAACGATACTTAATGACGATGATGACGAACTGCAATGATTTTTGATGATTGATTTACTTGCTTGCATATGCATATATACCCCACATTGGCCCAAGGTAAACGAGAGAAACATTGGCAAGAGAGCACAGTTGGATGACCTTGGATGGTTGGATCGCCTCAGTATTCGGGCAGGGCTTTGAATTTGCATGGATAAAGGATGAATAGTCGGTTGGTTTCCTTGCTTCGCTTGGTATACAAGTAATATTTCATCATCTGGCCCAACTAAGCCGTTGATCAGGAGGGTTTCTACCATAGTGCCAGCTCCAGATAGATAATGAGATGTAAGGATATAACGTATGGTTGCATAGCTGAACTGGGGACTAGCCTTAATATAATACACTACGATATCGATGTCAATGCTGATATTGGCACTCCTCACTCGAGACGTATATCGTTGTATTCGGCTCTCGGCACTCAACCTCGAAGGGCGGAACGGCCACGCGGGGCAAAGGAGAGTTCGAGATTGAGGGGGCGTTGGTGGCCTCGGGCTTCTACGGTGGGTGCTGGAGAATTCGCTCGTCTATTGCAAGATAAGTATTCTGGTACATACATATCAGATTGATTCTCGATACCGTGCTGCTCTCTGGACCACACCTTTCACTCCGACTTGGGAGGTTAATTGAGTCGCGACTTTGTGACCAAGGTGATTCGACTCGACTCGACTCATTTCGACCCTCGGATAATACATTATCTCGCTCGAGTCTTTTGCAACACGCACTATCAATTTACCTGCTCGTTCGTTCTGTTGTTTAGGAACCAAGATATCGCCCAGGGAGAGAAATAAAGCACTAGACCAGGCAAGCAGGATAGGACAGAGCAGCACATCTGTTCGGCACAACATTTCATTCCTCAGCACGACGATATCACCGATAGAGAGTCAGCCTGTACAACCCTCCACCTAGTCAAATATCCACAGGAGCATCTGTCAAGATGGCGGAAGGTGTATTGCGTGTGAAGGAGGTACGTATAGAGAGACCCTCCAATCCGACACCCATCGTATCGTCTCCCCAAGATATATGATCAATGCATCATTTATGAAACTGAGTTCTCTCCCCAACTGACATCCAAACGTCCACTCAAGATCTACACGTACCCGATAAAGTCGCTCCGAGGAATCTCCCTCTCCAGCCAAGCAGCCATGTACACGGGATTCCCGCACGACCGGCGCTTCATGCTGTATTCGATCAGCAAAGACAAGAACATGCACATCGCCGAATTCACCGAGATGTGCCTGTTCACGACCGCCTTCGTGGACGGCAGCTCTTCCCCATCATCCCCGAAGAAATTCACCGTCACGTACACCAAAGACCACGCGTTCGCGAACCCGGACCAGAAAATCACTGACGCGACCCCCCTTGAGATCGACCTCGCGCCGGACACGCACGGCCTCGATGAGTTCCAGATCACCATGCATTCGAGCCCGACTGTCAGCTACGACATGGGCGCCACGTATAACGAGTGGTTCAGCGCGCGCTTCGGCTACCAGGTCAAGCTGCTGTACATCGGGGAGAATCGGCGGAAGGTGCTGGGCAACATGCCCCCGAGCGTGTCGGGGCGACAGCGTGACGAGCAGAGCCAGGGAACAGGCGCAACGGCCGGCGCGGGCGGTTCGTCGTGGCTAAGCAGCATCACGTCGACGACCAGCAGCGTGGTCGGCAGTCTCCTCGGCAGCGCGAAGCAATACGAAGGCGAAGACGCCGGCCTGACATTCGCCGACGTGGCGCCGTACCTGGTCATCAGCACGCGGAGCTGGGAGAACGCGCAGCAGCGCCTGCCCGCCGGCGAATCCATGGACATATCCAAGTTCCGGCCCAACATCATCGTCGAGGGTGCCGCCGGCGAGTTCGACGAGGACTTCTGGGGCGAACTGCAGATCGGGAGTCAAGGGGCCAAGATCGTGCTGACGCAGAACTGCGCGCGCTGCAACAGCCTCAATGTCGATTACAGCACCGGCAAGGTGGGCGAGAGCGAGGCCGGCAAGATCCTGAAGAAGTTGAACTCGGATCGTCGCGTCGACCCCGGTGCCAAGTGGAGCCCCGTCTTTGGAAGATATGGCTTCCTCGCAAAGGTCCCGGAGGGCAAGACCGCCGCCGAGATCAAGGTCGGTGATGAGGTCAAGGTCGTCCGCAGGAATACTGCCCGGACTTCTTTTGGTATGTTGCTTTCCCACTGCTCCATATCGTGATGCTGTGCTGATTGGTTGTGTCCATTAGAGTGGCCGAATCTGAGTACTAAGTAAAGTCGGCTCTTCATCGTGGATGGGGTGATACATCGCACAAGGCTGACAGGATATAGAATGCGTGGTTTATTGCGTGCTATTTTCATTGGTGGTATTGGTCTCGTTCATGCTCGTATATACATACATAGTCCATGCTGTTGATCTGGACTGATGCTCGTGACTCGTTGACTGATTCGTCCTTCGTACATAATGCTCCCAAATGTAATGGAAGCCTATTTTTCTTCATTTCGTCGTAGGTGTGAAAACCATCCTCACACTCCGTTGTCCATTCCCGGCGATCTTCGTGTTGAGATTCCCGGGGACGTATCTCGCCTCAGGTTGTCGAATGCCTTGCTCAATGCTGCTCAGTACCCATTGCGCCGTGACGTATTTAATCCCCTTGCCTCTGACGGTGTTGATTTCTTTGTTGATCTTTGTGGCGGCAAGGCCACCACCGCATGTACTTCCGATGATCACATGAGTGACGGTTTTCCGTCCCAAAGCGAAGGACGAATTGCCTCCGTGCTGGACGAAGAGTTGTTTGATCTTGTGATCTGACACCAATGGAGCCGTGGATCCATTGAGATACATGGTTAATCCGCGGAAGATCTGTGGCGGCTGTTTTGTAGTCGTGACGAGCTGGTCTGGGCAACTCTCTGGAGATATCTTCTCTTCAGTTGCTGTAATCGTGTTGGTAGTGGAATCCTTGGATGGTTTATTGCCCTCAGAGTCCTGCTTCAATTTCTTCGATTGGCCCATGTCTTCGTCCTTGGACTCAGCACATCTCTTCCTACTACCTGCCATAAGACCTCTGATATCCTGCCAGCCACTCTCACGCAGACCCGGCGCACCCTTCTCCCAATCACCATTGCCCTTCCTCCCATCCTTCCTGTAGTTGACGCTTCCAGCACCAACAAGATCCGATAGATGGGCATCACCTCCACGACCACTCCGGTCCCTCAACTGATGAGAAAGCTTGTATGTGCGTGAGTCTCGCCATGATGTGCTTCCCGAAAGTGTGTTTTCGGCGCGTTGATGGCCTGTGGAGGAGGAGTTGAAGGGATCGAAGAAGACTCGGGTGGGTTGCGGAGCGGGTGGAATGTTTGGTTTATTTGTAGGCATTGCGGATGGTTAAGTCGGCTTCGACGCACAGTTCGACCATTGGATATGCTGGTTGCAAAAGAGAACGCGTGGCTGATTGATCTCATGAAAACGCCGCGTGAGATTCTTTGGTGCAAATTGACGAAGTCAAAGACTGACGCGAACAAATACACGTAATCACGTGCTACAAAGTCTTCGCATACGGAGGACTCGACTTTCACATGAGTCATCCTCTTGACCACCCTTGACTGTCAATCGACAATTAAACAAGCCATACAAGCAGTTTCAGTTCTTCATTAAGCTACATAGCGAGCACACCCTCGCCTCTGAGCTTCCTCCTCAAAGATCAGTAGTAGTTGTACAAGTGGCTTATTAAAGCTCCCCCAGCGCCATTCCCTCGAGCCACGCAATATGTATACTCAAATGAAGGACTTTGACAGTATATCGCCATCGCGATTGCCATCGCCATGTATATAGGATCCAAACAGCGCCAACAATACCCTTTCCAGTGCGGCCATTCATCTCGTCCTCAAAAAGCGTTCTGTCGCACTTTCCACCTCCGTTCAGTCTTCTAGTGTCGGATAATATCTCATCGACCCATTAATAACTGCCGACAAGCAATCCGCCGTGGCTGGCTTGCACTGGTCCGGCGATCAGAGGTGTCGTAACCATTCTGAATACAGCAGAATAGGCATTTGCAAGGCGGACAAAAATTAAAGAACAAATCCCTCCCATTCGGCCGTGATACTTTCATAAACTCCATGTTGTTTGTTTGTTAACGCTGTGAATGATGCTAAGTCGCTGTGAACGTTCCCGCCCTGATAACATCAAATTCAGGCATTCACGACAATAGCGTGACAAGGAAAATGCAGTCAAAGTTCCTCCTCATAATGATGGTCAAAACCACCATTGTTCTCATCGACTGGAAAAGCTGGATGCCGTACTGGCCGGTGCGTATGATGAGCTCGTGGGTGGGAAGACCTTTCGTCGTACGTATTCCAGGATTTTGAGATCTTTGGCTAGAACTGGTGAAATCGCCTCGTGGTCTCGTAAAATCCTTACCGTACGATCGTGTAGTTTCTTCAGTATCTCTACGTTCACCAGTGAGCTCAGGGATGCATGCTTCGAAGTATATGTTGCATATAAGACAAGCATGTTCCCCCACTGTCTGTGATACTTGTTAGTTCAAATGCATCCGAGAACAGAGAGTTGAGATACTCACGCATGAAGAGTGCCAAAAATATTGGTGACAACAAGTCGTCGAGGCACCGCATCGAACACCGTAGTACTGCGTATAGCAGCCTGGACGCACTTTCGAGCACCTTCTAAGAGATTCTGGTCGAGACCTGGCACCTCCTTCCATGAGCGATTCGGAGGGTACGCATTTTCCATCGCTGGTGATGTAAACTCCGAGTGCTCTCCATTTCCAGATGGTGATTCCGAGCTCGGCTCTTTCTTCATTCCAGCGGCGAGGAGAAGTGCATATTGTAGGGCTGGTCGCCAAATGATATACTTGGCGCCATAATATTTCCCTCTTAATCGAGCAAGGTTGATGTTGGGGCTCTCGTGGTCGTTGTCATCCCAATCCAACCCGGCTTTCCTCCATGTATCTGTTCTTACCTCCTCAAACATCCCATCTAGAGCATGCATCACCGAATCACTAGATCTCGTATTCGTATTCTTCTTCTCACGGTAAAGCGATGCGTGAATGCTGTTCATGGTCTTGCGCAAGTTGACTTGGAACGAGTAGTACTTTAGGATATCGTCACTGGTATTAGACTCCGGGATCGGGCCGAGTGTGGCATTTGTTGGGTAACTGATAGTTTGCGCACGCTCATGTTTGCTAATGTCACTGACAGGTAGGTGGAACTCGGCAGCGATATCGCTCTCCAACTGCAGGCATGACCAAAAGGCGAAGTTGATGAGATTTCGGCGGGAGGGCTTCATGGTGTTTTGTACATAAGCCGTTGACTCGATAAGAATTTGGGTAGCCACACATGCCTTCTGGATGTAGAAGAAACTAGGCAAGATGCGAGCAAGTTGACCCATATACAGACCTGCCAGCAGATATGCTTGAATATGTGACACATCACTTCCTCCTGGATGTTCCCCGATAATGTCTGCAGCTTTAGCAAAGTATGCCAGTCCGGGAATGACATCCATGTTCTTTCCCTGAGGGTTGGCTGGGCTGGATGCACCAAGATGACTAACGCCATTCAATCCAACTTGATTATTGAAAGGAGATGTTGGCGCAGACATCGGCATGGGGAGATCCGAGTACATATTGCTGTGGGGTGTCGAGGTCCGCATGTTGGTGGTTGCTGCAGCGCCTGGCAGAGGATCTCGATGAGCCGTGACCTTTCCCAGTGCAATGACAAGCAACACAATTGCATTCGCAATAGAGTGCTCAATCATAGGCGCACTGATACCAGGATTGTAAGCTTTGGTATGGGTGCGGCTTCCGAGATGGCTAGGGGTGTTGTGGTCTTCCACCGAGCGTGGAGATTCCGTGTTTTCTCGTTTCCTTTTGGCGCCAACAACGCCAGCAGGCTGTGTCGCACGATAATCCCAGCTATATTTTCGCTTGAAGGTGTGGATCATGTTCCGGAGAACTTTAGGTTCTAGAAAAGGATGGAGAATGTGAATGTGTTCCATGAAACTCCGAAAGTAGCGATCTACCGCATCCGAATCGAGCATCAGACCACCATGCGGACTGACTCCACCTGGGTGTTCACGCGCTGGGTGACCCTGATTCGGCATGCCTGGTGCATGTAATTGACCGACGCCCCAAACACCATGGGGAGAGGAGGATGTTTCTTCGTCGAGTCGACGTCCATCTGAAGATGAGCTGCCGGAAGGACTTGGTGCACCCTCATGTCCATCGCCTTTGTCTTCACCTTCTCCACAACCGTATAATCGTAGGAGTCCTCTTTCCCGCTCTTCCTCCATGGCATATGTCGGAGAGATGCCGGGCGGAGTTAACGCAGCAATAGAAGGCCACTGGAGGAGATACTGTGCTGCAGTGGTGTGCTTAGAAGGCATGGACAATCCATCCCCTCCTGTTTCGTCCCCATTACGACTTATAAAATCCGAAAGAGCGGAGTGGCCCGCCATGTGAGGAGTGGTTCTCACGTCCGAGCTGTCCTCTCTACTGAAAGGGATGGCTTGACTTGCAGATGCCGTCTTTTCCTGAGATCGGACCACATTTTCCTTGCGCTCTTCCGGGGTTCCCATCTCAAGCCCAGCAAAGGCTTCAGGTTGGCTGCGGGACAGGAAATTGAGAATGGCATCTATCTTTGCGTTCTGCGCTCTTCCAGCATCAGCAATTGATTTCACGTTGTCTGACAGAGAATCGAGCTGAGCCGTAATTGCGAGCACTTGCTTTTCCGATTTTTGCGGTGGAATTTCTCGATATGAGCACTTGAGCCCATTCTCCTTACAGTGTTGACATTCCGGTCGGCCTTCATCACATTTTGCCTTTCGCTGTCGACACGAATCGCAAGCTTGTGCGGCACGGACAGGCTTCCGGCGTTGGCCACCAAACTCGGAGTAATAGTAGGGAGCAGATGAAGGGGGTCCCGCCGAGGGAGGCCCATAATGACTGGATTGGCTGGGAGGTTGGCCCGGCATCATTTCATGAGCTGTCACTACGTGAAGGGGTTGCTGATGGGTTCCGTTGGGCTGGGCCTCAGGCCCAGAATACGCATGCCGTTGTCTATAGTCGGCAGAAGGAGGATAATAGGGATGTTCGTGGGGATTGCTACTCGGAGGGTGATACTGTGGGTGATGAGATTCTGCAGGAGATCTCGTAGGACCTGAGACACTTCCTGGGCGTCCGTAACCTGGATCGGCTTGAGGTGGAGGATAGCCTGGGGTTTCTCGACCCGAAGGAGGATAAGGCGGCGGTGGAGGCGGGTAGGAAGGTTGATGAGCATTTTCGGATGGGTGTGGTCGATGTTCGCTAGGTTCACCACTGTAAGGTGAAGGGTTGGGGGTCCACCCTTGGCCTGGTGGTGGCATACTGGTGCTTTGAGGTGGAGGGTAACTGTGTAACGGTTGAGTCTCGGTTGGCGGCATACGGTGGGCGTTGTGGTGTGGTGGTGGACCGTAGGGATTGGATCTTTCGTACTTCAACTCCACGTCACCGATTGCTTCCATGCTCAACCTTTGATTCCGAGCACAACAGCCGAATCAGTACCTCCTTCGTCACTATGCCCGGAAGAACGTGGTACGGGGAATGCACCATGACCCAGGGACACAATCTTAAAGTCGCGCAAGAAACAGAATGCTCATGGCAGTTCGCTCGAGGGCGGAATCACCAATGCGCATGGGTTTCTTGTTGTCGGTTCCAGGAATCGAGGAAGAAAGGCCAGTTGAAGTCCAGAAGATCCGGGGAAGTTTCGCGTGGCCAGCGGATAGAAAACCAAAAAGCGCTGTTTCTCACGGGCTTCTGCTTTCGGGAGAAAGCAAACGTGGAAGGGATGCGGCGCACACAGATTCGATTAAGTGGTTAGATTGAAAATGAGCCCGGCACTGGTGGACTTTGGTCGTGGTGGGCAAGCAATTGATTAAGCAAACAAGTCTACCGCGCAAGGATTGGAGATATGCGAAAGTGGTTGTTGGAGAAATCGAAGGCAATAGATCCGAAAATGAAGACGTGGATTGAAAGTGATGGAAAAGATGTCGAGAAGTCAAATCCAGAATGGCGGGTTGTCTACGTTGGCGGAACCCAAGACGGCGGCGGTGGGTAAACACAGCGATCGCGACCGGAGTCGAGGTCTTCAAGTTTGGGCAGCAACGTTTGAAGCGGGTACTGAGATGCTGGAGGCTATGTCGAAATAGCCAGAGGCGGTCGGAAGCTTGCCTTGGAGGAGAGTGGTGGGGAAAGGGTAAAGATAAAAGATGAATAGATGCCCAACTGACTGATTTCGGTGATGATCTTCGTCGACAATATTGTAGCCGTTACAAGTGGTATCAAGTCGAAGTGTAAAAAGGAAGACAAGAGGGCCTGGGATGATGCAGCTCTCAAAGACGAGCTAGTTGGAAAGACAGTGCGGAATTGAAAACGTGAACGACGGGAGGATGAGTGTCGACTCGAGTTGATAGCAACTCAGGTCCGGAGGTACAGATAGTAATAATAATGCTGGTCGATCTCAGGCTAGCCTCTAGCTAGGTCGGAACAAGGATTGGGACCTTGGGGGGGACACAATTACTGGAACCAAAGGGCCCGGCGGTGGAGGTGTTGACTGGCTGCACAGTGACGGATTGGCGGATCAAGCCAGAAGCCAGAGGGGGGCGGATGAAGTCAAAGTACGAGGACTCGAGGAGGAGTCCCAGTGACGACGGAGAAGACGGTAGCTGTGGGTTCAAGCTGCCTGGCACTGCTAGGCGGTGGGTGACTTCCTTGGAGTGAGGCGACGGGGTACCTACTGGAGGTAGCGGTGGGTATCACTGTAGCCAGAGAGGTGCCAAACACAGGCAATGATAATGATAGGCGACCAAGAGTTGATCATCCAGTTAGTGGCAGAAGTTCAAAGGGAAAACAAATGGAACAAGCTGGGACTCGACTCTAGTCCGAAGACAAAAGGTAGGGTAAGGAGACCCGGGCGAGGCACTCGCACTCGGTCCAGCTTCAAGTGCCAGTCCTTGTCTGTGGAGCTTGGGCTCTTGCCGGGGGGGCTTTTTCTCCCAGACTCGTACTGCAGTAGGCGGTTTAGGGCGTCGGCAAGGTGTGCCAGAGACCCCCAACCAAGATTTCGGTATCCAGTCAATGCTGAGAAATGATGGAATACTGCCCGGGAATTCGGGATCAACAGAGATCAAACTAAGAACAGTCGGGTCAGGGCAGGTCAGGTCTGGTGGCCACCGTGCGAGACGAGGCGATGATAGCTCGTAATAGCCACTCCCACTAACATGTAATGGTGAGGCAGTTGCAGTGGATCGGCGGGCTAAGAGTCTCGGAGAGGCGAAATAGAAGGTGCAACGAGGTGTGGGAGTATCCGTCTGCCTCGAGCGGGAGATGCCAATTCGCCTCTGTTCAAGTTGAGGTCAGCTGGAGAGAAATTACTGTATGAATCTCCCTAGGGAGTCCAGTCTTAACTAAGAGGGAAAACGACGAGCTTGAGCTTGTAGGAATACAGCAAGCGCACACATTCGTCTACTACTACTGCTCTCGATGGCTTGAAGGTGGGGTTGGAATTTGGCTATGCAAGCACAGACTTGCACTGAGGTCGTTGTTGGCCTTGCGATGATCGAACGACGTGAACTACCCACCTAGATACTACTACTACGAAGTGGTGACCAGTGACCAGAGATCAGAGTACGTTACAATCCGGCACCAAGCGGTGGGCAACGATGCTCCTTCATTTTGATGTTTGGCTTCGGGTCTTGAATCCTCTCACCAAATTATGCCCAAACGAGATAATCACCTAGTCAGACGATTGATTAGTGAGACCCACGTCCTTGACTTTCACAGGAGCTGCAACTAGTGTCGCAGAAGCCAGCGAACCAGACCAAAGAGCGCCAGGTCCAATCCCAGGGGAGGGACTTACGAGCTGGAGGTAAATCGGACTGATTACGGAGCACTCGGTACCTCGTACCTGTTCTCGCCAGAGTGACAGTGCCGAGGTAGAGAGAGCTCGAACCCATGGAATATACTCCGTCCACGGCCTTAAAGGGCGCCTAGAAGGAGGCACTGACTTCGCGTCGCAAAGTCCACAGTACAACGTGGTTAAGGAACATAGAGGGTAGAGTACCTCTCTGGAATCAGCTCTTCACAGCACCAGGACAATATTTCAGTGTAGCCGTATGCACCCCAAGGCCATTGTTGAGTTGTTACCACCACATCCAGTGACCAGGGACCTCGATTCGGGGAAGTGGTACTCAGGTCGGTCAAGAATATCCAAAACCTTTCCAATCGTGGCCATTGATTAGAGAGCTGCTGTTATAAAACACAATCTACTTGAACGACTGTCAAGGTCAAGGTTGCGACCTTGATGACTGAAGCCCCATTGCCTGCCGACAGAAGAGTAGTAAGCGATCGTCTTCAAGGACAATTGATCAAAGCCTTGCCCTCATGTACAATTACTCTGTAGGCTACGTGCGGGTGGGTCCACGCTCACCTGTGTCGATGCCTCCACTGAACGGTAGGGAAACAGTGCCCACTGCCCACTCCCTGTTCTTCAGACTGGCACTACAGATGAATCTACCAACCTGATGTATTCATCCCGCCCACGACTATCACATCACCCACGCCCATGGTATTCACTATCACCGAAACAGCCTCTATTTCGATGCTCGATGTCCATCAATTTGAATCGAGACCCAAAGTGTATTGTTTTGATCATCGAGACCGCATTTCCTTAGGCTGTGTTTTAGTGAAAGACGTCCCACCCACATGACCTTATTCCACCTGAAATGAGTCGGAAGCGAACCCTGTCCACAGACCTGCTAACCACCCGCTAAAGCCATCACTAGAGGACAAGGTGCCCACATTTGACGTACGGGTACCACTGAGGTACGAGTACGAGTCCTCTGTACAGAGAACAGAGCACAATTCCTCTCTCAGCTTCGCTATTGTTATTTCAACCAATGGTCACTCGTCCTTGAATTGTATCATCATGCCCAAAGCCCCTCCAGGAAGTGGTGCACCTTGCATCTTCTCGTACGCCACTCTCAGCAAACACCTCCAAGCACCTACGAGTATTCCCAGACCCTCAACAGGTGATACTGCCATCAACAGCATTGAACAAAACTAACGATTTTTCAACATTCTGATGAATGTTGGACCATGTATTCCCTCCTCAAAATAGCTGCCTTGCACCCGACACGTTCGGTCTCGAATCACATCATTGGATCCCTAATTCCATGCACAATGATGCACTCGAGAGTTCTCGTCTGGGGGCAAGTCCTGGATCCCTTGTCCTGATCATTACTGTTGCAAATGGAATAGCTTGAGATCATCCAAGGGCCTTCAAGTGCTGTCAGCATTACGGAGGACTGATTTGTTCCACCGTTGCCCGGTGGAAGGACAAGTATTCGTGGTTGATCGCAAGTCTCATGGTAACCTTGTTCTTAATATCGTAATGCGATAAGCCACCACTCCGACAATTGGACTGTCGTAGATTCTGACACTCAGTTCAGCATCTTCTGCATAATCGACAGAACATGTGGGTGCGGTGCGTGTGACATTAATCATTCCGCGGACAAAAGCACACCGCCATCTCCGCCGCAGGTTCAACTATACAAAAGTGTGAAGAACTCCTTCGTACTTTGCCACCATCCATGCAAACTTTAGTGTTAGCTGTTCTGAAACACCTCAACTGACATTGCTCGATTTGGCAAAAATCCTGCCCAGATATATAATTGGCTGATGGAAATCGCAAAATCAGGACGCTAGACAGGGCATTTTTTCTGACACGGAGGCTTTGCTGATAGTGCATACATTTGGGGAATATGGCGAGACAAGGCCGTTAATATTACTAGCAATCATTAACCTCTGCTCTTGATCACCTGCGCGATTAGCAGAAACATGTGGCCCACAGGCACCGAGACCGCAGACCGCCTCCTTTCGCCGAAGTCTGACCATTTGGTGAAGCGGAATGCTCCTATCGCCAACCATATCCGTAATGTACAGTATCATTCCAATCGCGTAAGGGAGACTGTTCACTACTATGGGATGTTCCGGACTTTTGTAAGAGGTGGAAAGCACCAGGATGGATATGATCAGCCTTGATTCTCTGCGTACTCGGTAATCCCTAATGGTCTTCTAATTCCGTCACCAACCCAACCACATAGCTTCGACGAGCATCCCGATACTCACTGCCATTAAACTCGTATCCGTACGAGAATGCTCCATGATGCACAGTTTGCCAGGCCCAAAGGCCCAAGGGTGTCTGCCGTTTCCACCGTTTCCACTTGGGCAGCTGGGAAGTTTCTCGCTCGGGAAGGTGGGGGTGGAAAATGGCCAGTTTCACAATTTTGCTAGCTCGTCACCGCAATGATTTGGCGATCCTCTGGTCAGGAATAGTCCAAACCTTATGACACTAACAATCAAAATAACACGATGGACATCCGTACTCTGACCATTTGCTGACACTCCAACCTAACTTCCAACCCATCCTAGTCCAAGGGACTACTGTACGGCGCCTTCGCAACGA